AAACCTGCCTTTACCTGTGCAAAATATGTACTCGTAGTGTGGTGGTTCTGTATCAGGCTACACTCCTATTCGAGACGATGGAAGGGTGCTTGGGAAGTACGCTGTCGGAAAACATGTACATAAGTACAGTAGTTATGGTGGTTCAATATATCTTTGCAATGAGTTTTGTATGAATTGCGATTGCGTGTGCATAGTCCCATCGGTCTAACAGTTGCCTCGCTGCCTCGTCGTCTTACTGCCTAACGGCCTAATAGCTGTCTCAATGAGAAATGAATCTACTCAAATTAGGCACTGTGTCTAAACCCGCCTAAGTGCCTAAATGCCTCAATGAGGCAGATTAGGCACGAGTGCCACTTTCCTGATGTAGCAGCCACCTGAACAGCACCTTTTCGGCGCTCCCGAATCCGAGGGTGGAATTGGCAAAACCGTAGAGTTCGTCTGCCGCAGCCACTTCGTGTAGTTGCAGCGGACAGACGTTGGCATCTAAGAGCAGTCGTCTGTACAACCTCTTGAGCTCCTTGACGTCAGCAATCGACCGCGCGTTGGAGAATCCATACATCACCGTTAACGGGTGATGCTTCTCATGGACGATAAACGTGTCGGAGTCAACCAGGACAATGCCCTTGAGGAGCCAGGCTATCTGTGAGCAGCCGCAAAACGGAGGGGCTTGCAAGATGCCCAGCAGCTCCGTGCGTCTGTGCCACCCATGAACCGGCAGTGAGGAATCGACGAGGAACCAAAGCTTGCCGTCGTCGTAGGCGAGCCAGAATTCTTCGAATGTGTACAGTTGGAAGAGGTGCTCGTAGATGGCCTTGAGCTGCTTCTCCTCGTCGTTATTTCTGCAGACGCAGAACCCAAAATGGACCCAGATATCTGTTGGAGGTATGACTGCGATATGGCAGAAGATGTGTTCACACAGGTTGAAGCAGAGTGCCTTCGCCGCTGGCCACGTCTCCATGATTTCGTCCATGTCGGGGCGAGAAGCGTCCGGAACTCCAGTCCAATGACTGAAGCGCGCAATAGTGGCCTTTTCACCCTCTTCGACAGCCTGGGGAACCCCCAGTGACGGTTCAATTATCCATCGGTGCCCCTGGAACCACCTGAAGGCTTGACTTCTGCTGGCACGACCGGACTTTGCGTAACCCAACTCGATTACTTGGCACAAGATTCGAGCTTGCCGCCAATAACGAAGTGCCTTTGCGGGAATCTCCAATTCGACGATGAATTCAACCCAGAAATCGAGGAGTGCGTGCACGCCGCCTATTTTCGCAGCGTATACGAAGCCGTATTCCATGCAGGTGTCGATATCATGAGGGATGTAGCGGCGGTGCGCGGCGCGCACCAAATGGTCCGCTGTATCTAGCTGGAATGAAGACATGGAGGCGCATTCGAACTTGTGTTCTGGCCAATCTTGCCCCTGGCAAACTTTGCTGCAGTAGTTGGCACTCGACAATGAGCACCCTTTACACCTTTTCGTAGCGTATCTCGGGCACTTCGCGCAATAAAGGACCATGACGCGACGGGGTCGCGCTTCCAGGAGAGGCGCCGTCGGGTTTGGTACTGTGTATCTGCATAATGCTATGTCAACGAAGTAGGCGCGCCACAGGGATACGACGCACCAGTTGATGTATGTTCGTGAATGTGAGCCCTTTCTAGGATAGTGGATCATATACGTTCGATTATTGACACTCGCGCTTACTGACGGAGACTATGTGTAGCGTGTACGGTTGCCCGATAGTCCGGGGCCGGGCATTTTGCACGACGCGCCTCAGCCACAGCGCATCGCTGGTCTGCCGCCTGCTCCATACCCTCAACAACTCACTCAATCCCCACGCTACGGTCATAGAAGTGCTCCCGCTGCACTACAAGCACCGGGAACAGCAAGATAGATGTCCCAGGAGGCTCACATCGACCTCCAAAGTCCACAAGAAGGCATGACGACCTCGGGAAGTGGTAAGCGCCCGACAACGCCGCGACTCGCTCGGACTCGAATGCACAAGTGTGGAGGACACAACTATGGTGCATGGGCATTCGATACAGGTAAGTATGTGGGAATGTCGAATAGGTATGCAGATCATCATAGGACGGTATGACCCTCGGTAGCGATACCGCAGTGTGCGTCCTGCAGGCCCAGTGAAGTGGTACTATAACCTTTCTGAGGCTCTCGGTGTAGGCATCCAGTACTCAGTATTCAGTGTACACGCTATTCTTGGTAGTGATGGGGTGATGCACGCGTACGATTCGAGACACAATATATATTTCAGTTTTGTCACTGTACACGAAGGCCTGTGGCACAGTATGACTCCGAGACAAGGGTATGCTATCACTCACCTGTCGCAGCCACGAATACAGGTGAAAGCACCACTGTGCTTCCCCTCGTGCTCTATGGCGGTTGACTCCGCAGATCAGTTCCTGCGCCTGCAACGCTGTCCGAGTCTGAGAGCATGGGCCGATCCGATTCGAGCCGTACCCGTAGTCTGAGAAGTAAAGACACAGTGTGTGCATATGATTAGACTCGTAAACCAGTCGATGAGGCGCTTGTCTCCTTTTGGACACTCCTCTGTTTGGTAACTTTTGAAGCCAGGAAAGGTAACCGGAGTGCGAAAAGGAGACAAGTGCCTCTAACGACTGGGCGAATTGGCCCCCCTTTACCTTGGTCGCCCCGTGGGAAACGGGACTTAGAGAAATCGTGTTGCGTCTCCTCAAGGGAAGATCGCGCGCGAGTCTCCCGCACGTCATATTGCAATCCTCGAGTAGCGATTCAACAAGGAGGTATGTTCGAGACATACAAATCAGCTAGAATATACAGCACTGACATGAATAGAACACGTAGATGTGGTGGGATTGTCCTCATCCACCTCGCGCCTCGGTCCCTTGTCCTCGCCCGCGTTGTGGTGATTGCGAGTCCCCGATGCGTAGACGACGCGGAAGGGAATTCTAGGTATCGGTGAAAACGATGGGCGGGGGTCGTTGGTGCGAGTTGACGGCTGCGGAAGGAGGGAGCGAGGTCTCTGGTACCTCGCGGAGGAGAGGGAGGTCGAGATGATACGATAAACACCTCCCCTGCCCTGTCCGTGGGCGTATATCGGCCTTCCTAAGCCTGCTGCGCTCGACGATTTTCCTTCCGACGATCCTAAACCTGTCGCGTCCTTCTTCCTAAGCCTGAGCCTAACCTTGACGAGCTTCCTTAGCCTGAAGTTCCTCCTAATACGAGACCTGAAGCCTGAGATTGCCCGTCGCAACCTAGATACGGAGTCCTGAGAGGTAGTGGTAGGTAACTAACTCCTCCCTCCCTCTCCCCTCCTAAGTCTCCTCCCGCCGCCGTTTTCCCACGTCCTACCCTCGCTGGCACCCGTTCCTCTCCTCTCCCGTTCCTTCCGCACCCGCCGCGTCTCCTTCCGACCCCTCGCCGTGCCCTTCTCCAGCTCCTTCCGGTCCCTCCGCCTCCTTCCGACGCCTCGCCATACCCTTCTCCAGCTCCTTCCGCTCCCTCCCCCTGGCTCTCAGTGTTTCCCCACCGTCTGCAATGCCCGCCGATGCTCCCCCGAACCCGTCCACCATCGTCTTCACCACCCGGTTCTACCGCCTCATCGATCTTCTCCGTGACGAACGTGTAGTCGAGCCTCGTCTGAACCCCGATAGCGACCACGAGTGGCTTGCCTGGGCCCACGGAGCTCGGTGGTTAATCGTGCGTCTTCCCCTTCATCCTGATTCCTGATCCCCCTCTAAGCCGTCCTCCCCGCAGCGAATGCTCTTCGACTCTCGTTCCCGTGCAGTGGCCCACGGCGATGCTTCCCTTCCGCTCGTCCGCCGCTATCCCGACGTGCAGGAGCTGATCGAGTACCTCGACCAAGTCTTCCTCACTCTTCCGTCGCAGCATAGCTACGTGGGCGAACCCTTCCCTTTGATTGCCTGGGCCCCGAATCGGGTCACCGCCGAGCAGGCCGACGCAGAGATTGGTCGTCCCCTCCTTCCGGTTCGCTACTTGGAGCGTCCCTTACAGCTCTCGTCCTACCGCGCTTCGTCCGACAGCCTCGACAGCCTCCTTACTCGGTTCCAGGGCCTCCTAGACGAGTGCCGCACCGCTAACCGCGACGCTCGTTCCGAAGCTGTTCGTATCGCCCGAGGCCTGAATACGGTGGAGGGCGGTGTTCGCGACTTGCACGCCCGCCTGTCGGAGGGAGTCTACGTCCCGGACGGCTACTCTGGGGTACCTCGCCGCCTGCGGTTCGCGCCGGTTAGGGATGTCGATGATCTGGAGGAAGGAGAGGTTGAGGACGCCATGGGGGAGGAGCCCGTTGTCCATGTACTGTAGCCGTCTTCCTCCCGCGTGTTCTTATATTGGTTGTCCTTCCGCCGAGTCGTCCTTCCGCCAATGGATGTCGCTTCGCTCCGCATTGCCCGGGCCTGAGTGCGTGTGTCGTTCCGGGCTCGTACCGCTGTTCCCATGTGGGCCTGCCCCACAGCGTCCTCGCCCGCGTCCTCGTCCTCGTCCACCACGTGTCCCGGGCTGTCCGCCTCTGGAAGAAGCCGACGTCGAGTGTTCATAATCCTCGGCCGTCAATTGCATGCGGAAGATAGCTGGTCGCTGGCTAGCTGGAGTCGATGTTGCTGGTGTACCCGTCTGCGACGGCGTGACCACTGGAGGCCATTGAGCGAAGGGGCTCGGCGTTGGTTGCGGTGATGGCGAGTAAGTGTAGTGTTGAGAAGGATAGTGGTAATACTGAAATGGTGCAGCAAATGGAGCATTTATTGTCGCATTCGGTGCAGGTATGGCGTGTGGATAGGAAAAGTGGGATGGTGATTGTGAGGGCCCGGGCAGTGGATAGACGTGTGATGGAGGTCGTGCCGGGGTGTGAAGAGCTGGGTGCGAGGACCCGGAACCACGAGTATGAGGCGTATTCGGAGGTAAGGATGGTGCTTGGCCCTGAGGTTCCGCCGATTCATCCATGTGTACCTATACACATTCGTGAGCACGGCGCGGATCGTACATCCAAATATCAAACAAAACCTACCTCGCCAGCGGCTTGACGTGTCCGCTTTGGCGGTCTTGCGAGAGGATCTGATGGCTCACCAATAGACCCAGTCTCCTGAGGTGCAGCTCGTTTTGCGGCGAGGGTCGACCTCACTGTACCGTCACTCGGAGCACCACGGGTCTTCTTGCCAGGGGGTTTCGGTTTTGGATGAAATGGGATGTCAAGCGAACACAGAAGGTCGCACAGCTCTGCCTCGTAGTCGTGTCGCCAAAGCCACCCCTTTAGCATGTCCTTCACTTCCGCAGGAGTCACGGGTCCCACGGAAGCCAGCTTGTCTATAGTCGTGTCGTCGAGTAGTGCACTTGGCCCGAAGATCGCCTGGGGAAAGTCCTGTGTGAGCTTCCGGTCGCGCCACTGCTCGAGTACACTCTGCGTGTTCGTATCAGGTAACCCTTGCGTTTGTGATGTGGCTTTGCTGGGTCGCGTAAGGCGTGGAGGTCGAGTACGATCGAAGAGTGTTGAGTCACAGACATCACAACAAGGGATGCGTACAGAGTCTGTTCAGGGAAAATGGAGTGAGCAAACACGTCCGAAGATTAGTCGGAGACTGGCAGAATGAAACAATCATACCGGAGATTGGACTCTCGTAAACTTTCCGCCATACTTCGCGTCTACACTGGGTACTCTGGACGAAGGCCAAGAGACCCTCATCTTCTCCCTCGCAGTCTACATGCGGCTGGTCATCCGGATTGAGGGACCCGTCTGCGTTGCGGGAGCTATTCCCACGATTCACGCCATGAAGGGCCGCGTGCCCTTTGGCTCCTTTCTTACCAGCTGACTTAATGTTCCGTTTGCGTGTCGCACGCGATTGGGTGGTACGGCTGGCAGCTTTCCGTGGAGCCTGACTCTCTGCCAGAGTATTCTCGGTAGGTGGTGCCTGAATATCAATCGAGTAGGCGGAACGTTGCACAAGTAAGACCGCGAGACCTTTGCGGCCACGTCCTCGGGCGGCCCGTCCTGCGCGCTGTATGAAATTGGAGAGTTTAGCGGGTAGCTTCCATTGGACTACAACATCGATGTCGGGGACATTACAACCCTGTGTTCGCATGATGAGCCTGAGCATGTATAATGAAGGCAATGTCGAAGCTCACCATGCCTGCAGCATCTGTACAGACCAGGATTCGAACCGGGCCCACATGATCGTCATCGGAGGTGGTGTTGTCACGGAATGCAGCCATGGCTGCCGTCCGATACTCGGGTGACATTGTTGCATTGAACGGGCGTATAAGGCCACGGTTCGCAAGCGATGTGTTGCGCTTGCGAAGAAGTGCCTCGAGGTGTTCAATGATCTCGTTGCCAGTCTCGATGTTCTCGACATACACATACGTCTTGGGGATATCGAGCGGGTTGTTGATTGAAGTTGGTAAGATGAAATCGAGGTCGGCGAGGGTGTTCTGCGGATGCTCGCATGCACGTACAACGATCGATACGTTTGGTCGGTCATTCCCAATGTTGACGAACTTGCTGCCGAGCTTGGGGAAATGAAGCTTGGCATGCAAGTCGCGACGAACGCGAGCAGTAAGGGTAGCTGTAACAGCGATGATAGGCGTACCAGGCGGGAGGAAGGCGCGTACTGTGCCCAAGCTACTGTAGTGCTTCCGAAAGTTCGCTCCCCAGTGCGAGAGGCAGTGCGCTTCATCCAACACTATGCTTAGCACACGCGAGGTGAACTTTTGGTTACGGAGGACCCGATCCTTGAACATGCGCGACTGTAGCATCTCGGGAGAGATGAGAATAATTCGGTATTGGGCTTGCAAAATGCCCTACAACACATTAGACACTGCTGACACAGAGACGAACGAGCAAGTCGGCGCACTTTGATGATCTCTCGCAATTTCTGGGGATCACTTTGACTGTTGACCGCAACTGCAGGTAGCCCGAACTCCGTATGGAATGTACCAACCTACAGTGATGTTAGACTGGAAAATGTCGGAACAGTAGGAAAACATAAGGACTCACCATCTCCTCCTCAAGCGCCAACAGTGGACTGACCATAATTGTGGTCTTCGCGTCATTTCCTGGCCACACGTATGGACCAGCCGCAATTGCTGTCTTGCCAGAGCCGGTGGGTGCTTGAATAATGGTGTCCGTGCCTTCGAGCTGGGCCCTTACGCCTTCGAGCTGGAACTGACGTGGCCCCTCGCTCCACTGGAATGCGTTCTTCATCAGTAGGGAGAGCTCGTCCACCTGAGCCGCCGTGAGCACAGGCCGGCGAGCAGGAGCCACCAAAGGCTTCTGCTTCGACTGGCGAAGCTTCCAGGCGTGTTTTGCGGGGCCGCGCATTGTCTGACAGCTGTCAGTGAGTGTACGAGAGAAGGGTGGCTGACGATCGGTGAGACGTGGAAGCGCTGACAACTTGAACGACAGTGAGCCTTGATCGACAGAGCTTGTCATCACCTCATCCTCTGTCATTTGGTTCCGAACTGTGCTTCGATGCCGTCCAGTCCTCTCCCTCCATCTTCGCCTGTCGTGTCGGAGCCTTCTTCTCTGACGAGTTTATCATCTAGTGGGGAGTCCATTGATGATCTCCTGCCACTGCCCTCCCTTCTCGACACCGCGGGTCTGTATCAAATCACGCCCAGTAGCGATGATCCGCTCGCACGAGGTGACAATGCAATACCTTCCGAGAGGTCCATTCCACGGACTTCACCAATTCGAACCGTGGCAGATCGCCGACGGAAGGCCAGGGTCGCACGCGAACGGGAACGCGAGGCAGCAGAGGAGGCTGAAAGGGAAGCAAAGGCAGCAAAACAAAGAGAGATATGTCAGCTGGTGATGTCGATTCTCAGTGAAAACGACGTACCTTTTGGGGACCTTCTCGAATTCATTTCAGATCCAACCTACCAACAAGGACGAGAGAGATACTGGGGTCTCTTCGTGGACACAGCCCGAGTGCGAAGAATCCTCAACTTTTGGGTCTCTTCAGAGAACAGCTCAACTGGGCGAGAAGCTGTGCGAGACTGGGCAATAGAGTATGTCAGTCGGCTCGTCGCTCGAGAGGCACGTACCGCCACCAAGGATCGATTTCTCCAAACACAGAAACGGGCCATTGACGAGCAATTCGCCCTCGGCTTCAGCATGGTTGCAACACATGGACAGCTTTTAGAGCACTGTCCATCGATGCTCAGGATTCTAGACTCATTCAGCTGTACAGCAAAACAGCGTCGGAAGCATACTCCTCGATGGGAGGCCCGCCGTTGTAATGTGAGCTTCCACCTCTGTGCCATAATTGCTGAACTGACTTGTGACTCGAACATCTGAACACAGTATCTTACAGCCAGTACATTGATCGCGCTGAGCGCACGTAGTCAAAAAAACAACTACACACGCCATGTGTTTGGGCTGTTTGCCTACGCCTCTGGAGCCCAGCGGCAGATGATTGAATTCTTGTCGCATATCGGGGTGTGCAGCAGCTACAGTACGATCACCGGCAGTATCAAGGACGGCGAGTCGGATCTGACCAGTCCTGAGGTCAGTCATGAAAATGACCACAATAGTCACGCCAACGACCCACCCGAACATGTAGGCGGCGAGGCCTTCACAGCTACAGGCCACGCCGGTGCTACCACCATGGTCGACCGCGAGAGCTCGGACTCTGAGTCGGACTCGGACTCAGACTCAACCGAGAATGAGCAAGAAAATGGATGTGACTCACCGCCCATCGGACAAGCCCTGCCATCCCCTGAACCCGAAGAACCCCATACACCACCTCGAGCAGAGCAAGCACGATCTTCAGACGACCTATGGGAATCCTTTGAGGCGGCTGTGGCGTCGCAAGCCGAAGACGATGCTGGACGAACCGATCAAGACAGATTGCTGTCTGCAGGGTTGGTCGAGACGCTCACAGAGCTGCGTACAGTGGTCGAGGAACACGAGAGAGACGACGCAGCTGAAGGCGATGCACAGACAAAAGGGCGTGTTGTGATCGGGCTTCTCAAACGCCTGTCGGACGCGTGTAAACGCGCTGCACGTGCGAACGCGTCTACGCGGGTCCTTGCCTTTGTGTACGACAACATCAACATGCTATTTCGCATTGCAGAGGCCCGAATGGGATCCACCGGCAAGGACGCCCAGCAGAACGGGACCTGTGCAACCGCGTTTGCTCTGTACGATGCCGACCCAGAGGACATGCTCACCTCCGACTACATGTCTTCCCTCGCTCATGCTCCGCCTCTCACCCTTCGCGATATCCTCCTCACACCGACTGAGAATACTGTGTTCACAGAGCTCATGCAACAGACAGTTCTCTCCATCGTTATCAACTATGGTGGCCCTGCCTTCGCGCGATTCAAAAGTGCTGCCGACCCCTCCTCTGTGAAGACTGCAGTGGACTGCAAGATCCCAGTCCATACGACCGACGTCTTTCCGCTCCCGACTATGGAGATCGACGAGTCTACCATCGTAGGAAACGCGGAGGTGACCAAGTCAATGTTCTCAGCTGTTGGGCTCGATATGGCGTCAGATACGTTCACCCGCACGGTGAAGCTCATTGCGGGTGATCAGCTCTCGATCGCACGCATCCGCTCGCTCACTAGGAACCGCGCTGGTCATGATAGCTTCGCAAATTCCTACCTCTGGGCAGTTGTCATGCCCGGCATCTTCCATTACAAGATGGCCGCGACCCACGGATTCATGGAGCTACATTACGGCCGTAACACCAGCCCCGGCAACCCTGGCTCTCTGGCATTCCACAACAACCTCCTCGATCGCAAACCCATTGTCCTCACCTCCCTTCCCTCATTCCGAGAATCCCGCGACCTAATCTTTGTCTCGCTCTATGCGCGTGTGTTGCGCTGTCTAGAGCTCGTCAGCGGCTCCGAGGATCTCACCGATTATGCTCAAAACACGACCCTCGAGCGGCTCCAGGAGCACTGCGCCGAGATCGTGCGCCGCTTCACGGACGGGAAGTATGTTGATCGCTTGCGCACTGCTTGTAATGCGGAGAAGAGGGAATATGTGGGGACTCGGACGGCGGCAGAGGGTCAGTCTGACAATAAGGATATCGAGCCTGATGGTGAGCCAGACGACGTCCTTGAGCTACTGTGCCACGAACTGATACCGAAAGCCTCCACATCAGCATTGGCCACGACATCAGCTACGACAAATGCGTCTACGACAAATGCGTCCGCGACGTCTACGACCGCACGTGCAAATCGTCCCGAAAATGAAGAGCCCCACCCGCACAAACCGACCCAAGGAGACATCGTCCTGGAGAACGCAATTCTCTTCCTGCGCGACGCCCTCATTATGAGGCTCCTCACTGACACCGTGAAATGCGGAGACTCTGGACGCCTCGTCCTCGTGCTCAAGGTCCTTGCACTGTACTACCGAGGTTGCGGACGTAACAAGTATGCACTGGAGGTCCTTTTCCTCATTCACAATCTCGAACATGTCTGGCCCGAACCGTTACGGTACATTTCTGTCTTCGTGCCATTCACAAATTACTGATTACAACCTGCAGGAAAATCATCTTGAACAACTGGCTCGTGAATCCGACTGGAAAGGCGAACGCGTGGGTCGAAGTCGACCTCCTTCAGGAGCACTTCAATTTTCTGGATCAAGGTACGTACCTCTCATATCATAGTTGTGCCAGTGCTCTCCTCACAGTTAAGCAGACTATCTACAAAGCACACGGTAGCAACGCGTCTTGGGACTGGTTGGCCATGATATCCCCTTGCATCGACATCCTCCGCCGTCTCGCAAGCCAGATGCATACCCTCCTCGGCGCCAAGCAGGGCACAAGTCACACGAGCCCGAGTCTCGACAAGGACATAAGTCAGCTCGTGGCCTCGCTGCGCCGGTTTTGCGTGTACGAGCTGCAACCAGGCCGCGAAGTCGACGACGGCACAGATGACTCAGGTCAGGTGGCTGATTCGTTGACTCAGGGACTGCAACGGCTCTCGGAGCCCCTCGACGACTTCAACAGGACATTCAGAAAGCTGCAGTCTCGCTGCAAGGCTGCCCCCTTGCTCGGTGCGAGGTATTCCGACTTTGGCGGCGGCGAGAGTCGTGAGACAGTCGATCCTCAGAACTCGCCGGCATCGCTCGAGATCATGGCCCGCGAAGTTGCTGCTCCCGCCGACGGGGCACCGGATCCTGATGATTCGGGCTCGGACGACGAAGACTTCGTGAATGAAGACGAACCGGAAGACCTGGAGCCCCAAGCTTTCATGTCTCTCGAGACGGCGGGCGATGTAGCACTCGACATGGACATTCAAGAGGACTTTGTACTCGACTTCTAATCTGTAATACAATACAGTTCTATGTAGATATCGATTTCGAGAGGCTCAGACCACACACCAGCGACGCTCCAGAAGGCAGCTATCGCGCGTTTTCTCTAAGTCCCATTTCCCACGGGTCGACCAAGGTAAAGGGCGGCCAATTCGCCCAGCCGTTCTGGCGAACAGGACAAGTGCCACGACGGACTTTGAATTTCTTTACGCCAGAACGGCTGGGTACGAGCCTAGCATATGATAACTCACCATATCATATATACTTTTCCATTCAGAGCACCCGTCACGGTCCGATCCTGCCTTGAGTCTAACCAGAAAGGTGGTGCAGGTGTGTAGGTATCCCCCAGACTTGTGTACGAGTCGCGTCGGGCGCTTACCACTTCCCGAGGTCGTCATGCCTTCTTGTGGACTTTAGAGGTCGATGTGAACCTCCTGGGACCTCTATCTTGCTGTTCCCGGTGCGTGTAGTGCAGCGGGAGCGTTTCTATGACCGTAGAGTGAGGATTGAGTGAGTTGTTGAGGGTATGGAGCAGGCGGCAGACCAGCGATGCGCTGTGGCTGAGGCGCGTCGTGCAAAATGCCCGGCCCCGGACTATCGGGCAACCGTAAGCGTGTTGAGATGATGGTTGATAGGGAAACCTCCTAGGCTGCTCACCTTTGTCTCCAGGCGGCACAGTCGTGATGCATCAAGTACAAGCATAGACTAGACGCTTGTCGGCTCTTATGGTCTGCACTGGGTCTGCAAACGGAGACTGAAGCATTCAGTGTAACGGGGGTGACTGGTCCCACTGGCATAAACGAGAGTATCTCTTTCTGGTCAGCAACAGAGACTATGGCCCAGTGCCTCGCCCATTTTGGCAGGTGAAGAACGCGACACAACTTCGATGTCTTCGCTCAGTCTTCGCCTGAGATGTGCTGACGACGGTGCTCGTCAACGTACAGCCAATTGCCTCGAAACTGCGGGCGCAATCCTTTTGTGCAAAGGAGTTGTGATGGCAGAGGGAGTCGGCCTGCACATTCGGTCCAAACTTCACTTCGACCGTATCGACTGCACCCGACCGTAAGTACCGCTCAAATTCAGGCTCCTGCCTGACAGCAGGGATCGTGAGGCTGAGCGTGGCAAAAGCAATGCTAATAGAGGTCATGAGAGGTCATCAACGTACGTTATACAGTAGCTATAATATATGGCGTAACGATTGTCTCCGGAATAAGAACCAGGGGGAATGACGACAAATGACAACCAGTAGGCACGATAGGCGACGGACACAGTGCCCGTCAGAGAAGCACGAAGGCGCACCGATGTCTGATATTACCCGCAGAAATGCAGCGGACACGGGCCGTTTTATCTCTTGCGTAGCTGCTCACGGAGGGTCGAATTCTCCGTCTGTACGTTATTCAGCTCCTCCAGTAGGGCCATCTGTTGTATCTGTTGAGAGCCTCGCATCGATTCGATCTCGTCCTTCGCCCGAGCGAGCGATGCGTTACACTCTGCAAGCTGAGTCTCCAGCTGCTTGCTGACATTGACAGAGCCGCCGGCGGATGCTGACTCTTCCGCCAGAGCAAGCATGCGCGCACTGAGTGCGTTGTTGGCGTCCGTGAGCTGTCGGCAGGTCTCGGCTTGCTCAGCAGCTTGCATCTCGATCTCGAGCTTCTCAGCAGTGATTTGCTCAATAGTCTCATGCAGTTGTTGCACCTCCTCGTCCCTGAGATACATAGTATCAGTGTGGCGCCCGAGGAACATCCAAACGCCAGTACTTACAGTGCTTGTTGCTTGGCCATCATTGTGAGATTTCGCTCTTCAAGCATGTTGACCTGCTTCTGGTATGTCTCAAGTGCGTTACTACTCTCCTGCGCCAACTTCTGAGCCCGCTCCGCATTCTTCTTGAGTAGGTCGTGTGCTTGCGCGAACCGGAGGAGACGCTCGATAAGAGCACGGTCGTCTGCAATGAGAGCTTGCACTCTGGTCACGAAGCCCTCCACTGTGAAAGCGCCGGAGGGCTGAGCGGAAGTACCCCTCGGGTCATACAGGGTTTTGAGTGACCGCACATCCATGTCCGACAGTGATGCATTGCTACGACTGGCCAGAACAGGGCTTGAAGGAGGACCCGGGCGGATGTTACGCGCACCGAGTTTGTTGGCCCGAGCTTCAGGAGAGGGTAGTACGGCCCACATAGGCTGCAATAGCGCAACTATTGATGCAGCGTCGGTGGCAAAGTCCACGGGACCCTGAGGACCCTGCAGGCTGACTACTGCCATCTGCGCCATCGATTGTTCCTTGAATGAAATGGCGTTAGGTTAATCGTTCAAAGCGAGCTATTGACTTACCCTGAGCTGCGTTTCGAAGTCCCGAGCTTGCATTCTCGCCTCGTCTCGCGTTCGTCGTGCTTCTTCGACCTCCTCGAACAGCGCCTCTCGCTTGTCGAGACCTGCACGGACGTCCATCTCAAGTTTCGTCCGCAGTGCAACCCACTCATCCTCGGCACGAGCATGCGCCTCGGCCTTGGAGTGCATGTCTTCTATATGCCGCCCGACGGATTGTACAAGACCCATGAGCGAGACATCCCGCGATGTGAGCACGATGCCGTGGGCGTGCATGAGGTCCCGTAGTGCATCGGAGTACTGTGCCAATTCCATCTTGCTCTGCGCGCCGTCCTGCAATGTAGCCTTCTCCGCCTCCCACGATGACCGCTCAATATCCCACTGTAACTTCATATCTGCCATCTGCCTCTGCGTCTCTTCCATCTTCTTCTCCCTCGCCGCCAACATACCTCGAATCTCTTCTCGCTCGCGCGCGAACGCGGTCTCCATCTCCGCAACCTCCCCGCTCTGTTCCTCAAGTACCTCCAGTCTTCTCTCGAGTGTGTCCACCTCGCGACGTCGTTCTTCTAGCTCCGCATGGTCCCGTCTCCAAACCGCCCTCTCCGCCTCGAGTTCCTGCAATCGCACGTCGACGCCTTCCGCCCTACCCGCCGACTGCTCGAGCGTCGCGATGGTCTCCTCTGCACTTTGAAGGTCCATTCCCAACGTTGTCTCTATCTGCTCCTTCTCGAGACGCAAATGGGAGAGCTCGCGCACCATCTCGCCCTGCTTTGCGGTCGCAGCTTCAAGGGCGGCCGTGGCGGCCCTGAGCTTATCCTCTAGCGCGGTGACCTCTGCCATTGTCGGCGGTAATCGAGGGGTGGTCGGAGTGACAGAATCTGAGTGGCCTGCGAAGAAGTGCTCGAAGCGACCTCGTGAGGATACGGTGGTCATGCTCGTCACGGACGATGGCGTTGGGCTCATCTGCGCACTGCGACTGGGCGAGCTGTACCCAGACGCGCTTGAGTCCCCGTCCTGGGGCGCGGCTTTCTTCTCGAGGCTCCGGACTGAGTAGCTGAGTACCCCTGCGCGATGTTCGAACAGCTTCCGCTGTATCTCGTTTGCGCGTTCCGAGACGCGCCATAAATCCTTTTGTGCCTGTTCAACCTTCCGGTTGGCTGTCTCCAGGTGCTCGCTTGACTGCTTGGATACGTTCTTGTAGGATGCGTTCGCCTTGGACAGGGATAGTGCTGCATCGCGTATTTTGGTCTCAAGAGCGAGTTTCTTCGTCATAGCAGCGAGCCGCGAGGAGAGCACTTGGTGCTCCTATGCGCGATACACAGTTCTAGTACGATCAACAGAAGTAGACATGTGAGACACACCTTCTTGAGCTCCTCAACCTCCTCCGCACTCAGAATCTCGCATCCTCGACTGTCCACGATCGCCTCGCTCGCGAGCAGGCTGATGAGAAGGTCGTCCCGGGCATTATAAACCATAGATGTTGGACGTAGTTCCATCGCAACAGGTTTTCTTGAAAGCTCCGATACACGGGTGGGGAGCGGGCGAGGCGATGATGGGCCCGCGCCCGGTGACGAAAGCTGTCCGGACGAGCCGTTGCTTCGTGGCGGGGAGATACCGTTTGACTCGCGCGATGATTGTGGTGAATGGAAAGAGCCATTGCCTACAACGCCCTCATCGAAAGTCGAGGCCGTGGGCAGCGGTCGCTGCCTGTCCTTCCGGAAGAATAGTCCTGCAGTTGTCGTTTTGGGACTGTCCACCGGGTCTGGCGGCGAGGAGTCCGTAGGACTCTGGACCGGTGAGGGCGGCCATGTAGGTTTGGGCGGAACAGCAAGGGGAGCAGGGCTCTGGAAGGGTGACTCGAGGGTTGGGCCTGGGGGAGGAGTGGACGGAGAGACGGGGAATTGCTGGGCGGTCGGAGGCGTGCCTCCGCCAGCGAGAAATCGACGTACGCCGTTCATGCACGATTCGCACCGCTAGGGCAAAATGCCCGCTCCGAGATGAGTGACCCAATAGTGAGAGCAGGCAGCCAGTCGCCGATGAGATGTGGAAAGCACAGCGGCGGCTTGTTGGCGGGACGGACGGTTGCCGAGAGTCAAATCGTAGTCGCTGGAAGCGGCGGTGACTCTCCCTGACGACAATGCGATACTACTCGTTGTTCAAGGATGCGGAGGAATCCGAATCAGAAGGAGACAGCACTGAACGATATCCGCGGACGCATTGAGCCAGAAATATCCCATCATGTTGAAGTATCGCTTCGCGAAGTGCGTATCCCGATGTTCATGCGAGCTTCCGCGTTACCATACCCTACGAGTCATCGTTTGACACGCTCGGTAACCCTATGACACTGCGCCTAGTAGTCTTTGAAGGCTTCACGAAGTTGCGCTACATACAGTAAGTATTGACAACGTGTTGTAGCAAGTAGGTAAAGTCGCAAGATCGATTGCAATCATTGCCAGCGTGAAGCAACATGTATATATGTCGGGCCGTACATATGGACAAAGGTCCAGCGTCCAACGTCCAACACTGATCTGAGTGCCATGTCATGCCTCCCGCTCATTTAAAGCACATGGTACTTAGCAGCGGGATCTCAGCTTCTGCCCCAGTAACGCGGCCCAATCCCGAAGGCACACACGAACATCATCATGACACTCCCCACTTCAAGAACGAAGTAAGGCGTACGCGGTCCAGCGAAGAACGCTGCGAGCGCCAGAACGAGCATCGCATGCTTCGGAGACAGCATAAGTCTACCGAATCTACAGAATGTCGTGGTCGTCAGAACGTGAGTGCCACGGTCAACGAAGTAACGCAGCACTCACGAAGGCTCGAACATAGTCCCTCCCATGCCTGCCCATTCAACGAGGACAAGCCACGGTGCCACTACCAGTACGTTCCGGTCCGAACTCCAGCCCCAACCTGAGCCGGCGCCCCACACGGCCTGTAGTCCGGATCCCGCGAGGGTGCGCACCCATACAGCGAGCACAGGTGCAGCGATGGGCAGCAGCCATGTCATCAGCAACAGGATGTATCTGTTCGTGTTATATGCCGACACCAGAGCATCAAAGGAACTAAAACTGGGGGACGATCTAGGCGACGCGAGCTCTGGGGATGGTGGGATGGTGGACTCCTCGCGGGACATGAGCGGGATGGAGTGCTCTTTTGGTTTTCCGGATGCCGAACGGACGACAGCCGCGCCGGCCGCGCAGGTGTAGAAGTGATAGATCCATGCGCACAGGAAGGCGACCTGCCATGGTATGAACACCACGATCAGGAGGAAGACGAAGAGCATGGAGACAAGGGCGTTTCTTCTTGCACTGATAATCTCTCTGGACCTGTAGACATATGTCAAAGACAACCGGAATGAGGCTGAGAGCGGCATACCTTGTCGGTCGCCGAGCTCCGCACGACAGCGCCTTCGACGTGAGTGTCAGGGTCATACCAACTACCGTCCAACTCACGCACACCAAACCGACGACCACCAGTAGTAACAGAGGTGCAATACCCGCGAATACCGGTGCGCCTACGTTCCCAAGCCACATCCCAGTCGGGAGCGGTATGAATGACACCGCAACACTCAACACGAGCATCTTCGGGAGCCACCGAGTAGCCAGGTACGATAGCGATTCGGCGACATTTGGAACTGGGCGAGGCCCCTCTCCGGCACCCCAAGCATGGTGCAGCGCGAGCGCAACGATGCCTACTCCCCAAGCGATGACCGCCTGCGCGTATCGCGTGCCCCATCTCCCTAGTGTGCCCCACCAGTTGATTGAGATGTAGAGGTTCTCCACTGAGCATGGCTGATCGTTGGAGGTATAGACTATGAGGTTGAAGCCGTGGAGAGGAGTAGAGACGAAGGGCCCTGAAGCGTGCGAGTGGAGCAGTGTGGCTTGGTGCGGCTGAGACTGGAGGAGAGAGAAGTAGTGTGTCTCGAAGTGGTCGGAGGTGTGCTCGAGCAGAGGGGGCATGAGTGCATCTAGACATCGGGTCAGCTCTGTGGAGAGTACTGATTAGTGAGAGGAAGCACCTTTACAAGTCGCCGCATCCCTCAACGATGATTTGAGCCTGTACACTACTAACGAACTGGAAAGCAGCTTCGGGAAGACTACTTCCGTTCGGAGTGTACTCGCTGGGAAGTCGAGTTTCGATCCCGCCCATATCAAGCCTACAGCAACACATTAGAACGACTTTACTGCGACGACCGTGAACATACTGACCGAACATCCCTACGTCTTTCACAATCGGTTCGTCGCCAGCAAAGCCCGCTGTAACCCAGCCCCGCCCATCTGCGTCCTCGATCAACACAGCCACATAGGATTGCTGCTCCGAAGTACCAATTGGGACGTTCGCGACGAACACGACTACACCCTCGCTTTCGTCCGACCCTTCATCGGGCGCAGGGAATGGCTTGTCTGGCACTGGTTCCGGTACAAGCTTGAGGATCGTAGGTGAGAGCCGCGGACACGAAGTGTGAGTAGACGAGGAGCAGAGGTAGACAGAGACCCGGAGAGGAAGGGGATTGTGAGGCGAGATGGGGGCGATTGACCCACGAGACAAGTATAGAGTGAACAGGCTATTGGATTGTGTGGGCGTATTGGGTATCGGAAGGAGATACGTGTGCGACTGAGTAGGTCTCCGAAGGAGGAGCGCGTCGGAGTAGTGCACTTCTTCTGGTCGAAGTGCACTCAGATCGATAGTGTCCCTGTGGTCGCCGACACCATCGTCTACAAACGACGCAGGGGGAGCGTGCCCATCCCTGAGCCACTTGTCCAGCACTTGCCCGCGTACTTTTGTTGAATGCTCTGCTGCAGCAGCCAACTCGATCACCGCTCTTGCTACGCGCCATCGCACCTGATGGCACCAGACCATCTCTTTGTGTCCAACTCCAGTCCAAGCACCCTCGAGTGCACTGGTAAAGACTGTCCGCCGATAGAAAGTTGAACCGCCGTCGTCTGCTTCTGGAACAGGCAAGATACATGACTCTGCCGGTACAAGCAGATCAGTGGCGCCTCCACATAGCGATAGCACAGGCGTAGAATCATCTCGTAGGATCTCTCGATTGCTTGCGAGTATGCTGTCGATACGACGATCGAGTCGTGCGGGAGGCAGCGTATGCGCAGTGGACATCGTGATGAGTGCGGAGACGTTGGGATGCGGTAGCAGGGAGACCGCAACAGTGCCACCCATGGAATGTCCCAGGAGGATGATGGAGGTGGGCTTCTCGTAAAGCGAAAGAATGTAGTCGACAGCTGCACGAGCATAGGCCGTCTCGGCATCGAGGGTATGACCGTCAAAGGCAGACAGGTCCTCATTGAATTCAACTAAAACGATGTTACGAGGAGTAGCATATGACATGAGGTGAGCGACATACGCGCAAAGAAGTCGACCGGCCTCTGAGGACCGTGCTCAAAAGCGGCCTCAACATGATATGGGGACGAAAAATACTGGCGCGTCGCTGAGGATGCTATTGAGCGGACTTGATGCGAAGAACCGGCGTTGCCGGGAATGAAGAGTACCGGAGACCCACGGAGCTATACTGATGCTTAATGAAACCTTCTGCGATGCGCCGCATAAGCCGTGTGCCATACCTCGCCAGGGCCCTCCCAGCCAACTTCGCGGTAGAGGAAGAGAGAGTAGCGGGACGCGAGAGGTGTCCAGCTGTGATCCAAGCCGGCCTGAAGCACGTATGAGGGTGACATCCACGACATGCGACATCCCTGTGGCGAGAGTGTCTTCACAATGTCCAGACCAGCGCGGTAGAAAATAAGCACACAAAGAAGTGCATATGCTCCGAGGAAACCGATGGCCTGCCAGTGAGAGCGCATACCCATTGCTGGCCGCGACAGCGAGTGTTCGTCGCTCGCTGACCACCCAACTGGAGATGTACAAGCAGTATATCCAAACTTTAGGCGGTCATCGGTAGTCGCATGTGTCGGTGTGGTCCAAGTGTCGTCGCTGTGTGCCACATTGCTCGCCGCGAGCATCTGTGCCTCAGCTCGCCCGCCCATCGCGAGCGCTCGTCCTTAAGCCTGCCCTAGACAAGGTGTGCGTGACCGCGTTGTGAGCAGGAACGCTCGATTCTTGGTGTGCACAGCACAGCAAGACTGGCTACCGCAGTCCTACGCAAGACCCACTTGATACCTTGATATGACTTTCAAACGTTTGGGACGATTCGGTGCATGGAACACGTTCACTGGGTTTCGTTTCGTTCAGTCCTACTGTGAGTGATACACCCGAGCTCAGGCTCTCGAAGGCCGCCTAGTATGACGCTGCAATGCGGACGTGTTCATAGAGGAGTCAGCTCAAGCCTAAATAAAGGCCTAAGGGGTGCCAGCTTGCCAGAGATGCAACTTGGTCCGAATCCGAGGTTCTGTGCGAGGCAGCACGGCCAAGCCGCTGGAGCTGTGCTAACAGGACTCTACAACAACGGCTACCATATGTGCTTCATTCATTCGAACTCCACTGGCATCTGTAAGGAATGTGATCGCGGCGAACGGCTGACTTGAAGCGAGGGCGCAAATAACTCCAGAAAAGCGGTCAGTACACATCCATTGGTAAATCGTAAGAACATACTGAGACTACCAGACCTTTCTCAGGTATTAGCATCTGTCGTGACTGGCGCTGCAATGGGTCGGCTTTAAAATACCCTCAGGCTCACAAAGATGCAATGTTCCCTGCGATGACTCGGTTTCTCGACACGGCGACCGATTTTACTTTGCGACGCTCTGAGCAAGTACCCACTATGTTGCGTCGGCCCATTTTCCCACTCGCCTGGCTTGCCCGCTGACTTGGCCCCTACTCGTCCGATTAACTGCCAGCCCCTTGTGTACATGCCTATCCGCTGACTGCTGCCTCGTCGCACCATTACCCACCCACTCGTCTGCCTGCCTTCTCGTTCGCCCGCCTGCGCATTCCTTGCTCGCGCACTCCCCCACTGCCCGCTTCTCCCGGCTCCGTCCGTGACCAGCTTAATTTATCTGATGCGTGTGGCATTTGTCCCTTCAAGCTTCAGTGGCTGGCTCCTACCTTCCGCGTGTACAGTCCGGGACCTTCGACTGTCCCAAGGCACTGATGCAGCATTGAAGCTATCTCTACGGCTTTGTTTCCAGTCAGTCGCACATGCCGGGTCCCTGACGTCTAGATCTGACTGCGGCTCCATGTCTGACATCAATTTCTTGAGATGTATGTACCTTCTTCAAGTATCCAGATGTTACATTCTTCTGTCACCGGTGGCCGTTGCGCTGGTATCATCCTGACAGCAATTTCTATCAGATGATGTTTGCCCTCGTTTCCAAACAACTTGCCGTCGAGCGAGTACGTTGGGTTCCGATGATCATGGGCCAGCAGTCGCTTCGAATCATCCTTCATTCCGATGGGTACGCGTGTCCATCGCCCTCTTCCGTGCAGCCGTTCCGCGATTATGCTGATCATGTGCGACTCTACCTACCAGGTATCTTTTATCTCCATTGGCTTCCTGGAAGGCCGTAGCCTGACTTTGTGAGTCCCAGGTGAGCTAAGTTGCAGATACGTCTCACACGCGACCTAATGGTGCAAGTCGCTGTCTCCCTCGACTTGCCGGAAGTGCATGGGTTGTTCAAGCACACCGGTATGTATACGTGGGCCGTATGAACTAAGCTGTTATTATCCCGCCTTCAGCATAGCATCTGCGGTCCGGCGAAATCAGATTTGACCGCCCGCGATCCCGTGCATGATACGTCTCGACTGGTGCCGCAGAAGTCCTGGTGACCTGGACCTTGCTAACAGCCGCCATACACCATAGTCACGTACTCGCTCCATGACTGCCGAGGCGGCCTGGTCACAGGCCTACGTAGGAGCAATATTACTGTAAAGGTGCACTCCAGCTGAGAACCAGCGGCTCAACGACGTCCGGCAACAAGTTCTGACGGACTACCCCGAAGCTAGCTCATTGGCAGTGCCTGTGTGGGCCGCGTCGCGGGCTGTTCTGCGGGGCATATCGAGTGGAAAATCAGACCTGGGAACAATTCTCATTTTTGTACGACTTGTAGCCGGTTTTACACAGCCTATGCTTCCCCATGGGTAACGGATTATCGTCGCTTGTAACCGAGGGTGAGCGAGACAACGATGCACGCAACTTCATAAGTCCTGGTTTGAGTAATCGGCTTTAAAACAAGAAATACTTGATGTTGAACAGCCACTCCTGACAACGGCTCGGAACCAGTTGTACTTCAAGTTCATCCACAGAGGGGAACCTGCAAGTCCGCGACAATGACATATACGAGTGCGAGCGGCCGCGGTTTAATCCAGTCATCAGGATCTGCTTGCATGATCCGAAGTCAAACCGTTGTTGCTACGAGAACCCTGACCAGTGTGTGGTTAGTTTCGAAGTTGAGTCACTGTCCATTCAGACGCGGCTTCCTTCAATTCTGGTCCATGTTGTACAGTCCGTGAAGTTCGGGCAAATATTGATACAAGAGACATACAACGGAGGAAGATAGCCGGCTTACCTTCCTGCTACAGGTCATGGTGGGCAACCTTCCCACATAAACGTTAACCATTTTGAGTTGTGGTGTGTTTTCGAGCGCGCGTGCGTGCAAGGATCGCAGTTGACATGCAGTCATAGTCACCGTGACTATCAGTACTACACCGTGACTAGCATGTATCGGCGACAATTGTTGACGATAGAATGCTAATGAATGAGGTTGTCGTAACAAGGGATTATAATCTAGACGTGCAGGCTGAGAACGGGCGGCCACGGCGCACAAACGACGAGCGGAGACCGAGAAGACCGAGAAGGCGGCCGCGGTGGCTTCGAGACGGGAGCGCCGATCGAGCGGTGCCCGGGCGGTGCACGTGAAACTGACGACGGCAGAGGCGGCTGGCTGCCATTCTGGGCGAACACCACTCTGCGATCCCACCGTCGGGTCTCAGTGCGAGCGTACTCGCCAGTGGCCCTCACCCCCTCCTCCTCGCAATGGCCGACAACACAGACAGCTTTTTCGACGATTATCCTGATGTCGACCAGTCTGGGTGCCGCCTATTAGGCCCTACGGCTTTGGTACGTTCCGTACTCCCGAACCGTGGTACTTGCTCCGAACTCAGTCGATGCGCAGGTCACTCAGGGTCTCATGGGCGTGCTGGTCATTGCTTCCCTTATCTACAAGAGACACAGAGAGAGCCCGAGACGGCCCTGGCGGATCTGGTGCGTCTTCTGGTTCTGCCTGCGACGGTCCAGTTGCTGACCGACTTGTGGCATGCCACAGGCTCTTCGATGTCTCCAAACAAATCATCGGACAATTGGTCATACACGGAGTTAATGTTCTCATTTCAGACACCATTGCGCATCTATCGTCTGGCAATGCGTGCGTGTTCTACTTCCTCAATATTCTTGTCGACACCACCATCGGTACGTTCGGTCTCCCATCCCGTTCGCACAGGTATACCGAGCTTCAAACCCCATAGGCGTCGGCATTATTTACTTCATTCTGCACGTCACGACCTGGCTCCTTAGCGAGAAATGCCACTTCAAAGGATTCGAGTCTGGGCAGTACGGCTCACCACCCTCCTTCAATTACTGGATCCGCCAGGCCACCGTCTACATCTTCTCCCTCCTCTTCATGAAGATGCTCGTCATCGTCCTCTTCGCCGCATGGCCCGGCATCTTCATGCTCGGCGAGTGGCTCCTCACCTTCCTCGGGCCCAGCGATGCCGTCCAGGTCATCTTGTATGTACCGCCCCGCTCGCATCCCATCTCGCCCGCTAATTCGACCTCGCAGCACGATGGGTCTCTTCCCCATCATGATGAACGTCGTCCAATTCTGGCTCATCGACTCCATCGTCAAGTCCTCCCAAGCCGCCGCCGTCGCCCTCCCCACGCTCACGCCCCGCTCCTCCACCGACGGTGAGCACGAGCACGAGCCGCTCTTCCGCGCCTCCTCCGACGATGACGACGACGACGGCGCCTTCCTCGCCCGGCACGACATCGAGAACCCGCTGCCGCGCGCGCGCTCTGAGGACGCCGACAGGCCAGGCGTGCCCGATGAGCCGAAATCGCTCGGCTCGGGCACCTCCACCGCCGTCGGCTCGAGCCCGGGCACGCCCAAGCCCAAGCCAATCGACATCAAGCGCGACGTGGACGTGGACGCGCACGCGTACCCCCCAAGCCTCGCCGGCTCGAGCGTGGCTACGAGCTCCTCGGCCGCGTCCTCGCTGCATGGGCGCTCCAGGTCCCCGCGGGCGAAACGAAAACACTCACCCCCGCCTGCGCTCCCGCTCAACCCGGTGTCGCCGCCTGCCCATCGGCAGCCGACACGCCGGCATGCCCACAGCAATAGCATTACACCTAAAGCTCAAGTATCTCGGTATGATGACGACGAGAAAGACTGGGCGGAATGGGGTAACGAGGGCGACGACTGGGCGGAACGGGTGGGCGAGGAGGAATGGACTGGGAGACGTATGGGAGCGCGGAAGGCAGAGCTAGACAACGTATGGGCCCGACAACATAGTGCGGCACCTTCTGTCTCGTAGCGGTATGGATCTACCTGAGTTTTACTTGCTGTCTGCGTACTTTGCTGTCGTCTATTGTGTATCATACCCTGCCACCATTAGTTCGTCTCACGCGGAATGATAGAGGATCACCACTGCTATGCTGTGTGCAAGGAGGGAACTGCATGGTATTGAGAGCGGAACAAAAGCAACAATGTACATGCAAGGAGTCGTTCACATTCAGATCTGCCGCAAACAACCAGGAAACATTCACATTCTAGCCCAGGATGAACATACCCAACATAAACTTACGTACGTATGACTACATGAACAGTGAGGGAGGGACTAGTGGTACAGCATGCTGAGCACTAATAACCAGTCAACAAGGACAGACTAAGTGGCTTCACCGCCGCGAGTGCATGGGAGGGGGTAGAGAGCGGTAGTCGTCTGGCGGCGAACCATGGCCGACATGCCCAAACTCACCAGCCCTATCAGGATGAACCTCTGTATATACCAACTTACGAACGTTCTGGTGAGGCGCATGGGGGGATGTGTGGGGCGGAGCATGAGGAGATGCGTGAGGTGGGTGAGGCGGGTGAGAACGCGGAGGTCGATCGTCGACTACTACTCGACCGCTTCCACCTGCAGGCAATGCATTCGGTGCGATGGGACGGCTTGTGTAAGACGGTGGCGGACGGGATTGAGGAGGCGTACGAATATCGTTGGGCCCAGGCGACAGCATCATCGCGAGAGAAGGAGAGAGGCCTTGGTTCGAGCGGGGTGTGGAAGTCGAGGCAGGTTGGGGCGTGTCAGAGGGCTGCCTACGCTTCGGCGGTCCCGGTGAAAAGCTCCGACCTAGACGTTCATCTGGCGTATGTGGGGGAACCTCGTCTGGATACTTGCGCTTTCGAACAGCTGACGACTGAGGTGGCGTGTTTGCGACGTGCGGACTGGTAGCATGCGGCGAACGTGGGTCTGGATGAGGCCGTGCACCCGGTGGCGGTGCGGTCGCACCAGCATTGCTCCAGATCTGATTCGACCAAGGAGGTGGAGGAGGAACATGCCTGCTACTACTGGGATCAGCAATGCCAATTGGTTTACCGTTCTCATAGGGGTTCGGAGGAGGAATCGGGGCCGACCTATGAGAATGATGAGGCGCATGAGACACTGGTGGATGCGGCGCGCGGGGATGTGGCGCTAGTGACGAGCTGCCGTTGGTGGAAGGCAAACCTCGAGAAAGGAATTCGTCCACAGGCTGTCCTGGAGGAGGTGATCGCCTGCCGCTGAGTTCTCTGGTACACCAGGTGTGAACCTAATAAGCTCGACGAACAGCGTCTGCGTATATGGTGGTGGCAACTTCATGTAGATAATCTCTTTGCTGAAGTTTTGCAGCATCTCCTTCGTGTTCACGTAGACGTCCGCCTCTGGGTTCTCTGCAGACAGCGTGAGTAAACCAAACACGACCAGGAGATTGGCAATACCTACCTGCGTACTTCACGCGGACCTCGGAGTAAGGATATGCTCGGTTCTTGCGGATGCAGCACAAAGGGCACATGAACCTCCGTACCCCACCCGCATTGTCCACGGGGTAGAATACACAGCCAGCGTGGTAAAGCTTTTCGCAGACCTCGCATTGGACAGTGGGGTAGTTGAGCAGGTAGCTCGTCCTCCCTCTGCAGATGCACCGCGTCCCATCGCGCCAATCGGGATCCACGTCCTGACCGAAGACAAACTTCGGCCGCCTACGCTTCTTCATCCGTACGGGCACGGGTTGTCCTGCGAGAATACGATGAAGGCCTGCAAGGTCCAAGCCAAACGACACCTCAGGATTAGGCGAGACAGCGAACTGGATCCTGTATAGCTTTCGCATGTAGTGCCGTACTTGCGGGATGTACTCGGCACGCTGATTCGCAGGCTGCGACGCGAACGACAGGAACTGTCCAATGACGCCTGCCAGTCGATCAACTCGGTGGACGATCACTTCAAGTTGCTTCCACTCGTCGGAATAGTTCTTGGTAACTTCAGGCGCGTGAAGAAGGATGGTGGCAGATAGCAGAAATGCCAGTTCCGTTCCTTGTGGATGGTACCGTTCCAATGGTGGTGATCGCAGAAAGGGCACGATCCACCATTGGCAGCGCAGACGCCGTGGAATCGAGCGAAGCAATGATCACACTGGACAGCGTCGGACACAGTCCCGGCAGCCGGTGGACGAACAGGAGTCGTACAGATACACGTGAAGTACTCATCGTTGGGAGGGAGGTCGTCCTCAGGCCGCGTGGACTCGATCACGTCCTCCATAAGGCCTTGCGCGTGAGTCTCTTGGTGCTGCCGACAGAACCACGGCAGACTCTCTAGCCAACGGAAGTGGGCGGATAGTTGTTTGTCGAGCCGGTCGAAGTTTGCAAGAGTGAACATGGTCAGGTGCTCCTTCGCGTACTTGCGCCACTGTAACATCGTCTGGAAGATATCGCCTTCGTCGGTATGCTGGTACCGGTGCTTCACACAGCATCGCAGCGCGTCTCGAGGTCCATAGCGAAGTCCACCGTTCGCTTCAGATCCGAGACAGCTGGGATGTTAAATCCTTGTCCGCCCTGGCCACCAGCTTGACAGCATCCTGAACCTTGGGTTCATCGTGCTTGCCTCCGGGCTGAGCCACAACTTCGCCTGCTTCTCGTAATCCTTCGCGCGGGCACGGGCGTCAAGCAAGCGATCCAGCAGATCAGAATTGATGGGGATACCGGAACCAGGGTGCGCGAACTCATCCAACTGCTCGATCGTCCTCTGTGGTTTAGTGAGAACATCCTTCACACGCCTCTCCCACTCGTCGCCGAGACGGAGAAGCCGCTCGATACGCTTCATGAACGGATTGTCGGGCGGCAGGTCGCACTGGCGAGCACGCGCTACCCAACTTCTGACGTCCTCCAGAAGCACTCCGTTGGATTCGTCAAGCTCTTCCTCGAGATCCTTCAACAACTGCTCGCGGAGAACTATCTTCTCGACCTCGAGAAGCTCCTCGACGAGGACGTTGAGCGACAGCCCGTGCAGGAGCAACCGGTCGCACTCTTGCATGTGTGCGTCTCGGTCGCGCGGAGATGGTGTAGCGTTCAGCAAGATGCGAGCCTTCTCCTTTGTCTCCTCCGCTTCCTTGGCAAGATTCCTGAGGAACCCGATCTCCTGACAATCGAACCCTAAGTTCTCGACCTCCTTCAGGACAGCGTACAGGTCTCCCAGGCTGTGATCCGGCCTATCGGGGGCGTCGTCGACCATATTCATGCCGTTCGCACTGTCTGACGACGTGCGCGGGCCGCGGATCTTGCGTGGACGTTTGCGACTGGGCTTGCGGACAAGGAAGGCATTTGCCGCATCCACCCACTCGTTGGCTCGAGCGACACACTTGCGCAGCGACTGCAGCTCGGGCAAGGGATGGTTGATCCGATCGCCCTCTGCAAGAACAGCGCGCAGACTGCGTAGCGGCGGTCTCGCGGTCTCGGTCAAGATCTTGTTCAGCTTCGTCCTCCACGTACTGGGGATGGCAGCGCGCTCCGACACCTTCATCTGATCTCCTGCAACTCCGCATCGTCGAGGCGCTTCCTTAGAATCCTGCTGCTTTGATCGCACTTGCACAGATCTCGATGTGGTCGATGCACACGACCTTGGTCGTGCACGAACACGTGATCTGCGAGAGGTAGCAGAAACCTTGCACCTGCTGCATTGGCACTGGTCCTCGGCCCGGTCCATGCCTTCAAGCACCTCGCCCATCTGGAGTGATCGGGCCTTGTCCCGGATGCGCATCTCACGGACCATCATCTCCTGTAGGCTGTCGTTGAGCCTGACAACCGCGTCAGTATTTGCTTCCGCTACTAGAACGAGAAAACACGCACCATAGGGCGGTCTGGATGGACTGGTTCTGTTGCGTTATCGTAATCAGAAGCTCGTCGTGCGAGAATACCGGAAGCTTCCGGTGCTCCTGGTACCGCTTCACACAATCGAGTCCGAACGGCAGCCAGTCGGGCAGCGCGAAGTTGACGGCTTCGTTAAAGTTGAACTGAAGGCGGTTATAGTTAGCGACCTGAGCCACGCATGTCGCGCCTGTAGGTGAACTAGAACGCACCCCATGATTGAATCCCGCGTGGTACGCCTTGGGGAAGGTGATCACGAACTCCCCGCACGCTGGTTGCACGAGTATACGTCGACGCCGGTCTCCTTCAGTCGGCTAGGGTTCATTAAGGTGACCAGCTGGAAGAGGAGATCGGGCTGGACTTCGAAAAGGTCCGGGGCTTCTCTTCTGATGGCCGCCTCGAATTTCTCCGCCTCCTCGCCGGGAATACTGTACCAGGTCTTTGTCTCGCCCCAATGCACTAGATATCCCGCGAATGTGAGAACATCAACCTCGGAAATGAAAATGAGCTTCTTACTGTAGTTGATGCTGTACGTGTAGTGATCCTGCTCCGCCGATAAGGATCAGCTATGACATTCTAAAAGCGTCAAGTCCGTCGTACCTCGTTGTGCCAGCAAAATGTCGAGAATACCATCCCGACGTACGTCCAGGGCACAGTCATGCCCGAGATATCGCTCTTGATATACCTGAGCAAGCTGTCAGGGAGGATTGGAATATTATTCAAATTCCACGGATCCTTGGAATATGGGTCGAGCGGATGGGTTCTAGCGTCGGCATCCCACTGCGATATCCGGAATATCTGAGTCAATGTAGAGGCAGTCCGCCAGATGCAAGTGACTCACCTTCCATGCGTTGTCGAATGCACATCGGCGCCATACTCAACCTCGACGGTCTCTTGCTGACTCTGCACAAGGCGCCAAAACTCGTTCTCGACATCCGTCTCGGTCACGACAACATCGTCGAACACGTTCGCAGTGGGATCATCTGCGTCGGGCCTCTTCGTCATCTTCACGTCCCCGTCGGCCTCTACTTGCGATGCGGGCCGGTGGGACTTGAACCATAGCCGGCGGAACTCGTGGTCGCGGGCTTGGAAGGTGGACAGAGTGTGCTCCTCACCCTCGTCGAACCCGAAGTCGCCACCGGTGCCCATGAGGCACGTGTGGCAGAACCACTGGCCCTTCGGTATCGCGTTCAGCGGCGGATCGAGGCAGAACATATGGAAGCCTGGTCATATGAGCCCAATGAAGCAAAAAAGTATGCAAGGATACACCACATACCGCAATCGCATCCATCGCACAGCAACATCTCCTCGCCACGGTCTTTCTTGAGCACACCTCGCAGTGTAGCTAAGAGACATAAGCCATCCGCTGGGATCATGCCAGCGATTCGTACGTACTTCTGGATTGCCGTCCTTGTCGGCTTGGCTAGCAGCAGATCGTGCAAATGGAAGGTTGTCGTCATTTGCAGGTACCGGTCTACGAGCTATACCTCGGACTAAGCAACTTGACCCAACAGCGTGAAGAAATGAGAGCCACTCACGGCCTGCCTGTTCCAAGGATGTCTGCCTGGTGTTTCGCCGGGGTCGACCCGACGCCTCTTCTGGCGGCTCCGACAAAGGACTACTCGTTGCAGTCAACGGGCTGGATGGCTCACTCTCATCATCCTCCCTAGTTGCTGACTTGTGCTGCTTTCCTGCCGCATGGGTCTTGAGCTGCGGATCGCCTGGTTTCTTCGGCGAGAGGGTCGGTGAATTGCGCACGCGCTCCCGGTAGTTCTCGTACGGTAGGATGACGCGGGAATATGAGTTCTTCATTTGTGTGGATAGGCCGGGGATACCACTGTAGCCCAACGAGCGACCGAGGTCTGCCCATTTCTTGTTGCGGGTGACCTGCGTGTGCCGCACCTCAGTGGCTCACCCGATTGTAACATTGAAGAGTGGCGTACCGCGTCATATCCACCTAGCTTCTGGACCTCCTTCCGCAGCAGCCACAGGTCGAGGGGCTTGTGATTGATGGTGGGCACGGTGACACGCGAATTGCCCTGCTGCTTATGATACCTATACACTGCTCCAGAAAATTGACCTTCGCGCGGGACGACGCCTCTATCGAATTGAGGCGCTGCAGACGGGTCTTGAAGCGAAAGCGCTATCGTGTGCGGATGAATGGCGCGCTTAGGCGGCCACAGTAGCGAGGAAGACTCACCTCGGTATCAGTCACGAACGGCATATGCCACCCGGCGGGTGGCACAATCTTGCACATCCCGTACTTCCTGCGTTGTCCGAAATGACCTGATGTAGCCCAATGGGTCTTTCCACTGCTCGAGCGTAGGATGAAATACCGGGCAATCAGTCAGGCCGAATGGGCGATCGTGGCATTGGGGATGTTCAGGCTGCGGTTCGAGGTCTTGACAGTGGACAAGTCGAGGAAGGGCGTCACGCGGACGGGGGGCCCATCCCTGAGATTAATCCGGATCGCACCTTCGTCGGTGACGGGTTCGGGCGCGTCGTCAGAATTGGACTGGGCGTGGTTGTGGAGGGCGGCGATGGCGTCTGTCTTGGATTTGCGTGGTGCACGCCTGCTTTCGGTCGGGTGGCTCTGGGGGGCCTCACCTGTGGAAGGAGGCGCTACAGCGTCGGGGCGCTCAATCGGGGTTGTACCCTCGACCGCGATAGAGAGGCAGGAGGTGAAGGTGGTAGGGGGCCTGTTGGGAATATCGACGGGCATGGCGGATGCGCCGGGGCTTGCTGTATTGGCGCGAGGCGAGCGACCTCGACGGGCGGGGGTGCCGCGAGGAGTGGGGCTCGCATGCATGGTGGTCGTGGTAACGGAACCCGAAGAAAGGACAGAGCGCCGTGAGTTAGAGGCCGAGGAGCGGTGCTTCAATATAGCCACCACCCATCGCCCTTCCCCGTGGGAGCCTCAATCGTCGCGGAGTTTCCATTTCGCACCCCGATCCGCCCACTCCCATGCTCGCGGCGTCCCTCAGCCACCTATTCTGAGACTCGGGGGCACAGCGGCCGCCTGCCGCCTCCGTGGCCACCCATGCAGCACGCTGGGCGGCAGGGACAGCGGGGCGGCGGGGAGGGGGGCGGCCAGGGCGGGATCAATCCTGGAGATCCAGTCCGATCCAACTGTGGCGGGAGCATCACGATGAAACAAGCACCGCGCCACACGTGCCGGAACTTTGTGGGTGCCTTTCCATTTCCGGCATCTTCGCAGCCGTCTGCATCCACGTCCAGACGCCAGCCCCGGTCCACGCCGCACACACAACCCACACACCCGGCCTCGCGGCCAGCCACATGCCCCCCCTCCTCCCCCCCTTCCCCCGTCACTGCTATGTGTCTGCGCGCGTACCATCACGCACTGAGCATGCAGCGGCGTTGCGCACGCGGCTCGCGGAAGCATCACGAGCAACTGCCCAACAAGTTCGACTACGATAACGTACTCCACCGTCTGATCGGACGTCCAACGCCCCGGGCGCGCTCATCAGCGCACTGTAGGCGCATCGGCCGCCACGCCCCGCCTTTGCCTGTTTGGTGGGCGTTTCGCCGGATCCCTGCAGATTCGTCTTGTGGCACCTTCTGATGCACCCTTCCAATGATGATCACACGGCAGAATGGAGCAAACTTGCTGATCAGTCCGCGAAGTTAGCCTGATCTGTCATTGTTGCCGCCCTACATCCCGTCCGCGCCGTGAGACCTGCGGTGCGATGTGCTCGGTTTCACCTCGTTATGCGCAATGCAGTGGTGGCTGTCTCTGCTGCTGCACAGTGGTAGCTCTGCCCTTCTGTTGCTGAACGGCTCCTCTGTCTTACAGGGTCGACTGAACGGAATGTGTCCATATCTGGACTGGCTCCCACATATAATTACAGCGTTACGTGACAACACATGAAGGAGTGAGAACTACGTGCCGCCCCTATCAGATGGTGTGCACGAGTCGCCATTTGTCATGACAGAACCTTTTCATCTGCGACCTTCCCGAACACGACTGCGCAGCTGCCCCGGCGGATCATGGAGCACAAAAAGAATGTTGGTCGTACAAAGAGCCTCGATCTCACAAGTCGACCCTGAGGAACAATCAATTGTAATTGCAAGCGGCGTGGTTCTGCGGTACACAAGGTTGCGCACCTTTGCCGAATGAGCAAAATGGGGACCCGAGACTGAAGACCACAGTAAAAATACGCAAGACTACACAAACCCCCGGCGGGACTCGAACCCGCAACCTCCAGATAACACGACATACAAGTCTAGAAGTCTGACGTCATAACCATTAGACAACGGGGGCCCGACCTATGACGCCTACGAAATTGCTGAGACCTCCATTCATTTTGATGTTCCGCAAACAGCAGAGATACTCCATCTTCATCTTGACCTTTACACTGGCTTCGGAGAGAAGTCCTACCGCAGTCGTGTTTCTGAAGGTTGGAGAGGATGCTTCGCACTGCATGAATGTCCCACGAAACAAGCGCTCATGGGGCTTGGGGCTACCATGTGCAGCCACTGCTACTATCATTGCCCAGGCCGACATTCATCTTACCAGACACACGGCTAGTGTCTAGATCAACAAAAGGTCAACCTGAGGGTTATTAAACGGTACGTCAAGTGCATCACTAACAACTCACCTCCAGTCGAGATAATGCTAGTGAGCGCAACACACCGCAAAGCACTCATCAATTCGATTTCTTCTTTCGCGCGAAAAAAAATTCGAGAGATGATCTCGTTGCTGGTAAGTCCCAAGCCAGGGGAGTGACACGTACGGCGTCGAATGTGAACTGAAAAGGCGTCAGTAGTCTGTGGTCCTCGATAAATGGCATGGATTCATACTTGTCCTGAACGGTCCCGTTTCGGAGGCGAAAACCGTGGACCACCTTCGTCGCTAGCGAAGCCCTTTCCATTGCCGAAATTGCTGAGTATTGGCAACGAACATCCTTCCTTCCGACTCATCAGCTAGGCGCGTACGTGCAGTATGCGACCGCGACGATCGTGTCTGCCATCTGCCAAATACACAATGATCAATCTGTCTACAGTGAATTGGAGCGATCGGATGAAGGAATAGCTTGCCTCGTGCAGATGTTGTCTCTTGATGTCGGACGGCTCATGTTCGCAGTCCCCAGAGGTGGGCGGAAAATGTCCACTGTAGGGCCGTTCAGGAGGGGGCGAAATCAGACAGCCTCGACGTCCCGCTAGCATAGGCCAACTTACCGATCGCGAGGTGTTTATCATATTATATATCTGCGTATCATCGTTCGCTGCGCGGTGGCTTCACTACGTTCCGAGTGTGCCCCATCACCGAGCGGGTATGGCCCATGATCTGAGAACGGCAGTGCTGTGGCGATGTCCTGCGATCATGATGTAGATATATACCATATCATGCATGATACAGACTCAATGCAAGTAAGCTCGCAGTGATCATTGATCAAATCCACCAGTAAATTCACGGGTACTAACCGACGTCCTTATTCAATGAACTCGACTTGTGATCAACGGGTGGCTGCCAGTGCGGCACAGTGCAAGAGCAGAAGGTTTGCACTTCAAGTTCGCTGTTTGGTGCGTTGATCGCCTTGTCCAATGGTGAACACGGTGATCATAGGATGGGTTCGAGATAACGAATCTGCTCATATCGTTGGTATGAATGGTCGCCGGAATGAAGGCGAGAGCGATCTGGACATGCTTCCAAGACGATACTGGAACAATACTGTCAATAGAACGCCGAAGCGAACAGAGAAATGAACAGGATGGGCGATACGAACACACCATACAGTTGTCTCGTTCAGCAGACACAAGACTAAGAGCGCCGCGGGACCGATGCGATGTACATGCACGAAATTCATGTCATGGAATCTGACCAGTCGACGGCCCCTGGGTCACCCGCACAAAGGGGTTGTATTTGTGGACGAACGCCTGCAAGCGTTTTAGTCGTGGGGGCGGGTCGGGTCGGCGCGCCAGAAGGATTCATTGTGACTCACTTCTACTTATGAGTGGGAGCAAGTCTTCTGCGTCTCGAAGCAGGCGGTGCTCAGAGACTTCACGTTCGGTTTAAAGACCACCAGCGGGACAGGCACTACAAATCACTGACCATGTGGCCCGTATTAGCGACTTTGCCCGCGACGGCACGACGAGCAAACTGCATTTCCCCTGCTCGGAGTCAATAATCAGTTGTAGCCTAATGGAAATGCCAGAACGCGACGACTCACCCGCACCCACCGATCGACTTCGAAGTGGTGGTGTCTCGCTTGGTTTTGTCAGAACTATACCTCGGATATTCTTACCGTCGCTGCGGTGCATGAGGACCGGGAGGAAGCCTCGCGGCTGCAACAACACGCCCGCCCGACTCAGGATGGCTGCTATCTTCAGTCTTGACGTCCTAGCCGGTGCCGAGTGAGCGAACCGCGCGGTTCCGAGGCTCTCTATACATCGACATGGCCGCACTCCCCCGAGATGTTTCGAAGCGCACGTATTAACCGGCTGTTACGCAGCATCAGTCAATTGATTCTATATGTAAATACGAGTTCACTCGTGCCCCCAGAACGCACGGATACACATCCGACATCCAGGGATACAAACACAACGTCAAAACGGACACGACCACAGCGCCTCCGTGGAGGACTGACTGCTTCATTGGTACTCAGTGATAGCAATGCACGGACATGCTGGACAGCGAGGCACAAACGACTGCACCGCCCAAGTGGCCAGGAGCCACACGCCGATGGCAGGCACGACGATGACCCTCCCCTTCGAAGAATGACAGGAAATGTATCACGGTATGGTTCAACTACTCACCCTGATCCACGTCTCGAAATTTTCTAGACTGGGTAGAGACGAAGCCACCCGTCACACGTAGACCACCGCAGTGGGCTGTTCTCGAATCAACCGTGCGCAAGCAATTTGGCCGCGCCAGATCAGCGAGTTCTCTGAAGTGGAGCCCACAAGACGGACGAACATGACTACATGAACGAAACGGTCAGCAATGGAATGCTTGAACAGCCAATGCCACCCACATACCCAGGCCACACGTACGATCCGCTTGGCCCACCTTGCCACGCAGTGACACCAAAAATCCTGTGCTATTCGACATCACAGCCCATTACAAAGGGTCTCGCCGCAAAGGAACGAAACATCTCAAGGTGGAACACACACCGCCATTCGTGACAAGACGAGGGATTCCTTTTCATTTCACTTCGACAAAAGAGCCCACTACGCTACCTGACGTCCGGCTCTACGGCAGATCGTCTGGGATCACGAGAAAAAGTAGAGATGACGGGAAAATAGAAGAATGGAATAATGGATGTGCGACGACAGTGTATGGTGCGAGGATATGATACGATGACAATGCAAGGTGGCGACATTAAAGCAGGGGACACAAGCTACCCGGACAAAAGGATGGCGAGACGACCCAAGCGCGGACAGGGGTACGAGGTGCCTACTCCTCAGCGGCAGCCTCATCCTCCTTGTCGCCGGGCTTGTCTAAAGCGATAGTCAGCTCCGCAGCCTTCCGTTGGCATGATCACGACGTACCAGACTCCTGCATATCCGAAGTCCAGAGCGTGAGGTTGTCACGGAGCAGCTGCATGATGAGCGTCGAATCCTTGTAGCTCTCCTCGGAGAGGGTGTCGAGCTCAGCGATTGCGTCATCGAACGCTTGCTTCGCGAGATGGCACGCGCGGTCGGGGGAGTTGAGGATCTCGTAGTAGAATACGGAGAAGTTAAGGGCAAGACCGAGGCGGATGGGGTGCGTGGGCGGGAGCTCGGTCACAGCAACGTCAGACGCAGCCTTGTAGGCCTCGAGGGACTTGTCCGCAGAGTCCTTGCGCTTGTCGCCAGTGGCGAACTCGGCAAGGTAACGGTGGTAGTCACCCATCCTGATGAACTCTATCAGGATCACGTGAGGAGCACCGGAAATGGAATGCGCACATCTTGTGGTAGAAGACCTTCGACTCGCCAGACGCGGCTGAGGGGATAAGGTGCTTGTCCAGGACATCGAGGATGTCCTCGCAGATCTTGGCGAGCTCGCTCTCAATCTTCTCCCGGTAGCCCTTGATCATCTGGACCTGGGCCTCGTTACCCTTGGACTCCTCCTTCTGTTCGATGGAGGAGACAATACGCCATGATGCGCGGCGGCACCAATGACGTTCTTGTAGGCACGGAGAGGAGGTTGCGCTCCTCGACGGTGAGCTCCTGGTCTGAAGACGCGACGCGCTTCATGTTCTCACCATCTCTGCGGGGTCGCGTCGTGTCACACGATGTCACGGTGCTGCGGAGACGCGACCACTCACCCTCATAGCGCTCCGCCTGCTCAGCGAGCTTGGCAAGGTAGACAGAATCTTCACGCGACTGAGTAGCCATCTGGCGAGGAAAGGGGGTCAGTGGCGAGGAAAGACGCGTCAGACGCGTCGCGACTCACTGCGACAGATCAAAGGTGCGGTGGGTTATAAGTTGAAGGCTGCGGAAGGTGACAGGCCGGGGTGAGCACAACGCGGCGGGGAACGCGGACGGGCACGTACGTGATGGGGAGAGGTGAGGAGGAGGGTGTGCAGGTTGAAGATGAAAAGGCGGGTCTCGGCAATAAATGGGAAATCCCAAAGTGGCCAGGGCAAAGGGTTGTGGGCAGAGGGTATGCACGTGACTTCCCACGCCAGCGCCTTATCCGGCAGCCTTTGTCGCGACCACAGCCGCCGGCCGGGCTCCTGCCTCTTCTGGCAGCCCGCTCGGGCGGCTGGGGCTCGCGAACGCCGCTCCATTGTCCGCGCTGCGGTCTTAGGCGGCGGCATGGCAACCGCTGCACGACGCACGCGAGTGCGCGCACGGACCTCGCTCTCCACACGCGAGGTGGTGCAGCGACCGCCATGTTGGCCGTCGCGGTGACGGGGTGGCGCGGTGCGGACGGGGGAAGTGATGGAGTCTCACCACGCCCGCGCTCCATCGATGCATCACCGCTGCGAAAAACACTCAACGCAGCTTCTCGAGTCGGATGCCCTGTATCGCCTCGTCGCCTGACTGGCATCAGAATCATATCAGACTCACGGAAGGCCTCAGCTATCTCGGCTCAAAGGGCATACTGAACGCCTTCAGATCAACTCTTATGTACAGGCACATCTCACTGTCATTCGCCCTTGGTCCCAAGCCTCAGCCGGCTCCTTGCGGGGATGTCTCACAGTGACAGGGGGCGCTTGGACTCTGTGGCTCAATGAATGGACCCAACGCTCCTTCGCCCACTGCTACGTCAGCCCGTCTGCCAATGACAGGCGCCGTTACCTGAATGAACGGGAGACTGCGACAGCTGCGCCGTTATAGCTATCCACTGAGGCCCAAACCCTCCGACCAGGACTCCTCTAGTCGGGAGCAGTCACTGCCAGCTTCATGATACACTTCTTGTCCGTAACTGTCATCCTGTGAGGTCAGACAGCATCGCGCGGAACGCGCAACATCTGTACGACTGTCCCAAATCACCGCCCTTGCCCACCGAAGCTTTCACTTGCGACTCGAGCTCGATGGCTCCCATCCGGCGAGCCACTCTTTCATCGACGCCAGACCTTGTGCCTGAACCGCCGCGACCGTCTCATCAACGCCCGCGTTCGCCGTCAGGAGATCCGAGCAGTGGTACCCATTGCCCTCCGCAATGGGCTGCCACGATGTGCTCTGGAAGTTCGTCCCGTCTGCGGACTTGGTTGCCTCGCGCCACGGATCACCTACGAGCGGAGAAGGTAGAAGCCAGTCAGCCCCGAACCCAGGGCAGGAACGGAGATGGATGATACGTACGTTGACCGTTGGCGAAGAAGAGATTGGTGACGTTCGCGAACCACCCATCATACGCTGTGTTCGTAGCGGTGACATTCGGAGCCACTGGCCCGTTGGGGAACTGCTCAGGGAAGTAGTATGTGCATTGCCGCTGAATGAATTGCCTCAACGTTCCATCACGGCGAATTTAACATGGGATCGGGAACGTACCTCGTCAGAACTTGGCTGCACAAGTCGAGTGACGATGGTCGGCCAATCAGCGGGAGCGCCATCCTGGAAGAAGCCGACTTCGTTGCACCTGCGCACGCAGACATGTCTTAATCAGTTCTACGAAGCTTCGCTACATGGACAGAAGCATACACAATCCACTCCCACGATCGTCCTGAATCGTCAACCGCAATGCTGGTGTAGTAGGACTGCGTCGGATCGTAGGACCCCAAGCACGTCACCGCGTCGGTATCACCGCAAACTGTACAAATGCGTCATCAATTTAGTTGGACATCCAATAGCAGACACACTCACTCAGCGCGTAATACGTCGTCGCCCAGTACGTCCCCCAAGCGTTCAGCGCATGCTCAAGGCCCCATCCCTCAGGTCCTGCGTTCACACCATCCTTTACCTCCAGCGCGTCGCAGAACTGGAAGAACTGCTGATCCGGGCCTTCGTCGGGTTGCAGCGACTGCCAGTCCCACAAGTTGTTCCGCAGGGCACCGGCGAAGTCGTCGAGGTGCGTGAGCTCGGTCATATTGAAGAGCTCCTTGATGTTGTCGATCGCCTGGGTGTCGCTGCCGTTGAACGTCGTGTCGATATAGGCGATAACGGCTTCGACGTCGGCGGAACAGTTGGTCGGCATGTATTGGCGAATGGGATCAAAGTACCCCCAGTAGTCGCTGCGTAGCCAGCTCAATGAGCGCAAAACCTTCAGACAGAAAATAATGACATACACTATGCTCTCGATGACCGCGGACGACGCATACCCGGCTTGAATACACCCGGCTTGTTGACCATCGTCCAGCTCGTCAGCGCGCCAGAGTAGCTGCCGCCGACCAAGATCCACGGGGCCTCGCCAGGCTTCACGCTATCCCCACCAGGCATCGGGAGGTCGACATTGTAGGCGAAGTACACCAAGTCGTCGATCGCCTGCTGGATCGTGTGCAGCTGGAGGGACTCGACAGAGAGGTTGTTGTACGGGTTGGAGTCGCCATAGAACCGGTGCTCAACCACGACGGCCGCAGCGCTCTGCTGCTGGGCGATCTGGCCATTGATAGTCGAGTTCGTGAGGTAGCCGTAGTACCCTTCGAACCATGTCAGCCAGCCAGCACGCGGTAGGAGACGCTCGACCGCTCACCGTCCGCGTTCACCTCGCCAGGCGTGAACAAGACGATCGCCCCGCCCTCCTCGTAGAACTCCCATGTGTGCCAGTACCGCTGCACGAACGTCCCCTTGCTCGGGTCGTTATGGTCGATCAGCTGGTTAAAGTAGTAGGTCGTGTTGTACGGAGGCAGCGCCGTGCCATCGCGACTCGTCACCGCGCCCCCGCGACTGCTGGGGGCACCGGGACCACCGGGCGGGGCGCTATGTTCGCGTGGGCTCGCCCGTCGGGGAGGCGTGCGTGCGCGACGGAGGCGAGGAAGCATGCAAAGACGCCGGCAATCCAGGGGGACACCATCCTGCCAGTGACCGACGCGAGACGACTCAGGCCGGGAGAGCTGAGGGTGAGTGTATCCGGCTGGGAAGCACAGTCCCGTCCAAGCGTGATGTACGTTATAAATATTTGCTGAAGGCTGACGCGAGCTGTACTTCCGTCCGAGCGCACGTTATACGGGTCCGAGACAAACATAGACATGCTTCTGTGTCCCTCGATCCCACGTCGCGACGGGATCGCCTCGCACGACCTCGACACACGGCATGTGCATCCCGTTATCGCTGGGTCCCTGCGAGACGGCGCCGGGGAAGGGACTTTTTGCAGTGATAGCTACAGTGGCCGGCATGCGGTCGGACGTCGAAGACGGCGGCAACAGATCATTGGATGGCGTTTTCGTCGCTCTGTCAGCCGATAGCACGCAGGATACGCTCGACCGAACAGCACCCGGCATAGCAGAAGGTCATTTTTCCAGCATTCGAGAGCAAACGCCATAGCCAAGAGCGAGGACGATGGGGGCGGAAGAGCGCATCAGAACTTGCCACAATATTATGTCAATGTCCCGATCACGCTCACAGTCTGGCGTCAATACACACGTGGTTATCGACCGCTCACCGCATTCCCTTGTCAAAGTGGTCTTCAAATTTCAATCTGGACACTATGCAGCATGTGGCCCTAGAGAACGCACAACCGCCCATCATCACCGATTCGAACGATTCTCCATCCCTGATGTGTCCAGCTGTACATCAAGCACCAAAACAGCACATCGCTGGACTCGAATGCTGAGGACATGGATCGTGTGTCAGGACGGTGGCAAGGTGAGCAGACGGGGTGGGTCATATAGGATGTGACATCCAGGCCAAAAGTCCAATAGTGGGAGGGACCTCCACACACTCTAAGGTACGGCCACCTAGCATGTCCACAGGCTCGTCGCAGCGCACACGCGCACGCTAGCGCCGCGCGCACTGAAGCGATCCTGTTACAGGGCCGCCTAGATCACTATCTCCGCTTAATACCAACGGAGCCTTGATCGGGCTACACAACCGTCCACATCAGCCCAATCACCGCGGAGCCGCACAGTCAAAAGGGACTCACTACAACGTCAGCGCCGTGCGACACCTCAGCAGCCTCTTCTTGCGCTGCTCGAACGTCTCCCCCGCGAACTGCGGCTCCTCGAGAACGTCCACGCGGAAGTGCTTGATCATGTACGTCAGGATCGCGACGCCCTCCGTCTCCGAGAACCGCCGCCCGAGGCACGACCGCGGGCCCGCGCTGAACGGCAGGAACGCATCGCGCGGCCAGTCGCCGAGGAAGCGCGAGGGGTTGAAGGTGTGTGGGTCCTTCCAATACCGCGCTGCATGTCGATGGACGAATGAACGGGGTAACACATCGAGAGCGCGAGGCCACGTACAGTTGTAATGCAAGCCAGGCGTGTGGATCATGATGGCGGTGCCCTTGGGGCACGGTACCGTCAGCTTCTCGCCCGCCATGTTCTGAGTGGGGAGAGTCGTGTCTTCTTCTGCGTGCTTCGGGATGTTGATGACCTGTCGTAGTGCTGAGCATTTGCCGCGCTACATTATCCAGAAATACGCACTGGCGGGAACATCCTCATCGTCTCTTGCAAAACAGCCAGCACGTATGACAGCTTGCCCATATCTTCGTATGCCTGCCCCATGGAATAGGTTGAACTATGCGGAGGCCAGCGAACAGTCGGAAGACTTACGGGAAGCTTTCCATCTGTGGCGACGCTCATGATATGTTGGTACAGCTTCTCTTGCTCGTCTTGGTACAAAGCCAGCATGACGAAGGTGAATGCGAGAGTGTGCGCAGTGGTCTGACAATGTATCCAATGTTAGGTTTTCCGTCTGTCGAACACATTGCGAGCGTGGCGCACCTCATGTCCAGCTATCAAGTAGATGAAGATGTTCCCCATGAGCTCGCCATCGCTCAACTTCGCCGATCCCTCGCTCTCCTCTTCGTTCGCGTCAAGCAAGCTGCTGAACAGGTCGTAACGCTCTTCCTTGTTCTCCGAGTCCTTCCTTCTGTCAATCATGTCTCGCATGTAGTGCTGCAGGCGATCGTGTCAGCGCCGATCTGAACGGCAATGCACGTAACATGCTCGTACCTCAAGGTCCACATATGCCGTCCAGAAGTTGTGTAGGCGCTTCGCAGGACCGAGCTTCAATAACCACTCGGGCACGAAGAGCTTCAGGCGGAGGTCCGTCGACACTATATGCAGTGCATCCTGCGAAAATCCTGCCCTCAATTCTCGGCGACGGAGACAGCCCGACATCTAGCTGGACACACCTTGAAGGTGAAGTGATATCCTTCCGGTACATTCAGGTCCTCAAACCAGCTCATCCGCTTGCCGAAACCGGCCACGCCGATCACGAACAGCGCGATCGGCACTGTCAAGTCAACGACGTTCGGCACCGGGACCTCGCGCTTGCCCGCCCATACGACCTGGCTGAGCTCTTTGACGATGTGCATGGTCTCATCCCACACCAAGCGATTATTGCGCTCCGAGAAAGACGGCGCGGAGATCTTGCGGTGGCGCTTCCATTCGTCTCCCTCGGTCACGACGACGTTCGAGCCGTAGAACATGAGGATCTTGTACACCGCGAGAGGTTTCGTGAACTTCACACGGTCTGCCGTCACTTCCTGCGGCGAGCTCGCTGAGCGTCGGCATCAATGTGCACGGGCGCGGGCACATACCTTGATCGCCGTCGCGTCTGCGAGCATAAGGAGGCGACCCGGTGTCGGAAGCCATGACACCTGGGTTGCTGCGGTGAGCGGAATGATTGCGCAGCTTATGAGGGTATCACGCACCGACGACACAATGTCCGAATCGAACTCCTCAAAGTCGCGGTGCTTCCTCGTGAAGACGTTGAAGTAGCCCGCCGAGAAGTACGGTATGCGCGACTTGACTGCGAGGCTGTCCGGGCCGAAGGCGTAGCGCAGGCCGGGGTAGTTCCTGATCGAGGGGACAAGGTTGCAGAACACGTAAGCTTCGCGAGAGCCGGGAGAAGCGGGGACGCGACGGGCGAGGACGTACCGAAGCGCATTAACTGCGGCTGTCCAGTCCATGACATACTTGACGGCCCAGAGGGCGGCGAGGGCGAGGGCGAGGGCGAGGTAGACGGCCATGGCGGGTCGGACGACCTGCGTGCGTGCCCGGCGCTGGGAGGGGTGGGGGAGGGACGCGGGGTGATGGAACGGTTTTGAGAGGCTGGATGGCGCTCCGCTGCCCATGTCCGAGTCGGGAAAGGCCCCCTTCTGCGCGCCATGTCATGTGCGCGCCGTCCGTCGCCCGCCACTGGCAGCCAGCGCTCGGCTTTTGCACTATCAGCGGCGTCCGAGCGTGTCGACGTCCTGGCAGGGACAGGACCGTGCATTCCTCACCGGCCCTGGCTCGATACTGCTGTCCTCGGCCAAAAGCGACACCAAGCCCATGTGTCCGAAGCCCACACAAGTCGCCAGTGCCCCGGTTCATCGGGCAGAAGTGCGCGAAACAATCTACGCAGGAAGGGGCGTCCGGATCAGGTCCCTCCGCACTTAGTCTGCGGACCCTATGCTGGCTTGGGAATCACGTCGTCCGTGTGATACATTCGTAATGGCGGGAGCTTGCATGCATGGACGCTGACGTCTCCGTGTGGACGAGGCAGCCCCGAGACGTCGCGAACGACGAAGGACAAGAGGCGGATGCGCCGACGCCGCGTTCGCGTGGACGTCGCGGACGAGCCCGAGCACCGCGAGTCCCAACGTGCACCGATCGGCGAGCGCCCACACGTGGCTACCGATCTACACGCGGGTACTTCGGAGTCGGTCTTTTGAATTGAAGTGGTACAGGAATTGGCAATATGCTAGTACGTGGCACGGAAGCACGGAAGCATGGTACGAAACACTTGTGGCTACCATACCATATGTGCGTACACATCATGTGGCATTCGGCCTGGACTTGGAATCCATTCACTACCACTCCTACGAGGAGTTTGCTATGAGATCCATCTCTGTATCCGTGATAAATACCGTTGCATAATAGTATGTGATAGGTATGTGATAGGTTACACCGTGACACCTCGTAAATACATTGACGTACATATTGCAGATCTGGTCCATTCCTGTGACCGCGCCTTCACGACCTCACCATCATCTGCGCTTGAACACAAGCGGCGCCTTGACAGGACTGTCGGCCGCCACACGTCAGTACACTGCCGAGTATCACCCGAAGACACGAATACTCACTACAGCGTGATCGCGCTCTTACACCTCAACAGCCTCGCCTTCCGCTGCTCAAATGTCTCCGCGGCGTACTGCGGGTCGTCCACGACGTCGACCCGGTAGTGCTTGATCATGTACGTCAGGATCGCGACGCCCTCCGTCTCCGAGAACCGCCTGCCGAGGCACGACCGCGGCCCGCCGCTGAACGGCAGGAACGCGTCGCGCGGCCAGTCGCCTAGGAACCGGGAGGGTTTGAACGTGTACGGGTCATCCCAGTACCGCGCTGTTGTAACGATGGACATTAGTGTACATCTCCTCTCTGAATGTGCGCAGACGGCGCGTTGGGGGGTGGCGTACGGTTGTAGTGCAGGCCAGGCGTGTGGAGGACGAGTCCTGTGCCCTTGGGGCACGGAACGTTCAGCTTCTCGCCTGCCATGTTCTGAGTGACGAGGACGCTATCTTCTTGTGCACGTTTAGGGATGGCGTTCACCTGGCATGATCAATGGGTTTGCAGTTCCTATTGGCGCAGAAGGCAGTGACAATGAACCCATACCGGAGGGAACATCCGTAGGGTCTCCATGAAGACCGCCATCGGATATGTGAGTTTGCCCATCTCCTCATAGGCCTATAGTTGCAGCATCAGCGGCCGAAGTGCGTCGCATCTGCTACCAAATGTGGTTTGCTTACGGGGATCCTATCTTCGGGAACGACGCTCTGGATGTGCTGATAGAGGATCTCTTGCTCGTCTTGGTACAGTGCAAGCATAATGAATGTGAAGGCGAGGGTGTGTGCCGTGGTCTATGCGAAGTCTGTGTCAGCAATCGCTGCTTGAGCTACCAGCATGGGCACGCACCTCGTGTCCCGCGATCAAATAAACGAAGATGTTGCCTGCGTCGACGGGTGTTGTCAACGCCGACGCCAGAAGTGCAGCAGATGTAGAAGCACTCACCCATGAGCTCGCTGTCACTCAGCTTGATCGTCCCATCACTTTCATCTTCGTTCGCATCGAGCAGGCTGCTGAACAGGTCATACCGTTCTTGCTTCTTCTCTGAGTCCCTACGCCTCTGGATCATCTCCGTCATATATTTCTGTAGCGCAGGCGGATGATACCGGTGTGACCGTCGAGACCACACAATGATACTGGTGTGGACGGTACCTGGAGGTCCTCGTATGCCATCCGAAAGTTGCGCACGCGCTTTGTCGGACCCAGCTTGAGCAGCCATGATGGGAGGACAACCTTGAGCCAGAGATCGTTCGAGACGATATGCAGCGCATCCTGGTGCGACGCCGATATATCCTCAGCCTGAACCCAATCAGTCAATATTCAAAAGCACGACTCACTTTGAAGGGCATCACGTGCCCCGCCGGCACCGTCAGATCCTCCTGCCAGCTCATTCTCCGCCCGAAGCCCGCCACGCCAATGACGAACAACGCCATCGGGACGGTGAGGTCCACTATGTTGTCGACGGCGACGTCCGCCCTCCCGCCCAGAGCACGTCGCGGAGCTCGTGGACGATGAGCATCGTCTCGTCCCACACGAGGCGGTTGTTCCGCTCGGAGAAGGACGGCGCGGAGATCTTGCGGTGCCGCTTCCACTCGTCGCCCTCAGTCACGACGATGTTGGAGCCGTAGAAGGTCAGGATCTTGTACTGCTCGAGCGGTTTGGGGAAGCGCGTTCGGGCGGAGGTGACTTCCTGTGGGGACGCGGGAGAAGATGTGCGGCGGTCAATGGATGCCACAGGGATGGGACTGACCTTGATCGCGTCAGGGTCGGCGAGCATGAGCATCTTTCCAGGACTGGGGAGCCATCTGACCTATACGCGAAGACTCAGTTCCCGACTCTGGACGACCTGGGCCATGGTCATGTGTGCGGCTCATCGAGTAAGTGGACGTGGACAAGTGATGCAGCTCTGTGGCTCCATGAGATAGCCCGCCGAGCGGCCGAGCAGACAGGAGGCAATCAGCCCATCTCATGCTGGCTGTTACTGGTACATGCATTTCGTGCGCGCATGAGCGGATATGGAACTTCATATCCGTGTCGCAACATGCCGCGAAACGAAGTAGCCCATCGAGAATTCTTGTGTCTGGCAGATGCAGTCTGTGCAGGACAGGCAATGGCCGTGCCATGACCAGCGCATTCCCGAGCGCCTCTCCTAACACATGCACGATCGCCGCACACCTTGAGGAATCGTATGTACATACCGAGGAGATGACATCCGAGTCAAACCGCTGGAAGTCCTGATGCTTCTCCGTCCAGAGACTAAAGTTGCCCGCAGCCAAGTACGGGATGCGCCACTGTACGGTGAAGCTCTCCGGGCCGAAGACATAACGCAGGCCAGGGTAGTCCCTATCCCGGACACGAATTTGCCCTCAATTGGCGCCACAATAGAAGAAGCTGGAGACGTACCGGATGGAGCTGACAGCGGCGCGCCAGCCGAAGGATAGTTTGACGAACCAGAGGACGCCGACGGCAACAGCGAGGGCGAGGTAGGTCTGCATGGCGGCAGAGAGCAGGTCAATATGCGCAGTCCGTACTACTACCCACGGGGAGGGGAGATGTGATTCTTACCAGTGTGCACGGTCCTGCACGGCGACTCGGAGCGGATGGTAATGTCGTGATTCCTTGGCCTGGGAAGGTCGTGCTCCACGAAAAGCCCGTCGCCACCATGTCATGCGAGGCTGTCAGCGGAAGACATCTCGGAGTTGAAAGTGTCCACGCCTCGCCCGGTGGATGGCATCCTTCGCCTTCCCGTGTGAGCCTGTCCCACCGTCAGTCTGTGAGGCTATATAGCCTCGTTGATTGGACACTTCCTAAGTACCATGTGCTCACCAGAACAGTGCTCGTATCCTCCAAGTAGGATCCAGGCGGATGCAACCAACGAGCTATGAACGGACCAGGACAGTTCCTCGTCAGCATGATTGACCCGACCGCCGTCTCACGAGGTCAGCAGCGAGTGCCGGGACGCGCGGGCCGGTACTCCCCTGACGGGCACCTCCCACGCCAGCTGCGAAGGCTGGGAATGGACACCCATGCGCTCGGAAGACCGACGAGCTGCAGATATTCACAGCACAGACGGCGGCATTGAACATGTTCGTTCCACATCAAGCACGGTTCCGCTCAGGTTCCGCTGACTCCGTCGCCAATGACACAACTCGATCAATGTTTCGGCATACACGATCGGCGGCCCCGATCACTTTGCGCGCGCAATCACGTGACAGAATCCCTTGGTCAAGTTGGTTCTCGCCGCGGCCCTCGCAATTTGGGTCCTTGCCAACAGTTGGAGGATGCTCTGAACGCGCGTACTCATGTCTCCGACTCACAAAGAGACCTGTAACAAATATTTCTGGCGTGTTGCGCTGTCAGAAGGGATGTGACAACACGGCTTGAAGTTTGACCACAGCGAACTCACCCTCAAATATTCCTAACATTCGGTACAACAAATGGGAGACTGAGTCAACGCCTCTGTGCCATCCCCATGGACCTGGACGTCAACATCGTCGTTTTCGTACAATCAATTGTGCAATACAACAAGACATCATACATGTATCTATTATCTATCCTCATGCTCACTCCGTTCCTATTATCGACAGTCAAATGGTCCCATATGCAAGCCTATATACGCATTCGCACGAAACACATATCTCCTATCCAACTCGACTGGAGCTCACGTAGCTCAGCGCACTGGTGCTGCGCAGATGCGGGTCGCCCGGCGCCATCGGCACCACCACGTTCTGCCTCGTATTTGCCCACGTCCCCGGGCTCTGCGCCGCCGCCGCCGCCCGCAAGTCCTCCGAGCTCGCAAGGTACGCGACGTCTTTGTACGAGCTCGGGTCAAAGTGGGTGTAGCCCGACTGCCGCGAGTGTCCGCTGCCCACCGAGCTCGCCGACGGCACGCGCCGCAGCCCGGACGCCGCGCCCTTGGAGGAGAGCGGTCGGGACGTCGCCGCCGGCGTCAGCCCCGCGTTCAAGCTCAGGCTGCGCTGGTGGCCGTTGCCGCCTGCGAGTGACAGGCGTGAGGTGGACGAGCGCGGGCTGAACGTTGCGCCTGCACCGGGAAGCTGCATGCTCCCTGGATTGGGGCTCCACCTCGAGCCGTCCTGGTATATCGCCATGGAGGGCGCAGGGGCAGGGACCATGCGAGGCGAGCTGGGCGCAGGGATGTATCTCGCTTCACTCGGCGCAGGGATGGGCAAGGCTACATCATTCGGACGGGGACTCCACCGTGAGCCGTCGGGGTAGATCTGGCTGGCCGGGGCGGGTGCGGGGATCATGCGCGGAGAGCTCGGGGCAGGAATGTACTTCGGCTGGGTGGGCGTGTAGGGCCGGCTCGGAGCCGGGCCATAGTTCGTCTGCGTGGGCGTGATGGGCCGGTTGCCGGAGGGCTGCGTGGGTGGGTTGACGCTTGGCGGGCGGGAGCCCGGTAGTTCGTAGTTCATGCTCCCAGATGCACGGCTGGATGCCCGGGTGAGTGCGGGTGCGGGGACGTTTCGAGGGGGCCTGGCCTTCGAGCCCAATGACGAGGATGAGTGTGACAGCATCATGGGGACGACAGGGCCTTCGTCGGGTTCGGGCTGCTGGTAGAGTCGGTGCTGCGATGATCTCGGGGAGTACACAGGAGCGGGCATGGGCTGGTTGTAGATCATGGGAGGTGCGGCCATAGGTACAAAATTAGAAGGTAGCTGAGACATAGATTGAACATTTCCGATTGGGGGAGCATTCCTCATGGTAGGATGGGCAGGCGCGGGGAGCACGAATTGTTGTTGTGGTGTGCGCGAACGACGTACGGAGCCACTGGGAGCCAGTTTGCTTGATTCGAGGGGCTGCCCAGGGGATACCAGGGATTCGCTACCAGACTGTAAAGGAGACACAGTGCATCAGAAACCAGCTAAGACAACGGATGAAGACGTACTGGAAGCTGAATGCTGATCACAATCGACTCGTCCGAAGAGTGTCCTCTTCTATGACCTTCGAGGGGCAGAGGTGATGGTATGGAAGGACGGTTCAATGAACCAGACTGGACCTGTGGTGTCGCGTCGCAGACCCAGTAGCTGAGGAAGGAGGTCTCTCATAAGGCGAAGGAAGCCTCTCTTCCTCCGTCACGTCCGTCACGTATGGTTGGTAGCGGGTATGCTGAGCGGGGGTGGGAGAAGCCCGTGGATGCTAGCAAGGTCAACATGAGATCAACCTTTGCGATAGAAAGAGGGTAGGCTTGTACGCACACTCTCTGGGGATGCTTGCTTCTCGAGCCAATCTGCAACACTTGCATTCGAGTGCCTCACGTTCTCCGGCGGCTCATCTTGGATAGGTGGGTTTCTCCTCCGAGAACTACCAGCAGCAGACACGTCATCGCGTCTCGAGCTCCGCGACCCTGGACGCCTTCCAGCGTCGCTACCCAAGTAACCAGACCCAGGCCTCGATGACGGTGCAGGGAAGGTGATAGGTTCAGGCATTGTGCCGCCTCTCGCGCGAGCATCAGATGCAGGAGGGCTGAACTCAGCCTCAGGTATCGCGCTGAGGACGGGACCACGATCTCGACCGCCGCTTGGACGTGTGCGAGGTGCGTTGAGAAGGTCGAAGTCGGACATGGTCATCGTCGTCGACGGAAGCGACTCCGTCATGGATCTGGGAGAGGCAGGTCTTCTGTGGGCGTAATCTTGGGATACGCCTTGAGACAACGTTGGTGGCGCGCGCATAGTATCGTCCGTTTGCCTAGTAGTCGGAGGGGGGCGGGACAATTCATGAGGTGGAGGAAGTAAAATGTTGTTATCACTGCCGACGGACGGTACGTAGTTGTCTGGTAGGACAGTGTAGCTGGGATGGTGTGGCGCCGGCGACGCGGTTCGTATTGGAATTGGTCGAGTGAAGCCTTCCTCGTCCATGTTCGGCGGTGGCGGCCATGACTGGGGGCCAGATTGTCCTGGTCAGGGAGGGGAGCAGAAGACATGGTCGCAGGGGTCATGTTCTCCATAAATCGTGAACCTTGCACACCAGCATCAGGGTAGTCTCCGGCATGTCGCCTGCGCGAAGGGCCAGGATCATCGAGTGTATCTACGTCCGACCGTGGATTCGGAGGGATCGCACCGGTTGGGGGAGAGGGCAAGTTCAATACACCGGACGTATACTGTCTTGAAGGCGTAACACGCCCAGTCTCGTCGCCATCGTCGTCCATGTCCCCTTCCATTCTACTACCCGAAGGCAGACGGGCATCCAGACGAGGTGGGGGTGTCATACCCACCTCTTCGTACCCTCTTTGCAACCCTTCTTGGTAGCCCATGCGCCTCCCGTCCTCTCGCGCCCGCGTCACCAATTGCTGTTCCCTCAAGCGTCTCGCGGTAGATCGTGCCCGAGCTGCGACAGCCTCTGCATCATCTCTCTGGGCCTCTAGATCCTTCATGAGATCTTCACCCTTGAGCAGCTCCTTCTGCGCCACGTCCAGTTGGTCCCTGTACAGTCGCAACTCCTGTGCCAAGCGGTCTGCGTCGCGTTGTGCAATGATCCTCGCGTCGTTCACTTGCTTGAACCGTGCAGCCAGGTCGAGGGCTCGCTGCTCAGCGAGCTGGGCACGTTGGGTCTCGCCTTGAAGCCTTTCAAGTGCGGTCTCGAGAGTCCTGCGAGATTGCTTGACCTCCATGTCTTCGCTAACGAGCAGCTTGAGAAGCTCGCGATACGTGCTACTGCGGCGACGATCGCGCTCTCTCCTACTGGGTCGCCTCAGGCTGTTCCGCTCCGCAAGACTCACGCTGTCTCGGCTTTGTTCTATGCCAGACAACAATGCAGTCCGGGGAGACTCAGAGGGTGGATCCTCCCCTTCGTCCTCCTCTCTGCGCACCACGAAAGTCTCTCCATATTCCCTGAAGGAAATATGGATATTGAGGTTATGGAAGCGACATCGAACGCGAGGGCGTACCCATCCAAGATCTCATCCTCCTCCTCGTGCACAGGCCCGAAACGCGACATACCGTCTGATCAACCAAGTTCCAATTTCGAGCAAGTGCGGCAGAGCAAGATAGCGTTGTGATATGAGATGAGCAGCGGTATATTGTTCGAGTCCGACTGGAGTGGGTTGGGTACGATGCCTAAGACACGAGTAGGAATGCCTCCGATATTAGGCGCAAGGAAGGCGTCTAGCGATACCGTAGCCCCGAGGTCACGCCATGAGAGGGAGGCGGTGAGAAAGCGAGAACGTAACCGGCGCGCGGGCAGTGGACGGAGGGGAGGACGCGGCGCCACGGGCAGTTGAGTTGCACAACCGCCACAACCGCGGGCAGCTGACGAGAAAGGCAAGTGTTGTTTGTTCAAGAATGCTTCCGCTCGCCCATCTCCTCTTGCGTCCCTCCAGCCTCAGCCATGCTGCCCGCCGGCCGTTCTTTACCCTCCCCGACCTGTCGAACCTCTCGCCGTTCTCCCAGCCCAGCGGCTCAGAACCGGAACCACAAACTTATCATGAACGGAAGATCCTTCCGTATGTCAAGCGCTTGCTAGTCTGCGACATATCTGATGCCCATCGGTCTCACAGCTACAAACAGAGCCAGCTGTACAACGTCGTGACAGATGTAGATTCGTATCCGCACTTCCTGCCTTTCTGTATTTCTGCCCGCGCCCTCAGGCGCGTGCCGGCGTCCGATGACAAGCCGCTGACCATGCAAGCCGAAATGACGGTCGGATTCCTCTCGTTCAAGGAGTCTTATATCAGTGACGTGACATGTCTTCCGAACCGGTCTGTAGAGGTATGCTCTTCCTATCAAGAGGTCAAAAGAGGTGCAGGCTGCTCATGCTCGTCTGTGTCGTCTAGATTGCGGCATCGTCATCGACCCCGCTCTTCCGGACGCTCAACACAGTCTGGCGCTTCCAGCCAGCGTCGTCCGACTCGCCACACCCCAGCAGCAGACCTCCACTATCTGGACCATCCTCGTCAGCGATTGCGTCACATAACTCCCAGGATGCGGCAGAAGACAAGGGCCCAACTTTGGTCACGCTTGATCTCGCTTTCTCCTTCGCGAACCCAGTACATGCTGCAGTGTCTGCGGCATTCTTTGGACAAGTCTCGAAAATGATGGTTAAGGCCTTCGAGGAACGATGCCTCATAGTATATGGACCAGGAGAACAGTAGGAGAAGCGACGGTTTCCCATACCCACGGACGGCCTGAGATAGTAGATGCACATGCCTCTTGGCTAGCACGTCCCACTGTACACTGTCAATGAACTGACACGTATGCGCACAACACTTGTAGCCGTTGTCTCTGAATCACAGTACTCGTGGATCCCAGTTTGGGCATGGATGCGAGGTCTGCGCCTCCACTAACTTGCTCACTCATGGGACAACTTGGTTCAACAACGATCGACAAAAATAAGTTTCCACTACAACCGCATGAAGAGGGGAGCCTAGATCGTGTCAGAAGTCATCGAGATCCCAGACTTCGTTACTAGGCAGTCCTTTCTCATGACAATGGCAGGGTGGCCTGAACGATGAGTGAGTTGAACATTCAACAATGAGATACAGCGTAGTAGGTGCAACCCACCTCCACAGTATGGAGTTCACCCACGCCCATGCGAGTGTCCACTTCTTGCCTGGCTGGGCAAAGAACTCGATTACAGGTGCGCCCCTACGAGTTTGGCTGTAAGCTCAAGACTAGTTTTGAATGGGTAGGCACTTACTCAGGCGAGGCCGTCGTGCAGCCATACAAGAAGCTGATGGAAGCCGCAGTAGACGTGGCTGACCTTGTACACCGTCAAGGACAGACCTGGGTGGGTGTGAGAACAACCCGGTAGAACGAGCTCGAGTGCTCTCACCGAGAAAATATTAGCGCGAAGTGATAGAGTACTGAGGATCGAGCGTCGCGATGCCGGCATATATAGGTCCAGGGTCCGGAGTTTACGACTGGCTAGCTTTGGACCCTACAACATTGTTCTTCGAACATTTCCCGTGGGGGAACTTCGTTTCTGTAGAGAAAAGAAGACGGAAACGCTCTGCACCACTCCGACATTGATGTCCGCCGTTGAACGCCTTCAATGAAGCACGAGGCGACCCTATTCGTGACGATAACCGCCATGAGAACTATGATCGTGGGGCAAACATGGAAGGTCGAGACCCCCGCTGCGTCTCAATGGCTCGCACCTTAAACTGACCCTGCATGACAGGACGAGTGACGACCAAACCAGGCCGCAAAGCCGGTCGGTAGGTTAGGCACAGGACACCCTGACATTGGCAGAAGCATGATCCTATCGATAGTCAACCATGTCGACAGCCATCTCGGTGTGACTTCTGGTGTTCGCGCTCGGGGCATTGATACCCCTCATCGCACAGCGTTTGAACTTGAAGGTAAGCTCGGAGGGCGGGATGTCGTAACGAACACTGTTCTAGCGTGTCTGTCATTTCGTCATTGAAATGCATCAGTTCTCCTACTGCGGGCCTTCATGGCACCCACAGCGTGAACGGGACCCGCGCCTCTGGTCAATTGAATCGTTACTTAGCTTCTCAGGATCAGAGTCCAGACCCCACACTAGTGGTTATGCTTCCGGGTGCTGACCAACAGAGGGAACGGCGTCAACCAACGTCGACTTCGATCACTGTGCGGTTCCGAGCAGCATGTATGTCGAGCTTGCCCGTGGGGGATGCTGAGATTGTCTCGTGCGACCGTGAATGTTGGCGTTCTCAATAGGTCAAGTCGACCTGGGCAGAAGGCGCAATTAACGTGTGCAGAGATAGCGACTGAATGAAATGCATCACCGGCTTCACCCGACTGCAACGCGCCCGCCGTTCTCTATAACGGTTTCATTAAACGCAGTGGGGACTTCCAACAGGCTGTGGCTCAGGTACGGCCTTCTGCGCATGAAAGATCGGAACTTCGGCTTAATTGCCGACATCTTTGGGTTCTTATGGAATGGTGCAGCGAGGTGTGTAGGCGTCAGCACACATGATAGTGCCTGCTGAATGCAGACACGGGCAAGATGGCGAAGCCCCATAGCTCGGCGAAGTAGCATTAAGAGCTCGAAAGATAGATGGGCCGAAAGGTCTGGAGTGTGTTCTGCGATCCTCAATGGTGAGTTCCTGTACATGCGGTACTCATTGATGCTCACCTCACCGCGTCCATTGGCACTTTTCAAGGCCTCCTTTTGGCATTCTTCTCGAAACGATGCGCCGAGAAGTATGGGCCCGCCACCGAGATGACGAACGACGTAACAATCAAATTAAGACAACAGTCAATAAGTGATAAATACGCGCATCATGGACATGGCTACAGATCATCTTTTGATTACTTCGGCACGGTATCAGCCTCTGACTTAGCTTCCAGCACACTACTCATCGACGGAGTCATCGGGCAGCGCGAGAGCCTCCTATTCAGGCGACGTATTCAGCGTTCTCAGGACAATCGCGGGCGATCTACAGGCGGAGATTAGACTAATGAACAGGACGACACGCATTCCGTACTCACATGCCCCTCCTGCTGGCATTTGTAGCAGGTCTTGTTCTTGTTAGGGTTGCCGACAGCGACCGGAGTGTCAACGGTCGTGCCGGGAGCAGCGAGGCAGTCCCTGTGCATAAACCTGATAAGCTCAATTGATCTGCCCTGGACGGAAACAGACTTACCTCGCCATGTGGTTGGGACCTCCGCAACGGTAGCACTTCACAGGGGGGAGGGTAGACGTGTTCAGGGCGCGGCCAGGGGGAGGGGTGCGAGAAGCGAATCCAGCACCAGCACCACTTGCGTTAGGGCACGCCCGCGCGATATGGCCAAAGCGTCCGCAGTTCTACATTGGCGATGAGTGTCAATTAGGCATCGAACACGTTTGTATAGGCGCAGGACGTACGTAGCACTTTTGGCCGGAACCTTGTACCCTCAAGCTCGGGCACTCCGCCTGTATATGACCGACTCCGCCGCAGGAGTAGCATTGCTTCGCAGCGACAGAGCGGGGCTGCGGGCATGCAGACGACTCGTGTCCGGGCTGACGGCAGTTGTAGCAGAGACGCTGCTCCGACGTACAATTCTCCGCGATGTGTCCGACTATAACGGAGCTTGTGGTTTATGATCCTGCTGGTCGGAGAGGAAAGAACTAACGTACGGTTCCCGCACTTGAAACAACCCTTTCTACTGAACTGATACGCCATCCTGACCGATCGTCGACTCGGAGATCCTGAACCTGGCAATGACATTATGGCAGTCAGTGACTGGTGCGGTCGTGGCGTTCACAATGACGAGGCATACCTCGCGTCTTCCCTCTTCCAACGACTAAACCTCTCACTTACCTTCCCTCCTCCTGCGTAGGATAAGGACTGACGAGCAAGATGGGTGATCGAAATCAGGTGGGATACGGCGGTGTGAGGCGATCATCGGTGACCGTCGAGCCGGCCCTAAACGTCTGCTTACTGAGCGCAATATTGACCGTTATAACAGCAGTAAATGTCTTCAGTTAGTGTCACTGAAGTGGCCAATACTAGTACACTGTGACTTTGTTAACGCGCGGGACTTTGGTCGAGACTCGGGAGTGCTACGAGTTGCCTTCTTGCTCGACGTTGCGTGCATCTGATACTCTTCATGACTCTGTCCTGGCAGTGCCCACGCGTCTGTCATGAGGCCGCTCCCAAGACCAATGTACCTCGTCATATCGGCGAATACCAAGAAGTCAGTTTCATAACGTCTGCCAACCTCGGCTTTTGTAGTCGAAACCCGTGAAGCCAAAACGCCGGCCACTCCAGAGACTTTTCCTCAAAGAGTGTCTGTACCTCGTCGATGGTGTGGTTGATCTCGCAGACTTATAGTATGAACGCAGATATCATCGGAACTTCCATTGCTCCAGATGCCTCGTGCTGCTCCCCGCTCGGAGGTCGGCCCATTGCAAGTCAGCGGCGCACCGCAGAGGGGCTTAGGGCTAGCAGGACGGGCTGATGACATCGTGATCTGGATCTCCGCGCGCGCACTAGGCACTCGAGGAAGTATTTAAGGCGCATCGAGGTAGCCTCGTTTCATCGCGACTACCATCGCACCCCAGCTACAGGTCAAGAGGGTTAGCTGGCAAGGTGAGAGTCCCTCCCATGGTTACCTACTGCCCTTCTCGTGGCACTGACTCACGGTCGTCGGACCCAGGTGCATAGCGTCCGATCTATAGGATCCTCCCAGCGTGCAGCCATACCTCGCCCACCTGTATCCATCACGCTTCTTGTTAGGGGGAGGACTTATTTCGCTTGAGGTGCGTCTGAGCATTCTGCAAGTGCATCGCAGAAACAAACCATCACTACAGGCGAGCTGCTCGGCCGGCCTAAGGCGAAGTTGTCAAACATCCTAACAAGACGTGTAGTAGCAAGCGCGCGACGCGGGGCTCTATGCATGGCAGGCCTGATAGGTCGGATTCTATACGGTCGCCTCGGCGGTGAGTCTGATTCAATCTCTTGGTGTGCCGTTAACCCATGGTTCCCTTGATCGATTCTGTAGGTGATTCTTCCGTCGTTCTTCCAGGTAGTCTATGTTTGATATGCGACCTATGAGGCCCCTTCCCATACTTATGGGTGAATACGTTACATGAAACAATATGTTTATGACACAACGACCGCACTAGCACAGCATTGAGTGCGTCACATTCTTGGTGCGTCCATCTCTGAAAAGTGTGTTCGCCTCGCTTGCAGGGACTTGGTCAATCTGTCAGAACGCTGATCCCGCTGCTATATATGCACAACACAGACAGTATTGCCTTCTTGGGTTGCGTACCAGATGGCTGCAGCTCGAAACGCGGGCAGTTATGCTGTTTCGTGTTCACGATTTGCCCAATGCGCTACAGCGAAAGACATACATCACCAAAACAGCATTAGTCTTGAGTGCAGCCTCGGCGGAATCATAATCATAAGCATACCAATAACAGTATGATACCCACATTTCGCCCACACTGCTCATTTCAGTTCATGTTATTATCTCAAGGGGATACTGTCACTGGCCGCCCATGGTACCCAGCTCAGCCTGGTTCGATACAGTATGTCCCGTCCCCTAGTCTGCAGTTACTAGCTGTATCGATGCGCCCTCATTCTGTTAAATTTTGCAACAGATGCAAATATCGTGCAGCATATACATACTGTGGGTCCTCGTCTGTGCACTAGTATGACAGATCCTCAGAGACGATCCGAGGTCTGGGACCCCGATCAGCGATCGCTCTGACCGATCCGTACGGTCCTTCCAATAGTATGAGCGCCCGACTCGGGAGGATATTAGCACACTACCAGCTGGGCGATCCTCCATTGCGACTTTTCCCATGCAGCGTCCTCCACTCTCGCTGCATTCTAAGCTTACCTCGTCCCGTGCCATGCTGCGGATTCGGTACTCAGGCTTAGTAGCCTATCGCCACCTTGCATATATATGGCCATGATCTCGATTTCTCCGCCGTGCCGTTAGTCATGCCCTCTTCACCCCAATTCGGAGTCATAGATACGCTGCCGCATTCCCCAGCACTCCCTGCCCCGCCCACCCCTCACCTTCTTCCGCACGACCACTCGCGACAGCTTCCAGGATGGCAGAGAAGCGTCAGAAAGCAGTTGATCTCTCGCACCACCTGTCTGACGTGTCGCGGGCCAGGGCGACGTCCCCGTTGAAGGGCATGGCGAAATACCAAGGTCGGCCTGGCCTGATAAGCCTCGCTGGAGGTACGTCGCGAGCTCGTCTCCTATGGTTGCGTGATTTTGAGTTTGTTCAGGCCTGCCAAGCGAGGCATACTTTCCATTCAGTGGTATTAGCGGTGACGGTAAGTGTCAACGAAGCATGTCAAGTGACGGCGATCCTGAGCTTCGCTCGCATAGCGCTCGTCGCGGACTCGTTCTCCTTGAAGCCGACAGAACAAGAGTCCTCCATTTCTTGGTTCTGGAAGCTGTTCAGCCGGTCCAACAAGGAGAAGACCAACCCGATCACCATCCCGAAGTATGCTGAGCATCCGGCAGAGGATGTGAACCTGGCTGTCGCGCTACAGTATGGAATGGCCACAGGTCTTCCACAGCTCCAGAAGTTTATCAAGGAGTTCGTAGAGAAGATCTATCAGCCCGCATATGACGACTGTACCATCATGATGCATACGGGTAACACTGACGGGTGAGCCATTAGTTGAGCCATATTTCAAAGGCTTATGTAGATCGTCTAGATGGTCGCGATGTATGCAAACTCTCATGAACCCGGGCGAGTACCTCTTGACGGAGGAGTGGACGTACCCTTCTGCCGTGGCATCGAGCAAGCCGTATGGCATCAATGCTATCCCCGTCGCCATGGACAAGGACGGGATGAGCCCTGTTGCTCTGCGCAAGGTTCTTGCTGAGTGGGATACGACCACCCAGGGCAAGCGGTGCGCAATTGCCTCTGCAATGTCATAATACCCCTGGGCTGACATGACACAGCCCTCATGTCATTTACACGGTTCCCGTTGGCCAAAACCCTGTAGGTTCGGTGCGTATCTTTGTTGCTCGTGGAGTATGCCGAGACTTACCTCATCTCAGACCATGGGTGCTGCGCGCAAGAAAGAGATCTACGATGTCTGCGTCGAATACGGTGAGTACTCAGAAGAGTCCGTAGGAATACCATGTGTCGCATATTGAGCATTTGCTATTTCAGACCTCGTCATTGTAGAGGACGACCCCTATTTCTTTTTGCAGCAAGGGGAATACGTCCCCAAGGCAAGCCGTGCCGAGTCTGCAGATACCACGTCCGAGGACGCTTGGCTCGCTGGACTCGCACCGAGTTTCCTGAAGTTTGACTATCAGGGACGAGTGATCCGTTTGGACACCTTCTCGAAGGCAAGTCATAGATGCGAAAGGCTAGAATGCAACCTCTCACGCGGATGTCTATCATCAGTACATTGCCCCAGGTTCGCGGCTCGGTTGGCATACGTGCAATCCGATGTTTGCGGAGAGGCTTGAGAGGCAGGGTGAGACATCTGCCCAAGCACCGTGTGGCTTCGGTCAGGTGAGCGTCGCCAGAGCTCGGTTTCAGTGGCCTTCGATTGAACACGTGTCTCGTAGTCGCTGGTAACCCAGCTCTTGTACCACTGGAAGATGGAGGGCTACACCCGCTGGCTGCACGGTTTGGCCTCTCAGTATAAGATCCGCCGCGACTGGTTCATAGACTGCCTCGCGGAGGAGCTTCACCTTGAGGCGACCACCTCAAACGCGGTCAGCTTCTGGAAGGACTGCGTCGTGTACGATGCGTACGCGAAGCGCAGCAACGGGTGGATGATGTCGGAGAAAGACTCGGTAGGCACTAAGATGCTGAGCTTCGTCCCTCCGACCTCCGGGATGTTCGTGTGGGTGCGTGTTCATCCATTCGCTCTCCTTTGGAGCCGCCCGGTGTTGAGTTATGTAATCGTTGGATTAGATCAAGGTCCACTTCGACAACCTTCCTGCGTATAGGAGGGGTCGAGAAGGCGAGGAGAGCCCAGAGATCCAGCTGTGGACCAAGTTTGCGGATGCAGGCGTTCTCATCGCCCCCGGATGGTTCTTCGCCGCGGACGTCGAGAACCCGCCTACGGACGAGATGGAGGGTCACTTCCGTGTCAGCTTCAGCAACGCAGACGTACGTTATCGCGTCGCTTCCTCCTTGACGTCGGTTTGCTCACAGTGCGTCCTTGCGCAGTTTGCAGCACTGAAGAAGGCCGCCCAGATCATCGCCAGGGAGACAGATAAGTTCTTCAAGGCGTAGAGTGGTTGGCGAGCTGTGGATCGCTATGTTGAGACTTGTTGTACACTGGCGTGTCTTATGTATATTAGTGGATGGTTTCACCGAGGTCGGATCTGAAGATCTGAAACATGAGCGAGGTTGTGTGATGACCCGATCCCGCTGGTCTCGCCTTGTATACGTCACAGGATGAGCACGCCAGGGACGTTAAGATTTTCGGGCCCAATAGTATTCGTGTATCTCTAAGGCATGCTACATCAAGAACTGCGACTAGCTCAATACATGAGCTCGTAGGCCCGCTTGCCAGCCTTCTTCTTGGGGGGAGGCGGCGGAGGAGCAGCTGACTTGCACAAGTGGGAAAACTGCTGCTCAAGGAGCAGCTTGAGCGCTGCTGCGTTGGCCTACGGAGGACGTCAGTAGAAAGCCTCGGCATCACAGTAGCAGGTGGCTCACGGCGCCAGTGTGCTTCGCCTTGCCCCAGTCTATCAAGTGGGCCTGGGTGATCTGGTCGTTGAACAGGATGTTGCTCGTGTGAGGGTCATCGTGCAACCACTCGTGAGCTTTCGCAACTGCAACGATCTGCTCGACCGCGACGTGGATTGCTCCGGCGACGACCTCCTGGCACTTGGTCGTGTCCGACTTCGCGTTGATGTACTTCGAGGTATGCTCAATCTCTACGCCGGGAGACTTCTTGATAACGAGCCAGCGGCCTCCGGATTGATCCTTGCCGCTCGCGATCGCGTCGCCAACCTGCGAGGCATCACTGTTACTGAACGCATTCCATGAGCGACGAAGATACTTACGGCTGTGGTGGCCTCGATTTCCTGCTCTGAGATCTTCTTCTTGGCGAAGGCCCCGGCGTGTGGGCCTGACGTGACTGTGTAGACCTCTGAACCGCTCTCGCCCTGTGCGTGATGCTTCTTCAGGTGAAACTCCTCAGACCCGAGTTTGATCGAGATCTCCGCGTCAGCTGCAATACGGCTTGAGTCACGGACAACTGATAAGTGCATGCTTAGGCTTACAACGTTCGTACAGTCTGGGTACAGCCTGCGCTATGCTGCGAATAGCAGGGTTAGACGCAGACCGAGCGATGATCTCGTGGGCCTAGGGGGCCAACGTTGAGCGGTTGCTGGAGAAGATGCATGGAAAGACTCACGTCAGAGAGCGCTGGGACCGGAGCACTGCTGGAAAGAAGTGCAAGGCATGAAAGAATGACGGGGAACAAGATGAAACGCATGACGATTAAGTGAGCTGTCGAGTAATAAGTCGTAAGCAAGGAAGAGAGTGTCGTAACTCGAATACTAAGGGTGAAGAGGATGGACCAGCCAGCTCGGCCTGTTCGCCATCCCAACTCGCTCCTTTATACCAGTCGGCGGGGCCTCATTCTCGGGATTGCTGTAATGTGACCGCGTGGTAATGCTGGCAAACGGTTCCGAAAAGGTTCTCCGCCGAGTGTCTCGGAGGCGAGCAATTGCCTGTGCACGTCGGGCGCATCTGAAACTCGAACGCGGTCGTTTGGGCGGCGGAACTATCAATAGGTAGGCGCTGATAGCGAATTGGATGCCGCTCGAAGACGCGCGCGAGCTACGTCTAAGTAGCGGCTACTTAAGCAAGTAGTGGCTAGCCGTCAAAAGTCCAACGTTCAATTGTCAAGCGTTCATGCGTAGGGATTTGGACGTAACGTGTATCCGCACTGGGCGTCGAACGGAATAACCAAGGTTGCAATCTGGTGCCAAAGCTCAGCGTCTCCAAGCCGAGGATGGGTACTTACGAGCTTTAGCAGCGCTCCGGAGTCCACGGTACAGCGCCGATCATGATCTGCAAATGGAGGCACAGCGTTTGCACCGATCGCGACGCATGGGGCTGCTCAAGGGTCGAACCATTCGCCGACGGGCCCTTTGTGAATTGATCGGGAATTCGGGCTTCAGGATGATCCCAGGCTCAGGCTGATCGTTCTGAAAAAGAAGACCTTGTCTGACCACCCGGTGCACTTGAAGTTGCAGGGGTCAAGACCACATGAGATCTTGAGAACCTGACAATAATAGCAGTAGCGCGGACTCATCGGTGGACTTACGAATCACTTCCTGTAGCACATCTGATGATTCGGTGACAAGGGGTCGCTTTCTGATGCGTGACTGGACGGGCGGGTGGACATTCGAATGGCGCGCGACTTGGAGTTAGCGCAAGCGCGAGCAGAATAGCTGTGAGATCCCACACAAGGTGTGTAACAGCACGCGGTATTCGGTCGTACGAATGACAGGAAACCCACCACCGATGGTGGCCGATGTGTGTTGGAGGTGTAACAGTACATGTACACATCGTTACACAGCGGACTCCTAGTAACATATACTAGGGTCAGTTTCGTGATCACAATAAGCGTATTACAATGTGATTGTGACCGTGGGAACAGCTGTGAATGGCCGCTCCTGACGCCAATTTGCTTGCCCTCATCTTCGTCGACCCGCCCTAAACCACCGCGTCGCGTCGCCTCATGACCACCGACGCGTCTCCCCCACTTCCCGCGATCTCCATCGCGCCCTCGAGCAGGCAGTTGGTAATGCAAATAATGTGCAGACATCTCCAAGAGGAAAGGGTCCAAGCGTGTGCGGGACGAAGACAACGTGGCCGATGCCTCCGGCGCTGAAGTGTCCTCCAGGAAGAAAAAGAAAAGCAAGAACGCTTCACACTTAGATGCGTTACCGGCCGAGGGGCAGGTGACCGGTGTTCAGGTTAATTCTTCGACGTCGGTGACAGCGAGAGATGACGCAGAGTTGGCCGAAGAAACCTCCAGGAGGAAGACCAAGAAGAGCAGGAAGGGGAAAGAGAAGGAGTCGTCAGAGCAGTCGTCCCAGGATGTCTCCCAGTCGCAGCCAGAGGCTACAAATACAGACATCGCGACTTCCTCTGCGGATTTCCTCAATGCTGTCGTTGCTGCTGCTTCTGCGACTTCGGGGCAGCTTCCGCAACCGCCGTACGACCCGTCCATGCCTTCCCCTTCCCATTTTCTGCCTTACCCCCCACAACAGCCTGACTTCGGGTCATATCAGTATCCGCCTCCCCCAGGTCATCCTGCGTCGTTCGGCCCCAATGCACAAGGCCAAGCGCCGCCACCGATGTTCGCCGACCCTAGCGGTGTACTGCCTGACCTACAGTTTGCATCCAGCGAAGACCTGCTACGCACTCTACAGGAATTTGACCTGAGTAAAGTCATGCACGTCCTCCGATCCCTCGGTGACGCTGCCAATGCTGCGAACGTCTCGGTGACAATGCCACACGCTGCTCCTCCGTACATGCCGCCGCCTGTCGTCAATAAACCAGTAAGGTCTGAAGCGATCCTGGGAAGACCGCCGAGGCAGAGAAGACCGCTACGGGAAGAGGGGCAAGACACGGCTCAGGGTACTGCAACAATGCCACTTGCTACCGCGCATATGCTGCCTCATGCACCGATGGTGGCTCCTCCTGTCGCTGCGCCAATGCCGCCGCAGCCGCCTCCACCTCCTAGCCAAGAAGGGAATTTAGAGCACGCGCATATGCTGGCGAATTCATGGATGAATGCCCAGAAGCTCGCCGAGATGGTCAAGAAAGAAGGAAAGTAGTCCGGCTTTGTGTACTTCTCCATCGTTGTTGACGCGTCTCATACTCTAGGGCTTGTCTACAAGAAGGGAAAATTCTCTGCTATCGAGGAGGCTCAGCTCAATGCTGCAATTGAGCACTACCGGGTGGTATGTTGTAGGGGTACAAATGCGACGACATCTCATGTGCATGCAGACGAAAGGCCTCAATCAAGACCAGCTGAATGAACTTATATTTTCGAAGGAGCGTGGCAGGGATACGTTCTGGCAAGAAATCAGTAAACCACTGTCCATTCCGACAGCTGTCCGTATGCTGATATATCTTTTGTGTGATAGCCTCCGCTCTACATTTACGTCCAATCATTGCTGTCTACCATCACGTACGCCGGAATCGCCACCCCTTAAGTCAACAGGGCAAGTGGATGGATACAGAAGACGAGCTTCTCATAGAGTCAGTCGATGACCGTCCCCTCATTACTTCTACTGAACATAGTTTGTACTGTAGAGCCGTGGCCGAGCTCGGTCAGCAATGGGAGCGCGTCAGTCAACGAGTCGGTCGTATGGCGGGTGACTGCCGTGACCGTTGGCGCAACCACCTGGAGGACCGTGGGACGCGTAAGACAGGATCGTGGTCAAAAGCGGAGGAGGATGACCTGACGCGTATTGTCACGGAGATGACCGTTGAGCAGGGGAGAGACATCGACAGCGAAGTCTTTTGGGGCATCGTAAGTCAAAAAATGGGTAGCAAGCGTGGAAGGCAGCAGTGTCGGATCAAGTGGTACGTTGTCCCGCGTGCTATCGCGAGGTCTGCGTGCTGACTGTTCACTTAGGACGGACACACTGAGCTCGCAGATCAAGAACTCGGGAGAACGGCCCAGGTGGAGTCAGCTGGACGCCTATATTCTCGTTCATAAGTACGTCTTCGCGATGATTCCGCGAATTTCGTTCACCGACAAATTGCAACAGGGTCGATTCGTTGAATGTTCGAGACGACACCGAGATTGACTGGAAGTTGCTACCGGACGAGAATTGGAATGTCTGGAGTGCGCATGCTCTGCAAAGGCGTTGGCTCACGATGAAGAGAAGCATCAAGGGACACGAGGAGATGTCGCATGCAGGTCGGTTCTGTCATCGTTAGCTGTTAGGCATTGTGACTGACGTAGGACGGCAGAGGTCATGGAGATTCTGAAGACGAAGAAGTCACACGTCCCCGGCCCACCCACGACTCGGAAGAAGAAAACCAAATTCACTAGTGCTGAAGCTGTTATAGATGTAGATGACGCAGATGGGAACATGGGGGCAGTCGCGGGACCTAGTACGGGCACCGCGATGACTGGTGCCATCTAGTGTACTGTGCTTAAAGTTATGAAGTCGAAGATTCCGTGCCAATGTTCGCAGATGCGTATAACGCTAGTGGTATTAGTATCCGTTATGGACCATTATACAGTCTTCGTCCGAATCGACGCTACTCGTCAACGCGTCCACGTGATCAGTATTGAGACGCGTTCTGGCCAAATAGGGCCACACAGGGTGTCGGTTGGGTTTCGTCTGTCTGGACGCGTGCGACGCGCTTGTTCCCTTCTTCGTCTTCCTTTGTCCGCGGTGGCCACCTTTCTCTACGCGCCTGTGCTACCCTCCCCCCATCTGCTAACTTATTAATGCTACTATGGCTCTGAACCTCTCCCCACGTAAGGTGGTCCCGTTGGCCAGTGGCGATGATCCGCGGCCCCGGCTGAGGACAAGGTCGACGTTGCCCAGTATCACGAAGCGTGCGTTCCTATGCGGGGTGGTTGTGGAGGGCGCGGGGGATGGGCCGATCCCGGAAGGTGTGTCTACGTTTATTGTGCCTGCATTGTAATTGCGCCGGATGAAACACGCGTCTGTCTGTATGTGTCCAGCATGGTTGTCATATCCGTCAGTTCGTGGAGCGATGTAGTGGCAGGTATGTTATGAGCTCGTCACTCAAGCTGCTGTATCCTGAGCACGGAGACTGGGATTAGACCCAAGTGAGGTCATGTTTGGTGATGTGTGCCTCTACATTTGTGGCCGAGCGTATGTCTGGTGGCCGAGCGTATATGTCTGGCGGACTCATATGCTCTACCATGCTTGTCAATCCGATTTCTGTTGGTCCTGCACATCATGACCCATGCTGAGCTGTACTGATGGACGCGAGGGGGTATTCTCGGAGTGTCATTTCGCAATACTAACAGCGTGCATAGACATACAAGACATGATCGCAGCTTTCGGTGAAAGCATCGATACAGAGTCAGGACCAACCTCTGCGCGATCGCCATCTTCAAGAAGTGCTAACACATTTACTGCAGTGAGTCATCGCTCAGTGATTGGTGAAATGTACGTTGTCCCAGGGTTGAATGCATGTCAAACAGGGTACTCGAAAGCTGGCCGCAGCCAACGCTTGCGCCCTCGCAGAGAACATCAAAGAGCTCGTTGCGACCGAGATCTCGTATGTAGACCGCCTGAGATCACTCAAGCTTGATTACGCCGATCCCCTGAGGTCGTTTGCCAAGAACAAAGATACATCCATTTTGCCGGCGTACGAGGCCAACACCTTGTTCGCCAACATCGACACCCTCCTACCAGTGAATGAGGCATTTTTGGAGGACCTCAAACTCGTGCAGCTGCCCGGAGGACCTGGCGTAGGAGACGTCGCGCTGAAGCACTTCAAGATCAGCCGCGGATTCGAACACTACAAGATGTATTATTCGAAGCGAGAGGAAGCACAGCGCCTATTCGAGGCTCAAGTCAAGAAGTCTTCCAATTTCGTTGCCTACATGGATGTAAGAGTCTTGATACTCTGCATGATTGATTCCGTACTTCATGCCTTCACAGCGCGTCAAGTATGCTGGGAACAGTGGGCGTAACTGTGTCGGGCTGCGCGAGTTGCTCATGGAGCCCGTACAGCGCATCCCTCGGTACACGCTGCTGTTTCGCTTGATGATCAAACACATGGTCCCTGACGACCCACAACGGGCCAAGCTCGTGGAGGCGGACGAGATCGCCTCCAACATCGCGTTAGCGGAGACAGACGAGAATACAAAACGCGCCGAAAGGATGTTTTGTTTGCGGAACAGCATAGAGGGCTTCCCACCAGGCTTGCTATCGAACAGTCGTCGCTTCATTGACTGCATTGACGTCGAGGATGTGGCCGACAATGGTGCTGCGTATTCCCTGGGGGGCGACGTGCAGTCGATGAACGCCCTGCATTGTACTTTGTTCTTGTTTGATGACAAGTTGATGATTGTCAGGCGGCCGAGTGACAAGAGTGGCAGAGCTCTGGCTGGGTTGGATGACATGGACAAGCCGGCTGCGAAAGCGCATCCCCTCTCGATGAAGAAGCTCAAGAAGGCTCAAATGAGCTGCAAGGGCGTGATGGATGTTACAGACGTCGTTGCGACGGACGTAGGTGGCAGCGGTACGCCAACTTATATAGCTTGATAGGAGTGCGCTGAATCATGATGCACAGATATGCATATATTCCTCGAGAGCCCTCCACACGACCAAGGCGATCGCTGGTCTGGCCGTCCTTTCCGTGCATTAACTGCGGTGCATCCTCCTTCAGGTCAGCGGGATACAAAGCTCACGGAAGAGCGCAAGAGCAGTTTCTAGAGAGCCTGTGGACCGCGCAGGCGGTATACCGAACTCGGAGCGGACGCCCTGTAGCCATTCAAGCAGAAGAACGCGAAGTAGAGTCTTATGCTGGAACAAAGACCATTGCTCGGACGTACTTCAACGTCTACACGAGATCGTGGTATCTCGCCGAGGAGAAGAAGGTGAGGACGAGTTGTATGCATGTATTGTAGATCAATTTTGACCATTAGGACAGCCCAAAGTTGTCGTTCACATCGACCCAATGGGGTCCGGCGATCCAATCCCTTTTGGTGGTCGCAGTCCACCATACGTTGTCATAAAGGTTCAACCGATGCCTGGGGCGCTATCGCGATATGAAGTCGCCTCCAATGACCCTGATGATGAAACGGAGAGCGACATAGTTCACAATGACGTTGTCCCCGCGAGAATTGTACAAACAAGTAATCTCTATTCGCTTGCCCCTGGAGACCTGTGCTGACCGTTGATAGTTCACCAATATGGACTTTTCAAGTTCAGTACTGGACGCAACTCGATGCCTTCGACGCCCACTGCAACTAAGTCCCGCGCTGCTACATTCAGGTTGGACGTCATCTCCCGGAACCTCTTCAACACTCGTCCAAGTTCTGTTACGAATGATGTCTTCGGCGGATCCACGAACAGCAGCAGACGCACAAGGACGACTACAAGTCGTTCATCTGTATATACGGGAACAATGTCCACTGCAGGCCACGGTAGCAGCCTATCCCGCTTCTCACAGGCTGCTTCGACTCTGACCGCCGCTACATCCATCGAAGACGAGCCATCATTGAGGGGCTCCAAGAGCAGCAGAAGGTCGCGTTCTCTGTCGCAGCCGAACAAGCTCGTAAAGAGACCCAAGTCACCGAGAGTTGATGACTCCATCAGCGAGCCTGAGTCGTCTCCGAGTCGAGGCAAGCACCGGCCGATCGCACGAAGTCGTAGCGAGCCAGCGGACATGGATGACGACGAAGACGATGCGGCGATACTACACTGTGCATTTGCTGACCCGGATGATCAGGACCTCGAGGGCCAACTCGAGCTTGCGCAGCTCAACGGTCAGACTCATGGCGAACAACATTGGGCACACCTTAACCTCAATGAACCTATCGACGAGAACATCTACGATGGTGCGTTGTCACGTCTTAGTAGTCAACCAATCCTCTAACAACAACTGTAGAGGAGCCTAATGTTACGCGGCCACTGTCCCGAACCTCTCGCACTACTCGACAGTTGCCGGATGCCCCGATGGGTATGAACAGTCGGCGCTCTCCTTCACCGCGACCCGAACTTAGCATAGAAACTCGAACAATCACGCCAGACCTTCATAGAGCCCGCTCTCTATCTAGGCATTCGTCTGATCGACGGCCGATCGGCCCTCGAACACCTTCACCAATGCCTCCCCGGACGCCGTCACCCATGCCCGTTCGAGCGCTGTCGCCTACTTTATCTGTCATCAGCCCTCAGACCTATAGCCTGGGCGCGGCGCCCTCTGTCGAGGCCGACTTGGCACATGAGACAACATTGGTGAATTCGACCCAGTCTCCTGGTCGGTCTCCTAGTTCTCTTGTCACTCCAGTGAAGCCGCGGATCCCTCGCAGTAAGCGCCAGCCGTTCGGGCATACGGAGAATATGGAGACGACTCCCAAGGCCGAGCGCACTGGGGTACCACAGACGATAGTCCCGACCATAGAGCCCCTTTCGATCAAGAAGAAAAGCTCGGTAGCATCCTCCACACGTAGTTCACCTTCCCGTTCTCGTCCTCCTTCGCAGACAACTCGTGCCTCGCCAAGAGGCAAGCGGAGTGGAGGTCGAAAAGTCTCCTCAGGCAGTCCGGGCACCATCTCAGAGCCGCTGTCTGCCGTTCCTGCCTCGAGCGAAGACGCTGTGCGCTTGATGAGGCTGGTAGAAACGACGAAAGAGGATGTAAGTCCGTCATGCGCTCCCTCGGCCATCTTCTGAACCATCTACTAGTTGGATTCCTCGAGGCGAGCTGTCAAGCGTATTCGGCTAGAGACAGAAAGACTGCGTTCTATCACACCAGCCGTCGAATCGTCCCAGCGAGCAGCAGACCCCTTTGCGCGAGCAGCATCCCCGTTCGGATCGCCCATTAAGACTCGCATCCCTCGGCTTCCGGATTCTAAATCTGAGGTCTGTCTGTCGTCTGCAATTGTTGTGAATAACTCACCCATGTCGATGCAGTCAAAAGATCGAGAAGATCGATTGAAGGAAATGCAGATGGCAATCAATCGCCGCAAGGCGCGCGAAGGCATAAAGCCTTTGTGGAAGCAAGAGGAGAGCTCTTCATATTCACCAACTCCTGCGAGCCCTGGAACGCCCACGAACGTGCAAGACGTTGCTGATTCCATCGACGATCTTCTCGATGTAGCCGACCGAGCACTCGAAAAGGTAGCGGCGAAGGATATTCAGCCCGATGTGGAGAGGGTCGTAGCTCTGCTGCACCAGGTGATGCCTGCCTACAAGTCTATGATCATTTATGACTGACGCTGTGCGGCAGAAAACGTCAGAACTGATCACGGCTCAGACGCAACTGAAGAGCACTCGTGTTCAGCTCGAGACAGTAAAGGCGCTCGTCGATCATTCCAGGGACGAGAAGGACTACTTGTTCGATGTAAGTTTTGCAGCTAAGTATAAATTGCACGGTGCAGGGCTTGACATGCCGCGCAAGGTCTTCAACGAGGAGTTGCTCAAGATGTATGACGACACGCAGCTGGATGCAGAAGACGCATGGACAGCTATGACGAAGGATCTACGGGACACTAAGAAATCTCAGAAAGTTACCGCTCAAGAGAATTCGTGAGTGAATGTATTGCTGTTGACGTGGATCATCGTATTCATAAACCCGTAGGCGACTGAAACGACGAATTGAAGATATGGAGATGCAACAAGAAGAGTGAGTAAATGACCGTCCGTCTGAACATGTCTGACTGAATACCTGGTGCAGGTGGGGTGCTCTTTTGAGGGCGCATGGACTCATTCCATGATGTTTGGTTTTTTTGAGGTCGACTTGCTTGATATACTGACGTACATCCTATGACCCTACTGACTGTATTATGTCTCTTTCCCTCTGCCGATTGATATGTATCATTGATTTCATAGATCTATGGGCCCGGTATGCTCATGCTATTGCCCGATGAACACAACTAACATCTGCTCTCTGTACTCGATAACGATTGGTGCATCTACTATGCTTCATGTTCTGTCGTATGGAGGCATAACGTGAGCAACGACCACGGAATAGCCTAGACGCAAAAGAGATATTCTACAGGGTCATACAAATGACTACACAGCAACACTAGGCTCAATCTCGCCCAGAAGCATAGTAGCATCTTTGCTACCGGTCAAGACTGTGCATCCAATTAGTTTTCAACGCACAAAGAGATGAGCGCAAGCACATACTGATGGGTTCTTTTGGGTGGAAATCGACAGAGGTTACAGTGCCTTTATGTCCAGGAAGCTACGACGACAGCCATGAATACAAAGTCTAGTGTGATTTGCGATTGAACACACCTTGTAGAGCACCTTGCCACTCTCTACGTCCCAGATACAGACCGTCCTGTCTGCACCACCCAAAGCAACACGTCTGCCGCCATCGTCCTTGCTCCAAGCTCCACGCAGCAGAGTATTTTCGAACCCGGCAGGGGCACCCATGAGGACGCGGTGTATGCGTGCAGGCGAGGGCGAGAACGGCCGTACGTCATGAATGACCGTTTGTGACGAGAAGGATGGGGATAGGAGGAACTGGCCATTAGGCGAGAGGGAAAGTGAGGTGGGCGTGTCTGCGTGTCCTGTGAGGGTGTACACCTGCTCATTCTTGCGGAGGTCAAGAACCTAGAAGAATGTAGCCACATTGAGTGCAGCTTATTGGCTTATTAATTGTAGAGGACTCACATGGATCTCGTTATCCAGCGCGCCAGCGTAGATATTCGAGCCGTCTGCGCTCCAGCACACTGAGGTGACGGGACAGCCGATCTCGAACACGCTCACAGGGGCTTTTGGACCCTCGTCGCCACCCTCCCATACCCTCACCGTCCCATCATCAGCACCTGTAGCCACCAGCTCGACGCCCGCACCGCCCGCCAACGTCCTGTCGAGGGAGTTGATGATGCCCCGGTGAGAGCGAAGCTTGCGCAGACGCTGACCAGATGTGAGGTCTGTCACATTGAGGGTCTGGTCTGCGGACACAGTGTATAGGATGGGGGAGAAGAGCGACCATTGAAGGTCTAGTATAGGGGCTTTGTGAAGGTTTGAGAGTAGGCCGTAGTTCTCATTCGGCGCATACGTTCGCCAAAGCGCTGTTCGCAAAACATTTGTGAGCGGGATGTTGACACAAAGATATCCTTGTACGTACAGACACTCCTGTCCGCTGAGCACGCGGCTATGTTTTGACCCGTAGGATCGAACCGACAGCTGAGAATTTCGGCCTGAACTCTCGCGTCAACTAGGCTCGTGAACGACGCGTTCTGGCAGCACCGCGAACGAGACTTACTGAATGTGAGCCTGAAAGACTGATAATTGGGGCTTCCAAGCTACTTGTACGCTGTACTGTGCGCATGAGGGCCTGCTGTCGTTCGTCGTTGTTCGAGGAGATGGCAATTTGGTTCTGAGCAGGCTCATTGGAACGCGCCCGCTTTATGAGCGCACCTCCAGGAGGCGGAGAAGCACCACGTTTTGACATGTCAGGATGCTGGTCAGTTTTCACAGAATATGGGTTAGGAGGAGAAGGCAGCAAGCGAGCTCGGTGCTGAAGTAGTGGCGGGTCAGTTGCAGCCACAACCGTGCAAGGCGCCCGGCGTTGAAAGATTCAACGTAGTGGCGCTGCCATATATAGCAATGTCTGCGAACTTGGGGGATATGTTCGTGAGCGTTGTATGCTCTTCCTTTCAAGCGATCTCATGGGTGTTGGATCGCACTCATAATGCAGAAAACCTTTGTCTTATGGGGCCTATTGTACATGAGTTCAGACAGATACAAAGAATTGCGATGCGAGACAAACAAGACCGGGTCAGACGATGTGCGACGCCATGCAAGGGTGGGTTAGTCGGAGAATTCGGTATGGTAGCTTGGCAGAATCGACGTGAGCTGCTCTACGTACCAGAAGCCAGTCGGCTCGCCAATGTCGTCCGTACCGTTCGGGTTCTGACGGACGATCTGGACCCACGCACCACCGAGATTCATGCCGACAAGCATCTTGTCTGCTACCGCAGGATCAAGCAACACAGTGATCGTGTCCGTGTAAGGGCTGTGTGGCTTGGGAGTTGTCGTTTCGGCAACAGTCACAGTCTCGTCTTTCACCACAGGCCCTCGGGAGGATTCCATGATCTCCGGTGGCAGGACGTCACTCAGTTGATGCGCTCCCCAGACCGGCCACGGCGCAAGCGACATCTTCACGAACCTCGCATTCAGGTCCGCTTCAACAAGCCCTGCCTCGTTGAGCCCCTTCAGCTTCTTCTTCTCCGCCTTGGTTACCGCGAGGCCAGCTGCAGGTGTGATCGAAACAACCCTGCGCGTTGAGCGCTCGACAACACCGGTTGTGTGCGTGAAGGGCAGGATAGTCGCGCCGAGATGGGCCATGAGCGGGTTCGGCTGGGGCTCGATGTCCCATGTGCTCCCAGCGTCGCCCGCCCACGGGTCCGCCTCAGCACTGCCCCATCCTCCACCAGCGTCAGCGTCGGTACTCTCAACGTCGCCCCAGCCACCGGCACCCCAGCCGCCATTGACGTTGGCATCTGCGGCCTCATCCTTGCGCGCGTCCTTCTCGATAGCGGCAACAGTCTCGGGAGTCAATACCTCGACTTTGGCATCAGCCCCAATGACACTCTTGAGTAGGTTTGCCGTCTCCTCTTCGTCGATTTTCCGCCGTTTCGCATCTGGCTCCTCGGTACCCTCCTGCGCGCCGGCTGCTTTCTCCTCGTTGTCATTGCTCGTGGGTGCGTAGATAGTCTGGCCTTTGCAACCCCAGAGAGCCTCGCAGCCGGCGCCCACATGGTCTGGGAGTGCTCTGCCGATGACGAAGGTCTGCGGGAGCTCCTTACGCGCCTGCTCGATCACGAAGAGGGCTCTGCGTAGGCCCTTTTCGTGTTCGGGTTCGGGGAGGACGCGGCTCCGCAGCAAGAAGTTCAGGAAGAAGCCGACGAGGATGGGACCGTCGCGCACCCTCTGCTCGGACCTGTCAGACATGCGATGGTGAGGGTGAGCGCGCACTCAGCGATGGGCAAAGCATACCAGATCAGGCCCTTGTCACGGAAATAAGACGAGAAGAACACTTTCATGCAATTATCGGTGTCGTTGAAGAACGTATCCATGCGCGAATCTTTCGCCTCGCGGAAGTTCTCGCGCCGGGTCTGACGTTCTTCCTCAGTGAAGGGGCTCCTCTTGGGCGGTGCACTGCGAACAGTCTCCTCCTGGATGGCGCGTGCTCGTTCCTCGTCAACTATGGTGACTGGTTTCTCAGGCTTGGCGTTGCCGCCCATCGCGTCGTCCGAATCATCGTCAGAATCGCCCCCGCCCTCGGCGGCTTCAGTCATGGCCTGCAACTGCTTCATGCGTTTGACACCGGGCGGCGGCTGAATGCTGCTGATCAACCCGATGTACAACCGGAACTGAGTGAAGCATAGTTAGCGTGAGTCTACGACAAGACAAGACACGGACGCACAGTGTCCCAGAGCTGAGGAACGCCAGAAGGCATGTTGGGCCATGGGCGTCCGCTTTTGAAGTCATGCGAAGCCTGATGCAAGCGATCCGCCCTGGTCATCGACCTGCATACCATATACAATCAGCTTCCTCGCACCCGCAGCAGCGTGCATCGAGACAAAGGCACTCACGGATCGACCATCGTCCTCCTCGAACTCTCGCCCGACTCCCACTCCTCATACCACATCAATCGCCTCATCGTACCGTCCTGGCCCTTCTCGACCCTCTTGAGCTTCTTGTTCATACGTTTCTTACGCTCCGCCTCGGTCAGGCTGTGGTGCGACGCGAGCATCACCGTCGGGATGCCCATCGCATCGCGCTCGACGCGATCCGGATCGCTGAGCGCACTCAACCCGCATCCGCGTCTGCGTCCTCGACGATGTAGATGCCCTTTGGCTTGAAAGACTTGAACGGGATGATCGTCACGCCGGGCGGGTGCTTGGGGAACGGCGGGAACGTGAACCACGGCGCGTCTGTGGCGGCGCCGATCTGAGTCTCAGCAGGCGCGGTCGCATCTGGCGGTGCGCCGTTCTGCGGTGGGGTCGTTACTGTCACGTCGATGGGGGCCGACATGGCTGCTGGGGGAAAGAGACAAGGTTTGGCGGGATACTTGGACCTTGGCTTGGGCCGCTGTTATAAAGGGAACGGCGATTCGAGATCCTCATCTTTTGGCTTCTGAAGCGGCGCGTGCCCCGCCACACGCGAACAAAGGACACAGACCCTCCGAGTCCTTGGGCCAGATCCTTGGTGATTCAGATGCATCGATGCTACGAGTAGGGATGCCAGCAGGTTTCGCTACCACAAGGTATACTAGCAAAGAACAACATGCCAGAGCAAGTGAGCATGACTGGTAAAGAGCGTTCAGAAAGCCAAACAGTGGATCAACGCAAACCAAGGACACAGTGGAAACAAGGGACGTAATCGATACACGGCAATCTGAAGGAAAGGGTGTCATGTCATAACAATAGACGATCAGTCCTTGATAAATTAGCCCGATACGCTTGAAGACACCTGACGCAAGGGGCAGCGAAATACACATATAGATGAGTCTAATGAGAAGAGTTAGCAATTCCTGTCGTTATCCGGAACAACAGTGAGGGGCACTAGTACTCACCAGATGAGATATAGCATACGCAGGATACCACCAAACAAAGACGGGGAGCGAACAATCGAGGCGTTCTTGCGTGCATAGACGTTCACGCAGCTGTCTTCCGTTTCTTCTTCGGTAGCTCGTCCTCCTCATCCCCAGTAGCTTTCGCCTCGTTCACATTCTCGTCCCGCGTCTTTCGTGCCTTAGTCTTCGACTTACCCTCCGCGCCTCTTGTTCTACTTTGACTGCGAGTCCGCGGGCCCTTCTCCTTTCGCTCCCTATTCCGCGCCCGCTCCATCTCGCTGTCTTCCACCCGCATCTCTGCGTCCGAGTCCTCAATATACGCCTTGCTCTTGGGTTTCCTGCCCCTCCGCTTGGGCGCTTCGGCCGGTGCTACAGATGAGCGCACCGACATGGTGTCGTCGACGTCTGCATCTGCACCCTCCACGTCTGTCGCTTCCTGCACCTTGGACTTGGGTGGGCGACCGCGCCGCTTAGGCGCTCCAGGGCCAGACGGAGTGTTTGCCGCGGATTTCGGTGGACGCCCTCTACCCCGTCCGCGCACGCTACCCGCACGGCTCGCGTTATCATCCACGTCCATTTGCTCATTCTCATCGTTCGCGTTCTTCGGCTTCTCCTTCGCCTTGCCCTTACCCTTCCTGTCTATCCTCCGCCCCATGATCTCGTCAACTCCGCTGTCCGCGTCGCCCTCGCTCATATCGTCCTCTTCCGTGGAGGCTTCCTTGAGATTCACTTCCCGTCTGCGTTTGCGCAGCGAGGCGCGCGGGAGCTGGTCGCGGATGCCATGGCAGTTGCGCCGGAGACAAGATACCAGCTTGTCATTCGTCGGCGTGGAGTCAGCGCGGAAACGGGCACGCTTGATATCGGTCTACCAGCCATTGAGTGAGATCATGGGAGTGAATGTCTAGGCGTACTTACTGTGTGCTTGCCCTCGTAACACCACCCATCCGGTGGGCCTTGGTCGCCGTCGCCTTCTGTAATCTTCCCGCAGCAGCCCCAGATCGTCTCGTATGTCGTGCCTGGGTCACCCAAGGGTCGCCCGGTCTTTGCCCCGCGCCCTACACGTTCGACCTCTGCGCTCTCATCGTCATGGGCGACGAGACAGCTGCGATCGTCGTTCTCGACCTCGACATAGTCCTTGTGACATCGCACGCAGTGCAGCTTCTCCGGTGGTGCGAGTTCAGCGAAAAACGTTGCGAGGGCAGGGAGGAGCAGCTCAGGCGCATGGGGGAGGTGGGATAGGACGTATGCATGTAAGATCTTCGCGGGGATCGACTTGATGTGTGCCGCGAGGGAGTCCACTGTGGCCTCTGGGGGAACAAACGCCGGCTGTCCTAGCGTCTGGACAAGGGTGCTCGGCCCGGCCTGTCTCGTAGGAGAGCCCTGCCGTATGCGCTCGTCGACTGAGAGCCGCGCCATTTGGGCAGCGGGCGACGGTGACTGTGCTGGGCCATGCGCAATAGATGCAGAGTCCACCGACGGCGATGGCGTTCGCAGTTGTGTCTGAGCCTGTTTCGTAGGCTCGGGCGGCAGAAGCTCTGCCTTGGACGGCGATGGCGAGGGGGGAAGCGGTATCGATGCGGGCGGAGGCGGGGGTAGTTTCTTGCTGAACAGTCCGAATACCATCGTTGCTTGTGGTGCAAAAGCGCGGTGAAGAGAGAAAGAAAGGAGTGTGGGGCGAGGCGAGCTCGCGGGTGAGTGCAGTCTGACTCTGCGCGAGCACGCAGCAGACACGCGCACGCCGACGAATCGGTGTCCGTGGGAAATCGCGACGCGCCCTCGACGCGTGCTGTCACGGATGTCACGGAGATCTGTCACCGGCGCGATCACATCCAGCGAGGACCACCAGCGCTTACTCGAGACCTGAGTCGATGTTCTTCACTTACAGTTCTTGTCCACCGGAATTCATCCTTGCTGAAACTACTGTCTGGGAAGGATTTTTCCTAGTGTCGGTGCAGGTCTGCGCAGGCTTCAAGGCAGCCAACGTTGAGTGGTGTCTGAGTTCGAGGTACGCCGAGGTACCAGTCGTCACAAGACCCTCCCGCAAGCGCATGTGTATCTCCCTGTTCATGCAGTCCTCTATCTCGTTATCACGCCCACTCCTCCCACTAGCCCGCAATGTCCACGCTCTGATAAGTCGCCGGCCTGTTCCTGAGAACTTCAGTGCTTCTCAAATATCGGCGCTCTGTATGCCGCCATACGGAGCCGGGCTATCCTCCGCACTGCTCCTCCTCCTCGACTCTTGTCCTCAGGCTCAGTCTTTCTAGCGCAGGATGTCCCAGCCTGTGCGAGCGGAGGCAGTCACTGCTGTCCAGGACGTGGTGGAGGTGAACAATCTCAGCAAGGTCCCGGATACGGAGGTTGAGGTAGCAGATGTCGCGCCAATGAAGAGAGAAGAGCCTGTGGTCACTCGGAGGGTGCGTACATGTTCTTCCTGACCAGTATCGAGAGGTTTCACTGAGTGCCGTCCATGCAGGAACTGTGGAGTTACTACTGTATGTTAAAGTCTGGTCGTACACGTCCACCCGCAGACCGCTAACTGCAATGTACAGTGTACTATAACGGAGACAACGTGAGTCTCTTTCTGTTCATGTACTGGCGAGGGATCTCTGACAGCACGTAAAGGGAGTCGGGCCCAATGGTTTGTCTATAACTTTCAGTCACTGAGGCGTCGGTATTGACCGCGGACCGACCCAGGGTACTCCATGACGCTCTTTCAGAATCTGGCAACTTCTGCTGGCTGGGACCCTTCGCAAGGCCCCGGATCCACATGCACCACCTCTGAGCAATGTGTCCTCCCGTGGGGAAGTGGTACTAAGTCGGTCAGCTCCATCGTGCTCGTCGCAAACGGTCTCAGTTTTGCGGTACGCTCAAGTACTTTGTAGTGTTGGAATATCAATTAACTTGCCTCAGATCATGACCCTCATATTCACTACGATCGGCTCGGCAGCGGACTACGGTACATTCGGACGCTGGTTACTGCTCGCCATCACTGTCATCTGCTGGGCTGCCCAGTTCGCTAGCATGGCTCTGACGGGTATGCTTTACATCCCTATGATGGGATTCTTCCGTCTGACGTCTACAATGTCTCGCAGAGCCGTCTCGCTGGGGAGCCGCAATGGCGATATACATCATCTCCTTCGTCTCATACGGTGCTACCCTTGTTTTCTACGCTGCAGCATTCCCGCGGCTTGCGCGTAACACTCCGCATGCCCGCCATCTGCGCGACAAGCTCGAGAACCAGGAGGTCTCTCGGGAGGAGTACGAGCGTGAAGAGAGCTTAGAGAAGAACCGGGTCAGCAATCTCAGCACGGTGCGCGTTGGATTGGGTTTTAAGCCTGCTTGTTTGTGCTGATGAGTGAGCTATAGTGGCATAGCAATATTGGGTACATCTTTGTCCTATGCCTCAATTTGTCGATTCTGCTACCGCTCGCGAACAATGCTCTCGTCGACAACTACACGATGGTCCTGTGAGTCCTCGCTACTTTGCCTCTGCTCCGCCGATCTCATTTAGTGTAGGACGAATATGTATTGGATCATACTCGGTATATGGTGGTGTGAGTACTCTTGAGTACACTGGTGCATAGATTTTGTCTTAACCTGCCGCAGTCATTTTCCAGCAGCCTCGACCTGGCCTCCGCTCCCCAAAGGCGAGCACTACCTGACTATCGGGTGGAAGCAAGTATGTAACTACTACCCCCCACTCTGAACTCGTGCGCTGACGCGTTGTTTCGCAATAGATCTGGATAGCTCTGAGACAGTGGAAGAAGCTGCCGTACACCTTCATCTACCTCTTCGCGTTCTTCTTGCTCTCTGACGTAAGTCTGCAAGACTACGTTCAAGATCTTCTCACAATTTCCCCGCATTTTAGGGTCTGAACACCACGGGAACGCTCATCTCCATCTGTCAGAACGATCAGTTCGAGTTTCCTTCCTCAAGAATACGTACCTCGGCCTCGCGCAGGCCTTCACTTCCACTGCCAGGTACGCGGAACAGTTTCATCAATCACAGAATTCGTGTAATGATCATTTTGGCAGCACAATCGGGTTCTGGTGGATTCAGAAGTATTGGAAGATCCCCACGAAGAAGATGGTGAGTGGCCAGCGTCGTTCCGGTGTGTGGATGCGGTGCTCAGCGCTATGTTCAGTTTGTAGTCACAAACGTGGTCACAATCCTAATCCCGTTGTGGGGTATGATCGGGTTGTGGACAACTAAGTTCGGGTTCCATCAGGTCTGGGAGTATTGGTGAGTTTGCCCATGTGTGCTTCGTAACCGCAGCTCACTCTGGCTTCATCTCAGGGCATACAACGTTGTATTCGGCCTGTTCCAGGCTCCGTATTACGCGTTCTCACAAACCATGATGGCAGAGCTCGCACCGCCCGGGTTTGACAACATGGTATGCTCATACCCGACAACGTGTACCCAGGCTGACCAGCGTTGCTTGGGAACGCAAGTTTTCGGACTGTTTGGCCTGTCGAACCGCGCGTCGTCGATGATCGGCCCGAACGTCATCCAGGCGATCATCAACAACACACAGAACAACTGGAAAGGCTTCCCGTTCCTCTTCGCGCTGTGCACCGCAGCGAGTATGTCATCTGGTTCGGTGCGTCGAATTACCCCTTTTTGGGGAAAGGCTGAACAGCGATGCCAGGCGTGGATGTGGAGAAAGGCCGCCGAGACGCTGTCGCGTGGGCGGATCGGAACCGGTCGTACGCGGAGACGGGGGTGTATGTCGAGGAGGACGCCTCGCTAGACTCCAAAGACTATGGAAAGAAGGCATGAGGAGTGGATCTTTTTTCGCGAGGATCCCACGTGCGAGGATCGTCGAAGTTCATGAAGTGTTATGACGTTGAATGACGCTAGAGCAGGGAACGTACTACGCGATACGTTGGCCGTATTCTAGGATGGATGGCGCGACACGACGGTGTCCAGGTCGGACAGGGGCAAGTTCAGTCTATGTTTCTGAGAGGATCACTTACAGCGCGTCGAGGCCTACTAATATGGTGTTAGAATGAACACTGACCACACTACCGAGGACATGCCTCGTAAACGAGAGGCTGCTCGAATTCAATTGACGCACGGATAAAGCATTGCTCTCCAAGAAGGCTTAAGTGGTTTCTCCCGAGACTATTTAGACGTGTTGCCGATGGTTAGTTTGCCTACCGCTGCGTCAACATTGCTGCTTCGGCAGCAGAGGTTCTCGCACCATGGTTGGTACTATGTAGTACTTGCTTCGATTTTCATGCAAACGCACCTACCTCTTCGAAACGACGCAGCGTGCGGCCTTCTCAAGATTTCGACGTCTACACACGGTGTTGAGTATTGGTCCGTATCTCTTCCCTATTGATGTCCTTCTGAGCCGCTGACCATGGAGACTGACAGCTCACCGTCGTCCTTGGGCTTTCGGATGTGTCATTCCTTTTCTGTCGCCAGCCACGTTCACAGCCGCCGCTGATACCCAGCGCCGCCCTGCACGTTTCCCCTCCTCGGGTAAGTGCTCATGTCAAATCTATGTCCCCTAAACAAGTCTGATAATCAGAACACCGCCGACAAACAGCTTTGCCATACATATGTCTTCTGATTGCATGGTGTGGGCGTCAGGGCATGAGAGCTTCACAGTTCAACACGAGGCCTTCCAAAAGCAGGTGCGCGCATCCCGTGCAGGATGAGGGTGGGACCGTGTCGGCATGGTCCGGTGTAGTCGGGAAGTCCTCAAGGCCTCAGGCCTCATGTGCGATAGTTCCCGCCTCTTGTACCGCCGGCCTCCGTGTGCCCAAGCCTACGAATGGCTCACACCAACTGACTTCCGAGTCCTTGCTACCACTCCACCGTCGCGCAATGGCGCTGGAGAGTTTGTTCTGCATCGTTGCGCGGTTGATTGAGCGGAAGTGAAACGGGCGACGGAGACTATGAGGAAGACTAACCTCAAAAGGTGGTGTGAGATGCAATGTTCTGAATCCATTTCAAGTTGCCTCGTTAGCGCTCTATCATACTAATAGGAGGGCGTGGACCGAGCGATCATATAGCCTTATACGAAGCCAGTAGGCTATGATAGTGCGAAGGCTTATCCCAGACAATATGGTGTGAAGCAGGTATTCACGTAGCGATAATTGTTGAGCCTGTGAGCACACTTCCGCTAACAGGACATCATATGCGTTCTGTAAAGACGGGCGGCATGTTGAAATTCAGCGGCTGTATACAAGCTGTATAGCATCATGATATTGCGTGCCTGCTATACCGCAAGAATCGTCACGTCATGGTGCACTGATAATCTCAGGTCAATCGGGCACAGTACTATCGGATGGTATCACAATGCGAGCTTCATTTCATCGATGGTACAACGCAGCTAGACTTCACAATACACATTCCCCCCAACTGCGACAGGCTTAGTACTCGGCCACCACGATCTCGTCGGTGTGCTTCGCAGCCTCGCGCTTCGCCTTCTCGCGGTCAACGAAGTCGAGGCCCTTGGTCTCAACCAAGCGGTCGACAAAGGCACCAGCGAAGCCAGCACTGGGAGCAGATGAGCGCAGCACATTCAGCAGCAGAGCGGACACTTACAGAAGCTCCTTCGCCTCGGCATGGCTCGTGGGCTTGCCGTTGGCCGCGACGTGCTTCTCGTAGGCCTTGGCGGCCTGTGTAATTGCGGTCACTAACGGTGTCCAGCGCGCAAGAAGTTGTGAGCAAGCCTACCTCGTAGGACGCAGCGCCTGCGATCAGCTCATGGGAGAGCTCCGCCTTGTGGGGGGCGTTGTTGACCTGCAGAGACACAAGGACATTGTGAGGGCGAAGTCGAGACACGGCACACATAGCGAACGCACCTCGTCGTAGGCCGCAGACTTGTCGGAGTCGTCAAACCAACCCATGTTTGCAAGTGTGAATGTGGATGAGAGTAGTAGTAGAGGAAGGGGCTTGGGTTGGGACGGACTGTGCAAGGGGCCTTATATACGCTTCGGATCGGCGAGTTCCTGACATCACCTTTCCATAGAAGGCTGCTGGCCCTTGGGCGTCGTCGCGCACGCTCGAATTTCGTTTAGCCGATGAGTCTAGAGAGGGGCCTGAAATAGCAATCACAACTGATTGTGCTGATTCGGATCCGTCCAACAGCAACGGCTGCTATCTCCCTTCCGGCCCCAGGGCGCTGCGATGCTGTGGTATCGCCATCCGGGAGTCCATCGCCAACTGTCACGAGTGCTTCAGGGTGAGCAACCAGCAGACAGAGTATTTCATTACTTCGCGCTCAATCTCGTGCACAATAGATCTGGATGCGCAGTCTTAGACTGGCACAGACGGCCGGCCGTGGCAACTCAGGGAGCCCCTGTGTCCTTGTTCACCAGGAAGCAACAGGGGTAGTGATACCGTGTCTCCACCGCTCGTCTCGCAGCAACCAGCATGGTGCTCTCCTCTGAGGGCCCGCAGTCGGTGGCGTCAGGCTCCGGGGCACCGAATCACAACAGGCCTGATCGCACAGCCAGCATGACGTGCTCAGAACAATCGAAGCAGCATGAATTGAGGATCGCGTGAGATGAAGCAGTTCTCTGCTCCTCAGGCCTCATGAGAGGACAACGCCCCACTTGCCATGGTGATCACCGCATGGCCACTGCCATTGGAGAGATCATTGACTGCGATGGTGTGCTCATGTGTTGTACCGATGGACCGATGGCGTCTGGCAGGTAAGGCGGTCTCATCAGCGAGGGAAATCCCCGGCTGCGCAGGAGGGAACCATGCAAGCGAGCACAGGCCTAATTGTGCGAAGCATGCATGATACCCTCCTTCGCGAGGCTACTTTTTCAGGCAAGCCATCATGCTCACATGCGAGCAGTCAATGGAGCAAGATGCATGCGTAGCCGGTCCATACATGTGGTGCGGGGCGCGTTCTTACTACGACGAAGCGCTGGAATGATACGCATCCGTACCCTCCGCCATAGGTCGCTTTGCCATCCTGACGAGCACTGTATTCGTTCGACAGGGTCAGCTGCAAGAGCTGTTCAAGTGTCCATGAACTAGTTTGCGTACCAATGGCCAGCTCTGTAGCGTGGTGCAAGGCAGTTGAAGCGTCTGCACCGTCACAACTCATTGCGCCGGTTGACAACATCATGACCCATCGTCCTGGGCCTCCTAGCCATGGCAGGTAGCTTGCGAAACCAGTTCTGCAGATAATGGGGCTCTAACGACAAACTGTGGCGAGTGATAGGATGAACAGCAGTACTTGTACTTATGCACCGTGTGTGGAGGACACGACCTGGCGGACCAGTGGCGGTGGCACGCACCCGCCGCCGACGTGGTTCAAGACACGATCGGGACACGCGCACGTGCCTTTCACGTGCTTCCGTGCGAGAGTCGGCCCGAGCGGGTGCATCATCGAGGAGCCGCCGGCGGGTGCAGCGTCCGCCACACTTGCTCTGCTACCACTACAATCTCGACAACATATATCCTGCTACTCTACGAGATACCTACCTAAACTTAATGTCGCAATCGAAGTACACCGCGGATGGCAGGCGTACCGCTCGTTCTGAACTGGACGTAGATTACGTCGTTGAAGCGTACGTACTCTGGCCTGTTACATGGTACTCGTCTGGCTGAATATCGCGCATAGACATATACAAGCGTTCTCGCAAGCACTTCAAACGGAGGATTTTGACCTTAATGATGAAGCTCCTAATGTCACAAGTGCACCGATGAGTCCCGGACCTCGCGTACGGAAGATCTCTGCGCTCTCCGACTTCGCCCCAGTCAATATCAAGGTAAAGAGGTAAGCTGACAAATGCGTTAGAGTACTGGTGTGTTCCTTACAGACATTCAGAAGGAGGAAACCGAGTCAGCCGGAAAACAAGCGGCAAGAATGGCTGTACATAATCGTGCGATGGCCGCTATTGGTGCGTCTCCCGATGACTTGGACACCATCTGCCTAATCGTTTACAGGGCCTCATATTCCTATTCATCGCGATGGAGTTTGGTATGTACATCCTGATTCGGCAAATGGTCAACGCAAAGGAGTGGCTGTCCGCATGTGAGCATTCTTACTGTTGCACTCTTCGGTTGCTGATGCAGAAGGTAGGGCGAGGCCGCAAAGGAGTATTGAGACAACGCCTACGGAGTGCACAAACATATCAGGTGCGTCGACTGAGATAGTCCGGCATATCCTCTGTCTGAGTGAGCCCATAAGGAATGGAAAGATGCCGCCCTCGTTCTAGACGAGTATATGCGCTTCGATGAGTGGAAGCACGCAGACGAGGATCCTTTCTATGACTGGAGGCTGGTCAGGAAAGTCAGGAAGTCTTTGAAAGCCCTGCGAGAAAAGGGGGACGCGCGCGGACTTGTCGGAGTCCTTGAGACTTCTCTCCGTACGAACTTCGCTGGGGTGGAATCATCGAGGTAAGCTCGCTGATTGGGTACCGTTCGCTACCTCATCTAACACTTTCTAGGTTGTACAGTGAGGTGAGGGATAGGATCGATTACTCGGGGATGATTCTCCAGACTCACCATGATCTTACTGTAGACTTTCTATGGGACGAAGGACCTCGTCGAAGACTACATCAATGAGGAGGCGAAGGCCCTAGAATTCGTGCGCGAATCTACGGACCTTTCAAACGACGAGAAGCGGCGTTTCTTCAAGGGTGTGAATACGAATCTAGGAACGTCTGCTCTTTGCCTGTCTGGTGGTGCTTCCTTCGGTTATTGTATGTGTGCGATGAAAGACACAACTTCTGTGACTCACATCAGCACCTCTGTAGACCACTTCGGCGTTGTGAAGGCCTTCTTGGACGCCGGACTGATGCCTCGCGTCATTTCGGGCACGTCTGCGGGAGGTGTCGTAGCGGCTATGGCCTGCACACGCACAGATGCAGAACTGAGACTTCTGCTCACTCCGGACTTGGCCAAACGTTTGACTGCATTCGAACAGCCATTTCAGGTTTGGTTCAAGAGGTTCTGGTCTACCGGCGCTAGGTTCGATGCCGTCCACTGGGCAGAAAAGGTAAGGCATCGATCTTGACCGCGATCAAGGACCGCGACAGATTATCACCGTTCACTAGCTTTGCTTCTTCACGCGCGGTTCCATGACATTCCGGGAAGCGTATTTGAGAACCGGGCGGATACTGAATATCTCAGTGGTCCCAGCTGATCGGCATTCGTGAGTAGTTCAGGCAATTGTTAGCCCTGACCTGTTGCTGAGGCCACCGTTCAGACCAACGAAGCTGTTGAACTACATGACGGCGCCAGACACTGTCATCTGGAGTGCTCTCTTGGCATCCGCAGCGGTCCCCGGCATCTTGAACCCTGTCGTTCTGATGCAGAAGTTAAAGAATGGTTCCATTGTACCGTGGAACTGGGGAAGCAAGTTCAAGGACGGCTCACTGAGGTAAGTCCCGCAGTCACGGGCTGGATGCTTTCTAGGCACACTCACACCATCACCAGAGTTGACATCCCTGTGCAAGCACTGAACCTGTACTTCAATGGTATGCATATAGCTGCCGGTGAGGAACGATTGATGGATACTGATAGTTGGACAGTCACACATCCGATTGTGTCTCAAGTAAACCCTCACGTACATTTGTTCTTCTTTGCTCCGCAAGGGTCTGCTGGCAAGCCGGTGGCGCATCGGAAGAACAAGGGTAAGACTGCTGGCGCTGTTGACCATTCGTCTAGCTGATTGGAGTTGTCAGGATGGAGAGGGAACTTCCTGTTGTCGGCCGGGGAACAATGGCTGAAACTCGAGCTCACGAAGAATTTCAAGGTATGTTTATCATATGGCCCGGAGCCGCACAGTACTCACTCTTACGCCGCAGTTGATTCGTGATCTCGACTTGCTGCCACAACTTTTGGGGCAAGATTGGTCCAGTGTCTTCCTGCAGCGCTTCGAAGGCAGTGTGACGTGAGTACACTGGGATCGTATCGTCTGCTGTGATCAATCACTGAATGGCGTTATGCTGCGAATGTAGAATTTGGCCACGGACGCGCTTCCAGGTACGCTGATGTGTATCTTTCGTGGCCCAAACAATTCATCAACCTTCTGATGGCTCAGGACTGGCTTCATATCCTTAGCGACCCTGATGAGGCCGAGCTGGCCAGGATGCTTCATGTTGGACAGCTCGTTACATGGCCGAAGGTAGGCCGATCACATCTCGTTGTAAATGTCTAGTGGTTGACAGTCTGCCAGTTGCACATGATTGAGAATCGCTTCCGGCTCGAGCAGCAAATATTCCTTGGACGTCAGACCGTGCGCAAAGCCATGCAGGCCCGCGGCCAAACAGCCCGCAAGGGCGAAGCAGCACCACAAGGACGCATTCCCGAACCCAACACAGGCACGAAACTACCTGTTGTCGCCGGGACGCCAGTCGTTTCAACACTATCGGAAGGACCCCTGCCCATGGACACGGATGCCGAGGCAGCCTATCTGTCGCGCGCGCAGAGAGAAGAACAGCGAAACGCAGCGCCCGCGGCTGCTCCTGGCCCTTCGCAGGGCGCCGGAAGCTCAGAAGCGCGCCGCCCGTCTGGCAGACGCCGGCGTGTGCAGAGCGTGGCGGAGCAGGTTGAGAAGGAGGCAGCGAGGGATGAGCATCACGGCCGAGCGACGCCGGATCCCCTCCTTCGCCGCAGCCCGGCGATGTTCAGCAACAGCAGGCCTATGCCCAGGCACGCCAGGCGTCGACGTCGCACGCGAGCCCGGTGGAGTTCCTACGCAGGCTGGGCCAGGGGTCGCCGTTCTCGACGTTCGCGTCGTTGAGGGGGAAGAATAAGCTGCGGGCGACAGACTTTCCACAGGAGGCGGGCGGCGAGCCGGTGTACTCCGGGGATTCCTCGTCGGATGACGATGATCTGTCGATCATATCGAGGCGGCAGCGACATTCCTCTTCGTTCGACATTCGGACTGACTTTGAGAGGAGATACTCGCAAGTGGCAGCGAGGATGGAGAGTACTGATTATTCACGTTCATTATCAGTCGCTGCTCAGCGATGTCTATTTCATTGGATGGGGGGGGGTTGTCTGTTACGGACTCATTTGCAACTCGACGCCTCGATATACATACGTGTGCACACATCTGCTTGTGTTGTAGTGTAGATTTGAAAGTGTATAATCGTAACACGGGTTTTGCATGCTAGCTGCTGGCTCGTGAGTCGGAGTCGAAGTCTTCGGTGGTTCGTAGGCGCCCATGGGCGCTTACACGGTCATGTGGATGTCACGATGCGCCACAGGCGCGTCGTGTGCCGCTTTTGTGAGTGCGTCCACATTGAGGGCGGCATTGTACTTTAGAGTCGAGTTGACATTACTCTCGAGGCAGCTTGTGCACGAGTCCACCACCAGGCTGCTCCTTCTCGAGAGGCATGTCGACGAATAGTAGGTACCCGACCGGCGCTCCTTGCGTATCGGACAATCTTCCCACGGGCTGGAAGATGAGGAGAGGACTGCCGTCGAGCGGAGGGTCTATGCTCCTGCTCAAGTGGGTCAGAAGATGCCTCGTGTGCCCTCCTCGTTCTCAGCGCCCCGGGTCTTGCTATCTGCATCCTCTTCCTCGTCCTCACGTCGACTGGCAGCATATTTCAACGGCTCTCGAGGTACTTGCACAGAGTAGCGTCGCGGACGATCGTAAATTTGCACTTCCTCCGGATTTCGGGCGATCCCTGTGCCCATCCGCATGGCGAAAGGAGCGAAAAGACAACCGAAGCAGAAGGCCCAGGACAAGCCTGCAGATCCTCCGCCCTTTGTGGAAAATGCAGTCGCTGTCGATCCTGCATTAGCTATCACCGAAAGCATACCGGTTCCACCACCAGCGGTCGTCCTTGCATCCGAGCCAGCGGCGATCGTCTCAATCGAGGAGAGTCAGCAGGGCGTTCCAGGTATGTCAGTGCGCTTATCTGCACCACGTAAACTTAGCATGAACACATAACAATAACAATGTCGCTTTCCCCTTCATCGCCCCCGTAATCCCCGCGTTTCTGCATCTGCCCTATCATGCCCCGTGCTCGTCGCGGCGCCATCTCTCAACAACAAGGTGGCTGGTCTGGTGCTCAGGATGATGGGGCTACGGGTGCGGACGACGGCTGGGGCGCAGGCGCGAGTGGGGGTGACTGGGGCGCGAGTGCCGATGCTGCTGGTGATTTGTGGGGAGGAGGCGCACAGACCAACGATCTTGACTGGGGGACATCCGGCGGTGCAGCTGTCGGTGGCTGGGACGATCAGGCAGCATCTGCAGCCCCGCCAGCCGAGCCGACAAAGAAGGAAAAGAAGTCCAAGAAGGCGGCTGCTGCTGCCGCTGCCGCCTCTGCGCCGCCCGCTGCGACGTTCGCCGGCCTGCCAGCGAACTTTGGTGCGCCGCCGGGGACGATCTCGCTGGCTTCGCAGTCGCCCGCCGTAAAGGCCGCATCAGGATGGGGCGTCAATGAGGGAGGGGCTAATGGTTCGCCCGCCGCCAAGGCCGATGACGATGCGGGCGATTGGACACCAGCGACAGCTGCAGGCGGCGATGGCGCATGGCGCGACCCCAGCGGAGGTGCGCAGAGCACGTATGCCTGGCCGGTGCCCTCGTCTGCTGCTGCTGCCGCACACCCACCGCCTCCAGCACCGCCTCCCATGCAGGCGCCCACAACCAGCACTCAATCACACGGGGCGACCGCAGGCGGGTGGAGGAACTGGGCTAACGAGGCCCGTGGGCTGTCGGCCAACTTGAAGGTGACTACTGCTTCTGCTTCTGCGAGCCCTCTCCCTCCTCCTCCTCCGTCCGCACCGCCTTCCTCTATCCTTCCGCTCGCTGCTGCTGCGCCTCAGAAGGACAGGCCTGCGATGTCCCCGGAGCAGCAGACCGACCGTCTGCGCTCGCTGCTCACGCATCCGAGTTCGAGCCACGCTAAGAGTGCTCCTCCACAGCCGCAGCACCCAACGTACATGAGCTCGCCTGCGGCAATGGATAGACGACAGCAGGCAGCGTTGTACCAGCAGGCCGCTGCGGCGATCGGACGCCAGCTCCCCCACCACCAGCAGAAACAGCAACAACCAAGTCTTGTTCAGCAACAGGCCTCGCTAGCACGGCAGCAAGCAGAACAGGTGCTGCAGCAACGCATCGCGCGGGCGCACCAACAGCAACAACCACAGCACGGCGGTGGCAAGAGCAGCAAGCCATCCGCGCAGCCAATACAGCAGTCCGACAGCTGGGGCAACGCTGGATGGGGAGGTGGCGGATGGAACACAGATCCGATCCCGGAGGAGGACGAGGAGGAGTATGAAGACGACGATGGATGGGGTGAGGAGGAAGAGGAAGAAGAGGAAGAAGACGACCGGGGAGAGCAAGACGGGTATGGCTATGGCTGGGGGGTAGGCAAACAGGCTGCAGATTGGGGACAAGCTGCCCAGCCATCATCGGGCTACGGCCAGCGTGTGCGTTTCTCTCCGACTATATCTTACCAGGCCGAGTATCCCGGCTCTCGCGCTCCGCCTCCCGCCCCTGCGCCTCCCGGCCCTGCACCTGCAGCGTTTCATCCTTCTACCGCCGCGCGCCCACCCACTGCTTACCACCCTTCTGCTGGCCAACCCAATCCGTATCACCCTTCTGCTGGTCAACCCAATCCATACCAACCTCCTGCTGGCCAACCCGGCCCTTACCACCCTTCTGCCGCCCCACCCTCCGTGTCGGCCACCCCCGCCGCATACCAACCAGCCCTATGGTCTAATGCCACGAATCCCTCCCCCTCCAAGACGTTCGCCATGGCCTCCGGTCTGCCACGGACAACACAGACGACCGTGTTCGAGCTACAGCCGCCACGGAACGGCCTCGGCGAGAACTCTTTCGCCACCTCTCACGGACACGCCCTGATGCCCGCTGAGCGCGCTCTCTTCTCGCGCGATCGACCAGTGAGGCAGCGCATCCGATGGTCGTTCAATCCGGACAAGGACCCGCGAGTCTCGAGCCTGCTGAAGTGGGTGACTGCGATGTCAAATGGCCTCGCCACGATCGGGGTGAGCGTGTCATCGCCAGTATAATGGGCACCTGTACTGAAGGAGTCCTTCGCAGCTGCAACGCTTCCTCGAGACGGGTGAGCGAGGCGCGCTCGTCGCCAACGCCGACTACCGCGTCCCGGGGACCGCCCAGCCGGCCTTCGACTGGGTCACAATGGGGCAGCTCCAGAACACGCTCGACCGCGTCCTACAAGAGTCCGTCACGCTGTACGACCCCGCCGAGCAGGTCATCGTTTTCGTCTTCCTCCTCTCGAACTCGGGCAACAGCATGGCGGTGTGGCGGAGAAAGCTCAGCGTGCCCGAGGCGCTGCGGGAGACACACGACGAGGACATCCAGGCGACGAAGGCAGAGCTGGAGGCGGATTACCCGGTGTATGTCGACGAGTGAGTCGCCGGCCACGTGTCTCTGCCTCGCTTTGCGTGTGCTGACTTAGATATTACAGGCTGGCTCCCCCTGCCGAACCCCCCAAGAAGAAGCGCAACTTCCTGTCCAAGCTCAAGTGGCGCAGAAAGGAAAAAGAACAAGCAAAGTCATGACCCGACACGTCTCCATGTTTCTCTGTTTGATTACTCTACTCCCCTGGTGTTAGACTTCGGTTTGCTCGTCGTTTGCTGTCGATCCTCGCTACTCAACTTATCACATCATACTATTGTCGTCGCTGGATGTATCCCTTCTTGCCCAGTGTATCATAGCTGTCTCACTGTACAATAGATTGCTCACAATGGATGGATGGACGAATGGATTCAGGTCACAATCACTACCTGGCAGTCTGATATCGACCGACTTCGTACATCGACTCGTACTGGGGTATACACGCGGGTTTGAAGCTACATCACTCTCGCCGAATGGGTGCCTCCTCATACCAGATCGAGAACAAGCAGAGCAGAACAATGTAGAACCGAACAGACAACTAGTAAGTAGGGAACCGTATGATTTCATAATGCATCGGGCGACTCGTACACTATGAACAAGGGACGCAAGCGGTCAGTGGTCAGCGAGCAGCGAATGGCGAACAGGAATGAAAGACGTCGCGCGCCCAGGGGGAGGTAAGTAAACGTATTGACGGATGGGGCCAAGTGTCCAAGGGGCATTAGGGGCGTCTGCATGAGAGAGGTTTCAGTATGGACCAGATAACGCATTGCAAGTCATAAATTCATGAGCATGTCGTAACGGATATGATGCGTGGCAGGGGGAAGGTCTGAGGGCAAGTCCAAAGGCGGGTCCAAAGATACCAGTATGTGGTGACTATCATGTAAGGTGCAGCGTTCGCGGCGTGATCAGCAGGGTGGGAGGTGAGGGGCGGCGGACCCCACAAGGGCTAGAGGATACTCGGCCATTTCAGCCGGAGACCCTCGAGCCAGCGCATATAGAGCAGTTCGGATATAGGCGACTTGCGTGTCGGGGAGCCGGGCTCGGCGTCGCCCGGTATTGGTGACGAAGACGAAGGAGGCATGCCGCTGATCTCTTCCTCCTCGGTGACGATGAGCCCTTTGGCCGTCATCTCGCTCTTGCGAATAATCCGTCTGTGAGGGAAGAGACCGCGTGCCGTCTGTACGTGCTGCCGCACAGCAGAGTTGCTACGGCGGCGATGAGTGAAACGGGGCAAATCGAAAAGGGGGAAAACTTACTCGTTGATGCCGGCGAGTAGGTCGAGAACAATGTTGTAGGCAAGCTCGGGGTTGACGTCCCTCAGCTCTTCGAACCCTCGGGAGATCATGCTCAGCGATTCTATCTCGCGAGCGTCCATGTCGTCCCTTGTTGCCTAACATTACGAAATCAACGACCCGAGAAGAAATGCACGCACTCCCGGTCTACACACCTTGTCTAGTATTGGCAGCAATACCTCGTCGACGAGGGACTTGCCTGCCTTCACCGCCTCACTCGCTACTCTCCTATGCGGAGTCTTCGTACTCGACGGCGAAGACGGCGCCGAGTTCGATCCCTCGCGGCTCCTCGTCGTCCCGACATACTCTTCGCTCATCCTCAACGAGCGCACCGTATCCACCTTCTTCACCGGTCGGATCGTATCGACGCCCGTGCCCAGATCCGCCTCGCCAATCACAGTCCCATTCGCGTTGTTCCGTGCCTGGTAGCTCGCCCTGCGTGTCGTGCGCACTGAGCCCGTGTATGCAGGCGGCGGCTCGTTCATCGGGGGCGTCGCAGGCTCCGCACTGCCCGCCGTCTCATCGCTCACGTTGTCAGACATGAGCGAGGGCACTGCCTTCTCGTCTGCGGGCGGGCTCAGCGTTCGGATGATCACCGTCGAGTGCTGCGCGCCTGCGTTCATGCCGAGCGGGAGCGGCGCACTCCCACCTGTCGTAGCCGCCGTTGTGTCTATCGTGCCGTCGTTGTCGTATATCGAGGGCTCGTCATAGTAGTCGTCTTCGTCGGGGATCATCTCGGGCGGTAGGAGGTCCCGCGCCATGCTCCGGATCGAACCCATGGCTGAATTTGTCCGGACAGTGTCGAAGCTCCAATCGCTCCGGAGTGTACCATCCCATGCACCGCTATTGCGCGCGGTCGCCTGGTACATTTGTGGTGCCTTGCCTGGTGCGCGGGCACGGTAGTCCTGGTACCGCTCGACGAGCTCAGTAAGGTATGACGTTTTCCGAGCACTCTTGATGAACCGGTGTTGTAGGAGATCTTTGGCTGAGGGGCGCTGCAGATACATTCAGTATCGATTCGTACAGTCAAGCGTGAATAACTCACGGTGTCAGGATCCTTTGTGAGGCACTGAGTGATGAAGTCCTTAAAGGTCGCAGAGAAGGCACCTTCCAGGGTAGGTGGCTTCGCTTTCGGGATGAGGAATAATACCCGCATGGGATGGTACTCCGCTAGTGGTGGTTCGCCCTTCGCCATCTCGATCGCGGTGATACCCAGACTCCAGATGTCTGCCTTCGCGTCATAGCCTGCTTGCCTAATGACTTCCGGCGCCATCCAGAACGGCGTCCCCACGAATGTATGCCGCAGTGTACTGGTCAGTTGAGCCGCTACACCGAAGTCTGCAAGCTTGACTTTTCCCGAGGCCGAGAGAAGCACGTTCGCGGCCTTGATGTCTCGATGAATCGTACCCTCGCTGTGGAGGTAGTCAAGTCCTTGCAGGAGTTCCTTGCAAATGACCGCTATGTGCGGCTCCGAAAAGACGCCTGGTTTAAGGAGGTCGAGACAGGAGCCACCGGCCAGGTACTCCATGACGATCCACAGCTTGTATGCGACGACGAAGGAGCCATAGTACCGCGTCACGTAATCAGAGTCAAACTGCGCAAGACTCGCGATCTCCTGCTGAATCTCAGAGATGTCGTCGTCCGAGTCCTCGAGGTCTAACGCGGAGCGTGAACGATGTTCACAGTTGGGCAGCACACCGACAGAGCACACTCACCGATCTGTTTGATAGCCACGATTTGCTTGGTGTCGTTGTGCATCGCTTTGTACACGGTACCGAAGCTACCCGTGCCTAGCTTCTCGAGGAGCGTGTACTGGCTTGCAGGGTTGTTGCTCGGTATAGGGTAGGGCTCCGGCGGACGCTTGTCGCGCGCCGGCGAGGCCGGCGGAGACTTGGTGAGCTGCCTGGGCTGTGAAGCATGGCCATGGTCAGAGCTGCCCGACTTGCGCAGGAGCTTGGAGCCCGATGACACAACACGCTGCATTGCGAGCGACTCGCCGGGGCGGGGCGGGGGCAGTGAAAAAGTGGCGAAACACTACTGGCCTGTAGTAGGCCTAGCTCTGAGACGCGCACGACGACGACCTCTGGCCCCACACACGTGAAGGACCCATGAGGCGAGCTCAACATGCCGGACGTCACCAATCCGCATGACTTTATCTGCAAACACGCGCCCCGCGAGAAGCCATGAGGATCACTAACCTTGTTCATCACCGTTGTCGCCAGTCAAGTAAGTATCGTAGATGGCCGCGCTGTAGCCCTGGACGCAGCGAGGAGGATCACGGAAACTTTGACGCGTGCGTCGGACGAGTGGGGCCGGTAGTCGCGAGAGGCACAGGCGCGGGGCCTGCCTTTTCAGGCGAGTGAAGATGGCGAAGCCAGGTCTGTCGTTAGGGCGATACGACGAGGGCACGGCGATCAGGGTGCGAAGGGAGGGCAGCGGGGAGGGCGAGGAGGAGGAGGAAGAGAGAAGAGGGAAGCTGAGGTCGCGTCGAGCATGACGTGAGGCAAGGCGCGAGCGGAGATCGGCTCAACTTGCCACGATCAGCTCTTGTCCTCCCGCCGCCCGCCACCGCCCCGAACGGCACCAGCCCGCAGCTGCACTCTTTCTCTGAAACACCCCGCCCACCGCGCTATGCCTCATTTATTGCCTCAGTCTTGGCCCGCTCGCTGGCGACGACGGCCGCTGCTCTCACAGGCGTGAATAGCAGCAAAGCCTCCGGCTCGCACGCTGATGGCACACGCACAGATGCTTAGGATAATCCAGCGAGCATGTGCACCCGCATCCGCCTTCCAATCCTCGGCGGTGTCGGCCACCGCCGCTACGTTGATCCGACACACACACTCTGCCTGCATGAGACGACATATGGCATAGGAAGCGTGGAGGGTCGGTGGTGGCGTACAGCATACATGATGAAAACAAAGTCAAAGAACCCGCTCCCTGTCCAGCAGCAAACACCGCGCTCATGCTGCCTTCACGGCGTACTTCCTCAGCGGGAAGTGGATGTCCTTCTTCCGCTGCTTGAGGGTCTTTTGCTTCTTTTCGTGCTGCACAGTATCGCATCAGCACAACGTGCATAACAAAAGTAGTGCCACGCACAGGTGTCAGTCTCCGCCGGATCGCCCGCGTCTTCTTGGGACGCAGGTCCAGAGGTTTGTACTTCTTGTCCTTGTAGAACTCCCGGAGGTTCTGTCTTTGCTTTTGGTTCATCACCGTCAAGACCCGGGCAATCGACTTGCGGACAGTGTTGCTACAGAACCAAGGTTTAAATCAATATAAGTTCTGGGCAGACCGTTCGGATACGCACATCTTCGTCAACTTGGCAGCAGAGCCACCAGCAATCTTCTGCACCCGCAGGTTCAGGAGCTCGTTCTTGAGCTCGGCAAGCTGCTTCGACAAGTCACTCTTCGACCTGGCAGTCCCGATCCTCAGTCCCCTGTCCTGTCAAGCACACAGTGGAAACGTACTTGGATTGCAGCTCATATGCCTTGACTTTGCCGGGCATTTTGGTGATATCTATCAACACAGGCAGACTTCAGTACAGCTGCATCCCAGAAGAACATCTCGGGGACCGTCGGAAACGTCGCCAAGCATGCACATCAATCCCCGGCCGCATGAAGACGTCCCCGACAGAGTCTCGATGCACATAAACAGCAGTATTCACCTTGAGGAGTGTCGTGGAGGGTGTACGCGCCGATCCGGGAATGGCTAGTAGAGCGTGGGACCGAGCGTTTACCAACTGTGCAGTTGCAGCAGCCACAGTCCCACGCTTGCCACCTGCCCTTCCTGGAGTTTGCCGCCGCCCTTTGGCCACACTCGACGGTGGCGCCCACTGGCTTGCGAAGTCGAACTCACAATCGTCCCCTTGAACTCTGATATGGACTCGCGCTGAGAATGGGATCCCCATGAGGAGTAGAACTGCTTAAATCTACACAGATTGTACCAGCTGCCAGGGACACTGTTCGTCTTTGGGTTGTCTGCGTCATGGCCGGGGCGTCTGCCGCGCGATCAATAAAGATGTGGCCCTTCAAGCACCCTTTGTTCTTTTTCTTCGAGCTCCTGTCCCTGGCCTATAAGATCCGTTTCATTTTGACCTCTCCCCTCGTACTCCGCCTTCCCGATTGCTCCCCGAAGACTTTTTTTGCCGACTTACTGCCAGCATGTCCGCGATGTCTCAATCATATCCTCCAGGCCAGACCGCGCGCGACCTGCTCTACCTCTTCCCGCACGTCGAGGACGACACAATGTCATCAATCCTCAATCATTCTCTCCCTGGCGGCGACCTCTACAAGCTAGACTCACGACGCATCCTTGAGGCACAATGGGACCTCATCGACGCCTCTCTAGACGACAGCGCTCCGCCACACACGCTGCGTACCTCCCCGCACGCCGTCGACGTCTACCCCACGCTCGACGCGCTCCTCGTCCCGCTCAACGCATACTTCTCCGTGCTCACTCTGCACGGGCTCGCGCGTGGCCAGCCGACGATGCTCCCCTACTACTTCTTCCGCTACAGCAGCCACCTCGTCAAGATCGCGACGCAGTACGAGTGGCCCGCGGTGCTCCGGTATCACCTCGCGTTCTACGCGCGGCGGTGTAAGGAGATGCGCGTGGGCGAGTACGCTGGGTGGGGGAAGGTCGAAGTGGACCTGATGGAGCAATTCCTTGTGCCACACCAGAAAAACGTCAAGGTCGTGTATCCTAGTGGTGCCCCTCGATCGCGATGTATTAGGTACTGATACAATGCATTCTGCTATTAGTCTCGAAAAAGTGGCTGGACGAAGTGAACTGTGGCGGCGATCGTGCGTGGGCGGGCGGACTAGACTACAAATGTGCGGACGCGGTGTGCCCGGCCTGTGATAATGCGTACACTCTTCTGATGATACACCTCCTTCCAGATACCCACTCCTACCAAAAGCTTGTAGTCGATGATTAATGGGATAGCAGATCGCTTGGTTCATTTCCCTTAGGCGACGGCGAACCCGGCTGCGTCTTCTCCGTCGACGCTGTCTTCTCCGCGAATGAGACGAATCTAATCTCAGCGAGTCGTCCCTGGCCTATATTAGAGATTCACGCACCTGTGAGTTCGCACTGGTCGGCGGGGTCTGCAGCTCCTGCAGCTCCTTTGCCAGCTGCCGCATCCGCTCGATGCCGCGCCTGTCATTAGGACTGGTTACGTATCCGTGTCGCACCTCCATCTCGTGCATGAAGGCTGCGATGTCGCCTAGCGACCTGCCTACGGCTTGCAGCGCAGATGTTAAGGTCCTGCATGGCTCGTTGTGAGCAACAGCCATGCTCAACGGCGACTCCGTCTCCGACGATACTGATAGAACCGACCCTACCTGTTGCGCCCATGGTCATTATCCCTCAGGAAGGTCGAGATCCGCTCGTATCGCGCGTCCTCCCGCTCTGTGCGTCGCCCTTCGCTCTGCACCGTCGCCTCCTGTAGTTCCGCCACCGCCCATCTGACATCCTCTAGGAATTGGTGGGTCTTCGCGTCTGCTTCTTCCCTCCTCGGCCGTGCAAGCTCCTCTTCCACCGCCCTCTTACCCAGGCCTTCTACTGTCTCCTTCACCTCTCCCAACACCTCAAGGATGCTCTCCGTATTCCTCTTCGTCCATGCACGTCCGCGAGCTCCTTCTGCAACGCCGCCGCGTTCGCCGCCCTCTGCTTGCCCATCTCCTCGTGCATCACCGCGAGCGTGCGCCGGAACCCGACCATCTCACGCGCACGTGCAGTTAGCAGGGTGTTTGTGGTGCGTAGCTCGGTCTGCAGGGCGCCGAGCCGGCGGCGGACGAGGAGGTAGGGGACGGCGGCGATGGTCACGGTGCCGAGGACGAGCAGCGAGACGAACGCCCTGCGGCGCTCGTCGCGGTCTTTGGAGGTCAACGAGAACATCGCTGGCCGCGAATGCGGTTGTTGTTGGACGTGTGCGAGGAGAGAGGTGGCTACTTGTGCAGGGAGGGATGGAAACGGTGCGGACTGCGAGTGTGCGACTGACGCGTCTGCCGAGTGCGGGGTGTATATGATCGGCACGTGGTACGCGATTACGATACTTAGCGCCTGCCGGTGAGATCGCCTCTGAATACCTGCGTTCATGGCGGTGCTGATAATATACACAATTTTCCTACTCGAAATGCCGCCAAGAGGGGCGGCGCTACCTTGCTCGCGCAGGTGTTTGGAAGGGGACATCGAAAAATACAATAACATTTGAAAGATCATGAGGCTTCTGAACGTAGACTACTGTACAAAGATCGACGGCTTCTGCTACTATCGTACAAAAATTGAGACATCGCTATTGTACAAGACGAGATCGATATGGAGAGGTCGGGTGCGTGAGTCGGAACAAATACACACTGTTGTACAAGGGGAGAACACTAATACACGGACACGTCGGGAGCACCATTTGTGCGAGCTACAAACCCCGAGCAACCTTCTTGCCCTTTCGGCCATCGACAGACGCGTCGGAGAATCGCTTCGACGGAGACGTAGGCATCGGAGCGGGTTCCCTGACGACCTTGATCCTTCGTATGTCAAGGTACCAGTTGTCTTTGTTGAGTCTGGAAAAGTACTGGTGCGACATGGCGAGGGTGACCCTGACAAGCGCACCTGGCGTGCACAAGGCACAAGTTTGGTACGTGTTCAACGGGTGGTGTACATACCACGTCTCATGTTTACAACTTGAACAGACGGCACTTTCCCACATCATAAACTCATCCGGCAACGCACCTTCGCTGATCGTTATCTATAACGAAGCAGAGCTCTGGCTTGTTGAGATAGAAATCCAGATGCGGGGCAGGGTGCATTATCATTGGTGATTGCTATATGGACGCGAATCAGTATGATGAAAGACAGGGCACTGTATCATAAGTACTAGCATAGTACGTACCGGTAGTACAACGAGACAGCAGTGTACGAATGTGCTGTGCGGGGTGACGTCGCATCGTGGGGGGCATGAATAGGTCTGCGGGCGAATGTACTTAGTCTTCTTCGCGCGGACAGAGGGAGAAGCACGAACTAACGCACTGTCTGCTGAGCCCGTCGTGATCCTGTGGTCAGACATCATTCACAGGTCGGCTTGCAGAGTGCCCCGGGCTGGACTTGATCTGGGATTGTCGGCGCGGTGACAATCGCGTCACCATTTGCACTATCAGCGCGAAGGAGCACGTTCAAGTGCAAGTGAATCAACACTCACTTGAAGACGAACTGCTGCCCTTCCATCAAACGGCTAGCGTACTTCATACGTGACAGGTCAATCCGACAAGCATGCGACGCGGACATGCTGTTGGCAGGGTTAGGGCAGTAATTGTAGCGGAGCCATGGGAAGGCATATGGATGGGCAGGATGGCGGCGGCGAGAGGCATGTCTCTGCCGACTGAGATATAGTAATGGTAGTCGCACACCGTGCTCCAAGGCGCACAAGTAGTTGCAAACAGGACTAGATAGGGAGTCGAGCTCCCGCACTTGCCCATGAAAGGCGAGTGCTGCTGGCAACAGCGACCTGACTGGTTCACAAGAGGGAGAGCAGCATTCGGCCCCGAGGGGCCAGAATGAAGTCCCGCGCTGCTTGTTTTCGAGCCAGCCCGAACGCGCTGGTGGCTGCTCGTGCGGGGCGGGGCAAGTTGAGGATGCGGACACGTACGCGCGGTCGCAAGCGCCCGCACGGTGGCGCGCGACTGCAGCGATGTTACTCACCTCCTGCCGAAAGCACGATTTGCGGACGATTTTTCAGTACACGGAATGCGTGTTTTCGATGAAATGAACATATCTACCAATTTTTTGTCTCTTAATCTTCCACGCTGAGAGCTGGACGTGTGCTAAGGCTACGAACTCATGCGTCACACTCCGTGACAAACGGTGACTGAATCACCATTGTGTAACACGACTAAGCTTAAGTGGTGAATATGGCACAATAATACGAGCATGTTCAGATATGAGGAAGGCAGCATTGTCTAATCTCCATAACTCATATTGGCCCTCGACAGAGAAGCGGAATATTGTAGAGACGCTTCCTTAGAGTGCCGCCGCTCCGGCGCTTGTTTTCGCTGGCTAATGCAAGAAGGCAGACACTGCGTTGTACCCTAACCTTCTGTGAGGCTACTGAAAATTGGCAGAAAGTACCTTCAGTACTATATAATTCTCCTGAGCGACTTCATTATCCTTAGAAAATGATGCCCCTTCCACAGTTCAGGCCTGGGCATGCAGGTCGCAGTAGTAGCCGCATCTAGTGGGCGCTTGCGAGGGTTACCTTACAAGGTAACTGCCACCACCGCTGCCCAGCGTTAGCGCGAAGTGAATTATTCTCGTTCGTTGAATAATGCTATGCATGGTCATACATCGTGTACTCATTTGCCTGTAGTTTTTCTCCACCACAAAACCCTCCATAATTATGAAACAGTCTGACTCTCTGAATATATTTCGTGTCGATGCGCCGCTGCTCGATGTGTTGCTGCTAACGCACATGTGACATTGACAACAGGCACAAACAACTGTTCAAGCGCCCGGCAACAATTACAGACGAGAGAGCCTTGCTCTAGCGAGCAAGGGATGTAGTCTGACAGGACTTAAATAGCTCGGAGGGTCCGGACGTCCTGGGGACCAACGATGCCAAGACAGTTCAGTTTCCGAGTCAAGCTGCTATTGGTACATCGAATCAAACACAAGACTAGGCGGCCCGCTGGTCGTACAAGGAAGGTTGCGTATCCTGGGGGAGATCAAGTATCTTGGATATGATGACAGCACGCGATAAGAGCGGGTAAGGAGTACACATTGTACAGAGTGATGAGGGTCCGGGAGTATGTGAGAAGTCTCGCGGGAAACGGTATAGTATGGAGCGCATGCGCAAAGAACACGCACTGGCAACTACGCGGTATCGTCGTTCTAAACGGCATACAAGACCTGGGGCGCGAATCACTTCTTGCCCGACCAGCGGAACCTGTCGAGGATATCGCGCATCCACTCCGTCCCAGCCAGATGGCGCTCCACCGCCGCCGTCTCCGTCCTCTCGACGACGGTCTTCAGCTCCTGTATGCCTCCGAGGAGCTTGCCATCCAGCGTGCGCTGCTCGGCCTCTCGCCGCTCGCCCGCCCGGCGCACCTCCTCCATGCTGTGCTTCGCCTCCGATATCAGCCCGCCCAGCTGCTTGTACTCGCCCCGCCTGACGATGTCCTGCTCGAGCAGCTTCTGCATGTCTCTCTGCAGCGCATCGTTCGCGATCGTCGCGTGCTCTAGGCGTCGCTCTAGGGAGATGAACTGTCTGCGTAGTATGGCATACGGGAGCAGCGCAACCGCGCCGAGGAGAGCTGAGCCAACTAGAGTGAGGCGAATGAACGCAGAGTCTGAGGGTTGCGTGCGCGTCTCCCTGTCATCAGGGTTTAACGATAGACCCTCTGCTGAACGCGCAGTGATGTGGGGGGTGACTGACTCGCTGTGTCCGCTAGTCATGGTCAAGGCAGCCTAGGTGTGGTTCCCAGGTGCTGAGTGAGCGGAGGGCTTAAAGATTGCGTAGGCGCCCAGCTGCCACTGCGGGCCGAACAGTCACAGCTGCATGATCGGAAAATCCCTGCCCTTGGGAAGCGAACAACTACAGTCCACATCCCGCGAATCGAGCTTACACCCAGGCTCCTCCCCATCCGCCTTCGGGGGTAGAGGGGATGAATCTGAGTACGCCAATACGATGCTCTTTCTCGATCCTTAAGTCCTGTATCCAAAAAAGTACTAGTTGATACAAGTCACATGCACCACGCGAGCCAATTCAAACTCCCCAATCTTATTCCCCTCTACCCCCCTCTGGCGGCTGGCACAAAACATATACAAACACCCGGAGCCCGGTGATGGCGTCCTCCATATGGTAGCCCCATCAGCCGTCGGACAATTTCTCGGTGGACAATTAATGAGCATTTTCCGTTTTTCGTGAGCGAGCACGTGCGACGGTGCGACGCGTCGCGACGCGCCGCAGGCCTACTGTACGACGAGAAAACTACCAGTCCACCCCCTCGACTCCCTGCCCCTCTATCATGGCACCCAGTCAGTCAAGGATACTCTCACTTGAACAGATTCGCGAGACGACCCTTGCCAAGCTCGGTCGTTTTCCCTGTCGGTGGCAAGCGCACGCGACACAAGTCATCCTCGAACGCAAGAACGACCTCATCACTATTGCACCTACAGGTTCAGGGAAAACACTGACCTTTTGGATGCCACTTCTCTTCCGTGCCGACGGTATTCAAATTGTCGTGACGCCGCTCAATATTCTCGGCACTCAGAATGAGCAAGAATTGGCAAAATTCGGGGTGCGCGCGATTGCTGTCAGGGCAGAGACAGCGACACCGAAGGTTTTTCGTGTGAGTCATGGTTCGTATAGCCATATTCATAGGTTACTCACTGATTTGCTTAGGAGATCCGCGAGGGCAAGTACCGTGCAATCGTCGTCAGCCCGGAGGAGTTGATGAAGGTAGGCGGGGGATTCGAGGACCTGTGGAACGACGAAGGGTTCACCTCGCGAATCATGAGCATTGTCTTCGATGAGGCACACTGCATAAGTACCTGGAAGTCATTTCGACAAGACTACAAGAACATCGACCGACTCCGTTACCTTTTGCCGCATGTCCCGTTCGTCCTCGCCACAGCAACTCTGCCAGGCGAGATGCAGCGTGAGATCATGAAGACGCTGCAGATTCGCGCCGACCGCTGTACCGTGATACGGCGCTCGAACGATCGCCCAAACGTGCACATCGAAGTGCGTCGCATCAAGCATTCGCTCTCGGTTACGAGGACTTGGATTTCCTCGTCTTGCCGAGGACAGAGCGTGCAGCCGGGGACTTAATCCCAAAGTTCCTGGTCTTCTTCGATAACATCGACGATTGCGTCAGGGCTGGGGAGCATCTGCGAAGTCGGCTTCATCCAGAAGAGAGAGAAAAATACATTGGTTTCACGCACAGATGTCCGAGCAGTTCCGCGAGGATGATCTCGCGGCCTTCAATGCATCAAATCTATATGGCCTGTGTAGCACAGATTCCTTCGGAATGGTCAGTGAATTCAGCCCGAGGCTAGTAGAGTGTAACTAATGAAAAACTTACATTCGCAGGGCGTGAACGTCGCGGACGTTCGCATCGTCGTGCAGTGGCGGATGCCGCGTGATTTGAACACGTTGTGGCAGCGCTTTGGACGCGCCGCGCGTGACCTGACACTCAACGCAGTTGCAATCCTCCTTGTCGATGGTCGGTATTTGATGAAGAGAAGGAAAAGAAACAGCGCGCCGCCGAGAAAGCTGCCGAGAAAGCCGCCAAGAAAAGAAAAGCGGTCAATGATCCAGCTCAAAAGCCTACCAAGAGGGCACGTACCAATGACACACCGGCACATCAGCTGCGACAGCTACCTCGTCCATCACGAACATCGAGCAACAGCGGGAAGCTGCTAGTGAGACGGAGAGCGCAGATGCGACACGGCCTCCAGCTGGTGGTGTGTCAGAGGACCAAGGTCGGGGATCATCCCAGGAACCGCCACAACGTGGCGCCGGTGTGGGGTCGCAGGTCGATCTTGCGAGTTTGCGTGCAGACATCGAAGCAGCGCGTTTGTCGAGTCGACAAGGAGGAGCACGGAAAGGGAAGAAAACAGACCAGGAACGAGTGAGCTCTCGGCGGAGCTCGATGCGCTAGTCAACGCAGCAACAAGGCCGCACCGCTGCTATCGAGCGCCGATCATGGCGTACTACCGGAATGACCAAATCGGTAAGTGTGTTTACTCGCTTTGGTTCTGTGGGTCCGTCCGTCTGATAGGTACTTGCCTATTAGAGCCGGATGACCCTCCTTGCCTCGCCGAGGGCTGCTCTCGATGTGCCACACGGGCACCCATGCTCTGCTGTATCCTGTGCTCCCCCGATGCTCCCTGCTTCGCAGCAGTCGCGCCTCACGAATGCGATGCGGCGCCGCCTCAGCCGCGCGCGTCGCGCATCAAGAAGGACACACCATCTCGCCAGCCGGACGCGACCTCAGGACGGCCCTCGACACCTTCCGCCGAGAGCGGACAATCAACAAATATGGCCGGGCCTTACTCGACAACCTCGGCGCGAGCGTTGTTCTTCCGGACGACGCTATCGACCGATTGGTTGAGTGCGCGCAGGCTGGCAAAATCAAATCTCTAGACGACGTACAGCGCGAGGTAGGGAAGAAGTGGGGCAAGGCACGCGAGTATGGAGAGGAAGTGGCAGCCATAATACGGCGGTGCGTCATTCGATTCAGTCGGTCACCGTGCAGTTACTAAACGTTCTGTAGCATCTTCCCTCTAGACAATCCTTTCGTGGTCGCTCCGCTCACTCCTCGGCCGCAACCCGTCAACGCAGCGCATGTAGGCTCCTCGACCGCACCAAACCACAGCAGTGCTCTGGCTACTCCGACGCCGGCAAGACGAACTGTTCGGCAGTACAAGTGCAGCGCATGCGGCGCAGCTGGCCATAACAGTAGGCTTCATGAGTGTTGACCTCACCTCGGGATGACTGACGCGCATTGTGCAGAGAACAACCGATCGTGTCCTAAATATGCGAGCAAGGCTCAGCAAGAGAATGCCCCGCCGACGGCTGCGACGGCAGGCAATGCTGATGAGGGCCCGGCCTCAGACACAGACGAGCAAGAAGTGCAACCACGACGATCTCCACTTCCAGCGCCTTCGACTGTGTTGGACACTCTGTTCACGACTCCATCTTATCGACGTAATGCTCGGGTGGCAACACTCGAGCAGATCCGTGCAGAGCAACATAACCTTCAGTCGCCTCAGCAACAGGACACAGTGTCCACTCCAGGGAGGCGGGGCTGGTCACGGAACCTGGCGTGAATGGTACGTCTATGTCGTCGATGTTCCTTCACCTATAGCATGCTCATGTGTACCTAGGTTCATCCGCGGAGGCGTTGATGATGCCGGTGCCGCCGTCTCGCTTTTACGGGAGTCCTGCGAGACTCAGATAAGTATTCCATCTCGTCAACATGCTCAGCTGGTAAGATTACATTATATCATAACACTGTGTCGAGACTAAGATCTCCTGCATCGATAGCCATATCTACGCCGTCCTCGGGCGGTCCAGCACTGTCGGCCTCATCACCGTCACTGCTCGTGCTCCCAAGCATGAGCCCAATTCCCTTACTCAGCATATCTCGAATACAATGCGCTGACTTCCGTCCCTCACGTCGCTCGTGCGGCCTCGTTTCATCCATGTTTTGAGTAGAGCATTAAATGTTATTTTGAGGTTCTTCTTTCCATGAGCTGACGAGAGGCCGGAGAGATAAAAGTTGTGCTCTGCATTGCGAGCACAACTTCTGTACACCAGGACATTGGGAGACTCTGTGATAACCCGGTCCTTTGTGTAATTGGAGCCGTCTCCACCGTAAGTGTCCTTGATAGATGTGTGTCAGCCTCGCCCATACCACGAACAGTTGGTTGATACCTTAGTGAACAAATTCATCAGCTCAACGACCCAATCGACCCCCGGAAAGCGTGCGGTTTGCCCGTTGGGTTAACAAGAATGTTGTAACGAATTGCATGGCTTCCACAGTACAATGAGTCTCACCATAACTCTCATCAGATCAGCAGGAAGTGCTCACCGCAGTCGCTCGGGGTAGACAAAATGTACATCTGTCCAGAACCTCTCCATGTAGCTTGCATATTTATGCTTCCCCGTCGCCTTGAACAGAGCAATCCATGCAGGCATTATTGCCTCAATGCCTCCGATATCTCCCGCATTGGCATGATAGGAGAACTCCTCGTAAAGCGAAAATACTGATGCATGAGCATGATGTTTTCGTGTTGCTGATCGCGTACATCGGCACTGCGGTTGCGCATAGCATAGAGGTTCTGCACCCCGGCAACATACTTGGGGACCATACGGTGGGCCATGGTAACAAGCTGCTCGAATGTTGGTGTCTGGCGAGCAAAGTCATCCAGACTGTCCACTGCTTGATCGCGATATTGCGAGCGGGCCTCCGTACGCCAGCAATCCAGCCGCAGTACGATTCCGGTGTGCAATATTACCTCGTGCATCTGGCGAAACTTCGGCTTTGAACCTATCTGGCCTGTTTCTCGCGGGCGTAGCATCCCCACAAAATGCATGAGACTGTTCTCATCGCGACGCGACTCGGGTGGTTGTATGAACATGCGCCAGATGTCATCTGCACAGGCCATCTTCGAGTGAAATATACCTGGGACGAAGATGGCAAACTGATGGCGGCGAAGGGCTGTCTGCTCGATGCTGCGGCGCTTTGGATAGCCTGCACCCGCTCGGCCGTTCCGAGATCACCATGGACAAGCACTACATGCTCCGATATGTCTACAATGTCTTCATCTGCCTCCGTGCCTCGGGGTCTCCGATCCCTGCCTGTTTGAGCAAGTCCGCGATCGCCTGGATGTTGCCATCGACCTTCGACTGATTATATCCATGCACCGAACGGGTGGTAGGTGAGCTTTACAACAGGGATCAGTTCGACAGCTTCTGGGTTGGTAACAACGGAATGAATTGTCGGAAATATTCTGGGCCATGTCGGAAGAGTGCGTCGAGAAAAAGCCATGCTGTGAAGCGGGCGCTACGGGACAAACCCGATGGATGTGGAGGATCGGGATGGAGTGTCAGGAGGTTTTCGTACGAATATCGTGGCGGGGTTGGGCTGTAGAGGACACTGGGATTGAGCCACGAGGTCTCCCATAGCCTACGTGAGCAGCGTAGGTCGTCAGGCTGGACACCATGTTCGAGCTTGATGATGAGCCCTGATGTAAGGTGACGAGTCGATCCCCGATTCTCGATCGTAGGTGTCATGGTCCTGAGTGTTAGCTCACAGTTGTCGTATGCGAGCATCGCGCGGAGGGACTGCCCGAGCTGGCGAACATTTCTCGCACTCTCTCGGGACAGTGAGTGAACGGCATTATTGATAGAAGACGGTGAGATTGAGATGCCCATATGTGCAAGTGCCTTGATGACCTTGTCAGGTGTATTGCAGGAATGGAAGAAGATCGCGTTGACGGCAGCGAACGCGTTGCATTGCTGATTGAGCGAGTGCATGATTACAGACAGTATAACTACTGTCTTCTGCGAAGGCAAAGCTAATTAGGACAAGAGTAATAACATACAACTTGCAATCTGGCTCACTAGATGACATAAGGCTCGCTGCAATTTCAACCGAGCATCCTTCGCAGGAGCTGAGGATCGGCGCCTTCTCGAACATCGCCTCCGCCGAGTTCAAGTTCCCGCCACAACTCCAGCTCATCCGGACTGAGAGTTTGATTCTCGGATCTCCCTCCCTAGGCCAGTCCAGAGCTCTCGGCCTGACAGAGGAACGCGATGAGTTCCCATAGTTCGGGAGCCAGGACCGCATTCGCGCAGCCATGTCCTCGATGCGGAAATCAAGGACTTGCTCGGCTTTCATGTGCACGGCACCGAGATGCCATCCGTTGTCCTTGTCCGTCAGCTCGCGCGCGACGCGATGGTAATGTGCTTTCATTTCTTGATGCGCCCAACGCCGTGTCACGGCAGACGTCCGAGTATTCCGCGCAGACGCCGCGAGAATAAGGCCAAGATTGGCATTGAGACCTTCGAAGAAGGTGAACCCGGCGAAGGTCTGTCATCGAGTGATTCCAGAACGAGCTCAGACAGTGACACACGAGCTTCAAGAGAGCTTTTCGAATGAACTGGATTTGTGCAAGAGATATCATCGCCCGGACGTACAAACGCGCTCGTCCGTTATATATATGCAGTGCGCGCGTTCGCGCAAATGAACATCGCTCGAGGCGCAGGTAATTACATAATCTCGGTCATTGATCGACTCGCCAAATTGGGGGTATGCAGCCGGGCTCCGTTGTTTGTATATGTTTTGTGCCAGCCGCCAGAGGGGGGTAAAGGGGAATAAGATTACGGAGATTCAGGATCGGGCGGGGATGGAAAGTTTTGATGGGATGTGGCTGAGGTGTGGCGGGTGAGGACAGGGACACAAAGCACAGTTCGCGGTCTCGAAAATTCGTCCCCTCTACCCCCCGAAGGCGGATGGGGAGGAGCCTGGCTTACACCCAATTCTACGTACTCTTGAGCCATCGTAGGGATTCACTAGTTCGATCCCATAGTCTCGATATGGCGCCCCAATCACTCTCCTCAGTAAACTTAACAATCCTTGGAAGCGCGTCTGCCCAACCTTCTTCAACCCGGAATCACTCCGCCCTCGCACTGCGCCTCGGCGGCGATGTCTGGCTCTTCGACTGTGGCGAAGCGACGCAGCACCGTATTCAGAAGAGCAACGTGAAGATGGGTAGAATCAAGAAGATCTTCATTACGCACACTCATGGTGGGTCCGAGCGCATCCGAGTCGAGTCGAACTCAGGCATTTGGCAGGTGATCATATATTCGGCCTTCTACCCCTCATGGCCAGCTGCCTCGATGGTTCAGGTGGCATGGTCAATGAGTCAGAGGACGGAAGACTTCAGTCAGGCAGTACAGAAGAGACACAGGTGCGCACAGAACCTAAACCTTCATGAACACCTGATCTCATCTCGGGATAACTTAGCCGTTAGAGATCTACGGTCCCTTGGGCACACGGGCCTTCATCCGCACCGGCATCTTCTACTCCTACACGAATCTCGGCGCACCGTACGTGGTACACGAGCTGCGCCTGCCTACCGATCCTGTGGACGGTGATTACACCACGCTCCCACCGCGATCGCCCGAGCTGCCGGGACGGAACATCATGCAGACGAACGGCGCGTGGACGGACATCTTCCCAGACGAGGTCGTCAGTGTCGCAGCTGCACCTATCTTGCATTCCGTCCCTTGCGTAGGGTTCGTGGTCACCGAGCTGCCAATACCGGGCAAGATCGACCCAAAGGACTACGTCCCCCACCTCAAGCGGACGAATACGCCGATGTCGGTTATGCGGCAATTACAACAGGGAGAAAGTGTCGAGCTGTCCGACGGCACTATCCTCAAAGGACCACTGAGGAGACCAGGGCGCAAGGTGGCGATACTGGGCGACACCTACGACCCTTCGCCGATAATCGACTTGGCTCTGGACGCGGACCTTTTGGTTCATGAAGCCACGAACGCGCACTTGCCTAGGGTCGATCCAAATACGAAAGATGACGATACTTACGAGAGCGTGGAAGCACGAACGAAATCGCGCGGACACTCAACCCCACAGATGGCGGGTGCATTTGCGAAGAGGATCCGCGCGAAGAGGCTGTTGCTCAATCATTTCTCCGCTCGGTATGCGGGTAACGACGACGTCGATGAAGAAGCAAAGAAAATCATGGAGGCCATTAGAGGACTGGCTATGCAGGAGTTCGATGGACCAGTCATCTGTGCGAGAGACTTCATGAGTTTCGACGTAGAATTACCACATTAGCCAAAGCCAAGGTCCGAGAGTGATACAAAGCAGGAGAGACAAAGACGACGTCTACCATCAGTCATCAGGGGGGTCAGAGAGCTCACTGCTTTCATCACTAGCCTCACCCTCCTCCAGCTCCTCTTCGCGTGGTTTCCTCCTCGCCTTCAGATCCTTCGGGTCCTCAGCCAACTCGCCCATCTCGATGTCATCGTCCTCCGCTCTCGACGGTAGAGGTGGTGCCGGTGACAGAGCAGGCTGCAATGCAGGGGTTGGTGTTCTCGACCTGTTGGGCACGAAGGGTCGAGCGCCGGGATTGAGGTGCAGCCTCGCCGCCAAGGGGACGTCGTCAGACTCCCTGTCATTGTCGGGCATGTCCCTCGCGTCATCCTCCTTCAATTCTCCAGTTTCCTCTCGCGTCCGCACGCTCGCGGAGCCGTCCATATCGACATCATCGTCAACATTGGTAATCTCGGGTGGCGGTGTGGAGGGTCGTGAGAGGTCTGCGGGATCTTGCTTGCCCATAACGCGAAGCGCGTTCAGGTCCACTATGACATTATCCAAGGCTGACTTTTGGGCTTGTATCGTACGCGACTGATGCTCGTGCTCTGAACGGATGGCAGTCATGTCGTTCTCGAGGGCTTCAATGGACCTGCGGAGACGTTATGGCTTAGACTGCATCGACAGCGTATAGTACGCACCGTTGAAGCTCTTCTCTACTAGGTAGCGTATTGATCTTCTCCGCAATGGCGTCATATTCGATCTTCCGTTTCCTTTGCAACTGCGCGTCCTCCAAGTCCGTTTTGAGGCGTTCAATCTCATTTCTCAATCGTGCATGGTCCGAAGCTTCCGAAGGATGAAGTCAGCTGGAGGTCCGGCCGAGCAGTCTGCAGGACGCACCTATTCGTTCCCGTTCTCGTTGATACTCCTCCACTTGCCTCGCCTCCGCCTCACATACCATCAAGCTCTTCTGAAGAGATAAGTGGAACGACGCCAACTCCACGAGGAATGCCTCGCGCGCGTCGTCCACCGTCGACGCTGCAGGCGTAGGCTCTGGCCCGCTAGTATATGCGAGTGAAGTATAGCTGTGGAATTTGCGGGTCACACGACGCAACGCCTTCTCGTCATTGGTGATTCTGGTGTGTATGATAGCGTCTGTAAGAAGGCGAAGACGTGTCATGCAGTGACCCTGTGAGTTACCAGGATCGCAAGAGTCGCGCACCTTCTTGTTGGACCGTCATTGGCGGTGCGGCGTAGAGTTTCTCGTCATGGTTTGCAGATGCGTCCTGCATAGCTGCGTCTGCTGCGGACGACATGCTAGAGTGAAGAGCCCGGGGAAAATGAAAAGTGAACTGTGTCCACAATTGGGAGTGAACGAGTGATCGCCACAGGCTCTGTGTGACACACAACGCCGTGTGACAATCCTCAGAATGCGTTGTCACGAATGTTATCTTATCTCAGTCACAGCTCGAATACGCGGGCCAGTGACGTCGCGCACGTTCGTGCCCGTTTAGGTGCATGCAGTCCTAACTCCCGCCTTCGCTCAGGGACGCCGCCTACCTTGCGCATCCCCTCCACCATGTCCACGCAGCCTCTGCTGCAGCGCACTGCGGCGAAGCGCATCGCTCTGCCCGTCCGGGTCGAGCCCAAAGTCTCCTTCGCGAACGAGAGGACGTTTCTCTCGTGGCTGCACTTCACCGTAGTCCTTGGCGGCCTTGCCGTCGGTCTGCTCAATTTTGGAGATAAGGTGCGCTGGGCCTGCTACTGGTAAGTACCCTCCCTAAGAAGCCTTCAGGTTGGAAAAATCAGCGCGGCGATGTTCTCGGTGGTCGGTGAGTACTCTCGCCTTGGTCGTTACAGGGTGAGCTGCGCTAACTGGTCGTGTGACGGCTCTCAGCTATGGCGGTGATGGTGTATGCTCTATACACATATCACTGGAGGGCGGCATCCATTCGCAAGGGTGGACGTGGGCCGTACGATGACAGATATGGACCTGTAAGTACCGCATGAGTCTGGTCGGAGCTCGGGCAATCGCTAATTATTCTGTTCAGACAATATTGTGCATTGCTCTGCTGGGTGAGCGTCCGTCATCTAACACCTTTGCAGTAATGTTATTGAGATGTCTTTCTCTCCAGTCGCTATCGTCGCAAACTTCATCTTGCGCTTCTCACAGGAAGATACGAAACCCTGAACGAGGCTTCCGAGCTTTCAGAGGGGACACATTTAGCGTGGCATCCCGCGTACCGTATACCACAGCCTAGGATATCACTGACACGGGGGCTTCCTTCGCCGCCGACCTTGTTTACCTTGTCTCGGTCCTGTATCTGTACCTGCAAGGAACCATCTTACCGTCTGCTTCCATTCGTGGCTCGATGAGATAGTATTGCTCAGTTGAACTCTGTTTGTCAATACAGCACCAGAAGGATGGGCAGACACGTCTAGCACATCAAAATTCATTCGAGCAGGCAGGCTACTTCTGTATAGTGGTGAATACCGGGTTGCGGACTTCATGTATGGGCGTCTTTCCCTCCGTGCCCGGGATAGTCTTGACAAGGCCCTAATGAACCGCCTCGGTGAGCGTGCATTCTAGTCATGAAAGCAGAGGACGTACAAACTTCTCGAACATGCATTGATTGAGAGTGCGCTCCGGTTTCCGGCAATGGTAGTATTCCTGCCCAAGTCACGATAATTGGAATGAAAAGCGTCGACAACGAAGAAGGCACACCTGGTTGTGCTTCTCCAGACAATTCCAGTGCTGCTCGAATTCCGTAGCACAGCTGTCACGCATCTTCGAGATGCTGAGGGAGTGATTTGTCAGAACGCGAGTATTGTACCACTCAACATATTGAGTAAAGGAAAGGGCAAACGCACAGGTCGATGGCACATCTCGTCACTCTCCGCCCCTCCTTCAGGCAGTGCTCCGGGTCACGGTTCTCTGCCTTGCAGAGCATGAAATCCTCTGTGTATCAACGAATATCAGCTCCTGTCCGATCAGCTTCGCCTACGTGGGAGTGCCTTGTGCGTATAGTCCGGCCGCAAGTGACTCGCTCGCATAATTGCACCCACGAGCCCGGCATTCATACAATCATAAGGAGGTTCAGACACATACCATTGTAATCCTTGCAGTGGGCCCCGAGGAAGAAGGCCGCGCTCTTCAGCGGCGCGCTAGAGGCACCAAGCTCCTGGACCTTGGGTACATTGCCGGGGAGGGGAGTCGGGTCGCTGTACGGATGCGCCGACTCGGACGGATCGTGGTACCTGCCGCTCATCGTGGTGAGTGTCCAGAGGTCGACGACAACGCAACCGTCACGGTAAACGGGCGCCAATCCCGTTCGTCCGAAAGCGGGACGCACGCCGGGCGCTAGGAACGTGGGCGCTTGCACGCGTTCGCTGCATTGTAGTCGACCGCAAGCACGACGCGTCCGACCGTGTACTATACCACGGAAACTCGCATCTCTGCGTCCACATCATGGTACGTGTGCTGGACTTGTACGCTATGTGCGCTGACTGACTTGGCTTTAGCCACCGAGAGCTCAGCCCAAGGCATACGTTCTGCCGCTGAAGACACATAAGCTCACTGTCTTGCTGACGGCATCCTTGAACGATACCATCGGTACGATCAAGAAGGATGCTCTGACAGCACTCAAGGCACCTGTCTTGAATGCACCGAACCCATATCCTGAGTCCGTAATGGATGTCGACGAGACTCAGGATTGGACCGTGCCCACCGTCACTAGCGTGAAAGACTTCGAGCTGTGCAGAGCGATCAAAGAACGAGGACGACCTACTGGCCAATACGTTCTTCTCGAGGGCGACATGCAAGTTAGAAACTGTCTCACGAATTGGGAAGTGTTGTACGTGCAGTTTAAAGACAACAATGGTGAGTCCTAGAAGTGCGATACGCGGTTGTGGCTATATGCCGTACACTCGATCATATACGCTGTACCGTCTATCCACCTGCGGTTCTCGTTACAAAGGCCCCTCATTCACGACATCTCGACTTCCAGGCGAGCTGTTACCTGTACAAGTGTCCACTCCGGCACTGCTGGATGAGGAAGACGAAGAAGCCGAACTTGCAGCGGCGAGGAAAGGAAAACGCAAAGCGCCACCAGAAGACGAGTAGAAAGCTCGACTGTGCTGTGCTGCATGCTTTCTGTGTTTCTCGGATTCTTCCTCTTGTAGTCAAGTGTTGTAGCCCAAATAGTATCGTCGTCGAGCTCATGCGTTTTTGTCTGTGGGCCGTGGCGCACCCTTAAAGGCGTCCGAGACGTATTCATTGTGATGGCGGACTCCGCCATGGTCGTGCGGTCGCTCCCAACGGCAAAAGGGCTGCCGCAACCTGCCGGCCCTCCTCAGCCAGCATGTTGTAGGTCGAGCATGCGTTCCACTTCATTCGTGGCACAACCCTTCAACACGCAAAAAACAAGCAAGGGAGAACGAGCGTACAGTGTCCATAACGTCAACTTGTATGCCGAGGGAACTGATGTATTGCCTGAGCATAGGCGGCACAAACGCGACCTTCTTTCCAGTACCGAACAGCAAGAGTTCTGTGTCGAAAGTTTAATAGGCAAATCGAGAACGACAGTCAACGTATACGCACCAGGTTTCGGTACGACAACGTCGAAGATCCCGAAATGCTTCTTGTCCCATCCTTCCCACTGCTTCTCTGGAACATCCCATAGGAAGACCTTACCGTCCAAGAAAATGGACGCGCCGGGGATGATGAGTCCGTCTGCTAATTCGATGCCTTCGTTCGTTATGGTCTTGACTTGAACTGTGGGACTGGGACCGCCCGCGAGCATATTGCTGAAGCCTCCACCTTCATTGCGACGCAGAGAGGAGGAATGCAGGGGGCGAGACTTTGCGCCTTGCCTGCAGGCCGCGTTCGCGAGCAGTCGAAATGACATGACGAACGATGTAGTAGACGCCAGAGGCGCGCTGTATTCAGTGAACATTTGAATGCTCGACTACAATCACTGTGATAGCATCAGTGAATCAGTATTGAGTTCAGTAAGTATGGTAACTGAGTAAATAAACACATTCGTCACAAACTGGTAAGTCGTGCGTTTGTGGCTGCTTAGAATAGGTTCACCGTGACCACCACCACCTGGGCCACTGACGTTGGACTGTAACCATCCCGTACGCACTGGGATCCCGCCCTCCGTGCTCAGCTTGCTCTTACTACTTGAATCGCGACGTCCATTGAAGTGCAACAATGGCCGGTGCTTCTGCAGCAGATGTTCGAAGCATACTGTCCCTACCTACCCCTTCCACACCAGGCCCTTCTCAGCCTCGTAGGACTCCTGGTACGGCTGAAAAGACTCGCAAGCCCGAGGGTATCTCAAGAGAATTGTACTCGCTGATCGGTCCGTCCGCTCCAACACTTACGGTCCAACTTGCAAAACCTCGATTGAAGCAGAAGCCTAACCTCGGCGGTGGCGGTCGAGTGAAATGGTGAGACTTCCAGGCTGCGGCGTCCCTATACCACCTCTGACAGCATATTCCAGGGAGTGGAGGTCGTTCAACAATGGCGCTCGGGACGACAAACTGGAACTTTTCCACTGGGTTAAGGCTGGGACAGATCCTGAGGCTGGTATGCATTCCGCTCTTTGTATGCAGCGTTTTCTCCTTCACAGCGAGCCGCCTGTGATCTGTCAGACTACCCTTTCGCGAAATATAACGTCCAGCCGATGTCTTATGTCTACTCCCAAGATGAATATACGCGGCTTCTCGAAGGTAAGCCGAGACCGTCTAACATCGGGTCGCGGCCAAATGTCCACCATGCAGACAAGGACTGGACAAAGGATGAAACGGACTATCTATTCGGCCTCGTGAAGGACTATGACGCAAGGTGGTACATCGTGCACGACCGCTATGAGTACGAGGGCGGACCTGAGAGAAGTATGGAGGTACGTCTGCGTCCGTCCCACGCTTCTTGCGCGAGGAACATCTTATCGTATTCGAAGGACTTGAAAGATCGCTACTATAGCGTCTGTCGCAAACTTGTCAGGAACCGGCCTTGGGCTGGCGATGAAGCGAGCAAGGCGCAGCTCATCACCAGCCTCACCTTTGACAAGGGTGCGCGGCCATTATCCTCCCCCCGTCTGCCGTCCCGCTGACAGTGTCGCAGATCGCGAGGTGACACGTAAGAAGTACATTGCGAGCCTCGAGACCCGAACACCACAGCAGAAAGCCGAAGAGGATGCCCTCTACATCGAGCTGAAGCGACTAGAACAAGGCGAGCGACGTTTCAAGCGGGACAGAGAGGAGCTACTCAGGACCGTGCTCGGGATTGAGTCCGGGCTAGTGGACCTCCCGATCGAGGAGGACGGTTTGAACTCTGCCACCGTCGATACGAGGAAGAAAAAGAAGGGACAAATGAGCGCCACGGCCGAACCGGAAACGCCTGCATCGTCAACGTCGAATGCACCCAACGTCATCTCGCTCGGTCAACCTCAGACCAAGAAGTCCCAGTCGGCGAGTTCTGCGAGATACGGTAGGTCAATTGTGACCATTGGCACGCGCCGTGTCGGTTGAATGCTCCTGTACGTTAGACGCGACGCACTGCATACAACGCACCGAAGTCCCTGCAACGACTTCTACCACCACCAAGTCCGCTCATGTGCCAGTGTACCTCAGGTCGTACAAGCTGCCACAGTCAAAGTCGCCGTCAGCTGCGAAAGTCGCCCAGGTACTAGGGGAGCTGGGCATATCCCACACGCGCCTCGTCATGCCCACTCGAGAGAACTGCGCGCAACTCGAGAACCTTCAGGAGGCAGCCACGGCTCTGGTCGACACGAAGAAAGTCGTCGACAAGGTGGAGCAAGATATCCGCATCATGAAAGCTCGACTGGGCCAGCAGGAGTCCGGAGGAGGCGAGGAGGGTGACGCAGCACCCACGCCGATGGACGTAGACGACGGAAACGATGCGGAAGGTGAAGTCGACGGCAGGGCTCAGAGTGTCGTCAGCACGCGGAGCACGAGAAGCCGGAGACCTGTAAGTCATCGCTCTTCTCTGTATTGCATCCTGCTTTATGCTTGTGCCATATTGCTCACAGTCTCGCCGTTCAATGTCGATCTCATCCGTGGATACGTCGGCGACCGGTGCTGTCAAGAGGCAAAAGCGCGGGTGATCTGTCCCAGTGTAGCTCCCAAGCCCTCGTATGCTTTTGCTGCTGATAGTCGATTGCGTGCTGTTGCTGGGCGGTTATATCAGTCATGGTGACTGAGTGTAAATGGTGAGATGGCTATTGATTGTAATCTTAGAACCCATCTGGCTGCACAGGAATATTGCCATAAAAGTAAAGATGACTTGCCTGTGTTTTCCAAGTGCCTATCAAGCCAACACTTGTCATAGTGGTTCAGAACTGAACTGGATGGCAGGTCCCTGTTTGCTGAGGATCCCTACTAGGCTACTATTGATTCATGAGTGTGCAAACTATCACATGCAGGTATCTCAATATGGAGCAGTGGTACTTGTGAGAAAGCCCTACAGCAACATAAGGCAATAAGCTGATCTGCCAATACCATGGCAACAGCATATATACAAAGGCTGAGGAAAACACTATGTTACAGACGTACTGGGCCATGATCAGAGCCTGTCAGTTGTAACTAGTGCACTACACTAATGCCTCTACTCTGAGTCATCAAGTGGTTCCAGGCAGTAATTCAGCATCTCATCCAACTTCAACCTGAACCTGTCACTAAACAATGAAACCCACCCACGCCGGAAGACATCAACTGCAAGGGCATCATAGCCCCCCGCTTCTCCATCATGTACACCTCATTCCCACGCACTGCAATGCCTAGGAGCCATCCATTCCATCTCTCTCCAGCTTGATCTATGTAGCCACCCAGTTGTTGTACCACTGCATCATAGGTTGCCTTTGGGTTTGACAGTGATGCTACTTCAACTACGACTCGGATGAGGTCACCCTGTATGTCAGGTTGGGGGTTAAAGTTGGGATCCTGAGCATCTTCAGGTGTACCCCAGTATTGATCAATGTCAAAATCAGGATACAATTTGCCATCTGTTACTTCATAGCCTAGAACAGCAGCATGCCTTGTCAGATCAACTGTCAGCTATAGCACAATTGTGCATACATACCATGGGAGTCAACTGAACCCATAGAGATGTCCCCTAGGTCAGTGCCATAATCTTCTTGTGGTTCTGGTACCAGGAAAGTTGTGTCTCAATGATACTTGATGTAGGCATTGGTAGCAATCAATAGAGCATACCTGGTTCCTCTGCACGGAGTAAAGCCTGGGGTTTCACAAGAAAATGAGCTGATGGGAACTTATGACCTTGGAGATAAGCATTCAGGGGACCATAGGCTTGATGCTGATGCTGGGGTGGTTGTTGCTTCCATGAATCAAGGCGTCTCTGGAGAGCTCCAGGCAGGTCTGCATTGAGATCAAATCTTGCTGCCATGCTGTATGGAGGTTATGAGGAGGTGAATATAGTACTTGTAAGACTTGAGAGTTGGGAGCTGCCAGTGCTTGGGGAACCAGCTGGACCACACACTCTTTTATATGTGAAGTACCACAACCATAACAATGGCCAAAACAGCCAACAATAGTGATGGCCAACTTGAACAATAAATATAGCAACAATAATGGTGGTCAACAATAACAGTGGTCACAGTATCAGTTTCAGCCAAGTCTGCGAGGCTGGAACAAGCGCCCAGCCAAGTGACCAGTGAAAGCCAACTTTATTCTTTGTCTCATACCCATCCGTGCAGATACAGTCGCACCCCACCATCTACACATCTGGGGCATTTCCTGTCATGCGGCACACCCCCATACAATTAGCGCCTGAAGCGCCCACGTGTAACGGTCACATCAGCTTCGCGTGCCTGGGCCCGAGATCCCACCGTTCGATCATTTCCTTTTACGGAGTGCAACATCGCTCCTGCGCTCCGTCTCGCTTGCGTGGATACCAATTCCGCCCCTGGGCAGGGTGAATGCTCCTCATGGCATCTCTTATAATCTATGCCTAAACACAAGGAAAACACACTGTCTCCTCTCATTGCATGATAGAAGGGAAGTCGGTACAGTGCCCGTAAGATAGTGTCTTGTCTCCAAGTCATTTGGTAAACTTATATGACTCCAGCAAAGAAGAATTATTGTGCTTGTGGTGTAGCGGTTATGGTGGTGCAGTAGTCATTTGGTGCTGCGCGGGTTCGAGTCTCACGGTTGAATTCCTTTTTGCGGCGTGGTACTGTCCGATTTTACTGCATGGCCTGCAGGAATGTTTACTCTGTGTATACAAACACTGGTACCACGCAAAAACCATGTATGCACGTCGAGACGGAGCGAGGGAGCGATGCAGAGACAGCGCAGGAGCGACATAGCACTCTGTAAAAGGAAATGATCGAACGGTGGCCCGTGGGATCTCGGACCCAGGCACGCAAAGCTGATGTGACCGTTACACGTGGGCGCTAAATGTATTGGGGGGTGCGCCGCATGAAATGCCCCAGACGTGTAGACGGTGCGGTGGTGGAGGGTGACTGTATCTGCACGGATGGGTACGAGACAAGGACAACCGTACATACTCGGCTTGTCCGGCGGACATCTCATACTGAGATCTGAATTGTCCACTCCTGCGACGAGGCCGGAACATAACAGCTGTCAACAACACCGGCGGCCAACAATAACAACAATAATGACAGTTAACAATAATAATAACAATGATCACCACAATAACGACAGCCATGATATAAGCCACTAGAGCTCAGTGCTCCGACTACCACGCAGGATCCCGCAGTCTCAAGCTACTACATCACTTTCATCCTCTATCATCTATCCCGTAATGAAGAACAAACAATACACCAATACACCGTCTAAATGGTGGTCTGGTTATTATATAAGTGTTGCCGATTTCAAGGATCTCGTCAATTCCATGCCGAAGACAGCTGAACACGTCAGTTGCTTTGCCGGAGTTGGAGAGTTGGATAACACAGAGTCGGGGCCCGCTGACGGGTGGGTATCCGAGGATTTCGACCCTCCTTTCAGAGCATATGTAGTCGCCTGGGGTGGATGGAGAAGTAGAGCGAAGACCGCCAGGGACAAAATGACTATCCTAACCCTTAGGTGTGAGTTATCTCGTGTCAATCCACAAGTCTTGAGCTTGACTAGCGGCCTTATTCGGTGTACATCAGATACCATCAACAGTCCTGATCCCGCTTCCGTCTTTTCAAAGGAAATCAGTGACAAGGACTTGGCATCTGTCTTTCTTCTACTGCCTCAACGAATTCAGAATGAACCCAGGCTTCCCATCTCCACGGAGACCCTCGCTGACCAGCAATGGTTGCAGGCTTTGGGAGACCTGGTAAGCAAGTTTGGCGGGCATCTAGACAAGGAAAAGTTCAAATTCGGATGGGAGTCGGATGTTACACTATTCGGTTCGTACAACCAATGATGGACCCGTACGCCGTCTCATTATGTGCGCTCGGACCTGTGTCTAATACTCTGGAGAATCTAGACCTCATTCTCGGATTGTTGTCCCGGGCCGCGCACCCATACCTAGACAGTAATTTGAAACTGAGCGTCCTTGTAGTGATACCACAATCTCAGAACTGATTTTGCTGCGTTGACGTCCAACTGGTCATTCAAACCTGCATGCCTCGATCAATTCATTGATGTATACCGACCGATAATGACGCCACAGCGCACGCAATGATTCTGAAGTTGTGCTGAACTGTCTAGGCCGGAAAGTGAGTGACCTGGTTCAATGCAGAGCAAGCTTAATGTTCTCTCAGACCCTGTATTATCTACGGGGCATCGTCGCGTTGATGAAAACGGATTGTAGAAAGTTGCCCGGAGGAGACCTACCTATGGCATATGCGGCACGGCACCCCATCACTCTGGATAGCTTGTTTCAAGTTGATCCTGGAGGCTCGACTGTGAAGGTGGTTGGGGCGCGAGCATTCTCCTTTGAGGACCTCACGAGGAGCTGACAGTCTTCGAAATCGTCATCGCACTAAGTTCTCAACCTCTCGCACCGCAGTTCTTAGTGTTGGTATCATGGACGGCAAAATAACGATCAAGCGTCGGTGGCATACAGTCGCTTCAGTCCTCACCGAAGGCGTCGGTAAATCAGGTTGCACCTCCACGAGGGCGTCGGGAGTGCCTGGGGCTCGACAGACATGTACGGGCCTTTGTATTGCGACACTACAACATTCAGCGGGCATACGATGCGAATGCCTGTCTTTGAGAGTGAGGTATGCGCATGCCAGTGTGGTATAACAACTTGTTATGTCAATCACCGTAGTAAGGCGACATCAATCCGAGTCGGCCCCGCTCAGTCAACAGGGTCAAATGTAGGGTATGCCAGTACAGGAGACGGCGATCTATAGCCAGAATCACTGCCAGTCCTATGTCAATATGTATTGTCAGTCAGTGCATAACTTGGAATTAACAGAAGTGACAGTATCGTGACAGTCACGCTGTCCCTGCTCACATTCGTTCCCGAACGCACGCCGTCCGCGTCAACAACGACGTCGACGCACAGAATCATCGCAGTCAGCCCAATATGCCTGTCCCATGGGAAGCCCTCATTCCCTTCGGTAACTCTTCCAGATGCATAGCCAAGGCTATGTGTTGCTCACGAAGTCTATCTGCCAGGCCTGCTCACCACCATGTTCGGTGCGGCGGGGACGCTACTGAATATCTCTAAGCGTGCGCAGAACCAAGGGAAGGTGCGTAGGCCTTCAAGAGCTGACTTCAGAGGGTGTCTGAGTATGTGTGTAGCCTCCCAGATATCATATAGATCCGTGGGACGAGATGTTGATGGAGCGGGACAAGCGGTTGACGGGGCACATACGAGGGCAGACGGTGCGCCTGCATTTCAATCCTGACCACTCGCAGTGTCTTATTGTGCGCATCTGCAGTCGAATCCTGTGGCACCCGAAGACTTTGCCATCAACAGCGTGTGGTACACAGAAAGGACGCGGTAGATGCGAGCCTTGTCCTATCCTCATTTCGAACCTTGCTTTCGTGTACACTCCTCCATTCTCTGCGATGCAGTAAACCAGAACAGACCATCGTCAAATGCTACTGTTTGAGGAGACACGCCACTAAGTGATCGGTTGACTGTCCATCTCCGCCCGCAACCACTTCCACACCTCTTCTAGAGCTCCGTTGTGCGCCTCGGGCCCCAAAGCGTTCTCGTCCACGAAGCCATACTTCTGCTGTTCAAGCTTCTTACTCAACGCGGTCAACTGCTTGTCCAGTTCGGAGTCCACCCAGTCCGGCACAGAGAAAGCACAAGATACTATCGCACCGTGTTTCGATTCTATCATGGCAGTCTGGCGTAGTGTCGAATCATAAGCGGCCAATACCCAGGTCAAAGAGGATTATCGCTCACCAGCTTTCCCCATGCAAATGTGCGGGCTACGTTATGGAAGAATTGTGGTGTCTGACCGTATGCCCAGTCCCACCTCTGAGACGTTCAATCAGTTCGTACATCGGCTGTTCAAGCTCGCATTCATTATGTGACGCACCGGTAATTCGCCCATGCCATTCCGGATGTACTCTATGCTCTTAGCGTCTTCGCTCTCCTCGACTATCCGGATCTGCAGGAGCCATTAGCTACCCAGGCACTTCTAGATGTGCATTGGTCGGCGTACCTCCTCGTCAATGTCATATTCCCTACGAAAAGCAGCAACGGCGGCGGTTACGAAGCGTTCATGGCTGACTTGCGGGTTGAAGTGCTGCAAGTTGCGCACAGGCGAGCGTACCGACGCCACGCCTTTCGTTTGCATCGTGTCCTGCCGTCGATCAGATCAGGGAGCCAAATGTGCACGCCAGCCATATCACAGCTAACCTTGCTGACGCGCAGTAAGTCGCCTAGTAAGTCCAGCCTCGTGGATATGAGCATTGTGCCATGGTGGTACGCTCGGTTGTTTACAATCTTGTACGCAGAGCCTGAGACGTATCAAACGGGAGAAACCCACGTTAGCCTGGAGCTCCCGTGCAGCAAGAACATACGCTTACAGCGTACGAGGAACTCGACTTATCTTGTATTGACCGACGCAGATGTCATTCCGGTCGTTCACACACGCGTCGACACCCAACGAGCGGACGGCACCAAGGATCACCTGGGCCGTGGCGTGTCGGTCGAAGGACGTGCGGGGCAGGTGTATCGAGTAGTTCGTGTTCCCCAAGTCCTACACCGTACAAAGTATCACACATCGCACCTACAAACACGATTGTCTGAACGTACATGGTACACTGTGCCCCCGCCGCTCCGTCTCCGAATCCACGGCACGCCCGTTCGGCGAGAAGCCTCCATATTGACCTCTTTCCACGGGTTCTGGTTCCGCCCGATCACCACGCACGGCTCATCGCGGTACACCAGTAGCAGCGGCTCCTTCGGCGGCTTGTGTCTGAACAGCCTTCAGTCAAGCGGGTACGCGTGCGTCCAGCGCGTGTATCTGCGCGGGGCACTCACCAGTCCTCGAGAGAGAGGTTAAAGTACGGGTTGGTGGAGTTTGATACGTAGATGGAGTGGTGCGGGCTGAGAGAGCTGCCGGTCGAGAGTGTGCGAGAGCATGCGCTGCGAAGGCCTTCACTCCTCATGTAGATACTTGTGCGAGCCTGCATAGCGGGTCGTAGCAAGCAGGAATGAGGACGCAAGCACGCCATCTGGACTGGTAATGAAGCCAAACACCAAGAAAGAGCAACGAGGTACAAGGAGAGATATACTATTGGGGATCGCGAATCGAGTCCGACACCTGCTAATTCACGATCACGTGGTAAAACGCGTCCGCGACTCCGCGTCACAGTGGGAGGTTTCAGCGTGAGTCGCTTCGATCTCATTCACGCGTGAATATAACGCGAATGAACGTCCTACTATCATCGTGACACTAGAATGCATTTCAGTGTATGTATATATGCATGGCGACACTCCACACAACATTCTGATTCCACCAACATGCCAAACCATCCGACCCCTTGCCTTCTCACGCCGAAAGTTCATACAACATTCTATTCCAACAATCGTCCTGTGATAAGCTCGTATATGCGTATTGTCGTCTCCTCAGCGGCCTCACGCGCTCAGCTTGAGCGACGCCACGCTCGCCTCGAGGGGGTTGAACTTGCCCTTGATGATGTCCGCGCCCTGCTCTGCGATGCTGTACACACTCGCTGTCCAGCACGCATGTCAGATCACCGTGCGTCCGCGAAGTAGAATGCAAATAGTACTCACCCATCGGGTGCGCAGCGAACAGCAGCGGAACGACAGACAGGTCGACGACGCGGATGTTGTTCGTGCCGTAGACCCTGAGCTCGGGGTCGACGACACCGTTGTGCTCCTTCGGGAGCATCGCGCACGACGAAGCGGCATCTGCAGAGTCAAAAGGCGTCAGGTCTTGTTGTCACTCCGAGGCTGTCTGAACACTCGCGATACGTCGAGCCCATGCACTTCTTGATCCAATCACCGATCTGCGCGTCGTCCTTCACCTGCGGACCCGGATTCAGCTCGTTAACTGGAGGCGCAATACGTCGACGTTAGCCAACACTATTCATGGTATTGTGCTCCACGCACCGATGATGTCCTTCAACGGCGAGACATCCGCCAACTTCCTGATCCACTTGATAGACTCAGTGAATATATCCAAATCGACCTCTTGCTCGAAGTAGTGAGGATCGAACTCGGGCTCCTTGTGCGGGTCTGAGGACGTCGAATGCTATAATCTCACCCCGTCAACTTCCGGTCCACTGCCACGCCGACATACGTGACACTCACGATCGTCCCCCTCGAGAAGCAGTGGTTCATCGCCGCAAAGAACGTTATGTAGCTCTTGCCTTCCGCAGGCGGCGCAGGGCCTGACAAGAAGCCCGGGTAACAGATGATCTCGCAACCCGGCGCGCCCCTCTTGATACGATCGAGCTGAATGTTGTACTGCTCCAACAAACCCGGCGGGAACTTGTCTTTATTCGCCAGGATCTTCGCCTTCGTCCTCTCGTAGATCGTGTCCGCGAGAGGCGAAAGCTGGTGGAGGGATGTGAACGCGAAGCCGATGATGCCTCTCGTGTACAGACCCTCACCAAGGGCGCTGGATGACCTCAGTGTCAGCGAAATTGGATGCCGATTTGGGAGACGCAACAACACACTGGAGGTCTAGGTGTTTGGCATTGTGGGTAGCGTCTCTAAGTAGGTCAATGGTTTCAAAGCCGACGTCCTGCTTGAGTTCTACACGGACCATCAATATTATGCATCAGCACTTAGTATGTATGAACACCTACCCCAGCTGACACCGACGTGCATGTGGTCCTGGATGTTCTCTCCGAGTCCAGGAAGCTCAAGCTTCAGTGGCACACCGATCTTCCCGAGAACGTCCTTGCGGCCGACGCCAGACAGCTCCAGGATATGCGGAGACTTCAATGCACTAGTTAGACCAATACAATTAGGATATTTCCGGGGCAAGATGAGCCTAAGGTGTCACCCAGCAGCTAGGCAGACGTCCTTCTGCGCATTGACGGTGTGCACCTTGCCGTCATATTCAAACTCGACACCGGCAGCATCAAGCTTGCCATTCGGTGCCGGCTGGGTGTTGATGCGCTGGACAGCCGCGTTGATCAAAACCTTGAGGTTCGGTCTGTCCTTGTTGGGGAGGTAGAAAGCCTACATGGCAAACGTCAGTGCCATTTCCTCATGACGACACAACAAGTGAAACTTACAGTCGTGGCGTACGAGCGAACGTGCTTGATCGGGTCGTAAGTGTTGGGGATGAAGGAAACACCTTTGGTCTAGAGACGCGATAATTAAGTCAAGCAGATCCTCCGCGGGCTGTGGAGGACGTACGTCGCCGCTAAGCTATGTTCCGCATACATAGTTACATCGAGAATCTGGTTTAGAAGGCGCGGGAAACTCACTGGGTTTGCAGCCTTGGACAAGCCTGCGTTGAGCAGAGTCTTGTTACAACTCATCAGTAAGAGATCTTCATTTTAATGTCGGTCGATAAAGCCCACCTGAAGCATCGTGCTATCAAGCTCGTCGATCCTGCCGGGATAAGCCAACTTGAGAGGACCTGTAAAGAAAATGAAGTCAATGTCGTGCGCGGTGAGAGGAAAATGGATTTCCTGACCGTCCCGGCCAATTTGCTCAATACTCATGTTGACATAGTCGTTGCGCTTCCTCACTTCCTCACTCGGAGCGATGAAGCTGCGAAGGGCCGTCAGGCAATGAATTCATCACTTTGCTCGCTAAACCTACCCCTCAGTCTTGGCAACGTAGCGCTCGTAGTTCTGCCAGTTCCAACCTGGGTTGCCGAGTTTCTCGAACTCTACGGGACGCGTCAGGATAGGCATAAATATGCGCGTCGGTTGATTCACCGTCAATTTCCTCCTTGGGTGGCTTGGTCCAGCTCATGAAATTGATGCTGGAACTTCCGCCAAGGCCCTTCCCTCTGATTTTACACGAACATCAGTATGTACCTTGACACATACGGACAACTGCAGACCTGAACCAGAAGTAATCCGCGTTGCCAAACTCCTGCCTGGTCTGCAGGGTATAAATGAGAAATCGATCCCCGCCGTGGCAATAACCGTACCGTACCGTCTTGTACACCCACGTCCAATTGGTGTTGGCAAAGTGGCTGCCATATGAGGCGGGACGCACTGAATGGCCTGAGTCTCACGACGTAGCGGACTTTGCGCAGTGCACCCACAGATGCCGGGCTCGTCGAGGTTGGCACCGCCAGCCTCAAGTACGAGGACGGAGACGTCGGGGTCTTCGGATAGCCTGGCAGCCAAAGTCAGGCCGGCCGTTCCTCCACCTGCAGGGACATGTAGGTGAGGTTAAACTCGGATGAAAGTACGACTGACCGCAAACGACATAATCAAAAAATTTGTTGGACACCTGTTCAATAGTGGCGGTCATGGCAGGGCAAGATGGAAATTGGGCGTGTCGGGATGAGGGGACCGACTATATACGATTGCGTGAGGAGGCATTTCCGAGAGTGAATCCGTGCGAGGTGACAGGGCGCAAGTCACTCCCGCACCAGGAATGTTCTACGCCCGTTCCGCATCATAGTGCGGGAAGGTTAGCGAGACAGGTTCGACCCAATCTCGGTCACCTCGATGACTCTTCCGAGCAGACGCACGCCTCGTCATGGAAGAGCCTCTGTGGGTGATAATTATCATCAAAGGCGGTGCGCTGGGCATGCGTACGCACTGAAACATGGCGGGAGAGCAGAGCGCGGGGGGCCAGCGGGGCGACTTGAGGATGGCGAGGACTTGACCGACGATGCGGTTACTTAAGCGCATTGGAGTACGTACAGCGGATCCCTTTTCTTGATCAAGCCAATCAGCACCAGCGCACACATCCCCCACTCCTGACCCTCCGATCCTCGCAGCCGTACAGACCCGTTCTACTCACCGCCCAGCCCCAGCCACACAACCTGCAAGGTATTTGCGACACAAGAATACGATGCTTCAGACCTATGCATTGCAGGCTATACATACACGTTGTGAATAATGCAAGAATCGCTTCCATGTCTCGATGCGGTGCTGTAAATTGTCAAGTGATGCGCGGTCTCGTCGATTCAGAGTCATGCTGGAGAAGTCGCTCGTGGTCGCAATCAATGCGGCACTGATATTCGGGCGGTCATCCACCGCCCGTACTTGGTCACTCTCATGCCGCCCGAGTCTTCACCCTCGACTGCGAACCGAATTTCGTGAATTTGTACGCGCGGGTCGTGGACGGGCAGTCGGCGCCTCCGCCGCTTCCGCACCCGTCGTCCGCGATGCGCTAGACGACCTCGACGCGCCGACGGCACCGAGTGTCCGGATTGTGCTAGTGCTGCGCGTTTTCGGTGGCCGGATAGTCCGTTCGCTATCCTCCCGCAGCGCTCGAGGGCGCAGCGAAGGTGCAGGCAAGTGTCCGCGCTCTCCAGGCAGCCCAGGTACGCGCCTGCGCTTCAGGTCAGACGACACCGCGGAGTCGCTCAGGTCGCTGTCCGTCGCCGCCGTGTCCTCGTTCTCATCATCTTCGCTCGTCGTCACACTGGCCCCAACGCGTCTACGCGTCGCAGCGCGCATGCGCATGCGCGTCTGTATCTGCACTGCAGTCGGCCGCGCATCCGTCGCCTTCGTCTTCCTTACACGTTCAGGCTTCGTATTCGCGTCGATCGTACTCTTCGGCTCATCCCTCGCGGTCGCAACATCGCGATCAGCGTGAGTCGAGAACGCTTCCCTCGGAGCGCGCGGTGCCGCCGTGGCAATGCGCCTCTTCCGTCCCGCGATCGAGAACGCGTCTGACCCGGAGGGAGCGGCGTTGCTCAGGTGCGAGCTGTGGGAGGCCTCGGAGTTGGTGCGCGTCATTGTGCGGAGGGACGAGCCGTTGTCCGTCGTGCTGAGCTTGGTCGAGTCGCTCGCGAGGCTCTCTGCGGACGTCGTCACAAGGCCGTACACGTTCCTCTTCGCCTTGATCGTGTCGTCCCGCGTCTTCGGTCGGACGCGCATCCGCCGGGGCGTCTGCAGCGTCACGTCAAAGTCGTCCTCCGAGTCCGGCTCACTCTGGCCATCCGGGGAGTCCATACTCGCATCTTCATGTCCGCCGCCGTGTGGGTCGACATCCATTCCGTCGTCCAGATGTACTTCCGTGTTTTGAATCCCGTGTTCTTCGTGTTCGTCGCTCAAGTCACCAGCGGAGTCGGGATTCACAAACTCACGCGGCAACAGGAGCGACCTGCGAAAACCCTGCCGGACCGTCGCATCGCCCTCGCCCTCCTCATCATCTCCATCACTCCCGCTTGCACCCTCTTCCGGTATCCCAGCAAACTGGGGCGCTCGCAGCGGCACCGGCGCGACGAGGCCGTCCATCCCTGGCAGTCGCGGGGCAGCGGTCTGCAACGGGGTCGGTGGGTACGCCGCGGGGAAGTCGGGGTACTGCCGCCACTCCGCGTCAGCTGCGAGGATCTCCGCCTGCACAGCTTCGAATGGCGGGGGCGAGTCCGCGGGCGGCGTAGGCAATCCAGACCCGCTGCGCTCACCGTATGCGGACGCAGGTGGATACCACCGCTCGTACGGCGGCGGGGGTGGCTGGACACCTTGCGAGGGCTCGCGGTAGATGCGCGAGGCGCGTGAGGTGCGTGCAGCGGCCTGGGGGATGGCACTGGCAGTGATGGGCACGAACGCGTGTTGGCTCGCAGCGTGTTGTGCGCTGCGATCGCGGGAGGAGGAGGTCGAATTCGAGCTGCCTTTGCGCTTGGCTTGGGGACGAGCGCCGTTAGCGGCTTCGCGAATGAACGGGGGGACGACGTCGTCCGGCCGCTGGGCCCCCTGCTTCTCCCGGAGCGAGTCGTCCTCGTGAAAGGGGTCCTTGTCGGTGTGCATCCATCTGCGCCAGTGCCCGAGAACGAAGTTCACGGGTACGCTCGCGGCGAGGAGGATGAAGTCACCGATCATGTGGCCGGCGTCGAGGAGAATGTCCAGGGTAGAGGTGTAGGGTTTGATGACCGGGCGTATCACATGCAGGAAGATGGGTTCGGCGCCCTGTGCATGAAACGTCCGTCAGGGAACTGGGTGTTACCCGTTACACGAGCACACACGCACCCGAGCCCGGCTCATCAAGAAAAATAGAATCACTAGAGACTTAATCTCGTCGTAGAATGGGATAAACATCCTGATGATTCCGTCCACTGTTCGCTCGTACATTGTGAAGCAGCACTAGGTACAACGTCAGTGTGCCCTTGCGGGATTAGCCAACATTCTGAAAGGGAACTCACCCAGCAGAGCCACACCGCCATGCAGCCTTTCATGGCACGTTTGCGCTGACTGAGCGCACGCAGGCTCGGTTGCCCGCTATTACGTGCTGACGGCGGTGGTGGCCGAAGGGTCTTGAAGGTCTCGAAGACGTTAGAGAAGACGTAGGCCAGGCGCAGGATGGGAACGATCAGTGGCATGGTGACACGCTACCTCAGTAGGTTGTCTGTGTAAAAAACTGCAAAGGTTGGGATGCTGTGAAGTCTATAGTCGATCGATTGTGGTTGAAGTATAGCAGGCTGAGCGGGCTGCGCGCACCCCGGCAACCGAGTTCTTGGTGGCAGTGGCAAAAGCAGGGTCCCAGAAGCGTGGACACCTGAGTACTATATATTAGCAGGACATCGGGCAGAGGTGTGCAGGGCAGGAGCTTCGCTGGCAAGGGTCATCCGGGCGCGGTTGGCGGCCGTGAACTCGAACTGGCGTGCAAGGCGCGCCGCGCGCCTTCAACGAGGCGCGTCACGGTCGGCTTACGTAAACCGCGACTCGCTCGACATCACTCGGCCTCAGCCTCTCTGACCGACTCTCTGTCCCTCTCCGTCTCAGCCACCATGCCCAAAATCCGGACGACCCGTACAAAAAAGCCGCCAGAAGGCTTTGAGGACATCGAGACTGTGCGTACGGCCGTCCCTTCCCGCGCCTCATTTCCGCTGGTGTCTCTTGCTGGGCGCACGGTGAAGAGTCAGAGCATGCGCTGACCACACAGCTCCGCGCATTAGATCCTCGATGACTACGCGAAGAAGATGCGCGACGCAGAGAACGAGTCGCACGAGGGCAAGCGCAAGTCGGAGTCGCTCTGGCCCATCATGCGCATATCCCACACCCGCTCACGCTACATCTACGAGCTCTATTACAAGCGGGAGGCCATAAGCCGGGAGCTGTACGATTGGCTGCTGAAGGAGGGTTATGCGGACGCAAAGTGAGTAGCCCTTGTCGTCTCTGAATTGTCGGAGTGCATGCTGACGTTGGTTGGGTGGTGAAGTCTCATTGCTAAATGGAAGAAGGCTGGGTATGAGAAGCTCTGCTGTATACGGTGTATCCAGACAAGGGTGAGTACTCACGACATGTCTTGGAGCACTCCTAGGGCATGACTGATATGGACTCCGTCCTTCCAGGATATGAACTACCAGGGCTCAACGTGTATATGCCGAGTGCCGAAAGCACAGCTCCGGAAGGACACAGTCGTGGAGTGTGTACATTGCGGTGCGTACCTTCTCTTGCTATCTTCGAAAGGTGGTGCATCTCAACTGGGTATTTACAGGATGCCGGGGATGCAGCTCCGACACATGATAGTGCTATTACTACACCTGCAGGCCGCGAGGAGTGCTTGCCGGAGTAAAAGAGGAAGATGTCGCGCAGACATGGTCGGTGGCGTTCCCTTGTTACTATAGCTTTGGGGCCTGGCCCGTGTATCATTACTATCTATCTTGACAGACAGAACACGCGGCGTTCTGGACAGCGATCTCTACGAGAATCGCCTGATGTATGGCATGGACATCGAATGCTGAGTAACAAAGGACCCTTTCAGGGTGGACGTTGTTCACTTCGGGAAGCGCGTCTCTTCGTGGAGCAACGCCTTCGATTATCATCGGTGAGCGCGTCAGTGTACCGTTCGTAGTGTCTCCCAGGATATTCATCGGGGCGCTTTGTGCGAAGTGATCTTTTCGGTGGACTCGTCAGTTCAGACCGGTTTCGCCAATCGGGGGAGCGGGTTTGTGCATGTTCGTGCTGCACTGCCTGGGTGTTATAGCAGTCGAAGCCATTGCAAGCATTCAAAATGCGCTGGGGGCCTCGTGTACGGCAACACCCGGCCTTCCTGGGGATGCAGTTAGCTACAAGCTATTGTTAACTGACTTGCTTCGTTCAAGCAGGACTGATATGCAAAACCTACTACCGTGCACTCTCGATTACTCGCCGTAGACAGCGCCTTCAAGTCGGAGCATTGCCACCGTTCCATCGAGCGCGTCTTGGGCGCGTCGCCCTCAACTTACGTGACCGAGGCCTCTAGAACATCTTCGACTTACTCAGTACTAGTAGGCCTATACTTAACCCACCAAGCACAGGTGACATATAGCCAAGTCGATGCCTGCACGCTACTCGAGGAGCAGTAGTGCTAGTGGGCGTTCTGTTCGCGCGCGAGAGGCGTCTATAAGTCTCGTCATACTAATGTGTCGAAAGGTGAGGCCTACAAGGATTCGCGAAGCAACGCCTTCGGCGGACTTCCGGCTAGGGCAACGCGTAGAGCGTTGGTAAATGTGATAGCACTTGAGGCTATGCGTCGCGAGTGAATTCCGACCACAGTCGCAACAAGCCGGCCGCAGAACCTTGCTTGGAAGACAAGGTAACATACTGAATCACAACGCAGTCTGCATACATTGATACAAGAAGCCTTTTGGTACGCAACGACATAGAGCATGTCGCGGTCACATGACCGCGTCGAACAAAGAGTTGTTGTACCGGAAACGGCAATGGCCTTGTGGTGCGTCGATGTTCGAAACATACAAGGCGGGTTGTGTTTCCTACTCGACAGCAACTCGTTATAACTCTGGTTTGCCAACTGTCGGACTCGAGCCCTCGCTCAAGCCCCCGTTGCCTACCTCAAGGTGAGTACTCTCCGCTTGTGGCGGCCGCGGCGGGTCGTATACGTAGCTTCGACTTCTACTTGTGTTCTCGAACTGTGATCTTCTTCGTCCACGTAAACCCAACTGTACTGAAACGGCGTCTTTCAAGCACCGACCTTCTGGATCAAGCACATCCTGATTTGGGTCTATGCCAGTTCGCCGGGCCCCTCACTGCCGCACCTGCGGCTCGCCCATGGCGGGTCACAAGCGACCACATGGCACGCCGTCTGTCCTGAACGGAGCCCCACTCCAGTTATCCCAGAAACCATCCCTCAAAGAGGTACCCCCCTCACACGCCGCCGTTACACGCCTGAACCCGGTTTCCAGCTGCCACTGGACGGGCATAGGCGTAACCCTAACTGGGTCGATCCTGTTCGCCGTATAGAGGTCGATCGCAGCGCCCATGCTTCGTGGGTGCCTACGGAGGTGGACGGGGAATCGTCTTCTTCGGACGAAGACTCACAGGCGGGAAGCGAGGAGAGAGTTTTCGATGACCTGCGGGACGACGACGATGACGTCCGTTCAGTGGCGGCCGCCAGCACGTCTTCTTCCTCCTCGTCAGGCTCCTTCGCATCGAAGTCCAGCGTCACGAGCTCCCTGTCCCAGCTAGTTGGCAACAGTATCCCATTGGCCAGCTTATGGAGCACACCGACACGAGACATCCCCGCCATCAGTCACGCTGCAATGAAGGCTGGCGTAAACTTTGCTGTCCTTCCCGCCCCCAAGGACCGGCGCCGACGAACGGTCAAGTCGGAGGGCTCAGGCGCCCACGGGGATGCTTTGGAGCGCGAGAACTCCTGGTGGACAGTCATAGGTCAGGATGAGGGGGCGGTTGCGCGGATTATCGCTAGGGCCGAGGGAGGCGCACAGGGTCAGGAGGACGCAGAAGAGGACCCATGCGCGTCTGGCTTAGTGGGTGCCTACCCAATTCATCCTTCTCATGTGAGGCCGACCTTCCTGGACGTGCTATTCGCGGGCGCAATGGGGGGCTTGCTTGTGTTCTGTGGTTTGTCGATGTTGTGACTTCAGGAGGTAGTCTATTTGCGGCGGATCGGAAGTGTTTATGCGACTTATGCAATTATGCTGTATGTACTCATCTATGCTGTCAGTCTATGCTTTATATGGCCTTCGTTTCGGGGCGATGTGGCGGCCGGTGGTTATGAAGCTTCTCTCGCCTGCAGTATAAAAGAGCAAGCATGTAGCAGCCAACACCCATCTACAGCTTGAAGACGCACCATGGCATATCTACTCAAAGGCGGCATCGTTGCAACCTTCACGAAGGGTAGAAACAAACCCTCCGTGCATTCCGCTGATGTCCTCGTTGAAAACTCGATCATAACACGAATCGACGCAGACATCGTCGCTGGCTCAAATGTTGAAGTTATCGACTGCAACGGTAAGTGGATAACACCCGGAATGGTCGACACACACCGGTGAGTGCACACGGATTACTAGTGCGCCGTATGTTCACGCCCTTCCGCCAGACACGTTTTCATGACTGTATTGCGCGGCGAACAGTGCGAGTACGTACCTTCGGTGTGATCTCGTGACAAGCGATTGCTCATCCCTTCGGCAGCTGGCTACTATCCGAGTACCTCGTGAAGATGTCTATGTCAGTGTCGACAACTAGACGCCCATGATTCAGAACTAACATTAGAGTTGTGCGCCAACCAGGTTCTTGCAGTCTCGTTTGACGGCAGAGGAGATCCGGATAGGACAGTTGTCGGGGTGTCTCGACGCACTACATTCCGGCGTGACGACGATTCTGGACCACTTCCACGCCGCCACGACACCTGAGCATGCACAAGCGTCTCTTGAGGCGACCATCGAGTCCGGAGCCAGGGTCGTATGGTGTCCTGCGCGACAGAGCGGCCCTACGCAGCTCCTGCCGTCCGTTGAGTATGGGAACGAGGAAGAAACCTGCAAGTGGCAGATGGAGAAGCTGATGGAGTGGGGGACAAAGGACGGCGGAAAACTAACGTCCGATGGGCGAGTAACCCTCGGCCTTGCGTGAGCACAGTAGACCCTGTGGCTGTCACCAACAAACTCACTTTGAACATTTGACCCACAGATACGACATCATAGAGGCAGGTCCTATCAGCGCGCACCAGGCAGCGCTGAAGTATGCCCGCGAGAACAATGTCTCCATAATCACTGCGCACGTCGTGAAAGGTCAGCAGACACCCCGGCAGTCCTGGCTCCGTTATGATGAGCGTTGACGCAGACCGACACTCCCGTAGGCCCGCGTATTACCACTTGGCGCGACGCTGGCCTGCTCGGACCGGATGTGGTGTTCTCGCATTGCAACTGCCTCTACGACCGTACGGATCCAGATGACGAGATGTGGGAGGCCATGAAGGAGAACGAATGTGCAATTGCATCCACACCCGTCGACGAGCTCGGCATGGCGCACGGGAACCCGGTCGCTATAGAAGCCGTACAACGAGGGGTCAAATGTGGCCTAGGCGCGGTACGTACGCTCCAAATTGTCTGTCCGCATTCCCTCCACTGACGCCTGTGGCAATGTCAGGACTGCCTGTCCGTCAATGGTGGAGACATCTTCGCACAGATGCGAATGGCCCTTCAATTTGCAAGAGGTTCGTGCCGATGTGGCTTCTTTCAGCACACTGAGTAGATCAATTTTGGGTTTCCTGTTAGGTCGCGGCCACGAAATCATTGAGCAGAAGGGCCATGCGGGACCAAAATACAACAAGCACCTCTGCGCTGACGCCTTCCGCCTTGCGACCCTGGGTGGGGCGGAAGCCTTGAACCTCGACGACAAGATTGGGACCATCGAGGTCGGAAAGAAGGCCGACATAGTGGTATTCGACACGGATTCCACGAATCTCGCGGGGATCGACGACCCTATCTCTGGTATAACCTTCCATGCCACCAACGCGGACGTCGAGCTTGTGATGGTCAACGGCGAAGTCGTGAAGCGGGACGGAAAGCTCACGAAGGTGCCGTGGGGACCCGTCGCGCGGGAGCTCAAGCAGAAGGCGCGCGAGGTCCGCGAACGCTTCCCCCGAGAGAAGTTGGAAGAGCTGTGGGACCAGTGGTACGAAGCTTGCGGAGCACCCAGACTCTGAATGGACCGGCCTTCTTCCTGTATCTCAGAGCTACATGACAAACCGTAATGTATGAGTACGATAACATGTCATTCATGTTTGAGGTCCCAATGCGAGGCACAGTACCTCATGCACCCCGTCTCTAGCTGCAAAATGATACCATCATGAGTCAGCGCAATACTAGGCTCGATCGGATGCCTCGGCAACGAACTCACATGCCTTTCGTGTGTCGTGTGCATCGAGTTGCGTCTGTCATCGGCTCCGCGATTGAACGAGTGTGTTACCACATTCATGCCTGTGTTTCGCAGAGGCCTGAGCAACAAATCCCAGAAAGGTCCGATGAGGTAACAAAATGGCCATGGACAGGTGATCAAATGCAGGATATCACCAGGCCATATGGACAGGGAAGGACCGGCGTTGAACGACGTATTAGGCATGCGCGGAGATTAATCCTGACGAGGGCGTAACTGGGACGCGAATAGCATGGCCCTGCCATCGGTATGTAGTTTGGCCGAGTCTTAGCGCGCCGTGATATCCACCGTCGCTCCGACATAGGACTGAGAGCATCCTAATGGCAGTCAGCCGAGTGTACAGTTAGCGGCGGTAACTACTTACCGCTGGCTGGCTGCAAGGGAGAATCAGCATCCTACGCAGACAATGTGAAGCTCAGGACATCACCATCTGATGCCACACAGTTAGGAAAACATATTAGTATATTGTGGTAAGAAAATCTCCCATTAACCCGACATCAGTCGCCCGAGCACGAACGCTACACACCAAGCGACTACTTTGGTCGCCCCACCAACACCATGCCATCGTCCTCTTCCGTCTCCGTGCCATTATCACTGCCCGACCGTCGACTGTGTGCCGGCGAGGAATTGTTGTCCTCCGACGCTTGTGTCGATGCTCGGCTCTCCGAACGCGATGGTATTTGGGGATAGATTCATTAAGTTGGGCGGACTCGGGCTCCACTGGCAGTGCGGAGCTTGCTTGTGCAGACAAGATATCGCGAGGTGGTTCACCGGGCTTGTCGGAGGGAATCGAAGAGGGCTTTGACTCTGGCGGGACATTTGGCGAGAGACCGGCGGAGATATCTCGCGCAGGGCGGCCACCATTAAGTCGTGGACGCGTACGGCAAGATCTGGGATGTCTGCGACGGTCAAGCCTTCTGTAGGTATTGGGGGAAGCACTGCGGCACGATGGCTCAGTACATCGGAGTTCCGAGACGCAGGTTGACTCACCTCGAATTTTGAGCGTCCCGCTCCCGAACACGTTCTTTCTGTACAGTCTCCAGTAGTTCTCGCACACAACGGGGACGATTGGCACGCCAGCCTGCACTGCGATGTGGAACGCGCCCTTCTTAAGCGGCAAGAGGTCGTGGTGCTCGCGCATCGAGCGCGTGCCTTCAGGGAAGAGCCACAGCCCCATGCGCTGCGCCTTCAAAGTCTCGCCCGCAGCCAAGAGCGAGCGAACGGCTTTAGCGTTGTTTCCGCGGTCGATCCAGATGACGCCAGAGAGCGTCATGAACTGGCCGAGTAGGGGCGTCCACTGCAGCTCCTTCTTCGCTACGATTGCGGCGCGGCGGGGGAAGATCCTGCAGGCGTAGATAGGGCCTCGGCTCAGCGAGATGCGGGGCGATCGTGAAGCGGCTGGACGCACCTGCCGAGGTAGAGAATGTCGAGCATGCTCTGGTGGTTCCCGATAAAGACAGCGGGCCTCGTCTCGAGGTGCTCCTCGCCTTCGACCACAAGTCGGATATCTAACGCCCGGCTGGCGATCATGTAGAACGTGCGCGCCACGACAAAGAACACGTCGAGCTTGCGGCCGATGAGGGACATGCCCACCGCGCATACGACGCCCCATGCTGAGCATACGCCGACTGTCGAGAGGTAGACCGCGAGGCGGACGTAGTATCGCGCGATCGGAGACGACTTTGCCAGCGTGTGAAGCGCGAAGACGGGGAGGGAGACATAGGCGAGGGGCTTGACGAGCCCGGAGAGGAAGACATCGTGCGCGCCGTCGTGGTCGCCGACAGCGAGGTGGTCGTGGTAGATGAGAAAGATGGGGGAGGCCGCGCACGTTGCGCGGACCGTCGCAGGCGCAGACGTCGACGCTTGTGGCAGCGCGCAGAAATCACAGGTCGGAGTTCCAAGCCACGCAACGCCCAGTTTATCCGCGGCACCGCGACCTCGGACCTGGCCATGGCCTCCAACGCGCAGGGTCCTTCGAAGGGACATGCTCAAGGCAAGAAACCAGCTGGTGAGTCCGCCGACAATGCTCGAATGAAGAGCTGGAGATGTACTGAAAGGCTGGCACACACAAGGCACGGCTCGGTACCTCAGCAGCACAAGCGCGTCCAGCTCGCGGGCCGCCGCCGCGGCCACCCCGACATCGTCTTCATCGTCTTCCAAACGCAAGCCACCACTCAATGCAAAGATTGCCAAGCCTGTGTCGCACACCGCTGCCAACGGGACCTCTACCGTGAAGCCGACAAAGTCTGGTGGCCATGCTAGTGGGTCGGTACCAGTCCGGAGCGTGGGCATGAAGGCTTCCAGTAGCGTCGGCAAGAACCTTGCTCCTAGTTCTAGCTCGTCGTCATTATCTCAGAAGACCGTGTCTAAGGATAAGGTCGGTGGTCAATACAGCGTTCAATGCTTGCACTGAACCTGACCCGCTACAGCAACCGGCGTCCGTCGATGTAACGCGCGACCAGGCCACCCCTCTGACGACATTGGATGCGTCACAGCAAGCGGCTCAGTTACAATCTTGGCTATTCATGTCAGCGAAGCTGGAGAGTTCATACGCTGCGCTAAGCGTGCGGCGGCCGCAGCGATAGAGCAACGGCGCGCTGAACTCTCTGCGGAGGAAGCAGACATCGCCGACGCTCGAGTTCGTTTCGAAGCAGAGCGACTATTGCCTTCTACGAAGAGCTCATGGCACCTCATGTACTATTCTACTTCACGCAGTCCGTGGCAGTGACATTGACGGATCGAGATAGGTGGCCTCTGCGATTGCATCTTTAGTGCAGCATTTCTTACGCATGAGGAAGCTTGCTCCCGGATATTGTCTGAAGCTCTGCAACTTGCGCAACGCCCAGCCAATGAAATCTGGGTATTTCTCATTTCAACGGAGTACTGGACGAGATTGGTGAGCGAGTTCTGCGCCAGGCACCTCAAGCTTCTAAGTGACCTCTCAATTGGCAGATCAGCTTCCGAAGAGGCCGTTCAATTGGAGTCTTCAATTACCGCTATCTTTCTGAGCATGTTGGGCACCATGAAGAGCTCTATGACCGGTCGGAGCATGATAGCCGAGTTGTCCTAGCTCTGCTCGCTCTATTGCCGGTTGTACGCGCACAAGGTGCAAACCTTGATTGTGCTCGGACAGTTATTCAGTCTAGCAAGAGTAATCTTCGTGCTGTCATGCGCTTGCAGAGCCTACAAAGCTCTGCCTAGCTGGTTATCCCTAATTTTCTGTGCTTTTCATTGTCTTGTGTCTCCTGGATGATGAAGCGCTCAAGTCCAGCTCATGTACAGTGTACCATGCTTTCTACAAGGCCGAGTCATTTCAGGCTGGATTCTCTTGTGCGATCATTTCCCTCAAACTCAGTGTACTCGTCATTCACGGACATCCAGAAGCGGACGCTAGAGGATAGTTTCCATTTGCAAGTCAGCGTATTAAGCGCACTGCATTGCATGTCGTCGAAAAATTATTCTGGATCATGACGAAGCTAGCTACTTGAATGCACGTTGCATGTCTCCTCAACGGTACTGATCCCGTATGTTCCTGCAGTAGGGTGTGAGACCCTAACCCTGCCCTAACCCTATCGTAGAACCATAGGCGCGGAAGACGGCAAGTTTTCCGACTCTGAGCAGCCACTGCAGACAGCCTTGATGAGTGCGACATCAGCGACCCCTTCCTCCTTGCCTCCTACCCCGTCCCCATCCGCCCTGCCCGCCCTTCCTCAAGGCAGGCCGCGGGGACCTCGTCACATGTCCTCGTCGACTCCCGCTATGCCTCGACGGCCGACAAGACCGACAACCTGGTCTCCCTAGCTGTTCAGGAGGACGGCGTGCATGTACTCGATGTGAGTTTATTCCCTACGCAGCATCATGTGCGTGTATGCTAACAGCACTGCTAGCTCTCAACATTACACCCTGCAATCTCCCACACCCTTGGCCCGAACACCACATTTTCATGTCCACCCACAAGTAGAACAAGCAAGGGAAACGGCGCTCAGACATGTACAACATATGCAGTCATAGCATCTTCGCCTGATATCCAGGAGGAGGATGAGGGTCGAACTGTCTTGTGGTGGGAGGAGTCCCTGTCGGGCGGAGTTATGACCGCGGATACGCAGAAGAAGAGAAAATCCACAGTAGTGAGTAGCACACTACCTTTAGCTATACCGGTGAGCCTGATGCAAATTGCTGTCCTAGCTTTCACACAAAATCACGCATATATACGCACCCAAAGACCTTCCTGACCACCTACTCCTTGTTGGCCTCGGTGGTGAGATCACAGTGACAGACTCAGTACTGAATGTCCAAGCATCGTCCCCTACATCCGAAGAAGATGATACTGTTCTCCTCCGACATTTTGTTCTCCCTCGACAGTCCAGCACCTTCGTACCAACCCAGACGTCACCATCAAGTGGTGTCGTCTCTATATCGGCTTTGCGGAGGAACACAGATGTACTGTTACACATCTCACTGGTGGATGCAGAAGGCCGCATACATTCTCTCGGGAGCTGTGTCACCCCTGTGGAGGAGACGGTATGTACGGGCCTGATTTTCCATTGCGTCAAATGACTGAGCAGCGCCGATGATACTTAGGATATCGCCGACGTCTCGTTCAGTACAAGCGGTTGTTTGACCGTTCTGAGTAAGTACTATGTACGTTCCGAAACCCACAAACTGACGTCTTCTACAGCTCGCTCGGGGAAATGGACGTCATACCGTGTCTCCGTCTCGCCATCATCCACACTGAGCATCTCCCCTCTTTGCCCTCCGTCTACCTCTCTTCCCTCGCCTTCCTCTCGTCCTCCGGAACCCACGCCGCCGCCCACGCCTCAGAGATCTCCCTCCTCGCGCTACATCCTCCCACGTTCTCCTGCAGGCGTGACCATCATCGGCCCCGAGATGATCCTCCTCCTCTGGGACACGCAGTACGGCGTGGTCCTCGCAGAACAGCGCTTCCCGTGCCCATTACACCTCTACCGCGGCAAGGACCGCGGCACACGCATGAGCCTCGTCGCGTCGGGCAGCGCAGACGAGCCGAGCCAGGCCCTGCTCGTGCTCCACCCGGCCGATGCCTCGCAAGATAGCCAGTACGAGCGGGCGACGAGCGTGCTGGCCGTCCCGCTGAGCGTCCCCAAGACGTCGACGATCGCGAACGCGCTCGGCCGCGCGGCGGCGAGCCAGAACTGGCTGCGCCCCGACGCAGACAGTTCGCAGAAACCGAGAACCGCGCACCTGGCGCTGGACCTCGGCGGGCTCGAGCCGGAGCAGGGCAGGGCGCTGAAGGCGATGCTCGAGGCGCAGGAGAGGGGGCGCACCGAGGAGGTGGAGAAGCGGTGGACGGCTTACCGCGAGGATGCGGGTGGGCCGGGGAAGGAGCCGCGCCTCGGGCATCTGTTCGTGAAGCAGCTGCTGAACGTGCTGTTCGCCGTGCCCTTGCCGGGGCGGGATGGCGCGGCGCCCCCGAGTGCGGCTCAGGCGTACGCGCGTGGTATCGTGACGTACCTGCTAGAGAAGAAGGCGGTGAGCGACGCGATGATCGAGGGCGGGCTCATCCCCGCGCTCATGGTGCGAACGACTGGGTACGTCTCGAACGAATCGCTCACTCGTCGTTGTGTTATCTCATGCGTGTCTGTCATAGCCCAACGCCGTCCTTGCGATGTCCAATGTGATCGACCTCCCCGAGTCCGACATCATCAGCCTCCTCGCCAAGGTCGTCGCGCACCATCGCCAATCCAACCCTGACGCGATGCAAGTCGACTCCCCCTCCAGCCCACCTGCGCTCCCCGCGTTCCTCGCGCTCTGCGTGACCTATTCCACCTCGCCCGGCCCGCTACGCGTCGCGCTGCGGAAGCATCTGCCCGACGCAGAGGCCGTCGTGTGTGTGCTCGAGGTGCTGGACAGCTGGGTCGGGCAGTGGAGCGAGGAAGAGCTAAGCCTCGTGCCCGAGAAGGTGAAGAAGGACGCACACGGCGCATACGTAGCGGTCTACGCGGAGGAGAGCACGCCGGAGATGCCTCCACTCGACAAGGTACGTTCAGCGTCGGCGTCGACACCACCCACTCTACCTCGATGCTGACAACTCCTTCACGCGTTCTGCAGATCCTCCTCTTCACCCAGGCCATCCTGGACTCTTCGTTCCTCGCCCTCCTCTCCCACGCGCCCGCACACCCCCTCCTCCGCTCCCTCCTCGCGCGGCTCGAACCCGAGCTCGCGCTCATCTCCGAGCTCCAATCCCTGAAAGGCCCGCTACAGGTATTCGCGAGCGCACAGTCACGCTCAACGTTCCTCACCGGCCACGGCGGTCTAAGGGCGACGCGCAGGCGGACTGGCGTCAGCGGAAGAAGGCTCAGACCGAGCACCGGGACATGAACATCGGGATCTACCAGGTGGAGGAGCTGGTGATCTGAAGGTGCCGTCCCGCAAAAGTACTGAGGTCTACACTCGCGACTGTGTTGTACGAATCGTGTATTGTTGTAATTCCATTTGTCGGCTCTCCTCAGTCCATTTCGGTTCCTTGGTCAAAACAAACGAGGACATGCGCATAAGAGCTCAGAAAACTACTGCTACTACGTATACATATGTGTGTCATGTTGGTGAAGTGGTATCTCGTGCTGAAGGGATATATAAACGCGCGTAGGGACAGACCTAAGCAAAGCGGGCATTCTAACACATCCGTGCAGCGAACCCATCGTCCAAGACGCAGCCGCGGGCGAAAAACAGTAACGGTTCCGATCCAGAAGAAGCGAGTGTTCTTAGCACGAGCGTGGCGATCATGGCAGGTTAGTACAGTACTGGATAAGTTACACATTCCCCTACAACGCAGAGCACGATAGATCAGCCTCGCGCAGCATCCCCACAGGCCGATACGCGACCACTCACGAAAACACGAGACTGCAGCGCACCGCAAAGCAGCTTGCTATGCCCCCCACTCCTCCCATCCCCCACCCACATACCCAGGTCTCGCACTCCACCCAGGGCCCCTCATCCGCTCCTCCCTCGACGCGCCCATACTCAAGCCCGCCCCGCTCCCCGTCCCCGCCGCACCGAGCAACCACCCTGTCCACCACCCCCCCTCCTCCTCGTCCCTCCCCTTGCCCTTGCCCTTCCCCTTCGCCCTCGCCGCGCCCCGCGCCCGCTCCTTCCCCTTCAGCTTGTCCCGGAACCTGCTCGGCGCGCCGTCCGGCTTGCTCCCCGCGTAGCTCTCGGGCAGCTCCGCGAACGAGATGCGCTTCGGCGTCGACCGCCCGGAGGACGCCGTGCTCGCGCCTGCGCTCACGCTGCCCCGCCGGAGGCCCGGGACAGCCATGCTCAGGTGCAGCCCGGCAAACGGCTCGGGGAACCCGGTGATGAGGGGCGTGGGCGGGGCGGTGGCCATGGGTGTTGGGGGCGCGGAGCGGTTCTTGAGGACGGATTGGCGGGGCGGGGACGGTGGGCGGGTGGATGAGGAATGGCGGGCCTTGGTGAAGAGCCGCGAGATGGAGGCGGTCGCGTTGGAGGTGCCCGAGATGGGTGCGACGGTCGGTGGGGCGAGTAGAGAGGGCCGGGGCACAGGCAGCGACGAGCTCTTGCTGCTGCTCGGCGACGTTGCGGACGGGGGCTGCTTGCCGAGGATGGTGCGCAGCGACTCGAGTGTGCGGTCTACGTGCAGCGTTTCGGATGATGATGAGGACGATGAGGCGGATAGCTCTTCGATGGGCGGGGTCATAGGCCGGGGTGCGTGGGGAGGGGTGGTGGTGCGCATGGGCGTGAGCGATCGCGATCGGAAGGAAGGAGACGTTGTCGCGGCGGGTGGTGATTTTGACTGCCTCACTCGGCGGACGGTCTTTGAGCTGGAACTCGTGCTTGAGCTTCTACCACTGCGCGTCATGATCGAGAAGCGCGGCGACGAGGACACGGAGCCGGATGGGCCTGCGGCAGGAGGCGAGACTACGTAAGAAGATAGCACGTCGACTATACTCTTTGTCGAGTCCGATGGTTTCACCGATATTTCGCGGCTGGTGTCGGCGGTAGTTATTTGTGAAGGTAAGGGGTAGGCGGAAGGTGCACGGTGGTCCGCAAGCCCAGTGTGGGCGGCAGCTTGATGGAGTCTGGGTCATCCGTAGAGTCGACATAGATAGTCAGAGCTCGCGGGGCCGGTGCGACGAAATGACTCCGATCGTGGTTTGAATATTCAAGATGGGAGCCGCCCATACTATCCAGCGACGGTCTGCGCAACGAAGGCCTTCTGCGGACCTGCACGCGTTCCTCGGCGCCCACAGTGGGTGGACCCTTGCTGAAGTTGTCTCCGAAGCTAGACGCGGGGGCGCTCTTGCTCAGGGAATGCACTTCCACCTTGGACAGCTGCTCCGCCTCGTCCTCCTCGTCCCTCTCCTGGAGGTCCACCAGATCCTCGACGCTCCGGTAGATCTCGTCGAGGTCGTCCACCCACCCCTCGTGCACGCCGCGGTTTGCGCTCACGCGGCGCGAGAGCATCTGCGCGCGCGCCTCGAGCGAGAGGTCCGCCATGGGGTCGTCCTGGAGCACGGCAGACAGGCTGCTCTGTGTGGACATGGACGACTGGAGTAGCGTATTGGACATTTCGAGCGCGTGCACGCTGCGCGCGAGGAGCGAGTCGAGATAAGGATCGCTGCTGCCGGCCGTGCTGTGCTGACGCCAGTGCGTCTGCGAGGAGCTCGAGTACGTCTGCGCCTGCGGGTACGCGCGCGCGGATTGCAGCTGCGAGTGTGGGCGGCGGACGCGGTTGGTCCGGGGGGAGGTGAGGTTGGGGAGAGGCGGCTGTACGTAGACAAGATCGTCCTCGTCGGAATCAGTGTCTGCATCGGCCTCCTCGGCACTGTCTGGGTAATCTGGGGGCTTGTCTGAGTCCGACATGTCCAGGGACGCATGCCTGGACCAGGGCGGCGAGGTATATGGCGGTAGGGTTGTCACTGTGGAGTCGGACGAGAGGCGCAGGGCGGATATCCGTTTGCGGTGCCGGCCGCGAGTGGGACGGATGCCAGGGGAGTTCATGGCTGCTCTTTATATGGAGTCCTAGAGTCGCCACAGCACAGATTGCGGGCACTAGGGAGAGCAGGGGCGGCAGGGCCTTCAAGGAGAGTGAGTGAGTGCGAAGGTGAGCTGCCAGGTGCCGCCGTCGCTGGGTGGCACAAATTGAGTGTAACACGCGCCGCTGATAGGACCCCAATTACCCCGATCTTCGTCTAATCGCGGATGCGACCCTTAGTAGGAGGTCGGTAGGGCCCCCGAAGACTGCCAACGTCCAATCCTCAACGTCGTTCGCAACGATGAGCAACGATGTTCGGCGCCCCAGGTCGGTATGTGGCCAAGGCGCGTTGTTGCGTAAGTTCACTCTCTTTCCGCCGTGACGCCTCAGGTCGGATCGGTGGGCGGCCATACTCGGTTCACCATCCGACGCGTGTCACGATATCTGTCGGACGTCCGTGTCATACACTCATCACACGCACTGGCAACACCAGAGTGGAAAGAGATTACGGTGTCTATGGATGCGGACAACACTACTAAGTCTATGGTCGGTGCGAGCGGTATGGAGAATAGCAGAGCGAAGCAGAAGCAGAACAAGGGACCGAGGATCATGCAGAGGCAGACACGCGCGGGGCAGCCGGCGTCGCATCCTGCACCTCCTGGAACGGCCCGACAAACGACTCGATATACGCGCGCGAGGAACGTGCGCCGAGCCGCGTCGCGGGCGTGTAGAACTTCCACGAGGTCCAGAGGAACGTGCGGCCGTACTGCGCCGCTATCTTGTCGTAGTCCACTAGAAGGGGAAAGCGCAGAGGTCATGAGCACACCGGTGTCCCCCGCAGTGATAGGCTTTGCCCGAGATCGCTCACCGTACAGGGCGTTCCGGAGATCGAGCCACACCTTCGTGACGTCGGTCAGGATGACGTCCACCCCCCATCTCACGGCCTGGGCACGTTGGTAAGACCGCTTGGCCAATCGCGTGCGAGCTCGCAGAGCGTGTCCTCACCTCAACCATCTCTACGGGCTCGTTCACGGTCCACACCATGATCTTCTTTCCCGACGCCTTGCACGCTTTCCTGAACCTGTCGACCAGTGTACGCGTGGTTAGCTCGGAGAAACCACGAATCACGGAGGCAGTCGCGTACTTCTCGCCTTCAACGGTGGCCAGTACGGCGAACTTGACGGAGAACACGTCGACGCTGTCCCAGAAGTACTTGCGCGCAATCTCGGTGCTCTCGCCAATGTACGAGCGTCGGCAATACGGCAAGTGCGTCTTCGCATGGGGGATGAAGGTGGTGTGCCACAGGCCGACCAGGATGCGCGGGCAAGGTCGGTCTCCCAGTTCGGCTGAGCCGAGATGACCTTGTGCATGAGGGCGAACAACCGCGCGGGGTTGTTCTGCACCTTCACATCGACGTTGAACTTGACGTGACTGTTTCAGGCTGAAGGATGCCGATGTGAGCAACGTGGCTGCAGTCCCGAAGGAAGTGCGTGAATCACCCTCATGAGAAGCTCGACCGTCTCCGCAAAGGTCGGGATGGACTGCTTCGGTTCCTTCATCGTCCTCAAGAGCTCCATGCCCTCCTGACCGTACCAATTCTGCTCTCTGATCAGCCCTGCGCATGACGTGTCAGTCCCATAACAACCTATCGCCAGTGCGCCACCCACCTGTCCCATTCGTCGTCCTGTCCAATGCTGGAACGTTCATTTACAAGGGCGTCAACGCGCAGAACAGCCAAGGAGCCGTGGGCACTTACACGGGTCATGGAACATGACAACAACGTCATCTAGGGAGACGTGGACGTCTGCTCACAAGTGTTACGGACTGCAACACCGTCTAACTGCCCTATGAAAAAATACCGCTCTCAATGCCCTCCGCGCCGTCGCGGATGGCCTTCTCGAAGCTCGCCAGGGTGTTCTCTGGGAAGGTGGCGGAAGCCTGCGCGTGCGGGGTCAGTGGCGGCGCGACGTGTAGAGGAGGGACGGGCAACTGACACCACGATGGCCCCAGCACTCGGGCAGCGCCTTGTTCGAGGACATGGCGAACGAGGGGGAGAAGAAGGAGTGGGTAGAGTGCGACAGACGACGACCGCGAGACGGGACTCGGGGCGGGGGAGAGAGAGAGCGAGAGGGGTATATATACCGCCCCGGGTGGCCGGAGACAGACCGAGAGACGTGGGCTGGCAGAGACTCCGGGCATGCCCTCCTGCGGCAAGTGGAGACGGCCGTGCGTGCGCTCCAGAACACCCGGAGAGAGGCCATGGTGGCACGCGTAACGCAATAGGAGGCCGCCATAAATCTCGTTTTCGCCGCCCCGCTAAGCGAACGTGCGAGGCCGTCCTCCTGATCCCTCCTGCGACGCACATTCGCCTCCCCACCCCCGGGCCACGCCGGCTGCCCCTGCTACCGCCGCCGTGTACCTCGCGCGGGGCACATGGCGCGTCCATCATGCCTGCACACTGCAGGGACGGGCAGGGCGCGTCGGGGCGCGCACTGTGCAGTGGCGCGAGTGTCCGTTTTGGGCGCGCGTTCTATCGGAAACTCTATCGACCTCCGTTAGCCTTTCCGTTCTTACGTCCATCCTGCCCTCACCAGCCAGCCCACCGCGGTCCAGGCTTCTCAGCTGGTATATCTCGTGAGCATCAACACACTTTTGCCCCGCGCCCGCAATACATCCACCGTCCGAGGTGGGAACACGCCCGTCCGTCGCGTACGGTCGCTGATGCACGGTGCTACAATTGCAGGCCCCTCACCATAGACAGAGGTCCTGCCGCACGCTTATCGGAGCCGACTCAGTGCAGGTAACCTCCGCTCTCTGTTCAGGACTCTGTATCCTACAAAATCCTCTTTTCTAACAAACCATCCGCTTGGCGATCCAGTCGCCGCATTAAGATCGCATTCAGAATGTCGCAAGCCCGAGTGGCCATCCTCACAGGTCAGCTGTGCGATCTGCAGCAGTCAGACATGCGCTGAGCCGTGCACGCGGGCGTCGGTGCAGTGAGCGACACCGCCGCGGCGGACACCACCCTGGACAAGTCCGGGCCCACCATCCGCGAGGTCCTCGCCGGCGCAGGCTACGAGTGTAGGCACCTGCTCGTCGTCCCCGACGACGAGCCCCGCATCCGGCACACCGTGCAGACGTGGGCCGATCAGGGCGATGTCGACTGGATCGTCACCACTGGCGGGACCGGGTTCGGCGTGCGCGACCGCACACCGGAGGTGCGCACTCCGCTCGCGCGAACGTCTCCCTTCTGCGGTATCCTAATGAGCCCGAATAACTCGTTGTAGGCGATCCGCCCGCTCATTGAGAGAGAAGCCCCGGGGCTTGTGCACCTCATGATGGCAGCATCGCTGCAGAAGACACCTATGGCTGCTCTGGCACGTCCCGTGGCAGGCACGGTAAAAGATACGCTTGTGGTAACGCTCCCAGGCAGCGTAAAGGCCGTCAGAGAGAACCTCGAAGCGTTACTCGGGGAAATGTTATCGAACACGCTCTGCAGCTTGTCAAAGGCGCATCCAGTAGGAAGCTGCATAGTGATGTGCCAGGCGCCAGTGCCGTCAATGAATCCGTACAGTCTGAGCACACTCATGCCCACCACCACCATCATCATCACCACCATGACCATGACCACCATGCGCCTCAGCCCAGGACTGCGCTGTCGCATGACCCCTCACAACCAGGTTGGTAGGATGAATGTTCGGGATTGCATGCGCCTTCTCATACGAATCCGCATATAGTGACGACTCGGCATCGGGAATCGCCATATCCTCTAGTTACTGTTGAAGAAGCGCTAGCGTCCATCCTGAAGGAAGTTGAGCCGCTGAGTATTGCAGAGCAACCAGTGCGCCAAGACATGCCTTTATTCTTCAGCATGAACACATTGTGAGGTCTGTTCACAGGTCACACCACAACTCAAGGGGCATGTCCTCGCCGAAGACGTGCATGCGCCTCAGGACGTTCCTTCCACATCGACCACCAGCGTAGATGGGTACGCCCTCCGCTGTACGCAGTCCCCCTTGACCACTGTTCCTCAACTACAGCTCACTCGCATCCCCTAAGCCACCGACCCGCCAGGCATCTACAAAGTCGTCACCGCCAAAACGCACAACCTCTCCGACGCCCTTCCCGCAGGGACGATCTTCCGCATCAACACAGGCGGGCCGCTCCCCGCCGGCGCGGACACGATCATCATGGTCGAGGACACGCGGCTGCACAGCACGCACAAGGACGCGACCGGCGCGGACGTCGAGGAGGCGGCGGTCGAGACGCTCGTGGCCGTGCCCCCGGGCGAGAACGTCCGCGCGCCCGGGAGCGACACGCGCCAGGGCGCGCTCGCCCTCGAGCACGGGCAGGTGCTCCACGCTGCGGGCGGGGAGATCGGCACCCTGGCGTTTGTGGGCAGGCGGCGCGTGCGGGTGTACGCGAAGCCGGTGGTGGCACTGCTGAGCACGGGGAACGAGCTGCTGGACTTGCAGGACCCGAAGCCGATGCTCGGTGAGTGGGGCGGGATTTGGGATACCAACCGGCCGTCGTTGCAGGCGGTGTTGGAGGGGATGGGGTATCGGGTCATAGACCTGGGCATCGTACCCGACGAGTGGGTTTTCAGGTCCCTGACATGGATCCCCTTATTGACGGACTGCAGTCTCGACGCGCACGTCGCCGTCCTGAAGCAAGGCCTCGAGGAGGCCGACCTCCTGCTCACGACGGGCGGCACGTCCATGGGCGCAAGCGACCTGCTCAAGCCCGTCATCGAGCGGCACCTCGGCGGGACGATCCACTTCGGGCGCGTCAAGGTGAAGCCCGGCAAGCCAACAACCTTCGCCACCGTCCCGACGCCCGCCGGACGCGTGCCCGTGTTCGCGCTCCCCGGCAACCCTGCCTCCGCGCTCGTGACGTTCCATATCTTCGTGCTCCCCGCACTGCGCATGCTGGGAGGCTGGCCCGAGGCGCAGTGCCAGCTGCCGCGCGTGAAGGTTCAGGTAGGTGACACTTTGAAGCTGTGGTATCATTGGGTATAGTCTAAGGGGTACACCTTGGTATAGCTACGCGACTCCATGCGCCTCGACCCTCGACTGGAGTACCACCGCGTGGTCATCAAGGCCGGCTCCGGCGGATTGGTGGCGTACAGTACGGGCGGGCAGCGCTCCAGCAGGGTGGCAAGCCTCAGCGGAGCGAACGGTCTGGTCGCCCTCCCTCCACGAGCCTCCGAAGGGCCGTCCGAGCTGAAGGCGGGCGAAGTGGCCGAGGCGGTCGTCATCGGGGAACTGCAGATGCAATGAAGAAAAGCACGGTTGATGATCAATGCATAATAGCAAAAAAAGCAATCCTAACTGACTGTGAACCCCGAGAAGTGAGCTTGATCATCTCTTCTTCATTGCTGCGAGCTCCTGCAGGACAGACACGCAATGTGAATCCTGGATGGCTCGCGAGCAACTCAAATACGCACCAACTCGTCGATTTCCCTGTGTAAAGCCGCCGCATCATCTTCGAGCTTCTCGCGCTGCCTGGAGAGCATCTGGATTTTCCTAATGTCTAGCTTCGACATCCCCGCCGTATTGATAGTGACCGCCGTTCGTGAGGATGGCCGCTTTGACATGGACGCTTCGACCTGATTGACGTTCCAAGACCAGTTTCACGAGCAGTGAATAGAAAATCCGACCTTAGCTTGCAGCATGCTCTCCCTCTTTAGCAGGATCTGAAGCCCCTTCTCCGCCCTGGAGATCAACTCGTTAATCTGTGGCTCAATTTCGTCTGTGAGGTCGGCCTTGTATCTCCTGATGGTTGCCTCTTCAGTGAGTAGAAATATCTAAGCGTATTTCAGTAAGATACGCCCGGAGTGGGACAGAGTAAGGGACAGACCCGCTCATTCTCCAGCACCTTTGTGATGCGGGGCAGGTCGTAGGTGCCCTCACGGACGACCTTCTGCGCTTCCCTCGCCTGCATAGAAGTCAAAGACTGAGACATAGCCACACCTCGTAGTGCTCACCTCCTCGCAACAATCCTCCATGGCAAGCACACATTCACGTAGAAAAGGGCTGCAGACAGCGTTGTCCGAACGGTACAGCTCCGGAGCGCTCGTGAAGACGGATTCCCGCGGAGCATAGCGAGGATGCACAGAGAGTCGAGAGACGCGGTGACTTCTGTCCACCATATTCGCCAGTGCGTCCTGAGGTCGGCGAGGCGTCGAGCACAGTGCGAATGGGATGCGTTGAACTCGCGACGGGCGCTGGACGCGTCTGTGGCACCGCGTCGCGCCGGAGCTCGCCCTAAACCAAACTCCGCCCGCGCCCTGGATATAAGGGCGCGCAAATTTGTCGCCGTTCTCCCAGTGTCCGTCCGACTTCCGAACCGTTAGCCTCGCGCGCAGAGGTCTGCCTCTGAGTGACGTCTTTCTAGTCGGCGGAGCGAGGCGTCCTTCGGGGTGCTCACAAGAGCGAGTGCGTCTTCCCTGTTCCCTCTCGCCACGGCTGAGTCCACTTCGGTGTCGACTCGCTGGAGGGGTCGAGCGGGGGATGCACGGTGTTATATTCCTGTACCTCCTGTACCCGCCCGTCTCCGGATGGGTTGCGACTATGTCGCTTTGACAGTCCGGTGAAACCATAACACAGACATCCTCATCCATGCAATACGTATGTAAGTTAGCAATCACTGGTTGCGTCTGCCCTACATGTATGCACCAGTATATCCCATCCTTGTCTACTATTAGTGTGGGTATCCAGAATACCATCTCTGTCGTCGAGCGACTACCACAAACCTGTTTGAACACGCATAACGCGTCGGAACACGACTCATTTTGTGAGCACAGGCACCTGTACTTAACGCCCTAACGAGGAGACTACTGCAAAACTGACATGGACATAGAGCGACCATATATCTCCAGAACCTCAATTAACTCGAGATCATAAATTACTGCACGAAATGAAACATCACTGCCCTGTCCTAGGCGTCCTCAAATCCTCATCATCGCCCACTATGCTGAATATCGCCCCTTCGTTCGGAAGTTCCTGCGCCCGCTCCTTCCCCTTGGCCTGCTTGTACGGTGCCTCATCATCCCTGTCGCCATGGCCGTTCACATCCGTCATACTCGTCGCGAGAGGGATGTTCTCTTCCGCGGTCGAGTCGTCCGTCGTGACCTGCAGCCCACGCAGTCTGCTCCGGCGGTAGCGCCACCAGATGAAGCCAGCGATGAAGATCGAGATGATAGCAAGCACCATCGCTGCAGAGCCGGCATTGTAGTACGCTAGCGAACGAGATCAGCACCGAGGAATGAGGGCTAAGACAGACGCATACCTTCCCACTTGGCCTTGTCCTGCTCGGGAGTCTCCGAGGGTGTAGCGCTTGCACTTGGGATGTTGCCCAACAGCTCAGGTATAGGCTTGCTGTTGTCGCCGACAGCACTTGGGATCCGCGCGGAGCCATCAAGAATCATACTGAAGTTGGCGCCCATGAAGCGCAGAATCATATCGTGAGTGATATGTGGTGCGTCGAAACCAACCATATGTGACGCGTTGAAGATCTAGCCGTAAGGTCAGAGTCTCGTATGCAGTAGAGGTGTTCAGAACGGACCTTAGCATAAGTGAGGTTCCGTGACGAGACCCAGGTCCCAGCAGATGTTCCGTTGACTGACCATGGTTCTGTCTTGACAGTCTGTCATCGCCCCTATCAGTCCCCTGCCCAAGTTCTACGCCGTGATTTTCATACCCCAAGTCCAGTGGCACCGTTCCACGACATCGCCTGAATGAGGTTCTCAATCCCGACGTAGTTGCAGATGAGGTCTTGGTCGCCAGCAAACAACAAGATCGGTATTTTGGCGAGTACTCTAGGGATGACCGTGATAGCGGATGGAGAGCTGGCTGTGTTGAAGGCATGGTGGATCGTTCCTCTGCACTCTGTCCAGGTTTGCGACGCTTCAGATGCGTGAATGGCGCGTACGACTTCGGGGCGCTGTTCTAAGTGTTAGCACTTCGGCAAGATGTCGCGCAGCGGACTAGCCTACCTGAAGGTAGGTGTACATATGCTTCAAATCTGGTGGCCAGTTCATGCCGCAGGCGGGCGACTCGTCTTGAAGCCGCACGTCGTAGATGTTGAGACACATCTCCTTGCCATTGACTCTGTCCACGTAACGTAACAGTCAGCGACGGGCATTGTTTGCGACAGGACCATATGCTCACTTTCGCGTCTTACTCTTGATGACTTCATGCATGACACCCTCACAGATATTGACCTTGACAGGTTCGTGATCCTTGTGCTTATCCAACTCCTTCATGCAATTGTCCGTCGCTTCCTTCCCGTGCTTCCATTCCTGTTGTGCGCGAGTATGAGTCGCTGAGTTAGCATCACTCAGTAAGATGACTCACATCGGACTTCTCTTCAATTAGGCCATGCTTGACTGCATACTGGAGGAAGGAGGGATACTGGTGACGGCCATCTATCCAGCCATTACCGATCGCTGCTCCGCGTAATGGCATGTTCAATGTGGAGTTTAGGATGGCATCCGCTGCGGAACGGGTAAGTGACATGTCAGTGGCCTGAGCACACGGGTAACAAACCAAAGTATGGTATGTATTGCCCGGCGAAGCTCTCGCCCGCTAAATATGTCTGTATCAGAAATATGAGACCACAGCCGCAAATGACGAACTGATATGACACCTACGTCGACGTCTTTATATTCGGGAAATACATCATAGAAGTTCTTCAAAAACTCCACCATGTGTGCTGCCGCCTGTAGGATGTATTAAGACTCTGCTTTGGGTCGAGTAGAAATTGCCACGTACATCGGAGAGTTCATGCAGATAATGGTCTGACGAGGTGTACGAGAAGCCTGCCCCTGCGGGTTGATCGACTGCATGACACGGTAAGACTAGAGTCGACGTGGAAGAGACCGCGACGCACCGTAGACCATAGTCGTGTACTCTTCCCAGCCCCCTTCAATGACATTCAGGCCACCCTTGCCGTCTAGCCGCCAGGGACCAACTTCCATCATTAGACCATCGAAGGATGAGCATCCTGGACCACCCTTTGCTGGTTGTGAGCACACGGAACGTCAATGACATAGTGGGTGTACGGACATTGAACCAGAACATAAGTCGCTCCTTGTCCGCCATTCGCCGATTCTTGATCATGAGAAAGAATAGGTGTGCGGTGACTTCAGTGTCTGGTACATTGGTAGCATTCGGGTCGGACGGTAGATGACCGGAGAACATGTGCAATGGATGATTCACATCTTGGTGCAGCCCGGGTAGGGAACGGACATAGAAGGAGGCTGCTGATGGTACTATTACGGAGTTAGCAGCGTCGGATCCCTTTCATACGCGTGCACTCACCATCTGTAGGTGCTGCAGCAATATGCCAGATGAGCCAGAGTGGCAAGACTGCCCAGAGCAATCTGAGGGGTGACGCGTAGAGCATCCCGCAGTATTCCTCGCACCAAACAGGTCACAGCCGTCGGATCGCCAAGCACAGATGGTCCTTATAGGGTCGTCGTAGGGATCCACGTCAGTTCAAAAAGGAGACATGAACTCAGGCAGATGTGCGACCAGGAGCCTGCGAGCGTTGCACCGCCGCCGTAGAGCACGACCGCACGCTCCCGCGCTACTGCCGGTCGCGTAGGCGCCCATCGCTGAAACACAGCAAACTAAACTGGCGGAAGCAAATATAGAACCGGTACGGTTGCCCGATAGTCCGAGGCCGAGCATTTTGCACGACGCGCCTCAGCCACATCGCGTCGCTCGTCCTCCGCCTCCTCCATATCCTCCGGAACTCACGCAATACTCACGCTACAGCCATAAATGCATTCCTACTGCACCGAGAGCACTGTGAACGTCAAAAAAGAGGTACTGGTAAGTCCATACTGGCCTGAAACCTCTTGAGAAAGCTCGACCCCGGGAAGTGGTAAGCGCCCGACAACGCCGCGACTCGCTCGGACTCGAAGTCTAGAGGACATAACTGTATGATGACTATGGTGCATGGATATTTGATACAAGTATGTGGGATGTCGAACAGGTATACAGATCATGATCATAGGGTTGTACGACCCTCGGCACCAACATCGCAGTGTGCGTCCGGCAGGCCCAGTGAAATCTTACTGTTACTATACAGTGTAAGGCTTTCTGAGGCTCACGGTGTAGGCATCCAGTCCTCAGCATTCAGTACTTCAGTGCACATGCTATGTCTGGTGGTGATGGAGTGATGTATGCGTACAATTTGAGACACTATATATTTCTCTTTGTCGATATACACGAAGGCCTGCGGCACAGTACGACTCCGAGACAACATTATAATGCTATCACTCACCTGTTACAGCCACGAATACATGTGAAAGCCCCACAGTGCTTCCCCTCGCTGTGCTCTCTGTGGCGGTTGAATTCGCAGATCAGGTACTGTGCCTGCAATGCTGTTCAGTCTGAGAACATGGGCCGCTCCGATTCGAGCCGCACCCGTAGTCTGAGAAGTAAAGACACAGTGTGTGCATATGATGACTCACCATATATTATATCCTTTTCCCTGCAGAGCACCTTTCCGATCCTGCCTTTAGTCTATCCAGAAAGGTGTACATAGGTACTATCCTCCAGACGTGCGCACGAGTCGCGTCGGGCGCTTACCACTTCCCGGGGTCGTCGAGCTTTCTCGAGAGGTTTCAGGCCAGTATGGACTTACCAGTACCTCTTTTTTGACGTTCACAGTGCTCTCGGTGCAGTAGGAAGGCATTTATGGCTGTAGCGTGAGTATTGCATGAGTTTCAGAGGATATGGAGGAGGCGGAGGACGAGCGACGCGATGTGGCTGAGGCGCGTCGTGCAAAATGCCCGGCCCCGGACTATCGGGCAACCGTAAACCGGGGAATTGGATTTCCCTTCAGAGACTTATCGCCTCCTTTCCAGCCCAGGCACGCTTCCTTTCTAGGGCTTATCATCGTAACGCGCACCATGCTGCCTCCGAGGTATTGTCTTGGTCCAGCGGAGCATACGACGTGCTCACCCTTCTCTCTTTTCCTTCACCATGAAGCTTCTACCGGTGCTGTCTGCCTCGCTCGTATTTGCGCTCTCTGCCAGCGCGCAGTACTTCTCCGAAGGATGGAAGCCCGGCCAACCTATAGCAGAGGAGGTCCGCCCGACGCAAGTCTTCCATCGAGTGCAGCAGCCCGTGCCGACGCAGGAGGGCAAGGCGCCTGGATTCAGCTTCAAGAACGTGCTCACGTCTGGACCGGTGGACTTTATTGCGTCCAAGATGGGCGTGAACATGACGGAGAAGCTTGCGCAGGCGGAGGCACTGGCAGAGTCAGAAATATGGGATCCGCGGATACCCCTAATCACGGATGGCAACTATGGAGAGGTCATTGTGGAGGAACCGCTGACGCTAGAGGAGGAGGCTGAGCGTGTATGGTTCTTGGTAATGTGCGCGCAACGTCCTCAGACTGTAAATGCTGGCTAAGACTGCTGTAGCTCGGTTTCGAAGGGCGGGAAGAACGCCCTCTCCCAGAAACTCGACGACTCCTTCGATAAGGCTTTCAACGAATCCGTCATTGCTGGTGACCTGCCAAACGTCCGCTGGGGACGCGTGGATTACCTCAATGTCACGTATATCACGACGAAATGGTCAATCTGGCAGTGAGTCTAGGCAGTATTGCATTCCCGTCTTGGTCCTGACCTCCGTGACATGAAGGGCACCATACTTGGTCGTCTTGACCGAGCGCGGGCAGACGTTACGTTTCTACAAGACAAATGTTGTCAGGCTTGAGCCAGAGATGCTTCGTGATTTCCTCCTCCAGGAGAGATGGCGCGACAACCAGCCGTGGGACTCGCCTTTCGCTCCCGGCGGATCCTGGTACGTTTGATTCCCTCAGGCTCCAGTTTCGTTATTGACGCGTCTGTAATAGGGAACCTGCCTTGCACCATATCAGCTTGGCTCTCAAGCGCTTTTACGAGTTCCTCATCCTCTTCCCCAAATGGGTCCTCATGATTGCCTCTGGTGCAATTGCCAACCTCGTGATGAAAGCGATGCACCATAATGCGGGAACTGACCAGCCGCCGCCGAGGAAGATTGAGAGTGGGACTCCACAGGATGCTGCTCCTCCCCCGAGACGACGGCTATTACAACCGAGACGACTGACACGAAATCATCCCCTTCGAAGAGCAAAGGGAGGCGCAAAAATGCAAAGAAGTAGATTACCGCTTATTTATGCCGTGTGGAGTAGATCTAGCATCATCTCATTTATCACTGTATGTAAGTTGGGAGTTGGTTGTGAGAGGCGAATCCAATGTGTCATTAATGCATCTAGTGCGAGGGTAGAGGGCCATCCGAGAATAGCGACAATGCTGAGCTTGAAGTTTACTCCTTGAACGGGTATTCAAACTTCGGCTGGTCCTTGCGTCTCCAGAGCTTTTTCCTGTAAATTGCATCAGTTAGAGGACGGCGGGGTGATGATGGACGAGCACTTGCTTCTTCTTGCTCGCCAAATGCTCAGCAAAGACTTCCACGCAGTGCTTCGCCTTGAACTCGCGAATGAAGCGCGGGTCCCAGAGCTCGCTTGCTATGCCAAGGTCCTTGCAGCAGCGCATCAAAGCATTGCTCTTGCATGCCTCAGTCGCCGTTGGTATCCCGTTGGGATCGAAGTATTCCTGTTCTCCTCGTGCAATAGCGACGAGCCTGAGAAAAAACATTAGTTCGGGAAAGAGGATGTACGCAAGGGACAGCTAACCTTCCGAGGCAGACAAGAGCATACTCTCTGCTCACGATCTTAGGTCCGACATGTGTCTCGCTTCGCGGAGCAAGGCCCCAGCCACCTGGGCCGAACGCCTTATTGAGCACGCGCCGGTACTTGATTTCCGGCAGGTATATGAGACCATCTACAGACGGAATTATTCATTGGCGCGGGAGGAAACAAGCACGACATGCATACCTGGCTTGATCTCCACGTCAAGTGGTTCAATGGGAGCCAGCAGAACGTCCGCAACCTCCCTGGAGAACGCCTGAGTCGAGAGACCAAAATAGCTCTTCGACCAGTCGGTAGGAGTACCGTCTGAGAGAGGCTGTGTATCTGGCTCAGAACCGAGTGGCGAAGGTGCGATAGTCGAAGCGAGGACCGAGGACGAGGGGACGCTCTCTGGCGGCGTAGACAGCTCTTCCGGCGGTATATCATCGACGACCACGGGGTCCGCTTTGCCAGCACTTGGACTGGGTGTCGCCGGCCTTCCCGTGCTCGTGCTAGCATTCGCTGCGGGAAACTTGGGGCGGGACGGATATGCTTTCGGCGTTGTCTTTGTGACCGGGGTGAACGGCTTGCCCGTAGAGTACGCCCTCGTGGAAAGCCTACAGGAGGATACTGTACCACAAAGCCGTCTAGCAGCAAAATGGGTAGCCATTTTGAATGTTAGGAAGGATGAAGAGAAGGTCAACGAGGTACTTATGTGCTCGGTGGCTTGCCAGTGGCCCGGCGCAGATGTGACGCGCGACTGAACGCGTTATGTCACGCGACGGCGCGTTCTCCGCGTGGGCGCCTACGCGTTCCTTGACCTTTCCGACTCGCCGCCGCTGACCTTCAAGTTTAGCCAGTACTATCACAGCAGTCGCAGCGGACTCTCGCTCTATTAGCAGTCTATAACTCATCAAATCACATATTTTCAGCTGCTTTACCAACTGGCATGTATCCGTCTGTCTCTAGAGGGCCCTCCCGGGCAAGGAACGTGCAGCCCTCTAACGCAGACTCCGGGCTTTCTGCGTCCTCCAGTGCCCCTGTAGTCACCCGTCCAGCATCTGGGTCTTCCCTGCGTCCATCAACCAATGCTCCAATTAGACCTTCATCAAGTGCACCTACGGTGAACGGGACCTCACGAGGTTCGTCTGGCCCAACATCTGCAAGACCGGCTTCAAGTCTGTCCGCGGTACGACCAGCTTCAAGCTTGTCAGCTGTACGGCCTGCGTCGAGCTTGTCGACGCGACCAAGCTCTCGACTTACCCAAAGACCTGGCTCCCGTCTATCCCAACGTCCCATCTCGCGGCAATCGACGCGTCTGGTGCCTTTCTACCAGACCTTGGTCACACAAGTGACGGGCCTCACTGCTGAGACCGACCACGATAATTTTCGGATGGCTGTTGGGTTTGTCTCGAAGAATCTCGATCTGACTGCGAGGCCATCGGGGAATGTGGACCAGAAAGCGATGGACAAGCACATCCGAGGGTGAGCTGACTACTACCGGCCTCCATGGGCCCTTGACGGACAGCTATAGACATGTACAGAAAGCCCGAGTCAACTCCCATGACGTGCTGGCAGATGCCCTTGAAGCTGTACATCGCACGCTGAAGACGCAGGCGGAACAAAATAATGATCTCGACTCAGAAATCAAGGTGATTTCGCAGGCGTAGTATGTACGCATACACGTACTGACATACCATAGACGTCTCGCTTCCCCACACATCTGCAACTCTTGGTATGTTCATCGAGACAACAGTAGGTCATTGCGTCGGAGTTGAAGAGCATTTCAGGTCGCACTTTCGAACGCGCCTGACGAGACCACTTTGAAGCGTGCACAAGATTATTTGGATGGGCTCAGTAACCCCAAGGAATCGGCTCCAGGTCTTACCTGGGAGACTATTCTTGCTGAGGAACCATTCGAAGGAGATCACTGGGAGGGCGTCTATCCCCGAGGCACCGATGATCACCTCGATACGCATAGTGGTGGTAGCACACCTTCTCTGTCGCCATGGGACGACTCGGATCTGGACGAATCCCTGTCCTCGTCGGAGGTCCTCGACCCCACGGAGGACGGCCAACTTGATCAAGAAGCCGGCGCTGAGAAACTGCGTTTCCCTCCTGCTGCGTACCGTCATCGGCAAGACGTTGAGGACCTGCAAGCCCGGCAGTACTGGCGTCCAGGATGGCGGACGGATGCCCCGATCGCTCGAGCTTTCAATGTAGGCGATGCCTCAACCTTAGGTAGGTACCTTGTTGTCGATACAAGAAGACGTCTGACGTGCACTGGCAGGCCCTACGATGTACCGAGTCCTTGGAAGTCAGAACACGAACGAGATTGCTGGACCATCAACACAGGTATGTATCGCTATCGTACCTATCTGACGTGCCGTATTCAGTAGTTGCCAGAGATATATACATGAGCACGATGCGGTTCGTGAGGTCCTCATGGCCCTCCAGGGAGATCGGAATATGATCCTGGAATGGTCGACGAGCGGGAAGCACGCATTCTCGTTTATCGTGAGTAGATCCTATGGTTTCGTTGGGTTACTTCACTGACAAGCAGTACTACAGCCTACGGAGAAGCTGCAGCTACTTCACTTGACTGCAGGTGCTCAAGCTTCTATCTTGACCTCCTTCGCTCAGCTAGCAACTACGCTGCAACACCTGCGGAAGTTCGTTTCCGCGATCTATTCAAAAGCCGGGAAAGACGACAGGGCCTCAGACAGGCCTATGCATCTCCTCAACATATATCGTCAAAGCACACTTACTCTCGAGGCCTTCTCAGCGGCGGTCGACGGCCAACTCCGAGCCTTCAACACATGGTGTGCTGCCAAGGAAGAGGACATCTCCCGCGCTCAAGCAGGGGTCGGCGAACCACTCGTCGTAAGCTTCCTCAGCCTGGACAAGGCGGTCAGAGATACCTTCTCCGATGCGTTCGCCGTCATCCTCGACGTCCTTCGCGAGGTCACACGGCGCGCATGGCGGACTGCTGATACGGTGGTCGATATATGGACGCTCCCGGAGCTTCCCATGAAGATGTCGCCCTCTACATTCGGTGCATTATTGCTTGACTCGCTCCTTGTTACCGTCCAAGAGCATGTCTCGATGGGGGATTACGTCTCGGCCGACGCTCTCATGCAAGTATTCAGCGAGTCCGCAGAGCCGATGTGGAGCATGGTAGGCCGCTGGATGAAAGACGGTATGCCCGTACGGGAGATCACCTCGCACCAGAACAGTCGCCTCTCTGATTTGGACGAGGAGTTCTTCGTTGAAGACAACGAACTCCCGTTACTTGACCCTGACTTTTGGACGGATGGATTCGTGCTGCGGGAGGAAGGTGGGGAAGGTGAGGGAGCAAGACGAACGGCGGTCCCTGTGTTCCTCAGCAGTGTGGCAAAAGGCGTCCTGGATGCCGGCAAAGCTGTCGGGTTACTCCGCGTGCTGGATATTGCGGTGCTGCTGGATCGCAATGCACCTGGATCCTGGATGGCAAAGTGGCCGACATTCTCCGCGTCACTCGGTGAAGCGAGGCATGCAAGGAATGGCGAAGACACCAGTCCTTTGGCGTCGAGGTTACTCTTCACGTCCACAGAAGAGCTCTCTCAAGCTCTGCATGATGCCGTGTGGCCACACAGTTCTTTGGCACAAGAAACATTGCAAAGGGTACTGGTAGAAGAGTGCGACTTGATGCTACACCTCTCGGCGATCGAAAACGTCTGCTTGATGCGTAGAGGGGACGCTATGTCTCACTTCATTGACATCTTGTTTACAAAGGTAAGAGGATTGAATGGAATGTCATGCATGACATTGATGCTCAAGTCTCATTCATGATAGATGGATTCTAGGCAGGCATGGAATGATTTCCACTTCCTGAATACCGCTTTTCATGACGTCGCGGAGGCTGGGACACACCGCTGGATCGAAACATCTCTCGTGCGCTTCTCGCACAGAGGCAGCAAGGACAAATCTGTCACACGGACGGTCCGAGCTTTCGAGGGTTTCTCACTCGAATACGCCGTCCCCTTCCCTTTGACTTACGTCTTCGGACCGAAGGCCATGCAGACGTACTCTTCTATCTTCACTTTCGTGCTGCAGATACGGCGAGCGAAGAGTGTGCTCGAACGCATCCTTGTTCGGGGTGGGATTGGGAGCACGTCGCGTCTGGCGAGCGAAATGAAGGTATTCTATGCCATGCGGAGCAAGCTATCGTGGTTTGTGAAGTGAGTTCACCCTCACTGGCGTACCGGTTCGGCGGTATTCATGCGATTATCAGCACGCTGCTGAACTTTGTAGCGACGAATGTGAGTCCTAGTATTTGATCGAGAGGTCGATGTTAACATGTCGAAAGGTCTTGCATGCGGAAGTACTCAGTTTCCATAAAGACTTCCGGCAAACCAAATCACTAAACGACATGATCCGACTACACGACGAACAGTGAGTATGACTGTCTGAATCGGCTTATCGCCCTATAACATAGTATTCTCGTAGCCTTGCCAAAGTAGAAAGCCGATGCCTTCTGCAGCGTGATGTCAGCCTTTCATTATGCGATGCGTCTTGAGTTCCATCCTGATATCTTTATCTAGACCGCCGCCCTACAACGTGCAATCATATCGATTCTCGACATGTCTATTCACTTCAGCGATTGCTTTGTCGCCTTCGCAGGAGACACGACGCACGACATCTCGCGGCACTCGTTGATCATTACGAAGCGCCATCGCAGTCGTCGTGCGAGACGTCAGAGGAGAAACGTCATCGGATTCTCGCAGATCTCACAAGAGGGTGCCGATGACAGCTCGGAGAGTGATTCGGACCTCGACAACGACCCGCTGGCGGCGAATGCCCCGGAGCCGTCGTTCTCCATGGGTGCGTCGACGATGTCGGCACCCGACGAGAGCTTCGTCGATCGGCTGGACAAGATGTCGTCAGAGTTGGACGCTCTGGTGCGATTCATCAGACGAGGGGTGGAGAGTTTGGCAGCAGGATCTGGCGAGGCCGCGCCGACATTTGGTGTATTTGCTTTCGCATTGGAAGACTGGGATAGGTAAACATACGGTGAGCATTGTAGAAGCATATGTGAATTGTAACGCTACACAATTAGGTCGGCTACGAAAGCATAACGGCTACAGATGAGAATGTTGAGGTGCACAAGTACAAGAAGATGATACAGGTGACGTGGATGAAAGAAAGTGGCAAGGGGATATATATCACGCAACCTCGTTCAGACGACGCTCCGGCCGCCCCTCCTGTCCACTCGCCTGTTGATTCCTCCGAGCAAGATCTTGATGATGACTTCTGCGCTAAGTTCGCCACCTGTGTAAGGTGTGGTATCGACGATGTCTCGGATACCATAATTCTGACCCAGACCATTGTCGAGCTCGTTGAGGAATTCAGTGGCATCACGACTGTTCCCGATCTGTACGAACTGTATGCCGACCTGCAATATACCATCGACGTAAGACCGTGGAAACGTAAACCAACAGTAGCACTGACCTGCGTAAGCGGGAAGTTGTGGGCATCCAGTCTCCGGGCGGCCGCCACAATGACAGCTTCTGGATCGTCAGCTTCCAGTGAGAGATGATGAGCTTTGGTCACGGTCAGTGAGAATTCAAACTTACTTGCAGCACCGTCTGTGATGATGATGTAGTTGACTGGCTTGATGCCCTTCATCAGGGAGTTGTCCCCCTCGTCGGCTCGCGCCTTGGCCTTATCCAAGCTGTCGAGATAATATAGGAGCAGACTCTCGAGCTTCTCGCCGATAGGTGTAATCCCTCCGGGCCGGACTGTATCGAATAGCCGTCGGACGAATGCTGGGTCCTACGAGTGGTCAAGTTGAGTGGATACAGAGTCACCAAGACCATGGAGATGTGCGTACATTCATGTTGGTCCCAACATGCTTGCTATTCAGGAAGCAAACGTCGATGCCATCGGTGTCATATTTCGACGCGATTCCCGCTAATGCTGCCAACGCTTCGCGAGCCTGTCTTGCCATAAGCGGGCCGTCCGCCGCAGACTTCGTGACTGAACGCACCTCTTTCCACCGGCTACCTGCCATTGACCCAGAGTCATCAACTATGATGACAGTGTTGTACTTGCGCAGAGTCTCCAGCGCATCCTCTACACTGTTCTGGCGCATGGGCCTGCGCAGAGCTTCCATACGGTCTGCCGCAGACATCGGCGGCACTCCCTCCGGAGCCCGTACATTTGACACGCTCGCGAACGACCTCCGTCGTCCCTGGACCCCAGATTGTGGTACTGCCAGTGTGTTTGGACTGGGCGCACCGGACGACATCGCCACTTCGTACGGCGGTGGCGCAGACTCGCGGTTCCGCGTAGACAATGCAGCTACAGCGGACCTGCTCCGTCGATGTGTATTCTGGGAAGGAACGGCGAGATAGCCTGGGGTGTGCGATACCTGCGCGGAAGCATGTCTGTGCACATGAGATGCGCCACTGGGGGTTCCGTAGTATTGATCCTGCTTAATGCCCGGATCCAGTGCGTTGGAGGCGAGGGCCTTTGGTTTGGATATCGAGTCCGACCTGTCAAAGGTGCCTTGTTTGGACGATCTTGAATGTTGGTTGCCCATGGTGGTGACGGTGGACTGTTTGTGAGCGCACCCACCGGCATGCTTATAAGAAATCAGGAGTCAAAGCGGTACAGGATCAAGGCGCCTGTTCGAATTTCTTGACATGCCTTGAACATCAGGTGGGCTTTCAGGTGGACGAAGCCTACACCGGAGAATGCACAGCATCTATGACTGGAATGTTCATCCGAGGGAGGTGGAAAGGAGGTGGCTGTGGCTAAGTAGTCTAGATATGAGTTGCGTTTCTCATTCGAATTTACCAAAGCTGTCCGACCCGAAGCTTGTCAGCTAGATAACATTGATGGCGGTGCTCAGGCTCAGTAAATAGATCCACCCAATCTCTTTCTTGTCAACAGCAGTCGAGCAGCAGCTGACGCATATGGGTGCTTTAATGTCACTGCCATTATTGACATAGTGACAGGTCCGGACAAGTCCCGTACACAAAGCGCTCTCTACTAGTACAACAGAGCATAAGGCGATGGCCGTTCCGCCAGACTTGGGAAAGCCTTCACAGCAGACAAGACAACCATCTGCTTTTCGTGAGAGAGGTATCCCTTCATGAAGCCCTTGTATATCTGGTTCGCAACAAAGCACTCCGCCTCCTCAAGTGAGACGTCCATGCCTGCTATCTGTAGCGATGAATGAAACATCGCCACAGGTATTCTCGTGCCTTTCGAGGACGCGATCCACCTGGATACATCCCAGGCCCACCACGACAAGACACCGGTCCGGATCAGCGGTCGTCAGTACAGTGCATATATGCAAGAGAAGTCGAAGAGCACGCACACTTTGCGGAACAGCCCTCGAATGCAGAGCTCTCGGGCCTTTTCGAGCGTCAGGTACAAGTTTAGGTCCACTAGCCGTCGTTCGCACTGGTCCAAGGCTGAATCATATGCACGAATGTCACCGGTTCGGACCGCTCTGATGAAGGGTGTGAACAGGTCGTCGAGCACCGGAAACCGGTCAAGTAGCTCGCGGGATGGTAAGTGGCCCCGTAGGATGCGCAGTGGAATCAGGTATGTCAGTACCCTCCTGGAAGCAAAGTCAGCAAGTGGACGACGTCAAGCACCGGTGCCGCTTACTCCTGATTTGCACGCGCTTTTGTGTAGCAGTTATAGAAAGCCAGTGTCAGTTCCTGTTCGGCCTGCCAAGGACGGGATGTCAATCAGTGGAATAATGTGGTTTCCTACCGCCCAGGACTGACTTTGGCGAAGTCTTCATTCAGGAAACTAAGCATGCCAATATAATATCGATATGTTACCTGCAAATTGTGAGTCCGTGGTCAGTTGTACAAGAACGCCGTACGCACTTGATGTGATCGTGGATATGCGGACAAAGATGGGATGTCGGGGTTTGCATTGATTGCTCGAAGAATGTTCTTCGCGAGCGATATGCGTTTCACCTGAGCGCATCGCAGACCACAGTTTCAGGTAAGGGGGTCCTAGACATTGAGAACCGCACTGTGTTGCGTACCCGGAAGTAGCATTTCAGGATCAGTCCAACAACATAGTACACGCCCCATTTGCGCGACTCGGCATATGGCGACATCCTGCGGTAGACTGGATGAACGATTATGCAAAATGGGGTCTGGAGTATGAAGCTTGCCTGTCTGTTACGCAGCTCGAGAATGCCTTGCTAATTATACGCGCAGCTTCTTCCATGTTAGCGGTGCCCTCCTGCCCTCTTGAACTTGCATCCAGGTCTGCCTACATACAATTGCTTAGATATGCCAGCAGCAGCAAAACGAACACTCACATCGAAAGCCAAGTCTCGCAAGTCCCGTAGGATCGAAAACAACGCAGGCAATGTCCATCCACTATTTGTTGCAAAGTACCGAAGGAAGGAGCTACGCGCCACAACGCATTAGCGAGCGCCACGACTGCTTGGGCCACAACACTCACTTGACGAGCGTACATTCCTCCTTGAACGCTTCTGCAGCACGTCGCTTCGCGCAGTGATTTACGACTAGCACGTACTGTATCGCAATCTCGTCCCACGGGCCCTCCATACTTCCTTCATAGTACGATAGGGATTGCCTCTGAGCTTCTACAAGTGAGTAATGCACCACATGCACCGGCGTTGGGTGCGTACCGTTGGGTTCTTGAATTCCTTCACCAGCTGCTTGCCATGGTCACTTGTGGGCTTCAATAGATACGCGAGTTCAGGCCCTTTTTCTTCGCGCAATGCCTGCGCTATTTGCGTCAGGAACACTGCGAATCTAGCGGAAGTCATGTTGAAGGTTGTGCAGCGGACTGGAACGAAGGGCCAAATCTGTAACTGACCGGTCACGTGGGACGCGTCAGGCGCATCATTGCGCGTCGGCGCCTGTCACGGTGCCACTTACGCGTCTCCGGATGCCCTGGACAAGCCTAAGAACACTGCGAATGAGTATCGTACGGCAAGCTATATAACCTGGATCATATTCTGGTCGCAATTGAACTGAACAGGCATATGTGAATGAAGGGTCACATACTTTGTGGCGTAGTACGCCGTATTACTCACCGCGGAGGTCCAAGAGCGCGCGCGGCGCGGGGCCGGTCACCTCCGTATCGATTCGAACTCAAGGACACGATAGATTTCATCATACACCACGCCAAAATGACGATATGTCACTGCATGGGCTTTGGCTTTGCAGCTTATATAGCATCCCTTCGGCCATGGTTCCTCTGTACCCGTCTCAGCCCGTCATCTCCTCACCATGGCCCTGCAACCGTCTCTTCGCCCCCTCATCATCGCAGGCAGTCCCAATGCTCCTCATACCCTGGACATCTTCTGTAAGCACAGCAGAACACTTCCGGAAGTGCGCGAACTCATGCTGGGTGGCCAGTGGACTACGTGTGCCCCTTTTCGGCCAAGCTATCTCTCGCCATTGACAGCGTCCTGAAACCCCTCTTGGACTCTGGAGGCAAGTACGACGGCAAGGTCAAGGTCATCTTCAGGCCGCAGGTGCAGCCGTGGCATTCCAGTTCTACCTTCGTGCACGAGGCCGGTCTCGCGGTCAGTACACTCACGAAACACTCTAGAAGTCATACTGAGACGATGCCCCAGGTCGCTCGTGTAGCTCCACAGAGTTTCTGGACGTTCTCTCTGGCTGTGAGACACAGAGCCTTGGTTCTGAACACGCTCAACCGAGACTAACCAATTCGCGAGACAGCTATTCAAGCAGCAGGGAGAATACTTCGACATCCCCACCTCCAACTTGACCCCCGTACAAATCCGAGCGAAGCTCGCTGAGCTTGTCAGCCAGACCGTTGGTGCAGACAAGACATCCCATTCAAGGATCTCTTGGCGTTGAAGTCGACGCCGAACGGTGGTGTAGACGTGACCGACGACTTGAAGTACACGAGTGAGTCGCACCACAGAAGTCCGAGCGCTGTCGGTGAGATTCATGCCTGCCATCCACAGTCAAGTTCTCCAGACAGAACGGAATCCACGTCTCGCCGACGGTACTCTGGGACGGTATCGTCGCGAACGAGGTCTCGAGCTCTTGGGGCGAGAAAGAGTGGACCGAGTTCCTGGAGAAGAAAGTCCTTGTCTAGACCGAGGTGATTACCCTGTTAGATTAGCGAGCGAAGTGTACCAATACAACTGTACGTGTAACGGATCATCAGGCTACTCCCCTTGAGTAACTGAGAAGCATCGCTCTCGTGGCTTTTGCATCTGCCCTTCCTTTACTCGACTTCATGACACGGCCGAGAATCTTGTTGAGCACGTTGACGTTCCCGCCACGCACGACATCCGCCTCTTGGGGCAGAGCAGCAATCGCCTCGGCGCACCACTGCTGTAGGGCCGCACTATCGTCGCCGGCGGCCAGGAGGGACAGCCGCTCGCTAGTTCCGATGGTGTCTGACTGGAAGGTTTGTCCAGCATGTATCGAAGGAGCGTCTTTCCTGCCGTCCCTGAGAAGATGAATCAGTAAGACTTCGCTGCAAGTCTCTTCGGCGAAGTAGCACCAACCAGTGAGCTTCCCGCTCTGCACCAAGTCGACCAGTCCGCCCATTTGTTCGGCACTAATGGGATTTTTGAAGAAGGGTTCGTTGCGGAAGGCCAATTGTCCCAGCAGCTCATGCGTTATCCTGGCACGAAGATCATCTAGACACCGTGTGCCCAATGCAACTGCATGACTCACCATTGACGACGACCTTGGAATCACGACCGCGCGAGACCTGGTCGAAATATGCGATGGGACCCGGGCCAGTTCTCCGTCAAACCGACCTCCCTGCCGGAGTGACGTCCATGAGGACATCAGCGTCCCTCCTCAATAACCCCATTTCCACTAGACGAGCTATTGTTGCGTCAGGAAGCTCTGGCATATCTGTCCGGATGCGCGAGATGTATGCCTATTACTCATTTCGATCAGTAGCCGGGAAGTTCTGCATGGGAAAGGGTAATCGTACCTCGTCGAGGAGCAAAGGCGGCAGATTCGGGTCTGGCATATACCTGTAGTCAGGAGCATCTTCCTTGCTTCGTAATGAATACGTTTCGGCCGCGTCTTCGTTGAATCCACGCGTCTCCTGTGAGACAGAGCCCCCGCTCTCCAATAGGTCGATCTGGCGACGGACTTCCGAAGCTATTCATCCATGAATGAGCAGACTGTTGTCATATGAGGATTTTGTGAGAAGCATACTGATGGCGACCATAATGAACTTCACACTGTTGAGGTTCTTGACCTCGCAACGCGTGCCGGCAGGCTCGCCTCGCTTGTTGACAGAGACGTTGACGTCGCAACGTAAGGACCCCTGGGACGCGTCATGAAGTGAACATTCTAGATGCTAATAAGAACGCACCTGCTCCATATTCCCGTCGCTAGAACCGACGGCGCGCAGCAATGCCTGGAGGGCACGTACGTACCGTCCAGCTTCCTCCGGTGACCTGCAGAGGTTGAGCGTTACGAAGATTCAGACACGACGGACTGACCGTATGTCGGGTTCAGACACTATCTCCATAAGACCAGCTCCGGCACGGCTCAGATCAATAGCAGATTCTTTCCGTCTTGGGTCATACGTAGATTTCCCGGTGTCCTGGGCTGCTAGTTTATGCTTGTTCATGCGGTGGACACAACATATAGCATACCTGCTCGAGCTGAATCTGCTTGATACGGACATACGTCTGGTCTCTCTCGAGCTCAAGGCGGCCATCCGTAGCAAATGGTGCTTCCACAAAGCGAAACCTCAGATTCAGATCAATGAAGGACGTGAGGCTGCTCACCGTAGTGCTGGGTGATTTGGTACCCCGACGGTAGGTCAGCATAGAAGTAGTGTTTGCGGTCGAACGCAGAACGACGCTGCACATCGGCATTCAGTGCGAGCGCGGTCCTCACACCGAGCTCAACGCATTTCGGGTTCAAACGCTACGGCAAAATAGTCAACGAATGCATTCCATTACACCGGGAGACGCGTGGATACAGGTAATGTTCCCGGAAACGCGGCATCAAAGGGAGACACGGATGTGTTGGCCGGTAAGTTATAGTCTGGTGTCCACGCATCTTCAACACCGTTGGAGTCAGTCCTGAGGGTTCCGAGGACAATGCTGGCTATGCTGACCAGAGAACAGCTTCACTCTCGACTTGATCTGCGCGTGGACCTCGATGCCCACTACGACGTCCCAGCCTGGCCATCTAGAATCGTCCCTCACACGCGCAGTGGAAAAGCGAGCACGTCTGCTGCAAGGCGGGAGAGTCGCGAGCTTCCTGGCATGATCGCCAGCATGAGAAGGCAGGATAGCTTAGGCGCCCATGGATGGTACAAGCTCCTTCGGGAGTTGCCGTCGACGCCGTTCCTTTCCCAGTTTGTCAGACAAGACCGGCGAGAGGCCAGCATACTCCTGCCTTCTACCACCACTTGCTTTCATTCGACACACGCCTCCTGGGAGCTGCGCAATGTCGACAACAGACGGGCAAGTCTGCGCGCTGGGCTGCATGAAGTCCGCGGAACTGAAACACGGCTGTACAGATACTTGGGCGTAACCCAGCCCATCTCAACGAACGAATCGAACGAGAGGGAGAAGGAGGTGACTATCACCCTTATGGAGGAGCTCAGGAGGCAAGGCACCTTCGAGAGCGAAGAAGAGGCTAGATCCAGGTTCGTGTTTTTGGATGCTAGTTGTCAATTCGTTCCGCCGCATCGGAGCCACAGAGTACATCCCCTCCGTGCATAGCTGTTATCTAGGCTTCGTACTGCAGTAGCAGGTCGGCAACTGCTGCACGGGCTGTTGCGCATGCTCCGAGCTTCATCCCGTTCTTGCGATTTGCCCACAACCACCCAACGTCCATCGGAATATACTGACCAATGCCGCCGCTTCAATTGTCAACAGAGAAATCGTACTCGCTCGCCTGTCAGGGCTAGTCAAGAAGTTCGTGGCAAAAGTCGGTCTTGCTCATGGAATGTCCGAGGCTGCGGCCACCGCGTCGGGTGGCAAGATCTTCACCTTCGGCTCATATCGGTTAGGCGTCCACGGACCGGGTTCTGATATCGACACACTTTGTGTTGTTCCTAAACACGTCTCAAGAGAAGACTTTTTTGATGTCTTCGAGGATATGCTGAGGGAACACCTGGTGTCACAGAGGCTTCAGTACGTTCACTTACCTGCGAACCTGTGCCACTCACCAATAGGGTGGTAGGGAGTACCTGAAGCATACGTCCCCATCATCAAAACCAAGATTAACGGCATACCAATGGACTTGCTTATGGCCCGGCTAGCCTCGCCATCAATACCAGACGATCTGACACTTCAAGACGACGACCAGCTGCGTAATCTAGACGAGCGTTGCGTCCGTAGTCTTAACGGTTCGTCACAACGTGCACATGTTCGCGCATACGTTGACTAGTGCTTCAGGCTCGCGAGTCACGGACGAGATTCTGCGACTCGTACCCAACGTGACCGTGTTCCGTGATTCTCTCCGATGTATCAAATTATGGGCCCAACGTGAGCACATCAACACTGACTAGCCGATAAATATTGACGACGTAATCAGGGAGAGCCATTTACTCGAACGTGAATGGTTTTCTGGGAGGTGTCGCATGGGCGATGTTAGTCGCCCGAATATGTCAGTTGTATCCTAATGCAATTGCGGGGGCGATTGTCAGTCGATTCTTCATCATCATGTACCAATGGTCAGTAGTTATCTCAGGTATGGGGGTAGGATGTCGACGACGTGACGTAGGGCGTGGCCGCAACCTGTATTACTCAAGCAAATCGAAGAGGGACCGTTACCGGTCCGAGTTTGGAATCCGAAGGTTGGCTACGACTCTACGGCGGTAAGTTTGCAGCGTCTGACGTCGTATAGGTATATCCTGCCGATAGAGCGCATCGCATGCCCATCATCACCCCCGCCTATCCCTCAATGTGTGCAACCCACAACGTCACAGCTTCAACACAGATGATCATGACTGAGGAGTTCAAGAAAGGTGCGGTACGCTGGTATATTCTTCAGAAGAAACTCACATATTCGTAGGCTCCGAAATTGTCGATCGAGTGATCATCGGAAAGGCGGATTGGTCGGAACTGTTCGCAAAGCATGATTTTTTTCACAAGTACCGGTATTACCTCCAAATTGTCGCCTCAACACGTAGCCCGGACCTGCAGATCAAATGGTGCGCGTACTCATCACACAAGGCTCGAGGTTCACTCACCACACGCATGTGTAGGTCGGGAACGGTCGAGTCAAGGATTCGGCAATTGGTGATGAAACTAGAATACGTCGAATCCTTGACTTTGGCACATCCTTTCATCAAAGGATTTGACCAGGTCTACTACTGTTTAACAGCAGAGGAAGTTCGCGCGGTGGCTCAAGGCGAGATTCTTGAAGCCGTTACAAAGAGGAAAAAGGAAGACATCGAGGGCAAGGAGAATGCTACTGTCGTGTACACTACGACTTTCTACATCGGACTCGCTATCGAACCCAAACAACGTGCGTCCCCTCACAGACGTGTTCTTCTCTGTTGCCTAGGATGTTAACTAATACGATGGCGTCTAAGCTGGCTCCAAGGGACCTCGAAAACTGGACATCTCCTACCCTACCACCGAATTCACCAAGCTGGTCAAGATGTGGGAGAAGTACAACGAACCGGAGATGGGGATCACCGTCCGTCATATTAAAGCGTATGATAAATCCTTCTACGTTCAAAAGCTAAGTGCATTTGTCTTCTAACCTTTAATATGTAGCACTGCGCTGCCAGATTATGTCTTCGACGAAGGGGAGCGGCAACCTCGGGCCACACTCAAACGACCCAAAAGCGGCAAGGTGTGTACACCGAACATGTATATGAATGGCTACTCAAGAAATCCGGCCTCGCTTCGTCAAGGACACGGATAAGTCGAACGGTACCTCACCGGATGCACCCAATAAGAAGCGACGGTTGGTACAGCATCCCGAGGCCAACGGTCACGCTGACTTGTGGATGCCACTTGCAACCCACAGTGCATCAAACTCCGTGTCCGAGCCGGTCGTCCCAACCCCTCAGCCCCTCAAGATCGGCCAGAATGGTACCGCCTCTGTCATCTCAGCAGCCCCGTCAGCTCCAGCCGAGCCAACACCTACGAGCAACGGCATATACACATCAAACGTCAAGGACCCGTCTCAGATCAAGTCACCGCAACTACCGTTCGGCGAAAACGTCGCTGTGGCTACGGGCATAACCCCGTCATAGTAGCCAGTGCGACCCGGACTTACTTTCCTTCCTTTCTGGCGTGTATTACCAAGTACATCGAAGACCACCGTCGACGGTCTCAGGAGCCAGGTTTACGTCTTATTTCGCGTACAGTACCCTTCGCTTTTCCTTGGTTTATTCATCTTCGGTTTCGACTTTTGACAGGTTACCGCGCTGGCCTTGTGCGGTCGACTGCTCCGGAAGCTACCCTTCAGGCGTGGTTGGTTCTTCGGGCGCATTCTGGTCTCTTTCTTGTTGCTGGCGTAGCTTCGCTTGATGACATACCTCCTGTATCCTTCGCAACAAACCAATAGCTGCTATGTATTGTACAACACAAATCTATGAGTAGGCGTATGTCGAGACTTTACCTGCGTGGGTGTGACGAGCATTGACACAATGCGGCACTGAGGCGGGCGACGCAGACGGCCCAGCATGAAGCGAGATTGGCATTGTCGTACTATTCTATCGATGCAGCTACGCATACACTCTAGAGTCTAATAGCACAGTCCGAGCACAACCAAGGAAAGTGAGGTAAAGGGATAGTGGTATATCGCGCGGAGGTAGATAAGGCGTCGACGGTGAACATGGGCGGTACGATGGGGGAAGTAGATGTGGTGGGTTATGTTGCGCTCGTCAGTTGAAATAGATCTAAGAAGACGACTACATGACAGAAAAAAAAGTGCTGTTCAAAATAGTGTCAGATGCGGGACGCGGACAGGACGTTCATAAGCCTCCTTCCCCTTCCCGAGGTAGCCTGACCTGCGCCAGGGATCGGCGCCGCCAGCTCTCGCACGCGCAAGAGCCCAACGACGGATGACGTACGTCGCCACGGCGATGGCAGCAACAGCAAGGATGACGCCAATAGCAATACCCGCCTTCCCGCCTCCAGACAGGCCGCCCGACGAGGACGAAGTTGAAGAGGTCGGCGACGAAGACGAATTGGATGACGCCGCGCCCGGGTTCGACGGGTTGCCACCAAATGGCCAATAGTCTCCTTCCGCTGGGGCTGGATACACGTGAGGCCGTCGCCGTCGCTCACTGTACGAAGCCGGACTGCTCGTTCGAGAGCGTGACGAGGCTCGGGTCGATGACGAACGCCGTGGGGTTCGGGACAGTGTCGCCCTCGGTACAGTTGGGCCCGCGCCCGCCGATGAATGAAGTGTTGCCGGTGAGCAAGTTGCCTTGGACAGTGAAATTACGGGCGGAGGATATGGCCATTGCGTAGCCGAAGGCTCCGGTAAGCTGGTTGTTCAGAACGGTGCCGGAGAAGCTGACGTTCTGGTATACTGGTTGCCGAACCATGTACGCGGGCCGATCGCGATACCAATCCTATAAATCGAACAGTCGGCAACATGTAAATCATCTGTGAGGTATGAGGACTGACTTTATGATGACGTCTTCTGAGTTCACACCATGTGTCTCCCCAGGCTCCTCTTCGCTAGTGGCGAAGCCACCCATAATGAGGTTGTTCCGCACAACTGTTCCTGTGTAGTTTCCAGCCCAAGGGTCATAGTCCACCATGTTGATGCCACCAGGAGCGTGTTCTGGTGAAGACTGAGCGCAAGCTCCAGAGAGAGAAACGTACGACTTACATTGACGACCCAATAGTATTGTTCTCGACCAGTGTGCCAGGTGCTCCGAATATCACGATGCCACCGTCCTACACTAATTAGAGACACTGCGACTTCCCAAATGCAGGCTACTCACAGTCGGATTCTTGACCATGTTGTTGCGTACAACAGTATTCATACAGCTGATACTGATACCATCTGCCCATTGCTGAAATGCGTCAGTCCGCAAGGCCCATGTCGTTGTTCTGTATAGTCTGATTGTTGCATTTGAAGGTCCCCTCAGCAATGTGCAGGCACGACCAGCCCCGAGGGTCGAAGAATGTACAAATTCAATGAGCTGCCCGGAGTTGTCGCCGCCCATCTCAATGTTAGCGCCGCCATTGGTGGGCCCGTTAGTCCCGCGAGTGCCGTTGATCTGCCGCGGAACGTCGGTCACTGCGGAGGAGCGACGTGAGCACAGCGACCCGCACCTGTATATGACGTAGTTTATGTTATCACAGTCTGCACACTGCCCATGACAGCCGTCGTCTGCCCCGTTCCATTGGTGATCGCCCCGGAGACGACGAGGTCGCTCGGTCGTCGCCCTCCGGATAGCCCACTGTACTGATCTCCTGGTCGTGGGCAGCGAACTGCAGAGGCGCTGTAATATAATACGACTCGCCAGCACACAATGGAAGCGTGTATCCTGGCCCGGAAGAGTTGAGAAGAGTGTTTAGTCTGTCGGTGACGGTATTCTGTGGATCGGCAGGTTCGCAGTCATCGCGAGGGAGCACATCTGCGAATAATCTGCGCCAACATGTTCTCCAATGTCCTAGCAGAGACTCGAAGAAATTACATACCTAGCAAAGGGGCTGCTTTCGTGGGAGACGTGTCGTCTGTGATGTAGCCCGCTTGCAAGCCTGGCAGGCGTAGCTAGTACAGTTGTGGCGAGGCAGAGTAGACTGATATGTCCGGAGAACATAGTGGTGTGTTGCCAACCAGGACGAGATGCACCAGACCGAATAACAACCGGAGGAGAAGGCAAAAGAGAGGAGGGAGGCGACAGAGCGCCGCAGAGGGGTCGACGACAGCAACGAGTAGGTTGAGGCGTACAACCTCCGCTCTCTGTCGCCCTCGCCCGCCACATTCCCGGCCCGGCTGCAGTTTAGCACCTTACGTCAGCGCCGCCCATCAGGCTTCGTATACTGAACGCCCGCCTCCTTTGCCCGGTCTGGCCATCCCCGCTGCATTCTCATCCTCGTCGTTGGCCCATACCAATGCCTCTCTTTCCGAGGATTTATTTTGCATCTGACTACTGATCCGCGTGAGCACTCGCCCGTACCCCTGGGCCGCGGGCATAGAACGCCCTGCACTTGGCGCGCTGTATAGGGGAGCCGAATAGGACACGAGGCGGCATGCTCGCAAGACGCTTGCCTTCACGCCTTAGCGTCTTGGTTTTGGTCTTCTCGGAGAGGGAACTGGCCTAGCTCTTATGCGGTAAGCAGCGTTCTTCCAGTACTTTATGCTCAGCTGGTCGAGGTCAAGGTCTATACGACCAATGGCCAGCGGCGTTCCATATTACTGTTTACCGGTGCACCCTGAGTCCTATCGCATGAGCAATGCGTTGCGCGGCTCGGACGACATGAGGCCGGTCTCCTATCACCCTTGACGAGTCGGAGCGGCTCTCAGTGGTTCGTCTATGTAATGCACATCACTGGCAGTTCTACTCATGAGGTGTTATCATCCGGTCTGTGTAGTTCTAGTTCGTGTGGCCTCAGTGTCTTTGTCACCCTGCCAAGTCCATCTTCACAGGTATAGCGAGGCCTGAGTCCGAGACAGGAACGCCCGGTCTGGTCCCCGAGCTCATATTTTGCCGTACCCAATCTTTCTATCACAACGCCCGTGGCTCTCACATTCGATTGAAGGCAGTTGCGGCCAATGCATGTGTCGTGGAGAACGTACGCGTCCACCATGACTTACGCCGCGAGAGGAGTGATCTCTAACGAGCTTATCTGTCGATGCTATGCTCGAGACGGTGCGCTGTCCAAGTCTGGACGCTTCAGCGATTCGAATTTACCTGTTGTGAGTCGAGGTGAGACTGGGCGATACTTGGGTCCCCAGCTGCCTCCAATGGTCATCTTTCTCTGCGCGAAGCCGGGAAACATTGTGAATGTAGGGACGCTATCTGATTGGCTGGCCTTGAAATGAGTGTCGCTCACTGGCACCCAGGTGTTCATAGTCAGAGCCATACTCATTCGTGTTTACCAGGCACGTCCAGCTGTGTCTAGAGGCACACACTCTGTCCACTGCAGCCTGTGATGACGTCGCGACGCAAGTTTCTCAGCGACGAGACAGGTTCAGGGTCTCAGGTACGAAAGTCTCCCACCGAGACGGGTTTACGGCATCCCTATTCTTAGCTTCCCAACATTGACTTTAGCCCAGGTCTCCGCCTGCAATACATTCAAGTTCTGGGTGACGATGCAGTATGGACATACCCCGGTCAGCGAACCACTGTATCTGACAGATGCTGCTGTGCACAGGTATGCACTACACGAAGCTGATCGTGGATGTAGATACGACCATCGCGGATGGCGCCGCAATTCTGAACGCTGTCAGGTTGACATCCCTTCTCCGCCAGGCGCACTTGCCCAGTAATGGCAGAGTACTCCGGATGTATGGTACAGGCTCCTTGCCCACTACGTTCCACGTATAGCGATTCGGTCTTACGGATTCCCGTTGTCGACGTGAGTGTCACTGTGGTGAAGTGGGGCCGGGCACTAACGCCGATGCTGTATGGGAAGCGAACTTCAGGCCACACAGGCAAGTCAGCAGGAGCCCGGTACTGTGTCTATCTTGGTTGGTACTGAGACCACCAACCATGTCGAACGCGGAGTGATTGGCAGGCATCCATCTCACTCGAAGCTCGTGCGCTCCCGGCGGCGTTTCGCCACATGCTCCGTGGGCCGTGTAATGAAGAGGCGATGCACTGACATGGTGGGTACTGCGCTGTTTGCTAGTATGGCTTTAGATTCGCCATTCACGCGATCTGGAGCGCGAACTACATCTTGACAGATGGACTGTATCCGATACACGCACAGCTTACGAGGCGAGTGTATGTGCAGCTAAGGGCAGTCCCCGGACTTCCGTCGGCGTTCATGTGTGGTCTCACCGGTCGGCGGCCATGTCTTAAGGCTGTGTCGTAATGATGTTTGCGAGCCTCGAGGCAGACTGTGGTGGCACAAGATCCTGCAATGGGTGATGTCCCAACTCCCGTGATGGTTCACCATGGCGCCAAGAGTTTTCCGACCCGCTTCACTGCCATTAAATTCACTTGCAGGAGCAGGGCCTTCCTGGTCGGAGGATTGTGGTCGGCCTGCAGGCGAATTACATTTCGTTGACGGCTTCGCCAATATGATACAGTCCGTAGCGGCGAGACGAACCGAACAGTGAGACGAGCGCAGTGATAGCCATTGAGCCATTATCCCATCAGCGCACGGCGAATCAGCGCGAAGGCGTCCATTTTGGTCCTCGTGAGTTCCGAAGTGTGAACCTAGTAATATAGCCCCCGTAATATAGACTTCGAGTTTTGTCAGAAAAGAAGCTTGAAAGAAGCGTATACGATTCGAATAATATCTCACCCTTCGTCAGCGGACGAATGAATAACCCCCATGCAGAACCAGAGACCAATTGTTTCCCTCGAGCCTTACCTAGCCTTGCGCATTCGAATATTGTTCTGCAGCGATGCAGACTTGTTCGACACCTCGCCGGCCTAGACGTGTGTCGAAGCCAGTGTGCCTGATGGACTGTACTGAACTTTCTACTACGACAGTTGCCCCACAGGACGGACCATGTGCGTCTCTCACCCCTTGCATTTCGCCTGGTCGATGAAGCTGAAGCTTGAAGCTTAAAGGGCTACAATTAGCAATTGAGATTTGGCAAATCAAGCATTTTGCAATCAGATCCACTCTGGTCTCTTCGTGGCCACAGGAGGAGCCAATGTCAATGTCGCGCTCGTGGTCCGCCCTTACATACACATCTGAGTGCGATATGAGATGAACTGTTGATTCCATGTCAAAGGTGCACGTCAAAGGTCATACGTACGGCTCTTGGGAGATAGAAGCAACATTACGTTGGGGCTAGAGCGTTACATATTTCCCATTCATAAACTTTGCGGCAAAGATGCAGAGTGAAACGGGTGACAACGCACTAAATTAATCGTAATCTCGCCGTCTGTGTGGCGGCGTCTGGTTCATCTCATCATATCGACTTCCTCCACGTCCGTTGTCCGCATCTCTATCCCTGCGCGGTGGTGAACGTGGTGGTGAATATCTTCTGCGAGAGTCGCGTTCATCCCGAGCCGGTGACCGGTCTCTAGATGGGCTTCGCCTTCTAGCGGGAGAATATCGACGTCTGTGGCCGTCTTCATCGCGCTCCCGAGGCGGTGTCCTACTCCGTGACATGTCCCTTCGCCTGGGAGGAGAACGACTGTTGAAACTGTTCCCCCGTTCTGCATGCGTGTCCTGGAACGAAGCAAGTAGCTCCTCGACGGCCCTCACGCCCTCTGATTTTCCCATGGCCTTGCGCAGCCTCTTACGTTCCTTCCGAGCTCGCCGTTCCTCCGGAGTCTCATCTTTGTGCTTGGCCTTCGATTTGGATTTGGACTTGCCTTTCTTCGACTTTTTAAGGGCCTTTTCCTCCTTGCGTCTGGCAACCAGATATTCGTACATAGGGTCCTCGGGGTCGATTGGAGGTCCGTCATCTTCAGATGACTCGGACACATCATCCACGTCTAGAGATAATGTCAGGGGCTTCAATGAACCGGGGAAGGCGGCATCAGTACTCGCCTACGATCAGCTCTGGCTTCGCATTGAGACTCTGCTCTTCGCGCTCATGCAGTTCGCCGTCTTCTCCCTTATCCTTCGGCTGTTTGTAATTCTTTACGTGGTCCACGCGCAGGGTCCTGTCCAGAACCTTCGCACCGTTCAGGTTATCCACGGCGAGAACCGTCGAGCGCTGGTCTTCGTACATGAGGAACCAAATCCTCTCGTCTTTCCAGTGTTCTTGTCACGCGGGAGGTTCACGTCCATGACCTCTCCATACCTGGGCGACCCTCAGGTATTGGAAATAAGGAGAATCACTGGTAACGCACTGGGAGAATATGGCAATGACATCGCCTTCCGTGAGTCAGAGTGCAGCCTCCAATGAAGATATATGCAGAGTCTGAAGTGTGATGAGTACCGCCGAGTCGCGTTGTGAGACGTATGAACGCTGCTCACCTTTGTAGTCGTCGTGCCAAGATCCTGTCGCCCCCGTTTCGAGCTCGAGCTCATTGATTTTATTGATTTCGCGCACTACACTGTTCAACTAAGGATCAACACGAGTTCAATGCAGAGACACGCGGTACACACTTCATGGCTGCACTGTACGAGGTCGCGTATAATGCGGTGGCGCGGGTTCGCGGGCGTGTTGCGCGTCCGAGCCACGTGACCAACCGATCAGATGGAGTGCAAAGCAATCCGAAATTTTGGATTTCACAGCACAGACGATATAGTCGCCTCTGCACACACTCAGCGCACAGGCAGTGACCATGGCTTCCTTCTCACTACCGCAAATCAACGACAACCCAGACGGGGCTGGGGACCGTCCACATCCAACTTGCCGGCGCAATTCAAGTTCAGGGACATCCCCTACGCGCCGTACTCGAAATCTGACAAACTCGGCCGTTTCGCGGATTGGAACGACATTGCGGGAGACAACCGACCGAATGCAGGCCCGGCGTCTCAGGGTGCTCGTGGCGGCGGAGGTGGAGGCAGGGGCAGACGGGATGGCCAGCCTGCATTCGGTAGCGGTGCTGCTAGCGCATTTGCTTACTTCCACGCGGAAGATGAGTCCAGCTTCTCTCTGGTTGACAGTAGAGCAGGGCCTACTCGTCGCGGTGGACCTCTTGGCAGAGGTCGGGGTGGCGGACGAGGTGGTGGTATGAACAGAGGGGGATTCCAGCGCGGTGGGCGTGGCGGATTCACTGGTGGGCGTGGCGGCAACGCCCAGCGAGGAAGGAGAGGATGGAAGGACTGGGGGCAGGTAAGTCCAGTACTCGGTGCAGTCGGTGCTCATACTGACGCGGTGTTCACTAGTCAAACCGTACGCGTGAAGCTTCCGTTGCGATCTCTCCAGAATGGCAAATGCTCGAGGAGATCGAGTTCCACCGTCTGTCCAAGTTGAAACTTGTAGTCGATGATCCTGAGGAACTGTCAGCCTTCACGCTTGTATACATTACCATTCACTGATTTTTTGTTCGGCAGGGGTTCATACGGCAAGCTGTTCCCGTACGACAAATCCTATGACCGCATTACCACCAAATCGGAGCGGCCGCTGCAATTGGTCGATCGTATCAAGTACAACACAACGACGTCTGACGACCCGATCATTAGTGAGGTATGTCTATGTTGGATTCATAATCTCGTGCAGGTACCGTCTTCTGATGTGCTTCTCCCATGATAGTTGGCATCAAAAGATACCGCAACAGTATACACTACGGATGTCATTCTTAGCGGCCTCATGGTGGCCCACGGTCGTTATACCCATGGGACATCGTCGTCGTTCGCGAAGGGAACAAACTATTCCTTGACAAACGAGATGGTGGCCCCTTTGACACCGTGACCGTCAACGAGAACGCCGCCGATCCTCCGCAGGATCCATCTGCCGTCAACCCTAACAACCCGAATGAGAAGGTCGTGGTTCCAGAAACCCCAACGATCAACACCGCTACATCGCTGTCGCTCGAAGCCACTTACATTAACCAAAACTTCGGCTTCCAGTCCGTGATTGAGAATGCTCCTCCGCCAGCTGTAGAGTTTGACAAGCCCAATCCCTTCTACGGGCCGGAAGAAACGGAGCCCTTGGCTTCTTGCGGTTACCGCTACCGTGTCTTCGATCTCGGTATCACGGAAGATGAAGATGTCAAGATATGCGTTCGTACTGAAGTCGACGCGTACTCCCCTGGTCAGGGTAGCCCTCGTGCAGGCCAAGGGCTCGTCACTATCCGAGCCCTGAACGAGTTCGATCCCCGCGCCGCAGGTGCTGGTGGTGCCCCTGACTGGCGGACCAAGCTGGATTCGCAGCGTGGCGCTGTTGTCGCGACCGAAATGAAGAACAATAGTTGTAAGCTTGCGAAATGGACGGTGCAGAGCGTGCTTGCTGGCGCTGACCTCATGAAGATCGGGTGAGTTCTTTTATTCTCATCGTCTCGTTCTCCATATGTCGCTACGGCGAAGCGTCTCATCCTGCTTATGCATTGTCTTCGGTGCACTGACTCCATTTTGTGTTGCTACTTTTAGTTTCATTTCGCGTGGTAACCCTCGCGACAACACTCGTCACGTTATCCTGAGCTCAATTTCCACCCGCCCGATGGACTTTGCCGGCCAACTCAATGTGTCGATTTCTAACGGCTGGGGTATCGTCCGTACGGTCACGGACATGTGTATGAAACAGCCGGACGGCAAGTACGTCCTAGTCAAGGATCCGAACAAGGTGTGCGCTTCTCAAATCTCATGTGTTGCTACCTGTCTTTGCATCGCTACGATGGCAGCGGCCGCTCAGATCCAATGTGTCCGCTCTCTTCTAGTGACATTGGAGATTCTTTACCCTACCGAAGTCGATACTTGAGACCCTGGGGAGGCCGCTGCCATCTTGGGCGATCCTGCCGGTCCGTTTGTAGTCCATCATGAACTGACTGTGCTTCTCCCGACAGCCGGTCCTCCGACTCTATGCGGTTCCTTCAATACTTTCACCGGAGAAGATGAAGAAGAGGAAGGCGGATTGGATGGCGAAGACTTGACTCCGGTGTTTGAGATGTATATTGCACTTGTATCGCTAGGGAGTTCTCCTTGTTGGAGTCTGTATCTTGAGACGCCATATTGCAATTTTCATGAATCTTGTACGCGACTCCATAGAATCCAGACTGCTCGGGAGACGACAACTGGTTTTCTGATGGGCCTGTCATGTTTGGGTTGGACGACTAATCCGACGTGAGCTTTGCCTATTACAGTAGGTCCTACCGTGACAGCTTGCGCAGTGCCTTCGGTGACTGCGACCGTATGAAGCGGACACACACCGGCCCCCTCGACCGCAGCTGCAATTTACCTGCCTAGTGTCGAAATAGCGATCGTGGCTCAGTACTCGAACCCAACGACTTCGTGCTGCCACAGTGCGGGTGGCAGCTTGTGGGTATTCGTCCGTTCGATCAGCCGGCGGAACGCTGGCAGCGCGCTGTCCAACGGTGACATGTTGACAGCCCGCTGACAGGACGGGGACAGAAGGGCTCGTGGGTTAAGTACATACGTGCGCGGAAGTAAAGTACCATCACAGCTGCGCTGTACCATCCCATATCGAGCCACACACTGGCGCTGCTGCATGATTCCTCCTCAAGCGAGGCCGGGGATGCGGAGAGTGCGCATGATCCATACGGTTCGGCCTTGGTTGGCGATACGCCATTCAATGAGAACTTAACCGCCTTGTCTTCATCCGGCTCAGGAACAGTTGTTTTTGACATCCTCGTTGGGCTTGCCGAACAGGAGCATATGGGCGCAATCCCGACTGATTGCATACAATTGTGTCTTCCATTGTCGTCTTATGATCGAAGCCCTGCTCTCAAGACCGGCGAGGATGAGACCTTTCAAGAGCGATATACCGCAAGACGAGGATGGCAGTATACTTGATGCGGCGCAACCCTCAACTTTCGAACACAATGAATCAGTCATGGCGAGTCTAAGCGCGTCGGTGAAAGATGTCATCCGACATGCAGTTCAGCAATAGCACACTCCATAGATACATACAGAACATGCAGGTATCAATAGTTCTCCTGCGAACTAAGCAGGAGTGCTGCAGCGGCCTCGACATTGGGACTTAAGGGATATGACACATCAGTTTGGGGTGACAATTCTACGAGCGACAATTCTCACCTTCTCTGCAACACGTCTCTTACCACGCTTTGCCGGACATTTGGGAACATCCCCGTCAATGTCTGTATGTCTGTCTGTCTCTGTGCGAACTCTCGTTGTCGTCGGAGCCTTTCCGCCGGGTCAGTCCGAGAAGGGCGTCGCGCGGTTGTTACCACCTCTTCTTCGTTGATCTGAGGAGTCTCCGTACGCTGTCGTTGTCTTGCCTCCGGCAAGACCCTGTTCGTACGCCGGACGAGCGCGCCATCGCTCAACCACGGCTTCACCCACGTCTCGCAAAAGATCTGAACGCTATACACAAGCTCAGTATGTTGTCATTGTGGGTCTTTAGCATTACCGATGCGGAATGCGCCAGCCCTTGAGTTGGAGGAGGTCCGACCGATAGAGGTAGCCGGTATGGAGCCCAACCACCGTGGGGAGCAGCGTTCGCGGGAATTGCGAAATGGTGAGCTGAAGACATAACTGTTAAAAGTCAGCGGAGATGTTGGACAAGCTCCTACCTGTGCGGCGAGTATGTACATCCATACTTTGTCACTGAGATCCAGCCGAATACCTTCATCTGGTAGGCCTCGGGTACGAGTCGAACGTACTGATACAGAATACTGAAAATCATGGCAGTTGGGCCTGAGGGAACGACGTTGAAGAGCACTCCGAGGAACCTAAACGCGTGGAGGAAAAGAAGAGAGAGGAAGAGAGAAATCGTCGACACAAGCATGCTTATAATCAAGAAGGACTACATATGGTGGTGAATGATGTTTCGCGCAGACCAGCCGTCTACCCAAGACTTACCGCAAATTTGACACTGCCGAACGTTCTCTCATTCGGACGGCAACATTGTACAGGAGAAGCTCGGCCAAAAGCAGATCGCTTGAGTTGGCGCAGATAAGATGGTGCGTGAACAAACGCCAGTACTGCAATGAAGAGCCGTAGCGAGACCGTCAGTGTGCGGCAAGACTGCAAGCAATTGATACTCTCACTTGGTGATATTTAGAGATGTGCGGGACTATCTGTAGGTGCATGTAGTGTTTGAGGTCGAATATACCAATGGCAATCGAGCTGACGGCAATGCCTAACATGAGTGCTGCAATCGGTGTTCCCGTACATCAGTCCGACTCGGTCCCAACCTAACCAAAGCCGTGAAGAAACCCACCTTTAGTGACTGGCGCATGCTCAAAGGACATGTCTGCAGTATGCTTCACTACACGCACGGCTTTCAACGAGCCCGTTGTATGGGTGTCGGAGAGGTATGTACTAGGACGCCGCGTCGGCGTGTTGACAGAGCACAAGCTGCGCCACAACGCCTGCAGTTCACGTGCCTGTCTGCGGTGGCGAGAAATACCCGTTTGGGCCATACCTACCCAACGACAAGGAAAGGAACGATTGTGCTGCCTGCTCATGAGTCCTGCATGAATCACAACATGCATCATTCGTCAACGCCTCACCAACGGGATCACCTCAACATCTGCACAGTTTGCGCGTCTTAACAGCAGCAAACGATGACCTCAAGCACTGCAAGTGGCTCTGCCAGTCTTCACGGAAAGTGGTACGCACAAGCATTCTGTATACATCGGCGTCCGCCCCCCCCCCGTGACCTGTCGCACTGCGTTGACTGCACAATGCGCTCGGCGGCTCATCTTGACAATGCCCTATGTTGACTGGCTCGCTACTAGACCCCAGCTCGGGTATTCGTACGTTCCCACATGTCTCTGACTCCTCCAGTGGACTCTGGTACGTCAGCATTAACCTGACACAAATTGTAGCCTAGGGATGTCAATGCGAAGGCTTGTGGACCAAAAGCCACCGGCAGCTGGGGTGAACGGTCAGTCCCCCACCATTTCTACGAAGGGTGGTTCACGAACTGAACCGCTCCGGCGTTACGATGGATTCGTACGAGCATACAACCCTAAACAGGGCGCCTGGAGATAACACGGCGGTAAGGCCGCTGGAGGAACGTCATCTAAGTAAGTTAGTACTAGAGGGCCCGCTCGCCGGTGCGCTTCATCCAAGTCGATATCCAGTCACGGGCGGACCAGAGTGGAATCGTCATTGCTGTCGGAGTGGGACAGTGCGGCTTCCATTGCTCTTGGCTGCACCACCGACACGATAATGCCGGAGAAGATATGAATGGGTCCTCGAGGTCTCACCCTGCTCGCCCCTTTCATGTGCATGTGAGCTTCGAGACGCAGCGGTCCAAACAATTCGCACGTTCGCCCCGTCGGCGTGCGGCATGATTCTGAAACTCTTCCCCAGGTGCGTCTCTTCGATGCGCCTTCCTGAAATGACCTCCGTGTGGCCCCCGTTTTGGAGGACACAGCCTCTGTGGCTGTCTATACCCGGAAGCGCATATTGCGCGGTTGAAACCCTACAGGCAGACTGAGACCGACGTTGGCGGGATCGTCGACCTCCTTATCGACCTGTCTAACGCTAGCCAGACCAATCGCGGATCCCCACCTAATACACGCAGACACGAAGTTGAGTATGATCGCACTCCGACCGTGTTCACCGCAATTGAAGTCCTTCGACCCATCGCAGAGCGCTCCGTAGCGTTAACGGCATTAGTCGCGTATTCGTCCGAATCGCCCACAACGACGTCGTCCCAGTCGCCCAAATTGGCGGCCCACTGCGCGTTCAATGCGACCGAGGCTGCTAACCTTACTTCGACCTCTTTTCAGTGACTAAACTCCCAGTTTGGAAGTGGATTGTCAATGGGGAGGTCGTTGAATAGGACCAAATCGTACCTGGCCCGATGACCAAAAGCCCTCTTCCGGCAACGCAGTAGTACGGTTCAGCCTTGGACTGCGCACGCAAAGCCCCCCGGTTCCTGGGACGGTTACAACCCCTTGTGACGCGCTTCGCATACTCTCCTGAATAGCTCCCGACCAGGTAGTTGTTTCACATCCGCTTGCCTGCCTCATTCGAACGCACAGTGCGCGCTGCCGATCTCCGTTTTATCTTCACAGTGATCAGGGTGTAACATCGCAGAGAGCCTAGTACCTGCCTACACGACGCGGCACCGAAGCCGCACATAATGTGTCAAACATCCCGCCTCGGTCGAACACATGCTGCGGGTCCGCGAAGCACGCCCTGCCTCGATCGCTCCGAGTCCGCGCCGGTTCCCACCAATATGCAAGAAGTGTACCGGCAGAAGCCTGCTACTCGAGCTGTAGCATAGACCTTACCGCACACCGGAGACCCCACAATGTCATGGGGCGCACACATTAGCCACAAGCCACACACAGGGCGAATTAGCTTTCCCCGTTCGATTATACCAGGGTAATCGTACTGTCAGTGTCAAGGCCAGGGGGATGCTCGTCTCCGGCCGTGCTGAACCGTCCACTGGACCAGTACTGTAATGGCAGTGTACATGCGCGGCCCAATCGCAACATCGCTCTGGCGTCTGGGCGAGTGGCTGTGGATCGTTTTCCCGGCGTTTCTATCCTTGAGCCTCAGCCCGGTAGACTGGACCGCGTCACTGCACGGATGCTAATCTTGACATGTCGAGTAGCGCATGCACGTTTCCTGCCCGATCATGACCTAGCGGCTGAGAGCTTAGGGGGCTGCTGTGCTGGGAGGCCAGTGCAATGTCCGCTGTCTCCGCCGACCCCTCTTTGCGCTGCACCAGATCATGGGTAGGTACGATGTCTTGCATCAATTGAACTGTGCGAGGTTTCGCATGTGTCTCAGCTTCGGACTATACGATGAGCCGCGCACGATACCATAGGTCTGAAACGATAATGATAGTGGGTACTGAACAGAGCGTTGGTGCATATTAGAGTATTTGAGCCATAGAAATACAGAAGACTTGTGTGATACACACGAGATGGGAGAACACCAGTGATATGAAGTCCTGTCCCGCAACACGAATAAGTCTACAATCGAACTTGTCCCAATGCCGGAACCTACTCGGACCCGCGAGACCTGCAAGTGTCTGAGAGCAACGCGCATGCACAAATCCCGAGCGAGCGAGAGACAGTCTGAGCCCGTCTGCCTGAGGATGCGCGGTTGCTAAATGTACACTCGGTCCTTCTCCTTCACCTCACTGGCGTACGCCGCCGCCGGAGAGAGACCTTCCTCCTCGTCCTTCCCCTCGTCCGTCGTTCGGGCGGTGCGTGAGCGAGCCAGCACCCGGCCGGCGGAGACGAGCCCCCGGATGCCCTGGGCGACCATCCGCGTGGTGATCCATTGCGCGAGCGACATGCCGGGGAGCAGATTCAGCAGATCCTGTGGATGAGATGGTGAGTTGCGTAAGACGCTTTTGTCGGGTGGCCAGAACAAGCAAGGTTCGCGCACCTTGATGTCCCAGAAGTCGCGGTGACGGGTAATCTTGCCTGCATCATTGAACGAGAGACGCGTGATGATCGGCAGCGAAAGGTGGAATATTGACGACGGAGGAGCTTGCGTGGACTGTCCCCTCGATATGTAGGACGGCTGGCGATGCAGCGGGGGATGAGGTATAGACAGCGAAAGGTCCGTGGTAGTGGACGGCAATGGGTGGCACGGCCCTGCGCTCGAGCGTCGGCGAGCAAGGAGACCAGGAAGGATGTCGATATGAAGGGTATGCTCCAAGATCGTGGTTTGATGGCCATCTGCAAGTAGCCTGGATCAGCAACGCCGCGATCGCTCGATCATAGACCACGTCCACGCCTCCGAGGTAGGCGACCGGGCAATTGACAGAGGTGCGCATCATAGTAGGATCGCACGCTCCACCTTCATCAACATGCAGATGCGCGATCACTCACCGTAGCTTTCGCTCTCCGACACGTCGGTGACCTCATTCCACATGCTCATCGCCTTGAACCACGAATCCTGCAGGCCAGCACCCCGCGAGATCCCGAACAAGCTGTGGAGCAGCGCGACCGGCTTCGGGATGTCCAGCTGTGCGAGGCGGCTCGAAAGCGCGTGGATGTCTGCGATGACGGAGCGAGATGTCGCGGTCACGACCGGGTTCTCGTAGGTCGCGTCGGGCTCGTAGAACCTCTCCACCGCGCTCCAGGACGGGACGGCCGGGCCATACACGAGATCACAGACCTCAACAGCAGTGGCGCGATGCGCGGCATAGGAGATGAGAGAAGTGCTTTCGGTGGGCCTAGAAGTACTGGATACAGGTACAGTCGGGAATGCTACAGAGTTGTTCATCTTGCGGTCATGGACGTAGCGAGCAAGCAGGATCGCATGCGCATGCCCGAACCGCGTCGACTCGCGGCGGAGCTGCTGCGCAAGGCCTGTGATTTCCAAGTGTCCAACGGGGTTAGGGTTACAGACGGTCACCACTACTTACCAGGTCGTCGTGATTTACCGTATACCCCGATGTTCCAACCCTCACCCACTCACCGCGGCCGCGTACACTAACAGAGAAGCAACATGGCGTGTCCAACGATAGCTCGTTATTCAAGCTCTGAAACTCGCGAAAGATGGTCCGTCGGTTCGATGTACACGCTCAGGGCGCAGGCTTCGTCAGTCAGTGTCGGACAGTGCAACCTCCGCATTCTCACCCCAGTTGCAATGCTGCTCGAGCTCTCCAAGGTCTGTCATCATTCGCGCAAAGCTCGGGAGCCTATCGACATTGACAAGATATACCTCCACCCGCCACTCGGAAACGCCGAAGACGACTTGCACCAGGGGCACTGTGAGACCGGCGCTGCCAGGTCATGTTATCCGCCAGGAGCTGGAGAAGCGCAGGTACGTAGGATTCGTACGACGTCTCCATTCTCGACCGCAGCTAATGCGTCGCAACCTCACACGTACGACGTGTCTCCACCAGGCAACAGACGGAACACCGACAGCAGACGCAGACGCCGTCGCACCAGACACATACGTCACCGCCAGCAGGAACGCCCGTGCCCTTCTCAGGCCGCGCGCGACTGGATGCAGCGAAGGCCGTGGTCCAGCGTACCTGCGGGAAGCTCGCACGCACGCCCCGTACCTGGGGCACACCGGGCTTCCTCGCCTTCCACGACCGTTCTACGTGGAGTGCGTGGGCCGCGGGGGCGAGGGAAGCCTGTGGCGTGAGGGAAGGTCGGAAGGCCACCGCGCGAGCACACGTCCGCTGTACGCCCGCGCCGGACAGCCACAATACCCCGCTAGAAGTTGGCGGGAACGGAGACACCCACGCGCGGTCGTGAACTGGCGCACACGCCCTACCTCGGGCCCGCACGCTATTGCGCTCGGGTAATACAGCATGCAGCGCGAACGAACTCGGGCGGGACAGGTTCCGAGGGCAGGACAAACGCAGCGCACAAAACGGACTAGCATCCTCTGCCAGCGACCGGTGCAACGCACGCTGACGCTTCCGGGGCGCAGTAGGCCACGGGTTCGGGCGAGGAAGGACAAGCGAGAACGCGACGCTTCCTGCGAGCCGGCCGAATGGATACGCTATTGTTGAACAAGGGGAAGCCGCTTCCGAGGGACGAAGGCCGCAGAGCGCGCGCGCCCACGGTATTCGCCGTCCACGTTCCCACCTCGTGCGTCGAAGGCGTCCACTGCCGTGTAGTAGCGAGCTGTCTGTGCGACGGAACCGGAAGGTGTCGTCCTCGTCGAGGCTCTCCCACAGGGGGCGCGACCGCACCTTTGCTGCGCCTTCGCTGCCGCATTTACGACCCTCCGCATTGGATCGGAGAGAATGGCTTCCTGACGCCCGGAGACCATAGCCCACTCACGTCCTATGGGATCGACACCATGGCGGAGAAGACGACATGGAGGGATATCCTCGGATGCGGCGAGACATTCGCTTGACCAATACAGTAGGATGCATCGTGTTATCTGTCAAGAGTGCTGGAGTTGATAGGTGGTGCAGCGAGCGCTGCTGGGGACACCCTGAGGGACGCACCGCCAGTTCTACGTCAGGGCATACAACGTCGGAGTGGTGGTTGGTACGCACCTTCCATACCAGCGGATGTCCTGTCGTAGATAGTGACGCTGTTCAGTAGCATGCTTTGATACCACAAGATTCGCTGTACATGGCTTAGATCTGAAACGTGCCCCGAGCCCCTGAACTGAGAGTATTGAACCTTCGTGTATGACAGACATTGACCGGATAGCTTATCCCTAAGCGTCATAGACACGGTAGTGTCGGCATGGATCTATACAGCGGTGTGTGCTTCTTCTGTACTTCGCACGGGCATACAGCCCTTGCCGGTGACGAGAAGACCCTGGTCAGCGAGCGAACGAAGGTTGGGTGACGTCCAGGAAGCAATGTCAATGAAGCCGCAGAGTCATGGCATCCGCCGAGAAGCAAGGGTATGGCCCACCCAGAGCCGCGTCCAGCGTAGGTTCGCGCGAGATAAGGGACGACAGAACTGCGCGAGCGTATCTACACAGGGCCCGTGCAGGCAGTCGGAAGATGCGCACAAGCGTCAGATCTCCATTGAGCGCGTTCGAGCTGCCTAGTTTGTCGCATCGTCGCGCATAGCGCGGGCCAGGTGATCAGCGCGGACGGACATGGGCCGCCTGCCAGCGCTGCTGGACGACCGATGCGCGCGGGGGCGTTGCGCAAGAAGCAGGCTCGACCTTCCCGACCCCGCTGGCTGACTGGGTGCGAAATGGATGCCGTAACTTACCGTGGTCCTCGTCAGCGGCCACAACGCTGTTGTGGCGCAGGGGGTGGGCAGACATGGATCCACGCATGGAAGGTGCACTTGCCATAGTGGTGCAGAAAAGAGGATTCAGGATGCGCCGTAGTCTCGGGGGTGCCAAACGTACACGTCAGGTGCGCTGTCGCGTTGTGACTTGTCTGTCAAACGCAATTGCCGGAAGAAACCCGTGTAACTGACTTGCCGGCAGTCCAGACAGAAGCTTCCGCTCTGTCCAGTTGTACTGTCGTCTCGGTGCTCGGTGGATAGCGCCGCTGTAGGCTTGCCGCTGTCGCGCGCGCACCCCAGCTTCGCCCCACGTTTGTCATTCGGGATGAGCCAGCCTCGACTCGAGAAGACACCCCGACACGTCCACACGTCCAGCCCAGGACAGCTGCGGCCGCGAATGGCACGACCCTGAGGCAAAAAAGGCCTAAGGAAAAGGAATTCTCCTTGCGATTCGAAGCCGGAGCATTCGGACGAAATTAAGCGTGGACGGCGCATGAAGCACCCGACGCTCGTCCGGAACTAAGAAATGGGGCCCTAAAGCGTGGATGGAGATAATTGAGATACGCACCACGGGAGTGTCCACTTGGGCCGTCGTCGTCCGCTCACTCGACACTGGGGACTCCACAGGGAGCCTTGGAGTTGGTAGGGTAGCACGGTGGTATTTTGGCGGCGCTCTGCGCCCGGGGTGGTCGCAAAGTCCGCCGCCGTACGTATGGACGAGCAATTTCAAGTGCTGAGCGTGGCAGGTACCGCCTACAAATTGCGCGAGCCAAGGGTGCACATGCGTGTCTGCGGCCGAGAGTCGAGACGTAGCCAAAACCGTCGTGCAGTCGTTCGGAAGCCAGCTGGCTCTTGCTGCTCACATGGCCGGGCGCGGCGACAAGGTACAGCGTACGTACGCATACCACTCGGGCGGCGAGCCCGCTACGGATATGGAGCCACGCAGAGGGGCAGCACGCAGGCTAAACGGGGCGCACTGTGCGCGGGAGCTCGAGAGGCACGCTTCCCATACGGTGCGGCGCGTCCGGGCGGCTTCCTCGTCCCGTCTTGGAAGCAGCGGACCACAGCGAGCGCGCGGCCCCGACGAGCACCCGTGCCACCCAATCGCCGCGCGTTCGATCTTCGTGCGTCGGGCTCCTCTGGGTGCCGCCACCACGCGGCACGGACACGTGCGGCGTACCGCGAACGTCGGGCAGCGCGTGCGCGACAGCGGCGGGCCGGCGACAGCTCGGCGCCGGGGACCTGTAGCTCGCCGGCGGGTGGGCTGGCGGGTGGCTGGTGGTGTGGCCGGTGCGCACCGCGACTGGGAGGGTGGCTGAGGAGGACGATAAGCGGGGGCCGTGTCGCGGAGGGATCTGAGAGCGCATCTGGCTGCGTCAGGCTATCGCGACGGGTCGATCACGCGGGACCCGCCCCGGGTGCACACGCGGTTCTCCTGCGCGTCGCGACGCGTCCAGGGTGAACGTTCTCCACCTCCTCCTCCCCAGCTCACCCTGTCCTCGTCGCGTGCTCCTTCGCCGCGCCGCGTCTCAGCGGTAGCGTGATGCGTGGCCTATTGCTCTGAAACAAGCACACTCGGACAGCCCCAGCCCCAGAACTTGTCTCACCACTACTCGTTACACGACTAGCAGCCGCCCTCGCCCAAGTGCCGACCGCTCCGGCAAATCATTCGCGCTTGCAGCTGACAGATAACGCGTCTTGCGCCAGCACTTCCGCGCGATTTGCACGGCCACGGGCATGATGTTTGGCTTCTTCTGCATTGTGTACTTCCTATACGCTACGATTACAGACGGAGGCATGCAAAGATGAGGGGAGCAGTGTACGACAGACGGTTGAATATATATAGAGCGCCACAGTCCAACCACACCGGGCACCGACAGCAGAGACGAGCACAGAGATATCCCGGACCAATAAGTAACAAAAATAAAAGAACACAAAGGCGACGGTGACTCCAAGAACCGGATGAGAGTGGAACACAACGATGCAATGCGGGGTGAATGATACAATGAGCGCCAGAGGCGAATGGGGTGGTCAGTACATAGCACCAGTCTTTTGGCCTTGCTTCTTCGTGATGACGTCCCACACACGTGTCTGTGTGCGTGCGCGTAAGGGTATGGCCGTTTTGAAGGTATCGGTCTCGCCCACAAAGCAGTGTACAGCGAGAGGCGGAGGCGGGGCGGCGAGCGGGCAGGAGGCGTGACGAATAGATAAGGCAACGGCACAGGACGGTGTCTCTAAGTCCAATAAAGAATAATGCAACGCGGTCAGCACACAGCCTTCCGCGCCTTGTCCTTCGGCGACAGGTCCACGGGCACAGGCTGCCAGCCGGTGACTTCGGGGATCGTGACGTCCCCTGGCCTCCGCTGCATGTCGTGCGGCGCAGGAAGCGAACCGCGCCGATAGTAATCGCCTTGCGGTTGGTTGCCCGGGTAGTACATGGGCGCTGTCGCGGCCTTGCGCGGGGTAGGTTGCTGCGAGCCGGGCTGAAGCGAAGCGATGTCGTTGAGCGGCGCGTTAGGCAGCCGAATGGCACCGTCTCGGCCAACCAACGGCGGAGATTGCGAATCCGAGTCACGCATCGGGTAGGGCTGTGCGGCGGGGGAACCCATAGACGACGACGGTGCAGATCCTGAGGAGTAGACGGAGACTACATGAACACCAGGAAATTCAACACCACCGAAGGTGCTTAGAAGGAGCGTCGAGACGTACCGTTATCGTCCCAGTCGCTCGACGCGCCGATGGACGAGCCACCCGACGAAGACACGGAAGACCGTCGCGGCATCTGCATGACAGGGCCCTCCATCTCGCCTTCTCGCGGCTCCTTCTTGACCATGGCCGGGATCTTCCCTGCTTTCGGGCTACCGCCGACAACCTTAGGCGCTTTCCGCGTCTTGCTGCCGGCGCGGAGCTCGTCGAATCGCAGAGGGCGCGGCCGCAGATGCGTGCGCTCGTACAAACCACACTTGTTGCAGACGATCTTGCCCGGATTGAGCGTCGACCGCCGCCAGCTCGGAGGCTCGGTGGTGTGGCAGTTGAAACATCGCCGCCTAAGGTACTGCGTCTCCTTCGAGGCAGCGTCGTCCGTGTGTTGAACGAGCATGCCGTTGTGCGGTGCGAGGCAGGGCATCGGGTGCATTCCTGTTGACCCTGGCCGGTAGGAGGTCTGCGAGGGGACGATCACAGGCGTATGGTCCTCCGTCTTGATGCCGTCCAAGTGGTGGAAGTCGTGATAGGGCGGGTGTGGCGAGGGGACGGTGTGCGCAAAGGGCTCGTCCATCACGTGTGGAAGCGATTCGCACATGGCAAGGTGTGGCGAATTGTCCATGGACAGCGGCTCGCTGTAGACCGTACTCGGACGCGAACCGTACGGGCTGCTCGTGACGGAGTCGTGGTCGCTGCCCATGAACGGCGGTGGCGGGGTATACATCATCTCGGCGCGGTCCTGGCGAACGTACGGGAAGGTGTTGCGGCGCTGCATCGCGACGTCGTGCGCGTGGCGCATTCCGTGCCCGAGTGGCGCGTCGATGTGTGCGGACTGAGGCATACCAGACCAGTGGGCGTGGTGGGACTGCTGGCGGAGGCGGTGGTCGACGTACTGCTCGTGTTGGAAGTGGTGGTGGTGCTCCGGCATGTCGGGCTCGTACAACTCGTCCAGGAGCGAGCCGCGGGAGCCGGGCGGGTTGTAGGAGCCGGGATAGGGCGCGGACCACATGTGGGCGGCCTCGAGAGTGTGCGACTCGGGAGGGATGCCGTTCTCGTCGTGGTTGGGGTCGAAGATGTAGCGGGGCGGGGCGAGATCCATGGAGGACTTGTAGTTGGGTGGCGACTGGAAGGGGGGATGCATGTCGCCGTCGAAGATGTGGGGGGAGGGCGTGCGGGGGGTGGACGCGTCTGAGTAGGAGGTGCAGTCGAAGAGTAGGGGTTCCATGGACGGGGCGGGGGCGGGGCGGGCGTTGGGCGACACGATGGCTGTAGGGAAGCAGCAGCGCGTGTCCGCAAAGGGGCAAAGGTCGACGATTCGACGGCAGAGAAGGCGTTCTGGTTTTGAGCAGCATGCCCGCCAGCGTGGTTCCGGGGTCCCGACATCCTGTGCACGCAGCCGAGAATGGTCTAGCGGCCACTCTCTCGACCCACTCCCTCGGTGCCCACGGTGGCTCTCGGACAAACACAACCGAGCCTCGCGCGGACTTGGAAGAATCGCAGGCACGCTAACGCCTACTGCGCCCGTCTGCACGGCGCACCTCCCTCGTCTGCCCTTCTGCAGCGTCCATGGCTGCAGTGCGCCGCGGCGGGGTCCTCTGCAGCCCACCGCACGGCACTGCACACCGCCCTGCCCGTGTGCCGCTTCCCAGGTGGGCAGGCCATCCTCCGCCAGTGCGGCACCGCTGTCAACGTCACGCCTCCCACGGACTTCGTATTTCGTGACCCTAGTTACGCCCAATTTCCAATATCCAATGTCCATTTTCGCCCGTCCTGCGCGATACACCGTCTGGCTGCCTAATCGGGAGCCCCTCCAGTTCCGAACTGAGCCAGTCCCTCATCTCGCACATGGATCTCCAGTCCGATTCAAAGACCCGCCGAAGATCTTCGGCCTCCGCCGCTCGCCCGGCGTCTCTCCATAGCGACCTGGGCTGAACCCGTTCGGTGTCTCTACTCGCTCAGCCAATCCATGTACACTCGCTCCTCCATTCAGTCCTCCACGGCGCTCCTCTGCTCCCTTCTCCCGGCTCACGCGCCTCCTCCCTGTTCGTGCCTTCATACCGCAGGGCGACCTCCTTCCGCTGTCTGCACACCACCGCACCGCACAGCCCGTCCAAGCTGCCACCGCACACTGCACCCCGCTTCCACAGCGCTCGCGGCCCCATTACGCCATACAGCACGCCCTTCCTCTGTTTCACTTCCTCGAGCGCACCATTGTGGCGAAGCTCTCCATTATTTCTTCCTTCCTTTCCGCCCAGCGTTCGCAGCGCCCATACCCCCCTTCTTCATCGTCGCTAGGCAATCGCTGCAGTACCAGCTCTCGGGAAGCGGCGACTTCAGGTGGACACAATCCAGATGGAACTGTATAATCCAATACCGTCAGCACGCGGAGCCTGCCGTCAATGACGGACAGCCACTCACCCATTGGTAGCGGCAATTGGGATTGTCGCAAGCAATCATCTAAAAAGTACCATAACGCCGTGCGACGCGCAGAATCAGCAAGCGAATTCCCTCCAAGGACGAGGCCTCGCCGGACCCTCGCCCCCGGGCGCTCCGGGTGGTACGCACCTCGCCGTAAGACATCCTTTGGCAAATGCAGTATATTTCTTTATCCTCTGCGTCCCCGCCTTCTTCCATCTCGAGATCGTCTTCGCCCTCTGCGTCTTCGTCCGCGTCCAGCCCGGCGGATGCCGTGACTCGGCGCGAACGCGCAGGGGACTGTCGGGTCTGCTGCGACGCCCTCGACCGCTGGCCTGCGCCGTAGGCGCTCGCTGGCATGGGTGCTGGGCTCGGCAGCTTGATGCTTCCCGCCGAAGCGGCTGTGGCTATTCTCCGTTCTATTGTACGTACGATGGAGCGTAACGTCAGCGGGGCACGTCGGGACCCAGCACAAAATGGTCATATCGCATCGGCAAACAAAGCATTACAAATGAGCGACTGTGACTCGCGAAGGAGCAGTCTGGGATACGCACTCTTTTGCGGTGGTGCTACGCTGGCCGAAGGCGCGGGCGGCGGCGCCTCAGGGATGGCAATGGCGTTGCGCAAACTCTCGGTGATTCGTTCTGCGGGATTTCGCGAACCTTGGCCGAGGGAGTAGCTCGCCTGAATCTCAGGGCGGGTTCGCCTTGCAAGACAGCACCTTGCTGAGGTCATGGTCCAGCCTGGCCCTCGCCCGCTGTATGAGTTGTACCATCCGTTCCGCCAAGGCGATCTTCTCTGCGGCCAGTTGGTCGATTTCGGCATACTGAGCGGAGATGTTTTGAGGAATTGCGCCATCTTTCGGTGCGAGCGGTTGCCCCGGATTCTTGAGCGAGTGTCGTACATACTTGCCACCTTCCTTCTGTATCTCCTGCTGCAGCTCTGTGGTGCGTAGGTCATACGTCCGGTATGATGCACGATGGTGTCAAGCACAGCATGCAGATCAGGTACGCGATAGCATGGTGTCGTTTCATGGGTTTCAAGCAGGAAGAAGCGTCGGGACCACGAGTTATGCGAATTGATGCAGAGAGCCAGTTATCAGCTAATGCCCTTCGGGGCTGAACAGAGCCAAGGCGATTCAACTGACCTTGTGTGCGCACTTCGCGCTGTCTTATCTCTGCAAGCAAATGTTGTGTCTCGGCTGGGAGATTGTCCAAACCTGTAGACCAGGGAGAAGGCGTTAGCGTGGGCACGTTCGCGGGAGGTAAATTAAATTATCGAGGTGCGGCCGCGTTCGCGTACGAGTGGAATGGTTCAGCGACGCCGCCACCACACCCGATCGACGACGCGTCGGTGGCGGCGTGACAGAATACGCTATCAACAGTGCCGTAGGGGAGATCTCATTTTGCATCTGCGCGTAGCACCACCCTGATCAAATGTCGCCACCGCCCATGTGATCGAGCAAGACGTGGCCAGGACGAGACCTGAGCAGCGCATCGAACCATGAGACTTACTGGAAATGTACTCCGCCGCTATGGTGGCGGCTTCCTCCAAATTAGCGTTCATAGTGCGCCGGGTGTGCCTCTGTGTGGGTGGCGATAGCAACGAAGAAGGCCAGGAAGACGAGCACTTCGGGACGAAGCCGGCGGAAGGAGGATGATGGTGGCAAGAGAGACAGTTACGAAAGCGGCAATTGCGTCAATCTTGGGCCGGAGCTTGAAATGGCTAAGGCGCAGAAGCCTCCTTGTATATGGGCGCCTACGGTTATCAAGCCACAGTTTGCAGCCCGATGAGGTGATGCCTCGTGGCTGTCCTTTTAAATCCGTCGCGCAAACAGATGACGTAAAACACGGTTCCTCCTCTGAAGTGAAGTCCCCGGGGTCCAGGCGTTTGGTAGCGGCGCGGCGAGCTTCCCGTTGCTCGCAGGTCCCGTGGATGGCGTTGTCGCTCACTTGGACACCCCACAACCCATACTACGTATGGGGGACTCAAAGAAGAGCTGGTTGGCACGTAGATACGTGCTGCATTGTATGCAAAATACGATTTGCCGTTCAGCCGCCTAGTAACATTGGAGCAGCGAGTTAACGGGAAGCTCGATGTTCGCTTGACCACACAAGACCAATCAGAAGCGCGAGGCCCCAACATGTGCGAGAGGCCGGCCGTCCCAAAGTCATCCCGATTTATATTGCATTCCTTGTGCGTTCCCGCCTCAGTGGTACTCATTGTTGGTTCATAGCCACCCAATTCTGGAATGTCAAGGAAGGACGAGCCGCCTGAACACTTACGGTCTAAAGTACATTATCACAGGTCTACAGCGCACGTGTAATTCGCGCACATGCAGTCGCCGGCTTGTCACTCGTCGCAAGGTCACAATACATAGTAGTGCATCTCCTTTCTCTGACCTTCGCGATTATACTTAGCATTGCAGGATGACTCAAAGGAGAAAGAAAGCCTGTCATTGTTGACGTCCAGACCCTACTCAGGGCGCCGCGGGAGTGCGACGTACCGCTTGTCACCATCTCGTCCTTAAGGGGTTGACGAACACGCACACGGTATTTCTGGTGCGTTCCAATTGATCACCGGATGCCGTCACTCGGCTTTGAGCGGTATGCTATCATAAGGCTGGCTAGAACATCGCTCACCCATGTACGACCGACGTACGGCAATAACGCCACCGCAGTGCTTCTCCCGTCATATTGTCGATGTAAGCTGGTGTACGACCAGTACCCACGCGATCCAAACGGACAGATACCGGCGGCCCATAGGAAGAGGGTCTTCCTTTCCATTTCCCCCGTCGGCCCTGAGGGGGGATGACGCATTGTGAGCAGCCTATCACATAACGAATATTCCAACTCGAAGCTGACCTTTGCAATGTCCCATAGCAGCCCAAATTGTAATAGCGGTACGTCGGGCAGCTGACTCTTACTCAGCAAAGTGACTAGTCCAGCGATCAGCGCATTCTGTACCTAGCCGAGCAAAAGAAGGGGGGAGGCATGCATACAGTATCCAACGGCCACTCACCTTTTCGCAAAATTGCTGCATTGAGTTCATTATGCAAATTCGCTTGGAACGGCCCCGGGATATTAGAAATCTTGATTCCAGACTGCACGCATGTGCCGTACTTACCATAGGATTGATGGTGAGACTTGAAGATGTCGACATCAACTCGTTGCACAGTCATGACTGGTTAGCTGCAGGATAATCACAACCACCATATACGTGTGATCGAAGTTGGATCGAAGTGGCGTGTATAATTCGCCCCCAAGCTACCATTGGCCACGACGTGCATCGCGGAGCGGCCGATGGACCCGGTGCGTCGAGTGAGCACCACTGGATGCTCCCGAGACGAAACATAGTACAGCAAGGATATCTCCATGATATCTGGCTAAGTACGCTTGCCTGTTCCTGGCTAAAGTGTTGCTTCTCGCGACCCCTGCAAGATCGCCTTCTTCGCTTCTACTAATCCACGTCTGGAGTCTGGACTGGGATTGCCCTGTGGGGTGTCTTGCTCCCACACTGACAGGCCTCTACTAAGAGAATGCTTGCCGAGCGCAGTTTCGGGACATGAAACACGAAAGGAGCTTATCTCGGGGTCTCCGTCAACGGTGCCACGGTGCTACGTTGTGGCGTCCCGCTTCGCCACACAGGAAGCCCTGACTGTACGGACCTACCACCGCGGACATGAGTCTTAACAAACAGTAATGCCATGCACTTACCATATAATGGACAAGCTGCGGATCGTCATCCTCCTTGGACATCCATCCCGAGTCCCAGACGGACGATTGGCCGTCCTTGGGAAGGCGCTAACGTCAATCACCAACCCAACAGCGAGACGAAGACGGGAGGATATCTGTGAATCCGTGGCTCCTGCGGAAGCTGTTGACAGCCTGGACCTCTACACTTGGGGATGATCGACAGAGTGGCACATACTTACTCACCAGCATCCTAGCATCGCTACCGGGTTCATGCGGGCTGCACGGTCGGGACCATATCGACAGACAGTCCGAGCCCCGTCGGTAGCCGAAGCAAGGCGGCACCGACATGCAATACATTGTGCAGCTGGCGTTTGGGACACGCAGCACATGGATGTCCGTGAGACCCACATGTCCATGGATGCACCCCCTGGGCGACGTGCCCGTAGAAGCCACTTGCGGCGAGGCTGTGTGCACGCCCACGGCCACACTGCAATCCGGCAATATGCTTCGGAGGATGAGAGCCGCTCCATACCACTACCTGTCAATCTGTCAGAGCGATTGACTAATGCAGCATAGGTGTCATCACGATCGGGATGGCCTGGCAGCTGAGCTTTGGCTGAGCTGGCCCATCTGCATGCCAAACCTACTATTTTGAAAACTCTGAAGACGCATTCACGTCCTTGGACCACCTTCGTATTGATAGGATGTAGGGCTGTGTACCATAATGTTATTTGACAGAGAAGGTACGTCGACGAAAGCAGTACCAGCTGCCCTATGGCGACAACTGACATGATTTCGTGAGCAGAGGTTCCGGAAGAACGGGCAAGAGCCTTCCGCACTCGTCAAGGCCGACAACGAATTGTTTTGGCTCGTGATGCAGGATACAGAGCTGACTCCGTTGGCGCTCAATCTATAAGCAGTGTATTTCATGTTGTCGACGGTGTAACGCCATAGGACACACAGATCCTCAGTATACCATGTGGATCACCCTAGAAATGGAGAGCAGCCGTATCCTCCGGCATGAGATTGTCAACACTCCGCATGTCAAGCACGCCTCGATTTTGAGAGTACGCTCCTTTCTCGCAGGAACGACGAGGGGTGATCAGCGTGTGGCAACTCCGCTACAGCATGAACCCCGGTCGTGCGACCGTCGCACAGAGCAACGTCGTATGCATAGATTTGACACGCAAGGCGACAACGACTTTGGCAGCGGCACAAAGATGTTGTCAAGACTTCCGAAGCAACGAGGAAAGGGATATGGTATAGCCATGTGCGAGAAAATTTGCGACTGAGATTTCAGCGAGGGCAAAGACGACGTACCTGTCAGGGAGGGACAAGGTTGACACGCTGCGAGCGGTCCGGTAGCTCACGAAAAAGCCTGCAATGTACGTTGCATACGATGTTGACCACGGACGCCAAGTGATCCGAGTACCTGAGCAGCTTCTTGATTCAAGAATCGAGTCGCCGAGACTGATTAGTCCTACAGCAGCAATTGCATACCGCATCTCATCGAGACTGGGATCTAAGGCGACTTCGTTGCGTCAGCTTGCCATCGTCCAACAAAGAGGGTACAGTCGCTGAGTACCAGAAGAACGCTTAGCTTAGCCACGGTGGGAAACGACCCATCTCCCACATAGCCCTTAGGTCTATTACCAGGTCCTGAACAGATCAAGGTCCCAAGATGTATGACGTTCATCAAGCACTAGAGAAGCAGCCTGTGCACTGCACTTATGCACCGCTGTTCAGCGAGATGCCTAGCACCGTATGCGCAAGGCCAGTCATGGAGCAGCGGGTCCTCGAATTCGAGAGCCAACTGAATGCACCTGCCAGTAAGGAGAGGAGATGTAGCGGAGGGCCGACGCGGAGGCGAAGGTTTGAACACTGAGTAACTCAGTAAGTTCTCGCTGGAGGGGCAAGGAGTGCATCACGTGGGACGGCCGCCCGCGAGCGCGGTGGGAGGGCGAGCTGGGAGCAGGAAAACATTCGCTCGTCTTCGTCGCCTCGAGGCATGCCTGGCGCCGCGCTCCGGAACGGCGACATCCTCTGAACCTGCTCTCGGGCTGAGCGAACCTCTTTCACGGCTTCCGTCATGTCCAGCTCACGCGGTCTCCTCGCTTGCTTTCTTTCTCGCGTGCTCTTGCTTCTCTGTCTCTGTCTCATACGCGTGCCCTCATCCTATGCTCAGCCAGCCCAGTTGCAATATGAGGATTGCTACTACCAGAGCAATACTAGCCTCAAGTTCGACATCTCTACCGTCTATGCGCAAGTCCTCGATGAAGCGAACTCGGAGGGAAAGTACCTCAACTTCACGGTACTTGGGGAGACACCGAAGTCGGTCATGAAGTCGTCTAATCCCAACGGGAACTCGTCTGGCGCGGTCGCTAGTAAGCATCCAGTACTGATAGACACACTGCGCGTAATTCTGAAGATTGGACAGCGACCCTGTTCACTGTCGCGGAGGAGCTAACGTTCCAGGTGTGGAACAACAATTCGTTCTTCTGCTCAACCCTACGACCTCCCACGGATCTACTGGGCAATACTACGGAAGGAGGTTATTGTCCATTCTCGCCAGGACCCTTCGCGTTCTCTACCACTGTCCGGTTGCCAACCGACTATGAACTGGCGACCTTTCAAACTCGCCTATACGCGCTAGATCCTGACAGAACTTATTGTTCTGTATGAATCTCAACACTACACTCTTGGATCCCGGTGCTATGGGCAGCGTATACGGTCATGCGTCCATCGTCTTCTGGGTAACAGTTGCGTTGGCAATTGGATACTGGGTCGCAGTCGGCATCGCGAGATTGGTATCCGCTTGGGGTAGGGGTTCCACCAGGATGGGCACAGGCTTGTGGGCCCGGGTTGAGAGTGCCGGGTTCATTCTCGCTAGCGCCATTAGCGGCGAGCGTTTGGCCAATTCTCCGGCACTCATGAGATACTGTGAGTTTCTGCGTTGCTGCGATCGCATATGTCTGCTCATGTATGTCAAGGTACACCCTCTTTGCGAGATATCATATTTCATACGCAGTGGTGTGCGGCGCTTGCAATGGTTGCCGTCGAATGGCCGGCCTTCGTTTGTATGTAGCGGTTATCTACTCAAGTCATGGTTTAGTCTGGCTGACATATGTCACAGACCCCCTTCTAGCGCAGACGGCCTGGTCTACGTTGACATTCAGTATGGGCGTCCTTGTAGAACGTAGTGCTGTACTGATCAAGCAAATGTAGACATCACGCTCGCGCAAGGCTCGACGGGTTCTCAGTCTCGCTGGCACCCCTTGACAGTACAGGCGTACGACCCCCCGTCCAACTTTGCCGCACAATTGAACAACGCGTCTTCGCCTCTGTACATTGATGCCGATGCGCCGAACGTCATCTTCGTGCTGCCGGACGATGCTACCCAGGCATCTCGTCGTTTGCATGGACCGTTGGCATCCGGCCTCAGATTTGTTTGGCATGTGCCTCGTCCTGTTCTTGGCAATTTTGGCTGGTACAGTCGCGCTGAGCATGCTGGTATGGGGGATCGATTGGATGGCCTCTCTGACGTTCAACGGAGGATCCCAATCAGCGGTTGACCGGCTCTCGGAGCCCTCGATATTCAGCCGGGAGCAAGGACCTGCTTGAAGGCGTCGGTCAAGGCGCGGACGAGCGATCGTTGAACAGCCACTTCCTATTGCGTTCGACTACGTTTTTCCCTGCCGGTCGACGATGGTGGCGACTCAAGAGCGGGTTCGTGACGTACCACAGCAATGTCCTGCACGGCAATCTAGTCCGTATCCTCATCTGGTTCCACCTCCCCGTCACGATCTTCTCCTGCTACCAAATGACCCTCGGACGCGAGACTGCATCTCTCGGATCTATCATCCTTGCTGCCATTTCCTTCGCCATCTTCTCCGTACTACTCCCTATCTTCCTTGTGGTCCGACTAACGCTCACCAACACCACGAAACTCTATGATGAAACATGGACACTCCTATCGCTCGGACCTCTCTATAACCATTATAGGCACGGTTCGCAGCTCTTCGCTGTCTCCTCTTCGCCACAAACATCGCGTTCGGGGTTACCATTGGATGTGGCCAGAGGAGTGGTACCGCTCAAGCCATCATCATCCTCGTTGTTGAGGTAGCGTCTGCGCTTGGCACTAGCGTGTGGCTACCTTGGGGTCAAGGCGCCAGCATGGGTCTCATCAGCTTCCTGTTCTGCGTTGCGAGAATAGTCATTGCTGTGCTACTGGTCATCCTGACGCCTATAGTGAGTACTCCTATGTTTCATCTCTCACATAAGCTCTGAAGTCCGCTATCTGCGTAGGTCTCTGTCGAAGCAGGTGCCGCACAATGGATCGCATATGCCATTCTGTGCATACTCGCGCTGATCTATCTGGCACTCCTACTCATGCTGATAGTGAAGATTGTCGAGGGCGTCATCCGGATCATTGGCGGCGTGGGCTTCCACAGAAGCAAACATGTCGTTGACAGTGGGTTGCTCGGGACGCTCGGCTTACTAGGCTGCTGCGGGTCTCGGAGGCCTTACCAGCGCAGGCCCCAAGTTGCCAAGCAACCCTCCACCATTCCATTAACGAAGCCGAGCCCGCCTTACAGAGACGCCACGCCGACGCCATCGGGTCCCCCATCAGTGCTGCGACCGGAGCACGCCCTGCAACCGTACAAGGAAGAGAGCGACGACGAAACAGGGTTCATCATGGGTGCTTGGCAGCCTTTCCCAGGACCTGGCTATAGCCCGGTCGATGACGTCCCTCGGTCGCCAGAGCAGTCGAAGTCGTCTTCTGGCTTCGCCCGGGTCGGTGGTGGTCGGGCGCACTTCGAGTCGCCGTACGCGATTCGGCCGGGCTCTGACCAAGCATTCCCGTCGACTGAGCGTGCCGAACGACAAGCGCCTTCCAGCAGTTTGGCACAGAGCTCGACAATAGAGTATTCGCCGCCACCTACGCCGTCGGTCGGAAGCGGACCTGGTCCCAAGAAAGCGGATGTCAATTACCTCCCTGCGGGCGCTGCACCCCCGCACACATCCGGACGAAGTCGCAGACAGCTATCATTGAGGACGCATCCGCCCTTGCGAACCTCCGATCGCAAGGTGCCGCTGCCGTCCCCTCTGAAGCAGTGGACACAGCAGAGGATTCGACACCGAAGAAGCGTTGGTTCAACAGGCGCAAGAGTCGGCGTATGAGCGAAGGTGATCTCATGTCGATGTCCGAACCGCCGGCTCAGGACACCGGCCGTTCCTTCGTCGTGGTCAGGAAGCAGAGGCCAGGTGTGCCACCCAGGGATGGGTCGAGTTCATCGAATCCGCGCGTGAAGGGGAGCCAGAACGAAAATCCTTTAGTGTTCTCCGCGGACCAGGATCATAGAGGATAGTTCACGTCTTCGCACACGATCTACACCCCTTATTATATTGATCTTTTAAATAGCGGACTATTTGTAGTGTATGCATGGGGTTGTACACATGGGACTTCGTATGTCTGGTCCGTAGCTAGTCCAGCATGTACTTATACATAATCGTCATCTTCGTCCTCGTGCACTGCTCCGGTACCACCTACCCAGAAGACCCGCCAATCCTCGAGGCCCTTCCGCACCCAGCCGTATATGCCCTGGTGTGCACGCACTCTGTCTGCGAGGGTCTGTTCAGACCATCCACTCTCGGCGGAATCATGGCTCGCGACAGAGAGGAACGCGTCAGGGCGTAGTATGGTCGACTCCAGCGACCGCCGACACAGAGATACCCAGTATCACCACCGATGTCTACTGATGCCCGTATCGGCTCATCGTCCCGCTTCTTTCCCTTGCGTTCTGCCTGGAGCACGAGGAAAGCGGAACTTCCTGGACCTCGATACCACTTTCACCGAATGCAACTACTTGCAGGAAGGCGGCGGTCCGTTCTCGTCCCGCGAAGGCATGCATACTCTGCAGCTGACGTCGGTCGGCTGGGAAGACCACACGAGGACACGGTATGGTGGTACGGCGGAGACGCTTGGAGGTAGTGGGTGCGGCACGACATGGGAGATCCTCCCGCGCGTAAGGACATACATGCTCGGAGCCAGCGGCCGACTTGTCCCCAAAGCAGGAGGCATGTTGAACTTCACCGGGGCCACCCAAAGCCTTTGTGTTCTTTAGCGAAGCCTCGTCCGTCCCATGAAGCCCGTGACCTGCGCCCAGGCGACATCGTGTTGGCGTTGAGCAGGTGCAGTCCCCCGCTCTCCTCGTACAAGTCGACCTCTCCGACGGCCGAGTCGGCGATACGAATGAGCCCCGCTTTCTTCTCGAAGATGACGAAGAGGCTGAGCTGAGTGGGATATCGATAGCTGTCAGGGCCTAAGGAGGCTATCCGCGAGTGTCGATCTCGCGAAACACCAGATTTGCGCGGGGAAACGTCCGATGCGCTGCGGGACATGGAGTCGAGCACGGACTGCTGGACAAAAGATATGCTTCTTGCTGTCAGAGGTGTGTAAAACTCCTGTACATACGCGTTAGCGTGCGGGCAGAGGAACCAAAGTGAGATAACGGACCTTGACTAGGTGGAATGCTCGTTCACCTTTCGGTGCTTCGTACAGGAAGATATTGGATTTGGTCGCCACAGCGAGTAGTACACCGCCTCTGGTACGCTGATTTTCATTGCGGTAATACTCGTAGAAGAGCACTGAGGTATTGTGCAAGCGGGAGCCAGGGGACGCAAGCGGGGTATAGTGAGCGGCCCAAAGCAGCGGGAGATCATGCATGTCGTCCATGGCGTCCCAAGAAGACCGCGAATCATCCGAGTCGGCCCGCTCCTCAGAAGGCCGTGGTGGGAGGCGTTTTGAGTACATGGGCGCATTTGCGAGGTCCGAGTAGGATGCTTGAGGTTCGACGGAAGAGTCTGGAGGGGTTTGCGGCTGCGCGATGGGCGACTCGATCACTAGGCTCCGGAGGCCCTTCGTCAGGCTGCTTTGTTGTCTGTGTCTCTTGGACAGTCCGTGTTTTCCAGAGCCATAGCCTGCCTGTCGCAGGTTCAATGTGTGCTGACCCTGTATACTGTTAGATGCATATCAATTTGCGGTGCATGGACGCTCACCTTTTGAGCAATTGCCCATTTGGCTATACTGACTAGGCTAGCGAGGTTATACATCCGGAGTGTTCGTATCCCCTCCTGTTCTTTCGAAGTCTCGTCCGGTACGGGACCTACGAGGGCAAGCACAACGCCCTGGGAGTCCCTTGACCCGTACTTTCCATCTCCAGCACGGACATCTGGTACACTCTAGCAGACAGCAGGCTCTCAGTAATTGTTGGAACAAACAGACAGTTGCGCGTGCGTACATCTCGCCCTCCCATATCGGCCTCACCTCCGCATCCGTCGGGCCTTTCTCCGTGAGTCCATCATCCGACCATTCACGCGGGAACATGTCGAGGACGGAGAGACCCCTTTCATGGCCAATCAGCAGTATCTGGTCGTTCAGCAGTGGAAGGAGACATCGTATGGCGGTGGTGGTGTGAGGGAGGAAGCGAGACCCGAACTGGTATAGCTTCAGCCGTGAAGGAGACAGAATCTCCGGGATAAGTGTCACGGGTGGCGAAGGTTCAGGGAGAAGACTAGGCGTCTTGTTTGGTGGAAGCGTGGTCGAGGAGGAGCCAGAGGCGGAGAGGTCGGTCTCGATGTGTAGACGGGGCGTAGGTGGAAGAGGTCGTGAAGACCGGGCTGCGTTCGAAGCCGTCGAGCCCGGTGCTGGAGGCAAAGGCTCTGCTTGCCGTGCGTCGATCTGCCGGGGAACTCAATGCACTGCAGACGACTCAAGAAGACGGCGAAGGACTCACACCTTCTCCCCACCCTCTTGCCCTCCGCCGCTGCAGATCCTCCGCGGTGGTATCCGCGTATCGCTCGGCAGCTCTGCAGGGACGTCTCAATCAAACTCTCGCGGGCGGACAGTGAGAACACAGGCGTACCTCTTCTCTATCCATTGCCTCCATCGCCCAAACCTACAGCAATGGCTCAGTCCTCGCCACTGGCGCCGAGCGGCACACTACCACTCACCTGGAGTTCGGGCCATGTTGCACGGCGAGATCATCGTATGTAGGCAGATCGCCGCTGCCCTGCTCGTCGCGTTCCGGGAAGTCTGGTGGCGGTTGGGCATCGTTCATGGTGGACGATAGCAGGTGAATGCAGCCCGAATGCAGTCAATAGCACGCCTAGCAACCGTGCCCCCAAATTTCAAAGGCCAGCGTCGATCACTAGAATAACACCCAGGCTTTACATCTATAGCAGTCCCTCAATTCATGGGTACAGCCGGGCTTTCCTGACCGGGTAACATCAAGGAAGCATCACGAGGCGGTGTTCCGCCCACAGCGTCTGTAAGTACAGATGAGAGACAAGAGACGGTGCGAATTCATTCGACAGCGAGAGCAATACACAAAGCATGTACAGTAGCGACGTGAACGTGTGATTCTACAGTATGTCCGTCCTGGAGACGCGCAGTGGTCCGCCGATCTGCCAGTCCACGCAGTGCGCAGGACCACCGGTGCGCTCACCAAATGCCAGGCCTGTCCACGTCGCCACAGCGCCAACAGCTACTCCCGCACCTGTGCAAGCAACCAGTGCAGGGAACCCCCCTCTCTGCGCCTGCTGATCGCACGCCTCATCCACCGCCTTCGTCTGCGTAGCCCCGATACGCCCAACGTGCCGCACGAGCTGCGCATCCTTCCCAATAGCCACTAGCTCCGCGTCCTCGTCTACGGGGCAAGGACCGTCGCGGTAAATCCCTTCTTCTTCAGGAAGGCGAGGAACCCTGGCATTCCTGCTTTCTCATGCTTCATGATGAACGCGCCGGGTTCTTCACGATGCTCTGGAGGAACTCTCGTGCTCGTCTGGCTGACACTGCGCGATAGAGTCGACCGCTGAGACATTGCTTGTGATGGCTCCGGTACCGGAGTAGCAGGTCGTGTGTCGCCTCCATCTTGTCCATGCCCGCAGGCGCATGAGCTGGGCCGAACGCGAGCTCCTGACTAGCCTCCGTGACGAGCTCCGTGGGGTCCCCGAGAACGCTTTCCGCGCGGTTTCCAGGAGTGTCGATGTTCAGCGCCTGCATGTCGTCCGTGAGCTGATGCGTCTGGTCATCCGAGCGTTTGCTCGCGACGACGGGACAGGCGGGTCGACGTGGGGGCAACCCGAGCGCGGATGGTTCTTGCGAGGTCGGCCACACCACTTGCATTCTGGGACCTTGCGCGGGCTGGGCTCGGGTGAGGGGCTGCTGCGATTGACACGTTGAGCCCACTCCTCGACCACTTCGCTTCTCGCGCGACGCGTTTGCATCCTAGTGCTGACCATCGACGGCTCAGTACACTTGAAGTGGAAGGGTGAGATCTGGGATCATACCTGACTGCAGGGCTCGTTTAACTGCTCAGAGAGTCAGAGATGGATCAGGGCGAGGATAGGGAACACAAGGCCGTTGCGTTGCACTACTCGCATGGCGTCGCCTTGTCTGCTCTTTCCGGCGGGACGCGCGGCAAGCTGTGCAGCGGCAGTGACTGAAAACGGCGCAGCAACAACCCGTAGGAGTAGACGAACAAGCCAGTCAGAGGGTCTTCCGTCGAGTCAAGGTCGCCCGGTCGAGAGTGGTCTCTGAGAGCGTTCGTTCTGCACAATCATGTTCGCCCGAATTGTCGGCGCTGTCCGTGGTTGTATGATTGCGGACTTGCCAATTTTGGGTTTAACCCCGGATGGAGGCTATACTATATTACTGAACTCCTCAGGGGCCCGAGTGCTCCCCGCGCGATCGCATGGACGATCACTCAGCGACCGGAGCATCCACTACGGCATAATCCCCATCGTACTCGCCTGCGAAATGGACCTGTATGCGATAAACATTGTTGCCTTGTCTGAGCTCTAGTATGATACTGTATGTGTTTGAAGCAACGTGACGAGTACGGAGTCCGCGAGGTTCCAGGAGAACGGTGCACTGAGAGGCAATGGTACGTCATGAGTCCTGGATTATTGGCTTGGCTGCAGATGCTTACCAAGATCGATGCTCCCTTCGCCAGCCGCGATCATCGCCTGCTGGAGATATTGTATTATTAATGCCTGGTCTGGTGAGGTGTGGCATGCGTGAATCTCCTTCAGACTTCGATCGCCCAGGACATGAATCATCCGGGGATAGGTCGGGAAGGTATATAAGCAATAATGGCCAGTCTATTTAGCTCACCACACTCCTCAGTACTCGCGGCTTTAATCCTCTCTCCTGCAACTCACGAACATGTCTGCCAGCGTCCCGAAGACGATGAGGGCCTTGACCACCCAACCCGAGCGGAAGGCTGCAGTCACGGAGGTCCCGTACCAAGCATTACCGACGATGAGATCCTCGTCAAGGTTGTGCGGTAGCGCAGAACCCACCGACTGGAAATGTGCGTCCATCTCTTGTCTCACTGTCTCCGACCTCATACTGAGACTTCCATAGTCGTCGAGTTCGTACAGAACCATGGAACCATCTGTGGATGCGACTGGTCGGGGAACGTCGTCCAGGTCGGCAAGAACGTACCTCGTACGCGATCGGTGACCCCGTCGCGGGCTTCCACCAGGGCGGAAGCTACACTGACCGGGGTGCCTTCGCCGAGTATGTAAAGGTAGAGCCCGACCTCACGTGGAAGGTGCCTCCGGGCACGCTCTCCCACGAGGAGACTGCTACTATGGGCTGCGCGTAAGTCCTCTCAATTGCTGGACGACAGTGCACAGAATACTCAGGATCAACATTGTAGTTTCTGGACTTCCGCCCAGGCCCTGTTCCATCCTACTCGTCTTGCATTGGTCGAGCCGCCCAACAAAGCGTCAGGGAACGAGTGGATCTTCGTCTACGGCGGTAGCAGTGCGTCCTTTACCCCGCAAAAGGAGTTTCACATGTTCTGACAAGTCTACGGTCTGACATTTCAGGTTCCGTTGGACTATATGCTATCCAACTCGCGCACCTTGCGGGCTACAAGGTCGTCACGGTCGCATCACCCAAACACCATGAACTCGTGAAGTCCCTCGGCACGGACGCCGTATTCGACGTAGGTGCCCGCTCATCTTAGGCTGAGCTTCGCTAAACGATAATGGGTCGGCAGTACAAAGACCCTGATGTGGTCTCGAAAATCAAAGAGGTGACTGGCGACTCGCTGCACGTCGGATTCGACACCATCTCCGTGCCCGAGTCGCAAGTCCTGACCGTCAAGTCCTTCGCGTCCGGACCTGGTAAGCTCATCGTCATCCAGCAGCCGGAGGACGACGCGAAGAAGGTGAACACGGAAGTTGCGATCGAACGTTCGTGCTCACTCTCATCCATACCTTGTTCCTAACATGACGCCCTGCGTTTCCAGACACCCTGATCTACACCGCTCTCGGAAAAGAGCTCAAGCTGGGCAATGGCTACCCTCCAATCCCGGAGGACCGGGCGCACATGGCTCAGTTCTTGAAGAAGGTTCCGGGGCTCGTCAGCTCTGGGGCGATCAAGCCAAACCCTATCAGGCTCTGGGAGGGCGGTCTGGAGGCCATTCCAGCCGGCTTCCTCTACATGAAGGAGGGCAAGGTCACCGGAGAGAAGCTCGTATACCGCGTGTAGATGGGGACTTTCACAGAGGGTTGCGACGTCTGTGGGAAGACGAAATGTATAATAGGAATAATGGTATTGTTCTCGATCGTCGTCTGACTTACAGTACTTTCGAGTTCGCTTCCGGATCCGGTCCGTCCGCGTTACGCTCGAAGCTTTGCTGTGTCGGAAGCTCTGAAGTCGCACTCAGAAACTCCGCCTCCGCGGCTGGCAATGCTGACTGTGCTTTGCAGGCAACTCCATTCGGGCATGGGTGTTGTCCTTGCCACTCCACAGTCGCGGTGCCGGTTATGTCGCTGCCGCCCAGTGCGGGCAGACCGACGGGCGCTTAATACAGTGGCACTGACATCATACGTACGTCTATACATACTCCCTCTCTTCACCGAACCGTGAAGAGTCCGCTCCGCTGCCTTATAAATGTCCAAATGTCGAGCCCGACAAGACTCCAACCTCCATTACCCCCTCACGCCAGTGTCCAAACGAGAACATATGTGAGTGCGCTCCTTGGTAACACCGCAACTAGCTCGCGCTGATGTCGTCTTCAGAAACTGGAAGCCGCATCATGTCGTCGTCTGTCCCGAAGACAATGAAAGCGTTGGTCACGCAGGCCAACAAGACCGTCAAAATCGAGGAGATACCTGTCCCGGAGATCGACGACTGGGAAATCCTCGTGAAAGTCGTCGCAGCTGCTTCGAACCCGACCGACTGGCAGTGTATGTCCATCTGCGGTTTCTCCTGTTCGTGTGGAGAGCTGAAGCGCCGGGTGCCCAGATATTGACGGTGTCACGAAAGTCGGCACGCTCAGTGGTTGTGACTGGTCCGGGCACATCGTCAAGCTCGGCAGCAAGGTCACGCAGCTGCACGCTACAGGACTGAAGGTCGGGGATCACGTCGCCGGGTTCACGCAGGGTGGGACGTACAAGGATCGTGGGGCGTATGCCGAGTATGTGAAGGCGACGTACGACCTCTGCTGGAAGGTACCGGAGGGCACGATCTCGCATGAACAGGCCGCGACTATGGGCTGCGCGTATGTATCATCTGTTTGGGAATCGGGGTACGACTCACATTCGTTATTGCAGCTATTGGACGGCCGTACAATGCCTCTTCCACCCTACCCGACTCGGCCTAGTCGAGCCACCCAGCAGCGCGAAGGACGAGTATGTTTTCGTCTATGGTGGAAGCAGTACGTGTCATCAACGGATTGCATCGTTTATATGGCTTTTGGTCACTCACGACTCTTCATTTCTAGGCTCCGTTGGCATGTACGCGCTACAACTTGCTCATGCAGCCGGATACAAGGTCGTCACCGTCGCCTCAACCAAGAACCACGCTCTCTGCAAGTCTCTTGGGGCGGATGACGTCTTCGATGCACGTGGAGTCTGTGCTCTTCCCTCGTTGGGCACGTCATTTACAGTCATTGCTTGATACAGTATAAGGACCCAGAGGTCGTCTCGAAGATCAAGGCGGCCACCAAGAGCTCACTGCACTACGCACTAGACACGATTTCGAAGGAGGCCTCCCAGATCCTCACGCTGAACTCGTTTGGCCCTGGCCAAGGAAAGCTGGTGACTATCCTGCCGCTGCAAGAGAAGGCTAAGCAGCTGCGAGACGACGTTCAGAAGCAATGTGCGTACTATGTCATCGAGACACTCACATTGAGCTGAGGCGCATTGCACAACAGTCACCCTCATCTACACTGCCCTCGGCCGCGAGCTCTACACTCCCCCCGGCGAGGTGAACCTTTACGGGAACTGGCCAGCGTCGCCTGAGGACCACGCACACATGGCCCAGTTCCTGTCGAAGACGCCCGAGCTCGTCGCCTCAGGCAAGGTCCAGCCCAACCCAGTCAAGCTATTGGAGGGCGGGTTGAATGCCGTCTCCGAAGGTCTGCAGTACTTGAGGGACGGCAAGAACAGCGGAGAGAAGCTCGTGTATCGTGTCGCGTAACTTGCGATTGTGGTGTGTAGGACCTAGGTAGTCAAAAGTCAGTTGTACAGTAAGTGTAAGACGTGATCCTCGCAACATGTATAGCACCTATCGTCAGAAAGCAGGCCTGCTACGTCGACCACTCGCACTAGTGTGATACAGGCTCCGGAACGTTGCGGCAGGGTGAGTCTCATGCTGCCAGTCAGTCGCATGGTATTCCAGCCTGAGTGCACGACAACTTGAAAGCGGCCTTGGTAGACGTACGGTTGTCACAAGTGCCAATCGTACCTTGAGTAATTATGTTCAAAATACGGATGCTGCATGCATATAGCACATCATGGCAGTACAGAGCGTATAGGCAAGGCCTGGTGAACATGTCAGAGTCAGGTCGCGTCCTCGAAGGTCGCGATCGGTCGATCTGAGATCCGAATTTGAGCAAACGTCACACGTGATTGGGCCTCATTTTCTGGCACTTGACATCGCAGTGCTGCACCGAAGCATTCGCGACTGGGTCCTTACTTGAAGTGGGTGTACCCCGCGAACCCCCAAACCCCTCTATTCTGCAACATACAAGATGGCCAAGGGCTCCCAGCTCTCTCAGCTGAAAGCGGCTCTCAATCAAGCGGGTCTGTCCCGTCCGCAACAGAATGGCAAAAAGAGGAAGCGCGCGGTGATGGAAGAGCGGGACAAGGAGAAAAAGGCGGAAAAGCTTAAGAACATCCAGCAGAGGATGAACCCTTCGACGTGAAGGTCACGACGCTGAAGCATGAAGTGGGTGGGCGCAAGATAACTGGCACTGTAGGCCGGCCCGCACAGAGCAAGCAGGCTGGATGGAACAGGTGCGTTCTGACACGCTTGAAAGCCATTCAATGGTACTGACTCGTTCTCGAATCTCAGAGGAAGCAGACACTCCTGAAGGAGCTTCAGGAGAGGAACCGCGCGGGAGGCATAGTCGATCGCCGGTTTGGTGAGAATGACCCGACTCTGACACCGGAGGAACGTATGCTGGAGCGATTTACGCGCGAACATCAGCGTGCCTCGAAGGGCGCCGCGTTCAACCTCGAGGATGAGGACGAGCTCACGCACTACGGCCAGAACTTGTCAAAGCTGGATGACTTCGACAACGTCGGACTGGGGCTGGATGACGACGAGGACGAAGACGAGGGCCGGATTGACCGGTCGACGGTCCAGCAGAGCCATTTCGGAGGCTTTGGAGACGAGGAGGAGCAAGACGAGGATGATGAGGTTCGTTGCTGTGCATCGACAGACACGCGCATACTCACTTTCAATAGCCTGCGCGGAAGAAGACGAAGGCCGAGGTCATGTCGGAAGTAATCGCAAGAGCAAGATGCACAAGGTACCATGATTTACTGTACTTCATTGCGCTTCGCTAACGACATCGCTCATAGATGCAACGGCAAACTGAACAAGAGGAGGACGAGAACTTGCGGCATGAGCTCGACCAACAGCTTGACTCCATCCGCTCCCTCTTTTCGCCCCAGATCCCTCCGCGTCGACATCTAAAGCACCTGTCGAACCGCAGCTCCCGCTGTCCCGAAGCCTCGGACGGACGGCGAGACAGATCAGGACAGGAGTACGATCAGTATGTTCGCGAGCTCGTCTTCGAGCAGCGTGCCAAGCCCAAGGATCGTACAAAGACAGAGGAAGAGATGGCGCTGGAGGAAAAGGAGGCTCTCGAGCGGGCGGAGCGCAGACGTATCCGGAGAATGAATGGCGAGTCTGAGGAGGGCGATGAGGAAGAGGGCGGGGCAAAGGGGGCAGTGAAGGGCAAGCGCGCCAAGCAGAAAGGAGGGGACGATCTGGAGGATGACTTTATGAAGAGGATGAGTTTGCAGGTTTGGGCGTTGGACTTGGCGCGGCTGGTGTGAAAGAGAGCGAGGAGGACGATGATGATGAGATGGGTGAGGGCGAGAGTGACGAAGAAGACGAAGAGGAGGACAGCGACGAGGAGGAAGAGGATGGCGAAGAGGAGGATGAAGAGGTTGCCTCCGATGATACTGGCGACATCGAAGCCGAAGGAGGTGAATCTGAGGCTCTAGTGACCTCTGGTAAGAAGAAGGTCGTGCATGGAAAGAGCCCATCAAAGGAATTGCGGTTCACTTTTCCGTGTCCATCGAGCCATGACGAGTTCTTAGAGCTTGTGGAAGACGTCGAAGACAAGGACGTACCCACCGTCGTTCAGCGGATACGCACGCTACACCATCCGAGTCTGGCGGAAGATAACAAGTTCAAGCTCCAGGTTCGTGAATATATCCTCCGTCGATTGGTGTATTCCTCACTAACGTCGTCGCTGGTCACCAGGGTTTGACGAGCGTGCTGGTTGACCACATCCTATACATTACCTCACCACCGACACCACGCCTCACCTTGCTATCGTCGCTCGTACCCCATCTCTACGCCCTCACCAAGTCATACCCCATCCAGTCAGCGGAGCACTTCATCTCCAAGTTGAACCTGATGCACAAGAACCTCAAACGTGGCCTCTCGCGTGGTGCGACAGAGCCTGATGCGAAGACATGGCCAGGCCTGCCCGAGCTTTCTCTATTACGGGTCATCAGCCAGATATGGCCGACAAGTGACAAGAACCACAGCGTCGTTTCCCCAGCTCGATTGCTGATGGGCGCATACTTGGGCCTCGCCAGGGTCCGCTCGTTACAAGACTTGACGAGCGGCTTGTTCTTGTGCACGCTGTTCTTGCAGTATGAGCAGCTCTCGAAGCGTTTTGTGCCCGAGGCGATCAACTTCCTTGCCAACGCTACTCTGCACCTCGCGCCGCACAAGTTTTCGGAGCGATCTGCGGTGCCAGGTTGCTTCCCGTTTCCCGACTTCGGGTCCGAACATTGTCCTTCGTTCACGCTTGTTGGCAAGAAAGTCAAAGATGCAACTATCAAACCGCCGTCACTGCTTCGATTGTTGAACGCTAATGACTTCAGCGAGCAAGACAAGGTGGATCTCCTAGGCTTGACACTGGATCTCCTTGGGCGCTTCGCAGACATATACAAGGGCTTGGACGGTTTCATCGAGCTCTATGAGCCGATCTCGGAGCTACTTACTGGCGTTAAGTCCAGTAGCCTTCCATCATCCGTATCTGTGAGTACTCGATGCTTTTCGTTGCTTACCATTGCTAATGATCGCAAAAGGCACGGGTGACGTCCTTGCGAGACACGTTCGGCAGACTACTCAAGTTCTCTCAGCAAGCACGGCGTCCCCTGACTCTTCAATCACACAAACCCATTCCTATCCCCACATACGTGCCGAAGTTCGAACAGTCGTCGTCTAATTACCTCAAGAATCGCGATCCTGACCACGAACGGAACGAGGCGACGAAGCTGCGCAGGCAGTACAAACAGGAGCGGAAGGGTGCGATCAGGGAGTTGCGCAAGGACGCTCGGTTCTTGGCGGCGGAACAGCAAAAGCAGCAGAAAGAAAAGGATAGTTCGTATAACGAGCGGATGAAGAGGGTGCTCGGGTCACTGGAGTCGGAGCGAGCAGAGGAGAAGGCTATGGAGCGAGAGAAGATGAAGGACAAGAAGCGGGCTGGTCGGAAGTAAACGTTCTGCTGCACCTACATATTTTTACGCAGATCTGCTTCTAAATCAGAGGCTCGAGTCTCGGGTTGTCCCAATGCGTCGCGGAAGACCCTGAATTTAAGACAGTATGGTGGCTTTGAACATCCGTGCTAGATCATGAGCTTTGACAACTGTCGGTACTACATAGGGTGTACTCAACAGGAATCGGACTACGTATGGATTTGTTGTTTTTTGCACGCTCTTTGTGACTATGGGCAACGACTACAAAAAAGGCGTCCTTATGTCACGTGACCAAGACGCGTCAAAAGGTGGACACGACCTGCATAGACCTGCATCCTACCCTCTTCGCGTCGTAGCATTCTGCACCGTGTGTTCACGAGACTCAAAGTAATCAAGTGGACAGACATATATGTAATGAAGTATGTAGAGGGTAATATAGAGCTATTTGTAGTACATTCTATGTACAACGGACGGATGTAAACTATGTACTGTTTACTGGAGCATGCGAACAATGTCGCTAGGTCTCTGTAAATTAGCTGAGGTAGATTACTAGTGTGTAGGACAATTGCAGTGCTTGTATCTATCAGCCGCTGTCTGTCTCATGGTGATAGGCTGCGCGGAACGTTCACGAGGGTCCAGATAGCTGCATGCGGCGTATATGTGTCCCTCGAGTCCTTCTCTGTGGCTTGAATCCAGCACCAAGACGAAAGCACCGCACGCGACACCATACGAGTGCAAACGAGTGTGAAAGGACTGCGTAAATGGAGGACGTGAGGTGAGGAAGAGCAGAAAGCGCGCGTGTCCGCGACGCGGGCTTTGATTACGTAACACGCGCCGCGCTCCCATCGCGCGACGAAAAGGTACACCTGGGGCCTTCCACATTGCAGTCGATCCTCCAGCAACTTTACGACGGGCGATGTACAATGCCTCTCGACAAACTCTCTTGGATGAAATTTCTCAGTTTAGATTCATGTTGATATTGTCGTGACTATGCAGTTTCGAAAAGATCTATCCAAGACCCTTTGTAGACATCAATTTTACACGATTTATGATATTTTTTCCAGAGGAGAACGAGAGGGAGAAAGCACCTAGAAGTGTACACTGGACGAAAATTACGATATTTTCATGTGAAAGATTGTAAACAAGAGGCCAAACAATTTTTGTGTATTTCATCTGAGAATGATCTTCACAATGATTGAAAATATCTTTGCTCTCCTTCTTAGTGACAGATTGGAAAAGGATTGATGAGAGCTTTGAAATCATTTGATTGCTGTCATACATGTGTCTTTCTGCCTCAATGATTCAATAAGTATATGAGACATACTAGCAATCAATTTGACTCTAATGATTACAGAAAGATACAAAACCAGAACTTGAAGTCCTGATTGTCAATCCTTGCTTGAACTTTCTGTTGAGAATGATAGTGATTTGGTTTTGAATCTTATGGCCTTGAAGTATTGAAGAAAGATGGTAAACAATGATCATAGAACAGGATTTCAAATCTTATGAACAGATTTTGTGGCCAATGATAAGAAGGATATTATAAATCCAGTCTCTATCAGTGTACATCTTGCTACAGTGCATATTGTGTCATGTTCTGCATATGTTTACTAGGTTTTATCATGAATGATTTAAAAAAGATTGCAGACATTTTTCTCTATCTTTTGGCAAGAAGGATCACTTTATTATGCTAGATGGCCAGGCATCATGGTTGTATGTTACATCTGTGATCCAGCTGTCATTCATTCAGAGATCATTAGCTTTGAAAGATACATAATGGATTGTCACACCCTGTTATGAATCTTACAGCTGTAACATGTACTCGAAAGAGATGTAACTGGCTGTCACACCCTGTTATGAATCCTTTTGCCATCATGTTCCATGAAGGATGTCAAAATGATTGTCACACCCTGTTATGAATCTTTTTGTGATCACTTTCCTCAAAAGATACATAAATGATTGTGACAGACTGTGAATTTGCAAGGGGTTTAATCCAGTCACAAATAGAGCCATCATAGCAGCAATCATGTACAGCTGTGGACACTGTGCCACTGTGGTGGTCCCTGCCAAACAGAGGCTATGAATGGTCTGTGCCACATGCATTCCATATATGTCATTCTCTTTTGTTCAATCAGGGTCAGCATTTACCCCCATTCACAATGTACACAGAAGTGCAGAGTACAACACAACTTACTTCCATGTGTAGTGTGTGGTGCAGGAATGTATTGTACATGCTACAATACACACTGAGATGTACATTGTGAGTGGCACAGCACATTGATATAGTTCAGCCAATGCAATGTACATGTGGATGCACATTGCATTGGCTGAACTATATCAATGTGCTGTGCCACTCACAATGTACATCCCAGTGTACATCGTAGCATGTATGATACATTCCCACATACATTGGCCTTGACCAAGCAGGCCATGCTCTATTTGACTATGTACAATGTATATCCAGATGTGCATCACATTCATTGAAGTACATCAATGTGCTGTGCCACTCACAATGTACATCTCAGTGTGTATTGTAGCATGTACAATACATTCCTGCACCACACACTACACATGGAAGTACTGTAGCGAACCCCACAACCCGGATGGGGGTGTGACGTGTGACAGGCTGTACACGATCCGGCGCAGCGGCGGGGACGCGTGTGACGTGTGATGCGCCCCCGGATGGCGGTCTTGTCGCTGTGCCCACCGCAGGCGCCGCTCCTACTTAGCGCCTAGCGACAGTGTTGGCGCCGGCGGCGGGGTCGGGTGTGACGAGTAACATGACCTCCTCGCGGCGGCGGGCGGCGGACTTGTGACAGGTGACATCCGGGTTGTAGGGTTCGCTACAGTAAGTTGTGTTGTACTCTGCACTTCTGTGTACATTGTGAATGGGGGTAAATGCTGACCCTGATTGAACAAAAGAGAATGACATATATGGAATGCATGTGGCACAGACCATTCATAGCCTCTGTTTGGCAGGGACCACCACAGTGGCACAGTGTCCACAGCTGTACATGATTGCTGCTATGATGGCTCTATTTGTGACTGGATTAAACCCCTTGCAAATTCACAGTCTGTCACAATCATTTATGTATCTTTTGAGGAAAGTGATCACAAAAAGATTCATAACAGGGTGTGACAATCATTTTGACATCCTTCATGGAACATGATGGCAAAAGGATTCATAACAGGGTGTGACAGCCAGTTACATCTCTTTCGAGTACATGTTACAGCTGTAAGATTCATAACAGGGTGTGACAATCCATTATGTATCTTTCAAAGCTAATGATCTCTGAATGAATGACAGCTGGATCACAGATGTAACATACAACCATGATGCCTGGCCATCTAGCATAATAAAGTGATCCTTCTTGCCAAAAGATAGAGAAAAATGTCTGCAATCTTTTTTAAATCATTCATGATAAAACCTAGTAAACATATGCAGAACATGACACAATATGCACTGTAGCAAGATGTACACTGATAGAGACTGGATTTATAATATCCTTCTTATCATTGGCCACAAAATCTGTTCATAAGATTTGAAATCCTGTTCTATGATCATTGTTTACCATCTTTCTTCAATACTTCAAGGCCATAAGATTCAAAACCAAATCACTATCATTCTCAACAGAAAGTTCAAGCAAGGATTGACAATCAGGACTTCAAGTTCTGGTTTTGTATCTTTCTGTAATCATTAGAGTCAAATTGATTGCTAGTATGTCTCATATACTTATTGAATCATTGAGGCAGAAAGACACATGTATGACAGCAATCAAATGATTTCAAAGCTCTCATCAATCCTTTTCCAATCTGTCACTAAGAAGGAGAGCAAAGATATTTTCAATCATTTTGAAGATCATTCTCAGATGAAATACACAAAAATTGTTTGGCCTCTTGTTTACAATCTTTCACATGAAAATATCGCAATTTTCGTCCAGTGGTACCTCTTTGCGCGGCCACTTTCGAGACGCGTCGGGGACGTAAGCGCCCGGACGCGGCGGAGTTTAAATTGTAGGGCGTTGCCCATACTCACTCTTTGTGAGGAGTTGTTACGATCACGTGTGCGTGTTGAAGCGACGCGTCTTGCCGCCGCAAACGCGTTGGGCTGAACTTGTCCTCGACAATCATCTCGGACCCACACCATTGGCTCAAGGCCTACCACACTGCCAGCGTCGACTCTGTAACAACTCGATCAATGTCTTCATGAGTCTACCCAACCCCACACAACTACCATTTCCGACGTTCGGGAAGACAGACGACACGAGCCCGACCGGTGGTGCTGCTGAATTCTACCAATTCCTGCAGCAAGTACTCAAGACAATCGACGACGATGATCCATATATTAGGGACGAACTGGATGCATGGCGTCGAACGATAACTGCCGTCGCGGACAATGTGTTTGGCGACATGCCTTCTCCAGAGCAGATGCCGTGGCACTCAATGCACGAGAAGCTCAAGCTAATGGAAATGTCGCTCGAGGTGATACAGCGCGGTGCGCTGGCGATTGACCGCCTATACTCAGAACCAGATGATCTTGCGCTAGGGATCATGCATCAACTTCTGCAGATCGGTCTGGTATGCGACCGCTGGACAGAAGTGCCGATAGATCGACAAGAGAGGTATCTGAACCCCGAGGATATGCGGGAAAAGGTCTTGGTCGTCAGTCAGGCGGTTCTCAAGTCGCTTGCGAAGACAAATCAACCACGGATCGATAAGGAGAAAGAAAAAGAGATGAACAGAGAACGCGGGAGTTCATCCCCTGTGTACGAGATAGAAAGACGGATTCTCGATGAGTACCTGACTGTCTGCCATGGCATGTCGTTCACATATAGCGTACTTGTCGGTCACTGACTGCTTCTCAGAGATACATACCTTGACCGTGGTCAGTGAATACCCGGTCAAGGTCGCGTTCTTCAACACACAGCGCTTCTACACAATGATGGAGGTATGTCTTCTAGGACTGACTGCCAGGCTTGTCTCATCTTCACGTAGCAGACACCGGATGGTACGCGATTCGTCGAACTGGACACCCCGCTCAGCTTGATGCGTCTGCTGGTATTCCTGTGTGAACTATGCATTCGCACATCCTTCATGTCGACCGGTTCTCAATGGTATATGTGCGACCTAGCTCGCAAGGCGGCATCTCTGGCCGACCGCACGCTAGATCTACTGCTATCGGCTACACACAACATTTCGATGACCAACAGGGTCGTGCTGTTAACTCATGTGGCGACTGCTGTCCTCTCCAATCCGATGGAAGGCGCAGCACCTCGCGGTATCCAAGACACAATTCGCTCGCGTCTCATGCTATTTCGACTGCAAATTGGTCCTTCTGATTCTTGGAAGTTTTTCGATGCATGTATGCAAGAAGTCTTCCAGACGTCGACCTCGTCATCACCGATGGAGGATATACAGCCCGTCCTCGTGTTACTTGGGACCGAACAATGGGGCGAAGAGGGTAGTGGCCTCAGGGTGCGCGCACTCATATACGTCAACAATCATGAAGCTGATATAATCATCAGGCACTTGCAGAGGCATACCTGCTTCATGTAGCGGCGTCTCAGCCCGAAAGTACGTTACGCAGCATACTGGACGTACTGGACACACCAGAAAAGGCGCTATATTTTTCGTCCCTTTTGCAAGCTGTCAAGGCGCGTCGACGTTCGTCGGACAGCACTAAGGATAAGGCGTGTGGTGCTACGACGAGCCCGAGTAACGCAAACACTGCCTGGCGAATGCTCATCAGGAAGAATGTTGAAGCTATCGTCGAGCCCGACGCGGTTGATTGGATGGATGACGAGAGTTCTTTCTCGGACGCGCAGTATATGGCCAGGGCGCTCCAGGAAGTGGAAGACAGGTATCAGAAGTGCGCGGCATCCGTGTTCCTCTCATGCAGCTCACTGATCGGAACATGACATTACAGGTCATTATACAACACCACCGCCATGGGCCGCGAAATGCTCGCGCGCTCGCTCGGCAGGCTACCTTGCACACTTGTGCACGGTGATATAACAGAGTGCCACCTCTCAAGCAGCAGACCATCAATCGATGCCCTTGGCGCGTTCATGGCCGTCGCAATCCCGCTTCTGGATGGTGCAGTCGACGAGGTCACACCCAGAGTCCGCAAGGCAGTGTTCAGCTCCCTCGCGCCGACATTGAGGCACCATACCTCAGGCTTTGGTGGCAGATTGGAGAGGATAGCGGAAATCATCACACGAGGGATGAAGGACAAGGATCGTAGCGTCCGATTGTGCGCAGGGTGAGCCGATTTGTCTCATGTGGTAGGAGCAGGAATATTGAATCATGGATGTCCAAGTCAATCATTAGTGGAGCTGGTCAGATTATATCAGGGCATAGGCAGCGGCGTGTTGAAGCGCACAGAGCCACTTTTCGCCACGATATTCCGGATACTCGAGACCACGGACGAGCGTGTTCGAGAGACTACCATCGTTACTGTTGGACGTATTGGCAGGTTCGTTATGTCGTAAAAAAGGTTCCCATATCGATGGCTCACGGCCTTCGCAGGATTGCAACGCCTGAAGTCCTAGGCCAAGTAATTTGTTGCCTGATCTCCCAACTAGGTCAACGCAGTCCTTTGATGAAAGGTACAGCACATACGCAGGTAAGCAGCATAGTATGCGTCTGTTCGTTTCGTTGCTCACCGATTTGGCGCGTTCCCAGTTGCGACGCTTGGCAAGCCTGCACAAGAAGACCCCATACGCCCTTGTCTCTCCTTACATGGTGCAAGTCGCGCCCTTCATTCTCTCGAAGCTTTGCACACAACCGATGCTGCTAGCCGAGAGCTGCAGATTCCTGTCGCTCAGGTCGGATGGTTTTGTATCCGCAACGCTACATCACACCTTGCCTCAGCTGTTCGGCACGTGCAACGTCAAGGCGTTAGAGGCGGTCGCTCGCGAGACTAGGGAGCGCATCTCGCAGCTTTTTTTGCAGTATTCGCACCAGATCCTGGCATATGCATTCCGCCTACAGGGGCCAGGAGCATCCAACAAAGTTCTCAACTTCATTGTGACGTTGCTTAGGGAAGCGTCTCAGCAAGCCCTCGAATTGGACCTCTCGAGTCTAGTAGGCAGCTGCAAGATACCGCTCTTAGCGGAGTTGATCACCGTGTTGGGTGACGAGGATCCGGATCAAGCCGAATATGTGAGTTCTGTGGTAAGATCAGTTAGCTCTCGCTGACCAGGAATCGTCGCAGGCTAAGCAAGCACTCAAAAAAGTGGAACGCGCACTACGGTCTCAAACTACCAGTTCCAGGTCCCCCCTGCGCAGAACCTCAGTGCCTTCCTCAAGCCGCACATGCTCGGCATCATCACCATCCTCAACGACCAGCTGCAAGACGTGTACGGCAAACGCACACTGGAGTCAAAGAGGACGATTGTCCGTAGCTTGGGAGGCTTCATCCGGGAGATGGGCCCTGCAATCGCGACTGCTGCCCCACAGGTGAGCCTGACAGCTATGATCGTAGTTCAGATAAAGCTCAGGCTACTTCTAGATTATGGCCACGTTGCAGACAATGCTCGTCATACCGCAACTTACCGACGTGACTCTACAGAGCTGGCGCGAATTCCTAGTCACTTTGGATCCCCAGGATCTAGGCCCCTACGTCAGCCCGACCAGCGCGTCCTTCGTCACATACTGGTCCACCTTCTCTTTGAATGGCAAGGAGGATGCCAAAGCATGCCTCGACTACATCATATGCGACATGGGCGCGAAGCTCGGTGCCTCTCTGGACGACGTGGTCGATCTCACATCGATCCCTCAACTAGCTGCAGCTCAGCGGACATTGGCCACTTATCGCCAGGCGTGGGGATCACGGGACAAGCTCGACAATATTTTGAACCGTTCTGCCAACGAAAACCTCACCGTATGCATGCAGGCGCTGCGAGAACTGAAGTCATTTATGACAGTGGATGACCCGAAGTTCTTGCGTTCTCTAGCATCGGGAGATGTCTTCGATCCTCTCGTTGGCCGGATCGTGACGACACTCTTTACTGCTGCCTGTCGTGACGGAGAAGGTAGTGAATCTCTCCGTATGTACGCATTTGAGTGCATGGGGATCCTGGGAGCGGTCGATCCGGACAGGTTCGAGATTGGTTCCAACGGCACGAGGATGGTGGTCTGGGAGAACTTCGTCGACGAGGCCGAGTCGTTTGCATTTGTCTTACATCTTATCGCAGACGTTCTAGTCGGGGCATTTCGTGCGACGAGCGATATCAAGTACCAAAGCCACCTCGCGTATGCGATACAAGAACTGCTGCGTTTCTGCAAGTTCTCCCCGGGCCTTATCGCTGCCCACGGGACGTCCACCTCTATTCCTCTGAAGGTTCGCGTTCGTTGGAACAGCCTTCCGAAGCACGTTCTCGAAACAATCTCGCCGCTTCTTTCGTCTCGCTTCACGCTTGATGCTGGCACACCCGGACCAGTCAAACATCCAATATACCCGTCCATGGAGACTTACCGCGACTGGATTCAGTTATGGACCAGCCATCTTCTATCCAGAACTTCCGGTGACCGAGCAACGACTATCTATAGTGTTTTCTCTGCCATCGTACGCAACAGGGATGTGGGTGTCGCACGGCATCTACTTCCGCATCTAGTTCTGCATGTCCTCGTATCTGGAGACGAGGACGACGTGAGCAATGTTCGCAACGAGCTGCTTGTTGTCCTCGAAGACCAAGTAGATGTCAATTCTCACTCTACGTCCGATAAGAAGCTTCTCAGTGCGCAGGTAAGCAAGCTTGTCTCACTTACATTGCACACTATTACTGACGCGACTGGTGGACTGGATGCAGACAGTCTTCTTGCTCCTTGACCACGTTAGCTACTGGCGCTCTGTTATCCCGCACAAACTCGCCAAGTGGAAGGATACCCCCAAAGATAAGTCAGGGGCGAAGTCAGCGCGTCAAATCGCCGAAACAGAGAAGGCACTCGTCATAGTGGATTCGTTGTTGTCGAATATCGACCAGGACTTGATGGCCAAGGCAGCACTACAATGCAAGGCATACGCTCGGTCTCTCATGAACTTTGAACGACAGATACTGACTTTGCGAGAACGGGAAGCAAAGGAGAGCGACATCCACAAGTACTACGAACGCTTGCACGAAATCTACGCCCATCTGGATGAGCCCGATGGGATGGAAGGCATCTCCACACTCATCTTGTCTCCGTCGCTGGAACATCAGATCCGTCAGCACGAGAGTACCGGTCGTTGGACGTCCGCACAAAGTTGCTGGGAAGTCCGCTTGCAAAACTCGCCGGATAATCTTGAGTTCCATCTAGGTCTAATGCGATGTCTGAGAAACTTAGGCCATTATGGTATGATCATGCTTTCACCGTCTTATGTATGCTTCTGATATATTGACCTAGACACCTTGCGTACCCACGTCAAAGGCATCATCACCCGCAATCCTGATTGGGAGTCGCACCTCGTCGGCTTCCATGTCGAGAGTGAGCTTATGGTGGGAAACTGGGATGAAGTACATCAACTCATTCACAATTGCGAAGTCGACGCATCTTCCGTTCTCATTGCCCGTGTCCTCTTGGCTCTCCGCGCGGGCGATAGTGTCGCTGTGTCCGACGCACTCTCGACAGCTCGCACGTCTCTGGGGTCCCCCATCATGGCTGCTGGTCCTCGAAGTTACCGCCGATCATACGAAGCCGTGCTTGACCTGCATCTAGTCCACGAATTGGAGACTATCCACAAAGTTGTCTCGACCTCTCTGCGCGCGGGCCGGGCGACAGACGATCTAGGTGCCTTGTCTTCAGAGCTTTCTTCCCGCCTCAACTCTACGTTGCCCACATTCCGCACTCAGGAGCCCATTTTGAGTATGCGGAGGATCGCATTTGCATTGACGTACGTTGTTGCTGCCAACGAGCTTGTCGCGCAGCTGTTATGTTGACCCATCTGCCAGCTCTACCAGCAGCCGAGAGATCAGAGATATCATAGGGGAGTCATGGTTAGCAACCGCCAAGATAGCCAGGAAAGCGGGCCACTGGCAAACAGCATATAGTGCAATGCTTCAAAGCCAACAATGTGATATGGCATCTTGTTTCCTGGAGAGTGCAAGGCTTGTCAAGGCGAATGGCGAGCCCCTTCGTGCCCTCCAAGAATTGGAGAATCATATGCAAGTTGCTGGCATGCTGAAGGATGTACAGGACACGTTGAACAACGACGTAATCGACCTTACCACTGACAACGCCGGCGGTCCAAACATCGCGTCGAAAGTGCGCCCATTACATTAGCTACTTTCATCAATTCTAACTTGGTCAACAGGCTCAGTTACTCCGAGCGAGATGGATGTACGAGGCTGACCGTTACGAACCCACCTATGTGCTTTCCGCCTTCACAAGCGCAGTCAAGTCCACAGAGAAGTAAGATTGATCTGTATTGAAACGTCTAGATGCACTGATGACCATATAGATGGGAGAGCGCTCAGTTCTATATGGGCTGGTTCCACGACGATATGTACAAAGGCTTGCAAACCGAACGTGACAGAATAGACAGGTATGCTATATTCACGTGCTATAGACTGGTTTCTGACAGATAGACAGAGGCATGAGGATGAACCTCCATACCGTCAGAGCGTATACAAGAGCCACCAAGTTTGGCTCGAAGTTCATCTATCAGACAGTACCGCGACTTCTCACTCTGTGGCTTGACATGGGAGAACACCCGGAGATGTCCGTGCATAGAAACTATGTGTACATGAACACGGAGATTGAGAAATCGATCAAGACGATACCCGTGTACAAGGTGTGTATTGCGTTTGTCCATAGGGGCTACATAATTGAAGCAAAGTCAAGTGGTACACAGCCTTTCCGCAAATCGTCTCCCGGGTCGGCCACAAAAATGAGATGGTCTACAAACTGTTGTCTCTGATTGTCTCAAGGGTCATTCAAGAATACCCGAAGCAATCACTATGGCTCTTCGTCTCTGCTGTCAAGTCCACTAAAACGCAAAGATCCCAACGGGGAAGGGACATCCTGAATCGATTGAAGGTGTGTACTATTGGGTCATCACGACTCACAGACAAACTGATGAGTCCATTTGCAAAGGCCGCTGACCGAAGAGGACGCCTCGGAAGCCTAATTGACGAGAGTCTGCGCATGACTGACCAGTTGCTCGAGCTATGCGTTCGTCCCGTGCCCGATTCTAAGAGACTCTGCAACATGCCGAAGGAGTTTCCTGCGCTGTATCGCCTGGCCCCGTCACAACTGATCATCCCTCTGCAAGACTCCTTGACGGCTAGCGTCCCTCCCGCGTCCGTATCTGACTCTGCCCATCAGCCTTTCCCCCCGAACGCACCCACCATTGAGGGTACGCGCTATGTACCGCCTATTACTGTCCATGACCACTGACCCCTGTTCGCAGCATTCCTCGACGAAGTGGAGGTCATGAAGTCTCTCGCGAAGCCGAAGAAGATCGCTCTGAGGGGAAGCGACGGACAGATATACATGTTCCTCGGCAAGCCGAAGGATGACCTGCGGAAGGACGCCCGTCTAATGGACTTCAACACGATCATCAACAAGCTCCTGAAGGCCAACACAGAGTCGCGGCGCAGGCAGCTTGGTGCGTCCTGTCTCCTCGTCTACGATACTGCTCTTGACCGCTGCATACAGGCATCCGGACTTACGGCGTCGTCACTTTGAACGAGGAGTGCGGGTTCATCCAATGGGTTCCAAACACAGTTCCGATACGACCTATTCTCAATGAGTTATACGAGAGGATAGGTCTCAAGGTTTGGGTGAGACATTCGTTTTGAGCCGACGTACACACACTTTGACCATCTACTGTTGCAGACCCCAGACATGAACGTCATCTTCGCGCACATCAAGACGTTGAGCACTGACAAAGAGGCCGCTTCGTACTTCGAGCAGCATATCCTGTCTAGGTGAGTACGTCCGGCTGGGGATGTCATGTTGACTGACCTCGCATAGGTATCCGCCTATGTTCCACATCTGGTTCCTCGAACAGTTTCCCGAACCGACTGCATGGCTGTCTGCTAGACTCGCGTATAGCAGGACGGCTGCGGTCATGTCGATGGTCGGGTTTATTCTAGGGTAAGTTTACAGGCACTCGGGTTATCATGACGTGCTGAAGGCCCGCAAGACTCGGTGACCGGCATTCTGAGAACATACTTCTCGACACAACCACGGGAGACGTCGTACACGTAGACTTCAACTGTCTGTTCGAGAAGGTCAGCCATCTGTTTACTTGGACCCTAGGCCCCACACTGACCGAGTCGGACAGGGCAAACAACTGGAGACACCGGAACGAGTTCCTTTCAGGCTGACACAGAACATCGTCGACGGTTTCGGCATCGTCGGAGTGGAAGGTGAGCAAGACTGAGCTCTGCTTTGCGTTTTTGACAGTCGCCCGTAGGTGTCTTCCGGATTGCGTGCGAGGTCACAATGCAGCTGCTCCGAGACAACAAGGACACGCTCATGAGTGTCCTGGACGCCTTCATCCACGACCCGCTCGTGAATGGGAGGACGAGAAGCGTAAGAAGGTATGTCCGCTTCCTGGCGATCCTACCACTTCGCTCACCCACTGTCTCCGGCCTAAAGGAACGTGAGACATTGAGGCGTAACAAAGCGGGTGGCGCCAATGCTAACAAGGATGTCAACGCCACCCGAGCGAACATCGACCTACGCAAGCTCGCCCTGGATGCGCTTAGTCCCATTGCCAAGAAGTTGAACGGTATCTATACGACGAGTCCCGAGCGGCCGGAGAAGGAGACGTCGACGAGCAACCTTGTCGAGATGCTAATTCGACAAGCAAGCAGTAATGCGAACCTAGTAAGAGTGTTTGTTTTGTGAAGGGAAGCGTCACTGACCCGGTGAACAGGCGAAGATGTATCCAGGCTGGGGACCGTGGCATTAGGAACTCCTCTGCACAGTGTACTCTGTGCATCCTCTGCTGTATTTTTGATCGAAAAGGGACATTGTATCATAGGCACGTCGCTGTACCATGGTCTGTATTGCTACACTATCAGTACATAATATACACCGTTATGCATCACGTATCAATCGACTGAATCGCCCCTAGCCTCGAGTAGACGCTTGAGCTTTTCAAGCTCTTTTTCCTTCTCAATGAGTCGCTCTCTCCACTTGTCACTCTCAGCCACGACAGCCTTCCGCGCAGTCTCGAGACGCTCCGCCTCATCACGCTCCATCTGCAGCGTGAACTCCGGCACACCGCCCTTCGATGCCTCCAGTGACGCCGGGTGAGCCGTATGGAAGGGCACCGGTCGCGTCTTGTGCCTTGGAAGCGGAGTGGGCGGGTGTGCAGTGAGGATGTTGAGGAAGGATTGGAACGGGTCGTGGAAAACAATCTCATCGTACTGCCAAGAGTGCACCGGCCCCATCTTCATGGCTTGGTCAAGAGGTGGTATTTCTGGCTCGCCGGAGCCGACGGCGGTCCAGGGGTGCAACTTGAGGTGATGGTAGGCGACGACGGCCTTCTCGCCGGACTCGGGACGAAGTTTATACGGATTTGGATCTCGAACTCTCCCCATCTGCGCGCCGCTGATCAGCACGTAGATATAAATAACACTCTTCCGCGTGCGTACCCTGTTTCTGTGATCTCGAACGGTGGCTTGTCAAGCGCTGCGCCGAGAGAGTTAGGATGGTCGCTTTAAGGCAGGAATGTGGCCACTCACCTCGCGTAGGATTCGTGTAGGTGTCATGTAGCTTGAAAGTCACCCGTTTAATGAAATAGGTCAGGTCATCCTTACCCCCACAGTCTCAGAGTCGGCGGAGGCTGCGCTGCGAACCGCGACGGTCCACCGATGAGTATGGTCCGGGGTCGGAAGGGTTTCCCGCTCCTTCTGGGTGAGGACTACTGCAGAGTTTCCATAGATGATGGGTCGGTGTATGGTAATTCCCTGCAGGAGAATAGGCGGTCAGCAGGCGGGGCAAGCAGGGGGAGGCGGTGGGCGTACGCGCTGACGGACGCGGTCGTTGGAGGCCATGGCAAGGCCATGGCGGTCGAGAGTGGCTTCGAGGCGAGTCGAGCCGAGCGCCGGATTGAGACTCCGCCACCGACTTCATCCTGCCCTCGTCGCTCAGGTCGTCCTTGCTCGCCCCCACCCATCTGTTGCCAGAATGCCCCTCCTCGACCCTATCATCTACAGTGCGCCCTGCCCGCTTTTATCCGTATTTGATATGCTCATAATGCAACTCACGCAGAGCCCAATCGCGTCCTGGAGAAGCAGCGGTTCTACCAGGTAATATTTCCAGTGCGTCACTGCGAATGCACTCAATGCTGAGCGTGATGCAGGCATCGCACGATCCCCTCTACCTCCGTGCCCCCGGTGCCAAAGTCTACGTCCGTGAGTATACAGGTTTAGGTCAGCGCCTTTGCACTCCGTAATGACTGGCATACGACGCAGGGGCATACTACGCTATCTTTACCGTCGGTATGCTTGGAACTGCCTGGGGTGCTTTCTCTCTCATCAAGGTCAGATGTCCCTGGCCTTTCTGTCACTCAGGCTCATCATCTTGCATTCTTACAGGGCAAGCCTGCAGAGTAGATCGTCCTGTCCAATGCTGCATAGAGAATGTAACCCATTTGGCTGAGCCAACGTCAGCATTCTGAGCGAGAGGTGAACGTTGTGCAGCCAAGTAAACTGTACTCATCGAAGTCGAAGAGGCTTTGTACTGACACCTTCGACATTGCTTCCGCTACGACGCTGCGCGCGTACAATAGTCCTCCTCCGAGTTACTCCGTCCCGCGTTCAGTGCACTGAGACTGTAGTGAAACTGTTTCCATATCAATCGGACTATGTAAAGGAAGCGTTTGAATGAATAAACGAAATGTAACGTTCGTCTTGTGCAGTGTATGATGAGAAGAGACTCCGCAAATTCTGAGCGTGCTAGCACAGATGACGGAACGCGTCGCGCGAGACGCGAAGTCCGAAGAGGATGCACGTGTGCAGCCAAAGAGCACTTCGTCCTCGACCACCATCTCGTTTTCCGTGGGCACAAGCCCGCAGCGGCCGCAGCCCTAATCTCCACCAAAATGACCGACCCCTACGTAGACAGGTCAGAGGCATACAAGTCGTATCGCCCCGTCAACAACGTACGTTCGTGCGTGCATCTTGCCTTCCGAACCCGCGAGTGACCGCCCCACCTACCTCGCGTACAGCTCATGTCCCCCGGCCTGAAACGCGCGCGCGAGCCTTTCCGCGTGCGCAACGCCGTCGTGGGCACCGCGCTCGTCGCCTTCGCCACCGGCGTGTGGGCGTACTCGATCAGCGCGGTCAAGCAGGACGTGTTTGACGATGTAGACGAGGAAGCGCGTGCGCTCGCGAGAGCCCGGGAGCGGAGCCTGGAGGAGCAGGAGGCGGAACGGAAGCTGACTGAGGCAGTCGCGAGCAGTTCCAATGTTACAGCTGCGAAGGCACCTGCGGCTGGCATTACAAGCCCGGTAGCGAACGCGGTGTCAGCGGCGGCAGCGGGGAGGGGGATCTTGCCGCCAATAGCTGAACGATACTTTCCTCGCCTTCTGGATCCGTCTACGAGGACGCTGGTGTGGGGGGCGCCATCTGTGGATAGCATCGGCAAGTTGTCAGATCGTTCTCGTCATTGAGCTCTGGCTGTAGGACCATTCTTGCATATAGTCCCCCCATTCATATTCCATCATGCCATTGCGCACAGTGTATCCATAGCATTGACATGACATTTCAAGAGGAGCAGTACAAGAGCAAATAACTCGCGAAGTAGCTTCAAGACAACAGAGCAAGCGACAGCGACGATGTTTCGTACTATACATAGACAGTACATATCACAAAGCAAGCACAAACGAAATACGACAAATTGTGCAGATAGCAGCGAGATAGTACGCACATCATAGCAAGATGAGAAAGCAAGGAACATGTCTATGTAAGAGCAACTGGTAGATAGTAACCGCACACCCTCTTCACACCGGGGCAGGTATGGGGCGCCGCGTCTGCAGGCACGCGGCGCCCCATATCCTGCCTCAGTCTAGAGAGAAGATGCGGAGCCCGCCATCTGCGCCCCAGGCGGCCTGAGACGTCTGCGTCAGCGGGTCCGATACCAACGCTCAAGAGCAAGACACGCACGAGACGATGATACCCATGTTGCGGAGGCCCTCCTTCGCGGCCTCGTTCTTCGCGGCCTTCTTCGTGCTCCCGCGCCCGCTCCCGATGCAGTGCTCGTCGACCATCGCGCGGACGACCCAGATCGGCGTCGTGCGCGTGCCCTGGCCCGCACTGTCGGACCACACCCACTCGATGCCCTTGCCCCGCTGCTGCAGGTGCTGGTTAAAGAGCGAGAGGTGGCCCATGTTCGCCGCGTAGCGCGAGGACACGGGCGACACCGCGTTGAGCGTCGGGAAGTGCACCTCCGCCTCGGGCGGCAGGCAGTGCTGGATGCGCACCTGGCGGTAGGCCTCGGTGACGTACACGCGGAAGAGCGGGCAGAGCCACGTCTTCACGAAGTCGAGGCCCTGGTCGAGGTAGAGCCCTCCCACGAACGCCTGAAACCTCTTCTGTCAGCGCCTGTCCGATAAGCACTGCGTGGAATCATACCTCGAATAAGTCAGCTGTGCGAGGATCGTCAGCGAAGCTTCTCATGCTTAACACGAGAATGTGCGCACCCTGGACATTCTGGGAGTGCCTCAAAGTGATGGCCTGGGCAGGGTGCATTCGTAGGTTTTCCGGCAAGCCATACTGAACGGAACTGCGTTGTCCATCAGATCTACTGCAGAGACAGTGTCGTCGGCCTGGACTCACATCCAGGCCAGAGTCGGGTTGCCGACCACCAGAGAACGTATTTTCTGCGAACATCGCTGTCAGTACACCGGTAAAACGGCCTTGTTTTGAGAACTGACGGTGGACGGCCCAACGCGGATGTACGGGTAGATCTCGTTGATGAGCTCTGTCACGACCATGCTCAGAACTGAGTCCCCAAGATGCTCATATCTACCCGCCGGATATTAGCGTTCGATTGACACACGCCAGTCAAACCTGCACACTCACTTCTCGTTGTCCGGACTGGGATCCTCGGGGAGATCCTCGAAGCGATGGGTCGGGCGCGCGTAGAAGCTGCGGTGCGTGTACACCTGCAGCCGGATCTCGTCGAACGTATCTCAGGCAGGGACGGCAGTCCTTCAGGGCCGAGGTGTGGCCTACGGCAGCCGAACATGCATCCATGAGCAACGTCAGATGGCGGACACACAAGACGCCTACCTCAAGGCCGGGCGACCGATGCCCAGCACAGAGGTCATGGACGGTGGGCTGTGTCGCAGTCAATCACGCAGACGGCGTCAGTACTGGCAGCTTTACGATAGGCAGGGAGCGCGGCACGGCGCAGACGCACGTTAGGGCGATCGGGTCCATGGGTGACCGTGCTTGCCTGAGCGCCGCGAGGGCTGGAGGAGAAGGGAGATCAGGTCATGGTTGGCATTTATAGTGATCCACCAGCGGACTAGGAATCGGTGCTCAATGTCAGATTCCCCGGGCCCTTAGCAGCCACTACCGTGCCGTAGCGCGGGCATGACACTGCCTCCGATGCCGGGGTAGAGCAGGGCTTCTCGATTGGATGTTGCGGCGTGGCGTGGTGATCACAGACCCTCGTGGAAGACACACATGCGTGGAGAGGATCATCTCAGCGCGCTAGGGTAGGCGCACAGGGAACATGAGCATTCAGCAGCTGAAGACTTGGAGACGGACAGAAGTCATGTTCGGATTACAATACACACCGCATTCTACACATCGTGTAGTCCAGCAGGCAGGGAAGGAACCTCACAGCGCGCTATCTACGTGTGCTCAGGCACTGGCCTCTACCGCCGGAATGGTTGCGGGAGCAGCTTCGTCGGGTCGGACCCCGTCTTGTACTTGCAACTGCCCGAGCTGGGATACAATGTGTTCATGATTAGCATCGACTTTTAGCGACCATCCGAATCTACGTACCTTCTTCTGGGCAGCTGCCTTCATGGCGAAGTAGTCAACATGCAGGCCGCACTCGGTCTTCTCCTTCTTCCCTGCCCAGCGACCTGCTCGCTCCCCTGTATCGCCCTCACCGCTCTTGACGGTACTATGCCAATCTCCGACGCTGCGGTAGCCTTGGTCTAGTAGCTTGTTGCGTGGGACGTTGTTCTCCTTTATGTACCATTCCACGAAAGGGAACGTCCATGCAAACAGTGGGTTGAGCTTGAGCAGACCAGTACTGTCCACCTCCAAGGGGAGCAAGTTCGCGCGATCGGCTCCTTGTGAGGCTCGCCGACCAGTAATGATTGACTTCACGCCGAGCTCCTCGTAGGCTCTCCGGGCTGGTTCAACCTGTGAAGACAACAGATGAGACCTAGCGTACCCGGACTGAGAAGCTAAACATACCTTAACCGCATAATCGTACAACGTCTCGTCTGTCTCCCACAGCTTCTCTCCGAACTTCTTCTCGAACTCCACGACCGTCTCACATTCCTCCGGCTTGTATACATGTATCGGAACGCCGTACCGCTTCTTGACTTCTTCCACCAGCTCCAGCGTCTCGGGAAGTGGTACAGTGTGTCAAGGAAGATGAGCGGTGGGGGGTTTGGCGTGATCCTCGAGAGCATGTCGATCGCGACGAGCCCCGTGAGCCGAAGGCCGTCGTCTGGTAGAGTCCCGGGAGATGGTCTACTGCCCATCGGAGGATTTGCTCTGGTGTTAGGTCGCGTAGGTAGGCATTGATGCGGTCGAGCTCGTCTTTCGGCAGGGGGAGCTGGAGTGGCTTGGAAAATGTGGGCGCAGAGGACGAGGCTTCACTTGACATGGTCTAGTCTCGTTCCGGTACAGTGGATACGGTTGAATGAGTAGCAGCCCAAGCTGACGCTGTAGAAATGGCGGAGATAGAGAGAAGTAGCATCTTCGCACAGACGGGGCGAAGCTGTAGAATAGGATGTTTGCACAATGGTGACACCATCGCAAACTGGGCGCTTACTACACCTGTATGATTCAGCAAATTCAACTCAGTCTTTTTCACATGTATTGCCGGTCATACTGAGGCTATACTGTACACATCGTGTCAAGCGAACAGAGCTCAAAAGGTGCGACAAGAGGCTATCATGCGGCGGACAAGCTGATCGAGACCATGGCAATTCCCAAACGGGATGCCCGTTACACGGTGGTTCAAAGTATGGACCCTACTGAGATGAGTGCAACGGAGAGTCACCTGTGCAAATACCCATCGACTGTGACAGAGTCCTCGGCCCCGAGACCCTGTCAAACGCATCGCACCAGATGCCTGTGGCTTGCAGTGACAAGAAGGTCGATGCCGTCGATCAGGACCGCAAGACGAAAGATTGACCACTGAGTGACGCGGGGAACAATTTCTGTAGGGCACGACCGCCCATCGATAGATGCTTGCAGCGATGCCCAGACAGAGACTCTATGCCGCGGACAGCGAGAAGTCCATGCAGAGCGCTGCAGGTGGAGAGCAGACCACGGTTCTGTGGCTCGGGAGATGATGGAACTGTTTGGAGTGGCCCATACGATCTATGTACAGCCGTCCCTGTGAAACGTTTAGCTTTAAGTACCTTCTAGAGTCTTCCACCTTCCGTGTCTATATGTGCCCGTAAAGTTCCCAGTCAGGATCTTCGTGCCTCAGCCAATCTCCGACATGGTCCTCGCATTGCCCCAATGCCGACATGGTAGTCGAGCGACGTGTATCTGTCGAGAAAAACGTCAACGCGGTTCGATACCGTCATTGAGAAGGTCAATGAGAGGGTCTAACAGTCATAAGGGCGCCAGGGAAACGCTGCCCACGAATGCCACGCGGAGTCCTCCACGGTGTGGACAGTTTGCAGTTGGCAACTACCAACACTCGCAGCATCCGCCATCAGGAAGAGAGTGCTCCGATTGCAAATTATTCGACCATCATTCGACGCTGCAACGCCGTACCTGGCGGTTACTGGTCGATGGACCAGAAACGCAGCACAGGCGTGAGCCGGGGGCGCGTTGTATGGGATATTGCTTGGCTTCGTCTTTGCACTTGTGACGTGTACATGGGAAGACTCGACAGCGTACACAGGAACATGGGTACTCACATGTGAAGGCGAGATGGACAGCACATACAGCGAGGCCGCAACTGTTGCGAACAACTCACTTGGTCGGGCCCCGAAAGCCTGCCACTGTCGCGAAGGCTCGCGCAATTGCCTCCTTCCAGGAATGATGCTCTGCCAAATCCTGGCAGATGTAAGATGTCGTGTTACGTGTGCTGAAGCTTATGGCAGCCGACGGTACTTTCTTGCGACGGAGTTTGCAATGCTGATCATCGACGATGTGGTAAGGAGGAGAGGATAAACGCTGAGCGCTAAACACATCGTTGGGACTGTAAGGCGGAGAAGACTCCGTGCGATGTTTCTGACAATGACATAGTTGAGCTTCTCCGCGTTCTCCAGTGTTAATGTACAGAACATTGTATTATGCTTCTCCTGGCTCAATTGTTACACGAACACGACTGCTCGCTCTACTTACAACCGTTGACGGACTACAGTGAAGTATACATATTATTACTAGTGAGGAACGCTACAGTAAAATCAAAACGCCCTCCTCGTAGGGCGTATCATAGTAAGCGAAGGTGGGGTTTTCTGTTAGCAGAGCCAATGGCTGGAGACAAGGTCCTGAACAAATCCAGCGGCCAGCGAAGGGGTAGTAGTAGTAGTACAAGGCGCGTTTGTCACAATATCCATGTGCCCTTACCGCGCCGGGCCTACAACCAACTTGACCTTCTCGTACCCATCCTGGCTCGAGCCCGCCGACACGAGGCCCTTGAACATATACTTATCCAGTAAGTAATCCACCCGCTCACGCCTTGGTTCCTCTCCAGAGCCTCCACCGACGGGTACGTACGGCACCTCCGAGTGTACGCCCGGGACACAGCGACCTCCTCCGACGGGTTCAGGCGCTTCCACTCGACCTGCGTGATACGCTGTTGCAAGTGCCGGTGCAGCGCAATCAGCACGTCGCCGAGCGTGATCGGCGCGTCATCGCGGGATACGAAGGGGATCGTGAGGAAGCTGCCCCGATCACGCTCGTGCGGCTCGAGCTTGAGCGGCCACTGTGGAATCGCGTCGTAGTGATGGTCATCTTCCGGATGCCCGGGTACGTCGCGGGCTGCGCGAGCTCGTCCACGCTGAGTCCGATCCCCGTAGGCTGTCCGCTCGCGGACAGGTGCATGACCCGGAAGTCGTGCAGGGAGAGATCGAACGCGACCGGCGGACCGCCCCGCTGTTCTCCGTTAAGGAGAGGGTGCAGTTGTTGCGACGGTCGAGGACTGGGGTACACCCACGGAGAAGTATACATGGGGTAAGCAGCGCCCGTAGCCCATCCGGGCGCAGCAAGGTTACTGTCGGAGCCCCTGCGGTGGTGACCAGGATAGGCAGGCGGGGATAGGGTAGTCATCGGAGCTATAGGCACCATGGCTGGAAGAGCCGTGTATAGCATCGGTGGAGAGGGGAAGGGCGCCGGATTCGGTGGGGGTGCCATCCCGGGCATACCTGCGTACCAGGATGGCCTGCGCTCTCGCCGAGGAGGAGGGGGACGAACATCATCTTCGAAGTGCACGCGACGGGGGCTGCCGTAAGGCGATCCCAGTAGATCTGCAGGGGGTATCAAGGGCGATACTTGCGGACTGATAAACTGAGGAGGCAGGTAGGGGGTGGCATATGCATATGGGTATTGTCCCGGGTAGTATGGGTAGGCCATAACGTCGTTTCTAGTCGTGAGGGGTTCCGATGGTGTTCTTAGCCAGGACATGATCGATCCTCACCTTAAATAGTCTATGTGAGGGGCGACTTGCCTTTTCAGAGGAGGGAAGAGCTGTGCAGCGTAGCACTTGGTCGGGACGGGCCTACGTGGGCAAGGCGGCGCAGGGACTTGGTTGTGCCCGCCCGCACAGCAAGAGCGGACATTTATTCAGATGCGGCGGGACAGCGCTACTGCCATGGGATGTCATGCCAATTGTTCCATGCCAGGTTACTGGAAACGCAATCAGCCATGGACGCCGAGCGTGATCTGTTCCTGATGAGCATCAAGCAATCTTCTGTATTGTGACGCTCTGCATCGATCCTCAGGCCCGATGAGTTCGGTTTTTGGAACAAACCCTACTTGGTCACATCGCTACATCAGCCAACATGCGGCACTGATGAGTCAATGTGGTCTACTGCTTTCTTTGTGACTGCTGTGCACAAGTCACACGAGTCAAGAGATACAGTATGGCGCGGGTAATGTTACAAGTACGTACTTGTCCACGGAGGCATCGCCACGCCCGACATCGGTGGTAACATACGCACCAGGGCGCATCAGGTAGTCCCGGCGCACTGCATTCAAGCCTTCAACACCGCTTCGCCAGCCGACGTACGTGTACTGCTGCCAGTGGACTCGAGGTCAGATTCAATGGGCCCTGTTGAGAGAAGCGGACGAGAGCAGGATTGTGGGTCCACCAGGAGTCGCTGCCAGTAGCTGCCAGTGCGCGAGACCGAGAATCAGATCACGGCGCACGAGTAACCGCCACCTGCTGCGCAAGCGTGTGAAACAGTGCCGCAGGGGCGCATCAAATGCAGGCGTCGGGCTCGGGGTGAGCCGCCCTGTGTGGCCGGCGTCATGTCGACGTGTTGTTTCTAGGACTACAGCGCGCAGACGTTGCGCAGACGTGTACGGTGGTACGCAGTACGCGCTGGATGCGGCTGTGAAATGCTCTGGTCCCGAACGGTCCTGCCCTTTCGAGGCGGTTCGCCCGCGGCGCCACGAGCCTCGGTAGGTGCGACGTGCGAAAATGTGGACCACAATGATCCCATGTCCAAGCGGCCTGGTTCGGGGAACGGAACTTTAAGCTGCCTTGATACCACCCGAACATCTGTGCTTCAGGAGCCAGCCGAAGGACTGCGCGACACTCGGATAGTAAAGACTTGTCGTCTGAGCCTATTCCGAGATCACCGTCATACCCGTCACTTCATTCATTAGTGAGTTTTACACCAATATCGCCCCAGAGAATAACACCTTCGACAGAAAAGGCCATAGGACGGGCCACTAATAGTGCACGGCATGCTGGTCGATGCACCCGTCGCACCGTGACGTCGACGCAAGCCAGGGGCCTCAAAGCACTGCAGAAAATTGGGCCTCTGGTGCCACACTCGACGGATTCGTTATGTGGACCAAGATATATCTACAAGTCCTGCGTATCCCCCGGAACTTCGGGCGATACGCTCAACAACCGCTTCTCAAGTGTCGCGCTGAAGTTTCGATGGTCCACCCCGATCGTTCTTAATTCTGGAGAAATTCGCTAGCGTTCCGGGTTCTCTGGTAACTTCACAAGTCCGGTTCCCGGCTCTCAAGAACCTTATGCACTGCATATTCGGGACGGATGAACCTGGACGAGGGCCCGGTTTCGTTGTTTACAGCTCATTCCATATTGCTAGACCCCCGCCCGGGAACGCGTGCACGGCCGGAGGGCGTCAGGCCTTGGTCTGGCTTTGTTCTCAGGCGACCCGCGCGCACTGCCGGTCGACCTCGGCTTCAAACTTCGGGCTAGTTCGCCCTCGCCACTGCTCGTCACGTTAGAATGTTGACTGGGGCACAGAATAGATACCAAGGCAGACGAACCCCGCCAGTACACAATACTCGGTGAGGGTCTAGCAATATGGAATTGGCTGCAATTCCGTTGCACATGTGCCGCCGACATTTGTGTGGACTTTACCGATATGCGGAGCAAAATGCAGCACAGCGTTTGCCGCCAATTCGTACTCCTCTCGGCGTGGCCTGAGTAGGTTGTTTCCGTGCCCCGCGCTGCGTACTTCCGTGAGTAGCCCCTCTGGCCAGGCTCTCCGCCGCGGAGATGCCACAGTTTCAGACCTTACTCAAAGTCGCTTGCCTTAATCCACTCCCCCAAGTCATCCCCGATTCTCACTGAAACCCGGAGGAATACGACCCACACCGTTCGGAAACAAGACAGCAAGCCGCATATCAAACTGGCGGCAAGGGTTCAAGTTCTATCGGCGGCGTCCGAGTACAACTTGGACCAGAGCCTCCCAGACTACTATCGAGAAGTTGATACCGAAGTCCACTCATCCTCGCGAATTCAGGCCGACTACTAGCAGCGCGAGTCCGCTGTCCACTATCGCACCATCTATGTGGACCCGGTCCTATTTGGACTGTATATTTCGCTGGCAGTCCGAGTCGGCATCGGCGTGCGCTCTCGCTGGGCCCACTCCTCTCGCGGTCCGGATACACAGTGTGGATTGCCAGTGGATCGCGCTTCGAGGTCCACCCATTCACGCAAGCTCAGAGTTCAATCGCCCTCGGACCTTGACCGGTGCTCGCAGTATGGCTATGCGACGATGAATGAACTCCACCCGACCATGCCGAAGGGCAGTATGGCATGGCATGGCACTCCGGTGCATGTCGGTGGACACACTTCCTGGCCCACCCATTCACTGAGTCGGAGTTCAGCGTTAACGTTCAACGTTCAACTTCCACGCTCGGATTGTGGCCTCGTATAATGGTGTGCAACGACAAAACATCAGAACCAATACACGTGCCCCAGATACGTTGAAGAACAGAAAGTCTTGAGGCCGAGCTAAACTCTGCTGCATTGCGTCCACACATTCACTTCGGCGGACATTTCTCTCGCATCAGCCCACTTACCCTATCATTCAGTGTAGTGTCTCACAGGAAGCAATAGTACAACGCAGACATCCGATACAGTTGTGACAAGAGAACTAAGCATACAACAAAGTCGTACTAGATTCGATTTCTGGATCCGAAGAGCGAAGAGCATCAGAGTGGGCCGTCCGTCGTCAACATTGTCCAGTCGGCGGCACCCATCTCCCTCCCGCTCACAATCCTCCAAACGCGACAAACTTGGTGTTCATGTACTCCTCATCCCATGCGCGCCCTCGCGCCCTACAAACAACCAGCATCAGCCCCGCTCACCTCAAACCGCCGCCCAAGCAACACGCGCGCACTCACCGATCCCGCTCTCCTTCACCCCTCCAAACGGAATGGCGACCTGGCTGATCAAGCCTGTGTTCGTGCCGACCATACCCACCTCCAGCGCCTCCGCGACCCGCCACACCCGCCCGACGTCGCGCGAGTAGAAGTAGCCCGCGAGGCCGACCGCCGAGCGGTTCGCCCACCGGACGACCTCCTCCTCCGTCGCGAAGCGCGTCAGCGCCGCGAGCGGCCCGAACGTCTCCTCGCTGTTCACGAGCGCGTCCGCGGGCACGTCCGACAGGAGCGTCGGCTGGAAGAAGCTGCCCTTGCCCTCGACCCGCGTGCCCCCCATGAGCAGCTGCGCGCCCCGCGCGAGCGCGTCGTCGACGTGGCGCTGCACTTTCTCGATGGCCTTGTCGTGGATGAGCGGGCCGTGCGTCCTGCGGGGCGAGGAGTGAGCACCGGGGCGAGTGGAGAGGCTAGGGAAGGACGTACGTTCCGTCCTCGAGCCCGTTCCCGACCTTGAACGCGGCGACTCTCTCAGCCAGTCGCGAGGCGAAGTCCGCATACACGGAGTCCTGCACGTAGATCCGGTTGGCGCACACGCACGTCTGCCCGCTGCCGCGGAACTTGCACGCGATAGCACCTGCGCGACAGTCTCTCAGCCACTTCGACCCTCTCACCCAAGTACACCAGTCACCCACCCTCGACGGCCGCCGGTATATCCGCATCGTCAAACACAATAAACGGCGCGTTGCCACCCGCCTCAATCGACATCCTTCAAGATCCCGCAGTCAGCCATAGCCACACACTTCTCGGTGGACACGCACTTCTTCAAGCCCTTCGCGGCCATGCCGTACAGCAACTTCGCGACGGGCGTGCTCCCCGTGAACGTGACCTTCCTGACCGTGTCGTTCTCGCACATCTCGCGCCCGACGTCGACGACGTTCGCCTGCGTCGTGACGACGTTGATCACGCCCGGCGGGACACCCGCGCGCGTGGCCAGCTGTGTTCAGTGTGCAGCGTTGGATGAGCGTGCCCGGCCGGATCAGCAGAGGGAGAGGAGAGGACGATGCGCACCTCTGTGAGAGCCAGCGCGGAGAACGGGGCCTCGGGCGGCGGCTTGATCACTGTGGTGCACCCTGCTGCGAGGGCGGCGCCGAGCTTGCGGGTGATCATCGCGGAGGGGAAGTTCCATGGGGTCAGGATAGACCTGTAAACGACGGCGGGTTCCCTTAGTTTCCGTCTTTCTGTGGATGGTGAAGCGCATGCTTACACGACACCTGCGAGGGGCATCGGTCAGTCGCCCAGAGGTATGGATGCAAGTGAAGTCGAGACGCACCGATGGGTTGTTTGATGACGACGTTGCGGATGTGCGGGAATGGGGACGGTGCCACCTCTGAAGGATGCGTCGCACGAGAATTATGGAGGTAGCCGAACTGCCGCATACCGCACCTCCATACGTCCGGATCGCCTCCTCAGCTATGAGCACAGCAGTTTAGCGGGGCGTCGTGCATCGAGATGCAGTCTACCATACCGAACCACTAAGAAGACGCGTTAGTCCAGCTGCGTGGGCTATCGAGTGATTGGACAGACCTCAATGAAGGATGCCGAGTATGCGTGCTCGCCCTGTGATATGATTGTGAGTATATGCGCACGCCATGAGGGCATTGGCCCAACCTTCGCCTCCGCAAGTGGCTTTCCGTTCTCCAATGTCTTTATAACTTCAGACACACGAACGCCACAGGCAGCAGCACGAGCGTACGATGATGCGAGCGAGTCCTCCGTGTTCTCTGCATTAGCGCATAGAATTCATGAGATATCGTGTCGTTGCTTACGTCGTCAAGAATTAGGCTTTCGTCCGTAGTGCACAGGCGAGCGTCACACCTTCGCGGTTGTCTTGCCCCACGATTGAACGCGCGCGAAGCGGCGTCGATGGCCTGCTTCGTCTCCGCGAGGCCCATCTCGGGGACAGTGCCCAGCTCGCCCTCCGTCGCTGGGTCTGAGAGCACGTCGTGAATCCATGTGCAGAGGTGCAAGAGAGGCGCACGCACTGTTCACTTTGATGACACCGCCGTCCTGGGCGTCGACCCACTTCCATCGATGTAGCCTTGGTGATGGATAAGCGATGCATCCTTGACCCCAAACTACCTCGACGACCCTGTGAGTGTCACACTGTGGCTGGCAGACTGGAACGTACGTTCGCTGCGGACGTGCTGGCCATTCTGTACGCGATAAAGGTGTTGGCGAGTGATCTGGACTTTGCGGGGGATGTGGTGGTAGCTTGAAGGCGGCAAGGGCGAGACGGGGGGTAGAAGAGAAGGCCATGCCAGTGGCGGCTGTGGGAGGAGGGCAGCGTTGGGCGTTGGAGCGTCCGAGGTGGTCGTCGAAGCAAGGAGCGGCCGGTGTGGCCCATGACCTCGCGCATGACTTCATCTCCTAACCCTAGACTTGGACTTCCCCCCGCCGGCCGTGTGCTGACGGCAACCACTGAGAATCGAAGGCAACTTGGCCCGTTTTCACTGCGCCCCACTGCCAACGCCGACAGTCTGCAGACACAGTCAATTGTATGCGCCATCTTCTCTACCCACGAACGTTGCTTCTGCTGGGTCGCACTCTCTACGCACCGCACGGACCCTCGTACCACGCCGCTGGCATCGGTGCATAATTCCGATGAGTACGCTCAACATCCGACGATACACGAGAGCAATACATAAATTAGATGCAAGTTCATTTATGTGCGCCCCTCCCTTTCTTTCTCCCGCTCTGACTCTCCGTCGCAGGTGCATCCAGGAATCCGCCGAGCTCTAGCGCGTTGCGTGCAGCCTGGTTGATATGCTTGAACCGGTCCGGTCCCAGATGTATCCCACCATAGTACCGCGTCACCACAACCAGCACGTTCTCGACGTCCTATGCATTTCGTCAGTGGCAGAACCTCGCTGAAAAGCATAAGCGCACTGACAAGGATCTGGAGCAGATGTGCCAGACGGCCTCCCGCGGCGGTCTCACCGTCGTCATCGTTGTCTACGTAAACGCCCTCAAAGGCTGCAGACCGACAAGGACGATGGTACGACTGACCTTGGTGCAGGTTATACCCACTCGACACCGCCAGGAATTGATGATAGGATGTGCTGCCCTGGCTATCTTCCGATCCGACATGAGGTGCGCGAGGATCATCGGAACCTGCAACGCCCATCATCACCCTCTGCACGGACGCACATTCACTGACACGAACCTGAGATGGATGCGTTATTCGACACGCGCGCCCAATAAACACGCTCTTTCTGTCCACGATCGGCTCCGCGACCGTGAACTCCACACCCTCTGGCATCCTCGCCTCAGCTTCACTCTGCTCCGCCCTCCGTTTCCTCTCATCCGCTTGAATTCTCTCCCTCTCCTCGTCCCGCTCCTCCACATCGTTCCGCCCCTCCGCACGCTCGTCCTCCCTCAAGATCTCCCCGGCCTTCCGCTCGCTCATCCTCTCCTCCAGCCACCGCACACAGGCCTCCCGGACCCACTCCACCCCGTCGAACACGCATACGCCGCCGGGCGCCCACTCGACGCCGTCGCGCGAGATGTACGTACGGAGCACGGCGCCGAAGAGCGATGCGTCGACGCCGTACGGCCCGACGTACCGCGAGAGGAGCTGCAGCTGCGGCGGGGAGGAGGCGGGGTAAGACGGCGGGAGGGAGACGAGCAGAGTGAGCGGATGCGATATCGAGGAATCCGAGGATGGTGAGATGCTACGTCCTCGCACATCAGCACGGTCTCAGGTCAGGCACCCTCGCAAACTACACGTACGTGACAGTGACCTCGTACCGGATCGTCCCGCGCTCTCCGCTGTCCACACCCCGCCTCTCCTGCCCGCCGCCGTTACTGTTACTGTCAGAGTCATGTCGCCCCCAGGGGCGGACCGCGTCGTCGCCGTAGATCGACTGGAGAGCTGCGCGCAGCGTCACGGTGTGAGGGCACGGCCCGGGAGGAGGGAGGACGCGCGCGCGCACCGCCTAGTTCTGCCGCGAGCTCTTCGCGCTCTGCGTCAGCGGAGAGGTGCTCGATCAGCGCATCGAGAGTGGGGAAGTGCGGAGAGGGCGTGCGGGACATGCTCGAGTGTGTTCGATGGAGGCTTTTGAGTGTGAGGGAATGCTATTCAAGGTTCTCGTGGTGATAGTCTGCTGTGGTGCGTGTGGTGGGCTTAACTTCACAGGTCATAGACGTGCATTCGGGTTAGACTGTGAGTGAGGTGGTTTTGTACGGGACCGTCGTACGAAGTGACGAACGGACCGGGGATTAGGGCACAACTCGAGGTGATCAGTCACTAAATAAGTACTGTGATCGAGCCTCGCAAATCACAACGTGACCGATATATAGTTAATAACTCTGATGGACTTATCGCCTCGTCTACAAGCTTACATTACTGACCGGCTGAATATAGCTTACTGTCGGTATTGATCAGCATCTATCACTATCGCATTGATATGATTCGCCGCCGGTCCCGGACTCTCATCCCCATCTCTCTCGAGTCTGTAGCTTGATTCTAGCTCTCTAAGCCGATGGGTTGTAATTAGATAACAGGCCTTCCACCTTCGTAGCTCGCTCTTCCAACGTGTATCATGGCCGCCAGCCAGCCAGTGCGCGTCATTGTACGCCTTCCGTACCACCGTCCCGAGGACCCGCCACCCGACCCTCCTCGGGTGCGTCTCCCGCAATGCGTTCTATCCATGCACGAGCACTGATCACACATGAAAGTCTAGGTAGAATGGACGCCAGAGAAGGAGCACATGCTCTGGGAGGTCGTCGACAAGTCGACCGCAACCCAGGGTGCAACCACAGACTGTGAGTCCATCACCGCCCTCCCAGCCGTACCACGTTCCTCACCGCTCCAACCACGCTCAGGGGAGGGCCTCGCCGCACACCTCCAGGTGCCCATCCCGTACCTCATCCACCGCACCCGCACCCGCTTCGAAGAGGGCCTCCGCGGCCTGCAAGGCATCCGCACGGTCTCGACGCCCTCCGCGCCCTTCTCGCCCGCCACCCAACACCCGCCCGCCGCGAACGCCAACGAGTACTTCCCGCGCCTCCCCGAGGTCGCCTCGCGCCGGCTCTCCACCTCCGGGAACGCCGCGCGCCCACTCGGCGTCCGCGCGCGCCTCAGCTCGCTCGGCAGCCTGCGCGCGCGGCGCGGGTCGCTCGTGCGCAACACGAGCCAGCGGTTCTCCCTCGTCGGGCAGGCGACCATGCATGGGCAGGCGAACGGGAACGGGAACGCGCAGGCGTCGGGGAGCGGCGCGGCGCAGACGAGGACGTCGAAGAAGGTGTCGTCGTCTTCGACGCTCACGCTGCAGGGCCTGCGGAGGAGCCGCGGGAGCCTGCATCGCCCGCTGTCGCCGACGTCGTCGCATGCTGCGTCGGAGGCGGAGGCGGACGGGATGGGCGACGACGAGGAGAGTGACGGGAGCGACGAGGACGAGGCGGTGCGGAAGGAGGAGGAGGATGAGCGCGAGGCCGAGGCGAAGGAGCTCGAGCGCAAGCTGGAGAAGTTGCAGAAGATGATGACGACCGACGCGCTTGGGCTGGTGTCCTCGCCTGCGACACTCAGGGAGAGGGACAAGGGCAAGCAAGTCGCGGACCGAGGGCGGACGCGTCCGCTGTCGTCGTCGATGGCGTCGCTCTCGAGTGCGCAGCATAGCGCGTCGCGGAGCCAGCAGAGCTTGTCGAGTCTTAGTTCGCGTGGCTCACCACAAGGGTCTATTCCGTCCATCCCCTCGTCCCCACCTCGCGCGGAGCCGCAGGCACGGAGATATTCGTATGCGGACACACGCGTGCCGTACTCGCGGAGGTACGAGGAGTCACTCTCGCCCACGTCCCCGTCGCCTCGCGTGGCATCCCCCATTCCGAGGCACCTCAGCCCACCGGGACAGTCACACAGCCCACCCGCGTTATCGCCGAACCGGGCTGTAGGGCAGACATATGTGGGTAGGACACCGCCCCGGAGCAACGGAGGTCAGGGTTGGCGGATGGACGTAGGAACTCCGGCGAACGGGGGCAGAGTGAGCTCGCAAGGAAGCGAGGCGTCGAGCTTCAGCGACCTGAGCGGTGCGTATCGTCGATGCTGTGGATCGTGTTCTGTGCTGACGGGCATTTGTGCAGATGCTAGTTTGTCGGCGTCTGCGCTCGAGAGTGCTCTGGCATCGAACATACGGGGCAATGGCTCACGACTGTGAGTGGACCACCGGCCTATACTTCACGAATTGTATTGACGAGTCGATGCCGCAGCTCCTCGTTTCGTAGTCACCTTACGGGAAGGCGGAATGTACGATAGCATATCCGGGTGGGCTCCGACACCGCCATAGTCTCCGATGTGTGTACAATATGAATATGTGGGGAATGAGCTGCATCCACAGTCCACCTGTAGCACAGTGCCTTCTCGCACCTTCGCCACGTACGACGCGTCGCGGGTACAGCATTAGTCAGAGCGCGGACAGAGTACGCGTCCATGTACGCGCAAGCTTTGTCGAGCAGTATAAAAGGGACCGCGGTGACCACCCAGCCACTAAGTACGTCAACTGATTTCCTGGAAGCCTCGGCGATCTAAATAGTCTCGCCCGACCCTCTTGCCTTTGTACGTCCACTACCAGTGGCACCACGCTTCCCGACCTACCACCACTTCATCCTCTTTCCTCGCATCGCAAGAATACCCTCTATTGTTGAAGCCCAACTGGTGGTATCTGAGCATGGAGCTCACTTTTGTAACCGACCTCGGACAGTCGTTCGTGGTCGAGATCGACCCGAACATGGAACTGGAGAACGTCATGGCCCTGCTTGAGGCTGAGGTGAGTTGCAAACGCGTCTCGCTCTACCCAGTCAATCTCATATGCCACTCGAACTCTCCATCTGCTCAACTGACTTGCGTGCGATGCCCGACGTCCGCTAGTCCGATATCCCGGTACAGGACCAGAGCATCTCTTACGAAGGGCGTGAGCTGAGCAATCCTAAAGCGACAATGGCACAACTGGGTGTCGGAGACAGCGCGATGTTGCTCCTCCGGCGGAAAATCAACGTTGCAGGGAGGTATGTGCCCAGTATCGTCTGATGTAGCGATCCCCCAGACATCCATATTCTCACAGGACAATCGAGCAGGACGCCGAGATGATGCGGTTACAGCTCTTGGGGGACCCCGCGGTCATGACTCAACTGCAACAAGTACCTCCTCTTTCCCTACGTCTCGCTTTACCACTACTGACTTAACATCGGCCAGACGAATCCGGAACTCGCTCATGCCGCACAGACGGACCCCCACCGGTTCGCTGAGCTCCTGCGGCAAACACGTTCGCGGCACGTCGAGGCAGAGCGAGAGCTCGCTACGATGGAGGCGAACCCCTTTGATATCGAGGCTCAGCGCCGGATAGAAGAGGCGATCCGGCAGCAAGCGGTCATGGAGAACCTTGAGCATGCGCTTGAGTATTCGCCTGAGGTCTTCGGTCGCGTGACGATGCTTTAGTACGTGTGCTTTCCTGTTCAGTCCGCCACGTCGTTAATGAGGTGTAGCATTCCCATTGAGGTCAATGGACATCCCGTGAAGGCGTTCGTGGATAGCGGCGCTCAGTCCACCATCAGTGCGTCCACATGTTGTATCTCGTCTCCGCGCTATTGACCTTCCCCCGCAGTGAGTCCGGAATGCGCAGAGGCATGTGGGTAAGGAACATTCAGGGCTATGGCTATGTATTTCCCGATTCTGACTGTGCATCCCCACCCACAGTCTCATGCGATTGCTAGACCGCCGCTTCGCCGGCGTCGCCCGCGGTGTCGGCACCGCCCAAATCCTCGGCCGAGTTCACAGTGCGCAGCTGAAGCTCGCCGACCTCTACCTCCCTTGCTCCTTCACCGTCATGGAGGGCCGCGACGTCGACCTGCTCTTCGGGCTCGACATGCTCAAGGCGCACCAGGCGTGCATCGACCTAGAGAAGGACTGCCTCCGGATCCAGGGCCGCGAGGTGCGCTTCCTCGCTGAGCACGAGCTCCCCGAGAAGGCGCGCTCCATGAACGCGGGCCTCCCTTCGGACGAGGCGTCGGCAACGTCGGCTGGTGTCGCGCCCCAGGCCTCGGGCTCAGGATCTGGTTTGGCGGCAGCGACACACTTCCCTGGGTCGGGCCAGACAATTGGGCCTGCACCAGCACCGGCTGTTGTTGGAGCTGGGCGAGGGCAGCCTCCTGCGAGGGCGCAGAGCAGGCATCCTGAGACGGCGATCAATACACTGATGGGGCTCGGTGCTACTAGAGAATTGGCCATACAGACTCTGGACGCGGCAGGCGGCAACCTGGACGTCGCGGCGTCGTTGCTTTTCTAACATGTAGAATGAGTTCGAAAAGGTCGGCTTGAATGCATGGGACAAGTGCGGATCGAATCCAAAAGCTGTGTTGTACAATATGTATGTCTAGATATACAGCAGTGCCAGAATACAAAGGGACTTTGGAAAACACACAATACATAGCTTATGTGTACTCGATAATGATAGCAGAGCGACGGCAAGACAACCAAGGAATCTGTGAAACAAACTAGATGAGGCTGACAGTAGTCCGAACAAGGCCCCCTCTCCAGTTGCGCATGCCGGCTGAGCGCCGATGAGCCCAGTCGGTCTGCATCCTCCCGAATGCATCCTGAATATGTTCTGGTCGGAGGGCCGTACGCGCCTCGGGAGGTGGAAGGAATAGCGAGCACGTCGGAAGCGGTGGGTCGCTATCCCTGTCAGGGGAGTCCTCCCTGCGCAACCGCTTCGAGTCCCCTGCGAGCCCGCCGACGGCCTTCCGCTTGCCCAGTACGGGCGACGCAGCGTGCACACCCTCGCGCAGGTATGACTCCTCGAGAGACTTCTTGACTTCCAGACCGGCGATTGTAAGGGAGCGGACCATCTCGAAGGCGAGGAAGCCGACGATGTCGACGGTGTCGTCGTTCTGCTTCAGGTCGAGCGACGGCGGGAGGTTGAGGAACTCGCGGAAACGCTTTGCCTTACGGTAGGTGAAGGAGGCTTGTCGGCAGTCGGAGTAGTGCTGATACTCTTCTCGTGTCATCTGCCGTGTTGCATCGTCGGCTTCTTTGAGACGCAGGACGGAGGCTTCGTGCGCCTCGATGTCATCCTCGTCTTCCTCGTCGTCTGTCTGTAGGACGTCTGCGTACATGGTCATGATTTCCCAGGGCAGCTTGATTGTGATCTTCTGGGCCTTGGCCGTAAGCTTGTCTGCGAGGCCCGTCCTGTCAGGCCTATTGTGTTGACAGCCACAGGTCGTGGTGACGTACCGTCTGCTCCGTCCTCCAGGTTCTCGACCTCAACACCACCACCTCCATCTCCTCCAGAGTCCTTTGCGTGCTTCCGCACGTCCTTCCAGGATAGATATGTCCTCAGCCGATTCACCTTTGCCCGGTCATGGCGAATAAGGAAGATGAGGTCCTCTGCGGATAGGTACCGTGCGCCCCGGCGCGTAGCCAAAGCCCGTGCCTGCACAATCTGCAATCTCGTTGGCCACAGACCACCATCTCCACCAACAGAACGCACTCACAAGCTCAACTATTTGGCTTCGGATGATATCCTCGACCAGGTTTACAGTTTCCGGGTTCGGGTCCTGCACCTCGCCAAAGACGAACATCATCTGCGAGATCTCCTGTGAATACTTGTATTCGCGCGTGCTCGCTGCGTCCGAGAACGCCTTCTTGGACGTGGACATCTTCGGCGGGGGCTGGGGAGCGGGAGTCTCTGCGGGAGAGCTCGCGTCGTGCTCTCGCCCTCGGGAGGCCATGGCGGGTAAAGGTAAAGAGGGTGCACGTGGGAACGCGACGCGTAACGCGTGACTTCTTCGACTGACGCGTACCCCGACGCGTTCTGATTCTCGCGCCCCGCGCCCCGCCTTACCGCCGCCCTTGCTCGTTTCAGGTATTCAGTGCTCACACTCAATGACATACCACACTGCATGAGCAAAACATAATGCACAGTGTATAACATAGCCAAAAAAATACAGCTCCTAGAGCTTCGCCTTGCCCGGCGCAGCCTCCTCGACAACCATGTTTGCGAGCGTGCCAATGCCGCCGCCGACGTAGGTCGTCATGTAGTCACCACCCTTAAGGTAAACAGGAGGCTTCTTGACAAAGCCAACACCGGCCGGTGTTCCTGTGAGAATGAGAGAGCCAGGCAGGAGTGTGGTACCCTGCGACAGGTATGCAATTGTCTGCTTGACATTGAAGATTTGAGCACTGGGACAACGTGAGGTTGCGTATGGTAAAGAAGACGAGGCACAACGTACGAGGTGTTGCCATCCTGGACAGTCTTGGCGTTGACGACCGTCTTCAAGGGCAGATGTTGTGGGTCAGGGATGGCGTGGGCAGCGACAATGCATGGCCCGAGAGGGTTGGTATTGTCTTCAAGTAGCATGTCAGTAGCATGACAGGGCCGAAAATAGCTGGGATATTCTCACCGAAACTCTTCGAGAAACTCCATTGCCCACCACCAGCAGTCATCTGGTGCTTGCGGAACGAGACCTTGTTTCGCGCTGCTTTAATAACCGCACCGCCTTGTCATCCTGTGAATACGCACATCGTTCGCGCCGGTGTAGCCCAGGACATAGTCAAGGGCTTCCGCCTCAGAGACATCCTTTGCCGCTTTACCAATAACGATGACCAGCTCGACCTCGTAATCGGGGAGATGCTCCTCAACAGGTTGTGCGAAGCGTGGGACGGTCACGAACGAGCCCGGGCCGATGAGAGTAGTCGGAGGTTTGTAGAAAATCACGGGAATCCTTTGCTCTGTCAGTACATCATCGCACGTTGCAGGCGCGGGGATCTTACGAGGGCTTCTGCAGGTTCGCTTCCGCCTGCATAGATCATGGGTCGTTAGATGAAGGGCAAATGGGGTTGGGCGGCGGCCGTGCTCACCGCGTGGTCGGCGTAGTTGAGACCCAAGCAACGCACGACGCCGCCTACTTCGTGGCGAGCGAGGGGTGCGAGCAGCTCCTTGACGGTCAACACGTTCTGAGTGACCTGCGAGCCAAGGTCGGTGACAGAACCGAGGATCTCATACGCCTTGATGGATTGCCGGAGCTGGGACGCCATACCGACTATACAGCGGCAGTCAGTCGATGAGCACTGACATACCAAAGAACAAAGAGACGTACCGTCCAGCTTTGGATCCACGGGCTCACCGAGGTGGACGTTCCCCGTCTCGGCCGCTATGAAGCGAATCAAGCGGGTCCATTGCTGCACAAATGCGTATCTTAGTTCACGCCTCCGGAAGGCGGTCGGTCGACGTACCGTTCGGATGGGGGCCATGATGGTGGTTAGAGGGAAAGCAAGGCTGACCAGCTGTCGTGTGAAGCTGGCTTACATCGCCCGCAAATACGGCGGAGCTCCGCAAGCTCGCGTTGTCGGACTCGCGCGTCCTACAGCGATCGGTCACGGGACACCTGTTGCTGGGAGGCGCGACGCGTCTGTTACGTAATAAGCGATACGATCTCGAACTGCCACAAACGCGCAGCTGCAGCATTGTGCGACTCAGGCGTGGACCCGACAAAAGACAAGGCCCATGTCTCTCTGCTGCAAACTGCGACCATGGACGACGAGCAGGCGATGAAGGACGTTCTACAGGATGCGCTGGACGAGGTCAGTGACTGGGACGGCTGTGCGTGGTCATGTTGAGAACGGTTGCCTGCAGCTGGTGTCCACGCGATCATCCTCGGCGCGTGTAGGCGAAGTGCTCTCCGAGCTGGAGCGCTTCATGGCCGAGTTGTGCTCACATCCACATACCGACCGGGAGGCCGCAGAGAGGCTATTTGTGTTCACAAGGTTGCAGGATACATTCGAGTGCAACGGTGCGTGCTACGACTTGACGCCACATATGTTATCCTAACGTGTTGCAGTTCCTTCTCGTGTCCTGCAATGGATGGTATCCGCGCAAAAGCGTTTGGAAGAGGTCACTAGCACAAGCAAACCCTCGTCCGAGTATCGTAAGTGTACGGAGCACTTCGGCTGCCCCAGACTGACGATTATTGTGGATAGATGACCGCAAACGCGAAATCTCAACCATATCAGGACAACTCGTACAAGCTCTTTCGATTGTTCAGGGTGTGACACTCACACATAAGGGTAGCAAACGATTTCTAGGGAGACAATATGCTATGGAGGTGTGTGAGAGGTTGTCTATAGACATGGCATATCTGACGGAACTAACAGATTATGCTCAATCTGCTCCTTACATCACGACATGTACCATGGGCCACATCCTTGAAGGATAGCGATAAGGCTTCGTCCTCGTCATCCAAAGCGAATAACGACGACAGCACCCCGTCACATAACGTGAATCCCGCTTTCATGCACCTTACGTGCGTCGCTCTGGACACCTTGCTTTGCATTCTCGTCGATGCTTCCCAATCTCTCCGAGTCTTCGAAGAGCTGAACGGTGTACAGCTCGTTGTCAAGCTCTTGAAGCGGTCTGGCTCACCGAGAGAGATCAGGTCAGTGATATCACGCGACCACTTGTTCCAGAGATGTGTTGAGTGACATCGGTCTCTGTCACTTTGTCTGGGTAGGATGAAATGCCTAGAATTCCTGTACTTCTATTTGCTCGACGAAACTGGCGTATCGACGGCCACCTCGCCCAATGACATATCCCAGTCAGAGGTCGAGACCCCCTTGGACAGCGTTTCCACCTCGCCAACATCACCTACCGATCGATATAGTACACCCCACCGCTCTGGCCCATCCATATCTAGCATAGGCTCCAGAGACACATCCGGCTCCTCACTATTCTCCGCCGCTTCGTCTGTTTTCACTGCAGCGACCTCACTTCCTTCCGGACAAAACACGCCAAAGCCCTCAGCGTACTACCCTCGGACACCGAGTCGCCCACTCCCGCCCCCCGCGCTCCCCCACACCTGCGGCTCGTCTCGTTACCCCACCGAGCCAGCGCCCACAGCAGCGAAACCTCATGATGCTCAAGAAGGACGTGGACTACACGCCGCAAAGCCCCAAGAAGGCGCAAATAGCTGGACTGGGAGTGGGCACGCCTCGGTCCGCGACGCCGATGCGGACACAGTCCAAGCTCCGCGCAGCAGAAGACTTACTCTCATCCGAGGCATCCGAGACGGACGATAACTCTGACCCTCTGAGGTTTCCCCCTACCACACCGCGCCCGAAGGTCGCCGTGTCTTCGCTCAAGCGGGCAGAGTCCACGCCCTTAGCGGCATCTTCATCCGAAGCCCCAAAGACCCCCGTGCCGCTGAGCAAACACCGTCGCGCACGGAGCGAGCTCGATGTGCTCAGTACACCGGCCGCGGCGGGGACGCCCACTCAGGGACGGGCGACGTCTTCAGGAGCAGTGCTGCAGCGTGCGACACATCGGAGGGCGACACACGCGAAGACGACAGAGGAGAAGAAGGAGCTGTTGGGTACACTGCTCGGCAACGTGGACGCGTTGGTAGCGGGTGTGCGACAGCAGGGCATCTGGGGATTGGGATAGGTATGAGGCGTGTGTTGGCTGCACAAGGACATTGATAACGAGCATGGTCGGATTTGTGAGTCTGGATATCGTCGTACTTGCTATCGTTGCTGTCTCTTTGTTGTGCAGAAATCTTATGCTAGGCATAATTGCGTGATAATCATTCTAGGTCACTTCAGTGCACATTGCATTCCTTCCTAAGTTACAAGGCAAGCAGAACGACGGGCATCGGTCGTTGACAGTAATATACATTCTAGAAGCCGTGAATATCGGGGTACGGTGAGTCAAACTTGAGGACGCGTTCCCATTCATCTTGGTCCATCTTCTCGACACGCACCACGTCCCTCTTTCCGCCAAGCCAGTCCAGCTTTCCGGTCCACAACTCGATGACCTTGGCGACCTCCCGCAGCCCGCTCAAATAGCCGAACCTCTGCGGGCCTAACGGCAAACCTATGGTACGAGTGTTCGTCTTGAAGACCAGCTTCTCCAGCATGGGGACGTGACTCTTCCGAGTCGCAAAGCACTCCCTCACGTCTGATAGCAAAGTGGGTGACCACCGGCCCTTGACCACGAAGGTCTTCAAGTTCGGACAGGCGATCTGGTTGGTCCGGGGGTCAATCATACTCAAGGACCTGTATATGGTTCGGTCCTGGCGCTCGTAGTCTTCAATTTGGATAACCTCAATCGAGGGGAACACGTCGAAGAGTCTCTTCCACGTCAGCGATCCGGTCGCATCCCAAAATTCTCCTGCGATGATCAGGTACCTGAGGGGCGCCGCGACGAACTTCATGCGGGCGCTTTGCGTGAAGGCCCATATGCACCACTCGACTTCCAGGCTGCCCCCAGTCTCCCTGCCCTCGTGCTCGAAAGCGATGCAAGACGGCTCGTCGACCGAGCCCCATTCGAACGTCTTTCTCGCCTCCCAGTTCGGCAGGAATTCGACCCGGATGCGGAGGTCGAGATTCGCGACCACGCGGATGACCTCTATCTGGGAGATGACCCCCTCGACGCTCGGCGATACATAGAAGCCTTCCAGTTCTTGTGATGGTAAGCTTCCCGAAAACATCATCGTCAAGTAGATGCAAGTCGTTGGTGGAAAGGCTAGGTGCCTCATGAAGAAGGCTGTGTTTTTCTCGTCGTCCCGGAGCCAGAGCGAGCGCAAATGCGGGAGGCGCGGGGTGGTCTGCGGGTCAGCAGGACGTACTCTCTGGTCAGCGTCGTCACGGACGTCGGGGCCGGATTCCTCGAGGCACAGAAACTGTAGGTTGGTACAAGCGCGGAGCATGGCGGAGAAGTCCTCCAGCGTCTCCTCAAACCCCTCGATGTCGTGTTGGTCCAGGAGCGTCAAGCGCGTGAGCGACGCGTAGGCTTCCGGGTCGCACGGCGTGGTCGCACGTTCCAAGGTGAGTTCGCAGAGATGGGGGTAGCGCGAGTGGGTGATGATGAATGGGGTCTGCTCCGTGAAGTACTTCAGGTTGATCCAGAGGGCCGTCAGGTTGGGCACATCAAATTCCAAGCAGGACATGTCAAGGACGCCGGACGGGGGGCTGTTGGCAAAATGCCTGTATCCAGGGAAGAAAAAAAGACTTTGGACTCGGTGTGCATGCGGCCTGACCGCTTCCAAAGCGGCGAGACACCAGGAGTGGGGGCCAACAATGTGCACGGTCAGCGGAAGGTTACGTGACCTTTCCATCGCTGCGCGGAAGAGGTTCGGACCATAACACGCATATGGGGTGGTCCACAGGCATGCAGCTTCACGCGCGACTTCGTGCCAATATCGGGATACACGCGAGATCGACTTCCACCAGAAGCCCTCCTTGTCCTCTTCCGCGATGTATGAAATGATGTTCGCAAGCAGCTCCGCAGGTAGATCGACCTTGTGAACGACTTCGTCGTTAGCGTAATAACATGCCGTGGGTCGATACCGGGAATTGGTTTGAGACTGTCCAAAGTCTGCTGATTTGCAAGCAGATGCAATTTCTTCAGCGTCGACATAGGACAGTTCTGACATTGTGGAATTCGCAGTTGACGGCTTCAAGTAGAACGGATCAGTTAAATTGGCGAACTGAGCTCAGAGGGCTAGTCCACTTACTCACTTTGGGAAGGAGATACTTGAAAGCTCAGAGTATGCTTCAACACGGGCGCGGAGGGAGAAGTCTGTTGGTTCGACTCGGAGTTAAATGCAACGCGCGAGCGCGGAAGCCACACTTGTCCACGATCACGAGACCGCGTTTCGGCGGACGCCGTGGTGGAAGAGCGGTGGCGTTAATTCCCACGGTCCCCCGCATAGGTCATTGTGTCATTCGTTCGCGAACCCGCCATGCCGCCATCCGCCGCCCGCCAAGATCGACGCTCCCACCCGCCAGCCACACTCTCCATTGGTGCGCGTGTTCGCAGAAAATAGGCCCAGAAAATGCGGCGGCGCGAGGGATGTCCATAGCGACGACGAGGATGCATGGCAACTGCGGGCGCACTAGACTGTTCGAGCTGAGGAGGCGTAGGAAGCGGCTCGAAGCGGCTGGAACAGACCGAGCACAACCGAGTCCACTTGCAGACGCAATTCAGCGGATCCTGTCCCATCTGTCACGCGAGCGCACTCCTAGTCCCCGGCTCCTCGCCGTGCGCCACAGCGCTCGCGCAGCATATAAGACCTCGTCCCTCCACCATCTCAACCCCCACCACGAATCATCCGCATACACCCACTCGCACCACCGCAGCAACATCAACGCAGTTTCGTTTGCCACCATGACCCGCACTGAGCGCGCCGTACATGCTGCTGCCCTTGTCAAAGACCGCTCCGTGTCGAAGAACGGCATGGACACCAGGCTCCCCAAGGGTGGCGCGGGCGGCCACAACTGGGGTAACCTTTCGCGCGAGCAGTATCTAGAGGAGGCCGCAAGCTACGACGAAGCAGCGGACTTCGCCGAGGAGGGACGTAAGTACTGTCGTACTCATCATAAATCTGGGCAGCTAGCTCACACAGTTTGTGTCAGGTGAAGCACTAGTGGAGGCACCCCCACGCCCTACGACCGGGCGTCGCACGAGCCAGCTCACCGAGGAAGAGCTCCAACAAGCTATCAAGCTGAGAAAGAAGGCTGCCCACAGCAACGGTAAGTGATACAAACCCTATCCGTAGGTTCTGCCGAAGAATATGCTCATGAGACCCTTCATAGACGTCGACCTAGGTTCGATTGCTCGCAGCTCTGCTGCGGTGTCGCACTCGCCGCCAAACAAAGATGTTCTCATTGTCAATGGTGTTAACGTGAGTAATATGCCGTATGTCGAACGTCACAAGGATTATCAGCTGACGTTTGATGGCGTCACAGACTACCGCGGTGACTGCTTAATACATGCATCTGCATCGCATTGGGCACGGGGGACCAGGTACAAGAACGCCGCATACTGTAATTCATAGACCGAAGTAGTCAAAGTAAACTGTAAAGTAGGAAGCACTGTCGCATCGCGCAAGAAAGTCTGCAAGCATATGCATGTGAACAATCGAAGGTCACAGGCAGGTTGCGCAGCCTGAGTAGCCTTCGGGTCAGGAGGTTAAAGATGTATTCTTGAGGTGTGGAGAAGATTTGTGGGCGGCGCAAATCATCCGTCCATTGCCTGTTTCGGTCACTTATCCGCAGGCCATTGGGAACGCAGAAGGACAAAGTCAAGAGGCTGATTCGCTTGAGCCTATTTACAGCGCGATCCAGACCACAGTCCAACTGATATGGCGCACGACTTCAAATGCTTGCTGCCTCACTGAACTTTTACTCTTTAAACGACAGGGACATCTTCGTTTCTTCAGAGCTGGTTCTTCCATCAAACTGCATAGCACAATCTAAGTACCGCCTACATCTTGTCTTTTGTATCTAAGACTTAAACACGTCCGAGCTCCGAGTCAGCAACAATGGAGGTGGACAACTTGATCTAACCATTGAGTTGTGTAATGGCCGTCCTGTACTTACGAAAGTATCGTGGCACGCATCCCGACAGTCAAGACAAAGCGCGGGTGACGCGCCTGTTTTCGTTGCATCGCAGGTGGCTTGCAACTAGCAGGGGAATTCTTCCGCCGGTATACAAAGAGCACATTGGCTCTCAGCTTAGTGGCAGATAGTTCCATCACGAGTTGCGCGCACCTCCTCAGTCGGACAGAATCCTACGTCGCGCACCATGACATGACCAGTGATATTCCCAGTGATGTTTCATCACTGCAATGATCACAAGTACAAGGTTCGCACAGAGTATGCACTTTACCAGTTGTCCTTGCTGTACGAGCTCTCCACCGGTACCTCGGCAGGTGTTTACGCGACCCAACCCTCGAGCGCTGGCGTGTCGCCGAAGAGTGTATGCGCCAAGTGCGGCGGGTACCGTTCCCCCTGCGTCGTGTCCGCCTCCTGGGCAACCTTGCGCACCTCGACGATGTCCTCGGCGGTGAGCTTCAGACTGGCCGCGCCGAGGTTCTCGTGCAGACGCTATTCAATATACAGCTTAGCAAAGGCTGAGTAACGTTTCGCACAGAAGACGTACGTGGAGCTTTGTGGTACCAGGGATGGGCAACACGTCGGGGCCTTGCGCCAGAAGCCAGGCGAGCGCGACCTGGCCGGCCGTCACGTTGTGTCGCTCGCCGATCGCCTTGAGGCCGGCAGCGAGTTTGAGAATCCGGGGGAAGTTCTCGTGGCTGTAGCGGGGGATCGCACGGCGGTAGTCGCTCTCTTCGAAGTCCTCTGGCTTCGTCTGTACATATGGCGAATCTAAATCCGACGTTCCGACATAAATAAGCGATATACGTACGTATTCGCCAGTGATCAGGCCACGCCCGAGTGGCGCGTATGCGACGACGGCGACTCCGAGCTCGCGTGCAGCCTTGAGGAGCCCGATCTTCGGGTCCTCGATGTCGAGCGTGAAGGGAGAGTACTCGACCTGGATGGCGGTGATGGGGTGCACGGCGTGGGCGCGACGGAGGGTGGACTCGGAAATTTCGGAGAGGCCGAGGTACTTGACCTTGCCTTCCCTGTGAGCGGATGGGTCAGGGCACGCGGGAGTACACACTCAAATGCCGATACGTACTTGACAAGCTCGGCCATTGCTTCAACCGTCTTTTCAATTGGAACGTCAGGGTCAGCACTGAAGGATGTCACACATTAGATTCCAGACGAACTCATGACAGTGCGAGAAACGCCGACGTACCGGTGGAGGTAGTAGAGTTCAACGGAGTCTACACCTAGCCGTTGCAGAGACCGCTCGATTGCTTGACGGACGTACGCCGGGTCACCGTTGACGATTCTCCCGGGAACGCCAGAGCGAAGGCCGAACTTGGTGGCAAGGAAGATCTCAGAGCGCTTGCCACTGCGTGTAAACCTACGGAGAACGAGGGATGAGTGCACGCACAAAGTACACCAGTCTTGTTGTCATACCATTTCCTGAGAAGCTCTTCAGAGTCGCCGTAGCCATCCGCGGTGTCCCAGTGCGTGACGCCTCTCTTGTACACTTCGTCCAGAATCTACGAGTAGGTGTCAGCCATCTCAATTCTGCTCGCCAATGAGCAGTCACTCGGCCGCATACCTGGAGTCGCTCCTCGTCCGGGAGAGGCTTTGCGTAGAAGGCCGATAGGCCCATACATCCATACCCAATGGCGGAGATGGTGTGCTTGCCAATTGTGCGCTGGGGGAGAGACATGTCGCTGGTTGTTTGACTGCTTGGAATTGAGCTTTGACTGGGGTTTAAATGAAGCTTAAGAGGCTGGGGGTGATGAAGTGGATGCTGCAAGCCCACCCCTTATATACCACCCCTGGGCCCTGGCGTACGACTCGGACGCTATGATGCAACTGAGTACTGTCTCTACTGGCATACATAAGCCATCCACATAGTACACCCGAAGGCTCGTAACCCACCATTGAGCGGTCATTAATCATTCTCTGCCCAACTCCGAGGGACACATCGCCGGCTCGAAACCCTCCCAATATGGCGATCATACATCCATAAGGGGCGAAGAAATCGCCTACGTAGTTCATGAAATGGCCTTCCGTAGGGAAGCTTCATTGAAACGTCGGGTCTCTTGGTGGGGTGCGACGGAATGCGGTGAGGACGAGGGGCTGAACGACCAAGCTTCGGCGCTCGGTGAGTTCGTTTCCCCGCACGTCGATTGTGCTTGGTAAGACTCATCACCAGCCTTCATGGGAATCCGGATCACTTTAGACTACGTGGTACAAACGCGTACAGATTGTGGGGCGATGTCGCAAATGACATGCACATATATGGCATGCAAGTCTCTTGAAGGCGAGCAAGTACAAGGCAGTGATAGTAGTACTGTGGTATGCAGTCTCCATTGACGCCCGCGTGATTGGCACTCATTATCCCACCGCCACCTCGGTAGTAGATAGACAGATAGTCTGATCAAAAGGCAAGAGGAACATGTCATTGCATCTTGTTTAACCACTTCTTAAGGTTGGTCTGCCCCATAGTCTCCACTGCCCGCTTCACTTCCAGTCTATCAACCGCGCAACGATGTGGGACAAACTCTCTGGCGACGCTGCTCGATGGTGGAGCAGTGGTAAGGAATATCTTCAGCGTGACGAGCCGCTCGAAAGCCTAGAAACGACAGTGGCGCGATTGTTCAGCACAGGTCAGTCGATGGTATAGCGGACGGGAACTCACGCCCATGAGGACTTCCCGACTACACCGGACCATGCCGATGGTCCCGCCCTCAATCTGGACGGGCGCAGATTGCGATGTGCGAACTTGATCCCGGAAGGCCTCATGCAGCATCTCGAACGTGAAGCTCTCATGCCCTGAGGTCCGCGCGTGCATTGCCGCGATTAGGAGGCATATGGAAGGGTATGGCAGGGCTGCATGTCGATGGCGTTTTGATTGTCAGACTCAAAAGGATAGATTGACATGAGCACTTACCCGAAAGGAAGGGGAAACGTGCAGGACAGCGTTGGGTGTCAGCCGCACTTGTAAATGTGGCTGGCGACGGAAACGGAGAGGCCTCCGAAAGTTCAGTTACGACGGGGAGCTGCCAGAACCATGATCAGCGGTTCATCAGGACGTCGATTGAAGGAATTACCGACCAATATGCGACGCAGTGTATAGACATCTCGGGTCAGCCCGAACGTGTCTTTGAAGACTTCCTTGACTTCAGGATGGTTGAGGAAGTTATCGACCGAGGCTGCCCAAAGAGTTTCCCATTCGTTATCATCCTCATCCTCCCCTCTTGGCGCGGTCAAGATTGTCCTGGCAAGACTCGTCCAGTCTGTCAACCGCCGCGGACATGCAGTCCTGAGCATCCTGCCGGAGAACCTACTCTTGACGCGCTTTTCCAGTAAGTTGATCGTATCTACCCGCGCAGTCACACCGACGACTGCGAGGCCCTTGTTAGCCTTACCCACTCTACAGCTTTGTACTGTGTCGAGCAGGCAGTAGAGAAGCGATTGGCGAGCATGACTCGCAAACTGGTCGAACGCATCGAGGACGACAACGGTCGCCCGGGGCAGGGTCGGGATCATGGATATCAGTGCCAGCAAGTGCGCAGGAGCAGGCAGAGCTATCACAGGAGCAGCTTCGGCGACATCTCGATTGTCGACAAATGGGTTCTCTGGGTCATTCAGGTCATTGAGGCCGTCCTCGGCAGTCTTTTCGTCTTCAGCGGGCAGGAAGGATGTTCCTGTTTGTTGTGTGAGCTGGCGCGCGATCTCTCGTATCGCTAGGCGGTCGTTCTGTTGCGCATGTCCGGAAAGGTGGATAATGATTGGCTTCTCCGGCAACGCTGAAATGGCACTCTTTACGATCTAAGAATGGTGTGAGCATGTGGATGAAGAGGTTATCATACTTCCTACCCTAGTCTTTCCGCTTCCCCGAGGGCCAATGAGTAAGCAACTGTTGCCCTCTCCGCGGAGAATTGTCCCCCTGAGGAGATTGCTTAGCTCCTCAAGAGCTACTGTGTTGGCCGGAGGATCTTCGTCTTCGTCATGCTCGATACCTTCTCTCTCAATTTCCGGGACGTTACGAAGAGACTGTAAGATTACACGCTGTTGGGCGTGCAAGCATGCACAGAGGTGAGGAGGAAGGGTCTTCGCCTGACGGGTCGGAGAAGACTGCACGCTTGCTATTCCTCGTCGCTTCGAAGGAGAGGCAGTTGGAGTGCGTGTTTTCGGCTTGCCTGGTGTCGTAGGTGGAGAAATCGGTGCAGTAGAAGGACCTGCAAATTGAACAGCATCCTCCACATCGGGAGACGCACGGACACGGTCGGTGGATCGAGGTTTAGACGGCGATGTAGGGGGCGCGGTGCGTTTGGATGGGGAAGGTGTGGACTGTCGTGGATGAACTTCTGCTGCCGCACCAGCAAGGTTCAGAAAGCGTGTAGCAGAAGGCGTACCGTCGGCAAGACGTCTAGACGGTGTCAGGATCTCCACGCACTCCATGAATATCCGAGGAGCTGAGGCTTTCGGAGTACTGGGTCTCGGAGGGGTAACAGGTCGTTTATGTTTCTTGGACGGCGATAGCAGCAGTTCATCTGCCTCTTCATCAACATTGTCCTCGACCACTGCATAGTTTACCCTCCTGTTTGTTGTAATCGGCTTCTTCTGAGTTTTTGGGCGCGATCTGCTCGGTCCGGGCTGGGAGTCTGCGTCATCTGCTGCTGTAGTCCCAGAGTTGTTCACCGCTCTCCGCGTCCTAGAGGCAACAACAGCGGTGTCTTGTGGCGCAGCAGCAGAGTCCGCCACCGCGTCGCTTGCAGCAACTGCACGTCTCGATCTGCGTGTCTTCACAGGCAAAGCGGTGACGTCGTTCAAAACAACCTTTTAGAGCGCAATGCTCTTTTCGCCGCTGGTTGTGCGTCATCCGCGGCCGCTGAAGGAGCTTTTCGTTTGGGAGGCATGTTCTCGCGAGTGAGGGTCTGTGTTTAGTTCCAGCCACACAGGCGCGACAGCGCTGAATAGACGCGATGTGACACCTGTGACAGTACGCGTCTGGCCACGCCGCCACAATCGCGCGGGGAGCGCCGCTCTGCATCTGCTTCGTCTCTACTTCATTCTGCGGTCCCCAGTATCTCAACGATTCCCTGTCTGGCCTGTTCATTCTCCTCTCACCTGGTTACTGGTTTGAAGGTGGATAATGGGGTTCACTGGGTGCGAGCAGCTTTGCGTGAATCTTTCAAGTCTATTTAACATCATCTCCAGCTTGGTACGATGGACCAATGCCCCCTCGACTGGCGTGGACCTGATACGTCACAACATCATAATGAATCATCAAGTGCGGCTACCCTTTCGTAACCGTCGAGCGCAACACTGACGGTTCGCGGATAAGGGCGTTCTACGGGGAAGGTGGCAGGTTGGACTGAGCTCCTGGCGGTCACGTTTCACAGGAGAATCGAGCGATATGAGGAGTCTTGAACGTCCACTTTACACCGTAACCATGAATGGTATGTTCGCATATTCGTGACCTTGGCTGTATGGGATTACACGGTGTGCAAGCACAGAGAACACCTTCGTCATGCTCGAGGACCCGGCGGCGCCCAACAGAGGCGACTACTTGAGGCTCAAAGTAGCCCATGAACAGGGACAGCCCCCACAGCCCTTTCTAGCAGTACCTCCTCCCCACTATCACTATACCCTTGTCACTGTAAGTCCGCCGGGGGCGCTAGAACAACTCATGTCCCACCTGGGTGTAGTTGGCAAGCGCTGGGTGCGCACTGGTGGGGAGAAGGGCCAAGGCTCTGGTCACCATCTGAACATTGACGGATATATATTTTCAATCGGCAATGACTGGCTCGTCCGCTTTGGCCATGTTATGTGGGCGGAGGCGCCGTGAAAGGATTGCTCATTGAGGTACGCCCTCACCGCGGCCTCCATGCACTGTTTTTCTTATCGCCGTGGTAGGCTGAATACTTGCCCTTGCCCGACCTGCATACCGAAGGAGGAGAGGGTCGATCCGAGCTGCTCTCGGACTTCCTTTCCTCGACCATCCCCTTGCTCCCAGATTCGGAGATCTGGACAGTTGCCGTGAGTGACGAGATGTGGGCCGAGGTACTCGCTGGGCTGGATGAGGATGATACCGAAGAGGAAGGGGAGAAGATGGACGAGGACGAGGAGGATTTGTTCCTCTCGCCTGATTTTCTCCCAACCCCACGAAAGACCGACTGGTTAGGTGTAAATAGGGACAACGGTCGGCGTATTTGATACAAGGAGCTCTCAAGGGAGAAGCTCTAATATAGACTAAGATAGACGAGAGCAGTACTGAGTGTATGTTAGTGGTGGAACATAAAGCTTAGCTTCATATTCCACTGCCGTCGGCCAGTCAAAATGGTATTTTGATTTTGAGCGTGATCGCAGGATTTACGTCAATTGAAGAGCCCGGCGCCAACGCGGACTCGGTCTGACTCGCGACCTGCACACGGGTGGATTGTCTTGTCCATGCTCTTCACAGCCTGGCAGTGATGCTGAAACCACTGCAAGGTTTCCCAAATTTCTCTTCCTAAAGGGTGGAACCCACTTGAAGGAGAGCATTCACTGCACTCTCGACTCCGGCCAGGATGTTGGGACTTTGTCGACCAAGCTCGAGCTCAGCGGTCGCAGCCACCCTCCGCGTCCGAAACACTTCCAGTCCGAGACCTTCTCGAGTCGTTCCTCGTCCACCGCGCTTCACTTCTATCAGAACAGACAATTGGAGCTGTATGCTTCACGGGATGCTCAAGATTGACGCTAAGGCAATTGGTACTCCCAATGTCTTCGTGAAACCGGTAGACGCATAACACACGGTTGCCTACAGGTGTTCTTTGGGCGGTCAATCACGGAGGAGAGGCTTATCAAAGTGGGTTGCCCATGGTCCACTACTATTGCTGAGCCTTGACAACGGTTGAAGAGCGCGAACTATGTTCGCACTGAGCTTCCCGTGCGGATTGCACATAGGCTGCGGATATGCAGACCCTACCATACGTCGTAGTGAACCAAGAAGGTGTAGCGAACGTGTACGAGGTGAGAGAAGCTTCATTAATCACCTTGATGAGTTTGAGACCTAACGCTATATAGGCCTACTGGTCTGCCTTCGATAAGTACGATTACGTCTTGCATCGAGTTTCTGGCGAAGTGCTCAAGGATGATCCTTATCCCAGGTTCCGGAGATACCCAGAGATCAAGACGATACAGGAAAATGACGCGTTCTGCAGGTTCGTGCGGGGTCTACTCGACGAACAGTGAGCGCGCAGTCTTCATCTCAAGCCTGTGGATCGTTGAACTCGACATCGCAGCAAGGCAGTTATCCCCAATCTCTCACTGGGACTGTCTTTGTCCTCACCATATCTCGAACCTGACCGGCTCGACTCATTTATGCACCGCATGTTGGTCTCTCGCATATCACGTCGGGTCTTGGCGGAACACCACATCGCGCTCTCGAGGTACTTCTCAACGCGGCAGGATGGCAAGCGCATCCCTGAGAATCGCGTCGGCGTGATACACTTGCGTTTGCCAGTGAAGGACAGCATCGAGAAATGTGCAAGATTTCTGCGCAAACGGGCATACGATGCTGAGCAAGACCAAATCGAAGGCACTTCTGCCGACGCTCCCTGGCCGGAGGTGGTCATCGAAGGGCACTTAGACATCAAGTTCTCGTATATCCCTGCACATCTTGAGTATGTTCACGCATAGCGCACAGAGACCACGAAGCTTACGGCCGTTGACAGATATGTCGTCTTTGAACTACTCAAAAACGTAAGATGCCCTGTTCCGCTCGCTCCTTGTCCATAATACATTTTTACAGTCATTGCGAGCAACCCGTCTCAAACATACTTCGTTGCACCACCTTCCTCCAATACGCGCCACCGTCGTGGCGGGTGAGAACGAAGTTACCATCCGAATATCTGATCAAGGTAGGGACTGCAAAGTCGTGTACACACTCGCTGACTACTGCCTTCGACAGGAGGAGGGCTGCTCACTCCTGAGATCAATATCCGATGGACCTATTCTCATTCTCACACCTACGTAACCCTGCGCGTATGGACAACAGACGTCTCGGTGCACTCCGTACCATAAGCTCCAGTCAAACGGGCATGGTGGCCACTGTCGAGGAACAAGTGAAGCGTTGGGAGACCGAAGCAGATAGCGAGGATCCTCACAGGAAGCTGGGGTCAGCCCACATCCAAGGATCGGTATCGGCCTCCCGATGAGCAATATATTTGCAACGTATGACACTTCAATTGATCATGCGAGAGTGTCCTTGCTGACTGCTGTCGCCAGATACTTTGGGGGATCATTGGAGCTCGTCAGCCTCGACGGCTATGGTGAGCCCTCTGACTCAAGCCAATGATTCTTCCGTTCACTCGTCGTCAACCATACAGGCACGGATGCGTATCTCCGTCTCCCTAAACTGGTAAGTGAAGTGTGTACTCTCATGTCGAACTACCTACTCATGTACGCCTAAGGGTACAAATCTCGAGGGCATAGAGCTCTGGTAGATTCTGGTAGTCACGGTTGCCTGTCGGGAGTACACGGACTGACGTAACTTATATTCGGACAATAATACCGCATTCTTTCTCGATGTCACACAAACGGTTTCGGCCGCAATGCATGCGTCCCGCTTTTCTTTAGCAATCGCGAAGATTAATGCAAATGTCGCTGTGCGAAATCGAATGTAGAGACAGTCGTTGCGGCAACAGACGCCTACACGTGACTCGATGCTGTATCTTAAAGTGGGCGCTATGGAACTGCAGTTCTGTTTTCCAGACTGCACACTGACGGGATGGCAACCTCCTCCTCCAACCCTCAGACCCCTTCGCGCCCATCGATGCAGGCATCGCAGTCGTCATCCAGCGTGGCGAGCGGGCAATCGTCTCATTCGAACGGCAAACCGGCGGACTATGTCTACTTCGAACGGACAACGGCAGGCTTCTCCGATGATGCCGTGCCCCGCGCGAAGGGCGCACAGCTCAAGCTCGAGCACTTCTACAAGGTTGCTGTCGATGCGGCGATTGAGCGTAATCAAAGGTGCAGAAAGTCGTGATTGTGCGAGAACGCGTTGCTTACATTGGAAACGCAAGACGCGTCGAGCTTGAGCGAAAGCTGGCCGCGGACCCCAGCATGTCCGATGAGCGCAAGCAGCGCCAGCTGCAACACCTGGGCAAACGGGAGTCGGCTTTCCTCAGGCTGCGGCGGACGAGGCTCGGTCTGGATGACTTTAAGACGGTAAAAGTCATTGGCAAGGGTGCATTCGGAGAGGTACGCGCATCCCAGCGGGCAGCGGTGTCTTGTTTGTCCGTAAATCATGGTTCGATGATATTCTACAGGTCCGCGTAGTGCAAAAGCCGGACACAGGCAAGATCTACGCCATGAAGACCTTGCGGAAGGACGAGATGTTGAAGAAGGACCAGGTGCGTTCGGAGACACACGTGTTACACTGGTGCCGAGGCTCATCGTCGTCCTAGCTTGCACATGTACGCGCAGAGCGCGACGTACTCGCGGAGTCCAACTCGCCATGGGTTGTGCAGCTGTACTACTCCTTCCAGGACTCCGCATATCTCTACCTGATTATGGAGTTCCTACCTGGAGGCGACCTGATGACCATGTTGATCAAGTACGACACTTTCTCGGAAGATGTGACGCGATTCTATATTGCGGAGTGCGTGCTTGCCATCGAGGCTGTTCACTCTCTGGGCTTCATTCATCGGTGAGTTGGACCATGTCATTGTGATGCTTCTGGGGAACTGATGGGCTGGCTCGTTCCAGTGATATCAAACCGGACAATATCCTCATTGACAAAGATGGCCACATCAAACTGTCTGATTTCGGTCTGTCTACTGGCTTCCACAAACAACACGACAGCAACTACTATCAGCGCCTGCTGGAGTCCGCCAACGGCGTCGCATCACCCACTACGCAAGCGCGAAACAGTGTGATGGTCAATGCCATCAATCTGACCATGACCAGTAAGGACCAAATCGCCACTTGGAAGGCTAACCGTAGAAAGCTGGTTCGTATCACCCTCGGTTGTCTCAGCTTTACAAAGCTAATGCGCGTTCTCTAGGCGTACTCGACTGTCGGTACACCAGACTACATCGCGCCTGAGATCTTCCTCCAGAAAGGTTACGGCAACGAGTGCGACTGGTGGTCACTTGGTGCGATCATGTTCGAGTGTCTTGTCGGCTACCCACCGTTCTGCTCCGAATCGACCCATGAGACGTACCACAAGATCATTCAATGGCAGAACTACTTGATGTTCCCCGACGATGTTCACCTGAGTCGCGAAGCTGAGGATATCATCCGACGGTCAGTTTTGCCTCACATGTGGTACGACCTGTGACTCACTACGCTGTGTCTTGTAGATTGATAACGTCTCCGGATCGTCGTCTGAGCGTGGATCAGCTCAAGCACCATCCGTTCTTCTACGGTGTCAACTGGACGGGAATTAGGAACATCGACGCTCCCTTTATCCCTCGTCTCCGTTCCATCACCGATACGTCTTATTTCCCTACGGACGAGCTCGAGCAGGTGCCAGACGAGCCCGTTGGCGCGGATACCACTGGCGCAAGCAAGGATCTGGCATTCCTTGGGTACGTGACACTACATGGAAGTATCGATGCTCGGGCTAACAGGCCGCCGATGCAGCTATACCTTCAAGCGTTTTTCGATTTCGTCTCCAGCATTCTGAACAACCTGAAACTTGCTCTCACATCACCTGTTGGCACGGCTTGTGGCGACCTCTGTAACATACTCATAGCTCTGCACTTCGTTCATGTACCTAGCAACATTCACGACAATCATGAGACTGCTCTAGGATGGACAGGATAACAATTACACGATGTGGTTAAGATTGTACAGCTGTCGACGCAATTGACTACTGGTACAACAAATGGATGATGTTCCTCTAACTAGCTGATGCTACAAGAACGAAGGTCCTACAAACGGAACGCGACGAGACGACCGGCAAACAATATTACTCTCATGCACGGAGAAGAGGTTTCATCTACAAGGATCTTTAGCTCAGTTGCGTGAATGCAGGAGCTGCCAAACTCACTAGTTCCATGAATATAGGGAGCAGTTGTGGAAGGTGAAATAGCTCGGGTGGTTGGATAGTAGGTTCTTTCTTCTTTTTCGGCGGCAAAGACTGGGGCCTTGTCCTCGATCTTGATCGTGGACGTACAGGGGCCGATCTGGGGACAGGTGGTGGTGGGGATTTCTTCCCAGACTGCTTCAGTATCAACGAGCGCGAGTGGCGGAGATTTGCAGGAGGGCGATCTGTGGATGAACGGGGCGAGGACTCTTGACTGCTCGGTTTCGATTTGAACTTGGACCGTGACGGAAGAGGAAGAGGGACGTGTCCAAGTGTACGCGATCGCTTGACCGGCGACGTAGGCGACTGCGACGAGGTGGATGCCGTCTGCGAGTCGGGAGACCGAGGCGAGACAGCCGGGGGTCGTTCTCGCTGTCGTGCATGCGGTGTTCCCTCACGTTCCGTCCGGCCACCCTCGCTCCCATCACTGTCGTCGCTGCTGTCAGTCTCCTCCGAGTCGTCTTCATCGCTACTCCACTCGTCTTCGTCGCTCGAGTCGTCCTCCTCCGAGTCTGTCTCTTCCGCGGCAAGATCGTCCGCGTCGCCCTGTATCAATTCGCCGAAGCTGAGATCCTTGACGACACTATTGACAAGCTCTGCCGCTACCTCGTCTTCGGCATCTGCGTCATTCATGCCCTGCGTGCGCCCGAAGCGCTTGCGGACCTTGTCCTCGTACGCGACCTTGAGCTTGTAGTGGTAGAGCGCAATCGCGTCCACCTCGCGCATGATCGCCTCCCGCTCAGACCCCGTGTGCGGCAGGATGAACTCCATGCTGATGCGCTCCCCGAGGCCGTCACGCATGAGCGTGATGAACAGCTCGATCCAGCGCATCAGGTCCGTGAAGAGGCCTTCACCCTTGGAGTGCACCTTGTGCACGAAGCTGTAGAACGCCTGCTCGTGCCGTTTGACAAGATCGATATAAATCTGAACGGTCTTCGCGGGGTCTGATTGACTGACTAACAGCCGTAAGCAGTTAGCTATATTGAGGTGTGTGATAAAAGACGCAGCAGACGTACGCTCTTCAGTGGATTCGACAGTCCGTATGAGATCGTTTATGAAGTTCTGCAGGTCGCCCAGCGAGTCCGAGATGCTCGCAGCGCGGTACACCTGCGCCAGCGGTGCATAAAATATCGTTATGATATCCTTCAGCAGGTCAGCCGTTGAACCCTAACGCGACACCATCACTACACAAATCCATGGCCAGAGGAGTCAATGAGGCGCACCTCAAAAATGATCTCAATCAGCTGTTCCCTATCCCTCATCCTCGAATACAGCCGTGCAAGGACGCTCAGGTCTTCGAACAACCACGCCTGCTCATCTTGCGGGCCGTCATCGTCGTCTGAGTCCTGGAGGGACTCGACATGTTTGACGTATTCTTTATGCGCCCGGTGCGCATAGTGCACACGCTGCATCTGTGCACGAGAGAGCATTGGCTCCTCTGCGGAGCGTAGGACAGCGGCAAGGAGATGGATATCTTCCGCGGCTGTCAACGGAAGGCAAGATGTTCAACTGGTAGACATAACATGATATAGCTACAGCGCGTACCAGCATCGGCCTTGTAGACCGCCTGGATTTCGCGCGGCGCATACACGAATTGGCGGATCTTCTCACAGAGAATAGGGTCATCAACCTTGTCTTTGACTGCCTCGACGTCTTCCTCGATGCCCTTGACCTCCTCGACCAGGGAGCCTGTGAACATCCTACGTGCACATAAGCCTCCGTGTCTTACATACAGTACATGACCTTACCGCTGAAGAAGACTGCGCCCGCCAAACGGCTGCGCGAGGAATAAATCCAGCACTCCTATAGTGTGAAGCGCCATCCTTGAGTTAAACACCAAGTAGAAGGGAACTGTCAACGACGCACCGCGGATCATCACCACCGGGTTGCTGACCTTAAGCGCGGTCTTGAGCATAAAATACGGCATGAGCCCATGTATGCGCTTCAAGCTGGCAAACGTCTCCGACGCGTTGTCCGCCGCGACGAAGTGCTGGAACACGGTCGAGGCTAGCCTACATTGGGTAGCTAGTGATCAGTCTGGCGTAGGTACAGAAGACGATTGGCTCAGGCAGATGGAGGGACATACGAGATGCGGCCCACTCGATGACAGCCTGGAAGTTCTCCGGTAGATTGCGTATGTCGTCCGTGACCTTGATTGTCGCGAAGATCTGTGTCAGACCATCTGCAGATGTCCCATTAAGTTTGATCCGGCGTAAGCGCACTTGAGATGAAGAACGTACCCTTCGCGAATAGCTCTCCCTTCACGCTCTTCGCCGCATCCCTCAGTCCGTCTACCCGTGCAGCAATCTCCTTCGCAAATCTCTTACGCCCGTCTTCCCTCAGCTCATCGGCTTCCTCCCTGCGCCTCGCGTCCTCCAGCTCGTCTGGGCTCAGCTGAGTCGGGCCACTCAGCAGGAAGGAACGCAGAACGGGTGAGCTAGCCAGCTCTGACACTGCCAGGAGGGAATGTAAATAGGCACGGAGGGTCAGCCGGTTCTTCTCGCGGGCCAATTTAGATGCCCCGCCACTGTATCCTTGCCCGGACGCAAACGATATCGGCGAAGTGGGGCTCATCGTCCCCTGACTCGAAAACGAGTCTCTGCTGGCGTTATTCTGGTCCTGATAGAGCCCCCGGGCATCGAGAATGACGAGGGTGGTGGGGGCTCCCCGGAGGAGCAGCGCGGAAGCCGGGGGGACTGGTTGTCGATACGGAGGTGCTTATGTTGACGATCGTTCGGTCCTTGGCTGGCGGCGCGGGGATCGCCTCGCCCGGATGGGCTTTGCGCAGCTCGTTCGCAAGCGTCTTGAAATCGCCATACCTGCGCGAGACGAAGACGTCCTTCTGATGAGGGCGTCGCGTGCGTATAATGAATTCCTTATGACTTCATATAAGCACGCAAAGCTTCCTGATCATAACTATTGCGTACCTCATGAACTCTGCTGCGTACGCGCCCCTTCTCAGTAACGGTCCGCACACATACAACATTGATCTCAAATTTGTCCTTTATCCTGCCTTCCCTCGCCGCCCGCTTCTTCGCAATCATTTCCAGCCGATCAAGATCCGCCTGCTTCAGCCGCACGACCTCCTCCTTCTCCTGCAGCTTAGTTCCACTGGTCATGAGCATTGCAGCATGTCTCTCCAGCTTGGCAAGCAGCTTGTGGCGGGCAGCCTCCTCGCTATCCTCATCGCCTTCATCCAGGACACCTGAAGAGCTCAGGTTCCGTGAGAGCATCGACGCCAAGAACGGCTGGAGCTTGTCCGGGAAGAAATTGCGGGGTGCGTCGGCCAGAAACGGGAAGGAGATGACAAACTTGCGGAAGCAGTAGCATAGGAAGGGTAGCTCGAGCGAAGGCGCGCCCTTGGGCGGTGGTGTGAAAGGTGGCCCGAGGTACGAGAAGGGGGAGATGTTGTTTGTGGGCACCGCGGTGAGCGCATTGAGCTCGCGCTGGAACTCAAGGGATATGAGCTCCTTCTTGAGATAGTGCGCGCGTAGCGGTGTGAGAGTGTCGGATCGCTCGCAGAGAGTTCGTGTACTGGAGACGCATGTCCGGCGTCGGGCAGAGATTTCTCCTCGTGAACGGATGATTCGTGCAGGATGGGTGGGAGTGGCTTCTCCTCCGCGATCGTTGGAGAGTGTTGAATGGGCGGGAGTGGCTTGTCGCTCGTGTTGGAACTGGAAGGCTGAGCGGGAAGAGGCATAGATCGCTGCGTCGGAGAGGAGAGGGGGGTGGCGAACGTATCCTTGGGCGAGCTAGAGCCAGAGGTAACGGGGGGCTCCCTGTCGTAGGCGACGGCGACAGACTGCGAGGAGAAGAGTCGACATCGCGGTTGGCGATGAAGACGATGGGAGGGACGGCGGCCTCAGCGCGAGAGCAGCTTGAGCTAGTCTCGCTGCCGGCGCCGTGCTCTCTCATCGGACCCGCCGGTCAGCGCGTGACGTCACAGCGATTGGGCGTCACAACGGACCCGCATCGGCGCGCATCCCCGCCCGATCCGGCAGTCGGCCATTTGCGCCGCACTTCTCTCACCCGTCCTCCCTCTGCGCACACGCCGCCGTGTTTCAGCACACAGTGCGCTTCTAGCTGCAGCGAAAACATAGCTTCTAGCAGCGAAGAAACGACGAGGAAGGGGGCTGGCTGGTTCAGTATCGCTATGTCAAGGAAGAGTTAAACCTGTGCGTGAGTCGCGATGCAAGTCTCCGAGTCCTCCTAGACTGGCTTCCGGTTTTACTGTTTGCATCGCTCTGCGCACAGGGTCTATTGGGGGCGGTCTTGCTTCCCGTGCTTAGCGTTGCGACATGCATCCCTTGCGTCTGCCACGAATCAGTGGGTACATAGATTGGTGCTCTAGATCTTCCACAACAAGGCGATGTTGCGCATCGCCCACCCCTTGGCCGTGCATCCAAGCATATCTCAAGGGTATGTCACCGTTGACGCATGGACAAGCTATCTGCATTGTGGAACCCTCGTCAGCAGCTCAATGTGTACATGTTCTTCCGGCGCTCCGGAGCCATGCCTTGCTCTGCTCAGGCTTTGAAGTGCAGGTCCGCAATGGCATGTCGGAACCATCAGGATGGGCTTCTCCCTGGGCACGTATCGCACCTCCCTTTATATAGGGCATTGACGCGTCTACCATCGGTACCAGGAGCCGTTCACCATCTCCAAGGTAAGTTACGCTTGTCTAGCCGCGCATGCCAACACTAACAGTGATTCACCTTTCAAGGTGCATGCAGTCTCTCTCAGATATGATTGCTCCTGTAGTTGAGGACAAGAATGCCTCTCAACCGCGTCTCCCCGTCGAAATTTTCGAACGCATCATCGGCTTCGGGTCCACGGAGGACCTTCTCACCTGTGCCCAGGTGTGCAAGACGTTTTACCCCCTCAGCCGGTACCTCTCCCTCCGAGACGTCTACCTCAAAAGCCAGCAGCACACATACCGGCTCTCACAGCTCCTCCGCGGTAACCCAACGCTGGGTCAGGCCATCGAGAGCGTGTCCATCCTCGGCAGCCCAGGGTCCGGCCACAACGACACCGCACATCTAGTAACCTTCGCCACGACGTGTGCCTCCCTGGTACCCAACCTGCGCAGTCTCACACTGCGCGACGTCAAGTGGGCAGGGGGTTCGCTGCGTCGGGACGTATGTCTGTACCTGACGAGGCTACGCAAGGTGACCGAGCTCACGCTGGAGAACGTCGAGCTGTCCTCGGCGGCGGCGTTTGCGGCCCTCCTGTGTGCTCTGCCAGCGCTCGATCTTCTGAGGTGTGCCAAAGTGCGGCTGCGAAACAGCGGGTTCAGGCATCTGGCCTTCCGTCGTCCTCCTGCACGGCGGAGATTCAAATTTCGTGTCTGTACAGACGACATTGCTGCTCCGGCCCTGAGGCTCGTCATTGCGGATGCCCTGAGGATCGTCGATATGTTCAGCTTCTTCATGACGCTGGATGTCGACGGCCCATTGACACACATCGCGGGCTCTGGTATCCGTTCTTTACTGCAAGTCTATGACATGTGTCTGCTCGTGCGACTGTCGCTGAACTTGGACCATTGCGGTGTGGAGCCGCAACAGGCACTGCAGGTCGTCGGTGAGTTCCTTGATATGGACAGTTGATCTGACGCGTTCTCACTTACTGCCTTTGTGCGATTCGGTACAGAGCATCATTTCTCTCTTGCGCCCCTGGAGTGCTTAGATTCGATACTCATCACAATCATCATCGGCGCCGAAGAAGTATCGGGCTTCGATTTCGCGTGTTTCGCGGCGCTGCTTGCGTCAGTCACGTCTGGGATCTCGTGCATCCAAGTGGTAGTCAAGGTCGTCGGGGAAGGCATCGGCGACGGCGTGCGGTTGATGCGGTTGCTGCTGAGCGGGGCCGCTACCACCGACAACATGACGAAGATCGATCGCATCGTGTCTAGCCCCCCTTTCACGAGGGAGTCGCGCATCTGGATCTCCAGCACACTGTGCATGACGAGGGCACAGCCTGGATTCAAAGAATGGATTAGGACCGTGCAGCACAAGATGCCCACGCTTCACGCTAATAAACAGCTGTGCGTGCTCTGCTGTGTATGCCTTCTACTTGACGCGTGCTGACGTGCACTAAGTGACTTGTATTAGGTACTCGGCACACTGGAAGCGAGGGCGGGAGGGCTGACGAGGGAGCCCGACATGCTACTTTCGGGATACGTCGGGATACGAAGGTAGGAACTGCCATTGATGCTTCTGTTTGGTGATAGACACTCTGTGAGCATACGAATTCGTCCCTTTCTACCCCTGCCAGGGGCTCCTATGCATGTTTGGGACGCTACGACGACAGAAGGCCGACCTGAACGTGAGTGATATGAGTGTACGACCGAAATTCCGTGAAACATTGTGATGGGGTGAACCGGTCGGGAGGTGCGCCGTGCTATGTACCATGGAACACTCCCCTTGCCTCCTTGAAGTCTAGGGCCTGCCTGGAGGAGACTAGCATTGGCCAGTGCGCATCTCGGACGACACTTCTGACTTGCAGTGCCTGCCATCCATGTCCTGCAATAGTTACATGGCATGCCTACCTCGGTGCTACGCGGACTGATATAATTGCACGATTAATTGCCCTGGATAGTTGACTGGCGTATGTGGAGGTGTTCAGGCTGGACCAATGGAGACGCGTTGAGGGCGCGCATCGGGCAGCGTGATGAAAAAGGAGATGATCGCGTGCACCGGGTTGTACTACTACAAATTCGTACTCGTACAGGGTCCTCTCTTCTATATGCCTCCCAGCAGCGCACATCCGTGTCAGGGAGCGTACACCCGCCCCCGCGGTAGGTTTTCCCATTGTCGTCCAGCAGACCCTTCAGCCTCGCCGCAACTCCGCGCACGCTCTCCCGCCCCGCGTCCATCTCCCGCCACGACCCCGCCACGGTCCAGCACTCTGAGCACGCCTTGCTCGCGGCGTTCACGGTCTCGAGCTCGAGCTCGCCTCTGTTGTGCAGCGCGACGAGCACGTCGATGAGGTGTTGGAAGCCGGTGTGCCAGCTGCTGAGCCCGTGCTCGGGGTTCATGGTCGTGTCAGTGATGAGATGCGAGGACGCGAGGCCGAGGCACTTGCGCAGCACGCGCTGGTCAATCGGGCCTGACGCGGACGTGCGGCCATGGTGGGCGACCATGGCCAGCACGAAGGCACCATAGTCGGTCGAGGGAGAGGGAGACGGTGTGCGTCTGCGGGTGGGCTGCCGCTGGACGATCAGAAGACAGGTCAGGCTGGACACATGTAGGGCAGGCAATGCCAATCGAGGTGCATCTGGGAACCCACATCGGACTCGGCCATGGGAGGCCTCGCGTACTGTCCTATACGGGAGCGCGGAGCCCTGTATGCGTCGAGCACGAGAAAGTTGACATGAATACGCATGCTGGCGGAGAGAGGAACAGACGGCTCACAACGAGAGCTGGCATGCAGCGGTCGTCCTGCCAGCAGACTCGGACGCAGCGGAGGCGCGGTGATGCACCGGTCAGTGGGCGTCCATCCCCACTTCAATGTCTTCTTACCGAGCAGCGGCGGGCCACTTGCCATATCCGGCTTCCCCGCCGTCACGGCATTCGCCCTGATCAGGGCGCCTGTTCCCCCCTGAGCACAGGCGCCCATACTGCTCGCCAGCGAGTCGTCGGCGCTTACGGGCTGCACCAGCCTCCAGGTCTCCTCGGTCAAATTGGAACGACACAGGCAAGATGGCCTCCGTCCTCCTAAAGTACCTCACCCCGCCCCCGGTCAACCTCTCTCCCGACTATGAGGGTACCGAGTTCCGGTGGAAGTTCCTCACCATCCGACCAGCATGTAGGTGTCATCCCTGAGTGCTGCTCGCCCTGACTTATGCGGGGCGATGTAGTCTTTCAGAATGAGCCGTACTTCATTGCAGCCATTCTTCTCTTCGCCGTGCTCTACTTCTGGGGAAAGCGGGCGAACGAAAGCAGGGTCAACAAGTGGTGCGTAGAGTCTCTAAACACCGAGCAGTCGGAAGCAACTCATGCTGAGTCGCATTGTCAGGTTCGATGCACACTCGTCATTACTCGAAGCTCAGTTCTCTAGTCCTGTAGCACAAAAAGGCCTTGTCCGCGGTACGTCAAGCATCCATCTGTTCGCGCACCCTGTTCCACGGACTGAGCACGCCCCTCACAGACGGCAACTCCGACTGGTTCAACTTCTCCACCGGCCGTCGCGCGGTCAAGTCCCTGCACACGACCTTCACCCTCCGCCCGCGCCACGACCTCCTCCAGCTCGCCTACCAATTCGGGCGCGGGCTCATGGAGCTCGACTACAAAGCCGCCGACGCCGTCGAGCTCGACTTCGCCTTCAGCGCGCCCGCCTCCGCGAGCGCCGTCCCGACTGCGTCTTCGCCGTCGTCGCGAAGGACGAGCTGAAGGGCATCCGCGCGCGCCGCTGGGACCTCTCCTTCACCAAGACGACCGACCAGCCGTCCCTCCCGCCCTCGCTCACCGCCATGTCCGAGTTCGCGGACGTCACCACGAACCTCCTCAGGCCCCTCGGCGCGCTCGACCTCCCCGCGGTGCTCTCGAGCCCGTCTACCCTGAAGTACTTCCGCTCGCTGTCCATCACGGACCAGCCCCGCGCCCGGCCCAGCGCGCCCCTCCCCCAGAGCCAGCGCGGCAAGCATCTCATCCTCGAGCTCACTCTTCCCCCATCGTCCGACGCGGCTGCCACGCTGCCGTTGATCCAAGCCGCCTTCCAACTCGTCGACGCCATCGCGGGCGAGGGCAAGGCAACAGGGATGCGCGGAGGCCTCAGCGCGCAGCTCAGACCCGAGACGAAGAACAAGCTGAAGAAAGTGCGCGAGGACATCGAGAAGCAGATCAGGGAGGAGGCGAAGCGCGAGCAGAAGGAGGAGGAAGAGGAGAAGCGCGCCGCGGCGAAGCGGAAGGCGGAGGAGGATCGTCTGAGCAGGTTAAGCGCGGCGGACCAGAAGAAAGAGTTGGACCGCGAGAAAAAGCGCGCGATGCGCAAGACGCAGACCAGGATGAAGGCGCGGTAGCCGCGCGTGAGCATACCTGTCGGGAGGCAGTATCTATTGCCCGCTGTACTTCGAATTGTTCTTGGGTATTAATACAATCTAGTGGTATTGTTATTGCTACATGATGTTCCAAGTGATCCACAAGTCCAAGAGTGACAAGAATGCAACGATGAAGCAAGATGAGATCATGCAGCTGTTGTCTTGGTTGTCTTGCCGCAGGACGCATCCGAGGCTGAGTAGGCGAGGCAGGCAGAGACACGCAACTCGTCTGCAATTCCTCCGACGCGTCCTCCCTGTCCGACTGAACCTCGTCCTCCTTCGGAGGTGTCGATTCCTTCTTCTGGCCCGCAGCGCCCCACTTGCTGCCCCAGTAGTTGAAGAAGTTGAGCAACCACGTCGGGCGCAAGCTCTGGTGCTGCACCGCGTCCACCTCATCTTCGCTCTCCTCCATGTCGATCGCGTCCGCCCCAGGCAGGCCCTCCTCCTCCTCCGCCTCACTCTCCGTCCTCCCGAGCGCGTCCACGAGCCGCTCGCGCCCGTCCAGCGTCCACTGCACACGGTTGAACCGCCCATGCGCCCCGCGCACGCCCTGCGGGTGCTTCCGCCCCGTCCCGAACGTCTTCTCGCGGAGCGCAAACACCCGCCGGCGGGGCTGCACCGCCATATGCCACAGGTCCTCGACGAGGTACTGCGCGCTCTCGTACGCGAGCGCCTGCGTCTCCTGCGTCAGCACGTCCGCGCGCGCGCGCGCCGCCTCGACCTGGTGCAGCAGCCCCGCGCGCTCGCGCAGCTCCGCGAGGCCGGGGCGCGCCCGCTCGTGGTCCGTCCGCAGGTGCGTGTTCGTCCGCGAGAGCCGTTCCGTGAGCGCGGCGAGGCACGCGGCGATGTTCACGAGGTGCTGCTCGCGCCGGTACATCACCAGCAGCTGCCCGCAGAGCTCGACGTCGACCCGCATGCGCTCGAGCGGGAGCACGCGCGTGTCGGCCATGTCCGCGGCGGCGTCGAAGGAGCGGCACCGGCGCGGACCGAAGGTGAGCGTGCGCCTGCGCCGCGCGGTGTCCATCTCGGTGTCGCTGGCAGTCACTTCCGTCTCGTCATCCTCGATCGAGTCCGTCCGCCGAAGAGTTGACAGATGCGGCTCCCTCTCGTCGGACGAGATGGAGTCGACGAGTTCCTTCGCGCTCAGCGGGTCTGACCAGCTGATGATGCGCGACTGATAGTGCGGCCTGGTCGAGGGCCGCTTCCTGTTGAACTCGGTGACGCGCCTGTCATACTCGGAGAGTTGGCTTGCAGAGCGTTGCGCAGGGGTGTATGACCCGATCCCAAGCATGGTGGGTACGGCATTCTCGACTAGCGATACACCACGGCTTAATGCGCGTGCTCGGAGAACGTGAAAGAGTACACGTACAGATGGGGACGCCTGGCCGCTGCTCAGTGGTTCTTCATCGTCCGGGTCCCTGGAATGGCCTTGTCATCACATGCGTGCGGTTGATATGATGTGTCACTTACCCTGTGATCCTCACCGAGGGTACTGTTGACGAGGGACCAGACTGTTCAGACTGTCCACCGCGATTCTTCCCTAGGTTGCCAAAATCAACACTGAGCTTCTTGGCCCGTCCAAGGCTGCACAATAAACGGATCGTAAGAGAGTGCTTCACGAAGAGTCAATACACTTACGCTGCCCAGCTTTCGATCTTGCGCTGCACCCTCCGCACGGGCTTGTACGACTCGCTCTCGTCGCCCGATGATCTCACGTCTCGCTCCCTCTCCTCCCTCTCCTTCTCTCGATCCTTATCCTCGCGACTTGTCTCGATCTCTGTCCCGTCCTTCTCTCGTTCTCTGTTCTCCTTAGTGTCCTTCTCCACCTCCTTCTCCTCCCGCTCCCGTTCCCCATCACTCCACACCGCCTCCTTCTCCCTCCTCTTCTTCCCGACATCATCCGGCCTCCCCGTCCACAGATACCTCAAGCTGCTCGGCGCGTCCTTCGCCGAGCTCGCCACCACGAGCCGCACGAGCGCGCCGAGGTCCGCCGTCGGGTTCACGCCGCTCGCGCCCTGGCCCGGCGGCGCGCCCTCGCCGTCCGCCGCGGAGCGCAGGTCGTCCACGAGGTCGTCGAGCTTGCTGATCAGCACGCGGTGCACCTTGTACGACTCCGTCGGGCGCATCTTCTTGTCGTACGCGGCCTGGACCGCCTCGACGAGCGCCTGCGAGAGGTACGCGACCGGCGGCGTCGGCGAGGGGACGGTCGACGGCGCGATCGAGCCGTGGTGCGCCTTGTGCGGGCTCGTGGCTCGGGGAGGGGAGGAGGTGCGCGGGGAGGAGATGGAGTGACTGTAGCCGTGTCCATGTCGTTGAGGAGACTGGAAGGCGGTGAGGGCGCGGGTGAAGTTGCCGGGGTCCAGGAAGGGGTCCTTGGGGACGTAGTAGCCGAGGGCGTGCAGCTTGTTCCTGGTGGTGAGAATGAGACTGAAGAGGGCGGATAGTACTGTCGGGTCTGCGACCCGCTCTGTGGGCTGCGAGAGAAGACTCGGTGAGTCGACGCGTGGACACTTTGAGATAGCACGTACTTCAATCTTCATGCATGGCTCCCCGACCTCGGCTGCCCAGCGCCGGATGCCATCGCATGTTACATCACACAGCAGGCCGTTCCTCTCCTCCGGAGACGTGTCGAATAGCTCGAACATCGCCAGCCCGGCCTGGGTGAGCTTGACGAGTTCGAGTACAGTGGCATTGAAGCATGCAGCAGAGCGCGCGTTCCCTTTGTCGGGGATATGGTACATCAGGATGAAGCGGTCCTTCGTGGTATCACTACGTGAGTCGTCTCAGCGCTCTACCCATGTACGAGGCATTGAACAGCCGTCCGCCTACCTTGGCTCCTCGAGAGTGAGCGCACTGCGCCCGCTGCAGCCCATGCGCAAGAGATTGATGTTAGTATACAGCTGTTCACGGACTTCGAGGAAGTTGCCCCGGGGTATATGTACAATGGTATAGTCTGAGCGGAAGTTTGCGAGGGAAGTGACCATGAGGGTACCGAGACCTATCTGATGTGACGTCAACCGCTCTGAACGCGTGAGTTGACTCGTATGCCACTCACATCCTTGGGTCGTGCTCCTTCACTGCGAAGGTGTCGGAGCGCTTGGTCCCATTCTGTCTGAGCTTCCGAGGGACTTAGTGATGAAGACGGTGAGAGGGCGGTGACCAGTATCTAAAACAAACTCAGCCAACAAGGAGGCCGCGCGAGTGACAGCCAGTAGCATACCTTGTGTTGCGGATCTCCGGTGAACACTGTCAAGACGATTACCGGTCGTCGGCGCTCGACCACCCTGACAAGTCCGAGTGAGTCGGAGGAGGTCAAAGTCGCGACGACGCCAGACAAAGGCGAACGCAACTCACCACTTCTCCACCGCGTAGATCTGGTACCCCGCCAGCTCAATCTGCTCCTCCACAATCTCGAACCTCCGCCCGCCCCCGATCCAGTCGGGCATGGCTGCGGTCGCCGACTTGTCGCTCTGGTCCGAGAGGAAGGACGGGTTGGAGACGGAGCCTGCGCGCGACCTCGACATCTTGGACGGCGACGCCTTGTACGGCGGTATCTTCGGTGAGCCCATGGTCGGCTTCGCGGAGCGCACGGTCGGCATCAGCAGCCTGCGTGCGGCGCCGCGCCCGATTGCTGGGTACTGGCATAGGTGGGCGACGTGGCGGGTGTATCGACAGGCGTGGTTGGGGAGATGCGTGCGGCGCCTGTGACGAGATGGGAGTGGGAGCGCGAGACGAGCGGGGAGAGGGTCGGGGTGGGCGGGGACGCGAGGGACTTGGAGGGGCCAACAGCGGCGAGGGACGGGCGGCGAGAGTGGGTGCGCGAGCTGGCGGAGGACGGCCCGGACGCGAAGGACGCAGGCATGGAGAGGCGGGAGACGGCCTTGTCCGTCATGCCTGCCCCCGTCGGCGTGGTGGTCGTGCGTGGACGCGCGTGGCGGGACTCGTCCTCGGTGTGGCTCGGTGTGGCGGTGGCGGCGCCGGCGCGGTGACAACTGCAGGCGCCCGATCTGGCTCTCCCCCGCCCGCCTGATCCGGAGCGCCGTGCTCGATCGGCGGCCGCGCCCTGATGCCACTGCCGCATAATTGCCTTTTGTGGAAGCCGTCCAAATGCGTCCGCCGGCCGTGGCCTCCTCCCTCAGTATTACGTCCTCGCCCACGCGCAAGGCTATGTTCGAGCCGGGCCGACGGAGCTTTTTCTCGCCGCCAGGGTCTCGGCCAGCACCCCATTTCCCTGGCCCAGTCACGAGATAGCGGCGACCTTGTATTGTCCAGGCGTCTGAATGAAATCGGGGGGACGTAGGGAGGACGGTAGGGAGGGAGTACCTTCTTCCACGCCCGGCGAGCGGGCTCCTATGTTTCAGTCAGCACGCCGCTTTGCTTCGATGGCTTATCTCTCTGATGGCACGTCCAAATGAGGCCACCAATAGCCCCCCGGGTCCACGATCACGTTCCTCCCCCGAATTCGTCGGTGGGTTCAAGAGGAGGGCGGCGCGACGCGCTCCTTCTCTCAACCCCTCCAGCCCCCAGTTATTTCCCTGAGCGTAGTTCCATAGTATTCATGTCCTTTCACCCGTCTCACGACTGGGGCAGTCCGCCCCAGTGGTCTTCATCCCAGGCCTCGCCATGGGCCACATACCCCGTCCCGTCAGACGGAGGTGTTGGGTCTCAGATGTACGGCCAGGGCGGCCACACCCCTCAGGCCTGGGCTTCTTACCAGCCAATGCCTACTGACGGTCCTCAGGTGCGATTTGACGCGTCTTACCATTTTCTAGCGCGAGTTTGACGCGTCGTGGCCGTTGCCTATTTAGTTCTATTCCGCAGGACCTGAGGCTCAAATCAACGACCCTTCCAGCTATGAGATTGGAATGGATGTTGACTATCCGTCCCCTCCCGGCGAGCCCGCGGACGTAGAGATGGCCAGTGAGACTCCTCCGCCCCTTATTACTTGGAGGAGCCCAGAACGCCACCGCGTCGCCCCCTTTCGCGCGTCGCGACCGTCACCTCTAAGATTACGCATATCTCAGCCCATCGAAGTCCTCCCGCTCTCAATCCCCCTCAAGGCCGTGACCAACACCACTCGTCGGAACCCCCTCACCCCTATACGACGCAGCGCACTCAGCGAAAGCCGATCCTCTCGCACGCCAACCTCGTCCCGCGGCTGTCGACGGCTCGGTCTACTACCCACCCATCACCCCCGCCGCTGAAGAACCGGCGATACGCACGCTTTCTCGCACGCGAGGTCAACGAACTCACCGACCGCCTGTGCGATCTGACGATTGCTTCCGCCGACGCCGACGCCGGCGTCGCGAAGCACGAGGGCACTGTCTCTGACAGTGCCAGCATGCTGAGCGACGCTGGCTCAGATGCGACGCTGGCCCCCAGCGAGATGGACCTAGACACGAAGTCGGAGCTGGAGTTTGGACGGGGCATGCGCGGCGGAGACTTCAAGGAGATGCTCCTAAACCTCCTGGACAAGGTCCCACCTAGGCGAGCGCGACAATCGACAGGGGAAGAGCTCGCCGACGACGGAACATCAACTCCTCCTGTCCCCCGTGCGTGCCGTGGGTGTGCCACTCGCGGTCGCATAGTGAAACCAGTAAACATCGTCTGCCGCTTCGTGCGGCTGGCGTGCGTTTTTATCCTCGTTGCCCTCCTTTGTCCGGGAGGGAATACGGGGCGTAGTGCGCTGTGTACCGCCCGCAGGACATGCGGTGCGGCGACACTGAGCACAATCGACGGGCTCGGAGGCGCTTCGAATGGAGTGCCGCCGACCCATACCATGCCCATGGACACCCGCGCCACTCAACCACGACCACTTCATGCTCTCCAGCCCGACTCCTAAGGCTGTTTCCTTCGTCGACCTTCCACCTCGCTGCTCAAGATGCGATGGTGTCCGGTCTGCTGGGAATTGCCTTTGCCTTGGCAGGGCCACACTTCGCGCGCAATCCATTATGGTGTGCCACTCGCCACAATGGTTGGGATTCGGCTCACACCGTCTGCTGATGGCAGCGCCGAGGTCACACGCGCCAGCTTCGAAGTGCTTTCTAGACAAAGGTCGGGGTCGTCGTGTTCTGCGGAGGTGCATTGGGCCACTGGGTGTTGCGGACAAAGGACAAGGACATGTTTGGCTGGATCATCGCTCAGGCACTGTTATTATGTGTATATATCCTGTGTACGTATGTTGTTCTGTTTACCGCCGTGTATGTCGCTCGCTCTCGAATGCAAATCCCGTTATGTTACGGAATGGGGCAGACGAAGCTGAAGTTCCTATTTAGGGTTAGGACCGGTAGGGTTTCCCTCGGAGCGTGCCGAGTGGCGTGCCGGACGGGGCCGACAGCGGGCGTCTGGCCACAGTTGACTCTCGTCCAGACTCCACGCTCCAAGGGCGTGTCGCAGGCGCCTGCAATCCATTCCGCCCTCTCACTGCGTGCACTTGCTCCGACCAGATTCGACTTGAGGATCAATGCAGGACCAGGCAGCCCCGCCCACCCCAAGCGAAATCGCCGCCGCCATCGAGCGCCGCGTCCAGGCCGAACGCGAGGCCGCGCAGGCGAACGCGGCCCTCCGAGCACAGCGCGAGTTTGAGGAGACCCGCGACACACGGCAGGAGTTCAGACGGCTCATCGACCCTGGCATCCTTCGTCCAAACGCGCGCGAGCTCGCGCTCGAGTCTCTGATAGTTGCGTCTCCCCCTGTTGTGCGGTGAGGCGTCGGGCTGACTTGCTCGCCGTTGGGGCTGCAGACGCTCAAGACGTTGGCGGAGAACATTGTGGCGCATCCGGGCGAGGACAAGTACAAGAAGTTCAAGCCGACGAACTCGAAGATCAAGCGAGTGCTCGTCGACCCGAAAGGGACGTTGGAGTACGCTGTAGCGGTCAGTCAGCCCTGTAACTCTCCGCCGGCTCACCCTAACACAGAGTTGATGGTAGATGGGCTTCAGACCAGAGGTGCTCGCTATACCGCATACTGATTGAGGCCCCACTCAACCTCACGCCGCTTTACCTAGGTCGTAGACTTCCAGCCATACTACATCTGGGACGACCGTCACAAGCTCGACCTCGAGATCGGGCTCGCCATCATCCATGAGACCCTCGAGCGCGAGCTCGTCAAGCAAGAACGAGAAGACCGCACAAAGCGAGAAGCGAAAGAGGCGGAGGCAGCCGCGAAAGAGAAAGTCAGTCGTCCGTCCTCCACTTCACTACCCTCCACCGCGTCTTCGCCCCTGACCCACCACTCATCCACACAGCTCAAGCGCCAGTTCATCGACGACCGCAAGTCCACCGCCCTACGTGGAGAGCGCGAGCGAGAGGTGCGCGAGGCGCGCGCAGCAGCAGCAGCACGGCGCGCCGCCTCGCAGTCATCCGATGCACCCTCGCAGCCAAGCAGCCCCGCGCCCCAGTCCCCTCCTTCCCGGAGGACTCGCATGTCAGCGACACGGATACGCCCAATGTCGGGGACGGGCAGGACACTTGACGGACGGGTCGTCACGGAGGCAGATGAGGCGGAGGGGGCGGTACCTCCGCCGTACCATCCGCAAGGGGATCTCATAGAACTTGATGAGGACAGTGAGGGAGAGGACTGATGTGCGAAGACAGTGAGGTGCGGTGAGGATGTGGACTTGTCGTGTTGGTTGATCAGAATCTGCTCTCTTGTAAAGATTACTGCTACTACTACCAGTCATCGTGTAGACTATGCAAGCGTTTCAGCTTTGTGCGTCCCCTGAGACGCAGCCCGGTGCGCCCATACCCAATCATGCAAGCCCGGAGCTGAGACACATCCGGTGAGTGCTGCATATTGTCCGCCAGTTCTGGACGCGCTGACTCACTTCAGGAAAACTTACCCAAAGCGGCCACTAATTCAAAGCAGGAGGCTCCGATACCATCTTCGATTACGCAGTCACCGCATGGGCTCTACTGCAACATGCTCCCAGACCTGGAGCCTGCATGCCATCGACTGGTGTCTACGAACTTAGTCGATGGTATATGTGCGCACTCTTACGACATAACTCATCCCACCAGAGTCATGGCACGGTCAGATCATTGAATTGATGCGAAGCTGATACGAGGCTTCCTTGACTTTCCCAGCCCAGGATACAGTAGACGTCAACAATTCCTCGCCTTCGTTGGCACGGTACCTCAGAATTACTAGTACTATTGACCGAGCATCTCAGCCATCCCAGATGTGACTGCACACAGAGACTGCATCATCTTGTTAACCGGGGAAGCTTTCCATGTGTACTCTCACTGACACTGTACGCTCGAACCGAACTATTGTGTAGACTAATGACTGGCCCCTCAGAGCCTGTGCAGACCGCAGTATGGGAATCCCTGTGCCACGCCTCGCGACGCAGGTGCTCTGACGTACATCCAGCATCTATCTAAGGTTCTCGATCACTATCCTTGCCCACGAAGCTGATGCTTCCGAGGCATGCGGGCCACCATAGATTGGGGATCAGTCCCGTGGACGTAACTCACTGCCGTCCCAGATATATATTAGGCCCATCCCCAACCTCCCGCCGCGTGCGTCGCCCGTATCGCTACATCATTCGTCACTCTCATCATACATACCGTCCCAGATCATGGCGACGACTCAACAAGTTATGCGTGCAAAGCTGGCGGCGGCGGCGGACCGTCGGCTCCCCGTGAACAGGCCAGCATCCGCAGGGGCGCTCTACAAGAACCACGATGACGGCCATCCACGCAGGCAGGAGCTGCGGAAGATGATCGACAAGGGCATCCTCGAGTGCAACTCGCTCGCGGTCGCCCTAAGAGCGTTGACGGTCTGTAGCAGGCCAGGCCACGCATGTTACTGCCGAAGACGTCTGACGTCTGGCGTTGATGCAGACCATGAAGACTATCGCGGAGAACATCGTAAAGCATCCGCACGAAGAGAAGTACAAGAAGATCAAGAGAAGCAACCCGTCATTCATGCAGGCTGTCGTAGAGCCAAAGGGGCTCTCGAGTTCTTCGTCGAGGCAAGTAATCAATTACGCTCCTCATGTTCAAGAGGGCAGTCGCGCTCACGAGCCTCCGCTCACTGTAGCTGGGATTCCGCGAAAAGGTAACAGGAGACAATCCGGCATCGTAGTGACATCCTGACAATGTTTCCAGGCCATGGATTATCAGACATACCTCGTCTTTCACCGCCAGCACATGCCCGACCTCAAGGTCGGCCTGACGCTCCTCGGCGAAGCGATCGAGCGCGAGATGCCCAAGAGGGAACGCGAAGAGCGCGCCCTCGAGCTCGCCAAAGCCGAAGAGATTGCAGCGAAGGAGAAGGTCTGGCCAGGCTCTCGTTTTCTTCTGTCCACCTCACACTCACGAAGGCTGACCCAGGCGATGAAACACATCATGGACGACCGCAAGACCGTCCAGAAGCGGACGCTAATTGAGACTGCCACCCGCACCCGTGCCCGCGGATCGGTCCCGCCGCCCGCTCCTGTGACACACAGCCCTTCGGTGCAGCCTTTCGTGGGTGAAGGACGCACCCTCGAGGGCCTATAGACGGTCATGAGTGCAGGCGATGCAGGACTGTCATTTACCCCAAGGCAACCGCGAGACATGTCTTGAGGTTGACGCCATTCCTTCCCCCTCTGTATCACGCTCTAGCAGATGAAACGATCTCACAACGGTACTTGCATGGAACATATGGCAACACGCTCAATTGTATTAGCGGAAATGATCGAATGTACAAATACAGTGAAGGATAGACGTGTACGCGCAGTTACAAATCTACAGGATGCACATGGGTTCCTTCAAACGAAGGGAAACTTGGACCGGTCTAGCTTGGAGATAGCTCTCCCCTTCGGTGGCGCGCCAGTTGGAAGAGGTGGCTGAGGAGGGGTAGGGAATCGCGACAAAGCCGTCATGGTAATGCGCGCCGGGTTCTCTTCCGTGGTCGACTTCGTCGCTGGAAGAAAGTCAGTGATCTGGAAGTGACAAGTTAGACAAAGTTCAGACGAACCCGAGTTGTTTTGACCAAACGCCATCGCCTTCTCCATAACGATGCTCATCCGCCTTCCACTGCGCCCCGTCTGCGACGCGGGCGTCGTATTCGAGCGACCCAGCTCGAGACCAAACTGCAAATCGGGCTGCGTCGGAGGCTCGACACTCAACCGCGGAGCCTGTGTGTTCTTCCGAACGTCCACATTGATTCGGCTCATAGGCCTGCTCGAGTCCCGCATAGTCTCCATAGAGTCCCTAGGTGCTACCCTGCGGTAGGCTGCTGGCCTCTCCTCGCCGGGTTCTGCGACAGTCCGCAGTGTCGGGCTCACTGAAGACATCGGTCTTGGCCCGTTAGCGACGGAAGAAGCCCTCCTCAATGCCGCTGGGTGCGATGGCAGCCCCATGCCGGATGTCGGGCGCCCCGAAAGCCCTGCGGGGGCCACAGAAAGCCTAGAGTTCACCGGGGAATGACGCAAGCTACTTGAGCGAGCGGGAGGCGGTGGTGGCTTCAGCATAGATGGATCCGTGGGTTTCGGTGGTGGGATCGTCCGGTTCAGCAGCGACCCGGAGCGAGACCGTCGAACGACGGGCTGTTCCGATTGCTGAGGAAGAGGCGCGACCTTGTCTGCCGCTTCTGCATTGGCGATGTGTGCGAAGACCTGTTCGTGTAGCTGAGCGTGAGTGAACCTGGGCTTGTGTCTAGGCATGTACTGAGGTTGGGCTGGTATAGTAAGTACCAGGACTGGGGGCGCGTAAGACATTCGGACAGAGACAGGTTGGACGACTGTAGGTGTGATCATTTCCCAAAGCTCTTCTTCCTCGCACGTATCGTCGAGCGTATCGCTGAACACCTGATCGTGTAGCTGCGCATGGGTGAACCTAGCCTTGCGCCGGGGAGCGTAGCGTGGTGGTTGAGCTACGGCAGACGCAAATTGTTTCCTGGTCACGACAGGCGCAGGAACCCAGACACGCGGATAGATGGAAAAGTTGGGGTAGACCGCAGGATCTGCAGAGAATGAGCGAATGAGCGAGATGTATATGGAAAGACCCACATATGTCGAAGACCGGATAACAAGTAGTCGCCCCGCTCGAGACCGACTCGCGTACAGGTTCAGACGACAAGGTGCCCGATATAGCAGGATACAGCTCGAAATGAGGATATACGGCAGGGTCTGAACAGGGAAGGTCAGGTACGTCGCATAGACAAAGGAAGGATGTCTCACAGATATCGAGTATAGGGTACCCGTGTCTGCTAGGCTCACGCGCAGTTCCCGCTTCAGCTTGAGGGACTTCTCATTGAAGGAGGGGTAGACAGCGGGGTCTGCATTCAGGTGACATCAGAGGATGTTCCATTGACGACGACGAAACTCACAGATCTCCAGCGCCGGATATCTCATCTCACACAGCATCACCTTCACCTCCCGCCGAGTGTAGCTACTTTCCCCAGCGGCTTCCGGGTAGATATCGAAGGAGGGGTAGACTGCAGGATCTATACGGAAGCCTTCAGTCCGAGGTATCATAGCGACGTCACAGGTTACTCACAGATATTGAAGATGGGATATCTAGCTGCCCTGATGTTGACCTCCCGTCGAACCTCAGACCCTGCAGAGTACCCGTCGGCGAGCTCAGGGTGAAGCATCAGGAAGGGATCCACATCTGTGTCTGCCGAACAACTGTTAGTTGCTTACAGCAGCAAGTACTGCATAATACCTACATGGGCAAGTGTAGATGCAGGAGACAAACTCTAAACCTTGTGTGGTCACACTCGCCTTAGCCTGGACAACAGCCTGAGTTCCGGAGGACGATCTGACGACAGGGTAGATATGATCCAGGTTGTGAGGATATACCGCTGGATCTGTTATACGTTAGGACGCCGCGTTACCATACGAGGCTGAAGTCACTACATAAGTCAAGGAGGATATGCGATGGCCAAGGATACATCAACAGCGAGGGTGTTGCACAGCAGCGCGACCGAAGGATATATCTTGTCTAGGCTATGCGGGTAGACAGCGGGATCTGGGCTGAGGTCAGAAGCACGTCCACGGCCTGCGATATGGATACCTACACAGGTCGAATTGCGGATAGCCACATCAAGCGCAGTGGAGATGGTCTTCGCATTCGCGTCACCGGGTCGTTGGTGAACCGTCCCGAGAAAGGATAAAAGACTCGAGGTTCCGAGGATACACAGCAGGGTCTGTGAACGCTCAGTGTCGTACCGATGGAATGGACGGGTCACGTACAGATAACAAGTGACGGGTAGACAGCCGGGAGGTCGACAATGAAGCTGCGCGCACTGTCCTCGTTGATTCCATGCGCCGGATAAATGCTACGAAGACTGTGGGGTACACGGCAGGGTCTATGGTACCATCTTCAAATCAGGTCTGATGGAACGAGGGAACGTCACATACACAAGTCAAATGTCGGGTACTGCGAAGCCAACTTGATGTGGACCTTGGACTTCTCCGTCTTCGTGATGCCTACCACAAAAGCAGCTGCCTTGCCTCGCTCTTACGACAGCAGGATCTATCCGCGAGCGACGTCAGAGGCCTCCCATCAATACAAACCTGAAGCGCGTACATATATCGAAGTGGGGATATACCACAGCTGCACGCACAGGCCGCTCAGTCGTGTCCTTGACCCGTGTCGCCGGATAGATGGAAACCATGCTGTGAGGGTAGGCTGCCGGATCTATCACAGCTGTCCAGTGTTTTCTCCGACCTCGGTGACGGTGCACTCACAGATGTCGAACACAGGATACGCAGCCGTCAGCTTCGTGACGACACCCTTGGACGCGGATTCCATTTTCACATCCGGATAGATCTTCTCCAGGCTCCCAGGGTAGACGGCGGGATCTGTGGTCATCATCAGCCTCACGGCAGCTATTGCGAACGAGAACTGCGTACACAGGTCGAAGCAGGGATAGCGAGCAGCAAGTTTCACCTGAATCACGGGCTTCACCGCAGCCGCAATTGAGGGTTGGAGCTCCGTTTCTCTCTGTGCCTTTGCAGGGTAGATATCAAAGTGAGGGTACACTGCGGGGTCTGTAATACGTCGCGTTTAGCGCGATCTCCAATGCTCGACGCGTAGTGGACCTACAGAGGTTGAACGCAGCATACGATCCCTTCAGCACCACAGGTCTCTCCTTGTCCTTCTTCGTAGGCACAATGCTGACCGCAGCGGGATAAAGGTCAAAAGCAGGATACGCCGCGGGGTCTTCCACGGCGTCAGCTAACACGCAGCCATCACAGACACATCACTCACAGAGGTTGAAGTACGGATACTTCGCCGCGATCGGGTCCTGCCGCTCCGCCTGCGCCTGGTACGGCCAGACGTGCTTCCACATAGTGTTCGGAGCCTCGTAGTACGGGAAGACCATACGAGACGGCGGTGGCGGGGGAGGAGGAGCGGTGGCCTGCTTGGCCGGAACCGGGCTCGGACGACGCTCACGCACGCTGTAGTAAGGGAACACCAGCAGGGAAGCCGGCTGCGCCTTCTCCTGAGGCTCCAGCGGCTCCTCCGCGCCCTCTCTACCGATGTACGGCCAGGTAAACTTCCACCTGTTCCCAGAGAGGCGGTAGTGAGGGAAGCGTGCGTTCGACGGTTGGACCTCCTCCTGAGGCTTGGCCTCCTCGTCCACGTACTCCCCACCGACGTACGGCCAGACGAACTGCCAGTTGGCCCCGCAAAGGCGGTAGTACGGGAAGAGCATGTTCGACACCGCGGATTCTTCCACGGGCGACTCGCGTTGCCTGAACGGCAGCGGAGATGAGGGCGCACTGAGCATGCGCGCGCCAAGGTCGGGAGAGCCTACGCGGAACTCGCTGAATGCTGGGGAGACGGGGTAGGAGGGTGCGCCCCACGAGGTCGCAGTTGCCGGTGTGAGAGGAACACTCAACATACCACGATCGGCCAATCCGGGCGACGCAGCACGAGAGGACGGCTCGTAATGCACTGGGGAAGCGGGCCAAGATGCTGGGCCCCAGGATGTCGCGGTAGATGGCGTCGCCGGACGACTTGACATAGCCCGTCCACCGAGATCGATGGAGGCCGCATAACCAGAACGTAAACTAACCGGAGATCCTGGGTACGAAGGGGCACCCCAACTGGTCGCAGTCATGGGCGTCATTGGCCGACTGAACGTGGCCCTATCCGCGAGATCAACGGACGGTGCGTAGTCAGAGGAGGCATACATCGGAGACTGTGGGTAGGATGGGGGACCCCAGCTCGTGGCAGTCATGGGCGTCACTGGCCGACTGAACTCTGCTCTGTCTGCCAGATCCACGGATGGGGCATAGTCGGAGTAACCGTAGACGGGTGAAGGCGGGTAGGACAACGGCGCACCCCAGCTCGTAGCTGTCGTGGGTGTGGGAGGTGCATCGGAGAGTTGACGACGTGCGAGGTCGGGCGAAGGGAGCCGCCACGACTCCGAATCATATCCGTCGTCTACGTCGTAGTCCGGGGGACCAAGCGAGACACGGACCACGCATAATCGTCAAGGTTCATCACGGACTCATCATCCTCCATTTCGGCAATCGGGATGTCAACCAGCGTGTTAGGCATGTTCGCAGCATCCAAGCTCGTCTGCCCTGTCGCAGCCAACGGGCTCGGAGCGGTCTTCGCGCTTGCACGCCATTCAGAGACATAGTTGGCAACATCCTTCCGTGCGGTCTTCGGCTCCTCTTCCTGCGCGATGGGCGACAACACTCGATATTGTGCTTCAGACAGTGGACTCTGCGGGGAATCATTCCGCGGGGGCTTCACCGTCGACATCATAGTCGATGAGTCGAAACGGTCTAATAGCGACAGCTTCTTAGGGACCATCCGAGGCGCTTTCGTTTGCTGCACAATGGAAATGTTTTCCAGCTGGTCATCCGCCTGTTCGTCCAGGAAAGTCGTCCTGCTATCTCCCCTCCAGTGCGTCAAGGATGGACGGTGAGAGTGACCAACCACAGATTGTGGTACATCTGCAAAGTCCTTCTTGGGGGTCGCTACCCAGGAGTCGTACCAGCGTGCCTTGCTGAAGTCAATGTCAAATTCGATCTGACCGCTGATGGGCAGCTGAGGCTGTTGCATGCCAGTACCGCGGACATCAAACAGATGGGACCACAGCAGCTGCCAAGACTCGTCTGTGATGCGTGGGTACAAGGAGATTCCATTGTGGGTCGTCTGCAGGTAGAGGCACAGGCCTGCCGTGCTGGGGAAGCTGAACTCGCGGGCGATTGCGCCGAGTTGGCCGCCCATCTACATGCCCCCTGTCATAAATACAACTGCATCGAAGAACCGAATACTCACCGTTGGAACAGTGGCATGAGGATACCCTGGGAGAGTCGGTTGGGTGACCCCGAGGAGAGGGTATGTCCCAGGTGGCCATGCTCCGTCGAGAACGACTGCGGAGGTATCACGACGACAAGCCATTTGATCAGGCTCCTCTGGGGGACCCGCTCGCGGATGTCTCGAAGCCCCGAGCTAATGTAAGATACAGAGGGCTGCCTGCGGAAATAAGGAGTGGAAGTCTCGGCCGCAGATGCTTGCGGTGCGATGGGGTCAGAATCAGCACGTCTGTACCATGAACGGGGGCAGAGCGGAAGGGCTGTCCGAGGAATTCGCTGTCGGTGTCCGGAGGCGTGAGCGGTTGCACTACGCGGGGTAGGTCGAACGGAGAGGGCTTGTTGTACGGGTTGTGCAGAAGGTGGGACATGTCCGTGACCGAAGAAAATTAGGTGGTGGAAGGAAAGGAGGTAGCCTCTGAACGGCGGTCGCTGGCTAGCAGCGGGAGGTGGTGAGGCAGGGGACCGGAACTGCCTATAAGTATAGACTGCGGGCTGCTTCAGCCTGACGTGATACGGATCAGTCAGTGCAGTGGGAACGCACGTTGGTAATCCCCAGGGAGACCGCGTCAATCCGTTCTGTTTGCCTGACAAAGTGCACCGCACGCCCGAGAACGAAGACCAGCTCGAGGGAGAAGGACGAAGACGAGGAACTTCAACTCGGCCAGCGCGTCGCGACGCTCCCACTCCCGCTCTCCCTCCGGCCCGCCCGCCGGTGGCCATGGCAGCATCCACTCCGACTGCCTTTTCCGGAACTCGATCGCACAACAGCACGTGCAGCAGCCGACGCGTCGCCACACACGCGCCCGTGTACATGCCCTGGCCGCACCCAGCCATCCGCCACAGCCGTCTCGTCTCCGTTCTTTACTTCGCCACAATGAGCATGGACAGCAGACTGCCCAGGCTGCGGCTCACCAGAAAGACAAGGCGACGGCCTACCAGTCCATTCTCACTGACCTGCTTGCGCGTCCCGACCAGGCCACCCTTGCTCAGGATCTCCATATCCTTGTCGAGAATGTCGTCCAAGACAGCACAGGTCTCGTCATCGGGCGACAGGTACTCTCAGAGCTGGTTAAGGCGCTGGAAGCCGGCGTCGTGCTGGACGTCGACTTGAGGAAGCAGATCGTCCAAGATACTCTGGATATCATTCAACCTCGGATAGTGAGCTACGAAGAGCAGGTGAGTCTCGACACAACCCGCTCCCTTAGCTGTAATGAACTCTGTGGCAGGTCAACTCGCTTCGCTTCCAACTTGCTGACATCCTGGAAGCGGACCACTCATGGAGCGAAGCGGCTCGCGTGCTCATGGGCATATCGCTGGACGCGGGTCAGCGGTGAGTAGTAAACCTTGCCTTTGAGTACAATCGTTAAGACATTGTTCCAGAGCAACCGAGGACAAGTTCAAGATCCTCCTGCGTATCGTCCGTCTTCTGCTCGAGGACGAGGACTCCGTACAAGCCGAGACATACTACAATCGCGCAGCGCTCCTAGCACCGTCAACACAAGACAAAGAAGCCCTACTTTCGTTCAAGCTCTGTCAAGCACGGATCAGTGACTATTCACGGAAGTTCCTGGAAGCTGCGGCCAGGTACCATGAATTGAGTTGGGTCACCGAGATCGACGAAGACGACCGTGCACACATGCTGTATGTGCTTCCATACAATTTATCCTACCGACATGCTGAACGCCATGACACAGATCCGCTGCAGTGACTTGCGCAGTCCTCGCACCAGCCGGTCCCAACCGATCCCGCATGCTCGCCTCGCTCTGCCGTGACGAGCGCACGGCCGAACTGCCCTCCTACAACATCCTCCTCAAAATGTTCCATGACCGCATCCTCCGCGCCGCCGAGATCAAGGACTTCGAGGGCACCCTGAAGCCCCACCAGCTCGCAAAGATCGCCCCGTCCTCCAACGACCGGCTCGCATCTGCCATATCAGACGACAACGACGTGCACGACCCCACCGCGAGCAAACGTACCGGCCCGTCTACGGTGCTCGATCGCGCCGTGATGGAGCACAACCTCCTCGCCAGCTCCAAGATCTACAACAACATCACGTTCAGCGGCCTAGGCGCCCTCCTCGACCTGACGCCCGGCGCCGCAGAGACGATGGCGCGCAGGATGATCGAGCAGGGCCGTCTGAAGGGCTCGATAGACCAGGTCGAGAAGCTCATCGTGTTCGAGTCTTCGCACGACGAGGACGATGCGCAGGGCAAGGCCGGTGGGTTGGGCGACGTGGAGCAGACGGCGGAAGACACCGGTGCGCCGTTCACCAAGCGTTGGGACATGCAGATCCGCATCACAGCCGCGAACGTGAGTGCAAGCATATATCATAGTTGACTCCTCCTAATCGTCTGGTAAACGTAGGTCGAATCTATCGTGCAGCATCTAACGGAGAAGGGTCTTGTAACATTCGAAGCGCAAGCATAACGTCGATGAGGATTGCCTGTACCATAGATAGCATGACAGCGGTGCGAGTAACGACGAGGAGTCCAGATTGTCTGTGCAATAGTACATCGTGTGCTGGGATATTACAATGATGATCACCCTTCCACTCGCCGCCGCTTCCTGGCACGTTCCCGTTTTGCCTCGAACTCGTGCCACTCGCCTTCCATGGTGTGCAGGCTGTCACACCAGTAAGACATCTGCGTAGAGAAACGACGACAGCCACACTTACTTGGTCGGTGCAGAAGGACGTGGCTGTTCCTCTTTGAAGTATGGTGCTTCGAGAGCCTCCAGGGCAGTGACTCGTTTGGCAGGATCGTACGTGAGAAGACGTTCCGCCAAGTCGAGTCCAGCAGGCGACAGCCATCTAAGTGTCGCGATAGTTTAGTTTAGGACTAGGACGAGTCGCGCATGAGACGTACTTCTCGAACAACTGACGGAAGTGGTCGGGGACGACTTCCTTCGGTTTCACGAGTTCGTACCAAGGCAAGCTGGTCATCCCCGGCCACTGCTCTACCACAGGCGTGCCAACGATCCGGTAGATCACGTCTAGTTGATGGATCTCGTCGTTGCCCTGAAACACAGGCTTCTTCGTGAAGAGCTCCAGCATGATACACCTGGGAATGATAAGCGCTCATAGACATCGAGGACATCGAGCATACTCACCCTGCACTCCACATATCAACCTCAGGGCCATACACCGTTGTTCCGAAGAGGAGTTCTGGCGGCCTGTACCATAGGGTAATGACACGGTTCGTATAGTCACTCTTGCGACGCTTCTGGTAGAAGCGTGCCAGCCCAAAGTCCCCGAGTTTCAGGACCCCAGCGTTGTTGATGAGGATATTGGAGCCCTTGATATCCCGATGGATGACACCCTTGCGATGCAGGTATGCCAAACCGGCCAACATCTGCTGACAGAACGACTTCAGATGCGCATCTGTGAACGCAAATTGTGTCTGCGACAATATGCCAGTCAAATCATGATCCATGTACTCGAAGACCATGAATAGGGAACCTTTTGATTTCCGCGTCAATTGACAATATGAGCGGATATGAAGTGTCACGCACCGTTGGATACCATCATTTCATACAAGGACACGATGTTATCGTGTCGCAAGGACTGTAGGAGCTTGATCTCGCGCATGGCCGTCACCGGGAACCCGTCTCGTTCGGCCTCCATGCGAATCTTCTTGAGAGCAACGACAATCCCGCTGCTAGTATTCCGCGCCTTCCACACCTGCCCGAAGGTGCCTTCGCCGACTTGGTTGAGGCAGTCGTACACTCCATATCTAACCGGAGTCGGGGGCCTAGTAACACCTGGGGTAGCCGGGTCTTGCTCTCGGTGTGACATCGTCATATCTGGTCGTCGATCCTCAGCTCTATTGGCCATCCGCTGCGGCGTCTCCCGGGACGACATTGTTTGAACATCTGCATGATCCATGGTTCGCCATTTATCGCACTGCCATGTGTCTTCGACACATCTCCCCGAGGAGACAACCGAGACGAAGTATGACCATTCTGGAGAGATGCAGAATGTTTCTGAGCATCTCGAGAAGACCGAGCAGACGAGGATAGCGCAGCGGACCCTGACGAGCGTTCAGGCGCTGCTTCCGGCTCATCCTCGTCCTCTCCAGGAAAGAATCGCTTCAACGCGGAATTGGTCTGACCGATGGGTTTGAAGCCTGCTTTTTTGGTTGAGATCAGCTGTGGGGCTGATACACGGCGCGACTCCTCCGGGCTACGATGGAGTTCATCATGACCCGCAGCGGTACTAGCTGTCGTCCGGCTTGGTGGCGGCATATCAGACGCCCTGGAATCCCGGTCTTGTCGTCTCTCGTCTCCCGATCGCTTGCCTTGGTACGGAGGTGAAGGAGACCGCTGAGCATCGCTGATCAGATGGTGGATGGGTCCACATAAACCAACCACTTACTGGGCCCCTTCTATGTGCCCGTGGAGGTGAAGGATCGCGAAGAAGACGCAGCTTGGCAGCATCAGACAGGTCCGGTCTCGTGCTTGTCGGCAGACGATGGACAGTACGACTGCGCTGTCTTGGACTTGACGAGGACTTCGGCTCCTGCTCCTGCTGAGGCTCGGGCTGATAGTTCTACTTCTGCCCCTTCCCCACTTCCCGATATCAGTTGGTGAACGATGGGGACTGCTCCGGCCACGGCTATCGGGACTGCGAGACCATGATGGCGATTGAGAGTATCGCTACGCGCATTGCCATTTTCTTGCCACGTCGAGCGGAGGGACTAGACTACGGCCGGGAGGACTGTCGAGACGACGTCGAGGCCGTGGGCGTCGATGGACGGGGAGCGTCCACGAGAAGACCGCCTTGAGTAGTAGGAGTCCGCTGGGGACCGTGATCGCCCTCGTGAAGGCGACCGCCGCTGCTTACGTTTACTAGGCCGGCTGCTCTGCTTGGCTGACTGTGCACTGTCTCTTCGCGTCCAGCTAGTTGGTTGTAAATACAGAGTGACAGCAACAAGATATGTTCGGGAAAACACGCACTTGTTCAACTGACTATCATCCGCTCTCCAATCCCGCTTCTGCTGCTTGCTCTTCTTCCCCTTCCCATTTTTGTGGCGAGAGTTTTTCTTGGAGCTGTTCTGACGTTGAGGCGGGTCGCCGCGGCCAACGGGTTTCCACGATGCGGCGGGCTCCCATGAACGTTCATCCCCTACAGAATGACGAACATGAGCATGAACAAACAATATGAGTGGTGAGGAATATCCTGACGTGGTGTGGGCTGGTCTCGAGGACTCCCTCGCCGGTCAGAACCACCAACATCTCTTCGTGGCCAACCAGAATCTCGCCTGTCTTCACCGTATCTGCTACGACCTCTCTCACTCTGATGATTACGCATGTCATCTTCCGGCCCTTCGCCGTGTCTACCACCTCTGTCATGTCTTGAAGGCCATGAAGACGACTCCTGACGTGAGCTTTGTTCATAGCCATACCCACGCCCGGAACCATTGTGGGGCGGGTCTCTGTCGTGTTCATCTCTGCTGCGACGGTCATCCTTCGCAGAGAAGGCAGCCCGACTGTGTGATGACTGGGGGTCTCCCGACCGCCGGTCGTCTGCATCGCGACGACCGCGCGAGGACGACGCTTCTTCCATGTCGTCGATAGCGAGCAAAAGGGTGGTTGATGTTCTCAGAGGCGAGTGAGGGGGCCGAGCAAGATTCGCAGGTCGAAGATGGGAGCAAGGCTGCCAAAGCAGATGTGGCACAGAGCAACGGTGAGCTCAGGTGCGTTGAGGCACTCGACGGCCAGCCCGAGGATGATGGTGGTCGTGTTTGAGCGCACAGAGTTTGAGAGCAAAGTGGTGGAGCAGTGAAGCCGGACGTTCGGACGCTCGCGTAACGTGTCGTGACGGTGGGCGTAGACTTGACGGTCAAAGGCTCCCCCTGAGGACCCCGCCGATGCAACGAACAATGGCACTAGCTGAAGCTCACTTCGTGAGCAGCTAGCATTCGATATCACTCAGACACATAAACAAACTGCAGCAATTGAGCAGGCGGCGGCAGCGTGGAATCGAAGACGCATCAGCACAGCGTTCACCACGGGCAGCCGGGGCGAAAATTTACGACTTACATTCTGACGACTTGTCCTGCGCTGTCAGGTTGCACCTGAACGCCAGAAACAAGATGTCTCGTACAGCAAGGGGCGACGGGACGGCCAATGCGGATGTAAGGTCCACCACGGGTAAGTGGGAGGACGAGAGAGGTAACCCCAACTCTCGCGGCCACAGGCATTGATTTCCACCGACAGCACGCCTATCAACGCGCACACAATCTACCTGCCTCTGCGTAACATCGCAGAGCATACGACGTAAGCCATTCAGGAGTCATCGAGCGAGACCGAGTCAACTCGATTGTCCAAGTGGAGGTAACAGAGAGAAATGGAATGCTCAGTAGATTGTAGTCTAAGTGTGTATACGTGTTGCCACCGCTACGTGTGGCGGCCACCGCAGTGGTCGGACTACTTTCTGATCACGTCGCCATATACTGCAGTAGCGTCCAATACTTCTAGCACTGAGTCTCGGCCCACAAACTTAATCGCTTCCGGTATCGTACAGCAGACGGTATTCATAAAAGGAGAAGCTCCGGCCAAACTACGATATGTAAGTGTACACTAATTAGAAACCCCGACAGCGAACGAAAACATACATGCAACGGGGCACCGATCTCATTGTACAGGGCAGTCAGTCCCCGGCCTCTGGGTCTCACCGCTCGCATGCCTAGCCAACTGATATTGCAGGAAGAGACCCGCAAAGTTGACACGTCTTGACTGAGCTTCGGAATTGCGCTTCATGATGTTCTCGGCATTCATCAGTCTCGAAAACCCGCTAGAACCGCGAGCAGGACCAAACAGCTGTCTCGCGATGTTAGCTCGGTGTTATTTTCCAGCAAAAGCAAGTGCGCGCACCTTGACCGTAGTGTCGATGCCGCTTACGGCGACAAGAGGCAGATGTGGGTGTCCTTCAATGACATTCACGACGCTGCCGTCTCCTTCCAGGATGTCATGCAGCTGACCAGTGGCCTTACGCCAGATGAACAGGTTGCCGTCGTCCGAGCCTGACGCAACGTATTCATCTTGCGGACCAAGGAAGTTCACTATAGGCCATGATCAGTAAATGGAACAGTGGATGAGCGCGCACGACATACCGTCCTTCACAGTCTCGACATTGCATGCACCAGTAAATCGAGCACGAGGATACACGATCGGGACCTCCGAAGTCGATGCCATTGGGAAATTGTTTGCTCTGGCGTGGTTGTCATCATCATCGCCTTCCTCGCCCTCTTCGTCTTCGTCTTCGCCTTCATCTTCGTCCATGCCAAGTCCATGATGTCAATGCCCATGTTGCCACCTAGGGCTCGGAATCGGTATCTGCGGTCAGGTCCTCCGTCATCAGTCGCTCAATGTCTTCGTCCATCTCCGTATCCCTGCGGTGGATGGTCGTAGGGTCATTGCTGACGCTTCGGACGGAGACGAGTGTGCCGATTGCCAGAGACGTTGATTCGATGGCACACAGAGCCTCCGCTACCCAAGACTCGGAGCCGGATCATCGTGCGTCGATACAAGTAGACGGCATCCGAGCTGTACGCTGTGCGTCCGTGATCAGCCTCCGATGAGCACACGACAAGGTCGGGCAAACTCACAGAGCAGCACCTATGTTACTCGGTCAACCTTCTCCTCCACCGGGCAGTTCTGCACTTACCTCGTGACCGTTCGTACATGACATCTTGGCTCCAGTGATGTGCTCGTAGCCTTTCGACTCGCCCGGTCCCCGCGCCGCCCGCCCAAACCGCCTCACACACGTCGTAACGTCATCTGAGTCGGGCAGCATGCCCCATTCCTCCTTCATTATTCGTCCCGCATGTCGTCTGTCGAACAGATATCCCTGCACGACTTGATTAGAACGTCGCATGGAGGATGAACATACGAACACACTTACGTACTGGGACTCACCAGCAACCACGAATTGGTACGGAGTGAGCGGGGACAGAGCGATCGTGTTCAGTTGGTGGCTCAACCTGACAAGCGGCGCAGGACAGTTTCCAGATGCGCAGATATGCGGGACGCGCAGGTCGTGTTGCCTCACTGTCCCATCCTGTAATCGCAACGGCACAGTCAGAAACAGGACAGAAGCACAGCGAAAGGCGGGGCATGTACACACCTCTCCGACTGTTAGGAACATATCTGGGCTCTCCTCCGTGACGATTCGCTTCACCCTGCCACTGTGGCACCGCAGCGCCTTCACGTTCGCCTGGCTGCTCGTGTACTCCGTTTCGCCGGAGTACTTCGTAGATGGACGGCCGCTCCTATGTCAGATATCCTGACCTGCCGGTCCGCCGCCACGGTCGCTCTGCATCCACGGCCCAATGAGCGGCACTCCCTGATGAAAGGGTAGGAAAGTGTACTGACATTCGCGTAGAGTGTGGCAACATGTGCGCGTTGAAGATGTTGCCCCGGTGCCCGGTGTATATTACGGTCTCGCATTTGAACGGATAGTCTTCGGACGTCTCCCTGAATCCATCCGCCATACCCTCACCCTATCCAGCACGCCGCCGCATCAGCCTCAGCGCATTCGGAAGCGTCCCGAATACCACGCACGTAGTGTCATCGCCGCCGGAGATCAACAGTTCCCCGTCCTTCGCCCAAGACAGCGCATTCACGCATCTGTCGATCCGGATGGGCCCAGCGCTCACTATGACATGCGCGAACTGCAAGATCGGCAGCAACGCACCCCGTATGCCCGTGACGATCGTCGCCCAGCACGTTTACCCTGTCCAGGGGCTGCTGTAGCGAAGCGGAGAGGAGCCGTCGTTTCCGTCGCGTTGAGGATGTCAAGGAAGGGATGGACGTCGAAGGCGACGATGTAAGGCCGAACAGATGTTGGGTCATTGTCGGTTGTAAGACTGGGGGCCACAGTGCCTATCAAATACGGATACCTGAGTATGGTGTCAGTGTCACGGTGGAAGACGACAAGGGCCAAGAACAACGCCCAGCGGCTCGGGGTCGGAAGCTCTGAGAAAGATTCAAAGCGGTGGAGCCACACCCGGCGCAAGGCCTCCATGATGGTGCGCATTGCGCAGTGACGACGCTCAGCCGATGCCACACCGCGCCCAGTGTCATGCCTATAGCTCAGACTGGCGCGTATACGACCTGCATTCACACACACGTTTAGTTCCGAACTCAGCATCAGGGTCCATGTCATGGATCGTGTAACATTAAAGGACATCCGTATGCGATGGTGCGATAACACTTGCGAGAGTTATAGTACAGGAGGCTCGTGTCAAACAAACGAAACTGGGAGGGGAACCAAAGCGAATCTAGCCGTTGCTCAGCCACCCTGCGCCCGTCTAACGGCTTACTTTGCCTTGGCAAAGCCGACAGCGTCCTTGCCGACGTCGTACACCGTGTAGTACTTCCGGAGGAAGACGTCACCGACGATCCAGAGAGAACCGCCGCCAGGCATCTGGATGTCCATGGGAGTGAACGATGACATGCACGTCCCTTGCACCTCCAGGATGTAGTCGGTGCCCTTCAGTGCGTAGTCCTTGCCGTCGAACGTGAAAGTGAGGTCCGGAAGGTCCGGCACCTTAGCGCAGTCCACGGTGTACTGGCCGTTCCAGGACTTGGTCGCTCCGATCTGGGTGTTGATCATCTCCGCCATATCAGTGGGTAGCGCGATCAGCGAAGTACCTGCAGACGGTCAGCACCGCGTGTATGTACTTAAGCGAAGAGTGTCGTACCAGTGTCGATGGCGGCACCAGTGTTCTCCAACTCAAGCGAGTCATCGCCCAGGGCAACCTTCTCAAGCTCGACCTCCCAGTATGCCTTGCGACGCACGGGAACGTAGTGGATGTCACCGCTGTATGCGGCGACGTCAACACCGCCGAAAATGGCCTCGCCACCATCAGCCTCAGACGAGCCGAGGCGGAAGGAGAAGACTGGTGAGTCAACAAGACCCTCGTCGATCATGCTGTAGAAGGGAGGCGTGATGTGGTTAACCGAGATGGTGTTGTAGGCAAGGCCAAGGATGCCGTCGAACCTGAATTAGTTGTATCAGTATACCAAGGAAATCCTCCTGTAACCAGTTACTCACTTGCCGAACGCGAACGCGAGTCCAGGCTCCTTGGTTGCCTCGGCGAAGTCCTGGTGCTTGATGGTGATGTCACCAATGGTCAACGTGTCTTGCGACACGAAGCCCTCCATGGAGCCCGAGCCATACTGGATTGAGAACTCTGTGCCATTCGCCTTGTAGGTCGACGACGAGCCCGACTCGTACTTGGCGTGGAGGAAGCACGCGATGGAGGTGCACTTGCTGCTGGGCACCCAGAGGTTGCTCGAGCTAGGTACGGCGTCAGGGCGCATCGTTGAGCACAATGTGGACGAGACCTACCCAGTGTCGAGAATGACCTTGAACGACTGGGGAGGCGAGCCGAGGGTGATCTCAGCGAAGTACTGCGCATTGAGGTAGTCTGCGCAATTCGTGAGTCCGCGTTGGGCTATATGCGCGCGTCGTATGACGTACTGCTCAGGGGCACGCTGTGACCGCCCTGGAGGACATCCTCCTGCGTCCAGAGCAGCTCCTCGCCGTCCTCGCTGTGTGTTGGGCGTGCGAGACGGACATTGCGACCAACGCCGCCAGCGCCGAAGATGGGCTGTTGCTGCTGGTTGCCACCATACTTCTCAGCAAGGTACGCGGCCTCCAGCTCGGGGCTGCTGGGGGTGCGGGGGATCTTGTTGAGCTTGAGCTTGTGGATGCCACCCGCCGCAGCAGCGAGAGGCAGGAGCAAGAGGGGAGCAGCCTTGAGCAACATGGTGGGAGGGAGGAGAGAGGCAGGCAGCTGCGTAACCACTCCCCGTCTCGCGCTGTAAATGCTTCCGGAAGCGGACTGCGGGGTGCCGGCCGAACGCCGGCCATCACCGGGTGCCCGGGAGCGTCTCGCAGACGGACTTGGACCGATGGAGGTCGCTCGCAGCCACTCCCTCCAGCCACTCGTCGCCCGCTGCATCCGCCTTCTCTTCCCTGGCCTCGCGTCCATCCCAGCCGCTCGCATCCTTCTCGCACGCATGGCCGCCGGAGGACGCGGCAGAAAGGCAGACGTCGACGCGTCCAGCCTGAACAATGTCGAACGCCTCATCCTCTGCCAGGCCGTGTATGAGCACGGCTCCGACGCCTGGCCAGAGGTCGCCAAAGTGCTGTCCACGCATCCCATGATCTCGCGTCCCAAAACCTTCACCGCCCAAGTCAGCAACAGCCGTTCTCCTGTAGCACGAGTGGCTGAAGTAACCCTTGTATCTAGACGTGTTCTGTGATCTATACTCAACTAATGGAAGAGGCTGGATTCGAACGGTCAGTTCACCATATGTGTGCTTCCCTCAGCGTCTGAGATTTCCGCCGCAAGCTCGGATGCCCTTGCCGTCCGCCATGGTAGGTGCTTGGACTGGTAGGGTATGTCTCGTCCTAATGCTGAGTAACGCACAGCGCGGGTACACCAGAACTTGGCGGGGATACACTGGCAAAGGCGTTTGCAGGAACTCAAGGAATTGATAGTCGCCGAAGAAACTAGATTCAAGTATGTGTGTTCCGCTGAGAGGTTGCAGTCAGACATACTGAGCCGTGGGTCCTCCAGAACTCTCGTCGCAGAGATTGACGACATCCGTGCTGGACGATGGGACAACAAAATACGCACAGATCTCGGTCTGCCACCCGTGGAGACCGCAAGTCCCAAGCCTGAGCCTGCGGAGACGCACGCGGATGGAGCAACAATTGATGTACAAGAGCCTGCTCCTGCACCTGTCGCTACAGACATGGAGATCGACGAAGCAGCCACCGTCCAAGAATCGTTGGAAGTGGCTTCCGATACGGTATGTGTCGCTAGCGTGACCACGACCGTGTTGAACGACTTCCACTTTACAGAACGCTTCGGAACATGGGGTGCCAGACGCACAGGAGGAATCTGACCTTACTTCAATCGATCAGTCCAGCCCACTGAAAGCTGTGGATAAACCACCTGAAGATGTCTCAGTACGCCCGTCTTACTGTGCATTGAGTATCCTTAAGTTCTGACCTGTCCTGGGACATGTAGCCAGAGCCAGAACATCCCCCAGCGATCGACCTCACTGTCGAGGAAGAACCCGAAGAGCCCACCGATGCGCCTCCTGCACTTCCAGAGCCTGAAGAAACACCAGATGAAGACGTCGACATGTCGATCGAAGCCAGGTCCACCCATTCCCCTGCAGGCGCAGCATCGCCCACCGCTGCTCCAGAGGAGGAAGAATCTATTCCTACGCCAGCAGAAATTGGGGATAGTCCTGAGGCGCAAACGCAGCAAGACGAGGAACAGCCGCCTCCAACGCCGGCAGAATCTCCGGAGACTGCGCTCGCCGACATGGTAGAAGACACTAACCTGGCCAAGCAGGAGGAGTCCGCAGTGTCGACTCCTACTCCGGACGAGCCATCACGCGCTGATGGTGAGAGCCCTCAGAGTTCAGTCGCACCGAATGCTCTAGTGAATGCTGACGAGCACCTTTAGGTAAACGGAAAGCGATGGACATGGATGACTCCCTGTCGGACTCGCAGCGCGACAAGAAACGTGCCCGAGAAGAGTCCGAACCCGTCGACGATGACGAAGCCGGTACGCCTACCTCCCGCCTCCCCACACATCCGCGCGCTCACCCGCCACAGCACCCTCAGCAGGAACTCGCCGCCGGATAGGCCGTCCGCCCGCCATAGACAACCCCGTCGTCTCAAAGCGCTTCCAGAACATGATCGGGATGCTGCACTCCCAGATCTCGCAGCACCGCTATGGCAACATCTTCCACAATCCCATCCGCAAGGCGGAGGCGCCGGACTACCACGACATCGTGAAGCGGCCCATGGACCTCAAGACGATTAAATCGCGCATCAAGGACGGCCTGGTAGCGACGTCGCTCGAGTTCCAGAGGGACGTGTACTTGATGCTTGCGAACGCGATGATGTATAATAGACCGGGCTCTGAGATATATAACATGGCAGAGGAGGTGAGCGTCGTGTTGGTTTTTACTTTTGTGCGCTTGGTGCTCACAACGCGTGGTAGATGATGCAAGAGAGCGAAGTGCAAATCAACACCTTTCGCCAGACCGAGGGTTTTCACCGGATGTAGTTGCTCACTCGTTCTTTGCTCCAATGCGATGATATCCATTCAATTGCGATCGTAACATACACGTACAGATGAGATAGCATTCCGACAAGAAACACAACATTGCGACATCAGAACCAAGGCAGGTACGTCTCCGGCATTCTCGCGAGATTCACGGGGTTCGTTGCGGTAGATATGAAGTTCGTCACGGTCTGCACTACGGGCACATTGGGCAGGTTCTGTGGATCCTTCACGCCGATGGCCTGGAGCGAACGGTCAGAACGTGCGTACTGAGTCCAGGAGCTATTACGTACGTTGTCGCGCTCCGCCTTGCAGCCCAAGACCTCAACTCGCTTGACGACTCCTTCGATGAGCATATTCACAGCACCGCGGAAGCCAGCGTCCTGAGCGACCGGTCTCATGCGGAATGTCAGAACCTCGTCCCGTGCAAACAGACAGAGATGTGACTCGAGATCGAACTGCTGGGGCATTAGGCGGCTTCATAAAGAAATTGACATCAACTCACCTCTGGTTCCGTTAGGCAGCGCCCAATCGTCATGATACCCATCGCGAGTACACCGTCCAGCAAGACGTGACCCATAAAGTGCTGCATGCTGGGCGTTAGCCGGAAAGGTACGACGTCGTTGCTGGCAAGGATCGGGGCTTGCCCCGACATGCCTGCGCTCTCGTGTAAGCCCCTGGAAGCTCGGTAAGGAGAAGTGCGTACTGGGTATCGCCTCGGACATGTAGATCAGTCCAGTTGCACGAGACAAATGGAAACGGTGCGGCAAGCGACCGGCGAGGGACAGCGCGTGGGTCACGAAGCTAGCGGAAGCGATCTGAAGTGCGAATTGCTTGCGCATACGCCACAGTTCACCGGGGCCATTCATGATCCTTGTCATATACTGCTCGACGTGAGCAACGGCCTCCGGTCAGCAAGGGGATGCTTACTCGACTGATGACGTCTGGCGGGACCATCTTGAGAGCAACCTCGTCTGCGATATCCTTTCTCAAAGCGATAAGTTCGGTCCCCCCAACCTACCCCCGTGTGAGTCATATGTATATATATCAAGGAGTAGCGAGCCTCACCTTCTTGCCCGTTGCCCGGAATGCCTCTCGTGCGGTTGAACTGAGTCTCTCTATAGCCATCAAGACAGGGTCCTCGCGTGAGATCCCGGACTCCTCGCAGTGTTGATCGTAGATGTCTCCAAACGTGATGTAGGAGGCATCATTTTGGAGAAGTCGCAGATTACTCGAGCATGGGACCGCGACGGGAAGATGGAAGTGGAGATTCCGTTTCCTACTCTCTTTCTTACGGGAGAGTGTCCTAAGGCTGAGTTAGCTAACGCTGAGAATGGAGTTTCGCAGACGTACAGATTCAAGGTACGAAGCAGATGCATGAGACGTTCTTCCCGACGACAATGCTTGGCAGCAGGAATTTGAGCAGCAAAAGAGGTCTTCGAGTGATCATGGCCGTAGATAGTGAATCTCTTCCAGGAATACCCGTGAGTGCGGCAATTCTCGAATGTCGGCCCAAATTTGAGGAGTCGAACAAAGTTCTGATTATTTTCCTTGTCCTGAGATTGCGTGAGTTTATGTGCCGTTGAGTTCTACTGAACAATACCTCAGTGTATTGGCCCGGGACTTCGATCTCGTCCCATTTGCCGTACTGGAATTCCAGTAAATGGTGACTCAGCATATCGAGAGATTGGACACGGGGCCTTGCATCAAGGTATTTTTCATATCTGTCCCTCCAGCGCTGCAGCCGCTGGATCAATTCGGCCAGAGTGGGTTTCCCCTTGATGAAATCGTCGTCCCAATTTTGCTGCAGACGTAAGTTACTTTTGACACTATGCATGTCAGAGGACGCTGTTAACTTACTCGAATGGGCCCCGACAGACTCTGTGCGAACCTCTCGATGGTCTGCACAGTTGCGGGATGCAGCTGACCGTCGTCCGAGTTGTATCTTGACATGGAGTGCTGCAAAACATGATGTTAGCTTCAGGTGGTCAGTCAACCGGCTGAATCGCACTGACTTGCACAGCATCTTGTAGAAGGATGCAGGTGAGCCTGTAGATCTCTTCTTCGGACGTCGCCCTGAATCTGCTGGAGATATTGTCCACCATTGTTTCCATGCTGAGTATCAATAGCGGGAAAGCCGTCTTCAATATCTGCACCACCTCCTCAACGTAATCCGGCGACTGGCGAGGAGCATGCGGCATCGCAGCATCTGCGGGACGAGAGTCGCCCGCAGCACCGGTCGAACGCGCAGGTGATTGCTGCATCGCCGCACTCGTGTCATCAGCCATCCTGACGTCGCCGTTGGCATCCAGTGCGCTATCATGACCGCCTTCGCTTCTATGCTGGTTAGCCGCACGTTGGGCAGCAATCGCCGCTGCTTTCGCTGCCTGATGCCTGGCCAGATTCAAGTCTTCCTTCGTCGTGCGTAGCTGGAAGAACAAGGCCTGGAGGGTGTCTGGTGAATCATCTAGTCATGCAGAGATGCCCGCACACGTACCTGAGGATAAAGCTTGGCTAAATTGAGCAGAAGGTACCGCGCTTGTTTCAACTCCCGTTGTGAGAGCGAGAGACAAAGTTGTGGAATCAATGTGATCCAGTACCAGTAGGCAGCGTCACCTTTGTAGGTGTCAAACGCTCGAGAGATCGTGAGACTGCCATCGTCTACACTCAAGAGCCACAGGACGCGGGCGAGAAGCGGTCGACTCTTCCTGTTCCTGTACAAGCCGGCAGCCTGAAGATAGCAGTGAACAGCCTGCGCTGCGAGCACCATCTCGCCAGGATTTTCTTTGAATAGACGATCTTGATGTCTGCCCCAAGCGGCCCATCCCTTCGCTTGCATCATGTCTAGCTGGATTGCTTGTCCGAATGCCGCATTCGCTTCCTCGTTGCGGCCGAACTTGGCGTAGAACATGGCTTTGAGCGTATAGAACTCGGCTTTCTGGGTGGTGGAGAAGTAGATCAAATTCGTATTATTGATGACCTCTAGTCCTGCCTGAAGGTCGCCGGGCTTCTGGTAATGGCATCGAGCTTGCTCTCTGAGCTTCAGGAAAGCTTCCGATATCTCAATGTTCGGCAGGGTATAAATCCTGTTGAGTTGACTGAAGCAAACGTCTAATAGGTCGTGTTTTCGAGCGACATGGGCAAACCGATTGATGATCCAAGCTGTCTCGTGGTATCCCCGATATCCAAACGTCGGTGCGCTGCTACCGCTAGCTCCTGCCGCAGAGCCATTGTTGATCATAGGGATATACGTCTTGTTGATGGCGTTGAAAACATTCTGCCTCCAGGCAACGAGGTCGCTCCATATGCTGATATCATCGTATTGGTTAGGCAATCGCTCTCGCCATGCCTGGAGCACCATCTTGAGATCTGCAGATTTCCTTTCCAGAGTCTGCGGCACCGTGCCGGCGAGGGAGCCGAAGATTGACACTGCCTCTTGCAATTCTACAAACTGCTGGAAGTGTTGCAACAGTGGGACATGAGCGGCAGAGAGATGCGGTGGCAAGTTCGTCCACTTCCGGAGCGACAGTTGCATGGCGTCTTCCATCATCCTCGTGAAGTCGGCGGTCTTGAAGTTGTCGGTACCGGATGTCCTCTCCAAGTAAATGAACGCCTCGAACACCCTGCGTCGTGGTGTTGCTACGTCGGGCAGGAGGTTGATCTGTTCTTCGAGCTGGCCCAATTGCTCTGAGTCCACCCAATCCTTGGTACGCCACGCGCTCTCGAGTATCAGTTCATGGTTGTTCTCTGCACGCGCCAGGTCATGGAGCACCTCCCATTGCTGCAGCTTCTCGGCTGCCAACATCCAGTGATCCTCCCATAGGCAGAATTCGGCCTCGGAAAACGGGATATTGCCAGTACGCGTCTTGCTCTGGGCTGTCTCGTATACACTAGAAGCCTGCTCCCACATACCGCATTGTTCATACGCTACGGCTATGTTCGTCTCCGGATACAATGCGTGACGACGCCACAAGCCGTAGAAGATATCTTCCTCGGCCAACTCCGCATACATCTCAGCGAGCGAGTCGTAGACTGTGTCGCGAACGACGGCCTCGTCCTCGCGTAGATGATCCAATGAGGAGGTCAGGTACTCCGCGGCGACATGCCAGGCACCGAATGTCTTCGCTAAATACTTCACCAGATGTGGCGGAAGGTTCATCGGTGGTGAACACGCTAGAACACCCTCTAGCAACGTTTGGATGACATTCGGGCGTAGCTCGACTTGTTTGGCGTGGTAGTCTTTGCTTAACAAGGCGATGAAGTGATGCGTGATATCCGTCTGCTCGCGTCTGGATAGACAAGCCCATGCCGACGGAAATAGGGAAACCCAGACGTCATGGACCTTCTGCGGATCGAGGTAGAGCAGGCGCTGCATGGGTCGAACCAGAGATGAAGCAGTCTCCGGGGCGAGAGGCGGAGAGGTGAATGACTCCTCCAGAGACCCTTTCCGATCAGGAACGATGGCGCAATCCGAGTCAACTGAGCCGAGGAGTAAGTGTAGCGCAAGGAACATCCAATTATGGTCGGCCAATGCCTCCCAACTCTGGACACCAATGATGTATGTCAGGCGACTGAATAGCGACCGAGGAATGCTGACGTCCATGAGGTCAATGAAGCGTTCCCGCAGAGATAGGTCCGTCGCTCGACAGCCCAGGAGAAAGGACTGCTCTAGTTTCGTGGTGAGATCTGTCCGTCGTAAGCTTGGCTCAGTGTAGATGTCGTAGATCAACTCGAGGTACATGTGGAAGAGGGACTCGGCTCGATCACCACGCAACTCGAACGCAGCCATCTTCTGAAGCAGGGTCGCTTTCTCTTTGGGGGTAGGGTACGGGTCTCGCTTGTTCATCGCCCACTCTCTCGCAATCTCGAGGACGGCCTTGCACAAGCTATGGCTCTTCGACTTTTCGGCACATGCAACCAAGGCGCTAAGCAACCACTTCCTCTGTTCTCCAAGATAGGCCACGGACGACTGCGAGATCTCCAGTATGTTCATGATCAGGCGCACATTCTGCTCGAAGCCAGAAGTTGATTGGGAGGATTGGATGTGATCTCGAGCTAATCTGCTGAGGAGCTTCATCAGAGGTCCGGCGAACGGTTCTATGCGTTCAGGCGTGAACTGAACGATCGACTTCAACATGAGCAAGATGCCTCGTAAGACAGGCGTAGTATTGGCCCGTAACTCCTCGGTGTTCCTCAAGTTCTCGCTGATAGAAGTGTAGACAAATGCGTGAAACTCGGGCATTTCCGACGGTTGTTCTTCATCTTCTTTGGGAACGGGGAAGAGGCGAATGAGGCGATCGTAGACGGCATGCAGCGAGTCCTGGAGATGGTTGTCCTCGCTGAGAAGTCCCTTGCGAACAAGCCTAGAGAGGATACCGGCGTTGGCCATGACCCATGCATCGTCCTTTTCCGCGGAGATGACTTGCAATACTTTTGCCGAACTCTGCGCTTGAGAAAGCATTGCCGGATCTCCCTTGACTTCGTTCTGTGAAGAGTTTTTAGACGAGATGAAGAAGGTTTGAGCAGAGCTACGTACCTGCTCAAGAGCACGAGAGAAAAAATGCAGTTTGAACGTCACATCACTCCACCCTCTGGGCCCCACGATCGACCGCAGGAGCTCGAGAGCTCGAGGCAAAATGGCAGCACGAGTCTGCGCATCATGTGCGATGGTGCACAGCCGTACGAGGTAGCTGACTATGCTCTCACGCAAGGGCAAGGGAGTGATCCAAGTGCCTTCTTCAGCAGAGTCGGTATCCATCGCATCTTCAGTCGTGTATGTGCCCGGAGCAGAGTTTGTCGCCTGTTGCTCCCAATCAAAGACGACCTGCAGTATCTCCACCGACAAGGATCGACACTCGTAGAGAGTTCGGATGTCATGCGACCCCTGACCTAGGCCAAGCTTTGAAACGTAGTTGACGATGTGAGGTATGAATAGCGCCCTGACAGGATAGAATAGCGAACGTTGCCGGACAATGAGATGGTAGATGAGGGCGACTTGCTGCCACCCTGCACCTTCTTCTGCGAGGAGTCGACGCGTAGTTCTCGCCCACTGTGGAAAAACGCCATCGAAGGTTTGCGATCGGAGCAGGACAGGTGCTATGATGTCGAGGGCTTGCCGCACAAGGGCCTTGGCTTCGATATGAGGTGGCTTCAGCAATCCTGTCCAGACACGAAGATGGAACTTTTGAGGTCCTTCGAAAGCCTCAAAGAAGCGGGCAGCGAGAAGGTACGCCGTCTGCTTGACGATGGCATCTTCGCTGGTGATATAATGCCATGCACATCGTATGATATCTTTCTTTGCGTCTTGTAGGTATTCCGGGTAGCGGTGTACCATGACGGTGGTCAGATGCAGTAACTCTATCTTGAAGATGTCGTCATCTTGCGCAAAGGCCGCGTCGTCGTTCATTGGTTGCCATATGTGCACATGTATCTTGTTGACGAGGCTTTCATCGAGTAGTCCCAGCTTTGTCGACGAGCGCGTAGCATGCACTAACAGCGTCGGCGTAACCACGTATTGGATGAAATACACCTTCTGCGATTGTGGAACGGACTCGTCACGGAACCAGATGACGAAGCGAGTGAGCATATTCCGCCGGAATGCGAGATCGTCACTGAAGGCAACGTGTTGGTAAAAGAATTGAGTAACGCGGACGACGTCCCAGGGAAGGTTCCGCGAGAAGACGGACACCAAGGAGAACAGGAGGTCGATACGCGGCATCTGCTGCAGGGCCTGCATGAGGATCGATATCAGCAGAGAGTACCGTTGCCTGACGTCGCCGACGGCAGAGCCCAGCGGATCAATGTCCGTAGGCTCGATAGCCCACAAGGCTAGCATAACGTCCACGACGTACGCATTGGATGCCAACCACCCCGGGATCAGCTCCGCCAAGTCGCCACACACTAGCAGCCCAGGCAAGACCAAGCTGGGGTCTCGACTTTCGAAACAGACGGAGACGATGACTGAAGTTCGAGACGCAAGTTCTCGCAGCACGTTGGCCGCTAGCTTGGCTTGCAAGATGCTCCGAAGAGTGCGGACGTGCCGAGGAAAGTGGAGGTGGCGCATGAAGAAATCGACGGCCTCCACTGGGTAGCGATCCAGGTACTTGGCGAGCGGCTCAGAAAATGGGCTCTGTCCAGAGAAATGCATCTGAGCTTCTGTCTGTACGATGGCGTTCACCAAGTTCTCGAGGAAGATGTGCGCCGCTGACGGTAGTAGGTGGAAGATATTGGCCAATCTGACGAGTTTTGTGATGCCCTCATTCTCTACAAGCGGCAGTCTCGAAGATGCCTGCAGCATCTGAGGATCGGCGACGACACGGAAATGGTCGAGTAGCTTGTGACCGATTTCCACCTTGAAGTAGTTCGTGAGCAATTCGAGCAACCGTGCCAGACCCTCTAGCCCCGGTATAGATAGTCGCTTCGGATCCGCTAAATTCATCAAAATCGGCCGCAGTCCTGTCTGCAGAAGCTCCTTGGGCAGTCTGCTTTGGTGGGTTAGGACCATACGAAGACCCTCATGTGCGACCTCTTTGACCTCTGCATTCGGCGAGTAAAGCGATTTGAAGTACACTCCTGTGACCCTGAGCGAAGTCATCAGCGGGCGCGGCGAGACCGTCGATGGGAAAGGTGAATTTACCTCTGGCGCGTCTGATGTTGCTTGGCAAAGAAATCCGTCAGCGGCATGGACGCAGTCAACAGCTTGATGCATGCTACTCGAAGCTTGATGATCTCCATGCTCATTTGTCTCGCGTTATTCCTCCCGACCAGAGCCAGGTCGTCGGCATCTGCCAGAGCCAAGGTCTCGTGAAGAAGACGAAGCAGCTCGTCATTCAGCTCGGGCAGGGGTGGTTGCAGGCTGATGCAGTACCTGACAGCCTCGATAATTCCGATCTGCATCTGGAACGGTAGGGCACGGAGGGGCTTGGTGTAGAGCTGGGACAAGAGTCGATCGCGATTGGACATGAAGAGTTCCGCCGGTCGTTTGTGGTAGAGCTCAGCTAGGAGCTCGACGCACTTCTGCGCCGCGGTACGAACTATGGCGCTGGAGCTAGCGAGTTCTGCCATAATGATGTTCATGAGGACCGCAAGCTTCATCCTGGCCGAGGACCCTTCTTCACCCAATGGCGGGGACTCCGTGACTCCAACGCGGATGACTTCCAGCAGAACACCAACGACGTGTTCTACGTCACGAGGGAGATCATACTGCATATCCTTCAGGACACACAGAAGGACACGGATGAGATCAAGCTCGCGATCATTGACCCATTTAACTCCTAGTCCCGGAATGCGAGTCATGATACGGATTCCGCTACAACCAGCGGCTCTCCGCACCCAGGCATCTTCTAGACAGAGTGCGCTGAAACGAGCGGCGACTTGGCTGAGAGTCGGCGCGATGTCCTGCGTAGTCACGTCTGGCGAGTTCGACATGTCTACCAATTCATTGAGGAGAGCGGAGAGTAGCTCCTGGGCCTTCTGTGCTTCCACAGCATTGTCGCGGGCAAGTCCGTGAGGCATCGCGTCGAGGAAACATGTCAACTGCTGACTCGGATACCTTCTGAGGGCGGGATCCTTGGACGAATTTCGGCGCACTTCAGAGAAGACGATACATCTCGACACGTCCTGCAGCGTCTTCTCGGCCTGCTCCTTCAGACCTTCTATGTGGATCGCGTCATGAAGGCCCTCCAGACATGTCAGGAAAACTTGTTCCCTATCGCGACTCCTTATCCCCTGCAATTCCATCGGTGAATTGGCTGTCACGAAGGGGACCTGAGGAACTTACCTCATGGAGGAGCAGAGCAAGGCACGTCTCCAGATAGTTGTACGCATGCAGACGGTATGCAGTCCCGCCCCTCGCACTGACGAGAGTGGTTTGCGCTAAGGCAACGACAGGGCTGAGCTCGATGGCCTGCATGACCCCTCCAAACGATACTCGAGCCTTCGTCAAATCGGAGTGATGGAGGTAATCAAGCGAGGGCTCCTTGTCCAAAAGCCGTCGATTTCGCCCACCAAGTTTACCCAAAATACGAATGGTGGTATGAGAATGTTGGTGGTTCGCGGGAAGTGGCTTCAGTTGCTTGTGCAGCGCTTCCATCAGCTCTCGAAGGACCGTATTCAGAGTTGGGTCCAGGAAGTCCGGAGTGAGGTTGTCGATGCATAACTCCAAAGTGCGAAGGCCTTGGGATACCATCTCTAGTGTTCCCTGCAGCGCGAGAACGAGAGGACGCATTAAGTACGAGAGGTAAGGGAGGAGGTGCGTGAGGCGTAATGGGACAGTGAGGCACAGTTCTGCGACAAGATCGCGAGTGGAGCCCTCGGATATGAGCAGCTGACGGTTCAGGCATTCCAACATCTCGGGAAGTAGAGGCAGGACCTCTTTGTAGAGTAGCTCGAATCTGCCTCCTCCTCCACCGATGGCTCGAAAGAGAAGCCTGAGGAGTAGGAAATAGTTCGTGGGCTTCGCGGCCTTCGCGGCTAGCGGGAAGCAGTCCATAATCAGCTTGCCCAGATGGGAAGCCAGGATGGGTTCGTTAGCCGTAGGGAAGAGCCCGACAGCACCGAAGGTTAACTTGAACATGCGGATGACGACGGCGGCGGTCTTGTCATCATGGTCGCCGAGCTCGGGTAGGTGATTGACGAGAAATCGAAGCACGATTGCGACGAGTGTTGGAGAACTCGACTCCCTGCTGAAAAGTACTTGCGCCAGGTGCATCAGGACTGGATGTTTCTCGGTATATGCGAAGAAAAACTCGATTTTCTGAGTCCAAACTTCTTGAAAGACGTGCAGGTTGACCTCGATCAGGCCATTTCCTAGCCATTCTAAGGCCTCATGAGCTTCTCGAGGCTCGCCGTCGAAAGCTGCAACACAGCGGATAGAGCTATCGAACAGGCGCGAGACAATGGTACCGTCTGGGACAGGTGCGTCACTTTCTTCAGAGCAGCCAACATGGCACGAAATCCAGGCATCAACGTTCGAACAAGCTGACGATGTCCTATGTGAATGATCCCGTTCATGAATGTCTTCATAATCTTCTACAGGATTATAACTCACCGATAAGAGCGTCGCTTGTCTTTTCGACAGCGTACATAGCACCGCCAACGGGTCTTGCCTTCTCGATGGTCGTATAGTCCACGGCACCTTCGTCGTCCTTCCCTTTCTCCGTCTTGCTCAGGTTGGCTATCTTGTTCGCCAGATATGCTTGAACATCCGCAATGCTGCTCATTTTGTCCACTGTCGCATCCAGCACGGACCGGATGGTTCGCGCGGCATTCGGCTGAGTGTCCTTCATGACGATTTGGTCTATGAGCCCGAAGATGACCTTGGCGCACAGATGATGCAAAGCATCAGGAAGGCGAGGATCTAGCAAGTGGCGCAGGAAGAGCTGGCAGACGTTCGTGAGCTGTGCTGGGGTCATGTCCGTTCGGAGGTGGTGGGCAAGGTCGCCTGCACACGCGAAGGCGTTCTGCCTACAATAGCCACGCATTGAGACTTCCATGCAAGCTGTATTGATGTGAGGGACCCGTACCTAATGGCTTCTCTGCAGCCCACACCTGTACCCCAAAGTACTCGATCATCGAATATTTTATCGATATAGGGGATTATAGCCCGGCGGTAGTGAGTGCTCAGCAGATGTCGAAATACGACCATCAAATCCTGTTTGCGTTCATGAATTACTGAAAATAATCGTTGCACGAAGTATGCGTACTCGTCGTGCAGCAATTGCCATTGGAGGACAATCTTGGAGTAGGCGAACGCAGGTGATAGCCAAGGTATCTCCCTCTGCGCCGAACTGTTCTGTTCCTCCGCGATACATGAATGCCAGGCATGAAAGCAACTTGATTTGCGAAGACGTGAAGTCGGCGTAAACAGTCGGACTTTTGAAGCCAGGTGCCATTCCCGCCCAGTGACCACCCATGGCTTCGTGATCCTCCTTGGCCTTTCGTTGGACAGGCGCTTCGACCATCAAGACAGAGACGTTCAGAGGAAGAAGCGCCTGTAGCGCAGGGAGGACCATTTGTCTGTACGTCTGAGTGAGGGAGACAGTCGCCATGGCGTACTCTCCCAGGACTTTGAAGCTACGCTGAGCAGGAAGTGCTACATTGGGATCCGCGACAGCAGACTCCTCCGATAGTGTTTCGTCGACTAATCCCTGGATGTTGCGGAGGACCTCTGCGTATAGGTCCAAGTACTCTTTGAGCAATTCATCGGTGAGTACCCTGTAGGAGCGCACGATGTCGCCGATGATTTTGCAGCAAACGCTGCCATTCTCCTCGTTGTCGGTACGCAGCAGATAGAGCATGCCGGAGAAGAGAGGACCGGCTTGAGGCTTCACTCCCTCGTTCGAAGGTAAGCGGTGAATTATGTCCAGCAGGCAACGCCTGAACTGAAACTCGACTGAGTCCTTGTTGTAAGCAACCTCTCCGGACCTGAGGATGTCCAAGAGGATCGGAACCATATGAGGGATGACGCGAGCTGCCTCGGCTTCCCGCACTACGTCTATCATCTCTCGCAGCTCATAGGCAACATTGAGTTTCGTCTTCAAGTCTGAAGCGGGGTCAGTGTGATTTCAGGACAATGTGTACAGGCAACTTACCTGTCCCAGGATCAGCCACACGAGCCGCCCGCATCTCCAGGTCGGCGGCCGTGGTCAGAGTCGGCGTGCCGTCCATGGTGAACGGGGACACCAATAGAATAGTTCAATGTAATTGCTGATTGATTTCCAGTACAGACAAGAAGCGAAGACAGAGGCGGAGGTCAGTGGCACTAGCGGAGCGGGGGGGAGGACAAGCGCGTCGAAGGCGCGAAACCCTGAAAGTCGCGGGTCACGCGTTTATCACGTGCCTGAAGCCACTTGGTAATGTCTGACTCCGAATCAAAAGTCCGAAACGAGTGGGTCTGTCGGAGTGTGAAGCAAAATTAAGTTGCGCCACAAGTACGTACTGAGATGGCACTTACGACCGATACTTACAGCTGTACTGCCTGTCAACCGCTCGTCCCCAACAATTATGAGCCCATGCTTATTCCCAGTATGTGGTAGTGCGATGCTGGGCCTCTATATGTATACGTTGCCTGCCGACTTCCTGTTGTTTGCGGCCCAGTTGCAGTGATGCGGCTTGGATGCGGCTGCGCAAAAAGGCGCCCAGACACAGCCAAGGCTGCTCTGGAATGCAGAGCGCTATTGATTCCAGTGTTGCCCTCGTTGCTGGTCAACGCACTTGCGGTAGGGCTTTCTGAACTCACCTCCCTTCAGGGTCTTGTTCGTTCACGTCTCGGTCCGCGTTGTTCGCTGGTGCTACGGACAGCTGGGCTGTTACAATTCTCTTCGTTCACACTTTGGCTATAGCTAGTCAGGCTGGTCCTGGCATACCGGAGACGCGAGCTGCAAATCCTCTCAGGAGTCTCACATGCCTGTCACAGCCATAGACGGGCAGGTCAGTATCCAAGACCCTCGCAACCCAGTTCTCCAGGAGGTTCTCAACCATCCCGACTAGTGAGTCTCGGTTCTGCTTCCCGTCCATACCTCCTAAAAGCAGCTCCTTAGCCGGGTTGTTGCCTCGTTCTTGCTCGGATGGGTTCTCGTCAGTAGCGCATACTGCGCTTTCAGCTCAAAGCTCATTCGCGAACTTGCGTGCCGGGGTGCCCGGTTGTGCATGGGCAAGAGGGCGAAGAAACCTGTCAAGGATATCGAAGCCGCAGGGAGCTCGGAGGATGAGAATGAGAAGTGTTCCACGACGCGTGTAGCTACTCAGCAGGAGGCCGACGACAATGCCTCTTTGTTCATTCTGAACTTATGTTTTGCTCTCGCCGCACTAGCCAGCTTCTGCTCGTTGCTGAATTTAGGAGGTCAAAAGGGGAATTCCGTAGCCTGCAGTAAGTCAACGCACGCCTTCTGTAGCCGGACACTGAACTCGAGCTATCTTTAGCTGTCGTCGTCGCTTGGAGCAGCATGGCATCGCAGTCTGTGCGCATCGTCGGGCTATTAATGCTGACTTGGAGACTGCGACGCTTTGGGATGAAGCGACTGGAGACATATGCGCTCTGGTTCGGTCTGCTCGTTGTACTAGGTACAATTGAATGCAGTTTGCCTCACTTCACGAAACTCATACCATTCGTAGGCCTCGTTTTCGCCTTGAATGCCACAGGCACCGGTGCTATAAGGTGTGCTTAGACTAGGGCTGAGATCGAACACATATTGACGCGCCTGAAATCAGCGTCATTGGGCCATCTGGTGTCGGGATATGCTATAGGCAATAGTACGTCTACCGATAGTTTTTCTACTACGTATGTCGTAGTGACTCACAGATCAGCTTCTGGCCTGTGGCGCTTTCCTTGTCCGGCGTCGTTATTTTCCTCGAGGTTTACGTCGCAGTGCGGGTTTTTGTCTTGGGGACCACACACGTCACCACCAGAAAGAGTCTCCTGCGCAGACTCTTCAACATGGAGGTGGCAAGACCCATGTCCTTGTTCGCCCTGGATGTGGCTACAGTCGTTCAGGGTGCAATGTGGGTTGATTCGCTCGCTCAATTCATTCCTTTCAGCCTAGCATCTTTGCTTGTTATCGGTCAGTGGGTCGTTTTATGGGTTGGAAGCCCTCTGATCATGTTAAGCAGGTGTATTCAATTACACGGGGGCCCGAGAAGGTGTCTCTTTCGACGAGTTCCCTCACCCTCGTAGGATTAGCTTGGTGACCGATGAGCAGAGGTTCTCCGCGCAGCGGCCCAACTCCCTCCTGGAGCCAAGTCCGTTCCTCTTGCAGTTCATGGAGCGACCCATGTCTCCCGATTCCAATGTGAACACTGTTCCCGTGCGGCCAGTGTCCACTCGAGGTCATATAGATGAGCAAGATGGCGACCTAGTCTTGCACATTAGTGCTGCTAGCCTGGACGATCAAGACACGGCGGATGTTGAACCACCACACAGTGCTCCTGCCAACCTGACTGAAATGCCCAGTGCACCGTTCTCTGGCTCGCGTCACATCCTACCCTTCCAAGTACAGTATGTCGAACGACTCGAACGCGAAGCTGCCGCCATTCCCACTGGACCTTTACCACCGCGGCGTGACCGCCCGAAGGTCTTCGTCGTCATCGACGAGGACGACCAGGGGCTATCCCCAGGGGCCCGTCGTTCTCGTGCCAGTATCATAGGTTCAGACATCATACGCACGACGCCAACCACTCCTCATAATAAACGCAAATTGTCCTTCCTGTGGTCACCAGAATCGTCGGTCCCTTCGGGTTATCCCTACGCTTCACCACGCAACTCCCATTCGACTGCTCGCACCCAGATGACAGCGTTTTCGGCGTACCCGCACGTTGAGCGTTCACCCACAGTCCACTCGGAGCACACGGACCAGCATCTCGGTCGCCAGGACAGTTACCTCTCTCCCGAGGAGCCCTCTCGACGGTTTTCTTGGCGAACTGCATCCCGTCATCAGTCAGTGATGTCGTCGCGCACGTCGCCGCGGGACGAGTTACCCACAGTCATGGAGGGTTCTTCAACGTTCCGCACCTCATCTGTCCCTTCACGCCCCGCCAGCCGTGTGCAGAGTAGGAGGCTCACCTTCGGCCAACCAATCAAGCCTCCATCGCGCAGATCAACGAGTATTACCGCTCGAAACCCTGTCTCACCCCAAGCGTTACCCCGCCTGTCATCTTATCCGTCGTTGCGAGAGGCCATATCGTCACTTTTGTCGCCGGAGATCCCTCCTGTGCCTCCTATGCCCAGCCCCTTAACGAGCCCAAGTACCGGACTAGGACTCCCGGAGGTCGCGAATCTCAGTGGAATGAGTAATGTCAGAGGGCCTCTGCTACCCCCGCTTGCTATAACCTCTCCATCTACAAGTCCGCATGCTGCGCAAGCGGAGGAGAATACGAGCGCATCGCAGGAAACGAGCAATGATGCTAGTTCGTCTCTGTATGAGGTTCTTGTACCAGCTTACCACACTCCCTACTGTAGTAGTACTTGCCTGGTGCGATGTAATACTGTATACTGTAACCGATTCGACACCCAGCGCATTGCGCAAGGCTTGCAGCCGCTATGGATGTGAGTGGTGAGCCTGACACGATGTTCAGCCCGCAGCGAGGGCAGGGTGTGCGCCGGTCCACGCCGCAGCTGAAGCGATGACGCTTGTATTTGAGCGGCAGCCGCGTCCATTGTCTCGCACACTCATCTCCGGACTCGCCTTCCGCCACGCTCACGCCCACCATGGCGTCCGCTGAGCTGCTAGCCCAGATCCAGTCCGGTAAGAGACTTAAGAAAGCCGTCACGAATGACCGCAGCGCACCCTCCATCGAACCTCCCAAGGGAGGCGGCGCAGGAGGAAGGTCGGGAGGAGTGGGTGGCTTGGGAGGGGCCCCAGCCATCTCACCGTCGCCGTCTGCGTCGGGAGGGCCGCCCCAATTAGGCTCACTGTTCGCGGGAGGGATGCCGAAGCTGAAGCCTGCTGGGCAAGCGAGTGCAGGTGCGCACCGGACTGTGCACCACCTTGATTTGTGCTGATCACGGCTCCTTCATACAGCAAAACCTCCAACACTAGGTAAACCACCCTCTGTTCCTAATCGCTCTGCTGCACCGCCGGCGCCGCCAGCCCTCCAGCACGGTCGAGTCCCGCTCCTCCTCCACCCAACAGACCTAGCCCCGCGAGACCTGCAGCACCGCCTCCTCCAGCTCCCAGCGCACCTACACCTCCGAGTAGACCAGCACCAAGTCTGCCATCTCGATCAGTACCTGCACCACCTACCGGTCCCCCTGCGCCTCCACGGAGAGCTCCTCCTACGGTCAACGGTTCATCGCTCGCCCCTCCCTTGCCTTCTCGCACCGCGTCTGTGGCCTCTACGCGTTCAGTGCCCGATATCCCACCGCGTCCATCCTCCGCCGCGCCACATTCCCTGCGCGGAAGGTACCGCCAACGCCTCATACACCCGGCAGGGCACCCCCACCTCCACCCGCGAGGCCATCCAGTCTGAAGCCAGATGGACCAGGACGTGTTCCCCCTCCGCCTCCAGCACGGAGACCCGTGAGTATGGCCGCACCTCCTGCACCTCCTCCGAGATCGCGTGCAGTCTCCGACGAAGGATCGCGTGTACTCGCTCACCACCGCACGCCCCTCCTCGAGCGCCCCCAGGTCCTCCGCCGCCTCCGCCAGGCCCTTCTCCTGCAACGCGGCAGTCACTTGCGCCTCCTCCTCCCCCGCCTGGTCCATCTCCGCCCGATCGAGGACCGTGTCAACGCCCAGCGCGCCACCTTCGGCACCTCCTAGCAGAGTACCGTCTGCGCTGTCCAGCGCACTGACTGCTGCATCGCCTGCGTCGCCCGCAGTGACTGTGAATGGTAATGGCCGCCGCAGGAGTGAGTACACTACCTCCCTCTACTTAGTGATGTCTATCCTGATCGTGCTTTGGCAGTACCTTCTCCGCCCCCGCTTGCGGGCTCGCATACCTTCCCTGTGACAGGTTTCCCGCCACCGCGGCCGTTCAACCCGAGCTCTAAACGCTACGGAGGCGGGCGACAGAGAGGCAGTGATTTCGATTTGAGTCTACTGTGATGATTATTCTTTTACCGTACGGGGAGCGTCGTTTACACACATTCCGTTCATGATGCCGAGGATACCTGGACATGTCGTGCAAAATCTGAGTGCATGTGGTCCATATGCGCTGCGATATTCATCCAACTATGTGACTCGAGGTTTCAAAATGGCAGATGCATCGGACACAACAGTGTTCTCAAGTAGCGCGCGTACATATCAGCCTGCGTTATGTACAGGGTGCGGTGCAACGTAGCAACGATTTCATTTCGATGCGGAGGAGGAGCATCCGAACAGCTGCATTTTCATCTGGACAGAACATGGCTGTGGCTGCTGCGTGCTGATTCAGACAGTCAGTGCATGAGCCGGGTTTGGTTCGGTGACAAGGTGGCTTGTCTCGTCCTCCGGTGACACGTCAGTCTGCTTGACAGACGCCATATTAAATATTGGCCCATATAACACCGTCGCCCAGGGCGCGACCGTCCAGCGACCTCCCCTTTCTCTTCTCCAACCGCCGCCATGCGGTTCAGTCTCCTTGCCTCTTCAGCGGCAGCCCTCTTCGCCTCCTTCGTCGCCGCCGACGCGTCAGACGTGATCAACTTGACCGCAGAGAACTTCGACGCTGTGGTCCAGCCCGAGCCTGTCATTCTGGTCGAGTTCTTCGCACCATGGTATGAGACCCACTAAGCCTGTGCGAACTTTCTTCTGATTTCTATCCAGGTGTGGACACTGCAAAGCGTTGGCTCCTCACTATGAGGAGGCCGCCACGGCTCTGAAGGAGAAGACCGCTGTGAAGCTGGCCAAAGTGACTGTGTTGACCAGGCAGATCTTGTAACGCCAATGGCATTCAGGGCTACCCGTACGTAGCTTGGGTGCTTGTATACGTATGGTACTCACGGCGGCTCGCTAGGACATTGCGGGTCTACCGCAAGGGTGACTACACTGAATACACGGGCCTCGAAAAGCGGATGGGATCATTGCCTACATGACTAAGTGCGTCGACACGTACACCTTGTCCAGACACTCCTGACGATCAAATCCCCGACAGCAAGCGCTTCCCGCTGTATCTGACGTGAAGTCCGAGAATTACCAGGAGTTCATCAAGGCGGACAAGGTGTCGCGTTGCCTTCCTTTCCTCTGAGACAGATGCCCCCGGCCCCGAATTCACTGCGACAGCGAACAAGCATCGTGACGACTACCTCTTCGGTGCTACCACTGACAAGGCCCTCGCTGAGGAGGCCGGCGTCACCCCTCCCGCTATTGTCGTGTTCCGTGCCTTCGACGAGCCCAAGATCGAGTACCCATACCCAATCGGCTCCGCCAAGGTCAAGGACATCGAAAAGTGGCTCCAGGTGATGTCCGTCCCCATCATCGACGAGGTTGGTACGGAGAACTACCACACCTACGCGGAGAGCGGCAAGCCGCTCGCATATCTGTTCATTGACCCGACCGACGATAAGGACCAGCGAATCGCCGCGATTCGGACTGTCGCTGCGAAGTACCACAGCGACATCAACTTCGTCTGGATCGACGCCATCAATTCGCGGACCACGGAAGGCGCTCAACCTCGTCGAGCCCAAGTGGCCGAGCTTCGTCATCCAGGACATCCAGAAACAGCTCAAGTATCCGTATGATCAGAGCAAGGAGGTCACACCCGAGGCGGTTGAGACTATGGTGCAGCAGTTCCTGGACGGCAAGCTCGTGCCTCAGCTCAAGAGCCAGCCCGTCCCTGCTACCCAGGACGAGAGCGTGTTCAGTCTTGTAGGCAGGCAATTCGAAGAGGTTGTCTTTGATGACGACAAGGACGTCTTCGTCGAGTTCTACGCCAGCTGGTCCGCTGTTTCGATTGCACGCGAATGAACGTTGTGCTGATATATTATGCAGGTGCGGGCACTGCAAGCGTCTCAAGCCGACTTGGGACCAGCTCGGCGATCGTTACGCAGCGGTGAAGGATCGTATCACCATGTGAGCATTCTTCGACTATTGGTGTTGTATTCACTCACTGAAGCGACGAAACAGCGCCAAGATAGAGGCCCAGGAGAATGACCTTCCCCCCTCGGTGCCGTTCCGTGTCAACGGATTCCCTACCCTCAAGTTCAAGCCGGCTGGTACACGCGAATTCATTGACTACAATGGCGATCGCTCCCTGGAGAGCCTTGTCGCCTTCGTCGAGGAGAACGCGAAGAATGCGCTCGACCCGAAGATCCCCTTCAACAATGAGTCAAAACAGGAGCAGGTCCCGATGGACGACCACCACGACGAGCTCTGAGATGGCTGGATGATCTTGCCGACCCATACTGCTGTATTATCCTTACTATTTAATATGGAGATATCGCTCTTTCCTGCGATGCTTGGGACGGTGGAACTTTGGACAACGTCACACAATCGCTCGCTCACTTGCACGTTCGAGAAGCTACAGATTTGACACGAATGTAGACACCAACACAGAGAACATCCAACAGAAAACCATGCGTCAAGGAAACAGCAAATAGGCGGGTAGGGATACATTTAGTACTTAATCTCCTTGACACCATCCTTCCAGAACGTGAAATAGGCTGTATGTACCACTTGTGAGATGGAGTGCGAGAATGCAAGTTGACACAGCACGTACGCGTGACGCCGTCCTCGCGGTAGTTGAGGAGGACAACCATGCCATCGGGGTTCATGGACTCGCCGGTGTACTGAGAATCTGCGTTAGCAGGACATACAGTCGGCAAGCTTGAACGCATACAAATTCGAAGTCTTTGAAGTTCGCTACAATCTTCTTTGCGAACGCTTGTGCGCCCTTCTCGAAGGCATCGACGCGGCTAGGGTTCGACTTCTCGAGCTCAGCCTTGACGGCCTTCATGTAACTCTGAGCAGCCAAGTCAAGATCCACGGCTCCTGAAGATTTTTGATATAAGTATCCGCACCTTGAGGTGTACAAGGTACGACTTCTTGTCGAACACCGTGGACTGCAGACGGTGGGAGTACACAACGTTGTTGACCTGGGTAGCACCCTCCTCGACCCCCTCGTCCTGCTCCTCCGCAGACGGGTTGGCACCGATGTCAACATCGGCACCCTGCTTGACCGTGATCATGGAGCAGTTAACCTCGTAGACAATGTCATCGATCTCCTTGCTGTGAGCAGAGCGAGATTAGACTTTCAAATGCGTCTCGGGCCGCTGAAGGGGACGATGGGACGTACGTCGGGAAGGCGTCGGAGAAGAGCTCGTCGCCGCTGATAACGTCGTTGTACAACAACATGGTGACTTTTGCTACAGAGGGAGAGAGAAAGGAGGAGAAAGGAGGAGGGAGGGCTACAGCAGGAGGCTAGGAGAGAGGCTGGTTATGGTACACAGGTTTTGTATGCGGGGCCGCAGAAAATCTCAATTCTCCCGGATCTATCGATCTCCTTATCATTAAATCACGTGGGCGCGTCCGAAATTCTCGACTGCCATTTTGGGAAAACTGTGCACCGTCGAGAAACTCGAGAGCGAGCTCGATCGCTGCACTCCGCCTGTCCGCTGCATCCAGCTATGGACTACCAACCCGTCGTCGTCGCCAAGCATCCGCGGCCAGCTGCGACCAAACACAACTCCGAGTCGAGGTACTGGCGACAATTCAAGCACCCGGTGTTCATCAAGGAATATGCACCGGTCACCTCTGTACACTTCTCTCCCTCCAAGCCTCACCGCTATGCAGTCACTGCGGCCACACGTATCCAAATCTATGCACCCAGGACACAGAAAGTCACGAAGAGCATCTCAAGATTCAAAGACATCGCCCGGAGTGGTTGCATTCGGGGGGATGGCAAGCTGGTAGTCGCAGGAGACGACACGGGCCTGATCCAGGTGAGTGAATGATCCCTCTGGTGTCAGTTGCGGTGTTGGAACCAGGCTTCCAGGACATGTGCAACTGTTTGGATAGGAGAAGCAGGGCGAAGGCTGAATGCTATGTCTGTTAGGTCTTTGACATCAACTCCCGGGCGATCCTGCGGACTCTGGACGTCCACAAACAGCCTGTGCACGTCGCAAAGTTTTCCACTCTAAACAACACACAAGTACTCTCTTGCTCAGACGACACCACAGTCAGACTGTGGGACGTCCCATCCCAGACCTGTACGCAAACCTTCACCGACCACACAGACTACGTCCGCACCGGCCAGGTTTCCACTTCAAATCCTCATCTCGTCCTTACCGGCTCGTATGATGCCACCGTGCGCCTGTATGATTCAAGAACAGGAGAATGCGAGATGCTCATGGGTGGTCCTTCTGGGGAGGGTGGAGGCCAGAATACCGCGCCAGTAGAGCAAGTCCTCATGTTCCCTTCCGGCACAATAGCGCTGTCCACTGCAGGACCCATCCTGCGCGTATGGGATCTGGTGGCGGGCGGACGGTGCACTCGCGCGCTGTCAAATCATCAGAAGACTGTCACCGCACTTGCTTTCGACTCGACAGCAAGTCGGCTCCTGTCTGGTGGTCTCGATCAGATGGTCAAGGTGTATGATGTGAGCACGTATAAGGTCGTACACACAATGCGGTATCCTGCACCGATTCTCTGTCTTGCCGTCTCGGTATGTCTCTCATCACATGACACCCTGCAGGCATCGTACTCACCTACATTCTAGCCGATGAGACCCACATCGCCGCCGGTATGGCGGATGGCACTCTCTCCATACGACGGCGGCAACCGAAAGCAACGGAATCTGCTGCATATGAGCAGTCTCTTGCAGCAGCGCGAGCAGGCGCGTACGACTCCTTGCTCACTGGCGTCCTGCCAAATATCGGCCAAGGTCGTGTGAAGCAGAAGACAAAGTCGAAACCTGTCGGGGACATGGACGAAATCAAGGTGGAGAGCCGGAGAAAGAAAAGACTACGGCAATACGACAAGTTCCTGAAAAGCTTCAAGTACTCCGCAGCACTGGATTCTGTGTTGAAGTCGGTAAGTCGCGCCGCGTATTGTCTCACCTCAGGCTAGATGTTTACGACACACTCGCAGCAAGTTCCGCCTACAACAGCGTTCTCACTGATCCAAGAGCTCATCCATCGAGATGGCCTGCGGACAGCGCTTGCGGGTCGAGACGATGTCTTGCTCGAACCTGTTCTACGGCTGCTCATGAAGTACGTATCAGACCCCCGTTTCGGCGAGATGGTCTGTGATGTCGCCGGTCTTGTCATTGGTGCGTCTCCTCCGACCGTTGCTCCGTGCATTCAATGACCTTCGACCATCAGACATGTACAGACCGGTCCTGGGACAGTCGCCACTCATCGATACCCTGTTCGCCCGCCTTCAAAAGAAGGTAGCCGCCGAGCTCCGCTTCCAGAAAGAGCTCGTCAAGACCAAGGCCGCCCTCGATATGCTACTCTCCTCCGCCTCTCTCCTTGCTGTCGCATAGTCATCTTGCTCTCGCCCCGTCATCGCATTTCATCCCGTCCTCGTCCAGGGTGTTTGGCGCATTAGTAATAAGCAAAAGTAGTGTACAGTCTGCTGTCCGAGAGCCATGCTAACATGCCTCGAGGAATGCTATGAGGTTTCTGAGGATCTCTTTTCGCGAAAGCGAGCCCTCGTCATGTGCGTTTGTGTCGTCCTCGTCGACATTGTCGTGGTAGATCTGGAGTGTGCCGATGATGTCCTTCAGTGAGCGGTTTCGCCTGTTCAGCATCTGTTGTACATGGGTACGGATCTACAGACGAGCAGGTCAGTGGTCTATGTCTGAACATTGGTCGACTCGACGCACCCCGTCATCCTCCATAACAATCCAGGCAAGGATATAGTCCACTGTTTGTAGTGTGAACAATCCGCCGTCCAGGCGCCGAATATACCACAGGTCCTCTTCTTCTGACCCGATCTCCTCGCCCTCTGCAGCGAGCTCCTAGTAATTTGCCGAGTCGGTAAACACCTACTCAAATGATATGCGGCCCCCGCTCACCTGTTTCTCCGCCTCGATCTCTTTCTCCACACTCTTCAGTCGCGTCTGCGCGGCGTCCCGAATCTCCAGCAGTTTCTCTGCCTTCTCGTAGTTATTCTCTACGAATTTGGCAAGAAGCCGGATTCGTGCTGGCAATTCGGACGGGAGATTCGACAGGAGCGATGAAACGATGCCAAGTGTATGTGATGCATCCTCGGATGCTGGTGCCGCTGCAGGCGCTTTCTTCTTCTGCGCCTGCCAGAAGGGTCAGTACAATGAATCAAATGCGGGGAGGGGCTTAGCAGACCTTCCCCATGAAGGCTGAGAATAGTATCTTGAGACCGAGAGCTTCTACGAATACCTCGCATGTCGCTGTACCAGCCGTACCTGACATGGCATAGTCGAGCACCTTGATCGAGCGCGACTTCGCCTGCATCTTTTCCCTAGAGACAAGCGTCGATGAATTTTGGAAACGAAACCAGGGAGCCTTCACTCACTTCATCAAGAGGACCATCAGGTCCACGCCTTCGCTATCGAGGAACAATTTCTTGATCTCGGGCTCTACTAACGCTGAACAAAGGAGTCGAAGACATTCTCCATAAATTCGGTCTCATCCGGGTCGACTGGGTCGCGTTTACGATATTGCTGGCTACACGTTAGCCGAAGGTTGGGCGCCGGTCCGTGCATCGCTTAGTACGTACCGACAAGACCTTCAGCGCGGTTTCCACGCCATCCTGCTTGCCGAACTCTAGTCGGTTGACTCGATTGTTTTGCAAAAGGATAGATAGGATTTCCGCGGCATAGCCTCGATTCTCATTGTGTGCTTTAGACTGTATCCGGTCGAGCAGCCACTTCAGGACGGATGTCTTAGCAATAAGTTGTGGCGCGAAGTCCGGATCGGACCCAATGATGTTCTCGAAAATGCCTAAGGCGGATGAATCAGTCTGTTCCGCGCGATAATGCACCGGCTCCTTACCTAGGGTCTGGAACACGCCCTGTCTGTCTGCCTCTTCCGCCTCGTTTAAACGGCCGAGATTGTCCACGAGCAGCTCGAATATCGCGTTTTCCATCTGAGAATCACTGTGGTCACCCTCTGGCGATAGGACACGCAAACGAGACAGACCTACCAGGCCCTCAATGAGCATCTTCAGGGCCTCTTCCCTAGTCCCCTCGATCTCTTCGTCCTCCTCGACCCCATTGCCCACCTCCTCATCCGTCAGTTCGTGGATGACTTCCACTACGTCCAGCGCGATGTCTGCATTCTCGTGGCTGAGCAAACCGACCAATCGTGCTAGCGCACCAGTCTTCCCGAGCTCGGGGTAAGCAAGCAGAGGGGCTTGGGCGAGTGGAAGGAGGGCTTTCAATGCTGCATCAAGGTCTGCTTCGGAGTCAATGAATCTAGGACATGTGTCAAAAGATGGACCTCGAGTCGGTATGAGTGAACGTACTTTGTTGGATCGTCGGCATACTTGGACCGCTGATCCTGGTTCTTGTTCACCGTCGCCTCGAACCGTTTGAGGAGCCTGCGAATGCCGGGAAGAGATAGTTCCTCCAACTGTGTGTACGTGAGAATTCGGCATATGAACAGAAAGGCTTTCACACTTACATCCTTTCTCGCCTCATCCCCTCCAGCTCGGTCAAATATGTTGAGGATATCCTTCTGCTCGTTTGTCAACCCGCCGCCATAGAAGCGGCCTTCCTCGTCTTCCTCCGCGAAGTAGTCTGCATCCCCACCAGGTGCAAAGTCGGGCTCCATCTCCTCATCTTCATCCACGTCTTCGACCATCGCTGCACGCGACTTGCCCTTGTTCGATGTGCCGTTTTGAGGTACAGGGGCAGCAGTGCCTTCTGCATCTATTCGCATTCGCTTGAGCATGTCTGGCGTTGGAGCATCTGGCAGTCGCCTCTTGTTACCGCCACCAGGCAGCTTGGGCACCTGGAAGAGCACTGAATGACCGAACCACTGAGGTCATGGACTATTCTCACCTTGAATAGCTTGTCAATGTCCATGGTGAACTAGTCGGCGCCGGTGGGGAACACTGTCGATATATACAGTATAGAAGTCTCGTCTTACAGTTGCCGGCTGAGCGGGTTTGTCAATGAACTGAGGATGGGTTGGTGGAGGTCAGAATGAAGTGACGCGCAGGACTCGTGACAAGCGCGACGCGTCTTGCTCGCGTCCCCACTGCCAGTCGAATGCGCGCTTCACCTCTTACACTCGACTTTCTCTCGCAAAGGCCATGTATCGCCATGTAACAGAGGCGATACCAAGGACATGTGGAATAGTGCTCCGACACAGCAGACGGCGCTGCCTGTCTTCAGTCGCACACGCCGAAGAAAGTGATGTTGTCGTTGTAGGCGGTGGTCCCGCTGGACTTGCGCTCGCCAGTGCTCTAGGTACTTCTGAATCTGTCATGCTCGTCGTTGAATGACAATTCGACATCTGCGTAGGGAGCTCGAAGGGAGTTTCCAAAGCTCTCCGTGTTGTGTTGGTCGAAGCAGGCGACCTGTCCAAAATCGAGACTGGGCACCCACTCAGAACAACTTTTCTAACAGAGTTAGTTCGATCACGAATGCGTCACAAGCATTTCTGAAAGGTAGCAGTACAGCATATCGTCCTCTGTGGTCGTTGACATTCAGCCCGATAGACATCGGCGCATGGTCGCATGTTCAACTGGATCGCACAGCACCAGTCGAGGAAATGCAGGTAATTCTGTAACCCAATGAAGACTACACTTATACTTAGCGTCGTCGAAGGTTTGGGATGGCGTCTCAGATGCTCGCATCAACTTCTCCGCCTCGGAAATGGTAACACCAGGATCAGCAACCGCAAGTGAGATGTCTCGACTGGTGGAGAACCTCAACCTGCAACGCGCCCTGCTACACCATATCTCAAATATACCCGCTGTGAACATTCTGGACAAAACAAAGGTGCAGTCGATCCAAAGGGAAGAGCGTGAGGGAAACGGATGGCCCTTGGTCTACCTTTCCGATGGTCGTGTCTTGCGCGCAAGGCTACTAGTACGTCCAGTGCACATCAAGCTGAACGAGCGAACTGATAAGCTTCACAGGTTGGCGCAGATGGATTCAACTCTCCAGTTCGCTCATTCGCCGGGATACAGTCATACGGATGGGCGTACGACACACAGGCCATCGTCGCGACGATGAACCATCACCCACGAACTGCGTTTGAACCTCCAAACAATGTTGCATACCAGCGCTTCCTCCCAACGGGTCCCATCGCGTTCCTACCGCTCTCGTCTACAGCTTCCTCGCTCGTGTGGTCGACCAAGCCCGATCTCGCCAAGGCGTTGCAAGCGTCCGACCCGGCCGTCTTGACGAGTATGATCAACGCTGCTTTCCGCCTACCTGAAGTGTCGTTGCGGTACCTGCATAGCCGCATGCTGGAGGCACATACCGCGGGCCATGCGCTCTCACCAGACGAGCTGAACAAGGAGATTACGTGGCGGGAGCAGTCACATAATGTCGATCCCCGTTCTGCGTATTCCGTTACCGCGCTGTCGAGATCAGCTCCCGGCGGCATCCCACCAGAAGGGGCAGATCTACTTCCCCCCTTTGTGACCAACATTCAAGACGGTACCGTCGCCTCCTTCCCGCTCCGCATGAGCCATGCGGACGCGTACATCGGAGAGGGCCGGGGAGCGCGTACCGTGCTTGTTGGTGATGCGGCGCATACAATTCACCCACTGGCTGGACAAGGGCTTAACCTGGGCCTCGGCGACGCTGAGTCTCTGGCACGCTGCATACAGTCTGCGGTGCAAAACGGCGGTGATGTCGGTGAGTGTGTTACCGGTTCCGATACTTGCCGCCGCTCAGTTCACGACAGGTTCTTACACTGCCCTTGGCCCGTACGCGCGCGACCGGTACTTCGAGAACCACAAAATGCTCTCCGCTGTCGACAAATTACACAAGCTCTATTCGTCTACGGCGGAACCCGTCGTTTGGGCACGCTCCGTTGGCTTGGAGGTTCTGAACGAGCTGGACACCATCAAGATAGCGTTCATGATGTCAGCCGGAAGCACCTGTCGCACGGACCCGGCATCTATTGGTTGGAACGTTGCAGCGAGTGGTCTCGAGACGGTTGCTAGAGGCGTCAGTGGGGCAAAGAATGTAGGCGTCAGTGGGGCAAAGAATGTAGGCGAAACTATCGCAGGCCTTGCTAACGCGTCGGTCCGGGGACTGCTGAAACAATTGTCAAATACTGGTAGGCCGTAGTGCGCATAGTTACCACCTCTGCTTAATGCATCACTGGATTCTAAAGGCAATCGGAAGCGGATGTATTCCTGAGAGCTAACACGCACTGTGACGGAACGGAAAGAGTTTACGAGGGACGCAACTCACCGCTTCGTGGCATACGTCGCCTCGAAAGTAAGCTACGCAACCAGCGACGGAACCATAGCCCGGCGAATAGACCTGAAACTCGAAGCAGACAGACACGCGACGCAATGGTTGATAAAATACACTGACCAGAAGCTCGAGTACGTCCACAGTAGCATATCCACAATCGAATCGAGGACTGTGAGTCCGGACATTCTAACTCATTACTGAAGGAATGCGTTCACCTCGCCTCCATCAAAACGCCTCCATCCCTTGGGCACCTAGTAAGGCTTGTGCCTGTTCTGCTTCAGCTCCTTCTCCAGCTGTCTTGCCTTGCGATGACCAATCTCAACCGGGTTGATATGGTTGTCCGCCTTCTTCAGCTTGATAGGCCTGTTGCCGACGTACTTGCCTGTGCGGGTGAATGAGTTCTCGACGATGATGGACATGAGATTAGCACGCACCATCCATCTCCTTCCATGCCTTCAAGAAGTCTTCTGGGTCCGAAAAGGCCACAAAGCCAAACTTCGCCTACCACCAAGTCAGATATACTCAATGATTTAAGAAGCACAAATACTAACCTTGCCGCTCAGGCGATCCCGGATGACTCTCGCTTTCGTGAATGAGGTGTACTGATTAAAGGCACTTGCCAGTACATCATCGGACACATCGTTGCTGAGATCACCAACGAAGAGACGGAACCAAGCTGAAGTGCAAATATCATAAACAACAAGACTGTGGACCGTAGAAAGAGCACTCACAAGGATCCCACTCTAGCAGCGTCTGATCTTCCCACACCTTACCTGCGCCCTTGCGGAGGACTGTCGTGCGCTTCCCTCCCTTCGCCAGCTTGCCACCCGCACCGCCACGCTTGTCGATCATGGCTCCGGGCACATAGACACTTTGCTGAGCCAGGATACCGACGTCGTACTCGTAGGCATTTGCTGGCACAGGAGCATGGTGAGCGGAAGACGACGACCCGGGGATGGGGTACATGGGCCCTTGATAGGGTTGGTGGTACGGATTGATGTCAGAGGATTGCTGCTGGTATTGCTGGTAGTAGTTCTGCGCGGAGTATGGATCCATGGTGTCTTGAGAAAGGTTTGATTGAAGAGAGAAGACTTGGGCAGGAAACTGTAGCTGGCGACCAGTGGCGTTGAGCGACGAGGTGAGAGACAAGGAGGATAGGCGCCAAATGGGCAGGCCCGAAGATGCCTTTCCCGGAGCGCGCATTACGTAAGTGGGCCAACCGAGTCTGCAGGCAAGTTCTGTGTACCGAGCTCATCGTCGTCGTCAACGCCCTCAACGTCCCCCTCAAGGTGAGTTTTGCCCTTCAGGATGTATGAAGACTCTGCAGGACCGCTGGGTTGCATGTCTAACACTATCAGCTAGTCTACGCAGACAAACGCGATGGATGCATCCCGTCTCGTCTGGATGTGCTGCCGGTACCAGGTTGTCTGACTGGATTTCTTCCAGATGCCATTCGTCAAGAACGTGAAGTCCGACGCCTACTTCTCGCGGTTCCAGGTCAAGTACCGCCGCCGGAGAGAGGGGAAGACTGATTGTGCGTGACACCATCGCTTTGTGCTGAACGTTAGGGTTTGACTTCTGTGCTTCAGACTACGCCCGCAAGCGGCTCGTCACCCAGGCGAAGAACAAGTAGTGCGTATTGGGAAGGTTTAGGATTCTCATATTCTCATCCTCTGTGCAGCAATGCCCCCAAGTACCGCCTGGTTGTCCGCTTACGAACAAGGAGGTCATCGTCCAGATTGTCTACGCACGCCTGCAGGGTGACTTCGTCCTTTGCGCGGCACGATCGAAGGAGCTGCCAAAATATGGCATCAACCACGGTCTCACCAACTGGAGTGCTGGTACGCCATCAGCACTGTCCGCCTTCCTTGCTTTACTGAACTATATACAGCATACGCGACTGGCCTTCTCTGCGCGCGTCGTGCTCTGACGAAGCTCGGTCTTGCCGACAAGTACGAGGGTGTGGCGGAGCCTGACGGCACTATCTCCCTGACGGAGACTCTCGACGAGGAGGACGCCCCGAGCCGTTCAAGTGTTACTTGGATGTTGGTCTCAGGCGCACGTCGACAGGTTCGCGTGTGTTCGGTGCTCTCAAGGGCGCCAGCGACGGGGGTATCTACATCCCCCACAACGAGAAACGATTCCCCGGCTATGACGTTGAGTCGAAGGAGCTCGATGCCGAGACTCTCAAGAAGTACATCTTCGGCGGCCACGTTGCGGAGTACATGGAGTCCCTTGAGGAGGAAGATGACGAGCGGTATGTCATTCGACGAGTAGAGTTGTCTCATCTCCGAGTACTCATGTTTCTCTAGCTTCAAGAAGCAGTTCGCGACGTATCTCGCTGACGGCATTGGATCCGAGGACATGGAGGAGATTTACACGAATGCGTACGCAGCCATCCGTGAGGACCCTACCTTCAAGCCCTCGGAGAAGACCACCGACTGGAAGGCGGAGAGCAAGAAGCACCGCACTCCTAGGCTCACGCTCGAGCAGCGCAGGGCCAGGATCCAGGAGAAGATTGAGGCCTTCCAGACTGGTGCTGCCGAGGAGGACGACGAGTAGATGCTTCATCACCCCCAGATTACCCTACATGCACTGCTTATGATGTTTCCCGTCGTCTATGGTCACCAAAAGACAGGGCTATGATATGCCATGCCATTGCTACGCATTCTCAACCAGCCTCGACTGCCCGACCTTCATTAAGGCCGAAAGAACTCATTTGCAAGGGTATCAGTATGGATACAAAATGGCTAAAGTCAGATACACGTGCGTTGATGTTGCGTAACATGGTCATGAAGAGGATGCGTGCGCTGAGGTAACTCGGTCAAGGTCGAAGTATGAGTGGAGAGGGTTGCTTCAAAAGTGCCGAGTTAATGACATGCGTTGCCCAGGCAAAGAGTGTGCTGTCATTGTGCTCTTTGGTGGTATAGATCTCTGTAGTGGGCTGGAGCTGGCCTTTCGTGCGTTCCACTCTAGTGGCAGTGCACACTAGGGCTGAATCTTCTGAGAAAGACACACGGAAGTTCCTGAGGTCGCGGCAAGTCAGCGTCAATGAACGTCCAATACGAGAACATCCAGACGTACAGGACGCAGCCCTCCCATTTCCCTACGCTTCTGCTGGAGAGTGAGTCAACGAACCACACTCCGCTGAGCCCGCTGCATTGTTCGGTGCCGATGTCACATATTCGCGTAAGCAGGAACGACCCAACTTCGTCAGCCAATAGCTGAGACAACTGAGCTATCGATGCAATGCCCAGGGTCGCTTGCGGGAGGTGGGCTATCAACATGGACGGCGAGATGAACGTAAACCGCAGCGTTTGCCTATCGAGCCCGGCTACCGATCAGGATACTGTGAGGCCGTGAGTTCTCGAAACACCCACTGATTGTCAATCCGAATCCTGGCCTCCCCTCCTACTGGCTTGGGCTTGTTATCCGTGATCAGCTTCACAAACTCCTCCCCGCTCCCCGCCATCGCTTCGAAGTGCATCTTTGCCGGCAGCCCCGCGCGGCGAAGGGCACCCACGATGCGGTGGAACTCGGCGCGTACACGGTTGCAGAACACCTCGTATTGAAGGAGGTCGATGATTGGCTGCAGTATTGGCGGTGTCTGGATCGCGCCGGGGTGGCCGGGCATGCGAAAGGAGCCAGTGCGCTTGATACGCTCGGATCTTATGTAGTGGTGCACACGGAGAAGGAGGATCCGGAGAGCGGCAACGATGAGATCGCACGTCGCTGCCTCGGTGCTCGAAGATGGTGCATCCTGCTCACTGTTGCTATCGACCTGCATGCAATCAGTATGATTGTAATAGCACAATTGCGAGCATACACACTAGCTGAATGATTAGCTCAGTTCCGAGAGCAGCCTTGACGACTATTGACCGCTCGGACACCCGTGCAGTTGCTGTCGGTAGATTGCCTGCCTCCTTGATGAGGGCGGAGAATACCTCCTGTTCCACAACCTCTATCTGTGCTGCACGCAATGACTCCTCTAGCGTCGTCTCTTCCACTAAGCAAATGGTGTTAGCAACCAAATGCTGCGATCCATCATCATTGGTCCTCCTCAATGAAGCCCGCAAACGGGTGTTCTGCCGTAACGGAAACTCTATTCTGTTTTCCTCCGTATCCAGAATGGGCATTCGACCAATGGCTCGTCGCCGGAAGACGGCAGGCGCTGTATACCGACGTAAGCATCACCCTTACGCGATGTAAATTCCACGCACCCTCTTCCAGGCCGAAAGACACGAGGAAATCCTTGGACGTTTTGTCTGCACCCTTCCCAGTTGCGGACCCCAAGGGAAGGGGTGCAGGCACTAGACCCCAATTTCCTCGTCTAATGCGCAGGGCGTCAAGCCAATGCCTCTCGCTTCTGCCCTGCCGACTTCCATGTTCTCGGCCGCGGATTTGAAGAGGTCGGAAGCTCTGCGTAACGCCTTGTCTTTGCCGCCGACGACCAGCTGAGTATTGAAGGCGCGTACGGACAGTATGGGCGGCGGTTTCGTAACTACAGTAGCGGTTAGGTTCGATGGCGGTGGCGGTGGTGCCGGCTGAGAACTGGGTGTCGATTGAGAAAGCAGCTGAGTAATGGATGGTGCCTGTGAAGGCCCTGCAGCTGAGAGAAGCATTGATAGCAGGTCCCTGGCCTGCGTCATCTCGCCGAGGGCGATGCTGCATTCAATGAATCGGCCTGACCGCGTCAGATGCTGGCCGGCCACTTACTGGAGATGAGGGAGCAAGTCCACGCGCATCTTGTAGAGCTCCTCCGTCGTCATAGGCGGCCGTGGGCCCTGGAAGTCATCCAGCCTGTCTTCGGCCACATCCTCTGCGGGAGCACCGGGGGCAGCTGGCTTGCCGGGAGCATCCCTCTTGTAATCGAAGTAGTCGACGCCGCGCTCGACGAAGATCCTACGCAAGTTTTCGCCAACTTGTGCGGTCGCGTCTTCGTTTCTGGAGAAGGTTAGCGCGTGGCTGTAACGCAGCCGGGATGAACGCACGGCTCGTATATATGCTGCCCGTCCGCGGTGATGTCGAGCAGGACGGGGATAGGGTTGCCGTCGTCGTCCTTGTGCGGCCGCTCGAGCGAGAGCTTGATTTTCTTCCACGGAGGCTCGTGCATGGCGGTGCGGGGAGGCGTCTGCGGACGGAGGCGAGCAGCTGGACGCGTGCTGGGTAATGGATGGGCAAGGACCTGTAAGGACGCGCCGTCGCTGACCGGGACTGACCAACGCGAGAGACCGCGAACGCCCCACGTGACCGGCAGGCTCTCGGGCCGTTTCGCAGTCGCGCTGATTGGCTGGCGGCGGGGCGCCTTCTTTAAGTAGCGTTCCCAGTGAAGCCTGCTTTCCCCAGACCCGCTCCTCACAGGCCCGTCCTCCGTCCGCCGGCTTATAGGCCCCCTCCATCCCAGTCCTGGGCATCCCCTCTCCACCCGTCCATGCCCTGCGAGCTCCCCCGGCTATGCCCAAGAACGCCTCCCGCATGACTCCGGATAGTGGCACCCCCGGGCCCTCCAACGGCGTGAGGAGAAAATCCGAGGAGGAGGATGTGCGCCTTAGCAAAAAGCCGCGCACTCGGGTTAGGTCGGTCCTTGCTCGCGTCGGAGGTACGTTCACGGCTGAACATACAGATACAGCTATTCTTGCGGCGAGTGTCACCGCCGCAAACAAAAGGTCGGTTTATCCTCTCGTGATACCCGTTAGGGCACTAACCATGTTGTGCCCGCTTCAGTGCGACAGGCAGATTCCTTGTTCGCATGTAAGTATGGCATTTCTCTCGCCGTGATCATGCTTAATGGAGACAACGTCACTCTCAGTGTATAGCCCGCAAGGTCCCAGAACTATGCAAGGCATATACCCCGGGCAAGACCGATCAGGACATCCATGTCCGTCTGGCCCGCCTTGAACACATAGTAGAGGCTGCCCTGCCGCAATACTGGAGCCACAGTCCCAGCACCCCAGACTTCTTCAGTGAGCGGAGGCGTTCGTCTTCCCCCATGGAAGATGGCAACAGGTCCCAGGCTGAGGAGGAGGACCCTTGCGGCGGGATGTTCGAGAGCGGTCGTTGGTTTGGCAAGAGCGCTTCAGGAAGCGTCGCTGCGCCCGTCGTGCTGGAGCAGGTATGCGCATCCTGTGCATCATCTCACCCTGTCGCTTACCCTTGCGAAGCTGCAATACGTGGAGAAGCTATCAGCTGGAGACACGCTACAAGCGTCTCAGCTGCCAGCTGACATCTTTCAGCCAGACTCCAAACTGCTGGCCACACTCGAGCCCCAGAACGCCGCAGACAAGCTCAAGCTATTGATATCCGACTATGGCTTCTCGCCCACGAGAGTTCCAGAACTCATCAACGAGCTCCCCCCGCGCCATCTATCCGACCGTTTGGTCGACTACTACTTCAGCGCTATGTACGTTTACGTGCTTTCGGGCCATCCCCCCCTGCTGACTGTCCGGCATGTAGTAACTGGACTCGCTATCCGATTCCTGAGCGAGACTTCCGCACGGCTTACTCGGCCATATGCGCTGAGGGTATGATGCCCAACCCTAACAACCTACGGTTTCTCCCGCTGTTATTCGTGGTTCTCTCCATTGCCATCCGATTGGCTCCTGAACATATTGGAGGCGACGAGCGCTCGCGCAAGCTGACGTCCTCACGATACTATTGGTCCTGTGAGCAGGAACGATGCGCTGGCGTCCATGTCGACTGACCGTGTTGCAGCACGCCGCGCCTTGATCATCACAGCGGCTATCCAGCCGGACTGCTTCGAGATGGTGCTGACTCGCATGCTGGTAGGTACACTTTTCCGTATATCGCGCATTTGACTCATCGTGCACGACACAGAGCGCCCGGTTCCTCATTCTCGATCGTAGAATGACCGAGTCTTGGAACCAACTTGGCGCTGCCGTGAGGACCGCACAGGCTCTTGGATTGCATCGAGACGGTGCTGACATGGTGTGTACTATCTGGCAAACTCACTGACCGGGCCGCATCTTACTGTTTTCACTGCTTGATCAGGGCATGGACCTCGTGCAAGTGGAGAAGCGCCGACGGATATGGTGAGTTGTCGTCGTCATGTAGTCGAAAGTTTGCTGAACATATATGAAGGTCTCATCTGTATCATGCCGACCGGTCGATAGCTCTGGTCCTTGGTAGGCCTATAGCGATTCAAGACGTGTACACCTCAACACATTCCCCTTCGAATGTCGATGACTTCGTTACGTCAGATTTGCGGAAGCCTCTGCCTCTCACTACTCCCACCCCGTCTACCTTCATGATCCTACGGCACCACCTCGCTGGTATCATGGGCCGCATGTCACATCACTTCCAGCAAGTGCGCACCGCGCACCATTACTCTGACGTCCTCGCCTTGGACGACGAGCTGCTAAAATTCATGCAGACACTCCCACCTCACTACGCTATCGAGCCCGACACCTCCCTCGATCAGTCACATCCATACATCCCTATTCATCGCTTCCTGCTCGTGACGGAGATTCTCTTCGTGCGGATCACCCTGAACCGGCCATACCTCTTACGCCGGCTAGGCTCGGATCGGTACTTACGCTCACGGAAAGCCTGCTTCGAGTCAGCCTTGACGGACTATAGGATACGCCGGGCGTTTTTGGCCACCACCACCAAGGAAGCTCGGGACCCTATAGCCAGTGCCTATAGGGAGTTCCAATCGGCCATGATCAGCGGGATATACCTCGTCCTCTACCCGAGAGGGAACGACGCCGATAGCATGCACGCGGTCCTAGACAGCTTCCTTGAGGGCCGTGAAGGGAAATGCAAAGAGCAGGACGAGACCACTCGGCGGGAAGTGAATATCATTCAGTTCCTAAAGAGTCGGTCGACGCAGATGGCCGAGGCGGGTGCGCACTCTCAACAGCTTGGCGACTCCCCTTCGAGCTCGAAGAAGCCGAATATGACCCTCAACCTTCGGGAATACCTGCAAAAGCCCGCTGCGCATACCACGGCTTCGTCCGTCTCTGGGCCTACTCTCTCTTCTATCACATCGCATCCCATGGGTTCACACTCACTCGCCAACCCGTTCATGTCATCGAGCCATGCCACCGCGATCCCGTCTCACATGCAACACATTGAAGGGGGCTCTGGCTCACAGTCTGGGACCGGTAGTCCTCCGGGAGACGTGGACTCAGAATCTACTGCGCAAACGTTGCTCGATCAGTGGTGTAACATTTTCAGCGGCGGACCGACGGACGACTCAACGGGTGCTTCGGCTCGGCTGCCCTGGGGCACACCGGGGCTGACCGACCTGTCGGGGTGGCCGTTGCCTACGACGCCGAACATGGGCACCGAGCCTCTCCCTGGTCTCGATGGATCAGACTGGAGCTATTGGGAATCGTTGGTGAACCAGATCCGGAGTAGTCCCGTGCTCTGAGGCGTAGAGTGGTTGCGCGTCGAGTCAACGTTGTAGCATGCTGAACCTTTGTACTTTGATTATCTATGTGCTATAGCCATAGAGTGACATGCTATCGACTGTTCTGTATCGTCTCCGTAGTGTATACTAGCTTACGTACTAATGAGGACCTGCGTAATCCCTCGAGAGCCAATGCATGTCCATTGACCGCCACGAACGACCGGTAGCCTCGAGGCTGGCGCCGGTGGCTGCGACCTGCGAGCCATTTGATCCGTCAGTGCGGGTGTTTCTCAGCCACATGTTTGCACCCTGACCACGACCTCCACGACCACGATCCACTCCCAACCCTATTTGTCACCCAGTCGTGCCCTTACAAGGTATCTGCAGCTGTTGCCATATTTGTGCTTCAGCACTTTCCTCATTCGACATCGCTCGTAGGATGGGCAAGCGATCCAGGACCGAAACACATCTCGCTCCGGAAAACGAGCCCCTGGCGAAGAAGTCTCGTACACAAACCCCACCCTCTCTCACAGCACCGACCAGACCAGGGTCGACGAGGATCCTCTCATGGAACGTCGAGACCCCTGTCCCATTCCTCGACCTCACCCCTCGAAAGGCGGGACCCTCTACAGTGAAGCCTGCAAGTAACCTATCTCTGCTCCGCGATCTAATCGCGAGACATGAGTACCCGGATTTTGTCTGCCTGCAAGAGGTCCGTGCCCGGCACACGGACAAAGAGTGGATCGCGTCCCTGAAGAATGCGCCCAATGGGAACGACGACAGGCCACAGTACACAACGTTCACGTCGCTCAACCGCGCACCCCGGGGCAACGACACTTCGGAGTCGTCACGTACGCCAAGAACCCGACGACATCGCTGTCGCACGAGAGGTCGAGTGGGATGCGGAAGGACGCGTCATGATCTGGAGATGAAGAGCGGCTGGGCGCTGGTGAACGTGTACGCCCTCAACGGGAGCGAGTACATGTGGAGGGACGCGACGGGACAGAGCCCGCCGAAGACGCGCAACGAGCGGAAACGCGAGTTCAACCAGCTGCTCCTGGAGGAGTGCCGGTCGATGCAGGTGCGGGGCCTCCGGCTCGTGCTCGTGGGCGACTTCAACATCTCCCTCACGAAGCGCGACTGCGTCCCCCGGTTGCGCACAGAGTACCCGCACTCCCTCGCGCGGAAGGAGTTCATGGACAACTTCATCGCGGGCCTAGACGTCGTGGACGTGTACCGCGTCCTGCACGGGCACCGGCCGGCGTTCAGCTGGTTCGCGAAGGGCAAGCCGCAAGGGTCGGACGCTGCACGGGTAGACTACGCGCTCGTCGAGCGATGCATCGCTAGTCGCGTCGCAGAGTCGATGTACCTGGAGGATCCTCAGGAGCGCGCGCACAGCGACCATGCGCCGTTCGTCCTCGCGTTGAAGGACATGGACAGCCTGCCACCTCCCCCATCACAACCTGAATCTCCACCACAGGAAACGCAGGCTCCTCTTCCACGTGCCGAAGCTGTGCCCCAACAGCAGAAAGAACCCCCTCCACCCATGAATAGCTTGGCCCCGCCGCCCACGACTTCGAGTTCGGATGAGCAGTCGCAGCCCGCTTCCGATTCAGCCATCGATCCGTCCTTGGAGATGGACCCTCAAGCGTTTGGTCTCCTAGTGGAACAGGCTGTAGCTGCGTCTACCGCTGCTCCGTCTTGAAGTTCATGAACGAGTCGTTGCCTGTAATTCTACTTGCCGCACACAAAGCTCACTATTACTCGCGGCTGTACAGTCTTAACTTATAGTACTTATGTTGTCGTCGTCGCTTTGCACGCGTTGTCTTCTGTAGACTGTGTACCACGACCATCGAATCGCACATCGATTCACTGTCTCTTATACAAGTGTTACAGTAATCAGAGCTGAGGGGCAATGCCCACAGCGACGAGCATGAGGTAGAGCCATGCAGGTCCCACAGCGACCGAGATGCCAAGGGCACCAGCATTCGCCAACTTTGAGTCGCCCAGTCCATCCGCAGTAGTGGTCTCTGCACCAGAGGCTGACGCTGAGGCCGAAGCGTGTGCCGAGTCGGTATTCGCGTCTCGCGCAGCCTCCGTAGGCATGCTGAGGGTCGGATCGGGCGACCCGGTGTCGGTAGCGCGAGGGTGATCAGAACGGGTGGACATGGAGTCGGTGGCCTTCGAGCTGTGCTGCTTGACCATGCGAGACGATGTCATGAAGGAGTCCGTAGTGGAGTCTTGGTCGTCGCTGCGGTCGTCGTCCGAGTTGGAGCCCAAGCGTCCTTGCTCTGAGGGTCTGGAGTCTGTGTGGCATGCATGTGGTGGAACGTCTTGGTACTTGTAAACGTGCGAGAATTGCCGTCGTCCGGGTCGTCCGCAGAGTTGCCAGAGTCACCAGAACCATCGGAGTCGTTTGAGTCGCTAGAGTCGCCAGGGCCGTCACTGTCAGAGCCATCCCTACCAGAGTCATCAGCTGAACCTTCGTCGCCCTCCGAGTTGCCATCATCTTTGGAAGACTTGTGGTTCGATGAGTCGGTGTCTCGAGCATCGTCACCGTCATCGTCATCCCCAGAATCGTCGTCGTCATCGTCGCCATCATCGTCATCATCGTCGTCGTCGTCGTCGCCGTCGTCCCCACCATCTTCGTCCTGATCACCGGAGTCGTCCTGACCGCCTGTAGCATCTCTCTGGCTGTTGCCATCACTAGCTTGGGCCACGTTCTTGACAGCGGGAATAGCAGACTGGTCTGATTGGCTAGCCGTAGTCCCAACAGTCGAGGCAGACCACTGTGTGCCAGAGGTGACATTGGCAGAGATTGACGCTGTGGTCGTGGTGTTCGACGAAGCGAGCGCGCCGTCACCCCAAGGAATCTGATCACCGTTGGGCTGCTGAGAGTGCTCCGGAGAAACGCTCGTGTTCGACGAAGACGCGATCTGCGAAAACGTCGAATGCCAGAAGATTGAGGAAGATCCCGTCTGTTACTCACCGTAAATCGAGTAGTCCACTGCGAGTCAGACTCGTTGCCGCCATTCGTGAACTGGGAGCAATGTGAGCTCACGAGTAACATAAAGCGTTCTACCGTACCTGGTAGAAGTAGATCGCAGAATACGGGTCAACTTCAGGACAAGTCCAGTTGTACGGCGAGAGGCTAGTATCGGTACCGTCCAGCGCCGAGGCAACGTTGGTCACCGTAGACATGTTGTCATTGGAGCCCGACATCAAGTCTTCTCCGAAGTGAGGGACGTCCCAGAAATGAGCTGCAAGAGACTTTGCGTACCTATCGACATGTTCTTCCACGTCCCACTCGTGTCAGCATCCCATTCCAAGGTGCAATTGGAACCAGCGATGAACGACTGATTAGGACCCGGAGCTGTAGGATTCACGTCGGCGAGCGCAAGACTTGCCAAGGAGGCGGAGACGGCGAGCGCAGCAAGAGACATGTTGAATGGAAGCACGGACAAGCGATAGGTGCGAAGGAGGATAGTGACAGCAGCAGACGGCCAGCGACTGAGAAAGCAGGAGTGGTACCAGACCGTAGAAAGCAGAGGAGAGTTGTGAAGAGCCGTCCATGCAACGTTCGCGCATTATATAGCAGACTGGAGGCAGCCTCCGTGGCTGACATGGACATGGCGGTCAGCAGCCAAACGGGCGATGCACTGCAGCGCGTCTGCCTCCTCGATCGACGCGTCCGGAAATGGCGCCGCACGTGGGCCGCGTGACCGCGCGCCCTCCCACCCGGCGCAGTGCAAGTGACACCGTGTTTGGTCTCTTCAGGCCCGCACCACCATGCAAACGATCAACAGATTCCTCTATGGGCCAACTCCGGAAGAGCGAGTGAAACAGTGGCAGGCAAAGCTGCGCCAGGAGCAGCGTGTCCTCGACAGGGAGATCAGGCAGGTTCGATCCTTATGACCACCGCTCCGTGCGACCGCTGACATTCGGCGCAGCTCGATGCCGCCACAAACAAGGCTAGGACAACGGTCAAGCAGCTGGCCGCGAAGGGTGACGTGAAGTCCGCGCGAATACTGGCAAAGGAAGTCGTTCGCAGCAATAAGCAGAAGGATCGCCTGTCGGTTAGCAAAGCGAGACTAGGGTCAATCAATAACCAGCTCACGCAACAGATGGGTACGTGCAGCTATCCCGTGTACAGCGAATATGTAGCTAACGCATGCTTGACATGAAGCCATGATCAAGGTCACTGGCTCACTGCAGAAGTCAACCGAGATTATGAAGCTCTCGAATACCCTGATCAAGCTACCACAAATTAGCCAAACAATGCGCGAGATGAGCATGGAAATGACGAAGGTCGGTCCTAGTGTTCCCGCTCTATCCTCCAAAGGCTGACTCCCTCGTCCTGCACCCTGAAGGCCGGGATAATGGAGGAGATGCTAGATGATACCCTAGAGATGGACGACGATGAGGAGCTTGAAGAGGAGGCCGACGAGGAAGTTGACAAGGTCCTGTTCGATTTGACGAATGGCAAGCTCGGTCAGGCAGGTACCGTGCAGACTGAAGTTCCTGTGAGATTATCTCCCGCTTACGTGTGTGATGCTGCTAACACCGTCCAGTCTGCGCAGGAACAGGTGGACGAAGAAGCGACGGAGAGAGCACTGGAGGAGTATCGGCAGCAGCTCAACGGCTTGTTGAGCGGGTAGAATTCTTGCGGACTCTGGCTTTGTATCATGACCATTTATCGTACCTTTCATGCTTGACTTGAGGACATTTGTGGCGTTGTCAATGTATATTACTCTACTAATACCACTTGCGCGCGAATGCATGCATCTTGTGCAAATGAGGCAGCAAATCTGACAGCAGTTGCGATCATTGCAATGCATTGACTCCATCATTGAGTTTAGTGACTCTCACTGGGCGGTCACTCCGGTTAGCGAGGGACCATAAGTGGTCAGGCAATATGCGCGGTTCTCAATGTCGGGCGAGTCGGGCAAGAGCGGCCCTCGGTGTCTACATCATGGATCACGTGCACCGTGTTTTTCGACTTGCTTTCGGGCCCGTTTCGGCCTCTACGGTCCTTAACACCTCCCCTCTCGACTCCCCTCCCCCACCTGTAAAATGTTGGCCTCCCGGACTCTCGCTCGTGGTGCGCGGGTCGCAGCACCAAGCTCGCAGGTATGTAGAAGAGCGGGTAAGGCGGAGTCGTGACCGGCTAACTTGAGACGCGCGCAATAACCAGCCTTTCCGCCGGTACGCCTCCGCTTCACCAACGGCCGCGTTTGCTGGCCAGAAGGGGAGCAATGTGAGCCTCGGGTACAAACCTCTGTAGCTTTACCCCTCTAACATCCTACGCAGGGCAAGTACGCCGTGACACTTATTCCGGGAGACGGTACGTCGTTGCAACGTCATACTCCTGCCCGGGACCTAATGGGTTGCACGCAGGTATTGGCCCTGAAATCAGCCAGTCCGTGAAGGAGATCTACTCGGCTGCCAAGGTGCGTTGTACTGCACCTTCGTCTGTCGAATCACCGTGTTCAGCATTCATTATAAGGTCCCCATTGAGTGGGAGGAGGTCAGCGTCACACCAATCCTGAAGGGAGGGAAGACCGTTATCCCGGATGCGGCCATTCACTCTGTGAGGAAGAACACGGTGGCTTTGAAGGGTACGCAATTGGAACAGTCTCCCAGTATCACGACGAGAGCTCACAGTTTGTTCAGGACCCCTGGCTACGCCGAGTATGTGCCCGCCTTGCTACACGACCTAGAGTGGCGCTGAACCACTTCGCAGTCGGCAAGGGTCACGTCTCCCTGAACTTGACGCTGCGCCGGACGTTCAACCTCTTCGCGAATGTCCGTCCCTGTGTGTCCATCAAGGGCTTCAAGACACCTTACGACGATGTGAACACGGTTCTCATTCGTGAGAACACCGAGGGCGAGTACTCAGGCATTGAGCATGAAGTATGTTTGCGCTCCCTTCGGAAGGAATAGCTTCTAAGCAAGCGCACAGATCGTAGACGGCGTTGTCCAGTCTATCAAGCTCATTACATGGGATGCTTCTGAGCGTGTTGCTCGTTACGCATTCGACTACGCGCAGTCGCAAGGCCGCCACCGTGTCACAGCTGTGCACAAGGCGAACATCATGTATGTCAACCCCGCGCGATCTATTTTGGTCATAAGCGCGATACTGAGGTTTCATCCACAGGAAGATGTCTGACGGCATGTTCTTGTCTGCTTGCCGACAGGTAGCCAAGGACTTCCCGAACATCGAGTACGACGAGGACTTGTTGGACCGTGTCTGCCTGCAGGTGTTTAGCTTGACTTGAGGCAGCCTCGACCGCATACTGACGTAAAATACAGATCGTTCAAAACCCGAAGCCGTACGCCGACCGGGTCATGGTAATGCCCAACTTGTACGGTGATATTCTGTCGGACATGTGCGCAGGCCTCATTGGTGGTCTTGGCTTGACGCCCTCCGGCAACATTGGCCGTGTACGTGGTCTTGACTTTCCGATTTCCGTGCCGTTCTGAAGGAAGGTTTCAGGATGCATCGATCTTCGAGGCGGTCCACGGCTCAGCGCCGGACATTGCTGGTACGTCTGCACACGTGCTATAATAGTGGTCCTAGCAGGCTCACGGCCCGCAGGCAAGGGATTGGCGAATCCCACCGCGCTTCTGTTGTCGTCACTAATGATGCTTCGGTGCGTTCTCGGGCTGTCGCTGCTTCTCCCGCGTCGTCTAACTGGCTTTACCTCTGCAGGCACATGAGTTGGACCAGTATGCCTCGAAGATCGAGAAGGCGGCGCTTTCTGTACGTCGTTATTGTTCTGTTCAGGCACGCAGCTCATTGTCACCGTGTCTAGACGATTGCGGAGGGGAAGTCGATCACTGGTGACCTCGGAGGCAAGGCGACCACGCAGGAATACACTGCTGCCATCATCGACAAACTTGCGAAGGCGTAATAGAGCCTGGCATGGTAGTGTACCTAGAGTACCGCAGGACAGTCCATAATGCTATATATTCCCTCACGGTTGCACCATCTGTGGGTGAATTCTCGGACAATTGAGGCTGTGGTCGCGTAGACATGCCTGCAGGATCAGACATCTATCTGTTGTGTTTGGTCGGGAAATTGCAATAGCAATGCGCTAGGCTGGGGGTGCTCGACTCCGGCGCAGCGGAAAGGCGTGGGAAAATCCTGTGCTACCCCGCCTGGGTGATATACCCGGTCGCGCTCGCTGCCCACTGCTCTCTTGCGACGATAAGCTCATTCCTGCCAGCTTTTTTGCCCTTCCCCGCCTACCCAGGCAACCACTCCCATAATAATCCCACTCGCCCTGCAGGGCAAAGCCCCACGTCTTGTTTCACCAACTTTGGTGCGTTTGACCAGGAGTGTACGTGACGACTGTCCTGACAACGTGTACGCAGTATCACAGTTACGCCAGAAACACGAAAAGCCCCAAAACAGTTCATAACACCTTAAGCAAGGACCACACAGCAAATACATCACGAACGACATGACCGACGAAGCCGCTCCTTCCTCCCAGCAGAACGCGTCCAAGAAGGACGAGAAGAAGCCTTCACCCGGCGGTGGTGGCCAGAACAGTGGCGGTAGGAAGCGCAACGCTTCGCGTACGGCCTCTGTGAGTGCCGTCAACGCGAACGCGAACGCCCCGAGGCCGTCGTCCAGGACCAGCAACAAGAGTGCCAACAAGAAAGGCCCATCGAATGCCCCCACGGGCACCGACTCCGGCTCGGAGTCGAAGAAGACTGAGCAACGTGGCAAGTCTCAAGGTGGTAGCAATGCGCGCTCCAATGGACACCGCAAAGGGCAGTCAACTGCTCAGAGTCGCCAGGGAGGCAACAGGCCCAGGGACAACGTCCCTCAGCCCAAGCAGCAGTCTCACTCTCCTGCTCCCCCCACCGTCGCGGACAACAGTGACGCCCTGTCGTCTTTGCAGAGGGTCATTGCTGATTTGAAGACGACATCGAACCCTTCCCAGACGCCAAACGCGCACACCTCCAATCTGCCTATCAACGCACCCGTCTTTCAGCCTGGCGCGAGCTCGTTCCCTCCGACCCAGAACGAACAGCCGCCTAGGCACCGCAAGGCAGCGTCGCTGGGCACTGCCGGCAACCCCGGGTACAATCCGTACTCCCCTAACTTGGGCTCCATGATGGAGGACGTCGAGGAAGGTCAGACCAACTTCCCTATGGAAGAAGGAGAGATCCCCGAATCCGCGTATGCGGGCCACCAACGCCGCTCGCTGTCGCAGAGTTTCACCGCTCCCCGCTTTGCGGCGCTTGCTGCCCAGGAGGGAGAGGTAACAGGGCCGACTGGCCGTCCGCAGCTCGCGCCTGGCTTCATGTTTGGTGCTAGGCGACGCCCTAGCCAGAGTGTCAACTCGCCGATGGGACCTCCCATCAACGAGGAGGACGTCGGTTTCCAGTTTCCTCAGCAAACCCAGCAGCAGAACTTCGACATCCCTCCTGGCGAGATGAACCAGAGGAAGAACGAGGGCGGGCCTGAGATTTCAGGTATCATGGCGGAGCAGGTGTGTGCCCCCGGACTATTTCCTTCGTAGCCTTGTGCTCACGATGTTGCAAGCAGATCGCCCTGCAGAACCAGATCGAGGCCCTGCAGCAACAGCAGGCAGCGCTCTACCAGCAACAGCTCGCCTCCAACCAAGTTCTTTCGTTCCAGACTCAGGGTTTGGCACAGGGACGCCCCAATGTTCACCGCCGCGTCCATAGCACTGTGCCTATGGGAATGGGCGGCATGAACCCGTTCGGCGGCCAGCAGGCTGCTATGGGGCAATTCGGAAACCTTGGAAGCCTCGGTATGGGGCTCGATGGTCAGACCTCCGGCGTTCCTCGTGGCCATGGCCGGCGTCACAGCGTAAACGTCCTCAACAAGTCGGGCAGCCCTGGCATGGGAGCTCTAGGCTTTTCTCAGAGCGCGGATGGATTCGACGACGGTTTCACGGCTCCTGCTGGTAACGGCCACGCTCGTAATGATTCGAGCTGGCGCATAAGTACGTTCACTACCCATTATGCAAGGACGCGCTGCTAATGGGATTTGTAGATGGAGGTGTCGGCGGTCTTCAGAACGGCAACAATTTCGCCGCTGACCTCGCACAGGCTCAGGCGCAGCTCAACAGCCTCCAGCAGTTCCGAGCTGCTGCGGGTGGTCATCATCAGAAGATGGCTTCCTTCAGCTTCCCTAACATGCTGCCGAACATGATGGCAGCGAACATGATGGGGCTCGGTTTGGGCGGAATGAACCTTCTTCAACAGCAGCAACAACAGTTCCAATCTCAGCTCCAACAGCAATCCAATCAACCTCAGCGCAAGTCGCTGTTCGCTCCTTATCTCCCTCAGGCCTCACTGCCTCCGCTCCTTGCTGCCGGCAAGCTTGTCGTTGGTATCTTACGAGTCAACAAGCGTAATCGCTCCGATGCGTACGTCGCGACTGAGGTGTTGGACGCCGATATCTATATCTGCGGATCTAAGGACCGTAACCGGGCTCTCGAGGGCGATATCGTTGCCGTTGAGCTGTTGGATGTTGATGAAGTCTGGGGCACGAAGAAGGAGAAGGAGGAGAAGAAGCGCAAGAAAGAAGAGAACTCGGCTTATGACCTGAAGGGTGCGGCTGGACGTAAGAACGACAAAAAGAAAGACGACGTCGAGGTCGAAGGCCAGGGCCTCATGTTGTTCGAGGACGAAGAGTACGTTTCCGTCATACTGGCATGCCACATACACTTACCATTTCGGTAGGGTTACGGACGAGGTGAAGCCACAGTTCGCCGGTCATGTCGTCGCTGTTGTAGAGCGTATGCCTGGTCAACTCTTCTCCGGTACTCTGGGTCTCCTCCGGCCTTCATCGGCCGCCACAAAGGAGAAGCAGGAAGCAGAACGCCGCGAGAGGGAGGGCGACAAGGGCGATGAGCCTCGCCGCCAGATCGAGAGGCCCAAGATTGTCTGGTTCAAGCCTACCGACAAGCGTGTCCCCCTCATCGCCATCCCCACTGAGCAAGCTCCTGCAGACTTCGTACAGAACTCGGAGGCCTATGCCGACAAACTGTTCGTGGCTTGCATCAAGCGACACGTAAGTCACTGTACGCTTCATAACGATCCGCAGGCTAACATGGCACACAGCCCATCAGCTCTCTTCATCCTTTCGGCACTCTCGTCGAGGAGCTCGGGCCCATAGGTGACATTGAGGTCGAGACGAGTGCCCTCCTGAAGGATTGTAACTTCCCCACCGAGGAGTTCAGCGAGAACGTCCTAAAGTGCTTGCCTCCTATGCCGTGGAGGTACGCAGAAACATAATTCCCCCGAGATGTATCGACTGATGACGCTCTTCCAGTATTCCTGACCATGAACTGGAAACTCGCAAGGACTTGCGCAACGAGCGAGTCTTCACGATTGATCCTGAGACTGCTAAGGATCTGGATGATGCTTTGTCTGTGAAGGCGAACGAGGATGGCACCTTCGAGATTGGTGTGCACGTCGCTGACGTTTCGCACTTCGTCAAGCCCAACTCTGCTCTGGACCGTGACGCCCGCAAGCGTGCTACCAGTGTTTACCTGATGCAGCGCGCAGTCCCAATGCTCCCGCCCGCTCTGAGCGAGCAGCTATGCAGTCTCACCCCGGGCCAGGACCGCCTGGCGTTCTCGGTCATCTTCACCATCACTTCAGACGCCAAGGTGGTACAGAAGTGGTTCGGCAAGACTATCATCAAGTGAGTCGTTGAATGCATTACCAGCGGACTCGTCTCATCTCATATTTTTCCCTTGATAGGTCGTCTGCGAAGCTTAGTTACAACGACGCTGCGGCCATGCTCGAAGGAAAGACACCCGAATTCGAGCGTGCTCCCGAGCAGACCGTCGCCGACTATGCGCAGGATCTCAAGGTGCTCAACGACCTCGCTCATCAGCTCCGCGAACGTCGCTACAAGAGCGGCTGCATCAGGACGGAGTCACTGAAGCTTACCTTCAAGCTCGACGAGGACGGTATGCCCGTCGATTGTACTCAGTATGAGCGTGGCGACGCCCATCATCTCGTCGAGGAGGTTTGTGCTTTAGCTGAGAGCACGGTGACAAGCTACTGACCCATGGTTTGCGATAGTTCATGCTCCTCACCAATACCGCGGTCGCTCAGCAAGTTGCTGTGCACTTCACTGAGCAGGCTCTCTTGCGTCGTCACGACGCGCCAATTGAACGTAGGCTTGTGAGTAGTTGTGAAATGGCATTTGATGCCGTGAACTTATGCCGTTGCAGACTGCCTTCGTTGAGCGCGCAGCTCGCATGGGTCTCAAGATGGATGTATCTACTCCTGCTGCGCTTATGAGGTCCCTGGAGACGATTGCCGATCCCACTGCTCGCAAGACTTTGGAGCTTTACTTAAGAAAGGCGTCCTCTCCGGCCAAGTACTTCTGCGCTGGAATGCTCGACATCGCTAAATACGGCCACTATGCTCTCAACATCCCCCTGTATACTCACTTCACTTCCCCGATCCGTCGGTATGCGGACATCCTTGTCCATCGTCAGTTGGACTCCATCCTCCAGGGTGGCTCGGAACCGAAGTTCACCATGGACCGCGACGCCGTTGCGAAGGTCGCTCAGCAATGTAACATGTAAGCACGTTCCTTACCATACTTTTTCGTGTACTCACTGTTTGGCGACATATAGCAAGCGGGATTCTGCCAAGCTAGCGCAAGAACAGTCGACGCACCTGTACCTCTGCATCTTGATTCATGACTTGACTCAGCGTTATGGACCGGTCATCCGTGAAGCGAAGGTTGTGGGGGTACTTGAAGCCGCCTTCGACGTTCTTGTACCTGAGTTCGGTATCGAGAAGAGGGTACACGTTGACCAGATGCCCATCGACGTGAGTACACCGGACAGTTATCGCGTGTCGCATTGCTCACCAGAGACGCCCATCTAGAACCACGTCTACGACGAACACACGCACACGCTGCAGATCTACTGGTCTAATCGTGATGTGATCACTTGGTTGGCCGAGAACAGCGACGACGAGCATCTGAAGAAGGTCAAGCAGAACGCGGAGCAGCATGCGCTCAAGATGGAGGTCGCTTCGAGGTCTGTGCACGACGAGAAGGCGCTCTTCGACGAGGACGATGGCGAGGATGAGATCGTCCTCGGGCGTGATGACCGAGAGAAGGACGACGGCGGGATCTCAAAGCAGAGGCTGCTGTCTAAAAGCAGGGCAACTCCGCGTTTCGAGGGTCTGCGTAGCACTCCTTCCGGTCACAAAATCCAGGAGATCAAGGAGCTTCAGACCGTGCCGGTACGTATGGCCGCGACCTTTCCCATATCTCTTGACTCACTGTTCTTGTAGGTCATCGTCACGGCTGACCTCACCAAGAGCCCTCCGGTCATCAAGGTCTACAGCGTCAACCCTTACGCTGACCAGAGGGCTTAGCAGGAGTAAACTGCCTGCGCCCTTGTATTCGTTCTCCGTTCCTTAGTGTTGTAACCGCGCGGGCTCGGCGTGGTTGTATGATGTAGAAGCCCCGATGTTGTTGATGCTGGATGATTTCCTTCATGTCTTCCCATGTCACGTTCTTACGGCTCCGCTCACCTGCAGTTCTGCTGTCCTGCTGTTGTCTGCCGTTGTATTACCGGAGGTTGTGTACGTTTCGGATGTTCCAACGATGCTGATGTTCCTTACCAAATACATGATCATGTCATCTCACAAATGTGTTGTGATTCAGACAGCCTTGGACCGCAAAGTATTGAAGTTATAGTGCATGAAAGAGCTTCATACAATCCCGTAATCACTTCGCAAAACAGTGTATGAATTACAAGGCTAGCCGCTATCGAAGATCCTGTAAGAAGGCGGACAGTCCAGATCCACTGGCAGTAGCCTTCTTCTCCTGCTCCTGCTTCTCGCGATTGCGAGCCAGTAAGCTCTGCAGCCCACTGGAGTTCTTGGTCCGTGTTTTCGAGCGTGCTGGATTCGAAGACGCGGTGGGTGAAGAAGTCGTCGTGCCAGTTTTACGTTCGGCGGCGCTTTCGGGAAGGATGGGTAACATAGTGGACGCCCTGGGCGGTCCGGCCTTAGTCTGGGATTCACGGCTGTCTACTGGCCTCGGTCCTGCAGGCTTGGGCCCAGTCCGTGCATGTGCATCTTCTCCCGACTTTGATGCGTCGGTGTTGGTAGTGGAAGCAGTACCAGCATTCGGGGCCACTGTCTTCCTTCGTTTCCTCGGTGGTAGGAATGAAGGCGCACCGTCCTGCTCGATAGGCAGCTCTTCACGATGGCCACACACCCCACACGATATGTGCAGGAATCTGTTGGGCGGTGTCTCGGCCTTGAGGCTCACGCGCCTCTGCTCCCCATTGGAGCGCACAGACCTGTACTCGCCACCCCCGTCAAGGTATCCTGCGCCGCATGCTGGGCAATGCGTAGTCCGCAAGGTCGGGTCGGTCGGATGTAGTCTGCGCGCACGCGAGGCATGAAGGGCCGCGAGTCCTGGTGAAACAGCACCGAGGACGTAGGGAATAGCGAGCTGGAATTTTGCGGTTGCCGGGGCCACTGCCTGCATAGGTCGTCGTCGTCGTGCGGGAGAGACAAGGATGGGCCAGAACGGCGAGCGATCAATGGCGGGCGCTTATAATGCGAGCGGTGGCCAAATAGGAAGGTGTTTGAGTTGTCGGTAGGCGGCCATGCGCCTTTTGTTTCATGCCCCATTGTGCTCCCTAGCCGCAGCGGCTAAAATGGGCCCTGAGGCGCACCTCCTATTCATATACCTCCCTCCTCACGACCTTGTGGGCACCCTTCTTCATCTTCGACTTCATCCTCTTTCACAATGCAGACGCAGCGCGCCAAAGCTTCTCGTTCTCCCCCCGCCATTTCCAAGCCAATACCCACCGACGAGTACCGCCCAGTGTCCCCACCCATGACACCTCCGAGACAGCGAGGAGGCTCCATATCTAGCCCGCGCACCTGGCTGTCGCGTACCTCGACGAATAGCTCCTCACACTCCATTCCCTACGCCCCGTCAAAACCCGTCCGCATCTCGGAGCCCAAGTTCCTTAACGGCTTCGACGTGTTCGCCACGCAGCGGAGTGGGTCGTTGGGCACTGGAGCAGTGATTGTCAAGACACCCCAGGAGGCGTTGGCGGGTAGCAGGTGTTTCTCTCCATTCCGCGCTGAGCTGGAACCGGACGAGGACGAAGGATGTGAAGACGAGCAGCGCGAGGATGCTGTGCGGAAACCACCTACCGACCGGAGAGCCCACCGTTGCCTCCGATCCCCGCTGAGTCGCCCATAGCCACTGAGCTTCCGCGGTCGCATACCCCACCGCGGCCGACGCGTCCAGTGCCAGAGTGCCCGCCGGTGTCTCCCTCCGTCTCCGAGTCTTCCTCCACCTCCACGTACGCAGGAAGTTCAGAGTCACCCGTCACACTGACTGCCAGCCCTTTGCGGCCGTCCCTCAAGACGCGCTCTCCGCAGCCTTCGGAATATTTTCCACCTGTTCCCGCTCTTCCAGCGAACCTCAGCGGCTCCCCTCCCCAGCCTCCGTTTGACGCCATCCTACTCTCCCGCCATTGACTGGCCACGTCGAGCCGTCGAGAGTCATTGTCTCCCTCGAGACAAGTACAATGACGCACCGCACAACGCTGAGCACGTTAATGTCACGTCCATCTTTCCTTTCAACATTCCTCAAAGACCTTCTCCCCGCACGCCGGCGTGACTCTGACGCCACCTCGATTTACTCCGAAGTCAGCGAGGCGGATAGTTCATTCAACTCCATCTTCCACCAACATCTCGCCTCGTCTGGCCTGCTCTCTCAGGCAACAACGGCGATGCACGTGTTCTTGGACAGGCCGAGTGCTCCGTGAGTAGTCATATCTCCAGTTGAAATGTACCGCAACTTACACCGTTTCAGGTATGCGCACGTCCTAGCATACCTGCGTTCGCCTCCTTCCACGCCGGAGAACCCCGCCGTCCTTCCGCGGGCAGTACAGTTGACGGGCTCCCACGTCCCGCTTGGAGGCGCTCCTGGAGCTGCGGGATGAAGCGCGTTACCTCGACCTGGACGAGCTGTACAAGCTCTGCAATGACGAGCTCCGGCTACGCCAAGCCCGACCATCACCTGGGCCTCTCGGGCTACACATCGGGGGCTGAGCAGCGCCAGTAGTACCTCCTTGCGTAGTGTCACCACTCTGCGAGACATCGCGGAAGACGAGGCGGGGAGGGCTGCAGAAAGCTCGCGCGACTCGGGCTTTGCAAGCCTGCGGGCGAAGAAGAGCTTCAAAGCAAGCTCGGACGAGTCGGGGACACCGACACCGACACCTGGAGCACAGCGTGGGCGCACTACCACGAGGAAGGATGCTGTCGGGTCACAACGCCCCAAGCCGCAACCCGGATGGATCTGATACACTTGTCAGACACCTGACGCAGAGCGATTATACCATTCCCTACGACACCCTTACTCGTATATATCTGCGGGTCCTGGAGACTGATGCTATTCCGTATTACACTCACTTTCTGTAGCATATTTGACGAAGCTGATGAGCGCCCCGTTGCTAGTAGTCGTTACTCTGGACAGTGCGGTTATCTCGTCTTCCTTGTATCATTGTAGCTCCATATGTTTTGACGTACTCTTGTCCCACGTAATACATAGATGACACGCACAACGAAGGGTGCCTCATCAGTGCTGTAATGTCCATGTCAGCGCAGTATGCTTGCAGATGTTCTCGCGTGGAGATCAGCGTTTCGGGGCCCACAAATCGTACAGCTCCTTGTCGGACGGGTCAAAGCAAGTGACAAGGGCAGGATCTGCACGAATATGATCTTGCGTTGAGTGGTGTCGAAATTGGCCGTCAGCGCAGAAGAGCTCGATAAGGGGATGCTTGAGCGACCGAACAGGGAACGCGAGTTGCTCAGGGTTGTGGATGTAGGTGATGCGTCACCGGAAGCATGCTATGGGAATTAACTGACGAGCGAATGAGTTAGTGCAGAACGAAACGCACCTCGCTTCCCAAAACGTGATCCAGAGGACCGACTGCGCAAGTTGTTGTCCGCTGAAGTTGGTGGCTCACCACCGAAACGTCCTAGACACCGTCTCAGTCGTCTCCTCGAGCATGGCACGATGGAAAGACCACTTACCAGGCGTAGCAGGCAAGCGTGAGGCCAGTTGGGGCTGGGGAATGCAGACATAGCTTAGAGGTCGGGGAGTGGAGTGGAGAAGGGTCTGAGTCTCTGAAGATCTGACCGCCTCCCGCTGATTGACTTTCCGAGTCGGGCCAGGGCTCCTCGATCGCGCCTGTGACGTGACAGTACGCGTCAGACGTAGTCACACCGCGAACATCACGCGTCGAGCCTTGCCCTGTCCTTGTCCCGCTCGCACTATCTCACCCTCTTCTCCCTACCATCTATCACGATGAACATCTTCAGGAACTGTGAGTGCAGCCCTGTCTTCTGCTCGTGCTGTCTGACTAGCCAGTGCCTGGTGTGCAGTAATCGGAAGAGTTTGGCGTAAGTACATGTGCAGAGTCTCCGGTGGAGCATTCATCTGAGCCCCTGTACCCCGCAGACGACCCCAATGCAGCCGAGGTTGTGAAGATATCAGAAGGACAGCTGTACCTTGTGCGGTCGGGCACTGTACGTGGTGCCCGCGAGTGCATGTAAGTGCTCACAACTAGCCTCCGCCACACATCTTGCTGAACGACGTCCTCACAGATACAATGACGCCATGGCTACGATCCGTCGCGTTGCCTCTGTTGAGCACAACTTCCAGCTCGTGGTTACCCGCGTCTACGAAGAGGGGGATCAAGAACTGTTGGAGGATGAGGAGGAAAGTGAGTCAACATCGACTATGGCCGTAGATTTAGGCTGAATAGCTGCTTTCAGCCGATGAGGAGCGAGTGTTCCTGATCAGCGAAGAGTTGGAGTTCAGGAGTACAACTAGCGAAGAGGATCCGTGCTTCGTCTGGCGCGACCTGGACGGCGATGTCGATGAATTCTACGAGTTTGTGGCACCCGGCACGAACGCGCCGACGCGGGCCTTCTTCGAAACGTGCATGTATCGGGCCATGTACGAACGCAAGTACAGGAAGAGCGCCGACGATACCGCAGACGCCGACCTCCAAGAGTTCATCCGGCTGTCAGTGTTGTTTTCCTGTGTCCGCCTTACAAGGGCTGATCGTCGTTGTTTTGGGGCGTGGTGCTTATCGCGGTGTCGTTATTAGACCTCCATCTGAGAAGGACAAGGGGAAAGCGATCGAATCTGTAGCTCCTACAGAACCGATGCCTACCACCGCCTCTACCTCTGCAACAACTGCACCTGCTCCTACGACTACTGCTCCTGCTCCTGCGACGGAAGATCCCAACGCCAAAGTTTTGGTCGCTCATCCAGCGGAGCTTCACTTGTGGGACCTGGACCAAGGCTTCTTCGTCAAACACGCAGATGTCACCGCCAAGATCGCGCAGCATGCGTCCACTGGCCCCTTCGACTACTGGCTCCTCGTGACCACGGACGAAGGCCCGTTGCTGGCTCATAGGGTCACATCCGATATGAACCAGCGATGGGCATTAAAGATGCTTGCATTCACTTGGAACTATGTCAGTGACACTGGATCACAGAGCAGTTGGTGCCTGAGGTTCGAAACGTCGGAAGCATACGAACAATTCCAGATGCTGTTCAGCAGGGCTCTGTGGGAGTCGCTGAACAACTACTCGTGGGAGAAGGCAAAGGTGCGTGAGCTGTTTGGTAATACGCTTAACAGCATTTGACGTTGTGTTGTAGGCTGAAGAGCAGGCTTATGTGCTCAGCTCACAAGTACAGGACGTCGAGATGCAAGATGTAGAGGATGAGGAAGAAGACGAAGAGGACGTTGCCAAGGAACTTGGTGAGTATACATGCATGCGGCCAGTCAAATGCTCAACCTTCTTCAGACAAGAGTGACGAAGAGTCCGATTCTGAAACCGAAACCGAACCTGAGCCAGAGGAGGAAGGCGGCCCGCCACCTCTCGGCAAGGGCCAGCGCAACTCCCAATTGACGGTCGGCTATAAAGGCGACAGGTCATATGTTGTTCGTGGAGGAAATATCGGGGTGTTCGCACATACAGGCGACAATGCGGTCAAATACCACGCAACTATTGCCCATCTCGAGACCCCTAAGGGCAAGGAGTTTGCGCCCAAACATGTGGGTAGATGGGTGTTTACGAACGGCACAAAGACCTGACGACCCTGCACAGGTCATGTTGCATGACCAAGACACGAAGATGGTGCTCATGAACCCCGGTGCACCCAATTCCCTCTTCAGCCTGGACATCGAGCGCGGAAAGATCGTGAGGAGTGGAAGGTGCACGACGACATCAACGTGAACCACGTCGCGCCGGACAGCAAGTTCGCGCAGACGACGCCGCAGCAGACGATCATCGGCGCGTCGCACAACGCGCTCTTCCGCATCGACCCGCGGATGTCGGGCAACAAGATGGTCGACAGCCAGTACAAGCAGTACGTCAGCAAGAACCAGTTCTCAGGCGTCGCGACGACGGAATCGGGCAAGCTCGCGGTGGCGAGCGAGAAGGGCGACATCAGGCTGTTCGACTCGATCGGCAAGAACGCGAAGACGGCGCTGCCGCCGCTCGGGGACCCGATCATTGGTGTCGACGTCACGGCGAATGGTCGCTGGATCGTAGCCACGACTAAGACATACCTCTTACTCATCGATACACTGATTGGGGAGGGACGGTATACCGGTCAGCTTGGCTTCGACCGGAGCTTCCCTGCGAATGCGAAGCCGATCCCTCGGCGGCTCCAGCTCCGTGCTGAGCACGTCGCGTATATGGAGCACAGCGTAGCCTTCAGCCCTGCCAGGTGAGATGATCAATATACCTGCTGCAGACGGATGATGCTGATCATGATGGATCGCAGGTTCAATATGGGCGAAGGACAAGAAGAGAACGCGATCGTCACCTCGACGGGCCAATACGTCGTCGCCTGGGACTTTGCCAAGGTCAAGAGGGGCCAGCTCGACAAGTACGAGATCAAGAAGTACGAAGATTTCGTCGTCCAAGACAACTTCAAGTTCGGCGACGACAAGGAGATCGTACGTATACATCATGTATGTCGTGCGAATACCGAAAATTGATATGATGATGCCTTGCAGATCGTCGCGCTACAGAACGATGTTCTGGCGGTGAACAAGAAGAGTTTGAAGAGACCAACGAGGGCTTCCATCGCGACACCGCGGAAGAGTCTACGCAGCCGGTCGAACATCGTCAATGCACCCTATTGAGCATTTTTGGAGTGAAGGAACCTGTCTGAGCCCATGTATCCATATGTTCTTGTTTAGCCCCGTATTAGTCTATTTCTTTTCCGTTGAGCTGTGTTTCGGCGCGCAGTTGTAGCTTAGGGCTTATACCAGTCTGGCAAATGTAGAACACAAGGGAACAGCGCATATATATAGTTATAGTGGATGAACACTAGGATGCGACGAGGCTGTCGCCGGAGAAACCAAAGGGTGATCTGCTGCTACACAATTCGTTTGACTTCTACGCCGGAACCGGCACTTTTCTCCTCTACTTGATGTCGAGGCAGGTCGTCTCCACAATGATGTCGGTGACGCGGTAAGGGTCTGCGAAAATTTGTGAGACAAAATATCGCCAAGGTGAGATTGCTCTGCGTACCGATGTTAGAGGCAGGACGCCTATCCTCGAGGTAGCCGTAACCCTGGGCACCGACATGCCTGGGGATACGGATAGACGCGCCACGGTTGGCAACGCCGGAGCTGAAGGTGCCAATGTGGCCAGTCTCATGACGGCCGGTGAGACGGAGGTCGTTGTCCTCGCCGTACACCGCGATGTGCTCCATGTGACGCTTGCTCATCTTCTCGATGGCCTCCTCGATGTGCTTCATGCCTCCGGGCTCGCGCATCGCCTTGGTGGAGTAGTTGGTGTGGCAGCCGGCGCCGTTCCAGTCGCCCGAGAGGGGCTTGGGGTGGAAGGAGACCTTGACGCCCCACTGCTCGGCGATGCGGACGAGCAGGTAACGGGCCATCCAGAGGTGGTCACCCATGGAGATGCCCTCGCACGGGCCGACCTGGAACTCCCACTGGGAGGGCATGACCTCCGCGTTGATACCGGAAATGTTCACACCGGCGTAGAGGCAGGCGCGGTAGTGGGCCTCAATCAGGTCACGGGCGAAGACCTTGCCCGCGCCTGTGTTGGGAGAACACAGCAAGATCCGTGATCAGCTTCTCACCGATGTCAGAACGAGCTCCGTATATGGCACGTACCGGCACCGCAGTAGTAGGGACCCTGGGGGCCAGGGAAACCACCCTTCGGCCAACCGAGGGGCGTGCCGTCCATGTCGAAGAGGGTGTACTCCTGCTCGAGACCGAACCAGGGAACGAAGTCCTTGGCAAGGTCCATGACCTTCTTGGCGTGGTGGCGGTAGTTGGTCCTGTTGGGGGTGCCGTCGTTGTTGTAGCACTCGGCGAGGACGATGATGTTGTCGCCGCCGCGGAAGGGGTCCTTGAAGATGGCGCGGGGCGGAGATAGACGTCGGAGTCATTGCCAGGGGACTGGTTGGTGGAGGAACCGTCGAAGTCCCAGATGCGGAGCTGCCCGATGTCGGTCACCTTTTTGGTGACAGTCTATGGAGCGCAGCCGTGTTAGACGACGCTGCGAGCAGTCGCGCGTGGTCCACATACCGTGGTTTTGGAACGGAGACCGCCATCGCCGTCGATCCAGACGTCTGAAGGTGGGTGTGAGTCATTTCGAGTCAGCCTGAGATGCTACTGCACTGGCGTACACTCAGCCTGGATCTTGTCGCCCTGGGGCAGGGCAAGGAAAGGAGCCAACAGGTCGGGGCGGTAGAGGGCCATGTCTGCGACGATGGAGGATGGGGAGGTGGTGGAAGGGAGCAAGGACGGGCGGGCAGAGGCTTGGGGCTGTTGCGGGTTTACGACTATTTACACGGCTGTCGGGGCCCAGGAACCCTCCTCTGCCTTATCTTCGCGCGCTATCCCGTTCGATCGCCCACAGATCCCATCCGCCACATCTTCTACCCAACGTCCCCCCAATAATTTCTCCCCGCCGGCTGTCCGCGAACCACACCGTCGCGAGCAACATTCCGGGTCAGGCGACGAGCCTCAACGCCGTTGTCAATTTTCGCGTGTGCCCGTGGACGAGTCACAACTCTTGCCAAGAGCGTTAACGCTTAGCGCACCAGTCATGGGGCTGGCCCCCTTGTCGCCGCACACCATACCATCCAAGGACATAAGTAATTCAATGCTAAGCGTAATATGCGCATCGACAAGGCAGCGTTACCGCTTCTTTACCGCCTTTCTCCTACGTCCGCCAGCCATGGTAGCAGCTGTCCTACTGCCCTTCGTTGGCCCAGCCGTCCGCCGCTCTTGGGAGCCAGGGGCCCACTGCCTGGAACATCTGATCCTGTCCCGGAACCATCCTCGCTGTCATACGCTTCCCCATTGGTCTGGGTGTCACCTGGGTCGGATGCAGACGCGTCCTTTTTTGCGACCTTCCCGTAGAGGGTGATCAGCAGCGCGATGAACCACGTACCCCGCAGGGACGGCGGCGTCGCTGTGTCGCTGTTGACGGGATGCAGACCGCCATCGGGATCAAGCTATGTTGGCGGAGCATGGTAAGTAATTGGCGTGGCAGACATTGGGAAAAAGAGACTTACGTAGTAGACATCGTTCCCTTCGACCACCATGTCAACCAATTTGCCACCGACGACGTTGCCGTCCTCGTCCAATCGCGAATGTCCTCCCAGGTTGACTTTAACCTACGTCGTGTTTTATTCTATGACATGTTTCGTGACACTGGCCAAAGTACACACCTTCCTCTGGCCCTCAGCCGTGGGGACCAGTTTTGCTCCCCATGCCTGGGAGCGAGCCTGGGACACGAGGGAATCTATCCTGGCAAGATCCCGCTTGTAGTTCAGAGATCGCACGAGGTACTGCAGACCGGAAGTGAGAATTGTCAGGAAGACGAAAACGAACTAGAAGCCAATCCGACGTTAGGCCCAGCGTCATACATCCTTCGCTGAGATACGTACGCCTAGCCCGGGCCGGAACCTCGAGTAGTAATATCCAGTGCCCCTCCACTTGGGTACACCGTTCTTGTAGAAAAAGTCATAGCTAACATGCACGTCATAAGTGATCGCACACACTCGATATCGACCCTACGCACCGCTCCCGGCCTGCAGGGCTCCTCAGGATAGCGGCTATTACACCGAGTCTCGAGAAGCGTTCATGGGCTTTCTTGTCATTTGGGTTCTTGTCCGGACTAAGGGGGATGCTCGATGGGAAAGCATATTCTCAGCATACCAAGAGACGTACTGAAGCTGTACACTCTTTTTCCTGTAAGCCTTCGAGATCTCTGGCACGCTGGCAGTCGGCGGTACACCCAACCACGAATAGAACGTGGTCCCCTTCCCTGCGTGTCATATCGAGCATTTCAGAAAGACGCAAAACGCGCAATGCAGTTCATATACGGACCTTCAGAAGACTCCACCGCGCTCACGAGGTCGAATATCTCATGGTCTTCCTGTCGAGCTACTTAGGCCGACAGTCTACCAGTGTACAGCCAATGCATACCTTTGTCCATCTACAACGAAAATCAAGTCAGCCTTCCCGTCGCCAAGTGACGATCCAGACAGCCTCTGACGCGACACTCACGCTGCCACGCATGCTACCAACGCGGCCAGGAGGAGACACGGTAGTAGGAGTCTCATCCCCACGTCTAGATGCTCCTGTCCACTCTTCCGAATATTCCAAAGACCAGCAAAGTGATGTGGAAAGAGGTTGAACGGGATTAACTTACGAGCCTAGAGAGAAGGGGAGAGAAGAGTTTGAAGACGCGCTGGTGAAACGCGATCACGACGCGAACAGCGTGCATGGTCCAGGTCCTCCGCGTGCTTTGATTGGTTACTTGAGTACAGACGCCCGTTCCTGTGCATTGCTGAGCGCTGGCGGCCGCACCTCGAGCGATCTTCAGCTTCTTGATGCGTCCTCATTTCATCCAGGTTTGCTCCAGGCAGCTCTCCAGACTTCAGGGTCTCAGCTCAGTGGCTGGGGACAGTACATAGAAAGTCCGCTCATGGCCCCTCGTCGACGCTGCCCTATCTGCGGCTCGAAGCAGTGGCATAAGGAGCCTTCCAGTGGACTGATCACCTGTAGGGAGGGGCATGTTCTGCAGGTAGTCACCGCTCTGCGTCGATATCTGACTTGTTGATGAGTTTTTGTAGAACTATCGTAACGAGACGAGGGAAGTCACCGAGCTCGGCCCGCACGCGCTGAAGAAACGCGCTCTGAAGTCGACCCGGAAAAAGAAAGAGAAGGAGAGTAAAGCAGACCCGAGACGTCAGTGCCGTTTGCTGCTGTAAATGCTCCATCCACCTGTCTGATATGTTTCCGATGCAGTCTACCATGGCGACCGCGCGCGGTATCACTACTTTCAGTGCCTGCAGTTGATTTTGCGAATGCAAGTAGCGGCCCTCATACGGTTATGGGGACTGCCACCAGAGTTTGAGGTAAGCATATGGTTTGTGTGCGCATCAATCACGTCCATGCCCTGACCGTCTGCCAGATCGTCTGCCGAGAATATGGGCAATGCACCTCAGCCTGCTTCCTGACCCGCCTCCAGCGGAACCTCTGTCGGCCGCGCAACACTCATCAGACTCCCCAGAGCCAAAGCCAGACCAACCCCATCACGAGGATTTGCCAGACCACAGAGGAAGCGACGACGAAGGGGATCCCGACAAGACCGCCGAGCCTGCCAATAGCGAGTCATCCTCGTCGACGAGTGACGAGGAGGATGACCCGGAAATGGTGGAGCTCATGCGACAGGCGGAGGAGGCGTCCTCCTCGTCCGACGAGGAGGGTGAGGGCGAGGAGGGTGAACAAAAGAAGGTACCCGCTCACCGTACGAAAAAGAAGACTTTGGAAGGAAGTACGACTTGCCGGTGAACAACCTCGCAGTGCTGGTAGTGGCTTGCTGGACACTGCGACTACCCGTGACATACATGGACTTCGTGAGGTAGGACGATTGCATTCGTCGGGGAGTGTTTTCGCGCTGATCCTTAGGTAACGGCAGACTGGTTGAGGCTTACGATCTCCCGTACCTCGACCCGATCCGACTCCTCCCTGAAAGCGTTACTACCCACTCACGAAACATACGAAGAGCGCACTGTCTCCCGAGGTAGTCACTCTTTCATATCGCTCCTGAAGCATCTAATCGTCTTCAGCATGCGCCATTAGTCATACTTCTACATGGCCTCGCAGCAAGGCTCGCTAAACTCATGTACTCCACATACCAAGTGCAAATCCCAGAAATGAATGCAGCGCCGACGTTATGGCGAGCCGTGCGCTCTCTATGCGGACGCGTATGTTGTAGTCCTAACGCTGCGGGCGTAACTGAACACATCATTCCAGCGACACTCTACGTGTTGACCAAGAAGGTCGCTCGCGTACTGTCAGTGCCTTTAACATTGCACCGTACGCTCGCCTCACCTCTGCAACGCGCCAAGAAGAAAGATCCGACGTGGCATAAATTTGACAACGCTGTCCCTGAGGTCTCTCTGATAGCCACCGTGATCGTCGTTCTCAAACTGGTGTATGGGCTGGATGACAAAACCAGGTAAGAGTGGCTTACGCTGCCGTCCGTGTCTCAGCTGACCCCGAACCAGAGCACCCAAGGAAAGAACTGACCCGGCATGTTCCCTACCTCGTGTAGACGAGCTTCTGGATTGTATCAAGAATCTGGACGATACAGCACAAGAACACCATCGGTTCTCTGCTACTTTGCCATTGTAAGCAGTTCTGTAATGAGTTTCCCACTCTGATCTCGACATAGGGCAAGGTCCGTCCATGATATGGACGACAATGCACTTGACAACTACTTGGCTTTCTGCGAGAAGGCCCTTCTGCCGCTTGAGGATCGGACGGTAGGTGAGTCAGAGTGATCTGCCTGGATGGTTTCCAGCGATTGTGAGGGATCCGTCGTAATGCGTCACTGGTCTATTCTTAGAACGGAATGCAGCAACAACTTTCTTCCCTCTTTCCTTGGAAGACAAGGAGAGGCAGGAGAAGACACACACCCCGACGGCCGAGCCTACCACTTTGCAAGCGACATTACTCGTTGACGATGCTGACGACTACCTGCGTCCTGGAGAGAAATACCGATCTACAACACCCTTGACGCACTCGGCTCCTGCCTGAACAATATGACATGGTGATCAAGCGGGCGGCACATTGGTGCGGCGTCCATGACGACTACGTCGCTGGTGTAGTCGAGAGGTTCGAGCGACGGTTGTTGCGCTGGTGGTCCAGGAGGACCGACCGAGAAGACGCAGAAACCGATGACCAGGCAGACGAAGACGGACCAGTGTAATCTACATGATCAGAGCTGTGCGTGGCAAAGCCTTGTCTGTCAGGCTTCATTGTTCATGTGTGGGCAGCAGGCTTTGCCCGCCCTCATTGGCTGCAGTGTCACCGATCTGTACGCGAGAGCTGCAGGTATTCCATCGATCTACAGAACATTCCTTGGTTGGGCACTAGTGAGGAAACCATTACGACTGACATGTACGGGCGGTCAGTCCAATGAATTCCTAGCCGTCGGGAGCGCTGCGAGAGAATCAGGGTTTCAACGGGAACTAGGCGTTTTTGGTGTTAGGGGGACGGACTCGGAGGTTACGATCAGCGCCGGCATCCGACGGGTCAGTACTCTTGCCCTGCGCGCATAAGTCTAATACGTATGGGGGCCACGGCGACTTTCAAAAAGCAGCACCGTTGAACGAGACAATACCTCACCCCTGCATGTTTTTGTACGTGCTATAGGAGGCTATAGGTATGGTTGCAATCTAGATCAGTCCAATGACGGGTTGCATAGCTCCGACCCGCATACTGGCGGGACTTACGGCGACACATGAACACCATAGACAGCTGCTAATGGTAAACGGACAATGCCCTGGATTTAGATAATCGGGTCGTTCCACCATCCGTCGTGCTGTGCAACGTCGGGTTTCTCGCAGAGTTTCAATCGCAGCGCCCCACGCCCAAGTCTTGTCTCACACAGCCCCGCACCCACTCACTTTCAGGAACGCATATGAAGTTGGCTCTCGTTGCCTCGACCAGCACTGGCGACTACTGGCGACCCAATCAGATGAACTCCTTTCCACCGGGCTAGCGCAACTTCCTGTTGTGGCGATGCTCGAGGGTACGCGTGCCTTCGGGATTGCCGCGCTCCCCGACATGGAGACCACGCTAGTGTGGTAAGTACTACGATTCGTCGACCCTCTGATTTGCCGGTTCCATAAGGATGTCATCGAATTTGAGACCATTCTAACTTTGCTATGCATCGCTCAGGGGCGACCCCGACCGGGATGCTGCGGCATATGATCGTGTATAAAGCCTGCGGTGAGGTTAGGTGACCTCTATCAGCCTCTATCTGCGGTTCGCCCTCTTCCTCGCCATCGCACCTCCTTTTGTTTGATCTTCTGCTCTTTGATCCTCCGAGCAGCATGTTCTACTCATTGCTTTTGCCAATGGCGCTCGCCGTTTCGGTCGTGACGGCTCAGACCACTACGGACACGAACTCAGTGATCGGCGAGCTCATCACTGCTCCGAACCACAAAGGTCGTGTTGCCGATCTTCCCCAAGACTCTGATGTATGTACTGGGCTCCTCCTGAACGCACCTTATCGTCCTGACGTCGTTGATGTAGTTCGTATTCGATTTTGCGAATCCCCCGACTGCCGCTATAACCAAGGGTGCCGGCGGGCGCCTCGTCCTCGCATCCGTCGCGACCTTCCCTGCTTTGTTGGGTAACGGTATGTGCCCTGACCTTGATACGAAGGAACTGAATACGACGATCTTGCCAATATCTTAGGCATTGCTATTGCTTCTGGGTTCCTCGGGCCATGTGGGATGAACACCCCCCATACGCATCCAAGGGCCACCGAGTTTCTGTATGCAGTCAATGGCACGCTCACGAACGGGATGATCACGGAGACGGGCTCTCGTTTCATCATTAATAACGTCACGACGGATCAAGCAATGCTGCTGCCTCAGGTTCGTCCATTAACCTTCGGCTTTGCGTTGCAACGTACTGACGTGTAAGTGTAGGGCTCGATTCACTTCCAGTTCAACGACAACTGCGAACCGGTGCACTTTGTTTGTAAGTGGGAACACTTCTATGATCCCACGCGTCGATCTCACGGTTTCCCAGCTGCTCTGAATAACGTAGACCCCGGTGTCCTGTTGGCTGCGCAAGGGTGTAAGTGTGCGGCGATAATGCATTTGTGTCATCACTAACATGTCTTCGCTAGTATTTGGCTTGCCTCCGGCTATCGTTGCTGCAACGCTTGGCCAGCTTGGTGTTGAGGAAGTGGCTGGCATTGCGACAATTGTAAGCCCCTCTTCCCTACTGCCGGCGACATAAGCTCACACAAGTTGAAGATTCCTGATGACATCGCCTTTGGCTCCCAAGAATGTCTTGCGCGATGCGGCATCAACCCTGGTCAGCAGCCCACCAACGAGCAAGTTCCCCGTGTCTCTGGCAACGCTCTTCCCGCAGATATTATGACTGCTAGCGCATGGAGTCCGTCGGCACCACGCCCTACACGAACCAGAGCTCGAACCAGAGCCGGAGCGTCCTCGGGGCAGTAGCCGACTCTTCGTCTGGGTCCTCGACTTCTCCTCAAAGATGCAACCCGTTGAATTGCGCTCATCGCGGTTGTCGGTGTCATGGGCGCGGGCTACCTCGTCATTGCGGCCATGTTCTTCATTCGCCGGAGTAACGAGAAGCAAACCGTTCATATTCTCGTCCTGTCATGAAGGGCCGCGCCCTCGTTCCCACTCTCGATGCCGAGGTCCACGACGACAAGCCTTATGACCCGGCCGATTCGCAACAGTCCTTCTACAGCCACATCCATGCATGATCGCCCTTGGTGTGTTCCTTGCAGTTGAGTCGCAGAGGTAGTTTTCTGGGCCTTTGTGGGGTCGATCCGGATCCAGAACGGACAAATCACCTTTTGTAGCCGTATGTACCTTTCTAGATCTAATTTATACTGCAACGCCCATTTTTGCTGCCAGGCTGTGTCATTTTCAACTGGATGTGCGGCCTGATGGTAGCGGCGTACCACATGTTTCGAAGTAGAGGCCCGAGTCCGTCGCTCGCCTCGGCATCGGACAACAACGCTCACTTTGCTTGGTGATATAAATAGAGTCTTATGACGAGTAGCACGAAACATGTTTGGCATAGCCTTAAGGCCGACCGAGGAGTCCGGGTGTAGAATGAGTTGCTCCGGTGGCTGTAGTTCCATGCACGCATTGTCCAATCAGGCTAGTCCTCTGGTTCACCGAGAGTCTGTGGTTCAAGTTCACGCTTGAACTAACTATGGCATGCTCCTATGCAGCAAACGGTGCAGACGATTCGGCATGCAGATTGGAATATGCACAATGCACAATGAGACGCCAAGTCTCAGTGCTATAAATTGAGGTGCGATGGCGGCCTGCCAGTGCATCGGTTGCTCGAGAGCCTTCCGCCGATTCCAAAGAACACAGCGCATCCCTTTTGCCTATCTATCGTTGACACTTACGCTATGTTGTCTCCTTTAATGCTTTCGCTTTCCCTGGCCGCGGCGTGTGCCACTGCCCAGACTACGACAAACACGACGTCCTTGATCGAGGAGCTCATCGTAGCCCCCGACCATGTCGACCGTGTCGCCGACCTTCCGAAGGACTCTGAGGTAAGTTTCATCCTACCTGATGTGGAGAGCGATGGTGAGACTTACTAAGCTCTACAGTTCGTTTTTGACTTCTTGAATCCTCCTGAATCCGGTGTTGTCCAGGGTGCTGCTGGACATCTAGTATTGGCATCGGTGTCAGACTTCCCAGCGCTCGTCGGTAACGGTGAGCAGCTCAATGTCAGGGTATGTTCGTATTTTGTTTTGATACGACACCAACCAGGTGTTGCACTACTCGCGGGCTTCCTTGGGCCTTGCGGGATGAACACGCCGCACACGCACCCGCGTGCAACCGAGTTTCTGTACTGTCAACGGCACGTTGCAGAATGGCATGCTCACCGAAACCGGATCACGATTCGTCGTCAACAACATGACGGCGGGTCAGGCAATGCTGTTGCCTCAGGTCGTAGGATTTGTTCGTCGAGCTGATAGCCACTGACACATGTTCAGGGCTCCGTTCACTTCCAATTCAATGATAATTGCGAACCTCTTCAATTCGTTTGTGAGTAATGTGTCGGAAGTACTGGGTGACGTACCTATGTAACGCACAACAGCTGCACTTAATTCAGAGGATCCTGGAACCTTGCTTGCCGCACAAGGGTGTGAGTTCGGACAACCATATCTGAGAAGAATCCTACTAACAACGATGACAGTGTTCGGCTTGCCTCCTGCATCGTCGCCGCGACTCTGGGCGAGATCGGTGTCGAAGAGGTCGCCAGTCTAGCAGAAATGGTGAGCAACGCGTTTCATTGGCCTGTTGGTTCTAAACACTAAGATCATAACACAGATCCCTGATGACGTTGCTTACGGATCCCAAGAATGTCTGACGCGTTGCGGCATTTCCATCGGCACTCAGCCGACAAACGAGCAAGTGCCTCGCGTTTCAGCAAATGCCCTACCTTCTGGATCGGTCAGTGCATGGACCGCCACCGCTACCTCGACGTCTGCAGCGGAAGCCACGAATCTTGAAGGTCGTGATCTCCTTGGTGGCAATTCCTCTGGCGAGACAGCGCACTATGTCTCGACTCGGGCGTCACACCACATTCCCAGAATGCATCGGGATACCACGCTGCCTTGACTGCGATGGTCATACTCGTCCTGATCATGGGGGCCGGCTACATCGGTCTTGCAGTGCTCTTCTGCGTGGCCCGGCACAAGGCCGCCAAGGGTAGTGGACAGCCTGAGGCTCGGTCGTGGATCAGACCGACGATGCAAACTGGACATTGACGCCTTACCTTGACCAAGTACGACAGCGGAGACGCAGAGACACGTGGTGCTTATGGATCCACGACTCTTGATGGCTAGTGCCAACCTGAGCAATATTCCAAAGCAGACGAGTTGCCAGCTGAAGAGAGGGGCCGGGGCTGCGCTGTCGATGCCATGTAGCCAGATCACTAGAACGAGTAGCCGATTCACTCCATGTGATTGTTTATTTATTGGTATACTCCATGACGGACCAGGGTGCACGAGAGGACTTCAAAGACTCGGAATATACGAAACCAAGATGTACTTATATGGCGGATCGTGCCATCAGATCTGAATCTTCGCGAGTTGCCGAGGGCCACAACTTGAACCAGAATGGTAGTCGTGTCGTTTGTTTCTCTCATGACCTGCTCTCATACAGTCATCTCTGAACTAGCAACGTTCAAATACTACCCCTCAATACCAATTTCTTCTAATCTCTGTAAAACTGTCCCTACAAGTCATGGTCGACATGTGGAGACACTGGCAACGACTACAACCGGTACCAACCTTCGAGCGATGGTCGGGCTTTCTTGGTCCAGTAGTGCGTCGGAAACCTACACTCGTGGCGCTCCCTGGTTCGAGGACGGCAACATCGTACTCCTGTCGGAACAGATCTCGTACAGGGTTCACCGAGGAGTACTGGCAAAGCATTCGGAGGTCTTCCGGTTTCTCCTCGAGGTTCCCCAGCCAGCAGAGGCGGAACGGTACGAAGGTTGTCCCATAGTCCAAATGAACGAACCCCGGATAAACTTTCAACTTTTCTGGATGCTCTATACAATGGGCCACAGTGTGTTCATATCTCTCATGTCAAATGATCTATGTCATCTCATGTTCTTGGGTCGTGAATATAGCTACTTCAAGACCACCCAGCTGGACTTCGAACCGTAGCTACGATGGTCCGTTTTGGACACAAATACGGCGTAGACGACCTATGCGAGGGTGGTCTTAGGCGGCTCCGGGATGCATTCCCGTCCCATTGCCCAATCCTCGCCTACGACATTTGCAGGATCAGAGATGTCCTTCGTGGATTCCGGACCGAGGACGCCATCAGAGTCGTGAACCTAGCTCGCCTCACCTCTGCAAGCGGCATCCTACCCACTGCCTTCTATATCTGCAGCCAGCTGGGTGTCAGCGATCTGTTTCGTCTGGCGCACCCTTTTCCGGCGTCGAACATGGAAGATCGTCTCTCCGCGGGTGACCTCGAACGTTGCCTTCACGGGAGGGAGCAACTATGCCTCAGGACTTACGAAGCGGTGATAAAGCTCGCCAGCGGTGTCTCTGGGGCGAGCGGGGACTGTACGGCGAAGGAAACATGTCACAAGGCTAGGGAGCAAATACTCAACACCGTACTCGAGGAGTCAGCTGCACGTCCCGGTTCGAGGCTGTCCTGCGACATCGATGTTCTGGGCTTTGCCAGGTCGTGCGACAGAGCACATAGGAAGCTTCTTTGCGAGCGGTGTATATCGGCACTGAATTGGTGGAACTGCCAGGAACGAGAAGCGATATTCCGTGACTTGCCCGCAATATACAATCTGGCATCCTAACTTTGCAAGGTGGTATCCTGTCATCTATCATCAAACATCCTAATGTAAAGCTCGTTCCTGAAATGCAAAGACTCACGCTTACGGCGAACAGGGCTTGTGGATCATTTTCAACTCACAGACGAGCCATACACACGCTTCATTATGACGTTCATTGTATGCATTCGGCTGTTTGGACCATGAGTTCCTGTACATACTAATAGATGAACGGATTTGTACATGTAACCTGTACCCATGTGCATGAAGCTTACCTTGAAGCTGAAATCTTGAGAGGTCGTGATCATGTCAGGCCGGGCCATTACTCGAGCTCCTCTTGACAGTGTCAGCGGACAAGCACTGTAACATATTCAGTGGCAAACCGGCCCACGAAGAGGATCATTAACTGCAGGCTATGTTTTGTACACGATCTCATTCTGACCAAGGAAATGCACCTAGCACAACAGACCTCCCCCAATAAACTACCCACAACTGTGATGCTCTGCTATGCCGCGTCCGTCCAGATGTATCGTATACACTACAGTAAAGGCCCATAGGACGCCAAGAACAGGAAGGTTCGCGGGTATTATACTTACGTGAATGAGGGAGTGTGAAAGAGGGTCCATGGACAATGCAAACGACAAGCTATGGAGTACGTAGGTATAGTCAGTCAATGTTATGTAGCGACGGATTGCGAGTGAGATGTACACTGCATGGGATGAACGCGCAGAAGTCCGTGAGCAGGAATGTACGGAGAATACTACCGTTGATGCAGTGAGATGAGGGTGGAAGGCATGAGGTGACTGGGTCGAGAGAGAGCGAGAGAGCGGAGGTGCGGGAAAGGAGCGGCGTCCCGGCAGCGGATAGTATGGGTGAGAAGAGGAGTAAAGTACTGCAGAGTCGAGCAACCCCGATGTCGCGAAGAAACCGAGGAGAGAAGCATCATATCACCATCCGCGTACGGGACGTTGGCTTTGGGGTCGTCATGAGATGATCGTCTGCCGTCTTTGCTGCGCAGGTCGGCTCAGGATCTGGAAACCAGAGACTGGTCGAGAAGTCCTATCGACGACTATGGCAGGGGGCGACGAGGACGAAGCAGGTGACGGCATGGATGAGGAGTGGTACGGCTGTGGACGGCTAGACCTTGAACTCGGACTAGGCACGGGTGGAACCTTACTCGCACGTCGGTCATCACGATCATGGCGATCCCGGCTGTGCTCTCCACGCTCACTGCGACTAGCAGTCACCGGTGGTGCTTGCAGGTGACTCCTATGGTGCAGGTCCATGTCGGCACTCGAGCGACGGTGATGACTGTAGTCCTGCTGGCGCGAAGATGATGGTGACGGCGGCGGGTAGTGGCTTGCGCGCACCGCGCTCCCACCAGAGCTTGGCGGGAACGAAGCCTTCTGCTGACGCGCGGCGTAGGACTTGAGCTCTGCGACCGCGGTTCCGACCGCTCCCTGCTGTGAGATGCTGGGGAGGTGGTGTCGGGCTCGAGCTGTGGCTCCTGCGCTGGCCGCCTCCCTGGCTGCTGTCGCGATGGCTGTTCTGGCTTTGCGGGCGATAACCGAACTGCTGCATGACGAACGGAGGCGTGGGCGGGAGCAGCGGTTCCATGCCCATCTGCATGGGCGACATAGGTAGCCATGGACGGGAACGGGACCGGGACAGCCATGGGCACGGCCATCATCGGGACCCCCATCATGCTCATCCGGTTCATGTTCATACCCATGTTCATGTTCATGTTCGGCGACATGCCCATCATCGGATTCGTCATCCACATCTGCGGTGGCGACAGCGCGTTCGGGCTTGGACTCGAGGACGTCCGGTCGCGCCCACCGATACTACCATCCGCGATCGACGAGCGATTAGCTGCGCCCCGGCTTGAGCTTGCACTCCTGTCGCGAGGTCGCACGTCAGGCGCGGAAGAGGAGCGTGTGCCTGGAGCGAGGGCCGCAGGGTGGGGCGGAGCAAGGTGTGAGTGTGCGGACGAGTCCCGCTGGCTACCGCTCGCACTCCCACTAGGCGCAGGCGACGCATTCCGCACGCTCGGGCTTGACGGCAGCGGCAGCGGCGGGACTGGCGGCGGATCCCTCGACCCGTCCCTCGTGCGGCTGACGCTGCTCCGAGCCTGGCTCGACTCGCTCCCTCTCCGCTGGTCGTACACTGGCCTCGCGTACATTTCCGCCTTCTCCCGCTCTCTGCCTCTGCCCGCCATGATCGCCGACGTCGCCGCGCCCGCACCCATGGCCACGTCCATCGCGCTGCCGCTCATGCTCAGCTGCGGCGGGACGAACTTCGTGCTCTCCCGCCTCGATCTTGCAGCAATGACCTCCTCCTGGTACATCCGCCGCCGGCGCTCCTCTTCCTCCTGCGACGCTCCGCCCGGAGACGCGCCTCCTCCTCGGCTTTGGCCTGCGCAGCGCGATGCTGAGCCTCATCAGCCTGAGCGCGCCGTGCCCGCTCGGCAGCGAGGAAGCGCTGTTTCTCGAGGCGCTGCTGCTTGATGCGCTGAACGTAACCGAGCGGGATGCTCTCCTTCCGTTTTGGCGCTCGTCCTCCGAGGCCTCCGACTCTGACGTGGATTCGTCCGTATCCTTGCCCTTGGTCGACGGCGCGAAACGAACAGCGGGTCTCGGGCTCGGCTTTTGCTGCGCTTGTGGCGAGGTGGTTTGGAGAGTGACGGTAGCGGTCGACGTGCTGGTGCTCGGTGTCGGCGAGGTCGACGACGTGCTCGAGCCAGAGATGGATGCCGGCTTGGTACGAGGGTAGGGGTTCGGGAGGCGCATGTTCGACTCGATGCGGAGCGGCGACGGCGTTGCTTTGTACGGCTGCTGGCGTTGCTGAGGGGAGGAGAGAATGCCTAGCATACGAAGATGAGATAGTGAGCACAGCCGTCAAGGGAAGGGAAGAGATAGATAGGGAAGAGCTTGAAGGACCGGTGCACACAAAGAACCAAGGGTGTACAAATTGTATTGTCAAGCAACAGGCGGCTGAAACGAGGCTCACCTGGTGGCTGCTGGGGCGATGAAGACGGCGTTCTTGAACCCGCGTCTCCTTTCACGCTCTCCTTCACATCGGGGGCATTGCCTGCCACTGCACCTGTTGAAACGGTCACAGTAGGCGTCGGTGGCCCACTCGACGTCGGGCTGGGCGATGCGCTGGATGCCGTCAGGGAGAGGGGCGGTGTAAGCTGCGCGGGTGAGCTGTCCGTGCTCAACTTTGGTTCGAAGTCGATCAGGTCGCCCAGCCCACCCAAGTCGACGTCCACGTTCAGCGCGGGTGCCGCGTGTACGTCCTGTGACGACCTTCGGGGAAACTCGATGGACACAGGAATATCCTGCGTCTTCGGGGGCTCCACTGTTGGGCTGGTAGTCAGCGTGAAGGTGACCTCGGTAGCAGCGTCTGTTTCCGTGTCTGCGGTGACTGTCGTATCTTCGGTGAGATCGTCGTAGAGCCCTGCTAAGTCCTCGAGATGTTCGCTGAACTCCAGCGCAGCAACGCCCAGTAGAGTTCCAGACACCGGCACGCGCACGATGCCTTCCATATCCGATTCACACCCTCTCCCTCTTCTACGGGCCGGTATACAACGAGCCGATCCTCGAAGCATGGACGGTCAACCCATCGCCACAGGCCCTCGCTACGCGCGCATACACGGCCGCTGACGGCACTGTCGTCCAGAAGGAGATGCGGACCTTTCGGCTGCGGATGGTGCCTGCCGGCGAAAGGCAGAAGAACCCGCTCATCAGCGCGACTGGGACGTGAGAGCCGTGCCAGAACGCGTTTCTGAAGAAGTTGTGTCCGCAGGGAGTCAGACGCTAATGACGAGACCTGGGAGTGCGCGTTGCAGGAACGTGGGAAGAGTGGGCTGTTGGGGATGTGCAAGAGGGGCGGGGGCGAGAAGGGGTGCGAAAGGCCATTGTTTGCGAGTGCCTTGGCGTAATCGACGGCAGACAGTGGCTTCGTGGGCGCTGCATGTGAGGTCGGGGTCGGCATGGCTTGCTGTGAGACGCGCGAGCGCGACGAGAGGACGGTCGGTGTATGCGCACTGCCTCGAGAGAACTCACTGGATGAGGACTCGTCGTCTGAATCATGCTCGACCTGTGCGTTCGGACGCCCTAGTGTCAGTCCAAGGCGGGCTGCGCTGCCTAACCCGGCGGCCTGTGGGACAATGAGACTTGCCTGTACGTGCACAGCTGTCTGCGTCGGCGGCGCGACGTCGGTCTGGTAGAGCCAAGTCTTGGCTCTGACGAAGCTGCGCGCGTCGTCGTCCGGGGTGCTGGGGCCCGCGCTGGAGGAAGACGAGGACGACGGGGGGTGATCGCCGTCCACGGTAATCAATGGACCAGCGGGCGGCTGCGCGCGGCGGGAGAGCGAGCGAAAGAAGCTAGACTTTGGTCTTGCAAGAGGAGCTTGCTTTGGCTGATATAGGTCGTCGTGGGGCTGTCATCGTTGGCGGGAGACGCGTCGTCGCACTGGGAGGAGGCGACGTCGGATTGACTTGAGCGTTGGCGGGAGCCGAAGACGGCGGCGAGACGGCGTTTCATCTGCGAGGATCGTCACGTCGGGGAAAGAGCGACGAAGAGGCAGTCGAGAAGCCTGAAGAGGGCGCAGAGATGGCTGAGGAATCAGGCCGACGTGAGCATCAGGGTTCGGCCGGAGGAGAGCAGGCTGGACCGAAACCGAGTGCGGATCGAGACCGAGTGGGGCGGGGTCGAGGACGAGGGGAGGAAGAACCGCCTGGAATCGATGGGGGAGGGAGGGAGAGGACCGCGACGAGGGGATGGTGGCCGACGATGGGCAAGAGCGTGGACGGACGGGGGTCGTCCTCCTCTCTCGCTCTTTCCGGAAACGCGGACGGACCAATGGGCGGGGCTATATCCACGGCCGCGCGCGTCTCCCGCGCGCCCACCCCGTGTCGGCCAATCAGAAGCCCGCCCTTCCCCGCATTCGATCAGCCACCACGCACGCGCGTCCACCCGCTGTTCCTGCTTCCTGCCCTGCCCGCCAGCACGCCGTGCCTCTGCCTCTGCTCTTGCCTTCGTTCCACTGCTCGGCCCCACCGCAGCGGGTAGCCTGGGGGCATCGCATGCCCCATGTGCGTAGAATGATTTGCCTGTGTGGCGTGCATATGCATCGAACAACGCCAACATGATCACCTGTGGCCGGTTCCCATGCTGCCGACCCGGCTTCAAGTCTATCTTTTGCTCTCCTCTCTTCCGGCCCTCCAATGCCACCTACGTATCGCACTCCTAGTCCGCCGCGTATGTTATACCCGCCAGCTCGCTTCTGCATGCGGTGGAACGTGTTGTAGCTCCCCGCTCTCTCGCTATCCCATTCACAAAAATACGCCTCGTTTGGCAGCAGTTCTCTGTCAAACTGACCATCCGGAGACCATCGCTTGTCCATCTAAATTCGCCCCGCCTGAGAATTTCGCCCCCTTTAGACTCCCGCAAGGTGCGATGGTGCGCGCGACACTCTCTTGGCTCTGCATTCGCCATCTATGTTCATCACCACGCATCCTTTCCACATCTTGAGCGCGTTCCCCGCACTCCCCTTCAGGCCTAGCGACGTCAGGTGCCTTCTCTACCATGCATCTGAACATCGTCCGCGCGTTCTTCTACGACCATAGATTGGACACCGATCTCGTTCAACATCCCCTTGGCTTCTGCCTCGGTCCGCGCTACTCCCACACGTCGGTTCTTTTGGCCCGGCCGCCCCGTTTCTCGCGCACACGTTCAGCGTTGTACGAGCTCGACAAAATCAACAAACTTACCGCGCCTTCTGGCGTTACGTATGCCCTCACTGCATGCAGGATCTCTTCGGTCCCTGTAGGTCCCCTGGCTGTATTCGCGCTTCGCAATACATTTGTCCTTCCCAGTCTGCGTCATGCCTGGTACGCGACTATACCGAAACGAGGCCTGTTTATCGATGACGCGATTCATTTGCAATTGTTCGGCCGTCGACGTCCAACAGCTGCATCGTGTTGTCACGTAGTACCGCTGATGCGCCGTACGTCCCGGTCCAGCCGCGGTACCGTCTAGTACCGCGTAGACTGTCCCCCTGTTTTCATCGTTTCTCCTCTATCGCGTTCACGCAACCTTACATTTGGCAGATTTGTTTGTACTGGCTGGCTCCAGCACCACGAGCAAACTCGGCTACAGCTTCAGCCAGCGGCCAGGGACCACCGAGGTCGGACGTGATGATGATCGACACATCGCTCGGGCGCGCTCCGAACACCGAGGAAAACAAGCGATTTAGGTATGGCATCTGTAGCATTGCGTTTCTTATTGACCGGTTACCCGGGTCCGTACAATCGTTTCAAACATACGCGCTCTGACGTCAAGTTTGGAAACCGCCGGAACGAACGTTTGCTATGCACACTGGCCGACAGATACGCCGTACTAACGGTAGGCATGATAGTTCGGATGTCAGACATTGACTTTTCGTGCCGCCATCGTCCGCCTGAGCGCCACGATCCAGACCCGTTACGGTTCTCGTGTCCCCGGCCGAGTCAATTGCGGCGTAGTTTCCTACGCAGCGTAGGCGCTTCCCCACCCACCGAGCGAGCTTCACGTCGACGCACCCGAGGCCAGGACGCCTGTGAACGAGACGCGCCATAATTTCCCAGCGGAGCCCCGCCAGCGCGGGGGCACCCACACTCTGCATTCTCGCGGCGGCTTCGCGTTCCCATCCTCAAGTATCTTAGCCTCGACGAGTCCTCTCACGGTACGGCCTCGACGGACATCATCCCAAGGACACGCTCGCCGACCGCGCACTCCCACGTCGTGTGGTTCTCAGCAGGTTCCCTGTGTCAGCCTGAGCGGGAGCGCCGTGCAGGGTTCCACTCTGCCACCCTGACGGGGAAATGGAATGATCGAAGCGTGCTGTGTATGCAGTGGACGGCGACTGCATAGGGATCGAACGCCAATGCTGTGAAGAGGAAGAGTGGGGTCTGGCCATTCGCCCATGGGTTGGTGGGTTCTCGCCGGGATGTCACTGTGGCCGTGCATATTCCCAGAGCTGCGGCGCGGTTTGTGGGCGACATCTTGACGCTGAGTCGACTTCGCAGGTCGAGAAGCGGTAAGGCTGCCGCCGCCGTTGGTTCCTGCATTCAGACGGGGCAACAGCTGACACTAGACAGCGAGCAAGCACCCGCGACCAATGTCCGCGGTCGAGCTCCGTGGACGTGGCAGTTCACTCGAAATAAACATGCTAGTACGTAGACAGCCCGAGCAGGTCACCATGGCTGCGCCCCCACGGTTGCTCTACTCGCTACCGCCGGCGTTGAGAGGAATAAAATGCAAGCACGTTCGTAGCGCATGCACAGACAGTCAACCCATATACTGCCAGTGTCCGCCGCGGCCTCATCATTGAAATGCGATTGCCTAGCCGTCTGCAAGCTTCGCCTCGCTGTCGGTCAGTCGTGCCAACTAGGCAATAGTCGCATTCGGAAGCTAACATTCTGAGCCGTGTTAGGATTCACGATGTTCGATGAGCGCTGTGCGAGTTATGTATGGCATGGAGCTTGCTGTCGAGGACACTGTTCGGCGGGCAGCGCAGCAATTTGCGGCGTCGGGGAGCCTTCTGCGGCAAGTCTCGTCAATTTCGTAAGTCCATACCAGGGAATCTCTACGGTCTAGGCCGTCTCCGTTGCATTTGGGCTCACGCATGCATTCGGTCGCTCCAGGTATTTGATACGCTTCGAATTTGCCATCTTCAAGTTGAGCTGCGCTGCCGCATGCGACTTCACAGATGCCCAAGTTGATTATCCTGGCCGGTTCAGTCCGCTTCCCCGGGGCTGGGCTTTCACCGTGACCGCTACGGCTCAGGCTCATCCACGCAGCGGCGAATGACCCGCAGGGAATTCACGCGGCCACTGCGAAGTTCTGCGGGTACACGCCACTTACAGCCCCAAGCTCCGCCCCCCCATCTACAAATGCGATCGATAGCACACGGTCTACCGTCCACCACGGTAGCGGAAGAGACGTAAACGGGCCACCGGTGAGTGTGGATGTTCGGCCGTGTCTTCACCGTGATGCTTTCAGCAGCGATCACCGCTCGCTTGGAATGGTGCCCCAATAATAATACCTGATCTTCGTGAGGCTGGAAGGACGCTGCAAAGAGCACCGCCGGCACCCCCTCATGGTATCGGCGAATGTCTCCGTGGACGTACAGGAAAAAAGAGGGTCATTGTAGGCTCATGCTCAACCTGTGCCGGTCAACTACGTCGTTCTCATTGCAGATATGTAATTGGCGGGTCGATGGACTTGCATCATAGCATCGCACTGTACCGGCCCTCTTTCAACCTCACGGCCTTATTGTATCGATACCATACGGGCGATCCACCATGTTGCTCTACCACGGGTGGTGCTCAGTGCTCACCGCGTCAACAGAGCATTTCCAAGTCGCCATGAGCTTAAGCTTGAGGTGCTGCAATGGCATCATTAGGCACTGTCCCAGGTACACAATCAATTAGCCTACATCCGCGAGAAGTAGAGTCCAAGGTACTCAAACAACGCGATCACGATCAGGTACGCACCCTCGCGTATCTACCTTACTACCCGCTGATATCTGCCTACCTGCCGGCGGGGAGCGTGTAGAGTGGCGCTGATATGGGCGGACGGAAGCTACAGGAAGCTGCTCGACGTACCTGGCTCCACTCCACATTTCGAAATCACCTTGTAAGAGGGTTGTCACGGCGACCTCTCACCGTTGAGTGAAGGTGGAGTAAACACTGGCCTGTGCATATCGCTTCTTTCGCTATCGGAGGGGTGCATCCTTCGTATCTTGGGGTGGTACCGCACGCGGTACTGCTTGTTGCGGATGAACATTTAGTGGCACTCACGTAAAGGGTGTAGACTAGGACAATTTGTAACCTCGAGGCGACGCGGTATGTAGACGTCCAATGTACCGCTGACAAAAGCAATCAACAATGACTCAATCAAACCTTGACGCATCGTCGCATGGACTATTGGTTTCCGACACGACCACTAGCTTGTGGCACTCTCAGTTCACATAACGTGACACTGGCACGCTGTGCAGTCAAGGTACGTCATGAATGTGCATGGCATGCTAAACAATGGTACATACAAACAGCAACCCGAGATTCTCCTTCAGCATCGACAGGAGCTTGACAAAACGAGAAGCATAGAAATGGTACGGAGCGGTGTCCATGCGGTTATACCAAAGGTTGGCCTGCAAGAAACAGAAGGGACGGTGCATTGTGGAACGCTGGGAGTATCATGCCATACCACCGTATGACCCACGTATGCGCCGGGCTAATTGGATGTCTTTCTGCATGAGCGTCACTCGTTTTGCGTGGATTGCACAGAGGTTCCTACCACGGAGGTGAATACTCATCCACTCTCACTCTCAGAATGATGCCGCAAAGGACCAGAACTTACGCATCCTCGAATAAATGCACAAGATACGCCTCTGTAGCTTCTTGCAATGCTAGGATGGCGGAGCTTTGCCATCGTAGACCAGCGTCACTATAATCCACCATGTCCGTCATCATGTCCAACGCAATCTCGCGTACCTACGCATAGACACCACAAGGCAAGTCAGGAACACGAACGCAGTTCATCAGAAAAACTTACGACGCGAGAGAAGGGCAGTTTGCGGATGAGTAGCTCAGTGCTCTTCTGGTATTTCCGGATTTCTCGGAGTGCGACTATCCCGGGCCTAAAGCGTTTTTCTGTGTTATAGCACCATATCAGTCAATGCGAACAACTGCTACAAGGTTTGTTACGCACTTCGCGCAGCCTGCCCTGGACCACCACCACTACCACCACCACCACCACCGCCCCCTCCTCCACCTCCACCACCTCCGCCACCGCTGCCACTCGGACGTCCACGACTTGGCCCTGCAGCACTAGGGTGGCTGATCCTGGGAGGTTGTCCGCCAGTGCTTTTGCGTGCTGTCGCCGTGCGTGGCTTCTTCGCTGGGGCGGGTGGCGGTGTCTCGTCGGAGCTGTCTTGATCATACACGGGCTGCTGCTTCCGCTTGCCTTTCTGTACTGTCTGAGCCATCTCTTGTCTTGAAACGCGGTAGGACGCGTGAATACGGGTCTTCTGTCGTTACTTTCAGTGCTGTATTAGTGAGCGTGAGTTTCGATTCGGTTCGGTGCGCGGGGAACTTGGTGGAGAGGTGTCGCAAGACGCGTCAAAAGCAGTTTTAACGGCGTGGTCGGGCAGAGAGAAGAAGGTGGGAGGGTATCACGAGAGTACTGTGCTCGGGGAGCAAGAAAGCAGAGAGACTCTCGCGCGCGTTTGAATCCGAACGAAACGCGTCGCCCGCATACGGAAGGCGTGACGCGTGGCACGTGCTCGCGCGGCCATGCACGCGACGCGAAGTCAAGAAGCGCGAGTGCCGCCTTCCGCCACTGGCATTTCCTTTGTCTGCCTTGTCCCCTCCTGTGCCACTGCGTCCCCTCCTTCTTTCACCAAACCACCTTCTCCAACACCTCCCCCGACACCTCCCCAAATCATTCTCATAATGCCTAGCGCACAGGAGGCTGTTATAGGCTACTACCGCTTCACGGATATATTCTTCGAGTGGCGCGTAGCATCTCTCACATTGATCACCGTGCAGAACATCTGATATGAAGTCTATCCAAAACTGCATCATCGCAATGCTAGGCACAAGGCTCTACCAAACCAGGAGGATATAGGGCCGCTGAAGGCACTTCTGGCATACCAGGCCCTCGTCCACCCCGATCATCCCCTGCGTAGTGAAGGGAGTGATGGGCTAGAGTTTCACCTGGGTATGCTCTGATCCGGCGATGCCGCTAGTATCTTGGATGATTAACAGGCATTAGGCACGTTTGAGAGCGGAGAGATGCGTCTCCTCGTCTCTTCGGCCCAAGTCGAGTACATCAGGTACTGGCTGCACGCTATGCAGCTCACCAAGGAGCCCATACCGATCCCGTCCTCGGACTATCTCATTCGGCACAGCGACTTGACTAACTGCTCGCCATCCGTGTACAACGACGCGGCCGTGCTCAAGAAGGCGATTAAGGTACGTGCCCGAGGGAGGGGTCGGAGGGCTCGTCGGGGCGCTCGCTTGACCAGCCCACAGACGATTGAGAAGAACAACAAACGGATCAAGGGCGCACCGTCACTTCTCACCAACCGCCGCATCAACTTTGAGAAGATCCGCACCATCTGGGTTGCGAAGGTTGGGACGTGGCTTGCGATTGACTTTGAGGCATGGGATCGCGATCATAGCATGATTACTGAGTATGGCTGGAGCCTCGTTCGATGGGAAGGCAAGGGCGATGAGAAGCGCGAGGTAACTGAGGATGGTCACTTGATTGTGCGGGAGTACCGGGGCTTCCACCAAACCTACGTCGAAGAGAACCGCGATGTAAGTGGATCTCATCTTCGTGGAGCAAATTGAAGATCAAACACCACAACTGCATATCAGCACTACAACTTCGGGCAGAGCGAGGATGTCGACAAGCACACTTTCCGACAAAGGATCCGCGACATGCTTGCCAAGTACCGCGAGATGGGTCCGCTGTTCCTCGTGTTCCACGATAACAACCAGGACGTCAAGTGAGCAGTTCTGCATATACGCTGTTCGAGAAATCTCAACACGCCTCTAGGTATCTTCGTGACGACTCTATCAAAGCACTCACAGACTTCGAGTACCTACTCCCCGACCAAGCACCCGAGAGCGGAGTGTACGTGATCGATACCGGCGACCTGTTTGCTGCGCTCGAGGGTGAGGGCAGCGGGAACAAACGCTCTCTTGAGCGGGCCTGCAGACACCTGCAGATCCCGACCGAGTTCCTCCATAATGCCGGGAACGACGCACACGTAAGCCACCTTGCCTTGACTCGCCCTTCAATGCATTCACACCACCAACGTTCGACTCATCCATCAGTATACCTTGGCTGCGATGATCGCCATGGCGTCGGGCGACACGCTGGACGTGCAGCGTGAAAAGCGGTGGCCAAACCGCACGTCAAGCATCAACACGAAGGTCGAGTTCATGCCCTGGGAGGAGGACTCTGAGGACGACCTCGAGTCGATGATGCCGGGCAACCGCGCCACGATGCAGATCAACGGGGAGCAGACGATGCCGGACCCGGACGGCAACGCGGACCTGCCCGACGAGAATGAGGACATATCGAAGGCGCTGCAGAACGGGGGCCTCATCCCGGTCCGGGCGTGAAAGCGGGTGGGGCGGCGTGCGGCCCCCATTTTGCTGTGGTTTCTGTTGACGTAGCGGTGTAAGATCATGATGAGAGGTTATGTGCAAGTGATTGTATCCTTGGGTTCCGGTATACGTTTGGAGGGCTGTACGATGATAGGTGTTGGAGCTGTTGTATCAAACTTCCCAGTGTTTACTAGTCTCACTCTCGTGACCGAAGTCGGCGAATTGTCTCAACTTGTCCAGCGGGGTACCCGAGTATGTCTTGTACCATCATCGTACAGCAATCATGTAGTCACAAGGAGTTGGGCCGGGACGTTCATCCATTCTTCACACGAAGAACAGTGAGGCTAAAGTCCGGAGGTACTATACATGTACTGATAGTAAGACCATCACAGAGACCAGAAGCATCGTTCCCTTTGTCGTCTCATTCACACAGCTCGTCATCCTGCAGTTCACAAGACCTTGGTGCACACAGCAGATCGTCTTCGTGTTTGATTCTCGTACTAAGTTACTTACCCACCAGGCGTGTTACGTAAGGTTACGCGCCTCTTTCGCGATTCTACGGGTACATACACGAATGTACCACGGTTTCGTCTCGGGACCGAGCCTCACTGTTGCCAAGTACCCCGCGCCCCCTCCAGACGCGGGCGACTTGACAGACATACGGTCTAGTCCTCCTTGTCGTTCACATCGTCATCGTCGTCGTCGTCGTAGTCTTCTTCGTCGGAACGATCGTCTTGCACATCCGCGGCTTCTGACGCAACCGCCCTGTACGCAATGCGCCAGATGAGGAAGTACCAAAAGAGATTGAGGAACTGTAGGAGCAGGATGGGCGTGAAGATCTGGTATTTCATCCACCACACCATCCAAACGCCGTCCTCAGGAAACCAGCGTTTCGATGTCTCTCTGTGGATGATGCGAACTCGGTGAGGCAGAGGCGAGACGCACAGAAAATCGATGACGTACGGCATGAGATCGAACTGGGTCCATACGGAATGCAACATGACGATATTCAGCCAGTGCCTAAAATACGACCATATGCCGATGAACACGACGAAGGAGACTGTTTTCGTGCGCGTGTATTGGATGTAGTTCATTAGCTTGGAGAACTGCAACAGTACCGTTGAGAACTCTGGCTTCAAACCCAATGTTGTTCACGTACTGCGAGGAAGGCATCCGGGACGTCCATGCTGAGATAGACAGCGTTCCCAATGAGAGTCATGTTACCAGGTAGCTCCATCTATAGAGACAATGTGAGAAAGGTACCTCGACGGAAGCGTCAGACGTACCCGACGAGCCATAATGTGACGAAGTGGTGCGCTACAAGTTCGTGGTAGTCCTTCCGCGGTTTCTCCAGGTTGAATATGAGAACGATGAGCTGCTGACACCAGTAGGCTGCTTGCATGAGATAATAGGTTTTAAGCTCTGGCTTCATATCCCAGTGTGGATAATCTGAGGCGCAGACGTGAGCTGAATCGTCTGCAGAAATCATCGTTCAGACATGCCTATCCAGAAGTGTTCGGTGCGATACCACCACGTCGGCAGCTGTGCCATGATACGCTGCGAAATGTTATGGTCATGATAGCGTATGAGGTCCTGGAAGACCTACGATTCCCCATGAACCCATGACAGCGAAGTAAGCCATCGCGTATCCCTGCTCCCCAAACCGTGCGAGCTTCGCCTGTTTCTTGATGCCGAACCACTGCGCTATCGACCGACAAATATGAAGTGTTACAACTTGCCGGACCCAAGACCAAAAGACAATATAATACGCGACGAAGGCGAGGTCCAGGAAGCCCTTCGCATAGCGGGGGTCGTCCGGGGAGGAGGTGGGAATATAGTGGGAGATGAGGAGGAGAGGGGTGAACGGGTTCGGAACTCCGGGCGCGACGTAGGGCGTTAAAACCTCCCAGTTGAGGTGGAGGACAACGACAAGGAGGAGTATTTTGAACGAGGACCCTGTTGTGGACATCAGGTCTCGACTGCAAGAAGCGGGAGAGCTGCGGCGAGTGGGTACGAGACGTACATGGCACAACAACCCATCTGAAGGAGCGAATATCCGCCCAGAGCCCTTCGGACTCAGTGGACCAAGGGTCTAATCCGCCAGCAGGGCTGGTGGAGGAGCGCACGGGCGAGTCGTACTGTGCGTCCAACGGCCTGCTGGAGCGTTAGCTAGCCCAGAAGAGCGCGTACGGTATCGACGCACGTCTGGGGCCTGAACGGGCCAGCCAAATGGTGCTGAGCATCTGTCCTGCGAGCACACGAGTTGGGTGTTAGCAGCAAGACGTCGCGCGGGGCGGCGTAGGCTCACTCGATGTTCTGGAGAGAGTCACGGAGACGGAGATTGGGCCTGCGAGCCTTAAGCTTCCGTTTCTGTACCATGGTGTGTGTGCAGCGGGGGAGCGGGCGGCGGTAGGGAGGAGGAGAGAGAGACGGCGGATTTCGGCGGACGTGCGCGCGAAGGGGTCGGACGCGAGTTGGCGCCCGACGCGCTCGGCACGGGAGCGTCGCCGGAGAGAGCACGCGGAGGCGCCCGTGTGCAGAGCGAGCAGCGGTCATGTTCCCCACCAAGGGCCTCTTTGCTGCCCTCCCCTGCCCCGACAGACCCGCCTGCCGCCGCTCCGTCTGTCTCTTCAGCCATGCACCCGACGCGCGCGAGTCCTTCAGCGTCCACATCCCCGTCGACGCGCCCAAGGAAGCCCCCGTCGCGTCCTCGGCAGCTGTGCAGCCTAAGACTGCCATGTCTGTCCCTGCCAAACGCCCCATACCGTCTGCTGCAGCTGGAACAAGTACACCTGAGCCTCCACGTAAACTGCAGCGCACGGGGCCGACCAAGCGTCCTGTCGCGGTGCCTACGGCAACACACACCGCCGTGAGTCTCATCAGAGGCCATCAACCTTCGACTCACTCATATATTCCAACTGTTCGTGCTACAGTCTGGGGTACCTCTCATAAGAGTCCCCCCGGCTCAGTCTCAAGTTGCTATCCCCGTCCGCCAAGTATGTGCTTTGACGATGACGGCGATGTCTCCGACCAACTTGACACGCTCGCTCCTCAGGCAATGCTCCAGCAGCTGTTCCAGCACTACCTCATTCTTTACGAAAACATCCTTGCACAGAACCCTACTCTAGCCTCCGAGCATGCCCTCCGACAAGAAGAGGAGGTGTACCAAAAGTCGAACAAGCTCACGTACCGTAACGTACGTATGATGTCGCACATCGCCCGTGCCCACTGGAGCACCCTGACGAATCCCAGCCCCGTCTCCCCTTGTAGGCTGTTATCTCCTCCATCGTCACGCTCAAGCAGCGGCAAAAACCGAATGGCGCGTCACATCCCTCCGTAGGCACTGAGGGCGATCTTGCGCGTCGTGCCGAGGAGCGCAAGAAGCTCAACGCGCTTCGGCTGACTGCCAAGCAGCTGGAGCCCTATGTCCTGTCTCTCGACCAGTTGCGCAAATGGGGCCACATCGTCGACATCCCTGCAAGTGAGGGCGGGTCAAGACCAAGTGAAGAGGGGTCGGTAAAGACATGCGACCGATGCAGCACCGCGTTCAAGGTAAAGCGGAGAGAGGAAGCGTCCATGGATGAGTGCGTATACCACTGGGGGAAGGCGTTCTCGACCAAGACAAACGGTATATCAATAAATTCACTGTGCCGCTCCGTCACTAAATGCAATTCTGTAGGCGAGAAGAGACGTCTATTCACCTGCTGTTCGCGACCTTCGGACAGCGAGGGATGCCAACGGGGTCCGCACGTCTTCTACGAGACGTCAGCGGAGGATCTACATGTTCGTCATCCGTTCTCGTATACTCGTGGCAGCGGGCCACCAGACGAGGTACGAGAAGATGGGCATAGCACGCAAGCTGATATTGAAGCCGACACCACATTGGACATCGTCGCGCTGGATTGCGAGATGGTGTACACGACCGGTGGAATGCGCGTCGCGCGGGTGTCGGTGGTTGATTCCACCGGGAAGGAAGTCTTCGACGAGCTCGTCAAGATGGATGATGGGGTCGATGTCATGTAAGTCTGTTTCTCACCGCTTCAACTTACCCGAGAAATATCTGACCTTGCTCATGCAGCGACTATAATACGCGCTTCTCTGGCATAACCGCCGAAGCGCACGCAGCAGCGCTTCTCCCACTCACCGCGATCCGTCGATCGCTCGACGCGCTCATATCGTCGAAACGGTCATCATCGGGCACGCGCTCGAGAACGACCTGAAGACGCTGAGGATGGTGCACCATCGCTGTATAGACACGGTGGTATTGTTTCCCCATCAGGCAGGCCCGCCGTATCGACGAGCATTGCGTGCATTGTGAGTGTGGCACTGATCTCCTGTGCTTGCGTTGTGCTGACGTGCCGATAGAGTGAAGGAGCACTTGGGTCAGACGATTCAGGAGGGGGGCGGGACGGTCGGGCACAGCTCTGTCGAGGATTCAGTTGCGACACTCGATCTCGTACGGTGGCACGTCCTGAACCGCCCCCACCAGCGGCCAAACCCGCAACTGCTTCAACCGCAACAACCACGAACAAGCTATGACCGTCGATTTCCGCTGTCGATCTCCGTTTCAACCGTCTTATATTTGTAGTCACATTCTCACTGGCAGGAGTGCGGAAGGTGTAGCAAACTCAATATTTATAAACCAGCTCCGACTCGGTTGCACTCACAATCCCCATCCCATCTGTCATCATGTCACGTATCATGTAGCATAGTCTATGCATGCCCCTGGATCACTACATTCCGTATTTCGCACCTATGGCGGTACCCGTCTGACTGTGAGTATGAGTATTATGGCCTCCGAGAACCGAGGCTACCTAGGCGCGCCATTGTGTCCTCGCTGTTCTCTTGCTCTTCGATGCTGTCGGCTTGTGTCACCTGTAGAGAAGGTGCTGAGCTGCGCGTTAGTTGCGCTAGAATCATGACGTACGACGCGGAGCACCGATTTCTTCGACGATTCTTGTAGCTCTCCAGCGATGATAAGTTCGTCCATGATCTGGCGAAGAGAGTCTGTGAGCGGGAGAGCGTCCGCGCGTAATGACATGCAAAGACGTACGGCATATGCCTTCTGAAAGTTGAAGATCCTGCAGAAGATGTCAGTATAGTTGCTGCTGATCTGAAGTCCGACCGACTTACAAGTCAAGCTCGCACACCTATGAGAGGACATTAGTCACTCCCCCTCCCTTACACAGGTAGCAGCAGTACTCACATTGCCAAAGTAGCGGTCCAGCACCTCGACGTATCGGTGGATAATCTCCAGCGTGATGAGTTCATTGTCGTTTGAACCGATCCCACACACGAAGAAGAGCGAGGCGTATCGCCGGTACACGACCTTCGTGTCTGCACGAACATCGCTCAGGACCGGGAAGCAACATCGCTCGAAGCTCGAATGCACCGCACCTTTGTACTCAAGTACATTGCACATGCGTGTTCTGCGCGCGAGGACGAGTTGTGTGACGTCCTTGACGATCTTGGCCTTGGTCTTCTGGGGCATAGTCGTGAACCATTTCGCGAGACGGACCTTCCCTGTGCACATACGACCGTCAGTCGATATACGCCATATAGGAGATACACAACTGACCCTGGCGAGAAACGAGGAGAATGTAGGTGATCATGACACAGTTGTGCGGTCGTGGGCGGGAAGGTGGGTGAACGCGGTGTACAGCAACGATCGGCGCTCGGCGTGCCTGTCGGGAATTACCAAATCTGAGACGCGACAAACACGGCCAAGCGCGTCCCGATTGCGATCTGTCTTGCGCGATCGACTCAGATCGCGACAACCCCGCGCCAGATCCAGCCATCGAGGCCGAGCCGCCGTCTGGGGAAGTGCGTCGCTCAGCTTGAACCTCCACCACCACCACCCACGCCAGCCCGCGGTGAGGCAAACATGGACAGGAAGCTCTCACTGCCGGAGTTCCTCAAGGTGCTGACTACCAACACGTGCCGGCGACCAAGGCCATGGGCGTTGCAGGGAAATTGTCAGGCGAGCTTCGTCATGCCGAACGTACGCGCAGATATGAACTTCCCAGCAGGTACAAGACACATAACACGCCCTCGCAGCTCGGGCAGCTCACTGACGGCAAGCTGAAGGCCGCTGGAGTGGACGATAAGGAGGTTCGCAAGCTGGTATTGGCGGCTATCCGTAAATCGGGCTACAAGGCCCCAGCTGCGGGTGCCTCGTCGCGCAACGCGGCCCAGAATACCAGCTCTCCCGGCACCGCAGATCCACCAGCTGCATCCACCAGTGCCCAGGCCGAGGTGCGTGTCTTGCAATTTAGCCTCTTCCGCTCATCATCCTTACATAAATTGTACGCGTGTGGCGTCCGCAACGGCGGCAGCGGCCCAAGCAGAAGCGCAAGCGAGATGACGATCTGAACGAGTTCCTGCCTGACAGGCCCCCAGATGATGGTGAGCTCTACGGCAGCTTGGAGTTCAAGGAGGAGCTCGATGAAACGGTGTGTATCATGCCTTGGAACACGCCCCCCTGTTTGCACCCAGCGCGGCTTCCTCGAGCTCTCGGGAGTCTTGCCTGTGTGCATGCAGCTGGCTGTGTTGCGTATGAACTCCGGCTTACGGAGGAGCATATGGCTGCATGTCACAATTATAGATCCTCACGAAGAAGTCCACTTTGGTGAACCGTGCCCCGATCATGATGGCATGGGCCTTTGTCGTGGCTGAACGGCTGGGGTTCCAGCGCGAGGAGGCTCTGAGTATAGGTATGGCTTCACCTACCAAAATTTCAAGCACAGCCGAGAGGCTGTGCGGTCGCACCGCATACCCATTGAACATCCTGCGCTCCCAGCATCGGTATACACGGAGATGAATGCTATTACAAAAGGTGTATCCCTCGGCATCTTCGACAAGAGCAAGGGCAAGGGGGTGGAGGCCGCCCAGCGCGGCTCACAGCCGTACGTGGACCTCATGGGTCGACGGTAAGTCGCTGTTCTCCTGTGCCATAGGAGGGGACGAGGCTGAGACGGTGTCCTGCGCCTCGTGCTCCTCTCTTGCGTTTCAAATTCCTCATTCCCCTCTGCAGAATGTAGGTATTCACGATCCGACCCTCCTTCCAAGCTCCAGCCGCTCACACATACCCCCGCAGACCCCTCTACCAGACAGCAAATGGCTCTTGGCGAGCTCTCTCCTCCGGCACGCCTGTCGCGCCCTCCTCAGCATTTTCGTATATCACCCGTGCCTTACGACAGACCGCACCGCACGTCCTCGGTGCACTCCGCCTCCTGGCCAATAGCTACGCCCCAACGGAACTCAGCCGCGCAGGCTTCGCCCTCTATGCTGACTTCCGGCCGGACGTACAGGGGTGGGGCGGCCGTGCTGAGGTGCGCTGTGCGACCATTCTTGGGCTGAGGAACAAGGACGTGAAGAAGGAGGACGAGGAGGCGCCGCTCAGCAACGTGCAGGACATTGTGAAGATCGAGCCTGCCAACGGGGAGTCTGGAGGCGAGTTGGCCCCGTCAGGGCTCGTCGAGCCGCCCAATAAGAAGCAACACATAGCGGCTATTGACGACGAGTATGAGGCGGCATTGGATGATCCAATATTTGATGACGCCGAACTCAACCTGGAAGGCTTCCCTTGATGCCCGCGGCCAAATTACTAACGTGCATGACGAGCTTGCCGTTCGCACAACAGATCTCCCCGGAAGGCATCGAGAAATATGCAGGTAGTCATATAATGTAAAATCTACACGTTGACACCGAAGCATGAAGATCCGGAATGTCCTGTCTCATCCCAGCAAGCACACGTCGTCCCGCACCGGCGTTGGTATGTACATTACGGCTTGATGTTTTTGATGACAGCACCAGTGAACTCCGAGGTCGTGGCAGAGCCTGAAGGCACATTGTCAGTTGATGATCTGGAAGCAACCCGCTGCGAAGTACTTACCGCCCATGTCAGCTGTGCGGACCTTAGCAGCGTTGATCACGTCGAATGTTGCACTCGCAATGTTGTCAGCGAGGTTGTCGAGGCTGATCGTACGTCAATTACACCGCAACAGGAGCACATTCTTGAGACATACCCGAGGTGCCTGAGCATCATAGTCGCACTCAGTATCATCGCGCAGGGTTGGCCTTGTTCGTGCCCATGATGTCCTGGGCGACGTGACGACAGCCAGGCTCGAAGAGCGCAAATTCGCGGCCGACGTTGCAACCAGGCACAATACCAGGGCCACCAACCAGCGCAGCACCGATGTTAGAGACGATCGCGCCGTACAGGTTCGGCATCACCATGACGTCGAACTGCGACGGTCTTGCAACCAGCTGCATGGACCTGCGAGTTTCCTAAAGTTATAATCTGGTTCCCAACGCAACGAACGGTTCCCGATGCATACGTGTTGTCGACGATCATGTCGTTAAACTCGATACCAGAGCCCTTGTACTCTTCCGCAACCTTGCGGAAGGTGTTCAAGAATAGACCATCACCGAGCTTCATGATGTTGGCCTTGTGTACGCACGTGACTTTCTGAATACGAGAACGACCACGGGACGATCTGTGAGATGCCTATGACGACATGGTGTAAACGATAGTATGAGCGCACCTTGCGGCCGTTCTTGAGCGCAAAGTCAAACGCGAATCGCGAGATACGCTCTGCCTTCGCGCGCGTAGACACCTTCAAGCTCTCGACGACGCCGGGGTAGCTCTGGTGCTCGAGGCCAGAGTACTCACCCTCAGTGTTCTCACGGATGATGGCGAAGTCAACGTTGCTGTGGCGGGTAGGGAAGCCGGGGAGGGACTTGCACAGCACAACGGAGGCGTAGATGTCAAGCTGTTGACGCATGGCAACGTTCCATGATACGTGTCCGGACTGCGAGATGGGGGTGAAGAGGATGCCTGAGGAACGTAATGAGTATAGAACAGAGAACGAGAGACACATGTGAGACGCACCCTTCAGCCCGACCCGGTTCCGCCGCAAGCTCTCCACAGCCTGCTTGAAGAGCTCCTCCCCGGACGAAGACATGCCAGAGACGTTGTATTGCTCCCATTCGATGGGAGCGTTAACATACTCGAAGATCTCCTTAACGGAGTCGGTAATCTCGTTACCGATACCGTCACCCGGAATCAAGGTCACCTGTGGCGATGCTTAGACGGAGACTATGGTTTCTGTTCACCGATACGCACGGTGTAGACACCACCATACTTGTAGACGGCTAAAGGGTGTAAGACGGTGTGCATATGCATTACGTGGGTACGTACGCGCTGTGTGACCTTGGGAAAGCCAGCAGAGAGCGTGGTGGCAGACCTCTGGCGCGGACATGAGTACGCGATCGACTGCAGTGGACGTGTACGTACCGCCTGGAGAGCGGGGCGGACGGCGAGGCGAGGGCGTTGCGCAACATGGCCGGGAGATGGAGGAGGAGGGAGAGAGGGAGGAGGGCGTGGCGAGCAGCGTCGGGACGGCGTTGAAAAATGGGAATGCGACGTCGGCCGAACCAGGGCAGCGTACAGGGCAATCACGTGACTGGCGTCATATAGCAGCCCGGGCAGGCGGCGGCTGATCCGGGCCACATGGCGCCGTTTCACTGGGGTTGGCCAGTCGTGCGACGCGGACGCGGACGCGAGCAAAGTCCCAAAGTCATCCGACTTTGTATTCGGTCTGCGTCGGTCTCCCTCCTACCCCCCTTCCCCGGTCGGCCCAACCTCACGACCAGCCGCTCCTTTCATGGGTTTCTGACACACCAGCATGGACACCAAGCAGCAGCAACAGCTTGCCGACCTCGCCGAGCAGGTCCTGCCCCATCGCAGACGCGACCTCTCGTTTTACGTCGTCCTCTTCGCGGCAGTGATTCCTCTCTGGCTGGTCGTCCCCTCAGCCTGGATCTATGTGATCTACATCCTCCGCACAGGCAAGATATGGACTCTGGCTTGGCGCGGACGGCTACTGTTTGCTGCTGCGCTCTGTGAGGTCAGATCTGGTGACCGCGTCAAGGTCGTGTATGCGGGCGCTCACCCTTCTGCTTCTGCAGGTGTTCTTTAGCGTATACCACTACAATCTCGCGACATTCATCAGCGGCCCTCACTCGCTTCCGCCAAACAAACTCAGCGAGCTGCAAAAGGCTTTCACGCGTGTCCTGCAGTCAGGCCTAGCAGATCTTCCGGAGGAGGGCTTTGATGAGGAGACGCTCGATGCTGAGAGGCCTGGCAGTCCGGCCGAAGACATAATCACCCTTCAGTATGACGATCCCAGAGCAGTGGACTTCCGGAACTACTTGAGAACCTGGTGAGTTCTCCACTTCTGTTGCCCAGAACTGAATCTCAGATCGTGATAGGTTTGGCAAAGTCCCGTGGTCTTCGATCCGCAAACATGAAATGTATGCGTGGCTCTATTGGTCGATCTTCAACCAGCCATACACCACCTTTGAGGCTCTTCCACGCGCACACCAAGTCGCCCTCAATGATGTCATCCGGTCGATAGAAGCTCGCTCTGGTTCTACCATCCCAGATGGATCTAATCCTGCAGTCAAGCCTAACTTGCTCACCCTGGACCCTGTCAGCGTTGTCTGGCGGCCATTCCTTTGGTATGCCTTTGTCGCAGCCGTTAACTTCTATCTGCGGAGGCGTATGCGGCGGATCTGGGACTGTAAGTTTGGCACATACCATGGTCTTGAGTGCGTACGCCGTATGTTCTCGCGCGTCGGTCCGACTCACAATTTGTATCAGCTACATACTCCGCGTGCCTGCAGGTTGGGACCCTCGTACGGGCCCGAGGCCGGTCGTCTTCATGCACGGACTTGGACTCGGTCTGGCACAGTACAACCGCTTCATCACGCACCTCTTCCGTACCATCCCGGAGCACCCCGTGCTTGTGCCTCTGCAGCCACATGTCAGCCAGGACATTATGCACCCGCGCTACCTCCGCCCCATGAGCCGGCGTGACATGGCCCGGACCCTCGCGGGTCTCCTCGACATGTTGGGCTGGGCGAAGTGGGCTGACAAGGAAGATGTAGTGGAGAAGGACGATATCCCAATGGGTGTGACCATGCTCAGTCACTCGAAGTGAGCAGCGTGCTTTTCGTGTCGACATGGGATGAGGCTAATGCCTGGCAGTGGCTCGTTTGCGCATGCGTGGATGCTGAAGCATTATCCTTCCATGGTCACTCGGTCGTGCTTTGTTGACCCCGTTGTGTTCTGCTCTTGGGAAGGCGGTAGGTGGCGCTCATCGCAATATGACGTTGCTGGGCTAACATCCCGGCCTCAGATCTCTGCTACAACTTTATTTACAGACGGTGTAGCACGGGCGTAGAGCTGATCATCAAGTTCTTCGTCGGCACGGAGCTTGGAGTGGCCAACTTCCTACAGCGCCACTTTGACTGGTACGCCAACTCGCTATGGTACGAGGAGATCCCCAACGCGCGGGATCCGTCCAAGACTATGTACTTCCTCGGCGGCAGGGATGATATTGTGAACGCCCATGTACGTGGTTTGTTGAACGGTATGATTTGGAAAATGACTGAAGTACGCTTCGCTCTGCAGCGCGTGAAGCGCTACCTCACGTCCCACGGCATCCGTAAAGGCCTGTGGTACGATCCCGAAGGCAGGCACGGCCAGGCCATGATGTTTGACGGTCAGGAAGCCATTTTCCGCTGGCTCTTGCAAACCGAGAACACATCGCCTTCGACAAATGAAACCGTACCCAGCTCGTGACGGACTGCAAAACGGAAGAATCAAAACCAAAGATGCACTGTACATTTGCCCATCCGCACTGACCCACATCTGCTTTTTGCTTGCCGCCGCGCGCGTTAGATTACTCGATACCTGCGTATATTAATGCTTCTGCCTGCTGTTGTTTGACTGGATGGTACCAGTATAGCGTCGTTGTAATCAGTAGCCATATGGGTCCGCAGAGACACCCCGATGGCACCGCTCCGCGGGTAGCTACAATTGTACCCCGGTGAGGCGATTCTGCAGCGTCGGCATGAGCCTGAGAGCGTTGTCGCTCGAGACTGCCTTGAGCAGGGCGGGCTCATCCTTGTAGAATTCGTCCAAGTTCGTCTGGTACCAAGCAGCCATATCTTTGCTTACGGCTGGAAATTTGGGGTATGAATGAATATGGAAGTAGATCCGGGTATGCCACGCCCATCTCACCTGGAAAGTCGGTGCCAAACAGGACACGGTCCGGCGCGAGCATACTTTTCGCAAGCCCAAGCGTGGTGTCGTGCGCAGCCAGCGCAGTGTCAACGTAGAAGGTCTTGAAGTCGTCCATGATCTCCTCGGGTGTGAGCGCGGAGCCCATGTGCCGCGAGAGCACGGCAGCACGGGGCGCGAGGATCAGCGTGCTGCCTCCGAGGTGAGAGAGGATGATCTTGACGTTGGGGAAGCGCCGCTTCTTGCCGGTCACGACGAGGTGCGCGGCGCCTTTATAGGTCTCGTTGGGAACCTGGCGGGCGCGAGGTCAGCCCTTGGTCGGGTTTTGGAGGGGCGCGTGCGGTTATCGTACCTCCGTGATTGGGATCCCGAGGTATTCATGCGGCCAGGGGGTTGACGAAGGCGTCTGCGTACCGTGCAGGTGTACACTTGCGCCGCGACTATCCAGCTCTTGCCAGACCGGGTCGAATGCGTCGTCACCCACGTACACTGCATCAAGCGTCAGAGCAGAAATAACCCAACCCAAGCGCGCCGCCTTACCCGCATCCTTGCCCTGCCCATACGACGATGCCAACCCAACCCCATCCGCGCCCAGCTCGTCCAAAGCATACGCAATCTCCGCCAGTACGCCCACCGTATCGTCTAGCACCGGCGTCGCCGCGAAGAAGCCAAACCTGCCGGGACGGTCCTTACATATATTGGCGAGCATCTCGTTGAGCCCCCTCGCTGCGCGGCGGTTCTCGGGACCGGCGGGGCCCTCAGGCATGCCCGTGGGCACGGAGAGGACGGCGAGGTCGATGTTGAGCGCGTCCATGGCGCGGAGGCTCACTTGGGGCGTCCAAGGGACATTCTCCGGGGGGACGCGGAAGCCCACGGAGGCGTCGAGATCTTCAGACTTGCGCGAGCCGGCGGGGAAGATGTGGTGGTGGACGTCGATGCGGAGAGGGCGAGCCTGCGTCGAGTAAGCGATTCAAGATCGCAAGTGGTTGAGAAGGAAGGGACAGACCATGTTGCTTCAAGTTCGCAGTCGAGTGCTCACTGCAGCTGCCATTCAGATGCTTTTATGGATTAGGTTGCCAGACGGGCACCATGCCGCAGCGGCAGCAATGACACCGCTGATTGAATTGTGAGGTCCTCTGAGAAGGAGGCTTAGCCGGACAGGCGTATTCCAGAATGGTCTCAAAGCGGACACGTAAGGATAAATGAGTAGTTTTTGGACAGCAGTCCAGTGACGGTCAATCCGAGAGCCACGCACATGTACTTCTGGATAGGTGATTTGCTCACTTAGTAGACTGCGATTGAACGATCAGCGTACGGAGGGACAGGCACTTCGGTATCGAGGAGTGGATGGCCCTGCGGCAACGGATTCTTGCAAATGCTACCTCGGACTCCGCAGGGAGTCAGGGACACACGTCCGCCGACGCAGAACAATCTACGGATTTTATTGATCTCAAATCCTGTCGTCGCCCACCATATCCGTTGATCAGAGTGCTCGTGCTTGGGAACGCAACGACGCAGCATGGCCTGCTGGGCCGAAGTAGGACTGTCCGATCTTGTGGGCGAGGCACAGACGACGGCGTAATGTATTTGTTAGAATGACTATATAATGATACTACTCGCCTTCTACAATCACCTCCGGAACGGCGCGCAATCCTCGGAATCATAGCTCACAAACTGCCCGCTCATTGACTTCGGTGCATTCAACGCGAGTGCCGCCATCACGTAGCCAGATACCTCGGGTTTGATGAGCTTCTGGTCGGTCTGCAAGCCCATGAAGTACTTGTGGACCTTCTCAGCCATATCAGTGACACCCAGCTCCCGAATCTGCGTTTGCATCTGCACCAGGTGGTGAGCACGAACTAAGGCATGTGTAGGGAATCGAAGTACTTGTGTGTCAACGGTACCAGGACGCAGGGCGACTGAGATCACGTCAGGCTCTTCCTCGCCCAAGGTCCTGAGAACAAGACGTGTTCACACCGTCTAGCTGGTAGATCGCGTGGAAGATATGACACACCTGCACATACTGTTCATGGCGGCCTTGCCTGCGTTGTAAGGACCCATGGTCGCAGTCCCTTTGGTCGCTGATCCAGAGCTAACAAAGACGATGCGACCACCGAGCTCGCTTTTACGCAGGTATGGCAGCGCCGCTTGTACGGCAGTGATCAAAGAGAAGAAGTTGACGTCGAAGTGCGACTTCCAGCCCTCCAGGGGAACCTCTTCGATCTTTCCCAGGGGAGTCAAGATGCCAGCATTGAGGATGAGTGCATCGAGGTGTCCGTATGTCTTCACCGCAGAGTCGACCGCGTGCGTGACGATGGCTTTATCGGTCCTGGATGTGATGTACTGAGAGGAACGCGGACCGAGAAGACCACAAGACTAACACGTCGCCCTTGGTGATCAGTAATGCCTCTGGGTGATATTGCTTGAGCTCAGTCAGCTCTACAGTTTCCGAGCGCGACAGTGCGACCACATTCGCATTGAATTCGGTGAGCAGGATTTTGGTGGCTGCGAGGCCGAGTCCTCTGCGACAACATCTCAGCCACGGTGCGCCGGAATGAGAGAGCAGATGACAAAGCACTTGGATGCGCCGGTGATAAGGACGACTGGCTTGAGCGACATAATGAGACGACAGAAGAGGAGACGGAGGCGTCTTCCGCAGAAATGAGACGAGGATGGGTTCGCACGCTGGGGTTGCGCGAGGCGGCCGTCCCGAGAGGTGCCGAGCCAGCACACACCGGCGTCCCTTTCCTCACAAATCCTTCCCAGTCCCGCTCTCGCCTCAGCCCCCTCCTCTCCTCCAAAAGTCATGTCGACGCGAGTTGCGCTCTCCCGCTTCGCCCCAGCCATCACCCGCACACACAGGGCACCCGCTTTCGCGGCGCGGAGAGCTCTCTTCGTCCGTGGCTACGCTTCGCAGAGCGAACATACGTCAGTTCATCTGGATTAGGCTACGTGTCTCGCGCGACTTATTTCTTTTTCCGTGCAGTTGACCGTGCGTGATGCCCTCAACGCCGCCCTGGAGGAGGAGATGTTGCGGGATGAGAAGGTGTTCATCATTGGTGAGGAGGTCGCCCGGTACAACGGTGCATACAAGGTGTGTCAATTGTTTATCCCGGTAGAATACGTGACACAGAAGACGTGCACATAGGTCACCAAAGGCCTGATGGACAAGTTTGGCGAGAAGCGTGTCGTTGACACACCCATTACTGAGATGGGTTTCGCTGGTCTCGCAACTGGTGCCGCATTTGCGGGCCTCCGGCCAGTGTGCGTAGAACGTTTGGTATCGCTCACTCACAGCATTGACACACAAACCTTTCTAGCTGCGAATTCATGACCTTCAACTTCGCTATGCAAGCCATTGACCAAATTGTCAACTCGGCCGCAAAAACATATTACATGTCTGGCGGTTTCCTCACCTGCCCGATCGTCTTCCGTGGTCCCAACGGTGCCGCCTCTGGCGTCGCGGCCCAGCACTCACAGGACTATGCCGCATGGTACGGTTCCATCCCCGGCCTGAAGGTCGTCAGCCCTTGGAGTGCCGAGGACTGCAAAGGTCTCCTCAAGGTTTGTTCCAGTCCCGATTAAGTTGCGAGCTACTTGTTCATCCCTTGATTCGGCCAGGCTGCCATCCGTGACCCCAACCCTGTTGTGTTCCTCGAGAACGAGATGTTGTACGGTGTCAGCTTCCCCATGTCGCAGGAGGCGATGTCCGACGAGTTCATCCTCCCCATCGGCAAGGCCAAGATCGAGCGTGAGGGCAGTGATGTCACAATTGTCGCACACAGCTTGATGGTTGCGCGGAGTCTGGAGGCGGCGGAGGAGCTTGCGAAGGAGGGCGTCAAGGCGGAGGTCATCAACCTTCGCAGCATCCGCCCGCTCGACATCGACACAATCAAGGCCTCCGTCAAGAAGACCAACCGGTATGTTCTGTCTCACCGCAGCACATGCAAGGGATGCTCATCGCAGTGCAGACTTGTCATCGTTGAGGGTGGCTTCCCAGCCTTCGGTGTCGGCAGCGAGATCTGTGCTCAGATCGTCGAGAGTGAGGCCTTCGACTACCTTGATGCACCGGTCGAGCGTGTCACTGGCGCTGACGTCCCTACACCCGTAAGCCCAGCCATTCGCATGCTCTTCTCGCACTTCTAACCTTTGGTCTGCCAGTACGCAATCAACCTCGAGGCTCGTGCCTTCCCTGACGCGCCGGTCATCACGAAAGTGGCCAAGCGGGCACTCTACAGGTCCAACTAGGACCTTCCTTCATTGCCGTGTTCTTCACGCAAGCTTGGGGGAGAGCCAACGAGGGCGCGGCTACATTCTTTCGCGGGGCTGCGCAGACGTGTTATAACTTAGGGATGCATCTTGCTATATAATTTACACGCTTTGCCGTCTAGAGCACTTATAGATTCCCTGCACCTCACAGAGCCCGCAGACGAACACGGACTGCGTTCGCATGCGCGTCCAAACCTTCGCAATCGGCCAGCGTTGCCACCACGGGACCAAGACCTCTGAGGCCATCTGCACTAACTTCTTGTGAGGTGATGTGCTTTTGGAAGGAGAGCGTATTGACCCCGCTGAATTGACGGGCGTAACCGTTCGTCGGCAACGTGTGGTTCGTGCCCGAGGCGTAGTCACCGCAACTGCGGCACTTATCAGTACGGACCTTTGTGGACGAGATGATGCGTCTTACCTCTCCGGTGAGTATGGTCCGACGAACACGCTCCCGGCGTTCTCAACCAGGGCCACGGCTGCGTTGGCTTCTTCCAGGTGGATGATGAGGTGCTCCGGTGCGTAATCGTTCGAGAACTTCAGTGCGTCCTCGACAGTCTTCACCTTCACGATGTTGCTCTTCGAGATCGACTCGCGGACGATGTCCACGCGCGGCAGTGCCTTCGCCTGCTTATCGAGCTCAGCCTCGATCGCAGCAAGCTCCGCGTCCGAGAGATCGACCGCAACGAGGACGACCTGCGAGTCCACGCCATGCTCCGCCTGTGACAGGAGGTCCGCGGCCACGAACGCAGGGTTGGACGTCCGATCGGCGATTACCTGTAATGAAATGAGATCTCACTCAGGATCGCTGTGCTAGCGCAAGCGAGATGGATTGGATACCCACGAGCACTTCCGACGGCCCCGCGGGCATGTCGATCGACACGAGTGCGTCGGTGTCGTTCTGGACGAGCAGCTTCGCCGCGGTCACCCACTGGTTGCCAGGGCCAAAGATCTTGTCGACTTTCGGGACGGTCTGCGTGCCGTACGCGAGTGCAGAGACCGCCTGCGCGCCGCCGGCCTTGAGGATGGCGGACGCGCCGACGAGCTTCGCAACGTACATGACCTCCGGCGAGATGCTCCCGTCCTGCCGGGGTGGCGTTGCGAGCACGATTTCTTTGCAGCCCGCGACTTGCGCAGGAATGCCGAGCATGAGGGCGGTGGAGGGGAGAATTGCTGTGCCTCCAGGGACGTACAGCCCGACGCGCGCGATCGCCTTCGCGAAGCGGGAGCAAACCACGCCGGGCATGGTCTCGACAACCATGGGCGCGTTCTCAGCCTGTGCCGCGTGGAACTTGTAGATGTTGGCATACGCGACGTCGATCGCCTTGCGCACCTCGTCGTCGATCTGCATCGTCTCCGCGGCGAACGGCGGGCGGATGACCGTCGACGAGAGCTGCACCTTGTCAAACTTGGCGGTGAGCTCGAACAGGGCGGCGTCGCCCCGTACTCGCACGTCGTCGACGATGGGCTTGACCTTTTGCAGCATTTCATCGTACTTGAGCACGGGTCGGCGGAGTAGCTGGGCCCTCTCCTGAGGTGAGGTCGCGGAGAGGTCGTATGTGTGCATGGCGATAGATGCATTAGGGACAACGGGGGTCTTCTGCTTTGCTGGTGCTGGTGCAGGTTTGCCATTTGGTATTGCACCAGCCTCTGCAGGCTTGGTCCACTGCGGCTTCGCATTGCCTGCGCGACGAGTGATCTTCTTCGCCTTCGTGTCTAATGACCGCTCGATGTCCGCGATGCTGACACCTGCAGCTACGCACCGGGTGAGGGCGAAGTAGATGAGGTCCGCCGCCTCGAAGGCAACTTCGTCCTTCGTCTTTGCCCGGCACAGCTCGTCCGCCTCCTCCATGATCTTCGCGCGGAGGAGCGCAGGATCATTGAAGAGTCTGCGCGTGTATGACCCCTCTGGTGCGGACTCGAGGCGGGACTGTAGTGTATTCTCAAGCGCTCGGAGACCCTTTGCCTCGCCCCCACCGAAGCACGATGGACGATTAAGGTGGCAGAACCCAGCACCGTGTTGGATAACGGAGAACTCAACAGCATCGGAGTCGCAGTCTAGGCGGATGCTGACGACTTCCTGTGTCGCGCCGGAGGTCTCGCCCTTGCGCCAGAGGCCGTGTTTGCGAGACTGGTACACACCCTTGCCGATTACGATGCTCTCCTTGATCGACTCTGCGGATGAATAGACTAGGCCTAGCGACCGCCCGCCCTCGTTGTGAGCGGCTACTACCGTCGGGAAGAGACCATCTGGCCGGTCAGACGTGAGAGGGGACAGGAATGCATCAGCGACATTGATCTGGCGCTCGGTCGAGGCTGTGAGCGTGAGGAGGGAAGTGGGTAGCACTAGGATAGCCCCTGCAGCGAGAAGCCCCCGGATTGTAGACTGCGAAGGGGGAGAGGCCGTGTCCGCGGGAAGGACATGAATGGAGGAACCTGTGAAGAAACGGGAGACGGACGAGACGAGTTCGACGTCCACGGCTGGAGTCTTGATGAGCACGCCTGAGATACCGTTGCGCACCGTGTCAGACACCGCGCTGACGTTGGCGACATCGAGGAGAAGGATGAGGCGGTCGGCAGGAAGGACGCCGATGGCTTGCTTTGCGTGAGCAAGGGGCAAGATGATTTTGTCTACGCCCTGATCGAGTAGAGCAGTCGCCTCGTCTAGACTGCCGTTCTCGAAGAGGACATAGCGCGAGGCGTGCTCAGGGAGTACGTGCGCATTAACATGCGCTGCCTGGAGGACGAGGGGGCCAATGCGAGCGAGAGCTTGTACGAGAGCAGGGTCTGGCGTGCCGCCGAGGAGAGGGAGGAAGACAGACATCGCGCGAAGAATGACTCGCCACAAATCCTGCGATCGCACTAAATGGCCCGCACGTGGTCGCGCTCTGTCGCGTTCCAACTTCCGCGCCGTCAAAACGCTGCCACCGGTTACATGCAAATGCTGCACAGAGACTTCTACGGCTCTGTAGTGTAGCGGTTATCACGGCGGATTCTGACGACGGGATATTCGTCGCGCCATAATTCCGTCAACTCAGGTTCGATTCCTGACAGGGCCTGTTATGGTTTTGCTTTTGTAGTTGGGTATCTTCGTGTCGAAAGTGAGAGGACCGCGTCTCGTTTGGAGGCAGAGGGAGAACGAGTCGGAACGAAGGTTGGGCCACAGGTGTGGCGTGGTAAGCGCCCATTTACGAGATCTTTGGCGCTCGGGACCAAACCGCTTTCTTCGACTGCCACGACGCGGCACCTGCCGCCGTTGTCTATCTTGCCTCATGGACAGAATCGCGACCACAGTGGGACACGGTGGACAAAGCACACGCACAATGTCGGCCGCGCAGGGACTGGCCGCGAGGAGTTGCTTTGACGCAGTGGCCCAGGAAGGCCCGAGCTTCGCGGTGGCAGACGCGTGATCGAAGTCGGCGATCGCTGCTGAGAGGCACAAAGCACACAATTAGTGCATCCTTATGTCCACCGCCGCTCACGATTCCTATAAAGACCTCCCCGTCGCGACGTTCTCCTTCATACTTCTCGCTCTCATTTTCCTGCGCCACTCTCGTCGGCGCGTCACATTATCCCACCCGCCCAGTCTCCAGACTCATCTGCAATGCCTCCTCGCGGTGCTCCCGGACGTGGTCGCGGCGTACCCATCAGCTTTGCCCCTCGTGGCGGCGGCCCTGCTCGCGGTGGTGGCCCCAATCTCGTCGGACGCGGCGCCGGTGCCGGCGCGCCCGCCGCCGGGTTGCCCTCGCGCGACGCTCACATTACCACCGTCGGTGTGAGGCGCAGCGCGTTCGGCACCGCAGGCAGGGTCATCCCCATCACCACCAACCACTTTTTGGTCAAGATCCCCGAGGCCATCATCCACCACTACGATGGTATGTTGCCAGAGAGAAAATCACAATGCGCGCACTGACCGTGCGTTGCACCGACAGTGGTCATCCGCCCGGACGAGAAGACACTCCCGGCGCGTCTCAACATGGAGATCATTGACCGCCTTCAAAAGGCCATCGCCCCCCAGGTCTTCACCCCCGCGCGGTGTACGACGGTCGTAAGAACTTGTTCGCCGCGCGAGAGCTCCCGTTTGGGGACACCCGCAGCCAGGAGGTACGTCTACCGCCTTGACCGTGCATCTCCGTCGACTAACTTGTTCCGCAGTTCGACGTCACGCTCGAAGACCCCGGAGCCCCACCACTGCCCGTGGCCCAAAGGTTTACAAGGTCAAACTGACCCATGTGGCGGAAATCAATCCCGAGTACGTTTGTCCCTTTAGCCTTGAGGTCTCTGTTGAATGTGGCGCGTAGGGTCCTCGCGCGTTTCCTGCAGGGCAAGCAATCTCATGATAATACCGTGCTCACCGCCATCACGGTAAGTGCCTTGCCTCACGCGACGCCCCCTTTGTTGACCACAGGTGCAGGCCCTCAACGTCGTCATTCGCATGGATCCTTCCCTCAAATACCCCTTCAACGTGCGCTCTTCTTCACCAACCGCGAGACGAAGGACATTGGCGGCGGCATCGTCCTCTGGCGTGGCTACTTCCAATCCGTGCGCCCAGCTATCGGCAAGATGCTCATCAACGTGGACATCAGCACGGGAACCATGTACAAGGAGGGCTCGTTGTTCAACCTTTGCCTGGAATTTTTTGGAACCAGGGATCCCACCTTTGTGTTCCCGATCAAGCGCCTGACCGAACGTGAGCGCATCCGTCTGCAGCGCTTCCTCAGCGGCGTGCGTGTCGTCACGGTGACACCGGGCGGGCAGCAGTCGGCGCGGACGCCGCGAGTCATCAAAAAGCTCTCCGACGCTGGAGCGAACGCCCTCGGCTTCACCACGCGCGAGGGCAAGGCCATCACCGTCGCGCAGTATTTCCGCCAGACGTACAACCATCAGTTGAAGTACCCCGAGGCCGTCTGTGCGGAGGTCGGCAATGGCGCACTCATTCCGATTGAGATGCTCTATGTGCCCCCGGGCCAGATCATGAAGAAGCCGTGCCGCCTGAGAAGACCAAGGACGTACTCGAGTTCGCGACGAAGAAGCCGCAGGATCGTCTGCAGAGCATCGCGAATGGACTAGGAGTAAGGGAATTGATTGGTTCATTTATCATGGGACGCTGACAGTATGGCCAGGTGTTGCAATACGGCCAATCGGAATATGTTCGGGTGCGCATGCCTTTGATGATAGTAACTTCCGTCGCTCACCGTGGTCATATGCGCAGCAATTTGGCCTGGAAGTCCAGCCGAATGCGAAGCCGATGTCGTTGTCAGCGCGCGTGCTCATCCCTCCTACTCTGAAGTACGGCGTTGGATCGAAGCAGGCGACGATTGTGGGTGTTTCCATAGACTTTTTCCTCGCACCCCCAGCCCTAACCCTCATCTAGGTTCCCCGCGACGGCTCATGGAACATGTACACTCATCCTCTCAATCCAACTCCCAGCTGCTTACTCACGGATGCTACAGGGTCGATAAAAAGTTCTTCCTGCCATGCGTGATCAACCGGTGGATCGTGGTCGTCTTCGAGCGGAAGGCGCGCTTCGAGGAGGATCTCCTGCAAGGGATGGTCAGGAACCTTGTCAGCGCCTGCAAAGCCGTTGGTACGTGATCCGTCCACTGCCCGCTGCGCATTTTCTGATGTTAGACACACCGTCGTCAGGCATCACTGTGAACGACGAGAGACCGATCTACGAGTGGGTAAATCCTCAGGGCTCTGTCCACACGGTGAGTCCGTGCGACACATACGGGTCCTTGATGTGCTGACGGCAGCCCTGGTGATAGCAATTGTCGCGTATAGGAAGCCTCTGCAAAGATAGGTACAAGGTCATGCCCAACCTCATCGTCTGCGTGCTGCCCGAGGGGGCAACGGATCTGTACACCGCCATCAAACAGTGAGCGCGTGGTTCTATTCGTCGGTGTATGGAACGCTAATATTCTATCGGCTAAATAGCTTCGGGGACATTCAGGTACGTTTCATACACACACATGTACGCGAGCAGCGACCAATGTTGCCTGCAGGTTGGGGTCGCCACACAGTGCATGAAGGCCGACAAGTGCAAGAGGGCGAAGGAGCAGTACTTCGCGAACGTCTGTCTCAAGTCAGTTCGCGTACTCCCTATTCACGTCAGTAGCATTTCTCACACTGCTACAGGATTAACGTCAAGTTGGGAGGCATCAACACCATCCCTGAGCCTCGTTCGGTTTCGGCTCTGACTGACCCCCACAACCCCACCATCGTTATGGGGTACGTGCTTCCGTCTTTTCGGCTATGCGCTTGCTGACCACCTGAGCAGCGCAGACGTCATTCACCCTGCCCCCGGAGCCGAGGGTCGGCCGTCCTTCACGGCGTTGGTCGCGAACGTGGACTCCGACACCGCCAAGTACGTGGCCGACTGTCGCGTGCAGACGTCGCGTCAGGAGCTCATCGAGGACCTGGAGGAGATGAGTAAGGTGCGCTCGATTAGTCTGGTTGCTGTGCGTGTGTGCGGGCGAGCTGATGCGCGTGTAGAATATGCTCGAGTCGTACATGGGGTACCGCAAAACAGGGAGAAGAAGGCCAACCCAGCCCCCACGCGCATCATCTTCTACCGGGGTATGGTATTTCCTCGCGATGCACCCTCTCCCTCGCTAACGACTTGCTAGACGGTGTCTCTGAGGGACAATTCAAGCAGGTGCTCGAGCAAGGTGAGTTCAGCAGGCAGTCAACATGCAGCCATGGAACTGAATGTCGGTCGCTTGAAGAATTGCCGCTCATCAAGAGTAAGTCCGTCGTCTGGCCATTCGCAGCCTCGTGCTAATCTCCGCCACAGAGGCCTGCGCCAGACTCAACATCAACCCCAAGATTACCATGATCGTGGTTGGAAAGCGCCACCACGTCAGGTTCTTCCCTCAGAGCGAGAGGGACAGGGACAGGAGCGGCAATTGCCCCGCCGGCACCGTCGTCGACCAGGAAGTCACGCACCCGCTCGAGCTCGATTGGTACTTGCAGAGCCATGCTGGATAAGTCACGTTCTGCCCTGAGTCCTGCTACGGTACTAACATCAGCTTTTCGGTTTATCTACACTGCTGGGCACGTCGAGGCCCGCGCACTACAGCGTCCTGCACGATGAGAACGGTTTTACGTACGTCCAATCGTTGTTGTAATCGCGTGCCCGCGTCTTATCATCGCATCGCTTCTAGACCCGACAGCTTGCAGGCACTCTCGTTTGCCCTTTGTCACGTCTACGCGCGCTCGACACGATCCGTCTCGATCCCTGCGCCGGTGTATTGTGAGTACCCTGTTTTATGCGACGCGTCTGTAGCTCATGCCCGATATGTGCGTGCAGATGCGGACATCGTCTGCTCCCGCGCGAAGAACCACTACAACCCGGAGGAGGCCATGCGCTTGGACGATAGCTCTGGTATGCCGCAGGACAGGGCCTCTGCCATCGCGAGCCTCTCTATGTTCAAGGACGCATTCAAGCCTCTGCACAAGAACATGTCCTACCTCATGTATTTCTCTTAAGCTGCCATGTTTGCAAAGTCTCTGAAGTGTAGCGCTTAATTCTCCCCGTCGCTCACTGTCTCGCTCTGGATCCCGCACTGTTGTACTGTTGCCTGTCATGTATCACTTCGCCGCTCCTTACGCTGTAATCTTACCCCACGAACGGTCTGGAATGTTTATTATCCATTGTTGACTCCTCGGAAGTATCCGCGCGCAGGACGTTGTCGTGTTTAGGTCAAGGTTGGTATAGTATCCGGCTTCGCTGATTGGCGGTGCGAAGAAGGCGCAACGCGAGCTGGCTGTTTTCCACGTGATCGCGTTTTCCGAGCAATATCGGGGTGGCGGGCGCCTGGCATGTTCGCGCAGACTTGGCCGCACTGGCTGGAAGGTAAGCGAGGGGGGAGAGGAATGCTCGTGTCCGCCGTGTGTGCTTGGTCGCAGATCCTCGTGCGTCTAACACTCATGGTCCAGACTGTTGCGTTCCCAGATAGTCCTTGCAAGGAAATGAGGATGACTTCGACAAGCCAAAACCTTGCCGTGGCTAGATCTAGCTCTGCCTCTCAGCTGAGTCGCATCTCCTGCACGCGTCTGACATCAGCTTCTCTGTTGCCCAGTGGTCCTAGGGCTGTACCCTCTTCTCTCCCCGGGATCAAGGCGTGCACTCCGCGCGGACAAAAGGCGCTCTTGCCGCGGTGCGCTCGCCTGAGAGGCTGGCGTCGCCCTTCCCCGATACAAGCCTGGCAGGTGAACCGACGAGTGCGTGTCATTTCCGAGGCAGGAACCGTGCTTCTTCTCTTGTCTGTGGTCCTTTTGCGCTGCTCCCTGCGCTGCCTCTCTATCTAGGAACAGCATGCACTCCGGTCTGTGCGGATATAAGAACCACAGACGCTTTGGCACCTCTGACGACTGTGCCTCGGCCCCTCTGCGCTTGGTGGCGTTACTTACTGTCTTTGGAGCCGTACGGCGTATATAACCCCATCCTGACGTCTGTGGACACCCGACGCAACCGTTGTCCTCACCACCAGCCCAACAGCCGCCATTCACGATGCCGCCACACAGGAATATGGGCTGGAGGAAACCCGTCCCCAAGTTCATCCCTGAGACTGTTCCTCTCTCTCGGTTCAGTTCCACGTCATTCAAAAGGATGTCCTTCTCCCAGCTCAATAAGGACATGCCGCCGGTGAGTAAATCGCTTCCTCGCAGTCGCCTTCACAATGCTCATTATGAACGGTTGAATGGGAAATTAGTTACCGGATAATGGGCTGCTCAAGCTGGGAAGCTCTCTGAGCAAAGCAAAGCGTCAAGGTTTCGTCCTCAACGACCAGATCGACCCACGGTGGTACGAGCAGTATCGATCACACCCAGTGTCATTCCCTACTGTAGAGGAGCAACCTTCCAGGTAGATCATACATGCCCCGTGCTTGTCGAATACAGCGCTCATACAGTTCCATGGATCAGCATGACCTCTGTTCCCTCCTCTCAACGTCTAGCACGCAAGAACGGAGCGAGACAACACACAGCACGCCTCGAGTTGTGCGACACAAGCGTTCCGAGTTGCCTCAAGTATGCCAGCAGCTTCCTGTCCCGTCGCCATGTTCCGTTGACCACATCGCCGATCAGCACTATCGACCACCGACTCCGCCCTTGAGACGGGAGCACCCCGAGCGCCGGCCACGTTCCGGCTACAGGGTAGCACAGCAAGCAGAGCAACGGGTAGGTACTGACGCCCTCTGCTTGCCGTCATGGTCTCACTTTCCGCCAGCTACCACACGACAGCCACGACGAGCCCACGGCAAAAATAGAGACCTTCATACAGTCGTCCGCATTCCCTACCCCTATGATTCAGGTTCTCCCCCCAATGCGCACGCCCAAACCGTTTCGAAATGCACACACCCATTCCCGTCCGGCTGGAGCTTCGAGAGCTAGCAGCCTTCACTCAAGATCCATGTCCTCGACGTCCTCGGCGCTGCGCGCCAAACGGCATGGCGGCCAAGGCATCGTTACTATCTGGGCAGACGTGAAAACCCTGGGGATCCAGTTCCGTCTTAGGTTTCACCACCTCTTCCGCTGAGCGGAACTATCGACTCTCTACTCGTTGTAGCACTATGGCGACACACTATCTTTATTTACTCGGACCTTCATGCCACTCTGACATTTGTACCTATACCATTACCACATCACTGCATTCTGTGTATGCTATATCGAAGGCTAAGCATTGTAGGTCATTGTATGTACTCCTACGAGATGAATATGAGCCAGTATTTCGCCAGCGTACTCCGGTGTATGTGAGTGCCGTGGGCGGGGCGGTAAGCCAATCAGCGACAAGCTATCACCACACAGACTACTACGTTCGGCGCGTCCGCGCCTGGCTGCTCCGACCCGCTGTCGACCCGCCGCGACGACCCACTACCACAATTCTCCTCCTTCCTCGAGGCATGTCTTTCCGCTAGTGCGTTTCCCAATCTGCCCACCTACTCCTACCACGTTGGCCCCCACAGCTGGTCTCCGTCACATCTTCGCGCCAAATTGGCAGCTCCGCTCTATTCTCTGCACACTGATACGCTCGTATGGCGGGCGAGAACCGCGGCCCATCTAACCGGGCACTGTACGAAGCCTGCCTCGCCGGCGCACAGGACCACCCCTACATCCCTCGGCTACGCTCTGACCCACCACCCTACCAGTTCATCCCCCATAGTCTCCAGGAGTTTCGCGCGCAGGAAGGCCCGGATGAGCGGGACAAGCGGCTTCGCGACCTGTGGTCGCGCCTACCACAACGCGACGGCACCCATCATGAGGACGAAGACTCCGCACAGCTGGGTGCGGGAGTAGATGGGACCACAGCGCTGTCCGACGGCGCACTTACAACGGAGATGGCGAAGCGCTTGCAGGGGATGTACGAGGCGGAGTTGCGCTCGCAGTGTGGGGCGCATACGAGTGGGTTTCTGCATCGCGGCGTGTCGTGGTCAGAATTCAGGAAGTACGCGGATTCAAAGGAAACGGGTGTGTGGGGCTCGTCGACTGCGTGTATGCGAGGGCTCATGTCTCGTAGAGCTCTGGCGTATCTTCCACGATGAACTGGACCTGGACGGCAATGGTCGCCTTGATTCCGAAGAACTCATGGAGGCCTTGCAGAGAGCAGGTGTGTGCTCATTTATTCGCCCTATTCTTACGCTAAGCCAGGGTCGATACGCAGGCATTGTACTGTCCTCATCAACGCTGGCAGAGCTGATGACATTCATGACGTCCTCCGCGCACTCCCATGCTATCACTTTTCCGGAGTTCCGAGATTTCCTCCTGCTGATGCCCCGAAAAGCGTCGCCAAAGGAAATATTCCGGTACTACGAGATGCGAAAAGTCACAAGCGACGAGGCTAGAGGGGCTGCCCGCGTCAATATGGAAGGTGAGCGGTGTCTGCCCCAGCGATCCAATACTCTTGACTGAGGTAGGGGCGCAAGGTGACGTTACTCTCAGCGCCGAAGATATGTCCGTCAGCAGAGCGCCGGTTGTACAACAACACCAAGCCAACCCAACAACCGCAGATACCCCATAGATCATACCGTAGACTCCTACGAAGGAGACGAGGAGGGTGAGGAGGAAGAGTTCGACGAGGTGGACCATCATAGCTGGTTCGAAGGGTCGACCGCCGCAAAATTCCTTCTAGCAGGCGGCGTCGCCGGTGCCGGTGAGTATCGACAATCCATTCGCTATCTATAGAATCCTCAAACCCTCGACAGTGTCGCGGACATGCACCGCGCCATTCGATCGACTGAAGATCTTCCTCATCACGCGGCCACCAGACCTCGGCGGTATCTCCTTGAGCTCGAAGGCACCCGTCCGGGGCGTCCGGGCGATCGGCAGCGCTGTGGCGCGAATATATTCCGAGGGCGGCGTGCTCGCGTTTTGGACAGGAAACGGGCTCTCTGTCGCGAAGATCTTGCCAGAGTCGGCCATCAAGTTCCTGGCGTATGAGTCCTCCGTTCGTCCTTGCTTCCTTGTCCTGCTTCAACGACTGACAGATCCAGTCTTGTAGAAACGAATGTTCGCGCAGTACCGCGATCACGTTGACGACCCTAGAGACATTAGTGGTGTTAGCCGATTCCTGTCTGGAGGGATAGGTGGAATCACCAGTCAACTGAGTGCGTACATATGTAGTTTGGTTGTGTACCGTCATTGATCGACATGTCGACCCTACAGCCATCTATCCGATAGAAACCCTCAAGGTAGGTTACGGAGTCGGCATAACAGCAACAGCTGTGCTGAAATCAAATGGTAGACCCAAATGATGAGCAGTACAGGAGAGACCAGGCGAACACTTGTTAGTGCTGCCAGAACAGTGTGGCAAATGGGCCGCTTTCGAGCATTCTATCGTGGGTTGACGGTAAGTACGTCGCTTCTGTTTGGTATGAAATCGTGCTGACTATCATCACAGATAGGGCTGGTCGGAGTTTTCCCGTGAGTTTGCTGGGTTTGCGAAAGTAACAAAGCTCATGATAGCACAGCTATTCTGCCATCGACATGAGCACGTTTGAGGCGCTCAAGCTAGCATACATCCGGTCAACGGGGAAGGAGGAGCCAGGAGTCCTTGCGCTGCTCTCGTTCGGCAGTGTGTCCGGTAGTATTGGAGCCACGAGCGTGTACCCGTTGAACCTCGTCCGGACGCGATTACAAGCGTCGGGGTCGTCAGGCCATCCTCAAAGGTATAATGGCATCATGGACGTCGTTCGAGCTACGTATGCGCGGGATGGCTGGCGTGGGTTCTATCGCGGGCTATTACCAACCTTGGCGAAGGTACGAGACATACTGCCTCCGCTATGCGCACCACGACACTCATGCCGTTTGCTTCAGGTGGTTCCAGCAGTATCAATATCTTACGTCGTGTATGAATCTAGCAAGCGCAAGTGAGTCCCACTGCATCTCTCTGCTTGCCTAGTCTCTGACAAGACCCGTTGCCAGACTTGGCGTATAATCGTCGACTACCTTACGCGTCACTCCTTCTCGGGACAGTCTATCGTTCTCATCGTTCTCGCATTGCTGCACTGTATCTACTATCGCACGTAAGTCCAGGATGTGGGTGGATAACATTCCGCATAGTTCGCTCATATCACCATAGTCAATAATTATTGCTAGAGCTGAATTGATCGAAATATGATTCCTGTGGGCCTTCATGAGTCTTTTGAATGATAGACAGGGTGAGGGTGCTTGCCGAGGCCACTGAGGCCTGTAGCATGACATCGTAGCTTGCTTTGGCTTGCATGAGCCGCCGCCGCCGGAATCACTCTCAAGCTAGGCATATGCTTAGCTAATCGACGCTGGTGCAGACGTCATCATCGTATGTACGCTTTCTTCAAGCAAGCCTTCGTACAGCTTTGAACATCTGCCACCATGGATTATCGTCCGCGATACTCTCAGCCCTTCACGTTGCAAGAGGCCGTGGGGTTGGATGTTTCCGTGATAACGGAAGGTTGAGCTGCAGTCTTTCCGAGGCCTGGACATACGAAATAATGATGTTCATTCCAGAAATAGCTCGTCTCCAGCACTCCTTACAGCACCTAAGAAGGACGCAAACCGAGCTGAAAGTGGTCTCCGATGAAGCTCCCGATCCTGAGTTCACCAAAGCGATTGAGGAAAATGACCTAGTCATGTCAGTCTGGTGTCCTTGGTGTGCAAGCACCCGCTGACGTATGCACAGCGGCTCGCAGGAAGAGAGAGTCAGCATTCTCAAGATGGCGTTGACCGAGAAGGGTGTCCTCATGGGTAGTCATTACGATGACATTCCTCCCCATACGGCTGGTAACGACGACGCGGCCCAGCAGGCGTGGGGGCAGCCGTCGACCTCGCCGACACCAACGGCGGTCACAGGTAACCAGTCCGCTGAGGCAGCGGAAGGCGGTGTTTTCTTGTGATGCAACCGAAACAATCAGAACATCGACTTATGTATATAGCGGATACGATTCGTTGTGACTGAATCATGGGAAGAATGCATTGTATGATACAGAAGAGATGACAGTGGAGTTTCGGTAGCTACTGCGCGGAGAACATGTATCATATTATGGTTTGTCTTTTCCCCGAGGCCGTGCGAGAGTACAGAAGTGTTGCACAAGAACTACCAGGGCAAGTGCCAAGTCGAGGATGGAGTCTCCTCCAGAGATGAGTTGCCTGAGCCAGACCTAAGAGCAACTAGAACCACAGTATAGCCAGCCGGAGTAGCCAGAGGATCGATAGCTGTTCAACGCCGCTTACGCGATTTAGCCTTCGAAGTAGAGGTCGGGATCGGGAGCTGGACATTGTTAACGCGAACAAGTAGGTGGGTGGCCTCCTGTTCCACGTACCTTGTTAGTGGATGCTCCGCTTGCCCGTTCGTCGGCAATACGTGCGGATGTCCTCTGTCAACAATGAGCCATCGTTTCGATGTCATGGCAAGTCAGAAACGGACCAAACGTTTCAGTGGTGGCTTCGACACGGTCACACTCTCGGCGGATCTGCGTGGCGACTCGATCGTGTCTCTCTTCCGCAAGACTGTAGCAAGTGGTACATCGAACTCGGCGATCTCGTCAGACGAGGCCATGGCAAGTCTACCGAAGGCGGGCTTTGCAGGAGCTGAATGACCTATGGGATCGAGCGCAGGGATGCGGTTGGCAGCTGGCGTCTTCGGTGCCTTAGTCGCGCTTTTCCCTTGTTCATTGATATCTTTGACTTGCACTGGTGTCACTTGCAATGGTCCTGTAGACACAGCAAGTATAGGTCGTATGGGGACGCGAGATGGTGCTGGTGTCGACTTCGCGGTGACCGGGTTATCCACGTTTGTCGACTCCTTCTGTGTTCATCACGATCCAATGACACGTCCAGATATAGAACTTACTGGAATGTCTCTATCCGGTGCTTGAGAACCAGAGTTAGGTGGGGAGCTACTGGGATCGGACGATGTCCACGCTGCGGGATTGATCATCGACCTGTTCTCTGTTGCTGGCGGCGCCATCTTCGCTTGCGCCTACAAGGAATCCAGACTCGCCACAGTACTTGTCAAAGATGACTTACTTGGGCCTTGAGGAGCTTAGCCACGCTAGACTCGAGGAGATGCACTTTGGCGCGCAACTCCTTGATAGTGTTGTCGCGCTGACCGAAATGAGTTCTCATCCACTCTTTTTGCGTGAGATGTAGCGCTCAAACTCACGCGGCGTAGGTCATTACCCTTTGCAATGAGTTCCTGTTCATGAATGGCCTGGGACGTTTGCACGAGGGTGTTGATGAACGTCTGCTCCTCCTCGTTCTACCAGTAGTCAGTGGATAACAATAATTGAACACATGAAAGCAAAACGTACCAGATCTCCTCGTTTGTAGCGTATGTCAATTGTCTTAGCCCGTTCAAGGTGTTTATGCCGCTCTGCTTCTAGGTTCTGGATGTGGAGCTTTAGGGCAGTCACCTCCATCGTAAGAGTTGGATCAGGGAGCAATGCCTCGTTCAGTCTTTCGCGAATACTCTGAGCCTCTGTGGTGGTGAGGTCCAGTTTCTCTTGAAGCGATTGTACCATAACACGAGACGCCGCGAGGTCGTACTCTGCGCGGCTAGCTCGTTTCTCTTCAGCGTCCTCGCGAGAACGATGTAGCTCTTCTTGCTTCTTGAGTCTCTCTTCGTAATCCTTCGCCATCACTGATAACTCTCCTTCTTGACCTTTGATCTTGAGGTCTAACTGGCTGGCGATGTTCTGCAATTGGGCATTCTGCTCCTTCAGCAGTGCAATCTCGCATTTTAGATCCCCAGTTGCAGATTCAAAGGCTCGCTGCCCGCCCAATGAGAAGTTAGTGGCGACAAAGGATGATACTAGACATACCGCATGAGTAGCTTCGCTAGTGATCAAGCGTTCCTGCATTCGCTCTGAGGACAGAATGTGGAGCTTCGCGGGTCTCTACTGACCTGCAAGTCCCCATTATGTTCCCGGGTAACTGTGAGGGTTATCGACTGCTCTTCGAAACGTTCTTCGAGGATCTATGCGGGGTTAGCCAGCTCAGCAGTAACAATCGCGAGAGAAAGGATCACCTGGCAACGGGTGTTCGCATCATGCAGTCTGAGACAAAAATGATTATGAAACCAGCTGCATGTAATGGTTCGTACATACTTCTCATTGCGGAGGTCTGATTCCTTCTTGACGGCGTCGAGTGCCTCTTCAACAGTAGCAGACCTCTGAAGCGTTTGCTGGAGCTCCAAATTGCGGCATTCGGCCTCTTTGACTGCTGCGGTCTCACGCGCCTTGTACTCTCGCAGCTCGCCTGTAAGTTCTCTGATCTTCTCATTGTCGTTGGCCATGCGTGACTCGAGGTCCACAAGTCTAAAGCATAACTCATCAGACAACCACTTATACTCCAACATCCGGGCCCACCTGGACCTCAGTTCCTCTGCAAGTTCCCCCCTTGACTTGAGAGATACCTCGAGTGTATTGATACATAGGTCCTTCTCGGAGATGAGCTTGCGAATGCCGTCCACTCTGAGGATAATGCTCGATGTCGCTCTTCACGAAAGGAAGGTTGGAACGCTACGTACTCTTCGGCGATTCGCTCTAGCGATTCGATCTTAGCTTCCATTTCCGAGATTTGGTGTACAAGACTATCATTGCTGCATTCAAGAACAGTCAGCAACTGAAATGAGCGCGCGGTGGATTCACTCACTGATGCTTGACCATACGCAACTCCCCTAATTCGGAGTCCTTTGCTTCAAGCACTACAGTCAATTCACTAATGCTGAAAGCACACCCTCCGACGTAAGCAAAGGAAATCATGTCTGCACGAACATACCGTTCATTGGAGGCACACAGCTTTGCATCCGCCTCGGCAGCAATCGACAGAATATCATACAGCTCCTGCTGTTGCTTCTTCATCGCCTCCGCTAGATCGGTCAGTTGTTCGCCTGAGCGAGCGGCGTTCAATGGAGACACGCAAACAACATGATGAATGACATGCCTGCATTGCTCAGACTCCTCGAGGATTCTTGTAGCGCAGCACGGTCCATAACTTGTGCGTTCTCCAGTCCCGTTACACGGTTCCTCGCGTCCACGAGTTCCGCGCCTACACAGGACAGCTTGTCACGCAGCATATCCGTAACCTCTTGAGCTGAGTCATCAAAAGCGAAGCTATTAGAGAAACCGTCGACATGTATTCATTCTTCACTCACACTTTTGACATTCGAGCTGTAGCGTGTCCACGAGTTGGCGAGTTTCGGAACTCTTGACAGGGATTCCATCCTCATCTAGGAACGGCTCGATACCTACAACCTGTCAGATCGACGAAACATAACACAGCCATAGATCTACTTCTCATGGCCTCGGATACAGTTTCACGCATCTCTTGGATATCTGGCAGTGTGCTCTGTGCTTTCGCTACCACCTCGAATGATGACTGTGACCTAATCTTCAGTTCGTTCATGACATCCTCTAGATTGCTCAGGCTACGCATATATGTGAACAAATTACAGCCTAGGGTGACTGTCGACGTACCTCTTGGAACTTTTCTCAAGGCTCTGCTTTGCGGCGTCTTTGACCGACTGTAGACGCTTGAGTGCCTCTTCTTTCTCTCCCTTCACATTATCGAGCTGCGACTGGAGGAAAGCTATCTCCCGGCGCTGGACGGCGAAATGACCACCAGGTACAGAAAGTTGTTGTAGACTTCTCGCTTACCTGTTCTTCAATCGCGTACTTCGCATTCCTCAGATCAGTTGCTCCACGCATCATGATTGACGATATATCTTCATCTTGCCTCCCGACCATAGAACTGACCACGGACGCACTCCGAGAGTAGCCTGGTGTCATGTAGTCCGCGCGAGGTCCCATCTGACTGGGGTTCGCCGCAGCGGTACTGTTATCAACCGATTGGAATTCGCTGGCTTGTAGAGACGTTGCGGCGTGGAACATTGGAGGAGATACTTGCTGGGGAGCCTCTGACCATCCGCATACGCATGTTATCCCTGTGTTGCACTCCTTGAAATCATTACCACTCACCGACATCATTCGCATCGAGCCGCTGATGCAGACTCCTGCCCGTTCTTTTCAGAGTCATAGAGCGAGGCGTCGACGTTGTAGCTGTGCTGCGAAAGAGATTGCTCAGCGCAGGTGGAGACCGGGGACGCTCAGTATCGGTGAATGCGCTGTTCGAGAATAGCTTGTCCCCTCCGTCGTGACGATGCCATGCTGGAGGTCTACATGCGCGCTCTTTCTAGGCAGATTGATTGTGCTCATCAACGGCTTGTCCGGTCGAGTAGACGTGGGTTTGGGACCGAAGATGAGACGGCTCCTCTGTGAGTCTGCGTTTCGAGCTTTCTGGACTGGATCAAGTGACTGCTTTCGCCTGAGGCCCCCTTCATCATCGAGCTGGTCAAAGACATTGAATCTCTGACTGACATATGTAGATAGATGGTACACATACTGCGAGGGAGAACCCTTGTGGTCTGAACTTCGGCTGGTCCGGGGAAACAGGCGACGGAAGGAACGCGGAGTCCTGACCGAAATCCTCCGCCATAGTGAGTATATGCGCGAAATACTGGACACGAGCAAGATGGAGGTGCAGGATCCCAAGAACCAAGAAGGGACTGGGAAGGTTGAGAGTCCTACTAAGTACCAAGAACAGCTGGTATGATACGGTCGAGGACAGAGTGCCCGCGGGCGTCCCGGGGACGCGTCGATGACGCGCTCACGTGCCCTTCATATCATATTCAAGTTCTGTCGTCTCGCGGCTCTCGCCCCGTCTTATTCATATTCAGGGCGTTGAGGTACAAATGCAACTTTGGCCGTATGAATCATAAGTGTAAATCTCCAGACCGAGATGATTGCGAGGGATGAAAGCATCAGCAACCGGCCAGAACACCTCCTTTGACGTTAGGTGGGCGCTATGCAAGTGCCGATTGACCCGCCGGTAAAGCATCCTTTTCATTATTGTCAAGTACTAGCAAAGGAAAGTTGATCTTCCTTTGCTTTCGTTACATACCCCAACGAGCTGCAGAGACTGACCTGCCCAGTGCGGCACGAATACAGGACCTGCCATAGTGGGACACCGTAACCAATGTCGTCAGATCTCGCCCGATTGGAACCGGCCTCGGCGCGCTCGCGGCCTCGTGGCAACCTCCTTCAACGCAGCCACCGAGCTTCATCTCTAGACTCTGGCCCGCGACGGCGTCGGCCTTGTATCTCATCTGCTCTGACGATTCACCTGACGCGGTATTGATGTCCCGGAAAGGCCTGATGGACGCAATCGAGCAGCCGGCGTATGCGGAGGAAGAGCTGGTCAGTGGGGAGGGTGACGAAGTCATGGAGGACGTCGACGACCAGGAAGAGGGCTACAGTGCGTGCATCGCCCACAACTATCTACAGGACATTTAATTATGTCTTGTAAATTTCTACGTGACTTTGTCTGTTGCGATCGTCCGTAGGCTCATCAACTCCAACATCAACCCTAACGTGGATCAGCTGGTTTTGCTCCCTGCCGGGACACGAATACTTTTCCGAAGTAGCCGAGGATTTTATCGAGGACGACTTCAATCTGACAGGCTTGAACACCATGGTGCCATTTTGGAAAGAGGCGATGGAGATGGTCCTCGATGTCGAGGCGGGTGAGTACAACGTCAGCTTCCTGCGGTCTTTGTCTCACGGCTGTTGAAAACCCGGTCCCTAGATGAGGACGCGTCCAAAATACCAGACGTTTCCATCGTAGAGGCGTCCGCAGAATTGCTCTACGGTCTCGTACACCAACGATACATACTTACGCGTGCAGGGCTACAAGCGATGGTAAGGGGTTCACTCACGCGTCTCGCTAACCGTTTCTTCATCACAATGACAACTCTAGGTGGATAAATACGAGGCAGGGACATTCGGTTCTTGTCCACGCGTTATGTGCAAGGGCACCAACGTCGTCCCCTGTGGTCGCTCCGACATGCCCGGGATCGACACCGTGAAGCTCTTCTGCCCGAACTGCAATGATCTCTATACCCCTCCCAGCAGCCGATTCCAAGGCGTCGACGGTGAGTTGCAGCGAATCGCACGCATGCCCCAATGAGCCACTGACTCGCGCGGCGCGTCCAGGCGCCTTCTTCGGTACAACCTTCGCGCATCTGTTCTTCCAGAGCTACCGCGAGCTCGCACCAGCTCCATTCTACAGACCGCATTCCCCCAGCAGTTCCTCCGGATCCCCGCACTCCTCTGGCAGCTCGCCCCGCCAATCCCCCGTCTTCGTTAATCCCAACCCCAACGGCGGCCAGAAGCGTGCCGCTGGCAAGGTCTATGTTCCTAAGATCTATGGTTTCAAAATCAGCGACCGAGCGAAGAGTGGGCCGAGGATGCAGTGGATGCGTATGAGGCCCTGGAGTCCTGAGGAACTGGACGAAGTTGACTGGAGAGGGAAGTGGATCGATGACGAGGAGGACTATGGGGAGGAGGAGGACGATGTTGACGAGGATAGGCCTATGGAGGACTTTGATCCTGTGAGTAGCTATATACGGAGCCTCCCCCCTCCATGACCTGTACTGACGCAAAAGTACAGGACATGGGAGAGGGCGATGAGGACGAGGATGAAGAGGAGGAGGACGAGGATCAGCCACAGTCGTCACAGAAGGGCAAGCGCGTGGTACACTCGGCCTCCGCGCCGTCATTGAGACCCGCGCTTCCCGACGCGACCTCTGCATCCCCGAGGCCGAGCGCGCCACCACAACCTCCGCAGGAGGATCTCCGATACGCGTCCCGGGACCAGAGTCATGGATCCGGCTCGAAGGTTAGAGTTGTGCGGCAGTGGGCGCCGCGGGGGACCACTGCACAGGCCTGAACACTTCAATACGGTAGATAGAGTGCAGCTTTGTCTTTAGTTTATTAGCGTGCAATGGTGTCGAAGCCTCTGCTTTCTGTCCCTCATAAATGCCTTCAAGTGCGTACTCTTCTGGCTGTTCCTGGACTTCTTCATCGAGATGTATTCATTTTCCCGGGAGAAAGAATACGTTTCAACCAAGTTTCAATAGCAAAAGATCACTAAATAATGACTGTGGGAATCGCGGCTGAGCGTGGGCAAGCAACTATATAGTTCCAAAGCCACAATATTCCTATCACGTGGACAAGAAACGGACAGAGCTCTACCGCAAGTAGTGGCGAAGCGACCTTCAACGACCCTCAAGACATCAAGAAAATGGCCCGCTCCAGTACGTCGATCATGCACATAGGTTTACCGGGGACTGTTGCTGAAGGCATCTACGTTCTGCGATGCAGACGTCCGCTACGGCTTGAACAAGGGTCACCCTACGACCCCCATCCCCAAGGCTGTCCGCCCTAGTCAGCGCAAGGGCATCACCTCTGCACGCACGAAGTTCGTGCGCTCTGTCGTCCGGGAGGTTGCGGGCTTCTCCCCATACGAGCGTCGGGTTATGGAGTTGCTGAGGAACTCCAAGGTGCGTACTAGCGACTTTGTCGATCTTAGTTCCGGTGGCTTACGCTGGCTCTTCAGGACAAGAAGGCGAGGAAGCTCACGAAAAAGCGGGTGAGTAGGCCAGGCAGGTCAGTGGCAGGGGGATCATTGCTCATCGGGTTTGTACAGCTCGGGACGCTCCTGCGCTCGAAGCGCAAGCTGGAGGAGCTCGGCACGATCATCCAGGAGAGCAGGAGGGCAGGTCACTAAATCTGCGTTGTAGCGGTCGTGGTGCTCTCGATTCTCTGTCGGCACGCGGGGTCGGTGGGTCTATGTCATGCCGCTATGCGTTCGCTGTACCACTATGTGTCTCTCGCGCCCTATGCATATTTTCGCCATTGCAAGTGGAAGATTGCGAATGCTGTATTGCGACTACCGAACTAATCTACATCGAGAGCATTCGGATGATTCAGAATCAGAATCACCGTGAGCAGGTACTTGATGCCGCGGATCGTGCGTATGACGCCGAACATTGAACAAATTGGTTCAACGCAAGCATGTCGGGCTGACGACTCCCGCGCCGAGGCGATCATCCGCATGAGATGCGCGGGAGGAATTGTCGCATGAACGGCTGCTGCGGTCGGTAAATGCGACGCTTGTCGGCTCTTATGGTCTGCAACGGAGCCTAGGTTAATGCTGGGTGCGGGGGATCAATTAAGAACAAGAGGTGGACGGCGCGCAACGGAGTGCGCGTGGGGTGGGTGACTGAGGAGAGGTGAGTGAGCGGCTGTGAGCGGGAGGTGGTCAGAGCACGAGGTCGCCTTGGGGAGGAGAGTTGTGTGTCACAATCGGTGGGTGGTGGGTAATCAAGTAAGCGGGCCGGAGCCGGCTGGGAAGGCGATCACGGAATGGGCGTTACGTGAGCCAAAAGCCGCTGGACGCCGAGCCGGGACGGGTGTGAAAGCGTTCAGGCCAGCCGCGCTCTTCATCAGGCCTCTCCCGCTCCTCGCTCGTGGAATGGCGTCCCTCCATCCTCCCCCTCCCCCCAACCGCCATCGTGCCTCCTCCACCAATGTCCGCCCGCCGTTGACCCTCAGCTCCCTGGGCTCCCGACGCAGGTCCAACTCTCTGCTCGACCTTCCCCCGCCCACGCCCGTTCAAGGCTTTCCCCTCACGCCCCCAGCTGAGGTCGACTCGCCGCGGCCCATGGTCAGCCTCCCCGTGTCTCCGGCCAAGGAGGTCAAGGAGAGCCCCTTCGAGAGCTTCGTGTCGAGATGTCTTCAGCTCCTCCATCTCACCCACGACGACACGGACCTCTCAACCCCGTCCTCGCCGCGCCACAGTCGCGCGAGCACGGATTCGACCATTCTTCCCATGTCTGCGTCGCCTACAAAGGCTACCTTCGCAGATGCCTTCCCGGACGACCCTACGTTCCAGTCGCGGAAATGGTTCCTGCGAGGCCAGCCCTCGGTGCGTCGCATCTCCCAGTGTTCGTGTGACCTCGGCTAACGCAAGTTCGTGTTTCACTAGGTGCATACACCCGTCCTCTTCGTGCTCATGCTCTTTCCGCTTTCCGCTGCGCTGGTCGTGTTCTGTATCTCGACGCTGCCCATTACCATTCAATGGCCGCGTAACCTCACCGATTTAGCCGAGCTCGGTCGGGAGCTCCAAGGGTACACCCAAAGCGAGCCCATCGCCATGGTGCATGTTCTAGCTGTGATCTCCATTACTGCCGTCTGGAAGCACGCTTGGTCAATACCAGGCAGTGTGATCTGGGTGAGGACTTTTGACTACCCGCCTTCGCATGCACTTACTGATGAGTCCGTACTTACGGCAGAACGTCCTCGCGGGCGCTCTGATTTCCCCAGCCTTTGCTACCATCTTGTTTACGATGCTCACCACCATTGGCTCAATATGCGCGAGCCTTCTCTCGGCGCCCTTGGCTCCCCTCCTCTCTCAGCTATTCCCTCGCGCTCTGGACATGACGCGATCCGCACTCGAAGGTGACTCCAGCTCTGACGACTCAGCGAGCGCCAAACACAACCAAGCTTGGGTGCGGCTGTCTATACTCCGACTAATCGGGGTCGTACCCTGGGCTGGCATTAACATCGCGTGCGGCGTATGCGGCGTAGCGATCTGGGATTGCTTCCTCGGATCGTTCCTGGGTTCATTACCGTGGACCGCGGTCACCTGTCAGATAGGCGACATTTTGCAAACGGTCGCGTCGAATCCGTCACCAACGCAGCGGAGCGTAAGGGACCTCCTTACGTCTCCACAAATCCTGTTCAAGCTCGTATTCCTCTCCGTCCTCTCGCTCGCACCCATTCTCGGCCGCAATCGGCTACGGGAGTGGGTCACGACGTCAGTGTCTTCGTCACGGTTGGCACCTCGAGGCGACGATCAACGAGAGGAGCGGACATCTCGGTGGGCGTGGGTCAAAGACTGGCAAAGCAAGATTCGCGTGCCATCCCGGTCCAGAACACGCGAAGTGTTCAGGAAGGAGCTTGAAGCGCTCGTCCAAGAGAAGAACGCGAGCTTGCCGCTATAATTGCGGGCTTGCTCGCACTTGCAATTACACGCCACTATATCACCACAACAGGAATGATGTCCTGCCGCATGGATACCACGCTACGACCTCTACATTGCTCTGGATACCTATCATGATATTTTACGACCTGTTTGGACCCGCTCGACCCCTCGTCGGAGGACGCTCAACCGCCATTGCCGTCGCTTTGCCGGCAGCCTCGACGCTCGACCTCGTCATCAATTACGATTGACGGGCCCTGTAATCTGCCATGGACATACCATACGCCGCCTAGAATCCCACCGCCTCGCACTGCACCAGCATTGTTTGCACCTCACAGTCTCGTCCTCGGGCGCGGCTCCGTAGAGTCATAGACCATGGCTCGCACCCGAGGCGGCTGCACGCGACACCCCGCATACACCTGTCTGCTGCCCGCCGCATCGAGTCCCGCCATGCTTCACGCGTTACGATACAGAACACCCAGCCCCGTTTGAGCACGTCCGATGTCCTGCATGCATATCCCGTAGTCCACTAGCTTCGCAGTGCTATATTTATCCCCTTTGCTCCATCGTTCGTCGTCATTACTACTCCTGCTTGGGAGTCCATTCATCATAATTCACGTTCGCTTTGCTCCTCGTCATCCGTCCGCTGTGCCGCGTGCGGCTGCCCCAGCTCTGACGTTCCAAATGCGCGTTGCTGCCCCCTCGCCCCGCTCCTCGACGGGGCGCGCGGCGCGGATCGGTGGTGCGCGCCCTCTGTTGGTGTCTCATACTTACTTATGTAGATTGCGGAGGTGCCACTCTGCGGGTGCCGCCTCTGTTGTTCTGGGTCGATGTGGATTGCTTCTTCAGCTTCAGTGCTGGAGTCATGGGTAGACAAAATAAACAATGGGATCGGATTTGGGATTCACTCGGGCCTGCGGCACGGCACTGGACAGTTGGAATGCAGAGGAACCTCAGATTGGGGCTCGGAGGACGGCACGGACGATCCAGGCCATGGAGCCAGGAGGATGTCGTGCCGGGGACGCGTCGCGACGCGTCTCTGCGGCACGTGCTACGCGTCTTGGGCCCGCGTACGTCCTCAGTGGACCATCCAGGCGTGTCTCGAGCTTGTCTCGTACCCATCCGTGCAAAGAAAGTCGCACCCCACCACCTCACCGTTATTCGCACGGATGGGTACGAGATAATCTCGAACGACGTGGTCTCGTACCCTCCCGATGGGAGGCATACCGTCACATAGCCAGGCTATCTCCATCTGTCGCATCATCCCTGCTGCATCGATGCTTGTCCGGCAGTCCTGTCCGTCACGGTGACGGTTTGTATCAAATTCCTGATTTCTGCTGTGCCCTTGTGGCAGGCAATCGACAGGTGTTGGGCCGCCTTACCTACACTTTCCCCAGGACAATCTACGGTGTATGCCCATCGGCATCCAGGTAAATGGACACGACGGGCTGTCGAACCTGTCATTGTCATTGGCTGGACAGCCCCCACAGGCACACATTCATTAATCCACAGCCTACAGGCGGTACGAACAAGAATAGGATCATGATGATGATGTCCTTGGACATCTAGCTGTTACGGCACGTACTTGCATGTCAGCTGTTCGCTGACATGGCCTGCCCAGTACGAAGGACCCAGAATCACCAGCAACAGTAGTTGGGAGCAGACAACACTCAAGATGACATAGAACCACGCCTTCTTGCTCTCCAACGCGTCCACCTCCGTGGCGAATGTGCTGACGGTGGTCAGACAGCCACAGTACCCGTTTGCAAGTCCATTGAGGACGTTGCACGCGTTCACAGACAACGGCCCGTGCGTGCTCTGCAGCACCTCGAAGAGTCCGATGAGCCCGGTCCCGAGAATGTTCGCTGCGAAGGTCCCCAGGGGAAACAGCTTGAGCCTGCGGTTGAGGTTGATCGACAGCAGGTAGCGGGTCAGCGTCCCAGGGAAGGAGTACAGCAGCGCGGACGTCGCTTGGTGGCGGAACGACTCGGGCATGCGGGAATAGGCGGGGAAAGTCGCTGCGTAGATGCAGACTGACAGCGCGGTGAGGGAGTAGCGAACTACCCGGTTCGGGGAAGGAGGCCGGGGGAAGTGCGGCGCTATGAGGGTAGCCAAGTGTGTACCGAATTGCACGGCGGAGAGGATAGGGCGAGTGTGAAGAGGAGTTGGGTGAGGCCGTCGATGACCTGTGGGGCCGACGTTTGGTCAAGGAGGTGCAAGGTCCAGGGTCCTACTCACGTCGCGTAGCCAGTCCCGATGGTATCGCCCTGAATTGATCCATGCCTGAAACACGGCGTACTGCCATGACGAGAATGTGGTGAACGAACCACAGAAACCTGAACCGATATCAATCTCCATACAAAGCGCAAGGGCGGGGTAGCCTTACCTGTGGTGAAGGCCGTGTACAACGGACCATAGCTGCACGAAAAAACCTTGTCAACGTCTTCGCTCATACAGGTCAAGGATCGCACCTACAACCGACCGAACGGCTCCCTGATTCCAAGACAGAATCCCATAACTAGGCACCCGCCGACCTGCACCCACGCAAGCGGGAAGATCGCAGCGCCGTCAAATGAGACTAGGGCATCCACACCCAGCCGTGCGAGACACCCGAACACCGACGCGGGCATGAGCAGCGCAAGCACGGCAGGGTGGTACGGGTGGTATATCTTCGCGGCGGGTATCTTCTCCGGCTCGCTGGGCGGCCGGTCGATAGAGGCGAGCGATGCGGCATCGTTGAGGGAGGCATGGCGCGCGAGGGCCGAGCCGACGTCGCTGGGAGCCCGTTCACTGTGTGTGCCAGCCCCGGCGTCGACCTCGTTTTGACTTTGAGACCGGGAGGGCTTGGCAGAGTCGGTGGGTGGCGGGTTTGACTCGAGGTCATCTGGGTGGACCTCTGGGATGTGCACGTCTTGCGCCTGGCCCATCCTTCTCGACCTTCCTGCGTGGGCAAGTCAGTGCCTCGACGTGCAGGCAGGTCGTGCAAGTGGTGCAGAGCAGAGCGAGGAGAGTTCAGCAGAACCGTCGGGCTTCCGGCGTGAGAGCGCCTATTTTACATACATAACTGCAAGTTGGTGTTGGAATCCGGTGCGACGTTCTGTGCGGGTCGGCACTGCGCAGTAACTGAGTAAGACCAGTCGACGGGAAGTTCAAGGACCGTCGCGAGTGTGTCTTATGAGCCTGCCAGTCTGCCACGGTCGCTGCTAAGTTGACGCCTCCTGATGCTTTTCATCCTGCTCTCGACAGCAGTCGCAGTGGTGCTCGCGACTATCATTCCCCAGATGTTCTTCAAAAGCAAGTGGGATCCTCGAGGCCGAGTTGAGTGTCCAAGTCTACGACAAGCCGACCTTCTGCTGACCCGCCCCTGTGCAATCAGCACTGCTACATCACTGGCGGTTCGTCCGGCCTCGGGCTGGCCTTGGCTATCCTCCTTACCAAGAAGGGTGCGCATGTGTCCATCGTCGCGCGAAATGAAGAGCGGTTGCAGAAGGCATTAGAGGCAGTAGAGGTGCGACAATTCGTGACTTTGAGACCACTCGTACTAGATATCCGTTGTTACCAGGCTGCCCGTCAGACACCGGACCAGGTGTTGAAGTCTTACGCGTTCGCAGTCAACACCGAAGTTGGGGCTGTCGCTTCCATCGAGGCCGCCTCCGAGGCGCATGGAGGAAAGTCCCCGGACGCGTTCTTCCTTTGCGCAGGCGCGTCCTCCCCAAGATTCTTCGTGGAGCAGGATGAAGCATCGATGAGGAAGGGCATGGACGAAACATACTGGGCGCAGGCGGCATCCGCTCTGGTCTGTGCATAACTTCGATGGTTGCACTCAACGCTCACGTCGTGATTTAGGCTGCCTCGAAGCGCATGGTGAGCCGACGCGAAAAGGGCAAACTTGTGTTCGTTTCCTCTTTTCTGGGGTATTTCTCCTTAGTGGGATACGCGCCATACTCTCCTGGCAAGTTTGCCATTCGAGGTATGTCAGTTCTGTGGCGTTCGTGAGCTGGGCTGAACACGCTTTCGACCTCAGGCCTTGCTGAAGCCCTGCAGTCAGAGTTTCTTCTGTATGATATAGACGTACACATCGCTTTCCCTGGCACTATCTATACCCCGGGTTACGAAGAAGAGAACCGGACAAGCCCAAGGTGACCCTGAAAGTCGAGGAAACGGACGATGGATGCACACCAGAGGTCGTCGCGGCTGGCATCTACAACGGTACCTACCTCCCTGTTTCGTTGCGGTGTCCACTGACTGGTCTACGCAGGTGTAAGGAATGGCGACTTCCACATCACGTATGATTTCCTTGGGCACGTCTTCCGTGCCTCCACTGCAGGATCGTCGCCACGGAACAGTTACTTGACGGATATGTTTTACGGTCTTATAGGCTTTGTGAGTGTGGCGTCCGATACATGGCTTCCCGTATGCTGCTGGCTGAACTCGTGCATAGGTTGCACTGCCATTCTGGAGATCATCCGTGGACTCGACAGTCCGAAAGCATCGCCGGGAACACGAAGAATATCTATCTGGCCTCGGGCTCTACAGAGATGAAACGTCAAGCAGCACAAAGTGACCAACATATCCACGTCCTCTGCCGCATTGCAGTTACCCACACACTACTCGTTTAATTCATGGTCTGCTAATGTTTCGGAATTTCTGGACATTGCAATCGTATGTCTCGTGGTCGATTCGTCAACCAGATTACTCTCAACGTGGATACCTCGAGGAAAGAAGGGCTTGAGGTCAACTTGGCGTCTTACCTTCGCAATCTCAGGAACCGTGATAGACGCACACAGCACATGAACCACATCCCACACTGTGTTTCGACCACGCTGCCAACAGATCGCAGAACCACTTAGAATCACAGGCACTGTGTCGCACAAACTTCCGAGGTATATATATTTAGTTCGCAGCTCTGTAAGCACAACGCCCCGGTAACCACGCCCAAACGTACGTAGAACATGTGGTCCGTCAACAATCCATCTGAAGCGCACAGGTTGTGTCAGGAGGGGCGAAGCCCAAGTCTCACCGGATGAGAATCCGAGCAGAAACCAGGCATTAGACCCCCCTAATCGCTCTTGGTCCGAGCCATTTGACAATGCAACGAGTAAGAGAGAGTTGCCTGCCTGGGTAAGAAGTGGACCGACTGTAAGATTGAGGAAAAGGCCGTCGCGGGCGCAGAGGCAAATATAAGCGGGCGTTCAGGGCAGGCCGAATGTGGACGTGATCGTCCCGATTCGGATCGGTGCAGTGGCGAAGCTATCGGGGCTGCGAGAAGTACCAGGCGGTGTTCCAACGGCGTTCACACTCACTTGTTCACATTGCTACACCTCCGTCCCACACGCGCCCCTCAAAACCACCAGGTCGTGGTCTGGTGCACCGTGTACCGCCCCTGCAGCACCGCCGGTCTGTCGCGATCCCCGCTCGAACCCCGCCTCCGTCGAGCTACTCGATCTGCGCGTAACCACCGCACACGATGTCGTCGGCACCACCTACCACGGCGCTGCCCACCTTTTACTGGGTCGTCTTCGGCCTCTATGAGCCACTGCTCACGATCCTCGGGTTTATGGGTGCCATCGTTGACCCGAAGACGGTAAGTGGTGTGCCTTCTGCCCCAGTCCGGGCTGCAGCCTGATCCATGCGCCTCTGCAAGACCCACGACCAACAGGCACCTTGGCCCGCGGGCGGGCCCCCTGCGGACATGCCCCTAGCGACGCGTGTCACCATCCTACAGCTAGGACACGTCGCAGGCCTGCTCGGCCTTCTCAACTTCTTCGTGCTCTCGGCATGCCGAAAGCACTTGTACTCGCAACCGGCACTCCAAGAGAAGATTGTCGGCGCGCTCCTCAAGCCGCTACTCCTTGGTGACTTCCTACACATTGGGATCACGCTCTGGGCACTTGGAGACAGCAGATGGGAGATTGCGAACTGGGGAGGGATTTTGTGGATCACAGTGGTCACCGGCTTCAGCCTGATGATCCCGAGGATGACCTGGCATATGGGGGTCGGTCGTTATGTCGACAAAAGAGACGGCTATCCCGCACTGAAGAAGCATTGATCTGGAGGGCAGCATCTATTAGCGCGTAAATTTAATACGATATGTGTAGGCTACTTGTTGGGAGGCAGGGATGTCGTTCGTTCGGCCCATTCGGAACACCCTAGGAATACCCGTAGACTGTCTTGCTTACTGTCACTCCGCGTTCGACTGGTCCAGTTATCCTGTAATACTAGAACATCAGCAAATCTGGCACTGCATACACGGTGGAGGGTGCCGTCATATTAGATCAAGAAAGAATCACCGGGCATCCAGCATCTCCAACGGAGTGTAACACTGGTTCCCTCACCACAAAATTCTAGTCATCCGGCACCCTTGTTGCAGAAGCAGTTGAAACTCACCCTGTTGTAGAATGTGTAACGGAGCAATAGTGGTCCCAAACATTGTGGACGGCACCATCGCCCGTACACTTCAGCGACCAAGTGACTTCGACCCGGCATCGTCTTGAGGAGGTAATGACGGCCGATTTAACCTACTTCTCCGCGCATGCCACCAGTCTAGAACCCAAGACTGGATGAGCCCGAAAGCCGCAGAAGAAGCCCAGTACACCTCGATACTCTGATGCAATGTGTTAGTCAGCCCATTTCAAAGAAGAGTGGCTTACCCCTGGTACGATGGCCGCAATGAGAATGCGAGCGACTGACAGGAATCTCAGGCTGGACTGCACGATCCGCCCTGGTTCCAATACGATCTCCCCTTTCGCCCGACGCTTCGCGACCCAGTCATCGACTCTCGCTTGTCTCTGCGCTGCAACTGCACTTGCGAACCACCGAGTGCTCTCACGTTCGCAAGCGTATAAGGCCAATCACAATGGGTAGCGTCAATGTGGATCCGAGTGTGAAAGCGACGTCAGCGTGAGGAACGACTCCGAGTCGAAAACAGTCGGCGACTGCGATGCTCTATTGAGGACCATGCTGAAGCCGACAAAGAGAGGCAATGTGTGAGAGGCGGAATGAGCATGGTCGGGAGCGGCGTGCAGCCATGCTGCACGAGCAGCTCTTTCTTGCGTGTGTCGCCTGTCAAGACTTGAGCATAGTAGCAGAGGCGACCAGACTGAATCTCACCAATGGCTTCAGCCTCTTGTTGCGCTCTTTGCGTGCGTCTTCGATCTCCCCTCGGTAGCCATCCCTCTTCATGGCCGCGATAACTTGCTTGTGAAGCTCCGGCATCTCTTGCTGGAGCTGAGGCATCACGACGTTCTCTGCCTTCCATTGCCGATTCTTTGCCTATACGGCCGGAATGGCGTTACAGAATAGCTGCGCCATCTAATACACGAGAAACATACCCAGACGGAGAATGGCACAGTAAATACGAGGCGGGATACCGCTGTCACGAGGATGATTGTCGCGGAGTATGGCGGCAGGCTCTCAGGATATGGGAGCGCGATGGCAAGGTCCAGAAACCCATCTGTGAGTGTTTGGATAGCAGATGATGTAAATCTGCGAGGACGAGGTGGACGTGCCCGAGGGGGACGAAGTGCGTGTCTGGCCGGACGCACGAGCGACGACCTGGTGAACATGAAGGTGAGATCGGCGCCTGGTCAGTATACAGACGCTCACGCTTGATTTTTGCATTCATAGGTGCGATGACCTCAGTCTCAAGATCTCTGGCAACTCTCAAACGCACTCGCTGCAGATGGCTCATACATAATCGTCGATGGAATGTATCATTGCGAAGCCAGATATCCATGCACTGGTGGCGATCGAGAATGTCATATGCATGCAGTATATGCGCACCATAATCATAGCTACATGTAAGAGCGCGCTGCCCCTCCCCTATCAGCAACCAACCTCCGCAACTCGCCCGTTCAGAACACCAACTGGTGAGGGAACTGGCCCTTCGACAGACCCCAACTCGACTTCAAGTACTTGTTGAGGCTCTCCGTCTTCTTGACGGCAGCGATGACAGCAGCGTCAACCGCCTTCTGGTCAGCCGCCTTCGACTCGGGGAACGCCTCCTTCTCCTTCGGCTTGCCCTCAGCGAAGAACTCTTCCTCTGCTGAGCGGGAGCCCTTCTTGGCGGGCTTGGCGAAATACGCGTCGTTGAACTTCTCGTCGACCTAAAATACAGTCAGCGATTCGGTCTTTGAGTGTATAAAGGTGTATGCGCTCACCTTGAAGTCGCCGAGGTCGACCTTGGTGGAGGTCGCAATCACGTAGGCCTGGTTCACCCGTCGGAGGGGGACACCGTTGACCTTATACGGGCCAGTAACGAGGAGCAGACCGCTCTCGATCTGCTTGAGGAAAACGACGCGCTTTCCCCGGAAGCGACCAGCGAGGAGAATGAGGACGGTGCCGGGAGTGATGGATGTGCGGAGCCTCGCAGGCTTGGGGGTCTTACGGCTTTTCTTGGGTTGGCGGATGTCCTCCGCGGGGTAGAAACGGGGTGCCTTTGCAACGGGCACAAGACGCTTGCCGCCGTTCTTCTCTCCTCCAACCTGGACCTCCTTCGTCGCCGCAGCTTCTGCAGCAGCCGGCTTCTCGGTGTTTTTGGGGCCCTTGTAGAGGCCACGGCGCGCGAAGACTTGGGAGCGAGAGAGGCGTCCCACGCTGGGGGCAATTTCCTTGCTGCGGGCCATCTGGTAGGATGTGTTGGTTAGTGAGAAAGGTTTGACGCGGGCCTGTAGGGGCAGCTTCATCCGGGATGACATCCTCGCATCCAGCCAAAATCTCCTTCCATCAACGCCAATGGACTGGCAGCATCAAACGATACCTCCCCTAGCATGCCCTCCAGGTCAACGAAGAGGAATCGGTGCTCACTGAGTCGGGTCTTGAGGATTGCTGGACTGTGTTGACAGCCCTTACGGTGGCAAGTCGAATGTGCGGCAGTGCTTAGTCAGCGATCTGGATGAGTGACCAAATCGGGCGCAGTGGCGGCGAAAGCCCCAGGCGCCCGAGGTATGAGACTAGCGCCCGAGCGCACATTCGTTCTCTCCAGAGTGTGGGCCGCTGGTTTATGACACTCTGCCATCTCAGAGCCACTGCGCGCAGAGCTCCGTGTTCCGCCAGGACATTTCTCTATAGCTCATTGCGTACGCCTCGCATCCGCAGCTCATCCTTTCAACTGAACTCGTCGAAGATGTCCACCCACACGGCTTCTACGCGTTAGATTCATGATCCTTTGGCGTATGCTATCGTTAGCGACTGACTGTTGGCCGGTTTGTACTTGCAGAAGATGATCGGTACATGATCTGGTTAGACATAGACAACACTCTGTATTCTGCCAGCACGCGGATCTCTCAAGCAATGGGCGAGCGTATACATGGTCTCGCTCATTCCCTTGGTGCGAGCGCATGACAGTACTTAATCAGTACTCCTGTCAGCCTACTTCCTGGCGTTGGGCTTTCCTGAAGAAGAAGCGTCGGAGCTGCATCACAAGTACTACACGGAATACGGCCTGGCGCTCCGCGGTCTCGTAAGGCACCACCAAATCGGTGAGCAACAACCTGCAGTTATCCTAGCGTGTCGTTCCGAACCAACACTCTACCAGACGCATTGGACTTCGATCGCAAATGTGATGGGTCGCTGCCCTTGGAGGACATACTAAAGCCAGACCTCAAGCTACGGAAACTCCTTGAGGACATCGACCGCAGCAAGGCTCGGGTATGGGCGTTGACGAACGCGTACCAAGCAGTACGTCTGTCTGTATGGGGCTTAATATCATTGTACGGTGACTGAGCTGCGCGATCTTTACACAGCATGCCAAACGTGTCCTACGCATCCTCGGCGTTGAGGATCAAGTGGAAGATGTAGTCTTCTGCGACTACTCAAACCCACAATTCGCATGCAAACCAGAGCCGGGGTACTTCCACATTGTACGTATCGGACAGGTCCAATATATTCCATTGGGCGTGATGTTGAGCGTGTCACAGGCCATGCAGAAAGCCAACTTCCAGGATCTGTCCAAGTGCTGCTTTGTGGATGACAGCAGGACCAATGTGCGCGCTGCTAAACAGCTTGGATGGGGCAGATGCGTGCACTTCTGCGAACGCGGTCTCGTGGCTGTAGAAGGCGGCAAGGCCAAGGAGATAGGAAAGAATAATGTACCAGATGCTGAGGACGAAGGCATCACAGTCATCACGGATCTGGAGGAACTGAGGACTGTTTGGTCTGACCTCTTCAAATCAGAATAGTGTATAGTAGATGTGTACAAGATGTAATTGTGACGAACAGCTTGTGGGCAGTCTTAGCAGGGAATCAGAAGAGCATGACCGACACAACTTGTGTCGACTCCGTCGCCTCCAGTATGACCCCGTCGAACCCCAGCAAGCCTGCGAATAAGGGTCAGTGAGGGCCTATGGCAAGGAAGAACGACGTGCGCACGAGTTTTCGAACTAGGGAGCGTAAGCCCATCGTCTTCGTCAGTTCGGTCGAGAAGCATGGTGGGGGGTTGCTCCTTCGGTCCCAGAAAGTGGCTTATCGTATCTACCTGGCGGGCATGCTATGAGGACATGGCGATTACTACAGAACACCACAGACCGCCTACTTACTGTGTCATAGAACCTGACACGAGGCGGGGTCTCTGCATGTCGTTGAGTGACTCTCGCAAGCGACTCGACGCATCCGCACATACCGTCTTCGTCATCTTCCGGCTTACCTTCGATCTCCCATGGACATCGTTTGTATCTCTGGAACAATGGAGACCCGGGCTGGGTGCAAATGTTAGTCCTGAAGTTGATGTTCCTCTCAACCATTGCGCACCACGTTAGTATGGATGACAATCTTCTTTACCAGATGTGTCGTCCCATCAACGAGGAAGTCAAATCCATGTTGAAGATAATTGTAGAAGTCTGCGAATGTTGTAACCTACAAACGCAAGATGGTGGGTAAGAGACCTACAATCTGTGTCCGCGTCCTCGTCTTCACCAGAGCGTCTCGAATGAATAGCCATCCGGTCGTCCTCTTTATAGTGTATTCGAAGCGGTGGGCCAAGATCGCACGTTAAATCTTGTGCGGAGGTCGCTCCCAAACGTATCTGGACGGGCTCTGTTCCCGACGGATAGAAATACAGGTCCGCGCCTTCGTGGACCTACAGAACTAGCCTGAGACGTATAGTACGCTGGTCATAGAAAGTATGCTACCTTCAATACAGCCTTATGTAACTCACCATACATTGCAGGGCACTCGACCACTTCGTCGAGAGCATCTCTGACTTCGCCATTCACACTCTTCTGGGTGATTACGACTCGCTTCACTTCCTGCATCTTATCCTCTGTGTGCGTTGATGTTCCCTTCAAGCCCTCGTTCCGACTGTCTTCTTCAAAACTGAATAGAACACCGGGGTAACGGAGGTCGTCTCCGGGATACGTAGGACCGAAAGTGCGGCTCACGCCGACTCGCCTGAAGACCTCATCCGTGGAGGACAAGATAGCCTCCTTGAACTTGAGTGTAACGGGCGGATTTGGATCCCGCAGCTTTCTGAGACAGATAGTGTGCAGCCGCTGGTGTTGACCGGAGAATAACAGGTCCAAATGTGGTCGGATATGCAGGATGATAGGGGTGACGGAGGAGTCAGGATCGAACTTGACATCGACCAGAGGAAACGCATGTTGCATGCATCGTAGCATATCGAGCACATTCCACAACGAGGTTCCTGAGCGATGCACATTCAACGTAGTCCAATACTATGTCAGGAAACGTTGGATGATACTGACCAAGTTCAAACACGCCCAGACCCGTGCCCGGTCGGATGTCTGCCTCAAGCGTGGAGTACATCACGGAATTTAACTCGTCAAGATGTGTCGGTCTCGGGGCAGGCTAGCATGTCAAGGAGCCCCTGGCCAGCGCTGACTCGAGCGATTCCTTTGGCGATTCCTTTGCGAAGATGACTGTCGCGGTGAACCCAGGGCCGCCACAGCACCACCGAAATGGCAAGTTGGGAGACGCGCGCGTGCTCGACGCGTCCGGCGCGTCGCGTCGCGTCTCGCGTCTCGCAGTCTTGCCACATTTTGTCTCCGTCTACTTTAGCTCCGACCACCACCTGCGATGGCCGACCCGAGGCAAAGAGTCATCATCAAGGTAAGTATTTGTGAAGCTCCTGTGAACGACACTGACACTGACTACGGCATGCAGGTCTTCAGAAAATACAGTCATTCGTTGGGGCCTGAATCATTAGAGTTCTTGGAGGAGATCCTGGAGCGCCACGAGATACCGGACGAAGATGCCGAGTTCTCTATTGAGTGGATAGCGAAGGAGTATAACAAGCAAGATGGTACGTTGCTGCGGTCTCAAGTACTGACCCTAGTACTCAAATGTTTCCCGCAGACGCGCAGATGAAGGTGTCATTGGATGTACTTCAACGTGTTTACGACGCGTTTCAAAACAACGGGGACAATTCCGCTGAACAGGAGCAGAAGCCGTTGATCCTGACAGTCACCTGCACTTCATAGACGCGTTCGATATGCCGCTCTGGCATTGGTCTCATGAAAGGAGCACGTTCGAGAGGCAAGTGCCGTTGAGTATCTTGGTTGTAATACATTGCTGACTTCTGGCATAGAGCGGGAGGACCTCTCACAATATCTGGCTCTGCAGACTCTCAGATCATGGCCATGCGGAACAGACTGAATGTCATAAGACAGACAGTCCTTCGAAATGACCACTTCTCCCCATCAACCTTACCATCGCGTGACCGTGAACGCCTCCTAACGGTATGTTGCTCAAGAAACATGATGTTCAGCTGCTGAGATTGTGCAGCTACGGTCCACAAAACAACTTCTAGGACGTTCAAAAGAGCGCTTCCTATTATTTGGCATGCTCTCTCATAACAAGGAGGGAAAGCTTTGTCTTGAAGATCAAGACGGTTCTGTCGAGCTTGATTTTTCTCTGCTAGTAAGCTGTAGCGCTCTCAGCTCGTACTTATGATCACCTCATACACATGAGTTAGGACCAACCAAGCGAAGGACTGTTCACAGAAGGATGTTTCGCTCTCGTCGAGGGAGACTACACCGAAGACGCGACATTAAGTGTCATTGCTGTCGGACACCCACCGTGTGAAAGCAGAGAATCAGCGAGGTATGTTCTTGCGGAACTCGGTGCTCCAGTATCTCATTAGATCCTAGGTCGATCTACGGCCACATTGACTTCCTTGGGAAGGGCGCGACTACCCTGCTAGAAGAGTCAGTAATTTAAATTCTACTACTCATGGACGGATATTGAGATAGCTGATAGACGCAACTGGCAGCCCGTGTCCGCCTAGACATTCCAGACCTGCGTTTTTCGTTCTATCCGATGTTTGGTTAGATCATCCTGACACACTCCGAGGCTTGAGGAAGATGTTCGATCATTGCATGGAAAACAGCTTCATCCCGAGAGTTATGGTTCTGTGCGGCAACTTCAGCAGGCGTGGTCTCTTACAAGCGGACAGCCGAGAGGCACGTCAATTTCAAGGTAGGCCGGGTACACCGGGCGTTGCTCTACGTAGAATCTGACCAATGTCACTGCTGCAGACCACTTGGATAGCTTGGCGGACTTGATCGCAGCGTATCCTCTTATAACGCGCACAACGCACTTCGTATTTGTTCCCGGCCCTCTGGACATTGCAGTGAACTCTGCTCTGCCTAGGTGGCCATTGATGTCGTCCTTCGTCGCCCGTCTCAAATCGCGCATACCAAAGGTGCATTTCGGAACTAATCCCTGCCGAATCAAATTCTTCGAGCAGGAGATCGTCATATTCAGGGAAAATCTCATGGCGAGGATGCTGCGAAACCTCGTGGGCGTGAAACCTAATGTGCACACGGACGACCTCAAGCGATATGTGAGTACCTGACGGACTCCCTATGGTCTCACCAGATAACCAGGGACTCATGTCGTGCAGCTCGTACAATCAGTCTTGGATCAAAGCCACCTTGTTCCATTGACAACGTCCATACAACCTATCCTGTCGGACTTCGACCATGCCCTGCGGCTTTATCCGCTTCCTACCGCCGTAAGTTTCCACCAGATGGTCAACCTATACTGACCATTGACATGCCTGTCACAAGGTTGTGCTCGCCGACAAATATGACCGATACCAGATGACGTACGAAGGATGCCATGTCTTCAATCCTGGCAGTTTTGTAGGTAACTCGTTTACGTTCTCGGCATATACGCCTTCGCGGCGAGAGTCAGAAGAATGGTAGGTCGTTTTGCAGGCATGTCGCTGAGTTGTCGAGCCACTCACCATACGATTTCAACAGCATACTAGATCTTGAGGGCGAGTAAAAGAGTAAGAGGAGGGACATCGCCCGTTATCCGGTTGTAAGCCTGGCGTACAGCGCTGTAAACACATCGTTATAGTAAGCTAAGGCGTTCCGAGGTCTAAACATCAACTGTTTCGAGCTTGAGGCTGTGACGAGAATCGAGATGCTGGGATAGCACGGTGCTTCAACGTTTCTAAACACAAAAATATATCAGTCTAGGGTTTTCTAATTGAGTCTCAAGACTAGATACCAGATGGCACTTTCACTCGCGCACGACCATGTTGGGAAGTCAACAGGCCGCGGCCGGAGAGGCATGGCAGGACCTGTCCGAACGCGAGTCGGATCGGAGGATGCAATGAGGCTCCGAGTCTGCGGATGCATCTCAGATCCAGATCATGATTCCGGGGCTCGCGTGGCTGTGATCCGGGAAGGCGCTTGCCAAGTCTTCCGCTCATCAGAGTGTGCCGTCCAAGCGCCGTCCATGCCGACAAGCGTGTCGCCGCGCCTCAACCTCCTCCATCCACCCCCTCACTTGCCAGACATAAGTACACGACTGCGACCCTATATACTGGCCTGACTTGCTTATGCTGAGGATACGACCTCATAACGTGGAGAGACCCATCTCACTCGGCTCGTTTGAGAGACGCCAGAGTATACTCCGTTCCTTGCACATCTGAATACTACTCTACGTGCGTCTCCCTATCCTTGTGAGCAGTACAGATGCTGACTTGTGTGTTTAGATCCTCGCTATGCTTCTGTCTGTCTTCTCAATATTGAAGGCCCTCTTTCTCGGGAGCCCGGTGGACACGGGTTCTGGGCTTTCCTCCTGGTATGGGTCGTCCGGATCGTCACACTGTCCTTCATATTCCGCATGTATGCGGGGCCTGCTCTACTCAAGCTCGTCTCAAAGCGTCTTCGAGTGCGTAGTGTCAGCCTTCGCTCCATACGCGGAATATACTTCCGTGCTGGAAGCGGCACGATCCGCATTGACCGCGTCGGCATTTCATACCATCGCCCATCTCCTACGACGGCTAGTCGTTTGACGCTTCTCGTCGAGGGATTGAAGGTCGAACTTAGCAAAGACACCGAACCACAGCTACGCCCCTCGCTCAAGCGTAGGCGCTCCTCGCCTGCAAGTCGTTTCGGTGACCGCGTGCGTCTGGCGACCTTCGCTGCCTTGCGGTCAACATGGAACTTCCTGGATCCTTATGTCCGTCCATTCATACGAACGTCAATCGTTTCGGTTCTTCGGTTCGTCATCCGTGCGCTACCGGCCCTCACTCAAGTCATCGACTTCGAACTCGACTCGGCCGTGGCCACCTATGCTGCACTTCCTGGCGTCGAACTCGTCCTGAAGCAGGCAAAGGTCAAGACAAAAGTATCGCTATCTATAGTGGATAATGTCGTAATCCCTGGAGCTTCGGCTGCACCCAACCCCAACCGTTCCGGGGTCACAGGCGTTTCGCCAGCGTCGCAGACTGGAACGCCAGGGTTCAGAATAGCCTGCGACGCACCTGGGACAGAGCATGGGGAGCTACGCAGGTGACCGCCTCATTGTCTCTACGCCTCAAAGGTATCTCGGCTACTGCGTCCCCTTTGGCTCTGAAGGATATGCCGACGGCCCTCCATGCGAGTGAGTGGCTAATGAAAAATGGACTCTGTACATTTGTTGACGCAACATGACCATAGGCACGAGATGCTTCATATATCTACCAGGGACCAAATTCAAAGCGTCGGTTCGCATCGATCCTCACCGCGCCGTCGAGTCGCATAGCGTGGAGACAACTCTACTTGTCGATTCTTTGGACGTACACACCGACGTCATCCAGTATCTTTTGAAGCGGTTGAGCGCCGGAAAGAAGGCGAAGACGAATGGCACTGCTACAGGTAACGAAAACTCGAGTTCATCTCCCGTGAACCCTCTCCCGCCAGGGTTTGGCCCGCCTTCGCCGCTACTCAGCCCGTGGTCGCCCGTCCGGAGCCCACTCTCGCCTTCACACCGAGTTTCATTCTCAGCGCTTTCCCCACCAGATCCTAGGCCGCTCTCTCCACGAGCTAGCACGTTTTCACCGAATGAGAGCAGCCCACTTTCACCATCTCCAGCAACTACTCGCAAGCCGATGTGGTCGTCCCCCATGTCTCCTGGTTCGCCATTGATGGAAGCATTTCTTCCGTATGTATACTGACTTATGTGATTGACCTGGTGACTGATGCCCCCCCCTATACAGGCATCGCTGAAACTGGGCTGGGGCGCCAAGCCGATTCCAGTACGCAGGCTCAATAGCCGCAATGTTCAGTACGCCTACTACATCTATCTCGCTGGAACTGCACTGACGTGCAATGGTACTCTAGTCGCGTCTAGCATTCCTGAAGGGCATTGACATTACGGTCTCGAAGCTGACAATGAAGCACTCTCTGCCTAGGATAGAGACAGGCGTCGCCCAGACCTTCGAGATGGCACTACATGACTTCCATGTCGGAGCGGGCCTCAGTCATCCCGATACGACACCGCTGCACCGGCAACACCTTGGTTCTAGGAGTGTACCCAACGACCCCCTTAGCTCGGACGTTTACCGTCTCACAGTTTCTGCTCATCAAGTGACGTTGGACCGGTTTGGTTCGGGCGCACTGGTGGATCACCTTCGACTACTGTCCATCAGCTCCATCTTCGCGGGGGCCGTCGTCTCGCAATGGCCAACACCCTGGTTGAAGGGCCCGGCGTTCATGTCGGGTGACCCAAACTCTCAGCTACTGGCCATCGACGTAGAGTTGGGCACTGTGGAAGTGACGGAGAGGTTGGAAGTCTTGCATGCCATGATGGCGAAGACAAAGCCGCCAAAGCCAAAGACCGAGGCACGCTCACCGTTGCCTACGGTGCTCTCCCCGGTGCCGCGCATCGCCTTCGGCTTCAAGGTCGGCCCTGTCGTGGCTCGCCTCATCTCGCTGAGCCCGGGAAATGACGAGACGCCGTTTGCATTGGAAGCGCGGACTGACGGCCTGGCAATCTCGTTGCATTCTCAGTATGTGTCGCTGCCGGACAAACGATTGGCGCACGTGTCGCACGATCGTATTGGGCTACAGATGGACGTCCTCCTTGCTTGTCAGCTGCAGCGCACCTTCGTCGGCGTGTGCATGAGTGCCAACAGCGGTGGGAGCAACCCCGCGAGAGCTTGCTCTCCATTGACACCATACAGGTCACGGCGAGCGGTAACGCCCTTGGCGACGTTGCGGACGAAGTGCATAACACCGTTACCGTCGATGTACCCTCTGCGTATACGGATCTCCAGTGTTCTACGGAAGCCATCTCCGTTGAGCTGTGGCAGCCCGACGTCATCAAAGCTCTTTCCAGTATCCTAGCAAGCTTCGCTGGCACACCGAATCCCCCGTCACCATCGCCCCGTTCTCGTGCACTTGAACAGTTGCCCTTCGGTCTGTCCGCCTCCGTAGCTGTTGGACGCTTTGTTCTGTTTGTCACGGCTCCGGACATCGCGCCTACGGAGGATCTGGGAATCTCGCGCGGGATCGCAGTGCATCTGGGTGCTTGCTTCAGTTATTGCGCCGTCCATAGCAGGCACGCCGAGCGCATCCATGGCATCCGGCCACGGAGTCAGACCCGCCTGCGGTTGTCGCTGCCGACGGAACATGTCATGAAAGCGGTGGCCGGGAGCAGTCCGCCTGTAGCAACTCGGAGCACTCGGGCTCTAGTAGGGGTCAACCTCTGGGACATGGTTGTCAGAGATGCCGTTGCGACTAAATTCTCTGCCGACGATCCGTATTGTCTCGCGGAACTGGACGCTGAGCTCGGCACACGAGAGTTCCTACGCATCAGAAGCATCGACGTCGAAGGAATCTTGACCGGCGTCCGTCCGAATGGTGCGTTCCAACCAGTGCATAAGGACGAGCTGGTCATCACGGCCACCGCGTCACTAATTCGTGGCACCCTCCGTCTCGCTCAACTCTACAACGTCTTGCTTGCTGTGAAGACGCTACAATCTATCGCGCCTTCCCGACCGAAGAGCAGCCAGCCTAGCTCCACTACCTCTGTGCTAGTGACACTGCAGTGCGATATCAAGCAGATGCAGCTCCTCTTGCTGTTACCTGTGCAGACAAAGCTGTACTTGCGAGCCTCGTATCTGTGCTGCGATGTGACTTCCCAGTCGACTGTTGCGATCAAATGGAGCAGCATAGTTCTGGCAGTCAACGCGTCCACGGTGCGTGATGGTGTACAGCGAGAGGAATGGGAGGAATTTGCATGTCTCGCCGATTGGCGTGTGAGCTTACCACTCAAGACTCGCCCCCTCGTGGTCAATGTCGAAGCCGACGGCGCACGTCTACGCATACCCTTCGACTACGTTCTGGCCGATCTCATCCTCGACATCAACTTGACTATCAAGAGCGCGAAACATCTTGTTCGTATGGTAGCCGCAGGCAAGTACCACAGACCGACCGCGCCGGAAGCCGAATCAGCGAAGGTGTTGCCCAAAATGATAGTCAAATACGCTGCTTGACCGTGGAGGCTGCCGACGAAGAGTTCGAGTCTAGGCTTGGGCTGATCTGGCGGGCGGGATTCCCAGCAGCCGGGCTTCGGCGGGAACGAGATGAAGCCTTCGAGGCGAAGGTATCGACAATTTCTGCGTCACAATCGACCCATGCGCTACCACGGACTCGCGAGGCGGAATCTGATTTCCAGTTCAGTGCTAAGCATACTGTCTCCGTTGCAGATGCACGCCAGCGCCTGTTCCAGGTTCATTCCGTCGCTTGGAGATCTGCATACTCGAAGTCCAGGTCAACTCAGGCGGCGCATGAACAGCATCGCCTACGCCATGCCCTCGGCGACCACGCGAACGCGAAGGATGTTGACGATCTTGTACAGGTCAACCCTACGAACAACCTGCCCCCTCTATTCCGCTTGACCTTCGACTCGCTGGCACTCAACCTCGAATCTCCAGCCTGCCTCATTGAAAACGTGTCCGACTTCTTGCATGACGCAGGTAGTGGGCTGCCCAAAGACACACGGTTCTCTTTGCTAGTCCCGCTGCATATTAGCTTCACTGTGTCATCAGCACGCCTCTCTCTGCGCGAGTATCCCTTACCCATGCTCAACATACCTGCGAGCAGCACATCTTCACCGGCTCTGGCATTCGACAGTGATGTCGTCATAGCAGAAGAGATGGGAAGCGAACGCTCCGTGGACTGGATCAAGTCAGTAGTCGTCAAGGAAAATTACGGTGTTCATGGTGCCTCTCCTCTCTCGATAAGTGTCCCAAAGACGATAATGCCGGTGAAATCATACGCACGCCCGACAATACGTGTCCTCACCAATGACGTGACCGATTTCGCTTGGGGCGTGAGCTACGGCGCTGCGACACAGGACCTCATGCGCGTGATGATACTCTGTCGCATGCGACTAAGGATCGTTCACCACCAATCGGCTTCTGGGACAAGGTATGCAAGGGCTCCTTGCTCACGCAAATTGACACCTCGCTCACGGCAGAAATATTCTAGCTGAGGCTTATTTTCCACTGGCGTGTAAAGGTCACGTTTGAGAATGAGGTCCATCTGCACATGAAAGGTAAGTAGGATGAAACAAAAGATGGTCTCATCATGTTGATCACACTGCCCAGGCTCGCGCGACCCGTATGAGCTAACGGGAACAGGTTCAGGCTTTGCCCTGTGTTGGCGGGGCAGTCCCAGCATCCTGATAGGGCAACCTAACGAACAGGGTGAACTCATGCAAGTGAAGAGCGACTCCATGCTAATAGTTATACCTAAGTGAGTAGTCTGCTTCTTGGATGCGTGAACTATGTGTTCACAGTGTCGGCTCAGCGTTCAAGATAAGTGGGGTGCTCAGCCAACATCTGTATCGTCGGCAACATTCTCTACTTCCAATCCAAAAAGGCTTCGCGAGGCTAAGGTTTGCGCGAAGCTGAGCTCGGCGTTCGATTCGGCATCGGCTTCGTCCTGGAACGAGCGTGTGGACCTGAATGCGATACGTGTACCGGCAAGCCCTTCGACCGCAAGTGCCGTATGTTTACGTTCCGCCCCCATTACGATGTCAAGCTCGAAACCAAAGCAGTCATTCCCGAGATCAAGGTATCTCCGCGCTTATAGCTTGAATATGATGGTGCTAACGGTTCACAGTCTGCAGCCGATTCCTACAATGGGTTTCGATCGGATTTCATCCATATGTCCATATCCCTTGAGTCTGCTCTTCACGTAAGAGAACACTCTGGCCCCCAAGCTAGTAGTCTCCACTTGTCTCCTGAAGTATTTGAGCAGTTCTGGGCCTGGTATCAATTGTTTGACCATGCGCTGTCACTACCCATCCGGCAGGGCTCCCATTACCCTCGCAAACGACCCGTCTCTCCCAAGTTTGGACAACATCTGGCGACTCTGAAATACCGATTTGCTATCTCCCAACTCTTCCTCTCTCATGTCTACGTGGACAATTCGCGCGACGCATGGGCCGACGGCGTCACCCCGTTCGTTGGCGTGAAGGCTCTCATCGATCGCTTCCAAGCGGACATGCATCAGAGGGACCAAGAAAGTACTCGCATGACGGACGAGGGGCCTCAAGTCGTCCACCATAAATCCTTCTACGCCATCGAAGTGGCGATGAAGCAGCTGGATCTCCGTACGATGTTGGCTGTGTTTCCTGAGCCACTCAAGCAACAGGTCCAGATGGACCTGTCGCCGCTTGTCAGTGATTACAGGACGAAGATCAAGACCGAGCCCATACCAGCAGACTCTCCCTGGATTGACCTGGACGACTTTGATGACGCTCAATCATCTACTGCTACGCCGGATGTACACCTATTACGCGCTGCCTTTTGTCCTCAATTCACGTACTTCAAGCGTCCGGTGGACCCAGGACTGGTACCACAGGGCAAAGTAGTTGAGCGAAGTAAGTTCGGCAATGAGGAGACACATGTGTGTTACCTTGGGAAAGAGGCTTGTATGTCACCTATCAATGGGAAGGTGGCTTTTGCTAACTCATTCGCAGCTGTGACGCAGACGCAGCTTGCACTCACAGGTGCTCGGATCAAGGAGTTGCAAGAGAAGCTGATACATAAGGCAGGCCGTACAATGGACAATGGTTTCCTCAGTGTTCCGCAAGCGAAAGCACCACATGCGGCGGACATGGTACGTTTAACGTCGACAAGTATTTTACCGGGTTTATTGACAATGAGGTATCACAGACTGGTGACGATGCAGATGATCTTCGCAAGAAAATCAACCTTCTGAACAAATATGTGGCTCACCTACACAGGGCAGATGTTACATCTAATCCCCATGCGTCGCACGGCATCCATAGCTATCAAATGCCGTCTGAAGCAGTCTCTGCAGACGATTGGGCTGAGTTCGACAATGTCTACCAGATTCACTCTCCTCAGATCTTCCTGGATCACATCATCCGCGATGTAGGCCCAGCTTCCACTCGTATGGGACCCAGCTCATGATTGCCTGTTCAGGTGATGATGCAGTACTACTACTGTTCTAGGGCCAAACGAGGTATTGAATATCATATGGCGACCCGGTCAGTATCACTACGAAAGGATGTCCTTTTGAGACTCACAGCCTTTGTTCCAGTGCCGTGAAGTTCATCCGTGACCAGGCCCGGACTGTGCTTGTTGACACACCTCAGGAGAAGGAACAACATCGAGGGCCTGTGGCCAGTGCGCAGGCTGCTGCCCTCGCGGTGCGCAATTTTCTCGTTGGGGACCATGCATCGAGTCATGCTGGCGAGGATTCACAATATCCGTCACTCGATACACCGGGACCCATGGATCCCCTCGGCGGGTGGTCTGATGGAGTCTCTCTTCGGAAGAGCCACTTCTGTCTCCTGCTCAAACCCCAGATTGTGCTTCGTAGCGGCAATGATACCGATACCGGGCCGGATTCTGTATGCATCTTAGCCGCTCTACAAGGAAAGCTGAGTTCCTTTGCCATCCTTGACGATGCAAACGCAGACGATCCAGTCAGCGGCAAAGTGATGAGTCGGTACGTCACATGTATGACTTTGTGACGATAGCTGTCTCTCACATCCGCTCCAGTAATTTTGCCTCTGTTTCCGGTCTGCAGGTGTTCTCTCCGTCTGCGGCGAATACGTCTGGAGAAGGGTCTGTACCTCTTGAGGTGCTGATCGACTTGCGCTGCGAAAACAAAGCATTCGATCGACTAGTCCCTCAAACCGATGCATCCTTCCAATACGACAAGTTCAACAGACTGCGCTTGCGCAACGACATAACCTCCATCGCGCATACGACTGAAGACAGGGATCGTCAACACGACCACTTACACAACCAGACCGTTCGTCCTGCAACATTTTCCACATTTCTGATGCCGATCTTGACAGTGCCTCTAGGACTTGATCAGAGTTCACGTCCCCCGCTTCATAGTGTCTGCCAACGACAGACATTTCCAAGCCATATCGAACATCGTCACGAACCTTGTCCTGTTCTCTAATGCCGCCTCAAAGGACCGGTCAGACAAGCTAGAGAAGATGGTCTTCAGCTACGACTTCACGAATCTGGGGTCAGCTGCGGATGTGGTGGCGGACATGCAAGCTCGTCTGCGCCATGCCTTTGAGACCAGACGCGAGGCCGTACGTAAGCTTCGCGGGGCAGGAGACCAAGGCCAGGTCGAGATATACAAGATTGATGCGCATATTATGCTCCTCGCCGAAGAGCTCAACTTGACATTCGACGCGATCAAGATGGCTCAGGACAAGTCGACAGAACATTCGAACAGAAGTCGGCTCTTTTGCTCCATGCATCTTCGTCTGACATCTCGTGGAGGATGATAGACAGACGCGAACAGCTACTAGCGAAGCTAGCTGTACGTGATATTCACTTCTACTGGCTAAGCAGGCAGGATAGTTCTCTCGTCAACAATCTGGTTGTCGGAGACCTACAGGCTTTCGATGGCGCTGCGGATGCCGAGTGGACGGAAATACTGTCAAAATACGAGGAAGCCTCTACGCATCCGCTAGTGAAGGTGTGTTCGCTCTGTAACATCTCTCCCGCTGTGTACTAATGCGGCATGTGTAGCGGAAGCTGTTCCTTCTGGCCGATTGGATCGTATTGCCTGCAGTGGGTGGCATCACAATATACGAGCGATTCGAGGTCACTCTCCACCCCATGCGGTTACAAATCGACACGCGCATTGGTCGCCGGATCATGGAATACGTCTGGCCTGCACGTCGTGAGAGGCAACAAGCGAAGGATGAGATCCAGACCTTCGATACTCTCATGGAGTCACCAATAACTGAAGAACCTGTGGACATCATCATCGTACCTGAGAGTCCCATGAGCCCGCGACGTTCTTCGTGGGACGTGTCGCCGCGGACGCGCGAAGACCCCCACAAAGCAGCAACGTCGCCTTTGCGTAAATTGGGTGCCTCGCGATCCTTCACGGACTTGCGGAAGGCCAGAACGGATTCGCTCCGACCTCCTACTCCCACTCTGCATAAAACTCGTTCAACAGAGGGATTATCGCACGAGGCACATCCTATGAGGCAGGTATCGAAGTCTGGCAGTGATGCGAAGGATCGGACGCTTCCCCTACGCAAAGGCAAGGACGTGGATGATGCCACCGAGATGAAGACTAGATCATCACAGAAAACATTTGTGTGGGTGAGAGTGAACAGGTAAGTAATGCGTCTGATGTAAACCATCAAATCACTGAATTTTGATATCGCCGTAGTCTCCATTTCTTGCTCAGCATCGCGAAGGAAGACTCCTTCCTGTGCCGGGATGCAAGGATCCGCACAAGAGATCTTGAGTATCGCAATCAGACTTCGAGTGTGCGTATCCGAGTGTTTCTACTCTAGTTAATTGACCATGACCTGTTACACAGTTCGAGGAGCTCGTGGACCAGTTCATTCCCAGCGGCCGCAACTGGCGAGGCTGGGTCAAAATGGCCTTCCAGCAGCCTCTGGTACCCGTCCTGCCGTAGCACGCGAGCTGATAGCCAAGACGAAGTGGATCAAGTCCTCATCCCACAGCCACACCCCGAAGCAGAGCCCCGTCCCTCCCGTCCTCCACATCAAGCCTCAATCCCTTCCACAGCCGACACTCCGGCACTGGGTCGTCGCCAAGCACGACGGCGTCCTCGAGCACTGTGCCCTCCGCGCCTGCCACCCCGCCAGTAGCTCCGCGAGCGGCAGTCAGCCTCAGCGACGGACGGTGCGCCGCTGAAGAGACGGCGCACGCGCTCGCTGTTCTCTCTGCATCGCAACCGCGTGTCGTCGCCCCCGCCGGTGCCGTCGGTGCCGCCGATGCCCATCGTCACGCCCGAGCTCTCTTCGGAGCCCGAGTCTCTGCAGGAGCAGACGGATGCCTCCGCGGAGAAGCGGACGCGTCGCCCGCGGGTGCTGAGCGTGTTCAAGCGGCGGCAGCACTCCGCTGGTGTCGTTCGGGGCAGCATGGAGTCGGACATGTCCAATGCCAGCGTATGTGTTTCTACCTTGTACTGAGGTGGATTGTGCTGACATCATGCTCTTCTAGCTGTCCTCTCGGCCTTCGGGACATTCGCGGGTAGAGTCCACTACGACGGACGAGTCATTCACATAGGCAACCTTCCTTACACCTTCATCTACTTACCGCATACCGCGCGTCAGCATCATCACTGCTCCCACCCTCATTGCCATCGCTACTCTACATCCGAGCATGTGTTGTATAAGCATATTTTTATGTTATCTGTATTCGTCGACTAGTCGCAGTATCTATTAATCAGAGCAATGTACAGCTGCTTCAAGACGACGACGTGCTCTACTGCGAAGGTGCGAGGTACTCAATCATCGTGCATGCGTCGTGAGGGTAGGTAAGGTGAAGGATAGTCGCTACAGCAGTTGGCGTTATCGAAACAGGACTAGTGAGTGCGGGGGTATCATACGTAGTACGCCAGTGGATTCAGTCGTCGCGCAGCACTCGTGTATAAAGGTCCAAGATGTCGGTATGTATCAGTCGCAATCAAATCGCAATGCACGCAGCATCGTCGCTCGCGTGTCCGCGCCGTCAGCGCTCCTCGTCTAGCTGCTCCGCAGGCGGCACAAGCATCTCGTCCGCGATCGCCACCGAAGGCGTCGCCGGCACGCCCGACATCGCCGGGCCCTCACCGTCGGGTGTTCTCCACACTCCCCACCGTCGCGTCCGCGTAGTCCTTCCTCTGCGGCTTCGTGTCCGGCTCGCGCGACGCGGCGTGCGCGGGAGCCACACGCGAGCCGTCTCCGGCGACCTGCGTCCCGGGCTCTGGGCGCTGCGAGGGCGTCGCCTTCTCGCTGAGGACGACAGCGCTGGGGCCGGTGGTGGAGGCGGCGGAGGCGGCGGAGGGCTCGAGCGCGAGGATCATCGTCAGCCGGTCGGTCACTTCTCTGACGCGCTTGGTCTTCTTGCTGCCCCACCAGATGAGCACGCCCGCGACGATGCCTGCGATCTAGTCGTGCGTGTGAGCGCGTGGAAGAGGGAGCAACGGAGGGACGTACGAATGCGAGCGGGAGGGTCGTGGCGGTTGTCCAGGCTGGGCGTTGGAAGCGGTTGAGGCCCCACATGCAACCACTGAGGAGGATCTATAACGCGCAAGTTGGTCACCGACGTGTCAGGAGGCGCAGAGACCGGAATACTCACCTGAAAGAAGCTGTTGAGATCGTTCATACCGGTGATCCAGACGGCCGTGCTAATGAAGACAGGTCAGCACTGCAGCTCCGCCGACCAAAAAACAGTAGACGTACTCGACTGGAAACGCCCTATGGGTCTGCGTCCCATGCGGTCGGTACCACGTCTGGCTCTGCATAAACATGTGCTGCTCTACAAAGTCGCAAATAATCTGTCAGCCACCCCATCATCTTGGGTCCAGTATATCAACGCTCACGATAATGCAGTCGATTTGTTCTTCCTCAGTCAAGACCGGGACGAAGTTCGCGTCGTATTGCGGGTCGGGCAGGTCATTAGGGTCGTACAGTTCCGGGAGGCCGGCGGCATATCGGAGCTTCTCCGTCTTTCGCTTGTACCACCAGATCTTGCCGACCCCTGAAACAGTGGACTGAGCTTCGAAGCCCAGTCGAACTGGGGAGACGAGACTACGGTAGGTGTCCACGATCCGAAACGGCGCTAGCCCGATACTCGTCAAGGAGAACAGACCTGAGGAACGTGTCAGTATAGAGCACAAGCGCGTTGATACACGGACGACACTCACCGGTTTCGATCTGTTGGCAGACCTCCACCCAGAAGTCTTGTGTGTTGTCGTTGTGCACATTGATGAAGCGCGCGAGGAAGAACACGAGCGCGGTGCCCCAGAAGACGACGAGGAAACCATATATCGCCGTGATAACCTATAGTAGGGCATGCATGATAGTGAGCCAATGACGCCCTGTGACCGCATATCAAAAATGGTGGGGCTTACACCGAGTGCTGTGAACCGAACAACGTCAGTTCATGCACTACGATGCCAAAGCGGGTGATTACGTACGAGTCTTCACGAACGACCAGACACCCCGCCCCACTCTGCGGGCGCGGTCGCGCTTCCGGAGCACGTCCTCAACGTGCAGGTCGAGGTTGTCCTCATCGTCCTCCGCATTCTCATTTTGGCCCGCTTCGCCTTTCTCTGCAGCCGATGATCCGTCCTTCGTCGCTTGCTTCCGTCGCCGCCTGCGAGGAAGCACGACGACCGGTTTACGGGAGTACCATTCCAACGGGGGTCTGTGTGGAGATGGTCAATGCGGTACTTTGAGAAAGCATAAGCACGCACATCACGATCGCATTTGCGGCGTTTGTGAGCATGGCCACTGTGGAGATCTGTGGGTCTTGAGGAGTACACTGTCAGGCTCTCGGTACGGAGGAACGTGCCTGCGAACATACCGATTACGTCCAGATGCTCGACAATGTCGTCCGGGTGATGATCTCCTCCTTGGAAGTCATAGTCATAGCTCGCAGACTCTGAGCGCTGCGAGGGAGGCAAGCTGAGGGAGCTCCCAACGCGTCCGGGCTCGTGCTCTGTCTTTGGCACCAGGACGTCCGTCTGCGGACCTTGGAGCGAGATCATGTCCTCCTCTTCGTGTTCGTGGTGTCGAGAGAGCGAGAAGGCCGTAGAGAAGGGGTTGGGATCCTCGCTTATATGGCGCAACGGTGCCGGGGCGTGCGCGTGCTGTTCATGATATGGTCGGTGACCTTGCTGGACGTGCGCCGCTGGCTTGGGCGGCGGCCCTGACCGAGGGACGCGCCGCTCTCGCTCCCGCTCCTGCTCGCCCGCCCGCCGGTCGCCGACGAGGAGGCGCGGTCGCGCTGCCGCGGCCTCGAGTCGTTGGTCGCGTCCATCGGACTGGCCTGCGTCGGGAAGCTGAAGCCTTGTTCGGGACGGGAACTGAGGAGCGTAGCCATGGAGCCTCTGCGTGGACGGTGCGAGGGCCCTGGAGTGACTTGCGCATCCTGGGCAGGCTCCTGGAGGGGGGTGTAGCTACGCTTGACTCGGACGGAGGGCATCGCGCAGAGCGGGGGAGGAGGGTGACGGAGGGGGGAGAACGGGTCGCGGTGGAGGGTGAAGGGGGGAGAATGGGTCTGAGGATGATTTCACGGCGTTGTAATGGGAGGCGCATTTTGGTGGAGTGGAGCGCATACTTACTGGTGGCGAGTGTGGCGGTGGCTGCCAGGGCAGGCAGCCGCGCCGCTGGGACGGGCGCGCCCCACGTGCAACGCGTCATATCCCCCACCCACCTCTCCATCTCGACCCCGACTGGTCACCGCAGCAGCCGCGCCAGTCCACAAGTACACCCAGCCACGAGTGAGCACATTGCTGGAGTGCGCCTGATGACGGGGACCGGCACACCGGGTCGTTGAGTAGAATTGAGATCTGCAGATTTGCCCACCAAAGACTCGACCCGAGCCGGCATTCCAAACGTTTCGCTTTCTTTTTGACAACCACTCGTGTTTTCCATGGTGAAAGTAGAAGTTGCTGCCGCTGATCGACGGCCGGTGTCCAGGACAACATAGGGGGAGGGCGCTCCATGACCAGAAATGGGCACCGCCACGCCCAATCAAGCTGCGCGACGGCCGAAGAACCCCATGGTAACCCGATCTGGCTACCCGAATCTAATCAAACGCGAAAATTTTCCCATAGTACCCATCGCGTAATGCGCGGTCCTTTCCTGATTTTGAGAGTGCCAGCGACGCCCAACGCCTGCCGCGACGGCTACAACACCATCCACCACGTCCGTGGGAGGGGTCCTGGTGTCGTTCGTGAGCACCCTCGTAGCGGTTTTGCGCAAAAAGTACGTGTCTTTATCTAGCGTGCCTTGTTTGCGTTGCAGCTTCTGAATGCATTGCCACCGAACCATAGGTTGTGCGTGCTCGCGCAAATTTCCTCCGCGAGATATGGACCAGCCCATAACGCAAGCTGGACGTGAGTGTTGTAGTCGTTAGGTGTCCCACCACTCGTAGTAGACAGTATGGCGTCTCGTATGCTTCACCTTCTTTTACGTCTACCTAATCCGATAAACTGATACATCGCACAGGCAACCAGCACTACACGGCGCGATGCCTAGTGCCACCACCAACTGTGCAAACTGTTTCAAGACTCTGCGCTCAAATGCGAGGGGGAAGCTCTGCACGGAGTGTCGCGCCAACCTGCACCACATGTACAGTGCCGCGACAAAACCAGCCACAGAGGTGCGCACATCCATCGCTCCGAACCACCACGATCGATCTTCATGCCGCACCCCCAGGCCCCGAGTCCGTCTACCCAACAACCTCTGATGCTTGCTGCTTGCGCTGTCTGCTCCGCGCTGGTCCAGCTCCCGCCGTATCCCATCGACCCGAAGCAAGTCGTCGTCTGCATGCAATGCCACAGCACGCGCTTCTCGAAGACGCGTCGCCGCGAGTCGCACCGACGCGCAGCACCGAGCACGTCCGCCCCGCGCACGCCCCAGACGCCGCACCCTCCTCAGCCGCCCGCCAGCCAGCCGCGCAACCCCGCGGATCTGGACAACGTCGCGCTCGCGCGGTTCGTCACGACCGAGGCGATGAAGTTCGTGCACCCCGCGCACACGCCCGCCGAGATGTGCGGGCTGGGCGCGGACGTCGTGCGGATCGCGCCGGAGGGGGCCGTGCTCGGCCCTGCGTCGATGCTGCCCCCCGCGTTCCGTCCATCGCCAGACGGGAGGCACTACAACGAGCGCGGCGAAATCCTCGTGCCGCCCATCTCGTCCTACATGCCAATGCCACTCCCGCCGCCTCCGCCCGCTACATCAACACCATATCAGTACTTCGGGCAGAATGGTGGTGTACCACATACGACGCACTTCCAAAACGTACCTGCAATCAGGGCAGGACCTGCGCCCATGGGCAGCGTACCGTCGGGCCGAGTGGCACACACCAACGCCCCTCCGCGAGCTCAAATGCGGGGCCCAGTGATGCATGGAGCGCCCACGACGTCCGTACCCAACATACGACGTACAGTGCCCGCGCCCCCGTCGCATCTCATGCGCCCGCCTCCCCCCGTCGCGCTCCAGCACTTCCACGCCGCCGCCGCACCCCCGCCGCACCTGAACGCGGCAGGGTGGGCCGACCGCGACCTGCAGGCCGCGGGCAAGGTGCGCGTGTGCGAGACGAGCGGGTGCAGCACGATCCTGTCGCCGAAGCACCTCTGGCGGGTGTGCGGCAAGTGTCTGGCCGCGGCGGACCCGCGCACTTCGTCGTGAAGACGGAGACGCGCCGGAGACGGGTGCAGGCGTGTTTGGCGGTGAGAGCGCGGCGGGGCTGAGCAGAACAGGCCGCATCTGCGGGTGGCCACTCAGCCTTCTGCGCCGCCGGGCGATGTACCGCCGACGGACCCGCACTATGTCTTCCCGATGTCAGCTAGCTCGGTAAGCCGGTGCACGCACTAGTCTATCTGGGGAGTGGTTGAGCTCACCCTCGCGTGCCGCAGCAAACGAGTCCGTCCGTACAAATTGGCCCGCCAGCGATCGCGCGCTCCAAGCGCTCCGCCAGCGTCGAGGTCGTCGTGACCCCCGTGGTGAGTATCATCCGGCCTTCGCGCCCCGCATTTCGCTCTAACGTTCCACCAGAAACGGGCCCGCAGAACCAGGCGCCCATCGCCATCCCCTGCTCTTTCCCCGCACGCCTCACAGAAACCGCGTCACAAACACTATCAGACACCTCGACGGCCAATCCCTCGGACCCAGCCACTACACCAACCACGCGTACCCCCTCCGGGACCCACCAGCCAGCCAGATGCCCGACGCGCGGCCCGACACGGCCGCAATGCTGGAGCATATCGAGTCGCTCGTGCGGGAGCACGTCGGGCCCGGGGGCGGTCAGACGCGCGCGTGCGCCGCACCGCAGGTCCAACATTCTGAGGAGAGGATCCGGGGTGGCGGGGTCGAGCCCTGTTGGCACCATCCGAAGCTCGCTGAGCACTCGCCGCAGTCGAGGCCGGTGCCCCTGACATTGCCCAGGAACGTGAACAAGGTTGGCGGGCGCCGGAGGCGACGATGCCGGAATCCAGCTCTGCGGGACTGGTCGTACGTGAAGAGAACAAGGACGTTAAGATGTCCCTGCAGGTAGTACCGACCTGCCTTTCAAGATCCAAGCCGGCCGCGTCTCAGATGGTATGAGAATGGGGTCCATCTGATGCTGTGATGGGCGATGCGACATCAGAGCCGAGTCTGTTCAAGTTCGGTCACACTCGTCAGGAGGTTCATCAGGATCCGCATCGTGTGGCAGCAAAGTGCTTGCGCACGCTGAACGCATAGCGGTGACATCGTTGTGAAGGCCGAACCGACCACGGAGCCATCTCTAGCTACTGTCGCGGGACATCATGAGATGATCCACGCATCTCTCCGGAACCCGTAGTTGAAGACACGACCGACGAGGACGAACCGCCACTCAGTGTACTCGTCAAAGCGAGACGGCCCGCAAGACCACGGACGAAGAGAAGTCGCGCGTTTGCGTCAACGCGAAGACCAAGCATCAGTCCCTTGACCCCGCGCAAGGGACACTGAGAAGGCAGGGTCGACGCCACTTCGTATCCGGATCCCGTCCTTCCGAAAGTCTAGCCCGCCTTGTATCGATATCCCACCGCCTGCGAGCACCCCGTCGATTCCTGATCACCTTCCGCGTGCTCTCCGCCGTCGTCCCCCACGATAATGGCTTCGTCTATGGACACTCCGTGGGACAGCGACCTCTCCGACCTTACCCCGATCGAAGACTCAACCGACGAAGGCGAATCCGAAGTTGGCGAGCCGGAGGATGAAATGAAGAAAGGCCCAAGGTACGTATCATCAGTGTTGCTCATGGCCGCTGGATACTGACGCTCAGCGACGTAGCTCAAGATCAAGCTCAAGATCCCGGATTCGCTGAAGGACTCTGCTGGTCGCCTGAAGAGACTGCGGACTTCGCGGACGGAAGAGAAGTCCCCGTCGACGTGCAACATCCGCAGGTGCCAGAACTTGCTCTCGCCGGGCTACCGGTTCAAGCTCTGCGATATCTGCCGGGAGTACAACCGCATGCTTCAGCGGAAGATGAGGGCAGAGAAGGATGCCGAACATCCGTATGGGAGGTCGAAGGTACGCAGCCATCTGGATACGTCTTAGGTCGATCTCTGACGTGTCGCGCGCTCTTGTAGAAACACTTGGTGGACCTCAGTAAGCATCAGTTACTCTTAAGGTCATTTTTGGGTGTCATTGAACATTCTGATTACAGGCATCTATCCCCCGGGCTCCCGTGTATGCATTGGCAAATGGTGTCGGACAGTCCTTCCGTGTGAGCTTGAGTATAAGTGGAAGATGTGCCCCGTTTGTCGCCTGGCATTCAGGAGGCGAGACAACTATGCCGCGATCTTCGAGCACCCCGCGTTGCTGAATGGCAAGAAACGTGCGCGCGAAGGCGATGATCTGGACTCCTTGGAGCTGCAGGTGTGTCCTCGACGCTCAGGCTATGAGGTGGGTTGGAGCACTGACGTGCTGCTTTGTGTAGTATCCTGACGAAGACCAAGATCAAGACTTTCCATACGTCGACAGATCGCCCGTAAGTATGTCCCCATCAAGACTGATCAGAATATTGAACTTGCATCTCTTGCAGAACGCGTATCAACACTTCGGTGAACTCCTGCAGAACCTGGAGAAGAGATTCCATAGCTTCTTTGCTGCTCAATTGCAGTACATCCAGTTCAAAGTTACGCAGGGCATAGACATGACCACCGCCACCCCAACGGTGTTCAGTTTCGCTGGAGAATACTCAATTGTCGCAGACCCCGCTGGAGGTACGGTCAACGAAACCATGAAAGTGGTGGCTGGCCAGGTTCAGGACGCCCTCGGGTTTCGTTTCAGGTGAGTGCACATCCACGGTGGCAATGCTCAGCTAACAATCGTCTTCACTGTGCAGCCCAGCCGGTGTCTTCGTGGGCCCTGAGGCATCCGTCGTGAGCCGATTCGCCTGCACGCACGATATCAAGACGCCTCTGCCACCACCCAAGTCGTCTGAGCCCCTCGACCATGGCAGCCCGGTCCAACTGCTCATAAGGAGGATGGCCGGCGAGCTGGAGGTCAATGTCGCCTGGGATCGACGCCACAAGTACTTCCCGGGCCAGCGGATACAGATCCGCTTTAGACTGCTCAGTTGAACATCAACTGTAACGAACCATGGCTTCGAGCTACTCCCACACGATCATCACGATATATAGTATGTTCCGGCGCAAGGCCTGTCTGATTTATTGTATGTAGCGTTGTTCTTGCTTTCGCACTACATCTTTGTTCCGTTGCAGCAGTCGCTCTCGTATAATCTTGTGTGGTAGCATAGCTTCGTTATAGTCATCTGTCAAACCCGTAGCATATATTGTGCCCAATACGTATCACCTTTGCATCATCAGCTATGTATCAGATTCATAATAGTGGCAGTCTCTGCGTATCCATTATCAACTTCGCCGGCTGCGACAGGCTAAGCAACGGCGACATGAATGTTCAGGATGTTGAACGCACTGACGGAATGCACTTAGCATCAACACCTCCTCCCCATGTCGATGTCCAGGTCCATTCGCGCTGGTAACCGTTATAGATCACGAAGCCAACGCAACGACCCTCTAGCCCAATCTTTGGCGCGACCGGTGCACGATCGCGAGGACGTCTACGGTACTGGTCAACCAGATGCCTCAGTACGTCGATGACACAGTGCATAGACAACGACGCCGTTGAAGCGCATATATTCGGGATTGTTGAAATCCGAATGCAACCACTACACACCACACATACATAGACACGACTTAATACTCCTTCGTTACGCATCCCCGCCGTTCGCCACGCCAAGCAGGCCCTCGCGTCCGTCCAGACCGACCCGCCCGACACAACGTCGGCGAAGTGTCTCCAGGCCGCCTGCCCGAAGTTTTGTCGCTACAGCTTAGATACCCTGGGTCACGAACACAGCGCGGCCTCGTTGAGAGGGCGGCACGCCGGTCACTACATGGCCACCATGCGGGCGCTGTTGAAGCGCAATGCAGATCGCGTTTACGCGTTGGTCTGGCGGGCCCAGCGGGCAGCGTTGACGAGGTTCACGAGGGAAGCCTCGGTCTCCTTCCAGCCACGGTCTTGAGACCGCAGTCCTAAGATGATATCAGCATAGGGAACACAGGTAAGTGAAGGATCTCAACGTACAGGGTTGATGACGAGCAGGTCCTCGGGCAGGATCTCGAGCATGGCCGCGATACGGTCCTTGATCTCCTGCTCGCCCGGGACACGCGGCGAGTGGATGTCGTACACACCGGGGCCGATCTGGTTCGAGTAGCCGTACTGCTTGAACGTCGTGAGCAGCTTCATGTCGCTCTTCGATGCCTCGATCGAGATGACGTCCGCGTCGAGCGCCTGGATCGACGGGAAGATGTCGTCGAAGTCGGAGTAGCAGAAGTGCGAGTGCGTCTGGAGGTTGTCGGTCACGCCCGCGGTGGACAGCTTGAACGACGGCAGCGCCCACTTGAGGTACTCATCCCAGTCGGCCTTGCGAAGGGGAAGACCCTCGCGGAGCGCGGGCTCGTCGACCTGGACGGCCTTGATGCCGGCCTTCTCGAGGTCGATGACCTCGTCGCGGAGCGCGAGTGCGAGCTGCATGCACTGGAGCTCACGGGAGATATCGGCACGAGGGAAGGACCAGTTGAGAATCGTGACAGGGCCCGTAAGCATACCCTTCATCGGCTTCGAAGTGACGCTCTGCGCGTAGCTGCTCCACTTGACCGTAACGGGACCAGGGCGGCTGACGTCGGAGACGATGATGGGGGGACGGACGTAGCGGGAGCCGTACGACTGAACCCAGCCGTTCTGCGTGAAGACGAAGCCCTGGAACTGCTCGCCGAAATATTGCACCATGTCGTTACGCTCGGGCTCACCGTGCACGAGCAGGTCGAGGCCGATGCGCTCCTGGAAGCGGACAACGTACTCGATTTCCTTCTTGATAAACTCCTCGTACTCGGCCTCGGTGATCTGCTTCTTGTTGAATTTGGCACGAGCAGAGCGGATCTCGGGGTCTGAGGGAAAGAGCCGATGGTAGTCGTCGGGAACTTCGGCAAGGCGAGGTTCTTGTCCTGGAGCTGCTTGCGAACAGCGAAGGGGCTCTTGCGTTCCAACATGTCAGGAGTGATGGAGCAACCCGCTTCCTGACTGCATCGTCAGAGGTGCGCTCGAACTCGCGACGCTTGGCAATGGAGGCCTTGTTCGCTGCGAGAGCGGAGGAGCCTTGGGTCCTGAGAGCCAGAGAGGTAGCAGCGAGCACGGCGACTTCCTCCGCCTTCTCGAGAGCAAAGGAGAACCAGTCCTTCTGCTGACAGTGAGCCTGTTCTCGGAGGCGAGGGTGACGGGCGTGTGCAGGAGCGAGGAGGAAGTAGCATGATGACACGGTCAGCACCGAGGACAGAGATGGCCTTTGGCCCAAGGCGATGCCAGCATCGAGATCCGCCTTCCAGATGTTACGGCCGGAGACGACACCAAGGGACAAAACTTGAGTGGTGGGCTTCAGGGCAGCAAAACCTCGTCCAGCTGTTCGGGGCACGGTCAAGGTCTATGTGGAGACCGGCGACGGGAGTTCGCCACGAAGGTGAGGTTAGAGGCGAGGCGGCCGTAGTAGGTAGCGAGCACAATCTTGGGGGAGACGGGAACGAGCTCAGAGTAAGCCTGCGCTACTGCTTCTCGAGGTACGCAGCCTGGTCAGGACGAGCACAGGCTCGTCAACCTGAACAGACTCAACACCGGCAGCCTTCAAGTCGCGAGCAGCCGCTTGTAGATGGGGAGCAGCTTAGGGAGGAGGGAGATGGGCTGAAACCGGGCTTCGCCTCCTTGGCGGCCTTGCCGAGGGTGAGGAAGGAGACAGGCCCGAGGACGACGGGGCGCGTGACGATGCCAAGGGCCTTCGCCTCGTTGTACTCCTCAAGGGCCTTGTTGAAGTTGAGCTTGAAGTCCGTCTCATCCGAGAACTCGGGGACGACGAAGTGGTAGTTGGAGTCAAACCTAGAAAGGAAGTCGGTAAGAATCACGTCTAAAGTCTGCTTGAACCGTAATGCCGAAATGCCTCACGGGCTACGACAGGCAAGGCGGAACCGAAAGAGTGGGTACATACCACTTCTTCATCTCGCAGGCAGGGACGTCAACACCGTCCGCCTGACGTCCACGGCCCATGGCGAAGTAGACATCGAGGGCGGAAAGGCTGTGACCGGAGTAGCGCTTGGGGATGACGTTGAACGCAGCCGAGTGGTCGAGAACGTGGTCGTAGAGAGAGAAGTCACCGCTGCGGATGCGTGTCTGTCAGATTCGCCATGATAGGTGAAGATAGCGTAGAAGCGCACCTCGGGATGAGGTCGACGCCGCGCTCCTTGAGGCTGGTCCAGCTAGTCTTGCGACATCGGCGGCGGCCTTGGTGAGCTCGTCGGCCGAGATCTTGCCACCCCAGTAGGCCTCGACAGCCTTCTTCACCTCACGGTTGCCACCTGAGCAAGAGAGTTGAGATGAAGACTTTCATGTAGAGCCTGTAAGACGGGGACTGACCGATGCGAGGGAAACCGAGAACACTGGACGCAACCATATTGAAGCGCGAGACGAGGTGTGGGGAGAAACGGGGAGGAAGATGGTAAGAGAGCAAGAGGGGATGGGGATGGTGCCATCGAGGAGGACTTATATATTCGCACGATGAGAAATTGATAGGCCGACTCTTCACACCGCGTCTGGATTTCCCAGGCGCGCACGCCATCCGGGTCGGGAAGCGACAAGAAACCCGACGCATCGTCCCATTCCCAACATCGATCCATCGATGCCTGCGCGGCCACAGCGACGACGACGCCCCCAGCACAGCGCGCTCCTCCTCTCCGTTTCCCCGCTCTCCCCGGGCCCGAGCGTCAATGATGATCGCCGCGGTTGAATGTTCACCAGAGTAGCTTCATACAATGCGCCGGCGGCGACTCGCGGTCGGTCCGCAAACACTCGCCATTGGGTGCGGGCTGCGCCTTACACGTACTCATGGGGTGTACCCGGCTTCGAGCTCAATGGCGTGGGCGTGCGGGGGTTCCACGGTGTGTTGGAAGATCCCAGGCGGGGCAGGAGCACGTCCAAAAGGCTCGCCTTCGTCTGCTATCGGTGCCTTCGAGTTCCAGAGTGCAGTCAGGACCCGCTGGGCCCGCATTGGTTGGTGCTAGTGGGCCAGGGGCCATGCGCACTTGGACGCGACCTCCTTTCAGCAAGAAAAGATAGACCGGCTATTAACCGTCATCACCTGCTCTCCCTGGCCCAGACGCGTTTCCCGGTCCGGCCTGCCCCCGTCCCCCCGCCTCCGTCCTCCGTCTGCTCAAATAGCCCCTTGCCTCCCCGCATCTCCCCGTTCACCACAATCGCATCCCCCACCACAACCCCAGCTCTCCTCGCAGCCATGTCTGACAATCCATCCTTCGTCCTCCGCGGCATCAACGATGTCGTCTTTGAGCAGAGACCCATTCCCGAGAGTATGCCGTCTTCCCCGTACCCCGCACCCCGCAACATTAACTCTCTTCGATAGTCGCCGATGACGAGGTGCTCGTCGATGTCAAGAAGACGGGTGAGCTTGACCATGATCCGTTCATGCCCTGTCCCTGATCAGCGTTCGATGCAGGCATTTGCGGTTCCGATGTACGTATATTCATAGGTCAATCTGCGCATCCGGATCAGGTCACCAACGTCGATGCAGGTCCACTACATGGTTGCCGGACGCATCGGGCACTTCGTCGTCGAGAAGCCCATGGTCCTGGGCCATGAGTCCGCCGGCATCGTCTCGAAGGGTGAGTTTCGCATAGAGGTCGTATACTACCGATCAGTCACTCAATTCTCGTCGTAGTCGGCCCCGCCGTCAAGGACCTCAAAGTCGGTGACCGTGTTGCGATGGAACCCGGTGCAACTTGCCGCAAATGTGATGCTTGCAAGAGCGGTCGGTATGAGGTACAGCCCACACAATACTCCTCTCGCTTTCTAGTTGCTGAAGGCGATCCTATGCAGCTTTGCCCAGACATGATCTTTGCTGCGACCCCTCCCTACGATGGCACGCTTGCCCGGTACTATAATATACCCGCCGATATCGTATACAAGCTCCCTGATCACCTCACCCTAGAGGACGGTGCCATGGTACGTCTTCCGTGGGATCAGTGTCCAGCAGAGAATGACTCAAGATTCTTCGCTCTCACGTCCAGATGGAGCCTCTCTCCGTCGCCATCCACGCTGTGGCGAATATCGCCGACTTCCACGCTAACAGGTCCATTGTCGTTTTCGGCGCGGGCCCTGTGGGTCTGCTCTGCATGGCTGTCGCGAAGGCGCTCGGTGCTTCGAGGGTCATCGCCGTCGACATCGTGCAGAACCGGCTCGACTTTGCGAAGGAGTACGCGGCGACGGATATCTACCTCCCGCCACCCATGGAGAAGGATGAGCCGCGGATACGCTACTCAGAGCGGAACGCGAAGAAACTGATGGCCGACCTGGGTATCGAGGAGCGTGGCGCGAAGAGCATCGACCTCGTCGTCGATGCGAGCGGTGCCGAGGTGTCCATGCAGACCGGTGTGCTCGTCGCCAAGATCGGCGGTACATTCGTACAGGTACGTCCGCACGCGGCTCCACCGCGCACATTCTTGCTCACTGCGAGTGCGCAGCTCGGCATGGGCAGCCCCGAAGCGGTGCTTCCGATCACGACGATGCTCACGAAGGAGATAACCTGGAAGGGCTCCTTCCGTTACGGCCCCGGCGACTACCCGCTCGCGATCGCGCTCGCTGCGCAGGGCAAGATCGACCTCAAGGCGCTCGTCACGCACCGCTACACCTTCGACGAGGCCGTTGAGGCGTTCCAGACGACGCGGCTGGGCAAGAGCGCGGACGGCAAGGGCGTCATCAAGGCGGTCATCTCAGGCCCGGGTGTTTCGCCGAACGACCTCTGAATGTATTTCTCTCTTTGGGGTGGCATACTACTTACTAGACGTGGTGCATATATAATGAAAAGTATGTTGGAGTGTACGATACCACTGTTGTTTAGAATCATTGTCGCAGTCTGGGTTGAATGTGAAATAAATGACATTTTGAACACCAGCTTGCGTTCGTCCGACTTCGTCGACTCAACTCGATCATTGTCAAGCGTTCGGTCGCGGATCTCGATCATCAATATTGCGGCACGCGATCGAGTGAGACGCGTCGCGCGATCCCGAGTCGGACTCTGGAGTCACGCGTGACTTTGTTCTCTCATGTGGTACACTCTCGTGTGAATGCGTACGGCATCCAAGCACGCACCTGCACACGCGTAAACGCGCGAATTCCTCGACGACTAAAACTCCCGCCGTTAATTGCAGAAGCTCGACGCTCGGAGTACTTAGTACACTATTAGTTGAAGTCTGCCGTTATGCGGTTCGGGCCAAGGAACGCATACTACTTGCGCATATCAGAACACACCGTTTTACCTCTCTATGTATGCGCAGCTCTCTCAGCTGATGTGCTACAACTGACACCAGCCAATAGCTTTACCTCGACGAGCGGCATGTCGACTGGATGTCAGAGCAGGTGCTCCAGCATGTGCTCTCCGACCTGCGCCCGAAGTGCGTTCACGACTTCTCGAAAGCGCTGTGCGCGGCGCACTGAATAAGACTTTTGACTACAGGATCCTTCCGAAACTCAAAGAGGAAGCGAACGCCAGGCTAGGCCTAGGTGGTCCCGCGAACGCAAAGCGGGGAACCGTCGACGTGCATCGAGGAGGTGCGTCGCCGTCGGGGCTCCTTCATAGCGATCAGCTGAACCTCGCGCGCCCTGTGGGCCCTCCCCACAGAGACGTATCAGTTCGCGTACTTCCTCGCCGAGACCAAGCAGCACTCCGTGCTCATCAAGGTGAGACTGGCTGATCCCAAGGCTCTCCTGCTGACGTCTGGCGCGGCCATCGTAGACGCGTAACTTTGTACCAGCTCCTGCCCCTCCGCCGGGTGCCCTCCCCCCGCCCAGACCATCTCGCCTGCCCCGCAGACCAGAAGGGCAAGAAGCGGCCCGCGCGCCTAGGAAACGCCGGCACCGTCACAAAGAACGAAGCAGCGGAAGGGCAAGGGCAGCAGCGTGCTAGGGAAAGCGACGAAGATGAAGCCATTAACATCTCGAGTGACGAAGACGATCGCCCTCCGGCCGCAGAGGTCGGCGAGCCAGACCTCTCTGCGACAGCCCCGGCGGTCTGCTCGGGCGAGAAGAGTCGTGGCTGGCGCGTACAGGGATCAGAACGAAGACGAGGACATCGAGGAAGTCGTCGAGGTGCACGACGTTGATGCGGACGTCGACGTGACCACGGCTTCAGGAAACCCGCCTGCGGAAACAGCGGAACCCGCCACCTCCGCTGTCCAGCTGGATGATTCGGGCTTAATAGCGATGGACGAAGCTGAGGATACCCCAGCCCCCCGCCTGTCGTGAAGCGCGAGACCATCGAACCATCAATACCGCCAACTAGGGGCTCTGAACCCGTCGAGGACATCATTGCGGATCAGATCACAGCAACCCCTCCGACTGGCCAGGCTGAGGTTCAGTCATCACTACCACATGTAGAGGAAGAAGACGAGAAGAAACTCGTGCTACGGCTGAACTACGAAGGCTTCAATATCCAGGGTCGTCATCTATGCGTGGTGGTCGAACCCTATCCGCCAATACGCGCATCTACGCGTGCGCCGTCGTTAGCACCGGTATTCACCAACACACAGAGGGCGCCGAGCATCGCACCTCCTGACTTCGTCCCCAGTGGAGACGCTAGACGGCGAGAGAAGACCCCTCTCTTCCTACCCGAATATGACAGGGAGCGCAGTGTTACTCCGGCACCAGCATTCACGCGACATCGAACCTTACCGCCTGTGCCGCTGTTCACTGACAACCCCGAAGACAGCGATAGTGATGATGGCGGATTCATGGAGTTCACTCAGGTCCTCAGGTCCGCCGGCCAGAACCAGGCCGGCGCCATGGAGGACGACGACGAGATCGAGGGTGCTGTCTTCTTCGGCGACGCAGATGAAACAAAGGAACTGGGATAGTAGTGTTATCGTATGCAATGTACAGAGGTCATGCTCGGCCAATCTCCCTCAGGATATCCATCTTCCTCGCCTGCGATACCTTCCTGAATCCTGCGTTGACCGTCTCGAAGAGGCCATGACCTCCAGAGAGCGCACGTAACCGGTTGGAGTAGTCGAGCATCTGACTGAGCGGTGCGACAGCGAAGACGGATCGTTTGTACTGGGACGAGGTGCCTTCGCGGGCCATGGAGTTCGCCGCTGAGGGGGAAAGCTCCTTTGGCGGGATGTATATTCCGTCCTCCGAAAATGGCACCACATCCGCGTCGGGGTCTGCGATGTTGCCAGAGCCACTACCCAGGTCGAGCACCTCCCCGCCGCGCTCGGTCAGGTCTTTGACGACCTTGCCGATGGCGTCCTCGTTCACGGTGATCTTGAGGCGGATGTACGGCTCCATCACGTCGCCCATGCCCGCGTTCTCGATACAGTCCCGCAACACGAACGCGCTCGCGCCTGCAAGGACCGATAGTGGTGCCTGCTCGCTGGGATACTGGTACTGCTTGAGCTGTATGTGGAGGTGTGACAACGCGAGCGACGTGTGCGGGGAAGTCGAGAGCGTGTTTGAGATGCCACGGGCGATGATCACGAGCGGGTCGAGTTGACCCAGCGCGTCGTCTGGAGCGCGCAGTGGCTTGCCATCCGGGCCAATGACCACGTTATCGTCCCATAGAGGATCACCCTGTTCGTCGTCCTGAAGCTCTCGTACGGCAAAGTCCATTTGCACCGTGATGGTCCTGCTCGAGATGTCGGTGGACCAGGTTTCTGAGTGGGCTGGGTCGTTGGGCCCAAACTCTCGCGATAGCTGACCCTACGCTTGCCAACTTCGAAGTTGGCTTTCCACTCGTCTCTGAGCCTGTTCTCGATGATTTCTAGGTGAAGCGAGCCCAGGCCGTGTACTAGGATCTGTCCTTCCTGGACCTCGAAACGGACGGAGGGATCGGTACGAGCGAGGGAAGCGAGAGCCTCTTGGACAGGTTCGGTGTCTGAGTGCGACTGCGGGATGATCGACGCAGACATGACGGGGGGAGGGGGCACGATGTCACGCAGGGATGATGTTTCAGAGGCTTTATGGTTGAGACCAGAGTGTCACCCGTTCGCGTGTATCGCAGACCTAGTATGACGCCTACTTGCCCGAATGACAACGTGTCGACGTCTTCCGCTTGCGATGCATACAGCAGCTGTATCTTCGATACACGTTCTCGCTGCTGGCGGGTCGCATTGAGGATCACGGTCTGCTTCGTAAGTGTTCCTAGAGCGATATGAGTACTAGTGGACAACGCCACTCCTTTAATACTTGCCTGAGTATACCCGTACGAAGGTCATCCAACCCTTACGCTTATCCCAAGCGACCTTCCAGGCAAGCATACGGAGCGGTGCGTTAGCTGAGGGCACAGCTTCCGCTACATCAACTGGACTGGGGAACAACTCTCCTATGTAGTCCATGACTAGCTCAGTTCCTATATGCTTGAATGCTGACCCACAAAGCACCGGCAGAATGTCGCTTCGCAGGGTGGCAGCACGTAGGTGCTGCATGATCTTGGATGGAGGCACAGTGAGGTAGGCGGACGGATCGGACGGGAGACCAAGAAGTGTTTCCATGAGTTCATCGGAAAACATGGAGATGTTCTCGAGCAGGCTTGTCCGAGCAGGCAGGAGCTGAGCCAGCACAGGATGCGAGGGGGCAGTATGGCGCCTTGCTCGAGTTCCTCGATACTGTGTGGCAGAGCAAGCCTTGTTGATTCGCCGTCTTCATTCCATCTCCACAGCTCCCACTTCACCAAGTCTACTAGGCCCTGGATTCCGGGTTCGGCTTGTGCATAGTCCTGAGGGTCGAAAGACGCGATAGGAAGAGCTAGTGCGACCGGGCGCTCATGCAGCCTGTTCGTGAGCAGCGATGTGAATGACTGGGAGAATGATGCTCCGACACGATCCAGCTTGTTGAGGAACATGAGCCGTGAGCGGACACCATATCTACATACGAAGCGGAAATGAGTATTCGGCAGGGAGCTCCGCAATAGCTTACCTGGACGCCCGGCTCACCTGTCCAATTGTCTCCATACTCCCTTCGTCTGCGCTTCCACACCCTCCACTGAGTCCAGTAGGACTACCGCGCCGTCCACCACCCGACTGGCACTCTCGACTTCCATGCCGAAGTCCGCGTGGCCCGGGTGTCGATCAAGTTGAATGTCCAGTCTCTCCACTTCACAGGAATGCTTGCAGATTGGATCGTGATGCCTCTCTCGCGTTCTGCGGGCAGAAAGTCCGTCGTAGTGCTTCCAGTGTCGACCGAGCCGGCATGGCTGAGGTACGAGGACTTCAATAGTATTGACTCCGTAAGTGTCGTCTTCCCCGAGTCTGTAGAGAAACTAAGTCAAAAGGTGTCCTCTATGTCTCATGCGTATGAGATCTCACCAATATGAGCGACCAAAGCCATATTCCTCAAACTCGAGGCTGAGCTAGCGGGTGCCGCTGTCGCGAGACACCGCCTGCACGGGTCCTGCCATTGTCTTGAAGGCCTCCGAGCGTAACACTGCAATATACGAGTGGACAACGTCCGACTCATGGGAGTACGCCAGACCCTTCGTGTGCGCGATACCCAAGTTCCAGGCTGAGGCTGGAGTGCAGGACGGTTGAGGTGTGCAGACAAGTACTTATGTCAATCTGAGATCCGATCGCTAGATCTGAGGCTATTGTGCTCGACTCGCCGACTCGGAGTCGCAGCCACCCATCACAGTATACATACACGATCCTCGACGACCTTCCCTGTCTGTCGCACGAATTACCCATGCAGCCCATGGACGGAGACAGCGATAGCTTTGAAGAGAGGCTCAGGCAACGCGCAAAGACTAAACAATCACACCCACTCGACACTGTGCCGACGGATCCTGGTCTGCGACCCCGCGGGAAGATCCCCAATACACCACTAGCTGCATCCACACTCGCATTTCTACTTGGCATTGTCTTTGCTCTTGGGTTCATTACCTTTGCATTTGGAGGCTTTGATCGCTTCTGGTGGACAACTTACCAGCTTGGTTTCTATCTCGCAGCATGGGCAGCGTTCCATTGGGGTGAATTCGCTGTGACTGCTGGGTGGAACAGGGATAAATGTAGCATAGACTGTACGCAACTGCTACTTCAGGGAACCGATCTGAAGCTGATCCCGTTGACGCAGCCTTCCTTCTAGAAAACGGATCTCAGTATCATATCGCACACAGCATCGCGATCGCCGAATACCTACTGACACTACACTTCAAGCCGTCTGTCAAGAGCCATCCCTATGTGTCGCAAGTTGGTGAGCGAGAAGATGTCACTTTCTCGCCTCGTCTGACGTGCTCGTGCCCCAGGGATTGTCGTAGTGGTGGTGGGCCAAATACTCAGGTCTTCTGCCATGATCCACGCCGCCCAGAGCTTCTCGCATGTCATTGCTATGCGCAAAATTAACACCCATGTTCTGGTCACCGATGGCATATACAGGTATGCTCTATTAGCTCGCCGGACCTGTTCTCTTTATTGACGGACATCGTCTACGAGATGGTTCCGTCACCCATCGTATGCTGGTTTCCTCTACTGGGCACTCGGGACACAACTCGTCTTGCAGAACCCGGTATCCTTCCTTGGGTTCTTGGTCGTGCTATGGAGATTCTTCGCGCAGCGTATACGTGGTATGTCCGCACAAGTTCCTCACGAATATGCAATATTATTGACCGCGTACGGTCCAGCTGAGGAAGGCTACCTCATTCGCTTCTTCGGCGACGACTACATACAGTATCGCAAGAGGGTTGGCACGAAGATCCCATTGATACCCTGACCTTTGTCCCACATGTATACCATTGACATTTCGCATGGTTTACTGCCTCGAGCTTGCATTTCGATGACATTGTCTCAGTAGCATGGCGAAGTCATATTGGTCATAGCAAATACAGTAAACATGCGAGTTTTGGCCGACGACTCAACTGACACCCGTGTGATGATGCAAAAAAGGGAGTCTACTCCTGGGAGATCGTACCCCGCTCCGAAACGTAGATACCGTCCAGGAATTTACGGATATCCTTGTTCCGTACACGGCAGATGCCCTGGATGGATGCAGCTGTTGGGGACATTGGTGAGGACTGGCCTTAGACAGGAAGACTCCAAGCTACTCACCTGACTGCGAGACGTTTTGAATATCGTTGCCCTCAAGGATAAGCTCATCCTTCTGCGACTTCGATTCCTGGACGGTGACACCATCCAGCATGTTGACATGCCGTACGATCTGAACGCTACTGTTGGCTGCAAGTGCAGAATCAGAAAACATGAGAACGTACCTTCTCCCCCAAGAAGTTACGAATTTCAACAGCGTTTCCGTTGTCCTGAATGATACAGTTGATGGGGAAGTGGGCATACACTGAGCGCATCTTATACTGGAAGCCCTGTAAAGCGCACAAAAACTCAGCAATCTGCAACCTGCCTGAGATCCACAAGTCGTACCTTCGTGACACCGGTGATCAAGTTGACGATCAAGCTTTTAATCGTACGGAGGCATGCAACGTGTTTCCTGCCACCTTGCCATACCGCCAGGGTGACCTTGTTGGTCTTGCTCTTGAACAACCGGATGTCCATGTCGATGTGGCGGACGTTCTTCGTCAACGTTCCCCGGGGACCCGTAACGGTGATCTGGCGGGCCTTGATGGAGACCTCAACCCCCTCGGGAATGTCGAGCTCCTCGGTCTTGAGAACGTCCTTCATCTGGGTACAGGCAAGAAACTTGTTAGCGCCTTCCAGGTGTACATCCGCACACTGAAGCCCCAATCCATCCGTTCCTCCAGCCGTGAGGCCACCAGATTCGAGAACCAGCTTGTTGAACAGACGAACCGCATGTACTGAGGCGATATAGGCATAGAGAACTCACCTTGCAGTCTTGAGCGAGGGGGCAGCGTCGAGCTTCGTGAGCGTAGGCAAATCCGATGACAGACGTGAGTTGGTTATTGCCTATTCCGGGTACAAGAAGCACTCCCGGATCGGGAAGGTTGGGGCTGGGTACGAGCCTGCCAGCCACGCGGCAAGGGCGAGGCCGGGCGGAGATTGAATCCGCCTCAAGGTTCGGTCTTGCGTGGCCCCACCCGCCGAAAAGGACTTGACCACCGACCACCACCTGCTGTGAGTGCCCTCGCGCACCAGATTCCTTTGCGTCCCGTTGCAAGCAAGCTGTGTGAGACACAGTCAGAGAACTAGCTTGCTCCATTCTTCGAACAAGGCGACCCCTACTGCCGTCTACCCGCATACCGCCTTGTCGCGGCATACAGGCCAACGCCTCTGAGGATCGACCCACCATCGCTCTCGCGCGCATCAGTCAAGGACCCCGGTTTCTGGTTTACTATTCCCTCCATGTCTCTGTTTCCACTGCCTCAGAGTCAGGGATATGGCGCGGCGGCTTACCAGCCTCCGGGCTTTGCGCAGCCTCCGATGTATGCGCCCCCCGCATTCAGCTATGCTCCTCCCGCGCAGCCTATGTTCCACGTCGATCCAACTAGCTTTCGACGTGATTATAGCACGCGTTTGGCTGAGCTAACCGTCAATTCCAGACCCATTATCCAGACCCTCTCCATGATCGCTCAGGATTATACTCGGTTCGCGGACATCGTCGTGCAGTGTATCGAGAGCCATATTCGCAGGGTGAGTGCCAGTTCTTCTCGTCGACTTATGATTTAGGCCGCTGTGTCTGTGTCCGCTCCCACGGAGGAAGACTGCTTGTAGTGTACTACTGTCATGTCCGTAGTAGTGGTAGCAGTAGCATTCTCAGTCTGAGCAAAGACGACGGTCGCTCAACGCAGTCCATTGTGGCCGCCGGGGCAGTTCCACGACAACGCCCGTGCGGCTCATGCTCTGAGAATTCGCTGCTGCCGCTACTTGGCTTGCTTGCGCCTTGCGTATCTTTGCTGTTGTTCCGTGGAATGCTGACTAACTGTTGTGCCCGTTTTGGCAACTCAGGTGCCGCAGTGGATGAAGCTTCCCGCCTTCTATCTTCTTGACGCGATCTCCAAGAATGTGTACAACCCGTACGCCAACTCTTTCGCGCCTCTGGTTGTCAGACTCTTCCTCGACACATATGAGCAAGTTGACCAGAGCACTCGCAGCAAGATGGAGGAGATGCTGTTGACCTGGAGGACAGGCTCCCCGAATGGAAGAGAACTCTTTGGCGTCGTTCCACAGCTTGCCATCGAGCGTCAGATCTGGGGCGGCGAGTCAACGCAGAGTGCTGTAAGTATTCTTCTGGTCGTTGTAGTGATCGACTCTAACGATATACTCCAGTCTTCGAGTCGCATCGGCGCGTCACCATCTGTATCCGCTGCCCAGGTCCTAAGTGAACTTGAATTCGTGCTAAATCAGAAGGAGCGTGCATTGCAGGTCAACCCGTACGACAAGGCCAGTCAAAGTCACGTCGCTGTTTTACAGCAGGTAAACCCGACCCGTCGTGCATTCATACATAAGGTACTGACAATCCATGTAGTTACGCAAACTCGTGCAAGCTGGTGTTTCGCAAGCAGAGCTCTCCCAAATCCTTAATCAATTACATACGCTTGCGCAACCTGCGCCCGCGCCCGCTCCCACCCCAATTCCTCCGCCGCCAGTAGCGGCTCGTCCATCATATTCCGCGCAGCAGTCTTCCTATCCGCCCCCTCCGCCAGGTGTCCTTGCTTCTATGTCGCCGCCGCCGTACAGATCTCAGTCTGCCTACCCACCGCCTCCCCCTCCGCCCTCGTACGGTGTTCCTAAGTCAGAGCCGATCGATCTGTCGAGCTTCTTGTCCGCTGTCCAACCGCCACCTGCGTCTATGTCGTCTTCACATACAGCACCGCCACCGCCACCGGCTGCTGCGCCTACGAACAACATTTCAGACCTCTTCAACGCGTTGGTCAAGGCAGGTGTCGTCTCAACGAATGGAACACCGACCGGGGCTGGTGCGACTGCCAAGGCGGAGGAGTTGTCGAAACCTTTCGATCTCGTAAAGGACGCTGCAAGACACTACAGGAAAACGATACTCAAGCATAAAATTAAGTTGACCTCTGCGGACATTACAAAGTACGGTTTTTCGTCCCCTTTGCAACCGCTGTCGTCGAACCCGAGTCCCTACAGGCAACGTTCACACATCGTCGAGCTTATGTATGACCGCCTGCCTGTACAATGCAAGCAATGTGGCGTTCGTTTCCCCGACGGCCCAGCGGCAAAGAAAACGATGGATGATCATCTGGACATGCACTTCAGGCAGAATCGAAAGGCGGGTCAGGCAGTTAGCCGCGGTCACAGTCGTAGTTGGTTCGTTTCGGTTGAGGTACGTTCTTTGGTATTGTTGTCGCGTTCATTACTGACATCGACGTTGTAGGACTGGATACACGATGGCTATATTGATGTCAAAGGCAAGGGTCGTGCGGATGGCCGTAAGATTAGTTCGAGTGCTGCAGCAGCCGCAGAAGCGGCGAAGCGTGAGGCTGAGCTACGAGCCCTCTATGTCGTTGTGCCGCCTGGTGACGAGGCAAAACCAATATCATGTCCCATTTGTAAGGAGCCGTTGAAGTCGGAGTTCCTGGAGGATGACGAGGAGTGGGTGTGGCGGAACGCAGTGAGACGCGATGATAAGGTCAGTCTTCTATACTTGTTCTGCGCTGGGTGGTGGTGACGCTGACGGACTATTGTCCAGATATACCACGCGACTTGTCATGCCGAGGCCATGGCTTCTAAGAGTACCTTGGCGGTGCGTCTGCGGAACGAGATGGCAGGGAGCCGTAGCCGTTCCATTACACCTGAGAAGTTGCGGACGCCTCCGAAGGTCGTTGTTGATGGTGTATCTCGCAAGTCGGAGTCACCGTCTCCGACGTCACCCGTGGGGATGAAGCGTAAGGCCGAGGACGACGATGCGCTTGCAGGCAGGGGAGACGCGCCTCCGGCGAAGAAGTTTGCTGTCGCCGCATGAGGTTTGTAGAAGGGCATCTGGACATACTGCATCTGTAATCCTTATTTTCTGATTATTCACCACACGACCTGCATTGTAGCATTACACGCACTAGCACTAGAATGACATTCAGGTTGAAAGGCGGACTGGGTTTTGGCCATGCGTTTCGGGGTTTTTTTTTTTTTTTTTGGAGGCGATCGACCGGAAGGTGAGTGGAAGTGCCACAGACGCGACGCGATGATCACGTGTGCGTGCTCGCCCAATCGTCTCCTGTCCCTCCGCGAGCCTCCGCGGCATCGATTTGCCTTGATTCATATCATTGTCGAGTCCGTCGCAGCCAGCGACGTCTCGATCCTGCTGCTGCTATCCTCTCATACATCGTGTCTTCTGCATCAAGGTTTCAAGAAAGACTGCACCCTCAATCCGATCAGTGAGTGCTCATATATGACTCCTAACATGTTTGTACAGGGACAGTCAAGCACCAACGTGCATCAGCCTCCGGGAGCACTTGTCTCCTGGAGCAGAGTACAATCCAGGTATGTGCGCCGTCCATGTCCATCCAGCGGGACCGTGATGTGGCGTCTCGTGGCACAGTACACTTCTCGCCAAACGTGAACCCTCCCGGCAGCGATGACACGCTGCAGCGCATATACTCAGCTGCAAACGAAGACGTGGAGATGAAGGTGGGTTCCTTTCACGATGTGACGGTGCTGCGCTGCTACAACGTCGGGTGTGGCGCACGTACAGGACGACTTCTTCGCGGCACTCTACCTCGTACTCGACACCAACGTCCTAATTGATCACCTTGACGTCATCAAGCGGTTCAACGAAGATATCGAAAGGCTCGGTATGCCTATAACGATCATCATCCCCAGTGTCCTCCTCTCTGAATTGGATGGGTGCGTCTGTTTCGCACGTTTCATCCGATGTGTTCTTGTGGTACTCATCCCCGCTCCTTGCGGCTTCACCTCTCCGCCGCTAGGTTGAAGAAGAGAGAGAAATTGGCTGGTTCGCGAGCCGTGCTTCCGCGTGGATCCTGAACAAGATGAAGGAGCGCAGGTCCGTGCACGTCCAGTCGCGGCAGGAGAACTTCGGGATTCGCATAGAGTCACACGAGAACGAGCGCAAGAACGATATCTACATCTATGACTGCTGCCAGTACTTCGCGCAGTCAAAATCTGACGGCACGCGCGCTCGAGTTGCATTCGTCAGCAGCGACGTGATCCTGTTGAGCACGGTCGAAAGCATGAACGCGGATAGCGTGCGAGGAGGTTCGTTCGCTCGGAGTCTCTTCCTCGTTTCATAGAAGGATGAACGCGTTGGTCAGCAAATCCGTACGAGACGGTCTTGACCATTCGGCCTGACAAGAGTGGCTGGTCGAGTCGGACACTTGCGAGACAACTCGCTGAAGGGGGCGCGGACATTCACCCCGAAGTCGGGGCGGACGACATCCCAAAAGACCAGCGGACACATCACAATCACAGCACGGTGACCGATGTTGACGACAGGATGGAGGTCGATGACGAACCTGTTGAGAAGTTCATCCCATCGCATCCGATCGACGCGCTTCACCTCCAGGTCATTGACCACTTCACGCTGCTTCTCAAGGATCTCGCGCATCGCGTTCGCACAGACGCGGGAGACGTCACACCACGAAACCGATCTCAACACGAGCCTGGGTATCGCCAAAAGGATGTCTCTATGTGGACCGTGGGTGACTGCCTCGACTACCTGGGGACGAAGAAGCCGCTGCGGCCAAGCGATCCTCCTCTACGATGGTTTCTGCTCCCAAGAACTACGTTGCCAGCGATGGCACGCGTCGAGGCCAGGAGTGGTCTCATCAAGCGTGGAAGAACATCACGGTCGCTCTCGAAGACATCGGAAACAAGTTCGAGGATGGGGCCGTGCTAGGTTCAGTCGAGTCCTTCAGACAGGAAAAGGACCACGTCTTTGAGCTCCCGCTACGTCCCACTGGCCAGTGATGGCTCAGGGACCGTGTCCACGAACGGGCGCGCAAATCACGAGCTTGTAGATGAGGGCACGTTCTCCAAGTTGGACAACAGTGGGACAGAAGCTACCGAAGAAGATGCGGGACGGAACCAAGTTTGTCTCCTTCCCATCTGCCATGCCACTCCCTTGAGCTTGAAGGCGACAGGTGGTTCTCAAGCACTGGAGCGATGTAATTTATGTCAAGCGCGTTGGTGCAGACGCTGACCGATGGCTATCATGGTGCATGACGGATCCACCCCGAGGAGATACATCATATGATACTTGCGGCAGGAACGATTTGTAGATCCAGGCAGAGCGACGCTGCAAGAATGACGAAGTGTATGGATAGGCAGGGTGAAGGTGGCAGGTGCAGCGAGTGGAAGTTTGCAGGAAGGGGTACGGTGCAGGCAGTCGAATCCCTTCATTTCAATGTGTACATCTACTGAGGTGACATGATGAGCACCGATGATTGGTTCCTGAAGATAGTGTTCTGTTATTGTGGTCGTGTAAACCGCCCAGCCTGCAAAGGTCTGCATGGGCACAGTGGGTAGCCCGCGTCGAGGGGCCGGGCAGCGTCGTGGGCGGGGCTGAGGACGACGAGGACGAGGGTGGCTGAAAGCGGAAAGCACTGCGGCAGAGGAGCTCGAGGACGTGCCTGGCTGTGGGGGCGCCGGCTGCCTGATTTGGCGTGGGAGGTGGCGCGGCTTGGCGGAGAGGGTTTGGCGATAGCAGTCTGCACTGGAATCTATTTACCACTCCTTTGCGTCCCTGCCCCGTCCATTCCTTTCCTCCCTCCGTCGTCATGTTCCGACGCCGGACAGTCTACATCCTCCTCAGCCTCCTCGCCGCCATCCTAGTCGGCACCGTCGTCGTTCTCTCTTCCATCTCCTATTACCTCTCCATCGACACCAAGGCTTACCTCACCGAGGCCGAGCTCGATGCGCCTTTCAATGCTACAGAGCCTTGGAATGCGACGGACCATGGAATGGTCGAACGTATCCCGCGTATCCTTCATCAGACGTGGAAGACGGAGACCCTGCCGGAGAAGTGGGCTGATGTCTCTCAAGGCTGTCGGGACTTGATGCCGGACTAGTGCGTATCATTAAGCTTTGGCCTACCATCTTGCGTCGCTCACCTGCCTGCTCCTTCCAGCGACTACATGTTATGGACTGACGCTAGCTCACGAGAGTTTATCTCCGAAAACTACCCCTGGTTCTTGGAGACCTTTGACGGCTACAAGTACCCCATTCAGCGCGCCGACGCCATCCGGTACTTCATCCTTCATCATTATGGCGGTGTCTACCTGGACCTCGACATCGGATGCTTGCGTCCGCTCGACCCGCTCTTGGTCTACCCCGTATCCTTGCGAAGACCATCCCCGTTGGCGTGTCCAACGATCTCATTTTCTCGGAGCCACGACACCCGTTCATGGAGCAGCTGATTCACGGCCTCATGGGATTCGACCACAGTTGGGTCCTCAACTACCCCACCGTCATGTTCAGCACGGGACCCATGTTCGTGTCTGCGCAGTACGGGCTGTATACGTCGACGCATCCGGCTACCCTTGCGCAGCCCGGTGGCGAACTTCGCGTCCTGCCAAAGGCGCTCTATGGGAAGAACGCGAAGCCCGGCGAGGCGCCGCACTCATTCTTCTCGCACTATTATGGGAGCAGCTGGCATGCAGACGACGCTGCCTTCATCGGTTTCCTCGGCAAGTGGGGCAAGGGCCTCATGTGGGCAGGTCTCGTCGTCTTCATCCTCGGCGTCATCAGGCTTGCGCTCGCGCCCGCTGCGCGCCGTCGCAAGTACCGCCTCAGACGCATCGGTGGCTACGAGGTTATGATGCCGCGTTGGGTGCAGCGAGATGGCAGATGGTATCTCGACCTCGGTTGGTTTGGCCTGCCCTCCTCGGGCGCCGGGACACCGACGCATCCCGCCTCTCCCATCTCCCTCCCGAGCGAAACCTCTGATGCTGATGAGGAGGATGTACAACTCCTGCCGCTGTCGTTTGCGCCAAGGTCGTCGTCGCCCGCGCCATCAGAATCGTCATCAGTCATGGATTCTATGGACTCTGTCTCGTCTTCGTGGCAACGCCCAACCGGCGGGTCGCCTCTCGACGTCGTCCGGCGCGCAAGTCGCCGCGTCATGACGTCGATCTTCGGGGGGCCAGACTCACCAGAGCTGCCTCCGTCGCGGCGCAGGCGCAGCCGGGGCGTACTGTTCTTCCTCCCCGCCTTCCTCTCGACCTCCCCGGAGATCGAGCTCGCGCGCGGGCGCTCACGCTCGAGGTCCGTGCACCTCGCACCCTCAATCTCGCGATCGACAATACATCTGCCGCCGGAGAAACGGCAGCACGACGAGGAGGCGGGCGCCTTCCTCCCCGCGCCGAGCGGCCGACCACACGGCGGCCGGTCAAACTCGACTGTGTCATCCTCATCGACGCTCTTGTGAGCGAGCGGGTCGCGCGTCCGCCGCTTGCCGTCGTCGCGCGCAGTGTATACATACATAGAGAAAACAAAGTGCCGAATCTGTCCGCGCGTGTACACAGGTATTCAATGGGGCTAGGGCTGGGGCACGGTGCCGGATACCCATTACAGAGTCGTTGCTTTGGACTTTTAATCTTGTGCCCGTCGTTGGTATCTTGATTCGCTTTCGTTTGCTGGCACATGAACATTCCGTAGCAGGTACATTATCGAATAGCATAGCACCATTCCTATATCTATTCCAGTGAAAGGCATTGGCCCGCCCATTCTTGATGCTCCTGACTATCTCGCGGGGTCGAGGGATTTGGTCTGTTAGGCTTGCTGGCGCTGCGCGTGTACAATAGGGCGTCCGTCACTCTGGGGAATGATAGAAAGTCTCAGCTGCATTGCAAATGTATGGACAACAATGTTAAGACACGGTCTTCTTGACAGCCACGGATTTCATGCCCATTGACAGCGCAAACATGGCCACCGCACTGACGGCGTATGTTACCGATGGCCCAAAGGTCCAGTAAGACGCGCATGCTGCGGAGAAATTCAAAGTTCAGCCCTAGCGTACGGCATTCGACAGCAGGACCGGGAACACACCTAGCAGGGGCCCGAGAGCCCGGCCAAGTTGGCCGGACGAGCGGAACTTGCCCAGAGCCTTGCCCTTGGCCAGCTCGGGGTGCTCCTCGAGCGGCTTCCCCGTGTCCTCGTCGACGCCCTCGTCGCACTGCAGCGACGCGTAGGACGTCAGCGAGTTCACGACCGTCGCGGAGGTGAACGCGAGGCAGATCGCGGCGCCGCGCAGGAGCTGGACGGATGTGGACGTGCGGGTACCGGCGAGGATGGGAACGGCGGACAGGAGCACGAGGCCGAGCGCGCAGCTCGCGATGCCGCGGCGGGCCATGGCGCCCTCGCCCACCTTGGGGATTGCGCGGCGCACGTAGCCGCCTTGGAGGAGGGCGCTGACTACGCCGATGGACCCTATGAGCGCGCCGTTCTGCTTGTTGTTCCAATCAAAGACTGGGACGGAGAGGTCAGGGGCGGCTCGGTATGGTTGATGACAACTACGCACGGTCGAACGTGAGGAAGGTGAGCGTGAACTCGACACCGGAGAAGACGCCTAAGAATAGGAAATGGAGCCTGCGCAGCGTCTTGAGCAGGGTCAGCCGCTGCTCGACCGTGGCCGGCTTCTTGGTCACATTGGCAGTTGTGGACTGTACATCAGATTTCTCAGTGGAGGAGTGGGCCTTCTTCGCTTCCTTCGTGACACTTGATATATGTGCGCGCTTTCCTCGTGTCTCGGGCAGTGCGACGATGAGGAAGAGCGTCTCGAGGACAAGGAGGACAAGGGTGATCAGTGCAGGTGTCGCGTAGACGTTCAGCTCGATGCCAGAGGCTGTGAATGTAGGAGGCAGTGGACGTGAGGCGAAGTAGGCACCGATGGGCGGCCCAATGCAGAAGCAAATCGCAAAGGCGAAGCCAACGTGTGCGAGAGCCTTGGCGCGTGTCGCAGGGCTGGAGACGTCGGATAAGATGGCACTGGCATATACACCATCAATACAAGCATAATAGCGGGAAGAACAAGGTAACTCACACAGCAAGTTGTACGTTTCCTTCGCTCAAACCACCCACAACTCGGGAAAGCATATAGGAAGCGAAGGTCGTAGACTTCACCCATCTGAATTCTCCGCTCGGCAAGAAGCCAACGGCTGATTTGCGAGGCACTCACATCACGCAGACAGAATGTTGCCGATCATAGTTACGAGGAGCACTCGCTTGCGGCCGTACTTGTCACTCAATGTCCCGATGTATGGGGAAACGAACCTAGAGGCTGCAGTGAGTCAGGCATGTTAGGCCATGACCATGGATCGCACCATTGCAGCATTCTGCGAGAATATGGCTTAGTTCCACGATCCGGCATGAAAGGGTGTCAACACTACGAAAACACCGAGCCCATCAACCACCTGTCCGGGAGTCGCTCCATGACCTGGGTCGTACACTGGTAGCAGCAAGGCTCACCGAGCAGCACTACATCCCATCTTTGAGGATTGGAGGTAGGTTTGTACAGCAGTCCACGAACGGCGGAGACAAAGTAGAGTGTGCGCGGTAAGAAGCCTGAGGGATCGGACGACTCCCGCTGCGTCGCACAACCGCGTAAGCACAGAATGGCGAGACTGGTATAGCAGACGTACCTTGGTATACCACTCAATGATACGCGGGAACAAGGGCAAAGGAATGGTGAACGCTAACCCAACGTCCACACGGTTACATCGCTGTGACCACCGCGCCTCGACTCGGAGGTGCATACGTACCGAATAGATCCAGCACTAGCGACAGAAACACGACACGCTCGATCTTGAGCATTCTGAACAAGGAAGGATTCGACTCTCAGAGTCGACTGGGCCAAAGGTGGGGAAAGAAGGTGGAGGACCAAGGTAGGTTTGATATTTGCTGGCAGTGGCACTGCGGCCGTCTGTATGTAGCATCATGTATGTACCTCCAGCAGACTTCAAATGTCCGGCCCAATGATGAATTCATGTCCGGCGAAGTTAACCATTTCCGCAGCATGCGTCAGCCGAGGATATGCCTCGTAGTCAGCGTACGCACAATAATGTCATCCCGGTCCTTGTGTGTAGAACCTTCGAGTCCAGGCTGATCGGAGCGAGTAGCAACTGGCAAGGTTCACGATGCACATATTGCCATGGACAATCTTATCAGTAGAGGGTAATCTACATACCCCATCGTTTATGAGAGTTGCAGTCTCGCACTACTACATAGTACTAGCTTTCATCTACCGCGATCTCCTCTGGGGCATCCGCGACTGTTTTGTACTTTTGATCTTCCGAGCTTGTGTCAGGCCCGACTGGTAATGTGAGCTCGTCTCCGTCTTAGTGACCTCACGCAGAGCCATGGTAGCGTATGCCGCGGTTCCGAGCTGCAAGTTGAGTTGCAGCGCCATGAATTTGCCGTCCTCTACGATCATTGGAGGGTCGAATCCGAGCTGTTTGTCTTCGTCTGCTTGTGCCAGTGCAACGTCCGGGTCGGTGTAACGTAAGACAGACCATGACAGCTCCTTCGGCAGGTGAAGGATCTTGCGATATGAGCCACCAAGACTGTACTCCCTGCTCAGACAATACATTCAGTCAGTGAATACACACAATGGTGGGGAACACGCACTTCTGCTTGCGTTCCCAGTTGTCTGGATCCAACCCATCCAAGCGAAGGAACTCGCGGTAACGCTCCCCGAGAGCGCCACCGGGATATGCCACATCCCTACCCGGTAAAGGCATGATCACGTCGAAGATGGAGTAGTTGTCAACATCGTCCACTGTCAATGTCTTTACTTTTGGCGCTTGCCAGGGCTTCCGAGCCCGTTTTTGTCGTTTGTCCGTAACCTCCTCTTCTAGACGTACAGTCAATGGTTGAACTGACCTGTCGGATGCATTCCACGTACCGTCTTCCTTCTCTTGTGCCTCGCCGTCTTCTAGCTCCTCCTCCACTGTCTTCTCCGACGGGTCAACCTCGAACACCAAATCCCAGGCACGGGCTTGTCCGCGCCGTGCATCTTGATACGTTCAGACACAATGGCGTTCCAGACATAGGACTGATACGCATGAACATACATCAGACGCAAGTTTTTGGGGATCTGTCAATTTGGTCAACACATGCCACATGAATGTCATTTCAGCGCCGCATACCGTGGACAGCGCGCCCATGGCGTTTCGCGTTTCGCCGTTTTGTTTCTTGTAGCTCTCCAAAAGGCATCGCTCAGCAACGACGCGGCGGGGCATGAGCTCCAAGGCCCTATCGATGTCACCGTCAACGAGCCAGGCGTTCCGCGCCGCCATCACATCTGGGTGCTCGCCCGGTCTGTTGCGCAGGATGAGGTTGACGGCGCGGTGCCAGTCTGACTTGAGAAGCGCGAGACCGATAGAGTGTGTGGGGATAGACGCGGTACCGAAGCGCTGCATACCTGCTCGGACATTAATGATATGTCATGACAAGGGATAGATAGCAGCTCACCATAGTAATTGATGAACCCCTTCGTTTTCAAGATATTCATTGCCCGGTCAAGCGTCTCCATTGATCGACTTGCACGTTTCTGAGCACCGATGAACATCCATGTCGAAACAGAACAAAATGCATACCTCAGCGTGATGACGAATGCATTGCCCTTCACCATCCCCAGCTCCAGGCTCGCTTTCCTGTAGTTGAAGTCTGCGATCCTGATGCCACGATCGCCTCGTTTCGTCAGTGCGTCCTCCCGTGTCCGCCGCTGGGCGGAGTTGATGCCGTTCGCCATGCTCCATACATCCTCGACAGATTTGTTTCCTCTGCGAAGTGACACGCGTTGAACAGTCACACCCGCTTGTCCTTGGTACCAGCAACGGACAGGTCTTTCACGTTGACATGCAGAACCGGGAGAGGTGTGAGAGGGCGTCTTGCGTGTCGCGGTTCGTCTTCTGCATTGTGAAATGGATGTAGGGAGGATATGTGCCCCTCTCTTGTCTGTCTCCTCGACCTAAGCGACCCGATGAGCGAAAGGCGTAACTTAGGCGGCGCGTGTCTTACTTGTCCGCCCACCACCTCGTCCGCCACCTCTACCGCCGCCGCTCTTTGACCACTTAACGACAATACGGGAACCCTCGTCCGCCGCTGGAGTGCTCAGATCGGTCTCAGTGTCCAGCTTCCCTTGAAACAGCTCGCGGATCGCTTTGTGCAACCCGGTGCGCGTTTCTTTTGACGAAATAGGCTGACGATCACCATGGAAGTCAGATCACGTTTGTTTGAAGGAGTAATGAACATGGTAGAACAGACATCGGTCAACACTTTGCGATGGTCCTCTCTCTGACCAGGTCTACCTCCTCTGCCTCCTCCTCTACTGCCACGACCCCCGCGTCCACCTCTGCCGCGTCGCCCCTTGCCTCTTGTAGACTCTTCTTTTGGTGGTTCCTCCGCAGCCGGGGCGTCTTCACTGTCGGCCTTTTCGCCCGTCTCTGAGGCCTTAGTCTGGCGTCCTCCCCAGCCACTGTCACTGACAAATGGCGGTTCCGGGCCTTCCAAGTACATCTGCTTGATGCGACCAACAAGATCTCGGAGAGGAAGGGAGAGAGAGTAGTTGTGAACCGCTCAGGCCAGGGTTCGTCTTCTTTGGATCGGGCTTCACGCTCCCCGAGCCAGAGGCCTCACCTTGGCATCTTCTACAACGGCACCTTCCTTTGCTTCGGCTTTTGTCTCCGGAGTCTCCGTGCTCTCTGCTTTCGTCACACCGTCGGTAGTAACGGTGTCACCAGCATTTGCCTCGTCTTTCTTCTTGGGGGAGGACTCCGGCTTGTCGAGCGACTTAACATGAATTACATTGCCATCCAGGTCTACCTCAAATACCAAGAAGTCCGTGAAGCTGGTATGAGTACGTCAGTAAGAAATAGTGTGAACACCTCGACAATGGTGACTTGTGCGCACCGTTGCTTGATGATCCCTTCGATCTTCGGGACGTCGTGGCCAATATACTCCGAGATTCCGACATCAGTCTCCATAATGCGCTGATGGAGCCATCCGCAGAGTATTCAGGAGCGGGAATGCCGAGCAAAGAGTGACTTGGAGGCAACATGACATCGTCTTGATTCGAGCTCTCGGAAGATGGTTCTGCTACCGCGTTGGATCGTCCGCAGGCTTGACCGCATCTTCCGACGTGTCCATGGCAGGGTCTTCGGGCAGCTCGTTTTCGACTCTGTCCTCTTTGGCGACCGTTCGAGAGCGTCATCCTCCTCGCGGGGACGGATTTTCGGTGAAGAGGACATGGTCGGCGTGAGAGAGCGCAAAATGGGCGCTTGCGGAGATCCGTAACACGATCGAGGAGATCGCGCGAGGAGATCAGATCTTGACCACTGCAGCCACTGGCAGTGGCACCAACCTCTGCTCCGTCCAACGCGACATACACTTACAGCACTCGGTCTTCAGGCTCGCCTGGTCCGTGCATCAAGTAGTCTTTTTCGATTCTAGACTCTAATGACTGTGATGGCAAACAGCTGTCTGCCACCAAGGCTCTCCTTTGCCTCAAATCATCATGCCCCAAGTACACCAGCGAACCTATGCCCAAAGAGCGGAGAACACGCTAACCATGCAGCGAAAGCGCTGCTCGAGACGGTTGAGCGCAAGAAGAGTAACCTATGCGTAAGTGTGGATGTCACCAAGCAGCCGACTTCCTCAGGATCATCGACATTGTCGGGCCTTACATCTGTCTGGTCAAGGTGAGCAGACTTCTCGTAAGCGAGGCCTATCCATTCTGAGTGCGGCGAGAACAGACGCATATCGACGTCATTGAGGATTTCGAACCTTCTCTGATAGATCGCCTGAAAGAGTTGAGCACAAAACACGACTTCCTCATCTTCGAGGACAGGAAGTTCGCCGACATCGGTACGCCTCCACCACCTGCGTAATACACGTTACGCTCACGAGGAGTCACCCTAAAACGCAGGGAACACCGTCGCCCTCCAGTACTCATCTGGAGTCTATCGCATCTCCTCCTGGTCGCACATCACCAACGCCCACCCCGTCCCCGGGCCAGGATCATCACCGGCCTCGCCTCCGTCGGCCAGCCGCTCGGGCGGGGGCTGCTCCTCCTCGCCGAGATGAGCACGAAAGGCAACCTCGCCACTGGCGCATACACCGCGCAGGCCGTCCAGATGGCTCGCGCGCACCGCGACTTCGTCATTGGGTTCATCGCGATGCGGCGCATGGACGGCGTCGCGGCGTCGGCGCGCTCGATGAGAATGAGGACTTCCTCGTCTTGACGCCAGGGGTGGGCTTGGATAGCAAGGGTGATGCGATGGGCCAGCAGTACAGGACGCCGAGGAGGTCGTGCTCGAGAGGGGTGCGATGTGATCATTGTGGGCAGGGGAATCTACGGGAAGGGCGGTGATGGGGAGGTGAAGGCGCAAGCAGAGAGATACCGTAAGGAGGGATGGGCGGCTTATGAAGAGAGGATACGAGTGTAAGTCGGCCTGGGACTGAGGCACCGAAAGAAAAAGGTCAAACAACCTGTACAAACCACTGAGCGTAGCCAGTTGCATTTGCAGCATAGAAAACATGTATCAGTTCTGCTACAGTATCCAAAACGTTCTCTATCGATACATTGCCTGAAACATTGGCTACAGAAACCAAGGCGATCAACTCGAGGCTTCCGCGTCCCCATTTCTTCCGCTTTCCTTCGTTCCTCCTCTCCTTCGCTTCTCGCTCTTCTGCCTCGACAACCTCACATCCAATGGGTACGTCAATATGCCGCAATGCCGGTCAGTTGATTCAATTCTGCACAGCACGGTACATCCGTCAGCATATACTGAGTCTACTGCAACAAAGCGAACACCTACGCTGCCCGGACTCGTGCATGCTCGAGAAAATCAGGACCTCGCCGCCGCGTTGCTTAACGTCCTCTACGAGCGCGACATACTTCTTGCGGAGCCCCGCGTCGCTCGCGCTGTAAATATGATTCAACGATGCATTCCACGCGGAGCAAGGGTAGCAGACGTACCGGAAAAGTTCGTCTGAAATCAGCAACGTCCCGACGGCACCCCGGTCGACTGCGAGGGCAACATGATCTGGGCCGTACCAAGCACGCATCTCGTCGGTGCCCAGCATCTTGAAGAATCTATGCGCCTGTGAGTATAGATGCGAAGGCATGAAAGTCGTACTTGAACGTACTTGTCAAGCATCATCCCCTCTCGCGCAAACTTGGTCTCCTTCAGCTGCGATATGATCTATTCAATGGAACTGTCGTCAGCATAGTTCGAAGCTCGTATGTATTGGGCATGGTACCTCCGGGCTTTTGAGTACCTCGACCAAGCTGTGCACGTGCGGGCTATTGACGTGCACCTTCAGGAACTTGTTTCGGGCACCCATGAGTGCCTTGTTTCCAGTCCGACTCGCCTCCGCCATGATGTAGTCAAGGACCGCGTCGCGCACCCAGCCTGGGGATGCGATCACGATCGCCCGTAGCCCGGGGTTGGAGAAAGGTATATGTCGGAGGAAGCTAGCGTATAGTGAGGAGTAGAACTTCGTGAGACCCTTCTCGTGCCCGGAGCTGCCGGTCGCGATCTTGCGCGGGATGGGGACTTCGAGGCGTTGGAGGATGACAGTCATGTGTTCTGAGAGGAGGCAGAAGATTGCACTTCCTGCGGAGACCTCAGTCAAGGACATGCAGCTTATAGGGGCAAGATCGACTGACCCTCTCCGCAGACCACAGCGGCGACCTCGGCGCCTCGTCCTGGGACACAGCTCTCTTCCACTCGTCCAAGGGCAACGCTGTCCCAGCCTCCCTCCTCCTTCTCAATTCGCACGTCTCGATTGGCCTCAAGGTCGAGCGTATGGAACGCACCCATCTTCACGTGGGGGTTCTCCACCGCAACTCGCCCTGTGATTTGCAAGGACGCGGTCGCCTGGCTTGCGCTGCTAGACGCATCGGCAGACGAGGGGTCGCTCGCCGAGGCGGTGGACGGCGACCAAGCGACACGGGTGACAGCAAGGGTGAGGCTCAGACGCACGCGGTGGGACTCTGTCGATCCCGTTGCGGAGACGTTCTGCACCCGGCGGATGGCAGGTGCTCGGACGCGATCACCCTGTTCCCTGGTGAGTCGCTGGAGCTGGTAGCATTCGACACGACGCACCTCCGAGATGATATTGTACAGGTGCCACATATCCTCGTCGTCCTCGGGACGCAGCGTAACATGGCCCTATGTGTGCATGAGCTCCTGCGGTGCGACCAATCTCGGACTGAGCGCACGGACTGAGCGATCCCTGTCAATGTATTTACCGACGAGCTTCATGGTTGCCCTGTACTTGTGGGATGGATGAGCAGCGCAGCTCTCAGATCCTAACTGGGCGGATGGAGGATGGGACGAAAGTGGGGGTCGATGACATCGGTGCGATCGAGATGGGTTCGCCGAGCCTTGCCCGACGCCGACTGGCCGCACACGAGGATCGCGTCCTGCGCGAGCTTGTCCTACCCTCCACCATGTCCACCACCAACGCCAAAATCAACACGCTCACGTCTCGCATAACGCAGCCGTCGTCGTCGTCCCGCCCAAGACGGCACGACGATGACCACTCCGACCTCGACGACGAGGCGCTCTTCGCGCAGCTCGAAGAGGAGATCGAGAACGACTCCAACGTCGCGCTCAGGGAGCAGGGGATCCAGCGGCTGAAGGCAGAGTGAGGTGCTTTCGCTGTCCGCGCATCCGCAGATGGCCCCCTCGTGTGCACGCCGCTGACGCGCTGCTCCTCCCCGTCCAGGATGGAGCGTCTGCAGCAGATGAAGTCGAGTGGACACGGACGGTACGAAGAGATCACCGACGAGAGGGAGGTCATCAGAATCACTGCGTACGTGCTCTTCACGCTCCCAGTTGACCTTGCTGAAACAGGCGTAGGAACGAGAAGCGGTGCATCATCCACTTCTTCCACACTGACTTCACCCGATGTCAGATCATGGACAAGCACATCGCGGTGGGTATCTGGAGAGACCATGTACGCTGCCCCGGCTGACAGAATGCTGCTACACAGGCCCTCGCACCGAAGTACTTCGGCACGCGTTTCGTCCGCGTATTCGTTGAGAACGTCCCATGGCTCGTGGAGAAGCTGGGAGTCAAAGTCCTCCCATGCGTGATCTGCTTCGCAGACGGAGTGACGAAGGATCGGCAAGTCTCCTCATTATCCAGGGCCGCACACGTACTAACGAGCAGTAGACTGATCGGGTTTGAAGACCTGGGCAATGACGACAAGTTCGAGACGGCGACGCTCGAGTGGCGTCTGCTGAACAGCGGTGAGTTGCAATCAGGACTCTGTGGTACATCGCCTCTCACACTGCCACCAGGGATATTGGTGAAAGAGCAGCAGGGTGCTAATATCGTGTATGGCGCAACGCCCACCGTACGACAGCAAATAAGAGGACGGCAAGACGACGACTCCGATTTCGATATTGATGATTGACGCAGCTTACACTGTGGAAGCTTTCGTGTTCGTCGGGCTTTGATATAAACAGCGTACATCTCTCATTCGGGACGAATCTCTTTGACGACATTGATCTCGTGGTTGGCATGCGAATGCGATAATTATGCCGTTCAGCGGCAGATGCGATGACTACACCCAAACCCAACTACGGTGCTCTACGAGGTATACAATTACTTCTCGTTCTATGCCCATTAAATGCTTCTTTCATAATCATTCTTGTCTCCACATTTCCTCCACGTCCTTTACGCCAATGGGCACAGCCTGGAGTTCACCTCCCGCTTGCTTCGACACCGACAGATATATCTTGTTCGCAGGATCGCTGGTGCCGTCCAAGAAGGCGAACTGCCGCAGGTGGCGGCAGAAGGTGAAGAAAATGATCGCAATGCACGCCGCGGACGCGGTACTGCCCGTAGGGTGGCTCGAGGGTGCCCACACAATCATCTCGACGACGGGAAAACTTTGCGAGATCGCCTGCGAGAGACTAGGGATTGTGACTAGTGAAATGGTGAGCATGTCTGCCAGCGAAGGCGGAGCGGGAGGACTCACTGCATCATAGGTTCCGTCGCGCATCTCCAAAAATTGCAACTTCGCCCACCGTCTCTTCATCGCCATCCGGTTGATGACCGACGTCATACTCATCGCTCCCGAGCTGTCCGACGCGGGCGACAGTCGAAGAGCGCTGCGGCGCAAGCTGAGCCGCCTGACCGTCGAGCTGAAGGCGGCCAGCGCCTTCAAGCCTCGATTTCAATGTTCGGGTTGAGCTTGTTGAGGTCCACGCGCAGATGTGTGAGCGGCCTCGTGGGTGGTGACGCTGCCTGCAGCGACAGCATAAAGGGGCGCAGCAGTCGAGGGTGCGGAGGCGCGGGACGACATCCATCGGAAAGGGCATGTGCTGGTACGCGCTCTTCGTCAGGACGTCCGACGCCGGAGGTGCGGTGGTGCTCAGGGAGTTAGGTCAGGCTGCCGGCGCAGGAAGTCGAGGACGTCCATCGAGATCAGGAGAGGTTGGTGCAGAACGAGCGCAGCCTGAACGTGGCCCTGCGAAGGATCCAGCCGTCGGAGTCGCGCGTGGGCAGGCCGAATAGGGTGAGCTGCTCGAGGTTGGACATGGCCGCGAGGGCGTCCGCGACCATGTCGAGCCCGGCGCGTGCGGGTCGCAGGTCCTCGAAGTCGAAGTTCAGCCTGCGCACCTGGCGCGCGATCGGCTGCATCTCCGGTGTGGTGATCGTGCTGCAGAAGGCGAGGACGTGGATGCCGCGGGCATTGACTTCGCCAGAGTGGTAGCAGCGCACGCGCGGGGGAAGGGCGTCGACTTCGGAGACGAAGGAGTATGGGTGGGCGGCCCTCTCGCTGTCGGAGAGCGGCAGGTGCGCGGGACTCGGGAAGGAAGTGCTGAGCATGTTAGCGATGGGGTGGTAGTGTCGTTGAAAAGGCGTTAGAAATCGTAAGTCGTGGTATGGGGAGCTTTACCGCGAAAACCAAGGCCATATTTATATTGTTTGAAGGAACGGTGGAAGCGCGGCCTGGCTGGCTCTGTGGGAGTGGAGTGGAGGGGCAGTCGGAGTGCGGATACGGATACAGGTCAGCGGCTCCAGATCTGCGATTCTACATCGTTTCCTTATTCGGCAGGTGTCATTCCGGTTTTGGCTGCCCTCGCCTAGACCGCGGCGGCTCTGGATGCCCACGGTCCGCGCGAGGCCCGGATACACGGCCAGAGCGGATGTCTCAGACCTCTCGAACATCCGCACACCAGGGGAAACGACAAACGCACTCGCATCTGGTACGTCTCTCGTCATTGCCAAGGGCGTCACCTTGTTCAATAGGTGGCTCCCATGGTGTGAAGATGTTTGCACGATACCGTAATACGCCGTGCCTGCCCCACTGTGACAAGGCTGGACCGAAAGCACCTTGGTGCAAGGCTGATGATCGCTCATATCAACTTTGCTTCCGTCTCGGTATAGCGTAGGGTCATAAAAGGCCGACCCTGCAGCACTCCACGCACCACTGGTCTACTCAAACGGGGATTCACCGAAAATGCAACGCATCAAACAGTACTCTGAACGATGGATCATTCCTCCCCAGGATTTTTGTACCGTCTAATTGCACGTTTCCTCGCCTCGCCATGGTCTACGAGCGCCCTGGGATATCCGAGCTTGTCCGCAAGACCCGGCGGCGGGTGGTGAATCTCTAAGAGTCACAGGACAGTTCAGCTGCACAATACAAGCCATCCGAGCGTTTTCTCACCTTCTCCGCGCACCTTTGCCAGCTCAGGCACGAAGGCACGGATGTACTCTCCTGCCGGATCGACCTGCGCCGAAAGGGGGTGAAACGTCGGATACGGATGTCGCGAGGCGCCTGCGGCTACACTCACTTTATGGCTCTGCGTGTACGGGTTGAAGATCCTGAAGTAGGGAGCGGGATCAACGCCAGTGCTGGCGCTCCACTGCCAGCCGCCGTTGTTCGACGCAAGGTCGCCGTCAATGAGGATTTCCATGAAGTGCTACGGCTGTGTTGAGCCTCATACGTACAAGGAAGACTCTTGACTTACCTTTTCCCCTAGCCTCCAGTCGATCATTAGATCCTTGGTCAGGTACATCGCGGCGATCATCCGCACGCGGTTATGCATCCAGCCCATGGCCTGGGCCTGGCGCATACCCGCGTCTACGACCGGTACACCCGTTCGGCCGTCCTTCCACGCCTGTAGGTGTCCGTCCCGACTTTCGGACTCCCACTTGATGTTCGCCATCTTCTCCTGGAATGGACGGCCCATCGACACGCGAGGGAAGAGTGCGAGGACGTGGGTATAGAAGTCCGCCAAGCTGTGCGATGAGCTGTTCAGTGCTGACGAGGACGAGACACAGGTGTGCTGCGGAACTGACCGATCTCTTGGTCCAACGACCAATACCAGTGTCCCTACTGACGTCTATCTTCTTGTTGGCAGAGAGCTCTGTGGTAGCGCGAACGCACGCCCGGGCAGATATTACGCCTGCTGCCAAGTAGGGGCTGACTAGCTCAGCGACAATGCATCATGCATTGAGCACCGCTAGGCCTCACCTCAGACGGCTAGTGTGTCAGCATCCAGCCTGTCCCTCTCATCCTTGTACTTGCCAATACGGCTGTCTTTGTTCGGTTCTTCGTAGGGACCTTAGCGCCCTCGAGAGTGGATCCACAGCGCCAAGCTGCGAGGAGCGCGACATCGTGTGCAGGAAACGATCGAGCATCTAGGACTGCGATTAGCCATATTGTAACTTCAGAGAGCACACGACGACCTGCTTTGCGGCGTCCTCTCCAGCGGGCCAGCAGGCTTGGATCCTCTCCCTCTCCTCGGTATCGTCCATGGTGAACCCTCGACTGCTCTGGGACAGCATTGTCGAACAGCGCGCCGTACACGGATGGTCCCTGACAGAGGGGGAATTGGCCGACGGTCGGGAGCGCATGTGATGGGCTGTCCTTGCCCTTGGGGGTGAGGTGCGGGATCCATGAGCGCAGGAAAGGGGAGTACATCTGAAGATCGATTTCCGTGAATACTCTAGCACAGCGGCGAACACGTTTTGATCATTCTTACCGTGTAGCCCCTCTCGTCCTTGGTGAGTACTGTCCGGGCTGGATGATACACTTGTCATGAACGAAAGTGCAGGCGACGCCCCCGTCCTTCTTCGCGAGATCGCAGAGCTTGGTGTCCCTCCGCAACTCGTCCACCTCGTACTCGATGTTGGCAAAGAGCCTCGTCGCCTTCCATTGTTTCAACAGAGCGAGCACGTATTCCGGCAGCGTAGTCCTCAGGTTATGAGAAGTCGTGTACAATGGAATGTGCTTGTCAGCGAGAGCGGACTGGGTCGCGCGGTGTAGCCGGCGACGCATGGACATTGCCGACACAGTGGCTGACGTACCCTGATAGACCGTAGGTTGCGCAGGTGAAGTCAACCCTGCGTGCGCTCCTGTCATGCGCAATGTAGTCTTGTGGGCTCAAGACGAAGAGCGTGAGCAGCGGAAGGCCGTCTTGCTGAGCATGCTTGGAGCTAGGGCAAGTGCCCTATTGTCCGTGACTGTGCGCACATTGCCATGAGATCAAAAGCAGATGATATGCACGGTAATCACGATACGTACCCCTCAGATCTTCCATCCTCATCCAATATACAACAGCTTCCCCCTTCGCAGGGTGCTTATTAGCATGCTTCATCGCATTCACGAGCTTGAACAGCGGAGGTCTCTGTCAGCCTTCGCCGCCGCCTCTGCCGTCGCGATCTTGTTGGGCAAGAACTTCGCGTCATGACGCGTCTTCTTGGTCGGGGGCGGCACAGCTGCAGATGAGCGCATGCTCGGCGAAAGCGAAAGACTGCGAGGTCGCTTGACATGGAGGTAGCAGTATGAGTAGAGAACACGTTTGGGAGGCGACGGTAAGGTGCGCGTTGCGAACTGGGCGGAAGATGGGGCTGGCAAAGCCTGGCATCGTCAGACCGCCGCGTCGGTGGCGTCGGGCGCGATCCCAGCCGTCTCGTCCGCCCATCGAACACCACGTGATCGTTCCATCGAGCGAGCAAGCGAGAAGAAGGAACTGAGTCTCCAAGAGCGGACGGTCATTCCGATTCGCCATAGACGAGATTATCATGCATTACATTTCATGAACTCAATAACAGTCCATACTGTACTCTAATGACGGGGTCAGATCACAGTGCCAGTCAACAGCAAGCCAGCACTCACGTCGTAATAGTTCGCAGTGTAGTAAACGCCAGTCCAGTTAGTATACATTCTCCTTTCTAAGAGCATCCAATAAATAATGCAGTATCAACAACCATCGCGAAGCGTAGTTGGTGATTACCAAACCATCGCGAACGTCATAGCCAGCTGGCAGACAACGCCAAGGTGCCACCTGCACGCCATGCATCAAGCCTAGATCCCGACGACGCGTTAAAGTGCCATAGACGAGACACCCCCTGTGGCATTGCTTACGCTGCTCACTCCTGCGGATTGAAGCGCCAGCTGCACATAGTCAAATGTCAGTACCAGTGGCAACGCGCGAGAGCGCGCGACTACTGACCAGGGCGAAATGGCCGCCCACGACCGGGCGTGCTCGGAAGATATACACTTCACCGTTCGTGGTGTAGTAGAGATCGCTGAGGGGCGCGTTGTTCTCGCCGTCGGCGGCGTATGAGTAGAGGGCGCTGATGAACATGTCCCTGACTGTTGTGTTCGTCATGATGCCGGCCGTATAGGTTTGCCAGTCTTTCACGCGTGAGCGATGGAGGTCAGTTTCCATAGAACGCCAAACTGAGGTCTGACTTACCTGTCTTGGTGTACGTATGACTGAATGATGTAATCAAGTCGGGTGAGTCGACATACTACCAAAGGTGGAACACAACGTACCGCGTGTCCAAGGGCACACCGTACTGAGCTATTCACGCAAACTCAGTACCTTAATGCAGATCAGGCATAAGGACCTCACCATCTACCGTAGGGTACCACGCCGTTTCTACGGGAGATTCAGACCGGCTAGTGAACGATGAGAAGCGCAGGCACTCACGCATCTCGTACACCGAGTCGGGAATGAGGTTAAGCTTGAGGAGTTTATCAGCCCACATGTTGTAGGTCAGGCCCCAACTGTCGACAACTCAGTAACAAGTCATGGAAGCAGATGTTCTTTGCACCAACCTGGAATCATTGTTGTACTGATAAAGCCGTCCAGATCAAATTAAACAGTGTTCCTGCTAGTGCCGTAGATAGACTCACCGCGAGCATCAAGTGTGTGCCGTCCGACGACGTTGCGAAGTTCTGCCACTGCGTGACATACGACGACGCGATGGACTGTAGCACTGACGTGTCAGATATTCCACAGATCACTGTATCACCAGCGACGACTTACAGTGTAGTTGGAACTGTCCTCACTGTTGCCGACCAAACTTGCCAGCTCGCCCATCGCCCGGATGCCAATGATGCCCTTGATGGCCAGGTTCGTCTGGTTAGCGAGCGACCCCGCGAAGTCGTCCGTGCTGATTTGGTTCGCGGGGATGAGCGAGTCATTGATCAGGTATTGCGTCCACTGGTCGAGGAGCTTGTACTGTAAAGGCATAAGCTCGCGTCCGTGCAGTGCCGTGAACAGCGTGTCTACTAATGCGACACTCACGTAAGAGGTGATCAAGGAGGTGTCGCTGGTAGCTTGGACGTAACTCAACGTCATGATAAGCATGTTGCCGCTCTCTTCGAGTGGCATGGGCTCGTCTTTCCCTAAGGACATTGTTCAGACACATCATCACTACCACAACTCAATACCTACCGTCATTGTGACCAGTTGCATTCGGGTAATGCGCCCCTGTCAGGTTCACGGGTTCAGCGCTCTGCGAGTTGCAATGTGTAAGAGTGACGAACCCATATCATGCACAGCCCATCCGTTCGGATACTGACCAGTTGCCTGGTATTCAAACAAGGACAGGAGGAGATACTTGCCGATGGCGGGATTCGTGTACAGGAATATGGGCCAAGCTGGGTAAATGACATCGACCGTGTTGACATTCTGTAGTCCATCTGTCAGTTGAAGAGCCATACATCGCGTGCAACACTACTCACGCCGTCACTCGAAATTTCTGCTCAGAGGGCGGTGAATTAGGCGCGTCTGCGGATTCATGATCGCTGATTCTGACTGAAGCGCACGCACCCTTCATGAATGTCATGATGTCTGACGTGTTGAAGTTGCCAGAGCTGTCTTTCGAGATCGTGAACTCGATGGAACCGAAGGCCTGGCGGACGGCAAGTGCGACCCAGTCAGCATAGTCAGACGAGATTTTAGACGCGTCCGAGCTGATCTGTGCATCAAACGCAGCGGCCCTCGCCAACGCATTTTCATAATCGCCCAAGAACGTCGACAGCTATTGCTATAAATCAGCACGATATCATCACAATATGGAAAGTGATACATACCACTTCCGTTGCCGTTGAGAATTGACTCCAGAAGTACAAGTTCCGTTGCTGTAACTGATCATCCGCGATGATGTATTGAATTGCCGGGTCGCGGACATGGCCGACGGCATAGAGGACGGTGGCTGACGTTCCCGAAACTGTGCCCAGGTCGTGCGCGAGGGCGAACACGGGCCAATCATTCGAGACCGCGCGGAAGTTCGTGTCTTGGGTGTTTGCGAGTACGCCGTTCTTGATGAACTGCGCACGAACAACGATGTCCTGGCCGGTCTGGTAGGTGACGTTGTTTGTCTACAAGAGGATAGTCAATCAAAACGCCCCACGAGCCGGTGTCACTGATGGCATACGTTCAACGTCGCATAGTATCCGGAGCCCTCTGTAGTGTTGAGTCAGAATAGTAGATCAAGATAGACTAGTGGCATGACTAACGTTGAGTACGGTCATCGACTTCGCCGAACTCGGTCTGGTCCTCGAGCTGCACTTGGTGGAAGATTATGTCGCCGGTAGTCGTAGTCCAGTTAACCGTTAGGCCATCGTCACCAGAGACCCACTCTGCGCTGATGTCTGAGTACACAGACACAGTGTGCGATTGACCGTCATTAGAAGCCGCAGACAGCGCCATGTAAGAGAAAGGAATGGATTGGTTCAGCAAGTCGCTCGGCTATGGAGCAACAAATATCGTCAGAATCCATTGCTGAATCTGTACTGTGAAGGCACAGTCACCTCGACAGGACTGAGGAAGGTGACGGTCAAGTCGATTCCTCCTGCAGTCAATACGAAGATGCTCTGAGTGCTGGTGAACTACAATATCGTGAGTGTTGTGCTGCCGAGACACCAAACCAAGATTACCTCTGCGCTTTTCTGTGAAGCCTTCGAGAAAGTTGCGCCAGACACAGACGAATCACCGAGGAAGCTGTAGGACGAGCCATCTACGTTCACGTAGCCTGCCCATCCTAGGGTCTAGAAGTTATACTACTTCAGCACATAAGTCATTCAGGGAGGCCATCATTGCTTACAGAACCGGTCCAGAATTGTGGCCAAGCCCCGTTCAACGCCGTGCCACTCCCTTGAGGCAACCAAGCGGAGAGGTACGGAGAGCGAACTGCAAGAGGGTAAGAAGGGGGACTAAAGGGCGTCGCAGTCCAGCTCAGCGCGAGGCTAACAGCGGGCAGCAGCAGAGCGGCACCCAGGACCAGTAGGCGCATTGTCAAAGTGTCGAAGTTGACGCGGACGTTGAGATCTCTGAGACTCGGATGACGAAAGGCGTTCGATCTTATACCCGGCTGAGTGTAACGTAGGTTTGACAGCCCTGGTTGTGACAGCGATCATGGGACTAATAAAAGCCTGTACCACGCGTATCCACCGATCGACTCATGCGGTGAACTGCTGCCTCCAGACTCCAGTTACGAACCCAGCTTCACCTAAGCAGGCTCACGGGGTCAAAGGGGTAAACATAGGTTTCAGAGAACCCACGAGAAGGCAGGAACGCACCAAATACGTGGGGACACATGTGCGTGCGGCAGGTTCTGTGAGCCTGAGAGGAGCAGCCACCACGGCGAGTGGGCGGCCCGCTGGCGGCGGCGGGTCAGTGCGAGAGCGAATTGACCCGTGAGACCAGGACTGCAGCCGCTTTGATCCCAAACATTCCTTGTACGTACCTCGACAGATGGCAACAAAGTGGCCGCTCTCACAGCAAACGCTCACATACGGTCATTGTTGAGATTCTCAACCTGTGCGTGCACAGATTTTTCGGGTTCCAGCTTAGCCCCGTGCGACGTGGGCATCATCGACCTTCTGAGCGTGGAACGAGGTGGAACGCCATGAACTGCTGCTGCTTTCGTCCAGTTCGACCTGCGCGCGGGCCGGTCAGATTTGCCCATCGCTAGACACGCTGCACTGCCACTTACGAGTGATGCCAATGTCCGACGGACGGCACACCGGGCACGGTACAAGGTGGCATGCGACTTGCATGCGACTCGCCGGTTCCTCATATCATTAACCCCCAGCGCCCACTCGATATTCGCAATCTCGCCGCGACGGCATGTAACAGAATGCAGAGTACGTGGTCTCGATAGGCTGCGGAATGCAATTATGCTGCGCCGATGCAGGTCGGACGCAAGAGGCTGGAAGTCGATGCTAAACTGCTCCATCGCTGCTGCACATCAGAGTTGCTCAGCGCATCAATGACCAAATAATAGCACACAACGCGATCGCGATTAGGGCGTGCTTGTGTTCACGCGTCGCGACGCGTCCTTCGACAGCGTTGTACTTGGCTACATTGTCTCTTCTGCGTTCAGAGCCCAGAATAAGTGTACGTATACAAGAGCGCGGAGCTACACGAAGCCGTCCGAATACATTGTCCTTGGCAACGCTGGGTACATTGTATTCAGCCATAACAGTACTCCTTGTGGGTCCATGTTGCCACGCCGTCCGAATATGTAACATCCTTGTTCGTACACTTTGCACCCGAAGTATAAAGAGCCAGAGCTCAGGTACTGCAAACCAGCTCCTCTGTGAGTAACCTACATCTCGTCCGCGACGAGTGTCCCTCACTTCAACCCGCGCTCCTTCACGCCACGCTCCTGCAAGCCTACCATGTCCTCCCACACCAGTGCTCCGACCTCGGCCCTCTTCGCTGCGCCATCGACTACGTCCAACCCGTTCGCTCTGGTTGCGACCTCACACTCTCCGCGCGAATCGTTTGCATTGTACGAGGACCTTTGGCGGCTGTTGCGCCCAGTGTCATCGAGCGAACAGACCGTGCCCGCGCGGAAGCGCAGGAACAGCTTGCCCTCCGGCGTGACAGGATGGAAGCGGATGCTCTGGTTGTAGGGCGCCATACACCTCAGTACGTAGAGCCATATCGTCGGCGCCGCGTCCCGAAATGACGAGCCATTACAGGAGACAGGAGATCTGCTACCCTTGACGGGCTGCATCTCATAACGAACCCATACGCGACAACAGCCACTGCAACCAAAAGAAAGCTCGCTTTCGAGCAACTGCAACACGAAACGTGACAGATACCAACGCATTTCCCGGACAGTTCCCCTCCCTATATCCCAACGAAAAGGACACTTTACGATGCTCTGTACTTGTATACTGGAACATTACCTCTCCTTAATCACGACACGACCCCTACGATTCTGTACATACGAGCAATGACTTCTCCTTAGTCACACGCATTTCACGGGCTTTCTCTGACGCATCTGCATCAACGTGTGCCTTTGATCGATTTCCCTGCAAGCACACCAATCAAGAATGTTCACGGATTCCAAAATCTGACCACTGAGGTCATAAAACCTAAAGCATGGAAGCATAAATAAACAACATGGCTGTGAGCGTTAGTGCCACGCCTAGGCGCAGAGGGGTTCCTGCCCATTTAGAAGTGGCCCCAGCTACAAAGCGAGGGACAGGAGCGTCATTGCCAGAGCAGGCAAGCAAAGCCAGCTGAGGACCGTGCGCGGATCCAAACTCATCGCGGAAGAGTGGGAACTCGTGGTAGCCGTAGACGACGACTGTGGTGATGCTGCTGTCGCAGTCGGCCCAGCAGTGATGCTCGTGCCCGACGTAGAGTTGGAGGCGGAGGTGACGAGCTACAGCAAGATGCAAGATCAGCGTTCAGCATGCTCATCTCAGTAAATCAATACAACACAGAACGCACCAACGCGAGGTGGCCACCGACGACCGGTCGTGCCCTAACGGCTTACAGCTACTTCCTGTGGTGCATATTGCCTTACCAGTCGCGGTATCGTACCAATCAGAAGCGGGGACGCTGTTCAGGCTGGACGAGAGGTATTTGTGCACGTAGTTGATGAGCTGGTTCTGTGCAGAGGTGGTGGTCATGGTCGCGGCAGCCCATATCTCCCAGTCTGACGAGTCATGGTCCGTGTTAAGAGCGCGATTGCGAGCGGAAATGGAAGAGACGGTGCTTACTGCTGAGGACATATGTATTCCTGGCAAGCAGAAATGATTAGATGGCTGGTCAACAGACAAGAGGAGGATTGAAGGCCTACCGGGTGTCCAAAGGCACGCCATAGGTATCTGCATGTGATGAGATCCTTGTATGAAGATAGCTTGTATTTGACTTACTCTCAACGGAGGTATACCATTCCGTTTCTGAGTAGCAGAATGCCCTGTTAGCAGGCGAACACGCCTATCGGCGAATTCAAAACTCACGCATCTCATAGACAGAGCTAGGGACGATGTTGGTTCCTAGAAGCTTGTCGGCGTACATGTTGTACGAGATGCCCCAGCTGCACGGAATAGTCCGCATGAGGTCTCACGCGACTTGTTATCGTAGGCTTACCTTGACGAATTGCCGTACTACACCATCCTCGATCAGCACTCATACAATCAACCCGGGAGGATCACCGTACCTGGAGCGTCAGATGTATCCCATCCGACGTCGTCGCCATCTGCTGCCACTTCTGCACATACGAAGACGCGATCGACTGCACCCAACATCAGCATCTATCAGACCATCGTTTGGTCAGCAACCACGACGCACGTTGTAGTTCGAGTTCGCTGAAGAGTTGCCCAAAAGGCTGGCGATCTCTGCCATAGCCTTGATACCGATGATGCCCTTGAGGGCAAGGTCGGTCTGGTTCGTGAGCGAACCCGCGAAGGCGTCCGAACTGAGCTGGTTCGTCGGCTCGAGTGTGTTGGAGACGAGGTACTGGGCCCACTGATCGAGGAGACTGTACTACAAGAAGAAGGGGAGTTTAAACCAGGTGAATCAATGAATCCGAGTAACATGGCGTACGTATGTGGTGATCAGCGACTTGTCGTTGGTCTTCTGAGTGTAACTCAAGGCCATGATGAGCATATTGCCATCCTCTAAAGCCATGCGTCAGACCCAGAAGTCCGCAATGTCTTCCATAAAACTTACCCTCGACCGGCATGCGAGTGTCGTTTCCTGATCGAGTCTCGTCAGATAGGCACGACGCAATGAAAGATCTTTCATCGCTCACCCTTCGGATACCCAGGGGCCTTAGGGTACGCAGGACCTATCAGAAGTTCAGGACGCATAGAAGACAACGTCTGCGCGTTGATCACGAACCCAAATCATGACAAGCCCACTTGTTGGGATACTGCCCGGTTGCTTGGTACTCGAGCAACGGAAGCAATGCGGCCTTGCCGATAGCGGCGTTCGTGTACAAGAAGAGAGGCCACGCGGAGAAGAGCAGGTCCGTTGTGCTGACTGACTGCAAGACATATGGTTCACGAACGTCTCAGGAAACCCTTCGATGGAGTGCTTACGTCGGAACTACTGATCTCTGGGGATGATCGGAATTTCAGAGTCGGACGGCTAGTGAGGACGAGAAGGGTACGTACCCTTGACGAACACCATGACATCGGAGGCATTTCCCGGAGTGTACGTGAACTCCATAGCGCCGAACGTTTGCCTTACGGAGAGCGCGACAATGTCTGTGTAGTTGCTAGAGATCGCCGTCGTGTCTTTGTTGATCTCCGCGTCAAGAATATTCGCCCGGCTCAGCGCATTGCTGTAGTCTTCAACGAAGGTTGTAATCTGCACAAGGCATCAAAACGAACCCAAAAACCCTGACATCTCAGAACTTACCGCGTCATTGGTCGATGAGAACTGGCTCAGGTACAGCGAGCTCCGCGATTGCATCGTGCCACCTGTTGCGACGTAGCTGATGGCGGGATCCCTGGCATGTCCAACAACAAACACGACGGTGTCCGACTGGCCGGTGATGTTCCCAAGATCGTGGGCAAAGGCGAAGCACGGCCAGTCATTGTTGATCGCGCGGAAGTTGGTGTCCTGCGTATTCAGAAGAGTGCCGTTATTGATGAATTGAGCACGCAAGACAAGATCTTGGCCTGTCTGCCATGTCGTGCTGGAAGACTATTCCGCGAGATCAGCGAATCTTCTGCGCAAAATATCCATGACACCTACGCTCTGTGACGCGTAGTATACCGCTCCATCTGGACAACGCTCAATTGGGGACAAGACATTGATAGACAGACTCACACTGAACACGATCACCACTATCTGTGAACAAGGTCTGATTCTCAAGCTGGACCTGATGGATGATCACGTCGCCAGTTGTCGTGGTCCAGTTGACTTTCTGACTGTCAGTGCCGGAAACCCACTCCGAACTGATATCCGAATAAACTTGCACGGAATGGGAGTTGGCGTCTGTCGGGGTTGCGTAAACCGACATGTACGAGAACGGTATAGATTGGTTGACGAGACTGGTCGGCTACCGTGCAAGCTTGTACATGAGCGTCGACCAAGAAGCAAATGAAGGGTCGCTACCTCGACGGGACTCAAGAAGGTCACTGTCAGCTGAATGGGGCCAGCAGTCAAGACGAAGACACTTTGCGTTGACGTCCACTGGGGTTTGTGAGCTAGGCAGCACATGAATGTCGAAGAGACACGTACCGACAAGCTGGTCTGCGTAGCTTGTTTGTACGTAGTCTTTGCCACTGCAGGAGCTCCCAAAAAATGTAGGACACGCCATCGACTTTCACAAATCCCGCCCATCCAAGCGTCTGAACAGATCGAAACCTTCAGTCGTGGTACCATTGTTCAGAATTGCCTTGTACGCACATCGCCATTCCAGAACTGAGGCCAAGTGTTACTGAGCGCGGATCCCGAACCTGCATTCTGGGGCAGCCATGCCGATGAATAAGGAGAACGAACAGCAAGAGGGACGGAAGGAGGGTTGAAGGGAGTCGCCTTCCACGCGATTGAACCGTGAGCATAACCGACACAAGCAAAGAGAGCGACTAGAAAGTTGAAGAGACCAAACATGTTGTCGGTGGAGAAGCCCACGGACGGGGGAAGAGGAGTGGTCTACAGCACCGCGTCGGTCATATATTGCGCCTGAGCATGCGAATCAGTTTTCAGGGGATAAACGTTGCCACAGGCTGTCATCATGATGTGATGGTCGAGAACGGTGTATTTGAATGGTCAAGTATGAGTCGCATCGCGATGTATATGACTCTGAGAATCGCCAGTTGGCAGTCGCCCATTGACAGATCGCAACAAACCAGTGAGCGTCTAGACTTGGCATCTGTGCCTTTCAGAACTTCCGGAACTAATGTATGTTTATTCTGATAACATGAAGACCGTGAGCCGATACTGACCATGAACGTTTGAACACGCACATGCAACAGACCGCTCACCTTCCTGGTCACTCTGACGGTGGTGCAATGAACGTACTGTACGGTGTTGTGGCGTTGATCAAGTGTTGATGCGGCAGACAGTAAGTGGCGCTGCACAGCCACAATGGCCGCCGTAATGCATTTGTCCCAATTGAGCGCTCAACACACGCTAATGGATAGGGATCCAGGAGCTTGACCGGGTCTCGGGCTTCAAATTGACGAGAAAACCAAGGCCCCGGGGACATGCATAGCTAAACATCCGATGGCCAGAAGCAAACGATGGGGTACGCAGCAAAGGCACGATTATGCCATGGGACACTGGTTCCCACAAAGCATCAGTCGACTAGTCGCAACTTGGTCGCAACAGCTAACTCCTTCCTGACCGCATCCGTCAAGTCCCGCTGGTTCTTGTGTCCACCATGCATGTTAACGTCCACCCTGTGTAAACGTCGCCTTCATCCCTAGCGAGACCGAGTCGTCATAGATCACAACCTGGTCCGCCGCACCTGTGCAAAAGCGGAGACATCAGTGAGCGGATTGCCATTCGCGTCTGCGAAGGGTACGGTCTGTACGGTCTGTACGGCTGCGCTCATCTTATTAGGGGAGTGTCGCCCGGAGAAGCCGCAGAGACAACAAGAAGTTCGCCGTATCGCTGGGCGAGACGATGTTCCTGCCGTTCCCTGCCTGGCCCTGGCTAAGACAACGATCATGAGACTCATAAGAGCCTGTACCACGCGTGTCCACCGGTCGATTCATGCGGTAGACCACTATTTCCAGACTCGGTCTGGGAACGCAGCTTCACCTAAGTAAGTTCACGAGGTCAAGGTGATAAATATAGGTTTCAGAGAACCCACCAGATGAAGGTAATATACAAGGGGACGATGAGTTTACATGTCATCGACACTCCACTGGTAGCTCTCAAGTCCTCGTCGCCGCTTGTCGTTCTGTCGCTGAAACAGCTTCTTCTCGAAACCGTTGCCGCGATCTGGCATTGAAGATGAGCGCCCTGACACATGGAGCGGGAGCACAAACAAGACGCACCGACACCGTCCCAACGGTATCCAGGTTTGATACCATACCGATTTGGCGGAGGTGGTGGACCGGAATACTCGGGTTTGCGCGGACCTTTGGATCGCTTTTTCTGCAGGTGAATCGTCAAAAATCTGGACCCCGCGAGCGAAAGCAGGCGAAACGCACCGTTAAGAAAGCGGCAGCAGGATCGTTCCATCTGTCCTGAGCCTTCAACTCCTCGTTCATGTCTGCGTCGTTCTTGTCCCGAGCGAACGGACGCGCCCGCATCGCCTCTTCCTCCTTCCTCCTCTTCTCGACGTCCTCCCGTTGCACAAGACCCTTACCCCACTCCATCTTGCGCGCCTCCTGTTCCTCGCGCTCACGTTTCCGCCGCGCCGCCTCAGCCCGCTCTGCCGCCATGTCCACCTGCCTGCCAGACGAGTCACGATAGACAGTCTCCTGCGCCGCAGCCTGCTCCTCCAGCTCCTTCTCCTTCGCCGTCTTGCCCCCCTTCTCGCGCGGAAGTGTCTTCTTGAGCTGCGCGGCCGTAAGGAGACCGCCCTTGAACGCGGGCTGCTCCTCGACCACTTGCGGCTGCTCGTCCGCGGCCGGGGGCGGCGACTCTTCGCGCTGCTCCCCCTCGCGGACGGTCGCCCAGCCCGACGCCTCGTCCATGCGCTGCCGCTTCTTGAACCCGCGGTCCTCCGCCACCACCGCGTCAGCGACCTCGTCCTCGTCTGCCTCGCGGTAGCTGTCCCAGCCGAGAACGTCGTGGTCTTTGATGAAGGACGCGCCGGAGCTGCCTGCTTTCGAGGACGCGGCTGTGCCTGCCTTGCGTTTCTTCTTCTTGGGTGCGGATGTGCGCGAGAGGATCGCGTCGGCCTTGGGGCCTGACATGTACTTGGCCGCGAGATAGGCCTGCATTAGAGGATCTAAAGCCTCAGATTGAACGGGCAAATGTATGAGTGAGAGTACGAAGGATACGTCAGGGGACGGTTCGGCGCGCGGCAACGTAGAGTGTTTTGGCGTCTATTTGAACCCTCCTCATGAAAATATTCACCACCCTCGCAGTGGTGCTCCGAAAATCATTTCAAGTGGTGGTATATATACCTAGCATAGATTGAAGCTTGAACGGAATGCGTACTCTGCTCTCGGACTGAGGGAGACCCATAGAGTGCTAGGGTGGCGGAGATCGTGGCCCGATACAGTATGTACATACTAAGCGCTCAACACACGGTCACGTGAGAAGCTTGACCAGGCCTCGTTCTCTGGACTGGCGAAAAGATCTATACATTAATAGGACCTGGGGGGAACGCATAGCTGAAATGTGAAAGCGGATCCGATAGCAACAAGCAAACGACGGGATATATAGCAACCACAAAATAATGCCACAGAACGCTGGCTCCCACAAAGCATCAGTACTCAGTCCCGACCCAACCCCTTCCTGACCGCATCCGTCAAGTCCCACTGGTCCGTGTCTCCACTGATGTCGAACATATTCACGCCCAACATCCCGACACCCTGCGCAAAAGCCGCCTTCATCCCCAGCGAGAGCGGGTCGTCGTAGGTCACGACCTGGTCCGCCGCGCCCGACCGCAAGAACGGCGTGCTCGAGCACGCGTCCCACTCCCGCGTGAACCCGCTCCATCCGTCGTACACGCTGTCGATCTCCCTCCCGTTCGCGAGGTAGCGCGTGGGCGAGCTGCTCCCGTCCGGGCTTGCGTCCCCCGACTGGCCGTCGTACGGCTCTTGCGGCGTGTACTGGAGGATGCCCTGCGCCACGAGTGCGCGGAACTGCACCTGCCCGTTGGCTGCGCTTCCGTCCTCGTTCGTGGCCATAATCGGGGGCGTTGACGTTGAACTCTCTGACTCGGAAGACGCAGCAGAGCCGCCAGACACGTCCTCGGACATACCTCCCGAACCGTACGCGTCCGTGTCTGCGTCCGTCCACTGCAGGAGCGACGATCGAGCGCGGTGCCGGTTGCGCAGACGCCGGCGATGCGCGCGCCGACGAGGAGGCGCCGATCGTTGGCGGAGGCGCGTCGCGCTCGTTTGCGATATGTACCCGTACGCGGGAACCCCGAGCACGAGCTGGCTGGCGGGGAAGCCTGCGGAAGTCCACGCTTTTACGGCAGCCGCGGCGCTCGCAGTGGGCTGCGTCGAGTTGTGGCACGCGTCGCTGAGGGGCGCGTTGGGGCCGGGGGTATTCGATGCTGGGCGAGCGCGTGTCAAGGTCAGTGTGGTCTCTGTTCGCTTTGCGCGTAGATTGTGGAAATGAGTACGTACAACCCCATGCATCGTAGTTCATGATCAGGACCCAATCGAGCACCTGTGCGAACGCGGAGACGTCAGTGAGCGGATTGCCGTTCGCATCTGCGAAGGGCACGGTCTGCACGGCTGCGCTCATCTTCGCATCGGGCGGGAGCGTGGTCCGGAGAAGCTGCAGAAACGACAGGAAGTTCGCTGTATCGTCGGGTGAGACGGCGTTCCCGCTGTTCCCCGCCTGGCCGGGGTACTCCCAGTCGATATCGACGCCGTCAAGCCCGAACGCGTCGTAGAACGCGCGGATGTTGTTCGCGAACGTTTCCCTGCTCTGCGCATCAGACACGGCCGGAGAGAAGTATCTATCCGCTTCCGTTAGCACGCATACATACCACGCGTCGCGGAAGGGACATACTGGCCGCCCGTCCACCCGCCGACACTCAGCTTCACCTTCGCGCCGCTATCGTGCGCCGTAGTCACCAATCGCCCGAGCAGATCCTGCGCCTCATCCGAGCCGTCCCACGTCAAGTTGTATGTTTGGTCGGGCACCGCGAACGCGAAGTCGATCCAGTCGAACCGCCCAAAGTCGATCTTCTCCGGCGGGAACGCGGGCGCCGCCCAGTCCGGGTAGTACGCCATGACCAAAGGCGTCGCCACCGGTCCCGGTGCGCTGCTCGGCGAGGGCGCGGAGGGATCTGCGGTGGTCACAGTCGCGGAAGGTGCGGGTGTGCTCGTCGGCGGCGCGGTGGGTGTCGAGCTGAGAACAGCGGTGCTAGACTGAATGGTTGGAGACGAAGCCTGCGCAGTGGGAACTAGCGCTCCCAACGCTGACTGCACGCCATCCGGCGGGAGGAAGAATATCGCCTCAGAGTCCAAGCCCGAGGATGTCGTAGCACCAGCACTAGGGGACGCAGAGCTCGATGTGGACATCCCGGCGGGCGTGCTTGATGACGAGACTGCGGTGGCCGATGGATCTGCAGACGACAGTGTAGAGGCCCCGGGTACAAGGAGTGTTGAAGTGACAGTTTCCGTGACAGCCAGATCATCCTGCGCGGGCGCAGCGAGATCCCAGGGTACGCCGAAGGCTAGGCTCGGGAGGAAGAGAAGCGCGACAGATATGGATCGACGAAAAGACATTGCAAAGGGGTTTTGTCAGTCAACGACAATGCGAAAGCAGATTGTGCGAAAGCGAAGGAAAGCGAATGAGGGCCTGCCTGGAGAAACGAGCTAGACTGGGTGGTCCGCTGGAGAGATCCTCTCCTTCACGCAGAGATGACCATTGCTGCGTTGCGAACGCGACTACGACCGAGAATGGACCATGTCAGCCACGGAGGACCGCAGTCCAGGCCAGATGGACAACTCAACGAAGTCATTTCAAAATCGCCCGACTGATTCGTCGCAACTCTCCGGACCCAACCCCAGATCATCCCCTTAGCGTATTTTGCTTCCGTCTTGTTCTGGTTTCAGTCGTGCGCAGTGCGTACCGAGGTCTGAGAAGCGGGTCTCAGGACGCAAGTACAGCCCGCCTGAGCAGACACAGCTGTTCGGGTCATCGTGACTGATGCCAGCGAGGGGCTCATCGTCCCGAGGCGAGCTAGACGAACGGGATGTCACGCTGTGCTTCCGAAAGGTACAGTCCGACTGGCACGTACCTTGACCCAGCGGCCGTCGGGGACCCGCTGTCTGACGCCGTCGATGCACACTATCACCGGAAGCCCGCGTTGGATGTAGAGACGGCCCGAGGGTTAACGTTCAAAGTTCAGTTGACAGAGACCCATCGTACCGTTGTATCACCGAGACGTTATGAAGAATGCGAAGACGAGGAAGCGCAATTAATCACCGAAATCAACATTCGCGCATGTGCATGATGAAAGAACTCGAAGACTGGCCGCCATTTCGACGTCGAAGTACCGGGCTGTCGACGTGGGATGTCGATCTATCGTTGACAAGGCTCTAGGCTCGTACCGACGCTCTGCGGCGTGTCCCTCGAAATCTGACCCGCGCATCCACCATCAGGAATTGTCCCCCTATTGAGGATCTTTGTGCACTTTCTCTCGCGGTGACAACGGGGATGGACAGAACCACGCGCGACGTTTCAGCTACTCCGGTCCTGAGGCATATGGGGCCTAGACGTACGGCCCAAGCGCATTCCCGAGCGCGGCCCGCAAGGCCAATGACACCCGGCTTGTACCAAGGGGCATGAGCGGAACAGAGGATCCATCTACATGCGGGAGGATCAGGGCGTGGACAGATGTCAACTTGCGTACGGGGATGTTGGCCTGAAGAGGAAGGGGGAACGCTCGAGACGTCGGGACGTGGCAACTGGCAGAGGACACGTCCGACTGTGGCTGATGCTGGTTCGAGGCGTAGAGATGTGACAATATACGAAGCAGCCTGTCGCTGAGACATCCCTCCGGAGCTCATATGCTGCCATGCACGCACCAACAAGGGAGGATCCGTCGATCATGGGCGAACATCTGCGAGGAGAATGCGAAGTAGGCCATAATCAATCACTCACAGTTTGGAGAATTGTGATGGTGAGGTGCACGAAGGAATCACATTTCCTTTCGAATGCGAGAGTGAATATTCTAGGATCGCCAGCCAAAAGGTGTGTCGCACGAGATGATTGACGTCAACTTTCGAGACAATGCTGAGCGGTAATTATATCGCGCACCATACGCGAGAACACTTGGCCAGCGTTGTTGCATGACAACGGCGGCGTGCCGCGGAAGATCTGCGCCACGCCAATTTGGCACGCAAATGAATAATAAACGACGACCGCGGATGTCTGTCCTTCGTAGCGGTCCCAGTAAGGATAAGAAGCACAACAAGACACGAATGGAACGTGGGAGGGAGGGTATTGTCTCCCAAATGGGGTGAACATCCCAATCAAGCTCAACGCGTTGGCTTGATGCCGAGTTCTCCATTTGGTGACATGGCTGCCTTTACGGGCGCGAAGACGGAACAAGTCACAACAATGCAGTTCGGAATGACAGGGTTCGATGCAGGAAGGTGAAACGCTGGCGCTCGCACTCACCGTCGCAAATATTACTCAAGCCGACGCGTGTCCCACAGTCCCGCACCCCCTCGAGGCTTCTCATAAGACATGAGGCGGACGCATATACGCGGAGCCAACGGCGACAGGGCGCGAGGCGAAACGAAGAAGGGGCGGGCCGGAGGAGGCGTCGAGTCATGTCGGTGGCGGAATCCGTCGCCGGGCGCGATTGGATGGCGGCGAGGTCGCCGGGCGCCACGATCAGTTGAGCGGGCCAATGGGTGCACACAAGCGATGGCCGACCGCAGCGGGCAGCCGCACAAGGGCCGCGCTGACGGCAGCCGCACAGAGATGCCAATGAATAGGAACAATGGCAGCGCGAACAAGGTGTTGTGCGTGTGAAAGTGACTGGGCAGGGTTCGGGTGTTCTGTTGAGCGAGAAGGTGGGGGGCAGACAGCGCGACAGCGACAGGTGGCGGGCTTTGGGAGGCCTGGGGGGATCCGGACGAGACGGAGAGTGCGGGCTGGGCGGGAGCAGGATCTGGACGGAGATCTGGATCTGACGCCAGATTAGGTCGGCTTCGGAGCCCGATCCGCGCGCCTGTGGCGGGTCGCGTCTCATTAGGGCACGTGCTGCGAGAAGGCCGTGGTTGGCTGGACGGGCGTCTGCGAGGACATTGGAGGATTTGTGTCCGCGGTGTGTCGCCGATCGGCGAGGCGCCGCATCTGCGCCTTGCCTGCCACAATGGAACACCACCCACGGGGCCTCTGTATAAAACACCCGGTCCCAGGTTATCCCTCCTCGTCCCCCCGCCGCACCAGCCTTCTGCCATGTCCACGGCTCTCTTCCCCCCGCCACGCATGCCCTCGCCCCAGTACAAGCCCGCCCCGCTCCCCTCCCCGACAGGCAGGCCAGGCATCCCCTGCCGCACCTCCCGCGACCGCCTCCACCTCCCACCCCATCCAGAGGAGCCTCCCATCCCGCCCCGACTCATTGGCTCGCCCCTCCTCAAGAGGATGACCGTCAGGCCCGACCAGCCGCACCTCCTCAGCTACAAGGCCCAGTCCGAGCTGTGGATCGACGGCGATGAGTTCGGAACGCGTAAGACAGAGAGCGCACAGACGTCCCCAGCTTCGTCCCCCTCTTCGCCCGCTCCTGTCTCGCCCAGACGGCCCGGGCACCGACGAACCCCCTCCATCGTAGTCTCGTCGCCGCGAAAGCGATCGCACTCGCCGCCCCCGAGCCCCATGCCTGCAGCACCGCCCCCGCCAGTCCCGCCGATCCCCTCGTCCGCACTCGCGACCCCAGGGGCCAAGCGTGCCACCCTGCGCTCTCCGCCAACGGGCTACTCGCAGGTGCACATCCCGGACATCGATCACTCATCGCCGCTGGCGCCCACCTCCCAGCCAAAACGCACTAGGTGGGCTCGCAAAGCACCTTCTGTTCGCGGCCTTCATTGAGCTCAGGCCATTAGCAGCTCCCCATTCTCGTCGAGCTCGGTCACGTCGTAACGCCGCGACATCCGTCTGACGCTGGACTACGTTTGTCTATGCCGCTCGTCGCGGGCGCTGTATGTATCTCTATCAGCCGCAGTGTCGTCGCAGCCGCCACCCTCCTCACACGTCGCCATTCGTCGCCAGCGATCCTGCCGCCGTGCATTCGTGGTCACGCCGAGAGTCGCCGCCTTATCGCCATCGTCACCCGGGCTCACTGCATCGTCATGCTCGAGCTGACAGGGGCAGTACCTCCACTCGGACTAGCACGTCGACTGTGAGCTTCTGCCCGCCGGATGCTGGGGAGGGACTACCACGACGCTGCGTCGGCTCGCGCCCCGTGTACAGTAAACCCTGTGTAACTCCTGAAAAGTGCCCCTTTCTGCGCCCTTCTGTCGGGCACTCTCACGCCTTCTCCCTTTCGCCTACTTTAGATCCCACTTTCTACTCTGGTCCCGCACCGCATCCGTACTTCCTTATCACATCCGCGGGTCACTTTGTCGTCTTTTGGTTTCCCGTGCGCGATGTTCCGTCCACGTTCCTTCATGTGCATACTCTCCTACTCCTCCCGCTCTGCTATCCGCCCTGCTCTCCGCTCGCACCGTATGTTCTGCTAATCACCTGGTCCCTGTTACACATCATCGCTCCTTTCGCTTCGCTGTCTTTCTGGTCACAAGGGCATCCATATCGGTATTTATGGACTGAACTCTCTTTGGTTGTTACTTTCGTAGGTTAGACTCGGCGGGTGCTGTAGTACTGTGCGTTGTGACAGTACGCAGTCGTCCTCCTAATCGTCGTCATGTGTAGCATACGTTGTACCAAGTATGGTCGCAATGTACTTACTCTGATACATTACCCTCGCATAGTGAATGAATGATAGACGTTTCTACGCGTATTGTACTCCGTGCGCGCGGTGGGAAGACCTTGGCCCTGTGCGTTGTACTATACTGCACCCTGACGTACTGCTTCTCCGCCGCGCCGTGGAGAACACTCTCATGTTGTCAAGAGCCCGCGATCCTCCCCACCTCTTCTGACATTCGCACCTTCATACTGGGAACCTCCGTCCAACAGCTGCGCACGACCACTCTGCGACCACCCGTCGAAGCTTCAGAATCACAACACGATTGGAAGCCGCCGTCCATTTTCCGACAGGACGGCGGCAACGCATTCCCCAATCTGACTGGGCGCCCGATCCATTGCGCCAGTCCCCGGGTACTCACCGCCAGAACGGCCAGTAGCGTCCTCCCTGTGCTGCGACATAAGTTACGTGCTGCCGGCCATCCACGCTCTAGTCCCCGGCCCGCCTAGGTTCGCCGCCAGGCTACGGGGGCGTGCGGGCTCTGGGTATGGCAGGCCCGGTCACGGCGCCGGTTCATTGGCTGCGAATGCGCGTGGGCCCCTGTGGATGCCACTGTAACTGGAGAGCTGGTGGAGCGTTGCGGCTGAGCTTGAAGCTGATTCGGGGCCTGGGCGTCGGGAGCCTGACCCTATAGATTGAAAGCGGCACCGTGCCGCCGATCGAGTGACTCAGAGCAGTGCTACTGTACCAATGGGCTTCGCACTATGGTACTACCATAGTGCGAAGCCCTAGTGGGCGCCCCTGGAACGCTAATCGCGAGCCTGGCCAACCTGAAGGCGCCGCCTTCCTTGATCCTGATTGTGTGCTCGAACCCTGACGCGGACGGGCAGTCGTGGCTGATCTTGGACAAGGGCGTTTGGGACCTCGGCGCGCCGCGTCGCGGGTTCTTAGCTCCCATGTCGGCCGCGCACCAGTCATAGGCGGTGTAGCGCAGTCAGACCCTGTGTGTACCCCCGGGAGGGCAACGTCGTAGGACGTGTCCTGCGCAGACCTTCTCGTGGTCCGGGGGGTAAGTAGTCCGTAAGGACGAAACTAACTTGCGCATGGCCTCGGACAAGCAGTACGCCCCGAGACCAGGGATGATCATCCCGGATGGCTCACTGCCATCCACCCTCATATCGAGCTCGCTCCGCGAGTTCGACAAATACATAATACGCCTCAAGGCCACGAGGGTTAACACACGCTCTCAACCAAGAGCAACATACCTAGAACGCGTCCTGCTCGCTGGCTGGAGTGCCCTGCTCGCCTGTCCTTCACGAAAGGCGCCTAAAGGCGCCCACACGGGCGCTTTTCCCGGCGCTATGAGAATGATGGGAAGTAGGACTGGCGCTCCCTTTAGAGTTTCAGCCACACCTGTAACTATATACTCATCGGGAAGCCCCGAAAAGTGGACCACACTCACAGCGCCCCGCGACTGCAACGTGTACAAGTCACCAAGCCTATGCATACACATATTGCACCTATATCTCCTCAAAAACTACATAATTGAAAGAGCATGACAATGTCCCCTTCTCTACCTTGACGTGAGAGACACTGTCAACGTAATAGAAGTCAACTCTCATCAACTCCCAGCGCTCCCCATGACGTACCAGACGCCTTCAGCGTAACGCCCCGTAACGCCCAGCCTGGTGAAAGAAATAAAGAAACCCCCAAGCAACCACAGAGCTCCAGAACTCACCATGCCACGACGTCCAAAAGAAAAGAACATGCCCCCACCCCAGCGACAGCTCAGACGCCTTCTGCCAAAAGGCACACCGATCAGCCGCCTTCCGCCCTCCTTCCCTCTACCACGCCTCACTCTCCCCTCGAGCGACGACCCGGTCATTCTGGTCCAAGTCCTAGATCAACCAACTCAGGGAGAGGGGAAGGGAATGGTTTGGACGGTGGCGGTCCGTCCAGAGAGGCAACTAGCAAAAAATGACAAAATAACTCTGAAATCCTCAAATCACGAGACCGGAATCGGCCGTCTCTCCTCCCTAAACGGCCTACACCGCCACTGGGCGTCTTTCTCTATCATGGGAGCGACCGGGCCGTGCAGCCTACGCGTCCCGATTCCATGGGCAAGTCTCGACCCCTTAGCGTGCCACATACACATGTCACGCTACTTCGCTCTCTCGGAAGAGCCCGAGCCCCACCCCGCTTTCATCGGCAATCCCATGATCCATAACGACAAGGAGAACCCGTACGAATTTGAATCGTGGGAGGACCCTGCCAATTTAGACGCGCGCGTTGCACGGATTCGTAACCAATAACGGCGGGAAGGTGGATATAGGCAGGGGATCAAATGGAGAGCTCTAGAGGTCGCACGCGGCCGCGTTCCAGATGTCCCAATGAATACTTTTACGCCCTGCGCCCAGAGACAGCCCGAGAAAGCATGCCATAAAGTGTCAGACCGCACGGGAAGTCATAGTCCCTTAAAGATGATGGGCTGATGACGCCGATTTAAGCCGGCACCGCATGAGGGCATCACACGGCATGGCACGCATCCGATTGGCTCTTTTCCCTGCACTGCACGGGACTAGTTTCTGACAGCGTGGATACACGAGCGTAAACAACCATGGCAAGCGCCGGGGAATAAACGGAGCGCGCATCCTCCAGGGCGAACGAGTAGGAAGTGAATATACAGAGAATATAACGGACACCAGACGACGAAGAGCTCCTCTGAACATCCAGTACCGAGTCAAAAGCAGCCAAAATGCTATGAGTACACTCCCGTAGGATGGCACGAGTGAATAGCCAGCTTCCTAAATCACAATAAAGACAGTACGCACTCGTCTTCTGCCCTAAGAATCCGACCCAAGTTGTATACGAAGTGCCTCAAACTGGGAAGCCGCGGTAAACGCCTGCTGAATTTAACCATTAAATTACCCCCATCCTACGGCTCCTAAGACGGCTGCGGTGGACCTGTGGACGGTAGTCGCCCCAACCCATAAACGCCAAAGCTCTGGATAAAAACGCTGAACTATCCTCACCGTCACCATCCCACTCGAGAAACTCACCGCCTAGTATCTCACAAGCTCCTGCTACTCATCTCTGCTTCGATAGCAATGTCCGAACCTATGCCCATCCCTGGTCGATCGCCGACTCACGCGATTGCGAACGATGAACACGGCCTCTCGTCGCCATCTCTCGCAGCCTCGTCGCTGACCAAGGACAAAAACGGCTCGACACCGCTGGCCACCAACCCGTGGACGTCGTCCCGTGCCATCTCCCCTGACAAGATAACTGGAATCAGTATGTTGTCGCTCTCTGACCGTAACACAACTTAATGCTAGACCTGCGACACCCCAGGTTACGCGGAGATGCTCAAAAACGGGACTGCTGTTCGCCGTGAACCGCCTACCTCACCACCGTCTGTATCCCTGCCCTCCTCGCGCGAGCCTTCCCCCGGCGCGTCGACATACCTCGTCCATGACACCACCGGGAACCCGCCCGCCGACGACTTCGCGATCAGTGCGAACGTTACGCTCGTTGAAGACGCCCCTCCGCTGAGTGAGTCTCCTCCTCCGAGCCCCAAGTCCATCGCCCGTCGCCGCCGCGCCAAGGGGAAGGGTCGTGCGCGTACGCGTCCTCGTCGTCGCTCGCCGTCGCCGGACGTTCTGCCCGACCTGCTTCCGGTCGAAGACTGGGACGCGGAGGACGATGACGTCGATGACGAGCCTGTCCCCCTCCGCGCGTTGTTAGCGATACCCGCAAACGTAGACGTGCCGCGGCTAACCTGAGTGAAGACGAGGTAGAACCCCTCGTCGTCCGCTACCAGAACGCGCCACGCTCCCGGGCTTTCGTCACCGACGAAGAGCTAGAGGACATAATCATGAGCGACGACCGTGTTGACGACCGAAGGAGCGACAACGAGAGGACGACGTCGGTGCCCCAGGCAAGCGACCTTGCCACTCCTGCGTATTCACACACTCACCCTCCTCGTACTCCCTACCCGTCACCGGCAATGACTTCCCAGCGTGACCTCCCGGCCATGGCGGGCGTGTTCGACGCGCACCTCCGCGCCGGCGGGAGTGTTGCCGCGTCTCGCGGGTCGTCCGTGCCGCCGTGGGCATCGAGTCCGATACCTATCCCTCGCTCGCGCTCACCGCCGCCGCCTTACGGTCAGCAACCTTTCCATCCCGCGGCACCGCCCGCCTCTGCTCCTATCCATCACGGCCCGCCTGTGGTAGGTCATCCCCAGGCTGCTCCTCCTCTTGCACCTGCTGTGATGGGCAATCGTCCTCCACGTCGTTTCCCCCCGATGACGATGTTGACGAGGCCGCCGTACGGCGGATGGCGACGCGTGGAAGGGAACGACTCTTACTGGCGTGTTCGGGGAATGAACGCGGATCAGATCGAGGCGTGGATGGAGGATGAGAGCCCCGCGGCTCTCGTGCAGATCCCCGAGCTCGGCGCAACGGACCCTGGGGTGTGGGATCGTCTGATCGCGATCAGGACTGCCTTGCAACGATACTGTGGGGTCGAGAACGCATCTGTGACCGCTCCGCTCCCCGGGCCCGGCCCGAACCGTCCTAACTCCGAACCTTTTTTCTACATCATCCGCGATATCACACAGGCGCAGGCTGACGAACTCGTAGCGCGCCGCTGGGTCTCCGCCCCCGAGATCACGATGGGATTCGAGCCGTGGCGTTTCGACGCCCCCTTCTTTTTGGGCGCGTGGCGGCACATCGAACGTTTCCCTGACACAACGGAGGAGGGTATGGCCCGTGTTGTTCGGGATGCTCTCAGAGTAGAAGATGTCGCCGACGCAATCCGCGGCCTCATCGCCCAGGACATCCATGTAGGCGGCCTCTGGTCCGGTTTTGACGTCGACGACGTGTTTGACATCCTCCTAGACTCTGTTCACGTTCGCCACCTCCCATGGCGACGCAACCCGCGCACGGCAGAACCACTCGCTTTAATCTATTGCCAGTCTCCCACCGCCGACGCCAATGCCTGGGTCCATTTCCGTAACATTGTACAACATCTACGCTTCGGCAGTGCGCGCGCTGGTGCCCCGGAGTTTACCACGAGCCGTTTATGGTGCACTATATGTCATTCAACTGACCACCCAACCGGACTCTGCTACCTTGGTGATATTCCTGACTGGCATGGACCTCGTCCATCAGCAAAACTGCGAGTTTGTCTGAAGCAGTCTGAGAGTACTGACTCAGACTCTTCAGACCCGTCAGACTTCACGTCTGACAACGGGAGATTAGTTCTGACATCAGAAGCAATCTCTGATGTCAGACGGCCTTCAGACCGTTGCTCAGACCATTTCAGATGGTCGTCAGACTGCTACTTAGAGCGTAACAGAACGTAGTACTAATAGTACATACAATACATTGTAAACTACCAGCTAGTACTCATCGTGATCTTACCTGTCTGCCCACCCACATACACACCCTCCCTTCACCACTGTGCTTGCCGTTTCCGACAACTCCCCACTTGCTGGGCGTCGGGCTATCGTGTCGAGGTTCGGCGAACTGATGTCCACGGGCCGCGGATCCGTGGGCAATCGTGTAGGTACTCGCGGTTGGCGTGCGTTGCGCGCGCCCTGCCCGTCGCGGTCACTCATGATTGTTCCGTGCCCACCTTCCATTCGTCAGTCGTGCTTGCCCGCCCGCTCGCTCACCCGCCCGCCCGCTCGCCCGCCCGCCCACTCTCCCGCCGTCTGCTCGCTCGCCCACACGCTCGCCGGCCGCATGGTAGAGGGTGGCGCGGCGATGTAGCAGGGCTGTGGCAGGGCGAGAAGGCGGTGGCGTGGCGCGGAGGGCCCAAGCTCGCGACTAGACGTTCTGTTATTGTGCAGGGTCGCCTGGCGTGTGCGGTAGGTCCTCGGCGTGCATCGCACGCGCCCGGGAGATTGTAGGACGGCAGGGGAGGAGTGGGAAGGCGGCAGCCATGAATAGACAACCCCGCTCTTCCGCGGGGTCGTCATGGGTACGTGCTACGTGCTCGGCATGCGCTTCACGCGTCCGAGAGCTGCAGAGCGCGGGGCGGCGAGGTAGGAGGGCTGAGGCATGGCGAGAAGGCAGTGACGTGGCGGGGAGGGCCCGAATCTACGACCAGATGTCCCGTTGTCGCGCCAGGATGCCTGGGACGCTGGGACAGTGGGGGCAGATTGGGAAGGCGGTGGCAAACGGATAGAATCGGACGGCCCCGCTCTTCTGCGGGTCGCCCGTCATTTGTGCCAAGACCGCGACACGCTTGTGATGCGTGCGAGACGCGTGACGTGCTAGGGAGGGCGGTAGTAAGCAGGGAGAGAGATGCGGTGGTGGGGAGGGCGGTACGATGCGAATGGACGCCCCCGCTGTGATGCGGGGTCGTCTTGTGTTCGGCATGTGTTTGGTGCGTCTGCAAGGCATAGAGGGCGGGGTGGCGCGATGGTGGAAGGCGGTGACGTGGCGGCGGGCATAGAGCACGAGGTGACGAACCCGCTCTTGCGCGGGGTCGTCACGTCCTCGGAACACTTCTGATGCGTATGAGCCGGCAGCGGGCGACAGGTAACAGTACATGAATGACAGGGCAACACGGGAGAGTGAGTGGAAAGGAAACTTACTTATTCTGTCTCAGCTTTGCTTCCTCCGAGCGCTGTCCACCCGACGCGCGACACTGTTGGGCATAAAATCTGGATCGCGGGGTTCGCGCTGGCCGGGCCACGTCACAATGACGCGGCCTCTCCCCGCGATGTTCTGCTCATCTGCATGCATTAGGCCGATGCACTGCGATTCCGCGGGCTGCCCGAGGGTTGTAGATGTTAAAGAGTGGAGAGGCAGTGAGAAGGGAGGCGAGCGAGGCATGGTGGAGGTGGGAGGCGCGGCCCTCGCGATGGTGTCCGCTCGCTGTGCATCGTAGCCGCACATCGTGGCTACGGGCAAGCCGGCGCTTGTGCACCCTTCCGGACGCCTCGCGCGTCGCGACAGGCTTCTGCAGCCGCTGCGTGTCAGCGACGAACAGCGCAGCGCACCAAGTCGAGAGGTGGGGAACTTGAAAGGCGAGTAACACGACAGAGAGGCGAGGGAACCATGACGTGGCGAGGTGCCAGCGTGGCGCAGTTTAGGGCAGGCGCCTAGTGGACTTGGGGAGATTCGCTGCGGGTGGCTTGAGGTCGCGCCCGGAGGGTCTGACGGGTCTGACGGGTCTGAGTGGACTGCGTCGCCCTGAGAGAACGAGCACGGAATGAGCAGACGGAGAGCGACGAACGGCGCGGCCATAGACGCCCGATTGCTTCAGATGCGATAGAGCTCTCAGGCACCGGATCAGACGCCTCAGATCCCTCAGGCGCCCTCAGAACCCGCGCACATTTGCTGATGTCCTCGTGTTCGTAACGGTGTTGTACAGATTGCTGGAGTACATCCGCCCGCGGCCGCTCGCGGGAATGCTCGCGGTGGCCGTGGAACAGCTCGTGGACGCGGCCGCGGTGGTCGTGGACGCGGAAACGGACAGTAAACCTCCCGTATTTTGTGTAATGTTGTATCCTCGCGCCCCTACACCATCTACTCCTAGCGTCGGCTGTATGTAACATCACCCCTTCCTGCCTCACTATACCTAGTGTTGCAAAAAATGTCCGAATGCATCTACTTTGTTATCATCTTTCTCTCATGAGATCAGCTCCATCACCGGTGTGCCCAAATATACTGACCGGTTTCCGGGACAGGAAAGCCACTGGAGGAGTCCTTCTCACCATCAAACGGGCACTTGTAGACTTGCCCGGCCGAGAGGCTTAAGTTGACGCAAGTTTTACCTGCTCAACATGTCACCTGAAGCACCCAGGAGCGGTGCTCCGCCCTCGTGGATCGTTGTAGCGAGGGAGTGGTACCCCAACGGCGAATACACATATTAACAACACACACACGGATGTTTTATCGGCAACAGGCTCATCTCGACGCCCCCGAAGGCCAACCGTACCCCCTGCCTGCGATAGGCCTAATGACGGGGCAGCGAACACACGCGGCAGGGCCAGCTCCGTTCCCGCAGACGCCGCCGGAGCAGGCTTTCTCACAGCCCAGGCGTTGGACGTGCCGTCTGGACAGCGGCATGTCGGGCAAGAATCTCTTAACAGTGCACCCGCTCCACCCAGTCCAAGACCCAGCATACAGAGTACTCACCCTGATAGAAGACCGCCACGGGGCGGCCGCAAGACGAAAGCAGGTTTGATTATTGGATCCCTAAATATGAGCGGAAGGGGCTCCTTCGCATCCGGCGTACCTACGAATAAGTGGTCAGCCATCAATCAAGTAACTCGAGACTCCAAGATAGGTGTTCTCGCCCTACAGGAAACACATCTCAGCGACGAACAGGTAGGCAGGGTCCATGACCTTTTCGGGAGACGCCTCCGTGTCTGCCACTTCCCGGCGCCCAACACCCCTAACGCGCAGGGAGTTGCCATTGTTCTAAACCGTGAGTTAGTCAACATCAATAACGTCAAGACGCATGAAGTGATACCGGGTCGTGCGATATACATGGTCCTTGACTGGCATGCGGATCGCCGCCTACGAATACTGAATATATACGCACCAAACTCGACGCAGGATAATTGCGCTTTCTGGGGAATGATAACGGATCGCCTAACGCACCTACGCCTTGCGAAGCCGGATGTCATACTAGGTGATTTCAACATCGTAGAGGATTCGATAGACCGCATCCCGGTGAAACCAGATGCGTCGCCGGCTGTCGAGGCCCTGCAAACACTCATAAGGTCCTTTCACCTCCTGGATGGGTGGCGTGAATCCCACCAATCTGAGAAGGATTACTCCTTCCCACAACGAGGCAGTACCTCTCGCTCCCGCCTTGACCGCATATATGCAACGGAGGACCTTCTACTCTCGTCAGCAGACTGGTCGATTGTGACAACGGACGTACCAACAGATCATCGTCTAGTCTGCGCTAACCTCAGTGCGGCGTCGGCACCGTATGTAGGGAAAGGACGCTGGGCCCTGCCCCTTCACCTACTTAGGGATGAGAGTTTTATGAGCGAGGTCGTGCGAGTTGGTGTGAACGTGGAAAAATCGATGGAAAAGTACGCCTCGAACCAAACAAGGACTGACTCTCTGAACCCGCAATCAATCTTTGCGGCCTTCAAAGATGACCTAGCACAGATGGCTAGAGACCGCATGCGCAAGAAAGTCCCCAAACTAGATGCCGCTATCGCCAAGCTGCAAAGAGCCCTAACCGACCTCCAGGCTGAGCAAGATTTCATCACCAATACAGTGAAGCAGACCGAGGCCGCGATCGTAACGGACCGGATCTGTGAACTCATGAAGAAGAGAGGCGCGACGGCTAGATCCATGATAACTGCCCGATACGCCTTGAACGCGGAAACACCATCAGCATACTGGTCAAGAATAAATAGGGAGAAGAAGCCCCGTGATCTGATGTTCTCCCTCCGCAACCCTGGCACTTCGCCGCCGACATACGAGACGAGGTCAGACAAGATGGCGGAGGCGGCAAGAAAGTATCACGACGAACTACAGTCCGCTGGAGTTGGCAACGATGGTGTCCTCGAAATGCAGCGGGAAGACGCAATCCGTGAAACTTTAGCGTCTCTTCCCCCACCCCTCCCAGAGGATGCTTGTGCAGACCTAGATGAAGCAGTCTCAACGGATGATGTAGAACGCGCCTTGAAAAAAGCACAAACCGGGAAGGCTCCAGGACTCGACGGCCTGCCCTATGAGCTGTGGAAGGACCTGTCAGCTCGCTGTAATGCAGCGAAGACGCGAGGCCTAGATACCTTCGACTGTATAAGAACACTCACCCTTCTTTTCAATGACATCGACCTCTTCGGGATTCTGCCAGGGTCCCGTTTCACGGAAGGATGGATATGCCCGCTATACAAAAAGGGAGATAGAAGAGACATCAGTAACTATAGGCCAATAACACTGCTCAACTCAGACTACAAACTGTATACGCGAATATTGGCAACAAAACTTGGCTCGGTCGTGCCGAAGATTGTGCACCCGAATCAGGCCGGCTTTGTGCCAGGGCGCCATATCGAGGATCAAACGCAGCTCGCCCGAACGATGACGGACTTCTGCGAAGCTACCGAGGAAGATGGAGTAATTGTAGCCTTGGATCAGGAAAAGGCGTACGATAAGATTGCGCATGACTACCTCTGGAAAGTATTGCAAGCTTTCGGCTTCTCGCCGGCTTTCATAGCCAAGGTGAAACGACTGTATGAACACGCCGAAACGGTGGTGATAATAAACGGGGAGAAAAGCATACCTTTCCGAGTTGTACGGGGCGTTCGGCAGGGCGATCCTCTGTCCTGCCTGCTGTTCATCCTAGCAATTGAGCCCTTAGCGTGCATGCTGCGTGCGTCGCCCATGGCGGGGTTCCGGATACCTGGGATGGCTGACAGACTCATTACTACCCTCTTTGCGGATGACACGACAGCTTACCTCTCCAAGTCCGACAGATGGTCAGATCTATGGACGATCCTGCTGCGATGGTGCGTAGCATCCAGAGCGCGCTTCAACGATAATAAGACGGAAGTCATACCGGTCGGAAGCCTAGAATACAGACAAGAAGTAGTCGCGACCAGATCCATGAACCCCGACAGCCTAGACTCGGACTTCCCCCCTTCCGTACATATTGCAACGGAAGGGGAAGCCGTGCGTATTCTGGGGGCATGGGTTGGGAACCAAGTCAATGATGCTGCAGTATGGGCACCAGTTATGACTAAAATGAACCTTTTCCTAGACCGATGGGGTCGTTGTCACCCGACTTTCCGAGGGAAAAGGCATATTGTCCAGATGGGCCCCGGCGGCATGTCTCAATACCTGACGAAAGTACAAGGAATGCCTAAGACAATAGAGAACACCCTGGCTAAAATGATCCGGGATTTCGTCTGGAACTCACCGCGACCCGGGCCAGTCAACCTAGCAACATTGTACCGTCCCGTCGAAGAAGGCGGCCTCGGTATCCTGGATATTAAGTCGCGTAACGAGGCTATAGAGCTAACGTGGATAAAGCGATACCTGGACATGTCCGAAAACCGCCCTATATGGGCCTATGTGGTCGATGCGCTGCTAAGCAACGCAGTGACCGCCGACGCCGGAGCTATCCGACCAATTTCCCAGATCAACACTTTTCTGCAATCTTGGTCTCCCGCAATACATGGGAAATCTCGCCTACCGGACTACCTGGTAAAGATGCTGCGGGTAGGCCGCAAATACAACGTCAGCTTCGCGGCAATAAAGCTGACCAGGGCCATTAAGGAGGACCTACCGGCCTGGTACCATCTGGGAGCTGATCGCCACCTTCGACGCCTGAATAACACAAAAATAAGCGACTGTCTCCGGAACTCCCACAACGTGTTACGAGTCACGGACCTCGTACGGATGGCAGGACGACACAACAAACAGAACGGCCACGACCCATGTGGCTGTCAGCCGTGCCAAAAGGACCAAGAGTCTGGCTGCAGGCATACCCTACAATGCTGCGCTGCCGCTGCCCGCATCCTCACTATGATCCGCCCGAAGTGGCACCCGGACCACCCGTCGCCAGAGGATGGTTTATCCCTGACGCACAGGAGACTGGAAGCGAATATGAAGGCTCTCGAATCCGAGGATGAGGTCCTTTTTGACCCCTCGTTGACTGAAAGAGGTGGGGTATCAGAGGCTTTCCGCGCTTTCGTGGACCCAACAGCCCACGACAACCCTCCAGCCATACGCCGCCGTGTTGGGCGGGTCGTAGAGGAAGAAGCGGTGACAGCGTACGTTATACTAGGACGAACCCCGCCTGCAAACGACCCCGACCTCCATGCCAGGGTGGAAACAGCTGCCTGGTTCGGACAGGGAGATGAGAAGAACCGGACCCTCAGTTTTGTATGCCCCCGAGTACAAGACTCCAGCATCGAAGGCGAGATACGTGCCGCCTTGGCTGCGTGCAGACTCACGCCATTAGATGCCCCCCTACACTACGTGTGTGAGTCAAAGTTCCTAGTAGGAGCGCTGTCCACTAACCTCCTGACGTGGGAAGACAAGGGCTGGATTGATGTACGATACTCTGAGCCCCTCCGAGCACTGGTGAATGCTCTCCGGAAGCGATGTGCCCCTACTTTCCTGAAACGAGCAGCGACGCCGGACGAATGGAGGCGAATAGACTGGGCGCGCCTCCTCTTTACGGATGGTGCCGAGGAGGGCGGCCCCGACTCTGTTGCTTTGACGCGGGATGCCGCTTTCGACCTGTCCGGGGCTCGCCTTCTTTGCCTCTCACAGCGTCTGGCGTACAGGGGGATACGTCTTTCAGTCGTCACGGAAGACAGGAGACACGCACTTGTAAACATGGCGGAGACGGTGGATAATACGCGCACCGCTGGCTCCCCACAACTTCGGGCGGAAGATGTATGGCGGAGCCTCCGGCGCCACAGGGACCTTCGGCCTCAAATATCAGACTTTTTATGGAAAGTAATGCACCAGGCTTTCAAAATAGGCTCATTCTGGTCCAAGATACCGGGATATGAGGCTAGAGGATCATGCCCAGTGTGTGGAGAAGTGGAATCTATCTCACACATCCTGCTCACGTGCCAGGCAATTGGTAGAGAGCTGGTCTGGTCACTCGCGCGTTCCTTATGGGAAAGAAAGGGTCTCCCCTGGTCAGTACCGTCCCTGGCGGATATCCTAGGGATCGGGACCAAGGTATGGACGGTTCCAGGCAGGCGAAAGCGTCGCGAGGGCGCATCACGCTTCTGGCGTGTCCTCATCTCGGAATCGGTTTATTTCATATGGAAGCTACGCTGCGAACGGGTAATAGCGCACGCGGACGAAGAGGGCTGGCAGCACTCTGTGGATAGTGTCCGAAGCCGCTGGCTGTGCGCAATGAACCTTCGCTTACATACAGATATGGATATGACGCATCGCCGTTTTGGGCGGAAAGCCCTGAAGGCGCAGAGTGTTCTGGCGACCTGGAACGGGGTAATTCACGATGAACGTGCACTTCCGTATGAATGGAACGAGCTGCCAAAGGTTTTAGTGGGTATACTGCTCCGCGTCCCTCTTGATGCGGGGTAGCCGAGTCCCACACTGGCCGGTTGCCGGCCGTGCGTAAACGCATTTTCGCCCTTGGAAGTTTTTGCGGGTTTTCCCGCTGACTGGCTGACTCACCGGGGCCGACCTATTGTCGTCTGCTGGGAGCCATTGCAGCCCTCCAAAAAAAAAAAAAAAAAAAAAAAAAAAAAAAAAAAAAGACCCTGTGTGTACTGTACGCTTCGATTTGAGGCTAAGCCATCACGTTCGCCACAGCATTTGTACCACCCGCAGCGGAAAGGGCTCTCGGGCTCGGGCCATAACGCACAGACCCTGCAGCGCCAATGGTCATCGACATTGTCTAATTTCCCAAGACCGTCAACACGGCGCGGCGCGGAAATGTCATCGAGAGGCAACCAGTCACCTTGGTAGTCAGCGGTCAATGGTTGCGTCTGGGCGATCTTCCGGATCGCGCTATCCATGGGGTATCCCCGTGTCGCCCGGCCTCGACACACCGCTGCTCAGCCAGTCCTGACCTGAGAAACGAGTTAACCATTGATAGTGTGCCGGCCAATCGGGTCCGCTGGTAAGTCCGCATTGCTGGGCGGTCTCCTGTCGGACGAGGCATTGCTGCTCAACGCTAATGGCGGTGGCCAGCCCCGAAGCAGCACGTCCCAGCGAGCTAAAGCTGCTTGAGGCGAGTTCTACAGGGAGGGCGAGCAAGGCCCGGAGGGACCGGAGGCGGGGGGCGCGGCTTCGGATAGTGTGGTCAACCCGATCACAGCGATCTCGAGTGCTCGAGATGGACGAATCGGCACATGTTATTCGGACGTACCGGTGTGCTAGGTGGCTGCTAGTCTGCGAAGCCAGCGGGCGATGTAAGACGGATTGACGAGTCTAGGAAGAGCGCGGACGGACGGGTGGACGGCAGTGTTAGTGATGATGAACACGCAATGAATAGTAGATAGATGGATGTACGATACGATCTTGACAGGGACAGCAATACGAGAGCGTGATGAGCGTGGCCATGAGACATAGAATGGATACAACTGTAGGAGGGAGCAAATACGAATAAGTTAGATGCGCGTGGACCGAGGAATAGATGATGCGGGGTCTAAGGAAAGATGATCGTACCGTGTACACTAGTGGACCGCGCCGGGTCCGTCATCATCATGCAAATACAGACACATCCTGTCCTGTCCGTCCAAGCAATGTCCCAACTATGGGTCCGTCACAGTCCCATCCTTTCCGCCAACGTCCGATCCGTGCTGTCGAATGCTGGTAGGTTGTTCTGTCCCCGCCCACTCCGGCGGCCTCCTCCTCCCCCACCGCCAGACCGTCCTCCACCATTCCGCCGGGACGTCCGGTCACGGTCTCTCTCCCGCTCGCGGTTCTTCTCACGGTCTTTGTCTCGTTCTCGGTCACGAACCCGATCCCTGTCGGCGTGAGGTGGGCGGTCGCGCCCCCGGTCGCTATCTGTATGCGGCGGTCGATCACGTCCGCGCGCAATGTCGGTGTGGGGAGGACGGTCACGTCCGCGATCACTGCCAACATCCGTGTGGGGCGGACGGTCGCGCTCGCGCGGGCGATCAGGTGATCGTGGCCTGCTGCGCTCGTCCTCCTCGGTGTCCATCCCAGGGGGAGGCTTCCGGTCCACCGACTCTGGACGTCGCTCGCGCGTGTCGCGAGGAGACGAAGCAGCAGATTGTGCGTAGCTCGCCGCTGAGCCTGGCCGGCCAGACAGATTGGGCGGAGCAGGTGATGCGTGCGACTCTGAGAGCCGTGGCTTTTTCTGTGCTCGGGGACCCGTAGGCGGGAGCTTGCCCGATCCGTTGGGCCCTGGCGGTGGATAGGACTGTTGTTGTGGATAGTGATTTCGTAGAGGGGCAGGCGACTGCGAATGCGCCTGCACTTTAGGCATGTATGCTTGGCGGCTATTCGCCGCGAGAGCTTCATGCGACTTGTCGAGCTCTGCACTGTAGGTATGATAGGCGGGTGTGAGAGACATGAGTAGAGACAGCAGCGGAGGCAACTCACGAGAGTGACGAAATGACTTGATGAGAATCTGTACATGTGTCAATGTTAATGGTCGCGCCACCACGCCATGTTCTCTGTGCACACCTTTTAGCGCCCCTTCCAGCTTCTGAACTACCCGCCGCAATGCGCGGACGTCTTCTTTGAGTTTGCCGGTCTCTCCGGCCTTCAAAAGCTCGTAGAGCTCGTCATTTTCCTCTTGTAGCGTCTTGTATCTCTGTGTGAGAGCTGCGGTGACGGTACTCGATGTCGACGCGGATGTCGCATGGTCACGGATGTGTGGTAACAATATCGACACCCAAGCTGGTGGCAGTGAAGCAGGGTCCGTCACGGAGGGTGGCGGCTGAGTTGACAGGTATTGGCGGAGGTGTGTAACTTCGTCCTGCGGCGCGGCATTGAGGTCAATGGGGTGTGCGCGAGTACCCAGAGTACCAAGTATCTCACCGTGAGTTCGGCCACCTGCGCATCTCGTTCTCTCAGAAGGTTCTCCAGGTCAATCTCTCGGGATGACGGCAGGTCCATGGTGGATGCGAACGGGCAGGCACCGTCGCGGTTGGTGAGTAGAAAGGACTCCGCGACTGGGACAACGACGCCTCGATAGCGCCTCAGGGAGTCGACGCCACGTGCCCACCGCGCGCTTTCACACAGCGGGCGCGGACGGCGCATACCAAATCGGGTATGTTTCACTACCACTTCGCCGCTCGGCTCGGACACTCACTGACCGGCGATGGTGCTGGAAGCATGTTGCCTTCAAAGTTTTGTTGGGTCAATGAAGGCGGGTCTGCACACGGCACTCTCAGATGGATGTGTATTGTTTCGCTGGTTGCGATTGTGATAGTGAAGTCTGACAATTCAAAGGATTACACGAATGAGGATCCTCCCTGCTCAAGACGACCGTCGCGGTCATACTACACTGGTGATCCAAATTTTGCGTCCGAGATGCCCTGGTAGCGTCCCCTCTATCCAGCCTCCCTCCTTCCCTCAATAGTATCGTGGTGATGCGGCGAGTTCAGCGTGTATCCTCCCTTAGAACATGGCAAGAGGCGGTGTGGAACCCTCAAGTGCGGTGCGACGAATGCGTGCGCGTTGCAGAGAGTGTATGTATGGCGGACGTCGGCACGTCCTGCGCAGAGCGCGCCGATGTGTAGCGAGCATGTCGCGGACGTGAGTGGCGGCGGCGGCGGCGGCGGGTCTTGGGTGGAGCTGACGATGCCCGGGAGACGGTTGGCTACCGATGAGCCCATGCGATAACGGCGACGAATGCGACATGAGGCATATGGGCATATGGGTGACGGAGGACAGCGAAGTGCTGCCATAGAGTCGAAGGTCTACATGCCGAACAATTTCTTGAAGCCCTTGGCCTTCGACGGGTCGCTGCAGGCTCGCTTCCTGCCATCGGAGTTCGAGGGACGAAGGACCTGCCGGAGGTCCTCGTACGTGGCGTAGGTGTCGCGAGGTGACTGGGCGGAGACGAAGAGGTTGAACGTGTGCGGCGCGGCGGGTGCGGTGGGGAAGAAGTTGAAGGCGGCGGTGGTGCAAGACATCTTCGTCAACGAAGGGAGGACTCGGATGGGCGTGTTAGAGTGTGATGAGTGAGCTGGTTTGAGAGAGAGGATTTCGTCGCAGACGAGTTCGCTGGCTATGCGGATGCTGATAGGGATCCATAGCGGCAAGGGGCTCACCTTATGTACTCGTCGACGAGAAGCCCTGCGTCGCTATCAGTGTGGGCGGGATTGGAGGGGACTCACCAATCCAGACGGACGCACACGCGGACCCACGACGGCACACATTGTATCCTGGAAACGGATTCCCCGTGTAGCCGACCGTGTGCTGGTGTCCAATGCCTACGCAAGCGAGATGCCTATAGGAGGCCGACAATGAAGCCTGCCCGGGCGCGCGTCGCGACGCGTTGTGGGCGTATGTTTGACGGTGCTTGGTACTCGTCATGTGCAAACAACCGAAATTTGCCAAAAACGCGCGGCGTATTTCCTTGACCTCCCTCCAGCTCCCTCCTCTGTTAACGTCGTCTACTCCATGACTCACATATCGATGTTGAACCCGTCGCTGTTTGAGGTATCTGTCGTCGATGCTGGGCGTCCCCGCTGAGACAACCAGCGTAGGGGGGACAGTTTGTAAGTCGTCTTTTTATTGTCTGTGCGATGATGCTATCTATATTCCTAAACATGCGAACGCTCACGCGTTATGAACGTATCTTACTCTACAACGGTATCTGAGCCCTTGCATTCTTGTCTCAGTCACGTATGAGGACGTTTCACTAATGTCTCTCCCTCCAGTGTTCAGTCGTCAAGGGCGTTCACGGTGTCCTCGTCCGACAACACGGTGCAACCTAGACGCAAGTGGGTATACGTGTCTTCCTGGGCTAGAGGTATCTCCATTCAAAAGGTGAGTCTGACAGCTTTGATGATTCTGCCTTGTTCCCTGTTTTCCTGTGATGACAATTTCTATTCACACTGTATGACGTGTTGGTACGTTACAGTACTTTCACATTTATGATTTGTATCTACAACGGTATCTGACAGTTCGTTCTTTCTACTTGCGCTTCTCTGCTACCTACAGCCATAGACTGACTCGTCATTCTGTAGGGCGAACCCAAGGTCTCATCGGCCATCGAACACAACTTCAGTCGCCCACGGTGCGTGTTCCATCACTACTTCGTGTACAATAGGAGTTTCCCTCCGCTTGTAAAGTGATACGGCACGGTTGTGGTCGGAATATATCGTTACAATCATTTGATTCTGTCCATCGAAATACGCACGTCTACACGCCATCTGAGAAAGGATCACAGTATTTATGACTGAGAGGCGAACGTCATGCCCGACCAAGCTCCTCGTCTGCGAAGGCATCGGGAGGAACCTGACCTTGTATTTGACTGAGAGCACCCTTAAGAATGTACAGGTAAGGGCCGGATTTGACCGGCGGGGACGTGGTTTGGTATGCCACGGGCAGGGTGCATCTTGGACACTGAAATCTATATTGACGTTCATATCCATCCGCGCTGGACAGGGTGTCAGAACATCATCAGTAATTGTGATAGATGCACATGCGCACCGCTCTACCAAAACCGGATCCTTCGGTGTCGCATTTAGCTTGAAGATTCGAGCCTTCCCTAGCCCATTGTCGTGGCACCGTATGACCACCGCGCCATCTGTCTTCCGGCGCGGCAGGGAAGTAAGACTCTTGTCTATAACAAGCTGGACGTGAAACTATCAGAGACGTGATGCCGAGGGGAACGGACGCCGGAAGGTTCACTCACGATAAACTCTCCACAGATACAATCTGCGCCGAAGAGAAGCAGGGATGTCAATGGTCGTACCGCCGCACGGGGAATAGAGGTCTCACAGTAGACGCGTAGCGCTGCTGTTGACGATGCCGTTGGTTGGGCTAGGGAACAGTTTCATGCTTTCAGCGGAGATTCACCTCGGGATGCGGCCGATAGGACGGCGAACGCGGCAGTAGTACTGACCATCGGTGGACGAAGAGACCGCGGAGCGAGAGACGACCTTGGGCATTGCGAGGGCGTCGGCAACGAAGGCGGCGAGCAGGGGGAGAGGGGCAGCTTCGGGGCAGGTGGAAGGAGAACAGAAGGGTGGTCGGCGGCAGGACGCGCCCAGAGGAGAAGCGTGCGAGCTTCGCCGCCTGAGAGCTCAGAGAGACTGACGTCCGCCCTTCATCAGTCCAGCATCACGTGGCAACCTTCATCCTATTATGCCTCCCCCAGTCCTTTGCTGTGTTTCCCGTCCTCACTGCCTTCCTCCCTCTGTTCCCCCTGCCAGCCCTTGTAACTACGCCGGCCTCCTCCCCATCCCCGCCTCCTACCGTTATGGCGGAGAAGGACGCCGCCGCCAGGCTTCGGCGAGCCGTCCAGGGTACGTCTGTCCGCCACCGCTCGCCCGTCTAGTCGTGACCTCGGTCATGCAGAGAACAACCTCTTCCTGGTCAAACGTCTCATCAAGAGGACGGACATGCGCAATCCGGACCCTTGAACAAGCGGTACACATCGTTGGCCTGGGCGGCCGTCCTCGGGCACGAGGAGACGTTCGAGTTCCTGTTGGCTAGCGGTCATGATGACCATGAGTACAGCAAGGTGCGTAGACTTCGCTAACGAACATGACGTCGCATCTCATAGGAACCTAGGATACTGACAACAACACGATTCTGATTCTGTTGGCCGACGCCAAGCCTCCCATCACAAGCCCGTACGGTTCGACCCAGAGTGAACATGAATTCCTCAGTGCTACCCTGCGTATGGCGCGTCTCTACTACGACCGGTACCCCGATATTATGGACTGGGCGAACGTGGAAGGAAGAACTGCCCTGCATGTAGCGGCGTTGAAGGGGAAAGAGGAGTTGGTTCGAGTGAGTATCTGAACTGCCGCGGTGTGCTCACCCTAACACAGCCCTAGATGCTTTGCGATTTCGGGGCGGATTTTGATCTTGCAGATAACGAGGGCAACACGCCCCTGCACTAGTGAGTGATACAATCCTGCCTGTACGACGGGCATCTGATATATGTGGTATGACAGCGCAAGCGCTTGGGGACATATGCCAGTTCGTGTTGACTCATGTCAAAACATGCATGTAAACTGACATGACAACAGATTGTGCAACTGCTCATCGAACGTGGATGCCAGTACTCCGCTCGCAACAACGAGGGGTTTACCCCGTCAGATTATGCTTACTCGTACGTGCCTGAGTTCCGAGTCCCTCGAACCTATTGCTTACATGTACCACCACAGAACGAGCACTCGAGACACCTTGCAAGACACCGCCCGGACACAATTCGAGCTGAATAAAAAGGCTCGCAGGAATGTCTTTGCACAGGCTGCCGCAAGAGGAACCGAGTGGGGTACGACACCAGACCCGATACTGGGACCACCGCCCAAGGCATACTTCACGAACGGCTCGCGCATGCGGAGTGGTTCTGGTACAAGTCGCACAACGAACACGTCTGACAGCGGTGACATGCTCGATGCAACATACACCTCTCGCAGTCACCTCTCGCCTGTCACTTCATTATCCCCTTCCCGTCGCCCCAACCAACTTCCATCAGGGTCTTACTCACCAGCTCAACCGTCTGCCAGCTCGTCCGGAAGCACGGCCTTTTCTTCTACTGCATCACCCTCCGCGCAGTCTCACCTTATCCCTTCCATGTCCCACAACCCCGCGTCGGCACTATCTCCGATAGCTACGCGCATGCGAGAGCGCGACGCTGATGCCATGGAGAAGTACAAATTGCGACAGCGTAGTGGAAGCGGCGCTACCGCTTCGACAGATAATCCGTCCACAAATGGGTCGTCACCCACACCCGAGGATCGCAAACAGTCGCTGATGGCGGTAGGTTCTGTTGCGCCCCGCCGTCGATTACGACCATCAGCTTCTGCAGCACAACTTCGGACGACTCCCCAACCACCCGCGATCAGCCCCAATCCGTCTGTCTCACAACACGAAACGGTTCGACATCGGTCAGGAACCAGTCCTGCCGCAGTGCCTGCGTCTCCGACCACGCAGGAATCAGCCACACCGACTCAAAGCTCGTCGAGGCCACCTTTGCGAAGGCTCGAAGAGGACAGCGCAGACGAATACACTGGCCCACCTTCGCAATATGCCGACTTCCCCGCCCCACCCCCCTTTGACGACCCCATCGAGCGCACTCGCACCATCACACCAACCACCGCAAATGGCCCTGCGCTGTCGTACTCGCGGCGGCTGCCCTTCAACCTTCTTTCGTCTCACAAATCGAGCACGGACTCGACCGCTGGCGGTCACCGGAGAAACGCCTCCGTCAATGCAGCTATCCGATAGTGGTCGTTTAATATGGTTTCGACGCATTGTACTTGTTCTTGAACACTCCTGGTCTGTACGTCACACGTCCCTTGTAGTCGACTTCCGTCTCTCGCTGTGCAACTATCCACGCTTCATCCGTCTGGGCTCGTGCATGCATTCGTTCCCGCTACGCACAAAATGCATCTATCTTATTTGACGTTGTATCAAGCTCGAGTACTACCCGCCCTGTTTTTGTTTCCTTGTCGGTCTGCGCATTGGAGGATTCATAGGTGCTTGGCCGACTGGCGTTGAATACGAGCAAGCATCTGGATCTGGCTGGCCACGTGAGATTAAGGTACGCTGGTTCGGGGATTCCCGAGTTTACGCCATGGGACAGGCTGTCCCTTGCATGAAGTCCTCAAGGCAAGGAGGCCCGCAAGCCGCCGCTCTAAGTCTGACCTACCCGTAGCGCATTCCGCCTATCTTCTGCCTCTTACCCTCATCCATACCCAGCAAGACAGCGGCGCAGCATGCCGTTCCCAGCGACCAATGCGGGTGCGGATCCTGATCCTACCACCCAGATAGCTTGGCCTTCGAGGAACGGGAAACGGCGCGATCCTGCATCGGACCAGGCAGAGTCTGCTGAAGATGGACAGAGCTCTACCGCTGCTGCGGGTGGCAAGAGGACGCGGACACCTGAGCGAGACGGCGATGGCGACAGGAGGATGTCTACAGTGGATCTCATGAAGTTGAGTGTGTCCATGGCTGGATCGCAAGTTGCCTGGACAGTCGAGCTTGGGTACGTGTTGTGCAAGTCGTTCCAATGCGAATCAATGGCTTAACGGGTACATCTACGCGCAGATACGGCACCCCGTTCCTGCTCTCACTGGGTCTGTCCGAGACGCTCACGAGCTTAGTATGGTTGGCTGGTCCTATCAGTGGACTAATCGCACAACCCGTTATTGGTATGTTATACGCATGCCGTATCCAGGCGGTCTCACTTATTTGCCTTAAAGGCGCAATCTCTGACGCGTCTACCTCGAAATATCGTCGACGGTACTGGGTTGTGTTGTCTACGATCGTACTTGTCATCTCCACCTTGACACTCGCGTACTGCCAACAAATTGCTGCGGTCTTTGTCGATCTGTTCGGCGGAGGGGCCGGCAGCTGGGACCCACAATGGATCAAGCAGGTCCGCCTGTGTACGGTTAGATGCTGATGCCAACAAGACTGACATTGCTTCCCCGCGCATAGGTCCAGAACACCGCTATTGCACTGGCTGTCATCTCATTCTATCTATTGGATTTTGCACTCAACGCATTGCAAGCGTCCCTGCGAAACCTACTTCTCGACATCACTCCACCGTCTCAGTTGAACGCTGGCAATGCGTGGCACAGTCGGATGTTGAACGCGGGCAATATCCTCGGATACGGGTTCGGTATGTCGTGCGGCATTCATCACACAAGAAGACCCCGTACGAACTTACCCTCCTGACAGGATTCTTGCCGCTTGCTAACATGCCCATCCTTCGTCTGCTTGGCGGTGACCAGTTCCGCAAGTTCTGCGTTGTCAGCATGGCCATCCTGGTAATTACCGTGTGGATTACATGTTGGACACAAGAAGAGAAGGAACGCCAGTCACGGCTTATTGAGAAAGAGTATGTCCCATTTCAATGAATGTCTCCTGACGATAGCTAACGAGAGTGTCAGGAACAAACTGCGAGACGTGTTGGACAACATCTACAATGCGATAGTCCACCTTCCGAAGCCGATCAGGCGTGTTTGCTATGTTCAGATCTTCGCTTTCATGGGCTGGTTAGTTCCCTGCATTGCCTCTGTCCGCATTGAATCTGATGTTGGAAACCAGGTTTCCTTTCCTGTTCTATGCGTGAGTAATCAGACATGACGCCTTTGATTGCTTGCCTTCATCGACGTCCTGGCAGTACTACCTACATCGGTCAGGTGATGGCGTATGAGCTCCAAACTGATCCAGACAAGGATACAGCGACTAGGATGGGCGAATTCGCTATGCTCATATACAGTATCGGTAGGCAGCTGCTGTCTTTCCTGCCAACATTGTATTAACGTGTCCGATAGTTGCTGTTGTCGCGGGAGCAACGTTGCCTCGACTCGCCCGACGGGACACGCGCCTCCTAGCCCATGAGGGCGATGACGAGGACGAGGATGCTGAACTCGCCCGCTTGCGTGCGACGGTCATGGAGTGGAGGTCCGACGCTGCACGCAAGGGGCAGCCCCTCCGACTCCCCTGGATGCCGTTCTTCCTCAGGAACATCTGGTCCGGGGCCATGATCTTGTTTGCCGTGATCACATTCTCGACGTTCTTCATCACCAAAGTGTGGCAGGTACGTGCCATGACGATGACGAGGTGTGCTAGCAAGTCTGATCTGGTTTTCCAGGCGGTGATTGCAGTGAGCTTGGTCGGTATTTGCTGGGCTGTTGCTTGCTGGTGCCCATTCGCTATCATCATGGAGGTATGTCGCAGCGATCGCAACGGCATCACCTACTGATGAAATTGCTCCGCATCAGTTTTTGAAGGAGCGCGAGCGTGAGCACAGTGCAGAGGAGTCGGCGCCTGCTGCCGGGGAGTCTGTCAATCGCCCATCGCATAGCCGCACGAGGTCGACACCCGCAGTTGTCCGTCGCCAGAGCGATGCCAGCGAGCGCGCCCCTTTGCTCCGCCGTCGCCGTTCCTTCAACCAGGACGAGATTGACGCGACGCCGTCGGAAACTCAGCCATTGGCTGGAGGTACGGTCCTCGGTATCCACAACTTGGCGATCGTGTTCCCACAGTTCATCGTGAGTTGATGTGCCGTCGTTTATGACAAGTGTCTGTGAATACTGGTACTATGCAGGTCGCACTTGTGTCGAGCGCTATCTTCCACGTCGTGGATGCGGACATTGACAACGATCCTGCCCACCACACGACGTACTATGGCAAGAATGGCGTTGCCTGGGTCCTGCGCTTCGGCGGTCTCTGTGCATTGGTATGTTGTTCTCCCTTGTCCCGGTACCATTGTCCTTATGTCCTCGTCAGTGCGGTGCGGCCTTCGCTCGCATGGTTCCTCCTACCCGGACCGAAAAGGAGATGCGCAGGCGGCTCGCGGAGCTCAAGGTCCTCCAGGAGGAAGACGCGCCCTGATTTACTGCATCTATCACCCACGGACTCCCATCTCTGCTATCTCGACAGTGTACAACATCACATAACCAGCTAGCCGTAAGTTACATTGCCATCGTCGTCGGTTCGATATAGGTCTGGGTTAGTCGGTACAGTTAGGATCCTACAATGAACATAGCGTAATCCCAGTCATCGTGGTCCCTGCTTGAAATGCGTCGGCATGGTATGAGTGTGGCTGGCGGTAGATTGTCAAGCCCTGCGAAGAGCTGCTCGTGACACTCGCGCACTGGATGAAGGTCAGTTGCGGAAGCGTGTATGACTGCCAATGTAGACGTACTATAAGAGGTCCTGGAAGGTCTGTAGAATAATCGAATCGACAGGGCGTGGGGTCTGAGAGTACGCAAAGCCTCCACTGTGTGTATCCAAGCGATCATCTCTGCATTGGCACGGCGCAAGCAAACTACGGCCACAGATGCATCCGTCTCCTTGAAGCTTGATATCTCCCAGTGACATCGTGCACCGTCTTGACCTTCGTGAGTCCCTGTGTTGAGATTTCAGAATCCTGCATTCAGTTGCGGAGAATGACGGTCTCGTAGCTTACCTTGTCTGAAGGAGGGTTCGATATTGCGTTGAATCATCTCGTCGTCCTCGTCTGGTACCAGACACCTTCCTGTATGTAGGATCACCTGTTTCTCCACCAGCGCCCCTTTGGGTAGTGTGGGCACGAAGAGGTACAAGAGCGGCGTCGCCCCATCCTACATCCCGCATGAGCAGCGAGACAACTCCATGAGTGAATGTGCGCACTGGAGGATGCACTCCCGAGGCTGTCCGGACAGACGATACATCGCTCGCGTTTGCAAGCCAGTAGAGAACACCCTGCTGATGCCCGTCCCAGCCACCACCAGTGTTGTTCTGGAGGGCGTGCGTTACGCGCTGCACATGCTGGAGCGAAAGGGCTGTCTCTAGAGCCAGTGACTGAGGAGATGGGAGGGTGAGGCTGCTAGGTAGCAGACCTATCTGGCCCGATATGAAGATGCGTTCATCTGCCTGTGGATGTACATACTTCAGGGCGACGCAGTATGGAGAGGGGTGATTATGGCGAACCACGACTGCCTGGGAGTATGGCCCGATGTTCGCTGGTGCCCAGTAGCTCAGGCCCTGGACATGCAGTACTTGACGTTCGCTTGGATTCCGTTCGACGAATGCAATGGCGTCGAGCTTGACTCTGGTCGGAGATGGGAGATCGACGGCGACACATGCACGAGCCGGTGGGCTGCTGCCAAAGAAAGTGCCATAGACCGCATTAACCCTCGCGAAAAGGTCCATGGATGAGAGGAAGATGTTAATGGTCGTGCAATTTGAGAGGTCCAGAGAGTGCATTGCCAGGCGGTCTTGAATAGCATGTAAGGCACAGAGTAGCGAAGGAAAATATGCCTTACCTTTCAGTTGTTCGAAGCAGTTCCGAACTTCATCCTCTATGGAATATTCATGGCCACTATTGGCCGTGATGTCGGTGACTGCCACCCATTGGCCAATCTTGTTGACATTGCTAGTTCCCAGCGGTGGTAAGGATAAATCCTCGACCATCTTTACCTCCGACGGATCTATAACACTCCGAGTGTTCAACTGTATGAGCGACGGCATCTCGAATCTCCTCAAAGTCATCGGTGAGCAGATTGGGTATTGTACAGTCGATACGAGGCTCTCCGAATTTTGGCTCGAGAACAGCGTTTTGAATGCGAAGATAGGCGACTGTCGCGAAGTCATTGTCGGAGTGTATGACAGTCTCGACTTCTGTTCTGCGGCAAGGGTTACTTCTCCATAGTGTGCACACTATGGCCTGTGACTCACAGTTTAATTTTGTGCTTGAACAATGGGCAGTCCAGTGTGAGCGTTTCGTATTCACCGCCCTCGCCGCATATGTGCGACCCATACAAGTCGTTCTGCCAACAGGGACCGTCAACAAGGTGAACAGGACAGGCCACTGAGTTGAGATAAAATAATATACCAGCTTTGTCAGCGTTGGCTGCATCTCATTAGAGTCTTCCCCAGGTGCGTAGCCTTGAGTCCGATGCCTGCAACTTTGATGAGGATGGCCTCCATGCCAGCTTCAATCATCTCGGAGAGTAACTCTGCCTGATCACGCTGCCAGAGGTAGCACAGTGGGGTCAATGAGAGACGTCGACACCTGTTCATGGTGTTACACTAGTATCTCTAGACATGTATTGCACACCGCTCACACATGTTCAACTCGAACCCGCTGGTAGTTGGAAAGAATCGCTCCTACAGAAACACCCTCGACACCAGGATGCGATTCCTGGTAACATAAAGGCACTCAGATGGAAACGTAGAGGCTTAAATCTCTGGATGTTACTTTTACGGTAGACAGGAGGCGTACAAGTCTTCTGTCTCGTCCCCGAGCACGCCATCACCCCCCGCAGGGCTTCGGCCACCATATTCGTTGCCCTGCTCAACGGCCGCGCCGGAGATGACCTCCTGTGCAGTGGTACCTCGAGTGCATCGGCGACAAATTGGATGGCATCTTGCCCGACGGTTTGATACAAGTAGGAGTCGAGCTCTCTGCAGTGAATCCTGTCGGCAGGGTTCAGACATTGGGAGGTAAGAGTGTCGGACCTTTGCCATGCTCGGGGCCCAGCGAGGCAGCTGCGACGAGTGGTGGCCGTTGGCGGCGCAGTGGCGAGGTTGTAGCAGCTGTCCTTGCCGCCGCTGAGGAGGGCGACGTACTTCATGGCGGGAGGAAGAGCCCGACTGTTCGGGTCCGGCGAGTCGATCGTGCAGAGATCGCGGCGAGGCAATCTCTGTTAGAGCATCGGGAACTGCCATATCAGGATGCCCGACGGCCTGCTTTGTCACCCGTGACGCGCATCTCCAGCGCGTGACAAGCACGCGTCGCCTCCGGTTTCAAGTTATTGGGCTGCGCTGCTTCTGGCCACTCTTCATCTCCTTCTCTACCATCCCCATTCATCTCCCTCTCTTCACGAATCATGGCTACGACGAACTTGTCATCCGCAATGGACATCGATGAGCAGGCCATCGACGAGGGCCTCTACTCTCGGCAGCTGTGAGTCCCGCAACCAAGCTCCAGTCTGCACCGAGTCTTACCAATCTATAGCTATGTCCTAGGACACGAAGGTATTGCAGGATTGCAACACATGTATCGCTGGAACTTATGGGTCATGTAGCGATGAAGCGCATGGCTGCTTCAAATATCCTGATCGTCGGCGTGAAGGGCCTTGGTGTCGAAATAGGCGCGTCGCACGCGATCTCGTCGCGTATGTATATATGATCCTCACTGCAGCCAAGAATGTCGTCCTGGCTGGTGTCAAGTCCGTCACAATTTACGACCCCGAGCCTGTTGAAGTCCAGACCTCAGCAGTCAAGTAAGTCCTACTGATTAGGAGAGTGCTGCGATCTGTTCTGAGTGCCCGCCAGTTCTTCCTCCGCGAAGAGGACTCGGAAAGCCTCGCGCAGATGTAGCCGTTGCTCGTCTAGCTGAGTTGAATGCATATGTCCCGGTGCGCAACCTTGGTGGGCAGCCCGGCAAGGAGATCACGGTAGACATCATCAAGGGTTTCCAAGTAAGTTGCGACTGTATGCCATGAGTAACCGTCCCTGACACGGATCGTAGGTTGTTGTGCTCTGTGGCGCCAGCCTGCAAAAGCAACTCGAGATCAATGATTGGACTCACGAGAATGGCGTCCACTTCATCGCGGCTGAGACCCGTGGTCTCTTTGGGTACGTGCGAGCTGTTCACAGGCCGAGCAATGATTTACTCTTGTGCAGTTCGGTCTTCAACGATTTCGGTCCAAGTTCACTTGCGTCGACCCGACGGCGAACAGGCATTGACCGGTATGATCGTTTCCGTCGAGCGGGTACGTGTAGATGCTTGGTTGAATGTCGTTCCCTAAGTCGGCGCTTTGCAGGATAAGGAGGGTCTCGTCACTTGCTTGGATGAGACGCGCCACGGCCTCGAAGATGGCGACTTTGTGACTTTCTCTGAAGTGCAGGGCATGAATGAATTGAATGGCTGCGAACCACGCAAGGTCACCGTGAAGGGCCCGTACACCTTCGCTATTGGCGATACGTCCAACCTAGGCGAGTACAAGACCGGCGGTATCTTCACTCAAGTCAAGATGCCTAAAATCTTCGAATTCGTGCGTGCCTTGACATTCAAAGATGAACGATATGACTCACTCCATTACGACAGAAATCTCTGCGCACGTCGTTGAAGGAGCCAGAGTTCTTCATCACGGACTTTGCCAAGTTCGATCGCCCCGCCAGCCTGCACGCAGGGTTCCAGACACTGTCCGAATACAAGGCGCAGCAACAACGATTCCTAGGCCCCGAAACGCGGAAGACGCTCGAAGGTCGTCGAGCTTGCCAAGAAGCTGGACGCTGACATTGATGAGAAGATTGTCACCGAATTGGCCTACCAGGCTACGGGCGACGTGACACCACTCGCAGCTGTCATCGGTGGTTTCGTTGCCCAGGAAGTCCTGAAAGCGTGCTCTGCAAAGTTCACGCCCATGGTCCAGCACATGTACTTCGACTCCCTCGAGTCCCTCCCCAGCACCCTGCCCAACGAGGCCGACTGCCAGCCTATTGGCTCTCGGTATGACGGCCAAATTGCTGTGTTTGGCAGGCACTTCCAAGAAAAGATCGCGAACTACCGTCAGTTCCTAGTCGGCTCTGGTGCCATCGGCTGCGAGATGCTGAAGAACTGGAGCATGATGGGTATTGGTTCGGGTCCCCAGGGCGTCATCCACGTCACGGATCTGGACACGATCGAGAAGAGCAACTTGAACAGGCAGTTCTTGTTCAGGGCGAAGGATTGGGCAAGTTCAAGGCCGAGGTGGCTGCAGCCGCTGTCGCAGACATGAACCCCGACCTCAAGGGCAAGATCAATAGCAAGCAGGAGCCTGTTGGTCATGACACTGAGAGTACGTATGGTGGACAGGATCCAAATATGATGAGCTGACGGGTGTCTAGATGTCTACGACTCGGACTTCTTCGCCGGTATTGACGGTGTCACGAACGCTTTGGACAACGTGAAGGCTCGGCAATACATGGACCAGAGATGCGTATTCTTCCTCAAGCCACTGCTGGAATCCGGTACTCTTGGAACAAAGGGTAACATTCAGGTCGTTGTACCCCACTTGACGGAGTCGTACTCCTCGTCTCAGGACCCGCCAGAGAAGGAGACACCCTCATGTACAGTGAAGAACTTCCCGAATGCCATTCAACACACGATCGAGGTCAGTGCCCCAATTGTTCCTAACACGAGCCCTCCCTGACCATCCGTGAAACAGTGGTCAAGGACGGAGTTCGATAACATGTTCGTGAAGCCAGCACAGGCTGTCAATGCTTACCTCTCCGAGCCGAACTATCTCGAGAACAACCTCAAGTACTCTGGCCAGCAGAAGGAGCAGATCGAGCAGATCGTCTCCTACTTGGTCACCGACAAGCCCCTCACGTTCGAGGAGTGTATTGTCTGGGCTCGGTTGCAGTTCGAGGAGAAGTACAACAACGCCATCAAGCAGCTTTTGTTCAGCTTGCCGAAGGATGCTGTGACGAGCACTGGCCAGCCGTTCTGGAGTGGTCCTAAGCGTGCACCCGACGCGTTGAATTTTGACCCGAACGACGTGAGTGCGGTCACAAGTCATGTTACGCTTATAACTGACAATGTGGCAGCCGACCCACCTCCAATACATTATCGCGGCTGCAAATCTTCATGCGTACAACTATGGTCTCCGGGGCGAGACTGATCCGAACCTCTTCAAGAAGGTCGCCGACTCAGTGCTGGTACCGGAGTTCCAGCCCCGCAGCGGCGTGAAGATCCAGGTGAACGAAAATGAGCCCGTGAACCAAGCAGGCAACACAGGTGATGTACTCAGCACACATGTTACATGCCCATATTACTGATGCCCTATGCAGACGCAGACCCGTCTGACCTGAGTGGATTGATGAAGAAGTTGCCGCCCCCGTCTTCGCTCGTTGGGTACCGCCTGAACCCCGTCGAGTTCGAGAAAGACGACGACACCAACTACCACATCGACTTCATTACCGCCGCCTCCAACTTGCGTGCGATGAACTACAGCATCAAGCCCGCAGACCGTCATACGACCAAGCAAATTGCTGGCAAGATTATTCCCGCCATCGCCACCACGACTTCTCTCGTCACAGGTCTGGTGTGCTTGGAATTGTACAAGGTCGGTTGATATGTGATATGCGTCGTGCGCTGTCCTGACTGGTTGTTTCAGCTCATTGACCACAAGCAGAAGGTCGAGGACTACAAGAACGGCTTCGTTAACTTGGCCTTGCCCTTCTTCGGTTTCTCCGAACCCATCGCGCCGGCGAAGCAAAAGTATGGGGACACCGAGTGGACTTTGTGGGACCGCTTCGCGTTCAACGGCGACCCGACTCTCCAGGATATCGTCAACTGGTTCAAGAAGGAGCACAACCTGGATATCACGATGGTCAGCCAGGGTGTTAGCATGCTGTGGAGCTCATTCATCGGCAAGAAGAAGGTAAGGGATTTTTTCCGTCATCTACATATTGGCGACCGCTCATTGACGAAATGCTGTTATAGAGCGAGGAGCGTCTGCCCATGAAGTTCAGCAAACTCGTCGAACACGTCAGTAAGAAGCCAGTCCCTCCGCATACCAAGCATTTGATCGTGGAAGTCATGGTATGCGACGAGAGGGTGAGGACGTAGAGGTAAGTTGTCGTCCTGTCTCATGGCTAAGGTCAACCGAGAGTAACCATGACGTTAGGTGCCGTTCCTCGTCGTGAACCTGTGATGCGTCAAAGGAAGAAAGTGTACGGTCGATAGAAGTGACAACAGGATCTTGTAGCTAATATAATACTGATACGTCGACATGAATCGCAAACAACGCTGTATTCTCTCAATCTGCATGACCGTTATTCGAGGCGCACATGAACATGTTGGGTTCTCTATAGAAAACCCATGATTACTCGCCAGTGTCTTGAACACAGTGTATTAGGTTAGCGGCAACGCAACGAACGGCACGACAGCAGCGGCAACATCGAACAGAGCTCGACCATGAGATATGGGCACGACATAACTGGTCTCCGATTGGCAATGACATATACAAGCAACGAACAGCTATGGATGTCTCGAGACACAAGTGCGTACTACCTACAGAACACGAAGCGGGAGACGCGGGAATGAGGGTATGCTTCGTGGGGGTGTCGACAGTAAGGAGGGAGGGATGCGCGGGGGTAGGCAAGTAGAGCCAGGTCTGGTCATCCGATGGGGAAACAGAGACTGTCTGATGATGGAGAATGTGCGATACGTGTGTTTTGTAGGGTTTTCGAATGTTTTTGTAGCTGATAGTGCAAATATGAGCAACAATGAAAACGTGCAGAACAACGTCAACGAGCAGAGGCAGCGACGTAAAAACATTAGGGGTGATAGGCCGTCACAATACCGGATAGGGGAATCTGTACAAAACGAGTTCCAGGAACAACGAGTCCGAGATGGAGGAAACTGTCCATTGATCGGAACGTGCTGACCGTGGACCCTTGCAAGGCGGGGCAGAACGTGGCAGACGTCTTGTATAACTGGCCACGACGTGGACTATCAAAGCCGTCAAGCCTCGCGCTTGAGTCCGGATTGGCGAATATATACGAGACGCATGGAGGCGATGATGAATGGCCGAGGAAATATGTGGCGAGCCTGCGTTGGCAGGGTGATGGATGTCATCAAGGATGGGAGAGCCCAAAGAGACGAAACGAGTCGATGCGGCGGGGACCATAGGGCGAAACAGAAGTCAAGGAGAATATCAGGCTGACACGAGTGAGGGAGTGAGGAGGAACGACCTAGCGCTGGCGCAAGGACGTCCGAGTGGGGAGTATATTACAAGGTGTCGGCAGCCGGGAGGACTATGGTAAAGCAGGATGAACACCGGACGAGACCTCGGGTCTCTACGGCGGACATCGCAGCAAGTCTAGTCTTCTGTCGGAAATCTAGGGGGACAGGTCAACGAAACACGACTCAGACCTTCAACGGCCTCTGGTGGTACTCGAAGGATCGGTCGTAAAGCGGAGGATAGACATCGCCAGGGCTCCAGCGCGTCAGAGCGGGCGGCGGAGCGAAGTGACCCTCGGAGAGACGAACGTCACTATAACCCTGGTCGTATCTCGTCTGCGAGTAGGCACGCTGACGACCTTGGGTATGGTCTCCGACCGCCTGGTTGTACGACAACGACTGCGAGCGGGAATGACCATGAGTAGCAGGGTATGCATACTCATAGCCCACGTGCGATGGTCGAGCATATACGAGAGGCGGGGCGTACGCTGCAGAGGCCAGTTGCTCTTGCTTGTGTCCATAACCATCATAGGGCCACGCAGACTGCTGAGATTGCAGCACTTGGTGGAACGGTGGAAGCAGGGGCATGGCAACAGGAACCTGGGCAATAGGTTGTGGCGCAACGTACTGCCTCGAGATGCGAACGTCACGCATTATGGGCTCATCGGCGGCAGGACTCCACCTCGCAGGAGGTGGCAGCATTCTCTCGGGCTCGACGACCTTCTCGGTACCATGCGCGCGACGCGAAGAGCTTGCGCTGCTTACGCGACGCCTCGGCAGGTATTCCTCCCGCAGGGGTCCGTCTTCATCCAGATCGATCTCCAGGACATCTTCATCGTATACCTGCGCATCGATTTGGTCTCTCTTTTCATCCTCGAGACCGACGAACACCGGTTCGGGTGGCATGGTGCAAGTAGTGTTCTCGCAGCAGGTACGCCCGACCCCAGTATGGATCAGGCGCTCGATTGCCTTGCGAATGATGGTGTGAGGGCTCGATGAGGGGCGCGAAATCGGCTGGGGGCACGCCGGAGAGTGCAGGGACGTATGGTACTCGTGGATGTGCGACAACCAATCCGTCCAGTCATGCGTAGAGACCGACAGATCGTAACGGAATATGTCCAGGGCGAGCGATTCCAGCTTGTTGAGCGATTGCACCGGTACGTTGGAGATAGTGTGCCTACAACCACCCGTCAACCGCCGTACTGTAGTGGATGTAGCACAAGAACATACCAAGTCTTGTTAGAGAAAGTATGGTCGTCCAGCCACTTGTTCGCTAGCATACATCCCAGAAGGATGAGCCGGAAGGGAGCGTAGGACTCTATGACATCCCTGTCAAAGCTCATGTGCGCCTCGCCTAGCAACTCGGCTCGGAAGCGGATTTCTTTCCGGTGCCTTTCGCTGTCCAAATTGACAGGGCCGAAGAAGACCGGCAGGCGAACGATGTACCACAGCGCGAGGAAAATCGCTGACGGCTGTAGCAACGTGGAAAGTAACATCGAATGAGTCGAACTGGCCAGGTGGCTCGGAGGCGAACTGGAGTAGTGCTTGAGGAACGCCCTGAGTAAAACGACGTTAGTAACCGAACGGAACATCAACTTCACAATGTGAACTTACATAGGCTGCGCGTACTCGGAAGGCAAGCTCATGCCCGTCGTGCACGCCTTCCAAACGTACGTCGCGATCCAATCAGAAAGCGGCTCAGCCAGTTTCTTGTAAGCGGCCGTGGCAGTCGGCGTGACTACAGGCTCGGGAGCCGGTGGCGCCACGGGCTGTTCGGCCTGCGCGTAATTCTGGCATTGCTGGCACTGAGCACCGCAGCACTGGTCCTGGTAGGCATACCGCACCTCACGACTCGTACTGACAGGCAGACCGCACCCGTATGAAGGCATAAATGGAGCCGCAGCGAATGCGCTGTCGACGAAATCAGCGAAAGGGGTATTTGGGCCCATGGGACTAGACGCGGGATCGGCCACGGGTGCGCCGTCAGGGGACATGTCTTCGAACACAGGGCTGAACGCTCCTCGCCCGTACTCCTCAGAGACGTACATACCACCAGAGCCAGCATTGCCGTAGGACCCGGGAGTGTTTGTCTCGTAATCTTGGTAGCGAGCGTCCGGATAATCCTCCACCATCATGTCGTCGTACTCCGCACCAGCTACCGGAGACACTCTCGTAGAGCGTGAAGCGTCGTCGCAGTGCCATCCGTGGACGCGTGCAGAGTACATGTTCAGCTCCACCTCGGGGCTCCGCGCGTACATGTCGGTGGCGCGGAAAGCAGGCCCTATACTCGCGAGCAGGGTAGAGACGGGCGGGATGCGAGCTTGCGCGGGCGCCCCTTTAATGACCGCCGCGTTGTCCGCAACGGTCAACCCCTCTTCAAAACCCGGACGAGACAAATCCTGTGCGTGTGTGAGATCCTCCTCCCAAATGCGCCGCGGCTTGTTTCTCCTCCAGGAGGGCAAGGAACTGATCCACTCCTCGCGCGTGGCGAACGAAGGCGGTGGCCCGCTGGGAGGCAGGGGCAGAGAGTGGGTCAAGTGCTGAAAACCAGACGAGCGAGAATCAGCGACGGCAGATTGATTGATCTTGATTACTGGGTGCGCTGGCTGCTTGGGGTAGTAGGGGACGGGAACTGGCATCTGCAATTAAGAGGGAAGGAGACCTCTGCTGCAGTCCCTGCGAGGCGGTGGGCCTTGTGCGTGGGCTGCGGGCGGGGGCCGAAAAACAGAAGACGAGAGAGAGAAAGCCGGTCGTAAGGTAAGTCGTTAAAGGAAGAAATGGTAGAAGTCGGGTCGACGATAGCGTTGAATAACAGAACAGGTTGTGGCAAACGCGCAGCGAAGGCGTGCCTTTTCGGAAGCTCGAGGAGGCGAAGCTAGTCCGGACAGAGGGGGTCGAGTGTTCGAGCTACCTTCAGACCAGCCTGGAGTATCTCTAGAGGAGATTCTCGGGAACGCCCTCTCCTGTCGACGTCGTCGCTGTCGTCGGTGGCGGGGGGATGGAGAACTGGCAACGAGGGACCGACAGAGGAGGGTCGATCCAGGGGGGCCAAGTGGTGGTGGCTGCAAACGATTTCTCTCTTTCAACGTCCTTATACGCGCTTACGTAACTTTCCCCCACGCCCGCGCCTCCACGACCGTGTTCCGCCTGCGTGGCCCTGGCAGCGCCGCGCCCGAGCTCGTCTCCGCATGACCGCGCAGCCTGCTCCCTGACTCATGTCCCCGCAGGCTGCTGCGTGCCGGCCAGGCGACGCCAGCCACGGGCGTCGCACGGCACAGCGTGGGCGCACCGTTGCACCGGCGGGCGAGGGCGTGGCAGGCAGCCTAATTGGGGCGCGGGCAGGGCACGTGTGACGGATACGCGACACCGTGACGGGGTCGTAACGCGCCTCGTAACGCGACTGGGGCGGGCGCTTGTGTGGCGGGCATGGTTTTCCCCAGCTGCGAACGCTCATGTCGGCCCAATCTCAGGACAATGCAGGCACGTCTCAGATCGGCCTCGATTCCATCACCCTCGGCCAGCTAAAGGCCATGGTCGGCTCCGCGCCAAAACCAAAGGCAGGTATCGTCGGTCTGCGTGTGCGCCCCGAACCAACGTCCTAAACGCTCACATGAGAGAGCAGCAGTGCTATTACGACTTCAAGTATGACGACGAGGACACCGTCCTTAACGAGATCGAGGAGTTTTACTCGTACGTGGAGATGCCCCAGGTAGCCGAGAACCTCAAGGCTTGGGAAGGCTCATTTCCTGGAGGTCTGTGTCTTCGTGCTACCGCATGTCTCGCCTAACCTTGCGCTTTTCTCAGTCTGGATGAGAGTTCGTTCGCGCAGCGCAAGGCGCATGTTGAGGTGTTGCTCGAGAGCTTGGAGCATCGCGACGCAGAGATCAGGTTCACCAACGCGCGTAGACTACTTTACGTGTTGCAAGGTGCGTCGGGTCCGCACGCCGCTCCCGTTTGTGTTTGACATGGGACACAAGGCACGTTGCCGAAACGACTTCGGCGGAACACCAATTGCACTGGATCTTTGAGAACTGTAAGGTCGTCCGGGCGGCCAACGGCTTGAGCAACGTCGTGGAAGCCATCAAGATCGCGAGTTCGAAACATGACCTACTATGGTACATTGCTGTCCCGTAGGCGATGTGACTGACGCTAATGCATACCACAGCAGTTTGTCAGATGCGGACGCGGCGCGTTTCAATATCTCCGCCCAGGAGAAGGTGGATTTCATGGAAGAGGTCACGACTGAACTTTCCGTCTATCTTGCCATGCTATATCACATGGTGAAGTATTCAAAGGGCACGATGACTTCGCTGATGAACTCAGTGAGTTTGTCTGCACCACACAGGACCCTTGTGCCTCCTGCTGACAGCCTGCCGCTCAGTGAGTCTGGAGCCTCCATTGCCCGTCTATCTTTCAATGTGGTAGCCGGCCTCCGCGACAAGAGCGCTAAGGGCTATCCGGTGAAGAAAGTTCGTTCTATCCCTGATTATGTGCGATGTTATCCATCTCATCTTCTTCGCAGCTCCTCCTGGTGCTCTGGAAGACCCTCCTGACGTGCTGTGGCGGCATCCGTGAACTTGCACGCGTAAAGAATCTCGCGCGAGAGCTAGCTGGGCTGCCGTCGGTGCCCGATGAAGGTGTGCCCAATCTACCACCGGATGAGCATTTCATCTCACGCACAGCCCAGCCATACCTATCAAGGCTTCGCCGCTCGATATCGAAGCCTTCAGGTCGGAGATCACTGTCAAGTATCCGACATTCACCCCTCCTCCGGCCCCGGTTCCCGTCGCAGCTCCCATCCCCGTGCCCGTCTCAACATTGAAACTTGCACAGGCGTACTCACCCATTCCAGTTCGTCATCATTACGATCATGATGACACCGAGTCGCAGCAGTCAGGCATGGCATCCAACGTGCCTGGTCACCCGTTCCAGCAGATCCAGCAGTCCAATTCTGGCTTCCGGCAGATGCCGCAGTCTGCCACGCCCGCACCGAGCCCTCCACCGTCACCGAAGCCGAAGAAGCAGCAGTTCCAGACCGACCAGAATCGTCCGTTCCTGTTCCCCTTCTCGCGCAGTCAGATGAGGTACAACGGGTCACGGCTGGTCCCTTTCGCTATCGACGAAGCGGACAAGTTGTACACGAAGCACATGTACGTGAGCTTGTCACTCTGGCAGATGTGGCGGACACGAGAAGAGTGCATGACCTCCGAGAGCGGGCTGGAACGCATGCCGGGTTCTGAACCATTGAGCGAACCCAAGTTGGCGCCTACTGTGCGTCTCATCTCACGCGCGAAGTTCGTCACAGAAGCTTACTTTGCCTTTCGTAGGTGTCACCAGAGGACGAGACCACAGAGACGTTGCCAGATCTTGCCATGATTGACGCCAAAATTGCGGATGCGGATGCGGCACTTGCGAAAGCAGACACCACCGCCGAAAAGAAACGACTGCAGATTCGCAAGGAAGATCTCATGCGATTAAAGCGAATCGAACAAATTTATGTTAGTACCACATTCGACATTGCGCGCTCCTCTGAAGGCGCTTACAGACATCCAGAGTGCAGTGCTACCCGTTCTGCAGGGTTGGGTACTTGTCCTACTGAAGTTGCTCCTTGCGACGGTCTCAGCGGCCACGGGAGCACCTCCGCAAAATGTTGCTGCTGCTGGCTTCCCGGTCTCAGCACGTAAGTTGGTCGCTGTGTCGGCATTTGTGTGACTGATCGTAACACGTCCCGTCAGCCCTTAACGAACCCACTGCGCCGCCTCCCACTCTTGAGGAGATTGATGTCACTAGGCATAGAGAGATCAATTCAAAGGCGGTGTCTGCAATCTTGTTGCTGACCCTCAAATGGTTCAAAGTTTCTCGTGAGTGCTTCTCAGCCGGATCAATTCACCAACTGCTAATGTCAATCCTTGTACAGATGCGATGAAATTCCATCATCTGGGACAACAATTACTGGATACGAATTGTCTGCTACTGATCCTGAAGATGTTCGGTCTGCAGGAGGTATCTGTCACCATAGTGTCCAAGGCTGACTCGCCTGAGAACAAGTGAGACACCAGCTGAGCTGCTAAACCAATCGACTAATGCGACCAGCTTCTTCCATTACTGCCAGAGTAACTTCTCAAAGAATCCTCAAGGCGCCAGACCTGACGACAATGGGAGGCCAGCCCGGCAGACGATCACAGAATGACGACGCTACCAAATGGGCTGAAACACGAAGAAGAGATTGACATGCTGACCGACTTCTCATGGCGCAATTTCTTCTCAGTGATCAACTTTGCGAAGATTATGCAGAAGCTCTCAAAACATCGGTCGCATCGCATCAGAATGCTGGTTCAGTATAAGAGCTCGGTAAATTGGCTGTCAACCGCTGGAAGGAGCGATGCTGACACGGGGTGTAGGCTGTCCTAAAGCGCATACTGAAAGTGCAGCATCCGCTGTTGCAGCTCCATGTACTCAAACTTATCAAGAGTCAAGTTCCCTTCTGCGGCAGAAAATGGAGGCAGTGTGAGTTCGATCCCCAGCTGATACCCACATGTGCGATCAACTCGTCATCAGCGAACATGCAGGTCATCACTGCGATCTATCTGAATTGCAGACCGGACCTAAGAGACGAATGGCTCTCGGGGATCGAAGTAGACGATGTATCGGACGCTCAGGTATGTTCTGTCAGCATTCGCCGAACCGAAGGTCTTTTGCTTAGTGCGATGCATTGCTATAGGCTCAGGAACAAGCGCTACGGCACTTAGTCAAGTTCTGTATGTTGAGTCAGACATATCTAGCGGAGTCACGGCTGAAATTCGTATCAAACTAGACAATACAAAGCGGTACGGCGCAGCAGCAGCGCAACATCCCGGCATGCACAAGCGCGCCGCGAGCATTTCACACCACCTCGAGGGTCTGCATCCTGGACCGGAACTTTCGGGACTCATTCGGCCAGCCGGCACTCCGAACACCACTGACGCAGACGTGTTCCCGCCACTGCGTGCACATGCGTCCGAATCTTCGACCAACTTCCTGCCTTACATCACGGAGGATATCGCGTTTGAGGAAGAATACGAGGAGTACCTCTCGGACCTTGGCTGGTTCGATGATCGGCACCAGCACCATACGTCAGGACAGGTTCCCCTTCTCACTAGTGGGGGCACCTCAGCGTGGAGCAGACTGCCCGAGTATGCTTCTGACATCGCAGACGGTATCAGCGACAGTGAGAGCATCGTCTCTATCGGGGAGCTGGGAGATGCGGCACGCATGGACGTCGGAAAGGATGATCGCGACGTGCCTGATGAGAACGTGAACAATTGGGAGGTGAGCTGATCGACGATCTGCGCCCTGGCCTAGCTGGTCCGTTCCGTGAGCTGACCTGTCTCTTTCCGTGACGCTTCAGCACATGAGCCCCAAGACGATGGCCGCCCTGACGCAGAGCCCAGCACGCACGCGACGATCGAGTTCCGAGAACGGTCTGAGGCCTATCCTGCCGTTCGACCTGGATGATGGCAGTGCGATTGGTGAAGAGTCTGAGGAAGAAGAACTTGGACCCATGCCTCGGGAACCGTCAGGTCCCTTCCACGCCGGCGCTGGCGTCGACGAAGTCGAATACGCCTATGGGTAAGCGTGCCTCCGTCTGCATTCTTGCTATACTGACTGAAGATCGTAGGGTGTGAATGGACGTTACGGATTGTAGTATACCTTGCGTACTTGTCGTCGCGCCGTTCAATGATACATTAAATCAAGCATCTAGCGATACATGAAGTGGTAATTCGCTGTGATCGTTCAGTATGTCGCCTTCGTCCGTGCTACCGCCCAAGGACTACCAGCTGCGTAGAAGTCCATTGGGTATATCCCTCCCTCCCTCTTTTCGTCGTAGCCTTACTCTCCATCCATCCAACAGCCTTGCCAACTGCTACAGCGGTCTCATATGGAGTGAGCAACGGCCGGTCAAACGCATACCCCAATCTATTGACAGCGTGGACAGGACGTCTGCACAAAGGTGGAATGTGGGGGGTGAAGAGGGCAAGCTTCGCGGGTGAAGTTCAGAGAGGAGGATGGGCATATAGGGGATCTGCGTGCGCGAGGAGCTAAGCTGGTGTGTGATGGCCTGGAGCTGCTTGAAGCTGCCCTGGCGGCCCAGCGTGCCGAGACGACCCCCATAGGGAGGCTCGACGCTCCTTGGTGCGTGGCGCGACGCATGTCCGGAGAGGCGCAAGCTTGTATGCTGCGCCGCGCTGCTGGACAGCTTCGTCCCGTACGTGCGCATCTCGGTGTGATGTACCGTTCGCGAGTGAACTTCTTGGATAGGGGTCGTATCTGAAGGCCGGACGGAAGGGTTGGCGATCATGATGGATTCTAGGTGGAACCGACCGTCCCCCAGTAACTGCAGAGAAACCACTATGACAAGGAGAATGGATTTGAACGTGCCCACGTACATGAGAGCGTCGACATCGTTCAGCCTGGCGCCGTGCATCCCAGAATCTCCCCCGGCGACAGTGGCTTGGAGCGCGGTATGATGCGTCGTATTTTCCGGTCCATACTTTGGTCGTCCCAACGCAAGACTGTCCCGTCCTGGCAGAGGTTCTTCGATCGTCTTAAACCGATGGAGACTCTTCTGCGTACTCGGTGGTGAGGTCGTCCTTTAGCTGCGACAAAGCCGCTACAAACTGAATCGTGGAAACAAGAGCTAGCCTGGTCGACTCCTGAGGTATCATGGAAGACCCTGGGTGTGATTCTTTCGAGTCCGGATGTGGACTCTCCGCCGAGAGGGACCCTCTATTCGGAGATGATTGTTTTGCGTCAACGGCCGACCTGCGGGTATCTGTCTGTCTGTCTCCTCGGAGTCCAGGAGAGCTTCGTGGAAGCGTCGTCGATCGGTGGGGAAGTTGAGGCGGAGCGTCTGGATCAAGTGGGAGGAGTCGATAGCTATTTCGACGAAGATATATAGGTCTTGATGGTCGTTTGGTCGATGGGGACTACGGAAAGTGGTATGAATCTCCATGATCTCATACTAGTCAGAGGTTGAGTTGACTGACCGAGACAGCTATGACCGTAATGCACAAGCATGTCGCAGCCTAGAGCGACAGCGGTATAATCGTCGATGCAGCATGCACCATAGGTAACATCACCCATGATCACAGTAAGCGCATCCGTGAATCTAGATATGAGAATTGTCAGTTTGGTCATACGGCTGCTGAAGAGGGCGACCAGCACCTGCGCACCGTTCAATGATATCCGCGATCGTGCATGCAAACATCTGCAGTCCCTCGGGCATCTGCAAGGCGACCATCTTTGCGTTATTCTTCCTTACGTGATGTATTGTTTTGTGAATCTCGAAGGAGTAGTTTGTGGGTAGCTGCTTTATCGCTGCGTTGAGTTGACATCGTTTAGGATGTCCTGGGGGATCTGGGTTGCGATACCCGGGGAAACGCCTGGCTTGGACGGAGTAGCAGACTTGCTGCCGACAAAACGCTTGCGAGGTTTCGTAGCATTCTTCGACCCAGAGGGCTTGGGCACCGGTGTACTTTCGCCCATGACGGAGTGGAGGTGAGAGTGGACAGACTTGTCTCTGCCACTGACCTGCGGTGGCTGAGCAATCGTGAAATCTCACTCCGGGATCTCTTCTCGATCACGTTCAGCACCACCCTTGTGACGCCGCCTGGGAGTGACGCGTGACACGCGTCCTTCTCCTCCCGCCACCGCACAACCTCAAGTTCAGTAGCAAGATGTCGACCCGAGGCCGCTCAACCTCCCCGCATCCGCTGCACGATGAGGACGTTGAGATGGACAATGGAAATGGCTTTGACAAGCCACACGCCAAGGTAGTCGTAGTCACCAATCTCACCCGTAATGTCGTCGAGGCACACCTCCGCACAATATTTGGGTTCTACGGGGATATCACTAAAATCGACCTGCCGGTGTTCGGAAAATGTGCGTTTGATCACTCTGTGTAAAACTCTGACTATACTAACGCCACACCAGCTGGACAGAACCGTGGAAAGGCAGCGGTCGAATACGCAGACACCGCCTCTGCGCATAGGGCCGCCTCGCACATGGACGGCGGCCAACTGGACGGCGCAATCCTCAAGGTCGAGCTTTCTGATTTGCCCGTTCGTTCACGATCGCGTTCGCCGCGCCCTCCTCCACGACCGCGTTATGGACGCGACCGCCCCCGTTCTTTCTCTCGAACACCATCACGCTCTCGATCCCCGCCACGACGCTACGGACGCGACGCTGGTCGCTTCCGCGACAGCTACCGGGGCAGGCCATTTGCCCGCCGCGGCCCACCTCCCAGAGACACTTATCGTCCACCCTCGCGGTCCCGCTCTCGTTCCCCCATCCGCAGAGTCGATCGCTTAGTGCCGAGAAGGCGGTCACCTAGCTACGAGCGTGGCGGCACAGGGTATCGTCGCGGCCGAACTCGCTCGGCGAGCTATTCCGTGCGGTCAAGCCGTTCCCGCACGAGGTCTCTTACACCCCGGTCTCGATCGCGTTCTGCATCTTACTCGTCCTACTCGCGGTACTCTCGAAGCAGGACCCGTTCTCGCACGCCTAGCCCACGAAGGAGAAGCCGGAGCCGCGATGATATCAGGGACAGCAGGTCTCGCTCTCCAAGGGACTAGTATTCTTCGACATTCGTTCTCGTTTGTTCACCTGCGAAAGATTGCTTTCCGTGCTCCAAAAATGCTTTGTGTACCAGGGACTATTCGTTCACCATGTGTGCTAAATGTACAGATAATCTAACTCGTGTGTCCAAAAGCGGGTATTAGGCATTAGTCGCTGGCTATTGAGTCATCATCTGCAAGGAAAGGCCTGTGGGGACACCTTCAGCACCGATGGGTTGTGCAAGAGGCTGTGCCACTTACGTGTATTCATAGTCATGCCGTATTGCGTGCGACATCCATTCTTCATCTGCTTCTTCCAGTGGGAACCCTGGTCCTCCCGCGAAGCTGAGTACGACGGGTAGCAGGATAAGCCCATGCAGAGCCCCAGAAACAATGAGGGTGATCCACATGCGGAAATAGTATATCTACAGGATGTTGTTAGATGGCGTGCTCATGAAACCGCGCAACTACGCACCTCTAAGAAGCGCGAACGAGTCAACGCGAGGACGCACATCCCGATGAGTTTCGTGAATGTGATGCCAGACAGCACCGATGGCCCCACGTCAACGAGGGCGGTCCACATCCGCTCGTCCCGCTCTTTCTGCCCAGCAGGGTGGTCGACGGGAGACCCGACCCGGCACTCATGAATGCTCTGGCGACGTGCGCGCAGAACTCCACCGCGATGCCCAACGAGATGACCAGGTTCACCAGACTGATCGCGTTGAGCATGATGCCCCACACGCCCATGACACCCATTACGCTGACCACGGTGAGCGCGACGACACCCGTCACGATGAGCCCAGTACGCCACGAACCAAGCATCAATGCCGTCACCAACAAGACGGCACCCAGGCCCAATCCTAGGATTTGCTCCGTAATGGCAATGATATGCGCGTACTGGTCGAAGAAGACGTAGTGCAGCGAATACGGGAAGATGGACATGCCCGTGCGCTCTGAGAGGTCGTCCGCGATGCGGCGGGCAGCGGCGAACGAGTTGATGAAGTCCGCCTGGGACTTGAGCGGCGTGTGGAACGTGCGGAAGTGTGACGCGACGACGTCCGAGCCGTCCTCCGAGAGCGCGAGTGCAGTCCCGAAGGACGCCTTGCCCGCGAGCGAGCAGTCCTCCGTCGTGGGGGAGATGAGCCACTGCCGTAGGTACCGCATGAACTCGTCGTCTTCGGGAAGACCCTTCATGGTGATGTTCCATGCTGGGTCGTGGTCCTGGTAGCACATCTCGCAGAGCCTCGGAGAGTCGGTGTCCCTGCAGAAGATGTCGGGGTTGCGTTTGCGCACCCGGCAGCACTTCTCATGAACGGGGTCCAGCCAGTTGAAGTAGTCGTCGATCCATGAAGCGGCCGGCTCAGCGATGAAGGACGACTGCGGCCGTTTACGCTCGGCCTCGAGGATGTTGGCGACAGAGAAGTCATCGCAGGTGGTGAAGCGACCGCATATATTCTGTTGGCCATCCGCTGCTTGACGTCTACGTCATGCACGACGAAGTACACCGGCGGACCGATCTCCAAGTAGGAGTCCACGCTGTCAAAGTAGGAAACCAGGTACGACTCCGACGGCAGCGCAAGTCTCTGGTCTGCATGGAGATGTTAGCAACAAGTCGATCATCAGACCTAGTCATGTACTAACCGAAACCAAGCTGAATGTGCTGCATCGAGATGATTGACGAAAAGCAGATCCCGAGGAACGTCAGTAACACCACAAACTTTACGACAGGCTTGAGCAGGAAGGGTGCGTAGTGTCGGCGTATGAACCGAGCGATCATTCCAAGGCCGCTGCCGGTAGGAGGGTCCTCCAATGCGATTCGAGTAGGAAGCTTGATGCACGGGAAGCAATCCACTCGGCTGGCCTACATACAGTGAGACGACTTCCCACAACAGATGAGACAAGAAACGTGAGCTCACCTCAACACGCTTCAGGTCCAAAGCTAGTGCGCTCACGAAGACGGTCACCTGCATAATTGCGTTGAAGAGGACACTGCCTGCGGCATACATGCGAAGTTCCGGACAGCAGGCATGGGGACCAGTGCGCCCAGTGCGAACGCCAGCGTCTCCGTAATGGTGCTCAACAAGATAGACGGGCCCATCTTTGCAAGCGCCTCGCAACACGCTCCTCGGCGGACAGATACAGCGGCGTCGAGACCGCATCGACCGAATCCTCTCGGAGCGGGCAGAGTCGAACTGCGACCGCGGCGGGATTGCGTCGGCGACATGGGCGCGTCACCATACCCAAAGCCCTGTGTCACCGCTGCGGCGTTCGGGCCGTGGAGGAGTTCTGTCTGTCGAGCTCGTGCACGAGATGAAGACGTTGTCGACGCCGACGGCGAGCACGAGGAAGGGGATAACCTCCGCGATGATGAGCGTCACCTTCACGCCGAAGAACGAGAACGTCCCGACGGAGCACATGCACGAGAGGATGACGAGCAAGATGCCGAACAGCCCGAGCGAGAACTTGGACCCGACGAAGAGCTTGCGGGGCAGCCGCGGGAAGATGGTGGGTTCGTCCAGCGAGTTGACGATAGCGAGGAGGACGCAACCCCTTGGTGTTGAAGAATTGGGCAGTTCCTGGCCCAGCGAGCCAGGGATGCCCAAGCGCCTTCTTCCCGGCCATTTGCGTACCACTGCCCAGGGTGAAAGAGACGTACAGGAACATGGCGACATACGAGAGCACTACGATCTTCACGTCGGTATTCGTGCTCTTGTTGATCTCTTCCTCCAACGAGACTCCAGTCGAGAAGCAACCTCGAGCCCCGCCTCGCTGGGTGCACGTTCGCTGAGACGTTGTAGGTAGTCTCGCAGTGCACGCTCCCACTCCATCGCCTTCTCCTGTACCTCCTGATTAGAGAGTCAGAGACGACATACGTGACGACGAGGGCGTCCGAGGCCAAGTACTTCTTGGGATCATCGCCATCTGGTATCCCACCAAGAACGTACTGAGGTGCCAGAGGTTGTTGGAAGTCGGGCAGACACTCGACCGGCGAGTTTGCACAGCCAAGGAATGCGAGGCCCATGTGTCTCGTCATACGCGTCGAGTTCGTTCCCGAACCATGCGGCGACGGATTGAACAACGCAGAACCCGTCCGGTCCTGCGGGCTTGAAGCATACATCGTCTAAGTGTATCCATTCGGCTCGGAGCGTAGTGACCGTATGTCATCTTCGACGTCAAACCAAACTTGAGATGTTCCCAGGACAGCACGGTGGTTTATCTTCTGTGACAGTGACATGTTCGTCTGCTCGGCAAATAAGCTCCCAGGCACGCTGTGACGAAGATCTGCTCGGGACGATAGAATGGTCCAAAGTGCTCGTCAAAGTACTCCTTCTGCAGTTGCTCTGCGAATCGGGGGAGACCCACAGTCGTACGGCTCCGTCTCGATGGAGAACCTACTCCAACCCGAGAGAAGGGCGCCGATTACTATAAAGCTACCGCAGAGCGAGAGGAAAGGGTAGGAGGCAGTGATCAGTCCGAGACGGTAGAAGGAGCGACGCAGCATGTTGTTCAGTCGATATTGACGAGGCTGCACTGTCTCGATAGGGTCCAGCAGTGACGCGCCACGACCGAGGTTCCGCGAATCCGACTGTGTGCCTAAGGACTCCTCGCCGTCGACGTACTGTGCTAAGGACGACGCACCAACAAGGCCTCGTGCATGTGTGCGAGGTGAGACGTGCTCCGAAGCAGCGTCGGTGGATAGCGCAACACGCTCGTATGATTTCCGCCTCCGGATGGTCAACTGTAGGCCGTACCCGAGGATGAAGGATGCCACAGCAACGCCATAGGCAAGGACGAGGACAAATGATAGGCAGGAGATGGCGCCGACATGGCATGTCATGCCCGGCGTTGGCGGTGGGATGTCGGGAAGTGTTTGGCAGACATCTGGGCAGTCAATGCACGCGCACCGGCTACTCAGGTCATCATCATAGCACTTGCGCGGCGTCGCGTCGAAGACAGTCATGCCCTCTGGGGGCTCGTTCGGGTAGTTGATCTGGAAAGGGCTGCCCATATCCTTCTCGTCTCCCATGAACTTGAGGAACGCGGAGTAATTCTTCGCGCCTCCTCCGATGAGGTCCATTGCGTACCCATTGGTGGCACCCATCTGTATGCTCTTGCAGCTGTCATAGAAGCCCTTGCCAAACTGTCCGAGACGTGAAAGTCGACCGACTTAACGCCCTCCTGCCCCGTTTGTGTCTCCTGGGTCGAGGTGACATTGAGGAAGGTTGCCTGGTCGGGTGAACATGTGAAGGTGCACCAGAACTGGCGGAAGTTATTGCGGCATGCTGGACAGGAAGAAATGATGTTTTCCGCGAGACCTATATTGTCACGCAGGGTCTCCAGCTGTGCGGTCGTGCAGCATGTCGGTCCTTCCGCATACTCGGCACCACATAGTGAAACTAGGAGGTCGCGGTCGACATCATCCTAGAAACCAGGCGAGCCATAAGCACAGCTACTCACTGCATCTCAATCGTGATGACTTGCCTCCGAAGCAGGACCGTCGTATGGGCACGGCAGGGGCTTGCCGAACCAGTCTTTGGAGCCACAGGAGTCGCGCATAGCGCAGTAGCCCTCCTGGCCCAGACGCATTTCGCTTGCATATTGCGAATCCGCCATGGCGGCGGAGAAAGAGAGGGTTGCTGGGCCAGTAGGTGTTCCGGCCTGGTAGTAAAGCGGCAAGTATGGTGAGAAGTCGACAGGCCGAGGGTGAGCCTGAGTGAGACCACTGCTGCACCGGGGCGCCAGACCGACAGGGAGATTACGTCTCACGACGCGCTACACGTGACAGTTCATTGAACTTGGGCGCGTCGCGAGTCGCGTCAGCGTCGTCTCTCCACCACTGGCGAACGTCTACCCTTGCACAATGTCTCTTCCTCCTAAACGCGTTTGACGGAGGAGAAACGTGCGAATGGGCCTCTCCCAGTCAACAACGGGTAAGTCTCACCAGTGCCTACGAGGCGCGTCGCTACAATCCTCAAGTTGAACCGCGTAGCATCGACGAAGAGCTCGCCGCACGCCTCAGGAACATGGCAACTCGGGTTAGAAAAAGTGCGTACGCATGCATTGAAGAGTCTTCTACACCCTGACGCGTCACGTCGACGCCCTTCAGGTGTCACGGAGGGCTACGCTCCCTCTGCCCCCGGCGCACCCAACATCCCCCGCATCACGTCCAGGCTCCCTTTCACCAGGTCCGCATCCTTCCAGTCCGCGAACGACGCACTCAAGGATGCCTACGCATCACACGCAACAATGCTTTCGCCTCGTCCGGGAGCACGACCCCGAATGTGAAGCGCAAGCTCACCGCGGGGGAGGCAGGAGGGGATGACGACGACGACGACGATATCGATCTGGATGGAGACGCGAGCGACCTGCGTATCCCTGCCGGTCAATTTCAGGCGAATGATTCCATGCGTCCGGTCAAGCCTCTTCCAGCAGCTAGGCGAGGCGGCATGCGCTCCTTCTCCGAAGGTGCCCTACCCTACGGAAGGCGTACTAATGCGCACTGATCGCTCCCGGGTTGGCCATTGAAGAAGAAGACTGGAGCCAGGGAAGCTTCGCGCCAGCTTCCATCGAACCCCCGAAATGAAATGCAGAACGCAGCCCAACACATCATGGACGCTCATAGGACCGCTTCGATACCACATCCCATATGCTATTGACTTCCTTTCGAAATCCTCGTTCCGTCGCAGCCTGAATCCTCGAATGCCGTCTGTTATATTCTCGCCTCCAACATTATACACTACATAAGGTTTCGTACAATACATGCAAGGAGCCCAGGAATACTTGTTACGTTGTAAATGAGCCAGCAATCCGAGAAAGCACCAGGAGACATACACAGTGCACACCGCCGCGTCTAGTTCGCAACCCCGAAATAGAGCGTCTACGAGCAAGCATGGGGAGGCAAGGGCGTTACATGGAAGTGGAAGCGGAGAGTAAACGATGATAAAGAGGTCCGTATGGTACGTGGGTGATGTTCGTGGGTGTTGCGGTTTATGACTTGCTGCTTGAAGTCGAGCATGAACAGGAAAGGTGGATGCAGGGAAACGCGTACGCGAAAGGAGGAGAGGTTTGGGTCATGGCGGTCCGCTAGTGTAGATCCTCGTCGAAGCCATCCAAGTGGTCTTCATCATCGTCTCTTCTGTGCGCATAACGCCCGGCAGGCCGTTCGTCCGCGAGCTCGTCGTCAGTGTCGACGTCCTCCTCCTGCGGAGACACCACATTCTCGTCTACACCACCCCTCACGTCCGCAAGCATACCCGCCGCAGCCGGCATGACCGACTCGCCGTGATACGTAAAGCCTCTGAAGTTCTCCTGTACGCTGCTCGTCAGGGGGCTCCCCGCAGCCTCGCGCTTCTTCCTCTTCCCTTGGATCTCAATCCCCGCCGGCGCCGATGGCGCGGTCGCCACAGGAGCAGAGGAAGGGGAAAGGGCGCCCAAGGTCTTGTCACTCCCGAGCGGGCCATTGGGGGTGTGCATCGTTGCCGCGGAGACGCTCTGGGAGAGCGCGACCCAGTCCTCCGACGGATCCTCCTCATCGAGGTCCATGATCTCATCCGGGCCCGCGTCACGCACGTCCGCAGAAGTAAACTCCGGGTCGAAGTTGGCGACAGACTCGTCCGACTCCACGGCGGGCTTGAACGGCGGCGTGACCTGCTTGAGCGCGAGCGCCTTCCAGTCGATAGTCTTGAAGAACGGATGCTCCTTCAGCTCCTCCGCGTCCCGCTGCGCGCCAAGACGGTGCTTGGGATTCCGGTTCAACAGCTGTGGGAAATGGCAGACATGTGAGTGGGAAACAGCGCCTGGGCCGCTGTGGTATTGATATTGCTTACCCCTTTGACAAATTGCTTTCCGTCCTCGTTGATGACACCCCTTGGGAACCTGATTTTCCCAAAGCAGATGTTCTTGTACATCTGCTGTGTGTCTTCCGCATAGAATGGGCTCCACCCGCAGCACATCTCGAACAGCAGTACACCCAGACTCCAGAAGTCGACCAGCTTCGAGTATCCGTGCTCGTCCAGAAGGACTTCAGGGGCCAGGTACTCGGTTGTGCCGCAGAACGTGTTCGTCAGTTCGTCGGAGCGCAGGTCAGGCTTTGACAGGCCGAAGTCGCATAGTGCGACGTGACCTGTCGCGTCAAGCAGAATGTTCTCCGGCTTCAAGTCTCTGCGCGCCAGTCAGTCAGTGATGACGACTTGCCACACGACAGCTGTCACATACCGGTACACAATATCGTATTTGTGCAGGTGCTCGAGTGCGAGGATGAGCTCCGCAATATAGAATCGCGCTCGCTCCTCGCTGAACCGTGTTTCACGCTGGAGGTGCCAGAATAGCTCACCTCCGCTCTTGAAATCGGTCACGAGGTAGAGATCCGAGCCCGTTTGGAAGCTGAATTTCAGCCCAACCAGGAACGGACAGTCCAAAGAACGCTGAAGGATCTTGCGTTCGCCGAGCGTGTGCGCGACCTCCTTCTTTGCTAGGATCTCGCGTTTCGAAAGGACCTTCATCGCATATATGCGTTTGGTGTCCTTCTTGCGCACCTGGAACACGCGACCAAACGTGCCACGCCCGATGAGCTTGAGGAAATCGAAGTCGCGCGGAGTCAGGGCGCGTTTCGTCTATGGGTGTGAGCGCGATGGTGACACGGGTCACGGGGTCGAGCGGCAGCGAAGCGTGGGGCGACGTGGGGTGACGCGGGGCAGAAGCGAGAAGCGAGCTTCGTGAATAGCGAGTCGATCATCCGGGGGATCATCGTGCTTACCTTGTTCGCCTCGAACGTAATCTGTACGCGCATCTCCCCGCTCACCGGCTCGTTCTCAAACGGGCGCAGTCTGTCGTAGACGCGTCGTGCATCGGCGAAACGCGCGAGTGCGGAGTGGCAAAGGGCAGGGGTGGAAATGAGGTGGGAAGAATTTGTCAGCCGCTGCAAACGAGGCGACGCGAAGGGTCGAGACTCACTTGAACCACTGGTCGACGGTGTGATCGTGTACGAGCGCAGGCTTAATCTGCACCGTACCCAGGAAGCCAGGGTCGGTTGCCGAGCGGTCGTAGACATTGAACGTGATCGCAGATAGATCCGACGTGACATCGCTGCCTGGAGGTCAGCATGAGGGCGCGGAGGGATCAGGCGGACGACGCACAAGGACACCTCGTGTTTCCAGACAGGGCTCACGGCCGATATGCGCGACCCGAACAACCGTTGAGACCAGACTTGGGGCACCGCCATTTGTGGCAGTCGGTGAGCCCGACTGACGCCCTTCGGGACACCGTCCTTGTTGCCCTTGCTCACGGCGGTGAGGGCAGAGATGGCAGTCGAAGATGACTGCCGGGAGAGATTGGTAGGCAGGCCCTTGGCCTCCTTCGCAGTCTCCTCAATGGGGTCGCGACCGACAAACTCGTTCTGTTCGAACTGGACGACCACATACGGCTTGGACTGTGAAGAGCGCACATTGAGACCTCGCGCTTGGATGAGCTTGACGTGAACCTGGCCCTTGGAGGGGCCAGACGCGGACATCGAAGCAGTGCCATTCGCAGTGGGGGCTATCGAAGCATTTGTGCCTCCGGAAGAGTGACTAGAAGAGACGGAAGATGTAGGTGAGGGGCTCGCAGATGGTTGGCGGGATGCACCGGGGCGTCGGGACGGCGGGGGCTGCTGCATGTTGAAGACGGGCGCATGAAGCGAGAGGCCGGTGGTGGGCTGGGCTGCTGGATGCGAACCACCGGGAGTCAAGGGAGCGGAAGGGAAGTAGGAGGGGGGCGCGGTCGTCGCGGGCGAGCCTGGTGCAGCGCCGCTGACGGGAGACAGGAGGTGATTGGAGGCGTTCAGGAGGTGGTGATGATAAGATGGAGCGAAGGGGGCAGACTGCTGCTGCTGCTGGTCGTGCGGGGGGAGGAGACGGACGTCGTCGTGACTGAGAGAGTCGAAGGGGTTCCGGCGCTCTTTGCCGTCTGGGCCAGCCTTTGGCGTGAGATCTGCGGGGGTAGATGGCCAAAACTTGAGCATGGTGCGCTGAGCAATGGACGACAGGGAGCGGGCTGAAGGTGTAGCAGGGCTAGAGCAGGTAGTAGTGACGGTCGTTGACGAAGATACAGCGCCGAGCGATGGGGACGGCATGGGAGCCAGGGCACCAGCGACCACCCTCATCGTAGCCGGGAGCTCTTCCTTCTGACCGCTCCACTTTTCATCTTCCTTGCTCGCGTTTGCACCCCAATCCCTCGCCTCCAGCCACCGCAGTGTCACCTGTCTGCCGTAAGCCGCATGCTATCTACATCCATCATCCTCCGACGCCTCTACGCTGAGCCCGCCTCCCGCCCCGCCCCATCCCGCGCCAGCCCCAACCGCTCCCGCGTCCCCCGCAGCCCCCGCAGCACTGCTCCCGTCAGCAAGCCCACCGCCAGCGTCCGCCGTGCCTCCCGCCACCCCTGTCGGTCTGCACAGCAAGCTCAGCGCTACCTCCCAGGTCCAGACACGGCGTACTCACAGACTCCGGCGAATGCAGCCGCTATCCCCACACAGGACGCTACCTCCCTCGCCTCGCCCCAGACCCCGCCCATGTACTCGCAGGCCTCGCTAACCGCGACGTACGCCCCCACCGTCGCCGTCAGTCGTGCAGCGTCCTTCCCCGCCTCCTTGAGCCCCGCCATCAGCACCCGGTAGTTCTTCGTCTTGTTGTAAAAGTACCACCCCTGCACCGTCGTCGGGGGCCGGTGTGCATTTTCGGCCAGGAACTGCATGGACGCCGTCCGCGCGCCTCGCCGCAGCCCGATCATGGCCCCAACAATGAACCCTCCCCCTGGGAGAATGTAGACGTGTGGCGGGACATTCAGGTGTATCGTCCGCTTTGGTGGTATCCCATCGGTTCCAGCGGACGTATCTGTCGACATTTGTCAAGGTAAGTGCGCTGCAACACTCGACTGCAGCCAGCAGTGGAAGACGGAGATACTCGATCACGTGATGACGTCAATCTTCGAGACGCGCTCTGCGATCTCTGCACAGGAGCACTATTCCTCCAATATTGGCTCCATGGTATGGTGTATCATCCTATTCTTTAAGTGACGATACCACATGGACCCACACAACAAATACTGTGATTGACAACGAGACACTATACTTGGCTGTCAGAGGGCGGCTAAGCGGGAAACCGTCTTGGTGCTGCATACATCGAGGATCTGCGTAGCACCGAGATAGCTTGAACACATTGCGAGAATATATGGTCATTTCAGCTCGCAGTTGGTCATTGTGTGCATAAGCTACCAGCCCTGTACGACCCCGGGCCTACATGAACCCTGATGTAGCCTCCGACGACGTGAGAGTGTAAGTGACCGGGCGCACGCACTCCTTGCTGCTGTCCGATCCTAGAGATGGAAGTAGAGCCCTGCTGATGAAAGTAGAGTTGTATGAAGAGGAATGCGAACAACACACAGGCTCTACATGGTCCTGCCTATGCTGCAACGATGTATAGAATGATGTATGACGCACTCGTATAGCTTAATCTGTCTTCTGGGGGCATGGCTCTGTGTCATATGGTCTCTTGGTGAGAACGCAAGCACAGAATCTGGATAGGGTTCGCAGTGTGCGATGAGTCTATGAGATGAGCTCAGTCGGGTGCGCCCTGCAAGCTAGGTTGGTCTAGGTGCAAGAAGCTCAGGCGTGGCAGCGCCCATGAAGCCGGTCCAGGCTCCAGACGTTCGACCCGATTGACTCGAATAACGGACAGTAGTAGACAATTTTGCCGATGTCAACCAGACTGAACAAAAGACACAAAAGCGGTCGAGGATGAGTCGCAGTTGAGGCAGGGGGACGACGATGGCCCGTTTGTTTGTCTCTTCTTTGCAGCTGCTTGGAGGGACAAATTTGTTTTCTCCGGTTTTCTGCAATTTGGACCGTGTATGAAGGTGTTTTGCGGGGGACAACAACAGCACACCGACGCAACGTCGCCGCCGCCGCCGCCGCCAGCGACGACGCACGCAGGCCATGGCGTCCTCGCCGCGCGCACCGCGTCGGCGGCCATTCTGGGGAGGTGGCCCGTGCGTCCTGGGATCACTTCGCATGGATGACATAAGCGACGCCCGTTGGTTCGTCTCGCAGTCTGAGTCTGCTCTCCGCCGTCTTCCCTCCTCGTCCCGCCTTGCCCACCCGAGCCACTGAGCCACTGCCCCTCGAGCCTACTCTCCGACGCCGCACCTCATGATGGCTCAGCAGCCGCAGACGGTCATCCCGCCAGAAATGATGCAGGCGGGTGCGCCGATGCATGCGTCGTATTACCCCGAGAACCAGACCGACCTCACGGGGGGCCTGCCACTCAACCTCGACTCGCTGCGTGACGGCCCGCCAGGGAGCAAGCCGTTCTACCCATATTCGACTCTCATCCGGTAAGTAGCCCGGTCGACATTGTTTGTTGTGGCATGTGGCCATGGTCCAAACAAGCGGTGGCTCACTGCTTGTTTGGCCAGATACGCCATTAAAGGCTCGCCAAATCAGAAGCTCTTGCTGGAGGATATATACTATGCCATTGAATCAAGGGTGCGTCCGACGAGTTCCACGCGGCAGGCGTGTATTGATTTCTGCTCGCAGTTTCCATACTTCAGAACAGCGCCTCCAGGATGGAAAAACTCCGTCCGCCACAACCTATCTCTCAACCCATGCTTCGAGAAAGTGCCCCGACCGTTGACGGACCGGGGGAAGGGCTCCTACTGGACAGTCAACGACAACGTCGACCCCGGACTGGCGTCCACCGCGTGCGAAAAAAGAAAGGGGGCAAAGGCGGGGGCAAAGGTCGCTCAGCTCGTGTCGAAGAGGACATTGACTACCATCCGCCCGAGGAGAGTACATTCAGCGATACAAACTTCGTCGCTCAGCCTATGCGCCCCGTCGAGGCTGGGCCGAGCACACAAGGTGCGCCACCGCCCCCGCCGTCAGCGCCGTTCGTCCAGCACCAGTACGGGTACGTCCGCTTCCACACCGTGTACCTTCCCCTCTCTCATTGACGTGTACATGTAGTTTTGACCCCAACTTCGCGATGATGCCGCCCCCACCACCCGGTGGTATCGCTACCCGCCAATACCGCCGCTCTTCACGCCCGACGAGCGGTTCGAGCTCGACGAGCATGGGAATGTGAACTGGCATCTGCATGGCTGAAGGAGCTCACAGCCTTCAACGCCTCACAGAAGACCAGCAGAAGGCGGGAGCAGATCAGGAGTGGTACCGTATGATGCTGTTCAGAGTTCGGAGCGGGATGATGGCACCGCCGAATCCGGGCGATCCTATGGTGGGCCCGCCCATGATGGACCAACCCCGAACCCGGTGGAGGAGGTGACGCAGTAGATCTGCCATGCTGTAGGTTGTGTCGTCAATGACGTCTGCGAAACACAACAACCCTTCCTTCGCACCCTTGGTGCTTGCTTGGTGCTCGCCCAATGTCATCTTCTTCCTATGTTGCCCTTCTGTCACTTTTCGGGATCCCTCTGCTTGGACTAGTGGCATGGTGTTGATAATGGTAGTGTCGGATGGACATAGAGTCAGTCCTGTAATACAAACCCTGCTCGTTTGCCAGTCTCGGTTGTTGAATGTTCGACCAATTTACGTTCGACATTTGCTTAGTCGCGCGCACGTGATCGTGCATCGACGCGTTCACCAAGGATCGAGATCCGCTGCTTGAACGATCGCGTACTCGGCTTTCTCGAATCCTCCAAGAAGCCTAAGTCGTTACCAGGACCGCCTGAGTCAACCCTCCCCCACGAGTATCGCGAACAAGCCACCATGTCATCTCACTACTATGAGGTCGCCCTTTTTGGCGAGTTCTACCCACAAGATCTCTCAGGTGCGCGCCCTCCGAGCCAGAATGCTTATACGGTACTAATGGCCCCCTTGCGTGCTGGTTCAGCCGTCATGAACCGCATAACGCTTCACAGCGAGTCTGCGCATCCGATGCACGCCCGAGAGATAGTCTTCGAACAAACACGTTTCACGAATGAACCCCCGAGCCACCGCGGAGAGCATGGCCAGGAGCCCCCGTTACTCAGAGCTCGCAAGGATTTGCTCGAGCCCGAGGCGAAGTGGTGAGTGCTCTGAGATACACTTGTTTGTCGAGATCCCTTCACGAATCCGACCACGTCTTGTAGGGTTCTGTATTCATACCTGAAGCCAGAGTCCGCACGCGTGCACCCGAGGCCACAGTGCGCCCTTGGGCTACTTGCAGGTGGTAGGCAATGCCCTTCATTTCGCTTCGGCTTTGGGGTACACGTACGTATTCAGCTTCAGTTGCTCATGCCGCACTGAATAGTCATCCGTTTTGGCACAGGCGTCGCTCCCAGATGTACAAGCGTGGGTACGTCTTCCGGCGAGGCCCCCTCCTCGTTCAGATGTTTCAACAAGAACAGGCACGTTCAAAGTGGCCTCGAAGTGCATTTGGTTGCTCACATACACCTCATAGGTCGACCAGAAGACGCAGAAACCCATCCCCGCACATCCGGACACCCTATGGGAGGTGGAAGTCCGAACTGCTGCGCCAGTGCGCAACAGCCAAGAGACGCCCCTCAGTAGATATATAGAGGCTGTCCTGGAGACACAGCTCCTCATGAAGGGCTTGCTCGATCTCAGACGAAAAGACGTTTGAGCAGTCAAATGCCGTGTCCTCGCAGAGAACGATCAAGAAACAAGCTAAGCACCGACATCCTCGTGCTCATCTCCGGAGTCGCCCCAATCCACCTGCTCCTCGTCGCCCTCTCCCATCCTGTCAAACGCCATCCGTACCTGGGTCCCGAAGCGCGCCAGCTTGGCGAAGCTGCTCCAGCAACACAGCGAGGTCCTCAGGGCCTGCTTCTAGTTCATCGTCTGTCTCACCCTCGGCATCCTCGTCCAGCAGTCCGTCATCCTCTCCAGATCAATACCTGCACTACCGCCTGTGGTCCGCTCGCTGTGGCCGGTTCACGTTGCTCTTCATCATCACTCCCGCATATCCTCCAAGCAAGTCAAGGACATTCTTCTCCTCCGTCGCCTACCTTCTTCCTCGCTTCCGTACCCTCCAAGCAGACCGTTGATAGCCTTCTTCCCCTCCCGCACACTCAACTTGCGTCGCTTGGGCGTCGGCTCCTCTGCTTCCCGCTGGACGCTGCCTTGGTCGTCAACTATCGTCCCATGGAAGGATCCCTCTTCCCATATCTCGATCGTCGGAAACTCCACAAAGTTCTTGTGCTTCAAGTTGACACCGATCGGTTTCGCCGGATCCAGTTTGTAGTACGCTTCGCAGCGTACATGCCCTGGTCGTGGGCCCGCGGCATTGCGGCGGGCATCCAAGGAAGCTAGGGGGTCGAGCGGCGTCTGCATGACGCAAATGGGCATGGTGAAGCCTTCGGGGTCGTCAGGGTCGGGGACGATGAGGGAGCTGATCCACGTCGGGAATGGGTCTCCCTTCTTGGACTTCTTGCGCTCCGCGACCTGCGCACGCATGACCTCCAGCAGAGGCCTCTCCAGTGCATTGCGGTGCGTCAGGAGGGAGAACGGTTGTCGTTTCTGTTGTGAAGAGGGCTGTAATGGATCGGGAGGCGGATGGAACTTAAGCTCGATGGTGAGCAGCGCAGTGCGATTTCTGCAGGTGCGGTACGGGAAACGAGATGTACATCACGTTTTAGCGAGTAGATACAACAGAGGGCTGATGCGTACTTGAAATCCCACGTCGACTGGTTGAGGATCCGCCGCTCCATACCGTTGGGAAGCATCTCCATCTCGATGTCCCGGAAATCCAGCTGCATCTTCAGCACGTCCCTCTTCGACCGCGTCTTGCCCCCCGCCGCACCGGCACCCCTCCCCCGACCTCTCCCTCTCCCGCCCCTCATGCTTGTAGCGACCCTGCCGCGCCCCGCTCCGGGGCGCTCGCTATATAGCCACCTTGCACGATGTCTCGTCCCCAGTCACCCACTTGCCGCCCCATCTCCTCGAGGAAGGTGTAGTCGCTCATGAGCGCCATGTACCCGTACTTGTTCATGGACACGTACGCGGCCTTGTTGCGCACGCCGGAGCACCCGTCCGCCAGAGACTTGTGCTGGTTGGCGCACGGCATGGAGCACGTTCGCATGTTGCACCGCGGGCAAGTGTAGATCGCGGGCTTGACATGACAGACGACGCAGAGTGGAGGTTGGGATTTTGGAAGTACGCTGCCGGATGCCTCAGGCTGCACAGACATGAGTACACTAAAGAAGAGTTTTTGGACGGATGCGAGCTGGAGGAGAGCTGAGGGAGACAGAAAGGGCTCCTGTCAGTGTACAACGTACATACGAGCAGTTGCTGACGCGAAAAATACGACCCACGTGAGTAATATTGAGGCGCGTCGCGTTCGGAAACTTCGGATCGCCTACGCGCACAGACCAAACCAACAGCTACTCAGTCGAAGAAGCGAATGAAGGTGTAATCTTCAATTCCAAGTTATGATGTCTACAGAGAGATATACAGTAGGATGTCATAGGACCAATGAAATATAATACAGAGTCTGTGCTTCCCAACAGTCTAAATATCATCCATTCCGAGGTCAATCTCGACCTTTTCGCCGGGCTTGAACGCAGGCAAACCTAGATGGAATGCGTTAGACACAATAACCGAAGTAATGCGTGGTCTGAACGCACCTCTGTAAGGGCAGCCCGAACACCGGAAGGCATCACCGAGGTAGCAGTTACCACAGCTACTCGTCGCCTTCGGTGCAGAGCAGCAGCAGCGACCACCTGTCCTTCTCACTCTGCGGCACCTCCATCGTCTGCCCGCTCTCCGCGCCGTCCAGCAGCACGACCTTACTGTTCTTGACCTCCTCCGCCTCGAGCTCCGCCAATCCGCACGTGCAGTTCTTGCACGCCCTCTTCCTGCGCGGTGCGCCCGCCGTCACCGGTGGGCACACCTCCGGCCGCTCGCGGTCCTCAGCAGTCAGCAGGCTCTCAGCGTCGATGGTCGGGGTCGATGGCGCATTAAGCGTCCACAACGCTTTCTTCGAGCCTTGCGCTCCGCATCGGTCTTCCGGCGGAGCGGAAGCGCCGTGGCCGGTGCTGATTTGAGCGGTGCGGCGGCGGTGTGCGCGGGCTTTTGGGCGATGAGGGTGTCCTCTGCGAGAGGTGCGAGGATCATAAAGCCCGCGAGGGTGAGTTCGGACGGAAGCGAGGGGAGTGCATCGCCGAGGTGGAGGATGTGCAGCGTTCCCAGGGGCTCGAGGCCCGTGAGCAGCTGCGAGAGGAGCGTGGACAGACGCGGTGCGAGGGCTTCGTACTCGGGTGGTGAGAGCGAGACGTGGACGGAGGCGAAGCTCGAAGGCGTCAGAGTCGTGGCTGCCAATGATGGGGCAGCAATATGTCAGCTCTAGGCCTTTCGTCGGTATGTAGCGTCGTCGCGTACTTACCGCCATCTATGAGTCTGTCTACCATGTATTTGTCTACCTGGCGTGTCTCCTGCAAGCTCGTGATGAGTGACTGGTATCTCCCGTCTTCGGCCGTGGCTGGGGAACCGATGGCGAGCGCGGGTCCCTTTACGGGCACGGCTGCGACGACGGGCTGGCCCTGAGGAACGACGGGGGACTCGTAGATTGCTGCGGGGGCCATGTTTTGCGATGTGTTGGTGATGGGGGTATCGTCGAAAGTGTGGGGTTTTATGAGACTGCGAGAGGATGAGTGGGACAAGCTGCTTACTCAGACAGGACACAGTCAAAATAATCCTGGGCGATCGACTCATTGGATCGGTCACCCGGGTCACGCATCCCGGCGCTCCGGCTCCCCCGGGTGGCTGCCTGCCTTGCAATGCCTGCCCCGCCAGGTGAATGCATCCCATGCGTTTGCGAATTTACTATTTCCACAGTGCGGCCCTGTGGGCGATTCGCTTGCCCACCGCTGACGGTCAATATTGACGTCTAATCAGTAATGCACCTTGCTCGTGTAATCTGCTTAGCGGGTGAAGCTAGAGCCTGAGTTTGGCATTCTACTAAGTAATTGGAGCAACACCGTTAGCCCCACGGGCAGGACACAAGCTCTCCGACCGAGCACTTCGCGGACACCTGCTTGGTAGCCTCACAACTTCCACACTTGATGGTTCTTGTACCCCAACTCACCCAGCACACCTCCGACAACTCCCTGCGAGAAATTTCGACCATACGGCCCAGCGATTGCCGTGATCATTCTAAGAAGCCATGAAGTTAGTCCACACTTCTCCAAACCGATCATGACGACGTACGGTTCGGGCCCACAGACCAGGAACAGTACTTCTTTTCATTGACATTGGGCGAACTCGACCGAGAGAACAAGGATCGCCACCACGAACGGGCGTTGTCGGAGCCGAGCGCGTTTCTATGGCACCCACGTTGATTCTGCCCACCTGGACGTCATCCGAACCGACGGACGGATGCACGGGGCCCTCGGAGGAGTCAACGAAGAGAGACATTTGCAGCCGGTCAGGGTGCGCTTGGCTCGCAGAGAGCAGAGGTTCTAGCATATCCGGCGGTGGGAGTTCGGACGGCTTGCGCGCAGCATGCAGCAACGTAAAGCGGGTCTTGGTCGGAACCTTTGTAGGATCCTTGAGCAGCTTCGCATGCAGAAGCTGGTAGAAGGGCGTTATGCCTGTTCCTCCTGAGATCTTACAATATTTCAGATGATGAGTGCGCAAAGACAGACACGTGAAGTAGACGCACCATAACAACTTCGTCCCATTTGTTATCATCCCACAGCCATGTACTCAAAGGCCCTCTGAGCTCGATCTTGTTCCCCATCTTTTTCGAATGCAACCACCGGCCGACCTCACCCTTCTCATACTTCTTGACCCAGAACCTCATCCGCCCCCGCTCGTCAATGCCCTCTAACGGCGTGTACGGCCGCTCGACCTGTATATCATCATCCTTGATGTAAACAGACCAGATCGGGTTGTAGATGGATTCCTGGCTGTCCGGGACCGCCTGGGGAGGCAAAGCCAACGTAATCAAGCGTGTGTCCGGGTCGGGACACTCTTTGATGGCGGTCAGCGTCGCGGGGGTGTAGTGTCTCGGTGAGAAGAGAACGTCAGGGCGAGTCGGAGCTGCCTTGGATTCGTTTGGCAAGAAGAAAATGGTGGCCGTGCCAACCCCAAACACTCCGAACCAAATGAGCACGAGTGTATTGCGGTACCTCAATACCTCTTGGGAAGGACCAGTGGGCAATGGCTTGTACGCCGGTTTTCCTGGCGGTGCATGGGCATAGCGCAGCTGCACAATGTGAGCTCGAGGGGGTTGTGGGCAAAGGCGGACGGGAGGGCGTCGTTGGGCGAGCCTGAGCATGATGCTGGCGTTGAGTACGATCGAGTGTCCAGTTTGGGCGGTGACGCGAGGGTCAATATGAGGTCACGTGGGCGCTACGCGGGGTTGACTTCAAGCCGGCGTCCCGGGCTGGGGCTTGGTTCAAGCCATACTCTACACTCCCGCTTAATGCCCGGTCATTGAGTTGTGTACATCCTATCGCTCATTTCTACTATTTCTCGAGGACCACGTACATCTCTACCTGCAGCCTAGCCACCGGTGGCGCCCCGATACGACTCTTCACGACCCACACGACTTTCACGACCATGAAACGTTCCTACGACCACACCTTTGCTAACGACCGGGACCACACATTCGCTCCTACCGCACACTCCTTCAAGTTACGTCACCCATACGCTGGTGCGCCGCAGGCGGTGTCTTCATCATTCGGTGATTCTGCTCAGGCTTGCCCGACGAATCCGACCTACGGCTCTGGCTCTGGCTACCTCGACTTCCGGAGGCCTCTAATCAACACTTCCTCTGGCTCGAACGATGACTTCCAGTCCAATGCTGCAACGCCCAAGGCCGTTGCCCCCCCTCGTGCCGATTCCTACTTCACGATCAGACCTGACCCTGGCACTACTGGTCTCGGGATTCACTGCGACAGCATTGCCAACCATTCTGCGCGCACCGTCAAGCAAGAAGAGATTCCTCTCGATAGCCTGAGCGAACTGTGCTCTCCTGTCCCCGGCGGCTTGCTGGAACTGCTCACGAAGCCTCATGTCGAACCTACCCGCGGCAACGAAGCTTGTCTCAGCCACACCGAGGCACCAAACGCTACGATCTATGACGACCCTTTGGACGACGTGATCACGTTCGAGGATTCTCTGGCGTACTTTCCTAGGTCCGACACGCCGGTTCTGCATTCGCTGCCGTCTCTGCTGTACCCTAGCAGCTCTGGGTTCAATGCGGGGGACTTCTACTCCAACGGCCCTCTCTTCTACCCCAGCGGCTCCGAGAGCAGCGTCGAGAGCACCCTGGTCAATACGTCGCTTTTCTACCCAAGCAGCACTGAAGCTAGCGTTAACAATAGCCCGATCAAGAAAGCTCCTTTCTACGCCAGCAGTTCTTTTGACAGCGTACAAGATGCCCATTCCGCTAGCTCTGGTTATGCCAAGGACTCGCTCCGCACTCTGCTGAACTTTGACTCGCCGCTTCTGGGACTGGGCTACGATGCTGGCTCCGACAAGAAGGAAGAGCCCGTCGTCGGCCTCTACGCGGACATCAACCTTCGCAGGGTGCTCACTAGACACGATGCCCCGAGGTCTATGTCAACCCTGCCGATATCATGGGCGAACAAGAGGTCCCAGTCAAGATAGAAGAGAGCTAGAGGTCGCAGATTTCTTCTAGTGGATGACCAACCGGACGTCGTGGAGCTCGAGCAAGACAATTGCCAACTGTCGACTCTGAAGATATAACGGGGTTCACTGAAGAAGCAGTCCAGGCTATCGTCGGTGTCATCACTGCCGCGAAACAGGATGAAGACATGATCGTCTCGCCAGGCCTTCCCCCGCCTACGGATGCTCCTGCATTCGTCTTCGATCTGTCAGGCATCCCTCCGCCCATCATTTCCCAGCCCACGAATTCCCGTTTGCCCCTCCAGCGACGGCGCCGCCTGCTTATGCCATATCTTACAAGCCAGTGGCGCTCAAGAGAGCGTCCCGGTTGCTCAGCTGAGTTTTACCGCAAGCCTCGACTACGCCCCGTATGCCTTCTTCCCTTCCAGTTTCACCGCCCTTCAGCCGTCCCAGCGCACACCGCTCCTCGACCGCCAACCGCCCGCGCCCGCGCAGCAAGCCCCACCTTACGCCTCCCCTATGTTCTTCAACACCGCCGACGCACCGCACCCGCAGACCCCCGTCTGCAACGCGCACATGGGCGTCGAGCTGGAAGAGCTCCGGCGCCGCGCGGAGAACTACCGGCGGTGCAACCCCGGCACGGACATCGACAAGTTGTGGCTCCAGTCGTTCGCGGGGCGGCTGTCGGAGGACGGCGTGCTCATGGACGAGTGGCGGTGCTACGTCAAGGGCTGCGCGCAGCACAACAAGCGGAGGGACCACATCCTCGTGCACGTCGGCTCGCACGTCGAGCATCGGCCGTTCAGCTGTGGGCGGTGGTACGTGCTCCTCCGAACTTTCTGTGCGTGCGTGAGGCTGACGCTGCGGCGCTGTGACAGCGGGATGCGCTTCCTCCGCAAGAACGAGTGCAAGCGGCATGAGGCGAGCCACGACGGGGCGAAGCCGTTCGAGTGCATGATCTGCGCGCCGGTGCAGCACAGGAGCTTTGCGCGCCAGGACTTGCTCAGGCGGCACATGCGGGTGACGCACGGCGTGACGGGCGAGTCGGCGGTCGACCGGCGAAAGAGGATGAGGACCGACGTGGACGACGGCGAGTACCGGCCGTGATTGTGTGAGGAGTAGAGTAGGGAGAGGAGCTTTCCGAATGTTGAATGTTGACTGTAGCCGCCTGTACCAGTACTGTATGTGTATCACAGCCTATTAGATGTATCAGTCAAAACAGTGATGAGACAATGTAATGACGTTTGGATAGCCCGAGCTCGGATTGAGGTACCGCGCCAGTGGTCGAACCGTTGATGAAAACCCAACATAGTAATGTTCCCATAAGTGTAACAGTCGTGGTGCGTACATCGGAAGTGTCTACCAATCATGTAGGCTCGCGTGGCCAGGGCGGGAGAGATTGAGCCCTCCGCGCAGAAGCGGGGGCAAGACCTTCCCTCCCAAAATCGTCTCCTTCACTATAGCGTCTACCTCATGGGGCGTAACGCGCCCATACCATACGCACGCACCCTGCGGTGAGTTGATCTACCGCACCAAGTGTCAGCTAACTTCAGTATACCGCCGAGCAATGTATTGCGAGACGCACAATGACGTTTCCGGCGAATTTGTGTCCGCCCATGTGTGAGTTGCGAATTATGAGGACGCGCTTCTGCTCTGCGACATCCTTCAGCCGCTTTTCGACCTCCGCGCGCAACCGCTCGTCTGAGCCGGTGAACTCTTCGAGGGGAGGTCCCGAGAGCGAAGGGTCCTCGATCTGGGTGTGGACCTCCCAGCCCTCATGCTCAAGCGCGGCTGTGAATGTCTGCTCGAGCTTGGGCGCCGCGATGGCGCAGCGGTTGTCCCTCCGCTTGTGTGAGCCTGCGAGGAACCTCGTCAGCGTCCTGCTAGTTTAATCCGACAATATGAACTGACATAACATGATGACGGAAGAGTAAGGAAGCACATAGGTCTTCAGAGCATCGCTTTCCCTCGCATCGGCCTTCAGCGAGTGCAGGAGCTTCTTCGCGCCCTCCTCCGAGCGTTCCACGCTCGTAACGACCTTGTACTGCGGGAACACCAGGACCGTCTCGCGTGTAGCGTCGTCGCAGACGGTCTTATGGCTCCCGTTGAGGATGGTAACCTTCGAGCTCTCGGTGGACTTGTACACCCCCGGAAGACCGCCCGCGCCGTTCGATGCAGCGTCTTTGCCGCCCTTGCCGTTCGCTGCAGCGTCCTTGCCGCCCTTGCCGTTCGCGTCCTTGCCTCCCTTGTCCTTGGGTGGTTTGAACTCGCCCCGGGCGGAGTCGATGTATGCGGCGAGCGTGCCCGACGCATCCGTCACCTCCCTCTCCCAGTCTGACTTCCCGGTAGATATGACAACCTGCGCAGAGCATGTGTCAACTGACGGGACACACCGGCATGAGGCTCCGAGACATACCTGCGTAGCGTACGGCTTCATGGAACCGAGCATTTCTGTTTCCATGTCCACATCGAACCTTGATGGATATTCATCGTGTCCTGCGCCGGTCAGGAGAGTCCCCCGCGCGGCTGCGTTACGCACCTTCATCGCAGGGGTTTGCGCACCCCCGGCAGTCCGCGTCAGACACAGGGACGTCGGCGGCCTTGAGTTCGGAGCCATGGTCTGCGCCGACGCCGCCGACGATGTACGCCTTGAGCTTGCGGAGGGTGCTCATCTTCAGGATGTGGCTCGGGAACTGAGGGGACGAGGGGAGGATACGGGAGCTTAGTGAGTTGTTGCATCTAATAAATAGAGAGACATTTGTCAGGGCGAGGATGGCGGTAAGCTGCCGCAGCCAGTGAGGCGATCGAACATTACGACCACACACGGCACGGCAGTCACGGCACATCCGTTTATCAGATAAGATTCGACCGCACCGGCCCCGAACATACTGTACTAATATTTCGACCAATTGTTCAGCGGATGTGACGCGTGACGCAGGTGCTCGGTGTTCAGAGATCTCGGTGATGCGTGACAGGGTGTCCTGGTTGCCCCTGGTCGGCCCAAATAGGGGTATTTGGCACCCGGAACCGTGACATTCTGACCGACTTGGGTGTTCAGTGGGACTCCGTGACCCGTGACAGTGGCTGTTCATGACCCCCCGTGATGCGTGACAGAACACACGGTCGAAATAGTACAGTAGTACATACGAGACGCTCGAGTACTGCGCAGCGCCCTGCCAGCTCGTGCATATTACTCTCAAGGCTCTTCATGAAGCTAACCTCGGTCTGGAGCGTATCATCACTTGGTATTGGATCGTGGGATCGTAAGGGTACAACGACTGAGCTACAGGGCGAGCAATATACAAACGCCAGTGTTGTAAGATAAATTATACGATGCTAACAGCTGCAAGTCGAAGAATAGCTAACCAATAAATCATCATGACTGCCAAACTATCTGCACGAGTCAGCGCAAGGTCAGCAAGATGTGCAATCGTACAACAATTGAATCCGTCCGAGTCAGCATCACCGCCCATAATCATCTGGGACGAACGGCGTAACGAGGTCATACATCTCGGCGTTCCTGCTCCTCTGCGGCTTGCTCCCAAGGCCGACGAAGTTCTTGAACTTTTGGCGCATCCCCGGCTTCTCATCCGCCTCCATCTCGCTCCGGTCCTCGGGGTACAGCGTGTCGACGATCTTCGAGAGCCGACGCAGCCCCGGATATCCTTCGGGCGGTCCGTTGCGCGACAACTCGAGCGCTGAGGCGAGGTACATCGCGAGGTCCGGGAACGTCGTCGGGAGTGTGGGGTAGAGATTCCCCGGCACGCTTGGGATGGTGTAGAATTTGGAGATGGGCGCATCTGCGCCGTCGCGCAGCACGGCGGGCGGGGAACAGATCGTGTACGACCAAGGAAGCACACTCGAGTCGCCGTTGCGGAAGCGCACCGCGTTGGGTGTGTTCACAGGTACGGGCACGTCGATGGACATGTACACTGCGGTGAGCCATGCCGACGACGTGCTGTGCACCTATCCCGGACGCGTTTGAGTACTCGTTCCGCATCACCGGGGTCCGGGTAATAGGGATGGACTCACCTTGACAAATGATATGACGATCCGCAGTCTCGCTTCTCCCTTCAGCTTCTTGAGCACTTCGATAGACGGCTCGACGCGCGTCGCCGGCAAACGTGCCATGAACTTAAGCAAGCTGCGCCAATTGGGAGCTTGGATATAGAATGGTGGCTTGTCCGCATTCGGAAGGGATATGAGGGTGGGTATCGAACCCTTGAAAGGGGCTGCAGTTAAGACGATGGGCGCTGTGCCAAATCCCATGGCTGTATCGAGCATATGTGAGCTATCGCATCGGTAGAAATGATAGAGGAAGAGGCATACAGATCCCGGTGAGCAGCTCCTGTGGTATCAGCTGCTGGTGAGCACTCGACATACAACTCAAATCCGACTCTCCCGCAGACACCGCCGACAGAGGCGCCGACTTATCGTCAACCCACTCAGCCTTCTCAGAGTACGGATAGCTCGGGGGCGCGTCGAATCTGTCTTTACGAGGAGAAGGAGACTCGACCACAGGCGTGTCCATTACAGGTGTCAGCTCAAGCTCGCCCGCCTTCGCTGCCTCTCTTATTGGGTGTTCCACCGCCATGGAGAGGCGTCGGCCAGTGTGCGGCGACTGCCCGAGGTCGGACTTCGAGCGCGCCGTGCGTTGCGACGCGTGAGGTTGACTGCCAGGAGATGCGTGTGAGATATGGCCAGTGAATGATGCGGAATGGGGCAATGGTTTGTCTTTGTTCATGCTTTCGCAGCGTCGACGAACGTCCTTCGATAGCACGGTCTCTATCGAGGTCGAACGCATACGGAGCGCCTGTGCTGTGTCGACGGTGCTTGCTGGGGTTCCCGGGTTAGAGGATGCGAGAGGAGTGGCGGCGGCAGAGCTTCCCCGCGAAAGGTGTCCAGGGAAGAACGCTTGATGCGGGACTACTGAGGGAGGGCGCGGTGATGGGTGAGAGGAATTCTCTCTCGACGAGGACGCGGCTGAGATACTGTCCGTACTATGTCCGCTGGAGGACGGCGCAACATACGACGGTGCTCGCGGCGGCGAAGAGGTCGATCGTCCGACTTCATGGAGAGACTGCTTCAACGCCTGCGCAAGTGCCGCGTCCTCATCGTACTGAGAGGGTGTCCGCGACTCCTGAAGCGATGCTTGGACGGCTCGCCTGAGATCCTCGTCATTCACAGAAGACCTCGGATGCACATCCGGCTTGGGCGAGCTGAATGTCGGATGTGGCGTGACATGAGGCGCGGGATCGGCGTAAGGGTGCCTGGAGGTTGTGGGAAGTGAATGTTGGGCGCGGAGTTGTGCAGCATGAGTGGGTGGCCCTGGAACATGTCCAGGGTGCACATGTGGGTGGGGAGCAGTATGGCGAGGGGCAGGAGCTGGATATGAATGCGCGGGCCTCGGAGGAACGGGTGGCTGGCTCGAATGTGGCCTTTGAGGGAGGGGAGGCGGAGACGACTGGGCATGTCGCAGCTGAGGAGTTCTCTGGGGCTGTGGAAACTGTACTGTGGGTTGGTGCGAGAAATAGTCACCAGCTGCAGAACTCAAATTTCGACCATGGGATGCACCCATGTCTACCATGCTCCTGGGCGACCGGACGGACGGCCCCGGCGCCGACCTCGCGACATGGTGTGGACTTGGTGCGTAGTACGTGTACGGCCTGGTCAATGTAGGCATGGGTTGGGTTCGCGATGTTACCTGGTATGCGGGCCTTGCTGCCTGCGCCTGCTGCGGATCCGGTGTCCGCTGGATTCTATCGTAAGGATTGGGCAGGTCTTGATGAATACTAGCGGTATCAGACTCCCAAATGGCTTCAGGAAAGGTCCGGCGTGAGTACAAAGCCTGTAGGATCGCGGGAGCATGGAACATACCATGAAGCGGACCATGCCCTGTGCTGGGCATCGGGAACTGCACGGAGGCGCTAGCAGAGGCCATGGCATACGGGTGGCCTGGCATGGTGGGAGTTTGGGATTACTCTCACCGTCGCGCTGTAGGGACTCTATGCAGAGAGAATGAACAGCTAGTGGTCCGCGTCAACCAGGGCCGCACAGGTCGTGTCGCGGTTCACGTTGAGGACCACACTACGTACAGATGGGCCGTTGTGGGCCGTCCCGTTACGATATGGACGGCGCTCAGGCTTCGCAGGGTTGACAGAAGGCTAAGAACTATGCTGGGAAGATCAGACTGGGCGAGCCGCTCATGTCGAGAGGCAGGACGTTGCGAGAGAGCATAACGGCGACCACAAGCACGACCAGACGTCAGCAAGCTGCAGGCGGTGTTCGTTTACCAGCCAGGGCGCGTCCGGCGCTCCATCTAGGGGCGATCACTTACGACCGAGGCAGTGCGCCCAACAGTAGGACCCGCCGGCCATGATACCGCTACCGCTTATGGACGCGACGGTGGGCGCGAGCATCGCATCCACGAAGACTCACTGAACCTCCATTTGAGCATCAGTCTGGTCTTTCACGATCTGACCGAAGACGTGAAGCTAGGCCATGCCCGATATTTAATATCACAAGTACCTCTAGCTAGCTATCTTAATACAATGCAGGGAAGAGGAGAATGCGGAGAGATGGTTGCTGCAGAGCGATGCGGATAGGATGATGCATGATGATAATGAGAGTAGCAGAACGAGAAATATTGCCGGAGACATGCATGAACACGGAAATCCGAAAAGCAGCGTGAGAGGAGAGACACAGACGGAAAAGAACGAATAATGAGATCGTGACGGTCGTTAAAATAGTGCTCATCGTGCGGGGGTCAGTTTTGCCGCCTGCCCACGACCTTGCCCCTGCACAGTCGACGTTTTGAATCCTAGCTGTCGCATCGTGGCCAACAGGTCTGTCTTCTGCACCGGCTTCGAGAGGTACGCCGCGAAGAGATTGAGGCTGGGGTCCACCACATCGGATGCGGTCGCGCTATACGCACTCACAGCAATGATAGGTATCTCCGCATTCTTGTTGCCGCTGTTTTTGATGTATCGGGCGGCTCCTTCACCGTCCACTATACACAGACCAATTAGCGATATTACAAGGTAACAATAAGGCGTCACTCACGTATTGGCATATGAAGGTCCATCAAGATACAGTCAAACTCTGTTTGAGAACACGTCCATGAGTACCGAGTCGCGTCAGACAGGGATTCCGACACTCACTTATGTCACCCATGGCAACACTGATAGCTTCCGACCCATCCGCCACGACAACACAACGGCACCCGAGACGTATGAGCAGTGTCTCGATGATCTTCGCCGTGATGGGGTTGTCTTCCGCCAGGAGGCATGTCACAGCCCGATCTGACGGATCAGGCGCCCTCTTTAGGTCAACCGAGGCGACTGACGACGGTGGCGTGTTCAGCTCGTAGTGATTAGGCCCGGTCGCCGGTGGCAGCCCCCAAGAGTCAGACGTAACGCTCTCGCCGTTCGTGGACACTGACGCAGTCCGGAGGCGGCTGGGCATGGAGTTACGGCGGACATTGTCGCCTTCCAGGTGGTTGAGCTTGAACCGCTCAACAGTGCTATAATCCGACGGTTTCCGGACGTGGCCACTAGCACTTCCAGGTGTAGGCGGACCTCGCGACATCGAGGAGGCAATAGACGAAGTCGAGGTCGCGGGCGAAGGCGGGTTAGTAGGCGAAGGTTTGCTGGGCCCGTCCGTCGCAATAGTGACGCTAGTCGGCTTCTTGATGTTGACCTTGGCCGATACACTCTTGCGGCGGGTGTGGAGATTCGCCGGTTCTGACAACGTCTGCGACAAAGGCGCCATCTGGTCGGTCTTCATTTTCCGAATCATGTCGTCGTTGGCTTGTTTCAGGACGGGAAGGTTCTTGAAGCTGAAGGAACCGAAATCGTCGTCGGAGGGCGACATTGCGGTTGTGTCGGCAAGGGCGGGGGGCGCAGAAGCGGAAGCAGGGTCAAGGTCAGCAGATGGCGCGGGACTATCGGAGCCAAGAGTGGTGGTCATTGTAGGGTGGTCGGGCTCGCTGAACGGCTGCAGCACTGCTCCACGAGGATCGAAGTAGTCAGTAGACTCAGGATCTGTGACTTGCGGGATGAATGCCGCCTCGGTAGCCGTGACCTTGTCCCAATCGATCCCAGCGAAAAACGGGTGATCCTTGACCTCGTCGGCACCATTGGCCCCCAGACGCCGAGAGGGATCCTGTGTCATCAACCGCTGCATGAAGTCCTTCGCCTCGGGCGAGATGTCCATGTATCCCTCGTGCCATTGTACGCGGCCCGACAGGATGTTCTCGAACACCTTCTCAGGCGTTTCGTCATGGAACGGAGGAATCCCATAGAGAAATTCATAGGTGATGACACCCAGAGCCCACTAGAAGCAATTCATTAGCCTCATGACGGTCTCGATGGGACAGAATCTACTCACCCAATCCACGGCAGCGTCATCGCCGCGCAGACCTAGAATGGTCTCGGGGGCGAGATAGTCCGGTGTGCCCACCACCTTCTGGTCACCGGGCGGCGTACCGCCAGGGTTAGGATGAGAGCGAAGATCGGTAGTCAATTCAGTTGCGAATGACTGTAAGGGGCTATCCATGTGTGGCTGCTGCTTGCTGTTCGACCGCCGCATGGCGAAGAGTCCAGAGCCCTGGAGAGACTCAGAGCCGCTAGACTCACTCACGTCATCTGAAAGCGACAAATAAGGCGACGATCCTAGCCGAGGAATCGAGCTGGTCCTCTGCGTAAAATACGAACCTCCCGCGTATAGGTCGGACGTGAACGGTGTCGACCCGATGTAGACAGAGTCGATTGAGGGTGGCCGTGACCCAGGGCTATGTCTTGACCGCGTGCGCATCCCGAAGGGGAGTTGGGCGTCTCGTGTTTGGCGACCCAGGAGACCAATCCTGCTCAGCCCGAAGTCAGTGAGCTTGAGGTGACCGTGCTGGTCGATGAGCAAATTATCCGGTTTTAGGTCACTGTGGCAGCAGGAAGTATTAGCCAAGCAGATCATGAGCAAAAGATATACACGACGTACCGATGTACAATACCACGCTGATGCAGATACTCCAATCCAAGAACGACCTCTGCGATGTAGTTGCGCGTCCATTCCTCGGGCAGAGACCCGAGAGACTTGATCAGCGCAGCGCAGTCGCCACCGTTGAGGTACTCCATAACTAGATACAGGTTCTCCTTGCTCTGGAAAGTGAAATAGAGCTTGGCGACGAATGGCGACTCAGCCTGCTTCATGAGGATCATGCGTTCCGCCTTGACGTTCGTGATCTGGTTCTTCGCGATCATGTCCGCCTTCTTGAGCACCTTGATCGCGAAGTAGTCGCCAGTGGCTTTCTTCTTCGCGAGGAAGACGGAGCCGAAGGCGCCTTTGCTGATAGGCTTGATGATCTCGAAGTCTTTGATTGACGTAGGTGTCGTCCTGGACAGCGGCGCGACAGAAGGAAGGCGAGGCGATAATGGAGTGCCCGACACCGAGTTGGTCGGGCTGAGAATGGGTTGCGCTGCAGTTGAGTGCCGTCGTCTGCGCGGTCGTCGCGTCTGCGACTGGTCCTCGGGTGAGACCAAAGGTGAGAGAGGGGGAGTGATGAGCAAGCGAGGCTCGAGGATGCCTAGCGAGGGCCGCGGCCGAACCGTGTTCTGATTGACCTCGTTGAGATCCATGGGCGGTGGTGTGAGGTCGTGAGCAGGATATGTTGCGAACGATACTGTGGGGGCCGCTAATGCTAGAGGAGACGAGATAGAAGACGGCGTAGATGATCGTGTTTGCAAGTTGCTCGGAGGATACGCAGGAATAGGCGCGACAGGAAGGAGGGGTGAGCTGAAGTTAGAAGCTAGAGTGTGGTCGATAGTTTGGCCCGAATGACCGCCGGAGAACGGAATCGGCGAGGTAGCCGCGATAGGAGTGGGCTCCGCCGTCTGACTGCCGAAGGCGTAGTCAATAGTGTTAGTGGTACGGTCCTCCGCTTGCTCGCCCTGTTGTTCGTCCTCTGAGCCTTCCGCGGTCTGTTCGCCGTCCTCATCCTCATCCTCGTCCTCCTCAGCAACATCCTCCATCTGCGAAAGGGTCTGAGCGACCTTGTCCGCCCACTCCTGGCGGATCTTCTCGGAGTACTTGATCGTATTCTGCATACGCACGACGTTGTCAACTTTCTGTCGCATAACACGCTCAGCGTCCTCGATCAGCTGCGTGAGCGCCCCGTCCTCGATGGAGGGTTTGCCCCATCGTCGGACTTGCGACATCTTCCGCTCTGAGGCAGGCGACAAGAGGCGTTGCCTCTCGATGGGCTCGGCCGATTCCTCATCCTTCAACGCAGGGATAGAGATTTCGCTACAGAGTTGCAGGATGTCCTCGAGTTGCTCAAGGATGTGACGCTGCAGCTTCTTCACGCTCAGTTTCTTCATCTTCAACGGCGCACGGAGGAGTTGAAGCGGCGAAGACGATCCAGGTGAGGTAGCCGGGGAGAAGATGGGCATGCCACGGTATTCGGGAGCCGTCATGGGCGACGAACGGTCAATTGCCGTCAACAAGTCGCGAATCGTGTTGCGAAGCTCGCCGATCGACTCGTTGCACTCGCTGATTTCGGCTTCGAGCCGGTGCGTCTCCGCACACGTCTCATTGTGCTTCTCGAAGTACCACTGCGGTACCTCGCATTCGCATATGCGGCAGAGGATCGGCGCGATGTTGATCGGCCGCGCGAACGGGAAGGGTGTAACTGGCTCGTACGCCTGTCTATGTCCGAAGCCTACCTGTGTCGCCTCAGCGGAAGCTGGCTCGTCACCAACCTCGCCGGACTCGAGCAAGATGGAAGGAGGCTGCTCCAGGCATTCCGGCTGACCGATGGGCCTGACGACCCACATTGTATGCGTCGGTGTACCCTCCTCACGTTCCATCATGAGCATACCCGTTCCGACCATCTGCTGGTACAGGTTCTTGTACGACGACTGACCGGGTTCGGCGTCAATGACCTTCAGTCTGAATCGCACCTCCACGATGCGTGAATCGTCGTCGAGCAGCCGCCGAGTCGCATCGCGGAAGACGTGCCAGTCAGCCGGAGCAAGTAACCGCGATATCCGCGTTCCTATGAGGTCCTCCTGGTCCGTTCTGAAGCGAATGATGATCAGCGCGTTATCATTCCGCCTATGAAGTCATGCACGTACCCGATAACGTTCCGCCATGCATAGTTGACCCATATGAAGTGGTCGCCATCCATGCTCAGCTCCAGTACGATATTCTGGTTCTGGGCATGTTCTGCTTGGAGACGTAACCGCTCGGTGGCTAGGACCCTCGCGGATTCGTTGTTGTCAGTAAATTTTGACGTCGACCTAGGCTGGTCGTTCTCCTTCGCGGGCGTCATAGACAAGTCCTTGGGTGTTTCATCCCTGGTCCGACGAGTCTGGCTGACGGTGCGGGACATGCGAAGCTTACTCTCCTCGTCCTGCTGAAAGCGAAGCGCACCGGTTCCCGCCGCCTCAGCACGAACCGAGGGAGTCGGGGCCACACCTTCCTCCTCGTCCGCAGGCCTCAGCACGAAAGTGAGAGCTTCGTCCTGCTCGTCATCGTTGTCGTCAAAGTTCCAGAACTGCTTCTCTGCCTCCCACCACTCGACCACTCGAGACAGACTCGCGATAGCGAGCAGTACCTGGACGTACCAGTTGCGTCCGTGCCAATCCGGGTGCTCGTCCCACGCCTTACCGATGTTCTGCACGCGCTGCACGAGCTGCTCGCAGACCTTCGGGTTGGCGGTGAGCTGATTGATGGACATCTCCTGAACGTCCGTCGCAATGCCAATCAGCTCGTACAAGGTAGTCATGATCGGATCGACTGGGTCATCCACCAATATCCTCGAGGAACGGCGGTTGTTAGTAGCCTGGTCTTGGTATCCCCGTGGGAGGGGAGACCGGGAGCGAGACGCGGAACGCGAACTTGCACCGGAGCGAGGTGTGCGGACGGGAATATGGATCGTGCGGGATAGTCTTCGGTTCGCAAGGGTTTGCGCACTCCAATCCCTCGACTGTGCAGCGGCGCTCTGCTTGCGCGGGCTGACCACCTCGGGTGGAGGTGTCGGACTGGTGACGGAACTCAGCGCAGGACTGGAGGCGCCAGTACTCGAGGACGCGACATTGGTCACAGACCGACCCCGGGGAAGAGTCGAATGGCGCCGCAGAGAGGCGGGGCTTGTGGAAGACACGGACGCTGTGAGAAGCCCGGGCGACGGTGGCCCGAAGATCAGCGAGTGCTGGGTCGCAGGATCTTCATCGAGACACGCACGTTGTCGACTGTGATAATTGCCTTCTGGGTCGGCTTCATAGCCGCCATCAGAGCTCACATCGTCGAACTGCAACGCGGACCTGAGCTCCGCCGGCTGCAGGACGAACGCTTCCCGGAGAGGCTCCGGCTGCGAGTCCGTGAGGTTGGACTCCCGCGTTGGGCCACGCTCGCGCTCCCTCTGCTCGCGCTCGAATTCCGCCTCGTGATCCCCCTCCCTGAGGCGCTCCTCAAAGAAGGCAGTGATTGAGTTGGTAGTCCGCTGCAGCTCCTTGTCGCATTCTGCCTTTGCGGCCTTGAGACGGCGCGTAACATGACGCCTCACGAAGGGCATGGAGACCGTGTTGGAGGAAGAGGCGTGTGCATTAGCGGCGCCATTGTTGCTGGACGAAGAAACATGACTGTGGAGGATGGGGGTAGTGCTGTTTCCGGGGAGAAGACGAGGGGACTTGGTGGCTGGCGTCGAGGATGAGAGGAGTCGGCGGACATAGAGGTCCTGGCTTGAGGGCAGAAGACGGGACCAGATTAAGTCGGACGACGAGACACTGCGATTAGGATATGGGCTGGCAGGTCCAGTGGCAACGGGGGTAGGGGGAGAGACAGAAGGAGAGCAACGAGACGGTGGTGGCGGGGCTCAGGGCGACATGGACGAGTGATAGGACGACGATGGGACGTGGCTTGGATACGCAGGAGCGGTGGGCGACCGTGACCAGTGCGAGACGGGGCCAACCTCAAATCCGGCGGGGCCGAGGCACGGGCATATTCACACACTACAATTCCCATAATAGGCAATCCCCCAGAGCCGCTCTCGCCCTTTCGGGCCCGCGTCCTCCTCGCCCTTCTCCGTTTCTTTCCCTGCACGCGCCCACGCGACCGCCCTCCGCGCTGAGGCCAGCTCGGAGCTCAACATCTGTCTTTTGTCACCGCGGGGACCGGAGAGTCGCGCTCAGCCACGTCTGTGGCACTCGCCGCCGGCTTGTATTGACCGCCGGAAGAGGCAGCCTGGGACACCGCGCCGCTGTCCGGGGTCCTGCTCCCACCGCGTACGGCGAGCAGGTGAGCGACTTTGACGACGGCGAGGACGCTCACTCGGTACGCCGCCGCATCCCCCGCCATTCAACGAACCGTCATTGCTCACAGAATCCCACATTCCCGGTCCAGCCCACCCTCTCACGCCTGGTCACCTGGCCCTGCCTTCGCCTTCGTTTCTCTTCCCCGAAGTACTCGGTATAGCACCAGCCCTCTTCCTTGGAGTCCAGTCCATTTCTTAATCAAAGTCTGTCCCACAGATTCTATCCCTCATCACCGCTCACGAGCACCTAACCGTGTGCCGTGCTAAGCACCATGTTGTCCCTCACGAGCTCCATGCGACAGGCGGTCTGTCGGGCACGATCGCGCTGGCAGAGCCCTTGGGTCGCCGCTGCCTCAATCGCAACAAGGAGACACAACTCTACTTTCGAACTCGAGCACATTACCGACGAGCTCAGGAGCCAGGGCAATGCCCCGCTTACGCCAGAAGGTGCCTACTCGGAGACAGGAATCAACTACAGTAAGTCGATCATCAGCTGCCGAAGACAAGGCGCTGAATGTGGCCCAGATGAGATTAGCCTTAGTGAGGGTCCTAAACCTCATTTTAGGCGGAACAAGGTACGTCTCATGCTGCTTCATATCCTCTGGTGCGTACTTTCTCATCATTTCCCCAGTTCTTCAAACCAGACGAGCTCTCGTACAAATCGGCGACGAAGACCAAACACATACGCAAGAAACCTTTTTGCGGTCCCAGCCGCAAGGAATCGGAGCAGGTCGACATTTTCTACCAGCTCGGCATCGATCCTCTGCAGGAGGCGATGAATTCAAAGCTGCTCTCAGGCTTCGTGACAGAGATGGGCAAAATCAAGCGGCGCTCTGACACAAACCTCACATGGAGAAACCAGCGCCGCCTTGGCAAGGCGATTCGTCGCGCGAAGATGATGGGTGTCATCCCGGTCTTGAGCAGGCGGATGCTCATCAATAACTAGTCACCGTAATGTGTGGTAACCCCATCCGATGCGAACTACCATGGCATGGTCAAGGCGCTACAGCAATGATCACATTGATGGATACATTGCCGTCCCTCAAAGCAAGGCGTTTCACGGTCGCGAGGTTGACAACGGCGCGGTCCGCTGGAGTAAAGCAGTCGGCCGGCTTGTGGCAGTACTTAATGCATCTGCAATGCATCCATCTCTACCCATGATCCGGCCGCCCACCAGTACGCTTGCAATGAAACAGTGATCTCGTTGATGTCTTATATAAAAGCTGAGTGCAGTAGAACTGGGAATCTCATTGCCTCCGTCCGCGTGGTAGGGAACATGAGTCAAAGTTACGTAGGACTAGGAATGTAGTGCTTTGAGACGGCCGTCCGCATCATCCGTCAGTTGACTCTCCTTCGAACACTCTCGGGTGGGCTCTGCCAGTGTCCATTCCCGCCGTCCTCTCGTCTGACTCTTCATTTGACGCTTCATCACAACACGCAAACCCTACTTAAAACTGAATGAATATCAATACTCGTCACCAGTGCAATGTATACAGAAGATGACGTGACTTCCGCCGCATCGGGAACAACCAAAGCCCCTTGTGTTCACTGAGTTGGGTGTTGTAAAGCGGCATTCATGTCAGAAGGTGAACTCTACCGCATCCGCGCAACTAGCATCCGTTAACGTTTCCACAGGGGTGCCAATTCAAAGTGGTGTTCAGTTGATGCACCCATCCGTTATCGGGCAGCACTATAATGCTGCGTAATCCCACTTGAGAACCATCCGAACCAAGATGCCCCCAGACGCCTCCTGCAATAGCAGCGTGCTCCCACCCCACCGGATGTGCGGGGCGAACGTGTGGTCTTAATACGCTGCGAAGCTGTCGGCGATTCAGAAGTCGTCTACGGCCGCATGCCGATTCGCACAATGTACACTTTTGAGGCGGCGACGATCCTTCGACGTGCGGTGCGTGGTGTAAATCACGACTCTTTCTGACGCCGCCATGTTCTATAGTCGTTCGCGGAAGAATCAGCATGCACTACCCTCGTTCAACTGCTACTTGGGCATGAGCAAGTCCAAGAGGGATGGCTTCAAATACGCCTAAGTGAAATATGCCTAAGTGCTCCCTGAGATTACATGCTTGTCATTTCAGTCATATGTTGCCAACTTCGATGGGAAGACGTAACTTATGCCGTTGTAGGAGCGCAAGGCGGCGTACGGCGCGTATATCCTGGCCATGATGATCAAAGTTCATCGAACTATGTACGGTCCAAGTCCGACGCCTTCAAGTTGAGAGCACGGCCGTGCAGCCTCTGTTCAGCTCTTTAGTCTTTAGCGGCGTGAAACTAGGTCGTTGAGAAATGACGGCTTCCGCGGGAAACCTGACTGACAGGCTAGCTACTGTCGATACTCGAGACGGATGCGTTGAGTCACCATTTACATTACAAGCATGCGTGTGTACTGACTATCGTTGATTAATGGAGGTTGACGCACACTTCATACGTTGCATACCTCCTAGGTTCGACACAAACCCCTACTAGCGCCGTGTGGAGGGTCTTGGTATGAGACTAGCATACTTCCGGCGACACGCTGTCATTTCGTGTAGCTGAAGCTCTTCGAGCCAGCAAAATTAACCCTGAAACCGAGCCCTGCCAGTACTCAACAAATCTCAAGGGCCGCTTACCGTTGGTGTCCTTACCTCCGAACTGGCGGAATAGGTCCCACTGAGAAGGGACAGGGACAGCGAAGCCGCGTCATGACGTGAGTCGCCCACCGATACCCCGAGGCAGGTCGAAATGGCGCCCATACCTGATAGTTTCGCGTTCAAGGTCAAGGGTGTATCTGTCCAACGAAAGAATCTGACGAGATTTCAGGGACGAGAGTTTGAGAAAATATAATTGTCCCTTCACTAAGCCCAACAGTGGAAGACACTGTCACGGCGCCGACACGGTTGCTGACTCGGACTAGCCGTTCTACTGACTTGCAATAATATCCGACGATCAGAGAACATCGGGCCTTACAACGCACTCTGTAAGACAACTCACCAATTCATCTGAATCGTCACCCCGAGTTGACAAGAACCATTATCCGACTGGCAGAACCCTGTCTTGCCATTCCCAAGCTCCTCCTGTCGGCGTGGCACTGCCTGCTTCAAGTCTCCGAATCCTCAGACCTGTGGGACTAGGCTGGGAACCGTTGTATATGATATCCAGAGTCAGCTCTCATAGCGCGGAATCGGTGAATTCTGTGGCCCAGGCGACCTACAGCTTCTCCTGCGGACTGACGCTGTGGTGCTGCGAGCTCCCAGGCCATGCCAAAATTGAAGTCGCATCAACGGGCTGGTAGGGCGTCGCCGTTGATTCAGCTTCTTCGCGGACATAATCCCGGGTTGCAGATCACGTTCTCCAGTGGGTCGGGAAACCTATCCGAACGTGAGCCACACATCACGGAGACTCGCCTGCATGGAGAAGGCGGCGAGCTAGCGCGAGTAGATTCTCGTATTTCGCCGAAACTGCTCCGACACTGGGCATTGCGTGGATGACACCACGAGCATCCATCGCATCCTCTCGTCAAAGGGCACCACACTCCTTTCTAGCGGCATGGCCTTAGAAACCACTGCCTTGCATACAAAAGCGACGTCCTTACATCAAATTTGCGATGGGATGTGCCGTGCTATCCTCTTGGACAAGCCCTAGTGTTGAGATGGAGGCGCTTGAAGTGTACACGGAAACATTTAATCATACCGTCAGGGCCATCCGTAAACTCACTGATTGGCAGGTCTGGATGCTTACCAGATATCATTCGCTTACGACCAGCTGACGAATTCCTGACCGAGGACGCGGAGACCCTTTTAATCTTGGTGAGCGCGTCAGAGCAGCACTGGGCGATTTTCGATGTGGCATCTCACTAAAAACAGACACTGAAGAGGCTCACCCATTAGCTCACTATGTAGGCCGCCGGAGAGGTCGACGCGAACCTTGTTCAGGGAACGCGCCCAAACTCAACGCACTGGCGGACAAAATTCGCGTCAGCGACGTTGACGAGGCCGCCTTGCGATCCCATAGGCCCTTGGGGCACAGGTACGCGGATAGCCTCTATTTGAGTTATTGGCAGTAACGATGACATTTCTGTGAAAGAAGAATCGCATCATCTCCATCATGTCGAACACGTATCCCACACCCCGTACCCAGGTGCGCTCCTTTCTCTAGTACGCGCTCTGCAAATACGTTGAATGACCCACCCATACCCCAGTATGCGGCGATTAAGTGGAAAAGAAACACCCTAGGGCAACCTCATCTCCGTGATGGATAGGATGCTACGACATTCCCAGATCTTCACTACCCTGAGACCGGCTCGCGCAGCAAGCGCGCTGAGCTGCTCGGGGGTACGTTCGGTGCCATTGAATAAGGCGAGCATAGCTAAATCTTGCATGTTCTTGAAGACGCTAGCACAGCCGTAATTCGCAGGGAGAGGGGTAGGAGCACTCTTCAGAAGGGGGGACCCCACCGTCGTGTGCATGACCATGTCAGCGACCAGGATGCGGGAATTTGCGCTCATAGCATCGCGCAACCGCTTGAGGATAGTGACGCAGACGTCGTCTGGCCAGTCGTGTCTACGAGGTTTGGTGAGTGACCCGTCTATTTGAATTTGTACCGGCCGCTTACAAGATGTAGCGGAGAAAATAGACTTCGGCGCCTTTGATAGGCTGCTCTTGGAAGAAATCTTGAGCTTGCAGGCTAACACGCCCGTCTTGAATTGCGCTAGGCATCTTGGACATCCATAGCGCTTGCCCCTGCTCGATTACCGGCCCCCTGTCTGCCACGACGAACCGCAACTGCGGGAACTGCGCCGCTAGCTCCATAGCCATGCTACCTAAATTGCCGACTAAGTCGGTGTGCAATCAGAGCATCATTCGCCAGACCTACCCACACCTCCACCCACGTCCACCACTGTCGCCGAACCCAGAGCGGCCCAAGGATAGTCTGTAGCAATGGGCTTTGTGAGCGACTCAGGTTGATCGCAATGAACGCAAACAACGAACCAGAACTGATGGAAGAAGAGACAATTTGTCCAGTAGCCATCATAGCCATGGAAAATGTCTTGTGAAGAGGGCGCGGCTGTACAGTCCCATCTGGCTGTTCAACGCCTTGTTCACACCACTCCCAGAAAGTCAAATCTGTGCCCACGGCTTCTTGGAAAGCAGACTGATTGGGCGCTGTCGCTCGAGACTTCACGGGATCCATTAGCACGGAGGGAAGCTTGTCCATTGATTTCATGTATACGCCGAAGCCGCTATGTCATGCCTTCAGATAAGCCATGTTACCAATGAGCATGGTGACTTACTTCATCAATAGTAAAGACTGCGCTGGCTCATTCCGCACCAGTACGAGGCTTGTGCGAGTGTTCGCGAAGTGATCACTCTTGACTTCCGAAAGTACGTGGCTAGTGCATAGCAAACGGAGAACGCGTGCTAATGCAACAAATCATAGTGAGCAGTGCGCGACGAGTCCAAGGACATGACTCACCTAGCTTCATGTCATCGATCTCTGTCCGTCGACTGAGTTCGTATATCGGCATCCCTTCGCCAGGCGCCATTTCAGCAAGGATGTCCGGAATTCGTGCGGCGACCAGTATGTAAAGGGCCTCCATGAGAGACAATGCCCCATGCGACAGCTCTTCTAGTCGATTGAGGGGATCCCCCACCATGTCGGCACACATACCACAAGCACCACGTATGACGCGACGAGCATCATACAGCTCTTGCGACGGGAGTGCATTCCCCCCTGTATTGCCATCTCTCTGTTCTTCGGCTTCCCACTCTTTGATGACTATCTCTGAAGCATCAGTGAGTAGGCCAATAAGGGAACGCAACTGCTGCGCCTTCTCCGAGGCAGACATGGTAACCGGGGCGAAGTTGAGGCAATGACCCAACTGCTCTTTCATATCTACGCAGGGTATAAGGTTCGCCCGTACATGATGAAGGATCTCGGATGCAAAGCAGTAATGGCTCGTGGACCCCCGGAGATCGGACCCATCTCGACTAATCGTCGCCATGTTTGTAACAGCGACCATCGGACAGTGGCGTTGGAATGACGGACGCCGTGAATAGCTCTTTTTGGTCAGCAACGGAGACGAGGATGCCGTTAGACATTAGGTGCTGACAGAACATCCATTAGAGCATGGGAGAACAGAAGACGAATGGGCAGAACTCACTCACTACAGCACTTGTCATAGCACCGTTCGATAGACGACAAGCCGAAGGGACTCTGGAAGTGTGGAGCTACCGACAAGTGTATGTATTAGTTCCCGATGCTCTGATGACCGGATTCCAGCATCTCTGGCGTCCGGCATGGTTAACGGCAGATTTGGTATGGGCCGTGCGATAACAGAGCGACACTCGGGACGAAGTCCGTTCAACGGACTACAATTCACTGTGGTGAGTTCTTCGTGCGACTTAGCTGTGTCCTCGAGCCTCACTCACAGCCGAGTTGGAGCGGTATGGCTGAAACACCTAACGATCAATTGCAAATAGACATATCTGATGCCCCCTCTCACCAGAAGGCAAGAGTTGCGCATGGCCTTTCCCGTCTATGGCGCGAGTATGAGTGGAGTCTGTGGATGCGTACACTGAGACGCATGAGATTCGAATCGACGACGTGACGAGCTGCGGCTGTACAAATGCCCGTGGCTGATCCGCGTCTTCTGTCAATGAATACGATCGGTCGGTCAGCATGGCAACCAGATTCATCCTACAATTGGGCCTATCGTGCTTAGTAGAAGTGGTCAATGAATACGATCGGTCGGTCAGCATGGCAACCAGATTCATCCTACAATTGGGCCTATCGTGCTTAGTAGAAGTGAAGTTAATCCTTTCGCGCGTTTCGTTTGGCTCGCATCTCTGCGTTTATTGTTCTCAGCTGGTACTCAATGGAAAGAAGCAATAAGGACCGAGACCTTGGAACTTCAGATATGGAGTGGGCACATGTGTGAGGGTTCCTCACCTGAGCCAGACCGGACCGTAAACGGACGAGTCGACTGTTGCCCGAGTGGACGTGTCGAAACATCGTATGTACCCCAACAGGATTGGAGGCCGTGTATCATACACTGGAGCTAACAACACGGTTCTCTCCCATGCAAATCGAGATTCCGAGGAAAGGAATCACTCACGTCGACATGAAGGGTCTGGATGCCTCTCTACCCATGGCCGAGTCCCACACATCCCTCGATATGTGACGTACATAGATCCCTCGTGAACATACAAAGTCAGGATGAGCATTAGTCCAAGAGACGTCGATAAAGAAAGCACGTATTGTACTCACGAGTCACGAAAGCGCAGTGCCTGATAACCGTTCTGCACAATTATGCCGGCAACTACATTGACATGCACAGGCTGCACATTCACCGAGAAGCATTCAGACATGGACGCATTCCGAGCCGCGGGCCTCGTGTGAGAAAGCACAAGGATTGCTACGTGCTCATCAAGCGATTGTCGGACGCGCGCACAATTGGGCCTCCACAGGATCCGAGTGTGAGTGCCGGTGATAGGACTTGGATAGGACCCATTGAGAATCCCGATCCTTGATTAATGCAAGTGTCAAGTACCGAGTTTACGCCTCAACCTAGAAGGCGCATGGTCGCGGAAACGTCGATACTCCACTCACGCAAACGCCGCCTTGTAAGTTCGCGCGCAGGCATCTAACGTTAGACGGGAAGGTTGCTTACGATGTGGCCGTACACGCGTGTTCCGGGGTCGCATCGTAGTGAACAGGGAATCGATGTGTGCCCCATAACATTTCCCATGCCCCCGTTTGCTGCTGTAGCTCGAGGACATGGTGGCCGGTGTAGCGCTGTCTATCCGGGAGACAGATATGCGCGCCTACTCTTCGTGAGCGATCACGAAATGGGATCCACGAGTACATACCATCGTCAGACAGGAGCCAGCAAAGATCAAACCATGGGTCCCATCATGTGCATTCAACGCCATGACCAGACCTCAGTGAGACTCCAGCTTCCGGGTTCGCCTGGTGTGGAGCACGCGTGTCAGATTACTCGCATAATATACCTCAATCAGTCCAAGGTAACGTCTACAGCTCAGCTAGCAACATGGTTCCGAGGTTCTGAACCACCTGGTCACCTATAGCCTTCTCTACCTGTTCCTCTAGATGTCGCTTCGGATCCTGCTTGCCGACGTGCCGCGTCTTCAACTGGTCTGCAGTAAGAGTGGACTCCTCTTGCACCGACTTGTTATATGCGGCCGAGAGGCTCAACATGGACTACGAAGCGTCATATAGATCTGATCAGAAGATGCCAGAAGGTATGCACAACGAACCTTGATTGATTTCTCGTTGGCCTCCTTATGCCCCTTGAAGTCACGAAGCGTCAGCCCTTCGGTCCAATTGCGTTTGTGAAGGTTCATGAGCATCGATTGCTCAAGCTCTGACTTCCGATAATCAACGGCAATTGAGTAGTAGTGCCGGTTGAGCCCGTGGATGAGGGCTTGTATTGATGGTTTGTTGATGTGCCCGATGTTCGAAGTCGTCTGTCTGGGCTCTTGGCCTTGAAGGACCGTAGCGGGGTTAATGAGCCGGAAAGCATCTATCACGACCTTCCCCTTCACCGATTGAATGGGATCGACGACGACAGCGACCGATCGGGGATCTAGTTGCTCGAATGACTGCATAACTCGAATTAGCGATACGAGCAGTATAAAAAAACCCAAACGAACCTGTTGGGTGTTAATGTCGACACTAGACAACCAGCATCCGAAGCCCGGATGCGAGTGGTACCAGCCAACGACCGTCTCCGACCTGCCTACCTTCAGTCGAGCGCAACAGCGCGTAAACCGTGTTCACTCACCGCCCTGTTTGCTTCAACATATCAACCATCTTGGTCTGGAAGACATGGTCTACGGACTCAACCGATACTGATGTTCCTGATTGAGGCATCGCAAAGACATCGATAACCTGAACTGTGTATTCGTCCACGAAGTCTCCGAGCATCAACCCCATGACTTCCATAGGCACACCGGCGCGCCCATGCTTGAGCATCTGCGAATACATGTATCAGACCAGGTCAAAATGAAACAGCTATGTACCGCCGCACCTTGAGGAGTGCCAGTGAGGAAATGTGGATCGTCTCCCCGCTGAAACAATATGAGATTTACCCGCACGCATGAATGGCACTAGGGCGTACTTGTCCGGAACAGACGCTTCTCCGCCTTGGCCACGGCCACCAGCTTGGGCCAGCATCTGCTCGAAGTCGGATTGCATGTCGAGAGTGAGAGTGAGGGCAGAGGTGAGGGTAGGTTGTAAAGGTGCAGTCAGGCCGAGTACGCGTCGCGTCCGCTGACGCGTCCAGGATGAGCACGTGCCCAGCATATTGTCCAAAAACGAGCGCCTCTTGGCGCTGCCACTCGGGCGTCTAGCACTTATGTTCGAGTCGGTCTCGAATGCATTTCTCTCATTGCCGTCCTTGTTGATGGCCTCCGCCTCATGTCGAGTGAACTGTCTAATGCCCTCAATCCTAATGTTGTCACCACACGCCGCCCACGGCCCACTCCCAATGGTGCGGAGAACGCCGCTCCAGTCGTCGAGCAACCACTTCCGCCACCGAGGCCGTTCGTTCCGCATCGCAGTGAGCTAGAGCTCGCCATTTCTGAACCGCCTCCACGATCGGTCGCTGTACCGGCTCGGTATGTAGTTGAAAGGTTTAATTCTGTTGTCTCACCTTGCTCGACAGTAATTCAGGTGCCTCGACCTCTCGTCAAGCTACCGCGGTTCAAGAACTGCTTCGGGTCCTGTCAAGCTCAAAGGAGGCTGCTGAACTTGAGAGGAAGCGAAGACAAGCATGGGAGGAGGAGCAAGAAGCGAGATTCATCCAGCGGCAGGCAGAGATGGAGCGACAAATGCTGGAGATGCGTCAAGAGTTGTCTCAGCTGAAGAGTCACACCCTTGTTCAGTCGCCTGGTCCAAGCCCTGTTGGGGCATCGCCTACTACAGCGAATTCCGTACCAATTGGAGACGGGAATACTGTCTCTCCAGTACCGGTCCTGGCTCCTGCGTTCTATTCGGCATCCCTTCCACATGCTTCACCGATGGCACAAACGACCGTATCCCCTGCTGGACTACCGTCGATACACCATCTACCCACGCTCTTGACACCACCTGCAGAGTCACCCCATGTTGTTGCCCCTGCTATGCATGCGCAAGCCATACCTCGGTCAGAAGCAAACTCGACTGCCAGTAGCCCACGGCCAGACCTTCGCTCTCCATCTCTGTCGAATGCTCTGATCACGCCTGAACATACACCGAGATTGTTGGCCGTCCAGCCCAGGCCGCTATCTGCTAGTGCAGCGTCGCGTCACACCCCCGCATTTGTGGAGGGATCGTCATCTCAGCCGTATGATACTCCTAGCTATTCCCCCATTACAACCTTCATCGACGGTGGGAATGCAGGATATGCATCTCCAGCGCCAGCTCATGACTCGCTGAGCCCTCCGTTGGAGAGGAGGGAATCCGTGACATCCCCTTCATCAGCGCTAGGGAAGAGGCGCACTCTTCACTATTCGAGCAGTGAAGATAGCGACGACTCAGCTGACGAGGATGCTCGCGGGTCGAGCAGTGGTCAGCCACGAAAGCGAGTGAATGGCCACGACAAGCGTTGCTTGACTATCCAAGTGAGTAGCGCCCTTCGTGCATGTAGCCGCTACTCATGGCCGTTTAAACACAGCACGCAATGCGCGCACATATTTTACGACTTATGCAAGTGCCCGATGACAAGAACCTGCCTGACAGTCATGTTGAAGGTGAACCTCTGTCGACGGACGAGCCTGTCCGCTTCATATGGGAGAAGACCTCGAAGCAATCTTCGCATAACGCTGCAATGAAGAGACGCATCATAGTTGACCTCCAGGCAAAACGTGCGAAGTATAAGCGAGTCCCAGAGAAGGAATTTTCTCGCAAGAGCCTGGAGAGTGTGTTTGACCAAGCGTTCACGACGATGCGCCAGAAGTTCAGAGCGCAGCGGGATACTACAGCTGCGTTGCAACTGAAACGGCGCGAGGATCAGAAGTCTCTGAAGGCCAGAAGATCCGGCAGGAAGAAACTGGTGAGTTCTATGTCCACAACGACTGTACAATTTCTCATGCATTTGTTGCCTCAGAAACTGGCTAATCGCGTCGGGTCGCGCAAAAGACTGGAAGTCTTCTCACACCCGGCATTCGACGGTGCCTTACAGCAGGACTGTATGTCGTCGGAGGAATCATGCGACGACGACGACGGACTTCAAACGAAACACAAAGTACTGCGGATCCGCGGCCTTCCGTGGAGAAGCCTTCGTCTGCAGCGTTTTTATGCACTGCTGGACGAGGAAGACCAGGCGGACAAGAGTAGCAAACCTAAGCGCGGGATTGGACGCAAGGAGCGTCACGTAGGCCCGGACAAGGACCCCCACATCTTACCGCCCATGGGTGTCTCGAGGTGGATGATTAGCAAACGTTGGATTCGGCACCTGCAGTGTACGCGCGCCGACCTCGCACAGGCGGTTATGACTGTCGTCAGCGTGTCTGACGGAGTCGACTGGAACGAGTGTGCCATCTTGGGCGCCGAAAGCGATGATGACGCCGACTTGCAGGATGTGCTACGTTTAGACCGACATATACCTGTCTCGGAGACGAGTTCGCTGCAGCACGCTCTTACCCCTTCGTCGTAAAGCCCAATTACTGAACGTTCGAACACTGTCTGCTTTCGGTTGCAATGCTCTGCGCTGTGGATTATACTACTCATGTATTTCATCGCATTGTTGACATTCATGTTGGGGTCATATTGTTGCGACACGCACGTACATACTTACTGGCAATACGCGAGTGATTGCAGATGTTGAAATGTCCGAACGTCGATGCTTGCCAAATGTGGTCTTGCACCGTAGCGTGGATCTCAGATTCACCACGTGAGAAACCGCGCCGGGCGCACTCAGGCTGGCACTGCAAGCCAGTCGGGACACTCACTACTAGTACAACTCTGTATTGTACACTAGCCGCTGGCACACGAAAGGACTGACATGGATGTCAATGGTAAGGAGGAGATCTATATCTTCAAACAATATTTCGTCCGCTCACGGTCCTAAGGCTCTTCCCTTCTCTTGACGGGACTACCTGAAGAACCGCGCAGCCATCCTGGAGACCAAAGCGGATGTAAGTGCTGCTAGCATGGACTGCGTTGCGTAGCAGGTCTTCTGATCTCCTTTACTGCTAGAAGACAGTACGCATGCTCAGGACTTTGTGGATTTGCACAATCAGGTTCATGTACGTCGCCAGACGTGTCAGTCGACTGGGAGCTTACGTGCTTGCTCTGATCACCAGTCGAGCGTCAGCCTACTGGACTCCCTGGAGAACTTCCTATCGACCTTCCAGAAAGACTTGTCAGCTGTGTCAGGCCAGATATCCACGCTGCAGGATAGAAGCAAAGACATAGACAATCGGCTGAAGAGTCGTAGAGTGAGCATCGGCCTCTCGAACTGCGGGCGTGAACGTTCATTATGCTGCTCTCTAGAGAATTGAGAAGCCATTGTCCAACTTGCTTGTGGACCTTTGTATACCACCTGAGTTGGCGACGATCATCCTCGACACACCTGTAGGCGAACCATGGAACGAAGCCATAGGCGAGTTCGAAAGCAGATTGAATGCTCTGAAAGTGAGAGCGAGAGTCAAGGCCGCTCGGGACCTCACGGAAGTGGCAGAAGGCATGCGGATAGTCGTAAGCTCAACATCTAGCTTGTGTGCACGTCTCTCATCACGGGGTTCAGGCGGCGACAAAGTTGCGGACATTCTTCCTTGCGCTACTGCAGCCTATACGCAGCAGCATGACCACGAATATGCAAGTCTTGCAAATGTCTATCTTCCTCAAGTATAAGCCTCTCTTCGTCTTCCTTCAGCGCCAGGCATCAAGCGTTGCGAACGAGGTGCAGCGAGCTTACGTCGGCGCCGCCCGCACCTACTATGAGACGGGCTTTCGTCGTTACATTCGTAGTCTTGGATACGTCAAGGTATTTATTCATGTATTCCTATAATGTCTGCGCTAATGCCCATGTTAGGCTAGAACGATCGACAAAGCAGACCTCATTACTGCTGGGGCAGCGGAGGTCAAAGAGGAGGCTGAGGTCGACTTCGACAGGCTAGGAAGCTCGAGAATTAACGGCCCTGGCGTGGTCCTCGCGCATATAGCAGAGGACAAATCGTTTGTAGGTACTATATCACCATGTCGCCTAAGGAGACCTAACTCTTCTCTAGAAAGAACCCATTGAAGCTCTCGTACGATCCTTGCTTCTCGTTCTCATGGACAATGCTAGCGCGGAGTATGCCTTCGTGACAACGTTCTTCGCCACGGAGCAGCGTAGATCCATGCACCAGAAGCAGTCAAGCGGTTCCATACGTTCCCCCACATCGCTGCTGTCTCCGACGGACGGTAACTCAGAGGACGGGCACTCAGTTGTTAGCTCGGATTACGGTGCCTCTCCTCGGCAGCGTATTACAAGCATCGGGAGCATCATAGCTTTAACGGAAGTCAATGGCACCACGAGGGACCCCAAAGAAGAGCAGACAGCACTCAATGCGGTGTGGAAACAAATCATGGACCCTGTCCTCGAATACTGCCAGGTTCGTCAGTGTTGGACTACAATCGTGCTCGCCGCTGACCAAATCCAGACTTTCTTGCGCTCCGTGTTAGAACCGGCGCCGCCTGTGGTGCCGTTGCTCATCATGATACGACTCACCGAGGACGTGATGGCGGAACTCCAGAAACGAAATTGTGGCCCTCTGGAGACGTTCATTTTCTCTATTCGGCTGCAGATGTGGCCGGTCTTCCAAAAGGCGATGGGGGAACACATCGATTCTGTGAAGAGACTGGCTGAAGGCACGACTTCTTCGTTGTTCCGCAGAGGAACTGTGACCACCGACTTGGCCGTGGCAAACGTGAGTCACTTGGCTGAATATGAATGATGTAAATGCTCATGATGGCGCAGATCTGCCGGCGATACGTCGTACTCTTCAACTCCTTCATAGCTCTAACAGATCAAGCCGAGGAGACCATGATATTCTCCAAGTCAGATACTCAGTTTCTCCTTTCAGACCTGCATTCTAACCGCCGTCTATAGCCTAATGCGCCTGCGCCTGGAATTGTCAAAGCTCATTGCGTCTCATACGGATAAAATCTCAGACCCAGTTGCAAAGGCGTCGGCGCAGATTGCGCTTTATGATATGTTGTTGCAGGACCTCAGCGTACGTCAGGATTCACCGTCCTTCCATGCCGACTCTGATGGTTACTACACAGCGAGGCGCACGCCCTAGTAGTCATCCAAAGCACAGAGCGAGATGGCTTTCTGGCGTGGAAGAGGGGAGGAAGTACGCCGGAGGATAACGTCGACTACTCAGCAGAGATAATCTATCGGATTGATATGCAGCGATGAATATTACAATGATGCGAAGAGACGTCCATGAGAATTGAGTGTAGTGTCTAGAAGGACAGTGATACGCAAGAAGAATGGGGCAAGGTCCTCTGATCTTGCATTCGACGAAACATCAGGCCTTGTAAGGAGGAGTCAGAGGAGGAGCGCTGCCAGCACATTAGTACACCAACTTACGCTCCAAGTTGGGTGGTGGCTTACCGCTGTTCGGGCTTTTGGAATGTCGAGAACGACGACTTGAGTTGAGAGGTACCATTCTGCTTGCCAATGCCTAATTTGTTCAGCACGTCGCGCACCTCCCCGGGACCGGCAAGTCTGCTCCGCTGTTGTCCACGCGATTTCGTTGGTGTCAGCTTGAGAAGCGTCTCGGGATGTGCCACGGAAGACGTATGGTCCAAGTCGAGATGGACGGTGCCCTGTTGGAGAGGTTGGGATTGGAGATACTGCTACGCCCCTCCAATGCGTCTCGCAAGTCACTGACGCCAACTCCTCGAGTCGATCTGGTCAGACTCTGTAGGGAGATGTTCTCAATGTGCATCAACGCCGGTGCCACTCTGATCAATGGCGAGAGAGCGTCGCGACCAAGGGTATCATAGGCGCTGTTAGCTTCAACGGCTGTAATGGGAAGTTAAGTCAGGTTGTTGTGTCACTCCCACTCGAGCATTGGGACAGACTCACACTCTGTGAAAGCGCTTTCTGCAGACCATGCTGCTGCTAGACGACGTCCTAGTCCCTCGCTGTCAAGTCCAGTGGTCTCGGCCACGACTTGACTGTTGGCGATAGATCTCCACATGGCTTCCGAGTCAAGGTCAGGCAAATCAGCCATTGGCTCTTGGCCGGGGAACGGTACGGGCTGCTGCGGAGGGGGCAGAGTGCCTGGGAGTACTTCGTGTATTGAAGGAAGCAGAGCGGAGGGAGGTAAGTCAGACACGGCCTGCAAGGCCATCTTAGCGCATGTCTGGACCACATGATTAAGAATGACCGACCTCTTCAGCTCTTTGGACGACCTCAGGACACTTCCACACTCTTCCGATCACCGACCATGTGCGGGCAACCAACTGTTGTAGTACTGGTGAAAACGACGCGGCGGCCGCGTCTGAGATCCCTCGCGTATTGCGGTGGTCAGAGCTAAAAGCATTGGCACCCCCGTGAACAGGCCTCGTATAGGAAGGCACTCGTGAACGGCTGCCAACACAGCGAGCAAGTTGCCGTAATCCGAAAGTGTGCCGCAGGAGGTGCTGAGTGTGAGAGCTTTTTTGGGACGCTTGCCATCGCCCGCACGATGAACGACGTCTTGCGGACGCGCGGGGACAAGACCATAGAGCGTCGACTCATCTGATCATGGATTGATCGGGTCAGCGTTCGCGGAGCCTTCCCGTGGGGTACCAGATGAGGTGGTGGGGTGCTCGGGACTGCAGGCTGCGTACGAGTGCAGATCGATATTGGATGCGGTGCAAGAACGTAATATAGGCGTGCAGAGCATTGAGAAGTCGTGTCGTGCATCTCCGTGGACGATGGCTGTCGTGGTGTGCGCCTGGTCCGTTGGGCCTTCTGCGAGAGACCTGCGACGTTTCGAGCCCTCTGCATCCGTATGATCGCCCAGTTTTGGCGTCTCCGAGCGTAAATAGAATGAGAGCAACCGCATAATCTGCCCGCACGGCGTAGTCACGGTCGCAAAGGAGGATGAGGGTATCGTGCCAGACTTCCGGAGCAATCTTTGTGCGTCGGGAGGGACGGATGTGTACATCACGCGGGTCAGGTTTGCTAGTCGAAGGGAGGTTGGGGCTTGTTCCTGCGACATGAACTTCCGTGGGTGAACCAGTAGCGTCTTCTCGTGCACTCTCGTGCAAGTCTGCAGCGTGCATAAGACCTAACAAACTCGCGAGTAGACATCGTAGCGCCTGCGATCGGCTCCTCTCGCCATCTGCTTTCATGGCAGCAGGCAAACCGTTCGACTCGACCATGACTATACGGCTGATGAGCTCTCCAGCAAGGTCCTGAATTTGATCAGCGTAGTAGACATGTGTGCCCAAGGATGCGATGCATTCGACGAGTGTGGGGAGCAACCCATCAGTCAAGTTGATGGAGATCCTCCGGAATACGAGAGAGATGAGATTCGATATCATGTCAGATGTTGACAGGTTGACCAGCGGAGTTGGCGAGGTGAAGACAGTCGTCACCATTGCAGCAAGGGTGCTATGCCGCACCGTTGGTTCCGACGCATCCTGACCTTCTACCAGACATTCCACGAGCCTGGTTGGGACAGCATAACGGTACTGATATTGCGTCCACTCGGCGGCCTTCGCAGCTATCCATCTGCAATATTCGATCTTGCTCCAACCTCCTGAGTCGTCGAAATGATCAAGGACGGCAGACATGATGACTGCAGCCTGCATGCCGGTAGAATGTCCGAACAACGAGGATATGGCATGCAGAGATGCGTTCACGACGTCCCCAGACGAAGGCCCCTTGTCCCCGTCGACATGCACGTGAATGGATGCTGCTCGTCTTTCCAATGCTGGTCTGGTCCTGAAGTCGTCCATGAAAGCGAATTTTGGTTGTTCTTTGATGGAGCACGCTCTACGAAGCGAGGCTTAGAGCAAAACATATGCAAACCAAAAAAGATACGAACTCCTGGTTCAGCGTTTCCACGTCAACATCAAGGAGGGGAATAAGAAGGGCAGGAGTGACGGTGGACACTTGAAGTTTGAAGTGGGTGGACGTGTGATATAGAGCCTCGGAATGGACAGCAGCAATGAGAGCTGCTAAGCCCACAAGCCGCGTACTGGCAACAAGTTGGCTGGGCACATTTGAAGTAGGGTATTAGACATACCGGTTTCTGGTCTCACGGTCGTCCAACTTCTGCTGTCCCATGCTGGAGAAGTGTTGGAGGCAAGACATGTAATTTTGTGTGACATCTCTGTCTACGCCAATGAGATGGCCGTCGGTGTAAGTTGCCCATGCTGTGAACTGCGGAACACGTTCATGAGTGCACAATGTGGACCGAATATATCCACACGTACCACTGTCGCTGCTCTTGCTGCTACTTCTAGATCCGACAGCAGTGTGGAAAGAGTCGCATTGACGGCGGACAGGAGTGAGTTGGTTAGAAGCGCAATGTCGCGACGACATTCTGCGGAAAGTGCCTTGAATATGTAGAGGGTGATGAGGAGGGACCTGAACAGATTTCAACATGGAGTACCGCGAAACGACTTATGTAGAGTAAAGCCTACGCGCGTGATCGAGTGTTTCCCGCCTGAGCCTTCCGACAATCCGTCTTCACTCGCTTTTCAAGTTCGCTAGCGAGTTTCGTTATTTTCCCGGAGCGATTAGATGCGTAGTAAGTTAGTCTGGATAGTTCCTGTGAATTCGGGAGATAGTCCGGGCCAGATGTGAGGAGAGCAGCAGAAGGCGGATAGCAAGCTGAGACGAGGTAGACATGATTAGGGGTAAATGGCAAATGCATGCAGTTGATATGCCGTATGAGTAGCTGCGGTAGAGAGTGAAGTGGTATCGAGGACTAGGGTGAGAGATAGCGTAACGATTCAGAGGAGACCCGAGGAATGCAAGACCGGTTGGCTGGTTGGAGCAAGCACTGACGCCACTCGCCGAGTACACGGCCGCACAAATGTTTACGTAAGCGGCCTGCCCTCGTAAATGAACGGACACTGGCATCATCCGCACCGCCACCGTGAGCAGTACCGCGGTACGTCAATTACTACCGTATTCGACAAGTTCGGAATGCGAGGTACATTTTTCGTAACCGAGGCTGATCAGCAGTGTATGGCGGGGAACACTGGCCTAGGCCGCAGTTCAAAGGGCCTGCGTATAAGGTGAGTCTACGATTCAAGCGGCAGACTTCAATGGCAAAATCGATGTTTGCAGCGGGTCATGGCTTGTGTCTCTGTAATCGAAATTGTTCTTGTGAAAGACACTAACAGGACGCCACCATTTCAACACGTATACACAAGGCATGTACTGCCAGTGTATGTGGCTCACCGTACACTGATCAACAGGCGGACCAGTCTGACAACAGTTCATCCGCCGGAATCGTTGATTTCGTCTAGGTCGCACATCACGATGTCAAGTATGCGAAGTCCACAGAAGGGCCGGAATGACCAAGCCTGAGCGGCAATATTACTCCGGTCTTCGTTGAGATGTCCAGGCTTCCGCCGCTGGGAAATCAGGAAAACAAGAAGTCCACGATGCCCTCAGTGTCGTCAATTGCACTCGGGCTTCCGCGATAACCAATGGATCGTGTTGCCTTCGCATAATTCTCCGAAGCTTTCATGCTGTGGTACGCTCGTCTCAGCGCCACCGAAAAGACGCAGGTTGCTAATCGTACCCCGCAGCTGGAGAAAACCACACTCTCAGACTGCTGCTTCCATGCCCATGTAGTCAGAGCGGTGGCATTTGTTTCGGAGCGCTGTGCCTATCGAAGCCCCTGGCGTGATGAGCTCTGGGCAGCGCTGAGAAGTTGTGCCTTATCGCAGAAAATATCAGTCCGCTAGGGGCGCCATTGGGCCACCGCGTGAGGACATAGGAACTATTTATACCGGCGTAAGCTCCACGAGAGACACCCTGTGCTCGATACAAGACAGGTCGACAAGGCGAACCTCGTCAACTTGGTCGGTACAATCATGATTCAATGATTCCAGCGCTCACGACCGTGCACTGTCCACTCCTAGTCATCTACATTCAACTAGGTAGCTGCCATAATGGCGGCTGCGGACAGAGCAAGGACTCTCCGCACACTAATGCGCATGCTCAGTGATGCCTCAGAAGTGGTCATCGAGGAATGGGAAGCAGAGGAACAAACACCTACGGGACGCTCGGAACTTCCGTCGTCAGCCATGTTCGAAGCCAGACGTATTATATCGGGAGCTTGTGGGATGTTCATGGACATCACCCAGCAACCAACAACCCGCCTCACCGAGGTTGCGAACTCGTTCTTCCTCTCTAGAGCCCTGCACATTGCGGCCGAAGCCAAAATCGCGGACGTTCTGGCAGATATTGACGAGAACGAAGGTCTACTGGTTGATGCCATAGCAGAGCAAGAAGGTGTGGACGCGCAGAAATTGAGTCAGTCTCTCCTTATCCCCAGGGAGGTAGTGCATAATGTGGTTGTCAGCTCGCGTCTTGAGAGCCCTTTGCACCATCCATATCTTCCGCGAAATCAAACCATATTACTTCGCAAATAGTCCCACTAGCCGTGTTCTGATTGGCGATGAATATTTACGTTGCTGGCTGTTGCTACAGTATGTTCTCCTTTAATCTCATATTACTGTGCTCACTGATGTCTTGCTCAGTGCCATGGAAGTCTACAGCGCCACTGATAAATTGTTCACATTGCTCTTTGATCCTGCGAAGACACATTCCAATAATCCACGGGAATCTGCTTGGCAGGAAGCAACTGGAAGTGATCTCTTAACATATGAATACTTGGAACAAATTGTCGAGCGCCCCGATGGTACAGTTGGTCCCAGACCGCAACTTGATATCTGGACGCATGCCATGGTCGGGGTTGGTCGTGCATCTGCTACGGCTATGTATGCAGGTACGTTGACTTGCCATGATGTGCCCACCTTCCCTTGTCGAAACGAAATGGCAACCACTCAACAGACTATCCATGGGATTCCCTTGGATCCAGCACCATTGTCGATGTAGGTGGAGGAATAGGTAAGTTGTTACATGCAAAACCTATTCTTGTCCTGAGAAGAGTTAATGAATAGGCGGCACATGCCTCGATCTATCGAGGAGGTTCTCGGATCTGCGATTCGTAGTCCAAGACAGACCGGAAACTATCCGGCAAGGTGGATGCACGAGTATCCCGATGCCGTGCAGTCTGGTCGCGTACGGCTCATGGCACACGACTTCTTCGCTGAACAGCCCCTCCAAAATGCTGAAGTGTACTTCTTGCGCTACGTTCTGTGAGTTGTCTTCTCATGATCCTCTGTGACACAGCTTATATCTGGTTCTTTGCAGCCATGATTGGCCCGACGATGAATGCGTCGTGATCTTGACGCATCTACGCGAAGCAATGAAACCGGACTCGGTTGTCTTGGTGGCAGACCATGTCATCCATCCTACGGTGGGTCAAACCATCTAAAATCCGCGCCCTCTCCCCTTTGCCGAACTATGGCAGCGCCCATCAATTCGAAATACGCATGACTTGGCCATGATGGCGATACATAATGCCATGGAGCGCACTCCGGAGATGCTAGAGGCAGTGGCGACACGCGCGGGACTGAAGGTGACAAAGATATGGGAATGCCGTGGAGCATTGGAGTAACGGAAATGAGAAGGCTCGATGCCATCTGAAACACCGTGACTGACTGCGCATCCGCTGTCTGGCAGGCTAGTGAATGACGTCGTGCGTTAGCACAGAGATCAGTGTATGCGTCGATGTATGCTCTGTCGACCCTTTACTGCAATATGTGTTTTGTCATTTGGCTCTCTATTCATCTTATTGAAAAGGCAGTATAGCATTGCAGTCATTGCGAGTCGGCGAGAACATAAAGCTGGAGCCAACCGTATTGAAAATATGAAGAGTCCTTGAATAAGGCTACAAGTGGGTATGCGGATGGAGAAGCGTCGTGACCATCTGTCGCCGTCATCATAAATACACAATAAATCAGCTCGGCTGTCCTTGTCCGTTGTCGACGCGGAACATATTCGCTACACTTCGGGAGGACGTGTCCATAACCACGGCGTAATCCCGCTCCTGTAGCCGTTTCCCTGCCTCGATGCTATCCGTCACCCATTCAGGCCTAACAACATGGGCTTTGATCTTTGAGCGCCTAGTCAGCAGCTTCTGCGTCTTGGATCCGCTGAGCTGCTGCGACGTTAAGACATGTGTCGCACCGGAAGCGGTCTGACTACAGGAGGTAGAACATCATTGTTCGTTACGCCGAGAAGTAAAATACGGTTACTTACAGCATTTGACCTCCGGCCAGAGTCACAATTCGCTTCATCTCAATGTCTGTCGTGTCTTCGAGATAGCCGTTGATATAAACCCTGACACCCTGGAGGATATTACCCTCGGGGCCTTCAAGTCGCTCTGGTAGTTGTTGCCTGAGTTTCTCCGACCGCGAGGCCACATAGCTCCTATTCAGTTGGCCGCGGCCATCTGAGCGCTGGTGCCCCGTAGCGGCAGACACAATATGATCTGGATGGACATCTTATGAGCAGCCGTTTATTTTCATTTTAAAGCTCAAGGTATGCTGACCTGTCCGATGATAGATGTCGGAATGTGTGATAGGGTTCGACTTCTCCGGAAGCGTGTGGAGCAAGTGCTTGGTCAATGCGGACGAAGATGGCGTTGCCCCGTCCTTGAACAGAGGGGCAAGTATCCTGTTCGAAACGAGCGGGTTCATTCGACGAACGCATTGAGAACTGATACCAGCTCACTTCTCGGTCTTCTTCTTCTCTTTCCAATATCAAAGCGTCGCTCGTCGCCTTCTTCACACCATAGGGATTGTAGCGAAGATTGGCACGTTCTGTATTCTTGTTCTTGTCTTCATTGCGTTCACGGTTCGCTGCCGGCTTCGTTACTGATAAAACTTGTCCATCGGGCCGTAGAGGGGAGACTATATACACCAAAAATCACTGCAGATTGGTTGTTCAGATACCCAGCATGCCAGATGAAGCGATATTTGAGAGGGGGGAACAGAGTGAAGAGCAAGTGTTAGTAGTAGTATGAATGCCCGAGGGGCCCACGAACCAGGGCCACAAGCGTGTTGTTTGCCTGCATTTACCTCATCACGTGGCGCGCGCGATGATGCGTTATTCACGACGTAGAGTTCTACTTGCCCTCGACCGTTGCGACGAGCATGTTGTATGATAAACTCAACATGTTTAGACACGAGTTCGCGAAGAAGGGCCTTTTAAGCAACATTGACGTATAAATTAGGGAGTTGCGGCGCCGGATAAGCCTAGAGCTGTACACTATTTCTTCTGGATACGGACGTCCATACGCTTCGCCGCGAAGCCCAGCACAAAGAGAGTCATGAATGCGGTGGCGACCGCCAGTGGCTTCTTCAAGTGCGCAGAGAGCGGGACCTTGTACGTAACCTGTGAACCCATTCAGCACACGTCCATCCCGGACTACCTCGCTAGTGAACACTCACATAGATGGTGCCGGCGTGCCTAGTTGTGAGGTCCTTGTACTCCAAGACGATTGCTGGCCGGCCCACGGTGTCGAGTACGCAATGTGTGTTTTGACGTAACTCTGGATAGGAGGGAACGGAGGGAAGAAGTCGACATCACTGCGCAAGGAACGATATCGATCAGTCATACGCAGCCAAAGATAGCAAGACAACTACGTACGTGGCACCCTCAGGCAATATGATCTGAATCTCCGCTTCGTCGACGACGGCGCCAGGAATGAGTGTCATCAACGGCACCCCAATCATGTAATTCCCTGTGCTCTTGTCATAACCGGCATAGTCAGCGAGCGGCGAGTCCCAGCCCAGCGTGAAGCTGTAATTCCAGCCGCCCAAAAGCGGGTAGCGCGGACGCATCTCCAGGAGACTGAATGGCTGAGCAGGCAGATTCCCCACACGCAGACGAGACGTAGAGACATTGCCGATGAGGTCATAATAGTACGGCGAACGGATGTTGGGCGGCAGATGAAGCGACACCGATGGGAGGATATGCGGCGGTAAGCGACCGAAGAAGTTTGAGGCCTGGTGCTCGAGGCGCGAGAAATGGCCCTTCAGCCTACGAGAACGGTAGGTGAGCAGCTCCCATGAGTAGATTGCTGGCCACATACTTCGGTCCTGCATTGTGCAGGTTGATATTGTCCTCAATGTTCAAGTTGGCGCCCCAGTGGCTGATCTCAGCAGACCGTTTGAGCTTGGTGACCTCGAGAACCGGGTGGTCGTAGTCGTAGTGCACAGCAACTTTCTTCTGCTTTGACTTGAGGAAGTCTGCGTCAGCGGTGACAGGGACGCTACTAAACGGTCCGTAGGTGATCGTCGCGCCTGACTTCGTGACAGGCACGTCCATTGTGAACTCGTCTAGACCTTCTGGGGTAGAGTACGAGATGACATTGGGCGACGGCGACCTGCCGGACGGTCACTATCACGAGATGGGAGGACGGGGCAAAGATACGCACTTGACCTTGATCCGCTCTACGGACGTTTTGTATGGGCTCGCAACGAAGAGGTCCGACTCGTACTTGAGAGCCTGACCATCCTTCTGGGCCGCCTCCTCTGGCCAAGGGTACGTCGCGTGGGTCTCGATAGTTTCCACTACGAGATTTGCTGTCCCATTCGTCTTGAGGGCTTTTGGGAGCTCTACGGAGTAGAGGTACACGCCACTGAAACGAGAGTCGGTCAACCGTCGTCACTGGCTTAGCGGGCGTATGAGGGCGCACCTTTCGGCATCGAAGCCCCCACTCTCCATGGGCAGAATACTCTGCTCTCCCTTAATCTTAGCCTCCAGCCAGCTCGTACGCTCATGCTCGCGTCCTGCCAGAGCCAAGGTGTAGACAGCCGCACCATCCTCCAGCGCTCTCACCGCGTACGTGGTAGTGACGTGCACAAGCGATCCGCCCAGGTCGATGGTCCGCACAATGGCCGTGTTTTCAAAGGAGTGGGCTGAAGAGAATGACGGACATAGCAGGCTCAGGAGCAGAAGGGGGATTCGACGTCGCCAGTGGAGGACCATGGTGGTTTGTGGTCCTGAGCGCGGGGAAGACGCGCAGCTGTAGACGTGGTCACTTTGAGTCTATTTTTAGCAATCCATGCGCGCGTACTTGGCTGAACACCGCAGCTCAATATCTCCATGCCACAAACGCATTGAACACACGAATTATCGACTAAGAGTATTGAACGAACATAATAGCATCGTAAGGGTCTAAATTGTGAACCAGACAACGTCGACTACCATGCCCAAGCGGGACCAGGGTTCCGGATTGGAACGTCCTCCCTCTTCAATCCTGCGGATACGATCCTCTTCAACTTCCTCTCCCTATCCACTCTCAGAAGCTCCATCTTGGTCTTACCCTCTTGGAGGAGGACAGTCAACTTGGAGTCAGGGTGGCATCGAACACCAGTCCTCGCGCGACCTTTCGGCTCTATACGTTTCAGTTGCTTGGGCCCTTTAGTCACCCATGCTTGGGCTGTCGAGGTAAAATGTCAGGCCTTGAAGCCGTCAAGGATCAGCATGACACGTACCAACAATCAGTTTCTTCTCGTCCAGACCCTTCAACTTCGTGGCATGATTCTTTGCTCCTACCAGCATGCTCTTAATACGAGTACTCGCACGTTTCTCGCTGAACTGCATCTGCAAGATGGCCATGTCTATGGGCTTTCCCGATATCTGACGCCCCAGCATGTTGAGCTTCCTGTAAGAGATCTTGAAGTTGGAGGTCGAGGATTTGTGCTGCGAGTGACATGCTTCATGATCCAGAGTTAGGCGACCGGAAGCACAGACGGACCTCAGAATACTTCTTCGCATCCATTGGCTGAACAGTAGCCTCCACTGGTAGTGACTCGAAGAGACTGAGTTGTCCTTTCTCAGCTTGTTCTTTCCGACTCGCAGCTAGCTCCTCCTCTGTGTTCTTCTCGCGGACTGACATGCCGAGAGTATCCCGTATCCAGCCGAATGACCCTTTCGATGCGCTACACCCGCATTGAGTACAACTGCGATGCATGCGCAATCTGCATAGGGGACTTACTATCGACGAGCATCCCTCTGAAGCACCTGTGAGGTCGAAGCGACGGAATGCGGGTGCGCCGCCGTGAAGACAGCCGACCTGGCATTCACTGTCTGTCCATTAACAGTGTAATCTTCGTCAGATTACTCAAGAAACGCACCATGTCGCAGCGCAGGCCTAGCGGTCTGCATGATGAGTGACGAGGGTGCCCGGGACAGCAGCGAGCACTGGCCAAGCACTGGCCAAGGCAAATGTCGGTGAGCAGCGTTGGCGCTCAGCGAGAATTCGCGCTGAGCGGCATTTCCCACGGCGCGCTCGCGTCTGCAGTCGTGGTCTCGCTACTTAACCGCGCGCCACGACCTCCCTGAGGACCCTCTGTATTCTAGCTGCCGTCCGTCCTCGACCTTGCATCTTACCCACCCGGGATGGCGCTGACGTTGGGAACGATCCTTTATGTGGTCATCCTTCTCATCAATGCCATGGCGGTTCTCAGCGAGGACCGCTTCCTCGCACGCAGTGCGTTCTCTCTGTCTGTGCTGTCCCATACCGCTAATCGCTACTTTCCAGTTGGCTGGTCATCCGTACCACCACCAACTGTAACAGCCGGCTTCTCACAATCCTACGCGGCATACGACCAGGCAGGCTATGCAGCCCAGCAGGATGTCGGGATGAAAGCACGTCTCATAAATCTCATTAGCGCAGTACGGACCTTGATGCGAAGTACGTGTATCGTAACAAATATATGCATATGTTTGAGACTCACGTCGATGACAACCAGTACCCTTGATCGGGGTGAACCTCATTATCATCATATACGAGCTGATTCTCGGTCATTGAACTGTAGAAGAATACATGTGGATCCATCGTCACACTCATGCAGGTCCAGAGCGGCTTCTTCAAAACTCGTACTCGTCGACATTGCTATCCCCGTTGAGCCTGTTGTACTCGTGGTTGATCTGCCGTACGAAGTCGTGCACATTGTGACCGTTCTGCGGCAGCCCGTCAATCATAGGGTTGGACACGTTCAGTGCAACTCTCTTACCTCGCACTGCTTCCACGTGCCGTCATGGATGCAGACTTGCTTTCCATTGATGAGAATGGTGCAGCTTTTTCTGTGATTTGCATTCATCAGGACAACCCGTGAGGGAAAGTCGAATGGCTCACTGGATGCCCAGCTCCTCAGTGGCTTTCACACTGTCTTGCAGAAGCAAAACGCCTTCCGGTGCTTTCCCGCTGCCATCAAGACCCGCGCATCTCCCACACCGCTGTTGACCCAGTCGATCTGAGCAGAGTTGGCGCACTTCAGAGCGGTCTCGGCTGGCCGATCTTGTCAATGCCCTGGTAGTTTTGACACTGTATGAACTCCCAGAACTGCGACGGATCCGAGTATTTCATCGCACACAGCTCGTGTACGTTCCGGCACACTCTGTGGGGCCGTGCTTGCATGACACTCCAAGTCTGGCTCGGAGTATTGGGCTGTGAATATGTTACTTGTGCCGGACATACGCGTGCATTGACTGCGTACTGCCCAACAAACGTCAACGATAGGTCGACTTTGTCTGCCACCCTCTTCAAGACTTGGTCGAACACGGATTCGCAAAGGACCGCGTCGGGACAGCGGCTCATCACACCCAATATTATGGGAACCTTCGTGTCGGTGCTTGCGCTCGGGAGTGGCGTGTGTTGCCCATCCTGGACGACGAGAGGCGGGCTCGCGAGGCTGCGGGCGAAGAGCGCCAGGGTCAAGGAGATGAATGCCAGGAGGGTCATGGTGGTCGTGAACAAGGCGTGGAGGAGTGAAGGAGACGTCCAATTGCGTCCATCCAGTCATCATACATATTGCGCCATGGTTCTCTTCGCACCTGCCCAGTGCCCCGCATAAGTAAAGTGGAGCGTTCGCCAGCTTCCGCGATTCTGCCATCGGCTGCCGAATCTCATCTTATCTTATCTACAGCCATACAGCTGTGCAGGCACTGGCAGCAATCTGAATTACATACTGTTCATGTGCCTCGACTGTTTAAGCTTCGATGACATTGGTGCTTTCACTGTAGTTGCTCGACGACGTTAATCGTTCAGTGCCTTTCGTTCAAGAGGGTATAGCGTAGGCTGCGAGTGCTCAGCGGTAAATACAATTACTACGGTGTTGCATGCATCGCAGCTGGAGCACCGGAAACGAGAAGCGAAAGTCTTTCTTCATGACACGACACTGAACGGGTGGATGCCCTGGAGGGAATGGCAGAATTGCCGCTTGAGCATGCGACCACACCTCACTAGTGAATGGATCCGACCGTCAGACGGCGGCTAATAGGAAGCACGCAACAGTATCCTCGTAGCACGAGTAGCATAAATGACGCTTGTACTGTCATGGAGTGTGCATCTCTGTGTTTTTACTGCCAATTCCTTCGAACGTGGACGATTCCATGGTGTACAGAGCCAATAGTCTTGAATATTTGCTTCCGTGTAGTAGGTCGCGAAGTCTCATCGTCCTGCATGCGCTGCATCCCACCACTGCCGCGCGTCTGCGTCTGTCATTGATGGCTGGAAGTATTTACATCGAGAACGAAACGCTGCCAGGGATTGTGTTGTCAAAGCTTGCATGCATACGAGCAGACTGTGTTTACTCACCATCCAACGACCGTTTCCGCACAATTTGTTCAACAACCAACTCGTTGTGGACTTGATTGCGCTGCATGATGGATGCGATCGACACCACCCGCTTTGATGGACGATGAGATGATGGAAGCTTACCTTCACTTCTTCCGCGTACAGAGCGCCTTGTATGCGACGCTGGGCGGCGGGGTCGTTCGTCTCCGCATCGAGCGCCATGCGCTTGCCCTCCATCGATTGATCGACCACGCCGACACAGTAGCCCACTATCTCTGTTCGTCGCGTCCAGTTGGCTTCATCCGGTCCGAAGCAACCAAACGATGAGGAAGGTATTGCCGAGTGCATGGGTGCGACCACTCACCGACAAGTTCCTTCCAGATTGCATACACGCCTCGTCCTCCACTGTACCCTTGTCTCCCAGACCAAGCCTATTCCGGTCACGGAACTGAGCGGTCGTGCGGTTCAGACGCATCGTAATGGAGTCGTCAAGTCTCCGGTACTCTTTCAGTAGGTCTGCCCAGGACGTTAGTCGTGAGAAGCAGTTGGAAGAGCGAGTAAATACAGACCTTTGAATAATGATAGGTCGTGACATGTCGACGCCGAGACATGGACAGTCTTGGGCGCAAGGGAGGGTGCTTGTATGGCGAGGCTGCCTAGTTGTGGTTGTTGAAGAGGCATCGGTCGGTCATGGCCATGGCCTCCTCCAGAGTGACGCAAGGTGGCTGCCGAACCATTCGGCATCCGGATCAAGTCCGCCTTCCACAGCGCCTCCACCTCCGACTCGCGATCGTTACGTCCGGAAACTCATCTAAGTAGTGATTCCCGTCCGGATTGGCCTCCTTGCATTGTGTGGTATGTCTCTCAGCTGATTACAATCATTGCGGGGTTTACAGTATGTACAGGGTATACGACGGCGCGTTAATTATGCGAGCTCCAGAACAACATGAGTACCGAGGAAAGCGAAACAGTGGCATACAGACGACGACAGCGAGGGACAACAATGCATGTGGGGAAGCAAAAGGTCGAAAGCAGTTGAGAAACCGAATAACAGTTAGTCCGAGCCGGACATCCTACGTGCGCCGGCCATGCAGAGGCGCAGCAGTCCCTGTGCCCATTGGCCCAGGGAATGCCGCTTCTGGATCTGTCCCTTCATCCTCCGAATCCGTGAACTCGGGGTCTGAGGTGCCATACAGGTCCTTCAACATCTTCCTCTCGCGCGCGGTAATGTACCCATGTACATCCTTCTTGTGCCGGCAGCATCTGGCCGGATCCTTAAATCTCTCTTCACAGAATGGGCATTCGTGTGGCCTATCGCCGGTGCTGGGAGTTACCTCGGTTAGCGGCGATGATAGGACAGACAGAACGCAATGCTCACTGTGTGTTGATGTGGGTCTCCAAATTGCTCAATTGGGCAAAGGACTTGTCACACATCGGGCAATCCCAGGGTCTGCAGACATGGTTAGTCTTTGACTTTCGGCTCTAATCGTATTATTTACCTGATGCCCAGATGCTTTGAACAAATGTGACGCTTCACAAGGTGCCGTTTCTGAACATATGTGCATTCGACGTGATTGCCATCCGGCAGTCGGTCCGCCCAGGTGCATCTCAGCCAGTTGGCGCCCTGCATCTTGAATGGCTTGGTGTATTGGAGCCACTCGTTGTCACTTTCCAGGGCGCGACTTGGCCTCCTTCCACGCACTGTGCGGGCGACGCCTTGCTTAGCTCGACTAGTGGTACTAGTCGGAGATGGGTGGTCTTTGGTCTCCACCGCGTGCCTGTTGGCGCCAGCTACTGAGCTTTTGCCACTGGCTTCACCTCGGATCCCGAGTCCCTGGAAACTGGTATGAAGGTCGCGCCCGTCCTGCGCTGTAGCAGAGTTGCTGAACACTGCCGGAGACAAGGAAGCACCCGGTGGCGGGAAGGCAAGGCTGTGTTGTTGACGGTGGATATACGATGCCCTGACGTCTGTCAGCCGCTGGGCACCGTTGGCTGTCATTCGCGACATACCTGGGCTGCTTGAAGTTACCGTTGACAGGGCCGTTTGAGGAACATCTAGGAAGATAACCTTTAGTGCCGATGTCCTTCACGAGAAGCCAGTGTCGTACTCGGACTCAATAGAAGAACTGCGCTTCCTTCTGTACCTGTCCCGGAGGTCGTCTGCATAGAGGCTCGCTGGTTCTCTGCGGCGTCGGTGAGTGGGTACTCCATCCAGATCCGCAGTTACAACTCACGACAATTCTGTCTCACTGCTCGAGGACGTCGACAGCCTCTCATCACTGTGCGGCGTGTCAAGTGGTCGTTTGTAGGCGACATATATGACTGGGTTATCCGCCGTTGATAAGGGGTCGAAACGTGGCCATGTGTATGTGGCGCGTGGCGATTCATAAACGGACAATCGCACTTGACCCTGAGAGGTCCGTTCCTGCGTGCGGTCAGTCCGCTGCGGGCCTGCATTCGTGCGTATCTCTGGTTTATGTCTGCATTGCTGTGAGAAGGGGCAACTAAGATCGTGGGAGGACCAGCGTGCCTTGCTATCTCGTACGAGCTTGGGGGTGTTGTCGAAGGCATGCTTCTCGGGTACCTGAAGCGCAGTCAGAAGCCCGAATACAATTCACGCATTGAAACCATACATAGAAGCTGAACCTTGATTGAGATGGCGCTCTCGTTGGTTGGGCGCACGCTGGTTTCGGCATTAGGCATTCTTTGAGGCTGCTCGCCGCATTCGATGCTAATTGAGTGCGTCGCACATCCTCCAATGTTGCGCTTCTTGCAAGCATATTGAGATTGCGGTCGTTCATACGCCTTTCCTGCGGGTAACTGTGGTGGATATCGATGTGGCGTCAGCATGAGAGTGGCGAGTTTTGAGACGGCACGCGATGAAGGCGTCGCGATACATGATCCTAAGCCGCGAACTGTTTCTCGGGCTTCGTTCAATGCGGGGGAGCGCATATATGCGCATTTCATGTCGCGCCACATTACGCCACCGTTAGCGGACTGACCTGTTTCCGTGCGCCGCGCTTCGCGCTTCTCTGGGCGGAGGCTGGGACGACATGGCTATTATGTTGCAAAGTGGGAGCTGGGAGAAGTGACGCGGGAGAGCGGGGAAGAAGAAGAGACTGAGGGGAGGGTGGGCGACAGCCGAGTCTTATAGAGAAGATGTTTGTGGGTCCGCGACCTTGACAATTACAAGGGCGCACCTACGAAGCCTGATCCGGAGTTTGAATTGCCTCGATGTGCACAGACCGCGCAGCATGGACCTACGTTCGCGGGAGCGGGGTGACCGCACAAGAAGGAAGAGAGCGCCCAGACCTGACACGCGATGTTCCGGGAACAAGATATCCATATATATTTTGGGGATAAGACCTGCACGCAAATGGTCACATCAGTGGGACCCACAAATGCACACACTTCGGTCAAGCTCGGTCTTGCCGTGTATGGCCTGCCATCGTGCACATCCGTGACCAACTTGTGACCGACAGTCACCAGGAGTCACCGATCGGGTCTGTAGCGCCCGTGTGCGGTACGGTGTGGGAAGCCTTGCGCCAGCAATGCCACTCAGTCAGCTCACGACGATAGCATCAGGCTTCCTCATGCGCGTATCTGTCTGGGAAGCCATTGTTATGCACTATCGTAACAGCATCACCGCCGCTGAAGAAGGGGTCGGACGCAGGATTAGTTTGACGGCCATCCCGGCTTCAAATTGTCGGGCAAGGAGGTCTCATCAATTCATGCGCGCCCAGTGGCCCTTCGAAGCTTGATCTCTGACAGTCACGGACGGGCACGCCGGACAGTCAAAGTACTCTGCGCTGCAACGATCAGAGCAGTCTGCTCCGAGTCGATCGGCGCCTTCGACAGGACATAGACACTGGAATGGTCTGTGGGAAATTTCAGCGACGCTAGACTTTCTTCTAGGCTCATTCTTTGTTTTCCAGGCCCGATAAGTACTGGCAATCACATTGATTGTCCAGGACAAAATGTCCAAATCAGGCGTTTTCGGCGGCGGATCACTTGCCGTCGTGACACTTGGTGGAGAGTTAGCACGCATGAGTGCTAAGTGCTGCATTGTATTCGGGCTCTCGACACATACCGTGGTGAGCATAAGGAGTACTTTGTGTCTTTGCGAAAGGACTTGCCCTCGTCAAATCAAGCTCTCGCATTCACGCAGAGCTGAGGCAGGATGAGCGACCTCTCAAATCCTTCGTCTTACGTGATGACGTCGATTCACCGTTTTACTCTTTGCCAGTCGGGCCGGCCGTGCCAGAGTCACAACCGTTCTGGTCGAAAATGGGTCTAGACGCAGGCACTGCCAGCCTGTACTGCCCATGCGGCATAGCTTCTGAGTACTCAGGAGCGGAAGGAACCATTCAACAGTCTGTCAGCTGCCCGCGGCCATACGTACGTTGGGCTCCTCAGGTTCTGGGCCACAATCGCTCACTAATCATGGAACTGCATATACGCGCTACGCTTCTTGACTACGGGGTCCGACATCTCAACATTGCGACAGTGGGGATGCGCTGACATCTGTGATGCTAGAGCTGTGAGCAAAATACAAGGAGGCAATCCGTGCATCCGTTTCGATGATCACTGCATGATTGAGCTTTAAATATTAGTAGGTTGCTTCGACGCCGCAGAGCCATCGAGATTGGTAACTTGAGGCGGGCGCCGAGGATGATGTTCACGATAACATCACTTCGCATCTTCTGGGGGTACGCAGATCTTGATTAGTGTTTGAACTACAACAGTGTAACTAGGCGGTGCAGTACTATAGTAGGATAGGATGACTTATACTTAGGAACTCCAAGATTGTGTTTGAGACGGCTTGTGCTACTACGCTACGATGCATTATCGTGACGACTACTCGGGTGCTACTGATATAGGTTCAGTTTTACATAGATGAAGGTAAAATAATGAAACAGTAGTGACGGGGTTAGCGAGATGTTGATGAAACGACGGAATGGAGTGAGCAGGGTTGATTAGGTTCGGACAGCATGGCACACTTGTAGCACCATTCCCACTGTATGCGTGAGACAGGGTCTTGAGGGTTTGGCATTTTGCAATGCGTAGGAGCTTGAGGTTTCCGACTCAGCCATTAGGGGCAGCATGCACCGTAGACAAGTGAGCAAAATATGACTGTCGTTCTGTGTACGATTCCGCACAATGCAAGCATTGTCCTGGCTGACTCGCACTGAATTTGGACCAGAGCATCAGCAGTGGTAGACATAACGAAGGGAATAGTCGACGCACTGAATATGGAGATGTTTTTCGAGCAGTGCTTGCGTCTCAAAGCCCCAATAACATAGTCTACATCTGTAGGGCCTTATGCCCATGAGTCGTGAGCGGATGTAGGGCGCCGAATAGCACATAGACAAACCAGCGTGCAAGATGCTCTTCGATGTGAATCTTTGCTGCATTCTTTTCATAGGCATGACCACACATGCTACTCGAGCTCTGGAAAGTACATATGGCTTGATTTGTTGCTTGTACGGGTCTTGCATACCACTCCCATTCATCCCTAACAGATAGTAGGATGAATCCTTGTCAGCGCGTGTGCACACGAAGGCGAAGGGTCTGGTCCGAGACGACCAGCCCCTAGCACTCCCACCAAGGCAATGCCAATGCGACTTACTTATGTCCCTTTGGTAGCTTCACCTTCCGGTTGACAGCCATGCCTCCTCAGTTCGCAGAGCCTCGGCTCTTGCTGAACGAACATATCTTCCTGACTGAACTTTTAAAGGAACACTTCGTCTTGGGCGTTTTACAGAGCAGGGCTGAAGAGCAGCGTTCTGGCAGCTGCCATGCGAAAACACAGCGCGCAACCACACACTGTAGGCGCAAGAGTGAGGAGACTGCAAACGCAGCGACGCCCAGTAACACTTTAGGATGCTAGAAATCTCACCGCTCCCCGAGATTCCGGGCTCGAAACAGATTTATTCATGATTGAGTGAGACGGCAGAGGGATCTGAGGTGAATGAGGAGCACGGACAGCCGGGGCAGGTCTGGCGGAGCGCTGCTTTTTTCGTTTGTGTACATTTGAGGGTCCAGCGCGTGACCGCGTATACGGAATTTTACCCAATGACGGGTCATTGTGGGTCGATCTTCCGCGTGTCTCTGTGGCTCGTCGTGCGTTGTTTTGGAAGATAATCAGCGGAGCTTATTACCACCATATCGTTGGCATTATTTCCTGAGCCTCAAGGCGTAGAAGAAGACAATCGCTCAAAATATGCCATCGCCGTGGAGCTCGTTTGGTGAAATATGGCCGGTGAAACTGGTCGCCTGCAGAGAAGGCGCAAACAGGAAACATGTGGCGTCAAATGGTGTTGGACTGCGCGCTACAAGGTCACCTTTCACTATACAGAACGGAAGGTAATAAAAGCTCCATTATGCAGACAGTTGTGAGATCGCACCTCTCGCAGACGGGCCCATATTATATTTTGAACTGACAGAGGACGCTCTTTTAAAGATACAGATCTACGCGGCAGTGGAGGCAAAGTGAGTCTTGTTAATCTGACAGCGCGCACGAGTAATACAAAACCGACCACCAACCTGAAGGCGTACTTCGCGTCGTATCCCAGTCACTGCAGCTTGCTACTGTGGAACGGCATATGATACCAGGGAACGGATAATGATTTCGGAACAGCTCCGCCATGTGCGGTCACCGTGTGTCTGTTCTGTGGCAGCCAGCATGCCACTCTGCTTGAAGTTCCGGAGCGCCTGTAAGTTCGAGTCAAAGCATGCCAACTATGTGAGGCGAGAAATCCACACCGAGATGTATCATGTACAACTTCAGAAGTTGTGCTTGTGCGACACAGAGCACTGGCCGCAGGTCAGTTGAGTTCAGTCGACGACACCTCAGGTTTGATAAGCCCGAACCAACAACGAGACTTCCAAGGGTCTGTGGACTGATTCGAAATACTCGAGCCTGCGCGGGTCACCCTCCCGTCTCATTCGAGGCTGTAGTGCATGTAGAACACTCGGATGTGCTCAATAACCCGAGGATCACGGAGGAAGAGACCAACACTGTAAGCTCTGCCGCTCAGCCAATATTCCATTGAATGGGGTGTCATGGCGTTGCACGGCGTCGGTGTACTACGTAGTACAGCGACGTAACGATCGCGAAGATGCGGATCTGACAAAATGAAAAGACGATCAGCCAACCAAGCAACCTTGTTTGGACCGGACCTCCTCTGCCAAATTGAACGTACGTTCGCACGCCTCTGCGCCTTCGCGGGTTGCTTCCTCAGCAATTCGTTGTCGTCTCGGAGCGGCGAGCGGACTATGTAGCGTCAGACTCATGCATTCTCAGTGATGACAAGTCGACGCAATGGTTTCAGCCAATGTGGCGGATAGCCAAAGACACATCTCACTTGACGTTGCGCCGGAGATAACGTACCAATCGGTCACCGCTCAGCAGAGTTCACCGGGCAGCCAGTCACCAATGGCATTGAGTCAGTACCACTGCAGTAGACATGCGAGGGCTGCTAACTTACGTAGATGACCGAGAATGTCCTTCCAACCGTTCAACTTCGTGCACATATTACACATCCATGCGTCGCCGTCGAGTCTGTTGCGGCCGAAAATCGGGCCTTGCAACTCGTGCTGCTGTCAGTTCCACACCATCACCACCACTATTCGCCTCGGTCGTCTGTGTTGAAATTGCTCAGTAAGGCGAGCTCGTTCAACGGTACCCGAAGTTCGCCGCCGCCACCTGGTCGGCACGGACCCTGGCTGTTGAAGTCAAATTAGGTGGGCTCTCACGCACTGAACCTTGCTCGCCAGTGTGACTGCGTAGAGTGATGGAACTGCTAGTTACCACTAGGTCGCACGTCGTGTCAACCGAACAAAACAAAGCTGCCTACCGACCAATGTTGGAGGCGAATACTTACCGAGGATGTTACATGATCCCACGTACCCTTAGCCAACAGCGCCCAGTTCCTAAACATGCTGTAGGTAGACAAGTGCACCTAGACAGTGAATGTCGGCGGATTCGGTCAGTCCCGATCTCCGTGTGGTTGTAACGGGCGCTGGACTTGTCGCCTTACATCAGTTCTGACATATGCAGCAACACACTTTCGGACGGCAACCACGAAGGGATATGACAACATCGCATCTGCAGTGAGCGCAAAAAGTAGCCGCTGTAGTTGTTTGTTTTTGCGCCGGTGCCTCGAGTATCAAGGCGATGCGCGATGCAGTATGTCGGGTCATACAGCGGGGCGTCCACACTGCCACGAGTCACGACCTGCGGCGGTCTGACGAACAGGTTGCGAACAGGGATACTGGCCGTGAGACCAAGGCGTTAGCGACTGTAAGAACCGAAGTCCAATGGCAGAGAGCGTACTGATGCTCGAAGTTCCGTCGGGCTCAAAACCCAGGCTGTGCCATATTTTTGCCAGGTTGTGTTAGAGAGGCGCGCGGTACTGTCACTGGCGTCTGGGCGACCCGAAGTCAAGGACAATCCTACACCAAAGCAGTCCGAGTGAGCCGACATTAGTACTTGTGAAGGACAATCTATTGGCTTGCCTGCGACTGGTGGGTTTCCAAGCGTACGCCTACCGGATAAACGTCGAAGGTTCGGTCGACGCTGGCGCCTGGAGGATGTTTTTCAATTGTCTACTTATATGGCTACGACATAGCGGGCGATCAAGTTTGAAATTGCTGTCGTGACGATATACACTGTACGTGCAGAGGCGATGCCGGCACTGAATACTGATCGCTAGTCGTGGGGTGGGAGTGTCGTGTGGCCGCGAGTGCAATGAGGCCGCGGCGAGCATGCAGAACTGAAGGGGCCCGTGAGGGAGGCCAGAGGGAGGCCTCGAGACGGGCTCAGTCTGGGACTTGGCTGTTGGGTGCCACATGCGTACAGGCGAGGCGTGGCAAGTAGCGCCGGTCTGCCATGCCGCGGTGTGAACTCGGCGACGCGTTTGGAACAGCACAGAGCACGACGTCTCCCGCATCGTCGGCTTCGTCCCTCACCACCGTCAGCTCATTGCGGGCGCGGGCGCAGCAAGGCTCTCTCACTCTGGCTGGCTCTTGATCATGGTCTGGCTGCAGCGATCTCGTATCCTACTCAGCCTCTGGCCTCTGGTTTTAGTCATCTTACGTCCTGCCGTCCATGCTCAGAACATCTCTACCAGCGGCCCTGTCCCTCCATTGCAATGGATCAACATCACTGGCCTTACTAGTGGTTCCGCTCCCCCCGCTCTCAGAGATGCCTCAATCGGGTACTACGCTGGCACCAGCACACTATTGATATTCGGCGGGGAGTCTGCCCAGGGAATTGTCCAGTCACAGACCTATCTGTACGTCGCGCCCTCTATTTGACAGAGTGCATAGCCTCCATTGACTCGCGTCCCAGTCTCAATCTCGAAACTCTCACATGGTCACAGAACAATCCACCTACAGGCCTGGATACCTTGCCGCCAGCCAGAAGTGCAGCCATCAGCGGTGACGACTCCGCCGCTAGCTAGTACGTTTCTTTTCTCGAACCTCAACGACCTAATGCTGAATGCACCTAGTCGGTCGGCGCATATAGTCATTGGTGGTATGGGTTCCAATGGCCAGGCCTTGTCCGATGTTTGGGTCAGTACCTCTACTGCACGTGGGAATCTAGCAATGCTGATGTTGTGTTCACAGGAGTTCGATTATATCAGCCAGTTCTGGTCCGAAGTGACGGTATCATCCGGAGGGCCGTCAGCACGCTATGGTGCAGTGGGTGGGAAGGACTTACGCACACCCGACACAGCGAGTGGTATGGCGTCGCCGAACAATTCCTTCTACCTCGCCGGCGGCATCTCTGGCAATTCCGTGTCGCCTCTCTCGGACGTGTGGCAGTTGGATGTCACTGGAACTTTGTCGTCAAACAATCCCAACTCCGTCGAAGCGAGCTGGAAGCAGCTTTCGATACAATCGTCCAATACTCCATCGAAGGTCGGAGCCGCAGGCGCAGTGGTCTCTTCCTCCGCGCAGGACATCATAGCATTCGGCGGCTGCACCTCAAATGTCAAGATCACACCTAATGAGTCGTGTGCTCGTGCCGACCCATACATTATCAGCACCGGCGAAAACGTCATCAGCTCCTCGAACAGTTGTCCTGCGCCGCGACTAGGTGCCACTCTAGTTACCAACAGTAACGGCCTGTCGTCCGATTTCTCAAATCAAGTCTTCCTGGTGTTCGGACTTTTCAACAGTTCGCTCTGGTCTGATGATGGCGGCCTTGCGAAGGGCGAAGTTGTGAGTATTGTCCTTTCATCGCCAGAACAACTTAGCATTTGACGTACTCCGTTCTCAGGATGTTCTGAACGTGGAAACAGGTTTGTGTGCCGCGATGTGTATGATGACAGTGGACTGACCCTCTTTCGCAGGCGTCTGGAACCGTGTATTACCAGCCGGAGATCCAGGACAGGACGGCACTAATCCTCCGGCTTTCCCGTCTCCTCGCCAGGGGGCCGTAGGACTTTCGTCCACATCGACCCTCGTTGGAACATCTGGAACCAATGCTTCCGACTCGATTTTCTTCGGTGGCGTCGACGCCGATGGTAACTACCTCAATGAAGTCTGGGTCTTGAGAGCGTACAGCGCACAGATCACACAGACCAATCAATCCTGGGCAAGCAGTAGTGGCCAGTTGGTTGGCGGCGTTGGTGCGACAGGGCAAGGCGTGACCGTCCAATTCATGTCACAATGTGCCAGTGCGCTGAGCCCGCAGGCGACTCAGACGAGTGCGCAAGCATCTGCTACCAGTGGCGGCCCGTCTCCTACATCCTCTTTGTTGCCGGCACCAACGTCCCCTTACGATACCTCTGTTGCTCACAAGTCCATGTCGCCGATCTCCCTTGCGCTCATTTTCGTTGCCGTCATCGGTGCCCGACTTGCGACGGCTTCTGTGGCGTTCATACAACCGCCTGGACACGTCGTTATAGCCGTTTCCTCAGTCGTCGTGGCCGTTGCGGCATACGCGTTGGGCGTGGCCGGTCTGGCCACGTCTTTCACCACCATCACGTCCACGGCGACATCGTTGAGCAAGCGCTCATCAGCCTTGTCTCTCGCACTGAAGACAGGTCATGGAAAGGCTGGTCTAGCCTTATTCATTATTTTCTACTTCGCCCTCCCACTGCTCTTCGCCATTGCCGCGTGTTTCCGACGCAGCTCCCCCCACAATGTCGACGAGACGATCAGCAATGGACCAGAAGGCCGACCTCGCGTGAATTCCACCGAAACCGCGGAGAAGGAGGGCCTGTACAATGGACGTGCGGCGAGTCCGCTTCGCTCGGCAGACACACATACGGACAAGCCACGACCTCGTACACGATCGTGGGCGGGACTCAGCCATCTTGGTGTCCCAGGCAGGCGTTCAAGCGAAAGCACCCATGATAGCGCTGTAGTACCCTCACCATCGCATCATTCGTTTGAAGTCGTCAATCGGCCTGCCCGCACAAGGCGCGCTAGCGCCAACAGCCTAGCGGCCTTCTCGGACCCCCGCAGACCGGGCTCTCCGAGAAATCTTGGTGATACGAGCTGGTTTGATGGCCGGCGGAGCATGAGTGCTGTGGTGCGTGTATCCTCCAAAACCCTTTCATCACGTCTACGTTGGCTGAATCGTGTCTGCTGTAGGGCGAGTTCCACTACCCACTGAACGACCTCAATCACAGACCTGACCCAAGTACGCCTGGAACCACTGTACTCGACATGACTAGCACCAGCGGCCTGATGACTCCCGCAGGTCAAATGACACCCGAAATGCCACGACCTTTCGATTGCTTCCTTCACGCTCTCTTCCATGCGTCGCTTCTCGCCCTCTGTATACTCTCACTAATCGAGCTCTGGCGTCGCGCTCCTAGGGCAGCATTCGTCGTCTTCTTGATTGGGACGTTGCTGTTCTACGTTGCCCTGGTCGCGCTCTCGTGGTCGGGGAAGCCCAGATACTCCATACTCACCGTATTATTGGCCCGTTTGCGCGGCCGCCCCACCCACTCTGGTTATACGCCGGGTACCGCCACGCCCTCTCGACCATTGTCTGCAGCAGGGTCCGAGGTTCCCTTCCCCACCGAACCGCGCAGCCCCTACCAGCACTATCCGCCCTACAGGGCGGCCTCCACTGTGCCGGACGAATATCCTACTTCTGGGTCACATGGTCATGCGATGAACGAGGTCGATGACGATGGTGAGGAGGACGAGGATACCCGGCAGCGCAGGATCGAGGACGAGATGAGCAGGCGGGACGTCTCAATCGTCACCGTACCAAGACGCAAGCTCTTCCTTACTAACCCGGAGCTTGATCGTGGCTAGCATGTCTTCTCTTACTGCTCTCGTGCTATGCAGTTTTCATTCTTTGGTTTACACACCAGGACTTTCATTCACGGCCATACCATAGCATATAGGATCATCTCACCTCTGTACTCTTGTAGGTAGATTACCATGGACTCCGCTGTATCTCAATTATCCCATCACTATGATATTTGGTATGTAGTAACTGCAGAGCGACAATGCGAGGTAGATCCGCGATCCACGAATGTCCCAAGGAATGTATGTATGCATGCCGTGTCCGTGTGTGAAACCGAATAAAGTACGCAAACCTATGCTGAATTTACTAGCTCTCACCTTCGACAGCCACGTCGTGACGCCATTTGTCGACTCGAACAAACTTGGTTGAGTCTTGGGCTGGCGGCGGTGTAGCAGCGATTGGCGCGGGCATCATCATCTGCGGTGCTACGGAGGACCAAAGAATCCGGATGCCATCATGGACGGGGCACTGAAAATCATGGATTGGTGGAACTGCGCAGCCTGCGCCTGCATCATCATCTGTTGCTGTTGCTGTTGTTGTACCATCATAGACATGTACTGCGTTTTGCGAAGTTGCTCCGGATGGAGAGCAAGCGGTTTGTCATCGTCCGCATCCTGGCTGGCAAAACCGAGTGTCTGCGACGAGTTCATGACCCTTGAAACGCGAAGCCCTAGTGGCGTGTCATCCTCTTCGTCGTCATCGTTCTTGTCGCTGCTATCAGAGAACAACTTCCCGCCACTCGAGCCAAAGGAGGGTAGCTTGAGTTTGCCCTTGTCCAGTAGAGCAGACAGCGGCTTCTCCTCGTCTGAGTCGTCATCCACAGAAGCCACACGTGTCGATGCCCTTTGAGCAGCACGGCCGATCGTTGCAACTAGAGGAACATCCTCATCACTGCTATCGTCATCCCCTCCCAGCCTGGGGGAGATCAATGAGATCGTGGGTTGACTCATGAGACCTGCACCCGAACCCCTGCGTGAAGTCGACGAACGCCGTCTTCCTCGTCCGACGAGCCAGCAATCCATTCATCGGCAGCAACATCTTTGGACATCGAGCGCTTGTGACGGCGGGCGCATCGTCCGAGTCACTCTCGTCGTCGTCGTCGGTCGGCGGAGGAGGTCCTCTGCGCTTCCTGACGGTCGCACGCGATATTTCAGGAAGAACATACGGTGTCTCTGGAGTCTTGAGTCCTGGTGAAGTTTGCGTCTCCGGCTCCGGACTGCGGTCGAGCGCAAGGTCAGAAACGGATGCTGCCAAGAATTGTCCACGTCGTGCTGACGCTCCTCTCCCGTCTTCTTGTGCTTCCTCTTCTTCTTGTCTTTCTTCGCTCGCTTTGCGTCCTCCTCCGCCTGCCGCTTGGCGTCCTCTCCGCTGCGACACGTTCTTGCTCTTCAATGTCCCGTAGCTTGGCCAGCTCCCGCCCCCAGAGCGCGTCAACGCCGAAGACGGATTTCTTGTTCGCCGCTTCGAAACCATTGCCAGAAAGCGTGCGGCGTGGTGCGCCCGGAAGCTCATCGTCAAGCTGCAGAAGGGTGTTGCGTCGAGACAAGTTCGGCTGAGAACTTGATGCAGCCAGGAGTTGTGACTGCGGGCGCGGCTTGAGACTATCTGGATCGATCAAAGTGCTAGAGCGTTGGACTTGTGGTCGTGCCATCATAGACGGCCTCTCGTCTCCTCTGAACACTCTGTTGGTGGAATGCACCAATGAGAATACTTATGCAGTAGAGACGATGCCAGACGCACCTTTGCTTTCCCTTCATCTCAGTTTGCGGTCTCAATGCATCAATGAGGCTCCGACCATACAACTTGCCAGCTGGTCGTTTAGAGCGATCGGCGGGATCGATCACGATTTCCGGTGCAGGCGTGGTGGGGCCGGCTCGGGTTCAAGTTCAATTTCGGCCTGTTCGCCATCCTCCGTGGCGCGGTGCAGATGAGCCTCAAGTCGGCGTACGCAGGATCGCGCTGACCGTCGACGGGAAGGTTGTTGCGGAACGTCAGCTGAGAGAGCGTGAGACTTGCCCTCGGGTTCGGTGTGAACGAGTTGGACGCAACCAGTCCGGGGGATGACGCCCTGCCCGAGTCGAGCATGGATAGCGTCGTAGAGGACCGACGGGCAGTACGGGCGCCGGGCGGGAGCGGGGCGGCGTCGCTAGCGTGTAGCTCCGCGCCTTCAATTGCGCGCGCCTGCAACGCGCTATTCAAGGGCCCCGATGCCATAGCAGATTGCAGTGGACTCGGCATGATCAGCACCTTCGGCCGCATGAGTTCCAGTCGAGAGTAGGGGCGCGTGCGCCCGGCAGCCTGACTCCTGTTATCGTCGCTGGAATGCGCATCCATATCCAGAAGTGCCTGCGTGCCGAATGAGGCACGGACACTGTTCTCGCGCGAGCCTTGGGGTCGAAGCGGGAAGAACGGCTGGGTGAAGGTGGACGGACAGCGAAAGGATTGGCATCTTCCGGCTGTAACTCTGGTGTGAGCATAGTGCCCAACGAACCGTATGACGTTGTGCGAGCTCGTGCTTTAGGATCGAATCGAGACGCGCGGTCAGGAGACGGCGGTCGGACGGCGAAAGGATTCGGTTTCTCCTCGTTGAGCAGCGCTGGTGAACCAAAGCTAGTGGTGGAAAGCGCGCGGCTACGGTTCAGCACAGACTCAGATCCCCGAGATTGAGGCCGCACAAGATTGAGGGCATCGGTGGATGCGGGCGAAGGTGAGCGAACTGTCTCGGTGCTTGGGAAGGGTATGGCATGTAGTGGTGGAGTTATAGGGAGGTTCTCGATGAGTGCATGAGATGACACTGTACGTCCGCGATGCGGCGGCCTTTGCGTCGGTTGCTTCGCCATAGGGGCGTCAAGAGGGGAGCCAAATGAATGTCGACGGGCGTTCAAGCTGTTTGGTGTGGACTTCTCGTCAAGGAACGCGCCTCCCTCACCGAAATCGTCGAAGTTACCCATGCTCATAGAACGCGAGCCATGCATGCCTGAACGGCCTGGTTCGGATCGCAGTCCAGCGGGACGGCGGAGGGGGAGGTCGTGCGGATTGGGTAGTATATCAGACTTAGCTTTGTGCTTCCCTTTTACCTTGTCCTCGGGAATGTAGCCGTCCAAGCCCCACGACGACAGATCAACTTCCAACTCTGCAGCCTCCTCGTCCTCGTCTTCGTCAAGCGCACCTTCGTACGTAGAGTCGCGCCTGAAAGGATTGTGCAGCGCATCGATCGAGGTCCGTGGCCGATGTCCGTCCATTACTGACTCCCTTCCTCCGTATACGGACTCCGGACCCCTGATGCTGCCCACTTCGCTCGGAAGCGCGACACCAAGATAATCGGTGCTCCGTCGTGAAGCAGTCTCGCGACGAGGCCCCGCATCTCGCCGTAGGTGAGCAAAGATGGCACTCTCCTGTGCAGAACGACGCGGCTTGGATGGGTCCGAATCATCGTTATCGTACTCTACATAACTGTGTAAGCCCGAGGTAAGGTGGCATAGAAGTTAGAACTTGCCAATCAGAGCCGCTGCTAACTGGAATCTGGAGAACGCAGCAGCCATCGTAGGTCTTCGAAGATATCGAGGGGGTGGGGGAGAAGGAACGAGCAATGCAAGTGTACCGCTTTCGGCGAGCACAAGCGTGGTCGTCAGCGTAGAGCTGGATGCGTTGGGAGCTTCAGCCAAGCTTTTCTGGTCGAAATTGATCAGAGGCTGGAGAATAACACCTGGAGCTGAGGGGCCGTCGTTGAACACCACGCGGCTCGGCGTAGAGGCAGGACGGGGCCAGTATTCTGCTACACAGGCTGAGCAAGGTGCCGGTGAGATCCCGCATGGAGGGTTATATGAGCGTGGGAACATGTCCTGTCCGTATCAGGCAGGTCTGTAAGAACGAATACTGCATGATAAAGTTGTACAAGTACTAGTGAGTACAGGCATCGCACTCATTTCGTTAAGATTTTGTCGGTGTAGGTATCCCAAGCTACACTCGGATGGTTTCCTGGATGTACTGCGGCAGCTCTCGCATGGCATTCTGATCTCTGGTGGAAAATACTAAAATCGGGAAGGCAACAGACGTCTGAAACTGTTTTGCACATCTTTTCTTTTGATCCGAGTTGTCTTGGTATACTACTCAGACATCGTAGAGTCGACAGTATCGATGACACTCAACACACGGTGTTTCTGTGCTACTAAAGGTATAGTGCAGCCCACGTGACCGCGTAGCGCGTTCGCGGGGACACGTCAGTCGATCACCCTGGACACGTATGTAAATAGGCTTCTTCAAGTCTAGCTCCCAGTTGTACCATAACTGTGACCACTCCCTCAGCGTAGCGACCTTCCGGGCAGGCTTGCGCCATGCGTATCGTGCGCCCGCTCGTGCTCACCCTTAGCGTCCTCGGTTCGTACGTATTTGCCCAGGACACCACCAATGTGCCCAAGCAGAAGCATGACTACCAGGTGTGCCTCATGGCTCTGCATTCGGTCCTGTGCATTGTGCTGAGCTATCTTCGTGTAGAGTGATGTCGCGCGTTTGCGGAAAATCGTGATCAACAGGTAAATTACACTACTTGCCATGAGTATACTTGGCGCTAACCGCCTACTTCCCGGCAGCCTGTATTCACACCGGTGCGCCCGTCTCGCCAGTCGCCAGGGATGAGTACTCAACTTGGAACAGAGATGTCTTTCTTCGCGAGCTTATCTCGAACGCCAACGATGCACTCGAGAAGTTGCGTCTGACGTCTCTTACGGAGAAAAGGTGCTTTCAGGTGCAGAGGACATGAACATCACGATCAAAGCATACAAGGACGAGGACGGGAAGGGTCGCGTTGTCATTAGGGGTGCGTGCACCTTGAGCGTCTTCGTGCTTAAGCTGGCCTAACCGTCTAATTGTTTCGCTTAGATACCGGTATTGGAATGACCGTGGAAGAACTGACGAACAACCTCGTATGTGGTCCATTCTTATATCCCTCGCAGAGCTGATCCAGCACGACAGGGAACGCTCGCAAAATCTGGCACGTCAGAGTTCCTCGCGCGAGCAGAGAGTACGGACACCACAGGCACCGGTAACCTCATCGGCGCGTTCGGTCTCGGTTTCTACAGCAGGTAGGCTTTCCCGTGAACCGCAGCGTTTGGTCGAATGCTCAGCATATACCAGCTTCCTTGTCGCCGATCGTGTCTACGTCGCGTCAATTGCTGCGAAGTCTACCAGCAATCCCGAACCCGTTCAATATGTCTTCAGCTCCGGGGCCGATGAGAGTTCATTCGAGATCTATCCAGACCCTCGCGGGACCACACTTGGCAGAGGAACGGAGATCACTCTGGTTTTGAAGGACGACGCAATTGAGTACATGGACGCTCATAAGATCACCGACTTGGTGTAAGTCCTATTATCACTACTGCAGCCTAATTCGCTCAACCATAAAATCTCGACAGGGACAAGCACTCGTCGTTCGCCTCGACATTTCCCATCTACCTCTGGACAGAACGGACGGAAACTGTTGCCGAGGAGAAGCCTGCTGAGGAGACACCTGAAACTGACGAAGACGAGGCTGTTTTAGAGGACGTTACCGAGTCCGATAAGACCCCCAAGACAAAGGAGGTCACAGTGGAAGAATGGATCCACATGAACTCGCAGCCGCCGATCTGGATGCGGTATGACTGCGCAGTCTAAACCGGTAAAACGTTACTTACGCTCCGTGCAGGGACCCCAAGGCGGTGACGGATGAGGAGTACGAGAGCTTCTATGCAGCGACCTTCAAGGACTACCAGAAGCCACTTGCATGGGACCACTTCTCTGGTGACTCTGGCTCCGGTGTGTCCTTCAAGGCCATCATCTTCATTCCGTCAGAGCTGTGGGTTGTCCCCTCTCTCTGCCAACACGTGGATCTTATACGTCCCCTTATAGCCCGAACGAGTACTGGCAAAACCCAATGATGAGCAGCGCGAGAGACATTCGATTAATGGTCAAGCGTGTGTTCATCACGTCTGACCTCGGCGAGGACGCGCTGCCCAAATGGGCCAGCTGGATCAAGGTTGTCGTTGACGGTACGTCCCGGCCATAAAACCCTGACTGCTCTCATAAGCACGCTGCGTATATAGCGGAGGACCTGCCATTGCACGTGTCGCGCGAGACGCTGCAGTCCACACGCTTCCTCAAGCAACTGCGGTCGATCGTGCTGAAGCATCTCCTTGCCATGCTTACACGGATGCAAGAGAACGACCCGGAGAAGTGGGCAACGCTGCAGAAGTCCTACGGGAACGTGTTCAAGCTTGGTGCGGTGGAGGACACGAAGAACCGGGTGAAGCTGCGGAGCTCTGCCGGTTCGCGACTAACCAGAGGAACGAGACGTCTTTGGAGCAGGTACCTTCGTGTGCTGGCCATGCTGGCTATGTATGCTGACGTTCTGGACGTAGTACCTTGAAATAGGAAGAAAGGTCAGAAGCAGGTGGTCGCGCTGTCGTGCAGTCCTCTTTATGATGCGATGCAGATTTCTACTCGCGGACATGGGTACACAGCGGAGCATCTGGCCAAGAGTGTCTTCATCGAGAACTCCACGCTCGTGGCTACGAGGTCTTCTCCTGATCGATCCACTCGATGAGATCTTCGCCAGAACCTCCGGTGTGGAAGTGCGTATTGAGCATCGTAGAGGTTGAGACCTCGCTGACTAGTTATGCTAGGACGGTGCCATTCCAGGACGTGCCAAGGCTGGACTGCGGTTCGGTGACGAAGGTTCGGCGATCTTTCTTATTGCTGTGTTGTCTGAGCGCCATCTTTTGAGAGTTGAGCCCCGAGGAAGAGAAGGAGGAGCAGAAAAAACTGACGGAAGAGTACAGCCCCTCCTTACGTGGCTGAAGCTACAGGCAGGAGACGTTGTCCGGGATGGTAAGCAGCCCAGTCTCCTGCCATCGCGGGAACAATCGCTAAGACCCATGTGTTTAGTCGTTATCTCCAACCGACTCGTCGCTAGTTCTTGCGCGATTGTCGCTGACATGATGGGCTACACCGCCAATGTCGAGAAGATGATGAGTGAGTGCTAGAGTGCGTCTTCATGCGCTTACCTTGACCATCTCCCACTCGTGTAGGTGCCTCGCAAGCGAGCGTGCATAACCCCATGCGTGACTTTGCGAAGAAGCAGAGGATTTTGGAGATCAACGCGAAGTCTCCGCTCGTCCAGGGCCTCTTGCGCCGAGTGGAGCAGCTCCCGAGTGAAGAGGAGAGCCGTGACCCGAAGTTGAGGAAGAGTTGATGGAGGTTGCGTCTGTGCTCATCGATGGTGCTTTGGTCCGCTCCGGTTTCGGTGTGCCCGACTCGAATGAGTGCGTATCCGGTAATCATACACCTACGTGTGGACGCTGACACGAATCTCCAGATTCTTCACGAGAGTGGACCGCATCCTCAGAAGATCTCTTGGTGTGTCGGAGACAGCACCTACGGATACTACAGTGAAGCCGGCACCCCCTGTCGATTCGGACCCGCTAAACCTTGAAGACCCTGAGTCAATCGAGTGGCCAGACTACGTCCCGGGCTCTCTCAGGCAGCAAGCGGAGGACTTCAAGCCTGAGGACCAAATTGTATGGGAAGCAGAGGAGATTGATGAGGAGGGCAATCCGGTGCTGACGAAGCACGATGAGCTGTAGAGACAGCTGCTTATTGTTATGGATCTCAATGGGACTTTCTGCTGGATAATAGCATCAATGTACCACGTTATGAAGTCTCTGTTGTCGAATCGAAGTTATGTACTAGCTGAGTGGAGTGATCATTGGCGACCACGCTCTGACGGTGACCACAACACATGCAGCCGCAGGAACTCGGCATAAGCAACCGGCTCAGTTGCTTCAGTACTGTGAACTTGCCCACTGTGATCGGGACGTGCACCACTGTGGTACTCGGCGCGTTGCAGACGCAGACGCAGACTCAGTGATCGTGGGCGGCCCGTGTCAACTTTCAAGAGGCAGTGGCATCAACGCTTATGTACATGGAACGTGTAATGAGATTGTTTTTACATACATAGGCACCCACATTATCAGAAACATTCGTATATGTCGCTATCACAGTGACCCACACAACCGTAGGTGGTGGCTGGCGGTGAGCTGGTGATCGGTGAACAAGTTCGGAGACGCCCGATGGTGGAGGACAGATCTGGATCTGACGGACCGTGGTTCGCGCGCAATGGGCGCCTGAGGCATGGTCCTGTGCGAACTGGCTCAACGAGCTCGGCCTGCACTCGCTTCTGTCGCCGACCGCCTGCCTCTTCAACCGGATGTCTGTACCATTTACTCCTATAGGACCGCCCCCACTCCCCTCAGGATGGACAGAACACATCAGTAAGAGCCTCGATTCCTGCGCGGTCTGTCGACCAGTTGACAGTGGTTCACAGGTCCTACTGGCCAGCCATACTACTTCAATGCCGTCACACAACAGTCTACCTATGTCCGTCCCCTGCCTCCAATCCCATTTCCACCTCAAGGTGCGCTAGCACCTGGTGTCCCGGCACCGGCAGCACCTGCAGCCAAGAAGAAGGAAAAGCCGTTAGTCAAGACTCCGATACCCGGGACCGACTGGTTGCGCGTCAAGACTACCGAAGGCAACGTTTTCTACACACACAAAGTAGAGAAGAGGAGTGTCTGGACAGTTCCATATGAGATTCAGGACGCGATTGCTGCGCTCGAGCGCGAAGAGGGGGAGTCACGTCATCAGCAGGAAGAAGAGGCTCGGGGTCAGAGGCGGCGAGAATGGTTGAGGTTGAACGAATCAAGTCGGAGGTGAATGACATGGTTGGTAAGCGGAAAGCAGAGGAGCCAGTGCCGATGGACGAAGTTGTGATCACCAAGAAGATGAAGGTCGATGATACGGACGAGGAAGAGGAGGAAGAGTCTAGCTCTGAGGAAGAGGAGGAGGAAGAGTGGCAGCGAGAGGCTGCAGCCCAACTTGCCGCTGAGGCTGAGGAGGAGAAGAGACGGCAGGAAGAAGAGAAACGACAAGAAGAAGAGGAAGCGAAGAGGATGAAGGAGGCAGAGAAAGCCAAGGGCGCACCTCAGCTCAATATGCCGGAGCGAGTTGACTTGTCGATGGACGAGGCCAAGGCGCTCTTCAAAGTACGTTATGTCGCCGCTCCTACACTGACGACTAGTGACATTTGCATTTTCAGACTCTTCTTCGCGAGAAGAATGTAAACCCTCTTCACCCATGGGACATGTCCCTGCCGCTATTCATCAATGACCCGCGATATGTCCTCCTTCCTTCCGTATCCGCGCGTAAAGAGGCGTTCGACGAATACTGCCGAGACCGCGCCCGTGAGCTACGGCAGTCCAATGTCAAAAAGGAGAAGGAATCCGCAAATCCGAAGGAGGAGTTCGAGCGTCTCCTGCGGGATGAGGTGAAAAGTACGCGCACAAGCTGGACCGAGTGGCGAAGGCAGTGGAAGAAAGATAGAAGGTTCTATGGCTGGGGTCGTGACGACAGGGAGCGGGAAAAGAGGTTCCGAGAATACCTCAAAGAGCTCGGCGAAAGTGAGAATTCGCCATACTCATAATTTGGTGGCCGCTAACCTCACGCCACGTCTCAGAAAAGCGCGCCGCCGCTCAAAAAGCAGAGGCAGATTTCTTTGCGCTGCTCAAGGAGAGCGGTATTGCTAAACCCGGTGCTATATGGACAGAGGTGAGCATTGCATTGCATCGACTGGATTGCGTCACCGACCCATCCCTAAGGTGAAGCGGGAGATTGTGGATGACCCCCGGTACGATGCTGTAGGGTCATCATCTCTGCGAGAAGAGCTGTTCCACACGTACCTAAAAGCCCACGGAGAGACCTCTTCGTCTGAGACACTATCGGGTGCTCAAGTGGCTGACAGCCGTACTAATACGGATGGCGCAACCGCTGAGGAAAGCACCGAGGAGCGTGAGCGGAGGCGTCAGGAGCGAAAGGAGCGTGCCGTAAAGGAGAGGGAAGAAAAGGTCAAGGCTAAGCGAAACAAGGTCGACGCTGATATTGACCGTTCCCGCATGGGTCTCAACAAGGAGGAAGGGGAGCTTGAGTTCAGGTGCGCCGCGTGTCTCCCATTACCCCCGTAGCGGTTACTGGGCGCCGCTGATTATCGGTTGCCTTTTCTATACAGAACGATGCTGACAGACGCAATACGGGACCCACAGGTACGACTAACGCCAAGACTAAGACAGATGACTTATGCCTGTGTACCCCGTTAGGTTACTTGGGACGGTGTCGTTCCGCAGCTGAAGAAGGATCCTCGTTTCGTACATTCACCTCTGCCGCTTAACCAGCAAGTTCATCTATTCCATGCACACGTAGCCGCCTTACGGGCAAAGCACATAACCAGCCTCCACGGGCTGTTCGAGTCGCACACCCCATCACTGGCTACGAAGTTCACCGACTTGCCAGTGGCGTCCTTGGTCTCCTCGCTTCCTGCTACTAAGCTAGGGTCTAACGTAGATCGTCTGGAGGAAGAGTTCAAAGCATGGCAACGAGAACGCTCGCACCAAGCGCGGCTGGCGTTTGACCAGATGCTTAGCGAGAATGCGTTCGTGGAGTTCTGGGGCCGGCTCGGGAAGATCGGGGGAAAGGGCGTCGACGGAACCATCAAAGTGGACGATCTCGGAGAGGATGCCGAGGAAGAGCAGGTTGACATGAAGGCCTTGGCCAAGAATGTCGACCTGAATGAGATGGTGAAGGTGCTGAAGGTGGGTACGCTGGACGGCCCGCGCGGATGCAAAGTTGATCGTGTCACCAGAATGACAAGCGCTATCTCGTCTTTGACCACGTCCCGGAACTGCGTGAGCAGTGGCTGCGGGTGAGTGCTCCGCTTGTGTTGTGACTCCGGCTCTTGACGTCCCCGATAGGATTACCTGTCACAATTGCCTCCGCCGAAGTTGTCTGTGCACGTATCCTAGTTATATACTGTACTATGTTATTGACCGCTTTATACTTCCGCTTGTCGCGGAATCGCTATGGGCTTCAAGCCACTACTGTGTCGTTGTGAACTTCAGCCATCCGTTGAGGTGAGCTCCTAACCGTTCAATGTCTTCGGAAACACATCCGATCTGACATACTACAGTATGTAGTCTGGACGGCCCGAACTGCAATCAGCGCTGTGCAGACAGTTCCGATCATCATCTTCGCAGACCTCCGCAGATCTAGTCTCGCGAGATCGATCATATCACTATGACCTATCGTCCAGGACACTGGAGTGGCCCAGCACCGCCATGGTGTCATACATATCCCCGTAGTCTCGCTCGGGCGGCTTATGCTGCCACACTGGGCTTAAGCCTCTGTACAGAGATTGTTGGCAGTCGTGCTGCGCACAGGTTACGGTCGCACGCTTGACAATGTACGGGACCGACATGCACTGCCGCCTTCCGTGCCTCTGCTCCAACTGTCGACGACTCTTGCTATGTTGTATCAAGGTGTCTCCTTACCCGGAATCTATTCGCCGAATTCGACCACCCTTGCTGACGACCGCATTGACTCCCTATCAGGAACGGTTACGAACGCCGTATTCCTCGAGATTACGATGACACCCGCCGTCTTCCGCCGCGGGATATCCGTCTTCGGAGTAGGCTCATGCTCTAGACTAACATCCCTACCGCGCAAGTCATCCGGACTCGGGATTGGCAGCCCCGAGCTCTATGACTAGGTCAGTTCCTTGACGCAATCTGTATACGTGGTCGGCATGTTGTACCGCCCGTCTTCCCGTGGCAGCTCGGTGACTCTGACCATGCACAGTATATAGCCCGGAAGTAAACTGCATATCCGGCAATCCACTGCTCCTCCTCCACTTATGACGAGCCCTCCACCCGCGATGAGCTCATTCCACGACCGCACCTACTCTCCACCGTCCCCCGGAGCGAGCCGGTCACCATGTCCGGCCTTGAACGCACTAGCAAACCATGGTTATCTGTAAGCACCGCCATTCCCGCATGCAGTTCGCCAGTCTGACCGAACGTTTCGAATACAGTCCTCGAGATGGCCGTGGCATCACAGCCGTGCAATTGATCCGCGCACTGGTGCAAGTGTACAACTTCTCCGTGCCACTGGCGGTAGTGCTCTCAGTCGTCGGCGTGGTGCTGTGCGGCAACTGGTGGTCGCTCGACCTCCATCAGCTGGCCAAGCACGGTCTCATCGAGCATAACGGCTCGTTGGCGCATGACGACACCCCTCCGCACGAGGCCTATGCACCCACTGCCGTCGACCCGAAGCTCGTTCACCAACTACTCTCCGTTACATCTGCGCCTTATCTCACACTCCGCGATTTCGCCAAAGCTCGTGCACTACGAGATTCCGCCATTCCGACACCCCTCGATAGGGTACATGCGGAGATCGCCAGAGGAGAAGCTGTCCTCACCATCCAGACCTTTGGCTTGAAGTCGAAGGACACGGTGGGGAGCGCCGGGGAGCTTGACGGTGCTGTTATGAAAACATTCCTCGAGCAATGGCTTGGTCAGGAGCGACTGCCAGAGGGATGGCAGAAATCACAAACACCCATCGGCCTAGTTGAGACAGCTTCACGTTCGAGGCAAATAGAGAAGATGATTCGAGAGTTGCGGACGAACTATGCTTCATGTCGATGATGATATTTTGCCTTGCAGAGTTACCTGTTCTCGATGGATCATGCTACCTATAGCCTGAGCTGGTATACTATGTCACGACAAACCATACTGTATCCCGTAACAATTCGATCTGTCAATAGCATACGTTTCTTCCCATGTATTCTTGTCATAGGCCACTGACTCTCGGAGGGTACACTGACTCTGTAGTATTCATATTGATTTTCATTCCATCGGAGCCATAGTGAAGATATCGACTGCTACTGAGCTACACGAGGCAACGCTGCTCTAAAACGACTCATATCAGCGGGAGACAGGTAGCGCTGGCGCAAGATGACGACTCCGAGTAAGCTGACAGTCGGGTACGGTCTTGTGCGGCGGTCGGGCATGGGCCGTGTACGTGGATAGGCGCTCGCCGGTGCACCGGCAGTGAGTGGCTGAAAACGCCTTCACTGCATACTACCTTCTACGGGCTACGTGGCTACAAGCCATGCCTATGTCTGAACACTGCGCGCTGCTACATGTTGCGAGCCAGATTCAATGTATCGAGCAGCCCGGACATCAATTCCTCACTTACTCATGCCAAGTTGTTATTCGGCCATTCAAGATGATATTATGCCTGACGTTACAGCGTGTCAACCTGGGTCCTGACGAACGCTGCCTTCCGCAGTGCATCCTACAGCACCGAGTCGGTTCTCGAACGCTTGATCATGCAAGGGATCAACGAATACCGAGTGCTCATGGTGAGTCCTGTATCAAAGGTCGCAATGATATGTGATGGCTACTCCTCCTCAGGCTCGCTCAGGTGCCATTCAATGATCATATTGTGCGACAGTAGGTTTGAACCAACTGCAAACACGTCAGATGCGTGCTGACGGGTGCTATGTTCAAAATCCCTTGCTCGAAGAGCAAGGCTCTCCAGGTCGAAAATGTTGGCCCCTTTCTGCACTTGTTGCGGCGTATTTGGTTCGCGGCATGTGGTGTGGACACAAAATGCAATATTTCACTGAAAGAGAACGTCAATTTCTGATTATGTGTGGGCGCCATCGGTTGCAGCATTTCGCAGCTGATCGTACGCGTGCAACCGTCTCGAAGTAGGTGCTATCGTTTCATCCGTGACTGCGTCTAGCAGCCTACTGGTCAGGCGGCATTCCGAGACACAGACACCGATCCGGAGACGGGAGAAGACCAAGCGAATACTGTCGTGCTATATGAACTTGTGACCAGCGGGCCGGCGCAGATGACCATCCCCTCCGCCAGTGCCATCAGCCTGGGGCAGGTCCCATCTACCAAAGCTTGGAAAGATCCGCTCGTGTCCTACTTATACAAAGATTCTACTTCTGGATAGGCTGCTGATAGTCACTGCACTCGTCGCTGCGAACCCTTCTACAGTCAAGAACAAGAAGCCGACTTCCGGACCGATGGTGCCCTCACCGTCGGAGAGCCTGGGAATGGAGCACCAAGATGCTACATTGGCGCAAGAACGAGTACACAGAGAAATGGACCGACGGGTACTATGGAAGCTGGATCTACACGTCTTACCGCCCTTGACCCTCGTGAGTCCCTGCCCCGAAGGTTAGAAATCAAGAAGCCTGATTGACCACTGGCACGAACTGCTGCAGCTATGGCTCGCAAACTTCATTGACCGCACCAATGTTGGCAACGCAAAGTGATGCTGCTTTCAGCTGGCCATATAGTCCACGCTGACTTCGAAACAGAATTGCAGGCCTCACGACCGATTTGCATCTTTATGGCACTCAGTTCAACATAGCCCTTGCAGGTATGCACGCCGGCGTGTATTAAAATGCTACTTTGTTCTCACTCACCTCGCCAGTATTCTACGCTCCGTAAGTCCCCTGCGTTTCAGAACTGCAATGTCTGTGATTGAGATGATCGAGTCAAGCTACATTCTGGTCGAACTGCGTAAGGATATGTGGCATACGATATGAGACACCGTTGACACCCGTCCCATAGCTTCCAATTGGATCTTGAAAAGAGCGAAACCTAGCAGATGGCTACCCATCATTGTCGCCGTATGGGGCATGGTAACAACGCTTAGCGGCGTTGTTCAGGATTACAGCGGATTGATAGCCATTCGCTTCTTCCTCGGGTTCTGCGAGGGGGGCCTGCTTCCGGGAATTGTAAGTACTCTCATGGTATTGCAGCCAGTGGTTCTGAGCACGAGCTTTCGCAGATACTATACCTGAGCACCATATACAAGCGTCACGAGCTACAAACACGGTAGGATGTCTGTAACTTACGATGAGTCAATTTGGTTTTGACATTACTAGGGTTGGCATATTCTATGCATCGGCATCCTTGTCTGGCGCCTTTGGAGGTCCGTCTTCATTATGAACCCGGTACCGGTACAACCGCTCATTGCATGGAACGCAGGCTTATTGGCGACGGGAATTGAGAAGATGGACGGCATCGGTGGCCTAGCTGGATGGCGGTGGATCTTTATCCTCGAGGGCCTTATTACCATTCTCTTCGCTGTCATCGCTGCAGTGTTCTTGCCTGCTGACATAGGTTCAGCGAAGTTCTTCACTGAAGAAGAGAGAGATTTCGCCCGTCAGTCCTCATCCTCTTCTGTAGCCACACATCCTCACTCGCCTTATAGTGAATCGTTTCCGCGAGGAGAATAATATAGCGGCAAGCGCTCCTTTGTCCGAGCCGGCACAGCGGATCAACGTCGCGGGTGCACAACTAGAGAAGGTGGACGAAGTCCAAGTAGAAACCCTCACCACGCATAGCATCGCACAGTCCGTCAACCAGGAGGACGAGCAGTTTGAATGGCTGGAGGTCGTCAGGGGTAGGCCATCCATGTCGCTCGTCATGCACTTAAGATTGGGATCTTACATCATTCAAGGTATCAAGGAACCCCAGGTCTGGATGTCAGCATTGTCCTATCTCGGTATCATCATCAGCCTGTACTCGTTCTCGCTTTTCCTGTGAGCATCCTTTTCCAAGTTGGATGTGGGTAAAGACTGAGCTGCTCTTCAAGGCCCACCATCGTTGCAGGCTTAGGGTACTCCGGAGGTCAAGCACAGCTAACACTGGTACGCTCTACTCAGCCGAGGTTACATTTGTCAGTCTAACATCGCACAGTACCTCCATATGTCCCTGCTGCAGTCCTTACAGTCGTGGTCGCAGTCGCAAGCGATCGCCTCCGCCTACGCGGTCCATTCATTCTATTGTTCCTTCCCATTGCAATTGCCGGTACGTGATCGCCCACATTGCTCACTGATAAGCCGATTTAGTGCCTCACCCATAGGGTACATCCTTGCGATCGTAGCGAAGGTCCGTTTCACGTCATGGTCCAGTCTGTTTTTCGCCTTATTCAATGCAAACCCTAGAACAATACACAACGTTATGCAGCAGGTCAGTGTGTCCATATTTGTGGTGCTGGCATCACTAAATGTGCTTCCTAGTCTTTCTGATTGCTTCCGGGATGTGAGTACCATAGTTACTATTTAAGATACATACGATGACCCGGCGTGCCAGCTATCCTTGCGGACCATGCATCTTATCGATTTTACCTAACAATACTGCTGGGCATTACAAGAAAGCAACCGCGGTAGCTCTACAGCTCGCAGTCGCTAATACAGGGTAACTTTGGTTTTTCTGTTCCTCAGATCCACTCAACCACTCGACTACAGAGGCTTTGTTGCTACATTTGTCTATACCAACTCCCAAGCGCCGAAGTATATTCGGGGACACACGATTACCGTCTCTTTCTTAGCCATGGCATGGGTGGCTATGTTTGCCAACGTGTGAGTCCCACTCAGAGATGCGATCGAATGTCGGAAGCTGACGGAAGAGCGCAGGATGTACTGCGCACTGGAGAATAGAGCACGAGCTGCAGGACGCCGTCAGGGCAACCTCATCGCATATCAAGAGCTTTGGGACACAGGGAAGACGAGAGCACCCATTGGTGACCGACACCCGGAGTTCCGTTTCACGCTGTAATCGAACGACGACAGTCTCTTGTACGAGAACGTAACGACAGAATTAAATTTTCACACAAAGGAATGTAGATACAGCTTCGAATGTCCAATGTCCAGAGCAGATACTGGGGTAGCAACTTCAGGTCTGCGTGTAGACAATAACCTGGTACAAATCGCCGGCGTAGTCTGCGAAGTGTGTCGTTAGTTGTGGATTGCGAAGAGGGGATCGTGCTTACTCGACTGGTCTGCGCCGAGGGTGACAGCGTTCGGTCCATCGTTCAAGTGGACCTGGACTGGAACGCTGAGCACACGACTTGTTCCTCCCGTGTTCGGTTGATCGACCACGACACTTGAGCCACCATTCACGCTGTATTCGTATTGAGTTGGCTGTGGTCACAGTACGGTCGTTGTGTCACTGCGTCCACTGGCTTACCTGACAGTCACATTCCTAGAACAACGTCGCATGAGCTCATGATACTTTCAAGCCTGTGAGGTGTCAACATACCTCCACGTCTGATCAGCGTTTGCATAGTATAGGGACAGCCACTGGTCAGCGCCAGTGCCCGTGACATTGAGAGTCACCGAACCGCCGTTTCCTGTATGTAGATCGTTTCTAGCTTGCTTGTTTGTACTGCAGTCAACTAACGCACCAAGATACCCTACGCCTTCATGACCATTATACGTGTAATTTGAACCAAGGAGCTCCGCATTTCCGCTCAGGGTACCTGTGGAAGCAGAGTATGTGGTGCCGTTCTGCACGGCGTATGTACCTGCACCACACCCGTTTCAATAAGCTAATCGCAGTCGGCTAACGGTGCACTTACCAGCGTCAAGGTCCACGGTCCATACGTCGGCGTAGACGATTTGAGGATTACCGGACGACCAACTCAGCGGGTACCAGACGTAGCGGCTGTTCCCAAGCACATCTGGCTCCCAGCGATCGCCCATGTAGATCGCATTCGTTCCCAGAGGTAAATCGTAGGCATTCTGTGAAAAGTATGTGTTCGTGTCTTCCGGTGCTATGTCGGCTTGACTGGACCAATTTCCCGAGATACTCTGCCATGGGAATCGTCACGATGACTTGTGTGAGAAGGACGTCTCGCGGATGCACACTCACATCCGCGTAAAAGTACTTGTTCGGGTTGGGTGCCCATCCACTAGTGTGAGAAGCAATCAACCAGTACACCTGGAACAGTATGTCAGACTCTCAGAATGACACGGGTAATCGTCGATACGTACCCCGTCTCTCTTGACCATGCCTGGCGCTTCCAGGGTTGCACCTATCGCACAATGAGGTCTACTGCTAAGGAAACAATATGAAGGCGTACCTTTCAGTTCAGCTACGACATCCGTTACGTTGTAGTAGTCTGAATCCATTTGAGCAATCTTGAAGTCCTGGTTGTTGTCGCTGGCGTAGAGCAGGTAGGCCGTCCGGTCGTCTACGTGACAGTCAACGGTGCATGTCGCCTCAGCGCAATAGTAATATTACCATCGAGGAAGACACTTTCGTCGCGAGACTGAGCTCCTAGAGGGTTGAAACTGCCCCGATAACTGTATGGCCCACAAGGCGTGTCTGCAGTGGCGACGCCGACCTGAGCGTAACCATAGCTAACAACACGCAGTGTCACCATGAGACAGCCTTGTTAAGGACATGGGTCACGTACTTCGAGCTGTCGGAGTGGAACCACATCACGTACTCGGCATTCTGCGCACGAGAGGCGATTCATGAGTGCCACGAAGTACGAAGGTGTCATATATGATACCTTCTCGTTGTATATTACTAAGGAACACGTCACCATAAGTACAGTGCATCAAAGTTAAGTCAAGGTACGTACCTTTGGGTCGCTCAACAATATTGGACGAGGAGATGTTGGTACCGGATACCGGAGTAAGTGCGTTGTCATGGCGCGCCCAGCTGACAAGATCGGTGGACTATTGCTAATGAGTCGTTAGTTGAGCTAAATGGTAACACCACGCACGCTGTAACAGGATACAGCAGAGAATAGATCACTGTTTGCAGCCTTATCCTCGCCAACCCAGTAAAAGGTGCTGTCAACCTGAGCCCGGGTCAGGATAGTGAGAACGGTAGAGACAATGACTTCCTCCACATACCTTGAAGATCCCTGCGCTGTGTGCTTGGATTTCGTTGCCGTCCGTATCGTACCATAGCGCACCGGGTACGATGACACTCTTGCCGAAGACAGATCCGGCGAGCAAACTGAGAAGCAGAGTACTAACGAAGGGATGCATGTTGCAGACAGGGCTGATGCGCTGAAGGCGAGAATGGCTGTTCGCGAGGTTATATATCTGTCGCGTTCTGCACGAAACCGGACTCCAAAGCTCGGATGTGGGATCCAGGCGGTCTACCGCATGGTGTCATGGTCACCAGCGGTGCGGTGATCGCGCCTGAGAGCATCGAATGTCCCAACCGCGTCCCAATGTCCTGGTCACAACACCGGACAGCCTAATTCCGTAGTGAAGAACGACGGGAGCATTCTACGCAGCTTGCTTCCTCTTCCTGATCGTAGTCAGCAGCCTTCAGCAGCACGCTCTCCGGGCCTGAAAGCCGGCGTGTCGGACCGATATGAACACAGCGGGCAACACTGCCCAACGCTTGGCAAAGTGATGTCAGTACTGGGCAGACAGTCGCAGCAGACTCACCTGCATGACTACCCGGCGGCAGATACAAACCCTCCTACCGCCGGCTCGAGGATAAAGAAACCGCTTGCAACACCAGCCAAGTTTACAGCTAGTTCCATGTTGTTGTGTAGACCCCTTCCCGAGAAAAGCGTGCACAGGCGGAGGGTCGTCGGGCCGACCTCGTCGAGCGATCCGCATCCTCCGCCCGCTGACCTTGGCCACAAACCTCGCCCTCGACATTCCTCGATGTGGTAAAATCCTGATGGGAACGCGCTCCAGAGACCGATACGCTCCACCTGTGCGCACTTTTGCGCTCGGGACCTAGCGATGAGGAATTAGCTGTATGAGCCACAGCGACTACCATTCCGTCTCTTTTGTCATCCATAGCTTAGGGCCATTTGGTGATCTCGAATCGCTAATCCCACGGACACAAGAAATGGGGTTCAGCCCACATTGACCGGCCAATCCCGGCCAACGATGGGATGGATACATGACGTGCATTGCTTCTGGTCAAGTTGCGTTCTTCTGAAATGAAGATCGTTCTGATAGGTCCACGGACAACGCGCCGCCGGTTCAGGTACTGCCTCTTGATGAGACCCCAACCAAGCTTTGGCACGAGAGTCATGAGTTGACGGAAGCATGATCATGACGCAGGAGATGATGCATGCTGACCTGTCAATACACATACGTGCTCCGTTCGCGAGATCGTTTCACGCACCTCAAGGGGCATTCTATGGTCCAGGTTTACCAATCATTCGATCCCGAAGTGAGAGCCCACAGTTGAGGCGGTTCTTGCACTTCGGACAATATGATGACAACGATACAGTTTGAAGAGAGTGAGATAACGGTACATGAGCATGCGAGATCGGAGTCGGGTAGATGTGGTCGTTGCAGGTCGTGTCGTGTCGATTGGTATGAAGACAGCAATAGTTGGATACAATATCATACATAGAACCTGTAAATAGCCCATGAGCGGCGAATGCCATCATACGAGTCGAGACTTACTTCTTGTTGATTTGGTACAATAGTAGTTTCAGATTGAACTTTGCGAGGCCATCAAACAAAGAATAGGACGCGCGGTTCTCGAACTGAGCTTGTAGAAGATCCTCCATTTTGACATCTGCGGACGCTATTCGGTTTGTGATGCCAAGAGCGTGATTGAGGATCTCTATGGTAACACGCCCACTTGATTGGACTGAATGACGATGTCCATCTTGTCGAATTGGCGTGGGGAGTACTGATCAATCGAAAGCAGGATCCCTTTCTTGTAGAAATATGCCGCGCCATACTTGAAGGAGCCGAACTGAGGCTCCTTTCCCTCTTTCTGCAGCTCTCGCATATGGAAATATTGCTGAGTGAAAGGTATGACGAAACGCCTCTTCCTGCAGCAAACGTAAACAAGGGAGGTTTGGCGGAAACCGAGCGCACATACCCTTTGCCACGCTGCATGGTGTTCATCGCCGCCTCCACGTAGCTGTGATAGCTATTAATCTGTTCCTCGAAGTACTTCTTCCGCTCGGCCAGGTATCTCAACGCCTCCTCCATGCCCTCCTTCTCGTGCTGACGCTGCACACGTCTGCGGTTTTTGCTGCGAACATCGCCAGCGATAGCATTCAGAATCCCCTGGTAACCGTCCATGCGAGATATCTTGCCGAGCTTTTCTAGTTCAAGAAGGAAGTAGATTGCGTGTGCCTTAACCTCGCGAAAAGTCATGCTGTGCGTACGCCATAAGCCGTCACATCTCAAGCCCAACGGTTATACACTCACGACCGGATATCTTCGAGACGATAAGCAGACTCTGCGCCAGTGGTAGAAGGCATGCGCCTCTGGTGACGCAATTGCTCCCTTTCCATTTCCTCGATGATCTCCTCCCATACGAGCTCATGCTCATCAGTGACTTGTTGCATCAACGACTCAACGAGATCTTTTGCGGGCTGTACTCTGAGGATGGCTAGGACTGCGCGTTTCGCCTGTACCCACAGAGCCTTCTCATCCGCACGGGGATCTACAAAGCGAGTCAATATCCAAACGCATTTCGAGTACGCTACCATACCTCTGACATGTGCAAATCTGTTCGTCAATTGTAGCTCGACAGCGGTATCGCGAGCCTCGTTCAGCTCATCGCTGCCGATGTGGGGTACTCCATCCAACTCCATCAACATCACTCGGAGCGTGTCATCGCGAGCCGGCGCCTACCAATGCAGCTTGAGTTATATCAAACGAGAGGCCCTGCATGTAAACATACCAGGTCGTCAAGGTTCTCGGAGATCAGACTATGCATAGCGTAGACTTCGTTAGGAGAGATGTAAATGGGCTTCGGTTGAACAGTAGCATCCAGGAATTCGTGGGCATGTAGTTCAGTCTCGGCGTCCTGTACATCCGCCACTAGTGCGTGGAGATGGTTCAGTGCGAACCAATAGAACTCATGGTATGGTTGCTTACCGTTGAGAAGCCATGTAGTGAATTGCCTGATAGCCTTCCGAACGTAGTCGTTGACGGGGATGTGGCTGGGCGTGTCCTGGTTGAACTCGACTCCACTGGTGATCTGCGTGAGCATTCTGGAGATTTGTGCCAGGTTCTTCCGAGACTCGATGTCGACGGTGCTAGATACTATATCAAACGTCTCAGGTGTTCTGTGCACCACCACATCAGTGTGACGCGCCAAAGAAAAGACAGCAGACGTACATGATGGCAGGATTGAGATATCGGTAGTAGACGAGTCTAGCAATGCAAGCTGCATGGAATTCGGCCGGTACGTCCGGGAATTTACTCTGTCATCCCGTGAGACGCCGAAACCAAAGCTCGCCGTTGCACACTTACCTTTACGGCGCTGAGAGTTTCTCGGGCCATGAAACGCATTCCATATGGCATCCGCTGGAGAGATTGTGTGATCGCTGTGACAAACTGTTCGGTCCGCCATTGCAGGGTCTGGAGATCTACGGAAGGTGATCAGACATCGACGTACACGCAGACAGTATGGCTGTGCTTACGTCTGATATACTCTGCCCTGGTGTCTGGATCTTCTACAGCCTTCGCGAATGGTACGTCTTTCCGCTCTGTCGCAGCCGCACCGGATCTCAACTCCTCCAAGTCTGCTTTAGCACGGTAAATCTAGTTCAGTGCGTCGATGAGTGGCACTTCACGGTGTAAAACGAGAGGTTATCAACCTTAGTCGGGTCTACCTCCAAATCAAGATCCTCCGCGTCGATGACTTCACGAATGACACCTTGGAGAGTCTCTCGAATGAATGCACTCTGCTTCGGTCGAATATACAGAACAGCGATGTTGAGGAACATCGGATGTCCGTTGATGACATCTTCGATGCTGGTCGCGTTCTCCACCTCCTCCTGTATGCAGTCTGAAAGAAACATGATCAATCATTGTAACATCGTTCCATACAGAGGTACACACCTGCAGTAGCTTCAGAAGGAGGTATTCCTCACGGCGGTCGTGGCCATAGCCGAACAGAGTGAGCACGACGCGTTCCATCAATTTACGATGCTTCTCCGAGTCTTTGCTCGCAGACATTTTGGAGAACAACCTGGTCAGGTACTCGCCCTTGGCTTGCAGAAGATAGAAGAGTTGCTGATAAAGTTCCAGCTTGCGCTTGGCTGAGCGATCCAGTGTGCTCGGTCCTGCAAACGGGTCGCCATGAGCCGCAAGGACAGACGCTCTCGCTGCATGCACAGCTGCACTGTCAGCGCCGTATCGTCGTCGAACTTTGGTCAGTTCCTCGAAGCTCTTGACGTTCTGCACTACGAGCGCAATCTTGACGTCTAGTTCACTGACGTCGTGCTCTAGTGCTTGGTTCTCCCGAATGCGCTTGACGACAGCGTGCCTGAGCCTCTCGACCTTGATCTCCTCTTGGAAGTCTGCTTCCGAGTCGTCCAGCAGGTGTACGAAGTTCTTGATCGTGCCAACAGTGACGTTTGTTCCCAACGTGAGCTGGCGATACTGCTCACGGGTCTCCTTCGCACGAAAGAGCGACTGGATCTGTACGATCTTGTCAAGATTGGATCGGAAATACTGCATCTTGGCATGGAACTTTCGCCGCTGCAACACGCCACGGAGCAGTGCCTGCATAATGGTTGCCTGAGGATGACTATTTCGAAGGTAGTCTCTCCATGCATGCCATTCCTGCCGAACCATTGCACCTCGCGCGGCAGCTTGGAACCCGACGACATCTGGCTGGATGAACCGAAGTTGCTTCTGCTGCTCTTGATGGCGGTTCCGCGCGAGGTTAGCCCGAGCGAATGCTTGCAGGCCACCGATCGACTTGATGACTTCGACCTTCGTCAAAGCCTTCTGCATGGACTCGTGCTTCTGCTGGGCGAGTCTGGCTCGAGCCCGGGCTTGGAGTCCTATCAAGGCCGGCGTGGCCTTGCGTAGACCTCGGATGAGGGCCAACAGCCGCTTGCGGGCAAGATAAGTGCGTACGGCCGCTTGGATGCGTACGACCACATCGCTGACATCCACCAGCTTAGCCATCTGTGTGCGAAATCGTCGGCGAACAAGGAGTCCTCTGGTCTGAGCCTGCAACTGAACGATATGGGGTGTGGCACGTTCCAGACGTGTATCCTGGCGTGCGAGCATCCGCCTCAGTATGACACCACGCGCCTGCGCTTGCAAACCGACAATGTTCTCCATGACAAACGGCGTTGCGAACGTCTTCGCGAGCTCTTTGTGTGACTTCTGCACAATCCGCGCACGCGCCACGGTCTGCAACTTCACGATGGAGAATTGGGAGCTCGTGAGAGCCGATCTCAACTTGAGGAACCTACGCCGTACGAGGACACCACGCGCCTGTGCCTGCACCTTGACAAGATATGTCACAGATGCGTGCACTGCTCGTAGGTGGACCCGCCAGTCTCTTCGAACCATAACGCCTCTGGACTGTGCTTGAACAGCCTTGATCCAAGGCTCGAGACTGACTCGTTCTGCCCTGTCCCCTTCGAGACGTCTCCGAATAAGAACAGCTTTGCAATGGGCCTGTAGCTTGGGTACATATCGTTCTGCCAGTCGCATACGGACACGCTGAGTGGCTTGCGCTTTCCGGACAAGGAAGGCCCGAGCAACAGCCTGCAAAGACACGATGGAATCTTCGCACTCTAAGAGGAGCCGGTCTCGACCTGCACCATCGTCAGCACCATTGATCCGTACACGCGTTTACGACGCTCACGTTCGTCTTCAGTCTCCGCTTCCTCTTCTGGTTCCTCGTTGATTTCCTTCGCAAGCTCCCTACCCACATTGCCGAAGTTAGGCATGGCGATACCAGAATCCTTCAGACCCTTATGCGTCTTCTGCAGCTGGTCATCCGTGAACTGTAGGTGACCGACGAGATTACCAATGCGTTGTGCTAGACCGCGTCTGGCGAGTAGATGACTGAAGGTAGGGTCAACATAAGATGAGTCAACAGGCAGCAGTCTGTCTACCTAAGTGCATGTATGCAATAGATGACCTTCGGGAAATTCTTCTTCTCATAGAGATCAGTCAGCTCGAAAATGAAGCCCTAAAGCAAGTCAGCATCAAGTACATTTCGCAACTCCATGACTGATGCATACCTCAGGCAGTCCGACATCGCGGACGAAACGGAAGAAGTGGTTGATATTGTCAGAATGTCTGAAATCCAACTTCGGCGCCTACGAATAATACTTAGAAGTCGCGACCACCTTCTGCAATGATGGTGCTCACATCATATATCCTGCGCACAGCAGATTCACCCTGGAAGACACGCACCAATCGCGCAAGGACAACGCCGTTCCGCAATCCCTCCTCCATCTCAACGACTCCGAACCCTAGCTCCTCGCCGAGACAGCCTTCGATCCACTGCTGCGCCTCGCCAACATGACACAAGTACTCGTACGCCTGCAAAAGGTGCCGCTGCACATCTGCCCAAAGCCCCCTCGTAAGCCTTGAAGAGGGTAGAGGTGATGTCGGCGCGCCGCGCGCTGTGTCCTTCGACAACCTCAATCGCCCAGGGATACCAGCGACGTCGCCTGCATCCGTAACCCCGGGGACGATGAGCTCTGCCTCACTGTACTTCTCTGGTGACGGCAAAGTCCAGTCCCGTTCGCGCCGAAGGCGCTCCTCTCGTCGACTCCTCCAGTCCTGGTGATCGGTCTGCGGCTGCGTTGGTGGAGGCTGAATCGGTGGAGGCTGGATGGGTGGAGGTTGGATGGGTGGAGGCTCCTCATCACCTTGGACTCATCTACCCAATCTTCAGGTGCGTCCCCGCTGGCTATTCTCGGGAGATGTCGTCCTAAACGACGACCTGGTGTTAGGTTATCCCCGTACAGAGATGACCGCTTGTTCGCCATGTATGAGCTTCGATATGGCGAGGGAGACATCACGGAGGAAGCCGAGGACGCGGATGAAGGTTGGTTTGAGCTACTTGATGGCTTGTCTAGCGAGGCGGACGAATCACGAGAAAACGTCGCGCTCGAGCTTGCTCGACCACCGAAACGCTCGCTGATCTTGTCGGGAGAGGGTGGAGCCGGATAGGTGCTGCCATACATCGAGGTCGGTCGCCGGCTTGTCGTAGCAGCACTGGATGATGATGGTTCTGGAGGCCAGACGCGCGGTATACGTCCTGGACCGGACGATGGAACAGAACGGTCGGACGAAGTAGACGAGCCAGTGGACGAGGGGTTGATGCTCTCGAGTGTGTTAGCGCGGCGCACTCTCGAAGGAGTTGTGGTCTGGGCTGGATGTCCCGCCGACGAAGGAACGACATAGTCACTTAACTGCTTGAGCGCTGACACGGAGGAAGATCCGAGGGGCGTAGACACGGGTAGGCGGATGCGTTGAGGGGTGGGTGTAGAGAACGACTGTGTGGGTGAATCCGGACCCTCGACGGTGATACCTGTGGTGTTGGGCGACAAAGGAGAGGCAATGATAGGTGCCGGCATAGTGTGTCGCTTCAACATGGGGGGCGTAGTGTGCGACTGCTGGTCTCGGAAACTGTCCATCCTAGTCGGAGACGCGGTTGAAAAGCGGTCGACAGAGTTCGTCCTCGATACAGCCTCCGGCGACGCATTCGCAGAGGCGGGGGTCATGCTGATCGCACGCGTACGTCCCTCTCCACTTGCAGTACTTGCGGTGCTTGACGTCGATGCAGTACGCTCGAGCAGACTATCGGCCCTCGATCGCTCCTCCCATTTGCCTCGCACTGTGTCCAGGCTATTGCCAACGCGGTGCGTCGGTGTCCACCTCCTGGTTGCGTTAGGCGTGCTGCTGCCACCAGTGGGGGAGGCGAGGACACCATTCCTTGCGACGGTACCTGCGCGAGATAAGGTTCCTGAACCACTCCGCGACGAAGTGCGTTCAAGTAACCGCGTCTGGTACGCGAAAGGTCCGCCCGCATTAGTGCTGGACCTCGAACCTGTAGACGAGACAGAGTCAGAACGCTCCATGGTGTCCGTTCAAAAGTCGTGATCGTGAATCGTGATGAAGAATCAAAGGGGGTAGAGAGCGGCAGCGAGCAATGAGAGCAGTCGATGTGTCGAAAATGCGGTGTCGGTGGGCAAACCCGCCCTTGTTGTCGAGTCCGGACGAGAGGACGGTCGGTGCGAGAAGAACCTGAGGGATGTTGCCCTCATTTGGAAGCGCGTCGCGTTTATACGGCGCTGACGCCCATTGACATTGCAGGTTCCACACCACTCAGAGTACTCCCTCAAACTCGTCCGAATAGGCTCCCGGCCAACACCTCAGTTGGCACCCAACATGGAGAGACATGCTCGATGCTCTTGAAATTGCAGGCTGCCAATTACATGTGGCTCTTGCGCAAGCTCGTGTGGGAAATCTGCTGTTTGAAGTTGTTGCAGCCGGAGTTGTGGCCCGGCCACACGGTCGGTCGAGGATACCTAAATCCGATTTTGGCTGGAAGTGAGCCAAAATTGTTGGTCAATATACACGCTTCGTAGGACGACAGATCCGGGATCGTCACCCTGCCCTCGGATGCGTTGGCAACAAACAGGTTCTACGAGAAGCGAGGAACGTACAGTTTGTGGCGGAGGCAAGTGGCTTCAGCGCCTAAAGAGACGCGATCGAGGAACGCGTCGACGCGCGCTGCGACGCGTCCTTCTTCGCCCCTCATGTCCTCGTCCCTCGAGTCGCTCGTCACGTCTCTTGTCCCTCGTGCCAGGCAAGACGCAAATCTAAGAAAAGAGCTCATATCGCATTGTCAAGAGATACTCAGCAGGTGAACAACACTCGCATTTGTGGCCACTGGGTCAGTATCAATCCCATAGAGGTCCACTTACCTTTCTCCCACAGTCACATAGGCCAGTCCGTGGATAGTGACATAGGACACTTGGCGGATCTCGTGAAGCGCAGTTGTGAGTCGAACAACAACGTCACGTCTGTTTCTGGTGGAGCTCATGGCTGATAGTGCTGCAGTCTACACCTGATGGTACGACCGCCCTTCGCTTCACAAACCTTCTCTCGCGACTGCTGGATCAGGTACGATTGTGATGAGGACGGCTTGATAAGTGATCTGACAGTTTTTCCAGCAAATACTATCCAGGAAACATGCATCCCTGCAGTTCCTCCACGCTCTGTCATTATCACCCAAAGTTTCCTCAATATCTCCCGCTTTTCTCCCTTCGCTTGCACCACCACCACCGCTTTCTAGAACATCAACAGCAACACTCACGCCTGTAGATCCAACGCCTCCTGCAAAGCTGCCGAAGGGCAAGTCCAAGGCAGAGCTCTTGAGGGAATACCGAAACAAAATCGGGCGACCTCATTTGCCCGAGCACCTCATCCTCCGAGATACTCTATATCTGCTGCAAGGAATATCCGGAAAGTATGTCCACTTCTCGGCGAGTACAGACCCGAACGGGAACAACGAACTCATGTTCACTGACGATCCGGTGTGCATCCTCTTGTTACCCATCCTAAGCCGTACCATGCCTCATTGCTCAGTAGTCATTTGTTATCTCACGACCGACAAAAGCCCTCGTACACCGCCTGGCAGAAGTTGGACACCTATACATGCGCGTGGACGCGTTCGTACGTGAACGGGAAGGGAAGGTCGGCGTAGGGATGATCGAACAGAGCCTTTGCCACCATCTTCAGACCCAACTCACCGAATACTACCGTCTCATCGCCGTCCTCGAATCTCAGATGGCCTCACACCCCAGCGAAGATGACCCACCAGGGCAGGGTAGTGCGAACGCACGGGAGGAGACAGGTCTGACCCTAAAGAGGTTAGATGTTTGGATCGAGGATTGGAAACTGCGGATGCGCATGATGAGCGTTTGTGTGGAGGGTGCCAAGGGTATGTTTGGTTCCACTCCCTTTGGAACATGGCTTATCGCGCGTTGCAGGTGCCCATGGTGGCGCATTAGTGAATCTCATTCACGGATATGCGGACAACGGTGATCCCTTCATCCGCAAATTCACCGACCAGTTGCTAGATGAGGTTCGTACAGTCACAGTCCAGGCTGCCGCATACTCAACACATGTTCACAGGTATCAAAACCTTTCTTCGCAACCCTTCACAAATGGCTGTTCTCCGGCGAGCTCGTGGATCCCTTTTCCGAGTTCTTCGTAGCAGTTGATCCGGAGCTAGCTCATCTCCAGTATGGTCAGCCGTCACATGATGGTGTCGGTCCATCCGGTGGTGATGGGGGATTCGGCGGCCTGGGAGACGGAGAGGATCTCTCGGGCGAGCGCGAGGGTGGTTTGAAACTCTGGGAAAGCAAGTACCATTACAGAAGACATGCTACCTGCGTTTGTTGGAGAGGTCTTCGGTAGGAAGGTGGTAATCCGCGTCGCTGATGCCAACGGCACACTGATTTGAGAGTTACTAGATCTTGTCGACGGGGAAGAGCTTGAACTTCATTCGCTATACTTGCCATGACAGTGATTGGGTCGCGACGCAAGAGAAGATCAGCAACACTGGTGGCAGTGAGTTAACTTATGCGGGTCAAGTCAGAATCTCTGAAGCTGGAGTTTTCCAGCCCTCCAGTATAGCGATATCGCCGGCCTCGAGCGTTCGATAGACGCCGCGTACCAGATTGCCAGCCAAAGATTGTTCGAAGTGTTCTTCGAAAGTACAATTGCTCGACCATCTACTAGCGTGAAGCATTATCTGCTGCTCGGTTATGGAGATTCATAGACCAGCTCATGGAGACATTGTCGTAAGTGTCTTCACAACATGTCTGTTGCCACTTAGCACGTGCCCCGTAGAGCGAGTCTGTCGCGACCTGCAACACCCTCTACCGTCATAATCTCACAGCCACCCTCGAGTCCGCCATCCGTCTTCGAACGCACAGAATGATCCTCCTGATGTCTTGCGCCGGCTGGATGCTCGCATGCTTGAATACTCTCATGGCGAGATCGGCTGGGATGTCTTCACTCTCGAATACAAGGTCGACGCGCCCATCGATACCGTCCTCGATCCAGACGCCATAGTGAAATACCTCAAGCTCTTCAACCATATTTGGAAAATCAAGCGGATCGAAAGCACGTTGACGAAGGGTTGGATGAGGATAGCAGGTGGTGCACGAACGTTCTTGCAGGTACCAGGTATGGCGCAGTCTATCATATCCTCTAGATACCGCTGAGCAGGTATGTGCAGAGCTCAACTTCGACTGGCATCAGATTCGCATTGTCATGGCGGAGATGATCCACTTCATCCGCCAGATGGAGTCATATTGCCAACTAGAGGTAGTCGAGTGTTCATGGAAGATCCTCCTGGAGTTCATCCAGAAAAGGGAGGGCGATCTCGATACACTCATTGAAGCCCACGGGGAATATCTGGACCGCATGGTGAAGAAGGTTCTGCTGCTCAACCCGAAAGCCGGGCGAGAAGAGAACTTGCTGAATCAAGTGCGGGACGTGTTCGCGATCATCCTACAGTTCCGGGAAGCTACAGTACGTTTCGCACATTGACGCATTTCATAGCATCTAACGAAATGACAGGACGACTTTTACAACTACGGTCTATCCGAAGCAGCTCGGCGAGATTCAGAACGAGACGCTGCGAGAGTGCGTCTTCACCTTATCTTATATCTTCAGCTGACGTTGACATTCTTCCTGCAGGGTGTCGTCACCACCATTCCATCTTCAACTAGCAAGCACCATGACCCTGAAGTGGTCCACGACATCTTGACCCGCGTCAAGGAGTACAGCACCGCATTCTCGGATCGGGTGCAAACCATCGTCCAAGCTCTATCCGTCCATGCTGATCTTGATTGTCGCTTTCTTGCTATTCGGCTGTCGTTCTCGGACTTCTACAAAGGCCGCAAAGAACCTCAGAAATCGTAGTGTTTGTATTCCATCCATGTCATTACCCGATCGTAAGGTATCAGTTACAATGTGTAAGTGGGGTATACCCGTAACATATCGTATCGTGGCGGTCATCCGGCATTATGACGTGCTGTGGTTGTCCTAATACAACATATAAGACATGTATGATACAGACGCGACTTCCGGGGACAGAACTGCGGTATCATTGTGCGAGTGCAGATGCAGGCGGCTTGTAAAGTTTCAGGGCAAGTGAACTGCAGACCACAGAGACAGAACTGCCAGGAGCGCTCAGTCAAGCCTTCACGTAGCGGGAAGATAAATATAGACTTACGATAGGGCCATAAGCAGCGACGCCCATGCCGGGGGTAGCCTGGCATTCCCAGCAGGGTAGATAACCCCGCAGCTATGGGGACAGCGATGCTGTTATAAAACAATGCCCAGAACTACATGCCATCGGGTGAGTGTTCGTCCAACTGGTACGATCGAGGCACTCACGAAGTTGAACTTCACCCGATTGAAGATCTTGCGCGACAAGTCCGTCAGGGTCAGCAGTGTGTATAGGTTTGCCGACACGAGGATAAAGGCCGCGCTGGAAATGGCCACGTCGCTGCCTGACCCAATGGCAATGCCGACGTCAGCAGCGGTGAGGGCCTGTGTGATACACGTTAGCGACTGGTTGCGGGTTGTCTACGTCTGTTCCACTTACAGGAGCATCATTGATGCCGTCGCCGACCATGGCTACAACGCATCGTTCGTTCAACTTCTGCTTGCCGAATAAACGCCTGATTGATGGTTGTACTCTCTTCATGCCGACCTGCTGCAACCACCGAATCCTGTCTGCCTGGATACTAGGGTCAGACTCTACTCGCGACCGTGCCAATAAGTATAACCCACTTTTTCATGCGGCAAGACACCAGCGATGACATTGGTTTCCGAGATACCCACCATCCGGGCAACCGCCTTCGCAGTGGTCTCATTATCTCCGGAGATCATCCATGTCCCAATGCCTTGACCATGTAGGTGCTCGATGACGCTCTTCGCCTCAGGCCTAAGCGGGTCCGCGATAGCGAACAGGCCGACCACAGAGAAAGCAGGCACTTCTGCCGACTCGTCGCATATGCCAAGCAGGACCACACTCTTGCCTTCCGACTTCCACGTATCGAGCTTGTTAGCCAACTTCCCATCGACGAAGCAGCCATGCTCCTTCATCCAGGCTTCGTTGCCAATGATAGCGGAGCAGTTGAGCGAGCCGAACGCGGCTTTCAAACCTCTTCCAGGCGTCTCGTCGAATGCGGAGCCGCTCTGCGACGACGCTGCATTGTCTAAACAGTATTGGCGAATGGCCGTTGCCAATGGATGTGAGCTCGCAGACTCGACTTCTGCAGCGATGCCGAGGATGACTTCGCGTGTCCACTTCGATCCCTCCGGTTGCCCCACAATCTCGACGTCGGTCACCTTCGGCTCGCCACCCTCGGTGAGTGTGCCAGTCTTGTCGAATACGACGATGTCGAGCTGGGCCGCCTCCTGGAATGCCTCTCCGCCTCCTCGCGCGAGGATGCCGTACTTCGCGGCAAGGCCCGAACCGACAAGTAACGCCGTGGGCGCTGCCAGCCCGATCCCGCATGGGCACGCAACGACGAAAACGGCAATAGCGAATTCCAGCGACCATACCACTGTGGAGTGTCAGGGTGTCGTACCGACGATGATCAGCACTCCCATTTCTAGTTAGCGCGAAAGGCTAAGAGACTCACCCCAACCACCGACGTCGATATCCAGATAGCTCGGAGGTAGTGCGCCGCCTAGTCCGAGTCCAAGCCAGGTAACCCAGGTGATGATGGCCAGGAGAGTTACGACAGGGACGAAGTAGCCCGTAATCATATCAGCGACGCGCTCGATGGGCGCGCGGCGGGTCTGTCCTTCGCGGACGACCTTGACGACGTGATCGAGCATCGTCTCGCCGCCGATCGCGTCCACTCTCACATCCACGACGCCTCCCTTGTTGATCGTCCCGAGGAAGACGTCGTCACCGACCTGCTTCTTGACCAGTCTCGACTCGCCAGTGAGCGAGCTCTCGTCGAAAGCACCGCTGTCTCCCGCAACAATGGTCCCGTCAGCAGGAGGGCTTCCTCCATGTTGTACCCGGACGATATCTCCGACCTCAAGAAGCTCGGCATCGATTCTCTCGATCTTCGTTCCGATGGCTGCGGTTAAGTCCGCCTCTTCTCGTATGGCATCGCCTTTTTCGAGGTCGACGTCTCCGAGCGTGGAACCGCTAGGTGATGGAGTATTGTCTTCTTTCGCTTCGGATGCAGGGACGACGATGAGAGCGGATGTAGGTCGCAGCTTTCCGAGCGCCGTTATGGCATCGGCTGTCCGACCCTTACTGTACGCCTCCAAGTATCGACCTGTCCGTTCGTTTCGGGTTACAGTCTGAGCAAGTATTCGTTGTGGAGAGTACTCACCGATGAGCAAAAACATGGTCAAAAACACTACGGAATCAAAGTAAGTCGTCGTGTCACCCTTCCCAGACGTCGATGCGGGCTGAGCCGCTCCCAGTGCCAACAATGCGATGGAGGCGAAATATGCAACGGAAACTCCGGAGGAAACCTGGAACCTCGATCAGTACACACCCTCGACGCTGCTGGAAACTCTGCACGTACCAAAAGGTTCATGCTGCCGAACCTTATAAACCTCTTCCACACAGGCATTCGGCTGCCGGGCCTCCAGAGTGCCCAAATCTCCTTCAGACTTCTGCGATGGAACATACCGGCACTGTAGAACATGACCGGCGTCGCACAGAAGAAGAGTGCCCATGACGCTCTCGAGGTGTTGCCTGTCCAGAAAGGCTCCATAAACCACATCCGTCCGGGCTGGTCGGATGGAAGGAGGTCCATACACACAATACCGATAATGAAGGTAGGTATGGCAGCGATGATGGCAAACAACAGGCGCTCCAGCAGGTGCCGCTGTTCGCGCTGTTGCATGCGCCTGGCACGGTCCTCGAGCGAAGGCGGGTGATGGACAGACGCGGTGAATGATGCTCCACTGGGTGAGGTCACGGATGAGATTCGGTCAATGATATGTCGCAGAGTGAAGGTAGGAGCGCATGGGGCGTAGGATATGCGGAGGATGTTGTCGGTGTGGTCCGTAATAGGTTTGAGGATAGTGACTTTATCGCCAAACGAAGAGAGAGCGTTCATAACTTTCTCTGGGCAGTGACTACGAGAACAGTGTCAACGTCCGCTACACGAATGTCAAATGCATCCACGCACCTGCAGAACATGCCGTCCACGCGGAGGGTAACGATACGCGGCCCTATCTCTGGTGACTTGTCCTTCTCGGACTTCACGGGCTCGACGCTCATGACCTCCGCCTCGTATCCGGCATCTTCTATGGCCTCGACGGCTTGTGGAACAACGTCTTTGTTCTCGACGACCAGCGTAGCAGACGCGCCCAACAGGTTAACGACGGGGTCGGACACGCCGGGTACGCCTTTGAGCACGTCCGTCACCGTATTGAAGCACGCGGCACAGTCATGCCGCCGACAGACAAAGTGACTCGCTGCGGCCCCTCCGCCTCTGCAATATTCGCTACCTTCGGAGCGGGAGGGACGTACAGCGGCTCGACGCTGATGACCTCCGCCTCATAGCCAACGTCCTCGACAGTCTCGGTGACAGTAGGGACGAGGCCAGCACTGTCCACGTTGAGCGTCGCAGAGTTACCCAGAAGGTTAACGACTACATCAGACACACCAGGCAACTCCGAGAGGGCATGGGTAAGCGCGTTCGAACAGGACGCGCACGTCATTCCGCCAATAGACAGCGTGACCCGTTGCCGACCGTCGTCGGCTACGGACGCCGGTGCAGGAGGAGTCCCTGCTGCCTTCTGCGGGGATGTAACGGTCTTCTCAGGGAAGTCATGGATCTCGCCTTCATCTACGAAGCTGCCTTTCTCGTGCTTCTCTTGCGCCATCGAAGAGGACTCCGCTTCGCGCTCGAGACTTCCCCTTTGCTCGGCCTGGCATGCTGCACAATGCTCGAAGTGTTTTTGCTTCTTGGGCGTGAACGAAGTGCCGAGCCGAGCGAGGTTGCTGGAGAGCGATAGAGACGCGAGAGGTGTGAGTGGCGTGTGCGGCGTTCGTGGTGGGCCGTCGTCATCCGGGTCGGAGACAATATCGAATCCGGCGTCGTCTATGGCTTCGTTAATCGCCGCTGAAGATAGCCCCTCGGGGTGTCTGATAGTGACCGTCTGCGTCACGATGGACACGTCCACGGACGTCGGAGCCGGCGAGAGCGACGCCAAAGCATTCTGTATGGAGAGCACACAACTACAAAAATAACATTTCGCGCGTTGGTGAGAGACCCGAAGGCGGAATGAGCGGGAAGTTCACGGCGCACCTGCTGCAATGGAGGTTGGAGAGGAAGACGGTAGTAACGACGTCGGATCCGTCTTGGTTTGGGTTCGTCATGGCGTCCATGTGTGTGCGTGGTCCGCGGCCGGTAGTGAGCCGGCGAGAGGACCGCAGAGCATATATAGACGGTCTCGCGGTCATGGCTGCGTGGGTGTACGTACGAAGGTCGTGAAGGAGGAAGCCGAAACGGGGAAATGACAGTGAGAAGGTTGAAGATATGTCGCCATAATATTCTATCCTTTACCCGAATCCACAAATTCGCTCACGAACGCACAATTGCCTCACCCAATGAGGCAGTCACGATCGCTCGCAATAATCTCTCATCGAGATCCCACACCTCGAGCGCCCGATCTGAGTAAGCCAGATCTCGTCCGGTAATACGACCCCGGTCACCGCGGCCATCGCCGGTTACGGTAAGTTGACGGCGATCTTTGGCCCGATCGCACCTCTCAGCCACCTTTCTGCAGCGAGCCGGACCTCGCTGCCGCTGCACGCGAGGCTCGAGCCTGTTCTCCGCATCCACGACGGTCCTACTTCCTCGACCAGCTGCGACTGTCCCGACACGTTTTATGGCAGATAGCCCACCGACTCACCGAGAGCGCAAGTCTCGCATGAACCTCTTCTATTCTCCGGAGCGCTCTTCGCCTCGTTCTCAGTCCATTCTCACCAGGTCTTCTACGCCTTCACCGAATGGCTCGCATTCCGACATTTCTGCTGTCACCGAACATGGAAAGCCTCCCATTATTCTTGGCATTTGCGCCATGGACATTAAGGCACGCTCGAAGGCAATGCGAGAGATCATCACTCGTCTAGTGGAGAGGGCAAGGGGTAACATAGAGGTCAAGGTCTTTGGTGACAAAGTCATTCTCGACGAAGGTATGTACGCGTGATCTACGTCTGTTTCTTTGAAATCCTCATGGGCTGTGGACTAAACCTATCTCCGCTGCGTCTTTACCCACCAGATGTCGAGAACTGGCCAGGTGCGATGTTCTCATATCCTTCTTTTCGACGGACTTCCCACTGGACAAGGCCATCCAATACGTGAAATTGCGAAAGCCCTTCTGTATCAACGACCTAGCGCCGCAAGCCCTGCTGTGGGATAGACGAATGGTCGGTGCTGTTCTCGATCATCTGAAGGTGCCAACACCTCGGCGCCTTGAAGTTTCTCGCGACGGTGGTCCAAAGGTCGACGATGAGCTCCGCGAGGCAATGAGGCAGAAGATCGGTATAGAGTTCAGTGGCTTCCAAGTCACACCGGAGGTCGGCATGAGTGAGGATGGCAATGCAATAGTCATCGACGGTCAGGTGATGGAGAAGCCCTTCGTCGAAAAGCCTGTCAGCGGTGAAGACCATAACGTGTACATCTACTTCAGGGTGGTGGGGGTCGCCGACTGTTTAGAAAGGCGAGCATCCCTTACCAATGAGGTCATGTGTTGGCTCTGAACGTTTGTCATATCCAGGTCGGCAACAAATCAAGTGAACTAGATCCCAATTTGAACTGTCCTCGGACCGACGGGTCGTACATCTATGAGAAGTTCGTGGACGTCGATAACTCGGAAGATATCAAGGTCTATACTGTCGGCAAGGACTATACGCATGCGGAAACCCGCAAGTCACCGGTGGTTGATGGTGTTGTACGACGGAACACAGACGGCAAAGAAATCAGGCGCGTCTCTAGCCATGCCCATGCAACGTTTTTCATCTTGATGACGACAGCTGACCGTCGTCCTCCCGTTCTCGCAGATTCATTACCCATCTAAGCGACGAGGAGAAGAAGTGGGCCGCGCGCATTAGCGAGGGTTTTGGGCAGACTGTATGCGGATTCGACATGCTCAGATGCGACAACGGCAAGACTAGTCAAGTCATTGACGTCAACGGCTGGAGTTTCGTTAAGGGCAACGAGTCCTACTATGGTACGTGCGCACCGATGCTTAGGAAACTGATAATTCAGGGACCGTTCTCACATACGTCTCGTTGGTAGACAAGGCCGCCGAAATGCTCGCTATGATTTGTGTCCAGGCTAGCGCTTCCGTCGAGCGTCCGCTGTCTGCTACCGAGGGTCCGGTGGAGGAGTCTCCGACGTGGCTCCTCAAGGCCAACGTGACAGTGTTCCGACATGCCGACCGAACGCCCAAACAGAAACTGAAGTTCAGCTTCCCGATTGACGAGCCGTGGACGCAGCCGTTCGTCCGCTTGCTTAACGGCGAGAAAGAGGAGATCATCCTCCGCGAGCGTTCGCAACTAAGCCATATCCAGACGGCAGTCGAGGAGGCGAAAGGTCTAGGAGCCGATGGAGAGGATTTAGCGAAGCTAACGCAATTGAGCAATGCATTGATCAGCAAAATCGAGTTGCCTGGGACGAAAGCCCAGCTGAAGCCCGTTTATTCGAAGAAGCAGGCTGGGCATTCGAGGAAGCTGACAAAGTTGACCTTGGTCTTCAAATGGGGTGGCGAGGTACGTGCTCACGCAGCGATCTTGCCACATATTACTCAATATCATTCTAAACAGTTCACGCACTCCGCAAGATACCAATCTCGCGATTTGGGTGAGAACATGAAGAAGGACATCTCCATTATGAGTGTGTTTTCGATGGTTACAAACATCTGCTATCCCATTCGCTGACAATACTCTGTGTGCTTTCCCCAGACAAGGACGTTCTCAAGAACGTGAAGGTGTGTACCTTATGTCGTCATGTTCACTCCGCTCGATCGGACTGAGACCACTCAATCTTTAGATCTATACTTCTTCAGAGCGTCGCGTTGTCGCCTCCGCCGAGATATTCGCCACATCGCTTTTCGATACCAATAAGGACCCCTACAATGCACAGGCCAGCGGCAGCTCTCGCACGTCGCAAGACGGGAGGGGGAGGGATGGCGGCGGCGGCGGTGCCGCGCTCAGTCCCTCTTCTGGGAGCGGTTTCCGCCCAAGCACGCCACGGCGCGAAGGCTCACAGTCGAATGCACCGAAGGCGCCGAACTTATCGTGCGCAAGGACCTGCTGGACGATTCAAACGCGGCAAAGGACCTCATGGACGATGTCAAGAAGCGTCTAAAGATTCTGTTGCGCCCAGGCGAGCCAGAGAAGCGGCCGGAGTTGACATGGCCGAAGAGTCTGAAGAAGGAGCCGGTCGAGGTCGTCAAGGTAAGTCCGGCGACTTCTAGTGCGGGACGCTTATTGACGTGTTCCTGCAGGAGGTCATTGACCTTCTGAGGCATTTTCGCGAAACCATGCGTCGGAATTGGGAGACGCTGGATGTCGACAAGATACAGGAGCGATGGTGCGTGATTGACGCGGTTGGCAGGAGGGTGACGACATTGACGCGGGTTGTTGTTGCGTTGATGCAGGTGCTGTGGGGACGAGCCCTGGCTTTTCCGCGAGCGGTGGGAAAAGCTGTTTGAAGACTTCTGCGACGTTAAGCAGGAGAAATTCGACCCGTCGCGCGTGTCGGAGCTCTATGACACGATTAAGTATTGTGCTCTGCACCACCGGACGTTCCTCTTCTCCATATTCAGCGAGAACGGACAACCAAGCTCGCAGCCTCATGACCGACAATTACACGAGCTGTACGGACGCGCCAAGGCCCTGTTCGACCTCGTGGCGCCACAAGAGTATGGCATTGAGCCGGAAGAAAAGTGAGCACTTGGCGCCTCACACACGGAGCCCAACATTGACTGTGACTGATACGATTCCTCGCAGGGAGGAGATTGGTGTGCTCACGTCACTCCCGCTGCTACGCAACGTCGTCGACGACCTCGAGAATGCGCGCAACAACGAAGAGTGCACTCTCACGCTGTACTTCACAAAGGAGAGCCACATTCACACCCTCGTGAACCTCGTCCTCCTCTCGGGGGTGCCCATCGCGAACCGGCGGATCCCCGAGCTCGACTACTGCGTGCGCCGTCTTGTTTTTTTCTCCTCGGCGCGCCCACTGCTGACTGTTGACATCACGACTTACCTCACACACTATCAACGCACAGTCACACATAACGTACGTGCCGTGGTCCTGTCGCTCCACGGGGAGCAGGACCCCATCGCGCATCTGACAAATCTGACACGCCGATCTGCAGGTTTGAGCTGTACGAGCGCAACCACGGGCGCGGCAAGTCAGACAAGGAGTACTCTATCCGGCTCTCGCTAAGCGAGGGCGCGCACTCGTCGAACGTCCTCGACTCCGCGCTGGACGCGCGCCACTCGCTCAACGTACAACCGCGCAGGTGAGTCACCCCGGATGGGATGGGACGGGATGGGTGCACCTGCGCCCTCCCTTCTCCCGTGCCCGCGTATCGCAAGCGACGTCCGTGCTGACGGACGCACCCCCTCCCGCAGGAAGCTGACGCAGCACCTGCCCTACAGTCTCGTCATCGAGAAGCTGTCCAAGCACTTCCACAGGCACATCGGCGTAAGTCCTTACGTCCCCGTCCCTCCCTGCATGCGACCAACTTAATTGAATCGCGCACGCGGATCAGGACGACGACACAGGGCCGGACGAGCCGTTCGAGACGATCGATGCGCTGAGCGCGCCGGTGGCGAACCAGAGCCCCGCGGACGACCCCTAGCAATCACAGTTGTGGCCGCATCTCATCCCGCTCCCGCCTTCGCCACCCTCGACTGCGACCTCATGGCCGACGGCGCCGTCCCGGTCTATGTCGGCGGCCGTATCGGTGGCGGCGTGCGAGGGGCGGGTCCCGCTGTGCATGCCTGGCGAGTGCTTCTCCAGGCTGTTGTGCACGAACACGGGGGTTTAGTGCAGTAGACTTTCTGCCTTTCTGTGTTGGTTCCTGACGACTTTACATGATTATGGACGTTCATGGCAACTTTGCAAGCGCTGCGGTGTCGCCATCGATGTGTATCTTCCTAGACGCATGTCTCGGGTATCATACAAGTAGGATATATAAGTACTGTACATCTGCTACTGCACTAGTTACGCATGACGTATTCTACGGTGTTCTGGCGTCGGACTCCCTACACCGGGTAGCCGCACGAGGCATCTGCGGGCTGGGGCTCGAGGAATCGAGGGTGGTTGTCAACACGTAAGTGTGAGTTACGTGTTACGGGACCTCGCTTTCGGTCCAATCGTGCAGGCCGAGCTTGGCGCGGAGGGTGTCTAGGTGCTCTGACTTGAGCTCGCGGAACTGCATCGCGTGCGAGCCCTTGCCTGCCATGGACGGGTGGTCGCGGTCAAACAACGCTGATGCGGATTGTGACAGCATTGACGACTGCGTAGCGAGAGCGGCAAAGGACGAGGTAGTGTCATGATATCTGCGAATTCGGTGAGTATCAGTGCCTGCGCGCGCGCGCGCTGTATGCAACTTACAATCTGCAGGCGTATCAGGGAGAACGTTCATATATTCAGTAGGCTGCACGTCAGGCTCACCTGTACGCTTCCTTATTCAGACTTTCCGCCTCCTTAATCTCGTCGAGGGCGTGTTTCTTGAACGCAGCTTTAATGAAGTGCAGCACGTCGAAGACATGGTGGTCCTTTGGTCTGTATAGCGATTGGCACCTGTCGCACACCCATTTAGGGTCAAGCACTCACCTCCACGGCCTGAAACGCGGTGCAAGGTTGAAGGTGCCATCCTGCTGTGAGATGAGCGGATGGAACACGTCGGTGACGAACTGGACGGTAGGCGGGCGCTCCGGGTAATTCGGAGGGAACACGAGACGGAATTTGAGAATCGAGTCGGCGTAGTATCCTGGCGACGCGTCGCAGTCGTAGTCAGCAACCGCAGCAGCCGCAGCTGAACGTGAAGGGGGCGCAAGTGCCGACGGGTACAGACCTTGGTGGACGAAGAAGACGGCGTCCCAGACGAGGAGGTCTGCGGGGGACGCGATGACATACATGCCCAGGGGACAGTGGCCGGTGTGGCGGAGGGAGGCATACTCGAGCGAGACGGTCGTGCGGGTGAGGGCGGGGCTGGCTGTGTCGGGCTTGGTGGCAGCGGCGGCAGAGGACGGGGCGCGTGAGGGCAGCCTGGATCTGGTCGCGGCGGAGAGGTCGATGGTGGGGGAGGCCACGAGGCCGCCGATTCCGAGCATGGCTGTGTGAACGCGCGCAGGCTAGGAGGAGAGCGGGCAGCAGACGAGACGAGCAGGATCACCACCGGGACACGGCGCGGCGTCCCTCGGCCACGGTGCGCTCGTTCTCGCGCAGCCAATCAGGAGCGTCAGCATCACGTGGAGAGCCCGGGGAGACGAGGGAGAGCTGCTGAGACGCCCAGAGGGCTGCCCGATGCCCCCCGCTCCGTCCGATATGGAAAGTCTAGGTCGGTGCGCTCCTCCGTGGCTCTACGATACAGCGCTTCAACACATATATACCCGCACCCGCCGCACATCTCCTCATCACACCGTCTCATCCACCTACTTGCCACCCTACCTTCCTCCTCCACTACTTTCGGGAAGTAAACCCTCTTGAGCACTCCTTGTAAAGATGAAGGTTGGTACCGACTAAACATCGTAACCAATCATGGTCTGACTTCAGTTGTCTTTCAGTTCGCTACTGAAGAAGAGCTCGCTGCCCACAACCGCGCTACCATCCGCGGCGCCCTTGAGGGCACAGCCGCAGGCCTCGCCCTCTCCGTACCCGGGTCCATATTCCTCCACCGCCGCTGGCCTGCCTACCGCGCCCTCCCCATCCAACTCAAAGCCATGTTCTGCATCTTCGTTACCGCGCCCCTCTACGCCATCCAGGCCGAGCGCCGCGGCGTCAGTACGACGAGTCGACATGGACGGGGCGGGCAAGCGCGAACTCGAGCGGATAGAGGCCCAGGAGGAGAGCCGGTGGAAGCGCCTCGGTACTGAGGAGAAGCTCAAGGACTGGGCCGTCCGCAACCATACAAGATCATCCTGGGATCTTGGGCAGCGGTATGGCGCTTGCTGGTGGTATTGTCTGGCGGACAGGTATGCATCTTCACTCCGTCCCGGACGCAATGTCGGAAACTGACAATCTACTTGCAGGCACCAGTCAGCCACCCAAAAGATTGTCCAAGTCCGTATGTGGGCCAGGGATTGACCATGGCGTGCTCATCGCCGCTGGGTCATGACCCATGCAAGTAGACAGGCCGCCGCCGAACACGTACGTCTTTTTCTGGACAAGCTGTGGACGCGGTGTCTGACATGCCATCTGTTATAGCGGCCGGTCGACCACACATGGAAGGGCATGGTGCAAGAGTTCGAGGACGAAGAACGTGCTCGCGAGCAGTACCAGCTCATGCACGCACCCGCACCCGCCCCTTCATCGTCGTCCTCATAAGCCACTATCCATCTCTCGGACCGTTCACGACCGTCATGCCACTATCCCCTAATCGCATCCTAATTTGTTAGAGTCGGTCTTGGTAGACATCACTCTAGACATACCATCTACGCTGCACGAGATTGGGATAAATTATATACACCCTGTATCTTTGACATCTAACTGTACACTGCCGATTCACGCGATCAACGTTCAACGCCTTGTATGCGACCTGAAAATAGCATCACGGTTGGCGTTCCGGTGTAGGCGCCTGCTCGATCGCGTGAGATCCTATCGGGCGACCAACAACTTTGCCTGCGAAGTGGAGTGCAGTCAGGGCTTTGTGCGTACCATATCGGTCTATCCTCAACAATGTCTTCTGCGTCCAGCAGTTCTTCTAGTGCATCATCATCTGATTCCGAGGATGTCGTCCCACGCAAGAACCACCACATAACCGACGAAGTCCCAAGGACGAGTCCAGCGACAGTGAAAACGACGACAGCAGCGATGAGGACTCCAAACCCGCTTCCGGCGCAGAAGAGGAGGATGAAGACGCCCCCGTGCTCTCCCACAAGGAGCAGCGCAGACAGAAAAAGAAAGAGCTCAAGGCTCTCCAGGCCGCCTCCGCCGCCACCCTCTCCGCGAAACAGAAGGGCAAGCAGCCCGTGAAGAACTCCGCGGAGCTCGCGCCGTCGAAGGTGCCCAAGCGGCAGAACTCCATCTGGGTCGGCAACCTCGCGTTCAAGACGACGGCGGACGCGCTCAGGCGGTTCTTGAGGCGTCGGCGAGATCACGAGGGTGCACATGCCGATGAAGATGGCGAGCGGGGGCCGGCGGGGGGTGGGGCGAGGAAGGAGAATCGGGGGTGAGTGGTTCGTTGTTTGGGTCTGGGGACTGGTGCGTGCGGTGCGGTGTTGACGGGGGGGTGCGTGGGCAGGTTTGCGTACGTCGATTTCGCGACCCGGACGCGAAGACCATCGCTATCACGCTCTCGGAGAACCCGCTAGACGGGCGACGGTTGTTAATCAAGGATGGTGAGTCTCGCACTACTCACCCACCGGTATCGCGACTCAATACCTATACTTCCATCAGGCGACGACTTCAACGGCAGACCAGCCGCCACCACAGACTCCGGCGACGCAAGCACTGCGCCCACAAACCACAGCAACCTCTCCGGACACACCAAAACCGCACAAAGATCCTGCGCGCCCAGAAGCAGCCCGCAGGGCCCACGCTATTCCTGGGCAACCTGGCTTCGAGACGACGGGCAGTCCATCCGCCGCTCTTCGACTCGCATCGGCCGAAGCCCCTCCGCCACCACCACAAATGCGGCGACGCGGATGCAGAAGTAAACGCGACGTGGACACGGGCGAGAAGCCGTGGATCCGCAAGGTCCGCCTGGGCACGTTCGAGGACAGCGGGAAGTGCAAGGGTGCGTACGTCCGTCTGCGTCCTCGTGTGACCCCCCGTCGAGACCGCGCTGGACGCTGCTCTCGCCCGGCGAGCAGCTCCAGCCGCGGTGGACCAGACAGGGTCCGCGAACCGCCTCCCGCGAACCGCTTACTGACTCCGCCCTTCGCACGGTAGGTGGGCGTTCGTCGACTTCACGAGCACGGAGCACGCGACGAGTGGGCTGGTCAACCAGAAGAACCACTTCCTGGACGGCCGGACGCTCGTCGTCGAGTACGCGTCGCCGGACGCCGTCCGGCGCGGCGGGAACATCCCGCGCTCCAAGGATCCCAACGACAAAAATGGTTATGCGAAAGCGAGGGAGCGCCAGGGAAAGATGGGCCGCACACATCAGAGAGACGACGCCTCGAGTCCGCAGCGGAAACGCAAAACCGGGGGAGAAGAAGACGCAGGCGCGGACGCCGATGCCGAGCCAGATGCTGACGGAGAAAATGCATCGCCTAAGCGGCGGCGGGTGGAAGATGGGACACGGACGTCGGAGAGAGGCACCGCAGGGAAGGGCGGGAAGCCTCCTCGGGCGAGGCCAAAGCCTGGGGCGGCCCTCGCCCTGGCGAAACGAGAGACGGCGGCGATCGTACCTGCCCAAGGTCGGAAGATCGTTTTCTGACCTCATGGAGTAGCCGCATGCATTCATGCAACACACGGCTGCTGGGGTGTACTGGCAGTTATACAACAGAGATAGCATTGCTCGCATATGCACGACAATATTACTGACATATATACTGGTAATAGGAGTACATGCATGGGGCGGCCTCCGCATTATTTTGCTGGTGCCGTGGCGAGCAGGCAGGCTGTAATAAGTAATAGCGTATGCACACGTCGTCAGTGTATGAGTGGAGTGCGCGGGCAGGCCGACGGGCCAGGTATCATTCAGTCCTCTTCCTCCTGGACCATCCCGATCTCGAACTCCCGCAGATGTCCCACCGAGAACCCTGCGCCGCGGCGGAGACGTACTTGACAAGCGCATGACGCCTCGTCGCGGAGGACGAGCAGGAGCCGGTTGAACCCAGGCTGGACGTCAGGAGCGTGCCCGAATCGTCCTCGTCGTCATCGGAGTCCTCGTTCATCGCTTCGGGGTCAGTATGGCCAGTGCCATTGCCATTACCGTGGACATTCGAGGCTCCGTGGCCATTGCTCTCGCCATTGGCAGTGCCGTTCGTCTTTTTTGTCTTTGAGCCAGACCGGTAGACGGCCGGATCATCCTCCTCGTCATGAGGAGCCATATAACACTGTGAGATGATACCAGTGAGACACCCATACATCGAACATATTGGGCACCGAACTTACCTCCCAACCACCCCACTCACCGCTCTGCCACCCGCTCAGCGTCTCCTCCTCGTTCTCCTCCGCATCCCGTTCAAGTCTGCTGCGTTAAACTGCGGCGTCAGACCGAGCACGACGTCGAGCCTCGTCTCCTTCGTCTCCCCGTCGCGAGCGTGTAGTCCAAGCCCGGCCGGAACCGCCGCGCCATGACCGAGTACCGCAGGGGAAGCAAGCTCGAGACGATCGCGAGCCACGCGCGGAAGGACGCGCTCGGGAAGAGCTCGTCTGCAGTGCGCGCACGATCTCGTCCGGCTCGCTGTGCGCCCACCGCGGGTCCGCCTTGCTGCTCGTCCCGCTCGCGGCCTCGCGCAGCGTGCTGTACCGCCATTTGTGCGGGGGCCCTTTGAGGGTCCACGCGCCCTGTGCGCCGGCTGTGTGCGGCGGGAGGAGTGTCGGGCGGGAGGGACCGAGCCCGTCGGCTGCGTCTTCGGCGCGGAGCCCGGAATCGAGCCTGGCGGCGAGCGGTGCGCAGAGGAGCTCGTGCAGCTCGAGCGAGGACTCATCGAGGAAGCGCTGCGAGAGGGCCTTCATTGTCCGCGGCTGGAGGTAGACGGGGTTGAGGAACTCGGAGAGGAAGGAGATGTCGGATTCCGAGAGGGGCTCGGAGGGAAGAGGAGGATCGACGCTGTCGGGGTACGACTTGAAGTCAGTCGATGTCGACGTCTACAAACGCGAAATCAGAATACCCCATAGTGGACAGGCGCGGGCGCACTTACGAGCTGCTCTCGTGAGCTCTTGAGCTCGGGCGGGTTGCTCTCCGGTATGTAGCCTTCCTCGCCTGGTTGTGCAGCATGGAACCACCCACTGATGCTTAGCCTCTCCCGGCCATCCTCCCCCTCGCCGACGACTACTTCCTCCACCGAATGGAAACTCCGGCCAGGCTGCACCTCGAAGAAGATGAACTGATTCCAGCTCGGAGGGATGCTCTTGCTCGGTGCAGGCTCAGGCTCGAGTGTGCCGTCCGGACCGGGCTTCGTCGGGTAGAGCTCGAGGGCACCACCCCACTCCTTCTGCCAGCCCATGTAGTGCGGCAGCGGCATGTAGAGGATGTACGACACCCGCCGTGTGCCGATGACATCGTCGTGGTTCAGGAGATGGCAGGACTTCGAGTAGGACACGATCGACATGTCCTGCTTCGTGCCGGAGAGGGGCCCACAGCCGGTGACCGCGCGGAGGAACGAGCGGAATTTTGCAGAGTAGAGGGCATCGCGGAGGGTGAGGAGGCTCGGGAGGAGGGCGCGCTGCTCGTCGGTGAGAAAGGAGAGCGAGGCGAGGTCGCCGGTCTGCTTGACCTGCACGCGATATACATTTCAACGATCCTATCTGGCAGGCCAGGAAGTTTCTGGGCACACAAACCTTGTAGATGTCCGTCTCCTTTTCCGCGAAGCTCAGCTCGGACAGCGCCTCGTCCTTCACATTCTGGAGGAGCTCGTCCTGGAAGAGCTTGTCGACGACGACATGTCTGTATGGCTGGCTGGTCTCGTACTCGGTATGGAGGCGGTGGATGTTGGTAGGGGTGAAGAGATCGTTCGCAAAGCGCTCCGCCACGGCGTCGGGGTTGGAGATATGGCTCAACTTCAACCTCTTCAGCAGGGCGGGCTCGGCATCCTTCTCCGCGGTGGGCGCGGGACTCTCAGAGCGGGCATGGGTGCGGACCATGGCGGGGGCGATTCGACTCGGGATATGGAATAGAGCGACCGGCTCGTGTCTTATTTTGGGCCCGGGGCCAGTCAGGTGCCAGAGGAGCTGCTGTGTGCGACGAAGGTATCGGCCGGTTTATGCGCGAATATGGGGCTTGGAACACGAAGCAGATGCCTCGAGAGAAGAGCTGGGAGGCGGTGAGTATATGTCGGTGCGGCTGGAAGTCTCGGCCAGACCAGACTGGGGCTGCTAGGCTCAGCATGCTCCTGCGTAACTGAATGGTTTGCGAGGCCAAGCGCCCCGGTTTTCTCACTCTGTGATCCAGTCCACCCCTGTGCGAATAGCCAACTTTGTAAAATCGTCGTTCGGTCGTGTGCAGTCACCGCGGCTTAGAGATTGTGAAATATTAAGGAGACACTCAAAGACATCTTCTAGGCTCTTTCCTGTTTCAGCTGCGGAACGCGCGGATGTGGCAACGCGGACGGCCAAGGGCCTGGAACTTACACAATTGACAACATCCAGACTGCCACCATTTTGTTGCTATGCTGTGCCATTCATCCACCTTAGCAACGCTAGTCACCACCCAGTCGACAGCAGTCGTTCATGTCCAGGCCTTAGTATGAGTTCATACAAAGTACATATAGCAAAGGACCTACAAGGCTACACACAATCAATATGCTCCCCTCCAAATACTGCCAACGTGCGCGACCGACATTGGGCTCAACGTCGTATCAAAATGGGACATCTTTGGTAGTGCGAAGCCTTGGCCTGTTGAATGACATCTGGCCGTACATCCTGAGTTGTTATCTCGCCGCAGCGGTAGCAAAAATGTCTGTGGTGTGTCAATCCGGCTTCGTTAGATCACTGTTCACTTCAGAGTGAAATATACGTATACGTACGTGTTGCATCCCGGGGACGGACACTAAGGTTAGCAATAGCATCATGTCAGCGTATTGACACTCCCAAACCTAGACGTTCCCTGAGTTGTGCTCACCGTCATGTGGTTGCAGCCAGCGATCTTCTCGGCCGGTGTCTGGCATCCTGCGTAGAACAGTGTTATTTCAAAGCGTTGCAAGTGACCGTATGGGTTTCTGAGCTTGGAACTTGCCTGGACAGTATCTCCATCCTTGTTCTTGCATGAGATGTTGCAATTCGGATGTGCCGTCACACGAGTGCTTCGGCCCACCGTCAACGACTTCCTGGGAGCATTGCTTGCACCATTGATAGCGACAGCCCGGCAAAGGACATATCAGAATATCAGTAGTCGCGAACTCCGCCTTGTCGACGAACATAGCGTTCTGCACCTACAGTAGATCGTACATCAAGTATGTCATAGGTACAAGTAGGAAGAGCATACTTACTTGCGACAATGTAACTCAACCGAGAACGCGGCCATTTGCATCTCGTTGAACGTCTTGTATTGCTCCTCTGTCAGACCGAGCTGCTGCACAAGCAATCGTCTACCACTGAGACGCGAGTCAGTGAGGCGATCATCCTCAAGCTCGAAATAAACGCACCTCCAAACTCCCCTTTCTCTGTGCCTGCAACGCACGACGGACAGAAGATGGGTACTGGTGTTCCTCGATCTTTGCCGCAATGCAGCCGCTGATGCAGTCTCTGCAGAATTGATGTCCGCATGGTTCAACCTTTGCAACGTCATCGATAGAGCATGTCTCAAAACAGATGGCGCAGTGAAATGGGCTCATATGTGCCGATTTCAAGGCTTCCCTTTCGCGAGCTAGATGCGAATGCTCGCTGTCGAATTCTCGTTGCAACGCTGCAGCGAAGCTCGCATCATGGTCACCATGTCAGACTGACATCCCGGTGGACCGGACTGGGTCTAGAAAGACCGGACCTCTGACCAGAGTAGCGGCAGGAGCGATCCTCGGCTTAGAGCCGGACGCACTGGCGATTGCTCCTTGTCAGATCAACCCAGATCCTTGACAAGTAAACGTGTTACGCACTACGAAGAATCATTCCGGCCCACCGCGTTGAAGTACCCGCGCCCCCACTGTAGCCAGCCGGGGTCATTTCTCGTAGGAATGTTCTTGGTTCGAGCTTCGTTGATTCTGTCATCCGCAAAGTACCCTTGTGGACGCTTGTCATCTCTACGCGATCGTTGTTGAATCTGCGCGTGGAGCCCTACGACTTGGTTCTCCAGTGAGGTGACCCTACTTGTAAGCGCGTCTTCTCCATCGACAGGTCTTGGTTCTGGCCCTCCAGCTCCGACACTTTGCCTTCAGCGAGAGGATATCGACGCTAGCCTCCAGGGTCGCATCTTCCAGGTCCTTCGACGTGAATGGCATCTCGCGAGCTGCGAAGATGTGTGCGGAGAACTGCGCCAGATACTGGACCTGCCACTGAGCTTCGTCGTCAGCCAGTAGGCTCTCGTCGAAGCTCATAAGCTGCGCGAGGTACGATGCTGCATCGTCGAGCGATTTGAAGATGATGAAGGCAGCACCGTCGGGGTGATCCGGGCGCGGATGTGAGTCGTAAACCACGAAGGTGTCCTTACCCGCCCTCGTTGTGACGAGCTTCAAGCAGGAAATAATCTCTGGGGGCCGAGTGATCACAACACTGGCCGAAGCCCCGATTGTCTGCGTCGTCTGCGAGAGGCGCCTGTGATAGAGTGTAACGAATTCAGGTTCAAATGGTGTTGACGCAATGTAATACATACGACAGGACTTGTTTGAATTCTTGGAGTCTAGACCGACCGTAGGAAGAATGCAGCAGCTTGAGCGACTTGTGGAATATTGGCGTCTTATATATGTCACTGACACTCAGATGCGCTGTTTGAGACCACCGTGAGCATGGCCGCAGGATTTCCTGTGGGATCAGCTTAGTTAATGCGCGTACGAAGGCCCGAGCATTGAATTACTTCTGTAATGTCATCTTGGATCATCTTGTCCAGGATGTCGTCGTCCCGACTCGGAGACTCCTCATCCAGCGATCCCCCTTGTTCCAGACCCAAAACTACTCGGGCGCAGTTGAGCGCGGCAAGTCCACATGAGGACCCACCACCACCGTTCTCACTATACTGCCCCCTCCCGGCATAACAGACAAGGTGATCATGGACATGCGCGTAAGTGGTGGGTTTAGCGACCTCGGGTGCCATGGTGCAGTAGAGAAGTAACGAGGAGCGACAGGCGAGCTGAAGAAGGGAGGGCGGCAGCTGACGAATTATAGGCTGGCTCGACCGCAGATCATTCATTCCCGCTAACGGTTCGAGACGGCCCGCATAAGGTTCTGTCATGCGCCCACAGATGCAGCGCTGCATGTTTCTCCTGCATGAGCCTTCCATCCTGAGGCCTGACGGATCTAGAGTGCATTAAACCTATTCACAATGCGACATTGGCATGCCACGTCCACGACGTCTTGGACCACATGGATCAAAAGACCCGGGAGCAGCACATACACGAGTTGTTGGCAATGCACCCCGTCTGGGAATTGGACTGAAGCCACTGTAGCCTTACATTCCTGTTTGCGATGCTATTTAGGCTTTCGAGAGCACGACAATGATGCCATCACTTACCTAACCGACCAACCGTGCGGATCGTTAAGTAGCATCAACGAAAGTACCTTGGGAAGCTAGACTATGGCTGAGAGGGTTTGCGGTACGTAGTCATGGTTCGGAAAATAGGGGATTCAAGTTCAGCATCTTCACGTTGCCCTGTACTGCAGTTTCGTATCCATGTTCGGGCACAGCTTAGGGCGATCACTTGAGCTCCGTCCAGGTATTTGCATCCTGGCTTCTGACTGCGCGCAGAAGCGCACAATTCGTCAGAAATTGAGAAAGTTTGACGCACCACCACGTGTGTCAGACGGCCAATCTGTACCTACCTGACAACAGTGACCCAGAGCGTGTTGGAGTAGATTTCACTACCGCAGACAGTCACCGAAGCCCAAATGAGGAGGCAGTGATGAGATGGCAATACACACTTTCCATGTCAAGTTTTGGTCCGATCAGTCGATTGTTTGGTGTGCCTTGCAGAGCGTGTACAGACATGCCAATGTGTGCGGGTGTGCTTCGGTTGAACACCAGGACAGGCGTGCTACAGACTTGATCCGTGTGGTCATGCTAGATACGGCGAGTACTCGCCATGGAAAGGCGACGGAGGGTTCGCTCACATTAGCTTTCATGGGCCATTTGAATAGCTGTGATAGCTATGAGTGAGTAGCATCTAGTCGAATCACAGACCCTCAAACCGCATACCTCCCAGGCAATTTCCACACATTACCGAAGTAGCACAACCTTGAATGGGTGTGACAAGAGTAGGTCTACGTGATGACTCTTTGAATGATCGGGTGGCCCAGATACTGATCCAGCGCATACAGCACAGGCTGACACTCCAGCAGACATTAATCGTACCCGAGTGCTTTGGGTGAGCTACTGAGGTCAAGCTGCGTAGAGTTCGCGATCGCTGCCGCAGTTCGTGGCTGGTCCAGCTTGGGTCCAGCGACGAACGAGCGCCCAGTGGCGGCGACCCATGCACGTGATTTCTCGCTGGTCGATCCTTCGCCCGATCACATCTTTCAGTGACGGACTGGGACTCGGAGACTCTGAGACTCACTTGCGCTCGTGCACTCTTCTGCATATTCTGCCATACTGGCATCCATTGAACATGGAACGCTTTGGAACCCATGATTTGCTTCGTGCAGGAGGAACTTTGCTAGGCTCCTTGCCGTCGGAAGCTCCGTCGAATGTCGCGGATGTCCTCAAGCAGAGGTTGACGCAATACTACGCGACCGTAGGAAGAGAGTTTCCAACGATGGACGAGACGCTTGAGGTCCTGCAGCTTCAGACTGCATTGGAAGCCCTGTACGTCTTGGAGTGCTTACAACGCGAGTGGAGTCGAGACGATGCTGCCTCTTCTCCGCAGGATGGCCCTTCGAACGCGAGCATAGGTTCGCGGGACCTGATACAGATTCGTACCCTCGTCTCGATTGTCTTCAGGTGGGGAGTCGAGCCACAGTTGGGCCGCGTCGCCAACGCCATTCCCGTGAAGAACGTGCCCAAGTCTCAGGTCCATGCAGGAGCAAAGATTATCGACCTCACGGATGTCCCGGACGACTATGAGAGGCTGTCTGAAACTGTCTCTCGGCTGTTGCGTTTGTCATTCTCGAAGGATGCACAGAGTTCCTTGCTGCAGACGGCGGTTACTTCTGCGCTGCTGAACAAGCACCTCGCAGACCTGCTCAAGCCATCTATCGTCCTAGGATGGTTGCCAAAGAATCTGGCCACGGACACCGTGAAACCTATCGACTCCGTCAGGCCGGCCGTGATGCAGCTTCTAGCTATGTGAGTCGCCGCGAAACGATCATGTCAGTCAGCGGTCGATGTTGACCTAGAAATGTTAGCTTGCCAGCTGCGCAGACCATAGCTGCCTTTGGCAGCATACTGTCAGACAACTCGATTACCCTTCCTATGTGCGAAAGTCTTGCGGATTTCTTCTGAGTCGTCAGCTGCTCCGGCCTGAAGGTGTAGCCGGTCTACTCACCGCAATGTTTGGCGAAGAAGACGTATCGGGCGAGGATGCGCCCCTCGAGAAACTGGAGCACGTCGCGCGCCTCCTGGATACTGTACCCGCAAGCATGAAACCAGAGGTCTGTAGTCTATGTTCAGACGTATTGACTCTCCTAATACCGATACTTTGCCATAGGACTACTACACATCGTCGTCCCCCGGCTCCTTGCCATACTCTCCGCAGACCCGAATAGAGTCCCGCCAACATACAGACGTGCCATCGCGTTCGCCCTCTCTCGCATGCTCGCGTCAGAAGAGATCAAAAAGACGACCACCGTTTCAAGCATTCTGCTGGCTCGCCTGCACCGCCCTTCCTAAGTACCTCTCCAGATGTCCCCGCCGACGTCCATATTGAAAGTCACCCCAAGCTCCCGGCGCGGCGCCCGAGCCTACGCCGTCCGAGGCACTCGACATCCTCCAGACACTACTTACCAACGCCGACCCGTCGCCAACCTTCATTTCCAGCTTGTTGACGCCAATCGTACCTGCGCTATATGCCATTCTATCGCATTGGAGGCGACCAAGGTGTCAGATCCCGCGCTGAAAGAGTCTGTTCGGGGATTCCTAGTAACCTGGGGCCGGGTCGTAAGCGCGAGCGAGGGAATCGACGCGCTGTGGGAGGTGGTGCTAGGTGAAGGAGGCGAGTGGAAGGCCGACGTAGCAGGAAACCTAGCCAGGTCAGAAATGTACGTGCCCATCCTGCAGTTCGTACAGACGCGTGCTGATCGATCCTGTCAATAGCACCGAGCGCAGGCCGGCACTCTCGCTGTTCACCCCAGAAGACCTCAAGCGTGCGAGGAGTCTGGGGAGCTTGACACGGACGCGAACCTGTTCGACCTGCGTCCTGACCCCGCTCAGTTCGTTCGGTACTTGAAGTCGATCGAGCGGTCGGACGTCTCGTCGGAACTGTTTGTCAGGCTCCTCGAAGCGTATCGGGAGATGAAAGCCCAGTCTGCGAGCGACCCGCTGCAGTACGTGGCATTGTGTTTTGAGTCACTAACCGAGAGGATTTACGTGCCTTGAACAGGACATTGCTGTATCTTCAGCTCATCTTACAGATGCAAACGCAGCTGGCGACAGACGACTCGGCCTCGAGTATTCTTAATAAGCCTGACCACATCCTCTCGTTCATCAAGCACGCCCTCGAGTCAGCGGTGTCTCCTGCGGCACCACCGGCGAAGACGAAAGCCGCGCGAATGGCAAGGGCTGCACCTGGAGGACCTACGCATCGTTGAAGAAGAGGAGAACGAGGTTCCGAATAGAAGAGGGTGACAGTGATGACGAAGGACCGAACTGGCGGGGTCGGGTGACGACGAGATGGTTGCCACGTCGGTAAACCTCCTCCTGTCGATCCTCGAAGGTATGCGCCGTATATTAGATACGTTTCATTGCTCATGCTCATATGTACGGTACAGCGCACCCCGATCTATCTGCCAGAACCGCCCCGAACTGAACGACATCTTCTCCCTACTCGAACCGCTATCCAAGGACTCATCGGACACCATTCGGCCGCTCGCTCGAGAAGCGCGTATGGTCATGACCGCGCGCCTCGCATCGGCCTCCGCGCAAAGCAGCTCCCGCAAGTCCAGGAAGTCGAGCGGCGACGAAGAGACACCCCAAGAGACCTACCAAAAGGCGCTAAACTCCTGCAAGATCCCTGTTACCCGTACGCGCGCATGGCTTGCTCCTCCTTCGGAACCTCGTCGCCGCGCGTCGTTCAACCCCGGAGCTGGGCGACGCACTTGAAGGAGCCCGTGCTGGATCGCGCGCTCGTGCCCGGGATTCTCAGCATTTTCTGCAGAGCGTGCAGGATGATGATAGTTATATGTACCTGAACGCGGTGCAAGGTCTGTCGGCGATGGTGGACGGGTACGGGAAGGAGGTGCTTCGCGGGCTCGTGCGGACGTATTGCGAGGGCACGGAAGGTGTGGGGAAGGGGGATCATGACGCGGCAGGAAGTGGACACGCGCACGCGGGTGGGGAGGCACTTGGACAGGTCGTGCGGCGGTGTGGGGATGCGCTGCCTGCATACGGTGAGCGTGCATTCGCCTGTCACGGTGCATATGATGTTCATGGCGTTGTGTGAGTGCAGTTGATATTCTGGTGCCGCCGCTGTTCAGAGTGGCGCGGACGTCAGACCTGCCGACTACGCTGAGGACATCGGCCATATCCCTTCTAGCGCTGTGTGCGAAGACAAATTCGCTGGCGCTGCTTCCGTACGCAGCGGATCTCGCGGAAGCAATGGTCGACCTGCTGCAGGTGGAGACGGTTCCCGCGACGCAGGGCCAGCGGCGTCCTCCCCGCAAAGATGGACAGGCACTCGATCCTGAACGCGAGGACAAAGGTACCGGCGATGAGAAGGAGGGAGATACACCGCCACCATATACGCCTGATACGATGGACGCTCAACCGACGTCGAGTAATCAAAATTCCCACCGCTGAGGCGCGCGGCACTGCACTTCATGACGCTGCTCATTCAGGCGTGTGCTACGCGGCTCTACGACTCGGACGCGGGTGACGCACTCGCCTTCCGCCGAGACTCGTCAGTCGGGCGAAGACGACGCTCGGGTACGTTGCGGCGACGGACGAGGACGCGGTGGTGAGGGTGATGGCACGCGAGGCGCTGGAAGGGCTTGATCAGCTTGCGCAGGCAATATCACTGCAATAGTTGGCGCGTAGGGGTCACTGGATCCGCGCACTGAGGCAATGGAGGCGCAGACAGGGCATGCCTGGTCGCCTGTCTTATCTCGTTGGCGTTGCGTGGAGAAATGTATGTGCGATATCCACGACCATACAGCACAAAATGCGCTTGCGGGGCACCAGCGGCTGCTTGGGTGCGTACCGCGGACTATGCATGTATACTGGCGGACGTGTCGTTGGCCTGCTTGCGCTGGCGTGCGGGCGGTGGTCGGTGGTCGTGTGCGGGGGCGGCCGAGGCGATCGAGAAAATAATTTGGGGACAATCGCGATCGAGAATTCGAGGACGGTGCCTGGCGGTGGGCGGGCTCCGGTGGGCGAGGCACGGGCGCGGGCCAATCAGGTGCGCCAGAACGGCGGGCGCCAAGCGCGGACTGCCCGAAAAGGAGGCCGGCCCAGCGCAGGCAGATAGTGGACAGCCAGGACATATGGAGCCGTTTGGCTGCCATAGATAAGCTCCCCCCGCCATGCCCATATCCCTCTGCTCGCCGCCGCCCCTGCGCCCCATCCGCCCTCTCTCTCCCCGCCATGAGCGCGTCCATCGAGAAGCAGGCGTCCGAAAGTTCCCATGAGCTCAAGAACAAGGACGTCGAGCACTAGTATGTCTCCTCTCCGTCCGCCAGCCGAAAACTTCACGCTCATCTTCTCACTGTCTCCCTAGCGTCGAGCCCGTAGGTGTCTCCGATGCCGTGGTCCCCCGGACCAAGTTCAGAAAGCTTTGGGCGATCGTCGACAAGCTCGATGCATATGGTGTCGAGGCGCAGGGCATCGAGCGGGTCCCCCCAGAAGCCCGGCCCCAGAAGTGTGCGTTTGCCCTCCAGATGCTGCCCGGCGGGGAGTTGACGCAACCAACTTGTAGCTGCCCTTGCACCCTTCTGGCTATGGCTCGCCGCCAACATGACCGTGAGTCGATGCCCCGGCGGATGTATGCGCGGAACTCAACGAACCACAGACGTCGACGTTCTCTCTCGGAACGCTCGCCAGCTCCATCTTCTACTTGGGCTTGCGTGAAGCCTGCCTGGTCATTCTCTTCTTCAACCTGCTTTGTACCATTCCTGTCGCATATTTCTCGACATGGGGTCCTAAGCTCGGTCTACGACAACTCACGCTCTCCAGGTTTTCTTTCGGGTACCTCACTGTGCGTGCCAAGATGCTTCTATGCTACCAGCTCAGAATTGACTCCCGTTATCCACGCAGTCACTCATCCCCATCGTCCTGAACTGCATTGCTTGCGTCGGCTGGTCGGTCGTCAACTCGATTGTCGGCGCGCAGACACTCCGTGCAGTCAGCGATTCACATCAAATCCCTACGGCCGCGGCAATTATCGTTATTGCGATCGGCACCATTGCTGTCAGCTTCATGGGATACCGCGTTGTCCACCTGTATGAGAAGTACTCTTGGATTCCGGTTCGTACTCCGTTGTGTTGTTGCTGTTGCGGCTACCCGGTGCTGACGACTTTCTGAAGGTCGCCATCATCTTTATCATCTACCTCGGTCAAATTGCACGGTTCGCGGACGCAGGCCCGTGGGGTGGTACGGGTGCCGTCGAAGCCGGCAACGTACTGTCTTTTGCCGCTGCAGTTGGTGAGTGGACAACTGTCCAGAGTAATTACAACATCGTAGCTAATCGTCTTTGAAGCCGGCTTCGCCCTGGGTTGGACCTCCGTTGCGGCAGATTACACCGTCCGCATGCCAGAGGACATGCCTGCCATCAAGATATTTATCTGGACGTACATTGGCCTCAACATCCCCCTTATCCTTGTGGAGTGTCTCGGTGCTGCCGCGATGACGACGCTCAAGGCGAAGACGACCTGGGGTGATGCTTATGCTGCTCAATCCGTCGGTGGCCTGCTCGGTGCAGGCCTGACAGGCCCTATGGGCGGCTTCGGCCGATTCCTGCTCGTCATCCTCTCGCTCTCCATCATCGCCAACAACATCCCGAACATCTACTCGCTCGCGCTCACCTTCCAGAACATCCACCCGTACGCGCAGGCGATCCCGCGTGTGTTCATTGTCATCATCGGCTCCGTCGTGTACATCGTCCTCGCGATCGTCGGCGCGAGCCACTTCGAGGAGTGGCTCAACACGCTGCTCACGGTCCTCGCCTATTGGCTCGCGATCTTCGTGGCGATCCTCCTCGAGGAGCACCTCATCTTCCGGCGCGGCCGCTGGGCGAACTACGAGCCGGACGACTACAACAACTGGCGGAAGCTCCCGCTCGGCGTTGCGTCGTTCGTCGCGCTCGGGTGCGGTATCGCGGGCGCGGTGTTGGGCATGGCGCAGACGTGGTATGTCGGTCAGATCGCCAGGCATATCGGCGACCCGATTTTTGGAGGTGACATTGGCTTCGAACTGAGCTTCGCGTTCTCGGCGGTGGTGTACCTGCCGCTGCGGTATATCGAGAAGAAGTACTGGGGGTATTGAGATGCGAGAAGATGGGTTCATAACGTGTTAAATAGAGTAGATCTTCGCTATTGCCGATCTGCGTGTAGACTGTCTACTAATGTACGCAGTGACTGCGATGTCCTCTGTACTTATGCCGTGCCCTCACGGAGATTTCTTGGGCAGTAGTAGTAATGTAGTCGTCATGGCTTGAGCAATACTTTAGGTGTTTTGTTCGTCCGCCTCCTTCTCAGTCATCAAACCAGCAGTAAATGTACATGCGGATGAATGTCATGACATTGCCTGAAATGATGTTTCCTGTGTAGACTGTCTGCCCCGTATCTGTCCCAGCACAAGTGACCTCCGAGAGCTGAGTCAATGGAAAGGCAATTTGTTACTCTAGGTTCATTATCTGGCCTAGTCCCGATGCACTCAGTACAAAGAGAAGAGGAAGAAGTGCATCCGCGTTCCGGACGGTGGAAGGCCATCACCATGAGTGAGGCCGGCCGACCTGAAACGGGGACGCGAACCGACGTGCGCACGTTCGAGCTTCCAAAGGTCAAGGTTCGCGACAGACAATTGTGAACTCAATGTGATTGCGTGGAGGCGGTGGAGGTTGAGGAGGGGATGGACGCGCCCATTACTCTGCCGACGTCGTCTACCCGCTGGCGGAAGGCCTTCCACTTCGTGCTCCCCGTGGAGAGCATGGCGGCGTGGTCGTTTACGCTCTCAAGGGGCATGTTGACCTTGAGGAACGGGTTCGCGACTGAGATGCGGTACGCAGTGTGCATCGCTCTGAAAATCTGCGCGCACGGACGAGGGAGAACGACGTCAGAGATACATAACAGTGCACGCCGCCGCATACGCACCGCGATGACATCTACGTCGCGGACGACGGCGTCGGTGAGCGCGACCGCGAGGATGATCTTGACGCGGACGGGGGTGACGTAGCCGTACACAGCGACGTCCTCCATCGTGTACAGCAGGCTCAGGTAGCACTCGGTCGACTTGGCCGCCTGCGCGGACGCAACTGCGGGAAGGGACAAACCGCAGAACGGCCTCAGTCAGCGGGGCGGGGCACTCGAGCCGGGCGGGGGCGCGCACTGCGTTCCTCGATCACATCGAGGCTGGTGTGGGCGATGTAGTGGTACTTGAGCTCATCCTGGCGCGGCTGGGCGAAGGTGCGGATGAGGATGGGGTGGTTCTGCGGCGAGACGAAGGCGACTGCGTTCAGACGGGGCTGGGGTGGCATGGTCGCGGGAGATGGCCAGGTCACGTCGTCTACTGCTTGGTGGCGGACGCTCCCGCTACGCGTGCTGCCCGGACGACGCGTGCTTGCCGGTTCATCCGCTACCTTCGAAGCTCGCGCGATGCAGACTTCCTCACTTCCCTTCTGTTGCAGGCTTCTACCCGGGGAGGCCTCTGCACGCGGGCTTAACTTAGTTGTGGTCTCTCACCCAGTACTAGTACCGCACCCGCTGTGACGCGCAGTCTACCCGCAACCTTAATACTCCAGACATACGAAATGCATAAACAAGATGAAGCGCTACCAAAGTACGAGAACAATCAGTCGAGCGACAACAATGCCAGAGTCTATAGTGATCCGCTCGAGTAGTATCGCCATGCGAAGTATGCACCGAGCATAGCCAGAGGAACGAAGTACATCATGCTGCGCGAAGTAACGATGTCAAGGATGGACCAAAATAGTCTCGGACGTAAACGCACTTTGACCCTTGTTGCACGGCCGTGTTGACAGCCTGGCTGCTCGGAGAGTGACTGTCGTAAGTGGGCTTCACCTTCAAGGCCTGGACAGAGTGTTAGTGCCAACGCGTGCAAAACATCAAAGCACGACAACATACGCCATCCTTCTCGAATTCACCAATGAAGAGGTCCTTGAGGATGGCACGGGCCTCATCCGAGTGACCGACGTCCTCGAACGCCTCCGTCGCATCCTTGCCTACGGTGACACGTTAAGCCACGTAGGCAGGCAAGGGGTGTTGCAGCAACTCACCGGTCTCGGCGAGAATCACCTCGTCTCCTCCTGGGTGCTACGCCGCGGTTCATATTAGGAAGGCACACAGAGCTGACATGCCCTCACCTCATCAATGAATTTTGAGACGTTGTACACTGAGGGACTGTATCAGGGGACCGCGATACGCAACATTGCATGTCAATAACGACGCACCCTTCTGGTGGATGAGGATGTACAGGCTATCCTTCTTGTTGTTCTGCTTGAGATCCTCGAATGTGATGATTTTGGTCTCGGACATGGCTGCAGGAGGCCTCTGGCGACGACGGGGAGCGGAGGGAGGACGGCGAACCGACTGGGGTTGAGGCAATCGTGCGATGTTTATTGGTCCGTTATATGCGCCGGCCAAGGCCGTTCTCACTTTCACACGTGGTAAGAGAATTTGACAGACGCGTTTCGCCAGACGCGTTGCTGGCGCGGTCGTTCGAGCCTTGCACCTCGTCGACGGCAAGCGAGAAACGGCACAGAAAATCGTGCCACTCTCATTTTGCCTCCGAGCGACGGCGCAAAGGCAGAAGTAAAGAGACACATTTCGTGTCAGGCAAACCAAGACACTACAGTAGGTGTCCCGAATGGCACGGAGATACCTGGCAGCCGTTTCTCATCAAGCTGACTCTGTTCGTCGGGTCCTTCTCGTCGACGATCCGCACCCTCTGTTGGCTGACCTCGCCCACAAACCCTGGTCTCGTCCTCGACATTCCTTGGTATGGTAAAATCCTGATGGGAACCAAATGGAGACCAACGCGCTCCGCCTGTGCACTTTTACGCTCGGGGTCTAGCAACATAGTTAGCTGTAAAAACATCGTGTTCATGATTGATCTGCATTGGTCGATTTGCACAGCGGCCGCGTCAGCGACGTCGGACCGGCTGCGTGCTCGCGTCATGGGGAGTTCCCGAAGGTCTCTCTGACTATACGTCCAGGCTACACAGGCATCAGCAAGTATGACGGCTAGATCCCGAAAGCCGAAGAAGACGTTTGGATAGAAAAGCGCGCTTGGAATCGGCTTGCGATAGTAGACAGACGCAAAGCGTAAGGATGAGCCACCAAAGGACCAAGCGGCGAGAGCCAAAGCGGATGTGCCGCGTTGTGGCAAGTGGCTGACCGACGCGTCATATTTGAGGCTCCGCTACGCGTCCCATCGCATCCGCCACGCGCAACCTTTGCCCACCTTGTCTTCTTGTCCTCCGCCGGTCGCGACACTCTGCACTTCCTTCGCACTCTTCGCCCGTCATGGTCGACGAACACTCCGACATCTTAGGCGGCTATCTGCAGAAGGCCCCGCCCCAGTCGTTCAAGGCCTGGTTGGCGGATAACCCGACTATCGCTGCGCCTCTTGCGGCGGTGTTCTCGCTCGCTTTCATATTGGGATTCGTACCCTGGTTCAATCGATGGCAAGACCGACGGTACCGCAAGTACGTTGTGCATGATGCTCTCTGAGGGCTGCCGCTTATTCGTTTGCAGAGCATTACGAAGGAGATACGGTATCCCGGACGACGACGAACGCCCTTTCAACGTTGCCTACGCCGCGGTGCATGCGCGCACTGGGGAGTCTGAGGAAGGTAGTCGCGAGGCTTCAGAGCAATCAGACGAGGGTCCCTCTACGCTACGCCACGGTCGCCCAGATGTTCCTATGCTCGTACGTCGTCAGCTGGAAAGAGAGGAACTGTCTTGTACGTCTTGCGCATGCTTCCCGTCGTGCTCGCTCTCACCGCCTCTTCCTTCAGACCTCCGTGAGCCGGAAGTGCCTCGCACCGCAAGCCATGCACCATACGCGTCGCAGTATGATCCTCGTCGAGTCAATTACAACGCATGGCAAGCCGGGTAAGTGCTGATTAGTACCTTTGTTGTGCACGAGCTGACCTCATGCTGATGAAACAGACCGTCGGCTACGCTTGTTGAGGAGCCTGTCGTCAGGAACTACGCTCGGACGCCTGTCCGAAGGGAACCAGACACATCAGCCACGATCTCGCCGAGCACCGTGAGTGACGCCACTGGTCAAGACGCATCACCGCCTGCGCTCAAGACTCAAGGCAAGCACGCGCGTGATGAAGATGAAATGGGGCAGCCTGAGAAGAAGTCAAGATTAGCAGGCGCCGTCCATGATGTCGATGAAGGCGTCGTGGTTGATGGTGAAGACGACACAGAGGACATGGATGTCGACGCCGTACAACCCAAGAGAGGCTCCAAGCGACAGGCTAGTGTTGACGATGACGAGGGCATTGAGCGGACGCGCGAGAGGGGTAGGGATAAACGGGCACGCAAGGTGTCCCGCGAACAGGTACTCGGGCAGTCTGACGAAGAGATGGCTGAAGTCCAGGCAGTGGATGACGAGGATGAAGTTACGGAGATGCGGCCGGTGCGGAGGGGCAAGAAGCGAGACCGTGACGAGGCTGGCTCTACGTTCGGTGGCGATGAGTCTATTGCTGATGATGTCGAGTCGGATGGCGGTCACAAGTCTCGTAGGAGGCGCAAGAGGCGTGCGATGGCAAAGAAGGCTGAGAACTCCGCCCGTGGCCAGAAACGCACTCGCGACGTTGCCTCGGAAGAGAGTGAAGAGGAGCCTGAACGGCCAAAGAGGCGCGTCACTCGCAGGCAGCGTGGCAACCGTGACCACGATCCGTTGTTCGACGCGCCACTCTCCAATGATCCATTGTGCAAGGGTAGACGGATTGGAGAGGAGTGGGAGGTCAATGAAATCCACTACAAGGTTGGTCCCAATGGACAGCGGTTACGTCAGGAATTGGTCAAGAGGTCCCGCACTCGTTTCCCTATGGTGCGTTGCACTTCGGTCCCATTCATTGATGACACTTTCTAATCCATTTTTAGCCAAAGGATTCAGCCCATCCCGACCGCCGTACCAACATCGATGTATACGTGGAAACATGGCTGACTGAAGAAGAATATCAGGCGGCCAAAGAACGTGGCGACTTGGCATGGCAGGACAGCCCGGCCCCAGTGCACCTGCGACTCCAGGTGATGTCTCAGTGTGTATCATTTCATTGTTGTACGGTTGTTTGGTACTTATCCGGCCCTTCAGGACTATCCGTCTAGATCCGGCAAGAGTCTATTGTGGGCTTCGCAACCAACCACGCCGGAGAGTCCCGCGCCACAGAGGGGTCCTTTCAGGCAGTCAATAGTTACCAATGTTGGTTTGCGCCTCGATCCCTTCACGCGGTCTCAAGCACCCAGTCGTCGAGTCGCTTCGCGCCCCAGTTACCGCAAGTCACCACGCCCGAGGTCACTCCGTCAAAGCCGCGCGTCACCAAGACATACTCGAAATGGGAGAAGCAGGATCTTGAGGCAGCCGCCATGGCTAAGATCAGGGAGAGGAAGCTGGCACAGGCAAGAGAGGCTCTGAACCCCACGCCTACTCCGCCCACACAGGCTGCTGCCACTCAGCTACTTTTGACGCCCGCAGTGGCTGCTCCTTCGACCTCGTCGGCCCAGACTGCTTCGAACTTAACCTTTGCTAAGGTAGCGCAGAGGAGCCAGAGAAACCAGCTCAGCCCACAGGTGACAAACCGTCTATTCCGTTTTCTTTGGCGCGCCGCCCGCACCTGCCCCTTCGACATCAAACGGGAACCCGCATCGACTACTGCCCCTCCTGCTACCAAGGAAGCCCCGAGACCTTTTTCAGCCTCGCTCCTGTCTCCACTTCTACAACGCCCGCTGCTCCTACGACCGCTCAGCCAACGTCCTCTGTCCCGAACTTTTTCGGCAATGCTGGCAAGAACAACACCACAACTGCGCCACAAGCGTCTCAGCCAAGCACCCAATCGCAACCCACGGCGTGTGCGCCCCCTGCGAGTTCATTCAACTTTGGGACTAAGCCCGCTTCTGCTGCCCCTGCATCAAGTAGTGCATCCTCGTTCAATCCTTTTGGTACTGTTCCCAGCACGCAGCCTTCAGCGGCCTCCACTGCGAGCTCAGCCCCCAAGTCAGCATTCTCGTTTGCGCCGCCGACCTCCGGGGCGACTACAGCGCCGATAAGTAAGCCTACTGAGGCGACGCCAATGGATCAGAGTGCGCCCACGGGAACGAGCTCTGGTCCTTCTCTGCTGGCACGTCTCGGTCCTCAGGTACAGGAGTCGTCCACTCACCGCAGACTAGCACGCCTGCTTCAGGTTCTACGGCCGGACCCATGAAGTTCTCGTTCACGCAACCAAGCGCACCTACAGGTGTTTCATCTCAGCAACCCGCATTTGGCAGCCGAGCATCCCCGCATCTACTCCGAACACTAGTGCTGTGCCAGGGAGCACGCCAGCGACCGCGTCGTCGAACACGAACGCCGCGTCCGCGCAGAAGTTCAGCTTCGGGTTCACTGGTGCACAAATGGGAAGTGCTGCACCTGCTGCGTCGCCCACGCCTGCCGCCACGGGCGCGACGAACACATCAAAGCCATTCTCGTTCAACTTCGGTGCTCCTAGTCAACCAGCCCCTGTGGCTCAACCGAGCGGGAATGCGACATCACCCTTTGGTGGCGCCGGGCCTTTCGGACAGACCACAACTTCGGCTTCGACGCCGTCCACTGTCAAGACGCCAGCTGCTTTCGGTTTCGGCGCGCCTGCCTCGTCGGGTGTCACTGCGGCATCTAGCCCGTTCGGCGGTCCTGCCACAACGGCGAATACGACTCCCAGTAAACCAGAAGGTAGCAATGCGTTCTCGACGACACCGGCTGGGACTCCGGCGAGTGGTAGTGTGTTTGGTGGTAGCAGCGCGCCAGCTAACACGGCTGGCTCGAAGTCTGCCTTCACTTTTGGTGCGACTGGTGGTACGCCCACGTTCGGAGGGTCTACTGGAACCTCTGCTCCTCAAATGAACTCAGCTAACCCGTTCGGAGCGCCGACCAGCGCGACACCGTCTACGGCCAGCAGCGGAGAAGCGCAGAGCAAGCCGTTCTCCTTCAACTTCGGAGCTGCCCCTTCCTCGTCTCCGGCGACACCGTCAAATCCTTTTGGGGCTCAGCCAACCACCACCCCAACGTTCGGCACAACGTCGCAGCCAGCTTCAAATCCGTTTGGTTTCGGAAACGCTTCGTCTTCTACGCCTTCTTCATTCAACTTTGGGAACGCCTCCAACACCAACCAAAATCAGAAGCAGTGATATGCCATCCTTCGTGCGCTGCCATGCGCCCCTCCTATGAATATGCGCATGTACATATGTCACCCCTAGTCGCGAACTTGTCAAGTAGGCCCGCCATGTTGTACTCTACACCCACGTAGCATTTATTGTCCCGTCACGCAAGTAACTTATCCCACACATCCTTTGTAGTCTTCTGGTGCTCTTGTGGGGAATATTTGGACGTCAGGTCCAAATTTCTATATTGCCAGACTATCCGCATGGTGAGAGAAGCTTGTGATTTGTGCGCGAAGCTGGTCTACATCCGAACCCAGCTGAAGCCATGTGGCCGGGTGGTGACATAACGTCCGTTCGTGTATCGAACGACTATGGACCGACACCTTTGACCAACCTCGGCTTGGTCGGTTTAGCGATACCTGCTCCATCCTCCAGACACGACGCGCTTCGAAGGAGTGTGGATGCTTTGACACTGCGCTATGCTGTCTGACACTTCTTCGGCGAGCCCTCGTCCTCGCCCACCAGCGAAAGCACGAAGGCTGCCTTCGGTACAGTTTCCCCAGCTTCCGCCTCCGCCATATGCACCTTCGCTGGATCAAGTGGTGCTGGATGCAGCGAGCGCCGTCTCCGAACTACCCGTCGGTGTAGATGACATCAAGCCACCTCTGTTGCCGCAAGACTCAGAGGAATGGGTCAAGGAAAGGTCGAGGGAGGAGCTATCCGAACTGCTACTGAAGGCAGGGGAGCTGATCAAGTCTCGTGAAACTGGTGAGGATCCCTATGAGTAGACGTGGTTGATGCTGCACTCATTCGTACGGAGTGAAGAGCTGGGCTTGACGTCTACGATCATCCAGAGTCTGTACCAAGACAACGTCGAGCTCAAGACCAAGCACGAGACGCTGCTCTCCCGTCTGCCCTCCTCGCCTGCACCCACGGCACCTACTTCTCCAATAGTCCCCACGCCGAACAGGATTCTCTCGCCTGACTACTCCGATGTCCATCTCCCCGCTCTCCGGACTATGCAGACACGTCTCTGCCAATGCCGTTCGTTCGACACACTAGGCGGATATCCGTCACTCCCTCCGACCTGACCCGTCTCGCAGACCAGAACGCGGAGCTCCTCGACAAGCTTGACAAGCTTGAAGCTGAGTCGAGGAAGTCCGACCAGGCGGGCAAACGGAAGTTGCGAAAGCTCGAGCACGAGATCCAGCTGCTTCAACAAGAGCTCGAGGAGACTCAGGCAAAGGAAGCGGAGCTCGAGCAGGCACGCCTCACTGTGAGTCTCTCAGAGGAGGAGGCTCAGCGGCGAAAGGAGGAGCGCGAGGAACGTGTGCGGGTGTTTAGGGAGAAACCAGGGACATCCGTGTCGAGCTCGGACACTGCTGTCGACCTCGAAGAGATCAAGGACTTCGCACCGCCGTCCGAGCTACGTTCGCCAGGCTCGATACGAATACCCTCAGTTCGTGCTTCTCAGCCCTTTGCACCTTCTCAGGCCGCAGTCGAGAGACCCATCCTACCACCTTTGGGATTACCTGAGCCCGACGCTCTCCCTATGTTTCGGCCTCGTCCCCGCTTCTTGAGTACGCGGACACCGTCCGGTGCTGAATCTGCCATCGTCTCGCAGTTGTTGCAGAAGATCCAGGAGCTGGAGGAGACGAACGCGCAGATCTCAAAGGACCAGCAACTGACGGAGGAGCGGCTGCGCTCTGCACAGTGGGACTCGGAGAGCATCCGTCGGGTGTACGATTGTCTCGATGGCGTTGATGGTGTCGAGCTGGAGGTTGTGGCAGAGGACAGTCTTGAGGAGAGCCCGACCAAGCTGAGGAGGATGGCGTCCGGTGGAACCATCAAGTTCAGCAGCCTGAGGCGCTCTATTCACCAGGACCTCAGCAAGTCGCTTGGGTCTGAGCAACTGGACACGTTCGCTAGCGGCATTTCGGGAGAAATGCGGAGTACGGTGCGCAGTGCGGTCACACAGAAACACGCTGCAGCGCACAAGGCTCGCAAGTCTGTCGTGGGTCTATTCGATCACGGGCAGTTGACTCCCGACTCTCCCGTGGATGGCAGCGCGCCGTTCTTCTCGTCGCCCGCTGCTCGTGTATTCTCGCCTGTGATGGGCTCCGAGCTCGGGGATATATCCACTTGGTCAACTGCCGCAACGGATGGAGTGGCATGCGCATCTCCAGCACTCAGCAGCGGCCTGCGGACACCCTTTCCTGGTACTATGGGCCGGACACTGGGTAGCGAGCTCGGCAGCGAATGCGGTGACGACTGGGGTGCCAACACGGTCAACTATCACCTCAGGACTACCAGCCTATACGGCATGACAGGGCTGGACCTGTCTCGCGAAGCCTCAGTGTCGCCACAGTTCGTCTTCCCTGCTCTCGATGACTCGGATGAAACGACCTCGTCTCCACAACAGGAAGACTGGGATGCAGAGGCAGGTCCCTCGACGCCTAAGAGGGCACCTGCCTTGCAGCTCACGATTGAACCGCCGACGCCTGAGACGTCCACACCCAAGAGGCCGGCCTCAGCGAGGCAGAAACGGCTGTCACAGACGGTCCGTTCGCGCACGCACCGGTGGGTCGAGGGGCGGTTCTCACCACACTCGCTGTCATCCTCATCGTCAAGATCACCGGAGCCCATCAGTCGGCGGCCATCCGCGAAGGCGAGGGCGCGCTCAGGCCTCGATACAGAGCTGACGATGGACGAGGTGTTTGACGAGGCCGCGCGGGGCCTCTCGCAGATGCAGATCAGAGCGAGGAGACAGATTCCGGAATTCTTCCGCGAGGATGAGCCCGCTGAGCCCGAGGCAGACGACAGGATCAAGGAACGAGGTGGCCAGGATGCGGACACATCTGCGGTGCAGGTGCGCCCGGACACCTCGGGCGTCTTGGAGGCTGAGCGGCAGGGGCGAATCTCGCGGTTCGTGGTCGAGTTGTGGTTGTGGTTGCAGTTCGCCCTCGTGATTGTGGTCTTCTTGTACGCGATGGCGAGGAGAGGTCCGAAGAGCGTGTTGGAGGAAGCGGACCGCCGGCGGGCACGAGCTGCGAGTGCTTAATTTTCGGACCATAGCATGACTATTACTATGCTTTAATGACTCTTATATTTTGTAGTGGAACTTTTGGCAGAAACATTCTGTGCGGAGGAACATTGTTCGCAAGCTGTTCCGAGTGGTCGGGACGAGACGCGTCTGCAGGCTTCGCGTCCCGCAATAATGAGGTCACGTGTAGCGTGTCAGAGGCCGGGGAAACTCGGACAGCGTCTGTGTCTCCGTTTTGGGAAGGTACAGTACTGTACGCATGACGTCACGCGTCTGCTAGGCGTGAACACTCATGCAAGCCGAACGATCCCGTAGCGTCATGCAGGAGCTCGCAGGGCCCGTCGTGCATATAACCGCCGTCCAAGGTGCGCACTTCGTTGTTCTTCTGCGACCTACTTCAACTACGTACTGCAGCCTGGCAGAGAACCCATACATCCTTGAACCATGAAAGTAGGTCACAACGCGTGTACGAACACACAATAACTCAAGACCTCATTTGAGCCTAGATCGTCTCTGAAGATGAGCGCAGCGCGCAGATGCGCGCCACCATCGTCGGCGGCGCCAAGGGATTCACGGGCGGCTGGCCTTCGCCCTGCCCACCTCCTACATCCTGAACCGCCGCTGGGCGTACTACCGCCAGCTCCCGCCATCGCTCAAGGCGTTCGGCGTCATCTCGTGGCCGTCCCCGCCTTTGTTATCAACGCAGAACACGCAGGGCTGCGGTACGAGAAGGAACACTGGTACGTGGGAGTTCGGCGATCCTGTCTCTTGCTCGATGGCTGATGTTGCCGTGTTGTATCGGATGAACGCAGGAACGATGCCGGCGCGCATGAGCTTGATATCCTTCAGCAGCGCGTGCAGGATCGCTGGGATAAGATGGGACCGCTGGAGAAGCTGAAGGACGTCGCGGGAAGACACGAATATGGTTTAATTGGCGGTGCGTGGGCGGCGACATGGTAGGCGCGTTTGGCTGGATCATGCGGGACAAGTACGTACCACAACACGATGGAGGCGTCAACATTCGTACTGACTAAGGCGCCTCAACCAGATACCAGACGATGCCACAAAAGGTAGGCTTACTTGGCATGCATGACAGTCACCGGTGTTGAAGTGAGGACGATTGGATGCCTAGATTGTGCAGGCGCGTATGTGGGCGCAGGGACTGACCATTGGTATCCTGATCGCGGCCGGAGCACTTACTCACGCGCGGAGACAGCAAGCTGTCGACGAACATGGGTTGAGACACATTGTGAAGTGGCCATCTGTTCCCCGTGTGATACCTGTGCTGATGGAATCACTATAGGAACCTGACCATTCTTGGAGGGATATTGTCGAGCAAACGAGCGAGGCCGACACCAATGAGCGACGCACCTGAGGATTTGTAGCATGTCTAGATGCTTTCGCGCGTTGCACTGCCGAGCGAGTGCCGAGTGAGAGCATCCGACGACGACTAAATGCGGTGTCTACGACGGGCCATTACTGTACCACAAACGTGGACACGCTGTGTATTGTATGGCCTTCATTTCCCGCCTCTAGCCGAGAGTCAAGACGGTTTGGAGACGTACCTCTTTGATCCCGTCTGCCGGACCAATTGTGTGGGTCATACGGGTATCGTTCCCGCAGATCCCACGACGCCCGTCTTCTCTGTTGAGTGTCACCTCTTCGAATCTCGTCGTTGTCCACCGCGGGCCCGGCGGCGTGGGTTATCAAATCAAGGTTTGGTGGCAGCAGGACGATCGTGTGTAAGGGGTAGGGCCTCACTTGAGCGGCATAAGCTGACTGAGTCGACCAATTAATTGCCTTCCACGTTAGACTGGCTGCCCCGGAGGTGCGGTGATGCATGATGCATGATGAGCCGGACATCTATACCATGGCTGACACACAGTAGGCTGGCTGTGCAAATGGCATGCGAGGATCATTTTGACCACTACCAACTTTGCCTGGAACGCTATGGAAAGACCGGTCTAGACGTTTCAGCGAACACAAGATATTGATTGTCATGCAGTATGACAAACGACTGGATGGGTGAGCGTACTGCCTCGGTGGGTTGGCGATGGTTGCAGAGACACGATGCTAGTCGTTTCATTCGGGCAGCTAGGTCATGCTGGCCATGGAGTCGGTACCGGAGGGAACATGCGGATGGCGTGAGTTGCGGAAGATGCTTGCGATGCAAACATGATCGATTCGGAACGACCGAGCCCACCGGCTACCGCCCGCTGACGGAGGCCAGCCGGCCATGAGAGGACCGACATTCTCCGAGAGAGTAGTCCGACAGTTTGCACTCGTACGAGGGCATGGTGAAAACAACGAGAAAAATCAGGCGGTGCATGCAGAGTGCGCGCGCAGGTCGCAGGAATATTCCAGTCATGGCCAAGCTGCGAGCGGGATCGAGGCTGACGCGGATGCGGGCGGAGAATGAAAGGCTGAGCGAAGCCGGCCGGGCGGGGAGGAGTACTACCTTCACACTTTAGCGCCGAGCCACCGTAATACTTTTGTATGGGCACGCCGACCGCGTCGCCCGCTCTGCTCGGCCCCGTCGTCTCCCTCTTCTAGTCCTCGTCGTGCCCTCCTCCTCTCTCCCCGCCCTCCCCTCTCCCCCTCACCCCCGCCCCCGACGCCCGCCAGCCCCGCCAGCCACAGCCAAGCAGCCCCCGGCAGATCCCGGCATGACGCGCCGCTTCGAGAGGTAAGTCGCACGACTCCGAGATGCATCATCCGCAGCTTCCAGCACCTGGTGTCGTTCCACTCCGCCAATCGCGTACCTCTTTCCTACCCTCCTCCACTCCAGATCCAGCTGCACCACTCTCATTTAGCCTTTCCTCGGTCTTCTTCCATTTGCCTCACGCCTTCTCTTGTGCTCGAAAACTCGGGCGGTGTGCTGACGCTAGAATTATGTTTGTGCGCCCCCTTAGGTCCGTATCAATCGCAGCGTCGCTCGTCGGCGCTGGCCTCAACTTTGTGCTCGCGGTCCGCCTCCTCGCCCTATGGCGCTCGCTCGGATGGGAGTCGGAGTCAGAGTGGGAGGGCTCGGGAGACGTGTGGAGGGTGGATAGCGTCAAGATTGTGTGGGGATTGTTGTCGACCTACTTTGCCGCAGCGTCGCTGGCATGTTTTGTCGGCTTCCTAGGTCTCGCGAAGGTGCGTGGTCTTTGAGCATTCTGGGCGCGCCATCATTGACGTCTCTTGCGTTCTGCGTGCAGACCATCCCCTCCTTTGTCCGCTTCTACCGCGACTACTCCATCGCCGACTTCGCTTCATCACCGTCTCCACGCTGTTCGTCAGTTATACTTCGTACAGCACCCCGTACGTCCGGACAGGTGTCTGCGAGGAGCTCTCGCGGCATCCTGATCTCATGCGTGACATGGTCGAAATGGGCCTCAACGTGGAGAATTGCGAGCTGTGGTTCGACCGCGCCGTCGTCGGGATGATTGGCATCATGTTCATTCTCATCGTCATCCGCGTCGTACCCTCTTAGTTAGTGTCGCCCCGTTCCTGACTGACATGCAAACCCCATCACAGCTCCATACGCTCATCGCGCTCTCAAAGCATTACCGATACATGTGGCGTGATGCCGTTATCAGCAAGTCCCAGCACACCAGCCTGCGTCAGCTCAACACGACTCCTTGCACCGCATCTATCTCCTCCCGACGCCCACATCGCCCCAGTCGTCTGCGATTGCGTTCAATCACTATGACACATCCTCACATTCCCGCTCCGGCTCGGGAAATATCGTCGTTTATGCGCCGATCCCGGTCGGCGGCATGTCTGAGTCGGAAGCACGGAAGATGAACGCTACGGAGGCATGGATCCCCGTCGGACGTCCGCGGAGGATGGCTCGAGCTCGGGCTCGTCATCGCCGCGCTCGCATAGACACAGCCGCTCCGCGTCCCTCCACGGGCACCGCCATCACAACTCGATTCCGCGCTCGGCAGGAGTGCGCAAGGACAGCGGCTTTTCTGCAGTAGACGAGAAGTCAGAGACAGGGCCGCTCCTCTGAGCGAGCAACTGCCCAATTAACGACTTGTGACATAATTCTACTGTAGCTGTATTCCCCCGTTATCCTACCTCCTCGGCCACCCCTGCCTCATCATGGACGCAAATCCTTGGTGTCGCTCCGGTATCGCAATCTCATGTGGCGCTCATCCCTCGCCTGACTGGTTCGCAGTATTTATGCCTTCCTGTCTTGCAAGTGCCTCCCACTGCCCTCTCCCGACCGCGTTCCTTCCCGCTTCGTCTCTTGTACGTTCTTCCTCTCCTGACTGGGTCTCTGGCTCGGTGGCTTGCACACGCAGGGCGCCTGGGCCAGAGTGTGCGTGTGCCTTCTACCGGTATATAGTCTAGGTGTACGAATACGAATACGATTACATTCTTCGTACGACGTACGTATACGTTCGGATACGGTTACCTGCTGAGTACAATATCAAGGTAGAGTACTGGTGGATATACTGTGTATCTAAGCCTTCGTGGCTCCTAGGGATTCGTCCAGCTGCAGGATGTCTGGTGCATGTTCATCCCTTAGTAGTGTGCATGAATGGTAGACCGCCTACATATATCATCAAAACCTAGCTGGTGAGTTGACACCTTTCCGATCCGGGACACATTGTGACACCTGACGGAGGTGGCGTAGCATAGCAATGGTCAAGCAATGGTGGCGGTCCGAGTCTTGAGCCTTGAGCTTGAGAAGCCCTCGGCCGTCCGTGTTTGCTACATCAACCGGCACGTCCTGCGACCACCAGGATACGGCGATCGCTCCACAACTCCGATTCTGCTGCAGGTGAGAAGCAGCGTCGTCGCTCACGCTGTAAGTGCGCACTCAGGAGGTACAGAGCTTCTATTGTGGCCCATCCGAAGTGGCAAGGTCTCAAGCTCAAGTGTCCCATCCATCGTTGGGCGGCATCAGGAGTGGTCCTAAATCATGCTATCAACAGCTTTGCTTGGGTAGTGCATCGACGGCACTTCCGACAGCCAGGAATATATATAGCTATGCTGCACGACTGTCGCAGTCCAACGTCCAACCCTTGCTATCACGGACATAACGAGCTCGAGGCTCACGGCAGCAGCATGAAGAAGGTCGCCTGCCTCGCATAGCAGTATACCCTCTTTGGCCTTGGTATGCTATGCTCCTGATGCTCCACTGGCGCAGTACATACACCGGGTGACTGATCATCATTAGACTCGTTGTGTGGGTGTGGGTCTGACACCTGCGGACCTGTTCGGCCCTTACTTCGGCAATGTACGGTCAAAGTGCCAGCCAGCGGTGAGGCCTTGAGGCCTTGAGGTACGTGCATCAACACCTTTTGACTTGATTCAATTGTGACAGGTCCTGCAGCTATCACCAGTGCCACCACCATGGCACTCTGGAACGCCTGTGAGAGCCAGCATATGCGGATCCTGCCGCCTTTCTATGGCGAGCAGCCGGACCGCCACATTCGGATCCGAGCAAGCAGGTCTGCCCCTTTCATCACTCGTCAGACTACTACCTCTTCATTTGATCTCCGGTCAGTGACTACTTAAGAGCCGCCTTGTGATCCTCAGAGGTCCTAGGTCGTCGTTACCTGATGTGGATGGGCCGTCTGACGCACACGGCGGCGGTGCGTTGTTCCTCTTCGTGTTCCAACTTATGCCTTCACACGCAGTAAGGAACCTGAACGCAAGCACCCTGACGGACCTCAAGGCCATCGCTCCTTGTTGTGCCCTGACATGGATAGGGCACTCAGGCTACAGCATCCCCGCTCAGGCCTCAGGTCTGAGGGGCGCCGCGTCTTCTTAGCTTGTTCGATCGCGCGTTCAAGGTCGCCACATACGCTTGGACTTTGGAATCGTAGGAACCTCTTTCAGTGCAGAGTGGTGTGAAGACACTAACTACCTTACCTCGCTCTGCCCCGCGACCACGATGACGTACCGCACGCCCTTTGTACTTCGTTATCGTCTGGACTCGTCTGTTCAACACGCTTCAACGCGTTGCCAACAGCTCGTGTATGTGCCGCTACCGGTCTTCTGATATCTGTGGTTCAAGACATCGTGGACGGGGCACGCCTAAGTCTCGTTGTAAGTAAGTTCAATGCTTTCTATTTCCGTTATGAAGGAAGCCTCGTATAGGAAAAACATGCAGCGTTGTGTTGGTGATCGCACGGCAAAGAAGCTCATAGCTTGCGGAAGCTTATTGAATGATTGCCAGGGTCGAGTGGCTCTCTGCGGTCGGAACGACCTATAACTCGTCAGCTGCCGTTCTCGGTTTCTCTGCTCGCCTCCTGCTCATCGTTGCTTCCGCTTCTACCGATCTATGGCAGCCGAGGTCGCTAACTCCACCGCCTACGCTCATGTCAATAATCACATCGTCTGGTATGCTGGGAGGGGGCAGTACAGCGAGAATGGCGGTGGCGAGTCTGCGTGTGGACTTGCCTCGCTCAACTGCGCTCGCATAGTCTTGGGATTGGAGCAGAGGCGATCTCGGAATGGGGGACCTCCGGACGGTGATATCCTGGACAAGATGGTGCAACGTGAAATCACAGAGGTAATGATTTATATCCCAGCTCTTCGATCCTGCTAAGCATATCACACAGGAAATCCTGCGGCCATGTTCATCGTGGTCTCAAACAGCGCACCTGAGTGTCACTGATATATATAAGACACCGATATTCCACAAGTCGCTCAAGCTGCTGCATTCTTCCTACGGTCGCTGTAGGCTCCAAGAATTCAAACACGTATTGGTGTACGCATCGTGTTGCCTGAATCCCACTTGAGCCTGATCATCCATCCCAGGCGCCTCTCGCAGACGACGCAGACGAGCGGGGTTTCAGCCAGTGCTGTCATTACTCGTCCGCCAGAGATCATCTCTTGTATGAAGCCCGTCACGACGACGGCCGGCGCAGACACTTTCGTGGTTTACGACTCACATCCACGCCCGGATCATCCGGACGGCGCTGCCTTTATCGTGTTCAAGTCGATGGACGACGCAGCATCATACCTCGCGCAACTTCTGAGCTTCGATGAAAGCTTGCTGGCAGATGATGAAGCTCAGTGGCAGGTACAGTATCTGGCACAGTTCTCCGCACACATATTCGCAGCTCGCCAGATGCCATTCGCGTCCAAGGAACTGGAAGATGCGACCCTAGAGGCTAGCCTCGACGTCCTCGGGCTGAAGGCGAGGGTTTCGGAGCTGGAGTGCCAGAACCACGACCTGCTGGCTGAGAAAGCGAAATTGACAAACAAGGTCACCTTACTGGAGTACGAAGTCGTAGGGCTCCACGCGCAGAACCGACGTCGACCGCATGATCCGTTTTCCAGAGGCTATCTTTTGGATGACAGCGTGGACGGCGTTTGGGTAGAGAGCACCCCCGAGCCTGCAAGACGCGACGCCGGTTGGCTACGCAACATCCTCAACGTGGTAGGCCGTGATGATTCGTCGTCGTACGTACCAAGGCTACTTTCCAAGCACCAGTATTGAGTGAACTGACACAGAGCGAATAGCAGTGCCTCCGGCTTTAAGTCAAGAACCCTCATGTTGCTATGCCTGGCCGAAAATCCGGTTTGACACACCGGGGCACCTGAACAGTCGTGGACAAGTTGCTTGGCAGGACGCGAGTATCGCTGCAGCGTTGCAGCGAGAGTTTGACCGCGAGCATTCGCAACTAGTTCGTGAGATGGAAGACTTGAAATTGGCACAGACGAGCCCATTTCACTGTGCTATATGTTTTGAGGCATGCCCCATCGACGATGTTGCATGGGTCGAGCCATGCGGACATCAATTCTGTAGGGACTGCTTACGCGGTTCCATCGGGGCAAAAATCGAGGAGCACCAGTACCCAATCTTGTGTCCGTCGTGCGTTGTGGGCACAGAGAAAAAGGAGTTGGGAGGTACGTTGATTCCAAGCGTGAAGGATGATCGCCTCACTGACTCGCGTCTCAGTGATAAACGATTCGCTTGTGCAACAGCTTGGCCTGACAGAGAAGCAATACGAGGCGTTCAACGAAATGCAAATGGCCGCGTTCTCGGTCGTGATACATTGTCGCAAGTAAGTAGGCACTTATCACTTGTAAATATGACGATCCTTGATGTAGGATTTAATATAGGTGCCAGAACACTATGTTCGTTGACAAGGCGGAATTTGCGACTACCGAATTCCTGACCTGTCCTCTGCGGGGGTGCCAACATGTATGGTGCAAGAATTGTTCCCAAGAAATTGTCGGCGATGTACATGAGCATACGTGCGATGGCACGTCCGAATTCAAACATCTCATGCAAGAGCGGGGATGGAGATATTGTCCAGGTAAGTATCAAGCTCTGACTCAGATAACGGCCCTGTCGTTGCTTCGGTTAACTCTATTCAATGCAGGATGCCAGACACCGACCGAGAAGATCGATGGCTGCAATCACATGAAGGTGAGCACGACTGGAAGAATAGCTGGAGCTTCCGCGAGTCAGTATGCTGACATGGTACCACCGCTGACCCCAGTGCACGTCTCCGGGATGCAACACGCACGTATATTCCACCCTGTGGAGTCACTCCCAGTGTTCTAACGGAAGCTATACTACTGCAGACACTTCTGCTGGCGCTGCGGCGAATCAATCACTCAGGCTGTACAGCCGACGAAATCCGACAAGCTTTGGCTTCTCATTACGAGAAATGTCGACTCTTCGAATACGACGATGAGGATGCTTGAGGTTATGTTCATGGGTAAGTTGCGTTGATCGCGCCCAATCGCAGGTACTTTGATAGAACTTTGCATATATTCCGTTAACACATCATTCTTACATGGCCGCCTGGCGAAATGGCATCGCGTCTGACTACGATTCGGTAATCAGGAGATTGCAGGTTCGACCCCTGCGGTGGTCATTTTTGGCTCTTTTTGAACCGGCCTCAACCTGCAGCCCACTTCAACTTCAACTTGAAGCCTGCAGGCCTGACCGGGACCACCTAACCAGCACTCGCGAGGCAATGAAATCGTGGACATGAAATATTCTCCGTGCACATATGGCTACACTTCGATAATGCTACATTTTACTTTCTGCCCGGTACCGTACACTAGTACCAGTGACAGCCATTCTAGTGACTAAGCTCCATTTTGTCGGGGTACATCCTGTGCGAAAGTCGCAGCCACCAGGAGGGGGAAAACAAGCGTGGCGTCCGCGAAAACCTGTGGCACGCATGTCAGAGCACATTCGTCGGGAGTGGTCAAGTACGGACCTTCACAGACTCTGAGCCTGCACGGATCTTCCCCCACGAGACCGCTTCGTCAGGTCGGGCACCGGAATCGGATCCGTCGAACTCCTGCCCGGTGTTCTACAAGGCCGTTCACTTGAGCGACTAGGTGATTCTATGTGAATAGAACCTTACTATGTATACCGAAAAGTCGGCACCGTTGCGCTGGAAGTATCGTTATGAGGGTTCGACTGTGGTTTGGACAGGAAGACTCACAATGAGCATTGCATTGGCTATTTGGTGCTTACAGACACCGCCGCCGAGGATTATCATCCCCGCCTTCTTCGACTTGCGGGACAGCTCGTTGAGAGCGCGGATGTCGCGTACGATGTCAACTATCAGGCCCGGGTTTTTGAATGAGTGGAAGTAGATCATGTCGCCCAGTGACCCATCTGTCAGGGCAGGACAGAACACAGGGATGTCGTTCTACATATCGATACTCAGCACTCGTACAGTCATTTGACGAATTGCCAATTTCATTCACTTTGTACGCCCAGTAGTACACAGACTCTTCGTTATTGATTTCCTGCCCAAGCCTTCTGATGAAGGAGCTAGGCGACCATACCTCCCCGGTTTCCTTCTGCTCAGCAAGCATCTGGTCCAAGATAGGCGTAAGCCAGTCCTCGAATTTGCAGTAGTTGTCATTCGGCACGACGAGGTTGCCAATACGATTCATTCCCCGTCGCCGGAGGTCTGCCCCGTCCAGATTGAAGTCAGCAAGGTACGTCTTGCCTAGGCATTTTATGAAGTCTTCTTCGATGCCTCCAGCTGTAGTCACAATGGCTCGGACGTGCTTGTGCTTTACGAGGTGCAGGATGACTTCGCGCAGACCGGACGAGATGAGGTTGGAAGTGTAGCCCAAGAACACGTCGCATTTGGTCTGCTCCCGTACCTCCTGAGGTCGATATTCTTCTGACTCGTCCTCCGTGAGAGGCTCGTCCGAAAGCCGCCATTTTCTCTGTGAACGGCGATTATGGACGGTTTGGGCGGATGCATGGCGGGGACTCACCATTTGGTTGACTATTTCAATCGCTCTCGCCAGGCTGCTTGCCTGAAACCAATACGCTTGTAGCTGTCGAGCAGCTGGGCAAGAGAGACATCCTGGTCGAAGTTCGGTCCTTCCACCGACACCGCGACGTCCGGCACAGGCTCGGAAGGCTTGAGAACAGCCGCAGACGCGCCCACAGGGATAGATGCGCCGTTCGTAGACATGCTGTGCAATGGCAATGATAGCACGACACGGTCGGACACGGTGAGCAGCGGAAAGATGGCGAGTGCAAAAGTGGAAGAGGATCTGAAGGGCGAATGCGATCGAGATGAGCCGGAGACGCCGGAGACCAACGCGCGCTTGAGCAGACGGGAACCGATGATTGTATACCGACCGTTGAAGCTCTCACTCCGCCACCGAGTTACTGCGCAGACATCCTCCCTCGTCTGCTCTCCGTCGCCCGACGACGCAGAGAATGGACACTGTCGACTCACAAAGCGCAGCGTCGATACCTTTGCCTACTTCTCCGCAGCTCGACTATGCCGACACGCCATATGTCTTAGCACAGGTCGACGCGTCAACGGCCCAGCCAGTGGAACAGTCGCATGCGTCTCCTGTGGGAGGTGATTCCATGGTAGATGTTGACCTTAACGCGGATGAACAGCAGGATTTCCGGCATGCGGAGGAGCCACGCGAACAAGTACATGTTACGGCAACGCCTGAAGAGCAAGTTTCTACGTCACAGCCTGCCGTAGACCATATCGCCGAGATTACTCAGGAGGACACTCTGGCGGAGCAGAGTATTCAGGTAGTAAACCCAGAGCCCAGGATCAAGGAGAACCATCGTCGCCTCGTCCACCTACTCCCCCAGCCAAATCTGTTGGTCCACCGCCGCGGCGGGAAAGCATGCCAGCACCACTCCCCTCAATGGCAGCGCAGCTGTTGCAGCGCACAATACTGGTATGAAGCACTCAAACAGCCATGTTCTGGCCGGCAGACCCCGCCCAGTAGATCTTCGTCTGCTGCATCTCACCGGCGCTCGCTGACCGTCTCAAGGGGCAAGACGTCTCCAGTGTGCTGATCACGTCTGCGCTGGACACAATCTCAGCATCCAAGGAAGCGAAGCGGTCTGCCCCTTGAAGGAGAGTGTGCAACGCGCTCTCGAACTGGTCAAGTCCGGGCAAGGAGGAGACCGCCCTCGCGAGATCTTCGAGCCTCTGCGCCTGGCATGCGAGACCCGTAACGAGAAGCTCATGGTTGCTAGTTGGACTGTATCTCCAAGCTCATCTCGTACTCGTTCTTCGTGGAGAATACCGACTCGCAACCATTTCCTTCTCCTCCCCCATCGCCCGCAGCAAATGGCAGGAATTCCATTTCCACAGGTTCAAACGTTAATCTTCCGGCCATTTCCCTCGTCGACATCGTTGTGCACACCATCACTTCCTGCCATTCCGAAACAACTCCAGACCCGGTCTCGCTTCAGATCGTAAAAGCTCTCCTCTCCCTAGTTTTATCCTCGACCATCCTCGTTCATCAATCATCCCTCCTCAAGGCCGTTCGGACTGTCTACAACGTATTCCTGCTCAGTTCTGACCCCGTCAACCAGACCGTGGCGCAGGGCGGCCTCACGCAGATGGTCAATCATGTGTTCAGCCGCGTGAAGCTTGAGCCATCACTGTCTCGCAGCGAGTCTACGACGACCTTGAACTCCAAGACCGAGGCGACGCGGATGCGACCCTCGTCCACCTGGTCGTCCAGGAATTCGATGCAAGGACTGCAGAGTCCACCTCCGAGCATCAGGCCGTCTTTGGCTGGGACGGATTACACAGGTTCTACGCTCGTGAACAGCGATTCCCAACAACCTGGGGAACATTCGCAGGAAGGATCCGGCAATGGGTCGATGTCTGAGGACGCTCCGGATGATAAACCGAACGGTCATGTAAACGGCGACACTCAAGAACACCCGTACGCCCCGTGAGTGTATTTCTCACCGCTTCTACACGTGAACCTCTGCTGACCACTGGCAGAGAACCGTCGGAAATTGCTCCCAGTGAAGCTGGGCCCGACGACGATGACGACAGCAGTAGACGACTATCGATCAATGACCTGTTTATCAAAGATGCATTTCTAGTATTCCGCGCGCTGTGCAAGCTCACGATGAAGCCACTGAACTCGGAAAGGTGAGATAATTCAGTGTGGTCTTCTCCCATTCGTGAATTCTTACATTGTGTAGCGAGCGCGATCTGAAGTCGCATGGAATGCGATCCAAACTGCTGTCTTTGCATCTCGTCCTGACCATTCTCAACACGCACATGTCCCTCTTCGTCTCACCATCTGCCATTATCTACTCAAGCTCCTCTCGCGAAGCCACACCATTCGTCCAGGCAGTCAACCAGTACCTGTGTTTGTGTCTGAGTCGCAATGCAGTTAGTCCCGTCCCGCAAGTCTTCGAGATCAGTGTCGAGATTTTCTGGAGGGTGATTTCGGGCTTGCGTACAAAGCTGAAGGTCAGTGTAATTCATATGTTCGCTTGCATTCCTGATGGCTGTTCTTCATTAGAAAGAGATCGAGGTCTTACTTCACGAAATCTTCATACCCATACTGGAAATGAAGACGGCAACGCTGCGGCAGAAGGCAGTAATCCTGAACATGGTACACCGACTATGCCAAGACCCGCAAGTGCTCGTCGAAATCTATCTGAACTACGACTGTGACAGCGAGGCGGCAGACAATATCTACGAGCAGTAAGTCGACTCCCACCAAAGCACTTGCGGTCGCTGACGACACTCGCAGCCTCATGAACATCATCTCCAAGATCGGAACAGCGCCCGTATCGCACATACAGCAGAAGGGGAACGACCCCGTCAGCCCTGCTCCGGGGTCTACACATAAGACTCCGAGTCAATCGGCAGTCCCTCCGTCCTTGAGCACGACAGCGCTCGCTGGACCCGGCGGCACAGATGCTTCCTCCATGGGCTTATCAGAACAATATCTCAAGCGACTGGGATTAGAGTGCTTAGTTGCAGTGCTGAAGTCGCTCGTAGTCTGGGGCACCGCTGGTCCGATAACAACAAGCCTGATCATGCCCCGCCCGAGCCCAGCGCCCGCTCTGCAGTGCCCGATGAAATGAGGAGGGACAGCGAAACCCCTGATTCGTCGTCCTTGGACCTCAGACCGGGACCTCCTAGCGCAGATCCCACACGACAGCCGACTCCCGAGGCTGCGGACGACCCCAGTAAGTTCGAGAGTGCAAAGCAGAAGAAGACGACGTTGTTGGAAGGCATCAAAAGTTCAACTTCAAACCGAAGCGGGTGAGCATCAAGCAGATGGGCTGTTCTGCGAGTGACTAACTGTGCCTAGGGAGTTCAATTCTTCCTCGAATCGGGCTTCATTCCAAGCAACGCGCCAAAGGACATCGCGAAGTTCTTGCACGAGACCGATGGGCTCAGCAAAACTATGATCGGCGAGTATCTGGGCGAAGGGTACGTGTATATCTGCCCTGTCTGTGGGACTTGAATTGACAGCGTGCGCCAGCGACGAGGCCAATATCACTATCATGCACGCGTTCGTCGACATGATGGAGTTCCGTGAATCGCATTTGTTGTGCTCTTCGAACATTCCTGCAAGCCTTCCGGCTTCCGGGTGAAGCGCAGAAGATTGACCGTTTCATGCTCAAGTTCGCTGAGCGGTATATCGCTGGCAACTCCTCGACGCCGTTCGCAAATGCAGGTGTGTGGGCAATACGTGGACTATATGCGCGTCTAATCACGCCTTGCAGACGCGGCATACATCCTGGCGTACTCTGTCATTCTCCTGAACACGATGCTCACAACCGCAAGTCAAACGTCGGATGACCCTCGCCGACTTCATCAAGAACAACCGCGGGATCAACGATGATGCAGATCTTCCAGAGGAGTTCCTGTCAACGATCTACGACGACATCGTGTCGAACGAAATCCGCATGAAGGACGAGATGGAAGCTACACCCATCGTTGCAACGCCTGGTCCTGGTCTGGCTGGTGCTCTCGCAACGTCGGTAGGATTTGCAGAAGGAGGCGTATATGATGCAGTCGAACAACATGACGAGCAAGACAGAGGTGGGTCGCATAGACGTGCAGGTTGTCGCCGAAGCTGACAGGTGATTACAGGCCTATTCAAGACGTTGATGCGATCACAGCGCAAGGGGAGCAAGTCGAGCGAACAGTTCTTCAGCGCGTCACATTTCATTCATGTTCGGCCTATGTTCGAAGTCGCATGGATCCCCTTCTTGGCAGGTATCTCTGGACCTCTTCAAGATACGGATGACCTGAAGTAGTCGAGATCTGCTTGGATGGCTTCAAGAATGCTATCCGCATAGTATCGTTCTTCGACATGGAGCTGGAGCGCAATGCCTTCGTCACACGCTTGCGAAGTTCACTTTCCTGAACAACTTAGGTGAGATGAAGACGAAGAACATGGAGGCTATCAAGACTTTGCTCGACGTTGCTGTCAACGAAGGCAACAACCTGAAGGGCTCTTGGCGTGAAGTGCTCACCTGTGTCAGTCAACTTGAGCATATGCAACTCATTAGCAGTGGCGTCGAGTTGCCTGATAACGGTCGCAAGAGGTATTATGAACGGGATATTCACTGATTGTGCGTTCTAACTTTTGTTCTAGTCGTTCCCGCAAACCACCTACGGAAGAGCTAGCGAACGAGAGCAGATCTACACACATCACCGTCGCTGCCGATATGGTGTTCTCACTCAGTCATTATCTCTCTGGAGTGAGTCTTTCCCTTGAGACTGCCGACGTGTTGCTTATGCACCGTAGACTGCAATCGTCGACTTCGTTCGCGCCCTGTGCGACGTCTCGTGGGAAGAGATCCAATCTTCGGGTCTGTCGCAGCATCCTCGTTTGTTCAGTCTGCAGAAGCTTGTCGAGATCGCGTACTACAACATGAGCCGCATTCGTCTCGAGTGGAACAATTTGTGGGATATTCTCGGCGAACACTTCAATCAGGTACGCATGCGTTGGTGTGTACTGCGTAATGGATGCTGACATGGTAAATTCAGGTCTGCTGTCACAACAACCCGCATGTCGGATTCTTCGCGCTGGATGCTTTACGACAACTGGCCATGCGGTTCTTAGAGAAGGAGGAATTGCCGCACTTCAAATTCCAGAAGGACTTCCTCCGGCCGTTTGAACACACCATGTCACATAACTCGAACCCCGACATTCGCGACATGGTGAGCCCTACTCTTATTACCATCTTGGCAAGAGCTCATCGGAAGTAGGTGTTGCAATGCTTGCAACAAATGATTCAAGCGCGTGTGGAAAACATGAGGTCTGGTTGGAGAACGATGTTTGGTGTCTTCTCAGCTGCCTCGAAGGTCCCGACTGGTAAGTCGCTTATTGTGAGACCACACTCTTGTTCATCTGTGTGCTAGAACGCATCGTCAACTCGGCGTTCGAGCTTGTCACCCGCGTAAACAAGGAACATTCTCGGCCATTGTTCGTAATGGTGCATTCGCTGACCTGACCGTATGCATCACGGATTCTGCAAAGTGAACAAGTACCAGAAGATCAGTCTTTTGGCCATCGCCATGCTGCGAGGAATCATCCCTATCATGCTCAATTCGCCGGAGTGTGGTCTGACCGTAGGAGTGAATGACACCGATCGCAGCACGGATGATCCTATGATCAAGTTCTGGTTCCCAGTATTGTTTGGCTTCTACGATGTGATCATGAATGGTGAGGATTTGGAAGTGCGACGGCTGTGAGCATGCCTCTTCCTTATTGCCGATACGATGCCTGACCATCATCAGTGCACTTGATTCGCTCTTCTCTACGCTCAAAATGTATGGCAAGACCTTCCCGGTTGATTTTGGGATACCGTTTGCCAGGAGCTGCTCTTCCCCATCTTCGCCGTCCTCAAGTCAAGCCAGGATATGACACGTTCAATACGCAGGAGGACATGAGTGTCTGGCTCTCAACGACCATGATCCAGGCATTGCGCAATTTGATCGACCTATATACGTTCTACTTCGAGACGCTGGAGCGTTTCCTTGACGGGTTGCTCGATCTTCTGTGTGTCTGTATTTGTCAAGGTAAGTCATTCAACATTTGCTTTAGATCAAATGTTCATGTATCGTATAGAGAACGACACGCTCGCACGCATCGGAACGAGCTGTCTGCAACAGCTACTCGAGAATAATGTCAAGAAGCTCAGCCTGCTCGCTGGGAGCGCGTCGCTACTACCTTCGTGAAGCTTTCAGGACAACAACACCACACCAGCTCTTCGACGATAATCTGCGAATAGAACTGGATGGCAGCACTCCAGATCTGTCTGATCCCAACGGTAAGAGTATACTATCCGGCTGCTGCCCCACATGTGGCTACTGCTTGACTGCAAGAATCAAACGGTCAGGCCATCCTTCCCGCGCCTCTCTCGCCAAACAACAGCGGACAGCTCAAGTCCGATGTGAAGATCACACTCAACGATCGCCGGCGTATTTCCGACAGATCATCGTGAAATGCGTCCTGCAGCTTCTGCTCATTGAGATGACCAATGATCTATTGAGGAATGACGAAGTCTACACCACGATGCCCCCGAGCATTTACTCCGTCTGATGGGTGTTCTCGACCATAGCTACCAGTTCGCCAGGATGTTCAACGAGGACAAAGACCTACGGACTGGTCTCTGGAAAGTTGGTGAGTATGCCGGTCGTGCTTATAATGCTGCATCTCTAACCTATGTGCAGGGTTCATGAAGCACTTGCCTAACCTTCTCAAGCAGGAGTCAAGTAGCGCGTCGACTCTGGTCCATGTTCTCCTTCGTATGTATTACGACTCTCGCCCTGAGCACCAGGCCGCTCGTCCTCAGGTCATGGACGACTTATGCCGTAAGCCACACAAATGCATCTCCCCCGCGTATCTGACACACTTCTAGGTTGGGTCTGGGTGTGCTGGGCGATTACAACAAACTCCGAGTCGATACGCAGCTCAAAAACATAATGGCATGGACACCTGTCGTTGCCGAGATTATGCAGGGCTTTGTCCGTCTAGATGACAAGGCAGTAAGTGCTTTGCATTCAGGCGCGTAGTAGATACTGACTTCGCGGGTAGTTTGGGAGATATATGCCGGCCATATACCCTCTGGCAACTGATTTGCTGTCTCGAGACTTAGCAGCAGAGGTTCGGGACGGTCTCCGGGAATACTTCCAGCGGGTAGGATACATTCAGGGCATCATGGAACGGTCATAACATACTGTACAGTCACTTTAGCATCTACTTATTATTATGCTCAGCTTTGTATATTCATCACTCGGTATATTAACGCATCTATCCTAGCATAGTGGCGACGCAGAGATCGTGTGTTGGTACATAAGAGATAAGTCCGTGTCAGTGTTGATATCCGTATCCACCTGTGAATCCGCCGTTCGCCCCCTGGTATCCCCAGCCTGTGGGCTGCATAGTCAAATTTGCTGTAATAGAAGACCCAGTCAACAACGCATATGGTGGTCGGACACGATGTACTCACGAGCAGGGCGGAGGGCGTCGTATTTGTCTGCAAAACACCTCAGTCAACTAGCTTCAATAGAGTATCTTTGCCTACGCACCTGCACCTTGCGGACTCGAGTTGTTGTCGTTCGCGAAGGCACCGCTCTTCATCTTGGCAAATATATTCGCAGGTGTTGTGTCCACGGCATTAGATTGGGGCTGCGGCGGAGGGGAACTGAAACCATTCCCGAACGGAGAGGCGCCGATGCCAGGATTGAAGCCTGTAGGATCTACGCGGAGTCAGGACAAGATGAAACCGACAGCCGTAGAACTCACTTGACTGGATCCCATCGAATCCACCGTTTGCCTGGAATGAAGGCACGGAGCCAAAGTTGCCGTTGGCACCACTGAAGCCTCCGTTTGGCATGCCTGTGGGTTGAGACATCAGCGGTCCTGACGAGTAGTTGTTGCCCGGCATCCCAGTTGGCTGTGAGAGAAGTGACCCAGTATTCCCAAAGTTCCCGGGGTAACCGGTTGGTTGTGCTTGCAGAGGGCTCGGGCTTTGACCAGGGAAGCCGGTCTGCTGCGGAAGTAACGATCGGTTTGCCCCCGGGTAGCCAGTTGGTTGAGTGTTAAGGAAGGACGGTGGCTGCGGCGGGGGGCTTTGGAATGGAGATTGCTGTGGTGGGTTCGCGAACGGTGATTGCGCACTTTGCGGGCGAGTCGGAACGAACCCATTGAAGAGCGTGGTAGTCGGCACGAGAGGCTGGAGCAAAGACTGGTTGGCGGGAACAGGCGCAAGCGGCCCACGAGGCCCATTCTGTTGGAGAGGTGGCATCATCCCCGTTTGTTGGTTCTGGAAATGTTGGCCCATGGGGACCGGTGACGAGCCCATCCCCAAGCCCGACTGGTAACTGACAGGGGAGGCGACAGGGACAGAAGGGGCACGCTGCGGCGGCGGTATCGCTGGACTCTGTGTGCGGAGCTTAGCGAGACGGGAGAGCTGCTCGAAGATATCATCGTCTGTCTTAGCCAGCGCTGTCCCAGTCGTCTGCTGCGACGCTGGATCAGTCAGGTTAGCAGGTGCTGCAGGCGATGCAGTTGTAATGGAAGGAGCACCTTGCGCTGGCGCAGGCGGCGCCGGAGGTGCAGGGGGCGGTGCAGGAGCAGATGCAGTTGCAGGCGCAGGCGCTACAACGGGCGGGGTTGGCGTAGGGGCTGGCTTGGTCGAACTTGGCCTGTTGGTCCAAGCGTCGTCGTCGAAGCCGCTGGCGATGGGAGCGGCCGAGGAGGTTCGTGCAGGCGGCTGCACAGACGACGGCGAAGACGTCTTCTCGGGACTTGCAACCATCGGCGAACTCGTGCGCTGAATCTGATCAGATGCTGAACTGATCGAGTCCAGGTCGACGCTGGAGAGCGGCAGACTCTTGCTGGCCTGTGGACGGCCTCTCCGCATTGAGTTGTTCTTGAGTGCGCCGTTTGCTCCAACAAAGAGGTTGGGAGGTTGGCCCGAGGCTTGCCTCCGTTCTCCTCAGCCTGCAGCTGTCGTGCAAGCTCCTCATCCCGGCGCATCTGCTCTGTCAGACCATCGTCCTTGGATTCTTCGGCTGACGCTGCTCGATGGCCTTCTTGACACGGATGATGTCTCCTTCACGCAGGCCGAGGGAGCGCATTGTACTCTCCGTGATGTCAGGCAGAATGGCCTCGTCGATCTTGTCGCGCTCAAATGAGGACGCGTAACGCGTGCAGTCGTCGACGTCGCACCCAGCATTGAGGAAGAACTCGAACCAATCGACTGTCGGTTTCTTCTTCGAAGTGGTACGCGCTTCCGGCTGAAGCGATCGTCTGCGGATCTCGAGTGGTTCGTCGTCGTCGTCGTTTTTGCGCCGGGTTTGTTCGCGCGCCTTTCTGGTGACCTTCTCTACGTACTTGAGGTCTTCCTCAGACATCTTGTCCGTCGGTACCTCGATGATAACACCGTTGATCTTGTGCAGGCGCAGCTTCCCGCCTGAGAAGCCGAGGAACTGTGCATCAACCCGGAACTGGCCCGTCCGATCGTGCCATGTACGCGTCTTCGCGGGATCAGGCAAATCCTTATCCTCTGAAGTACGGTCGCTCGACCGCCTCGGCTCGCCACTCGACTTCCTGCTCTTTGACGACTCGCCATGGTCAACAGAGTCGCGGTCCTTCTTCTTCCTTGCTCAGCCTCCGTCTTCGCACGCGCTTCCTCTCCAACCGCTGACGCTCCTGCCGCTCCCGCTCTCGACGCTTCCTGTCTGCCTCGGCGGCCACGGCTGCGGCCTTCGCCCGTTGCTCCGCCTCCCTCTTACGCTCGCGCTCTTTGCCCTCTTTCTCCTGGCGCTCGCGCTCCTCTTCTCGACGCCGGTCTTCCCGTGCGCTACGTTCAGTCTCGGCCCGCTCCTCGGCCTCCTGCGTAGCCCGTATGGCGTCCGCATCCTCTTCCTCGTGTAGCCCCGCAATAGCTGGGCTTGCACCGGGGTTGAGCAGCTATGACATGTTTCAATCCGGGGACAGGATAAACCCAATAATACGGGGCACAGACCTCGACATACTGAGCAGGGACGACGCCCTCAGCCCCGTGCACGTTTCGGCACTTCCACCACTCGGCACTATCCTTCTCGACCACGAGCAAGCTCTCGCCCTCCTGTACGGACAGCTCGTCTTCGCCATCTGCATTGAAGTCGTAGAGTACCACGGCGGGCTCGCCCTCCGGCGCTGCCTCCTCTTCTTCGCCGTCGATCGACGGCTCGCGTGGCGGGATGATCTCGGGCTCTTCGGTGTCGAAGTGGACAGCTTTCGCAGGGCTGCTGCGTCGAGGCGGCTCCTCTGGCGAAGCTAGAGATGGTCCTGGCGCGGGTGGCGGACTCGAGGGTCCAGCGGCGCCAGTAGCCGCAGAGCGTGAGGACTCGAGTTTGGCGGTGATTGCCTCGGCGACGTCCTTCGAGCCTGCGTTGAAGTGCAGGCTGATGGGCTCGGCGCCGCCGATGTCGATGTGGACGTGCTTGGTCTTCTCCAACCGCACATCTTGAATGTCTGCGCTTTGCCACTTCTGTACGGGGGTCTGCCAGCAGGATAACACGAGCGGGGCTTGGGCGACCAGACAAACATCCACCAAGGCAATGACGCACCTTGTCTGCTTCGCTAGCGAAGAAGATAGAACCATTGCCAACACCTAGCGTGCCTTTCTTCTTCTTCCCCTTCTTATCCACTTCCGATACAGCCCATGTCTTGATATCGTCGGAATGCGCCCGCGCTGCAGCTACGCGATCGGCGGGGTCCACATATGTACTTACGGGTCGAGCAGGCTAGAGGGCCGGCATTAGAGTTGTCAGAGTGCTTACAACATCGCAGAGACCGACCGAAGGTGGTATGACAATCTGCGGCACTGCTGCCGGTGCTGGAACCTCTGCGGCAGCAGACTCCTCACCGACCTATAGTGTGCGTCCGATCAATGAATGTGAGAGGTGCAACGGGATAAGAAACGCACCTCGTCAACATAGTTCCCAGGTACATAGCCAACCTTGCTATCGTCGGACTGCTTGCGCACCAAGATCCACTCCTCGTCTTCACCATAGACGTACAGTACGTCGTTCTCAGATATGCTTAGTTCTGTGCTTTGTGCGGCTTCGTAGTCATATAATGCCTTGACTATGCGAGTGTGTTCGGCCTGAGAAGGGTAACATTTGAATTACACGTGCGAGCAGGGCAGTTCGCTGTACGCACCTCCTCCACGTATGCCATTGGCACAATTCCTGATGGACCATCCTCATCCTGCGAGTCTGGCTTGATCTTGACTCTCCACCAGCTGGAGGGTGCACGATCAATGGTGCGGCAGTACAGGATAGCGTGGCGACTTACTCCTCGTCGGTGCGCTCTAGCAGGAGCAGCACCTGGCCCTCCTTGATGGGAAGCTCGTCCTCCGAGTCCGGCTGGGGCTCATATTCGTAAGAGGCCTTGAGAACGGCGAGGTAGGTCTCTGGGTCTGCATGCAGGTGGGAAGTCGGAGGGTGGGCTAAGCTGGAATGCATGCACGAGCACAGTCGCGCGCATTGATCACTCCAGTGACATCGGTCTCCGGGGGTCCTCAGACTCCGGACGCCGTCATGTGCCCTCGCTGCCCCCGGACACCCTTATTACTTCGTTGTTTAATCCAATGCTGTACTGTGCCATGTACTTGGGCAAGTCTCGCTCTGAGTCTATGTCCGTGTTCTGGAGGGCCATGTCAGCTAAAGTTGCAAAGACTTTCATATTCATAGGCGGTTCGGACTCCACCAGAGAGTCAGAATGAGACGTATTCATGTACAGAGCGGCCCCGAAGCAGTGCGCCTGCCAGACAAGGAAGGCGATCGAAAACTTGAAGTACGGGCCGCTGCATTGGACGACCTGCCTGCTGCCTCCCATCTCCTCCTGCTACTGGTTCCATAGAATCCTCTCTCATCAAGTTGTATACTGAAGTGCCCGTCTGTCACGACAAAGTCAGGATCTGTAGCCCTAGCCATGAGCAAGCTCAACGCAAACGCCTACTCGTTCGTGCCCGGGCAGTCCTTCCGTCTCCCCGGTCAGCAGTCCTCTCAGTCATCCCCAGCTCCCACTGCGCCCCTCGAGCGGGCACCGCAGACAGAGGCTCCTCCGCCTCCGCCTACCATCTCTCTAAACATTGGTGGCTCCAAACCTGCTCCGTTGCCCCCATCTAAACCCGCACCGCCGCCTGCATCTCAACCCGCACCGCCGCCCGAACCTTCCAAGCCTGCCGCGCCTGCGTCCTCCATCCCTGCATCTGTCAAGGCATCTACGCCTGCTAAATCATCATCGCAACCTAGCTCGAGATCAGAGTCGCCAGCCCCTACTGCAGCCCCATCCAAAACATTCACACTCGAGAAGGCGAAGACAGACACCGCCGCGATCGCCCAAGAGGTGCAGCGTGTTGCTGATGAGAACACACTCAAGGATCTCTTCGGCCATGGTAAGTTGCAGACTTCAACACGGGAGAATATGCCTGATGAGGATCGATCAGCCAAAGAGCATCTGAACATCGTCTTCGTCGGTCACGTCGATGCCGGAAAGAGTACCATGGGCGGCAACCTCCTCTACATCACAGGGATGGTGGACAAGCGAACGATGGAGAAGTACGAGCGCGAAGCCAAGGAGGCTGGTCGTGACTCCTGGTACCTCTCTTGGGCCCTCGATTCGACGCCCCAGGAGCGTGCAAAGGGGAAGACAGTCGAAGTCGGTCGTGGCTACTTCGAGACCAACACGCGTCGGTATACCATCCTCGATGCTCCTGGTCACAAAACATTCGTTCCCTCCATGATCTCCGGTGCTGCCCAGGCAGACGTCGCAATCCTCGTCATCTCCGCTCGCAAGGGTGAGTTCGAGACAGGATTCGAGAAAGGCGGACAGACACGAGAGCACATCATGTTGGTCAAGACGGCTGGGGTATCCAAAGTCGTGTGTGTCATCAATAAGATGGACGAATCGACGGTGGAATGGTCCAAGGCTCGCTTCGACGAAATCAAGGAAAAGCTTACACCGTTCATCAAAGCCGCCGGTTCAACATCAAAACAGACGTTAGCTTCATCCCTGTCTCGGCTTACACGGGTGCCAACCTGAAGGATCGAGTTTCCAAGGATGTCTGCTCTTGGTATGAGTAAGTAAACTCCACCGCATTTCAGCAGGTTTGCGTCGATCTGACTGTGGTCATACAGTGGCGACTCACTGCTGGAGCATCTCGACACGATGCCGATGGTCAACCGCAAGATCAACGCGCCGCTCATGATGCCCGTCTCCGAGAAGTACAAGGACATGGGCACCATCGCCGTTGGGAAAATCGAGTCGGGCCACATGCGCAAGGGCGACTCGCTCATGCTCATGCCGAACAAGGACATCGTCGAGATCTCAGCAATCTACAACGAGATGGAGGAGGAGGTCCCCACGGCGATGTGCGGCGACAACGTCCGCATCCGTTTGCGCGGCGTAGAGGACGACGATATCAGCCCCGGCTTCGTGCTCTCGACCCCGAGCAAGCCCGTGCACGCCGTACGGCAGTTCGAGGCGCAGCTGGCAATCTTGGACCATAAGAACATCATCTGCGCGGGATACACGGCGGTCATGCATATACACACCCTTGCAGAGGACGTCACGCTTTCGGTACGTTGGCCGTCAACTTCTTAGCGCTCCTGCCCCAACTCAGAATTGCTGTAGGCGCTCCTTCACTACTTCGACAAGGCTACCGGCCGCAAGTCGAGGAAGCCGCCACAGTTCGCGAAGAAGGGTAAGTGGATCGCCTGAAAATAGCACCCTCTCGACCGCTGCTGATAGTCATCGACACATGTCTACAGGCCAAAAGATCGTAGCCCTCATTGAGACGGTGCAGCCCGTCTGCGTCGAACGCTTCGTTGACTATCCCCAGTTGGGCCGATTCACTCTGCGAGACGAAGGTTAGTCTTCGCATGGCTTTCTATTGTATTTTGTTTGCTCAATGCGTTGACTGGGTATATAGGGAAGACGGTGGCTATCGGCAAGGTATGTGTTCGTGTAAATTATGCACCAGCCTGGACTAACCACATTTCCTGCAGATTACGAAGCTCATTGAGGGGCTGCCGGAGGAGGTTGTGGATGGCGTGGGCAACCTGACCGTTGCGGCTTAAAGAACCTTTGCTGTTGATTGACATACAATTGTACCAACATGCTACGATGCCACCATTGAGCTCAGCGAGAGCTATATATCATCATTGTCGATATACATCATAGTCCGTACAATGACGAGATCCCGATGTCTGCAGTACTGGGAGACATGAGGAATTGAACCAGCCCTGTAGGTAGTGCATAGAATCCGGGACTTCGCTCGTTGAAACAAAAGGCAAAATGTAATGACCACCGCAGGGGTCGAACCTGCAATCTCCTGATTACCGAATCGTAGTCAGACGCGATGCCATTTCGCCAGGCGGCCATGTATACTGTAGTAGTATTATGGTTGAGAATCCCTCATAGGACAAGCAGTGTCATTGAATTGGTTTCCCCTCTGCCCTCAGTTCGCCCGACCACAGAATAAGGTCATCCTTCAAGAGTTGTAGAATCATGAGAGCATCCTCGAGATTGGACGATGGGAAAGATGGGTCGGAGGCCACCGCGATCGCCTCGTCGAAGGCATGCTTGGCCAAAAAGCAGGCCCGCTCGGCACTGTTGCATATGTCGTGGTAGTAGACGGCGAAGTTGAGTGCCAGACCAAGTCGAGTAGGGTGTGCTGGGTCCAAGGTATGTAGCGCGTGCTTGTACGCAAACTTGTACGCGTCGAGGGATGTCGACGCGTACTGCTCGCGATGGTGGTTGTGGGTCATCTCCGCAAGGTATCGGTAGTAGTCGCCTCGCCTTTTACACCCCATGAGCTCAGTCATGGGACGAACGGGGCGACTCACATCTTGCAATAGAACACCTTCTCTTCACCCGGGTTCGCAGCGGGTATGAGGAAGCGCTCCAGCAGCTCGACGACGTCCTTACAGATGTCGGCTATGTCGTGCTCGATACGCTCTTTCTGCCGGTGCATCAGCTTGCGCTCCTTGGAGGTATGCCGACCCTGCGTCTCGAGCGTGTCGATGGTACGCCAGCTGGCGCGGAGTGTGGCGGTGATGTTCTTGTAGGCGACGGAAAGCAAATTCCGCTCGTCCACGTTGAGCTGAGCGTCGGACATGTTCACTATGTCCTTGATCTGGGCAATAACGTCTGCGCCTTGCATGAGACAGGAAAACATATTTGACCGGCCACAGTGAAGTGCTCACCGTGGTATCGTTCCGCTTGGTCGGCGATCCTGGCAAGCAGCAGGCGATCGAGTCGAGACAAAGTCATGGGTCCTTGGGTGCGTCGAGCTGAGCGCGAATGCTCGGATACCCGAGCAAAACCATGACAGCTTGCTTGGATGCACGAGGGCGGTAGGAGGGTAGGAATAGTGGGACACGACGTCCCGAGCGTATATAAACTGAATCTGCTGATCCGTCCCATTTATGATAGCAGTGAACGTGGGCAAAGGGGACATGCGACTTGCAGGAGGCGGCAATCAGTTCACAGGACACAGTTTGAGTCCCCTCAGAGCATTCTGGGCTACTTGATTGGCTCAGTAGGACTTCGATGTTACTAAGGGCAAGGGCGTTGGGCTTAGGGCGAGCGATATGCCGAAGGCCCGGTGCCGCGGACCTTGCATGGCGAGCGAAATGGAGGCCTCGCAGAGTGATAGCCAGTTGGGTCATAACGTTTAGCTGTGGAGAAGTACAGCCCTCGTAGAAGATCCGAGTGACCTGTCAGTGGGAGAGTGCCGGAGGAAACGACTCAACCTACTCAGCCGGGTAGCGCCGGTCCGGGTGACCGATCCGCGCGAAGTTGAGAAGCGCTCTCAGCTGCCTATAGACTGGAAGGTCTGAGTCGGACCCTGCCAGTGCTCGAACTCGTCAACTTAACTCGGAGGAGCCTCGAATACAACAACCTACGAGAGTATGTGTATCCGGCATGTCTTCACACTTTCACCGTGCAATTGTATAGCATGCGGATGGAGTCGGCATCGCTGCGAGTGCAATCGACTTCCGAATTGGCCAGTACAGAACATCGCACTGGGTCACCTACAGCAACTTACTCTATTCGTGCGGCTTCATCTCGTCTCAGACGTCACACAATATCTGATCTGCCTCCTGAGTAATATGGTCTCCGCATACTGTACAATTGACATGAAGCGTGCACGGCGCTCCGAGTCCGATCTTCTTTCGATTTCGAACAGACCTTCTTCACCAGCCCAACTCTTCCAGGGTCCAGCCACTCACCACGCCATTTTCATCCGGCTTGTTGCATAGCCGCTGGTTACGATCTAAGGCCGTCACACGCTGGACGTCCTCAGGAGACAAGGTCGGCAGCTGCTCTTTGACTCAGTATCCGGCCATCTCTCGAAGGGTAGTGGAGCTCACGTTCAGGTTGTCCCTTTGTCTGGTCGCATTGGAGCTCTTGGGCACAACGACGACGCCCCGAGCGAGGTGCCAACCAAGGATTATTTGGGCAGGGGATACCTTGTACTTCTCTGCCAATTCGACGATGGTTGAGTCTGATCGTACGGTGTCGTAGCCTGTCATTCAAATGAATAAGCAATGCCGTACGTGTCTTTCTTTTCGACGACTCACCAGTTGGGGTATAGGCAGTCAAGACGATACCCTTCGTATCACAGTACTCCTTCAGCTGAGGTTGAGCGAGATAAGGGTGCAGTCTACACCAGTTAGCGGACACAGATACGTGATACATATGCAACAATTCTACACTTACTCGACCTGGTTGACGGCCGGTGTGATCTTCGCCGTCTGCAGAAGCTTCTCCAGACTGTCGGTTCCGCGGGTAATTAGGTCACGTCGCTCCGGGTGCCGTGGTGCCACTCACTTCTTGACGGAGAAGTTACTGACGCCAATGTTTTTCGCCTTGCCCTTCTTGTAGAGTTCTTCCATCTGCGCCCACGTCTCGTTGGAAGACGGAGCATTGGCACGGATCTTGTGGGGACCCTGATACTCTGGTCCCTCGTCTTCTTCTATATCAATCCTCTGCCTCGGAAACGCGATTAATAGTGCATACCAGGCCAGTCAACCACTTGCGGCCAGTGGAGAAGATACTAGGGTTGAATCAGATCATACCGTCACGGACAAAGAAGGGTCGCTGACCAGGTCAACGTAGCTCGTGTTCAGTCTCTTGAGGCTGTCATCGAGAGACTCCTCAGCCGTCTTCAAACCTGGGTGGCTCCACCTATGACAATGTCAGGCAGTCTCTTCCGTGAAGGCTGAACGTTGAACACGCACGGAAGCTTCGTCGTGATCCAGATGTCTTCGCGAGGTATGCCCGACAAACTAATCGCTTCCGCTGTGTACTTCTCCGTTCCTAAAGGCCACGTTCAGAGACGATATGAACCGGACATTGGATCTGATAGCTGATCATGCGAAGGTTCCGCTCACCGTATCCCCATGCTGTGTCAATGTGACGATAGCCAGACTAGATGGGGACGTGATTGACTTATAGACTACAGCGGAGCAAGCAAGCTCTACCTTAATAGCCGTTAGAATCCACGGCGTTGCCTGCGCGTGTTGTTCCTTCGTCGTACCGCTCCATCCGCCGAGGCCTAGAGGTGATCCATGTAGTTAAGACCGCTGCCACGAGCCCTCGGCCAGGAAACGACCCGGATATGTGCTCACCGACGGCGGGGATCAGCGCTCCTGTGTTCAGCTTGACTTTGGGTACGGCAGCCATGGTTCGTTACGAGTGGTAGGAGATGAAGCGACTCGAAGTCTCTGCGCGGCCTGCAGCCTGATCTTATATCACTCTGGAGGACACGGAACGCAGCTTTCTCCGCCTAGCCTATATCGCAATTCTGAGAAGGCCTGACCTCATGATACCAGCCCCGACGCCGACTCGGCGTGGTGTTCCTGGTTCCACTGCAAACGGTGTATTGCGTCAAGTACTTAGACGGTATCGGGCCGCCCGTGTGGCCCATACAAATGCCGATGATTATCCGATGGCAACAACAATCACTGGTCAGCAGGAGTCAACGGAAGTTCACGAAGTGTTCGCGCGGTAGTCTACCACACCCAGAGTTGGCTAGCTGAATCGTCGTGGGATGCTAAGGTCTGCGTTGATTATATGTTCACGAATGAGTACTTACACTCAGAGCGGCCTCAGGCTGATACTAGACACCCGGGCCCATGCGTCTATTTTACCAAAGGGGTCTTCGCCATCAAAGCCAGCATATCCCATCCGATGTTGGCTGCGGCGATTGACGTGAGTTCAGCTGGGATAAAACATATCCTGTGAGTCTCCCACTCCCGAGTACAAATTGGTCGTCCTTACCCTGGGTATCGTAACCTAGTTTGAGTTGCGGCATCAGTCACTTGTGTCACTATTGACAAGCGACCACATACCTGGTGCTACCTCCACAATGTCTGCGCCGACAATCTTGAGGCCAGCGAGACCTTGCATAATCTTTTTGATTTCCTACGCGGGAAGAGGACCACTGCTCAGTAGCCGATGCATGATCAACCAAGTTTTGTCAAGCGTACCCTTGTCGTGATGCCGCCAATCTCAGGACTAACAAGGTGATATGGCGGTTAGCCATCCTAGCAGATAAAGCTGGCTCCTACTCACGTCCCAGTTCTGTGTGGTTGCTGTCAAATATGCCATCATTGAAAAGCAGAAATTACTAACGCAGGTGCGGATCCAGGATCAATTGCGTCGATGTCCAGCGTCACTGCAATATAGTTAAAAATTTGTGTGCCCCTGGTCGATGTTCGTGCACACGCACTGTAGACCGGGTTGTCGCCAACGGTGTCCCAGATCTGCTTCACGACGCCGCGCCAACCAATCTCCTCGAACTCTTCTGCCGTGGAGATCACGAAGCCGACTTCATAATCGTTGTCGTAGTCTGCCCAGCTGCCTAGCCTATTGCGGATGCCAACGTGCTGTCGTGGGTCCATCAATATGCGATAAGTGAAGACGAGATATTGCTGAGACTGACGATGTTCTTGTTGTCGGGCGCGAGTAGCCCCTCGTTGTGAGCATACCAGAAATAGCTGCCATGAGACACAGGGATCTCCTATATCTATTGTGAGGAATGTGTACTCGGAACGACGGTTCGTACTCACCTCTCCTGGATACCACGGGCTATTAGGCTGTCTCGTTGTCAACCATTGTCGCTCGGATGCCCGTGGATCGCCTCTGCTTACCATCGATCTAGGTTCTTGTATCTGCTCACAGGACTTGAGCGGCGGGATATAACCAAAGTGTAATGGGACCCCACCAATGTGACTGTCAAAATGGATCACGCTGAAATTCGCATGGTCAATTACGTGCAAACATGTTAGAGCATTGCTCGCTCGTACCTGACCGGGCCATAAGTCTCATTGATCCCACGAAGTAATGGGAGTGTGATAGTGTGGTCGCCTCCCTGACTCCGTTCGTCAGGACACGTCATGCAATATATTGTACGCCCTCTACTCTCACCAAAGTCAGCACTCGGGGATGGAACTTGCCATCCTTAGCAATGCTCTCGCCCTTGTGTATACGCAGGCTTGTGTGATTCAAAATCATCTTGTTCGCGGCCTCGAGTTGACGCAGGGCGACCTTGTTGTCAGTGTATACCATAGCTACCGGGCAATCGCGCTCGATACACCTAGTTCACGGACATGAATAAAAGTGGGACTCACGGACGTCACCACAGTCAACGACATCTATATGCTCAGAGACTTTCATCTTCATATTGATGTTGATACTATTGACGTTAATACGCCGCGCTCCCTGACGAATGCCATTGGGGCCAAACCGGGCACTGCAAGACGTTACAATCAGTGAATACCTTCGAGGTCCTCCATAGGAGTACATACATACCCGGGTCGGTAGCTCGTCGTCGTATCGAAAGGAGCACCTGCACATATGAACGAAGATGACATTCGGGTGTCACACTGAAGTACGTACCGAGGACAGCGACATCGTACGGTGTCTCGGAGTCTGCACCGAAGCACCTGAGGGGGGATGCTGCAGCAAACGTTGTGAGACCGTCCCAGGATTCCCTTGACCAAGCCTCCTTGTGCACGGGAAGCATTGGGTATGAGAAGACCTCTGTCATGTTCACCTCTGGCACAGCAGCATTGGCATGCACCGGCCATTCTTCAGTTTGCCCTCGGACAGTTGTCGCCAGACTGACTAAGAGTATGACCAGACTTCGCATAGCAGGGATCGAGAACATGGTGAATCAGGTTCTGTCGCGGAACCGTGACGAAGTCAACCTTGACAGGGAGAGGATGCGTGGTCAGCCCTTCTGTATGACCCACACCATTGATATAGCAGCCCAAGAGATAAGCTATATCGCCGGGAGAGATATGGATATTCTAGTAGTTCTGCCGCGCGGGACGGAGCGATAGCGAATGACTGGACAGAGTCGATCGCACTCAGGTCCAGGGGTCAGCATAGCCGCCTCATCTCGGCAATCTATAGGCAACCTTCGTCGATCGTCGATCTCATGTTGAATCGGCGGCATCGACGGGACTTGAAGATCGTGGCGTTGCGATGTGTAGCGGCGTGGACACCCCCGCCAGTCCACCCCCATGCAATGAGGGTGAGGACGGAATGTCCGGATCTGAGTGTCTATTCCCACACGTCTCGTGTGACCTAAGTGAACATCAACGATCGCTATTCCCGTAACGTTCACAAGATCCTATGTAAAGCAGGTGGTACAAACGCACCGGGATGGCCGGTGTTCAGAGTGGACTAGGATGCGTCTGAACATCGAGTGCGTCACAAGGGCCTACCACCCGAGCTGTTCGTGTGTCCAGCCGTTCACCTTTCCAGTAGGACCAGCTTTGTTGTACCGCTCATTGCGATCCAGCGTACTAATCCGTTGCACGTCCTTCGGGTCGAGAGCAGGCAACTTATAAACGGTGGCGAAGTAAGCTAACGAATTGTGAGTGGAAAGGTGACCGCTCACGGTGAGGTTGTCCTTCTGCCTCTGTGGGTCGGCGCTCTTGGGCACGACAATGACTCCGCGAGCTAGGTGCCATGCGAGTACGACCTGGGCTGCTGAAGTCCTATACTTCTCTGCCAGCTCGACAATGACGGGATTTGTGAGAACAGCGCTATATCCTGTCGGACAGCACAGAATGAGAGGCGCAGTCAATGACAGTCATCAGACCCTGGCATACCTGTTGCAGTGTACGCGACAAGCCTGATGCCCTTTGCGTCACAATACACCTTGAGGTCCTCCTGAACGAGGTACGGATGCATCCTGCAGTAAGGGGCATGATTTAGCTTTATAACTAGTTGCATCGCTGAGGAGGCTCGATACGTACTCGACTTGGTTTATCGCAGGCACCACTGCAGCCGTCTCCAAAAGCTTGTTCAGCCTGCAGAACGATATCAATCCTATATATACATGTCTATGACGGCTGAGACCTACGTTTTGATAGAGAAATTGCTCACTCCAATATTTCTCGCCTTCCCTTTCCGGTAGACTGCCTCCATTCCTTTCCAGGTCTCGTTGAATGCTGGTGAGCCCTTGGCAGAGACGGGCTCCTTGCCTTCCTGGAAGAGCTTCGCTGCTGTGCGGAGCATTTCCAGAGCGCCTACGCCATCTTGCCAGTCGACGACCTGGGGCCAATGCAACAAATACTGGGGAGCAAAAAGTAAGCTGAAAGTTTTATCCTCTGTATGCATACTACCAACGGAGTCGACATAATCAATTCCTATCGTCCGAAGACTTTCATCTAGAGACTTTTCAACCGATTTGAGAGCGGGGTCGTGGTGCCACGGTAACTTCGTGTTGATCCATAGCTCTTCTCGCGGAATGCCGGATTGTCGGATAGCTTCCCCCAGATACTTTTCAGTCCCTGGCGATCTATAGTTAATCAACTTACCTCTCCATTGATCTACGTGTGACACATACCGTACAGCCATGCAGTGTCAAAGTGCCTATAGCCAGCCTGCCGAAAACCTTTCGTGGTCATGCATCAGAGGCGGGCAAGCAGTTTTACTGACCTTCAAGGCGGTAAGGAACCACGTCACAGCCCCTTGCGCTTCCTCTTCTGAGAAGCCGGCCCAACAACCCATACCTGTTGTGTATCGCTCAGCATTTTTGCAAGGTAAGGAGGCGCCTCCGAAGCTCACCAATGGCTGGCATCTCGGCGCCGGTGTTCAACCTAAACTTCGGGACCGAGGCCATGATCACGACGGTGCTTGCGCTATGGGAGGCCCGAAGGGACGCTTGGGACCTGTCTGACCACGACGAGGATCATGATTAGTATATAAGTAAGCCCGCCGCTATAGCTAGACGCTCTGCTGTATCTCTGTCTATAACCCCCGGACCTCCGAGTACGCCTGATGGGCATCTATCACTCAGCGGGACACGCTAGGTCAGACAGAATACAAGAACAGCTACTAGCGTACGCCACAGCGGCACACGTCCTCGCCCTGAACGTACGTGTGGAGATGTGAGGAAGATGCCGGCATCCCAGGGACAGCCGCCGAGAGCTATCGCCGCGATGCATGTGGCGAAGAACAAGGAAAGCGAAAACGTGGCCAGAAGGAAGAGGCACTTTGGCACGCCATTTCGGATCCGGGGCACTCTGTTCGGTGAGAGTCGTCCCACGGCGCCTCGCCAGCTTTGTTCGCACAACAATACACTCGCGATGCTGACCACCCATGCATTTGTTTGTGAAAATTTTGATGCCGCATGACTTGCATGAAACACGGCGGCGACTGTAGAGGTCGTAAGTGCTTAGCACATCGGTTCATACCTCGCGCACCGTTGTTCAGATGTCAATGTACGAACCCACTCACGCAAGGTGTGCGAGCACGTCTTGGCGTTTGCTTGGCGCGGTCGCCGATTACTCTCACCAAACTTTGCAGAGGGGCAAATCTGTTTCTGTGTTGACTTGCACGCAAAAGTACAAGAAAGGCCTTTCCGTATCGCAAGCTGGCACTTGTAACTTACTCACTTCTGCGCATGTTTCTGTCAAATGGATTATGAATATGATAACTTTTAAGTACTAAGACGCACCTTCAGCCACAAGCGCGTTGTCGTTGCCCCGTGACCGTATCCAGTCAACGTCGAGCCACGCCGAGACTTGTCGGGGACAGCGGAGTTGCAGCAAACAGAATCAGGGAACCATACCAGTGTGTAGACATAAGCTTTGTGAGCATGTTCTTGACCTTGCGAAAACACGGCAGATGCGACAAGACGCATTTGCGTGTTGCTCGGAACACCTCGATACAAGTATGCCCGGGTATGGAACGCAAATCGTCTGCCCGCGGAAACCTCTGAAGCGGCCTTTCACTGTTTTGTGTGACTTGATCGATGATCCCCGTGTGCCTTGTCAAGAACAACAAGTGGGTGTGAGAGCGAGAGCGAGCAAACGTTCCTGTACCGATGCTCACCCGAAGCTATGATTGATAACATCGACTAACCCAAGCGGAATGGGAGCAGAACGTGGTCGCAAAGTTAGGTCGCTTAAGCACGCTGGAGTGAGGCTGCAAAGCGCGAACATTAGTGACCACCTCAGTACTGGTCATATGCCCTAAGACCTCCTTCTACTCCTTTGCGTCGGGAGATCGAAGTGGCTGTTATCACTGTTGTAGGACGTGTCAGTAGGCCGTTTCCTGTGAATTGGGATGGTGTTGTCACCTATTGTCTTGACAAAGGCGTGCCATTCCCATCATTAGCAGTGTGGCATCGAACACGCACAATGATACATGGCCGCACAACCAAGAGCGTCCTAAGTATCAGATTTCTTCCACGACATGACTAACACCGTTTGCAGTTGGGGGCTGACCGCCCTTCCTCGGGATGTTTGGCAGCGTCGCGGCAAGGCGAGCAATTTCTGCAGCCATGTCCGGGGGTGTCTCAGCGCTTTCCTCTTCTTCGTCAAACCATGCTTCTTGCGCTGCACGGTCATTGTCTCCGTCCCAAGATTCGTCCCAATCAACTGTATCGTAGTCAATGGACTGTATATGTTTCAAACGATTGCCATGATCAGTCGAGTCACCCACAGAGAATCACTAAATAACGTACCTCGAGTAAGCCATAGATCAAGCGCTCCCTGACACGGCGAAGGAACCACGCCTTCGTGTCTTCTCCGGTGTCCTCTTCTTCTGGTGGCGGCGGCACTTCCTCCTCCTCTTCTTCTTCCTCTTCACTCTCTTCCTCCTCCGGCACTCTATCCAACTCCTCCGCTGCCGCACGTCGCTGCGCCCTAACATACTCAGCAGACCGTTCTTCCTCATAGCCACCGAGCAGCATGCCTAGCTTGCCGACATGTGGCTTTAGACTGCTGCCCATGAAGAACTTCTCCGCCCATTCGCGCTCTTCCTCGCCCTGTTCCCGACCTGGCGGCTCCCTTCCCGGCCATAGTGTCGGCCACGCAGCCTTCGCGGAAGCAAGAGATAGTTCTGGGGGACTGGATTCCACGTATCTGAGCCTTCTATTGCGAATAGCAGGGATGACGGAGCGCTGCTTGGGTGTGATTGTTGCGGAGAAGTGAACAAGTAGATGTGGAGGCAGCTCGCGGAAGTGCTTAGTCAGAAACTCGACGGGCTGTGCATCGGGTGAGGGAGAGTAGTCGTCGGGAAGACCGAGATACGACAGCGCCAACGATGCTTTGGATGTGCTTGCACTAGCAGACGGAGCAGGCGAAGGGACAGGCGAAGGAGCAGGCGAGCGGGAGGACATGGTGGCGAGAGTGAGAACACGATCGGGCAGGGATCTCGGTGGACTCTCGCGATCATCCACCCCGCGAGCGATCTCCCGGCCACTCCCACTTGGCCGAGGCCGCCGGCCTTACTCTTGTTACACACTCAGGCTGTTGAACTTCTTTGACTGCTTGTATACTACTGTGCTCTGTCGAATAGCCAACCATGTCGGACACACAGGAGGTCGCCCACCAAAGTGAACCTACACCCGCTATTCCACCGGCAGCCCCGCCGCTGCCTCCCGATCTACTTCTTGTCATATTCATCCACGGGTACGCGACCAGCATTGCTACAGTATCCAGCCAAGCTCACCTGGAGTTAGGTTCAAGGGAACGGACAGCACATTTGTCCAGTTTCCCCAGAGACTGCAGCATATCCTCTCCGAGACTATCCAGAATACAGTCGTGGAATGCGTCGTCTTCCCAGCGTACGAGGTGAGCCGTGTCCAGTAAACATCCAATCACTCTAGCCTCATTGCCTTCTAGACCAAGGGAGACTTGGTGAGAAGCACCGCCTGCTGGCCAGGTTACATGCTGAGACCATGACCGGTAGACCGAGGCCGTGGTCCGGTTCGCCGACTGGTTGACCAACCTAACCGTGCAAAGGGAGGTAGCCAATGGTACAGGTGGTGGCGCAGGCAAAGCAAGGATAGTACTCTGTGGGCACAGGTATGTATCGATAGGATACTGTATTCCCCTTGCTCCAACCTCTGCAATGTCTAGCATGGGCGGCCTGCTCACCGCAGATGCTCTCCTCGAATTCGTCCGTACACGACCAGACAGTGCAGCACCTATCTGGCCGAACATCGTCGCATGCCTAGCATTTGACACACCCGTGCGTCTTCCCCATCTCCCTTCCCTTCAAAGTTCTGATCACACCACCCAGTATCTCGGCCTGCACCCCTACGTCTTCAAGAACAGCGCAACCCAAGCTGCCTCCTACGTCCAGAGCGCCCGCTCCGCATACTCTGCCTTCCAATCCTTCACCTCGAAGTCCCCAGTCACGACCACCGCCTCTGCGCCCAAGGCGGCCATCACCGCGCCCCCGGTGGCCGCCCAGACTGCCAGCGCCTGGCAGAAGTGGGCACCCGCGGCGTATGCGGTGGGCGGGGCGCTCGTTGCTGGGGCAGCAGCGGGCACTGCGTACTGGAAGCGCGAGGACCTTGGGTTAGGGTACAAGTGGGCGGCGGACCATATGAAGTACGTGGGCACGCTGTGGGACGAGCGTGCGCTGCACAGGAGGTTGGAGAGGCTTTTGGCGGTCGAGAGGGACATGGGGGTCATCTTCCGAACGTGTGTATCTCGCTATCTCAGGCTGCGTACTGGCATGCTCAGTATTGCCGTAACGTTAGATTCTACACCTCCCTTCCTGCAGAACCTTCGTCTAACCCGGAGCCACGTACATTCATCGTACTCCCCAAGCAGGGTACGATCGTCGCAGAGCATTTCCTGGAGGCACGGAATGCGCTAGCGCAGGACGAAGTGCAGGCGCACACCGGTATGTTCGGCAGTAAGACAAACGACGGATACTACGAGCTTGGGCTGGCGACCGCTCAGTTCATCAGGGAAGCTGTGGCTATCAACAAGGAGAGTTCCGTCGCTGCAGGCACCTGACGCGTCTGGGATAGGGCGCAACGGGGATGCTGAAGCTCATCCAGAGGTGTCGACAGTGCCGACGGGCCAGCCGGAGGAGGATCTGTTGTTGTAGACTAGTCTACCGCATCCCTCCTGGTTCCCGGGTAACACGATTCTCGCCGCGTAAGTTATCGTATGTATCAGTATGTATTGTACACCTTGTTGTACAACAGGTCATCGGACAAGATCCTTGAGTGACAACTTCATAGCATATGCGTCCTCGCCGTCCGCATCTACAATCGGCGGTCAGGACTCGTCAGAGAATAGTCAGAGGTCACTCACAATACTTCTTCTCGATGTCTTTTACTGTGAACCCAAGCGTGTCCCTGTAGAGCGACAGCGCCGCACGGTTCGACTTGCGGACGTGCAACGAGACGTAGGAGGCGCGGAAAACCGTCGCCATGGACTCTTCTGCAAAAGCCACCAATGTTCAGTTCCGCATAGATAGCGTGACGAGGGGAGGACGTACGAGACTGGACCATCAACCTCTTCGCCAGACCCAGCCGTCTGTACGACCTCAGTACTGATATCGACGTGACGTGCCCGTGCGGCTCCTGGTCTTCTGCTAGGTCCTCTTCCCTATGTGCCAGTACGCAAATGAGTCAGCGATTTGAACCACGCGCAGGAAGACATGGCGAGAAGCACATCTTGGCAAGGATGTAACCCACTATCCGGCCCTTCTCGTCCTCCGCAACGTACGACAGCTGGGGCCAGGTCAAGATATGGTACAGGTCTACATTTCGTGCCACGTTAGGTGGTTCCGATGCGGGCCTAGGCTAGCGAGACGTACAGTACTTCATCGTATAGTTTTCGGGCAGGTTCTGCAGGTTGCATCCCTGCATCCCCGGTAGGTCTTCTACCTGGCGTGAATCAGCGCATGTAGGCCTGACTGTGTGTACGAGCGTCTCACCCGCGCTAGCCGGATGTTCATCGTTGTGGAGGGGGTGGACGGAGAGACACAGAAGGCAGTGAGGCGGAAGACAGCAGCTAATCAAATATATAACCGCAGCCACTGGCACTGAGAACAGCTTGCTATTGGCGGGGGCGCTCATTCGGCGCCTGCCTTGCAGACGATCGAGTGCGAGGAATGAGGGAATGAACACGCTCAGACGATTCCACGAGTCTACTTATATACATATTGTGATGGGTACGGGTATACATACGCAGCGACCACAAGTCCGGACAAATGACGCTGCACCCGTTGAGTACGAGAAACACTTGGGAACACGGGGAGTTACAACATAGAAATGAGAAAACCATGCGATTGGATGAGTAGTAGACGACCTGTGATCAATTGGAAAAGGCCATATGCACCGATACAGATGATAGCAAACCTAATGTCCATGCGAGTCCGCCTCTCGGCTGGTAGCGGGTCCCGCAGCGCCCTCATGCCCGCCGCTCGAACCTCGTCCCCCAAAGAAGAACGAGCTCGCGTACTGCTCCGCTACGCTGATCGTGTTTCTGAGGCTCCGCTTCACGCTCCTCCCCGCGAGTCTCCTTCCCTATTCTCGAAAAACCCGGATTGCGGGCCCAGCGCGGAGTGGATCGACTCCTGCAGCTCGCGCGTCGTCGGCGAAGACGAGAGCGACCGCGTTCCGCTCTCGTGCTGCATGTCCCCCGTCCACGACGACGATGCCTCGCCTCGTCCGGGAGTGTGGTGGTACGAGTTGGATGCATCGACGAGGATCGAACGCGAGTCAGGATAGTCCATCGGTACGTCGCGGTCCACGACGGGTAATCTAGACCCATTTGACATGGTCGACCCAGATTGGATGTTCGCGAAAGCTTGTGCGACAGGTTGCATGCCATACATCGCCGCCGCATTCATGGAAGTCATGCCGGCACGACTTTGAGGGTACGTGTACGTATTGCTGGGCCCTGGGTCCGCCCCCCGTCCGTGACCGATCTCTGCGAACACTAGGTCTGGCGTCATCACGCCGTATCTCGCTCCCCCCGACGTCGGCCTATCTGCATACGTGCGGAAGAAGGCGGTGTCAGTCGACTCATTGGTTCCTCCACTTCGATTCGACGCGACATCGCTTGGTGCGGGAGAGGTCGACGCCTCGATGATCGGCTGCTGACCGAAGCCCCCTCTTGTTCTCCGAGACGGCCCTGCCGCTGGTTGGTCAATCGTTGGATGTGGCTGAACTATGACGGTGGAGCGTGGTACTGGGTAGCTTCCTCGGTCGCGAAGCATCTGCAACTCTCTTGAGACGGCTGCCGGATGTGGTGCAGACGCGCTGGTTGTAGGCGGCACATAATTACGAAAAACGACGGTTGCATCTGGGCTGTACCCGCGTCGCGTGACGACGATGTTTGGGTTGTTGTAGAATTCTGCATCGTCTTCATCGTCCTCATCTCCGTCGGCATCCCCGGGTTCTGTGTCATAGTGTCCATAGTCCGCATCATAGCGACGATCGTATCGCACGTCTTCATCTACACTGCTGCTATCATCCATGATATGCGTGAAGAGTTCCATCAGGAATGCGCGCAGCTCTTGTACGCCCCTTCCTGAGTAGACGCAGAACGCTGCCCGTTGGCTTGTATTGAATTCCTAGAACCAATTCAGTCAAGACCTTGCATGATTCCGACTGAAAACATACCTGTGGTGGCGCACGGCAAAACTGCTGCAACTCAGACCGGCGAAACGATGGGATGCCCGTGAGGCTCAAGTGTGTCAGCTTAGGGAGCTTTTGCAGCAGGAAGTGAATGGCGGGCACAGTGATTTGGTCGCAATACGACAAATGTATGCGCTCAAGGGTGGCATGCCGTTCCCCAAGCGCGTAGATGGCCTGGTCAGTCAGATTGGTGACACGGACAAGACCAATTCGGCGGAGCTTCTGTAGGCTGCAAAGCTCGTATACGGACATGTCGGTGAGCTCTGTGCAGTCTTGGAAGACATCAATGAGGCGCTGGAGAGGAAACGCGACTGCAACTCACTTGCAAGGTCGATGTATCGCAACCTCGTACAAGATCTCGCCAGGCTCCTGATCGAGCGGTCCGTGATAGCAGAAGCATGGCCCAAGTGAAGGTAATGAAGGTGCCTCTCGAGTTTGCATAGGCTCTCGACGGCGGCATCCGTCAACTGCGAGCACTTGGCGAGGACGAGATTCCGTACTTTCGGAGCGACCGACACGATGCCTTCGATCGCATCATCCGTGATTTGCGAACATGCGGTGAGGTCAAGCATACGGAGATGCTCGAATGTGTGCGAAACTCGGAGAGGTGGTAGTGAATCGGCTACCGCCGCACTGGACGCAGGGAAGGGGTTCAATCCAGTGGCAAACTGCACCTCAACCCGTGCTGGCGCAGGAAACGCGAGGTCGGTGAGCTCCACGCAATGTGACAGTTTCATCTCGCGCATCATCGTGAGGTGGGCCCATATCTTCCGAACGGATACGTCTGTGATGAGCTTGCAGTTCTGGAGGTCGATCTCGAGCAGCAGCGGGCAGGAGGTCGCAAGTGCTGAGACCGACTCGTCCGTGATGAGCTCCACGCCGTTCAGCTTGACGCGTCGTAGGAGAGGGCAGTTCGCAGCGAGGGCTACAACCGAGGCATCCGTGAGCTTCTTGCAGCCACCGAGATTGATACCCTGTAGTTTCGATGTAGCTGCTGCGAGGGCGATAATAGACGGGTCGGTAACGTCGCTGACACTCGTCAGGTCGAGTGCCACCAGATTGTGACAGGATGGTAGAACGCGTGTAAGGCCATCGTCGGTGATGGAGGTGCAGTTGATTAGGGTCAACCGCTCAAGCCTCACGCAGTTCGCGAGGCGAGACAATAATGAGTCCGTCATTTCGTTGCCCAGGTAGATGAAGTTGAGGCGACGATGAAGCGGGCGTACTCGAACGTCTGGTCTTGTCGAGAGAGGACTCTCATCATCTTCACCAATGTACTGAGCCTTGTGAAGTTGGGTCGATACCAGAGGAGCTCGACCGAGCATTCGCACCAGGCGCGGGAGACGAGAAGAGCATGATAGAGGTCCTTGGATGAATGAAGGTGTTTCAAAATGTGGATGAGAATCTCGGGAGGCAAACGAGCTGCAAGCGACAAGGAAGGAGTGGCCGAAACTGGTGGGAGAGGGAATGGATGGAGTCGAGATGACCACTGAGCAGGGGTGATGATCAAGGCATCCGTCGACTTGTTGAATTTTTCCTCCTCGTCATCGGAGGCAGAGGTCGTCGACTGCGCTGGTGAGTGGCTTCTGTACATGGTGGTGCGTGGGACGTGCTCGACGTGCGCGACGGCGCGACAATGAAGGGGAGCAGCACGTGTGTTGGCAACAAGGCGTACGGACGGTCTGCTTAGTCAGCAACTGCGATAGTGATCTTGGGGAAGGCGGGCAGCAGCGTCCTGCGCAAGTGTGCTCAAAAAGTCTACGACCAGTCCAAACAAACCCATCCCTGAATGGCTCCCTCGCCCGTCAGATTCTTGACGCCAGAGTCCCTGGACCAGGAGAGCTGGAAACTGCCCAGCCCTGCACTGCCCAACCACTCAATTCCCCACGAAGACACTATATACAGCAACGACCCCTCCTTCTCGCAGGCCAATGCGGATTCGGTGGCGTCATTCGAGCAGCGTGTCGCGTCCGCGCAAATGCCGCCGCCAGGCCCGGACTACTTCTACGCGCAACGATCACTGTGGTGGGAGCCCTCCGTGACCCCACTGCAGTCACACGAGGCGTCTACATCCCGTCGCAAATTGGAGGATCTACTCAACCAGGACGATGCGGCGGAGAGCGACGATACATGGAGAGCAGGGTTAGGAAAGGTGTACCGCGCTTTGACCAGCGGAGCGCGGTTGAGGAAACGTCTGCCCCTGGGCATGGTGGTTCGTGTCCTTGCATCGCCTTTGCACCGACAGACACAGACTTGCACATGCCTATTGATGTTGGCCCACAGGTTAAGATCCTCATGTCAGGATGGATCCGCGACGGTACATGGCCTCGAGGGGGTATTGCCCCAGATCCGGATGACGAACTGCCGCCGCCACCTGAAGACACCGGATACATGGCGCCATCGTACACGACTACCCCGAACGTCATGTCGAGAGCAGTCTCTCCATGGTCCCCACAAGATAGTATCATGGGTACTCCTCGTGATTTCTGGGCTAGGTGACCAGAGATCTGTCCGCTACATTCCAGTCAGTACGATAGGATCGCCCTGACATCCAACCGTCATATGCTCATGAGTATGGCGACGCACCTCTAGACACACGCAGAACATGTTCGAGATACCCATACCTACATACCGGAAGCTCATGATTGTAATGTTATGAAGTACAACAGTATTGCTTGTAACGATAGCAGCAGCCGAAAAGTATATTGGCATAGCTTTTGTCAAGTCCGCGATGGCGGAGATACCTGCGCACTGTGTCAATGTGAAGCTCTATGCTTCATAACATTCGACTCGCACCAAGATGACACCGTCTCCTCGGACGAATAGCATGTCCATCTTCCGTTTTGCAACCTGGCAGTCACTTGGTGTCGAATTCAATAGTAGCAGTACCGGAGGTACATACATTCACGGTAGTTTGGCCTTCTGGCGCGCCCTCAACCTGTTCCACAATCATGATAGTCTCTTCCACATCGCTCAGGATCAAATTCATGTGTCCATCGTAAGCCTGCAATTGAACATGTAAATGGGAGGTGACCTCGCTGAACAGAAAGAAGGGGCATACATGGAGAACCCCCGTGAGCTCACGGTCTCCTCGAAGCTTCACAAAGACACGCTCACTGAGCGACAGCCTGATGAGATCGAACGGCTCTTGGATGCCAGAGGAAGCGGACTCCATGCCGGTGTCTGCAACTCTGCGCGCAAGTCGCGCGCTGCCGCTGGAACAAGACACGGTATCATGTGATGCGTATTGAGACTCCGATGCGAGCGAAGTTCCTCGGGCGTCCCACTTGCTCTGCACCATCCAGCTTGACCTCAACGCTCACTTCTCGAAGGTAGGCAATGCCGGTATGTCTTCACTCTTTAGTTTCGCTTGAAACTGGTGTACTGACTCTGTGTAACAGAAACACTACTGCGACTATTGTGATGTCTTCTTGACACACGACTCGGCATCTGGTGAGTCGACCCGCCCACTCCATCTACCCTTGCTAACGTCTCCCAGTTCGCAAAGCCCACAACAGTGGTCGTAACCATCTCGCGAACGTTAGGGACTACTATGCTTGTAAGTGACAGGTTTGAATTGTGCATGACTTAACTACTCACATCTTGTATGACCAGCACTCGGCCATGACAAGGCGCAGAGCATCATTGATCAGATTACTTCAGCGTACGAGTCCAGTGGTGGCCCCCCTCCCGGTGGCTTTGGCTTTGGACCTCAGCATCTAGCACCCCCCGCCGGCTACGGAGGGCCTCCAATGGGATTCGGAGGTCCTGGATTTGGCGGTCCCCCGGGTGGTACGTTCATGCCTTTCGGCGTGCTTTGAACACTATGCTTACACACGTTTGTAGCCCGCCCGCCATTCCCACCGCCTGGTATGATGGGTCCTCCAGGTGCGCCTCCTTTTCCGCCGAATGGTTCGATGCCTCCTCCCGGTATGGGTCCTCCAGGTATGCTACCTCCAGGTATGGGTGCTTCTGGTGCGTTTCTTCCCCATGGTACATACTCATAGTAAACGTCTGTAGGCATGCCACCGTTCCCGCCGAATGGCGCTCCGGGTGGTGCCCCGCCGTTCCCCCCTAACGGGCCGCCTGGTCAATTCAACTCGCCAAATGGTCTTAACGGCGTGCCTCCTCCACAAGGTTTACAAAACGGCGGTCCTCCATCCGCTGCTGGCGGCATTCATCCAGACAGGTTGAGGATGATGGGTCAGTGAGATGGTTGAGTCTCCTCGAGGTTCGCATGTACCTGCCATGATTCTCTTGTATGCTTCGTTGTCAGGTCACCTTTGTATCGATTGAACATCACGTTCATTATGTACTTACTGAACTATACTCTACTGTTCGCGTCGACTGAGGAGTTTCAGCGCGTCGGCAATGACAGTGCCAGGCACTGGGTGAGAAATTCCGTTGATTATGTAAGTATTCTGCGCGAGCCTGCGCTGCCGCCGATCTGTGATCGAGTCATCTACGATGTCAATCTTACTGGCCGCTTCCGGCCCTCGCCCGACTGCACATGCATGACTGGAAGAGCCTGCTGAGACGACTCAGCTCTAAGAGACACTGGCCAATATTCCTTCTATCGACCAGCAAGATGGCGTACTCTACCGAGGTTCTGCGGTGCGACCCGTCTTCCATCTCCTTCGACGCTACAGGAACGCCGGTGATATCATCCCAGGCGACCGCGGAAGCGCTTCAGCGTGCGGCCAGACTAGTCAAAGACAAGCAGACAGTAGCCTTCCCGACGGAGACTGTGTACGGGCTTGGCGCAGATGCACTCGACGCCGAGGCATCTTCAAGAATCTATGCAGCCAAGGGGCGACCGCCAGACAACCCGTTGATCGCCCATGTCTCGTCACGCGAGATGCTGCAGAGACTCCTTCCGGTGTCCTACACCATTCCTCCCATTTACGAGGTTCTCATTCGACACCTCTGGCCTGGGCCTCTCACACTCCTCTTTCCGACCAATCCCGACGTAGTCCCTTCCCTCATCACGGCCAACCAGCCCACTGTCGCGATCCGAATGCCGTCTCATCCGGTAGCACGAGCCCTCATTGCTCTCGCGGACACAGCCGTCGCGGCGCCGAGCGCGAACTCGTCTGGGCGACCTAGCCCTACCCGCGCAGAGCACGTACTCAAGGACATGAACGGCAAGATTGCTCTCATCCTTGATGGAGGCTCCTGCGACGTCGGCTTGGAGAGCACCGTGGTGGATGGTCTCCACGAGGACGGAGATCTCAGGGTTTTGCGACCAGGAGGCGTGACCGTGGAGGGCATCGAGAACGCGCTTCGTGCGGAGATGCAGGACGGCGCGACCATCCCGAGGGTGCTCGTACACCGACGCGACTTCCGTGATGAGGCTATGGAGCAGGCACCGACGACGCCTGGTATGAAATACCGACATTACTCGCCAACAGTGCCAGTCGTCTTGCTGAAGACTTCTGCACCACCGTCCTCGACACAGACTCAAAGTGTCGAGGCTTTCCTGGATTCTATACTCAAAGAACGGACATCCAGCGAGCGGCCCCGGATAGGTCTAATGGTACCATCCGACTCGTCGTTGCTTGCGCGCATGACCGCTTTTGACGGCGTTGAGTGGGTCCCTCACCTACTTGGTCGGCTATCGGAGCCGGGGGTCTCGGCCCAACGACTGTTCGATGGGTTGCTGACCCTGGACAACGCCGGGGTCGACCTCATTGTTGTGGAGGGGATCAAGGAACAGAGGGAGGGGCTGGCCTTCATGAATCGGGTCAATAAGGCGGCGGGTCAGACGGTGTGGATAGACGACTCGTAGACACCGACCTTAGATGAGCATAATAGGTACGGTCGATAGCTCTCATTTCATGCGCGTCGCTCACGCGCTTCTTCGCAGATACGACAGTATATATGATCTAGATGACCTTACTATACATGTACACATGACTCGTTTCCTCGAACTGGCGTCCAGCCTTCTCGTCCTTGTCTGATGACCGAATGCACAGTGTGCGCACGCATGGTTGGCTCAACAGGACACGCCCATGATCATAACTTCTCTACGACTTTGTCACATTCTCCGACTCGCCGAGTCCACACGCACGACCAACGGCATTTGCAGTGTGGTACATATTCCCGGATTCGGCACGATTTCGTTCGCACCATGACGGCCGCTCGGGCCGCGCTTCGAGGTTGACATGGACACCTGGGGCCACGAGTCAGGCTCAGACCGTGGACAAGCTGAATGGCTTGGCCAGGCACCGGATATTAGCAGTGCCAAGTTCCCCGTTCGTGGGGCAGTGCCAATCACTGTTCTCCTGCCCCAATCGGGCGAACAAACATCCTCGAGGACGTGGATGCGTACCTAGCCTCGGCTATGTCCGTGCCACCTACACGCACCCACCAATGAGACGCCGTCCTAGAATGCGATCTACGATCGGTGGCCATCGACGCTTTGACCTTGTCCTAAAACGACAGGTTGAGCGGTGGCCCCGAGGTATAAAGAGCCTGGCGAGGTTCCTGTCAAAGCACTGCACCCGCGCTCTTGCTTCATATTCACTTCCCGAGTCGATTGTCCGTTCATCCGCTCATCATCCTCGTCGTCGTCAACAAAGGCCCCCACCACCATGAATACAAACGGTAAGACAATTCCTCTTTATTGTTCAACGTCTCTTGTCTAACCGTCGTCCATTGTACAAGGCGCAACACTCTCCTATCCAACTCCGGCAGTCTCACCGACTCCATCAGCGTACAGCTCTCAAGCTGTCTCCCCACCTTCTATATCGACTTCATCAACGCTCCTCTCTGTCACCGTCGCGCCGTCCTCACCGCCCACCGACGACCAACCTACAGAGCCCGTCGCATCGTCCAGCACTTCCAACGGTCCGCCGCCCGCCTGCGAACCACCGGCGACGCTATCACTTCTAGAAGAAACAGGTCTAAGCACAGAGCTGTGGGAGGCACTAATAAGTGAGGCCGAAGCACACGCCCAGAAGTTCGTACGCGACACCACTACGGCCCTTCCAAGCCCGCCATCCACCCCCTCGCCGCCAGTAGAGGCCAACGACCAGCAAGAACGCGTCCCGCGGGCAAGAAACTGCTTTGTGATTTTCCGTCAGTGCGTTAGCAAGGCTACACACCTTCCTAACGCGCTGAAGAAGAACCAAAAGCATCTCAGCAAGGTCCTGGGGTCCTACTGGCGTGCACTGCCTGAGGCGCGGAAGCAGATATTCAGGCATGCTCAGGCGGTCGACATGGAGGCGCACCGGAGGAAGTATCCCGGTTACAAATACAAGCCGGCTCCCAAGGCAGCGAAGAAGCCTGTGCAGAAACGTTACGCACAGAGCGTCGCCGCCGCGGGTTCGTCGTTCGCGTCGGAGAGGAAGGGCAAGGCGAAGGCCACCAGCAAACGTGGGGTTCGTGGGGTGGCTGCGGACCACATACAGCACTCTGAGGCAGAGTTGCTTCCTGTGCCACCGCCACAGGTACCCGTTCGCGAGGCCTCCGTGGCGGTGCCTCCCACCCTGCCTTCGGTGAGGTGGCCGACGGCGAGCTACGCCCTCCCTCCTGATGTCCCCCAAGGCTGGTCGTACAGCCCCTCCACGTTTTCGCCGTGGCAGAATACAGCCCCCCGTTCCGCGCCACCGATGGCGTACCAACCCTACTGGCAGTACGCGCCAATGCCCGTACCCGCGGCGCCCGTACTAGAACCAGCCCCATCAGAGCAGATGTGGTGGGAGGACCCCGACATGTGGGTGTTATGATCTGGAGCGACTGCATACCGTCAGCAATCTACAGGTACGATGTCTTAGTAGGCTAGCAACACATCGTACGTGTAGATTGCCTATAGATACCCATAGATACCCATGTCATTATACCCAAACCTCGAAATGTTTGTACGTCTTCAAGTCAACTGTTAGAAACAACGTCCCTACGTTATCTCCAACTAACGTACTTGAAGACTCAGAGAGTCCATTTGGGCACACCTCCTTCCTTGTGGCTTTGCGTAAGTGGACCGAAAGGGCGACGACGTGGGATGCGGGGATGAGACAGCCATCGATCGTGGTGGTAATGGACAAGGATGGGCGCTTAGAGATGCCTGCGAACAAAGAGATTTGACCCGCGGAGTCCGGAGCGATCGAACGCTACGGAGATCGCCGGTACGCCTTCCATTTTTCCCAGTTCCTCCACGGCGTTGGCCGTGTGCACTCACCCTGCCTTGTGCCCTTCGAGCGCACTGCCGTCTGAGACCATGCGCGGCACGAAACGACATGCGCTAACGACCGACGAGCTCATGCGCATGCAAGAGCTGCCCGCGAGAAAGAAATTCAAGCAGCAGATCGTGGATCCTGACCACTCCGACGGTGAAGAGTCTATTCAAGGACATGTCGCGGCTTCACGTTCGGAGTCAGGCCCGAGCTCGGAGCTGGAAGGAAGTGATGGAGAGGAAGATGCGGAAGGGCAGCGTCTGGATGATGATGAAGAGAACGAAGAGGATAGCAAAGATACCGAGAGCTCGGAGGAAGAACAATACGCACCACCCACAAACTGGGACGATGCAGACAGTCGCTTCGGCCTATCCAGAATGACCGTAGTTTCACGTTCATCGAAACCTACACAGCCGGAAGCTCCAAAGCCAGCACGGACACGCCCTACAAGTTTCGAGTCGCTGGGCATATCTTCAGCACTCCTTAATGCTCTCACGAAGATGTCCATCAAGTCTCCTACGGAGATCCAGGCAGCATGCATACCACCGCTACTAGCAGGCGAGTTCCAGATCACTGAAATACTCATGAGTCTTATACTGAGATATCTAACCCCCAAGGTAGAGACTGCATAGGCAATGCGAAGACTGGTTCCGGTAAAACAATCGCGTTTGCCTTGCCTATACTGCAAAGACTAGCTGTCGATCCGTACGGCATTTTTGCTCTTGTCCTCACCCCTACGAGGTATGTCCCCCTAGTCGTATACTCAGCTGTCTCCACTGACGGCCCCCGTAGAGAACTGGCATTCCAGATCTCGGAACAATTCGCTGTCCTCGGCTCCGCACTCAATCTCCGTACCGCCGTAGTCGTTGGCGGCATGGACATGATGGCACAAGCAATTGAGCTCGGTCACAGACCACACGTGGTCGTAGCGACACCGGGTCGGATTGTCGACTTGTTGAAGAGCTGTAGCGGGGAGTGGGACCTGTCGAGGATCAAATTCCTCGTATGTCGGTCACGTCTCATTTAATGAGTGATTTTATTCACCCGCATGCAGGTTCTCGACGAAGCTGACCGACTGCTCACTCCGACATTTGCACCGGAGCTGTCCTATCTCTTCGAGACGTTGCCAAAGGAGCGACAGACATGTCTCTTCACAGCTACCCTGACGCCGGCTGTCGAGACACTAGCGAACACCCCGCCACGTCCGGGCAAGCAAAAGCCATATGTCCACCGAATGACTGAATCGTGAGTCTCAAGCTGAATTCGTGCGCTCTAGGTCGCTCACCGCTTCGTGCTCAGTGTGGAGACTGTCGAGACACTCCAACAACACTACATCCTCGTCCCCTCCCAAGTGCGCGAATCCTACCTCTTCTACCTCCTCTGCAATCCCCCAGAGTCGACCGTCCACCTCCGGCGCGCCCCACCGGAACCCGTCAAGCCCTCCAAGAAAGGCAAAGCCACCGCCCAAGCCAGGTCACGGGCCAAGAAGCCCAAGCCCACCTCAGCCGACGCAGAGGAGATCGAGCAGCCCCCACCCACGATCATCTTCTGCCGGCGGCCGCGCACCGCCGCGTACCTCACCGCGCTCCTGCAGACGCTGCGGATCCGCGCGACCGCGCTGCACTCGCGGCTGACGCAGCGGGAGCGGCTCAGCTCGCTCGCGCTCTTCCGCGCGAGCGTCGTGCCCGTGCTCGTCTCGACGGACGTCGGCGCGCGCGGGCTCGACGTCGAGGACGTCGCGCTCGTCGTGAACTGGGACATGCCCGACGAGCCGGAGGAGTACACGCACCGCGTCGGCCGCACGGCGCGCAAGGGCAAGGGCGGCGTCGCGGTGAGCTTCGTGACGGAGCGCGACGAGGAGCGCGTGGTAGGGTGGAGGAGCGGATCCGGACGGCGCTGACGGAGATGGCGCTGCCGGAGGGGGAGGTCCTCGAGAAGCTGAACGCGGTCTCGACGGCGAAGCGGCTCGCGAACATGGTGAGGGTGTCACGCTCGTCTTGGGCAGAGTGGTCGGTTGGCTGACACGCGCGGTCTGTTCAGGAGCTGCACGACTCCGACTTTGGGAAGCGAGAGGAGATCTATAAAATCAAGAGCGCAAAGCGACGGGCGGATGTGGAGGCTTCACGTTCATGACCTCAGTCCCCCAGTACACCGGCGCACTACTATGGCAGGTGTCATTCTCGCCACATCGTTGGAGCATCATGTCCCTGGCACGTCTCGATCAATATATTGTGTATTATCCGTTCACGGGATCATGTATCTCCGCAAGTAGTTTCCTTTTCCCCGTGGATGGAGTAAATAACTATTCGAAGTACATCTATGTACACTAGCGCAGGGCGAACGTGTTTGAGCCCGGCGTGCATGGTACGTATTCATGTCCGTAGTAGTATACAATTACACATTACAAATGGCAGGCGCACCCCGAGAGACGCATTCCCGGACAGACGAACTAGCCGAGAGCGCGTCGCAGGCAGGACGCTACCGAGAATGGATTGTTTGTGGAAGGTCCGAGATCAAGAGAGCTAAAGTACAGGTTTGTTTTTCGTGGGGACAACAGGTACTGAAAAATACAACTGAGCGAAGTGCGAATGATGTATGCGCACACAGCCTGGGCTTTGAATGCATACGAGAGCTTGCGAAGAATCGGGACGATGCGATGGCTGGTGGTACAATTTGGTGATCATGTCTTGAATTGCAGCGCGGGAAGGGAGAAGACGTAGATCAGAGAAGACCAGACGGACACGAGACAGGGTGCGTGTAAAGGCCTGTCGTCGGGCTGCAAGTCTTCCTCGACGGGACGTGAAGCGGTTGACGTGTTTATTTTGCGGTATGCGGGCAGGTCGTGATTCGTATGTTGGCTTAGAAAAATATAAGTTATGCTCTATGGCGGAGGCGCCCGCAGCTCCGATCCCCACGGAAGCGGACATGCCCGCCAGACGTCCGGTACTGGCCTGGAGATGGAAGAGGGACCAAAAAGGCAGGTTCGATGACAGCGCGGGGCAATGACAGACCGCATCGTCGCTGCTCACACATGACGTCATCATATCGTCCTCTGCGCACATACACGAGTCAGTACGCGCATCATACATACGCCGCCAGACACCCTATAAAGAGGCGCAGCGGCGGGAGACACGGACGCACCTTCACGACCGACCACTGCACAATCAGTGCCTGATACGCTCCGTCAGGCTCTTCTGCACACCTCGCACGACAGGTGCTCCCCAGCGGGCACAGCGCGCCTTCCATCGAGCTCGTCGACAGGTCTGCAGCAGAAATGTGAGTTGTCGCTCGGATGACGCGCATATAGCCTCTTATGAACGCACCTGGTCGAGCATCCCATGCTAGATACGCCGAGGCCAGCGCCCATGCGCGCGTCAGCTTCTTCTGCTCTGTGAAGTCGCAGTCGGCCGTCGGCGCATGCGGGTGTGGTGGCGGCAGCAGGAGCCGCTTGAGCGCATCAATGCGCCCCAGGTGCAAGAAGAAGAGCTGCTTCAGATACAGCGGGCCCATGCGAGCAGCGTGCGCATCAGACAGGTTCCACAGCTGGAAACCAAGCAAGTGTGCAGACGCAGGCACGGCCAGATCGTACAGGTCGTGATGCGCCGCCAGCGCGTAAACATCGATCGGCGCGATCGGCGCGTGCGCGAGGATGAGCGCGTACAGCGGTGTCGAAGACGCACAGTGACGCGTCACGGGCACACCGTACAGCGCAAGCGTGTCAACCGCGTCGATAAGCGTGTCGAGCGAGGGCGAGTAATGCGCGCATGAAAGGCTGTAGATGCTGTGGAGGACGATGTTCAGGATGGTGGCGGGCTCGGGAAGAGGGATGACCGGCCCGAGGTCCTCTGAGAGACCGATGGCTTTGAGTGCAGGATGAAGGCCCTTCGGAGACTTCGCAGGCAGCAGCCCGCGGAAGCCATTCTCAGAGGCGCTTAGGATGTGGTGTGAATGTACGTAGAAGAAGACGGCGTCTGAGGAGAGGAGGATGAGGTCAGGCGGAAGAGGGTTAAGGTTGGCGGTGGGGAAGAACGTAGTCGAAACGGAGACAACGGCGTTTATCTCCGGATTGACCTCGCCAGGCGACCCTGTGTTCGAGGCCTGGAAAACGCACGATCAATCGAGGAGAGGGGGAGAAAGGTTTGTTAGCCGGCTGGAGAGAGAGGCGTTGACTGCGCATGCTTACCGGTGGGGTAGGCACCTGAGAAGGGGGGTGAGAGGCGTTCAAGAGGGACGTCTTCTCCGAGATAGGCTTCTCAGGAACAGCGGAAGCATCCATAGGGTCGGACACAAACTGGAAGACTTGATCCCATTCTTGAGTATCCATAAAGTGAGTGGGGAGGGGGTTTTGACAAGGAGTACACTGGCGAAGGGTTTTGGCTTCGAGGACGCGTCGCTGGCGCTAATATGGGCCGTGGAGGCGGGCTATAGCTGGGGCAGCACCAGGCCTTGGGTCGGATGCCGACGAGGCCGTACCAGATACGTGGCTGGATCGGAGTGTACGCCGTTGGATGAGGCTGTAGTCCGCGTGATGACGTGGTAGGGAGAGCCTAGGCAATAGAAGAGTGGTGGGGTGGCGTAGAACGGAGAACTTGCGTGTAGGTTCGACTGTGCTGGGTGAGTGGCGGGTGGGGATGAGGGCAAGGAAGGGGACTTACGGGGGGATAAGGGTGGACTTGTCGCGAGGGGGTGTATGCGCGCGCAATTGGGGCCGAGGGTGTGTATAAGTATCAGGCCAACTACCTTCACCAGCCCGACCCGCCGGTCCACCCGACAGGTTGGCCACGGCTGGTGCCGCACTTGCCCATCTCGCCCGCTGTCCCGTGCTTCACACCCACTCTCCGTCCTGGGCACCGATGCACACGTCTGCCCGCGACGCGTCGCAACGTCGCTCGCCCCCTGGCCCGTGCCCGCCTCATCTGCGTCCCCTAGAACGATCTTTCAGTACGGGCCGCGCCGAAGGCAGCACACTCGCCGAGCAGATGCCGGCGCATCGGTGATGGGAGACGGAGAGCATGACGTCGCCCAAACGTCGCCCCAGTCAACAGCTCTCGGGCCTTTTAGTGTCAGCCACAGCCCAGGCCCTCGCAAACTCTCAGCCACCGCTAACTTGCCGCTAAGTAACGGTCTCCGTCCCACCACCGTGTGCGCGCTCCCGGGATACATCGTTTACCAATACTGAGCAAAAATACACCGAGGGGTATCAGCACTTCCGTCTCGAATCTACATACATAGGCATCGCCACACTCGCGTTGAAGGAGAATCTGGGCCTCCGCTTCACCTCCGAATAAACGACTACATCGCGGACCGCCGCCCGACTATCGTGTCTTCTCTTCAGCGAGGATCGCGTCATTCAGCTCGTCTAGCGGAGCAAGCTCCTTCTTGTCCACCAGGTCAAACTGCGCGGAGTCGGCCAGGAGCATCCAGCCGTATTAGTGCACCAACTTCCCGGTCGATCACACGCACGTACCTCGTGTACGAACAGGAAGAAATGGCGGTAGCTGGTGTTCAGATGCGCTGCGGTGCATGTACGTCAGTGTCCGCACGCGGTCAATAGAGTTGGATGGATTGCGCCTTGGACACATGCGAGACAGATAGGCACAACAACGGCGTAACACCGCGCGCTATGCCAGGAAAGGCAGATGCTCGCCACGGAAAGGCAAATCCACGGGCACTACTGTATGATAGACTAATTGGCTCACCTTCAATGCCGAGCGCGCATATGTGGTCAAAGTGGTTGCTGTACAGGTGCGCATACACCCTGAACAGCCGTCGGAACATCGTCCGGATCGTATCGCGGAAGTTCTTCGGGAACGGCACCCCTACGCCGTGCATGAGCGCGTCTCGTTCCAGTGTAGATCAGGGATGCCCACCGATCCTGTTCGGGAAAACATCATCGTTGTCCAGGAGACCCTGCGCCCAGTTCATGAGCGCATCAACGTATTCGGGCGCAGGCAGCTTGGTTGGCCGCTTGTATCGCACCCGTCCTCCCAGAGGTACTCGTATCTGCGGCCGGCAGATCAGACAGTGCGTCAGCGGGATTCCGCCAAGCGCCGTGCAGGGGAAGGGGAGCATGGGTAGAATGCGCACTGACCTGGGGCCAGCGGACATGATCGGACACTACACACATTGTGCATTATGCCACGGGCCGCGGTAGTTGGGAGCCGAGCCAATGCCGATCAAATGAGGGAGGGGCGGGTGCACTATCATTAGGGGTGGGCGCGGCAATGAACACGACATATTGCGCACCTCCTGTGGCGTACAAAACTCCGTGACGGTCCGTAGAGCATGTTCAGGTGGTTGAAGAAGTCGACCGCTGCACCACCATTGTGATCACCACCAAGTAGATATCAGCCGCGGCCCACAGCCACAGCCACAGCGCCGACACGCACCATGCACCGCGAGCCACTCGTTCAAGTCTTCGCCCTCCGGGAGCGTTACCGCGAGGCGGAGGTTGCCTGAGCCCTGGGGCACAAAGGACACCCGGCATCAGCGTCAGCGGCATGCGAGAGGGAGTGGCTTGGGCCGCATAGGAGGAGGGGGCGGGTGGACAGGACATACGAGCGTCGCCTCAGCATACTTGCGCAGCTGGTACTGCTTGGTGCCCTCCGGGACGTCCTTGCGCGGCTTGAACGTGCGCGTCTTGCCGCTGCCCGGTGGGACGCGTTCGCTCAGTGCTCATCGATCGCGCGGTGGAGGGACTTACAGGCCAAAGAAGGAGGACATCGTGAGGATCCCGGGGCGTGGTCTGGTCGAGAAAGATGCGGATGCGGGAGTTGGTGGGGAGCGATATGGCACTCGCAGTAGCGAGGACGGTGAGAGTAGACGCCTGTGAGGGCGCGTACCTCCCAACCAGTCACGTGGATGCGCAGATCGCTATCTCAGTACTAACACCGACTACTTTGAGCGCTTGTGCCCGACTCGGACACAGTCAGGTACAGTGTATGCGTGTTCTCTCCAAGTCGCCGAGGCAATCGTACTACATCTGATATCCTGAGCACTGTTCCACAGGTCTTATGGAAGGCGGCGTCGATACTGAGGTCCGAATTTGATAACTATCGCAGCAATGTCGGTCGAATTCAGCTGAAGCTCCATCGCAGCTGAAGCTCACAGCTAGCTGAACATTGCTACGTAGACACATTCCTAAGAAATGAATGCACCCGCGAATGGCTTCGCGCCTATCTGGCCTTTACGCGATCCGCTCCATCTGCCACCGGGCGGCGACCTCAGCCAAACCTCTGGCTCGTCCTCGATGCTACTCCTTGTGGTAGAACACCCGAGAGACACCAAGCGGGGTACACCCTGCCTGTGTGCTTCTATGCTCGGTGTCTACCACACGGATCTAGCTGGAGCGCCAAGCGCTGGATGACTGCAGAACCGGGTCCGAAACGCCGCGAACACCCAGCGAGTCAAAGCGTGGCATTACGTCCCAGAGTGTACGTGACTCAGTCGCTGCACCGAAGCCGATAGTATGCGGCCTTTAGGTGCATCGATGCGCGTGCGATCTCAGCTCGGAAGGTCCACCATGCACGCGTCCGTGTACGGCGTAAATGGTCTCCTCACCGGCGCCTCTGATGATGTGCGGGGCTCCCATGGACTGGGGACGCTACGCTGCAGCCTCGCATGCCTCTATCACGCGTTTGCGGCCTTGTACTTAGAAGTGTGGATCGGACTCGAGAGAAATATGATTTAATGCCCGCCCCGAAGCCCCATCTCAATGGCGCCGAGATTGCTTTACAGAGACAGCGGCGGAGAATCAGAAATATGCATTACTCGAAGACTGGATCAGAAGTGTTGAAATCACAGAACAGAACATGGACCCGGGCCCGAGTTGGAAGGGGTACATGCGGTGTAAATTCAACCGTCTCTCGGTGGGATCTAATGAGATCTCCAGAATAAAATGCGCAAGTGGAAAGCGATCGAAGTACACCACTATTGAATCATACGACGGAAGTCCGACAAAACCGGAAATACAAGTACAGCTTCCGCGTTACAGATGGTCTTGAATTCATGTTTGGGGTATAATCTAAATAATGCGAATGGTGAGGGAGCTCGAAAGCGCGTCGAGACATCTAAATCAGGCTGTGAGCGAACCAGAATATCAGACAATGCAGAGAGTGACATCACACGCAAACTTACATGGCTCCTATGGCCCTGCAGCGGCCTATTGATCAAAATGGAAGTTATCGACGTGTCTCTTGAGCGCGTCGGACCTGCAGATAACCTTCGGGCAGTGAGGACACTTCTCCGCCGTACTGCCGTAGTGCACCGCGGCGAGATGCTTTCCCCAATTGTTAGCATCGAGCTCCTTCCCGCAGATGATACCCCCGGTGCCGTGGACCCAATTGCACCTCACGCGTCCATGCTGCAACTGCGCCGCGTGGAAGTCACGAAGGTGGCGCCGCTGTCCACCCACCGTGAGATCGTCCAGGTGGATTGAACAGCCTTCAAGCCCGCATATAGGGTGATCAACCGTCTGGTCCGCCGGCGGAACCTGCATGGGGACAGTCTGGAGCGGGGGTGCAGATGCCGGGGATATGGCTGGCTGGTAAATCTGTGGCGCCGCATAAGGACCAGGAACAGGCTGCCACGATTGTTGGATGGTCCAGGATGAACCAAGAGTGACAGAGGACTGCGCGGCAGTGGAGGCGGTCGTAGTAGGGCGGGGAGCCGCCCTCTGATTGGCGCTGTGCGCTGTGCCGGTGTCGACGCGCCGAACATGACTCACGCTCGACTCGGACCTGAGAATATTGTCAGCCAGCGAGTCTAGGATTGGCGGGGCGACGATCACATACCCATTGTGACCGTCCGTGGGCAAAGGGGACTCATTCACGGCAAGCCGGGATTGTGAATATTGCCCCGGAAGACTTCTGAAGGAGCAAAGAGAAGTGTCGGGTTGAGCGGGCATAATTCAGCCCTGAAAGCGACAGAGAGGCTCACCGTGCGATCAGCCTTCCCGTCTCATCAGTGGCCGGGTATCGACCCTGAATTCCAGAAGGGCCTCTGTGGAGAGCACACGTCAGGCTGCGTGTTGTACTTCCAGAACCTCCAGCGGGATTGGAACTTACTGAGCAAAGGAGTGACCAGCACCGTGTGGTGGAGAGTGTAACCTTCACGTAAATTCATTAGTTAGACCATACCGATATAGCAGGCTGGGACCAACAGGTGGGCTTCTGGCAATCCCATCGCGCCCTGAATAATAATGTAGCCAGCACTGGGAAATGCGGTTACTCAGTATGTCGACCGGGGGCTAGGAATCTTGTTGCAGACGTACTGAGTCCCATACGTGTTGTTGTCGCCGTTGACAGTGTGTCGCTGGGATGCCGTACCCGCGGGGCGCTGGACCGCGTTGCCTTCGGCCGCCGTACACCCATCGCTTGAGTCAGACTCGATATCTGTAGTGTTATCGCTAGAAGGTAGTTGGTTGACGTGCCCACGGTACTGCAACTCCAGGGGCAGGTGGCCGTTCATAGTAAGCATCGTGTTTCTGGCTGAGGACGGGGAGATTGGCGGAGGAACTCTTGGGGCAAAGCTGCAGAGTTGCTAGTAGAGTCAGCTTTTTAAGTAGAGGCGGGAAGTAAAACAGTGAGCAATGAAGCACTTCTCTCGAAACAACGCGCGGAGGCCATCATGATGTGGCGCTGACTTCTGGAGGGTCGGCGTCTGACAACTGCGCCTGCCTTCTGAACTATTGTATCCGCATACTGATACAGCAACATCTAGCATTCACCTGCTTTAGTTGACCGCAGGGTGTTCATCTTACAAGGGCCGACTGCAGAGATGGGATAATCTCCGTCTGGTTGCATACCGCGCCGCCGAATTTGGAGCTACTAACGTAAGTAATACGCAGCACTCGACCTTGCGAAACACAGCCTACGGAGGATCTAATTAAGCCTGCAAAGGTCCATGAGCCAGGCATGCGCCTCAAAAGACCTCGCGAGAGACGTACCACAATGGATACAGACTGGTGTTTTCGTGTTGGACATGCTGTGGTCGAGCGCTGCGTTCATGCAAGTTACCCCACTCTCCGATCACTCTCTACCAGTTGTGGCATCTGAGTGGAAACATCAAGAATTCGATCGATGCTCGGGTTTGACCACAGGCCTGATGGCAATTGGGCCGAAGCAGCCCCGTCCCGAACAGGGTTCAATCGACCACGGAGGAACTTGAACTCCGCTGCGACGTCTCGAGTGACGGTCTGTAATGGCCTCGCGAGTTCGGCGCGAGAGAAAGCGAGATCAGATCCAGCCGCCATGGCTCCCCCACGCCGGGAGATGGTCGCGCTCTCTTCGGGACAAGAAGTTCGTGTGTTGTGCATACCACCTTTTGGTGATCGTTCTGTCGTGCTTCCTGGCCCCTGTGGTCTCGCGACAGGCGTAAGTAGGTGAGATCAGACACGCAGAGCCTGAAGTCCCAACGTGGACACTGACAGAGGTAAGAGAAGTCTGCGGATCCAGACTCTTAGTTAATGAACGAACGGTGAGTCTCAGGCACCAGCTATACCAGCCATCGCATTTTGAGGGATCGCATGAATTCAAACCACAGGGATCAGGCTCGGGCGAGAGAAAAAATAAGCTGTCATATTTCGACACCACTGCCCTTGTACCAGAGGTATTTGGAAGGGGTAGAAGTCTGGGATGATTTCGGCGCGAGACCCTCGTCCCTCGATCTGCCGATGCATCAGTGAATAACAATCACAGTATTGAGGCCCAGACTGATATGAGATTGCCGAGGACACCTCCTCGACTGCCATTTGTCTTCAGCGCCGCGACACTGTATGAGAAGCAAGAGAAGTCTCATGCAAAGGCGCTGGCGCTGGCCACCCTTTGGATATGTTAACCGTTCCCGTGGTCAACGGGTATCTCATAGCCGCCAACGTTCGTACTCCTCGATTGGCATGACATGAATACATGGACCACGTTTTTACTCATTGGATCCACCAGACCTCCTGTCAGGGACCATCGAGCCGCAAACCCTTGCATTCATCGTAGGGATTTTTCCACATTCATCTGGAGTGGTCGACCCGAAATCGTGCCTCGTCCCTCGTAGGGCGTTCTGTCTTCGCCGCATAGCATTCGTCGACAGCTCCGCCATTGATAGCCGGAAATGTGGTGAACACGTTCAAGTAGGATGGCCATACTGGTCCACCCTCATGGCAGAACAGAGCTGTCAAAGAAGACTGGCTCCACCCGAGACGGCTGTGTTTACGTCCTGCATACCTTGAGGGCAGTACCACAGACCTAAATGCCAAAACCTGCTAAGGATCATGCCCGCAGCGACCAGGCAGCCTGACATCCGCCACAGTTACTTTCAACGCGCACTGGCAGTCTACACTCAACAGAGTGGCCAGGATAGTCACAGGTTCACGACGTTCGTAGCCACACACCTTTGCTCCCCACGCATGCTTGTAGATCAAATCGCGCTCCGCTGTACAGGACTTGAGACGGCCGGTTCGATTGCCGACCACCGAATTCCTGGATATGTATGCTCACCTCCGTACGAGTACTTCATGACGGAGGTACTCACAGTACTTGACTATAAAGAACGTTCCAACGAGTGGGCCTACAACCCAATGCTATTGAGCATGCGTGAGCAACAACGCGTGGACGACAAGCGGCGCAACAAACACCCACCCTAGCACAACTGTCCGATCCGCAACAACATTCGTCGATACATCGCATTGCCCGTGCAAAGCTCTCGGGCTCGGGTTCGTCGGGACAGGTGGCATCCGCGGAAGTATCTTTACCCGCTTTCGGACACTTTCCCGATCGAACTGGAAAGTGGCGGGACGCGATGTGGAGAGCGTCGACGTCAGTAAGTCGCAAGTCGCTGACACACATCGATCTAAACCCGAAAATGGAAAACTGGCTGACTGAGAATGGCAGGTGAATATAAAGGCAGAAACTTTCCCTCGACGAGTTCATCCTCACCACCATCTCACCAACTCGACATACGCTTCACCATGGGCCGCATTTTGTTCGTGTACACCTCTTGCTCGAAGTCCTTGACAGGCAGTGGCACAGTAAGTTGACAAATCTAACGACAAGTGACCGCTTACGAACGATGTCCACCAGGGATGGTACTTGCCTGAAGCCGCCCACCCTTACTATGGTAGGTCATCAGTCTGTGACCCTCAAGATATAGAGGCTGATACCCTGCGCGAAGTCCTCGCACAACACCACACGATTGACTTCGCTGCACCGAACGGGCCGAACCCACCCGTTGACGAGAACAGTGTGCAGATGTTCAAGGATGATGAGAGCCAACAGTTCTTGAAGGACGAGACCGTCACGAAGAAGTTCGCTGAGAGCAAGAAGCTCTCAGAGGTCGATTCCTCGCAGTATGACGCGGTCTTCTACGTCGGCGGGCACGGTCCTGTGATCGACCTCGCTTCCGATCCTGTGAACATCAAGCTGGCGAACGAGGTAAGCCGAGAGCATGATCTCCAGGTATGACACTTATCTGACCTTGGAACTAGTTCTGGAGGTCGGGAAAGATCACATCTGCTGTTTGCCACGGGCCTGCGTAAGTCTGCTCTGCACTGACATGTATTCGGCATCGTTAACATCGATCTGTAGTGCTCTTGTGGGGGTAACCGACGAGGCCGGCAACTCGGTTTTCAAGGGACGATCTGCGACATGCTTCACCAATGAGGAAGAGGTGCAGGTTGACGGTGTGAAGGTACGTTTTTCAGCGTATGCGATCTTCGTTTCCCTCCATCTCACCGGCAAACTTGTGTACAGATCATCCCCTTCTTGGTTGAAGATAAGATCAAGTCCCTTGGAGGAAAGTTTGACAAAACCGAGCCCTGGGGAGTGAGTACTTCGCTGATTTATTCTTGCACACGTACCCTGACAGTGGTCGCGTATTAACAGGTCAAGGTCTGCGTCGATGGAAAGCTGATCACAGGTCAGAACCCTGCATCCGCAAAGGGTGTCGGAGAAGCCATCCATGCGGCGCTGTAAGATCGAGGACGTACTGTTAATGAGGCTTGTACGAGTAGCATGGGCGTGTCTTAATTGACGCTATCAAAGCCAATAGTTGCTGGTGGGAAAGTGGTGACGAGACAGGTCAAGATCGACCACAGCTACGTCAGAGAACTCCCAAGAAGGCGGTACATTGAAAACGTAAGAAAATGGTACAGTAAATCAGATATAGGCGACAGACATCACCCATCCTTTCTTTAACGTGAAGCCGTCTAAGGCCTCTTTTGCGACCGATGCAAGCTCCGGAGAGTCAAACAGAACTTGTGCCATCTTGGCTTTCTGCCCAGCCGCATTTGGCGTTTGAGATGGGACAACTTGTGTGGATTGGAAGCCTTGGTATCTGAGTTCGTCCCGATCATGAGGATAGTGATTGCCAAACGAAGAGAGCTTGGACGTACTGTTGGAACAGCACGGATAGCACATCGTCCGTGACCTCCTGAGGCAAATTTGTACATAGCAATCGGGCAGATTGGTTATTCACAGCTTGAGGCACGACTCCCATCCCTGCTCGTTCGCGACCGTTATAATCACCGTGCTGTCACGCGGAAACGGGACGTACCACTTGTATTCGTTGTGGTTTGCCTAGGGCCCTCGTCGTCGTCATCAATCTCCATCTCCTCACCATCCTCATCATCATTCCTTTCCCGCTTAGCTTGCGGCCCATCCTCGTCCATGCGGTCCTCCCTTTGACGCTTCTCGCCGTTTGCTTGCTTGCCGTTCGTCACATTTTTTGCGTGCACAGATGTTGGAGGGATGAAGGTCGGGTCCTCGCGTTGCAACGTCGCATATGACTTTGACTTCGCATACTCTATCCGCTGTGGGACGCGTCCATTCAAGGCTTATTCGAATCAACGACTTCTTGACGGCACCGCATGAGATGACGGCGCACCATCGGCTTATCGTAGAAAACGATACCTTCGCACGCACGCAGCGCTGCGGTTGCACCTGCGAGATCGGCAAACACGAGGAACGCCTGCCCGCGCATCCTTGGACCTTTGATTGCGACGATGTCGATGACCCGTCCGTATGTCGTGAAAAGCGCATACAGCTGCGTACGCAGTTCTTGCTTTTTGACCTTGTCGTTCAGATTGTGGACGTAGAGCGTCGCATTTGGCTGCGTGAAGGACATTGTGGTCGGCGGGAGGTGAGTGGAAGGTTGACCTGCAAGATGTTCTGCAATGAGTCTGACGGCCAAGAGGTCAGCTGAAGACGGCGAGATGAACCGCACCGAGCCGGACCTGGCGAAGATCGAACCTGGTGGCTGGCCGCGTGTCGGGAAGCGCCCATTGCATCCCAGCAGCAACGTTCCACCGTGATCGTAAGCGCCGAGCGAAGGGTTTCACGAACGGTCGACACGTCTCTCTCGCCGAGTCTCTCGCGTCCCCCCTTCGAGTATTGCTCCCGCCTCGCTCAGGACACTGGTTCACTGCCTGGTACCAGGTACGCACGTTTGTCGCGTACTTTCCGTCCCACGCAGACTTGACCGCGATCGCAGACAGTGACAGGCCGGGTCAAAAAGTTAAACGGACGCGCTCCTGTAGCCATTGCATGGGACTTTGACGCGTCGCTCTCTCCCATTTTGCTGCCATGAACACCGACCAAGCCCCAGGCTGGCTGCCATCCTTCCTCATCCCTTTCGTTACGCTCTCGTACCCCACCGCCTCCCCGGCCGTGCCGGACTCCTTCCCCGACTCAAGTTACTACGGCACCGGTGTCCTCGACGGTTGCCTCATAATCACCTTCATCGCCGTAGCTGCAATTCTCCGCGACATTATAAGGCTATGGATTCTGGAGCCTTTCGCAAGATGGAAGTTAACGCGGGATCTCATGTCGAGAAGGAGGGCGAAGAGCAGCCTCGCTCGGCGGGAGAAAGCAGGCGCCGTCACCAACGGGAGCAGTCACGCCTCTCATGATAATGCTAATGGCCATGCTACGCATACGAACGGCAACGGTCATATCGACATTGCCGACGACCACATCTCCAAAAGGACGGCGAAGAAAATGCACAAGAGCGTTCTTCGCTTTGCTGAGCAAGGCTGGGACTTTATTTACTTCTCCTTCGTCTGGGGTCTTGGACTGGTCAGTCATCTATTGTGCTTCTTCATGTCTGCTGTCTCATGTGACGCCAGTACGTTCACTACCACTTGCCCACCCGCGTGCTAGATCCCATAGACGTCTGGCTAAAATATCCTCATATACCCCTTGCTGGACCTATCAAATTTTACTATCTGCTGGAGACATCATTTTACTCTCACCAGATTCTGGTCATCAATGCCGAGGCTCGTCGCAAGGATCACTGGCAAATGATGACCCACCATGTCATTACTGTCTTCCTCATGGTAGGCAGCTACTTCTACAACTACACCCGCGTTGGCTGCCTCGTCATGTTCCTCATGGATTGGTGTGACATCTGGCTTCCGGTAAGTGGTTTTCAACCACCTCAATCGTCGTCAGAGGGCTCACGTAATTTTCATAGCTGGCGAAGATGTTCCGTTACATGGCCCTCTCCACCTTGTGCGACTTAACATTCGTCTGGTTCATGGTATCTTGGGCCGTCACCCGGCATTGGTTGTTCGTGCTTGCCATCCTGTCTGCGTGGTCGGCCATGGCAGTTGACCCACCGTTGTGGGACCCTGTCTATGGCTACTTCATGACTAGTCCCGCAATCTTGACCTTCTTGTCCATGCTCGTCGCTCTTGAGGTGCGAATTTGTCAATAATGCTTGTGTGCGGATTCAGGCTAACAGCGCCTACAGGTGATTCAAGCAATGTGGTTCTGGCTGATCTGCCGAGTGGCTTACCGAGTCATAAGTGGGAAGGGTGCTGAGGATGAGCGTAGTGATGACGAGGGGTGAGTACATCGATTCAGACAATACACTCTTGCTCATAATATACGATCTAGGGGTGACAGCGAAGAGGAAAGTAGGAAGGAACGATGATGCAGACGGCCATGATATATTACCCTCACCTATTTCAGCGTGATTGCTTTGTGTGTGCTGTAGCGTTTTTGCTGTGCTACGTGCGCTGGTGCTGTTATGACAGTGCTTTCCACTTGAATTGATGGTTTCCCCATTCGTCCGCGGCGCTTGACCACGACCGAACTACTTGAGTTGCCTTATCGGGCGCATCGAGTGACCTCAGTGCTCGCAGTGTCACGCAGCGCGGCAGCGCGTTCCTCTGACTGCGACTCCGCTTCACTCTACCCTACCTCGGACTGCTACTAGCACATACCCCTTGTTGGCTCTCTCTTTGTCTCTCTTCTCGCCTCCATCGAGCAATATGATGGCTGGAATCATGGGCTACTTTGGTGGGCGTCGGGATGCGAAGCAATCCTCCCGGGACGCTATTGTCACGCTGCGGCAGCAGCTGCAGCTCATAGACAAGAAGGAGGAATACCTGCAGAAGAAGATTGACGAGGAGATGAAGAAGGCGCGGGCTAACGCCGTCACGAACAAGCAAGGTCAGTCTGGGTATCGTGATGGGCGACCCGCGTCGGTGGACTGACGGTGTGGCTGTGGAACCCCCTTGCGAATGCAGCGGCGACGGCTGCGCTCAGACGGAAGAAGGCGACGGAGCAAGAGCTTGAGCGACTGCAGGGCACACGGTTCCAGCTGGAGATGCAGGTGAACACGCTCGAGTCGGCGAGCTTCAACGCGGAGACTATGGCCGCGATGAAGAAGGCCAGCGGCGCACTCAAGGATATCCATGGCAAGTTGTATGTGCATTATATTGCGCGTTGCCTGTGGGATGCTGAGAATTGCCTAGGACCATCGACAGGGTTGATACGACAATGGCGGAGATTCAGGATCAGACGCAACTGGCGAATGAGGTGTCTGAAGCGATATCTGCCAACACATACAGCGGCATCGATATTGATGAGGTATGCGATCTGCATTCATCCCTTCTCAGTGCCATGCTGAGGACCTTTCAGGATGAGCTGAAGGCAGAGCTCGCTGGTCTCGAGGACGAAGAACTCGATAAGCGTCTCATGGGTGCGGATCACGTCCCAGTACATCAGCCAGGCGGTCCAAGCAGAGTGGAAGAGCGTACGTCAGGTCTTCAGCTCAACATATCTACTGTGCTGACTCGCTCGTAGGGCCGACAGCCGTGGAGGATGACGAGGAGGCGCAACTCCGGGAACTGCAAGCCGCTCTGGCGATGTGACAGTCGTCGCCACTTGTCGCCATCCCCTCATTGTTTCGTCCTCTCGCGCATTTCTGTCGGCTGTCCATCTGCTGTTACATTACGACTAGGGTTCCCCATCTGTTTATTGTGTCTTACTAGTGCTTTCACCACGAGTCGTGACGTTGTACATCTCCCTCATTTTCATGTGCCTTCCAGGCGGATTCCATGGCCCGCGGATAGAATGACTCGGACGCGCGCAGCTCAGAGCAAGACGACTATGTACGTATACATACATGTACACCAACACGATGTCATTAAGCACTATCGAGTGAGCTATGCGGTGATTCGGTTGTTTGCTAAGATCGACAATGGCAGTAAATTATTATGAGTGATAATCAGCGAGACGATGCGACAATGACTTCCAATAAGAGTGAAACCCGAAAACGTGATGGCGTACGCTTCATGACGATGAAGTCCATGCAAGAATGACCGCGTCTATGACAATGAACAACCTATGAGACAGCTGCGTGTCATGAGAAACCACGAATCCCTAAGACGTGCCGGACATCGCTTGTAAAGCGAAGTGAATCAAGGACGGGCAGAAGGTCCAGTAACGCCTCGTCGTGCGGGTCATTCGTCCATCCCTCTATGGGTATGCCGTTTGCTGTCGATGCGACGATCAGGGCATTGTCAACCGCGCCAGAGGTTGTCGAAGCTCACCTTCGTTGATACTATAACATACTGGTGAATTGTCTATGAGACAAACTCGGGCCAGGTCTGCTTCGACGACGGACAGGTCTTTTGTGTACGACCCGCTTGGCAGTTGTGTACATGACTGAGAAACGTCAGCATCAGGATAGCCGGTTTCTGCGCCGCCGACGGACCTCTCTGAAGAACCGATGAGTCAGGATGCCCCTGCCAGCATCCAACCAGTCAATGACAGGATCGGCATACTCTTGCATAGACGCCGTGAATATAACGAGCGTATACCACGTAGACACCTATTGCCATCAACGATATTACGTCACTGCGAATCTGAACATGGTACGACTACGAACCTTCCTCAGAAAATAGTCCACAAACGGCCTCTTGTAGACATGGTAGAGCGTACTACGACCTCCAAGCATGACCTCCACAACATGGCAAGCTCCCTTGTTCTTGTTGGAGCGGCCGTATATACTGAGCCCTAGGAAGCCCGAACCTCCCGACGCCGACAAGATCGGCCTCGACGTTGAGTGGATGAGAGTCTCGTCCAGATCGAGCACGAGGGTCTTGGGTAGATGGAATGGTGTTTTGCGGGCGACGCCGCTGGGTGTAGATGCGCGTGAGGAGGTCCTGGTGTGCGTCGCAGGAATCGTACGGGCGGCTGCCTCGGGATTAGTGGCGGGTGGTTCGGGTATCTCTGAGGGCGTAAGACCGACGGCAGTGGGCGGGGATTCTGGGGAGATGCTTGCAGACGGGGATTGCGGGGGTTGGGATAATGGTGGTGGGATTGCGGGGGGAAACGTTGGTTGGCGTAATAATACAGATTTCACGTCCTTACTCTCGTCTTCAGTGTCCTTCTCGTCCTCGTCCTCGCCATCCTCCACGGCCACCTCGTCTGCTACGCATGCTTGTTGCTGGCGAGTGATAGATCTCCATGCCGCACAGATAGAGTGCCATAGAAGCAGGAAGAACGCACGAGGTGTATACTGTGGAGGATGCCGCCAGTAGGAGGACCGGCCTTCTCCGCTGACGAGACGGACGGACGTCGAGATGGAGGCCTCGAGCCCGTTTGGAGGACGCCGAGGGGCGTCGAGGTCCATATTGTACGGGCTGATCGGTAGAGGCGACTGCCGGGGACGACAAGGACCGCTTGAGAGCCCACGCCCCCGACGACGAACTACCGGGAAAAGGGACGCGAAATGACTTCGTCGACCATGTCCTCACTCGCGGAAGCCGGGTCTCCTGCTGACGATCGCCAGCGGCCGAGAGGGAGGGAGGCGATTCTGAGACCGGGGTGGACGGTGGCGCGCGGGGAGAGGCTAGCACATCGAACTGGCGCGAGAGGTAGGTCAGCGAATTCATTTGCGTCGGCGCGACGCCAGAGGACGCTGCGGCGAGCAGAAAGTGAAGGCAGGCGGTGAGGAAGTGAACGGCGAAAGAAGCGAGAGGAGATGGGGATAGGACGCGGAGATGTCGGCGGGCACTGGCAGGCCAGAAACGCGTGTAGCGTGATTCCCGCGTGCGCGCCTGGGTCGACTCTGCTGCTGCCATGATCGCCTGCGCTCGCTCGTCGCGTCCTCGACCGTTCACGCTTTATATCGCATCTCTGCGCTTCAGCCTCTTGGTCAGTCTCCAGCTCCGGTTGGAACATGTCTAACTCCATTCTCGCTATCGCACCTCGCTCACGCCCAGCGTCCAGTGTGCTTCCCAGGTACTCTGCTTCTCGCATTCTTCAAATCAGCACCTCGTATCGCTGCTTCGGTGTAACCCCCTGCTGAACGTGCACTGCAATCGCGCAGGATCATCGAACGTGCGAGTCGACCATTGTCTTGATTCTGGCGCTGCCTACGTAGATAACGCGCTTGTGTGAGTACGTCCAATCCACATGTCCTCTCGGACGGTTCAGTTCTTGACAGCGCCTCGCGGCTTAGCGCGGCGTGCAATGCAGGCCGCCCGTTACTCGAGTCTCGGGACACGGAGTTCAACAGAACGGATCATTAAGCAGAGATCGAACCGATAGACCGCCACGAGCCGAGTTCAAAATGGTCCTGCATACCTAGGTGGTCATACTGCAACATCACTGGGACAAGGCTGTCCGGATAGTTGCCATGTCTTGTGCAGATGACAGTCCGAAAACGGTCGACTGCGATGTGTAGCCGTTGGTCAGAATCACTTCCGTTGAAGACCCGCCCGGTGCATGACGGACCAACATTTCTGGGGGACGCGCACCGGAACTCTAACACTTCAAAGAAATGAACAGCAAAGCGCTTGGTCATAACTCGACACGGACCGTCAAGCCTGTACACACGTGCACTGAGGTTGCTTGCCCGCGACGTAGGTACAACAGAATAGTCATCGGGACAATCATATCAAGTAACGGAAGCCCTTTTCCGTTATCCCCTTCTCTCGTTCCTCCTCGTCCATTTGCCGATTCAGCGACTCCAGATGAAGCTTGAATATATAGCTCATGATGATGGCGCACCCGCAAGTGGCAGTACAGATGGCGTAGGAGTATCTATATGTAGGTCCCCAGTTACTGGGCCATACATACCTGCACGGAATGATCAGTCAATGTCAGGGAGAGTCGATGATGCGACCTCTAAGTACTCACGATCCAGCCACGTTCCCGATTTGCGAAAAGGCATTGACCAGCGCTACCGCCACAGCACGTTTAGACGGTGGGCGAGGGAATGAGTTGCTGACCCATGTATACATGACCACGAAGCCGGCATATTGTTGCGCCATCAAGAACCTGGAAGCGACATTAGCCAGTTGGCTCACAGAGGACACGCACGTTCAAGGCGGAGTCTCACAGTGAAATGTATCGAGCCGCGGTGTTCATGGTGCAAATGGAGATGATGAAGCCTACGATGCCTATCGCCCAAGAGATCGTCATATGATAGAATCGTTCCTGTGTCCGATCGGAATGGCTGTAAATCTCGTTTGAGTGACCGATATCTTCCGTGATACGATTAGTACTCACCGGGAGTTGACATAGGCGAGGATGGCCGCAAGTACGAACGGAGGAGCGCACAACAAGAGCGACACCGTAGAGCTATATCCCAGCGTGGCACTGAGGGTGGGGAAATACGCGTTGAAGCTCAAGCAAACGACCTGGCTGAGCATAGCGAACGCCATCCACCAGACTTTCCAGTCCGTGATCGCCATCAACAACCCAGCTCCATGCCGGCCCGTTTCCGTTTCCTGTTCGTCGCCGACACCCGCGTCTTCTTCCATGCGCCGCAGAGCCAGTTGCTTCTCGATGGGACTAAGCCACCGCCCCTTCTCCGTGGCAGGGAAGTCAGGCAAGATGAAGATCGCGCAGATGGCAAAGAATACGGTTAGAGAACCCTCGATGTAGAACAGCCAGCGCCAGGCAGCATCTCCGAGCTTGCCTTGCATCGTGTCCAGGATCCCGGAAGCGATGAGGGAGCCGAACGCGTTGCTGATGATGTTGCCGCCATAGAGGATGGCGGTTCGTCTGCCGAGTTCGCTGCGCTTGTACCACTTGCTAATAAGGAAGAGCGCACCAGGGAAGAAGGCGGCCTCCATGAAGCCCAGGAAGAACCGCGTCAGTAGTGCGCCGACGAAACTTGAGATATTCCGTCAGTTCGAGGTAATTCCCGTTCTAGCGCCACTCACTTGTGTGTAATACCTGTCCCGACGGGTTCATTCAGGGGTATATGAAGACATATAGAGCACACTCACCCGTCAAGATGGAAAGAACGCCCCAGACAATCATGCAGAACGGAAGATGAAGGGAGGGCTTCCCGACATAATTCAAAATCATGTTCCTGTTGGCATCGAAATCATTGGACACTGAAGGCCTGATTTGAGGAATGAGAAGCTTACGAAGGTATTTGCATGATGATGTATCCGACATAGAGTATGGACAGCAACGTCGCGAATTGTTGGCCTTGAAGGTGCAAGTCGGCCTCAAGCCTCTCAGTCGTGCAGCTCTACGGGTGTTTCGTCAGTCATGGCCGGAGCGTCCCGCGAAGCTGTAGCATTCACGCTGCGTTGTTCCGATCAATCTAATGTAGAACTGTTGAGTGCATATGAAGCCGGGAAATGAGGTACTCACGTAGTTCATATGTAGATGATCACCAAGATGAACATCCGGGCATCCAATTTCAAGAGAAGTCTTCTCTCGAGCTTCCTCCGAGCCTCCGCCCCGCCAAACTCGGCGTCCGGGTCCTCCACGCCCACTTGGACGGACTCGACATCTTCACCTTTTCACGGGGGAATCCAGGTGGAGCTTGGAATCTGACATGGCCGCAGCGGCGGTACCGAGGTCGACGGTCCTATCGTCCATAGGCGACCTATGTTTATATAGTGAAGGAGCAGCGGCCCACCGTCTCCGGAGGCTTATGTCGCGTGCAGCTTCTGAGCATATATGTTGTCCCTTGGTCACCAGACCCATGAACCCCGGACGCTGTGGAGAATGCGCCCCGGACAAGCCTGTACTCGTGGACTGATGAGCGGTGTCTAGTACAGATCTGCTTGGACTATACCTCGGCGATAAGCATGCTATGCCAGCTCGGCCCACTCTCCGGAGAAGTCGATCTGCGTAGTCCTGTTACAGTGCCAACTGACGCGTCCACCGGATCTGCGAATTTCATTGATAGGGCGACCTACAGCGTCAGTTTGGAGGAGGAGGCTGAAAATCTCAGCAGTCAGTAAATGCTTCAGTGATCGACGCAGCCCGATGGGAGTTGTTCACATGAGCCAGCTCAAAGCTGGGCATCAACGACGTCTCTTTCCATTTCGGGACACCACAGCTCGGCGTTGCGCGCACGTGACCGACGCGAACGTTGTTTACGCGTGCGAACGCGCACCGCGCCAGGCGGGCGCTTCTTCCCGAGCCCGAGCAGGCCCTCTCGTCCACCAGCCCCGCCGCATGCCCGCCCTCCTCCCATAACATATCTCGTCACGGCCAGGAGAAGATTTGTTTCAAAGAAGTCTTGAGATTATGGCACACTCGATGGAGTTCCTCACGCTGGGCGAACGGGTCGAACACGCGATTGCAGCGCTTCCGACGCTGAGCAAAGAGGAGATCCCGCTAGACGACGCGTGCCCAATCTGCCTCCAGGGCTTCGGGGCCATATATGAAGGGAAGGCACAGGAGGAGGTCGCGGCTGATAATGGGCTCCCGAACGGGACAGACCCGGAAGAGCACAGGGGCGTGACAAAGCTGAGCGGGTGCGGGCATGTCTTTTGCAGATTCGAGTAAGCGTTGTGCTCTGTCTAGCTCTGCCAATACTGACAAGGAGTTTTAGCTTGATAGAATGGATACGTGGCTGGGTACGTGTCTTCTGCTACTACCGCCGCGGCATCATGTCTCATTGTCGTCGATGGACAGCACGGAACCTGTCCCGCCTGCCGCGCAGAGTTCGCGAACATCCGGCCTCCGTCCTACTCGGAGGACGGCTCCTCCGACGGGATACGTGCCCAATGATGACGAGACGAGGACGACCTCGACGAAGACGACGGGTTCATGGACACGGACGGTTCGACGCCGAGGGGGAGGACTACGACCTCGACTTCGACCTCGACGGCGACGAGGTCGACCTGGCCGCGGACGTGAACGCTTTATTGGGCGGCGGGGGCGCAAGGGGCCATGAGGGATAGATTGGCTGCGGACGTGGATCGTTCATGGCGCTCTTTGGGAGCGGGCGGAACCCACCGCGATACCCCCCGGAGGTTACCTGGCAGCGGATGCGAATGCCTTTATGCGAGAGTACACCGCGGGCAGGAACAGAGACGGCTCGGAGGCGGAGGTGTCGCAGGCCTAAACGCGGATGTTGGGACGACGTGGTTGAGGACAGGGCGATGTGGGAGCGCGGAGGACGAGGCGATGGAGAATTGGGGACTTAGCCATAGCGATGGAGACGCGTCGGAGAGCCTGTCGGAGGGGAGCTTTTGGTAGCATGGAGGATGACATGATGTGCAGGATGATGGTATGTCTACCTTCCGTCTCTCTTGTCTGTCTCGTGTGGATTCTAACATACTGTCATTACAGCTGCTGCAGTCGCGGAGCCAGGCTCGCCCTCGGCCGAAGTCCCAGAAGCGGAGACAAAATAGAGAGACAAAGGGTTCATACTGCAGGAGGATCAAAACACGGAGTCAATTATTCATCGTATTGTATATACCACAAGCATCGGTCTGTCCCACTAGGTTGCCATCATCCATAGTTCTGTTTGTATTCTACAGCAATATTGGCTATTCCATCATGCATTCCCGCCCGCAATCCGTAAGGCAGCGAGGGCCTCCTCGACCAGCTTGCTCTCCTTCTCCCGCCACACGCCAGTGAACTTGCCGCTCCAGCGACCCTTGCCGCCGCCCTTGACGTTCAGCTTCGCCTTGAGCGCGTCCCCCGCCTCCTTCACCTTCCCCTCGTCCGAGCCGAACACGAGCACCACGCTCGTGCTCGTCGCCGTCTGCACAGAGGGCGACGACGAGAGCACGACGAGGTACGGCGGCACGTCCGCACGCGCAGCGACTTCCTTCGCAAATGCCATCGAGATCGCATTCAAGAACGCCAGCGGGTTCGCCGCGTCGTCCGTCCGATGTCTATGCACAGCAGGCCCCTCGCTCCCCGCACCCACCACCGCGCCAACGAGGTCCCTCGCGAGCAGCCCCGCAAGCTCGGCCTCGACGTCCTCCGCGCGCCTCGTCCCGCGCTTGCGCTCCTCCACGACCTGCACGACGCGCTCGGGGACCTGCGACGGCCCGCAGCTGAGCGTGCCCGCGGTGTGCGCGAGGAGCGCATGCGTGGTGCCGAGGTGGTGCAGCAGCCGCGGGCCCGCGAAGAAGTAGAGCCGTGCGGAGGTCGTGCTCGCGCGCGCGAGCGACTCCGTGTGCGGGACGACGAAGAGCTGGAGGTTGTGGATGGTGGGCATGTGCGTGCCGCAGCAGCTGGAATGACGGGTAGGTTAGCGGCGGTGGTTAGGCGAGGAGGGGGGACATACGGACTGCGGTCGACGCCGTCGATGATCACGGTACGCATGATGCCGCCGGTGTAGTCGCGGGGAGGGCCTTCCCGATGTTGCGCCCGTTTTGGAGCGTTTCTTGTTCGGGGCTGTTCTCGCTGTGCAGCTCTTCTACCTCGACGTGCACGCTGCGGCCCTCGAAGACGAGCCGGTTGGCCTCCTCCTGCACGGATGCGATCTCGTCCGTGCTCATGCTGCGAGATATCTCGACGTAGCTTGGCGTGGGCCATGCCGTGAGCGACCACGAGAGCGTGGGTATGTTGCGCGAGTCCAGCACCGCTGAGAGCAAGTGCTGCGACGTGTGCATGCACGTCTACACCGGGGCGAGCCATTAGTGGGTGGCAAAAGAAACAGAAGATAATACGATCTTACGTGGTCAAGTCGGCGTTTCCAGCCGTCTTCTCCCAGTGCAACGCCGACCCTTGCGCCGGGGGAAAACGCGAGCAGCGCAGCATCAGCACTTTGATCCTTCGACCTGACATAGTGCACGGCATGACCTCCGTGTCGTTTGACTTCGATGACGTCCCACACATCGCCGTCTGAGCTTGTGAGGAGACCGACATCGGAGGGCTGCCCACCGCCTTCAGGGAATATGACGGTGTCGTGTAGGATGACTTCGATAAGAGGTTCGGACGGAGCAGGAGGCGCCTTCTCCTTCTTGCTCTTCCGTCCGTTGGAGGGCGGTGTAGGTGCCTGAGAGACTGTCGCGCTCACTACGGTTGTAGCGAGTTCACGCAGAAGCGGATCGCCTGGGGACGATTGAGCCTACCGTCGATCACAAGCAGAGCGGGCTCACACACGCTGGCACGCGAGCAGTCCGACGGGGATGGAGACCTTGTTGTCGGAGGGCACCTGGAGGGTCGGTGAGACGATGCGGTGGTAGGTGGGCGGGGTGACTGGAGGAAGGAGGACAGCAGCGGCAGCCATGCTGGTCGATGAGGGTGGAAGCGAAGACACGTACGATCGGGATCTGGGACGATCGAGCAGGCGTTTGATGGCGCGTCACGGCTCGGGCCAGCGGGAGGCGCACCGACGATTAGCCGGGGATGAGCGCCCCCGAGAGGTCGTTCTGCCAGCCTGCTGCCAGGTGCGCCGCCTCCCCATGGGCCGGACTTTCTGCCCCGGCCTGCCTGCCCCGCCCCCGCATGGCACCAGCCTCCCCGGCTCTGCTCCTCCGTGCTTGGCTTCCCTCCTGGTGGCTGGCAGGCTGCTGCATTGCTCCTTGATCGTTCATCCGGCGCAGACGCCGTGCGCGCGATAAAACCAGAGCCCCGTCCGTGCGGCGATAGCCAGCGCATCTCTGCTCTCCCCGCCGCGACGCGTGCTCTGCCGACGTGACACCTCCACCCGTTATGTCCGCCCCGGAGGTCAAGAAAGTCGGCGTGTCGGAGCTCGAAGACATTGAGCACCAGCAGCCGCAGCTCCTCGCGAACGACGCGGATGAGGAGTTTGGCGGTACGGAGGAGCGCAAGAAGCTCGAGAAGAAGCTGCTCAGGAAACTCGACCTCCGACTGTCCATCCTCATTGTCATCTACATCCTCAACTACGTGCGCGCCTTGCCAATGCTTCTGGATCGTCATGATCGACTGACATACCCTTGACGCGCAGATTGACAGGAATAACGCGTCGTGAGTGACGTCTGTGCGAGAAGATCACTTATCTTGAATGCTCAGCGAATCTGCAGAGCCGCGAGGCTACGTGGGTTCGAGGACGACCTCCATCTCAAGGGCCAGGAGTTTAACACGCTCCTGAGCATCCTCTATGTCGGCTACATTCTCATGCAGGTTCCCTCGTGAGTCATCCACCTTTTCGTCGAGTTCCTTGTGCTGACGCACAAACAGGAATATGCTACTCAACTACATGGGTCGACCTTCCATCTACCTGCCCTGCTGCATGATGGTCTGGGGGATGATATCCTGCCTTACAGGAGTCACTACAAAGTGTGTGCACCCTCAAATGTCTCTGTCCATATCCCGCTGAACGTCCTGCTAGCTTCATCGGTGCGCTCATGACGAGATTCTTCCTCGGCTTCGTGGAGGCTGCGTTCTTCCCTGGGCCCTCTTCCTCTTGTCCAAGTGGTACAAACGCTCTGAGCTCGGCGTGCGCACCGCCGTGCTCTCGTGCGGCAGTCTCATCAGCAATGCATTTGGAACCTTGATCGCCTCCGGTATCCTCGATGGCATGGATGGCAGGCTCGGACACTCCGCCTGGAGGTTAGTACGACTCCTGCGTCAACAGTGATGTCGAGAGCTCGCGGCTGATCGAGCGACCCATCCCCGCAGATGGCTCTTCTTCATCGAAGGCGCGCTCACGATCTTCGTCGCGGCCTGCGCGATCTTCGTGCTCCCCGACTTCCCCTCGACGTCGCACGGGTGGCTCAGCGCGCTCGAGGTGCGCCTCGCCGAGAAGCGCATGGTCGAGGACGTCGGCGTCTCGGACGAGACCGCGGACGCCGCGCAGAGCAGCCAGGTCGCGGGGCTGCGGATGGCGCTCACGGACTGGAAGGTGTGGTGCCTCGCGCTCGCGCTGACGAGCATGGTCATCTCGCTCTCGTTCAACGCGTTCTTCCCGACGCTGAGCGCGACGATGGGGTATTCGAGGACGGTCACGCTGCTGCTGTGCGCGCCGCCGTGGGGGTTCGCGACGTTGGTCGCGTTTGCGGTGACGAGGTGCGTGTGCCGGCGGTACCTGTGGAACGTACGGCTGTGGCTCACTGTATATTTTGCTCCTTTCTTGCAGGCATTCTGATAAAGTCGGAGACCGGTTCTGGCACATCGCCATCCCACTGGTATTCGGCATCGTAGGCTTCGTGATCGCGGCGAGCACGATGAACACGGCTGCGCACTACGTCTCATTGTCAGTCGTTCTCTGCATGCTCGCGGCACCTCTAAGCAACCTCGTCTACAGGTTTTTGATGGCGCAGTCCTACGCCGCATTCATCACCTTCCTCGCCTGGGTGAGCAACTCGATCCCGCGCCCGCCCGCGAAGCGCGCCGTCGCGCTCGCCTTCATCAACGCGTTCTCGCAGCTCGGGAACGTCGCCGGCTCGTAAGCACTCCTCCCTCCTCTTGGTGTTACCCGCCATGGCTGACCCCTCGTGTCCTGATAGATACGTATGGCCGACAGGATGGGGCCCGTCCTACCGCTACTCGTACGCGATATGTATCGCGACGAACGGGTTCTGCATACTGGTGTGCTACGCGTTCAAGCGCCATCTGGAGCAGCTCAACAGGCGGTTTGAAAAGCGGGAGCAGGAAGAGGGCCTGCCGAAGGGTTTCCGCTACTTGACATGACCGTGCCAGAGCATGACGTGTACTCGATGATATTCATGCCCTTCCAAAGTTACTCTACGGTTACGACTGCACGCACAATGTATTATTACCCGCACTACAACTGGTTAAGAGTCTAGGGCCTTGGCTACCCTCTATGTGCACAATCCCGAGGTTTGATGACCGAGTCTAATCTGGCCAAGATCTGCCAAGATCCCGGACCGATACAGCAGAAGACTTACCACATTTGGCAGGTCACCTTCCGGATTAGTCGGTGGCGGCCGGGTGTTGATACAATTGTCATGTCGCGCGACGAGGGCTACAGATTCCCCAACAACAAGCCGTCCATACGCGTCATGCCTGCGGAAGACCGAAGTATGATCGCATAGGGTAGTGCCCCAAAACCGGACCGATGCAGCCCGCTCTAAATCCCAGGAACGCCAGTCGCAGAACGCAGAGGACCCATCGCACTTGGTGGATGTCGCATCGAACAGCCCGAGGAGCTGCCGACGGACTCAGGGCGGTGGGCGGCGGAGGGCACTTGGGAGGCGGCAGACTGATAGCCTCGGGGATTTCTCGGACACAGCGCGCGAGTGCCCCTCCCGGCTGCCCTCCGCCGGCGCGTCCACCCGTCTGCTGACCCTCCCCTACATCGATGCGCGACCGTTATAATGCGCAGGCCGTGGGTCGCCCGGTCTCTGCGCGCTCTGTCACAGTGTTGATCTGCGTCTTGTATCTGAGTATCTGCATTGACATGGCATCTGCGAACAGGACGCTGCATGACGGGTGGAGCTTCACCCAGGTGGCGGGGCCCCGAAGGACGTGGTGAAGGAGGGCGAGTGGATCCAGTCCAGGCATTCCAACTACGGTGCATGTGGAGCTGCTCAAGGCAGGCAGGATTCCGGACCCGGTGAGCTGCATGACGCGCCGCTCCGAGGTTCATCGCTTATGACATCCATCTGGATGTAGTTCATCGGGTTCAGGAATGGGATGTGCAATGTACGTGCTTGGAATGGCCACGATCTGAGGGCTAGAACTGATAACGATGATGCAGGGATCGGCGAGGTGCCTTGGGCATTCAAAACCAAGTTCACTGCTAGCCATACGGAGGTCTCGGCCCCGAATGTGGACCTGGTCTTCGATGGGTTGGATACTTTTGCGACAGTGACCTCGTGAGTGGTCCGTCATATCGTGGAGTCGCACTCGGAGTGACGAGCAAGCCATGCGTAGAACGGTCACAATATCCTAGAGTAAGTAACGCACATTCGTCTTCGGGTCTACGACGCTGATTGTGCCCAGGACGGATAACCAATTCGTCGCGCACCGTGTCCCTGTTAAGCAATACATCAAAGAGGGTGCCAACGAGCTGGTCATTACGTTCGCCAGCGCGTTCCGGAAAGTAAGCGGGCGGTCGCAGCCCTCTTAAGACTGCTGACCACCTCGCGCAGGGGAGAGAAATCGAAAAGGCGCACCAAAAGTACAGCCTCTGGAACGGCGACTCCAGCCGTCTTCACATCCGCAAAGCACAATACAAGTGGGCCGCCAGACTCTCTTCCGTAACCTTAGCTGAACAACGTCCTACTCCGCGCAGCTATGGTTGGGACTGGGGTCCGGTGCTCATGACCGCCGGCCCCTGGAAGCCCATCAAGCTCGAAACCTACACCGCTCGCATCTCCGACGTGGACATCCGAGCGCGGGTGGCCGAGGACCTCTCCGCGACGCTCGAAGTCAACTTCGCGCTCTCCCGGGAGGACAGAGCATCGCGTCCGTCAGCCTGAAGGCCGCAGACGGCAGCCTAGTCTCCGGCCAGAACAGCGTGCGGATTGCGCAGTCGGGGGCGAAGGCGACGTTCAAGATGTCGGCGGGCACGTACGAACTGTGGTACCCCGTGGGGTATGGCAAGCAGCCGCTCTATACGGTGGAGATCACTGTGGCGGACCAGGTAGTATTCATTACCCCCTTCATGAGCGAAAACACTGTTGACAGTGGGGTCATTCTTACGTCTAGCATGGCAATCAATTGGACCATACGACACAGAAGGTCGCTTTCCGGCGCGCGAGGATAGTACAGGATCCACTCATTGATCAAGAAGGTCGCACGTTCCTCTTCGAGATCAATAACATCAGAATATTCTGCGGTGGTACGCATCGGAATGATGTCGACGTCGACGAGCCAGTCTTCTTACACTAATGTTCTTCAGGCTCGAACTGGATCCCGGCGGACTCCTTCCTCACTACGTACTGCTTTACCCTCCTCCTCTCGTCCCCTGTTCCACGATGCTCACGCGGTTGATGGCAGGATGACCCGTGAGCGGTACCTGGCGTGGCTCCAGCTTCTCGTCGACGGGAACCAGAACATGGTGCGCGTCTGGGGCGGCGGCATCTACGAAGCAGACGACTTCTACGACATCTGCGATGGTGCGCATCCCCTTCACATCGTTGGCTGCTGTGCACTTACGATCCGGCTTGACTTCTCTGCACGTCGCCGTTTACGTTACCATAGAGCTTGGCATCCTCGTCTGGCAGGACTTCATGTTTGGCTGTGGACAGGTACGTCGTCGTGGTCATCTGGCTTCGCGCGCTCGCGGCTGCGGCTCATCGATGTGACTTCTAGTACCCGGCATATGACTCGTTCACGAAGTCTGTTGAGCTCGAGGCTGAACAGAACGTGAAGAGACTGAGGCACCATCCCTCTGTGTCATCTTCGGTACGTCTAGCATGCGCGCCAGCCTGTCAACCCGGCGGTCACTCACCACCGTTCCATTCAGCGGGCAACAATGAAGGTTCGTCACACGACCAGCGCTGTCCACGCTGTCTCTCACTGTCGCCGTGTGCGGTCAGACTACCAGCTCGCGGAGTCCAACAAGCTCGATCTAGACTACAACGACGAGAAGTCGGACTTCCGCCAGTCGACCTTCCCCGCGCGCTACATCTACGAACGCCTCCTGCCGTCGGTTGTCGAGCGGCTGTGCGACATACACTACCACCGCAGTTCGCCATACAGTGGGTTCGGCAAGCCGACGACGGACAAGAACTACGGTGATCTGCATCAATGTCAGCAGCTCAGATCCCTTATAGCTCAGATCTGTTGCTCATGATGACGATCGTTACGGCATCAGGGAACGTCTGGCATGGCTCGCAGGAGCCTTGGCACAACTGGGACATCCTCGCAGGGCGGTTCGTGTCAGAGTTCGGCATGTGCGTGTTCTGGTGCTGTGGTCACGCGACCGCGTCTTGACTGGCGTGGACGGACAGGGAAGCGTATCCTGACATCCGCACGGTCGACTACTGGCTCGGCGGAAACACGTCTGAGCGGTACCCGCAGTCGAGGTGCGTTCGGGGAGCCCTGGTGCGCCTCTCCATGGGAATGCTGAGGCACGGTGTAGGACGATGTTCAACCACAACAAGGCGGATGGCTTCGAGAGGCGCTTGGAGGTAAGCCGCACAGCTGTCGCTCGTACCGCGAAGCGCGGATCTGAATGGGGATTCGCAATTGAAAGCTGTACTTGGTCGAGAACTTCAAGCACTCGTTCGAGATGGAAAGGTGCGCTTAACATGCCGTTTTCAATAGCGTGCGGTTCTGTTGCTTACTCCTGCCCCGCAGCTACGTGTATTACACCCAGGTCATGCAGGCGGAGACACTGGGCTCGGCCTACCGCCTGTGGAGAAGGAACTGGCGCGGTAAAGGAAAGGAATACACGGCAGGTGCTCTGGTCTGGCAAGTGCGCATGCTCCAAGACGTACTATTCTTTTCGTCCTGCTCACCTGGCGGACCAGATCAATGACTGCTGGCCGGTGACCTCATGGGCCATCGTCGACTACTTCCTGCGGCCGAAGCCCGCGTACTTCGCCATCAAACGCGAGCTGCGGCCGTACACCGTCGGCATGACGCGGAAGGACAAGCAGACGTTCGCGGACGACCTCACCGCCGCGTTCTTCAACCTCGACACCGTGCTCGAGATCTGGGGTACGAACAGCACGCTGCAGGAGAAGCGCGCGGTGCTGGAGGTGACCGCGTTCGACCTGCACTCGGACTGGCGCGAGACGTCCAAGCAGGACGTCGCGCTGGCGCCCAATGCGAGCACGGAGTTGTTCAAGGGCCTCCTCCCCGGCCAGCCCAGGCGCACGAAGCTCAGCGAAGCCCCGAAGACCATCGTCGTCTCCGCCCGCCTTCTCGACGCCTCCGGCGCCGTCCTCGGCCGATACTCGAACTGGTACGTCGTCCCGTCTCACAGACCTCGCCGCCGTCCGTGTCTCCCCCCGCGCGTCTTTCCGTGTTCCCCTTCCGAGTCCGACCGAGCTGAGAACGGTGCTGCAGGCCCGAGCCGTTCAAGTACATCAGTTTCCCCGACATTAAAGACGTAGGTCTCAGCATCGCTGTGGGTAAGGACGGCGAATCCGTGGAGCTTTCAGCGAGGAAACCGATCAAGGGGCTCGTGCTCGACGTCGAGGGGGACGCCGTGCAGTGGAGCGACCAGGCCATCGACCTCGTGCCGGACGACCCGCAGGTCGTGAAGGCCGTGGGACTGAACGGGCGGAAGATCAAGGCGAGGTTTCTCGGCGACGGGACGGCCTAGGCGTCTCCGGGCAACGAGGTGCGGAAGATGTCGAGCATATATGTATTAGTAGCAGCGTGCATGCCGTGAATGAATGCGATAGGGTTGTGCGTTGACGCACGCAGCGTCATACCGTAAGCACCGTGACTGAACGCGCATGTTGGGGTGCGCTAAACCGAGCGGGCAGCAGCGAATCGGGGGGAGCAGTATATGCTATTAGGATCTCGGCGAGAGGGTGTACATAATAGGGGCCCCACGAGGGGCGGTGCGCGACAACAACAATCATACAGGCTTTTACATAGGAACTGTAAGGATAAAGGCATAGGCACGCGGCTGGAACAGAAGGCAGAATCCGACAGTCCAATATACAAGAAACCTGGGAGGGAACGAGGCGGGCAGCGGGCGTCGTGGGGGGCTGCGATTGGTGGGAGGACAGACGTCGCCGCGGGGAGAGCGGGTGAGGGGAGACAACATCGAGGGCAGCAGGACAGGCGGAGACAATGCAGGGGATGGTGGGTGCGCAAGGACAGGGGATTGCGAATGTTCTATGAGCCAATGCAAGATGCCAGGGAAGAAAACAGAACGTCTAGAGGGCACATCACATAATAAAGCATCTGCTCGCTGGAGGCTCCACTGTCTTGCTATTTGGTGTTGCTTTCTCGATCTCTCCGAGGACGAGTTGGAATACCTCGGCTGTGGCGGGGGAGTGAGCATGCTGGGACTGTCCGAGCGGGGCGAGGGGGCACGCACCAACATTCTTGTTGGTCTTCGCACTTGTTTCGATCCACGCTGAGTGGTGGCTCTGTGCGAGCTCTTCGCCCTCCTCGGGTGCTACCTGTCTGGATTTGCTGTGAGGAAAATGAAACGTGGGCGACGGGTTTGGGTAGCAACGCGGCCGCCGCAGTGACGGCAAGTTGTGCCAACGCTCACCTCTGCTGGAGGTCCATCTTCGCGCCGACCATGACGCACGGGATGGTGTTCTGGCCGCTGAATTCGGTGATCTTGTCGTAGATGATGCGCACCATGTCGAAGGAGTTGCGGGAGGTGACGGAGTACACGAGGACGAACCCGTGGATGCCTATAGCGTGTTTCGAGTTGAGTATGGAGTATTCGTCCTGAGCGAGAAAGCGGTGAGCACGGCGGTGGCGAGGCGAGAAGGGTGCATACCTGGCCAGCGGTGTCGATGATGTCACAGTCGTACTCGATGCCCTTGTAGTTAATGCTCTTGGAGAAGGTGCTTTCGATGGTAGGGTAGTACGACTCGACGAATTGGTTGTCGATGAATTGAAAAACAAGCGACGATTTCCCTGGAGAGCGGTAGTTAGCAACGGGTGCGAGGTGGCGGCCGGGGGCTGGGCTGGACGCGCACCGACTGAACGGGAACCGAGGACGGCGATTTTTCTCTTCTTGAGAATGTCGCTCGGCATTGTGAAGAGGATTGGGGAGAAAGGGGATTAAAGGGAGAGGTAGTAGAGGACTAAAAGGGAGAGGAGAGGCGCCAGAGACGAGCCACGAGCTGAGCCAGCCTGAGCCACCACCGATGATCCGCGCCGTTTCTCCGTCGCTGCTACCGTCGCGACAAATCCAGCGACCGCGCCCTCCGTTTAGCCTTTTGACGTCCCGTCGTCCTCCATTCCTCCCCGCCCACCGCCTCTCGTCCTCTTACGTCCCCCTCCTCCCGGATCTCGCCCTGCGCCCTCACCTGAGCACCCCACGCCGGTCACACCCCCACCGTCGCCTACAACATCTGCGCAAGCCTTCTCTTCGCGCCGCAGGCTTGCCTGGATCCCCACAGATCTCGCGCTCCCTCGGATCGATGCATTTGTATTGCTCGACAACTTTGTACGTCTTCTTGGCCTCACTCGGGCGCGTGCATGTGCCCCCGGCGTAGACTGCGCTCTTCCCCGAACCGTCTAATCCGAATTTGCGCCCGATGGCCTTTGCACCCTCGCATCCGCCCCTCCGGATTTGCTCTCCTCTATTAGCACCTCAGATCTTCACAGTCTAGACAACTGGCTGAAAGGTACGGTCCAAACTCGTCTCATCTGATGTGCGTCCAGGCGCCATCTTCCGGCTATCCACCTCGTGGAACACGCCTTTCGGCGAGGAAACAAGGATGCGGGGTCGTAGAGGCTCAATCGACAGATCGCTGCTTCTGCGAGGTGGTCCTGCCCCTCTGCGAGATCAACTCTGATAGGCAGGCGTGTGCCCGCAACGGCCGGCGCTGGAGGAAAATTCGCCATTGGACTAGAAGGGGCACGTCGCTCACGCCCCCTTACGCGGTCCGCCCAACACGACGGCCAGAAGGTAGGCAGACTTACGACGATGGTGTAAAGGGCTGACGCACAATCAGCGCCCGCGTAGACGAGCGAATCACATGCGACTCCGCTGGTCCGAGGATACACCAAGGGAACGGAGAGGCTGCTAAAGGCGAACACCAACACCGGACCTGGATGCACATGGCAGGGTGGCGCCGAGCTGGCCAACAGCAGGAGAGCTGTACGATATGGCTGCGGAGAGGCAACATCAATGCTATCTGCACTTCATTCTAACAGACAGATGATGCATCGCGCTTGATCAGGAATCCGGGCTCTCTCTCTGCACTTTCGTCCCCTCGCGCTCCGACCAGCGCCACGGCCGCAACATCTCACCCGGACACAATAGCGGAGTCGAGGTACTGGCCTGCTCAAGACGGTGCCAGTAAGCTATGAACCACGCTCCGCGCGATACACGTCAGCGTGTCCGCTGTATTGAACATGTGGTACGTAGTAGCCGTAGCAAGGAACGACCCGACAGGCTGCACTGAACATCGCCCGGGAGACGTATTTGTTCCGCGAGCGACCGGAGGAGAATTGCCTCAGCCTGCGACAGTGCAATCATATCAAAAGCTTAACGGAGGGTGTAGGGAGACATCTGGCCCGTACCAGAGCCGCAGAGACAGGTCTGTCATCGCTCGCCCGACGCCGGCTGTCACACAGCTAAGTCGCCGAGCTCTCCCTACATTGTTCGTGCCGTCGCAGAGCCGCTCAGCGGCTAAGGCGGTTAGCATTCAAACGTTAACCTGCGACTTGGACAAGGTTCTGTTCGCCTGGCGGGCCACATGCATGACGTTCCGTGTGGACAGCAGCCTTGCCGCAATGGAGACAGTCGCAGCCGCTGGTTCAAACCAGTTGAGACGCCCTGCTGAGGAGAATCCCCATAGCATGGCAGACCATGGAAGCTACCCGGACGAGTAAGCGCGACGGATGGACAGTTGAGCGAGTCGCCCTGATCGGTGGCTCTGGGAGACGCATGGTCCGCGGCTTATATGCGGATTCTATGCATGATCGCCGCTTGCGGATTTAAGCAAGTGGTCTGTTTGGTGTGGAAGGCGATCGCGCGGTTGCAATTTGGGTGGCCTGCTGTTACAGCGTTGGCTGACGAATGCGTGATGAACCTACTACTTGGAACCTACCCGCCTAAACCATCCGAAGGGGGCGGCGTACGAACGTCTGGCTTATCGCTTCGACAGATGCAAACCTTGCTGCGGTCAGCTCGTTGCCAGTTGTCAAGATATACAGGAGTTACCCATGTCTGGATAAATGGGGTCCGGATGCTGAGGCGACTTGCTCTGGACACAGCCCTCGTTCCAAGGATGAAGTATGCTATCTGCAGCGGTAGTAGATATGAACGTAACTTAGACGGTGTTATTTGGAGGCGATACAGCTCACCTGCTTATGGAAATTCTAGTAGCATTCTGGCAGTCAGTGTCGCGGATGGTACGTGTCTATCTTCATGCTTGGAATGAACGCACTGTGCAGAGTACATCAGTCTTGCGAGTATATTTATGTAGCACAGAGTAGTCCTAGTGCTCGTCAGTAATGGGCTCTTCAGGCTTACACTTCAACGAACATCGAAGCATCCAGTCGTGATCATGGCACCAACTTGAATTTGCATGCCGTGTTACAACGTTTCCTATAGCTGTCTAGGAATCGTCTGTCTCGGATAGTGATCTCTTGAGTGCCGGGATCACACCTTCTGCAAACATACTATGCCCGATGAGAGTAGTGAAGAATCCGGATTATAATTGTCGGCGTTGAGTAACAGAGACAGTCTACAGCGTACCCAGAGGGTCCCAGACCGCGACGCGCGTCGAAACGCGGTCACGTGCGTGACTCATGGTACACAAACGTGACCGTTCGATTTCGAACACGAACTTCAACCAGCCGCAACCGTGTTCAACTCCATCTTCACCGCAACCACCATCCATCCGTCCCGTCAAACCTCACCGCTCTACTCGCCTCACACGACGCCCACGACCTCGATCATCATGTCTGCCACCACGACGCCCAACGACTCCCCGGTCCACGTCCAGCCGCTGCACAACCCATCACAAGCAGCACACGTCGTTGTGCCGCAGGCACCGCTTGGCAATGCGACCAACGGAGTTTCGAGCCAGGCACCCGCACCTGGGATGGGAGCGAAGGCGCTACTGGCCAGGAAGATGTCGAACCAGTATGTCTGTGTCCCAGTGGCGGGTGGCCTGGATTGACTTTGTTCCCTTTGTTGCAGCAACCCGAAGTACATATCCCCGACTGACAAGATGATGACGCCCGTCAGCCAGAAGCTGAACGCAGCGAAGCAGAAGCACTTCACGAAGTACGTGCCATATGTCTGCCGCGCGCTCTGTGGTCGTGCTGACCGCTCGACGCAGGGGCGCAAAGCCCATGCAGTCGCTCTTCCCCCAGAAGGAAGTGGCCTCCGACCCGGAGAGCGGCTCGGACGAGGAAGCATCATCATCACCGGTCGAGAAGACGGCAGCCGACGAGAACCCGTTTAGTGCCGTCGACGACGCCCCCCCTCCCCCACATCGTATTGTTATTCCCGCTTGGCTTGTACGACTATCCGCCCGATACCTCATGCACCATCCTCTTGCTACTCGTTTGTTTGTCTAGTTTGCACCAGTTATGCATCTTGTACTACCATGGGCGGGCCTCAGGGCGCTGCAATCGATTGGATGCAGCCGCCGTGAACCAACCAGTCTTGCTTCGAACGTCGTACCTATCATGAAGACTCAACGTACTCAACTTCAATGCAAGCAGAAGATGACTGCGGCCGCCGTTACATGAACATTCATATATCCGACTTGGCCTTCACATTGTTCGTCGCCGGTCGCCAAGAGTATCGTCATGCAGGGTGCAATGCCCTGCTGAGTTCTAGCCGTCAATTCCCGTATATACAGAGTGCGCGTCGCACAGAACTTCTCCAAGCTGGACACCGTTCCCAGACTAGTCGAAGATGGGTTCAACATCACACTCATAGACGTTGCTGACACAACGAATATCAGACATTGGCAGACCCACCTATGCTCAAATAAGCTCCACTTTCCCTTGGTCCCTCTCATAATCACGTAACGCAAAAGTTGCCGGTTCGCTCTAGTCCGCTGCGATCGTAATCCGGACCATGCCCACAGTTAATAAGACTACCGTCGCTGTCATTCCCTGGACGAGACTAACCCAATTGGAGAGCAATCCCGGTACATACACTTCGTGCGACATCCCCCAAACCCGACATATGATCACCGGAATGACCGCGCACGGAACTCCGGTTTTCACCATGACGTTGAACGTGAGACGCCGTCAGGCCAATTCTCGGACCGGTACATTTCGTGGCGTACTCTCCAGTCTGCTCGCCTGCATTCTATGATCTATAAGTATCCAGCTGGGCCTTGGAGCATACGGTTCGGTACCGCGCGCTGAAACGAACCCCCTCTTGAGCTTGATGGCGGTACCAATGGAACCAGAGCCTGGACGCAGCAGTGAGATCAGACAGAGATTGATCCAGCTTCACCCGACTGGCAGGCTCAAGGAGCATTTTATATGTATACCTACAAAGAGCGAACGATGCGCCTGCATTAACGATCGTCAGCAGTAAGCGGACAGGAGTAACTTAGGAAATGACGTAGATCCGAATCCGTAGGGACGGCATATAAAAATGTCCATGGGTCCCAAAATGCAGCAGTAACGACTCAACGACGACGACGATGTCCATATCCCAATCCACAGCCCATGAACGACATAAGTCTACTCAGTTCCTCCTGCAGCACCGGAAGAGATTCCGCTTGAAGAAGTAGAACAGGCACTAGGAACAAGCGGTGAGCATCGCGAGCTCCGAAGCAGAGTGAGTCGGACACATACGCCTATGAACCGCACGGCAGCCAGCCCGAATGTCGAGTACAGGATGACGGCGAAGTAGATGTTTTGCTTCTTCCGAAGCGTATCGTTATCGACGTCCTCGTCGCCGGAGCTCAAGCCGTTCAGGTTCTCAATCGAGATGGCGAGCGTAGCGTTCGAGAGCATCCAGAACGAGACGAGACGTGTACGGAACGTCTTGTTCTCGTCGTCCATCGTAGGCTTCTCGACTTCCTCCTTCACCTGCAGTTTTGTCACCGCACGCGTCACGGTCTCCTTGAAGTGAGCGTCGAGGTCTTCCTTGTTCCTTGAAACATCCTCAACGACGGCAGTATCAGCGTCCTTCGATTTCTTCGACGAGACAGACGGCAGAGCTTCAGCCTTGTCGCTACCCTTGGTACCCCAAGAGACCTACACAGAATCGGTCAGTACTGATGCGACGTGCAGGTGTATTTCACCAACATCGTGAAGGTTGCAGAACGCATAGACGTTCAAGACGTTCGTGAAACTGGGGGCCAAGCAGAGGTACTGAGGGAAGCTCGTGAACATGTGCCAGGGGTCGCGCTGAACAATCGATCAGCTACAATCTCCGCGAAGAATTATACCGGGCTCACGTAGAGGAATGAAGATATCAGGTAGATACCGTACGTTGCCACCATGGCGACGATGAGGGAACCAACAGGAGGCGTCAAGAAAGTCAAAATGATTTGGCTAACAGTCTTCCCCTTCAATTCTGAAGGAACGTTCTGCAAACAGCGTCAGCAGTGAGTCAGATACGCGCAGTGACCGCATGCTATTTACCATGAAGGCTTTGATGGTAAGTGCGAACGAACAGACCAGCAGGTAGACGGATAGAATGGCGTATACCCTGATGTGTCCACAACATGTAAGCAAATGTCAGGCAATTGAAGGCGTCGGACAAACCATAGAGTGATGGTGTACGCCAGTCGTTCTCCTTTTGGTCGATTGCCCAGCGCGAGGATAAATTGCAAGCAAAGGAACGCGAGGTAGACCCACTTCAGGGCCTCGTTGACCCAATGCGTCTTAATGGGAGATATAGTATTGGACAGACTGCTGAAGAGATGCAACTCACGATTTCCACAGTGCCAAAAAGAACAAGTTTTTGACTGGGCAGGAGTTCGATGATGATACTGAACGTGAGCCACATGTTGGCAAGCGCGAACCAAGTGAAGATCAGTGTGAAGACGTTGTACTGCAATGAACTGCGAGTCAACGAAGATACCAAAGGACAGATTGACCACGGGACGCACGATTGCCTGGACGTGCAAGAAGAACATGCGGATGATACCATGGCTGGACCGATAGAGCTTGAAGAAGTTCACAAGACTGTACTGTAGACGGATGAGCGTCAGACATCATAAGTCAACGTAGGCAAGCTACACTGTGGACTCACCACCGAGGCGGCGAACGAACCGTTCAACCAACGACGACGCTGGCCGATAAGCTCCACAGCAGACTCCGGCACATCCGTCTCAGCCTTACTAGGCTTCACGTACGTCAGCGTCCACCGCTCGTTGGCCTTGGCGACGAGCTCGAAACAGAGAATACGGTCCTCTGCCAAGAACATGTTCTTCGTGAAGATGTTCATGCCGTATATACCCTTCGGACCGAGTCGATCAGCCAATGAGTGGTCACCGTGGAAGTACTGCTCCAGAGGACGACCGAGGATGGCACGGAACCGGTAAGCAGAGAAGGCACCAGGCAACACGGACACGTAACCGAAGCTACTCTCGAGTGGCTTGTCTGCATGGACGCGTCAAATTTTTGATGTATGAACGCAGGTGGATATATCTTACCGAGGATGTTGGACATCTTGTACTCGAAGTTTTGCGCAGCGACGAGGGGGTTCAGGAGCTTCTTTCCACCCTCCAACATGGCGTGAATTTCACCACAGCACCCACCCAAGTGTGGGTCGTTGTAGAAGGCCTCCCACAGATAGTAGATGGACTTGTGGCCCGGCTTCGTACCAGCATCGATGAGAACACAAATCTCGGGCTGCGGCAATGGTCAGTGTCGGCAGGCACTGAGGCGCCAGCGAGTGTACCTCAAGCATCCGACCTATGGCATTGAAGAGCCATCGGTGAGAGTTAATCTTCTTTTGGTTCTTCGCCTTGATGACGAGGATGAACGACACCGGGACAAGGTTCGTATGGTCATCGCCATGAGGAAGGATGAGCTGGGGCGTCGCATCCACGGACAGCTGGGTCGTGTACTGGCGGATGACAACTCAGATATTTGTTACCGAGATAGGTGTGACTACCTACCTCGAAAATGTGGGCGACGGTATCCTTGCCATCGACCTGCTTCTTCATGACACCGTCTTGATACACACCGATGGTGGCAAGAATATCCAGGACTGTCTTGTCCATGGGTTCCAAACCATCAATGACGAGCGCCACGGTGATCTTCTGCCAACCCGGGACACCCTCCTCAGCTGTGCGACGCCAGTACTTGGACTGTTTAGTCTTGCAGATGTCGCGAATGTTCAACATGACGCCGTGCAGGGTACGGGCGTAGAGTGTCTTGTCTTCGTTGTATGACGTGACAGCGATGAGCAGCTCCGTCTGCCGGTTGTACATCTTGGTACGGAGGGAGTAACCGCTAGCTTCCGAAAAGTCATCGGGATCGCACGTTGCCGCAGTGTATCTCATGTGTCTAGAGGCGCAAGCCAGGAAACGAGGTTGGCGTCACTCTGAAACGCTTGCAAGTATTACTCACGAGAATTCGGTCGATTTCGACATGCCCAGCCACTTCGGCTCGATGGCGCTGTACACCGGGGATGGTACAGGGTACTCTGCAATGAAGTTACCCTTCGTAAGCTTGACTTTACGGGTAACACCGCGCTTGATCGTCTGTCGCCGTCTCCAGGAAGACTCAACGCCTGAAGATGCTGTCGAGACGGTGGAGATGGGACGCTCATACGGGTCTCCGTATGCATTTGGGTCAATGGGTCTGTAGTTGAATGGTACTGAGTGAGCAACAGGTTGCGCGGCAACACAACCAAACGTCCGCGGGGCGCGTCGGCGTGGCGCGGCACTCACCCAGGAGGATAGAGACTGCCAGGTGCGGCGGTGAGGGGCAGCTTCTCAACGTCGTCATCGTCGTAGCCGCCACCCATGCCACCGAATTCTTGCGGCAGGGAGACGGAGCTCTCATATGCAGACATAGCTGGCTCTTGGAAGTTGACATGTCGCGGACGGTCGGCGAACGGGTCCCCATGGTCGCTCACTGAGTTCTGTGAATGGTAAGAAGGGAGCGGGGGTCGGTGGTCCTCGGCCATGACTTGCGCTGCAATGAAGGAGTGGCCTGAGGATGTCGAGGGCGTGGAAGGGCTTGTCGTCGAGAGGTCGTCGTGGATGGAAAGAGCGCGCGCAGCAACTTGGCAACTTGAGGTCGCCTACGCCCCGGACCCCGGATACCCACTGTGGCTGTAGCCCCGCCTTCTTTGCCCCCGCCATATTGATCTCCGTCCGGCCAATGGCGGCGCTCCCCTCCACCGCCCCGCCGACTCTCGCGGTGCACATCACCGCCCCCCGGCCGGCTCGGTCGGCACCACCAACCGAGCGGTCGTTGCCACGGAAATGAGTGTTCTTTCTGCCCCATCGTCCGTCGGTGTGCGCTCGCGGTGGTACTTTTTGCGAGCGTCGACTACTTTCATCATGCTGGGCGGGCTACGAACGAGGCCGCGCTAGCTTTGACAAAACCACAGAGACAGCGACTGAACAGCGTGCAATCGCGCAGCTACTGCGTGGTTGACGCGGTGTTCTGAACAGTCAACATGTGGCGATCGCGATCTGCGTTGACTGACCCTCATCATGTTCTCGTCTATTTTGAGCATTCTCTATTGACATGGACCGCAAGTGAACTTACTTACGTCCGGATAGTTGTCATGATTGTTGCAATGAATGCTTGACCTCCGCTATCCAGACCACTCGATGTGCTCCAAGTACAGGACACGGATTCATATGTCGCGGGCTATCCTTGGTACGTCCTGCAATTCACCACGGGCTCGGAGTATGTTTACCTCAAGGCTATCATACGCTGGATCTGCGTTGGCTATTGTTCCTGGCACAGGAGGCTGAGTATGCAGCTCACCTGCCTGTGCCAATGCCAATGAATGATAGATAAATACTTACTATGGGGAGAACAAGGTTTCCGGGGGTCGTCACGTCAGCGTGTAACACGTACAGCATTTCATACATAGCCTTTGCAACTCCTTCGTCTCGCAAAGCTCACATCCGAAGCGGCGGTCTTGTTAACCCGTCCACGATGCTTCGCACCTCGCTGAGCGACCCGGCTTCACAAGGTGCGACAATGCCAAGGGCGCATCTGCAGGAAGGCTGCAACCGAGGGCTGTGGCTGCTTTGTCGATATGATGTACGGGCGCGGGTGTCAATGTTGTATGGCTGCGTGTCAACCTGTGGTCCGCGGGACGAACACTGTTATGTGACTGAGAATGCAGCATACATACGGTACATAACGTATGCAAGCCATATACTGTACTACGCGCGAGGGCAGTCTTTATATACTTACGAGACCAACGCGCGGATCGGATTTTACTCCGCGATCGGTCTCACGGGAGAACAGATGCCCCTAAGCAGCACGAGCATCTGAATACGTTCCGGCGTACTCGGGCGTACACAGTTGTAGACAGTCAGCTTCAAATCACAAGTACTTTCAACGTTTCAGCAGTACTACTAGTACTGCTGCTGCCAGCTAGGCACAATTCTGTACTTCGACAGCACCGTCACCTCAATTCGTGGCAGAGACCTGGCAGTGTCTGGTATATACATTCCGGAAGCACTGACGCACAATTCGGCCGCGGCTGACACATTGACCGATATATAGTGCAACCTCCCCAGCAATGCCTCCCGCGAAGTCGAAGACGCCTCCAGTGGTGCTGTATCAGTACGTACTACCAGGCATCTTCTCCACCGCGATACCGGGTTTACGTTGTATCGTTATGTCGTTGAATCTTGTTCTTAAACAGCTATGACGCATCCCCATTCGCAGACAAGATCCGCAGCGTCCTCATCCTAAAGCGGATCCCACACAGCCGAGTCGAGGTGCGCTCGTATACTCACTCGCCAATGAGACTGTACTACATCGCGCCTGCCGCTAATACCTTAGGTCTCGTACATCCTCCCTCGTCCTGAACTCTCAAACCTGCTGGGTATCACCTACCGCCGCATACCCGTGCTGGCCATCGGGAACGACGTATACTGCGACACTAGCCTCATATCCACGGCCCTCGAGCGTCGTTTCCCTGCGACCAAGAGCTACTCTCCGTCCGCGCGCGGGACCATATTCCCTCCGAGGAATGGCAGCAGCAAGATCGTGAAATCGGACAAGGCGTTCATCAGGGCGTTTGCGACGTACTACATCGAGGGCCAGATATTCGCTCCCATATCGCTGCATGTGCCCTATGAGAGGATGCCTGCGGATTTTCTGCAAGACAGGGGCCAGGTGAACGGGACAGAAAGTTCATCGCTACAGTGACTGACGTTGGAGGTGTAGATGCTCGGCGCGCCCATTGACGTCGCAGCCTTGGCAGCGAAGCGCGAGGAGTCGAAGAGCATTCTCGCGTCACATCTGGTAAGCAGATCGGCATTCGTAAACGACTGGCCGCACCTCAATGAGTATATGTAGGCTCTACTAGAAGAACAGCTCGCCGATGGCAGAGAGTGGCTCATGGACACCGCAGGACCTAGTCTTGCTGATGTTTCCGGCCATTTCCTGGTGGCATGGATGCTCAAATTCAGGACTTCTCGCGACCTCCTCGACCCAAGCCTCTTCCCTAAAGTTGTCATAGTACGAAACGTTTCTCTGAGACATTGCGCGCCGATAGCTGAACATCCTGCATAGTGGTTCTCCCGCATGTCCGCGTTTCTGGACAGTCAGAAGGACTTCTCGCCGTTCGAGAAGAACAGCGCGGACGCGGCCGCCAAGACCATCGTCTCTGCTCAGCCGGAAGACCTGTCCGCCGTCGGGTTTATAGAAGCGGAGGCGCGCCGCCTCGGTGTCAATCACGGTGACACTGTGTCGGTCATACCCACAGACAATGGTGGGCTTTCGTCATGGCGAGTGTGGATTGTGTTGTGACGCCGTTTCGTTCAGGTCGTGTACCAACGGTCGGCAAGCTGCTTGCCCTCAATCGCGAGGAGGTTGTGATCGAGACAGTGGGATCGGCTGGCGTTGTTCGCTGCCACTTCCCTCGGCTCGGGTTCTCAGTCAAGGCAAGACAACCGGCGGCGAAGCTGTAAGCTAGCTGTATACTTAATATCTGTATTGACTGTCGTAGGGGCTATCTGGATGGGATATTATATCATTACGTTTCTCACTGCGACGAAATATCTCAGAACGGAGATATGAAGAATGGTCTGGCACGTTGCTCAAGGATCATTTCCATCATACTCCGTCGTCGCTGCAGATGCTGGGTGTGCTGGACAGTCACGAGGACGCAAAACCTTCCAGCACCGAGATAGATACAGCAACGCATATTTCAACGCGAAGATGCTTCAGTACAAACAGTACACCAGTACAACGAGGTAGTCCACAATACAAATTACATACAAAGATCCACATACTCAAACGATCTCAAAAGATGAAATTACGACCGCCCATCGTCATATGCCTCATATCACCGGCATTGACCCCAGATCCTTGAGTGGGCGGCATGCCCCCAGGCATAGCCATCCTCGCGCTCTGGTCGCTCGTATCCCAAATTCGGCCACCCGCGCTAGGCAGACGCGAGCGCAATGCATCCAGTCCCCTGTTCGGCGGCTGCCCGATGCGCATCGCAGAGATGCCAGAGGTCACAGAGGAGGTGGATGCAGGCGCGGCGATCTTGCTATCCTTGTCAAGCTGGTCGCGGAGGGTCTTGATTTGGCCCTTGAGCACGGATGCGAAGGAGGGTTTGTCGCCCTCTTCGATGCCGGCTATGATGACGAGGGTGGACACGCTGTTGAAGTTCGGACGTCAGCGGACGGACGACATTGGGAAGGGCCACACTGACAAAGCCTCCTTGAGGTAGGCGAAGCTGAACTTGTTTGTCGCTTCGGCGATCTCGTGGACGAGGCTGTCAGGGAAGTCGATGTCCTTGTTGGTCTTCAACTTGTTCTGCCAGTACTTGGCGTACAGCGTACGCTCCTCCTTGTTGGGATCCTCGAACTCCCTATAGGCAGTCCCCTTCAGACATACATCGCCAAAGGTCGCTCGTACAGGACGCACCATTTGCGGTCGAACCTGCTCGGCCTGCCACTCAACGCCGGGTCCAACCTGTCGAAGTGGTTCGTCGAGCCGATGAGGAGCAGGCCGTCGTTGCCTTCCAGTCCGTCAAGCTGGTTCAGGAAGAACGACCGATTGCTGTCGTTAATGAGGGAGTCCAAGTCCTCGAGGATGAGCACGCATGGTGCCATCTCGCGCGCCTTATCGAAGACCGCCGCCATGGATCCTTCTTCACCCAAGTAACCTTTGAAAGACTTCACGTAGAGAGGAGCGTAACCCTTTGCGTCGCACTCCTTCATAATGGCTTTCATGCTAATTGTCTTTCCGTTTCCTATTAGCGTACGTCAGCTTCTATCAAATGCGCGAAAACTGGCAACTCACCAGGAGGGCCGTACATAATGAGACCCCGCTAACGGTACGAGGGTTAGGTATGTCTTCACTTAGGAACAAAGCATAATACCTTCCAGGGAATCGAAAGGTTCTTGTACAGCGTCTCGGAGTCAAAGAAGCCATTGACATCCTTCCGTAGCCGGTCTTTGAACCCTTGCTCCAAAATGACATCGTCCCAGTTCGCCTTTTGGACTTCGACCCAAAGATTGTGGTCCTTGCGCCAGAAGCTTTGGTTAAACACGTAGATTTCCTGATGAAGCTGACTGTGCCATGTTCCCGCCGCATAGATGAGTGCCCGGGAATGTTCCTCGGGACCAGCATGGACAAGGAAGTTCTGAATCATCGCTCCATACCCGACAGGGAACTAGCATTGGGGTAAGGTTGGTTGTTTCCATGGCATCTCAATGGAGCACGTACTCGCAGGGTATACAGTATGAAGTCGTATTTCTGACAACTCGTGAGATGGGTTATCTTTCATGCGAGTTCAACAGGAAGAGCGTACATCATATGCGACGCGGAACGCGCCAAAGTAGACTGAATCGAGCAGGGCCCCCTTCCCCGAGCGCCGGGCCAGAGGTTGGAACATGATGCTGGTGACCAGCTCGGAGGGTTGCATGGGTTGCACCAAAGCCCCAGGGAAGCCCATGAGATTCACTGTTCCTTCCATGAACGGCACAACCGTATGAGTCGGATACAGTTTACGGAGGGTCCGCGTTCTATGAAGTGACATCAGAGGCGGTGTTCATTCGTGCGGAAGTCAACGTTGCTCACGCATAAGCGACCTGCTCAGCAAAGGGGCGGATGCTAAGGCTATGTTAGCGACGCAGGCTTGCATCGGGTTTCTCACACACCCTGATCTATCCAGACATCGTAGAAGGGATCGATGCTGTTGCTTTCAGAGCTCTGGGTGGCACGAACGCCCTCTTCGAACATCACATTGACGAAGGCATCGTCGAAGTCGGGGGTGGTGCGACCGCGCTGCATGGTGTGAAGGAGACAAGGAAACGAGGTGGGTGCGACGCGATTGGATTATATAGAGCGCGTGAAGCGTGACGGCGTGGGTTCGTTGATGCTGCGACGCAGCGGTGGAAGGGAGCCGCGTGCGATGGCGATGGGATGGTCGACTCGGACGCGCTCACTGCGGCTCGGCGCTCAGACGCGCAGCACGCGCTCTCGCGCCGTGTCACGCGTGTGTGTAGACGCCAGTGACGCGTGTCGGGCATTGCCGCAACCGAACGAGGATGTGGCGGCCTCCCGCCACAAACTTTCCAGCGACCACCATGTCCTCGAGGGTGTCCACCGTCCTTACTGTCGCCGGAGTCACCGTCCTCGGTGGTCTCGTTGCCTATGCTGTCTACTTCGACTACAGGCGGAGAAATGACAGCGACTTCCGCAAGCGTCTGCGTATGTGGCCACCCTGGTGGTCGTCTTTATGCTTCGCTGACTCAATTTGACATAACTTACAGGGAAGGACAAGAAGAAGGTTAAGCAGGTGACGCAGTCGCAGGAAAGCTCAACCGCATCCCTCGGAGTGAGTCCGGAGGAGTTGAGAGCGGCCCTCAGCAAAGTCCGCGATGAGGAGCTCCCGCCCGACCCGGACGCCAAGGAGCAGTACTTCATGACCCATGTCGGAATGGGTGAACAACTGTGTGCGCAGGGTAAGTGGATCCTATATTGATTATGGCTCGCTAATGAGCAATGATTAGGTCCTATGTTCTACCTTCCGGCGGCGCTGTCTTTCTACCGGGCTCTCCGGGTGTACCCCTCGCCTGTGGAACTTATCATGATTTACCAGAAGACGGTCCCTGAGCCCGTATTCAAGGTGGGTCAGCCACTCTAACCCACGAACACTGTCGTTGACAAGGATGGCGTAGATTGTCATGGAGTTGACCAACTTGGACGTGAGTATACCTTCGTCGACCGCAGCCGCAGAGGGTAGTGTGCACCGCGAAGCCGAGGAGGAGGACGAGACAAGTCCGACGAGGTCGGGTCCTCCCTCGGAGACGTCATCACAAGAGTGGGACAGGCTCACCGACCCGGGCAGCCAGCCCATGTAAAAAAAACTTGTCTCCCGCTACGCAGGGGCTGTAGAACACCACCGCACACTACTGTCACACCTATCCCCAAATTCTTTGTGCTCTATTCACATTTGCATGACCGATCTAATATACATTGCTTGTTTTCTTTCTCCATGCCGCTCTTCACGCTTAGGTTAAGGCCCGTGTCGAAGGTGAGCTCGTCAAATTTGACGAATTAGACAATACCAGCTAAGTCACTACGCTATGCTGGATAGGTTACTACGACGTTTTCCCGCCTAAGAACATGAATGTGTCCGTCCAACCTGCCCCTGGTGATGCTAGCAAAGTCCGCAAAATTCTCGTCGCTGAGAAGGACTTTGAACCCGGAGATGTCATATATAAGGTTGTTCATCCATCCCACTCGAATGTTCGTCATGCACACATCTCAATTTATATTCCAGGAACGGCCCGTTGTCGCAATCCTCGACCCAGATCTCCAGGACAAGGGTACTTACTGCAGTCATTGTCTTCGTTCCATTCAGAAAGACTTCGCCATTCGTCCGGACTCTGACCGCCTTGGCTCCGTCTATTGCTCAAAGGAGTGCCAGGTCAAGTCCAAGATCCAGTCTCATAACCTGTTATTCGGTCTCGAATCTGTTCTCCCTCCGGAGCTGGACCTCGGGCAGTCAGTATTGGCGAAACCCGCTCGAGATGAAGCCCAGACGAAGTTTACGGAGTACGTCAAGGCGCAAGGCCGCTCGATTCCCCTGCTCTCTGCCCGGTTCGTCGCGCGCCAGATCGCAATTGAGACGGCGAAGATGGTGCCCAACAAGTCGGCCGCCCTAGCGGAAGAGATTGCGGACGCGTCGATCGGTGGCACCGACTACAGCTTGTACGACCACATGGAGCGCTTGCGGTTTGTTGACGGCAAGGCCTCTGAAGAGGAGACAAAGCTCCTGTGCGCCGTCCTGGGTGCTGCTTTGCCTGGTTTGGAACAGTCGGTGACGGAGGAGCGGTTGGCCACGTACCAGGGCAAGCTAGCGTACAACGCAATTGGGGTCTGCTACTCTGGCGGAAGAGACGACAACGTATGTGGCCCCTTCATCGCCTCAGGGGCGACGCTGACATCTTGCACTCAGCCTGAGTCCTCAAAGCGCCCTGAGGAACAAGAACGGACGCGTACGCCATATGGTCACTTGCGACAGATCGGTAGTGGTCTCTACCTGGTTTCGGCCTACGTGCGTATCACTCTCACCGATTGTACCGTCCCCAATTATATGTTTTCCTAGATTGCGCACTCTTGCTCTCCGTCAGCGAGGCCCTCGTTTAGCTCTGGTACCTCCGAGCTGTCCCTCATTGCATCCAAACCCATCAAAAAGGGCGAAGAGATCACCATGTCCTACGTGGATGTCTCGCAGCACCCCGACGAGACAGCGGAGCAGGCCAGGAGGCGTCGTCGTCAGGAGCTCGCTCGTGGGTGGAGGTTCAAGTGCGAGTGCGAGCGATGCCTCTCCGAAGCTACTGATGGCAACGAGAGCGATGTTGGCGTCGAGAAGGACGAGTCGAAGGTTGAGGATGTTGTCAAGCGTGTCGGGTTGGGCGCCGAGGCCTATCTCAAACCGCACTAAAAGCAGCTGCCAGTCACATCTCATATGAAGTTATAGATACGTAGTGCTCTAATCATAGGACAGTCGTTTGCATGCATCCCGTTCTCAGTGCCATACACTTCTGCTTGCACGCATACTTGCATTGGCTTTCGACCACATGTAGCGCACAAACTGATGGAAAACTGGTATTACTGACACTAAAATGTACACGATAGCATTGCAGAACAATGGTACACAGCGAACTAGACGTAGATAATGATACGCGCTGTTAGCTACAACAACGTTCGTGCTGGGGTGACATTATGCGGACTAATACGGTAAGATTGTCAATGGACACACAACAATTAAACATCATGCTGCTAAACTTCGCCACATGCCTGACAGACATGCATTAGTATCGCGCACAAAGAGCGTCCCGAATATGACTCACCTTCCGAGGGTACTCCATCGGCAGCTTCCAAGATCTGCAATGCACGCTTCTCCGCCAGAGAGCCTACAGGAGGATTTGGTCTTGTATCGTCCTCTTCCTCATCATCGGCCACATCGTCAAGCTCGAACGCGCCTGGGTCGATCTGGCGGTTCCGATCACGCTCCGCGTACACCTGTCTGCGCACAGCGGACGATGACGTTCGCAAAACTGGCACGAGAAGCCCTGGACGATCCGTCAAAGACGTCTTCGGTTGCAGCGGCGCGCTGGGTAAGTTGCGCATGATTGGTATCGGGAGTGACGAGGCGATTGTATTGCGCTCTGTCAGGCTGCGATCTTCACGACCTGGAAAGGATGTCAGGCATAGTTCAGGTGCATAGATGCTGACGCTTACTCATGGTGTGACCATTGAACGGCTCGTCATCGTAGTCGTCGAACTCGTCCAAATAGCGGCCCAACCGCGCGCTATCGTGGTGGACAGTACTGTCGCTCTCCTCTTCCTCTTCGATGGAGACCGGGCCAAGCTCCTTGCTCCGTCGTCCTTGGCGCTCGACGAAGACCTGCCAGGCCTTGCTATCCTTCTTCCAGGCGCTCCTGTGACTAGGTACACTGGCTGCCACTAAATTGAGGATATGTGCTTCTCGCGAGTCGGGCGATAAAGGAGGTTCGTCCTCCGCCTTGTCACCATTGGTGTGGACTCTGTCGGCTTTCCCCACCTGTTCCTTCGCCTGGCTGCGCGGCCGATCAGACTCGACTCTGCGGGTAATGGGGGGTCGCATGCTCTGTATGTTTGGCAGCGACGATGGTCGGAGAGATGATAAGGACGAAGGAAGACCATAGGCATCTTGTAAGCGCGGGCGCCTGCGTCGAGAAGGCGACGTAACTTGGGGCGGGGGCGTGGTGGTCGACTTGCCGTTGGTGAGCACAGTTGGACTTGGGGGCAAACTGGGCTGCTCGGGATTGTCTTCCCCCTCCATGTCAAAAATGGCCGCTGAAAGATGAATAGTCAAGAGGTATTCGTCGTTCACATCGATGCAATATCTACCTTCCTCTGCGGCATCTTTCTCCCTTTCGCCATCCGCGGTCTCGCTGTCGATGATAGTGATTTCAGGCTTGACGTCGAAAGTAACCTTTCTTTTGCCTTTAGGCGTGACCTCCTTGGTAGGCGCACCCGACTCGGCTGCAGTTTCCGACTCCTGGTCTTTGGTCGGCGTAACAGGTCGTGCGTTCTCCTTCTCCTTGCCCTTCTTGATTGAGCTCTTGGTACCGCGAGGTGACCGCCCGCGAGGTACGACTGTAGGGGAGATGGTATCGGTCGTACCTGCGCTAGACGGACCAGCTTCTTGCGTACTCGAGGAGGCCCTTTGGCGTTCCGCCATCTGAGCTTCCAAATCAAGTACATATCTGTAGCTCGTGGCGATATCCTTCGACTCGTCCATGTTTCGCCTATACGCGTCACGAATGCTACCCTCTGCGTCGAATGCGCCCATTGCTACTGTGCGCGAAGATGCGGTGGAGGGGGAGACGACTCGGGTCATGCTAGAGCGTCCAGGAGAAGATGCCGCAGCGCTGGACGGTGGGGATCTTGACGATATGCCTTCATTACGTGTAGCGCTCCCTCGATCACCCGGATAATGGAAGGAAGACGTGGCCAGTGATGCAGAAAGGGCTGATGTCACCTGATGGGGCGAAGTAGGAGATGTCATGCGCGCGGGGACACTGTGAGCTGGGACGAAGTCATTGATTCGCACAGAGGCCGAAGGATCGTCGGTGACTCCATTCCCATGGCTAGTCCCAGCTGCCTTCTGACTAGACCGTCTCCTAGCCATGGACGAGGTGGGACGACCAGAAGAGCTGGGCTCTTGCTGCAGCTTATCAATCCCGTCTTTGAACCGGCTCCACAAGACCTCGACCTCCCGTCTGAGCTCGACCTCGAAGGCCTGCAATTCCGCTGCCTGGTCCTGCGCGATCTTGGCAAGGTGCGCCTCGGCCGCCTCTTGTGCTCTTTCTGCTTCGCGCGTGGCGAGCGACTTGAAGTGCTGGAATACTGGGTGACTTGGTGTGAATGGTGGCGGGGCGAAAAGCGGTGGTAATGAAGGAAGATGTCTCCACGGTGTTTCGGACATGTTTGACGGCGGCGACACGGAGGAAGGGGTGGGAAACGACCTATTCGGATCTCCGGACGGGACGACAATGCCAAAGACCTTAGAGAACGACGCCGGAAGCTTCCGCTTGTGCTATGGCTTCGCCAGTCTGTTCTCGAGGGCAAGCCGGTCAGAAACCTGCATCTGCATATGTGGGAGAGGACATAAGCCTCTTGGTGTCTCGAGACATCAGGAGGCTCATGAGCTTCGCCGGACCCAGCGGGTGGCGGAAAGGACCACATACCAGACAGTTCTTGGACACCTCTACCCAGCCACTCGCGCTCATCAACACGTCCTGCTCTGCCCAGTTATCTCCAGGTAGAACGGGCCCTTCGCCACCGTCTGCCGCAGCGTATAGTACTTGTTTGGCTCGGTATACCAGAGTTTGGCATACGAGACATGTCAGGGAGATGAATCGTGTACTTCGCGGGACCTGGCCATGCGGGTCGGGCACCATACTACTTCGGTTCCTAAGTGTGGCCTGCACATGGGTCTTTCTGGGGGTGAATTATGGCATCCTCGAGAAACGGTACCGGGGGAGACGTACAATAGCTATACCATTATCCCCGCAGTGGACGGACGCGAAGGCGTTGTCGGCAGGAGGTGCATTATCGGGGGTAGGTTCGTGCGTAATCTGCACATTCAGACAGTGACAGGCGTAGGTCGACCTGAGGCCATTGGTGGCCATAGCACGGAGGGGATGCAAGAGGAGAGCAGAAAACGATATGGCAAATCTGCGAGAAAAGGGAGGACCGCTACATCTGAACTAGCGCTGACTCGGAACAGTGAGGCGCCCGGGGCAGGCGGTGTGGCAAGGGCGCGGTGCAGCTGCACGCTCAAGCGGCCTCAAGCGGCCCTGCCAAACGCTCTTCGTCTGCCACCCAGCCTCGCTCGGATCGGGCCACTGCGCGGTCCGCGGTCGGCCATCCTCCCAAAAGCATCCTTCTCAGCGACGTAACGCAGCAGCAAGTGACACAGCTCAGTGCTAATCGGGCATCGTCCTGCCATACGCCCGCTCGTCAGATGAGACGAACAGGAAAAGCACGCATGTTCCGGCCGTGATACATACAACGTGTAACACCTAAATAGAGCACTTCAAGCTGGTCATCCAAATTGATCCAACTGATCATTTGTTCTTCTTCGTCTCTGCGTCCTCCTTCCCACCCTTCGCTTGTACGGCATCGACTTCCGACGCCATCACTTGACCGTACTCGTTCACCCGCTTCGGGTCGATTCGGTATATCCACCGCTGCAAACTCCGGTTAGCCCAACACGCGTCGCAACAACGCTGATTGAAACCCACTTGGTAGATGAAGACCAGGAACACAACGTCGTCCCGGAAACATGCCAATCGATGCAATACCGGCATTTTGATGCAGAATCTGGGGCCTAGCGTCAGCTAAACACGCGCACGGACATAGTGTGGCCATACGCGAAAAGATCATCCACAACTGTCGACAAGCTCTTGTATATCATCGCCTTCATGGGCATGTGGGCAACGCTCTGTACCGCCCCATACGTCATTCATTCAGTAGCAAGATTGAGTCACACGGACGAACCTTGAGTTTGTAGTTTATGATCAGTTGCGGGATGAGTTGAGCCTGTGACGTGCATTGACAGTTAGTTCCGGTCTTCGTCGCGGAAGCAATGACTTACGAAACCGAACATGTATACGAAGGACGTCAGCGTCGAGATGACGAAACTATACCAGCCTCTGTGTGTCTCGTAGAGCAGCGAGTACACAGTATAGCCCGCCAAGCATGGGATTGTGAAGTAAGACACGTAGCGGAACGCGAGCTTGTCGTACCTAAGACATGTTAGTACGCAACACTGTAGACATTTTCGGCAATGTACTTACTCTTGCGTCTTCTTCTCGTCCTCACTTAGAACATGTCTATCTATTGACGAACAAATGTTGGCAATGTAATTGACGTATAGCAGCAACATTACCTTTGATGTCCAGACGGTAGGGGATAATGAACCCGGGTCCGAAGGCGCTATACCGATGTCAACTGCTTTCGTGATCTAGAAACCGAGTTCAGAAAAACGCAAGATAACATAGGGGACAGAAGCAACCTTCCAGGCCTCGATGAGGACTCCAACGCCAGAGCCCATTAGGATCATCCAGCTTGTTTGTTCGTTATTGTCTACGAGATACAGTAGAATAATGATCTGCACGACGACATTCGTGACGATCTTCAACGTCGTGATGTCAGTTCACTGCTGAGTAGGCATGAAACTACGTAAACTCACCGTTCTATGCGTGGTGGCAAAGTGCGTGAGACGATAGGAAATAAACGAATTCGAACCAACACTGACCTAACGGATACACCGACGAGCTCCTGCTTCTGTCTCCAGTGCGACACATCCGAGCTGAAGGCAAGCATCTCGAATCTGAAGTATCTTATGAGCGCGTAAACACAAACGACCAGTCAGAGATGCGTACACCACATGCAGCACGCTGACCAACGCGGTCAAGCCCAAGAACCACGGGTTCGTTTCGACCAACATCCGCTTGATCTCGTCGAGCTCTGCGCCGCTTGCACCACCCTGCTGTTTGGCGGCCTCGTCGAACCCTTGTGTCATGGTAGCGAAGATTTGGAACTTCCAATACGACAGGGGCTGGAAGGTGACTTGGAGAGGAAGTCGGGGAGTGGTACTGTTGATCTCGATAAATTGCGAACGGAGCAGCCAGAAGTCATTCGGGTATACGATAGGCTTGTAGACTACTCTAGTCCCGGATTGGTCAGTCTCGGCGTAGACTTCGACGTCTGGAGGCATCTTAGCAAAATTGGAGGGACAAGATCACTAGCAGTATACATACGTCTTGCGACAGGCTCGGGAAGCTTGGTGATTGGAACGGCTGTCGCATCCGAGACAAGAGCCAGCGTGAGATTCTGGGTCGAAGATCAACACAGACACCTGGCGAACGATGTAGACACTCACAGGATGCCAATGTGACACGATGACGTCGGCCTGAATGACATGCTCAGTGGGCTGGGCCGGTGCAGACAACGGCAAGCAAACTCACCTGCTGAGGTTCTTCGAGTTCCCCCGCATTCTCTTCTTGGCCGCCACCGAGCAGATTCTTCTCTTTGCGAGCCTTGGTCTTTGGCAAATACCGTGTCAGCACTGTTCTGAATGAGTGAAGCACCACAATCCTGCAATAAGTCATGAACGTACACTTCCTCGCATGGTGGACAGCGCGGGTGTCGTAGTTCGACTTGGAAGGGTCGGGGCTGGCGCCGTCCTTCACCAGGTATATATCAGCCCAGAGGGAACCATTGTGTTGTACACTCTAGAAACAAAGTGAGCAAATCCTCTCTTCAGACCGTCAAAGATGGCTCACAAGCGGCAGGTCTAGCATCAGGTCAACCGTTCGCGACTCCTTGAAGTCGCCATACGTGATGTTGTCCCAGACGAAGTTCGGTAACTTGTTCTTGCTCGACCCACGGTCGGAGGTCCATTGATTCGCGAAGACGTCTGCGCTATCCGGTGAGGTCGAGAAGTACACATGCATGGCAAGCGGTATGCCAAGAGACCATCCCGGAGTCGCCTGTTGAGCGGCTACCCCTTTCGAGCCTTGCTGTGCTGTATGACTATCGTCTTGGGTAGCAGTGGATGGTGCGGCAGCATCCGGTTGTTTCGGGGCAAAAAACTTCGTAGCTGCAGGTCCATTCAGCTAACGTAACGATGCTGAGCAAGCGGCATGTACGGACCAACTTGCATCACTAGATACATGATCAATAATTGCTGGATGCATGTCAGTGCTATCCTCCCTATCGCAAGGACTATACTGTGCTCACCTGGGCCATACTCCACATTCTACGCCATGTCGACTCCTCTTGCACTGCAGGCGCGGCATTGGCCTGCGCCTGCCTCGGGGCAGCATCTGCGGAAGACATGCTGCTTCAGAACTTGAGAAAGTCAGATATCCAGCTACGTCTGGCTTTTGCAGTTCTGGCTGGAAGGCATGCACATCGCCGGAGGCTGGCAGGGGCGAGTCGACGGTGGCAGACATGTCGGGACACGTGTCACGTGAATTCGGTACGACGCGTGGCGCGACCAAGGCGCGACTCTCTGACTCTGAGACTCACTCGGCCACGTACGCACGAGCCGCATCATGCCAGTACGTGATGACTGTTATAACGCCTTACCATTCGATATTCAGCCTCGACATTGGCAGTGTTTGACATTTGACGCACGCCTCGTGGTGACATCTCTGCGCACTCCATTAGAGTTGGTGAAAGTAACAATGTCACGACGTGCCCCTCAGTCTCAGAATGGACGCGTACGCGTTACTGCAGTTGTTGACATACGGGCTCGCGCGATCTTCCCGCCGGAGTCATGCCCGTCTTCCCACTTTTGGCCGTCGTTGAACGCTGTTTCAATGTCATCCTGGATGTGACTCCGGGCAGATGACATACGCAGCAGATAGCGCTCGCATCCCGGCATCCAGTGTAACGCGTTTATCAGTACATAGGGCTGTACAGCTCAGGCTCGCGCCGGATGGACACGTAAGCCCTACATTATATGAAGTCGCTCGGTGAAAATGCTGCTGGACCGCACCATGGACCCTGGATCCCTTGAATCCTATATATCGCAGGAGTATGTGCCATCCGATGTCATCAGTTCTTGTCGTGCACTGATTGACCATTGTTGGGTCAGTATTCTGCAGACATATCTATACTACTCGGCAGCAAGTAAGCCTTCTTTACTGGCTGTATCTCGATATCGACTCGTTCTAACGTCGCAGTCAAAGCGATTGCAGCCTATGATTATTGTATGACTTTCAGCAGTGAAATCGAATACGTCTGGAAGAAGAAGCAATCATATACAACTATCCTCTTCCATTTGTATCGCTACAGTGTTGTACTATCCCTGGGACCTATCGTGCTGATTTTGAAGCCACCTTTGTATTGGGAGAACTCACACTCACATGTGAGTAAGGATTGGTCTCTCCAGTTCATTGTTGTCCTCAACTCCTTTGCAATGGCTTACAGGGGTAAGATCATTGATTCTCCTAGTTCTTGACAAGTTGAAGGTACATCTTATGACTGATACAGATGCAGTATGGCAATGTGGCTCGTTGCAGCCATGAACACTGTCTTCATGGTGAGCGCAAATGGTGAGCAGTGGCACAGTGGACCTCGAAGACAATGGATCATCATTCCTGGACTTGACTGTGCACGTTCAATGACAGTGTTTTCGGCATTGAGAATATATGCTATCTGCGAACACAAGAAAAGGATCTTCATTGGATTGCTATTACTGGGTCTCATAACTCCAGCAATCACAATGGTCAGGTTCACTCCCCTCGTTCATTTTGTGTAGACATCACTTCACAAGTTTGCCATAGTGGCTATTGTCAACATCTTCGTCGCGCCTGCCAGCGACAGTGATCTACGATGGTGTTTCGCAGACTCAAACTCTCACTTCCAGAGGTAAGTGTCGCTCGTGACTAGCACCCGCTTTCTCATGAAGAATTGATGTTTTGATGCCTTCAAGTAGTTGTGGGCTCCATTTGTCTGCCCGCCGTCCTGTATGCTTAATGACACCTGTATGGTACAGGGATGATGGGTGCTCGAGCATCTGCCATTATCTTCGACGGCATCGTCCTCGTACTGACCTGGAAGAAGACGAATCACCCTAAATTCAGGCTCCTCGACCCCGAGTACACAGCCGATAGTTCTGGGTTGTCGGAAATCCTTCTACGAGACAGTGCGTTGTTTCGCGACTGCTAGACGACCTAACTGATGGCGGAAACAGCATTTCGTTACTTCAGGTGAGTGCAACGACATGAATTTTTATCGTTTGATGATACTATTATCATTGTTATTTCAGCATTCTCTTCGCAGTGAATGTCATCGGCCTAGGAATCGGTCGCATACACAATGTAGGTCCTGACAATCTACTCTGTAACTTGCCATTGACTAATCGTACATTCCGGCGACAGCTATACGAAACCATTGAAGTGTGGGTGCCAGTGTAAGACAATCCGAAATAGTCACGCATCCTGATGTTTCTGATCTCGCCCATGGGCAGTTTGACGGAGGTCGTCCTTTCACGTCTGCTGTTAAATCTGCGTGAAGTCTCAGAGGTCTACGTGGACGAATCAGAATCCGGCCGTGGTTCGCCTTTGACATCCAGCTCTGTCTTGTTCGCGAGTGCGACACATGATGCTAGTATGTCGTGTTTCCGCCCGTCACGTTCCTCGTCTCATACTTCCCCTGACGGAATAGGTCATGCCTCGGAGGAGGAGTCCCGTCATGATGTGCTCTGAAGCGTGACATTCTCAAGTTATCTCGGCTCCTGGCATACTGTACTACGTGCCGAAACAAACAATTGATGATTCCACCAAAGACAGGAATGACAAGCTCAAATCTGTGAGAGCTCTTGACAGATAGGCTCCCAAACTCTCGTGCACGGTTCGCCGAGAGTCGACATTGGTTGCTATTACTGAACTGCTGTGCAATCACGACCTCCAAGCAGATAATCGAACAGCGTCCCTTGCTAGAAATCCGATCTTCGCGCCCGGCGTAGCCTCCGATCGGACTCTGACTACCGTTCACCAATTGGAAACCGCCTCTTGATGGACATGACCAAAGACCTTAAAGTGCTTGCCATCGAGTGTCCAGCGACTCATACGCAAGTGACACCATGCAGTCTCTTGAATCCTATCTATCGCAGAGGTGAGTGATGTCGATGAGCACCCACTCTGAACGCTGAAGTTTCGAAGCGACTCATCATTATTGGATCAGCGTCTTACAGATTTCTATGTACTATTCAGCAGCAAGTGAGTAGTACGTTGTCGTTCTGAGGGCGCGCGCGTAGTAATCAACCCACCATTGTCTCGACAGCGATCGTCTGGTACGACTACTGCATGACTTTCGGGCGTGAAGTCGAATACGTCTGGAAGAAGAAACAATCATTTATAGCTATATTATTCTATCTCTACCGATACTCTGTACTCCTCACACTGGGACCCCTACTCACATTGATCGCGCAACCGCCTCTCAGCTTGCAAGCTCCCCATTCGAACGTGAGTTTGCAGAACGTAATGATAAAGTCACAGTGCTTGAAATCTTCATGTGTAGGGGTAAGAGAATCCAGCTGGCTACCGTCCATCGCACGTTATAGCAAGTTACTTGCAGGTGCAGCATAGTTCTGCATATCGTCACGGTCACAAATACCATGTGTATGGTCAGCGCAAACAGTGAGTTGTAACACCATACACCACTGGCAAGGGACATGCTGATCTTGGAGTTTTGGTCCTAGTATTCTCAACGCTGCGGATATATGTTATCTATGACCACAAGAAATCGGTCTTTGTTGGTATGCTCTTGTTGGGATTCGTGACGCCCGCAATAACCGGAGTAAGCGCTTGCTACTTCTACTCATCTTGGGACAGCCGCCTGACGATACGATGACTCAGTTCGCCTTAGCATCTGTTGCTCGCCCCTACGTGGCTCCGGAAGACTCGGGGCTACGATGGTGTGTCTCGACATCAAGTTCAACCCAAGCCACCCTATCACAAGCCACCCTGTATCAGAGGTAGCGAGACACAGTACCCGTTCTTTGCGTCGATGCTCATCATTCGGCTTTGTACAGCTGTGCGTTATCATGTGTATCCTTAAAGTAATGCCGATGGTCATGACCTACCGTAGGTATGATGGGTGCTCGCGCATCGTCCATCGTCTTCGACGGCCTTGTCCTCGCGTTCACATGGATGAAGACGAGACAACCCAGCCTGCCTACTCGCATAACGAAAAATTACAGTGTGTCGACAATTCTTCTACGCGATAGTACGTCCCCCCCTGTCTCTATTATGGTGGCTATGTTCTCACCACAGCAATAGCATTCTTGTATTTTAGGCCAGTCTACCTTTCATATATCTATCGCTAGCTAAAACAGTTGGTGGTACAGTGCCCTGTTCACTGTGCATGTTATTGGCCTCGCAATCGGCCGTCTTCAAAGGGTGAGTCGCTGTGCTTTGTCGCTAGACCGATATATTCGTTATTAAAAGCTGACGTTATGCGTACGATAGTGGTACGAGATCACGGAGGTGTGGATCCTAGCGTGAGCCGTTCTCGGGCATGCCAGACATCTCGTAAAACCCATTCGACGTCAATGACTTTACAGATTTACATCTGTCATCCTTTCACGCCTACTCTTCAATCTCCGCGAGACAACCGAAACCGGAATCAACAGTTCTGACCATGGGGGCGCGGCACCATTGACGTTCAGCTCCATACTGTTCGCGAGCGTCTTGAAAACAGGTTCGCTGTCATCCTGCTTCACCATCATCTCTCATGATACTTATGGCAGGTCCGAGTCATGAATCCGAATTGTCGCCTGACGGGGAGGCCGAGGTGGACGATTGTTGACGCGGACGTCGATGGTATTACCGTACAGAGTGACTGGAGCTACAAGCACAGAGGCATCTAGGATTGCATCTACTAGGGTATAAAGCAAGAGCTGAACGTCTTTGCGGGAAAGGGGATATCAACGTGTATCGATGTCTCTCAATGGACAATAATCTCACCGGCACTCCCCTTCAGCCTGCGCTTCCTCCGCCCTGGCGGGGTACTCTTCACAGAGCCTCTACGTTCTTCCTCCATCTCCCTTTTCGGCAGCTGGTCTAGCGTCGCACCCAGGTCATCATTGAAGAATGCCAGCGCGAGGTCCCCAACCATCCGGAGCAATATTCGCCCACTGGGCGCAATGTTCCCGATCGGCCAGATGACACTGAAGTCCGAGAAGGAGACATGCTTTGCGCGGATGAGCGTGACGAGCTTCGCAGGAGGCATGTCATCCCCTTGGGCAACGGCATCCTGCGTTTCCGCGAGTCTGCCATGAGATCCATGGGATCCTGAGTCCGAACTAGATGGTCTATGCACACCGGAAACGTCACCTGAGCTGGAGAGAGAGTTTGGCTGTCGCCACTCATGCACTACCTTCTGCAGGCGCGCGAAGTGGTCTCGCCAGAGCGTGAACTCCTCCGAGTTGATGATGAGCACCTGGGGAGCTCTCGAGTCGCGCGTCGCCTCCACCCGCGGGGCGGGACCTGGTGTAGGCAGCGGTTCAAGCCAGGGGTCGAGTACGAGTGCGTGCGTGAGCGGCAGCGGCTCAAGGCGCTCTTCACGGTCAGTCCCTGGGAGGATTGGAGGTGGATTGGAGAGGACTGATAGCTGCGGGGAAAGCCCATAAGATTTCGTATGCACTGCACTGATAACGCATTCACATACTACAAGCGAGCCACCAAAGGAGTGGCCCATGATGCAGATCTTCTCTCGTAGCTTGACGCGCCCAGCGGTCCAGCTCTTCCAAAACGGCCCGTGCCTAGGAAGCTCAACGGCAGAATAGCCTTGAACGTAATATGTTCCGCCGAAGGCCAGCTTCTCTGTTTGGTACTACGTGGTGAGACGTTCATAGTCTCGTACAAAGTATGCGCTTACCGGCGTCAGCTCTCGGATGTGAGTTGACCAAGTCTGCTAACCCGCGATATGCGAGGTAGATCTCGAGCTCACGGAAGTGCAGCTGGTCGGCGCGGAACTTCCAATGTGGCGGTTCGTCGCCGTCCTCATATCTTCCGCCATTCACGTCAATCGATTGCAAGCGAAATACGGGCATTGCATACATCACATCGTCCGGGTGGAGATAATACTTGACTTTTGGTATCGGCTTCTTCTTGCCCTTTGGATCGGTCGAGGGTGCAGCAGCAAAGTGCGATGTCACTACTGGTGCCGTCCCATCCCTGTGTTCCATAGCAATCACGACGTTGCCCTCAGACGCGATGCGGACGCAAATATGGCTACCAGAAGAGGACTCAATGAGCGGACAGTCACGATCAATACTGGCGGGTTGGAGCCACCTATACGTCGTACGTGCGCCACTCAACCCATGGGAGTGAAATACGACAGGCCATTGAGCCTCCGGGTCGGAGAAAACCTCAGCTGGATCAAGTATGGCAGTATTTGGATATACCGGGAGCTGAGGAGACAACTTAAATCAACGCTGCCCTACATACCAAAGGTGAAAGGACGGTACCTTGAGACGTGGAGCGATCGCGCCTACGAACAGCTTCGTGAACCATAAGGGCACTTTGGCGAAATGTGCATAGCCGTGTAGAGTTGCTCGCACCGGTCTAGCGCAGTGGAGTACGGACTTCGCTCAGTACCTACAAACACCGCCATGACACTTCAACATTCCTCACCTCGGGACCCAGTTCAATGACTTCTTTAGCTTCTCCGGGGGAGTTCCATCTGCACTGGGACTGTGGATGTCGGCCGGGTAGAACGCAGTGAAGACAACCTCCTCGAGGAGTAGCGCGGGTTCATTCGGGGTGTTCCCGCTGGACTTGGCTAGTTTGGCCTTCCCGACGACCCGTGGGTCGTTCAATGGCAGTGCGAATGTCGTCGCTCCGACTGGGAATTTCCCGGGCACGTCTGGGAGACTGAACATGAGCGAGTTCTGGGATATTGCGGTCTTGCACTGGAGGGTATCAACGGTACAACTTGAGTGGGCCCATGGCGGGCGTTGGCTGGGTTGAGCAGTATGGTCAGGCCCCACTGCCAGATAGCTACTGTCGCCGTGTACTGACGTCTTTCGTGGCATCCCGGCGTACCAACACGGCGCTCATCACCAGTGGGAGTCGGCTGAATCGGCCCGCGCACATCGTCACGAAAGTACCATACATCGCACGAACACTTTGAGCTGATTGCTACAATATGGGTTTAGTCTTTAGTAGAGTAGGTATAGTACATGAGACTTCTTGTGATGTGCTTCCATCTACGCTGCCTTCCCCGAGTCCTCCTTCAGGCTCACGATGCGGTTTAGCACAATGTAGTCGCCCTCCTTCCGTACAGGCTCCACACCTTCCGCTTCCTCCAGACACGCCAGCCTCGCGTCCTTGTCAGTGGCAAAGTACGCCACCCGCAGACCCTGGAACCGTATGCACTCCTTCCCGACCAGCTGCTCACTCGTTGCCTTCGGCGTGTCATCGTCCGCTGCCGCCGGGCCCTCGCTCTTGGCAGCGGCCTTCAGCGCCTCGTCCGTCCGCGCCTTGCTGTCTTTCCTCGCGTCGGAGTACGCTTGCTTCGCCAGCCGCCAGAAGCCCACCTCGACCATCGCCCCCTTGACGACTTCAAGGCTATCTGGGTTGATGTCCGCTGTGAAGTCGGGGATAGCCGCAGCCGGGTTGTCGCTCTTGAACAGCTGGTAGAAGATCCGCGTCTCATCCACGCGCACGGGGCTGCCGGACGGCGCGTGCTCCGCGACCCACTGGATGAACGCCTTCGGCTTCTTCCCTGCTCCCTCGCCATCCTCGAGACGGCAAACGAGCTCGGTGACTGCGCCCGTTGTGGGATCCGTCTTGTACGATGTGCAAGTGATCGGGTGAGGCGCCTGGAAGAGGCCGACAGTCTTTCCTGGAGCGAGCCTGAAGTAGTCCTTGGAATCCTCGAGCCGGAAGTCGTCTGCATCAATGTAGATGGTACGCGTAAAGGGTACTTTTGACGACCCCAGCTCGGGCACCTTCGGGTGCAAGGGCTTCTCCAGCCAGACGAGGTAGTCCTCGGGCACGTTCTCTATCGTGACTTTGAGTGGTCGGAGGACCATGAGCAGTCGCGGTGCAGTGCTCTCGAGGTACTGTCTGACCGTCTGCTCGAACCGGACGACCTGGATATTCGAGGTCGCTGTGGACACACCGAGCGAGCTGACGAAGGAAATGATCGCCCCTGGAGGGATACCGCGACGCCGCAACGCGATGAGAGTGTACAGGCGAGGATCATCCCAGTCGAGAACGTACTTCTCCTTGACGAGCCGGAGGATCTTGCGTTTTGACATGATGGTGCCCGTGACGTTGAGTCGGCCGTACTCGGATTGACGGGGCTTGTACACTTCCAGGGCATCGCACAGCCATTCGTAGGACTCGCGCGACGAAATGAACTCTGTTGTGCAGAGGGAATGTCTGCAACGCCAATGTGTCTGTGAGCGACAACCAGCGACAACTTTAAGTCAGGACGTACGTGATGTTCTCGAAGCTATCGCACAGACAGTGGGTGAAGTCGTATGTCGGGTAGATCTTCCATTTGTCATGTGTTCGGTGATGTGGTGAGTTGAGCACTCGGTACGCAACCAGATCCCACATCATCGTGTTTCCCGACTCCAGATCTTGCTTCATTCGAAGAATTGCCTGGCCAGGTTTGTAGAAGCCATCCTTCATCTTCTGAAACTCGGCCAGGGACTCTTCGATCGGTCGTGTGCGATGTGCGCACGCTATCCGCGGGCCGTAGTTGTCGCCTCCACGGTTTGCATAGATCTCCTCCGCTGCACACGGAGATATATATCAGCGCGTCGTCCGATGAGTATGAAATTACCAACCTGTACAATGGCACACGTATCCCTTGTCCCTCTTGATCAGCTCAATGGCAAACTCGTGAAGGTTGTCGAAATAGTCGCTCGAGTACGTGATCTTCCACGGCTCATAGCCAAGCCATCGGACCGTCTCCAGGATGCTCTCGAAGTACCGCCCCTCCTCCGCCTCTGGGTTGGTGTCGTCGAACCGGAGGTAACAGCGACCTCCATGGTACGCCGCATACCCAAAGTTGACGAAGATTGCCTTGGAGTGCCCGATGTGCAGGAAGCCGTTAGGCTCTGGCGGGAATCGGGTATGTACAAGACCACCTGTTGCGGCAACATGGTGTTCACGCAGATGCGGGTGGGTCTGAGGGTTATCGCCGACTTTGTGGAGTCGCCCAAGGAAGCCCTCGGAGAAGACGGTCTTGGAAGACGTAGCTGATGCAGAGGCGGTCGCGGTCGATGCGGCAGCAGCTTTTGCGGGAGCCTCTTTCTTTGGCTCCTGAAGGAAACTCAGAACGGGCCGCAGACACATCTGATACTCACGTACCTTGCCCTTCGGCTTGGCTGCCTCCTTTGGCCCAAACTTCTCCAGGAACCCCTTCTCTATCGCGTTCTTCAGCTCAAGCGGATTCGCCCAGCGCAAGTCCGTGTTCTTAAGAGCGCCGATGGTAGCTCCCAGGTTGGCCCATCCAGTCACAGCACTGGACGTGAGGTAGTCTGTCACCTGCGCTGCGAGTTGCTCGGGGGTGACGCTGAAGCCTGAAAACAACGGCGATAATGAGTACGTAGACGTGTTCCGCATCAGGAGCCAGATCCAGAGAAAACATACCTACGCCGCAATTCTTGTCGAAGTCAGCGCCATCGATTGGCAGAGTATGAGACTCCAGGTATTTTGTCGCAACTATGATCTAGCAGATCAGCACATAAGTCCACTGAGAACTTTACCTACACACCTGACACCTGGTCTGTTGTTTTCAGTCTTCCATCGAGGATCGCCGTCACAGCATACTCGCGTTCGCGCTCTGCTAGCTTCGAACCCTGCACGGCGAGGCTTGCTAGGAGTACGGCCTGTTTCTCCTCGATCTGCTTGCTGGGAAGATCATTCGTCTCTATGATCTCCTTCAGTACAGCGGCACTCTTCGCGGATTTGGCGGCCTCGGCGGCCTTGGACTGAGTGAGACCAATGGACTTGAAGAGCTCAACGAGCTCAACGGTCTCGGGGCTGTCTCCCTTAGGAGCCATGGTTGTGTGCGTCAGGAGTTCTGCTTAACCCTGGTCTGCGAAGTCCTTTGAAAGACTCTAGAACTCTTGTAACTGGAAAGGCGAGTATATGGAGGAGTGAAGCAAGACTGAAGCTCAGATGAAGCACCGTACCGAGTCAAGACCGACACGCGACGCGGTCAAGTTTAGTGAGATCGATCACTGGACCGATCTACTTCCAGAATTGCTCCGAGATAAGATTAGATGGGTACGCGCATTGCTTGGGAGGCTCGTGTCCGACCTGCGTAGCCTGACACCCATCGAACACTCTACCGTGCCTTTCCACCACCCATTGACCCAGCACAGCAGAGTGCACCTTTGGAAACTACAAGCAGACGGAGGCGCTGTGTAGGTCAAGATGCCTCCCCGAAGGCGACCACAATTCACCCAGGAGACCATCGACCAGCAGCTTCAGCAGATCCATCTCCTCGACCAGTCATCTTCCTCCGAGAACTTGGAGCAGCTCGGACCCGTCATCAAGCAGATTCACGCAAACAGGCAGCAGGATGCATACCTCCGTGCCATTGGCCAGCTCATTCAGACGAAGGACGCTGAGATTGAGACCATATGCGGCGACAACTACCAGGAGTTCATTAGCTCTGTGTCTACGCTGTTCTCTGTGAAGTCTTACACAAATAACCTTCGTGACAAGATTCAGACTTTGGATGCTGGTGTGGAACAAGTCGGACGCGGGCTGGTAGAAAAGAAACGTGCCTTGTTGCAGACCAAGAAGACGGCCGGGAACCTGGATGAGGCTGTGGAGACCCTGCAGGCATGTCTCCGCGTTCTCGATGTGGTGAACCGAGTGGGAGAGATGATCAAGGAGGGAAAGTACTGGAGTGCACTACGGGTCTGTCGCTTCTGCTATGTGCGTCGTCGGTTCGTAGCGTTGAATACATCTCGTTCCTAGTCACTCGAGGACATTGAGAGCATGCCACCAACGTCTCTCTCGCAAACTCCTCTCTTCCAGCACTTGTTGTCTTCTCTGCCATCCCTGCGCGGCCAAATCAAAGACGCAGTCTCTGCTTCCATGAAGCAGTGGCTCTTGGACATCCGAAACGTGAGCGCTCAAGTCGGTCAGTTAGCACTCGATGCGATGGAGCATCGTGTACGGAAATGGCGCGCGCGAAGGGAGAAAGAACCGCTCTTGAAGCTCAGCCGAGTGGGTAGCGCTGTGGAAATCGCGACGAACGAGAAGACGGAATGTATGGCTCAGTTGCCTCTTACTCCTTGTCTCGACTCGTACTCAATCCCTGTACAGTCAACGTCCTGGACAACGAGCATCTACAAGTTGACTTCAAGCCCCTCTACGAATGCATACACATATACAGTGCCTTGGACTCTCTTGACGAGATTCGACGATCATATCAAGCAGATAGGAAGGTATGGCGGTCGGACTCCTAACGTGAACGAGTCGATTTACGAGAAACGCAGGCGCAATCGGACCTTATCCTCCCAACTATCCTTCCCTTGGATCAGCTGCCCAAAGTGACTGAAGAAGTGGTCGGCTTCTTCATCATTGAGACGCACGTCCTCAACACAACAGGCAGTTTCCGTTCGCCGCGGGAGGTCGATGATCTGTGGGACGCGCTCTTACGTCGCGTGGGGAATGCTGTGGATACCGCGTTGAAGAGCGTCAGCGATGCGGATGCATATCTGGGCGTGAAAGAGTGTCTGCTCAGCTTTATCATGACCCTGGAGGTAAATGTATTGTACGTTGAGGCGCTTACCTTGCACTCATGAGCACGCAGCAATACTCGTATTCGACAGAGAACCTACATGCCTTCATTCTATACCTCTTCGGGCGCTACGTATCAATCCTCGAGTACAAGTTTGGCCTGCGTTTCGAGAAGGTGATACACTCTGTAATTGGCCTAACCTTCTACTGACAAATTCCGTTAGATTGTCTTGCAAGACGACTGCTTACCCATGTATGTGGAGAATGCGACCGAACGCGACAGCGCATTGGACACTGTATGGCTCACTAAAGAGGAGCGAGAGCAATTGGCCAAGTACATTGGTTTCGAACTCCCGTTTCTTGTCTTACCGATCCTATGCAATTTAGGAGTCAGCTACCGTTGACCTTTCCATGGTCTTCAGGCTTTTACATGTGCTGCCAAGACGTAGGAAATTTCATAAAAGTGGTCAGTCTAAACATGTCACTGATGCGTGTTCCCTCGCAGATTCGGAACTTCGTGCAGAACTTCTACCAATTCCTCGAGGGTGTCTCCCAGCATCATCGGAACATCGACGATCTACTCAGCAGAGTACGTCTTGAATACACATGCACTATTCGTACACTTCTCACAGCACACGACAGACACTTGACAACATCCTCGCCAACTTCATTGCCACCAATATCGCAAAGCGGGCACAGAGCACGTCGAACCTTTCTCAGATCGTACAGATCGTCGCGAACATCGAACATCTCGAGATTGCTTGCGCCGAGCTGGAACGGTCACTGACCCTGATCCGGTGCGCACGCACGGCTTTGCACCCTGCGCGTCAACTGACGGAGCGGCTCGCAGCTCATCCCAACGCGGAGGTGCCATCCACATCACCGCCTCCTCGGCCTTCAACACAGTACTCCAGACTGCGCTCTCTCGCGTCAACTCATCGATCGCGTCGAAGCTCGACGACTTCTTTGGATTGTCCGAATATGACTGGACACCGCCGAGACGCGAGGAAAACCCGAGCATGTACCTTTATGAGCTGATCAACTGGCTCACGACCGTGGTCGACTCGCTCGTCATCAAAGACGCGTACAAGGACAAGGCTTACCGAGGCGCTGCGGACTACATTGCGGAGTGTTTCGTGGTCAGTGTCCTTTCAATAGCTGGTGAAGCCTGAGGCTGAGAGTGCCGCGTAGGATTTCCTGACAGGGCGCAACGTGCCCATGATCAACGAAAACGGTGTGGCGAATCTCGTCACCGACATTGACTTCCTTGAAGACGAGTTCAAGAAGAGCGGGCACGCCCATCTCAACGCTGCGTTCCTCGAGCTGCGCCTGGTACATATGCTCCAGCGCTCGTTCCCGTTCGCGCTGATCACCCACATGATGTGCCGTAGATGACCACGATTGTGCTCGAGGATCAAGTCCAACAATACCTCATCCCAGCCGTCCGGCAAGCTTCCTATTCTGTCGTAAGGCCTCGAAATCTGCAGGCGCTGCTCCAGAAGCTGGCCAAGTATGGCGCGGAGTGCAAAGATACCCCATCTCGGCAGCGCGGTGAGAAGCGCAGGAAGGAGGCGGAGGCAGTCGGTGCACTGGTCCAAGGAGACGGGCGGTAAAGGACGATTCACAGTAACTTATTATTTGTATGACGACAGACGCATCGGTTATGGCAATGGAACTTCTGGATATACCCAACCGCGCTATCGGTCTACGACTAGCTCTAGTCAAGAGGCAAGAGCTAAGGCCTAAGGACCAGAGGCTTTTTCATGTACCGCTCGGGAACATTAGAGAATAAGCGTCAAAATCGTATGTGACAGGAAACAGAGTTATCAGGACTAGAGAACGATAATCACGCTACGCAGCTGAGAAAATGAGCAGGGACGACGTGTAATAGCAGAATCTTCATATCGTAAGGATCGTGCGACGACAACGTTGAAGAGACCCAGAAACGATGAGGAAGAAAACGCATTTACACCCGCCGCTTGATGTTGGCACTCAACCACTCCAGACCCTCGTAAAGACCATCACCGCTGGTCGCACATGCCGCCTGGGAAGGGGGTTGAGGAACCATCACGACCACACTAACCACGAGCGACTTACCTGGATGAACCACGTCCTCTGCCTGAGCCCGTGGAGACCAAGCTTGTCGGTAATCTCAGCAGCGCTCATGGCGTTGGGAAGATCCTGCTTGTTGGCGAAGACAAGTAGCAGTGCATCACGGAGCTCATCCTCGTTGAGCATCCGTTGCAGCTCCTCGCGCGCCTCCGAGATACGCTCCCGGTCGTTGGAGTCAACGACGAAGATGATGCCCTGGGTGTTTTGGAAGTCTGCCGAGAGGTCTATCAGACAACAGCCACATCCAGGTATGACACGTAGAGACACGTACAATGCCTCCAGAGGGGACGAATCTTGTCCTGTCCTCCGACATCCCACACAGTGAAGGAGATGTTCTTGTATTCCACGGTCTCGACGTTGAAGCCTGCAGTTAGTTACGCGTCAGATCGCGACGGCTATGTGCAACGGTTCTACTAACCGATCGTAGGGATGGTCGTGACGATTTCTCCCAACTTCAGCTTGTACAGGATGGTCGTCTTACCGGCAGCGTCCAGTCCGACCTGATGGCTAGTGTTAATTTTGCGCCCAGAAGCTCACGAACCCTTGCACACCATCAATATCCCTGCGCAGAAACAGTAGCGGGTTAGCATTTGTCACGACTGGGATGTGTCACGATCGATTCGGACTACTTACGCATCTCTTTCTTGCCGAAAAGGCCAGAGAGGAGGCGAGAGACCGAGAGACCCATGGCTGGTAATGTAGAATAAAGGGGAAAGGATATATGGACGTGAACGGAGGGGTTGAGGACTGGCGCGTTGGAGGGAGGAGGTGCGTGAAGTCGCTAAAGCGTTTTAAGCTCCGATCGTAGCTGTGTTACTGGTCGCTTGACCAGGCTTGACCCTTATTTATACCCCGCCACGTAGGAGGCGGTACAACCGCACTCACTGCGGCGCCCTCCAAGGCCACGCTCCCCCCTACGTGTAGCAGACGTGTTTCCCGTCTTGTCTCCCGCCAGAGTCACTCTGCCACCCTTGCCGCAGTGGCGGGTCGGTGCGCTGTCGCGGGATACGTGATACCAAACGTGGCACCACAGGCGCCCAGTCAGCGCGCTCGGCAAGTGCACTTGAGCGCTCACTTCAGGAAGAGCCTGCATTTGGCCTTCACAGTCAAGTGCAAGTCCAGCGGCCTATCGGAACCCATGCGCTGGTCTGAACGAGGCTCTGAATATCTATGATCACATTTACACCGCTCTCGGGCGCGGCGCGGTCCGCGCGCACAATCCCTCTAGCGTACCTCCTGCAAGTCGATGATGTTCGCATACTATTGGACTGCGGCTCACCAGACTGGTGTCCAGAGGGAGAGCCAGGCGAACAAGGTCGCCATTGGGACAAGTACTGTGACACACTGAAGGAGTGAGCATGCTTCATACTGAGACCCTGCACTTCTTAACGTGAACTTGGAAGGTATGCGCCCTCGGTGGACCTGGTCCTTCTGTCCCACGGCGACCTCCAGCACTCGGGGCTCTATCCGTATGCCTTCGCGCAATGGGGTCTTACAGCACCCGCGTATACGACACTGCCTGTGCAAGCCATGGCACGCATAGCAGCCACGGAAGACGTAGAAGGCATCCGGGACGAGCAACAGATCGGCGACTCTGACGAACGACAGAAGAGCTCTTCGCCTGAGGCTGGCGGTTCAGCTCATCCCGAAGACAATGCTGAGAAGTCTACCACTCCTCCACCGAAGGCCCCGAAGGGCAGATACATCGCGACCCTACATGAAGTACATGAAGCGTTTGACTCGGTGAACGTGCTGCGATACTCGCAGCCGTGTCATTTGCAAGGTATGTCCGATCTGTCTTACATGCGGTCAAATGTTAAAGCTCGCATCAGGGAAGTGCCAGGGTCTCACTATCATCCCGTTCAACGCGGGACACACGCTCGGCGGCACAATATGGAAAATACGTTCTCCGACTGCAGGCACGATACTCTACGCAGTGGACATGAATCATATGCGCGAGCGTCACCTTGATGGCACTGTTCTGGTGCGACAAGCATCCGCGGGTGGCGGTGTCTTCGAAAGTCTTGCCCGACCGGACTTGCTCATCACCGACGCCGAACGGGCAGTAGTGACTACAGCACGCCGGAAAGACCGCGACGCTGCACTCCTAGGTCAGCGTCACTTCCTTGCCATTTTTTATGTAGCTGACGGACGATATCGTAGACTGTATCGACTCTACCCTGACTTCCCGCAACTCCGTGCTCATGCCATGTGACTCAAGTACGCGAGTGCTCGAGCTCCTGGTGCTCCTCGACCAACATTGGAACTACTCCCGCTTGAAGTTCCCCATATGTTTGCTTTCGCGGACGGGGCGCGAGATGCTCACGTTCGTGCGCAGTATGATGGAGTGGCTTGGAGGGACCATCAGCAAGGAGGACGTGGGCGAGACTGGGACAGGAGGGAACAAGAACAAGCGGAGACGAGACGACGATGACAATGATGATGCCTTGGGAGCCTTCGCTCTCAGATTCCCGTTCGTGGCCTCTGCATCGCTAGAAACTCGCACTGACTGATGCGCTCCTGCAGGCACCTCGAGTTCTTCCCCACCCCCCAATCGCTCATGCAGACTTACAGCTCCAAAGACCCCAAGCTCATCCTCGCGGTCCCCGCCTCGCTCTCTCACGGGCCCTCGCGCGCGGTCTTCTCAGAGTTCGCCGAGACACCGGACAACGTCGTGCTGTTGACTGGTCGGAGTGAGGAGGGCACCCTTGGACGCGTCCTGTTCGACAAGTGGGACGACTCTCAGAGGGATGACGCGAAATGGGATCGTGGCAAGATCGGGAACAACGTCATGATGGACGGTGTCCTGCACCTCGAGGTGAAGAACTGCGCTTGGCTTTGCCTGACCCTCGCTGACTAGGCTCGGCGTGCACGTAGATGCACGCAAAGGTCCCGCTGCAGGGTGCGGAGCTCGAAGAGTACCTCGCGAAAGAACGTGCCGTTCAAGAGAAGGAAGCTGCTCAGAAGGCCGCTCAGGCTCGCGCACAACGGATCCTCGAAGCTGACGAAGGCGAGGACGACACCGACGAAGACAGTGAAGCCGAATCGGACGACGAAGAGAACGAGGTCGAAGAAGCTCTCGACGACGAGCTCATGGACACCGACGACGGGGCGCCCCCGCAGGCCCCTCCGAACGGGCGCATGAAGCGCAAATCGCAGAAAGGCGGCACCGGCGAAGGGAAGGACTGGATTGACGATGTCGGCGACGAGCTTGCGCAGAAGCTGTCCTTCGATATCTACCTCAAAGGGAACGTGTCGAAGGCCACGTCGTTCTTCAAGAGTGAAGGCCAGACGCAGCGGTTCCGTATGTTCCCGTATGTGGAGAAGAAGCGGCGGGTGGACGAGTATGGCGAGACGGTCGATGTGGGGATGTGGCTGCGGAAAGGCAAGGTGCTCGAGGAGGATGCGGAGAGCGAGGAGGTCAAGGAGATGCGGAGAAGGGCTGAGGAAGAGGCGAAGGTACGCTGAAGTCCGGATCTCGTCTCTCAACCCTCTACTGACACTCGTTGCAGAAAGCTCCGACTGAACCACCATCAAAATTCGTGAGGACGGAAGTGGACGTCCAGCTCGCTTGCCGACTGTTTTTTGTCGATATGGAGGGCCTCAACGACGGCCGTGCAGTCAAGACGATTGTGCCACAAGTCAACCCTCGCAAAATGGTATGTGCACCACGGGCGTCACTCGATAGTCATGCAAGCTCATTGATGCGAATGTGCTCCCTCAGATTATCGTTCATGCGCCGGCTCAGGCAACGGATGCTCTGATCGAGAGCTGTTCAAACATCCGAGCTATGACTCGCGACATCTACGCTCCGACGCAAGGGGAGAACGTGCAGATCGGGCAGCACACCAACAGCTTCTCAATATCCTTGAGCGACGAGTTGCTCGCGTCACTGAAGATTTCTCAGGTATGTCCCATGCTTGTATACTGAATCGGCAGCTCATGTTTCGGTGTTAGTTCGAGGACAACGAGATAGGCTATGTCGCCGGGCGCATATCCAGCCTTGCGGGGTCCACCATCCCCGTCCTAGAGCCAATGGCCTCACGGCTCCCCGAAAAAGTCATCCGCAAAGTGCAGCGGCCGCGCACGCTCGGTTCACGGCCGACGCGAACACTACCGCAGTCGACGATGATCGGCGAGCTGAAGCTTACCGCGCTCAAGGCGCGCCTGGCGAAGGTCGGCGTGCACTCGGAGCTCATCGGCGAGGGCGTGTTGATTTGCGGCCCTGGCAAAAAGGGCGCCAGCGCCGAGTCGATAGAGCATACGGTCGCGGTGAAGAAGACGACGCGGGGTAGGGTCGAGGTGGAGGGCACCGTCTCGGACGTGTATTATGTTGTCCGCAGGGAGATCTACAATCTGCACGCACTCGTTGCAGCTTGAATCATTCATTCTGTTGTGTTTGCAGTGTGCGTGCATTTCGTCAGTGAGGATTTCGGTGTGTCGCGCTAGGCTTCACAGCGGATCCTTTCTTGACCCGGCGTTGTGGATGTTGCGCTCATACTATTTTGACATTACATGCTACTGTTGTGTATTAAATGCATTGCAGATTCGATGGATGTTGCGATTCTCTGTGGGGTCTCATCAAGCATTGACGCCTGATGCTATATTACTGGTAGTGTGGCCAGCCCGGGTGGCTGAGGCAAGATAACGATCTGACGAGATGGTTGTTTGGACTGAACTTCCGGACCAAATAACGGCAGTTCCTCGGCCGGAATGCCGTCCATGTTTCACCGGGCCGGATCCGCGCTAATGTGCAGACGGCCCAAAAGGCCCTCGAACCGACCCGGGCAGCATTCCGAGTCACCGTACATAGTACATAACTGCATTCTGTGCGAGTTCTCTGACAAGCCATCGCCCTCCATCCGTGCTCAGCAGAACAGCCAAGATGCCCTCGACCACGCTGCACTTCGACGCAATGCCAGTGTTCCTGCCGTGATATTTCGGGCGGGCGAGTCGTTAACGAGTGATCTTGCAGTCTCTTCGACATGGACGGCACCCTGGTGGACTCGACCGACGGCGTCGTCGGCGCGTGGGAGCTCTTCAAGGAGAAATACCCGCACCTGGACGTCACCCAGGTCCTCAGCTGTACGTGACGCCGACGCAATGTCCTCGTCCCTCCCATATTAACTGATGTGCTCGTCAAACGCGGCAGCGGCTCATGGAGTGCGGACGGTCGAGAACCTCCGTCGCTTCTGCGGCGTTGAGGATCCCGAAGAGCAAGAGGCAAGTGCGCTCGCGTAGTGGCTCGCCTCTGGCTGATTCACCGCTGTGCACCCCGTCCGTTATTCAGCGTGAAGCGAAACGTTTCGAGGACGCCATCGTCACCAGCTCGACGAAGAACGGCCGCAAGGGCATCGTCGCGCTGCCCGGCGTGCCCGAGATCATGGCCGAGCTCGGGCCCGTCAGCAAAGGGCCCAACCCGCGCTGGGCGATCTGCACGTCCGCCACCCGAGCGTACGCGACTGCTGCGCTCCAGAAGGCGGGTGTCCCTCACCCAGAGATGTTCGTCGCCTCTGAGGACGTGCAGAAGGGGAAGCCCGAGTACGTGTTGCAGGACCTGTGGGGATTCTTCGGATGTGTCGCGCTGATGCTGGTATGGCGGTGCGTGTAGACCGGACCCGTACTTGCTCGGAGCGAAGAAATGCGGTGTGGACCCGAAGAACTGCCTGGTCGTAGAGGATGCCCCGGCGGGTGTCAAGAGTGGACGGGCGGCAGGGTCCAAGACGCTCGCACTGCTCACTTCGCATACGAGGGCGCAGGTTGAGGAGGCGCAACCGGATTTCGTAGTCAAGGACTTGTCGAGGTAAGTTTAGGCGCATATATGGGGCAAGCTTGATGCTGAAGCGTTCTCAGCGTGACGGTGAAGAGGACAGACAAGGGCGTCGAGGTTACGATCAACACGGATTGAAGCGAACAAGTAATAATGTGCGGGATAGAGGGGTAGAAATGAATAGTAATAGAGTAACACTAGATTCAAGCCGCTGTAGAGTGGTCGAGGGCATGCCATTTGTATCCGGCAGCAAGAGTTCTCACCTCAACTTGGTGTAAACGTCGATTGGTCGCTTGAACCCTGTATGCACGCATCAACTAGTTTGCAGTTATGCTGAGAAGAAACACGTACCGCCTTCGCCAATTTGCCCCAGATGCTCAGGAGGCCCAAAGCCGATCTCCTGGAGTATCTTCTCGAAGTCGTTCGGACGCAACTTCAGGTGCTCCAAGCTCTTGAGTTTCTGGATTCACAAGCGCGGTCAGAGTGCGACGGTGCGTTCTGAGAGGTTGGCACACACCGGGTTCATGCGCCTGGCCTTGTGATACGACTCCCATTCCTGCGGTTCGAGCACGAAGGTGCCTCCCAGTCTTAGAACAGAGTGGATGCGCCGGAAGAAGCGCATGAGCCCCTCATCCTCGCCGTTGAGATGGATCCACTTGGATATCGAGAATCTGAAGCAGTCGACCGTCAATCTTGCTCGCGGTGTGCATCGCTAGGACAGACTCACGCGAGTGCGACGTCATATCCATCCTTGTCCTCCAGGATCTCCATGTTCACCCAGTCCACTGCACGGAAGGTAACGTTGTGCGGGAACTCATCGCGTCCAGGACCATCAGGGGCGTCGACTGGGGGGATGGGCAGGGGACCGAACATGTGCTCGAACGACGCGGGGAAATAGTCTGCCTGTAGGGTGTCCCCACCGCCCCCATTGGCGTCGACCTTCCTCCGTTTTCGGGCAGGCGGCATCTCATCTTCCATGGTACCCTTCGAGGTGGATGGCTCCTGCAAACTCCAGACATAGCGTCTCCGCTTCCACGCCAGCCGGACGAGCTTGTCGTCAATGTCCACGCCGACGACCTTCCTCGCGCCCTTCGACTGTGCTTGCGCGGCCCACCTGCCTGTCAGCGTCCGCTCCAGCAGTCGTGCTCGAGCACTCACCGATTTCGCACGTCACCCAGCCTTCGTTGCATCCCACGTCCAACACACGGGCACCGGCGAAGATGGAGGAAGGGAGAACGGCTACTCGGGGGTCGTTCGCGAAGGGTCGCTTGGTGTAGTACCTTTAGGGCTGCTTGAGCAGCCGCACGATGCTGGTAGTCACTGCACTTACCCGTGGTAGTTCCCGTGGATCGGTGTCGACGAGTTGGGCGCGGTCATCGTCGTGTGTGGTGTGGCCATGGCGTCCGTTCATGCCATGGTAGAACCCTAACCTGATCATATGGTGCTCAACTTGTGCTCGCCGTCGTGGATGAGGGGATCACGCGGGGCAGGCTCGGTGAGTTCAATTAGAATAGCCACTGCATTGACACCAGCGTATACGTAGTAGGCGGAGGAGGTATATACTACATTTCGTCACAGCAGAGACAACATAACGGGCAACCGGTGAAACCACTTGCGAGCCACTTGAAAATCATCACAAAATCCGACCATCGAGACGAGTAGCGGGGTATAGGTCGCTAGTACTCCTCGCCGGCATCGTCCTCGGGTGTGTCGGCGCCGACCTCCTCGTAGTCCTTCTCCAGAGCGGCAAGGTCCTCGCGTGCCTCGGAGAACTCGCCCTGAATGCAGAAGTTTGAGACATCGTCGTCACGACACAACGATAGTAAGAACTGACCTCTTCCATACCCTCGCCGACGTACCAGTGCACAAAGGCACGCTTGGAGTACAAGAGGTCGAACTTGTGGTCTGCAAGCATCATCGTCAGTCACAGAAGCGATGAAAGCAGCACCTCGTACTCACCCAGCCTACTCCAGGCGGCTCCGATGGCAGTGGTACTATTGTCGAGACAATGTCACTGAGGATGTCGTGCAACAGAACTCTGGCAACTCACTTTGAGAGCATGCACAGACTACGTGTCGTGCGCGCCAAGTCACCCCCGGGGATAGTCGCGGCGGGCTGGCTGCAAACACCGAGCTACACAAGATGTCAACACTGCGGTCTGTCTGTCATCACATATGCCCCACCTTGAATGCGGTCTTGCACCAGTCCACGAATTGGATCGTCTTCTTGGTCTTCACCGTCCCCACCGCCGCCTGCGTGTCCTTCGGAACGACGTCGCCCCTGTACAGCAGCGCACACGCCATGTACTTGCCGTCCTTCGGCTCGCACTTGACCATCTGGTTGCCCGGCTCGAATGCGGAGAACGTCATCTCCGCGACGGAGTTCTGCTCGTGGTGCGCCTTCTCCGCGGACAGGAGCGGCGCGAAACTCGCGACGGGGAAGTGAATGCGCGGGAACGGCACCAGGTTCGTCTGGAACTCGTTGAGGTCGACGTTCAGCGAGCCGCTGAAGCGCAGCGACGCCGTGATGGACGAGACGACTTGCGCGATGAGCCTGTTGAGGTTGGTGTAGCTCGGCATCGAGACACCGAGCTTCTGCTTGCAGATGTCGTAGATGGCCTCGTTGTCCACCTGTCCGTGACGTGTTATATTTTTCGGCCTAGTTCGGATTACATAAGGCACCCACCATGAACGAGCAGTCGGCGAACTCGAGGGTCGCATGAGTCGTCAGCACGGCGTTGTACGGCTCGACGACTGCGCTCGAGAGCTGCGGCGCGGGATACACACAGAACTCCAGCTTTGACTTCTTGCCATAGTCGTGGAAGAGCCTCTCGAGCAGGAGGGCACCGAAGCCAGAGCCCGTGCCTCCGCCAAACGAATGGAAGACGAAAAAGCCTTGCAGACCTGAGCAGTTATCCGCGAGGCGGCGCACCCTGTCCAATACAGGATCTATGAACTCCTTGCCGATAGTGTAGTGTCCTCGAGCATCTTTTCAGAAAAAAAGTCGCGTCAGACCATAAGGACGAAAAGAGAGAATCTACAGCGACCCACAGTTGTTGGCAGCGTCCTCCTTCCCTGTGATCATCGACTCCGGGTGGAACAGCGCCCTGTACGGGCCTGTCTTGACCGTGTCAACGACGCTAGGCTCGAGATCGACGTAGAGGGATCTAGGGACGTATTTTCCTGAGCCTGTCTCGGCAAAGAAGGTCGACGGGTCGCTATCGGGTTTGTGAACACCGTCGACGAGTCGGCCATCCGGCTGTAGTCCTCAAGCATGAGCAGCAGCCAAACAAACCCGCGTCGTATACTCACGCTGATGCCGTGTTCGAGGGTGTACAGCTCCCCTAACGATTATAAGGTCGCCAGTCGGCTAGCTGATAAAAAGAGGCAACGCGAAACCAACGCACAACATGCGTTCCCTATCTGGACGCCTGCCTGCCCGACCTGGATGGATATGACTTCACGCATCGCGATTTTGGCAGAGTATGTGGACGTAGAAGGTTGAGGGGCGACAAGAGCCCGAGCCGGCGGTATGCCAGCATTTGAGGCGCGCGGAGCTTGCAATTGGCGGGCGCAAGTTGAATCATCGTGGGCATTGCCGCGCGCCTATGACTCGGATGACAGACTCCTCCAGCAGCCGCCTTCGGTTCCGCCTCGAGGATATGACAAAAGATGACAAACCCTCGCCAGCAGCCTTTCGCAACCTGCACTTTGCCGTGTTACAGAATCCAATGGCGGCAGCCAAGTGCAAATAGTATTTTTACTGTACCGATGGTATACGTGCACATGCCCAGTTCTCGAAGGACAAGCGGGGATATCGTAAATGATCATAGCGACGACACAGAAAAGTGACTCGACAAGGGAACCATGATGAAAGAAACCGGAACATCAGCGATCTTCTCAGTACTCGCCAACCTCCTCGGCATCGGCAGAGTCAATACCGACTTCCTCGTAATCCTTCTCGAGGGCGGCAAGATCCTCGCGAGCCTCGGAGAACTCACCCTCCTCCATACCCTCACCGACGTACCAGTGGACGAAGGCACGCTTGGAGTAGAGCAAGTCGAACTTGTGGTCAAGGCGGCTCCACGCCGACGAGATGGCGGTCGTGTTGGAGAGCATGCAGAGCGAGCGAGTAACCTTGGCGAGATCACCGCCGGGGATGTGTGACGGAGGCTCGTTGCAAACGCCGAGCTTGAAGCCAGTAGGGCACCAGTCGACGAATTGGATCGTGCGCTTCGTCTTGATGATCGCGATGGCAGCGTTCACATCCTTCGGGACGACATCGCCACGGTAAAGCACAGCACACGCCACTACAATGCCGTCAATGTCTGAGGACGAAAGCAACAAAGTAATGGGAAACTCACTGTACTTGCCCTCCCTCGGGTCACACTTGACCATCTGGTTACCGGTCTCGAAGCAAGAGAAGGTCATGTCCGCAACAGAGTTCTGCTCATGGTGAGCCTTCTCGGCGGAGATAATGGGCGCGAAGGTGGCGAGGGGGAAGTGGATACGAGGGAAGGGGACAAGGTTGGTCTGGAACTCGTTCAGGTCGACATTGAGAGAACCATCGAAACGAAGGGAGGCGGTGATGGACGAGACGACCTGAGCGATCAGCCTGTTGAGGTTGGTGAAGCTCGGGGACGCGATGTTGAGCCTCTTCTTGCAGATGTCGTAGATAGCCTCGTTGTCAACCTATTACCATATAAGGTTAGTACATACAACATGTAAAAATCCGCGCGAACGTACCATGAACGAGCAGTCCGAGTGCTCGAGGGTGGTGTGGGTCGTCAAAACAGAGTTGTACGGCTCAACGACCGAGTTCGCCAGGGTCGGGGCGGGGTACACGCTGAACTCGAGCTTCGACTTCTTGCCGTAGTCAGTCGAGAGGCGCTCCAAGACCAGAGCACCGAAACCAGAACCAGTTCCACCACCGAAGGAGTGGAACACGAAGAAGCCCTGGAGACCATGGCAGTTATCCGCAAGGCGGCGGATTTTGTCCATCACAGTGTCGATCTGTTCCTTGCCAATTGTGTAGTGACCACGGGCATCTTGAAAGGTACGACGCGTCAAACGTGTATCACGCGTACGGAGAACGTGTTGAACTACTTACAGTTGCTCGCCGCATCCTCCTTACCCGTTACAAGAGTCTCCGGGTGGAAGAGGCTCCTGTAAGTACCGCTCCGAACCTCATCGATGACGTTCGGCTCCAGGTCCACGTAGAGCGAACGCGGCACATGCTTTCCCGAAGAAGTCTCCGAGAAGAACGTGCTGAACCCGTCATCATGTTGCGAAGGCGACCCTTCAAGGATGCGACCATCGGGCTGGCGAGAGGTCATCAACGTCTGTTATCGACACGTCAACATGACGCGACTTACGCTCAAACCGTGCTCGACGGTGTAAAGCTCCCCTGCAACGCATCACCCACGTTAGCCCACCCATAACAGACATGTATAACCCCAAAAGACACCAGACAACGCGTCTCTTGGATGTAGGTATGGCATATGCAGTCGCGACTTACAGCAGGCGTTACCGATCTGGACACCAGCCTGACCGACGTGGACGGAGATAACTTCACGCATCTTATGAGAAAATTGAGGTCTACAAAAGACGTTAGTCTCAGCAGCAAGAACGCGTCGCAACCAGCTTACTCGGAGCGATGAGTGTGAAGGACGAGATCGACAAAGACAACGCACGACACGCGAGGTCGGCGGTTAAGACAGGCAAGAGGGGTGACTAATCCCTTCCCACGGCAATGCGTGTACCAGGTCCGTGCGCTTGCTCAATGCTCCGAAACATCCAAATCCCAATTGTTCGCCCTCCCCGGCCTAACATTGGAGCTGCCTGTAGATGCTGCCTCCGGTAGGATAGTCGTTTTGTTACAGCAAATATCAAGGATCCCCAACGAAGGGCTTGCGTCGTCCGTTTATGTAAGTAGTACTGAAGTGTCCATTATGCATGCAATCAGTTCTCCCGGCCGAAGAAAAACATGGGGGTCACTCTGATGGCCCTATCAACCATGAGACTGCGAGGACTTGAACTGGAGTGTCTTCCCTGCACCACTGAGAGCTGACGCTGCATGCTCCTTACCGTGAGCCGCCTTCGTCGCTGCCTTCTCGGTGCTCTTCCGCATGAAATATCTAAGGAGCAATGAGTGGGTTGCGAAGATGCGGGTTCCGCTCTACTCACGTAACAAGTGATTGCCATATGCGCAGACCATGCATTGGCGAGCTCGGTTGGTAGACCTGCTGCTCAGATTGCGGCGGTGGACCACGGGGATGGTCTTGCTTCTCAAAGGCCCCTCGGACAACATCAGAGGCCTTGAGTTTCGGTACCATCTTATGCGTAGCTGGCGCGGTGTGATAGACATTCTTCTTGAGGAGAGCAACTGCTTCAGCCTAGCGGGTGTGCCATGTCAATTCAAATGAGCAGGGTCAGCTTGGGAATTCTCCGCACCGTATCCCGTCGTCCTGCGATAGCACTCGGGGCAGGAGTCTCATGTTGCAGGTCCAAGGGACCTGAACCGAAGTGTGAGCCATATGGCGGCGTCACTAAAGGTACACCTACCCCAGCGGCGATCCGGCACGATGGTACCGGAAGCTCCAGAAGCAAGCGAGAAATGGCTTTGACTTCGATGGTCGACGGTGGGTCGCGACATGCTGTCGTGGATGACCCCTTGCTCGTGTGCATGCTGAAGCAATCGCGCCGCCTTCTCCTCGTACTTTCGCCTCTGCTTAATCACCTTCTGCGCCTTGTGTTTGTACCTCTTGTCCCACATCTCCTGGCCTGTGAGCCACCTCTTTACAGGAGGCTCCTTGATGATGCCGACCGACTGAGGCTTCACCTGCAGCGCCGGGATATCCTCCTTCGGCTCCATGGGCCTCACTTTGCCGAATATGTCAACCCGTTCTCTGAGAGTGATGACTTGTGGAATGTCCTATTTGATTGCCACGGTGAGTGTAAGACTTAAAAAAGCGCAGTTATAGTAACGCACCTTCCCCGATCCATTATGCCTTTCTGATTCACTCTCTGTGCCAGCGGGCAACTGCTCCGCTGCGCCTTCCTTGACTTCTTCCTTCGCCCTCTGCTCGTTCCTTCTGAAGTCTTCCTGACCGGAAGGCACCTCGCCAACGGGGCCCTTCTCCCTGAGAGCCTTCTCGCCGTTGTTGAGAGCGTGCCCGACACGCGGGCGTTCTGCTGGATCTTCCATATCATCCTCGGGCTCGTCAAGCTCCTCTGGCGGAATGTGGAACTCGGGAAATGGGTTCCGCTCCAAGTGCTCCGACGACTGCATCGTGACGTGCCTGACGAACTGAGCGATAGAGCTGTACGCATACTTCGCCTGTGAAAAAGTTGTGAGCGTGAGGTCGCATCTTCCTCCGACGATGCTGAGACGTACGCAACGTATGAAGGTGAAGACGGTCAAAACGTGACACATGTCTGCAAAGCATCAGCATCCGTACTCGAAACATACTCAATTTCATACCATCGTAGACTTGTAGGTGAACCTGGACATCCGCCATCAGCTCCAAACATTATTCAACAAAAAGTCGATTGGCGTACCTTCGTCGGCGTCTTGAACCGCTCTGCATTCTCCTTCTGACGTCGACCTTCCTGCAGAACTCCGCCTCTTGCGGGGTACTCCTCCGGATGCGCAGCCTTGTGGGCCATGTAGATAATCTCGTCCCGCAATACCTCGCCATCCCCGCAGATGACGTACAATGGGCACAGGTTGCCGAGCGAGCCTTGCAAAACGGGTGACACCAACGGATGCGTGAGCTGTCTGTGAACACTGCGTCAAGCAAAGCCTCTACCCAAACGCGCGAAACGTGCATACTCATTTGTGGCATAGAGCTGTATTTGGGAACGGAGCTCGAGTGGCATCGCGTGCGGGTCATCCATGAGAACCTTCGGTGGTTTGGGCTCCCAGAATTCCGGATCATATTCTTGACCAGATTCGTCTTGACCCTGCTTTTTCCGACGGTCCTGAGAAGTCGCCTCCGGGTCCGTTTCCTCGTTGCCTCTCGGGGTCTGTTCCTTGGAAGCCGAATGAGTGTTTCCATCCGCACTAGGCTCAGAGACACCATTCACATGGGCCCCATTGGCCAACTGAGACTCCCGGCTGCCACCGTTAGCTCTGACTGGTGAGTCAGGCTCCGGCGGCGTCTCCTGAGACTGCCTTAACATCGCCTCTTGGCTTCCGACATGCTCATCTTTGAGGTCCTTACTCTGCACGTCTCTGCCTTCCTCCGCGCTTTGCTCCGCAAGCTCATCAGCTTGAGAGGCCATGCGACTCCTGCTGGGCTGCAGTGTATCCGCGTGGCCAGGTCGCGGGGGAGGGTTAGTCTGCGTCGGGATGACGCGAGCACGCCCGTTCTCATCTGGTAATGAGTGTATAGGCCAAGTTGGAGACGGCTTGTGGATGAATCCATACGGCGGGATGATATCCTGCGCCCCGTTGTCAGCCAGACGCGCCCGCCTAGACTGTGAATATTGAAATGCTCACTGTCGGAGTGTTCTGCATGACGCTAGGAAAACTATGCGTCATGTCAACCCAAGGGCTGATGAGTACTGCACCCGCCGGTTGTGGTATACCCATGTCCCGAAGCACAGTAAGAGCGGTCAAGCATAATCCGCCGCCCGCGGAATCTCCCGCGAAAACAATCTTGGATGGGGGCACCGGTTTGTGTAAGGCACCAGGCGGAGGGTCTGTGAGATAGAAGTCTGCGTACACACTCAGCACATGGCATTCAGGTTTGTGACAGATATCGATACGCACAGGCTGCGAGAACATCCTGAAGAGCACATGGCCATGGATACTGCGGCGCCTTCCTGCATGGTGTGAAGGTTCGTGAGGAGATGATTCAGTATTTTGCTAGTTAGGCTCGCCTGTAGTTCACTGCAAACGCTCGACCCTTGATTTTACGAGCTGACATGATAGTCAACGAACTGTTCTCGTTAAAAATGAACGGTTTGAAATGGGATTCACCGTAGCGGATGATTTGATAGCGATGCGTGTCTGCATCAAGACTCGAGTCAGCGGCAAGGATGAACATATTACTCAGTCGACGAAAGACGCACTGATGGACCCCCAGAAGTAGGCACCTGTACAAACGGTCAGGAAACATCACGCGCATGTTTGGTATGCGACAAACCTCCATGCACATACAGCTAATCCGTCGGATTGTCAACGGTGAGACATAACTGTCAATTGTACGACTTACCATGACACTCTCAAGATGTTCCATTCGCGGGATATATTTTTCCGTTTCAGATAGCTTCTCGCTCGGAGAAACCTCTTCATTGCTGAGGTACTTGTGTTCGGTAACCCACTCCGAGTCGATACCATCCAATCCTCTGACTTGCCACCAGCGCTCGCCGCCGACTACATACTTCAGATCATCAGGACCAAACCAGTCGACGAGGACGTCAGCGGCCTTGTTGCACGACGGAAATGGGATTTGCACCGGCGCGACGGCAGCCCAGGGAGGCGCGGGTACGTGCGTGTTGGTGCTTGACAATGGCATGGAGGATTCAACATGCGGCATCCCGTGTCGTGACTGGAGACATGCTCACAATGCTTGCAGAGACTCCACACTGTTATGAGTCCCGAGTTCTATGAAGGCCTTCACTATATGGAACCCCCTTCATTACTCGATGAGCACAGGTGACCGCGGGGCTTCATTGCGAGGATATGACGCACTCGTCGAAGAATATATCATCTGTGGCTTCCTCAGTTGCCTCGCCGTCCTTGAATTTGTGGGCCTTCTTTCGACCATGCTTGACGAGAGTCTTGAAGGCAACTGCGATGTACGGTGTAGGTCCAAGGCCCCAACAAGCCTAGCTCTGTTCGGACTTACCCGGCGCGATGTGTACGGCAGCGGAGAATGTGTTTACGCCCATAAGCAGATAGATCCGGGAGGAGGAAGATGTCCAGCGGAAGTCGGAGCCAAGCAAGTGGGAGGAACAACGTGCAGAAGGCGGGCTCCATGACCCTCGACGCTCGCGGTGCCCCAGTCGCGCGTCGAACACGCTCGTACCTGAGCGTGTCATGGCACGTGCACCGCGCCACCCCAAGAGCGCCCGCCGTCGACCACCAGAAGTTGGCCAGTAGCAACAGACAATTCGAAGACCGCCCTCTCCCACTCAACAAGGTCGTGTTCAGGGTCTCCCTACAGGAGACTAACCAATTCGACTGATTTGGCTACAAACCTAGCAATAAATGCCCCAATACACTGCCCTCCGCCCGCCTTCTACTGTTATGGCCGCCGCTCACACACTGCGAGAATAAAGAATCCTATAGTAACATGGAATAGTACACATAATCTATATATACTGCATCAAACGCTGGTTCGTGAGGCTCCCGCCACCACGCCACGATTTTATTGAACATCCGCGGCGAATCACATCTTGCAAATAAAGCTCAGGCTGGACCGTGACAGTTGTTCTGAGCAGTTGATAATGACGGTTCTTTGTACGACGGCCGGTTCCGTCCGTCGGCCGCGGCTATGCATGATATCGTTTCAATCTAAGCCAAGTTTCCAATCGGAAGTAGCGCGGAACTCTCACCATCACTATCAACGAAGTCATCAAGGCAGTATCCGTCAATAGGGGAGAGCATAGTTGAATCGCCATGGTTCGAGTTGGGAAGGGTGACGAAGCTGGGTATGTCTCGTAAAGTGCGAGAAAAGACTTCGCCACCGTCGCTTTCTGCGGCAGCCACCTCTCGCAGATCTAGAGTGAGTCTGGACAGCAGAATCGAAGTGAAACTGCCGGCACGAAAATGTTCAGAAGAGCGACATGTATGATGAAGCCCCGAGAGGTTTCTTACATGGCTGTCCACATTGTCCAGATTTCAAGGAACTGTAGAGGTGCGAACAAGCGTAGGCAAAGAACATGACATCAGTCTCATGGAGCCAAACTCGCACTTGGTTTAACGTACCTCGTTGAGATGACCGGTCCCTATGCCAATCACGTTCACGACACAGAGCAGCCTGGGCATATGTATGAGTGTCCGCTCTTCAGAGGCGATACAAGTTGTTTTTGCTTACGCAAAGCATATTGTCGCTACGTTGTGTATGTCGTCACCGTGGCATCCTCCATATAGAACGTGAGGCTTACTGTCGTGTAGCAGAACACCTTTGAGTGCTCTTTGGATGCCTTCTGCACCATCAACGTCCTTGCGTCTCTGGCTTGTCTTCAAGCCGGTCAGGACCAGAACAAGACCGTCCGATATGAGCGCTGCCACTCTGGCAAAAATCATCCCTTAGAATAGCGTTCAGTTGGCAGTGCTTGAATTCATTTCTGTGTACGCATTGTACGCACAGCTGGCACGATGAAATCAAATGTTACGAAATGCAAGCTTGAGTACGAGATGACAGCGAATCGGTGAATAGACGCACTTCTCATAGCTCCTCTCATTTCCGGCCAAGGACAGGGTGCAAGCTCTGAAACCGTCGACGGTCCCCAATGACGGGATCGACCTGGTGAAGAGGTACTATGGCAGGAATTTATAGCACTGCGTGTCAACATAATGTGATATCCGTAACACTGCGAATTAACGTACAATCAAAATTCCAGGATTGACCAGGCCGATGAGCAGTACGGTAGCGCAAAGCCAGCGATTACGGTTGTAGATCGCAAAGACTCGCAGGGCCGCGAATACTGGTAGTAGCGCAATCAGGACGTGCAGAAGTGATTTCGACGTACACACGTACTAGAAGTGCTGACGAGGATGATGACATCCAAGCCCATTTGGAAGCGTTGCATAATCCCGCAACTTAGTCGATCCGTTGAGCCTACGCAGAGCCTTGAACTAATTATCGAATTCGTACGGACCTCTGCAACGCTCATCAGCAAGAAGTATGACTCATTAGTCCGGCTATATCGCGCTCACTTTCACAGTCTGCCAGGGAGCATCGATCCGAGTGAGCACCTCGAGGACCGTATTGGCCAATGCCGGATATCGGTAGAAGTAGAAGAGGATGGTGCCGAATGATGGTCGAACTCCCCAAATATATCGAACTTCGCGGTCGAGTGTTAATAGGTAGTCGTAGACGTATAGCGCTTGATTCAACAAATGAGTACCTCAGCTGGACGTGCTGTGGATAGCCTCACCTGTCGCTGAGAAGTACATGTAGTTCACGAGGCCCACGAAGATATCTAGCCATCTGCGACGAGACAGACTTGTGAGTGGGCAATAGCAGAGAACGGGTGAAAGACGGCCTACAACAAAGCTCCGTGAAGTGCCATTGTATGGGGGTTGTGCTGAGCGAGGTGTGAAGAATGCAATGATTGGTTTAGTTATACTAGAGGACCCTGCATACTTATATGGTCCCTGCGCGAACCACTTCAGTATATTGTACAGGATAGCCAAGGCGTGGATCAGAAGCAACTATCAGAAGAGATGATGTTCTACAGATGTAGACTGGGTTTTACTCACCTAGCCGTGGTTCTCGCAGAGACATCCCTCGATCTGTATTGGCTGGAAGCTTTTCGAGGGAGACAGCATTATTCAGTCTGTCCTGACCTGTGCTTATCTTTGATTGGGGGAACAAGCCCAGAATAGTGCACTTGAACCTTGTACAACATGGAAGCGTTATCAGTCAGTAGTCAGTCCCAAAGACATCTACCTCTTCCCCACTCCTGTGCACACGGTCGCTTTCGACCCTCCAGTCAACTGGCATGTCGATGGCAAGGGGAAAGGGGGCGACAAGCCATGGGAAGTTGTCTCGGTACAGAAGGTCACCGCGAGTGGCGCCGCCGAATGCACCATGTGTTCAACGTGGTGGCGGCGTAGCTAGATACACCATAGGCAACCAGACTGGCAACGGCATGAATGTTGGATATCCTGGCACTCCAGCGTATGCATCTGTTGAATGTGCTTGACACTGCGGACGTCTCGACTAGGAGCCCGATTGCGTCCAGCGGTCGGCGAACATGTGGTAGGACCAGTGCCACGATGCGAAGAACGCCGCGCCGCAACTACGAGACCACAAAGTCTCGATGGTTGCACATTGCAACAAGGCCTGTCTTCTCCCTTGACGACTTGAAGCTCTGGAGATAGATGAGTTCGTCGTTGGTTTCCATAAGACACGCCAAACAGTACCATGATTATTCACACGGCGTGTCTCCCTAAGATCAAACAACGTTCGCCGGGGCAAAGCCTCTCTGCCTAGCGTCAGGCTTGCATTTTTCAGCCTGTTCATTATGGCAGTCCACGCAAGTCAAGGCCGCCGTGATGATACCTGAATCTTTATTGCCGCGAGGCACTATGCGCAGACACTGCGGTCAAGCCCTAGGAGTCTGTGGGAGTATTCCAAGCCAAAGTTAGCAACAACGAATGATACGTAGAGGACGTACCGCTCAGACGTTGGGAGGGCTTCCGAGTCAGACCGAGAAAGGCCCGTATGTGAGATCCCCTTAACTTGACTGCACGAGAAAGCCGCCCGGTATGAATAACGCTTGTGGTACCTACGTCACACGTTCGAGTTGTAAGTAAGTATGCCGGAATTTGGCCGGAATACTAGTCGAGATCTTATGCAGTGAATGAGAGGCGGCGTCATGGTACCACGGTGACTCGCTGCGCACATGGTCCTGTCGAAATGCAGGTCGCATTAATGTCACCTTGAAACGCATGCACAGAGATACGATGATGACAGGGTGTACATACAGAGCCTGTGATCGCAACCGCCTCGCGTCACTGTCAGCTTGTGGCGCTCGCACTTCGGTCCAAAAAAGGTAATCACCTAGATTGCACGCAACCACTTGGCGTGCCCCTCTGTCAGCAAGACATAACACATAACATTGAGAGAAGACTCTGCTATGAGGAGCGAGTTCTAGTCTAGATATGGCAGGGAAGGGGAATATTTCTACAGGTTGCGGATCATTCTATGACATCAGTAGCATCGGATGCAGTGGTCTAGAAACAAGAGAGCGAGGAGAGGACTAACGGGACAGCTGATATACACGTTCTGACGGAGTGGTACTACAAAACATAAGACGCTGTAGCGTTGCTGAAACAAACTAGGACGAAGTGTTCTGAAGGGTGCGTTGAATCCGTTGTCGCCATTTCACGTATATGCCCTCTTGGGGCGATGGCGCGTATCGACAGAGTTCGAAGAGCACGAGTTGTTCCTTAAGCAGAATCAGTGAGTTGATAGCTATGCACCGATATCAAGAAGCGTTACCATAAATCCAGGATTGATCCATACTTGCTCACGCGCTTAGGGAACGAGACGTCAGCGAGAGTCAAACCGTAGAGGGCAAACTCACTCTTTCTGATCTCTGCAATCGCATCAGTGGGGCAAATTCGCCTTGAATACATAACTGCAAAGGTGTCAGCCAAGTCGCGACTATCGGTGAGTAGAGGCGCTTACGGTATGCAGCGATGACTGCCGCGCTGCGCGAAAGGCCTTGCACGCAATGCACCAGTACAACGCCCCTATGGCTTAGGGCATTATGTATGAACTGGCAAGCCGCCGGCAGGTTGATCAATAGGTCCGCGTAGTCGACGTCTTCAATGGGGATGCGCAGATGCTGAATACCGGACGCGGGGTTGTCTGCTGGAATGGGCTCTTTGCCGAGCGATACTATGTGCGTAATGCGCCGGTCAGACAGCGTCCGGGGAGAAATGGCGGCATCGAGGCTATAAGGTATCGGGTAGAGAGTCAGCTCTTATACTAGATGACGACGGGGTAGGCAGTGTCGGTTACTTACGTCCCAAGAAACAACCTGTCCTCAAGGCCCGCGATTGGATTGATTCTTCCCCAGCTTGTAGACATCTTAGCGGCTTCGTCTCTTGAACAGGCTCGACGGAGAACTCGTCCCTCTTTTGGCCCGTGCATTTTGTACGAACGCGCCATGCATGGCGGGCCCACAGAGGTGCCGTCCGTTCATGCATAGCGTGCTCGCTGCCTGTATGCTTCCGAGCTAGTGGCCACATCCCTTGGGCACTGGCAACGTCGAGGGCGGTGAACAGCGCCCGAGTGTGGCGCAGGTGCCCGGAGTTAAGCCCACGTGACCGCGCGACGCCGTCCTAATTTGGTGTTGAACTTGCTCGGCCGCTACTCTCTGCTCATGGCTGTGCACCGTTTCGAAGGCCGTCACTCGATTGGACGAGCGCAAGTGACTTCCTCCGTGTTCGTCGCCTTGTCAATACCACAGAGTGTACTTGCATGCCATGTCAGTGGACTATCTGTGGTTGTGCTCGGTTAGCATAGTCTCGCCGACGATTGCAAGCTCACAATGACTGCGCAAATCCCGCTTGTGCGTGGCAGGTCGTATGCAACATGTGGACACGCGACTTCGTTCTTGGAATGTCTGTTTGTTTCCCGACACCGTGAGCGGTGATGATGTGTTCACAGGTGTGCAAAAGCGGGAGGCTGCTCACTGACATTTCCTGTCGCCATGCTCAGACGTTTGTCTCTGTTTCACCGTCTAGCCATAGTTGAAACTTGTGCGTACCCTCGTGGTGCTGGTCGGTGGAAAGACAACTATGCCGACATGCACACGAGACGCTAACCGCGCGCGGGCACCGAGTAAGTCTGCGGCAGATCGCCGACTACGAGATTTGCCACTGAAGGGAGTTCGCGAGTACCCTTTCACGCAAGATATCCGCGGGACGTGCGCAGGACAGTGGGGTATCCGGACAGCCTGCCAATAATGTGCTCCCTCTCTTCCATGACTTGTCAGAGGTGGCTGTGCATTGCCGTAGCGACCACCCACGGAACATGCTCGGGCGCTCCGCTAGCATGACGCACAGTAAAGACGATCGAGATCGCGAAGCACACGATCGCTGGACGCAAGGCACCAAACCTGCGCCGACGAGACCGCGTATTCACTCAAGTGCAGCGGGCGCAGGATTGCCCCCACTAAACCATTACTGTGCCAACCAGTTCATACTGTACATCGGGGTGCATTATATTAGGCAAACGGCGTGCGTCCATCGGAAGCTCATCCAAACAAGGGCTGCCCAGACCAGCATGACAGCCTTCACTCGTTCGTGTAGTGCCGGGCGAACAAATCGTTCTGAATCCAAATGACCTATGCCACAGGGAACAAGTCAGCTGTGTCCGCCGATATACCACACAGTGCGTAAAGCACCCTCACCTTGTTGATTGCCGAGACAGCATCTATCTTCGTCTGCATACTTGCTGTCTCCTCCGGTAGACGCAGAATGGCGGTCTGCAGGACGTTTTGCACCACACTGAGAAGTAATGCACAGTCACGATCTAACCGAGGATCAGAATTTCCGCAGGGGCAGCATCGACGTCACAAACGCACAGGGAACATTCAAGGGTGCAATGCCCAGTGCTCTTTGGTGTTTGAAAGGTGAGACACCGGTATGCATAATGCCGACCTTGTCCATGTACGCCCAAGTCTTGCCTTTCGAGTAGTCGGCCGTCAAAACCCTCCGAGCCCACGCTTTCATGAAGACCTGATAGTGGGCGGGTTCAGTGCGACGCTCATATAGGAGTGAACCACACCGACCTTTCGGAAGACAATCTGTGCGCTATCCAGTGTCAGGTCCTCCAGCTTCTCAGGCAGAGGTCCGTCGAATCCCTACACGTCGGGGAAGCTCAGCGCCGCAGTCGTTCAATATTCAGGAAGGTACGTACGTGATTCCGCGTCATGAAGACCTTCTTGGTGATGTCGAACTCGAACAGCTTCGAGTAGAGCTCGTCCACCATGCTTGGTATGGCCGCATTTACGTGCGGCGCAATTGATGTAATGATGTCCGAATCGCGCGACGTGAAATTGACGAAATCGGTGAGGTATGCGACGCGATCGTCTAGCGAGTTCTTCAGCAACACCGGATCGATCTCCTGCACAAACACAGGGCAGCTGCTCGAAGACGAGGCCGACCGGAGCAGTGTCGAAGACGAGTCCGTTGCAGACGTGGTGGTCCTGTCAGAGGTGTCGTCAAACGATGGACGTTCAACTCTATCGCCATATTGAGCAAAAGGACAGGTTGTGTCTTGGGAGTATGAGTCGAGGTCGAACGTGGACATGATGCAGAACCGCCACGAATACGGAAGATGGTTGAAATTGACTGAAGCAGGGATGACGGTCTCGACGACGTCTATGAGGGCTTATATGTGACCATGGACATCCGCCCGGGACATACAGGACACTTTGCCAATTGCTCATCGCGGTTCGACCTCGTTACTGGTCGAGAAGCGGCATTAGAGATATGGGTCGACCCAGCCAAGGCGAGGCGGGTGTCATGGTTCGAGGCCGTCGGTGGTTGCCTCTTCTGGGTGGACATGAGCTCCAGAGGGTGGCAGCGATGGTAACGCCGACGTTGGTGAGGGCGCGGAGACGAACGAGCCTTACCTCGACCCCGCACTCGGCCCTCGGCCAGCCACCGGCGCGCCACCATAGCAAGCAGGTGATCGTGGAACTCGTCGCCGGGACATGCCGGGTGGCATTGACGGAGCCAGGGCTGCGTCCGCTGCGCCGCCTGGACGACCAGTGCACTCGTATACTACTTGCACCTTACTGCATCATACTGTCTTGGCATACCCACTTTACCTCGAACGAGGTGTGCTCTTCTATTGCCTTGAGATCAACCCCCTTCTGTCCTTCGCAATGGAGTCGTCGGCCATTGACAGCACTCAAGATCGGCCGCAACTTGGGGAAGGGTCGTCACTTCAAAACATGGTGTACCAGGGGCTGCGCGAAGTTCATAGCCGTAATACGCGTCCCCCGCTTAAGCTCCAAGACATACCTTTACCGAAATATGGTACTCCACATATGCCTCGTATGCGGGGCAGTTCTAAACACAGCCTTCGTCCGCAGAAGGGAAATCTCAGAGTCAAGTGAGGGTCCTCACGTCGTTCTCATGAACATGGTACGTAGTCGTTCTCGGGCGTTCCGTGAGCACCCCACTGAATTGCAGGGCATATGCGACGTCGGTCTGAAGATAGTACTGCTGGATGACGTAGTTCTCTGGTCCGGCCTGTACCAACTGCGCACGCGCGCAACAAGTCGCCCCGTCGCAGCAGAGCTCCTGTGGTCACTGGAGAGCTGAGGCGCAATCTCGGAGGCTCTGCGCTGCACGCTGTGGCATGGGGGGCGGATAGATGACTGTAACAGGCGCCGAGATAGGGCATCGCGTCGCGCGTCAGTCACGTGTGAGTCCGACTCTGGTCCGTGGAGACGCTGTGTGCACAACAACGGATCCTTTCACCATGAGGCCCGGCCTACGTTTCTTCATTTCCCCCCACTAGGGCATGCTGATGCCATCCCCGTTCAGTGCGTCCGCCTGCCTATAAGTCTTCGTCAGCCTTCCGTTCCCCCACAATCTCCCCTCGTCACATCGGCATGATCGACATTACTTGGGATACGGTGAGTAGAGTCTGCCCTGTCCCTTTGTGCGTTCCCGACTCATCGATCCAATCAGCCCGAGGCCAGCGGCCACAGCAAGGCATCCACCATCCATGGCTGGGTGACCAAGATGCGTGGCACGCTTGTAGACGACGAACGCATTCGGAAGCGTGGTATTCGCGAGATGGAACATGCCCGCCGCATCCGGGAATGGAAGAAAGAGAAGGGTGTCGCAGACCAAGGCAACGGCAACCTCCTCTTCTCTTTCCTCCCGAGTAAACCTCCGCAGCCCGACAATCAGGTCATGATCGTCCGGCGGCACACGACCGCTGGTGCCCGCCAGACAAGCACGCGCAGTCAACCATCCTCTCGCAGCGGCTCCCAACGTCGGCGCCACGACAGCCGCCCCCAGCTTGCTCAGAAGGCTTACTCAGCCCCGAACGGTCGTATGCTCAAGGGCCCGACGCACTCGGGGTCGACTTCCCCGCCGAACGGGCAGCTGGTCAGGGCTGGCACGCAGGTCAAGCGGGACAGCGCATCCGGGCATCGCTCGGACCGTTCCCACCACCATCATCGGTCACAGAGTACGCGTCAGGCGTCTCTGCCTCTTCCTGGTGGAAGCCATCAGCGACACCACAGTAGACGACAGGCCTCGTCTTCTGGGGCACAGAGTCCTGTTGGCCGACCCACCAAACGCCATACTCATTAATCCCACTTCCACCCGCCTCACCTTCGGTCTTTCTCGAGACGCCTTTAATGGTATTTATCCACTTCGCCCCCCGAGACGGCCTTTCCTATTCTTCCTACCCATAGACGATTGTCATGACGTTACGTCTCATTATGTAGCGCAGTTTGCGTTTGTACTGTAGCACGTCGTCATCGTGTAATGACTCCATGGCCTCCCGTCGTAGGACGGAGGCACTGTTCCAGTCAGCTGCGCGACACGCTGCAAACACACGGCACTCTGGGCAGTCGTGCATCATGCCCAGTCTGAGTGTAAAGCAAGGTTCCATAGGCGAGTCATGCGATGATATGAATCGCTACTACGATACAGTGGCCAAGACGTGGTGTCATTCCGAGCCATCAGAATCACCCTCTTCGACAGGAGCCTGCTCCTCCTGCGCGACCGCTTTCTTCTTTTTCTTCTTTCTCCTCCGCTTCTTCTTCGACGGTGACGTTGAGTAGCTTCCGCTCCTGCAGAGGCCCGTGCAGGTTTAGAAGAGGGATCTTGGGTGTATCTGCGGCCTTTGTCGGCGATGCCGCAGTGGTAGGGGAGGTGAAGTGGGAAGCGGTGACTGTCGCGCCTTGGGGCTCGCTAGCCGTTTCAATGGCGGTGACGACACCGGTGCAGCTGCCCGACCAGTTACACTGCGCAACACAGTATACATGAGAATGGTGTTGCTTACGAGATTGTGCACGGTTGTCCGTGTATGAGTTTCGTGGATGCCTAGAAACTTCTGGGATGGCAGTGTTTAGGTTACTGGCTAACGCGGTAGGCTGCTCGGATGGCTGCGCAGTCTGGGGACGTTCGATGACGAGCTGGCTGACGGACTGGCGGTCCTTCTTTTTCTTTTTCTTCTTCATGGATGTCGGTGTGATAAGCGGACCAGCATCACGTCCGTCCTGACCCTCACGAAGAGGCGTCTCGGGAGGCCCGGATGTTGTTGCTTCTGTGGCCTTGTCGTCGTTTAGCTTTTGAAAGCCCGGATGCTCATTGAGTGCCTTTGGCGTGTCGGGGACGCGTTTCTTGCCCTTGTCTTCGGCGCGAAGGGGTCTACCTTCGCCTTCTTCTTGATAACGCTCGTCCGACTCTCCTCTTCGTCGTCCGAGGGTAGAGTGGCTGCGGGCACATCCTCTTCTCGCGCCCGTTTCTTCCCCGCAGAGGCAGTGAGTTGCTCTTCAAGCGCGCACTGTCGCGGCTGAGCAGACTCGTCGACTCTGGGACGGCCGCGCCGACGCCTAACCTGTACTATCCGAAGTCGTAGATAGACATACTTCCCATGAAAGGGCAGACATACCGTGCGGGCCTGCGCATGTACTCTTCCAGCTCTTTCTCTTCATTGCTACGCGCCTTCGATGAGGGCAATTTGCCCTCAGTGGGCTTTAACCAGGTCGCGACCAGGTTCTGGGTAAATGCCAGAGACATGTCGACCTGCGCCTGGAGGGTCTCCAAGCCGATGTCCTCGTCATCTGCCATCCCATGTATAGCAGGACCAAGGATGTCAAGAATTTGCAGACGTTCCGCCGCAAGGTCAAGTGCAAATTGAGTCTGAGTCGCCCTGGCAGATAAATCGCTGTAGTAAGTAAAAGGAGCAGGAAAGTAGCAGAATTACCTTGCCGTGTTACATACGGTAAGCGCCAATGATCGAAGCTGGAACAGACGCCCATACGCGAGTTCCACGACTTGCGAAAGGGTCGAGCTTGCTTTATAACCCTTCTCCTTGCTGTGGTCCCAGTCAGCGTGAGCGACCGTTCTACACGCCCCGATATGAATGTACCATTAGTCCTTCACAAACGGAAATACCAAGAGGTAGACCATTCGGACGATGAAGATGATGGACCGTTTCTCGGGAGGCAAGTGTTGCCTGTCGCAAATCTCTCGGCCGACTTCAAAGGCAAACCCAAGGATGGGTTGCAGTACTTGTTTACCGTCCGGTGGGCTCTTTCGCTTCTCGCATGATCCCTTGCATCTCATGGCTGTAACCAAGGCGAGACGCACGTATGCTCCCGCACATAACGAGAGCGGCGAATCCTTATGAGGTCCGGGAGAGCCACGACAGCCCGTAGTCGACGAGATGAACGCAAGTCATCCTCTCTTGCCGTCTGAAGAATGGCGAGAAGTCTTCCTCAGGCGATTCAAGAATTTCCGCAAGGTACGTTCATTTGCACCCTGAACCTCGCACGGCTCTGAAGGCCATCATGTTTAGAACGCTGTGCAACCCACACTGTTTGCACCGTTACCTGCCTCACTCGGCATTATGCCGAGAATAAGGGAGAGAGACCATTGGTGGGCCTTCTTGACGGGTGTACCTATGTCCGAATGGGACGCTGCCAAAAAGCCAAAGCCGTACCAGAAACCCTGGCGAGGTCAATATCATGGCTATGGTGCCGATGCGTTGCCCATCCCCAACGCGGAAGGGTCTTCGCAAATCCTCAGTTATTCTCTCGAGGACGGCCGAGTGTTCTCCACCTCCAATAGCGAGATGTGGAGGGTTACGACCGATGGCGTTGAGCTCACTAGTGCGATGAACGCTACTGCGTCGCTCCCCACACCTTCTGGCACGCCTGCACCACCCGATCGCCCAGAAGATACTTCTGACCAGAACGCTCCTGCGAGTATTTATCCGGAGCCGACCCCGAAGCACATGCAACTCTTGTTCCACGTACGTCATTCTCAGACTTGTTTCTATCAAGTTGCTAACGCATGTGTAGGGGGACGCTCTACATCTCCTGATGTATTTCACGCATTGGATCATTCTGCACCTCGAGAGAGGCTCAGCACCCTCACCCCATGTCCTTACCGACACCCATTCTCGCTGGATATTCGCCCTCCTCTCTCGCGTGCGCGATGATGTCTCAGCGGATGAGATGAGCACCTTGCGGAGCCTTGCGCGCGCCTGCATGTCCCTTATCGAGGAGAGGAAACGGGCGACGTCGAACGTTGCAAGCTCTTCGCAAGGCAAGGCCGTCGGGTTGTTTCCCATGAATGAATCTGGCTGTTGGATGATCATCACTCTCGTGATCGGGATTTGGGGCCAGAGAGACTTGTGGCAGGATGCGGAGGCGATGCTGCGCAGACTGCCGGCGTGAAAGCTACATTGTGCAGGTACCACTGTGTGTATTCCATAGCCTCGTATGAAGTCCTCACATTCGATCATGACAGATGAAAGGCGGACAAGCCTTGCAGGACTCAGTAGCACGCTGACATCTGCCAATGGCCAGGCATCCTGGACAATGTTCGTCCCATTTCGAGTGCGCACCTCAAGCCGATCTCACTCCAAGACCCGCCGTTGTAGACTTCATATCATGTCGAGGTTCGTCCTCGCTCAACGTCAGCCCGGTCGCACTGGACATCTGTCAATGCAGCTCGATATCGGCCATCGACGCCCTCTACTTGCCCTAGGCTCCTTTCCTTTCGATTGGGCAACCTAAGGTCCGAATAGACTCGTCGGTCTGCGCGTCCCAGGGACCTCCATGCCCCTGCCGCCCGCCCGCAATGCCGGAAATTGCTTCGCCAAGGCGAGCCTAAGCTTGCCGCCAGGTTGTGCGCCACCGGCCCTGACAGAGATCGCAGACTCGGAGGGCGCGCGGCCGCAGTGGGACTCGTGTGCCTGAGTCGGTGTCGCTAATTTCTGCGGCATGCTTCGTGCACGAGAGGGCATTCCGGGGTGAACGACGGCAAGTCGAGCCCGCCGGAGGGAGGGGGAGAGGGAGACGGCGTGAGAAAGACGCTGAATACGGGCAGGAGACGCCGCCCTGTCACCGGAGGAGCGGTCGAGATTGGACCTGTCAGGCTCAGGCGCCGAGTTCAAAAAGGCGGGCGAACTGTGTTTGCCTCTCAGCTCTGTTCCCCTAATTCCCAGCAGAGAAACCGTTCCCTACTTCTCTATCCTACGGTCCTTTAACCCCTTCGCATCCCCTCAGTAACGCTCTCTCAGGAATCGCTACCAGCCATGTTCGCCTTCGCCAGCCTCCTCGCCCTCGCCGCCTCCGCCGCCGCTCTCCAGGTCACCCAGCCTTCGAACAGCAGCGGCTGGACCACCAGTGGCCCGAATACTGTCACTTGGTCGTCGGTCTCCACGGACAACTCCAACTTCTCGATTGTCCTCAACAACCAGGTGAATACAGCGCGTCTATATCCGTGTCTAATTTCTTATGCGTATTATTTTCTCCAGAACACCTACCCTCAGTACAACGAGGTTCTCGAGGCCCTCATCCAGACCAGCGAGGGAAGCGTTGCCGTGAACCCTCCCAGCGGTGGCTGGGTGGCAGGCACTGGCTACCGCGTCAACTTCGTCAAGAACTCGCAAGATCTCAGCTCGCTCCTCGCTCAGTCTGATGACTTCACCATCGAGCAGAGCTCCTCGAGCACCTTCTCCGCGGTTCCTCTACTGCGTCCAGCTCGGCCTCGTCCACTGGTTCCGTGTCAGTCACCGCAACCGGCTCCTCCGCCTCTGCGGCGTCTGGCTCGTGAGTATCCGGATCTTAGTGTGATGTGTCCATGGTTTAAACGCTCTGCACAGGTCTGCCAGCAACACGGACTCCTCGGCCGGGTCCTCTGCCTCCTCTGCGAGCGGAAGTTCCTCTTCCACCAACGCTGCGCCCGGTCTCAACGTCCAGACCGGCGTGTACGGTCTCCTCGCCCTCCTGGGCATCGCGCTCGCCTAAAACGGGGCAGACATTCATGGACTTCACTTTTAGCGTTACTCTCGGGTCTTTTGTTGTGTGACTACAGGACACTCATACAGTAACACGCGCTCTTATTCGTATAGATTGTAGGTATTATCATTGGGTGTGCCAATATCTAGGACTCGTAAGAGCGCTGTTGTTCCTTACAAGGACACTTTCGTGGTGCAATTCGACTGACGACATCTATGTGTACTGGTCAATGTAGGACTGTATTGATTCCACAGATTTCGTATCGCCAGTATGTTCCAGCTGTAAACCTAGATCTCTGTGCGAGCGAGCGCTGGTGAGAACGCTGCCAGTGTTTCATTTGTACCTCACCAGCAATCTGCCGGTGCGGGAACTGACGAATCTGTCATTTCTTGCTAGGCAAGGGACGTGTCGCGCGTGTCGTACTCGCAGTCTGGAGTCCAGACGACGTCATGAGAGCCCTGCGATGCAGTATCATACAACGACGCCGATGGCGCGAACGGCTGACTAAATGTATCTCATGTAGTCACTGGCAAAGCAGGTCTTTGAATCTTCTTCTCATCGCCCAGCACACCTAGCAGTGCTGCTATCGACCCGCTGCAGCATGGCCGAGCACAGATACGAGCATCTGCTCCCACCGAGCTGGAAACCTCAAGTGACTGCCTGGCTCGCGGAAGACACGCCCTCCTTTGACTACGGGGGCTATGTAGTCGGCGAGGATCACCGCGAGGCGTTCCTCTTCGGCAAGGGCAAGCAGACCGCCGTCCTCGCCGGCGCACCGTTCTTCACCGAGGTCTTCGCGCAGGTGGACTGCCAGTGAGTGTCGCATCTATCATGCCCACCCACCGCCATGACGCTGACGGGCGCGGCCGCCTCAACTGCGAACTCGGACGCGCAGGGTGGAATGGCACATGCAGGAGGGCGAGACGTTCGAGCCCATCAAGCACGTCGCGACCGTCCGGGGGAAGGCCCGGCACATCCTCCTCGGCGAGCGCGTCGCGCTGAACATGCTCGCCCGGTGCAGCGGGATCGCCACCAAGTACGCGCCGCCTGTCCCACCCCCATGATCCTCGCTCACACACGCTCGCCCGCTGCGCCGCCAGGTCGAAGCGTGTGCTCGACCTCGCGCGGGGCTACGGCTACAGGGGCATCATCGCGGGCACGCGCAAGACGACGCCCGGCTTCCGCCTCGTGGAGAAATACGGCATGCTCGTGGGCGGCATCGATCCCCACCGCCATGACCTGTCCAGCATGATCATGCTCAAGGACAATCACATCTGGTCGTCAGGTGTGTGCGCCCCCATCCGTCTTGATTCGTGCGTGGGCCTGACGGATGGCCGCAGGCTCGATCACGGCGGCCATCCAAGCCGCCCGCAAGGTCGGCGGATTCAGTCTGCTTCTCGAGGTGGAAGTAGGCTCCGAGGTGGAGGCCGACGAAGCCATCGACGCGGGAGCAGACATCATTATGCTGGACAACATCGAGGGAGACCAGCTGGTGACCGTCGCGAGGAAGCTGAAAGAAAAGTGGGCTGGAAGCGCAAGTTCTTGTTCGAGAGCAGCGGCAATATCACCGAGGCCAACTTGCAAGAGAGGGCGATCAATGGTGCGTGGTTCTGAAACCAACATTGTGAACGGGGTGTTGATAGGACCGCTTTGACAGATATCGACATCCTCAGCACGAGCAGTGTGCACCAGTCAGTGCAACACATCGACTTCAGTCTCAAGATCCAGATGCCGAAGGGGCGCAGCAGTATAACATGAGAAATGTAGAGTACTTGTTTATTCTTCTAGGATATCACAATGTAGCAGTAAGCAAGCGCGGGCCCAGTTCTGCGCACTCTATGCGTTCTGCAGCCCGAACAACGCGAGCGCGTTACCTCCCCTCACGCCCCCTTGTCTTCCTCGCTCCAACCATAGACGCCATCGATAGCTTCCAGGTTCTCCACCACGCTCTTCCACTTGTCAGTTTCCTGCAACGGTGGGAAGAACGGGTGGTCGGTGCCGAACAGCATTCGCTTGCTACCCAACTTCCTCTGCTCGAGACCCGCACCCGCCGAAGCCCCGGCGGAGGACCCGCTCTGCGTGAATTTCTCCGCGCGGCCTATAACGTCACTGACGAAGCCCAGCTCCTCGGACCCGTACGCGACGGCATCGAGGTAGAGCTTGCCGAGGTAGAAGCGTGCGTCATGCTTGAGGCGGGAGGCGACGACGGGGTCGTGGTCGATGCAGGAAGCCAGGCGGGAGGACAGCTGCGGGAGAGCACCGCCCGAGTGTGCGAGGAGGATGCGCAGGCTGAGGAAGCGGTCGAATACACCTGAGAGGATGAGGCGCGTGATGGCCTACGAATCCGCGGATCAGTTCCTGAGTTTCCGCTGAGCTGCGTCTGGGACCTACGATGGTTGTCTCGAAGGGGAAACCCAGAGCGAGCGGGAGGACATGGCCGTTCTCCTTGTCGCCCCATTCCTTGCCGTCGACGCCGTAGTGCGGATGGAGGAACACGACGAGTCCTGCCTTCTCGAGTGCCGCCCACACCGGTTCGAGTGCGTCGTCGTCCAGGCCCTTGCCGAGACCGCGCGAGCCCATGATAATCCCCTTCAGATGAGGAAGAGCGGATATCTGCCGCACGGTCTCGAGCAGGGAAGTGGTCGTCACTTCCGGTACGAGGGGCAGGAGGCCGAGACCGTAAAGCTGCTTGAGCGAGCTGCCGTGTACGTTCGCGGATGTAGAGCAATACATTTCGAGGTCATCGTTTAGTTCGTTTGCTAGCTGGTGCGCCGCGGTCGCAGGTAGGAAGTCAAGCCATGGATTGGCCGAACTACGGGAAAAGGACTTCAGTATGGCGTTCACCGGGTAATCTAGACCTAAATACCAGCCTCACGATGGATATGTCGATGCCATGCTTCTCCATGAACCTCAACTTGAGGTCCCGTTCAAAGTACTGCACGTGGTCTATTCATACCAGATGGCTGTATTGTGCTTCGCGGACATACCTGTGGTCCCATGGGACGCCCGCCGCTCGGCTCAGCATCGAGAATGAGCAGCCTCTCCTCCGTGCGGCCATCTGGGGTGCTCCTGGAGAAGATGCGGGGAACTGAGGTGCGGGAACGCAGGAAGGAGACATAGCGGGGGAGGTAGACATGCGTGTGCACGTCGACGAGAAGACCCCGCGAGGCAGCCGCAGCCATGTCCGCACTCCGAACAGGCAGTCAGATGTGCACGGGAGGTGACCGGAAAGGACAAGGTGCAGACCGCGATACGATCGAAGATCGACGCGCGCGCGATGCTCCCGCGATGTGTGTAATCCGGCGCACCCGGGCGGCGCAATCACATTGTCATTCATCTACAGAGCTAGCCTACGTACAGCATACGGAGGCCACATCCCTTTCTACGTAGCCGGCCGCGACACGACCGCATCCGCGTGCAGAGCCGTGCTCGCGATGTTCAGGGCCACATCGAATGGAGCCCGTGCGCTTCCTCCGGACCCTCGATGTGTCCTGCTGGGCCTCGATGCCGCAGGGCCACAGTCAATGTCTTTCACAATGTCAAAGAACCCGAGTCTAAGTTGAGACCCAGACGATCGGCGGTGACGCTTTGGCCTTTCGCATTGATATAGACCAGTTCGCGCGATCCGTCGTACTGTCGCCTTCCTGAGGACTGCCCACTACCATGGCTGAGCTGCGCCCACTGCGGGACGAGGTACTTCGCTGGTCGGTTGTGTGTTGAGTCGATATTGACCGCCCCTTGTGTAGTTGGCCGCAGCTGCGTCAACGATCACCAGGATCAGCCAGGATCTTTCCGCAGGCTTGGTGAAGGCCGATGAGGGCGCAGCGTCGTTGAGGACGAAGGTGGCCGAACTAGAAGCGGAGCGATCCTCCATGCTGTTGCGTCTCCAAGCCCTGGAGACGCGGAACACGGAGCTTTGCAAGCTGCTGGAACGAAATCAACCGGATCTCACCGGAGCAATCAGGGCCCGCGATGCTGCATTGAAGAAGCTACACCTGATGAGGGAGGTCGTCCACGACCTTATAGATGAACGGAGAGTAAGTATAGCACGACAGTCTTCTCGTGAGTGCGCAGCTTACTCTCATGGTAGCAGGCTGCAGGGGCAACAGGTCAAGCAGGGCGGCGTCATCACTCCCAACAGGCTGGCCACGGCGACAGTAGTGCCAGCTCCGGCGGAGAGTCGTGGGGCAGCTTGAAATTGACAGATGTTGAGTCTTCCATGGGTGAGGATAACGACGATGTGGCGAGAGGGGCCGATGAAGATTCGGCAACGGTAACGGGAGTAACGAATGACGCAGTCGAGTCAAGTGCCAGCGCAGGTTCGTGTTCTGGATGGAAGGGCACGGATCGTTCTATTGAAAGGGTCCTTAGGCAAAACAAGCACGGACACGGGGCAACGGTCGGCATTGTCGAACATTGTGAACCAAAGTGATGGTTTGAATAGCCGTGATTCCAGGATAGCCATGACAAGCTCTACCAGAAAGAGCACGGTCTTGACGAACTCGACAAAGGCGAACATTCTTGAGGCGACTGGACGAAAGCCTGAAGAACGTCCCGTTGAGACATCCGCAACCAGTGTCGCGAAAGAGATCAAGCCCGGCCGTAGAGTTGCCAACTGCGGTCCTTCCAAGGTATCCAAACGCGACACGAAGTCGGGAAGAGTCATCAAGACCATCACCCCGTAGTTAGCCCGTCAAGTGGCGCTGACAGTCCCTCTAAGATCACAAGAGATGCCCCGAAGACCAGTCCCCCAGAGATTGGTTGGTATCTTGAATTCAAGAAGCCGCCGGCGACGGCCCTTCGGCCTCTAGGACCTCTCACCTTCCAAATGCTGAAGGACCGGCTGGCACTGGACGATGACACGGTAACTGTAAGCTGAGCTGCAGCGTTCTGGGGTGCTGACCTGATGAACAGATGCTTCGCATCGAGAGGTGCGCCCGAATTCCAGTCGATCAAAGGGATAGGCTACATCTGAAGCCGAGTGCAGCATGGAATCGTGGCAAGAACCTAGCCTGCAAATGCATATCCACGAGACATAGTTTTCGCGTGTCATCCGATTTTCCTAGAAGGACCGACGGCAACATATCTGGTCAGCTGGGGAAGCGAAACGGTGAACGCGAACGTCAAGAGGTACCTCACGAACGGCTCTGAGCGACCAGGCGATGCTGTCTTCCAGTTGTTTGTAAAACTACCGGACGTGTAGGTGCACCTTGTAGTTAATTAGCCGTACACTGGTGACCGAGGTTCTTCAGGACGCATGGTACTATCTGGGCGGACACAAGCTTCTCGCGTCTGACGTGCCGTCGATCTGGCACACAACGTCGAATACACAGGTGAGCGCGTGGCTCTGAAACAGTTTGTCGCATGACACTCAGACCTCGCCCAGGATAAGCGCGAGTTGATTGAGGGCCTGCGAGAGCGATGGACGTGGCTGGACGCACCAAACGCGGAGCAGGTAGCACGTCGCGTCGAGACGCATGAGCTGGGACAGTGCTCGATCGAGCTGCAGAGCGAGGGACTGCAGGAGAGATCCCAGGCGTTCGTGCGGCAGCATTTCTCGTCGAAGTAATCAGTACGGTTGGGAATGGATGGACAGTGTACCGTAGCATCGTGGACGTCGTTTGACAGCGAAGGTGGCGTATACAATTGCGGGTAACAAAAGGTTATTCGCGGAAATAACACGGATAAACAAGTGGCTGGCTGCCGAAGAGGGAGAGCGCGGCGGTCGCTGTACTCGTTCTTGTTCATCTACACTCACCCCGGCCCTCGTCGCCGACGTTCTCCTCTCCCCGCTCGCCACCATGCGGTGCTCAGCGAGTGCAGCCCGCATCCTCACGCTCCTTTCTCTTGCCATCCTTTTGAACCACTTCACGCTTGTCGACGCCCAATTTAGCCTGCCATCTACTGGCACCTCGTCCTCTGTTACCTCGGACTCCACGACGTCCTCCTCGGCTGCGTCTGTCAGTTCTACGCCCGTATCTAGCACGACGTCGGACACTTCTGTCGCAGAATCCTCGTCGTCATCTTCATCGGACGTCCAGTCGGCCTCGTCAACCTCTTCTCAGGATGCGACTAGCAGCGCTGCTTCTACCTCTGACATCGTTTCCTCCTCGTCCTCGACTTCGTCATCATCCTCTGTAGAGAGCACTTCATCTTCGAGCTCCTCTTCGTCCTCGTCCTCCTCGTCTTCATCGTCCTCTTCGTGAGTACTCAATTTACGCGTCGTTCCGCGTCTTGACAGCTGCAAACAGGTCGTCCCTATCCTCATCGTCTAGTACCTCGTCTTTGACCACGTCGACCACGCCGTTCTTCGCGACCGCCACCCAGAAGTCAACGGCTAGCTACAAGTCGGTCGCCACCGAGGGCATTGCCAGAACCAGTGCCTCTGCTACTGTGAGTGTAGCGGGCGCTGCTTCCACCGATAGCTCGGCATCCTCTTCAAACGGGTGAGATCATCACTGTCTGATGAGCGTTTCAACGCTGACATCAGGGCATAGCTTTTTCTCCAACAAAGCCGCCGTTGCAGGCGTGTTCAGTGCAGTCGGCATCGTCGGCCTGTTGGTTGTCATTGCTATCGTCCAGAAGATCATCCGGAGCCGCCGACCTCGCTTCGACCAAGAGGACACATTCTTCGATAAGTTTGACACGGGCGTCAAGCCTCAGGGTGACTACACGGACTCGCCTCCCGCGAGCGAGCTCGGCCACGGTACGCTGCAGACCGCGGGTGACGGCGCATACCCGGACCGCTCTATGCACTTCGGCATGCCGTCCACCTTCGACGATACCCAGCCGCGCGACTCCATTGTCGAGTATGCTAAAGGCACCGCTATCGCCGCTGCTCGCTACCAGGAGGGTCCCTACCAGTACGGCGGCCAGCCTGGAGCCTACGGCGGCGAGTTCACCAACGCGCATTACCAGGCGCAGTTCGCAGACGTCCCCGGCAATTACGCGTCTGCAGACCCGTATAGCATTGCTAGGCCGGGGACGGCTGCCCCGATGGCGGACCACGGGTACCATGGGTACGCCCAGTAGACGAGAGCGACATGTAGTATGTCTTATGTCTTCAGTTGTGTCCCACGTCCTAACGAGCCCTGCGTTGCTACTGTAGACATCCGACCTCCCCGAGCCGGCTCATTTTCCCTTCCACTTCGGTGTCAAGGCACGAGCTGGTCTTGTTTGATTTCATAGTCTGTTCCTGTGGTATGGTTTGAGCCCTCAGTCGTCTTCTGTTGCGACAGGGTTGTATTGGGAAGGTGCGACCGTCGCCCTTTCTTCCTGCTTGTAATGTGGTTCCCGCCGCCGTGTCTGGATGTAGGTGATGTACAAGAGTGTTTCCCTCCACAGCACTGTGTCACTCTTGTATTGTCTATAGATCTTGCCCCCTTCGTGGAGGAACCCCCATTGCCAGCTGCACCTTTCCTTTAGCTGCTACATAGCTGTACGGAACGATTCTTTGTTTGGTATGTTTGATAAGTTATTGGTTATTCTTGATGCACAGGGTATAGCACGGCATAAAGATCCAGGTAGTGACACGCGGACAGGAAAGACTGTAAGTAAAAGTAGCACACATATACCCCTTTTACCCGGTGAACCTGGATGTGATTGAGCTGGAAAAGTTGGCCGCCAGCGAACTGGGAAGAGCGGGCATAGCGGGGATGTTCATGTCGCGGATGCTCATGTCTCTGAGGGGCTCCAGGTCCTTCATAATCATGCTCAGGCGGCCCATGCCCAGTCTGTCCTTCAGACCCTTTCCTCCTGACCCGTCGCCATCCTCGGAGCTGTCGTTGAAGCCCTTCTCGGCCTGGCCCCAGTCGCTGCGCTGCGCGAGATACGGCCGCAGCAAGGTCGAGTCGATGCGGCCGAGGTAGCCCTCGGTGATATATGAGCGGAGAATGTCTGGTCGGACGAGGAAGACGTTGCCAAGCTGGCGAATGAACTCAAACCGCTCCGTCAATGATGGTATGGAGAACGAGCTGATGACGTCCTGGTACGACTTCAAGTCCCTGTGAGAGGATCATCGCATCAGTCCACATCATGGTTTCGAGGCGGCAACGTACTTTGCAAGCATCAGCCCACCCGTTGCACTCACGGGGAACTTCCTGAGATGATCGAGTAGCAAGCTGGGCGGATCGACTCGGTCATCTGTCTAGCGTTATTGGCGAGATCCGTACCTGTGGAATGCGATCCCGATCTCCGTCAAGAAGACTTCGAGGTTCTTGCCGCTCAGATTGGCTTTCGCCGCATCGCGGACTTTCTCTAGCGTGTCGCAGCACGCAACGCACGGCTCGGTGTTCACCCTCGCGAATGAAAGGTCGTCGTTCCTCGGCTTGAAGTCCGTCTTCTTCTGTTTCGTCAGTTGCGCGGACAGCCAGTTGATAAGTGCTACATAGCCATTGTTGATCAGTTTCAGATTGTGAAGATAGCGATGGCTAACTGACCATCTGCAAGACGCTGCATGACGTGGTTTGCAGCGCCTTCGATTCTGCTGACGGACTGGTTATTAAAGACGACCATCTCCCGTCGCACGGTGACGGAGGTGCTCGCGAGCGGAAGTAGGGCCATGTTCACGTAATGTTGCCAAAGGTGGCAAATAAGGTCGACCTCGCGGAGAACGGTAAGAACTTGGAGAGAAGGTTCGCTCTTGGTGTCGGAGGGGTCTATGCGTGTGTGCGCGCTGAGAGAACGTCAGTTTGCTGAGAAGGGATACACAATTCAGAATGCTGACGTTTCCAATGCTGTCTCGACGTAGGCAGTACCAATGGCTGCTGACAGTACCCTAAGCAAGGCGAAGTCATGCTTAGGCCTGCAGGTGCATCAGCCAAGATTCCCAGGAAGATATGCGCTGCACGTACACATCGCTTGAAGGACTCAACTCCACGCAACGCCCGATGGCCTCCGCGTGCCACTTCAGCATGCGCTCGGCAACCTGGACACTGACCTGCCCGTCCTCGTCTCTGAGAGGCTCCTCCTGTTCCACCTTCGCCTGGTTACGATCGCCGCCACCTGCGAGGTTGCCGAAGCGGGAGAACACGGCAGCGGCTGTTGAAGACGCGGTGGCACCGCCGGTCGTACCGAGCTGGTTGACCACACGGTCGAACACCGAACCCTTCGCACCCTTGTTGACCCTGGCCTGAAGGATACGCATATTGACATTTTGAACATGGAGAAGCACGGTTGACACTTACATGATATCGAGTGAAAACAGCTAGGTAGCCAGCGTACAGCTCCGACAGACTTTTGCTCTCCCGCTCAAGGTAACGCTGTCCTTCTGTGTACGGGACAAACAGCTCCTCCATAGCCGTCTCAAGCATGGTGCTGACCGTCGCTGCAGTACCCACAGCAGCGGCTGCCGCTGAATTCAACATTCGATTGAAGTCGCCAGAGTCAGTGGGAGAGCGCGGGATGACGGAGGTCACCTCGTATGCCTTGAGGTCCTCGACTAGTTGAGATGTCCGCTGGTGGACGAGCTGGAGCATGCGTAGAGAGGAAAGGTCAGATATGGTGTTCCCTCTGTTGAGCAGCTGTTCCATATATTGTTGGATCTGCAATAGATGAGGGCTGCCATATAACGCGATGAGCGTTAGGGACGTACAATTTGTGCGAAGACTCGTTGCAGGAAGACCTGCATGACGAATGGAGGGTTGGGGAAGACCGCCTGCACGATCTGCGCTTCCTGGCCAACGGTTGCACGTATCTCGCCAAACAGTTCATGTAGCCCTGCCTCATCGGTGGGTGGACTTGAATCTGGATCGGGAAGAGCCGCCCATCTACACTCATGTCAGCACTGGATTGCATGTATTGTATGGGTACACACGTACAGTCCCTCCTCCACTTGACCCGTCTCTCGTACTCGGTTGATGAAGAAGTCGTGCTGGTTAACATACACTTGTACGCAGGATGCGCCGCCATTGAAGTCGAGGAGAGTCTGGGCGCAGTGCTAAACTAGGGTCAGCATCAGCTAGTTCAGAGGCGATTAGAAATGACACACATGCATCATCTTCGGTCTCCTTTGCGATATGCACGATCGAACAGATGAAGCATGTCCTTTTCGAACTTCTCGCAATATTGTCGATGTTCTCCCTTGTCTAGTATGTTGTGTCAGGAAGAAGCACGCCCTAACGAGGTTGGTTGCGGTCTCGAACCTTGTCAGCGTGTGCGAGGTCGACTTCTTTGGCCACGATGCTCAATCGCCTCAGCAGGACGGCAACCTTACGCCTGCCCTCCTTGCCCTCTTTCTTCATGGCGTCAAGCTGCGAAGTGTCGTCCTTTGAGAATTGGTTGTAGAAGTCAATCAAATCATAAGCCGCCTGCGCTCGCTGTCGTTGTTGATGCACGGCTTCCAGCTGTTCACCTGCGACCATAAGGACATAATGTCGAGTATAAAGGAGACCTGACACACCGATCCGGATAGCAGTACGCCCGACTTCGTTCATTTTGGTCTCCATCCCGGAGAATGTTTGGCCAACAGACTATGGACATTGTCAGCCCAGAGATTCTGTACTAGGACACGCCGCGCACCTCAAACCCTTTATTGAGGTCGGTCATCTTCCGGGAGTACTCTCTCTCGGTCGTCCTCACAATCTTCTCCATCTGCTCAGTCTTTGCTTGTACATCTTTCCTTACTGCTATCAACTTGTCCACAGCGGCTTCGAACGTCGGATGAAGGGCTTAGGGTCAAATGCTGGAGGCTCTGTTACACCCGGAATGCAATGCAACAAGTGAGTGACACATACGTCCAGCATCGGCTTTGGATTGGGTAATGAGTTTCTCTGATATTGACCCTACGAAATCCTTCACGTCAAACTTCCCCTAACCACACACCAGATTAGGTCGCCACCCAAATGTCTCCATGATGACCACCGTACCTCAAATGTCTCCAACTTAATTGCTCCTGCACGGAAGGATCGAGAGTCTTGAAAGACATGTCAGACACGACTCAGCCAAGATCCGCCGGATCCTTAGCTTGAGAGGCAAGGGGATAAGGGGTCGAGAGGTCGCGGTAACGCAGTGTGCCGTCGTCGGTGTCGCGTCGCAGGCTCCAGGGAGCTCCGGCGATCATCCCGGCGACCCAGAAGTACCCGGGCGATCTCTTGGACGCCGGGGTGCTGCTCGCATTTTCCACCCGTCTTTTCGCGGTTGGTGGCTGAAGTCGTCCGCCCTCACCCAGGGCTCTGTTTGCTGCTTGCCCTGCTCTGCTTCCGGGGCTTACCCTTCAGTAAATCCATCATCCGCAAGCATGGACAACGCACACCCATTGAAGGGACTACTACAGCTTCAACTCGCCTCGGACGCGTCCGCCGTGCTGCACCTCCCATACGTCCTTGAGACTCTGACTGCCGACCATTTCGCCCCATCTCCACATACTCAAAAGTGGTGCACACGCATCAACTCTCTAATACATTCGAGAGATCTTGGCGCGCGATGGAGTGGTCTATGCCTTGCGCTGCAGACGTCCGTCTATTCGAGGAGCCTCATGATGGAGTACGCGACAAGTTGGATTGGTGTTGCACTCCCGTTACTATCAGTCCGTGTATCAAGTTTCATAGCCCAAACAAATCCTTACCAATATGACGTTTCAAGAAAGACGAGCCTGTACCCAACCTTAAGGCAGCCATCCGTTTACTGAGGCACATATTCTCGAGCGCGATGGAGCTTGCAGAGTTCCAACGACAAATATGCCTCCCGAATGTCCCAAAATTCAGTGCTTCCCTCATCTCATTAGTGGACAAGCATTCGGAATCAGACATAAAGGTGCACACTCAATCCCATCTTTCTTCGACCAGAAAGCTCACTACTCTCAGTTATTCGCCATGAGTACCTTGACACACCTCGTCCCGTTGTTCCCGACGCTCCACCGGAGTCTCCATCCATCTCTCTCGTCGACCGCTCTGAGCTTTTTGAATGGCTCAACACCAAGGCCGACGCCAGCTTCATTGGTGGCGCTGCCTCGCACTCTACTCGGTACTGCCCGTGACCGGCGGGAAGGTGGGCGCAGCCAACGTCTGGCGCAAGTCACTCGACGACACCTTGGGGTATGCATGGAACGCACTCGCTGCTATGCGTCGGACATCTCAGCCGCAGCTCTTGGGCAGATCACCCGCCTCTCACAGGAGATCCAGTCACGGCCATTCCGCTCAACCTGGACCGTCTGCGAGCGGCGGTGCGCATACTGTGCGATATGCTGCAGTAAGTCTCTTGAGACATTTCCACTGTCTGGGGGCTGACATCGAGCCAAGCGCACCGGCCTCACGACCTGTGACTGTTCCTGTCGGTCCACTCGTGCAATTCTGCTTAGCGATGCTGAGGTGCACGCCGGAAGAGAAGGTCTGTGATCAATACCCGCATGTTTGTTGACAACTGCTCACCGATGCGCAGGCTGTAGAAGGGCACGTAGACCCATCAGTGCGGGCAATGGAGCTGGCGGTCATTCCCTCGATCTGGGCTCAAGCATGCGAACTGTGGAAAGTCTTTCAGCAAGGTGAGTATTGTCCTTGCGCCCCGAGATAGAATGGTCTGTTGAGTGCCCGTCAGCGCACATCGACATCTTTTGCCCTATTTGCCTCAGCTTGTCTCGCACCTTGCATTCCACATTGAGCAACAGCGCACGCCGTAAGTTAACTTGTTTGACGTTCAATATTGGCTGATGGTGTTCTAGATCTGAACGCCTTGCTTTCCTGAAGGCAACTTATGCATTGCTTGCAGCGTGCCCTCATTTACACGACACGATCACAGCCTCGAGGCTGGCAAGAGCGATTGCGCCGGCGTTGACAATTTTACTCGCGACAAAGACTCAAGGGCAACAAGATGCCGGTACGAATGCTTCCAGGACAAAGAACCGGAAGGGCAAGAAGAGGGCGCGCGGGTATGAGGGAGACGAGGTCTTCAATGTGGCAGCAGACGTCATTTGCACCAGCAAGACGGACGGCGACGTCCTCTTGGCCTCCATCGATGGTGACGCTCATTCCCTTCTCACCGCTCTCTCCGGCTAACACGCAAACACACCAGTCGTCAGGCTAGTACTCCGAAACCCACAGCTCCCTCCGGCAGTACACTCCCTCTGTGCCGGTTCTCTTGGGCATCTACGTCTCCCTGCCCCAGATCCAGCCTATACTCGTATCGCCGGATCTCTCCTTGCATGGGGCGATATACGAAAAGATCCGCGTTGTATGCATCGAGCAAGCATCAGGCACCAGCAACGTGTTGAGCAAGAGCCTCGGGCTTGTCGTCTCAAGCATGTCCACCGGCCAGCACGAATCAGTGAGTATCACGCCGCCCTGCCAGTCTGCAATTCAGTCGACTAATGTGACATACTGTATAGGACGGCGCGGGCATATTGCGTGACCTCGATCTTCTCCTGCACCCACGGGTACCCCCTTTAGTGCGATCGCTGCCCCACGTCGAGATGTTGTCTCTGTTCCGCGAGGAGGAAGGCGATGAAGAAATGGAAATGCGAAAGGCTCTGGGGTTGGCGACCGCGGAGGAAACCTTGTCCACGCTACCATCGACCACGCGCGATCTCACAACGCCACCGGAGCCGGTACGTCCCGCCTCCGTCGCAGCAAACTCAACCATACCTGTGGAACGTACCGTACCTGTCAGCAACCATGCCTCCCAAGGGCAACCCCCGATGCCTATTCGACAGCCCTCTCAGATTCCATCTATCGCCACGAATGCAGCGCAGTCCATCGCGTCTTATTCGTCGACAGCTCCGGCGCAGACAGTCCCAGCAAGCTCTACTGCACACATTGCAGCGTCCTCCAATCAAAGGCAGATCGATACATTACAAGGGCAGGGACCTCCGGTCCCGTCGCATCCTACGCCATCTACAGAAACAACTCCGATCCCGGCTCCCTTTACATCCGTGATACAGCCTCCAACGACCGGTCCGTCAAACGTCCCACCGCCAGCGTCTGTTCCCGAGACACGGCCTCAGGGTGTAGTGCCGATGGATGAAGACGACGAAGACGAGCCGATGCCACCGATTAACATGGACTCTGACTCCGATGCGGACAGTTAGAGCGCGGTGGTGTAGCGACTACCGACTATGTAGCACTGTGACACCGGAGGGATGTATCACGACCGCGAACGACACGGACGCCTTCGTTTCCAGTCATCGCGCTGTGCTTGACCAAATAGTATCTCTTGTGTCCTGGCTGCTCATGTCTTGATACGCTTCCGACGCCGGCTTACATCGTCGATTTCCATGCTTTGGTCTGCCCCCTCATCGTCCGACTCGGGGGCCTGCTGAGTCTCAGTAAACTGGGTGATATTTGGCAGCTGTCCATTCAATTTCAATTAGGGTCGAATTTACATGGTCTACCTACACACTAAACGTACCTGTTCGAGAAATCCAGTTGCGACGACGTTGTCGGGGTCGATCCACTTGGCACGTTCAAAGTGCGCCCGAGCAGCGCTGATGAGACCTGCATTCCATTGCTTTCCTAGTTGCCGACGGGATCGGTAAGGGACAACCGTCTAATGAATCGCGATAGAATTTTGGCAGACCCTGTTGTGCGTCGTCTCTCGTGCCTTGTGTAGGCTGAGACAGGTACAGAGCAAGTAGACCAGCGTAGGTATGCATCACTGGATTGTCGTGAAAGGGGAACAGCGGCAGATACAAGTCTAGCTCATCCAAGGCTCGCCTGTATGCCCCGGCTTGAATGAGTCGGAGGACAAACTCCTTCAATATCAATTGTCTCTGAAAGAAATATGAGGACGCCTACTTCCGGAAGTCGTCGCCGAAGCACTTACATCCTCAGGATGCTGCCTAATGACAACACTCAGGAACGCGATGCGTCGGTCGTCCTCTTCCTGATCATCGTCGCTGAGATCGGTCAGGAGGACGATCGCTGTCTGCCACATATCTTTCCAGTTTATTTCCTTGCATCGTATGAGGATTGTCCAGGCTCGCCGGGCGCGATCATAGTCCTTGCGAAGAAGAGAAACTGCAGAATATCGACTAGCCGTCGGATGTGGACCTTGCGCGCTGTTGTCGGCCGTTTTGCATTCGGCGATGCAAAGAGAATGGGCGTTCAGTGCGAGACATTGGCAGGCAGGGACTCGGAGAGGAAAGCGAGCCGGTGGCAAAGCGCGAGACGCGTGATGCGATCGCGCGCTGCAGTCGTCAAGCCACCACACTCACATCTTCATTCGACCTCCCAACTGCCAGTCTCCGTGTCGCCAGCCACCCCTCTGCCGCACGCATACCGATAACCGTCATTCATGGACGAAGACGCATTTGGCTCGGTCTGGGGCGCCCCTGCTCCCTCACCCCTAGCCCTGAAACCGATTGCGACCGCTTTCTCATCCGGTCCGACTTCCACGGATGGCTTCGACGATTTCGATGACTTTGGAACACCTGCAGAAACGATAGCCACCTCGGCGTCGACGGTGACGACGATTTTGGGGATTTTGGAGACTTTGGAGAGGCACAGGCCCAGGCGAGGTTCCTGCGTTCGCGGAGGACGTCGGTTTCGGGGAGGAGGTGCGGATATCTGGGCCATCAACATCTGCTTCAGATTGGGAGCCCCTGCGCTTGCACCCTCTGCCGTCCAGACCAGAACTGCAAGAACAAGTGGATCACATACTGGCGCCATTGTGGGCGTCCATTGACGATTCGCAATTGACCGACGAAGATATCCGACAGACGGGCGGATTGAACCAGACACTAGTCACTCCCGAGAGGTAAGTTTCACTTAAAGCCTCAGCCTTTCCGTGTCTTAAATCACAGACTGCTCCAGTCGTCAGCTGTATAAAATCCTTCTCCCCAATACGCCTCCCGCTATGCAGCCTGTCAATTGGACTCGCTCACGAATAAGACGACGACACCTCATATCGTTGGGCATTCCCGTCAACTTAGACGAAGTCTTGCCGAAAGCCAACGGCAAGTTGCCAACGCTCGAGATCACAACGCGGCCCATGTCCGCGCCACCGGGGCCGCGCACAGCGCCCGTGCAGAAGACTGTGGTCGCACAAAGCAGTTCGCGGGTTGGGTCACCGCGGCCGGGAACACCAGTGACCAGTCTGCCCAACGGGGTTTCGATGACTGCCCAGTCGGTGTCCACGCAGCTTCGCCTTGGCCCTCGGCCAGAATTGGACGAGACCAAACTGAATCAGCTGCTGGAAATCAACCCAGGTGAGGACGCATCATCCTTTGTTTCTCCGATAGGTGTTGAGCTCTCTCACAGACAAGCTGACGCTGCAACCGATCGCCACATTGGAAAAACACTTGACGGACTTGCAATCACATACGATGCAAGTCTCTACCACACTTACACATTTGTTGCAAACGCGAGACGCTTTGAAGCAAGACTCGGAGACTTACAACAAGTTGATTGGAGAGTTAGTCGCAGATGCGCAAAAGAGGAGCACAGCGAAGCGTGTCGGTGGCGGGAAGAGAAGTACATTGTCTTAGGGTGTACACTTGCATACGACCCATACAGATCGATACATTACCATTTCATCGACGAGAGGCTTGAACTCGTCGAACAGTAGACTTTTGTAACCGTGCGTTGAGTAGCTCGGATCTGTGCAAGCGGGGACTCGATCTCCGTGAGTGATCCGTGACCACGTGGCTTCTCTGTACCGGATCTCTGGGCGTCTAAGCTCAACAATTTCGCTGAGACGTCGATCGCGTCCAAGTCTTCGACTCGACTGCTTGCCCGCCGTCCTCGGCGCGTCTCATCTAGTCTACCCTTGCTGGCTGGTCTACTACGAGGGATTTCTCCAGGATGAATGTCTCTCGGTCCTATCCATCGACTGTGACCAGCGTCTCGTTCTCGTTCCTGACCACCGAGGACGTGCGACGCATCTCGGTCAAGCAAATCGTCAATCCTGTCCTCTTGGATGACCTCAACAGGCCGAACATTGGTGGTCTCTACGACCCTGCCCTCGGGCCAAGTGACAAGCAGGATATGTGCGTGAAGTGCGCGTGTGGTAGCCACCGCTGGTACTAATAGCTCGCGTAGTTGTGCAACATGTCGGCTCACCTACTTCACTTGTCCGGGACACTTCGGACACATCGAGCTACCGGCGCCCGTCTTTCATCCACTCTTCATGGGGAACATGTATCACCTACTCCGGGGAGCATGCTTGTTCTGTCATAGGTTCAAGGTGGAACGCAAAGTTGTGAGTGAAGTCCACGCATTAACGCACTTCTCATCCTCCAATGAAATTTCAAGCTGTGCAAATATGTAGCCAAGCTCCGCCTCCTGGAGCACGGTCTTCTGATAGCCGCACAGACGCTCGACGACATCCATGTCGCGACGAAGGCCGGCCGCAGGGCCAAGGACATCGAAGAAGAAGAAGAGGAGAATACGGAGAGTGACCATGCATTTGAGCAGAGGATCAACACATATGTCGCCATCCACCTCGCTACGGCGTCGAGTAGCAAGCGTGACTCCTACAAGGATGGTCTCGTTTACCAGGCTCGCAGGGAGCTTATTGACGAGTTCCTCAAAACTACGATGCTGAAGAAGTGCAGAAACCCTAAATGCGGAGCGTGCGTATCAAACTCTCCCCCACAAGTTTGCATTGGTCTGACTGCCTAGCAGTTTCGCCTACACTTTCCGGAAGGAAGGATACACGAAAATCATCGAGTACGACCTCTCAACCAAGCACAGACAACAGCATGCCTTTTTGAACTTGAAACGGCCGAACGTCTTGCTCGATCAACAAAAGGAAAGGGCTGCTGCTCATCGGCAGCGGCAACAGCAACGGAGTACCAGTCCCCACGACAGTTCCTCTGAGGAATCGGATCCTGAAGAGGAACCAGAGGGCGAAGATGTCTTCTCCGACGCCGACGAAGACCAGGACATGGACGATGTCCACGCCGGCACCGCGAAGTCCGCAAGCGGCAAGGCGAAATCCAAGCGCGGACGAAACGAGCGCGTCATGCCGCCCGAAGAGTGTCGTGCCCACCTGCGCCGGCTCTTCGCAAATGAGCCCGTAATATGCTCCCTCCTATACGGTCGACATGGCCCCTTTGCACCCATGACGGTCAACAAGCTCTCGCTTGCAAGTGCAGACATGTTCTTCCTCGAGGTTCTTCCCATTAGCCCTACGCGCTTTCGACCGCCAGCAAAGATGGCAGACATGCTGTTTGAGCATCCGCAGAATGAGCTGCTTGCCAAGGTGTTGAACACGTCGTACAGGCTGAGGGACCTTACGGAGACCTTGAAGAAGGCAGGTGTGAAGAGCCCAGAGAATGATGTCGACGAGACCGCGCGGCGGAGGATTCTGCAGAGCCTCCTGGACACGCTCATACAGCTCCAGGTGGACGTGAACAGCTTTATCGATAGTAGCAAGAACCCCGCACCGGCGAGACAAGGAAGGCTACCTCCGGCTGGAGTCAAGCAGGGCCTGGAGAAGAAAGAAGGGTTGTTCCGCAAGCATATGATGGTATGACCGTGTAGCCCCTCTTCTTCCCTGTCAGCTCATCGTAAAGGTCGCTTGTAGGGCAAGCGAGTCAACTACGCCGCGCGTTCAGTGATATCTCCGGACGTCAACATCGAGCCCAATGAGATCGGCATTCCTCCTGTGTTTGCACGCAAACTCACTTTCCCTGAGCCCGTCACGCCTGTCAACTTTCATGAACTAAGGATGCTCGTCATCACTGGGCCGCATGGATACCCCGGTGCTACCATGGTCGAATACGAGGATGGGCACTTACTGTTCCTCGTGCGTCTCAATGCTTCGCAAACTAATGGCATTGCATGGTAACACTATATTGTTGACACAGGACAAGCTGAGCATCGAGCAGCGTACCGCCGTCGCGAATCAGCTCCTCACACCGCAGGAGGGCAATCATGGCTCCACGAGTCGCGCGGGACTGTTCACGCGTACACAGGCAATCAACAAGAAGGTGTATCGGCATCTGCGCGACGGAGACATCCTCATTCTCAACCGGCAGCCAACTCTGCACAAACCTAGTATGATGTGTCACAAGGCGAGGGTATTGCATGGGGAGAAGACGATCCGGATGCATTATGCGAATTGGTGCGTTTGCGCCGATAGGTCCTTGTGCCCGGAGCTTCGCTGACTCCATTCTGCATAGTAATTCCTACAATGGTACGATTGCTTCGTTGGTACTCTAACCTTATTTCTGACCCGTGTTCGGTCCTTGTAGCCGATTTCGACGGTGATGGTCAGTTGTCGCCTAGCTTACTTGTTGAGCGCTCCGCTGACACGACACATCAGAGATGAACATCCATTTCCCTCGTGAGTGCGCTTCCTTCGGTAGGTATCGCCGCAGCTAACTCTGCTTCTGCAGAGAATCAGGTCGCCCGAGCGGAGGCATATTACATCGCCAATACTGACAATCAGTACCTTGTGCCGACGTCAGGCAAGCCGCTCCGCGGGTTGATCCAGGATCACGTCGTCGCCGGCGTGTGGATGACTGCCCAAGACACTTTCTTTAGCCGTGAAGAGTATTTCCAGCTGCTCTACGGTGCGATCCGCCCGGAAGACAGCGCCGGGCATATCAGTGGTCGTTTGGTAACTCTCCCTCCAACTATATGGAAGCCGAAGCCGCTTTGGACGGGCAAGCAGATCGTGAGGCACACCCTCATGCGAAGCCCATTCGACTGATAGACTTATGTCACTCAGATATCCACTGTCCTGAAAAATATCACTCCACCGGACTACGAGGGGCTCAACCTGCACGCATCGGCCAAGGTGCCCGGGCATCTTTGGGGCAAGGATTCTCAGGAGGACAAGGTCGTCTTCATGGACGGAGAGCTTCTTTGCGGTGTCTTGGATAAGTCCGCTTTTGGTGCCTCCGACTACGGCATGGTCCACTCTGTGTACGAGCTGTACGGAGCTGACGTCGCCGGCACTCTTCTTGGCATCCTGAGCCGCCTCTTCACCAAGTTTTTGCAGCACCGGGCGTTCACATGCCGCATGGATGATCTTTCGCTTACGCCGGAGGGTAACGCTAGGCGTACAGATATCATTCAGATGGGTGCTGGATTAGGGACAGAGGGTGCGATCGACAACTTCCCTTCCCTGGCCGACGTCTCGGCAGAGGAGAAGCCTACCATTCTCCGCTCATTGCTTGAAGACGTGCTGAGAGATGACAACAAGATGGCCGGTTTGGATATGACCGTGAAGGGCAAGCTGAACAAGCTCACCAAATCGATCGCGGACGCCGTCATGCCTCATGGTCTACTGCGACAGTTCCCCCATAACCATATGCAGGCGATGACACTCTCGGGTGCAAAGGGCAGTGCGGTCAACGCCCAGCAAATCTCATGCGCGTTGGGTCAGCAGGAGCTCGAAGGCCGCCGTGTACCTGTCATGGTCAGCGGCAAGACCCTCCCGTCGTTCAAGCCGTTCGAAACGAAGGCCATCGCTGGTGGCTACGTGGCGAGCCGTTTCTTGACGGGCGTGAAGCCGCAAGAGTTCTTCTTCCACTGCATGGCCGGGCGTGAGGGTCTCATTGACACTGCCGTGAAAACATCACGATCCGGATACCTGCAGCGCTGTCTCATCAAGCATCTAGAGGGCATCCGTATTCACTACGACAATACCGTGCGAGGTAGCGATTCTTCCATCTACCAATTCCATTACGGTGGAGATGCCCTGGATGTCACGAAACAGAAGCACTTGCTTCAATTCGAATTCATCGTGCGGAACGAACAGACTCTTGTCAATCGCTATAAACCCAAGACGTTGCAAGAGGTCGTCACGGAAGAGGCCGACTCTTACATGAAGAAGGTGCTCAAGTGCAAGGATAAGGCTCAACGCGATATGTACAAGCCCGCGCTCTCTATCTACAACCCCAGTCGATGCCTTGGTAGCACGTCCGAGAAGTTCGCAGAAAAAGTTGAAGAGTACGCGAAGAAGAATCCCCACGGTCTATTGAAGAAGAAGGACAAGGATGAGGTCTTGCCTATCCGTCGTCGCAGAACGCCACTGAGTGTAAAGCACTTCAAGTTGTTGATGAAAGTGAAGTATATGCGCAGCCTAGTCGAGCCTGGAGAAGCGGTGGGCCTACTCGCTTCCCAAGGGTATGTTGGCAAGGCCTGCGATGGCGTTCCGGCACTGACGAGGTTATTAGTGTCGGTGAACCTTCTACACAGATGACGCTTAACACGTTCCACTTTGCTGGTATGAACACTGTTTAAGTCTAGTAGCATCCACTAATACCCGGATAGGTCACGGTGCTGCAAACGTCACCCTTGGTATCCCGCGCCTCCGTGAAATCGTGATGACAGCGTCTCAGAAACCGAAGACTCCGTCAATGACCATGAAAGTCCGATCAAACGTACCTTCCTCGGAGATCGATATGTTCTGCAAGAAGGCCACCCGGTTGGCCCTCTCCCATGTCGTCGATAAAGTCATCGTCAAGGAGCGCCTTACTGTCAATGGTAGTGCCCGAAGCAAAGAGTTCACTATCGAGCTAGCCTTCTATCCCAAGACCCAGTATCAAGCAGAGTATGACGTCGAGCCGTCGGAGATATTGGCAGTTTTCGGCACGAAATTCCCTCTTCTACTCAAGAAAGAGCTGCAAGCGGAAATGAAGAAGCTGGATGCAGAGCTGAAGAATCAGATGAAGGAGCTTGGGAAGGGCACCGCAGTCCGGGATGTTGCGCCCTCCGGTCGAGGGGAGGCAGGTGAGGAAGATGCGGACGAGACCGGTGATCGTCGGACGCGCAAAGACGATGATGATGCCAGTGAAGTGGGAGATGGAGATGCTACTGCTGCTAAAAGGCAGCGGCAAGGCAAAGAACAGGCTACCTATGAAGACGATGAAGAAGAAGACGAGGAAGCAGTTGCCCTGGGCGAGTATGACGATGCGGACATCGAAGCAGCGTTTGCGTCAGCCAGCGAGGAGGAAGATGAAGGAATGGATGTAGACGAAGACACAGAGCAGGCACATGCTCGGAAGCGTCTCGATGAGGAGGTTTCTAGAGTCGAGGGCCTCTTCATACAGAATTTGCCAAGCACCACGTCCTTGTCCTTCTGCGATTCTGGCTGCAGCATTAGACTACAGGTGAGAGCCACCCGTGATATCAATTGTAGCCTCAAATTTACGTCGACTGAAGTTCGATTCCTCCATGCCAAAACTCCTCCTTGTAGGGATAGTGGAGAAGACCTGTGTTAAGACAGTGATCCGCGAAATTCGGGCATTACTGACTGCTTCAAATCCAAAGAAGACACGGACGGAGGTGCTGTCTATTCTGTGCGTAGCGTATCACGATCCCCAGCGCACGCTCGCCGATTCATTCCATTTACATAGCTCACTACCAACGGGTCGAACATTCCCGGACTCTGGCGTTTTGCGTGCGCGGAATCGAACCCGATGATCGAAGAAGACGGAGTTTACTCAAATGATATCTACGCTGTCCTGTGCGCATATGGCGTAGAGGCGGCGAGGGCTGTCATCCTCCGCGAGATTGGCGGGGTCTTCGCTGTGTATAAAATTGACGTGGATCAACGCCACTTGGAGTTGATCGCTGATTACATGGTACGTCTTGCTCCGGTGTTGCACGTTGTATCATTTCTAAGGTCATACCAGACGTTTGACGGCGGGTACAAGCCTTTCAATCGCAGAGGCATCTCAACTAGTCCATCGCCTTTGCTGAAAGCTTCCTACGAAACAACCGCTGCGTTCCTGTCTGATGCTACGCTGCATGGTGACTTCGACGACCTGACAACGCCGTCTGGCAATATCGTGATGGGACGACTGAATCTGACAGGGACAGGGGTATTTGACATTGTAATGCCTGTGAGCCCGAATAGCGTCTGAGTGGATATCGCGCGTGTAGCTATGTAGCCCTATGATACAAAAGTACTAGTAGACTTTTCACGATTTGACGCTCCCTGTATCCATGATGCAAACGCCCATAGGACTGTTGGAGGGCCATGATGCATCAACGATCGCACGGACGATCGGGAACAGTATCGCGGGTTCTCCAGTGACATAAGCATTACAGTCTTCGACTCTTCGTGCGCTGCTAATTTAGCGTGAGCGTACATACCGCGGGTCGAATGAATTGGGATAGTTCCATATAGGGCCTTCGATCTGCGGCGACTGTCTTAACCGGATGGACTTGAATCTCGCACACCCACGTCTGCCACTGGCTTTGACTGTTCAAGCTATGAGAGCAGACAAGCCATATCGCTCATTGTAGACACACTGCGCCCATGAACAACTGCAGTCACGGTACCTATTGTAATTATCGGACTCGTCTAGAGTCAATTACAGTGTCGCCGAGATCTGGGACATCTCTCTCTCAATCGGACAAGCAGAGCGAAAGTTGCGATAAACGACTGGCAGATAATACTGAATAAATCGACATCTCAGGACTGGCCGGGAGAGCGGATTCCGATCTTGTCACCACGAACGCATGGCATCCTGCAACAATACGTGAGGCTGAACAGGTCCAGATCGAGCAAGCCAGGCAGATCCCGATGGCCGGCTGGATAATGCATTCGATGTGACATAGGGAAGCATCGTCGCCGGATCAGCGTTAGCGGCAGTCAGGAGGTTCAGAGCGGTCTCTTGCATGCGATGTTCACTCCATATGCCTGGGGATAGATCGGGCAATCTTCTCTCGTCTGCGATTCCGAACGAGTTCGCCGGGGGACTTGGGAATCAATCAACATGGGACGGTGCTCTCCCCTGCGTATAAAAGAGCATCTGCGAATTTCAGAATGCAACCAGTCCTCACTCACCGCAACTTCATCCCAGACAGTCTTCGACAAAGCCTTCAAACGGAACAATGTGTGTTTACAGACGGTAAGTCGAGGAGCCCTTGTTCAACGACGACAGTACTCACCACTATTTGTGTATCGGTGTAGAGTTAACACCATTTGGGCCAGGTTTGTTTCGTAACACTTGCATGGCATGTCTTCTGACGCATCGACTAGGTGTCGCCACAGCCACCAGCAGGTAAGATATGGCCATGTCACTCCGCACATACTCTAACGTCAATATGCGCCTGTCGCGTGCATAGGAGGAAGAGGTCAGTCAGGCCAAGGTCTTATGCACTCGGTCATTGACTTGTCGGTCAGATTAAGTGCGATTCCGCACAGTGTATACATAGCCCCAACCATCGCACGGACGCCCACAATTGTAGGGTGGACTGTTGGCAGACGTTAGTGATTTCTGAATCCGTTAGTGTTGTCCACTTACCGGATCCCCCAGGCACCAGTGGCCTCAGCAATTCAGTGAGCTCGAGTACCCTATGGTTTCTCGCGATACACTGAACACTTCTCATAGCGCGTCAGATCGATGCTTTCTGCGAGGCGTGCATTGCAGACGGTCACGGGCAGTGAGGCAGTGGCCGAAACTGAATCTGAAGCTTCTTGTGCAACGCCTTGGATATCGATAGCGGAACTCTATCGGATCAGTGTTTAGTGTAGACGGAATAGGAGACACCGATGAGTTCAGTCGAGCGTGAGCTAGAAGTTAATAGCCTAAGCCCGGCATGGCGTCATTGTTCACGAACGGCGTATCTCCCGCACCTCGCACATATAACATCCATGGTGAGTTTGCGCTCTTGCGAAGCTCTCATGAAGATTGTGATCGCAACATAAATCACAACATGCCATAACCGAACAGACAAACGAAGGCAACAATGCGACTTGAACGCAGTCCATTGCTGAGATTAAGCGACGGTGTAAGCTAGCAATTCTCCCAGGAAAACATGGTGCTGCCCTGTGGTTATAATACACAGCATGGATGCCTCAGGCCAAGGTGGTTCTCCCGCGAATGATCACCAGTAGCGTCGAGATGCCCCGGGACGACGCTGACGTCGGAAACTTTGAGTCCACGATAAGAGAATCCGATTCTCGGATGGCCACGACGCACCATCTGCATCAATCCTCGTCATTGATATTGTGCTGTTTCTTGAGCTGAGCTAGTTCTTCCTCTCTGCGAGCCAGATCGGCTTTGGCGGCGGCTGCATCCTGTTTTGCAGGCATGTGGTACAGAACTACGATGTACCGCTCTTGTAGATGGAACCCATTCAGGTGATCGAGTGCGTTTTTGGCCTGGAACGGATAGTCTCAGTCGCACTTAGTAGGGACGGTGACGAGATGTAGACGTACGTCCATGACATCGTCAAAGACGACAAATGCTGTCCCTCGTGTCTTCTGCTCGTTGCCAATACGGATCTGACGGATACTACCATAACGGCCGAAGAGATCATACAAGTCTTCTCCCGTTATTGTGTAATTCAGATTTTTCACGAAGAGTATTCGATTAGCACCAGGAGGTAGCTTTGCCTGAGATGACTTATGTCAGCTGAAAGAACATGCGGAGACGGCAAGACTTACAGCTGGGCGAGCGAGAGCCATGACCGTTACGCGCAAGTGGATCACGCGGGAGGCGTCGTGGCGCAAGGACCAACATGGTCCTATGACAATGAGCGGACTTCGAATCCCAAAAAGGCAGGTGTGGAGGATCAGCTAAACCGCTTCCAGTTATGAAGGTACGACGGACGGGAAATTGTTTGCTGGTCTGCCTTAGAAATACCTTCATAATAGATATCGCTCAAGAATCCGGTACAATACTTCGTCTTTCACACTACTCATCACTTGCGAGTATAGCAACAGGATCATCGCCAGAGAGGTCGTTGCCAGCGATAAACTCACATTGTGCCTCGCGTTGCGAGTCAGGTTGGCTACTCCTCGGAACACGAACGGGATATTTGCATTGCCCGAATTGCAGAAGCTGTCAGAATAGGACAATGTAGGCGGAGTGCTCGAAGACCGATAATCAGGGGTGCAATGAGAACATACCCCCTACGGTAGGAACTAGTGCCGTCGGGCGCAAATCGAATGACGGCACCTAGAAAATCCCCCCTGAAGGAATCCAAGGTAGCCAGTCACGACTCTTCGAACGAGTCATACGCCACGTACACGCTTTCCTAACTCAACAGGGGATGATTTTTATAGGTGGAAAACATTCCCAGTATCAAATGACTCCTCCGTCTCGACTCTGCAATGTGGAGATTCAACATAGATGCAGATAGGGATCTTGTGGACACTTATGCGGCCGACTCTCTGTGTTGATATTTTGGTTGGCCTCGCGGTCATATAGGATGGTAGCAAAAATCAGATATATTCGTCAACCTGAACGTCGAAATCCCGGAGGTCATGAGCAACTAGAGTCCGCTGCATACCCTCGATCACCGCAGCGGCCAAATATCACTCCGGAGTTGCTCGATGGTCCGACGCACTGCACGAGGCCGTTGCTTCGCATGTCAATTTAATCAGAGCGGATAGGCAGGTCCTAGCGTGTTCTATCGTCCCACCAAGCCCAAGCTTCCCATCAAGATATGTTATGCTCGAGATTCTGGTCATCGATCAGCCCAGGGACTGAGAGGCGTTGCAGTACATCAGACAATAACCAAACCAAGTCGTCGACCCGGGCCCACCGAGTTATCAGCCCTGATTCACGTGCACCTCGGGATTCTGTCCGCAGAGTTCGAAGTCAGGCACGCTCAGTATAGCTTCACGCGTCGAGCATCCTTTAGATGTCATATTTCATACTGGCAAACTGCCAGTGCAAACCTGGCGAAGATCCCGTCTAGTATGGCCATAATGTCGGACAATCCCAAACTGAACTACGGATTGTTTATGAACAACCTTTAGTCCCCAATGGAGGTACCAAAAATCAAGGCGGCACTGACCGCGACTTTGGCCTGATGGGCCTGAAACGATTTGACGGGGCGTTGGTGGGTGGCTGGACGTCAGCGTTACAGTATCAGTCCTAAGGCGGTTGAGACTGAAGCAGAATAAGTAGGCCCTCCGAGTAAAAATGGCAAAGCCGCGCCGATTTCCATGCGGCAGTCGTTTGACGGAACCATTTCTCAGCACAGCAGACCGTAGCACGGCCCGCCATGTCTGCTGCCCCGGATACAATGAGCCTCGATCACCAGTTAAGTGGCTGAGCAAACTTTCATCACCGTGCCTGCTGGACTAGATCCTAAGCGGCCTTCAAGTTCATGAGCGCCACTGACAACGGCTCGACTCCGTGGTTTTCTAGTGGATAGTATCGTGGTCCATCATACGTTTTCATTTTGTGTCGGAATATAATGAAGGCAACGCACCATGTCGGAAGGAATCGTTAATCTCTGGCTAATAGGTCGCATGTTGTGGAGCAGCATTGCTGGCTATCTTCTGCCGCGATACGGCCATGTAAGTTCGCGTATCGAAGGCATGACTTCGACATGTTCCGCGAATACATGGCCGCGCGCTCGGGCTGTGAATGGTTTCGTAACCAGTCACGACACCCGGATTCTGACACAAGGAACCATTCGCAAAGGAATTGCAGGTTGTTCTCTCACACGAATAATTACGATTGCAATATTTCGTCGAAAGTCAATGCAGTACGCACTTCCTCAGTACGGCCTCTTCCGCCGGTCAATCACATTGCGGATGCAAGACCGTGACCATGCGGGATGTCGCAATGCATAAGAACCACGACGAAGACAAAGCTCCGAGACATTATATGAGACAACGAGGCCACTCCGTTGAGAATCTGCAATTGAGCAACGGTGGAAGCCACTGAAGACTGAACGGACGACAACCTGGTGTTTGGCCATGGGCGTGCGATCAGCCAGAATCACTCCCGCGCGGATCTGTTCTAGCATGCAGCAGCGTCTCAGCAGCACTGAAATAATGAACCTGTCCCAAACAAGCGGGCAGCGTCAAGCCTGAGAAGGACAGCGGTGCGACCTACGGGTCATTGACTAAAGCAGGCTGTGTGACAACTCTGGCTTTGAATTGTATGCATGGCGCCGATCGCAACACGCCGTCCCTGAGAAGTCCATTACGGCTGCGTCTCGAGATCATGTTCTTCGTGATTGCGCACTCGAGCTGGATCAGCTGATGACCATCTCCAGTTCTATAATGATACGCTGCCAGTTGCCTGCGAGGTTCGCTACCGAAGGCATCTTACAGTCTCCGGAGGAATGTAATAGAACGCCATCTCTCGGAGAGAAGCAAAATTATCCCTTCGTCACTCCGGTGCCTGAGAGGCGTCTTGATCAGATGCGTAAGCGTTGGGCAAGCCAGGACGCGTCGCCACGGCTTCCCAAAAAGTTGTCACCCGTGTCTTCAGCCGGGACCTCAGCTAGTCTGTGCTGCGTTGCAGGGCGTGCACGCGGCTGGAGAGATGAACAGTCAATAGGATCCTTTTTGCCAATGACCATGACGCGTTCAGCGGTCTTCCGCAGTTGACACTTGTAATACGCATTTTTTGGTCTCTGAGTGATAGCCTTCAGCTTCAGTTGCGCACAGCATTACACTTAACAGACTCGGAACGGTGCAGGCATACATGACATCACCAGATACCGTCGCCTTCCGGCTACTAGAAGCAGAATGCCCAAGAGGGCTTAGGTCGCTCAGCAATCACCGTCCTGCTCTTTGTTCAGTGAGATCAGATAAAATCTCTCCGCCTAGTCAGAAAGGAGGAACTCACGCACCATGGACCGAGTCTGCGTTCATGCAAGCTTAGAAGCTAATCGCTCGACGTGCTTGCAATCGATGGCTCCGCGTGTGCACACGACAGTAGCTCGGTGTTTGCCCTTTGCGTCAGGCACCAAACATTTTATGTCCTCGGAATCAGGACAAGGACAATCCGACGGACTCGAGACGCAGACGAGCGTCTCAGGACATAAGTACTGCGAGCATGCCACTAGAGAGTGAAGAATGGGTGAACATGTTCACTCAGGGTCAAGCTGTCGTATTGACAGAGCCATCCTCACCGCTGTCCGCGTGCGCAATCCACTGGCCTGCACCTGAAGGTCCTGGGGGCCTCTGTTGTTGTTGGTGCATGGGTTGACCGAACATATGTTCGAAAAATTGGAACTGGGCCCAAGCCGACAAGGCGAACGTCGGGATGATGCACAATAGAGCCAGCCTATACAGCATGTTCAGCCCCTTTCAGGTGACGTGCAGGATTCGCGAGGAGTGAGGAGGTAGTCTAGAGGCGATGATGCGGACTCAACTTGAACGTGTTCTAGCGATGTATGCTGGTATGTCAACATCTACAAACAGACGCGTCGCGGCCCAACGCAACGACGCGTGCGGTCGTGTCTTGGTCCAGAGATCCAATACATATGCGTCTGTACCCCTTCTTTACATATTGCTCATGGAGGAGACGATAGATGGATAAAGCATAGTAATTCATACAGGTCGTAGAAGTCGTTGTGCATACATTTTTCATGGTGATGACAGGGGAACAGCTCGTAAACTACATATGTACCACTGCGAATTGGGGAACTTGGATTGTTGCTAGTGAGGTAACTTCGGGAAAGATTGTGGTCGTGGATGCTAAACAAGCAGGGATGATCAGATGGGGGGGAGGTATTAAACAAGGAATACACAATAGCAGCAAAGAAACCCATTAAACGTGCACTGTCCAATCCGTCTGTCCGGCACTCCGAAGATGCAACGCGCGCGACACCCGGGCATCGTCGCCATTGGCAGATTTTCAAGCTTGGCGGGTTCATTCACGAACGTCGGGATCATCTGAGACTCTGAGAGATCCGCAATGCGAGTACGGCCTCAGGCCATACTGCACCGCTGGAACCTCGGCCTGCCTCTCACGTCCTGGAGCTTCCGGTGTGCTGCCGGAGGGAGCAGTCCAGCCTTAGCCCAGGCAACTTCGCCAGGGAGAGCAGGAGGTCCCATCGAGCTCCGGGCCCTCCTGGGCTGGATGTTCTCCTTTTCGGTTTCCCTTCGCATGGCTACCAGATCAAGCTGCGAATCATCGGCACTCCCGCAGGTGTCAACGTCCATGTCCTGAGAGGAGTCCGTGCTCTTTTCTGCGACGCGACTGTCTCGGTAGACATCGAAACCGGGGTAATGGGGAGACTGGTGGTCGGGAGTGATCTCGTGTGGCGTGGAGTAGGTCGCCAGCGGCTCTGAAGACGATTGTCCGACGACAGGGCCGACGACGTATGTATGCAAGACTTCACCCTCGAACGCAGTGACATGAGCGTGAGGCGCAGCGAGCGAGGTCAGCGAATTTCCATTGTTTAATCGCAACTCCGGCGGCGGTGCCAATGCAGCTGTGGTGACCTGATAGTGCCCCACGACGCTATTCTCCTGGCGCATATCCTCTCCTGCCGCCCTGCTGACGCTAAGACGGCCAAAGTCGAGTTTCTTGGAGGGGCTGTCTGCGCCCTTGAGAGCGGCGCTGAGCCTACGCGACGATCGACGATGGCGAGGCGACGACGGGTCATGATTCTCGCTCGATTTCTGTGGCGAGCACACACCCTCGAGTGCAACGATGCGACGTTTGGCAGGACTGCGGCGAGATGGACCACCAGGAGAAAGCGGACGCTTCGTCACTCTGTGAGGCGAAGGGACGTTGTCGTCCGACAGCAGAAACTGCTCGAGAGGGAGATCCAGAAGCGGAGGACGGCGTTGATGCATATGCATAAGAGGCATGTTGGAAGTGAGAGACGAGAGGACGATGGGGAGTGGCCCCAGTGGTCGCAGTCGCGTTTAAAGAAAGGAAAATGTGGATGTGGCCAAAGACAAAGGTCCTTAGCAGCGCCCGCGTTTAACTCTTTGTGACACCCCACGTGGCTCCCGTCACGCCTCGGCGGCTCGAGCTTGTGCAGACTTCAGAGTCCAGACAAGCAGCGGACAGAGTCCATTCTGCACCACAAGTACAATACAATAATGATGCCATATTACCTCGAAAAACAGCGTTCGAGTGTGGAAGCCCTAGCAAAACATATAACTACAGCAAACATAATGGGAGAGCAGCTAGATGAGCTCCGCAGCATTCACCGGCATTTCATCCTGAGCCGAGGTCATCAGTATGCGTGGTGGATCGAGACAAGAGGCATTACTTACGATTTGTGTACCGTAATATTGCTCTGTGAGCCGGGAAGATCAGCCTCGTTAACGGGGTGCATGTAGGCCAGGACTCACCGATGTCACGCAAGATACGGACATCATCAACGGTTACAAACTGCCGAGCACCCATGGTCAGTCTTTCAGTCTCTGCGGTTTACACCAGCACTTACGTTGATAGCAACGCCCTTCCTGCCGAATCGACCAGATCGACCAATACGGTGGATGTAGTTTTCACGGTTTCTACACCAGTGTGAATACAAACTACGAGACTCGCTGGCACAAATTCACGTACGCGGGGAGGTCGTAATTGATGACAAGCGACACTTGCTGCACGTCGATGCCTCGAGCCCAGACATCCGTCGTAATGAGGACACGTCTAGAGACCTAGTCAGCGTCCGTTGAAGACAGCAATAGCAAATACTCACGATGTCCCACTGCGGAACTCCGCCATGATGGCATCTCGTTCTTTTTGTACCATCTCACCATGCATGGAAGAGACAGTGAAGTTGGCAGCACGCATCTTCTCCGTCAGCCAGTCAACCTAGATAATGCTCAGTCGTTGAACGACACCATACACGCTGCTGGGCACCCACCTTCCGCCTTGTGTTGCAGAAGATGACAGCTTGCGTAATAGTCAATGTATCATAGAGATCGCAAAGCGTGTCAAACTTCCAGTCCTCCTTCTCCACTGCAACGAAAAACTGCTTGATACCCTCCAGCGTCAACTCGTCACGCTTGACGAGGATGCGAACGGGGTCGGTCATGAACTTCGTCGTCATCTCCAAGACATCGTACGGCAGCGTCGCGCTCAGAAGGACGACTTGAGTCGCGGGAGGGAGGTATCGGTAGACGTCGTAGATCTGGTCCTTGAAGCCCTTGTTCAAAAGCTCGTCCGCTTCGTCAAGCACCAACATCTTGATGTTGCGGGTCCGCAGACTGCGGCGTCGGATCATGTCAAATACACGCCCAGGCGTGCCGGATACTACGTGCTGCCCGTACTCGAGCTTCCGGATATCCTCTCCGATGGATGTGCCCCGATACACGCGTGGCATTGGACGTTCATGTAATCACCCAAAGCAAGGACGACAGATTGAATCTGCGTCGCGAGCTCGCGCGTGGGGCTGAGGACAAGTGCCTGGGTTTCGCGGACAGTCACGTCGATGGACTGGAGGATGGAAATGGAGAACGTCGCGGTCTTTCCGGTTCCGGACTGAGCCTGTGCAATGACATCCCTCCCTTGGATGATAGGCAGAATTGCACGCTGCTGGATGGCGGACGGCTTCTCGAAGTCTACCGTAGAGTCAGAGCATGGTTCAACAAAGGAGACGGTGTCCAAACCCACTGTAGGCGTAGATGCCACGCAGCAGGTCTTCCTTCAGACCGAGGTCGTCGAAGGTCGAGACGACTGAGACTGCTTCCGACGACTCGAAGATGAGTTTCTGCAGGCAATCATCATTATGTAAGTCAAAATCTCGTCAGACACAGCACCATGGGTGCGCACCTCGTCTCCGAGATTGATTCCAGACATTTTGAAGTGTGTTGTGAGTTGAGTGTTGAGGTCAAGACGAAGTAGATCGGACTTCGAATATCTGCGCTCTCGGGACAGACGCTCGAATAAGCGCCAGCGGCTCTGTTCGCTGCAGCCACCGACCGTGAAGTGCTTTCGACCGCCCCCCGCAAGCTCTCTCCCTCAGCCATGGACTCAATCATCGAGGTGCAGCGACACACACACGAGGAAATAGAGCAATTTGAACGGGCCCTGTACACCATCCTCTCGAAACCGCAGCCTAGTCACGAGTCGCGCCTGCAAGTCGAGCACAAGACATCTCAGCTACTCGACCGGCTCACTTCTAGGCTGGTCGGTCTGAACAATCTGTACGAGGATCAGGATACGCGCAAAATTGAGATCAACTCGCTGTCTGCGCCTCCACAGCAGCAAAGCGACTTGTCTGCTTTCTACGCGCGGCTAGGTCGGATACAAGAGCATTATGCCAAGTATCCTGATGCTATCGTGGGAGGGTTCGACCCAGAGTTGACTGCTTTCCTTGAAGAGGGGCAAGAAACTGGGGGTGACGAGGAGTACGAGGAAGACGACCGTGCGTTACCCGACCCTTTGTTATTCGCCATCTTGACTAACATTAGCATACCTGCCTTTCAGCTGTTGCCCTACTTTTCTCGGGTGAAGAGGCTTACGGCAAATACCTTGACCTGTATGCTAATCATACTGCTTATAACAATCTCAAGAACATCGGCAAACGTATCGGCTACTTGCAGTACTTGGACGCCCTTCTTGCCGCTCAGTCCGGACCCGTTCACTCTGAGCTCCCTGCAGACTGTCGTTTAACTCGGGACTACGAACTGTGAGTCTCATACGCGCGACGTGATAGCTTTCCTTATACCCCTGCTTCTTGCCAGTTATATCAGGGCATTGCACACATACCTGGTGTCTTTCACAAGACGTGCACAACCTTTGGTCGACATGGAGTCTCAGCAGAAGGAGGCTAGTGCTCGATTCACGTCGAAGTGGGACGCCGACGAGATCCTTGGCTGGGAAGAGGAGAAGCCAAAGAAGTTACAGCGGACGGTAATGGCGAGGGTATCTGGTGCGCAGCTTGTAAGCAAATCTGTCTTCTACTACAACCAGATCTCACGGGTTGTGTCCGCAGGCCAGAAGCTGTACTCAAAGCAAACTGTGTACGACGCTCACTTGACGTCAAAGAAGCACATCAAGGCTACACAAAAACAAGCGAACTCTTCAGAGCAGCCTCCCGCGAACCCGAACGGCCCGACCCAGCCAGCCCATGGGCAAAACGGACACGAGGTGTCCCAGGCCGCTACGAAGTCCAAGCATCGTAATGCCGCATTACTCACCCACCTCTGCACTCAGTTATTGAGCGCACTCGTGCCTGTACTCAACGACACGAAGTCGAACGTGGAGCGTCGGTTCTCTCTAACCGCGCGTGAACGAGAACAGGAGCTTCTCGAACAGTCCATGCCTCCGCCTGCTGCGGCTGCACCCGCAAACGGCGACGGCGGCGGAGAAGAGGAAGAAGAGGAAGAACGGATCTACAATCCTCTCAAACTGCCTATGGGATGGGATGGCAAACCCATCCCGTATTGGCTCTACAAGCTTCACGGGTTGGGGGTCGAGTATCGATGTGAGATCTGCTCGGATCACGTCTACATGGGAAGGTCGGTCGTTCCGCGTCGGACATGCACGCCATGCTGATTGTGCCCTTCCAGGAAAAACTTCGATCGTCACTTCCAGGTGGGTCATGGCTGTACATCGGCTGACAGGGCATGCTTCTCACCGATCAATAGGAGTCGAGACACGCTTTTGGCATGCGTGCACTCGGTCTGCCCAATACAAAGCACTTCCACGAGATCACTAAGATCGAAGATGCCCTTGCCCGTAAGTCATGTTGTATATCAGCCTTGCCGTAACAATTGAGCAGTCCGGTCACAGTTGCTGAGAAGCTCAAACGAGAAGGCCGTCATGAGATCTTCGAGCAGGAGACCATGGAGGAGCTGGAAGATGAGGAGGGTAATGTGTACAACCGCAAGACGTATGAGGATTTGAAGAAGCAAGGATTGATATAGCAACTTGGCTATCTTACATCCGGCATCGTCCTCTGATACAGTCTGTATTATACATGGTACTTTTGTCATGGCGTCAGTCATAGCGTCATGCACACGCGTGTCTATCCTCTCGTACAATCCAACCTATTGATGCAACAAATGGGGCCATGATGCGCTTCGCCTGTTAAAATTACATACTGTCTGTTGGTGTAATTTTGGCACTGCGAGGTGGCGGCGGCGGGGGTGGTCTTCGACGTGCTTGCTCCGGTGCCAACGGACTCTGCAGGGCATTGTATAGTTCTTCCTCCGACGACGATGGGGAAGACGACAGGGGCGAGTTGTCTGGAGAGTCAAACGGATTCGTGCCCTTGCGAGAGGGCCTCGGTGGGCTCGCCGGGACGAAGATGCCGCTAGGATGATCTACCCACTTGGTCAGCGTCGCGGTTCGTCCGTCACAGCGCAGTCCTTACCGGGGTCCTCCCACCACGCTGCTTCATCTGTGCTCGGTGCAGGTACTGCACCAAAAGGGAATTGGTGATTATTTTCAGATAGATGACGGCAGATGAGACTCACGGTCATCGTTCTCATCTACAAATGTCAATTCAGCCAGCTTCTCGTCGAGCTTTTCTCCAGGGGCGCTGGCGGTAACATTTTCGAGCAAGAGACGGGATAGGGCATCGCGTCTAGCATGGTCGATTATCCTAATCTCCGCGCGGAACAGGGCGAAGACTGTCGGTCGTATAAGTGATCCTTCTATGGAACAAAACATAATAGAAACAGCACCTGGACGGTGGTCTGAGCTCTTCAACTCCGCTCGTGAATAGGAAGACAAATCAAGGCAAGCACCCTTGAACAGAATCCGATCTAGAAATTGTCAGACACCGCCATGCTTCTTGTGTCGGAAAATTCACCTGTCCAGGCAGGGATACGCATCTTCTCCCCTGTATCATAATTGTCTGTGCCAACGTCGTATTTGTAAGTTGGACGGAACAATATGGGGCCTTCTTGGTATCCTGTGAATGCCGCTCCGTCATCCATGGCTTGTTTTAACTGCCGTATGCATTAGCCAACACTCGGCATCCACCTTCCGAGACGCAGCTCACTTGGTCTGCAGCCAGTAAGGCGTCATAGTCACTGGACACAGCTAGGGATCTGGCATGCTCGTTCTCAAGGTCGATTCGATAGTTCGTGTCCGCCAGCCAGATGACGTTACTACGGAAGACATTAGAAAGAGCATCATGGGAGCGAATGAGCCATACTCGTGACTGTCGATAGTCTTTCCCTTGAGGAAATGCAGCCCATTGGTGATGGTACGATAGTCGGCATTACGCTCAATCACATTTGTATGACCGGCGGCGAGGTGGGCGGTGAGGAAGCAGAAGCTAGTGTCACAAAGATCGAGCCGTATACCTACGGCTCCTTTGTTACCAGACATGCCCCTCAGACCAGTCTAAAGAGCGCATTCAGCATATAGACGAGGGCTACCGACACGACGAACCTTATGCGAGGCGGCTTCGACATTCCGTATCGCGGAAGTGAGTTCAGTCTTCGCGAAGACGAGTAACGCCGTTCCGACCAACTAAACAATGCAGGTCCTCAGGCCTCAGTAGAGCCTTCAGGGCCTTCAAGCAACAGCTGACCTGATGACCACGCAACAACACATATTCGCCCTTGCTCTCAGACCGTTTGTTGAGCGTGTCCAAGAGTTTTACCTCCCAAGCCCGTCTAGAAATGATTCGTCAAATGCACGACATGAGCACGAACGAAACTACTATACCTCCGTTCCGGGTCAGCCTGTACGATTTGCTGCGCGGTCAAGGGTACGATCTCTTGAAACCCGATGACAAAAATGTCCGGGCTACTCAGTGTTATCAGGCTGTTGCACCACGCAGGTGCAAGACGTACTCAGTTGTATCTGAAAGTGAAGATGAGACACGACGCAAAGCTATTACATTCGAACTTACATTGACGCGGAAAAAGCCAAGGGAGCAAAGACTCGGATGACGGCGGCTAGAACGACAATGCAAGACTGAACAAGAGGGAAGCGACTCATACGATGACTACGAACTTTGCCATTCAGATTCCACGTCCCGATGAATATAGTGCACGGCTTTGTCGTCGAGTACTCAGATAGTCTGATTACCATCTTAGTTGCGGAGGCAGTGAAATTTCCAAGACGATGCATACCTTGCATCCAGAGCTCGGCGCACCGAGTCATGGATAGGGTCATAGATTGTTACCTTCTTCTGCGTACTGAGATTTCCCTGGACCAAACGTCTTCAGGCATTACCGCTACAGACTGAAGATAGCGACGCACCACCAACATGTCAATAGCAATCTGCTTGCCCTTGTCTTGGAAATTGTTGATGTACGCTCTGGAAACACTTTTCGTAGCATCGGACAGAACGCCTGGTCGATTCGGTCAATATATCGCGATTCCTGCGATTGCACTGGCGGCCTCACCCGCTAACGTCCGCTTTCCGCTGCGAGTGAAACTGGTATTCAATGCGCCGGTGCCAGCGTAAATACGAGACAGTGCATCTCCATTCTCAGCCCAGAGCTCCCTATGGTATGACCAGAGAGCTGTAGAATGAACCCACTCTTTTCGTATCAGCATCAGGTATTGTTCAAGGGTTGTGCGGGATAAGATGTCTTGGACGAAGTTCGTTCGATCTAAGCTGCAAGCGAATGAGCCATCGCAGTGTCGTAGCTCCAGATGATTGCGTACCAGTCAAGGCAATTGGTTCTGAAGACACCTCTTTGTTCCGTGATGAGCTCGTCGGTGGAAGCATCAGTCATGCAGAAGCCAAACTTGTCGATATGGTCGGCGATGTTTTCTAGGCGCCTAAACTCGAACTGTGAGACCCACACTCGCAGAGCAGGCATTCAACAGCGACGAGCCTTATCTCTCTGAACACGCTCTCGTGACCACCGATCCTGACCGCGTTGTGGAAGTCAAAATGCGTAATCCCGACCGTGTCTCCCATTGCTGCCCTCGCTGATTGAAGATGCCTCGCATATGCCGCGGTCAGGATCGCCTCGTTCTCTTTGCTGCCTAGCAGATTGATTGCATGCATCGACCCGTACTCTTCTATCAGTTGCATCAAGTGACGATCGAATGCCGGTTGGGAGGCCTGTGGTCGGGTGATCTGGATTTTATGGCCGAACGTCTGGAGTCCTTGTTGCTCCCAGAACACTGCAAATGCACGGCGCGAAACGAGGGGGTGAAAATGCGGTGTATTGAGTGCAGTAGGAAACATACATGGTACGCTCCCCCGTACTTGTACATAACTAAAGCAATGCTGGTCGGTGCTGAATATCGTCTCTGTCTGCGCGAACAACTCAGCCACATTGCATTGTGTATACAACAGGAAGCTGCATACCTCCACGAAGTTGGCTACATTTCCATCATCATCGACTCCTCTCGTGTTGAACCGAGTCCCCGACCGTTTCCAACCCAACCGCGAGATTAGGGCCAAAGTCGCGATGGTCGGTGTGCCACTAGTTGGAGGGGCTGGCAGGGCCAAGGTATACACACCCACGTAGCCTTGGATGGCGAGGACCTATGGTACGTTCGTCACACACCCGCTCATACACGTGAGCTCGACCTACTATGAAACGCGTCCGGTCAAGCTCGTCTCGTTCTTGGGGATCCAGCCGCTCTCTGAAGTCTAATAGACTCTTGATGATGTACTCGTTCCACAAGAATCGTTCGTCATATAGCCCCGCATCGGCCACCCCTCCCGCCTCAGCTCGACGAGCTAGGCGCAGCGGCAGACGAGAGGTTATGTCCCATTGTTCTTCATTGGCATAATAGAATGTGCCTGTGCAGATAATCTTGGTGATAGGTGCGCAAGGATGTTCAAACACAGGATTCTGTGTCGTATTCGTGAACGAGTCACCGACTGGACTGTCCGACTGGTCGTCATAGCCCGACCTCATCCCAACATCCGTGGAGAGGCCGTCCCATGTAGATGAATTAAGGCTGTAGAAGCCAGCGTCATGTATCTGGGTGACAGACTCTTCAGTGGGTGCATATGGACGCGTCTTGCCCACTGCGGTTGCAGACGTGATCACGACCAAGAATATCTCTGTTGGACGATGGGTCAGGCTCTGCGTTTTCGCACCTGAAGATACATCAACGCACCGTTCGACACGGATATTAGACCGAGGCACCCTCTAATTACTCTCCCGGGCGCGAGCTTGACCGTGGTGGACAGATCGACCTCATCCTTAGGAAGAAATTGCACCACGGCTTGAGACGAGCTGCCCTCGGTTGCACGGAAGACCAGAGCTCTGCCAGGCCGCCCTGGTTCGTCTTGTGCATCCGTGACCAGGTAGAGAGCGCGGGGACTTTCCCTCAGATGGAGACGCATCCTCTCTGAATCGGCGGTGTATCTGCTCAGCGCTCAGAGCCGCTGTTCGAGTGCCTGTACGAGTTCACCAGTATATGTCCTCAGGGTCGCGTTTCGAGAGTTGAGGTCTAGCCGCTGCAGAATATTGGATGGCGAGGTTGAAGAGCGTGCGTGGTCAAAAAAGACATGTATTATTGACCGTGAGCTCGCGGCAGCACCCACAACAGACCAGTGGCGAGTAATCTCCGATTTGCAGCGTACGATTGAGCGCCAACTGGGAGCTCGTCCTGAGCTCGCCCAGAATGATTAAAAGCGGCCAGCCAGCACCAGCAGGCAAGAAGCTACAGTGGATTCGAGTGTAATCAAATCACAGCCTAGCAATACGAAATGTCCGGGATCATATGCTTCCATCCAACCCAGCTAACTGTGACTGATTACAATGTACCAGAATCATAGGAGGAGCTCGTATTTCTCCTCATCTCCAAGCGTCCTTCCGTTGAAGGCCTCCCAGAAACTGTTGGCCGCCTCGGCGGTGTGCCTAGCTTCAAAGGGGCTAAACGGATGTTCGAATGATCAATCTCGTTCGTCGGTGCATATGAGGATGTTTCGGAAGTGTCATTCTCGCTCGCAACCCTTCGTCCCGGCGAAAGCAAGGGTGGAGGCAAGTTATTCATTGACGGAACACGCTTCAGATATGTGCTGGGAGCCTGAAGCGGCGAAGGAGAGACCGGGCGGGGTGCGATATTGGGAGATCGGGGCGCGATGAGCCCCTCGGATGTGTCGCGTCGAGTCGGACGAGGCCGCACACGAGGCATAGTGTCATAGAGGCTTCTGAAGAGTGAGCCACGAGGTCGCGTGGAAATAGGTGTGAACGCTTTGTTGGAGTCGGTCGGTGTAGTAGGCACGCTGCTATGGCCTGTCGTATCGATTAACTGTAGCCTAGCAGAGTTGCCTAATGACATACCTGAATTGATAGGGAGAGCATTGTCATTTGCGCTCAAGCTGAGGAACAGGAAGACCGGAATCAACCAGACACATAGCCCAAAGAAGGTCGCAATATCGCCGAAATTCGGCACCCGCGAGGTGGATCGGGATTGTCCGTATGGACGACGAGCTGCATGCCTTGCCTCCTCCGATATGCGCGAGAAGTAGAAGAACCACATAAAGTGGTTACAAATGACCATAACGCAGGATAAGATGAAGCTGAACGACGACAGGGAGATCGATGGCCAGCTCGGAGTGAAGTTCTGCAGATACACGATTTGGCACGCAATTGAAAATGCCGTGTGCTTCAAAGGCAGAGAGTCGGTGATATACAGTAGACAGTGGAGAATTATGATGAACTGTAAACATCAGTTTGTATGTGGCATTCTATAGCGATTGTGATTATGCACAACACTTACGTAGATAGTCCGCTCACCCACGACTTTTGCAACACGCGAATGCTCCTCGATTAACTCAGAGAGCCAAAGAAGACCGCTGGCTGACGGGGATAATTCAGTAACAAGGATGACTCAAATAAGCTAGGAGACGCACCAAGTGACAAGGTCACGAAGATAAATGCTGCGGCCCCGCCTACATAACTGAGGAAGACGTCAGTGCACAGTCAAGTGCGTGATCGCATGTACTTACCTGAGGCTATGGAGCAGAGAGTGCATTTCCGACACAAGTCCAGTTACAGCGACTTGTGCTGCTCTCGACAGAGGGGTTTTATGTTTTGAGACAAATGGTAAGCGAGAAAGGAGCAGTAGCTGTGGGCATGAGACGGGCTTAGCTGTCCACTGAGCGCTCGTGTGTGCCACGAAACGCGTCCCAAAAGCTATCACGTGGAGCGTTCTGAGCTTCTTGATTGGTTGCGGCGACGCGCGGGGCACCGCATCCACTGGTGGCCGGAGTAGGCAAGAGCTATCATAGCTTGGACACTCCTCTCAGCCTCCATTTCAAGATTGCCTAGCCCCGGACATTCTAGACACTTGCGCGGTATGTTTCGCATCGCACAGACATGGCGTAGGTACTGAGACATAATGGTCCATAGAGCTAGCCATATCAGCATGAGTAATCTTGAGAGTGAGTGTAGGATTGCCGGGACGCGAACCTCGTCCTAAACATCTTTAGAAACCCTCTTTCAGTTGAAGGTGCGAATCATCTGGGAATCTCTACCAAACGCTGCTTATATTGATAACACATATTATACCAGTTCACAGCAAAGAACTTGAGTCGGCAAGCCAAGAAGGCACAGAAAGATGAGAACACAGAGAAAGCCCGCTTGAAGAAGGTAGAATGAGCGTAATCATTATTTATCTCCATTGATCTCCAATGCCCGTCTCAGGCACTCCAGCAAGGCAATAATGATGGGGCTCGCATCTACGCTGCCAATGCTATTCGCAAGAAGAATGAATCTTTGAATCTGCTCAGACTCTCCAGCCGCGTAGATGCGGTGGCGAGCCGGGTGGAGACTGCAGTGACTATGCGTCAAGTCGCAGGAAACATGACGTCGGTAGTGAAAGGCATGGACAAGGCTATGGACAGCATGAACCTCGAGAGGGTACGCCTCACTTAGTTCAACGAACCTAGCTTCGCACTGACGCCACCTGGGTTGTCTCGCAGATTTCAATCGTCATGGACAAGTTTGAGTCTCAATTCTCCGACCTTGATGTGCAGACTTCGTACATGGAGGAGACGATGTCCAACACGACGGCTGTATCCACGCCACAGGATGAAGTGGAGGCTCTCATGAAGCAGACGGCCGAGGAGGCGAACATAGAACTCCAGCAAGATCTCGCGTCCAAGGCGCTCGCGCCAGTGGCGGAAATCAAGGATAAGGAGGCAATCGGAGAGGAAGACGACCAACTGGCCGCCAGGCTCCGCGCTCTCAGGCCAGCGACATGATGTACTCCACAACGGCCGCGGTATATGCGTAATGTGCCTTGGTTGACACAGACGGCGGTGTACGATATTGTATGATGTAACTATATTCCAAAGGATAGATCGTGTACGGCAACATTGCGAGCAGTCGTGAAATGTGACAACCCAGCTAGACGTGAAAACGTGTGCATTATAGGACCTAATGTTGGAGTGAGTGTCGATGAGTAGTCGTAGATGGTATCAAGCGGAGAGAAAAGCAGAGCACAAACTACGTATGCAATCTATGAAGTACAAAACCTTTGTGAATGAGAGCAGAACAAATCATATCCAGTATAGCATATCGAGCAGGCAGGACGCATCGCTGGCAATGCGGCGTGGGCGAGAGTGATCGGAGCTGGTCAGCAGGAAACAATGTGGTATAGCAACAAGGAGGGTGAGGAAAGTAACACGCATAAGATGAAAGGAAGACGCGACATGACATGCACCGTTCACCGGATCTCCTGGACAACGCGGCTCAACTTCCCCAAGAGGGCTTGCTTTCTCCGCAGGTCTAGTCCGGGTGCCGAATCAAGCAGCCGTTGTACGTGATGCATTAGACCAAAGGGGCCGTCCAGCGGTATGGCGCGTGCATCATATCGATGTACGTCTGAATGGAAGAGTACCAAATCAGTACGACGTAGTTCGCAGACATGAGGCCACGTACATGTCTTGAACGTGGAATACGCTGCGTCTCCCAAAACCTCACGGAAGGTCTCCGCCACTTCGGCACCAGACGAGCCTGCACCCAACCTGCCTCCCTCGTCTGCGGGAGTTGCTCTCCATCTGGCCCCGGCCCTCGCAGCCAGGTCTGGCGTAACTCGACCACCAACCGTTCGCGACAACACGTCCTCCCGCACTTTCGTTGGAGCCCACGACAAACCGAGGTTCAGGTCAAGCGAGCGACCCTTACCCGCATTCCGAGCTTGCCGCGATCTGGACAAGGGGGACGACGGCGTGGGAGTCGTAGTGCCCGAGGTCGCAATGGATCGTTTACGCTCCTCGCTCCCCGCGGGCGACCCAGGGATGGTAGGGACAGCTGGCTCAAACTTGAACGCAGGATGCGCACCGCGAGCCATGCGTTTCCCGGCACTCTTGCCCCAGCTGGAGTTCAATGCTGACGAATTACCGGAATGAGTGGAAGAAATTGGTGAACCAGGGTCCGTCTCCGAGCCGTGGTGTGCTTTGGGATTAGAGCTGCGAGGTATGGCCGACGTCTGCCCACGGGATGTCGCGGTAGAGCTGCCAGTTGTACGGCGCGTCAAGTCCAAGTTATGCGTGTTGATGTCCAGGGCTGGCTTTGGTCTCGCTTTGGGTAGAGAGGAAGACAGCGGTACATGACGATCCGGTCGAGTATCGTCCAAGGTGACTCTACGGGGTGGACCCCGCGAACTCGAACCCCTTTGCAACGGATGCGGGGGAGCAATCACCCTGCCACCCAGACTGGCTGACGGCAATGGCCTCCCTTGACCAGCGGGAACCGGGCTTTCAAAGTCGAAACTTCCGTGTTTGATACGTTTAGCTTTGACGTTCGCCTGTGCACCGCCGTGAACGACGTTTGTCGATCCGTCCCTCCCTCGGCTACCGCGACTAGTGCCGCTACCGCTGGCAACTCTCTCCATGGACAATGCGCCAAGAGGACGGCTCCCTTTCTCGAGCTCCCGAGTAGGCGAATGCACCCTTCTCGGATTTGTGATGCGCCCCTTCCCCGTCTCGCTCTCCGTTCGGCCTAGCCGATGCCTGACCTCCTTCTCATCAAATTGTTCCCAGTCCTCCAACCGCTCCCTCTCCTTTCCCTTCGATCGGGCAGCAGTGGATGGCCCCAGCCCACACAGAGGTGAGCATCTGCCCGCTAACGCCTCCGAGTCCACGTCATCCTGAACTTCCTCGTAGTGCCCATTGTGGCGAGGAGACGCGGTCATGCAACGTGCTGGCGCGCTCTGGACTGGGGGCGAAGCAGGCCTGTTGTGGTCTATCAGGATATCGCCTCTCATAGCCCGCTTGGGCGCATCCGATGTGATGGCCCCTGCGGAGCCAGGACGCAACACGACACCGCGCCCTTTCCTGCTATTCGGCTGGGAACCTGGAGTGGTCGGCCGTGACTTCGACTTGCTCGAGTCGCCAAACGAGCTCATACGCGGGCTCGAGAGCGTTAACCCGAAGAAGTTCATCTTCTTGCCCTTACGCGATGAGTCGGGGGAGGTTTGCTCGAGGATGACCACCTCTGTTCGGATATCCATCGGACCCGTGGTCTGTCCGCCTGACGAGTGGACACCGAGCGCCTTCTGTGACCTCTTGGGTTTCGTGGTGGGAGACAGAGGCCTCGACGGCGACCGGGTAACGGGTCTCGAGGCGGAAGAGGACGCAGCAGCGGCATAACCGCCATCAGGGTCCAGGCTGGAGTGCCGCTTGTGCTTACTGCTGGTGGGGCCTTCGATTGGCATTGGGTCGTGGGCTATAGCGACATCGAGAGAGCGCGACCGCCTTTTCCTGGATCGGGAACGAGAACGGTTTAGAAAATTCACAATCTATCGATGGTCCCACAGCGCGTAGGAGGACGTTTGTGCGACCGGAAGTAAGCCTGAGGAGCAGATAGAGAAATACAGAACACGCACCCGAGCACCAAGTGTCCTACCTTGTCTCTCTTCGTGCTGAGGTGACAACTCCATGGGTTCGACGTCAACGTCCACCTGTTGCAGCCGCAAGTTCCTGGCGTAATCCGGATACACAAATTTCGGGTGCTCGGTCTCTTCAGTCTATTCGGGGTTGGCCGCCCATCCCCGCAATACGTCAGACACATGCACCATGTTCAGTGCCGGGATCTCGCACCTCAACAGACGCGATGCTCTCGATACGCTGTAGTTTGCTAGTAGAACAGAGGAATGCGCGAAACTGTTACAGTACGTGCAAAGACGAGAGAGGGAAAGGGAGGGGCAACACGTGTTAGGCACGTCTCCGAACATACGAGAGTTCGGTGCGAAGCACTCACGTCCTGGGATATCCTCACACGGGCAGCGTCAATCAAACCGAGGCTGCTCCTCCGTTCATGTTTAAGCGTTCTGGAGGTAGCACGCGCGATGTGCGAGCGAGAGTCGAGGGGGGATGTGGACGGCGTGGATGGGGGAAGGGAGGAGTCGCACGAGCCTGAGTGCGCGTCTGACAGCTCTTCGGGAACAGTGATTGGCATTGTGGTGATCGTTGTTCGACATGAAATATTGCAGCAAGTACAGAAAAAGCACAGAAAACAGTGGAGGGAGTTGGACTGGAATGACTTGAGAGAGGCGGGCAGGGTATTAGGGCGATGAACACAGGCTGCTTGAGAGGTTCAACAGTCCTGATCAGTAGGCGTGCGAAGAAGGCCCAGAAAGGGATGTCGACACGTGTTTACGGACTGCACAGCAGGATCGACCGTGGCGCGAAGCAGCCTGAGTTGAGCAAATCCTCCGTTGTGATGTGTACCAAGAACCGTCTCTCGATCTAGTCTCACATACCATGCGTTGTTCTACCGCCGGCATGCTCGTATCGCTTGGACAGTGCGTCTCAGGAACGTACTACAGTGTATATGCCATTGCCAATGCCAATGCAACCATGACAGGAGTGTGCACTTCCAAAATTGACCACGCGCATGATACGCGCGCGGATGCATGCATGTATCTTTGTTGCAGAGGGTTGTATTCGTGGTACAGCGCAGCAAAAGCGGAATGGACAACTCACGCCGGATCATTCATGGTTTATGAAGCTAACTTGCGGATTGGATCGCTCGGTCTCAGCCTAACTGGTGCACGGCGGCGCACATGTATTAGTACGGTGCAGTGAATAGCTGTAGGCCGCACTTTCCATTTGACTATGATCGAGCAGAGGCTAACATGTTCCGAACTAACCGGTCAGGTACACCGACGCAGATCCTTTGGTGATTTCACCACGCGAGGATGTCCTTCACATTCGTGCGTGCCTTTAAGTTGCATCCCTCATACACGCGGTCGGGCGATCAGCAATAACTATGTAAGGTCATTCATTCAGTAGCTCGCATAATTCTGCTAACGGCTCTTTCTCGGCAGCGGTTACCTACGTTCACATTTGATAGACATGCATAAAGACGTTATGCGGCGTCCCATCTGCGCATCCGCCGTCGCGAACAATCTTGTCAATTTCCAAGGAAGTAGTGAGCATGCGTTTATCATTGCTCAACGTTCAGAAAAGATCGTGCGGTGTCAGACGCCAGTCGGACTAGCGGTGTAATGGCCGCGCACTGGCCTCTCATGCTGTCACAATGACACTGTCTATCGGACGTCGCGAGTAAGAACCACTGCTCCTGTGACCCAGTGCGGGAGGCTCGCCGCTTTTCATTCGTTGATACCCTCGAGACCTCGGCTCAACCTGGAACGCTGACTTGAAACTCGTTCATTCTCAGGATCACCAAGCTATTTTGAGCAACTAAGTATTCCGCGACATGAATATATCACACTGATTATGACCTGACTAGCCAATGCTCGGTACCTGCGGGAAATCAGACTGGACCCACCAATGCGCTTCATGAATTACATGCTTTTGCAAGGCGGCCGTCCCCCGAGATGTGTATCGTAAAGTCGAGGCTGACGAGGTCAGCCGGGCGCGGTCTTGCCGATGGTAAGGCGCCATGCACGGTTCTAGATCCTAGGAAACAGTCTGATTGTCCCCATGCGTGTAATAGATCTTGTCTTCAAGCTGAGGCTAAGAACGAGCCGACGGTCATGTATGGTGTTGCGTGCCTCCGTTTTCAGGATTTCGTCAAGTATGTGTGAAAGTCGTGGGAGCGGGAATGAGCGGCGTTAATTCACAGAGTCTTCTCAATAGAGTTGCAGAGTACGGAGGCCGCTGCTTCTCTGCCGGAAACGACAGGAAGTGCCTGCGCGAATTGGCATCCGTCGGTCGCGCGAGTGGCGCTGGTGGTTGTACGCTGAGGCTGCTTGGCTGGACGCGCGGCAGCCGTACGCGTCCCAGGCGTGTACTTCGCCACGTGACCGTGTGCGGTTGCGTGCTTGCGAATTCTTTCGCCATCGCCAGCCACGGGAGGTCCCTTCGCCATCCCGAGCTTACCACACAAATGGAGACGCACCGATTACTTACCGCGCAAGGCCCTTGCCCTTATACTTTGTCCCACCGCTCCTGCCGCGGCCGACTCGGCGACTCTGTCACATTCGACCATCCACCACTCGCACCCGCCCCACCGTCTAACCTTGTCCTCACGCCAGTGTGTTCTCCGTCCCTCCCGGAATCCCTTCGGTCATGCCTGGGGTCACTTCCCACCTCTCGAAGATTGGGCCCAGACGACTGAGGCTGCCCCATGCACCAGCTCGTACGAGACCAGCCGCCCGTTCACCTGCGAATGAGGCTTCAATCGCATCTACCTCAAAACCTCGCGATCGTCCGACGTTTCCATGTGTCGAAGCACATGCAGCCCGGGAGTCACGCCTGCGCTCCTCCAGACAGTCGTCAAACCTTGCCGCGTCTTCGCCGCCCACGTCTCGCCCTCCGCCTCCAAACTCGGAGCCAGAACCACCGTATGAACGGCCAAACCCCAAGTCGTATAAAATTTACCACCACTCAAAGCCTCTTCCACTCACCTATACACCGCCATTACCTGAGTTTGACATTGCGTACGAAACCTGGGGAACTCTGTCTCCGGCGAAGGACAACGTCATCCTCCTGCACACTGGGTTGTCCGCATCGTCGCATGCTGCATCTACGGATTTGAACCCCTCAGAGGGTTGGTGGGAGAAGTTCATTGGCCCCGGTCGCGCACTCGATACGAACCAGTTCTTCATCATTTGCACCAACGTCCTGGGAGGTTGCTACGGCTCAACCGGACCTTCGACGATCGATCCTACCACTGGCCAGCGGTATGCGACGCGTTTCCCGATCCTCTCAATCTTCGACATGGTTCGAGCGCAATTTTGCCTCTTGGATCACCTTGGGATCCGTCAGTTGTACGCAAGCGTCGGCAGCTCGATGGGCGCAATGCAGAGCCTCGCTGCAGGCTGGCTGTACCCTGAACGTGTTGGAAAGGTGGTGAGCATCAGCGGTACCGCGCGCAGCAGTCCTAGCGCAATCGCTATGCGTTTTGCGCAACGTAGCGGTGCGTCAACAACTGTTCAGATTGCGACTCAATCGCACATACTGATCTTCTCGAAGTCCTGATGGCAGACCCCAATTGGAATGACGGTTTCTATTACGATGGCTTACCGCCGCACACGGGCATGAAGCTCGCACGGCGTACGTTCGGTTCTGTAAAATGGGAGCTGGCTGGTGCTGATACTGTGTTCCCTGTAGAGATTGCGACTATTACATACCGGTCAGGCCCTGAATGGGATCAGAGATTTGGGCGTAGGCTGCGACCTCCACCACAATCCTCGCCATCAACAGGCACGGAGGACTCGAGTTCACAACGCGTACCAGCGCTCTGTCCCGACTTCTTGATCGAGACATATCTTGACTATCAGGTACGCCTTCAGGCGCTTCGGTAACCCCATAAAGTTCTGACCACCTCGACAACTCCAGGGCGAATCGTTCTGTCTCAAATATGATGCCAATTCGCTCATTTACATTTCTAAGGCGATGGATGTCTTCGATTTGACGAGCTCTGCGCTCGCGGAGCTGAAGCTGACTCCTCCGTCGCCACGCTCGTCGACCCCGCCACTTCCGCCCTCATTAGCTACGCAACCGTCCTCGCCGGCGCACCAGCACTACCACTGGCTTACATCGCATTCGAAGTCGCACCCCCCACCGCCCAATCCTCCGGCTCACTTGCCGGAACTCGCAGAAGGATTGCGTCCGCTGGCGAACACCCCGACGCTTATTCTTGGCGTGCAGAGCGACATATTGTTCCCGTTGAGCAGCAGCGGGAGGTGGCGGATGCATTGCGCATGACAGGCAATCAAATGGTGAGCTATTACGAGCTCGGCGGTGTGTGGGGCCACGACACATTCTTGTAAGTGTACTCTTACCTCCGGCATCCTGTATTCAGCTGACGAAGTCCTGTAGGCTCGATGTGCAAAATGTGGGCGGCGCTATCCGAGGTTTCCTGTCATGAGAGTAATTCCAACACTCAATGCATTGCTCCTATCGCTATCGGCTTCCTTACATCGCACATTGCAATAAATAGTACGAAGTTCATAATCACGCCCATCATGTCGTTGGATCCTGTCGGGTACAATTAAAGGCTATGTACTGGCGAAATGCACGCGAATTTCTCTACAACCTTGTGTCTCTATCCGTGTCTGGATAGAACTTGGCACTGTATATCAGCATGAGCCGCTAGGGAACAACTAGCTTGGGATGTACTTAGCGACTCGGAGGGGTTCTGTCAGTGAGAACTGGCCCGATGCATCCCACCCGGGCCAGCGCCATCCGTTCGCGACCTGCCCGCGACAGTCACCGACGCGCGCCGAGTTCTGGCTACATTCGACGCGTCCTTCGAAGCCTACGCATCTTCACAGTCTACTCTTGTGTGACATGAGATATCCGCGCTTCAAAGCCAAACTGCCTTTGGTGAGAAATTGTGCCAACGAACTGTCCGCGAGCTAACTAGTACTGTCTATGCATGGCTTTCACGATGGCCACAGGCTGAGGCGCAGAGCGGGCCACCGAAACCATCCTTGCTCCGCACCCGCTATGGTCCATACACTCTACAAAGTATGGGGAGGCTTGAGGACCCAGATTCCACCGGTCGCCAGGAGTAAGTTGCCTTGTATTGGCCGATCGCGCGGTTCTCATACTGGCATGCCTCCAGGCACGTCGTGAAGAATCCTGCAACGGGGAAGACATTGGCACGTACGTTGAGCAGTTAGCACTCATAGGACGCGCTGTAATTACTCTTTTCTTCCAGAGTCATCATGGCGAATGCAGAGGATGCGCAGACTACGATATACGATGCCCACCAAAACTTCAGGTCCGGCGTATGGTCCAAGAAACCAGCGGTAGAGCGTGCTCAGGTGCTCTCCGCCCTTGCTCATGTGCTTTCCATCCGCATGGAGGAGTTTGTATACCTGGAGTCTATGCAGACAGGAAGACCGATCAGGGAAATGAAGGCACAACTTGGTCGTCTCCCGGAGTGGCTGTTAGTTCTGCTTCTCGACATCGCGTTGCAGTCCTATGTGACCGACTTCCAGTGAATACTTTGCAGCAGCACTCAGGACCCACCAGGGATTCATTGCACCGACCCAAGGCAAGTTGCTCAACTACGTCCAGCGTATTCCACTTGGCGTCGTAGCACAAGTGACGGTCCGTACCAATGTGGTTCTACTCCGGACTTCCCTGATCAGACATATGCAGCCATTCAACCATCCGCTACTCATCGCTATCAAGAAGATTGCGCCTGCCCTCGCAGCGGGCAACTCTGTGATCGTGAAGCCTAGCGAGGCGGCGCCGTTGTCGGTACTGCAGTTCGCCGAGATGTCCCTCATAGCTGGCGGTAAGTCTCTAGGCGCCGCTTCCGCACTTTGCTCAGTAGCTTTTTGTGTATAGTTCCTCCGGGCGTGTTGAACGTGTTACCAGGCTACGGGAAGACGATTGTCCCCGAGCTGGCATCACATCCGCTCGTCAGGAAGGTTGACATAACCGTGAGTGTCTTCGTGTCAATGCAGACCCTGGCTCTTCATGACCACTCTTGACATTGTCAGGCTGGCACCAAAACCGGTCGTGCTATCGGCAAGCTTGTCGGTTCCAATTTGGCTGAGTACACAGCCGAACTGGGTGGAAAGGTACGTCAATCGCCATGACAAGCGAGGCGTCTTATTAATGCCCGCGCTCTCAGGCACCCATAGTCGTCTTCAAGGATGCAGATATCCAGTCCGCAGTATCCGGTGCTGCATTCGCTTGCTTCATAGCCTCGGGTCAGACCTGCGTCTCGGGTACACGTCTCATCATCCAAGACGAAATATACGATGAATTCATGGAGCAGTTCTTGAAGAAGGTTGAGAGCATCACTGCTCGGATGGGCAACCGTATGTGTCTTTACCACCCTCAGTTTCCATCCAATTGACCCGTGGAAACTAGCATTGAACGAAAAGACCATGATGGGTACAGTATCAGTCAGGGGCAACTCGAACGCATCGAAAAGCTTGTACAGCGTCCGGGTATCGGAAACATCCTGACCGGCGGCCGAAGACTCACAGGGACGTCGCCCCTCGACGGGCACGACTTTTCCAAAGGCAGTTTCTTCCCACCAACTGTTATCTCAGACGTACAGCTCGAGGACGACCTGTGGCGAGAAGAGGTCTTCGGTCCAGTCGTGGTAGTCAAGCGCTTCTATGTGAGTACCCTTCCGCGTTTTGAGCCCCGCTTGTGGTGGACTTACCGCGTCCGTGGCACAGGATGAGGCGGAGGGCATTGAACTCGCGAATGCATGCAAGTATGGTCTTGGGGCAGGCATCTGGACCAGTGACCTGTCCCGGGCTCACCGCGTAGCGGCTGAGATCGAGTCCGGCCTGGTTTGGGTCAATACCCACCACCGTAATGATCCCAGTTCGCCTTGGTGAGTCAGCTATGTCAATGATGTGACTGGTGTGCTCATGATGTCACGCAGGGGAGGCATGAAACAGAGCGGCATCGGCAGAGAAAACGGTTTGGAGGCACTGGATGCTTGTACGTGGTTCCCTTGTGCAGAAGTTCCCGAGCTAACGAATTCTGTCACGTAGACACGCAAAGCAAGTCAACCATCGTCAACATTGCGTCTGCAGAAGAGACCCGAACAACGATCGACTGGTTCGCAGATGACGATGTGTCGGAGAAGCGTTATGGTTGAAAGGCCCAACACCTCCGTACTCGCGCTGATGTAGAACTTGGGGAGTGTGCTATTTATCCTGCTTGAGTACCTGCGGCATTCGCTTGCCATACTATTCGCGTGCATGGAGCTTTAGCAACAAATGAGCTCAAGTGTCGTAGCTGCACCTTCGGCAGGTCATCGGAGGCGTGCCGTGATTAGTGCAAGGTCAATGGCACACGGCAGCGAACCTTCGTCCTTTCGTTCCCACCGTTTATCTCAAACCAAGATATTTCGCCCGACAGTGTCACTCGTAGCCCAAAATTCCGTCAGGCGAGGGCAGTGGTAGAAACCCCCTGTGCATACTTCATTCCAGATATTATTCTTGCAGTAACTTGACCCTGTCGAATGCATATCAAGGAGCGTTGTCTTGAGCTGCCTGAGCCTGTATCCTACGGAAGGGCGGGCTGCCGTCAGGATTGTATAGGATGTCAGCGGCGGCAATGAACACACGATAGAGCAAACCGTTGATGCCGTGAGCCGATTGTGCTGTGCCGCAGCCGAATACAGGCCTAGGAACCCTTGGCTTCATGCTGTTCTGCATTGACAATTCAGCCTATCCGTCGCTCGTGGTCCAAGGCAGTTCATTCCGAACTCACCGGATGATAGACTGTCGGTCAGCAAGCCATGTAGCTATCTGCTCCACCGCACGATCCCAGACATCAGGTTCGAGGCCCGAGAGGCGCAAAAGTGAGCTGCTCAAGGATTACCTGTGTTCGGCAGCCCGGAATGCGGGATATAGAACAACGGCCTCTCGTGCAAATCTCCTGAATAATACTTCCAATGGAACGCCGGGCACCCAGATAACTGTGCCGTCACGTCCTTAACAGTCTATCCACCTTGACCAAATGCGAGGCACCGCTCATGTGAGCGGTGAATAGTAAAAGACCTTCGGGTATTCATGACAAGTGAAGTCAAGCCTGCGTATATTGTACAAGTCTCATGAAGTCTGCGGATGCAGTGGAACAATTAACCGCCACTATGCTGTTGTCTTCATGGCCTCTTTAGGCTCCGCCTAGATAGCTGTCAGCATCGGGCGAGCATCGTACACACACCAGCAACCCACCTCTGATAACTCGACTGGTGGCTCATCTATGAAATCTGGAGCCTTGTTGAGATCTGTCAGGTACGATGGGCCTTCTTCTTCCACGTCCAGTTCCAGTGCGTCAAGTTCTACCGTAATGTCCTTAATTAAAGTCTGGACCACGACTATCATGAATGCAACGTACCTGCTTGAAGGTCTGCCTCGTCTATCTCGTCCGGCACGGCGTACGAGCGTCCCAGCGACTCTTGTATCTCATTGGCTTGCTCCAAAAGATCTTCCATTTCATAATGTATGTTCTGGTGGAATCATCTCGGTCTCTACAGTGGGGCAGGCCGAGAGGAGGGCATACCTCGATCTTGTCGATGTCGATCTTTCCGTATTGCTTCTTCATCTCCTTGTTCGCTTGTTTCATCGCATCGACTGTCGCCATTGTGTTGCGCAAGTTCTCTGTGGCGAGTGCGGCAGACTCCATGTTGAATGTCTGCTGAGTGAGCTGCGCTAGCTGTGATTCGTACATCCGCTTCTGCTTCAGCGTACGAAGGGCGCGTTCCTGGATTGCATTCTAAGATATGGAGTCATAGACACTGCATGGGTATATGTCATCGCAGAGATAGACAGCCGACGTACCTTTCCAGGCCCGTTCCGTAGCTTGCTCATCTGCTCCTTGTACCGGGCGAGTTCACCATCTAGCTTCTTTATCTTGACTTCAACCGAAGCCATACGGGTGTCTGTCTAGCGTGGTCGCTCTGTTCAGACGCGAATGAACTGGCTGTGTCATCATACTGACGGAAGCGATGGCATCTTGGAGACCTGGCTTGGGCTTCTTGCTCGAGGAGGATCCGAAGATTCGATTCATTTATCTTCAAGATGAGATGAGGCTTGCAATGAAGGGGTGCGGTCGTGTTCTGAGGAGTAGAGGTGCTGGCCAACCGAGACTCAAAAGTAATGTGCGTGGAGTACAGGTCCGAGTCTGCTGTGGCAGGCTGTGGCCTGGCTGTGGCTGCGAGTCCGCGGTGGCTGCTGCGGCGTTCTCCGGTTCGATCGGGCGCACTGTGTCGCTCGATCAGGCTTCTCCTCCCTGGTTCAAGCCGGCGCTACATCTGTCCCCGCGTCCTACACCTGCACGCTCGCAGAGTCGAATACTTACTGTCTGGGAACTTACCACTGTCGGCGACTCAGTGCAGGCGCTTGGATGCCTCAGCTGCTTCATTGCCGTTAGTTGCCTCGGCTCGCCGGCTTGGCGTTAATCCTTTCGCCGTTGTGCTAACGCCGTTTAAGAATATGGAATCACTTATCGCAGCCTTGATACGTGAAGGGACTTCGGTCTGTAATCTCATCAGACTGTAGCGACACAAGGGCTGAATATGTTTCTCCGAGGGCTCCCAGGCGTGCTCCGCATGCTGCATCTGTTACTCCAGTCCCCAGGGCCAGTACTCAGATTAGATAGGACCTGTCCAAGTCCGCAGAACCCAGGCTGAGTGCGGAAGTCTTATATTGCGCTTCGAATGTGCCGGCACTCCGTGTCGCTCAGCCACGCCACTTCTGACGATCTGCCATGACCGAAAACCAAGAACCCGTGGACTATCTCTCGCGCAACGCTCGGACTGATGATGTTGCACGGTCCATCTCGGGTTCCATTGACGAGAAGAAGATGGTCGAGGTCGACGAGAAGGTTGCTGTCGACGAAATCTCCGTGGATGGACTTGACTACAAGGATGAGGCGCTGCGGCTTGTTGGTATGGAACGAAAGGAGCAGTACACCGACGAACAGTACCTGAGAGTCCGTCGGAAACTGGTAAGTACATACATATCACTGGATGGCGCGTGCGCCTTTGCCCGCCAGTCTCACAATTCGTGACTTCAGGACTGGGTCATTCCACCGTTATGCGGCGCGGTGTACTTCACGCAATATTTGTGAGTGAACTATCCATGCGATCGTCTAGATATCGACCACTAAATGTATCGCATCAAGGGACAAGACCGCGTTAAGCTATGCGAGGTGGGCTTCGTGCTACTCGAGTGCTTGAAGGGCCCGTCTCACTTGTGCGTTACAGTATCATGGGATTCCCTGTAACAGGTCAAGGCTACAACGTCGTGGCCTTTTCCTTCTACATCGGTGAGCGACTCGCGTAGGAATTAAACACTGCCATGACTCATTGCTTGTCCCAGGCTTCTTCGTGTGGGTCTTCCCAACGATGTACATATCTCAGCGCACGCGTCTAGGAAAGTACCTAGGAGGCAACATTCTCTTGTGGGGCGCGATCATGATGCTGCATGCTATCCCGAAATCCTTCGCGCCCTTCTTTGTGTTGCGACTCTTGCTAGGTATGGCATGCGACGTGTTATGCACAATGACCCCTCGTTAACAACATGGAACTAGGGGCGCTCGAGAGTTGTGTTGCTCCTATCCTTATCCTTATTGTTTCTATGTTTTACAAGAAGGATGAACAGGTACGCCGCGAGATTTATATCTACCGCTAGATGTTCATGAAGTTGCTAGGCATCCAGGATAGCACTGTTCTACATGATGGTTAGTTCCAACTGTCCTTCGGCGGAGAGGCATACTTTGATCACACCTTAGAACGGCTTCTCCTCCGTATTTGGTGGATTCGTTGCCTATGTAAGTACTTGGGGAATGTTTCTACAAGCCATTCTGACTTCTGGGCCATTATAGGGCGTATCGTTCACAGACAACCCGTCACTTCCTTCATACAAGGTTGTTTACATCTTACTCGGTGGCATGGCTATTGTCGTTGGCCTCTCAGTCTTGGTTTGGATGCCGGACTCCCCTTCGCATGCAAAGTTCTTGACTGAAGAAGAGAGGATCATTGCCATCGAACGTATCCGTGACGACCAAGGAGGAACAGAGAACAAGAAGCTCAAGAAGGACCAGCTGTTTGAAGCGCTCACTGATCTCCGGACGTGGCTCATCGTGCTTTCTACGCTGTTGAGTGAGGTTGCATGTAGTTCATTCACTGCGCAAGAACTCACCGCGACATCCATTCAGCGAACATTCCCAACGGTGGCCTCGCGAACTGTAAGTACCGTTAGTCGTAGTCTTGTGATCTGTGTATTGAACGTGACGCATGAAGTCAGCAACATCATTGTGAAGGTGAGCATTTACTGATAACCTTTGAACAACCGCCTCACCGCGGTGTATTTGCTAGGGATACGGATATACGTTCGTCCGATCTTTTTGAAACATTCCGTGGTAAAATTGATAACGTTTGCAGAACGAAGCAAACCTTGATCCTAACGGCTCCCAGCGGTTTGATTGGGTTCTTCACGACAATTCTCGTTGGCTGGTGGTCCGACAGAACGGTGAGCCCACTTACCAGCGTCTTACTTGCGAACTGACCAGCTGTGTCAGAATGAACGGATGCTACCTATCGTCTTCGTTCTCATTCCGACCATTGTTGGTGCGGCCCTATTGGTCGCCATGAATGGTACTCGTGACAAGGGGGTCATTCTATTTGGTGAGCATCGCCACCGTCGGGTAATGTCCGCAAAATATCTGATTAAAAAACAAGCGGTATATATCATCGGCACCTACGGATCCTCGCTCTCCCAAATCTATGCTTACAACGCCAGCAACACCAGTGGCCATACGAAGAAAGTCACGTTAAACGCCATGACACTGGCTACATTCTGCGTTGCCAACATCATCGGCACGGAGACTTTCCAGCCGAAGGATGCACCGGGCTACCTCCCCGGCAAGATATCGATTCTAGTCCTTCTCAGTGCTGAAATCTTCCTCTGCTTCTTCATGCGGTGGTACAATCTGCATCTGAACAAGAAGAAACGAAAGGTCATCGAACAGCTCAAAGAAGCAAACGGGTGGTCAGATGCAGACGTGGACAGGGAAAGGGAACGGCATGCCTTCATGGACATGACCGACATGCAGTACGTGGATCGCCCGAACTGATTCTGAGTCGGCAGTTACTGAAGGTGATGCAGGAACCCGTACTTCGTATACACGAAGTGATAGGCCGTCGCAACGACTCTGGTCCTGGTAATGAGTAGAACGGATGTACGGCGTACTTACTATGTACCAGCCACAATCAAAATTAGAGTCGTAGACCTCGATGAGCGTGCGGCCAGTAACTTTCTGATTGCGAGCGTCTATCAGTACACTTTAGGTAGGTGGCGTGTTCAACGGAGTAACGACTTGAACTGGAACCGTGACCGCCGGCGCGGCGTGTCTACCAACTCAACACATTCAACACCTCAACCCACGAATTTGCTACCGTCCTCCGTGGCTTTTTATTCTCACGTATGCAAGGACGGAAGAACTTGAAGTCACTTGACACTGAAACTGTGCCGCTGAACGCCACGAATCTGCAGTCTATCCTGCCGCTCAATCAGACAGGGCGAAGCTCATCCATAACTTCATCGAGTCACAGCGGACGTATCTTGTCCGCTATGCCAGCGAAGGTCGCGCCGCCTCTGCCGCTTGGGACCGCGACACACTCACTGGGGGAGGTACCGCAACACGCGCGCACGAGGATTCTTCTAGAGAGATCTTGGCTTCAGCTTTCGACACGCCGGTGCTGAAACCACGAGTCCCGGTGGTACAGGAAGTCCAACCGGACCTCCGTCTCGGGAAGACCTGGAGGCCATGGATGGTGGCGCTAGAGCAGTCCGGTCAAAGGTTGAACGGGCCAAAGCCTCCAAGGTGCCGGAACCTACAGTTGTCCAGCCCCAAAGCCATAAAGAGAACGTACTGGAACTGGGGATAAAGCATTCAGCAAAGCACAGTGGGCGTAAGGGAGACGACAGGACAGCGTCTAGACCTGTGAACAAGCAGCTCACTCTCGATCGATATGCTACGAAGGCGGAAGCGAAGACCAAGCAGTCCAACAAACGACAACACAGCCCTGATTCTCCAGATCCCGAGCACTCCGCACGTATGTACTGAATCAGTGGATTTAGAATACGGATTTCGCTGACGTAGCCCGCGTAGGACTCGCTGAACGACGAGAGAGAAGACGCATGAAACGAGCTATCGTAGCACCCAAAGCCTCCGTCTCCCGAGCGAGCGATGAAGAGGATGGCTCTACCAGCGGAAGGCGAGAGGTCACGAGAGGGAAAAGGGCAAAGAAGAGCACATCCCTGGCGGCCGGTCTTGCGCTCATGCATGGTTTCACGGCGAAGAATATTGGCACAAATCGATTGACGGTAACTAAACCTGCTGCTCTGCGCTTTGTGCAATTGCTGACTACGGGCCTTATGGTAAGGCACAACCACAACGTCGGAACGGTGTTTTTAATAAGGGCAAAGCGTCTGCTAATGTAGGTATCGCGACGAATGCCAAGCGGGGTACGTATACATCGTCTCGTCTCACTAGATATCTGTCTGACTGATACATTCAGGCGCCATAACCACGGTGTTTTCTGAGACCGAGTTTCTGAACCAATCGAAACGTAGGTCCACGATTCATGGAGAGTCATTCGACGGGACATCGTCGAAGAACTCCCGTTATGTGACAAGCTCAGACAGCGGCGGGGAAGAGCATGTGCAACAGCGCTTGGAGCTCAGCATCTCCAACGAGGTGGTAAAGAAGAACAGGTCAAAGCGTTCTCAGTTCGAAGATGACAGGCGCGAAGCTCCTGGCAACGATGAGCAGTCACAGTCCTCGATCTCTTCGACTAAGCAGGAGAATATGAGAGCGGCATCGATTGTCTGGGATATAGAACATGACGGCAAAAGTCTACCCTCTGGTAGCGAATGCACTGGCGTCGAGAAGCCGGACGATGGTACTGTTGTGTTGAACACGCAATCCAAGAAGTGGACGGAGACCATGACGAAGCCACCACCCAGGTCAACATCTAAAGTAGAACCTGTTCAAGACGAAGCGCGAGCCGATCAGCGTGGAGAAGCGGGGAGAACACGCCTGGGTCTCGATGCTACACTGGCAGCCGATCGTACCTCCACTATGTCCCTTCGGCCCTCGGAGTCTGCCTCGCAACTTCCAACTCACCCGGTCTCGTCTACGCTCCTGCCGCACGCGTCAAGATTCTTCGCACCTCTGCCGATTGTACCTAGCGGGTATGACAATAACAAGTCCGCGTCTGCTGTACAAGAAGAGGCGGCCTCTCCTCTGCTCTCGCCATCACCGTCGGCGTCCGAACATACTAGTGGGCAATACCTCCCGTCGGCCTCCCATATCGCACCACAAGCCGTGGGGTCACCATCGACCAACGTGGACTCCCTGACTCGCATGTGTCCAGCTCCCATATCTCTTTCCATCTTAGATCGGGAACTGCAGGCTCTCGATGATGACGATCGCGGTTTGCTATACGCTGTTCACAGCCAGGATCTCAGCACGCACCGTGGACAAGACGAGCAGGATTCACAATTCGGAGTGCAGGACCCGCGCCAACGTTCGAATTGTTGGCGTACTCGGTCAGCAACAATGAACTCTGCTCTGAGCCATCGGCGCTTACCTTCTTTCAGGCCCTCCCTGAGGCGCACGAGTGGTACGACCAATCGGAGTGTGTGGAATGGCAAGAGGGACCGGTTGACTCCGTCATGGCCGAAGCTGATACTGAGGCTACTTGGCATCCTGACTTTATCGACGACGAACTTGGCCGACTGGACGACTGGCAGGAGGCTTTCAACGCTCAAATTGGCCTCGAAGACGCGGCGTTATCGTACTGGGACGGAGAGCCTGCAGAAGGTTTGCTAGGCTTACTCCTGCATACGAGCCTCAGGCAGAAGAACGCCCCGAATCCTACGCCTGCGACCAAGAATTGTATGAAGATGAAGAGGAGAGCTCCGATATACTCCAGGGGCCTTCGCGACCACAGACTACTTCGTCATGGTGCTCGGCAACGTCGGAGCAAGCGATGTCCTACTCTCCGAGTGCCATCGCAAGTGAAGTATCCACGGAGTTGTTGGTTCCGCAATTCGCTCAAGGTCGTGATCTACTCCTGGGCCTCACGGCACGAATGATAATCAAAATTCTTACTCCATTCACAATGTTGAAGAAGACGTCGCAAGGAGTCTTCGCGGGCATTGGTTACCCCAACGGTCGTAACTTTGGCGTCGCATGTCTGGTCGATTCTGCGCCTGTATGTACCTACAGTACGGGCTCTAAACTCGGAGAATGGAAGAAACGTCTGGTCAATTCCATCATTTGGGTTTTCAGGCTTTCGTTAGTGATATTTTGTCCTGTCAAATCATGCCAGTCGGACTCTGTATGCCGGTGTGATAGCTTTGCCCACCGAATGCCTCTCTGTGCGAAGCACAGCGCCGGCGCGCTCGCTTGGCGCCTGTGAGTCAATTGAGCCACAAACGCGTTCGTGACGGGTCACGGTTGTGACCCAGCGCGACTGTATCAAGCGCGACTCGGACTGCCCCTAACGCGACCCACCACTGCTTCCCTCTCCCCTCTCGCCACCGCGACGCTCGTTCCGCGCGCATTCATCCGTACCGAGCACTCGAATATCTTACAGGTCACAACCTGTCCTCGCCATGAGCGCGAAGGAAAACGAAGCGTCCAAAGTGGTCTGTGTGGTGTCGTGGTTCACTAATACTCAAGTATCTCATCACCTTCACTCTGTCAGGACGCAGTGCCTTTCATCAAACCCGAACCAGAGGAACACAAGATTCTTACTCCGGGTGAGAATGCTCCCGACGTGAAAAGTCCAAGTCGCAAAGTCAAACCGGAACCCATAGAGGCCACGCGTGGTGTGCGTCGTTAATTTATCCTTGAATGCGACGGAAGTCTTCATAAATATAATCAGGCTTTGAACCGTGTCAAGCCAGAACCTGATACTGGGTATGACAACCTAGGTGCTCACAACATGGCATACCTGCCGCAGAAGCGCAGCTTCCTCCACGCGCAGCCCCTCTCAGCAGGACGGCTTCAAAAATTCACAGCCTCTGTACAAGGTGTTCAAGTCTCTGGACGATATCAACTACTTGCCCGAGGATGCGCTGAAGGAAGGCTTGGGTATGGTGAAAACGATTAAGGCCAACATCAAGACCCTCGAAGTAGGCAGCAAGTTACGTAAGGACGTCTGGTTGCGAGAAATTGAGAGGTAATCATTCACGATTACCTTTCCACTTGCGTGTCTAAAACATACCCTATGCAGTCTTCAGAGCCAAGGCGCGCCGACAACCATGATAGCCGTCTGTGGAGGTGAGCCTTCTGTCACCAGGAATTTGAGCGAATTTGTACATATATGCGCCCTCTCAGCGACTGGAGCCGGAAAGTCGTCTATATTGAATGCTATCCTCGACGGTAAGTCATTTGACACGCCCTGCTGCAGCCGGCTCATACCTACGTGTGGTGTTTTGATAGACAATGTCGTGCCCACTAGCGGCATGCGAGCTTGCACGGCCGTAGTTACCGAGATTTCGTACCATGCAAAGAAGACGATCGACGCAGACATTTCCTTCTTGTCGGAGAAGGAGTGGAGAGAGGAACTAGCTGTCCTACTCAAAGACATGATTGACGAGGATGGCAATGTCAAGCGAACTACCGACCTTCGTGGCGAAGCAGGAGTGGCATGGTCGAAGGTATGCCGCATGTTAGTGCTATCCACTGATTATTGACATCGGAGGCACAGGTGCATGCAGTGTACCCCAAGATTACCCAGGACATGCTCGCGAAGATGTCTGTTGACCAGATCATTGCACGTGATCCCAGTACGTCCTTCGAACATATAGTCCGTTTTTCGTGTTGTTGTCTAAATATGTACTTCAGACATCAGAGCTATTCTGGGGACGACGAAGCACGTTTGTGCCCACAATTCGCAAGCTTTCGCGAAGGAGATAGCCAAGTACATTGACTCCAAAGAGAAGAAGCACGGGAAGAAGAACAAGAAAGACAAGAGAAAAACAAGGAGGCGTCGGGCAGCCTCATGGATATACTCAAGAAGGATAACAAGAAGAAGGACAAGGACGAGGATGGTCCTGCGTTTTGGCCGCTGATTCGGCAAGTCCAAGTGAAATGCGACTCGCCCGCGCTGTCCACCGGGGCTATTCTGGTCGACTTGCCTGGTGTGGCAGACGCTAACGCAGCGCGAAACAACATCGCGAAAGATTACATGAAGAAGTGTGACTGCATCTGGATCCTTGCGCCTATCACACGAGCAGTAGACGACAAGACGGCGCGTGGTAAGTGTCGATGATCACTTACACCTTACCGCCCACTGAGCCACGATGCACCTCACTAGACCTGATGGGAGATGCTTTCAAGATGCAGCTCATGAGTGCGTATATCTTCGATTATCTTCCAGCATACATAGACTGACTTCTTGCTCGTAGTGGGTAAGCCGAACACAACAATGCGAGGTCCATAACTGAGCATTAATTATCAGATGGCGTTATGACGACCATGCTATCACCTTCATTGGTTAGTCTTCACTTATCTCTGAGGAATTGTTGGCTCATGGCCGAGTTTCCAGCAAGCAATGTGATGACGTCTCGTGCAGTGAAGTGATCCAAGCACTGAGCCTCGATGACGAGCCTGAGCTTGAGAAGATCGAGGAGCAGATTGATCGGTGTAAGGAGGAGACCAATGAATGGCGACGGAAGAAGATCCAGGCCGAGGACTCTGCGAAAGGTCAGCATCGTAGTGGCCGTCTTATACCTATTATTAACCTCGACGGACAGACATCGATTCGAATTGAAGGAGATCCGCGCATACCTCGCAGAGTACCAAGAGCACAAGAAGGCACTCCAGAACGGAGACCCGTTCGAGAGGCGGCTTACAGCCACGGCTCAGGCAAGAAGGGACAGTTAGCATCCAGAGGGAAGAAGCGCAAGAACAACCGCGGTGGCAAGAAGGGTTCAAAGAAGAGAAGGAGTGGCTCTGCGTCCAGTGACAACGACGACTTCATTGACGACGACTCTGACTCTTCTGAATCAGACTCTGACTCCGATTCCCAAGAAGAATCGGACAAGAGCGACAGCGACGATGAGGACGCGTCTGATGCGTCTGGTTCTGAGTCTTCGGACAAGGAGGACGGCAACGAGGAGAACATGATGGACGTCGAGGAAGAAGAAGTCACCATAGAGAGCCTTGAGCGCAAGATCAGCGAGGCCAAGGAGGCCATCAAGGCGGGACGAGTCGAGCTCTCTGAGTTCCGCAAGCAGAAGAAGGAGGCCAACGACATGCTCGCCACCTTGAAGAAGAAACAGGTGAAGACGCAGAGAGACAAGAACGCCTTCTGCTCGCTCAGGCGTTCAGAGGTGAGAACTCGTGCATCGTACTCTTTGATTCTCCGTTGATCGCGCATGTAGTTCTCTCGCGACGTGCTCAAAGAGGATTTCCGCCAGGGACTGAAAGATTTGGATGGTATAGTGTAGTGCCATTTCTTCAACGACCCAATCAGCTCACGTCGTCAACAGATGCTGCCGCTGAAGAGCGCGACCCGGATAGCTTTGACCCAACGAAGAACCTTCGCGGTACGCAGGTTACCCTGATCATCTACATATATATATATATATATCTGACACTGCCTATGCGCTACCTTAGACTACTCCGCCATCGACCTCCCGGTCTTCACTTGTTCAGCACGGGACTACGTGCGAATCAAGGGTAAGCAAGTATCACACTGCTCGCGTACAGCAAGTATTGATACGAGGCTCTACAGGGCAAGTAAAGGGCGACGGCGACCCTTCGTGCTTCTGCAGAGTCGAGGACACTGGTATCCCCGAGCTCCAGAAATGGTGCCACACGCTCACTGTTGCCTCCCGCGAGCGCGCGGCGCGCAACTTTCTCATTCACCTGAAGACCTTCGGCAACTCCGTCAGGTCGTACGTGGAAGGCATCGGCGACGTGACCGTGACCGACCGCGAGGCAATGCGCGCGAAGTGGGAGTCCATGCAAGACGACGGGGACGAGGACGAGGACGATATGGACGCGATGCTCTACGGTGGCGGCTGGGCTAGCTCCGACCCCTTGGACGACATGGATGCGCTGGACCCTTACGCGCTCGCAGGCCTGCCCCGTGCCAATCTGTACTCGATGCACAGGCCGGCCGCCCCCAAGGTTGACGGGCGTGGAGAGCCCATCGGTATCACGCCGCGGCTAGTGAAGGTACGATCGAGTGCTCATTCGACACGCTGTCTGACATGTTCGACTTCGCACGCAGGATTTCAAGCAGGTCGTCCGCGAATGCGTCAAGGGCCTGCAAGATCGCTTCAGGGATGGATTGGAGGAGAAGTGCAAGACGGGTGCGGAGAATGTGCGTAGACCTTCTGGGATAGCCGTGACCTTGACTCATGCCACCACAGGCGTCCTCTGCCGCGCTGGAAACTTCGGACGCCTTTGCGGCCTCCATGCACTGGGGCACTTACCGAGCCAGTAAGCCCGACAAAAGACTTTCTGACACCTTGGATCCGCTGACAGCGCTCTGTTCCAGCTTTGCGGCGCCACGGGTCCTGGCGGCAGGACCTGAACGTCGAGCTCACGAACCCGTTCACGCGGCAGATCGCCAGCTCGTGGCAGAAGGTGTTCGAGGCGGACCTCTTCTCCGCGTTCGAGAAGTCGACCCTGTTCGTGATCGACAACCTCCTGAAGGACGTCGAGGAGTCCGCGGCGCCGGGGCTGAAGGAGCGCGCGCGCGGCCAGGGCGAGCTGTGCCTGCAGGAGGCGAAGATCGCGCTGAAGAAGACGATGGACGTCGTGCGCGACACGATGTCCTCGCAGCAGAAGGAGACGAGCCGCAGCCTCGCGCCGCACGTGCAGGAGCAGCTGTTCGACGGCTACGACGCCGCCATGGAGGAGCGAGGGCTCGGCAGCGTCGCCCGCCAGAAGGTACGCACACACCGTACATCGCGATCTCACCGCAGGTTGTGCTCGCGGGGGAGACACGATGCTGACGCATGGTGCACTTTTTTCTGCAGGCTGTGTTCCACAACTACGTGAGCGACATCAAGGACGAGATGTTCGAGGGCGCGGTGGATGTGCTGTTCGGGCGCTTGGACACCGCGGCGGAGGCAGTTGGCAAGGCGCTCGAGGAGGCGTTTGAGGCGCTCGCGCAGAAGGTGCGTCGACATTCCACGTTCACAACCTCCCCCCCCCGCAGCGGGATGCGTGGTAGTTTCACGATGTTTCAGGTTCTGACAGCCTCCGCGTTTCTGTTGTCAGATCGAAGTCAGCATTGCGGTGCTATGGGAGGGCGTCCGCGACGACCCGGCGCAGGTGAAGGCGCGCGAGGCGGTGATCGCGAGCATGACAGAGATCATCGCGCAGGTGAACCTCTGGCAGCAGGCCGACGCCGTGCGCCGGCAGCCTGCGGATGCTATGAACATGGAGGGTGAGGAGGAGTGAGCCTGCGGGCCTCTCTGGCTGTGTCATCGCTGGCAGGCCAGGGTCTCGCGGCGAGTGCTGCGTGATCTCGTGCTCTAGATGCGGTTCTTACATTATCCATTATCCACGTATGCGTCGTGCTTTCTTGTGCTCTCGTCCGTTGAATTCTACTTCTGAATAAGCGTGTTTGTGCTTGGTACCATATGCGAAGATTAGTCGTACAAACGCTAGTGTACCCCCGTACGGACCGTCTGCGTCTGTTTCCCCTCTTGCTCAAATTAGTGTATTCCGATTGCCGTATGAACTTTTCGCATGTTGTTGCTTGTGACTCTACTCCGACTATACTTGCTTGCTCTCTATAGACAGTACGAGTAGCCGCCAGTAATATATCCGAACCTTATGCTTGCTTTATGAGCCCCTGCCAGCTGACCACCGGGTACTCAGCACTGTCGACGGGTGCAGAGGGACGGCACTGGTACCTGTTGCTTCTGAATCTAATTCGATACTAGGTCCCGTCATAGACTCGGACGTCCGAGAACCGGGGGTCCACAAAAGGGGCAAGAAGACGAGTCCATAAGCAGGCGATCTACGCTGTGCATTGACTCTTAGGGTTCACCGCGTCGCTGCCGGTGGACAACGCCATCAGGCTCTCTCCCAGGTCGTCGTTCGCCTGGGAGGCCGGCGACGATACGGGGATACATCGCAGGCCTCGTGCGTCGTGCCGGTACGCACGCACGTCGACTAAGGTTACGGTCCTGCTTCGAATCCAGTGCTCGCAGGTGGTATCATGGGAGGCCGCACGCGCAGTGACACTGACACGGTGGGCGAATCCTCGACTCAGATCCGGAGATGTTCCACCACCTCAGTCTCAGTCCGATTCGATGCCAGTCCGTCCTCGGTTCAAGAGACACCGGACTGCCCGCTCTGACTCTGCTTCGAACTCGTCATTGGCGGTGCTGTCTGCCAGGTCGCCCGGCACGGCTCTCGGATGACGTTATGGAATAAAACATATGTACCGCGCCCCGGCGGCGGAGGCCTCACCCCGTGCGCGCCCAGGCGACACGCTAGCCACGAGGCGATGTATGTAGGTGCGCAGACTTGGCGCAGACGGTGGACAGCGATGACGTCGTCGTGCCTTGACGCGCTCACGTCATGCCCGACGCCGGGCGCCGGCGTCGGTACCGCGCAGCCCGTCCGGGTGGCGATCCGAGTCCGACGACCGTGCCTGATGTGCGCGCGTCCCGCCCCGAGCTCGAAACGTTTGGAGTTATTTGAGTTTGAGTCGATTTTGAATTGTCTCTGGCCGGGTAAGCGGTACAAGTACAATACACTGATGGGGGCGCTGCAGAGAGGATGCACCGACGGTGCGACTACCCGTACACACACTTTCGACCCATCCACGGTCGAGCACAATGGGGAAGAGATATAGTACAAGTATGCGGCGGTGCGAATAAGATTTTGGTTGAAGAGGATGCGTATTGGTAAGATGGATGGTATGTGAATTGTCATGAAGAGTCGTGAGAGCACGTTCAATACCAGTGCGGGGTCGTCACGAACATAAGAAGCGTTAACGTTAATAAAAGGAAAGCAAGCAAGACGAACGAAGACGAGGAAGCGAGACCACTATAACTCAAGACAAACGGTGCATGCGGCGCGTTACGACAGCCCAAGCACTGGGGAGAGCGACTCGCTGGCACCAGCACCAGCGAGTCGAGGCGTCGCGGGTGCCCCGCCGCGGACGCGGCCCTCACATGTGGTAGATGGGCCGGCCCTTGTAGTCGACGCTGTGGCCGGTGCGCGCGTCGATGTAGTGCGCGCGCGGCGACGGCTGCATGCCGAACATGCGGCGGAGGCGGTCGCCCAAGCCCGGCTCGACGCCGGACGAGTATCGCCGGTGGTGGTACGCGGGCTGGCTGAGGTGCTGCGAGGACTGTGGGTGCGGACGCGTCAGTACGGCGGCGGCGCGGGGGGCTGTGAGAGGCACGTACGTAGCTCGGGGTGGCGACGATGACCTGCGGCTGGCTGTGGTGCCGCGAGTGCGAGTGCGAGCGCGACGTGGAGTGGGAGCGGCGGTGCGAGCTGCTGCTGGGCCTGTGCGAGGACGAGTGGCTGCGGTGGTGGCCGCTGGGGGAGCCGTAGGACTGGCTCGTGCTCGCGCGGCGGGAGCGGGAGTAGCTGTTGTTGTAGGGCGTGCTCACGGTGTGCACGGTGGGGGTGTGCACGGCGGGGTAGTACTGCTGCTGGCCAGCCCCGGCCTGCGGGTACTGGTTGCCGTAGGAGTAGTAGACCTGGGGCTGCTGCACGGGGGCAGGCGAGGGCATGTAGGACATGGAGTGCGAGCGCGGGCGCTGGTAGCCGGCGGGGGCGTAGTAGGAGGGCATGGCTGGGGGGCGAGGGTGTGGTGTGCTACGGTGGGGGTAGCGAGGAGGGGCTGGGCGATGGTGGGGGTGTGGAGGGCAGAGTGCACGACGGTCGGGGTGGCGGTGTGGATGTACTGCTGCTGGACGAAGGGCGAGTGCACGGGAGCGGTGGAGACGTAGGTGGCCATCCTGGGCGCAGTATAAGTAGGGGGCGGGGTGGTGTAGTGGAGAAGCATCCCATTTCGGGGCGAATATAAGCACATTCTGGTTCGGGCGAGTGGCGACCCCATCGCGGCATCGGGATCACACCTAGTCCTAGCCAGATCGCCGCCCGATCCTTACTCACCGCCTCCGCCCAGCGTTGGCCAGCGTCTCCAGCCCGCCGCAAGCTGCCCCTGCCCGGCCATCGCGCCGTCGCCCTGCCCACAAGCACAGCCAGCATCCCAGCGACAGACTCCTGATCCCCTCAGGACCCCCTCGCCAGCCCCATCCCTCCCTCGCCTCGACAGAACACGCGTCCATTCCATTGTCCACCTTCCCTCCTGACTCGCTGACCTATTCTTGCTCGTTTCATCCCTCTAGGCCGCGGCAGGCCCACCAAAACGTGCCCGACAACGTCCCACCACCCAGGTTATCGTCCCTCCGAGACTCAGAAGCAGATTGCATTCAACGCCGTCCACATGTCGCTCGACGCTCCCATCAACCCCAGCCGCGAAGTCCGCGTGCCACACGTGCCCGCGGCCTCCCTTCTCCCGCAGGCTTATCCTGCACGCCACGCCCGCCCCATACGCAGCCTAGAGCGCGGTGGTCTCGCGCACGAGGCGTGGCTTTCCCGCAGGCGCGTGCCACTCACCCGCCGGCCCATCCTCAGCCGTACATTCTGCCCGACACAGCATATCTACGTGCCCGGTGGGCTCATTTCTCATGCGTGCAAGGGCGGGTTATGTTTGGGACAGTCGTTCACACTAGCCTAGCGCGGCCGTCCGGGGCAATGCACGCCGTACTTAGCCTAAGCAGCGAAAGCTTCCACCGCCGCTGTGCACGCCACGTCCTTGGCTACTTACGTTCTTTTCACATGTAGAGAGTTTAGGTACACCCGCCACGCCTCAGAGAAGCTCTGCGCTCGGCCGTAACGGCCTCCCACATTCTCGAGCTGCGCGCCAGGCCTCCATACCCTCTTTCTCTCCAGGTAAACGAGGTGCGTCCTGTGCTTGACGTCTGCGGGCAGCACGGTGGACGTCTTCCGCCTCGCGCGCCGGCCGCAGACCCGTCCCCGGCGACGGGTCGCCATTTTCGCGCGGTCATGGGTGTCTGTTTAGTGACTTAAGTCGGGCCCGCGCACCACGTCGGCGCTCCCTCACGTCGAGGGTCCGTGCGTCCTTGTCCCCCATATCACGACACGTCAAGCAGACACAAGAATCGTGTACTCGCGCGACGCGCCCGCGTCATCGCGGCGATTCACCGAAGGCTCGCTCTCCACGCTCGCCACCTTATCAGCCTCTACTCTATTCCCTGCGTCCGCCCTCTCCACGTCGCGCCCGCACACGAGCTATCGCCCCCGCGGTGAGCACACCTGATTTAATTCTATGGGCGCTACGGGGCCGGCAGGCGTACAGAAGCAGGCCACGGTACAGGAGAAGCCGCCGCGTTCGAAGAAGCCGTGGCGCGAACGCGTATACGTACGATCGTCGGTCGTCCCGGATCGGAAGACGCAGAGGTAGTCACCGATCGCGCAGATTCAACATGGACCCGCCCCACCGGTACTCGCCTCCTCGTGTTTGGTGGAATGCCCATCTCCGAGGCCCATGATGTGAGTGGTACTGCGAGCACCACCGCTTCTATGTATCGTACCGCACCACCCAGTGTGGCCTGCCATTCGAGCGTAGTCCTGGGCCACTAGGGTGCTTTTCCAGCCCACCGCGACGGGTGGTCGTCCGTCCTAGTACGCCGTGAAGTCGGAGGATTGCAAATGGGTTTAGGGGACGTGTACGTGTACTTTTGGTTTCGCTCTCACGCAGCTATCGCGGCGGCAGGACTGGCGCCAGAGATAGGGGAGAGAGTGCGGGATCGTGGCGAGGAAGTGTGTGAAGAGTCCGCCGCTCCGCGCGCAACGCCAGAGCGCAGAGCTACTCCATGTCCACGAAGTCGCCCTCGTCAGGTCGTGGGGCTGCACACGTACAACAGAAACCGGGGACGTCGCGCATTGGAGGCGTAGCAGGGCAGCGAAGGATAGCGGCGAGCAGAGGCGGGGGCACAGATACCATACCGAGAGCGGATCGAATCATGTTGAATGAGCATCACACCAAACGAACGTCGGAATCAGAGTTGCCTTTCGGAGAATAAATACAAGTGAGTGCACGCACCTCCTTGGGCTCCTCGTCCTCCCCGTACTGCATCGTATAGTCAATGTGGCTCAGGACGGTCTCTATCGAGTCGGGGTTGGTCAGGTCGAGCGGCAGGAACGACACCAGCGGGTGGTCCTCGATCTATCATCACCACCACATCCCATCCCATCCCATCCAGGGCGCGCGATGTCAACCCGCAATTGCATCGGCGTGATGGTTCGTCGTTCCGCCCGCCACCACCGGTGCGACGAGTGTGCGTAGTTGGTGGCGGCACAGCCGGGGCGTGATGGGATCCCAGCCGTCGCAGGATGTACGTACGCATCAGCAGCCCAGCGCGACAGGACGTGCCATTCAGTTGTACAGTCATACAGCGTCCGCATCCAGTGTTGGGTGGTCGCACGCATCAGTGTTGTGCGTTGTCAGTGTCAAACGTCGCGGGCGCCGGTTGCCATTCATTCGGTGATCGTGATCGAAACAGTCATTGAGAGATGTTATTAGCTTCCGTCGCTGGGCAGAGGCGGTGGCGGACGCACGAGCTGGACGATCGCCTGGTTCAGCGCGTGGAAGCGCGAGTTGCGCTCCGTCTTCTCCTCGCGGCTCCCCGGCGCGGACACGAGCAGCATCGGGTCAGGGTCCAGGAACCTGCACGGCAGACGCGGTGAGTCCGTGCTCTGGGTCTCGATGTGAAGTGGACGGAGGGTTGCAAAGGTTCTCTGGGCATGAGGCTCGGCTGTACGTGCGAGCGGCCTTGCACATACAAGGGCTAGGACGCAGTGGCTGAGAGTCACATTGTCCTGTGTTTCTGCACCCCGAGTGCAAATGTACTACGGCCAACAGAAACCTGGATACTGGGGCGAATCAGAGGGCACCCTGCGAACATACGGGGCCCAGAACACGGCCGTAGCGCGCTCTGGCGTACGCGAGTGGCAGAGCATCCCCTGTTCCCAGCAACCCAGGATCCCAGAAGCACATTGCAGCATGTCTGCCATGCTGATGCGCAAGCGACAACAGGGCACGGATAATGGGAGGATCGCTTAGGGGCAGCGGGGGCCCAGGGTCCAGACTCGCTGGGCGAGAGAAGCAGGAGTTAGGATGCATCGTGGCCTACCTCGCGATGTCCTTGCGGGTCCGGATGCCGTTACGTCCGCTCGCCGCGTCGTTCTCGCTGCTGCTGACCAGGTCCATCTTCGACATGACATTGATCCAGGGAATTTCGAGGTTCACCATCGCACTCATAGCCGAGAGAACGCCGCTGTGGAAGTGCACGAAGCCACCGGCGGTCAGTCCATGGGAGGGGGAAGGGTGCGTAGCCGAGGGACAATGCAGGGTGGCGATGTGGTCAGTGCGCGGACGGGACTACGGAGAGGTCGAGACTCGCCTGAAGAATTTGTACTTGTCTTCCATGAATTGCGACTCGATGAGGTAGGCGGCGCATGTCCGGATGCCGAGGCGGTTGAGGTGGCGGACGAGCATGGGGAGAAAAGGATGATGTGTGTAGAGCTCGATTTGTCCTACATGCATGTAAGATCTTCCGCGAGACGGCGGACCAAGAGACGTTACCTGGGCAGTCGATAATCAGGTAGTCATCTTCGAATCCACCCAATTCCTCCTCCAGCCAGTCCAGGTTTTGTTGCAAGTATCTGAATCACACGGGGTGAGCATTCGCGTCCCTCACCACATTGTCGCCATTCATGTAAACCGTCTTGCTCCTCCACACCGCCTGCTCGAGAAAACTTCACTTACTCACTCGAAGCAATACACCAAACCACCGTTCGGGCCATATCCCAGCTCGGACATGACATCGTCCAAGCTGACCAGGTCCTTGATGTCTATCGCAGGCTCGTACTCAAACGAGCTGGCCTCTGCAGCAGGGTCGAGGTTGACGAGGTGCCCAGTGCGTTTTGCAGTCTGGAGGTGCGTCATGAGCGCGCCACAGAAGGTCGACTTGCCCGCACCAGCGGGCCCGGTGACGAGGACAGCGTAGCGCATGATAGGAGTGGCGAAGGCAGGGAGGTGAGACCAGCGTCGGTAGTGGCGATCAGGATGTGGCGATCGGCGTGTTTGTCGACGTCGACGGCGGGGCGAGGCTCGAGCGATGTACATATGCGGCAATCACCGGCCCCGCATCTCCCGCGATCGCCTGAGCGCTGCGGCTCTTCCACTGCTGCCTCGACGCGCTCTGCCTTGTCCTCGACGTTCGCACCGATCTCTCGCTTTTCTTGGTCAACCTCGTTGTACCAGTACCATACGCGAAGATGTCCAAGCCAGCCATCGTTCCTGATCTAAGCACTGCGGGTATCGCGGTCGACCCGCGCACGCTCGAGCGTGTCATTCCCGAGTCGCGCAGACCAGACGGCTCGTACGTCTTCCCATCCGCTACCTAACGCCAGGTTCTCATCGACGCCCATGCTCTCGACGTCCCCGTTCTTCTTGACGATCCCCCTCGTGAAACGGCTCCGTGAACCCTGATCATGCGACGCCAATCTACCCCTCGCGCGCAACCCCTACACTACGTATACGTAGAGTTCGCAAACAGATTAAGATCCGTCCTGGGTTCACGCCCCAGGAGGACGTCCGCCGCTTCCGAGGCTCGCGTCAGCAGCAATTGGACGCGACCGCTCTTCCCAAGGGGCATGTCATCGGCTGGACACCACCCCCTACCTCATCTGCGCCCAAGCCAGGCGTTGCCGCCTCCGCCGCCCAAACCAAGGCGGCGAAGAAGAACGAGAAGCGAAAGGAGAAGCGAAAAGAGAAACGCGAGGTGGAGACAGTCAAGGACAGCTGGGAGGATGAGGACGAGGAGTTGCCTGGCACGGGCGCGCAGGATGGCAGCCACTCCGCTGATAAGCCGAACTGGGCTGCGGCGCCGGAGACGAAGAAGAGCGTCGCGGTGAAGGAGAAGGGAGCGACGTCCCCATCTGCGGATGGCGATGCCCAGCTGGCTGAGAAGTTGGAGAAACTGGAGGTGTAATATGTGACATCAATGTCTTCTGTCTGTACAGCAGGGTGCGTGTGGTATTGGATTAGGATAGGTATCGGTACATCTGTAACCATAATGTTGTAGTATGGGCAGGAAGGAGCGTAGTTCGCAGCGCAGCAAGGCGACGCAAGATAATGGAGGAGCAATTGGTGCACGCACTGTCCTATGAAATTACCCCTACCCCCTCCCCAATATTGCCGGAAGCCCTAACCTCCAAGGGCCGAACTGTGACTGCCAGCGACGCGCGGCCGACTTCCCCGAGGGCTATGTCCACAGAACGCCCTGGTTCTCCATACCCTCGGGCGGGCGGATCTCGACGATGGGCAGCTGAGAAGCTGACTTGGACTTCTTGGCCGGCACAGGTTTGATGACTAGGATCTCCATTGAAAGCATAATAACCAGCAAGAAGCCGCTCAGCGCCACTGAATGTCAGACAGCGTTATTATGAACCATGCGAAATGATGAAGTGCGGTAGGGCGTACCGACTGAATTGCGCATATTGTTCCACCTGACACCCTCCATTTCCGAGCGGAGGTCGTACAACGTGACGAGAGACTTATTGAGCATCTCCTGCAGACGTGACCCAGCTGAGTGGGAGTAGCAATGACATATGCGATGTAATTGCGTACCTCTACCTGAATGTCGAAGCGCTTCAAGTCATTCTTAGCCTCGTTCTTCCTTGTATCCACGTCCAGCTGGATACTACGGTCAAGGATGGCTGAATAGTTGCACCAGGGAATGCGTCAAGGTAGGAAGACGTACTCATGCTTGAGAGTGCCAATGTCTTCCTTCATCCGTACGTCCAATACGTCTACCTCTCTCCGTAACGCGCCTGTCGCTGTGCGTATTGCAGCAGTGTCATTGCGGGTCAACATTGTTGTCTCCGTCCGCAGCTCTGAGAGTGCAGCCTTGAAGAGGTAGGCTTGCTATAGGTGCTCGTTACTTACGCGGTCTTATGCTAATAGCAAGTACGATACTCACACTTTCCAGATCCTTCGCAGTCACTGCATCCCTTCTGACCCGTCCCAATCGATCGACCAGTAATGCGCGTGTCGCGCACATAAGGTTCTGCGCGATAACGGTAGGGAACATAACCTCCAGACTTTCGACAAATTTATGCGTATGGAATGGCGGATTGCTGTACGGAGTCGGTGTGTGCGCGTTGCTAGGAAAGTGAGGAGCTGGTAAATCGGTGCACGGCGGCGAGGATGCAAAGGATGGCGGAGGAGCCGGAACGATTCCATGTTCACTCGCGTTCGCATCTGGTTCGTTCACCGGAGGCAGCGGGTCCGAGTTCGGCGGCGGGGGTGACGACGACGACTTTGCGGCAGGCTGAACCAGCTCTGGTGCATTACTGGGCCCAGCACCTGGGCTTGAGGTCGAACTCGAGCTCGAGCCATCAGGGTTGCGTGGGTCCCTCGGGTGCGCGGCGGACAATGTCGACGCGCTGTTGGGCGTCCTGGGCGGATCGGAGATGGTCACGGAAGCGTATGCCCGCCACAAAGCCGCAGGGCCTGCTCGCGGCGGTGTTACTACTGGATTTCGCAGCGGCGCCGTTGAGCAGAAGTAGACTAAATTCCGCGAGAACATGGGAGGGTGGATGAGGGCTCTAACACTCGCTCGCCACTCGGAGATCGGTGCACACGTCTCGCGTGCTCGTCACGTGCAGGGTAATCATACAGGTCGATTCGCTCATTCGGGTGTCCTTCAGACTCCAGGCAGTACACAGTCGGGCAGTGCTGTATGAACTGAACATCATATTCCGGTCTGGCAATGTTTGACATACTTTCCAGCGAGTGAGGTGGAAAAGAGCGATAATTAAAAGTCACTATGAGTGCATGAATGCGACGATCTGAGATTCGCACTGCTTGACAAGCGCACACCACGGTGCCTTCATCGTAGCGGCGCAAGCGCCGATCCCCGACTCCTGCATGGCACACAGCTACTCAGCCTGCCACAGCGGCACCATAGTATATAATGTATGTATTGTAATATTGTACCATCGGAATGGTATGGAGACTCAATTGGAAGCCCTCACACCCGCGGCGGCTTTGCCGCCCGGGCGTCTCGGGCTTCCACGACTCAGTACTATATCGGGTCACGATCTCGTCCACCTTAGCATTCGACAAGCCCTCCTCACTCTGTATGGGCCATAATGACCTTAATTATTGTGAGAAGGTATGTTAAGAGACCTCAGAAATACGAGAAAAATATGAGAAAAAATATACAATCATTGAGTCGAGCTCAGTAGCTAAAGTTCTGGTTGAGAGTAGGGTGAGCCACACTGCTTACCAGAAATAGGTATTATCGCAAAGGGTGATTTTTCCTGCACACAGATCTCAGTGTATTGGCCTCAAATTTTGTACAGGCATTACAAGGATGCATTGAGACATGCTACAATTTATTTCATAGCTATAGAAGGGGTGATTGTTGAATGAGGCTCCAGTGACCGACTACCTAGACTGTCCGAGATCATGACCCGATATAGTATGTATCACAGTAACTTACATAAGTATGTAAGTGCAGGCTATCAAAAATGAGAGAAACTTTCCTGCATTTGGTAGGAGTCATTTGATGTTCAGAGATACAGGCGTCCAGACACAGCCAGATGCACGAAGGATCCAACTGCCTCGTAGGACACTCACACTCGAGCATTGCTGCGATACCGTTTATGGAATTTTAAGTCACGTGTTTCCCACGGAGGGAGCGGCATCGCCGGCTGCGAACGACTTATGGTCGACAAAGCCCTCCTCTCTCCCTCCGGTCGGAGTCGGGGAAGCAGCACCCTCTACGTCGTCCCGTACCTTACTCGCTCCTTCCGCTGTCCCTCCTTCCGTCTTTCCTTCTCTCTCTCTCTATTTCCTTACTTCGCTCTTCGATCTTCGTCATGTCATCGCCGCAGACCGCTCAGTCGACGCATAAATCCACCTCTGCTCCTGATGTCAAGGCACTGAACCAACAGAAGAAACAACCGCCGCCACCTCCGCCACAGAACATCAAGAACAAGAAAGAGGCAAACCAGGTCGTGAAACCCCTCCCAGACAACGACCCAAGGACGCAGCCGCTCCCCAAGAATGTTGCTCGCAGATCGAGCAAGCCCATCATCAACTGGTTCCAGCGCAAGCTGGCAGGAACTGTACGCGCGAGGCGGATTTCTGATCCTGACAGACCTTCGTCCAGGCCCGTTGTCGTCCGTGAACCCAGCTGGCGCGAGAAGCCTCGAAGGGCTTCTGCGCCGCAACATCCGTCTGACCCGCCGCTCTCAGTGAGGATACGGAGCAAAACCGAGTCGAAGCACGGTAGGAAGATCTCTACCGTCAGCTCAATTCCCTCTCGCAGGCCGGCCTCGCTGGACGGTTACAGTGCGGTGGAGAGCACAGCGGGCCTTACCACCGACTCTGATGACGGCCGTCGTTCCTCTTTCGCCCGCTCTTCCCTGTGGTCGCCGACGAGTCATCTTGAGGCGGATGAAGATGCATCTATGCGACCATTGCCGCCTACGTCCCCTCCCTCGCCCTCTCCCTCGCATTCGTCGTCCTCGTACATGTCGGACCCGCGTACCTTCCGAAGCATGACCGCGAGTACTAAGCCGACGACCCTGCTCAGCGTGGATCTTACGGGAGGCATGGCCCACATCGCACAAGCGCCGCCTACCCCGACCACACCTTCTCGCCTGCAGGCGCACCTCCGTTCGCAGTCACCTGGTCCAGGTTCCGGAGGTGCCATCACATTCTCTGCAATCCCTCCCGTCTCGTCTGGCTCGCCATCGCCAAGCGCGTCTGCTGCCCAGAATGAACAGTACGCATTGCACGCACCGCAGCACACGGCCCATCACCCGCGGAACAATCCGCGCCCGTCGTCGCCGCCTCAGGATGATGCATCCGTGCTCACCCTCGCGTCGTCGGCTTTCGGCATGCCTGGTGCGCGGATAGGCATGAGGGCCCTCTCGCTCTCCGGAGGCGTATCGGTTGCGGACGATTCCATCTCCCACCTGAGCCACGGTGTCGGCGCGGGAGGCGACTCTACTAGCCATTTCCTGCTGGGCGAGTTGGACGACCTGCTGGAGAAGGAATACCAGGATGTGGACGCGAGCGTGCGCGCGCTGCGGCCGCGCAGCTCGAGGCGAGGTAGTTGGGCGAGCGAAGATAGCAAATGGAGTGCGAGCGCGAGCCTGGCTCTGACCGGCGTGACGGGCTTAACGTCCCACAGCCCTGTCAGTCATGCGGGCCCAGGAGCCTGTGGACAAACGGCAGCTACAGGACCGGCGGAGTCAGCGTTGATGTCAGCGTGAGCAATGACCATGGGGACGACGAAACGGACGGGAACGGCGAGGAGACAGAGGGCGAGGAGACTAGTCTGGATGAAAGGGTGTCGGTTCCCGATGTCCGCTCGTTGTCGACTTCAGTACGGGAGATCCGCTCCGTGTCAACGCATCTGGCGGCGGACGATGTCTCTAGCGTTGCCAGCCCTCACTTCTCCGTGCGCACGGATGATGCGTCGACGCTGCCGGCGACACCCATCGACGCGCTTGGCCAGCAGGCAGATGCGCTATCGACCGAGGCCGGCGGGTCGTCTGAACCGAGCAAGAGTGCGATGGCTACGCCCAAACCAGGACCGATCTCCCTGCAGGCGCACGACGCCATGCCTGACATCTCTGCGACCATCAGGTCGCTGGGTGCTGTCAAGTACCAGGAGAAAACCGAGCGTGATAGTGCTGCAGATTCAGCCAGTGTTACCACCGCGGACTACGAGACGGATAACTTCGAGACTCCGATGACCACGCCTTTGCCTCAACCGGAGTAACCCGACGCTCGCGTCCGCCATGTTTCTCTCTCATAGTGGGTAACTTCGTTACTTCATGTGCGCTTGAAACTGACATGCTACTGCACAGTTGATTTGGTGTGATATTCACGGCATGTTTCCTGCGCTCAATGCTGGTCTACGCTCAGCAGTGCTACCCCTGTTTTGCCTTGGTGTATTTAGTCAGTCTTGACCATACATCTCTGCTAATTGTCTCCTGTCTAGCCCCTGGATACATGTAAATACCCTGTACTCCTAGCTCTATCTCATGTGTATTCTTCTGCTCGCCATGGACACTGTTCGCTATTCATTTCTCACTTTGGCGCGCGCGGTGGTATGAGTCACGTGTGCGTGTAGCGCGAAGGAGCGCGCCTGCCGAGTTGCAGCTTGCTTCACGGCATTCTGATTTCTGGCAGTATAAGTGTTCATCAGACGGTCAGCTGGATCAACCCGTGTCTGTTGCACCTGCACGATCGCGAATACTTACGGCTGGGTCAGGGGAACATGTTCTGGTGGACACGCTCATCATGGTAAGTAATTATACCTGTCCTGGCATCCTCCATACGGCCCGGGTCGTGCACGTCGAAGCTCACTTTCGAAGCCGCTCCTAGGCATCTTAAAGGACCACCTGGACGCGCGCGCACCCGATAGCCTCTTTGCCTCGCTCGAGGACTGGAGAGAAGGTCTTGGCTTTGCGAACATTGCGAGGACAGCTTGGCAGACTCTAAGCATGAAGTTCGGGTTCTCATCTTCCGCTGTGACGGCTGTTACTCTGGGTGCGGCTTTGAGTGCAGCGCAATGTCCGGACTATACGACTTACTCGCAGGTGAGCTGACCTACGATGGAAAGAAGAGGCATGATATCTTACGCACAGTTCCGTAGAGCCCCCAGGGAGATTCTTCCACCGGGCCTCTGGCGTTGCCGTACATGAGGCCGGATCCAGCATGTCGTACGTTCAATAGCACGGCGGCGGAGGTGAGTGTGCACTATGTCGCACACAGTTCGCTAGCAATGACCGTCGTGGTCATATAGTATGTCATTACAAACATGACATCGCGGCTGAAAGACCCGGACATCGCACGCTTGTTCGAAAACACGTTTCCAAATACGCTCGGTACGTTTGCGCTAATCCGTGGTACGAGCATGCGTATAATGCTTCCGTAGACACTACCATCAAGTACTTCGACGCGGTCAGTCCAATACAGACTTCGTTCATAGCACAGTCTGCTGATTCAAAGATTGTACTAAGTAGACGGAGAACCTCGCCTTCGTGATCACTGGTGTGAGTGCGCATTGTCAAATTTGTTTCGAGCACTGACCGACTCTCTTACTCAAGGACATCACGTACGTAGACTTAATCGACGCCCGTTCCTCTGCATCTGCTGAAGTACCACTTCTGTCTGATAGAGCACAGTGGCTCCGGGACACAGGAAACCAGGCAAGACACAACGTATCCAGCTTTTCGATGGTCTCTGACAATATATGACGCGCAGCTTGCCCAATACCACTACCTGTACACGCAGGACTCGGAGCTGGCAACGCTTGTCAAGGCTATCATCAACAACGAGGCTCGTTATGTCTCGCAGTACCCATACTGCAGCGCCTTCCAACCTCCACCCGAGAGCGGTCTGAGCCCTACGGTGAATGATTGGGCTATTGACGTACTGGTGAACCCGTGAGTACTTTTGAGTTAGAGCAATTGACAAGGTCATGACGGCGTATCAGTCCGGTAGACAACCAAACGGTCTATGAATGCAAGGTCAGTGCCGCCGCACAGGAGCTACTACGCCGACTGATGATAGGGGGCAGTACGAACTCGACTCGCTGTGTTCTTTCATGAAACTTTCGCGGTCGTACTATCAAGCAACGAATGATTCATCCTTCATGAATGACAATTGTCTGTTTGGTCTCACACCGTTTAGTGTTCATATCGCTGACTTCTGATCCGTGGCCCTTCAGGGTTGGGCGCGATATCGCAGATCATGCGTCTGATCTGGGAACAGTCTCAACCAACCTTCGATGAGAACTGGAACCTCATCTCGTACTACAACTGGACAGGTGAGGCAGGGTCGCTTGCAGGGGCAGTCAACAACGGCGGAAATGGTGAGCCGAAGGCGTACACTGGCTTGATCGGAACACACCACAGACCATCCGACGACCTGTCCACATTCGGTGAGTGCGACGTGTGTCGGCTACATGTGTTTGGATACTCATTGATAGCGGTGTGCGACAGCCTTTCTCATACCTGCAAATGCGATGCTCACGGTAGAACTTGGGTATCTTGCGGACATCCTTGACTCTGCCGGTCTAGCGAGCGGTGTTAGCAAGGCTGCTAGGGAGTACGTTACAAACATCACCGAGGCCATCTGGGAGCACACAGTGAGCAGACAATTCACTCCCCTCTCGGAAGCTCTGGACTGATAGGCGTCCACGGCACAGCTAGTAAACAATATCTTCGCGTATGAAACAAACGGTGGATACGTCATCTGAGTGCATCGTACAGATCGAGCTCTGACGACTATATGCTAGGCTTCGGTGGTCGATATGTCATGGACGACGCCAACGTACCGGTATGCATAGCATCTCTGTGTTGGTCTCGGAACTAAACAGGGTTGCCAGTCTCTGATGTCCCTGCCGTACCTTGGGTTCCTAGACAAGGAGCATCCGGCGTACGTTGCAACCAGTGGAGTCCTGATGTCTCGGGCGAATCCATACTACGTGGTGGGTAAGAATTTCAGCGGTATCGGGTACGTAGCCTCACTCGCGACATTGTGTGTCGAGACCTGAGCCTCGTGTCGTACGTCCAGCGGACCTCATGAGGATGCCTGGAATCCTTGGTCAGTGCCGTCCCGTCACTGTGATCCTGGAGTTCACTGAATGTTTTCGTTGATGCAGGCCCATGTCACTCATTTCGGCCATATACGGAACCGACGACGACAATGAAATCATAAACTATTTGTATCTAATCGCGAACGTCAGTATCGACTTCTTTATCGATCTGAACTTACAACTGATCGTAATGAACGTTGGTTGAATTTTCACAGAATACCGACGGTCTGGGGCTCATTCACGAGTCCATAGACATATACGACGGCTCATACACTCGTCCGTGGTTCGCGTGGGCAAACAGCTACTTCTCAGAGATGTTGCTTGATCTCGCGAGTCGAAAACCATACCTGATCTTAACGACGACGAACCGTACGTTCCGGGTCAGTGATTCATAGCAGACCGCGTATATTTGGGCTTAGCAGTATGTGGATCATTTCGAGCTATGGACTGACTGCGCTTATGGTATTCACGAAGGAAAGGGATGCGGTGGGACCCTTCACCGCATAGCACGTCAATGAACCATCATTCAGTGTCTGTGACAGACACTGATATTTTCAAACTATATATGCTTGCCATCTTGTCTTGGGCATGATTCCGCAGGTTGTTCGCAGCAACGCAGCCAACAGCCTCACTGCGCGTCGAAGATCATATGCTCCAACGGCTATTCTACGCGAGAATGAACGCCCTCGGACATACTACACAATGGTGTACGCGACCTCAACGCAGCACCGAAGCCCAAGAGGTTAATTCCTCTAGATTTTGAGTGAGAGTGAAGTACTGTATATGAACCCCGCATGAACCCCACGGGCGGACAGGGCGGCGTAACAACCAATCGCGTTCGCGGACATGGGCGCTTCCGGCACGTTCGCGCTCAGGATGGTTCGCTCTGCGATCAACCGCCTTGGCGCTGTGTTGTCGCGTTTATATATAATTCATTACCTCCTTTCCTCCTCCAACACCTCCCATCGTTCGCAACCCCCGCTTTCATCTCTGTATCGGCCTCAGACTGGACTCCATTCAGACGTGAATCACCCTCGATGGTCACAGCAACCCCACGCGAGGTCGGCACCTTGGTTGTAGTTATTCTGAAAGCGGTGTGTGTATTTCAGTCACAGACACGTCTAGGCTACCTATTTGATGCTGGTCGCCAGAAAAACCTCCCAAACAAGCGACACATAGGAAAGCAGGATCCTTATTGCTCAGTGGCTTTCAATGGAGAGAAGAAGAGAACGAAGGCCATCAAGCGCGGCGGCCAGCACCCTGAGTGGGACGAGGAGTTTCGCTATACGCTCCACGAGGATCCGAACGACTTGCCTGCCCCCCCTCATGGGGATGGTACACCTCCACCACCACCTCCCAAGAAAACCAAGGGGCCTCCTAGCGTGAAGGGTGGACGATCGATGCTAGTCGCCTGCTATGCGGAAGATCCACGCGAGCCAGACTTCATTGGGGAGACAAACGTGGACTTGACAGAGGTGCTGACGAAGGGCGAAACCGATGGTGCGTGACTGCGCGGTTCTCAGAGTCCGCATCTTACCCCGGAACAGAATGGTTCACTCTTACGAACAAAGACAAGTATTGTGGAGAAGTATATCTTGAGCTCACGTTTTGGTCAAACGTTCGTGATCGTCCATGTCATGCTATGGCGCACTCACCTGGCCTTTGACAGGAACCCGAGCCTACCAAGAAGGCTACACCCAAGCCGAACGGGAGGAGCCACAGACATTACGGCGGCCCTGGTCAATTCGTGCCTGCGGGAGAGTCTCCGCCTCCCAATGGCGTCGATATACAAGATGCATCCGAAGCATCCCCACTGGCGGTTCCAGAGGGGAGTTGCGGCCGGAGCATGTGCCACCGTCACTCAGGCCTTCAAGCTCTCGCCTTGACCTATATGTGCCACCATATGAGACTTCTCGTTCTCGTCACTCCATGGTGGACAACGTGACTGGTGACTTCGCAGAGCTGAGTGTTGACGTGGATCGCAGGCAGAGCGTTCTGGTGAGTGGAGCTTAGTTCAGTGGGTGATGTGATACTCAGCGTTTGGTGCAGCCTCACACTCGGGTTATGCACCTCGTCCGGCGTCGTCAATTGGCTTCCAGGATCAGCGGGCTGTCTCCCCTCAGCCGGGCCACGGTTACCATCAAGGCACGTATTCAGATGGAGGAGGGTCCTACTACGACGAGGGTGCTACACCTCCAGCAGTCAGCACGTATCACCAAGGACCGCCGCCTGAGCAGTATCAGCCATCATACGAGACTTTACAGCCCGCTACAACCGGTTACCAGGTCGCGCCACGACACGGGCCGAGGCACAGTATGCCGCCTTCGTCCTCCGGTTTGTGCCCATGCCTACTCCAGCGCCATCTGGTTTCGTCTCGCTGTCGTCACACCATTCCCAGCCATCCGGATTGCTCCTCTACCATCAGCAACACCCGCGCCGCAAAACTATGGTCCGCCCGCGTCACATATGATCATCCCGTCGTCCAGTTTCTCGACGCTGCCACAACCACCCGTCGCGTCCTCTGGGTTTGTCACTACCGGGCCTCCTCCAACGCCCACACCTGCCTCTTATCATCGATCCTCGTTGCCTCAACCTCCCAGTCTCATTCACCCGGTAACTATCAACCGTACGTCCCACCGCAATTACTGCTCCACAACCACCCCCGCTGCCTTCGATGTCTGTACCTCCAGGCGCGCCGCCGGGCCATTTGACATACGTACCTCCCTCCACCGCCATCTGTTCCTCCCCACTCTCACTCAGCACCTCCAGAACAGTTCCCTGGTCAGCATGTCAATTCCCTATCTCGCGTGAGCATATTCCACCACCACCACCTCTTCATGATAGTCCTCCGTCGGGTCAAGGGTCCGGGTCTCGGCCTTTGCCCCAGCCAATGCAGAATCCGCAACAGCACCGGCGACGTCAGTCCTCACTGCCTATACCTCCTGCAGGCGGACCGCCTGGGATGTATAACCCACCTCAGCGGGGTCCGTCCGGATCCTTCAACATGTCTGCTGCACCTCAGGCTGGTCCTCCCGCACCGTACAATGGATCTTTGATGAGAGTTCCCTCTGGTTCGTATACAGGACAAAGTCAAGGTGGTTTGTATACGCAACCGACTGGCAGTTCAACGTTCTCCTACAACCAGCCGCAGGCACAGCCCGTCTCTTACCACACAGGTGGAGTGAGCCCCGGAGAGGCGCCTACCAGTCTGTATAGCTCTATCCCACCGCCGCCTCCGTTGCCGTCACAGACGACGCCCGCGCCCTATGCGCCGCAGGGTCCACAACCCCCATGACTGGATCCTCTCCGTCGTTGCCACCGCCACCGTCGCAGTATCAGCAAGCACCATGCCCAGTCGTTCGCCGTCCCTGCCGGCGCCGCCGCATACTGTCACTAGACGGCCGAGTCTCCCGCCGCCACCTACTATGGCTTACGCTGGTCAACCGCAGTCTGCTTTTCAGGTGCTCCCACCGCCTCCGGCTCCACCCAGCATGCCACCGAATACTCACTACGAGCCGGCTTCGGCCTACATGCCCATGAGCAATAGCCAGACATTCCATCCCGGACCGCCGCCGAGGCCTCCGGCACAGCCAAATGGCCAGCCCCAGTACCATCAGTACCCTCTGAACCCACAGGCGCCGTACGGAGGTCACTCACCTATCGCGGAGAGGGGATGGTAACTTCGTTTTGTTGCGCATCTGCGCATGCGTACTTGTCATACTGCACTATTTATTACTGGTCGTTCACCTCCCATAGTTGTCTCACGCCCCGACACGGACTCCTCGCGCTCTCCAGTCTCTCTACTTTCTGTTCGTGTTATAGCCTTGACAACAGCACACATAGCAATCTGCGGACGTACTGCATCTGACCTATACAACCGTCTTGTCACGACGGCCTCGAGCCCTCCACGTCGGCCTGTTGAGCAGCGAAGCGCTGTGCCTTCCACTTCGCGATCTCTGTCTCCGTTGCAACTAGCCCGCGTCGCGCGAGGTCTATCCGTGCCTCCTTTCTGATTTTACCTTCGGTCTGGCGCCGCTCAGCTTCATGGGCTAGCAGGGCGTTCTCCGCGCCTACGACGAGCCCGAAGACGGTGACTGGCAAGCAAGTGTGAGAGCACAATTGCAACTAGCGGACCCGAGTATCGAACACACAGATAGTGACCAGGAAACCCTTGAAAGGTAAAGTTTGCCGCCTGGACACATAACGGGGGTCCAGGACGGCCGTGGGTGAGTACTGGCATGCTACGAGCACGGGCGAAGGGTGGACTGACCGGAAGGTGGGCCAAGTGTAGTGGCCCAAGACGGCTAGTCCTGTGCCGAGCAGAGTCGCCCTCGCTGCCCCCTGCAGGCCTGCCTTGGCCTGCAGCTCGTACGCTCGCTCAACATCTTCCTTGCGGGTGGCCCTGTCCATGGTGGCTGAAGTACATGAGACGTGCTCGTGCCCGGGTCCAGTCCGGCGCCCCGGATGTTGACGGTGTGTGTTCAGGTGTGTTCACGCCGTCCAAACGGGGCAACTCCGCACAACCACCCCAACCACCGTGACGGCCAGTATGTAGTTGAGGGTGCTGGCCATTGGCGCCGCGGAAGACAACATGCAAGGTGCGCACACATTAGAAGGGCCATACGATATCGATGCGGTGTCTATGACCTGGTGGAAGGTCACCAATACGTACATTCGTAGTGTATCATACAGATACATTAGATCCGTGCGTATACAGTACACTGTCGAACGTCCACGGAAATTGTACACGTAAAAGTGTCAGCGAACTGAATGAGATCAGGGCTTATCCTCGTTGTCATCGTCTATGCACCGGACCGATGGTGGCAGTATGCAAGTTCGTGGTCTTCGGAGCATGCAACAAGACGCGCGTCATCGAACACGACCTGAGTGATTCGTTGGTCGGTAAAACAAGGGATCTGCAGGGACACGCGGCGAATGAACGTCTATCTCGCTACGACGGAAGATCTGCCATACCATCTCGATGGTCTGTTGAGTGTTCCGTAGGTCCCATAACCGCACCATTCCATCTTTATCACCACAGGCAAACTTGCCACAACGCACGTCACCTGCAGGCGCGAGATACATCAGCTCATGGAACAGAAAATGCGCCAGTTGGGCTTGCCTTTGATATATCGGCCATGCACCTGCCGCGAAGGGTAACCAAATCTTTGGACGGCCTCCTGGGGAACTAGTCGATGGTCGCGGATCTCAAACTGTAATTCTCTATGTGCCACCTGTATGTACTGCGTATCAAATTTCCGTCCTCCGAATCGGGCATCAGAGCAACTTGGCTAACCTCCAACAACGTGCAGAAAGGCGAGAGAGCCTCATGCGCGTGATACACAGAGTTTGAGGTTTTGAGCGTATTCACAACACGCTCCGACGATAGATCATAGATATGCACGTTGCAGTCGGCCCCGCTTGATACGAGCTTATGGCTCGTGTCGCGGATTGCTAGGAGGGATTGCACGGTAGAGGTGTGTTTGATGGCTAGTGGAGTTGGCGACGGCCTCGAGACGTCCCTGCTGGCGTCCCAAAGATGTACCACATGATCGTAGCCTCCGCTCGCAAACATCATGCTGTGCTGCATGGCGCATACTGCGCTTGCGCCTCTATTCTTTCCGCTTTGAGCTGGCCGATCAACCGCACAGACGTCCGTCAACTGCAATTCCTCTCAGTGACCTGAACCTGAAATGGTCTAGCAAGTGACGCGCCATACCTTGTCTCTGGTCACATGCATCACCGATAACTGGTGGTCCTCGCGGACATGAGCCGCAACTATGAACTGCTCGTTGCGGCCGCATAACAAGCAAGTGTCGTCGATGGCTTGTCGACTGCCCTCCGCCGCAGTTCTGATGACACGACCTCGTCTGCACGCGATTAGATAGGTACAACAGTGGCAGAGAGGTCTTCCTGACCTTGTTGAGGTACGGTCGATGGAGCCAACAGCGCCTCGCATTGTGACACTAAGAATCCCTAGCGAAGATGAAACGAGCAGTCTCCGAGGCTTGTCATGACTGTCCCTGCCGAGGCGCACTATCTCTACCACATTGTCTGTCCCGGGAGGCACCGCACGGTCAATACCGTACAGCGGCGACGCGGTTCGTCTCTGCGGAGTTGATCCGCAGCGTGAAGAGCTCGCGGGAGCCACGAGGTCAGGATCTGGGGAGTTCCTCCTGCGAGGAGAGATGACATCGCGCTCCCGCGCAGATCGTGGAGCCGCGGGATCTTCGTCCTCGCTCTCTATGCGTTCATGGATGGGTGCAGAGGCTTCGCTTTCCCGACATCGTGCTCGAGCCGGAGGAGAGTCCGAGTAAGGCGTGATACACAGTACCCCAGAGCGGAATGACGCTGATGACGCAGTCTCGGTGAGTGCTATACGAGAACGGCTCCTTGCATCCGGAGTGGGTGCTGTAGCGTGTATGCCATTTGTATGAGGTTGAATCGTGGGTTCCATTTGACGAACGCGAGATGCAGACGCCGATGCACGAGTACTGACATCGGTATCTGTTTCTGTTGCACCGTGTGTTGACTTTGCCAGAGTAAAGTCGGGATCAAGACGACGCCGACGCGACGGGTTCGAACCCTGCTCCGGGGATATGAATTCGGAGGCATCTGCAGGGTGTCGAGCAGTGATATCCGATGCGCCCGTCAGATCAACTTCAGTGAAACTGTCTGGGTCAAATGAGGAAGATGTGTAGGGACGCTGATAACACCTCAGAGTAAGTTCAGCCAAATGAACTGAAGGAACGCACACCTCCGAGTCAGATCGGCTGGCCTTCCGAGTCTCAGGATGGCCGATAGACTTCGCTGCGATCTCGGATGCAGCAATCGGAGTGCTAAGAGGTATATGGCCGCCAGTTACATGCGAGGGTGACAGGGTTGGAGACTGCGCATGATCCGGAGCGCATACAAGGGATGATCCGCCGGGGCGAATGGACCTACAATCGAAGAGGACATCGGAACCTTTGAACGAGTGGTTGATAATTGTGACACCGTGCTCGTGCTGTAACTGGCTTGTCTTGGATTTTATCCAGGCGCGGCGACGGTGATGGCATCGAGGAGCGCCACTAAGGCAATTTGGAGGCATGGAAACAGAGATGGTGAATCTGGACTCTTGTCTTTCGCTATTAAACTGTACGTGTTCCTGAGGATCCTGTGGACGTTCGCTGGCGACCCCTGCGTAAGGGGTGTGTATATGTCGAGTTGGGGTATCGATACGCCTCCGCTTCCGTGGCCTCTCGTAGCCTGCTTTCTCGTGATGCGCCGTTGCCGGCCTGTAAGGAGACTTCCAGACGCTGAAAGACGGTATAACAGACCTGCATACAGAGGATGATGTGGTCGGTTGTTCTGTTGCAATGCTGCATCGGAGGCTCTCGGCGTCGATCTGGGCGCAGCAGGCTGAGCTGAATCTCCTGTTCTCGCGACTTGTGCTGTACGGCGCTCTACTAAAGGCCGAGACGTGCGGATGGCGGGTACATAATTGCGTCCTTTCTGGGACGGGCGAAGTTCGTTCGGTTGAGTGTCCTCCGATGCTTGCATGCTACGACACTATTCGACCGACTCTTGCGGTAGCGCAATGCTGTTGGTGTAGCGGTAGAGATCAAGTACAGTCCTGCCTTATCGGGCAAGAAAACAAGAAGCGGCGACACAAGTGCTCGCACGTGGCCGGCTTCAGCCACCGACGCGTTCAGCCGCCACAGCAAGTTGGTGCCAGCCTCTTTACCTCGCTTGCTCTCGGAAGTTCGTATCTACACAACTGCGTCTTCTGGGTCCGTACGTTTTGATAAGACCATACGATCTCTGGGGCTGGGGATGAGGGCTGACCAGAAACGGTCACTGACACCAACCACTGCCGCAAAAGAGAAGAGGGTTCGAGTCAAGCAAGATCACGATTGGGACGAGGACGAAATACCTTTCTTTCTGGACCAAAACGACTGCTTCCAAAACACAGTAAAATCTGAGAGAGGGGATACAAAAGATCCAACGCGGGGTGCTGAATTTAAACGCATCATACAACCCCAATCCCGCTCGGTGAATACTCTGGTCATTCAGACAACTCGAGAATTGGCCGCTGTTGGCAAGCGTCTCGTCCAGGCACCTCGACTCTTGTGTGTGACCCTCATCTATAGCCTATGTTATAATATCACTAAAACAACCTCCAGGGACGATGGAATACTGTTTGACTGGTCTGTCTGCCTCCTTGATGTTATGAACACGTTTTCATCAAACTCGCTACGTCAGGGTGCTCGACTATTCGGCGAAGCAAGAATCCGTTGACTCCTTGCTGGCGGTGTGAGTCCTCAGTCTCCCGCACTTATGATGACATGCTGCTGATGGATGCAGAAGTGCCGGTATTGACACGCGTGCTCTCGGGCCTGCATTACAGCGGGTTGCACCCTCGGGTTCAGAACAAGGCAGTAGTCGAGATGCCCTTCCCATGATCATTGACCTCTTGTCTGATCATGAAAGTGACGTCGATGACAAGACGACCATCAAGCTCCTTGGTCCGGAGGGAGGCGCATCGCATCCTATCGTCATTGACAAAGAGGAGGAGGATGAATTAGAGCTGACGGTCACATCCCAACATGGTGATGGCTTGGCCGAATTGTCCCCGAGACCCGCTGAGTCCGCCGCGGACACAAACGGCGATGACCGTACTGAAGTGAGTACCTCAGCGACAAGTGAAACAAATGCAGCTGGGCCTTCACAGCTTAGGTACGATTAGAGCGCATTCTCTTCCAGCAATTAACCATTCTGACTTTCTACTCACTGGTTGTAGACGGCTTGTTGATCATGATGACGAAGTAGAAGACATAGCTGGTTCGTGCTACGATGCCCCCTCGTACCTACAATTAGTGCCAACGAACAGCAGCTCCGTGTAGGGACCATCATCCGGAGAGGCCAAGGGCGGACCAGAACAGGGATGACCGGCAAGCCGAAGACAAGAAAAGGGACAGCCGCTCCGTTAATCTGTACGGTTCATTCAATATGCTCGCCTCTAGCGACAGCGAGAAAGAGTCGGAAGACGAGGATGAGAGGCCATCTGAGACACCTGGCAGTGCAACCACCGGCTCACGGGATTTCGCGGGGAGCAGGCCTGCCAAACAACTGCGCCCGCCGTTTGACCATGACAACAGGGTGCGGATTTCAAGGACAACCTTCGATGATGGTATTGGTCGGTCGCTGAAATGAATGGATCACGCACTGACAAGTATACTGAAGCCTCGGCAGAACCGCTCATTGGAGGCACCCGCGTACCGCCTCGTCCTAGTCGACACAGTCGCACAATCGCAGGTCCCTCGAATAGCGGGCGATCATCTCAGAAAGCCGCCCGTCCTGCTCGTCGCAGCACTCTATCTCGAGCAGTGCTCGAAGAACAGGATAGTGACGGTCGAGATGGTGACAGGAGCAGCTTGGAGGACTCCGATGAGTTGAGGCCGCAAGCACTATCGACATGGCGCCGTCATGTGGTAGCCATCCCGAAAGCGGAGTTTGCGAGGGCCAGGCGGCTCATCGCACCTATCGACCAAGGAATTCCCTATGCCACCATAACTATGAGAGGCGATGGATCCTTTATCGATAGACGACGCCTGTGAGCGGTTCCATATTGCCTCGTGCTTGGGCTAACAACTCCATGCAGGACCAGGATCTCGGCATTTTCGCTGCCGCTCTATGAGCCTGACAAATCACCTGTTGCCCTTGTGGCAGATGCGTGTCTTGTCGGGGACAAAACAATCGTCGTCGGGTACGCACATGGTGCCCACCAGGCATCTCTCATCTTGCTGGGCGATCAGGTACTAGTTTCTGTTGACCGTCAAAATAAGGATTTCTGACATGCCTGCCAGCGTCAACCTCGTCGCGTGGATCTGGCCCATCGAGCGCACAGCACTGTGCAGGAGAACCGCAATCTGGGCACATCTCGTCCTAACCCTGGCATTAGTGCACTTGCACCCTGTGATGGCTCGCGTCTTCAATTTCTATCGGGAGGAGAAGACAGGGCAGTCCATTTGTGGACTCTGAGGAATACCGATGGCGGGTACAAAGCGAGCTCTTGCCGCTTAAATGTGCCTCAGTTCCAGAAGGTTCAGGCCCTTGCATATCGTAGTGCTGACGAGACGGTATTCTCATGCGGAGGGACTTCAATATCCGAAGTAAAAATCTCGGCGCGTTATGCGCCGGACCCTATCAGGGTGTCCGACGGCCGGATACTCCAAATCCACGTCCACCCTCAAGATCCTCAGGTAGTCATTCTAGAGGCCAGTCTAGCAGACCATCGGCGTGCATCAGATGTCGGCTAATGTCGGCGAATAGGTTGACCATATTCAAGATCAGATACTGGTCTACGACATGCGCAAAGGAGGCTTTAACCGCCCGCCAACTCTTCAGTTCGGGCACCGTGACGAGAACGCGCAGGGCAACACCCGGTTCATGAAGGGTTCCGCCCTTAATAGCTTCTTCGCACGCCCACACAACGATGGCAAGACGGGAGTCGTGCAAGTCTGGGACTATCGTCAAGCAAGGGTACGTTATTGGCCAGCAATGTGATCTGCTGAACTGACCAGACTCCCAGGCGGTAGTAGCATGTTTTAAGGAAGAGCACCCGGCGCCAATCGTGCATACAGTGCTGTCTGGATCCGACGTCCTAGCATACGGAGGACCTTCGGTTACAGTGTGGAGGACCAACAACAGAAACTGACATATATCACGAGAACCATTATTATATTCGAATCATGACCGTGTGATGTACAAGTATGACTAGACCGATGGAAACGTGCTTTGTTGCGGCATGTTCACCGCGAGCGCGCGAGGGTGGTGTGGCGTCACTCGGACTTTGTCCATCCCGCGAGCTCAACTGAAAAGCCGACAGCAAGCTTGGAGAATTCTAGCATGTGCTCAAAGCTGAATTCGTCCGAGGTATCGAAACGGCTACAACAGCCGTTAGTATTTCTACAGGCGAAAGATCAAAGAGTGTCCACTCACTCGTTCGCGCTGTGAATGTTCTTGTTGGAGTTCTCGAAGGTGCTCTCTGTAACAATGACACATGAGTCAGGCGGGATTTCAAAAGCAGGTAGAATTGCCGCACCAATGGTGAATACCGAAGGATACCCTGCCTTAGCCCACGAGGCACTACAGGAAAGTCGCAATCAGCACGGAAAGACAAGGGCCCATTACAAAGTCTTACTGGTCGCTGCAGGCGTAACCGCACTTCGTCTCGGCATATGGGATGTCCAGATACAGGTCGACCAATTGCTTGTTCAGCTCCGTCAAGCTATGTTGATGCCAAGTATGAGCGGCGAGACCCTGACAAGCATAAAGGACTTACTCTGCGTCAACGTAATCGACGATTACGCCAACCTCTTCGCGCGTGCCTTTCTTAACCCATGCCGTCATGTCGTACTGCACGGGGAACCTCAGAACATGGTGCCGGACAAGAAGTCGTGAATGTACCTGACTCATTGCCACAACGTTCACACCACGACGCTCGTATTCTTGGGCGATTGCCTGGGAGCCCAGAAGTCCGCCTTCCTGCGTGGGTTACATGCGTTAGTCCGAGACACCATACTGTGAAACGCATGCCGTTACTTCTGCGGAGTACCAATGGAACTCGACACTAAGTTCCGGACGGAAATCAGCGGCGAGCAGCGCCCGGTAAGCTTCCAGGATGCTCATGGAACCGGACCCGTCATCATCAGCGCCTGGTGATAATTAGTCAGATAATGCTAACAAGCGCAGAGTATCCACAGTGGCCTCACCGGGAGCGGGCAGGAAAGGCCATAAGTTCGTGCTTCCCGGAGACGTTGTGAGCGTCGAACCGTGGAACAGCAATGGAATCACGCACCTGTCCTGATGTGCCCCAATAACAACGACGCCGTCATCATCGGTGGAAGAGCCATTGATCCGAGCAATCTGAGTCGGAAATTAGGTGGCCGGCGAATGTACACACGGAACAAATTTCTGACCACTGAGCTCTGGATCCACGTATGCGGAAATTCCTGCACGGTGATGAGCTCCCTCAAGGAGTCCGAGGCATAGTCCTTGGTAATCTTCGAGGCGAGATGAGCGTGGTGAATAAACGGAAGTCGACAACAATACCTCGTTGATGGTGGCCAGAAGCCATTCTTGACTCTGCTTCCCGGTCTATACTGGGATTAGAAGACTTATTTTACGTCTGCATGTGAGAAGAGTCACATCACTACGGTAATCTACAGGGGGTTAGCTCATGATGAACAACGACGCGATGCAACACACATCTCGTCCGGAAGCTAGTGAACGCCTTGAGCCCTGTCTTCAGGTTGTCAATCTCCAGAGTCTTGAGTATGGGCTTGACAAGGTCTGTCTTATTGGGAGACGGGTACGCCGCTGTGACCGAAATTATAACGGAATGCGCATACAGTCATGAGAAAGACTCACGTTTCTTGTTGACTCTGATTTGAGCGTTGTACCCGAGCTGAGGGGTTTCGGAGCTGACAAACCCAACCAAAGGCTGTATGACGTTGTCTCTTCGTGGCAACGTACACGGCACACTCACACATCGAAGAACTTGTTCCCTGCTGCCTTGAGATTGATCTAAGCGAGAGATGAGACTCTGAAAGGAACAAGACAACACGAAAGGGGTTAGGTCGCTGACTTTCTCAAGTTCGGTCATCAGCACAGGGTCTTGTCCTTCTAGCTGGACCCATCGAAGTGCACCTAAATCGAGATCATATCCCGGGTAGCTCTGCAGAGAATTCTGAAGAGTAATCTGGTCGTCGTTGTAGGCGGCTGCGCCCACGACGGCGAGAGATATGATGGCAAGCAACGAGTGGGACTTCATGGTGGTGGTTGGAGCGCAAGCGCGGGTGCTGGACGCGTAAACGCCGGTCTTCGCGAGATCGGGCGTTGCCACACACGCTCCCATATTTGGTCTGTCTGCAAGCTCTGCCTCGAACTGCGTTCCCGGCGCACGGATATTATACGCATGCAGAGAGACCACAACGAGCCGTGTGTGCACTGTCGGCTCACGCTGCCCCAAAGGCGTGCCCTTGTGATGTAGGCCTACGCGACCTCGTTGGTTCATTCCGCCAACGCCTGCCATAAGGAGAGTGGTATTACGTAATGCGGGCGTTCTGTCCGTGCTTCGTCCGAGTCTGCTTCGCTGTTTTGCCCTGCATCTCGCTCTCAGGATCTCCTCGTACTATGTCCAGAGGCGCGGCACAGGCAAGAGCACAGATCGTGGTAAGTCGGCATTGGTCTCGCTGGACCCACGGACCGCATACTGAGCACTACACGCTTGATTCCAAGCGCATCCTAGTTGGTGCTGGCAAGGCCGCACCGACGCCTCCCGTAGGTCCCGCATTGGGAGCCAAGGGTGTCAAGTCATGGACTTTTGCAAAGAGTTCAATGCTCGCACTGCGCATATTGAGCCAGGCACCCCCCTACCTACCCTCATCACAGTCCACCCTGACCGGTCGTTCACTTTCATCACGAAGACACCGCCGACCACCTACTTCCTCAAAAAAGCTGCCGGTATCGAGAAGGGAACCGGCCGTCCCGGACATGAGACTGTGGGGACAGTGAGCCTAAAGCACGTGTATGAAATCGCCAAAATCAAGGCTACGGACGAGCACCTCAAACATCTGCGTCTCGAGGCGATCGCGAGTACCATTGTCGGAACGGCTAGAACGCTGGGCGTGCAGGTTGTCCCGTAGTCCGGATAGGATCTATATTGATAGTGCGTCTTCGCTCATCCGATGCGTATTGAGATCTTAATATGCTTGCAGCCGACAATACCCAGGCAGCACCGTGCTCCGTACGTCAATCGCGCAGAGCAGGTACCCGATGATGCAGGAGAAGTCCGGTCTCTACATATACGGACAATGGGTAGCGGGCGGTCATCCACGTCTCTGTTTACACGAGCTGCAGATGCGCGCATGACGCTGAATCTGAGCTGCCCGGCCTTCTGTGCCGGGGGGGAGCAGCGCTTGTGAATTATGTCCCTTGTGGTTAATGATACAAGGTTCACAAGTCAACGAACTAGGTTAAGCTCGGGGATGGGTCATGCTGCTCAAGTCCTGGATCCGCACATCACGACTCAAGTTGCCTTTTCGCAGCGTGTAACCACGCCTGCAACACCCACTTGCCTCTTCCGTCGACAACTTTGAGAAATTGGGCCACTCCAGTTTGTCATGCCGTACCCGTCCAACGCGTCCGGGCTTGAACTTTGACCGCGAGGAGATAGGCCCTTGTACTGCGTATGGCATCTCGGACACGCCGTAAACACGCTCTGTTCACCTGGCCCGCATTCCTGGTGCTGCTCTTGGTCGAACCAATGCCTTGCGTCTAACATGCCTTATTGAGCCGCTTCCTCGGAACCTCGTGCATGAGGATGGCCAGTGGCATGTCGACCCAATCTTGTTCCAGCCTCGTTGATGGTACGGAATAATCCGCATTTACGAGCGTTTTACTCAGAGAACCCGTTCGGATCCTTGTGGCTCGAGATTGCGCAACGCAACCCTTCTTGACCACGCCCAAGGACTTTACATATTCTGGTCTTTTCTCTCACAGGTCTCGAGGTGAGCGATGGCGCTTACTGTACTCCTCGTGTTGTTCCTCGATCGCCATGAACCACCCGAAGGGAATATCGGCCGTCTACTCCACTGGACAAGGCGGCGGACGACATCATGAATCCATCCGTCTTCTGTACACGTTGGAAGACCTTGTATTCACCTCTATCTGTCACGATGTACACGTTCCCGATCGCACAATCTCTACCATCAGTGCAAGGACCAGAAATTTTCGGAGTGTTTCGCTATAAAGGACTTGTGTCGATAGGACGGATCCATAGCACCCACAGGAACTATTGCCCAGCCAGCTCGCCCGCGCAATATCCCCTCCATGTCCACCTCTGCCAACGAAGTACTCTCCTGGACGTCTCAGGATCCCCGGACAAGTCAGCTCTTTGGTAGCTACGGGGTATTGTATCGGTTCACGGTAAGCAAGTACGCACTCTGAATGGTTCTCAATTGTTTAATGCATTGTTTGAATGCAGACGGACGTGAACGCTCAAGGCGTCAATGTCACTACGCTATGGAGGACAATTCGCGCCAACAAAGAGGACCGCGTCGCGAAGCTTGAGTGGGCGCCGTCTGGCGGGCTGGGACGCGCGGTTATTGGCAAGGTGGGACGCCTTGCCTCGTGTTGTGCGGCTGGGCGCATGCATTGTCTGACCTGTTCGGCTTCAGAGCACGCTGCCCATGGCGGACCTGGTCCGCGCGGACACTCGTGTACCGGTATGCGTGTTCAATCCACGAGCACTGACGATTGTTCCTGATCGACCGGTTCGTCAGAATTGCAGGATGTTCAACGGTCCAGATGGCTATCAGTACCGGTGGCGGCCAAGCAATAACGCTACGAGCGACATAGTGGTAAGCAGGGAGCACGAGCGAAAGGTCCAGTGATCTGATGCGCGTGCTGCAACAGTTGGAGGACCCTAATGGGAATGTCATTGCGTTCTACCGAAACATCCGGCCGCAGCGGTACAACATTGGCGACGTCTACTGCGAATTGCATTTCGTGCGGAATGCCGGGGCTGGCGTCGTGGTCAGTCGGTTCATTGCCAGTCTGTTTATCTGATCGTTCTCATCGGCACCATCAGATGCACCCTCCCCTCATGGATACAGTGACAGTAACGGCCATGCTGTATCGTTTCGTCATGGCCTACGGCCTGTGATATCTCTTCTCGCATTCCCATCGGCGCACCCCATCCCTCATCGTACACCTACTTTATTCGCAAGCACGCAAAATGTAAAAACTTCAATCACACAGCGCAGGATCACGCTCTATGTATCCTTCTAGCATACGCAATGGTCATGTGTACATTAGCCCTTAATCTGTTCAATGACGAAGAGTTCCGAGCCGAAGCGCATCTGAGGGGATCTGCAGCGCGTTCTAACACCGTTCGGCGCGAGGCTCCTGAGACTTGGTAACGGACTCTATTCCTTCTGACCTCTCGAGACACGTAAGAACGCGAGGTCGTTGAGGTGATAACGGAGGCATTATCTGCGAGATTACATTGCGAACGACAGAATGAAGGTCACGCAGCCTATAGCTTGGCCCCGAGTGCGGACGAAGCCTCCGGCTTCACGACATCCAAGATCTCGTCTACCGTACGGATCACCCATTCCGTACCCTCATCGGTTGCCAGCCAGTAGTCTTCTTCGCTCAGACCCTCCACATTACGCGCCTTCAGAAGGCCAAAGACATGGCTCGTGAGCTGAGGTCCGACGTGCTCCTCGGCACGCAGGCACGCAGTTCCGACCACGGAGCCTAGCGCGCGACTGAGGTTGCCTTGTTCGCTGTCACCGCCAGGCATCGGGGAGAGACAGCGCCGTAGGCTTGGATGATGAAGACTGATCGGAGGCAGTGATCAGCATCCAAAGCTCCGGGAAAGCGAATCGACATCGCAAGAGATTGCGCGAAAGAGGAAACAGCACTCTTGCTGACCTGCGACGTACCTATGAAATCGGGGTGATACCCGCCTAACTTGTTATAGAGCTTCACCGCGTGCGGCGGGTAGATTGTGTCCCACAGAGCTTGTCCCCGCGCCTTGATTGCCTCGATGTTCTCCGGTGTCGCAACCCTTAATTAATTCCCCGGTATTATGACGACTAGCAAACAAAAAGGACAACAAGGGACCCACCGATTGGGTTCCTTCCGCAGACCGTTCTTGACGTCCTCTTCGAAGGCTTCGAACATGCCCGCAAAGGAAAGGATGGTCTTCGGCAAGCACAAAGGGTAGGTAATCCCGCCGATGTATAGATCATAGCTGCAGCACTTACGCGGGGTACACCGACAAATATGCAGCTCTTCATTGCGGCCTCGCGCATCGCGGCGGCCTTGTTGAGCGCCTCCTGGTAGTTCCGGCGAGTGTCTGCGGCGCTTGGGTCATTTCTAGTCGCGAAGCGGTAGAGGTGCCCGACAGAAGGGGGGGCGTTGGCTGTCAAGAGCGTGCAAGTCTGTGGTATATCGAGAGCGAGATCGAGTCAGAAAGAGGGCATGCGGCGAGTCGATATCGATGCGCCCTTGATGGGCTTTGCAGCATGTTCTGGGAGCAAACAGACGCACCGCGAGGGTAAGCCACCCCTTCTCTGCTTTCTTCTGTTGGGCATCCCGGAACGTGCGGGTGAGCACGTCGTTCAGCTTAGCGACTGGCGGCCCCGGGAACGAGTTGGGGTTGCGGAGAGTGAGGAGGTGCTTCACGGCTGGCGGGAGGTGGGCGACCATGGTGGCTGATCGGGGCGTCTAGCTGAGGGGGCGTAAACACTGCAAACTACTCGGAGAGATCTAAGCGAGGGCGAGAAGCAGCCAATCCAACCGGACCCGTCCTGCTGGTCACTGCGATAGCTTTGTGCCTAGATATATCGTCCTCGACGCACCTTCTGCCAGCGGAGGCTACGGCCGTCCGAGCACGTCACCCGACAGCCTCCCGCGCACCCCTTCCGGTTCGTTCCCTCGCCCACGCTCATCCCAGTCCCGACTCACGTTCCCACACAACAGTCATCACAAAACTAATTCAGGATATCATTGCATTAATTGCATTACTGCCGTCCAGGCAGGACTGGTCGAAACATACGGCAGTGTGTCCGAGACGGTGTGTCTGAGACGGCGTGAAAAACAAAGTTACGGGCTACGCTCATAAAACCGAGAAACAAAGGAGATGCACGAACTACACATCAATGAGTGCGCGGGTATATACGTGGGTGTACGCGTGAACGTCGGCGGCCGCACAGCGGCAGCTTCCTTTGGGAAGCGCCTAACTGTTCATTGCCAGCTGTTGTAGATGTAGGCGTCACCAGCGAGGTCACGGAGCCACCAGCCAGGAGGGCATCTTGCTGAATGACATTGCCCATGTCGTCGAGAATACCTACAGCCCACGGTCAACGGATGCGTAGGTGAGAGCAATACGTGTGCGTACCGAAAGCGAAGTAGGAACCGATCCATGGAGTCGCCTCCATCCACTTAATAGCCGTGCTGTAGAAGTTCCAGATCTGGCCGTCATCGGGTGTCGTCGCACCGCTGAAGTCCTGTGAAGAGACATAAATGCTGCTGCCTCTCAACTTGCACGGAAAGGTCGTACCATGCAGGCAAACTCCGTAACATGGATCACGCTGCAGCTGCCTTGAAGGGTATTATAGAAGGTCTGCATGTAGTTGATGAAGTCCTGCGGGTCAGTGCCGTAGTAGTGTGCCGCGCAGCCGGCAGTGAACTAGCGAATGTTTGCTTGAATTAGGTCTGCTATCAAGGGCTGACGACTTACCGTGCATCCACCGTTGCACGCCGAAATGAACGACTGCATCCAAGGAATACCCGCCGAGTCGGACGTGACCGCAGGGGAGATCAGGCCCATGCCCAAGTCCTTCTTCGGCTCGATGTACTGCTGCCACAAAGACGCGGCACTGCCGGGGTCCATGTTTGCCTGACCCTGCTGCTCGGGCCTTGATGTATTGATTAGGTTTGACGGTATTGAACTGCGACGAAAAAGGAAACGCACTCATTAAAGCCCATGACGTTCGTGCAATAACCCGCCACGACATTGTTCTGGAAGTCGCTGATAGACTGAGACGAGGAATCATGAAGCATGGCCCAGAACTCGTAACCAAGGGAGTCGGAGTTAGAGTTCTTCCACGAGCTCCAGTTGTACAGGCTAAATCATTGCAAAGTGAGTTTTGGTCTTGACGGGTACGGTTATACTTACAACTTGGTCGCGGAAGTCTTGACGGTGGCGAGCTCTTGGTCGTTAGAGCCAGTCCACGCGACGCCGACTTTGGTACCGCCGGCAGTCGTAGGGCTAGCAGCAGCAGCAGACGAGCTGCTCGAGCTCCAGGTCGACGTGGGCGTGTAGGACGTGGTAGGCGTGTAGTCGCTGGACGAGCTCCAGTCGGTGGAAGGTACGTCGGTAGAGGTAGGAGCCACCCAGGAGGAAGAGAAGCTCGTAGACGCAGCGATATCGGTGCTGTTGCTGCCGTCACGAGCCTTGCAGCGCTTGTTCAGAGAACGCTTGTTCTGCGCGTTCCTCTTGGAGATGCCCTCGTGCGCCGCGAGGCGGTTAAAGTTCTGGTGGCTGCCACCGCTGAGGGCGTTCGCAGTGGTGCGAGGGAGCAGACAAAGAGGGCGACGCCTCCGACGGTCACAAGTTGAGAGCTTGAGCGAGATCATGGTGATAGGCGCGAGGAGTGTTCTTCGCGTGAATAACTCAAGGAGTGTGTGTAAAAGAATGACGGTGCCCAAAGGCAAGTGCGGACGAGAGGGAGGGTCGTAGGAGGGGGGGACGACGGAGTGAGTTGGCAGGAGAAAACGGTCGCGAGGGGCCGCAGGCAAGCAAGAAGGCGACCCTATTTGGTAGCTTACCTAAGTGCCAAGGGCCGCTGTCCCAGCCTCGTGCGCCGACGCGCACGCGGTCAAAGCCACCGCCTGGCTGAACTGCTCATCCTGCGTGCATGCTCCCCCAGAGGGGTCATCGAGCTCGGGCATCGTCAGAGAGGAGCGCGACGACGGCGGCTGCGCGCACATACATGCACGGCGTGAAACATGAGACTCCTTGAGAGCCTGGCTGGCGAGGCGACGGACGCGAAGGGCGTCAGAAGGAAAGGCGGGCGTTGGATCAGAGTCTGGCTGAAGATGGGCGACAGACGCGGGACAGACGCGTGCCGGGAGTCGAAACAGGCGGCGTGCGGACGGCTTCACAGCCTTTGTCAGATCGGAAGATGGCAGCGGTCATGGCGACGTAAATAATCATAAGTAAACCAGCGGCCAGCCTAACGCGAGCGGAGTTTGCCAGCAGATCAAAACAAGCCGACGTGCGCAGGCTCGCCTTTCTCTCAACCCCCAAGTTTGACACGAAGAAACCGGTTCAACAAGTTCATCGCACAAAAACACACCAGTTCCCCCTCGCTCATCGCAATGTCCGACGCCCCCGCCGCCCCTGTCACCGAGAACGGCGTGTCTCCCGCTACCCAGGAGAAGGTCGTGGAAGAGGCCCCCGGCTTCAAAGTACGTCGCATGCCCTCTGACGTGGCATGCGTTGACCCCCGTCCACCCAGGTTTTCGCCGGTAACCTGGCGTACTCTACCACGGATGAAGGGCTAAAGGCATTTTTTGCTCCTGTCGAGAGCGACATGTATGTATCGCCTCGCATACGTCGGCGGCCATCGCTCACTTTGGCCCCTCAGACTGACCGCGCAGGTCATCTTCCGGGGCACACGCTCAGCGGGCTATGGCTTCGTGTCCGTGGCCACCCCTGAGGCTGCTCAGAAGGCAGTCGAGCTCCTCGACAAGCAGGAGCTTGACGGACGTCAGGTCATTGTCGAGGTCGCTAAGCCGGCAGAGCAGAAAGACCAGGAGAAGAAGGCGAAGAAGGCCAGCAAGAGGCGGCCCGGCCGTCGTGGTAGCAAGAGCGTACCTGGCGAAGTCACCGAAGCCGAGGCCAACGGCGAGGCTGCCAATGGCGACGCCGACAAGGCCGACGGCGCCACTTCTGCTGCAGAGGGCGAGAAGCCCAAGAAAAAGAAAAAGAACAGCGTAAGTTCTTATGAGTCCTGGCACCTCGTACCTCGTTAAGCTACTGTCTTGCAGCGCAAGTCGAAGGCGGCGAAGAAAGCTGCGGCTGAAGGTGGTGATGCTGCTACAGACGCTGCTCCCGCCACAGAGGGTGCCGCAGAGGGGGCTACCAAGAAGCCTCGTACGCGGAAGCCCAAGACTGTTAGGCCCCCGCGCCCTGCTGGCGAGGACCCTGCAGGGGAGCCGTCCAAGACCGTCCTCTTCGTGGCGAACCTTGGCTTCAGCATCGATGATGACGGCCTCGCTACGCTGTTCACGGAGGCTGGCGTCCCCGTTAACTCTGCTCGGATTGTCCGCCGTCGCTGGGGAAAGCCGCGCAAGAGCAAGGGCTATGGCTTTGTTGATGTGGGTGACGAGGAGCAGCAGAAAAAGGCCATCGAGCTTTTGCAGGGCAAGGAGGTTGAAGGTCGGGCTATTGCTGTCAAGATCGCTGTCAACTCGCAGACCGAGGAGGGTGCCGAGAACGGCGAGACAGCTGACCCTGTTGCGAATGGTGGCGAGGCGAAGCCCGAAAGGGAGGCTACTCCGGAGGTGACTGTCGTTGCCTCCTAAACGTCCGAACACGTTTGCGGTCTGCATCAGAGACCGTATCAATCCCCACTTCCTAACGTACATCTCGTCTTCGTTCATCACCTTTACCCCCGCGCCCGGCTGGATCCATCCTTGTTGAGGTTGACGCAAACTGGTGTTGTTTCTCCCGCCATGCTTCCCCGTCGTGATCGCCTATGGTTAATCAGTGCGGTCTGGAGTCGTTTCTTTGTCGATAGCTGGTGTGGTCGCTGTCGTCAATTTGCTAGCGACTGACACCTGCCCGTGTATTTATGATTGTTACGACCCGTACGAAACGCACATCTTCTATCCCATCACCGGTGTCGGTTATGTAAGGTGCCTTGATCATGGCCGATGACGAAGACGACTACTTGTCCGACAAGTTCTTGCTAGAGTCTGCTCCTCCTCCCCTGCGCCGAGGACGTATGCAGAACGTCGAAAGGAGGCGCAACGGCTTTCTGCGATCAAGAATGAACAGAGCAGGAAGAAGAGCAGGCGCCAACTCGAGCAAGAGGCCGGGAAGAGGGGCTTCGCAAAAGCTTGTTCGAACGCGCGAAGGATGAAGAGGCTGCAGGGCTGCAGAACAAGGCGTTGGCTATGATGATGAAGATGGGCTATAAGCCGGGAGAGTCGCTGGGGCAAAACTACGACGACCCGCCGCCCGCTGAGAGCAGCGCGGCCGCGGCCAAGTCTGCTACTGCGGACGACGACGTTCCAGCGGATGCTTTCGCTGTTGCAGAACCGGCCAAGGGTGGGATCGGACATAGGGTCGAGCCTCTGCCTCTGAACGAATGGGCTGGTACGTCCTCGCCCTCGTCGTCTTTCCAGTGGCACATCGCCCGCTCGCTGAGTACTCATACGCATGACAGGCAAGACGGGTATCGGTCTGCGCAAACGCGCCGCGTCCCCCAGCGCATCGGAGAGGCTGGCCAAGATGGCGAAGCTTGCGGAGGAACAGACCATGTCGGCTTCCGGGACCGCGCACGCCAGGAGTACGAGGACCGCCGCGCCCAAGGCCGCCTCGCGCCTGCGCAGCGCACCTGCATCACCCTCGACGAAAAGGACGGCCGTAAGGTGTGTCATCCTGTCGGGTAACTATGCGCTGTGCCGTGCCATCTGACTACGGGACACCCAGTTTAACATCCTTTGGCTCAACCCCGAAAACGCGGAGACGTTCCCAGAGGGCCTCATCGACGATCTGGATGATCCTGAGCTCGTCGCGAGCCTGTCTCGGCAGCAGGCAGGCGACACCATCGAAGGACGGCTGAAGCAAAGATGCGAGCGGACGCGCTGCAGCCGCTGACGACGACACTCGAGGACGAAGAGGAAGCGCTGCCGGAGAAGGCAAAGCTGCGTGGATCGCCTTATTCGGAAGAGGAGGTCCAGGAAGCGAGGCAATTCCTCCGTCTCAACGTGAGTGTGGCAGTACTACGCCCGCAGTCGTCAACGTGCTCATGATGTTCCTTATGGGTGCACCTCGTGCCAGGCAAAGCATCGGTTGCAACTAGTGCTTGACTACCTGCGACAAAGATATACGTATTGCTTCTGGTGTGGAACACAGTATGACAACCAGGAAGACATGGATCAGAACTGTCCGGGACCGGAGGAGGACGCGCACGATTGATACGGGCGGGTGGTGTGGAGAATGCAGACGACATGTAATTGCGATCGCATATCCTTCCGTAGCTTCAGGGAGGATAGACACAGCGGATACGCCTGACAGTTACCGAAATGAAAACCAGAATGATGGACAGCCACGTCAACGAGTGTACAGATGGGGGTGAGGGGTAACGAACGTTCTAGGTATCATGCGATGCAACGCAAAAGAGAGTGACGGATGACGGAAACACTTGCGAACTACGACCAGAAAACTGCTCGTCCATGCTGTTGAGAATAAACCGACGATGTGTATTGGTACAGTGTGGGATGGAAGATACAGCGATGGCTATAAGTCCGGAGGAATAAAGTTAAGTCTGATAGAGACATGGCGGGTGAGGACTCGCACGGCACGCCGCTCTGATGCGGCATCGTGCAGGACGGGTTGTGTAGGGCAATGCAATCTGAACGAGTCAGACGATGCTCTCGTAGCTCATGCATGGGCATCGTGCATGTCTTCATCCTCTGTGTCCGAAGAGGCGTACTTCCACGTCTCCGGGGGAGGGAATACATGGGGGAGAGTAGGGATCAAGACGGGCTGCACTGGACTGCATGACCTCTTCCGGATGCGGTGGGAGAAGGAAGGGGACGTCGGTGATCCTTGTGGTGTCTTGCGACGGACGAATGTGGATATCGGGGTGTTCGCGGTCAAATCGGACTGCGAAAGGACAAGCTTGCGTGGGCGAGCATAGGATTGTCGCAAAGCGTTATGCGACGCACGCCGAGGGACGCCACAGGTCGTCGGAGATAAATAAGGCGATGTAGATAATGGCTAGGTAGAAGGACCGATGTCAGATTTGAGCCGAGCAAAGGCAATCAGTACTCACTCGTACAGGTACTTCCTCTATCTCTTCTTTGATGAAGGCGGGGGTACTTCGCTTTCTCATGTGCGACTGGTGTCCAAGTCAACGGTGATCATACATCGAGTCGTCATGGGCAAACTCACGATGGAGGGTGCGTATGGTGCGAAGCGAGGTACACGGACCCGACGCCTCTCCGTATCCCAGTCTCGGTCTGATGGCGTGCTCTCGGATTCCATGGCGGATGATCCCTCTAGGCGTACGAGGGGCCGTCGTGGAGAGACAGTGCTAGATAGTGAAGAAGACAGCGAACTAGAAGAAGATGCAGAAGAAGAGCGAGAGTGGTGAACACGGTGCCCAAGGCTAACAGGCACCGTATCTTTGTGGAGGACTGGCAGTCCAGGCGAATTTTCAAGACCCAAAGTCGCCATGAGCTCCACGAAGGACGGGAGAGTAGTGGCCATAGTTAAAGGGCGGGAGAGTCGAGGTACGACCTCGAGCGCGGCCCTGTCTGATTGCAGCTATTATAGCCTGTGCATGATGTCTTGGGAACGGGCCGAGGGAAGTGGTTGCCAGGCAGAATTGGGAGCGCCATGGAGCAGAGGGCAACGCAGCACGCTGGGCAACGACGCCGGAATTCACGAGTGTGGTGTGTGTGAGATGATCAATATAGACGCCACTACAGTGGTCGACAAGGCGATGATACTATGATAGACTCGAACATTCGTACCGGAAGCGCAACAAGGGGCGCAGCCACAGACTGCAACCGCTACGCCCGTCAATCTGCATTCAACCACGTCTACTTACGGCACAGCAACACCAGCGCCCGCTGTCGTGCGGTCGCAAAACATAGACAATACCTCTCGTCCCTGCGGCGTCGCTCAGAGACCACCGTCTGTATCATGGCGACTGGAGCTATCCCGGGGCCAGCTGCGACAGCGCGACTGCAGTAACCTCACAGCCTTGATGTACATTGCCATTCGGTAACAACGCACCGGAGTGTGATGACGACGGATAATAGCGATCGCGAGTCATGCTGACCGAGTATCGCGGATCGGCTACCGTTCGGAGGCCGCTGCTTGCTCGAGATTGGTTCAATGGTTGCGCGCAGGTGTCGCAGCGACTGCAGTGATGAGCGCGGGATGGTACACGCAGCGGTTGCGAGGGAAGACGAACAAGAGCGAGGAGAGCGGTGCGAAACAGGAGAGGCGGTGGGATGCTGTCCGGGCTCAAACGTCGCTGGCCGCGGATGCCAGATGGCTCGAGATCGTCGCGATCATTCTGTCGCGTGCCCCGGCGCTCCCGCGGCCACACTTGCCAAACACGCTCATACACCGACTTGCCGTCGACCACCATGAACTCCCAGCCGGGCACCAATTACAGCGCCCAGGGCCCGTCGGGCGGGTCGGGAGCATACATGCCAGCCCCTCGCCAGGAGATGGAGTACCTCTGCGCAGGTCTGTCCCTATTCTGATTGCTCGTCAGCGACTTCCAACGTCTTCTGCAGATTGCGGCGCGAAAAACGAGATCAGATCTCGAGAGCCGATACGTTGTCGCGAGTGCGGCCACAGGATCATGTATAAGAAGAGGACAAAACGAAGTATGTCGTCCCTTCGTTTGGCAGGCCCAGTCCACTCACCCGCCACCGCAGTGGTACAATTTGAGGCGCGATGAGCCGCCGCGTTTGTGCCCGTGCTTGTATCTCATGCCCCGTCTTCGCGTTATCCTGGCCATTTGTTGATCTGCACGCTGTCCCCTTCATTCATCATTTGTATATTAAGCATGGGTAGTCCAATAGAGGCAATTACGTGATACATAAGCTAGCCATTACTACGCGTCATATGCGAAGGCGGCGCATGCCATCACCATAGTTTCAATCCGTTCATCCATGAGTTGAGGAAACATGTAACCACCACGCGATCAAGGATGCCTTCTCCCCGGTCAGTAACGCGCAGCTGAGACTGATCGTCCGACCAGGTGGCAACTACTTTGCCCCTGGTACTCACGCACTGGTAATCGTTAAGAACCGGACGGTATAAACAAATTGGATGCTTACGAAGAGATCTTTCCCGTTCTCTGCCTGTTTCCACTTGTACTCGGAGCCCCCCGCTTTGAACCGGCGGGATCTGATGGGGGATCAGTCAGACCGTGTGGAACAACATGCCATGGACGGGCGCACTTGCTAGACTGCTTCTTCATCTTTCGCAACTCCCTCATGTGGACCTACAACGGCGCCTTCTGTCATTTAGAAAGATGCGATGGAAAGACGGATATGTACGCGTTCAGTCCCGAACATGACATTTGCGGTGTGGTCCGAAAGCCAGTCTAGTTGGCCAGCGTGTTCCCACCGCTGAGTGGCGGCGTTCTTGCGCGATATCTCGGTAACTCCGGTGTTCGTTCCAGTGTTGGGGTGTTGGAACTGACGTAGCCAGGGGCAACGATTAGACAGCCGACGAAACAGCTGACAGAATAGCTCGCACCTTGTACATCGGAACTGGCTCCGTCGATCCCTCCACGATCTGGTTGATTCGGAAAGTCCGTCTATCTGGGTTGGTAGACTCGGGGGGATATACCCATTGCAGGACGATATCAGTGCTTGCCATAGTGCTCAGTGCCTGAGGAGAATGGGCCGTGCTTCGTGGGGGAAGGGAGATGCGGTGGTTATGAAGCAGGTTCCACGGGCAGGCAGGCTTTTAATGTGCCGGCGTGTCGAACATTGTACGGCCGTGGAGTTCTGTGAAAACCATGTTATGAGGATACAGGGCAAAATCGCGTTTGTCATAGTACTGTGCGTTGGATCATTTCCGATCTGATTAGGCTTGGATGAGGTTAACTCGCGTGGTCATGAGATGGCGACAGCTGATAATGAAATCGTCCTCTAACTACATCGAACGCGAGTGCGCCTCACCGCAGGCGGAAGTTGAACCCACGAGGTGTAGAGAAGTTGTCGGGGACGCTGAAGGGTCCATGCCAGAAGACGCCTGGGGGACCGTTTTTGGTTCCGGCGACTCGCTGTAACGGTCATACGTCGCTTCTAAAGACCGTGTTTTGTGGCTGCTTTGTGACCGCCACATCAGTTGAAGCACCGTACCTTATCGATGATCCTCAGACAACAGCGGGTCAGCCAGAGCACTCGCAGAAAGGAATCTTCCGAACACGCTGGGCGGAAAATTAGTATGAACTGCAGTGCCATCCCCACAATTAAAACGGATAGTGCTCACCAGCATGGAGGTTACATATAGTACCCGGCGGCCGCAGCTGTGGTATTCGTCCATGCGCTGGACGTATGGACGGAGGCCGGTATTCAGTTCGACGACTCGGAGGGAGCGCGATAGACTCTCGGCAGGGTTGGGCGTGAGGGTGTTGTGCTTCTTCCACAGGCAGGACGACATGAGAGCAATGGCCTCGTGGCTGGTGCCGGATGACGATGTTATCTGCAGATGCCACCACCACTGTCTAACCTCCCGAGTCCGGAGCCGAGTGCCGACCCTACGGTGCCACGACGATCTGCTGAACGACGCTAGGGCAGCAATCCGGCAGAATCATCAGGGGCGCCATAATAAGCACGGGCTCAGGAGGCGGATGTCGACTTTGACTATCGCTTCCATAAGCCGAGTGACTCAACAGTATGCACTTTATTAGAACAAGGGAGTCTCACCGGTGCAGCCCTCCTTCTGAGGATGATCCGGGCATGCAGTGAGCAATATAACGGAGATAATGCTGGTGAAGAAATCTGTCCGGTTCCAAACGAGGTGACGCACGTAACTGAGCACAATTACTGAGGGCCACGGCTTTAGTAGACCAACACTAGAAGCGAATGCCGGCAGGGAGGAGGCTAGAAGACCCTGTGAGTGAGAAAATTGAGATAAACGAGACGAGGACCGACGTAAAAAATACATATATACGTAGGGCCCACAGGGGGGCAGGCCATTGACCGCGCTGCCCGCCCATGTCTGGCAGGAAATGAACGGCACACCGACGCAGCGCCACCGGCTGCACTCTGCGGTGTGGCTCACGTGAGGACGTGCCCGGAATGGCTGTGCCGGCAATGTGCGAGTGCACATGCCGGATCCGTTCGTGTCGGATGGCTGAGGAGGTGTGGGCGCTTGTAGGCCGCTGCAGTTGAACAACAACATTTCCGACCGGGCCTAAGCACTGCTGACCTCGCTGCTGCTGTGCACGCCTCGCCGTCTCGCATCTCGACATCTTCGAAGGCACAAACATGCCCAGCCAAGCCAGCCGAGCTCGCAGCATCTCCGGCGACCTCGACGAGGTAGCATTACCACTGCGGTTTTGCGTGACTCAGACCACGCTGACGGCCCATTGCCCAGAGTTCTGACCTTGAGCACGATGGCGATGGTGGTTCCAACCCACCTGGAAAGCCTGGCAGGAAAAAAAATCCAAAGTGCGTAGTGGCCACCGACGTGATCATGCTTACGCTAAAGCCGTCGCAGCTCGCAGGCAGCACGACGCGACCAGAATCGCATAGCACAGCGCGAGTTTCGTCTCCGAAAGCAGCAGCGCGTAAGTGGCTTGGGCTATATAACTGTGAGGTGCTCAACGTTCTCCAGATACGCGATTTAGAGGCCAGTGTGGAGATGCTCTCGGGTGGCAAGGATGAGGCGCTGGCGACAATGCGGAAAGTCCTCAAAGGCGCGTATCATCCGCCCTGTTTAGAGACTGACTTGACAGCAGAAGCAAAATCATGCAGACATGATGCAGGAGAACCAGGTTCTCCGTGACCTATTACGCAGCCTGAGCTCGTTCATCGGCGACGGCGCCGGTGGCTTGCTACCGAAGCTCGGGTGGGACTTGAACGACTTCAACAGTTTTCTCAACAAGTCCGAGACAGACACAGCTTGGGAAAGTTACCAGCGACACAAGCAGCAGAAAGCGGCTGACGCCGTCGCCTCTGGTTCACAGCCGGCTGCAGGACAAAAGCGACCGCAAGAAGACGATTCTCTAGGTGGTCCATCGAAGCGGACACGAGGGGCCAACGAGCAAAACGGCGAACGCGAACACGCCGATTCCTTCTCTAACCCAATGCTGGTGCCCCTGCAAGCTGCGGCCTCAGTACCCCAGAACGGCATGTATCAAGCCTCCACCAGGGCGCATGACTCTGGCCTGCTGAACGATTTCTTGCGAACCGGCGGTCCTGGCGCCTCCATGGCCATGCCTGCCTCGTCCCCGACCGCTGCATCCGGGTCGTATGGTGCTTCGCCTAGCCAGACTATCGGAGGTTCTTTCCAGAGTTCTTTCATGCAGTCGGGTATGGGGGTACACAATGATGCGGGTATACCTACTATGCCGTTGGTAGGGGCGTCACCGGTGTCTGTACAGCAGCCGAGAGTTGGTCCTACGCCCCCGGCGGTGCCTGAAGAGGACGATGTAGATTCGAAGAAGACCGATGCGTACAAACTTGTACAGTACGTTCTGTTCGACGTTTCTGGTGTCTACAGACGTTCTCACACTATTGCGCAGCTATCATCTGGACAACTACAAACGCAACAGTGCATATTGCTTGCCTTCGTCGCTGCGACCAACTCTGGTACAAAGGTACGCCGCCGTCACCCTCTCAGGAACTAGTCTCACGGAGTACACCTTGACTAGAACTGTCCCACATGGTCTGGCACTTGTCCTGAGCTGAGCTTCTGCCTGGCTGACCAAATCACAGAGAGCGTGATTGATGCGATCGTGCACCCTGAGCTTCGCGATCGGATGATTCTCTTACGAGGTAAGTGGGCGACCGTTGGCAAATTGATGGTGCTTGTTGACGGCCATGTAGGCCGTTTTGACCTCGTGGACTGCCTCCACGACTATCGCAACGAGGTGACCATCCACGGAGACGACGTGCTCGCGCACACGAACTGGGAACTGTCTGAGACCTGGCTTCATCGATACAAGTGCGTGTTTCGGGACTAAGCTTGTATACCGTGTCTCATACCTGAGTTTACAGATTCCTGGTCGACCAGGCTACCCTGGCAATTGCCAATCGTTGGAGACGTGAGAGGGGCGAAGGCGAGCTACGTCTGGCTGACTTCCAAGACTCCCATCCAGCGGTCTAGCCCAGCAACGGCGTATTAGAGTAATGTTTGTCACGGATGTTCGCTATACGGTCTTGGTGTATATACAGGTCATCTCCATCTGCCTTTGTATCCATTGCAAAGCTTTCTATGGAGTACCATGAACGGCAAAGACCACATGTATTCGGTACACGACGCGAATGTGTAGCTGCGTTGGTCGATGAGACCTAGTCACATTAAAAGCTCATGGAGGCCACTGGTGACACGACTGGCATGAGTCGCCAATATTTGACCAACGCTCAATTACACTCACATGTGCAATTTTGCAATCACCAAGACGCCTTCCTCACTCCAGCAAGCTGTCCCGCCAGCGCCTTCTGTCGAAATTGGAACTGGTGGAGACTTAGCAGTCAAGCCACATTAGCTGTAGAAATATGAACGTACCCGGCAGAGACCAAACTCGCTCATGACGCCCCGCCCACGGCCGGTCTCAGTACACCTGTTCTTCGGGGTAGTCGGGCGGGTGTACCTGCCGAAGGTGTTGAGCTGCAGCTGCGCCTGGTAGCGCACCTCCGGAGGAAGGGTCTGGTTGCGCGCTACGTAGAGGTATGCCCGCCGGGCGACCTCATTGAGCTTCACGCCGTTGCGGGCCTTGATGTCGCGCACGATGCGGGCGTTGTAGCTCATGGTGGCAGCAAGCGGAAGATTGAGCGCCGGCTGGACACGGACCGAGGCGCAAAGACCAGCGTCGGGCGCCTGCCAGTGCCGGAACTTGCTGCAGACCGTCATTGCGCCCATCCCTGCGCCGCACACATCACCAGGCGGCCTCGAACAACCTGCCAAGTGGGCAGGGATATGGTTGAGGAAGCTACTGTGAGTCGCTTGGCCGCTTGCTGTGAGGGTCGTGTGGGCTCATGGCTGTGCTGCAGCTCTAGGATGTCCGCGTCCAGAGCACTCAATCTCACCCCGCAACAACGACGGAAACTCGTATCCACTCTGTTCGGCCTCACATTCGTCGCATCTGTCGTCACGGTATCCGCATCCAATGTCCTGCCCTGTCCAGCGCACGACCGAGGCCGATTTGCAGACGGAGCTGTCGGCGAGAGGATGAACGGGCAGCGCACCGTCACCGTGGTGGAGAAAAGGCCGAGGAGATGGATAGAGGAGACACATCCGAACCCAGCCAACTCTTCATGATTCAAGCACTTCGCCTGCTGCAAGCAAGCACACACTGCGTTATCGTATATGCTAGTGCTCAAGGAGCCATATTTCGCCGGACGTCGGACGCTGTGTAATATTGTACAATCTATTCCACGACGCCTGACCTGCTCTAGAGGCGAGTACAAGGGCATCATGCATTAGTATCGGTACTACCGTAAGTGGGTTTGTTTCGTCTATACTGTGCCTCCTGTTCTTCATGCGTCCCACTGCGTACACTTGTTAGTCGACGAATGCAGAAGATCAATACCAATACGCACGGTAAAGAGTTCTCCTGGATGGGTATACAACACAGGAAACACAGAAAGTTTGCTACAGCTTGGCATATGAAGACAACGCGTAGTGCATCGGCGTAGGAGTCTACGGCTGCTCGGCGCAGATGTGGCTCTAGCTCTGGGATGAGGTTCGTGGAATGACTATCCGAGGACAGCAAGTCAGCGTGCGATGCAACTAGGGTTTGCAAAAAAGCACGAACCGGATCTGCTCAATAATCTGAAATTGTCGTCGTTCAATGCCTACATCATTTTAGCGAACGCAAATACTGACCTCGATAGCGCCAGGTCCCGTTATGCGCTCCCGGAGCTTACGAGTGAGTATTGCCTGCAGCAAGGCGCCGCTCAGGCTAACTCCCAGCACCTGGCCGGTAGTGCGGAATAGATAGGTGACTGCGGAGGTACACTGCATCAGCAGACGGATTCTGAGAAGTTGCCGACTTTGACATACTGCCTGTCGCGACAGCTAAATCTTCCTTCACCACACTTGCAATCATTGCCTAAACGGATAACGTCGATGAGCGTTCCAGGGACACCCCTCCGATGGGCCCGGAGACTTACAATGAGGGTGGTCGTGATAACGCTCGCCATGCCCAGACTTTGAGGAACGATGTCGAACCACAGATGCAACCACGACGTATCCTCGTTCCAAAAGACCAGCAGGGAGGCGGCGATGACCGTCGTGAAAGAGGACACCAACGTCAGGGTGTACAGTTTGCCCGTGCGGCGCATGATCCTGTATGTTTTCCAGTTCAGCGTTGCTGATGATACCAAATGTACACACGTACCAGCCAGCGAAGACGCTGCCAGTCGAGATGGCCACCTATTAATAACGTAAAGTTGCGGCGTTATCGGAGATAGCGTTGGATTGTAGCGTACCGAATGTGGGAGCAAGTGAAGGCCTGTCCACGAGTTCAGCAATTGCCTGAAATTAAATGGGACGGGCGGCTCACCTGCATCAGTGGATGAATTAAGCCTCACGGCGGAGAAATACTATAGTTGGGGGGTTGAGTTGCCAATGAAGACGGTAGAAGCGGGCTACATACCAATGGACGTTGTACAACTGTAATAGAAGCGTGAGTGCATAATAGGCCACTAGAGTAAGATCAAACTGACCGCGGAGAACGCGGCTATACTGCCAAAGAAACATGATAGCGATACAGCAAGTGGTGTGCGTTGTTTAATTAATCTCATGGGCATTACTGGGTAGGGTGACCAGTGTGTCTCAACCATAATAAATATGATGCACCAGACCACACTGGCTAGCAAGAGTCCCCAGATGAGCGGATGTGACCAAGGGAGTTCCTCCGTCGACTTCAGGCTGAAGCCTAATAGCAGGCAGCCTACAGTGCCCACAAGTGTGAAGGACCCAAGATAGTCAATGCGGCGGATTTTCGTGTGTAGACTTTGCTGCTGAATTTCATCCGGAAGGCTGATATTAACCTTCACCGTGACCAGGACGAAGGAGAACAGAAGAATCGGCATCTGTTCCGGTTTGATGAGATTCGGTAGCCTATGTGAATCTCGGCATTTCAACTCACCTGGAAGAGGAAGGCGGATCGCCTGCCTCGGCAAGCTGAGAATAGGGTGTTTGAACGGAGACGTGCGAACGCACCAGCCAAAGGTATCGTTGAGCCATCCTCCCAGAGGACCGCCAAGTCCTGCGCCCAAACCGAATAAACTGCGGATGCCGGATCAGCTTGAGGAGGTTGGAACGAGGGGGCGCTTACATATTGGTCATGCCCTGGTAGAGGCCTCGCTGCCGCCTGAAGAGGCCAGGTCAATCCCACATGTTCTGCCTCGAGGCCTGCGACACTTACAGGGGAATCAGATCTGTCACTGCGATGCTGGACACTAGGGTGCCCGTTCGGTACGTGACGTCATGTGCACTGAGCTGTGGACGCACCTGTCATGACCCTGCGCAATCATCGATAGTTTTAATGATTGACGCCTCTGGCCAGCGTACTGGCACTCACCCTCCTCCTCCCATGCCCGCGATTGCGCGCGCGACGATAAGCCCATCCATCGACGGCGCAAGTCCGCACAGGAAAGTGCCCACACCTGCGGGAAACATGAGGACGACGTATTCATCCGGCCAGGCGCATAACTGACCGAAGAGCGACAGTGCGAGGAGCATAGCTCCTTTCCGGCCGAGGATGTCGGACAGACGACCTTGTACCATGAAGCGTGAGCCAGGGTGATCAAGCACATGCATAGCTCCAGTCGTGCACGCACCATACAGAGGGGTGAAGCAGCATACGGACAGCAGGTAGGATGTTCCAATGTATGATGACCTGTTAGATTCATTGAAGTAACTACCGATTGGAGCGAGCAGAGTCGCAACAATGGTACCTATGATACAGCGCACGCTAAGGCATTTGAACAACGAAGTAGCAGCAACAGGCGAACCGTCCAAAGCCCCGAGGAAGACTGCACTCCACAGGCCTGCCAGAACCCAGGCAAGTCAGTCGACGAGACCTTATTCTGAGGTGCGGAGGACTCGGATTCTTGCGGAGTTGTGGATCCCGACTCGTCGGCGGGACAGGAAGAGTCGGGCGTGGCGTCCTGAAGTAAGGGTCGTGATTCCGAATGGTCTCGGTGGGTCGTAGACATTGCGTGGGCCGGTATATTTTGGTGAGGGTGAGGCCCCGTTTATATCTCGTCCGGGAATGAGATGTCCCACGGAGGAGGGATATCTGCAGCACGATCGTCAGCGCTGGCCATGACATATACAACGTGCGCCCATCAGACACACACCGACCGACTGGCCAGAAGAACAAGCGTAGAGGTCTTCCGCGCCGACGCTACCGTACAGAACGATGGCCCAGCGGCCGTGCGGCCTTCGCGCAGATTATATACAGACGGCTGGTGCAAGCGTGTGCCTGCTCACGCTCCGCTGGAGATCTCTCTCGCGCGAAGATCTGTCGGGATCTGAACCTGCACCAAGGTTATCGTCAGCATCCGTGATCAGCGGCGCTCCTATCCATTCACCCAAGCGCCCTGTATATCCTCCTCGTCCTTCTCCTCCTACTCGGCCCTCGTCCTGCGCTGCTCGTCCTCTTCGTGCGCGCACCCAACGTAACCACAGGGGACCTGCGAGTGTCCGGGTTTACCTCCACTCGTCCGCAGCGTCGTCTATCTCATTTGCTCCGATGCTGTCGGGCATTTCGCAAATTACCTCGGCTCAAACAGGTCTCATGGCGTTGTGTGTCGCCTTATCCCGCCATCAAGGGCGGCAATTATTCTCATGCAAAATAGGTTCAAGGTCAGTTGTCCAGTGAGCGTCATGTTTAGACCCGCAGGATCCTCACCCGATGGGAACCCAAATACGAAGGCGTCTAGACTCGGACGTCGAAATACACCGGATATGCAAGTCAACTCCGTATTTCTTTTTGTCGGTTTGTGGAAGAAAATGCATATGTCGAATGGCTTTTCCCAACAGTGAGTTCTCTTCTTTTACGACACAGTAGTATGACATGATTGCGACCTATCTACCCAATTGGCGAGTACACTGTGACTTATGCCGCGTGCAGACCACACTATCCGCACGGCTTATTCTCACTTGCATGATCTGATCCGCTCTACATCGGAGCCACCGTGAGTTTCTCAAACCCGAGCCCGGGTCATAAACTCAGCGAGAGCAAGACGAAAGGTACGTCGCAACTCACCCATCGTCGTGTTTCAGCGGCCCCTCTCCGCCCGACGGGCCCGATTCAGCGCGAGCTTTCGTGCCCTCCGCTGGGTGCTCTGAAGCAACTATAACGGAGGAGCTACTCTGGACCCATAACGGCAGTCCGATGAGAAACGCTGCCTCATCCCAGCTGTAAGCGAATCGCTTGGCAAAATGTGTCATTTATCTCGCACTATCTCCGTCCGCAGTCCGTGCCCGACGTTACATCGACGCCGACGTGGTTGAAGTGAAGTTGCAGCCTGAGGTGGCGAAGGTACGTAACGTCGTATTTCATCTCGTCGGTTTCCGAGGGTGCTCGCAGGAAGACTTCCGTTGCACTGCGCATACACAGCGGTATGTTCGGGGCCGCGAACGGGCGGGCGGCGACTTACACATTCTTGCGATTGATCGGGTCAAATGGCCTGCAGGCTTGAATGTGTAGGGTTCTGTTGCTTTCCGTGCAGAATGGTTAGGGCGCTGATGCCGGCACCCACCGCTGGCAACATTCGTCTTTGGGTCGGCGGTTATCCCTTTGTAAGGGTGCACTTCGCACATGTGCGGCCGACCCCTCGTCGCAACGGCGTGCCCGTCGTGCAGCTATTGAAAGTGAGGTACAATTGTGTGAGCGTCATTAATCTTCCTGGCCAGTGACCAGCGGTTCCGGTGTTGCCCTGGCCCACTCGTATCCCGAGGGCCTTGAACTTCAGGCCGCTGGAACACGCATGAGACTGCACCATGACTATAGATCCGCCTGTGGATGCCCCGGCGGTCCGTAGACCAAGGAGCTCACCACATATGTTCGGCGACTGAAATTAGTCATTCGCTGGAAGTGCGACCTTGTCTCAACAGGTTTAAGACATACCAGTGACGGGCATACGGGTTGTGAACGAGAAACACTTTTGCTGTTCACTGTGAACCGACGGAGAAGTGATTATCCCGGAGCCCAGCCCATCAAGTGTCGCATCCCGATACGTGCGGGCAATTAACTATCGTTACCCAAATCGCCGGTGAGTTGTCATGAGCTTACTCTCTACTATCTGACATTGCCAATTGTGCTTTGTTTTTCAGCAGGATAAGAATAGGCTGAAGACCAATTACACACTTCCGGCCAGTGCGGCTGGAACACAACTTCAAACTTCACTACATTCATGACGGCTACCGCCGTCTAGCCTTGCTCAGACCACACCTCCGATATTTTGCCAGTCAAGAATTTGTCCAGTCCTATGTCGATGATGATTTCGAGGGAATCGCACGGTTCGTATAGTGTCTCCATATTCTTGAGTGAAGACCGATTACTAGTATTCACGGCACCAGTATACTTGCAAGGGGAAATTCAAGAAGGCAATGTAAACGGCCGATTCTCGCTACGACTTCTTCTTCCCTAATCCACGGCCCATCGGAAGAATACAAGAAGTAAGTGTTCCATTGTATCTCGCGTCCTGGAACACAATGTCGCCATGATTTTACCTGCATAGGCATGCCTGCCGATGGTTCGTCGTCTTCGCACTTCCCAAGCTCGCGGGCTCTTATGACGATCATCCCACCCTCCCTCGAGATTAGGACCCGTGGACCGTATCTGCTCCACGTTGGCGAAGATTTGGATAGATCGCCGCTTCGTGCGCATCACCATACGCCATACGCTAGGCCTGCTTACTTCCCAATGTCCGATCGGAGGTCGGGAGGAATGTGAGTGGCAGATAGCCTCGGCCTCCGACTTCTAGCGGTCATCCTCGGGAGCGGCATGTACTGTAAATGGCCGTATGGCTGCGTGCTGGGCCACAGGGTGAGTGTCCTCCTCAGTGGGTCGGATGGCCCGACTGAACGGAATCACATAGGTGTGTAGAGGGCAGACAGCTTGTCGAGACGGTGAACGTGACTAGGAGGTGACGCCCGTACGCCTGCATAGTCTAGACACGATCACTCGCGTATCTTAAGAGAACAACGTGCCCTTCTGCGCGGAATGTCCTCGATCTCTGCTATGGCGGGAACGACAAGCACGCACCGGATCGCGTGCCAGAACCGCTTGTAAATGTTTGGCTGTTGGTCAGTCTGTGGATCTGTCTCATGTTCACGACTACTCATGCTATACAGAATTTGCCACCAACCTTGAATGGACGGTGAGCTATGTTTACCGTCTGGCATCTTTCGCGGTTTCCCTGTCAGTGAGGACTGGTGTCTGGCGCATGGATATTTTCAGCTCATGCGACTCATGTCTCAGTCCACATCTCGATGAGATGCATCTTCGAGCTCGACTAGACAGTTGCCGCCATTGCTTGAAGGCGCTGGCCTAGGCATGCATCTGTCTGTATTTATGCACAGCGCGAAAGGGACATGCGTTACCAGACGTGATTTTACTGTGATGCGGCTGGTGCGTGGTGTCAGCCTTAAGCCGTGGCCACCGGGCAGTATATCGGGTTCATGAACTCACCGCGACATCGCCGTGCTAACTTCACCGCGTCGAGCAGGAGTAAAGCGCACGTTTTCAGGTACTGAAGTCCAAGCCCGAGCAGTCGGGCACCGCACCTGGTCGATGTATCGAGGCAAGTCTGTGTTCATGTGCACTGAAGGGATATGAATTGCATTTAACCTTTTGGACGTTCAAGAACGACGACGGTCAATACGCGCTGTGTGGCTGTTCCCTTCATCCAGACGGCTTTTAACGACCCGGTTCGAGCTTCCATCTCTGTTTCTGAACAGGGGGCATCCACATCTTATCAGTAGAATATACCGCATTGTCGCTATACGAGCTTATACTTTGGTACTACCCGAGTGTCTCACTGCCAGTGTACGGTCAGGTGTGTACGGTAAGCGTACGTCAACGTAGTAGGATGGTACGTCTTTCGATTGACTGATCTCTGTAGGCGTCATAACTGCGAAGAGCGAAAGGCGCGCCTCGAAATCACAATGTCAATATTAATTGCAAACGTTCCTGTGCGAGACCCATCTCAGCAGTGATAGTTGAAGTACTAATCTGTCGTATCATTTCCTCTAGTACCCATAATCGTCCAAATATTGATCATTTAGCTTTTGGTAATGTGCGAACGTCCCAAGTTTACGTCGTAGCCCGGGTCAGCCTGAGTGCAGAGTCGTACACCTAGTGAGTGGGTATCACAACGTCACGACTAGGCCGTTGAAAGCGCAACTTGATGGTCCTTCTGTATCAGGGATCCCTTGACGACGTGTCGGATATTTGATTCAATGTTCGAACCACCCGGCTACGTGACGACGTGTTCGAATTACTAGGAACTTCAGGTGGCACTGGCAGCCACAACTGCCGCCTCACGTTCCGGTTCATCGCCACATGCTCGCAATAGAACATCCACTCAGCCCAGCCTCGGCTTACACTCTCCGCCTTCCTCTGAGCCTTAAGTTAAGCTTCGATCTCATACATATGAATTTCATCGCTGCCGGTTCTGCTAGCGCAGTGGAACTTGGCAAAACCGCCGGTATGATCGTAACAGGTCGTATAGAATATAGCAGTGACAAATTACAATCGACCAACAATCGATCATGCCAATCATTGCTGCTGAACAATTCAACGTACAACTCAAAAGGAACACTGAGCGGTTACTACATCCTTTCAGTCAAAGGCGCGATGCAATCACTGCATGTGTGCCTAAGAATCACTGAAGAAGGCGCCAGCTCGGTGAGCAATCGGGTGCATCCTCTCGCTCCCGAGGCTTATACTGTATCTGTCCCAAGATCTGTCCCCATCATCGTTGCGGTGTGCCTGCCTTTTAATCCGGTCTGGCAATCGTTATCGACAAGCTACACTGCGGATGTTGCTATTCTGGTTTCCGTGCCGTCTCTTCTAACCTACGTATAGGCTGAAGTTGGGCCCTGTGCTCGCAAGAGCCTATCTGTACTGGCAGTATGTGACAACCCCTCGGCGAAGCATGATACTTCTGACATTTGCACATACTTGATCCGTCGACGGAATTTAGCCAATCAGCGGGGAAGCCTATCGGTGTGATCAGACTAATTGCAACGCTCTAGAGTCTAAGTATTCCTCCGCCGTACGCACAGACCTGGAGAATGAGACGTCGTCATGCAACCGGAGCTTCCTGAAATGATCAAGGTTACGCGTTTCAAACCCACTCGCTTGACCTTGAATACAATGTTATCTTCCTCCCAGTTGATCCCACTGAGCCCATTCAGATGTCGGAGGCATTGGTGTCGACGGTTGGGCCGTTTCAGTCAATGGTTGAATTTTCTCTGAACAGGTCTGCTAAGCAGCTTGGGAAAATGCTGAGCAAGGTCTCTGAATCCTGACAAAGCGTATACCACTTGAGGAACCGAAACTCTGAGTTTGATTATGATTTGATCCCGCGCCGAGACCATGCGCTGTCCGCCACGCATGGCATGCACTAGGATTAATTTCCGTACGGCATGGAATGGGTCTTGTACATTGCTGGCGTTTCGTTTGTTGCAGCGAACGGACAACGAAGCAGAAGAGGCTGGTAAATGCACAATGAGCAGTGGGACTAGACACGCCCGGTCAGGCCCCGGCGAACCCCGAAAGGAAGCGACGAGCGTTGGCAAGCTGCTGAGCTAATCGCAGTGTAACATTACTCGAAAATGGGCTCGAAATCCCAATTACCCTTTACTTGAGCACGCCCAGGTCCCGTCCAGCTGCAACGCACTGCTGCCAGAACACGGCTCAGGGTCGACCCTCCCTGCCCGTTCGTGGACCCACACGCTCTTCTGTTCTCTCAACACCGTACGCCTCCCGCTCGCTCGCTCTCCGGCATGCTGCAAACCGACGGCGAGCCTCCCAGCCCCGCACTTCCCCAGCAACCAGGGATCGTCCGTTCAGCTTCTTCTGGCCCCAACGGCGGCGCACCTGCTTGGAAGACCATCTTTCGGATTGGAAGCCAGTCGTCGAAGAAGCTTGCCGGCAGCATCACCCCTTGACCGTTGATACCGACGGCGCGTTCTACGCTGAGCCTGCCACCCTAACGCCTAACCCGTCGCTCACTCCCCATTCCATTCGTTCCCCCGATCAACGCTCGTCGTACACCTCCTCGAATACGCTGTCAAGCGACTCGAGCAAACCGATGCCATCCAAGACACCTCATCGGACACCCAGTACGCCTGCATACATGAATGGTCATCTAGACTCGAGTGATGTGCATCACTCGAATGGCCACGACGTGATGCGCACGCGTACCAAGTCAAAAGCTGAGAAGCCGCGTCTCTTTGGGCGAACGAAGCCACCCATGACTGCCGATCCAACCCATACAGGCTTCCCGACGATCACCCAACCCAGCTCGTCGAAGTCGGGCCCGCTTTCGCCCAAAGCCATTGGGGCGAACGCGTCGCGTTTCATTCGGCGCGTCGCGTCAGCGCCGAACGCGAAGGGTCTCTTCTTACGGACACCAGGGACCAGTACACGGAACGGTCTGCTGTCGCCTGGCGATCCATCACATACAGTCCATGAGAACGGATTATCTGACCAGGGGACGAACTCTCTGGAGACGGTCTCCTCCGCCTCCTCAAGAGGGTATCCGGTGCGCCTTCAACCGCATCGTGCATATAGCACGACATTCGTTAACGTATCCAAGACCAAGGATCGGGTGACCAATGCGCGCAATGGGGCAGATGGTCCGGGCAGGGTGGCTTTCCGAAGAACGTATTCGAGCCATTCTATCAAGGTCAAATCGGTATGTGTTCTAATGCCTCAATCTGTGCGCTATGATCTTTACTCGTGCGCAGGTGGAGGTTGGACCGCAAAGTTTCCAAAAGATCAAGATGCTGGGTCGTGGTGATGTGGGAAAGGTGTACCTGGTGCGAGAAAAGAAGACAGGTAAACTGTTCGCGATGAAGGGTGAGTACTTCACGTCATGGCTTCTGTTGCCGTTCTGAACACCGGTGGTAGTCCTGTCGAAGAAGGAAATGATAGAGCGGAAGAAGATCAAGCGAGCCCTCACTGAACAAGAGATTCTAGCGACGGCGAATCACCCGTTCATCGTCACACTCTATCACTCGTTCCAGTCGGAGCAGTACTTGTACTTCTGCATGGAGTACTGTATGGGCGGCGAGTTTTTCCGTGCACTGCAGTCAAGGCCAGGAAAATGTCTATCCGAAGACGCGTCCAGGTTTTACGCCGCAGAGGTTACGGCCGCTTTGGAGTACTTGCACCTCATGGGTTTCATCTACCGTGATCTGAAACCGGAAAGTGCGTGCTGTCTACTCAGGGCCGCAGCATGTGACTCTTGAAGGTTCTTGTGCTGAACGGTTTCTTCCCAGATATCCTCTTGCACCAGTCCGGACATATCATGTTATCAGACTTTGACCTCGCAAAGCAGTCTGGTGAACCTGGAGGCCGGCCCGCCACCATTCACCAGGTTGAGAATGGGGTACGACTGATTCTCATGGGACCGGAGTAAATCGCTGATCAGAGCGCAGATGCCTTTGATAGACACCCGGTCGTGTACTGCTGACTTCCGGACAAACTCATTCGTCGGGACGGAAGGTATGGCGCGCTTCTCTGGCAACTTTGTCTCGGCCCTGAGTGATAACGTCGCTGTCAGAATACATCGCGCCTGAGGTGATCGAATCCTCGGGACACACGTCCGCAGTCGATTGGTGGACACTGGGAATCTTGATTTACGAGATGATTGTGAGTACGCGGACTCGCTACGCGGGGAATGAACCCCGGTGCGGATGCTGACCACATGTCGCACCTTTCTGCAGTACGCGACGACGCCATTCAAGGGCGAGAAGCGTAACGACACATTCCATAACATCCTTCATCTGCCTGTGCATTTCCGGGATTCACCTAAAGTGACTTCGTAAGCGGATCTCCCTTTTCTGCGAGCCCATGTGCTCACTTGCGTCATTCCCCAGAGCATGCAAGGATGTTGTCACACGCCTGCTGGACAAGCGCGAGCTGACTCGTTTGGGAAGTATGACCGGCGCGTCAGAGGTCAAGCAGCACAAGTGGTTTGCCAAAATCAACTGGGGTCTCTTGCGGAATACGCAGCCACCGGTGAGCCTGACGTTCATATTTAATGGTGTCATCGGAATGGAGAAGCGCGCGGGCCCATTGGTTTCGCGGGAGACGTCACCGCCACCACGGTGCTGGGTAGCACTATTCCATTTTGGGACAAGCTGGAAATTTGCTGTCCCAGTACCAATACTGGTGGCCTTGGGAAGAAAAGCAGAACGGTCGCAGTCGAGGCCACTATAGCCGAGTCCTGTGCGCCTGATCGACCTTCCAGGGCCGCTAAATGCCGCTCCATTCTCATCCTATTATATCGATGTCTGCTATTGTGCTATTTACTGACTGGATCTTTCTCTTTTCTTCGTTGCTGCCCCCTCTGCGATTCCATCTCTCGGCGGTGCTCACCCTGTGCAACCTCGCGGACAACGTCACTTTACCGGTGTCCTGGACCTGCTTCGTGCGAACCTCGCGTCGGCACCGCTCTTCTTCCACTGGTGACTACGACACACTCTTTTAACCCGCCTCCGTATTCTCTCCGCACGGTGCCGCACGCAACAGATCGTGCCGACCGTTTCTAACGGCGTCGACGCTGTGAACTTCCGACAAATGCACGAATCGAGTTCGCTGCATCTCGAGAAGCAACACTCGCAGTCGCCCCAGGCCTCCCCCCGCCCCATGTCGGCTGCTCCTAGTGCTGTGTACGGTCAGCATCTTCCAATCCAAGGCGTCGCTGGTTCGGGTGTTCCAGGTACGCCGGGGCTACGCGGAGACGACGGCATGGACCCCCCGCCAGCAGCGGTCGACCTGTTTACCGGATTCTCCAGCATGACACTCCACTATGACGGCGACAGTTAATTACTCCTCGCGCGGGGCACGGGCCTCTGGGCTGAGGCGGAGACATGACGGGAGCCTGCGCGGGTGGGTATGTCCTGCCGTGCGGAGGCATCCGTGTTCCGTGCCTGGGGGCGCGCTTTCTGGTGTACATTGATTCGAGGCTCGGCGGGGACTCTGCTGTCATCCCTCGTCGGCCTGTGTTGCGCATTCATTGCTGTCTATGGTTATCGGATTCACCGTGGATGGATCTCTTCTTCCGATTCGAAACTTCCTGGTTGCGTTCGCGTCCGGGCTGTCAACGTCAGCGGCGGGCAGTGCGTGCTCACCCCCTCCACCCTCCTCCGCCCCGTCCCCCGCCTCCTGTCTGCATGGCGCGACTGCACCCCGGTCTGAGCTCGCCCTCTACCTCTTTATTCCCACCTTCATAATCCCGACGCCCGCCCTACCAGGGACACTCGAGACCTGTCCTGCCGCGCTGCCCGGTCCCGTACTGCATGGCTCGTTCGCATCTTCGTCTCTGCATCGCATTCAATTGTACATATACCATATGCATGTACTACCAGCACGTCCACTGCCGCTCATTCCCTGCAACCGCCCATCCTCGCACTCCTTTGGCATTCATTCATCACTGATTGGTGTTCTGTGGTCAACGGTCGCAAACGTCACGCAACTCATCCGTATCCGTATTCATATAACCATCGCTATTCTTCTGCTGCCCCGTCCGCCTCCACCCGCGTCTGCGCCGGCGGAGGCGGACGGCCGTACATATCCCCCTACCTGCCTATACATATTCACCCGCTACTTAGTTAGATCGGCTCCCGGTATTCGACGCACCAAAGGAAGTATATTAGGTTCCGTTCTATACCCGTGTGGTCTTTGCTGTACGTACGTACTCGAGGATGGATTAGGGTTAATGCGTGCTTGTTCGCTCGATCGGACAGCCGGACGGTGTGCTTATCGAGTGCAGGTCTCGCCGCCGGTCTCGCTGTGGCCGGGCCTGCAGACAGTGATATCAGACTTTCCGAGGGACAGACTGTACCCTGTCAGCTCGGAGCGTGATGAGAACAGGACGGGACGGGACAGGACAGAGGGCATGCCACGCGGGGAGATCAAGGTACGACTGCCCGTCGCCGACGACCGTCGAACGTCGACGTGCGGCAGCCTATCTGGAAGGCCGTCTGCCCAGTGCGCAGGCGGTGGTGATTGCACTGGCGGCTGAGCGGGCCCACTCAGTCCTCCCGTCAGGCGCGGCGGCACTCCGGAGTCGCTGGCAGCAGACAGATTGCGCACGCCCGTCTGCACTGTCCAACCGTGCAGTATACGCACCGAGTCCTGGGCTGTGGTACGGGCGCTGCGGTGGTGCCGTAGGCTGGCCCCTCCCGCGCGCGCGTTCACGCGCCGTGGTGACGCTGATCTGCTGGCCGGTCATCATTCGTGGGACGGATGCGGAAACCTGTGTCGCTGAATTGCGAGGGGCGGCGCGGGGCTTGTGTTAGGTTTGATCATAGAGTGCTGCGAACGCACTGGCACTGGTCTGCGCCGTGGTGGCGCGCGGCGCTAGAGCGCGCGAAGGATCATCGCAGCTGGAAGATGATTGGGAGTGCGGCCGGGCTGTGCGGGCTGTCCTTGTTTGCCTCGGATGGGATCGCGGGCAGCAGTGCTGGTGCGGGGGCACAGCGCGAGCACGCGGGCTGCGCACAAGGTTCGCGGAGGACGGCGAAAGGGGTACGTTGTTGTGCGATCTGTGTCTGGTTAGAGTTCGTAGGACGGAGGCAAAACGAGCGCGCGTGCGGGAAACGTGCGAAGAAGCCGCGGGGAGATGTGGAGCTCTCCGAGGTCCTGGCCGCGCGAGCCAGTGGCGGCGACGGTGGACGGAGGCCCAGGGGCTCATAGGCCTACAGACAGCGGCCCTCCCGCTGGGAGATCACAGGGAGAGTTGCCGGAGGCCGGTGACGGGACGCAGGAAGGGCTATTCATAATCGAATTCATTCGTCGTGCAGGTTGCCTTCCGCGTTTGGGCTGGCCGTTGTCAGAGCCCATTGAGATCGAAGGCGTATGCCGGCATGCGCGATGATACCTAGCGTGCCAGCCCGAAGAATGCTCCTGACTCACGCCTCCTGCGTCACGGCGCGTCCATGGGCCGTCCCGTCTGGGCTCAGAGTGGGAGTTGCGGTGAAAAGGGAGCGCAGGAGTGGCGCGGGGCGAGCACGCGTGCCGCTGGACTGACGAGACGGGGTAACGGGCGAGTACGTACAGATTACGGGTCGCTGGGCTTTGGGGGCGCTAGCGCGTTCATAGATCATATCTTGGTTCATTCAAGGACGTCGAGCTTCGAGGGTCGCGACACCCGGCATTCAAGCACGCGTGCGTCTCGAGACTCGAGTGCACGCTGGCAGTGGTGCTATACAACGGGAGGGGACGCGCGCGCTGACACTGGCATGGTGAGTGGACATGCGAATGGGGGATGGGCCGGAATGGAGGGCAGGCGCCTGGTGCGGGGAATCGAGGTGCCCGCGGTGCTTGGTTGGGCTGCGGGCGGCAGGCGGAGGGTCGGGCACGCGCTGGCGGCGGGCCGCGTCGCGTCGGTGGCGGCAAATCTGGGCGATCGGAGAAGCGTTGGCGTGGAGGGTCAATCGGCTTGTGGCGCAGAAGGCGGGGGCGCGGACACTGCATCGGCGGCGTGCGCGCCTGTGTCGCGAGCCGGCGGTACGCGCGAAGAGCAGGCACGGGAAGCGCGTTGTGGGCGTCCTCCTTCGGGGGCGGGCGGCGGGCGAGCGTGCTGCCGCCACTCGCTGGCGGCGCGCGGGACCCCGAGAGCGGGGACGAGGGTCTGTGGGAACGGCGCGCGGGGACCCTCGAACTGACCCCCACGCAGCCAATGGGGACCCCGGCGCGGCTCTGATGGGATGTGGCGATAGGGCTGGTGGGGAGTGCCGACGGGCACCTGCCCGATCGGGCGCGCGCGTTCGATCAGAGATGGGCTGCGAAGATTCCGGCGGAAGAACCTTGCGTGCTGCGCCCCCCGGGGAGTGCTGGCGACGGCGGCCTGGTGCTGGGGGTCTGTGGCGGGCGATTCCGTGCTCGGTGCAGGCGGTAAGTCCACCGTTGTCCCACAGACAGTCTGTCCCACACCGCGCACTCTACAAATACGTTCCGCTGCCACCCATCCTCCCCCGTCTTCTCGCGCCGCGCCAATTCAAGTCTGGCGAATCCTCGCCCTCCCGCAGCTTCTCCTCTTCTCGCCTGCACGCTACCGTCTTCTTCGTGCATCCCTCCCTCCAGCCATGGCTGATCTCTACCCCCAGACCTACTCCAACCGCCAGCCCTCCTACCACCGCCAGGACCAGCAGCAGTACCCCGTCCAGAGCACCCAGGGCATCGTCTACCCCCAGCTCCTCAACACCTCCCAGCCCGCCCCCGTCTCCGATGACCACCAGTCCCCTCCCCGCAGGAGCAGTCCGCGTCCCCCACGCGTGAGTCCGACTCCCCCAAGCACGATACCCCGCCCGCACAAAAGTCAGAGAACACCCCGCAGCAGCAGCAGGCTGCCAAACCACAGGCGACGTTCCTGACCAAGCTTTACGCGTAAGTGGCACCCCGCCAGCTCGCCCTCCACGCGCCCTCACCACTGCGCCCTCAGCCTCCTAGAACGCCCCGAAAACCACCACATGATCCGCTGGGACCCAGCAGGCGAGCACATCATCGTCGAGCGGCCTGAGCAGCTCGCGTTGCACGTCCTCCCGAGCGTATATCGCCAGTCCCGCTTTGCCAGTTTCTCTCGGCAACTCAACGTGAGCCGCACCGACCGTTTAGCCTTCCCCGGCGCGTCGTTGATGCGCTCGCTAACACCTGTCAATGCTGTCATGCAGATCTACGGTTTCATGCGCAAGGTCAACCTTCGCAACGTCGATCCCGCCATTGACGACCCCGACGCGAGCACTTGGTGTACGTTACTCTGTTATACACGTGACCCCGCTGGCATGGTACTCATCCCCGACGTCCCCGACGTCCCCAGCACACCCGACCCTGAACCGTCACTCACCTGCGGAAGTGGTCGCCAACTTCAAGCGTCGCGTCCCCCCACGTCTCCCCAAGCCTCGCAAGCGTGACAATGAGGTACCCGCCATTCCGCCGTCTCGACCGCCACTCGGTACGAAAAGTATCTCACCCTATTGTAATCCACTTAGACAAATCTTTTGTCCAGATACCGGCGGACGGCCTCGTGGGTTTTCGTCTCCAGGCTCCTTCACGCCTATCGGTCAGGCGGGCGCACCGAGCTGGTCCTCTGGTTACGCGCGTGGAACGCTGCCTCCATTGACGGTTCCCTCAGATCCGCCAATGTCGTCGCACGCCATGTATTCGCACTCGTCTCACATCACGCACCCCATAACGCCCACAGACGATACCCCGTCCTCAGCGTCCTTCAGCCCGATGACGTACCAGAGTGCGCCGCGCGACGCGATGATGCTGCCGTCACCGTCGTCGCAATACCCATACACAGAGCAGACGAGTAACAGCTGGGGCTTTTCGCCCACGAGCACGTCAAGTCATTCGTCCGGCAGCTTGTCTAGCTTGCTGAACCCGAGTACGAACATGAACGGCGGCTACTCAAACGCGTCGCGCCCAACCCCGCCGGCCATTAACACGCACTCGTCCTACGGTAGTGTTCCCATGAGCCGAGGCCACTACAGCGCCGGTGGCTTGTCGCCTGACAGCAGGCCGACGTCGGGGTACTCTGTGTCGTCGATGTCATCGATGCCGGACGCGTACGCCGAGTCCCCCAACACTATGGCCACCACGACTACTCGAGACCCAACTCTAGCCATCACCCGTCGTCCGCTCGGCCGTTGACGCCCTCGTCTTCGAGGCCGCCATCTTCAAAATCATATAACACGAGTTCGCTGAGTATCCGGAGAGCGCGAAGGCACAGCCAGGCGATGCATCCCTATCCGTCTCCATACGGTGAGCACCCGCCGTTGTCGGCAGGATCTGAGCGACCTTCGAGCTCGCCACAGCCTGATGAACACCCGGGCAACATCACGCGGGTGCGGAGCATGATACAGCTCAACTCGACGGATACGTATGGCTTTAATCCGGCGCAGGCCGACTTCGCGTATGGGGCAGTAGATGACGGGCATGTGTCGCACCACGGCCACGGGATGTACGTGAACACGGGACGAAGCGTGAGGCCGTCGACATCTGCGTCAAGCCTCTCGACATCGAGCTCGGCGGCGAACACGCCGGGAGGCGACGGGTTTGGGCCTGGGGCGGGCGAGGCGGACATTAACCGATGTGAGTAGTTCGTCCGCTCTGTGCGCGACGCGCAGCGCTGGAGGCGCGGCGGTGGACGGTCGCTGACTTGGCGTGCTTTTTTTTCTCGTTGTGGTTGTGGTTGGACATTAGTCTCACCCGACTTCGGCTTCGTACAGATGAACGAACACCTCCCGCACTACGCTAAGGGCGAGATGTAGGTCTGCCCGCGCGCGTGCGCCACTCGGTTGTCGGCCCCGGTGTCATGTCGAGCGTGTGTGGCGGGGCAGGGGGCGCCGTGACGTCTCGCTTGCAAGTGATCGGCGGGGGAGTGGCTGGGGGCCACGGAAAAGGTCTGATCGCGGTGCCGGGAGCATCTGCCACTCTGTCCTCTGTCTCACATCTCTCCATCTCTCCATCTTTGTTCGCTCGTTCATTCATCACGATCATTTGACAAGGACTCGTACCGGTGGCTGGTTTGTCGCTTGCCCATATCTCGGTCTTTCCATCTCTCACTCTGCTTTGCAAAGCTGTTCGCTGTATTCGTTAGTTGCTTTCGCCTCCTCCTTACTCGGTCCCTGTACAATGCTCCACCGTCTTTTCTTCTGGTAATTCGCGCTGCCATGTATATATCCCAGATACCAAGATGCGCATTGATATCCTCCTTCTGGCTGTGAGCGACGTGATTTACGCTGGGGCATCAGCAGCCCCGGCGCGCGTGCATTGAATGGAATGCAATATGTGCATGTCAATGGGGAGACAGTGCGGCCGTGGATGTATCGGCGCGATCATCATAGAACGCTGGGAGGCTTCTGCTGTGGCCTGTTCAGTAGACTCATGCCAGCTGCTGCATGCTTATCCAACTCCGCGGGAGCATCTGACCGGAGGGTCCGCCGTACGCGTGCAGCATTTCACATCGCGTTCTGTTCCGCTTTGGGGGGCATAGCCGTACTGAGACGAGGCGCGCAGCAGCGTTTACGGCGGTTGCTACTTACGCGAGGCGGGCGCGTCCGCTGACGCGAATGTAGCCATGCGAGCTCGACACGGCGGGTGCGCCCGATATGCGCCTAGCGGGTGGGTGAAAATGGCGACGAGAGCGAGCGTCGCGGAGATGGAGGGGACGATGGGGGACTGGGGGGGCGAACGATCAGGCGGCTCGCGTGGCGGGCGGTGGCTGAAGATGGCGCCGCGCGATGCGATTGCGATGTGTGCGTGCGCGGCTCTCCTGCGTGATCGCGTCGATTCCTCCATCCTCTTCCGGCCCAAATCCGTCCACTGCCCTGCCTCGGCCGTCCCACTTCGGCCACGTCCGTCCAATCACGCGTCCTTTTGAGGCCCTGATACGGACCGCCGCCCATGGCGGACGCAGAGTCCAAGTGCAGAGGCTCATCAGCCAGTGCAGCAAAGCAACCGGTCAGTCTGCCTGTCGTCGTGTAGCGCCGGGTGCGTGCCGTCATACCAAGTGCTCATTCCGGGTGCAGATGTCGACGCGAAGGTGGACGCGCTCGCGAAGCTGCAGGTCGAGTTTGAGAATGGCGCGGAGGTGCGTGTGCGGACGCGTTCGTCGTGCAGCAGCCTCACCCGAACGCGACTTGCGTAGATCCCGGACGCGGACGCGACCCTCACCGTGTTCAAGGCCTGCCTCAGGACCGCAAACCAGCATCTTTCTACGGCGACACTGACCGCGCTGCCCCCGCTCCTTCCCCTCCTCGTCGCCCGGCATACGCTGACGCGTTCAACGTCCAACGTGCCCAACTCGCCCACGACGTCCACATCCTCTACGAGCCCGTCCGCCGTTGACGCGCATTCACTCCGCCAAGTGCTCAGCGCATTCTTGCCCTCAGGCGGGATCATCGAACGTCTCGGCGACAGCAGGGAGAAGTCGCGAGAGAAGGCGCGCGAGGCGCTCGTACTGCTGGGCGGGTTCGCGTTCCGGAGTGGGGGGACGAGTGCGATGATGAACCGGTCGCGCGAGGGGAAGGGCCCCGAGACCCCCATGCAGATTTTCGAGAAATATTTCAGGGAGCTAGGGCTCGCGAGCAAGGTGTGGAGGGTGCGCGAACAGGTACGTCTCAGTGCTCTGTTCATGTTCCGGATGTCTGACAGCAGCAAACGCTGTGGGTGTCCATAATCTCTGCTTCATGGCGCGGTGGAGTACAGGCCGTGCTGACACTCGTGCACTTGCGCCGCGCGCACCACCTCTTTCCCATCCGGGCATACCTTCCAGCGCTCGTCGAGGCCCTCGAAGACACCGACGGGAATGTGCGTGAATGCGCGCGGCAGTCGGTCGTCGAGCTGTTCACGGGGCCCGGCGTGACGGATGCGGCTCGGGCGGACCTCAAGAAAGAGATGACGAAGAAGGGCGTGCGTAAGACCATCGTCGACAGCGTGCTCTTGCGCGTGCTCGCCGGCGGCAGCGGCGGCGCGAGCACCCCGGGCACCATGAGCGACGCGGGCTCGGAGAATGGCGACGCGGCCCAGAAGGAGTACGTTCCCCCGAGCATCGCACTCATGAATCGCCGGCCGACGCAAGCTGCCGTTGCTGGCCTCCCGCGGACTGCGAGTCAGAGCAGCGTGGGCAGTGCGCCGCGGCCTGCAAGTCGGTCCGCGATGGTGTCACCCCCGCCCGTTGACAGCCCTATTGCTGCCTCCGCGAGCGGTTCAGATGTGAAGCCCGTTTACGTGAGTGACATGCGAGGGGTGTTTCTGCTTTGATTACCGGGGCTGATCACGCATATACTCAGGTTGCATCGGTGCACGACCTTGAGAACGAATTTGCGTCCATGCTCAGACACTTTGAGGTGGGTAACCTGCCAGCACACAACTGGTCTTTGATCTGATCGCCTTTCGGCTTCCAGGGCAGGGAGAACGAGCACAATTGGGCGGCTCGTGAACAGTCAGTCCAGCGTGTGCGCGGATGCTCAAGGGCGAAGTCCACACACGTTTCCATGACGCGTTTTTGTTCGGATTGAAGAATAGCTTTATCAACGCATCCCTCAAAACGGTACCTTTTGTTCGCACAGACACAATCCGCTGACCGTGCTGACACTCCGTCAGCTTGCCAGTTTACGTACAACGGTCGCCGTGAACACGTGCATGCTGTATTCGGAGCTCGCCGTCGCGCTCGGCGCCGACCTCGATCCGTGCTGCGAAGTGCTGTACTTGAATCTCCTGCGAATGGGCAGCCTGACCAAGAAAATAACAGCACAGCACTCGCAAGACACCGCGGACACAATTATGGCCCACGTTTCAGCTCAACCCCGGTTCGTGATTCCAACGCTGTGGAATTGCATGCAAGATAAGTCCGTTCAGATGAGACATTACGCCCTTGGACATGTACAGGTATATCTTGATGTGCACGGAGCACGCGCGAAGCATGCCATCGAGTCTAGCGGCGGCGTGGACCACCTTGAGAAGACCATCAAGAAAGGCCTGGGAGACCCGAACCCCAAGGTTAGGGATAATGCTCGGAAAGCGTTCTGGGCCTTCGAAAGCATCTGGTCAGAGAAAGGTGCGGCCATCTTGAACACCTTAGATTCGACGGCGAGAAAGCAAGTGGAGAGGGCATGTCCTAATCCTCATGCTGTCGCCGCTCTTTCAACGACGGAAACTCCCAAGCCGAAAAAGAGCAGCGTCGCGGCGGCCATTGCTGCTACACGGGCGAAAGCGAAGGCCAATGCCGCCGCGCCTCCAAGCCTGCGCCATCAGGCCACGAGCACCTCGCAAGCTGTGCGAGCGATGTCACCAACCGGCAGGCACGATATGTCCCCTCCATTGACCGCGAGTACGTCCATGGGCAGCGTGCGCGCCACGTCTCCGACAACTCGATCTCCACCGAGATCGAGAATTATTTCGGGCACCATGTCGCGGTCCGTCAGCTCAGGGACCACTACGTCTTCACGGCCGCGGACTTCTTCTGGTCAACCTCCCCCGGCTTCGCCGCCGTCTCCCACTCCTGGTCCCGGTTCCGCGTTTCGCAGGCGCGCATCGTCTCCGCTCGTCGTCCCCCCTTCACCACCGAAGTCACCTCCGAGTAGTCAGTCTGTATTCCGGCGAGCGGTGCACACAGCATTGCCTGCGTCTCCGCCTTCCAGCTCGGTAATCACATTCACCGACCCTGCACATAAGCCAGGGCGGCCAGCAGCTGCTGTGCCGTTGCCCCGGGAGTCATTGTCAATAGCAGGCATGCACGGGCATCCTGGCACTGAGGAAGAGTCCCTGCTTTTAGCCATGAAGATCCCGATCCCTGAAGATAGCGACTCCGATATGGACGAATCCGTCAACCTGCTGTCGTTCTCGGCGCCCTACGAAATGTATCCTCCCATTCCAAAGCCAAGGGCTAATTCCCAGGCTGCGTCTTTCTCACCAAGATCAAGTAGCTCGCGGCCTGGGCCGTCCAAGGCACTGTCTACGTCTACCAACTCTCCGCCGTCCAGCGCGCCGCAAGTAATCGTCGAGGATGCGCTTCGTGCCCGCGCAGAGCAAGCAGAGAGCGCGGCGGAACGCCTGCTAGAGCTCGTTGAGCCGGAAGAAGACGGTGTTCACGCGTCGCCGATCCCCGCGTCCTTGATGAGAGGTGCTATGGGTACGCCTCGAACGAAAGTGAGGACAGCGGGTCCCAATAGCGCCAAGGCGCCATTGTCGCCGCCACGAACCCCTGTCAACAAGACCGCCGCAATGTTGAAGCAAGCTGCGCTTCTCCAGGATAGTCCAGCTGCAAATGGCAAGAGCGCAAACGTATTCAGCATGGTGAATGGCACCGATACCGCCACTGAATGGTGGAGGAAACGGACTTCGCGTGAGACTACTTGTTAGCAGTGCCTTCTGACGGGAAGACTGACGTTCTGTTCATCGCCAGTCATCAAGTCTGCGAGCCCTCTATTGGGTCATGAGGATGCGGATCGTGAGCGAGAACTGCAAGGGTACATCTCCGCGCTTGAAGACGGTTCTGCAGATATCCCCGCGCTGCAGAACATGGCACTTCTTTGTACCCAAATGGCCGTGATTGAAGTTTCCTCGCCGACAAGCCCGGACCTCGCCGCGTCTCCCACGCCTTCACCCGTCGTGCTGGGCAGCTCGAATTCCTTGCCATCTCTTGCTAAGAGCTTTTGGTTCCAACACAAAAACCTCGACCACTTGTTCGATGCTCTCATCAGCTACTTGAACCCGACTCAGGTCAGTGCGACCAATGATGTAGACGTTCGCTTGCTGATCGCGAGTCATCAATGTCGTACAGGACGAAGAGAAGCTGCAGTATGGTCTCATTGTACTGTGGGAAATGATAGTGAACCAGTGGCCGCTTCTCGAAGGGAAGGAAGCCGGTATATTCTCCGTGCTTCTTCAAGTCAGGTATTGCGCTCGGGCGAATGTAGGTGGCATACGTCATCGAGACGTCTGCACTGCTAAAGCCCATGCTCGTAGGTCATGCAAGCCACGAACATGTTCCGAGATGCCCTCGCGGTGCGTGTCGACGCTGTATATGGTCTGACGACTTTGCATGCGTGCGTGCGTGCGTTCCGCAATGCAACTCCGCCGGATTCATCGAGCGCGGAGATCAAAGATGGGACATATGCGTTCGGACTCGTTGCTTTGGGCAAGTTCATCCTCCGTTTGCCAGCAGAAGTACTTGAGGAAGAGTTGCCACGGCTTCGTGCCACGCTGATATCCGTGAGTATCTATCTGGCAACTCAGGCTGTTGTCAGATTGATTAACCTTCACATAAAAGGCGTCCGATCACACCTCCCTCACGGTCCGTGAGGCAGCTGCCGCTGCTATCATCGCTGCACAGCTCGTCTTGCGTGATGAAGCTCATCTGTTCGCACTCCTTGACGGGTTGCCAGATGGCAAGAAGAATCTGCTGACCTACCTCTTCGATAAGCATGGCTGCAGAGACACCTCCGAAACCCTTGGACCCTCGCGGACGGAGAAACTCGAGCGAGAGATGCGACGATTGGACAACCGCACGAATACGCCACCACGGCCTCCTACCACGTCCTCTGACAGCTAGATCGATGGTCTGTCAAGTCAAGCCATCCTCAGCATCCGGTATAACCGCGTTCATCTTGTTCTTCCCTTATAATACCCATACCTACTGTTATGCACTCCCTCGGCCATCTTTCGTTCCGGATATGATGATCGGAAGGACATGCAACGACTGTCATGATAGTGAATGATATGCCAATCATGAACCCCAATGAAAAACGCATCTGCTGGGAGATGCCCAGAGCTGCTCGGAGCTGCGCGCGTCGTCGAAATGTGCCCGAATCTGCTCGGAGCTGCTGACAGCTTACAGCAAAGTCACCAAATGACAGCTTGTCAACGCGTTAACTCATCGTCATTAGAGCTTAGTGCCTTTTGCCTCTGAGTTGGGGCTGTAGCCTTCCGATATCGCTGTCGAGTCTGCCGCCTTGCGTTAAGCACTTACGGTACCACTGCGCGGTGCGCATTATAACACTAACGTTCCCGCCCGCTCTGGTATGACGTAATCTCTTTGCAGCGACGGCGGCCGTCGTCGACATCCTGCCCCTCCCTCTCATGCTCTTACTACCACCACCACTTAGTGTGCAATTGCCCGCTGCTTGTCTACCGCCCGCCCGCTCGCCCTGCTGTATGCCCGTCTCATCCGCTTACGTGTCTCTTCGCTCGCCCACGCATCTTTTTACTTGCCACGCGCCTTCTTGTCTGCCCGCACACCTCCTTGCTTGCCCGCCCGCCTCCTTGGAGTCTGCCTCGCCCGCACGTCTCGCTCACACTTTAGCTGACCATCCACTCGTCTGTTCGTTCCCTAGCTGGCTTCGTGCGAGACCCGTGAACATCGTTGTAAGGATCGCTGGCGCGCCGAGCAACGCGATCTGTGTCCCGTAAGTATTTGTGCACTTGCCCGCCCCTCTGCACTCGCTCGCCCGTCTCCATGCTCGCTCGCCCGTCTCTGCCAGTGCGCTCCGCCGCCCGTCGACCCGACTACAGAGAGCAGAGACGATGCTGAAGATCGGCGAGCGGGCTTACCCTGTGGATCCCTCACGCGACCCGCGAAGACAGAGACGCTGCAGCAAAATAGCCGCGCCGCGGCCGCTCAACGTCGGGCAAGACGACGATCCGCTCGCCCAGCAGATGGTTGCGCTCAAAAAGGAGGAGGCAGCACACGGCGGCAGAGTCAGTACCAGCCACAGGGCGCGTATCCGACTTCCAGCCCATCGCCAACGAGACGGGACGCCACGGCGAACAAGCTGTCGCCGCCGCCAGACGGATCGAGCCGGAGTGGTCGCAGGAACTCGGTCGACTACCGTCGCTCCGCGGAGATCGTCGCCGGCGCGCCGCCAGCTTTCGACTGGCGTTCGACGTCGCCAAACCCGTACCCGAAGCACATGCTCCCGCCGTTAAATGTAGGTCCATCGGAATTTGCCCGTGGAGGAGATTCTGCACGACTACGAGCAGTCATTCCCAGGTGAGCGCAAGTCCACTGGCATAAGCCGGCTGGGTAATCATCCTGGGAGTGTTATTGGGCTGCCAGGGCAGGTCCGAACCCCAGCCAGAGCCAGATACTACAGTCGACGAGGTTTATGAGCGGCCAGGCCGGCATTGGTGCACAGGGACGCAGTCCCAGATCGCAGCCATTCGCGCCGCCATCGCGCAGCACTGAACGGTGCCCCGCCCCCAGCACTCGACGAGATGGCGAGCAGGTACCAACTGCCGCCGCTACGCATCGCGATTCGTAAGGCGAACAAGGTGTGTGCGAGCTCGATTGAACTGAGTCAGCAGGAGCCGGTCGCGTTGGCGGACCAAGGCAAGAAATCCGAGGTGAAGAAGTGAAGCGCAACGGTCAAGACTCGGAAACGTCGGCAAGCGGCCAGCGCATGCGAGTGAGACGAAGGCGTGAAACGGGCGCGAGTGCGGTATGCAGGGTGCGGGCGGGCGCTGTACGCAGGAAGCAGGTGGGCGTGGTATGCAGGGTGCGGGCGGGGTGGTCGGGCAGGAGGCGTACGGGGTGGTCGGGCGGGGGCGCATGGGCAAGGTATGCAGGGGGCAAACTTGGTATCGCGTGCGGGGTGTCGGTGCAGGCAGGCGCGGTACGCAGGGTGCGGGCGGGCGCAGTACGCAGGGTGCAAGCAATATGTAGACGGACACTCGATAAATGTATTCTTTTTCTGGCAACTAGTGCAATACAGGAGCATCTAGCAATATGCCCGGATCTGCTCCCAGCTGCATACGAGTGATTTTCACGCTCAGAGCAGCTCCGAGCAGTTTGAAAAATGCGAAAAGTCTAAATTTCTTGCTCCAGGCTGCTCGGAGCTGCTCGCAGATGTTCTTTTCACAGCAGCCCCACCGAGCAGCTCCGAGCATCTCAGAGCATCTCCCAGCAGATGCGTTTTTCACTGGGCATGAACCTCACGCTGATAGCGCTGAAGAGCGCGGGATTGCAAGTGTGTGCTGAGCGCTATGAAAGGCGTGGCCCTTATGTTAGTTGAGCGTGGAATGAGGTGGCATGATATGCATATGAGATCCCAACGTGCGACCAATTGTGCACGCCCATCGGCCTCGTGTTGCAAACGAGACAACCACGAATCATTGGCCACAGGTTTCAAGTAGACCGGTCCTAGCTTAGCTGTCCACTCGGGTCCAGCCTTGAAATTTGTAACACCTTCCAAAGTCCAAACATCCAGGGAACCGTTCTACGCGCTTTCCTGTGGTCCCGCGTCTAATTGCTTGTAGTACAATCCTGTCTACACGTATGGCGGCTGCATGCGATGCTTCCGTGCTAATCAACGGAGGCCTTGACTCATGTGGCGCTGTTCACTGAGACTCATTGAGTACAACTCACGTCTTCATAGCCTCAATGCAGGATCCCATCTTCCGCCTGGGACCCCAATCTCAGGATCGGGGTGAGAGAGATGCAGTGCGATACCGCCAGCGCCCTTGTACGACTGCGGTAAGCCTGAGTCAATGGCCACTGAGTACAGTAACGCATCGGCGAAGAGGACGAATTCGAACATAGCGCCTGAGAAGATCCCGAGGCAAGTGCCCCGAAATGCTTCCGCATCAATTAATCTCGGTGTCCTCAACGGACGCATGGAATCGGAAGCCATACTGTACTTAGCTAGGACCGGTCGAGAGATACACGCGTCCTGCTCCACTGGACAGGCCAAATGACTCTAGCGATAATGGGTATGGTCTGCTGGCCAAGTCATGAGACTGACAGCAGGGGGAGGGCGCTCCGCCCGTGTCTCTCACAGCTGTCCTGCCCGCGTCGAGACCGCTCATCGAATGCATGCATTGAGGATGAGGCTGAGAGGTGGAGATCTGCATGAGTAGCCGACAGTTGAGATTTGGGCATCATGCGTTCTGCAGCGCCCTCGCGGGAAATGCAGTCCGTGACATACAACGGAACTCGGCACTAGAGCGCAGCGAGAACCTCCACCTCGGAGTTTGCGTACAGACAGGAATAAGCACAGTGGACCGTAGACATCGCACGGATACACCCTAATCAATTTCAATCCGCGAAGGTGTGGTACCACGCCGCGCGACGACGGATACGTGTCCAGCGCCACCGGCTTGATGAACAATCTCAATCGACAGTCTCACTCGGAGCTCAGGCTTGCGCGCGAGACAAAGAGACACCGGTCCCGGAATTGGCTAGTCCGTGTGCAGAAAGGTACAGCCCCGCCATAAACCTGGACCTACAACGCGATCACGTGATTCATAGTGTCCCCCGCGGAGACTCAGAGCATGCTTCGCCGGTCTCTTGATGTAAGATTGTAAAATGCTAGATGCGACATGCAACTAAGGGAAAGCGTCAGCTGGATTACTGAATATCACAACATGAGACTCACATGATTACACAATATGTAGTACAGTGCCACTGACGACGTGCGCCCCGACATCGTTATGGACCGTCTATCCGTACGGCAGACGTCATGATGCCTTGACTCGTGGCAACGGATCCCGGAGCAACCTGGGGCGCGACATCGGTGGGTTTCGCAGCTTGCAACTGCACCAATCGCGGGGGCACAAACTTGGACGCGCGGAAGCGCACCTTCCTTGGCCATTCCTCCTTGCTCACGAGCAGACGTCGGCGTTTGTCGCGCATATATACGTCCTTCCCGTTCCACACCCGTCGGCCGAGCCTCTCCTTCATACGTTGCGTCACGCGCCCTACTGCGTCCGCGATCCTCTGCTCGAGCTCTTGCAAAAGCTGCAAGTCTTTGCGGATGATGACTAAATGACGGTTGATGTCGAAGGTTTTTGGTGGGGTTGGGGAAGAGGGTGCGGGGGTGGAGAGGTCGACGTTGAAGTAAGGCATGGGCGGGACGTGCACGGTTTTGTCGACGACGTTGTCGGAAGCTGAGGAAGGGGTGAAGTACGAAGAGAACACAGCAGACGAAGAAGATTCGGCGGAAGCATTCGATTCCTCCGAAGATGATGAAGTCACGTCCTCTGTGCCCGAAGCTGCAGCAGATTCTTGGCGGGCAAGCTCGTCCGCAAGCCTCCACCATCGCAATCTCCGCTCGTAGTACCTGATGTGGTTCTTCTTCAGCTTGATCACCTGGCCCGTCTTGTAGAGCGTCCAGCGCATCAGCTCCAGGTCCCTCTGGCGATTGGCCAGGCCGAAGACAGCGAGGATCATGCTGCGATTGACGGCCATATGCGGACCGACGACCTCGGAACGAGGCATTCGGACGCAGGCGATCCGGACCTTTCTATCCACGTCCTTCTCGTACCGGATGGCCTGCAGCAGGTAGTGCCGCGCCATCGCACCACACCCCGCTCGCGCCAGATGTTTCAAGAGTAGGTGGTATGTCATCGTGTTTGGTACGGCATATGGTGTTTGCCAGGGCGCGACCTGGGGGTTGGACACGCCAAAGTCGTCCTCCTCATCTTCGTCGTAGGCGGGAGAGGTCGTTGCGGATGTTGTGGGAAGAGGCGTCGAAAGAACTTCAAACGCTTGCACTAGTTTTGATACCTCGCATAGCCTTCCGAGAAAGTCCACGGCGGTGGTGAGTGCTGCTGTCGAGAACGGTACCGTGGGCGGGGCTGCTTCGGCCGAGCTGTTAAGGACGGAGACCGACGATCCTTGCTCCTCGGCACTGGATGATTGACCCCACAACTCTAATGGTGGCCGGTCGGGGAATGAAAGGTCGACGCCATATGCTACCTTCAGGAGCTTCTCGAAGCCTTGTAGGTCGGAGGTCTCCTTGAGTATACGGACGACCAGGTCAACGTTCACGGACGTGTACGGCAACCTCTTCTCTTGCATCTCCGCTTGCAGTTGCATGCAGAGAGCCGTCACTTCGCTGACAAGCCCAGCGCGTAGGTCCGGGGCACACGGCAACGCTAAGCGGTGACACAAGGCCTGCAGACATAAGCCATACGTTTGGGGTGACTTCACCAGCCCCATTCGACCGATCTCCTCCATGACCTTCATCGCACCCGTATGATCGCCCACCGCAGCAAATTGCTCTAAGATGAAGTGATAGTCATCGAGGCTAGGGGTGAATCCCGCGGAGCGCATTTGTCGGATGATGGTCTTGAACCGCGCCTCGTCCTTGTGCACCTCCCTGATCGTCGCTCGGGGAGTGAATTTTCTTGCAGAAAGAATTCTTTGCTGAGCAGCAGGTAGCGTGCAACTCCGAAGCACTTCCTGGTGGACCTCGAGAGGTAGCTTGTCGTGACGGAAGTATGGTAGCAGGTCCGCGTAGCGCCCCCAGACTAGGCTAGGGTCTGGACGCGAGCTCCTGGTGAGAAAGCGAAGGTTGGCAAGCTTGCCTTGGGCAGCCTGGCTCATCGCGTTTACACCGCTGCTTTCGGCGACCCCCAGCTCCGACAGCGAGATGGTTCCAGCAAAGTGGCATGGTGTGCTAGTATGGAGTCGGCGGCGAGTGGGATGCGCGGTGGGCTTGGAAGCTGCACTGGACAGACCGAGTCGTCCGAGCGAACATTTGGACATGGCAGGACGACGAGCGAGACGGTAGGGCAGGCGTCGACGGTGCCGCCTCGTTCTCCTCAGTGCTGGCGGCGACCGTGTTGGGCGTCTGTGTGGATGCGCGCTCGCCACCCAAAAAATTGGCACGTGGCCGATCTCTTCGATCGGTGGCTGCAGGATCGGGGCGGCGTCTGGAACGCCTCGCGGCTACTTAGGCTCTGTACCACCACATCACTTGCACGTCCATACACTCCTGGTATTGCAGAATTCATAGTCCTTTCCATACAAGAAGCCTCTCGATTTCCTGGTGTGTAGGCAAGCTGTCCATCGGCACCTTATCCAAGACCTTCTGCCAACTATCACCCAACGCCTCTACATAATCTTCCGGTCTTGCCCTGAACGGTGGACCCATACCCTCTGGTTGGTCAATAATAGGGAAGAGTAGCGTCACAAGATAGCCCCCCGACTTGACAAGTGCAGTCATTTGGTGGCCCCACTCTCCGCGCCGTCGCGCCGCAAGGCCACAAAGAAGCTACGACGGATTGGCACGACCACTTCGACGATGGAGAGATGTTTGATCTTACGTGTAGTCGTATATCAGATCATACGGTCCGTTCTCCGCGGAAAAGTCTTGTATCTCTAGCTTTACTTTCGCTGAGGCGGAATGGCTCCACGAGTCTACGAACCTGCGTTTCTCTCCATTAGCTCGCGCTATTTTTGACACGACTTCTCGCTCACTGCTTAGCGATATCTACGGCGACGGGCGAGACATCGATGGCCAGTGTCTCATATCCTAGTTCCGACGCGATGGTAAGTGCGTCGTATCCCTGGAAAATGTCACCGTGGAGGACTGAATCAAAAGTAGTATGTGCAGAGTGGTCTTACCCTGCCGCATCCGGGGACAAGTGCCTTCCCCGTCGCCGGTAGGTCCAGCCCGCCGGAAGCCAGCAGTGATCGCAGAAGTGGCTGCGCTTCTCCAGCATCCCACGGCGTCACTTCGTGCTGCCTTTAGCCATATGTGCAATCGCCGCTGAGTCCCGTCCCATCGAAGCTGGCAGAGGGATTTACCAAGCTTTGTCCCACCCATCGACCGGATCTTCCTTGATGAATCCGCGTAACTGCGCCCAGTGGCTGGATTGCGACAAGATCTTCTCTGTGATCTCGGACATAACGTCCATGGGCGCAGCCAGAAGAGTCGACGCGTGGATCTCGCTCAGCGGTGAGTTGCTTATATGGTGGCGATAGCTTTAGGTTCGGGCTTATCAATGCTACCAGGCGGAAGCGTATAAGTGGCAGGCGAACGCGTATAAGTGGTCGGCCTCGATCAGCGATCACCAAATAACGTTCGGTCAACTTCTTCGGAACTGTCCAGCGAAGGGGCTGGCCGGCGACATCAGTATTTGTAGGCAGCGCGAAGAAGTGTTCAACGTTCATCCACGGTACTGTATCTCGAAGAGGGGACAACGTTATGTTTCGCCACCTGCTAAGTGCATGGTGAAACTCACTGTGGATAGATAAGGGTTTCACCGTAAGTTTGATGTCCAGGCTCCTGCTGTACGCATGCAGACTATGAATGTGCCCGTCCATTGTAGGGATAATAACAGCGTCGTCAACAGCGATTGTGTGCAATCTTTTGATCACGGCTCTGTGACGCGTCCCTAGCATGCGCGGCAGCATGCTTTCCGCACGTGTCGCGGGCCTGTACACCCAAGCAGACTTGGGTGGCGGGAGAGAGAATTGACAGTCGTCAAGATCTGGGGACACTATTCTGTACGGTCAACTCATCATGAATCAGCTGGTATGTCAACGCAGTGATTACATCTTACGTTGTTGTTTCTGATTTGTTCTGCTCCTAATAGCCACCATGCTTGATCCAGCCTTGTACTACAGGCTCCGACTGCACATTCTCCGTCATTCAACCGAACCCGCAAACGCTGCTATACACCGGAATTCGGCTGTCTGCGGAACGCATGGAGTGTCTGAAAGGGCGTCCTCAGCGCGTACGCCCTTAGAGTCTCCGCCGCCGCCCTCTCAAAAGCCGTGGAACATCCGCGTCGAAGTCTGTTGGATGGCATCAACAGTGTGTCTGCGAAATGAGGGTACCGCTTTTGTAAGATAGCATGCCTCTCTGATCCAGCAGACCCGCCCCGCTCTCACCGTCATCTCGGTGGTCCCCTTTGACAAGCTGCCCAATCGGGGTCCTCGTGGGATCCTGCTGCATCTCCGTGCGAACCCCTGCGCGTTCTGGGATCATACGCCTTGCAGCCCGTAAGGTTTTCCGAGGTGCGCGTTCTAGAAGCGCAGGGTTCTTCTGATAACGTGTCTCGCAGGATAGCAGTACGCTGTCCTCGTCCTTGGGCTGGGGATGCCGCCGCGGCTCTTAGGTGATGGCCACTACGATCATTTCAAAGTTCATGGACGGCATGCCAGCATCTCCGTACGATTGAATGGAGAGACAGACCTAGAACCACGTCATCATCCAGCCCTGCGCATTCACTGGCATGCAATGGTGATAAATGAACGAACAAAGTTGCTCCGTCGGTGTGGCCGCCGTACGCTCCCAATGCGCGCCTGCTATCAAGTCACCAGTACGTACTGCATGTCTCATAGGATGTCGCGCCGAATCTTGCAAACCATCTTGAGACCACACGGTGGCATGGCCGCTGGCCCGAGACCCTGTAGGAATTTTTTTCTATACAAGAGGCAACCACATGCGAGGTATTTGAAGTATTCGACTGTCATGAGAGCAATCAAACTTAGGAAAGTACCAAATAATCACGCAGATGAACAATGCAGATGTCCTTCATTCCCCGGCGGAAATACCTCCTTAGAGCGGTACATGTAGGGTGCATGACATAGCCCACAGCTCAGCTGCTGCGCTACCGTCACTTTGCCGTAAGGCTAGTACTGCCTGAGTGCGAATAACTCACCTCGCTGAGCTGCCAGTGGTCCAAACACCGCACGGCCACCCGTTACGAAACACCAACCCCTCCCCCTTAGATGCGCGGCTGGGCCACGCACAGTACAGGGCAAGTGATTGGACGGGCAGGTGTCCGTTAGGCTCGCGGAGACTTCTACCGCGACGGGCCCCTGCTGCTTCGACTTCGACCGCGCATCAGCTTCGGAACGCCACAAAGGTGCTGGCGACGAAAAAGGCAAGTGTGGCCGGACGGTGAAATGGCGAGAAATGATGCCGGAGGTGTCAGAGGTCTGGCTGGAGCCGGGAGAGTGGATACATCATCGTACGGAACGCCCAGGCGCGCGTCGGCGGACTTCTCTCTGCAGCGCAGCCCGGCCTCTGGCTCCGTGCCAACCTCGAGTACGATCGCGCGACTCGGCACACGAATTCAGTTCGCTGCCTATCCACCGCGCGCGTAGATACCGAGGCCGTGCCCCTTTACTCCGGGTAGCTGTACTAGCCATAGTGCTTACCTGCGAGTACCGCCCAGTAGCGCGGAAGCAAATTGCAGGCTGGGTCATTGCTGTTCTGGGTTTAGGCCCTCTTCGAATGCGGCTTCACTGTCAAGAACAGGCCTGATTTTCGTCTTCTCTTCCTCTGATGCTTGGTGGCAACTTGTATGACTATGCAACGTCATCTAACTTTGTGCAGATCCAGGCCCGTCCAAGTGGCAAGCGTGTAAGCACGCATATCTTATCGATATACTTATTTGCTAACGCACGTCTGAACGCCGGACGTCTGGCTATAGAAGTACTTCGAAGGGCCTGCACTGCAGCCCTCGATGCTTCGGTCGCTGGGAGCGCTCGCGCCTCGGGCGCGTGTCTGGCATTGGTCAAATTCGGGGTGGGGCTTAGTTCGGATTTCGAAGCCTCACTGGCAACGGCACCCGGAATCTACTAATACGCACCGGACCTAGTAAGTAGCATACCCCCAGCGAACGGGGATAACACAGCACGGGCCTGGCGGTAGTGTCTACGACATGCGCTAGCCCTCTGTGACGATTCTTTTGGTGACCACCTGGGCATAGTACGACGTTCGGCGGTGTGTGGTCGATCTGCTGTGAGCGTACTGCCTTGCTATTAATAAATCACTGTACATCACAAACTCTGAGCATGGGCTTCGCCCGGAAAGATCGCGCGGTTTGTATTATGCATCCACGCAAGACGCCGCGGCGGTTGGCCGATGAGCGTTCGACGGGATTTCGCGGAGCGTAATCACTACACCAACCATGATGGCCGCTGGGACATTGAGCGCGCAAGGAGAGCTCGGACCTAAGTTTGCAATCATGTCGACCGGGGGCAGCACCGTTGTACTATCAGAGCCACTTACCTCGCCCGGTTGAGCACAGTGCAATACACAAACGCACTCCACTGCCCCGCACGTCAGAGCACGACCAAATTCGAGACGCAATACATTTTCGGGTTCCCAGCGGCAGGACATAATCACGAGGCGGATAGAATGCTTTGAGGAGTCAGAGGACGTGGGTATCTCCAAAAATACAGTAGCTCGGAGGCGGGGTATCCAGCATGCGGTGGGAGGAGCAGCCGACGACGAGTGGTATGTGAGCAAGACGTCATATTGTCCGTATGGCGAAGGCGACACATGTGCAGACAATAGAATTCTGTCAGAGGGTATGTCGACGTCAACGTTCGGAGCCGAGCACAGAGAGTAATCAGGGACACGAACATTCACGAACATCTCTCGTGCGACCGCGTCCGAGTCTTCCCAATGACATGCCATGTCAGCCCTAGGCAAGGCCAGCGGTCAGTACCGGTGTCGGTAAGTGGCAGGGACCTGCTCACCTGCCGCCTTGGCCCAGATTTTCCTGTAGTTGTGTCATAACAATGTATTTGCTGTACAAAGCCTAGGCTCAGCAGCCGTGGCATACTCCAATGAGTGGTGGCTTACAATCCTCTAGGCTGGATCTCTGCGGGGCAGCAGTGGATCAGCTCTCTTCCCTCATAGGAATATGCGCAACTACACGCACCAATCGCTCGCTCCTTCACCCGCTCGCCAATCTCCTTCGTCCACGCCTTCACTCGGTCGTGGTCCTTCTGCTCAGGCCATGTCGCATTCTGCAAGGTCGACTGCACCAGCTTCTTCATGTACGCCTTCAGCAACTCGGCGTCGAACGTGGGGCGCGGTGATGTCGCTCCCGAGCGAGGTGTAGGCGGGGAGCGCAATCCAGAGGCTATGGTCGCCATGCAGCAGCGAGAGTGGCAGCAACTGTTACTGAGGAGGCTGAGAGAAGGCCACTGCGCCACAGCCAAACGCGGGGCGCCCATGACCAGCGCGATCTCGGGCACGTGGCACGCGTCGACTGGCGTTTCTCGCAGGCCCGCGCGCAGTGCACAGGCGGTGGCGGTCGCGGACACGGCGTCCTCGTCTCTCATCCACGGTCTCAAGACGCTCAGACGGCGCCCCCGCATCGAGCATGTCGTCCATCTCGTTCCCGAGCAACAACTCGAGCTTCATCTCGGGCGCGTCGTCCTTCGAGCACGACGAGCACAGTCACACGCCGTCGTTCGACAACGTCTCGGATGCGTTCCACATGAACCCGCTCTCGGCCCACCCGCCGCGCACGCCCCGCCCCTCGACCGGCATGGGCTCGTCCGTGTACGGCACGGAGGTGTATCACAAGCTGGACGAGACCCCGGAGACGAAGACGACGTACGAGGAGGACTCGGAGGATGAGGACGACAAGGCGCGCGCGGAGGCGGAGGGGAAGGTCAGGAAGGAGGAGATCTGGAGGGACCTGTTTACGACGAGCAATGGGCGCGACAAAGCTCTTGTGCGTTCTGTCATACCGTTGTACCGCTAGTGCGTATTGACCGTGGGGTGTGTCCGGTGAACAGAAAATCATGCAGTACTCTCTGCGGTTGTACCTGGTATTTCATAGTGGCGTAACAGCAACGTCCCTCCTAAAGAACAGGAAGTCATCATCGTGGGAGGCGGACATATTGAAGCGATTTGAGTCCACTGCGAATGGCTTCTCGCTCACGAGGTCCGTGGTTGTGTCCAATTGCCCTGCGTTCCATCTGATTCCTTATAGACGGTGCCTTATCCTCTTCAACTGGCTCGTGCCACTAACATCAATCATGGAGCAGCACAACAACGCTGCGGTGAGCGGCGGGGACTCATCACGTAAAGGGAAAAGCAAGCCCCTTCTACATACGCTGTTGAACTCGCCGCCGCCAGTCCTGCTAGACCTTCTGTGCGGTGCCGCGGACGATGTCTACACGTTCCACAGGCTAGGCATGCTCGGTCCGAAGCTGGGCGAGCGCGCCGGCCGTGTAGCGGACTGGTGTTGGTTCGCGGGTACGCTCGTCAACCTTGTCGAGAACACCGTGGAGAGGAGCGTGCTTCTCAACCTGCAGCATGAAGGTGCGTCCTCACTACTTGGCCATGTGATTTGACTGACTTGGGTGGATCGCGACGTGCAGTCGAATCAAGGCTGTACAAAGAATCGATGTCGGGGCAGACGGCAAAGTCGAATCCGACAGCGAACAGGATCGACGACAAGGAGCTGTCGCGGCTGCAGAAGCAGGACTTCTGGATCCAGGTAACGAGGTTCAAGCTGCTCATGGACCTCATCTTTGTCTGTGAGTGTCTTCGCCCGGCTCGTCACATGCCAGGCCCGCGGAAGATGGACTGACGATCCGCAGCGTATAACGTCTTCCGCCTGAACCGGGCGAAGCGTCCGGTCCAGACCATCACAGGCTTGACTGCGGCCTTTCTCAGGTGCGTGTCTCTTTATGTCATGCACCGCAGCTACTCAACATATAGCGCATGCAGCACTGCAAAGCTGTACGATCGTCATAAGACTGTACTGATAAAGGCGGCCAAGCATTGAGGCAGATGGATATATACCCTCCCCCCAGCTATTGTGTTCCTATCATACATCTGCATATTCGCCGGGCCTTACGGTATGCTTGAGTTATAGTGCGGTTGCTAATATATGGAATGGCCTTGGATACATAGACATCGTCGTGCGTTGCCATCCAACAGTGACAGCACCCTGTGGTCCACCCACAGACGTGCCTGGTCGGCGGACAAGTAAATGAAGGTGAGGGTGCTGACATTCCTCCGGATACGACACTTTCTCGCAGATGACATACCGCCGCATCTCGCCTCCAGTGCTATCTCAACGCACACTACCATAACCACCACCCCGATCTGCTCGCACTGCTGTCCGGAGACCCGACTAGTGTACCAATTTCTGCCGTCGACTGCACTCTCCGCAAGGTCTCAATTTCCTCTTCCAAGGCGTTCACCCGGGCGCGCGCTTCCTCGAGGAATTTTTCGTGCGAGAGGTGAGCCTGTGCGAGGCGCAAACCCTGCGGATCCGGTTCATGTGGGAATCACTCGTAAGCTGGGAAGCCGCACCAAGTATACCGCAGAACCGAGGAGGGCGATGGGTATCATGCCCGGAACGAGGTCGGAGTAGAGTTGTGCATGGCGCGAGGGAGTCTTGTCGGACGCGTTGGCACTGTACGGGCGCGAGGGGGCGGCAAGGCGGGCATGTTTCCTCGCAGGGAGGGAGTGCCGCCACAGGCACGATAGCGGTCGGGGAGACATGAGCACAAGCGCCGGGCGCCTTGACGCGATCGACCCAAAATTGGGCATGCACGTGGCTGGCGAGGACCGAGGCCTTCGCCCAGATGGGACCGGACGTCACACACGGCGGACGCGCGCTCTCCACAGCCACACGTCTTGGCGGGTGGCTTGATGTCCCCCTTGTGCCCTTGGCCGGTCAGATGCGGCCACAGCGAGGCCAGCGGCGCCACATGACGGTCGGGGTGCATCCTGCATCGATGGCTGTGGTGTCCCTCAGCGAACGCAGACTATATAAAAGGCGGGGGGAAGCGCGATTCGCGTGGTCTATTAAAGGCAGCCTACCGACGGACCGACGGAAATTCTGCCGGCGCAGTCGCCTCAGATCAATCACAGGCGCCCGGGGGACCAAAGAGGCACGGTCTCCGTGGGAACTCTGCCAGTACTACATTTCGTCGCTCGCCCGCCACCGCCTCCTTTCCCCAGGCCTCTTCGTCCGAGTGGTCTCATTTCCGTTCCTCGACTTGGGCTGCCCTCACTTACTCCGCCCACCTCGCCCAACGATCCATCCGGCTGGTATCCAATGGACGCATCGCACTCTCAGCAACACCCCCGGCCTGGACAGCCCGCCCGCGTCCTCCACTTCTTATCGGGCACCCCCTCGCGGCCTTCCTCTCCTGCCCGTTCCTCCCGCTCGCCAGCACAATCTGCACCGGTGGAATACTCCATGCACGAGAAGAGGAGCGAGAAGGCCCCGTTTGACGCGCCCCCGTACGCGGCCGGCCAACAGTCGCGGTGTTCACAATGTCAGTGCGCGCATCCGGAACCCCCTCTCCCTCCTCGTTCAGCGTCCCTCCACCCACCAATGCACTCTGCGCGACCGTCACTACCACCAACCCTCCTTGCGACTTCCTCCCCTCTCGCTGCCTCGAGCTGGACAGCGACAACACCCACCTACACGCGTCCACGAGGACTACGGATAGTTAACCTACTGAAGCCTTGGACGCCAGTAATTCTGTATGCTTTGACGAGTCTCGCGTTCCTGGTCGCAATCAGCTTTTGGAAAGTCGAGGTCTTTGCGGGTACGTGTGGTAACATATCGCTTCACTTCTCCGCGAAGTTGACACAGCCCCCATACAGGCCTCGACGCCCTTGCACATTGGTTGCAGTCCGATCTATACTTAGGTTATGCCGTAATCTCTTCCTCGTCTTCGTGACTACGTTCCGTGAGTACTCGTAGTATTGACCGGGTCACCGATATTGACTGGCTGATACCCGTTAGCCCCCATGCCGCTGTACTCAACACTCATTATACTCTCTGGCTATACCTTCGGGGCTTGGACTGGCGCTGTCCTCTCCTACTTCGCTTCACTGGCTGGCGCCGTCGTTGTATTCTCTATGTCTCGCACTTTCTTACGCCAACAAATCTCGCGATGGCTCTCATGCACTGTTACGATCCAGCGGGTAGTGCGGGTGGTAGAGAAGCGACCACAGCTTCTCTTTCTGATCCGCCTCGCCCCTACCCGTACAACGTCATGAACTGTCTGCTCGCGGCGGCACCCAGCCTTACGTTCCGCACGTACTTCATGTGCACCGCGCTCTCGCTCTTCAAGCTCATCATCCACACGACGATTGGCGCGTCCATCCACTCGTTCGCGGAGTACCATGTGAAGCCGGGTGCGCACGACAGCGACAGCGAGAACAACCTCGGCCGCTACTCCTCCATCGCAGGCATCGCGCTTTGCGTCGGCGTCTTCGTCTACATCTCCGTCATCACGCGGAGAGCCGTGAACGAGGAGCTGGAGGACGACGACGCGATGGTTGACGGCGAGGAGCGGATAGCCTTCCTCAGCGGTGCAGGCGCCAGCACCGACGACCTCGAGGCGCAGATGGTCGAGAGACCAACTTCGCCTCTGCCAGTGACGAGCCAGTGAGCTCCGGACATTCAGGATACGGACTTCGATGTGTGTTATAGTTGCCTCCTCATGTTACAGTATAGTTCGCGCCGCTTGGTTCACGCAGGCGCGGGAGGTCGGACTCCAGTAATAGTCGCATGCCGTTGGTAGTGCGTCGGACACTTTCCGTGTCGCTCTTGTACGTATACAGACAGATACAGTAGTTAGCTAGTTCGCCCGCCTTTCTTCGTTTTTGCCAGTCACTCGCACATGTACAAGAGTCGCTCTTTTTGCTGTGGAATAGACAGTCGCTGATTGGTCCGCGAGGGGTGGGTTCGACGAACCCTCCCCTCGGAGAGACCGACGTTTTGGTGTTCATTGTTGCCTGATCGAGAAGAGCGCGATCGTCATGGTGAGGGTCCATGACATGCTGTCAGATGCTGTCAGTGCGTGATGTTCTGTGCGAGGAATCGCTGTCAAGCTCTCCATAGAACCGAGGCTCGGAGAAGACGTCGGCATGTCTCGTTCGACCCTTGGGTACAGTTCGGCGTTCGTGCTGTCTGCTTATCAGGCGCGGATGGTCACTCGCACAATGAAGTCACGTAAAGTTTGTGTAAAGCGAGACCCTGACGAAGGCCTGATACGCTCAATCAGACACTCCGCCAGAATGCAGCGCTGCAGCTACTTAGGTGAGGGAGGCAGCCTCACGAGGGGCTGAGCTGCGAGAGCGGTCCGCCTCGGGCATGTAACCTGCCTGCGATGTAGCCCATATCATCGTAAATTGTGGATACTCCCTCACGACCTCCGCCAAGTAACCGGAGGGCCGAACAGCGGATGACAAGGAGCCTGTCACTACGATTGCCGCGAAGTGTGCGTTAGCACTTTGTGCCACGATCGCATCTTGAGGTTTGCACCCTGCCCGGTGCCCGGCGCGATTACGTGCGAGGCGTCGAGTCGTCGTGGGGGACACGGCAGAACTTCCGAGCATGGTCAGAAGACCGGAACCCCGCCAGACATGTTGACAGTGACTTTGAACACGGGGCGGGGCGGGGAACGTGCCATGTGCTCGCAGAGAAGAGACGGCCCTTCTGCGAAGGCGGGAGACGCGTGAAGTCGTTCTCAGAGCGTGCTAAGGCCGTTGGGTTGATGTTGAACGTTGTGCGCTGGGACGAACGCGACACACTAGAAGGTGCTGCGAAGTCGGTGATAGCACATGCCAGACATGAGCTTGAATCGCCGGAGAGCGTGCACGGATGATGGCCAGGCGAGAAGGGTTGGATTGGTGTGGCCCTCGCGTGAGATCATCTCTGCGGAGGTTGTGTGCATCTGCGGAGTTGTGTGTGCTCACAGAAGCTCGCGAAGTACAGACTCGGTGAAGGTTAAGAGGTTTGCAAGCATTGACCAGCTGACAATGGATTCAATCATGTTGTCGACCTTCAAAGCATGTGGGTTTCCGTTGCAGGTGCGGTCATGGTGAGTGGCCCATCCCAATGCACAAGATTGCGGCTAGGAGACGTAAAGAGAAAGTGTTACAACATGACGATTCTTCTCGCAAAACTACTACCTGGCGTTTGCCTGGCGTCCTCACTCATGACTTCTGTTCCGCATGCTTGTCAGAGTGTCCGAGCGACTTTCCCGGCTGGATGCGATCGCGGACGCGCTGCTTCTGAAATCATTACCTCAATTCAGTCGGTGGGTTCCTCACACAATACGTAACAGCTACGCACCAAAGCTTTGAGCTCTGGGAACCCGCCCTCGATCTTCCTGTCCCAAACGAGGTTCGGTGGCTGGCCCTCTAAGAACAGCCATACGCGGAAGCGGCCTCCCGTCTCCTCAGAGTTCAGTGGGAGGATCTGACGGCCTTCAGGGATGGCGTAGGGAACGTCAGAAAGAGCTCGGTGGACACCCACGTTGCTCGATGAAGCCTGCATCAAGCTATGTGAGATCTGCTATCACCGACGGCGCTGGGAAAGCTCACCAGCGGCACTATAAAGGCATTCGTTGATATTGAGTTCACTTCGTCTTCGGTTCAGATGGCTTCTATGTGCTCACGCGGTCGCAGAATTCGATGATTATGCTTGGTTCTGGAAGGGCGTCGGCGGTACGAACGTTGTCGGGTCTAAGGGGTCATGCTGCTTCACTAGATGTGGCTCTGGACTGGCAGCGACAGCCTGAGGGCCCTCCGGTGTCTCCGTGATGCAGTCGACGCAAATGCCAGGGTCAGCCATGAAATTGTGAATCTTGAGAGTACTTGGTATGTGCGAGCTTGCGAGTGAGTTAATAGCGTTAAAACGAAAGCGAGGATGGCTGGATGGGCGTTATGTCATCGACTGGCACTCGAGCGATCTTCGACCCGATCGCGTATCCACGTGACGTACCCGCGACGCGCTTCTGACCGGAGTCGGGACGCGTTGTGTACGCGTTGTTGGTTCTTTCAGCCACTAGTTCTGGTTCACATCACTTCCTCAGCCTGCCTTTGTTTTGTCGTCGATTTTCACTCACTACCTTGAAGCACTGTCATTTCCAAGTCTTTGGAGGTAAAAATAGATCGACACCTATCCAGGATGGAACGAGAGCAGGATTTCTCCATGGCATCCGCGTCAGCTTCTCCAGAAGCCGCGAGCCCACCAACTATATGGCCAGTTCATAGTGAGTACGGTGGCTCGGCTTCTGATAACCTCAAGACACCTTGTACTCACTGTATGCTCAGTCGAAGTTCGAGTGGCCCCTACAGCCACGTCCCGATTCGACACCATCCGCAACGCTGTCCATACTTACATCACATCCTCCTTCAGCCACCTCTACTTGCCATCCGTAATAACCGGCTGGGACGACGTGGCTCTACTGGCCTCCTCAGTCTCGGAATCGCTGCATCCGAGTCCTCCTGCCCATCCACCTCGCTTCCCATTGAGCGAATTGCACTGCAGATCCATGTCTACCAGCCATCCGACGCGGATGCGTTCGAGGAACTCGCGAGCGGAAATGGACGGGGAGATGGAGAGAAATCATGGCGCGAGTGTATGCGAGCTACCTGCGCTGGCTTGGGAGGGCCTGTGGGAGAGCTTGATCTACTCGGACGACATCAAGTCAAAGCTGCTCGACTACATCTATGCTACTGTGATCTTCAGTGACGCGGACGTCGACTGTGAGCGGTCATATTCGCTCCTCTGTAGCTCGAGCTGACTCCCGTGTTAGTCAATGTTGTCTCGTGGAACCGGGTGGTCCTCTTGCATGGTCCACCAGGTACCGGTAAGACGTCGCTTTGCCGTGCGTTGGCCAAAAGCTTTCAATCCGCCTATCACACAGGCACGTACATCCTAGCATCGCTCGTGTATGCTGACCAACGTGCAACCGTCACATATGCAGATATGCGCATTCACGATTGCTCGAGATCAACTCCCATTCTTTGTTCTCTCGCTGGTTCTCTGAGTCGGGCAAGCTCGTGCAACGGCTTTCAGCAGCGTATGGAGATGGTCGAGGATGAAGATACCTTTGTCATTGTCCTCATTGGTATGTGTTACGTACCGTGATACTGTACGAAGCTGACTTCACATAATAGACGAGGTTGAGTCTCTGACAGCTGCTCGAGCGGGTGCAATGGCAGGAACAGAACCCTCGGACGCCCTTCGCGTAGTCAATGCTCTACTGACGCAACTGGACAAATTGAAGCACAAGAAGAACGTTCTTGTCATGTCCACAAGCAATCTCGCTAAAGCTATTGGTCAGTCCTCCAGTCCTGGTGTATAATATGACTAACCGAAAGTGCCACCGCAGACTCGGCCTTTGTCGACCGTGCGGATATTGTGCAATATGTGGATCTTCCTCCTCGTGAAGCGATATACGAGATACTCGGCACTTGCCTCAGAGAGCTTGTCACGAAAGGCATTGTCGCAGAAGTGGTGAGCAAGCTTTGACCTGCAGTACTCGGCTTCCCTTGGTGGCAAATGCTCATGCGCCTCATCATAGGACGTCCCCAGCCTAGCACAGGCTCAATTATACGAGCGGACTGCAGGGTTCCTTCAGACATCCTCCCTTGCGGCAGCGTTGCCGCCACATCCTTCCACAAGCCAGCCAGCCTCTCAGGCCGCCTCTCGCAGCCTGTCTCAGCAGGCGAACGAACACGCGGCTGACTCGCGGGAACGCTCAAAACACGTCGCACTGAAGTTGCTCACCCTGGCTGAGAAGTGTAAAGTGCGTGGACAATACTTCTACGTCTGTCCCCGCGCGCATTGACTGACCGACATCACAGAACCAAGGAATGTCTGGACGCTCTTTGAGACGTCTACCTGTCCTTGCACACGCTCGACACATTGGAACGCTGCCAATGCCTTCTAGGTCAGCCGTGCAGATCAACGGGGCAACCAAGACCAAGAGGAATGGTCTGGCCTCCGAGAAGAAAGGTACAGGTTCCGCAGTCGAGGTGTGGCTCGACGCGATGGAACGCGTCATTGACTCGCAAGCTTTGGAGAGGGAGCGATTCGAACGGTGATCACTGTGGGTGGGCCCTGAAACTCGCATATGAACGCTCCATTTGCTACTCTGGTATGTGGGATTCTGAACATTGTTGCTCTGGTGTCTGCTCCCAATTCTGTTGTCGTGCGCGAGTACTCTGGACATCTCTTGCAATCATCTCGATGTAGCATACTACACCACTGTGTCACGGTCGCTCTGTAAGAATAACGACGATGTATTCAATTAACTTCGCTGCAGAGTCTGCGTCACCAGTAGCACTTCCACAATGTGAGAATGGCGAAGACGATATGTTCCTCTGTGCAAGATTCCGCTCCGATATACTTGTGCGGAGTCGATGTCAGGCAGAACGAGAGGGCCTCATCCGATCACGGTGCGACAGTGAGCGGCGTGATCGAAGCAGTGTGCCACGACAATACGGGCGCTTCGACAAACGCAGCTTCAGACGCGTCGACCGACTCGACGTCCACCCGGGCCTCACAAGCCTCACAGATACTACCTATTTGCGCTTTCCGGTCCACACCCTCGGTGTTGAAGACGCCTGTAGCCAGACATGGCGTACGTCTCGATCGAAGCTGACGAGGTGAGCAACACCCGGCCAGTGCTCCTTAACTATCCTCATGTTATTGACGGCTAGCCTCGCTCGTAGCGTATGGAAGAGGGACCTGAGGGTCTCCAATTTCAATGTACGTCACAATGCGTATTGGCGATGCTGGATATAACGAACTAAATGCGTGGATTCTGGATAGCATTCCTAGGTTCCGACCCTCGAGCAGGGAATGAGGGTGCAACGGGAGGAAGCACTTCAAGAGGTACGTCGACACACCCCACGAACCCGTGCATTTATCATGTTTTAGGACTTGAAGCTGAACATTCAATTGGACTTCTGTGCAGGGTACAGACAAGACTCCGGAGGGAGCAAGTTCTGGACCTTTGAGTACTTCCAGCCATACTTTGACGTTGACACCAAGACCGTACGTGCCGCATGCATCAGACCGTGCAGCACGCATCTAACTGATGCATTCAATTCATTCCGCAGGTTCTACAACGCTGCTACATGACCATGTTCCCTCCCTCCGCAACCTCATACCAAGGCGCCTACCTCTCCCCCGCCGCTGACCTCTACGGGCCCTTCTGGACGCTCACCACCCTCATCTTCGCGCTCTTCGTCTGCTCCTCCCTCTCCTCCGCCATCGCCTCATGGCTCTCGAACCCCGCTGCGGCGACGCACATCGTCTACGACTTCTCGCTCATCTTCACGGCCACGTCCCTCGTGTACGCGTACGGCCTGCTCCTGCCCGTGCTCCTCTGGTTCGGGCTGCGGTACTTGGGCGTAGGCGAGTGGAGCGTCGTGGACGCGGTAGCAATTTGGGGTATGGCCAGTTTGTGTGGATACCCGTCGCGGTGAGTGCCAGAGTTCAATTGTATCAGTGGTGTCCTCTGAGCTGTCCTTGGCTAGCTACTATGCGTCATACCATAGCCGTCGTTCGGTGGGCCGTCGTCGGACTTGGTGCGCTCCTTTCCGGATACTTCCTGATGGCCAACGTCTACCCCATTCTCGCCTCGGTACGCGCATTATCACGTTCGCTTCACGTCTGCTTGCACTAATGTGGCATCCTTCTTTACAGGCCGACACGAAATCCGTAAGACTCATCGTCATATTCCTAGCGTTGTTGCACGCTGGCCTCGCTCTGAGCTTCAAGATCATGTTCTTCAGCTACTACGCGCTGAAGGACATTGGGCCAGCGGATCCAACGGCGGGCGGGACCATCCCCTGAAGCATGAACCTGCGGCATGTACTGTACTCGCGTCGAAGAGCAACCCGTCTTGGAAAAGTAGCACTCCTAATTTATGTTATCACTCCGCCCTTACGCATATGCACAGCCACTCGTCGTTGCCGGCGTAAGTGTTCAGTGGAATGCATCGTGGAGGCAACGCCTCTGGGATCATGCGCAATACCATCGAGGTAAAACTCAGAGCACGCGCCTACGAAGGAAGCGGTAGTACGCAATGCCAGCCAAAATGCCTCCAATGTGTCCAGCGGCGTCCGTGCCATTGCGCTGTGAGGCAGTTAGCATCAGCGTCGTTCGGTAGAGATGACGTGCTCGCCTTGTCCGTCATGGCGCTGTAGCCGTCCCAGAGGAAGATGCCCGTCACGAAGGCCCACGCGGGTAGCGGGATAATGGCGAACAGGAGGATCTGTGATCGGGGTGCGACGCACGCGTAGAAAGACACGATAGAGTAGATCGCACCTGTCGTAGACAAGGTGAGATCGCTGTGGGGGACCGAAGGACGAGAGAAGACTGACCGCTGGCTCCGTGCGATTGGTAGTTTTCACGGGTCTTCCGGGCGACGTTGTGCCAGTACAGGCTGATGATGCTGGCTGCTACGCCAGCTAAAGACAAGTGTCAATACCATGCCCAAGTCGTTAATTCAGAGGAGTTCGCTCATACGTACCACCCATGTAGAAGCCCAGGAAACGTACGTTTCCCAACAGCCGAAGCACGGTGGGCGCCATGAAGTAGAACGTGAACGCGTTCACAAAGATGTGCGTTGTGTCTTCATGGGAGAAGCAGGCAGTCAGGAGCGTCCATCTATGTGGATTCCAGATGAGCGAACGAGTATGATGAAGAAGGGGTTCGGAGACGAACATTCGGCCCGCGCTCAAGTTTTGCGCACTCACTGTGAAGTTGCGTATCATATTGAACAGGCCACTCGGGTCGCCTGTGCTCCTCTGGGATAGTATATCAGCACACGCGATGGCGAGTGGGATCAACACCCACGTATTGGACGTGAGCCCAATTCCACATCAGGTACACGATGCCGTTCAGGCCAAGTATTCCCCACACGATGGTGAAGTTTGGCAGATCATTGAGCCACCGGAGAAAGCTTCGCCATCCGGTTTCAGACCCTGGTGGTCGGAAGGATCCGTTGGTCTGACTGGGTGGTAGCGGACTCCTCGAGGACGCTCTGGATATTATCGCGACCTATGCGTAGCACCTCGGACTCGACTCGAAAGAAATCGGACAATAGATGAGAGGCTTGATTTCGAGTTAGTGCTTTGCAGATTCCGCATCGTCCACAGTGTGAGATTTCGCCTCGGGAAGCTCCCCACCAGTGAACGAGTGCTAGATGTGCATGTAGAGGCGGAAGGACGCAGAGCCGAGGAAATGTTGGCTTTGAGAGATGCTCTGCCGCAAGGTCCCCACATACCCACAGTAGATACCCTCGAGACCGAGAGGACCGAGAACCTTGAGTACATACTCATGGCAAAGGGAGTGGTAGCTGTAGCCTGAGGAGAATACTGAAGTACTGTCGCCGGTCCGTCGCGTGTATACGGCCAATGCAGTCCCGTGACTGTGTACATCGCGCCGCAACGCGTCGCGGCGGCACCCAGCTCGCGTCCGAGTCTCGACTCTCATTCACCGAGTTCTCGACGACCGAGGCAAAGGAGCGATCCTTTCAGGTCCCCTGTTCGCAGCGGAGCAGCGACCATGTCCCACCATCTATTCTTGCTCTCGCCTTCCGACACACCACTCTATAGTCTAACCCATTACTCCTCGAAGCCAGCCCAGACGACGACGACCTCCCCTCTTGCGTCAAATCTACCGAGCTGGTCCACGTCTGCCTTTGCTGGTACCTTGACTGCCCTGTCCGGAGCAACAAGCGCCACCCAGGCGCACCATGCGCAAGGCGGTACAGTTAGGATCGGTGGTGGCCAGGACAGACATGTTATACAGATGATCGCCAACGCGAGCCTAGATGTGATCGAGGAGGTAGTGCGGAAGGATAACACGATGTAGGTATCTGAGTTCTCTCCTCTCCCAAGGCGGTGCATCGCGAGGCTGAGCACGCTTCCTGATACATAGGTATCTGAAATCCGTGGACAAGTTCAACGAGTGGACGATCTCCGCGTTCGTCACTCCAGGAAGTGAGAAGCCCGCAGTTGCCGAGTCCTCGGGGATACTGATCGCGTCGACACAGATATGAAGTTTGTGTTGCTGCACGAAGCCCGCAACGACGACGGGATCAAGTCGTTCTTCCACGAAGTCTGGGAGCTATACGTGAAAGTGAGTCCGACGTTTCACCCGCGGTGGCAGAGGTCGTCGCTGCTCACGGACGTGCCAGACAATGCTCAATCCCTTCCACACCGCCCACACGCCGATCCGGAGTCCGGTGTTTGACGCGAAAGTGAGAGCGAGCGCGAAGAAGTACCTGTAAACCTAGGAGGGCCCACCACGAGGTGGGGTTCACCGCACGCTGGCTGTCAGCCACCATCAGGAGGTCAAGTGCCGGCGTCTTTGCTGGCCCTGTCCTATTGTTCTGGCCACCCATTCCTCAGAGGCCGCGGACTTGTGAGAGGCGTACATAGAGTGTATTTGTAGGCAGTCGCAGGCAGAGAGCACCAGGCAATGCAATGCAGTGCGGAGACAATTGCGACGAGCGTGGGCTGGAGCGCGGGGGCGGGGTGGCCGGGGTCCGGGGAGGGCGATAGTGAAAGGGCGGGGAGGAACTGGCGATGCTGCGTCGTCTCTCTCTCTTGCCTGCCTCTCGGTGGTCGTTTCTCCTCCTTCGTCTCGGTCTGTCTCTCTCTTCTTCATAGGATATATAACTCTCTATCGTCTTTTTATACACTCTCGCCAAAACTTCCAGCTTTCCCGCCCAAATTTCTTAATCGCCCACCCGGCACTTCACTTTGCACCCCCAGCCTCGACACCCACTCCACCGAACAGCTATCGCCCTTGAGAGAGAGATCGACGTGTCCTTCCCCTTTCCATTGTCAGCCAAGCGCATTCTCGCAACTGCACCAGGTACGCACGCTTTGGCTTGCTTTGTTGAGGACCTGATCCCCCGATCCTCTGCTGACAATGCACCCTCAGTTGTATTCTGTGACCACCTTCACTCTCGCCTTCTTCTCGCGTACCATCGCTCGCATCTCAACCACTATGGCCACTGCGAACGCTCCCAACCCCCGCGCGTCTCTCCTCGCCGGTCTCCGCACGGGAGGTGTGCGCTCTGCCTCGGCGAACGTACCCCAAACTGCCGCTCCTGGCGCTTCCTCCTTCAACATACCCCGCATTGTAACACCTCAGAACGAGGGCATCTACAGCCAGGAGGAAGAAGACGAGCTCTCTAACATGATGGCACAGAACATGTACATCAGGAACAACGCCGCCCGCATTCACCAGCACCCCATGACCGCTGCTGTGGACGGCGCCGCCAACCGGTTTGCTCAGCAGCAACACACGGGAATGATGAGCCCCGGGATGAATTACCCTATGACCCCGGGCGGGGCCCAAACCCAGTTGCAGGCTCTGCAGTTGCAAATGATGCAGATGGAGATTGCTCGATTGCAGGCGAGTCGTTGCCCTCCATCAACGATTATATCCGGTAAACCTGACTGGTTTGGGAATAGAACATCCAGGCTCAGCAGTACCAGGCTGAGCTTCTTGCGCAAGCCCAGGCTCAGGCGCAACGCCAGCGTCAAGCACAGCAGCCTATGAGGCGCACAGCGTCGGCGTTCGTTCCACCGGCCACTGCCGGCCCCGCCCAGGTTCCTTCAACCTGCACGCCGGTGGTATGGACCCGCAGATGCGCCGTACCAGCCAAGCAGACCAGCTTCGTTCCCGACTTGGCGTAGGCTCCGACGACCAAGTACCCATGACGGCTGCTTTAGGAGGCAAGTTCGGCAGTCGCGTCGTGTCCGGGCGGTACGACTCCGAGGAGGACGACTTCTCCAGCGCCAAGCTTCCTACCACCCCCAACTTCACCACTGTCATTAGCGGTGGTACACCCCTTGGCACGCCCACTCCCGGTACTCTCAACACGGCGATCCCCTCAAAGTCGGATGCCGCGGTCTCCTGGCGTCGTAACGGTGCCAACAACTCGGTTCTGGGTGGTAACCGTGCGGCCTCTTCGCCGACGGTCAGGATTACCCCTCCCCTGTTGAAGCTGGTGCCGGAATGAGGTCCCGTCCCGTCGCCCTGCAGCTGGCAGCATCGCAGCCATTCCCTGGCACTGTGGTCATTGACACCTCCGACAGTGCTGACGCCGATGATTCTTCGTCTGCGTCGTCCAAGTCTAACTCCTCCCCGAGTACCCCCCACTCGGCCTCCTCTGCCGACGTTCCTCCCCTTTCCCCTCGTGAGGATGCTGTCAAGAAGCTCTACGAGGGTCTCGGCATTGGCCGTCCCATCCCCACCATTACCGTTGCTGAGCCGCAGGACACGCCGATAATGGCACCAAAAGTGGTATGCATCCCCCTGCGGCAGCCGCGCGGTCCCCCGTCGAACAACGACGAGCTCAAGCCCAAGAACTTCGCTACCCGGAGCAGACGCAAGGCCCTCGGCGCCCTCATGGACGCCCGCGAGCGACGCGAGCTGGTTGAAGCCTTCTGATCCTCCGCCACCAGCTGGCGTTCAGGTGATGTACGATTAGTCTCGACGACAAATACCAGCCTTTCCTTTCCGCTAGGCCATCCGTAGCTCAACTCCTTTCTCGCCGCGTCGTAACTGCCTTATATTATTTACGTGCGTATCCTGGCTTGGACACTTGTGCTCGTACAGATACACCGTATCTATCCTTTCTTTCAGCACTTCATCTGTCTCTCTCTTCCCTCTCTGCACCATCGCCACTTTCATACCTCTCCTGTATTCAGGGAGCTGGCGGTGGTGGGGTTTGTCACTTGTGTGGATAAGTTCGAGTGGGGTGCACACTTGTTGCATCGCGATTGTGTCGGGACAGCGCAGGGAAGCAGCGCTTCCCCGGGTCGGGAATCTCCAAGAATGTCCATCGAGACGGGTCACTCGCATATTGTTGTAGGAGGCAGTTCCTCATAGGGAGATATCACGTTGCGTCTGTTTATGTACTATATCTTCATGCAATACAGTCGCCTCTTCCGCGGGATACCCTGGATTGACGAACTGAGCTGAGACACAATGGAAGTGTTTCTGATCATATCCCTGGATATGAATGCGAGACATGTACATGTAGCGTATCCTGCATTGATCGCATTGATACAATATCAACGCATCATTGGCGTTTTCATCCTGTTTCATCTGTCCATCGAACAACTTGAAAGGAGGTCACATAGCCTTCGCCTACTACACCTGACCGCCCCTTACTTGCACCGTTGGCCAACAATCGCCTTGCCGTGCTCCTGCGATTTAATGAGCAACGGATGACGGACAGGTAGTACGCATCAAGACGCACCTGCCACTCCTCCTTGCTAATCCACAATTGATGGAACGTCCCCAGACTCGCCAGGATGCTCCCACCGAGCCATGCACCGAACCGGCGCTCGGTAGGGTTGCCCGGGGCATGAATTTTTGCCTGATGATATAGCGAGGCTGTGAGACCAACGACAGATGCGACGGTGAAAACTGACGGTACGCACGTGAGGAAAGTTCCGAGACAGCTCGTTCTGGAGACGATCAACAAACCCAGCAAAGAGACTCCCGCCGCCGGTGAGGACCACGTTGCCCATGAGGACCTGTCTGATCTCAGGATCGCATGCGCTCAGGGAGCCGCTGATCAGAGCAGGGATGGTCTTGGGGAGGTTGGGGTTGGATGCCTGTTTCACGCCGGGTGAGCATCTGTTTGCGACGGAAACATGGAAGTGGAACGCACAACCAGTTGTGGTGAATGAGTGAATAGCTGTTCTCCCACGGAGTATCGTTCCGCGGCGCTGAAATAGTTGCTGTAGCCGGTGGGAAACTCGTAGTGTCGTGCCCCTCGAGCACTCGCCGCTCTGGCCATGAAATCAGCATCAGTGTCGTTGGCGTCTCAATGACACTCACTGTTCGTTCCAGCCTTGATCCAACACACCAGCGACACTCTGAACCCATTCTTCCACTTCCCGTGCTTCTGCCCATGCTCTCCAGGTGTCCGTGGTGCCTGCTATTCGATCTTGCCGCAGCTCGAACTTCGGGGGCAAAGCAGGATCTATGGACTACAGAGACGCATTATTTAGGGTCACGCAGCGTGAAGAAAGATCCACACCTGTCTGCTGGAAATCAACTGTTGTGGCCACAGCTCAATGCCGGGGCGCCTGCTGGTTGGAGTCGTCAGAAGGTGTCGGGCGTGCGCTTGTACAAGTTGGGGAAGAGCGGAATGCGCGAGGCCTAAATGACAGAGTCAGTACATGTGCGCATACCGGATTACAAGAGCATACCTCTTCGCAGCACAAAGCCGTCAATGACGGGTGTGACGCTGGCGTCAGAGCTGCCGATGTCAATAACGTATGCCGAGCCCTTGCCTGCTGCGAAGCTTCATGGCATTAGTCCAACAATCATACGAGACAACTTTGATATGAATAACGTACGCGTTTAGGACACTCGTGTTCGATATGTAGAAGGCCGGTACGTTGAACTCCTCGAACATGATCTCCGCCATGCGTTCTCGATTTGCAGCGGTGTTCCATGCCGGTTCGGTCACGAGTATAGGATGTTCTGACGGGTCACAGTGCATGACGTCTCTCAGTGCATGCTCAATAAGTGGAGGTATGGGATCGAAGTTTGTGACTGCAGAGCAACAAGGCCATATTAGTTTCCGCATAGCACGCTCGCTTGAAAGAGACGTACTTATCCCGTTCTGCACAGGGTTGGCTATTTGCATGCCCTCCCTCCACATGGACGGCCCATTCTGGCCAATGTATAGCTTCACCTTCGGATTTGACTTCTCGGGCTTAGGCGCAGCGTCGCCGTTTGTTGCGGTGTCCCCCTCTGCCATAGTCACGTCCCCATCGCCGCTGCCTTCACCATACTGCTGTTGTTCTTGCGGAAGCTCAATAAACCCATATGATGTCGGGATGATAGCCTTGGGCGTGTCATCTCCCGCGTACCCCGCACGAAGAGATGACGTCCCAATGTCTACGACCAAAGCCGAGACTTCGTCTGTGTAGCTCTATGAGTACAGTGGAAGCCGTTCAATAGAAACAGCCTACCTCCCCCGTAATTTACCATTTTCGCCGAATGCCTGACGGTAGTTCTGCAGCCCAGCGAAGAGGAAGCGCGAGCGGACGCGTCGAAGGCGAAAGGCAACTCGCGTCTATGATCGCTCTGCCCGATCGGATCTCCTCGCGTCCACGTGCACGAAATTTCGCTCATTCGCAGATCGAGCCGGGGCAGCGAAGTACCAGGGCTCTCACTCCCTACATCGCTTGGCCGCTACCCTTCGCACCTCGTAACTTATCTCTATCACTCAAAATGGGAGCTGCTGAAATAATCAAGAAGACCAAAAAGCGCAAGGCCGCCGAGGAGGCCCTAGCACCTGCACCCTTCCCCGTAGATGTCGGTCTGGACATGCACAGTGAAGACGAGGGTGGGATGAGGCCGAAGAGGATGGCGAGGATGATGGCGAAGCGGACGAGTTTCCTGAGATTGATACGCGCAGTGATAGTGAAGGCGAGGACGAGGACGGAAGTGCGGATGAAGAGGACGAAGAGGACGAAGATGAAGATGAAGACGAGGAATCCGAGGTGGACACAGAAGATGACGACCTCCGGATATACCCCAAACCAAAGACCGTCATCTCGGACATCACTGGTCACCCAAAACGCGTCTACCCAGAGATCGAGGCCGACTACGACTCAGATTCGTCTACAGAAGACGTATGGATGCTTCTGTTATATGTGAGGGCCGTGCTGACCACTTCAACTCGTGCTTGTGCCTAGACACCTAACCGCGTCGGTAACATACCAATGCATTGGTATGACGATCTACCCCATGTAGGCTACGATATTAACGGCAAGAAGGTCCTACGCCCTGCGCGGGGAGACGAGCTAGACAAGTTCCTCGAGACAGTTGAGGACCCGACTGCATGGTATGTCACTGATTTTCATTCATGCTGATGGTGGACTTCTAATGCACCTGCAGGACATCCGCGTTCGACAAGAACACCCAAATGGACAAGCCTCTATCAGAGGAGGAGCTGGACCTCATCCGGAGGTTGCAGGAGAACGAGAATCCTGATGCTGGCTACAATCCGTACGAACCTACGGTTGAGTGGTTCACTGGCAAAGGCAAGGAAGAGGTCATGCCTCTCTCAGGCGCACCCGAACCCAAGCGGAGATGGGTGCCCAGTAAGTGGGAGAAGCAGAAGGTCAGTCGAGCGATTGCATTGCATAGCATGTACACTCAATACGCGAAACATAGGTCATGAAAATCGTTCGCGCGATCCGCTCAGGCCGGATAGTCCCTAACAAGCCCAAAAATGCCTCTGCCCAGCCACAGTACTACGCTATCTGGAACGATGAGCCGTCCAACGTCCCCGCACCCCTTCCCGCGCCCAAACCCCGCCTTCCCACCCACGCCGAGTCCTACAACCCGCCAGAAGAGTACCTGCCCACTGAGGAGGAGCGCAAGCAATGGGAGGAAACCGACAAGGAGGACCGTGAGCGCGACTTCCTGCCACAAAAATACGGTGCACTGCGCCTGGTGCCCGCGTACGACCAGTTCATCCAGCAGCGCTTCGGCCGCAGCTGGACCTCTACCTCGCGCCGCGCGTGCAGCGCGTGAAGCTCCAGATTGATCCGAACAGCCTTATCCCGAAGCTTCCGAGTCCAAACAGCCTGAAGCCCTTCCCGGTGTACAAGTCACTGCAGGTCTCGCATGACAAGCATCGTGTGAGGGCACTCTCCGTCAGCCCTGACGGTGCATGGGCCGTTAGCGGTGATGAGAACGGCAATGTGGGCCTGTGGGAAGTGATGGTCGGAAAGGAGGTGAAGACATGGAAGTTCCAGGGTAAGGTTGGTGCGGTCGAATGGTGCCCGCGGACGGACATCAGCTTCTTCGTGGTGGGAATGTGAGTGTGCTGCACTCGTACGACAGTGCGGACGTTGGCTGACTTGTTCGTTTGCACGCGCAGAGAAGAACATGTTCACTTCATTATTCCGCCGAACCTTCCTACCCCTGTGTTAGCTGCTACGCAGGCTTTGCTAGCCCCAGCCACTTTGCCCCCGGCCCCAGCGACACCATCGCCTGTGAAATGGGTCTCGACCGCAGCCGCTGCATCGTCGTCAGACTCGCCCATCCTGACGCTCAACTTACCTTCGTCGTCAGGCCTGCCAAAGCAAATAGTCTGGCATCGTAAAGGCGACTACCTCTCGACAGTCTGTACGTAACCAGATAACATGCTGCCCTCTCGTTATTCCGCTGACACGTTGACGTTACCAGCAAGCGGCGAGGGCCAGGGCGGGGTCTGGATCCACCAAATCTCACGCAGGCATTCGCAGGCACCGTTCAGAAAGGTCAAAGGCACCATCCAGCTGGTCCTCTTCCACCCCACCAAGCCTCATTTCTTTGTCGCCGTGCGTCTCCGTCTCTATCTCGAACCTCCCCGTGTTCTTCGGGCTGACGTCCGTCGCTTTTCTGGAAAACAGACGCAGCGCTACGTGCGGTTGTACAATCTCGCGGAACAGAAGCTGCTGAAGACCCTGACGCCAGGTATCAGATGGATTGCGTGCATGGACGTGCACCCGTCGGGCGACCACCTCATTGTAGGCGGCTACGACCGGAAGCTCTGCTGGTTCGACCTCGAGCTCAGCGACAAGCCGTACAAAATTCTCAGGTGAGTCGCAACGCCGCCACACGCCGCCTTTCATCTCCGTCCCCCGCCCTTGATTGGCCGCCACACAGTGCCCGCCGCTTCCCCCTCGTGCCGCGTACAGTGCAATGGAAGGATCGCTGACGTTGACGTGTTTTACTCTCCCTCGTATCCAGGTACCACGCGCGCGCGCTTCGCTCCGTGCACTTTCACCCGACGTACCCGCTGTTCGCTTCCTCGTCCGACGACGGCTCGATCAGATCTTCCACGCGCGTGTATACAACGACCTCATGACAAACCCGCTCATCGTCCCGCTCAAGATCCTCCGCGGGCACAGCGTCGCGGAGGGACTGGGCGTCCTGCAGGTGCGCTGGTGCCCGAAGCAGCCGTGGCTGGTGAGCGCGGGCGCGGATGGGGAGGTCGCAGTGTGGTGCAGTTAGTCGACGGGTGGAGGCGGGTTACGGTAGTGTCTTCGCGTGTCTTCGCTGTGAGTTATTACTTGGGAATTGCATCACTGCTCTCAACGTTCGCCGTTCTGTCGCGACCAATACCGGACCCGTACCTGCACGTTGGTATGGAAGGTGACCACTGTGGTATGCACGCGGGCGCAAGGCGGGTCGAATTACTCAATCTGGAGCAGAGCTGCAGGTTGACGGAGTGTGGTATTCCTACCCGAGCGGCCGGATACTTGGCCGTTTCGTCGGTGTCGCCAGAGGCCAACCAAAGCGAGAATAAGCGACGTCCATTTTTGCTGTCAAGCATAGGGCACTGCGAGGCGCTCCTTGAGTCATCCGCGTACATAAGAGTGTACGCAGGTACGTGATTGGTAATAGGGTATCCGACGCCAGCTGCCTTTATGCCGTCGGATCAGACAAATGGGCGATATTAGAGCATGGCGGCGTTCAAAGCCCTTTCGAGGTCTACCAGTGCCTTTGAAGGCGAGTAAATATTTTCGTGCTATGTAACGTGCTCCGAGTCCACAGTGGCTCTGGCGATCGCACAATGAGATACAGTGTTCAACTTCAGAAATTCGAATGGAAGATGGCGGCTCCAGGACGGCCACATGAATTAACTTTCCGTGTCAATGTGATCCGGAATCGGTATTTCGCTTGGGACGTGGGCAAGAACTTGATCCGCGGGAGCGGGCAATTATGCGCACTCCGTACCGCGCGGCGTCGCTCGAGTTCTTCGGGTTCAATCCACGCTGACGCTGTTTATCGACCTTGGTTGACCGCACTGTGCATTCTGTCGGCGATGCGCATGTATATAGAGACACCCAGTAGCTACTCGCTGAGGACTGGGGATGCGAAATACAAGGCCCAGCAGAGACGCCTGTTGCGGCACCGCGGCCCTCGTGGCAGGTGTGGCGGGAGCGCCAACTCTATCGCACAGAGATCTCGGACGCCCGATCGAATGCTTCCGCCGCACCCACCACGCTGCCCTTGTTCTCTTCCAGCGCCGTCACTCTCCTTCTGCAGCAACCGCCCTGCGCTCCCCGGCTTCCCCCAAGCTGCTCGCTGCTCGCTATGGCGCAAAATCGCCATGGCGCAGCGGCTCGTTTGGAGATTCGCGGATCGGCATCGGCAGGAGCCTTGAATGGGCAGGCGAAGACGTGAAAGCGGTGTGAATTCCAGCCGCTGGGCCGCTGAGTAGCGCATACAGTCACGTAAATCGAAGCATTCTCCCTGACAGCATTGTCCGCCGGGCGCTCGACACGTGGTAGCCTAGAGGGACTAACTGCGAGCGATGTATTTAATATCTCATCGGACGCGCATGCCCCCGGTTGCCATCGGTCGCATCCTTCTCTCCTGCGCACCATCTTGCTCTGGCAGCCCGGTCTGCAGCCAGCATGGTCGATTGGAAAGCTCCGTCCGAGATTGCGTTGGATTCTGGTGAGTAAGATTCACCACCGTAGCGCGACGCACCATTCTGACGCGCCCGGAAGAGGTATACGGGAAGCTGGTGTTTGCTCTCTTTGGTCTCTACGTCTGGGAACTCTTCCAGACCTCCGGCTTCGAATGGTCACTCATTACCAGAACGCGCAAGTTGACATGGCCCCTCGTGAGTGCTTCCGTACCCGTACGCCACATACGCATGTACTGATTCACTACCGCCGTAGAGTAAGCTACCTCACCCCAAGTTCGCGGTTGACCGCTAACCATCCTCGATACAAACTTAGTATTCTTCTTCCAATGCCGATATTGCCTCCTCCTTGCTCTGGTTGGCATGTAAGTCTGCTCCCGCACGAATTGCACCTCGCTCTAATGAAAATTGCAGCATTGTCTCCATGAGCGTCCGCACTCCCGTTGGTATCATGACTATCTGTCGATCTGCTCTACGCATTGACGTCTCCATCAGATCAACTGCCAGGCTCTGTACACGTTCAATTCAGTGAGTCGAGGTCCTCCTGAGTCGCCATAAGGAGAAGTCTAAACAAACTCTAGTGGGCGGGAAACATGGCTATCCTCGGCGCATCAACGTCCCTCATGCTCAGAACGTCCGTTCACTGCTTACCGCCCGCAGTCCTACATGCATACTAATTTCCCCGCGCCACAGGATCGCCATATGGGACCGCCAGCTCAAGATTGTAATCCCACTTTGCTTCCTATGTCTGTGCCACTGGGTGCTGCTCTGGCGGGGCATGTTCCTCCTCAATGCGCAGTATGACCCCACCCAGGGCGCGTGCGTCTTGTTGTCTAGCAATCACATCTTCCTGAACGTGACATTCTTTATGAGTGCGTATCATGGCTCTATCGGAATCCTGACGAATTCTGATTGCCCGCGTACACAGCAATGGGATTCGACCTTACTATCCTCACTTTCACAATTGCCGCGTTGGTGAAGCACAAGGCACGGTCAGGCCTGTGGTCGTTGCTCTTCACGGACGGTCTTGTGTATTTCCTCACCGCGTTCTGCTTCAATGCGCTCCCTGCTGTGCGTATTCCTTGTCGTTTCCACGCGCTAACGGTTCTGACTGCGAATGAACATCAGATCTGAACGTTATCAATCTGAATGGTGCGTATTGGAATCACCGGCAAAGTAGGTCACTCTGACATCTCATTTCCGTCTCAGTTGCCATGGACGTGTACGTTCCACCGTGCCTAAATCATCGCAGTGTTAATTACTAATCAATCCTCTCTTCCTCCGCCTCGTCTCAGCGTCGCCACGGTGCGCCTCGTTCCGCTTCTCCCTTTCTGCGTTCCACTAACCCCTCCTCCACAGATCCCCGCAGCAACCTTGTCCGCCATCGCCGCCTGCCGCGCCGTCATCCGGCTGCAAGAGTTCACGCGTCCGGACGTCTACGTGCACAGTGCGTCGCAGATCGCCTCCGGCGGGACCCAGCACAACGCACGCGCGGCGCGCCGGTTCACCTCGCGTCGCGGGGACGTCGCCTTCGCGCGCCCGGAGGTGCACGTCACGACGGACCAGTTTGTGGTGGAGGACTATGGGTGCGTCCGTCAACGCTTGCCTGTTGTGTGTGGAGATGAGGGGGGGCTGATGAGCAATGTTGTGCAGGATGAAGCCGCTCTCGCCCATAGGCGATAGGACGAGGGTCAAGCTCGAGCGGTCGGACACGTTTGACCTCGACAGGATGTCGGTCGAGGAGGACAAGGAGGTCTACCCTATGGCCGAGGCCGTGTAGGCGTTGCGTCTGCGCCTCACTACTACTGACGCCAACACTCTGACTCGGCACGGGGCGGAGGACGAATGAACCACCGCAGGATGGTGAGCTTAGATGATGTGTTGCGCTGTGGAACAGATTAGGAATGGATTGTGATGGTGTCTGTGGAGAGATACATATGTGAGTAGCCTACCGAGCTGTGTCTATAATGATGTTCTATTCAGACAGAAAATTGTTTCAATAACCTTGACACCTTGATACCATACGCGTACGCTACGCAGTGCTCTGGAGTACAATACATACTGTTCAGCAGACGGGTCGGGTGGGCAGTCAACTGCATGGCAGCAAGCGTAGGATAGATGTCTGGAGGACACCTGTTCTGCGCCTCCTGCTACTCCATAGACCACCCTATCAAACCATCCGCCCTGCCGGGAACTCTTGGATGGCTCGACGAACTTCGAAGACATACCGAGACGCAATCGATCGGATGCGACTGGGGTAACACCAGAACGCGCCGCGGCGGACGTGACTGTATAGGCCGAGCTGAGAAGCTGGCACAAGCAGAGCATGTACACTGACACCATTACGAGAGCCCAATAGACTTATGCTACTAGTGTACTTCACTACTTCTGTCACTTTGTACATACAAACTCGGTCCCACTCGCAACTCCACACATGAAATCTAGCTGTACAAATTCGAAGTAGTCAGTTCCTGCGAGCATAGTCTCCCGTAGGCAGACCCTAAACACGACCTTGTTGAGTGGGGAGGGCGGTCGTATACTGCGAGCAAGTGAAGGTTCAACTTCAAATGTTCAAGGCCACGATAAAACGACGACTGAATCAAGATGTACGCACGCAGTCAACGAAGGCTGCACCTTGACATGGCCATGACGCATATACCGGTGTCTTGCAACTGCAACCAGGGATTGGAGCATGGAGATCACACCTCACGCAGCGGGTAACATCCAGTGCGAGCAGTTGCATCCATTGCATTTTGACCAGTAAGTCAGAAGCCCAGTGAGCAAAGAAGAAACCAGAGGCTACACTACGAGTATCCGTATAAATACAACCATAACTTGAACGCATCACCGTCTCCGATGCGATCTCCCCGACTTCCTCTTCGCGGCGACGGTTCCCTGCCGATTCATTCCTTTCGACTGCGCGCGGGCGGGCATACCCTTCGATAGCCGCCATTCTTCGCGGCGCGATCCTCGAGGGCCGTGTGTGGATATCCGTTTTGTGCCCTCTGTAGAGGGACCTGCGTTGCTGGGGTCTACGGCCATGGTGTCTGGGATGAACGGATGGTGGGAAGATGGGCAAGCGGTAGCGCATGGGAATGGTGATGAGCGGTTCGTCGATGAAGGGTGTCGGGGTGTCCGTGCGGGGCATGTGCATGGCAGTAGTGAGAGCAAGTGTCCGGAATAGGGGAGACGGGTATGCGGTGAGACAAGTGGATGCAGAGAGGCAGAGGATACAGACCTGCACCCTGAGCCGAGTCGTCGATTATCGGTTGGCCGTCTGTCAGAAAACCAAGGCATCAGCCATCGTCCCCATCACCAGCTTCACAAAGCAGAAGGGCTCAAGGGAAAAGATGACCGAACAGCCCGCTGCCGTCCTCTTCATCGGCGTTGGAGCTCGGGCTTTCGAACCCGCCCCTCCAGATCCTCTGCTTGAGCGCATCGCTGCCACTTGAGCAGCGGGTGCAATGCGGCGCACGAGGTGCTCCATGATCTGCATGCCCTCGGCAGTGACATCTGCGGGGTCAAGAAGACCAATGTTCGCAAACCAGTACCAACCTGGTTGCTGAGCGCCCTCCTCATCGCTGAACGATTCTACGGCCTCCTCCGGGATCTCGACGTCGCCGTCCTTGTCGCGGGTGGTAAGTGTTTTGAGTTTTTGGTGGAGGCGGTTGAGGCGTGCTGCCTCAGCGGCAGCGTATACGCCTTCTGTGCGCTTCTTCGCACGGAAATGGCGCTTGACTTTGGAGCGGGTTGACTTTGCCATTGTTTAGGGGTTGTTGGATCGGTCGTGAGTACAGGTGTAGGCGTGGTGGGTGTTCGTAAGACGGGGGATGGGGTAGCTGCAGGAGCACGACGAAGAAAAGTGGGCTGCCCGATTCGGCTCCGCACATGCACGTGCCGAGTGGGTATTCCTAAATAAGGTGATCCCTGCCCTACCTGCGCATGCACAGTTGCTGTGTGTACTGCGGCTTTCTGACTCGTCAGGGGATCTCTTACTGCTTCCACGAATGGCTGGAAGCACTGGAACCTCTGCGACACAGCTGCTGGCACTTTTCGCTTGGCAAAAGGCGCCTTTTGAGATCTACTGCTGACCAAAGTAGGACATATTATATACCATCGGCCTTCGCCCTCCAAGCGTTGTCCGACATCTCATGCATGGTTGGATCGCGCCGGCAATGCTTTCGTGACCTTTTGGGCTACTTACCAGCGATCATGGGTTTGTTCCTAGTCATGCCCGCTGACCAAATGACTTTCCGCAGAGCATGTGAATATGCCCAATCTCATCACCGCACACTGGTCTGTCCCGAGACTCAGAGGTTGCTCACATGTCCTATTGAGGCTCCTATACACCTTGACCTCCCCCCTCGTTCTCCTTGCTCTCAGTCATTTGCGTCAGAATGTCATATCCGTTAGGTTTCCCTTCACAGCAACCGCTGTTGACGGTCACGCATCGTTCGTCGCGATTTCTCGTTACGCTCTCATCGAGGATACATACTCACCTTTACCGGCTGACCGACAGCTTCTGCGACTACATGGCTCATTGAGATGCACAATGGCGACGACAGTCGCTTCACGGAGCATTTCATAAGCAAGGCTTGGATGCCTGCGCTGGACGCCGTCGAACGTCACTGGCGAGAGAACTGGCGCGCCGCGAGGGCGGCGAAGGACAAAGAGGGTGGCAAGGGCACTCTCGTAATCGTCGGAAAGCGGAAGCAAAGCAAGTTCTTCAGCAATGGTGCGTCGGTTTTGAATGGTTCTGTCACCACGGAACTGAAGGATGCTATAGGACTCGACTACGACAACTTGATCAAGGACCCCAATTTCGGCACGAACTTCTTCCCTTGTGAAGTCCCTCCTCAGTGCTCAGTCCACGCATTTGTGTCTGACAATCGTTGGCAGTGGTGTTCAACCCCCTCATCCGGAAACTGCTCACTTTCCCGAGTGAGTAGACACCACCGTTCCATTGACCATGCGGTCCACTGATAACTTCATCCAGTTCCTACCGTCGCCGCTATCAACGGCCACTGCTTCGCCGCCGCCCTCATCCTCGCTCTTTGCTGCGATTACCGCGTCATGACCGACGGCAGCAGTCGTAACGTTTGGATGTGTATGAACGAGGTGCGCCACATGATGAGCATATGCAATGGGGCTCAATCTCATATTGTGACAGGTGCACTTCGGTGCCGGATGGCCGCTGTCCCTTGCAGGGGTTGTTCGGGCGAAGGTCTTGGATGGCAGGGTCCAACGCAAGATCGCCTTGGAAGGGCACCGATTCACCTCTACAGAGGCACTCGAAGCCGGTATGGTAGACCACCTCGTCAAGGGTGACACAGAGGCGGTCATCGCCAAGGCTCGTCAGGTCGGCGAGTCGGTGAGCGGAATGGCATGTCAGGGTGTCTGGGGCGTGATCAAAGTAAGTTCTGGGTCTGAAGGGTTGTCCGAGGGTTGTTAACCACGTCCTGTATTTCTGTAGCGCGATTTGTACAGGGATGCGCTGGAGACGAGTGAGAGGACAGTGTTGCCAGCAAATGCCTTGTCAGACGACGCAGCAGCGAAGGCAAGGTTGTAGTTGTCTGTCTAGTCACTTGTGTTTCTCCTGGAGTATGGACCATGAGGGCGCTGTACCTGAACCCGCTCAAGCCTGTTCAGACACTCCTTGTCGGGCTCCATTTGTACACAGAGAAGTTTCTACCCATCTTTATTAGAGCGCTTGAAGAGAACTACCAGCGAAGAGCTCGAGCTTTCGTATTCCGGCAAGACCAATAGCAGTGTGATGAGCAAGAGAGGACGAACGCAGTGCTTCGACTGAAATAGGAGATACGTGCGTCGTACAGAAATCGCTGTACAGGAGTCTTGTAAGCATGACATGAGGATAATGCAACGCACAAGATGCACGCACCATCTACGACGACTTGAACATATGGGCGTCCGGCTCGATGACCTCTCTCCGCACACGATCGCTCTCGTCCTCCAGCACCTCCAGCCCAGGTCTCTGGCCAGCTTCAAGGCCATACAGCGCCCGCATAACCTTCTGTTCCTTCTCATGCCTGCTGCCGCTCCACATCTCCACCGAGTCTGTCGCATGGGGCACACGCGAGTCGCCGATCTTGGGCGACGCCTTCAGCGCATCGGCCTGCGCGATGAGGTCAGCGTAGTTTCGCTCATCGCCACGGCCATCGCCCGTTCCCATGCATGTTTCGTGACGAATTCGTAGTCTATCGTCGCGGACAAGTTGCTGGGTGTGACGAACTGAGACGACTGGTGGTAGAGGGACACGAGTGCGCGCATCCGCTCCTTGGGTACCGGGGTCGTGGGTCGCTTTGCGACAGAGGATGAGCTTGAAGCACACCTCTTTGCACCAGATGCGCGGCGAAGAGATGTCGGCAGGATGTTGGCTGCTTGTCGCATTTCAGTGGAGAGGGACGAAGGCAAAAGTGAGAAGAGTATCTCGTACTTACTTATCATAATGATGAGTATCAAAGAGAAATATCCTGAGCTTAATAAAAGCTTATATTATATTACTTTAACATAAATTACAGCATGGCTTGGTGGTCTAGAGGTATGATTCCTTCTTAGGGCTTGTGTGTTTGGTCACGTGACCTGGAGGAGGTCCTGGGTTCGATTCCCAGCCAAGCCCAACGTTTTACTTTTTTCCTGCCTACTTCAAAGATAGAATCCGCGACAGTTTGTACAGTGTGGTCAGACACAAATCCGGGCAGGAACACTGTTGAGCGGAGCATGTCTACTCTGCACAAGGCGTGACAGAATAGTAGTGCGATGCATTGAGAGACCGCATCTCTGCGAGACTTTGGTAGCTACATACACAGCGAGCAGAGCTCATGCAATATCACGTCGAGTCATGCGAGTTACAAACAAGCTACAATGATGCCTTGATGTTGTTCTGCTCAAGGAGCCTCTTCTCCCTTTTCTTGATCTCTGCGGTGCGATTTGCGAGCGCAGGGGCACGCTTCAGTTCTCGCTGTCCGATCTGCTGAATGTGGACCTGAACCACAAGACGAGAGTAGTCAGTCTCAGCAATCACGAACAAGAGACAACGATACGCACGGCGTCGGGACCCTGTACGGACGCTGCCATCAGTAAGCAAAACACAAGAGGGCTAAACGACGTACATCGGCAATACGAAGTGTCCTGAGCTGTGCCCACATCTGGGCGAGCGGCGTGTCCTGACTGATGCCCTCCGCACCAAAGGCTTGCATGGCGGTGTCCACCACTTTGAGGGCCATTGAAGGCACCACAAACTACGATCACGGTGAGACGACCGCCATCTAGACACAAGACAGTTCGACGTACTTTAGCAATACCAATCTCCTTGAGGGCGCCCTTGGCTTTGACTTTGTCGACCTGAAAGAAGTTGAACACTTTGATTGCTAAAAATCGATCGCAGGACTCGCCTGGAGAGCAGCGCTCAAAACAAGGAGCCTGGCGGACTCAATCTCGGCACGACAGTGAGCAATTTCGGAGACAACGGTGCCTGTGATTCGTCTCAGTCTGCCGGAATGACGACACAAGAAGACATTGCACCATACCGTGCTCGTACAAGTACTTGCCGAAAGTCTTCTTGGCGGGATCGGTGACACGTTGGATCATGAGGTCCAATGCGTACTGGGCACATCCAATGGAGCGCATGCAATGATGAATGCGACCAGGGCTAGCGAACAGGAAGTGAGCTAACTCATAATGCACCGTCGTCAAAGGACTCACCCTAGACGCCCTTGGATGATCTGCAAGAAGTGAGTGCTGGATCGCGACACTCAACAACGGCCCACTCACCTCGAAGCCTTTGCCCCAACCCAGGACGAGATTGCTGACAGGGACGCGGACATTCTCGTAGATAATCTCGCAATGGCCCTCGGGTGCGTCATCATACCCAAAGACGCCCATGGGACGAACGACCTTGACACCGGGCGCATTGGCAGGTACAATGACAATGCTTTGCTGACGATACTTGTCAGAGTTGTCCGGGTCGCTCTTGCCCAGGACGAGGTGCAATGCACAGCGAGGGTCTCCAGCACCGCTGATGTACCTACAAGTCGCGGCGAACACATTGAACTCAAGCCCGCGAGTGATGCTCGCAACAACGTACCACTTGTGTCCGCTAATGACTATCTCGTTACCCTCTCGGCGAATGGTGGTGCGGATGTTGGTTGCGTCCGAGGAGGCGACTGTGGGCGGTCAACTGTCATGCGTATGCCGAAGAAGGCTGGACGCACCAAACCTCTCGGTCATTGAGAAAGCAGAACGGGTCTCGCCGTTCAACAATGGAACCAGCCATTTCTTCTGTTGCTCTGGCGACCCATATCGTGCGAGGACCTCTGTAAGAGTTGCTCAAGCATAGCACACAAGGGTGGGCACATCGTGCTTACCCATATTCCCCGTGTCAGGGGCTGAGCAATTTACGGCCTCCGAAGCCATCTGTCCGCCACGCCCCAGAATCTCCGCCATGAGTGCATACTAGGGCAGTGTCAGCTGTCTGGCTTCGGCAACCCTCTTTCACGTACCTCGAGATTGGTGAGCGGAACGCCGTATTCAGGGTAGTGCGCCTTGCCCAAGAAGAGGTTCCATAGGCCGAGCTTGCGCGCCTTGGCCTTGAGTTCTGCGACAATGGGGATCACGGTCTTCCACCTCTTCTCTGAGTCAGCAGGCAGCTGCGCGTGGGCAACCTTCTGTGCAGGCAGAACCTCGTCCTGTCGCCCCGTTTCTTTGAGCGACGTGAAGGGTCAAAGAAGGGAGCGCTTTACATGAACGAAGGTGATGAGCTTCGCTAGGGTCTCCTTCGCGAACGGTGAGAACTTGTCCTCGACCTATTCCGCGTCAGTCTACGATAGTCATACTATTAGTAGGTCATCCGACTGGCTTACCATAGCCCATGCTGAAGGCGAGGTAAACTCTGCGACAGGGTGAGACGCCATGGCGAAGGTTAGCGCGAAGAGACGTGTCCAGCATCTTCGGAGATGGTGCTACATATGCAGCCGCCGTGTATGAGAGTGGATCAGTTGACCGACCTGCTGCTCCCGACTGGCCTGGTCTTCCGGCGGCACTTATGCCTCAGTTGGCCGAGTCTGACAATCACGTTCCATCCACAGCGCTCGGCATTTCATCTGCTCGTGCGATGTTCGAGACGGTCAGTTGCTGCTCAAGCTCAAGCTCAAGTCCAGTAAAAGAGGTTGTGACAAATATAGGAGAGTCAGATTACATTGAGTCGACTACAATCAAACCGACTAAGTAAAGTAGCTCGATCGACAACAGGCACCACGGATACAAGTACACAGTTAGTACAAACGTCATAAAGTTGCATAACCGAAATGTCTATGGGCGAACGCATTAGTACAGTAACGTCAGGTCATTACATCCGATCTGGCATCGAGACTAGCAACGTAACGTGAACAGAAGTCATCGGTCATAATGTCATGGTACTGGTTCTGCCATTGCTGCCCATCCAGAGCCGGTTCCCCAAGCGAGAAGGGGATCTCTGGGTCGTAGCCAAACGCGCCAGGGTCAAACGTATGCCACGCCTGGTCGCCGTTGCCTCCAGTGTATCCCGCAGGGTTGTAGTTGCGAATAAAATCCAAACCGCGGAAGGGCAGCCCCGGAGCAGCGAACCCGTTGGTCGACGGTGGCGACGAGCCCGGCATTCCAAAGACTGCGGGGTCCACGCTGCTAAGCCCGTCATAGCCAAGATACGACGTGTCAAAGCCGGACGACTGCGGAGGGTTGAACGAGATGGGCGAGTACGGCTGAGACTGCTGCTGCGACTGACTCTGGGACTGCTGTGATTGGGATTGCTGAGAACCAGACGGGAAGAACTTCAGGCCATTCGCCCCCGCGTCTGAAAGACTCCAGCGATCAGGAGGGCTCTGCGATAGACCGAAGTCGTAATCGAAGCGCTGCGACGACACGGGACCGGTGGGAGACTGCGGAAGGGGAATGTTCATGGGATTGAACGCAGACGCGGGAACCACGCGGGGGCTCGCCTCCGAGAACTCCAAACTTTGGCCCGATGGCGACGGTTGGCTATTGACCGACGCGGGGGAGCTGGTGGAGCTCAGTGTTGATCGCCCGGGGTAGGAGCTGGATAGCAGCCCATATCCTTGACTCCCGTCCTGGAACTGATCGTCGTCGTGAGGCCGCTTGCGAGACGTCGATCGCGCCCTTTGAGCTGAAGAAGAAGAAGCTGTGAGTGACTGATAGAGGCAAGTCAACGAAGAAACTCACAATCTGGGCGGAACTGCATGCCCGGTATCGCCTGGTGGGTGGACAAGCGCGGATCCCTCGATCGGTTCCGCCGAGGCTTCCCCTTGATCAGCCTTTCGGACACGGGTATGGGGACCGCGGCAGACATGCGCCCTTCTGGAAAGCCAGAAGGCGAAGCCGAGCTTGTTGGAGATCGCATTTGGCCGTTCGCCCTGTTGTTCGCAGCGGTGCGGATCGCCTCGCGCGCCGTGGCTGTGATCTCCTCGAGAAGTTCCTTGCACTTCCGCGCGCCGGGCCATTGCGCCTCCCACTGCTCCAGGATGGGAAGGCAGCTCGTAGCCTCATCCATCGCGGCTTGGGACGCAGTCGGTTCCGGGGTGTGCATAGCGTAAAGGAGGATAATGACGGCAGAGCTGAAGAGATTCTGGATAAAGAAGGCGAGATGGTGGCTGGGAGGTACAACGCCTCGGATGGCAGGTGCCAGACGGATGCATGCCCTAGCTGTGGAGACGGCCTTCGCGGTTGAACGCGGGTAAAGGGGCTGGTCGTACTTCACAGGCATGAAGTTGCGGTGAAGGGTGACGAGGATAGAGTAGTAATGGCTGCAAAGGACGGCACCCATTGAGACTTGCTTGTCGGTCATAGGGCGAGACTTGAAAGCCTCGGGCAAGTCGTCGCACCACTTCGTCAATTCCCTGTCGAGCGACTCGACCGCGCGCTGGAGCTCGGCGCGCTTCTCGGGCTCGAGTATCTCTCTGCACTTGTCAAGGGCGTAGACCTGACGGAGGACCTTCCCAGCTATGCGGTAGAGTAAGGTGAGATCGATGAAGCCCTTCATGAGCTGGGGAGGCTCCCGGGAGATCGTCGCGCCAGCAAAGTACTCGGGAAGCAGTTCGTCGTCGACATCGACGGGGGTTTCGACGTCGCAGTCGATGTCCTCGGCCCCAAGAGGGCGACCCAAAGCAAGAGCAAGCATGCGGTCGAGCGTGTACACCCCCCACCACACCTTGCGTCTTGTCTCCTTCTCGATCGCGGAGATGAACAACCTCCGAGGCGAACGCTAGACAGATGGTCAGTATGCATATTCACTCAGCGAATATCAAACGAACGTACGTGGAGACCAAGGTCCTGTGCGGAACGAACGGCCTGTCCAACGAGTAGCCAGGCCTGCGGAAGACAGTTCACGGAACATAGGAAGGAAGACATGAGGATGAAGCATTGAACATGCTCGAGCTGTGTAGACGCATGGCTGATGTGGTGGAGAATTAATGCCCTGGTGGTAGACATAAGCCGGCGTAGAGGGTTACAATAGAATAGACATACCGCTCGTAGTATACCATCCCCATGCCGGCGTCGTCGAGGTTGTCTGCCTTCAACAGCCGTGGGTCGTTCACAAACCGAGCAGCAACAGCGAAGACCGCGCAGACGAGTGCAATGAACGCGGTCTGCCCCCTGGCGAGCTCAATGTCGTTGGTGTGATCCATGAGGTACGTATATCGCCTCATGAATGAAGGCTTGTCCAGGATAGGCATGAGAAAATGGAACCGAGCAAAATACGCATCGACCTGAGACGATATCAGTTCCTGCACTCTTATCACATCCGGAATGAACGAGCTCACCAGCTTGTCGGCGAGGTCGCGATCTGGATACTCCACTTCCTCTGGCTTGGGCAAGGCACGGACCTTCCCGAAGAATACTTGGGCCGGGAAGTATAGCTTGTTCATGCTTGGGCCCTGTGCCAAGGGGTCATCCTCCATAGGAGATATACGGCGCAGCGGCGATGAGGTCGCCTCGAGGAACGATTGGATAATGGACATTGTGGACGAGCCGCCGATCCAGTGCATGTGGCCGTGCTCGTCGAGCGCCAGCTGGCCGAAGGACTCCGATACATCGTCCTCGACCTTGACCGGCGGGCTGCTGTCAGAGCCGAGGCCCTCGCTGGGTGCGCCCGCGGATTGTGCGGCCTCCCTGACTTGTGGGAGGACAGACTGGATGAGACTAGCTGAGGACGGGCCTGGGCGCGCCGACGAGGACGGGGGTACATTGGAAGGGTCGAGACCACTTTCCCCGACCTGCTCAAGGATAGGTGCGACTTGCTGGAACAAACCCTCCAGCTGGAGAAGACGAGCTTCAAGCTCTTGGACGTAGCTGAGGTGGGGTGGGTCAGAGGTTGAGCGCGGTGCACGGCGGGCGTTACTCACTGTCTGCTGAGCGCAGCTCGGTCCTTCGTCTGCAGCCACGTACACTGAGACTTGGATTGGGCACATTGCGAACAGGCGGGCTCGACGCCGTCACACTTGATCTTCTTGCGACTGCGTTGAGGATGTGATCAGGAGAAAGCGCGGGGAAAATAGCGAGGCTGATGAAGACGTACCGGCAAGATTCACATGCTCGCCAGACCCGTCTTCGCTGCAATTGAACAGGTTTGAGGCCGAGGTCAGCAGAGACCTGGTCGTCGTCGAAGCGTTTCTTCTTGGATTGGTGTGGGTGGACGACCATGGCAGGTATATCGGTGGTTTGCTGAGGTGGAGGGCCCTCGGGCATGCTGGTATATGAGGGAGGAGGGAAAGAGATCTGAGCCAGATCGGGCGAGCGGACGTAAGCAAGTACTGCGTGCCTGAGAAAGCGCACAGAACCGGAGTCACCCCGCCACAGCCTCTGCCCTCTTCTCGGATTTACGTCTCCTTCTCGCCCCGCACACCCGCGCTCCTCGTCGCCTCTGGGGCTCTCGCCGCCGTCGCGCGCGTCGGCCGCAGCGCTGCTCGTCGGCGAGGGCCCCCGCACCGCCCCGTCACACATCGGTACTCGGCGCGAGCCCCTGCATCTGATAAATCCCTGTGGACGCAGTGGCCCCGTCTGTCCTTTTGCAGCCCGGGAGACGCACTCGCGAACCGGCGCGGCGAAGAGTCAGCAAGGCATTTGACCACCTCGTTGCCAGCGCAAGCAATACATCGAAGTCTACCTCTGCGGTTCTTCAATGGATTCAGCCGCAGGGGGGCACCCGCTCGCAGCAGCGCTCATCTCCGGCTCGCACCATCCTGTCAATCTGCCCGAACGGCGACCGTTCCCAGCGATTGAGAAGGGCAGGCGAACTTCTAGTGTGTCCTAAGATGCTCCCCAGCGCCAAACTCTCTTTTCTTGCCTCCTACGGTCGTGCCCCTTCCGTCAATCAAACTCCACGGGGTTCATAGGATAGCTATCCAGGGCAGCACACACGGCCATCGAAGGTCCCGCGACCCGAAGGTTACGTTAGTTTGTCATTTGACATTGTTCTCATCCGCGTTCGGGACGGTATCCTGTCGGTCACATTTCCTGGCGCGCTGTCCGACGCCTGCTGGCTGTTGTTCGCCAGCGCTATGCCAGCTGCTCTTGCCAGTGCTTCAGCCTTGTAAACCGTTCCGTCTTCCGTATGGGGCATCCTGTCATGAAACGTGTATACTGCGCTCATCGATGCATGTGTGGGCCCTGGAATGCTTCGACCACCATTCTGGGACTACAGATTGAACCTTCACCAGCAAGAGAGCCACGTTCACGAGATGAGATACCGTCGAACGCACACCGCCCCATGCCTAAGTCCCAATACCCTCTTCTCCCTCGCAGCCCTCTCGGTTCCTACACGTCTGAGTGTCCGAGTAGCGTCCCGCGGTTCGCCCGACATGCCTGCCGCTCACACGGTCTAGCCCGACGAGACGCTGTACCAACCGGTGTGTGAGCCATCCGAATGAGACCAAAATCACGCAACGCACCTAACCGCGCTATCGCTCGTCTATCCTCGCACGCCTGCTGAGATAGCAGTCATCTTCTCCGGCGAATCCCTGAGGTAGTACAGCTTCACGCGTCGGATTCTGGGGCCCGACTTGGACGTCTTCGTCGCGGCCCGCTGCAGGATTTTGATGTTCTTGAGATGCGGGGAGCATACGTAGAACTGCATCTCCACTCCTGTCCGATTGATCACGTTACGGAGGACGAACGACGTGTCCAGCCCGCGTCTTCGCACCGACAGGAGCACCCCGGAAAAGGTCGTAGGCGCATGACCCAGACTGACGGTCAAGACAGATCCGGGCATGATTCGTGAGGGATGTCGCCGTGCGAAATAGGATTGTAGCCAGTTGAGCTTTTCGGGCGTTGGCAAGGTCTCCTTGAGATGCTGCATGAGACCCTTGCCCTTCAGCAACGGTTCGCGGGGCACGGTGCTGGTGTTGGGCGAGACGGGTATGATTTTGGCGAGTTTAGAGAAAGGGTAGGGCTGCGCTGCCGTGGACAATGCCCTCGCGCATTGTCGGAAGGGGCTGGATAGCATGTCGGGCGTCGCACAGAGCAAGATGCTCACTGGTCGCTGGCGAATCGAAATTGGACGGGGTATGGTCACATGATTGCATCATAGGTCGGTCCGCCGGTTCCGGAATCCGTTCGTTCAAGTTCAAGGTCTGGAACGCGAATCCCTCCTCTGCTCATCCATCTGCACTCGTCAATGCACAACTGCCTACTCTCGTCATGCCGTTGAGGACGCCGGTGCGGGCCATAGACAAAGACATGTATTATTGGTGCGTAATTGACGACCAGCTAACTGCTTAGTACAGAGTAGACGCGGGCTCAGCTGCAGCACGAAGGAGTTCTCGCCGCCGCCAGCAATGCACTGTATTCGATGGAGAGGCTATCACGAACATGGGTCAACATGAGTTTTTCATTTGGTCAACCTTTCCATTGGAGCACGGAGTCTCCTACCGGGGCAACTCAGTCCCATCTCGACTTCCGAGGACGCATATACGGACATCGCTCTGCCCCGTTATGATGGGGCAAGTCCATGTCCCGCATAAGCACAAGGACGAAGATCATCGCTCCTTATCGTGAGATAGCCCGGCAGAGTAGAAGGGTGAAGATCGCACGAGGTAAGCACATAGTAAAGCAGATGAAGGAGCTTCTCAGTGGTGTTTGTCTCCGTAACGACACTTGCGCCTCGCAGTCGCAGTCGAGTGATCTATAGCTTGCTTATAACGTCAGTTGAATAGCGAGAGAAGGACAACGGGCGCGCCACAGCCATGAGTAGGGGTAAGTGGTCGCATGACCATCCTCAACTGCCGTAAGTGATGCATATTTTCAGCATTCGCAGACGTCACTGAGACCAACTCGGGAAGTCAAGGTCAAGCAGAAGGTCAAGGTGCGAGACACGAAGTAGCATCAAGACAAGAGGTGCCCTCAGGTACAACAGACCAGCGCCGAACAGGGCATAGCCTCGCACTACCCGAGGACATCGTTTCACATCTTCGTGGTATACATGCGCCCACGCCCTACAGTTAGCCGGATCACAACACAAGGTGCTGTTGGTGAAAGGCAAGGCTCATGAACGTGCTTACCCGATCGCAGAGTCAACGGCAGACGCGCACACCTGGAGACGAAGGAAAGGTCATGCAGCCTTGAATGGTGCCGCAAACGTAGACCATTGGAGGTAGGCGCACGGCAGGGGGAGCGAGTTGAGACAGAAGAGAGGGACGAGCGCATGGGAGGGGAACGGAGTGGAGTCGAAGACATCGCGGCGCGTCTGAGACGCCCGCGGTCACGTGCACAGTGCGAGGACATTTGCGCGGTTGTGCACCGCCCATATAAAGGCTGTAGGCTGTCCACGCCGTCGTCCACATCGAGCTCGCTCTCGCCCTCCCCCGCCGCCGCTGCACGCGCTGACCACCCGCTAGCCTGTCTTCGCAGCACGCACGCAAAACCTGGCCCCCAACTCCTTCCGCGACTACGCCTGATCGCGTCTGCCTAGACGCTTCCATCGACCAATCTCATCTTGTTTATTGCACCCAGGATCGACCGCCAACCCTATATTTCATGATCATCGGCCTTCCGCTTTAGCTCCTTCGCGACATTTATACCACTCCTCTTAAGCCATCGCCCTTTTCCGCGTCCTACACGTCCGCCAGCATGTCTCTCACGTCGCTGCCCGTCGAACTGCTTGACGCTGTCTGCGAACCACTGGCAGCTTGCCCGTCGACTCTGGCAAAGCTCGCACTCACTTGCACGTTCGTCAGCCCCAGTGCGACGCGTGCTCTATACCGCTCCATCTCCGTCTCTCAATACGCTCGGAATTTGCCCCTCGTGCATACGCTGGCCAGTCGTCCAGATCTTGCGGGACTGGTACACGAGTTCTCTATCACCCTAGACGATTCCTACCCCGTCTTACGCGCGTTTTACTCGCAACTGCGATTAGCCCTTTGCCAAATGCCACGCTCTCATCGCTGGTGGTGCTGGTAGACGCAGGTGCGAGCTGGATCCTCCCCGTATACGACCAGCCGCTATCCGACCTTGCGCACCTTTCCTGCTCCTTCCCGCTAGACGCGCATGTCTCCGCCTTCCTCAGGCAGACGCCGTCTTTGCGTTCGCTCAGATCGCAGAATCCCCGCGACTGGACACCCAGGTCCTTCCAGCCACCCACGTGCCCCTGCTAGACTCGTACACCGGTCCAGCGGCACTCCTCCCCGCCCTTGCTTCGCGCCCCCTGTCGACAATTCATCTCACCGGTGACCTGAGAATCGAGGACATACCCCAGCCCACGGGCCTCCGGATGTGGGGGAACTCAATTCAGAGTCTATTTCCTTCCCATATACGGTACCGAAGCTTCTGTGCGAGGGCCATGTCGATGTGCGGAAGACGTTGCGGGTGTTCAGCGCGATCACCAGCGCCCCACCGCTGAATTGCTGGAGGCGCTGGCGATGGCCTATCCGGACGTGGAGTACTTGAGGCTCATGACGATGAGTGCGTTCTGGGAGGCACCGGACATGGTACGTGTGATAACCATCTGATCACGGTTCTGGGCTCATTGTCTGCGCTTCTCTTCTCAGACATTATACACTCGCATCTCCGACACCCTCTCGTCCTTAGCCGCTCTGTCCGTCTTCGAGCTCTCAGGAATGCATTGGGAAGCACGCCCGAAGTCCACCAGTCCCTCGGATTCTAGGGTGGGCGATCAGTGTATTGCGAAGGAGTGGATCTCTCCACCTGTGACACCCCGCGCCCTGGAAGTGCCTGCAGGATTCGACATGGAGGACACGACCCACAGCCTTGAATTTGGCGATGCCTATTTCGACTGGTCGTACTAGACCGTAAAAGAGCAGGCCGAGAGCATCTTCTCGACTTATACCTGGGAATCCATACCTATACCCGGACGGTTCCTTACTCATGCGCTTCGCCTGTTTCGCATCCGCAGTTTCGCGTTTGTCACCTAACTTATCCACCCTTGTATTCGTCGTCTTACTCCATTATTTGCTCTGCTCGCGTCTTTAGTTGCTCTTGCCCTTCCGTATACGATATACCTACCTCTATGCCCGGTGCCTGTCTTGATCAATGTATTATACCACTCGCAAACGACATGTCCATTTCTTAGCATCCTGATACTCATACAAACATACCATTCCGGCTTGGTCCGCAAAACCAGATCCAGCATAATACATGACACAGTACGTTCCACAGCAAGCAATGAACTCGATAGCAAAGACAATCGTAAGCAATGTATGATTTCAACTCGGTCTCCGAGATCAACATAGACGGATCTGACTTCAGATTAGAAACAGTTGACCGGACACGACTGTCGAGTACCCACGTTCTCATCCTTTCCCCGGGGCTTTTGATTTGGCGTACTTACCCCTGCATCATGGCACGCGTCATCTCCTTCGTTTCCAGATAGTCTTTGCAGGCTACATGTCGAGCCAGTCAGAACGACGGGAAAGACAACAGTCGAATACGTAAGCCAAACCTGGCTTGTGTGCCTTCCAATCACTCTTCTGGCATTGCGGAGAGCAGTACGACACCCGTTTGCATGCGCTGCATCGCTTGAACTGCACTGAACGCTCTTCACGTTGTTCACAACCCGCTCGCGAGCACGTCTTGCGAACATAAGCCTTTGCTTCGTCGCCATCTGCCCAAGCCCAGACATCCGGTTTCTCCCAGAGGTTCTGCGTTAGCCACAAGTAGTCGTGCGCCTGTTCGGGGCCATTAGGGGTTCGGGGCAAGTTGTTCAAGGCATCTGCGGTATTCGCGGGACGTAAGCGATCCATGATGTACACGTATGGTGTGTACGTACGAGGACGCGTGACTTTTCCCAAGATCCTCATTAGGATGCTGAAGTTGTTCTTCGCGCCGAGTCGCAGGTATTGACGCGCCAGCAGGGACTCGCTGCCCCAGATCTTGAAGGCAGCCAGGGCGCCTGTGTAAAGCAAATCGCCATCGCAATAGTCCGACATTTTCTCGAACTCTGCCTGAGGAATCGGGTCTGGCGAGGGCGCCTTGAATGCGCAGCCGCCGCGAGGAGGAGCCTCGCCTGTCTCCCGGATCCGGGGCTGCAACCATGCCTGCGCAAAAGAGAGCGCCTCTTTGTTGCGACCAGCTTGAAGTAGAACGGACCCCAGCCATTGCCTTTGACCCATGTTGTCTCCGGGACAGAGGCGCAACATTTCGATCATGGTGTTCCTGCTCACACGTCTTTCAACCGAGAATAGTGACAGTAGGAGCTTACGACGCACGCCGACTTGTTGTAGTCACCTTTCTCGAAGGCGATTCTCACAATTGCTTGGAGCACGCGCATGTATGGCCTAGTCTCGATGAGTGTCCAGAAGCGCCCTACTTCGTCCCCGTCCGAGTCGTCGTCGAAGACACGCGGGCCGAAGATGCTCTGTAGGGTTGCGCGTCCTGGTGCAGCTGTGAGCTGACTAGTCCCAACAGTGGCCTCAGTCACAAACCTTTCCGCTCGGCGTCTTCCAGGACTTTTATAGACATGTTGAGGTTGGGCTGAAGGAAGCTGAATTGCACATCTGCGTCGAGGTTGTTGGGATCTTCCATCGCCTTGACAAGATATGGTAGGGCCTGCTTGGGTTTCCTCTTCTGACACAGATCTTCCGCAATCTTCAAGCTATGTCGAAGTGACATGACCAGTGAATAACAGGTACCGCGAGCATCGTCGCGGGACCCACTTCCTCTGCGACTCTTGAGAGACTAGACCTCCCCCCAAACCCATTATTCGTTCCCCACCCTGTCGCTTGTTCATGACTATGTCTTGTAGTCGGATGGCAGCAAGAGGGTGAGATGGTCTGATAGAGAGATCGCAGTCGATGGTTTGGCAGAAGGGTTGGCAGCGCGTTGCCGTCGCGTGCGACCGAAGCACCACAGTTCGCGGTTCCGTCGCGTCGATAGCACGTGATCGTACCATATCCAGACTGATGGAAAGTAATTCCTAGGTCCAAGTTAGTCTCATACAGGCCGTTGAGCTGGTCCACACTGAGTAGTCTGTCGACGTTGCATAAGGTTATCCAACCATATTCGATGGCCGTCTGGATGTCTCCGCCGTACGGGGCGCACTCTGCCTGGCAACTGCCACATACCTGTGACTATGCCAGGCTGCGCCGGAAGGGAGTGAGTGTATAAACACAGCAAAGTCACCATTTCAGCATACAACTTGAGTCCAGTGGTACAGTCAAGATAGTCAGAAACGCGTCCCTCCAGAACTAGGGAAACGTTCTTCATAAAGATCGGCAGCTGAGATACAACGCCTTGAGACAATCGGCGTCTTGGATTACTCCTTGACGACTTTCGCAGACTGTACGATCCATTGTTAGGCGCTCACTTGTGTCCGAGGAAGCACGTACCTGAGCACTGCTGAAGGCGTCCATGCCTGCCGCAACCCTGGTACCAGCGACCAGCCCACTCCAGTCTAGAATGTCAAACTCTTGCTCCCCACGCTTCTTCTGTTCCTGGTGGATAGCCCGCGCTGTGAGGCGGTAATTGTGGGCGGCGTCCTACAGAGCAACGTGTGATGTTGAGTAGCCGCTGTAGGTCCCAAAGTCGCAAACTTACGATCATTGGCATGGGTGAGTTGTACTCCGTCAAGAGTCTACGCATGTGACTGGCGTCCTTCAAACCACCGTCAACTGCAAAGCCATGCTGTCCATCAAGGGAATCGGTTGCCATCCTGTTGCCGTAGTTGATGAAGCTATTGAACTAGTCAATAATGCCACGCAATCCTACGAGACGGAACATACGATGGCGCCGGGAAGAGATCCTTGATCAGTTCGTACGTCGTCGCAGAGCCTATGCCTGTCTTCTCCGAGAGCGTGAACGCTTCTGCGAGGATCTCGAGCGACCCGAGGATCATCGAGTTTCCGATGAGCTTGAAAGTTGGGGCTGGACGCACATCAGGATCGGCAGACTGACTCAGAGGTTGCGACAGCGAAGACATACCTTTCTCGAGGTTGCCGCCCAAGTCCATCGCCTTCTTACCCACACCGGGGACTAGGACATACGCAACCTCCTGCTTCGCCTGGTATTCGCCCGCAAGGACGCACACGAGATCGCCCGCATCAGCGGCGGCTGGGGGACCGAAGACAGGTCCGGAGAGTAGGTGGGTGTGGGGAATCCCACTTAGGAAGTATCCAGCTCGCCTGCAGCGTCGTGAGCCGGTGGACATGGTCGACGTTCAGGAGATGTACTCACCAACCAGGGAAGGGTAGACAGTGCTCATCTCTACAATAATCTTCTTCTTTGTTGGCGGCTTGGCCTAGGTCATGTATGAGTTGTCGGCGGGTAAAGACACATGTCATGGAGGCCATAGCGCGCTCCCCACGAAAGAGTACAACGGAGCTCTGGCAGTCAACTTCACTGCACAGCTACACTACGTTGGTGGCATGACCAATCTCACTAAATCTTGTCATGGATGGATAGGACTGAACGCAACATGTTGGACTGCTGACTTTACTCGATAGACGAGGGATGGATTTGTCCTAAACTGCGGCTTCCACCACGGGGTTTCAAAGCAACACCTCGAGTGCCCAACTGCACTCGACAGCGAAGGCCGAAGATCCAGAGGCGGGCAGCTAGATTGGTCACCTCTGCAGATCGCATCTGTATGCTGCAAAGTGCACGTCAAACGAAGAGTTTTGACAGGAGGTCCGTCCGTACTGGTAGGACTGCACGTGCGCGTCTTGGGAGCACAACATGGACTACCGAGACGATCGCACGCACCTTGAGCGCTGCGCGTATTGTTCGTACACGCCCTTCACAACCGCGTCGTTCGCGAGACTGGTGAAGATGATGTCGCACTCTGATGAGCTCTCCCGGAGAGGTTACGATCTGGACCTTGTCCGCGCCGAGCTCCTTCTGCAGCTGCTCACACTTGCCCACCGATCGATTGTAGACCTTGAGTGGGCTCGGTGCAGCGTGCGTGAGCGGGTCTTTGCAAGGTTGCGCGCCATGAAGTAGCCCATGGCTCCCAGTCCACAGAAACCAACGTGATGCGCGACATGGCCGAGCGTCGCCGGTCGCGGGAAGGGCACCGCGGGTTGACAGGGTTGGCAGGTGGGCCATGGTCGACGTGCGTAAAGTCAAGATGATGACCACAGCAGCTGAACGCCTTTATATCTCAGGCTGGCAGCACACAAGGACCGGACGTATCACCGTGAACGCCCATCCGGAGGAAAGTAGATCTGGCAGATCTGACTGTACACGCCGTGACGGTGAGCTGCCCGGTGTGTACTGGCAGCACTAGAGGACTCCGAGCTGGTCCGAGCGGCCTGTGCATGACATGTCGTTAAATGGCAGTTGAGAGCAAGACGCGATCGAGATCCAGTATTTACCACGTACGTAATCGCACGTGAGCTGCGTGCGGGACAGAGCCGCTCGGCGCTTGGAAATCGTCACCCAGGCTAAGTACCGCACGCAGTGTACGGTGGGAAGTTCAGGCTGACCGGGTCTGCACGCGAAATACCTCTCGTTGGGCCACTCACTACCGTTTCAGAATGACAGACGTCGCAGAGTCCACGCCGGCCGCCACAGCCGACCAAATCATCGACGATGGCGAGGAGGAGGAATCCAAGGTGCGCCCGTCTTAACTGCGTTTTTGAGCGCCATATCCACACTATCCCATGATCGCACTAGGAAATCTGCTCATGAAGCAGCGGGTAGAAGAAATGGAGAGGGAAGCGAACAAACTCAGGGAGCTTCAGGCTGCAGCAGAGAATGCTGAGCGGCGTCGTCAGAGGCCGCCGACACGAGCGTGCCAATGGAACCGAGGATGACAAGGCCGCGGCCGATCCAGGAGTGTTTTCGTTGGCAATGTTCGTCATCGAAAGCATTTGATGCCCATTTGTGCAATCTGACCATTTTGCATTCCAGGTTGACTACTCCGCCACGCCAGAGGAATACAGGCACATTTCCAAGCATGTGGCGTCATCAACCGAGTTACTATTCTCTGCGACAAGTTCACTGGCCATCCAAAAGGGTGCGTGGCCGTTTTCATCATGCTATATCTCTTGGGTCATGCTCAAATTGCCGTACTTGCCATGCATAGCTTTGCTTATGTCGAATTTGCTGAGGATAGCCATGTGGAGGCCGCGTTGGCCATGGACAATTCCCTTTTCCGCGGTCGGTTGATCAAAGTGAGTAAAACCTACTAGTGGTCCGACACTGCTTTGACACACTATCACAGGTAACGACAAAACGCACAAACATCCCAGGCTTCAACCGTGGTCGGGGTCGCGGGGGCTACCGTGGTGGCTACCGTGGTGGCTATCGGGGGGTTCTTCGGTTATGCCCCATACAGAGCACGCGGCAGGTGAGTTTCGTCATGTACTGTATCCTGGAAATTTCCGTGACAATATCGCAGAGGACGGGGGCGTGGTTTCTGAGAGCTTCAAAAGGGCAGCTGTCCATAGGTTTCCTCTTGTTCCCGTTATATGTATAGTCGCTATCGTATAATTTAATGCATCGGGTGCTGAGCGATGAGCTGTTGTATCCCGTAGGCTGTATGTCTTGTCCCGCCAGCTTGCACAGCAAAACAGTGCTGTACAGCAGTCAGGAACGCTATTCTCAACATTGCGGCGGCAGTAGACTCCATACGCGGGGATGTCCTTCGGACCCTCTTGTATCAAATCAAGGAGACCTTTTTCAATGATCGTAGAGTATCCTTCGCTGCACATCATGATGCAATTCCCCCTACTACTACTGCTACTAGTACTAGGTACCGTCCTCTTGATCAACAATGTCGCATTTAGGGGGAGACCAGCAACTCCCACGGGATGTTCTATTCGGTGGCCTGACGTTGCCGTTACCACTGTATAAGATGCAGGATATACTGTCTGCCCCATCAACCTTCATCCGGCATTGCGGTCGACATGAGTGCTGCCATCCCTCCGTCCGATGTGTATGCTCAAGAGCTCTTCAAGCTCGGGTATGGCCATCCTCTATGGGAACCGGAATCGCACGAGGATCGACCCGAAGCGCAGATTGCTGACGTTGGATATTTCAAGAGTGGGGCGTTTTACCGCCTCTTCAACGCATTGGCAACGAAGGATAAGGAAACTGGCAAAAACACCGGCGATGGCGAAGAAAACGATGAGTTCCTTCCTAATTACGAGAAGCTCTATCCATGATTATCAAGATCCAAAAATACTCCTAGTGCAATCATTGAAGCTCCGCTCTTCAGTGAGACTGTCCACCACACCGAGATGGCAGTTGAAGCCACCAGGAGAGCGGCGGCACGACGCTCAGCGCAAACCGGGACGAAGTCGGGTTGAAGGGCGAGGGCGAGGTCAAGCCGCCCGAGGGCAGCGAGTGGAAGACGTGGAGCGCATGAGGCGGAGCGCAGATGCGAAGATGCAACGAATCAAATTTCAACGTTGTATTCTTGGATTTTTTGGACCAATCTCTCCTAGACAGATTCTGTTCTCCTGTGGTGACAGAGATGGCCGTCGTTGCATTGTCACAAACAAAAGAGGGCCCAGCCTGAGAAACAGTCTTGCTACTTACGAGACTACTCTGCGAAGCTATCATTTATGTATCTGCAACTCGTAAGTATATTCTCAGCGCTACATGAATGTAGGGATGCCAGTGATCTGGGTACTCGAAGATCCCGAGTCAGGACTCGAATTGAACGCGACGCGCATACACCGATCACGTGGTCGTGAATATGCTACAGACTCGCGATCGCCAGTCGCGCTGGGCATGCCAGTCACTCCCACTGGAGTACTGAAGACTTGCTGAAGGTTCATCGTCTGGCTAGTAACTCGCCGGTGCTGTCTGACCAACAACTTCGCAACCACACTGCGTCGGCGCTGTTGTGACGGGGCGTCGGCATCTTGCGTCGTCTGATGAATGCTGCAAAACTGGGATCTGTTCGTCTGCTAAGACAGGCCCTCTTCCCTGCTTGTTCACGCATCCCTTGTGGTCGATATGTTCCATCCATTGGCTGTAGAGCGATTGGAACTGCTTCAGAAGCATCCTCGTTGAATGAGAGCGAACACAGACCTGAATTACGCGCGAAATGTTGTGCGTATTTCATGTACCTGCGGTGTTCACAGCTTGCTCATAATGGCACAAGCACCATACCCCAGGCCTACACATAACAGTCTGTCATTGACACCGGGAGTTGCGGACGAAAATGTCTCACTTGCTGGATGGCTGATGTCCGAAAGGTATGTCATTCTGTTGGATGTACACTGTCAGAGCCTAAGGCCGAGTTCACTCTAGAAAAGGCGGCAAGGCGCTCTCCTTCTTCAAGTTCAGAGACTCTCATGGCACCATACAGTTGGTCGTCACTGAGAGCGAAGCGCTCTCGAAGATGCGTAGTATCGCCCCGAACTCTACTGTGCTTGTGCAGGGTACAGCGAGGATGCGACCACAGCATCAAAGACGACCAGTACGAGTTGTTACAGCTGCCAATGAATTGTGTATAGTTTAGGACCATCTGATTTAGGTTCCTGGAGGAAGCGTGGAAGTCTTGGTGAACTCTGTGATCCTGCTGAACCCGGCAGACCGCTCCCTACCTTTCGACCCGCTCGACGAGCACAACATGGTACGCATACTTCGCCAGTGGAATACACAGTTCATTCTTTTCATATCTAGCCATCCTCTTAACCATGTACTCTACAGGCGAGCGAGCACATGCGGCTACAATACCGCTACCTTGACCTTCGACGCCCTGCGCTTGCAGAGAACATCAAGAAGCGCAGCGAAGTGGCACATACTATCAGAACTGTCTTTCATGAACAAGGTCAATAGGTTTTCCATGTCTACGTGGTGTGTAAGTCTGACCCAATTGTTGGTGCACAGGCTTCACAGAGGTCGAGACGCCAACTTTGCTTCGTTCTACACCGGAGGGTGCGCGTGAATTCCTCGTGCCTACCCGTCTTTCGGCGGCGCGGACATCGACTCCAGGACATTACGACGGCAATGAGGGTTCAAAGCAACCGCTGTTCTATGCCCTCACCCAGTCGCCTCAGCAACCAAAGCAGCTGCTCATCGCGTCGGGGGCAGTCGATCGCTACTACCAACTCGCGAAGTGCTTCCGAGACGAAGATGGTAGGAAAGATCGACAACCGGAGTTCACACAGGTCGATCTCGAGATGGCGTGGGTCAGCTGGGGCGAGAACGCGGATCCGGGGGGAGGTGCCACAATCGAGGCGGCCGATCGAATTGCCCTCAATACTCCAGCCAGTGGCGCATTGGCGGCGCCGAGGTTCGTAACATTGTTGAGAAAGTGGTTCAGAGAGTATGGGCGAAGATGGAGGACGTCGAGTTACCGAAACACTTCAGGGTCATGACCTACGATGAAGCTATGACTCGCTACGGTTCAGACAAGCCTGATCTACGCTTCGGTCTGGAGGTGAGTATTTGCCTTTCAGCGTTGTGCTGCGTGTACAATGATTCGGCCATCCATCATTAGATACAGAACATCACCTCTCACCTACCTCCTAGTCTACGTGAGGCTTTAGATCAACGCGGAGAGATCCTGGAGGCATTGTGCGTCCGCAAGTCGAACGGGAGCGACGACCCATTCCTCAACGCCGCACAGCAACTCAGCAAGAGTAACGGGCCGAGCATAGTATGTCATGGGTGCTTCAAACTTGAGACGCTAAAGTATTCACCCCTTTACGATCCAGTCAGCATCAGAGGTCGCCAGCGGCACTGATTCTAATTGGCTCTATCAAACTCCAGCAGTCTCTGACCTACTGAGTGGCGCCGGAACCATACAGGATGCCACAAGCGTCAACGCACACTTGGGGCTGAATCAAGGCGGTCATGTGTGGCTCGCGAGGCGACGCCATAAGCCAGAGGTGCTGTCTACCAATGTCACTGCTGATGCCGACGCTGACAATTGGTGATATTTTAGGGCGGCTCCACTAACCTCGGCCGTCTTCGCCTCGAACTAGCGAATCTCGCCGAGTCCCTCAAGGATCTGACCATGCCATCAGAGCCTCACTTCCTCTGGGTGACTGAGTTTCCGCTGTTCACTCGCGCAGATGCAGACAAGGATTTCCTCGCTCATGGACGATGGAGCAGCTCGCATCATCCTTTCACGGCGCCGATGTGGCAGGACGTCGAAAAGATGTATGGAGGGGATATCGAGGCAGTCAGTCTTGCCCCGCTTTGTTATGATGGACACTACGCTCATGCATCACTTGTCCAGGTACGAGGCCAGCATTACGATCTCGTCCTCAATGGAGTAGAGATCGGCGGAGGATCCGTCAGGATACACGATGTAGTCATGCAGGAGTACGTCTTCAAGAACATCCTGGAGGTCAGAACTTTACTCGTCTCCTCGACGTCTGAAACTGAATGACACACCCCTAGCTTGACCACGATGAGAAGGCTTCCTTTAATCATCTTCTGCATGCTTTGCGATGTGGGGCACCTCCGCATGGCGGGTTCGCCTTCGGTATGCTGAATGTTACAATTCCACCTATCCTCGATTAGCTAACTTCCTGCAGGTTTTGACCGTTTGATGGCCATCCTCTGCAAAACCGAATCAATTCGGGACGTCATTGCCTTCCCCAAGACTGGCACCGGAACTGACCTGCTACTCAAAAGTCCAGCAAAGGTCAAGCGATCCGCTATGGCAGAGTACGGCATCCAACCACTGTAGGCATGTTTACTTCGAGGACATTTTTCGCGAAAGCGTCCCGAGTTTGGATAGCCAGTGAAGTTCGAAGTAGTACTATACATGGCACGAAAGCATCGCACACTAAGTTAAGACCGACAGTAGATCATGACAAGCGTAGCATAGGAGTCCGCGGTTCAGGGTTGCGCTATAGCTAGATAGAAGAGAATGACTGCTGAATTATTACGTCGTGATGGGTATAGCGGTATCGTCGGATAGTGGACTTCGACTCCGTTCGACGCGGGGCGTCCCACCGCCTTGTGGCGTTACAGACGGTGAGATACCACTGATGAACGTCGAGTTGCGCGGCGTCACATCACTACTGGTGCTGGCCGAGTATGCATGAGGAAAGCTGAACGTAGCCCATTGCGAATCAGCATCTGCCCTGCCCTTGCCGTTGAGCGTAGGAGAGGCAGGGCGATTACCGGGCAAGTCAGCCTCCCCCATATCTGGCGGTTCCTCTGCTTGGCCGTTTGGCCGCGGGTGGCTCTCATCGATTACAGAGAGGACACTGCGTAGCTTTGACTCAGACTTGCGGCCTGAGGTCGAGGCAGATGGGGCTGCAGGGTAAGAATGCCTCCGCCCATGCGATGGTGGTGACGCGCCGACAGTCGCGTCTACGGCTTGAGGGGAGGCGGAGCGTGCCGGGGAAACAGGGGTCGATATTGTTCGGGAGCGCGGTGGTGAGGTAGCTGGCGACGCTACATCTGCCCACGCAGCGCTGGCATCGGGGAAGAAGCCGCCCGTTGTCGGTGCCCAGGAGCTGTTGTTTGATGGCCCACCATCACTGCCCTCAAGATCGGGCGTGGATGCAGTCAGAGGACTGGCCGTTGATGAAGTCGATGGGGCGTTGGCAATTACAGATAGAGGTTGCAGGATGGTGAAAATCTGGTCTTCGGCTGGGGCAGGACCGTAGGAATCGAACGGGTCCGGGACGGTTTGTAGCATTGGCTCAATGACAGGATCGGAGCTGTTCAGTTATCAGTACTGCGCAGAGCAGTCATAGTGAGACAGGTTACATACGCTTTGCTCGTCAGCCTGTCGAAAACATCCATAGTAGATCGAACTGCCAGGCAGACCTTGCCTTGCACAAAATCCCAGACCTCTTCCTCATGGTCGATGATCTCCTCGTAATGTTGAGCCTTGAGCTCATCTAGCTCGTCAACTTGCCGCTGCAAGATAGTCAGTGCTTCTCTGAATGTTTGCAGGTCTGCAACACATGTTCATTTAGAGCGGCGTGACACTTGACATGCGCTTACTTCGGCCCTTCTTCTTGAGATTTCCCATCTCCGTCTCCCGAATGATGTTGCTCTTCTCACGGAGCGCCCTCTCATACGTGTTTGACCGTTCCTAAGAATAGGCGAGCACACATGAATGAGAACGGGATTTGCGCTTCGAGGGATAGTGATCTTACAGTGACGACAGAGCGATAATTCTCGAGATGCTGTCGCAGTGGCTTCTCGAATTGCTTGTCGAGGGTCTCCGCCTAGAATGATGCAGATAAGTACCCCTGCACTGTGCGGACGACCAGATGACTCACAAGTACATGGAAGTGGTTGCTCATGAGATGGTGCAAGCCCGATGCGGCCTGCATTCGTGTTCCGGATTCGTACGTGGGGCCCTTCAACCTGGCGCGGGTGAGCGTCAAGTGGGCACCGCTGAGGTATGTATCAAGACCACATACCCCGCACAAGAACCCATGGCATCCGCAAACCCAGCCGTCGCCCGAGACATCGTCATGAGTGCAGAGCGATAAGCCGCACACTTGGTGAGCAACTGCGAAAGGACTAATGTCACCTCGCTGATCCGCAACTCAGGCAAGGGCAACATACATCTTCATATCCCTGAATGCTATTCTTCAGGTGGGCTCTGGTGATAATCTTCGAGGGACCATCGGGCCCGAAATTGAGAACGGAAGCATTGGTAGCCTCGGAGAATGTGGGAGACGGTGGCCGGGAGTTCTCTCGCCTGGGGGACAGCGCCTGGGAGCGGAGAGAGCGAGGGCGAGGCATGGTGATGGAGCTCGTCGCCTGCGACGGTGAGAAGGAAGGGGCGGCGAGCAACCAGAGAGGCCGTGAAGAGGGAGGCCGGTGGGCAGATTGAGGGCAGAGTATCAGTGAGCCAGGCACCTCGGCAACTGCGCTGAGCACGTAGTGGGCATCACGTGCGTCATTCGCCTCTCCCCCCTGAGATCGCGCTGGGAGCTCCCGACGACAGCGAACCCCGCCGAGCCTCTGACCGTAACACGGACCTAGCAGAACTTTCGCGGTGGATTATACACAGATAATTTATGCCAATTCATGCAATGCTCTCTCCACGAACTCGACAGCATCGTGGCAGTCAAGCCAAGCACCGGGATCCCGCCATTCCACCCGGCAGTCCTCATCTTGGCGAGCTTGCTCTCTGTGCGACAGAGCTGCTACCCCGACGTATGTATCCTCTCTCCCGCTCCGAAGGCAATGCGGTATCTCGAAGCGGACAAACTTCCACTCCCGCGTCAACGCTCCGTCGATGCGGACCGTCTCCCCGTGGATGTCGTATTCGATGCGCTTGAACTCGAACCCCAGTCCTAGGCCCAGAGCCTTTGTATACGCTTCCTTCAACGTCCAGATGAGATAGAAGCGATAAAGGGCTTCCGACTCGGGGAGGGATGGCTCCGAGGCAGACGGGAGAAGGGAGCGGTGTTCCAGTGGTGTGAGCTACGCGAAGGTGTGCTGTCAATTGAATATGCTCTAGGCGAGGAATGGAACAGCTTACTTGGTCGCTGAATGCGTCCAGGAAATTGGCAAAGGTTTCGCGCTCGGGCAGTTGCACTTTCATCACGTCTATCCCGAGTCTGTACGCCGGGGGTCCCTGAAGGTCCTCCGCGCTAGACCAGGCCATTGCTACCACCCCGCTATCGTGGGTGATATTGTAAGCTATTGGAGGATCAATACTTTGCGTTGCCTGCCTTCAAGTGATATCGCAATCACCCGTCAGCAAACAGCGTCAGCGAGTACGAGCTTGTGACACTCGCGATGAAGGGCTTGCCGGACTGCGTCCTCCCGAAGGCCATCTCATCAAGAGGCACCCCCCTTTCCTTCAATAGCATCCGTGGTAGCAGGCATCCTACCAATCCACCTGCGGTACGTCTTGGAGAGTCAGCATGCGTGCATGACGGCATCACTCACGGAAGCTGTCTCGCTTGTGGTAGAACTTGTTCAGGCGATCTCTCGTAGCGGGATCGACGAGTCTGAGCCCTCGTTCGTAGACCTGAATTGCACTGAGCATGTGTGGAGATCCAGAGAGCAGTGTACACACCTCTTTCCAGGCATCTGGAATGGTTTCGTCAAGCGTTGCGACCCAGATATGCATGCGGGCGGCAGATGAAGTAGCTGAACAGGATGCAAGAGATGTGCTTTGCCGCCCTCGACCTGCGGACGAGTCGGCTTGTGCGGGTTAGTAGATGAGATCGTGGCGCGATCGGAGCCGATCGTGAAGATCTAATCTGTGGGCAGGCCCTCGAACGCACAACTTGCCTCGCACCCCCACCTTGCCCGCAATGGCGGCACAGGACCATGCGCGCGTGTTTGTGTCGCTTGGAATGTTCATCATAGACGAGTTCCAGTTCCACGACGAAGAAGACATACCCACTGGTCGGACTCTACCTGCCCAGGAAAGCGAAAGACGTCCTTGATGTTTAGGCTGATATCATTTACCTCCTTCGTTCAATAGATCGGGGGAGGCGGTACGTACGCCGCCCTAGGAGCCAGAATATGGTGCGTCGGGCTCGCCAGCAGACAGACCGCACAGTCGTAATCGACGCCGCTAGGCTACCCCCAGACAAAGTCGGAATGATTATCGACAGAGGGACGGACTTCCCAGAACATATCCAACAGAAGCTAGATGTGTACGACTCAGACATGTGGCTGTTTAGAGATCACAAGGATCGCGTCACAACACGCTCACTCAACTCATACAAAGGAGAACATAGAGGGCAAGTGACTATGATACGTGTGTCTTCGTCTAGCAGACTGGGACTGACTGCCCAACAGGTTCCAGTACACAACGCCTCGACTGAGACTCACGCCGCGGAACCTCCAGGAGACGAAACTGAGGCGTCCGGAGATGCTGCATTTCATCTGCTCGCCCACAAGAGCGGCAGCTATCATTTCAGAAGTCAAGGAGAGCAGCGACTGGAACCCCGTCACTATCTACGAACCCATCCCCGTGGGTTCGATGCACGTTTTCATGCAACGAGACCAGCTAACACTCCGACACGAAGCTAGGATAGATGTGTACCCGAAGAGCTGCAGCCTCTGATAGGCGTCTTACCATCAATATCTGTGTTGAGGTACGGACTTAGCGACAGACAGTGACACATAACACGGCATGGACTGTTCAACGTGTTCTGTGCAGCCCCAACGCCGAAGAAGCCATGTCCCTCCTGTCCATACCAGGTCCGCCTACGAAGCCGCTCGTCGAGGAGGCTTGCCGCCGCTTCCTAGAGCACGGCGTAGGACCAGAGGGGAACGGGGCTGTCATCATACGAAGCGGAGCACTAGGAGCATATGTGGCTACCAGGAAAGGCGGCGGTGAATGGATCCCCGCCTTCTGGAGCGAGACCGAGGCTCCAGAACGAGTGGTAGATGTCACAGGTGTGTAGAACTCACTAGATGCGAACGTCGAATGGACTAGAGACCGGTACAGGTGCTGGAAATAGCTTTCTCGGTGGTCTTGGATCCGGGCTTGCTCTGGCAGGAGGAAACATTGTAGACGGTACGCGACTGTGGCCGTACGAAGTTGCGTTCCTTGTTAATTCCTATCTGTGCCAGCGGCGCTCTACGGCACCGTCTCAGCATCATTTACGATAGAGCAAGAAGGGCTACCTCATCTCACCGAGACGCGTGTAGAAGATGGAGTTACCATCGAGCAATGGAACGGAGACTCGCCGCACAGGCGGTTGCGAGAGCTACAAGAGCGTCTGCGCAGGCAGAGGGGTACGTAGATAGATAGAACGAAGTCAATAACTCAGAGGAGATTACAGCAGGGCCAAATACGGGTACGTCTGCGGATTGTATGTTCGTACATGGTATACAGCGACTGGTCCAATGTCCCTCTGGGAGCCTGAGAACGAGAAGAATGCTACACGATACAGTAACTCATTGCTGCGCGGACTGGAACTTTGCTCGACTGGCGGCGAACAGTTCTTCCTGCTGTCTGGCGAGTTCCTCCTCTGTTAGACCGGACGACTCCAACTTGGAGACCTTCTTCTCCCGGTCCTGGCGCGCAAGGTCAGAAAGAAGCAGAGGAGTCTCATCTGGACGTACTTTCTGCTGCTGTTTATGATCTTTCAATACATCCTCCACCTCCGTCGTGAATGACTCAAAACCAAGATGCTGGGGAGGAACAATCAATCGGTACGAGTGCAAAGCAAGATACAATGAAACATGCCTTCAGAGCCGAGATGATATGCTCCGGTGCTATCGTCTTCTTGGACTCTTTCTCACAGATCTCATTTGCCTCCGACGAAATGAGATGTATGAACTCTGTAGCATGGACGATTTGTTTAATTGGTGTCGAGGCCGAGGGACTAAAGCGCGCTTCACCTACACAACACTCAATCACCAAATCTCTGGTCTCTTTAGCACACGAGGTGTCGGACGGTAGAAGCTCTGTCGAAACCGTCCTTAGGACAGCAATGAACGCGGAGAAAGCACGACCTCATGCCTGTGATCATTTTGGCCACCGTCGCCTTTGGGAGCGAGAGATCCTCGTCCGACCCGGGCACGCCGCCCGTCTCTCGATCCGACATAGTTTCTGCCTTCCTAGGGCGTGCAAGTAGGGTTGGGAAGCGAGCAGCAGAGCCGGGGGGCGAGGAAAATCACAAACGCGCCGCCCCCGACGCGCGGGTGGCACTTTATAGCTCAGAGCTGAGAGTCGTCTGTGGCTTTGAAAGTCCGCACGTGTCCACTTGATCTTGGATCTTCACCATGTCCGCCGTATGTGTCCCGCCGAAAGTAAATATGTCCTCACTGGCTCACTCGTTTGCTAGGTCAACCCTGTCAATCCGAAGCCGTTCATCCAGGAGCTGACTGGTAAGCCGGTGTATGTTCGGCTCAAGTGGGGTCTCGAGTACAAGGGCTTCCTTGTGAGCACGGATGGCTACATGAACCTGCAGGTGCGTCTCGCCCAATCTTGCCTTGTCTGTCACCCGCTCAGTTATGCTGGATCCCATGCAGCTCGCAAATGCGGAGGAATTCCAGGACGGGAAGTCGAACGGAGCATTGGGCGAGGTTTTCATCCGGTATGTCGTTCGTTCTCTGCGCTTGTTCATGCGACTCATCCTCGAGATCTCTTTCATATCAGGTGTAACAATGTCCTTTACATTATAAGTTCACTGTCTACCTTCCGCTTGATAGTTTGGCTGATAGATCCGTCATCACAGGGAGGCTCCGCAAGAGTGAGCAAATAACGTGGTTGAGTGGTGTTTGTGCTTTCTGGGCTGTTGCCCACGACAAAAATGATCTCGTGCGTGTACAAGATTTCTGAGGCATTGTAGTATATCATGATTTTGCACGGGCTATTACTCCATGGCTGAAGTGACAGTGTATGCTGCAGGCAACGAGCCCCTTCAGCATCCGCCGTAGCATTACTCGACCACCTGAGCACGATTGCACGGCTGCCAAGCATTTCTACTTCAAGGACATCTACACCGAAGCGAATCCTTCCGTGTCCAAGATCTGCTAGCCCGTTCTACTGGTCTGTGTCACCATTCTCTCGGACGGGCATGTCAAGGCCGACGCGACGCGCAGTAGCTTTGACTCGCTCCTCAGTCGACATGTCGTGCAACGGGTTGTAACGCTCCAGCAGTATCTGCGTCAAAGCTCAGACGCGTACGACTTCATGCAACGACCGATTTGACATACCTTATACATCCTTTGAGACCGCATGAACGTCACAGCGTTCGCTAGATCATGGTCAAAGCGCTGGGCATCGTTTTGGCTGCCGCTCTCAATGATAGCACGGAAGTTTTCCGCTATTGTCTTTGACCTCGTGGCCGGCGCTGATATTGATGCCTGTTTAGGAGTCCATGGGTCAGTAGCAAAGCGTCAGGCACGGAAACAGCTTCACGAACGGCTCTGTTGAGCTCCCGGACGACCGCACGGTAAACGCTTTGTGGGGAGGCCATGATGGTGAGGTCAATCGGAGATCCCACAGTGGCTTAGCGCCCTCGGAGACCTTCGGTCGCTAAGGCGAACGGCACGTGTTGGCTCTCAATACAAGGCTGGTGCCGCTTTTGGTTCATTTGCAGGTTGCTTGGGTTCCTTCTAGTGGCTCTCGGGCGTATTCAGTTCATCCGATGGGACGAGAACTTTGATTCCATGGTCACAACGTCAAGGACCCATATCTGTTCACGGAAGTATAAAGCTCATCCCGTCAGAGGGATCATCGCTCAGCATCCGCAAGACCTCAAGCTGCAAGACTCCTCAAGACTCCGCTGCAAGACACATCAGACCACGACCGCGCAAGACATCCCATCCTTGAAACGTACAGAAGATATGGTTCGCTTCCACGCCCCATCCAACTCGTCATTCACAGCTGCTGCCGCGGCTACCAATAGGGTAAGCGCTTCTCCTCCTTCAGTGCCCACTTCATTCACTGAATTCGCATTAGCGTCTGGCGGAGGCCCCCCTCCGACCCACTCTTCCCAAACCGGGACTTCCGAGGGAGGGAGATGGCGGCAAAGGCCAGGCGCAGGATAAGGGCAAGGCCAGAGCTACCGACAAGGGCAAGGGCAAGGCGATAGACAAGGGCAAAGGCAGAGCCAGAACTCCTGCCCCCATGGATATCGGCGCCAAAGAAAAGCTCAAAATGAATATGAAGCGAAAGGCGGTCTTGCCACCCAATCTGAGGAGGCCGCAGTGGTGTCATCTCTACGTCGGCAACGTAAGTCGATTTGGTAGTTACACTGTCTCCACTGCTGACGTTCGTTTCAGCTCGTTCGCGGAATCACACAAGAAATGTTGGCCGACTTCTTCAAGAAGAACAGATGCGGCAAGGTCATGCGCGTCATCATCCGCACGACTTCGGGCGTACCCGCGTCGGCCCACTCGTCTCTTCCTAGCAGTCTTACAGATAGGATGTATGCCTCTGTCGAGTTCACGGATGTCTTCGCGATCCGCAGAGCCTTGGCACTGAATGGTGCCAAATTGAACGGCGCTAGGCTCACGGTGTGTCTTCCCCGTAAATCCTCAGTGCTTGAGACTGATATGTTGGCAGATATGCCTTACTCCCGCCGAGCTGCCTGAAATTCAGGACATAGTCAAGACCCACATGGGAGGCAAGGTGAGCCTATTGCTAAGTACACCGTAACGAAGGCTGTCAGGGCACTCAAGTATGTATTTCTATAAAGTATGCTGTGCACATGCCCAATAATTGACCTCCTGCTATAGGCGCATCACGATCGAACGCACTCAGGCCGTTGTGGCCGTTGGCCCTCCAGACGCTCCTCAGGCAGGTCCTTCTCGGGTCCCTCGAGCCGGCCTTTCCAGGGCTCCTCAGGCAGCTCCTAGAGCTCCCAAGGCCGGCCCCAGGATTCCTCAGGCAGGCCCTTCCAAGGCTCCTCAGGCCGAACCCGCAGCTCACAGCTCGCCTCGCAAGTCCAAGGCTCAGCCGGTGCCCGATGTAGTACTACCGCCGATCCTCCAGAAGCTCCAGGTGATGGGCGTGTCTTTCGCGCAGACGATTGCGTAATGATGGACAGTGTACGGTCCTCCATGGTTCAGAAATCTAGACGAGCTAGCCAGACTAGCCCATCACGCCGTTATGCAATGCGCCCGATACACAGGGTGGAGCACGCTCATTTCGCCTGTATCTCTTTTGTCTTCCTTACCCGGCCAGTGTACAATAGACTCGTGTAGCATATGTAGACATGTATGTGGAGGCATCGCCTAGCAATACGCAATGCGATCAATGCTCGTGCGCGCGCCGGGTGTAAGTTGAGACTTGTTGAGTTGATGCTTCGTAAGCCGCGAGACCGCCAATCAAAGCGTCGCAAGTGGAAGTCGTGACAGGTGCTGGCGGCTTTGGCTCGTCCAGTCACCAACTCGCCAGCTCGCCTGGGCTGATCCCCGCATTCCCCTTCCACTCTACTCCTCTTCATACCCTGAATGGACTCTGTTTGGTAGTTTCCTTCCAGCGAAAGGCGTCACAGGTCGGTAGACATCGGCAGCACAACTTCTGCGGTTGCGGTGGCTCATATGTTCTGGACAGCGTCGTCGCGTCCTTTGATCGTTGCAAAGTGCGGGCCCATTGTTCCGTACAATGGATCCGATGAATAGAAGCCCTGCTCTGAATCCTTCCTCTACTCCTTTCTTTCCGGGTGGATTGCTGGCCAACGAGGAGGACGGTAGAGGATCCAGTCTTGGGTACAGGATGCAATCGAACAGAGAACAACACTACAGCACCTCGTCCTCCCTCTCCATCTCGCCGTCCGACTATCGTTCCATTCGGTCTTCTCCTAGTCCTTTCCCGGATGACCGCGACCGCAGATCAGACTCTGCACAACAGCAGTCCAACGCGCCAGTAGAGGAAACGCGTAACTCACCCGCGGTTGGTGGCCTGGAGTCGGATAGGACATACACTGTCACTCTGAACGAGAGGCGAGTGTCTAGGAGCATGTCTAGCAATACGGACGGCACGCAGGACGAGGGGTTGACCCCAGGGCCGGGATCATCGAACGGGCAGCTGTCGGGCTCGTCCTTCTATACCAGCTTCCTTGGACGTGGGCGAGATCGGCTAACACACCACCGGTGCTAGTCGAGAGCGGTCCTCCCAAGGCGACTCCCTTCGCGCCGTTCGTGGCATCATCTTCGCCAGCTTCCTCACTCGACTCAGGAAGCCACTTCGCGTCGAGCGCCGATCTGTCGACCAGTTTTGATGCGCAGCTCAGAGCATCGCCATTCATTTCTGAGTTGCTGGACCGCCTCCTGCGTTGCGAGTACACGTCGCGCGAGATACAGCGAGACCTGTCGGACGTGCATCGCAAGGTCGAGTTGCTGGTCGAGCGGACAGCTAACCAAAACGGCGCGCCCGAATTTGGCAACCCCTTCGCTCCCAATGCCAACGGTTCACAGACGCTCTTCTCGTCCGGGAATGGACCCCGCGCGTCGATGGGAGCGAGCATTGCTCCGAACCAGAACGCTCCGTCGGATGATATCACGCAGATCTCGACCCGCCTCAACACGCTCACCACGTCCGTTGGCCAACTGTTGGCACTCCAGACGCAACAGATGCAGGCTGTCAATTCTGGTCTCGCTATCAACTCCGGTCTACAGAACCCGATGCTCGGCGCAGGGCTACCGCCAGGGGACCTTAGTGCCAACCAGGCCAACGCTCCGCACTTACAACAAACGAATTCGCTGTTGGGCAATGGGCTGCCGAGCCGCCCGGAGATGCGAGGCAATGGACGTGTACCGAACCCTCCGATGCGCACCTGGTCCGCTGGAAATCTCGACATACCGATGCGCTCCACGGACTCATCTACAGGACCGCTAGGACGTCAGGACTCGATGCTCCGTGTTGACAAACGTCGATCCGTGTCGGGTCTGTTGCGGCGTGACTCGGCTGGGGTGAGTGTACAATTTTCGGATGAAGGCAGACGCTTTTTACTTCGCTCCGAATTCACTGCTGATGCTCGATCCTCAGGGTGAAAGTCTGGCAAGTGTGTCGACATCCAGAGAAGGTGGACCGGTCATCACGAAATGGGAGCAATTAAATCTCGCCCCTGACCTGTTGCGATCACTGAATACTTTTGGGTAAGTCATCGGCCACGAGCGCGGATATACAGACAGCTGACGGCTTCACAAGTGTCGGGCCGCCGAACAAGATCCAACAGCGTGCTTTGCCTTTTCTCCTTCGCGGTGCCGATATCATAGCCCAGGCTCCGCCTACACAGGAAAGGATTGCGGCGTATGTGATTCCGGCTATCCATAGCGCTTTGACCAATTGGAATGCTCGCACCGTCCTGCGGGGTCCAATCGTCGTCATGGTGTCGACGACGGTCGACCAAGCTACGCAAGCTCAACGCATGATCCGCGATCTCGGTGGTCCGATTGGCATCAAGTCGGCTTTGGGTGTTGGGGCTACGGGTGCAGGTGCTGACTTGAGCCAGGAGTTGCGTATCCTGCAACAGAACATGCCTCACATCATCTGCGGTACGCCTCAGAAGCTCCATGCTCTCTTCACGACTCCTGGAGGCCTGTCTGGTTCGGAGGTCCGCTTCCTAGTGCTCGATGAAGTCGATCAGCTCATAGCGCGTAACTTACACGAGTTCGTCTTCAACATCATCAAGCAATTGCCGCCTCCTCGCTCTCGTGCCCTGCCAGGCAGCTCTGGTACCCCGGCCACAACTCCTGGATCCGGGAGCCAGACGGCGTTTGCGGCGTTTGAATCGGGCGGCGGCTCGTCGTTGACGGCCAACTTCCCCAACTCGAATAGACGGCTGTCTGCCATCGGGATGCGCTCGTCACCACCGATTGAACTGACGAACGGAAGCCAAGGAACGGCGATTGAGCGGCAAACAGCCTTGTTCTCAAACACGGTGCCCCAAGACGTCCTCAACCTGGCGTCAGCCATTCAGCTACGGGAGCCTGTTAGAGTGCTTGTCCGCCGCGACGGCAATGTCACACACGCTGACACCAGCCAGGGTGCTCGTGGCCTGAGGCAATTTATCTGTACCTTGCGTTCACCGCCAGTGGTCGATCTGATGCCCCTCTGCCCCCTGGTGGTTTGGGCATCATTGGCTCTGGTCGGGGTGCTACAAGCGCTGAGACCGCACAGGCTAGGGAATGGAAGCTGGACGCGCTTGCGGATCTGTTCGACGATCTCGAAATCCCGCAAGCCATCATACACGTCGGCGGTATGACCGCGTTGGATGCAGTCGTCTACAAGCTGGCGAGCAGGGGTCTTGAGGCGGTTCCCCTGGTATGTAATGTGCCCCTGCCTTCCTATCATTACTGACACGCTGTGCTAGCATGGAGACATGAATGCCGGAGCTAAATTGGCTGCCTTGAACAAGTTCCGAAGCCCGCCCACTGGAATCATGCGGCAGCCTACTACGAAGGTTCTGGTCGTGTACGATGTGCAGGTCAAAACGCCTGAAGTTTCGCAGATCCCTCTTATCATTAATTACGGTGAGGGCATCCGCGTTCATGACCTTCAAGCTGAGTCTTACCTCAGCAAATACAGATTTGCCAAAAGCTGTCGAAGAATACGCCCACCGGTATGTTCGCACTTCATTCCGCTTGTATTCATCTGATACTGAGCTATACTACAGTGTCGCTCCCGCCATCGCACCTAGCTACTCTCGCGCAGGCGTCGTCGTGAACTTCGTCACTGCTACCGGGGGCGATGTGGAAATGCTGCGCTCCATAGAGTGTTTCTACAAGATCAAATGCGTAAGTGGGCTTCACTTGAAATACAGCCCGCACTCTGACGCTTCTTCAGCCAGAAGTTCCTATGAGTCTCCGCGACATTGTTTAATTGACGTCGATCATCGTTGTATCCCTATCGCTTTCCCGGCCAAGCTATCCTGTCCACCCATGCTGCTTGTTTGTTATTTATCTCAAGTCGCACTGCGCATTCACTGTGTCATACCCTTCACCGTCCCCCACATCTAGCCAGGTTGTGTCGTTAACATCTAGTTCTGGGTATATACCCGCTTGTCTACTGTATACTGCGCTTTCCCTCGGTTACCCAACGTGTTGTGGGTGGCCCTCACTCCACTACACAATGCGGACAGATAGTATCTTCAATGTATTATCTTCACTACAACTCGCCAGTTGGACACTCGCCGGGTCGTCCGACGGCCGACAAGCCAGATGGTGGATGTGATCCACATGGGCAAGCCTGTCATTGTTGTTGTGAGTCTTGCTGGATCATGATATATGTGAATGGGTGCATACTTTGAGTCAAGGGTGAGGTCCTGCACCCAAAGCGTTGGGTTGTCTGCAGAACTCGAATACGCCAGGATTTCCCCGGACTCAGCCCGACGAAGAGTATTCTTCTATAGACGCTTCAACATGGTGAACACAGATGACGAATATATATCAACACACCGCCCTCTGACGTCGGAACGAGCGAACGTCACTGCTGTTGCTGCCTCAGTCATCTTCAAGGTGGCGATTGCAATCCATTTGTCATGCTTATCGGGATCTTGCTGGCGCCATATTCGCACCTACAAGGGAATGAACTCCTGAACGTTGCAAGATACATAGTACGTACAGTCTTGTCCCTCGATGCTGTGGCGAATATGTCACCCTGCGGCGCCCAGGCGCAATCCCAGATGATACGAGCATGGGACCTGTCCGCAGCAAGTGGCACGTAGCCATCTCATCGAATGTCTCCATCAGCAGCGGCGATTGACTGGAGGGAGGGGAGACTCACTGTCACCATCGCGGACAAAGAGACGCCATGCCGATCTCGCGACACTGTGAGCACATAGCGGTCGTCGGGGCTGAAGGCTATGCGCGTGACGGTCAGCGTATGCCCAGCCAGAGGTTGGCCGAAGGGCTGCCACTTCTCCGTGTCGTAGACGCGGACGACGGCGTGCTCGGGCGTTGTCGCCTTGCATGCTGACGCGAAGAGCTTTTTGGAGCTGGAAACGGCTGAGCTGATGGACTGGGCGGTACGGATGTAAGCAGAGCATAGTGAGAGGTACAGGGAGACGAACCTCGTATCCGTGTCCGAAGACCTTCTCGATCTCAGGCCAAAGAGTGATAGCGGCGAGCTCGCCCTCGAAAGGCCTGCGCTTTGAATGGATGAGGTCGTATGAGTTGGTATACTCCGTCACGTCGGAGCCAACTATAATGCATGCGTGAGTAAGTAAGTACGTCGAGAGACGGCCAGATATCTGACTCACTCTCAGTCACGGCTTTATTAGACAGTTGAAGCGGCGCAACAGTGGCAGCCCGGGTCTCTCCTACAGTGCAAAGGCACGATTAGATATGTCAATCTGTAGAAGAACAGACGTTCACTGGCCTCTACAGCACCGTCAGACAGTTTTGCGACATCGAGGTTGTCAACACCTGGATGAACTCGCGAGGTGCCTCGAAGACACGCGCAACTTTCTCATCCGCGATACTGACGAAGCGCAACGCATCCAACGACGCGACGCCCACCAGGTCGTACCCGTGCACCTGTGGCCGCCCTACTTCATGCCAAGTCGAGTTGAGGCTGGTCGTGGGCCCTCCAAGTAGGTAACCTGCATGGATGCGTGTCGTTTGGTCTAGGCTAGTCTGAGCGTTCGCTTCCGTCTATCCACCCATCAGAGTCATACTCACCTAGCAGACACAGATATTCGCCCCCAGGACTCCAGGAGAGCCCCCGCACAGGAGCGTTATGCCCGCTGATGGCACCGACCTCCGCCCATGCCTCGTTCTGCACGTTCGGGATGGCAGCGTCCCCACCAGGAGTGCACCGCCAGCGTCGCCAGCCGCCGCTCCAACCCCACGCCGACGCCTCCATCCCCTCGCGCGTCCAGAGCCCGCCGACGAACCCGCCGAGTCGCTGGCCTCCGACGTCGCCGAAGCGTTGGCGGTTGATCCAGATGGAGAGACTCCGTCGGTGGCGGAGGTGATGATGGTGGAAGGAGACCAGAGATGAGCGAGGATCGTGGAGGTTGAGAGGAGGGTGGGATGGATGATGATGCTTGGGGGTCGCCAGGAGAGTGAACTTACACCGGCTTCGTGGCCGATGAGGAGGGCGTCGAAGATGATTGAGAATTGCCGTGTGCTGGTTCGAGAGATTACAATTAGTGTCCGTCTCACACTGTATTCGATACGGATATAACAAACCGTACCTATTCTCGCCGGTCTTGACAGTCAGAACATGTCGTTGAGCGAGATCTGACGACCGCCTTCCTCCACTTCTCCAAGGTCCCCAAGCGATGCTTCAAACGCATCTAGTAGGTCATCGCTGACCTCGCTGGTAGATCCTTCCGTCGATTTTGATGACAATGCCTCTACGTTCCACAGGCGAATTGTCGCGTCTTGGGATCCCGACGCCAATATTAGAGGATCGCCGTCAGCTTGTGGTGGACGGAAGGCCAAAGCTCTGATCCAGTCCTCGTGCCCAGAAAGCACGGCCGAGTTAACGAACTGACACATCAGTCAACGTGAGTGTATAAGATGTGCGTGAACGTGGGTGTTACCTGGCCCTCAGAGCGGGTCCATACTTGCACGCTGCGATCGGTACCGCCAATCGCTAGGATGATTGCTGGAACGAAGGTCAATCAGTAAAGGCCGAAGATGGACGTCGCGTATGCTACCTTGCGTCCCGGGAAGTGTGGTGACCGCCAAGGACAGCGGATATCTCCCGCGTAGGATGATGGCCTGAGTTTCCTCTAGTCTGTCTACAAGCGAGGGTCAGCCTTTTACCATACGACGAAGGCAAGAAGGCTCGGTTCATGCCTGCGTCTTGAGCATGCTCTATCTGCCAAGTTTTGACTGTCGAATCGGACGCTCCTGTTACGAGCAGTGTTCCATGTACCGCAAGAGCGGATACCGATTTTTCATGTGCTTGTACCACACAGGTTGACTTCCACTGCAAACAGTATGTCATTGCGAAGATTCTCTACATAAACTTGAGGCAAGCATGCCTGGTCAGATCCCTCATCCAGAGTCTCACTACACCCTTGTCGTCCGCGCTGACGAAGCGAGCTTCGTCTATGAAACGCACGGAGGTGACGAGACCTTCGTGCCCAGGGAGTGTTTCGTATACACCGCGATCGTGTGGATCCTAGTGGAATGTCAATATTAGCGTTATTTATGCAAGAGACTCTCGTTGAACCTACCTCCGTGTTCCACAGAGCAATCAATTTTGCTGAGCCAAAGGCTACAAGAGAGGAGCTCGAGGCGTCTGCAGCATGTGAGTGCCTGTTCGTGGAGGCCGACACATAGTCTACGGTTGCTGCCATGGTCCAGGTCATGCTGCGAGAGACTATGTACCACTCTCCGAGGCAGGACGGGAGAAGAAAATGCGAGGTTCAAGATCGCTCCGTCGTAGAAGTCCGAGTCGTGAAGTCAGAGACGGCCGCATCGAGATCGGGCGTATAGTACGAGCACGTGGTCGTGACGCGCGGTTAGGCGCGCAATGTACCATTTAGAACCTTCAGTCACGGCCACTTCAGTTGCCTCGCTCAGACTCGCGACCTCTGCTCGTCGAGCATTCATTGCTGCCAGCATCATTGCATGGGGATACTGGGAATAGGCGTCGACGTGCTCCATGTACCACGTATAGCTGCCCTCGTCAAGCGCAAATCTTCAGTCCGGCTAGCCTCGCGTATCCTCAGCCATCCGGAACTCATGATTTGGGAAGGCATCCAAGCTCTGGATGAAGAGCGACGACTTCGCTTTCTTGCAGTGCGGTACGGCGCTCAACAGCTCTGAACACCGCGACCACTAAAATGTAACCCCTCCCTTAGCTGGTGTGTCAAGGAGGCCGCATACAAAGCCCTGTATCCACTAGCTCGTCCAACATGGAAAGAGCTAGCGTTTCTCAGCAGTCCTGACGTTATGCACGGCCAGAAGCCTGTCCTGCTATATACGCCCAGAAATTCCACGAAATATGCCGGGACGTTACACTCCTCCATCAGCCATGACGGAGAGTACATTTTCGCGACCGTGCTCGCAGAGACAGGGTGAGAGGGCTGGCACCTGGTTGCAACAAACAGTGCAATTAAACCGACATTGCTGTAATGACCAATTCACGGCGAGACTTGACGGCGAGGAGTGGGTCAAAGAGACTTGCTTTCTGCGCAAATGCACTGAAGTCCACTCGTTCAGCAGCAATTGCCTGTCCATGCCTGGACGGGAAACCGGTCGGAGCAAGCGGCTTCCACGAAGACCGGTGGCGCTATATGTTGCAGATACGCCAGACATGGAGGACTTGCGCAAGAGACACGAGTGTCCTCGTGTCTACCAGTTCTATGCTTAGCGACGAGGGGAGGAGATTGTACACCATATCGACGAATAGTACATGTAACGCCAGAAATCTTGCCATAGATAACCCAAGCCTAACAATGCCGTTGGTCATGGAAGGACGAAACGAAGGTCGTCTCACTCACTGTGCAATACCGCTCGTGCGCCATGTTGTGCTAGCCTGATGATATCCAATCGCCACGCTGGGTTATCCATTTGCTTGTTGCATCCGATTTGAGTCGTCATCGAACTGCCATGAATTCCGCTCAGTGCTATGACTTCGTCTCACCAGCGGCCGTGCCAGTTGCGCTATCCTGTCCTTCCGCAGTCGACGCCTTGGGCGGGAGGCCCACATAGTTGCCTCGGAACCGCTTGCGCATGTCCAACTATAACAAAAAGTTGTCACTGGCAATACGATTTGTCGTCCTAAGCTAGCACTCACCATCCCCCTCTTGCACTCGAAGGTGGCTTGTCGCAGCGAGAGACACTCCTCCGGCAGCTCCTTCGTATGCTCTCTGAGACATTCAGACGGCAAGTGGCCCTGCTTCACGACGCAGTCCGAGTGCAAGAGGCACTCCTTGAGGGCGGCCATGAGATGCTGGCAGGACGAGGACATGGCGGGTGCGTGACAAACCGGCGCTCGCCGACTGAGGCTCGCTCGAGGTCGCCGATCGCTTCACGCGCTCCTGACTCATCATGCTGCCACCCGCCGCCCGCGCACTCGTCCGCACCGTCCCTCCATCGCCCACGTCCCCCACAGGGCCGTCCTCTCCGTCACAGGCTCCCAGGCGGCCGAGTTCCTCAACGGCATCCTCGCCTCGTCCGTCCCCGCACACCCGCAGAGCCACTTCTACTCTGCCTTCCTGCACGCGCAGGCAAGTATGCTTCCTCGCTCTCTCGCGCCGACACACTCAGACCGACCACTCTGAAGGGCAGGGTCCTCTATGACACATTCGTGTACTCACAGCCGACTGCGAGCGGGAAGCAAGGCTATCTCATCGAGTACGACGCCCGCCCGTCCGAGGCGCCCCCGCTACTGCCGACGTTGAAGAAGTACGTGCTTCGGTCGAAAGTGAAGATACGCAACGTTTCAGAGGAGTATGATGTCTGGGCGCATGGGGCTCGGAGGGCGAAAAGGCTTGGGAAACGCAAAGGAGGTGGCTGCACGCGAGCAGTGGTGCGATAGAGCCCGTGTGGGACAACCGGACGACTGGCCTTGGGGACACAACCCGGACTACTGCGGGATAGGAGGGCAATAGGCATGGGACATCGACTGCTTGTGAAGAAGGGGGACCGACGTACGTTGTCCGACTCTCGCTCATGAGACTGTCCACTCAAGTGAGCACGCAGCACAAGAGACGTCTACCCATGACACAGTCTCGGAGCAAGATATTTACTGCATCGCATAACACATGGTGTGCCAGAGGGGAGCACAGACATTGTACCAATGCAAGCGTTCCCCATGGAGTCGAACCTGGATGTCATGGGCGCACGTTCGTATCCAATATCCCTCAAGCCCGCGTGCTCGAGTTGACCGCATCCTTGTTTAGTTGACTTCAGGAAGGGATGCTTCGTCGGACAAGAATTGACCGTTCGAACATATCACACTGGGATAATTCGGAAGCGGATCCTCCCTGTACTCATTGAACCGTAAGCTAAGACCTCTCGTCTCTGTATCTCAGCTCCCTGACGGCGCTCCCGCCACAGCTCTTCCGGCTCGGCCTCTCCATCAGAAGAGGCCCCTTCATTCCCATCAGACCTTGACATTCGTGCCCAAAGAGCAGAAGTGGATGACGGCACACCCAAGCCTCGACCACGCGGCACGGGCAAGCTGCTCAGCTCGACGAAGGGCGTGGGCCTTGCGTTGCTGCGTCTCGAACACGTTGCCGCTGCAGAGAACGGGACTGCTGTCTTCGAGATGGAGGTTGGCGAGGAGCACAAAACGAAGTGGAAGGTTACGCCGTGGTGGCCGGATTGGTGGCCTCGTATGCCGGAGAATCAGCAGGTATAATGGATGCAAGCTCATTGGCTGTATTGTACCGTGCGTGTGCCCACAAGTACCTTCTGCCAACCCATCATACGGATCTCACTTACAGTGCCTCGATAGCATATCATCTAACACACCATTACATGCTTCGCTTTTACTCCGAGCCAAATGCATAGTAAGTTTGCAGCTATTAGCACCAAATTAGCACGTACATATTTCAGGATCTGCTCGCGGTCAGGTGACCGTGTCATGGACTTCCGGCGTGGCTGTACCTCCTCAAGCTCAAGGTCAAGGTTTACTCCAACCGCCTGAGATTGCTTAGGTCACGTCAGCATCTCCAACGAATCCTCGGACTTGAGCAGATTCTCCTCACGGCCAAGTGAAGGCCCGGAAGAGCTGTGCTGTATATAAATGACCGCTCGAGAGCGCCTCATCAAGTCGCTCTTCCTCAAGATACCCTGTATAGACGGACGATAGAACGACATGCTATCTTTAATGCGGCTTCCTTTTCTCTTGCTATACTGCACTTGTCTATTGATATCCGATACCCTCGCTGCATCAAACAGTACCAAGGCTGGCTTAGCATGGCCGAACGGAAACTGGAACATCATCAATCAATACACGACAACTGGCAAAGTAGCATGGTCCGTGCTATGCGCTAATTGACTTCTGGATCCACTGACGCACAGCTGCAGGTACTACACATGGAGCCCTAGCCCAATCAGCACGAGTCTAGAGTTCGTCCCCATGCTCTGGGGCGACCGGCAAGTTTCCGAGTGGGAGACCTCGATAAACCGCACGATCAAGAACTCAGGCGCCACGCACGTCCTGGGGTTCAACGAGCCGGACTACGCAACTCAGTCGAACATGACGCCCAGCCATGCTGCGTCTGTATGGCAAGCGCAGATCGAACCACTGCGCTCTCAAGGTGTACTGCTTGGCTCGCCAGCACCGACGTCTGCGCCGGAGGGAAAGCAGTGGCTGCTCGACTGGCTGGACGCGTGCAACGGCGGGTGCACGGTCGACTTCGTGGCCCTGCACTGGTATGATATCAACTCGACGGCGTTCATCACTTATCTCGAAGACTTCCACAATACGTTCCAGAGGCCGCTTTGGATTACGGAGTGGGCATGTCAGGTGGGCAAGCTTTGTGAGATTGGACGCGACTGGTCGTGCTGACTGAGGCGGGTAGAACTTCAACGCGGCAGACGAGCAGTGTTCGCTACAGAACGTCGTCGACTTCTTGAACGCTACGCAGTCGTTCATGGACTCGACTGCCTGGGTTGAGCGTTACGCCTGGTTCGGCGCCATGGAGAGCCTGCAGGGTGTGAATCAGGTAAGGCACATTTTGCACTTGATTCCGTGCCTCACCTCATTGGATCGCTAGGATGATGCCCTCATGGATTCGTCTGGCAGAATCAATACTCTTGGCGAACAGTACATCGGGGCGGTTACGCCTAACACCAGCAGCAATTACACACCAGGAGTGGTTGACGGAGGCTACGGTAGCTCGACGAGTCCGTCGTTAGGGTCTGCAGCTCTCCCTCGCCGCTGCCTTCCGAGGATTCTAGCCACGCTGCTCCTGTCATCGGCGGTGACGGTGCTCTCAGTGCTTAGTTAGTGATTTACGAGCGAACACTAGATGCTTAGTCGCTATCGCAGCCCAGAGCTGCATTCTTATGCGATACTTAGAGGCTTACACACACTTATCTCCCGACGAGCAGATGTTCGCCAAGATAGTATCGCTATTGCGTGGATAGATCGATCGGGTCGACGTTGCTGCGTTCGTTCCCCGCCGACGTCCTAGAGGCCATCTCTAGTTACCAAGAGAAGAGCTTACTCAGGTATTGCATCATCGTCTGCGTCCCTTCCTGTCATTCCCTGCAGCGCTTCAAATCCAGCTGACCAACTGAGATGGACCCAGCCCCTGCGGTAGGTATCTGTGTATATATACAGGCCGCACCAGCACGCAATTGAGCTTCATCGCAGCCTGCGTTCCCACCACTCTCCAGTACTTTACTCGTCGTCCCACACAATGGCCACCGGAAACAAACCCCTCTTGCTCTACACGAGCGCGACCCCGAACGGTCACAAGGTGTCCGTCTTCCTTGAAGAGCTCAAGGCAGCCTACGGCGGTCCTGACTATGAGTGAGTACATCCAAGCTCCAGCTCAGGGCTCCAGCGCGCTGACCAGCCTTGACATGACAGTGTGTTCGGCATCAACATCAGCACCAACGTGCAGAAGGAGCCCTGGTTCATCAAGCTGAACCCGAACGGGCGTATCCCGACGCTCGTCGATCGCTCGCGCAACAACTTTGTCGTTTTCGAGACGGCGGCGATCTTGCTGTATTTGCAGCAGCACTACGACAAGGAGAACAAGTTCGGTTTCGATCCTGTCACGCAGCCGGATGACTACAGCGTACAGCTGCAGTGGATCTTCTTCGCGGTGAACACTTTTTCTGGTGCATTGATGAGAACAGCTGCTGAGTAGGAATCGGCAGCATGGTGGTGTTGGTCCAATGCAGGGACAAAACCATCACTTCAACCGCTACGCACCGGAGGACATTCCTTATGCCAAGCAACGTGAGCGATCCTAACGACAATTCATGATGTCATCCATCGAACTGATTGAACGAAAGGATACCTCGACGAGACGAAGCGTCTCTACGGCGTCTTGGAAATTCGTCTGTCACAGGACCGCGACTGGCTCGCTGGCCCGGGCCGGGGAACCTACAGCCTTGCGGACATCAATGTATTCCCTTGGATCAGGATTCACAAGTGGGCCATGATCGAGGAACTGAATGAGTGGCCCAACCTGAAGGTACAAAGTCACCCATCCGAATTCCGTAGCCGCGTGCTGATTTCTATACCACTCCCAGGCTTGGGTCGAGAGAATCGCCGCCCGAGACCCCGTCAAGGCAGGTGTTGCTGTTCCGTAGATGGGGCGGATGAGATCGCCGTAGGATTGGCGACGATGTAGCACTGCGCTGTAATGGTACCTTTGGATACAATACGACATAATTCAGCTTGCAATAGCGATCGACTAGCTGAGACAGAAATAAATTCGTAGGCAGAAGAGAAACGTCGATGCAGCGCCAAGACGCAACAGCGCACGGTATAAAGAGGAGCACCGGAGTAATCAGGTACAGTACTCGTAAGTAAGCAAAGGCAAAAACAAAAGGAAGAATTAAGGACTGACTCAGGTCGAGCTGAGAGCTGAAAAATTGGGAATGCGGCATTATGATGGAGGCGATACACGGAACCCCCTAGTAAAAGGCGAGGGGGTTGTCTGATTGTAACACCTCCTGCCGCAATGCATATAGTCTGAAAGACAGGACATGCGACGCACTCTTGCATTTTGTTCAACCGGCGGATTATCACGTGCAGCACGCTCATAGGCTCTCGCCTCTAAACGCGCTCATTCATCCAATCTACCATGTCAGTTGACGAGAGGCTCAAGCTCGTCGCCTCGTCAGCTCTGTTGTCCTTGTTCTCGACTAGGAAAGTGACCACGCCGATATCTGCCTTTGACCTCCTCACGCGTGTCATCGCCTCTGGTCCCCCGCCGGCAGGTCTTCTACCTGGGCCAGATGCGCCACCAAGATTCCGACTTACGGACCTCACGCGTTTCGAAGCTACACTGGAGAGCTTAGCGAATGCATGGGACCATGGCAAGATTTGCGTGCTACGCGAGATGCAGGATGATGCTTTGACCGTCATGGATGTGCGGCTTGGAAGCGGGGACGCACATTCAGGCAATGGTCTACCTGGACATGGGCGCAAGCGAAAGCGTCAAGTAGACGAGGACGCAGAGTCTACTGCTGGCGATGCGGAAGAGCAGCAGGAGAAGATTGAGCACGCGCGCGCGACGATGAAGCCCGCGCCAACTACGCTCGCCAGCCTCAGCAAAGACCTCAAAGAAGTGTACAACATCCTGCAGAGAAGCACGGCGAAGGGCCGTCTGCTCGCCGAACAGGTGCGGTACCGGCACCTTACCATGATCCTCCTGTCTAATGTGCATGCCACAGTTCCGCACCATGAATGGCAGCTTTGAGCCCATCTGTCCGCACATCACGAAGGACGACTGTGCGAAGGCACGGCGACTCGCCAACCCCGAGGCTGCAAACACACCACTAACGATCTGCGACCGCATCCACTTCCGTCCATTGCTCCGACCACATACGGACCCGTCGCTTGGGCACTGCTCGTACCTCAACACATGCTACTCCGAGCCAACCTACGCGCAGTCGCCGTCCATCCCGCCTCTGCCGTCGCACCGGCAGATGGGATACGGGATGCAGGGTGCGGGACCGTGAGTTTGCCGAGTGGCTTGGGAGCTGGCGGGCGCGGTAAAGAGAAGCACCGTGTCGGTATCTGCACTTTGAGGTGGACTGGGATGTGACGGACGGTGGTGCCTTCCGGAGAATCGCCTGGACTCAGAAGGAACCACACAAACTTGGCGTAGGGCTGGGCCCCGCGGGAAAAGAGAAACCGATGGTGCGTATTCGGTCGGCTGCTCAATGGTGTGTTTGCTGAGATGCGTGTGTCTTCGAGTAGCTGCCGCCTCAGTGGCTGAACTGCGACCTGCGGAGGTTCGATTATCAGTCTGGGCAAGTTCCATGTCATCATGGCGGACCCTCCATGGGAATTCACATGAGTGTATGTAGCAAATCGCTGTGAAGGTCCGCCTGCACGCGTGCCGCATGGGCCGCGTATAGGCAGACAGCACAGACAATGGTTTGTTTACAATGACTGACATGATCGCAGTTGCCGTATGGGACGATGACAGACGATGAGATGCGAGCTATGCCCATCCCGACATTACAAGATGAGGGACTGCTATTCCTCTGGGTCACTGGTCGAGCGATGGAGGTCGGTCGAGAATGCTTGCGGGTATGGGGATACACCCGAGTCGACGAGGTCGTCTGGGTCAAGACCAACCAGGTACAGCATCCCACTCCTCGTCGATACATAAGGGATGCTGAAACTGCCTCGATAGCTCCAACGCGTTATACGCACGGGTCGGACCGGACACTGGCTCAATCATACCAAAGAACACATGCTCGTTGGCGTCAAGACCGTCACCGACGAGGCGGGGAACCTCAAGTTCCCTCGTGGGCGAATCGTGGTCTCGACACGGACGTGATCGTGTCCGAGGTGCGCGAGACGAGTAGGAAGCCCGATGAGGTGTACGGGTTGATCGAGCGCATGTGCCCCGGTGGGCGCAAGATCGAGATTTTTGGCAGGAAGCATAACACCAGGCCAGGGTGAGTAGCATCGACGTCGCTCGTGCAAGGATGGCGGTGTTGACTATGTGGTGATGGCAGGTGGTTGACACTGGGGAACCAACTTGGGCCTGATCAGATCTTTGAGGAAGACCTAGCTGCCCGGATTCAGGCAAGGTGAGGCTTGGTTCCATGCGCACACTGTATTCGTGGCTGAACACTACTCCAGGTATCCTGAGCGACAAATTCAGCCAGGAGGATTCTAGACTTTGGACCGTATCGCTGCTATCGTGCTATCATTGAGCTCTGCGAGCTGTTGCATATTGATTATCGTGTTATTTACATGAACAGACATTCGGGTCACGGACCACTCACTTCTATAAACAGGACGTTGGACTACGGACGGTTCGCTTGTAACTAAAACTAACACTGCTCTGCTGCTCTCGCCTACGCATGTGCATCTATGCTATGGAGGGACTTCTTTGCCCGCCCAATCCCATATCTTGCCTCGGCTGTTCTCGTCCAGGTTTTGTACGACCTGCACCAGCCTCTCCGCGGCGTACTCCGGCTCGAACAGCTTGTCCTTCGGCACCCCGCCCCAAAACTCTCGGCTCAGGTCGGTCTTGACGGTCCCAGGGTGAGTCCGACGCATATAGCGGGTATTTTCTTTGCTGCAAGTACAGATCGAAGGTGCGGATGGCTTGGTTCAGCGCCGCTTTGGAGGCGCGGTAGGAGAACCAGCCGCCGAGGCGATTGTCCGAGACGGAGCCCACCCGAGCAGACATGTGGACCCACTTGGAGAGCTCCGGCTTTGTTGCAGAGCTCGAGTCGTTGCCGTTAGAGGGGGGAGGTGGCAGGAAGCGAGAGAAGTGCTTCATGAGGAGGAGGTGCGAGATGACGTTGATCTGGAAGGTATGCTCGACGACGTCTCGGTCAAGGTCGGTCGGACGACGCTCTGGGTGCAAGATGCCGCCGCAGAAGAAGGCGGTGTTTATGTACGGTTTTGCGTCCTTGGGATACGCCTTCGAGAGCTCTTCAGCGGCAGAGGCCATGGTTTCCTCCGAGGTCAAGTCCAACTGTAGCAGCTTCAGTCTGTCTGGGTTGACGTCCTTCAGGGGAGACAGTATGTGGTCTCGCGTGTCCTGCGCGTTGTGCGATCGGTGAGTTGCGAAGACCGGCAGGTCTGTCGTGCGCAGGATGTGCCGAGTTATGGCCAAGGAGAGTCCCCGGGTGGAAGGGCAGACAAGTGCAAACGGTACACCAGTCATTCTTGTATGCGTGCGTGGGCCGGTAGGTTTCCGCTTCCGAGCTGGCTGGCGGAACTCTTACGGTCCTCGAGGTCAGGGTACGTAGGCTACCAACCGACGCGTCGCGCTTCTCGAGCCTGACTGCTCCGTTCGGTATGGCGCAACGCGTACTGACAGCTGCACGTGTCTCGTAGACACCAACACAATGAGTATCAAATGAGTACCGCAGCATGCAGATTCGTTGCAATAATGCCATAGAACTAGTTGCAACACCCGACAACAAGCAGTCACAGAACTGCATCAGTTTCTACAAGACAAAGGTTCATCGCTACGGTTTCAGTCGACGTCCACAAGTCCCCTTCCTCTTCATCCCAACCCAAAGTCTCCGGGGCGATCCCCATATGACGCAGCATCGTACCAAGAGTGTGCTGAAATGAGGCTCTTCGTCGTCGTCCTTGGACCCGCCTTCCTCTTCTTCCCCTACACCACCGTTCTGGGGTTGGTTCGAGCTGTCATCAAAGCCCCATCCTCCACCGCGTCCGCCGTCACGACGACCATCCTTGTCGTCGTCAAACCAGCTGCTGCCACTTTGCCCATATTCGCGGCCTCGCCCGGGTCGAGGTCCTTTACCGTGTCCCAAACCGCCCAGGCGACCTCCCTCCCGACAGTCGTCCACTTGACCACCAGCTCCTCGAGCTCGTCTTCGTCGTTGCCGCCGCCGGAGGTCTTGATCTTGATAGCCTGCTTCAGCGTCTGAATCTGGGCTTGCAGTGCTCGTATCGTGGGGACCGCTTGCACGCTCGAGACTGCCGTCGTAGGCTGAGAAGAGGAGCTGCTCGAGCCCAGATGCAGAGGTGACTTGAACTGCTTTGCTACCTTCGGAGTGTAGTCCTTCGTTGCCTGAGGCTGCAACGAGACGGCACCAACTCGCTCCTGTGCCGCTTGCATGCTTGCGGACCTGTCGTCGACCTGCATGTCTGCATCGCGTTTCTTTGTCACGAGCCCGGCTCTGTTCTTGCCGCTAGCGTAGACAGCGTCGACTCCGTGGCGGGCAGCATCCTTGTCGACGAGCGGCGACCGGAATGGTGCGACCAGCTTCTGGCGCTGTCTCAGCTGGGACGCCAACGTCTGACGCTTCGGTTGTGGTAAAGTCGCACTTGATGTGTAGGGCATGTCGGGGTCAAGTTTCTTCGATGAAGGGGTGAGAGCAAATCAATGAGCACTGGAAGAAGGACATTACCACTCGCTTCGATTCGATCTCTCGTAACCCTGGGGAGCTTGCATCGGCGATTTCATTGAAGGTAGTGTCGTCAGAGCTGTCGACGTCCCATAACGCCCTCTTCTTCTGAGCAGCCTTCGATGTGCCTTCTTGTTGGGTCACAGATTCGTCGTCAAAAGAGAAAGACACGCTCTTGCGTTTAGATCCCCGAGGGTAAGGAACAGGCGAAGAAGGCGGAGAGCTGCCGAAGCCCGCACGCGGCGGAGAAGAGAATATGTAGGGTGGGCTGGAAGACCGTAGCGGCGACGACGACATGAATGGCGGAGACGACGAAGGCAGGGGAGATGAGGTCGGGGCGAAGTTGTCATCCACTAGGTCAGGTTCGTCCAACTGCATCTCCACAGAGGCCTCCGCAGGAACTTCGGTCCAATCATCGACTTGCATCGGTGCCACATCATCGAAAGCTGGACTGTCGTCTGCGGCCGCTGTAGGTTCGGAGGCGAGAGCGACGGGAATGTATTCTGAGGACCCTTGGACAAGTCCGATGTCATCCGGTGGAGGCTGTTCGTCCAAGTTTGACTCCACAGCGAAGTCGACCTGCATCTCGTCCTCTTCGAAGCCGACCACGGAGGACCCTTCCTCAACGACCGGACTGTCCAGAACTCCAGTGGCAATGGTCACAGCTGTACCATCGCCTCTCGTCGCGTTGGTGCAGGTAGGAGAAATGATAGTGTTTTCGACGGGACTTGACGCATCCGCAGTGTCAGAGGCAGGGGCCGGTAGTTCCAAGTGTATCTCGTCCTCGGCAGCCATACCAGTAACTTTATGATCCACAGCCTCTTCAAGTAAGTCGCCGTCGCCAGAGGGGTCTTCTAGGGCACCAGCGATAGGTGCGCACGCCCCAAGGTCCAGACTGAGACTGGCCTCGTTCGCACCATCCACGACATCGACAAGAGGGTTTTCGACAGCAGCGAGCGCCATGTCAGTGCCCTCAAGAAGCCCGGATTCCATGTCACCGCCGGTAAGGATTCGGATGGGTTAGGAGGTGCGAGCGATTCGGTTGAGGGCGAGCAGGCAAGGACTGTGTCGGTGAAGGTTTCAGTGACGTCTAGCGTGGCCGGTTGGAGCGCGATTTGGCCGCAGTCTGGGGAAGCATCCGTAACACGACGGTCGCCCACCGAGTCAGATGTATGCGAGTGCATAGCAGGAGATGGAAGATGTGCAGAAGGTGGAGATGTATCTATGCCGACAGTGAGTGCAGAGACTGCAGAATGATCCCCAGGCACTGGAAAAGACATAGCTGAAATCAGTTCGGGACGCAGAGGGTGAGACACGTTCTCGTCGACGGGTGAGTCGACAAGAAGAGGTACGTTGACGGCCTCTTCGTTGACTTTAGCGACGCCTTCCGATACCAGAGCGACGATGGTGCGAGGGACGGCCATATCTTCGCGGACAGGAGACAGGACAGCACTTTCTAGAGCAGAGGACATCTCAGTGTCCAAGTTGTCGACGGAGTGCGTTTGGGCAAGGCAAGGCTCTCCGCATATAGCCAGGTCTTCGCCCTTCCAGGGACAAGTTCAGTTCCAGCGGACAAGACAGCAGTTGCATCGTCGAGAGGCCCAGTTACGACGATGACAGGAAGTTCAGTGAGATCAGGAGCTAGAGCGGAAGCAGGAGGTAGAGCCGGTGCAGGAGATAGAGTAGTAGCAGTAGCTTCGACCGATGCGGTCAATGGAGCAGGAAAAGATAAAACCGGTGCATGAGATATAGCAGGAGTAGAAGCTTCATCTGGCCAGGCGGACAGAGTAGGATGGGCTTCTGTGGGCGCAGATGACAGTGCCGGGGTAAGTGGAGCAGATCCATCATGAGCAGGAAGTGCACGAGAAAGCATAGGATCAAGTGGCGACTCAGATGGAGCAGGAGTTTCGACGGAGGCCGGAGACAGAACGGAGACAGGAACTTCGCTGGACGCTGCGTGAGAAGCAAGGCCATCTTGACAGCCAGGGCCAGAACCCTCGGAAGTAGGGGGACGTATGCCATCTAAGCAGCTGCGTGTGCAGAGGTCGCAACGTCTTCACTAGTGCATGGAGGAGAAGCGTTGATCGTAGCGTCCACTGTCTTTGTGAGTTCCTCGCGAACAACGATAGCAGAGCCAGACGCTGTGGAAGAGACGCTGTCAGATACCTCGATCTGAGAGTCAGAGACGTTTGACGTGGAAGGATCCGCTGCAGCAGAGGCGGAGGTGGTGATCACTGAGCGGAGAGGCGAAGGCAGGTAAGTCTCGCAGGCTGACTGCGCACGGTCCTTGAAGTACTGGAGGCTCGCATTTGCGAGGTTGATTGAGGAGAAGCGGTCACCCAGCGAAGACCGAGGGTTAACTGTCGGAAATCTTGTCAAAATGGGCAGTATTGGTCCATCCTTGGGCAAGGTAGTACCGACAGGCTCGCGCTTCGCCATATCCTCTGGTAGGGGTATAGGTGTGTCTGCGATACTGGACTGCATATATGCGCGTCAGATACATATCCGTCAAAGGTATCGTGTCAGGCACCTGTTCTGGATGAGATAGGCTGCCGCCTTGCTGTAGAGGGTGCATATATGCAGTATCATGTCCATTGGTTCCTCCCGTACCAGACGTGAACATGACATCCGCTTCGGGCTGGGAGGTTGGCAGTTATAATTCTGTGTAGCGAGACAGTACCATATGTTTCCTGTCACTTACCTCGCTCTGGTGCGCTGTGTTGTAGGAGGATACGTCAGTGGGTATCAACCATCAAAGCTATTGTCGACGCGATGAGCCGAAGTCGGTAGGATCTGTCAAGATCATAAGCATCCGAGTAACCAGCAATGAATGTGATCATTTACATGAGAGGGGCAGTCCATGACTGGAGACGGGCCGACGCTGTATAATTGAAGACGATTCTAAGTAGTTGAATTAGCGCTCGAGATCGGTCGAACGGTCTGAACTTGATGACTAAGCATAAGCAATCTAGATGAGATCGAGATCGAGATCTTGTTGCCCAGTCCGAGCAGGGCGAAGTGCAGCGGTCATGTCGTGAAACTTGGTGTTGAGGACGGCTTGGGAGCACGCAATCCCTAGTGAAGGGATCTGATGCTGAATCTGCTGCTAGGCCAACCCAAGCGGTCCGCCAGTGATTCAGAGGCACGAAGCAAAGCTGCTACTGAGGCAACCGTGGCTGGCAACATCAAATGTCCTCTATACCATCAGCTATAACATACATACATAGAGGGCTGAATGTAAGCATGCCCCCCTATGACCTAGTGTTCTGCGTGCGAACGCGCGGATCACCTCGCTCCGCCCTCTTGCGCAGCTTCTCTTGACGCTTACTCGACGCCTCTTTTGGTGCGGTGTCCTCCTGATCATTCGCACTCGTGGATCTTCCCAGTAACAGCGGCGAGATAACCAGGGTCCAGAGCTTGTACCCTGCGTAAACAGGAATCTGATGTGTGTTGGGTGAGGTGGATTAATAGACAAGGAGGGTATGGGCGTACAATGAGATAGAGGAACCAGAACCATTCGCCAAATATGCCGCTGCCGATTTGGCATACCCCTAGACAAAAGCAAAACATTGGTTGTGCAAGAGGATGCGTTACATGAAGACGTACAGGTGATGTAGATGACATCGAAGCATATTCGATGACGCCAGGTCGTCCGAGGTCTTCTCCCGAAGAGATCAAAGTTCCAGTAGTGGGGTCACGCTTTGGAGAACCAATACGCTCGAGATATCGCGAGAGAAAGATAGATGGGACATAGGAAAGGACAAGCAGCCAAAACGAGATCCTCGTAGGCGAGAGCGTTCCTTTCCGAAAGAGAATGCGGAGTAGCAGCGAGAGCGCACCCGTGAGGAGCATGCCGAGATTCATGTTCTTGATGGTCTCCGCATTCTGCTGAGCTGGCGAGTACTCGGTGAGATGTAGAGACGAAGCCACGAAGCACATACCTGTACGTTTGGCGGAAGCGTTGGCCATGGCGAAGGAAGACGGTTGAGCTGGCGGTTACAGCGAGGCTATCAATTGGCCGCCAGTGGATTGGCCGCCCGAAGTCGTTGTCTCGGACACGTCCCCGCCGATCAATTTGCGGGTGCGCGACCACGTGCACCGCGTCACTACTGTGCGCCCCGCGCAACTTGTCATAGCCGCCACCGCGACTGTGGTCGGAACGGGCTCTTACAGGCCTGTCCAACCTGCACGTACAACCTCAGGAACGTCGAGGGAGGGATGGCGTCTGAAGGGGACATTCAACACAGTCTTCACCAAGCTTTACAAGCCAACAAGGATCATCAGTATGCTCTCAGAATCTACAGCGAGAGGATCGATGCTGAACTCGAGTCTCTCAATAAGCTACTCGTGAGCCCGTCCTAATGTGTCCTGCATATCACTGATCACACGCGCGCAGGCTGCTGCGGATGTGTCGGACACAGAGGAAGATATCTTGGAAGTCAACTCCGGCGGCTGGGTGACTATCCCGAACGCCGTAGACGCGGTCGCACCTCTGTTATCCTCTGAGCTCTTGGATCAGGTAAGTTTCTTTGAGTGACAAATTTATAGATAATTTACTCCCATGCGCTAGAACTCGCCGTTCCGAGATGTTGCTTTGCGACGACAGCGCTTCGTCGAAGCGACTGTCGTGCATCCATGTGAGACCCTCCTCATCCACCTTGCGCTTCTGACATATTACACGATAGGGAAGACACAGGAGCTCGAAGCATTGGCGGACGCTGTTAGGTCGGAGAATCATCGCTTGTATGCAGTCGAGGCCCAGCTCCGGTATGTTCGAAGCTCGGCATGTTGTTGCAAGGCTCATAAATCTATACAGTGGACAAGAAGGGCTACTGCAACCGTCCGAAGATACAGCCAAGTTCATGTCAGAGAACATGACAGGGCTAGACTGGGACCGGGTCTCAGCTAAAGTGCGCGATTCTCGGGGAGTCTAATTGCCCTAGCCTTAGTTCACGCATCCTTCCCAGGTTTCCAAATCGAGCCTAAGCGGCGACCATCGCTCCGCCAAAGAATGTGAGGTCAAGTGGCTGGGAGAGCGCCATCCGCAATTTAACCACTCTCAATGGACGCAGCATGAAATCGACCAGGTCAAAGCGTTAGTCGCCAACTGCGTGCCCGGACAGATCGACTGGGTAAATGTCGCAGAAAAGCTGGGCGTGAGTACATCCTCCTGGTCATCGCTCATATTGGAATGACATTCACAAATATCAGACCCATCGCACACCGGTTGACTGCATGCGCCATGCTATCATTCGGAGGGCGCATACCTGGGAGTCCGCCAGTGATCAACGACTGCGTGATGCTGTGGAGATGTACGGGATAGACAACTGGCACCTAGGTGTGCCCTGCTCCTCCAAAACCCCCCTCGGAGACTGACGGCTTTCAGTTGCAAGACTCGTTCAGAGGACGCCACCCCACAGCAGTGCCAAACCCGCTACACGAGGTACTTAGATCCCACCATCAAGCACGGACCATTCACAGAGGAAGAGAACAAGCTTCTGCGCGACGGTGTAGCAGTTTACGGCAACGCGTGGCAGGACATCGCGCAGTTCATCCCCGGGAGGACGAACGAGCAGTGTCGGGAACGCGCACAAGAGCTCAGCAGCGCGGCCAACCCCAAGAGGAAATGGACAGACATCGAGGACCGCTTTCTGCTGGAATCCGCCGAACAGGCCGAGTCGATTGATTGGAAGGAGATCAGTAAGGCTTTGGGGACTGGGCGTACTGAAAGCCAGGTATGCATATATCGTGACTGCCGTTACTATGACGCTGACGGGAAGCTAGTGTCGAAACCGATATGGCGTACTCATGAGGAGGATCGCGCGTACGACCATTCCTGGCTCTACGGGAACATTGAGACCTATTCTTCCTGCGCCAGCGCGAGCTCCGGACCCTTCGCAAATCGCTGGATCGAGTGCGTCTCGTGCGCCATCGCGACCCCCCAACGTGCCCAGGCCTATCCTCCCTGCCCCGACGCTCAGGCCATCAGAGCCGAGTTCAGTCGCTGGCCCAAGTGGCACATTTCAAGCGTACTCGCGATCTCCGTCGATTGCCGCACCACCAGCAGAGATCCCAACTGTTTCGTCGTCTCAAACGGGCACAGTCGTGTCTGACACACTCACTGAGACTGCAGCACATCTGGATATGTCGAACGCGGTGCCTGCAGTTCCGCCGCAAGCACGACCTCGGGGCCGGCCTCGAAAGACTGCTAAACTAACTCCTCGCAACCGCCCATATCGCAGCCCCTAGTCGTGCAGGAGGTGCAAGCAGCTTCGTCTCAAGCAAGCACGTCAATGTCGCCTGGCGAGACACGCGCGCCGCCTCAGCCGCGACCGCGTCCTCGTCCGCGTCGCAAGCAAGCCGAGCCCGAATCTACGCCTGCACCATCTACTTCCTCGGCACCTCCGGCACAGAACGTACAAGACGGTGGTATGGATCCATCAGCACCGGTCACGATAGACAAAGGGAAGGCGAGGGAAACGGCGCCAGAGCCTGGCGGAGGGGAGACCACAGCGAGAACGCGCAGACCGACGAAGCGGCTGCTCGATGCTGCGGTCGACAATCCGCCTTCGAAGAAGAGGCAAACAAGGAAGAAAATTTCGGCTACAGAGGATTCTGCTGTCCCACAAGCTGAAGCTGAAACCACAGCGAGTGCCCAAGCTGCGTCGACGGTGAATAACTCACCACTACCACCACCATCACCGAACAACAGCGCGAATGGCCCGAGGCCCTTGGCACCATCCCAACCGGCTGCATCCACAACCGCGACAACGATAACAGCATCAGCCATAGCGCCTCAAAATCCAGGAAGAGGCGGCAAGAGAGGTAGACGTTCAGGCCCGCGAACACAACCCTCCAAACAACAGCCTACGAGACGATCGACAAGGAAGCGACAATCCTCTGTGGATCCTGTGGTGGATGCTGCGGCGCCCTCAGTGGAAGCCAATGTCCCCTCCTCTTCTATCGATGCCAATCTGACAGACAACTCTTCGGAATTGTCGTCGCTACCGCCATCGCCGTGATAGTGACAGCGGACCATACAGTATGGTTGCGTATACATGTCTGGGGTTGAGTACATCAGATGAAATAATGGAATACATCGGTCCGCTTCGTAGGCACTACTCAGTACAGAGTTCACAGCAATATCGTACGCGTTTGCGTTCCCATCATGCACTCAATTCCATCGCTTGCGAGGATTGGTTGACTCCCAGTTTACGATGTGACCAAGCAGTTCGCCATCTTCATTGTCTGCATTGTCTTCTGTCGCTGTAAGCAGATTCCTCAGCGACTCCTGTACCAGCCTGCATTCTTGAGCTTCTTCTCCAATGAAGGCAAGGCAGCCTTCTTTGGCGGGGAGACCTGATGGCATATGAATGGTGAGAAGATGAGCACCGCACATAAGCGGAGAACGTACAGGTGTCCTCAGGTAGGTGTGTTTGGGAGGTAATGCGGGGAGATAGCGCTCATTCCACGGTAGTTGACGAAGGGAGGTCGGAATGACGGGTGGTGTGTCTTCGTCGTCAGACGGCAACAGCTCTGGTGAGGGCGATCGAGAGGGCGGCGGAACCAAGTCCATCAAGGCTGCGCCTGAAACGCATGCATTAGGATTCGCTCGACGACAAATCCCAAACTGAGTGACACATACGACGGTCTCTCTTCTTCGCTTTCATCGCGAACCGATGGAGTGCGTTCGTCTGCAACCCCCACTCTTCCGACGCCAATAGGACATCCTGCGCGACTGGACCAGCCCGATTGGCTAGGTTTGCATATTCATGTGTACTCTTGTATAGCTTCTCTACGACTTCAGAAATATGCCCTTACATCAGAATCCGAGTCCAAGGAGTGAGCGTGACAGACGGACAAGCAATCACTTCCAGCTCCAGCCTTTGAAGGGCTGCTGGTTCGGCAGAATCGAAGCCAACGCGCGAGAGTTCAGCAGAGGCCAATCGCTCGAGCGCATGAGATGCAAATTCAGAAGTCACGGCAGGTATTTCAGGAGCTGAAAGAGGTGCGGAGGCGGGGATGGCGGTTTCGTTTGTACAGCAGGGTATGCAGGTATGCGGCCACAGGGTTCCTTGCGTTGGATATTGCGTTGGGTAGTGATTCTGACCCGTGTACGCGGGGTATTGTGGCTGGAATACGCCGTATGCCTGAGGAGAGTAGTGCGACATGGTGGGAGGTTCTGGCAAGGGAGCGCGTGCGCGCGCGTCCGAGCCTGACTCCCAGGGCTTATCTGGTATATTATCCGGGTTATGCCTCCTTACCCTGCTCAGACAACCCGGTTCACCCCCTTCGACAGTCTAGGATTCTGTACATATAACGACGACGGCACATCATGGTAGATGCGGCTGCACAAGCGGTGATCGAAGAGGAGAGACCTGCTGCTCCTATGCGCACGGAGACATTCCGGCAGACGCGCCCCGACATTGTAGGCCCAGATGCTCCAGAACTACCGTTCCCTATCGTCCTCTCTGGCACGGTGCAGCATGGCTTCGGTAGGGGAGGCAAAGATCTGGGCTGTCCTACCGGTACGCCTAGCCTAACAGCATCGTCCCCGTGTCTTACGTGCGCCTTTGCAGCGAACCTACCGGACGACTCAATCACGCCCATGAGTTCCGTGACCAAGACGGGGGTCTACTATGGCTATGCTCAGATCTCGCCTGAGAGAGACGGGCAGATCATGCTCCCCGAGAAGGATCGCGGTGTGATGCCCATGGTCATGAGCCTAGGATGGAATCCATTCTACAAGAATGAGCGGATGACGGCGGTATGTCGGTACGCAACTTTATCTGCGGATTTAGTAACACCTTGTAGGAAATTCATCTCATGCATGATTTCGACGCCGACTTCTACGGCCACGAGATGAATGCGTTGGTCTTGGGTTACATCCGCCCTGAGCTCGACTACACGTCTCGAGGTTGGTCCTAGTATTCGTGTGCAAGCCGAAGCTTACCCAGATGATCCGTTAGAGAGTCTCGTCGAGGATATCGAGACGGACAAGCAAGTGGCCCTGAAGTCGCTGTCGAGACCCGCGTACGAGAAGTTCAAGTCGGATCTTATTTTCGATACCACGCAATCCAAGCTCTGAGCCCAGATGTCGGTCAAGAGGAACTACACGCACAGTGTATTAGCTATATCCTTATGACAGCTCATTTATAGACTGCCTGTAGCTTAGAAGAGAAGTAGAAATCCACATTGGAAACAATTAGAGCATCTCCCTAGGAGTAAAGCTTTGAAGCTTGAAGTCTATATTGCCAAGTCTAGCGGTAAGAGCAAGCAAGGGTGAGTCGAGGCTGCTGAACTGAGAAACACCGGGCCATCTGGGAGGTGGATTCGGTTTGATCCCGACCACGTGGCCGAGCGCGCACTGCGCCCGCCGCCATTCTCGTGAATCTCGTCCAACCAAGCCTTCGACCGCCACGACCTTCTCCTCACATCGTCGCTCAACATGTACAACGGCATCGGGCTTACTACTCCTCGTGGGAGGCAAGTACTCGTGGATGATCTGTTCTTCTGCAGCTGACAGCAATTGCACAGCGGTACCAACGGTTATGTTGTGCGCAACTTGTCGACCTTGCGCGTCCACCAAACCGCAGCCGACCGAGCCAGTGCATGGGATATAGCGCCTCCGAAGCACAGGGAGCCAGATGCTGCCATTTTGGAACATGAAAAGAAACGCAAGGTGGAAGTGAAATGCTTGGAATTGCAACTCGAGTTGGAGGAGAAAGGGTGCGTGTATGCTTCTTAATCGCTCGTCCTGGCTGCTGCCTCACCCATTTCCCATGCAGTCTCGATGAGGATGAATTGAAAAACTAGTTGATGAACTGCGTACGAAGTTGCTTGCCAACCTCAACGCGATGGCATCGAATGCGAAGGGTCTGAAGCCGTCGGACACGCACGCTATTGCCGCCGCCAAAAAGGAGGAGCTTAACAAAATGGCACGAGCTCTGGGTACCCGTAACGACTACATGGAGGGAGAGCCTTTGATAGGGAAAAGCAGAGGAGAACAAATACGGAGGATGGCGGAGCGGGAGAGCGCGACAGGCAAAGGGAAGAGGAGCGCGAGAAGATGAGGATGCAGAAGAAAAATGGGAGGCTGAGCGCAAGGAACGAGAACGTCTGCGGCGTAGGGAGGAAGACAGGATGAGGAAGGAGAGGAAGAGGCATGAAACGGAGGGAGCGGATGCCACCACCGCCGATGCCTCGCGACAGGAACTATCGTGACAGGCGCAGCCGAAGTCCAGTGCGTCGAGACTTCACCACTCGTGATAGAGACTACGACGACCACCGCCGACGGCCTGTCTCGCGCTCGCCTTCACCCCCTCCTCGCGGACGTCGTCCTTCTTCACCCTCCCTCTCCCCGCCTCCCCGAGTTCGCCGTCCGCCCTCGCGTTCGCCTTCACCACCCCCAAGACCGCTCGCCGCGTCTTGTCTCGCTCGCCGTCTCCTCCACCCCGCGCACGTCGCCCTCCGTCGCCCTCGCCGTCTCCCCCGCCCCGCCGCGTCCGGCGTCGCTTCGACTCGCGTACACCATCGCCGCAACCGCCTTACCGTCGTCAGGCTCTGTCGAGCCGCCCTCGCGTGGCGCACGAGGTATCTCGGGCTCTCCCCCCTCACCCACCCAGGTCGCCCCCACCTCGGTATCGCCGTGGCCGCTCGCCCTCGCGCACGCCGTCACGTTCCCCGCTGCGGGATACTAGCAGAGCCCGCCGGGATTCGCGCTCGCTTTCCCCTCCGGCCGTGCGCCGCGCCGTGGACGGGGACGTTCGGCCTCGACGGGATCGTCGATGTCTGTTAGCTCGAGCGGGAGCCGAAGCCGAAGCGGGATTAAAATTGAACGTATGCCTCCTGCTCGTCTTGCTCTAGCAGACATACTGCCCTTATGCACGGCGACTATGTCTACTCACGCTGATCATGCCCATTGTACTGTAGCTGATCTGAATGTGCCCACTTGTGTCCATGCGTCGATCATCTTGAATACATATGTGCATAACTTGATCCTGTACACGTATTTCGACGACCATGCTGGGCTGTACGACGTCGAAGCGCGGTCAAATTGCAGTAATGGCGCATCACGTGTGGGCGAATGTTTCTCTGCCACCGTCATGACTCCGGACGCTCAGGGCCTCCATATCCAGACGGAGAGCCGGCAACCCTGTTCTCTCTTTCCTCCATATAGTGACACCCAGGGTGTTGTCCTAAAACCACTATGTCGCGCTCTAGCGTCGCCCGTAGCCTTGTTGGCCGCTCGGGGCGATTGAACGCCCGAGGAACTCCAAACTGCGTGCGTCAGGCATGCTTCGTCTCTGCCTGAGGTGAGTTCCTGGGTCACTTGTACTTTCGCAGCTGAAAATTGCATTCCGCTGGTCAGAACGCACCCCGCCCTGCGGCGTCGATTCCTGAGCGCCATGCACAAATACACAGCGGCAACCCATCCGGAAGACCCATCGAGCGTACCCCGAAGTGTCAAGGCCTCATCGACCGTTCTGCTGCCTATGTCCTGCCCGTCTATGCTCGGCCGCCCGTTGTATGTCGCATGGGAAGGGGGCGTACATTTGGGACACGGAGGGTCGTCGGTACCTCGACTTCAGCGCTGGTATTGCCGTAACGCGTTGGGCCATTCAGACATGGGTGTAGCAAACGCACGTCTTCCATATGCATGTCTACGCAATCCGTGCCGTTAAACGTTTTATTGACAGGTTATGGCGTCGGAAGCTGGCACCTTTACACGCGAGCAATGTTATCACAACAATGGGCAGGGCAGCTCGCAGAGCTCATTGTCAAGCTCACCCAGCAGGAAGGCGGGCTTGGCTGGGAAACCGGCTCCACGCACCCACCCCAGGGCGCGACCAGTGGCGGAAGGTGTTTTCTCCAACTCCGGCACCGAAGCGAACGAGGGCGCACTGAAGGTCGCGCGGAAGTTGGGAAGGCGCGCTGGGCGCGTCCACGGCAAGTCGTGGGACGACCCTGCCTGCGACAAGCACGAAATTGTCTGCTTCGAGCGTGGTTTTCATGGTCGGTCTATGGGCGCGCTTAGCGTCACGACGAACCCGAAGTACCAGAAGCCGTTTGCGCCGCTATTGCCCGGCGTGAAGGTCGGCAGGCTGAACGTTCTCGAAGATTTGGAAAAGCTGCTCAGCGAGAAAACATGTGCGGTCATTGTGGAACCAATTCAAGGAGAGGGGGGTGTCCACGCCGCCGATGTCGCTTGGTTGCAGGCTCTTCGAAAGAAGTGCGACGACGTTGGCGCGGTGCTCATCTATGACGAGATCCAGGTGAGTCACCGTGTCATGTTGTCTTTGCGCGTGAGACGTCGATCGGGTGGTGCCTCTGCATCTACTCGGGCGTATGGCCTCTTGACATGTCCGCTGACTTCGACGGTATGACCTCTAGTGCGGTCTGTACAGGACGGGTTCTCTATGGGCTCATTCTACGATGCCGATCAATGCGCACCCGGACGTTGTGACGATGGCAAAACCGTTGGCCAATGGCTATCCCATCGGCGCTGTTCTCATGCGGGACAATGTGGCAGAGACGATGACAGCTGGTATGTGCCAACAGCATCTGTTTGTCACCGTGTCCATTTTAGCAAACTGACCGTGGCGTCGCAGGCTCACACGGGACGACGTTCGGCGGTTCGCCCCTCGCGTGTGCGCTGGGCTTCCATGTCCTGTCGCGTCTCTCGGAGCGCCCCTTCGTGTCTAACATGGTCGAGACGAGTGCATACTTGTCGGGGCGTCTCGCTCAATTGCCGCGGTGGTTCCCGGGTATGGTGCAGCCGGGAATTCGGGGACGCGGGTTGATCGTGGGCCTGGGCTTCAAGGATGCGAGCCAGCCGGGGAAGGTGGTGCAGATGGCGAGAGAACGGGGCGTGTTGCTGCTGACTGCGGGAAACGATGCCGTGAGACTTGTTCCCAGCCTGAATATCGGGCGGACGGAGGTGGACATGGCGGTGGACGTGATTGAGGGCTGTCTCCATGTGATGCAGAGCCAGTAGATAAAATGCTATGTCTGTGTTTCAAGAATGGAGACAGTGTCTGCGATGCGTGCGGCCGCGAGCACTGAGCCAGCCGATGGGTGACGGCCGCGGGGAGGCCCCGGGAAGAGACGGTGGTGCCGGTGGGACGCCAGGGGGACGCGGCCGGGAGGACAGAATTGCCATTAGAAGATTCGGCGGGCGTCTGCTAATTGCCACGGCGTGATTGGTTGCTCAGCTGGCGTCGTCCCATAAGAGGAAGCCGTCGCTCACTTCGTCGCCCGACCCATCCACCCACTTTCCGCCATCCCTTCGCCAGCATGGACAAGCTCTCGTCCCTCGCAAAGTTCAAGTCCTCCTGCCCCTTCCTCGGCCGCACAAAGTCCTCCACCCTCCGCACTCTATGCACCTCCACGTCCCCCCGTTACCCGACGCTCTCCCGCTTGACGGAGCGGGCTACCCAGTGCCCCGTCATGGGCCCCGCCCTCCAGTCCCGCTCTAGCCAGATGGTCGCGGGCTACGCCAGCTTCGCGGGCAGCGCTGACATCCAGAAGATACACGAGGAGAAGGGTGTCTTCCCCATCCCCACCGGCACCAATATTGACAAGTGCCCGCACGCAGCCAAGGCCATCGCGGCTGCTCGCATGGCGGAGGACCTCGCGAAGGCGGCGAAGGGCAAGGCCCCAGAGGTCGATGCAAAGCCGTCTACCCCCGCTGCCCCCAGCGGGTGCCCATTCCACGCCGCTCAGGCTGCTCAGGGCAAAGGCCAGGAGGCCGCGGCCGCGAGCGGCTTCAACTATGACAACTTCTACGCGGACGAGCTGGAGAAGAAGCATCAGGATGCTTCTTACCGCTACTTCAACAACATCAACCGCATGGCGCACAAGTTCCCCATCGCGCATACGGGCGACCCGAAGGACGAGGTCGAGGTGTGGTGCGCGAACGACTACCTCGGGATGGGTAACAACCCGATCGTGCTCGAGACGATGCAGTGAGTGTCAAGTTCGGATCGGGCGCAGAGGATTAGCATTGACGCAATGCCTCGCGTCCTCCAGTCGCACGCTCGATACCTACGGGCACGGGGCCGGAGGTACCCGGAACATCGCGGGCAACACCGGTATGCACCTCGCCCTCGAGGAGGAGCTCGCCGCGTTACACCGTAAACCCGCCGCGCTGGTCTTCTCTTCGTGCTACGTCGCGAATGACGCTACGCTCGCCACCCTCGGGTCCAAATTACCTGGGTGTATCTACTTCTCCGACTCTATGAATCATGCCTCCATGATACAGGGTATGAGACACTCCGGGGCGAAGCGCGTCATTTTCAAGCACAACGACCTCGAGGACTCGAGAGCAAGCTCGCACAGTACCCCAAGGAGACACCGAAGATCATCGCTTTCGAGAGTGTTTACTCTATGTGCGGTAGCATTGGGCCATCTCGGAGATGTGCGACTTGGCCAAGAAGTACGGTGCCTTGACGTTCCTGGACGAGGTACACGCTGTCGGACTGTATGGTCCCCATGGTGCCGGTGTTGCGGAGCACCTTGACTACGAAGCCCAGAAACGCGCTGGGCGCAGTCGCGAGCCTGTCAAGGGCTCGGTCATGGACCGCATCGACATCATCACTGGTAAGTAGTTTTCGAGACAATGTATGCGAGCGTGTTTATTGATTTATCCTGACTAGGTACTCTTGGCAAGGCCTACGGTGCTATTGGTGGTTACATCGCGGGTTCGTCAGACTTCGTCGACATGATCAGGTCCTACGCAGCTGGGTTCATCTTCACGACGTCTCTCCCCCGTCGAACATGGCTGGCGCTCGCGCTAGCATCTCGTACCAAAAGGAGTACCTGGGCGACCGGCAGCTCATGCAAATCAACGTCCGTGCTCTGAAGTCCCGCTTCGAGGCTATGGACATCCCTGTCGTCCCCGGTCCTTCGCACATCGTCCCCGTTCTCATTGGCGACCCGACCCTCGCGCGTCTTGCTTCGGACACGCTCCTTGAGAAGCACAACGTCTACGTGCAGGCCATCAACTACCCGACGGTCGCGCGCGGCGAGGAGCGCCTCCGGTTCACCGTCACGCCCGGGCACAACATTGATCAGATCGCGCGACTCGCGAAGGCGGTCAACCAGACGTTCACGGAGCTCGGCATCAAGCGCACGTCGGTCTGGAAGGCGGAGGGCGGGCGGCGGTGTCGGCATGCCTGGCGCGGAGCGCGTTCAGCCGATCTGGGATGACAAGCAGCTGGGCTTGGTCGATGGTTCTGCACCGAAGATGCTTACGGCTGGCCAGAAGCGTGTCGTGGATGCGAGGGCTGTTGCGGTGACGCGCAGGAAGTTCGACGACCTGTTGGGTCCGGCCGTCGAGCCTCGTGTGACTACGGTCCAGCTGGACATGCCGACGAGCGTGCACCCCATCGCTATGCCGGCGGACGCACTCCGCGGGAGTAGTGAGATTTCCGTCGCTGCTTGAGCGCAGTGACGTGCTTTCTTGTTGACGGACGGGTCGGTTCGTACACGGCCCCGCTTAGTATCATAGAGTAGCAGCTGTGTCGTGTTGTCGTACATGTACCGCTGATGATGTGAACAAAAGTGAACTTGTCGTCGCCCATGTTGGGCGACCTCCGTCTACTCTGCTGTGTGACAACGCGAGTTTTGCTCGAAGTGCCGCTGCAACTAAGTAAGGAGAGGTGGTTAGCAGCAGCAGAGCTACAGTACACTTTGCCCGCCGCTCGTTGACGGCTGCACATGCAAGCCATAGGGTGCGCATTTATGTTACGCACAGGGTCAAGACACGCCATACTTACTCTCCTGGAGTTGATAGCGAAAGCAAGTTGGAGGCCAGTCACCGACAGGGCAGATGAAAGTTTTAGGCGATCATTATACTTGGCTCTGCGATAGCAATGAACACATGCTCCGACATCTAACGTCTATGAGTCTGCATCCTGGGCGTAGCGGTCACGGATGTCCTTCCACTGCTTCTGTGTGGACGTCAGTACCACGCACTCCGCCGGAGAGCGACTGCTGCAACGTACCCCTTGTTCCAGGTATCCCAGAACGACGTGACGCCGGTGTCAAAGCCAACACCGAAAGCGAACGCCCCAGCGAAGATGCTCGTCACGAATACGCCTGGTGGAAACCCAGGAGGTTGGAGGGGCGAGGCGGAGGAACACGGAATGACGACTCACTGTTGCGCTTGACGATGGTGTTGTAGAAAGCGTTCGCCAACTGCGCAACTATCAGAATCTCTAAGTTCGCCTTGGTTGACAATGCCTGGTACTCACGGAGCCCATGGCTGGATGTGTGCGCGGGGACGGTGACGGAGGAGGTGAAGGTGCAAACCGGCGGCGCCGGGTTGGCTAGGCGCCGTGCGTAAAACAGACGCCCAAACGGAGGTCCTCGCAAATTCGCGCGCTCAGTGGATGTTCATCACCATGTCTCTACTCAGGCAGCGGCTGGCTACCTACGGCTACTGCGCCAGCCCTGTCGTGCCGCGGGCTTTTCCTCACAGTCTGAGACGAGCGAAGCTGAGTATTTCGACCGGCTCGGCGCATCTCCGCCATCGCAGACCGCTCCCGCCGCCTCCTCGCATGCTACGGACCCGGAGGACACAGGGCCACCCAAGGGCGAGACATATCCCATCTCTAATCCTATCGCAATCAACGAGTCCAAGGCTGCCGAGGTAGCGCAAGCCAGGCTGCAAGGATCGACGTTTGCGCTTTACTGCAAGTCAAACGGCACAAACACGATCGTCTCTGCTACCCGACCGACCGGGCACATCCTCCGGACGTTCACCGGAGGTAGCCTCGGGTTCAAGGGCACCAACCGGTCGAGCTACGAGGCCGGCTACCAGTGCGCGACGGCGGCCTTCCAGGTGCTCGAGAAGGCCATGGAGACGGAGAGGGATCCGAAGTGGCGGTTGTACTTGAATGGGTTTGGGCAGGGAAGGGAGGCGGTGATGAAGGCCATCACGTCGTCGGAGGGGGAGGATTGAAGATAAACTGATCAAGGTGATTGACAAGACGCCTATAAAGATGGAGGTACAAGAGCAAAGAAGATGAAACGGCGGTAGTGCTGCACGGGTGAGTTGCACGTCCTCTGCAATCTGAGGCGTCCTCAAAGGTCTTACACGTTCCGTATTGTAGTTGCACTCCTGCTCTGACGCTGTGCATTTGCTGTTCCGTCGGGCGTCGGGCTCCTACACTACACCTCTCACACGCGGCTAATACCTTGCATATGAGACGGTCCCTTACCGCCAAGGTCCGACTCTGGGTGGGCTAGAGCTACTGCTGCCGACAAACTTAGCACCGGGTGTAATGACCTGCGTTCACGCAGGATGATAATGGAAGGTGGTCTAATCTTGCATGTCCGCGGATGGAGTCTACTATTCAGATTGTGCGATACACTGGCGAGATCCTTCACGTTCTCCTATCTTCGTCTGCGCGTAGGTATGGGCGAGGCAGGGCTGTGCGCCGCGGAGTCGAGATGCTTGTTGTCTGCGTATGTTGCAGTCCGCCGAGTTGGCTGAGTGGCTGGACACACGTTATCCGGATTATGTCATCGTCACTGCCCAGCTTACTCCGTCGACGAGTCCGTCCGGCATGTGGCAACTCGCTGCGTCCCTCACATTATAACCCGCCCTCACCGCTCCTCCCCTCCCCCACTCTTCCCTCCTCTTCACCGCCTCGCAATCATAACCTCTACACTTAGACTCGCAAGACTTCGGCTCCTAGTCAGCATGGCTGCCACCACCTCTGGTACTCCCCCTGGCGTCTTGCCGCTGCCACCCGCTCGTGATATCCCATCTACATTCGTCGCTAGTATGAAGAGCTGGTGAGCATTGGCGCATCGGACACTGTCACATGAATCTCACAATCATTGCAGGTGGCATGCCGGCGAGAAGGAGAGCGCAGCGGCGGAAGAGCGGTTACTCAGGTGCGTCCGCCTTCTCGGCCGTGTTAACCGTCTTCTTATTGCCTCGCAGGAAACTGCCCTTCTTCCGGCCGGCCGGCTCGCCTCCACCAACGCCAGACGGCACATACCAGGTGGTGGCAGAAAGCAAGCGTGTCGAACTTAACAACCCTAAGCACTACATCAACACCCTCACCATGACACCGACCTCCCGGCAACGTCATCGTCCCGTTCGCCAGTGGTGCTACTTCACGGATACGGAGCGGGACTTGGGTTCTTCTTCCAAAACTTCCTCGCTCTGGGCCAGTGGGCTAGTCGGCGTGGGACGTCTGTGTTCGCGCTCGACTGGCTAGGCATGGGCCGCTCCGCCCGCGTTCCCTTCTCCATCAAGGCAAAACGGGACGACATTGACGGAAGGGTGAATGAGGCGGAAGGCTTCTTCATTGACTCGCTGGAGCAATGGCGTGAGCGCATGGGGCTCGAGCGCATGACGCTAGTGGGGCACTCGCTCGGAGGCTACCTGAGCGTGCCTACGCGCTCAATACCCCACGCGCGTGAACAAGATCATCCTGCTATCGCCTGCAGGTGTGCCGCGCGATCCCGAGAGCACCGTATATGCGCGCGAGGTGACGGACGAGCAGACCACCGGTGCGTCGAGCGCCGACCACGCAGAGGCGGCGACGCAGGGCAGCTGGAGCGGATAAAGACGGGACAGGAGGAGGTGCAGAAGAAGGAGAGCCGGTCGCGGAGGTTACTCACGTATCTCTGGGAGGAGGGTGGAGTCCGTTCCAGGTCATCCGCTCGTCCATGTTCTGGGGACCGATGCTTGTGGGTAAGTACTCCAGCCGGCGGTTCATCGGCTTGAGTCAGGACGAACCCGGGCGATGCACGACTACATGTGAACCTCGTACTTGCGAAGGGATCGGGCGAGTACTGCGTCTCACACCTGCTCGCTCCGGTGCCCACGCGAGGCGGCCACTGGTGGATCGGATACACGCGTTGGCTATGCCGATCACCTTCGTTTGTGAGTAGTGACGAGTTCTTGCACTTTGTGTGGACGCTGATCAACGGTTTGATGTAGACGGTGAACACGACTGGATGGACCCTGAGGGCGGCTCTGAGGCTATTGAGAGACTGCGTCAGGCAGGCAATGGCGACGGCAAGATGTACATCATCCCTCATGCAGGCCATCATGGTAAGTATGATGCCCTCTGCAGCCACACTGCCTTCTCACATTGTGTTTCCCTGTAGTGTATCTGGACAATCCGAAAGCCGTCAACGACCTGCTCGTTAAAGAGCTCGACCGTCCGTTGAAGGCATGATAACGACATATCACGATTATAGCCGCAGCGGACGCGGTGACATTCACACACTTGGACGGATGTTCCTCCTACCTACAATCATTTGCTGGGCTATTTAAGTTTGTACTCTAGATATAGACTGGGCAATTTCGCGGTCGAACGCACATTCATCCTGTTGTAGTATGCTCTCCTAATTGCAATGTCTGTTACTTGGTCTACTGTACTGCTTGACAGTGTGGACATTGACGAACGGAGGGCGGAGGTTGCCGTCCTCTCCGCTTCTGCGATCACACCTTGCCTCGTGTCCTCACGCTGCCCTGAACGATGTCCATTGTTCCGATCCGTGCACTGAGTACTGAACGTACTGAACGCCCATCGTCTGTCTCGTACGCGGCGCGCCAGACAGACGTCGGCGCCCTCACTTGACATAGCGACTGTCTGCTTGCAGTGCGAAACAACACTGTCACTCACGAGTCGTAGAGCAGCATCCAATATTGAGCCACTGCTATCGGTAAGGATGCATTACCAGTCCGTCATTATGCCCGCGATGACTGATTAAAGGGTAGATCTACAGGGCTCTCCGGCTCTACTAATGGCGAAGAAAGGTCCGCCATATGAGAATGACCCGGAGTGTAAGTATGTTGTGATCGAAGATCCTTTCCCGGGGCACAGGACTGGCAAGGCGCGGGACACGATGTACTGGGAGTGGCTCAGTAGCTGGGTGTACTACATGACTGGCAAGAAGACAAACCCAACGGCAATCCACTACATGCATACGGTAGCAGTCGACATCGTCCGTCTCAGGGAAGCTGTGAAGACTGATGCGTTTGTCACTGTGTCATCAGAGAGACGAGGTCGTCGTACAACTGCCCGAGGAAGCTGACATATACCCCATTCTCGGTGTCCATGTCTGGCGTGAGGTGCTCAGCTGGGGAGGCGCAAAGGACCGGGATCGCGTCTCATACGTTTTCGAGTTCAACTACCGCAAACAAGGGCATCCAGAAGAGCGTATGTATCACACCGACTAGATGTTTGCCTAATCACCTGAGGCTAATCTGGTGACATACTGCAAGATAATTGGCAAACAGCCTGGACTACAGGTGGCGAACAGGACCCTACCAGGTTCCCGGTTAAATACCCGTATCCCCGCCCGCATTGGGCGATCGTTCACGGAAGGAATTGCGCAGACTTGGCACTACCGTTGCCCAAGACCCGGGCGCGCACACCAACTCCTCCACCCGTAAGCCTGTTTGTTGAATGGATCTGAGCAACCGGAGTCGCTGGATGAGCTTGTTGATTGCTACCTTACTAGCCGGAACCGAGCGCGTTCGAGCCATATGAGGCCCCTCCGCACCTCGCACATGTTCGGAATGCCCAACTGGACGAAGATATACATCCTCCCGAAGAACAGAGACACCGGGAAGAACAGCATGTGGAGCCGACGACAGGGGTATCATTGCTGGGTGGGAACTCTCACTTTATGATTCTTATTGGCGTCACACTCACTTGCGCCTCTCGTTGCAGGCCAACTCTCTGTCGACAAGCGAGACCCGTACGAGGAAGGTGCATACACTTTGTCTTGCACATTGACGTTCCATCGCTTGACACCCGCTTCACAGAGGACGCAGCGCTGCAACTCGTTAAGCAAGAGCCCTCGGATGTTCCCATTTCCGTGAAGCCAGAACCTTCTGAAGTAGTATTGAAGCAAGAACACAATGACACTCAAGGTTTGTCTGTCGCACACTTCACCAGCGAGATGCTGACCTTGCTGGTTCCAGAGCCCCAGCCCTCGGAGGCTTTCCTTGCAGCCTTCACCCGCCTCAGTGAGCGCACACGGGCGGGCCAAGGTAGGGCATCCAACCCGCATGATACAGTGCTTGCTTTAACCGGCAACCTATCTATTCAGAGCCGATTGCAAAGCGCGAGCCATCGCCGGCTCCAGAACCACAGCCCTCTCAGGCATTCTTAGCTGCGTTTGAGAGGCTCGAGCGCCAGCGAGCCCAAGGTGATACCGATTCACACCTGTAGTACCGACGTTTCTGAACACGACCTGTGCAGGCCTCTCCGTCGTCCCTGGAGCACCGGGAGGGAGGGATCCAAGTAAGTATATACGATCTTCACTACTTGTCTGGTGCTCATTCGCCGAGCAGTCCATATTCAAACGCAATTTACCCCGACCCCGGAACGCGCACGCTCCGAGACTGCAGCTACAATCCCATCATCGCCTGAGCGTGCTCGCTCGGAGACATGGACACCGGGACTCGGTAAGCATCCACTGCTACATTATCCACCACATTGCTTTTCATCGCGCCACGGTCAGGTGCTCGCGTCAAGCCTGAGCCTCAGGAGGACGCGCTACCACCGCCACCCCCGAGTGAAGCTTGCAACCGCAGTCGCGACCCGCGGCTCACTCCAGGGAATTCGCGAGTGAAACCGCAAGAGCCGAGGCTGCCTCCGCCCACGCGCCGTACGTGCGCAACGTCTTGATACTGCGTTCTTATGTGTTAATCGGGGCGTTTGGGTAGCTACGGGGCATGGTGCCATCCGTGTCAAGCCAGAGCCGCAAGATTCCGCCATGCCTCCACCAGCGCATGGAAACCCGTCGGACGATGTGCAAATTCAGGACCCGAGGCAGCGAGGCAAGCGTCAGTGAAGTTCGCGCTATATGCTAGTCTGATCTCTGCTAATGAAGGCATTCTACTCTCAGTACCATCCTTCAAACGAGCTCAGAGAGATGAAGACAAAGGTATGTGGTCCCCATCACTGCTTGTACCCTCTATTCTGACGTGAAACCAAAGGTCCTACCAAACGCGTCAAGACTGAGCCAAGGACCCATGACCTACCTTCGATCTATGAACTATCCACTATAAGTAAACGCACATGTACCTGTATCGATACTTGCATATATCACACCACACCCAACCTGCTTGCTGAATATACTAGCATACTTTTGATACACTGCAAACTAGCCTCACTTTTTTCCGCTTCTCTTTAGATCGCATCCATGTGTGCCACATTCCAGGACGGCGATATGCTCTCTACAGCCGCTTGAGCACCGCATCGAGCACCTCGCTCGTCTTGCTCTTCCCACCCAAATCTGGCGTCAGCACCTGGCCCTCACGGATGACCTCGTCGACCGCCTTGTCCAATCTGTCCGCAGGCGCCGCGTATCCGAGGTGGCGGAGCATAAGTGCTGCGCTGCGAATGGACGCGAGCGGGTTGGCAATGCCACGGCCAGCGATGTCCGGTGCCGAGCCGTGGACGCTATAGATAGTTGGACTCAATCAGTTGAAGATGAGAAGGAAGGGCGTTAAGACGCACGGTTCACCCATGACGAAGTTGTCGCCTGCGTTCACTGAGGGCACGAGGCCCAGAGAACCAACGAGGGCTGCTGCTGCGTCCCTATTATTGCTATCAGACCAGGCAAGGGTTGTCATTTGTATGAACACACGTACGAGATAATGTCGCCGTAGAGGTTTGGCGCAACCATGACGTCGTAGATCCTGAGTCCGACGTTCGTGAGTAACATGAACGACAAGGGAGCGCTTATGCATCTTACTGAGGCTCCCGGAAGAGTCGGTATACGGCACTGTCTACGATCTGCTCCTCGATCTTGACACTATCATACCTGCCGTCTAAGCGGGCACGCCGCGGACGGCGTCTCGAAAGAGGCCATCTGTGACGGAGAGGACGTTTGACTTGTGGATGATAGTCACTAGCTAGTGGCCAGCTGAGTTTCAACGGCATCAATATGATATACGCAGAGCACACCTTGCGCGGACGACCGAGGGCAATCTCGAACGCCATCTTGCCAATACGGTGGGATGCGCGCTCGGTGATGAGACGCGTCGCGCGGGCTTCCCTGCCGTGTTCGCCAACAGTCATTGTCTCCTGCTTCACATACTGCAAAGCAAGGCATCATGGATCTCGTGCCATGACATAAGTATAGCAGCGGCATACCAGGCACTCCGTGTTCTCGCGTACGACTATGAGATCGACGTTAGGCTTGTCTTCGGGATTAGCAGCGACCTTTTCAAACGCTTCAGTCGAGTAAAGCACAGAAGAGCAGGAATCATACAGATATAACTGGTCGAACATTCGCGTAGAGATCCAACTGCTTGCGCAAGGCTACGATGGGCGAAGAATAGCCAGTTACTTTCCTCACGGGAGAGCTGAGCCACGGTCATTTAGCGACATGAGAATCAGCAACCATGGTGCATGGTACATGCCTGACCGCACCAAACAGCGCGCAATCGCACTCCCGGAGTGCCCTGAGGTTCATTAGTAAATGCTACATGAGTCACAAATCACGGGGACGTACTGACCGTATCCTCCGGCAAAGCCTCCCCCGAACGTGTGAACACCTCAAAGCCTGCCTCCAGGTCAATGAACTCTGGCTTGGAATGTCTGAGCCCAAAGCCTCGATAGCAGCGCGTGCGGCGGGGATGACTTCCTTCCCAATACCATCCGCAGGAATGAGGCCGATCTTGAGCTTCTGGCGGCTCACAGGGACGGCGGTCGCCATCGAGCGCGACAACGCGCGCGTTGCGACTCTGTGCGAAGCAAGTGCCGCACGGAGGGACATGGCAAGTGCTGCAGAGGTGGAGGACGTGAGAGAGGGGATGGAGAGGCTCAGGCCAGAATATTCACGGCTGTATTTTGTTGACGCAAGGATGTCGACCCGATCGAGATTTCCATCGAGATCCCATGCCTTGCGCGTCGCGATCACGTGTAGCGTGCCCTCATTCAACGACGCGGTGCATGGGCGTCTAACGCTGTCCTTCTGCCACGCCCTCGACACACTGCTAGCCAGGATGGCGTCTCCTCCAGATTCTCCTACTCGTCCTGCGCTCATAAACACAACAAACACGCATCTAAAGATGACTCTTCTTTCTTCACTCAGCCAACGACGGGGAAACGCGCATCCGGCGATGTCGACGACCGCGAAAAGAAACGCGCCAAGCTGTCTGGTACGGAAGCACACACAGAGGTCACTTCGTCGGACAGCGAGTCGGACGTGGACATGGAGGAGACCTGGGCACTACGCTCAAGAGTGCGCAAACGCACTGTCTTTGGCATGCGTGACGCTGCCATGATGGCTACGTCGTTTACTGCCCTGCGGAGTAACGCTAGTGAGTCGACAGTTTCACGGTTGTTCCCATTGTTCCTTAACACATGCGTGTAGTGCCCACGCGAATTGTGCTCCAGTCATTTGTTTCTTCACACAAAACCGACGTTTTCAGATGCTATTCCGCAGATGAAACATCATACAACACCCTCCCTTATGCCTGCGCGTACTCAAATGGTATGTTCCATATCATTTTCTCATGATACCATTTCATTGAATTGTGCCAGCTGCCAAATCCGGCTCCACACCCCTCCTCGCCATCGCCACCGAGCAGGGCTCCGTGCACGTCGTGAACACCCGCGCGCGGCACGACTGGGACTGCGAGCCTCCGCGCACCATCCTTGCCCCGCACGCCAACGGTATCTTTGACATCAAGTGGTCACCCTCCGACACGCTCCTCGCACCGCGTCGGTGACCACTCCGTGCGCATCTCCACGCTCGCCTCGGGCGTGTCATCGGAGAACCAGGTTCTGCACGTCCTCCACGGACACGCAGGCACGGTGAAGTGCGTGGCGTGGGACCCTGAGTATGATGGCGAGGTGCTTGCACGGGCGGCCGCGATGGCGGGATCTGTGTGTGGGACTTGCGTGTCGGCGAGCGGCGCAGTGGTACGCGCCGGACGACCCGCAGTAGTGCGGGCGAAGAGGCGAGGAGACGGCGCGCTGAAGCCGGTCATCAGCATACCGGGAGCACACGAGGACGGTAAACCGTTGAAACCGAGAGGTAGGAAGGGCAAGGTTACTCCAGCCGCTGCTATGCGGAGCATCACAAGCCTCATCTACCCGAGGTACTCTCACACCTTGATCAGCAGCGGCTCATACGACGGGTGAGTTCACTCTCGTGGTTCTCAACGATCTACTAAATCTGGCCTAGCGTCCTCCGCCAATGGGACCTCCGCTCCCCACATCCTCCAAAAAGACACCCAAGTCCAAAGCCTCCCCAAAACCGATCCTCATATCCGCCGATCCAACAACCCTCCACGGAGTCCGGCGCGCACGGGGTATCACAACGCTCATCCCAGGCACAGGGCCCTCCGCAGGACACCTCTTCGCGCTCGGCACCGACGCACGCGTACACACCTTCGCGCTCCCCTCGCTCCAGCCACTCTCCGGTAACGTCCTGCCAGACGGCCCCGACCCATTCGCGTACACGCACGACGGATGCAGACGAATTCGTTCTACGTGCGCGCGCGCTCTCGCCGTGCGGGCAGTGGCTCGCGAGCGGGGGCACCGCGGACGGACGCGGTTCCTGTTTGATGTGGGAGAGGCGGCGGGGCGGGCAAGCAGGGAGCCTGCGAAGGCTGTGTGCTGAGAGGGCAGAAGGGCGAGGTGGGCGCACTGGATTGGGCACAAGGATGCTGGCGACGTGTGCGGACGACGCGACGGTGAGGATATGGAGGCCGGACGCCGACGTACATAGACATGCTTACAGATAGTGAGGAGATGCGTTGGCAGTGGAGTTGGGCAATGGACGAGTAGAAGCCTCGCCGTGGACACTGATCTTGACCTGTACATATACCACCTGTATATTGAAATACATCTGTAATTGCTGAGGTTATGCAGCACGGCAGTACTGATATCACGAGACAGACAGGATCTGCTGAGTTAGCGGCCCGCCGCGCAATACGATATGGACCAATTAATATGCTATACAAACGGGTATGGATGCGCGATAGATAGTGTCCATCCAAGAGCAACGACGAGACGGCGGTCCGTCACCCACAAGCTGAGATGCAATACGCAATCCGCCTACTTTTTCTGTATCGCGTTGACCACCTACGCGAAGCATCAGCATACAAGGAGGCAGCCGCGTCCCACGAAGACACGCACCAGTCCAGCCCCTCCTCGAGTCCCTCACCCTTGGTCGCAGAGCTCCCCCGCACACTCCATTGCCGCTCCTTTTCGCCACCAGCAAGACCGAGCTCCTCACTGATCTGCTCTGGCTTTAGTGCTCCCTCCATGTCTTGCTTATTGCAGAACACGAGCAAAGGCACGCCTGTAAGCTCCTCCTCTGAAAGCATCGTGAGCAGTTCGGTCCGTGATGTCTTCAGCCGTGCGGTGTCGGCTGAGTCAATGACGTAGATGATGGCCGCGGTGTTGGGGAAGTAACATCTCCAATATGGTCTGCGGCAGGTGAGGAGGGGAGAAGCACAAGGTTCGGCGGGCGTACCGTATGCTCGACTGGCCGCCGAGATCCCATACTTGGAACTTGATGTTCTTGTACTGCAACGCAATGTTAGCCCGAGGAATGTTGCGCCTTATGCAGATGACAAACCTGTACGGTCTCTACATTGAACCCAATGGCTATGCAAAGTTCCATGTCAGCGCTAGCACTGCGCGGTAGCCGAGGAGACGCGACGCACTGGGTATTGTGGAGACTACCTCCCCAATCTTCCAGGCCATACGCTGAGTCCTCAAGGGCAGCTATGCAGCAGCGCCTCACACACCTGTAGTCTGTACAAGATGGTAGTCTAGCAGGGCGTCGCGAGTAAGCACGCGGACGGAACGGTCGCGTAGTGCCTGGACGCACCTTTCCCGCAGAGTCAAGACCGAGCATCAGTATCCGGACATCCTGCTCTTTGCTCCAGCGAACAAGCGAAGATAGGGAAGAAAAGAGAGAGGACAAGGAGAGACCCATGGTGGCGGAAAGAGAGACGTGGGCGGGGACGGGAGGCAGGCTTGAGGTGGCTGGTGGCAGTCTGAGTTGGCGGAGACTCGCTCAGCTCTTCGATTGCTTACACGACCACAGACCAGCGCTTGTGATCGACATTATACCGCTTACGTAATGCGAGGCACCGCTCCCCGCGTACCGGCGTGTCCGAGTCTGCAGACTGGATCTCGCGTTCATCTCCACCGCGTCCCGCTCCCAATGTCCCTCGCAGACTCTCCTGGCAAGCAGGCCAAAAAGGCCAAAAAATCAAAAGATGCGCTGGTCGACGCGTCAGACACGAACAGCAAACAGGACAACACACACCGGTAGCCAGCACGTCTTCTGCACCCTCCGAGGGCAAGAAGAAAAAGAAGAGCAAGTCGCGGGCCACAGCAGACGAGGAAGCACCCGCACATCCTCCTTCCGATCAAACGAATCGAAGCGAGGCGCATGCCAGTGACGACGGTCATAGGAAGAAAAAGAAGAAACACAAGCATGCCGATGCAAGGACGGCGGCGAAGCCATTGCTGTGGCTGCGCCTGCACTGGAGGACGGTATCGCCACCACTACAGCCGCGGAGCGGTCAAAGGACAAGAAGAGCAAGAAGAGCAAACACAAACGCGAGGACGCCGATGTAGCCAAGAACTCGCACAAAGGAAAAGGAGTTGATGAGGTAGAGGACGAGGCCGAAGCATCGCAAGTGACGAAGAAGAGCAAGAAAGAGAGGAAGCGAAAGCGCGATGCTCAGGCAGAGGGCGATGCCACTGCTGTTGAGACCGGCGATGCCCCGGCGGACGTGCCGAAGAAGAAGAAACGAAGACGCGGAAAGACAGACTTCCCCAGTCCTGCAGAGGACGAGGGTCTCAGTGAGCAGGCTTCCAAAGGTAGATCTGCTAGAGTGCTTCGATGCATACAACATGTTCCTGATCGTGTCCAGCCTTGCAGTATGCGTTCAACCACTTCGACGACCCCAGCTCTTGGAAATTTAACAAGGCGCGGCAAAATTGGCTGGTCCGCAATCTATGGTCCCAGCAAGCTGTGCGTGGATGTGAACTCTATCAGTATCCTCGTTCTGACTGTCGCATAGATACCCGACACATACATTCCACTGTTGACACAGTACCTGGCGGGCGTAAAGGGAGGGACAAGAGAAGTAAGTGAACAGACGTGCATGAGTATTACACTGACTGACTTCGTCCATGAATCTAGGCCCTCATCAAAACATGTAGAGACATGCTCGCTGAGGAACCAGAAAAACCGACTGCTAAGACGGCGGAACTGAGTCTACACCCGCTGAATCCGAGCAGCCCGCCGCGGCTGCATTAGACGATCGCGAAATCAAACGCGCTCGAGCATCTGCTCTTCTGGCCGTTCTCCGCAACCTATAATAGCATTACACAGATACCGCTAGCTCATGTCTGCACCACGCACAGAATTTCGCGCCCTAACGTCCATGTTCGCCTGATAGAAGCATACAAAGGCTTGCCAAAGCGAGCGATTGGATTGGCGATACCTTGAGACGAGGGCTTGAGTTTGACCTGCGGGTCGACGTCGACTCCATACGAGCACAAGTAATGGTCATTATGCACTGTATGCTACATTGCGAATGCTAGATATAAGTCTAGTGTTCGTGGAGTGATATGTGCAACAAGACAAAGTGAGGATCGAGAGACGGACATGCAGCGATGGCGAGAGGAGAGACATGATGCTGAAAGCAGATAATAAGAAACCAAGGAGAGAGAGGTTACAATTCCACCGTCAAGCAATAATAAGTAGGCGGAATCACGTAGAGATCATACCGAGGTCGCGTTCCCCGTCCGCCTCCGCGTTGCCGAAGATCTCCGTGAAGACTTCCTTCCCGTCCATACAAAGCGGCGGGAGCTGGTAGTCGACGGCGGCACGCTGGTCCCGCGCGTCCTTGATGCGCCGTAACCGCTCCTCGTTCCATATCCTCTCCAGCGTCTCCGCGAGGTTCATCAGTCCGAAGAGGAACCCGCGGTCCGGCTGGTCAGGATAGTGAGGAGGGAACCGCGCGTAGAGCAGACCGGTCTCCGGATCGACGTCCGCCTGGTAGCCCTTCCCACTCGTCACCTCTTCGGCGTCCCTGTCGGACAGCCCACCTGGAGGGTACGGCAGCCAGTCGCGGCCAGTCGTCGTGTGCGCAAAGTCGACGAGGCGGATCTGCATCTCGCCCCGTTTGCGGCGCCGACTGCTGCGCTCGGCGACGGGCCCGAGGAGAATGTCCTCACTGTGAGAGCGGCGCAAGAGCGGGTGTTCGGGCTTCCTCTCGGACGCCCGGCGCAGACGGCGCTCGAGGGACTCGCCGCGCTTCGTGCGGGCAGAGGGGTTCTCGAGCGTCGACGCACGGAACGCCTCCTGCGCATCGCGGTCGCCGTCGTAGATCATGAGGAGGCTGCAGCCGTAGAAGCGGTAGCCCTTGAGCCTGTGGATGATCCGTGCGAGGGCGTACAACTTGCGCAGGATTACGGGGATTTGATAGACGAGGAGGCGCTCGCCGTCGTGGAGGAAGGACGCCACGACACCTGGGAAGTCGTCCGGGCGGACCTCGCGACCCTTGTATTTGTCCTGCGTGACATACGATTGGTGACGTGGTTCCATACCTTCAAACACAATGCAACGGATCGTCAGCATCAGCTCACACCCTACCCACGGAAGTGGATTTGAAAACCAGATAACGGAGCTCGCGCGATCGAGATACACTACGGGTGACATACGATCGTGATCGCGAACCAGGGGTGCAGTGGCGTGCGAGACGGGCCAGTACAGTAGCAGTCCACTAGTGCGTATGGGGCTGCGGGGAACAAGGACAAGACGCTCACCTGCATGCCGCACACACGCACACCCAGCGCCCTGCTCGTCGTGCGGTCGCACTTCTTTCGCTGGCTCTTCTTCTTGACGGCGTCGCATCCATCCCATACTGCCGCGTCCCCATCTTCAGGTCGAGCACACACGAATGCTTCAGCCGCCCCGTCAGGTCCTCCATCAGGATGAAGTGGTTCTGGCGCGTCACCGACGGGTCCCGCCCTCTACCATCCGGGCTCGTCCGATGTACGCCCGGCATATGCGGTACGAAACGCTCGAGGGATCAGACGGGCGCAGCGTAGTCGATGATCGTGTCGGACCGCACGGCGAACGACGGCTCAGTGCCTGGCGATGGTCCCGGAACGTAGGCATTCGGCCCTCGCTGTCCTCAACCTGGTCGTACTCGAACGGGAACAAGTCCGGCGGGCTTCCATTCTGCTCAAGTCCGTTCGGATCGGTCCTGTCATGGCCCGCGAGCCTGTGCTCGCTCTGCACACGGCGCAGCGGTTGCCCAAGCAGGCTACCTCCTCGTAGCGCAACCGATCGACGCGCTAAGGCGCTTCTTCCGCCGGCCCTTGCCAATGCTGTCGCAGAACGGGTTCGACCCGTCTTCGGCCTCGCCATCTGCAAGCTCACCGTCATCGTCCGTGCGGCGCGAGTGCTGCCTCGTTATCCGCCGTAGCAGCGTGCTGAAGACATGGTCCTTGAACCTAGTGTTCACGACAGTGGAGCCCGTCCCGCCATAGAAGCCATTCGTATAGTTCACGTACGAAGCACGAGGCGACAGCGCCTGTGCGGCGATGGAGCGGTTCGGGATCACGCTGTTGTGCACCTGCGGCGAGTTCATAGGCGTCGGCGCGTCCGACGGATACTCCTGTATGCCCCTCGTCCGGCCCAACGAACTCGGGCCGGGCTTGGACCACGGCGACACTCCCGAGGCCAAATCCGGACTCGACGCGGTGTACCCACCAGATGCGGCGCGCGTAATCGCTGGTTCACGACTGGTCGCGGGAACGAGGACGCCGCGGAGTGCGACATGGCGCGACTCCGCCCGGCGCGGAGTAGCCACTGCGGGACGATGTGCCGGTTGTAGTCAGTGCGACCTCGGGTAGCTCTGCTTCGCTGACGTCGGTGTCGCCCTCGCCACGCGCGGAAGACGGCTGTGAGGACGTGCGCGATCGGTAGAGCTCCGACGCGGCCTTGTGGAGGGAGGTCGTGCGGGTTCGTGATGATCGTGCGAGCTCGCACGGAGATACCGTTGGAACCGCGCGGGACTCGCCGTAGCTGACGAGCATGACACCCAGGTAGCGGGGGATGAAGTCCAGCAACGGCGGTGCCTCCCGCTCGACGGACTCGTAGAACAAGTTCTCGCGAGATACGAGGGCTACAGGGAAGGAGCGGATACATTAGATCCATCCCAACATGAACGTGAGACAAGGTAAATTTCACGAACCTTGCACACGGCCCTCCTTGTGAACTTGTATATCGCGCTGTGCCCGCCAACCTGGTTGCGAAACGGCCGTAGCGGTATATGCGGCAGACTCTCTTGCGGGAAACTCAGCGCGAGATCATCCTGCGCACCGTTTGCCCCGCCCTCGCGCTGAGCTCCATATCGTCGTACGGCGAGAGGAGAGCGCGCTGGTGTTGTTCCTCATCCTCGTCGCTTGCATGCCGCACGAACGGCTGTGGTTGAGGACTCGTCCGGGAGGGCGACAACGGGAACGGAGACGAGGCTTCCGTCGTGGACGCAGTCGTGATCGACGCAGTGTCCCACGTACTCTCTTCGTCGGTGGACCAAGGAGAATGCGAAAGCACATCAGAGGCAACGGTAGGTGGTGGAGGCCGATCAGGTATGAGTATCCTCTCTTGGCCAGGGATAGGCGAGCATGACCGGTCCCGTGATGCTATACGCACGGGAGCAGAGACGGGATGGACGCTCAACGGGCGCGAAGGCGCCTGTATATCAAAGGAGATAGGTAGTGAACGGCTAGAGGAACGGGGTCGATTGATGGGAGAATGTGGATGGGAGCCTCTGGCGAGTATACTTCGTGGTAGGTGATGTTGGACGACAGGGACGAATCCGTCCCGGGAGAGCCGATGATAGCGTCTTCGGGAGGCTCGTCATGCCAAACAGGACGATCTCGCGGCCGTCCTCGGGCAATGTCTTCAGCAACGGTGTTCCGCCATTGCATAAGGTCATTCAGGACAGTGTCGCGCATCGATGGCTGCCGCCGCTTCGACCGCCGTGCCTCCGCATCGCGAGCACTGGACGTGGAACTCACGCTTTCTCGAGTCCTGACCCTCTCCATCGACAAACCGGTGACACTCTTCTCTCTGCGGAGCGCGCTCATTTCGCGGTCCGGCCAGTCGGAACGCTTGACGAACTCAAACTGGGCCTCCGCCATGTCCCCGATGAGATGCCCCGAGCTGGCTTTGCGTTTTGAGACGGGCGAACCTGGCCGGACGCGCTCAAATGGCTCCATGTCCTCGTTCGGGGGCGGGCCGCCGGTGGACTCCCTGAAGAGGTCCAAAGAGGCGGCGACCTTGCGCCCGATGCCAGAGACGGACGTCGAGGGCAGCATCTCCGGGTCCGAGCTCGGTGAGGAGCTTGAGACGGGGACGGGGAGCGGCGGGTCAGGGGTCGTGCGGACAATGGGAAGTCATGGAGAGCAAAGGATCTGAATTAGACATACGGTTTGCGGGAGGGTCAGAGCCCTGCCGCGGTCTGAAGCTCTGCGCATGTGCCGCTTGCGGGGGTGGGGGACGGATGTGAGTGCTTGGTCTCAGTGCCAGACCGCTGGACTCTGTCTCGCTATCATTGCGCCATGCCGCCTGGTTGTGAACCTTGGAGGAGAGGGTGCGTCGAGGCTTTGCACCGAGATGGAAGATGCGCTCCTTAGGAGGGCGCAAGGAGGAGGGCCCGGGGGGAGTGGCAGGGCTTGTCGGGGAGGGTCGCTGGGAGCGGGAGGGCTCTGGCGAGGTGGGACTCATATACTGGGAGAGTCAGATAGAGGCCGGGGGAAGTGACGAATGCGGGTGAGCGGAGGAGAGGCTGGAGATGAAACGGATGAGACGATGCGGGGGGACAGAAGAGGGAAGAGCGGGCGCTGGGAGATGGAGGAACGTTTTTGAGCGGGGAGGAGGAAGGGCTGATCATGCACGAGGACTCGGGGGATGATGTTTGTCGTCGCTGAGGAGAGTAACCGCGCACTTGTCGACTCTCAGCCAGCAGCGCGCGCCCGAAATGAAAGTTCTCACTGACGATATTCGAAGCCAGTCGCCCTCCTGTCCTCACACACGTGGGCCTCTGCTGACTCAGCACCCCGCCTTCGCCCGCCACAGCACCGACTCACCGCACTCAGCCTTCGCCCAGCGGGGCGCTGCACCACGCCCGCCGCGCGCACTTATCGCCCGCCATCGTCGGCCGCGCCCAACGTCGCCGCGCCCAGCAAGGGTAATCCGCTTATTGTTTTCCGCTCTCTAGAATCCAAACAGGCGTCATCAGCCGTGGGTGCGCCAACTGTACGCACGTTTGCACACCCATCCTCTCTGACCGCGGACGCATCCGGCGCACGTCGTGTCTCGCCTGCCCACCCGCGACGCATGCTCCCCGCAATGCGGCCTCCATCCGCTGCCTCCGCCTCCACCAATCATGGTAAGCACGTCTCCTTCCCCGGCTGACCAGCCCAGGCCTGTCGCGCTGTCACTCCCTCGAAGCCACCGCCGCACCTCCCGCCTGACTGGCCTCCAGGCCATCACCTGCTCGCGCGACGGTCGTCTGCCCGCTCGTCACACTACGTCTCCAGACTGCTTCACCCTCCTCGGCCGCGGCTCCCTCACCTTTAACGCATCTCCTCTCTTTCCCCGCGCATCCGCATCGTGGACCTTGACGTATTCGTTGCCCACGACCTACCCCAGGCCGATAAGCCTCACCATCCCCGGGCGTTCTCGGCTCAATAGGCTCTGCGAACTCAATCGTGGAAGAACCGTGCGCTTCCGCCCCGCGTCTTCATACAACGCCCCTTCCGTTATTTGCGCCTTCCACTGGCGTCAGCGCTACGTCAATGCGGTACAGGCGACCTACGCGAAAGTCTGTCTTATGACCGTGAGTGCGTCCTCCTCTGCGCTGCATCCTTGCTCTCATTTAAACAGTCCGGTGACCGAGTTCTGCGCCGTTCCCACTCGCGCACAGTACGTACAGCTGTCCCCGGCCGGCGAATCTGATAACCTCGCCGTGCTCTCCTGGTATCGCGCGCTACTCCTTGATAGTGGGCGTGGGCAGCGGCTCGAACTCACTCAACAGCTGCCGCAAACGTTTCTCGCGAAGCCCGTGGGGAACGGGATGCCCTTTCCCTCGTACGACAAAGGCCGGCAGCGAAGCGTGCGACTCAAATACGAGTGATTGCGCCGTCTTCGCTGTCTGCGACGTCCATCGCCTTCGCACACCATCCTCCCACCGCCCGTCAAACGTTCAAATGTCTAAACCGCCACTCGACCAACAACCATCGAATTGCACATCGAATTGCATTCGCAGCCTAAACGGGCGACGAACGTTGCTCCCGAGGGAGTGGAACCTTTGGTGTGTCCCCCGACTGCGCAGTTCACGGACATTGACCCCGGTCATCATACGAACATCGGTGGTTTTGTCGTGGTGGCAACCCGGAGTCGGCCTCTGTCGTGATCTTGATGTCCGAGTTCTGGATCCTGGCGCGAGCGTGTGTTGCGCACGTTGATTAGCACTTAAGATTGGGTGGGAATCATACCTGAGGGAAATACATGAAACATTTGAGATGAACTATTCTCATGGCATGTAGCTTCTCTATACGGAGTTACAATAAGTATGTAACATATTGTCAAGTTATGGGGTCCAATGGAAGTCATTCCTCTAGGGCTGGCTTTGGCCAATGTGAGACAAGGTGATTACTAAGCAGCACAGCATTAGATCAGGTGAGATGTCATGCTGAACAAGCCAATGAGATTTTTTCCACGAGTGGTGCCACTTTGTTTGGCGTTGTTTGGCACAGATCACTATATAAGGAGTGCTTGATGACCCACTGTGTCCCCTTCCCTCTCTTCAGTCAACCACCACCATCAAACTTTGTCCACACAGCCACTCTTACATGTCTGTCTACACACAGTACATACAACCTCAGGGTCACCTTAACAACGTCACCGCTGATGGTATGCATAATCTCTTTGTTGATCATCATTCATATTTGAAAATATGCTCTTAACAGAAGGATATCTCTCAGGTAGTGACAGAGCATCTGTAGAGCTCATGCACAGCAACAACACTACCTGTGTAGCACAACCTGTCAACATGCCTATCCCATGTTTATCCCAGCCCTCCCTTCCTGTCACATCCAATATTGCATTTGCTCCTAGGCCAGGGAGTCTGCCTGTGGGTCACCTCAACCTCTCCCAATCCTCTAGAATACCCTGTCTCACTCTGCTACAGCAGTCTACCATCATTGCCTTCAATCTGCGCCACATCAGGCCTCCTCCTCCTCTTCCTCCCATCCCCACCAGCCCCCATGTTCCTTCCTTTGATACAGAATCAGCCAGTGGCAGCGATGCCATGGACTTACCGTCCTGGACGGTGTATGACCCTGCCCTAGAACATGCCATCTTTGATTCTGACGGGGAGGAGAATGCTATGGATGGTATTCAAGAGGACACCATTGATGAGCTCACCGAGGATCCCATGGATGAGGATGATTTTGGACACACAGATCAGTTGTCTGAGCACATCATGCCTCAGGTTACTGCCATAGAGCATCTCTCTAGTCCAGAACCTCCTGCTCACCCCATCACTGCACCATCCCATGCCTCAGTCACTCCATCTCCAGCCAACCTCCCTGCACAGCAACCTCGTACCATCACACACACATTTCCAAGGCCTCGCGAGTCAAGAGTCCTGAGGTCTCTTCATGGTCTTGGTGCCAAGATTGGAGAAGAATGGGCCAAAGCAATCAACAATTATGTTGAGCTGCTCACCCAATCACCTATTATGGCAAACAATCGCAAAGCCAAGAAAGTTTTTCTGAAGGCGAAGTGGGCCATGGGGGAGATGGAGGAAGCGCGGAACATTGTAAAACCCATTATCCTCATTGTATGTACTCGTATACTTTGTCTTCCTCATTGCATTGTACTGATATGTTCTCTTTCTCGCAGGATTCCGGCGCTGCCGCCGCTGTTGGGGATTTCTCTGACTGCCTGACGCACACGGGTTGGAATGACGACGCGATCGCGCTCTGGACGAAGGCCGTCCACCTCGCCGAGTTCTGGCGCCACCGTTTCCTTCCGAACCAGTGACGAGCACGACGAAGTCCCGTCGCACGCTATCGCGACGAGCGAACACCGACGTAGACACCGACCAAGGAAACAACTTACCGACAAACCTCATATGCTATATGTACCTAGCGCGACCAGAACCGCGCCGAGAACGCGGCCGCGGGCGGAGGCGGAGGGAAGGTCAAGGTGGGAGGGAAGAAAGGGATGCGACGAAAGGACGCCCACATCCAAGCTGGCTGGGCTGTGTGGGCGCGTAGTGTTGCCAACCGCACGGTGTCAAACCCTAATGCCTGTCACGTTTGTACCATTATTATGCAGAATGCAATTGACATGCCAAACCTGTGCTCGTGCGCGGTCCCGAGTATCGAGTGTCCACACGGAGATGAATGAACGTTGGGTGACGAGGACGTACGATGAATGTACCGCCCACGCTCCAGCGCGGGTCGATGAATTGCGGTCATGGGCCCAGAACTAGTAATGATACAATACTATACCGATAACTCTATCCATGACAATACATAATCGTCTGGCGGTAGACGGGAACGTGTAGGGGAACGTGACCTGCGCTGAGTCCTGCTGATAGTGTCTGAGGCACGAAGTGGAACAGATGAGCCTGAATTGCGCTGGTCTCCGGGATCATGGAGGGAGCGGAGGTGCGTCGAGACGCCGACGCTTTGCTGCCGGACCCTCGTCCGTGTCATCGTCGTCGTCGATCACCACAATCGGTGACGGTGCCGATTCCGGCGCAGGGGTAGGTGGTCCTGGTGCAGAGGGCGACGCTTGAGCGGAGCGGTCGGGGCCGGCATTGGCGATGTATGTCCAGGAGAGCTGAGACCCCGTGGTGCGAGCGGCGCTGTCGTGAACGGGCCAGAGCTGTAATTGCAGCGCCTGCTGCTACTCCAGCCCCAGTCGCCGCACCCTTTGCCTTCTTCGGCTTGCCGCGCCCCCGCGCACGCCCACCCTCGGCTTTGAGCTTCTCCTTGTAGTAGCGCACGATGTAGCTCTGCAAAATCTCAAGCGCCTTCTGCGCACCGAGCGCTTCCAGATCCTTGAGGTGCTCTGGGGTCAGGTGAGAGAAGATCTCGGGGTTGAGGATGAGCGAATTGTCGTGCAGGACGATGGGCTTCGGAGGGGCAGCCGGGCCGGTAGATGTGGAAGACTGTGGAACATGGCCGACGATGATAGGTATGCAGACGGTGGCGGGGATAGCAGGAGCGCTAGACGGTGTGACAGAGGAAGACGAAGGAGGATTCGCAGTGGGTAAGGCGGACGATGTCGGAGCACGTACTGGCGCCGACGGTGGGGATACCTGCGAGACCATCGTGGGTGCAGTGGACATCTCTAGTATCTGTGTTGGTTCGAACTTCACCTCAGGAGCGGGCGATGGTTCGAGCTTGACAACAGATGCGGACGAAGATGCGTGAAGAGATGCTGCAGTCGGAGGATATACATGAGGTGTCGACGTCGAGTTCGTCTTGAATACCAGCGGTGCCGACGTGAGTGGCGGTGGGAGAGGCCCCTTGACATCTCCCTTCACGCTTCTCTTGAACAACGGCTCCAGTGAGGCAGTATTCTTTCCCTTCTTACCTGAGGGTTTGCCGTCCTTACCGCCAGTGCTGGCGGCCGCGGCCGCTGCCTGCCTTCGTGCATCTTGTTCCTCGAAGCTATGCTCGAAGGCCTCGTCGACCAGCCAGAGAGCTCCCTTCCCCTTCTCTTCCTTGCCTCGCAATACTTTCTTGAAGCCAGGATTCGACGAGAGGTTATGTCGAACGGAGCTCTGCAACCATCACAACATTGAGATCGAACAGCGTATATCAGGGAAACTACGTACCTCCCAATCTTTGGCACAGTACTTGTACCAGTCGAACGTCTCGCGAACCCATTGACAAATCTCTTGCAATGACGCCTTTCCCCCCAAAGCCTTGATAGCTCGATAGCACAACTGAGCGTACGTAAATGGTGGCTTCGGAGGCATAATCTCTGGAGGAGGCGGAGGCGGCGGGAGAGCGTCCGACTTCTTCCGTTTCTTCGCATTCGTCTTGAATTTACTGATATTATTGGAGTTTGGTAACGATGCCTCCGATAATGGGGGTATCTTAGCAGGTAATGGCGAAGATACAGGGGCCGGAGGTGGCGGTGAGCATGGCGGGATAGAGGACGGCGGTGAGATAGAGGTGACGTCGACGATGTCGAGAGAGGGAGACCGCGAGCGGGCACGGTTGTCAGAGGAATGAGAACTCGGTGACGGAGAGTCCTCGGGCGCAGGAGGAGGCGGAAGGATGAAGTGGAAGGTCCGGGAGGCAATTTGAATCTGTGATCTGTAGTACAGCGGGCGATGAGGCTTCTTCAACACTGGGCACATAGCTGTGCAGGCGCACCTATCGTTGAGCGGGACCTTGCTGCCACTTCCCGACCAGACACCGTCTACCCAGGCTCCGTTGCGTCCGATGACAATAAGCACGAAGCGCTCCTCTTCTTCTTCATATTCAATCTTGGCATGAAGACGAGACACGCTCTTCAGAGCACCGAGGTCGACGTCGACCTGAGGGTTGTCGGACGAGGATGCAGTGTTGAGAGGGATGCAACGCCGACCAATCGTGACATTGAGAGTCTGGAGATAGTAGGTGAAGCTGGGGAAGACGAGGCTATAGTATGCGCTGATCTTGGCGGGGAGGGCATCCTGCTCCGGGGAGAGGGAGGCAGGGTCGCGGGGGGTATCCTGGGAGTGAGCTACGAGGGTGGCCATGGCGAGTGGAGGGCGCAGAACGTCGAGGACGCGTTGGAGTCAAACACGGCCCACTTGGGCGTGACAGCGTCCTCCCCACCGGCAAGCGCCGGCCTCCCTTTTCCGGTCACCGTGGCTCGCCGGCGCGCTGCACCATCCTCGGCTCCCTGACGTCCTCCTTCCTCGTCTGCATTTCCTGTAGCACTACCCACCATGTCCTCACCCATAGAGCCCGTAGAGGAGAAGGCCAAGCAAGAGCTCGAAAGCCTTGTCGACCGCGACGTCGACTCAACCGACTCCGACGTCCGGTACATGGCGTACGGTGCACGTCTCCGGACTGTCTTACGCGCCGGGCAGCGTTACATCGCCTATGTACGTGTCCTTCTTACACTATGGCATTGGACAGCGATAGATTTACACCAGACCAGTGATGTTGGAGAAGCATTTCGCCCAGTCGTACCACCAGCAGTCGTGACGGCTGCCTATGGTATTTCTTGGTTGTACCTCGGCGGGTGAGTCGCGCCTTTCCTCCCCTATTGACTCTTGCTGATTTCGGTTTGCGCTCCCAAGAGACGTTGCATATGAGGCGTACAAGGCACACCGGAGAGGGCCGTCTCCTTTGGAGGCAGCACATTTCTCTGAGCCGACCAGAATTGGCATGGTCGCCGTGAAACGCGCCACCTTCCAGTCTATCGCGTCCATGTGAGCACTCTCTCATTTTGTCTGCCTTACAAAACCCCTAAACGTAACTCAGGGCACTCCCGGCCTTCACCATTCACACTGCCGTGCATCAGGCGAAAAAGGCCTTTGCGAACGCGAAGAACCCGCGTGTCAAGACGTGGGGCCCAACCGCGACCGGTCTCGCCATCGTACCAATCTTGCCCTATCTATTTGACAAGCCTGTAGAGCACGCGACAGACGCTGCATTCGAATGGATAGAGAAGCAGATCTATGAGCGGGAGAACAAGGCGTGATTGAATGGGTCGGGATAGTTAACTACTGTACTGCTTTCGTTTAGACCTATCCTTCTTGCTGATAATGCGTCCGTGATGACTGGCTGACGGTAGACACCAGACAGTAATACAATCTACATTGATACAATATCAGGCAATTTGACTGCTATACACTAATTGCTGCCGATCGTACAACGAATGAGATGACTACGTACAGACAACTACCGAATACCTAGCGGATGATACGATATGAGTAGATAGCGTGCAAGAACCGTCCTGGTGGGAGCAAATGCGAGGGATGTCAATGCGCGAACAAAAGGATGCGACGATGCGATGCTAGATGATAACGTAGGTCGACGAGCGAAACGCGGATGCAGCGCGAACCGGGAGAATTAGAGGAGGCGGCCTAACGCGAGTGGTATCGAACTGATCGAATTCGGCGGGATAACGCCGACTTCGGTGACGACAGCCGTTATGCAGGTCGGCGGAGTAAGGTCGTATAATGGATTGAGAATCTCCAGGTTCGGTCGATTCTGGAGAGTCAAAGCTTCACGCGGCTTTGTCAGTGGAAACGATGAGAACAAGTCGCCGGTTGGGGCTAAACAATCCAGCGACGGTCAGTCAACACGAATCAACGCCAACGGTCTCGGTGACATACCTAACTCGTTCTTTGTGAAACTATCTAATTGTACCTCCTCGGAATACTTGTACGTTTCGCAGCACACAACAACCGGGACGGAGTGCTGCCTCGCCATCATCGCGACTAGAGCAGTCCCGGCCCTTGAAAAGACTGAACCGTTTGCGTGGATCGAGTGCGCCCCCACAAGAACCATCGAGACTTCATTGATGATGGATCCGAGGGCGGGCAAAAGCAGATATGTGCACTGGATACCGGCAGTGGACAGCACAGAGAGTAGCCGTTTACCTTTGGACAGACGTCAGCAATCAGTCGCTGGCGTCTTGACTCCAAGACTCACCCTCTAACATGGGTCTTGAGTCGACCACGATGACGGAGAAATCGCGACCTTCCTCGTGTGCGCCGAGAAGGACCTTCTCGACTATAGATGATCTACGATGCGTCTAAGCGCTACTATGACATACTGAATGAACGAAAGCCTACCTTGCGTAAGTGAGTACAACGTCCCCGTCCTTGATCTTGCTTCCTGCAGTCTCCTCAATTACTTGATCGGCGAAGATAATCCGATCCCGGATGTAGTTGTCTATCTTGCGACACAGTGCGTCTTTCGCCTGAGACGACCACAGTGAGCACTCGGACATACCCAGACGGCCGAAGATCGACTCACATCCTGCTCAGGCAAGTCTATATCTGAACCGCTGATCTCTAGCTTCAGCTGGCGGATAGCATTTCCCATTGTGACCGACATAGGTCTGGCTGCAACGAGGTGGCTAATTTGAGGCGACAGATGCGTCATGAGATGTCGCGAAAGAGTATTATTCGGGGGTGTGGTGTAGTCTTGGATGACCTGCAATGGAATGTTTAATTCAGACGACCACGTAATTATACGGAATGAGAACTCACCGTCTTGAAAGCAGTCAAAGTAGCGATGCAGCGTGCATTCGCGCCAGCGATCTTGAAGTTCGCGAATTGCAGCGCGAGCCGTACTATGGTCGGGTGTATCTCACCCTTGGCGGCACTGACGGGTTTGGGCAGCCCGAAGTGTGCGAATATCCGGAGGCCGCGCGCCTTCTCCGTCGACGCGTCGGGTATGGTGGTGGGCACGGCCTTCGGGTCCTTGACTCTGTTCACAGATTGCGAACGGGGTCGTGCAGGTGCCTCGGGAGGCTTTGCTCCCTTCTTTGGGGCTGAAGAATTGGAGGTTGAGGCTGTAGAGCCCTGCTTTGCGTTGTTAGGCACTTTGCCGTTGACACCATTGACAGCCCCGGTTTGTTTGGCAGCTTTGGCAGCCCGTTGTTTCTCCTGTAGCTCGCGCCGCTCAGCCTTGGTCATTTGCTTCTGGGCTTTCTGCTGCCCGACGTGGGCGAGGTCGCCGTTAGGCGGCTGGATCTGGGTGTCCAGAGTGGGGGCGGGCGACATGGTGGGTGCGGAAAAGACAGAGGCTGAGAAGGAACGGGCCGACGGGCTGAGCAGATATGTTTTGTCGAGACTGGGATTGGAGAGTGACTCGAGTCATACACAAGGCGCGTTCTCGATCGCCACCCGCGTGACCGTGTGAGCGTTACGTGAGAGCCATTGGCGCATCCTCCGATCCCTCAGCCGACCGTAAACGCTGCTTGTCGCTCGACGTGCTCGACGACGCTCTCCACCATCTTAGCCAGCTCAGGGCTGCGGGCTTCACAACCTCACGTCTGGTACATATACATTCGTTGTAATTGAATCATGGTGCGTTTCTCGCCATCCCTTTCCAGCGATTTGGCTAAAGCCTCCTTCAGGGTGTTCCGGCGTTGTTTCGCTGGCTCAGTAAAAAGTACCCGAAGATCAGTGAGTCCATGCAGTTGGCTATGTCTCGCTCAGCGTGCTTACCCATGGTGAACAGTTCTACCTGTGGTTGAAGAAGACGAAGTGAAGGTTCCGGATGGCGACGGCAATGAGGTCGCTGTGCCCGTCGACATGTCCCGGCCGAACCCCAACGAGGTGGAGTTCGACAACCTCTACCTTGATATGAATGGAATCGTAAGTTCTCTCGCCCCTGCTGATGTCTCCGTATTCATGCTAGGTAGGTTCACCCGTGTACACATCCCGAGGGCAAGGTGAGTATATGCTGCGTCGCCTCAAACTGCGCATTGACGCCGTCACATCACAGCCTGCCCCCGAGACGGAGGAGGAAATGATGCTAGAGGTATTCAAGTACACTGAACGAGTGGTCAACATGGTCCGTCCGCGCAAACTGCTCTTCATGGCTATCGACGGTGTTGCGCCGCGAGCGAAGATGAATCAGCAAAGGTCTCGCCGTTTCCGGTCTGCTCAGGAGGCAAAGGAGAAAGAGGAGGCCCGAAAGGAGTCAGTTGCCATGTGGGAAGGTATGAAGGTTGACCGATGCTTGACGGCCATGCTGAACTCACACTCTGCTAGCCATGGGTAAGACACTTAGCGAGGAAGAAAAGAACAAGAAGTCGTGGGACTCGAACGCCATTACTCCGGGCACTCCATTCATGGACCTACTCGCCAATGCTCTGCGTTACTGGGTAGTGCAGAAAATGAACACTGACCCGGGTTGGAAAGAGGTGATGTTCTCGCTCGTTGCGACCTGAAAACCCAACTGATGTTTTGTGCAGGTGCAAGTTATTATTTCTGATGCCGGTGTACCCGGCGAAGGCGAACACAAGATCATGGACTTCATACGCCGTCAACGGTCAAACCCTGGTCATGACCCGAATACTCGACACGTAATTTACGGACTGGTAGGCGTCTACTACGACTGCACCATCTGCAGATGCTCACCACCAGCTTTAGGACGCGGATCTGATCATGCTTTCCTTAGCCACTCACGAGCCACATTTTAGGGTGTTGCGAGAAGATGTGTTCTCTCAATCTGGGAGTGCGACTGCTTGCCGGATCTGTGGCCAAGAAGGGCATTACGCCGCTCAATGTACGGGTACCAAGGCAGAGGTGGAAAAGAAACCTGTCGAGAAGAAGCCATTCATCTTCCTCGACGTCGCCATTCTGCGCGAGTATCTGGAAGCAGAGCTTCGCGTGTCGAACGCACCCTTTCCGTTCAACTTAGAACAGGCCATTGATGATTGGGTCTTCCTCATCTTCTTTGTCGGGAATGATTTCCTGCCTCATTTGCCATCACTTGAGATCAGGGAAGGTGCGATCGATACACTGCTCAAAATCTGGAGAGAAGAGCTCCCGCGAATGGGCGGTTATCTGACCAATCATGGTCAAGTCGAGCTATCGAGAGCAGAGATTATCCTCGAAGGTCTCGCTAAGAGAGAAGATGACATCTTCCGGCGGCGACGTGAATGTATGTGCTTGTACCTCATAGACTTACACGTGTTCACTGACTCGCCAACTTTAGCTGAGGAACGTCAGGACCAGAATGCCAAACGTCGTAAAATCGAAAAGGACATGGTTCTCAACGGCACCGGGCCGTCGGCTTCGTTGAATCTCACCGCCACACCTACCGCACCTGCTGCGCCTTCCACTCCCATGCACCATCCGCTCCCTCCTAAACCCACAAACTCAGACAGCATTGGCTTGGGCGGGCCAAAGACCTCGGAGTCTGCTTTGCATGCCCCCACAGCCGCCCAAGCGTTGGCCGGCTCGAATCGTGATGTCGTCGCGAATAGACGTGCTATTCGCATGGCCAACATGAGTGCTGCTGAGATGCTGAAGGCTGAACTTGCCGGCCTGCAGCCGCTGAAACCCAAGTCGACGAAGTCGACAACTACTCCTGCTGCCATCACGAAACCTGATACTGCCACGCGCGCCACTTCTGTCTCTGTCCCTGCCGCTGCGCCTGCGTCCCTGCCCACCCAGCCTGAGGTGAAGGTTGACGAGGAGGACGTTCCTGGTCTGGGCGCGTCTGCTAGCCCGGAATTCGAGCTCGATCCTGCCACTGTCCCGAATAGCGAGACGCTCGCGCAAAGTGATGAGATGGATGCTGACGGCATCCCAGACTCATCTGTCCAGTCGGAGGAGTTCGCCATGTCAGTTGATGATGATGGCCCTCGAGGTACCAAACGTAGTATTGATGAGGCGGAGGCGGACGAAGAGCCTGAGGGGCTTGGAGATGACGATGACGAAGACGAGGCACCGGCTTCCACGTCCTTGACTCTGAAGGTCAACCCTGATGGGACAGTAGAACAGGAGGATGTTGTAAAGTGAGTTTGTCAACGGCACCCGTCCGGTCATGCCCTCATCTTCTATTGCAGACTCTGGGAACCTGGCTATAAGGAACGGTACTACCGCCAGAAGTTCGGCGTCGAGCATAACGATGCCAAGTTTAAGAAAGAGTAAGGCTGCACTTCTTGACGTTCAAGTGGTGATCTCACCGCCCCACTAGCATCACGACTCGGTACATGGAAGGGCTAGCCTGGGTCCTGCAGTACTACTACCAAGGGGTGCGTTGTCGTGGCAAGCTACTCTGACTGGTACTGACCTTGGATCTTCATGTATAGACGCCCTCCTGGACATGGTATTACCCTTACCATTTCGCGCCCTTCGCAGCCGATTTCGAGGATATCAGAACTATGAATATGGACTTCAACCTCGGTCAGCCGTTCAAGCCCTTCGAGCAGTTGATGGGTGTTTTCCCTGCCGCTAGGTGAGTATTTACTGTCTCGTGGGTCATCCTGCCTCTGACAGGAGCCGACAGTCGACAGCACATCCCTGAGGCGTTCCAGCACCTCATGACAGAGGAGACATCGCCCATCATTGATTTCTACCCTCCCAGCTTCCAGGTCGATATGAACGGCAAGAGGATGCTCTGGCAGGGCGTTGCACTGCTTCCCTTCATTGATGAGAAGCGTTTGCTCGACGCCATGGCTGACCACTATTCTAAGATCACCGACGATGAGAAGCGCCGCAACCGATGGGGAAATGATGTCCTCTTCGTGTTCGAGGAGCACCCATTGTATACATCACTCGAGGCATTGTACGGCAAACGCAACAAAGACGAGGTCAGTCTCATGATATCTATGTATTGGCTCATATTAATGCAGATCCACTTACAGCCCATGCCGATCAATGTCGACGCGAGCAAGGGAATCAGCGGCAGTTTACTCCCGAATCCCGACTGCATCCCGGGATCGCATTATTACAGCCCCTTCGCCACCGTAGACTTGCCCGACATCAAGGGCGACCGATCGCTCTCTGCTGTCTACTTGTTCCCTAAACAGTTAACGCCGCATCGTTCTGTTTTGCTTCCTGGTGTCCGTCGGCCACGACCTATCCTTACAGAAGAGACCGGGAATCCGCGAAACGGGGCGGCCGCGGTCGCGGACGGGGCGGATATGATAACCGTGCTACTCTGCGTGGGGCATCCTATGGTTCCAATGGCCGTGGCCGTGACTATGGTGGACGCAACGACTACCGCGACGGGTCTTCGTATCGCCAACAATCGCACCAAGGCAACTGGTCAAATGGCCCGTCATCGTATCCTCCTGTTCAGTCATACTCGAACATGTCGTACAACTCTCGCACAACTCTCGCGGGACAACTCTCGCGGGGACAACTCTCGCGGGGATTCTATCAATGGCTACGGGGCCCCCCGAGGCAGAGGTGGGTCTAGGGGCCGTGGCGGGTACGAATCGGGTAATTCGTATGGGGGATCCTACGGCAACGGTGGAGGCTACGGAGCAGCGAACAGCCGAGGCGGCGGTTTTGGAGGCGGCGGCGGTTTCGGTGGTGGTAGAGGAGGATACGGAGGGTACGGGGGAGGCGGTGGCGGCGGTGGTGGAGGATATGGCGGTTATGGCGGCGGCGGCGGTTCTCCTGCTCAGAGCGGCTACGCCAGAGGAGGCTATGGGCTATGGCGGTGGCGGCGGTGGCTACGGAGGTGCACCGCAGAATGGGTATGATTCATACGGCGGCGGCGGCGGTTACAACGCCCGTGGAAACGGGTACAACTCGCGCGGGAGGGGAAGAGGATACTGAGCTATTGAGCTCAGCTTCATCGCTGGCGCATGTCTATTATTAACCTATTGACGGCGGAGGATGCACGCAGTATATGGGACTTCCGTGTAACATACATGACATTGTTATTGTGTAGCGTTCGATATATACATGTCATCATTCTGGTAGCCTCAGGCGGAGAGCGAGAGCAGTGAGACAGCTTGAGACCTGAATACATACATAGCAGCTGCACGATACACATGGCAAACCAATCGCTTCACTATGACGGATACAACATGACACCTTCCCTCCATGGAAACCTACATTTGCGGACCCAGACCACCCTCTCGTGGGGAAGTGCAGGTGAGATACAGGGAGTACTTCCTCTCGAGCTCCCGCAGCTTGGCACGTCTCTTCTTCTCCCTCTTCCTCATTTTCTTCTCGGCCTTCCGCTCGCGCCTGAGCGTCTCGCCTCGCGGAGCTCTGCCATCTGGCTATCGACCTGACGGCCGTAAACGCCTCCATACGCGTTCCCATACCTGTACCTGTCGTCACGATCGTCTTCGGACGAATCGTCGTCGTCGTCGTCAGATGAGTCGAGTTCGTCAGAGTCGGGGTCGTAGGTATCGAAGCCGGGAAGGTGGAGGTCGACGGTGCCGACGCCGCGCCCGGAGCGCCGCTCACGGCCCTTGTAGAGCACGACTTCGACGCCGCGACGCCCGAAGAACGAGGCGTTCCAGAGGTCGATGAGGTCTGCGGTCAGGGTGCCCCTCTTCGGCGGCCGACCGTCTGACGAGTATTCGGGCACCGGCAGGCGTCCCGACCAAGCCATGGCGAGATCCTAGACTCATGTCAGCTATCGCTCGCGCTATGGAAAGGCAGAGCAGTCTCACATTCATGAAGCGAATCCAATCCTCGTGGTAGACGTCGTGCGGGACCAACACCAAGGGCATGCGGGGTATCACCTCCAGAAATCATCCATCTCCTGGATCTTCATCATCTCGAAGTGGGTATACGGCTGCGCCAGGTTGGGGGGACGCGAGAAGCCCTCCGGCGCGGAGAGCATCTGCTGCGCCTGCTCGCCAGGCATCAGCGGCATCCTGGGGGACGCGGGCCCGCCGTACCCTCCAGGCTGCGAACCGTACCCTCCCGGCTGCGCGCCGTAGCCAGGGGTGCTGTACGCGGACGTGTTCATGCCGGGGTAGCTCGAGGTAGGCGGGGCGGCGCCGTAACCAGGGGCGGGGCTAGGGGCGCGGGAGCCTCCCCGGCGCATGGGCTGGCCTTCCATGACGTGGCCTCGAGGGTAGACGTCCATGCCGGGCCGCGGGGAGGCGGTGCGCTGCATGCCAGGCTGGTAGGGCGACACGGGGCGCGCCATCGGCATCGGGTTCTGGTACGGGGACACGGGGCGCGCCATCGGGTTCTGATATGGGGACACGGGGCGAGGGATGGCTCCTGGCAGGTACGGGGACACGGGGCGAGGCAGCGGGCCTGCCTGGTAAGGAGACACGGGGCGCGCGATGGGTATAGCCTCGCCAGGGCGAGGCGAAGGAGGAGGGTAGGTCGACGACCTGCCGTACTGCGCAGCGTATCCAGGTTGCCCGTACGTGGCGGCTGGGCTGCCGCCGTACCCGGCGGGCGCAGGAGAAGGATACGCGCCAGGCGGCGAAGGGTACGCAGGACCGCCCGGGGCCGCTTGGTATCCCGAGGGCGGGCGGTCCCCGCCATAGAACGAGCCGCGGCGGGAGCGCGTGCCGACGCCGTTCCTGCGGTCCCCTTCGTACTCGCGCTCGCGCTCGCGCGCACGGTCGAGCTCGAGGTCCTGGAAGCGGCGCTCCAGATCGGCGGTGGCGCCGTATGCGGGGGCGGGGTAGGCACCGCCGTAGCCCCCGTTGAGGCTGGGACGGCGGCTGCGGCTGCGCTCACGCTCGACGCGGCCGTCCTTTTCGCGCGCACGCCGGAGGTCGCGGTCTTCGCGCCCCCGCTCGCGTTCGCGCCGGTCTTCCTTCTTGCGCCTCCTCTCTTCCTCGCGTTGCCTGTGAGATGATGTCAGCGCAAGCGTGCAGGCGATAGTAGGGAGACATTGACCAATCCCTCATGGCACCGCCGTCAGGCTGGATCTGTCCGCGATTGAAGGACGCCATGAACTCCTGCGATGGCAGACGTCCACGAGATGAGTACGTTAGTGTTGAGGATCGCAAAGTAGACAACGCACCGCATTAGCGGGGACTGCCCCGGTAGGCACTACCTGCGTAGCTTCCGCCGGTACCCATTGGATGCCACTGACGACGCCTTGCGGTGTTTGATAGCTGCAGCAAACGACGTTGAGAGTGCTATACGACTACGAGGGCTCTGTACGGGAACACACCTTGCTGCGACGGCTCTAGTGTGCGAAGCGGAAGAGGATCGCGATCAGCGATCGTGCAGACAGACGATCGCAGGCGGGACAAGACTCACTTGAAGGGGTGGTAGACGACCTGGCCGTTCGCACCCACCGTCGTCGTGTACGTGATGGAGCCAGGCTGGATCGTCGCCGCGGGCTGTGGGCTGCCGGGCACCTGGAACGGCGTGCCCGGCTGCATGAGAGGCGACGACGCCCCGGGGAAGGGCACGGTGGTGTAGGACATGCTCGCTGCTCACGAACGACGGGGCGCTCGACCTGCTCGCTGCTCTGAGGGGATGTCTGGTCCAGCAGACGGGGGATCGATGTGGGCGAGAGGTGATGTTGGGCGATGGCTATCTACGCCCGCAGTGCTATATTCTCAGATGGTGGTACACGTTCCCGGCGCCATCATCTCGCTGCATCGTGTACGGCAAGATCCCGCTGCCCCGGACTCGACAGATATCCCCTGGCGTGCCGCTCGCGCTGCGTCAGGCCACACAATGCATGCTATAGCCGAGGGGTACGCGAGTGCTACCGCGGAACGCAGCCGCTACATGTGTCCGTAGAAGAAGTGCGGGAAATGACGAAAGGAGCGGAGGGAATGCAACGAGGACGGCAGAAGCCAATAAGACAATGCTGAATGGAGTGTAACCGAACAAGACCTCATGAGAATCTCCACCACAGCAGGATGATCAGAATGAAGACGATTGCGCCTATTGGCGCGTACTGCCGCAGCATTGCCTGGATGTTGATGTTCCGCGCAGCTTTACGGTACTTTTCTGATTCGGACCGGAGAGAAGTTGAGAGATGTGACATTCCTGGGGAGCGGAATGCGTCACGACAGCGAACATGTAGGCCATGGGATCGCACATACTGTCTAGTGAGTCTCCTCTCCAGAGTAGCTCCTCCATGTTCTTGGTCATGATACGTGTCACGTCCTGTAGGTCGTCGTTGAGCTTGTCTAGGTGGGAGCTACCTGCTGCGTTCGCTGTCCGGGTGTCTTGGTATAGCCGAGCTGTCTTCCCCATGAAGGTATCTGAGGGAACAGCGTTGAATCCCACATATTGCACATCCGTACGACAATCCTCACCGAATCCTACAAACGCGTACGGTTTTCGGACTGTTTCTACCTTGGCCCCATATGACGTCGCAAACTCCTTCGACAGCTCATCGAGGTAGGAGAAGGCCAGCTTCCGAGGATACGACTTGTCGGCGATGACGAGGTACACCACGTTGTCAGCAATCAGGTAGCTAGCGCGACCGCGATTGTGAGACAGTTACGCTGAAGGAGGACAGCTCTGGACACGTACTGGAGCGTGTACTGGCCGCTCTCGATCGAACACCTGGGTTCAGCGTTGGGTGTTATCCGTCGGAAGATGAGTTTGGCTTGCTGCTTGTGCTCTTGAAGCGCACGTTCTGTCTGCGGAGCAGTCGATTCCAGAACTGACCGAGGCGTTAATGACGGGCAGGGAGGCTCACCTGCTCGTCGTCCACGCTTGCAGCCAGTGGGAGCGCGTCCGACGCTCGTACAATGAGTGTCGACTTGACCATGTCTTATAGTGGTGGTTCTCAGACTGGTCTAACGATGTTTGCTGAGGGTTGATGGTCGCGGGACGGCGTGCAGTGGCGATGGGGAGGAGGTCGTCCAGTGTCGATGGGCGCCTCTGGAGCCGGTACGTGTTACGGGCTAGACGCTCACGTGTGCAGAGACCCTAACCCCAGCTCGGGGATGGGCGGGTCCCGAGATGCAATGTCATGCATATTTAAGTGCGGAGGGCTTCTTGCCGGGGTCTGTTTCACAGCCGTCCTCTCCCCTCTTCGTCCCGCCCGTCATCATGCCCTCCAACCTCTTCAACCTCAAGAAACAGGTCAGTCACATCCCCCTGCACAGCGATCGTCCTGACCACCGCCGCCGACATAGCTCACGTTCTATGGCGCCTACCACGCCAACCCGGTCAACATAACCATCCACGAAGTATGCGTCCCGGTCCTCCTCTGGTACGTCCGCCGCGTTGTTCTCCCACTTTGGTGATTTTGCTAACTCTCTCTTCGGCTATGCAGGACGTTTCAAGTGCTCGCGAGCGCCCTTCCAGTGCCCGACTCCTTCCCGTCCATCCACCTGACGTTCAACGAGTATCTCGCGTTCGATCTTAACTGGTCTGCTATCCACGCCGCGCTGTACATTGCGTACTACTTCCTCCTCGAGCCCACCGCCGCCGTACGTGCGCCACCGCTGCTCACTCTCACAGCCAGCTAACCCGTGTTTGACATCACAGGCGTTGTACGCCCCGCAGATGGCGCTCTCCGTCTTAACGGCGACTGCTTTCGCCCACACGCCCGACGCCCTCAAGTACGCCGCGCTCATGCACGTCGGCTCGTGGATCGCCCAGTTTGCGGGCCACTTTGGGCCGGAAGGTCGGGCGCCGGCGCTCCTTGACAACTTAATCGGAGGTGCGCGCACAGCCTACAACATCTCGCGCTTATTTGACTGACGAGGCCCCGTATCTGCTGCGCGTTCGAATTCACAGCTGTGGTGTTGGCCCCCTTCTTCGTCCATCTCGAGGTGTTGTTCGCACTCGGATACAGGCCCGAGCTTCACAACGAGCTCAAGAAAAGTATCGACTCGGAAATCGAGAAGGTCAAAAAAGCTGAGAAGGCCGCCGGCAAGGAGCAGTGACCTGCTGCCATCTGATGGCGGTATCAGCTTGGTTATGCAGAGTGGGCCCGACCTCGTTTCAGCTTCGAAGACGGTGTTTCTTGCGCTTTGACGTAGTTTCTGACGACGTTGTACGAGCATGTACGTTTACGATATAAGTGTACTATTACATTCGCATCCTCGACAGCCTTACATTGCGATTCATCTACATCCAAACAAGTTTCAGTCAGATAGCAAAACCGTCTGCTCGACAAGCCACCTCAAACAAGGCTCGCCGGGGGCGGGAGGACCGGCTCCCCGAGAGGCGTCACATAGGAGGAGCAGAGGCCTCCGTCGACCAAGAAGTCGGTTCCCTAGAATTGACAACACCTTCATCAGCATATGCAGGTTGAAGACACGGTCACAGACGTACGGTGACATAGCTGCTGTCGTCGCTCGCGAGGAAGAGCGCGCCCCGCGCGATTTCGATGGCCTCGCCGAAGCGACCCATCGGGAGGTGCACGAGACGGCGCTGCTTCTTCTCCTCGGTGTTGAGGAAGTCCATAAGGAGGGCTAGAGCAGGCATGGTGGCGATCAGTAACGTGAAGGCAAGGAGGCATCTAGGGCTTACGGGTCTTCAGCGGACCACTTGCGCGATAGATGACATTCAGTGCAGGATCCACGATACCTCAGGTGCGCACTTACGGGCAGATAGCGTTGACCCGGATGCCTTCTCTTGCGTGAACCATCGCGAGTTCCCGTGTCATGGCGAGCACAGCACCCTTTCGAAACGCTTAGTCCCGCATACGGGGTTCTCTGATAAGGACTGTACCTTCGAAGCAGTGTCTGCGCACATCGCTCAGCTCACATCGCGCACGAGAAGAGACAGATACGTACAGGCAAGCTGGGGCGTCGCTGCGCCCATCAGGGCGACGAAGCTCGCCGTGTTGATGATGCTCCCGCCGGTGTGGAGACCCTTGCTCTCGTCCGTGGGGTTGTTGCGCATGGCGAGGATCGCGTACTTGCACCCCCACCACACGCCCTTCACGTTGATGTTCATCGTCAGGTCCCATATGCGCTCCTCCGTGTTCAGCGCGTTGTCGTCCTCGGGGTGCATGATCCCCGCGTTGTTAAACTACACCAGACGTGAGCTGCAGCGCGATCGCGTGACCACACTCGGGCGCGCGCACCATGATGTCGAGTCGGCCGAAGGCGCGGACGGTCTGGTCGACCATGTCCTTCACGCTCGCCTCGTTGCTCACGTCGGCCTTGATGGGGAGCGACCGGACGTTCGGGTAGCGCTCCCCGATCAGCTTGTGCGTCTTCTGCACGGCCTGCTCGTTCACGTCGACGAGCGCGACGTGGGCGCCTTCCTGCGCGAACAGCAGGGAGCACTCCAGGCCGATGCCGCTGCAAGACCATGCTGTCAGTCCCCTCCTGGGTGTATAGAGAAGACGGCGTACGATCCCGCGCCGGTGATGAGGGCGACCTGCAAAGTTCGAGGTGGCGGATCGCTTGAGTGAGCTGGTGTTATGCACTGTATGGGGTGACGCACCCTGTTCTGTAGACGACCAGGCATACTGTATTGGCGATGACGACTAAAATGAAAGGGTTGGTGAAAGACGTGCAATCGCCGCCCACTACCGTTACCCGCTAGTCCGTGGATAAAGGTCTCGCGCCACACGCTTCAGCCACATCGCGTCTCGCGGCCGTCACCTTCACATAATGCCCAATACCTCGCTCAAAACGCGTCTTGTGGCCTTGGCGACCTCATAATCGGAATCTACGCATTGAAATCAGCCCGGCAAAGGTCTCAGAAACGCCACATTCACAGATACTCGCGCACAAGACCTCACGACCTGGGTCCGGACGAGTTGGCCACTCGGCGAACACCCGCAGGCAGCATGACCGGCGCACGGGTGCCAGACAACACATATCAGGAGGCTGGGGAGAGAGTGCTCAACGATTTATTGAGCCAGGGGGAAAGCTGGTTGTACAGTGAGTCTTCGATGCTAGTGTGCTGTCCTTCTGTACTCGCACGAGCAGTCCTGGGCGTACAGGCTACTCATTCACCACGTTATACATTGCAATATACTATGTTCAGTCTAGATATATAAGGACCACTATTAATACAATCATACATCCAACTCCTGCTCCGTAGGAGGTCTAGTTAAACTGCAGCCAACACGACACGACCATTATGTATATTTCTATGTGCATATCCTGCTATATTTCTATGTGCATATCCTGCACCTGTCAACGAAATGTATTCTATGCTGTACGCAATGTTTCGTGAGTGTATCAACAATCTACCATCCCCACTGGTACCAACAAATTCACACCTGGAGCGAGACTTCATGATTAATGACGAACTGTATTGCATACTATGTACAGTGCATAGTAGATGCATCCGGCGAGACACAGTGACACATACCGAGAATGTGAAATTCAATACACCATTACTGTTCAACTCTATCTGCCACACCCAACATCATACACTCGCGCAACACAATACGACGAGTGCCCTCTTCATGCGCCACGTCGCGACTGTGAGCTTCAAGTTGTCCGGACTTCTGTGGTGTCTTGCACGCGAACAGGAGGCGATAGCACTCTGCTGACAACTTCTCCGAACTCATCTTGACGCATAGATTCCGAATATGTGGTCGTCGAGGCCGTAGGATGAGAACTGAGTGCATGATCGGGGTACAGCGAAAGCGATGACCGCGAGACGCGATGTGGCTGAAGCGTGTGGCGTATCCACGGACTAGCGGGTAACGGTAGCCCACGGTAACTTTCCTTGCGGGCCGAGTCAGACCACTAGCCGCAGTGCGGCTATCGATAATGAGACGCGGTCACGTGTAGCGCGTCATGGCCATCCCCGATTTGGGATGACCAGTGGTTCGTCCTTGCCTTCATTCATCGAGACCTGCACATGCACAACGGCATACATTGCACACTGTCAGAGTGATGCCTGCCATTAATATCTGCGTGTACACAGACTGCTGGACAGAAGTACTGGCTACCAGAGGGGAAACGCTGCGCCTGTGACCACTGTTGCTACGCAAAAGCCGTGACATGGCAGTCGCAGTGCGTATGGTGCGTAAAAAAGCTCAAGCGAGCCTCGGCTTCCTGAACCGCAGTGCGTAAGCAGCTATGATACCGCACTTCTCAGTTAACGCATGAACTGACATCTCATCGTCAAAGTACTAAGTATCATCTCATCCACTTAGGGACACAGGAGGTCTCGACAGAAAGTCAGCCCACCGGTGGCACGTACTTAGGGTCACATTCCCGCAGGGCCTCAGAGTTTGCCTCGGCGGTACCAAAGGCTAGGTTCAGAGGGTGCTGCGAGAGAGGTCGGGTGCAAGTCAAATGTCAATGTCCCACTTGGCATGACACGCCTCCTCCTATCAATGAGGGCGCGTGAGGGAGGGAACAAGGTGAGATCGAGATTGAGATTTTAGCACCGCGACTAGTGATGTGCGCTAACCATTCCGGACACATTCTAGGTACTGTCGTTAATTTCACCAAGTCTTCGTGTCCTCTGCGTCCGGCACAGAGGGTCGTTAGACGCGAATGTCTGGGACGCACCGGTTGATACTACGAGGTCAAGGGATGTCTGCAAAGACCCGGCTTTCACCAGCAGTCGTACAGTGGCTATGGAGCCACTGTGAATGTCGGGAAGTGCAACAGCCTGAGCTTGACGCGATATTGGTAGGAGAGCGATGCGCTCCTCCCCGTCGCGGTTAGAGCCACCTCATTGTCTCTGTCTAGATTGCGATTCAAGTCAGCACCCTCTTTCTCGGCCAGAAGTGGGGGCTCCGTCTGTCGCTCAAATAGGCAGACTGACGCACGCGAGTGTGCTCAACTTGTCGCGATGGCGTACTCGCTTCCCCTTGCGCAGCTATCGGCGTTCCTGCTCGCCGTCTTACTTGCCTATCGCTTCGTCAAGACCAGACGGCAGGCTCCTTTCCCGCCCGGCCCTCGAGGCTGGCCGATAATCGGTAACGTTCTCGACATCCCCACCGAGTATCAGTGGAAGACTTTCGCCCAATGGGGCGAGAAATGGGGTAAGCACGCCAGCCTTCAAGATGGCCCGCTGCACGCTGACTCAAATGGCACAGGGGACATCATGTCGGTCAACGTCCTCGGACAACGCATGGTCATTATCAATTCCGCTCGAACTGCCGTCGAGGTACTCGACAGGAAGAGCTCCATCTACTCTGACCGCCCGCACATGGTCATGATCGGCGAAATTGTCGGCTGGACGCGCATCGTCTCGCTGCACAACTACGGCCCTCGATTCCGCGAGACGCGCCGCCTCCTGTCGCAAATGCTCGGAAGCCGCGAGAAGGTCGGGTGGCTGGCGCCCGTGCTGGAGGCGGAGGAGCACCGCTTCTTGTTGCGAGTCCTCAGGGACCCGGACAGCCTAGTCGCGCAGGTGCGGAAGTACGTCAGGCGTTACATTTGCTCTTCCTCTAAAGTCTTACTGACGCATGTCTCAGGGCTGCCGGCGCCATCATCTTGTTACTAGCTTATGGGTACGAGGTGAAAGATGGCGAAGACCCGTACGTGGCCATTGTCGAGAAGGCCATGTCGGAGGTATCAGCCGCTGCGACTCCTGCCGCTTTTCTCGTGGACTCCTTCCCGATACGTAGGACCCATGTCGCTCACAGATCTTTCCGCGCATTAACGACGATCTCCTTTAGTGCGCTATTTCCCGCCTTGGCTGCCTGGAGGCGGGTGGAAGAAGAACATTCCCGAGTACACGAAGGATCTCAACGCGATGTGCGACGTTCCTTACCAGTTCGTTAAGCAGCGCATGGTCAGTCTCAAACTCATACACCGTGGACCCACCAACCCGTCGCTCACGGTCTCGCGCTATGGCTGGCTAGGCAATTGGCACGTTTATTCCGAGCTTCACATCTCGCCTTCTCGAAGATAAGTTGGCAATGGAACGGGAGCAGCTCGTCAAAGACGCTGCGTCGTCTCTCTACGCTGGTTAGTAGGCCCGGACTCGTTAATACGACTGCCAAAGCTCACTCTGTTCCCTCAGGCGGTTCCGATACTGTTCGTCGCCTGCACTCGTGTATAAATGTCAATACAGACTGACATGGCGTCCACAGACTGTATCCACTCTCACAGGCTTCTTCCTGGCGATGATGTGTTATCCTGAAGTGCAGGGGCGAGCACAGGCGGAGATTGACTCGGTGATCGGCTCAGACAGACTGCCCGTTCTCGCCGATCGAGCGCGTCTTCCCTACGTCCACGCACTGTGCCTGGAACTTCTCCGATGGAACCCTGTTGCTCCTTTGGGTGTGTTGTTCGTACTGCTTCGCTGTGCCACTGAACGTCAAACATCCTCCAGCTATCCCTCACGTCTTGTCCCAGGATGACATCTATGCAGGTTACTATCTGCCAAAGGGAACCATCGTGATGGCGAATGTTTGGTGAGTAACCACGGGTGGAAGGCGCGTATTCATCATATTTAATCTTCATGCAGGAAATTCCTCCATGATCCGGAAACATACGCGAATCCGTTCAATTTCGATCCGAGTCGGTTTATTGCCTCCCAGAAGATGCCAGCGGAGCAGGACCCACGGTCCTACGCGTATGGCTTCGGTAGACGGTGTGTATGACAGGAGCTCACTCAAGCAACATTACTTACACGTACCTTGCCAGGATCTGTCCAGGTATGTGTGCCCATGATGTGGTCCGCAATGTGTCACGAAACTCTCGTAGGAATGTATCTCGCGGATGCCACAGTCTTCCTCGCTGTTGCCATGTCGCTGACTGTGTTCGATATCCGGAAGCCTATAGTAGGCGGCGTCGAGGTGCAGCCCAACATGGAATTTACAAGCGGCGTCATCAGGTAGGTTTGCCTATCAGTTGTGAATAAGCACCGGATAACTAAAGGACTACCAGTCACCCACCTCCCTTCAAGTGTTCGATAAAGCAGAGGTCTGCCAAGGCTGAGGCCCTGATCCTCTCCGCGGATGCGAAGGCTTGAAGTCACCTTTGTTTTCATAGAGGGCCACACTTTTGAGTTTGCACGGTCTATACAAGTTTTTCGCCTTCATATATTCGATTCACTACGACGCAATTAGAGGGCTCACTATCCCACGAACGGTTCCAGACTCTGGCAATCGTTATGGGTTGTAAAACTAAGTATACGGCGAGTATCTCAATCAGAATCGTCTTTATTATATCACTGGTCTGGTCGAAATCAACGCCTCCTTGAATCCTTGTCTGGCCGCCTCAATTTTGTCGACATGTCTGGATACGACCCTCATCATGATCGCTCGACGCTCAGTGCCAGCTCAGTGCTCACGGTCGGAACAAAGAGTCAGGTGTCCGTGTTGTGCTGACGGGGCAGCAAGTTTTCATGGCATCATTCCTCTGAGACTGATCGACCATGCAATGTATGTGTGGACTGACGCTGTCCATTGAATCCACACTGATCATGAAACCCGCCTCGGCGCTCAGACTGGAGGATCGTCTTTTCCTAGCCAAGGCGACGGTCCTATTCAGTTGCTCACCTCGTTAGGCGCGCGGCTATGTCGACTCCGACCGCCTCTCCAGTGACCATGCCGCTCAGAAATCCTCATCAACACTTCGTCCCCCGTCCCCACTTCAGAGGACGTTGGTCTGGTCTTCTGTCATGACATAGCCTTACACACGCAGCCAAATACAAGGCGCCATACTATGCCAACAGCGACATGGTGGCAGGCAGAATGTGGTCAATACATTCCATCGGAATAACTAGGTTGTTGGAACACTATGGATGCCTACGGATGCTCCGTTGACACGGCCTACTCAAGCTGGGCCTACTACACTGGCTGTACGAACGCATACGCGCTCAATTCGAAACTAGCAACTACAAGGTGAGCCATCATTCATATCGGCGAATCTAGAACAACTGAGACACCAGCTTTGTCCTAGCCTGAGGCTGCGCAGGCTTCCGAGGTACTCTCACTTGTGGTTGCGACCTTTCTATCTTGAGGCTTGTCACGACCACATAATTCCAGGTAAGCATACTAATCTCGCTGGCATGTGACAATTCCATTCAACCCTCCCGAACTCAAGTTGATGAAGCGTACACCATCACTTAGCGTCATGGAATACGTGAACCGACATTGAGCTCCTTCAGGAATAGACTCAACTTCCGGGCGTCGTGCTACAGTATACGCGCCCAGTATCGGGACACAAGCGCCAGGCTAAGTTTGTTCGCTATAAATACCTATATCGAGCAGCTGTTGGGCTGGAACTCGCACACTTCAACTCTCACCACTAACATGGCTCTCATCAGACTCGTTGACGCCTTCGCCGCTGCACTACTACTGTGTATTTTGGCACGGTTCGTGACAAGTAGACGCCGAAAACGTCTACCCCCTGGTCCCTCTGGTTGGCCTGTCATAGGCAACGTTCTCGATATGCCTAAGTCGCACGAATGGCAGACATTTGCCAAATGGGGAGAGAAGTGGGGTAAGTCCGCGCACCGCTTGTTACTAAACTTACTATGTACTGAGCGAACTTTCAAGGAGACATCATGTCTGTCACTCTGCTTGACCAGCCAATGGTTGTCCTCAACTCATCGCATATTGCCGTTGACATGTTGGACAAGAAAAGTGCCATCTACTCTGACAGGCCAACATTCCCTGTATGTGGTCAAGTAATCGGGTGGGACCGCACGTTGGTGTTCCTCCATTACGGTCCTGTCTGGCGGGAGACTCGTCGACTCTTCTCCCAGACAATCGGGACCCGTGTCAGTCTAATGCATCTATATGATCATCTAGAACGCGAAGGCAATCGCTTCTTGGCTCGTCTCATGGTGCAGCCAGAGACGTTGTTCCAGCAAGTACGCGGGTACGACTCCTTCGCCAACATTTCCTCCTGTATGACCAACGGCATCTGGCAGTTTCACAGGTGCCTCCATTCTGAGCATTGCGTATGGTTACAACGTCGAGCGGGAAGACGATGAGCTTGTCCGACTCGTTGACAAGGCCGTGGAAGAGTTCTCGTTGGCGTCTGCTCCCGGCGCGTATTTCGCTGATGCCCTGCCCACCCGTTCGTACCGTTCGGCTTAACGATATAGCACGAGCTGATGTTGGCCCAGTCACAAGAGTCCCTGCATGGTTTCCTGGTGCAGGGTGGAAAAGACGGGCATTAGCCTGGCGTAGAGACCTCGAGGCCATGTGTGACTTGCCGTTCAATTATACCAAGCAACAAATGGCAAGTTCTGCTCCCTCAACCTCAACTCTGTAATGTTCTTCCTCAGCTCTTGTTACTGGCTTAGAAAACAGGCAAAGCGTTGCCCAGCTTCGTCGCTATGAATCTAGACCCAGCCGCTGATTCCGGACGCGAGTTCCTTGTCAAAAGCGCTGCTGCGTCGCTATACAGTGGTAAGAGGCCCTTCGTCCTCCTTTAGTGCAAATGTTAACGGATAGGCATCAGCCGGCGCTGACACCGTATGCTCCCCCATTGCAGCATGAACACTATGCAGTACTAACGAACATGTATACAGACCGTATCGGCCATTTGTTCGTTTTTCTTGGCGATGATGTGTTTCCCGGATGCACAGAAGAAAGCACAGGCCGAGATAGACAGAGTTGTTGGGAACGACCGGCTTCCAAGGCTCACTGACCGCGACGAACTGCCATATGTCAGGGCCCTGACCTGGGAGGTCTTGCGATGGCAGCCAATCGCTCCACTCGGTAAGTTGCATGTCTGGGACAGTAGCAGTGGACATTGGGTTGTAATTTCTTTGTCTAGGGGTACCGCACTACCTGACTGAGGACGACACGCATGAGGGGTACTTCTTGCCGAAAGGAACAATAGTCATTGCCAATATCTGGTTCGCCTGTGCAATGACATGGAGTTTGGCTATCTTGACGTACTGATGAATTTGCAGGAGGATGCTTCGCGATTCTTCGCGGTATCCGAACCCAGACGTGTTCAATCCGGACCGCTTTCTACCTTCGAACGACGCAGAACCAGAGTATGATCCTCGGCATATCGTGTTCGGATTTGGAAGACGGTAAGCCTCGTTTGTGCACAATCAGTGATCCAAAATATTGATAATTGTGCAGCGTATGCCCAGGTTTGCATCCAAACTTCTTTTTACTGAACGAATCGCTGAACGAGAGCTCCAGGCTCACAACTTGCCGAAACATCTCTCTTCCTCATTTGTGCTTTGTCTCTGGCTGTCTTCGATATAACTAAGCCTATCGTCGACGGGACCGTGGTGGAGCCTTCGCTGGAGTACACGACGGGAACAATCAGGTACGCGGAGTTTGCCCGCCGGAGGGAACGTTCACTCAATAATGTGGATCCTTCCAGTCATCCGGTACCATTTGAATGCTCAGTCAAACCCCGTTCAGTCAAGGCTTCCACGCTCGTCGCAGCAGTGAGCGATAGTGTCTTCTAAGGTCATTTCTTCGTCGTTCCCCATGTATTCCTTCATTTGTTCATGTTGGCAGACTACCAAATCAGCCAAGCGGTTGTCTCGAGAAGACCCAGTGGAGGCTAGCGGCCTGTTGTGCGTGGTTTGAACCTGCGTTATATCCGACATTGAGGTAGAGCTCCGCCATTGTGCACACAGTTGCATCACGCCGCTTCAGGCCCTACCTCAGTGTCCCATATCCTTCCGTGAATATACAGGAATAGTTGTTGTCCATCAAACTCAGGCTCAAAGTTCTCATTTCTCAGTAGCAGTTAGCGGCTGCAATTGCTGCGAATCCTTGGCCTGCTCAATTTTGTCGACATGTCTGGATACGATCCTCGTCATGATCGCTCGACGCTCAAGCGCTCACGGTCGGACGATCAGTCACTGAGTCAGGTGACCGTGTTGTGCTGACGGGGCAGCAAGTTTACATACATCATGACTCTGATCCACGGTGCAATGCCACTCTGTGGACTGACGCTGCTCATTGAATCCATGCATCATGAAACCCGCCTCAGCGCTCAGAATGACTGGGGGATCGTCTTTTCCTAGCCAAGGCGACGGCCCTATTCAGTTGCACACGTTGGCATGAGGTTGCGCGGGCTCCGAGGTATTCTCACTTGTGGTCGTGACCATCCTTATACGTTGAGCCTTCTCATGACCACATTATTCCAGGTACTTATGCTAATCGGATTGGGACCTCGCTGGCATGTGGCAATTCCACTCAATCCTCCCAAGCTCAAGTTCATACGGCCGCCGCGACTTATTACGAGGACCTACGAGGACCCCCGGTTATAGGCGGAGATGTCTGATCCTCAGATTTGGGCTTTTGTGCTCAGATGCAATAATGCCAAATTTTGGTTCTTAGTCTGGATGAAACCAGGCCTCTGCGTATATTGTGGTTCATAATCATCAGGCATGGTTTCGGCGGACATCCATCCGGATGGAGGGATCATCGATCAGGCCTTACACGACACCACTTGTGTTGTCTCGTCAATCAACCGGTAAGGTGCGCGGGCGGCAGCGGTATCTGATGTGCGGGTAGGTCTCTCAGAGACAGATCATAGCGTGAAGCCACTGCTCGTCGACTCGGGCCCGGCATGCACAGAGAACTGATACATCCAAGACACATAGTGGCCGTAAGGCTTCTCCACCAATAACCGGGGGTCCTATAACTCCGCGTCATGGACCGTCATTGAGCTCCTTCAGTATTTCAACTCCTGGGCGTCGTGGTACAGTATACACGCCCATGACTAGTATCGGGACACTAGCGCCAAGCTAGGTTCTTCCGCTATATTTAAGAGCGGCTGTTGTGTTGGAACTCATACACCTCAACTCTCACGCGCACGGCCCATCACCAAAATGGTTCTCATAGGATTCGTTGACGCCTTGGCCGTTGCGCTACTAATGTGTATATTGGCACGGTTCGTGGCAGGCAGACGCCGAAAACATCTACCACCCGGTCCCTCCGGCTGGCCTCTGATAGGCAATGTCCTCGGTATGCCCACGTCGCATGAATGGCAGACGTTCGCAAAATGGGGAGAGAAGTGGGGTAAGTGTCACTCGCGCACCGCTTGTCACTATGCTGAGCGAAATTTCAAGGAGACGTCATCTCTATCACTCTGCTTGGCCAGCCAGTGGTCATCCTCAACTCATCGCATGCTGCCGTTGATATGTTGGACAAGAAAAGTGCCATCTACTCTGACAGGCCAACATTCCCTGTATGTGGTCAAGTAATCGGGTATGACCGCACGTTGGTGCTCCTCCATTACGGTCCTGTCTGGCGGGAGACTCGTCGACTCTTCTCCAAGACGATCGGGACCCGTGACAGTCTAATGCATCTATCTGATCGTCTAGAACGCGGAGGTCATCGTTTCTTGACTCGTCTCATGGCACAGCCGGAGACATTGTTCCAGCAAGTGCGCGGGTACGACTCTTTTCACCAACATTTCCTCCTGTATGATCAATGGCCACTGGCAGTTTCACAGGCGCCTCCATTCTGAGCATTGCATATGGGTACAACGTCGAGCGAGAAGACGATGAACTTATCCGACTCGTTGACAAGGCCGTGGAAGAGTTCTCGTTGGCGTCTGCTCCCGGCGCGTATTTCGCTGATGCCCTGCCCATTCGTTCGTACCGTTTAGCTCAACGATACAGCAGGAATTGATGTTGGCCCAGTTATAAGAGTGCCTGCATGGCTTCCTGGTGCAGGGTGGAAAAGACGGGCATTGGCCTGGCGTAGAGACCTCGAGGCCATGTGCGACTTGCCGTTCAACCATACCAAGCAACAAATGGCAAGTTTCGCTCACTCAACTTCTCTGTAACATTCTTCCTCAGTTCTTGTTACTGGTTTAGAAGACAGGCAAAGCGTCACCCAGCTTCGTCTCCATGAATCTAATCCCAGATACTGATTCTGGACGCGAATTCCTTGTTAAAAGTGCTGCTGCGTCACTGTACAGCGGTAAGAGACCCTTAGTCCTCCTCGACTGCAGATGTTGACGGATACGCATCAGCCGGCGCTGACACCGTATGTTCTTCCATTGTAGTGTGACCACTACGCAGTACCAACGAACATCGCACACAGACAGTATCAGCCATTTGCTCGTTTTTCCTAGCAATGATGTGTTTTCCGGGCGCACAGAAGAAAGCACAGGCCGAGATCGACAGAGTTGTTGGGAACGACCGGCTCCCAAGGCTCAATGACCGCGACGAACTGCACTATGTCAGGGCGCTCATCTGGGAGGTCTTGCGATGGCAGCCAATTGGTCCGCTCGGTAAGCTGGATGCCTAGAACAGTGTTCGCTGGCTCTGGGCGTTGGGTTATAATTTCTTCTTCTAGGGGTCCCGCACCGCCTGACTGAGGACGACACGCATGCGGGGTACTTCTTGCCGAAAGGGACAATAGTCATCGCCAACATCTGGTGCGCCTGTGCAATGATATGCACTCTGGTCTTGACGTATTGACGCCTTTGCAGGAGGATGCTTCGTGATCCTTCACGGTATCCGAACCCAGAGGTGTTCAATCCGGACCGCTTTCTACCTTCGAACGACGCAGAACCTGAGTATGATCCTCGGCATATCGTGTTCGGATTCGGAAGACGGTAAGCCTCGTTTGGGCACACAATCAATAATTTGAAATGTTGAGAATTGTGCAGCGTATGCCCAGGTTTGCATCCAAACTTCTTTTTACTGAACGAATCGCTGAACGAGAGCTCCAGGCTCACAACTTGCCGAAACATCTCTCTTCCTCATTTGTGCTTTGTCTCTGGCTGTCTTCGATATAGCTAAGCCTATCGTCGACGGGAACGTGGTTGAACCTTCGCTGGAGTACACGACGGGAACGATCAGGTGCGCATAGCATGTTTGCCCGCCGGAGGGAACGTTCACTCAATAGTGTGGATCCTTGCAGTCATCCGGTACCATTTGAATGCTCAGTCAAACCTCGCTCAGCTAAAGCTTCCGCGCTCGTCGCAGCAGCAATGAGCGACAGTGTCTTCTGAGGTCATGTCTTCGCTGTTACCCATGTATTCCTTTATTCGTTCATGTCGGCAGGCTACGTTAGGCGGTTATCTTGAGAAGACCTGGTGGACGCTTGCGGCATTGTGTGCGTGGGTTCAGCTTGTGTTATATCCGACATTGCGGTGGAGCTCCACCATTATGCGCAGCTGCATCACGCCGCTTCAGCCCCTATCTTGTCCCATGTCCGTCCGCGCACAGGAATGCTTATGGTCTATCAGACTCAGACTGAAAGATAAATCTTCATAGGGCGAACGGTAGCGGCTAGCGGCTGCATCGTTGCTGCAAATGCGTCAGAGCCATGGTCGTGAATTCGAATGGGGCCAACTTGCCAGATGTTTTTGCATCGTATGCCCAGGCTCCTGCCATGGGTTCTCTTCCTTGAATGGCTTTCTGAACCGGCGTCGAGGCGAAGGGTACCAGGGCAGGAATGTCAGTGTTCATCAAATTGTGGCAGCTTCCAGATGTACTCGGGCTGATTGTTTGCCTCCAATGCAGAAAACGCCGTTGACGTGAATCATTGAATTAAAGCCCCGAGCTTTCTACGAGATCTTGCCTCGGGACTGGGTTGAGGGTAGGCGATAAACATTCGACAGCACACTCCAGCGACGGCGATGGACTTGCTCGTCGACCATGGGCCGCTTCGTGATTCCCCAAGACAGGCGGGTCGCGACCTTGCATCATCACCGCATGTCGTCCTCAAGGCATGCACGACCTCTATGATGCCAATGTCCGCAGTTGAGGTACCTGCCTCGCAGCGCACCCTATAAACGAGCAGAGAGCCTCGGTAAAGCGCCTCGGGCCCACTACCACCACCACCACCTCCTCCTCCCACTCGAGCACTCAGCGGCTATGGCGTACCCGGCGTACGACACTCATCCTCAGATGCACCGATCCCTATCGTACGGACAACAGTACGCATATCCTCCGGCAGGCGTAGCATACAGCCAGCCACTCACCGGCACCCCTGGAGTGTATGATGTACGTAGTACCTATTGACGTTCGAAGTACTGTCTAACGATGTATCCCAGACATATGGCCAGGGGAACTACCCGGCGGCGTACACGCCTGGACGTAGCATGAGTCAATACGGTAACTACGTCTCCTCAGTTTTGTTCACAGCTCTACTGAGCGCCCTTCTTAGCCTATGACGACATGAACATAAGGAACTCGTACTTTCCCGAGACCTACGCTTCCTCCGGTTACGCTACGCCTTACGCCCCCAACTTGTCCCGCCGCCGGTCATCCATGCACTCGCGGTCGCGCTCGCGCTCGCGGATGGGGCATGACGGCTACCGCGGGCTCGGTAGCACCTTGATCAAGTTCAAGCGCAAGGGCGGTTTCCGTTCCGGTGTCACGCTCGGCGAGGCCATGTCGAACGCGATGTTGTCCGGCAACGATTCCTACTCCCACTACGACTTCAACGCCGACCACAGGGGAAAGATCATTCTGAAAATTCGAGTGAGTACCGATTGGATTCCCTGCACTACGAACACCCTTCTCATCTATCAATTTGCAAACAGTGGACTGGCTATACGTCAATGACGTATGAGCTGCCGGTCGATAACTATGATGGACGCGTAGAACTCCAGACGCTCGCCAGGCGTGTGGCTCGCGCTTGCGTACATTTCATTCAGGTGCGATGAGATACTTGAAGTGGGCTGTCCTCTTCATATGCTCATCTTGTTTATTTGCAGACGAACATGATTCCCGTTTCTTGGGATCGCGTGACCATCTACCACCTGGAGGAAATATCTATTGGAACATGGCAGCCAGTACTCTCTACCAGCTAGAGCTGTATGGCATGCAAGCCTTCCCAACCCAAACCTGCTCGCCGTACTGTCCCCGGTCGCAGTCGCGTCCTGTTATTTATCAGCGCAGTCCAATCGCTTCATTTATCGTTTCAAGGCGTTTCTGGGGACATCGACCTTGAAACGCCACAGCCTCACATAGAACATTTCTTTTCCATTATTCCATGCCTCTTTTATGGAATGGACAATACGTTTTCAACTGTCCCAGGTGTACTTGTAGTTGCCAGATTTCTCTTCATCCATGGGTCGATAGTTGACAATGTACGGAAGTCCCACACGTTGTACGCTCCGCGACGAGATTCGGCGTACTGCGCATGTTGTCATAGTTGACCACGCTGTTTGTGTGCATACTACATCCTCCGAGGCCGCATTGGTGCGACGCAAGAAGATTAATCTTCATTGTTCAACGTCAACGGATACCATTTTCGGAAATGCGGGACATGCCGAATCACACAGCTCGATCAGCTCTCAATCGACGTCTCGACTTGCTAGTGCATGCAAGACCAGAGGCCGATGCATGGTGGACACCTCTCCAGATGGAATCGTGGCAGCAGCTCATGAAACCTATTCGAGTTTGTCCTTCAAGCTGCCTCCAAATCAATACACAATCCTCGCCGCATTCATTCTGACTTGTCCTGGCGTAGTCAAAGTCATTTCGCTTGCCACGGGCTCCAAATGTCTCCCTACGGACCGATTCGCAAAGGAAGGGGACGCTCTGCATGACAGCCATGCTGAAGTGCTCGCCAGAAGAGGCGCGGTATGCTGGCTCATGACTGAACTGCGCCGAGCAAGTGGCGACCAGCAGGATTCCGCGTGGCTTCGAAGGACCCATGACGGAAGATACTCGCTCAGAGACGGTGTCCACTTACATCTATATGTATCCACTGTTCCATGTAAGGGCTCATACACTGGCAATGTCATTCAACTCACAACGACATCGCGCGCAGGTGGTGATGCATCGACCCGCTTCCTCGCCTCTTGTCAGGATGCAGAAATGGCGGCCCTGAAGGACTCCACCCGGTTCCCTGAGCTTCCTCCAACTACGGCTTCACGAGGTCGCAATAACTATTCTCTGTATGGAGTGCTTAGAACCAAGCCCGGTCGTGCGGATTCGCCGCCCACTATCTGCATGTCTTGCAGTGACAAGATTGCCCGGTGGAATGTGCTAGGCATCCAGGGAGCTCTCCCTTCAAGGATACTCTCTCCTGTCTACATCAACTCCATCATCATTGGAGAGGTTGAAGCAGACATGCAAGACACGGTCCGTGCTGATTGTGAGCGAGCTTTCTCGCAGAGGCTCAGTGAGATGACCAGTGAGCACCCCTATCCCCTTTCCTTCACACGGGGAATGACGCTTGACGCTTGATCAACAGCGGCGAGACTACCGGATGACTTCAGACTGAATGTGCCCAGCATCGCCTTCACATCGCGGCCATTCATTCACTCGCGAACATCATTAGGAGTCGCTAGCTCATGCAACGACTGTACGTAGCGAACGCACATCACACGAGGTCCAATCCGCTGACAGCATGCCAGCCCTGTGCTACGTCGCAAATTCTGTGAAGCCTCACGAAGTGCTCATCAACGGTGTGAAGCGCGGTGTCTCGCCCAAACACCGCCACAACGCGAAGTTCCGGTGGGTGCACCGTAGCAGCGAGGACAACACGACTGGCTGATCCGCGCGTCGTACCCAGCCCTCAGCTCTGCAAGTTGGCACTCTGGGAACTCTCTGAGCGGGCCGCGCTCGAGCTTGGGCGTCCTGCGGAAGGGTGGGTCGCTGTCGTCGTCCCTTGGGCTAGATTGGAGTGTTCACGACTGCGGTAGTGATTCCACATATTACGAGAGCAAGCAGGCGGCTGCACATTATCAAACGGCCAAAGAAGCGCTGCAAGGCCCCAGTGGGCCCTTCGCAGGGTGGATCCGGAGCGGCCAGGAGTGGGAGAGTTTCCACCTGCCGTCGAGACGCGACGCAAGTCAATAGACGGCACTGGCAGATCTTTGTCATGCTAGCGCATCGGCCGAACCTATACCGTGAAACTCACCCCGAGCCACTTCACTTGCCCATAGCACTATATGCATTGCATCGTGTCTGCCGATCTACATGTTCGTTTGTGGCCGAATCGCGAAGACCGTCGAGGCACGTTCAACGCCCTTCGTCAAACGAGGATTACAACAGCGGGGTTACTGTAAACACAGCTACATGGGCATCTATAGGGACACGCGGTGTACCGTTGGAGATCGTGACAAAGAGGGATTAGCAGAGGGCCAATACGGAGACAGCAAGGAGTAAACATAAGATTCCGGGTCATGAGTAAATCCGTCGTAAAAATATAGGAACGCGGCGTTAGGATGTGTAGTCGTGGTGGAGTCATGGCAGATGGTGTACTGTGTTCATGCTACGGGTGTGCCGTTCTCCGTGGGAAGGTCCGGGGTAGGGATCTCTGGGGAGAGGTTCTTCGGAACGATGTCCGGAGAGCCGTTGACAGTAGACAGATCGTCGTCGTCTTGCGGTGCGAGCGTAGGGCTAGACATGGTCGAATTCGAGCGAGAGTGGGTCCCTTCCGCGAGTTCTTTCCGTAGCGCCTCAAGTTCACGTTCGAACCTATGCGATCTACGTCAGGCGTCGGTGCAGATTGTCGGTGAGAGAGTACGCACTTGCGACCGAAAACCTCAATGTAGAATCCACCGCCATTCCATACGCTGACAGCGAAGATGAAGATGAGGAATGCGCCACTCCAGAATGGGCTTCTATAGAGCACCAGAATGGCGGGCAGCTCGGTCAAGACCGAATACCCTGTGAAATCGTGAGATTGAAGCTGACAGAGTAAGCGAAGAGTACTCACCATACTGGCCGATCATGAAGGATAGCGTGCGATACTGTGGAGGCACTCTTGACAGCGCGCGGCCGATGACACCTCGCTTATCGTTCAATAGGAACGAGAGCGATGTTGTGCGTTGGCCAGACTCGATCTTCTTGCGCCGATCGACGAAGACGAACTGCAGGGCAAGCGATCAGCCGCTTGCTACGTAAGAAGTCACCGGACCCACCTTCCAGTAGAGTACCTGCCATATCAAATCTACGAGGAACGAGAAGTTCAGAACCGATATAGGCGCGAATGAGAGCAATGCACTGACAGATGATGCCGCTTAATAGCAGTGCTCTCATAGGCCGGAGGTGCGGGACTTCCATTACAGCGGGAAAGCGCTCTGCGGCGTTTGGATAGTAATGCCTGTTATTCAAATGAGCTTAAAGTTCCGCGCTCAGTTGCCGCGTTGCACACACCGGATGACAGTGAATGTCAATGGAGGGTAGACATGGATGAAGAGGGACGTGACTTTGTCGAAGTCGTGGAAGACGAGACTGTTCCTCCATGTGATTACCGCAGACGCAAGCGATCCATGTGAAAGACAGTAGCAAGCTACAAACAGGGCGGGATTGGCTGGAAGGATCCAGATGTAGATGAAGTTGAGGATATTCGCGTAGTAACACAAGTCGAAGAGGAAGTAGTGCCAGGCCCGCTTCTTGTACAGGTAGACGCGCATAGGTAGGTAGAACGCGGCTTGCAGAGTATATGCGATATGTATCCACCTAGAAGTCTGTTCAGTTTCATCTGTACGCAAGACCGCTGTGAGATCGCAACGCACTCGGGAGCCATCCCAAACAGTAGAGATGTGATCAACAAGGACATAACACCCCAGAAGAAGGTGAGCTTTTCGCGGAGCCGTACAACATTGGAGGTATGCCATGTCGCTGCAAGCTTCGTAACCCTTGCAGATATCTAAACAGCGGGATGTCAGTCCGAGTGGCCATCTTCATGGCGCGTGCAAAACCAACCTTCGCCTTGAACTTCTGCATCTCCATATCAAGCTGCTGCGTGGTGTGCATCGAGCCTCGCCGCTTGAAGAGATCTTTCTTGAACACGTCGTTGATTGTCTCTTCCGCGCGCATCTTGAGCTTCTCGCTACGTTTCGCGAGCTGGCGTTGAATGAGGTCTAACCGAGAGTCGAAGAATGTCTCCAGAGTATCTATACGCAAGATTAGCCACTCGGGACGCGTCTTTTGATCTGCTCTTTTGCCACACACCTAGCAAGGTAAATCCGCTCGCCCAGTCTGATATCTCGTCGCGTGCAAATCGCTCGAACGGCACTGAGAAATAGCCAAGGCCTGTCTGTCCTGGAGGCATGTCTGACGGCGTGCGCACCGGCGACGGCGGTCGCGACGATGAGGGAGTCGCCATGGTTTATGTTGCGCGCAAGTCAAGCAGGGGGCGTTGTGGACAAAGCAGCGGCGGGAGGCGGAGTGATGAAAGCAGCAACCCACAACGATGTGGCAGCGCGTCTGCCCCGCTACCGCGTCCTGGCAATGACGCTCAGCAGCTTATGTCAGCACCTGCACGTGACTGGGGGCCAATCTGCTGCCGGCTCACCACGTCTGCGCTCCCATTGGTTCCGATTCCGAACTCCGCCTGGCCTGCTTATGTATATACGGCCGGGGTGAGTGCGACTTCCCAAGCCTCTCGCATTCTAAGTCACCATGTTCCGCGCATCCCTCACCAAAACCGTCCTCAACGCTGCCCCCCGCGCTGCCCCTCGCGCCAGCAGAGTCGCTGCTCGCCCGGTGCTCGCTCGCGGCTATCACGAGAAAGTCATCTCTCACTACGAGCAACCCAGAAATGTGCGTCAGATTGTGGTCTCGGCCGTTCCAGGCGCAGTTATCTGATAACTTTTCCGCATCGCAGGTCGGCTCGCTGCCCAAGACCGACTTCGACGTTGGCACCGGCCTCGTCGGTGCACCTGCGTACGTGCTCTCTGTTTACAAACATTTGAGCGATGCGCTAACATACAATCACAACAGCTGCGGCGATGTCATGAAGCTGCAGATCCGGGTCGACGAGAATGGTGTTATCTCCGACGTCAAGTTCAAGACGTTCGGTTGCGGCTCTGCCATCGCGTCGAGCTCGTATATGACTGAGCGGGTGAAGGGTCTGTCGCTGGAGGAGGCTGAGAAGATCAAGAACACGGAGATCGCGAAGGAGTTGTGCTTGCCCCCGGTGAAGCTGCACTGTTCCAGTAAGTTCCATACACCTTTGCCCGAGGGTCACCGTCTCACACGCCTTGTACAACAGTGCTCGCGGAGGACGCTATCCGGTCTGCCATCAAGGACTACAGGTCGAAGCGTGCTTCGGCATCGAACCCCAAGCAGGCTGGCTTCATTGACGTCTCGCAGAGCGCGGCAACCGGGGAGACTGTCGCGACTGCCCACGCGCCATCAGCATAATTTGCTACCATCCATGCCAGTCGTCACGTCCCGTACCGTACTTACTTGCTTTCAGTTCATGTATTGCGCGTGTATGATTAGTCGGAGGATCCCAGCATATTATGCAATCGTAGTCGGAAGATCCTAACATATGGTGCAATGGTAGTGCACTGGAGTGAATCATAAAATACGCAGAAGTGCAAGAACTCGCTCTGAGCCTACTTCGAGGCGCCCTTCTGACCAATGAATGAAAAAGTGCCACCGGCGAACCATCTTTCGTTGGCCTCCTTGACGCGTTGCGCGGCCGCCGCCCGGTTCGTTAGCTCAAATCCTAGAAAGGCCATAGGTCACAACGACGATCAGAAAGTATGAGCTGACGCCGCTTACCTTGTACGGGGGTAACAGTCAAAGAGGTGGCAGTACCAGATGACTGTGGGTTAGATTGGGCAGCCCTCGTCAGGGCAGCCGTCCGGAGCTTGTTCGCCTTCGACAATTTCGCTGGTAGGGATAGGACGATCAGTACAGTATCCGCACCATCAACGGAGCGAAACGCACCTCGACTCTTCGCCTCGCCCACGCCTGCCCTGACTTTGCCCGAGCCAATCATACCCAGACCCTTTGTCTGGTCGAACGCGCCAACCTCCTCCTCCGCCTCCCCGAAGGTCATGCGGTTCTGCAGCTTGCGGAGTTCGGTTTGGCATATGCCTCCTTCGCCTTGCGTGCCCTATGGAGTGCAACGCGTTAGTCGGGTGTCATGGGTACAGGGCGTCGCACGCTGCTGACCGTTTGCCTCCACGACGCTTCTTCGGGCCGTCATTGGGAATTGGCAGTGCCTTGATGATCTTCGACGGAGGAGGTGCGGCGAGGCGGTCGATGTGCTTCTCTACCTTATCGCGAAGTTCCTCCCCGTACGAGCCTGCGCCAAAACTTATCAGATAAAGAGGCCAACTGAGCGCTGCGGGTGTAGCACCATCTCTCCGATGCCGCTCCAGTCCATACGCGCCGCCAGGCAACATTTGGCACCTACTGTCCGTTGCACCTTCAAGCGGTAGTCAGGCGGCGTCTGTTGAATGATCTCGGACTGGAACACAAAGCCAGTATGGCGACGCTGAGTAGCAGACGAGAACCCTGCGGAAATCTTCCTCTGTGCTCCAAGAGCTTTGGTAACAAGGAACATCAGTGACGACCTCCACATACAGAACTGTTTTACTCACGTATACATTACACGCAGGCATCTTAGCCAACCCGTTGAGACCACCAGCAACTCCAAGTAATTTCGCGGCTGTGGTGGTACCGACAATAGCTGATAGGTTCGGTGCCAGGATATTCATTCGGGAGCTGACGTACATGAAGATCTTGGAACAGAACCTCAGCATAGGTGAAGACGCCACTTGGGCAAGATGCCTCACGTTTTTCCGTGCCTCCTCCAGTCTATCCGCAAGGTCACAAGCTCGTTGAACAGCCTGGAACTCTGCATCCGGGAGCGGTTGGCCGGAAGTGGTAGTGGCTGTCACCATTACACTCATGATGATAGCAGGAGGGAGGATGCCGTTGAGGTCTACTTTCGTAGGGTCCTAGCGGTAAGAGTCAGGCAGAAAGGCACGCAGTCATAAAATCCTAAGCGTACCTCGGAGTTGCCCAGTGCGCGAACAGAGCGAATATACATTGGAGGGTCTGCAACAAGTTGTTCGAGTTCGGGGAACTTGGGCGCGTAGTGGTCTCGAATGAACTGAAGCGTGCTATGAGAGACGGCCCTTTGCCCTACAAATGTACACGCACCTTGTGAACTACCATGATTTCATTGTCGACATCGACGGAAAGATTGTTAGCAGCAACGATCAGGTTGTACTCGGGGTTGGAATGGGTAGGTTGAGCCATCTGCTCCGGCGTGCTGGGGTTCGCTTCGAACTTCTCGATTTCCTGGTGACCCGCTTCAGATTAGCAGAAGACGCGCCATTAGGGTGTACTGACCTTGAGAATGTCGTTCATACGCTTGCTCCCATCAAGCTTCGCTACACTGCGGACGTCCTCGACATCCCTTAGTTCCATCCGCTGCACCTCTTCGGCGTCCAGCTCCTCCGCGGGCTTCACTCCACCCTCCAGAACGAGCGATCCAACCTCTTTCTCCTTATTTTCCCCTCCTTCCTCCGCCTCTCCCTCGTCCATCTCGTCATCCGAGGACGCTTTGCGCTTGAGGCTGTTAGAAGTCGAGGGTCCGTCCTGTGCCGGCTTGTTTGTGTCCACTTGCTCATTGTCTTCCTCGCCCTCGGAGAGACCCTCGAGGTCGGCAAGCAGTTCGTCAGCCAAGGCGCTCATGATGTCGGTCAAGGGAGAGAAGGCCAGATGAGCGAACTGAAGAAACAAGATCTAAGAAGAGGCGCAACCGCTCGCCGGCATCGAGCGCCTTCCCTGTTACCAATCGGGAAACCCTAAAGTAGGGGCGTGTGTGCACCGATTCGGATCTTGTTCGGCACGTACTTGGCAGAGTGCGGGGTAAACGCGATCGGCGCTTCCCTCACTGTCAGTCTGGTTGTGCTCTCTGGACGACTTGCACGTCCTCGCTGGCGGCTGGGTAGCTCTCATATTCCAACAAGAAATTGCACCAGCTCTCTACATCCCCTGCAACGCCGAGGCGATGCGTCTTGCGGTGTGCAGGGCACTTCGAGAGGTCCGACCATGCCGCCACTGGCAGTCCATGCCTCCGACTCGTCATGTTAGGAGGGCGTACCACCCGTCCGTCTTACCGTCATTGGTTTCGCCACCTTCTCCGGAGTTCGTTGAGAAAGCGAAGTCGATGGAAACCCTGATAGCAGACATTGATGCTAAGATGGCTGCTGCTCGTTTAGGCGGCGGTGAGAAGGCGAGAGAACGGATGAGGAAGGCTGGCAAGAAGCTCCCTCGAGAGAGGTCCGTGACTTCCGAATGATGATACACCAAAGAGATGAACGAAGAACAGGCTCGCTCTACTGCTCGATCCTCATACACCCTTTCTTGAGCTTTCACAGCTGGCTGCCCATGAAGTCTACCCGGAATCTATCCCCGGCGCGGGTATCATCACGGGAATTGGACGCATCTCTGGTCGCGAATGTGTCGTCGTTGTGAATGACGCTACTGTCAAGGGAGGGTCGTATTATCCGCTCACCGTGAAAAAGCATCTCCGAGCCCAGGAGATTGCGAGGGAACATGGCCTGCCGTGCGTTTATGTTGGTGAGTAACCAATGAGCATTTGGTAGCCCGAATTCATACTTACCTGTCGATTGGAGGAAGTTGAATCAGGAGGTGCTGCTCTGCCCTACCAAGCGAATGTAAGATGAGCCAACAGTCTAACATACTACAGGGGTAACCAGTCACGTCCTTAGGTCTTCCCCGACAAAGAGCATTTCGGCCGCATATTCTATAACATGGCGCAAATGTCGGCCTTGGGAATCCCCCAGATTGCTATTGTGCATGGCATCTCAGTAGCAGGTGCAGTCCACTCCGTCTTATCCAGTATATGAGTCACAGAACAGGGGCCCGCTAGGTGGGGCCTACGTGCCGGCTATGGCGGATGAGAACATCATTGTGCGAGAGCAAGGCCGCATCTTCCTCGCTGGCCCCCCTCTGGTCAAAGCGGCGACTGGCGAGGAAGTCGACGAGGAGACACTGGGCGGAGGGCAGATGCACTCGTCAGAAAGCGGTGTCACGGACCACTTGGCTCGAGACGACGAACATGCCATCGCCATTGCTCGTGGCATCATCAGCGACCTTGGTAAGGCAGGCGGAAAGGAGGTCCTAGTGAGTTGCGTATTTGCATGGTACATCCACTGTCTTGTTGACAAATGCACGACACTGCCAGCCTCCGGCACCATCTGAGGAGCCTCTGTATCCTACGTCGGAGCTCCATGGCATTGTAGGTACCGACCTACGGCAAGCGTTCGACATGCGAGACGTGATTGCTCGTATCGTGGACGGCAGCAAGTTCAGGGAGTTCAAGAAGGAGTACGGCACGACTATCATCACCGTACGTGTTCCCTTTACCGGAGTGCTTTCTCACTCACAGACACCTCAGGGATTCGCGCACATCCACGGTTACCCGGTTGGCATAGTCGCGAACAACGGCATCCTGTTCTCGCAGTCGGCACTGAAGGCGACGCACTTCATGCAACTCTGCTCGCAGCGGCAGATCCCGTTGCTATTCCTCGTTAACGTCACAGGATACATGGTAGGCTCCAAGGCCGAGAAGGGCGGGATCGCAAAGGACGGCGCGAAGATGGTCCGCGCCGTTGCGTGCGCGGACGTACCGAAGCTGACAGTGATCGTCGGTGGAAGCTATGGAGCTGGCAACTACGGTGAGACCTGTAGCATCGCCATAAATCGCCTCGTACTGACGATAACACAGGCATGTGTGGACGGGCTGTGAGTTCCTCGGAGCGTTGATTGAACGCTTGCTGACAGCTTCTCAGTACTCCCCGCGGTTCCTGTGGATGTGGCCTGTAAGGACTCTACCTTTCTGTCGTGACGGGGGACACGCTGACCGTCTTGTAGAATGCCAAGGTTTCTGTGATGGGACCTGGCCAGCTCTCTCAAGTCATGGCCACCGTCTCGAAGTGAGCAACTTGCCTGGCAAGGGTTGTAATGGCCACGTAAACTTATGTGCATTGTCAGGGATCCTACGAAGCATAGCAACCTGAAAGATGAGATCGAGGAACAGTCGACGGCCCTGTATGCCTCCGCACGCTTGTGGGACGATGGCATTATTAAGCCCACAGACACACGCGACACAGTCGGACTGGCCTTGGCTCTCGCTGCAAGGGAGAGAGGCACGACCAGTAGTTCAGGCAAGCCCTCAACGACATGGGACGGCGACAGCAAAGGGTTCGGTGTCTTCCGGATGTAACAAATAGGTTTCTGACGAACAGGAAGGAAGACGGTATGTATATCAGTTTTGTACATTTGTAGGACGCTACGTCTAGCACTTTGGAACAATGTATCATTTTGTCACGGGCGAACACATGTTACCGTGATCGTCTTCTTTTGCGTGTTGGTGCGTCTGCGGAATCGTCCACGTCCATCGGGTCATCATGTTCCACACTGCTAGGGCTGGAGAGCTCGTCGGTCGAAGGGAGAACAGTGAGGCTGAGGGGCCGGTCCAGGCGTTCAGCCTAGAGTCTTCGCCGCCGGTGAGCAGTACGTTATTCTGCGGGTGTGTCAATCTCGCGGAACCTTGACAGGAATATGCAGAGTTACCTCTTCGTCCCATAATACCGACCGAACTACGCCCACATGTCCTTTCTGCCATGTATGCGACAATAGCCAGGGAGCACTTGGATCTTTGAAGGTAGAGCGAGTCAGCAGCGCAACGTCTCCCCTGTGAACAATGTCGATGAGTGCATAGTGCATTAAATCAGAGACAAAGAACCCACTCATTCGACCCGACGAATATGTTAAGATCGTTATCCAGCCATGCGAGATGGTATGATGGTTGTGTGATCCGACGTAGTAATCTGTCACCCAGGTGAACTCCTCTCCCCTATGAATGGAAGGTTGGCGAATGTCGGTGTCTTGTACCAGGTCCAACTTCACACTCATGTCAGTATGCCGAATACGCACTCAGATAGTGTGTCATACCTCCCAGACCAAACGCTGAACGTTTCCATATCGCTCGATGCCCAGATCCCCGGGGGCCTGCTCGAGTGTGTACCCACCCCGCCTGCGCTATGCTGCAGCCCCAGTTACCGACATTCAGCCCAGCCTCATCCTCATCGACCTCATCTGCATTTGATATGCACAGAAGCCCGTCTGAGGAGACGGAAAGCAAGTGTCTTGGTGAGGTCTTCGAAAAATGGACGGCGGTGATATCGTCAGAGTGCGTGGATGAGTGTATCCGGAGGGGCGCCACTGGACTGCGTGGGTCCCTGATCGACGTTTTAGCGTGAGTTTTCAGTCGATGTGCAGCTTTCGTCGAGACTGACCAGTAAAGCAGGGACGCGTCGTCTCCTTGGAGCTCAGTGCCGGCAGCAATCACTGTACCGTCAACTGAGATGTCACAGGACAGAAGGGCTCGAGGTCGGATGCCAGTAAGGGCGGACACTGTTCACAAAAATGATTCGGAGACTCGGTTTGAGTTCAGTTGCAACCCCGTATCGAGGATTGCCTGTTACTCACTTATGGGATCGTTTTTCGGAGAACGGCCGTCCCATGCTCTGACCACTCCGTCTTTGCCACAGGACAAGAGAATCGGCGACACTGATCCGGCAAAGCTTGACGCGGAGCGCAGACATGTAACAGCCCCTTCATGCCCAGCGAAGGTGCGCACACTGTCCAGCCGCGACTTGTCGAATAGATGGATCGCATTGTCTGGTGAAGACGCGGACAACGCGTAGCAAGACGGCAGGGAGACTATGGACAGAACATATGCCTCAGACGGCAGCGAGGTTGTCTTCAGACGCGTGATGGTGTGTTTTGAGGCGGGGGAGTCGAGGAGGGCCATGGGGAGGTGCTCACTGCCCGTGCCTGAGGCTGAGGATGTTTTCCTGGACGGTCTAGACGCTGGCTGGCACTGGGCGCTTGCGGCAGTCGCCTGTTGTCAGCGCCTCGCATTCCTGTCCTTGTTTCGCCTTCATTCCGCTCGCCGACCTCGAGCTCATCGCCATCGACGTCTGTGACACCTGCGGTCTTCCCTCTCCGGTCTCTGACCACGCCCACCACGCTCTTTTACAACACATTCGTTTTCGGATTCGTACCGCTCTCGCCCGACTTCACACTCGGGCCTTGAGCGACATTACAAGTACATTTATAGATCACAGCGTAGAGTTCTCTCCATTTCTTGGTTAGCATTTGTACAATGCGTCGCTCTGGTGGTATGTAACACCGCAATGTTGCCTGCTTGCCCTCACAAGCTCACCGTGTGTGATACTAGCTCCGCGTCTTCACCGCTTGCCACAGCGTCTGGACTATGCACTGATCCCGGCCCCGCTTGGTGGGTAGTCATATGCTTCCATGCACTTCCGTTCTTCTCACTGACGAGGTCGCTACTTCTCTTTGCCCACAGACTTGTCCAAGCCCCTGGTAGACGAGAAATCTCCCCTACCGGCCATTATTGTGACACCATCGTCTCCTTCACACGATGGTGACTTCGCCATCGCGTTCTTGATGCCTCCGCCCAAGCCCTCGACGTGGCAGCGAATGGTCGACTCGCTTCCCACCATTCCGCGCCTCCCGTCCCAAATCCAGCTTCCGCCGTCTCCCAAGCCGGAGTACGAGCGTGTCGGGTCGTGCAAGACGCGTGCGCGCGCTACCGTCCTACTTCTGCTGCTCCTGTTCATCATGGTCTGCCATGTGTCATGCACGAGATTGCAAAGGATCGTCCGCGCATGGAGTTCAGCACGATCCACGACAGTCCGCTGGTGCACTTGGCACGCACGACCGTATGGATACCGCCAGCGCCTCGGATGACACACCGCGAAGGACACTGCCACTCCCGCCTTCGGTGGGTGGTTTGACCTGAATGCACTCTGGGCACCCACAATGGCGATGCAAAGCGGACGCCCGACTTCGTCGTCATCGAGGAAGGTGCAGACACACTGAAGCGCGCCACAGAGGGACAAGCTAGGGAGCCTACATCCTTTGCCACGCTACTGTCACGACATTTCATGTCCTATTCGCTGTCGGGACTATTCGTTCAACGCGATGGATTGGATTTTTGGGGGTTGTTGTGAAAGTTGGTTGCTGTATTTATCAAGTAACATCATTGGTCCGTTTAATACCGGTTTATACTTCGGTGTGCCCAGCCATTTTCCCTTCGTTTTGGCGAGGCATGGGCCTCTACTCAGGTTAGATTGGCATTTGAGGCATTTCGTTTCGCGTGCATGTCCCCGTAAGTGGAACATGCTCGTTTAACGTCGTGATACTGAGCAAACCGTTCTACAGATTAGCAGTGCTATGTCATGTATCGCTACCCGCTGGCTTATATCATCGGTGGTTTCGCGCTCAATCAGTCCTCCCGCTTGGGCATTCGAACTCACATGGTCATTCTTGTGGTAACGCTGTCAGCTCACATGTTCTAACTCAGGCATGCTATTGTACAGCGGTCGTCCGCTGGCATAGGCTGGCATCTATTGCTACCTCGCACCGCAGGTACAATCACCAACGAGGTTCCAGATGCCTGTGCAGACGACATGCGCATTTTGTCCCACCTGACCAGGAAATGGTACTCGCTCCGCTAATGCAGTGACCCGTGACCCCGTCAGTGCAGTCTAACGTCGCGATTTCAGCAGGGCGCCCCAAACCCGCGCAGTACTTACGTCCGGAGCTTGACTGGAAGGGATATACGGTGCGTACGCGCTCTTCAGTCTTGTCCCGCTGCCCATTCTCTCCTTTCCCCTCCAGTAAACCCAGCCAATCCCACCTGGGAAAGCAAGACGAAGATCTGCACTTCTCAGGAGCCAATTAGCAAGCAGCACAACGAATAATTACAATGTTCTCGGGCGGCGGATCTTCGGACGTGCTGTGCTATAGGCGCATGATGATCCCTTGTGCTTTCCCTCCATGCTCTGCGGGGTAATATGCGGGGAAATCGGCGGGGGAAAGACCTCAACTCTACCTGGGCTGTCACAGTACTCGCTGTAATTACGGACGGTGGTCCGCGTCTCCCGAATGGTTTCATGCCATTGCCTCGGTAGGAGCGAGGCTTGCACGGTAAACAGATAAAGGCGACGAACGTCCCGGCGGGTTTTTGCGATCGGCTTCATTGGACGCCTTACCTTGTCGTTCGGCGGATTAACGCAAACCCAACTGGCTTACTGGACAACGAGGCGTTTCTAGTCGGGATGTCTACAGACAAAGTGGGCGGTGTCGAGCACATCGACCAGTCCTCGTTAGGCGATCTGCAGAAGTCACCTCTCGAGGACGAGGTTCCGCACCATTCGAAGCTCGCTGAGGTTCTGCGAAGGAGAAGCCCAGTGAGTCTCTTTCCGCGATCGTCAGGGTCGTTCCCGATTGACGGACGTGCGTCGCAGATCCATGGTCCGGAAGCATGATCAGGCTTTACGGTGTCGTGTTCGTTGCCTATCTATGCTCGGCGACGAACGGCTTCGATTCGAACACCTTCGGAGGCGCGTCTGCCATGGCGAGTTTCCAGAACTATTTCGATGTCGATGGCGGTTCGAAGCAGGGCCTACTTGCAGCGGCATATGTCATTGGCAACATGGTAAGAAGATGGATTCGTTGCGCTGAGAATAACTGCGAAGTCTCACCCGCTCTTAGGTAGGCTCTCTTGGAGCGGGCCAAGTCTCGGACAAGTGGGGGCGAAGGGTCGGCATGGGCGTAGGCTCATTTATTTGTTTGGTCGGAGCCGTAGTCCAGGCTGCATCGCAAAACATCAACTATCTCATTGCCGGGCGACTTGTTCTTGGGCTAGGAGCTGTCATCGCACAGACAGCAGGTGTGCATATCATTAACCCGCTTTAACCCTTCCAAGACTGATATCCGACATCTTCAGGGCCCGCATATGTCGTGGAGATGTCACATCCCGCGTATCGAGGGATCATGACTGGAGCGTGAGTCAATCACTATATACTACCGAACACACTTCTGATCACGCGCATAGTTATCAGGCCAATTTCTTCCTCGGGACGATCATATCAACCTGGATCGAGTTCGGTCTTTCGTATCTCCCAGGGAACCCGGATATTCAATGGAGGTTGCCGTTCGGCCTTCAGGCGTTGCCATCAGTCCTCGTTCTGACGTTTATCTGGTTCATCCCTGAGACACCTCGTCAGTAGCTTGATTCTTGCAACCGACTTACTGACGACCGACAACGCAAGCATAGGTTGGTACATAGGCCACGGCCAAGATGAGAAGGCGCGAAAGGTCCTGGCCAGATATCACAGTCAGGGAAACGAGAACAGCGGCATTGTGCGCCTGCAAATGCAGGAGATGAAGGAAGTCATCGAAGTCGAAAACGGAACGGACAAGAGGTCGTATCAATCTGCCCTGGTGCAATACTTGACATTCTGACGTACCGACAGATGGTGGGATATCCGCGGCCTTCTGCGGACTAAGTCAGATCGTCACCGGTTCTTCCTTGTCCTTTGCATCGCCTTCTTCGGTCAGTGGGACCTACCGCCGACAAGCTATTATTTCCCTCTAATGGTAACACTTCCTCTAATGAGTGTCGTGTGTCTGACCCGCAGTTTGCTAGGTCGAGAAGGCCGGCGTGACGAATGAACATATGGTTCTCATGCTCAACGCCCTTCAGGTACATACATCCATGCTATCAGTGGTCCCAGTTGACGTCCTATGTACTCAAGACACCCATCATGATGATTGCCGCCCTCAGTGGCTTGCAGTTCATTGAGAAGTGGGGCAGACGCCCACGCTCATGCTCAGTTCAACAGGGATGGCGATGTGTGTCGTTGTCATCACGGTCAATCTCTTCTACTTCGCCCGCCCATCGAGATGTCCTAACCACACAATGACAGGTATGCACCGCATTGACGCCGACTCGTCCGCAAGCCGGAGCTGTAGGGATCGCTTTCTTATACATTTTCCTGGTCGGTGAGTGTGTGTACTCGGAGCGCGAGTACGGTCCATGTTCACCAACGAAACCTACCAGTATTTGCATTCGTGTGGACACCCATGCAGTCGTTATACCCTGTTGAGGTACTGTCTTACAACAACCGGTGCGACACGGTCGTCTGACTCAAGCGAGAAGCATGTCAACTTACGTCGTCCCCTGTGCAGTGCGAAGGGCTTGGCGGTCCTGAACCTTTTCGTCAACGCCTGTGGATTGTTCAACACATATCTGCCTCCAGTTGCTATCGGCAACGTAGGCTGGCGGTTAGTCACCATAAACTTGCCCGCCCGCTGCATGTCCGTCTGAACCATTAGGCAGGTTCTATTTGTTTTATGCGTCCTGGGACGCCCTGGGCATAATTGTCATCTACCTGACGTTCGTCGAACGAAAGGACGGTAAGTGGGCGCTGCAGTATGATACAGCGCTCCGTGCTGACCGGGGCCCCACACCGACAGCAACCTGGAGGAGATCGACATGATCTTCCAGTCACCGCACCCGTGCGAGCCTCATTGCAGAAGCCCTCAGTCGACCCGGAATAGGCTCATACAATCTTCGGAGACACCGCGAAGAGAGATCAGCAACTGCAGACCTCAGGTTGCCCTTGTACTTGTATCATGGCAGTTGGAATGTTTGCACCATTCCGAGGTTGGTTTGTGCGGGACATTTCCCGAGACAGTAAGTCAGCCGCTATGGTTCCCGGCTCATCTCCATCCAGATGATCGGCAGGGGCACAACGAGTGGTGAGTCCGACGCCGCGACGGCTAGAGATCGCGTTCCTGCAACCAGACGCCAACGTCGACGGATGCAGAGCCAAGCGGCATCGAACATAACGCCGGGTCGTGTGTTGTCTCTAAGTTGCGACAGCGGACGACTCGTCGATGAGTTGTCATCGATATCTGCAGTGCCTGCCGATACTAGTGCAGATATATCGGTGCGCTTGCGCGATGAAATGTCAGTTGTCGGTCAGCCAGGGGTATGTCTTCTGCAGCCTAGTACGCTATGTTGACTGATTGGTTGGAATTCATTAGAGTTCTGAGTACCGTATGCGTGCGTACGATACTGCAACTGCAAGACGCCTTGAGGCGCCCCGCTGTCCGCGAGCAGATATATGAACGTCTTGGCGTGCCAAGACACGACGACGACCAACTTGCGAGCACGGACTTGCATTCAATAATCGCTTCTACATACACCCTCTTATGCGTGAATGATGCCCCTCGCACAGTGCGGTCGTGGACCAGACTCGGAGAAATGTGTCTCAACCCATATCCGGCCACATGAGCCTGGCTAGGACCGCTACAAGGAGGCTGATCAGAGGGAGCAGACCACGACACAGTCAGGTTGTCACACCCTGGACGATGGGAATCACGGACCAAAGCCTCTTGTTCGAGGCATTTGTCGAGTTGACAGAATGACTCGGCTTGATTAGGGTGCCAAGAGTACGTCGACCACAGCCTTTGTGGAGGTAAGCCATGCGTGACCTCGAGGTCAGAGGTCAGACCACACTATATAAGCTCGTGGGCATTGATTGCGCTCGCAGAGCGGAGGTCGCCCCTTGCCCTTCTGGTATATCACCAGCCCGTTTGTAGGCAGCACCTAGTCCCGCTTTTTCATCGCAGCAATGTTCTGGTTGGGGATCTTCCGTATCTCAGTGCTTGGTGAGTTCTTATGGTGCCTCGTACGACCATATGACGTTGAACGACAATCCAGCGTGGACCGCGCTCTGCGGCATCATCGTGCTCGCCTTGGGTGGAAACAGTATTTCTGTGACTCAGCAGTACTTCAACAGCTACTCCAGCTATGCAGCCCTTGGAGTGGCGACGGGCGTGCTTGCCTTTGTAACGCTCCCCATTATGTATGCCTCTCCATCGATTTTTGAAGCTTGATCTCACATTAGCGAAGGATTGCCCTCGATTTCTTCCTGAACACATTCACGTCCTGGATTGTAGTCGAGCTCTCGTGGCTAAGTGCGTATGTTGTCACACCTCCTGGGCCTTTTCTGACTGCCAGTCAGGCATCCTTTGGGTCTTGTTCCTCGCGACCGCCGCCCGCGGGCAACGACTTGACCGCGGTCAACGACTCGTGTGAATTCATATACGTTCAGCAGAACATGTTTGCCACGAGACACAGGGATTGGCGGCGTTCGCATTCCTCGCCTGGATTCCCCGTAAGTAAACTGATCGAGGCCTCATTCTCAGTCTGCTCACTTGTATGTCCGCACAGTTATGGCTTACACGATACGCTGTTGGTCGTTGCAATTCTGAACAGTGGCGAGAGCACGAACATCTGGAAGTCCTCCGTCAAAGATGCGTTTGAGGATACGAAGTCTGGAAACCAGTATCCGATGGCAACGAACGCACACGCGGAGCCAGTTGTGCAGCCGCAGCCACAGACTGTGTAAGGCTCTCTGGGCCAGTATACATGACGACTCGGTTTAGCACCCTACTTGTAGGGAGCACGGAGGACCTATCACGACTGCTATGTTCACTTTGTTTGATGATTTCTCATTGGGGTTATGATATGGGTCACTTAATGGTATGGATATCCCGTAGACCATAAGACGTGTGACGTAGAGCTGTGTCGAGTCTGTCGACGAAGTACGACATTGTAGGTAATTGCTGTCGAAAGGCTTGCGCATGTGCACGCGTGCGCGTCGCGTTCGACGCGGCTCACGTGGGCGCGTGTCGACGTCAGACTGGGGTGCCACAGCCAAGGCGCAAATGGGGCGTGCTCTTGACTTGCTCTTCCTGAGCAGGCTCACTTTCCTCTACCGCACCTTCTGTCTCTTTGACTTCGCACTGGTCGCTCACAGGGAGAATGGACGCGCTCTTTATACCGCTGGCAGCAGCGGTGGGTGCTTCGCTAGACCAGGTCAAGGTACGCGGTTCACCGTCCCAAATTAGCGTCCGATCCCAGGTATCTTATGCGGCACTCCTCTTAGTTGATATCCTGCTTGCTGGTGTCTTACCCATTGGGGAGCATCTTCATCAGACTACCTGTTTCACAGCCTAATCTTAGACATGTCTTCAACGTCGCTGTCACGTCAATATACCTGCTGCCCATACTGAACATGGGTGCTGCATACTTCCAGTTACTTGCCGACATCTTGTTCACATACTATGTTGCTGCATATGTCAGAACCTCAAAAATGCCATGGATCGTATTCGGGTACGTAGCCTGCATCTCTGTGACAGGGACGATGTATAACCCTGGAGCAGCACCATCATGTCACACCTAGTTTTGAAGTACGTTCGTTCTCTCTCCTCGTGCGCAGAGGCGTTGATTACCCTCACCTCAGTCATGTAATTCGGGCTATGTTGGGCCAGAGCTACGAAACTTACGAGATCACGGGTCCCCAAATGGTGTTGACCATGAAGCTTACTACTTTCGCATGGAATGTATATGACAGCCGCAGACCTGCAGAGGTGCGTACCAATCTCACACATGCAGGGCAACAGCTGATTTTATTCCTGCACAGGATCTCGACAAGTGGCAAGCGGAGAAGCGCGTGAGCGAGTATCCGTCCTTGCTCGCCTTCCTCGGCTTCGCGTAAGTGCACGTTCATTCCTCATGCACCTCTTGCCGCTTCTTTACCATCAGCGTCATACTGCGCATAGGTTCTACTTCCCGGGCTTCCTCGTCGGGCCTTCATTAGAGTACGCAGACTACGACACGCTCATTCACGGCACGCTGTTCCAGAAGCTCGAGAAGAAGGACAACACTGGACGGGGCAGCCGACGGCTGGTGCCCAAAGGCAGGAAACGTGTGGCATACCGCCAGATGATCTTGGGTCTCGCCCTCCTTGGGACGTATGTTACGTTCTCGGGGTCGGCCAACCTCACGGTAACGGTGCAGGATTGGTATGTCAAGAAGGGTTTCCTCTACCGGTACGCGTTGTTCTCAAGCGCGATGATTCCTACAACTTAGACTCAGCGGTCTAGGATTGCCTACTTGCAGTTCTGCGGGTTCATCGAGCGCACGAAGTACTACGCTATCTGGACTTGACAGAGGTAGCATAGGCAGTGTGATCGTCTGTTTAGCGCTAACCGACGTGTTTTAGGGTGCTTCTATCCTCACCGGACTCGGCTTCACGGGGTTCAACTCCAAGGGAAGTCGACCTGGAACGGCGCCGCGAATGTAGACATGCTGAATCTCGAGTTTCCGCCGAACTTCAAGGTCTTGCTGGACTCGTGGAACATCAAGACGAACGTGTGGCTCAGGGAGTGCATCTACAAGCGTGTTACGCCCAAGGGCAAGAAGCCGGATTCAGGAGCAGTATGCTCACGTTCACGACAAGCGCTATCTGGGTGACTAGTTTTCAAGCATGCACTGGGCATCCACTCATCCTAATGTTCATTCATGTAGCACGGCGTTCAAGGCGGATACTACCTGACCTTCGCCTTTGGAGGGTTCATCCAAACTGCACAGCGCCTCTGCCGCCGGCACATCCGCCCACTCATCCTCCCTGCCACTTATGTCGCCTCCAAGGGCGCACCCCTCCGCCTCAACGACAATCAAGCGTGCGTACGACCTGCGGGCACGTTGTCTCATCCTCGTCCTCAACTACACCGTCATCCCGTTCATGCTCCTCGACGCGCACCGTCCCTCGTTGGCTGGGCGAACCTCAATGGTATGGCCACTGGATGGTCGGTGGCTCGCTGGTGTTCTTCTACGCTGGAGGAGCAGGCCTGCTGAAGGGAATCAGGCGAAGAGGGTCGGAAGGGCCGTATGCAGGCAGCTAGGAGAAGGAGATTCGGGATGTGTCGACGCATCGTCGCTCCGGTGCTGCCGCCCTTCGACGATGCGGCGAAGGAGTTGAGGCTTCTGACTTCATGAAAAGGTCAACGACCCGAAACGAGCGGGTTGATTGGGTTCATTTCAGACGGGCGATTTACCATACACCATTATTGCTTGTCATCCTACATCAACTATTCGTAATGGGCAGCCTATATGTCAGTGATAGTGGGCGTTCAGTCCCCTGAGAGGATGTTTCATTCTTAGAGCAAGGATAAAGAAAGCGAGTGCAAGGACACATGCCTGGGTCGCGTATGTGAGGATCACTTCCTAAACGCCTGTGTGGCACTGGTGCTTGTCCTTCGCCTGCACTACCATCCTGCTCATGCGTCCACGCCAATCGCGTACACGAGAAACAGTGTGAAAATCTGCCTACGCGCTGATACACTCCTAGAAAATGTCTCGACCGGCAGTGGCCGACAACCTTCCGCCCAGTGCGCGATCCATCGCTCTCCTGCTCGCATCCACGCCCACAGTGCAAGATGCCCAACCTGGCGTCCTCCACCAGCTGCTCGAGTTCTCGCACCGGTATACACACAGGTGCTCTCGGACGCGCTTGTCTACGCAGAGCACGCAGGGCGGACAGGGAAGGTCGAGATGGACGACGTGATCCTCGCTGTACAGGCCCGTGTAGGCTGGGAGTTCGGAGGCCGCGTGCCAAAGGAGGTGCGTCTCAGTCATTCTCTATTCCTCCATGTAATGACCATCCATCCTGTGCGCAGTACATCCTATCGCTGCCACTCAAACCAACTCCGTCCCCCTGCCCTCCGTCCCGAAGTCTTCGGCGTCCGACTCCCACCCGCAAACGACTGCCTCACCTCCGTCGACTTCGACCTCGTCCCGAACAAGCCCCCGCCCGGCGTCAAGCTATATGATGAGGAGGTCGAGGAGGTCGAGGAGTCCGAAGAAGAGGACGAAGACATGGAGCCCGCTGCCATCCCCGCGACGTCGCGCGCGGTCCCCCCACCATCCGCTCAGGCGCAACCGCACAGCAGGCGGGCCCCAATAGGTGCGCTACACACGCCGTCGGACGTGGATATGATGACGCCTGGCGGGCCCGCCCGGAGGAGGGAAGCGAGGCAGACGAGGAGGATGGGTTGTTTGGCGGAGCTGGCGAAGAAGAGGAGAGCGGGGACGAGCCTATGGAAGAGGTCCCTACCGCAACGCCGGCAGAGTCTGCGACCAATGGGGTGAAGCGCAAACTGGTGGAAGAGGAGGACTATGATGAGTGCGTTGCTGTCCGTCGAGATGCATGGGACTATTTGCTCAGAGAGGCATGTATTGTACTGTAAAATCAATGCATAAATTGTAGGTCTACGTGTAAAATCCATGGGCAGAGATGCAGTCATGAAGATGCGACGATGTATCGAGGAAGAAAGTGCGACTGAACAATGATCATAAGCCCTCGTGCATCGATTGAGCGATGAACGCAAACAGCAGCACGAGCAAGGTAAGAATGACGATGACCCAGAAAGTCCAAGCTGGAGCGGATGGTTAGTATTAATGTGACGGAGTATTAAATAATACGCACAGATGGCACCGAGGTTTCAGGCACAGTGACGACACGGACGGTGTTGTCCGCACTTCCAGAGACGAGGAGATTGGACGCGGTATTAACCGTAGTGTCGTGGGTGGGAAGTCATGCGCTTTCAGGATGGTAATTAGGGGCTAAGTCCCAGGAGAGTTAGAGAGATGCAGAAATCAAGCTCGTGATAGTTACCTACCGCCAGGGTCTTCGCATCCAAGATACCGACGGTGTAATCCGAGGAGCCAAAAGCGACAAGCTTGCCGTTCGGACTGGACGGGCTCATCAACCACTATTTCATAAAACAAATCCTCACAAACCTGACGTCGAAACATGTAACACCCTTGTCGCCCACTTTGCGCATCTTCGTCACTTCCCACTTCTCAGTGTCCCACTTACACACGAATGCGCGCCTCGGTGATGATTCGTTCTTGTCCTAGGTGGGACGGCGTTGATTAGGGTGTAGAGCACCTTTCCGTCCTGCGGTGGAACCTAAAAGAGCGGAATTATCAGTGAAGGCAGCTTAGAACCTGTCATGTTGGTGCGCACCTCACAGAGCGGAAACTGCTCCCGGCATTATTCCCCGGTAGCGTAGGCCTCTCAACTGCTTCATAGCTGCAGCGCTTGCAGAGCGTTCTCTTTCTCCTTCCCGGCAGCCTTCTCACTCTTCCCTTGGCTTCAGATGGCGGGAGAGCATACACCAAGAGGCTGACAGTGGTCGCCACAACGAGCTGGTCCCGTACCACGGTGAGCCAAGAACATGTATAACGTAGATGCGTACTTACAGTGTTTGATGAGAACGACGCATCGTAAATCTCGCCCTTATCAAGGTGGACGGGAGCTGCCGCAGGGGCAAGCGACGGATAGTACAGGAGAGATAGCTAGTGAGGATAGAAATGTGAGCCACTGTGCACCAATGACGACCGCACTGCGCTTACATCTTTTGTGCCGGCAGCGGCGAGGAGGTCGCCAGAAGGCGAGAAGGCGGTCACTTTCTATGCTCAGTTCAGTCGTTGCTACGACTGCGGAAGGCCCAACAAACCTGAAAGTCATCTTCGAGCTCATTGATCGACAATGTGCTCTGGGATTTTGAGAGAGCCAGTCTGCTATTGGTTTACTGACGTGTCACTCTGGCTGTTGGAGGCACATACCTCTTGTCTTCAACGCCAAATATACGACAGTTCTGGTTTTCGCCGGTCTGCAGAGCCTCGACTGAGCTGTTCACGCCGCATGCAAACGATCTCTCCGACGGATGCGCTGCCATGCTCATTGGTGCATCCTCGCCCTTCTCTAGTTCGAGCTCATGCAGCAACTCGATGTACTTGTCGGTATCTATGCGGTACAACGCTGTCATCAAGCGTCCCATAAGGCACGTCGCTACTCGGAGTGACTATACACGAGGCTCACCAACTTGTTCTTGATACCGGTCTTCGACTGACCTCCGCCACCTCCGAGGACGAGCTCGTTCTCGGAGATGAATGCGGATGAGTATACCGGGAAAGCGGGCAGAGAATGGGGTGTATGCTTCGTCCGCATGCCTTTAGATTTAGCAGTTTGCGCTGTAGAGCTCAGTGAGTAGTAGCAGTTACGGCAACAATGGCGGGGCGCCAGGAGCAGGCGGGGGACACAGGTCACTGTAAACGCGGGGACGACGCGTCCGGACTCCGGGCTTCCAGCGACGCACGTGCGTACTCGACTCCCTGCACGCAAGCGCGCCACCGCTGCAGCTGAGCGGTCTGTCTACCTGCCGCCCGCCATGTTACCTTCCATCTAGTAGCACCCCCCAGCTACATGCTAGCTCGCCATTCCGATGTCCAGTATTGCCTCCATCCTATATAACGCGCTGCTCGGCGGCGGAGACGGCGGCTATGAAATACCGAGTCTCCCCCAAATAAGTCGAGGCACCTTCGCCGGGATCGTCGTCGCCATCTCCGGGAATGTGGTCATCTCACTGGCATTAAACTGCCAGAAGCTCGCTCACAAGCGACTTGAGGAGGAACGGACCACCAAGGGGGACGAATTGCAGAGCAGGACAGCGAGTGGTGAGTTCGAGCGATCTTCAGGCAATTGCATATGGGTCTAGTTATTTGTGGATTCCGGGGAGAGCAATGTTTGCAACATAGGACGGTACGCCGCTGTAGATTTGGCTACGCACTGAAGACTGTCATATGCTACTCGGGAGGCTCGACGGAAGAGACAGTGGTATCTAATTGAAGCCAACTGTCTTGTCGCAGGACCTCTGTAGTATAGCTGAGCCATACACCCTTCAGAATCTGATCAGTGCACACAAGTTACCGGGTTGTTTCGTGGTACTATTAGCTGATCAATCCATTGTCACTGGCAGGTCTGAACACCCCGACCACCAATCCCGGAAGTTACATACCATCTCCTCAACCGGGCACTCCTGCCATTGCAGTCGTCGAGACAGAACCACTCCTCGGCTCTCCAATCACACACGACCTGTGTCCGCAAGCTATGGTAGCGACTCCGCCGTTGTGCAAACTCGGCAAGGAAAAGCAGCGAGCCTTTCTGTCTAGGCTCTTCGTCTTCCGCGAAGACGACGAGCGCCCCTTCCAAGAGACGGACTCCGCGCATCTCGCACGACCCATGCGCTCATGCCAGTCGAAGTCATCCTGCTCATGCAAATGGCGAGGAACGAAGGCGTACGACGTCTAGCGAGAGCAAGACCCAGGATACGGGGAACGAGTCTGACTATCTGAAGTCGAAACTTTGGTATGTATACTGCCCAGTCACGTCGTCAAATACATCCATTGTAGTCGTTCCTCACCAACATACAGGTGGTTCGGATTCATCCTCATGAACATTGGCGAGCTGGGGAATTTCATCTCTTACGCCTTCGCTCCTGCTTCAGTTGTTGCCCCGTTAGGCACGGTGAGTATGATGCGCATTTCAGATAAGGTGGCATTGTGTGACACGATTCTTTGACAGTTCGCCCTTATCGCCAACTGCTTTTTCGCGCCGCTCATGCTCAAAGAGAGATTTCGGAAGGTAAGCTCACTTAGCCTTTCCAGCTTCATTCATTTGCTGACGTCCCCTAAAGCGAGATTTCTTGGGCATCCTGATCGCTGTTGTCGGCGCTGTGACTGTCGTGCTCTCTACCAACCCGTCTGATGTTCGCCTAGGTCCTGACGCCCTCGTCCATGCGATCACTCAACGTCCATTCGTCATCTATGCTGTTATCTACATCGCAGGTGCCACCATACTCACTATACTCTCTGAACGCGGAGCGGGAAAACAGTACGTGTATGTCGACGTTGGATTGTGTGCATTGTTTGGTATGCTATCCATGACTATCGACAGTTCAGAATTACCTGACAGCGCTGTTTAGGTGGCTTCACGGTGCTTGCGACAAAAGCATTCTCGACATTGCTCACTCTCGAAGCGTTTGAGATGTTCACTCAATGGATCACATACCCAGTGCTGCTGGTGAGTTTGGACACGTCCCACGTATACGCAGCAATAACGCTGTTGACCTCCAGGTTTTAATCAGCACGGGTATCGGTCAGATCCGATACCTTAACCGTGCTCTAATGCGCTTCGACAGCAAGGTATGCCTTCTGCGCTTCCGCCTGAAAGTCAAGTTTCTAGACGATGAACGTGCAACAGGTCGTCGTGCCGACCCAATTTGTCATGTTCAACATATCCGCGATCGTGGGCTCCGCGATCCTCTACGGTGACTTCGCGCGGGGCACCTTCCACCAAATCGTCACCTTCCTCTACGGCTGCGGGGCGACCTTCGTGGGGGTGTTCATTATCGCCTGGGCTCCTTCGACCTCACAGGAGCCGGAGGAGGACGAAGAGGGCACGATAGGCGACGTGCCGCCTTCGGAGGTGGACGGGACTGTCACTGGGTTGAGCTCGAGATCAGGGAGCGTCGCGCACCGCAACCGAGTAAGGGTTATTGCCGCGGACGGTTCGTCTGCGACGCCTATCCTCAGGAACAGGCACAGCGTTGTCAGTATGTATGGCCTCTCGCCTGCACAGGTATGACCTCGCCTCTCACTTCATGGCAAGGGCTGCAGTCTCACTGTGACATGTCCAGCGCGCCCTACTCCTCGGCTCGCCACCTCGCGACGACGTGTCTCGACCTCACTCTCGAGACCCTGAACACGAGCCTGCATCTACTCCCGAGTCTGTGCGCCGGAGACGGACAGTGAGCTGGCTCGGTGAAGATGGCCCACACGGGCTATTACGACGGACCCCTGCGACACCCATCAACGCGACCAGGGAAAACAGCCGAGTCCGCGCGCAAAGCCATAGTGTGGCGAACAGAAGCGTGAGCCAGAGTCCATATTGAAGGATGTTAGCAACGGATGTGTGGGGTGTCTTGTACATTATATACCCTGGACAGTACAGTTGTCATCTATCTATTACTAATTGAACAGTGTCCCGACATGGGGTACGGCCTATTAGAGTATGTACAGTAATTCGCTATCGAGATATACGCTACGTGTGTGTTCGTACAGACTGGGTTGTGAGCACCGATGCATTTTACGGAGGTTCTGGAGACTAGCGGTGCCACGGGAGATCTCGTAGCAGCGGACATCATAATCTAAGCACTTGGGGAGGTGGCAGCTGGCGAACGCCGTTAGCCATAGGGGCTTCGGGAGCCGTGAATACGCAGTAGCACCCGCAACCTGTCGCGCATGCCGCCTCGTGCTTCGCTCTTGTCCTTAGACAAGTGATATGCGTTACATGCCCACAGAGGAGACAGTTGTGAGAAAGCCCTGGCGCACTCCGTTAGCATTACTGACCGGGAGAAAAGGTAGGCCATTCACCTTTCGCTGGGAGACGGCAGACCGAGCAGCGAGGGAAATATGTCTTGCCTCCACAAGTCACACATTCTGTGCTAGCGTCATTGTCGCTCTGTTGCACACCATGCCCACATATTCGCACGCAGCCTTGATTCAGTAGAGGTCAGCGACATGAAGCAAGCCTTTTCGGTAAGGCATACCTAGACAATCCGCCGCAACGGCGGAGTCGAATACTGTTGAGAGGAGCTCCCTTTCTACGGACTTGAGCAGCTCTGTCCGCTTCTCAGGTAGACCCCATACTAGAAGCATCTCAGCATATGCCAAGACATGGCACTGAAGCTGCGTTCGCAGACTCCCCAGTAAAGAAGACCTGGACAGTACCCATCGTGAAAGACCAAACTTCGAAACACTGAGTTGAATGCCTTACATTGGATCCGGAGGCTCCGGTGCGATGTGAACATTGAGCCGCTTTTGGTCAGGACCCAATCTAGGAGTCGACAACACTTGTGAAAAGGTTGGTCGTCGTGGATGTCCCGCAGATGAGAAGGTGATTGTGACGTAACGGAAGACATGTTGGGAGCTTCTGACCACGACTTGGTTATCGGCGGTGTATGATGAACGGACGAGTCTCGATGATGTCCCTGATGGGGTGATGAGTGTCCACGACCGACATGCCCACCGTCAGGGAGTGGAATGGGCATCCGCGGTTTGGGACCTGTATGACATGGTCAGACAAAACTTCGGTCAGGGAGATGAAATATAGCACCTGTCATGAACTGCCGCATGCTGCCGGCATGGAACAAACTCGACCAAGAACCTCGTGAAGAAGTAGGGGATGATAGAGGGGGTGCGACGGGTGTTGGGGATGGTGATGTGCGTGGCCATATAGGAGATAGTGAGACTCTACGCTGTAGTGCCCTACGATACTCAGGAGTGCTCGTGTTCGGAGTCTTTTGTGTATTGGAATTGGCTACGAAAATGTGCCCATGAGAATCCCTTGCTCTGTATAACGTTTGTAGTTCGCATGCGTGACACTCACACAAAGCTGTCGATTGTAGGAGGAGGGCAGATAACATGGCTAACATTTGAATGTCCTTAGTTTGCGACAATTCTTGATACCTGAGGAACCGTGTTTAATTCCTACGATATTGTGGGAAAGATTACAACTCACAGCGTTGTCGCAACTCGAACAGCTAGCACTCGATTACCGTGCGTTGACGGATGCAGTACATGTCCATCCTGACCCAGCTTCGTCGCCTCGGTGAAGACGGCTTCCAGTATCCGCAATATTCGTTCATGGTCGATGCGACCTCTTGCCTTCGCGATGTCAGCATTTTCTTTGCACCACTCTGTGGGGCTGTTCGCGGCAAACGTATACTCCGAAGCCATGGTGGCATCAATCCCAACCAGAGTAGACGTGTCCTTGATGAGAACGGAACTGCGTCTCTGGGCTAATAGCGAATAATTAACAGGGATGTCTTCCATAGGCCTGGACTGTTCCGAGACGCGCCGGGATTTATGTTGCGAGTAAGTGGACAAGTTTGTCATTATCCGTAGAATATTCCCCGCATCGTCAGCCTGGTAGTTGCTTTCAGTGACTGTCGCATCCCGGTCCTGAGCAGCATGCGTAAGTCGCCGTACGGCGTCGGACAGCAAGGCTGGCGACGCTAGAGACGGTGACACCAAGATCTCACGCATTGTGTTCTTGACGATCCTTGGTGGGGCGGGAAAGAAGCAAATGAGTTGACCTATGCACAAGAGATGGCCTTAGTTGAGGATAGCTCAGAGTTATCGAATGCCATTCACCATTAGGACCGAACACCCCTTGAGATGTCCTAGGTTCGGCGAGATTCTTGTCAGATCTCAACAAGGAGAAGCTAGTGCCTCGGTTACGGCGAGTCGATGGTGGCATGTCTTCATCTGAGGAGGACTCTGAGTCCATCCCAATACGACGACCTACATGTTCCTCGTCATCCCCGATAAGCAGGAACCGCAGGCATTTCTCCAAGCATGGTCTTTCCTTCTCCCGGATAGCGCGAAGACGCCGAAGAATGAATGCGCGAGTCGGCATATCGATGAGCGGACTCCTATCCAAATCAACCCTTGGAGTTCCCATCGGATGGGTAGCTTGAGGGTAGTCGCGGGGAAAAGTGAAGGTGATCCTAATGAACACTGACGTGCCTTCGCCCCATGGACCATGCAAGCCGAAGGTGCATGTTCGCTTCTTCGTAAGATCTTGCGCGTTCTCGAGCTTCACCTTCGAAGTGCTCAGTTTGTTAATGACAGTCGTGATTCTGCAGACCATCAGGGACGAACGCAGAGATGAAAGAGGTGTCTTACTCATCGTGCAAAGAATGGGCTGGTTCACCATCACGATGGTCATCCTGACTGCCTCTCCGCTCGCCATTGCGCTGTTTAGTCGACATGGCCAACGATACTGACCGATCCACAATGGAAGGGGGTCTTGACACCGAGTTGAGACGAGAGACGTTCCCGCTTTCTACTCCGCTACCAGGACCTGAGCTCCCTTCTCTCTTCGTCCCAAATTCGACACTGGACAGCCAACCGAAAGTGCTGATAGGAGCAGACCGACCTGCGAGATGACCGCGAGTCATTGTTCCTCGCTCTTGTGCAATGGGAATAGGTTTAGACAGTGCAGGCGACGAACTACTGCCATTGGTTTCTTGTGGCAGTTCAGTCAATTCCCGCTCCATTGGTAGTTTCGGGATATTTGAACGAGATGGTCGTAAGGGAACGGTGCGCGCACTTCAGCAAGAATACCTCGGTGACCGACAGGTGCAGAGAGCTTTGGAGGCAGGTCATTGCCGACAGGCGGATTGCTGAACGACACCTTCGTCTCGCGACGGGGCGCCTCGTGCGACTAGGCTGCGTAGGTGTAGATAGTCCTGCTCTCTACGATTCCCGTGAGGTGATTGTGCGCATATAGACGGCCAAGATCCTCACATGCATTGAGTCTGTATCGATGGGCCAAAACCGCAGCGTTTTATCCTTGGACCAAGTGATTAGCTGAAAATCAGAGCAATCTGGATAACAATGGTGAGTCGTTATGTCAAATACACATGAAGTGGATATGACCTGGTCCACCTCTCCGCCACACGAACTCCTTGACCACGTCCGCATGTCCCTCGAAGACGTCCATCGGCATATGCGGATCTTCGTAAGCATACATCTCCAGAGTGGTCTCGCTTCTCTGCGGCAAGCTTAGTAGGCCTCGACCGAAGGGCAGATCACGAGCTCTCCAAACAGGATAAGCAGTCCGAATGGTGAGCTTCGGAACGAGGTCGCCATCCTGTTGTGCGTCCTGCGTATCCCAGAGCTTTATCGACTTGTCCAAGGAGCAAGTCAATATCTCATTACTTCGGCCGTGCGCCCAATCAATGCCATAAATCTTCGCAGTATGCGCTCTGATTCGAGAAACAGGAAGAGAGCCCTTCTTTGGGCAGTGTCAGTTGACGGAGGTTGGTCAGCATAGTATGAGCGTGCTCACTCGGCGATCCCAAAGCAGAACTTCGTTTTGATGAGAGGAAGCCAGAAGATTTCCATCTCGACGGTTCCATTTCACCTGCGTGCCACCAGCTGCGCGTACGCTGAATACCTCGTTTCCTCCAATGCACTAGTCTACTCACAGCCAAAAGCGCATAGACCTTGAAGCCCGTCAGCATTTTGCTATGGCATACGATCATGGGTTGCTCACCCATCACTGGCTTCTGTGCTGCACGGAGGTCCCAGGCCCACAGCCAAGAATCTATACCTGTGCTCACCACAACATCTGGCTCCGTGTTGTGCCAGTTGATATCGGTGATGGCACGATAATGTGATCGCAGTACGTGCTCAATGGACGTCTTTCCAGACATGTACAGGTTCCATATCAGGCTGGCAAAGACGTCAGACATTGAAGCACGTCAGCAAGATTACTTAGGGAACGTACAGCTTCTCGCTGGAAGTGGACACAATATACTCGCTGCGAGCGAGGTGTGGATTCCATTGTACATCGGCAACATCCCAGGTCCCGCCTTGGGGCAGAAAGCTAGGAGGAAATCACAAACGGTATATATGCGGACAATCATATTATGACGAACCGTGGAACATTTAGAGGCGCTTCCAAGTCGATTATGAAAAGACCGTTCCGCCTACGCAGATGTCAGCCGGTAGATATCGCTGTGTGCAAGACATACGTCGCAAGAACCACGTCCCGACTGCTGGGACTGATGCTCATCTGCAAAAGAATGCAGACATATTCAGTTTCTTATTATCGAATACTGGGTTACGTGTGCTGTGGTATCTTTCGGAAGCCAGCAAAGTTCCGCATGACAGAGTCATGGACATTTCTGGGACAACTCTGGCATGTAACTCATACATCGCAGCTCCGTCCTCCTGCCCCCTTATACCAGACCTATAGTGAATGTTGCGTACTCACGTTGCCTACAGCATCGCCAACAAGCCCTTTCATGTTGATCTGGAGACTCCTTCGGAAGTTGCTATCATCTTCCGGGGAGGAAGGCTGCAGGACGGCCGGACGAATCGTCATTACGCTCGACATATTTCACGACCGAATACCACTTCAGACGCTCTGCGTTTGTCTTTCTCTGCGCGGGCCGTCTTCCTGTCCTGTAGTCAGAAGGCGTTGAAAATACCAACAGGAGATCGTGAAATAGCAGGTTCTGGAAAGGCGGACATGAGGGTCGCGCTGAAAGAGCAGGCTCAGGCCCAGGACGCGTTGAAGACGCGAGCGAGCCACACATGATTCTGCATCCGCACGCCTTGTCTTTCGCCTCAATCACCGTTATACACCCTGACACGCACTACGACGTAGAAGACATGATAGCGCACAACCAATATGGAGCCCGTGCGGCCAAGATACTGCTGAATGCGTATGCAATGCTGAAGGTTCGGGATCGGAGGCTCAGAACAATCAACACGCCCATTGTCGACGAATGCCTCATGTCTTCGCGCTTGCACGCTGTTCCCCTCGTGCCGTAATATTCTCTTCACCTCCTTTGAGTTTTAAATCGCGTCCGCTGTCTAATCTCTCATCCTTGCGCGACTCACGCCATCACTTGAGTCTCCACAAGAGTTCTCGAAAGCAGCCGACCCTCCCATGTTCAACGGCTTCCATACGCCAATGCCTCCCAGCGATGCCGAATTGGCCAGTCAAGCTCTGAACGAGGAGTCCATCTACCGGTTCCGCTCGTTCAATGCCAATGACGCCGTCACGCTCGGTCTGTCTCTTCGAAAGCGTTTCCGAGCGTCTTCGCGCCATGGAAAGGGAAAAGGGCTTGTGATCTCTATTCAGACCATCGCTGGTCATACTCTGTTTGCGTGTACTGTCGGTGACTTGGGCGGTCTCTCTGGCATCGGAGACGTTAGTCTGGATAGTTGGTCTTGCCTTGAGGTGAGTGGACATGTTGGTTTTTCCTTAGGATACCGCGTCCTATTGGCTCTTCACGAGCAGGGCATGGTCGCTGTAGTGCGCCGTACAGGGCACTCCAGCTACTACGTAGAGAAGGCATGGGCGCGATGGGTAAAACACCGAAGCAGCTAGGTATTGAAGGTAACTACAGAATCAACGGGGGCGGTCAGTCCGGATGCGTTCTCGAAGCATCGCAGTGGCTGATATTCCGTCAATCACAGCGTTCCCAATTTGGCTTGAGGTAATATCCCTTTAGCTACTTCACGTAGGTAAGACGACACTGAAGAGCAAACGTCGAAGAACGCACCGTGCTGTCCGATCGCAATAGTGGCATGCTATTCAGGATCGAGCACCGACGATCATCATGTGCGTACTCACCTTGAGTGGGTTGCCATCCTGCTGACTCGCGCATTACTCCTAGATGGTCGTCGCAGCAGTCCGGGACTACCTGAAGAAGTTAGCCAGGGACGATGAGTTCACTCTGCCGACAGCTTCTATGCCAATGCCTGTCCCACCAAGGGACCCCCGAGAAAGCACCGTATGAACATTCCTCTCTTTCGTTGGATCGGGTATTTATCAGGTATTATGAATAAGGCGTGGACGACAGAGCCATCCAGTTCCACTGGATTGTCATTACGACTGCACGAGCACTCCGAGCTCGAGTATCGCGACGACCATGACTTCTAGGCTGATGACAGTGTATTAGCTGATACGAGATGTACGCATATATAACGAATGGCCATTACATCCAAAGACAGGTAACATATATAGGGGGCTATCAAGGCTCCTCTTCCGAGGGCCCTTCCTCTGAACTCGCGTTCTTCGGATTCTTCAACACGCGTATAGTTTCTGCGTTGAATGTTAATGTCAATACGTGAAGAGCAGTTGCAGGACGCGAACCATGGCGTAGGAAGATCTGTCGCTGACCCTGCGGAGTGTCAGGATCAGCGCTGGGGTCGGGCTCCCGCAACTCGAAGTTCGCCTCCACGTAAACTTGAGAGCCACTCTTCAACATGCGCAGGTAGTTGTTCACGTTCTGATTAAAGGATAGGATGCTATGCCATGTTGTCTTTGGGTCATTGCGCGCTGTAGCGGAAAGTGATAACGCGATGAGTACACCATGTAATGTGGTAGAAAATGAGACTCACTGCCGTCGGGGTTGGGGGGAGGAGGAGGGTAGTTAGTAGTCGCTATGGTGTATCTACAATTCCCCACCACACATCAGCCTGCTTCGAGCGGTATATATAAGGGCATGGAACACGCACTGCACATATTCTTTGTTATTCCTGGTATAACGCAGTTCAGGGACCTTGCCCAAGCGACCAATCAGAACTAGTTTTGCTAGGTCTGCCGACCGGGAAGGAGTGGTAGAGAAGGCCTGCCAATGACGCGTCACAGTGAGTACATTCCAGCAATCCTGAGCAACTTACCCTCGTAGAGGTACGCGCAGCCGCAGCAACGCGCTGGGAGAAAGCAAGCATCTTGCGGTGAGGGGTAAAGATACTCAGGAGAAGACAGCGAGACTCGATCGGCCAGCGACCGCAAACGCGCCGGCAGCGGATGTGACGGAGTGCACGTGAGGGGGGAGGCATAACATCATTGGGAGAACCACCGCGACGGTCTTGCTCGCCGCACTGATCGCCGCCTCTCCATCCCCTGTCTATCCTTATTTCTCAATACCGTGTACATTCCGTGTACCCATAATGTCTCGTCACAGATTTGTACGCAATATCAACGTTCAAGGTATGGCAGTAATTACTCTCGCAATCCTCTAGATGACCGCGATTCTTCAGAGGAACTCGAGGATGACTACGCATCGGATGGCGGGGAGGCCGATATGGACCCTGAAGAATATGGTACGTAGTCTTTCAAGACAATCTACGCAATGTTAAACGCAATGCAGAACAAATGATGGAGGGGCTGGAACGTGTCAGGATAACACTTGGATCCCCAGAGCAGTCTGGTCTATCAGACCAGGAGATCAAGGATACCTGTACTACTACCAGTATGACGTTGTCAAAAGCGTCGACTATCTAATGGGTATGTTATGTCACACACACTCCCGTCATTGAATTGAGCTTAGCCGGTTTACAGAGGAGCAGGAGAGGAAGAAGGTTACTCAAGAGCGCAAAGGTGGGTTGCTCATGCCCGATTTGTCTCTATTTCTTCCTTCGTCGCTTTCACATTCTCGCGGGCTCTGAACGTGGAAACGAAGCCGGAGTGTCGATACTTGTCCCTCGAGCGTGCCATGGAACGTCAACGTTCTTAATTATCCGTATGCCCAGACCCGGCAGAGAAACCTTTGCCGCCTGTTCCTCAAGACGATGAGCCTGAAGGCCTGGACTATCAACCTGTCTACCCTGGCTTTGTTCCTCCCTCCATGTCTGGTAGATCAAACATCCCGCTCATTCGGTTGGCACAAATGCAACCCGAAGACGAAGACGTTGATTACTCTGAGCCCTCTGATGGTTTTCACCACACCACTCTGAGTGTCATCGAGGAGAAGACAGAGCGGTCCGAGTCTGAGGCTAGTCTTACACCGCGTCCTAGGGCCCCCGCTCTACCGCGTGTCTCCTATGCGACCTCAATGACATCAACCATAGACTACGGACAAGTGATTGGTGCGTGATCTCCTTGTACTGTCATGTGCTCTACTAAGTGTTGTTCAGAGCGCACATTGCCGAGTCCTAACGACGTTGTTCCGTCTCCATCAAGTTCGGCGCTTCAACGACTATCATATCATGAGCCCGCTCCTTCCGTAACACCCTCTGCGTCGCGGACACCATCCTCGAGGTCTCCCGAGCGAGGCACCCCTGTACCAGTCCCCGCCATGGAATCCATCCCGGATATCCCTTCAATACTGACGAGGAAGTCCACGATAAAGCCCGCAGCGAGAAGAAATCCAAACTGTCGTCACTCGCGAGTTCGAGGTCGAGCATGCGGTCGAGCGCGAGCAGTGTTAGCTCAAGGACGTACACGTCGGAAGACGGCGACGAGTCTCTTGTGACTTATCCTGGCCTCAGGCCCTCTGCCGCATCCATGATGTCGTTCGCTAACGAGGCTGATGACGCATCTACCGTCACTGGATCGTCGTCCATGTCGTCTCATGTGCGTCGGGCCATAGCGACTGCATTGGAACTGGAAGCTGTCGATGAAGCTGCTGGCGACGCCACAACTCGAACTGGTCAGGGTGCGCCACAGGCTCCGGAGCCCGTTATCGAGCGAGCCAGTCCTGCTCCCACTCGCATAGAGTTACCTTCACCGCCACCTGCCCATCCACCAAAGCTCTCGCGTCGAGTATCTCCAGCGGCCACGGCGACGCGCGAATTGAGCCTGGTCCAGCCCACATCCCCTCCAATCAGGGATACCCAATCTCCTGTGTCGTTACATCCCACTGGCAAGCAGCCTTCGAAGCTTGCCATGCTAGCCCAAGCCAAGGCTGCACAACAGCAGGGGCCATGGATGCCAAAGCCGAAGAAGACGTCTGCTGTGCCATCTAACACGCCATTGGTGTTGAACAAAACCCATACCGAATATATGCAGCCCATAGCGAATGGTGCTACTGCAACGACGGCCATCACGACTTCTTATCAGACACTCAGCAGCCTCATGTCACAAGATCGGTCCGCATTGCCGCCTTCAATACCACAAGTTGCGCGGACACCCGATATGTTGTCACCGCGAACCAGTGGTGCAAAGGAGGCAAAACCGTCCAAGCTCGCAATGAAGAGCAAGGCAGCGCAGCGAAGGGCTGAACGTGAGCCTGAGCCCGTTCTTGAAGAACCACAGATTACACCGCTATCGCCGCTGTTCTCGCCACAAGCCATTCGTTCCCGTGCGTCGCCCTCAGCCTTCGCTTCCGTTCTCGTCGATGAAACCGCTCTGATGACCCTTCAAGACACCGACGACAAGCAGACGGGTCGCAGGGAGAGATCATCAAGCGAGTCGCGAAGCGGTTCCTCCAAACATGGCTCGACTCACAGCAGGTCGGAGAAGTCAAAGCGTTCGAGCAAGCACGACAGCCTGCTTCCCCCAGCCCCGGAGTTGGCGGCCCTTCGTGGCTTCTCCTTTGACGTGCCCAGCCCAGATGACGTCGTATTCAACGCTAGACGGGGGACATCGCTCGCGCCACGCTCCATTTCCGGTGCTTCGCCCCTTCCACGTTCACCTCCCTCAGGACGTTCTTCTCATTCTCGTTCTGTTGTTGATGCTGCTGCTTCCTGACTTTTGGGCGCTGACGATGATGTGCTAACTATCATTATGTATGTCAATAAAATGTAGCTGCCAAAGAGCGCGAGAAGGCAGCCAAGTTGGCGCAGCCTAAGAAGGATGCGACATCGGCAAAGGCGACCAAGAAAACTGCTTCCAAAGAGACCCCACTGTCTAGACACGCAAGCGGCCAAGCCCAGATGGACATTTCTGGTCTTAACCTCGCGCTCAAAGACGAGCCGATCGTGGAAGAAGAACCGCCTAAGGTTGCCATTGCTTTCGACAAGCTCCTCGAACAGGTGAGGGCAGAGCTCCAGGCTCAGGAGCATGGCGAGAAGCGTGGATTGAGTCTTGTTGTGATCGGTGCGATTGTTTGGCTATCAATAACCATGATATGTCACCTCACACATGACAGGTCATGTCGACGCTGGGAAGTCTACTCTTATGGGGAGACTGCTATATGAGTTGGGACGCATGGACGAGAAGAAGCGAGTCGCCAATGAGCGCGGCAGCAGTAAGATCGGGAAAGGCAGCTTCAGTTGGGCTTGGGAACTTGACGGCACAATTGAGGAGCGCGAACGGTTGGTATCAGTGGTGTTCATTTGCTACAAGTCTCACATGAGTTCGCAGTGGTATCACCATGGACATCGCTACACAATCATTGAGCACACCGCACAGGGACATCACGATTCTGGACGCACCGGGTCACAAGGACTTCATACCTAATATGATCTCTGGTGCTTCACAAGCGGATTCGGCCCTTCTCGTTGTGGATGCCGCGACAGGCGAATTCGAGGCTGGGTTCCAGAGAGGCGGCCAGACACGCGAGCATCTGCTACTTGTACGGAGCTTGGGCGTGAGTCAGGTCATCGTTGCTGTCAACAAATTAGATCAGGTGTGTTTCTTGGTGTCTTAGTGTCACAACCTCACTGAACAGAGGTCTAGGTGCAATGGGACAACATCCGCTATGAGGTCATATGCGATGCCCTTAAACGTTCCTTGTTCAGTCAGGTTTCCATCCTTCCAAGACCAAGTTCGTCCCGGTCGGTGCCATGGCAGGCATCAACCTCACGACCCGGCAGGCCCTGAGGCTCAAGCCCTTTCGAAGTGGTACACCGGTCTCACATTAACAGACCTTTTAGGTATTCGTCGCCTAGCAAGACAATCAGTGACCGAGGCGCTAATAACGGTTTAGATGCACTGGAACCCCCGTCGCGTAATGTTACTGCACCCCTTCGCTTCCCTATCTCCAACGTCTTCAGAGAACAAGGCGCTGGGCTCGGAGTTGCTGGTCGGGTATGTGGCGGCGTCATTCAAGTGGGCGAGCATCTTCGCATTCTACCGGAGATGGTACTGCAGTGGTGAAGTGTACGTAGTCCTCTTCGTTTCATGAGCACATAAGCATTCATTTTCTTCGTGTTGCAGCGATCATGAGCGACGACAAGAGCCTGCCGTGGGCCATCGACGGCGCGAACGTCATCGTCTACCTAACATCCGTCGACCCTGCCCACTTGGCCATCGGGAGCGTTCTCTGCCGACCTTCGGACGTCATCCCGCTCTCCAGCTCGTTCACGGCGAGGGTCATCATCTTCGACATCGACATTCCTATCACCGTCGGCGCATCGGTATGTCAGCATGTCCTCTGCAGCCTACGTATATGAACGTTCGCAGGTCGAGCTCTACCACCACTCGCACGACGTCCCCGCGTCCATCTCGAAACTGCTCGCTACACTCGACAGAGCCGCAGGCACAGTCGTCAAGAAGAACCCTCGGTACGTGCCGCAACATTGAGCATCGCAACGCCTGATGAATGGTTCTCATCCACTTGCAGCGTTTTGACGAAGGGCGCGTCTGCGGAGGTGCAGATCTCACTGCGTCCCAGCGGCACGTCCGGCCCTTCTGCGAAGGCGCAGCCCATCCCGATAGAGCCGTTCTCTGTGAACAAAGACATGGGCAGAATACTAATTCGCCGCGGTGGAGAAACCATCGGAGCAGGTAATTGCACTCATAGCAAATATTGCTGCTCCATCTTAGCATTGACCATACGTTTGTGTAGGCATTGTCCTGGAGCTCAATCAATAAATGACAATGGGAAACCGCAGATACACGAAAGCAGGATCATGTACGATTGCACAGCAGAGGCAGAGGCATAATGAACGATCTATATGTAGCGAACTTACAAACGGCCCATGATATGATGTATTTCTGTTTCTTCCAAGCTCGCGAAACATGGCGTCCGCTCTCAACTCACTTGTCATTTCGTGAAAGTCTGTGCTACAAGACGATTGCATTGTTATGATGATACAATGTGACAGCTACATATTCTCCCTTCTCGCACTTTTCTCTAGCAGCGCGCCGCTGAACCAAACGGGCTTTAAGACATATCGACGACGCAGCGGATGCAATCTCCGGCCTACAGAAGGTCATAATTCTCAGATAAAAAACGGTGAAGCGACTGCGCAGCCACTTACGTGCATGTCGGCGAAGCCGGCGTTGATGTCGTCGAGTGTCCGGCTGTGAGTGACGTACTCGTCGATCTTCACCTTGCCCTGGAGGTAGTCTGTAGAGCAGGCAGTGAGATAAGGGCTTTTCGACACAAATGAGCGAGCGAGACATACCCTCGACGAGACCGGGGATCTCGGTGCGGCCCTTCACACCACCGAACGCGCTACCGCGCCAGGTCCGACCAGTGACGAGCTGGAACCTAGAAAGGGGAAAGGGGTCGGCAACGTTCCACTTCTCGGCCATGCCACGACTTACGGTCTCGTAGAGATCTCCTGACCGGCAGCAGCGACACCGATGATGGTGCTGACGCCCCATCCCTTGTGGCACGCCTCGAGCGCGGTACGCATAACGTGGACGTTGCCCGTGCAGTCGAACGTGAAGTCGAGGCCGCCATCGGTGATCTCGACGAGGTAATCCTGGATGCGCTTGCCCTCCGCCAGCTTGGCGGGGTTCACGAAGTCGGTCGCGCCCATCTTCTTCGCCCAGGCCTCCTTGCCCGGGTTCGTGTCGACGGCGATGATGCGCGAGGCCTTGACGAGCGCGGACGTGGCGATGACACCGAGGCCGATGGCGCCGCAGCCGAAGACGGCGACGGTGCTACCCTCTATGTCGACAACAGTCAGTCGAGAGGAACGCGTGCGGAGGAGACGTGGTACTTACGGATGCCCGGCTGCTTTACGACTGCTCCCCAGGCGGTGGTGATGCCGCAGCCGAGCAGGCAGACACGCTCGAGGGGGCCTTGGGGCTCACCGCAACGATCGAGACGTCCGCGACGACGGTGTATTGGGAGAAGGTTGACGTGCCCATCTGCCAACCTGGGTCAACATGAGTGTATGCGACGGCAATCCTTGGACTCACAAAGTGGTTGATGGGTTGGCCTTTGCAGGTGAAGCGGACGGACTCGTCTGGCATCAGACCACGACCCTGGGTGGCACGCACTGTGTGAAACGGTACGTTAGTATCCTCGTCCAGCTCTCGGAGGCGCATATACTGACCGCTACCGCACAGGTTCGTCTTGCCGCTCTTGCAGAACTTGCACTCGCGGCACTCTGTCAATCTATCAGCACGACTGAGTTGATATCTTGCGCATGGGAACTCACCGGCAGTGTAGAGGGGGATGACATGGTCGCCCTTGCATTCGGCAATGTCAGGTACATCTCAGCGCAAAATGAAATCTCGATCGAAGACGTACAACAGAGACGCTCGTAACGCCTTCGCCGACGGACTCGACCTGCGAGCGGATCAACGAGTGATGGAGGATCGAGAGATCGCAAACGCACAATTCCGCCACCCTCGTGGCCGAGAACGACGGGGAACACACCCTTTACGCAGGGAATGCATGAGATCTCGATGGCATGTCTGCGACGATGGCTGCGTACCTCGGGATCCTTGCCGCTGCGGGTGTACTCGTCCGTGTGGCAGATACCTGCGCGGTGGTCGGTTAGATTTGAATGGCAGTGCGATCGGCCAGGTACCCACCCGTGTAGAGGATCTTAACGCGGACTTCGTGGGCGCGTGGGGGCGCGACCTCGACCTCCTCGAGCTTGAGGGCTCGCCTGCGGCCCAGCAGATGGCGGCCTTGCACTTGATGACTTGACCTGCGGTGGACATGGCTGGGTGGGAGAGAGAGCGAGAGAGTGAGGGAGCGACGTCTGGCTGGGTGGTTTATAAGGCGGGTGGCCGTGCGCGGGACTTATCACTTGATCATCGCCCGTCTGCAGTCGGGAGGGGCAGGGTCGCCCAGGCGGTCATCCGCGCCATCTCGTGCACGCCCATGTCCTTTCAGAACATCTACTACAAGCGGGTGAGTCCGTGTTCCACCCCTCCCTCTGCGCCCCGTCCACCCTCTCCTCTCCCAGGCCGTCGCCACCGCCCGCCCGTGCTACGTCTGCCACAAGCCGTCTACCACCGTCCTCGCGACTATCCAGACCGTAGACTTCCTCTACACATGCGACACCCATCTCTCAGACCCGGCTTCGCCAGTCAGGTGGGCCAGGCGAACGACGGCGTGGGGGCCGGTGGCGCGAAGATGGGTCTTAGCCCGGAAGAGATAGCGAAGGTGAAGCAGGAGTGGGAGGACCGGCAGAAGAAGAAGACGAAGGAGAAAGATAAGGACGCGTCTCAGGACGGCGACAAGAAGTCAGACTCTACAGAGGACAAGGACTCGAAGAGTCGCCCAAGGTACCCGGTACAATATCCCCTCCATCTACTGTTCCCAGTCCTCCTGCAAAGCCTTCCATGAGCGATACACGCTGCATCGTGACATCTTCGCCTTGCGGCTGGCCGAGCATCGCAGACGAAGGCAGACTGCTCAAGCCAAGGACTTGCACCACGGCTTCCGGGAGCACCCAGATCAACCCTCCCACCCGCTGCTTGACGACGAGTTTGGACCCGGATACGTGCTGCATTCTTGCTGTCGTGAGTGACACCATCCCTGGATCGGAAGTGTTCGGAGAGCACTCAATGCATCTTTCCAATCTGCTCGTCTGGCAGATTTTGCTGTCGCTTGTTCCTTTTGCTGGGTGTAACATCGACCACGACGAACTGTACGATAAACGGATTTCTGGAAATACGTATCACTCAGAGATGTGACTTGGGATGCCCGGTGAGAAGAGGACGAAACAAGTCAATTGCAACTTGTGCGCCGTACGTAGGTCGGTCCAGGTCATTCCGAACTGCTGACGTCCTCTTGTGAGTGCTCGCTCTCCTGTCTCCTTCGAATGCAGCCGATCACAGGATGGCCTCCTGTGGTGCTCGGTACACTACGGATGTACTCACGTCCCACAGCAGTCAGCTGAGCGCGTCCGAAGCGGGTGACCGCACTGCACTCTTGGCCGCGCGAGACGCGCACAATGCTCCTGTTGTTCCCGAGGCAGTCTACTTGCTGTACAGTTACTGTACTGTAAGTTGCGAATTGATTTCAAGCACGCAGTCGGAAGAGCCAGTGGAAGGATGTTTGTTGAGGATGCCGTTCCGAAAGGGTCCGAGTACTTGCCTTCCTGCCTCGAGGTTTCTTCCGCGACACAATGACCAACCAACGTAGAACCCGGTGGCCGAGGGAGCCACCGGAAAGCCCGGAAGCTGGAAGATGTTGTAGCGTAATGGCTGACGACAGTTGCGGATGATTACATCCAAACACTCGATTATTCTAGCATTAGGTGTATCAAGAGATGGTCGTCCAAGTAATTCCCGACATGAACCAAGGCTGGATCGCACGTCCTTCTCTGCACGTTGCTGATCAATTGCGGAATGGATTACAGTTGCACACCATCGCCCTGACGGCGAAGCTCGCCACGCTCCCCATCGTCAACCCGATCACCAGACAGAAGCTCGCCACCGTCGCGGCGACGTCCACGTCCTCCGTGCGGCCCTTCAGGCGCGGGTTGTGCGCGACCGACGGCGCGGACATCATGCACATGCTCGACGTGAACCCGTTCGTGGCGCCGAACAGCAGCAGGATGAGCATGTAGAGCGCGTCGGACGTGATCACGGGCTTCACCGCGGTCGGCGAAGCCCACTGGATGTTGCACAGCAGGAAGAGCGGGATGAAGAGCGTGCGCGCGAGCGAGAACGTCAGGAGGCGCTTCGCGGACCATACGTGCAGCCGCGGGAAGGAGCAGAGCGTGCGGCCGGTGAGGTCGCCGACGTTGTAGACGAAGAAGTGGAACGCGCTGAAGAGGAGCGGGTGCGTGTCCGGGTTGGTCGACTGGATGGACACCGTGATCGGCGGGAAGACGGACTGATGTCGCAGGTCAGCACAGCTGGGCGACTGCGACGATCGAATAGTTGACATACCAGGGTGACCATGAACACGTAAGCTACGGCGAAGTTGTATGGTAGGTTGATCCTGCCCAGACGGAGCATCTGGCTTTGCCACTGGGTCCCTTGTGAGAGTGCCCGCTGGACGTCAGACCTCGCCTCTCGTCTGGGCTCCAAGGCTATCGGTAGTGGGCAGCCTCACAGGCGCACGGGATCGCTGTCGGGCAATGACTGCTTGTATGCGGGCAAAGTCTTGAGCCAAACGTGCACCGCGTATGTGACGAACAGGAAACTGTTGACAACCCGAAGAACAGAGACGCAGACGCCTCCTCGGGAGTCCTCGCAGGGTCGTCATCCCTGGTCTGAGGCGGAGGAGGCGGGACGCGGTGCGTCGATGCAGCGGCGCTAAGGACTTGAACGCCGCTCACGGCGACACCAACCGCAGCTTGCCCGGACATGACGGCCTGCATGGCCTCATGCCCGAACAACGAGGCAAGTGCGACCACTGAGCTCTGCAGGTATGACCCGGCGGCCGACTTGAGCATGGCAGCGAGAAGTATGAGGGCGAAGAAGAGTCCGGGATGGATGTGTATCCAGGTGCTCAGCGTAAGAGCAGCGGTCACGGAGGCTATGAGCAGTAGTGACCATGATATACGACCTGTGCTCAAAGACTGGCGATGATTAGCCTTGCTATCAAAGGCACACTACGATGAGCGTACCTGCTTCGATGTAGCGGTCGCATGACCGAGGAATATCAGGTTCGGCACCATGAAAGCCATAGATAGGTACGAGCTGAAGGACGCTTTCAGAGATGTCCCGTCCAATCTGGACATAAAGTATGGAGTGGCAGTGATCATTGCTCTCGCTGAGCGTTAGCACAAGCCGACTCGATACGCAACCCAGTACACTCACCATTCCAGGGCAGGAGAACGGCACACCCGAGCACGAAGTAAATCGCGCGTATCTTGCCGTCCACGACGACTTCCTGTGCGTCCTCTAGGATGTCCACACCATCCTCTTCATCGACTGCACTGAAATCGAGGAATGCCTCGTAGTTGGACCAGCGCTACGGGGCCTGAGGTATCGGCTGATACTCCGCGTCGAGGGATGAGGACCGTCTTGCAACTCTTCCGGACATGATTTCCGTCGGCTGTTGGTCTGAGCAATGATGGACGTTCTAGACAAGAGCTAAGGGGCCATCTCCTCCGGCGAGAGGATATCGACGACTGACAACCAGTGTGTTACTTGCCAGTGGGAGCCGCGCTCCGGGATCGCACGCCGGATCTGGCAGGTACCGATGAGCAAGCCATGCACGGGCCGCCGACTCATTTATGGGCGCGCTCCAGTACCCCTCCCCGCTGCGAGACTTGGGCTCCCAGTGAGGCCCGTGCGGTCCTCATATGGCTGCGTCAGATATAGTACTTCTGCACAAGTTGCGGACTGCCTCGCTTCGTTCCAACCCGGAATCATATGAGGCGGCTAAACGTGGTTGTATGAGCCCTTGCATTGACTGCCAACCCCAGCTGGGTAGCCAGTCGTACGTGAGGAGTTCACATAGGTGTGATTCGCGAAGAGCAAGTTCCGGTTCCAAAGCAATCAAGAATAGCGCAAGCATGTAAACAACATTTATACCCCTCGGTCTATCAGCCTCCGCGGCGGCGACTGACCAGCAACAGCCCGCCACAGCCCGGTCAACGCAGCAAGAACCTCCCTTCGTCGCATCCCACTCCGCCTCCATACCGCCTTCATCACGGCCAACAGGCAAAGCAGGAACGATATGTCAAGAAAGAGCCGGCGGACCACGATGAACGTTGGGGAACGGCCCCGGCTGTTCGCAAGGAACGAAGCTAGGTATCTCGCGAGGGTGGTGGCGTGGGCAAGGGGATGGAGGACGAGGGACCACATGCCCATGTCGTCGAAGTCCCATTCCACACCCTGCTCCTGACCCGAGGCCCAGCGCGGTGAGCTGCGTCCCGGTAGGGAGAACGACGTCGAGGAACGTTGTGCGATGGCTTCCAACGCCTCTATCCGTTCCGTCAAAGCGGCCAGGCCAGCCTGTACGTGTTCGATCGCTCGTTCTAACGAGGGTCGTGAAGGTGGTCTTTGTACACTGGGTATGACAGCGTATGGCCGGCGCTGCTGCTGCTGGCTAGCGGGTCTGTACCCGACCGGCGGATGGTGGTGCTCGGAGGATCGATCGGTGGGTGGGGACATCGGTGTACGGTCACGGTATGATGATAGACTCTGGTTATATCCAGATGATGCGGACGGTCCAGCGAAAGCTGATTGCGTCTGGAATTCGGGGAGAGGTTGGGTAACGGGCACGTTCATGATGATGGGGGGTGGTGATATCAATGTGGACCCTGCCATCGGCGTGCGGTATCGCCGCGAGGACATAGAGGATTGTGGTCGGTTCGGTTGGCTCTGCGCGTAGACAGATGGAACAGGCGGAACTTCATCATTCTCGTCCTCATCATCTTCAGAGCTGCTCTCGTCCGTTCGAGGCTCAGGCATGTGCCCTGGGACCGGTAGTCCCGAGCCCTGGCCGAGGCGCAGGTGTGGCGGCAGGGCCCCAGCTTGGTAAGGTGCAGCGGGGTGATCGTCGGAGACTGTGGACCCGGAAGAGCTGGATCCAGCGGACCTGGACAGCGATCCTGTGTGCAGAGAGTATGGGTAACGGCGACTGTGACAATGCAGAGCGAGCAGGGCATACCACTCATGACGATATTTGAAGGGTCTCCGGTGTAGGACTCCAATTCCCGCACTAAGTCCATCGCCACAGTTTTGTCAGAATACCTCCGCAATACCTAATGGATTTGTCTAGAGTGTTTTGACTAAAACAGGGTGCTGGACGCACCTTCAGCAAAGCCTCTACATATAGCCATTTCGCTTCATACGGATCGAGGTCCTTATGTTTGGCCCATGCATCCCTGCGCATGTGTCGCTGAGTACGGGAGCGGCACGCGAGACGATCTGCGCGTACCATTTCGCCCTTCCCAACATATCCCAAACGCTCGGTCTCGGCGATTGCACATTACCGACCGTGGCTGCAATGAAATAGGTTTCCAGACTGTTAACGAACTGCTCCTATGCCGAAGTCGAGATGACAGTACCTTGTTTGTACAGGCTAGTCGTATGCACATCAGCACTGTCAGCTGTGGCGGCCTCGAGTCCACGTCCAGCATCAACATACCTATACATCGTAAGTTTCTCCTCATAACCGGTCTGTATTGGGCCATTCTTGGGCAAGCCCTGAACGATCTCCACAGCGCGGTCGAATTGCGCATCTATCAGCTCCCGTGAGTCCATCGTGTCGATGGCTACGTGAGGTCGTTCGAAGTCGTAGAGTCGTGAATGATAAGCAGCGTAGACAGATGGAAGGCGGAAACCTCGAGATGGCGCAGGGAGTCGTTCTCAGACCTTGAAAAGCTGGAAACCAAACCGAAAGTCGGAGGTAACAGGAAGACTGAGAAGAGTGGTCACTGTCACTGGTCGGAAGCACAGTGGTGTGGTGAGAATCAGCTGCTCTCGGGCTCGACACCGAGGTGCTCGGCTCAACTGCAAGCGCCGGCATTCGGTACAAGTATTGGAGACAGTACAAACCCGTTTGCTATGCGTAAACTAGACGGTAGTGTAGGACACCTGAAATAACTTGTCTGTTGACGGTCATATGCATGTCATGGGGGGACAGTCCAGTGAATGGAACTTGTCTACAGATGCCGGTGTCCTGATTCCCTACCACGAGTAGGTGTGTCTTGGACACCGAAAGAACAGCATGCGCAGACAATTCCTTCCCGGACATACAACCTCAAAAGACTTCCTGCATATGCAGCTGGTTTCGGCTGTGAGTACGACACGATTGGACGGGAACCGGTTTTGCGCTCAGGTTGGCACTCACTTGGCATTCAGGCCATGGTTTAATTATTAAGACAGCAAACCGACCCCATTGCACACGAGTATATAGAGAAGGATGCAAGATAGCGCTAAGCCGTAGACTTTGGTGCCGATGGCTGACCTGCAGGTCCGCTGGACGCTCCTGGTGCCCATCGGTATTTCAAACCACCAGGTATCTTCTCGTCCTGCTCACTGACCCGTTTGCCTGACAAATGTGTAAGTGTTGCACATTGCACATGGTACGCATAGCAAAAACATACCCCGCCATGTCAGATAACCCCAGGCCCTTCCATGTGTGCCCTCGAGCTTCAACTTCGTCCGCGACACCTCCCAATGGCACTCGGCCAACCCCTTCGCCGTCCACCGGGTCTGATGCACTATTTGGCCCACACCATCTTGTGGATATCTAGAGAGCACTTCGTAGAGATTCCCGGGACGACTTGAAAGTGATGAAGGCAGCTGCTTTGGGAGAAGACGTCGGATGGCACTCGCTACTCCGCTCATCTCGACTGACGCGGGAAGTGCGTGAGTGAGGCCAAAGAAACTGTACACATGATCAGCATATGAAAGAAGCCAGATGAATCATGGAAAACATACCTAGGAGGATGCAGCGACCACCAAGTGCCAGGCGAGAGGTAAAGGCAAGAGTTGGCTCGGGGTTTGCCACTTCGAATTGAGAGCCAATTGAGAGCGCTCGAGACCTCGGGCGCCTGCGGCAGGGACGCACTTCCTCCTTGCGCTCATGCAGCGACGCGCTCTGCAGCATATAACATTGCGGTCTCGTTGGCCACTCATACTCAGACTATCTCAGAAGCCTCTCAGCTCGAAGTCCAATACTTCAAGTTTTGCTAGTCATGACTCGTGCGGAATACCCACCCAGCCGACATGGTCGGTCAACGAACTTCTATCGTCCTACCCGCAACCATCCCTTCCGCCATCCACGCTGAGGCGGCTCCATGAGCTGTCCGCTCTTATACCACCATCTGAAGGCACTCCTGAACATGCGAGACTCACGCGTGAGATGGAGGGACTAGTGAAACTGGTAGAGGCGGTGAAGCTGGTGGACACGAGCAGTCTGCAGGCAGCGAACAATGCACCTATCCCGGACGGCCGTATTGGGAAAGAGGGACAGGGTATCGATCTAGAGGAGCAGAGGGGTACACGCAAGGACCACAATGGTGAAGTGAATGGAAGGGAATTGCTACGACACTCGACAAGGGTGCGGGATGGGCTGTACATTGTCGACGCAGACAAACGGAGGTAGCGCCCTCATTTTCATCATATGTGAGCCTTTCTACAGCTATGTGCAAAGTCAGTGGCTGACAGTATGTGTGTTAGTCGATGTACAGTCAACGCTACAAAATGCGCCTTCCCCCAATATGAAGGACCAGTGTGTCTGACGAGCGGATTCAATCAAAGCGCGGCCGAATAACGACAACGCCTTAACGTGAACTTCAGACTTGGAATGTCGCAGACCGTCGCGGGAGTCTATGGTACCGTTACGCATTTGTGGGTTTTCGTCAAGAAGTTGCATGATTAGAGCGTAGTGACAGATACTAGGGTAACTGAAAATATCGACGATAGCTATATATCCAGCACCAGACGACCCATCAGAGCGCAGTGTGGCCTCCGGTCGAGCCAAAACCTCCGCCACCACGCAACGTCTCGTCCAGATCCTAACAAGCCCCCGGTTGAGTAAGGCGGTGTTGACAACCAGATAGATTCGTACCTGGACTTCAAGGACGTCGGGCGTCATAATCCTCTCTAAGATAAGCTGGGCTATGCGGTCCCCTTCTTCAACTGCACAAGGCTGCTCAGTAAGGCTTCCTAGCATTGTATGATTCTGAACGCGTCACCTTGGAAGTCTTGGTCCGAAAGGTTGAAGAGAAGGATGTAGACGACACCACGGTAGTCAGCATCAATAACACCGGCACCTGTGTCGATCATGAACTTCGACGCTGGCGGACAGTGTCAACTACGGAGTGCAAGACGCTGAGGCGAGTAGTTACCTAGACCGCTGCGAGGGGCCACACGACCGTAAGTCCCAGCAGGTACCGCTATGGATATTTGCGTGTCAATGAGGGCCTTGCCACGCGCCGGGATGATTTTTCGCTCCGCGCTACTCCATGTCAGCTGTCACGCTCACATACGTAGGTTGTGGGCACAATCGCGTACCTGTACAGATCATATCCCGCAGCGAGCGCGGATCCACGGGTGGGTAGTTTTGCTTTCGGGGAGAGGCGTTTGATGAGAAGGTTTGCGATAGGAGCCAAATCAGCCTTCAGATCTTCCTGTTCCTCGGACACCTTGCGTTTTTTCAATGCACTTTGGTCGGACATGGTGCTGCGGGGAGTGGTCGAAGAGTCGGGACGCGACTCGCGAGACGCGTCCACCGCCACGTACAGACGCGTGGCGGAGTCCTAAAGCGTGTCAACTCCGCATTCTGGCGCTCACTCCAAGTAAACCATCCGAAGGCGCGTTGACGTCGTCGACAGCTTCGCTGAGGTTGGTTCCAGACATCGTCTTGCATGTCTGATGAATTCTCACTCACTGGAGAGCAACTTCCCCTTTCTTCGTTCTTCACGCCACGCGCAAGTCAACATAAGGCCACGACCAAGCGTAAAGTCGAGCGAGCGGAGGATGCACCGTCGAAGAGACAGAAGGGTCAAGCGGCCCATGCACCTAGAACACCGGTTGATGCATCCAAAGAGAACGGCAGTTCACGCTCACGAAAGGCAGACGCGACCGTAATGTCTGTTGCCGGTGCATTTCATGACCATAAGGACGACGGCGTAGATGCTCCGTGCCGCACGAAAGGTGATGTCTATCTTCGACGTCCCCATACATCCTAGTTAGATATGAGTCATTCTTTGTTGCTGACTTCTTTTAGATGCCCGCGAATACCATTATGACGGCGAGGCTGCGGCTGGCCACGAGCCATGTCTAACTCCGGCGGACAAAGGACGACGTTCGTTCCATGCTGCCGCCACGCTCCCTACCCCGCCTCCCACTATTTCAGCCTCTCGAACCCGCAGACCCGCACACCGCGAAGGGACGCCGCTAACCCCAGCGTCTACAAGCTCGAGAGAGCCAGCGTCCTCAGATTCCCCGTCTTCTCGTTCGTCAATTGGCGTCTCAGTATCCCCGGATTCGGCACCCTCGCCATCTGGGCGGAAGGTACGTCGCTCCTTCGCAGAATGATGATAGAAGACTCAATTCCTGCTCATTCCGTCGCCTCCTGTCCAGCTCGGAGCCACTCGTCCACTTGAGAGCGCGTTCAGTATCGACGGTCGAGCGGTAGACCTGCACCACACCTCCAGCACCGGCCGGGCATTGTCGACGAATACTGCTCAGGAGAAAGACATGAGCTACAGAGCGGCGAATCATCTATTCATCATCCCGCCTGGGTATCTTGCGGAGGATTCATTCGTGCCTTCCTCTCAATCGCAGGAGAATGATTTCGCTCCCGTATCCCAGTGGCGGCACGAACCTGACTACAATGCGTCATACTCTCAAGATATGTACGTTCCGTCGTCTCAATCCCAAGAAGATTCTGGATCATGGCTTCCCGCAATGCCTCGAACAATGCCGTCCCCGGAGCGGCACTATGGCCAACATGACATTGTTCCTTCCTCGCAGAGCCAGGAGCGCGAGCTCGTATTGTCTCATGAAAGCGCACGATCTAGATCAAGGACGTCGTCCAACGAGACAGTACCGACCTCGCAATGCGATGAAGTCGAGCTATGTATACCTAGGCGGTCGCAGAACAACGACGATCTGTGGCTCATTGGCGTGAATCGTGGCGTTGCCGGCGACAGAAGTGTCGCTTCGCAACGTGAAGCTATTGTGGAGTCAACGGAGCCTCTATCAACTGCAGGCGACCCTGTCGAGGAGAATCTCGCTGTGACCGGACGGTATACGGAACTATCTACTGACAGAGCAGGTTCGTCGTCGCCAGTCAAGCCCCATCACAAGTGGGAAGCCTCTACAAGGTGCGTGACGCAACCAATACAGCAAAGTCTGGTCCAATTGATAACTGTCATAGTGTAAGCCAGGCGGCAAGTGCAGCGCATAGTACCCATGATCATGGCGTCGCGGAGCCATTGTCTCCTCTCACTCCTCTGACACCATCTTCGGCCTGCCCGTCACCCAGAGAGGCTGCCCCTTTGTGTCCTGCATTCACTCCACCACCCTCACCACAGCCACTATTACCGCTGCCACCAATGCCTTCTACCGCACAGGCGACGCATAGTCGGCAGATCATGGGCCCACCTGAACCCCGGTTACGAGAGCGTCCCAAGGGCCATTGCATCGAAATATCAGCCAAGAATCAGACTTGCCCTCTCAATTGCGCGAATTCCGGGCATGTTCTCCGAAAATGCAGATTCTAGCTGTCCGAAAGGCGAGGACCACCTCGTTCTGGGTTCGCAATATGCCGAATCGTATGCACGCGGGCTGCCGACTGGTACTCAATCACAGACAGACGTGCACCCGATGCGTGAACCTAACAGTACGCGGGAAGTACATGGCGCTCGATATGACGCGGCGCACGAAACGGTCGACTTGCATGGAGCCGAGGAACCCAGCTCGAGAGAGGGAGATCGTCTCGAGACCGAGGACTTCGCCGGGAATATCAGTTTCGGGTCGGATGGTTCATCAATTCCACCGTTCGTAGACGACTTTTTCGGCATGTTCAGTCAACCGGGAGCTCATCGCAGTGATGACGCGGACGGGGGAGATGGACGAGACGATGACGGGTTTATTTGATTGAGGTGCAGCGTTTCGATCGCTCTTACTTATGTACTGCCTCTTGCCTCCGAGTCTGCAGGCTTTATGTACTACTTTAGTATGGAGTATTCGGTCACTCTACGTGACAGAATAGTCGAGATTGAAGTACACGAGTCCGGTATGTATGCAGTCGAATTTTTATGTCAAGTTAGAGAAAGTCCTGAGGCCGAGCGCGAGGCCTTGAGGACTCGGACTTGGGCCGCGCGGACACTAGGGGATCGACGTCGACACATATGTATGCATCGCTGTTTGCCTTTGTTATCATCAGAGGCTTCTGCATCCTCCTCCCCTTCCTGTTCCTTGCCTGTTCCGTTCTCAGTCTACTTTCTCTCAATCAATGCCCCCGACCGACCCTCGATTTCAGGCGGACGCTCGTTTCTCTGACGCGGACGCTAGGTCATCTGGTCATGATATAGATGATGAACATTCGGACGAGGTAGCCGGGGATGACGCCTCTGAAGGTGATCGCAGCCAAGAGAGTCTTGCAGAAGGCATGGACCCCGAGGGCTTCGCTGGTCCCTCCGAGAAGGTCGTGAAGCCGCTTACCCCGGAAGCCTTGGCTGCATTCAAGGCTGCTCAGGAGAGAGCGGGTGTAGTCTATATTTCGCGTATTCCACCGGGCATGCGACCGACAAAGGTCAGACACATCATGACCGCGTATGGGGAAGTCGGACGGGTCTATTTGCAGCAGGAGGTGTGTGCCATACCACGTTCTTTCTCTCTCGCATCTTAGTCTGTGTACAGATCCGAAGCGGGCGTACCTCAGGAGGAAATATACGTCGACGAAGAAAGCGCATTTCACCGAGGGCTGGGTCGAGTTTAAAGACAAGAGGGTCGCTCGTTCCGTCGCAGAGATGCTCAATGCCCAGCCCATTGGTGGCAAGAAGGGAACTCGATGGCGCGACGACGTATGGACCATGAAGTATCTTCCCAAATTCAAGTGGAATATGCTCACGGAACAGATCGGTACGCATATGGCGGATTTCCCTCGATCTCATTGTACTCACTTAACCCTGCAGCTCACGAGGCAGCGATACATGTGGCGCAACTACGCGTTGAGCTCTCCCAATCTCAGCGGGAGCAGCGAGAGTACCTAAAGAACGTGGAGCTTGCACGCGTACTGGGCAAGCGTGCTGAACGCAAGCGCAAAGCTGACACCGACCACGAAGTCACTCCGGCAACGTCTGCGCCCGACCCTTCGCAGAAAAGCGAGGGTAGAACTGAACAACCTTCGCATACGAAGCCTAGGAAAAAGCAGAGACAACTCCCTGAGGACAGCGGGGTAGATACGAGCGGTAGACAATTAGACACTGTACTGAATAGTATCTTTTGAAACCCCGCGACTGTCCGTCAAAGAAGGGCGTTCAGTGCGGACAAGGATGTATGTGGGAGGTTGTGACTCCGCTTGAACCCGCCAACGTAAGCGGCGCGTCGTCGCTTGCGTTTCACCATCGCGAACACATTGAGCTCACTTGCTCAACGGGCATCGAGAACACCGTGCTCGTCGCTGTGTCGCGTCTCAAGAGGTCTGTGCTTCTATCATGCTCGCCTACTCTCTCTCACAGCTCTTCATGATCAGTCGCGTTCCTCCTACCTTCTCTGTGTTAGTGTCCTCCTCGTAGCATGTCCTCTTGGTCTGGTTCTTCTTACCCTCCACCTCCCCGCGCCCGTTCGCGCTCTCGCTCTCCCTATCGTGGCGCCTTTCCTCCGAGGCCTGGGTATCCTGAGCCTGGGTATCCTCAGGACACCTACCGTGCCGATTGGGAGGCTTATGACAGGGAGCGTGCATGGGCTACTTACGAGAGGGAAAGAGCTGCGTACGAGTATAGCAGACGTGGCAGGAGCCGTAGCCCGGGCCCCGACGAAGGTGAGGGCTCCCATCACATCCTCAACTGACTTGTATACTAACTGACGTGCTCATAGCTGGCAGGAAGCGCCGGCGCTCGTTATCGCCTTGGGAGAGGGAAAGGGAAAGGTATGAGCCGAGACCGCGGTATGGAGACGACTATGGTGAGTGGCAAGCCGGGATAGCACAGGCCGTTGGTCTGACTACTTGAGTTCCTAGACACACACTCGCGCGGGCATGGCGGATACTCTCCACATCGAGGACAATATCCGCCTCCTCCTCCTCCATATGGATCATTGCGACGAGCCCCACCCGACCCGCATACCTTTGATTATCCCGCGTCTTTGAAGCAGTACGCAGAGTGGTTCCGGTACTTCTATCCTCAGCAGGCGACAGAAGAGGATAATGCAGACAAGGCGGCCGAACAGGATGCCGGTGACGGGTCCAAGCCTCGGAATGGGATCCGGTCACGCTGGGAGAAGTACAAAAAGGACTTCGCTGCTCAACAGGTTTGTACTCTCCACTGGCGCGCCTTGTCTATCTTGTGACTCTGGTTTAGATACAAAGGATGTACGAACATCATCGCAAGTCTCCTTGGTTTTCGGAGAAGTATGATCCCTCCCCGGAGTTCGTGGCGCTGCGCCAGCGGGTCAGGAAGGTCGGCTGGAAGGGCAGAATGGACGCCTTTCTTCTGGACGTTGAGGCCGGAAAGTACGACCCAGATCTCAACGAGTTAGAACCAGAGGCCGCTTCTCCGGTTAAAGAGTCAGCGTCCAACGGCGATGCAGTAGCAGTTAGTGCCGATGCCGGCGCTGCTCAAACGTCTGCGGAAGAGACGAAGCCCAACGTCAACGCCAGCAGCGCAGAAGACGACATGCAGTTCAATGTCGAGCCCGAAGACGACACAGGCGATCAGGATGCCAATCGTCAAGATACTGGCAAACCCTCCCCCGACAACAGGCGTAACGCACGAGGAGAAGAATTCTCGGTGCAGCCCGATGGCAATCAAGTCATGATTCGCACGATTCCTCCTGACATAGGACGCGTAAAGTTGGAAGAGGTGAGTTTTCGTACGGATTGCTGTCTACATTCACTCTAACACGGTCGCAGGCTTGTGGCAAAATCCCAGGTTTCGTATATCTGGCCTTAGGCGATCCACTGCAAAAGAGGAACTACTACCGCGCAGGCTGGTTGAAGTTCCGCGACGACGCCGACATGCCGACTGTCATGGCTGAGCTCACTGACAAGAAGGTGGGTCGTAATCGTTCGTCCAACTTGATTGTTGTTGACCCTCATCATTAGATCGAGGGGTTCAAATTGCATGTTGCGCACAATACGAACCTTTCACGGGTAGGATACGCTACGCTCCTGAGGTTGCGAGTAAGCCAGATCGGATAGCGAAGGATCTGGCCAATGCAAAGACACTCGCTGCTTTTTTGGAAGAAGAATACGAGACTTTGAGGAAGCTGAAGATCCAATCGAAGCCAGAGAACGGGAACGATGCCACTAACGGCGACGCCACGAACCCGGACGTTGCAATGAGTGATGCTACTGGTGCTGCTGACGAAGATCCGGAGCCCAAAGAACGTGGAAGTGAGGCAGTAGAGAGACGAATCGAAAAAGTCATGTCGATCTACGCGACCAGGGTTTGGTTGACCCGGCCGACGAGAAGGCTATGGAACAGAAGAAGGTGAGTTGAACGATTGGTGCGGTTGTCGCCTTCGCTTAAGTTCACCTGTAGGCGGTGGTGGCGCTCGACTTGTATCTTGCGTATCTTCGCGCTGCGTTCCACACATGCTATTATTGCGCAGTAGTAAGCGATCACATTGAGGAATTACAGCGCAAGTGTGTGAAGCACGTGAGGAAGCCCATGTCAAAAGCTTTGCTGGAGGAGGTGAAAGCTGCCGAAGCCGTACAAGCGCAAAAAGCTGAGGAGGACACGAAGATCAAAGTTGAGGGGGAAGAGAAGCCGAGGGAGACGGGGAGCAGGGAGAAACCAGAGAACCGTGACTGGAAGCGCAACGGTGAGTAGCGCTTCGAAGTTTGTGTCGTGCAAAGTTCAAACGTTTAATTTTGCAGACGAACGTTGGTTGGAATGGTTGGACTCTAAGGTGGCTCTTCTAATCGACCGAAACGGCGTGGATCCCCGAGACTACGGTGGCAAGAGTGACGACGAGTACGTTCATTCTACTCACAGTGATGACTTGTGCTCATCGTACTAGGGAGCTGTCGAAGGCTGCTGAACCCTTTATCAAGCAAGAGGACGAGGGTAAATTCAGGTGCAAGACGTGCCAGAAGTTGTTCAAGGCGACTGCATTCGTGGAGAAGCACATTGCTAACAAGCATCCTGAGCTCGTGAAACAGTTAGAAGAGGTAGACCTTACGTTGGTGACATTGCTTTCAATCGACTAACCACGCTTCTTCCAGATACCTTTCTTCAACAACTTTGCGCTTGATCCTCATCGTATACAGCCTTTCGCACATCCACCTCCTCCTCTCGGCAACAGTCAGGCCCCACCGCCTCAAGCATATGGACTGCAAGGGCCTGCGTACCCCGTACCCACGGACTACACACGGGCTCCATACCCTGCTCCGTATGGATATCCGCCGCCATACTCGGGTGCTGGATTATGGGATCCGTATGCGTACCCACACGGTCCCAACGGATATCCCGCAGTGCCTCCACGTAGAGATGATGGTGTGACGGCCCGCCGGCTGAGCGATCGCATAAGTGGTTATGCGCCTGGCTATGACCCTGCTATCGAGGTGCCCCCCGTGCCTGCCTCCGCTGGTCTCCCTGCCAAACCTGTGGCTATCCTGGAGCCTGGACCAGGTGGGAGGCGGGGCGGACGCAACGGGAGCGTGAGCGGACCGCCTCCCCCACCACCGCCCGATGCCAAGGAGGACCCCAGAGCGAGTGCGGGGAGGAAGGTTAGTTACCACGACATGGACCTGGTTGCCGAGGGAGACGTGGAACTACAGTATTAAGCCGTTGTGTACTTGATGTCGGGAACTCGTTGCTATCAGATGTGATATTGACTGCGTGGCATGTGCATGTTTTGGGCGTGGATCTGTGCATGTGTGTACTGGGAGCAGTCTCGCTGCCAAATCTATTCAAGGTGTACCTTACCGCGATGAACTCGCCTCTATGTTCAAATTCCTCTGCCACGACCATCTGGGATCCAGAACGTTCTGGGCGGCGTTGGTACAGCGGGATATTGAAACTAGTCGGCATGCAGCACGTCCGCCCACGCTCAGACCGTGCCAACGGATTGGCTAAAGACAGCTAGACTGGGAGTTTGCAAGCTCATACGTCCATACAGCAGGGAACGAGTGGAACGAGAGACAAGACAGTCTTATGCGACATTCTGCCAGGTTTCAGCCTGAGTCTGCAGGCAGTCGCACGTAGGTTGATAGGTGCGTCGAAGGGAGACCCTGAGCGCAGCGGCTGAAGCTGAAGCCGAGGCGCGCGCATTTGTCTCTGTTTGTCCCGCGCTCCATACTGGGCGATCCGGATTCACCGCGCCCAGTGTTCCCGCCACCGCAAGTCGCCAGGGCCTTTTCGAGGCCTCCTCCCAGCCTTCCCTCCTCGCTCCCCTTCCCCTCTCTTTCATCCCAGCATCTACCGCGAGCGACCGTCACACTCAGTTGTCGGGTTTGGCGCATTACTGACCGCGGTCGTCGGTCATGTCTGGGGCGAGACTGCCCGCAGTACGCCTGCCATCCGTCATCGCAGGACAAGGGGCCGACGAAGAAAACCTCGGAGAGAGTCCCGTGGTGGTGAGCCTACCGCCGTCGAACAGGTTCGGGTTCGCATGGCCTACCGAGGCTACTACCTCGGTTCCGTTGCCGCTAGCGACCGAGCGACCAGCTGGTGTCTCGTTCAGCTCCTCAGAAGGTGAGACCGACATATCTGAAGAGGAGCTGAGCCGCCCGACCAGAAGATCCGCCAAGTCTGCAGACGGAGAGGAGTCCGAGTTCGTTACGCCGACCAACCACTTGGACTCGGACCAGAACCCCATGGATCAGACGGCGCAGCCTCCGCTCCCCCGCTTGTCCAGAGCATTTTCCATGCCCCTTCCTTCTCAACTTGGGCCCCTTAGGAATCCACGGCGCATCACTTCATCCCCCGATAGCGACGACATAACCACTGTCATCGAGTTGCCCCCGGAGTATGCTCACTTCCATGAGCTCTCACTCGAGCTCGCAGACTCTGTGCAGATGGTCATACAGACGTTACTCCAACTCTCGCCTCCTCAGGTCCTGGATCCCGCCAAGGAGCAATTCTCAGCATGCTCGCTCTCAATTCCGACGCCTTCCGTATCTGCTATGTTTACATCTATGAAGAATCTAAATTACATGTCCGCCAACATGTCGGCTCTTAGTCTCGACCCTCCTATCCAACAGGCAACCACTGCAAGTGGTCGCCTTAGTATGCCGTTGTCGTGGAATGACTTCGACATCGGCGAGATGTTGCAGAGTGCGGGTGATGCGTTGAGCGGGGTGGCCGCTCAAGCTGGAGTCGACCTCGTGTTGTTCCATGGCGACCTAGGAATGAAGCACGTTGGCGTGAAGGGTGATGAAAGTGGACTTTCATATACCTTGTCGCATGTGCGTACCGAGTCGCGTTTGTTTTGACCGAATTCAAACTAACTCATGGATAAGGTTCTACGTCAACTTATAGCCACATCTCGCCCGGGGGACACCATCGAAGTAGGCTTATTTATTGTCGCTGCGCCAGTCTCAACCAACGGCACGGACGCAGGACGCGTGTCCCCCTCTGTCGATTCGGAAAGTCCACTGCGGTGTACATTCCAGATCGCGCACAGGACAGCATCTGTGACTTCGACGTATTCGGGCGACGCGGGTGAGTCCGACGCTGGCAGCGTGCCTCCGTCCCCTTCCGCCTCCTTCCAACTACAACCTTCCTTCAAGAGCCTTTTCCTGCGACGTCTGTTGAGCCATGTTGGTGCAACTCTGGAGTTGAATGTTCAGCCAAAAGGGGCATCACCGGCGGGGCGTCTTTGCGAGTTGACCGTTACCCTGGACCGTGGCTCACCAGCTGTCGTCAATCCGACTGTGAGCGGAGTCGCCGAAGAAGCATTCCCTGGTTCACCGGAGTTCAAGATTTCGCACGAACCAACACTAGAGCAGTTGACACAGTTCGCTGAGTCGCTACGAGGGCACAAGGTGACGCTGTTTGCAAACTCGAAAGGGGCATTCGCGCAGCATCTCACAAGTTACCTCACTGCTTGGGGGTTGGACGTCAGCCATGTATCGACAGAGCCGGACGCAGATACTCTCCCCGAGCATACAGAGGGGAGCCCTCAATCTGCGTCATCTGGCGGGGTGGGGAGAGATGATGCACCGTCTTCGGCGGATCCAGAGCAGCCCGCTGGGCTCGCTCCTCCTCCTTCTGGTATCCCTGGGCTAGAGCCGTTGTCGTTCTATCTCATTGATGACGACGTTTCTGTCTTGCGGGAAAAGTTACAGAAGGTCAGGGCAGAGTTAGCCTACCCGTTGCACCTGAACACGCGAAAACGACCATCGCTTGCAAATCACCATCGTCCACGTTCCTCACCACAGGTCGCTCGTGTCATGGGGTTCACTCCTGCGATGAGTGCACCTAACGCTCCCCCGCCTGTCATCGTCTACTTCACCTCACTCTCCAAGTTCAAGCTGGTCAAGGATGCTATCCAGTCGGTGCTCTCGCCTGGCATGGGCACCACGTCTCGGCTACCCGAAATCATTGTCATCCCCAAGCCTGCAGGGCCACGTCGCGTTTTGACGGCATTACACACGGCCATTACGAAGCCCGTCGTGGATCCTTTCTTCTACCCTACCGCCACCTCCCCCATCAGTCCTGGCTTCCACGCCATGACGCCTTTCTTCAACACACCAAACGCCGCTAGATCTCCCGGTGGCAGGTCAACCACGAGCATCCGAACGACGTCTGACAAGTCCGCCAGGTCGCCGAAAGAACACGGCCCGTCGTCGCCACGAGGCGTATCGGACACGATGGAGTACTTCTCGGATGCGGCTGCCAAGCTGGGAACCTCGCCTGCATCCGGCCTCGTCATTCAAAGTCCTGACGGTCAACCAGCAGGTATATTCTTCCATCCGAAGCCGAAGGGCTCGGGAAGCAGGAGCAATCTACCGACACCTGCGTCTGAACGGGGTGTGTCGCCTTATGAGCACTCGGGGCGCAGTCGTGGGGTATCGTTCCGTCGACCATCGGACGAGGCAAGTCTGGGTGTTGGTGCCTCCGAGGTCTCGCGACGTAATACGCGTCCGGCCATGCCGGAAAGTACGGACTCTGAAGATCGTGAGGGTCGGACCCTATCACCTAATGGCAGACGCAAATCCGTACCTGCAAGCGAGACCCTGCCGCCGTTGTCAATAGAGAGCCCCATCTCTGCTGGCGTCGTGGCTACATCACCCGCCCCAGAGCCTTCGCCGTCCACGTCTGCATCGTCGAGGAACTTATCTCGCAAGGGCGGTCAAGTCGACCCCGTTCTTCGACACGCACCCGACCAGCCAGGATCTCCATCTCGCGCAACTGCATCGCCGTCTACACGTAGACCCCGGCGCAATTTGGATAGCCCGGTCCTAAATATCCCAGTGCAGAAGAAGGGCAAGCCCAGTGATACGAACATCGTGCCGCCTATCAGTGTGCTCATCGTCGATGGTATGTACATAACATGTTATCGAGGCATGTCATCGATGAGGCTAACTTGTACTTTTGACGTGTTGTACGTGTGCAGATAATCCGATCAACCAGACGATTCTCTCCACCTTCATGAAGAAAAGAAAATCAAGTTTGATGTCGCGAAGAACGGAGAGGAGGCTGTGGCGAAGTGGCAGACGGGGGCTTCCATCTGGTCCTCGTGAGTACCTCGTGCATTTACCTCATACTCGGTCACGGACGCTGACACCTTTCCAGATGGACATTCAGATGCCGTCATGGATGGTATCGAGGCACCAAGCAATCCGGCGAATGGAGAAGTTCAATGCACGGGGGCCTTCCCATCGACACCCCAATCTGAAGGTCAGCGGACACCGTCAGAAGCCTCGCTCAGCGAGTCACGGTCGTCGACGATGTCAACTCCGCCGTACCGGTCGTCGGTGATTATCGTCGCCCTCACGGCGTCCTCGCTGCAAAGTGACCGAGTGGCCGCGCTGGCCGCCGGGTGAACGACTTCCTCACGAAGCCCGTGTCTCTCCACTGGTTGAACAGCAAGATCATCGAGTGGGGCTCCATCAAGGCCTTGCAGATGTGGGCGGATATCCGGCCGGAGGTGGTCAAGAGTATATCCTCCGGTCAGGCAGCACAGGCGCAGAAAGTCGCACGCAGGCTGCACGTTCCGGAAGGCAGGACTCCCACTGACTCTCGTAGTCGATCGTCCTCTGTGTCGCGTAATAGGCAGGCCACTGCCGATGGTGCCGCGGCTGCGGCACGGAAGCTCGCAGCAGATGACCGGACGCCTACGCAGAACACCCAGTGCCTGCGGTTCAAGAAGAGTCTCCAGGCTCTACCAGTGGATCTTCATCAGACGCGATGAACATGCCTCGCGCGCCGTTGGCTGCCGAAATCGCTGATCGTGAGTATTGTTATCTCGTTCATCTCGTCATTGAGCCAGATGTTGATCACTGACGGTGGGCATAGCTCTCGCGGAGCCTGAAATTGCGGAAATGCGTCTGCTGGGGAGCTAGAAGACAAGACTAATTCGTCCGCGCAGAAACTTCGTACGTTTCGCTGACCTCACGCCCGAGGAGTTAGCTAATATCCGACGTGTTAGCAGAGGCAGAGGACCCTTCCCGTGAGGCCGCTCCGGAGGCGTCCCGGGCTTCTGGACTGACCGAGTCTCCACAAAATGAAAAGTCTGTATTGGCCGCCGATACACGACGCGCGGTGACAGAAGGGCCAGGAGGCGCACTACCGGAGGCCGCAGATCCTCCGGCGGCAGGTCGTGATGGCGAGCCGCCGGAACCACCGCCAGAACCGCAATGACGGTACGGGGCGACTCTTGGGTTGTTTGCATGGTTCGCACTCCCATTCGTTTTACCCTTCTTGCCAAGGGTCGCCGGGTTCATTCACAAGCTGTTCTGAATTTTCATTTTCTGGGGTTTCGTGTGGTTGTATCGGGGTGCTGATTTCCTTGGGTTAACTGGTCATGGGTTATCTACGTATGCTGTCGCTGCTTACACTCATTCAGGTATGATACATAGTTTGCATTCACGCTTCATGATTCTCCACGACCATCCGCTACTGACGCGCTCGCCTAGCGGACCACTCTACCGCTGCCCTGCTGTTCCTGCCTGCCCGAGAGGGCTGCGCTGTTCACGTCGGCATCTTGTTACGCCGCACTGTAGCAACACGACTGTTGAGCGAGTACGGACATTCGCCTAGACATATATCCGCATACACGAGACGATGTCATTACGCCCCTGCTACCTTACGATGCGGCACACGAAGCTATTGTTGAGCAGGTGATCGGGGAGCCTGCCAAGTGTGTGCCTCTTAATAGTCTGTACCTCTCGGCTGTCATGCAGCATGACGTGTGGAAAGCCTCCGCGCTGTGATGGGTGGAAGTGAGTCATACATGTTTAGTTGTCGAGAGGAGATGCGCGCGAGGAGAAGATCAGTCGGGCTAGCCGAGTGCGCGCTCCTGTTTCGCGGGACGCCTGTGCTGACGGGCGCGCGAGGCGTAAGCAACGCGCCGCACGAGGAGCCACCGCATCAGCTGGCCGTCCTTCTGGTGCTGGGAGATCGTCCGCCCAGTCGCCGCAGCGGTCGCGCCGCGCCTGTTGGGGGGCGTCTGATGACACGCGGACGCTGACCGAGCGAGTCTGCATCCGCGCACGTGCCCTGGCGTGCAGGAGCAGGAACCGAGCGATTCCCCGCGCCCGAAACCATCGCGGGCCGCGCAATCTTATCAGTCCGCCACTCCGCGACCTCCAGACCGCCCCGTGACGTGACCCGTCACACACTCCCCAGTATTCGCGGAGGCGAGTCACCCACGCGCGAGCCAAGACCCTGCGTGTTTTCCGCCGCGAGCGGACTCGACGCTCAGCCCGCGGCAGCCTGCCCACCGCTCGCTCGCTTAGCGGCAGGGGAGTGATGGTGACAGACGCAGGCGCGTGCCCTGGGAAGCGGCAGACCGTAAAGCAGGCAGCTGCAGGCATCACGGTGTGTAGGCGTTTACCTGCCATAACGGGAAACCAGTTAAGCGGACTCATGAGCGGACTTACTTCCGAGCGACAACACGCCTTCTTCTGGTCCTCCCTCCTGCTCTCCTCCTCCCCCTGCCCTCCTTCCTCCCTCGCGTCCTCACCATGGACGTCAACATCCATCACCACGATCCTGCTGTCCAGAGCAAGCGCACTTCCATCCACGAGCTGCTCAACCCTGTCGGTCCCTCCACATCCCTCGACCAGCAGTATGCACAGCAGCTTCCCAGCATATCGCACTTCATGCCCCAGCCCCACCCTCACCAGCACCCTCAGCACGTACAGGCCATGCCTCCGCCTCAGTACTCGCCCCCCATGAATTCACAGCCCTCGTTCAGCCTGCGCACCGCGAGCTGGGACCAACAGGCAACAAAGGATGACCTCGCTCGTCGCCCCGAGACCGATCCCAATGCGTGTCGTTTCGGGCATCCTTCCGTGCCATCTCACCATCAGTACTATCAAGAGACTTACCCCCGCTCTTCTCGCTCCGTGAGTGAGACGCCCAGTTACGGAATGGACATCCCATCGTGGTCTACTGCGACCGAGCAGGCCAACTCCCCCTACCCCATGTACTCGAATGACCGTACAGGTACGTGCTGAGTGCGTCTCTTCACGGTTCTTCTGCCGACGGGCTGCCACTTGCTAGCTATCCCGAACACATCTGTCTCGCGGAGCCCGATGCCTCCCCCGCCCCCAGCACCGATGTCCTCTCACTCGCCAACGTGGACTACGCCCCGCAACAGCAACACTACGAGCAAGACATCGCATCTCACCATCAGTACACGTCTCCAAATCCAAATGGTCTCCGTCTCACGATGATAGTCGACGCGAATTGCGAAATCTGACCAATGCGTCTTTAGATTGGCAGAGCGGTGAACGAGCATCCGTCGACTGGCGCAGGCTCGTACGGTGCCCACGCAGCCACTGCCCCCGATGACCGTCCGACGCACTCTCAGCACTATCAGCCGTCGGCTCATGTCGGCTACACATCTGTCCCTTTCGCAATCCCAGTTGCTGCATATCCCCCGACTCCTCTCCCGAATCCCAAAGGCAGTTCGAGCAAAGTGACGATGAGTCGGGGGCAAAATCAAAGAAGTCGCGATCGATGGCGACTGCGAGCGTGAGCCTGAACGTGAACACGAACGCGAACGCGAAGGTGGCAAAGGTCCCAGAGGGTGCCGGTTGGTCTATGCAAGGGTTCTGCGTCATTCCGTCTTGCTCACTCTATGGTAGCCCAATCAAGACGTGGCTACAGCGCCAAGAAACGCAGCGAAGCCGCACAGATAGCTGCTCAAAACGGTGAGAGTTTTTCTTGCTCAGAGTGGTGGGCGGTCGGCATGCTCACGGCATTATGTAGCCCAACTGATGCCCACCGTGTCGTATGCGCACGTGTCGAATGAGAAGGGGAAGGAGAAGGCTGCCAGTAACACCGGTAAGGCGAGTTTATCTGACATGATGAGATATACTTATCCCCGCTCTAGTTCAAGGTCCCATGAGAATCGTGGGCCAGGATGACACTTCGCAGCTTGAGACTTCCGGACCACTGCATCCGGAGCTCCAGTTCGCTCGATGCATGTCAAACAGATACCGATCGGAGGAATTCCCTCGCTGTGTATCCTGCACTCGTCGATGGGCCGGCGATACCTGTCGCTTCCAGGGTATACGCTTCTTCCTCAAGAACGACAAGAAACAGATCGTTGGGATCAGTTTTGTCGAGAGCCAGAAACCCGACGCGCCGACGATGAACTTTCCGAACAAGTGGAACATACTCTGGACAAGCCTCACACTCGACGGTTAAAGGTAAGGCTGTTTCTATGACTGTTGCTCGCGTGTTGAACTCAAAAATGACGTGCTGCACTAACAGCGGACAGTCGCGCAGGCGCTTCTGCCCACCCTGAAGAAGGAGCTGGACCATCTCAGCCTGAGCGAGGTCATACGTCGCCCGAGAGAAAGTGAGGTCAGGGCAACTTGCGGTAGGTTTCCTGGCATGCATGTGAGAACTGCGCCTCATACGGCACCCCAGATACATGCATGACATCCATATTCTCGAGCAGCTGGATGTGCGTCTGTGCGGCCGCGAGGCTTGCGCCGAGTGCTATGAGCAGGTCAAGGAGTGACATTGACCGGGCGGGTGCGCCGGAGGCCGAGATCGGGCCCTACAGGCACGACGGGAGAAGCATGCGCATATCAACCCTTCTTCCTGTCGTGTACACGCGAATGAACACCAGGCCAAAGACTTCTCACCCATGTCCCGTTTGCAAGCCGGAGCTGGAGGAAGTCATCACGGAGATGGAGGCGCTGCTTCAGGAGACCGAGCAAGAGCGTTCACTCCGGAGCCGGGTCGTGGACCTTCGCTGTCGCCTCCAGGTACAGCATCGACACTACAGTGGTCGGACCCCGTACCGAGCAGCAGCGTACCTGACACGCGGTATATCACATCCGCTGCCTATGTCGATAACCTCAGCAACGGTGTACCTCCAGAGCCATCCTCCTTCGCGGCGGGTACCAAGGTGCCCTCTCACGTCACGCGGTACTTCGCGGACGGCGAGCTCACGGATGACATCTTCTGCCGTATCTGGGCCCGCGGCGAGCCTATCGTGGTCACAGGTATGCTCCCGAAGTTCCACGTCAATTGGTCGCCAGAGTACTTCATCAGCAAGTACGGCTCGCAGAGCTGTCTCATTCTGAGTGCCAGACGGACCAGAACCGGCGCGTGACGGTGGGCGAGTTCTTCTCCTGGTTCGGCAGGTATGAAGGGCGCCGAGATTGCTGGAAGTTGAAGGTATTTCGGCGATGCGTCGGCCCTCGTGCGAAGCGCAGCTGACTCATGCGTCTTACAGGACTGGCCGCCATCAACGGATTTCCGCACTGCTTTCCCTGAGCTGTACGACGACTTCGCGAACGCGACGCCGGTGCCGAACTACGTGCGGCGAGATGGTGTTCTGAACCTTGCGTCGCATTTCCCGGGCAATACAGTTGCTCCTGATCTGGGTAGGTACAGCTCCATTCGCGGAGGCGTCAGATTGAACGTGGCTTGCTAAATTGGCTACAGGGCCGAAGATGTACAACGCGATGGCGTCCTTTGAGTCTAACGGCAGCAAGGGTTCGACGCGGCTACATATGGACATGGCTGATGCCGTGAACGTCATGCTCTATGCCGCACCAACGCCGGATGGCCGCCCGGGATGCGCGGCGTGGGACCTCTTCAAGGCGGAGGATGCGACGAAGCTCCGGAAATACATGCGCAAGAAGTTCAAGGGCCAGTTTCAGCACGACCCGATCCATTCTCAGCAGTTCTACTTGGATTCCGAGCTCCGGGAGGAGCTTTTCAAGGAATACGGCGTCAAGTCGCACCGCGTCTTACAGAAGCCTGGTGAGGCCGTGTTCATCCCGGCCGGCTGTGCCCATCAGGTAAGTGTCCATTTCATTTTCATATCCGCGATGTCGATCGAACTCGGCTAATGGGTCTGACTGGCGAAGGTTTGCAACCTCGCGGATTGCATCAAGGTGGCCAGCGATTTCGTCAGCCCCGAGAACATCGAGCGGTGCGAGATGCTCACTCGCGAGTTCCGGGAACAAAATCAGTCTATGGCATGGAAGGAGGACGTGTTGCAGCTCCGCACGATGATGTGGTTTGCTTGGCTCTCGTGCACGCGTCAGGAGAAGGATGCAGATGCCTGAATACGGCCGGACTGTCAGTGTGTTTTGGTTATCGCTGTCATGCTGCTTTGCTCTCGAAGCCGACTACATTAAGTACTACTTGCAATGCCCGCCACCTACTGTTACTTGTCGTCGTTGTCATCATTATAATCGCTTGGTAGCTTGTGTATTGATATCGGTATCGTTGTCTGCATCTGGTAGCTTGCTCGCGTCTGGTTAGTGGTAGCGTACACATATTGGAGACATACGAACAATACAACTCAAGATTATTGGATCGAGAATGATGTGACGTGCCGTCCGCGAACATTGATGCTCTCCTCAAGGTTAACGTTCTACTCCACTGCATACCACCGCGACGATCCTGCTCAATAGTGTTCACCCGATACGAGCCGATGTATAACCGTTCTCGGACAATCTGCGTTCATTAGAAGGACCGCGGGCACAGTCTTCATGCCGTGGTAAATTTGTAAGTACCATCGGCGGCGCGGAATCGACAAAAGCGGTTCCACGAGTCTAGGAAGGGAATCAAGATGCTCATGGAAATAAGCTTATGTAGTTGACGGCCGTTACATACAAGAATAGCGGGCCCGGGCCTCTGCTACGGCGCATCCAATTGAGATAGCGTGGTACATCATGCATCAAGCCTGAGCAAGAAGGGACCGCTGCTCAGTCAGTGCTCCAATGAGCGAGCGAGCTGGGTCTAGCCGCACAAATCCCCCGCCAGTCGGATCCTGCGACAGTCGCAGTGCCGTGAGTGATGGTGTGAATGCCGGTCGGGAGAACATACCATACATATATATTCACAAGGTTCGGACTGAGATGCAAAGGAACTGCGGGCCACCGTAACGTCACGTCGGGACGACCAACACAGACGCGCCCCCGTCCTTGGTAACACGCAAGCGCGTCTTGATCAACACGCATTTGCGCCCGAATTGACGTAGTGTGCGAGTGGCACTGCCAGCGGTTGCCTTGGCGGACAGGTCTTGCGACATCCCGAGGCCAGAGGGAGCAAGCAGAATTGCTTGTCCGGTCTATCGGCAGATTGGCCGCGAAACGGATTTAGTTGAGGATCTACCGCAACCCAGACAGGCTACATTACCTGCAAATTCACCACCTTGTCGAATGCTTCCTTGGTGTCGACGTCAGCCGATACATGCTTCGTGATATGCTCCCACCAAGCGGGGGAAGAGAAGCGATGTAGTAGTGTGATGCTACAGAGATCCAATAGCACGGGCGGGACCACGGTGGGTTCTGTACCCCGACAACAATGGTTAGATGCCACACATCGCCGGACAATGAAAGCGCAGATCCTACCCTGGGTACTGATTACGACACGCATGGCTTGATGCCGTTGCTGTCGTATGAGCGACAGGAGTTCCTGCGTCAGACCGCTTGTAACTCTGTTGGGCGACAGGTACTGAAGTGTGAAGTCAACGGTCATTCTGGTTTTGGCTATGGCTTGATAGTCCTGCATGAAGTGGACCTTACTTTGTGCGCTTCATCGACGACCAAGACCTTCCCAGTGTCGACTTTGGCCCGGACGAATAACCGCGTGATTATCTCGAAGAATCCGCAGGCAGATGCGGGGTCAACGAAAGGGTCAGACAAATCAATAATCGTCAACTGGCCTGCCGCGAACCGCGCAGGAGCTGCCCGCTGCTCCCCCAGAGATCGTTTGTCTAGGAACGCTTCGAGCAGCGCCATACGCTGCTCCAGGCCAGCACGCTGAGCAGGATTGAATTTCGACTTCCGCTTCTCGAGCTCCTCCTTGAATGCTTGATATGTGTAGTTCTCACCAAGATCACGTAGAATTGACTGGACAACGCACATGTTAGTGATGATCCTTGCCCAATGGCTGAAACAAGGACACACCAAGACGGTCTGCATGTACAATGGTACGTGGTCGGACTGCCCAATTGCCATCATAGACAAGAAGGCTCGGGCATCCAGCTCTTCCTTGCTGAATAACAGAGGCTCCACAGTGATAGAATCGCCGAGCGGAGCATACACGCCCCGCATAGTCTTCAACGAAGACTTGGACACGTACACTCGAACACGCGGTGTTTCTATGCTGGGATCTGCCGCTGGCAAGCCTACCCACGCAGCCTCGCACGGCTGTGAACATGGCCCGCCCTCACCGAAATGGAGGACAAGGCCAGCGAGAGGCTTCGTAATGGTACCAATGCGGGGACAGGCAGGTACCATATTCTCCAACATCACTGAGACTGTGTGAGACTTTCCAGAGCCTTGTACCCCGCACACGACGGCGGAGAATGGCGTGTTCTGTGGAGGCAAGTATCAGTATCCCATGACACCTACGCATGGAGGGTAGGGGGTTACTGTGTTCAAGTAAATCCTCTCGTCCTGAGATTCATCAATTGCGCAGGTACCCTTTTTATCACTGTCATGATCCTATTCAGCCATGCCCCCCTTTTGCCATGAAACCGATGGAACTCAACTAGATTTCCACCACAGATCCCAATAGTCCTCGCTGAGGAAAGCTCGCACGACCTCCGGTCGCCTTGTAAGCTTCCCTGGTCATGATAGGAGCCGTGCGTAGCTCATGATCACTCGAGTCACGGTGGTCGAGCTTCACATGGGAGAGGAGCTGACGCTCATCCTATAAAAGGATAATATATTGCCAAATTCGAGACCGATGAGTGATGTCCATACTCACTGGCAACTGCGTATCGACTTACTTGATCATCTGATTCATCATCGACGACAATCGCGACCGAACAGGAGGTGGCTACAGTTGACTGTGTAGACGTTGCAGACCCGCTTAATAGGTCAGACACTTCATCCATGCCTGACTATATGCTCAGGCTCAATCAGCGAAGGATCGAAGTTGAAGCCACTTCAAAGAAAGCCGAGAAACGTACGTCGCGAGGATTATTCTTCACGTCCATGAGGTTGCTACAATGCATAACTAAGTCAGCAGCGTTTCGAAAGCGAGTAGTCACAAAGGGCGTGAATCTGTGCTGAAGAACCAAATGGCGCATTTTATAGGTCAACGCACCTCGCTTTCTGACTCAACTGAATGCGCTTCGAGGGCGGGCGACATGCGTCTTCCGGTGAATCGCTTCGCGCACGCTTCATCGCAACGTGTAGCACAGGTTTCGCGACTGCAAGAGAGTGGTCGTCAGACTCTGAACCCGAGCCTAGGTCAATATATGTCAGACGGGAGTCAAAAGACCGCAATCTTGCCATACTGGTTGATTGCTCGAACTCGAGGCTCTCGTCGTCCGATTCAGACGCTGTAGTATGTACCAATCGTGGTGAGATGATAACTCGAGTGGTGTGCAAGGCTACATACACTGGTAATCGCTCGTACCATACGAGCTCATGTTGATCCGAAGAACGGTCCCGCAGGCCTCGCGGTCCTAAGTGGCACTAGCCTGTCCTGCTGAGAAAATAGCCTCCTTCAAAAGGGAAAAGCGTACTCGATGATGGACGGCTGCGTCTTCAGCTTCAACATGAATGACCGCGATTCTCAACGGTAGCTCCCGTCTCGTCGTCCTCTGCGGACCTCAGCCGCTGACTCCTTCGACTTACTGAATAGAAAACCCGGGCTGAATCCACTGGATCCAGATAAGGGCACAGTTGACAAGCCTAGGATAGAATCACCGCGACAGCGAACACAAGTAAGTCACCGTCAGCCCGGTGGCGCCGTAGGCGAAGAGCCCGACTTGCCACGACGCGTCTTGGGCACGTGGCCGCGTTTCTGTTTGCGAAGCCGCCGCGCTTACTTTTTCCAGCCACTGCTCTTCTCATTCTCGCTCTGTTCTCGCTCGTCTCGCCTTGGCTTTCTTGCGATGCCGCTGTTTGATGTCCCAGGTTGGACTGTGCCTGATGCACCGGTCTCGATGTCGCAGAATGCCAAAAAGCGCAAGCGACCCTCAGATAGCGATGCTAAGCTTGAAACCGCGCACATTAACTTTGAGAAGCTCATGGAGAAACTGGAGGCAAGCAATGCTACTTCTCGGCCGGACAAGAAGCAGAAGATCAAGGAAAAGAAGAGCAGGAAAGGTGCAGCCGGCTTAGTGAGCTCTACAAAACCACCTCGAGTGGAGGGTAGCGGTGTAGGCAAGAAGGGCAAGAAGGATAAACGGGAGCAGAAGGCTAGGGGAGAGGAGGCCCGAGCCTCTGAGTCGAAGGTTACGGGCTCCGAGCAGCAGAGGTCTGCCGTCCGCTCTGATTACGCATCTCCAAAGAGAACGATCAAGACCAAGCAGCGCGATAATCCTACGTCGCCGATCGCCCATGGGGATGTTGCGGGTCCCAGCAAGCAGCAAGACCAGCAACAGCAGAAGTTGACTAAGCTCCAAGCTGGACTGAAGAATAGCCTAGATGGTGCACGCTTCCGGTGCGGATTGCCTAACATATATCATAATTACGTACTCATACTATCTCAAGGTGGATTAATGAGGTCCTGTACAAGTCCGACAGTGAACATGCGCACGATATGATGCGTGAGAATCCTAAGGTTTACGAGGAGGTGAGTCGCAGCAGTGGTTGAGACAAACTTGTCTCATTAGTCGAATATGCACCCTACAGTATCATACAGGGTTTCGACACCAAGTCCAATCATGGCCAACTAATCCCGTGGCCCACTACACCTCCGACTGTCCGCATACCCGGCCAAGACGTCATCGCAGATCTTGGGTGTGGCGACGCAGCGCTCGCTCGTGCGCTTGTGCCAAAGGGTTTCACCGTCCTGTCCTTCGACCTCGTATCAAACGACGCATACGTCATTGAGGCGGATACATGTGGACGACTCCCGCTACCTGGGTCGGAGGAACAAGACGAGGCAGTGGAGACGCTGTTAACGAAGGCCGAGCCGGCGTGGTCGACGTCGTGGTCTGTGCTCTGAGTTTGATGGGCACGAACTGGCCTAATAGCATCCGCGAGGCGTGGCGCGTTCTCCGACCAAAGTAAGCAAGGTCTCGCCATAGAAAAACACGCCGTGAGCTTGCTCATCGCCTGGATGTTTACGCAGCGGCGAACTGAAGATAGCGGAGGTGGCGAGCCGATTTACCAACCAAGACGAGTTTGTCTCATACATATGTTCATTTGGCTTCCGTCTAAAGACGAAGGTATGTCTTCCCGTCCTACTTATTATTGCCGAGTGACGACAGGTTACTCTCATAGGATGACAGCAACACACATTTCACTCTATTCGATTTCAAAAGGGTGGCACGGAAGTCCAAGGGGGAGAAGGAATGGGAGAAGTTACTATGCCGCGGCAGTATTCTGAAGCCATGTGAATACAAACGGAGATGACCGTGGCAGGCTGGTGTCTCTGTTCCAGAAACGTGGCACATTAGGAGCATTCTCGAGGAGCATTCTGACCTCATGTTGATTCAGTCCCTGCAGGTGTCACGGCCCACATCCTTGACCACCCTAGAACTGTAAAGCAAACCTCGTTACAAACAGACTGCCAAACGTTAAGGACATGCCATTCTGACTGTCAATACAACTCAGATAATGTCTACTCGGTACAACACCGAATCACCAGGGCCGCCCGTCACTACCGCTCTGCGAGGCAACTGCAAGGTACGATGCCACCCTTCGGCGTCCTTGACTAATCATCCTCATCTACTCGTCGTCGATATTAACCGTTCGCGCCTCGCGCGCACTCTGATACGCAGCCTCGATGATCTCGATCACCTCCGCTGACTCCTCCCATTTGACCTGTGCCTCTTTGCCTTCGCGGATCACCTCTGCGAGGTTCACGAACAATGCGCCATAATTTCCCCTTTCCGCCGTAGGCCACCTATTTCAAGAAGCGGGAGCGCCCTTGGTCAGATCAAAGCCGTGCTCCCGTGTTTGTTACCTAGCTGACGTGAATGAATAGACGTACGTGGATCTCACGACCTCAACTTCTCCTGGCTCGCCGCCCAGATTCTCCAGCGTCCCCCAGAGTGTCTCAGGCTCGGCCCCGTACATCGGATCCTTTACGATGTCCGCGGGGTCCTTGTATGATTTGAGCTGTTGCTCCTGGACGTCAAGCCCGGTCTTGATATACGTGCCCGTGGTTCCCCGAACGACATAGCGCGTTTGCGCTGAGCGCACAGAGAGGATGTGCGATCGTAAGACGGCTTTGAAGGACGTAGGCTCGTGGCCTGTGCGCCCAGGGCGTGGCGGGTAGTGCAGCACGATCGTGAACTGGACAGTGAGACGTTCATCCGCATTAGTATAACTAATTGTGCACACAGGCCTGCTCGGTGGCCCATGGTTCGCATGGCGCACACTCACACAGTCATCCACCTCTGCACTGCCAATTCCCCTGATGTTCTCGATGAACGCAGTGACCTTCGCTGGTGGTCCGAAGAGGACGAGCGCCTGGTCTATGAGGTGCGAGCCAAGGTCGTAAGTCAGCCCCGTGCCGGGAGATGGTATGTCCTTCCAGCTGTTCTTTGCCGTGGTCCTATAGCGGTCGTATCTGCCACATAAGATAATGGATCACTACGTGGATTGAATGGAAGGCGAGAGTCACCAACCGTGATTCAAACTCGACGAGCGTGCCTAATGACTTCGGGTGATCTGCCGGGAGCTTGAGTAATTGACACAGCGCCAGGAAGTCGGCGTTGAAACGACAGTTCTGGTACGGATAGAGGACGAGTCCCCTTTTCTTTGCAAGTTCCTGTAATTCTCTGGCCTCCGATGCAGTTGCCGTGACGGGCTTGTCCACTAGCACTGTCACATCATTAGACCCTCTCAGTGAGGGTTTCCTATGTGAAGGACATATTCAAGCCTACCATGTTTTCCCGATTCCAATGCTTGCTTTGTGAAATCGAAGTGGGTATAGTTCGGCGTCGTCACAATAACCAATTCGATTTCAGGGTCCTCCAATAGCTCTCCGTATGTCCTGTAGACCTTCACGCCCGCCGCAATATCTGCACCAAAGCGCTGCAGCAGTTTACCCCCAGGTATCGAGGGGTCTCTTTCGACGACTGCTTGCAAGATGAAATACCGCGGTAAAGCCAGTATGAAGGGTATATGGAAGGTCATTCCACCGAACCCTACTCCTACTACACCTGTCTTGATTGGTCGAAGTGGCATTGGTCTTCCAGGTTGGGTACGGTATGAGCAACCTGGCTTATGGCTAGGGACGGGATCCTGGACTACTTGCACCGTGGGAGCAGATGTTGAAGAAGCAGCCAATTCGAAGCAGGCACGAGTCTCGGAAAGTTGCTAGTCCATGTTTATAGCAAAGTTAATCCATGTCGCGCGATGATATACAGCATCCGCGCAGGGTCACATAGTACACTTCGGTTCATTACTTCTCTTCGCGTATGCCGCCGCTTTAATTACTAGCCACCCATGATGCACCAATGCGTGGGCTGCCTCACGGCCGCGGAGGCACCGTGATCGTGCGTCCTTCACGCGCACTCTCGTACGCAAGCTCGATGATCTCAAGGACTTCCGCCGACTCGGCCCACTTCACCGCCTGTTCTTTGCCTTCGCGAATGGTCTTCGCAAGGTCCTCAAAAAGGGCCGCGTAGTTACCGCGCTCAGTAGACGGCCATCTGCGTACATGGTTAGACTCTGTGAAAGGGAAGCATCTAAGAACGCACGTAGATTTCACGATCTTGTCGCCTGTCGTGAGGTTCTCTAACGTCCCCCAGATACTCTCCGGCTCCACACCGTAGGATTCGGATACTGTTATCTGAGCAGGGTCCGGGATGACCTTGAGCTGGTCTTCTTGAACGTCCACGCCGAATTTGGTATATGTCCCCTGCAGCCCACGGACGACGTACCGCACTTGCGGCGAACGTACGGATAGGATGTGTCCTCGTAGGATGGCTGTAAATGATGTTGGCTGTAGACCGGTGCCTGCCTTGCGCGGCGGGTAGTGAAGGAAGATTGTGAACTGTAAGCAGGTCTGTCCGTTAATATTGATTATTGCAATGGCAGTAAGAGAAAATGTTTGAAATAAGAGCTAGCGGCTGAACTTGAAGCGTCACGTCCTACTATGCATAGGATGTGTAGAACAAACTTTGTCAACAGTCCGATGTCATGTCAGGCCGACCCTGATACACAGTGTTCGGCGAAGCTCTCAGAGCTGTTACGTCAACCACATGGTCGTAATCAATCTCTGTCATCTGGCAATTGGGTGCAAGCACTCAAAGAAGGGAATCGTGGCGTGGAGAGCCCAATGTAAATGCGCGTACTCACGCAGTCGTCCACCTCCTTATGCCCGATCCCTCTTATGTTTTCGATCATTGCAGTAACCGCCTTCGGGCGCCCAAACAGCACCAGAGACTGATCGATAGTATGGGCGCCCAGGTCGTATGTCAGGCCATTGGCAGGAATTGGTAGATCCTTCCATGTGCCCTTGAGTGCTGCGCGATAACGATCAAACCTACACGGCAGTCCTTAGTATTCGTACTATTACTTACTAAGCACGCAGCATAGCCTACCTGGATTCAAATTCCACGAGCGTCCCCAACGACTTCGGGTCTGACGGTGGGAGGTCCAATAGCTTGCGGAGCGCCAGGAAATCCGAGTCCCAACGCCGATTCTGGAACGGATATAGAACGACCCCCTTCGTTTTCGCGAGCTCTCCTAATTCGTAGGCTTGCTGGGCGGTTGCTGTAACCGGCTTGTCAACGAGCACTATCGTTCTGACAATTCAATTCTCGTTTATCATCCAGAAGGCCGTTACTCACCATGCTTCTCAGCTTCCAGCGCCTGCTTTGCAAGCGCGTAGTGCGTCTCGCTTGGGGTGCTGATAAAAATGAGCTCGACTTCTGGGTCGCTCAACACCTCGTCGTAGCTCCGGTAGATCTTGACGTTCTTCGCCGACTCAGCGCCAAATCGCGCGCCGAGCTTTCCACCGGGCAACGTGGGATTGCGCTCAAGCACGGCATGCAGTGTGAAATACTGGGGCAGCGCAAGGACAAACGGGATGTGGAAGGTCAGTCCACCAAGCCCGACACCGAGCACAGCCGACTTGATGGGCTTGAACGAGGCCATGTCTCTGAGAGTCGTTGTCGAGGGCACAGAGGGAGAGCGGAGAAATGCAGTGTGGACACAGAATATCGAACGCTGAAGATACTTATACCGACGTTCGACGCACGGCCAGATCGGGCCGCACAATGGGAACCCATCCCCTTTCGACACTGGCAGCTTCAATCAGCAGGTCGTCCATGGCGTGGAACGGAGCCCCGACGACGATCTCGTGGTGACTCGGAGCACTATGGTAAACTGGGAGTATGTCCGGTTCTGTGATCGTCGAGTCCGTGCCAGTGTTCGCGTCGACCCCGACTCTAGCCGAGTTTCCAAGCTTCCTTCTAGCGATGTCGATGTTCCCCTTGCACGCTGGGCGCGAACTGCGCACGTTGTATCTCATGGCCCGCGTGCCACTGAAGTATGCCGTACGATAAATTAGTGGGGACCTGCAACCGCAACAACGTATCGCAGATTTTCTTGGGATTTTCCAGAACCGTGCAACTCGCGATCTGGAACTGATGCGGAGAGCGGGAAGTCCGATCGATCGAGATCGCGTAGAGGACAGGCGTCGGGAGACCACGTGCTGTGTCGCCATCCTCGCCTCATCGTCCACCCACAAAATGACCAAAATATACTTCTCCTCCGCCCCGTCCATTGTCTCCTGCAAAAATGCCTTCGGGGATCTCGACTCCGGCGTCGTCAACGGCAACCCTTTCTGCTCCTGGGTCGCCTAGACAGAAGGCAAAAATCGACGTGCAACAAGCGGTCAAGAACGCGCTCATATCTGCGTCGACCGCAGTCGAATTCATCGCGTCCAGGACGAGCTCCAGCTCCTCTGTCTTCATCTACGATGTAGCCGAAAATGTCGGGTTCGGCGCATTTACAAAGGAGTGGGCAGGGTCATCGGAGGACGTCGCGTCCGTTGTCAGTCTGCAAACGCGTGCGGGAGCGGGATTAAGCCTGGTAGGCAGACTGTCCCAAGGAACGAGCAAGGATTCTGCCAACGGTGCAGTCCTCACAGCTTACACGACGCCATCTGGACTTGCTATGATGGTCCAGTCACTCACCTACCTTCCCCCGTCTACCCCCAGCAGCAGGCTCACCATTCAAGTTCCTGCTGTGACCGCAGTTGGCGAAAGCTTTGCGCTATCGCCGACCCTGGCGCCTTTTACACCTGTACTGGCGATCCTCCCGGAGAACTTTACTGTCCTCCTCTCAGCGACCCCACGCGAGACCATTGACTTCGCCGCACTCGCCTACAAGTTGACCGACACTCATGTTATCCACCTATTCGACCACCATGGCGCGGCACGCGAGAGCGGTCACACTATCGTGCCTGCCCTTCCCGTGCAGGAGCCTGGCTTGACTGCGAAGGACGGACTGAAGAAGGCCGGCTACGACGCCTTCGAGTACGCCGGTGACAAGGGCGCAAACACCGTGGTCGTACTTCTGAATGGCCCGCTTGCGCTAGTGGCGAAGGCTGTTGCTGCGAAGGCGGTTGGACTGGGTGTCGTCGTGGTGAAGATGCTTCGCCCATGGGACGAAGAGGCGTTGCGCGAGGTCGTACCGTCCACCGCGAAGATCATTCATGTCTTTGACGACGTTCCTGCAGAGACCACTCAGGGATCGTTGTACATGGATGTTTTCGCCTCCGTGCTCGACCCGCTTAGCCCTGGTCCCACTGTCAAGTCGCATCGCATCGTGCCTGCACGCACGCAAGAGTTCCTCGACAGACCCTCCGTCTTCACTTCCTATCTATGCGGATTCGTTCCGGCGGCAGTCCCCGCGTTCATCGACGTCCCGAACACGAAGAAGGTCCTTTTCTTCAGCACGCCGGGGTCACCTCTCGCTTCCCTGGCACGTTCGGTGGAGCAAACGTTCGTCTCGTTCAATTCAATCTCGGCCCGCCTTCTTAGGGACCACGACGTGTGCTCGAAACCTGGCGGCCTCACCGCAGACAGGCTCGTCTTCTCTCCCAAGGATGAGAACGCCGCGTTCACTCCTACCTCAGTGGCGTTGCCTCTTACGCCCGATAGCACGGGAGAGGCTGACTTCGTAGCTGTTCTCGACCAAGGCTTGTTGAAATCTCATGAAGTTATCGCACACGCCGCCCCGGGCTCTCCGGTGCTGATCGCCACCACCTGGAGTGCATCCGAGCTGCTTTCGAATCTTCCTGCCTCAGTCGTCTCGTGCATCCACGAGAGGAACCTCCACATCTACATCACCAACCCCGTCGGCCATGCCGAGGAAGTGACGGGCGGTGGCGCCTCCGAGGCCTTGCAGGATATCCTGCTGCAAATCGCGTTCCTGCGGCTGTACCTCGGACAGGCTGCGCGCGAGGAAGTCGTCATCAGGCTCGTGCGCAAGGCCGTCGGCGATAAAGTGCAAGATGTGCCGCTCGAGCAGATTGTGGAAATCGCCTGGAACGGGCTCGTCGAACTCGAGATCCCTGCGCCCCAGGAGGTTCCCGCGGAAGACGCAGCGAAGGAGAAGCCACTGAAACACTTCACCTTCAACGCTATCTCCGTCGAGACCTCCGAAGGCGAGACGGTCGTGAATGGTGCCCGGCTTGGGTCGTGGCATGACGCAGCCAAGCACATCATATTCCCATCGGCCTTCACGCCCCAGGACGCCCAGGTTCCATCCGAGGACGAGTACGCCCAGAACCCCGCCCTGCGACCCGAGGTGCCCGACCGGACGTACCTCGTCACCTGCACGGTCAACCTCCGCCTGACACCGCTCGACTACGACCGCAATGTCTTCCACCTCGAGTTCGACACGCGCGGGACCGGGCTGAAGTACGAGATCGGCGAGGCGCTCGGCGTGCATGGGTGGAACGACGTGGACGACGTGGATGACTTCTGCAGCTGGTACGGCGCCGACCCAAATAAGCTCGTCACCATCCCCGTCCCGAACACGGACGGCACGCGCATGCACACTCGCACGGTCTTCCAGGCGCTCCAGCAGCAGGTAGACTTGTTTGGGAAGCCTGGCAAGACGTTCTATACCGAGCTTGCCGAGTACGCTACGAACAAGGCGGATCAGTACGCGCTGAGGTTCATTGGGAGCCCTGAGGGTAGCGCAACGTTCAAGAAGTTGACTGAGAAGGACACGGTGACGTTCGCGGATATCCTGAGGAGATACGAGACCGCACGCCCCGGGGTTGAAGTCCTCTGCGAGCTCGTCGGCGACATCAAGCCGAGACACTATAGTATTGCGAGTGCGCAGACTGTCGTCGGTGACCAAGTTGATCTCTTGGTCGTCAGCGTTGACTGGGTCACGCCAAGTGGTAAGTCTGCCGTTTTGTTAGTGATACGCGCTGCTCACGAAGGTACTAGGCACTCCTCGTTACGGCCAGTGCACGAGGTACCTTGCCGGCCTGAAGCCCGGGCAGAAGGTAACTGTGTCGTTGAGGCCCAGTGTGATGAGGTGAGCGATGCTGTTCGCACATCTGAGAGAACTTGTTCGTTGATATCGCCTTCTAGCTACCACCCGACAACATGCAGCCGATCATCATGGCTGGGCTGGGCACAGGTGCTGCTCCTTTCCGTGCCTTCCTGCAGCACAGAGCCTGGCTCAAGTCGCAGTCGGTCCCCGTCGGTCCCACGTACTACTACTTCGGTTCCCGCCATCGCTCCCAAGAATACCTGTACGGCGAGGAGCTCGAGGCCTTCATAGATGACGGGATCATTACCAGGGCTGGACTGGCATTCTCTCGTGACGGCCCGCGCAAGGTGTACATCCAGCACAAGATGCAGGAGGACGCGGACATCCTTGCCCAATGCTCTGGGAACAGAAGGGCGCCTTCTACTTGTGCGGACCGACATGGCCCGTCCCAGATGTCTACGAGGCATTAGTCGAGGCGTTGATGAGACATACTGGACAAGATGCCGTGCAAGCAGGTGATTTCTTGGAAGGCTTGAAGGAGGAGGAGCGGTACGTGCTGGAGGTGAGTCGAAGCTTTCGATTTGGCCTGCTTCGCATCCTGACCGTCCTCTCAAGGTATATTGATTTTTCATGCCGAAAGTCATCTGGCGGTTATGGGTTCAGCAAGATAGAGTACAGATTGTTTTGTACATGGCTACGTCCGTCGTCGCTATAAGGAACTTCACTCTCGAGTGTGTTGAACAAGCGATCTCCCTGTGTGCCTGTGATGAGCGACGTGTAGTTCGGACAGAGGTGTACGTACCGTGTCACCCAACCCTGGTGCGATCAAGCCCCTGTCCGTCAACTCGGGATCAACGCCAGACACCCAGATCTACGAGATATTCACGGGCTGGTACAAGGAGCAGACGAAGTCGCGTACCTCAAGCTCGGGATACTCCTCACGCACACGGCTCAAACCCGTCTGGGATGCCAAAACACAAAGCAACTTGATTCTGGTCACTATAAACACTGTGAGGGGCAGTCACGCTCATGCAAACGGGTGACGTACCAGGCATGCCCCAGTCAAGCAGCATCTGCAGCGCCGCACACGCCGTCCCGCCAGTCGCAATCAGGGGGTCCAGCAAGTACACAATGTCGATCGTAGTGTGGGACGGGAGCTTCGAGTAGTCTGACATCGTGTCAACAAGATACCATACTAGTAGGGTCACCGAACGGGTTGGCATACATTCAACGGGCTGTAGGGTCACCTTCTCCCTGAAGATACCGAGGTGGTATACCTGCGCAGCCCTGATCGCGGGTCAGGGTCTTTGAACGTATGGGTCCCGGAGGCAGCCGTAGATACACACGGGAAGAGGTTCAACAGCGCATCGGTCATACCGAGACCCGCACGCAGGATGGGTGCGAGCCCAATCTTGGGCTTGATTGCTGTACCCGTGAAGGTACCTATTGGGGTTTGCTAAGGTCAATGAACGGGCGATCAGCCTCCGTGCAGACCACCAGGAGAGGGGACGGAACGCACCCCCGTGAACGCTTCTTCCTCCAACTCCTTGCTGGCCTCAATGCCCAAGAAGATACTGATGTCATGAATGCCCTGGGATCACAACGAAGTCGTCTGAGCGAGCGTAGCGAAGATCGAACGAGCTGCGTACCTCGCGGAACTCCTTAGGGCTAGTCGATGTTTGTCGCAGCTTCGACAATCGAGCCTTCACAACGGGGTGGGTCAGAACATGTGTTTTGTCAGACATTGCGATAGCGGTGTGGTCTAGAGTAGAAGGGAGGCAAGAGTGAAGCAAGGCGGCTGGGGCACGCTGAGGGCACGAGTACCGCTAAGGCGGGACTCGGACGAGGGGCTTATCACGTACTCCGTTATCCAAGCCTGTATGCAGGGCGGCCAAACCATTGTAGACGGACGTCTGCCAGTCTCGGCCTCGTCAGAGCATGTGTACATGAACGCTGCTGGCAGGCCAACAGTGCAATGCAGTCCACGAAAGACATTGACAACCAAATATAGGAGAGGTCATCATAAAGGACAGATTCAGAAGTATGTAGAATCGACCCAAACGTCCATAACTATATCGCTAAACGAATATAGGAGAGGTCATCATAAAGGACAGAAGTATGTAGAATCGACCCAAACGTCCATAACTATATCGCTAAACGAAGCCTATGCGTACAACAATCCCATCCAGTATCAGTACACTCGGGCCACCGCCCAGCTTCACCCCTATATCGCGCCAGTCTACAACTCGTCGGCCCAGTCTGTCGTCTGCACCCTCTCGATATATCCCTTCACCCACGCGGGCCGCCTCTCCTGCAGCTCTTCCAGGATCCTTGCCCTCACTTCCGCTTCGCGCCCAGGCTCGGGCTCTGCGCTTCGCGCGGCCTCCCGCGCGTTCGCCTCCGTCCGCAGCCGACCCTCGCGCCGCCTCAGAGCCGCCCGACGGTGATCCCAGACAGCCGGGTACACAGTCAACAGCATGAGCACGACAAAGGTCTTGATCCTGTGGCTGAGACTCGGCGGAGGGGCGTTCGCGCCGGTGTCGATGACCGAGTCTTCTCTCCGCAGGTTGAGGTTCGAGAGGCCGGCGAGGAACGACTGCATCGCGCTACGGTTCGCGTTGGGCGCGCCCGCACCTCGCTGACGGCGGGGCGGTCGATCGGGCTGCTGGCCTTCGGCCTGTTGCCTTGGTTGACCAGCTTGGTTGGCTGCAGGGGCGTCCGCGGCACCTGCTCGAGGTCTGTCGTTCCCGAGCACAAGACGGATCGCGCCCCATGCTTCGTAAAGGATCCATGCCCCAATTATGAGAGCGAAGAAGGGCCGCTTGGTCGGCCCGAAGAAATACAAGAGCAGGATGGTGCGGAAAGCGACCATGAGAAACGGTACTAGGACCGCCCGCATAGGGATCGCACGGATCTCCACTGCTGCTGCGGGTGCGGCGAGATTATTTGGGTCATTCGGGTTGAGATTCTGGTTGGGAATCTGGCCATGGGCGAGGCGCAGAGCGGGTAGACCGAGCCGCTGGAGGTGCTCGTTGAGGTTGGTGGTCGCGATGGTTTGGGCAACGCTGGTGGGGGCGGTAGGATAGTAAGGTGCCGCGAATGGACCCAGAGCAGACAGTATTGTGAATGTCAGAGAGAGGACCTTGAGGGCTTGTACTTGGATAGGTGTAGGCTCCTCGCCGGGGTTGGTAAGCGAAAGGCAGGGTAGTCCACTGGTGGGGCATGTTCAATGTCATGACGGCGGAAGCGGGAAGCCACTCACTCGGCTGTTGTCCGCTCGTACTTCAAACCTCCGGGCTCGCCGGAGGATACTCCTCGTCGAGCAGTGCAGGCCATGCCATCCATGATGGCCCAACAATTCGATGGCTACTGCGCGCCATCGCTCAGCGTCACCCAGGTTGGCACCCTCGATACGGTCCGTCCCGTTGATGAGCACAGACAAGGCGGACGCATGCTTGTAGTAGACGTAACCCAGCGTTGTATAAGCCAGCATAGATGGAGCGGCCACGGATGGAGGTGCCACCGGCGTCGCGTATGAGAAAGGAACTGAGACCGGTGGAACAGGCGGCGTGGACAAAGGTACCGCAGACGGGGCTGTGACAGCTGGCGACGAAGACGACGCTACTGTGGGCATCCCACCTGTCCACGCCGACGGATGTACGGAGAGGTGGAGAACATGCACCTCATCCTGCTTCTGGGGTGTGCGAGGGTTGAGTGTAAGGCGGCAGGACGCCCAGAAACAAGGATGCCACCTTCCATATCTCCCCCACGAGCTCGTGGTCATTGACAAAGCGCCCCTTGTGGATAAGCCGCTGGCCATCCGCCCCAGGGCTGCCAGGACAGACCTTGGTTATCTCGTGCTTGACATCGCGGATCGTCGAGGATGGTCCGGCGTGCACGGTGAAAGAGCGGGAGTACGTGGGGAGCTCAATGCGGATGTCTACAGTCGCATCCTGAGCAGACATATCAGACTGGGCTAGAATCGTGAAGGAGAGGGAGTGCAGCGGAATGAACTGGCGGTCGTGCTGCTGAGAGAGGTCTTGCGCGCGATGATGCGCTAACGTGTAAGTACGGCGCACGTGACCTACGTCGGCTCCCCGCATGACGCTCGTCGGCCGCGGCGGGAAGTTATTCGGTCAATTTATCGCAGGTCCTCTCAAGGCCCTTCGCGATTCCGTGCAACCGAACTGGCTGGCATCATCGCGTTCGATGGCCTCGGGCCCGAGGAACAGCGTGTGCATTCACGAAAGGCCCAGCCCGCCATTTACATCTGTATTCCACAAAAGGAAAGCCACGTGGCTCAAGATGCATTGTCGGTGGATGCTTGAACAGCCATAAATCAGTGCTGCCCTTGTGGTGTGTGTCTCCCTTTCATTCTGCCTCTCCCCGCTCACCCACCCGTAGTACAAGACGCGCTCCACATCTACGAACGCGCGGCAGCACGCCCGGAACAAAGGGAACGAAGCTGCAGAACGCATAAGAGGCGGGGCCTCAGGCGAGACACCCATCTGCGGCCATGGCGAGCAGGAACCACTCCCATCTACTTTTGACCAACTTATCGCCGACCTCACTCGCGACGCACACCGCGTACACCCAAAGACGCGCTCCAATTCTGCGCGAACTGGTTCCAGTCAAGACTCGAGAGCAGCGCACTCGCACCCGCGACATCCTCTCCGAGCACCATTCGTTCGCCCGCGACGTGCCCGCCGATCACTACCACGACACGCCGATTAGCCCCACCGCCGGCTCGCAGCCCGACGGGGTCTCTCCATTCTCCAAGCCCACTTTTGCTCAACGCTCCTCGCTCCGCGCGTCCATGGCTGCTACCAGCCCCTTTGGCAGGCTGAACGTCCCCGGAAACGCGCTTCTGCCCAATTCGTCCACCGGGAGCCTCCACTCCCTGGCCCCACCGATGTTCAGGATGGAGGCCGACGAGCTCTCCCCGACTTCGCCGAGCGGTACGCCTAACCCCTTCGCTTCCTTTGCCAATGGCGATGTCACGCCACACGGCGACTACCTGCAACCTCCCGAGTCCACCATTTTCGCGCGACGCGCGTCCGTCAGCGCGGAGTCCATCGCAGTGGACGAGGAGCCCGATGAGCCGCTGCCCGTTTATTCCAAGACGGAAGAGCAGCTCCAGCGCATCCGCGCTGCGATACGAAGAACTTCATTTTTCGCGACCTCGACGAGGAGCAAGAGACGGGTGTGCTCATGGCGATGCGCGAGGTGCGCGCGACGAAGGACGAGGTTGTCATCCGTCAGGGCGACGTCGGCGACTTCTTCTACGTCGTCGAGGCGGGGTGGCTCGACTGCTTCATCCGCCCCGAGCCTCTGCCGCCCGCGTGGCTCACAGGAACTCGGCGCCCGAGGAGGAGCGGTTCACGCAACCGGGATATCACCCGGAGTTTGGGAAGAAGGTGACGGAGTGCAGGGAAGGCAGTTTCTTCGGGGAGCTGGCGTGATGTACGGGCATCCGCGCGCGGCGAGGTGGTCGCGATGGACCGTGCACGCTGTGGTCGCTTGACCGGATCACGTTCCGCACTATCATCTCAAGGCGGCGCACAGGAGCGTACATGTACGAGCAGTTCCTGTCGTCCGTGCCTCTGCTCGCATCCCTGCGGCCGGAGGACGGAGCAAGATCGCGGACGCGCTGGTCAGCAAGGTGCATGAAGACGGCGAGCCGGTCGTGCGCCAGGGCGACATGGGCGACACATTCTTCTTCGTCGAAGACGGGGTAGCCGTTGTGACGAAAACCGAGCGCACGGAGGACGGCCAAAGTCGCGAGGTGGAGGTGAACCGCCTCACCAAGGGCGACTACTTTGGCGGTACGTGATCCTCACTGCACATTGCACGCACTCGCACTGATCGGCGTGTTTGGCGACAGAGCTTTCGTTGCTGCGCCGTGAGCCGCGTGCGGCGACGGTGAGTGCAGTTAGCCGAGCGGATCGCTCAGCGCCGAAATTGAAGGTGGCGGCGCTTGATGCGAATGCGTTCACCCGCCTGCTGGGGCCGCTGCGGGAGATCATGGAGCGCAACGCGGGGCAGGCGTACGGTGCGGTGCCCCGAATGTCGCGATGATTGGGCTCGGGCGCAGAAGACTGCTGGGTGTTTCTTGCTGTCGTTGTTTGTACGGGACGGAAAGTGTAGTCTATTGTAATCACGTGTATCGCCTGATTGGGGGTGAATGCCATGACGATGCGAGTCGGGACTGCCGTGTTGGGATCCCAGCAACGCACGGCGCATCGACGACGGCGCACGCAGCGTTTCGATGCCAACGCACGGCCAGCGACAGCGATCACGCGCGCGCAAGCACTCCACCGCCATCGATACGCACGCGGAGCAACTTTCAACATTCTCCACACCAGTTTGTGGCCCGCTGCATGGACCCTGGAAGGTCGCCCGCTATTATCGCTTTCCCTTTTGTCCCCTCCCCCTCCTCGAGGCCTCCTTCCTTCCGTCCATCACTGACTCTCCCATATCCTCTGCGTCCGGCACTTCTGTTGGTCCTCTCTCTTTGACCACCTCTTTCTGCTTGGTCTCTGGCAGACCCGGAAGCTAGACCGGCAGCTCGTCTCGGCGCACTGCACACCGACCTCACCCCATTCGTTCTTTTGGCATACCAACTCAGTGTCCGCCCGAGACCTCAATTACCCTCTCCGAACTTTGTACCACAATGAGTGCCGTTAATCACGAACTTGACCTGTCCGAACGCGACCTGCTCGGCGGCGGTGAGTCCCCACAGCGTCCATCAGTCAAAGTTGTGTGCTGAGACGTCTCTCCCTGTCGCAGTGGGCAATGCACTGTACGTGATCAACGCTTTTCGCTGCACAGGTTGTCGTGGACTGACATGACGACAGCTCTTCAATCATCAACCCAATCTTCCCAGGACAGCAGACAACGTCAGATACGTCGACCAGCTCGACCATCACGTTGACGTCGTCCGCGACAGCGACACAGACTGACACTTCCACTCAGTGAGCACCTTCTCGTCAGTAGTATGACGTCCATCCCGACCCTTTGCGCGCCGTAGGTCTGCTGCTACCTCGACTGCGACCGCGACCTCGTCCTCGACGACCAGCACCGTTGCATCGACGCAGTCGAGTAGTTCCTCCTCGTCTCCGAGCGCGAGATCATCATCATCATCTGCGACCTCGAGCGCAACCACATCGTCTTCAGCTGGTACCTCGTCGACGTCCGAACCACCTTCTGCAACCACCGTTGTCACCACTGGAGCAGATGGTACGATCACCCTGACCTCTACCTCGAGCCCGTCCTCGACGGCATCCGCCACGCCTGCTGCCAATGCCGCGACGTCAAGCGGCTTCCTGGCCAACAAAGGCCTCTCGGTGGGCGTCATCACAGCGTGCTCGCTGGTGGGCTTGGTGCTCCTCATCATCGTAGCAACGTACACGTGTCGCCGTCGCCGTCGCAACAAGCTGCACGAGGAGGCCGTCGACTTCACGCCCTTCCCCTCGTCCGACGAGCTGATCAGCAGCCATAACGACGTCGAACGTGGTGGTGGCGGCGGCTTGCGCACGCGACCGAGTTCCCGCGGCAGCGCGACCGACGAGAGCGTGCCCAAGGCGTCGCCGCAGGAGATGTACCAGACGGGGTACCACATCATGCCGGCGTTCGTGCCCACCGGCCTGCACCGCTACCCAAGGCAACGACCACGACGACAACCAACCAGCTCGCCTTCCCGTCGCAGACGTACGCGAACCCGGTGCAGGGCTACAGTGACTTTGGGACGTACCCTTCGTATGATACGCGCGCGGCGCCTCCAGCGAACGCCAACGGATACCAGCCTGTTGCAGCCGGTGTGCTCGCGCCTCGACCAGGTCCCACCTATAACAATGGCTATGGCGCGCCCGCCGGCACTGCTGGTGTCCCTGCAGGCGCGCCAGTGCGGAAGGCCAGCCAGCGCAAGCAGGTCCCGCCGTTGAACCTCAGCGCGACGCGCGACAACGCCAACCCGCCCGCGTACCAGGTGACGGGCAACGGGGCGTCGCCGATGCTCGCGAACCCATACGGCACGACGCCGAACGCGGCCGCGGCGGACCCGCCCCTCTCCGCGGTGTCGCCCCGCATGAAGCGCGGCTCGACGTCGCTGCTGAACTCGCCCGTGGGGATGGCGTTCTCGGACGAGAGCGCGAGTGCGGAGAGCGAGCGGGCGCCGGACAAGAGCAGGAGCAGAACGAGCAGCCACTCGAGGATGCTCGACCCGAGCCTGCCGCAGCTGCCTGTCCTGGGGTCGCTGCCCGACGAGTTTGGCGGGCAGAGCGGCGTCGCGGTCCGGGACGAGAAGGCGGCCGTTCGACAACTCACTGTAAGTTGTCACTACCCAGCCTGCGTTGTTGATTGTCTCTGACCCTGGGTTCTGCAGGTCCGGAACGAGTGACAGTCGAACGATGGCTCCTGAGCGCTGCGCACCGCCGCCACTATACCTCGCCCGAAGTTATACCTCGCTAACGCTACAACGCTACCCACACGCCCGCCGCCGCACTGCTTTTTTGCATGTACCATACGCTTATATTGCACTCCGTCGCCCTCGGCGAGGCCACGTTTCGCCCCGCGTCCCTCGCCCGTGCTGTGCGCCGCATGGGGGCCGGGAACCTTAGACCTGGACGTCGTAATGCTTGGCTGCCAGCCCGTGTCACACACACACTGTCTCTTCCCGTACACTACCGTGCTTGCGAACCCCTGCGTCTGTATCATTAGTGCTTTCTTCTTACTGTTTTTTGAGTTTTTCGATGATATGCTGTGTAGTTGGTTGCGCGTTGCGGAGAAGTACGAAGCGAAGCATGCACGTACTATTGTAGCTAGTCTTTGGAAATAATGAAGATGCGCCGTGCGGCTGTGTGAATGATGTCGGGATGGCTGCGGGTGTTGAACGGTTCCCAAACTTAATGCGTATGGTATGTTACAGTAGTACACGTACAATTGATCTACTCAGAAAACGACCAACCTTCACACCAAGTCTACTTCTCGGTGAGCCTTCCTCAAGGCTCAAACCCATCCACGTTCTTCTCGTCCAGCTCCCTCTCCTTTTCTTCGATCCCATCCTCCGCAGGGCCATCGTCCCCGGCCCGTGCAGCGACACGCTTCTCGCGGCGCTCGAGGTACCACACGAGGAAGGTGACGAGAAGGGTCGCGAGGCCGATGCCGATCATGGCCCACATGCCCTTGCGGAAGCGCGGCGCGTCGGTGGCGGGGTAGAAGACGAGCTGCCACCAGGCGTTGACGACGTTGTTCCACATGCTGCGCGGGAGGGGTGAGTGCGTGCGCCGTGGGGGAGGCGCGGGGGGGAGGGACGTACTTCATGGAGGCGAGGACGACGGCGCGCTCTTGGTCGTCGTCGGCGCAGATCTGGTTTGCCCAGCTGGTGGGGGAGGCGGGTCAGTCGTGTGTTGCGCTCGATGGACGGAGGCGGACGTACGCGAATGTCGTCGCCTGCCCGGAATAGCTCGCACCCGCCAGGTCTACGTACCGCAAACATCAGCATCCTCACAACCAACGGCACAACCACTCACAATACGCGAAGAACTTCAGCCCCGTCGGGCTCCCCCACACCAAGAGGCACACCGCGGCGACCATGACCGCCACGGACATGTACACAAGCACGGGCCAGCGCGCCCTCGAGCGCGTCGCGTCGGTCCACGTCGCGCACACGAGCGTCGAGGCGATGCCCACCGCGGTCACGCCGCACGGGTAGTAGTCCACCTGCTCGACGGTGTAGCCCCCGAGCGCGGAGAGCCACTGGCCCATGAGGTTGTTGGAGCCGAGGCTCTCCGTCTCGCCGGAGATGGCGAACTGGCGTGGGACACGTTCGTGAGCTGAGTCTGTGTGTGTGGGAGGGGGGGGGGAGGGGGACTTACGAGGAGGCTGCACCCGTACCACCGCCATCGGCCCAGGACACGTTTTGCGAGGTCCCAGGTCGGACGGCGCAGCCCGCGGTGCTCCTTCGGGCGTCCTTGCCCATCTGCAAGCGTGTGACGGCGAGGTCACGTTCCTAGACAAGAGACGTCCTGTGTTACGAGATAGTACGATGGCGGAGGATGAGACTTGCCTCTGGCGACAGGTAGAACGCGGTCGTCGTGGTCGGCGTGTTGGGGAAGACGAAGAAGCCATATAGAGCGATAGGAAGGGTGATGACGCCGTCAATGATGAATCTGTCGCAGAGATAGTGAGCACTGTCGGCGACGAGGAGAGACATGTGCGAGACAACCTACAGCCAGCGCCAGCCACTGCGACCATCTACCCCGTTGAGATGCCTGCAACTAGGTCAGATGAAACTAAAGATGTGGACCTGTCGACATACTGATACACCGCGGCCTGGAGCACACCAGAAAACCTGGTTCGAATATGACGTTAAAACGGTGGTAATGTCCGGTGGGCAGCTCGGCGTACAGAGTCCCGATGAGGCCTGAGCTTGTGAAGATGCCAGAACGCTTGCCGAGCTCGCCTGGCTTGTACCATCTAGAGTGTGGTCAGAGTTGGCATCGCGGAACCCCAGACGAGACAGACGAGACGTACGAGCCAAGGATATAGTGCGTCCCGACGAATGTCGATGCCTCAGTGAGCCCTTGGAAGAACCGAATAGCATAGAGCTTTCATGGCCATGTCAAGAGAGGACGTTATCTTGAGCTTATATTAGAGCTTACTTGCTCGACGTTTTTAACCGCACTCGAGCTTCTTCGGAGTTAGCCCCAGATATCAACCCTTAAACGCGGACACTGACCAGAAAGTCAAGACACCCCAGACGATCTGCATAGCGGGGAACCAAATTCTGGGCGAGACCACCTGGAGCATCAGGTTGTCTGCGCGGTTTGCAACAGTTACGACCATCTCTCCCCGCAAGGACTCAAAGGCTACTCACTCGGCACCATCCCGACGATATATCCGCATGTGAAGATCGTGTTGATTTTCTGCAGACATTGACAGCGGATCAATGCCTCTGACACTGGCACAATAGGAATAGGCTCTGACGTTAAACTCGGTACCGTACATGTGGAGGTCTTCCTTCATGCCGGAGACGTATGCATTTGACACGTTGCTTCGATCAAGGTCTGCCATCGAGGACGTGGATGCGTCAAGAATTGCATTGCAACGCGAAGCTCGTGCAACTCACAATTCGTAAAGTACTGTATAGAGTTGTGAATATCTCAGCTGCGCGTCTCCAAAATTTGTGACTGACCATGAGGCAACAGTACGACAAGATGAACCAGTCTATCTTCAGCAGCAGTGTCCGCTCCGTCTTGCTGTCTGGAATTTCTCCCCATACAAAGCGACGCACACTCCGTAATGAGACCATCCTGACAAGCGAGTGTTATTTCCTCCCGGAGTTCAAGTCGTTAAAGCTGTCGTGACGTAGGTCGTGTAGTCTGTGAGAGGGAAGCAGTCGCACGCAAAGATGATGGGAGTCGCGCACGAAGGAAGCAAGCGACGTACGAGCGTCCCAGCCACCTCCATGGTCTGTGGATGGGCTTATCCAAGTCGTCTGAGATAGCGCGCCGATAGCGGGACTGGGGCGGGACGCGTCCCCACAGCCCATCACGGTCATATGACCCGCCCCATACACCAAAGCCCTAACCTCAGCTTCTGGTACGGTCTTCAATCCGACTTATCAAAACGGGCGCACAGAAACGATAAGTACCTCGTCAATTCGCGCGCAGGTGCCGGCAGCAGGTATGTCACGACTCTGTTCACTGCAATGTCGCCACATCGAGATACTGTTTCAGGAACTGAGCAAGCTGCGGCAGGATCATGGAAGACGGACATCAGAAATTTCGCTCATAGAGCGCGCCCGTCGACAAATACTATGCTATCAGTGTTGCCGCGACATGGCTTCCTGAGCAGAGAATACGGCGTCTGGGGCAAAGCTCAGGAGGTGCAACGATGAAACCCAGATAGGCAAATTGAACCGATTCAAGTGGGGTCTGTGGAAAGCTCTTCTGGCACGATCTGCTGCTCCAACACCTTCACCACATCCCCGGAAGAGGGCTGCCCCACACTGGTACCGGTGTCGTTCAATACCATACTATTCCCTCGTGCGATCTCCGTCACGAACAGGGCTTGCGAATTCAAACACTTCGATCCTCCGTACATCCCTTTCGGCGACATCAACGAAGCCACTGCACACCACGTAACGATCTCCGCGCCCCCAACGCTACATCACTGGATTTCACTGATTCCAGACAGCCGGGCCGGGAGAGACGTAGCCGGTGAAGTTGCTCGGGAGGTCGTAGATGTCCTGCACAATCCGGCCCGTTAGTTCAACCCGACGTGTGAAGACGAAGGCGCATACGATGAGGATGCCGGGCTCGTAGCCAGTGTACGCGCCAGGGAAGGACACGAGCGGCTCGGGAGATCTGCGAACGCGTACATGAGCCTCTGTAACTTGAGCAACCCGCTAGTAGCTCTTGGGCTCACCCGTCACCACCGTTGGCGACGTTGACCTGAGCGCAGCTCAGGTAGAACTGCGCGCCGCCGTAGGTTTTCGCCACTGAAGTTTGTCGAGAATGAGACGAAGATTTCAGCGACAGAACCACGACAAGCTCACCGTGCAGGGCGATCTGCTCGCCACGGATGAGGTACTGCCCGCTCGGCAGGCTGGGCGGAATGGTAAACGTGAACTGGTCGGTGGCTGCGACAACGGTCACACATCATCAGTGTTGCCGCACGCCGGTACAGGACGCGCAGAGTCACTGACACTCCAAGGCGAAGTTCAGCGTGCCAGGCTGGCCGTTGGTGCCTGCGGTGAAGGTCGGGGCATCCTGCCAGATCTTGAACCAGGTCTGGCTCGTACCAGCCTCCTCGGAGTCGGCCTCGGGGCTCGCCTTTGACATGTACGCCGAGAAGTACTGCAAGAAGGCGTCAGTGCGTGATGCGGAGCCATGCGAAGTACGCAAGTGGTACCCCAGGGTGGTAGAAGTCGCCGTTGGCCTTGAAGCCGACTGTGGCGCCGGCATCGACGGTCGCGACGGAGGTGGACGAGGCCGTGTTGTTCTCGTAGCAGCGGATCAAGTCGCTGGTGACGTCCGTGAGCTGCAGAACGCCGTCAGCACCGATCATATTCTTAAGAGGGATGTGCACAAGAAAGATGCTGACCGGCATGTTGTCCTGGTAGTTCTGAGTCTGGCGGACGTATTCCCAGTCGGTGCTGGCGGCACCGTTCAGGATGAGGTCGGGCAGCGTGTCTGGACGAGCAATGGGTATCAGCCATTTGCAAGCATTGCATCACGAGGATGAGGAGTTCGGACTTACAGTGCGCTGTGACCGAAGTGACCGCGGCGGAAACGAGGGCAGCGAAGAATGCCTTCATCGTGAAAACTCTGAGAGGACTCAAGGGGCTGAGAGGTCGAGAGTGGATTCACTGTCGTCACCGAACTCCGTGTACACGCCTTTATACCGCCTCACCTCGGCACACTGAGCCTGAGAGCTCGAACTCCGTAAAGAAGGTCAGACTCTGTTGCACAAGGATATCGTGCTTGAGTAGCATGCTGCAAACCACGGCGGAGAAACCGTGCGCAGCGGATCGACGGAGGAAGAAGGCGGCGGACATTGCGCAATTGTGCGGACTATCGTCGGCCTTCGCGAGGTCTTCTCCTCGATCCCTGCTCATTCACGTCAATTGGACATCAATGGCTGAGACCTTGCTCGCCCACCCGCCTGGCGGATCCCTCCCCGCCTGACGCAATCGCCATATGTAGTGCACCGGCCGAGGTTATCCCGGATGTCAATCGGGGTTGTCTGCGAGCTCATCTGCCGCCGGTTCACGCTCATTGAACGTTCGAACGTTAAAGGCAGAGCGCTGCGGTCCCGCAGGCTAGAGGGTCCCTCGGCCTACTGGTGGATTCATCGTGCCTATTCAGCCTGCACGCCGAGGTTCTCTCGAGATGCTATCGGGTGTCTTCATCTGCGACCGCTACACACTCATTGAACGTCGAAGCTGGGACCTTGCGGCCCGCGCGACTTCACTGGGAACCTGGCCTCCTGACGCATCCGGCATGTGTATGCGCATCGATGCCATGGGCTCTGGCGAATGCCACAGTGCAAGACTTGCCTCGTGGTGAATTCACACGAGTCCTGCTCCGCCCATGGCTACCAGGTATTAAGTAGTCGTCAGGGTCCAACGGAGTAGCTGCGAAGACTTACCGTGTATTACGGCGGACCTCATTCGAAGTTGAACGTTCATTGTCCACTGGCAGACAGTGCACGACACACTGATGCGATTACTCGGGCGAGGTGGTCGGAGTCAAATGACATGACAGACTTGGCCTGGTGGCATGCTGCAGTGCCAGTGCAAGTTACTGGCCTTCTCCAATTCGTGTTTTCTATATCGGCCTGGCGTGAAAAACATGGCACCTATCCGGATTAGACGCAAGGACGCGTTGGCAGCACGATGCGGAGCAGGTAGTAGGCAATGCCCGGCGCACGACGGGTCCTCGTGCCCCCGATGAATCCGCGCGGAGGCGGGGCATACAGCGGCGAGCATGTGGAACTGATGCAGTGAGCTACCTCGAACGTCCGCAATCGTACAACTGTTCACTCACAGCCTCGGGTCAGGACCCCTTTGATTGTTCGAGACTTGTGCCAGGGTTAGAACAAGTGAGTCCGTCCGTAATACGGGCCAGGTCTTGCACGGCATTACTTGCGCTGTCTACCGGTCATTCGTAGAGGTAAGTAGTCCTCCAGCGAGAGGCACTGGCAAGACGACCATCTACCCCCGGGCCTAGACGAGCTGCGACGGTGATGAACTTGGGCTTTGCGTCGAACCGATGCCAGCAACGGTCACCGGTCTCCCCTCCGCAGACTCTAAGGCAGGCCTTAGGGCGGTCTTCTGCAGGCGGTCTCGGACTGTCCTTCCGACCGCTCTCGCTGGTAGCTTTCCAGCGTAGTAGCACTAGCTTGAGTCGATAGTCCTGCAGCCCCAGACGGCGCGACGGTCCACCGAGACTGAAACTGTCCAAGTCGTCGCGACGATTGAAAGCGCCGGTACAACGCCAGTACTAAACGACCTGTTATAGCGTTTCATGGCCTTCGCGCCACATCGTGTGGCACTTCCTCTGCAAAGTCATACGCTGCCTGCCTCCAGTACACAGAGCCAACGGTCATGATAACGAAAGACGGGTAGGAGAAAAGCAACGCGACACTGCGACATTCAAGATACTATTTATGTCGCTTTCCGAGTGAGGCTCAGCCTTTCGTCTGCCAATGTTTCGTCTCTGAACGCTAAGAGAACAAGCGAAGGTTCCGGTCGACGACAACTTGGATATCCGGAGCCATCGGAGGTTGAGTGGATTGTCTACTCTGCCCACAGGAGACTAGGAGACTAGTACGGTCGACGGACGTGTTTGTCTACCAGCGCGACGATTTCCGTAAGTAGGGTTCAATTGGCGTATCATTCAAATGGAACTCAGTTGAGGCCTTGAGGGCCGACCGTCACGACCACCATGAGTTCCTCCCCGTTGACGTTGAACCTCGACGTTCTCGATGTCATTTTGTCATTCGCAAACCCATATGATGCCCTCCAATTTTCCATGACATGTCGCGACGGCCACAAACTAGCGATGCCGCATTTCTTGGAAGAAGTCGAGTTCCCGCTTCCTTGGCTGTGTTTACGGGGCGCAAAACGATCGGCACTGGCGGATCCGGAGCTCTTCGAGGGCTTTCGCGCTTACATGCTCGATTCACCGCATGCGTCCCATCGCCTCCGGAAGCTCAAGGCTCTTCAGCTTGGAGAAGAGGCTTTCTGCGTAGAATGGGGAGAACGCGACAGAGGCACTGTACCGCCGACGGACACCTTCACTCTTGCGGAACCGCTCGCGGATGTCATTCGAGGTGCCGTTGAGCTACGCAGGATCTCCATTCACTACTCGGAGGCCATCTTCGATGATGTACCGCAGCTCATAGATGCCATAGCGAGCCTCCCGCGTCTCCAGGAGGTCTGCTTCTATGGCGCCGACGTGTCGACACTCGGCCTTCTCTCTAGAATGCAGAGTCGCCTCAGGAGAGTTGAACTCCGCATCATCGAATATAATGATCAAGAGACGAGAGAAAGGTGGTGGGGCGACTATGCCTTCGGGAATGACCGCTTTCTACACAACTTCACTGAATCACTGCAGGTTCTGAGCCTGCATGGAGGCTTGGACATCATAGAGGAGCTCGAACCACACACGGTTTGGCGTGCTGTTCGTGAACTCAAACTCGTTCGCGGTAATCCAGTCAATCTACAAGCCATGGCCCGCGCTTTCCCAAACCTGCGCCGTCTGCACACCGAGCCCGGACCCTCCGCTGTCGAGCCTGCCATCCATCAATGGCGAAAACTTGACACCGTTTGGGCGGCACATCCTCTCCCTTTGCAGCATCCGGTCCGACACTTGATCATGCATTGGACCCTTCAGGCGTACAGGTACCTCGCCCCTCCGTTCAACCAGGCCCTAGCGGGTGGTACCATCGCCATGCTTCAACACACCCTGCCCGTCGTACTCGAGTGCAGCGCTGACAAGAACACGTATGCATGCATAGCTCATCACGCACCCTCAGTCCGCTGCATGAGAATCACTGTGGTACCTAGTGAGCGCCAACATGGGCATGACTGGAACTTGACCGACGAAGAGGCAAAGAATGTGTTGGTGAGTATTGAGAGACTGTTGAAACGTTCGATTCACTGACCAGTTAATTTTATGCACAGATCGACGAATTCTCGCTCCTCCGGGCTTTGCCTCTCAAAGGTATCGCTATCGTACTCCAGGGACACGGACCCTGGGGCAAGGCCTCCAACTGGAAGCAGTATTCTTGCATCATTGGAGCCTGTATTCCTTCATTGGAGTACATTGGCTTGCGCACGCAGACAGGGGCTTGGTTCTCACACGATGATTGGGATGCGCCGGAGCCATACCAGTGGTATCAGGTCACTGGGCGCCCAGAACATTCGGAGGTGGTTGTAGAGAGCCTGTCGGCTGATGAAGGAGTCCGCGTCTGCTCTACGCTCTTCAGCATGTCCAGAGGTGAATAAACCTCAAGTTTGACTGCAGGTATCCCCGGGTGTAAGGGGTTTTCCTCGGTGAGCACCGTTCCATAGCAAAGACTTGCATACTACTGACGACTGCGCGATCAGAGACATGTACCTACGGGGTCTATGACTGGAATGATATCCCTGTGCAATGGCAGCTCGAAGCCCTTCCACTCTGCGTTTTATGGACCGAGCGTAACCCGGCGCCGAGTCCTATTGGGGTCGACTTCGTCAGTTGGTCTTCAGTTGACGTCGTCCAAACCAGATTGCACGCTCCCAACCTGGGCCGATGACGGCGCGTTCGCATGCATTCATGCATTCATCCTGAGAACGAGACGAGGAGCGAAAAGATATAATTAGCTAGAGGGTACACCATGGAGTGGCAGTCGCATACCCAGCTAAGTTCTTTTTAGTAATAGCCTGAGGACACCTGGCAAACGCCGTGTCCCAGGCCTCCCAGCAATACGATCGCTTAAGCGCCCAGCCGATCCGGCTTGTGCAGTTCATCTTGAGTTCATGCTCTTTTCCGGCAGCCCTGCGCTCTAAATTTGAGTTGCCCCCACAGGGCCTGTGTCTTTTGCCAACGCCACCTACACCTCCGAGTCGGTATATAGATCAGCAGGAGACCTACGGCGCTCAGCTATGTAAGTGGTCTACATCGCGTCGATCGTACGCGTACAGTCAGTATTCACGCGCACGATTACGGAGCCGATCACAGCATGCCGACGCGGGCTTGCGTGCACGGCACCACCGGCGCGCCCAAATGAAGGGCTCGAGCTTGGCGAGGCCTCGCGCTTACCAACCGCCCGCGCGCGCGAAGCCCGACACGCACTTCTACAACCCCTGATTATTAGATGAGTCCACTTCCCAGTGGCATGCCGCATGTGTGCCTGCTGGTACCGTATATGTTGCACTATTACAGCTGTTTCCAAAACGATGGGCCCCGCATCAAGAAACCGCACTCAGGCGGAGTGTGTCGGTCTCCCTATTCCCATCAAGATTGGACCATAACCGGCACGTCGAGGGCGAGCCAGACTACGGCGGGTGGCTGAGGTCGACCGGCAGAAGGTGCGGATCACCTTGAAGGCAAGATCCGACGCTCTCCGCCCGTGTACGCATTTTTGATGAGGGGCCTATCATTTTGGAAACAGCTGTAAGCACTGTGCAAAATGCCGGTCAATCGGGGCGCCCGGGTCCGTGGTGGCGGAGACACGCACGACGCGCGCTGAAGGGACCGAACAGAGTGGTTGGATGTACTCCGGTTGGAGGTAACTCATCGATCGGGGACGCTCGGAGGCAGTGAGAGGAGTAATATTCTATCAATGGTCCGAGACTGAACAGAATTAGGCCGGGCCATCCGCAGAGATCGCTCGAAAAGCTGGCCCGCGAACGTGTTGGCCGCTTGACGGGCGTGGGCAGACGGTGCACATCCTTGCCTATCCGGCACATCGTGACGGCCCATCCACATGCGGGCGGGTGAGGGAGTGCGGCGCCTCGGGCTGTAAAGACGTCTTCGAGGTGTCACTGTCCATCAGCGGGTTGGAGAAGACGTGGCTGTGGACGTAAGCCACCCAAGGCGGGGTGTGTCTCGCGATGGGACCCGCGCGCTTTAGATGGGCCGTGTGGGTTATGGTGCTGGTGTGGATAGAATGCTGACAGTGACAGTGATATATTGACAGACCGAGGTTCTTCAGAAGGGGTGGATCCGTCGGTGCGCACGGATGGACGTACTTACAATACAGGGATACTGCACAGCAGAACGAGTGGTTGGACAGTTGGATCGAAATTGACATTTGGAAATTGGCCGCACCGGTACCGTACAACGCATGTAGCACGAACCAAACTAAATGACACTTACCGTCCACAAGTCGTGATATCGGGCTATGACACAGGCTGCGCGTGGCGGGTATGGCACGCCGCGACAGCGCTGGGCAGTACTGTAGAATACTGGGCACGCAGTACTGAGCGCTGAGCACGAGCCCGTCCGCAGACCATCACACACAAGACGAGGGTTGACAGAAGATCGCAGGGATGAACTAGTCGGCTCTGGGCAGTGGGCAGTAGTGCGCCACATGGCGACCTTGATGGAGGCGAATGCACCGGAACGATGGCCGACGACTCGGGGAGGAGGTAGCTAGCGTTGCCGGAGCAGAGAGCGTCGGCGTCGGGGAAGAATGGCACGGGCTGGATTGGGGTGACGAGGTCACAGTGTACCGGACCCGGCGAGGGCGTGACTGGACCGGACGAGACGGACTCGGCTTTACGGGATTCGGAACAAGGTCAGAGCAAGACGCCGGGACGAGACACCAGAAGCAGCAGAGCACGTTGTAATGCGCGGGCGACGCGACGGCAGGCTGCAGCGATGCAGCGACAGAACTACGCGCGCGACGTCGACGAGGGCGCCGGCGTTGTGGAGCGCATCGAGGAGACACAGCGGCGTCGGGGTCGGTGGTGTGCGGCGGATCGGGCGGCATGTTCTTTTGGATGAGGTCACGACGCGCGATCGCATCTCACTCTCATCCCGTCATTTTGGGTTGGTGATGCGGGCGCCAATCGGGATGGCATCGCCCGGGAATGCGCTCATCGCGCGCCACAGTGGGCGGGCTCGCGCGCATGGGGGGCGCGGGGGCGGACACGCGCGCAGAGAGATGCCGGGACCAGAGCGTACGAGGGCGAGTGGAGAGGGGAGGAGGAGGAGGAGGAGGACGGGCGGTGTGTGATCGGAAGTGACGCGGGGCGCATGAGTCAGCCGCTGGAGGTGACTCTCGCAGTCGCACGGGGACGCGAGCACAGCGGACAGGCCGGGCCAGCCTAAGACGTTCGCAAGCCTTCCTCCGACCTTCTCCGTCAGCCGCGGTATAATAAGATATCTTGTCCGTCCGCCTGCCCCTCTTTACCGTCTCTCCTCGCCCGCCATGCGCGCCCTCCACATCCTCCCCTTCCTCGTCCCCGCACTCGCAGGCGCACTCGCCGCAGTTCCCCCCCACGACTTCCACGCGCTCGACCTTCCGGTGGCCTCAGGATCAGATGCATCCCCATACGAAGAGACACTATACCGGAGAGACGGTGACCACCACCACATGGGCGCGCCCCTCGTCAAGCTCAACGAGACCGAGATCGCGGTGTCGCATCAACCCACCCCGCCATCATACTACTGGAGCGATATCATGGACACCCACGGTGAGCGGAGGTATCCCGGCCTCATGGCCGTCCACGTCCTCTCCATGGGCCTTGCCTTCTTCGGCGCCCTTCCAGTAGGTACGTCGCGTCACGTCTGCCGACACACCCACCGTCCCCGCCACCTCGGCCGCGTACCGACGTTCCTACCCCTCCCCAGGCATCGCACTGCGCTCCGTCAAATCCGCATGGCACCCAGTCACAGTGATCCTTTTCTATGCCTTCACCACGATCGGTGTCGGCGCGAGCATGCTATATCGCAAACTGACTCCGGACATGTACGTCTCGGCGCGCTAGACCCGAAGTTGCTCCACTCACCAACTCTATTTGCCCATCTTCCCAGGTATGACGGCGAACGGCATTCGTCTCAAGGCTATGGTTGGCTGTTCTTCGCTGCGGCGCTGTCCGTGGTAGATACCCTCGCCATCATCCTTCGTGCATGGCACTACTTCGTCGCGATCCGCCGGGGGAGGAGAGATTCAGCATCAACTCAACTTGGAACACCGTCATCCTCGGACGAGATGAGCCGTCGGTCCATCTTTCATCCGAGTACACCAACTTGGTCGCAGAGGATGAGCTCGAGGCCGCCGAGCTGAAAACGAGGGACATCGAGTGCGAGGACTCCGAGTCGGAAACGCTCCATGGGCGCCGGAACCAGTCGATGCAACCCATTCGCACGATCTTCGACGCCCAGGATAGCGAGCACGAGGAGACCGCCCAGTGGGCGAACAACGTCACGCGTCACGCACGTCAGGCATCCTACCCACATTCGGCGGCTTCCGAGCGTACGCTCTTCGGTCCTCGCTCTCCGCGCGACTCCGACGACACTCTTCACGTCCCTGGTCCGTGGTACGCTACCGAGAACAGGGCATGGCTATTGAAGAAGATTGGTCGCGCGGCATTTGGAACGTCAGAGCGGGTGCTGGTCTTTGCCGGCTTCATGCAGTTCCTGACGGGTATTGTGACGTACACTGGCGGATGCCGGCAGAATTGGGTTAACGGTTGTCTTGCTCACCTGATCAGTATGTCTCTCGTGTCAAGTATTTCTCTTCCTTTCCTGACGATGCGTGTGCGTTTCACAGAGGGCGGCATCTTCTGGTGCTACGGCCTGGTCACGTTTGCGCGGTACCTTGGTTCTTTCTCTGAGCTCGGGTGGGCGTGGAATCGCGCGCCTGCAGGTAACTACCCTTCCGCCGAATTCGTCGAGTCGTCTGTCGTCTTCGTGTACGGAATCACGAACACTTGGATGGAGCGCTTCGGTGCTCAGCCGGGCGATCCGTACACCACCAAGCAGGTGCAGCATATCAGTATCGCGGTTATGTTCTGGTTCGCGGGTCTCATCGGCATGGGCATTGAGAGCAAGAGGATCCGGCGGTGGCTTGCGGCGGGCAGCACAGCTGCGATAGGCGCGACCCTCGGCCAAGAGGCGGTGGCAGAGCCTCCGAGCTATGCGGGGAGCTTCAACCCGTTCCCGGCGCTGTGCATCGGCATTACTGGCGCAGCGATGTCCGCACATGCACAGACGTACCTCTTCCAGGTCCAGATCCACATGCTCTGGGGCTACCTCCTGAGCGGGTTCGCCGTCCTGCGGTGCTTGACCTACTTCTTCGTGTGGCTGGGCCCCCCACGGAGCATCCTGCCCAGCCGTCCGCCGACGGAGGCGCTCGCGAGCTTCCTGCTGGCGTGCGGCGGGCTGATGTTCATGTTCTCGACGGAGGAGGTCACGATCGCGGCGATGCGCCAGGGCCACGATGACGTCATGATGTTCTTGAACGTCGGCGTCGCGGTTACGTGCCTGGCGTTCTGCTGGGTCTCCTGGTCGTTGCGCTCAAGGGCTGGCTCAAGAGCCGCACGCATGCTGCGGTCAAGTTCCACGCGTCGGCGTGAAGAGGAGAAGAGACTTGAAGATGAAGACGCACCTGCATGACATGACGTCCGGTCGACCCCTCCCCTCCCCGCTACCCTGCCGCCCTCGCCATCCTGCTCCGACCCACACGAACAAGGCCTCCCATCTCACACCACGTTGTTGCACTAACCGCCGCCGTCCACCCACTTGTAGCCCCAGCCCAGCCCCGACGATGCTCGCCCACGTTATTTATTCGTAATGACCTTCGATGACGCCTGCGCCTTTGGTGCGTTAATGCCTGGTATCTGGTTGTTGTGTGTATGTCCAGAGTGTACATACACCCCCTTGTTGCATAATGCGTAGCTCATACTTTAGTAACGTTTTGCCTTTTCGTGGAATGGGATATGCGATGTTCAAACGCACCTTGGTCGTGTGCTGTGCGATGTGCGTCGTCCGGGCGTGCGGTGAGTCAGAGAAAGATGGGAGAGAGGAGGAAGGGATGCGGGAGGTGGGGGTGCGAGCGAAAGATGGGGTTGTGGAGACTCGGTTGCGAATTGGTCGCGAACTCGCTAGCGGAGTGCGCAGACCCCTGCCCAGTCTGCCTGCCAGACTGCCGGGTTGCGACCGTGAAGAGTGACGTGAGGAAAACATGTGATCCGTGGAGCGAGATTTCGATCGTACAGAACGCCCGTTCCGTGAGACGGCGACACGGTCTCCTCTCGCCGCCATGAGCCACTCGGGCGAACGGCAGCCGTACGTCGTCTTTGGATACGGCTCCCTCATCTTCAAGGTAGGCTCGCTCGCCCTGCTATGACCCTGCGGTGACGATCTAGGTTTGAACGCTATCGGTCGCGGGCGTGTAGCCCCCGCCGCATGTAGTATCGCAGCGTGTGTCCCGTTTGCCCCTCCCATGCGCGACGGAGCCCCGGACTGACGGCGTCCGCTGTGAATTTCACAGATCCGGGATTCTTGAAGGGCTATGTACGCCGCTTTGCCCAGAAGTCGCATGACCATCGCGGCACGCCGGAGGTGCGTCTGCCATACACAGTTACGCTTGTCGATGCAGGCTCATGTGTTGGTGCTTCTGTGGACAGAACCCTGGCAGAGTAGTCACTCTAGTGCATAAGGAGGACTGGGACGCGTTCTCCGGCTCTGTCGGTGTGATTTCTCCGGTGCTTGAGCGACGAGTTCTCACCGGACAACGTGCAGGATCCGTTTCCGGACGATGATGTCGTATGGGGTACGCTCGCCGCCTTCAATACAAATGCTGCTGCTGCTGCTCACCGCTGCAACAGGCGTTGCGTATATCATAGACCCAAAGTACGAGTCGGAGGTACGGGACTACCTCGACTACCGCGAGAAGGTAAATAGATGCGAGCCTTGTCCGACTGCGTGGGCTAACCGAGCATCACCAGGACGGCTACTCGTTAGAGCAACTCGACGTCTTCAGTCTCGTAGACGGCCACGAACAAGTCGTTTTCCACAATGTCGGTGAGCCTGCCGCTGCTCCGCCTCCCCGCCATACGAGCGTGACGAGTACAGGCTTTCGTACGTCCACCACAATGACCCTTCCATGGCTGCATCGCATTCAGACAGGGCTAGTGCTACGTGGGACATAACACCAATCCCTCATTCAGTGAGTGCCCATTCAGTGTTCTGCGCGGTCGCGATGACTGAAGTGTCACACGCAAGTCGGGTCCGAACCCATAGAGCAACTCGCGCGAAAAATTTGGGAGTCCGTCGGGCCGTCGGGTCCTAACAAAGAATACTTGTACCACCTCACTGAAGCGGTCCGACAACTTGCCCCCGAGTCGCACGATTCGCATCTGTTCGCGCTAGAGGTGACCACCGATCGCACCCTGATCACGTATGAAATGACTGACGGTGTCCAGACGAGATGCCGCGAGCTTGACGCAGACAAGGACGACAGCAGCGCAGCCAAACATCCGGAGATCGAGGGTACAAGACCGCTGCAGCCCGAGTGAAGTTGGATAAAAACAAGGTCAAGGCGAATAATCACTCTGTACCCGAGCATCGACGTAGTCCATACGGCTTGCGCACACTCAACGTCAACAATCGCACAGACTATCATCACATTACGCAGCACAATCAATGTATCAATTGCCCATACCAGACATCAGCCATCCATAGTCCGCCATCGCACCCATCCATATCCAGAATCCAGACCAGCCACACCCCACGAAGCCCTTCCAGCAGCTCGGTCTGTTATTAAAGTCCACCCTCGCGAGCACGCGCGCGAGTTGCATGGCAGCGAGGCCGGTGCCTGCGTAGAAGAGGGGTCCTTGTGCGTTCAGGATTCCCGCGTAAGTGATGAGCGAGATGGAGGACGCGGAGAGCGCGCTGAGGATGGGCCGCGTGCGCTCGCCGAAGAGGAGGGCGGTCGACCGAATGCCAGCGGTTACGTCGTCCGTTTTGTCCTGAACGTAAGGAGTCAGCAGTCATAGTTCGGGAGGGGATACGGGCAAGACCGGTGGGGATAGACGGACCTGGTGCGCGTAGATAGTGTCGTATACGAGCGTCCAGCAGATGCCTCCGGCGTAGAGGGGGAGGGCGACACCCCAGTCAACCGAGCCCGCTACTGCTGACCAGCCGAGCAGCGCTCCCCAGTTGAACGCCAGGCCTACAAAGCATAAGCGTCGTCAGCCTCTTCTACGTCCTTGTCTCGACGGAGGGACTTCGGCGCGTACCGAGGACAGACTGCGGCCAATAGGTCACCCGTTTCATGAACGGGTATATCGTTACGACTGAGAGCGAGGACGCTCCCAGTAAGATACTACATGCACCGTCAGTTGGGATGCACGCCCAGTGCGACGAGCCAGACTCACCTGTACCAGTTCAGCTGCGTGAGCACCGCCAACCCCGCACTGAGCTGTAGTCCCAGGAACCCGACAGCCTGCCCTGGTGATATGTCTCCCCTCGCCAGCGGCCGCTCTTTTGTTCGTTCTGTCATGCAGGCATCGTTGAAATGGCGCAGGACGAGCACCCTGATGTGACCGCTCACCGACACTCTTGTCGAGGTTCTTATCCCACATGTCGTTGATAGTGCACCCCGCCCCTCGCATAACGAGTGCCCCAATCCCGAACAAGCTCAGATATGTCAGAGGCACCGTATAAGGCGTCTGGAGGGCGTAGGACGCCATGGTGATCGACCACGCTACAAAGCGGTATGAGTATATCACCGACGCGTTCTTGACGCGTTCAAGAGACCGAACGCGTACTGCATGGGTAAAACAGAGGAGTGTCCCGATAGGTTTGTCTATACGCGTGAGGTATAGGTAGGGCCGAATTTTGGCGGGGAGGTGCTCCACCCAGGATTTAGACACCGGCGGAGACGACAGGGTGCCATTGTTCCGAAGAAAATTACGCCGAGAGCTAAGTCTCTTTGCATGCTGAAAATGAGAATGACTGAAGGTGAGGCAGCGGTGTGGATGTCGGATGACGAGGTCGCAAAGAGTACGCGACCGCGCGGTCGACGCGGTGAGCGTAAAGGTCATGTTGCGGATATTGCCGCCCGAAGTAACATACTTATGCGCTTTGATTTCCAGCCAAATTCCCGCTCAATGGAGCTAACAGTGGGCACGACATGTATAATTCCCAAAGTCTCGATTTCTTTATTATAATATACTCGTGCGCGGCACGAGAATGTGGACACTCCTCAATACAACCCAAAGCATGTGGTATAGTGTGCGATGATGAAAGTGATACAGATTCCATGATGCCTCCGGACGACGACGTTCCTCTACCATTCCTTCGCCAGCTTGAAAGACCAGTCCCAGTCTAGATCAATCATGAGCCTTTCGACGTTGAAAACAGAGAAGAGACAGCGATACGTACCAGCGTACACCTCGCCGTCATCGTCAACGACACGGCTCCTGACGTTATACGTGCCAGAACGAGCGAGCATGCCGGACGGAGACTCCTCTGGGTCAAAGTTCTTGGTGTATGCCTCTCCCTTGGGGTGTGGGCCGTAAGAACCAAGCATCTGTTCCATTCTGTCCACTGCCATGGCGTAAGTACAACCTACGGCACGGAGTATCAGAAACGAGTCGCTCACCTCGGACACCAGCGCGTTTCACAACCTGCATATACCGAACACCCTAATGGACACCTTGTGAGTTCCACGTGAAGACTGCCGCACCGCGTGGCGTGGACTCACCGAGATGATCGAGTGGTTGACCTTGAACGTGATACGGACACTACGGACATCCAATCAGCATGCAATCCCTACACGCCGATCAGAGGCACTCACTTGTACTCTACACCCTCCTTGATGGCGATCGGATTCTTCTTCACATTCGCGAGCTGCGCGGGATCCTGGATGTCAAGCACGAGCTTCTTGCCAGCCGGCAATGTGGGAGAATCAAGCTCAAGGGTAAAGACGGTGACCTATTGGAAAATGGGTGAAAACACGCCGGGAAGTAGCCGGGCTGTCTCACGCACCTTGGGACCACTGGCGGGGGCAGTCGAGGCACCCGGTGCGATACCCAGGCTGGCCTTCCAGCGCGCTAAGCTCTCATCCTCCGCGTCCATTTTGGCATAATCATCGACGCTCTTCGCCGCCGTGGCTTGTAGCCTATCCAGATGACACCTCAGTTTCGCCTTGGATCAGTGGTCAGGTGGATGCTGCCTACCCGGAGTGGCCGAAGGGGCGAAATCCTCTTCTTCGTGCTGTCGCAAGCATGTTACACACTTCGCACCCAACTGAGCTCGTTTGCTAACTTACCGCAGACATGGGGCAAGAGCGATGGTGAAGATGTGATGAGGAGGACTGGGAGGGGGCTTCGATGCAGTGGCATTGCTTTCAGGTTGCTATAGATCGATTTCCCACGGCTGCTATACGATGCGCCCGCGTTGCTCCGCTTGAGCCACTTAGTTCTGAGTCTAGGCCTACATAACGATCAGCAGCGTTTTGAGAAAGAGAAGCAGCACAAATGTGCCCCAAGGAAGCAAGACTGACATTGAGTCGATGCCTCGCGCATAGTAGACGCGGCCAACGCGCCCACACACTGCCGTCTTCCAAGTGATGGTACTGAACGGCATCTCGTTTTCGCTAGCGCGGATCCAACAGATTTATTTATATCAGACATAGTACTAGTAGCCTATTGCAAGCGACAATATATAGTGAATACCCAGTAGATCGAGGAGCATTATACGAGACCAATCATAACAACGATAGCCAGATACCGACAGCGTGTCACCCTTGCCTGTTGTTTATCCAATATGTCATTCAGGTTTCTTGAGATGGAAAACTAAATGAGAAGCTCTGTAGGACCCATGACTGGGTGCATGCCATCTGCATCACAGTCAGTGATAGGCATGGCGAACAAAAGTGGCAACATACCGCCTTTAAACCAGCACTTGCCCTTGCTCAGGTGGAAGCACCGAGCCCCGCTGGGGCAGACATGGCCCTGATATGAAGGACGACGTGTCATCCTATGCCACGACGACATGGCAGAGTTAAACTCACCCAGCAGCACCTATCGCCATGTGGACAGTCGATGCCTGTGAACGGTATGAGTAGAATTCAAACCGCCGAGGCACCATACATACCGTTCTTCAAGTAGTTGCACGGGGCCTTCTTCGCATTCTTGGACAGTGTCTCAAGCTGCTCAGGTGAGAGGTACCAATCGTGGGAGTACTTGCAGTTAGCCTGTACCAGACACATGAGCTCTAGCGCACTCGCATGACACAGCTGGCTTCCTCACGCCTTTGGAGCAGGACATCAAATAGTGCTCATTGCAAGGCGGTGGGAATTCTGTTCGTCGTAACGTGAGCGGCTTGAGTGAGCAGTCCGAGGGGATAGGCAAGGCAAGAGTACCCACGTTTGTGTAGAGGCTAGAACACATCGTCCTTCAGAAAACCTTCGAGGGATAAAAATAGGTCATGCCCCCTCACCTTCGTTGGATCTATCGGCTTCGCCCCATTCGCATTGGACCCAAACCTAGCGTTGGTGCCGGGCCCGACAGAGGTAGAAGCGGCCGTGACATGCGTCTCAGACTGAGGGCTGATGAGACCGCCTTGCGTAGTGATATTCTGATTCAATCCAGCAAGGGGAATCGACCCAGGTCGCCTGTGAACGTATGCCGGAGGCTGAGCCATGAACAGAGTCTCTGTCTGCATATTCGACACCGAGAGCTGTCGCAACTCCTCGGGAAGGCCATTACTCCCTTGCAGAGCACGACCTTCCCGAGCAGTTCGTCCTTCTCGAGGTCGAGCAGCACGGATTTGTAGTTGCCATCAGAGCCACCTGTAGTGCGCGCGAAATTGACAAAGACGGTTATGAAGGTTAACCTCACGCTTCAGGGCAGCACTCACTTCCGAAGAATACCCGCATCGTCTGCGGTAAGGCGACGTACGTCTGAAGGTATTCTACGCAGCGCAGAATCAAAGTCTAAACCCATTGACAAATGAGAGCGTGAGCTTTCCGCACCTCTGATTTTTACGTCAGATCCGTCTTTGCCCGGACCGACATCCACTAAGAGGAACCGAGGGGACGCCTGGCTCAGCCCGGACATGAATGCCTCGAGTTGCTCAGGCCCGCAGATGCCTTCGTCCCGGAGCATGTTCACAAGGCCGCGTTTGTTGAAGTAGATGGTCACCCAGAAGGAGAGCCGTCCGAAAACCTGGACTTCTTCCTGGGATAGGAACTCGGCGATGCTCTTAGTAAGCTCTTGCGCGGCCTGCCTACCGCCCTGCAAGCCCTGGGCCAGGAGCATCGGGGAGAAAATGTTCATGTCTCCGTCAATAACGCAGAGAATGAGTGGGTCCTGTTGCACGCGCGTCACGTCAGAACGTGTCCAACAAGGCACAGCAAGCTGACCTTCAGCAGACCCATCGAGGCTATCTGCCTGTTAAGTGTCGCGACTCGCGCGTTATGCGCCTTCTTGTCGCGATCCATCATGTCCGTGACGTTGGAGTGGGCCTGCTTCCAAACCGCGAGCTCTACCTCAGCTCCGTGACCCTGGCTTCCAACTCCGCGTTGCGCTCGATGGTGGTCGTGGATAGGTCTATGTGCGAAGCGCGTCAACCACCGTCACTGAGCGGTGCTAGAATGTCTCCACGCACCCAGAACCTTTGTGAGAGCCTCGTCCCTGTTGTCGTACACTCGTAAGCCTCTGCATACTCGCATACGCCCCAGTCCACGGCCTTAACAAGGCACGCCACACGACGCGCTTAGCAGACGCACACTCACCACTGCTGCTTGCTGACCACCCCGACCGACGGCGCCGCCATTGCGATTTATCCAAGACGAGGCGGGTAACCTAAGGAGGGACAGGAGTGAGAGGAGGAAAGAAAAGGCCCAGGAACTTATAACCGCCGAAGCCATGATGCCTCCTGCTGCCAACAACCTGCGGCAGCTGGGCTAGATCTTCGCGGTGCTTCTCGTCCGGATATGAGCCAATAGTAAAAGAGACGAGCTCACTGACACGTAGATTCAAAGTAACCGTCAACCTTCAGGATCACACGGACGCACAGCTCCGGTGGCCTGCAGTGCTCGCCCGCAACTTGCCCACGGCACCTCAGTCGCTGCTCGACGCGGGCGACCGAGCGAACAACCGAGGATCAACAGCCCGGAGGCTCCTCGTTACCATATCTGGTTCTCAGTGCCACCGTCCCCAACTCCGACTGTTCGCTGATCTCACTCCCGCGCTGACCCCCTCCCTCCTCTGCGCGATCCAACTGTGTGCGCGCACCTCGCGAGGCCTTCGAGCAAGCACGGGGGTGCTCGTCAGGCTCTCGCTGCCTGCGTGCGAAGAGACATCTCAGGGACAGAGGCTGATGCTGATAGGCACCTCCCAGGTTCGGTGCGTCGCGGGCGCTGAATATTTGTATACGAGATCTCCAGGATGAGATGCGGCCGTCCTATTAATCCGCATGCTGACAGCCTCGCACCGACCGCCATCTCCCGGGCTGTCCACTGCACTTCCTCTTGAACGCGATCTACACCAAAGAGACACGACAGCCGCGAGAGCGTCCGTGCCAGGACGGACGCCGTGGCGTCGACGGAGGCAGCATCAGGGTTTCGGCACAAGCCAGAATCTGCGGACAACAACGGACACCCCGCATGCGGGCATGCCTCACCGACCGGACGGGTCCGCGCAAATTACATGAATTAACTTCAATTAAGTTGCCGACTTCGCGAAGTTGAGATGCTCCCGTGCCGCTGATGCATCTGGTTACCTAGACAGCGCGAACGACGGATTCCAGTTGTGCGGGTGAGCTACTTAGCGGGCTATGTAGCGCAACGTACTGACCGGCTGGGTCTCTCGGACAACGCTACCGTAGAGGTCAGCACATTGCTGGCGTTCAAATCGTGGGTGGAAAAGATCCGGTGCTTATCAGCCTCGAGGAGGCTTCGATGCCGCTGGTATCATTCGATACTGGTTGAAATACTTATTGACGAGTGACAAAGGAGGGGCGTAAAGCTGTCGACGGTTGGGTCAGATGGGACGTCCAAGCTTCGAACTTTAAAGCTTCAAGCTGGATGCAGCAAGCATGCCGACGATAGTAGAGCGCATTCGCCAGGACGTCGACCTACATACTAAATAGGTCTTCGTCGAAAAAGGAACGATTCTGGCATGTGATTGGTGGAGACTCGAGACCTAGGTCTCTGCGAATACGTTTCATTGTCTACTACTTAAAGACGTTCGTGGGGGTACCTTCTCGTTACGCCTGTAGGCACACTCTCCACTTCTTGCCCGGGCGCCGCTGAGTTATGAGATCCAGGGGAGTCGAGAGTTACGTTGCAGAAGCCTTTAAAATGCCGGATGGATCCAATCGATACGGACACTCCCACCCGCAGGGAAGACTGGGAAGTCGTTTCACGCCACTTTCGCGTTCTTCTGCCACCTGCATACACCGGGAGTGGCTCCAGTCGTGCACGATGCACCACGGCCAGGCCTAGCTCCGGACACACGTGTACGTATTTACATACCTGTTTACTCACCGTAGACAGATACACTGCGCTTTGTCGCGCAGTCTGTATAAAGCAAAGAATTTTTTCTCTTCCTAGGAACACGAGCATAGGATTCGTAGGGTCAAACAATGCATTCCGGATCGCTGTGGTTGCATTGGGACCTGTCTCAGTCATCTTGCAACATGTCTGAGCAGACGCTCGAAGGATTACTGTACCCCCACGTTGTGGTGTCCCCTCTATCTGTCGCAGATACGTCGGGTCCAGTGCGAACAATGGTAAGTACATATCGGTGATAGTGGCACATCCGAACCTGCGATAGAACATAGAACACTACATGTCGTCAGAGAGAAGTCAAGACGTCGCAGACGGAGGGATATGTCTCCACCTTGCCCGAACACGCCTGCGACGTCCGCTGCAGGCAGGCCTGCTAAGCCTCACTAGCACTGGCAAGAGCGGTTTCACATGAAATGACGTATGCTGTAATGTGTGATACATCGCAAAACACGAGTGTCGGCGAGAGCTCAATCCAGTCAGAGTCGAGCTTTGTGTAAGTCTGAGAGGGCTAGGATTTCGCCGATGTGAGTATCCTGGCACATGGTCGCGACGATGAGTCTGACTCAACATATCGACGTCCTGTCTATGTAGATTGGAGCACAGATTAGCTATTCCTGTTCACTTTACCTCAGCAGAGATGAGTCGACGTAGTGAGACGATGCACCTGAATCAGAGCGAACGCAGAGCTGTTCGGATATGAGCCACATCGCACGCAGAGCTATTCGGTTCCATATGAGACACACCGCCACGGATTCGATGCAGAAGATGGTACCTTGCGTCATGCCGGCAACCCAAAAATAGACGCACCAGCAGAAGACTGTTGGCAGTGTACGCGATACGCGGATGTCCTCGACAATGGACCAACTTCGAATAAACTTCAAAGGTGGTTCTCAATAGGCGGTCGATTCAGGGCGCAGCCGGATAAGTACATGCAGCCCGAGTGACCGTGGGCCGGCGTGTCAAGTGTACCAACTGACCGTTGGCGTTGTTTCAGTACAACTGCGCGATATCTCTGGATAATCACGACGACATACCACAAGATCACCTCTGCTGGTGGAACATACTCATTCCGTATTAGGAAAGCTGAGCGAAATTGCCGTCGCCGTCGCCGTCCTTCCGATCAACCGCTGAAGAGCTCCAATGCCGAGAGCGCTGTTTGTGAGGAGAGTCGGCGGGCAACCGGCAAGGCCGAGTGCAATGCGATGCGTCGGTGCTGTCGGCTTCTCGTCGTAGGACCCCTATCAATTGGGGAGAGGCCTGATCTTAATCCGGACAAAATCCGGCCAATTGAGGGGGGTATGCCTGATGTTATCCGGACAAAATCGTCCCTTATGCGGACGGAGGCCTGAGGAAGTATCCGGACATGGTGGTCCATGTCGCGCGAGGCCTGATCCTAGTCCGGACAAGGGCCCGGACAACTCAGAGCACCGGTGGGCCATGAGCGACACACATTACACGAGGCTTATTGAGGCTCATATGTCCGCATCGTAGTTGGGTTGCATAAACAACATAACTGTTCTCACAACAATAGTAAAACTCAGTAGTGTATGCACGCAGGTTTGCCGGGGCAAGAATGTGCGTTCACACAGTACTACTGTAGTACTCCCATTGCATCTGTGCATATTGAAGGTGCGAAGGCGGTGAGTTGCATGGCTCAGGAGGCCTGATCCTGCAATCCGGACACCGAACCGCCTGCCCCGAGGCCTGATGCAGAGTCCGGACAGCACCGACCAGAACCTCGTAAGGCCTGATTTAATCCGGACAAAATCGAAAGGCTACGTCCGGACAAAAAAAGCAAAATCTCGGGTTGCCGGATCAGGCCTCCCACCAATAAATAGGGTCCTCTCGTCGTCCGCTAAGGGCAGCCAGCCAAGAAGACGTCACAACGCAGAAGGAGGCGGCCCTGGCCGTGGTTGAGCGCGTGAGGAAAAAAGGGAGGGCAGCTGAAGCGAACAGCGATGACGCAGGATAGGTGCAGAAGGGATCAGCCGCGGTGGCCAAGCGAGATCGCCTCTCCGATCGGGGCACTACGCCCGGCGCCTACTCTGCGGACGCAGCGGTAACCATCCCACGTCCGTCCTCGTCCCAGAGGATCTGGTCACGCTCTGGCGCATGTGAGTCCTCGTCGACCAGAAGCGGCGGGGGCGACAGTGCGTGTGGTGAGCAGCAGCCTGACGAGCGTGCAAAAGTCCGAGCATGATGGTACTGATCTATCGCAGTAAGCAGGGCGTGCACAACCGCTCGGCAACGTAGCGGCGGGAAGGTGTGGCTCCACCCCCGAATCGAACAAGGCAGGCGCAAGCGCCTGGGTCAACGCTCTCCAGCATATGGGGCGTCGTTGCGGCGCCGGCGGGGGTGGCTGCCGATTTAGCGTTTATCGCAGCGATGTGCCGTGCCTTGAGCGGGCAGGGACGGTGCTCGCTTGCGAGAGCGTCCGGTCCGAGCCCCAGGCGTGGAGGTGGAGTGCTCGTCGTGGCAGCCAAGGCGAGGATTGCCTTTCGCGGCGTACCCGCTCTGCAACGCCCGGCTGCGCCACTGTTCTGCCGTATGTCTTGTTTTTGGGGTGTCCTCGGGGATATCCTATCCATCATTGACGCTGGCCACTTGACTTGAGTGGCGGACCTAACGCTTCTTCGCGCTCTCATCATCCAGCCGCCGCGTGATCTCACTCATATGTCGCTCCACACCAGGCCCACCCTCAAACCATTTTCGTGCGCTTCGTCGTGGACAAAGGAAGTTCGCAGGTATATAAGACATGCAGGTCCGTACCGCCCTTCCCCGTGCAACACCATCTTCCCCGGGTTGTCCATCATGTCGTCCTCCTCCGCATCGAGCGCGATTGACCATGCCTCCGTCTCAGAGAAAGGCCACAAGGACAAGGTCCGCATCCACGGTGCAGACCGAGGCGACGAGATCCGCGCTCATGCCCCCGCTCTGCGGGGTAAACGACTCACGGCGGCGCTCGCCTTCGTCGCGGGTACTGGCTTCACGCTGTTTGGGTATGTACAGAGCTCATATGTCTGTGGTCTGACGCTGACATGCGTTCACAGTTACGACCAGGGTGTTATGTCCGCCCTCCTCACAGCGAACCAGGTACTGTCGTCTGCACGATGCTAGCCAGCAGTGATTGTCTAACGCCGTCCACAGTTCGAGAAAGTGTTCCCTCAGGTTGTGGTGGGCGCCACTTCGCCCGCTAACCACGCGACGCTCCAAAGCTTCATCGTCGCTATCTACGTGAGTAAATTTCTTGCGCCTCGGATCTCAGTTGGTCGGGGGGCCCGCACTACTACCCTTCGCCTGGGAGCCAGCGTTTGTTTCCCGTCAGGGCATCAAGTTGCAACCACTACGTTCTGTCAGCTGATGCCTTTTCGGGCCTCCGCCCGTTCTCCCCGCACTGATTGACAGTCCATTGAAATTGTCGTTTGGCTTCTGTGGACCCTCTTTTCAGCGTTGCCTCCCCACCTGACCGAGGTACCATGATCCGACTTGTTTGCTGACTGCTTGCCTCCAGGAAATTGGCTGTCTTATCGGTGCACTGGCTAACCTCTGGCTCGGCGACAAGCTTGGCCGGAGGAAAACCATTGTCGTTGGTGGTATTATCATGATCATTGGCGCCATCCTCCAGGCGACTTCGTTCAGCTATGCGCAGATGGTTGTTGCCGTATTGTCACCGGTCTTGGCAATGGTCTGAACGTGAGTTGCCACTCATGTATGCACGCCCTAGAGCTTATCCTGGTCGTGCATAGACGTCTACGGTGCCATCATATCATGCAGAGTGCTCCCCAGCAGCAAAGCGTGGGAGCTTTATCATGATTGAGGGTAGTCTCATCACTTTCGGTATCATGGTATCATATGTGGGTATAATTCCATGACAGTTGTGTGTGCAGAGGCTGATGACATTGCGCTCACAGTGGATTGACTTTGCATTGTGGGTTTCGCTTGGTACCCTATATGATGGTGCGGACTAACATCTTGCAAAGCTACTGGCTCACGGGATCATCCGCGCAATGGAGAGTGCCAATTGCAATCCAGATCCTCTTCGCTGTTATGATGGTCGGCGGTATTTTCTTCGTGAGTCGTGTCAGCTTAATGCTCGTACTCTGACTGACACTGTCTCAGCTGCCCGAATCTCCGCGGTGGCTTGCGAAGCACGGTCGTGACGCTGAAGCGCTGGCAGTCATCGCTGCTCTCGAGGACAAGGACTACACGGCCGAGTCGGTCCAGCTCACCTACCATGGCATTCGCGAGGCACTCTCCGCTGAAGGCGCCAACGAGCCGCAGCGGTCTGCGCTCAGCCACATCTTCACGAATGGTCGCTCGCAGAACTTCCGTCGCGCGGCCATTGGCGTTGTCAACCAGTGCTTCCAGCAAATCTCGGGTATTAACCTTATTACCTAGTGAGTTTTCTCACTTGGTCGTGGCGTTTGAACTTTAGTTGACCGGTTGCTCTCTACAGTTATGCTGTATGTCTTTGTACGGTCGTCCCTGACCTGATTGTCACTTAACCTTATCCCATAGACGATCCTCTTCCAACGCTTGGGCATCAACGACGTGAACTCGAGAATCATCGCCGCAGCAAACGGCACCGAGTACTTCCTTGCCAGTCTCATCGCCATCGCCCTCATCGACCGTGTGGGCCGTCGACCACTCATGCTCTTCGGCTCGATCGGACAGTGCCTCACCATGGTCATCCTAGCGGTGTTGGGCTCCGTCGATACATCGGGTGCCAAGGTGGCGTCCGCTGTCCTCCTCTTCGTCTTCAACTCGTTCTTCGCGATTGGTTGGCTCGGGATGACTTGGCTCTACGTGAGTTTCCGCTTTGTGGTACGATGTGTGACGTGTGCTGATGGTATGGACTGCAGCCCGCTGAGATTGTCGGCCTGCGCATTCGTGCGCCTGCGAACGCGTTCAGTACGGCGTCGAACTGGATCTTCAACTTCGTTGTCGTCATGGTCACGGGACCCGCGTTCAATAACATTGGCTGGAAGACCTACGTCGGTACGTAACGGCCGCCCCGTTTGCTCGCGTAATGTCTGCTCACGAACATTGCTATTTGCTATCTGCAGTGTTCGCCGCCCTGAATGCGTTCATCATTCCGATCGTGTACTTCTTCTTCCCCGAGACTGCTGGCCGTTCTCTGGAAGGTGCGTTCATCATGCTTCGCCCGCTAGTGGGCCGTCCGACTGATCGGCGTGTCCTGTAGACATGGACGTCATCTTCGCCCTCGCATACAACGAAGGTGTCTCGCCCGTCGGGGTTTCGCTTCGCAAGGACGTGCCGCCTGCAGGCACGCCGGAGGCCGACGAGATCCTTGGCGTGCGCTCTGCGCGATCAAGCACGAGCAAGGAGGAGGACGAGCGAAACAAGCAGTAGACGCGATCTGCTACTCTAATTGGAGATGAGTGAGACGACACCATCTCTGTGTACAACAGCCAGTGCGCCGTGACGCACACACTCTACGATACCGCAACGAGTTTCTATACCATGAATCTCACCGATCTAGCTTTCGATGTATTTGTTCACGCATCACAGTCTATTAGCCATGTCATTACGCAATCGTAGCTCGCTATCGTTCCTCGTTTATGAATCAGTTGCACAACAGTTGCATCATTTTGCTTTGTGTGAGTGTCTGTGGGTGTGACGAGACGCGCACAGTCACAGTGTGACCGGACGCGTATCGTGGGAACTGCTTACGTGGACGCGTAAATGATCGCGTTAGCGCGGTCGGGTCATGCATCTTTTGTCCGCAAGCTGTTCGCAACTCCGCGAAGGTCGCTGTTCAACATCGCTCCTGTGGTCGACGCGTCCCTCGGCGTCCCTCCAGCTCATACCTCTGCCAACGATGTCGAGCATCTACACAGCGCTGCGCGTCTCACCCAAGAAGAAGCGCGCACCTGCGGAGGACGACGATGACCTCCTCACCCCCAAGAAGCTGCGCATAGCGTGAGTACTCGCCTGATTGACGCGTCTTGACCATGGACCGATGCGTGTACGCTATTTCCATGCAGTCCCCCGACGCCCCCAGCTACATCGACGCGTCGGAAGCTCAAGCCGGACGAGGTCCCCCTCCCCCCACACCTGTCGCGTCTGTTCAACATCCAGACAGCGCTGCAGCAGGCACTATCCCACGCCCTTGCAACGTGCGCCGTCGCGCCTTCCGAGGACACGGGTCTCGTGCGGAACGTGCTAAATCACCTTTCGCTGGGGACGTACCACGGCCTAAGCACGAAGTTCGAGGTTGACGATCTGAGGAGGCTCTGCTGGCTGTGGGAATGGGACGCGAAGACGTTGCCTGTAGCGGAGGCGTCTAGGGCGACAACAGTGGATGTCGAAGACGAGAAGAACCCTTTCCTTGTCGACGAGCCTGCGAAGACACCCCCAAAGAAGACTCAGACTCCGAAGAAGGCCAGCGCTGGAGACGACGAGGAGAACCCTTTCCTCGTAGACACGCCTCGGAGGTCGCCAACCAAAAGATCTGTCAAGAAGGTCGTCGCTGTCGAAGACGACGAGGAGAACCCCTTCCTTGACAAGACGCCGAAAGCGTCAAGATTAGCTCAGACGAAGGGCAAGGCTAAGGTCAAGCAGGAGGACGACGGTGAGAGTTCTGTCGCTCCATCTTCACCTACCAAGTCGCCGAAGAAGAGCACGGTACGCGAGGATAGTCCGGATGATAATCCCTTCCTCGAGAACCGTCCTGTTGCCTCATCATCCAAGGACTGGAGTCGCGGGGGTATGGGCTTCGTAGTAAGTCAAACGAGACATTTCTCGAAAGCCTCCAACACCCGAGTCCCAGCCTATGGGATCGGCATCGAGGTGGAGATGGACATCGACAAGGGTATGAGCGGTGGAATGGCTGCTGTTGCCCGGTGGACAGCAGCTGGCGAGGCAAGGCGGAAAGACGTACGTACGAAACTTGGTCGATGGGTAGAGGTATGTTTCGTCCGACGCTACATGTCACCGCTGTGACCCTGACGTCCGTCTTTCTAGCTGCATACTGGCAAGATCACTGTTCCTGGTCTTCCTATGGCGGACTTGCCCGCTCTTCCGAGTACCTCAAAGCCATCTGCCCTCACGCGTCTTCTCGCTGCCTCCTCTCCCAAGTCACCTTCCGCGGCTTCTATCCTCTCCTCGAGATCGTCGTCACCCACACCTTCGTCCCCTTCCAAGTCCCTTCCAAGCTTCCCCTCTGGTCGCCACTAAGAAGCCACACGAGTTTGCCGTGCCATTCCCGATCACGCCCTCCAGCAAACGGGCACACCAGCGAAGAACACCATCGTCTTCCCGCAAACACCTTCCACGCGTGGACGCACGGACTCGCTCACTAGCTTGCTCACGCCCACGAGCTCCCGGTCTCCATCCCGGACCAGTTTCACTACCCCCACTAGCGCGCGAACTCCTTCGCTATCCGGACGGAGCACCCCCACAGCGAGCGACTCTGGCTCGGTCCCCTCCACACCAACCCACCAGCGTGGTGCCAACGCGGCTACTGTTCCGCAGACACCAACGAGTTCGAGGCGGCAGGCACTATACGAGCGTATCCGGCAGCGTTCACTCACTGCGTCTCCTACAAAGGGCATGGGTAGCAACGCCGGGGCCAGTATGAGCAAGGAGCAGCTCAACAAGCTCAGCCAAGAAGAGGTGCGCCGACGGTGCCTGCTTGGACGGCTCGGCGGTGTCGCGGAGAGTGTATGGATGTGAGTATCCTTCCCATTGGAATATGTCCCCCCACTGAGTTGTGCGTTGTCAGGCTGTTCTCAAACCCTGGCGGGTCGACCGCTGCCCCCACCGTGCGCAAGCGCCGCGCGATGCCCGCGTCGGAGGTGGTAACAGCGGTGCTTAAGTCCTCGCCAGTGCCGATCTCGTCCGCGGAGGCGCTTGAGTCGCTTGAGCTCCTGGTGAAGCTCTGTCCATTTTTCGTCCGCGAGCTCGATGTCGATGGCGAGGACTGGTTCGAGATGCCTGCCTCCAACACGAGCGCAGAGAGTGAGGCGGCACCGAAGGCAGGAGCTTTGAGCAGCCCAGGTAAGATGCCGATCAGCCCCGGGAGGATCAAAGGCAAAGAGGAGAGCGCCGAGGAGCTGAGGACGAGGAGTCCAAGGAGAGTGAAGCGGGAAGGCGGCGGTCTCAGGGAAGTCCGGGAGAGGATCCGGAAGGAAATGGAAATGAACGACTGAAGATCTATTATTGCGCTATCTAACTAACGAACCGCAACGTCTACTGGCCACTCGATTGTACGAGGAATCCCGTCTGTCTATATCTGCATGACTACATCACAGACTACCCCTTGTTGCATCGCTTGCACTGGTCATGATTTGTCCATACCATCTACGTAGTTGTGCCGCAATATACCGTTGTACGCTTTGTTTTTAGTTGGGGCTGCCTGTAACTTGATTGCGATCCACGGATGCAATGCCATCCATGTGGTATCCTGGATTCACGCAAATCCTTATAGTCCATTATGACCACAAGACAACCGATGCCAAGAGGAAGATACAAGCACAAATAGAGAAGATGCACATTCAAGCCAGTACCCTAGCTTCGCCTCCTGCTCAACTTCTCACAATCCACACCGTCCCATCCGCCTGCTCTGCTCCGCCGCGAAGACGGTCAAATGGCTCTTCAGCACCTCGCTCACGTTCGTGCCGAGCAGCTCCTGCTGCCCTGTGCGCACCGCCTCGACGAACGTGCGGATGAGCCCGATGTCGCCGCCGCCGTGGTTGCCGCCCTCGCTCTTGGGCGCGTGGTGCGTCGTCTTGCCCGTGCGGAAGTCGGTCACGGTGAAGGTGTTCATGTCGCCGATGATCTCGCCGTGCGAGAAGTGCAGCCGGCTCTGCCGTTCGCAGATGCGCTCGGTCTGCGCGATCATGGTGAAGGAGACCGTCGCTCCGTTGGAGAACTCGAGGTTTACTACCTGAGAACGGGTCGATGTCAGGCGGTACAGCATTATATCGTAGAGGCTGACCTGGTTGTCGCAGACGTTGTTGTCGTGCTCGTATACACAGCGACCATACGAGCCGTGTTGCAGAGCGGACGTCACATTCTCGATGTCAGGAATGCCATCGACGATCGTGGCGACCGGCCAGCCGATCTGACCCTTTGACAGCGGCTCCAGGTAGACTGCATGTAGTGTTATGATCGACACGGACTGGTACTGAGAAGGCGAGGAGGCGACTCACTCTTCTTCGCGCTGTATGGACATGTACGCTCGTAAGCACAGTCGAAGCACCGCTTCGCATCACCAGCCTCCCTCGGTTTTGACTCCTTCCGGAAATGCAATAGTGAGCCAAAGGAAGAAACACGCTTAGGTGTCCCCGGGCTCAGCCAGTGGCACAAAAGGTCGATGTCACTGAAAGCCTGTTAACAAAGATACAAATTCAGAATTGGTGCGACGCACTGGCAGCTCTTGGTCATGAGGGAGAAGCTGCATTCCTCTTCTTTCGACCAGTTCCCTCTTACGTATGAATGCGCATAGTGGAAGTACCCGACAGGTTCCACGTGAACGACATTGACTAGCTGCCCGAGCTCCCTGGACAACACGAACTCGGACACGGCTTTGTTGTATGGGGAGTAACGCAAGACTGCGTTGTGTCAACAAGCTGCTCAGTGTGCTCTAGCACCTCGCGACGTACCATGTCCCATCCCAAAGATGATGTTGGCCTTCTTTACGGCCGCCTCCATCTTAATGCAGTCCTCAATGCTAGTCGCCATAGGCTTCTCGCAGAGGATATGATACCCTTGCTCCGCGAAGGCGAGCGTCACTTCCAAGTGCATGCGATCCTGTACTGCGATGATGACGGCGTCAGCCAGACGTTTCCCGACCGTCTTGACCGTCTCCTCAGATGCCTTCAGTAGGTCTTGCCAGGACTCGAAGGTGAGAGTCTTGTCGACCAGGTGAGCCTCAGTCATGAGCTTTCGTGTCTTCGGGCGCGGCTCCGCGACAGCGACGACCTTGCATTTGGTTGGCTCGCCGATAGCATATGCGCTGTACGCCTGTTCCATTGCTCGCACATGGGTGATCCGTACAAAGACAAAGATGGATACTGCGGACCTTGCCCCTGCTGCCGCACCCCACAATAGCGAGGGTGACAGGCTCGTTCGAGTAGGATGCAATGTCAATGCCCATCCTTGAAGGGAGAGAAGAGTGACCGCTTCCAGGAGAGCGCTTCCAAGGCTTTATAGCTGCGGTGTTCAAAGGCATGTTGCGGTCCGGGCACTTCAACTATCGTGGTGCGCCGAGCGGCAGGTGCATGAGCATCGGACCTGGGCAGGGTGCCGGATTGGCAGATAGGTTCCTAGATAGAGTGCAAGAGTGTAATGGTCCGCTGATAGCCTCAGCGTGCTTGTTCCTAGATTATGTATGTATATAAGTAGACGGGCAGCTGCAGAGCATACGGGCGATGTTGCCTTCATTGACGCCCGTAGCGATAGACAAAGACAGCCTCTCTGATTGGCCGGTCGATCCATCGCACTTGCATGAGGGGCCGCCGCATGATGGCAAAGGACCAGCACATTAGATGCTCAGCACACAGCAACACGGATCAACGACCAGTGCAGCCTCAGTGCAGCTTCGTCGTCGTCGTCGAAATGAGTCGGACGACCGACGCTCTCAACGAGCCTTCCTCACGTGACGCGACAGCGCGATCAGCTTCACGGCTGTGGCTGAGGGAAAGACTGGAGCAATATTAGAGCATGCCTCGTCTCGTCCCGCGACTGTTACAACGCCTCCAAGCCACCCGCACGAAACCAGCCCCGGTTGTCCCTCCAGAGAGACGACCACACCCCAAGTCGGCGCGCCTGCCCCCCAAGCCAAGGCCTCTTCCACCATGTCCCCCACTTTCTCCCAAAGGCCGGACGCAGTCCATAATTCTCGACTCTCTCCGCCCTATCATGGCCATCTCTCGTTCACGCAGACATAAAGAACCTGCTCCACGCTTGAGAATTCTCAGTAAGAGGAAGCGCGGCTCCGCAGATGCCTACGCGCTTCGTCGCGCGATGACCGAAGAAGAGAGGGAGCTATGGGCAAGCCCGTATTGTATGTCTTCCGCTGCATCTGCTCTGACGTGCATGACTCATAATCCTGCAGTACGGATGCTGTCCACTCCCTTGAGAGTGTCTGCGGTGGGGGAGCGTCATTTGCCAACTGGTCAGTCGATGTAATCTGAGGAGAGTCCTGTTCTGACAACACATCCAGCATTCCTCATCCGTCTTTCAGCAAAGCGAGTGCCCGGGCCTCATAAAGCCATCGTAAACGTAGTTCCAGACACACTCGAGCACCCTGCGTATAGGCACCAACGACCAGGCTCTGGGGTGTATATCCCCTGTCGGGGAGACGCAATCAGGGCGATGAAAGAGAAGTGTTGGTTGTCCTTACGGCCGACTTGTTTGACATACTGAAGCTAACTGCTCACAGCTGTTGAAAGGCTGCTTCATCACTCTGCTCGGGTGCAATCTGGGCTGGAAGAGCAGATCAGTCACTTGCTACGCGTGCGTGTCCTCCAGGAGCTCCGCATATTGGTGCAACGCCTCAGACGCAAGCCTTGGGGGGCAACGGACGCGCCGCTACTTCGAAGACTTACCCGCACCGAGTGGAAGGAACTACAGGCGTCCGGCACCATTCCTCAAGAAGATGCGGCCGCAGTGCTTGTCGTTCCCCCGGTGAACAGGAACCCCGCTACAAATGCACGACCCGAGCCATCCATGTCATCATTACCGCTACCCAGCGCCGAGGCACCCAGCAAGGATAGGCGGCCACAGCTCCCTGTCTCGACATTGATGCCCACGACTACCTCCGGCGCGTTCGAAGACGACGAACTATCTGTCATCCTCCCTCAGTCGAAAGTGCCGCTATATAACGGTGTTGCGCTGTTCCCATCTCCGCAGCAGCGAGCGGCTTGCCACAAGTCTCTGACAGAGTTGCTTCACATTGAGCGGCGGCACGTTGAGAGAGGTGATTCAAATGACCAGACTGCAAGGACACCCCAATGCTGCATCGGAGGAGACAAGGCTGCCAGAAGCCTCTGGCCGGGTTCGCGGTGACGAGAAGGGCAGCCATGCATTTCTGCTGAGATCGAATGCGAAGACACTTCTACGCGCAGACACGGTTCCTCTCGCTGTTGCGCTCTGGAGGCTTCGGATGTGGGAGGGGCAGGGTTGGGATATCGAAGGCCCGGAGTACCTTGGGCCATGGGGCGCACATTGAAAGTACGGATACTCGCAGATTGACCCTAATGCGGATCCACGAAGCACAACGCTACATGCGATGGTTGCGAGACAGCAGTACGTAGACTAAATACACTGAGGGTTATACCTCTACAGCCATTGGCACCGGTTCGTTGCCGTCTTCTTCGTATTGGCATGCCCAAGACTTCCTTGCCCTCCCAGAACTTCGGGAGCTCGTTTCCGGGCACGAAGAGTCGCTCAACGTTGTCCTCGGTGATCACGCACATGCGAATACACCACCAGAGAGCCGTCTCTTGACATGGCCAGCGCGAGAGCTGTTGTACAGCCCGTCAGTCAGCGTCCGAGTTCGGAGGTGAATGAAAGACTGACTGTTCTTGACGAACTCGACCGTCTCATCCCTGCCCCATCCATCCTGGTATGTCGCGTCGCAGTAACCATACACGTAGGTAGAACCAGAGCCTTGTAGTTTGCATAGGGTTAGCACCCATGTCGACGCAGCATGTAGTCAGTTACACACCTCCAATGGCCCATGGCTGCCGGAAGAGACCTCCACCGAGAGGAATGTTGTAGACACTGGGACCCGCTTCCTTGTCCCACCCCGCTACGATGATACCTGCGGAGAGCCCGTCCTTGTTTCATAACAGAACTTCTCGAACACGCTCGCCGCTGTGTGGACTGGTGGCCGTTCGCCGTGCATTTGTCTGTACGCAGGGTGAGGTACGGTCCAGGTGCAGCGTATATAAGTGGAACGCACGCGTATAGTTGGAGATAGTAGTGGACGTAGTCCGCAATCGCTTGCGTGTCGGCCGCGGAGCCTGATCGACAACAGTAGATGCGGTCGTGGACGTGCGTGAGCTTGTCCGTAACACGGTTCGCCTATACAACGATATCAGAGCTGCGACGGTTTAGAGGATTTAGCGTACGCACGATATAGCTTCCGGTGGTCGTTCGACTGTCTGCGCCCACTACGACGCCGTCCTTGAACTGGACCGCCATAATGGAGGTCTGCACACGGTCTTCGTGAGCAATACATCGAGAAGCCGCAAGGGCTACCTACACCAAGGTTGACCTCTCCTGACTTCAAACGGCTGATATCAATCGTCTCCATAGTGGCTTGTGTGGTGTAATGAGAAGAGATTGAATGAAGAGGGAGAGCGGTACGGTGGACGCGCGGTGGAAGGGAGGTTGTGGCTGAAGAGGTGACGCGTCTCGACGCGCGTCGGGCTGCACGCATCTGTTCAGCAGCACCTCTTGCTGCACACCCCCGCCACATAACCTTGTTCCCCTTCTCGTCCCCATCCGTGTTTTACTGTTACCAAGTCTCTTTGTCGCGGAAATCATGGCCCCGCCTCAGGTTGTCTCCTCGTACAAGCAATTGCAGCAGGCGTTCAGCTCGCGTCCGTCTGACCCCAAGAAGTGCGCATCGCTGCTCGCCGGGCTTAAGGTGACCACACTCTGTAGTAACGCTGGTAAAACCTGGGAAGCTAAACATGTTGTCTACTTCAATAGATAGCCTTGAGCGAAATGGGCCTCTTGGTACCGATGGGTGATGCTAGCCTAGAAGACATGGTCATGGCCCGTACGTCCTTTTGCTTGTTGCTTGTCTTCATTTCCCATGGACTCTGACTATTGTCCAGGTGACGTGCTGGAGATTGGCGCATTCTTCAGCATACGGTCAAGAGATATCCCCTCTTTCGATCGGTACTACTCGCAACTACAGACATTCTACAATGACTACAGGTATGTACCCTAGCTTCTCCCCGCGTCCGTACCGTATGATGCTGGCCAGCTCACTCTGTATGCCATCAGCTCCGTTCTCCCCCCATCACCGCGCGAATACCCCATCCGCGGCCTCTACCTCATCCGCCTCCTCACGCAGAACCGCATAGCCGACTTTCACACCACCCTCGAGTCGCTTCCTCTCGCTGCAGACACGCTCACAGCGAACCCTTACATCCAACACCCCGTCAACCTCGAGCGCTGGCTGATGGAGGGCAGCTACAGCAAGGTGTGGAAAGCGCGCGAGGAGGCCCCGGCGGAGGAGTACAAGTTCTTCGTGGACAGTCTCATGGACACGATCAGGTATGCGTCCACTGTGCACTCACTGACTACCTAACGAGCTCACTGAACGCCCGTATTGCAGGAACGAAATTGCAAGTTGCGAGGAAGCGGCGTACGAGAGTCTGCCACTCAAGGACGCTGGGACGCTGCTCTTCTTCACCACTCAGAACGAGTTGCTCACTTTCGCAAAACAGGTAAGCCTGATTCAATCCATGCCAGCTCATCAGCCTTACGTTCTTCTTCGGCTAGCGTGGATGGCAAGTAAACTTGACAGCGGGAACCACTACTTTCGCGAAGAAAGGCGAGGAGAAGGTCGAGATCCCGAAGGAAAAGTTGATCCGGCGAATCTAGCAATTGCACGAGAGCTAGAGCAGATTGTATGAGCCCGTACGATGGATCCTTTCGCCCTGTTGTTTTCCTATCTTGCGAAGCATCTCGTTTCAGACGCGGGCGTGCGTTGAACTTGCAGCTGAGATCCGACGAGAGTTAACAGCAAGTCCGAATACAGTACACAATTAGCACATCTACTAGTCGAAGTTCTCCAGGCTCTCCTTGGCTTTCCGCGACGCCTCATCGTACAGATCCTTCGGTACGGGTAAGTGCAAGCCACCCGTCTCATCGCCGATCCAGGACAGCTCGAGCTCGAAGTCTTTTTCCTTGGCATCGTCGTGGACGAGGTAGATACTAGTAGTAGAAGCCATAAGACGCAAAGCCAGTCCACGACGTTCTAGATGACGTACATTCTGGCCGCCTCAAAGACGGCTTCTCGTGTTGACAGTTCCGCGAGCTTGAGCTTCTCTAGCTCAGTCTTTGCCAACTGCCGTCCCTTCCCTACTGCTGCACCGTGGTAGCCCTGTCGGATAATATGAGATCGCAACGTTGAGTCTGAATAGTACTTGAACGTACATAGGAAACGCCGCTAGGCTCGATGATGAATAGTGCTGGACCACTCTTGTCTATGCCGCCAATGATAGTACTGCAGCCAAATGGACGGACAGAAGAGTATAGCGTATATGCCTGCACATATAGCCCTACGCGGTCTACCAGCGACTGCAGATACGGTAAGTCTCGGCGCGACGCAGCAGAGGCAGACGTGGACGCTTCACCTGAACTGTCGTAGGTGAGCGCCACATCGAGAAGAGACTGGCAACCTCGTCTCTTGCACGATTAGCCAGATGTCGGCCATCTGCGAGGAGACCTGAAGATGCCTAACATAACGTGGTCGGTACACAGGAAGGATACCACCAAACACATGCACACATACCAGACCAATGTGTTTATCGACTGTCTGTATCCGCCTGTTGGCCTCTGGGACGAGTAGCTTCGAGTGGATGATCTTCTCGACGGCCAATACGACACCGTCTTTCACCTTGAGTCCGATGGCGGTTCTGAGGAGCAGGCGTATCAATATGCCGTCCCTGAAGAGAGCGGTGTTACGCACCCTGAATTCTCAACTGCCTTGTTGGCGTATTCGACCTTGGCGAGGTAGTATGAACGTGAGTGCACTCCACGACGCGTCTTGTTAGAGCCTCACCTGAAAGATACGGCCATCCGGCGAGTACGTGCTCGCGGACAAGTCGTAGCCCGTGCCAATGGATGTCATGTCGGTGCGCGGGTGAACGGTGAGATGGAGGGACGGTGCAGACTGAGCGGCGGCTATGGGACTGTATGTCCAGCCTGAGGACGCGCAAGCGGAGGACGTGCATGCAACGCGTAGGCGTGTGAATATTGCCCGCTATGGGCATCGACGCGTCGAGGAATGACCGCGATCGAGATGTATTTGGACGCGACCAACACTCAGACCCTGACATTGCCCGGCAATGGACAAAGACAAGGAGCCCGACTGGAACGCGCTGCTCAAGGACCATCCCATTTTCTCTCTCCCAAAGAGCATCTCTGGGTTTGGAGGATATGGTGAAGCTTCCCTCTCACTCTCCCTCAGTTCTCTCCCCGACTTCAAGGATGTCGACCCTCGCCACGATGGACCGACCCCCTCTGGCAGACGACAGGTCATGGTCATCAAGGACTCGGAACTTGTCGTTGCTGCAGGCAGTGAGATTAGGATGTCCACTTTAGCTGACACGAAGTTTGGCCGCGCTACTCCCAAGTCATACAAGGTGCGCGCACTGTCGTTATGTTGTAGCCACCAATAGTCATGAATGGACGCCTTCTCAGGTCCTGCATACCCCGAACGTTAAGTTCGAGATACACCAGATGGCACTCAGCCCTCACGGAAAGCTTCTGGCTGTGGCGGGAGCTTTCCAAGTAGCAGTGGTGGTCCTACCTCGCGCCGGCTTCAACAAAGTGGTCCCCGCCACAATCGACTGCAAGTGCGTCTGTTTACTTGTAAACAAGGATACTCCTAACATACCAGCTCTAACAAGGTCTCTTCAAGTGGGACAGGTCTACCATGCAGCTAATTCCTCTGCGCCCGTGGCGAAGATCGAATGGCATCCATGGGGCGACGGTGGCACTACTCTCATGGTGATGACTATCGACGGCAAACTACGGTATGTCCCCTCAGTCTCTCATTCACCATAACTTAGCTCGTGTTGCACAGGGAGTACGACATCTCAGTAGACCCGGAGGAGCCGCAGCAAGTCCTGTCTTTCGTCCCAGACAAGAAGAAGAACAGCTTCCTTGCAGACGAAGGGGCAGAACGGGAAGTCACTTCCTTTGCCTTCGGTAAAGGGAAGGCAGACTGGGGACCCCTCACCGTCTACGCTATCATGAGAAGCGGTGATATCTACGCGATCTGTCCTTACATGCCGCAGAATGCGTAAGTGCCGCGTCGGTTGGTTAAACGCGTCTTCTCACTTCATGCAGTGCGATTCCTTCTGCTTACATCCATGCGCTTGAATGTTTTGTCGCTGCAAAACAAGAGCACCTGTCCCAATCTCAAGGCGAAGGGTCCTCGTCACGAAAGCTGGCACACCTCTATGACTTCCAACACAGATACGTGACAGCACTCCTGAAACAGCTGCCTCCGGGGACAGTCTACCCCTCTATATCGCGCCCCGTCTCAATGCATCCTCCACGGGGGATCAAATCTCCTCCTGTGCGGCAAGGCCCTTTTCTGCTTCAGCCGTCCCCGAGAACACTCGACGGCAGCGAAGGAGGCGACGCCACAGACATTGCCTACATGGCCTTTGGTAGCGATGTAGAGGAAGGCGTCGCGGGCGAGACTGAACGACTTGGTCTTGTGCTTGCGTCTTTCCAGGATGGCCGGGTGGACGTATATCTTGACGTAGAAAAGGTTGAGGCGAGATGGGAGCACAAGGAGGTCGGTCGCCTCTTAGATTTCACTTACTCAAGCTAACGTGGACTCTCTATTCAGCGCGCTGATGTCGATCTCCCAATGCTTGCTGCGTACGAGACTGTTGACCTCGGAATTGTCTCCACCCTCCAGAAAGTTGCCGCGTCGGCATCCCAACGGCTCTTGGACCTTGTCGAAGGGAATCACCCAGTGTTATATCCTGACCCTATCAACCAAGACACAGTCTATGTCTACCATGCCTTCGGAATCCACGCTCTGCAATTCGAGTCATTGCTACGGGGTCTGGCTCTTGCTCTTCGCGATGATTCATCAGAAAGTGGCGGCACCTCTTTGGACACTTCGCTCCAGACATGTAAAGGCACCGAGGTTCGGCCCATCATTTCCACGTTCGACATCGAGTCGAGGTAAGTTGGTTTGTTGTGCTGGAGTACGCGGCATCTCACGTCCGGGGCAGGTCTTCAAGTCCTATTATAGGTGTATCGGTGCCGGGCGACGTATACTTGACATACAGCATCTTCATCTTGACGGCCGCGATGCGCCTTACGGTATTCCCTCTCAATCTACGTTCAGAAACTCCGTACTCTGTGGCGTCAGAGTTCTCTGCACAGACAGACAAAACACCATCACCAAAGTTGTTACCTGCTCTAGAGCCAGCTCCATACGACAACCTATTGAGCAGTGAATCGTACTCCATCCCTCCCATCCTTGCCAACCCCAAGGGCTTACCAGCCTACGCTCGATTATCGCTACCGCCGAATGCAAACGCGGAATTCATGGTCACCCCGGACACGCTGCGCTACCTAGGCAAAGTGGCCGAGCACATCACATCCCAGATCCGCGACGTCGTCCTCGGCCATCGTGTGGCAGAGACACGAGCGCAACTGCAAATACAGGAGCTACAGCGACAAAGGCAGCGGGTCAAGGCGGTGCTCGATAAGGTGGCGCAGTTGAAAGGCGATCGACACGATCGTACCGCCAAGAAAGTGGAGGAACTGCAGGCTAGTCAGAAGGCGATCATGGCACGAGCAGACGCGCTCTTGCAGTCTATGGTGCAGAAGGCTCTCCGGAGCTGAGCGAGAACGAGGCAAAGTGGTTTGAGGAGCTTAGGCGGATGAAGGCGGAAGTGACGGGAGTTGGCAAATACGATGACAGGTCGTTCGCCGCTCGATCGAAGCTCGTGAGTTGTAAGTCATATAGAGCTAGAGGTCTCTGACGTAGCCTCGCTTCAGCTCCACAAGGAGGTCGACCGCCTTTTACCCCAGCTTCAAGATATGAAAGAAGTCGAAAGGAGGCGTCAGCAACTACGCGGTTCTGAAATGCTCGGGGCTACCCAGGCATTGGAACTTGGTAGACGATCCGGCGAGGAGTATGCTTCCCTCCTTGTGCGTTGCAGCGGAATGACTAACGGCGTTGCCTAGACGCCACAGGATCGAAATCTCAGGAGGAGTTGACACAACTGGCATCAAGACTCGACATGACGCTGGAACCGCCTCCTGCTCTGAAGGAGTCTGCGAATACATGATACGTCGCGCTGCACCACTGGGACTTACTCGACGTTGCAATGCATATTCCCCAGCTCCTCATCATTGTACACTATTCCCAATCTGTTGTATCATACTCTCACTCGTGTTGTCTGTTCGTGAGGCGTGTTGTGTTACGCGTGACCAATACGCGACTCTTGAAATCACCTGACCGTTCCTCATACATGCCAATCTCGATTTTTAGAGTCTCGGCTCGAGTCAAGCTACTTGCATTTCATCCGATATCGTTCGCCTCTTTAGCCATAGATGCTGTGTACGCTACACCAAGGCTGCCGTATACCTACTCTGCAAAGCGACTGCTCCCTCTTACAGCACACGCCCGGGTGACAATTTCTCTCCTAAACCACCGCCTCCATGGATGATTTTCTCCAGTTCCTCGAATCAGGCGGTATACCACCTGCCCCCACCACCCCCCACCAGTCCTCTGATCCAGATGAGACGCTACGCAAAGGAAACACACAATGCCAACATTGTTTCAAGTCGCGGCTGGATGGTGCCAGGATGTCGAGGTGTGGAGCATGCAAAGTCGATATGTACTGTGTATGTCCCTGTACTGCATGTCGTCTGTGATGCTTAGCATACTTACGGCTCCTCAGAGTAAGGAGTGCCAGAAGGCGGCTTGGCCTGTCCACAAGGCTCGTTGCAAGATCAATCAGCGTGTGCATTCGCAAGTGGGCACAGATGCGGTCGAACATTACAAGTCTCTACGAAACTTCTGCCAGAAACACCGCCCCATCCTCTCTGACTCCGTCATCCGTGCCCTCGATCTCTGCGTCGACCCAACGCGTGCCGAGCGTGATCTGCTCACAATCGCCGTCCGTCCCCGCCCCTCGTCGACGCGGACGGAGACAAATTTCTTCGTCGCGGCAGCAGAGGTCACATCGCTCAGCGAATTCGAACCAGAGAAGCAAGCGGAGATGCAGTCGCAACTGAAGTACGCAGCAGATCTATGCAAGCGCGAAGGTGGATCGGGGGCGGTCTTCGTCATGGTTTGCTGCATCGATCCGCCGATCATGAACGTCATCCCTGTCGGCTTCTCGCAGGAATGTCTAGATGATGTCCGGCCGGGCGACCCGTGGAAGGAGCAGCTGTTCAACAGGATGAACGAGGGCATCGTGGTATAGTAGGATCATGGACGACTCACAGAAGGGCTCACTACTTACACGTGTCTTCGCTCGCGATAAGCAATCTGGTCGAATTCTAGTCAGCTGTGTCCAATGCCAGCTTCGTCACTTTGTGCCATCGTTAGCAGTGGTATGGTCACTTTACAAGTTTGAGTGTCCAGAGGCGCGATTCCCATCTCCACATCCTGCCGAAGACGTGTATTGCCAGGGCTGTGAAGATGAGCACGGCGAAGAATGTAGCAATAGTGACTGAGGTCGATGCGACGTCGGTCGCAGGGTCACTTGAGATGGGCTGCAGAGCATACGCAACAATCGCTACCGTGAAGCCGATCAGAGACCACACGAGTAGCACCGCTGGAAGGCTCAGAAACAGCGCATGTCCAGGTAACCCAAAAGTGTTCCGGTGAGCGTTGTTCATGTAAGCGAACTGTACATGAACGTGAGGCTTGATGCAGGTGGTTTTGTCAAGAGGTAAGAGATGACGTACCGTCCGCGTTGTTGATATTTGAGTATCGCGCTGATGTCGCCACACGAAGAATACGCCAGTAGCAATGCTGCCGAGGGAAGCGAAGGCTGCCATGATAGAGCATACTCGCGCTATTTGTGCAATATCTCCTACAGACAGCAGGCCGACGGTAGCTCTGCCTCAGTCAGCATAACCGTGTACAACCTCATAGGGGCCGACGTACGAGAGCAGCACAGTTGACTGAGTCGAGCAATAGAACATCAGTCATGCACTACCACAAGGATCCAAGGACATCTTGTCCGCTCACTATGAGAATGAAATCCGAATATCCTCGAACTAATTGATCCGTATATTCCTTCCAGCTCTGATGTAGACTCGATAGACGTCCACGAAATTCACTGGCATGTTGGATATGTTCCAGATATGTTTGCGGGATGCCAAAGAAAGGCCCATTTATAAGGAGGCGGAGCAATGTGCTCGCAACAATTGATGGGCTATTGGACACGTACGCCGGGCTGGCGGAAGTCCTTCTATGTGTGCGAAGCTGATTGAATGTGTACTTCCCGTAGCCATCTGCGTGACGATAGCTGTCTGCACAGAATATGAGATTTGGTCGTATGAACGAATGACACAACACTTGCAGACTTCACGAAGGATCCATGCGACGAGAACCACCATCGATGTCTCGCGTATGGTAGCTCCTGTTGGGTAACAGTAAGTAGGTACAAAGTACCTACTGAAGACGAGCACTCACCTTGAGGCACCTCCAAGTGCCGGAGAAGGTCGTCACTCTCAACCTTTGAGAATGGTACGACGCTACGTTCACCAAACATGAGGTTATCTGTGCACGCTTGAGTTCGCTTAACATGTACCGCATGATATTGCACAATACCGAAGTAGTACGCCCTGACAGAGTCGATAGCTTCTGTCAACGCTCTATGCGGCATGGTCATATGAGAGGGGTGCCCTTGAACGAAGTTCCAGTACAGCCTACGACGGCGGAGTACTGTACTGTACGTCTGAGACAAATATCAACAGCATTGTTAACAGACTTACGATTTGAGATAGACACATCTTCCGAGCCAACCCAATCCTTGAGCGGTTTGGCAACAGCATGCTCAGCGAGGCACTGGGTATGGTCGATGATGAGATAGAAGTAGCTTCCAGCGGAGCCTAGCAAGCATGCCTCCAGTCCATCTGGTAGATTCGACGCTTGATTTGCGAGACAGTACTCGTTCACGCTGGCCAGGATCTCTGGCTGGTGAATGTCTTCGTCGACAACCAGCTTGAACTCGTCGTTACGGAAGTAGGCCCAACCTTGCGGGTGAATGTACTGTGTCCACCCGGGAGGCATATCGCTGCGCGTGCGTTCGAGGACTATGTACGCATCATCTGTTGTATTGACCGCAGTGGAGACACCAGTACCAGTCTTGTAGTCGTCGAAGTTATCATAAGTGGCCATAGTTTCTGAGAAAAATCCAGCAGTCCTTGTATAGATGTCCGCAGAAACGAGCAGCTCGGTGGTCTAGACGTTCGAAGGCGTCGAAAGATAGGTCTGCATTAGGTCTGCATGTCGTGGTGCAGTTCGCAAGCGGCGCGCGTTGAGCGCGAACTCTGCAGACTGCGCGGCTGTGGCTTCAACGTGATGCACGTGCTAACAGGTCGCGTCTTGTGTCGGTCCTTGGAGTCGCGTCGCGTCCGCCATCGACCTCTCCTTCACTTCTCACATTGAACCTTCACGCCGGTCAGTTGACTCGCTATGTGTTTGTGCTGAAATACATGCTAAGCTCTATATAGCACGCTTGGCTGAGGTGATTATGAGTGCTTTCGGGGGCAATCCTAACCAGAATGCTGCCTCAAACACAGCGCCGGGTGCAGCAGCGCCTGCAGGCGGCACCTCTGGTGCCAGCACGAACCTGTTCGGGGGCTCCGCGTTTGGGGGTGAGATAGGATATGCCATAGTATGTTCTTATAGAGGTCTCATTATCGATACAGCTGCCAACAGCGGCGGCGGGGGCCTTTTCGGCGGAGGCGGAACCAATACGGCCCCGTCAGGTGGCGGAGGCTTATTTGGAGGCGGTACGAGTCCTGATGTTTGTGATTATAGACAAACTCACGTATGCGTGCTAGCCGGCGGTAGTATTTTTGGGAGCAATGCCCCCAAGCCAGCTACCGGGGGTGGCTTGTTTGGCAACGTCAACACGACTGGTGAGTCTTCTTGTAGCAGTATTCTCGGCAACTCAAGTGGAACTACAGGGACCTCGACAGGAGGGACGGGAGGCGGGATTTTTGGCAACACCAGTGGGAACGCAGCTGCCCCGGCGTCAGGAGGACTATTCGGAATCGCGAATAACACTGCGACGACTCCAGCTGTAGGCGGCGGGTTGTTCGGAAATATTGGTGCGACTAACCAGACACCTGGAGCCGGGAATGCAAGTGGCGGTGGTGCCACTCCGGCGGCACCACTCAAGCCCCCTCCCAGCAACTGTGAGTTATCGGTCTCCGACACTCCGTAGTTGAACCATGGTTGATGAATAGGCAGTCTTTGCTCAGCCTGCCGCGAGTGGGACATTGTCAACCAGTAAGCTCGAGTCTTAGGCGTAAGGACACGACTGGGCTAACCACATTCTCTCACCGTGTAGCCCCTGCCGTCGCACCCACTGGAGGCTTGTTTGGCTCAGTACCAAAACCTGCGGACGCGACAACGAGTTCGGCTGCGTCGGTGACAACGAGTACGCCTGCACCAGCTGGTGGCGGTCTTCTCGGTGGCGGGTTGTTCGGTGCCAAGCCCAGCACGCCTGCGCCATCATCCACCACTGCTTCTACGGCAGGCGATAAGGATAAGGACGCGTCGAAGAATACCACTTCATGTATGTGCGCATTCAGTGACTTATGTGTCCTCCGTGCCAATGGAGTGTCTACAGCAGTACCTAACTTCTTTGCGAAGCCTGACGACAAGAAGGATGCACCAGCCGCGCGTGCGTAATTTATAACGATATCTTCGAACGTAGTCGGTCTGACTTATTCTTGTGCAGCCACGACTCTGCCAGGGTTTAACCTCTTGGGGGCCGCTAAGGATTCTAACAAGGATGCAGCCTCAGCAGAGAGAAAGGATGCAGCACCGGGTAGGTAATCTCACAATTCCCGCCAAGAGCTAAATAGTCAACCATGAGTAGTTCCTTCGACTGCGTTCTCGCTGGGCGTTAGCACTGTGCCGAAGGAAGGGGACAAGGCTGCACCAGGCATGTACACTGCATTTTGCCTGCCAAAGTTGACCGTGACTATTATTTGTAGGTGCGCCCGCAGCGGCATCCACTGCAATAGCGGTACCTCCGCCATCTATGCTACGGGGAAAGACGATCGAGGAGATCGTCAACAAGTGGTCGGCTGACCTGGACATCCATGTACGCGAATTCAACAAGTTTGCTAGCGAAGTCGCAGTGTGGGACCGTGCACTCGTCGAGAACGGCAACAACGTACGTACTCAGGCTCATTGATACTGTCACTCAGTCTGAATCTACCTTTCGGCAACAAGCTCGCCGCATTGTTCAACTTCGTCGCCGCCGCAGAACAGGAGCAAAATGATATTGATCAGTCGCTTGATCATATCGAGCAGCAGCAGAAGGAACTTATTTCCACGCTGGAGGCATACGAGAGGTCGACAGAAGAAATCCTCGGCGGCCAGAGCAGCAATCTACGTGCGCTTGACACCGGGCCTGCTGATACTGAGCGTGACAAGAAGTCAGTTTTGCCTCGCGTTATTATCCATTGACAGTAACTGACAGCCTCTACCCACAATACCAGTTACACGCTTGCCACCGAACTACATGGCCACCTAGACGACCTGTCCGGCTCGCTGACGCAAATGATCGATGCAGTGAACACCCTTGCTCTCCCTGCCGACGGTGTCTCGCAGAATAACGAGGATGCACTGAGCCAGATAGGCGAGATTCTGAGTAGTCACCTCATGAGCCTGCTCTGGATCGATGGCTCCGTGAAGGAAGTCGAGAGTAGAGTGAACGAGGTGGAGAAGCGTGTGCGACTTGCGGAAGAAAGCGGCGCAAGCTCTGGATTCAAGGGCAGAGGAAGCTTTGGCGCGAGTGGCAGTCGATGATGTGTATTACTTGTAGAACAGGTTTGATGTCTGTTATCAGTGCTTGGATCATGTTGATGACCTTTTCGTTGGCAGATTCTCGAAGTTGCGATTGGATCAATGACGCATCGGATTTCTCTAAGCGTAGGTTCGAGTCTTGCGCCCCGATCAGTATACGTGTTCTGCCGCATGAGCACGAGCTCCTCAGTTTGCTGTCTTAACCAACCTTAGGTGTGAGAGTTCCCCATCCAAGACGGAGTACTCACGGTTAGAGTTACTACTCGATCATCTTCCACAAAGCGATCGTCCTGGCCGGCCGCCGAGTATGGGGGTATAGGCGAGATGTATCATACACTTTGGCTAGTATGAGAGGTAAGTGCGGCGTTGATGCCGGGTTTATTTATGTATCTAATACTTGGAATGCCTCCTGCAGCATTCGAACATCCCATTCGTCGAATTTCATGGCGGTCGTTGCGAATAAGTTGGATCGTGCCTTCTGTCGGACTTCACCGACGACGATGCATTCATCCAGTCCTAACCGACGACCCTCCTCCAGAGAAATGGGTGCCTCGCGCTCACATAATCGTACGCGTGCGCTGAGTAACATCTCTTCGAGCCCATACCGCCGCCCCAGGATGATTTGATCCACAAGCGAGGCTACTTGAGGTAGCCGATCTGCGACTAGCTCGCAGATCGAATCGAACTGCCACTTGTGAGCCAGCTCGAGGACCGATGCCCACTCATCCGTTGTTTTTAGGTCGTAATGACCGATGCGCCTGCAGATACACATTGAGGGGTGCGTGTCGCATGACGGTTAAAAGGGCTTACGGCGGGTACAGAATTGACAGGAAGCGTTCCATGTCAATGCTCCTTGTTCCGTCTAAGCGGATAGGGTTGTTATCAACTTGCCCCTCGCCACCTCCTCTTTGTGGTAACAAGAATAAATCCCGGAAGACAGGAGAGTCTCGATGCAAGAAATATCTATGAACGTTGAAGAGTACGTCTTCGACCTGTTATGGTTTTATGTGAGTGTGCGTAAATGCAAGTTAGTGGCGTCACGAACTAAGAAGATTGCATTCCCGTCAGCGAAGTAGAATTCGCTGTGCTGTTTCACAGTCGGACCTTTGGCCGTATCTTTGGTGATGTCGCGTATATTGACTTGCATGATGACTCGGAGCAGACTGAAGTTGCTGTCTCCAGCGAGGTTTATATCGTATGTATCCCGAGTCCCCCCTCCTTTATGTACAAGCCCAAGGGCGATCAGCCGCCTACCGACACGGTCACTCACCGCCTCCCGCAGACGTGTAGATCCGACTATACCCGCTCAGGAGCTCCATTGAATTATGGCACCGCATCACTCTTGGGGCCGCCCATCAACCGCCCGGACACGGTGTCTGAAGATCTGATGTGACTGGACCCGGAAGCACGACACGCCAACGACACGCTGACAGCCTGGCTCTAATTGTGTTAACAGGCCTTTTCGGGGAGGCCGAAACGTTTCAAGTTGCGCGAACGTGGTGCGGTGAGGTCTCCCTCATATTCGTTCCGATGGTACCTAGTAGGGGTTATTCCGTGTTTATAGGCATCTTTGCTGAACGTGCACTGACCTACTCATGACGAGCTACCAGAGTCAGCCTGGTCTCGCTGTCCCGAACGTAGGCCCCAGCTTTTGCTACGAAGCCTCAATCAAGTTTCGGTACGGCGCCGTGGTTAGACGCGTTATAGGTCTTGCTATGGTGCCGCTCATACAGCTAGAGTCCCTGAGTGCAGCTGTATAACAACGAATTTATGACTTACTCGACACCCAACGAGCTGTAACATAAACTATGTACATAAGCGTAAGTACTGTGCCAGTGGTACTGACGCTGAACCGGTAATGCAAACGGTACAATAATGCAAACTGGCGGGTTTTTTCCTCCGTGTGCGCACCAAAAAATGTGCATCATGTCGCCACATGCTGTCTTACTATTCTCTCGTACGCATTAAGAGCTACCTGCTCTGTGCACCTCAGGAAAAATCGAAAGGTGCGATTTCAGCGCCTATTCTGCAGCGCCAGTTTTGGCGGGCGAACACAGTCGCTCATTTGCAGACGTGCAGACGACATGTTCCCGCCCTCCTTCTGGCCTTGAAATATTTAAGGGTGTGCTCAAGATGTATGGAACTAAGTCTAGCAGGTTAAAATGGGAAAACCCTTTGTGTTGCGGGTGCAGGACAGTAATGCAAACGTGATTGCATTACCGGTTCAGCGTCAGTAGGCAAGTACATATGGCTCGGCCCTCATTTAGCCTGAGCTCTGGTCAAAAGCGCTGAGTATATGTATAGCGGCCTTAGCTTCTATTTGTCAAGGCGCCATAGCCAAGTGGTTACGGCGACAGATTAGAATTGAAGGTCCAAACATGAACTGAACCGAAACGATCTGTTCCTCTTTGAGGGCGCAAGTTCGAATCTTGCTGGCGTCGTCTTTTGCAACGCATTCCTAGCTTTTGAGCTCTGAATTTGCGATGGAAGATGTACAGTAATGTACCGGTCCTTGAAACACTACGGGTCCTTGAAACAAATCGACTTCACTCATTTTCACTGAACCTCTGAGGCCCCAGAAAATCATGATAAATAGAATGACACTTTATTACATCTCCTAGATATTCAGTTCAATGGTACGAGCACAGAAGCCCATACAGTGTGTCGAGAAACCCGAAACTCGTGTTTCACGACATTCTGTTGCCCGATATGGTAAGTGGCGCTTATATCAACCAGACGTTGTACGAAATCCCTTGCACTGGCGATTGTGAGCTATCACCAGGAAGTTCAGAGCAATCACTATACATTCCTTCGTCTTCACTGGCCCGACTGAGCAGTATTATTTGCGATGAATATGACTGCATAGCTGCCGAAGCATTGACATGCACTCACAAAAGTTGCCATTTTAGGCAGGTGTTTCAAGGACTGGTCCCGCCACCGATAAGAGAATTTTGAACTGATCTCCGTGCTGTCACAGAGCCTCTGCATGGATAAGAATGTAGAATAATTTATATACTCATACAGAGTGATACAAAACGTATATGTGGTCCGATCTTGGGTACGACACGTTCAACAGATGTGGTAGGCCGAGAAAGATTTGAGTGTTTCAAGGACCGGTACATTACTGTATGTACGAAGGACGATTTCGTGGTGCATTCACTCGCAGGTGTATACACTTACGAGCCTTATGCGATCGAAGCAGGAACTTCCCAATGGAGCAACACCGAGGCGCACCCGCCCCAGCACTTGCCGAATTGGGTTGGGCTTGTAGCCTGAGAGTAAGTAGAGAGGCTTTTCGCCCGTCAATTCCGCTGCGGCGGGTGCAGCTATTCTCATAAGCTAGCATGGTTCAGTGACTGTCTTGCATTTTTAGTGTAAAGCCGCTTGGAGTTAGTGATCGCGCGACTCCTCCTGACTGTTCGCAAATCGGTCGTACGCGTCTCGAGTCGAAAGATCACCACTGAAACGGTACATTTGGTCGAAACCGTTTTCAGAAGATCAGTGCACCAGCTGAATCAAGCATACGGCCTGGGTACGACCGAAGACAAAGACAGTCTCCCAACCGTTAGTCCCTCACGGCAGTGCTTCCATTCATGTTCATGGGTTACTGATACTCTGATGACACGCTGCAACTGTACAGGATGTATGCGAAGTGGTATTATACGTATGGTCATGCTACTAGGTTGTCAAATGATGGGCGTGCACACGGATTCCCGAAGTCTATTATCGTAAAAAAAAAAAGATCATGAACGTCCCTGCTCCTCTAAGAGCACGCAAGGAATGCTGATGTGAGCGAAATCATCGTGAAAGCGAGCTCTTGGCGCGTATCCGCTCGCCCGAGAAGTAGAGCCAGATGGGGAAGGGTATGCCGATGACGATGCCGAGCCCCGCGAGCAGGGAGTTGCCGCCTCCGTAGCCCAGCGCGTCGAACATCTGCTGGCCGAAGAGGGGGAACGCAAAGCCTAGCATCGAACGGAAGACCTACACGCGAGTTAGAGGGTACGTGTGAGGGCGAGGGATCGGACGACTCACAGAAGCTGCTGCTAGTGCACTCGCAGCATAGGCGAACGAATCTACGAGGTACAGTTGTATGGGAAGGCTTAGGCAGGGCGTCAGTCCGTCCGTACATTGTCCGAGAGGGAGCCACTACTCACAATGTGGTCATCATACCGAACCCGAAAATGCCGGAACCGATGATGGGCATTATCCAGTGGGTATGTGCCTGCGCTGACCAGCCGTACCAACTACATAAGAGAGTCAGCAGCAGCAACGTCCGAGTGAGATCCACTCACAAGAGGCCTATTGGCACGAATAATGATCCAAAGATGAGGGCGGGTATGCGCATCTCCGGTGTCCCTTTCCCTCCATTACGCTGAGCAAGCTGTAAACGGCAATAATTTGCTGTTAGATATGAGTCGGCTGGGTCGTGAGAAGACATACTTTGTGGTATATTGAGTCGGCAACGCTGGCACCGACCACAGTAGCCAACACGAATCCCAGCCCTAAGCCGATGTAGGCCAGACCGCTGACGCCGATGCCGAAGCCATAATCGATCGTGAACAGGTCTAGAAGAAAGGTGAGTTGCAGAACACCAGGAGGACGTCTCATAGCGCTCACCAGGGAAGGTCGTGAACATCAGGTAGTAGATGCCTAGTCGCCAGTCATTACGTGCGAAACACACGTCAGATGCAAGCACTAACCGTATATGCTGAAAAACGACTGGTCAGATCTGCACGCTGAAAGGTTATCGGTCATACTCACAGAGCCATGTACAGACTAAGCAGGAAGCAAACATAGCTTGTTGTGAGAAGAATGAATGGCCGGCTCAGGTCGACGCGGATCCTATGCAGCTTTCCACTATGCTCCTTGATGAGGTGCGGGTGCGCTTCCGCCACCTTCTCTGGGTCGCTTGCACGCTTAGCCCGACGCAGGCGGATTGTAGGGTGGTATGTCTCCCGGAGGAACGGTATACCTAATACCGCCCCCACGCCGCAAAGTGCGGCAATTACGATGAACACGTACTTGAAGCCGATTGTCTGCGCAATGAAGCCGCCTGCAATAGGACCCACAACAGGGCCGATCAGAGGACCCAGTGAAAAGACTGCCATGGCCGACGCGCGGTCCTTCTCGGAGAACAGGTCGCTGACAGTTCCACCGCCGCATGCGATAGGCGCACTGCCTGCGAAGCCAGCTAGATGTGTATTAGCCGGGAGAACGAATAATCGTGATAAGCACAACCTTACCGAGCAATCGGAAGCCCAGGAGGATACCGATCGTGTCGGAGAACGCGCACCCGAGGTTGAATGCCAGGAAAAGCAGATTCGCGATGTGATAGACCCATGTACGACCGTACATCTCGGAGATGGGTCCAAAGAACAACGGCCCGATGGCAAAGGTCAGCAAGAAGATACTGAGCGTCAGGGCTGTGACGGTTTCGTTCGTGATCTTGTAGTGTTCAGCTATCTGCGGTAAACCTGGAGCCATCATGGAACTGGCAAGAGGTGTAATGAAGGTGTACAACGAAACCTATGTGTCATAAGTTCAAGCGTCAGTATTCGAACGTACAGCGATATGACGAGCTTCGTACGATTGCGGTCATGGTCCACTTTTTTCCAAACTTCCAATTGCGAGGATTTGCGGGATCGTGCGCCCAGTCCTCCTCCGCGTTCTCCAGTGCCTCTTGCTAAGGTCGGTCTCGCTGTGAGCGCTACACGTGCGTCTCGCAGCAAGTGGCATACCTTCGTGTCCGCAGGAATAGCAGAATCGCCCTCACCACCCTTCAGTGGCTCTTTCAGAGTGTCTGCTGCCCCCGAGCGTCTGGGCCCAGAGTCTGCACCTGCTGCAGTCTTGGTGCTGGACGCCCTGCTCGCCGGAGATGCTGCATCTTGGCTGTCAGACATCGCGACCGCAAGGAGGTTCGGAGGCGTAGCGGGGCGGAGAGGTGCCCTTACCACCGGAGTCGGTCCATTTATACTCGGAGCGGATGACTATTGCGGCGCAAGTCATCGGATTCGCGTTCCGTGCGACGTGCGCACAAGGTCGGTCATCCGTCGCCTCGAAAGCGTATCTCATCGATTCCGTCTGCGACCCATTCGCTGATCCGGTGCATTTCGCCAAGCAGGGGCGTTCCAGTCGCCTTCGCTCGTGTTATTGCAAGTTGGTGAGCGACCGGCTAGCATATAGCAGTGAGTATTCTCTCCGAAGCTACGCTGTCACACCTACATTCGCGGTGATCAATGTGTGACACAGAACAGAGCGAAATCGCCAGAATGTCCGCGTACTCGGCACTCACAGCGATGCGTCCGACGCGAACGGCCTGCTTCGTCCAGGTTTGTCAACGCTCGCGACTCAACCACCCAGCATCGGCGGGCCATCTTCCCACGGTTACGACGATCTTTCCCGCGGTGTGACCGCCTCGAATTGGGATGCACCGCTGTAAGTTAGCAAGCTAGGAAATCCTGTGCTGCGTGTCGTGGACATTTTTATGGAACAACGCAATTTGGGGGATTCTCTTTGCGAAGCGTGAATTTTCCACCACTTCTGGCAAAGCTTTTCGACTGCCCGTGACATCCGGGTGACATGAATTGCCCCCAGTAAGGGCAACGTCACACACCCATCACACGTTGCATTTATCACGGAGCCTTCACCCAACGGCGACCTGCCGGCCCGGCGACATCTGGGGCGCCCGCCACCGCCAGTCTACGGCCATTACTTACACATGCAAATCATCTCTCGTTGGTCTGCTCCAGGTCAAACGGTGTATGATGCCGGATAGGTATGAAGCGACACGAAGAACTAGACTACACTATACCGACCAGCAGTGGCGGTGGGATTACGCATCTCTGCCTGCAAGGCAGCCGCAGAAGCCTCAACAAGCAAACGCTTGATCTCACGCACCGCTTGCTCGACCTGAACAGCGATATGAGTGTTACGGCCCAGCGAGACGTGATGCAAGAGCTTACCCTCCATTCCTCATTCGACTCGATGAGAAGATGCAGCTTGGGCGGGCCATCGGGGGGAGGCTCTTTGCTCTGCTCGTAATAGATACCTGCGATGCACCGATAACTGTCAGTCAAACAGAAGTGACGTTCAGTACACTTCCTCACCTTTGTTGGTCACCGAGGCTCCAGTCATATCGATGAGCTATAGCCAGGTCAGCATACAGAACGACAGCAAGAGGCACTCGCAACGCACCTGCACCATGGTCTCCTTGTTCGTGACACGCCACCTCGCCTTCTGCGGGTAGTCGTTGATAGGTATGATAGCATGGAACTCCGTCGCGTCGATGTTCGACTTCTTCCCAAGATCCTCGTGCCCAACCTGCGACTGCGCGACCAGCTTGTGCGCCCTCAGCTGCGCGTTCAATTTCGCCACCACGCTGAGTGCTTGCTTGTGCGCAGCGGTATCTTTGCCCGCACGCGCCGCCGCTTCCTCCGCGGCACGAAGCGAGTTCTGCAGCTTCTCCTCCTCTTTGGCCTGTGCGAGGCGACGAGCCGCAGCCGCAGCACCCGCAACGCCAAGCTGGCCCTTCGACGAGTCCGGAGCGGGACCGCGCTTGACTTCGACCTTGAAGCTGCCGAAGGTCATATCATCAACAGGCGCCGCCTTCGTCGCCGCCGCCGCCTCTTCGGTGGCTTTCTCCTCTTCCGGTTCACCATACGCTTTGCGCTCAGCTTTTTCCTTAGCGTCACGTTCCTGATCAAGTCGGTCAAGACCTTTGCCACCGAAGCCTGAGCCTGCTGCCTTCGCCTTTCCGGATTTGACTTTCTCAAGAAATCCTGGACGACGACCGTTGAGCATTCTGTGGATCGGCATGATGCTATATAGACGAACTCACCGTTAGCCAAGTCCTCAAGCTCCTTGGGCATGTTCGCGTCACTAGCCTTCAGTGCACGATAGATGTCAACGGAGTACCTATCTTGTTCGGGCGTGATGAAGGTGACGCATGTGCCCTTGTTGCCTGCGCGCCCGGTACGGCCTGCGCGGTGGACATAGTCCTCCATGTGATTCGGCGCGTCGTAGTTGATGACCAGTTTCAGCTGTTTGACGTCGAGGCCACGCGCGGCCACAGACGTCGCAATGACGATGGGCACGACACCGGACTTGAAGTCGGCGATGGTCGAATCGCGGTCGACCTGGTCCTTGCCACCGTGCAGGGACATGCACAGGTAGCCTTTGCGCATGAGCTCGCGCAGGAGGTTATCGGCGGCTTCCTGGCGGTCAACGAAGATGAGTGTCCGCGATTCGGGGTCCTCGTTGTACGTCTGCCCGAGTATCTCCAAAAGCCGGTTGAACTTGGAGTCTTCATCCCGGACCTCAACGATCTGGTCGATCTCGGGAGCAACGACAGACCGGCCACCGACCGTGATCTCGAGCGGCTTCCGCAGGATCTTGCGTGCCAACGAATCCATCTGCTTCGGGAAGGTTGCGGAGAAGAGGACGGTCTGCCGGTCGGGACGGATGTTGTTGACGATCTTCATGACCTGAGGTTCGAAGCCCATGTCGAACATCCGGTCGGCTTCGTCAAGGACGAGGTACGTAACGCGCTTGAGGTTAGTGACACGGCCCGAGTTGGCAGTCAACAAGTCGATCATGCGACCAGGCGTACAGACGATGATTTCCGCACCCTTCTTCATCTCTGCGATCTGATCCTTGATCGGTGAACCACCATAAGCACATACAGCCTGCATTTGAACATCAGCACCCGGCTCGCATCACGGAACGCAAAAGAAGAGACTTACGCGAAGATTCAGGACACGAAGGAAAGGCTTACATTCCCTATGTATTTGGACTGCAAGCTCTCGGGTAGGCGTCATGACGACTGCCATTGGACCTTCCATTTGGTCTAGTGGTCGCTGGTCTTTGATGTGTCGGAAGAGTGGTAGAAGGAACGCGATGGTCTTTCCTGACCCTGTCTTCGCTACACCAATGACGTCTCGACCGGACATGATTGCAGGTACAGCTTGAGCCTGGATAGGCGTAGGAGCGGTGTAGTTTAGCTTCTTGATGACCTCCAGACTGCGAAAGGTGATCAGAATACAATGGCAGTTGCGAAAGCGTGAGTATATGCGCACCAGCTAGCAGGGAGACCGAAGTGGCTCCACTTCGCGACAGGCCGCGGACAGTCAACTCCCCGAATCTTGATGCCATCCAACTCAAGCCGGAGGAGGTCGGCCTCCTCGTCGGTCATTGCGGCGACGTCTGGAGGTGCGGCGTAGAACTCCTTGCGGAACGGCTCGTAGGCAACGCGGGAATGATCCACAGCGGCGAGCTCCTTCTTCTTTGCCTTCTTCGCTGCGAGAGCAAGGATATCCTCTGGGTTGAGGTCCGTGGCGTCAAGCTCGTCGACTTCGGGACCGTCCACGTCGTCGGCACCGTCATCCAATGCGCTGTTGTCGAGGCGCATACGACCGCTACCATTAACTTTCATCTTCTTCAGGTCCTCTAGGTTGACCTTCTTCACCTCCTCTTTGACGCCGCTCATGAAGGCGTCAAGCGGGTCGACCTCATCCTCCTCCTCTTCCATAGCATCTATAGTTTCCTCGGCCTTGACTTTCTCGCTAGGGTGAGCCACGTCTTCGTCATCGTCCTCCTCGAGGTTGCCAACATTCTCCTGACCATCAGTCATCGACATGTCGACGTCCGGGAGGTCGAGCGTCTCCAGCTTACGCTTTGTCTCCACCGAGTCGTCCATTGCGATGGCGGCCAGCTTCGACGCCTTCAGCACATCGGTTTTGACCGGCAAGCCCTTCAGCCCAAGACCACTAAGTGCTGAGCGGTTGAGCTGGACCGAGGCCTTGGTGGGTGCTGCAGCCGGCACTGCACAAACGATCAAGTGGTGTGAAATCACGAATACTCCGATGATACTGTATGCACGCACCTGGAGCCGACTTGCCCGCCAATGCCATCGCCTTCGCCTTCGCCTCATCCAAAGCTTTCTTCGCCTCCCGCTCTTTCTTCCAGGCTTCGAGCTTGGCTCGCTTCGACTTCAGCTTTTCGTCCTCCACAGGTGGTGTGGTGGCCTTCGTCTCTGGCGGGGGTGCTTTCGGGGGAGAGCGTTCGCGCGGCTTGCGGTCCCTCGAGCGGGAGCGTCGGCGGTCGCGGTCGCGGTCATCTCTGCGGTCATCGCGGTAGTCTCGCCGGCGGTCGCGGTCGCGGTCGTCGCGATGTCGGTCATCGCGATACCGGTCGCGGTCTCTATCCCTCTCCCTCTCCCTGTCCTTGTCCCTATGACTCTCCCTGTCATCGTCGTACCTCGACCTGGGGGGCCGGCGCCTGGTCGGCGATGGAGACCGCGGTGAAGAGCGGTGGGAAGGTCTTACCCTCTTATTCGGACTGTCCGGTGAGTACGATCTGTCTCGTCGCGCCATTGCCAGGGCGAGAGTTGGAGGCGAAGGAGGTGAGCTGCCGACCTGCGTGCGCCTGGGCCGAGGTGTGTATAGCAGAATGTGAGAAAGAAGGTGTCGTTGTTTGTGCTTACTGACAGTATTGCCGAAAATGGCAGGAACACGCGTAAGCGAGGAGTCCTCGATCGGTGACGCTATAGACGCCTGGCGCGCTCTCACTCACGTTACATCCACGACGCCAGTACCATGTCTGCGAACGTCCTCGACCCGTCTGCTCTGATCCAAGCTATCCCTTCGAAGCTTCCGCCTACAAAGAAGCGTCTTGAGTCGTCTCAAGATGGGATCGCGGTCTTCCTCCATACTGCCTTGGCGGCACTCGGTTTCCGTCTGATCGCTGTTGACGAGAACACTCCGGCGCGAACCTTCGACAACAGCGTGCTCCCGGATGACTGGAACGCACATGGTCCAGGGCACTACACATTCAGGTACAGGCATGAGCAGAGTAGCCTTGAATTCGTCGTCAAAGTCCTAAAGCTTGGATCGCGCACGATGATTAACTCCATTGCGCTTGAGGTGCGTCCGGGAGCGCTCTTAGTCCACACAGAACTGATTCTTCCTCAGAGCGACAAAGCTGCCACGCTTGATATCCCCACCAATGACTTCGTCTCGCCATCATTCTTCCCTCATGATCTGGCCGTTGCGGATGCTTCGCCTCTCATCCACGGCTTCATCTCGTCCAATCGAGTAGCGGATCTCATATCCCAGTTCCAGCTCACCACAATCCAGAAACTGATCCCCGGTCTTCGCAAGGAAGGCTATACTGAGTCAGAGGATGTCTCCGCGAGGGCGAGTGGTAGCAGGCCGAGGCCTGATGCCCCTCCTCCTGCTCGTCCGCAACCGTACGCGCCACCGGATGCTCCTGCTCGGTCGCCACTTGCCGTTCCTCCGAGGAATCCTTATGAGATCGGCAGACGAGACCTTGACCCGCTGCCCCGCAATCCATTCCAGCCTCCCTCTCTGTTCCCAGATAACGGAGCCGATGGGATGTTTGTTGGACCGAACCACCCTATCTTTGGACAGGGAATGAGAGGGCAGGGCCCTGGCGGACGAGGACCGTGGGGTGGCGACGGCTTCTTGCCACCGATGGGGGCACCTCCGGGCGCACGTTTCGACCCAGTCGGTCCTGGCCCCCTGCCTATGCCTGGCAGGCGTCCATTCCCTGGCATGCCAGGCTCCGGAAACATGCGTGATCCTGACAATGACGACTTCATGCCCCCGGGCGCGGTAAGTATGCATCTATGTTCATTGGAATGTAAAGTCTGACACGGCCCTGACTTGCAGGGAGACATGTTTATGTAGGATATTGGCAACTGCTCTTGGTGGCCGTTTGATTCGAGCGTGTGGATGTATGAGTATGGGCAGTGATATGATATATTTGTACCACCAGTGTTGTGCAATGGCCATGTCAGGAATATTGTTGGCTATCGGTGATTGCCAGATACATTATTGTCCTGCGTACAAGAACCTTCCAGGTGAACAAACACGCGGAACAATAGGCCAAACAGTGTGGCTTTCTACAACACCTTCCATAAGAGGGTAGCTTCTCAGAAGCGGCTCGGTTGGACCACAACCTTGTACACATGCGAGGTTAGACCGCAGCCATATAAAAGCCGCCCTTCTGCAGCCATCCCTGCACTCCCAACAGCCCCTAGCCAGCGTCCAAATATGGCCTCTCCCCCACGCAGCCCAACAGCCCCTCGCTCCTCGCCGACCCGCACCGCGCCGCCCGGCTTCCTTGTGCCACCCAAACCGCGTAACACCCCGATCGCACGAATGACAGTCCGCGAGCTGCGTGACGCCCGCGCGCGCAATGCTCGCATGCTCGCAGAGCCGTACGTACGCTGCGTCGTCCTCTCCCCAGTCCGTCTGATGTGGACTCCTGCAGGACAGCCTCCACCTCCGCGTACGCGCGCCGGGTCGCGGCGGAGCAGGCCCAGATCGAATCGCGCCTGGTTGAGCTCGTGGGCATCGACGAAATCCAGAACCAGCTGGAGGGCACTCGATTGAGCGATCCGGACGCGCAGATGAACGTAGACGTCGCTTCTCCGCCTCTCCCACAATACAAAGCCATCTCCGCCAAACAAAGAGCACTGGCCAAATTTGTGAGTGTTTTCCTGGACCGGCACCTCCAACATTGGTGTTGACGGTGCTCGCGCAGGCATCTCATGCTTCACATCAGAATGGTCCAAGCAGCGGATTGTCCTTCCAGGAGGCTATTCAGATCGAACAAGAAGCACACATGGCTGATCTCAAGAGACAAGAGGAGCTTGCCGAGAAGAGACGGCGACAAGGTTACATTGACGACGGCGAACAGTTAACACGAGCGGAGAGAGAAGCCCGCATGTGGGCATTCATGTATGTCTTCATCATGGTCAGTGAAGCATGCTGACGGCGCCACAGGAACCACAAACCGACAGACTCAGACTTGGAGGACGACGACTACGATGAAGACGACGACGACCCGGCTACATGGTTTGTGGATGACCAGGACGACGGTCGTAAAGGCCAAGACATCGTCGAGCCGGATGTTGACGACTACTCGAGCATCATTCGCATCGACGAGAGCAGGATACCCTGGTCGATACCACGTGAAGAATGAAATTGTCATTATCGAGTCGTAATTCCGCAGGGCAGCAGTGTAGTAATGGTGTAACAGTGTGGGATCCATCCATAATCATGACAGCACCATAAGGGACGTAACGTGTCGAAGAGCATGAAGAGCGTAACGGGAGCACCAGGTATCTACCAAACACCCTTAGCGAGCGTGAATAGGACAGCTCCGACCTCGCTGTAACCAAGACGATAGACAAGCTAGGATGTTCACGTCAAAGTCTGTACTTTGAATATCAGGTGAGAACACTCACCATTGTGGAAGCTGCATAGGCAGCTTAGACGAGCGACAGTAGATCCTAGCAGAATTGTCAGTCTTGGACCCACCCGAAGGAAGGGAGTCTCTACCTTTGACAAATTCTTCCAGACAGATCGCACCTAGACAACGCAACTTGAGCAAGCATTTCACGCAGGCCCAGGCACACTCACATTCTATGCCAATCAGGGCACTCTCCGCCGGGAGCTTATATACCAGATACTTGGCTGTTTGCGGCGTCGTTCCGCTTCCTCCCTCCAGACAATTCTTGACGTGCGCCTCTTGCTTCGACGCGGCTCCCAGATCCGCCAAACTGGTATTGCACACGGGACACCTATAGGGCCATCGCCTTAGCAATATGGACACGAGATTGAGTTAGAGCGAACGCACTCAGCAAGATCGCTCAGCTGAGAGCTCGACTGTACTCGAGATGGGCTCGGAGTGGAAAGTCTCGCTTGGTCGATTACGATACGCTCCATGGAGGTTGTCCGAGCGGGATGCAGACCGGTAGGGACGACCGCGGTTGTTTGCTCGTGGCATGCTTGGCAAACCCTTTGGAGGGCAGGTGTATGCGACACGTCCGCGTCCGCTGGATCATGCACGACATCCGAGGGATCGAGGAGTGCTCTCCACGCTGAGCATCGATCGCAAAATATACGACCACAACGACGACAGTGCTGTATCATTTGAGCTTTATGCGCAATCACCAGTGACGTTTTTACTCACATGCTGAAAATGTGTCAATTAGCATCGCTAGGGACATTTATACAATCGGCAGACTTACTCTTCGGTTCAAGAAATTGAATCTGCGACGACATTCTCGGCACTCGCTAACAGCTTCATCTCTCTCCCACTGAGCATGAACTTGATGTGGGGTTGGCGGTGTCCACCTGGGTGTTAAGACCTTTTGAGGGGCCTCGTGCGTAGGCACACGGAAGTCAGGAGCCTGTGCTAGATGAGGTGTGAGATCTGTAGGTCCTCGAGAGCCTGACTGCCCGAAGTAGTCGGTGACGGCAGAACGTATTGACGGGGCTCGAGGCGTGTCGAGGGGTTCTGAGCCGGGGTAGTGGAACTCTTCGTCGGAGTCGTCATCTTCATACTCCTCATCGTCTGTTATAAAGATTGCAATGATGAGACTCTCCTTCCTGCCATGATGTACAGCTGAAGCCATCAATGGCTCAGCCACCCTGGATGTGTCATCGCTCATCCGGTAGCTAGGACTGACAACAATCTGATTATGGGAGGCTACCGGATGAAGAGGTGCCAGTGCCACATCGAAGGGTGTCGACCCACTGAAGTATACGACTGTACCCTGAAATTTGACTCACCGTCTCCAGACGAAAACAGGCCCTGAGCACCAGCAGTAAGCCTTCGCCTGTCGAGTTCACGACTATATGCATTCAGCAGGACCTCCGCCTGTGTCTTACGCTCCACGTCGGTGTCGCCTGTCGCTTCTTAGCACTCGGGGGCAAAGCAGCAAGGCAAGAACTTACCCAGGATTCCCTGCCTCAGTTCGCTCGTTGCACGCTCCAGCTTGGCGATCGCTCTCCGAGCATCCAGAGCAGACTGCGCTCCACTGGAGGAATCTGCATCGCTGTACTGGGTACCTGCGAGATACCGTGCGCGAGCGACGTAATCCTGGCCCGACAATCCGCTGGTAGGCATTGCACTAAGCTCTTGCCCGTCCGCGTCGCTGAAGGTCTCGTCGTCGTTCTCAACATAGGGTATAAGAGACCCGTCAGCCGCCAAATGATACCACTGCCCGTCCGGCTGCAGGAACGGGAAGGGCGGGATGTCCAGGCGTCGCCGCATGACTCGCACCCAGCGCCGTCGGCGGACCCAACTCTGCGAGCCCGGGGAGTTGCTGCCGGCCCTCGAGCTGGAACCTGCGGCGTTGCTGCTGCCACTGCGAGATCTGCTACCTCCGAACCCTGCGCTGACAGCGCCGGTGCCATTGAGGAGGCGCTCGAGCTGGGGAGGCTGCTCGGCGGTCCATGCATCTTCGGGATCATCAAAGGAGTGCGCGTATTGCCATCCATCATCCGCGTCAACGCCCGGGTGCGTGACGTCCAGTGTCCAGTCCGACCTGATGGATAACAGTCGGTCAAGCTCTGACATATGAGATCGTTTCTGAACACGCACAGCCAAAAGTGACTCCTTTCTGTGCCTTCCCGCGATGAAGCAGGTCGAGGCAACGTCCACGGATCTTCTCTGAGCGGCATTTGTACATCGCTCCGCCACGCCGGGATCTCTTTCTTCCTAGTACTTTGCTCGGGCACGGGTAGACGGAGTTCGAACGGAGCTCTACGCCCGCGCTTGCCCAGACCAGATGCCGAGAAGCGCGGTCGCCCACCGGACACGGCCAATGTCTTCAGACGCACATCAAGGCGCTGATTCTCGTACAACACAAGTGGTACTGTGGTATGAACTGATAGGGTGTTATAGGGTATGTGCCTGTTGCGCCAGTTGTCGATTTCGGCCTTCTGCAAGACCTAGGAAATCGCTGAGTACAGGACATGCGCCATAGTACGATGTTCACCTACCTCACAAATCCAAACTTCGAATACAGCAGCAGCAATATCATATGCTGTTTCACCCCAATTGTTCCGGACAAACGGGTCGGCGTTCTGCTTTGTCAATAGATAGAGCACCACCGGCAAGTGTCCCTTGGAGGCGGCATTCACTAACAGCAAACACACCATGAAATGAGACACAGGTGCATTGACCGACTGGGACTCACTGAGAGGGGTCCAGCCACCATTACTCCGTTTATCTACACCTCTGGCACCGTCTACAGCTTCAGCGGCGCCCCCAGATTCACATAGCCACCTGACAATGTCAAGATAACCCTGCGCCAGGTCAATCACACGAAGTGGCACAAGTTGCATATCACACACCTTAGAGCATACGTTGTGCAGCGCGGTCCAGCCATCCGCATCGTGTGCGTGAACGTCTGCCTTGTCCGGGAGCAGATACTGAATGATGTGCAAGTGGCCGTTGAGGGAGGCTTTGTGCAGCGCGGTCTGGAGCGGGGTCAACTACACGTCAGACGACCCGACACGGACACGCGTACCTCGCCCTCCCTGTCCTCGATGTCCGGCATAGCACCGCAGTCCTCCACAACTACACATCCTTTGAGCATCATGACATCCACGCCCAGAACGGAGGTAACGTACGCCATTTCACAATGTCCAGATAGCCCCTGCTCGAGGCAGCATGCAGCGCCGTTTGTCCGATACGCGACGGCGCATCATTCGCGAGCGCGAACGACTCCACGTCACCCGACCTGAGGGCACTCCTGAACACGGTCTGCAGGCGCTTCAGCTCCCCCGACGTGGCAGCCGCGTGCAAGGCCTCCAGCTGAGCAGGGGATGGTGGGCTCTTTGTCGGGACCGGTACCGCTGCCACAGGTAGGGGCTCAGGTTTCGGGTCGGGTCTCGGATGCTCCTCCTCGAGCTGGGTGTGCTCCTCCACGCCGGGATAGACAAACTCATCCTCGTCCGAGTCCTCGTGCATGGCGGGCTCGCTGGGGTCGGGGGAAACAACGCCGCTCCCGTTTCTGCAACGTGCATGACGCACATAGGTCAGTCATGAACCACACGTTCCTTTCGAATCGGCTGCCACATACTCCTCAATAGTGCCCAGAAAGAACCCAGAGTCGTCGCTCATCGCCGTGTGCTGAAAATGTGGGGATAGACAGAGATTATCTGCTGGAGGCCTTCAGCCACACAGCTGCATCATTTCGCGCGAAGCGGCCTCATGTTGCACTGAACTTTTTGGCTTACCTAATCAGGCAGCTGGCGCTCTGAATGTAGTATTGAAGATCTAACGGGCAATCATTGGCTCAGGCTGCGCCGAAGTCGCGTCGGATCGCATCCTAGTTCACTCGAAGAGCATCCTAATTAAAAATAATGGAATTACTGCATGCAGAATCATTCGGTGCAACTATCTGATCCGCATGACATCCACTACATCACTCAAACTGCAATTTGGGCCGACTTCAGCAGCCGTCACTCGGTACGGTACAGCTCACTAGGGAACCGTCAAGCTGGCGAGAACATAGCATAGGTTGTTGTACATCAGAGTATATGGCAGTTCGTGATAAGTGGTATGTCCCCGATCCCCAAGGTTTTCTGGTGATTGCCGCTGCCATTCGAACGACGTGAACGAAACGATATGACCCTTGCATCGCAATGGGTGTACACCCCGACCAACGGGGTCGGTTGTTCGTTCAGTTGTCAGGTGCACCAGCGAGGAAATTAAGCCCCCCTTCGCGCCACATATACCCGGGTCCAGCGCATTCTCCGAGCCGGATCGTTGAACTGCGCAGACGTTGGACGATACCGATTGCAGTCATCCATTGCATAACGATATGGACGATCGAACGCCCGGATAACGCATTGGAGCGTGAGAAGCTGATACGGTCCATTCAACTGCGACGTGAACCTTTGTAGGCAGCGCGCGCTATCACGCATTTGCGCCCATCGCAGCCGTTGTAACTGCGCGGGGGTGGTGATACTTGCAGGGACCAGTTGCCTGCTCAGGGTTCGATGCTATGGTTCGAGCTGTGCGGTCGCAAGGCGAGGGAAGATAGATGACCGTGACGTGGGAGGAATAATGATTGGATGGACATCCTTCCAGCACCACGAGAAATCGAGGAATAGCGAGAACAGTGAACCATATGGACGGCCTTGACCAAACGGACTTCAAGAACACCAGGCGTAAGTGTGTATGAGAAGAGCCCTTACATGGGCATCCGATGTCGGATTCGTAGGACACAGCAGTGAGTACACCCAATCACGATTCTCGATATCATTTCTGTCGCGTAGACTTGGAGAAGATCGGGGTCAGACGTCACGGAAGCCCATAAATCAGAGAATGCACTCACAGGCCGTTCCCACCGACGTTCTCAGCCTCAGCAGCAAATGCAATCTACGCACGCCCAGCAGGGGGCGCGGAAACTGATCAGACAACGCGCCACATGTACGACCGAGAGATCAACGCAGAAGACACGACCTGGTTGCTGGTGTAGAAGCTTGTGAATCTCGCCGAATGTCGCGGAAATCGGAGTCTCCGAGACAAGCATTGCGAACAACCCGAAGCGATGGCGAATCACTGGTGCAGCCTAGAGGGAATCTGCGCATCGTCGTGGCGGTCTTCCGGCGATGGCGGGGCTTCGTGTTCACGTCCGTGCGAGAGGCTGAGCTAAGTTCCCACTAGTGACAACGGCGCACGGCGACATCTTGCACTTTGTCATCCAGCGGCCGTGTCTTGACTGTCCATCGCCAGTCATTATCGAGGTGAGGTCAGATGCTGCTATGTTGTGGGTGCGCGGTGTTAGAGTGTCGTCGACGGCAGACAGAGAGTGGCTGGGCGGGCGGCTGGTGATAGGGTGGGATCTGGAGGGATCTGAGCAAGGTCCGTCCGGCGGGGGAGGGGAATGCTGGGGATGGCTTGCGCACGGCCATCGTCGTTGCTCGCACGACCTGCACGCTCGATTGGCGCCCCGCCGACGGTGTTTCTCTTCCCAGCCTGCGAGCAGCACCGCTCACTCTGGTCTCCAGCTCAAATCCGAGCGACTGTCGCCGATATGACCCAATCTCTCGTAAGGCGCTCGTTCCCGCATAAAACTCATGCTGGCCACAGATGCTCTCCCGAGGCTCCTGGCTGACTCGTCTTCGCCGTCCTACTTGTCGCTTCACCGCTCCCCCCGTCCCCACCCACCTTCGCACCATCACAACAACCCCCACGCCCGGGATGGCACCCTCTGCGACTGAATCACAGTCGGCCGCGACCACCGGGGTTAACGGCACCAATGGGCTGAGTCACATCAAGAAGTACAAGGATCGCTCCAACCTGGTGCCCGTCGCCTCCCGCTTGAAGGACGGTCGAGCGTTGGCAGAGGATGTATGGTCCATCTTCAAGTAAGTCACGTTCCGTCTCCTTGCTCTTCGTAGCTTGATAGCTCATCGTGCAAACTCTACGTCGCTACAGCGCCGCGAACCTGCCTGCGGACTGCATCAATCTCGGCCAGGGATACATGAACTTCCCGCCGCCAATATGGGTCAGGGAAGCCGCGGAACAGGCCCTGGCTGTCACAGCGACCAACCACTACTCACACCCCAAGGGCAGGCCACGGCTGCGCGAGGCGATCAAGAAGGTCTACAGCCCCCAGTTCGGACGGGAACTTGATGTCGAGACCGAGATCCAAGTGACCAGCGGGGCGAACGAAGGCATGTCCGTACCTCTACATGGCTATATGTGCGTGCTTAGCGTGCCACAGGCCAGTACTCCGTGTTCACCGCGTTCCTCGAGCCCGGAGATGAGGTCATCATGTTCGAGCCGTTCTTCGATCAGTATCTGCCATCGGTAGCCTTCAACGGCGGAGTCCCCGTCTATGTGCCGCTGCACCCGAAATTGACGGGCGACAAGCCAACGAGCAACGACTGGGTGATCGACTTTGACGAACTCGCGTATGTCGACGCGCGAAACACGGCATTCCGGTTACTCATGCAATAGCACGATAGTCGCTCCATAACCCCGCGCACCAAGATGATCATCGTCAACACGCCCCACAACCCGGTGGGCAAGGTCTTCACACGCGAAGAGCTCGAAAAGATCGCCGCGCTCGCGGAACAGCACAACCTGATCGTCATGTCCGATGAGGTGGTACGTAACTGTCCCTCCGCACAGTCGATCAGTCGAAATTGAAAGGAAGGTGTCCAGTACGACTTCCTCGTGTTCGACAACAAGGAGCACGTGCGCATCGCGACCCTGCCGGGCATGTGGGACCGCACTGTCACGGTCGGCTCCGCGGGCAGTGAGTATCCTCCCACTGTCGTTCTGCTTTGTGAAAGCATCTCAAGGGTGTCGATGCGACGTAGAACTATTCTCTGCGACGGGCTGGAGAGTGGGCTGGCTCATTGGGCCTCCGTCCATCATCAGGCCGACCCTGGCAGCATGCACGCGCATCGTGTTCTGCAGCAACTCGCCATTGCAAGAGGCCACGGCAGTCGGGCTTGAGCAGATGGAGGAGCGCGGCTACCTCCCGCAGGCAGTGAAGGAATACGACGAGCGACGGTTGACGCTCACGGCCGCGTTCGACAAGCTCGGCATGACCTACTCTCACCCCGAGGGAACCTACTTCGTGCTTCTGGTTCGTACCATTCGCGAGAATATCCATGGCGCAACTCACACGCACCCGCAGGATATCTCCACTGTCAAGTGGCCAGAAAATTACCCCTTCCCAGCGAGCGTCCAGGGCCGAGGACGAGACTTCAGGTAAGCACTCACCGGCACTTTCATTTGGACCCCGATCCTCACCGAATCGCACGCAGGGCATGTTGGTTCATAGCCATGGAAGTGGGAGTCTCAACTATACCCGTGAGCGAGGTGAGAGCATTCCCTGGACCGTGTGTCGCGCCCCATCTGATTGCATCGCACGGAAGTTCTACTGTGAGGAGCACTGCTCCATCGGCGAGAACTACGCGCGCTTCGCGTTCTGCAAGGACGTCGACACGCTCCAGAGGGCGGCTGAGCGCCTCCAGGGCCTGCGGAGATTCCTGCAGTAGACGTGTAATTCAGAAGAGAAGTAAAAAGGAATGGTCCCTTCGGGCTTCGTAGCTGTTGCTGTTATGTTGTTGCTGAGTTGTATCTCTGTTGTTCAGTACCCCGCGATAGCGACACCGTAGCGGATTTATGATATATATTATCCACCAGCTACGTCTTCATCCAGACTGTCTACCACGCGTGATAGCAGCTCGTTGACAGACGTGGAAGAGCAATCATAATACACCGGATTGCTCGTCAGTCGGCGCGCGAGGAACGTGAAAGACAGCGCGTCGACCGCCTGCTGCTTGTCCGCGATGCTCCCATCCTTCCGCCTGTCCTTGTACCACGACCTCAGCACGTCCGTCTGCAGAAGCTGCGACTCGAGGGGCAGGCCGTCATTGAGGAACCGCATGAAGGTGTCCTTGCTCTCGACCTGGCAGAAGAGGTGGAAGTACCCCTCGCCGTTATGCCGGACCGCGCGCCCCTGCATGCGCACGAGCTCCTCGAGGCCGTAGTCGCGCAGCTGGCGTTCCTCGTCAGTGACGTGCAGGTACTGCGTGCCCATCACGACGACGGTCACGGCGCGCACGGGGAGGGTCCAGCATGCGTCGCGGGGGACAATGAGGACGCGAACGAGACCTTGGGCGTAGAGCTCCAACATGAGGCTGCGGTCTTCCTTCGCGATGCCTTCGTGGAAGAAGCCGACTCCGCGGGAGATGTAGTCCATCAGCTCGCCATCCTTGAGCCTCGGTCTGTAGTGTTCGAACGCTTCGACGGCGACGTCTTCGGGGAGGTATCCTCTGGCTGTCTCCAGCTCCAACGCGCACTGTGTGATGAGGTCGAGAGCGATCGGGCGGCATTGTGCGCGGGATGGGATGAAGACGATAGCGGACCCGCCGGGTGCTCTCTGGATGGCCATGTGGGCCGGTTTTGCCATCGCCTTGAACAGAGCAGCCGATTGGGGTGTCGTGAAAGTCTGGGTGTGGACAGTCAACGACTGGTCTCGGTCGCTCGGCCGGAAACTGTGCAAGGCCAGAGGGTCCACATCAAGCCATGCAGCCAGGTCTGCTGAGTCGTTCAAGGAATTCGAAAGACCGACGAATCGCACTGGATGACTCTGCGCCGCATGTATGAGGAGGGAGACCCCGAGCTCGTAGGCGGAATCGAGGAGTTCCAGATTCTCGCAGACTACCAGCTTTAACCCTGTGAGAGCAGAACCGGAGACTCGTTTGTGGGATATGGCCCGCAATAGCTCAACGCCGGTCGCAACGCGGATGGTTTTCCTGCTCGATGTCGAAAACAGCCCTTCTGCCTGGCTTAACTCAACCCAAACGTTGAGCATCTTTGACACAGGACGCATCTGTGTGATCATCTCGGTTGCCACACTACGCCGCGGGGCTATCACAAGCACCCAAGAAGTTTCGGCGGCAGTCTGTAATGTGTTCCTACGAAGTTGTTCGTAAGATGGCCATCAGTGGGGAAGCGGACGACTCACCATGCCATTGCTTGCGCCAAAGTGGACTTTCCGGAACCCGTAGGTGCACAGAAGAGAGCATGGAGAGGTGTGTTGACGAGGCTCCACAACGCGTGGCTTTGCAGAGCGTTGAAGCTGTGTATTCGTCCAGACATGTGCTTCTCGACCACTGGATTGTGTAGAACGGAAACAGGAAGGAATGGGATATCCAAGCGAGGAGTATGTGACTCAGAAGCTGACGGCATGACAAGATCGTCGAATGGTATTGCAACCTCATCTTCGGCACCCATCCATTTGTCGGACACGAAGCGTATCGTCACGAATGGAGGCCGCTGGCCTTCTGATATTGAGATGACGAAGTCGACGTCCAGCGCATCCGTGGTCTGCCGGAAGACTAGATGCGACATCTGCAAGATGTTGATTCCTTCATCGTCTTCGATCCACAGCCAAAACGGCTCGGAAGAACCGTGAATTCTGGAACTCCAGTTGAATCTTCGCGTGACCCGTACCGAGATCCTGAGCACGTTCGAACCCAGTGGACGTAGCTTGTATGTGATCCCCACAGTAGGGAACTGTTTCGCGGCATCACGGATGGCATTGCCGTGGTGTTCGTTTAGCTTGACGAGTTGGCCCAATTCTACTGCCGGCATGGCAGCTAGTTCCGCAACGGAGTACTCGTCGGCCCATCGCTCCAGGTTATACAGCACGTCCCGCTTCAGTTGAAATTGCTTCAACGGCTGGTCGAAGGGCCAGAGACGCTTTTCAATAGCCTTGCTCAACCCCATCAAGACGCCGCTGACGTTCGCCCACTTGCGGCTGATGGCGATCTCCAGCAATGCGCGCACTATACGCCCCCCGTTCTGTGCTGCATATGCCTGATCGGAGACCAAGGCGAAGTCCTCCGGGCGTACGTCGGAAATATAGCTCTGTAGCAAAATATTGACTTTTCCTTGACTTGTATCCGTACCGCTCTACGGATAACATGAGTGTACTGCTTATTCCCGAAAAACCTATGGTCATACCTTAACAGTACAAGGAACCAGCTCCGATTCCAGGAGTTGTGCCAGCTCCTTCACCTCATTTTCTCGAAGTTGTATTTGATCGAACTAGACTGACCGTCAGCCCGTCCATCGAGTAGATTGCGTGGTCCCCACCTCTGTGCTCATGCACAACATCACCAGAACATCGGCTTCTGTCATTTTTGGCTTGAATACCTTGTTGAATATCTCGATCGATGCATGCCTGATGTAGTATTTCGCAGCAATTCGACCGAGATCAAGGATCGTAAAGTTACGGCTCGTCCTGTCGAATGTGATCATCCGTGCCTCTGCCAACCTCGTGGCGGCTTCGATGACAAGCTGAGTACGCTTAGCTCCGAGGTACGGATCCTCTGCTACCTGGTCGCGTGTCATACCTACAGATAAAATAGCTATCAAGACTCGGTGACTGTCATTAGATGAGGATTCGCACCATATTGGAATGGGTTCTTGCGCATCCTGACGAAGAGATAGGTATATCCTATCCATTGCACCGCATCTGGAACGTTAGCAACGGTACCCAGAGCAATCTCGGCATTCAGTGCGTCGATAATGCCTGCAATGAACCTGTCGAAGGTGAGTGGGACGTACGCAGTCAACGTCGGCTGCCTTACTTGGATTCTATAGGATTCTGCGCAACCTGGTCAGCTATGGGTGAGTGGCATGATGAGGTCCTGACGAACCTGAGAAGTGACCGAGTCGAGGTAATGCTGCAGTTTGTCATCCGTCGTACAGATGTACCCGACACCGCTAGTCTCCAGTCCTGGCCGACCTGCTCGACCGAATACTTGCAGCACATCCAGAACAGACAGGTCCGTGAAGGATCCCTTGGCAGAGTCATAAACCTGAGTGCCCTTGATGATGACTGCACTGATGCTGTGAGTCGGACTCCCAGAAGTCACGCTGCGTACGTACCTGCATGAGCGGGAAGATTGACACCCCAAGCAAGTGTTGCAGTGCAGCATAGAACCTGTGAATATCATGAATGGCACCGCCGAAGTCTCATACCACGCCAGCTACCTTTATAGCCCGAGCTTCGAACATCCTTTCCATCATGTTTCGATCCGAACGCAGCATACCGGCATGATGAATGCCGAAGCCATTGTCGAAAAGCTGTTTCATTTCCTTGTTCCTCGACATACCAATATCCCGACGGAAGAACTCGAATTGAGGGTGGTCCTCGCAACTGAACTCGTCCAGTATTCCATCCGCCATGGCGGCTTCCTTGAGGGCAAGTGCAGTTTTTACCGTCTCCTTCCTTGCATGAACGAATACCATCACTTGGTGACCCTCCTGAACCAGCTCCGATACTTTTTCGAACGACACATGATCTAGGTTCTTGCGTGACTGCTGGCTTCCGGGCTTTCCCTTGACGCCGATGAAATGCTGTTCGAGCGGCACAGGCCTAAAGGACGAGTCGAAGTAGAACAAGCCGGTGTGACGGTTCACTCTATGGAGAGTCTTGTCAGCGAGAGAAGTACTGCGTACCATGGACATCAAACCTGAGAAAATCCCCCACATCTACGTAGTTGGGCAGAGTGGCGCTCAGACCAACAATACGAATAACCGACTGCGTTGATTCAACCTGTGGAGAGCATGAGTCTTTCATGACGGCACGGTAACACCCTGCTTGCCTGTCGCAATGTACGAGCGACAATCGTTTCGATGACTGCCCCACGCTCATCGTTGAGTAGGTGGACTTCATCAATGATGAGTAGTTTCACTTGCTAAGATGATCAACTGGTCAACTCCTGCCCTATGCTGAAGCAGAACGGAGGGCTCACCGATGCAAGCTCACCCTCTCCGGTTGGTTTGCGCGTCACTACGTCCCACTTTTCTGGGGTGGTCACAATGATCTGCGTCTCCGCAATCTCGGCCTTGTGAGCTGCATGTCGCCTGTCTGCTCGTCGGACGCCGAATCTCATAGCCCGAGGAGACGACTCACCTGTGAGTTCCCGTACAAGAACCTGCAACCACTTGAGTCGTTTTCCCAGTTTTCTGACGATCTCAGAAGCGAGTGCCTTCATTGGCGCACTGTGCACGGTAAAAATCATCGTTGGAAAGAACAACGGGACTGGGACAGTTCAACGTACACGTAGATTACCTTGAACTTGTCCTTTTGAATCGAGGCTGCGATGGAGTTGTTCGTGTTGGCAGACCTATGTTGATTCAGACTCGCAATATGGCCAACATGGCGACGTCCGTTTTACCCTATATTGTGGTCTGAACTTCATCCTTGATTGTATGCATGCCAAAGACTTACGGCACCAGTGGGAGCTATGTGGGTGTCAGCGGGTTTCATGAGTGAACAGAGACTAACCGACCACACACGAGCATGTTCTCGTTCGACTGGTACGCGGTGGGATACACAATGGACTGTATCCTGTTCAGCGAAGTGTAGCCCTGGTATAAGCAGTGTCAGCTGTTTCCGAATGGTGCGTAAAGAGAGACTGACTGGGAAAGAACCTCTTGCGAGTGAGTCGAGCTCTGAGACAGTAATGAGGCGTTCAGTCGCGCGAGGGGCAACGGCTCTTGCAGGCGGGATGGTCACTTCCTCGTAGTCCTATCAAGGCGTAAGCCATACGTATACGTACATTCCATGGATTGATTACCTCGTTCATCTCTCGTGTTGTACCAAGCGGTAGCATAAACCGTGTGCCCAGGTGTGATAGAATGTTTCCCTGGACCGTAGACGCAGACGTGTACACATGTGGTAGCACTTCCGGGGCATCGTGCTGCAACAAATCATCAGCTTACGCGTTCCATGACGGTGCGCTCATGCTCACTGCTGTTCCAGTGTATAGCGGACGAGCGGCATTCGAACGCAACGTCTCTTCCATACGCCTCCGGGCTGCTTCAGGGTCAAGACTTGAAGTATCATACACTAAACCATCGTCAAGTTCGGTACAGAAGCAGTAAGATGCTGTGACCTCACTTTGGTCACCAAGTTGCTTGCCCATCAGTGCATGAGACGCATGGCCGTTCTGAATACCATGCAGATAGTCATCTACCTTCGGCGACGGTCAATTCACCACTAACACATATAACAAGTATGAAAGCATACTGCTTTCGCCATGTTCATTCGATCAGCTAGATTTCCATCACCAGCTCAATGTCGTCGAAGCCTATGATTTCTGCGAGTTGCTCAGAAATCAAATCATCCGAGGCTTTCGAGTTTAGAATAGGCGACAGCGCCGGAAGAACGTCTCGCAGGTTCGGTTCCTGTATAGACAATGGTTAATCGACCGTCAAGACTGGTATCTCAAATTACGCACGCAAGAATTTTGGATAATACTGGAGGACGATTCGCAGCTTCAGACATAGATTGTGTTGAGTAGATGCTCAGCACCGAGTCCCACTCCTCAACGTCCTCGGGCAATGACGCTGCTTGTGTGTCTACAGGCTGTTCAGTCTACATAATATTGTGATCTACTTATTTGACCATACCTTCTGCCACGATGTGTTTCCTGTATCGAGGTTAACGTTGATACGCAAGGCATTGAGCACGGCTAACCTAGTCCATTCTTCTACAACGCGTCCATCTCGGTCAGACGATTCGTCCGGGGAACCAGTCAAGTATTGAATGTGCGACAAGAAATCAGACATGGCTACAAAAAACAGCTTTCAAGACGCGATGTGGACTGATGAGTGCTGGTTGAGAAAGTATATGAACTCGCCAGCGAGGATCGACTCAGACCAGCGGTGACTCTCTCGGGAACGAGGACACAGAACGCGCAAGATCAGACGCTGGGATCTTGATCCCAAGCGCTGACCGCGTCCGCGAGATGAGATCGGCAATGCCCGATTCGAGGAGGTTACAGCGCGTCCACCATGTCCAGCAATGCGTACGTGCAGCCCCGCCACTCACCCATCCCTGTCTCCATGCTGAACGCTATGTCGCAGAGTATCTCTATATTTGGACCCGCAAATACGTGATTGGGTGCTCTTCCCGATCACGGTGGTCATGGTTAGTTGCCTCGTCTTCTGCGTGCACCTTACGCCGACCCTGCTCCCCGACAGATACTCGTGGGTATCCTGCGACACTATGTCGTGTTGCTCCTACAATCCCCGCCAAAAAAGCAACCTCGTGCTGCCATCCGGGAACAGTGAGTCCTGACCCTTTGGCCCATCATCTGCATGCCTGACGCGTCGACCTAGACGCGCTCTGATGCGCTCCAACATCCTGCGTGCCTCGTCGGCGAACTCGCCATTACCACCGACATACTACCAGTCCATATCCCACAGCCTCTCGCAAGCCTTTGCGGAGGGAACGTTCCTGAAGGATGGACCGCCCAAGAGCGACGCACCAACTACGCCTCCGAACCCGCTGGCCGACCCTTCGCAGATGGACGGCATGATGGCTGGCATGAAGACTCAAATGGTCATGATGATACCGCAGATGATAATCATGGGATGGATCAATTTCTTCTTCCAGGGCTTCGTGTTGAGTGAGTGGTAGTACACGCGCCCGTATTTCGTCGAGGCTAAGGGTGCGCAGTTAAGCTTCCTTTCCCGCTTACTCTGGGCTTCAAGTCTATGCTGCAACGCGGGGTCGAGACACCGGACATGGATGTGCGATGGGTCTCGTCGCTCTCCTGGTACTTCCTCAACTTCTTTGGGCTCAACGGTCTATACCGCCTGATCCTTGGCAATGAAAACTGTGAGATCTAGTCATACTCCTTCAACACACGTACTACTGACAAGCTGGGGATTCGTTCACAGCCGCGGACTCTTCGAGAGACATGACAACACCCTTCGCTGCGGCAGCGGCGGCTCCACAGGGACCGCAAGCGCAGGACTACAACAAGCTGTTCAAAGCCGAGAGAGACAACCTCGAGTTTGCTGAAGGCTTGTATTCCTGGGTCGGGAAGGACATAGAGACGACCGTTCTAAAGAAGTATGGTCGACTGCCAGATAGCTCATGACCTAGACGCTGCGTAGGTTGATGTTATAAGGGAATGTATTTTCTTCTACCACTCGACAGCCCCGTGAACCATTAAGTATACATTATCGTCTATGTGAGAGCCAAATACAGCCTGTTCCTACAACATTTGTGCGTCCAAAGAGCAAGATGTGTCCGTAACGCGTCGTGAGGGCAGATGTGTCGTGTATGACTACAGGTGCCCGTGGCAGTGCGGCAGCTTGGCGGCATGCAAGGGACATGCACCGGGCATAGCCTTATACAAGCCCGTCGTATAGTGACAATGCCTTGGGATGCTGTGAGCGAAGACTGATAGCAGAATGATGGTAGGTATACCTGGACAATTGTAGGGTCTTGCTTACTGCCCTCGACGAACTCATCGTAGGTCAACTTGGCGTCCTTATCACGGTCCATGTTTCTGAATATTTTATCCACCCGCTAGAGGAAGGTTATAGGCATGTAAATTGTGACGTGACATGCACACTCGCCTTTTCCGGTGTGTCCTCATCCACAGGCAGCTTCACCATTTGTCCCGTCATCTTGTAAATCGACTGGACGATCTTGAGCATCTCATCGTAGGTGATGAACCCATCTCCGTCTATGTCATAGAGTTGAAATGCCCCTGCATTATGCACGGAGACACATACACGCGCGATCAACATGCACATCAAATAGGTCTCGGTCAAATACTCACACTTGAGCTTCTCGTCCAGCCTCCCCCTGCTTGTGACGCTCAGGGCGCAAATGAACTCCTTGAAGTCAATTGTTCCATTCTTGTTCTCGTCGAAGACGTTGAACACGTAGTCCGCGAACTCGCCAGGGTCGCCGAAGGGGAAGAACTGCTTGTATATTCGGCCAAACTCGGCCTTGTCTAGCTGGCCAGAAGGACAGTCCTTGAGAAAGCCCTTATACCTGGAAGCCGAGAGCGCGGATCTGAGCGGAAGGTCGCGCGCGGAGATGGAACATGGCACTCACCATTGCTGCAGCTCCCGCTTATCGACTGGGTCTCGGGGTAAAATTCGGTGCGCGAGCGAACGAAGAGCGACATACAATACGTGTGCTTCTGGAGATCGCTGAGCTGCTCGGGGGATAGCTTGCTCTGTGATTTCCCCATGATATATGCCGTACAGGGAGGCGCTGGCGGTTCAGATGACGGAGGAGACAGCGAGGTCGCTGGCCACTAAACGCACTAATAGCAGAGGTGGCGGCCTCGACGCGTCCGCAGTGCCTGTGGGCGCCTGGGCCTGTGCGTCATGCATTAACAGGGTATTCGCCGCGCTGCCCGAAAAGGAATATGATAGGTCATATCGGGCAGCCGCGTATCAGGGCATAAGTGATCCGTGCTGGTCTCTCCGTGCACGATGCAGCCTCGAGGCCGCGGGGACATGCACAGCGAGCCCGGGGAGATTTGGGCGCAGAGAACCGCCATGGCCGCCGTTTGCAGTCGACACCAGCGGGCCCACCGCCGCCAGTGCCCCGCCGTCGCTGGGCCTCGCTCGTAAACCCATGATCCGCCCAAATGGCCTTGATCAGCGTGAAAAGGAACCGCATGCATATGCCTTCTTCGAGTTCATTCTCAGCCGACAGCCTTGCATCCCCCTTATAGCACCGCTCGTTCGCCTCCGACTATCTCCTCCTCTGCCTGCCTCTCGCGATGTGCTATGCTCTGGGCTCCCTCGAGCAGGCCACCGGAGTTTGCCCGATGTGCAAGGTCTTCAAACCCGTAGGCGGGGCTCGGTGCGTCGATCTGGCGTGTCCCATCGTCCTCGAGCGCCCATCTCCTCCATTGTAGGTGTCCCCATGTGAGGGAAGTCTGCCGCAATAGGGCAGCCCATCCCCGATGCGACGTAGTCTACCTCAAGAACGCGGAGGGTATGTCCCTCCATTGTTCTCGCACCGCCACAGCTGTCCTGAAACCCATGTGGCGCACTAGTGCAGACCTTCAGTGGGTGCGGCTATTGCAAGGTATGTACCACAGTGGGACGTTGTCGATCGCGCTGATGTGGACACCTGTGTGTGACGCAGTGGGCTGCCACCAATCCGCCGCAGACCTACTCTGGTTACCAGAACCCCGGGTGGCCGGGATGCTGCCGGTCTCCGAAATCGGACGAGCAGAGGCTCATCGGCGCAGCAGACTGGCCTGCTGTCAGCCTGATCCACCACATTCCTATCCCGCCGGATGTGAAGGCTGTCTTGGATAGTCTTACCACCCGGCCGGGAATGACCAGTCCCAGCGGAGGCAATCGCGCCACAAATGTATCAGCTACTGCACCTTCGATGTCGCGGAGATCCAGCTACCAGGTTTCCAGCCCGACTAGGGCGGAGAACGCTGCGACCAGAAGCGCGGCGATGCCGATCTCTCCTAGAGGTCGATCTGGCGGTAGTCCTCAGCAGGCGACCTTGGCCCTTGCCAGTAGCGGCTCTCGACACGCGACTGCGAATGGGGACGGGTCAGCGTCATCGTTGCCAAATCGATCCGCTATGGATCAATTCCAAGGCTCGCGCCGCTCGAATGCTGAGCACGGCGAGAAACGCTCCGACTCCACCAATTCTTCTCAGCACTCGCCTGGCCACAGGAACATTGATCTCGGCGGATCGGTGTCGCGCCGCAGTACCGAACGAAGATCCTCTGTATCTAACGTCGCGGCAGTATCGGTCAGTAAAGCCGCGATGGAAGCCCAGTCTCCGCGGCGTCGCACGCAGACGGCGAAGTCAGACTCCCCTCCTCCTGCCGCTCCTGCTACGAAGAGCGAGCGTCCGAGCGCCGCTCCACCGCCTCTGAAACGTGCCACTAGTACGCTGGAGAAATCTCTCAAGGAATTGAACATATCCAGCGCGTCCAGCAGCAGCAGTGGCAGCACGACCTCCGAGACCACTATCATATCCGACGGAGGTTTCACGGACTATCTGTCCGACGAGTCTGAGGCGGAGCTGCAGCGACAGGCAGAAGTGAAAGCTGCGTTGCTGGCTCAGAGCCAGGCTGAAGAGGCAGAGTTCCGTGTTGCTCGCCAGCAACTCGCCACGGTCGATCTGCGTCCTCCGAAGTCATGGAACGGCACCAATAATGCTACCCCTCGCTCGCAGACGTCGGCCACGCGTCCTCCTACGTATCGTCAAACCTCCGACTATAATATGTCGTCTGGAAAGACCAGCGTGGCGCAGGGAAGGAGTTGACCATCAGGTTTTAATATTCCGGTCTGTCTACTACGCGCTGATCTATGGAATGCTTGGAGGGACGTCAAAGGATTCGATGGTGTACTCATAACATCCTCATTTGTATTCCCCTTGTTCCACTAGCGACTTTGTAGCTCTGTGACGGTCTCGGGCATGCTGCATCTATGTACTCAAGTGTATCTACTGCAATCTCGGTGTATCTGGTCCTATGGTTCTATGCTATGCTTGGCTCGGATTCATCTGCAGCGTCACATCCCTCCTGGATTCCTGCAACGATATTTAGGATAGCGAACAGTGTGCCCATTACGTTGTGCAGGGCCCAGGCAACGACTGAACGCAGTATTCATCGTCCGAACTTCGCTGAGACGGGGCATGCATACGCGTATCACGTGGTACCATATCCCTCCGCGCGCAAGGCGCCTTGATTGGACGGAACGTTACTTCGCTGCTCCCTACACGCTCCCTCCTCTCTCCGCCCCTCCATGAATTTCGCCCGACACTCTATAAGTGCTACAGCCCCGGTACTCATCTTCGACGCGCGATTCGACTCAGACTGTCACATCTTTACCGCCGCAACCCCGGCGGGGTTCGCGGTGTACCGCGCGCGCCCGCTGCAGCTGCTTCGGAAACGCGGTACGTGGTCATCCCACCTCGGGATCCGTCCGGACGACTCAGAGCCACGCTGCTCGCACAGAGATCACGGGGGGTACCCTCGCCGCTGTAGTGCCGTTGCACACATCCTCGCTGCTGTTCCTCATCGGAGGCGGGCGCAGTCCGCGGTACCCGCCGAATAAGGTCATCCTATGGGACGATACGCTCGGCCAGGAGGTTGCGGAGCTGGAGTTCAGGGAGCGTGTGAGGGGCCTTGCGTGTCGGAAGGGCTGGCTAGCAGTGGCATTGCGCAGGAGGGTCGTGGTGTTCGAGCTAGGGAAGGCGGTCGCCAGGTATGGAGAATGGGACACATGCGATAATCCGAGAGGTGCGTACGATCGGCAGAGCCGAAAGCATTCCTTCGCCTTGTCACATAGATCTGTTACCTGCGCTGGTTAGAACATCGGCTCATGCGCATATCTGCCAGGTCTACTCGCTATGGCGACTGCTGCATATTCTACCCTACTCGCGATACCCGGCCGCCAGATGGGCCATGTCCATCTAATACACCTCCCACCATGCTCACCTCCAGAGCAATTAGGACCGCCAATGTCGGCACCACCAAGACCACCGTCTCGTCCAACCAAGCATCCGGTTTCTATGTTTATTGCCCACGAGAGCGCGCTTACCACATTATCTGTTCCTTCGTCTGGGAACTTCGTCGCCACCACGTCTTCTAGAGGAACACTTGTTCGGATATGGGACTCCAACACTGGGAAGCGTGTGCGAGAGTTCCGGCGAGGCACTGATAAAGCCGAGATTTACGGGGTAGCCTTTCGTCCTGACGAACGAGAGGTATGCGTCTGGAGTGACAAGGGCACGATACACGTATTCGCTCTTGCAGATGACACAGGCTCATCGTGAGTTCTCCCTTTGAATGATATGCAAGCCGATGGTAACAACTTGTAGGAATCGACAATCTACCTTTTCTCCGCTGAAGCCATTCGTTCCGCTGCCGAAGTACTTCAAGTCGGAGTGGTCGTATGCACAGTACCGGATACCCTCACAATCAGCACACATATCGCTATCTGCGGGACCCTCCAAGCCGCCCACCGCAGACGTCGTCGATGAGGAGAAGTGTGTGGTCGGCTGGATTGTAGCGCCATCCGATGACCACGATAGCGCGGAGGGCGAATCCCCTATGGAACATCAGCTCGTCGCCTTGACATACACAGGCGGCTGGTATCGATTGTCACTGCCCAAGACCTCTGCTGCTACAGCCGCACCGTCGCGTACGTCTACGACTGGTACTGGTACGGTAATCTCAGGATCGCCTCCAAGAGCCGTACCTATGTCGCGCCCTCGTTCCTCAAGTGGGTCATCGTTTGCCGGACGTCTGGACAAGGGCAAGGATGTCGACCGCGACAAGGAGGGCGGGTCGAGTCACGAATGTATCTTGCGCGAATTTAGACGGTTTGGGCGATGGGATGGATGGGGATAGGAAACGGACTGGAATGGATGGACTCGTCGGCATACCTCTCTCGGCTTGTGATATCGCCCGCTCTGCATCTCCCGCTGCTCGCCGCTCACACACATTGTACATCTACTCCCATGCATGCACTGTTTGTACTCATGTTGTATCGATATATGGTCACTTCGGAAAGCAGTGCATGCGGACCATGGGGGATCTCGATCGATCGAGGATGGTGTGAAAGCCGTGACCCTGGATTTAATATTTATGTACGGCGTATGACGTCCGTCGCTGCTTGCATTGTCTCTCCAGTTGAATATCTCCCCGCAGCAACCTTTTGAGTCGGTTAAGGGTCGGCGTCTGTCCGAGTCGCTGCAACTAGCCCAGTTCGAACTTCGAAGGGTATTGTCCGGGCTGCTGCATACTTGACTCCAGATTTGCAGGAATAGTCGACTCACTCAGGCTGACATGGAGCGCACTGTTTCCATCCTGTCTCCTCTGACACCGCATAACTCAACGTGTGGCTACTGCTCGCCACCAGGGAGAAGAAGCGAGACCAAGTCCAATTGGCATGCCGCAGAGTGCATACCTTTGCGAATGTCGTGCGAGGTACGGCAACCATATCCTTGTAACGGCCGTCGCATTGATAGCGCACCTTGACAGGCATACCAAAAGATGATAGACCGCGGTTGGAGACGATCGGGTACGTATTGTTACAAACCAGATCTCAAGAAGTCCTGTTGTCCACAGTACACTATCAAGTGCGTTGAATTCGGTGACATGCCAATGGATAGGCGTTCTGAAGCATTCTTTACCTGACAGGCTCGACGCTCATGCATTCAAACTATCAAGGAGCCAGCGCAAACTCCTGAACCGGTCAGTGGCGTTCATAGTGGGACATACACATGCAGAATTCATCCGGCTTTTCAGCTGGAACCGCTTCGTGCTCCACGGGGAAGGCGGTGAAGACGCCCTCGACGAGGCTGGAAGCAAGCCGTGAGTAACATAGGCAGCTTTAGTGAACGATCGTTCATGATACCTCAGCAAACAGGGGAATGCTCACAAAGGGAAGAAGACAGAGACCGCCCTTTCTCTGACTGACTATATTCATGCGTCCGACTATGACTTCTGTGAGACCGAATTGCCAGAGCATCGGTTTGAGGAAAGCTCTTCCCGTTGATATGAGGAATCCATGAATTGACTCCATGTACAACTAGGTTACACTTGAGCCGTCCTCGTTCACGGATGAGAAATTCGACCTCTACAAGAGCTATCAACGCAACATCCACTGCGAGGAGGAAAACTTGCCGAGCAGCTTCAGGCGTTTCCTTGTTGAAACACCGTTACAGGTAATATACGATCGACTGGCTCGATGCTAGTGCGGCACTCAGGCGGGTTGTCACAGCGTCAAACCATACAATACCCTTCTCCGCCATCTAGACATCTCCCACAGGAATATGGCTCATACCATCAGCTATACAGGCTCGACGGAGAACTTATTGCGATGGGCGTGATAGACATACTTCCGAACTGCGTCTCAAGTGTTTACTTCATGTATGAGAAGAAGTGGGAGAAACATTCCCTCGGTAAGGTAATCGTCGACCTTCCTGGGCTGTGCGCTATATCGAGGGAAATGCTGACCTACATTGGACCTACATGAAGCTTAGTGCACTGCGAGAGGCTTCTCTCGCCAAGGAGATGCATGATGCAGGACTGGCTGATATGGGCTACCTCTACATGGGTACGTTTTCTGAACGGTGGTAGGTGCGAGGGACCTGCGGGATACTAACCTCTATCAAGGTTTTTACGTCCATTCTTGTACGAAAATGCGATACAAGGGAGACTATGTCCCTTCATCCCTGGCCGACCCTGAGGAATACACCTGGCACCCTCTCGAGCAGTGGCAACCCCTACTCGACAAGTACAGATACGTCAGCCTTTCCCATCCCGAACATAACCTCCAAGGATTGCCAGACGTGTCTGAGAATGGTCTGTCACTCTCGCACATGCCGGCCCCGCCGCATCTGACTTCAGCATAATTTTCCCAGATTCAGCCCAGGAGCCAGAGCTTCCTGCATCTATTCTATCGGCTGCTCAGATTATACAGACGGGCAGGCGCGGAGGCGCGGTCGCCGTGCCTGTGATTGTGCGTGTCCATTCCGACTCGGAGTCGTTCTCGTACATCGCAGGCACTGACGAAACCCGCTTACCTTCAGACTTCTCCTCAGTGGAGACGACCCGCAGAACGGCTTGCCATCTCAACGCTACTGAACGAGCTGGGACCCGAGCTTGCTGCAGAGGTACTGTTGTACATGGCGCATGAAGTCTGAGCCTCCAACTTGTGGGCGAATCGATACAGATCGTTGCGTATTTCAGAGGCTTGAAGCCGAGAGCGTTCACGCCGTGGAACCGCTGAAATCTGCTTAGTGTTTTGACATATGTTGTGTGTACTCATGTACATGAGCCTTTGAATCGTCTATGGGCATTTGTACTGTGGTCAGGTATTGAATATTGAATATTGTAATATTGAGCAGCGACAATTTACTTCGCTCGGAGTGATCGTCGGCCTCGAGATCTGGATCTGCTCAAAGCGCGTCCGACGCGTCGCGTTGCACCGGTGGGACCGTGACTCTGAGCCTCGCGCCTCCCAGTGCCCGACCGCGACTAACTGGAGACTTTTCACCACATCCCACCCACTTCCACTATGCGGGGGTAGTCTCCGAAAGTCTTGGCGTACATTCTGGGATGCACACAGCACACTGAAACGTGCGTTGTACCCGCTGATATGGCTACCCACGGGCATCGTCTTCACGCAGTTCTTCTACACCGTGAAGTCGGTCAATGGGCGCAGTATGCAGGTCTGTTATCCTCTTTGACGTATGTGGGTGACCCACCTTGAATACGTCAACTAGCTAGCCAACGCTGAATCCGGACACTTCGCCGTGGCGAGACTTGGTGTTGTTTGACCGCTTCTCCATACGGACCTTGCGGAAGTATGAAAGAGGAGATGTGGTTGCACTGGCGTGTGTATCCCTTTCTACACTCATGCACAGCGAATCTCACGGGAGCACGCAGGTCACCACTCAACTCGAAACTTCTGGTCAAGCGAATTATCGCTCTGGGAGGAGACACGGTACGAGTGTTCAGTGCGGAATGATGTACATGAACCAATGCAACCGCTGTCTCCTCAAGGTGAAGACATTACCGCCATATCCTGACGCCGAAGTGCGAATACCTCCTGGCCACGTATGGGTAGAGGGTGAGACAGGAAGCACTCCGGCGCAATCAGCTTGCTGACATGGCTTGGCTAGGCGATGAACCTTTTCATTCAGAAGATAGCAATACCTTTGGGCCCGTACGTTTCTAAATGCGACACAGAGCTCCCATGGCTGATCAACGTATTCAGGTTCCTCTCGCGCTCATCGACTCCAAGTTGATATGGATAGTCTGGCCCCAGCAGCGATTCGGGCCGCTACTTACACCTGCAGAGCCAGATCCCAGGGCCTCGAGAGGACCCAGCTGGCGAGTCGAGAAAGCCGCGATGGAAAGGGCGCACCGAAGGAACTCGCGCGTTACTACAGCTCAGCAGAGAGCATCTCCACCTAATGAGCTAGATGCGAGGTTGCTTTGATACGGGATGGCGCTTTCTACAGCCCGTGCAACTGATGGAAACAGGCTACGTTGCACATTTGCGCATGCACGCCGAAGATGTCCGTACCCTAGGGCTATGAGTACACTGGGATTCAATCTGCAATAATGTAGACATCAACCAAAAGAAACGACGAGTGAGAGAGATGACGAGAGAGAAATGCAGAGTTCACACAGGTCAACAATAATAGGCAAAGGAGTCGAATACAATGAGCCTAACTACATAGCTTGAGCCTGCCCCGCATCGTAGTCATGCCCTCCTGCATAGTGTGCTCCATGGTACGCCTGAGCATCGTGGTACGCTTGTGCTTCATGGTACGCCTGCGCGTCATGGTACCCTTGCGTGTCGCGGTACCCTTGTGCGTCGTGGTACCCTTGTGCACCCTGATAGCCCCGACCATCGTGGTATCCCTGCGAGTCATGGTAGCCCTGGAAATCGGGATGCGCGCCTTGGTACGCCTGCGGATCATTGAAGTACTGTGCCCCCTCCTGCTGGTGGGTATAGTCATCTGCGCCACTGTGTGCTGTGCCCTCAACACCGTGGTGTTGCTGCGTGTATTCCGGCTCGACTGGGTTATCGCCATAGGCCTCTCCGTAGTAGCTATATGGAGTCTCCGCTCCACCGCGACCGGGCTCTGTGCGGGCAAAAGGAGCGGCGGAGGTAGTCAAGTGTGCAGTGCTTCCGTACTCGTCCTCATACGGAGTCGGTGCGTCGAAGGTGCCGACGGACGGGTTGTACTGGTGTTGACCGTAAGCCGGGTTGAACGCGGGCATCGGCGGGTACTCGGTCGGGCTGTACTCCTTCGTCTCGTAGTAATACGGGTTGGCACTGATCGTGCTGGCGGGCGGTCCACGAGAGCGCATGGAGGCCTTGTCGTCGTCATCGTCGAGCAATACATTGGGAAGAGTCGGTTGAGGCAGAGGTTTGGCGATGAGCTCTCCCTTCTTGTTCTTGAGGTGGGAGTAGTCGCCGGCAGCTTCTTTCTTGGCGAGAGCTGCAGCCTTGGCCAGACGCTGCTTGTTCCTCCGCTTGATGATCTCGGCAATGCGCTTGTCGACCTTGTGGCAACAATATTCCTAGCGATCGACGTAACACCATTAGAACGGGTACACAAAACAACTCGACGTCGACTACCGACCTTGAGGTTACCCTGAATATACGTCAGGAGAGGAATATAGCAGATGCCGGCGATGATGAGCATGATCAAGGACAGGGCGAAGATGAACGTGGTGAAGGCCGTGGAGATGGTGATGGCAATGGTGATGTAGTTACTTCCGGTGAAGTACTTCGACACGTCGTACCATTCCCCATTGTTCTTCTTCGACAAGTAGAGGGCGTAAAGAGTAAGCGCGTTGATTGACTGACGCGGACCTTCGGCGAAGATAACTCGTTTCCAGCCTGAAAAAGACAATCATCGGCTAGAACGGTCATAGGATTGATATATTGCGTACCCTTGAAGGTGAAGAAGACGAAGAAGGCAAAGTCATCTGACCTCTTGGTGGAGCTGGAGATGTGGTTGAAGAAGCAGAAGTGGTCGTACGACCCTGTATGAGGCGTGAGTGGCAAGATGCACATAGTAGTAGCACGTCAACGTACGGAGGGAGTAGTAGTGGTTAGCCATGATATTGGTAAAGGCGTACGAAATATCACGGCTGGCAATGATCTTCTTGGCCTTGCGTGCTTCGTAGGCGAGCTGGGAAAGAGTCAGCACAAAGGTCAACCGCGAGCGAAACACCACATACCAGCAGGAACGAGAACACGATACAGCCGAAGAAGAGCCATTTGCCAACGTTGAAAGGGATGTAGACACAACCGTTGTCGTCGGTCGACTGACAACTGTTGTAGATCTCATTGGACCATGTGGTGGATGTCAACATGGTCACTGCGGTGAAGATATCGGATATGTAGACCAGGAAAGAGATGAAGACTGTGATGTACAGCCACAGATACCTGAAGAGGCGCAGGTACGTTAGTTGCTGCTACAATAGGTGACACCTCTGGACCACTGTCAGCTCATGCGCGTAGCGCGAGCCAGGCCACGGGTCACATATACACGACGGTTGTACCGTGCAACTTACTTCATACGCATCCCACATGAATGGTCCGTAAAGTCTCGCGTATCGACGAAGTCGAACTACGTGATATGCATTCAGCGTCGTGTCTTTGAGGAGCCAGGACACACACCTTGTGGTCCGGAACGACCTCTCGCTTCCAGTTTCCCCCTGCGCACATGCTTGTCTAGTTTAGTGAGGGCTACAGCGTGAAGGCGTGTTTGTCTGAGAATGAGTGTGCAGCGACTTGGGACAACACTGCGAGTCAAGCAGCGTCCGGGCCAGCCAGTCGCTGAGGAGCAAGGAGCGGCTGGTGTCGAAGGACGAGTGGATGTCGCGAGGACTTGGGAAAGCGGAAGAGAGCAGTTCACGAAGCGAGATAGTTGCGCAGGCCAGCCGAGTTGCTACACGCCCGCTGTTAGCCGCCCGCAACTTCCCCGCCTGCCTCTTTCGGCAACAAAAGGTCTCCCCACCACCACCAGCAACAATGACGACCGTACAGAAGATCAAGGTGCGTCTGTTTGTACACAGTATCAATGGGCAATGGTGCTCAGTAGACTATGCTTTCATAGGAGGTCGAAGATGAGATGGTGAGCCGCGCACGCCTTGTATGATATTTGCATGAGATGCTCATTGCAATTTGCAGGCCAAGAGTATGTCTGTGATACCCCTCAGATCGCACTGAGTAAATTCATGCGCGAAATGCAGCCCAAAAGAACAAGGCCACGAGCTACCACTTGGGGCAGCTCAAAGCCAAGCTCGCAAAGCTCCGCCGTGAGCTGCTGGGTCCGCAGGGTGGCGGAGGCGGAGGCGGCGGTCTTGGATTCGATGTCGCCAGGACCGGTATAGCTTCTGTCGGTTTCGTAGGCTTCCCATCAGTTGGCAAGGTTTGTTTTCCTTTTCCCTCTGATAATTCCCCGTGCCTCATACTGTTTGTCAGTCCACACTGATGTCTAAACTGACGGGCACACACTCTGAAACGTCGGAGATTGACTTCACCACCCTTACCACCGTCCCTGGCACAGTAAAAGTCCACGGTGCACCGATTCAAATTCTCGATCTACGTGAGTCCGGAGTTTGTCTAGTCGATTGTGCAACACGAACTGAGGGACAATGAAGCCGGTATCATTGAAGGTGCAAATGACGGTCGAGGTCGAGGTCGCCAAGGTGCGCGCAACTGCATTGCTGATGAAACTTCGCCATCCTGACACATACCACAGTCATTGCCGGTACGCCGTTTCGCCGCTCCGGACGCCGCTCACGCTGAAGACCACACTGGCAGTCGCACGCACTTGTAATCTCATTTTCATTGTCCTTGATGTCCTCAAGCCTCTCGGCGACAAGAAACTCATTGAAACGGAGCTAGAGGCATTTGGCATCAGGCTCAATAAGAGGCCGCCAAACATCACCGTCAAAAAGAAGGACAAGGGTGGGATAGCGATCACGAACACGGTACCTCTCACGAATATCGACCACGACGAGATCAAGCGGTGTTGAGCGAGTACAAGCTGAACAACGCTGATGTGGCCATTCGGGACCGAACGCGACGGCTGACGATTTAGTCGATATCATCGAGGGTAACAGGTAGGCGCTATGGACGGCTTGTCTTCCAGTATACTCACGGTTGTTCAGAGTATACATCCCTGCCATCTATGTGAGCTCCCTACAAAGCTTATCTTCCTATCTCTATCTGACGCGCATCTCTCGCTCAGGTGCTGAACAAGGTGTGTTATACCATAGACGTCTCGGACAGACCCTCAGGCAAGCACAGATCGACGCAATTTCCATTGAGGAATGGACCTACTCTACAAGATCCCGAACAGCGTCCCCGTATCATCCCGAGAATGGCTCAATGTCGACGAGCTCATTGACTTCATGTGGCGCGGCTGACCTTGTTCGAGTGTACACCAAGCCGCGAGGAGCAGCACCAGACTACAACTCACCCGTCGTCCTTCGACGGGGCAAGTCAACGGTGGAGGACTTCTGTAACGCTATACATAAGGAGATCGCGAAGCAGATGAAATAGTGAGTTCTTTTTTGCTTGTTGAAAGCGGACCCGAAGCTGATGGTGTACAGCGCAATTGTGTGGGGCGCTAGTGCAAAGCACACGAGAGGACAGAAGGTTGGAGTCGAACATGTATGGAAGACGAGGATGGTGCGTCCTTGTTGTGTGCCAATTGCTCACTTGCTCACGCTGTCTCCTCAAGTCGTTCACATCGCGAAGAAGTGATTGTTTCATCTTACTGTCGCTGTCGTACCTGTACACCTGTAGCCATAGCTTTCGTAACGCTGTCATAATTATGGACAAGAAGTCTAACATAGGAGAGGCGTTCCGGGGATTAGTGATCATTACGATAAATGAGTAAGATGCGTTCGATGCGCGTGACAGAGTGGTGTGCAATAGAGATACAGTAACAAGTTATTATGTGTCGGCGAGGTAACAGAGTGGTGGGGCGGGGCGAACTCTAACAAAATGTCCTCCGAGAATATACCACACCAACAGATTCCAGCGAATACAATACAACGGCGAAGGTCACATGGAGCGAAGACAACGGACTAGAAGTCCTCATCGAGTGTGCTAAACAGGCCATCAGTGTTTTGATCGGTCTGGGTAGCGATGTTGACCTACAAAGATCTAGTTTGATGTGCAGATAGCGTGGATGCGCTGTCCGTAGCTGGCGATGCAGTCTTGATCCGGCTTTGGCGTAGTCGAGACCCGCTTCTCGAAGAAATTGGTCTTGCCCTGCAGCGAGATCATGTCCATAAAGTCGAACGGATTTGTTGCGTGGTAATGTTTTGCATTGCCGAGTGACACGAGCAGTCGTCTGCGACGAACTCGATATACTGGCACATTAGCTGGGCGTTCATGCCTATCAGAGCACACGGCAGAGCATCTACGCATAGTGTCAGACGTATCACCACGCATATAGTTGAGACATCCGTGCCTGTTAAAACTCCTGTTCAATCGTGACGGCCTCGGTGATGATTCTCAAGATGACATCCGGGTGAAGCCTCCGCCTGAGATGTTGGTAGAGCAGACATGCGAAATCGGTATGCATGCCCTCGTCGCGAATAATCAGCTCATTCGAGAACGTCAGCCAGGCATCAGTCCGCGCTTCTTCAACCAAAATATTGCTGCGAACGAGCCGGAGAAGAACACGCCTTCCACAGCGGCGAAGGCGACTAGTCGCTCGGCAAAGCTCGACGTTTCGTCCGATATCCAGCGGAGGGCCCAGTCAGCCTTCCTCTTTATACATGGGATGGTTTCGATGGCGTCGAATAAGTGGCCGCGCTCTTGCGGATCTTTGATGTAGGTGTCGATGAGGAGCGAGTACGTTTCGGAGTGTACGTTCTCCATCATTATTTGGAAGCCGTAGAAACACCGCGCCTCTGCGGCCTGGATTTCATTGGAGAAGCGCTCGACAAGGTTCTCGTTGACTATGCCATCGGAGGCCGCGAAGAAGGCAAGGACGTGCGAGATAAAATACCGCTCGCCGTCGTTTAGACGATGATTCCAGTCCCAGTGGTCGTGTGACAGGTCGATCTCTTCCGCGGTCCAGAACGACGCTTCTGCTTGCTTGTACATGCGCCATATCTGTGCAGAGGCGTATGTGAGAATGCGTGAGCAAAGCAACGACAGGTGCCACGGAGACGTACGTCGTGATACTGGATAGGGAACAAGACAAAGCGCCGCTTCGACTCCGTTAACAGTGGTTCCTGATCTGTAGGGCCCTTAGCGTTCCTGTCGACACAGAAGGAGATGATTTACACACCCTCAGGTAGGTCTACTTCGCCAATGAACTTTGAGCCTGGACCGGACGACTCCTCGTCATGTCTAGCGAAACCGTTGGTGTCCCTGCCCATTGCTTGTCGTAGCTCTTTTTCGATGTGCAGGATAACTTGAAGCAGACGGTCTTGTGCAAAAAATAAATATGGACTGAATTCACAGGAGGATGAGTGTAAGTATGAGAGGGGCCTCGCAGCGGAGCCGATCGCTCAGTCATCCTTCCCCGCTTTGTCGCGGAAGAAAACACGGTCGCGTCTCATTAACAAAGCACGTGATGGTGGCACACGGGCGCCAATGACGACCACGTGGATGCTTATTCAAGCGGATGAGCGCTTAATCCGGCTGCGGCGGCGCGTGGCGTGTTTATGTAATCAGGTCACGGCGCGTCGACGCGTCGCGTCGCGTCTTGTTGAATTGTTGATCGCACCAAACAACGCGACAACAACCCACCTGTATAAAGACACCTGCCTCTCCCTCTCTCCTTCCCTCCCCACCGCTCGCCAGCGACCTCACACACTCAGACCTCCTCATCTAGGCTCACATAGCCTCTTCTAAGGCCACTCTTATCCCCGCATATTATCTTCACAATGTCTTTCGCTGGAATGAGCACTCCCCCTCGCGTCGCATCTCCTGCTCCCACCCCGAGCAAGAAGGTGTGTAGTGTGTCTTCACGCGTCTTCTCACGTGTTGTTGGAGTTTCATCTAATATTTGTTGGGAAGGCTGCGGCTGCTATTGATGCCCTTTCACTCACGACACCTACGAAAACCGACAAGCTCCCTGCTCTTAACCTTATAGACGATGAACGTCTCTCCCGGTCGCCGGTGTCTCTTGCAGACGAGGAGGAGCAAGAGAAATACGACCCTGAGCTTGAAGAGCTTCGGAAGAAGTGGATTGGTGAGGTTGAGCTCCCCGAACGTGAGTAACTTCAACATGGACGCGTCGCGACGCGTCGTGCTCACATGACCGCGCAGATATGGAGCCATTGTTGATAGAGTCTAAGCGCCGCTTCGTTCTCTTCCCCATCCAATACCATGAGGTGCGTTCTTGACCATCCAGGCGATGAACAATGGTCCTTACTATTTGGGTATAGATCTGGCAGATGTACAAGAAGGCTGAGGCCTCCTTCTGGACGGTTGAGGAAATCGACCTCTCGAAGGACCTCCACGACTGGAACAACCGCATGAATGACAATGAGCGTCATTTCATCTCCCACGTCCTCGCTTTCTTCGCCGCGTCCGACGGTATCGTCAACGAGAACCTCGTCGAGCGGTTCTCCAACGAGGTCCAGGCGGCTGAGGCGCGTTGCTTCTACGGGTTCCAGATCATGATGGAGAACATCCACTCTGAGACGTACTCCCTGCTCATCGACACCTACATCAACGACCCGAAGCAGCGTGAGCACCTTTTCGACGCGATCGAGACCATTCCTTGCATCAAGAGGAAGGCGGATTGGGCACTGCGGTGGATCTCGGATCAGCGGTCGAGCTTTGCGGAGCGCCTTGTCGCGTTCGCAGCGGTCGAGGGCATCTTCTTCTCCGGCTCTTTCGCCTCCATTTTCTGGCTGAAGAAGCGTGGCTTGATGCCCGGCCTTACCTTCTCGAATGAGCTCATCAGCCGCGACGAGGGGATGCATACCGACTTCGCTTGCCTCTTGTTCTGCCATCTCAAGCGCCGCCCGCACCCTGACGTCGTCAGGCGTATCATCGCTGAGGCCGTTGCTATTGAGCAAGAGTTCCTAACTGGTGAGTATCTGCGGTTCTCGTGTTGGATGCGATCCTGATGACGGCCCCTAGATGCGCTCCCCTGTGGGCTCATTGGTATGAACTCGACGTTGATGTGCCAGTACATCGAGTTTGTCGCCGATCGGTTGCTCGTCGCACTGTCGATGGAGAAGATGTACGATGCAACGAACCCCTTCGACTTCATGGACATGATTTCGTTGCAAGGCAAGACGAACTTCTTCGAGAAGCGTGTCTCCGACTACGCCAAGGCGGGCGTGGCTGCGTCAGCAGCGAGTGGCAAGTCTGAGGTGTCGGTGAAGAGCTTGTACGTCGCCTTCCTTCTTGTGACTCCGACAGCGAGCTGACAGTGTTTTCACAGCTCTCTCGAGGAGGACTTCTAGGGGATTCGTCGACGTTGTAGCCACTTATTTTATTCACTCACATCCTATGCTGTCATCACCATCCCCACGGACTCTGGCTCTCATCACTACTGTGTCGATTCACTAGATTGTTGTCATTAGCATGCATGTCATTACGAAGATGTACTCCTACGATGTATCATTGTCTATAATGCACTTTATTATCATCATCATTCAGGAGCGGTTCCTCTGACCGGAAGGTTTGACTTGTGAAGCTATAAGCGTCTGTCAGATGGTTCAACCAAGTCTTCTGTATGTCCAACATCATGATCCACCGATACCGCCGATGGTTTGTGTAGGCAATATTGGCGAGAACCGTTCGCAGGGTTCAGGCTCAAACCTTGAAGCCTGAAGAGCATTTCATATTCAGTACGTCCTGTACTCAGACTTGCGTGAGGTAACCTCGAAACACCAGGGACGCCAAACGTATGATAAAATGGGGGCATTATTGCGAGCCGGCGTTGGAAAATACTAGTAGTACACGTCATACGCAGTAAACCTGCTCTCCAGATAGCCAAGGTAGTAGTAGTACGCACGAGTTCACCTCTCCTTCTTTGACTCGTCGACGGGCTCGTTCCGCGAGGGTGGCGAGACCAGCAATGCAGCGCGCTCCTCGCGGATCGACATGACAATGTATGAGACCAAGACCACGTTCGCAGCTACGATGGCTGTGATGGCGGCGAGGACGGTGTTACCTGCGAACGCGGATGAGTACGAAGCGAAGTGGCTCCCGTGCACGACGCACCATCCCAGAGATAGTCTTTAGAGAGGAAGTATGACGATATTGGGGCAGTCGCCAGTGCTGCTGCGAAGATGAGCAGCTTGACGAGGATGCCACTGGAGATTCAGCACACTACGTCAGTGCTGGTACATTTCGGATGAATTGAAGGGCGCACCTCTGGCGAGCGGCCTGACCGGCTACGTTCGCTGCTGCTACCTGTCCACTCATACGGGAGCTCTGGATATGGAGTACTTTGCGAACAAACTTTACAGAACAGGTGGTTGTCCTGGACCCGGAGAAGCTTGCGGCTGCCAGGAGCCAGAGCGCGCCACCGACGCGGGAGAGATCTGAGATCCTACCATACACGATCGAGTTACCGGTGTGGCGGATGCCACGACCTCCACTGTCCGACCCCCTCTAGCTAGGCTTGACCTTTCTCTTCTTGCCTTTCTCCCACCCACGGCAGCTTCGACTCACTGAGGGCTAACTGCTTCTTTGTTGGAGGATAAAAATCGCCACTGCATCCGTGACTAAAGTCTCGCTATAGCGGGATGCATCGCGTCCGTGCGTCGACCCCTTCGTCGCCCTCAAGCCGTGCCTTCCCCGAAAGTCACCCCGAACCTATACCCGAGAACGAGGAGACAAAATCTGTAGAGAAGAATTCTGAAACAAGTGTCTCCCGATGGCGGACTTGGTTACATCTGGAGCCGTCTGAATGGGACATCCTCATAGCCTCGACGTGTCTGAAGCTCTTGCTCTTTCCCGCATAGTGAGCCGGCCATTCGTTGTGCTGCACTGTGTCTCACTCATTCATTGCATTATGCAGTAGGTCGACTGACTTTGAGGTACATCGAAATTGGCTGGCCATCACACATACCCTGCCAATATCCAAATGGTACTATGATGTACGTTCGCGTCTCATCTACATTGAATACGTCTTATGCTATTCCCTCGGATGTAGACTACATCGGAATGGAGTGAGTGCAATACATCTGCATGCGAATCTTGGTTGTAATGCAAGTTCCTGGCAGCGCTCGACTACCCGCCCTTCTTCGCCTACTTCGAGAAGCTCATGTCTATTCCCGCATACTTCATCGACCCACGCATCGTCGACTTAAACAACCTGAACTATGATGCGTGGTCGGTCATCGCATACCAGCGAGGTACTGTCATATTGACTGAGCTCGTCCTCGGAGCAGTCCTTCTGAGGTACTCGTGAACACTTAACTACAATTGAAGCGAAGTGCTTACGTCCATTTAGGTTTGTGAGAGGAGCGGTAGATCCGACTACACAACGAATCATATCCGCCTCGTTGTTCCTGCACCCTGGCTTCCTAATTGTAGACCATATACACTTCCAGTATAATGGGTTCATGTTCGGGATCTTGCTGTGGTCCATTCTCATGGCTCGTGAGGTATGTGCTGAGTCCCCTGGCGGAACAGCATCCGACATTCCACACAGGACAACAAACTTGCCAGCGGCTTCCTGTTCGCCGTCCTCCTCAACTTCAAGCACATCTATATGTATCTCGCCGTACGCCCTCGACGTCTCCTCTCTTCTCATATCGTACTGAGGTCTAACCCATTTTCTAGCCTGCATATTTTATTTATCTCCTACGATCCTTCTGCCTCGCGCCTTCTGGTGCCCTCCTTCCTGCGCGGTTTATCTCCCTTGCCAACGCCGTTATTGGTGTCTTCCTCGTCTCGCTTGGCCCTTTCCTTCTCATGGGCCAGCTCCCGCAGCTGCTCAGCCGGTTGTTCCCGTTCACGCGTGGGCTGAACCATGCGTACTGGGCACCAAACGTCTGGGCGCTGGTTACCGCAGCTGATCGAGTATTATTGAAAGGTGGGTTCTGTGGCCCCGGCATGAATGTGTATATCAATGCTTATTTCAATGCTGCTAGTTGTGAAGCGCGGTGCGTTGGACATGACGTCGGTCAACGAGTCGGGTGTCGCGTCAACGTCCCGCGGACTGTCGGGACACCGTCTTCGCCGTTCTTCCGAACGTGAAGCCTATCCACACATTCATCATCACGATCGCTTTCCAAGCTGTGAGTTCGCCCAAATCAGAGCTCGTGGCTGATAAGAATGTGCCCCTTGATGTGCTGTGGTAGATTTACTTGATCAAGCTCTGGCGCGCACCTACGTACAAGTCGTTTGTGACCGCTCTCACCCTATGCGGCTGGGCATCTTTCATGTTCGGCTGGCATGTTCACGAGAAGGCAATTTTGCTCGTGCTTGTACCTCTCAGGTGTGGCTTCAGTGACCTGTCCTGCTGAAGAGCGACAGAGGCTGACGAACGGACAGTCTCTAGCAGCAGACAATCACGCGTACTTCAGGACATTCATGATAGCCTCCGTGCCGGCGTGTTCTCGCTGTTCCCATTACTATTCACTCCAGCGGGTGGGTCCTCTAAAGTCTTCCTCCGGGTAGGCGGGTAACTCACACGAACGTGCACAGAAACATTCGTCAAGGTAGTCTACTCAACGCTCTGGGCGGTGCTCACGTTGGCTCCGCTCCACAGTCGAGTATACGAGTGAGCCGCACGCTGAATACGAGATGCGTTAGGTCGCTCATACACGTTCCGTCGCAGGTTCCCGAGGTCCCTGCCCTTCGTCATCATCGACAGTCTAGAAAAGGTCTACCTCGCAGGTTTCCCCCTCCTTCAACTGTTCGTCACGCTCTTTCCTGTGTTGACCAGCCAACGGAGCGGTGCGTCGCCAACGCCTGGCGCCGATGCTGAGGTGCAAGTGGAGGGGGACAAGGCCCTAGAGTTCCTGCCGTTGATGCTGACGAGCGTGTATTGCGCTGTGGGTCTTGTGTGGGCATTTTTGCGACTGTCTGTGATCTACCTACGGCAACACTATTGATGCAGCGGCGAAGTAACCCGAAGTTGTCGTGCATGACATTGATGAAGAATCTATGCACACGCAGTCTGACCCGCCTGACATAGGTTCGAGACAGTGCTCGATGTGATCTATGTCATAATGTCTCGGATAATGACCACTACTTATTCCCGGTATACGATTTTCATGGCAAATAATGAGGTGATATAGTAGGCGTTTGTGCGTCGCAAACTATGGCAAGCGGTGGTATGAAGAAACACCACCCGCCTCAAACAAGGACACTGTTCTCTATCCCACAACGAAGAGACCTATGTACAAGATGAGCCGCAAAGGGCAGTCTTGTAGAGGCGAAGGGCAACGTTGTGGTGAACGAATAGAGTCCGTGCGCACAAGACGCGCCCTTTTATGTCGTCGCTGAGCCTGCCTGCCACGTGGTCGATACCTTCGATCGCGAACGCCGAATGATGCACACCGACTGGCAGCCACAACCTACCCGCAAGCGCGCTCACCGAGTACATACTGCCCCTCGCCTCGCCTACATTACTCCCGACTGCCCTTCTCCCTTCTACCGTCATAGATGCCAGCGACGTCCCGCACCTCAGACTTCCGCCAATTGCTGAAGGAGAAGGAGAATGTATTCCCCGACCCAAAGCGACGCAAGAGATCGAAACGCGCCTCCGCGGACAGACAACGGGAGAGCGACGACCTGTTCAATAGGCAGTACATTAATGATGCCTACTCTGTGGTATGTTTACACCCATGGTACCCTCTGGGGTCCTCGTGCTCATCTCACGACAGCTGAATCACATCAACTCACTGGCGCGCATGCTTTCGTCCATACGAAAGGCATACCTGAATGCCGACCCACGGCATACACCTTTGTCACGGCAGTCTCCACGAACGATAGACCTTGGCTCCTCAGACCAGTCTTGGTCGAACATCAAGTATCTCTCAGACGCGGAGCGGGACCAGATTGACCTGCAGGCCAGAGTCATCCTCTCGAGGTGCTCGGAGCGAGCGAAAGAGCTTGAGGCGGTGGAGAAACGTAAGATATCCTCTACGCCTCTCTTATGCTACGAGTGCTAGATACGACTAAATCAGGCCGTGCGGAACTGGTCGCAAGCCGCAAGAACCCCCTCACCAGACTGCTGCCCGCACGTCTACGGCAAGACGACTCCACCGCTGCGTCCGACTTCATTGCCGCGCACCACTCTAGCATAACGTGGTATCTCAGCCGGCGACTCGCAGACGCCAGTCAATCCCTCAAGGAGATGCAGGAGGAGCGGATGAAGCGACAGCTGGATCGCACGCGGACGCTCGGCTCGGGAGCGACGCGCGAAGCGATGTACATGGACATGTCCTCTTCGAAGCCCTCCCCCACAGAATCATCAGGGAGTGGCAGCTGGCTCGGCGGCGCGTCGAATCTCGCGTCGAGCTTCGCCGCGAGCATGGGCTCGAACGACGCGTATGGCTCAACGGCGACTATCAAGCCGGGCACGTCCTCGCTCCCAGACGACCTCCTCGACGACACGGATGAGGAGGAACTGGAGCTGACGCAGTCGCAAATCATGCAGTTTGAGACGGAGAACGCGAACATCTTGCAGTCGGTACAGGACACACTCGCGTCGGTGCAGCAGGCGGAGTCACGCTTGCTGGAGATCAGCACGCTGCAGGCGGAGCTCGTCACGCAGCTGACGCGACAGACAGAGCAGACGGAGCAGCTGTACGAGGACGCTATCGCCACCGCGTCGACGGTGGAGAAGGGCAACGTGCAGCTGAAGGAGGCGAGACGGAGAGCACGGGACAGCAGGAAATGGATCTTGATGTTCCTTATCGGTGCCAGCTTGTCGCTGCTATTCTTGCACTACTACTGATTCACTATGCATTGGGACCGCTGGATCGCACATTCTGTAGACATAACATATATCGCACGGGACTCATCGAATTCCTCCACTATATGTACCCATTGTCCGTGATACCTTATTCGTACAGATACAGTGCACAGAACTAACTCTACTCAGAGACATGGCGAGTCTAGGATCAAGTAGAGGGGTGATCATCGCGCGTGCCCCAGGAGCGGAGCACCTTCCTCTGCATCCTCGACAGCCTCCTCGATGGCTTCAGCAGCCAGCTCCTCCACGTCTGTAGGGATACCCTGCAAGCGGCGGATCTCCGCTTGCATGGCGCGATAGACGATACTAGGAGCAAAGACATGAGTATCATCTTCCACGTCTTTAGATGTAAGGACGTACACGCTCGCTGATATCCCTAGCAGCGTACCTCCCACCGAGAGTCCGACATTCAGCCACTTGGTGGCTACGAGATATGAGCATATCACGCATAGCACCATTCAGGAGGGACCGGACGTACAAGCATCCATGTGGCTTCGGGTCTCGCCGTCCGATAGCGCTGCGAGGCGTGAGCCCACGAAGACCAGCAGAGCGACCTTCGGGAAGACGGCGAAGGTCGCGATGCAGAACTGCCATAGAGCCACCGCCCGAATGGACTACCGGAGCTCCGTGAGCCTTCCTCGGGCTACCATTCGCCAGGGAATAGACTCACAGCAAACAGAGCGTTCGAATACACCCATGGCGGGAAGGGTGACGCACGGATGAGCGTGATGAGCGGCAGGCCCTTCGCATCCTATCAGAACGTTCGTGAGCAGCTATCAGGTGGCTGCGAAAGGGTGGGAGAACGCGTACGACGACAATCTCGAGGGCCTGCCATTTCTCGTTAGAAGAGGACCATTGGTGAAGTCTCCGACTAAACAACAGTCGCAGGACGATGAAGCAGAGGGCAGAACCGAGAAGCGATCCGGCGGCTGCGAGAGGAAAGCCCTTCATTCCATACGCGAAGCCGCATAGGGTACAGACAGTGGAATGGCCTATGCAGGGCGGGAACGAGATGACCACTGCATACCTGCTTAGCTCCGTCATGCTTGAACATATAAATACGAGAGGACGAACCTAGCACAGCCAGCAGAATCAGCCCGCCATACCACAAGTGACTGATCTTCTGTGCGAGATCATACAGCGCCTGGCCTATGCGGTCCGGACCGAACACAATGAACGTGGTCGGAATGGCAATGTAGATGGCCAGGGAACACAACAGAAAGAGCTATATATGCAGAGAACCAATTTTGAGGTCAAATATGGGTAAGGGAGGACATCAGTGAGCGGACTTGCCTTCCCGCGCACGCCCAGCTGGCGGTACCGTCTGAAGGCAGCATAGCCGTAGTGTTTGAACGTGGTTATTGCCCAGCCCACGCTGTAACCGCTTTGCGGTGCCATCCTGAATTTCCTGCTTACCTTTCACCGGGACAGACTTGAAGGAAGACGCAGGGTGAGATAGCGTGTTGGGAGGCGCACTGCTGTTCATTGCTGCGCTGCGGCGTCACGAGCGTTCACAAGGTCTATTTCGGAATTGCACCATCCTCCACCGGCTTTGACGGCTATATATCCTGGATTCCGCCTCCACAGGCACTCGGACAACATCTGCTAATCGGAGGTGTAGTGTGGGAGCACAGAGTGAGAAGTCATGGAGAAGTTCTCGGCATTTCGGGTACGCTACTTTTCGCAGACGCATCACTGTCGTTCGAATGTAACATCGCATGACCATAACTAGGATCCCGGAACAGGAATTCAGGTATGTTGCATCGCCATACACTTTGCTCACGAATGGCTCCTCAGTACACACCCCTCTAGCCGTTCCTGAAACCTGTTCCGCCCACAGGCAGTGAGACACTGACAGCCATCGCGCTGCCGTTTGGCTACGTCGTCGGTACTGTGCGGACATTGCTGGTACTGATATCGGGCGTGCTATATGTCGTCCTGGTTGAAGGAGTGTGCCTTGCTCTTGTGAGTCGCCTCAGGCTCGCATGCCTTCTCTACTCATATTCACGAGACCAGAAACCAGTGCCACCGCTACATCGAATCGTGACGCGTCTGTTTACCGCGTCATTGCACGCACAGTCCTCTTAATTCTTGGACTGCCATGGATCCCGGTCGAGATGGTGACCCGTAAACGAGGGTGAGCAGCCTTCTATCACTCATGGAACAGTCGCTGACATTAGTTATAGGAGGGGGTCCAAAGCACCTGAGCCATGGAGCCCTGGTGCAGGCGATATCATCGTGTCAAACTGGGCCTCGACCATTGAGATCCTATGGTTAGCATTCCGGTGTGCTTTTACTTTGACATTGCGCCATTGTCCACGACCTGACCAAATTGACCTCGTAGATACAACCCAACATTCGTGCTACCAGTGTATTCCGCTTCGACTTCCCGGAACCCAGTGCGCGTGTCTCCTCGCCCGTCGCCCGGACGCCCGGACGACGCACTGGCACCGGCTCCGCAGCCATATCTTCTCCTGCCGCTCGTGCCCCGACGCCGCGTGTGCCCATTGCAGGCTTCAAGCAGGTATCACTCTTTGGCATCTTGCGTGCCACCGGGCACGTTCCAGACGCTACACAGCCTGGCTCTCCGGGCATCAAGTCTCTGGAGGAGATTCGGAGCAACTCCGACCGTCCTGTCGTCGTGTTCCCGGAGTGCGCGACGAGCAATGGACGTGGTCTGTTGAGGTTTGCAGAGATCTTCAAGGGCGTCTCTGTCCCTGTGACGAAGTTCAAGGTCTTTGTTATGTGTGTTCGGTAAGCGTCCTAAGCTGTCATTCATGGGTATTCTGCTCACACGGACCATGCAAGCTATGACCCTCCGACTGCACTCTCGCCAACGATGACACACTCAATACCGTCTAACTCAATTAATCCCATACCGCAGCTCTTCTCGCTCACGACTTCTCTGGTGCCACTCACGATGTCCATACGCCTCCTCGCACCGTCAGAGTCACCGAGCTCCGGCTCGTTCCTTGCGAGCGAGTTCCTCACAGAGGGCACAAACGACGACTACCTCACCGAAGCGTGCGCATCACTGATTGCACAGATCGGCAAAATGAAGAGAGTTGGATTTGGTTGGGAGGACAAAGCCGCGTTCTTGGAATTCTACAACAGCAAGAAGTAGGCGATGACATTCCGGACCTATACGCGTACGACCACTGTCTACGAGATGCGATGTGTAACATTTTGCTCTGGCTTAGTACGGACACAGGGGATTTGTGTGTCACTGGCGGAAAGAGTAACAACAAAGTGCATTGCTCCACAAGATTGAGTGTAGGGATGGGCCAGCATACGACGCCAGTTGAAGGACAATGCTTGTGAGGCATCGACGGCATATCTCTCCAAATACACCTTGAACAGTGACAGAATCCGTATTGCCAAGGGGGGGACCTCAGAGCGATCCAGTGGGTGCCACGCTATTCGCATTCAATGACGCGTCCTTTGTTTTGCCATCCTCGGCCAATTCTCCAGGTTCCACAGACCCAGCCCGAATCCTGCGTCCTATTGGCCGCTCGTTGAGGATATAAAATGACGAGCATTTTCCACCATGCTGGTGTTGTGTCTTGCGGGGCTTCGTCCACGGATGTCATTGTGGTGATTGTGCTTGACATAATATGGCTTTCGATCTGCCTGCACGGACGGCTGCCGTCCGGGAGAGCAGGACCGCATCCTGCCGGCCTGAAGCAAAGGCTCCGCTTGACGGATATGATCGTAGTCCTCCTAGCGAGCGAGTCATGAGCGCATGAGCCATGAGCGACGTAAACACGACTTCGAGTCTGTCGATGCTTGTACTAACCAAGGACATGACACGGACTCGACAGTTCATCAACTCCTTGCCATCCAGCTCTGCGACCGCGTTGTCTGCGAATTCTTTGCTCTCGTACTTGATGAACCTGTCACCCGTTGTCAAACGCTGTCCGCTCACTGTAGCCTGAGGCCAAGACAAGAATGCACCCTATTCTTCTGTTAAACTTGTTTATCTCGCAATAAGCAACGCTGCCAGCGCGACGTCCGAAATCCTTCAGTTCCTAGAGGCGGTATTAACGCTGCACGATGAGATCAGGAAACGTCATATTTGCCTGCCAACATGTCTCTTTGTTGAGATAAGTCACCACAACCGTGTTCTTGCTGTGAACGGACGTCGAATATTCTCGCGACGCATGCGTACTGGTCGAGCTACGTCTTGCATTCCGTGTAATGCATCGGGATCAGAATACTTACCGAGGATATCCGTTCGCCTTGATCGTCTCGGCATTTGGCGGTTTCGCGCGAGGTGTAGTATCTTGCAGTTTTGAGCGAGGAACGTACATTGAAACCCTAAGTTCTTCGGCGACGATGTGTTGAGAGGTTACGCGGATACGTGAGATGGCACCATGATGCATACCGGCTCCCAAGAAACGACGCTTTCCGAGCACAGAGACAACATCCTGCTTGCTGTGAAGAGCATGTTGGTTGTTTCTTTCGCGTCGCAACGTACCAGGGCATCCTGTGATCCGTTCGTCATTACTGGTTCAAGTATGCGTCGTAAGAGATTGCGTACCTTGTCAGACTCGAATCTGACGATGGCGAAACCTGTGTCGCGGCTCAGCTCCATATATCAAGAAGCGGTTGATAGTAGTGGATTGTGCTTACCAGCCTTCACTGTCAAGTCCACTATAGGCCCGTAAATGGAGAGGTGCTAGACAAGACATATGTTGTTTTCATGTTTGAGCGAGACAGACCTCATCTACTCACTTTGCGGAGATCGTCCTCGTCGATATCCTTTGGCATTTCTGCTGTACGTTAGAGATCACGCTCACTCAACGCGACCCGGAAGGTGAGCTTACTGCCGAAGTAGACGCGACTTTCAGCAGCCATGGCGATCACAAACAAGCACCCGACCGACAGAGACAGCGAACAGGAGCAGCACGGAGAAGATGGAGAATCAGGACAAGGTGCACGAAAGCTTGGAGTGAGGCCTGTAGAGGCCATGCTGCTTCGTTCACTACCTGTCATTGAGCCTCCCAGAATGGCAAGTGCCGCATACAGGCGATGTCCATTCCCGCCGCACTGCACAGACCACGCTTGAGCTCGTGAAGGAGAATTGAACCAGACAGGCATCGCCGTTGTTCACTATCAGGCCACAACGGTGTCTCACTGAAAGTATCTTTGATTGGGACAGAACAACAATTGAGCAACAACACAACACATTCGAGTCTGCGCATCGAAACATCGTCCATCAGTTGCCAACACTGAGAGACGAGAAAGACAAATGCACGTACCTAGTGCTACATCATATAGGTACATTGGCAAAGATACTGTCTGTACACAGCCTTCAGAGTCTCGCCCTCGGCTTCACGATCTCCCGGAACGCCCGCCGCAGGTCCTTCTTCATATCCTGTTTTCCTCAATTGTTGAGCACGTTGGGAAACCAGCACATACACTCTGGAACGAACCTCAAGATCCTCAACACCGCAACTGATACGAACCAATCTCGGGTCCGCACCAGGGTCAACCGTGCTACGCTGCTCAATGAGGGACTCAACCCCTCCCAAACTCGTCGCAGGCTATCAGCATAGTCAGCGTTCGCTACCCCGCCCCACGACCGAAACACTTACTACGAAGTATTCCAGCGAGTGCGGAAGTAGACGAGCATACTCTGGATCCTTCAACTGAAGCGCAACATGAGCAAGCGAATGGACGAGGTTCACAGATGACCCACCAGAATAGCGAACGTAGGGTTCCATCCCCCCTCCAGCTGAACGCTGGGCTCAAAACCTCGGCCGTCCTTCTTCTGCAGACTCGAGTGCCACACGGTGTCAATGACACCGGCAGGGATCCCGTCGAAAGCCTTGCCCTGATATCGTAAGGGCGGGTCAGAGTTATCACATTAGGGTATGCGCGACATGACCTACACCAGCAGCCTGACTTAACCAGCGAGCCAGCCCCTTAGCATTCTCCGACTGGCGCGGTACGCGGAGGTGTAGCGTACGGAGGGAGCGCAGGAGCAGCCACGACTCGAGGGACCCCATCATAGACCCAAGGAAGGTGCGATGCGTCCATAACTGTCCGAATATAAAGACAAAGAAGCGAGGTCGTCAGCGGGATGTCTGAACCCGAGGGGGGGGAGATATGATGCGGCGCGAAGATGCATACGCCCACACACAGAGAAACTTCCATCACGCTATGTTCCCCGATACGCGCAACGGGTTATGTAGATAAGTATCTTCTGTGCGACGAAGGTTTCGTGCGACGAGAGTGGCTTGATCGATCGTATCACGTAAATCGAACGTACCGTCTTCCAGTCGGCCTCGGTTGGTACGATGAGGACACCGCATAGCAGATCCGAGTGTCCGCCAAAGTACTTCGTTCCTGAGGATGATCCTTAGCGCTGTCAGCGGTAGTCAAGGAACGTTGCACATTACCACTGTGCATAACCATGTCCGCGCCCCATTTGAATGGATACTGAAGGGGTGGTGGGGCGAAAGTCGAATCCACTATAATTTTTGCACCGGCAGCATGTGCCTGCACGTATCGGATAAAATCAGCACTAGTCGAGAAACGACCCTTGGGCCGGTGCTCAATACCGTACTTTTTCAGCATAATACTTGATATCTCTGATTGGGACGTTCAGTATAGAACCACGTGGTAAGCGTGAATATGCAACACTTGCCTCGCTTCTCCGGTAGGGTTCAGAGGTGTTTCGAGCCAGCAGAGGTCACCCGGTTGGTAGTCGTCGTCTAAACCGATGAGGGGAAGATCGCCGCCTCGGCTGTGCTTGTACACCTCAATGGTATTATGGCATCCATGATATCCGCCCGTAATAGCGATGCGCTTTGGGTGGAAATACACTAACGCCTTCGGGAAAGAGGTGAACAAAGCTCTGAAGAGCTATCATCAATCGGGTTAGAGGCACACTTACTGCATATGAAGCCGCTAGACCGGACGCGTACGTCAACGCAAGTCCACCCTGGACACGATCTATGTATCAGCTGGGTGCCTGGAAGCGAGTGGGTAGCACTTACGTTAATCTTACTGAGAACCCTTTCGGCACGCGTACTGACATCCTGAGTATAGCGGGAGTAGACATGCCTCTCCGGGCTGCGGAAATCCATGCTGTCTGTGTTAATAGGCGTGTTGTCCGGGGGTAAAGGAGCCCTGAAAGCTGGTCATACATTAATCCCCGTAGCTGGGACAGTCCTCTGGGTAAGACCTACTCGTCGTGACTGAAATGGACGCCGCGACCTCTCTGCCGTGCACTAGTTCGTCATCGGCGTGGACGAGCTCCGTCCCAGTGAGTTTCGGTGCAGTTTTGGGTGCCATGTTGAGATCGTATACGATGGAGAGACGTAGTAGCAGGCTTTTATGTGTCGCTGGCTCAGGCGTCCGAGAAGGATGAGTCCAAGTTGAGTCAGAGCGCAGTCGTGGTTCGATCAGGCAGTCAAGCCGACGGACTCACGGAGCGGAGAAACGCGCCCCGATCCCCGAAGACGCGATCTTACGCGACAGCACCCAGCACGTGATCCCGACGCGTCCCCACGGCATGTTCGTCGTTCGAGTTGAACTTTCAACGCCACCGCATCTCTTCCATCCTCTCTCATCTCCTCCTCATCGTGCCCGCATCCACGACACCTCACGCCCTCAGGCAGGCCTGTCTTTACTCACTCTGTCATCTGTCCAATACTTCTCTGTGTCTACTTGTCTCTTCTGAGTTTAGAACAGCAAGATGCGCTTGACCTTCATCGCCGGCGTTGTCCTCGTCTCGGTCGGACTAGTGCCGCTTATGACCACGACTCGTGCTGCCGATATCAGTGCCTTCCAAAGCTCTCTGGAAAGACGCTACACGACCCCTCACTCTCTCGGCAACAGCTACCAGTTCGACCCTAGGGATGGATGGGAATCTGTCAACATTACGAATCTGCAATACAAGTACTCTCCATCCCAGATCGACGATAACGAGGAGGAACTGGACGGACCTGTAGTACCGCATGCTCACCAGCGGCGGTCGAGCAAGAAGACCTCGAAGAAGACCGCGAAGAAGACCACGAAGAAGACTACGAAGCAGACGGGCACCAAGAATGCCTCGAAGGCCGCAAAGACCACTTCGGCTTCCAAGGGCGTCAGCGGCCTGGTTGGGTCTGTCAAGTCTATCGTCGACACCATGAAAGCTGTTGGAGACCCAGAGCCTGTCACGATCACCTGGTACACTGGCCATGATCTGGAAAACCCGAGCTGTTGGTCGAACCCTACCTGGGCACCTACGGTATATTATGAGTCTTGTATCACTTGCGTTTCTTGCAAACATCCGTGTTTACAGGATAGCTCCATGGCTTGTGCGATCACACTGGAGGGCTGGGAAGGTCGCCCTCAGTGCTTCAAATTCCTTGAACGTAAGCCCGCCCCAGACTGGTATGCGTAGATAGTTACTCACACTTGTTCAGTCTGTCAAACAAACCAGAAATGTGTCTTCGTGCGCGTAGTCGACACCTGTGCAGGCTGCGCCCCTGGTTCGAAGCACGTCGATCTCACCAAGGCTGCCTTCTCCTCTCTTGCGGACCTCACCGAAGGGACCCTCACCGTACAGATGCGTCCCGCGACTGATCCACTCGAAGGCTGGTAAGTGGACCTTTTCTGGCATGTGATGATGGCTGACATTTCGCTCATTCTCTGCAGGCTTGAACAACTCTGGGGGCCGAAGAACTGAGAAATGACCACCGAAACCAGAATCAGCGAAGAACGAAGACATTCACGGACTAAGCTTGCGCTGGCACGCACAAGTCACTACGAACACATCCATGGACAGCGTCTCCTACGATGTATTGATAGACACTAGATCTGTACTACCACCCTGTATTGTACTTTTGTCACTACGACCCGAGCATCCTAACGTCTCGAACACGGGCTACGACTTGATGGCCACGCGCTTCCTCTTCTTGCCCTCGGCGATTCTTTCCCTGACCTTCTCTTCGTCCATGCCTTCCTCCTCGTAGAATTCTGCAATCCGTTGTGCGTCATTCTGCCGCTTGATGTACTTGAGCGCGGCGAGGTTGTACGCGATCGTGTCCTTCTGCTTTCGCAGCGAGTCGCGGAGATGCTTACGCAAGGGAATGAGGGCAGTACGCATGATGCGGTTGGCAACGATCTGGTGATAATGTGTCTTGAGGAGGAAGAATATGATTCTGGACGTGAGGACAATGTTCCAGTCCTAACGCAACGCTCGTAAATCAATTGAACAGCAGACCAACCGGTGTGATAGACTCACCCTCTGCGCCCAAACGTTCAGATACATCATCAGGCTCACCACCTTCCCAAACGGCAGCACTAGCAGCGCATCATACAGCGCCGTCCCGGGCACTTTCTCCACGACTTTTAGCACGTACTCCGCCGGCTCGACATCATACGCAGCCAGCACCGGATTCCTCGGCGGCGGCGCGACCTGTTCGCCGAGCCCGCCCGCCGCCTTCGCCTCCTCGTACTCGCGCAGTGCCGCGATCTCCCCGTCCGCGAGCTCGAGCGCCTCCATGATCCGTTCGCCCGCCATCAGCGTCTCTGTCGTCTGCTTCGAGACGGCGGTCGCCTCCGCGCCCTGCGCAAGCGTGGGGTCCGCGTCGTCGGCGCCGCTGCCGATGGGGGCGTCGTTCCGGTTGAGCGTGTCGGCGATACCGGACTCGTAGAGTTGCTCGAGCTCGCGCTCGCGCTCTTCCTCGAGGAATAGCTAGGGTGCCGTGAGTTGGCAGTTCGAATGGACGGCGTGGACAATGACTCACCGGCTCGTCGAGCTTCTCCCACACTCGGATCGACTTGTCGTGCGAGCCCGAGACGACGAACTTGCCGGTGTTGCTGACGGCCAGCGCCCACACCTCTCCGTGGTGCCCGTCCAGCTTCTGGATATTCTCGAACTGTCGCGGGAGCCGTCAGCCAGTGAACACCTTCCGAGCCGTGTCGCGACAAACCTTGTCCCCATCCCAGTACTTCACCATGCGGTCTTTGCCTACCGTCCAGAAATAATGACTCGGCTTCGCATCGAACTCGCGGATGTCGTTCTTCTCGAACGCGACCTGCATCACGCTGTCGTCGTGCGCGAAGAGCGAACGGTGGCAGTCGCCGAAGTCGAGGCCCCAGATCTTGACGTTCTTGTCCGCCGAGCAGGTCACGATGAGTTTGCTGTCCGCGGAGATGTCCATGCTCAGCACTGGAAGCTATGTGACATCGAAAGTCAGTAACGATGGTATTGTGCGGGAGAGGGGATGATCGGACCTTATGGCCATACAGCGATAGGAAGAACTTGAGCGTGTCTTGGTAGAATACCTTCACAGTCGAATCGAGCAGCGCGACTGCCAAAAACTTGCCGTTCGGGCTGTACCGCACGCTGAGCACGTCGTCCGTCATCTTGAGCGTCCGGACGTGCACAAGCGACAGCAGTCTAGCACTTCGGGGCTGTCCCCTCTACGTCAGAGCAAATCCGCAGACACGAGGACATGAAATTCACATTATCGCTGTCCACAGGCTTCGACTCCAACTCCCAGAACTTGACGTCCTTGTCCGCACTGCCGCTGACGAGTGCGTGACCGTCTGCGCGGACGTGAATTGACCATACAGTTGATGTGTGTGCTTTGACGGTCTCGATGAGCGTCGAGGAGGCGACGTCATAAATGAGGATGTCTCCCGACTTCGTCCCCACTGCGACCTGTCGAACGTACAGATGAACACCGAATGAGTCTGTGTCTTCGACAAGCAGGAAACGTTGGTCGCACCTGTCGATCGCCAGGGAGGAAAGTGCTGCAAACCGCATGCCCGCACTCCATCGTTCGAATGCACGCCATCGTCTTCATATTCCAGATCTTCAGCGACCCATTTGAGCCTGACGCTAGCAGGCCATCGTCTGAGCTCAGGCACAGCGTCCTGACGTCCGTCCGATGACCTGGCAGGTCGACAGAGTAGACGCGGGTCGCCTCGGGCTGCGCGTCCTTGCTCTTCGTCGGTGGTGGGATGTTATACACCTCCAGCGCGTTGGAAGCCAGAGCTGTGAAAAGCTGCGTGGTGCCCTTCGCTCTTGAGACGTCGTCGTCGGCGAAGTCAAACGAACGGATTTTGCCCGACGCGCGGACGACCAGGTAAGGCGTGAACAAGTCGACAAGCTCGACCTCCTTGTCCTTGTCCTCGGCCTCACCGTCCACTTGCATCTCAGCGTCGTCGTGGTCGGCGGGCTTCTTACCCTTCGTTTGCTCTTTCTCCTTCTGCCGTTTACGGCGCCGCGCTTGCTTCTTCCTGATCTCATCTTCGGTGCGTATGCGGAAGAGCTCGACTGTGCGGTCATGCGATTGGACGGCGAGGTAGGGATGCGAAGGGTGGAAGGTAATTTGAGAGACGCGATGGTTGGAGGCTAATGGGAGGGGGGCAACTGCATGAATGAGCTTTGCCACCTGCAGGGCGTGTCAGGACATGCGTAAGTCATTATTTCGGACTGCCGTACCTCGCCATTCTCAGTTTCTCGCAGTCCTTCCGCGAGGGCCTCATGATCAATCCTCCACGCCTTGAGCTCGCCTTCACCACTGCCTGTGAATACGAGCTCATGTTTACTGTCCACATCTAGTGTCCAGATCTCGGAGCGGTGGGCGACGACAGTCTGTATGCAGTGCTGAGTACCAAGGTCCCATAGCTTAAGGAATGTATCCTTCGAGGACGTGAGGAGGTAGCCTGGAGTGGTTCCGGAGGAGGAGGATGGCTGTGAGGGAGACGCAGGGGTGATGAACCGTATGGCAGTGACTTGGTCTCGATGACCACGTAACCTGGTAGAGGTCAATACACTGAATCGCATGAAACAAAGTGCGACGTACCTGAAAAGGCCAGCCTCCCCAACGACATCCCACAGAATGAGGTCCGTGTCTTGCGAGCCTGACGCGAGTCTCGTACCCGCCTCGTCGAAAGCGAGTGAGGTGACTGCTTTCTTGTGACCGTTGAAGGTAGCAACAACAGACTTCTCCGAGGAACTCCAGAGTCGAATAGAGCCATCTGCATACCCGACCGCAAAGGTGTCTTTCTGTGGGGAACGAAGGATGCAAGTAACTTCCGCTCGATGACCTGTCTCATGCCACATTGCCAGCTACGATACGTGAGATAGTGAACCGCACCATACTGATCGCAGCTCACCATCTGGCCCTTCTTCACGTCCCATACCAAGATATCCTCCAGTGCGGGTACATATGCGAGCTTGCCGTCATAGTGTGAGTTTGAAGACGAGCTGCAAACGAGTCCGAAGGCCTGATGATCCTTCAGAAAACACAAAGAACGACGATCTTTTTCCGCTCACCTCTGTGGGCCCGTGTTTCAAGTAGCTCTGGACCATGGTGCTGAGCGCGACAGAGCAGAGGTCGCTCAGCCACAGTCGATCGCTCGGCCAATTACCAGGCACGCCCGCGAATTTTCGTGCTTCACACGGCCAATGAATTTGACGAGCAGCGTCAAATACGGGTGGCCGCGGGCCGCCTGCCGGGGACGTTATGCGGGGATGCGGTCGCGGCGTCCAGAGACGACCGTACCCGAGCACCCCGGCCATGATGATCAGCTCTGCTGCCCCCGAGGCCGCCACCCGCTTGCTTCAGTTCGTCAATGCCTCCCCGACACCCCTCCACGCAGTCACCACCGCCGCCATTCGCCTCGAGAAGGCTGGCTTTCGCAAGGTGGCGTGCATCATCGTGATCCATCTCGCTCGCACTGACACAATGTGTCTCTAGCTCAGAGAAAAGGACGACTGGGAGCAAGATCTGAAGGGCGGTGGCAAGTTCTATGTGACCCGGTGCGCGTACATCGACCGCCTGCCGCGCCCCACCGTGCTGATACCAAGCAGCAACCAGAGCTGCATCCTTGCCTTCACTGTCCCTCAGAAGTGGAAGCCTGGTGGAGGCGTCTCCATAGTTGCCACACATATTGACAGCCCCAACTTGAGGGTATGTGATCCTTTAGCTATCATACAATACTTCGCGCTAAGAACCGCTTTCCCAGGTTCGCCCAGTCTCCAAGAAGGCCAAGGTTGGATACCTGCAAGTCGGCGTGGAGACCTACGGCGGCGGTCTCTGGCATACCTGGTTCGATCGTGACCTCTCCTTGGCAGGGAGGATCATTCTCAAGGACGAGAACGGCGGCTTCACGTCCAAGCTTATCAAGATCGACCGTCCCCTACTGCGGGTCCCTTCGCTGGCCATTCACCGTGAGTCTCAATTTTCAGTCTGTGAAACTCGACAGAATTGACACGAGGGCAGTGGAGAGGGGCGCTGGAGACAGCTTCAAGTTCAACCAAGAGACGGAGATGCTGCCCATACTCGGCATGGCAGAAGAACAGCTTAATGCAGCCGCACAGAAAGCCTCCGCGGCTGAGGTGAAGGCGACAGGTGTTCAGGAGCAGCACCACACTGCTCTCTTGGAGGTCCTTTCGCAGGAGCTTTCCGTTGTGCTCGAAGACATTCACGACTTCGAGCTGTACGACCCCTTCTCACGCTCTCATAGAACGCTACTGAGACACTATCCAGTCACTTGTACGACACCCAACCGTCCCAATTCGGCGGTATCAAAAATGAGTTCATCTTCTCTCCACGGATGGACAACCAATTTTCTTCGTACACTATCCGCTCTTCACTCGCCATCGTCTACTGACCAGCCCGCACTGCAGCTTCTGCGCGCTCGACGCTCTCGCCGCCTTCTCCGCCTCACCAGCCTACGCCTCCTACGCCTCCTCAGCGACCAACAACGTCAACGCCATCGCACTCTTCAACCACGAAGAGGTCGGCTCCGTCTCCACCACCGGCGCGGAGTCTTCGCTGCTCCCCTCGCTGCTCTCCCGACTCTCGCCCACGCCGTCCGCGCTCGCGCAGACGATTGCGCGGAGCTTCTTGGTCAGCTCGGACATGACGCACGCAGTGCACCCGAACTACCTGAGCAAGCACGAGGAGAACCACGCGCCGCGCATTAACGGCGGCGTCGTGATCAAGACGAACGCGAAGCAGCGGTACGCGAGCGACGCCGTCGGGCGGTTCCTGCTCAAGAAGCTCGTCGAGAGGCGCGGCGGGAAGGTACAGGAGTACGAGGTCCGCAACGACATGTGCGTCCGCAGTTCCCTCTTGAGGCTTACTTGTTGCTGAGACTCACCGTCTGCGTGCGTAGGGCGTGCGGATCCACTGTCGGCCCCAGCCTGTCGAAGATGGGCGTCCGGACGATCGACATCGGCTGTCCGATGCTGTCCATGCACTCCATCCGTGAGACTGCGGGCACGCACGACGTGCAGAGCATGATTGACTTGTTCACGTCTTTCTTTGAGGGTTTCGCGGAGCTCGATGCTGAGCTCGTAGTGGATTAAATCATGGAGTGTACAAGCTAAGATACATCTGGCACCGGACAATCCAAGCAAAGAATACATGCAGCAGTCGGACGTCGTCTACACACATGGGTCACGGTCGAAGTGATAGCATGTGCAGCCCTAGCAAAGTCGGGAGCGGTGTAAGCCAGTAAGATGCACATCACACCTAGTGGAGATGATGTGCAGATACATCAAACTATCGACGCGCTTTCTTTTTGGGCTGCTCCGAATCCTCTGCCCTGGTCAACGGCGTGAAGGCCAGTCAGCAATGACCGCTTTTTTGCTGTTCTCGAGTAATGTGCGAGAACCCATTCGCGTTCTGCCTCCGTCTGCTCGATCGTGCCTTGTCGGATCTCGTACGCTGAGTACACGGTAAGTTAGGGAACGGAGGTGATGAAGAGTGAGAGGCGCACGTTTCATCTCGAACCGCGGGCCAACCTCCGCGAGCTGCACTTGGCGTGGCGGGATTTGACGAAGACATGATGCCTGCCAGACGGTCAGTACGCACCGTTCGATACGTCCGGAGCGCTACGCACCGGAAGGAAATAATCGTCATCATTTGAAAACGTCATCACCCGCTTGCTGTCTTCCTTCGGTACCGGAAAGAGATGCTTGAGGACGTCCCGTATGCGCTCGCCCAGCTGTGAGCTGAAGTTTTCGAAGATGAGGTGAGGGTATTGCTCAGAGACGGTGGACTCCTTGTAGGTGCTGATATCGTGCCGGAGCTGGACGTTGTGTAGCGTAAAGAATACAGTGGGCCCATGGGGAAGGTGGGAGACAATCATCGCATCTGAGTGACCATGCTGGCGTCAAGGTAGAGCCCATGCTGAGGAAGAACTACGACGCACCTGGGGTACCGCGATGCTCATGCAGAATGACGAGGTCCGTAACGTCGTTGGCTCTGCACGCCTCCGCGAGCTCCTTCATAACATAGTTTCCTCGGTTCACTCGATGCGAGTTCGGGAATACGAGCCGCATCTCCTTTGCGAACTGCTGCAACTTCGAGCTCGGGTCGCGAGACGTCGTGACGATGATTTTAGGGTCTTGAATCCCAGCCATTGAGTACTCATTATCGATATGCGTCGTCGGGTCTGTCAATATGCAGTCGCACGAAGGTCAGAGCTGGCATGAAGGCGAAAGGGCGCAATGCGCACCAGCCTGAGCCTCATCGAACGCTAGGTCCTTCCCCAAACTTTGTGCATGCTTCCTCATTCTGTCGGAAGAGCCTTGCCCGCCGCGAGCGCATCCTTGACCTTCTGCTTCCGCTCGTATGTCTGTCGTTCTTGAGCCTCTACAGACTTTGCATAGATGTACTGGCGGCGCTCACGGGTTTGCCGACGGATCTAGTAGTGTGTCAGATACTTATCGCATGTTAGAAAGGGATTTCGAGAAGTCTGACCATCGTGATAGAGCGTTCTCAAATAACGGCTACTGTGGTTTGCACTTGTCGGGTCTTCTTGATCGCCACAACGGTTGGTCTGGTGAACGTGGGTGACTAACTTACAAGTTGAAGTGTTCTGCCAGGCGCAGAAAATTCGACCGATCGTGGTCAGTGTTGTCGTGATAGGCGCCCTGAGCTGTTACTTACGTAAGACCGATCGTTCAACCTGTTGTCTGACAGAGCGCCCATCTTATTGCTCCCGGCCTTAGTACGCCCTAGTACGCCACACCAACATGATACATACTCGTAACTACACCTCTGCTACTGAGTTATGGCTGAAATGCACCCCAAGCCTGAGTGTAATGGCTTGCGCTACGATTTGAAGTAAATTAACACCATGCAGAAACGACACGGAGAAGTAGTACACCGTGCTGCTGTGAAAATTCAGTGTTCACGAAGTTTACTATCACATGTAGCGTTCTGTGTACGATTTCTAGCAGCTGACAGCTTTTCGGCGTTGCTCTGCAGTTATTCTCTAAGTCGTCGTGCCATCCCTCTCGGCCTAACACCACATATTGGTTTAACAGTGACTGCCGCCCTGATAACCTTTCGTACGATCTGGATCTCTGATGGGACTCGACTTGGCCCTTCGCTCTAGGCTTGTCTGCGCCTCCGCGGCTGCGTTCCAGACGGCGGCCTGTCTTGTCCCTCAGTGCCATCCGTCAGTGTCTCCCTGTATCACCCGAGGGGCATGGGCGCATCAGGTCGGATTGCCTCTGGCCTCCAGCCAGACTGTTCTATCCTACCATATTCGTCGAGTGCGCCTCCTTATGACACTGCGCCCTGCTTCTGGCCTTCTTTCCAGCCCAAACCAGATCCTTTCATCGCGTCGAGAGTCTTCGGAACTACAGACACGATGACGCTGACCTGCTCAAAGTCAGGCAACACCGAGGGATAATTAAGAGTATATAAGAGGATGTATCGCTCTGGTGTGCTCACCATACATCGAGCACTCAGCCTCATTCACATACCAAGTACATCCTCGTACTCTTCTCTCTTGCAAAGATGATGAGCCTCATCCGCTCTCGTGCACCCGTAAGTCGCTCCTTGACCGAAGGATAGATTCATGCGCTCACCACATCCCTTAGACCTTGATCCTCTTCGGCAGCATCCAGACTGCTATGTGGAGTTGGGTCTACATGCGGTGGCAACAACCGAGGTCAGTCTCCCCACTCACCCGCATATGCTCTGGCCTGACATAGCTGCTAAAGCGAAATTAAGGGTCCTCTCCCTTCTCACATCCCGAAGGGCTTCATGGGTCGGGCCCGGTTTCGTCAGCAGCACGCCCCGTTCGCCAGCGGCTACGCAACATACTAAGCATACCGCTCACCATGCCCGCCGGACGGCGCACCTTGTGGAGGAGCATTGTCGCGCCCGGACGACTGGAGGTTTGTCGTGCTGTATTGCGATGGCGAATTGGGCCCGCCTAGTTGGACATGACTCCTGCAAACATGAACAGGAAACATGGGAGAATGTATGGAACTGTTGTAACATAGTGGTTGTATACTTGCTGTTGTCGTTGAGTGTATATCCTTATTATCCGATGACCTTTGCATGGTCAAGCCTGGAAAATCTGCTGAGGGTCATTCGCGTCATGCCGCCCTGTACGTAACCGTCAGCAGAACCAGCAGGACCGCGAGAGGCACATGAAGTGTCGTGTCTCCCTGAGACCACTGTCTTCGTTGAGACTGCAACGCCTACAATGGTGTGCTGTGATGCGCAACCATTGGCTATGGATCTCTTCCTCACGCTGGGACGGGTCCGACCGCCACAGAGGGCCTAAACGATTACAACTCGAGATGCGGCGTTAGAACACAAAGTACAAGCACAAAGCATACGACGGTAATGATTTAACATCCTGGCTACCGTATTGCCTCCAAAGTCTCCATCGATGTTACGCTGTTTCCTCGGATGACCTGTACACGGAATCGCCAAATCAGTCATGACTGGCCGAGTCGAAGGGGAGCGAGCCTAACTATACTTACAACGGTTCCGATGGGATGTTTTTGCGCTGGGGTGGTCTCTTCCGTCGCGTCATCAAGAACGAGGTTCAAAAAAAGGTCGTAGCCGCGCAAGACCCCGCTGACTTTGCGGCCGCCTTGAAGATGGACGAACAATTTCTTGTCCATGAACTGGGATGATCCGAGCAATTAGCATCGCGAACACGCCCTTATTGTACCAAGATGCACACCTTTTTGAGCTCCGGCTGCGATGCCTTGGACATGATCGAAGCGTATTGTGTGGTGGGAGGAGACCGTGGTGTATGGCAGAGCCGGATTGCTGCAGGTTGCAACCGAGACGCGCGGGGCAAGGATTGTTGGACGAGCGCTGGGCAGCCGCACGTGGACAAACACCCGCTCGGGCGCGCTTGGCGCGTGTGAGGACATCCGAGGTCGGGGCCAACGGTTGCTTCCGCTGAATACCAACGCTCTGACCCCAGCCTGCGCTTTGCTACGTTCTGTGCCATTCAGCCTCTCACGTCTCAGTCTAACAGACCACGAAAACATCCTTCCACGACTCTCTCATACGACACTGCCAGGTTTCATCAGTATATCAATCCCACAGCCATAACCGCCAGACCTCCGTGAGTGTCAACTGTTCCAGGTTTCCAAGCCCTGTCACTGCAAACATTCCATTCGTCTCTTACGCAAATGTCAAAGATCCGTGGAACCTTCTGGACCCAGTCACACACACAGTGTAGTCAATGGCCTCTGCGCTTCCTCCAGCGACACACAACAACAGTCTGTCATGGTCTGGTCCGGATCGACAACCCTGGAGGCACTCTGACGCTGGTAGTGCGCCGCGGAACGCAGGCGGTGGAAATAGAGGGAGGTCGGGTGGACGAGGTGGAAGAGGTGGACGTGGCGGAAGGGGCGGCGGCAGTGGCAGAGGAGGCGCACCCTCCAATGCTACTACGAGAGGTCCAGACGATGCGCCAAAAGCGCACACGGATCAGCCAAAGGGCAAGCCGGCCCCGGATATTCCAAAGATCGTCGAGCCACCGATATCCGCTTCCGCTGGTCCAATTGCCGCAGCTGCGAGCAAAGCGTCAGGCAGGTCAAAGCCCACGAGGAAGGCATCCGAAACCAAGAACTCTCGCAAACCTGGACCCACTCCTGACACGTCTGCACTCACTCCCAATCCATCACCTACGACAGCTCGCCCCTCTAGACGAAGGCGCTCTCAGAAGGTCCTGCCTGCTCTGAACACGAAGTCATCTCTTTCTTCCGACTCGAGTGTCCTCACCGTGCAATCCGCTCCAGAGAGAGGCGCAACCACGAGCAAGGATATGCCTCCACATCTCATGACTCCCTTGGACGTGCACACCTTCGATGTCAAATCGGACATCGACGCTCTAGTCGACCGCATGAGGTCCGTGGCGATGGACAGACCACATACGCCGGGGAGCCACAGTCACTTCGACTGGGCGAGTGACGACGACGACACTCTTCCTGAGCTGCCCGACTGGGGTAAGACGGAAGCCAAGGCGGACGTCAAGCCCTCCGTCATTTCTCCCATCCTGGAGGACGCGCTCAGGCCCCTACCGAACATTGAGATCGGTTCACCGTTCACGATGCCACTAGCCGGTCCGGATTCTGCGGCGGCTTCGCCTGCGAAAGCTCGGGTAGAGGTCAAAGATGAGAGCAAAGAGTCTCAAGTGGCGTCACACAACGCGGAGGTGGATAGCAAGAAGGCGCCGTCTGCTAGCATCCCAAAACAGCGGCGTCTAAGGCTGTTTTGCGCACAAGGATGAGGAAAGCAAGGCTGACGCGCAGAAGCATTTCGCAAAGCCTGCGACGGCGCCGCCACCGTCGAATTGACAACGTTGCCCCCTAACTTGCCTCGAACCCGTCACCATCGAAGGCACCCACGAAGCTTCCCCTTCACCCATCGCTACCACCGAAACCGGTCACGACTTTGGAGCCAGCGCCTACGAAACGACATCCGCGAATCCCTGAACCGGGGCATAAGCGAGGGAAGTCTAGCACAGGTTCAATGGAGCACAAGACCGAGAATGGTCTCGCGGACTCGATACATGCCTCCATCCCCAAGAGTGGCCTTACGGAGTCGATACACGCCCCCAGGGCGGTCTCGCAGAGTCTATACACGCTCCAAAGAGCGGCCTCGCGGAGTCTATACATGCTCCCAAGTCGACGGCGTCGCCAGAGAAGGAACCTCTCCGAAGACCATGCTCCAGAGCTTGGTCTGGCAGCGTCCATGCATGCCCCCGCGGAGACCACCCAGTCCGCACCAAGTCACACCTCCAGCCATCCCATCCCGGATGCCCCGCCGCACCTCCGTTCTAGAGGTCCGACGCGGGGACACCGCCAGCCCTACAGTGCTTCCGTTACTAGCTTCCAACATCCCGACCTGGATCGCGCACGCACGGACAGCACGCACCACACGCGCACCCAGTCTTCCCCGCCGACCAGCAATGGCATTGGCCACGCACATAGTCGCTCGGTACACGCGCGCCCGGTCATCACAGGTGACGCGCTCTCGAGGCTTGCAAGGACGCTGGGAGGGCCTGCGTCTCGACGCGAGACCGCGGTTCCGGTTCCCGCTGCTGCGAAAGACTGAAGTGTTCGGGATCTAACGTGTCAATTGCTTGTGCTACAGTCTATCTCCCGCTCATCTGCCACGATTTGCTTGTATCTAAGCCCTATTTCTGGGTTCCCTGTTGGACATTATCGTTGTGGTTGGTCATGGTCCCTATACCCACCCAAATGGGTCTGCTTCGTACAGTTCCTTTTAATCCCCCTGGAAATTGATTAATGTACTTCTATACTACACGATGCTGGATATGATGATGCAAAAGTCCTTCGTTGATCATACTACAGTGTCCCCAAGTTCTGAAGAGCAGACGACGGTACTAGTGTTGCAATGCCCAGAGCTCATCCGGAGCTGAAGTAGGATAACTCCAGGCCTATTGCTTTTATGGGCTTCGACCTACTAGTCAAATTCGAGACGATGCCGAAGCTGACCAACATGTTTTGCAGACGTCCTTCCCACAGCAGGGAAATATCCTAGGGGAGATCGCTCAGCGTACTGGTCAGAGGAGGGAAGGTCAGTCCACACACCGTTGTCGTAGACGCACGGGCTTTCATCACCCCTTGCACCTCGCCCAAGCCCTCCTGCGACGCCGGGGGTGCATGGGGCGCGCCCACCTCATCTTTCGAGTCATCTGGACTCGAGCCCAGAGCAGAAGTAAACATGCCCTTCCCGCGCCGCATCCACCATTCCGCCCCCATGCACCACTCGCTCTCATAGCTGTACACGTTGAAGTCGTACCGCGAGCTGAGGGAGAGGTCACGCGAGACTCGTGCAGTGTATGCCGTGGAGATGTGCCCGAGCATGGGGTTAAAGAGGGCGGTAATGGTTGTGGGTGGCTGAGAGGGAGGTCCGCGCGAAGACGATGGCGTTGTTGGGGGAATCTGGAAGGATGGAGGTGTAGCATCAGGCAACGTCGTGAACCGAATGCCAGTCGATACTAGAGCCCAGTGAGTGACAACCTGACATCCTGTGGAAAGGTGCTTACCTCCAGCACTCTTCTCCTTAGCACTGAAGTAAAACTCTGCGCCGGCAGATATTCGGCCCTTCAGACCTCCCTCCATGGCCTCTTCCTCGTCTACTCTCCTCATGCCAGACCGATTTCGGGGCGGTGTAGCCGTGGACTTCTCGCCCTCCTCAACCGGTTCGCTCAAACCCGCCAGCTTCCCGAAGTTATGCAGCGTCCGCACGCCCCACATGCCGTCCTCCGCACTCCACGTATACTCGGTACACCACTTGCCGGTGTCGTGCTGCAGGCTGAACATGACATTGCTCGGGTGCATATGTGCGCCCCGGACGGACTCGGCGAACAAGCTGGCACGGGGGTCTGATATGGCAGCCACCATACCTTGCACAGTCGGTGCTATTCTCGTCGAGTATAGAGCGTCAAGTCGGCCTGTGGGGATGTAGACCCGTCCGTAGAACAGGTAGTCTACATGAAGCTGGTGAGCGATGTGGTCTCCACATTCAGCAACGATGTACGTACTCACCCCGAGTGTCGACTCTCTCGCCTGCAAGCCATTCCTCCTCCTTCCCTTCTGGTCTCCGAGGCAGGTCGTACACCTTGAAACGGTCTACCATGTCCTTGAACCGCACATCGCCCGAGCCCTTTACGTTCAGCTCGCACGAAGTGAAGATGTAGCCAACAGAACCGTTGAGCGACGGCAGTGCGTTCATGGAATAGGTGTTCTTGAACAGTGGGCTCGGCGACTTCGAGATCGAGAAATGCAACCCCCTGGGCACAGTAAAGTCGAGGACGGCTAGCAAAGAAGTGAATCGAGCCGCCCACAGTTACGACCATGGAGCTTACCATTGGATGATCGAGTGAGATTGGCATACAAGTTGTCCTCGTTCCAGCCAGTAGCCCGGTAGTAGCTGCGTAGTACGTATGACGCAAAGGGATGCATGGCAGAGGTAAACCAGTGTGAAAGGGGTGCAGTCCAGGAGAACGCAGAGAGAAGTGAGCAATCAGTACATGAGACCGCGACGAACAGCCGACTTTGCCGTGAGAGTGGGCAAGTAATAGCGCAAGGCGGTCAGTAGCGCGTGGCAAGCCGGCCAGGATGGGCGCTTCTGTAGACAAATTCCTACGCGGTCTCGTGACCTCGCTGCATGAGGCAACCCCACGTCCCGCGTCGCGTCGCCGTTTTGCCACATTAGCCTTACACCCAAACTCCGATGACCACATTTTTTCTTCGCCGGCCCCAGATCTTCCACCGTTCCGTACTCTCCTGGTGCGAGGTCCCTACCATCCCTCTGCCCCTATCCATCTCATGCTTTCCCACAACTTGCGCGACTCAAAAGGCAAAGCGATCTTCATCTCACCCTCCCGCGCTTCGTTCCTTGCCAACCTTGTGAAGTTCGACGATGAGTGGTTGAGGGTGCACGGAGGAGACGGGCTGGCATGTAGCGCGTCGGCGCGGATTGAGAACTAGTCAGTGTACATTGCGCATGGTCCCTCAGCTTGTCTGCTTCCAGTAAGATCCACCCTTGTTTGTCATAACTCATTGGGTGTGCAGCTATCCACCAACACCAGCACATCTCGTTCTTATCCTGAACATGCTGCACGTCTATGGTGGGACGCTTTACCATCCAAAGACGACGCTCCCGGAGGCACCTACTCTGCTCGTTCTGCACGAGCTGTCTGCGTTGCTGAAGCCCGCGACGTCCGAATCTACGTGCGTTCTGCACCTAGTCTGTGCCTAGTTACCATCTGGACCGCCCGACAGAGTGTCCTCTTACCTGTCCCTCATTACGCATGCCCTGGCGGCGGTCAGGTCGCTCTCCGCGAAAGCGTGAGTCGCGATTCCACTTCGTACCTGTATGCGTAATGATAGACGTTCGCATAGAACAACAGAAGTCGTAATGGCGGTCTTCGACTCTGGGCTGCATGACCTGAAGCTTCAATCATCCGGCCAGTCTCTCCCTCCGGCGACGACCCCAATGAATCCCGGCCATCCACAGGTCGACGGGAGCCCGTCGCGTATTTCGTCGAAAAGTACTTCGAATGGACGGCGAGGGTGGAAGGTACGTACCAACCCGTTCAAGCGAATCCGCAGACAAACAGTCAATTCATTCTACCCTCATTAGCGATCGGGGAGACAGAGGCTGCGCCAGAGACGCAGGCAGGCGGAGGACGGATGCGGATGGTGCTGCACCACACGCAGGACGAGGATAGTGCGGCAGACGTCACGATGGAATGGCTTGTCGCTACGCGGGTTGCTGGGCCTCACGTAGGAGCGAGGTATTTCACTTGGGCGTAGTACATGTCGACATTGCGTGGTCAATAGTAGTATGGATTGATGACGAGTGTCTTCGACATAGTAAACCCACTAATATTCTTGCTATCCTTCAACGACACCATTCACAGTGGCCGACCAGATGCTGCTCTCTACAACAGTCCTCAGTGCGGCACCGGAGATCGCTACCGCGCTCGATTGTGTGCTTCAAGCCAAGCAGCACGCCACAGTGGCCCGATAGGCTGCGCGAGGCGTTGGTTTTCTTACCTGTCGATGAGCATGCTGCATCCGGAGCTGAGTTCGTCTGGCACGACGAGGGCATAGTAGAGGGTTGTACAGAGGCTGGGGAACAGGCGCCGCCATGCGTGTCGAGACAGGTGACTCGGTAGAGGGCGAGTTACTGAACTTGAAGTTGGTCTCACTGAGAGCGGCGCAGATGGCACTGCAGAATGCAGACTGTATGAATGATCAACACCAATGCGAAAGTAATGAGTCGCGCATGACTCACCTACTGATGCGGCCCCTCTGACGAAGGGAAACGGTCTGCCGAGCGCTCTCCACCCTCAAAGCCCGGGTGGCATGTGCATGGCAGTATGCGCGGGCTGTCTTCGTCTGGATCGCTAGATAAGAGACTCTATGCAGCATTCCTCACAATTCTGGGCGACACATCCTCGGTCACCCTTCCTTGGTGCGCCTTGTTTTGTCGTGCATGCATTGGAACAAAGGATGTCATGGTCGGGCGGAGACATGGCTGGATTGGCGACACGGAGCCTGGCGTCCTCTTGCGCGAAATACGTGGGATATGCTGCAGGGCTCAGTTGTCGCGCCAAATGCGACAACAAGTTCCTCAGCATCCTTGTACAGGCATGCTTTTGTTGTGTGCCATCGGATTCTGCGGCAGAGTTCGTTCGTACACTGGAATGAAGTCAGAGCCAACACTATAGTGCAGAAGAACGACTTACCTCCTGCATAACTTTCCTCTATCCTCTCGCTTAACAGAACCCTCGTTCACCTGAGAGGCCCCATCGTCTCTCGGTTGCATTGAGAGCATTTTGGTCAGGGACAATGATTGGATCTGGCTCGTAGCTGGGATCAGCAGCTAGCTGACATGACTGGGCGACGAGGAAGGCCATCTGCTTGGCCGTCAAGAGGTGCAGAAACACCATCGTGGTCCACCGTAGCCGAAGTAGCATTGTGGATAGCCTCACACATCGCAAAGATCTCGCGAGTCTGGGGCCCGCATCTGAGGCACTGGAATACCATGTAGAATAGCGGCTAGAGTCTGCAAGGGGACGGTGAGGTGGGGCACTCATGGCGTGGACCGACTGGGAGGATTGGAACGATCGCACTCAGGTCTACGCGACATTATTATACCATTCGCAAAGACCTACTCGGACCCTGAGTGGTTGATGCCACTCAACGCGCTGGAGGGTATTGGTTGCGCAGTGAAGTCAAAGCGATGAGCAAAGCGGAAGCGTAGAAGCAAAGCGATTGAGGCGCGTCGGGGCGGCATGCCGCTTGCAATCACATGATCGTATTGACGCATGTGGCGGAACGCGATCGGGGGATGCTCATGCGGGGCCGCCGGACACTCTCGCCACGCCGGACGACCATCAGCTGCGGCCAGCATTAACTATCTGACACATCCTATTGGATTGTAACCAGGACGCAAGAGGCTGAGGACGAGGATCGTAACTCTGCGTCATGGAGTTCTTCAACGACGCCGGTGACGACCCGCTGAAGCCCACGCTCTTCGAGCTTGTCGCGCAAGAGCAGCTGCGGGACCTCCTGCAGCCTGCTCTCAAGTATTCCTCTCCGTAAGTGTGGATGATATATGGACGATACCGCTCTCATGGCATACCACCGCCGTGCTCAGGTATTCGCGCAAAGATACCCCCGATACATCCTCCGCATCGTGAACCGGCACGAGGAGTTCTATGCGCTGCTCATGTTCTTCGTGGAGAGGCATTATCTTCGGAAGCATGGTGAGTCCCAACGGCTCTGCTTGAATGCGACCCCGGCCAAATGTGCGCAGGTGCATCCTTCTCAGAGAACTTCTACGGACTCAAACGGCGGCGGCGCCCGCTGTTCGAAACGGAGCGAGCTAGGGGCAGTGCCGGGCGTACTGCCCGAGGAGCGACTCCGGACCGGGAGATCTGGCGGTCCCTCATCTTCCTGGTGAGTCTCATATCCAACGCATTCACACAGCCGTAACGGAGGACCGTCAGGTGGGCCTGCCGTACCTGCGCACGAAGGCGCAGGAATACTACGAAGACCTCGGCGGGGGGATACAGTCCGAGGTGATCGAAGAGAGCCTGGCGACCGGCAGGCGCGTGCGTTGTCGGAGGAGGTGCGTTGGTGTGCAGCGGAGGTGCGCGTACGTAAGGCTGAAGGGGAACGTTCGCAGACGGTCGCGGGTCGTCTCCGGCGGATGTACAAGACAGTGTTCCCGCTTCTAAACTCCACCTTCGAAGTGTGGCTTCTTGTGCACAACATCGCGTATCTGTTCGACCGGACACCATACTACCGGCCGTGGCTAGCGTGGATTGGAGTGGATCTGCGGCGAGTGGGATTGACGACCTGGTACGTGGACTGGTTGTGTGCACAGACGGTCGCTCATGTTCGTTTCAGAGAGCCGCGCAACAGGCGATGAAGCCCAAGTTGGACCCGGCACGCTCGCAAGGTGTGCTCCGGAGCTTGCGGCGGCTGTTGGTCTCGTCGCCCCGGCTCTTGCTGGACTCGTTCAACGTGATATTGCCAACAGCAATTTTCTTTGTGAAGTTCCTGGAATGGTGGTACTCGCCATCATCGCCGGCGCGTGCCTTGTCGGGCTCGCCTCTCGGGCCCGCGGTTGCGCCGCCACGTTTAGCCCGACCGCACCCGCAGGGGGTGCCGGTGGACGAGAGGGCGTACGGGGGCTGCCCGCTGTGTGGCAAGGGGCTGGCGAACGCGACTGCGCTGCCGTCTGGCTATGTGTTCTGCTACCGATGTGCGTACGAGTATGTAGATGAGCACGGGCGGTGTCCTGTGACGCTGCTGCCTGCGCGGGTGTGGGAGCTGCGCAAGATCCTAGTCTGAATGGATCCGGTGCTGCAGAGAAGGGTGTGCAGTGAGATCGGGATCTACGCACGTTTGTGAGGCGATCGAGACGATAAGTTCGCACGTGGGCGCCCAATCGCGCACAGGCGCTCCGCCGGTGCTGCTCGCGGTCGGTGCGACTACTTGAGTCGCGCAACGGGCCCCTCCGCCTTCGCGGTCCATGCAAGCCCTCCAGCTCCCGCCCACCAGCCCTCCCCGCCCCCCCACCGCGTCGCTGTAGCCGCCGGTCATGAAGGTACACCCTAAGCACCCGTCACCTCAGTCCGCCGCCCGCTCATCCCGCTCTGCGCGTCCATGTCCAGTTCGGCAAGCAGATCCAGGTCGAGCAGGTCCCCGGCTGGTCGGCCTACTACCTCGACTACAAGTCCCTCAAGAAGATCATCTCTTCTCTCCAGGCGGACCGGCCGCCATCCGACGCAGAGGGCATTGCCCACAGCGTCCGTCCCGGGGACCTGCTTGGTCGCACGACCGTCTCCGCCACAGTAGAAGCGAGCGTGTCAACCCCGGTGCAGCAGAAGAGTCATTCATTCTCGCGACGCTCGGCCAAGACGATGAGAGAGGCCCGAATTTCCAAGCCCATAAAGCCGCCTTCTTTTTCAAACTCGAGCGCGAGCTCGAAAAGGTAGGACACTTTCCGGCACGTCGCGCGCATGTCATCAGACGGGCACAAAGATCAACGCATTCTACCTCGAAAAAGAGGCAGAGCTCAAGCTGCGCCTCGAGACGCTGCTCTCGAAGCGGCGCGCCGCCGCTATGCGTGTCCTGCCCGATTCGCCCGACGACATCACCAACAATGTCGAATGGAGTGCGGTCGAAGAGGGGTTCCGCCTCCTCGAGCGGGACCTCGGAAAGCTGCAGGTAGATGATATCCTCCTCGTCGCCGAGCTGATGCACACACGGGAGCCATCTATGTAGCAATTTGTGGAAATCAACGCCACCGGCTTCCGCAAGATCTCAAGAAATGGGATAAACGCTCAAAGTCGACCACCAAAGAGCTGTACTTGCCCGGCAAGTCGAGGTCCAGCCTGTCTTCAACCGACAGGTGAGCGTTTGTTCTGGCTCATCGCACACAAGCCACACTCGCTCACCTTCGAACGATGCAGTTGATCTCCGAGATGTCCGACACCGTGGCCGCCTGCCTGCTCGACATCACAGACCTGTCCGTAGGTCTCAACTACGAAGGCTCGCTCGCCGACGAGAAGATCCTCAGCCGTGAACTCGGCATCGACCGCACAGACCGGAACGTGCCCCTCGGCCCGTTCCTCGACCTCGAGAGCAGCCTCCGGAAGGCCGTCACGGACAGCGACCGCGACGCGCTCCGCGAGCTCGTGCGCTACTCCGACTCGCTCTCGCAGGCACGCGGCGCGCGCATGCACGTCACGCGCGTGCTCTGGAAGGCTGTCATCGACGCGCCGCCCGACCTCGCGGACCTCATCCTCGCGTCGACGTCCGGCCCGTTTGACTTCATGTTCGTCGATGATATCAATGGCGGACGACCCTCCACGAGGTCGCGATCGTCGGTGTGCTCAGACTCGTGAATATCTGCCTTGAGAAGGGCGTGCAAGCGGGCAAGGTGGACGTGTATGGTCGCTCGGCGCTGCACTACGCCGCGATGTACGGGCACGACGCGGTATGCCGGAGGCTGATTGCGGTCGGCCTATCACCAGATGTGACCGATGTAGACAACTGCACACCGCTCGTATACGCCACGCTGAGAGGCTTCGTCGGGTGCGTGCAGGTCCTCCTGGAGGATGGTATGGTCTCCGTGCGGAGTGCCACGCCCAGCGCCGACTTGATTCCCCTGTCGCTCGCCGCCAGAGCAGGCCACATTGACGTTGTGAAGCTTTTGCTTAGCCATGGAGCGCCAAGCGTCCCGAACACTAACGGCGAGTACCCTATACACCTCGCAGCACAGGAGGGACACGCGGAGATCGTGCGGATACTGGCTAGTCACGAAGGATGGGATCTGCCAGACAAGTACAACGAGTGGACACCGCTCTTCCACGCAGCTAGGTTTGGCCGTGACGCGTGCCTCAGAGTGTTGCTGGAGGAAGGCAGCCGGATAGACCGCTTCGACGAGGCAGGTAACTCGGCGCTGTACTACGCTGCGTGGTACGGGCACCGACCATGCGTCGCACTGCTACTCGAGACTGCAGCGCACGCTACCCCGGGGCCGACACCGATCACGCAGAAGTCGCCTCTGACCGATACACAGCGGTCGACGGGGACGGAGTCGGACATTGACATCATCCCATCGCTCTACCTGCCCCCGCCGATGATGCCCTATCGCGTCTACGGGCACAACTACCTCGACAAGACGTCGCTCATACAGGTCACGATCGGGCACCCCACGTCGCGGTTCGGTACGGAGGCCCCGCAGGGGGTCGCGCTCCGCCGACCGCTCGCGGACTCACAGTACGACGAGCGGCACCTGCACTCTTCTCCGATGCTCAAGCTCGTCATGACGGCCACGCCGGCGATCACGTCGGCGCCGTACAGCGTGCCGCTGCCCGTGCGGGACCAGAAGATCGTGTTCAACTTCCAGGTCTCCGCGGCGAGCGCGCTCTCGCTCGAGTTCTCGCTGTATCCCAACTTTGGCACGAGAACAATAGGCAGGGCGGTGGCGCTGCCGTACTTCTTCCAGGGCATCCAGAACGGGCACCCGTACGTGCTGCCCATATTGGATCCCCGCCTGCATGTCATTGGAGAGGTGACCCCGCTTCCTCCGCTGGCATCTAGACAATAAGGCTGAACGGTTTGTGCAGGTGGCATTCGAGGTGAACATCATTACGCCCTTCAGAGGGGTTACGTTGGAGATTGGGGGTGCCGTCGAAACGTACTGGAAGTCATTGGCGACACCCGTGCCCACGCCGTCGTCCAGACTGGTCCCGTCGAGATCACAGCCATCGACGCGATCGATGACGTCCGTGCAGACATCGCCATCAAATCTCTCGACAACAGTGGCGTCCGGCCACTCGTTGACGCACTCGTCCGTAACGGGCAGTTACGTGTACGTGACCGTCCAGGTTACACGCGACTTCCACCCCGTGGCTTTCGCGCAGTGGCTGCTCCCAGAGGAGGGCTGCGACCTGGGCGTCGCTGACCTTACCCTGGAACAGTTCGGGGCGTTGGCCCAGCGCTCGGGGAGGTGCCTGATGCAAATGGACAGTCCGGTCCTCTCGCCGCTGCAGTGGTCCAAGCTGATATCGGGCTGCATGATCCCGCTCGCAGAGCTGCTGAGGGTTAGTCACCCTCCGATCGTCGGTGCCCGGGCGTAACGCTGATCGCTAGAACCCTTTCAATTTCCCCTTGCGCGCAGGTCGTCCCAGCAGCTATCGGCATTTGCCTCGAATTGGCATATCCGCCCCAGCGCGTCCGAGAGCGGCTTTCGCTGAGGCACCAACTCGACCTGAATGATGTTACGGACTCCCTCCTGCGCACGGTCTATGACACCACCGCAGCGCCAGACGGCGCCGCGGGGCGCCGTCCTGTCGTGTTTACGTCGTTCTCGCCAGACGCCTGCGCTGCGCTGAATTGGAAGCAGCCCAATTGTCAGTGCGCCTCGCTCTCCCCGCCAGAACAACTTCGCTGACGGACCCCCTTAGACCCGGTCTTCCTGGCCACCCAATGCGGCGAGCAGAGTCGCGGGCTGCCAAGCGCCACCGCGCTCAGTGTCGATGACGTCCGTGACTACCGATTTTCGAGCCTCGACTCAGCCGTCGAGTTTGCGAAGTCGAACAACTTACTCGGTGTCCTATTGGATGCGGGACTTTTGGTGGGTTGAGCTCTTGGTCTAGGCATCAGCCGGCACTGAATGTATTCATCAGGTGCGAGTCTCCTCTCTGATGCAGGGAGTGAAGGACCTCGGTTTGCTGGTGGGTACGTTCGGAGCCCAGGAGGAATTGGCACAGCTACCAACCTCCGCTGGGGCGGATGCAAACGGCGTAGATGCGGCCCTGCAGGATGGGGTCTTGACTTACTTCAACTCTTACAAGCGTATACAGTAATGACCTAGGATTAGGAGCAGTTTAGATATCAAAGATGTATCGAGTAGTCAAGTAGGCACAGTGCATCCCGACCATGTTGTATACATTCTCGCCTTTTCCACACTACGGTGAAATGACTGGCGTAAATTATATATGCACGAGCGAGAAGCGAGACGTCAACTTCCTATAGGGCAGAAGAGAAGGTCGAATTTCCGCTACGATCGCCTTCGTACACGTACGTGATACATTTTGCCTTCATCTTTAAGCTTTCTTCTACACATTACTCAGGGTCTCCGGGTGCTACGCTCTATACGGAGCTAACTACGTCACGAATTCTCTCAGATCGACGCTCGATATAGTGCGGCATACTTCCCATCACGGCTGAGCAGCTCCTGGTGGGTTCCGAATTCACAGATCGTCTGGAAGCGTCGTCAGAGGGGGGAGAGCGACCGGCAGTTCCAGGAACTCACGCCGTTCTCCATCATGGCGATTTTGTCGGCCCTTCGAGCCGTCGACAGGCGGTGCGTGATGAATATGACGCTTTTCTTGCGCTCGTTGGATGCGGAGCGAGTGATTTTCTCGATGCTGTCGAAAATGCGCTTCTGCGCATGCGCATCGAGAGACGAGGTCTGCAGGTGAACGACTCGTGTGAGGCCCTGGCTGTCGTGACGTTCGGGCCCGACTCACCGGCTCATCAAAAACAAGCAGCTCAACCTCTGGCCGATTGGCCCTCATGAACGCTCTGGAGATAGCAACGCGTTGCCACTGTGTGCAAAGGAAGGAAAGCTCATCACCAGAAGCGTGAGACAAAGATAAGGTGATCATCTACCTCGCCGCCCGAGAGGCCGTAGCATCCGTACGCGGGTCCGCCGCCCTGGCTGAGCTGGCTGCTATCGAACGCACCACCATCTTGACCCACTGTGTCCAGCTTCGTCTTGAGGCCTAGGGGTAGGGAGCACACGGTCTCTTTCGCTCCGGCGAGCCGCATCGCCGTCTCCAATGTGTGTGTGCAACGCATCTTGTCGATGTACCCCACTCCATATTTTGCTGTGCGGAGCTATTGTACTTCGCGAAATCCTGGAAGACGGCCGTGCACCGCGAGTGGTAGTCCTCGGGCGAGTACCGTCTAATGTCGACGCCGTTTACCAGTATTTTCCCGCTGTCGAAGTCGTACATACGGAGCAGAATCTTTGCGAGGGTGATTTTCCTGCGGTGATTAATTCAACGGTCAAATGCCCTGTAGTCTCTTCCACCCTCGTGCTCACAACCTGAACCATTAAACCCCACGATCGCTACAGTCTCTCCTGCCTCGATCGTCAAGCTGACATCGCGCAGTACAGGACTTTCGCACCCTGGGTAGGTGTACGCGAGGTTCCTGAGAAGCCAGTGAGCGTGTAGTAAGGTACGCACGGTCCCCAAGAAATTCCACGCACTTGATGTCTAGCCGCATACCCTTCCCAGAGCTCGCGAAAGGTACATCCTCACCCTTCGGCTGCAGGATGGGCTCAATTTCCATGGCCGCACAGAATGCGCCCATTAGAAAAATACCCTGGTACGCCATTCTCACGGACTGGACTAGATTTGCCGTGGTAAAAATAATTGCTTGTACGGATGATTGATATAATGTGAAGAGGCCGAGTGACGCGGATGGTGACCGGTACAGGAGTACGAGGGGAACCTGGTTAACCGGTGAATCAGTAAGGGCGTAGCAGGCAAGTATTCCACAAATACATTCTGCATGAACGACGCAAGACTCGACAGATTTATAGAGAGGAGGCATCGCAGTGACGCATCGCATTCGGTCTGCTGTCGCTCTAAGCCGAGCACTGTTCTCCGCGCCTTGGCCCAGCCTTGCAGGATCCACGGCCCAAGACCGAAGAATATTAATTCTTGGCGGTACGAGTCGCTTTGCGCCAGATGTCGCATCTTTTCCTGTTTGTGGATCGCTCGGGTTTCCTGGGGGTCAGGCGCATCGTCAAGACATGACCCATGCGCCCGTGCCGTTCGAAGGACGAGCGGTAATAGGGACGTCAGGAGCGAGAAGCAGAAAGCGGTGAGGTGAGGTTTGTTAAATGTCAATGATGACAGGACCAAGGCGTGAGATATCAGCTCCGAGATGGAGGTCAGGATCCTCATGAAGTCGAAGGTGGAGAAAAGCCCAAAGCTCGACATCCCGCCAAAGGAGCGAACAAAGAGGTCGGACTCGCGGAATAGATCGCGGATGGCGGGATCTGCTAGGGTCGGGAGATCGAGTTTGAGACGCTTCTCTATCTGTCTGTACTCGAGAGTGAACTTGGCCGACCCGTAGACGACGCCCTCGTTTTCAGTGCTGTGCAACAGGTAAGTGAGATATTCTGCGAAGTGACCGGTAGGGTACTTACGCAATGGCGTCAATTAAGGCCTCAAGGGCGAGTCGACATAGCTCGACACCTACGTGCCGCGTTATGCATGTCCAGCTGAAATCACTGGAAGATATAAGAGACTGGAGCTATGGCCAACATAGCTGTAGCGAACCTCATTGTCAGTGAGAGAAATATAAATACGAACCTCATTAATGATTAAGGCTTGTGAGTAACCGCGGAAAGCAGGGAAATTCCACGAATGAGTTCTAAGATAACGAGTAGAAGCGATCTCCATGGGTGGAGGGACCACAAGACGAGCAATAGGTCTGCGACGCAAAGCTTAACGATTTCGAATGCCAGGCTAAGGCTCCGGGCGCAGAACGGGCGGTGGGCGCCAGGGACGATGGCTTCTCCTGCAGGTCCCATTTTTCTGGAAGCGGCCCATAGTGCGTATATACCCTCCGAATGGCCGTAGCTCGGGTGTGCTTTTTGTGGGACAGCGGTGCGCCCACGAGGGCAGGCAGGAGAGAAACACTGTGCGGTCTCGAGGCATAGGTTCCGGAGAGCAGCGAGAGGCGATCGGAGCGACATACCGCAGGTCGATGAGGCGGTCCGACAGACACCTACATACGTAACTGCTTTAAGAGCTGCCGCCAGTCCCGTTGGGGCTTGGGTCCCACGTCAAGTTGTCTTTTTGTTCTGGAGGACTTCCGTAAGATGAGATGCCTGGCGCCTTCATTCCCTCGGAGAGGAGAGGCAATTTATGGGAAGCTCGCACCGAGGCCCGTGCAAGTATGAAGGGCTATCACATCAGGTGCATGAGCCGGATCAAATGGCCTCGCAATTGGGAAGAAAGACAGGAGTCTGCGGTTAGTCGCACGCAGGCCGACAAATGAAAATTGCGAGGCTCATCTGGGCAGTGTTGGGCCATGGTGCAGCTGCCTTTCAGATAGCCGGATGTGGCAGACAAAGAGCGGCCAGTGGCGGCGAGGGCTGTGCTGCCCGTGGCCTGCTGCCGCACTTTCCTTTCCGGGCGGCGAGCGCGTCCCACGTGCTCCTATGGGCCCATCCTGGTGCACAGACGACTCATCCCACCCCGACGGTGAGAAGTTTTGCGACATGCGAATTTTCGGCGCGACCAATCTTGCCATTCTACAGCCATGTCGGCACCCCCAGCGACGGCGGCCACAGCGCCCAGCTCTCCGAGAGCCTGCAGCGTCTCCAGCTGAGGCAGGACACAGACGACGCCGATCCACACCACGACGCCGAGTCCTCGACACGAGGCGAGCAAGGCGAGCACAGCGACCAAGTCCCGCCTCTGCCGTCGCCTGGCCTGGGGAGATCCGCGTGGAGCCCGCATGTGCGGGAAGGCTATGGCTTCAGACCTGCTTCAGGTCATTCCACGCCCCTGCTAGCCTCGACGTCCGCAGTGGGACGGGACAGCCCACTGCCCGACCCAAATGGCTTGGGATGGCCTGGTGAGACGCGTGAACTACTTGCCGCACGCAAATTAGTCTAAAACAGGCTCTTTAGCGAAGTCGACGTTGGCTCGATTAACCGCCTCGCCGGCCGAGAAGGCTCAACGAGAAGAGAAACTTGCCGGGGCGTCCGCACCATTCTCGAATGCATCGGCGAGGATCCCGACAGGGAAGGGCTGTTGAAGACACCAGAGCGGTATGCCCAGGCGCTCATGTGGATGACCCGTGGGTACGAAGAACGCCTCGCAGGTGCCGCGAATGCCTTTCATCCTACGCTACCGAGAGACTCAGTGACGTCTTTCGCCCGCAGATGTCATCCACGATGCTGTGTTCGCTGAAGATCACGAAGAGATGGTCATTGTTCGGGACATTGACATCGCGAGCTTATGCGAGCACCATCTGGTTCCATTCATGGGGAAGGTACGTCGAACCTCTGTCCCGAGGTGTTCGCCGCTCACGAGCAAGTCGGCCTTAGATCGCAATAGCGTATATCCCCAACAATCTTGTTCTTGGCTTGTCGAAGCTGGCGCGGATCGCTGAGACCTTCGCCCGACGTCTGCAGGTCCAGGAACGCCTCACCAAGCAGATTGCACTTGCTGTCCAGGAAGCAATCAAGCCTCGTGGTGTCGCCGTCGTAATGGAAGCGACGTGAGTCTACAGCCTTGTGATGTGCACTGCCATCTCACTACTGTATAGGCACCTTTGCATGACTATGCGCGGTGTGCAGAAACCAGGGTCCATGACTGTCACGTCATGCATGCTCGGCTGCTTCCGCACACAGCAAAAGACCCGCGAGGAGTTCTTAACTCTCATTAAGGGTCGCTGAGTGGACGCGTGGTAATTCAATACCACTGCCCCGCTACGATTCAACTCGAACCGTGATTCAACTCATTCAATCATCCTGCATCTTCCCCCAGTTCAACATTGCAATATCCTTATACTTATAGGCCACAGGTGAACAGCTGTATGAATAGCGTGGATTCTGGATCAAGCGAAGCAATTAATGATACAGTACCAGTAATGTATGCTACATTATACAAAGATAGCGTCCGTACGTAGTAGAGCGACATCAACTGTTGCGTGTCATGCGAGTTTTGTCTGCGTGGGGGTCAATAGGAAGGAGCTTCTTCGCCAGACCGTGCGACGGGGCATTGGAGTAACGGTCACGACGGATGCGAGGGCGTTTCAGAGGCTGCGTTTGCTCAGCACCTGCGCCCGCGGTGTCACCGGTCTCTTTCTCCCGTTCTAACATTGGCAATGAGCGAACTAATCACACAGCATTTCTCACCTGAAACTCACCTGAAAGCGTCCGTTTGCGGCTGCCATCGCGGTCATCGTCTCGCCCTGACGGCTCAGGGTTGCGGTCCCGGCAGGCTCGGGACGGTAGCTCGACGGGGCCTGTGGAGGAGGTCGAGGCGCTTCCTTGTCGCTGATGCGTGAGCGCAGAGTACCACCAGGACCTGGTGGGACGTCTGGGGGTCCGCTGCCTCCAAGCGAGGTACCACTCGAGGATGGGTGTACTGCCTGGTCTCTCTTCCATTCTCTCTCCCGCCCGGATCCGGAATCTGCCCTGCCGAGTCTAGAGGCATCCGCAGAAGCCATCGCCCGGGGAGCAGACGGTGTCGTCGGTGGTAGTGATCTAGCAGCCGATGCAGGACCTTCAGGGGCGCGCTTGTCACCGAGCTATGGAACCAACTCAGATGCGTTCACCACGCGAGGACCTGTTTGACTCACTTTGGTGTCAATCGAGAGATTTTTGCTGTCGCTCTCGCCTTGGTCGCGTTCTTTCCGGCGACGCTCCGACTCGCGAGCCCTTTCACGGCCTTCCTTCTCGGATGAGCGACGGCCCCGTTCTTCGTGGTCTCTTTCTTTCCGTGAAGCCCGCTTTGAGGAACGATCAGGCTACATCTCAGTTAGTAGCCAGTGAAGGAGGGGACCGCATGACATACCTCGTCGTCAGTAGGCCGCCTCCTCTTCCCAGGAGCCTCATCACCGTCACGGTGTCGTGGTACATCGGGTCGCGCAGGCAGGCCACGCTCATCTACAGGCGGTACAACAGTTGCCGCTGGAGCATTTCGCGCCGTTTCCCGCTCTTTCCTGCTGTCGCGATCCTTCTCATCCGTACGGTGCCTGTCTCTGTGTCTGTTACTGTCCCGATCACGGTCTCGCTCCCGATCGCGATGTTCGCGTTCTCGGTCGCGATGAGAGTCTTTCTCCCGTTCCCTATCGCGGTCCCTCTCCCTGTCGCGTTCGCGCACTCGTTCCCTCTCTCCGTGCCTGTCCCGACCTCTCTCCCGGTCCCTTTCACCGTCTTTCTCGCGCTCTGGCTCCCGCGCACTTCGAGAGCTTCTCTCCCTCGCGTGTGGCTGACCTTCGCGACGGGCATGATCACGGTCACGGCCATCCGTCCGACTCTCTCTGTCGGGCCGTCTGTCTTCAGCGCGATCGGATCGCCGCCCGCCGCTATTCCTGCTCTCCACACTTGGGTTCCTGGTACCTGGCCGGCTCGGCGGAGATGGGGAGCGGCGACGAGGGGCGGGAGATGAAGGGACGGGCAAGTTCGCTGGAGCGCGCGGCTCGAGAGACGAGAGTGGCCGTTCGTCCAAGCGTTCAGTCGGTCCACGGCCGCCCCTTGCAGTCTCCCTGAGTTCTTGAGCAGAAACCGTCTGACTTGGGATAGCCGGCGGAGGCATAGCATGTCCGGAATCACCACCACGTCTCTGCTCCACAGGCATGGGAGTACGAGGTGGCTGCGACATTGGAACCGGACGACCATTGGGGATGTGACTAGGGGTCGTTGGTCGAGCCTCTTGAGCAATGCGAGCTACGTCTTTGTTAGAAGGAGCAGTAGGAATGGTACCATTGGGGGTAGATGACTGAGTCTCGGAACCAGTCGCCTCGCCAGTCTTACCAGCCGTTGTCACTTGGCCGTTGGTTCGTGGCTCAGGGACGTCAACCTCCATGGCCTCAGATCGCTCGGGTGTCTTGGTTGTTGCAATAGCCCCGTCCTCAGTTGTCTTCGATCCTGACGCACTCTCTTGACGACCTCTGGACGTGGCACACTATCACAAGCTATAAGACGAAATGCACTGGTAATGAAAGGGTAACATACCTGCTCATGGCCGCTTTCGTGGAGGAAAGTGATCTGTCTGGTTGTGCGTTCGAAGCGCCATGCGCGGCTGCGAGCTGTGCCCGAGGAGCAGATGGTGCGCCTGCAACGACAACGGTTGACTTCGTGCTGGTCTCAGGAGGCGCGGCGCCCGGAGGCGTGCTGATACGGGACCTGTCCACGTCCTTTACGGGCTAGACGATCGGTCAATAAGATATCGGGTGAACTCCGACATTATCGACGACTTACCTTGGGAGGGGAGGGAGGTGCTTTCCAAGTTGACTCCCGTTTCATGAAACTTGCCATGTATCTACAATGAAAGTGAGGACGCTATGAACTAGGATCAATCCACACAGGACATACGCTCTGCCCAATATCTTGAGGTCGCCACGCGTCTCCTTTTCTAGGAATTTCTCCATCTGCGTGCGAATGTTCGCCCCTGCCTCCTTGTGGACGACGCCGATAGGGTAAACAGGAAGAATCTCCTTGAGGACGATAATCGCATTGTATACATTCATGAACTCTCCCGTCTCGATGCAGTGACAGAGACACTGTACGACGACTCAGTATTTTTCTGGGTTGCAATCGGCCGAAGGCGTACCGTCGTCAATTTGTGATGCCACTTCCTCAAGAGCTTTCGCCAATCTGGCCACCGAAGGAAATCTTCTTCAGCTAGGACGGCCTTGGTAAATTGACGTCTGGTCATGCCGGGGAGCAAGACGGTCTTCCCACCGCTTTTGGTGCGGTTCTCTTGATGGTACAGTGCCTCATCTTGCCACCACTTCCAGGCGTCACTCAAGATAGCGTGCAAGAACCGAGCTAAACATGGATATCAGCTATATGCAAGCAGACCGCGTGATTCCAGCTTACCATAATTTCGGCTTTCATACTCACTGCACGAAAAGACCATACTTTGCATCGAGTCACCGATGATCTACGTCGGAGTCTGTGAACTTTTGGGAACTTGACGAAGATGCAATGTTACGTACTCGGTCCCAGCATGTAACAGTGGGAAAGCCAGGCGTGCACAGGCTATGAATCGCCTTGATGAATTGCGCACAGAAGTCGGCATCCATTGGCGACAGAAGACATCGCGGCAGGAAACAGTAGTCTACCAATGCTTGTCCCAAAGCCGTGGCATTGATGCCAGTACCTGACGAGTGGTAAGCCAATATGCAACGCTTCTTTAACATAGCGACATACAATGTGCGAACCAGTGCTGCTTTTCCCGCGCAAGGCGTTTGATTGTGAAGCCGCGCACAGCTGTCTGCTCTTTCAGTTCTTGTCCGAGTATATTGACGTAAAGATTATAGCGATTCCGCTTCTCTCGATGCACAGGGGCCGTCTGCCGTTTCGTTCGATCGGATGAACGATCAGCCGCATTGTACAACGAGTCCTCTTCACGGCTGAGAGACCGCAAAGTGGCACACTCCTCGTCGTACCGTGCGGCGGGAGGGACCAACTCATACGTAGACAGCTGCCAGAACGTGAGATAGAATCCAGGCCTGTGAGTTCGGTCAGCATTGTGCAACCTGACAGACTCAAGATCACTCACCCGATGTATTGTGCTGCAATCGGAGGCGCAATCTTCTTGACGTCATCGAAAAGAGCGTGCAACTCTGGCAACCATGGGCTCTGGAAGTGAATGTAGAAGTGCACAGACTCCAAGACTTCCCAGAAACATACCTCTGTCCGCACGATCATCGCACCGCCGTTCTCAGACGTCTCCACATTCATGTCGCCTGCAGACGGCTCAGTCACATGCGCCTTCGCATCCTGTGTGGCATCGCCCGCTACAGGGTTTTCACCGATGCTCGGTGAAGCGACCCTGGATGCAGCGATCGGCTCTCGCTTTGCAGTCAGAGCTGCCTTGAGTCGCCTCTCTGCCTCCTCACTGGCCAAACGCTCCTTCTCTTGCATTGCCAATGCAGAAGACTGGACGCGACTATGAGTGAACTAGCAGCCATGATTCGGTCTAACACTTACCCGATGGAAACATTGAGCATCGGTCGTATGATCTGCATACAGATCGGAGCGAAATCCATACTTCTCGTTCAGCTCGGCGAGAGGGGGCAAGATTGTTGAGCATAATCTTCCGGCGGTATCACGGTTGGTGTCGTGAGCAAATCCAAGTATTGAAGCAACACGCCATGCGTCTGGGAAAGATATGAGCTAGCGTGTTGACAATAGAGGCTGCGCTTACGGCGTCGTAGAGGCTGGCAAGTGATTTCAGGTAAGCATTGGGCGCTTGGAATACACAGGACTGCCGTTGCTGCGCACTTGGATGAGCAGAGGCAGAGCGAGGTTAGATTCCAACAAAGCCTTGCCCAACCGCTGCGGCCCCTTCAGCACCGCATCACCTGGATCCAACCGTGCACCTCGAGTGGCCGAAGCGACGCCTCGATGCGTAGACTCGGTCCACCTGCCATAGCCACCACTTGGGCGTCTGACAAGCTAGGCAAGGGCTCGATACCGGCCATCTTCCAGATCAGCTCGCGGAGGACGATGATCTCGGTGGTCTGTCCATTATGCAACTGGTGCACAATGTACTTGAGAAGTGGCGTCAGATCTGCACTGTACCGACGGAACAACATTCCAGTGAAAGAGCGATACCTGGATTACAATCAGATCAACCGCAGATGCAGCATTGAGTGAAGAACTCACTCTGCAGCCAATCCGAAGTATTGACACCGTCGTCTTTTACCCGATCCTTATCAGGGTTGGCCATAGCATCCAGAATGACATAGACAAGAACATCGAAGCCCATATCGTGACGTAGTTCAACGCCTGGATGACCACACCCGCCAAGTTGTCGTATGCCATGATCTGATTGACCGCGTTCGTGAAGAAGATGCAAGGGTTCGAATGCGCAAGTTTCGCCACGGTCCCAGACAACGAATCGATCGTGTTGTGCGAAAGACGACGGAGGATGCCTTTGGACTCGCGGTCGGATTGAACCTGCCGCACGCGGAGCTCGGGGTGCGACTTGTAGGTGCTCGACTTCCACTCGCCATACAGCTGCCAACGGAGGGTGGTCTCGTATTGCCGCAAAATATTCCAAACCTCGACGGTGCAGACCGCATTCCCACGGATGAGAGGGAGAGCTGGCAGCAGATACAACCTCAGGACCTTGAACCAGAACTGCCGAACGGGGTGGTCTGGATCGGGCGCACCCAGAGGCTTCTTCGTTTCCGGGTCGACGGCAACCTATTCACCGCATAAGAAGACGCTCAAATATGCTGGGCGCAGGCGATACTCACCGTCGTCATCATATGTACGCGACCGAGTCGAAGGAATTTCGTCAAGTAGGCTGGATCTCTTGAGACGTGCAGCCCAATGAACTTCATCAACGGGTCGATCACGTCCATCAAGTCGTCGAATGTGTGACACACTGGGACGTGTTGAATCCAATCGGGGAAAAAGAACACGAAGTCGATATGGTTTGTGCTGGGGGGTGTAGGTGCCCAGAGGGTAAGGTGCGGTCGCCGCTCGATGGGCGGAATGATGCCTGCAGACCCATACCGAGCGCGCGGCTTGGTGAAGCTCATAGTCCGTTTTACGTTGCCATTGGACTCGTACAGGGGAGTAATGGAGTGGTGGAGCACACGGATGATGAGATCCGCGATCTCCGGGAATGCATCGACCATCCAAGACCATTTCGAGAGCAGGGCAATGGCAGGCCTGAGGGCGCCGACAGCAAGCAGCGCATTCAATAATCCGAGCCTCTGGTTAGGTGGCTCCTTCGCTTCCTTCGCTTCTGGAGGTGGAGTGGCCTTAGCTTTGGACGCTGTCCCCGAAGACTCGAGAGGAGCTGCCATTGCAAGCTGGCTAGTTTTCGCGTTCGAGATCCGCTCGTCACTTTCGCAAGGTACTGTTTGTGGATAGCTTCCATGTCTTCGTCAGTCGGCGTTATCTGCAAGTAGACATAAGCATCCAACTCAAAGTCTGTTGAGATTATACATACGTGAAGCAGCAAGTCTTCCAAAGAAATAAAGTCTTCTCGAATGAGGATGGCAGCCATCAAGTACAAGTTGCGCGGCACCGGTTCGCTGACTTCTTGGAGCTACCTCGAAGTCAAAACTAGTGATGCAGCAAAGACAACAACACGAACCTGGTAGTGTGCAAATTTGAACCCCAATACTTGAGCCAAAACGCGTGAATTGGTGCCTCTGTTGGCCGTTGGAGGCGGACGGACTTCCCCACTTGGATTCTCGGCGAAGGAGAGGATCTCATCCAGACTCTTGCCTCGGTACATCTGCGTATCGGGCTCAACCACCATATCATCTTCGACTCGTTTGCGCTGGGGCCGGAGCGACCAAGGAGAGAACGAGAGGAATGCGGTGAAGAATGTATGATGCGTAGCCAGATGGGTAGAGAAAAGGTCCAGGATGACGTCTAACGCGCGATTAGGTCCAAGTCGAAATAACCTATGAGGCCGACGATGCGCTCCCAAGCGGGACGCGCACGCGCCTCAATGGCAGCTCGAGGCTCGGTAGGGTGACCCGTAGTAGGAGAGTGCGGCGGCCCAGACAACTGGTCAGCTCAGTGACGAGCTTGCTGTAGCCTTCCGATTGCTCGCGAAGAAGGTTAACTTGTTCTGCTTGTAACTATCCAATATGTCATTCAGGAAAGCAGCAACAGCGGCCAACAATGTGACTTACAACAGTCCCGTCCTTGTTCGTATTTCCTTCTTCTCGAAAGCAGGTTTATCGGGAACCAGTCCGACGTTCGCACAAGACTGAGATCTAGCCGCTCCCTGCATACATCCGGATCCAGGATGCCCATAGACTACGGAATGTCCTCAGCACTACGCAGCGCGAAGACACATGGACACGCACAAGTAATCTCCGAACGCCGCAGCCAACGTCTCCTTGTCCTCCTCCGCAGATTGCTTCGTGCGGAGACCCTTTGCCACAGCATCTCTGTCGAAGACTTGCTCGCATCGACGCCCTTCTGTTCTTCGACCAGAGCAGATTTCGCGTCCGAAACGATATCCTCCAGCTCAGCGTCTACAGACCAGACGACGTCCACCAGAGTTCACTAAACGGGACGCATTCGGCGAGCTAGAAGCCGCCGTGGACGACGACGGGAGACGCTCGAACACGACTGGACGAACTTCACGAAAGCATCACCGTCAGGGCTGGCTGGATGGGCCAGCTCCTGAGGGACGACACGAGCAGCGCGTGGTACACGGTCGTGAGTGTATCATTAGATCCGGATCTGCAGGATTGGAATGAGGTCCCGCGACAATGTTGATCTGGAATGCATCTCAGTGACAGATTAGACGTCAAAGCCTTCAATACGCACCACTGCTCAGAGCCTCCATTATCCCATTTCGAAAGACATCGTTGAACCTTGTCGACTACGTCCATAATGTACGAACGTCGGGCGACGCAAATTGTGGCGCAAATGCCGGTAACCGTTCAGGAACCTAAGGGTAGCTAGGTCAAGCTAGATGAACAGCGTGCGCAGAGGATACACAGAGAAGAGAAGGGAGGGCCACCGTCGGGTGGTCGTCGACGGAGAGGCTTGAGTGCTGTTGTTCGCGCTGAACGCCCCAGTGCCACATCGTGGCTATTCACGTGCCTCATCATCTGAGATCCACTGTGTGGCACTGACAGGCGCTTAGCGGCGGTACTGCACGACAGCTCTGCGTACCACTTCCACCTGAGTTATGTAGTAGCAGCGTCCGCCTATTCGACCACCAAACTGGTGACGTGCTCCTCTATGCTAGTGCTAATACTGGTTCCTCTGAAGTGCTGAATGCCGCTCTACCGTATGTGCACTTCGAGTTCATTTCCAGGTCTGTCGCAAGCGGCCAGTAGAATTCGCGGTGGGCATCAGCATGGTCAACTTATGTTTTATTCACTGACAGCAATACGCATTATGTTGGCCGATTTGACGAGCGTTGAACATGAACAGATCCTGTTGCCAACGGCGTCACAGTACAACGGCGTCACAGTACAGCCTTGACGATTTCTTGCGTGCGAGCGATCTGTCCATACTGGCCGGTACGCCGTACGCGAGCCCTCCTCCGAGTCAAAGTGCTAAGTACTCAGTACTCAGTGCTTGTACGTCAAACGTACAGACGTTCAAACGTTCACCCGTCATTCAATAAGCAGTGACATGTACTGTATATCAAGTCATGTTACTCACGCATACGGTCTTCCTTTGCCTGTGTGATCCGGGGAGGACTGCTTGGACATGTTCATCATTGCACCGGTTGATAACAGCTTTGGTTCTGCACTGCTGCAACAGTGCTCTCCTGCGCCGCAGAACAGCGCGCACAGGCTTGTTTGAACCTCAACTCTCATGGCCTTCCCCGACGTGCCGACTTCCGTTATTGAGAAGGGGTGTCTTGGGGGTGCCCGTTGACTGCGTGATTCCAGAGACCAAACTTGAGACTTATCGCGCCCCGGCATAACGCTGTGAATAACGCACGCGCTCTACATGAGCTGAGAATGTTGAACTGAGTGAGAGTACGATCTGAAACGCTCATTCAAATTTCCCTGGGTTGATGGGACACCCGGGGGCCAATGGGCGCGCAGGGATCGGGCGGCAAAGCGAGCTTCTAGATGGCCTGGAGACTGCCCGTACTTATATAATCGTGTCCCGAGCAACCAACTTGCCCTCCCGGTCCCGCTCCCTTGACCTCTCCGAGCACGCTCCATGCGACTGTAGCCTCTGTTCTTGGGCCCGCAAAAGCCGTTCCGGCCGTCGCTCGCAGCGCATCGTCATGCTATCCATGCTCTTCCTCTCTCTCTTCGGTTCTCTTGTGTTGTGCTGTGTCCTGTTCCCATCGCTATGGACATCAATAACGGCGGGGGATGAGATGTTGGATGCACACGAGGCTGGCATTGCTCTGGTGGCGTACCGTATGTCGTAATTTTTCCCCCTGCGCTGCTCGTGTGCCCACTGTCCATCTGCAGGCGCGCCGTTCCGTGAGGTGGGGCCACCCGTATGCATGGCAAAACTCATCATGTTGCGACATAAGGTTGGTACAAGTCGGCGACATCTCCAAAGTCACGCTGAGAGTTGAGCCTTTTGAGTGCAGATCAACCAAGACAAAACTCGGAAACGAGCTAGCGTCAGCCGTTCCCGTCAGGCTGCCTTCACCTACTCTATTCCATCCGTCCGATCCTCTCGCGACCTCTCCTTCATGCGCTTGGGCAGGATGCGCGGAAAGCAGAATCACTAATACGGTCGTCTTGTACGCGGTGCCCCGTGGCGCCTTTATACCCGGACGTAGAATACCTTCAATTCGTTCTTTCGGGGCTATCCTGCCGGAGCCAAGTACCGCTGAGAGCAAACGGAATCTATACACAAGGGACATGACATCCATGACATTGCGATGCATCAACGTAGACTATGCTTTACATTACATTACAGTTGATATAATCAAGGTAGCATGTGGATACAGAGAGGGTTTGAAAACATACTCGATGCATAACCATGAGTCCTAACGGATAGCTTGTCAATGACGTCGTCGACAACGTACTCAAACGCTCGTAGCATCTATCCTTGGAACTTCGCGCGTCTGCTAGTCGACACAGTAGACAAGACACTCGGTGTCTTCGCCACCTTGTTCGTCTGCTTCGGACCGTGGGCGGCCGTGCGCCCCGTGCCGCGCGAAGCGACGCCTCCTCTCTTCCTCGCACCTCCAGTTACGGAGACCGAGGCAGTAGTGCGTCCAGTGCCGTATACGCGTGTCTCGTGCTTGGCCCAATTCAACATACGAGACTTTTCGTTCTCAGGTACTTCACCGAACTTTGACTGTCCACGTGAGAGGAAACGATAAGGAAAGCTGCCAATCAAAGACGCGTTGCACTCACCTGTACACTAGGATCCCAGTCCCCGTCCTTGCGCAGAGGGAGATTCTTCGACGACCCGGAGAACTCTTTCACATGATGAGTCTCCTCCTCTTCATATCCATCACTCTCAAACCAGGAGACGTCATGAGGATCGAGGCTTTCGGTGTGCTAGGCAAAGAGTCGTCAGTGTTCCTCCCCGCGACAGGATGCACGGAAGCCTCACCTGGTCCTCACGCGACGCAGCGACCAGTTCCTTCCTGAGCTGCGCCATACCAACGACTTCCTTCTCCTGCTCCTCCTGCCCCTCTTCGACTGTATCGACGTCCATACCGATCAAGGTATCGTCGTTCTGTTCCATGTGCGCAAAATCGTCATCCTCTGTCATGCCATCTTGGTACGCTTGCGCGAAGGGCGCAGTACCCGGATCTTGGGCTGTGTACAACGCGTCAGCAAGGACTCAGAGGTTTCAGAGTTTCAGCTACCTAGCACGTCGAGTGTGTCACCGTCGATCTTCCGCTTCTGGCGCTGCATCCTCCGCCTCGCCCTCGCGGCGTCATCGTCGTCCTCATCCGAATCGTCGTCCTCGAAGCCGACTCCGCGGTTGCGACGGGCCGTCCTCAGTTTACCCTGGACAGCATTTTGGTGAAGCCGCTCGTTCTCCTGATCGTCCTGTTCGAGTTGCTCGCTGGAAATCGCCAGTAAGTACCGTAGGTGCGATATGACATGGTGATACTAACCGATGTTTCTCCAGCACAGCGTCCTCAGCAAGCGTAACCTGGTCCATCTCCTGGTCGTCCACCAACTCTTGGAGGTTCTGGTCCTGCGCTTCGTCATCCTCTTCTTCTTCGTCGTTGCGCTTGCGGAGACCAAACCCTCTCATATCGTCGTCATCCGACTCCTCTGCCTCGCCCTCGATGAACTCGGACCTCTTCGCCTTCTTACCCAGCAGGGCAGGCAACTTCATCGGATGCATAGACGCCTGCCTCATGATGGCAAACACGTCCTTTGGCTTGTGCGGCGTCGGCGAGACGCTGCCAGCGCGGCTACCAGACGGAACACCCTTCTCAGGCGAGATCTTGCGCCGCTTCAGACGCATGCGCGGCTGTGCGTCGAAATCATCGTCGTCGTCATTGTTGGTCATGACCGCGTCGATCGTCGCCAGCGGCTGTCGCGTCACGGAGCGGGGTGAGAATACATCTTGAATCGACATCCCGGACACCCTCGCTACCTGCGTCGGAGAGAACAGCTGACTTCGCACAGGAGTCCGCATGGGACGAGTTTGGGTCAGGAAACTACGGTACACTAGAATCAGCCTAGCCCTCGGTACGAAGCAGTTGGAACCTACCCATGTTCGTTCACGTACATCCTCTTCTTCTCGGGGCTAATACCCTTGTTAGCACCTTCCGCGATGAGCTCCTGCTCCTTGTCGAAGATCTCGTCGGCCTTGCGTCGGAGGGTCTGGCTGATATCGAGGGCAGGCTGCAGAGCAACATCCATCGTCAATGAAAGGTCCTGTGCCGCTTTCGCGCCCTTGATCTGCACAGCCTCGTCAAGTACCTAAATCGAATCTGTTAGCAGGGTAGAGGTGACGAGGCCAATGAACAGCACCACGCACCGTTTGCTGCGAGAAGAAATCGGACAGGTCGCCGCCTTGCACAGCTTTGGGTACCACTGCGGGCGCTTGTACTTTGTTTGAGGCTTGAGACTCAAACAGATCTGCAAGGCCGCCTTTCAACGCGACAGGACGGACCGATGGAGGACTCGCAGGGGCAGCTTGGGCAGGCGCATTCTCGTCGGATCGTAGGGACGGCAAAGGAGGACCTGGAGAGAACGTCAGGCGACGAGCGGGGCTCTGCAAGTCGCTTGAGAAGGAGAACGGATTCTCGTCGTCGTCGCCGGTCGGCAGTTCCTGGAATGGAGCCCGACGTCCGTCTTGTGGCGTGCTCTCCATCGGAAGACCGTCGTCTAGCGAGAAAGGCCGATTCTGCGACAGGCTGAAGATGCTACCTGCCCTGCTGAACCCGGATTGGCTTGAGACTACCGTGTTCTCTTTGTCTTCGCCTCTGTCGTACATCAGACTGGCGTCATTCTCTTTGTCAGTACCGTCTTCGGTATGGTTCTCCAACGAGGATGTGGAGGTCCGACGGCGCAGTGTACCTTGCGGCAGACGCTGCGATCCAGGTAGTGCAAACGAGCTATCCGCGACCAACACTCTGCCCAGTGGCTCTGGCTGGCCCTCTTCCTCGTCATCGGAATGGATAGCGACCAATGGACGACGAGGCCGCCCTTTGCGCCCGCGTGGCACTGGGGCCACATTCTCGTCGTCATTCTCAGACTCCTGGGTCATCTCGACTTGGCTTGCAAGGACTGGCTGGCTCTCAGTGTCCGAGTTGGCCTCATCACCACTTCCGAGCTCTTGATTCTCGTCTGCGGGCTGATAGTCAGGATCGTCTTCATCTTCATCCTCACCCCCGTCCCTGTCCTCGTCCTCGTCCTCGTGGAAGTCGTCATCGGTCTGCACTTCGGTGAGACGCTTCTGGATGAGCGCGGTCACTGCATGCTCAAAGCCAGCTGGCGCGGTGTCAGATCGACTGTTCTTCAGTTTACCTCCTGCCCTCTGCCACTGCTCTTCCTTCTGTCGGCGCTCCGCGACTGCTTGCTCTTGCGCCTGCCGCAGCATCATGTGGTTCAACTCGTCCACTGATATCCCCTTTACCGCAGCGTCATGCGTCTTCTTCCTCTGGAAGCTCGGGGCCGCGGCGTCAGCTAGCGTCGTTACGCCAGTCACACCGCTCTTCCGACGCGGTACTCTGGCCAAAGCCAATTGTGCATTTCTCCCGACAGAACGTTTGACACCGTGCGCGGCGCCGGCCCCCTCGCTTGTGCCTCATCTCGAACCACACCGTGCATGTCTTCATGGACTATTTCGAGATCGCTACCGTCCTCATCGTCGGTGGGAACGCGATTCTGCTGCTGCTTCAAGAAACGCCTCTTGGTCTCGGCCGCGCGCTGAAGCCTCTCCTGCTCTTCCCTCTTCTTGGCTTCTTCATGGAGCAAGGATTCGATGTCAGGCATTTCCTCGTCCTCGCTGGAATCGTCGCTTCCACCGGCACGTGTGGAAGCAAGACCAAGAAGGCCAGTAGGTTTGAACGACGTGCCAGGCACCGGTGATGCTGCCCGAGCAAGTGGCTTCAGCGACACCGAACGAGCACGCAGAGGAATATTAGGGCGCTCTTGCGGTACATGTGATGAGGGAGAGGAAGAGAATGGCTGTATGGGGTCCGTGTCCGGTACCTCCACGCGCTTATTCACTTTCACAGGAAGCTTCGAGGGTTTGCTATGGGTCAGAGGACCGGCAATCAGCAGCTGCTACTTCAATGAAAGCTGCTAGGCTGACCTGAGCTTCTCCAGAAAATGCGACAGTTCGAATTGCTGCCCTTGTGCTCTGGGAAGAGTCGCATCCCGCTCAGCCATCATACGCGCTGTTGCTTTCTGGGTCTCTTCTCGCTCCTTCTTCGTAGGCGGCTGTGACACAAAGTAGGTCATTCAACCAAGCGCTATCAATCTGACGACACTTACCTTAACGCGTGTTTGCCTCCCCTTCCCTGCGTTTCGCCGTCGCTTACTCGTACGACTCTCGTCATCGTCGGAGTCCGTCTCTACAATAGCCTTCTGCTTTCCTTTGGCTTTGGCAGTAAGGGACGTGGGCAGCACGGCCGGAGAAGGCAAGCGACTGAGCACGGCGCGAAGAGGACTCTTGTCAAGAGCATCACTAGACTCGCTGTCAGAGTCTGCTCTGGGCGCGAGCGACTTCCTCCTGGGTGGCCGCCGACGGACAACCGGCGATGGAGAACGCGACGCCACTGGGGAGTCAGCGACCTTACTGCTCTCGTCGCAATTGACATGGGACAAATCATCAGTTTCTCGCGTCTCCGCCGAGGGTATGCCAACAGCGGGTGAAGATGGCTGCGGTGACGCGGCGCGTTTGCTGTCGATGGGGCGCTGACTAGACGCGTCTTTCACTGATTCCTGTACCGCGTCATCATCCTCGTCCATCTCCCTGAGTTTCTTCTTCCAGTCGAACTCGTAACCCGAGGGGAGCGCGTCGCCTCTGTCATTGTCTTCGTTGCTGGCCTCAGCGTCGTCGAAGGAAGCGGGGGAGGAGGCAGACGCGTCGGGCCCATCAGATGTCGGCGGATATTCGTGGTTCGGTTCGAGAGAGGGAGGATCATTGGAACTAGCCCGTGATGAGGCACCTGTAGAGACAGTAGAGTCGAGTATGCTCGTGTCGAGTGCGGGCTCTCTGCGACGTCCGTAGGTTCGCTTGACCGCAGGACGTAAAGCGGCCGCGCCCACTGCGGTTCCTAGAGAGTCCATGTCGTCCATAGTCTGCGCCACAAGAATACGGCGAGCGGAAGGGTGTCGGCAGATGGAGACAGCTGCTTGGACCAGCAAGCTGTAGCTTTGGTTGGGTGTGCCAGTCGAGCGCCCGACTCGTCACTCGTCTCGGTTGTCACAAATGTGACGAGACGCGTTTTTGGAAACAGCGCCGTCACGCACCATCTGCCGGGGTCCTGGGAAGGTGCAGCCCGATATGGATGAACTGCATAGTTCACTTCAGCCACCCGCGCCACCGCAAGATTTGGGCAGGCTATCGACACCGGCATAGACGCACGCCCGCAACGACCTCAAGACCTCAAAATGAGGTGAGTATGGTCCTTCACACAATTGCTGCATGCGGAGAGCTGATATCTGTGTCTCTGTAGTCACCGTAAGGTGTGTAGCTTGATACTGTCGCAGCTGGTATGGCCGTTTGACCCGCCTCATAGTACGAAGCCCCCCGTCACGGTTCCCTTGGATTCCTGCCCCGCAAGCGGGCTGCGCGCCACCGTGGAAAGGTCAAGGCTTTCCCCAAGGTGCGCGATTTGGTTTGAGTCCCACAAGATGCCTTGCCGAACTTTGGCGTATGTAGGATGACCCCAAGAAGCCCGTGCATTTGACTGCCGTCTTGGGCTACAAGGCTGGCATGACCCACATTGTCCGCGATCTCGACCGTCCCGGATCCAGTGAGTTGTGTCAATAGTCGACCCCAATGTGCGCTCATCTTTTCCCCAGAGATGCACAAGAGGGAGGTCGTGGAGGCAGTCACCATTGTGGAGACCCCCCGATGGTCGTTGTTGGTGTTGTTGGTTACGTCGAGACTCCTCGTGGTCTCCGCACTCTCACGACTGTCTGGGCTTCCCATCTTTCCGACGAGCTCAAGCGTCGCTTCTACAAGAACTGGTACCGTTCGAAGAAGAAGGCCTTCACCCGTTACGCAAAGAAGGCTGCCGAGGACGGTGGCAAGTCCATTACGCGCGAGCTCGAACGCATTCGCAAGTACTGCACTGTCGTCCGCGTCCTCGCCCACACCCAGATCCGCAAGACCGGTCTCAGCCAGAAGAAGGCGCACCTCATGGAGATCCAGGTCAACGGTGGCTCGGTTGCAGACAAGGTCGAGTTCGCACACGGCCTGTTCGAGAAGCCGATCGAGGTCGGCACTGTGTTCGAGCAGGACGAAGTCATCGATGTTATTGCGGTGACGAAGGGTCACGGTTTCGAGGGTGTGACCCACAGGTGGGGCACCAAGAAGCTGCCCCGCAAGACGCACAAGGGTCTCCGAAAGGTCGCTTGTATCGGTGCATGGCATCCGTCGAAGGTCATGTTTTCTGTTGCCCGTGCTGGCCAGAGTACGTATACTCAAGTCACTCATTCAATTTGACCTGACTTGACTGTGAAATGTAGACGGCTATCATCACCGCACGGAGCTCAACAAGAAGATCTACCGCATCGGCAGTGGCGGGGACGACGGCAACGCATCGACTGAGCACGACATCACGAAGAAGGCCATCACGCCCATGGGTGGCTTCCCTCACTACGGTATCGTCAAGAACGACTACCTCATGCTTAAGGGCTCTATCCCGGGTACGAAGAAGCGTGTGATCACCATCCGCAAGTCGCTCATGGTGCACACGTCTCGCCGGGACCTGGAGAAGGTGCAGCTCAAGTTCATCGACACTTCATCCAAGTTCGGTGTAAGTATTGCTCAACCTCACACGAGATTCTTTGTTGCTCATGTTCCTTGTACAGCACGGTGCCTTCCAGACCTTCGAGGAAAAGGCCGCGTTCTTGGGAACGCTCAAGGCCCGGGCGTGATTCACTACATTACCATGTACTCTCTCTGTTCATTAGGCCCACACACTCGCATTACACGCCTTATGCTATGCTATGCTCTGCCTTGCATGATATACCTCACGGAATGATTGCCCGTCAGAGTGCAACACGTCTGACTATGAAGTTGGGAGTGAATGTCACAGAAACATCGCTGTCCTGACAGTGAGGCTCGTGGTGATTGGCCCGCGTTGTGCCGGAAAGCGCGAGACGGCGCTTATCCGAGTTTTCTTGCTCTCTGTCGACCGCGTGCAGCGACAGCACAACACACCTGGCCACAGCGTCCGCTTGCCCTCGCCCTCTAGACTCGTGTCGAGACCAGCTGACGGTGACCAGGTGGTGGACACGTTAGAGGTCGCTTGTCGTAGTCGCTCATCGCATCGCGGTACGTGCATGGTCGGTCTCGTAGTGGTCTGGATGTGCCCAGTTTCTAAACCTCATACAGCATGACTGCATAGTCCATTGATGCTGAGAGTGTCCTCTCTGGGCCTCCGTCATGACAAGTCGCGCTTCCTATTCTCGCCACTGCATCGATACGTCTCAACAGCGGCCTACCAAACGACGGAGAGTAGCGATCGACCGCAACACCCTTTCCATGGAGAGGATCCTCTCACTGGTGCTCCTACAGACTCTTCCCAACGACCTATGTCGCCAATGTCGCCAATGTCACCTGAAACCGGAAACCTTGACAGTCGCAATGTCCCTAGCCTCGTCTTTTCGACCCACAGGAGATTGCAGACGCACGGACGACGCCCGACGTCGATGGGTGTACGCGAAGGCCAGGCGAAGACAGTCCACGAGGCATTTTCTCCCGCTTTCGCTGCAATTGTGTCAGACAGTCTCCCAGAGGCCAGCACGTCAACGGAAGTGTTCACGGACTCGCCATCTCCGGCCGAGTCCACCGAAGAGACAAGCCGTGCGGAATTGGAGTATGTCATGGACACGACGGAGGAGGTGGAAGAGGCCTGGGAAGCATATCAACGCTTGTCCACCATGCCGCTACCTGAGGACACTCCATCCGTACGCTACTATGCACGCCTACACCGACTGGCGCGCCTCCTGTCGAAGGTCAAACCCCGCACGCGAACGCTCTTCCTCCGGTTGCTGTCGGTACTCTCTACATTGTACAAGAGCGGTGGCAATGTCCATGCCTGGGAGTGGAACCTGCTCATCGACTGTGCGGGGAAGGGCTGGCGTAAAACCCGGCCGGAGGACTTCAAGGCGGCCTTGGATGTGTACCGTGATATGATTGAGTCGAAGGCACCTGGCTCGACATCCAACGGTCATAGACATGTCCCGGACGGAGGGGCAGGAAGCCAGAAATCTGCGACGCCGGATATTGTCACGTATACGACGCTCCTCCACATAGCTGGTCGTACCCTTCAGCACTCGATCTTGCGCCACGCCAGAGGTATTCTCGAGGCGTCTGATATCCCCCCAAACCGCATCACGTATCTTTCCCTGGTCAGGTACTACGCCCGCACGAACGACCTTACTGGTGTCCGCGCGATCCTGTCGAAGATCCGTGAGCAAGGGCTCGAGCTCGGACTGGACGGCGTTAACGCGTGCGTATGGGCATATGCTCGTGCTGGTCGCCTTGATATCGCCTCGCTCCTGTATCGTGTTGTGCGACACAACCTCATTCCCGAAGATGAAGTGGGCGAACATGATATCCAGGCGGCGATCCGGCAGCTTACATTTACGGAAGGGCTGGAAATCCCTTTGACCATCAAGCCCAACGCTATCACATACTACACTCTCATCCAGTGCCACGCGTATCATGGAGACCTCTCTCGGTCACTCGAGGTCTTCAGGGAGATGATGACGGTGAACGAGCAGTTGGGCTTCTTGGACCAGAGCCTCCCGGACGACGATCCCTCCCGCACTGACAAGTCGCCCACCCTCCCCGCTTTCCGGGCCATCTTCCTTGGGTTCGTCCGACACGGTGGCAAGGACGCTGCGCTGCTGAAACGAGCCGGCCCTCTGACCCAGCGGCTGGCCACTCCTCGGTGGACGATGGAGAACCTGCAGGCGCTGTTCGACACGTTCATGAGATTGCCGCATGACGTTCGACCCAGTGAGCGGACGGTCTTCTGGATCTTGACCGCCTTCGACGTGCTGAGTGGGCACGCCAATTGGAAGCTGCGTCGCGTCTGGGAGAAGCTCACTGAAAGGTTCGGCGAGTACCAGGGAGGCAGGTTGGAGCGATTTAGAAAGAGGATCTATGAGAGTGACCAAAAGGGTAGCTAGTACAACCATCCATAATACATACAGTGTACAGAAGTCGTTCTGGTGTGCGATGTGGTACAGATGAGAGGGAGGTATGGTAGATGGTAGTCCATGCTGCGAAACTGATGACAATTACATCGCACCGCCATTCTCCGTCCGCCACTGGACGTACTCCTCCCAGCTGACGGTGTACTTCCGGCTCTGGTATCGGCGCAGCTTCACGCTACGTCGGATATCCTCGGTGATGCGACCAGTCCAGCCTGCCTTGTGGATGGCGCTGTCGATGGTCTCGATCTTATCCCAACCTTGCTCGGGGGCGATCTGTGGCAGGTATGTGGCAGAAAACGTGTGCTTCAGTGCGCTTCTAGTCGGTATAGAGGTGGAGGATGCGTAAGGAGAGGGCGCCTCGGAAGGAGACGCAGGTCCGGCGGGGAGTAGCGACGGATGCGGGAACGAGATGCGGACGCCGTGCACTCCGATAGTCCAGTCTAGATACGACGAACCATCCTCGAAGTCTGTCAGGAGGGAGACCCTACACGGACCAATCAGGTCCTCTCCTCGACAAGCCATGGCTCCGCACATCCACTCACCCGCATTCTAGAGTCTCCAACTCGCGCTCTTCTATCTTCCTGAATCGATGGTCTTGGAACGCACTGATCAGGGCATACTCGGCCAGGCCCTCTCGTATTGGGATCGCCTCAAACGTCCCGATGCAGCCTCTCAGCCGGGGCGGCCGTCCGGGGCGCGACGACCTGGTATTCCAGGTGACAAAGAGCTGGCTGCGAACGATGAGCACCGACTGGTATGTGCACTGCCTGGACGTACTATTTCTCGTCCGGGAACTTAGGTTCGAGGGCCCTGTGCCCAGTCAGCGCGCAGAAGAGCGCATCGAAGCACCGGAAGCAATGCTCCCTGGTGCAGACGGTCTCGTCGTCCTCTACGAGGTCAACGGCTGGGTTCGGTGGGATGAGAGCCATGGCTGGTCGATTCTGCAGCCAGCTAAAGCCGAACGACGGGCCCGCTGAAGATAGCGCAAGAAAGCAGGGGCCTCGGGAGTATGTACAGAGGATCACTCGAGTGGTTCACTGGGTAAGATCGCCCGATCAGGAGCACTAAGAAAACCATGCATAGACGCCCATAATCTAGGCTATGTAGAGCGAAAGGACAGCAGAAAGTAACTGGAGACTACTACAATACAAGAGCGTACACGAGAACAGAGAGACAGAGAGTCCTACTGTTATCGTCTCTGAGTGCGGGCATCACTATTGACAAGGTATGATGTATGCTACGACATGACGAGCATCTGAAGAGGATAAATCAAAGAAACCATAACATAAGATACGACATGAGGATATCTGACCAGTGGGGGGACGTAGAGAGGACGTCCAGGAGGTGATGGGGAAGACGTGAGGGCATGTGAGATCCATGGGTCATGAGAGGATGGGCGGGGCGTAAGCGGAGGCGAGCACAGTCGGCGGCAAAGATCGTAATGGATGGAGATGGGAGGAGAGCACTCCGAGCGTGGGGGAAGCGATGTCAGGAAGGCCAGAGACGCGGGGGCAGGACCAGAGTCATGCGAAGGGTGTCATGTCGAGCAGCAACTCCACGAAGTTCCCGCCGCTTGTTGCGCTTTCTCGCGCGCCTCCTCCTCCTCGGCCTGGGCCGCCCACATCGGCGTCGTGGGGCAAGTGAGATACACGCTGTCTCTCTTCTTGACTTCGTTTTCTTCTTCGATGCGGTCCTTTCGTGCAATGATAGCACCTATCAGGGAGTCGAAGAGTTGCTGAATGCCTGTCACCCATCCGTTAGCATTTCTACGAGAAGTAGATATTGGTCAGCACGTACCGGTGTCATCCTTGGCAGAGACCTCGAACAATTCCATGCCCTTGTTCAGGCCCCACTCCTGGTCACTAGCCTCGTCTGTCTCTTCGTCTTCCTCGTCCATACTATTGCTGCTCCCGTCCGCTACCTGGCTCCAGCCTGCGGTCCGGAAGCCGAATTGCGTCTCGAGACGCGAAGTGGGGGCGCGGATCGCGCTATCCACTGTAGGGTCCGCGCTAGGAAAGCTCAAGAGGCTACCGCTTTTGGCTCGCGGTCGAGTCACCGCAGTTGTATGAGACCGTTTCATAGCAGTCGCCCGAGGATTAGTGTCGTCCAGCTCCGGTGGCGGTGGTAGCGGCGGTTTCGCCTGCGGAACCGGGCGCATGCTAGGGAATGATGTGAAGCGCGGGCGGATATACGAGAAGGTGGATGGGGGTGGTGGAGCGGGAGGACTGGGTGGACGAGGCGGAGGGAACCAAGTGTGTAGTGAGAGACGGGCTAGGTCTGAAGTGATCTGTCGCTTATGTTGAAGGTCGGCTTTGGCACCGACAATGTAGATAATCAAGTCGGGATCGCAATTCTTCTTCAGTTCTGGGATTTATGATTCCATCAGGTGCCTGCAGCTTGCGGTACCGACCCAGGATGATCGTGACGCACCTTCAAGCCATCCGCGCACATCGTCAAAGCTGGAGGCGTTGGTGATATCATAAAGCAAGAGTGCAGCGTTAGCACCCCGGTAGTACATGGGTGCCTTGGAGACGCGATCAGGACCGTCTGGCCAGCAGCATACGGAGTTGCAAACGCACCATACTTCGGAACCTCTCCTGTCCCGCTGTATCCCACAACTGCAATCGGACTTTGATGCCATCCACGTAGACCTTCTTCGTTACGAAGAATGCACCGGTCGTAGAGGTCGTGTTCTTAGGATCGAATTTGTTTTGGGTATACCGGTGTAACAAGCTGGTCTTGCCAACACCTAGAGCGGGGAGTGTGTCGTGAGACCATTGAAGTGCCGCCGAATAGCATGCGGGCATGCGGTGAATTTACCTGTGTTGCCCATAATAACGATCTTCGCGTCAATGCCCTGGTCATATCTGGACTTGGAGTATGGGTTGCGTGCATAGGCCATTCCTATAGCAAACCAACCGTCGCAAGCAGGGAGACGGGGCCACGGGGGCAGGGCGGGGGAAAGGAGGGGAGGGGGGCAGCACGCAATGCGAGGAAGGGTATTATGGCAGAGAGAGCCTACAGCTCAGCGCTCGGACCAGGGCGTAGTACGGCAGCCTATCGCGGTGGCGGTCCGGATTAGGATACGGAGCAACAGGAACACGGCCACGCGACCACACGTGCTCGCGTATGTGCGCCGGACAAGGCGTCTAGAGGCTGGCGGACCTAGCGTCGCAGCCGAGATAACATCGCTCTCTACCACCGACGGGCCATTCAATGCAGCGCGGAAATGAAATCAATGGACATGCTCATAGAACAGCGGGCGCATGGGGTACATTTTGGTAACGCGGCGGCATATCATCATAGACCTCCCACACCGTCCACCTGACACAACAGACTCCCTAATCCTGTGCCTGCACCGGGAACTCGAACACGACATCCTTGCCCGTAAGGCGGCGGTAGACGGACGAGAACGAGTCGAGCTTGTACTCGAGTGATGTCGCATCCTTGGAGTCGAGGAACCTGCAAACAACCCGATCAGCGCTCGTGCTGCACTGAGTAGGCCCACTGCCACGTACACTTTGAGGAGTTTTGAGCCGTCAACAGCGACACGCGTCCGCTTGCCAACGATCTCTGTGGGGAAGACGAGGTCCTCGAGGATCTTCTCGTGGACGTTCGTGAGGGTGCGGCTACGAGGCCTCTTCTGCTTGACGCGAGAAGTACGGGTGGGCTTGCGCAGCATCCGGCGCTGGGCAACAAACACGACGTGACGGTCCGAGAACTTCTTCTCGAGTTCCCGGGTCAGCCTTCATAGAGATCGACTTCAAGTCAGATTCAATGACTTGCATAACTCGGGTGCAACGTACCTTTGTTGGACCTTGTGGAAGGCCTTGAGCTGAGGTACCGGGACGAAAACAACGATGGCCTTCTTGCCACCGCGAACGTCAACTTCACGGGCGGCAGAGATCTGGAGAGGTCGCAGCTCAGACTTGAGCTCGGGAACGTTGTTCTCGAGGTCGATTATCGCCTGCGCGACGCTGATCTCCGTCTCATCGGGAGGAGTGGTGGGGGCGTTGGCCGTGCGGAAGATCTTGTGCTGTACCGACATCTTGAAGCTTGAGGGACCTGTAAAGGATACGCACAGGGTCAGCATCCAGTCGTCCGCCCAGCCATCCATCCCTTTCCACCGAGTGTCTCGCTCCTTTCGCCTGCACAACTCTCGGGACCATCTCCAAGACCGTCTCCAGCAGCAATTCGAGGAGGATCGTGTACTCACCGTGCCTACCGCCGTCGTTGACTTGGGATGCGGTGATTTTCGTGGTGCAGTCGATGCTGGCAGGTTAGCGCACGTGAGTGAACAAGCGCGGGGACCCCGAAAGCGGCGATAGTCCGGCGCTCAACCTCGCCTCCATTCAACGCAGCACAACAGAACCTGCCACTGCCTTCTGTGTTCAGTTCTACTTCATGTTGCCGAATTTGTTGTTTCATGGTATGTGCATGCGTGACAATCCCTGGTGGTATGTCTCGCGCTCTCTATGATGCCTACAATTATTCAATGTCGTCGACACAACTCAATTATTATCTCTGCTTTTCTTGAACTCCTCTACCCAGTTTGTCTCTGTCGCGCCCTTCGGCAGTACCACGAACGTCAAGCACCCATCCTTGAGCTCGAGTCCATCCTTCGGCTGCCCCTCCTTTTCCTTAGATGCCTTGAACACGTCCCTCAACGTCATCTTCTTGCCGATCTTCAATAGGCGCTTCCTACTTGTCATGGCGTACACGACCAACTTGTCAGCAGGGTATTCGTGATTCTTGTCCCAGTGAGGCTCAGGTGCCTCCGGGGGGAACATGGCCGCCAGGTGTGCTGAGAATTGCGTGTCCTCGACGAAGTGCGAAATGACGTCGGATGTTGCATACTGAGGGTATAGGAAAAAGACGGGGACAATGAGGGTACTGTTGGTCGGATCCTCTGGGTCAAATGACGGCGCGTAGGGGTTCTCGGAAGCTCCGTTCGGCGGTGAGATGACAATCAAGTTCCGTTCCTATGGAGGCCGCAATCAGGCACTATTGGTGGCGCGTTCTCTCGTAACTACTCACCTTGAAAGCTGCTTCTAGTCTCCGTTTGTGTTCTTGCTCTTTGCGGATCCGCTCCTGCCTCTCCCTCTCTCTCTTCTCCTTGGCAGTCTTCTGATTCTCTGCCTTTTGACGTAACGCTCTCACGTCCTTGTTCTTCTCGTCGAATTGTAAGCAGCGGTCACAGCAATCAATGGCTTCATCGAATCGTTCGAGGGCCATGAGGGCCAGTGCTGACCGATAATGTGCCTTCGACGAGCGTGGGTTTGTCATGATGGCTTTCGAGCAGTCCTTCAGCACCGAGCCGTAGTTCACTTCGTGGTGTAGAGCTAGTCAGCCGACTGAATACGCACATGCAGACAACATCCGCTCACTCAATTCCTGGTTACATGCTGCTCGGTTGCATAGGAGTGCCTCGGTGAGAACAGGATCGGTTGGCTTGGCATCTATTCCCTGCGCATAAAACCCAAGAGCCTCCCGGTAACGTTTCCCTTTGAAGTAGTCATTTCCTTGCTCTTTGAAGTTCTGTGCGATTTCTGGATATGGACATCAACATGTAATAGGACATCAGATCTTACAGACGTACCGTCTGATGTCCCTTCATGCGCTAGGCTCTGTAATGCTGCTACTGTCGGATCTTCCAGCGAATCCTCAGGCAATGATTTCATGAAGAGAGGGACCGAATCGAATGCCGCTAGTTTCTCCTCGATCGGAGCGGGCTGAGGCAACGGGACATGTGATGATCCCGACATAATTGAGGGTAGATTAGGCCTGATTTTCTAGACAGAGAGTCGACAATGGTCAAGCTCGAATGGCAAGGTGTAAGGAAGGAGGAAAGCTGGTTTTCAACTCGGATGACTGGCCATGACCGGTGTATACGATCGAGATCGCTCATCGAGATCCGATCGGCATCACGTCACTCACGACTCATCGGGCCGGTGAGAAGGAACGGGGAGCCATGTCTCCCGACTCTGGCGGCTCTCTGGCGGCACCCTCCGCTGCACGAGTCGACGCAAGTTGATATTCTGCCTCCTTCCCATTGAACTGTCTCTCTAACGTCGATAACTCCTTAGCCATACGCGTCATGAATGTCAGAGGCTTGGTGGCAGCCCTCAATGGTAACGGACGATATGCGTACAAGGCTCGTCTCAGTCTCGATTGATGCGGTTAGGCCACGGCTGGCTAACTGTTGGCTTTCAGTAGAACCCCGAGTTTGCTGTCGACTACTTGGTTATTGGCGGAGGTAAGTAGGCCTCTCAGCTTCTGCTGATTGCCACCCACCTTCTCTACCAGGTGTAGTGGGCTTGGCTATTGCCCGTCAATTGGTTCGGACGTTCCCGTCCAAATCGACATTCCTGGTCGAAAGGCATGAGAGGGCAGGAGAAGAAATCAGGTATTTCCGTCATGCAGCACTGCTACCTCGTTTCTCATGTGAAGCGGCACCAGTTCTCGGAACTCGGAGGTTGTTCACGCCGGTGAGCCTTCAGTTATTACGGCACACGAGTCATCGACTCAATGGTACGACACTCCCATTTACGGCCAGGTCTATACTACCCTGGCGACTCGCTGAAGACGCGCCTATGCATCCGAGGAAGGCATCTCATGTACGAGTATTGCCGCGAACACAATGTCCCTTACAAGAAGGTTGGCAAACTGGTCGTAGCGCGTGACGATCAGCGACCATACATCGAGGGCCTTCATGCGAAGGCCGGCAAGATGGGCTGGCCCCTGCATTCTCCCCCGTCTCTGGCACAGACCGCAGCGTTACCGACACAACTGATCAGCGGGGAGCAAACACGGGAGCTCGAGCCTGACCTGTCCAAAAGTATCGTAGCAGCACTATGGAGCCCAGATACGGGCATCGTGGATTCCCATGAGCTCATGGACAGCTTCGAGGCCTGCGTCACCGATGGAGGCGGCGAGGTAGCGTACCAAACGCGCGTCGTTCGAGTCGATCCATACAAGCCGGATACGAGCTCAGGCTCAGAGCTGCAAGATAGTGGCTGGGTGGTACAAACGGTTACGGGAGAAGGAGACAGCGACGCAATGCTCGCTCGGAATATCATCAACTGCTCAGGTCTTGCCGCACATCTCATCCTGAACTCCCTGCTGCCGAAGCAGTCCCGCATCCCTATGTACTACGGTCGAGGTTCGTATGCATCGTACCGAGGACCGGGCATCAAGAATGTCTCTCATCTCATATACCCGTGCCCTGATACTGGACGCACCGTTCACGGCTTTCAGTCGCTAGGCACGCACCTCACTCTCGACATGCAAGGCAAAATCAAGTTTGGACCCGATCTCGACTGGCTTCAGCCTCCATCTTCTCAGACCGACAGCGACCTCGTTGACGACGCTGATCCCGATTTTTGGCAGAATCATCTCATCCCAGACGAAAGCAGGATGGGACAGATGATCGACGCGGTCAAGCAATACCTACCCGAGGTCAATTCAGAAGGCTTCCAGCCGGACTACTGTGGTGTCAGACCGAAGTTGGTCGGACCGCAGGGCGGGTTCCGAGACTTTGAGTTCCACACGCACTATCCACACACGTTCCTGGGCCCTCATATGGATCCCGGAAGGGTACGCACACCGATGATCAGCCTGCTGGGGATCGAGAGTCCCGGGCTGACATCGAGTCTGGCGATTGCGGAGAAGGTCGTGGAGGACATGCTCTGCGGAGAAAATGGACAAGCAAAGGAGTAAAACAGTGTATTATATCCGGACGGAGAGTACAGTCGTGTCTATGCACCCCGCTGAGCAACCTTCGGCTCCCAAGCCTCGTATTTGGGCTTCGTCGTGTTGTAAGATTTGTACGCGCCCCTCGTGCCGGTCAAGTTCTCGTGGTACGGCTTTTTGAGAACATGAGTATCATTGCAGCAAATAAGGAGATTGATAAGTGCTTACTGCCTTCCACGGAGGAGAGAGGTTCTGCATGATCCGGTCTTCGGGGGGAGGATCCTTGCGAATCTGGTGCAACCATGCGTGCCATTCGGGTGGGACTTGGGTGGCATTGAAGTCATGCTGCATGCAGAGTGAGCCCACTCGAGCTAGACTGAGGGTGCACATGGTAAACCCATACCTGCGAGAAGTCAACCCATCGGTGACGACCTGTGCGATTCTAGTCAGGACAGCTCTCGTCCTGAGTCCATGACTGCACTCACCAGGGACTTCCTCCTCCGCATTCAGGTTCTCAAAGTAGCGGTTTCCGAACCTGCGCGACGCAGTCAGATCTGCTCCTCAGCTGCAGTAGCCTCGACAGCGTTACGCACTGGTCCCTGCCCATGAACTTCCCCGACTTGGCATCGCCGATATACTGCATCTGATGCCACCATTCCTTCAGACCGACCCTGCGGATGGAGCGTATAGTTCGAGCGAGGGAGACCATTCCTGGCCAGGCGCAACTGTCGGAGACTTGATGGTCGCAGACTCGCAGACTCGCCGGCGACTCCGAGGCGGGGTGCTTACGTAAGAGAACCGAGTGAGCGCCTGCAGACACTGAGACAGGCGAGCAAATCGCGCTGTCGGTGTCGCCGCTTGCAGAGTGTTCCACCACTCTGCTCTCCATGATACGCAGTGCCTCGTCCTCCGTGCATGCTACCTCCAGCAGCCTCAGAGCGTCTCTACCCTCCTCCGCAGCAGGCTCGCGCTTGCTCTCCACCAGCATCCAAACAGGCCGTCCGAAACCTGACCGCCCGCGGGGGTTACAACCACCGCAATCTTCACCTCGTAGGCAGTACGCTCACAGAAAGGACACAGAAACCCACGAAGATGGACCAACCCGTATCTTGCGCCCCCTAGTCCCCAAAGCTGCGAAAAGTCGCGGTTTCCCATCCTCAGAGCGACCATTACTGCGTCCCTATGCATTGTCGTCTCGCTTACAGCAGCTGTGCCGTGAAGGAAAGCTGGATGACGCTATAACGCACCTACAAAGCATGCCTCTCGATGCCCAGAATGAAGCGGTCTGGAATACCATGATACAAGCCGCGTTGCGCAAGGAGCGGTACCAGTTGTCATACCGGCTTTACATCGATGTATGTTTCTCGTCTTCGCATATCAGCTTCCATCCTCAGACGTTCCCAGATGAAAAGACGTGGCTTCGTGCCAAACATCAAGACGTACGCCACGATGTTTGCAGCCTTTATCGCCGTAAAGGACTGGACGTTGCACGCAAAGCTGCTGCAGCAAGTCGGCAAGCTTCACGATGATTACCTGAAGTATGCTGCCCATTTCAAGGTGGTTGATCCAGCAAGCGACGAGCTCAGCACAGCACCTACGAGAGCGTACCTCCGTATCTTAGGCACTGCTGGGCAGCACCAGCTTATGTTCGACGTCTTCAACGCTATGGACGAGGAAGGGCCAATGGCACCTGACCTCCTAGTTCACAGCGCTATGCTGCAGGCGGTCTGTATGCGACATCCTATCGGACTTTCTCCCGACGCCCAGTCTGCTGTGAGAAAGGAGAACGCAGCCCAGGCGAAACTCCTTTGGCGGCGGCTTCTCAAGTTCATCGAGAAGAACCCACCTGCGCAGGTGGACAGTTACCACGTCAGGGAGATGCTTTACGCTCTTTCACATAGCAGCCCCTCCGATCACCTCCTCGCCTTTGACATCATACGCGACTATCTGGGCCTTGCCAAACCTGGCGAGTCACCAAAGCCACCCGTCGTCGCGCTGGAGGGACATAGTTTCGCGCAAGTGTTGCACCTCTGTAATTCCTCGCAGAAGTATCGCCTCACGGTCCACTTCTTCCACGAAGTGTTGCAGCGACCCGTTTCATCTACCCAAGGATCTATCATTACCGAGGCCCACGTTGAATCCGTTCTCCGAGCTCATGCGTCGCTTGCCATGATGAACAACGATGACTACGAAGCCAGACAAGCTCTGGACACTCTGCTGTGGCTCCTCAAAGAGTGGGCCATCGTGGGTCGCTCCGACCAGCTTCAACCACGGCGGGAACACTTCGACGTTGTCCTGAGCTGCTGTTATCGAACGGGCAACTGGGCGCTCGCGTCGCACACTTTCGAGGTCCTTACGGGCTACCGCGTCGCTGACTTCGCGGACGGCGCTCCAGCGACGAACGACGATCAATTGCAGCCTCACCTGGACATCCCCGAGGGGCGGACCAGACTTCCCGACACGGTCTTCCTCTCCCATCTCGTGCGCACGGCCCTCACCTCGGGCGATGTCGCCAACATGCGCCAATGCCTGCGGATGGTCGAAATTGTGGACCCGAGCTGGTTCTACCCGCACCCGGAGAACCGAAGATTCGATCCCACGGCGAACACACGGCAGAATGTCGCCAACAACATGCGCTTCTACGCTTCGAGGCTGGCGGAGGACGTCGTTACGGTCATCGACAAGGTTGTCCCAAAGGATGCCGAGCGTGAGAGCCACACGCCGGAGGAGGGGCGGTGGTTGAGGATGAGAGCCAGAGCGAAGGGTCTGCTGCGCGTAGCTCGCGAGTCCGATCATCCGGTGTCAACACCTTTCCTCGCGGAGAACCCGTTGGGTGGGGAACGTAGTCTCGCTGCAACGAACAGCTTCGTAGACTACGACATGACTGTACGGCGGACAGCGGGATCACGCTCGACGAAACGATAGTCGGGCGTCCTTTATGAGACACTGTTGTCTGCATCTCGATGTATTCGCTGTATTCTATGCGTAGGAGGGCAACATCTTTGAGAAGGATTGAATTCTGAAGATTAAAGCCAGGTACTAAATCACAGTGATACCCAAAAGCAAGGAAACTGACAGCTACCTACGACTGTCCATACCAACCGTCCTAGATGCGTATCATGCAGGGAATACCCACAAAGCAGTCCGTGTACCCCGCAGGGTAGAAATACAGAAACATAGCAACCCCCAGCGAGCCCGCAACCTATGCAACCGACTTCGGTCGCTCAATGGGGCTCGCGCTCGAACTCGCCGTGGACACGCGTAAGCGGCTTCCCCCGCCCTCGAAGCCTGGTTGTGTGAAAGCCGGTGTCGGCGGCGTGAATGGCATGTCGTCCGTGAGGGCCATCGACACAGGCTGGTATGAGTGCGATTCTCGACTGTTCATCAGGCCCACCGTCGACATGGTGTTCATGGGCATCGGTTCCGCGCGACCCGGGTTCCGACGCGCGCGGGAGCGGCCGCGTTTCCGCAGGATCCACCAAATTGCTCCACCGATGAGACCGAGTAGTAGGAGCGTGTTCAGGGCCATGAGTGCCAGAATGGCGGGGAGGAAGTTGCCGACCGTGTTCAGCGTGTTGACGAGCTTGTCGGAGAGGTCTACGCTCGTGCTGCCCCCGGAAGTGGCCCCGGTGACGTTGGCGGAGTTGTAAGTGATGTTTTGCGCAGAGCCACCGCGCGTCTTGTGGAAGTCGATTGAGGCTTGGTCGGCGTCAACGAGGGAGAGGAGCTGGATATATGGGTTGCCCAGTTTGCCGGCTGAATCGTAATCACCAAAATCGTAGACGGCGTAAACGGAACGCAAGATGTTGTCCCCAATGAGCCAGTCACTGTGTAGGAGATGAGAGTCAACTACCATGACTGTCGCGACCGATAAGATACTTTACAATTCTGTCCCACCAATACCGTCGGCGGGCATGATGGTACCGGCGCAGCGCGATGAGTTGGAGGAGTCCTTGGGCGTGATATCCAAGGGACTGATAGGGTAGACATGATTGCTGTGAGGTATCAGAGTGATCAGACATCATCAGCGTGAGCATGCACGGAAGAGCTTACCCGAATTGAAGAGCAATATCGACTTCGGCATCGCATGGAACGATCCATTGGCCCAAATCTTCGTCAAATGAAGCATCCGAGACTTGTCCATAAATCGCTTGGGCTATGTCAGTTGGAACGTATCTGTTCAAACTACCAGTGAGCTTCTTCAACAGCATATGTACATGTTAGACATACGAATACGACGTCCCGCTGTCCAGAACAATCACCGCCTTGCCAGACGGTACGCCAGAAATGACGCTCGTCGGCATAAGGGCGCTATCCTTCAGCAGTAGGTAGTCCAGCAGGATGCTCCACCGGGTCGGAGCGGTCTCGGGCCACGTCGAGATCTTGCTGCTGTTTGCGACAGCGGTGTATGACGGGTTGTACTCGCCGATCGAGAAGTAGCCTTGCACGCTGTCGTAGGAGTCCTCCGTGTCCTCGAGCGTGAAGGAGATGAAGTTCGGCTCGGACTTGTCTTTCGCGAACGCGTTGTAGAGGAACGTCCGGCCCGTGCTGGCATCGGTCATGTTGACGAGGGCGTCGACGGTGGAGAGCGAGTCAAAGCCGAGACCGAGGATACCGTCGGCGCCGTAGGAGAGGGCGGGATTATTAGCAACCTTGATGTCCATGAAGGCTTGATTTTGCACTTCGACACTGCGCGGATGAGCACTCGTTGTGGATGCGCGAGCGCGACTACATACCCAGCAAACTCTACTGTAGCGTACGAAACGTTGCCATATGCCCAGCCAATCCCATACTGTCTCACAACTGTGAATTTTGGACGCAGTGCTGAGGGACCGTGCTTACCGTCACGTTATATGCTTGCGACTGTGTGGGGGTTGTCAATCGTACCCCATGCAACAAACAAAAAGTGATGACTTACTGTGAGAGTCGTGTTTGATAGAGGGAATGAAGCGCCTTTTACCCAGAGGTCTGATGAGCCGGTATCAATTTGAAGGGGGTATACTGCATAGCGAGGTCAACAAACATGCTCGCTCGTGTCAAAACAGTGCTCCGCATCATATAAATCATCTTCTATAAACTCGGACGACGTTGGGAACTCGATGTCATCTTCACAGGAACGCGTCGGCAGTATGCGGACATGTATGATGCCCTATCGTGATGTTTTGTTGCAAGTTGTAGAGGAGTGATACGACGATTCGGATCGCTTTCGCGCATGACAAGCCGGAGTATAATCTGGAGCACCGTGACAGAGTCTCAGCTCACCTGTGCCGGCAATGGTAGCCTGCAGACTGTTAGTGACATGATCGTGTGCATGTAGCCAGTGAGGTACTCACATTTGCGATGTATAACAAGTCACGAACGGTACTTCACGGAAACGGTTCAGCCCTCCAATCGTGCGATAGCAAGCTTGACACTCACCTCAGACTCGACTCATTACTGCCGTCAGAGTCCGTCGCAGCGTCCACGACCGGACGCGAATAGGATGCCCTCCCACTCCTTCGTCTCAGTTGTGCACTCGCGTCAGGATATCGGTGTCTCGTAAACGGGACGGTAGCAGCATAAGAGAGAGGAACCGAGAGCACGAGCCAGAGAGGCAGAGCATAGAATCGCATGATGGCCGAGGCGAGCAAGCAAGCAAGCGGGCGAAATGAATGACTGGAAGCGAAGGGGGCCCGGCGGGGAGGGGGACAAAGGAGGGGACGTCGAGCACTGGCTGGCTGGGCCGAGCACCGCACGAGGGGAAGAGGGCGCGCAGGCGGTGGATAGACGACCTACAGCCGTGGGAACGCGAACCCCTTGCGATGGCACAACTCTTCTAGCGTTCGCCAGTCCTGACAACCGCGATGCTACTGCAGTCCACAGAGAGTGCTGCAGCACGTTGAGCACAGCGCTGCACAGGGCGGTCGTCGAGGGGGAAGCTTGCGCTGAAAGACCGTCCAAGGATCGCTGTTGCCTTGTTTCAGCCTTCGCAAACGCGGCTATCCGAAGCCTGATCCCGGTGCGTCCCACCACACCTCATATGCTGCCGTGATGTTGACCATGCGGGCTGCGGGTGTAGGCGTGCACCATGCGCGGCCGCTGATGTCCTCGACATTGTCCAGGTAGTCGGGAGCGCAGTTGCAGCTCCTCTGAGCCACCGACAACCCGAGTCCCGACTCTGCTTTGTCGGCGCGATGGGCCCCATGACCCTCACGTGGGCGCGTGCATTGCCGTCCGGGCTTCCTCCCTCGGACACTCCCACCGTCGTATAAGTAGTGGGGTAAGTCGTCTTCGTTGCCCCTGTTCTCTTTGCCAGCAACTCAGCGATCATGGCGCACCGTCCTGCCTCTAGGAATGTCATCAACAGACTCATCTATGCCGCACAGCACAGCGCGTGCCCGTGCCATGGCTGCCGCTCTGCGGGCGCGCACAGTCCGATGCAGGCTTTGAGCCAGATGAGAAAGTTCGCGACGCCAGTAGATGCTCCACCAATTGAGAAAGAGTACGCCTTCGAGGCGAGTAAACAGCACGGACGGACTGCGCACATACCGGAGGCTAACGTGCTCTAGGTCGCGGCATCCAACCTGCGGTTCGGCGAGGGGGTGACGCGGGAGGTTGGAATGGACTTGAAGAACATGAAGGCGAGAAAGGTATTTACGTCGTCCATGTCGGCCATCCCACTCCGCTCACTTGGTAACGCCGTAGGTTGCCGTTTTTACCGACCCCATCGTATCGAAGCTGCCGCCCATGAAGATGGTAGGCGCTAGCGCGGTTTGATCGCCCCTTCGTCTTGTTTGACAGTGCATTTCTTCAGGCACTTGCGTCACTGGAGCAGCAAGATGACTTGCCCTTCGTCGTCTACGATCGCGTCGTAGCAGAACCGACCGAGACTAGTTGGCGGGATGCCATTGCTTGGTCGCGAGAACAGGATTGCAGTCATTTCCTCGCGTAAGTGACTCAGTGTCATATTTCATATCTCAAGCCGAGTTCTCATGTCACTGTCTGCAGAGTGGGAGGTGGAAGTGTCATGGACACGGCGAAGGCCGCCAATTGTACGTTTTCGCCCATCAGTTCGCTGACCATGCTGTCTGATTTGATTGATATCTTCAAGGTTCACCGTGTACAAGGACGCCGACCTATTTGACTTCATCAATGCTCCTGTCGGGAAAGGATTGCCAATTACGCAAACGCTTCGTCCACTCATCGCAGGTATGCTTGGCTCGAAACCACAGGTTGCCTACAGGCCGTGAACTTTTGCTAACTCTCCGTCATACAGTGCCAACGACGGCGGGAACTGGTTCGGAGACAACAGGGACGGCCATCCTGGATATCCCATCCATGTCATTCAAGACTGGTATTGCTAACCGGGCGATGAAGCCCACGCTCGGTATCGTCGACACTATCAACACACGTTCGTGTTCAAGGGAGCTGCACATCAGTTCTGGTCTGGACGTCCTCTTCCACAGTCTGGAGAGCTACACGGCAATTCCGTATGTGCATGTTCGGCGCGCATTGGCGCCAGCATTGACGTATCTCCCGCAGTTACACTGAACGCATGCCCCGGCCAAGTAACCCCAATCTCCGCCCCGCATACCAGGGCAGCAACCCCGTCGCGGACATCTTCTCGATGTGGGCGCTGCATACAACTGTGAAGAATCTGCCGAGGATCTCCAAAGACCTGGGCGACTTTGAGGCCATGCGTCAGATGGCGCTGGCAGCTTCGTTCGCGGGCATTGGGTTCGGTAACGCAGGTGTCCATCTGTGTCATGGCATCAGCTATCCGGTAAGCTTGGACATGTCTTATACTGAGACTGCGATGCTTACAGTACCATAATGCAGATATCCGGATTGAACAAGGCGGGCCCGAAGTACAAGCATGCAGGATATGATGTCGACCACCCCATCATCCCACATGGCGTCAGTGTCGCACTGTCCGCACCCGCCGTCTTCCAATTTACCGCACCCTCCTCCCCGTCGCGGCACCGCGAGGTCCTCTCCGTCTTCCAAAACACCACGCCCGCGGATCCCAGCATCTCCGCGATCCCCGACTCGGAGGTCGGCGCGCACCTGTACGAGGCGATCGCACGGTTCTTGGATGGTCTTGGCGTGCCGCGGGGCTTGAAGGCTGTGGGGTACAAGAAGGAAGACGTGCCGAGTTTGGTGGAGGGGACGATCCCCCAGAGGAGGGTGCTGGATCTGGCGCCGGGCATTGGCAACGTCGCGGGTGCGGATGGCAGAGAACACTTGACCGACATCATTGAGAGGTCGCTTGAGTACTGAGCGCATGTGCTGTATACTAGGATTCGCGACCATTTGACAACTGTATATTAGATGTCTTGCGCACGCCTGTTATGGAGCTCAGGAATATGCAAGCAAGTAAATTGCTGGCTTAAGTATGAACTATGCGAATCGTTAATGTAACGTACTTCCTTGAGGGAACAAGGTCGGTCGCAGCCACAGACGCGTATTGACGCGGTCACGGACACATAAGCGCCCGTTGCGCTCAGAGCGCTCATTATTGTGCGATCGCATTGGTCTCCGGAACCGATCTGCTTGAGAAATTGGTTATCGCGCCAGTCACTTGTGTGAGAGGCATAATTGGCATCGACCCATCCTCAGTTACATGCGCTTTCTCTCCCGCATATCTTTCTCTCGTCCACGATCTGCGCCCGCCCATATTTATACGTACTATCTATCCGCGCGCGGGAGGAAGATGAGCACACGAACGTATAGCGACGCAGTCGACCACCTCAACTCGCTCCAGTCCAATGCCGCCACACTCGAGGCGCTGCGGACGGGCAAGAGCCGCATGGACTCGCTCGCGATACCGGAGATGGTGGAGTATCTTGGGAGGATTGGTTATACTGCGAGTACCTTCTTTCAACGTTTGAGCGTGCTTCGCCTGAGCAAGTGCACACCAGCCAGAAGATCTGAACAGACTGAACGTTATACATATCACTGGGACGAAGGGGAAAGGATCCACGTCTGCGTTCACAGATTCCATCCTGCGCCATGTGAAGCCTGAGTGGAAAGTCGGTGAGAGCCGCTCATTGGATCTGGGTGATTTGGTGTCGAACCGTGAGCAGGTCTGTACACATCTCCGCACCTGGTCGCCGTGCGGGAACGGATACGCATCAATGGTGCGCCACTCTCCGAGGACCAATTTTCCCAGTTCTTTTTCGATGTGTGGGATAGGCTGGAGAAGATTGATAAGGTACGTTGTATCAAGCGAGCAATCCGATGATCTATTCATGTTCGGTGCAGAGGGAACACGCAGAGACGTCGAAGATGCCCGCCTACTTCCGCTTCGTAACGCTGGTAGCATATCATGCTTTCCTCAGTCTCGGTGTAGATGCGACCATCCTCGAAGTCGGAGTCGGGGGATGTACGATAGCACAAACATAGTGCCCAAGCCTGTTGTAACAGGTGTTTCTGCGCTCGGACTTGATCACACCGCTGTGCTCGGAAAGACCATCGGTGAGATAGCGTGGCAAAAGGGAGGCATTTACAAGGTACGCCTCGTGCTTCGGTGGCGATTGCAACGCTGAACTGGGGATTTACAGGAAGGGGTCCCTGCTCTGACTGTAAATCAGCCTGAAGAAGGCTTCGAGGTGCTCAAACAGCAGGCCCAGAACAGAAAGGTGAGCCAAATTGCCCTGCTGAATAACCAGTTATGAACGGGAGTCAAGCAAGGCATCCGAGCTCATCCTCGTACCGCTCACGGCAGGACTATCAAAGATCGAACTAGGCGCGTATATCCTTATTCGTGTATATCCTCTGCCGCTTACGGATGAATAGGCCTCGCGGGCACGCATCAATACCAAAACGCTGGTCTCGCTGTGCATCTCACGAAGCACTTCCTGCACGTCAAGGCAGGCTGGTCACTCGACGATACACTTCCCTCGTCCTTCGTGGAAGGACTGAAACAGACAAGGTGGCCTGGGCGATGCCAGACTGTCGTTGACCCAAAGCTTGCACGCCTTACCTGGTTCCTGGACGGCGCACACACGAAAGAGAGCCTCGAATGCTGTATGCAGTGGTTCGCGAGCCCCGCCGCGGCGTTGCGTCAAATAGTACCCTCGTATCGCCATTGGCTCAATTGCCCGAGTGCACCTCTGGTAGCCACCATGAACTTTGTAATTAGGACGAGGGTGCTAATCTTCAACTGCACGAACGGCCGGTCCGCACACGCGTTGCTGGAGACCGCCGTTGCGAAGATCGCCGCACAGCTGCAGCTGCACGGAGAGGCAAAAGACGCCAACTCATTCTTCGACTACGTCATCTTCTGCACAAATGTCACTTACACCGACGGAGGATTCAAAGGCGGTACGTTTATTCGCCACTGTTGGTATCCATCAGTCTCATGGAAAGCGTGATCCGTAGACCTGACCTCCAAGTCGATCCCGGAGAAGGACCTCGCGCAACTGACGACGCAGCACGAACTTGCTGCGGCATGGTCGTCCCTCATCCCGACGTTCCCCTCCGATCATATCCACGTCGTCCCCTCCATCCAGCACGCCGTTAACCTTGTGCACGAGATTCTCACCGAGAACGAGCTATCACAAGTGGTTGACGTGCTCGTCTCCGGCAGCTTGCACCTTGTCGGCGGCGTCATCGAAGTTGCGGACTTGTCAGAGGTTGCGCTGTGATGGAGAACGTGTATAGTGATTTATAGAGGTCCGCATGCTATGTCTTATGTTTATTATTCTGCACATTTTACTGCTCCGCCTTCAACAGGCACAATAATCTAGATGTATAGTCTAGAGGCATGTACACGGGTGGCAGTCAGGGGTGCCGTTTGCGTGTTCGATCGCCACCGGGTCCGTCGGCTCCGTGGAAGTGGATGGCCTTTGCAATAGAGGGTAAGCAAACGGAGTTGTGCGATGTGATCAAGGAAGGTAGGTACCATCTTGTCTAGGAACGTGCGGATCCTGGTCTTCATCAAACCGAGTTTCCTCGTCTGGATTAGTCCCGCGTCCATCGCGAGCTGCACGAAGACGTCAAAATGGACAGGCTATAGGCATGGAGTGTATCATCAGTATCCACGCCAGGGATTACAGAAAGTGCAAAGCCCGCAACGTGGACTGACCTCATAACGAATGATACGCAGGTGCAGGTTCTTGTCTTGCATAATAGCGTCATGTAGTCTGGACTCGAACTCAGCTTCTGTGATGTCTGGCGGACTCTCTTTGACGGGAGATGAAGACGTTGCTGGTTGCTTGCCCTTCCTTGACCTGGGTTTCTTTGCGGGCCGCTCACGTACGGGCATAGATGACCCCCCTGCTACCGCAACGGTCCCGGTGCTCGCTCCTTGAACAGCCGCCCTGCTCGGTCCAACGTCTGATGTCCTCTGCAAACGCGAAGGTCCTGCCACAGGAGACAAGGATCGATCCTTCTCTATAGCTGGCGAGACGTATCCTTGACCTCTGTCTTCTGGGTTGAAATGAAGGTATGCATCATCGAATCCCCAATCCTCTGGACGATGATCATATTCAACATGTTCTATATCCGCTACATCGTCCATCTCAATCGAAGTCCGTGGTGAACTGAGGCTAAAAGTGGTATACCTACCATGACGGATAGAGTCCGAGCTAACGTCCGTCGGGGAATTTGTGATTAAGCGTGAGTGATGTTCAGTACGCGAAAGGCCCGTCCGCAGATATCTTGGAGAAGCTGCGCTTCCGCTTGGTGACAGAGGACGGGCAATCTAGTTGTTATGAGTCTTACTCAATCAGTGGTAGCAAGGTTAACTCACGGTCGGCGGCGGCGATTTGTTCGCTGTATCAAGGGCTCGCGTACTGCCGAGGCCCGTTGCCAGTCGACTGGGAGCAAATACCTGCATTGAGGGAGAGAACTCGTCTTCGTCCCCAGGGGCTTCTGCTGTGGTCGTGGCACTGATGATCGTAGCGAGCCTACTAGGAGCGAAGAGCTGGGTGGGAGCGAACGCAATTGGCTGTATGGGCTCTTCATGAATCCGTGGGTTCCTTGCCAACGCGCTTTCGCCGAATGCTTGAGTGGGCGGTGGCATCTCTGTGCCTTGCTCTTTATCCCGTGTCCGCAGGGTGTCGACTGATTCGCCCCCGGCACCCCGTCCACGTTGTGGCTCTTCGAGTAGTGCGCGGGCTCTATCGAGGATGTAGCCACGCGTATCTGCCAGATTGCGCACCGTCTCTGGCACCGCACGCCGCCGGGTCCTCTTCTTGTTCGTGCCGTCTGTCCAAGTCTCCAGGAGGGTCCCTGACTCCTTGGCTTTCTCCGCTGCATCCATGTTCTTCTCGGGTAATGGTGGTGCTACTGCCAGTTCGCTCCGGAGGAGAAACGCCACCGTTGAATCCGTCAATGATTTCTTCTTCGCACAAGCTTGAATGTGCTTCAGTTTTTGAGCGACACCTTTGCGCGCGGTCCAAGCCATCTCGCAACTGACACATTTGAGTAGCCTAGCGAAGTCGGCCTCGGCGAACTCCTCCATGAATGTGGCTTAGCCTTGCTCGTGGCCCTTCTTGTCGGTTGCGCGGCACTGCAGCACTGACTGAGGATCCTGAACGTGATGCAGTGCTCGTAGACGAGGGGTTGCGTGATCGCCCCTTGAGTGGTGCGTTATACGCGAAGCTCTTGAGTTTGAGGTTCATGCCTGCAGACCCCTCGTCATCGGAGTCGTTAGGCTCTGTCGACGGACGAGATGACTCTGAGCGGTCGGATATAGGCTGTGGTATGTCGATAGGCGGTTCATGATATTCCGGAGACGGCACACGTTTGACAAGGAGGGCATGGACTGAAGGCATTGAGGGATATCGCTTGCGCCGTCTATGAAAGAGATCCAATGATGCGAAACGTTGACTAATGCATTTTGCTTACCACTGATGTCAACAGCAGGTACTTCATATATGCCATATGCCCTCGACTTGCCCGGCTGCTCATCAAGGACACTGACATTGGACGCGCGTTCTGATTCAGAGCTGTCATCTACAGACCGAAGCATATAAGAAAAGTACTACAAAAGTCAAATAATGCGCTTGCCATGTATGCTGATAACACTTTGCGTAGCCGGAGGAACTTGGGATGATTGAGATACAGGCTGGGTGAGGAGAGGTTCTTGACTGTCTGTCAATTCTATGACATCGCTTTGGTAAGGAACGGGTTGGTGAAGCTGTTTCCGACGTTTGCGATGCTCTTTCTCTCCCTGTCTGCGTTCCTCTCTCTCTGGTTCAGAGTCAGACACCTCGCACACGTCTGTAGGGCCGGCAGAGACCCAAGTCGCAATAGGGGTTAACTTGGAGCGGGCCGTTGGCTGACTTGCCGCGAGTCTACTGAGAGTGCGATGCATTGCGGACGGAGCTGTGCTGGATGGTCTGCGGAAGAAACGGGATGAAGAGGATAAGACGCGTTTCATGAGAATGTGGAAGTGACATGTAACCACTCGACGCGTTCAACCTGAACGCGACGCGACACCGCAAACGCGCTTGTCACAGAATGTCACGGTCGCGTCTGACGCGTGTGACAACACGCGGCGCGTCTCAGAGTGCCACTGCCCAACACGGAGTTGCAAGTTTCGAGCAGCAGGCTTGGGCGAGGCTCGTCGGACTCTGTCCTCCTCGTTCCTTCTTACCATCATCTGTGCTCGTGGCGAAAACCGGTCTGATTCAAGACGAATGCCTCCACCAACTGCCTCGACTGAGACCTTCTCGCCCGAAGAACTCTACAACGTTGTCTGTAGCGCGGCATCTCAGGACCCTGCGCAACTGCAGGCATCTGCCACTCGACTGAAGGAGATCCTGCAACTGTTTGGTGCCTATGATACTTTGTATGAGATTGCGTCACAAAGAACAGTTCCTCTGCCCGTACGTCAACAGAGTATCATCCAGTTCAAGAACAGTGCCATAAGCCATTGGCGATCAAGAAAGTGAGTGGAGAAAGAGACTCAATGGGATGGCTCTAACTCCTAGCACATAGACTCTTCTCAGACCAGCATCGAGAACGCGTACGCGTGCGATGCTTGTCACTTTTAGACGAGACCGATGACGTTGTAAGTTTCCTAGAGAGTAGCTCTCCCCGGCATCGCTCAAAGCAGGGTAGATCGCTGAATGCAACGAAGTCATCATCGCCAAAATTGCACGCTATGACCTCCCTCAAAACTGGTATGTGCCTGACTTCCGATTGCCTATAGAAATGCATTGACTTTCGCCAGGCCTGCTCTGATTCCGCACCTACTTGGGACCATTGGTACAAACGTTGATGCACGTTACGGAGGTGGTCAGGGTGGATCAGCCATTCATCTCCGGCGCAGCTTGGAAGTCCTCAATGCGATACTAAAGGAGTTTATGAGTGTCAAGTTGCCTAGTGGATTGAAGGTCATGGGGGCTGTGAGTAGTCTTGTGCATGCGATCCTTTGTGTCTGACGCTTGCAACCCTAGCTTGTGCAAGAGCTCCACCAACCCTTACAGGGTCATTACTCTCGAGTGGCATCGTCATTCCCTACGACCACTACTCCAGCTTCAATCTCTCAATCTCGTCATGCGGAGGACTTATTGTTCGCCCATCTTATATTCAAGTGCGTCGTTAAGTCTGCAGAATGGACTTGGAACCGCATCGTGCACAACAGCTACGAGCATCTGGAGCCTTGGGTACGGTGCTATGCTGCTCAATCTGCAAGTCTATGACAAACGCTTCATTCCAGATTCAACAGCTGTTCCAAGCGTCTGCCATGCAATTACAGTCCCTCTCGGAACTACGCATTAACCTCATGCTTGCCCTACAAACCACGCAGACAGACGAGATCGGTACACGTTCCGTCGACATCTTAACCCGTCATGTCAGGCTCTTCGGCAAACTCTTCCGGCGCATGCAGCAGTTGGCTTCGTCGCGTTTCATTGCGCTCCCTCTCTGCAGCGACCTCGTCATGTACTACTGGAGCAAAGTTGTGCAGGCATCAAATGCCCCTGCAGAGGCAATCTCTGGTATGGCGCTCACTTCGCATGACTGTGCTGCTGTGGCTCATCTATGGGCGCGTTACCTTGTAGATACTTGGAGCGCAGTGTTTCCTGTCCGTTTCCTAGTCCAAGCGATGGTGCTCTTCAAAGACAGTCTGGCCCAGTGGGCACCCGTCCGCAAGGATGGCTCTCAGAATGCAAATGGTGTGCTCAATGTTTTCTTCCCTTGCCCATTGACTAAATCACTGCAAGCACTATCCAAGGAGTTTGTCGAGAATGCCGTGCAACTGCTGGTTACGAGGTTCATCCCGCTGAACCCGTCTGACCTTGAGGAATGGGTGTCTGATCCGGAGGGTTGGGTCAACCTTGAAGAGCAAGACAACGAGCAGTGGGTTTTCGAGATACGCGTGCGTCCACTCCTTGTTTCGATGAGAGATTTCGCCTGAAAGTTCAGTATAGCCGTGTGCAGAACGTGTCCTCATGACGCTTGCCAACAATTACCAGCAATATGTCACTCCGCTGCTGGACACTACGTTCAAGCAAGCTGTTGGTACGCACGTTAAACCCTTATGCGAAAGTGGTTGTATCTCACGCCGTCGTGGTCGCAAAGGGCAAAGGCCTGTTGATCTTCCGGGCGTCGTACAGAAGGAAGCATTATACTGTGCTGTCGGCCGATGCGCAACGCGTTTGAAAGAATCGATCCCTTTCGGCCAATGGCTTGAGCACACGCTGATTGCTGAAGCCCAAGATTCTAATGCGAGGTCAGCGGTTGCGTTTCTGTGTGTCTATCCGCCTCTCAACTGTACACACAGCTATCCAATTCTGAAGCGTCGCATAGCCTGGCTAGTGGGGAAGTGGATCTCGGACGATTGTTACCCAGCGAACGATCCAAAGATATGGCAAGTCCTGCTCTACCTATTGCAAGATCGAGGACAGGGTTCCGACGAGGTCGTGCGGCTAACTGCCGCCATGGCGCTCAGAGAATGTGTGGATGTAAGTACACAGCTATCATTACTGCAATCACTGCTGACCTATACGGGTGTGGTTGCGACAGACGTTGTCTTTCGATGTCGACGTCTTCACTCCCTTCTTGTCAACATCTGTCAATGAGCTCGTACGACTCATGGCCGAATCGGAGACGTTGGAGGCGAAGCGCCGCATTGCGAACAGTTTGAACACGGTCATAGAACGAGCAGGAACAAGGGTACGTCTCGCTATCGATCAGATTTTGAAGACACCTGCGTGACTGAGATGTATTTAGATCGTCCCTCTCATTGGGAACATCGCTCAGCCGCTTCCACAGCTCTGTAAGTCGACGCAGACGCGCTACTGCTTGACTGAGTGTTCATTGCACACTATGATAGGGAACACTGCCGGAGAAGATTGGCTGTTCAAAGTGAGTCTGTTGGGGACCCTCACGAACCTTGTGCAGGTATGTTCGTAGGCATGGTGGCGTATACCGCGCGTTCCTCATGCTCGATCTCCGTAGTCATCCATGGAACATTCCGTCACCCTCACAAGCCTTGTTGTTCACCTGATCCAACAAAGCTTTACCCCAGGTGTACGTAGTAATATTTGCCCGTCGTTCGCTTTCTCACCTGTCATAGGCACAATTACACCTTGACCAAGATGCTCTTGCGCTGTGGTTGATTGCCATCCGCAACTCCACAACGCTTGAGGGTGTTGATGGCGGTCCGGGCTACATCAGCCTCTTCCCGCTGGTCATCTCGCTTCTATCCGAGAACCTTGACCTCCTCGGTAGCATCAGCGAGATTGTCGAATCTTACCTCCTCGTCGATGCCACGCGTATACTGCAGGTATGTGCAAGAGTTTCTGAATTTTGAGTTTGAACATTAAATTCGTCGCAGCTTTACGCCGTTGAGCTGTTCCAAGCTTTTGCGAAGGCGATGACACAGGCGGTCGAAACAAACGTCGGTGATATGGCAAGAATTCTGACTACGCTCTTCCAAATTGGGCCACCTCAGCTTTGGGGAGAACCATTGCATAGATCCGGTCTCTTTGCGCTTGTGGTGAAAACACTCACAGACGACAAAGTGTGCCACTTCTCATATGAGATTTGCCATGACTGACCCACTATGCACAGGCGAAAACATCCATCCTAACGGAGGAAATCTACGTCCTCGCCCGAGTCGCTGTGGCCAACAAACAGCTCTTCCTGCAGCTCATGCAAGCTACAGCCCAGGCGCACAATGTTTCTGAAGCCCATATCTGGGAAGGGGTCCTCGACCAGTGGTGGACGAGGGTGCGTTCAATGTCGCATCTCCCATCTTCCCGGAACTCAGGCTTTTCGTCTCATTATTACTCCCGCTGCAGTTCGATAATATGTCAGAACCGCGGCATCGGAAGCTGACAGCCATGGGGATCGCGAGCCTCATCTCTACGGGCCGTCAGGAGGTCCTGGGTCGGCTGTCATCCGAGGTTTGTAACCTGTGGTTGGACGTTTTCGGGGAGATAAAGGAGACTGAGAGCCAGGCCGCCGAGCCCGAGTAGGTGCAGGCTGTATATCCGGCGCAGTTCGAAACTTACAGTATTTCACAGAAGCCCTACTTTGACACGGTATTGGGACAGGCCCACCGATCAGTTTTTCCAAGGTTCAGAGGACACCCTCGAATACGAACGCCGCAAAGCGGTGCGTATATTGTTCAATCATGAATCTGTGCTGGTTGACACAAGTACGCAGCTGTACGAGAACGATCCTGTGCGCACCACAAAGCTGACCACATACATCGCGACATGTCTGGCGGAAGCAGAGATGGCATGCGGGGGACCAGCCAATCTACAGGCGATGTACCTCGCTAAAGCTGACCCCACCGTGTTGGGTCAGCTACAAGCAGAGCTCGCACGTCCATGACGGACAAGTTCCTGATGCACAATGTAGCGGTCAGCAGAGTAGACTGTCTATATTGAGGGCTGACGAGGTGGATGCTAGCTATCTCCCCGCTTTCGAATAGCTATCGAGCAGTTTCCCATATCCTCAAGATTGTATACGTACCAGTCCTGTCCTTGGGCTTCTTTGGCTAATTTGTCTCGTAGATCTTAACGACGTATATTGCACGACATGACCAGACGCTTGGATAGCTCGTAATGAAACGGAACTACTTCGCTTTGCCACTACTTAAAAAAATTCGTCAGAGTGCCCTGCCCAGCCTTCCCAGCAGACTTGCGATCCTTCGGGGGTTTTCGAGCAGTTTTGCCAGGTTTCTTGTCCTCTTGACTTGCTTCCTTCGCGTCTCCCGCGTCCTTGCCATCCTCGCCCGCATTCTTCTTACCCTTGGTTGAGACTGAGGCACCTTTCTTCCCTTTACCTTTACCCTTCGCAGGCTCTTCAGCTTCCTCTTCGTCAACGGACTCATATGATGAGTAGTCTTCGGTGACTATAATTTCGGCGTTCAGCCTTGACCCTAAGTGGATTCTGCGCGAGTAACAAATCTCACCCATATAGCCCTTCTCATCTGTCTTCGTGCGAGTCCGCATGACACGCCGCTTCTTCAAGCCATTCCGCCCGACAGGGACGGGTTTCTTCGCCTGTTTCTTCTTCTTCTGCGGTCGTTGTTTCATTCGCTCCGGCTCCGAATCATCGATGACGTCCTCGGTCTGTGTATCCGGAGGTGCCTCTTCTTCAGTCTCCACCTCACTCTCGGGCACTGAGGCGGGCCGGGATGCTTTATCGACCTCATCTACGGTAAGGAATCGTGAGTATGCATGCCTTTCTGTATACATATACGATCTGGGCAGACGGAAGAACGCCGCGTGGATGCACGTGAAACTTACCGTCATCGATGTCCATCATAGCTTTGAGACTTTTGTCTATAACGGACGACCGCACCTTGGTCTTGGTCTTTCTCCGACTGTCCTCATCCTCTGTATCCACGTCCGTATCAGATAGTATCGCTTTCTTCGCCTGACGCCGACTTTGCTTTTAGCCTTCGCGACTTCTTTAGTCGGAGGAGCTGGAGTAGGAGAGTGCGATTCATCGTCGTCCGAATCCAACATGACAGCACGAGTGGACTTCCGGCGGATTGCCGATGCCTGGCGACGATATCAGGGCAGAGTGATTACAGAAGTTATACAGACAGACCTTCGCCGAGCTGCTACTTGATGTCGACGGCTTTTCGTCCTTCACTGTTTCCTTTCCCTTGGGCTTTGAAGTGACAGGGCTCTTCTTGCGTGGTGCACCGTCTTGGACACCCTCCTCTTCGTCTGACGCGGGCAGGGCAGACTTGCGCTTTACACCTCTCTGGTGTGATAGATATGCATGAGTAAGTGGTCCCATTGACAAGTACGCTCAACAATCATGGACAATACTTGCCTGCTCCTCTACCTTGCCGTTCTTCTTACTCGCCTCCTCCACTGGAGTCGCCTTCTTTTCCTTACTCAGAGGCGGATGCGGAGATCTTCTTGGTGCCCTCTGGCTTGACCTTGATTTGCCCTTTCTCCCGTGTCTCGTCCGCCTCTTGTGCCTTCTCCTTCTCCTTCGCTCCCTCATCCTTCTGTTTTGCCTTCGCTTTACCCCAATCGAGAATGCCAGACGCTCGGGGCTTCAGTGCAGACTTAGCTTCCTTAGGCTTGAACTTTGGCTTATCCTCCGGCTGTCCGGACTTCGTGTCTGTGGCTTGCCTCTGCACAACTTGTTTCTGTGAAGTTTCTGTGGCAGGCGCGACTGACGCTTTCACGGGCAAAGGAGTCAGAACAACGGGCTTGCCGACCTACACAAGTACAGCTTTAACAATAGGCGGCCAGTAGTGAATGAACAGTAAGACGCACATGGACGTGCAGGCCGACCAGCCGACCAAGTAGTACTGAGGCGTCCACCTTGAGCTTTGATCGGCTTCGTAGACCTTGTCGGACGCTGTACATATGAGCGAAGCATCCTATACGGGTCACGTTCAGAGCTTTCCTAGAGATGGAGTTCACAACTCAAGGGCTAGCAACGTACATGAGACGCGCCGGTGATAGGCTGTAGACAACCTGAGACAAGACGCGTATGTACTGCGCTTTTGCCCCTGTACAACAATGGTCGCATGAGTGAGACTCGAGTCACAAAGAGTAATCACGCACTCTCTACGTCGTTCTCTCCTACCAGAAGCACCCTCGTGAGCGGCACCACCTCGCTGTCCGGTTCTTGCTCCTGATCTTGCAGTTCTCTTGATGTTGTCGGTTCCTCATTGTCGACTTCCATATCATCTTGCTGCAATTGTGATACCCGTGTGGCGGGAGGAGTGACCTCACCGGTCAACATGTAGGTGGCATACACCGGCTCAGATGAGCTGTGCGAGGCAGCATGGAACGCGGCGAGGGTACTGGGAAGGTCAAACGTTTGTAAGCCACGCGATCGCAGTACCTCGGTCAACCATATAGCTCACTTCTTAGCGGCATTGACATGTATGTTGAAGTGTCGACTGAGAGACCTGAAGGTGACCTATGCGCACACGCGTCGAGCCACGGTAAATGGTCGTGTGAAGACTCGGAAAGTGCCAGTGTCACGTACTACGTTGCGGCCAATCTGTATTTGCTTCGTGAGATAATCAACGACTGGTTGCTCCATTGGTGAAGACGAGTGCAGGAGAAGAGGGAAGGGTGCAGAGAGAGTTGGCAGCAACTGTGAAGTTCACGCCACCACCAGACACAGCTCCGACACCACCGATCTCGTCAGATCGCGGTGGGCGTGACACGGGCGTACGGCCAGCCCGCCTCCGAGCGTCGTCCGTGAGCGAATTGCCATGAATAGTAGGATGTCACGGCCGCACTCGGCGCACATCTCGACCAGCCCACGGAGCCCACCACACCAACCTCAGCTCCACTCCACGTTCAATTCACTTCAACAGTTGTTCCAAAACTTCTAGTCACAACCGCGCGTGGACCGTGACAGACGCGACACGCCGACAGCCACATTCCGTCGAAGGCTGAGACGCGATCACCTGACCGAGACGTACACCGACCAATGAACGTCTCGCCTGAATTTCGTAGCTTGCGCTACTTAGCAGGAATGCCAACTAACTGGTCGTCTATCGAACACCATACTACCAAATTAATCTCGAGATTTCTCTACAGCAATCGGGACGTTAGATACGTGTGAGTGTCGGCACATCCTTACTAACAGCGTTTGCAGTCGTTTCATCATCTCCGGTAGTGGCACTGACGAACATTTGTGCACAACGGACGGCTTGTCCTGCCGCTCTGATACCTATACAGCGCAAGGGATCTATATACACCAACTGTATTCAATAAATGCCGCAATATGCCTTCAATCCAGCCCATCAATTTCCATGCGACGCTGGGGGTGGAGCTGTCCGCCGAAATGACCGCTGTGCCAACGAGCGACTGACCCATCCCCAATACTGCGTGATTCCACCTCGCCGCGGTGAAGTCCCGCGTGGTGCATCCCATCGAGTCCCTGGCGGGCGCTGAGCTCTTCGTCGACATCACGAGCGGCGACCTGTCCGCGGTGGAAGCCCCCACGGTGCATTCCGCCGATGCGGCCTCCGAATCGCTGACGAGCGAGCAGTTCATCCCCGAGCTCGCGCGGGTGGAAACCAGGCCCGCCGTGATGCATGTGCATGCCACCCAAGTGGCCGCCGAATCCCTGACGAGCGACCAGGTCCTCGTCGATTTCGCGCAAAGCGACTTCCCCGCCTGTCTTCATGCCGCCGCCATGGCCATGGCGCATTCCGCCGTGTTGCATGCCGCCGTGGTGCTTGCCACCGTGGTGCATACCTCCACGATGACCTCTGTGGCCTTCGCCGCGACGAGCAAACAGCAGCCCCTCATCGGTGTCCCGGGCAGCCATAGGTCCCCTGTGACCGCCGGAGTGCATACCGCCATGGCCGTGACGCCCCCCTCCGAGCTGACGTATCAGCAGCTCGTCGTCGCGTCCAACGTGGTGCATGCCATTTGCAGGACTATGCATGTGCATGCCGCCGGGGAGGCCGTGCATACCGCCGTGGGGCATACCACCATGGGGAAACTGGCGCGTGATCAAGTCTTCGGACTCGAGGCTTCGGCCTATGGCAAAGTGGCTATGCACCGTCGGGGCATCATATCTGCGTGGATGTCAAGCTCTTTCAGAGTACCGCGTGTGCCAGATACAAGCGAGGCAACATACACGAGGCGGATGGGTTGCGCGATGGCGGGCGCAGCGGTGGCAGCAACGGCAATAAAGACAGCGGTAGCGCGCATGATGGTCGAATATTTCACGAGAGGTAAGTTCGGCAAACTGACGGTATCGTGGATAGGGTGTATTAGAAGTCAGAGGTCGTCAGATGATCCAGTCGTAAGTCGTCGAAGAAAAATAAGCAAGGCTGTCGCAACGACTGTGAGCTTTCGATAGTACCATTTGTTAGACGTGCACTCACCGACCAGCACCTCTGCCTGTAAGTTGGGCTCTGAAGGGAAAGCAGTGAGCTGAGAGGACTTGTCGTAGGGTACTGGCTTTTATACTCATTTGCGTAGGAACAGTCATGAATATTATTCCCTTGGGGGTAGGTGGACCGTGGTAGATGCATTTGCATAGCGTGGGGTGGTGGCACATCAATCTGTCATGTCCATGTTAGCATAAGACCGAACCACCGTGTAATTCTGTAGCATTCCCTTTGAATGCAGCTGAACAGTACTCGGTGCTGCATGCGTACGCAAGACCACATAACGTGAAGCAGTGCCGTCCAACGGCCACACTTGGGTGTAAACCGTTCATGTTCTAGCGTTTGTACGCTGTGAATGCAGGTAACACTTGCAGCACTCAGATAGAAAGGTTCTGTTGGATGGGTTTGTTCTCTAGGGCGAATATCTCCATGGCCCTCCGGGCGACTGTCATTTTGCGGTCCCAAAATGCGACGCAACTGGGGTACTCTTGACACGCCGTTTTCCGTAGTGGTAACGGGAGCAACGATAGCTTCGCAAGTGGGTATCATTGATTGGAGCATTGCTGTGAGCGAACTATGTAGAGGGTAGTGCATTGCTACTAATGGAGAGGCGCACAAGGCAAGAGCTCAGTTTGTTGTTCTGAGAGGACGAATGGAAATACTCACATCATATAACGTGCCGTGCCACTGCTGAAGCACTGCTACGATGTATTGGGCAGTAGGGAATCACAGATAATGCAGTTGAAATTGCGCCCTGCCCCGCCTGGCGCCAGTCAAGCAAACATACACGAAGAGCGACCGTGCATCTAGTCAGACAACCCACTCTCGCTGTACGACCCCACACTCCCACTCATTTCGCTGTAGTCGACGTCCTCACTCCCAAACTCTGGGCTGCTGTCCAAATCCTCCGCCCCGCTCTCGTAGTCCGGGCCCTCCGCCCGCGCCTGCAGCCTGTCCGCACCCGCCACACCCTCCGCACACCGCAGGCACTCCCACTGCTTCCCACCCGCGCCGACGCCCGTCCGCTCGTCCGCAGCACGCATCATCCGCTCGGAGATGCAGTAGTAGCAGTAGACGTGCCCGCATGAGGTGATGTACGGATTGTGGATCGGGTAGGCAGGCGGCGCGTCCTCTGATCCTGATACCTCCGCGACGAAAAGGGTGCTCGAGCCCGCGTCTGCCGACGATGTGGCAGCGGTGCTGTACGTTGGTATCGATACCCTTGATTCGAGGGCACTGGCAGGATCGGACAGGTCTGTGGATGTGTTCTCTGCGCAGATGGCGCATTGGTCAAGCGGGAGTGCCCAGTATTTGCCTTTCCGTGACTGCTTCTCAGTCTGATCAGTTGGAGCGGAAAGACCCGCTAGAGAGCGTATAGGACTGGGCAGAATGGCGGACAGAGATGGCAGACTGGACAGGATGTTTGACAACCGTCTGCGCAGTGCGCGGGTGTTGATGAGCGGTAGCAAGAAGAGTAAAAATTCCTGATGGAGACAAGGTAAACATCAGATTATCAGATTATTTAACATCGTAAAAAGGTACGCACGGTGAAAGCATGCCAAACCATTTGGCGATTCATAAACTCGTACGAGACTTCGCGTCTGGCCAGCCTGCGGGCGGGCACCAAACTTAACCTCAATAATCTGTCGATCGTAGTACGGTAACTGTGGACAGTTAAGGAATATATCAATAGAACATTTGAGGCACAGAGACAGCGACATACCGGCCGTTCCATAGGAACGCAACGAAGTTCAGGAACCCTAGCAGACCGTGTATGGACTCGAGGCGGTTGAGGAACTCCCATGCCTTCCGCCGCTTGTCAGAGGATGGAGCATCTGGCCATGCTTGAGATAATGCATGCGCGCGTATTCGAGAATGAACATATGGCGCGAGCACCGTCAGACCGGCATGAGCTAACAGCACACGATACGGCAGCCCGGACGCTGCGAGAAGATTAGCCTCGCATAGGTCCACACCGAGGTTGGCGCACCAGTTGTCCTAGAGCTTGATGGTCCGGAGTACGCGTACTTGAGGCCCTGCAGTCGAGCTCCATAACTCGTCCCAAGGTTCCAGAAGGATAGCTTGTACAGTATCGCTTGTATGAGCAAAACAAGTTCTGGCTCAAACCGAGCCCTCCAAGCGGTCTAAGTTGTTGTTCACTCAGAGCGTCATGAAAAAGAGTGTGTCAAGTACGAACGTTGGCTAGACTTAATGCCTTCACTAAAGGGTCCTTGAGTAGTTGGACTAGTTCCTGATCAAGCAGTTCGGCATCAAGTTGGCCGACGCGGATAGTACGTGGTGAGGGTTCAGAAGAGGAGGCAAGCGACCCTCTTATTCGTGTGAGCTGGGGTTGCGCGTTCTCCCATGTCTGCTGCCAGGAAGGAGGGATGGCTGACGCGGTGGGAGGCGACATGGCCTGGAGGAGCTCATCGTCGCGGACTCAGCCTCGGGGCGGAGATATTTCACGTGCGGAGGATGCGGACTCGGAGGTATCCACAACGCGCGTCTATTGTACATGGGCGTCTCCCGAGTCAGATTCACTTTCGATCGACAATTGGTCGTCTGTCCTAGTCCTCTGTCCTCGACCTACGTGACTTGTCTCTCGTTTTCCAAGCTCGCTGAACAGCACTCCCCCAGTTGAACTCCATATTTTCCCTGCCATTGCGATGGCGGAAGCGATCCAGCAACTTGTCTTGGACACCCTCGACAAGTTCGGCACAATCCAAGATACACGAACATTGATCCTGCCAGGATACAGCGACCCTGCCGCCAACCATGATTCGCAAATCATCATCCTCGGCGCACTGAACTCGCTATCGAGTCGCGATGTACGCATTGCATGCTTTTGCTTTGCATTGAACGCAACGAATCGATGAGAAGCACAGATGATCTCGTACACAACCCATGAAACTGTCTCTCACGTCCTCACACCAGAGGGTGCCCAAATAGCCGTCCAAGGCTCGCACGAGGCTCGCGTCTGGCAAGCCCTACCCCACAGAGGCGAGGGAGCGCCCATGGTGCCGAAGCAGCTCGAAGAGCGAGTAGGGTCGGAGACCGCGAAGATAGGCCAGGGGCGCGCGTTCAAGAATAAATGGATAAGCAAAGAGGGAGATGGTCTTGTTAAGCTTGTAGGCATGAGTTACAACCGCGTGACGATCCTTCAATAACCTCTGTCATCTTAAAGGCACCTTCAATCGAAGACAACACTCAGGTAGAATTGCGCGAGGTTGACTCCACCGGCACTTTGAAAACTGGAGAGAAAGCATTGGCTGAATTGCGCAAGCGTAAACTCATTGTGCAGAGGTGAGGAAGTAGGACATGTCCTCGAAGCCACTGCTCAAAAGTCTACAGGAAGGGACAATGGTTCACTGTGAAGAAGGGGTCTGCTTTCAGCACATCAATAACGAAACCCGAGACCGATCTCACGATCGACATGCTTGCGACGTACGTGTCTCAGCGGTAGTGTGAATGTGAATGTGCACACCTGACTTTCATCTAGCGGCTCGTGGAAGAGCTCCACATACAAAAAGTACAATTTCGAAGCTGAGGGCCTTCCTACAAATGGCGGTGCTTTGCACCCACTACTCAAGGTCCGCGAGGAATTCCGTAATATCTTCTTGGAGATGGGGTCCGTTGCATAACACGCGCTCTGCTGATTGCAATCTGACTTACCTTGGCTCTAGCTTCGCAGAGATGCCAACGTCATCTTTCGTTGAATCCGGCTTTTGGTGCTTCGACGCACTGTTTGTGCCCCAGCAACACCCCGCTCGCGAAGTCCAAGATACGTTTTACCTTTCCGACCCCGCCGAATCGCTCCCACCGCCCGCGGACTACTACGAGCGCGTCTCCAAGGTGCACGAACATGGAGGTTACGGCTCCACCGGCTATCGCGCGCCTTGGTCCGACGCCGAGTCGCGCAAACTGCTCCTCCGCACGCACACGACCGCTTCGTCCGCTTCGATGCTCTACAAGCTCGCGGCGAAGTGCCGCGGCGAGGGTGAGGACAAGTCAACGGACTCCGCCGCGGCGCATGGGAGCTCGGCGCAAGCGAAGAAGGAGGGTGACGATGGCTTCCGGCCGGCGAAGCTGTTCAGCATCGATCGCGTGTTCAGGAATGAGACGATGGATGCGACCCACTTGGCGGAGTTCCACCAGGTGGAGGGTGTGGTTGCGGACCGCGGGCTCACACTCGCTGACCTCATCGGTAAGCTTGTAAGTAGTAATTGCTCTGTACCCCGTTTAACACGCGCTCTGTCCGCAGGCTTCATGAGAGTCTTCTTCACGAAGATGGGTATCGAGAATCTCAGGTTCAAGCCTGCGTACAACCCGTACACCGAGGTTCGCCTGCCATCCAGATCCGTCTCTTGCATGATATTGACACCATCCCCTTGCTAAGCCTTCACTAGAGATCTTCGCCTTCCACCCGCAGCTCCGAAAATGGGTCGAGGTTGGGAACAGCGGCATGTTCCGTCCGGAGATGCTTGAGCCCATGGGCTTCCCCAAAGATGTCCACGTCCATGGCTGGGGTATCTCGCTTGAGCGACCCACCATGATTAGGTATGTAACATCACGCCTCTCACGTCACCGTGAAGCTCATGGGTATGTTTGCAAGGTACGGTATAAGCAATATCAGGACCCTGGTCGGCCACAAGGTATCGCTCGAGTCCGTGGAGACTTCGCCGGCTGTCAGGTTCTGAGCGAGTGTGTCGTTGTGTAGAGGATAGAGCAGAAGCAAAATCTCATGTAGCGATTGCTGTACGTATGTGACGAATTATTAAGTCACACGATCTCGAGGTTAGCCACTCCTAGAGCGAAGCTGGGTCAACCTGAAGTGCTCCATACATACCCACGTCAATCGCACAATGCGTTGTACGTCAATGTGCGCAGCCGGTCGGTCTGTAAGTCGCCGTGATTATGACCTATCTTGCATCGAACCAGAGCCGGTATCGATCTCCACAGTTCAGACAATGACAAGATGCAACATGCATTCTAGAAAGAGAATACAGCAGCATTCTTACGCGACCCGAACATGTAAACTAATGCCTGGCTCATGAACAGCCCAACGGTGATACCAATGGTGACTGATATCATTGCTGCTCCAATGTCAATGCCACTCCCTTGAGCAGTGATACCACCAGCTGCGGATAGACCGGACTGCAGAGTGTTAAGCTTTAGCAGTCCAAACACCATTATAACAGTTTACTCACCGGCACGAGGAACAAGACACCAGTTACCATCGACGTGAACGCCGTTCCTTTGAGCTTCCTTGAATACAGGTTGCCCAGCAGCCCGACCACAAACGCGCCGATGGCAGACACGATATCTGACCGGTCGAAGATGAAGTGATCCGCCGCCTTGTTCGCTGCATACGCCGCAGACGATATGATCACCATGACCAACATCTCACGCGTCCAGAACGGCTGCAGGTTTGCCATCGAGGATAAGATCGAGAACAGAGGCACGAGGATGAACTGCGTCCACCACGGGAACGGCTGGAGCCACCATGGGAAGTAGATGTTGCGGTAGCAGCCTCCATCGATCGACTCGATTGGGTTCTTGGTGTAGTTCGTGAACGTGAAGGTCCCCGAGATCGGTCGGCCCTGGTTGAGGTCGTACGCGATGCTGGTCGCGTTGTCCGTTACGAATGTACCGGTGACGACGGCGACGGTGCTTAGGCGTTCTTGCAGGGCGACCAGTTGTGCCCGCGCTGTCTTGTCGCACACCAGGAATAGGTCGGATCCGATTTGAAGGGCAAAACCCTGCAGTAGGCACTAATGTCAGCTGGTTTTCGAGCACACGATACGACGGTACGTCACCAAGAACAAGGTGTAAATCAACGCGTACACCATCCTCACGCTACCGCAAACGATGTTCTTGGACGCAAGCTCCAGAGAACTGCTGACTGCGGCGACTCATCAGTCTGTGAACGTACCAAGCGGAGGAAGAGCACGGCTCACGGATCAGGAATCCTGGCAAAATACCGACGATGCCGGATGAAGAGATTGCGGTGTAGCAGAAGAAGTGACTGGAGCGGATAGCACTCAAGCCGCGCGAAGCGAAGGAGACAATCATGGAGACGGTGATTCTGTGAGATCAATTAATAGCGGTCATGGTCACGATGGCTCACATCTGGCTTACTCGTAGACAGCCGCATACATCGCAGATCTAGCAGCAACTTGCACTTGCATGACCGAGAGGAACACCCCAGTAACGCCCGCGACCCACATGTCGATAATCGAGCCACCGAATGCCAGCGGACAGATCATGGAAGACAAGAAGAATGCAAGGATGATTCGCACAGTGCGGCGGTAGGCAGGCTTTGCTGTGAGGAGGTGCTTTAGGAAGGCCGCAGCTTCTTGTGCGCTGACCTCGTCGTGCACCACCCGGCGATACATGACATGCACCGTGTGCAAGCTCCCGAGATCCAGACTCCCGGCACACTTGATGAAGCGCAGGTCGGACGCCCTCTTCATCTTGTCACCGAAGGAGCACATGATAAGTCCGGGGATGTGGACAAATTCGGCCTCAATCTCGAGGGCGCGAGCTGCAGAGACGAGCTGGGCTTCGATGCGATGAGACGGCGCGCCGAAAGTCATCAGGCATTCAGCGAGTCGAATGAGGAATTGTTCTCTCCAGTAAATGGCTCGATGGACGTCAGAAGAGAGCTAATGAGGGTAACACCTGCGGTGGACTCACGCGAAACATTCCACTCGATCCTGATGCGGCTCAAGTACTTCTTGCGCTCTATATATGTCATGTTTGCCATCATCTCCGCCTCTTCTGCGGTGCCGACAAAGTTTTCGGAACGTTTGTGTGGATGCGCGCCAGTCGCCTTCGGGTCGTGCGGATCCAGAACCTCTGGGTCCCCGTCGCTGTCGTCCGACCTGATTGACATGCCAGAGTTCGTGCGGGAAGCAGTAAACCTAGACAGTGGCGGATCGTTTTCTGAGCTTTCAGATGCCTTTTCCCTAGTCGTGGCCCAGGGTTCTCCCGTACTGTCTGTCGAGTCTGCTCGGCGCATGGGCCCGCGGCGTGAATCTCCCATAAAGTGGGAAAGTATGTTCTCGAAGTAGGATCGATGATGACCGTCTTCTTCGTCTTCCTCGTCAGCGTAAGGGGTCGAGGCACGCCGATCGTTGCTACTGATCATGTCTCCGTCGTCATCTCCGTACGAGGTCGGGTCGTTCATGTCCGTATCCTGGCGGTACCTTGCCCGACGTCGAGGGCGATGTTGAGCGTAGCTTTGCGACCCGGAGTGAACGTCTTCAGGGCGCTGCAGAAAGCCAGGCTGGCCACGCATATGAGAGGACCCCCTGCGATAACTTGTATCCTCCGAGCCAGAACCAGAGCCGTACAGAGTTTCGTCACTCTCGGTTGAGCCGTGACGCGCAGAGGACGTGCCGCCGCGTAGAAGATTTGACGTCCGTAGGTCGAGTGAGTCCATCCTACGATCGCCTGCAAAATAGTCATCCTCTGCACGCGCCGAGCGACGCCCCACAAAGTGACGCTGAGGAAGTGATGTGTACGGCATGAGCCCAGATCAGTGCTGTGAAGCCTCTACGGTGCGAGAAGGACCATCCGTTGTGGAGACAACTCCCATCTGGGAGTGTCAGCCTCTGCAATTCTAGTCCTGACCGTCTGTGTCATAACGATAGACAACGTGACACAACACGTACAACATTCGCAATCGAGCATTGAGTTAAGCCATACGCGCAGTGCTGAGCTGTATAGTATCCGGCACCTAGCTGATAGCTTGAAGCTTCTATGCCATAGTGTACTTGAGACTTCACTGTGCCCTGAGTGGCTGCTGCGACCACGTCATCGCGACGAGCAGTCCGCTATAGAGCAAAATCAGCATTCGACATGTTATAATGACTGAAAAAAGAGAATTTCGCTTGGTAGAAGGTCTGGCTGCTGGCAGGCTGAGACAGTGTGGAAAGACTGGAGACGATTGGACGAGGATTGGCCAGGCCGCCAATCAGGCTCGCCCGATCCAATAGCTTCAAATTCGGCTCTGAATTTGATTGGATCCCGAACAAACTCAGTCCTCGACTTGTGCACGGCAATGAGGGTCTATCACATACCACTGCTACGTCGGGCCTGAATCGACGATGAGGACCAAATGTTATCAATACAGAGGAGATCGTGTACAACGCAACCCTCCCTGGTACCTGCGCGGCAGCGCTTCCCTTTCCAGAGCATCTTGGATCTTGATAACGCAGCTCCGTCGGGACATCTCCTGGTAGGGCTTTCATACACCCAACAAGCATATCGAGGAGGTGAGATCGTTCGTATGCACACAGAAAAAGCGATTTGCTGAACATTGCATGCAGCACCAGCAACTTGAAGTCCAACAAATGACCGACACCGGAAGAGTCTACATCAGGGAAGCCAGGGTCGAGGACTCTCCGGCCCTCTCTCGCATATGCTTACTCACGGGTGATGCGGGACAATCCGCAGAGCACCTCTACGAGTTCGGAGAGCTCGTCGGCCTAATGTACGCCGAGCCCTACGTACACCTTCCCGCTGGGTTCGGCTTCGTCATGGTCGACCCCTCAAAGTCCGACGCGGTCGTCGGGTACGTCCTTGGTACGGCCGACACTCGTCTTTTCGAGCAGCAGGCCTCGGAGTCGTGGTTCCCTGAGGTCCAGAAACGCTACCCCCATCCTCCGCGACACCCGCAGGACCCGAACCGTCCGCTCAGACCGGCCGATGAGCGCTACATCCGCATCATCCACAACCCGCCTCGCGCGTCGGACTTGCAGATCGCGTTCTCCCCCGCGCACCTGCATATCGACATCCTGCCCGAGTATCAGCGGCAAGGCTGGGGACGCCGGTTGATGGCACGCGCGATCGACCACCTGAAGGAGAGGGGATTGGACCGTTTGTGGCTCGGGTTGGACCCGCGTAACGAAAGCGCGAAGAGATTCTACCAGAGGCTTGGCTTTGAGGGTCTCGAAGGGGCACCAGACGGCGTTATGGGATTGAACTTCTGATAGGCAGACACGGGCACATACGGCAATCGATGTTCCGAGGTTTGAAATCTGACCTTGCATTGCCTGCGCTGACCAAAACGCGTGGGTAGTGTGCACCAACTTTTGACTAGCCTCTTGAAGGTGCGCTGAACAACTGCGATCAGCATGTGGAAGTCAAGTGTGCCACAGGCGCGACGTCATGAAATGGTCGTGGGTTCCCGAGGCTCACTCCCATTCGCTCCTGCCAGCGGTACGCAGCTCTGGACGTCGGTAGCACGAGGCCAAGACTCATCTGCGCTAGTCATCTGCAGTCAGCACACAGCGGCGTGTGTATTGGACCAAGCTAGATCGTGTATGTCGCACGCTATCATTCGCTGATCCCTCGATAGCCTCGATAGGCGCGAGGATACGCGCGACAAGAAGCCACTAACCATGGCCAGGCTCAGCTGGGCTCAGCCTGAGTATGTGGCCTATCAGCACCGGGGGTAACCTTCGCACTCCGCCACAGCTTGCGACGGATTTCGATACCGAATAGAGGCGAATGGGAGGCATGGCCGTGCCGATCGAGCACAGACGAACTCGGGCTCTGAGAACTGCAGATAAGTCAGTATACGAGTGCGTCATACCAGTCCCCGTCCTCCTGGCAGGAGTCCCACAGCACGGCGCGCGCATGATCCCCGGATTCCGGAAGGCCCGTATCTGATATCCTGCATAATTGTCGAAGCACATGCATGCCCTCAAATTCGCTGAGAACGCGGGGATGCCGACGGCCCGAGGGCCAGCAGCCTGGCGGTGCGCAGGCGGCGAGGCCTTCTGATCCCTCCAGTCGATGTACCCCGCACTCGATCGCCCGATACGACGGCGCCAGGCGGACCGCTGCTGTGGCACAATTGGGCACCGACCAATCGGTGCGCGCTCGGGGGATCTGCGGTAGGTTCGCGAGGAGAGGTCGTACGGCATATGCAGGCCCCTTCGCGGTGCGCGACGCAGCCAGCCTCGTCCAGACCGGGCTGCTGACTGAAGAGATGGCGCGCGGGGGCACTTGCGTGCGTCCATGGGACATGAGATACGTAAGAATGCGCGCGTCGGATGAACCTGAGCTCGAAGAGTGATACAGTGCGATCGACCTCCGAGGAACGGGAGAGCGAGGTGTACACGGTGACTGGGCGACCTCTACCCGTGAACGTGGGCCGAAAGCTTACTGATGTCGGTCTTGGATCTGCGTGACTGGCGGGCAAGCCAATCAGTTCCTTCGTAGGAGTAACGTGCACACTTACGTGAAAGGGTTGCACGGCATAGGAAGACACTTCGCTGTGGATAGCACCGTGACGCACGACGGGCCACTGGCACAGGTGCTCGAGACCGGACCGCCGCGGCTGACGAAGACGAGCGTGGACGGACGTGATCGCGGATGTGCTGTGAAGTCAATTTGGCGTGGAAGGAGAGGCTCATAAGTATGAATGCACTGTCTGCAACCCGGAGAAAATGCGGAGAGAAGACAGGAACCATGATTGTCGCTCGTGTGTAGCCATGCTCACCACGATGACAGAAGCTTCAGTTCATGTCCGCGAACGCGAGGCACCGTGTACGTTGAGGCGCAAGTCCCAGAGGTGAGAAAACGCGGAGGTATGGGAACGCAGCGGCGGGGGACGCGTGCGTTTAGGTGCGAGGATGCTACCATCACGCAGAGCTTCTCGCCTTCTCAACAAAGTAAGTTCCGTAACTCGGTCGACGCTAGAATGAGCTCGAAGAAGGTAGCATGCGCTAGACATTGGCGAGCTGGAGATTGAGAGTGTAGCGCACAGGCGACGACAGAAAAATGAGGAAATTGACACGGCCTCGGGGCTTTGAGAGGAGATTCTCCACTGACTGGAACGGCGTCGATAATTGCAGCTGCGCCCGCGGCTCCACAATAATGTGTGCACCATCCACTCCGTCAGCAACGCCAGCTTCTCCATCGCCGCAGGAGCCTCCTCGGCCGCTCTGGATGACACGCCTTGTCCGATACGAAATTGACCGATAAATCGCGTATACCCGTCACATCAACTTGACGGCGAGGGAGCCATCTCGACCCAGAAGTGCTCACCATGCTGATTCTGGCAGCCTAGAGGCCCGCGCATCACGGCTAGGTTGTATCGCGGGAGGCGAGGGCCTACGCATTTGTATTTTCCACCGCAGCGCGCCGCCTCCCGCCCGCTCTGGGACCCGCTCCCATTCAAAATCAATGGGTCGGGCCACCGACTGCAAGCGCCACTGCAAAGCTAGAAACGGCTTCTCGATCACGATGGTGACCTGCGGGCGGTGGGTGCCGGCATGTCGTCCACCCGCACCGTGGAACTCCACCAACCTCCCGGGTCCCTAGCCAATCCCTAGCCCTGTCTCGTCGCAGGCTCGCCGTCGCTGGGGCGCTCTCGTCGCACACTGGATGGCCTATCTGTCGTTTCAAGAAGACCAGAAATAGGCTTGAGTGCGGCGTTGGAGGCTTCTGTCGAAGGGTGGGGTCGGTGTCAGTGTGCGAGGCGACGAGACAGGGACGCTTGATCGCGTAGTGGCGCGAACGCGACCGAGAGCGGACGAGACATGGCGCTTACCCCCACGCCATCCGCTCGTAGACAAATGCACGCCATTTTGGGAAAATTTGCCTGCGGGGCAATATAGAAATTACTAATGAATCAACGCCCTTTATTGTACAGCATGCTTGGTACGTCTACCTGGACACGTCGAGAAGCAACCTGACGCGTGCGGCCGATCAGAGGATGCAGTGCGGCGGTGGATAGCGATCTGCATATGGCTATTCCCCGCACAGATGCTGAGACCAGATGCTACCGAGACAACCTGGGAGCTGAACATGTGCCAGCCGCACACATCTAGTTCAACAGTTGCGGGGAACCATTCATCGCCTGCCACCACCGCCGCCACCCTCCTTCTCTTCTTCGCCTCCCGGGGCTATCACTGTTCGGAATGTCAGCGGTGAATATGCATTCTCCAGGATTCAGACTTACTGAGCGCGACTACGGCTACAGCAATATACATCCAGTATTTCTGCAGGAACGACTTCTCAGGAGGTGCCACAAACGGAGTGCCTTCAGGCGTTAACGGCGGTGGGACGCGCAGGCTCGGTCTGGAGTGGACGAGATTCAATCAGCACGTCGATTAATCAGGATAGCGACGACGGGAGCCATTTTCAAGGACCTCAAATGCTATATAGGAATAGATCTGGGGAACGATAGACGCAAGGGACGTACAGAGGTGGCAGCCTCGGTGACTTAAGCAAGATGGTCGTGTTCTGCGTATGGAACAGCTCGGGAGCGCTCTCGCTCTCGGGCGACGCCTCGCCTGGTGGTATTTTTGTATTGCTCTTTCTGTGGCTGCGCTTGTGCTTGGGGCACGAGCCGTCATGTGGGACAGGGCCGACGAAGTAGTCGACCGCGAAGGGTGTGCCATCCGAGTCTAGGTGAACGGTGATCTCCTCGGACGTGCTGTGGGGCAGGTAGCACTGTAACAGCAGAGTGCGGTGCACGAGGCGGGCGTGAGACCTAGGTGACGGGAGCTCGGGCGCCGCGCAGCCTGGGTGCGTCGGCGGGCGCACCCAGGCAGCCCGGCCCCTGTGAGGACACTTACGGCCTTGACGGACGAAATGTCCCATGTCGAGGGGTCTGCGCCCTCGCGCTCTAGTGCGACCTGGTAGAGCGCGCCAGGGGTGTGCTGAAGGGCGGTGGCAAATTGGGAGAGGTCGGCCTCGAGGCTCTGGGCGGGCGCGAGGCTGGCGCGGGCGGCATGGCGAGACCCGGTGACCGAGAGGACGGCACGGGGAACGAAGGGCGCGTCGGGGCTGGCGGGGTCGAGGAGGCGGTGGAAGAGGCGGGGCGACGCGTCTGCGAGCGCGGGCGGGAGGGCAGCGAGGAGGAGCCAGTGGACGAGCATGGCAAGACGTGTCGCGCCCAGCGTCACACGCCCGCGTCCCCTCCAGCGAATCACAGCCCGCTCCCCGCGCCACGCCGGCACCGCGGCACACGCCCCATTGGCTGCGCTGCAGTGCGGGAGAAGCGCGACGAAACGTCCGCATTGGGACTGGCATGACGTCCGGACGGCTCCCACCCCACCTGCCGCTTTGGGCGAGCCACTGAGCCGCGCCCCCGCCCGCGTGCCCTGGGCTCAGATCACCGCCCGATGGCAGAGAGCATGTCTGTTCTCGGTCTCCGCAGGCTGCCCCGCCTCGACACCCTGTCGCGCACGCTGCGGGCTCACTCCCACCCGCGCAGCCTCGGGGTGACTCTGCGCGTCGCAACACAGGCGAGAAGGCGGCCAATCAAGGGTCTGGAGGACAGCTGATTGGCCGGGGCGGAGCGGCTGCTCCCATTGGCCAGCAGGGAGTGCGAGCGCGGTCTGGACTGCTATTGGCCTGGTCTCGTCTTGCCCGTGTGTCCTACGGTCGAGACTCGACCAACCACCATAAATGTCCGCCCGCCAGCCAACCGCCTCCAACCCTCCGCACCCCCCATCTGCCCTCTTGCATCCCCGTCCAATCCCAGAACGCGCTTCTCCGTCCCCTCCAAGCACCACCAACCCCTCCTAGCACAATGGCCACCATGACCGAGCATGCTCTCCCCACTCCCCCTCACTCGCCCCGCGCACTCGAGCCTGTCCGCGGCGCCGTCGTCCTCCTCGACTCCTTGACCGCCTTCTACCAGCAGGAGCGGTACTGGATCCACCATACCCGCGCCGCCCTCGAGGTCGCCATTGCCAAGGGCTCCGACGCCCGTGCCATTACCTTCCCTGTCTCTTCACCCTCGGAGAGCTCCAGCGGCGCATCGAGCCCCGCCGCGTCTACCACTTCCACCATGGATGAGCCTTGCGCCACAGTCGCACTCCCGGCCATAAAGACGGAGCCAGACATGCTCCCGGACGCGATGTCCGCTCCCGACCGCAGTGCCGCCGCATTCGCGAAGCGCATCACGCGGTGGAATCGTCGCAAGAACATGATGAAGCTCAAGCTCGACGGCATCTCCTCGACCTCCCTGCGCCGACGCCGGCCGCACCGCGCGCCGGTGTCTGAGCCGGGTGCACGGCTGCTCGAAATGTTCAGCGAGCTCGTCGATTCGCGCATGGAGAGCTGCCAACGGGTCTCGCGCCTCGTCCGCGAGACGCACCGCCCGCAGCCCGAGTTCCTCTCCCTCGCCATGTGTTGAGCCCCTAGGACGGCACGGTAAGCACCCATGATCTGCGCAATGAAGTCACCACCGCTGATCAGCTTCTGTTCGCCTCAGTTATTGCTTCCTATGCGCTTCGTTTTGTCACCCACCACATATACCGTCCATTCCCGCACGCAGGATACCCACCGCCGAGGGAGAGCATCCCGAGGCACCGCGCGGCGTGGGGAGGCGGCGCGAAATCGGCAACATGCTTCCTGAGTCATCGACACACCCGAAAGAATGCCTTGCGACGCGGCCGACAGCCATACGGAGCTCCTTGTCGCGGTGCGGTGGCGGTCGAGGTGCACCCAGACAGGTCGCTCCGAGCCTCGGTCACGGTCTTGCGGACGGACTGGCCAATCAGCGTCGCGCATCCGCCAGAATTGTTGCTACGGACCGCGTCCGTTCAGATACGCCTGTAATGTGCATGCGCTAGAAGTCTCGGAGATTCCGCTGTGATATGTATTGTGTCGCTATTTGCATGCTATGAAATGGTTCCCTTTGCAGTCACCCGTGTTCGGAGTGAACCAGATGTGAGAAGCGTTTACCGGCAGCTTGGTGTGTAAGCGGTCACAAGGGAGGGCTGTGCCGCACGCCCCATAACAGGGCATCATCGTAGTGCGGAAGATGGAGGCGGTGAGCCTAGAGATGGACGAGACCACTAGAGACGGTACGAGACCCTCTGTAGAACGAAGAAGGCGGTGAGAGAGATGATGCCAACGGCACGAACGCGAGCCCGCACTCTGAAGAAGCCGCGACTGAGATACGCGAGGTGGCGACCAATGGGGGGCATCGCTCCCCAGTCCCGCCACAAGGCAAGCACGTGCAAATATTCACATTCGGCAGGCGCACGGCGATTGGCCAGGCGGTCCAAGCGCGTCGATTGGACAACCGAGTCTGCGTCCGTCGCAGGCTTCCCAGTGCAAGTTCTTGCGCTCGAGGTGCCCTACCGTCGCTAGATAGCTCACATCCTAACCGGTTGGTAGCCTGCGGATTGCTTTACTGAATCATGCTGACTACTATTTTCCATCCCGGCTCGTAGAGAAGATGAACTGCATCATAGCCCGCCGGCAGTGCAGATCAGTGTCTCCGATGAAGATGAACTTAGCATATGCAACAGACACCGGAATGAGTATTGGTCAGTAAATCTTATGTTGACTCGGGCGGTGTATGTGCTCGGTACATTTAGGCAATTTGCCTATCTAGCGTTCTCAATTGGGTGGCCGTATTAGAGGTTCCATTGGTCAACGGGGCCCAGCCCAAATGCTCAGTATTCAGTATTCAGTCCGGAAGCAGTGAAGCAGGAAGCTTGCCTCCATGCATCTGGTGTCTCTGGAAAGCGTTCTGCCAATGACGGGAGCTATCAAACATTGTAGGTTCATTGTCACGGCTGGGAAGGAGTAGCAGGGCTACTGATACAGTTCCGGTTTAGTCCGTTCGCTGGAGGGCGAATTGTCCGTTTTCAGTCGCGCGCCTTCCCGGGTTTAGACCGCTTTCCCAAGCGATGTATTGACCTCCACGTCCATCATGATTTCCCTCTTCGAAACATCCAGGAGGTCCTGGTCGAACTGTATCCTGCCTTTCTCGAAGCAGACCACGATCGCGGAGCCTCCGAACTCAAACATGCCGACCTCGTCGCCTTTCTTCACCTGCAAATTCAATCCCTTGTGCGTCAATAGTCTATGCTGAGGCGGAAGAACACGGGGAACTCACCTGTGACCCGGATGTCATGAACGACTCGTTGAACTTGACCGTACCGACCTCCTGGGCGCCGATCGCGACGAAGAGGACGGCGCCAAATTCGGGCGAGTCGACGCACACGGCGCAGCGCGCGTTCAGGCAGAGCACGTTGACGGCGCTCCTCAGGGCGACGGGGTCGACGCCGTAGTAGTCGCCGTCGATCTGCTTCCACCACCGGACGGTGCCGCTGACGGGACAATGGTAGCGGTGGTAGTCTGCGGCAGCGTTCAGTCGTGGCTCAATTGTCGAGTACCGGGAACTGACCTTGGGGGCTGAGCCGGTAGCTCGCGACGGCGCCGTCGTCCCATATCCGCGCCGCGACATTGTCGGTGATGAGGTTGCCGATGGTGAAGTCCTTCCCCTTGATCCACAGCCTCGTCGTCTCCGATACGGACTCGAAGCACACCACCCTCGCGTCCGCCGCGTTGACCGCCACGGTGTCGGCGCCCTCCGCCGCGATCGGCCTTGACCCGGGCTTGTGGCGCCGGATGAAGAAGTCCTGGAACGAGCGGTACGCGTGGATGTCGGAGGGCTCGAAGTCGTCCATGTTGATCCCGTACGTCTCGACGAACTGGCGGATCTGCGCCCTGGACTTGGGCGAGGACTCGGTGTCGCCCTCGTGCACGGCCTGCTCGTGCAGGTGCCACCGCATGAGGTGCGTGCGGTCGAGCCAGTCCGTGAGCGGGTTGAAAAGCGCGAGGAGCCTGAGCTTCTTGGTGAGCGGCTGCTGTTCGCGAATATGCTCTCCCGTCTACGATGGTAAGAGCTGTGAGCGGACGCTGCGGTTCTATGTGCGTGGTACGTGCTTTGCGGTTCACGGTCATCCACCCGACCTGCCCCTCCTGTAGGAGTTGAGCTGTTTGCAGCCCATAGTCGACGAGTGCATGTAGATAGCTTGTCATTTTCGTGGTGGCAGAAAATAGCAAGGTTCGTTTGTGCAGCTGCGTCAGCGAGGAATGTATGGAGGCCTACTCCGCATGCGGCTACGTCATCTTGGAGGCGGGCACACGAGGCGTACACTGTATGGGCCCGTGGAAGGAGAAGTGTTTGTGCACATACCCAACCTACTGAGAGAAGGGACCTGACGAGGCTGTGCTAATACGGATGCCATGCCATGTTGTATTTGTAGATCAGTGACTGAAAGAAGCCGGAGACCCGGGCGTTTGAGAGAGGCGTGGCGAGAGCCAATCAAGGGAGCGGCTGGGGGATGAGGCTGCTTACGCAAAGAGGCTGCGATTGGCCACGGAGAGGCGCCGGCGTTATCTCAGCGCGCGCCATCACCCGCACCTCTGCAGTAACAACATCCTACTGACCAGTCCAGCTTACCCCCTCCCTCTCCGCTAGTTCCCACTCTCTCTACTCCTCTCCGGCGAGGTACATGCCTGCCCACTATGCGCCCCTCCCCAACCCCCACGCAGACCCGGACGCAGACCATGAGCTAGAGGCTGCCTTCGACGACTCCGACGACGAGGAAGAACAAGGCGCCCCTGGACGCATACGCAACGGCTACCTCGAGCTCGCCCACGAGGAGCCCGCCGCCTCGTTGTCCGAGACAGTCGCCCCCGAGCCAGCCTCAGGGACGTACAACTTCGAGAGCACCGATTTCGACTGGGTCCGCCCGCCCCCAGGTTCCCCGCCAAGCCCCACGCGCGCAATATCTAACGACTACGGCAACTCGAATGGCGTCGTGCCGGTGCTGACAGATGTGGAAAGGACGAGGAGAGGGTGGTTCAGGCAAACCGCCGCCGCAGTGTTGCCCAATCACTATGTCCAGCGGTTCGGTCTCTCTCAAGAGGTCCCCAGAACACCTGTGGGCGGCGGGACGGGCAATGACGGCGTCTTCGCCAATGTGGTCGCTAAACCGTCTCGTTCGGTGGTGATCCAGGAAGGTATGTGGCATAACATCTATCTGCCATTGCGTTGTGGTGCGGTATGTTCCGAGTGTCCCTTCTATCATCAACCTGTCGGTGTAGGTTTGCGTACCGCTTTTGGCTCCCATACACTGCACATTCCACCTCGCTGCTGTCTGGGATGAGCCGCAGCATCATGGCTTGACAAGGTTACGAAGGCTACCTATTCACCCCGTGTCGCTGGTCTCTGTTGAGGTCCCATATGCACTATGAAGCTGGGCCTCGTACATAGGTCCGCTCTGCAGTGCGTGGGAGCGAACACCACGGCCATGCCACACCAAAATGCAGGCTGAAAGATATCATTGTGAAGGTACTGATCTATATGCGTAGGTGACGAGACGTATCTGGTGCCTGAGGACGCGCAAAAGGACGCACCGCCATCCTACGCCGTCGCCCAGCAAGACGTCGTACCACCATACTGGGAAACGACCATTCACGCCCCCTCCGCCTCGAACGAGCCCGGTGAGGTCGTCATCGACGGCCTGCCCACAGGCTCGCTCTTCTCCTTCCTCTGGAACATGCTCGTCAGCGTGTCCTTCCAGTTCGTCGGCTTCATGCTCACGTACCTCCTGCACACGACCCATGCCGCGAAGCTCGGCTCGCGTGCAGGCTTCGGAATCACGCTCATTCAGTACGGCTTCGCCATGCGCCGGGACAGCCAGGAGGCTGGCTATGGGCAGACCACGCAGGAGGCGTGGAATAGACCACACTTTTCCACCCCGGAGGAGGCTGACGATTATTACAAGAGCTTGAACGCCACAGCGCCGACGACGACGGAGCCGCCGAACGCTGATGGAAGCAACCCCTTCTTCCTCGGGGACGCTGCCGCGGAGTGGATCTCGTTCCTGCTCATGACCATCGGTATGTCATGGCTAGAATCACCCATTGCAGCTGCTTACCAGTCTGTAGGCTGGTTCGTCCTCCTTACCTCTCTACTCGGCTTCTGGCGCGTCAAACGCTGGGAGCGTGGTATCCTCAGTTCGCAGCAGGAGAGCCCCTCTCAGAGGCACGTCAACGGGCCCGCCAACGGCACGCTCATCCACTCGCTCGAGCGCGCCCTGGGCATCAACGGGCTCGCAGATGGCTCGCTCATCCGCACAGGATTCGGGCTCGAGCGGCCGGGTGCGCGAGAGGGCGATCTCGAGGCGGAGATCGCCATTGAGCGCATCGTGGGCCCGTTGGGGGACCCGGAGGAGCGGCGCGCGCACCTTGCGGAGCGCAACGAGTACCAGCTCCCGCTGACGGACGATCCGGAGCAGAACGCGCGCGTCGCACAGGCGATGGCGGAGCAGGCACGGCTGCATCATAACCTGCGCCAGGCGGGGCTTATTTAGGCGTAACGGACGCTGCGTATTCCTATCCTTATCTGTCACGGTTCTGCGGGCACTTGTACGAGGCGGCGTTGTTGCGTTCTATTCTACTATACCTACAGTCCAGGTCAGGCGGCGTGCGGTGCGGTGGGCACACGCAGCGTTCATCTTTTGTCGGACCCACACAGGTTTTGTTGCTGCATGTAATAGTAACTACATATACTGTACATACTGTTCGCTTCTCTTCAAATTCGTCCTTGCTGCTGTCCTTCCAGTGACTGCAGTGGGCGTTCGCCGAGCAACTGCGTGCTCCATTCATTCCTTAGTCTTCGCTTCACTTTGTAACCATACGTGGAATGTGATAGTATAATCGTCGAGCACGTTGGGTTGTACATCTGTTGAGTACACTGCGACTTTCTTCGAAGCGTTCTACACTACCGGCAGCTTCTGAGCCCCCTTTCATCAGCCCTGTTCAGTCCGAGTTCGTCCAGATGGCCTGCATCTCCCGCTTGAACGGCTCGAGCGTGAACTCGACGGCCGAGCACGGGAAGGGGATCTCGAAGTTCTCGAGCACGGTCGGGTGCAGGATGCCGAGGACGCCGATCTCCTGGTCGTCCGGCGAGCCGACCACAGACTTGATGCTGCTCTTCAGGGCTGACAGCGCACTGGTGTGTCTTTCCTTCGGAGGAGCGCGGTAATAGATCGTGGCAGCACGTCCAGGGAAGAACGTCGGGTCTGCTCGGGCAACGGTCAGCGGAGGCTCCGGAGCATGAGATGCCGAGGGCCGTACCTTGCCTCTCCTTGATGTAGTACCCCGTCTCTGCCTTCGTGTCCGTGCTCGCGATCCGTGGGACCTCGAGCATCTGCATGGCCCTATCGAGCAGCCCGTGGATGACCTCGAACCCGGCGGTCTTGTTGCACCAGAGCGCCGCGGCGTGGCGGACGTTGCGCGCCTGGCGCTCGCGCGTCTTGTCCTTGAAGACGACGTCGGCGGTCTCGAAGACCTTGATCGGGAGTGGGTGCGAGCGGTTCTCGCGGATCGTCTTGAGGAGGCCCTGCAGGAGCGACGTGCGCACGACCTGGAACTCGAGCGTCTTCGGGTTCGCGATGCGCACGGCCTGCGTGCCGTCGTCTTTGCGGTTGAGCCAGTCGAAGTTCTCTTCGTGTGAGCACTGGCGCAGGCAGGTATGGTCAGCGAGGGATGGGAGAGACTCGATGCGTGAAGTGTCATACCAGGATGAGAGGTAGGGCCTCAGCCCAACCGGCGAGCGCCCACTCGATGCGGACGATGTCGCTGAGCTTGCTGATCGCCAGCGGCTGCGCCACCGTGCTCGTCGCAGGGAAAGTATCTGGCAGCTTGTTGAAGCCGTATGCGATGGCAGCGTCCTCCATGATGTCGCACTCATGCAGAATGTCCGGCCGTGTGGGCGGGATCTGCACGATGATCTCATCCGAGTTCGCCGTTGAGAGCGTCGCAGAGAGGGTCATGCGCTCGAGGAGCTCCGCTACCTCCTTCGCGTTTAGGTTGAGACCGGTACATGAGTTGATATATGAGGCGTGAGCAGTTGCTGGGCGGTAAGTGAGGTCAGGAGTAATGCGAGTGGTGCCATCAGGGTAGACGACTTTGCACGGTTCAATGCTGGAGAGGCGGTATTAGAGATATTCACTGCAGAGCACGTATTGCAGACGCACGCGAAAGGCACAGAGCAGTATTCTGAGAACATCGTCGTGATGATGTTCGCGACGATCGCCAGCTTCGTCTCGTCCGTCGCCGTGATGTCGATGAAGATGTTGCGCGTGTTCAGGGTGATCTTGCTATGCTCCGAGTTGATGATGGGAGGCATAGAGAGCACGGTGTCGGTTGTGTCGTAGATGATTGGGTAGACAGGTGAGTCCCGTATGATAGGCAAGTATCGTGATAGGTGCTTTTCTGACTAGAGACAACAGAGCCTCAGCGCATGCACCAGATTCACATGCGTTGCACACACCTCATAGACAGTCATTAGCTCTTCTGCGGTGAAGGCTTGTTCCTTATTCAGAGGCACGAACTTGATATCCTTCGGTGACCGTGCCTCATATCTGAACGGTGGCTTCAGCGTGTCCAGGTCGTGCGTACCGATCGCAACGAATTGACGTCTCCTGCACAGGTTCTGGTGCAGTTTGTCCTGCAAGTCATGAAGGAGTCGTAGGATAGTTGAGTGAAGTTGACGTTGCGCAGGACTGCACAGGCAAAGTATGGTCGGATTTGCTTCGTCTGCAGGGCCTTAGACTAGCGCAAGGCATGTAAAACTGTATAACGCACCTCAGGAGCGACAGTGACCGTCAACAGATCTGACTCCCCTCCTGGAGGGTAAGTCAGCTTGTATTGTGGTGCCTTGTCCAGCGCAAGGAATATCCGCAAGGCGCGGGCGATTCCTTCGATGCATAGGAGATCGTATCTTGTCCGGACGAGTCTCATTCTCCGTGAACATTGAAGGCTGTGAACGAACTCACCTGTTTGCTGGGATCTCAATTTTGAGTTGCTATCAACGATGTAAGCTCCAACTTCAATAGACCTATTCATCATTCCCACTTACGGGACGCTCTGCGGGCAGTCCTTTCTTCCTCGCCGCCTCTACTTCTTCAGTCGTCTGCAATTGCTTCTGTTAGTTCACAATTACCAAATCGTATCGGCCAGCTCACATCCTCATCCAACTCAAGACCAAACTCGAACAGGAGTTGTCGAAATCATCGGCAGCTGTGCGGAAGATTGAAGTCTGGAAGAGATCGTACGAGACTTGCACTCACAGTACTCCCTTCCCAGCCTCTTCCATAGATCTTCCTTATCGACAGCGACGGTAGGCATGACGTCTCGCAGTCAGACTTCCAAGGAGGTGCTCGCTGTTGTACAATGCCGAATCTACCAGGCGTGTTCAGCACCGAAATCAGCCAGAGTCGTCGAGTCCTGGTCGAGTCAATGCAAGCTTGCTTGAAGCTTTCTCGGAGATGGATGCTAAGATCTAGATCGCGATCACCCCGATCTACGTACACCGGCACATGCCGCGCTAAACATCCTCGACTCGGAGTCGCAGGGCACAAGTGCTTTCCAAGCACCTGGTCGCCAAATTTCACAGCCTCAGACACAACATGTAGATACCATACAGGGGAGTGATTCGTATAGTGTACAGCAAGTTCCGTGACGAGTCTGGTGAGGGTGACACGGTACACCGCATGAAGACGGCCCTGTGAGCCTGGAGTAGCACAGTATGTCGCTGTCTGTATGCAGCCTCCCAATAGTATATTATTTGCGGTAGAACTGTGGGCAGAGTCACGTTAGTCAAACCAACGAAGATCAACGTAGAATGCAGACGTACGTTGCGCCGGAAGTTGAACCAAAGTGATAGACACCCTCTGTCAAAGCTACTACGGAAGCCACTGCGACGAAGTCTCAGCGATCTTTTCAGACAGTTCAGACGGGGATGCTCACCGTTTATGCGAGAACTCCCATTCACGGTTGACTATTCGGAACGCAATGTCTTCGTACGGCGGGCCAGCGCTGAAGTGCAGTAGCACCGTCTCGTCGTTGCCTGGCTCCTTGACAATCTTGTATGTCGGGGCTTTCGATTTGTCAATGAGATCGGGATAGAAGATGTTGAACTACAGGTAGACAATGAGTTTGTGACACAATGCTTGCAGAACCCGGAACATACCTTGTATCCCTGCACAACCTTGGGAGGAGGGTTGTCCGTGCTGCAAACGAGGTAAGGATCATATTAACACATATGGGAGGATGCACTTACTCGTAGTGTGTCTGATTGTACTTGTTCCACTCGTACCCAGTGTGGACACGATTGAAGTAGCGAGGTTTCCGGGGTCGGTACTTGTCCTCCCAGTTATAGGATGTCGGATGAGTGATGTTTTCCTCGACGTTGAAAAGCTCCTCCTCCTCATCTAACTCCCTTTCAGCCTCCGCGCGATATAGCGCTTCAGAAGCCAAGTCAGCTCCGCTGCTTGTGGGCTCAACGGTTTCCACCTCTACAGGCGCCTGAGCAGTCTTTGGGACGAATCTTGATCCAGCGACTGAACGTCTTTGTTCCATCTATGCCAGCCTTGAGTGTGATGTACGCACGGTGCGATGTTATTTACTCACCAATGCGCGCAGATCCTCTTTCGCAGTCACGATGTCGATTTGACGCTCCTCATAAGACAACTTCCGGATGTCGACAGGCGGGGGGCTCATGGACCTGTCATAATCCTCGACGTCTTCGGTTGCCTCAGCCTCCTGTTGCGCGGTAGTGACAACAGGGACCACGTTGCGGCCGTCGCCCCTCGAAGCAGACTTTGCGACGCCGGCAAGAAGCTCTTCCTGGGCTTGTAATGCTTCGTCCCTCTGCCGCTTACGGAGTTGTTCGAGCCTATTGCGGACCACTACCTCATGAAGAGCCTTCAACTTGGCCTACACAGACGTCGAGTGAATAACAAATATAGCCATTTCTTGTGAGCCTTACCTTGGCCTTCCAGACTAGTAGTTTCTTCAACAAGCTTTCCCAGTAGTCGGTATCGATGGGCTCCCCGCTTGCCAATTTCGCCTGCACCTGTTTCTGGAGAACTACGAGGTGCTCATAGGACTTGCCCTTTAGAAGCGCTGTGATGTCTACTTCGACTGCGGCTGCGGCTTCCACTCCAAGACGTCTAGATGCCTTGATACGGTCCAGTTGATCCTTGCACACAACCATCATGTTCTGTAAGAGTCGTCAGTAAGGAGACTCATAGCTATTACAATGCATGCACATACCGTCCAGAATTCGAGGTTGACCTCAGACTGTTCGAGCCTTAGGTATTTCTCAATATCCTCATGCAACTCTTCCACTTGCTCCGGCGTAAGGCTCTAATGGGTGTGTGAGCAAAGAAGCACTGCATATCACGAACTAAGAACGACTCACATCGAAGATGTTGTAAGGCTCATCTAAGTCAATTTCCAAACCATCATCTTCCTCTTCCCTCCCCCTTCCCCATCTTCATCGTCTTCCTGCGGAGGGTTGACGTAACGAAGATTGAGCGCGAGGAAGTCGATAGCCTTTGCCCTCTTCTCTTTGATGCGGATGGCAGCCCTCCTGCGCTCTTGCTCGAGCTGGAAATCCTCCTCTTTGGACAGCCAGTCTGCCATCTGCACTGTCTCCGCCAACCTATGCATCCTCACCTCTTCCTCTTCTCGCAGCTGTTGCTCTGCCTCACGTTCCGCTCGCCTGCGGTTCAGCCTCTCCAGTTCCTCCTTCGCCTCTTGTCGCCGAAGCGCATCTCTCCTCTGCGATTCTTCGAGGTGAGACCCTGCTTCCGCTCTTTCTCGTTCTTCTTGTGCCAACGGAACTGCTGCCCGAGGTTGACATCGTGGAACGGATTGTCTGTAGCGCTGTATACGCTCAGCTCGGCAACCTGTCGCGCCTCTTCCTCCTCCCGGGCACGCTTCTTCTCCGCTTTCCGTGCCTTCCTATCTGCGGATTTGTCGCGCTTGCGCCTGAACAACAAATGATCAATGGCCATGTAACAGATTGCGTGACGGTAGACATACTTCTTCTTGTCCCGTTCTTCGCTGCGACTCCTGTCTCTCCCCGCTTAGAGCGATCATGGTCGGTGTCAGGAGTGCGACTTCTCGTCCGACGAGACCTCCGCCTGTCTTCCGCGTCTTCCTCGTGGTGCGGACGTTTGCGATCCCGTCTGTCCAAGTCTTTGTCTCGAGATCTGTCGCCGTAACGGTCCCGTTCACGGTCTCGGTCTCGCTCCCGAGGAGATACTGAGCGTGAATTGCGTCTCGGCATGTTACTGTTTGAGCAGCAAGAGCGCAAGAGCGTGCCTACTCACACTCAAGTGTCGAAGCAGATGGTGGTGGTGATGGTGGTGGCGGCGAAGAGGCTCGGCCAGGTCGCGGGCGACGTGCTATGCGGAATATGGGCGCCTAGTACGAGGCGACTGAGACTCGACCGACGGCTGAGCCAAGGCTCAGCTCATCGTCTGCTCTGTCGGGCGAGGGCGAGCCACGGCAACCACGGTGCTGTACAAACCCCTACTGAAGGATCCCTCCTGCTCTGTAATTTAGGCTGTACGATATCGACGATCCTTGGTCCTCTCTGGCAGCAACAACATCATGTGGCGTACAGATATATCACGGTGTTGTCACTCGTTCGCTCGCCTCACACGAAGTCTCCGGACGCAAGCACGCTACGATTACGCCCCTCCCGAGGATGAAGGGGGAGCACCGTATTGGGCCAAGCCTGCTGGTCTTGCCACCCCGCGCGAGGTGCTTGTCCAAGCATGCATTGCACTGGCATGCTGTCTAATGAAGGTTCTATCATAGCTAGCGCACTACCTTGACGAGTTCGTCGTTGGCCAAGAAAGGGCAAAAAAGGTGCTATCCGTTGCGTACGTGATGCTTGACCGTCTGGATCAGCGGGCTTGCTGTTCTGACCAAAGCCAGCGTGTTCAATCACTACAACCGAGTGCACGCGAATATGTCTATGCAAGACCCGACTCAGAGTTCAAGCTGGGTAGATCAACGTGAGGACGATCGTAAGTCCTAATGTAGATGTCAAAATCCTGAGTAGGCTGAGCACTACGTTCAGCTGTAACACCAGCCAATGTGCAACCGCATCCAAATCGACTCCGGCTACAATCTATGATGCCGTTTCAACCCGGTCACCCTCAGCCATTGTTTGAGAAGAGCAATGTACTTGTTATGTGCGTCCGCGAAATATTTGTGATCAGTCAATACTAATGTCTGTCATAAGTGGACCCACTGGATCGGGTTTGTCTTTTCCGCTCCATCCTCATGCGACGTCAGTCTAACGGTCTCACAGGCAAGACCTTGCTGGCCCGGACACTAGCCACCGTGCTCGATGTTCCGTTTTCAGTAAGCGACGCGACATCATTCACGCAGGTGAACATACATACTGCCCACGTCAATCTTCTTTGCACTGACACCGCATCCGTAGGCCGGATGTGGGTCATGTTTGGCACAATTGTTTGGCGCCACTAAGTGCCTGTTGACCAGATGTGGGAGACGACGTTGACATGTGTATACAACGACTCGTAAGTGCACATCCTCGACAAAGCGCAACGAAACTCATTCGTGCTGCTAGTTGCAAGCCGCAAATTGGGATCCATTTCGTGCCAGGTAAGGAACGAAGTCATAAAGTCATCGCAGATAGCTCACGGGCTCTCGTTACGTTAGCATGGGTATTGTGTACATTGATGAGATTGACAAGGTGGCGAGGAAGGTAGGCAGCGGAGGCCTCGAAGGCAGCCGTGACGTTGGAGGAGAGGGTGTACAACAAGCCCTGCTCCGTATGATGGAGGGTTCTACGGTCACAGTCCAAGCGAAGGGTTCCCCGGCTGCGCTGCCACCGACGAGTGGCGATAGTCGGTCGAGAGCTGGTCAGCGAAATCCTAATCTAGCTAGCCGTAGGTTTGCTTTGTCTCCACTTGAAGCTGGCGGCGCTCAACCCGTTCGACACATTAGCTCGACCTGAGGCATACTCCATCGAGACCAGCAACATACTCTTCATTCTGAGTGGCGCATTTGTCGGCTTGGACAACATCATCAAACGGCGCGTGGCCAAAGGAGTAGGCTGAATTGGCCTGTCATCATAACGTCTCCCGCTCACTTCAGTCGCAATGTTAGTCTATAGGCTTTACTGCCCCTCTTTCCTCTTCATCGGAAACGCGAGGCAATGGCCAGATGCCTTTCTTCACGCCGAATACCGAGGCTGTACCAAACATGCTGGACCACATTGAGCCTGAAGGTGAGTCAAAGTGTATCACATCTTGGCGCTCCCCGTTGCTCATTCGCTTCGAAGATCTCGTCCAATATGGGTATTGCATCTCGCAATGATTCGTGAGGCAAATTGAACTCATAGATGCCGGCAGATTCATCCCAGAGTTCATATCTCGAATGCCCTCTATGACAACACTATCACCGCTGAGCATTTCAGATTTACGGAGAATCCTCACGGAAGTCAGAGGATCGCTTGTATCGCAGTATACAGCGCTGTTCGGCTACTCAGGCATCGAGATCAGGTTTACCAGTCAAGCACTGGACGAGATATGCCAGAAGGCCTTCCAACGAGGTGGTGGCGCAAGAGGCCTGCGTGGTATTATGGTATGACCTAGTGCAATATCGATCAAGACATCGGTGTCTAACGCTCTTGAAAAGGAATCATTATTGCTGGAACCGATGTATGAAGCACCGTACGTGAATTTCCCCTGGTTGTGTGGTCAATGATTCTGAATGAATTTCACAGAGGATCTGTGCGTCGACTCATGGAACTCATGCCGGTGTTCAGTGACTGACGGTCTTCGATTTACAGTCGATTCGTCACGTCCTCATTGGTGGCGCTGTGGCGCGTGGTGAGCAGCCACCACAGTATTGGAGTAAAGGCGAGGCGACTGCTTTCTGGGCGGCTTGGGCAACAGAGGAAGAACAGTATCCAAGTGGGTCGCGATAGTTAAGGATGTCTCGATGGCATCGGACAGACTACTGTAACGTCTCTTGTACTGTGTGGCGCCTCCATTGAATTGTCCGTCACTGATTCGGGCCTCCTCACACGAGCGCATAGAACATGGGCGTAAGCATTACACGTTATCCATCTAAACTGCCAGTTATACCGCGGATCACAGGGTGAAGTCAGACTTGGGATGTGTTGACGGGAATATGTGTGATGTCGGGGCACGAGATTTACTCTTCCTTCTTCTCCTCAGCGGCCTCTTCTTTCTCCTCAGCCGTTTCATCTGCGAGCCCCTCTGCTGGGACCTCCTCCTCCTCCGCTTCCTCTGCGGGCTTCTCCTCAGAAGCAGCAGGAGCACCACCGACAAGGCCCGCATTTGCCTTCTGTGCTTCCTCGAAAGCCACCTTGTACTCGGCCGCATCTAAGGATGGTCAGCATCAGTCTCAGCCGCTACATGAGTGATACTCACTCTCCGCGTTTGCGAAGCGAATCGCGAGCGTTTCCGACGTAGGGGGAGACTCAGAGTAGTCCGCCGCCACTTTCCAGACCCAGCTCCTGTCAGAGCCGATGTTGGGCTGCAGCTTCATGTCGGACGTGACTACGGTACGTCAAGACGTCAGACTGATCATAGATCGACCTAAGAGCTCACTCACTGGCGTGGTTCGCGCAAACCTTGAGTGTCTTATCGCGCCGCATCACTAGCCGCACTTTCTTCGTCTCCTTGTGCTGGAGCAGCCTAACGTCGCCGGTACCACGTTCTTTCCACTCAGAGGAGTCCGATGCAAATCGGAACAATTTGGCACGCCTGAACGCGTCGTGTGGAGGTCGATCAAGATTATTCGTGACAATACTCTTAGAGATCAAAGGCGTACATTTTGAAGAGCACATCTTCGTCCTCCTCATTCGTCTTCGTTGTTACCTGCTCCGTGAGCTTGATAACGGGCTCGAAATGAGGGTCGTGCTCCTCTTCCTGCGTCAATGTAAAAGAAAATTAGCCGTCGCGTCGGGCAGAGCACAGATCGCAAACATCGATCGACGCGTCTGCGCATGCCGACAATTCAGGAAACACATACCCTGGGGGCGAGAGCGTCAGGTGTGTCGGTCATGGTGAGATGGTGGTAGGTCGTAAAGAGTCGAAAAGGATGGAACGCAGAAAGTGGCAAGCACAAGCACGTCGCGTGTGATGGCTTTCGCCCTTTGACCCAGAATTACTGACCCGGAACAGACCCCGGGGACTCTTCGCAGCGGGGTTCCCTGGGTCTCTGCGCCCGCCACGACTACCGAGGCGTTCAGTACGGTTACCTGTCCCGACACCTCGTCTACGGACGACCCTCCACGAGCACAATGTCAACACAATGTGCCCGAACTGTCTTCCTGCTATGTCTCTCCTTGCTGAGCTCCCTCGTAACGGCACATATGATTGAAGTCCCAGCGGGCAAGAAGGAATGTTTCTTCGAGGATCTCCATGTCAATGACAAAGTGCGTGTGCACCTTCACTTCTCCGAGTGAGGTACTTACGCTCAAGCTCTACAGATGACAGTGACATATCAGGTCGGAGGTGGTGGCCACCTCGATATTGATTTCTGGGTAAGTTACATACGATCGTGTGGCATGGTCAGTACTCACTGGGTCGCATGCAGCTACAAGATCCAGACCATAACGCACTGGCAAACCATGAAAGACACAGTACTGGAACAGTCTCAATAACGGCAAGAAAGGATGGGAGGCACGAATACTGTTTCTCAAATCTGATGAGCACCGTGGTGGATAAGCTCGTGAGGTGCGCCCATCCGCGATTCGTGTCCAGCATTTTCGTTATCTGAACATCCGTCAGCTTCAACGTCCATGGAGTCATCTATGTAGATGACGATGGTGAGTCTACTTCATGTCCTCGGCGGTCAATATCTGACATGCGTAGACACCGTCGCCCCAATCGAGCGCGAAATCCGACAACTAGCCCACGGCCTGACCGCGGTGAAGGACGAGCAAGAATACATTGTCATTCGAGAGCGGAGACACCGCAACACCGCTGAATCCACGAACTCGCGTGTGAAGTGGTGGTCCATATTCCAGGCGATTGTGCTCTTCGCTGTCGTAGCATGGCAGGTGTATTATCTGAAGGTGCGTCCCCTGCCAATTCATGTCCTTCATGGCCTCACCGATATGGCTATAGTCATTCTTTGAGGTCAAGCGTGCATTCTAGTGTACTGGGAATCCATTCCGGCATTGGACTATTGAGACTGTAGGTCTTGTAACAATCTATTCGCCCAAACAGTCGCTGGAGAGGCGCTCATCAAGCCAGTCACTACACAGCTTACTCTGCGAAGGCAGCCAAGCTAATACAAAGTGCGGTCAGCTCTCACTCACTGGGATCACTTCCGGATGACGTGGCACAGGCTAACTTGAGGCTCATCATGGCTCATCGCTTCGGACACCGGGCCTACGGAGGGATCCAAATAATGTTTCTCATGTTTCACATGAGATGGTCCATGTTCCTTTCATGGCTTGGCTTGGCATTGCGAATGACGCTGTGTTTTCGTTTTGCGTGGCCGTGCGTATACTGTGCTTGCACCCTTCGTATGTCGATATACACTGGCGACAGCCGCGTGCGTGCCGCGCCGCGTTGCGCAGAGTCGACTGTCGCAGGCTGTTCAATCACATGATCGTGACAGTGCGCCCACCAATTCAGTACCACAGTACTTCGCTTATTCTACTTAGGTCTCCCCATCTGCAGTGGGTAGTAAGCTCAGACATGTCCTCGCCCTCCTCTGCCCGCGTTGAACTCGACGCATTCTATGCGCCCATATCCGAGAGGCAGTTGGTGCGCTGTTCGGAGGGGACAGCTGTGTATCTTCTACTGTTACACCGTGCTCCAAGGAGTGTCCTTCAACTTACATCGTCGTGGCAGCAGAATAGGCACACCGCACATCGGTAACATTTGCTTCGTAGGCTCTCCAATGGTTTGCAAGACGAAACTGGTCGCCCGGAAAGCAGCTATCGATTTGGCAATAAGGTTGCGTAGCGGCCTTTCGTTCGTCCACAGTCACTACGGCGCCATGTTCTGGGACCGTCGAGATGGTCACCTCAGGTGCACGTACTGAAGTACTCAGCGAGTGAAGCTAGCAAGCCGGAAGAAACACATGGGCGTGCATAGGCATGTTCGGGCGAAAACAAAGTTTGGTGAGACGCCGGCTCGTCCAGTGCGACAACGTTCGCGGAAGTGGTAAATGAAACTTTACAGTGCACTGCATTGCTTCTCTCGCGCGGTGTCTCCATATCTGTGGATCGATCTAAAGGCACCTTACCCCTGCGCTTTGTGGCGCGTGCAACTTTGCTTTTGTCTCCCCTATCTTGAGTAGGGGCAGGTGCGTCCGATCCATCTCGTTGTTCGTGTGTCAACCTTATGGACCAACGTGATATAATTGGCACATTCAGGCGCTGTTGACCGCTTACGCCGCACGACTATTGCAGTGCGCACGCCCTCACCCTCCCAGCCCGACGTCGATGTCCGCTCATACAATGTCCGCCCCAGACAGCCCGATGCCCGAACGAGTGAGCCCAGAGGCACTTCCCTACGTCCAGGATGAAGACTTCTGGTATCCAGATGGCACAATCATCCTAGTGGCTCGCACAGAAGTGGCGTTTCGCGTGCACAGAGGAGTACTCGCGGATCATTCCGCTGTGTTTCGCGACCTCTTCGCGGTGCCCCAGCCTCCAGAAGAAGAATGTCACGCAGGATGTCCGATGGTGAATCTTTCCGACGCACCGAACCAGATGAGAAGTCTGTTGAGAGCTCTCTATCACCCACGCAGGTACGTTACTTTAGCTTTAAGCTCATGCGGAAGGAGGTCCATTGGCAATGTCTCAAATAGATACTACATGCCCGACCAACGTGTATCGTTTGCCATGGTCGCAGCACTCATTCACCTCGGCCACAAGTACGCCATAGACGATCTCGCCACATCTGCCCTATCACGCCTTAGGACTTGTTTCTCCACTTCCTTCGACACGTACTACTCAGCTATCACTGCCGGCGGCAGCCAAGCGATGTCCTGCACATCGGAAGACGCAATCGCTGCGGTGAATCTCGCGCGCCTCATAGGCGAAGATGCGACCACCATCCTGCCGAGTGCGCTGTACACATGCTGCCAACTCGGCGCTGACGTGCTCACCCGCGGAATCCTCGACGACGGCGGAGACGTGCAGAAACTCGGCGACGCAGACCTGGAACGGTGCATCGACGCCCGGGCGCGACTTGCTGCGCTCGCGATGTCGTCCGCTGTCCGGAGGTGCCAACTGAACTCAGACGACCAGGAGACTCCGAAGGAAGGTCGTTCACGTTGCACGCAGGCGTTCTGCACGCCCTATCTCGCTTCGGCCGCATCTCGAGTGCTTTGCGGGTCATTGGGCCTCCCGAAGTTGTCCGGAGCCTTGGACTCCATCGATTGGTTCGTCGCCGACTCCGTGAGGGGTGGGCTGTTGTGTCACGTCTGTGCCGCCAAAGTCAAGGACAAGGACAAGCAGGAACGACTCCGAATATGGAAGATGCTGCCGGCGGTCCTCGGCTTCAAGTTGGAAGGATGGAACGAGACGGGTCAGCATAAATCGTAGTGCGGCATCGAGGTTTGTGAGCTTGTTTGGTTTGTATTGAATTAACATCGCTGATGAAGTCGGTAGTAGTCACTAGCTGTGCTTGAATTCGTGCTTCGGACTGACTGACACATAAAGTCGGTCGATGCTGTGTTCTCATTTTGGCATGACCTCGACTAAACGGCTGCGATAGCGAAGGACAGAATGCATGTAGCGATTTATATCTACGAATCAAACTAAGTATCACTCTGGTCTCAGGTCGGATACTGGACAGACTTTTGTGCAGATCGTGGTACCAGACGGGACATCTAGATCAACAGGCATGGATCAGCAGAAACTTGCCGGAGAGGGGCTCTCGCCGAATGTCATGTCTGAAAAGGACACGTGCCTTTCATACTTGAGGCTTGGGATGGAGGAGCGCACTCACCACATAGTCTTCTGGCAGCTTACAGAGAGGCACAGCGACGTCAGCCCGATGGTCGAACGCGGAAGGTGAGTGACTACGGAAAGCTGTTGCACATTGATGTCGCTTATGCTACAAGGATACATCTGTGCCCGTTCATTCAATCTCTAGCTTCAGGTACCCTCCTATAATCTCCATGAACTTCGCTCGCTCCTCCCACTGGGCCATATGCGAACTGTTGGGGAAGGTATACCACTTGACTCGCGGCAACACGTTCCAGACAGGTGCTATCACACTATCCGCGGCCTCGTCGTACGCGCCATTCGTAATGAGGATTGGGACGTTGATTTTCGGCAACTGAGGTATAATATTCCATGTCTTTAGGCTCCCGGTGATAGTGAACTCAGAAGGGCCCTCCCTATCGTCCTGGTGAACAACGTCGATCCGAGTAAAGCGAAGGACATACATGGTTCCGTAAACTGTTGGGTCTTCTAGTGCCTTAAACGTCGCCACTACTTCCGGTGGGTATGGGTCAAGTCGGCAGACAAACTGCTTGTTGTACACGTTCATCGCGTCAGCGTATTCTGGGGAGTCGAATGTCCCCGCCTTCTCATGTTTGCGAATTGTCTCCTGCGCGCATATGGTCAACATTGCATACACAGCCCTTAATGTCTCTACTCACCACTATGTCTGTTGGCAGAGTTTCAAGGAGCTTGCGCGTCGCATCTTCCCATAGTTTCATGGAAACCAATCCAGACGACAGGATGAGTTTCCTGAGACCAGCTGGTTGTCTCACAGCAATCTCTAGTCCCAACATCGAACCCCACGAGTGTCCCAACACATCATAGGTCTCGACTCCGATATGCGTCAGAAGATTATGGAATTCGTCAACAAAAAGTTGGACGGTCCAAAACTCCACATCTCCGGCCTTCTCGGGTAGCAGCGTCGACTTTCCACAGCCCACCTGGTCGTAGAGCACGACCGGCATCCCGTATGCGGCCTCGGCCAAGTCGGCCAGTGAGAGTAAGTAATTCATCGTTGCTCCTGGGCCACCATGCAAGCAATGAGCGGGGTGACGCCGGACTTCAGCTCCCCAAAGATCTTGTAGTATGTCTGGCAGGCTTTGCCTGCGCTAGGCACGCTGAGTGGGGCAAACCCCTCTGTGACGGTCACCGACATTTTTGGCGGCTCAATGACGGAGCTGTATGTTGCCGGAAGTGCCAGTGGAAGCGGCGGACTTGGGTGGTGAGTACGGTGGACGCGTGGAAGACTCAAACCGTGCCCCTTGCTTTTATAGTTGATTCAGCTTCCTTATCGTGTTACGGCCTGAATATGCGGACAGTTTGCCACGTAGATAACACTCTCGGCCCGCCCATCCCACCAGTAGTAAGTGATTGTGACCATGTGTTGGTCCTTCGCGTGTCGTCGACTTCGTTCTCCCAGGATTCGTGCGCACGGGCCCGAACACGCACTTTCAAGCGGGCCTCTCGGTGTTCCAATTCGGTGTGTGATATGTAATTATAACCTGATTGAACGAGAATGCCCCAAAGCAAACTTCAAACTCGAGTGCCTGACCGAGTTGAGCGCACTTGCCTTGTGGAAGCTGGGATCGCCATCAGGACGACAACGCGGTTCAAGATGTTCCTAGGGACACTCTCGACGCTGTGGTAGCTGGGCTCCCGCAAGCTCTTCACCATTCGATCATGGATGTCGCGGCACCCCTGTAGTCCAAGTCGAGAGCAATCAGTCATAAGGACCCAACGCGGAACGTCTGGTTCTGATTCAGAAATCGCGTAACATGGAACTGCATCCTAGGTAAATGACTACGGCGCCTGCAAGAAGTCGCCGACAATCTGCATGTACCTCTCCCGTTCTTCCAAGTGCGGTATGTGCGCACTCTGCGCGAACGTGACCCACTTCGCCTGTGCTACTGCCAGGAAGACGGGAGCAATTGCGGCATCCGACGCCGCTTCGAACGCACCGTTCGTCAGCAGGACAGGACGGAGATCTTGTGAAGCTCTGGACGGATGTCCCACGTCTTGATCGAGCCCGTCACAGTGAAAACCAAAGGCCCTAGCCTATAGAGATAATATCAGGAGCAGTATCTTGGTTGCAAGGTCAAGACCCCTACATTGTGGAGTATACTGTAGGATCTTCGACCATCTCGGCGAAACTCCTCTGTACCTCTTCAGGCCAGGGATCGAGTCTAAGCATGAACTGCTTGTTGTAATGTCCTATTGCCGCCTGATACTCGGGGGAATCGAAGGTGCCATCGTTTTCGTGCTTGGCGACCGTATCCTAGAGAGGCAGAGATCAGATAAAGATCTACACCTCTCGACATTGAGGCTTACCTGCACCTCCTGTGGAAGCATTTTCAGTAGGTTTCGGCCGGATTCCACCCAGAGTGAGAAAGCCGCGGGCCCCGATGACAGCACCAGCCTCCTCAGTTCTTTCGGTTGCTTGACCGCGATCTCCATGCCTAGCATGGCGCCCCAAGAGTGTCCCACAATATCGTAGGTCTCCAGACCGAGGTGCTTCATCAGGTTATGGAATTCGTCCACAAACATCCGCACGGTCCAGAATGCGGCGTCGCCGATCTTCTCGGGTAGATGCGTCGAACGGCCACTGCCAACCTTGTCGTAGAATACGACAGGCGCACCGCCATGCGATGGCAAAGTGAGATCGACGAGGGAAAACATGTACCCGTGCGATGAACCAGGCCCGCCATTAATTACGACGACGGGGCACTTGTCGGAGGTGAGATCGCCCAATACTTTGTAGTATGTCTGACAGGGCTTCCCCGCGCCAGGTGCGTTGAAGGGTGCAAAGCCTTCGGTGGTGGTTGGCGTTGACATGTTAAGATCAGGATGATCGCGTTGTAGATGATGGGCCATCCTCCAGCAATGCCAGGTCATTAAGTAGTCTCGAGGTCAACGCCACTGCGAGTGCGTGTGGCCAGACGACTCAGACCAGACGTGCGCAGTACGCGGCGGTGCCACCGCAGATGATGATGATGCCCATCATTGCGAGTTGTGACACTTACCATTGAGATTTCCGTTCATTCCGACAGGGCATCTGTCATTGGGATTCTAGGCTTGACACGAAACCCTCACGTGGAGGGTCTTGCGGCGAGACTAATCCGGATTCAGAGTGATTGATGATTTGAGGTCAAGATTCCTGTTCAAAAGACCGTACCAAGGAACCAAAGTATGACGCACCCAAGACACTTTACTACTCCTGGACGTCTGAAATCGTTACCAGTCAATCTGAACAGCGCCAGCTAGTCGCACAGAAACCATCGTCTCGCACCTAGCATGAGATGTGACGTATGTACACCCTCATCCGACGGAGGGGACGGCCGCGAATTAGGCACACTTGACGATGTAATTGGCCCCTCATACACATGGCGTCGTATTGATAAACGAATGCTGTGATCTTCCGTTAATTCTGTACGCCTCACGACTCGACAATTTCCCATCCGATCGGTTTCCCTGCCCAGAAGGGCACGACGCTCTGCTCGCCTTGTACTAGCTGCTCTTCAACCAACCTACCGAACACGCGCCTAATGACCACCTTGCCCTCACTCTGGGAGACGGGCACGCGGTAGAAAGCCCGCCCATAGGTGCTCACAAATCCCTCGAGGCGGCCGAGCGCGCCAAACGAGTCGAGAAGATGGGCAACAAGGGGGAGAAGGATAGCTGAGGTGTATACGCCCGCTGCACACGCGTGCAGAGGTGAGGCCGTGGATTTTGTGTGCGGGGGATGTGGTGCCGAATCTGAACCTAGGAAGAAACGGGGATGCCCTGGAACGAGATGTACTGTGAGTAGGTAGGATTCATTTCAAACGACGCACCTTCTTTGATAACGTCCTGGAGCGCCTGCCTATCGTCGGGGTATTTCGCAACGGGCTTGCAGAAGTGCCACGACTGACCGGCCCAATCATCGACAGTCAGCGCGAGGTGGTGTGCGGTGACGGTGCAAGCAACAGTGTCGCCCAGGCCCTTGACACACTCGACAGCAGCGCGTGTTGTCGCGTGCTCGAGAACGATGCGCAGGCGGGGAAACGTGCGTGCAACTTCCGAAGGTGAGGCAAGAAGGCAGGCTCGGCATTCAGGACGCAGATGTTGGTGGACGCGTCCGACGGGACCTCGCCATGGAGGTTGAGGACCATGTCCTCCTGCTCCATTGCCTCAAACACGGGGTAGTAGGCCTCATATGACTCAATACCACCATCGGAATTGGTTGTCACGCCACGAGGGTAGGACTTGACACCTGAGCACACGTTTCGACCTGTGAGCGCGAGGGCGAAACGCGGAACTACGGACCAACTACGCCTGCGCGTTTTGCTTTCCGTATCTCGTCGGGCGTGAGCTCCGGAGATAGGTACAGAGTCATCAAGTAGTCAATAGTAGGGTCTGCGGCCTGCAGCTGCGCCCTGTAGAGGAGAGCCTCCTCGGTGTTGGAGATGGGTGGTCTGAGGTTAGGCTGGAGCGATGGTCAGATACCGATGTTGTGGAAGAGAGGCAGCCAGTACCATGACATAAGCGAGCCTGAAGCCTCCTTTGCGGACATGGGGGGCAAGGAAGGCAGCAAACTCGCCCTGGCGCAGGTGGACATGGAAGTCGGCGGGCGCGGCGATGGCGAGCGAGTCGGACATGGTGGCTGGAGGACTTGGACACAAACAGACGCCTGCGCGACGGCGCCGGGTGTGCGCGGTCACATGCTCGACGCGTGCCCACGGTTCGGTTGCTGGCAGCGGCGGTTCAACTTCATCTTAGCTCTCCCTTCCATCTGGGCGCCCCCTTCTTTCACGGCCCTGACGCTTACGACTGCAAACCACAGAGGTGGTATCTTCGACATGGTTGCCGCAGGGTCCATCACCGTTGCTGGTATGTGTACTCTTTGTCTTGCAGTGGCCGAAGCGTTCACCGGGATGCAGTCCGCGTCCGCCCGCCAACATCATGGGAGGCTACACGACTTCCACAAACAACATATGACAACTTTATACGTACGGATGGAGCGCTCTCCATGTCCCCAGCAAAGGCTGCGACGAACAACGCGCCTCTTCGCGATGTCATCCAAGTCATTGACGATCGCGTGCTCACGTTCGACCCCGATGAGAAGGACCCATCTAGGGCCTTCGTCGAGCGGGGCTTCCTTCCTCCGGGGACGAAACGATACAAGGATCGCCGCTTCATATTCGACAAAGTGTTCGACCACCAGGCGCGGCAGGAAGGCGTCTACTGCGGCACCGCAAAGCCGTTGCTCACCAACCTACTAGAAGGATACAACGCAACTATCTTTGCCTACGGCGTATGTCTTGCAACGTACCCACATTTCGTCGCTAACGCACCATCTGTAGGCTACCGGCTGTGGCAAAACACATACTATCAGCGGTACTGATACCGACCCGGGTATTATCTATCTGACGATGGCCGACCTGTTCCAGAGAATCGAGGATCGACGGGAAGAGTACATCATTGACGTTTCAGTCACATTCCTGGAGATCTACAACGAGAGATTCGCGATCTTCTTGCAGAACCTGGTACGCCGACGCCGCGTGGAGGCCTGCAGATCCGAGAGGACAAGACAGTGAAAGTGATAGGGCTGCAGGAGCTCCGACCGACAAGTGCGGACGAGGTCAAGTCTATCGTCTTGCTTGGGAACTCGCGGCGGACACAGTCCCCTACGCATGCGAACGAGACATCGTCGCGCTCGCACGCGGTGCTCCAAGTGCATGTTGCGCAGGCGCCACGAACGGCGAACATCACGGAGCAGCGGACGATGGGCACGCTGTCGATCATTGACCTCGCGGGTAGCGAGCGTGCTGCGGCAACAACGAACATGGGCCAGCGGATGGTCGAGGGCGCTAACATTAACAAGTCGCTGCTCGCCCTCGGAAACTGCATAAACGCTCTGTGCGAGAGTGGAGGCGCGATTCGCCATGTGCCATATCGGAACAGCAAGCTTACGCGCCTGCTCAAATTCTCTCTCGGAGGCAACTGTAAGACTGTCATGATCGTCTGCATTGCGCCCACATCGCTGCACTTCGATGACACGCAGAACACGCTCGTTTACGCGGAGCGCGCGACGCGGATCAAGACGAAGGTCATCACGCGCAACGTCGTAAACGTCGACCGCCACGTCGGACAGTATGTTGAGGCGATCAACCGCCTCAACTTGGAGGTCGCGGAGCTCAAGCAGAAGGTCGCGGGCAAGCGTGACACCGAGGCAGAGAGGGAGAAACGTCGCCGTCAGGAGGCAGCAGCCGAGGTTGCACGTTCGAAGAACGACATGCAGCAGAAAGCAGAGCAGATGCAGCCTTCCATCGTGGACGGTGCCAGCTGTGCAGGCAAGATTGCTGTCGCAGAAGCGAAGCTCAAAGTCATCCGTACGCGCCTCGCGCAGCTCGATACAGAGGCATCGTCTTCATCCACGTTCCCTGCCGACCTGGAGACGGAGCGGCAGTTGCTCAAAGCACTTGCGGGACCGGAAGAGGATGTCGTCAAGGCGCAGTCCGTGTTGAATGCCCGAGTGCAGCGCTCCAGCAACTCTGACGCCATGTTTGATGCGACGCTACGTGCCGTCAGCGAGCGTCGTTCGGACAAACTCGATGAGTACGCTGTCGATAACGTGAAGCTCGACGCGCGCTGGCGCAAGGCCGAGATGGAGCGTGCGAAGGCGGAGGCTGGAAAAGAGGTCCTGAAGGAGGCAGTCACTAGCCAAGCGGAGGCTTTGGTCAACCTCGTCGGCCTAGTGAGCCGCTGTACAGTGATGTTGGGCGACGCGAGCCGCATTCTGGCGACTGCAGCAGGGGAGGGCAGAGATGGCATGGAGGCCACCGTCAAAGCCCTGTCTTCGTCTCTCGGCAATGTCGCTGAAAGCAATGACGAAGCATTCAAGGCACTCCTCGGACACTCGATTGCTTCCTACGCTGCTGGCGCTGCCCCGTCCTCACTCAACACCTTCAAGGGTTATCCTTCCGCTCTCGGCATGGGCAGGTCGGCATCAGGGCCCACCGTGTCACAGCCAGGAAAGCCACGGCTTTCGAGACGTTCCTCGTCTTACGGCTCAGCCGCACCGAGCTCTCCTCTGCGCAAGTCTCACAAGAGTCCTCGCAAGTCGCTGCGCTCCAGCCTTGCTCCGTCTTCCGCGCCATATAGGCGTGTCTCTGACAAGGACAAAGGCAAGAAGAAGGGGGTGCAGTGGCGAGACGAGGCAGGCCAGGGCAACATCGACGACGGCGGGCTCGGTGCAGTGGCGCCAGTCATCACCGTGTCGACACCCGACCTGGCAGAGACGTCTTCTGCTCCTGCGTTGGAACCGAGCTTTGCTTACAAGCGACCTACCTCAGCAGCTGGGTCTGAGAGCGAGTGGGAGGACGAGAAGACAGAAGACAGCTTCAACGTCAGCTTCTCGCAGAATGCCTCACACGACGTATCTGTCTCCGCCGCAGCCGCAGGCGCCGTTCGCAAGCGGCCGAGGGCGAGCCGGCTCGATCCCTCCTTCCTCAAGTCGAAATCCCGGAGCTCGAACCTCGAGAGCCTGGCAGAGAACGACGAGGACATCGCGACGGTGCAGGGCACGCCTACGAAGCGGCCCTTGGGTGACCGCAACATGAACCGTATCCCCTCCCCGGACGGCTCTAGCAGCAGCTCCAGCACCATGGACGCGCTTCACATCCCCAAGGGACGCGAGAGGCAGCACGGAAGCCCTGCGAAGCGGGCGCCGATGACACCGAAGGTCGTCGGTATGAGCAAGGGCGCGCGCAGGCGGTCGGCCATCGGGCCCATGCGCAGCGACCGGACGCGGAGGCGGTCGAGCATGATCCCACAGCTGTCGCCTGTAGACCGCGATGCGAACGATTCTGGCAACACGTCGCAGTTCCTCAACAAGAGTATGTCGGGCGCGCGGAGGGTCGCTGTCAACGGAGGGGAGCGGTCGCCGGCGAAGCGGGTGAAGAGGATATCGCTGCTGAGCGCGTCGTCGAATAAGTTGACGGCGTCTGCCCGCTTGAAGCTGCCTGACGCGAACACCAGCGCCGAGATGAGCTTCAGCGGCATTGGCAAGGGCGTAGGGAGACCGACCTGGAAGTGAAGGACTGCAGCTATCTTGTATGACCATAGAGTACAACCATGACCATGACGACCTGCCTGTACCACCTCTATTATGACCATCGTTGGTTTACTTTCGATTTCGTAGTACGTGTCTTATATATATTGCTATGCATTCCGCACGTTGTTGTCTTAGCACGCCCCTTGTTCCTGTTCCTATACCCTGTCTCTCCTTCATGCGAAACTTGTGTACTGTTCCGCAGATATCTCAGAAATGGACTGCTCAAACGCTATTGAGAGGATCACCGGGCATTGTAAACATTATATCAAGGTGGGCGAATATCGTGGTCATGCCAGCTGCCCATGGCTACAATACTGCCACCTCTCATTAACGTCCCTGGACCGTATCACCGTCTATAGCGTTGTACAGCAGCTAAGTGCTAGAACTCACCGTTGGATATCTGGATATCCGGTATGGCCACACCCCTCCGCCGGGTCCGGGACTAAGTACCGCCTTCAGTGACGGATTTCGAGCCTACTACTTACGCCGTTCATGCGTCAAGCCCTGCTGCGTACTACCATCTCATCATAGGCTAGTAAAACACCTCCCATTAGTACAGTAGACAACGCCGATATCTAGCAACACCGCGTTCTCGCCAACGCAGCACACACAAGTAGATTACAACGACCATATTAGTCTGCGCCAAGTCCCCACACACCCCTACAAATGCTACTAGATCCGACCCCCAAATACACTCGATGATAGACGTGCCGGCCACGGAGCATGCGTGTATAAGCAAAAAGAAATGCGTGTATGTAAAGGCCCAACGCGTGTGCGCCCACTCCCGAACCTCGACCCCCTCATGCCCCGTCCCCTCACGCACCGTCCAAACCCTCCCCGCGCGGACCGGCCCCGCGGACCAACACCGCCACGCTCTGCGCGACGAACACGACGAGCAGCGCGCCGACGAAGGCCGTCGCGCCCGCGGGGACGAGCGCGCCGAGCACCGCGCGCATCAGCAGACGACGCAGCCACCAGAGAACCACCTGCAGGCGGGACGCGGCGGCGTAAGAACGCGCCCTTCAGAAGGAGGAAAAGCGGGCGGGCGTGAGCGGGAGCGGGCACGGGGCGGGGGAGGAGAGGGAAGGGGGGGGAGATAGGATGGAGATGGAGGGTGGGTGGGGGAGGGCTGGAACGCAGGACGCACCAATGACTCTGCAGCTTCTCGATCCAGTGCACGACGAGGCGCAGGCGCAGGCGGGCCGAGCGGATCGGGAGGAGCTTCGCCTTCTCGTGTTCGTCGATCGGGAGGAGCTGCAAACCGCCGGCGCCGCACACACACCGCCCAACCGCGCACAGTCGCACCAGCCGCGCCACGGAGAACGGAGCACGATTTCCGCCGGACGGAACCCAAGCGCACCGCGATCGAAATTGAACCGCGGACGGACGACACACAACCAAGAAAGCCAAGAAAGCCCGTCAGCGCAAACGCCCAAACACCACAAAAGCGGCAGCCCCGGAGAGGAGCGGGGGATGGAACTGGAGACACTCACCGCACCCATCCAGAAGCTGAAGCTCGCCGGGTCCCTAGGCATCTCGACGTAGTGCGTGTTCAGCCGCTGCACGACCCACGGCGTGCCCTCCCTCAGCTCGCGCAGGAACGCGTGGCACACCTCCATCAGCTGCGCTATCGTCCGCGTTTGCCCTACCGCCCGCCCCCCGGAAACTGCCTCCTCCTCCTCCTCTTCCTCCCAGTCATCCACCTTCTCCACCCTCGCGACGAGATAGCCATCCAGCGTCCCCCTCTCCAGAATCCTAAACCGCCACGCGCCCGACGTCTCGACCACCGCACGCCCGTCGGGCAGCATCTGCACGTTGCGGATCTCCAGCATCGTCCCGTACTCGTTCCCGTGTTCGTCTGCGCCGCCGTGCGTTGCGGTGCGGGTTGGGCGTTTGGCGGGTGGTTCGTGGACGCGTGCGGCTGGTGCGCGGGGGGAGGACGAGGAGGGTGCGGTGCGCGGGGGCGGGATCATCCCGAAACGCGGGTTGGGCGTCGCGAGGCAGCGCCGGAGCATCAGTCGATACCTAGCATGCACGCGATGGCGCGTCAGGACGCCTGCGAGTGAGAGGGAAGCGGACGGGGCTCACCGCGGCTCGAAGAAGTGGAGCATGGTGGGCATGCCCGGGTAGCTCAGCTGGGCGATCATGATCGGCGTGTCCAGGCGGGCGTCGCGCTCCTCCGCCTCGAGCGCGGCGCGGCGCTCAGCGTACGCCTCCGGGAAGGCGTGTAAGACTGCGACGCCCGGTCAGCTCACGCTCACGGACGCAGGTGTCTGGCGTCAGGCAAGACTCACTGATGGCCAACACGAGCTTATTGCAAGGCTGGTCCTGGAAGTACGCGTATTCGAGCGCGTCGCGGCATATAGGGCACGCCATGTTGTAGTCAAGCGAGCGGTGCAGACATCCCGCGCAGAACGTCTGCGAAATCGCGTCAGCACTCTTCCGCGGGAGACCGCAGCTGCGTTCGACGCGCCAGAAGCAGACGGCGAATCACACACAAGGCAGACTCACATGCTGACAGGGCGCCGTGACAGGCTGCACAAACAACTGGCTACAAATGTCGCACGTCAGCTCGCCCATCAGCTCCTTCTCAAACCGCGCCGCGGGGTCGCGCTCGGCCGCGTCGGGCACCGGGCGGCGGGCGGGCGGAGGGGCCAGGCGGCGGCGGCGTTTCCTCGGGCGTGGGGCACGTCGGGTGATGGCGAGCGCGCACGTCGGGCCGTCCGGGGAACACGAGCAGGCGAAGACGCACGGCCGGACGGAGATGTGTCGGCACTAACAGATAGTGATGCTCTGGAGGGCCCGCAGCGGGTTCAATTGCACGGGGTCGGGGTCAAGGTACATGTCGCTGATGTCGTGCTCGGGGTCCACGCGCGGGGCCGCGTCGTCGTCGTCGTCCTCCGTCTCCTCGTCGGTGTGCTCGTCGGGCGGGTATGCAGGGGCGCTCTCGACGCGGTCGCCGAGCTCAGCGTCGTCAAACCATCTTTGCGCACGGTCCACGAGCTCGATGATCTTGCTCACGGTGACATCCGCCCTACCCTCGCGCACCCTGTCCTCGGCAGACTGGACGCCCGGGACGGTGAAGTAGCCGACGTGGGATTGCGGGTGGGGCGCGAGCGCGGGGGCGGGCGGGGCGGTTGTGCAGGTTGGAAGGGGACACCGTCCACGGGCATCTGCGCGGGCGTGTGTGGCGCAGAGAGTGTGCCCGCATCGGAGGGTGACTGGTGAATGGAGGAGTGCGGGGAGCGGGCAGAGCGGGCAGCATAGGAGGGGACGGAGACGCGCGGGCGTCAGGGTCATTGGATCCGCTGTGCTGGGGCTGGGCGAGGCAGAGGATGGCGGAGGCAGGGGAGATGCACTGCTCGATGGGAGACGAGAGGACGAGGCGGTGGTGGTTGGAGGGAGAGCAGGAGGGCGAGAGCGGGGCGTAGGCCGTTGTGGAGAAGGCGGCGAGCCGAGAACGCATGCGGGGCAGATGAGGCGGAGGATGGGGACGGGGATGTCGGGGATGTCGGGGACGCCGCGGACGATGGTGGGCCGTGGATGGCGGGCGAGGGAGGAGCGGGAGGGGGAGAGTGCATCGCGCGGGGGACGAGGGCGATCGATGGCGGGCAGGCTGCGAGGGATATCGAGCCGGGCTGGCGTGTGCAGGCAGGTCTCTGACCGCATCTGGCTCGCGCTGGCGATGCTTTCCCTTGTCCGACAAGGAGGCGGACGGGGACGCGCGCGCTGCACCCTCGCACCGCGCGTCTTGCCCTGGCGTGTCGCGGTGGGTGTCCTCGCCGTCGCGCAGGGCTGGAGTGTGGCCTGGAGGGGGTCGGGCGGAGAGGGGCATGCAGCGGGGGCAGTGCGGCTGCTGGTAAGAGGGGAAGGCGGAGGGACCACGGAGGCATGCTGACGACTGGATCGGAGTCGAGGAGGATGCGACGAACCCTGCGGATCGCCAAATTACGTTCTCTCCGATAGGCGCCTCCGATCACCGGCCCATCGCGCGACCGATCTCGGCACGCACCTGCTTCGGGGCGGGAATTGCCCCTTCCGTGCCGCTGTGCGGGCAGCGTCCCCCTTTGGATGTCTGCTTCCGTTGTCGCGTCTCGTCCACCCACGGCTGTCGGCCACCTCACTGCCCCGTGCCCACTCAGCTCCCGAGGAGCACCCCTCTGGCAAGGCCTGTGTCATTCTGCATACGAGATCCGCTCTGCCCCATCTACAACCCAAACGCCACCGGGCTCTAATCGCCCTCTCCCCCTGCCGCCACCTCTTGGCGAATCCCACTGACACTGACCGGCCCAGACCTATGGCTGCACTGGTAGAGCCGCAGACCATAGCGGCATTGGATCCACATCGCTCACAGCGCGCGCTAGATCTGTGGCAGCGCGCTCGATCCCTTGCGCCATCCTGTCGCTCTGCAGCGGGGCGCGGGCCACGGGCTTTCCGCAAGCTCTTCGTCGAGCGCCCACCATCTCCGCAGCTATCCCTGATCGCACCTCGTTGCCTGCCCACCCCCAACTGGACTACCCTGCGGGGGCGCTGGAGCCTGGTCTTCTCCCGTGGGGCGCGCGATCATCCCACGCACACACGTCAGTGTAGCTGGGGTATTAAGCCGCATGTCGATCCTGATCCCAGTAAGTTAGTTGCTCAGTGAAACGGTGGTACCTCTCGATACCGTTCGGCGCCCTTGCGCGTTCGCATTGCAAATGCGGCGGCACCTCCCGCGCAATAACACGCACGGCTGCAGATGACATACGTACAGAACATCTGGCATGCAGGTGCGGATGCGAAATTAACGTACCTACCGCTAGAACCGCAGGGAAGACGCAGCCCGCTATCAGTCGACGGCGGGCTGTCGCGTCGATACCGCTAGCCAAGGGGCGGTGCTCTACTGACCACGGCGTCCGCAGCGCTGCCCACGGCTGTCGCGGCGGCTTTCAACTTGACACCGTGGCGATCGGGTCTACGCTTTTCCGCTAGCTATACAGCATCTGCCTGTTAGCAGCACGCAGGAGCGTACTGAACTTCTATAGGTGGGTTGCGAGCGGTGCCCGTGTGGGCCCATGGGCCCTCGTCTGTGACACCAATGCTACACTAGGAAGAGTGCCGCCGCATCGCAAACTATGCACTCCCCGTCTTCGTCGTGTTCTGCAGCCCCCAGCGCATCTTCGTGTCAAACGGCAGTACGTATGAATCGCTCTCGTCATCCCTAGTCTTCTCCATCTCACGTCAAGGCCCAGATTCCCTTCTTATGCTTGACAGGCCAGAATAATTGCACCGTAGACTCACCCCCCGTTGGGCGGCGTCCTCGCCGTCCTCCCACGACGTGCGACAGTCCGGGCCCGCTGATTTGCGCACCTCGGAGGGCTGCGGCGCTATCAGACCCATCATTTGCCCTCCAGCGAGCATCGTCCTTCCGGCTTCGTGTATTACAGCGGTACAGCAGCAAACGCGTAACTGGAGGAAGACACCTGCCGGTGAGTCCGGGTCGCACATCAGCGCGGTACGCACCGCTCAGGCAGCGGCATTCGTGCAGTACTGATAGTGGGGTACAGCGACTGTGCCTCCCTGCGTCACCGCACAGGCCTCCCTGCCCAGTCGCTCTCGTCAGGATTTTGATTTGATGCTTACTGGCCCAACGCGCTGCGCAGCTCGTGCGCTCCTCCTCCCAGGGACGGCACCTCTTTCCTGCAGCCGTCTTGCCCACTCACGGACCGCACGTGCGGCAGCTCGCACACCAAGTTACGTACGTCCCCGCAATCTCCCGGTGCGCACCTGCTTAACGTACGCACTAAGCTGGCAGTGCCGCGCTCTTGCCACCCGAGGGTGGCATCACCCAGGGTTTGATGAGGTGAGCACTTCTTCTTCCAAATCGTTATTATTGCCTCCACAACATCAGCCTCTGTCAGAAAATCATTCGTTGGAGCGCGTCAAGACAGTCAACGCAGAGAATGGTAAGCCGTAATGTCCCTGGCTACTACGTCGCTCCCCACAGCCCGTCTTGAGCTTGAAGCTTGAAATCTTGCCCCAAGGACAGGGCGGAGCACGGCGAACACGCGTGCACATCAGGCCTTCAGGGCCCGCAGGCCAATAACACTGCCCCATTGTAAACACAATGACCCCGCCGCCCTTGGATATGTCGGGCAGGACGGCACACGAGTCGCCCGCGTCAGGTCCTGTCAAATTTCAAATAGCAAGACCGGAGAGTGGATTTACGACGACAGGCCGGAGCCGAACAACGTCGACACTCCGCGCAGAAACCATTCGACGTTCGACATCTCGCTCCGAACTCGCGGGAATCAAATGCGGAGACACACGTCGTTGCCATGGTATCCAGGGAGGATTGGCGTGGCCCACTTATTCCATCGGCCATAGACTACATACCAATCCCCTTCGACGGCGGCCGGAGACGGCCGGAATCCGAGGGGCAGCCGTACTCAGCCTTTGACAATGTCTACTCTGTTCACAGGGAACGAGCCTCTGTAATGTAGACTATTATGTAGTCCGGGTGTAGACGGACATAACGCGGCGGTGTTTTTACGACTATAACCATCTTTTCCGAGCCGCTCATTCGAGCTCCAGAGTATGAAGTAAGAGGTTCGCTGGGAGGGAATCCGAATTCGAAGTAGCTAGCCTTGTCATTCAGTCGAGGCATAGGATGTTGTGCACTGTACAACTTGAAGGCATATCTACATGGACGATATGGGGATTGTTTTCGACGATTGATAAACACTCATGATGTCCGTTGTTCCGGCGTCATGGTGACAGTGAGGACGTCTCTTCTTCGAACGTGCGTTCTGTACTACCGACTGAGGAAAAGGGAAGAAATGACAAAATCATTCGGATACGGGGAATCGAACCCCCGGTGAGAGGCGATAATGTTAGCCACTACACCATGTCCGATGGTAAAGGTATGGTCATAAGGGCTATCTAACCCCACAGGGAGCTGCCCGGACACATTAAAGAGACAACGATAACCTTCATTCAATCTGCTAGGTATTGAGCCATGTTGTGGGCCCTTCCATCAACGTTTGCTGGGTTGCAGTAGCTGAGTGTTGTTGAAGGAAGGTTGAATAACCCGATGCCAATAAGCGCTAGATGGATGGTAGATTCCGAATCTCGATGTAGATTCCCACTGCTCAAGCGCTCAATTGGGGACTGCACAGCGACGGCGGCGCCGGAGATGCTCGTTGTTCACTTTGTTATGGGCGTGTGTTTTAAGCTAGCCCTCGCTCCACGCTTTGTTCAAGATTCTCACACACCTCCGAGGCATTCATGTTCATTACACAGCACGCAACAACACTCTAGAAAATTTGCATCACAGTTCGCTTTCCATCCTACACCACGCGTCACACACAACAGGGCACATTTGCACATGTAATACAAATCCTTGACTTCGTCTTGACAGTTTGCCGTTCACCGTTCGCTCTACACATCGCCCTCACACGACGACGCAACACACGCGTCGCCTGAGTTTATAATGACGCGAGGTTCGTGATCGGCCACTCGCTGTGGACGATTAAGAGAAGTAACAAGAAGGGTGACCGGGAGGTTAGGCCGCGCACTGGACGTGCAGAGAAGGGAGGCGAGACTCACTATTCCGAGACGGTGCGCTTGTAGCCGTACTTGCCGATGAACGGGTCGAGTTCCTTCGGGCCCCGCGAGCCGTAGGGATAGCCGACAGGCTTGGGCGGGGCGCCGCTCCGCCCGTCAATCCAGTGCAGGATGGGTGTGAAGATCTGGTACAAGGCCCGTGAGTGAGCTTCAGAGGTTACAACGTCATTAATGTGTCTGACTGACCTTCCAAGCAACGTCCAACTCGTCATCACGAACGAAGTTCGAGTGGTCGCCCTTGAGCGCATCGAGGATGAGCGACTCGTAAGCCTCTGGGATCTTCGCTTCGAGGAAGCGCCGCTTGTACGTGAGGTCCATCTCCGTCGGGATCGCACGCGTGTGCAGGCCGGGCGTCTTCGTGTTGAGCTTGAGGTACACCGCCTCGGAAGGCTGGATGCGAAGGACAAGCTCATTGCGCGAAATGTCCTTGAAGATGCCCTGCGTGACATCCCTGAACTGTATCCGAACCTCGACCTTCGCCTCGTTGAGGGCTGCGGGTGCGAGTAAATGTCTGGTACCCTGGTCCAGAGCCCCGAAGTAATCCACTCACCCTTTCCGGCCTTCAAGATGAACGGAACGCCCTCCCAGCGGGGGTTGTGGATCCAAAGGGTCGTCGCGGCGTACGTCGGGCAGACCGAGTTGTGCGGGACCGTGTCATCATCGAGGTAGCCTGGCTTTCCGTTGGCCGCAACGTATTGGCCAAGCAGCGTGTCGCTGCGCTCGATAGGTGGGATGCAGCGAAGGACCTTGACCTGTGCCGGCGAGTGAGCAGCGTGAGAGAAGAGCAAGACATGCTCCGCACCTTCTCATCACGGATGTCCTCGGCGGCGAAAGACACAGGGCGCTCCATCGTGAGGACGCTCAACACCTGCAGCAGATCTATTGCGAAAAGCAATTAGAAAGCAGCGCCCGTAGACAGTCATTGGATATATGACACATACGGTTCTGGAGAATGTCACGAATGATACCGAACTCGTCGAAGTAACCGCCACGGCCTTCAGTACCGAAGGGCTCCTTGAAGGTGATCTGGACGTTGCTGATCGAGTTCTTGTCCCAGAACGAACTGAACGCGATGTTCGCGAAACGGAGCACCAGCAAGTTCTTGACCATCTCCTTGCCGAGGTAATGGTCGATCCGGAACGTCTCGTCCTCAGTCCAGTGCTGCTTGAGGGAGCCCAGGAGCACTCGGGAAGATTCGAGGTCCTTTCCGAACGGCTTCTCGACGATGATACGGCACTTGCCCACATCGGGCGTCACGTAGCACTGTTCCTTGAGGTGCTGTGCGACCGGAATGAAGACACTGGGCGGGAGGGCGAGGTAAAACAACCGATGGCGCTCCTTGCCCTGGTAGCCCGACTCGATCTTCTCAATAGTTTTGTTGAGGTTCGAGAATGCCGACGAATCCTCATAGCCTCCGGAAATGTACGAGGACAGCTGCTTGAACTCTTCGAGCTTCGCAGCCGCTTCCGCGTCGCCTTCGGAGACCTTGATGTACGAAGTGATACGCTTGTGGTACTCAGCATCGTCCATCTTCGTCCGCGCATAGCCGACGATGTGGACGCCCCGGGGCAGGAAGTTATTCTTGTAAAGCCCGAACAAGGCAGGATATGTCTGGACGATGCATACCGAATTAGCATGAGATCATTGACACGGTGGGCCCCACCGGAAGTCCGTATGACGGTAGATGAGAGAATGCAGATGGATAAGGAGAGAGAATATCTCATCGGCGAGGGCTGGCGAAACCTCGGGCGCCTTTGAGATGTCAAAGTATTCCCGCCGTGTCTTGGTGTATCATGATGACCATCCACACCTGAGGAGCTAGGAAACCACGGCACATCGAGGTCGACATACGGGGGCTCTTATGGCCCTCTAAACAGCGGGCTGAGATGATCTCGCGCTCAGCTGACGTACACGGCCGACGTAAGACGCGTCGGGCGGGCCGACGTCTCGCTGGGCTGCTACGCAGGTCGATCGCCATCCCAGAGCGCACGAACACGAAGGCAGGCCAAGGCGAGCGAGGACGATCACTCACTTTCTTCTTTGCAAGATCTCCAGATGCACCCAAGACTGCGGAAGAATATTGCGGTCAGTCGAAGCCAGACGCGCGCGATCAGGCAGCATCGCACCGATGATAGTGGTGTTATCCTTGAGTTCCTCGTGGGAGCCCTCCATGGAGGGGATGGTCCCCGACATTGCGCGCGGGCGGGTGGTCATGTTGGGTTGGGTGCGGTGGGGATGAGGATGGTGGTGAGGAGAAAGAGAAAGAGCGGGCGGTGAGAGTCGTTCGGAGACTGGCGCCTGCTGAACGAGCAGCCTCTATCGGCCTCTGCGTAATCGTGACGGTGCTCTCTCCGCGCGAGAACAGATCCCGTGCCCGGCCCGGCCCCCCTGCCTCTCCCCCTCACTCCCCGCCATGGCCGCCAGCGACAACCAGCACCGTCCGCCCGTCCCCGACCCCGTCGTCGACTCCCTCAGCGCCCTCGTCGACCCCGCACAGCTCGCTCGCGACCCCGCCGCCGTCCACATCCGCGCTGGCGCCCTCTTCGCCCGCCTCAAGGCCCTTAACCGCGCTGCAAATGGCGCGACCCGTGTCCAAAAGCAGGCTACCGCCGACGCCCGCCAGCAGATGGACCACACCTATCTCAGTCTGCAGAATCTCCTGTACGAAAAGCGTCACCTAGAGCGAGAGATTGAGAAGTGCCGACAGTTTGCGTGAGTCTTAATATGTGCTCGCCTCTCGTGCGATCTAACCCCGGTGCGCGCGGCAGCTCGGTTTACCAGGACGTACCTGTGCATTCCCTCGAAGAGTTTGTCGAACTCGCTCCCGGAGAGGCGAAGTCGCAGATCGTGTTGTCGGACGACCACCAGCTGATGCTCAACCGGCTAAGCTTCGAACTTGCTGAACGCCAGAGGTGTGGCTGTCGCCTGCTTCATCCGTACCCAGTCTAAATGTCACATCTTCCAGACTAGACCAGAAGTACAAAGAGCTTGCAAAGCAGAAGGAGGAGCTGCTCAAGCAGAGCAAGGCCAAGCTCGCCACAATGGACAGCGTGAAGGCGCAGATCGACTCTCTTATCAAGGTCCGTGGCCTTATGGCTTGCTTCAGCTCCAATACAAATTCTAACTCTGGGTATCCAGACTGCAACCGAAGTGCAGAAGAAAGTTGGCGAGCTAGCTGAGCCTCTTGGGACAGCCGAATCTCCTATGGTGGTGTCATGAACGAACGTGCCCACCGAGAAAGGCGATATGACCATGAGTGCACCACAAACCTCCCACTCCTGCCAGCGTATCTCAAGCCTAGCCACTGTCGCCACAGAAGAGCACACATCTCCAGGCTAGATGTTCAGCGTTAAGTCCAGGATATCACAACGTATTATGGGGCAGGTCCGGCGAATGAGGAGTACGTACAGGAGGTTTACATGCATACAGGCTATGTGATAGAGGAGAGCAGAGGATATAGTGGTCGTAGGAGTACAAGCAGGAGTGAGACGGAGCGTGAATGCAATATACAATGCAGAACAATCCAAGGCCAGGGAGACGGATGAGGTGTGAGGATGAATGGACAACGGAACGGCTCATGCGTCATCGTCGCTGATGCTGCCGATGTCGCTCATCTCCTCGTCCTCGTCTTCGTCTTCGTCCTTGCCCGCGGCGGCATCTGCTGCCTCCTTGGTGGCGAAACGGGACACATACTCTGATAGCATGATGGGTATGAATCAACATCGTTAAGCATCTGAGACGCCCTGACACACCTTTCACCTTCGCGTCGTACTCCTTCGGATGGCGCATGAGCAGTGCGGCGGCCTCGCCGTTCAAAGGGTCGTTCGGGTTCGGGTATCGGAGGAGCTGGGGAAGAAACACCTCGAAGATGTTGATCATATCTGTCAGACGATAGAATCGAGATGTCAGCATGCTTCCCAGACGGGCATGCATGCAATGAGGTCACGATGGGGCGCTCACCGAACATAGGAGACCACGTCTGGTTGATCACGTCCAGACACACGGAACCACTCCTGGGCCAAGCTATTCAGCGAACCCAACGCTTTGTGAGAAACAGTGTGCACGTACAGTTCATCAATATTAGGATGGAAGATCTTGTTCATGAACCCAATACTGGGCGACTTGAAAGGATACTGGTCGGGCAGCTCGACATGGATCTTCCAGACACCCCCGCGAACGGGGCTATCACAATCGAAACGCGATGACTAACTGTCAGAGCATGGAAAGCAAGGACAGCGCTCACTCTCTGCGGGGCCGTAGAAACGGACGTAGAACTCCTGCATGGAGTCATTCACGAGGTTCACCTCATAGTCGGACATCAGCCTGCGGGTGGCGACCGCCTCAGCATCCATTATCCTGCACTCAAACGACGAGCTTGTACGTACAGTCTCATGACATCGGTCTCGATGCGACGCTTGCTTGGGGCACTGTGGAGAAATGACGATCCAGATTAGTACGCGCTCACAGCACAGGTCTACGCGGGTACTCATCATAGCAGGCTAAGACCTCAGATAACAGAAGGGGGAATGATAACCGGAAAGCAACGTGTAGAGGCGGAAAGCGAGCGAAACCGGTATGCAGGAGGATCTGAGAAGGACGCGAGAGGAGAGTCAGCGAGCACGGTTACTCGGGGGAGGGATAAGGATGAGCAGGAGGCGGCGGTCGATCGCTTTCGGTGTGTCGCTGCGCGCGCGCTCCGGCCCGCCCTGGTCTCCGGTCGTCCCCGGACGGTCTCTGTGGTCCCGCATCTGGAGATCTCGTTCTGTGCAACCCTGTTTCACTCCCCTGCTGCAGTCAAGCGCCTCGACCGCTTGCATGGTTGCTCCCTCCCTCCATCTGTGGTCTCGACCGCAACCGCTGGGGTTGCCATCGATCTGCTACGCTGGTGACGTCGCATGCCATTTCACGCTGGGCGAGGATCTTCTAGGGCTTCTCAGCGAGTCGGTGTAACTGCGTTTGTTACTTTCACTGGGTTCCTTTTATGCGCCTGGGGCGATCCCTGCGTGTGATCCATTTCGAAGCCAATATGCTATAAGCCATGGGATCCGCGCCATGCTAAACACAACCCATAAGAAAAGTGAGTCGGAGACTATTACAAATAGAGCAATGTCTTCCAACGACGATCCTTGCATGGGCTCTTCATCACAAGCGGGTTTCCAAGTCACGGAGTATTCCTACATACGTGCGTACGTGTACAGAGACTGGACCAACAGTCATAAATACACCAAGATGGCAAGCTTCAAGCCCCACACTAGTCGGCGATAGAGATGCCTCGTCCTCAGTACCACGAATACTCTTCGACCACGCAATACCACGAATCGTCCCTGCATCCGTATCTCCGCGTACTCGTGAAACCTTGCTCCCTTCTTCCGGCACGGCGCTCGCTCTCCTTGCCTGAGACGTACTCGGAATCGGCGCAAGTTCCCCATGACCTGGTTGTGCGGTGAAGGCTCTCCACGCGACCAAGACAGCTAATCGCAGCACTCTCATTAGCTTCCGTTCGTCGACTTTTCGGGTCCGCTCACTGACCTAGCCAGAAGAACCCGAAGGCGGCGATGAGGATGATCTCCTCTTGCGTCTGCGTGAGGAACTGCCCGTTCCGGCGGTGGTGCATGACGACACTGGCCAGCCAACCAATCGCAGTTTCCCGGTGAGCGCGATCCCGCAGAGGAGCATGGACTTTGAGCGGGCGGACTTACAGGATGGACAGCGACGCCAGCGCGAGCATGGCCACCGAGCTCTGCATGAGATTGTAGGTGTCTACAAGGAGCACGCCGCATCCAAGGACGTCACTTTAGCTGAGTACGTCACGGCGTAGCCGGAGGACGGTGCTCTTACGCATAGTGGGCGGGATCATTCGGGTCAGGAAGTGCGCGGCGAAGGCAGCCAGTGCGGCTGGAAGACGGGGATTTAGCGATGTACCCCCTTGTCCGGCTGTGGATCGATAGGATGGACGTACCTGAGGTAACTGCCCGCACAGTCCGATCCCTGAACAGAGGTGTCGCCGACATTGTTACTGAGGAATTGGTATGTTACCCGGTTCACGAGGTACACAGTGCTGTGGTCGAAGGACGATAGCACTGGAGATACACGTCCCCCCTCCTCTTCACCTACCATCCTTTGGACACTCCAGCATGCCTCTTCCGCCCGCTACACTCGCGTCCGAGCTAGAGCGTATTTCACGCCTCGTGCGTACCATGCGTCCCGGGCGACATTGCTCTCAGATTCCGATACATGTGCATTCCGGGCGCATTAGTCGTAAATACACTCAGCAATCGCATGTTACACAGGCTTATGCATCCGCAGCTCTCGCTTCCGCCCCTCCTTTGTATGATCCACGTTTTTCTTCCGTTTCCAGTCCATCATATGGATACATCGAGTGTCCAATCAGTGCGTTTCCCGTCTTGGTTCGAGGCCTCCATCAAGGCGACGGACACACAGGCCCGCACCCATTGTCTGTTTGACTTTCCATTCTTGGTCCAGTCGACCGTTTTCCTGCGGGTCCTCCGCCCTTCGCTTCAATCTCGATACCGCTTCTTCCCACAAACGCACGTGGCTGCAGCTTGCTCGCAAATAATTACTGTATTACAACCCCACGAAGGAATTCGGGTGGGACGTCCCGTCAGTTCAACTGTAGCTCTATCAAATCAAAGGAGAGGGCACGCCGCTTCAGCTCTACGCAGGCTGTGCAGCGTGGAGGGCGAGTTCAGGGGACAGAGCTCACCGAGCCAGGGACCTGCGTGATTGTGGGTGCACCGCCCATCGTGCCTGGCTGGATGACGACCGAGTGTCCGGGTGCCTGCTGGATCACGTAGCCGCCGCCGTTTATACCTGGCTGGTACGGCACGCCCGCGGTAGGGTACATGCCCATCGGGTACTGTCCGTTCATCTGTCCGTTCATCATCTGTCCGCCGCCGCCGCCATAGGGCCATCCAGGGAGTTCCCCGAACCAGGGCAGCTCGAAGATGGGTGCGGCCCAGGCATATTGGTAGCCGAAAGCACGAGCGCGGCTCGTAAGCGAGATGAGGACCCAGAGGAAGATGGCAACTGAGGTGGCCCATGAGTTGAGACCATACAAGAACCTAGACGAGTCACGTACGGAGGCAAAAGATCAGCCATGAGAAGGCCTCAATGACCTTCATCAAATAGCACCATGATCTTGTGGAGACTGGTGGCCTTGGTGAATGGAAACTCGGTAGCGCACCGACTGTGCTACCCACCATGTCCGTTCTTGGTCGCAGTGAGAGCACTGCTGCTGATAGCATCGCATTGCGTGTTTCCGATGATATCTCTGCAAAAGAAGTCAGACTCGGTCGTCGTCCGGGAGATACTCCGGACGCGTACACAGACCACGCTGCCATAGCTGCAATTCCCTTGGTCAATGAAGGCGAAATCAACACGTCAGCGGAAACGCGTACCAAGCCACATCACTCCCAATACAAAGAGGACGATGGCCTCAGTCCGCGGTGCGGACCATGATATCCTACAACATATAAGTCAGGATTTCTCTACGATCATAGGTAAGATCACTCACGTTATTAGAAATACAAGAAGCGTGAGTGACGGCGTGATCACCGAGTAGATCCCAAAGTCATCTAGAGAGGCAGACAGTACATCTTAGTCTTGCTCGCTCTGGGGACAGTCTAGAATGGCGCGCACGTTGGATGCTAGGCAAAAATATGCTTCCCAGATAGGCTGTGATTCCGAGCACGGTCGCAGAGAGCAATAGGATCGTGACTTTGCGGTGGTATGGTCAAGACTGCAGTCTCTAAGGGAAGAAAGGAAGATAGTCACTGAAGCCGTAAAGGCGCATCTCCTTGAAGAGTTGCGTCATCTGTGAATACACGCGAGTTAGCCGTCGTCTGTCGGCAAGACGGCTCCCGGGCGAAGAGAAAGGCGACGCACGATGTATAGGATGTGTTAGCGCGCAGATGAGAGCAATGTATGAAAGTATCGCGTGTCCGGAGGAGAGGAGGACAAGAAGGCGTGCGGGTCGTGCAGTCGTAGAAATAGGCGTGGGGGAAAGAGCTCTCAGAAGAAGAGACCCAACTCGAACATCGAGCAGAGGCATGCCCAGGCGTCATTGCCCTGTCGCGTGTCACGTGATCTCGCAGCGCGGTACACGCCCCGGACGCGTGCCTCGACCAACGTAACCTTGCATGCGTGTGGAGCCACCGACCGTCTGTCCGACAAACTCTCGAGGTTCCGACCGAACCGAGGCCGCGTTCTGTGGCACATCGGCTGACGTTCATTTGCCCGCGTAGAAGTTCCTATAACCAAATAAACTCTTGTATATCCTATTGGTGTTGTACAATCAATCGTACTGCTGCTACACGTAACCCATAATACACCCGTAAATACATCAGGCATGACTCCCATGCCTCTCTAAGGTCGTCAAGTAGTCATGTCATCGCATATCACCGCCGGGGCGATGCGTCTCTCCGATAGTTGTCTCGCGGCCGTGTTTCCCGCACATGCGCCTGGTCAGGCGCCTTGTGCGGCAGCCAGTATACATACGTGGGTGCTTCGTTACGTGTCGGCTCGTTGACTGCCGTCTGCGGTAGCCGGCGGCTTTGCGAGTCCTGCCGCCGTGGTTGCGACCGCGTCGAGTCCTGCCGGTATGGATGGTTCCGCTCGCGCTGCGAATCCTGTCGGTTGACATGCGTCCGCTGCGAGTCCTGCCGGTTGACGTGGGCGCGCTGTGAGTCCTGGCGATTGACCTGCGTCCGCTGCGAGTCCGAGCGGATCGGACGCCCGCGCTCGCGCTGGGAATCGTGCCGGGTGACCTGGGTGCGCGCGGAGTCTTGACGGTTGACCGTCGAGCGTCCGGTATCTTGCGTGCGCGTCGTGTCGTGACGGTATGCAAGCGGGCGAACGAAGTCGACGATGCGCCAAGACTCGGGACGCTCAGACTTGGACGCCTTCGAGCGCTGCGAATCCTTGCGCTGTTTCTCATCGAAGACAGGTCTTGACCGTGAGCGCGAGCGCTGCGTGACAGGCGCCGGGAGTTTGCCGCCGTTCTGCTTGCCTCCCTGGCCGAACCAGGGAAAGGCAGTCACAGGAACTATCCATACATAGCGCTCGCCGCGACGATGGTGCCGCAGAGCAAGGACCAATAAGAATATAGAGAAGCCCAAAACTGAACAGCTGTCAGTGGCGGCTTCTCACCATCTCGCGGCAGAAGGTACGTACTAAGAATAAGGTTGAAGAATGAAAACGCTTCCAGTACGCGATATTGCGCTTGGTAGATCTCCGTGTTGACTGCGGGCCAGGTGAGCGAGGAACACATGCATCAAACGCGAAATACGCACAGCTAGAGAGGCTTACGACGTCGCTAGAATCAGCCGAAGAGTAACATTCGACATCGGCGTCATCCGCATCGGAGGAAGCAATGAATGCAGAGAGCGCTTTATTGACACCAGCGTTAGTCAATAACTTCGGACGCTACAGCGGGCCGGACTCACCTAGCCAAAGTACTCCTGCGAGCCCCAGACATCCTAGCTCTATCCTTGTCGAGATAGGATTCCGCTCCCTCCAGAGACCGAACCCGAGTAGTGCCAATAATATGAGCAGACTCGCGCAGCATACGAAGATAGCGAACGGAACGAAATGAGCTGAGCGAAAGTCAGGCTTATGCTTGGCAGACGGGAGGAGAGAGCACGTACTGAGGTCCGATGATACCAAAATACTCTCGAAATGCGCCGCAATTGCCAAGCAGACGATTGTCCACACCAGGACCGCGCCGTAGACGCAGAACCTGATTATGTTGAACACTGGAGGCATGCGGGGGAAGAAACGAGTGATAGCAAGGAGTGGCTGCCTAGCAGGGCGAGATTGTGACTGGGCTCTGCGGGCACCCTGCTCCTTGGTATTTGAGGACCTCATCATGTCAAAGGGATTGCGGAGTCAAAGCGATGGATGAATGCAACGAGGCCGCGTGGCGCAGCTTTGTCGTGCGGATGCGTCGCTTGGGCCGCGTTCCCGGATTTCCGTTGTGCGCCCTCGTCAAAGCAAGAGACCTGAGCTGGGGATCCAGCTGAGGCCTGAGTGGTCCGGGTGGTGGGAGGAGGAGGGACGGAAGATCGCCGGGCGGGCGGAGGAGTTTATACATGCCGCCCCGGAGTGAGAAATTTTCGGGGCGACCATTTCGTTTCCTGGCCACGGGCCCAGGAGGCTGGGATTCCTGCTGATGGAGGCACAAGCGAGGTCGAGATTGGAAACGCGCAGATGCCTCGAGGCTGAGACAGATTGCCTCCATTGCCTGTTTAGGAAGCCCTCCTGTTTGGCCACCCGTACGCGCCTTTGTTTGCACACCAGATGCCGTGCTGATTGGCCGCGGCAAAGGGACAACATTGATCCATCTCGATAGCCTTCTTTTAGTTCCGTGTGCACCTGGTGGGGACTCACGCATCGCCCGCCACCACTGCAGCGTACGCACACTCGCCGCGTCTTCCACCTCAGGACCTCAGCTGGGCGCCCTTGACGCGTACAGAACACCGAGCAGCGCCTTCCTTTGTCCGCCTGATGGCCTCAGCGCCTCCAAACACACGTTTCCCGCAATAGATGTCGAGGGAACTGCTCCACTCACCTGCCCTGGGGCCTCACACGCGGCCGGACAGCTTCGTTCGCATCGACTTGCGTGGCACAGCAGCCACGCTCCGTCAACGTTCCAGGGCCGCGCAGTCCGAAGTCCATCATCGACTGACCCGGACGGGCTGCCCGTACCGCTTCATCGTGCGCACTCCGGCGCCCTGCCTGCTTCTACTTGACCCCGCGTTAGCATGTGTGTATCGCGAAGCCTGGGGAAGGGATCACGCGCGCGACTGTTCCATCCTTCCATTGGCTATCTTCGTTCCGCCGAAGAGGCGGCCTGATTGTGGGCGAGGTGGCCGTGTGGACAGGACTTCGATCACGTCGGTGTCTTCAACTCACTTCCACCATGGCCGCAGGGCTATTGACGGCGTGTTCGTCAACCCAGATGACGGTGCGTCGTACAGGACTGTGGATGTCTTCATTGTTCGAACCCATCCACCTGCCCACCCGAGCCATCGTCATCGACTGCTCGTTCTCGCGTGTTGGACAACGGATTGGAGGGCCGTTCAGAGACTGCTGCGCCTCAGCAGTGTCTGCATCCGAAGAATTCGAGAAAGTCGGACATCGAATAGAGTTTCCACGTCCAATCTGCTGCGCCTCATTTCTGTCAGTCTGGCTCGCCCACTCTGAAAGCAAAAGCTCTCACACATGCGCCGTGGCAGGCGACCCCGTGAGTCTTCTTTCTTCGATGCTTCATAGAATGAAGATGCTGCAGATTGCAGTGGACAGATACTGTGAACATCACCATCCATTGTGCGATACGCTTCGCTTCAACAAGTGTTGGCCGTGTTCATGCAGCGGCTTGAAAGAATACGGAGTGGTGTTCTAGGTCACCAAGAAAGACACGGCGGCCAGATATGCATGTGCGTGGAGTCTGTGAAGAGCGGCACAAGAGTCGACGGTGAGCAGCACGGACACCGAGTTTACCTTCATTACTTACAGCGAACAAACGAATCAGGTTCGCTCATGACACAACAATGACGACGGAAAAGTCACTATACATTCCTGTGTTCAATGCTCTCCATCGCGAGTTCGAACCGCTTTCATCAAGCAACTTGCATGGCTGTACAAGCAATGCAAGTCACAAGGGGAGCTCTCTCGATACGCGTTGAATGGGGCCTCGGATACGCACGCATATGCATTCTGTGACTGGAAGGTGAGAGAAGGATCCTCAAATGAATTTATACAGCGTAGACAATGAACAACGCGATAGCCCGAGTCCGTGCCAGTGCGCTCTGCGGACGCCGAGTACTTACTCCCCCTGGGTCCAGGGCTTTGAGCCAAGCGGCCCGTATACGCTGAGGGCAGGAGATCCTCCCGGATCTGAGATGGCCTAAGAATCCTCTCGAACACGTACATATACATGACAATACCGAGGCCGAGACAACACTTCTTGGGCACCGGGCATCCAAGACAAGCTTTGAAGCATTTGACCCGGTATTTCATACCGTTCTCGATTCCTTATTTAATACCGCTATCAAGCAAATGAAGCAGGGTCCGAGCTCTCATGCGCAACGTAGGTTCAGAACCATAGCACAACTTCAGGGAGAAGACACCGGTGGCCGAGTGCGAAGACCGGTCCTGTCCATTCGCGAGATAGGAGGCATCCGGTCCAGCACTGGTCCAGCGACAGTCGCCAGCACGAGCGATGAGTACTTGAGTCCGGTGGCGAAGCGGCGCGGCGCGGCGGTAGCGTGGCTCTTCGAATTCGTTTCTGCTTGTGGCGCGCGGCGGGACCCAATGAAGAACGTTAAACGACGATGCCAAGGTCGCCGCGCCCTGCTACCTGCCATGGTGAACCGAGTGGAAGGAGGTGGAAGTCGACCGCTTGGACCATCGCCATCGAGGGGCGCGCTCGCCGCTCGGCCTGTTATCGTCGTTTGATTGGCAGTCGCTCGCTGAGTTGCCACCTCCAAGTGCGTAAGTGCGGCTGCGCACCAAGCCGTCGAGGCGAAATCTATCGGCTTGGGTGGCCAGGTCGATGTCAGCTTAGAAATCGGCGCTGCGCCCCTGCTCGGTGTATGTGTGAAGGTCCCGACTGATCGCGACTGCCAATGCCATTGTGCTTACTGTAACTTAAATTGTGTTTGAGAGAGACAGGTACCATATGAATGAGTGCTAGGCCGCCGGGGAGGTCAATAACGCGAGGTCCGAGGTCGGGCTGCAATGGATTCATGCTATACGGACTTGGAGGAGTATGACTGGAGAAGAGGGGCGGAGAAAACTTCGGCGGCTCCATAGATGCTGTAATGGTGGACGTATGATGATAGACTCGGGAATTCGGCGCTCCGTCAGGCGTCCATGCAATGCTACTGAACCGCTGAGCCGCAGGAGCGCGAGCAGTCGGCCAATGCAGTCGCGCAGGTGCTGTAGCCTGGAGAGGACTGGGGTCGGTGGGCTCTGGGCCACACACGCGCTGTTAGAGTGCTGTCGAGCGGGCTCTGTTAAGTATCGCCGCAGCTTACTACTCTATCTCCCACAGGAAGGGAGAGTTGCTGAGCGGATTACCTGACACAGGTCTCACACACCCGATATCTGACAGAGACGCACGTACCTCATGAGGATCATCTATGCGATGCTTCGGCGGCCATATTGAGCAATCCAAGACTATGTCTGGGCGCCGTAGCGATACGCAACCCCAGGGAGCTACCTCCCCAGCGGCTGGCTCAGTACTCTGGTTCGAAGGACGTGTCGGACGATGGGTCGACACGGGCGAATATTGCGGCCATGGCGCGAGGGAGGTGGGCTCGTGAGTAAGCGGCGCAGAGTCAATTGGCCTGATCGGGCAGGTCCGACGCGACCGCGCCAGTGATTGGCTGGACGCACGTGCGATCTTGCGCAGATCTGAGATCTGCCATGGCTTTATAACTGTGGCCGCGCAAAAGGCCACCGCCCGCCTCAAGAACGTTTGTTCATCTGCCCACCGCCACCGCTGCCTGCTCGCGGGTTAGGCTTGCTCCCTGTCCACGTAACTCGTCCTGTGTATCAATCACCTGCTCCGCCACCGCGCATATAAAAAGGAGCGTCCTCTACGTTTCTGAGCATCTTGATCTTGCCTCTGCGCTCTGCACCAACGCCCTGCTTGCTTCTGCCCAACCCGCTCCTCGTCAGCACCCAGTCCCTTGCGCCACAGCCAACATACTCATGGAGCGCTTTCTCGCGCCGCAGAGCCCCGAGGCTCTCGCACACAACCAGCTCAAGTGAGTGGTTGACTTTCGAAGGCATGACTCACTTTCTGATGTAACCCCCTCTTCCAGTGAAAACTGGTTTTCTTGGGACATCGAGCACCCCTCCTTGAATGAGACGCTGATCGCTGGGTGCGCCACATACGAGGCGTTCAAACGCTACCTCAGCGGTTCGGACCTGTATCTTCTCCCCAGAACAAGGACAGAGCTCGAGAACATACTGTGAGTGGCCCACGCGTCTCTCCCTATCTCCGACGCGTCCTCATCCGCACATGCAGTAAGAGATATGCGTACGACACTATCCACAATGCAATTGCGAAGGCACGTTCGCCGCTTGAGCGTGGCGGCTACAGCCGGGTATGCTGCGAGAGTTCTAGTGCTGTCCTGGCCATCATGGCTAACGTATGCCATGTCTGCAGATGTGTCACCTGGTGGAAGGATCCATCAGCAGGATCCTGGACGAGAACGACAATGCGTCATACCTTTTGGACTTGCACGACACGCAGAGGAACTCTATGGTCGACATGGGCACGTCACCGCCTACAAGGTCCGTCAAAATCAAGTGAACAGCCGCCTGGCTTGCCTTATCCGACCATCTCGCTATGTTCCGGGAGCATGGGTCTCCCTTCTCTGTTCGTCCACGCTATCGCATTGGTTCTCGTCGCATATGTAGCATCACCATCCGCACTCGCCTCGTCTCGCATGACCGTTATCGCACAGCTGCCGTGTATAATGCCTGTACCCAGAACCCTGCGCCTGTACCAGTATAACTTATTCGCCAGCAGAGAAATGAATGTGTTTATAGAGAAGAGGCGTCGAATTCTGTGTGCAGGAAGGAGCAAGCGTGTGCAGTGGCGCCCGACGAGCGACAGAAGCGTGTCATGTCGGCATCATCCGGGACTGTCCTCACACAGACAGTCTGCCACAGACTCGGACGTGCGCCCGGGCGACGAACGTGCGACTCTTTCCACGAATAACGATGCCTTCCTAGCAATTCCAAGGCGCTGCACCACTTTGTCTGGCTGCTGGCTGGAGGCGAGCACGCTTCCGCTCATACAGACCGCTCCACAGGGCGCGGACTCGCGCCTGTTCGCTCTTTTATCCGTTACCTGCACACACGACCGCCTCTGCACGACCGCGATGCTCGAACTCAAGCTGCTGCTCTTCCTGCTACTGACCTACGCCCCGGACGTGCTCGCGGCGCCGTCGCAGGTCCCCATCCAGGTCCCGGAGACGAGTGCGTGAACCATCTCGGGTTCGAGGGCGTAACGAGCTGACCGCCGTCGCACCCGATTGCTTGGGTCCTCACAGGCACGAAGCGGAGGCTGCAGGGCAGGTTTCTACACATAACGGATATGCACCCGGACCCGTACTACAAGGAGGACGCGTCGGAAAAGTCGGCGTGCCACAGGCGAAAACCAAAGAAGGCGCGACCACGCTCGGGGTACTATGGGATGCCGTACAGGTGAGCAGTAGCTCGCGTGCGGTGGTCCAGTCAATTGACTGATGGGGAGAATAGCAATTGCGACTCGCCTCCGACCTTGACGAACTTTACGCTGGACTACCTGGACAAGGAGTGGAGTAAGGAGATCGATTTCGTAGTGTGTGAGTGCGGTGAGCGCGCGCGGATGGATGGTCGGCTGACCCAGCGTGAATGCGGTTTGAAGGGACGGGGGACAGCGCAAGGTACGCACGTTGTCGTTTTGAGTTGGTTTTGAGCTCCGGAGGCACTCGCGGGTCCTTTCTGTTCATGGCTTCTGTACAAGGCCAAGCACTGCAGAAAGAGCAGGTGACCACATTGCGGGAATTGGGAGCCCATAGGACTTCCTTCTATTGCAGAAGGCCTAGCCGCCAGCGGCAGGCGGCCTGGGAGAGACAGTTTCCGTTCATCGTTGGCCCGTCTGTGCGGCTCCTTGATGCCCAGCCACACTATTGAACTTTCTTCTGTGCAAATGTGGTCGTGCACCACAGTACACAGCCAATAGAAGCCCATATACCGACAGGGTTGATATCACGCGGAACGGTGCACAGGTACCCGCAGACCAATTGAGGCGTGTCTCATAGAAACTTCCGGGCTGGGCTTGGGCTGGGCAATTCGTCAATGGAATCTGACTGACTGTCTATGAGGATGATCCCGACGCGATGTCGGGCGGAGTGCCTACCAGAGCATAGCCTGTTGATGATGATATTGAGCTAAGGAATTGCGCTTTGAACAGACACGATAGTGACCGGAAGAGACCTCGCACGACAAATGAGATATACATGCTCAATAGAGCTATGGCGAGGAGGATGGAGGAGGTCTTCCTCAGCAAGGGTATACCCGTGATCCCAAGTATTGGTACGTATACACCTATCTTTCTTACAAAGTCATGTCACCGACTTGCCCGTGCTTTCCCGCTGTGTAGGCAATAACGATGTGTGGCGTACGTGGTCCCCGTGCTTCTAGCCCATTCAACACGGACTGACGGCATGCGCCCCCTCCAAAATGCCTCCCCCACAGCACATGTAGGTCCATCTCGGCCCTGTGCATTACACACGTGAGAACTAATGAATACCGAACAGAATATTATGCTCCCAGGTAAAACCTCTCCGTATACGCGTGGCGTGCTGAGTGTACGATCCCGCGCACCTAGGTCCGAACAGCGTCACTTCCGAGTTCTCTTCGTACGTGATAGGCTCATGCCCTTACCTCACCGCCGCTGACCTTGGGATGCTCGCGCAGCATCTGGCGCAACTTCGTGCCTTTCGAGTCCTACCAGGTCTTCCAGCGCGGCGGCTACTTCGCCGTCGAAGTCGTCCCTGAGCAGCTCGCCGTCGTCAGCCTGAACACGATGTACTTCTACGACTCGAACAAGGGTGCGTCATCCGCGATCTCGATCTCGGCGACACCGCACTCATCTCATTCGACCACCGAACTTCATTCGTGCGCTCGATTGACCTTCTATGACATATCACCATGGCGACCGCTGCAGCTGTGGGAGGGTGCGAGGACGGTGATCCGGAGGACCCCGGGAACCTCCAATTTGACTGGCTCGAGGTGCAGCTCGACAGGTTCCGGCGGCGAGGCATGCAGGTCCGTGTCCGCTCCGCTGTCGCGGCGGTGGTGATCGCGGCGTCAGGCGCTGTCGCCCGCTCTGACAGCGTTGGTGTCCTCGGTGCTCGCTGACGTTTTCGCAGGTATGGCTCAGCGGACACGTACCACCGTCTGCAGCCAACTTCTTCCCCGACTGTGTGAGTGGTACGTTTCACGGAAGATCGTAGCATTGAATGTCGTGCTGTAGCATGTTCGGTACACCGAGCTGTCGTTGCAATACCAGGACACCATCCTCGGACATTTGTACGGAGTAAGTGTCACAGAAGATGACCCATCATCACTCGAACTCATTCCTGTGTATTTTGACAGCACATGAACGCAGACCACGTAGGCTGATGACCTATTCTTGTCTGATGGCTCTATCTAATGAGGCCACACCAGTTCTTCTTCCTGGATGCCGAGCACGTTCGAAGCAAGCCAGACAAGGAGGCTTTGACATCTGGCATGCACGACGAGCTGCGCCTCGGGAAGAAGAAGCACAGGCAGCTGTACAACACGCTTTTGAAGGACTTTGACGACCTGCCGAAGACGAAGCACAACGCGAGCTACGACGACTACGGGGTGGTGAACGTATCGCCGTCCCTCGTGCCCAATCCGTACCTGCCATCGTTCCGGATCTTCACGTATAATACAACCGGAGCGGCATACGAGCCCGCCCTGGAGTCGGGTGCGGCGTGCGATGATGCAAGTGGCCGAAACGCCTGGCGGTGCGACGTGGCAAAGCCGTGGCACGCCAGCCCAGACTCGCCGTCGCGGACGAACAGGCTATGGACGCCGCTGGGCTATGCGCAGGTGGGTGGGATCGCTCGTCTGTCAGATGTGGCCGGCCGGGCGGCTGACGCAGACGTGCGCAGTACTATCTGCCGGACCTGGAGAGCGCCAACAAGAAGCATGCGCCGAAGGTGAAGCTGGAGTACCTGACGTTCGCGCGGGGGGCGCTGCACCCGCCACCCGGAGGCGAGGGCGGGTTCCGGTACCCAATCCCGCTGCGCCATCTGCCGAGGACACTGAGGAACGCGACGGGCGAGGGGGCTGGAAGTACGCCCCTTACGGCTTGGCGGACCTGACGATAGGGTCGTGGGCGGGCCTGGGGCGGCGGCTCGCGGCGGGGACGGAGAAGGCGCTGAGGAAGCGGTTCCGGGGGTTTATGTACATGGGCGGGGACGAGGCGTGGGTGGTGTAGCTGTTGTGTAGTGTAGGGCGCGCATGTATGTACCATGGACAGGGCGGCGGGGGATAATGGAGGGCGGGCCGGGAGGCGCCGGGGGTGGCTGAAAAGGTTGCCTTGACCACGGACAGCAGTGTGCACGCATCTCCCGCTGAGCAGATCCGAACTGCAAGCCCTCTCTCGGTCGCTGCGACCGCTGCCACTCGCTCTCATTCATTCCGTTCGTGCCCCCGGGGTCTCCTGCCGGCCTTCTTCTACTTCCTCCGCGCATTTCCGCCGCTGGTCAAGGCGGGCGGCCTCATCAGCAGCATCACCATCTCCCCCTGCCCCCGCCCCGCTGGCCACGCGTGAATACTAATACGCATCCCCACTCTCCTTTGCTCACCACGGCTGGCCCGCCTTTCAATTTTCGTCCCCGCAAGCCCGCGACGCCGCCCCTCCTTTCCCCCAACTTTATCCAGCATTCCTTATCTTTATGGCCGCTGTCAATCTCCAGCTTATGGCCAACGTCCCCTTCGACCTCATACCCAACCCTGGCTACCACTCCCGCTCAAACTCGGTCTCCTCCAACTCCTCCGCCAACTCCCCCGGCTCCCGCCCCACGTCTTCTCAGGGGGCTCTATTGCGCACATCGGCAATGATGCCGCCGTCCTCCGAAGACCTCTACCGCGCTTCTTTCCATACCACCAACTCGTTCGCAGGTGATCACACCCGCAACACCTCAGACGCGTCCCACTCCTCTGCCTACTCCCTCGGCTCAGACATCATCACCCCGGGCGATTCCCCGCCGAACCACAACCTCTCCAACCCGTCCCTCAAGTCGCACCTGCGCCCCACGCACATCCGCGCCCGCGTCGCGGCCTCACCCTATCCCCGCGATACCGAGAGCGTGCACTCGTCCTCGAGCGAGACGGAAGACATCTCTCTTTACCTCGGTTCGACGGGTAACGACTACCTTCCGATGTTTGGAGGGCAGCATATGATGGGGCACGGCGAGGGCGTGCACTCCACCGGTGCGTTCGGTCGCATGACACTCAGCCCTGACCACGCCCTGGAGAAGCTCGCTGCCAACGTACGGGCAGCGACGACAACGAGTGCGTCGGACCGGGCGAAGCAGATATTCGTGCAGGCATGGTAAGTCCCCCTTTTCCATGCCCTTCCACGAGACTCGAACCCATCACCGCAGGTTAACCGCCAACTACGCCCCGTACCCGGACGGGAATGTCCCTCGCCAAGGGTTATACTTTTCGTACCGGCGAGTCTGCGACCAGTACGGTATTCCACATATCAACACCGCCACGCTTGGAAAGGCCATCAGGCTGTGTTTCCCCACTATCAAAACGAGACGGCTGGGCGTTCGAGGGAACAGTAAATATCATTGTACGTCTTTGGCCTGATCATGCTTCAGTCAACAAGGCCCAGACAGGGCCCCTGATTGCCGCTCCCCTTGTCAGATTGCGGCATCCGGCCAGCCACATCGGCGGAGGCTGAGTTTATGCAAGATTACATCCGCAAGTCGAACAACACCGCGGCGCAGGCGGCCGTCAATGCTGCTCGCGCGTCGACTGAGGGAGTAGAGGGTCTGAACAGAGGTGATTCAGATGGAGAAGATGATGAAGATTCAGAGCCCAGCTCGGGCCAGGTCTCCAAGCGGAACTCACTGCAGCTGGCGAACGGCGTGAAGAACCCGCAACTGTTCGCAGATGAGAAGACGCCCACGGCGAGCAGCCTGCTCGCGATGGCACAGGCCTCGCAGCGACCACCAACGAGCTCGTTCCCGCCACAAGCCTCGATCCGGCGGCACGCCGGCCAACCCGAGCCGGCGCTCGGCGTTCCGTCACAGTCGCCTGTGGGCGAAGTGAGCAACCCGCTCACCCTTGTGGCGTCGACGTCGATATCGGTTCGACAGTTACCTCAGTTCCCCTCCATCGAGGAGGCGGTCGGCGGGTCCTCGAACTCGCCGCACAGCATCGCCGCAAGGGAGGTGTGGCGCTGGTTCCAAGATCACCTCGACGCGCTGCTGGAGAGCGTTAGGGCGTATCGTTTCGACCAGTTCGAGTTGCATGTGCGGACGTTCTGGTCGAACCTGAATGGGAGCCACAGAGAGATTGTGCATGCCCCCGCCGTAGCGGGCTTGATGGCTAGGGCCGACGCGATCGTCTACGATGTAAGGCGTTCCGCGGGCTTCGTGGTGGGCGTGACGGAGCTGACGCGGGTTGTGTAGGAAATTCTGGAACAGCTGCGCTCCCAAATGCTCTCGCTGATCCCGGCGGCGTCCCTCGGTGGTCTGCGACAGCTTGCGAATAAGATGGAGAAGATCCTTTTGGTGGCGTTGGAGGGCTATGGGAACACGTTCGTCGAGCCCAAGGTTGAGCTTGGAGCGCGCTTCGGGCATCTAGTTTGTGCGTGTTTCAGCCCTCTCTCGTCGTTTCGATGTCCTGACGCACGGCTGTTCCCAGTGCGCTTCCTAGACATCTACCAAGTGACCCAAGCTTTGACCACCGTGCTCACGAACCCGAAGCAGGTAGCCGAGATGCGGCGGTCGTGGAGCAAGGTTGACTTTGAGTCCGTCCGTAATCAGTCCGCGCTAGTCTGCAACTGCCGGCATGAGGACCTCGTACATCTGCTGGAGGTTGAGTTCGTCTCACTCTTAGATGGGCTTCTCAAGAGCAACAACCCGGTGCCTGACGTAATGTCGTGGGCGGATAAGTGTTGCGAGCGCTTAATGGGTTCGAGAAGCGGCGAGCAGGAGCGGGGGACGATGAGCTCAAGAAGTGTGCTGATACGCTGGGGATACGTGACCAGTCAGGTTATGAGGGATTTGGTATGTTGTTACCGTCGCTCGGTGACCAGACATTGACGTTTAACCCCCGTCGTCCAGACGATTCGGAGTGACCCTGCGTTCGGCGCCTTCCAAATCCTCAAGCTGTTCCTTGAGTACGTGTTTCAGTGACTCCGTGTCGCAAGCTGCCGTTGTTGACATACCTTGTAGCGACTGGATTGCTCTCAATGTGCTTAGGAGCGTCGCCCTGTCGACGAACTCGGTGGCAGCCTCGGTCGAGCCCGTCATGCAGCAGAACTTCTTCACCATGTCCCCCGAGATGGCTGGACAGGAGAACTTCGGGCATCATCTCGAGGCCCACCACCCTGTCATGGCGCACACTCCGACGACGTCGAGCATGCTCGCCGCGCTGCAGCAAGACAGTTTCGCGTCAGGCTCGCTCGACCCGTCCTCGAACACGTTCGGCGCAGACGCCTTCTCATCACTGTCGTACATGGACACCTCGTCGTCGCATGACGACCCGATGCCCGTCCACCCATCCCTCTCGTTCCCCGACTATGTGTCAGGCTCTGGCAGTTTCGACCCCGCATACACTCCGGAGCACATCGGTCTCCACAGCGCCTCAGCAACGCCCCCCTCCAGCAGCGACCCAGAGAACTCCCCGGAACCTGTGAAAACAGAGAATCCCCTTTAATATTGCGCCCCCTCGCAGTGATATCAAGGACGCCTACCTTATCGCTCCCTAATAGCTTCAGTGCTCTGCTTTCATGCGGTTTGTTAATTATTGTTGACTACTTGGCTCCCGTGCTGTATTCCCCCTGTTGCTCCCTGCCCTGACACTGCTCTCACCTGTCGTACTCCAGCAATGTATCTCCATGGTCTACGGGTGAATGGAGTGTCTCTATAATAATACGATACCAGTACTCTGAATATCTCATCAAAGGCGGTGTATGGGTAGTAGATTGGGTGAATATACACGGAATCGACAAATGCAGTAAGTCCAAGCCGTGCTCAACGATCGCTATGATTCATCAGCCTCACCCCTCTGCTCCTCCACGGCCTCCAGCTTGTCGACGACCGCCTCGCTGGGTACAGCTAATGACGAGATCTCCACGGTGGCCGGTGTGTGAGCGGGCTCGGCAGGACGCTCGCCGCCGCCGTTGGGAGGCGTGATGTCGTCGGACGTGGGCACGTCGACCTTCTCCGACTTGCCGATGAGCTGCTTGATTCGCGCCTCCGCCTTCTGCTTGTTCTCGGCCGTGACACGCGCCTGGTTCTCCAGGAACCATGCCTTCTTCGCGTTTAGGTCCTCGATGACACGGGGCACGTCGGCGGACGATGTAGGTGGCGCAATTGAGAAGGAGAGGAGCGCCGAGAGCGTGGCGAGGGGGAGGTGCAGCTGGCCCTGGCTGCCAGACGCGTCGCTGGCGTTGGCGTTGTTGCTTTCCGCCGGCGCAGGCTTGGCTTTACTCCTCTGTGCCTTTTGGCCCTTCCGAGACGCGGCGACGAAGTAGTTATCCTCGTCGTCGCCCTTCTTTTTACGGGCTACCAAACCATCCCCTGGACCTGCATCGACCTGGCGCAGCTCGAGCTTCGGCACTCCAACGAGGTCAGCCTTGTCCTTCTCGGACGACAGAGTGGGCGCAGACGTCTTGCCAGAGAAGTAGTCCCCCAACGTCTGGCAGTCCTCGATCTGCGCCTGAAACGCAGGCGCCTCTGCCTCCTCCCGGATCTGCTCAGCCAGCTCCTTCTTCTTGGCCTCCTCCTCCGCGGCACGCTGTGCCCGAGCGCGTTCTGCTCGACGCGCCCGCTCCTCGGTGACCTTGGCGAAGTGCTTGTCGTTGGCTTCACGGAACCGCTGTGCGGACTCCCGCTTGCGGTTATACAGCACGTCGAGCTCCGCGGACAGCTTGTTGCGCTCGTCGAACAGCTTGTTCCGGTTCGCCGCGAGGTCGTCACCCTCCTTCTTCAGTTCGTCAAGCTCAGTTTTGAGGGCGTCGTAGCGCTCCGAGGCGGCCTTCGCCTCGGGGTCGTCTAGTTGCTTCCGGAGCTCGTCGGCTATGGCACGCTCGGCTTCAATCGACTCCTGCTCTGTCTGGAAGCCTTCGACGATACGGCGGGTGCGTTTGAGTTGGCTGATCTCAGCCAAGGCACGCTTTTCGTCACCAAGCTTGAGGTTTCCGGACTCCACTTGCCTGTCGAGCAGCCTACAGGTGCACGGTAAGCATCTGGCTTGGATAGAAGAGCGACAGTGACGTACTGAATTCGGTCGTCAACCTCATCCACGGTCCTGAATTGAGCCTTCGCCTTGGCAGCGTTCAGATCCTTGACCTAACACGCTGGAGTGAGCAATCTGAATGCAGAACACGTAGGGTATGACATACCTTCTTCTGCACGCCGTCCTGAATGGCCTTCAGCTGTTCAAAGATCTTGGTACGGGATGTCTTGCCCGTTGACTGCTGGTCACGGATGCCTTCCAACTCAGCACGAAGAGCGTTCCTCTTGTCATTGTTACCGCCCGGCTTGGTAGCGATGTTAATCTTCTCCCTCACAGCGGACTGTCCAATGTAAGCAGCTAAGTGAGACCTAGCATACGGACGCCCAGTAACGCGACATACCACTTTGACCTGGAGGGCGTCAATCTGAGCCTTGACTTGCTCCTGCTCCTTCTCATAGGTGGCCTTGTCTGGCTTGCCTGGTCCATACGTAGCGAATTCGAAGGGAATCTCCACCGGAGTCGCGGGCGCAGGACTGGTGCTGCCGTTCGCAGACTTCCCGTCAACGGTCAGTGTAGCAGACTTGGTCTTCTTGCTCGTGCCGTGAGCGGGGGCGTTCTTGGACTTTGCTGCGGCCATACTGACGCGAATGCGGATGTTGGCTTACCGTGGAAGTGCGGGGGCGGAAAGAGCGACGGGAGGAGACGTGGTGGCAGGTACTGGGAATTTGGAAAGCGCTGAGCAGTCGTCCTGCATCTCGATCTCCATGGCCCCCGTGACGTGGCTACAACCCGTAAACTCTGTCCAACGGATACCAGCCCGAGGCTCCGGCTCGCAGACACGGTCAGAGGTGAGGAAAAGGTAATGATACAACTCGTAGAAGCATGAATTACAGCGCAGAGCAGTACACAGGTCCGGACCAAATGGAAGCGACACAACCCAATCAAAAGACGACCTTCTGGTCAAGTTTTCCAACTTCTCGACAGCACTCCTCGTACAGCTCTCGGTACTCGTCGTCCTTTTCATCACTTTCTTCGCCCTCCTTCCGCTTGGCCTTTTTCTTCGAGTCGGGACACACCATTACGCAGCTCGTCGGTCGTTTTGTAGCACTGGCGTGACCGAGCTCTTCTTTTGATGTGATGAAGACATACGGAACATTCGCATCCTCGGCGAGAACAGGCAAATGTGAGATAATGTCGATGGGGTTGATGTCCGCGGCAAGGACCAGTAGCCTGTTTGAGTTGTCAGCTTGGACTCCTCAAGGGAAGCGGAACGCTACGCACCCCTTCTCTCCCTTACGAATCCCTTTCACAACCTCCTTAACACCCCGTTTGACTTGTCGTTGTTTTGAAGCTGGACGGAAGATGAATTCGGTATTCATGGAAGACGGGCAAGTAGCAAGAGCCTCGTACCCTTCTTGATAGTCTTGTGCAACTTCTTCAGCAGCTTCTTTTGCGCTAGAGGATGTGCTATTGGCGACAGGTCCTCCAAGGGAATGACAATCTCATCCTTCTCCTTCTTGACCTTTTTCTCGACCTAAAGCGTGTCAGTCAATTCCGAGCGGGCGTTGTGGGTTCAATCTGCTCACCTTTGCAACCTCTACATCGTCCATCTCGACATCCTCACCAACCACTACGGACTCTTCGACCGTCTCGGTTACCTCCTTGGTCTTTCGCTTCTTGTCCTTCTTCTCGCTCTTGTCCTTTGCCATTGTAACTGTGGCCGAACTCGGATGTCCTACCGACAGAGGAGTTTACAGTGCAAGTGGTTTTCACCGTACCGAGGAAGATGGTTATGATCACGTGTTGCGTGAGTGGGATCGAGATTCGTGTGAGTAGACGCTGGTGCAATGCAGTTCACTGGCACGATCGTCGACGTCAGGATGGGTACCGGTTCGCGTTTACTTACTTAGCTTGAAACGAGCTTGTGTCGCGACACGCGCTCGAGTGTGTCCGAGCAGGTCGTTGCACGGTATGGTAGCACCAAATCGAAATAGACAAGGCTGGAGGACACACCCGGACTCGGATGCAGTCGGTCTTTGTCGCTGCCCACTGGCACACACTCGCGGATTTCGATGACCACACGAGAAGTGCTCGCCGACCTCAGGTTACAGTACGCCGGATCGCCTATGATTGATATTGATTTGTGTTTCGCACCCACGAAGGTTTCGACTGCATCCATGAGTCATATCATGGGGCCTGCTGGATAGCCGGCGCTTCCGGGCGTAGAGCTTGAAGGACAGATCCCCGCATGGGACATTCAGCCCGGAGCCTAGCGAAGTACAACAGCATGGCTTCCTTGTAGTATCGCTTTTGGCTCAAGCTACATGGAGATGGTTGTTTCATGCCGAATGTGCTCAATGTGATCGTCATATCGCGGTAGGCAATAGTGGCGCGACGGAGTGGAAAACTTGAGCACTGCATCGCTCGGCCGTTATAAGACTGGTACGGTGTACAGAACAGCCCAGTCGAGTGGCCGCAGCGGGGTTATGTGTCCTGTCAGCACAGAGACAGGGCAATCGAGAATATTAATTCCTCTTGGTCAACGTCAGTGATACTATGTGCAGTTGCATCTAGATGATCCCTCTGTAACATGTGATGTCTGTTCTACGTAGCCATTTCCCGGAGGAGGGTCGCCCACTCCTCTGAGCAAATTGAGCCACACCCAAGATGCTCCACGACTTTCCATGTCATACCAATGGTTGACGGCAATAGTTACCTCCGACTGGCGGACGTAGTGCCACCAACCAGCCGGGAGGTACAGCGTCTCACCGGCACCAACAGTTATATGAATAGGATGCGCCTCTGGAGGAAGGGAAGTTGAGTCGGTCGGGTCGAGAACCGAGGACCAGCGGACCTCAGGTGTTGTTGGTGGTGACGGAATATGTTCCAACCGAGATGTAGCTTCTGACCGGACATAGCGAGCATGTGGGTAGCTACGTTCTGACAATAGCAAAATTAGCATGCGTGGTCTGTCGGCTGTATGATGTTGTGAAGCGACGGACCTTGTAAACACCAGCCTTCAGTGGGCGGGAACAATGTGAAGTGTTTCGCTCCGCGAACAACGGAGTAGATATTCTCGTATGGGTCTGGAATGAGTCATTGAGTACGCAAGTTCGAGTGCCGCCCGTCTAAGGACCTTACCGCTGTGCACACTTGTGACACTCGCACTATTTCCTATCCATAAGTTGACTGCGTCCGGACACCTATCTGTTCATCGATGCATCGGATGAAGGTCAAATATGGGCAAATTCTGTCCACGCACCGAGTGCTTCGCTGCACCATGTTATCTCGCTAGGAACATCCTCGCGCAGCGGTTCGAACTCTGACGAGTCTGGATCGCTTGTCGAATCGAAGTAGCGCCCAGTAAACATGTTGCCGTTCTGCGATTGGAGGTAGTACACTTCTCTGTCCGCTGAAGTTGCATCGGCTGGGTCTGGGTGTCGATACTGAGGTTATCAATCCTTCCTGTTCAGTCGTCGCCACTGTGTAGACCTACCTAAAGTGATTTTGTCCAAGAAGCTCCCTATTGTCATCTTGTCTACATGAGGCTCGGTGAAGTACAGCCGACCACCGCGATTACGGGTAATCGCGTCTGCGCGTCTAGTTGGCGAGCCAAAGATTGAGCGCAGTTATTTGTGACATTCTCGCTATTGTTCTCACCCAGTCGGGGTGACAGCGATGGATATCTCCCGGTCACCCATCCGCCGAGTGAGGTATTCGTCCGTCCAGAGAGAAATCACACCGGGCATCTCACTAGCTATGCCAAACTCATTACACAGTGAATTCAATCATTGGGGTACTTACACACCTTTTATAAGGACAGGTCTGGAGATGTGTACTAGCCTAGAGAACTCGAGAGGTGTGGGTAGTTCGTCCAAGATATCATAGTGGGTACCATTCAGTTCTACCAAAGCCTTGAGAACACGTTGTCAGATGTAGGATGTGCGGCATACCGTAATACTCATCTGCTACCCATCTCTGGGCCTCGCCTTGAGTCGCGTGTCCGAGGGGTTCACGGTGGTCTGTCATGAGGTACGGAGCCTGAGGTACTGCTAGTACAGTCACAGCAGGGCTCAGCCACAGTTGCGCCACACGCGCGATTCGCGGAGTGCCGAAACCGATCTGGATCTGATGGGACTGTTGAGACGCGTCCAATTCGCGCGACGCGTTCCGTGTTCGACTAGCCACGCCCACAGACAGCAGCTACCGCCCTCCCGGCCGTCCAAACGCGTCCAAAGTCATCAGCTAGTCGAACTGTACAGCAGGCCGGTGGAATGAGCCAACCCAAGAAGCAGACGGCCACACGACGAAATGGGAAGTCCAAAGCGGTCAGTCGACTCCGACCCCTACACGAGAAGCGCAGACGCCACAGCTCCGCTAACGTGTTTCCCCAGGCAGGACAGAGGACCCTCTTCGATCACTTTTCTGCTATATCATCTGCTACGGGGCCCGCGACATCGTCGTCAGGGGATGCGGGTTTCGTGGGGGGCGTTGAGGATACACAATCCAGTGACATCGAAATAGTGGAAACAGTGGAGCCTTCGTCCAGTGCCCTTCTCACGGATGTGGATGCTCTTAGTGACACGACAAACGAGGGTTCAGACGTCGCCGTAGGTATGTGGCCCCTGATACGGTTGCGTCGCCCATTGACGGTAGAAGATAGACAATGCTGCGAAAGCTTCAATTGGCAAGCGGAAACCTGCGACAGTCCGGGCGAAACACCGTTCCAAACCGATGTTGTCACAAGGGTCTGTACCCTCTCCTGGGAGCTCACAAACAACTTTGGAAGGGCAAAGCCGTGACGATCCCATCATTCTCGACTCCAGTCCAATCCGACCAGTGAATAGCAACCGCGTATCGAACAAACCGTTCTATTCCATATTTGCTTCAAAGAAGGCACCTCCGACCATCTCGGCCCCGTCCAATTCGTCCACAGGAGAGTCCTCGCTGTCCAGCCGCCTGAACAAGCGGGGTATAGCTGTCCCGTACCCCGCACGCGACACCCAGCACGTCCGGGCAGATCAGACAAACTTCTCCACTCCTCCATGCCCTTTCGAACGCCGCTTGAACGGCGCCCGCACAGCTTCCCAGGCCGGCGCCGCTCAACTCCCCCAACTAGCCTACGGATACAGCACGGGGAATTACAAACGCCAGCATAACGAGTCATTGCCCGGCGATATCGCGTTCACGAGTGGGACCGATCGTTACCCTCAACATGAGGGTGACAGCACACCTGTCAACGCCCCGCCCGCCGCCTGTGACCCGGGTGCCGCCTCTCGAATGCTCACTGACATCCCTGCCAGCCACAAGTCGTACCCCGCCATCGAGCGCCTTGTCAATCGCACACAGTCGGAAAGCAACAATGAAGCAAGCTCCCCACCGTTGTCACAAGAGCTCTGGACAGATAAATGGCGTCCTCGGCGCGCAGACGAGGTCCTCGGCAACGAAGACCGAGCATTGTACCTTCGTGCCTGGCTGCTTGCCCTAAAGCTTCATATCGAGACTACCTCAGCATCCTCGCACGACTTGCGTGGCGCCGAAGGCAAGGGTGGAGCTGGGAAGAAGAGACAACAGCTCCTTAAGCCACGGGGTACAAAGAGACCCCAAGTTGTCCGCCAAGTGGACAGGCGGAAGAAACGGAGACGGCTGGACTCGGAGGAGCCGGACGACTCGTGGATCGTGGACGACGAATCGGACGACGACCCTGGGGTCGATGAAGCCCGCAACGATGCCGGAAGTGAGGACGAGTTGGCATTTTGTCAGCAGACTTACTCGCGGCTACAGCGTGTCGTGGAAGAAGTCGAAGGACAACCTTGTCTTGATCCTGCCGCGACGACCGCGGAAGCAGAAGAGGACAAGTTCCCGAGTTCTCGCACCGCGCCACTCATTTTGGAAATCAGCTACACAACACCATTCTCCTGAGCGGGCCGTCGGGATGCGGTAAGACTTCTGCCGTCTACGCGTGTGCAGAGGAGCTGGGATGGGAAGTCTTCGAAGTCTATCCTGGTATTGGTGAGCGGAGCGGCGCGGCGCTGAATAAGCTCATCGGGGACGTTGGTAAGAATCATATCGTCAAACAGACCCAGCGTCAGCACAAGACATTCTTTTACGGCAACGGCGCTGCGCAAGATCCGAGCATATCGGTCGATGGCGAGGTGACCCAGAAGGCAGGGGGCCGTAAACGCGCCCTCAAGCGAGTCGACTCGGAGAGCGGTTTGGACGAGGAAGGGTCAAGCCAGACCGACCATACGGCCTCTGCCGGGTTGACCGCTCTGCCCTCCGAGCATCCGCCGGTCTCCCAGTCCATCGTGTTGATAGAGGAAGTGGACGTGCTGTACGACAGTGACGCCAACTTCTGGCCGTCCATGATCAATATTATAAAGGAATGTCGTCGACCCGTCGTTATGACATGCAACGGTTGGTACTTATTGTATTGTCGTACAGTCTTTCGATCATTTATCTTGGCTGTGTTGCAGATGCGTCCTTGGTTCCCATCGCAGACCTTCCTCTTCAAGAAATCCTCACCTTCACACCAACAGCACCGGCACTCGCCACGTCTTATTTACAGTGCGTGTCTATCCTTGAGCAGCGACCTCTAGAACGATCTGCTGTCTCGCGGCTGTACGAGCGTGTAGGAGAAGTGCCGTGTGGATACGCTGGAAGCTGCTCGACAGATTCTCCTACTCGCTGCCCAGATCTTAGGCAAGCACTGCTGCAGCTACAATTCGGCGACCTAGACATTCCGACAGATTCCCCTGCGACGTCTGCCAGGGCCATACCCCAGGCGTCTGGCTCTCACGACTCTCATTCTCTCGATATACCATTGGAGGCCGCACAGGAAGACTTGCGTGTCATCCGTGGCGTGGACAAACTATACAACACCCTATCCTTCGCAGACTGTCATTTGCCACCGGAAGCAGCTGGACGACCTCGTGGTGCGTTCGTTGTACTGAATCAGATTGCGAATGAGCCTGATCGTTGACTTTCAGGATACCATGACCGATTCGGGTGCAGCAAACGATGAACTGGGCTACATTGTGCTGCACAACGACGCCTCGACAGTGCGGCCCGCGCCCATAAACACGTCCTTCTATCACGAAGACGCAGTGATGATGGAAACCCTCCTATCTACTGGGAAAACTCTGTTCGTCCATGCGCGGCACCCCTACAGGGCTACGCGGCAGTATTATTCCGTGTCGAGAACCTGCCGAGCAATTGTTCTCCGTCCTGCAGGAGCTCCAGGTGCCATTCGACACGCTCGCAAATCCATTGGCCGCATTCCTTGATTACGGGCCATGGTTGAGGCGTATGGTTGCTCTCGATGACGCAGCCGAGGCAATCTACCTGGAGTCGCAGGCCAGCAAGGACGGGGTGCGCAAGACCAGGAACAGTCTCAAGGCCGTCCGGCCTGTCCGCTACGTACCCATCAGCGAGAGCGACCGGCGGATACTGGGCGCACCCCGCACTGCGGCCGTGATCGAAGGTCTATGGGCATATGTTTTGTATCATAATGGGGGACGTCGCGCTCGGTCAACACGTTTTGTTACGCAGATTTCCAAGCTCAGACGATGGCTTGCATAGCCTGCCGCGAAGTCCTTGTGCAGCTTCTATTCGCTCTATCTGCACCGTGAATGCTACTGTCTTGACATTCGCCCGTGGCACCTGCCTGGCTCGTCTCGCGTTGATCGAGCTTGATGCACGGCAACTTTAGATTATCGGCGGGCAGACATCTATGTTACCTGCGCGGGAACCATGACACGACCGGGCGTCCCTGGATGGAGTTGCCAGTAGGTGGGTACTGCTTGGTGGCTGAATCCACGATCCCTACGATCGAAGCTGAAGCGGGCATGTGGCCGACGGCTCACAGCTTACTCAAGCGTGGTGAAACAGGCTAGTGACTTTCAAGATGTAATGGCGATCAGCAAGATTCAGTGAGCGCGACTTCTCTCGTGGCAAGGCGATCGATACCATCGCGCGAGCCAGAACGACTCGGAGTGATAAAATTGGTGTGCGGAGCCTGCAGAGAGTTAAGGTAGGAGCCAAGTTTCGAGGACGGCCGCTCGGGCGAGTGTGTCTGAAGCGCGGAGACCGATGTGACTCGGAGAATAGTTAAGGGAAATGGCAAGTATCAAACAATGTACCCTATTCAGGAAGACTGGTACTATAGATAGCCACGTGGGCGGGGTGGCAGCCACGCGTCTGAGTTCTTTCCAACGATCCTTACCGTGGACGCGACCTCCGTTAAAGCTGCCTGTGCCCGGCCTCTCCCCACCGCCTCTCTGGCCCCTGCCCGTCCTCGTCCTCGCCGCATGGATCGTCCGGGACCCGCACACTCATCAGCATCGGAGTCCGCCAGTAGCACTATTTCCTCCGGCACCGCCTCCCAACCCCCTTCCGCACCTCCACCTGCTCTGGGCCCCCGACATTCGCCCGTCACTCCCCTCGCTCCCCTCGAATTCCTCCAAAATCAGCGCAGAGGATCCATCACCGACCCCTCGCTGCACGCCAGACCATCGCTTCCGGCGCATCTTGCCAACGGCACTCCCTTGAACAACCTCCGACCACCCTTCCGCCGCCCCAGCTTCCCCTCGAGTCCCAGCTTCGGCCCCTCTACGCTGTATCACGATGCGTCTCGACCGCCGCCAGGCCCTCACCGCGCATCTTCACCGTTTCGATTCGGCGATGCAAGCATGCCGCCGCCAGAGAGCAGTAAGACGCGGCCACGACGAGCACCGCGATCGTCCTCTGTCGATGCAGGCAGGAGGACAGTTCTAACCGATAGCATACCAGAGCTTGAGAGTGATGTTGGAAAGAGTACACGCGACAGCCGGGTAGAAAATAGATTTAGAGGTAATGCTGGCGCCCACGTGCAGTGCAGCTCAGCGAATTCACACTTCGGCTACAGACTCCAGCAGGGCGCAGGGGAGTGACGACATGGAGGTTGATCCGCAGGAGCATGGGCAGCCCCAGGAACGTGGTGGTGGGTTGCAACGCCTGCATGCCTTCCGTGAACCGGCCGAGGTGGGGTACAACGCGCGGCGACATTCCATTGCCGCTGGGTCGCCAAGTTTGAGCCTGGACAGACACTCACCGGGGTGGCCTCAAGGCACGAAACGCAAAATACCCTCCGAACAGGACACGCCGTCTCCTGGGAACCAGGAGATCGATCCGCTGTTCGCTGGGCCGGGGGCTGCGAGCGCGATCAGTGATGAAGGTGGCGGACCCGCGCCAAAGCGGCGTGGGTCGGCGTTCGACACGCAAAAAATCGCACAGCTGAGCCTGAATGACCGACGAAACTCTGTGGATGCGCGGCTGGGCGGGGGAACGGGGGATCGTGGTGGTCGGGCGAGAGACGGGACTCTGCCGCGAGCTCGTCGTTGAGCGCGTCTACGCCTCCGTCGGCATTTTCCGGCGAATCGCCACATGGCCGACCTCCTGGCGGCATCGCTACTTTCGCGTGGCCTGCCAACCCGCAGGATCAAGCTGCAATGCACAGCGAGGCCAACGTTAATATGGCGGGGCTCGCAGTGCATCCCTACGATCCCCTCACCATCATGCCTCCACTCGCATTCGCCCCAGATCGCCGTATGTCGGTCCCCAACCTCCCACCAGAAAATTTGCCCACCCCGCCGTCCACGGGCCCGACGCGGGTGCTCCGGTCACGCTCCCGCCCTCCGTCGCGTGTCCGCGGCGCGAGTCAATCAGACCCCAGTAATGTCGCCGGTCCTTCGTCTGGCGCAGGCCAGACAGACGAGGCAGCAGCCCAGGAACTCCATCGCCAATTGAAGGACGGATCCACGCCCTACTCGCGCTCCCCGGAGCTGCGGGTATCCCACAAGCTCGCCGAGAGGAAGAGGAGAAAGGAGATGAAGGAGCTGTTCGACGAGCTGCGCGAGCACCTCCCAGCAGACAGAGGCATGAAGGCGAGCAAGTGGGAGATATTAAGCAAAGGTGCGTTCATGCTGCACGCGCTACGCGACCATCGCTTACGCGCCCGCCGGTCTTTGTCGCCTTTGTCGTGCCTTTCTCCCGTAGCGATTGACTTTATCAACAATCTTAAGCACACCTGCAATGAAATGCAGCGCGAGATCGACATGTTGCGCCATGATGTAGAAACCATGCGCCATGGAATACCGCCACCCTACGGTGGAGGACCTCCACCACCGGGTGTGATGTATGGTCATGGCCCACCACCTGTTGGCGTCCCTCCGTATCCTCATCCTGGACCACCCCATTCCGGGCCACCACCCCCAGGACCGCCGTCTTCTTCCCACCAACCGCCTCCACCACACCATGTGCCACCTCCCGGTCAACCGCTTCCTCCTCACCAGCATCCAATGCACCAACCTGGCCCTCATCCTCATGCGCCTCCAGACGATCCCGCATCACGACCTGCATCCTCACAAAGTATATACCCGCCCGGCATCGGTCCTGCGTCAATGATGCCACCTCCAGGGCCGAGCATGCTCGCTCCGAAGCCAGATCCGTCGTCATAGGACTGGCGGCGCACCCATGATCGCATTCCCTCGATTATAGGCTCGAGTTGCTCGCTGGGCGCGGGCCCTCATGTGCCGTTCGGCGCGCATCGTTTGCAAACATGGATTGGAAGTGGGCTTCGTAGCCTCGCGTTGCACGCGGACTACACGTTTGTAGGGTAGGAGACGACTATATTTGACGACGCTCACGAACTTATTGACCCAGTAATTAATGTAAACTCTTGGACTTCGCATTTCCTGTAGAGGCCTTGCAAGTAAATCGTTGTCTTGTCCATTACATTAGCACTGTACAGCCGCAATGCATGTGTGTTCTCATTCGACGAGCTGCCAGTGGATGAGCGAATTAACTGCGTCCGCGAATCTGAGATTGAGTGTACGATCTCTGGTGCCCGATTTGGTCATTGCGCTCGGAGCCTTGGACAAGGACGCGCGGTAGTCATCCCCGCCACACCATGCTCTGACCCCGACCGCCACCATCCCTCCCACCACTCCCCGTCGATCCCTTCTGAATTGCCTCAGACTGACAGGGAACGACTAGACTGCCTCTGATACCCCCTTTCTACATCTATCCACCGACAAACTAGACGCGGTCGCAGCGATGGCCCCGAAACGCTCAGGCATGGACTTGCTCTTCCATCCGAAGAAAAAGACGACCCAGGCATCCCCTCGGAAAAAGGAAGGCACACCCTCTGGGGCTCCTCGGGCAGTCCTTCACCGACGAAATCCCCACGCGCGCCGCTGGCGAAGCCACGGCCACCGAAACCTCAAGATAACGATGACGACTTGCAGCCCCCACCGCCCGAGGGCCCTTACCAGGAGTTCAAGCTGGTCTCTTCCCAGCTGAACGGGTGGAAGTATGACGTGATGAAGTTCGACTCGCGGAAGCCGGTCGACTTCAAGGATTGGGAAAAGCCTATAAAGCTGAACAGGAAGGAGCCTCGCCGCGAGCCCGAAGATACCGCCAGCATCGAGGGACCGAAGCCCGTAGGGCCCATGCTTGGGCCGGATGGGAAGCCTGTTGTTGGGCCGGATGGACGTATTGTGATGGTGGATGCGGAGGGACGGCCAATACGGGCTGGCGAGGGTGGGAGCACGGGTGGCGACAGGGGGAAGGACAAGCCTGGGCAGAAGAAGCGGTTCCAGAAGAAGACGAGGCAGGTCTTCCTGGTGCCAGACGAGGTGCGGAAGCTCAGGAGGGAGGAGCGGTTCCCGTGGGTAATAGAGGACTCGGCTGGAGATGAGACTTGGGTGGGGAAGATGGAGGAGGTGGCGAAGTCGGAGACACATTGCATGTTCATGCCTGCCGACAATAGTACGTTCAAGCTCGTCCCAGCACATCGATGGTACAAGTTCCAAAAGAAACCAAAGTACCGTGTACCGACGCTGGAGGAAGCGGAAAAGATGGTAAGTACTCGACACCGCTGTGACGGCGTCATGCTACATTGTGCTCCGCCCTTAGATGAGCAACATCAAGAAGAACCAAGACCCTGAACGTTGGCTGCTGCGCAAGCGGAACGGTCAGGGCCCGTCGGTGGAGACTGCCGCTTTGTTCAAAGCTGAACGCGAAGGCAGTGGTGGCCCTGTGCCAAGCTCGAGTCTCGGCCCAGGGGGCCGCCGTCTCAAGGCGGTTGACGACGGAATGAGCGGTCTATTCGGAGATGACGAGGAGGAGGAGGGCGAGGGTGAGGGTGAGGGCCGTAGACGGAAAATGAAGCGCGAGCTTGGTGCGGAGGGTGACGTTGACGAGATGGACTTCGAGGAGACATTCGAGGATGATGAGCAGAACATGGAGCCCGATGATCGGGATGATGAGGAGGCGAAGGAGCTTGAGGTACGTTACTTCGCGAAGTGCGAGTTATATTCGTGTGCTGACTTAGTCATACAGGAGCGGCTCAAGAGAGAGTACAAGAACGCGAACAAGACTCGGGAGGGATACGTCGACGAGTCAGAGGACGAGGACGAACCGACGCTCACCCGGGCGGGCAAGGGTTTACGCAAGACCCTGCAGAAGCTTGAGAAGGACGGAGGTTACGAGGAGAGCGATGATGACGAGAATCCCTACGCGAGCGGGGTACGTTCATCTGTTCATGAATTGACATGTTGTCTCACACCAACTAGGAGGAGGAGGAAGAGGAAGAGCCGATCCCCGTCCATACTGGTCCTGCTATCATCGTTCCCGAGCCGAAGCCGGGGCGTCGAACCTCAGGGATCTTCTACAAATGGAACAAAGACGCCAGCTTCGAGTCAGCCGTCTTCACAGATCAAGGGCGAGCCGTCCGACTCACGGCCCACCTCCCCGGTCATCCCGAGCCACGGAGGGCATTCTGCTCTTGCGAAGCGGGCGATGAGTCCGAAGATGCCGAAACTCGAGTCGAACGGCATGGGTCGCGCTACGAGCCCGTTGGCAGTAGGGTCTGTCAAATCACCCAATGGCAGTCGTGCAGTCAGCCCTGCCCATGGAGGAAGTCGTGCCGGTAGTCCCACATCCCCTGTCAGCCCCGCTGTTGCGAACGGCGTTAACGGCTCCGCGAAGCCGAACGACAAAAAGCGCAAGGCGAGCGATGATCCAAACACGAAGCCCAAGAAACGGAAGGCCCTCCCGCCGCTCGATGACCGCACGGTGATCGAGTGGCTCAGGCAGACCCCGAATGCAGCAACGCGCGACTGTATCCATCACTTCCAGCCGTATCTCACAGACAGCGTGAAGAAGCACAGGTTTACGACGCTTGTGAAGGAGGTTGCGCAGTTGAAGGACGGAGTTCTTGTCCTGCGACCTGCCTACCAGTCGGTAGGTGCGCCGTCACCTCCACAGGCGACCGCCACTGCTACGGCGTGAGTACGGCACATGTGGCGCTGATCGATATGCACGGACGCTTTCTTCAATGTACTAGTATCCTGAGTGGGTGTATACGCGGTTATTCCAGCCATTTGCTCTGCCTCTAACTTACGAAGAGATGCCGTGTTGAGGCGTGCGCCTGTCTTGCGAGTTGTCTTGCGAGTCATTGGAAAATAGTGAGGGATCATCATCGTCTGTGACAACATGAAGCTTTCAGTAGATGTTCAGACCTGGTTATTTTTGTGCCCAGACTGCCTGACGTAACTAGTCAAAAGGCGACACTGCCGGCGGTTGGATGTCAGAGAACTTTGCTTGTGCACATGCAACATCAAGCCTTCGGAGTCCAGCCCTTGACAAGGTCGACAAACGGCCTAGCATTCAGAGTCACCGAGCTGTAATGTTGCACGGTACGCACACGCTACCCCCGGGTCACAGCGCGTGGTATGCCCTCAGGCTGCTGTAGCTTACCACGCCGTCGGACGCGTGAGTCTCCGGGCATGCTAGATAGGCGTGGATGACACGTTAGTCCACGACTTGTGTGCGTCCGCCACGAAGGACGCAGAACCTCACTGGCACGTTGCCATGGTTCACCAACGGTCTAGCCATCTTCAAGGTGCTTCGAACTCCATTCCCTTGAGTAAGCATAGCGAGCAGCCTGATTCACGGCAGCATGGTTCCTCATGTTTCTCGCGTGTGGATTGTCTAGCCTCCTCGTGCTTGCGTCCGCGATCGTTGCGTCGGTGGTAGAGATCCGCGTGTTTCTGGTACAGAGGCTGTGGAGATAATCATTCCTCACCTGCGCCACGCCTTGCACGGTCAGTAATATTGAAGCATTGGCTGTCCAAGGAGCTTCTTCACCGCATTCGTCAATTGGCGTTGGGACCCAAGGTTTCCCCATCGAGCACATAGGCTTCTCATAGCACCAACGCCCGTCGCTTCCTAGGGCGAGGCTGAGCTTGCGCTAACAGAGAGTGCGTGAGCAGCTTCTGGAGCCTGTAAACAGAGGTGATTTGCTCAGATAGGCTCGTGGACCATCTACAGCGGAGGGAACCATCAGCTTACAAGAAGCCCGGGTCCCTGCCAACCCTGCATGTTGAACATATCGTGGCAATAAACTCTGATCATCGATCTACGTGCCTGTCAAACGAAGTGAACGTGCCCAGATTGCCACTGTCCATGCAGATGAGGGTAATCACTAGCATGCCCGGTGGGTATTCAGTCTGAGAGATGGACGGACGCAATCCAGTCAGTGTGTAGATGCCGCACCATCCTATAGTGGCGGCGAGCTTTGTCGGGCCCGGGTCCCTGACACTAACGAGTTTGAGTCTCCTGGCAGCAGAACTCTCCTCATTGCGCGTGGCTAACTTGCGGCCTGCAACGGTGGCCAATCAATCACAGTTCCTTGCGCATTGCTGCTAAGAGGAACGCAATGACTTACCACAGCAGACAGACCCCAAGCACGAATCACAGCATACGACTCGTGTTTTTGTGTCCGCAGGGCCGTTGTATCAAACCCGTAAAACAGACGATGTTAAGCCGGTGAGATATTGCTGATGTTAGGCAAACAGCAAGCGAATGATGTTCTGCTCTGGAGTAAACGCGGAAACTTGTGAGTGCACAAAACGGAAGGATAGCATATTATGCAGGTAAGTGCCGATGCTACAGCCAAATGGTCACTGAATGTCCCGGTGATTGATCCAGAACCGCTCATAGACACCTCCCCCGGTGAATATCGAGGGATGGCGCATGGAACCATAGTCAAACCAGCGCCCACGACGTGATCGATCGAGATCAACATCAACGTTCAACCTTCTCTTCATATAGGTTCGGTGTGCCCAATCAGCTTCATTGGGCGTATGCGTTACCCCCGACCACCCAAGTGGCAACAAAGCTCCTTACACCGCAAAGCAATTCGTGACGGCGAATTGAGGTGCTCAGAGTGATTCATAGGCGAGTCCGGTGGCAAAGATCGTAAACTGCCAAATAGACTGTAATAGAAGCTACGTTAGCTTGCATGACACTCCCTAGGACACATGTACAATTGAAGATACACATACATAGACACCTCCTTATTCAAGCAACGCCCAACACATAACTCAAGGGTAGATCTCAGCGGCGAGCTGGTCAATCAACACCTTCAGCCTGTCCGCTTCGTACTTCACCAACGTCGCATTGTTCTCGAACGTGATCGCCTCCGTGAGACCGGGCAAAGTAGTAGCCCCGTATCCTATACAAGACAGTAAGTAACATGCTGACCGTCGATACCAGTAAAGGACTCACCGAGCCACTTCCCAGGTGCAACGCCGAGATGGCGGTACCACTCGCGGTCCTTAATACCGTCTGGGTGGATGAACCCTCGCTCGAACCCGACGAGCTTCTTGTTCACCGTATGGACGCGCTTCGCCGCTTGGATGAACTTCTCGCGCAAGTGTCTATCTACGCCGTCAAGGGACGTGTTGGCGTGGCAGCTATGGGCACCGTGTTCCAGGCCGCGCTTCCTCCGCTCGCGCTCCTCGCGCAGGCGTGCTGGTGCAGCCCGAGACGCGGCTTCGTCGTCCGGCTATTATCATCCCGCTTGACTGTCACAGGGCGGGGCAGTGGCTTATGTTCCGCGGTATCTTTCGCATACCTGGGTTTGTCTACCTTGTGCTTTGACACTTCGTGCAGGTCCTCCTCGCAAGGCTTGTGTAACAGCTCGCGGATCTTGCACCACGCATTACGCAGGCGGTCCCTAATCGCCTTGCGTAAAGCGATACGCCTCGCGAGGCGGATGAGCTCGCGCTCCGCCTCGGTCTTCTCCTCGTCAAGTGCCGCACTGGCTTCATGGAGCGAGTCGATCGAGGCTCGGAGGGAAGAGAAATCTACGTCAAGGGACGAGCGTTCCGCAAGCTGCTCAACACTGTCGCAGAACCAATGAGCTAGGCACGGGATACGACAAAAAGAGGCGTACCTGTCCAAATATTTGTCAAGCTGTACGGTATAATGAGTTGTGTTGATCGGGAGCACGACGGCATCGGCGAGACGGAGGGTCTGCAAACCCAAGAACTTGGCCACCGCAACCTGTGAAGAGATCCCCGTCTCAGCGACGGACGCAACCGTGAAACAGACTGTGCTTACGTGTCGCAAGAAGCCCGGATCAGCATACAGCTCCTGCCACCGCTCGGAGTCGAAGACGGAGTGATAATGATACACAGGGTCAGACCTCGTCGAGCTAAACCCATTGTTCGTGCTCGCAACCTACGCAACTCCTTGGTCAGCACCTCTTGAACCAGTAGTCAACGAAAACCCCACATACCCCGATCCGCTGCAAGAACACCGTATAGTCGCTCCCGGAGCCAAGCACACCTACACCCAGCTCGTCCACAGCCATCTGTGCCAACTCATCTTCAATATTTTCCATTGCCTCGGCGTCAAAGTGGTCGCCCGTCCGCCCGAACAGCGGCCCTTGGTCGTTGCGCGCGTCCCAGAGCGTCAGCCCGGGCTTGGTCGGGTGCGCGATCTCCTCCGCGGCAGAGCGGAGGAAATGCGCGAGCGAGGGCGAGCCGGAGGCAGAGAAGCGCGAACCGGAAACGGAAGAGTCTTTGTGGGCGATATGGTCAGTGCGCCGAGAGGGAGAGAAGGGAGGAAGGACGTACCGAGGTTGAGATAGCTGACGACATGGTCGTTGATCCAGTCCTCGAAGTCCTCGCCCCACTCGGTGCTCCCAATGAGACCGTACTGATGTGCGCGCATAGTCAGCAACAGGCTTCACTAATAGATGAACCGCACTTGCCTCTTCAGCATCCCAGCTCGCGATGACGATAGTCCTGATAGGCTTCCATCCTAATTTGAGCAGTGCGCCCAGCCCACGGATAACCTCGTGAGCGGACGCAGTTCCTGAAGACGGGTCGGTTGCACCCATGACCTAATCACAGCCCATTCAGCCGACCGAACGCGGATGTAGCCCAGGTCCAGACATACCCATGCTGAAGAATGATGAGTATACTTCACACCCTCAGTCCTGGGAACTTACCATCACGATGATTGCCAACAACGACTACCTCGTCCTTTATGTGGCCAGGGATAACGCCCATCGTGTTCCAAATCGGAATGACCCTATCGTCCACTACACAAATCATGATCCCAGTCAGTTCCTACCCTGCATCCCAAAACGATCTGCGACCCACCGTGGTTCACCAATTGATAGTCCGGTTCTGCCCACCTTCTTCAATCTCCTGCAGAAGTACTTGGGCATTTGACCAGGAGATGGGCAGACTCGGGATGGACGGGATGTTCGTCCCTTCCGTGCGCGTGCTGTTCTCGTAGGCTGGGTAGCCGGGAGTCGTCGGATCGCTGTATGCATACAATTGAGCACGGAACACATCGTAGCGAAAGGGGCAGTAATGCCGTACCCTGGGTAAATGGAGAGGAATTGGGTACTTCCTCGCTGGACTGAGGTAGGGTTGCGGGCAGGACCGTCAGGGTAACTGTCGCAAGTTCAGTTCGCAGTCAATGTCGGGAGAGAGGACATACGCTTCGTAGCCGTTCTCAACTGTAACAGTCCCATCATCGCGAGGATCCGAGTAGATGAGGCAAGCAACAGCACCGCGCTCCTGTGCGCCCTTGACCTGGACAATCCGAGGCGTTCAGATTCAGCGGCGACTCGGAACAGCGACAAGACGCTACTCACCTTCAGACCACGGAAGATGCCACCATACCTCGTGATCACGACTGCGCCGTTCAAATCGACACCCTTCGCCTCGAGCTCGTCGTAGTCCTGCTTCCTCCCGTAGTGCGCATACACCAGTCTACCCTCCGCTTCGCCTCCACGACTCAGTCCATGAAACGTAGGCACCGCATCCGCATACTTCCCCGCCTCGGGATCAGATTCGTCCGCGACCTCCTCTAGCTCCGCCGCCCACACTGCACCCCATCCTCACCCAAGATCTGCAGGCTGCGATCGAGAGGAGTGTTCATGACCGGGTAATACACATCGATCCATGCCGTCGGCGCATCTTGAGAAGCGATGCTGAGGGTCGCGTTGCGAGACTCGGCCGACCCTGCGGAGAAGACGGGCTCCGCGCCAGGAACGGGTATGTTGAGCTCGCGCTGGAGGAGGGCCAGAAAGTCTATGGAGGTCTTGTAGTCGCCTTCGGAGCCGGCGAGGTGGGGAGTGGTTGCGTACTGGCGGGAGGCGGCGAGGGCACTCGCGGGGTTCGGAACGGTCCTATGTGACAACACGGTATCAGGGGATATGCACGAAAGGCCCAAAGTTATGATAAGTGCTTACAGGAACTCTTGCTCTGCAAGCTTGCCGAATGGCACCTTGTTGTCATTGAGCCTGTACTGAGGACGCCCGACGCTGAATGCCTGCGTGAGCCAATATCCCTGCTGACTATCAAGTCCCTTGGCGACCTCGCGAGCCGAGCTGCAGATGTAGTACACGAAAGTGCAGAACAGCACCGTCGCAACGACGAGCCTCTGTCTCAGAGCCTTCCGGTCACGCAATGGAGGCGTCGGGTCAGCAAGCGGTGTCGGAATAGCATCGCTGGGAGGTTGTTTGTCAATAGCGCGTAATTCGGGAGGCTTTTCCGTGCTCATGGTGGTTTCACAAGGAGACCATGAGGAGCTGCGAATGAGAAGGTGTCTGCGGAAGTCGTCATTTCGTGGGACAGATGCCGCAGCGGCACCGTGACGCATTTACGAGGTTGGATGGTCTCAAACTCACCCCTAGGCCTCATAGACGGCGTATCACATCAAGGAAATGAGGCGCAATACGTTAAATGGTCTACCTGTGTCCTTGACATAGAACGTCTATAACATTGAGCACCACTGCAGGCAGTACTAGTAGACAGCGATTGCTTCGACCGCCATGCAACGCTTAGACGCCCTAGATGGGCCCGCGCGATCGAGATCGCGGACCGTCGCGCGGGCGTCTATGTTACCACTTCTGCAGCCGCCATGTCCGACTCACTCGCCATCGCCGCGCCCGCCGACTTCCATGTCCACCTGCGCCAGGGCGAGTTTGCTGCCTTCCTTGCCCCCCATGTCCGCAAAGGAGGCTTCAGGCTCGCTTATGTCATGGTACTGGCTGCCTCTCTTCCACAACATCGGTATCTGACCATCGCTCCAGCCTAACCTCAGACCACCCATCTCCAACACCGAGGAGGCTCTCCTCTACAGGGCGCAGCTGCAGGCCGCAGACCCTACTATTGACTACTTGATGACTCTGTACCTCTCTCCAGAGCTCACGCCTGATGAGATCCGGAAAGCAAAACGCGCAGCGTAGTTGGTCCGTAGTTCCGCTTTCCGCCCTCGCGCTCACAGGTCGGACCGTGTGCTCAGGTGTCAAGTCCTACCCTCGCGGCGTGACAACCAACTCTGATGGTGGCATTGAGTCGTATGAGGCTACTACCCCGTGTTTGAGGCGATGGAGCAGGAGGACATGGTCCTCAACCTCCATGGCGAGGTCCCGTCGGACGCGTCCACCAACATCTGCGTCCTGAATGCCGAGCCTGCCTTCTTGCCTCACCTTCGGAAGTTGCACGCACGCTTTCCCCGCCTGCGCATCGTTCTCGAGCACGCGACAACACGCGCTGCTGTCGAATGTGTCAAGAGCCTGGGCGACACTGTTGCTTGCACCGTCACCGCGCACCACCTCGCGCTGACTGTCGATGATTGGGCCGGTCAGTCGTGGCACTTCTGCAAGCCCGTTGCGAAATACCCCGACGATAGGCAGGCGCTCCAGGACGTTATCAAAGAAGGTGCGTCGTTTGGAAATGAATCCTACCTACTCACAGTACATCTCGTTCCAGGGCATCCCCGTTTCTTCCTAGGTTCTGATTCGGCACCACATCCCCCGCACACAAAATCCACGGCCTCACCTCTGCACGCGTGTGCAGCGGGCGTATACACCTCAGCCATCCTTCTCCCCCTTGTTGCCCATCTTCTCGACTCGTTTGGCGCGCTCGGCCGCCTCGAGGGATTTGTGAGCACCTATGGGCGGGCTTTCTACCGCGTGCCCGTCTCCCAGAGTGAGGGCAAGGTGGTCATTAGGCGCGTGTTCGGTAGGTTGGTTGAAGAGCAGCTAGTACAAGGCAAGCAGAGCGTCGTGCCCTTCTGGGCAGGGAAACCGATCGGATGGGAAATTGTCGAGTCGTGAAACGCACTGAACTAACGGAAGATCACGGCACCCGTGTATCACAGAGTACACCATCATGTGTACCAAGAGCAAATCACATCACCAAGTACCCGTGTCTCTCGGTCGTCTCTTCTGTCCGATGCGAATGAGGTGATGGTTTCAGTGTCAATCTGTGCAACTGGCGCTGTTGACGGGCTAGCGACGATACCAGGCGCCCAATTATAGGTGCGCTGAGCTCATTGGTACTAGTTGCTCAATGGATAACGCGTTGGCTTATGAATTGGGTCCGTGATGCCGTCCTTGTCAGAGTGCGCTGCGATTATGTTTCATGGCGTCGCCAACCCTCTGTAGTGATGAACCCAGTCCCAAGTCACCAAGCTACCGATGCCGAGCCTTAAGCTTACACCGTCACACAGGCGGTGACTCAGCGCGCGTTGTTGATCTCGGGGCTACTTTATCAATGGGCATCGCTGGAGTATCGACTATTCCCTTCCATCGCCATCGTCCCTAGTAGCCTAGCCCGCACATCCTCATTCCGTCATGTCAATCACCACAGAAGGTTTTGCGCCCCTCGACGTACTTGGCGCAGGCAAGCCCTGTCAGACGTACTACAAAGTATTGGGCCAACTCACCTCGGACAAGGCCCCTATCATCGTGCTGAACGGCGGGCCTGGCTCGTCGCATGGGTACTTGCTCTCCCTCGCCGACCTCGCTTTGCCGTTACATGGCGGCGCCCCCGTCGTGTTCTACGACCAAGTCGGAGGTGGCCGTTCGACGCACCTGCCCGAAAAGAACGGTGACACCGCATTCTGGACCGTGCAGCTGTTCGTGGACGAGTTCCATAATCTGCTGAAGCACCTCGGTGTGGAGACCTACGATATTGTGGGGCATTCTTGGGGTGCAATGCTGGGCATGGAGATCGCGGTCAGGCAGCCGAAAGGACTGAGGAAGCTGGTGCTGTCATCGGGGCCGACAGCTATCTCACTCTGGGCGGAAAACACCCGAAAGTTATTGAAAACCCTTCCACAGGATGTGCAGGTAAGCCTCGATTTAGAGCAATGTAGTTCTTGGTTCGATAGTACCCCTATCTCAGGACACGATCGTCAAGCACGAAAGCGATGGCACCTTCGATTCTCCCGAGTATCAAGCGGCGATTGGACATTACAACAAGCAGTTCACTCTGAGACTCGATCCCTGGCCTGAAGAGGTGCAGAAGTGTTTCGCTGAGATGGACGAAGATCCTAGCGTATACCTCACCATGTAGGTGTCTTTGGTGTTCAACTGCGATACCGTTCCTGATGGGGTTCCTGTAGGCAGGGGCCTTCGGAGTTCACTATCACGGGCTCGATCAAGACTTGGGACATCCGTCCAGAGCTACACAAAATCTCCGTGCCTGTCCTGCTGACGAACGGTGCATTTGATGGCGCCTCGGATGCCGCCATTGCGCCCGTCTTTCAGGCAGTAGCAAAGGCTAAATGGGTTACGTTTGCGCGGAGCTCGCACATGGCGCACTGGGAGGAACGGGAGAAGTACATGCAGCTTGTCGGCGACTTCTTGCAGGCGCTGTAATCGGTAGGAAGGGAGTGCCGTATTTTGCAACTTCTGAATAGAACCTGCGTTGGATGACTGATTGTCAAGCGCAAGGTGCACGGCGTCATGCGCGAGGTGAGCTGAGCTGACTTGATCGAGTATAGCCTGCACAGCGTGCGGCGAAACGGCGGTGCCCTATCCGACGAGCTGGCATCATCTGCGATGCACTCCTGGGTGATCGTGCATGCCTACGGCATAATGCCGCGCAGCCGGCTAAAGACTGAGTAGCTCCAAGACTGAGCAGCCTGGGCCTCGCAAACAGCTTCTGCGGCACATGATACCCAACGTAGTCGAGTCCTCTTTCACAAGCTCCCAACTTCTTCCCTACAGTCTCTACGAGAAAGGCGAGAGCTGGTGTAAGCACTCAGATGGTACAAGCGGCTTTCCCATGCTGAAATAGTGAGATAGCGTCTTGTACGTTACGTCTGTCAAAGGTGGAATCTCACCTTTCGCCTCCTCCAGAAATCTCTACGCCTGGCTCCAGGTTGTTATCGAACAATGCCAAGTACACAGTATCTCCTGGCACGCCCTCAGCGTAGGCATACAGCGGTGTCCCGCAGTCACCGCAAAAGATACGCTGCACTGGTTTCCCCGACATGCTTCGCCCTTCTGCACCTCGGTACGTCTTCGGTTGTCCCTTAACAATCTGCAGTTTCTCCATGAGCACTGGCGCCAGTAACCGTACACTGTTGCATCGAAGCTCGTGGAGTTAGAATGCTACCAGGCGAAGAGGTATAGAGGTACGCACGGCTTCCGGCAGCCTTCTGGCAGTCTGTACAATGACATATGGCCGCCTTTGCGTTCTCGCCGAACCCATCTACTACACGAAGCGTGATGAACCACAAGCGCAGCTACCTGAGTATACATCTCAGGATATCTCTCCATGCTTCTCTAGGGATGCATATGTGTGTTCTCACCTTCGACGTCTGGCATAACTTTTGACGGTAGGGCAACGAGTGATAGCAGAGTACAAGAGCGACAGCCACCAGGTACGTGAAATCAACGCAAGTCTGTCATATAAAGCTTCCTTGTGCGCCACTGTTTGGTTGCTCCTAGCTCCTACAGTGTCTGACGGCCATATCGGACGCCGCCCGGATAGTTTAGTAAAGAACCAGCCCAAGATCAATCACTGAGACCACAGAAGACCCAATGGTGGTCCGTGTTCGCCGAGCCTATGGTACGAGATTAATTCCAGCGGTCCCAGGCTGAGCAGAGAGGGTTTACAGAGACGCCGCAGTGTATGCGCATATGTATCGACTCCGAGGATCATCGTACAGATCAGACTACAGTGTACAGCGTGTCACTTGACGTGGTCACGGGGTCGGATCGCTGCCTATGCACAACGCGACATGGCGGTGTGGTAATGTATACTATGTGTTGGACCAAGGAGAGCGGCCGGACAGTGAGCGGGTTCCCCGTCATGTGGCGGACTTCGTTTTCTGTTCCACGACATGTCGTCGCCGACCTCATGCAGGGAAGCCCATCAGGCGCAGCTGAGCGCTGATGCCAGAACACTTCGACTCGGATTCCGTCGATTCGATTTGGACTTTCCCGTACGTACATAGCTCCCTTGAGGATCGTGTCGCCGTCCATGGACTCGGAGATGTGTAAGTACCACGCCTCGCGAGCCCGGGAAGCATGCTCCTACTTGACGAGGCCACAGATGGCGGCGTGTCTGCCCCGACAATGATGTCGAAAGCCCGGGCAGGGTCCAGTGGTCAAACATGCTAGGCGAGTGATACTTACTGATAGACCATCTTTCGCAGATCATGGAAGGGGGCACGACGCCGACTCCCAGCCTAGGAAGGTTGCTGCCAGTGAGTGGCCTTTTGGGTCAGCACACAGTACATCCGAGTAATAGGTTTTCGCAAACTCCTATTTGGTAGCATACAGTACAGTTGGACATGCACACGAGCGCACATACTACCGTGGCGGAGAATGGACTTCTGCTAGTATCACAAGAAATATAATTACACATTGACCTTCACCAGTGAGTAGCGAGTCCCAGACTGAGCCCAGCCTGGGCCTCGCAAACGGCTTCTGCGGATACATTGACACCTAATATAGCTTGCAGTCCTCTTCCAAAAGCTCCTAAATCACAACCCCCTACACACTCTATGCGTACGAGAAAGGCGAGCGCTGGTGTAAGCACTCAGATGGTACGAGCGGCTTCTCCCATGCTGGAAAGAGCGATCAAGCGTCTTGTACGGTATGTCTGTCAAATGGTGGAATCTCACCTTTCGCACTCCTCCAGAATATTTCTACGCCTAGCTCCAGGTTGTTATCGAACAACGCCAACAGCACACAGAATTTCCCTGACACGCTGCCCTCGGGGTAGGCATACAATGGCGTCCCACAGTCACCGCAAAAAATGCGCTGCACTGGTTTCCCCGACATACTTCGCCCTTCTGGACTTCGGTACGTCTTCGGTTGTCCCTTCACAATTTTCAGTTTCTCTATGAGCACCGGCGCCCAGTAGCTGCACACTGTCATCGTGGCTCGTGATATTATACTGGTGAAGAGGCGGAGAGGTACGCACGGCTTCCGGCAGCCTTCTGGCAGTCTGTACAATGGCATATGACAGCCTTTGCATTCTCGCCGAACCCATCTACTACACGAAGCGTGATGGCACCACACGCGCAGCTACCTGGATATATATCAGCGTAGGCTCTCCAAGCTTCTGCAGAGATGTATGCGTGTACTCTCACCTTCGACGTCTGACATAGCTTCAACGATAGGGCAACGAACGGTAGCAAATACAAGAGCTATGACAGCTACAAGGTACGTTACCTGAAGTCAGCGCAGGTCTGCTATATATACAGCCTCCATGTGCCAGTGCACTGTTATTTGGTTGTTAATACAGTGCCTGACAGCTATAAACAACACTGCAATCCTGAGGTCATTTTGCACAGTGTGACGTCGTCTGGAAAGCGATAGCTCAGGGTCAGTGACAGCGGCACTGGCAACCCGAATAGATTGGTACCTGAGTAATGAGTCAAGAACTACACAGCCCAAAATCGATCACTGAGACGACAAAAGACTCAATGGTGGTTCGTGTCCGCCGGCGCCGATGATACGCGGTTAGTTCCAGCTGAACAGATTGAGTTTACAGAGACGCAGTGCATAGGCATATATCAGACTCGACCATGGTACAGATACAGGCTAGCAGCTGTCAATGACAATGCGAGACGCGTTCCATCCCGAACGAAGCCGACGTCATCATCACACTATCAAGACGCTGAACGTAAGTAGCATCCATCAGACAACCTGATACGTACACTCGCAGTTGTAGATGAAGCTCACCTGTGGAGATACATTGCGGAGAGATGATGACGAGAGCGTTTACTTGCTCTTCGGGGGCTCGGCGCAGCCGCATGCGGGGTAGGTGCAGGAGCCGCCGTTGGCCTGAACGTTTGCGCAAGTAGCCTTGTCCTAATTTCCCAAGACCCGTCAGTCCTCGCTCTGCGTCGTACAACAACAGCTGCCATATCAGGTACTCACAGACATTGTGTACTTGATTTGCAGTGATTGCGATGTCGGTGTAGCGACTGAGGAGAGAGATGGCGCGACGACCGTCCTTATATACGCCCAGGACTACCGACCGCCCTCAGAACTTGTATCATATCGCTAGACATGCAGCATCCCGTAAAGTAGGAGAATAGATGGGCGATCGCCAATAGCCGCATGAGAGTTCGTCAAGCATCCAAATGCGCAGCCGGTAGTAGGCCCCACCATATGCAGCACGGGAGGAGAGCGGGCATACTGCGGCTTCTGGAGGGTAACATGCGTGCGTTGATTCGCTCGTCTTGTACGTACAGATCCAAGCTTCTCCATCCACTGTGACCTTGAGGCGTCGACGATCTCTTATACCTGCCATCACGCATCACCTCCACCAGAATAGAATGATTGCCAACCACGCACTGAACACCGTATACGGGTCTTCAGGTCCCCCGCGCATGCCCATCACATGGCCGGACCAACCCAACTCTCCGAACGCGTTCATGCAAACTCGTCATCAATATGTCTCCCAAAAGATATCTGGCAATACATTGCGCATGATTCGCCAATGGCCCAATGCGTCCTTCTCTTGCCATTTGCTTATCGTCCCTGCAATCTTCGCATCCATCAGGAGGTACTCCTCGCGCTTCTTCTCGTCAAGCGTGGCAATGGCGTCGCGCACATGTTGCAGGTCGACCTCCCGCCTAGATAGAGTGGAGAGGACGTTCGCGCGCTGCGGGGAGCCGAGGAAGTCGGCTGAGGTTGGGGCGCGGAAAGTTAGCGGGGTGTTAGGGGATTTGGAGCAGACCAAAAGCTAAATGGGGTGCACATTCAGTGTTCAGACGCGGAGGAAGAGATCGAGGAATGAGACATACCCAGTTGTGATATGGCTGAGGCTGTTCATAGGGATCCATCTCGTCGCAGAACGCACGGCAGTGTCCAAACATGGACTCAAGTGTGACAACGATCGCGCGAGACGACGGTGACTCGAGCTCGCCCGCAAAGTTCTGTTCCAGCAATCTCAGCATCACAGGCACCATGACGATGTCCATGTTCCACGTACCACCCCGATTACCCCGTCACGCTTCATCACCTTCCTCGTGCTGTTCCAGAACTCCCTCGTGAACAGCAACGCGGGCAAGCTCCCGCCAGAGAAGACGTCGTGGATCACGTAGTCATACAACTCCGTGTGTTCTCCCTGTCTTGTATCACCTGTGTCGGTCTCTTTCTCGACGTCGTGTGCTCGTTCCCGTAGCCATCTCCTCGCATCTTTCAGGACGAGCTTGCCGGGCTCGGGTTCAGGCAGGGCGAAGTATCTCCGTGCGCTTTCGTATACCGCTTCGTCAACCTCGACCAACGTCGTCGAGACGTTATGGCGCATCATAGCGGACGCCGACGTTCCCACACCCAAGCCACTGCGGTTGTGCAAAATGTCAGCCCGTGCCGTGAGACGCCCTCATGGAATGGCGCACATCACTAGCGCATTTTCCCGCTCGTTCACATCTCGTCCCGGCCGTTTGACGAGTCGGACCGCCTCCTGCAGGACGAATGCATTGTATACCGAGTCTCCCAACATCTCTCCCGTCTCGCGGTCTATGGCCAAGGGTCCTCTCTTGATCACATCCTCACCCATCCAGCTCCCTCCGAGCAACGAGTGCCCCGCACGAAGGTATCTCATCGGCGGGACACTACCTGCCATGCCTGATGGGCTGGAGGCTAAGGCTTCGCCGACCACGACAACACCTGAAAATTGCGAGCGCACGGACGAGAGTATCCGTAGGGGGTAGGTGGGGTGCGCGTATGGCGTGGCGTCCGGCTTGCCAACTAGTGTGGGTGGCTGGAGCATGCTTCCGGTGAGGAACGGGAGGAGTGGGAGCAAGAGTAGCCGCGAAAGGTTCTGGGGAGTCGTTTTCTTTGGCATGGGTGGGGGAGGGGGCGGGTTACTTGGCACTGCCGGTGACGACTTCGTAGCAGCACCCTTCTTTTTGTGCTGAGATTTGCCTTTGGGCGGTGACGGCGGCACTGGTTGTGATGCGTATGCTGGCGCTGCGTCGGAGGAGTCCGAGGCAAATGTAGGTAATAAAGGATAGACCGCCCATGCCACAAGTATAGCCGTGCCAAGTTGCAGCATCTACACTCAGTCAAATTACGAAGCATTTTTTTCTCGCCGTACTCACGATAGTTTCGTTTGATAGGTTTTTGATATAAGGCAGCATTGGCCATATCTCTTGAAGGCTCATGACAGCCGTCTGTATGACGGGGAGGGTGATCGTCTGCTGAGGTACAGCGCTTTCTTCGGCATCAGGATTGTGCTATGTTCCGATGTGAGCATAGGCTCTCGAAGGCAGACACGAGTGAAGATTGTGATGGCATAGATTATGTACGTATTCGGGCTCTTGTCTCTTGCAGTCAGGAACAACAGTTCGATCGTTCAATCAAGAAACCACCTCTTACAGACAGACAAATATCCAGACGGAACACTTTTGTGTGCGGCAATAAGTGACTGGGCCGAAACGACCGAACACCACCATAGAATCTTAATCAGAGGAAAAAGACTCACTTGTAAGATGCGCACAGTGCAGACACCAAGCGCCATCACTGGTGTAATGACTGCTAGGTGAGTAAGGATTACACCCCAAACCGCTTCATGCAACCGTCCGGTGTATACAGCGCCCCAGTACGATGTGTTGGGCATTGCACAAAGCAGGATCCCTAGCGTAAGCACCGCAGACTGCAGAGGCATGAGTGGCACAACGGTGCCAATGATACATGCTATCCAAGCAATCTTGCTCAGATGCTGCTCAACGGGAGCGGTGCCATACAGGGGCACGAGAGAACGACGGTAAGCAAAGACGGCGAGCGAGAGGCCAAGGACTACGACGACGGAGATAGCCTTGCCGATGACGTTGGCGAGCAATGCATTCTTCGCCTGGGGCTGTGTTCGAGGCTGAGGCTGAGGCCGCTGGGAAGACGGCATGGTGGTGGTTGCACAAGAGGAGGGACATGACGGGCGCGGGCGACAGCGAGGAGGCGCGCCGGTGGCTGAGAGATCAGCTGCCGCCGAAGATGTTCCAGGGCGCGTTGCGGTCATGTGACCGAGTGCCTTGCCCCACGGGGTTTGACGTCAAGAGACGCGTCCCCGATGAATTCTAGAGGGTCGACTCCAGAGTCCGCCAAAGTCCACTGGCACCACTGGCGCCTCCAGTCTCTCTCCATATATGCTCATAACGCGCTGATCGCTGTCCCCTTCTTCCCCCACCCACCTCGCCGCCCATCCAGATGCCCACCGCACAGCTCGACGCGAAGACTGTGCTCGATGTCGACCCGTGGCTCGAGCCCAATGTTCCTGCGATCATCCACAGGCACGACCTCTTCCGCAAGTGGAAGGACACTATCGAGCAGAGCGAGGGCGGATATGATTCGTTCACGAAGGGCTACCTCAAGTATGGTCTACTTGTGAACCCCGACGGGAGCGTCACGTACAGGGAGTGGGCACCGAATGTGAAGGAGGCTGTCTTCATCGGCGATTTCAGTGCGTATAGCTATAGCCATCGCGTCACGGAAAATGCTGATCCATTTGCACTACCATGCTAGATGACTGGAACAGAGACTCTCACCCGATGACGAGGGACCAGTATGGCGTTTGGGAGATCACCATTCCTGCAAAGGGGCCGGGGGTCTGCCCCATTCCTCACGACTCCAAAGTCAAGGTTCGCACAAAGAACACTGCACATATGCACCGCTATCTTGACATACATGCTTGCAGATATCATGATTACAGGCTCCGGCCAGCGCATTGAACGCCTCCCAGCATGGATCAAGCGCGTCACGCAAGACTTGTCAGTCTCACCGGTGTATGACGCACGGTTCTGGAATCCATCTGAGACAGACCGATACAAATTCAAGAACGTAAAACCCCCGAAACCTCGTAGCGTGCGGATCTATGAGGCGCATGTCGGCATTTCGACGACAGAGTATCGCGTCGGGACATATAAAGAGTTCACCGCAAAATGCTCCCAAGGATCAGGGACCTCGGCTACAACACGATTCAGCTCATGGCCGTCCTGGAGCACGCGTATTACGCCTGTGTGTCGCACATCCTCGTTCTTGGCGCATACATCTGACCGCTTCATAGCGTTTGGGTACCAGGTCACCAGCTTCTTCGCTGCTTCCTCGCGGTATGGCACTCCAGAAGAGCTGAAGGAGCTAATTGACACCGCGCATGGCATGGGCATCACGGTACTCCTCGACATGGTGCATTCGCACGCGTGCAAGAACGTCCTGGATGGACTAAACCAATTTGACGGTAGTGATCACCAGTACTTCCACGAGGGCGGTAAGGGCCGACACGAACTGTGGGATAGTCGGCTGTTCAACTATGGTCACCACGAGGTGCTCCGGTTCCTCATGAGCAACCTCCGCTTCTGGATAGAGGAGTACCAGTTCGATGGGTTCAGGTTCGATGGTGTCACTAGTATGATGTACGTCCACCATGGTATCGGGACCGGCTTCAGTGGTGGATACCATGAGTACTTTGGCGAATTTGCCGACCTGGAGGCGATCGTGTACTTGATGCTGGTAGGATTCTAGTTGCACCTAACGAACTCGTACTCACCATGTCCTGAAGGCGAACGATGCGATGCACACGCTCTACCCGAACAGTATCACTATCGCCGAAGACGTCTCTGGTATGCCGCTTCTCTGTGCCCCCGTCCCGAAAGGCGGCGTCGGATTCGACTACCGGCTGTCGATGGCGATCCCGGACATGTGGATCAAGCTCCTCAAGCACAAGAGCGACGACGAGTGGGAGATGGCCAACATCGTGCACACGCTCACGAACCGCCGCTACCGCGAGAATAGCATCGCGTACGCGGAGAGCCACGACCAGGCGCTCGTGGGCGACAAGACGCTAGCGTTTTGGCTGATGGACAAGGAGATGTATACGAATATGAGCGATATGTCGGAGTATACACCGGTCATTGCGAGGGGAATCGCATTGCACAAGATGATTAGGTGAGCTTGAGAGTATACGATCGAAGTATCGCTGACATAGGATCAGGCTACTCGTTCACTCGCTCGGTGGCGAGGGATACCTCAACTTCGAGGGCAATGAGTTCGGTCACCCTGAGGTACGTCCATGACCTCTCACGCATCCCACAATTCACAATTTTGACAGTGGCTGGACTTCCCGCGCGAGGGTAACGGCAACTCCTTCCACTACGCCCGCCGCCAATGGAATATAGTCGACGACCCCCTCCTGCGCTACAAATACCTCAACGAGTTCGACAAGGCGATGAACCAACCGAGGAGCGGTACGGGTGGCTCGCTGCGGAACCCGCGTACGTCTCCCTCAAGCACGAGGTGGACAAGGTGGTCGTTTGAGCGCGCGGGGCTCCTGTTCGTGTTCAACTTCCACCCGACGAACAGCTTCACGGACTACCGCGTGGTGTGAGGAGCCGGGAAGTATAGCGTGTTCTGAGCAGCGATGAGAAGCGGTTTGGAGGCTTTGCGAATGTGCTACTTGGGGGAGAGTATATCACGACTCCGATGGAGTGGAACGGACGCAAGAATTGGCTGCAGGTGTGTTCTCTGCCTTGTGGTGGTTTACTGTGTTGATCGCTTGGGGCCTCGGAGCAGGTATATATCCCGTCGCGTACGTGCATCGTGCTTGCGAAGTAGACTCACTGGAAGTAGGAAGGCAAAGGCTGAAACGTGGATACTTGGAGTGCTATGGCTGTGTGGAATATGGAATCGTAAATTTCTTGTAGCATATCAAACGAATGTACACAACGAAGTGTAGCAGTGTTAGAAGATCACCACCTGCCCTCCTGTCGAGAATACAGAGCATGACGACGCTAGGTGAGTTCAGAACCACGCATGCCTGCTGTTCGCATACTGTATATGTCGCAGGAGGAAGGCATGTCGTATTGCTCGTCGCTGGTGGTTAGCCACCTTCGATGACCATTACGGGTGTCGGCGACCCTCCGGTCTATCCGCTGCAGTGCTCCCCAGTGCTCCCCCGTGGAGGTGGGGTTTGTCAGGATGCCGTGATGAGCTGGGTGCAAGTTAGTTCCGTTGAACTAATCTGCTGTGTTTCCTCATGGATCGGGACTCTCTGATAGCTCTAGCTGACGCTGCATGGGAGTCTACTGGTATAAACGAGCTCAACTAGTACGCCCCATATATTCAATCACTGACGCCGCTCGTGGAAGGGGTCCATACTGAAGGTACCGATGGCTTCATTCGCATTTCAAGTGACTGACTCATTTTGTGCAGGAACTAAAGCTGGGAATGACCAAATTGACGGTCTGAGATTGTATATCACTTCGGTTCTATCAAACTCAGTGTTAACGATGACTTTAGCAAAGACTCGATCCGGAAGAGCATCTTATGCCATTGCAATGACAGAATGCCAGATCTTCGCTAGAAACCGTCAGTCTTGTGATGATACGTGTTGTTTGTTGCCTTCACAAAAGTAGTAATGCATACGTAGCCGTCGTTCCGCAGAGTGCTTACAGATCATCCAAGGCAGACGAAAGTGGCACAAGTCTGCCCTGGGGTCAGCAAGTCCGGTTGATCAAGTGCGTTTTCGGAGAAGTACGGGGCCAAACTAGCAATCTTTGACGATACTCTCGAGCTTGCCCTCGACGCGTTTTGGTAGAAGACGAGAGGTATGGTTCACGTCATATTAAGGTCAGCTAATAGTGCGGTAGCTTGGGATACACCTCTTGCGCCTCAGGCTGCAGAATCGGGCACGATACTGTACCTCAGATCGAACCTGACGATATTGAATAGCCCTTGAGCTCATCGCCATGTCGTCTTACGTACGATTCGGTCTTCAGTCCAGATCAATCGAATCCAGGGGTTGGCGAAGCTCGTGCAATATTACGCCTCATCGATGCATGCATCCGCCGCCCGGCTGAGAACTGCTGGCTGGCTAACCGAGGCTCAACGCTGAATTTCTGCCCTAAGGTCCCTCTGAGAGTCAGTGTATGGCCTCCTAGAAGTTCCACAGAGTCAGTTTGTAACAACATCTTGGAGCCTGAGCGTGTCGAGGTCAAGTACGCGACCCCGTGAACGACGCGCCTAAAGAGACGCGTCGCGTCACAGTGAGGTACTAGTCACGTGACACACGTCACGCGATTTGTCGACTGTGGCGCGGGCTCAAGGCTCTTGCTCGGCCATACGCACGGCTGGTGTTCATCTACCTTGCTCTCCACCTTCACCTCGAGAGCCCCCCTTACTGCTCTGATCGCCGGCCTAGTGCTCATACGAGCCCATCAGAGGCAATTCTTACGAGGTATCTCTTCATCGAGGTTGCTTACTTGATCTCTCCATCTCATCTCTGTACATGCCTCCGAGGCGATCGACCCGAGCGGCTTCAGCAAAACCTGCAGAGGAGCCCACTGCGAAGCCGGCGGCAAAGCCTGCTGCGAAACCCGCTTCGAAGCCGACGAAGCCTACGACCAAAACCGCCGCGAAACCTGCAAAGGCTGCTGAGAAAGCCGCGCCGAAGAGCACCACCCGTGGGCGGTCCGCAACCACCAAACGAGCCGTATCCCCCGAGAATTCTCCCCCTCCTCCGGCAAAGCGAAGTCGTGCTGCCCCCAGAATCGTTGAGAACGGAGTCAACGGCGTGGACCACGCCGCTGAGGACGAACCAGCTCCCCAATGAAGAAGGCACCTGCCACGAGGAAACCCTCTCAGAGGAGGACAACACCCGCACACACCCAAGAAACCCCGTATTGCAATGCTCTGCCAACTCCTTTGGAACATCTACGTCCAGCGCCGTTGCTGTTCGTATGGGGTACGGGCAACTTCGGCCAGTTCGGAATGGGCGCCGACTTTCTGGGCGAGTACGACAAGCCCACGCGGAATAAGTGGGTGGAAAGGAACATCGAAGAGGGCATATTTGGTGGCACGGGGCCAGCCTTGAGGCTGTAGCGGCAGGTGGCCTGCACTCGTTGTTTTGGACGAGAAGGGCACGGTGAGTTGTCGATTGTAAACGTCGCTCCCATGTTCGGTGCTGAGCGGCTATGTAGGTCTGGTCGTGTGGTGTTAACGATGACGCCGCCCTCGGCCGTATAACGGTCGATGTGCCTCACCGGAGAAGAAGGCGAGTTCCTGATGTCGACGAGCTCACAGCCGTGCCGTATCCATTGCAATCCCTGTCGACGAAAACTTCCGTGCTGTCCGCATAACGGCCGGTGACACCATCTCAGCAGCTATTAGCTCTGAGGGCGATTTGCGTGTTTGGGGATCATTCAGAGTACGTATATTGGCATTCATTGGTCCAATACTGGGTGCTTACGGGACGCTCAGGGCAACGAAGGTGTCCTCGGCTTCTCAAGCGGCCTCAGCATCAATTTTTGCCAGCGTCTATTCTGAGTCTGAAGTCGCGCCCCGGCAACATCGAGAAGTTCTCCTCTGTCGTTGCGGGGAACAATCACTTGATTGTACTCACGACTCACGGCAACGTCTATACCCTGGGCGCCGGCGAGCAGGGCCAGCTTGGGCGAAGAGTCCTCGAGCGCCGCAAGATACATGGAACCGTGCCGGAGAAGATCGTACTCGGTTCACGTAATAACAAGGCCGTCGTCGTCGGCGCCGGAAGCTATTCTTCATACGCCGTGGACGAACATGGAACTGTTTGGGCCTGGGGGCTCAACAGCATGGGCCAGACCGGGACAGGCTTCACGAGTGTTTCTGCCGACGGTGAAGTTCAGTCGCCGAAAGAAGTAATCGGACTGGACAAAAGAGAGCTCGGCGGCGAAGCAACTGTTGTGCAGATCGTTGGCGGAGAGCACCACACGCTGTTTCTCACGTCTGACGGCCGAGTGTACTCCTGCGGACGCTCGGAAGGCGGCCAGCTTGGGCTCGCCGATGAGGACGAGGCGTTCAAGGATCGTCCCTTCCCAGACATGCTCGCGGAACCCGCAAAGATCACTTTCTCGGATGCGAACGACCCAATCGTCCACATCTCTGTCGGGGTGCACAACAACCTGGCGGTCTCTCGGGGCGGTGCCCTGTATGCGTGGGGCAACGGCCCATCAGGCGAGCTCGGTGTCAGCGGGGAGGAGCAGGCGCGCACACCCACCGTGGTCGTGCGCAAGGAGGGCGGCGCGTGGGCTGCTGTGACGGCGTCGTGCGGAGGCCAGCACTCCCTGGCGTTGTTCAGAAAGAAGACCTAGAAAGCATACCCTCACCCGGGCGAATGGAACCTCGAGACAATCTATCACAGACTCACGCTGTCGTGCATTGTTGTCGATCTGTACTTCTTTAGCTATGGCTACCCTTGACCAGTCTCGTCGTCTTTATCGTAATGTAATCGAGCGGTAGGCTACATCCATCGCTTCTGCTTTGTCTCCTCAATACACAGTAGTACAGGCGGCCGCCTCGGCTGACTGGATGTTTCTGTCCAGTGTCATCTGGCTCGACGTTGTGATCGTGCATGATGCACCGCCCTGCATGCCCACGTACCCAGTCTGTCACTGCCTATCCGGCCGGCTGAAGGAATGGACTGCCTTGTGCGTCAGCCTTGCCATGAGTTCGTGCTCACGATCACTCTGGAGCGGTGCTGGCCTTCATTTCGGAACATGAGGCTGAATCGACTGTGTGTAGCCTGAACTCCTAGCACCTTGTCCGAGAGCATGGCATTCAATGAATGGCACCTATGTAGACCGTCGTGTTCCACCTTCATTGCCACCGCTGAGTACGCCAGTTGACCACATGTTGACACTTGTGAATGGGACCAAGGCACTTGGCACCCTTCACGCCTCCTTTCGCGAGCCCACGAAGGGAAGAGGTTTCATGTCCACGAAGACGCGGTCTCTTGCCGACGTCCCCGACGAGGGCGGCTCACCCCGATTCACGTCCCTCGGCAGGATGGCGAGATATTTGGATATCTGCAGCGAGTCTCACTTTCGCTTCGAGGAGCGCATCACAACCTTCAACAGCAGAGTGGCTTGCCATCGCAGACCTCTCTAGTCCCTGTGGTTCGACCTTCGGAGTGACCTCGCTGAATAAGTTGCCATCGGCGTCACATTCGCAAACCCACAATGATCTCCTAAGAAAGAACAACCCGTACAGATACAGCATTCCCACTGGCATACACAAGCAAGCATCACTACACCTCGGCCCCGCCCTCAACTCAAGTATACGTCTCCGACAACCTGCGCACGATGTACTGCTCCGTCGTCACGGGCGAGTACTTCGCCTTGCCGGCCGCTGTGCACGTCGGCAGGCACTCGATGCGCGCGCCCTGGTTCGGGTTGCAGAAGAAGGCGATGGACTGCCGGGCGGGCGTGATGGACTCGGTCTCGCTGATCTTTTTGGCAGGCGGCGCGACGACGCGGTGGAGCGTCGAGCGGAGGACGTCGTTGCTCCAGCGCGCGAGAAGGTCACCGGCGTTGATGACGATGGTGCCGGGCTGTGTGCGTGGGTGAGCTGTGCAGATTTGGTATGTGCATCGGCGTTGGGACGTACGATAGGTGTCGCGGGCTGGTATTGCTTGGTATGCGGATTCTGTACCTCCAAGCCGCCAACCTGAGCAAAAGACGTGACAAATGAGAGGCGTTCATGCGTATTCGCGAAAAACATACCGAGTCTTGGAAGAGAAGTGTCAGGGTGCCATAGTCTAGTCACTGCAGTTAGTCCTGTCCAAAAGTACACATATTTCTGGCGACGTGCCAGAATGGGCACCAGCGCGTGCCTGCCCGTCCTGCTCAAGTAGATGCCTCCTGATAGGCGGGTAGCTCAGCAGTCGGAGATTATGATACTGCTCGTGGATCTTGTCATCGAAGAACGTCTCTTCCAAGTCGAGACCGATCGCAATCGCGCGCATGACGAGGGAGTGCAAGTCGTGGCAAGTCTGGAAGAAATGCAGCATGGTCTCGCGGAAGTCGGGAGCGGCGCGTTCCTCCGGCCAGCGATTCTTCCATGTCTTATCCCAGTCGCGGCCAATTTCCATCGTCTCCTTGAAGTCGGGGGCTTTGGCGCGGAGCTCGGCGATCTCATTTGCGTCAGCGGACTGTGTGACGCGCTCGCGGCCGATCTTGACGTATCCACGGTTGGCGCGTGGGTCCTCCCAAGCAAGCTTGTCCTAAAGTGGCTCTGAGGATTGCTGCAGAGGGAAAAGAAGCGGATAAGCACTCACTTTCATTTCTGCAGGGAGTTTGAAAAACTCAGCGCTCTAGAGCGATACATACTCGGAGTAAGTACAGCGCAGCGAAACAACGAGCGGTAACACACCTTCTGGAACGTATGCTTGACTGTGCTGTCCGGGATTCCATGCTTGTCCAGGTAAATGAAGCCGACCTCCTTGAAGCCGCTCACAATCTCATCCGCGGTGCGCCTCTTCTCTGACAGCGAAGTCGCTGCGCGGAACTTGCTGAAGTCGATGAGAGGGATCCGAAAGGTAGTGTCGGACTTGACGTCCTGTTATACGTGTAGGTTTCCCTTCATATCCAGAGTGTTGGTGGGTGCAAGGAACTGACCTCCGCGAGAGTAGCAAGCGCCCGAGACTGCCAGCATCGGGACGCCGGGGCGAATGCACGGAGACCACTGCCTAGCTTGCTGAACGACATCCTGAGCGACTCTGAAAGTGATAGCTGCAGTCGGGACGCACAGTCTGAGTCTACTGTCAGTATATATCGCGCGGATGTTCCTTCGTGCTATCGGAGGGCAGGTCTCGCGTGAACCTATCTACACCGCTCGACTTGCCAGATCAAGATTATGGTTCGCGGTTCGCACTCAGCGGCGGTGGCTGCTATATATTCGGAACCTACCTTGAACCTTAGTTCGTATCTCCTTACCGCCATCCAGGCCACTGCGAGCCCGTCAATCGCAGTCTTCAACGGTGCAGTACGTCCAGCGATGTAGTCTCTACACGTGGTGACACCGATACTAACCCATCGTACGCGGCGGACTCAGGCTGTAAGTACTACTACTTGCATAGGACAATATGCCACGATCTCTGGGTAGCCCGCCGCTTCCTCCATATACCTCACGCGACGTATCCCCCGTGTGAGTCCTGACTACTTCGATGACTCGAAAGGTCCCCTCATTCACTACCAATGAACTAGCCGGCGGGGCTATCAGCCATTTACAGCTGGTCATAGCAATCCGAATTATCCGGGACATGATATGTGCGTCTCTGAGATCTCTAGTTCAGTGTATACATATCGGAGCCTCAGAGCTCACACCACTTACTTCATAGCGGTCATCAGGAGACATCACCATTGATATTGAACTCTGATTTTCCTGCATATGGTTCTCAACCTGGATCGCCACCTCCGAAGCCCCAGCCGCTCTTGCATAAGATCAAGACCATCCCGATCTGGGTCTGGATTGTGATTGCAGCGACTTGCAGCGCGGGGATTGTGGCCAGCATCCAGACTTATCGCGTGGTGGCATTGAACCATCGCCTTGCAGAGTATCCTCCCACGCGTGCCGAGTTGGACGAGTTGAAGCAAGAGTGGGGCCTCGAGCTCACCGCGCATAAGCAAATGCAGGATTATGACAAGTGGGCAGAGGATCGCCTCGCGTTTGAACGCGAGAGGGATGAATGGTTGGTGGCTCGAAGGGATTATCGTGTCGATCAGGAGAGCTGGGACCGACAGAGGCAGCTGTATGAAGAAGCTACCGAGGATTGGCGCGGGGCAAAGCAGGACTACGAACGCGTCAAGAAGTTCTGGGCACATGAGAAGGAGGGATGGGAGCCGAGCAGAAAACTTGGGAGCTGGAGCGCGAGCATTGGGCACAAGAACAAGAGAGACGCAACAATACATGGAAGAAGACGCACACCGCTTCCGTCTGAGTGAAGGCAACGCGTTGGGCTTGTCCTGGACTCATGTCGAGAGCCATGAATGCGTCGCCCACGGTACGCGCGAATACACAGCACGCATCACATTTGATGCGGAGAAGGCTTGTGAACTGCCAATCGCCGTCAATGGCGCCGTTTTCGGTACACCCCAAGAATGCAAAATGGTGAGTCGCTTCGATCTCACGCAGATGACTGCTGATGACTATGATCCATCGACAGGATGGGGATTCTCTTGTAAGCCGTTGGTCCATTGATCGAGGTCAAGCATCGTGTAAAACGTACTGGGGCGATCTCGTCGATAAGGTGCGTCCTTCAGCAGAATCAGTTCGAGTAGCCATAGTACTAAACAGCGGTCTTGTAGGGTTGTACTGGCCAGGGCTCTGGAAAGCATGTGAGTGATTCCTGTCACAGCTCTAGGTAGTCATGGAACTCACAGATGTCCCTTCTATGCTGCTACAGCGCTTCGAAGCACGTCTATGGGGTCTTCCACTGGAATTCGATCTACGGGGATGGCCATGTGCACAACCACCCCTATCGATATCCGCAGTCAGCACTTCAACAGCCCAGTGCATTGCGAGGATAGAGTACGTACTGTCCCTAATGCATTACTGCCACGAGACTTATTCGGATACAGGGTTTATTCTCTGGGATGGTCGGCATGTGGGATGTCGATGACAAATCTTGCTCGTGAACCATCCGGAATGTTGCACTCTACGTCGGCATTCCCTTCCCTTCATGTGAGTTACCTCTGGGTCTATCATAGCGAGCCGAAGCGACACCTCTTTCAAACACCTGTAACTGACCCTTGACAGGTATATGCGGCTCACCTGCCTCCAGGTTGTACAAATACTGTCTTCGCTGTTATCTGATCCTCGCTCGTTATGCTGTCGTACGCCCTGAATCGCTTTGTGTTTGTTTTCTTGCCTGCTTGCTCGTCGATTCGTCCATCGCTGTAACACCTGTATGACTTGTGCAATTCATAAGCAATATTGCCTGGCAGCACGCTGCCATGAATCTATTGAGAAGTGGGGCGGTAGGCCGGCAGGGGTGACCCACGCATGGGAAGTTCCAATTCAGTGGTAGGGTGACGCGCGTAACATTCGAGGCGCACAATTGGGGAGTCGGACGCTGGTTCAGGTTCGCACCGATTATCACTGCCAGCTTCGTACCCAGGAACGGAAGCTCCTCCGCCTGTCGTTGGGTTGTCGAAGTGAACTTGGGTCACCTGGCAGTGCGTTGCTTATTCGGATGCGCGCATACATGGCGGTCGACGTGAACGGGGTAATATCAGATAGACCCTAATAGACCTCATGTAGTATGACATGGGCACGGTGAGTGCTTCTCCTTAGCGAAGTTACGCTTCCTCACTGGCAGACACGAATTGAAGTCACTGGACCATTAGTAATCGCAGGGAGTGAGATTGACTGGCATGCTACTGCAGAATTGTTTCCACTGTCGTTTCAGTTGAATCGTCCCTGCTAGACCTTATTTCTTCACGATTGTACACACCGATGTCTCGTTCTCAAAGCGTTGACCTTAGAATATATGTACACAGAATCATCAAAATATGAGAAATCCACGGTATCAATGCAGGAGGGATGCGAGCGAGGTACAATAGTGGTACAGTGATTCATCGGACAAAAGGACTAATGCGACATGTTCAAGCTGTTACATTGACAACCGGAGAGCGTAGCCGCCGGAAAAGGGCCATAAGAGTCTTGCCGCCTTCCGGGCCCCATCTGCGCACCAGGTTAGCGTACGCGGCATTGACGAAGGATGTAGCACATACTCTCCACCCGCCACTTCCTCACAGCAACGCTCAAACTCCTCGGAGACTGAGACTTCTTCCCACTTATCGACGACATAATCCTGTGAACGGCGAGTCACCTTCTCACTATGACAAAAATCCAGACGATGAAGTACCTCCACAAAGGAATGCAGCTCGTCCCAAGCTGACGTCGCGAGCAGTACAGGGAAGCTCGACTGAGGTGTGACCGTGGACATGATATGCTCCATCGCCAGCGAGGCAAGCCCCGGCATCCCATACCTGTGAGCAACCTGGTACATCGACAACGCAGATGCGGGCGGTGGAGAGGGCGTCGGGTGCGGGTGAGGATCAGGCGTGGATGCGGCGGGCGGGTGAGACCTTTGGCGTTGCTGGCGCGGAGAGATCGGGTAGTGGGGAGGCGTCACGAAGGTACCGCCGGATGGCGAGATCGGAACGGGCACGGCCTTTGCGCCGCGTGAGGAGGGAGCGGCTGGAGCCGACGGAGATACGGTCAGCGTATTCGGGCCACCAGGTGTGGAGGATGTGCCCGAGCGTCGCGGCTGGGTCGCCGGAGAACGAGACGAGGTAGCGGAAGTTTTGGTCGCCGCCGTGCTCCTCGAGGGTGTTGTTGGCACAGGGCCTGAGCTCTGCCTCGAGTCGAATAACCGTTTATCCTTTGACTGTGGGCTGACACTCTTCCCGCCGTTTGAACGTGCGCTCTCCGCGCTGGTAACACTCCGTGCGTCGCTCACGCCGGCGAACTCGGGAGGCGAACCCTTTGAGAAAGTCTTCCATTCCCACTCGTCCGGAGAGCCAGGCGTGCTGACGCCTCGTGCACTCCAGCCTGCACCAATGCCGTCCACCGCCTCTCTGGGATCGTCTTCCTTCCGGAAGAGGAGCCAATTGGCATACACGAACTTGAGCAGCCAGTATATCGTCACGAAATCGGCTTCCTCGACGACGACGCTGTAGATCTTGCGCTCGCCGGGGTGCAAGACCGCGGAACTGTTCTCAAGGAACGATGAACCAAGCATTGTCGCGAAATACTCAGACCGCCTGATCAGGATGTCTGCATGCGCCCAAATGATACGTTTCCTCGCTATGGTCTGCGGTCCTGCCGTATGCGAGGCTGATGACGTGTGGCTCGAGGAGCCTGCTGTGCTTGGTGTAGGTGGCTCTTGCTCAGCTATCGCTTCTTGCGCATCGCGACGCTCGAGACAAACAAACTGAACGTCACCAGTGTCTATGCAAGCTGATGAGCATTGGATGCCATGTGATCGAAGTAGCGACTCACTCGGATTATCCAATGACGCCTCAAGGCCCTCCAGCAGGTCACGCGGCACATAATACGCAGATGGCTGCTGTGGGAAGAAAGGCCCGGCAGGTGTGTGCATCTGTACGCATATAACAAACGAGTCCGTCTCTCTGATTCGCGGGTTCTCGAGCAGAGACGACAAGGGAGGCAACGGACATTCTGTACGACACGAGATGCATGTCAGACACGGTGAACGCAATTCCAGAAGGCATATAGATACTCACCCCAAACCTCGCTCTCCTGTCGGAAGACCCAGCCATTGTGCCAGTATTCCCAAGCCCAGTCGGCGCGTGCACCGCGTTCGCCTGCTCGGTCATCCTGACATTTGATGGCCGCGAACATTGACGTCGACATCTCGTAGTCTGTGTTGTCGACCATGAGTGAAGTAACATACAGCGACAATACCGGCAGGTGGCTTCGCAAGCCCGACGATGTTGCGAGATCAGTAGTGTCAGGAGCGGGGATTTTAGCTGTGGACGTCAGGTTAACTTAGCAGACTCTGTTCAATGGTAGGACGTGCCAATTTCCAGCTTGAATTTCCCGTCTCCAATGATGGGGGCTTCTTTCAAGACCTCAAAGTCATCTGCATCAGGTGATGTTCCTTCCCCTTCCTCTGCTTCGCCCGCAACATCATCGGAGGCGTCTGGACTTTCCACGAAGTCCCTCAATCGGTGTACGTCCCGCACCACCCATTCGAACGCCTGCACCGAGAAGTCAAGTGTCAATCGATAGGAACGACATCTAGGTGCATGTGCTTACAGTGAATGACCACTGTCTAGTGCTCAGCTCCTCCGGCATCTGGGCTTGGTACGACAAGCCTGAAAGGGTCGAGTTGCGCCTGCCACCCGCAGGTGTGGACACGAGAACGGTAGGCGTGGACACGGACGAGCTGGACTCCCAGCCTTGCCCACCCGAGTTGGAGCCACTTGAAGAGAACACAGAGGTAGAAGACGAAGCCGAGCGGTGCGTGTAGGTCGACCAAGGCCAGTGTGGCCGCGAGAGGGGAGAAGGACGTCCTGGAGAGCCTGGCAGTCCTCGTACTGAAGATTGCCTCAGATGATCAGACATATGGCGTGTACGTAGGGGCAAACAGTTGCTTTGCCGTACTGAAAGACGGTCGTACGAAGACAAAGCGGCAGGACAAGCCACAACACCCATCACTGCGACCGCGCGGATCTCGATCTACGTGCGTCAGTCACGGGACCGCGCCTAATCCTCCGTATACTTGGTCCTTCAATGAAGCCTAAGAAGAACCGTGCAAACCTGCCTCAACGGTATTCCAGTCATGCAGTGCAACACGGCAGCAATGCGATTATGAGCGTTTTGCATCTTAAGCGAAAAACATGATAGCAATGCAAGTACAGATCAGGCCCCCATCCGAAACATCCCTATAGTCCGACGCAAGGCTCTACAACTTCTGGATGACGACCGCAGACGCGGCACCACCGCCGTTGCAAACACCCGCCGCGCCGTACTCACCCGACTTCAGCGCATGGATGAGGGACACAATGATACGCGAGCCAGAATTGCCAATGGCGTGACCCAGCGCGACCGCACCACTGTAACGCGTCGTCAGCCCATATCCATCGAAGTCAAGGACAAGACGTACCCGTTAACGTTAATCTTTGCAGGGTCGATGCCGAGCACCTTCTCGGCTATCCGGACGACCGCGGAGAACGCCTCGTTGATCTCGAAGAGGGAGATGTCCTCGAGCTTGAGGTTTGCCCGTTCGAGCGCCTTGGGGAGCGCGACGGTAGGGGCGATGGGGAAGTCAATGGGGTCAAGGCCAGCATCCGCGTAGGCTGTGCACCCAAGTCAAGATCGAAATACATGAAAGAATGTTGGTACGTACAGATGATCTTCGCAATAGGCTGTACACCAAGCTCCTTCGCCTTCTCTGCAGACATGAGGATCAGAGCAGATGCGCCGTCGTTCAGTGGTGATGAGTTTGCGGGTGTGATCGTTCCACCCTTCTTGAATGCAGCGTTGAGGGTGGGGATCTTCTCGTAGATGACGCGCTTGTACTGCTCGTCCTCCGCAACAATGGTGTCGCCCTTCTTGCCCTTGATCGTCACGGGCGCAATCTCCGCGTCAAACGCGCCCGCCTTCCATGCGCGCTCGGCACGGCGGAAGGACTCGATAGCGTGTGCATCCTGCGACTCGCGAGTGATCTGGTGTTTCTCCGCTGCCGCCTCGCCGCAGTTGCCCATTGCGAAATCGTTGTAGACATCCCAGAGCCCGTCCGTCTGCAGGGAGTCCTTAGTCTCGAACTTGCCAAATGCGGGGTTCTGGCGGGGAAGGAGGAATCTAGAAGGCGTTTGAGCGACCGTGTCAGCCTTGGCAATTATGACGAGCTGGATAGTACGCACGGTGCATTGCTCATGCTCTCCATACCACCGGCAGCAACCACACTCTTGTACCCGTCTGGATGCTCTGCGCTGCAGCATGACCGCCTTCATACCGCTCGCGCAGACCTTGTTACAGTCGTCGCGTCTGACTTCGAGCTCATGCCGCGTTGAGCGCAACTTGGCGTGCAGGCGACTGGCCAACGCCGGCCTGGACGACATTGCCGTAGTAGAGCTCCTCAATGAGGTCCGGGTTAACCTTCGACTTCTCAATCGCATGCTTGAGGGCGATGGCACCGAGCTGAGGGGCGGTCAGGGCCTTCAGCGTGCCATTGAAGGAGCCGACAGGGGTGCGCGAAGCAGAGACAATAACAACTTCGTGAGAAGACTAAAACGGCGGAGTCAGCCAGGGTCATCAGAGGAGCATTCTCTCTACGCACCATATGGCGAACAAAGGAGGCGAGACGGCGTGAAGCAGAGATGGAGGAAGAGGGGGAGGACGCGAGGCGTACAGCTAGCATGTTTGAAACAATTTGTAGTGTTTATATGCCACTCGCTAGTGGAATGAGCCGACCAATCGCCCTATCTGATCACTTGCCAATCGTACCACTCGTAAATGCGCGAGGCTTGCCGGTCGCGTCTGTAGGATGTGAGACCACTTCCTCGAACAGCCTCAGGCTTCTTATAAACAGTGTCGGCGAGCCAATTTGTCCCATGACCGAGGCTGCTTTCGCCGGATCGCGGTTGCGGGGATCATGTGCTTTCGAGGCAACACAAAATGCGGGGGAGGCCCCGGTAAGACGCCGGATGCACAACTCTGGCACAAATGAACCGGCCGGACAATCCGACGGCGACTTCGCGCGAGCTATACAGACGGATGCCTGTTAGACAACATGGTGGATTGAAGGCAGACGCTCCCAGATAACGGCAAGGCACAGCAGAGCGTACTAAAGTACCAGAAGACACGACTCAAGCTCAGAGCATGTACCACACACAACAGGAGTCCTCAATGGAGATCAACGATCTGACCAACAACCATGAACCATATTTCCAACCAACGTACAAGCACCTGTTCTTCAGTCCATCCTTCTTGTGCACTTCAGACATAACCTCACCCACCGCCTCTGGGGTATGGCATGGATGGAAGTACCAAGCGGGTGTTCCAAGGACGGGGTGGTCGCCTTGGGAGAGAAGCGGGAAGGAGGCGCCCTGCTCAGAGAGCGCAAATGTCGTTGCGTCGGGTTTGGGAACAGCGTGCGATCGCAATAAAGATGAAGCCATCATCTCAGTCAGACTGAGAGGTACGCCATCTGTTGAGAGGTTGAAGGCATATAAGAAGATCAGCTGGAGGAGGAAGACCTACTGCTGTGATGAACAGTGAAGTAGAACGCAGGTACCCGGTATGTTGGGGAGTACACCACGGATTGTGTGCACGTTAGAGCCTTCCTGGACACCGGGGCTGTTGCTTCATCCTCACATTCATCCGGCACATGTCCACAATCGTCTTCCTTGTCGAACGGTAGCACCTCAGAAGCCTTGAATGATAACGGCACGGAGCGAGACATATAGCCTAGCGCGGGAACAAACTGAGACGACTCAGAGAGACAGCTACGCAACAGGTGAGCGTTGCGCACTTGGTGTTCACTCCACGTCCAGTCCGACGGATAGACAGAGGAGGTACAGACATTTTTAGAAGATCGCGTCCCATGTTCGGCGATATAGGCTTTGCACGCCGTCTCGAACTGATCGCGCGAGAGGGAGGAGGACTCGGACATGGGAGGAGGTCGTGAGGTGTGGCGTGGGAAGGAACGTTACAGTTGCACAGTAAGGTTCGCAGCCACCGGGGATTCCCACAGCCATACTCGGTCGTACGCGTCAAGCGCTCACCGCTGCTGCACCACGCCCAAAACTCAGCCCGTCCAAGTGCCGGTGCTCTCCTCCCCTGCGGTCGCTACCACCTGAACCGACCCCTCCTCCACCATGGCCGTAGGAAAAGTCAGTGTTCAATCTACCTGAACGTTGCTGCTGCTCAGTCCTGACATCTGTCTCTGTAGAACAAGCGTTTGTCAAAGGGCAAGAAGGGTATCAAGAAGAAAGTCGTCGACCCCTTCACCAGGAAGGGTACGTCGCTGCAGATCTCATGCTCTCTCATGCTGGTGTACTCAACCCGCACCAGACTGGTACGACATCAAGGCGCCCTCGATCTTCGAGAAGCGTAACGTCGGCAAGACGCTTGTGAACAGGTCGCAGGGTCTCAGTACGTCGCGCTCAGTCCTTGTGTCGTGCGCTTCCTCATTTCTGTTCAGAAAACGCAAACGACTCGCTCAAGGGCCGTATCGTCGAGGTGTCCCTCGCCGACCTCAACAACGACGAGGAGCAAGCATTCCGTAAGATCAAGCTCCGGATCGACGAGGTCCAGGGCAAGAACTGCTTGACAAACTTCCACGGCATGTCCTTCTCCTCGGACAAGCTCCGGTCACTTGTCCGCAAGTGGCAGACCCTCATCGAGGCACACGTCGACGTGAAGACGACCGACGGCTACCTCCTCCGCCTCTTCGCGATTGGTTTCACGAAGCGCCGGCCCTCGCAGGTGCGCAAGACGACGTACGCGCAGTCCAGCCAGATCCGGGAGATTCGGAGAAAGATGTTCGAGATCATGACGCGGGAGGCGACGTCGTGCGACCTCAAAGAGCTCGTGCAGAAGTTCGTCCCGGAGGCCATCGGTCGTGAGATCGAGAAGGCGGCGCGGAGTATCTACCCCCTTCAGAACGTGTATGTCCACAAGGCGAAGATCCTGAAGGCACCTAAGTTCGACATGTCGAAACTGCTTGAGCTCCATGGCGAGTCAACAGACGTACGTGTTGCATAATCTGTGTGCTCGACTTATTTGATTGACTCGTGCTTTTGCAGGAGACTGGCACGCGTGTCGTGAAGGACTTCAAGGAGCCGGAGATTCTGGAGTCGGTCTGAGCTGTCGCATATTCGGTCTACCTTGTATCCATTCATGCTTTCTCATTATCAATGTGGGTATGACGACATCTATGTGCATGACATGCAATGCTATGTATCCTGTTCATGAACACATGCCGGAAGCAGAATCGTCGCTAGGGACAGTCAAATGGCTAGCACCGAGATATGATGGCTCATTATTGCTCGGATGAGAGACGGCGTGGGCTGTTCGCTGCTACTCCGTTCAGGCACCATGATGAGTAGCCTCGTTCAGGACTGTGGCTCTCGCGGCTCGTTCTCCTGGACCTGGAATGGGGACCGTATTTCACATTTGTGATGCTGTGACGTGAGTCCCGCGGATGATGCATGCAAATAAGAATGTGTGATTATGCAAGAATATAATGCCCATTAGATGAAGATAAATAAATAGAGAAGATTGCAGAAGAAGAAGCGGCATCGAGAGAATCACAACGGACGAGGTCGAAATGAGTCTAGGACCTAGAACCTGCTGAAGTCAGCAACAGCAACGAACATACACAGGTAGGCAATACCTACCTATCGTCGAGTCACTGGCTGGCACAAAGGTGGAAGGTTTCCATCGTCGTAGTGTCCGCGTTCCGTCAACTAGCCCGGCACGAATGAACTTGCTGATTTTTCCGCTCCGCATATGGGAGCTCCGGTAATCATGCTGTGACCGCGCTGTAAACGACACCATCAGAGCCCTTCCCTTTGGTGTAGAGGCGGGCGGACGTACCAACGCTGATGTACACACTGAACCACTACGCTTGTGACGACAGTCGTCCTCGGGGGGAGCCGCGTCGTAGGAATGTCGCACGCCGTGCGTCCGTCGAAGCTGAACCGTATCGACTAGGGCCACAGAGGTCAGCACAGACCGCACCGAGGCAAAATGGGCCGCTCACCTTCCGCTGCGTGCAGTAATGGGAAACCAACGACACCTGGATCCATGCCGTAGACGCACAGTGGGCTACGTCAAGACTACCGCGGCGAACATCGCGGTGTCCGAACACTACCCACTGTGCGACCGGATCCTAGAGTGCTCGTCCTATGTCGATCCGCCGTATGCCGTAATGCCATAATCAAAGATCCTACTAGGAAGTTAGGACCTCAATTCCGACAGATGAAGTGTGAAAATCGCACCTGATGCGCAGTAAGAAAAATGAAACCGTGTCCCAATCTCCAAAAACCCGAATAGAAAATGATGTTGCCCTTGCATTCCTTCCCTGTCTTCCACCTCCCTCCCCCAATCTCTCTGCGGCGCAGGGCCTCAGAGAATGGTAGCGAAGCGATCGCAGAGCTCGTCGACCGGGTCAGGCAGGTCGACGTCCATGAGGTCCTCCGCGTCGTACATGTCCACGTCCATGGGCTCGTACACGCGCTTAACGGCCTTGTTCGCGAAACCAGAGTGCGGAGAGGGCTGCGACGCTTGCGCTCGGGAGAAGCCTCGTCCTTCTTGGTGCGGCGGACGGTAGCATCAAGAAGAGACATCGTCTTGGCCTGGCGCTCGAGGACTGCGTGCGTCCGCTTCTTGAGGAGCTTGACCTTCTCGACGCGGACCTTGACCTTCGGCGCTCTGGAGGGCTGCTTGGCGGGCTCAGGAACAACGGGAGCAACAGGGACAGAGGCGACAGGGACGACAGAGGTGACAGTAGTAGGACGCTTGTTGTCCTCCTCAGGCTTCGGTGCCGCTTCGACGACCTGAACTTCCTTGACAGGACGTTGGGCAACTGCGCTCGCGTTCTTGGCCAGGCGTTCAGCGTAGAGCTTCTTCTGGGCGTCCCAAAGACGATCTCCTTTGGTATAGTACGGGTCCGGGGCATACGTCGGGAGGTGCAAGTTAAATGGACGGTATCCGGGAGTCGATGCGATGCGATACTTGTGTGGTGGACGGGGAGCGGTACGAGGCTTCGGAGCGTCAGACTGAGGGCGGGTGAGGCTTCCTGGTGCTCAGGCTTGCAAGAGGCTTCATCCGATTTAGGCTGAGTAAAGACGTCGTCGAGGGTGGGCTTCACAGAGACACCATCGACCGCAGGAGTGACAGGGACGGTGGCAGACTGGGAGCCGTTGCGCTTGTCAGTCAGGACACCGTAAGAAATGGGGACCGTAGGCTTGAGCGACTGGAAGTAGTCATGCAGAGGCTTGAGCGAGGCCTCGCGGGCAGCACGCAGACGGCGCGCCTGCTCTCCTTTGCTCGGGCCGGTCTTGAATAGGCGCAAACCTGGCTTGTTCCACGGAACAGTGATGACAGGCTGGGTAGCAGGGCGTCTCCCTTCCTTAGCAGAGTGTCTCCCTTCCGTAGCAGGGTGTTTCCCTTCCGTAGCAGTTCCGATGTTGCTCACAGGATGTCTGCGAGGGCTTGGACCCTTCTGTAAGGGCGACGCCGACGTGCGTTCCGTCGGGAAGTACGATAGCCCAGTAGCTCGAGACGTCCGAGAACGACGCGGCAGCCAAGGAAGACAGACAAGTAAAGCGAGCATCCATAAGCCAAGTAAAGAACCGGAAGAGGAGCACCAGCCGTCAAGAGACCCAGGAAGTCGAGATAACCATGCCCAAGCAGCTCGGGTAGACCGATATGCAGAAGCACAGACATGACGAGAGAGAGTATGAGTTGATCCATCGTGCGCGTTGTCCGGCTTGCGAAGAAGTGCTGGATGATGGTGGAACGAAAGATAGAGAGCCAACAGGAGACGGTTGGTATTTAAAGAGAGCTGGCTGACAGGACAGTCCTGCTAGCCATTCGTTCCAGACGGCTGGTCGTCAGCCATTTCACACCAGCCCCGGCAGTCAGTTTTGAGATGTTGCCGATTCAACGGCAACATTCGACTCTGACTGCTGGAGGTTGATTGGGTCGCTGAGAGCAGCTCAGTCGGCTGTCTGAGCTCCGCAATTTGGTAGCAGTGCGCGCTGATTCCGCAAGCAAGTGTTTGTGGACAGTGGTCGTGGATGCTGAATGCTTCAAGTTGCAGTAGATGATCGGTGATCGCGTCGCGTTTGTGGCGCGGCGCGACTACTTTACGTATCTAACTGAATATGTCTGAACCCATGTCAGTACCGTCGTCAGTTCTGCTTGAGTGAATTTTGCGCACCGAGCATTCGTTACCATCTGGTTTTGTACCACAATCACGATCATCGCTGCACCCTCTACACTGAGAGTCCGAGCTGTACGGTATGTCAGTGCCAGAACCTTATTGAGCATGAGTGCGCACGAGAAAAATGTCGGCGGCTGCGTGCATTTCGCATCTTGTCCTGGCCATCTGTCCTGGTCTGTAGCCGGCCAACCTCCCACCACAAGGCAAGATGGCAGACGTCGAACACCTGAAGAGCCTCTTAACCGTACATCCTGACTTCCCCAAGAAGGTTAGCTTCATGTACCAGCGGGATAACGACCTGGTCTCACAACATGATATCTTCCGTACTAGGGCGTCAACTTCCTCGACATATTCCCCATCCTCCGAGATCCCGTCGCTTTCGAGTCCCTCATAACACACCTCGTGCACCATCTGACTTCGCAGACGATCCCGCGGTCGTCGTCGAAGAAGATCGATGTCGTCGTCGGCCTGGATGCGCGGGGGTTCCTCCTAGGCCCTATTATTGCGATGAGACTAGGGCGGCGTTTGTGCCGGTGCGAAAGAAGGGCAAGCTGCCTGGGTCATGTGTGACAGCGACGTACGAAAAGGAGTACGGTGCAGTGAGTGCGAAACATGGCGCATTCGTTCTCTACTAAATGATATCGGCTAAGGACTCCTTCGAAATGCAAGAAGAGGCGATCAAGGCAGGCCAGAACGTGGTAGTTGTGGATGATCTCATCGCGACTGGTTCGTGTAGTTCTCTGCTGCTTTATTCTGTATAGCTCACGAGCAGCCAGGCGGATCTGCCAAAGCGGCGGGACAGCTCGTCAACAAGGTTGGGGGCAAAGTGCTCGAATACCTCTTCATCATTGAGCTGCCTTTCCTCAAGGGTGCCCAGCAACTCGACGCACCCGTCTACTCCATGATCCAAGCGGACGACTGATGCGCATTTTTCTCATGTTAATTAGGAGGGTAGAATCCAGATGTCTCAGGCAGTGTACTCAATGCAGCAGTCTCGTATTGATCAGTGGATGGCCGTTGATATACAGCATGCGGTTGGCGTCTCTAGGTATGCTTCTGTCCGCGTCCGCTTCCTGCGTCCTGGCAGGGTCCTCCAAGTACTGGTCCACCAAAGGCTGATAGTCCTGTATTTCCGACTCGACAGCCACCAGCACTTCCCCGATCCCCGCTCCTCCGCGGCCGCCAACATTGTGGACACTGCGTCGCCGCTGTCCGCTTGAGCACGACCATGACAGCGTCACTGATGAGCTCCTCCACGCCGTCCAGGTCGCCGCGTCCGCAGAAGGGTTGATTTCACGTCCTCGTTGCTGATGACGATGACCCAGGCACCCGCTTTCCGCGCATTCACGAGTTCTCCAGGAAGGTGCATTCACCGCGATGCACGAGCACCGCCTCGTCTGTAAACGTCCGTGTGTATGGCGCGCACCCGAGAGAGTTGGACGGCTCGAGCACGACACGGACACCTTCGCCGTGTCCGAAGCGCAAGAGCGAGTCGTCCCGAATGACGGAGTGCATTGGATCGCCACCGAAGAGTGCTGTGGAGGCAGTGGCGAACAGTCCATAGGGCCTTCTTCGTTGAGGCCGGTCTGCAGGTGAAGAGCGGGTCCACGTACGGAGGTGGAACCGCAGTTCAACCTCCGGTATTCGTCGTGTGTTGACGCGGTCGAGAGCGCCATGCACGTCCAAGGGTGCCAGTCGAGTCCCGGGTCGTTTACGTACACTACCTGGCCCGTCTTGACGGCGAAGGGGCCCACTGCATACCGAGAACTCCGAGTGGCTCAAGTTAGACAGGAACGCAAGCCGGTAGGGAGAACTCACGCCTAGTGATATCGTAACCCTTGCCGTCGAGTCTGCTCACGATATGTGCACGGATGCCCGTAACGTTGTACAGCACATAGCCGTCTGAGACGAACGTGATCTTTTCGACGGTCGGATGAGGGTCCTCCGGCACGAGCTGTCCTCCGGGGGACAAAATGAAGTCGAACGACTAACACCCGTATCTCAGTCGTTGCCAATAGGAACACGGACCAGTGCTTACAAACAGATGCGGCTTCGGAATCTCACACCACCCGCCCTCAGACCACCACTTCATATCATGTTCATTCGCCTGCACCCCGATGAGTTCCCGGATGTATTCGGCATCCGCGCGCCCGCGTAAGCCGCGGTCAGCCCGCGATTCATAACTGTATCGTCGAACGCGACGAGCGGGGGCTCATACGCGGGGCAGTGGTGGTGCTCCGAGCCGCGGAGCTTCCGGCGGACAGCAGACATGGGGTGGATGTGCGCGGAGTCAAGCCAGAGGATGTGGCCCTCCGTGGTGAAGACGTAGTTAGAGTCGTCGCTGTGGACGGGGTTGTCTTCGTCGAAGAGCAAGTACAGGTACTGTAACACGATCAGCCGGACAGCTCTTTCTGTGACACTGAGACAGTACCTTCAACGTCTCCGACAAGACGAAGGACTCCATGCGATCCTCGTGGGTTTTACTCCGCAGGTCTTTGATACTGGCGAGGCCGCAGCCGACCTTGCTGCGTGTGATTAGATCATACAAGATGCGTCCCCCGACGTCTAGATAAAATGGGTCGCGAGTGGCCTATCCATGGATCAGCCGAATGGCACACGTCATGAAATCTGTTACTTACGCGATACAAATACCAGGTCGACTCTACAAACTCTGGTTCGGGTCCGTTTCAGTACGTTGAGACCTTTTATACACGGGGTTAAGCTCACCTGGTCTGAGGGGATATTGTAACGAGGTAGCTTGTCGGTAGCTCATATCCCACACCTCGGGTAGTCCTGAATGCATTCTCCATAGATTCCAATCTACTCAGTAATCAGCGCCTCATCACAGATCCGCTCATCTTCACTCAGCACTTACAAGTTAGATGCGATTTGATAGCGTTCTCGATGTCGCCTGCAAGCACTTGCAGGCCAGGCCAAAAAGCAGATAATGAGTCGAATGTGTTGTAAGACGTATCTCCCTTTTGGAGGTGTTAGTATCATGAGCCACAGGATGGTCGCACATGGCAGCTTACTGTATGAATGTTCACACTGCGATACTTCGTGCGAGCGTCAGCATTTCGCAAGAAAGATAATGATCAACCACCACCCAGAATCCATCTGGTGCACGAGAGTAGCGCATGATGGACGCATACGCCTCTTGCCAGACATCCAAGAATTCGACCTCACCTATGAACGGACGGGTTGGGATTCGAGATAAACGAGAGAGTACACAAGAAAATTGTTCAATACGTACCACTCATGATATACCATTTCAAGGCGTATTCAAAGAAGGAATCAATTCCCGCTCCTATGCCGGACACTTCGGGTCGCAGCCATGACTGAAAACTAGGTGAGACATGGCGCAGAGTATGCCGGACATGCATCACTTACTCCTGTCAATGTATTAATGGTGTTCCCAACAAGCCCCAGGTCTGACTTGCGGTTCCACAGGGCAAAAAACGCTTTGTACGCTGCTTTCTCAAAGCGCGCGTCCCCAGTCAGCCGACTGAGTAACCCAAACTCGAGAATGAGTGATCCTGCGCCGGCAGTACCTGGTATGATTATCACAGCAGGGTCGAGGCAGGGAGACAGAGAAACATACAAGTGTCTACCGTCTCGGTGCTCAGCAGCCCGTGTCGCAGGTTGACCTACATGACTGTCAGCAACATACCGGTAAATGAGAAACACAATGTATACGCACTCTTGCGATAGGCAATCCTGTAGGTGTCATGAATGCAGGCAACAACCTCTGCCCCAAGTCGTGCGCCAAGTCGAGGAGTTCACCACGATACCAGGGGAGATGGAAAGGCTGACCGGTCTGATTGGCAAACAAATGTCCAGAGAGGAGGCCCCCGAGAACGCGAATAGTGGTCTCGAATACTTGCGGCTTGGTGTTTACGTCGAACTGCACGAAGTCGATCGTATTCCGCACGGCGCGCTCGAAGCCCGCGGTGTCATTAAGCACCACGAAGGTGTCGAGGGTATCGACGAGGGTGACGGAGAAGTTGCCGTCCACGTCGTTTGTTGCAATGTCTGCAGCGTGCAGCGGATCGGGACCTCGCCCCTTACAGGACAGAGGTCTCAGCTCATCGAGTGGAAATGCTAATTATTCGGTTAGATACTTGGCAGTTGTACCACGCGCGATATACGAAGACATACCATGCTTCATGTAGTTATCAAATCCATGATACCACAAAGAGCGAACCTGCTCTCTAATGATGTATGAGGTTGCGCTGTTCTACGTACCGAGGCCAAGCCCGTACCTTGCGTCTAGCTTCCTCTCCTTTGTCCACCCTGCGCCCTCCGCGAAACCTGAAGACGGACTACGCGTCCAGGCATGAAAGTTCAAGCCAACAAGCAGCAAGGATAGGATGAATCTCGGCCAGGACGATGGCCACTTCATGAAGAGCCGTACAATACAAGTCAAAATCGTGGCCGCAAGAGGTCCGTCAAGCGGTCATACGATATAGCAAACGAGAAGTGTTGACTGACACCGGCACGTCGAGCCCCTTTGAGGAACCTGAGCACAGTGGCGAGGCGGTTAAGACCGTGCTGGGTAGGTTCCACGGTCGGGCTGCCGGCAGGTGGACTCGGGAGGAAGGTGCAGTGCGGTGGCTGAGGTGGCTGCAGCGATCGGTGACGTGGAACAGATCTCGCTCGCGCGCTCGTGCGATCTCGATTCTGTTCCTCCTCCCAGCCCTCGCCTCCCACTCGGACTGTACTGTCTACTCCTACAGCTCTCACACAATCTGGCCCTGCGTCGAACAAAGCATGAGCACCGTGATTGATGTCTCAGGAAAACTCGGCGAGTACATGCTCAAAGGCTGGGTAAGTGCACACACACATGTCTCCTACAAAGATTGCTCACTTGCAACGGCGCAGGTATTGACCGACAGGATATGTTCAAAGTGCTCCAGGGTTCCCCTCATGCGCTCGCCTTCCGGTCCTACAGTGCATTTCTGCGCAAACTGTGACGCAACGCCATCCCCTCCCGCTGCATCCTCCAGCCGTTCCGGTCTCGAACTATCTGGGCGTACACCTCCGACTCGCGCATACTCCGGACAGCTCGACGAGAAATCATCTGTCAGCAGCTTCTCGAGCATGATTCCTTCGCGCACCTCAACACCGCCGACGGAAATCTCGCAAGCACCAAGCTCGCCGACGTTTGCTCCCCCGGCAGACATGGGAGAGATTTTGCGAAGGAGACAGCAATCGGACACTGCATCTGCAGAAATCGGAAGACGTATGCTGAAAGGCTGGGCGATGTTGGCAGATGAGTGTCCCAACTCTGACTGCTACGGCATTCCGCTTGTGCGTCCACCCAAGGCCGGTGGTGAGAAAGACCCCCGAAAGGTGCGTGTAGATCTTGCATTGTCAAACCAGTGATGTTAAGGGCGGGTCATAGGAATGTGTGATTTGCGGTTCGGTGTACGTTGACGAAGACGGAGTTTTTGGGTCCCGTCTAGTACCTTTGCAACCTTTCCCATCATCCAGCGTCGGTGCGGAACGTTCTACGGGGTTGCCCCAGCCCCCACTGCTACCAGCACAACCCGACTCTGCTCCCCAGATGGAGATGCACCCATCGACATCGACAATTCACTTTGACAAGGGGAAGGCGGTACGGAGACATGCCACTCTGCCGGTTCGTGGAACTGCATATCGTCTAATTCACAAGCATTAATCACTACTGTGTGGTGGCATACAGCCGCTTTCGTCCAATCCGGCAATTCTGAATCAGCCACCGCCTTCCGTTCTGGTAAGCCGAATGAGATACACGTGTCGGCCTCCGTCTGACCAGCCTCGTGCAGCCAACCACAAGCTCTTCTCTGGCTGTGCAGGAGTCTGTTCAGTCACTCGAATTTGCATTGCATGCCCTGTCTGAACGCATGAAACAACTCTCCGGCGGCCCAACCCTCGATCCGAACCTCATTGCGCAAGCTGCAGACGCGATGACCCGAGTTGCGCAGGCACTTGCCCAAGTCAGGCAGCTGCAGTAGGGCCTTGTATGTATGGAACATGATGTGCCGACGAGTATCAGTCGCAAAGTAAGTGCATCTGGCCGCCGTTGTCAATGTGCGATCTGACTAGTGCAGTGCAAGTGTATTGTATGCCGGCCTGACTATGGCCCCGTACGACCAGAATTTAAGGTACACTACTTCGACCGATCCATCGACCTTAATGAAAGTCAGAGAAGTTGAAAGAGGTCCATTGCAATTGGCACATTGCAGGCATCGGCCACTCGAGAGCTTCAACATGTGTGTCCGTCTCCTGCGTCCACGCTAGTATCAACAAGATCATCCTTCTATCAACTTGATCCGTGCCCTCGAGATGCAGGACCTGGGTTCTTCAACTTCAACCACTCGTGGCAGCACGCTCGCTATCAGCGTTACCTATGTCCGCTGCCTGCTGCACAAAGCAGCCATTCAGATTGTGCACCTCCGTCATGGACAATGCCGCTGCGGAGGCACGGCTACCGCATGTCTACAGCACCTTCGGCTATATGAAACGTTCACCCCACGCTCCGATGCTTTCAAGGGCTAGCACCGCACCGCGGCTAACCTGTACCACTCACGCCCGCGCACTGGCAGTTCCTGTCCAGCTACAGTCGTTCGCTGTCGACTGCTGATGGGTGCTTCCTCCGCAGACTGATCTACACACTTCCAGTCTTCGTTGACGTCCTTGACTTCTTGCTTGCTTGGTTTGTCCATTTCGTTGATATGCCTCGTCTGTTTCCCCACCTCGGACGCTCCTCGAAGGAGCATGTCGCTGGCTACGACGCCTACGATCCTTATTACGGCCACCCGGAGCACGGGTATGGTTATGATGGTTATGAATATGTACCTGAGCAGCGGGAGAGATCCACCTGGCGCAAGATGCTCTCCAGAGGCTCGGGTTCGAGCTCGAACACCAAGAGCTCTGGCACGAGAACGGGAGGAAGGGTGCGTATCACTTTCACGATCACTTTCGCGTGCGTACTGACTTGGAGCGCAGGCGTACTACGGTGAAGGCGAGGTGCCAGTACGTAAACATCGTTGCTTGTTGATGGAGTCCGCCTCACCTACAAGCTCCTCATCTTCCTATATAGGGCTTCCAACGCACCGTCTCGCGGACCCACCACGCACACTCTCCTCCACAGAACGCATGTATCCCCACCCCGTCCAAGTCCCGCATTACGCAAACTCGGACGAGACTGAGTCCTACGTGAACATCCCCTCCCGGCCGCACAGCCCGGTGCCGATAGTGCAGCGGGAGAGCTCCTTTACCGATATGAACGGTCTAGGGCGACTGCAAGAAGCCTTCGCAGATCACGGCACCTATAGCGCGGCGGCGCCGACGGTGATGATGGACCCCACCACGCCAGTACACGGTTCGCCGAGGATGCCCCCTAGACCAATGCACGCGGCCGGACCGGTGCGGATGGGGACGATGCATGAGGCGCGACACGAGCCCGTGATCATCGACGACTCGAATGGGAGTGTGGAAGGCATTCGGCCCGATGTCGACGTTATGAGGCCGTCGAGCTCGAAGCACAGACATCAGCGCTCCCATCGCGAACACGAGAGGCGCCTCGAGAGGGAAAAGGTCGAAGAATGGAGGTGGTGAGCACGCATGTTCTTCCATTTCATTTCGTTTTCGACATTAACGATCGACCCACGGCGAAGGTCACTGGCGGCCCGACGTATTGGGAGCATCATCCTGGAGTGCATGAGTATCCACCGGTCGTCGTAGTCGTCCAGCGGGGCGCTTATGGGGAGAAGGATACCTACTACATCATTCCCGGAGGCCAACCGGTCATATTCGAGGACGACTATGGCATCGAATCACCCGGTATGTCTGTTGCTCCAACATGACGTTCGATGGTTGCTGATCTATTCATCTCTAGTGTGGGAGATTTCAGTGGATTTTACAGACCTCAGCCTCTCCACCCCGTCATTGTTGAGGACGAATACGGACGCGAGATTTGTCGGTCAGTACATGCTATGCATGAAACGCTGCATTTCACTTATGTTTCCATCACAGAGCTGGCTACTCCGATGGTCGCATAACCCCAGGGCCATATTTCGGAAGAGTCAACGTCCAGTATCTTGGCAACAACACGCATGGCTACCAGCGAAGCCGTACTTCGCGCCGCGAGCGTTACGACAGAATGTACGATGGAGAGTACGACAGGGGATACAACAGGGAATATGCCCCGTCGTACGTCTCGTATCCGTCGCCCGCCTTCGATGAGTATGCCGATGGCAGATCGCCCTACAAGTAAGCCCTCACTCTACGCGGGATTGCTTGTGACCAACAACCTTTGCCAGCCGACACGGTTCCTATGATCACCGTGACATGGGTTCGTCTCGCAACGTCGTCTTCGCTGATCCTGAGGAATCGATGAGCGGGTGAGTAATTACACTCGTCCTAGACTCTTTCTGGGGTATTTGCTGACCCATCTGTGTAGTCGCCGTCCGGTACCCTCACACAGGTCCCACTCGAACTACAGCGGTAGTCGTCGCAGCGACGAGAGATATTATGACTCGCCTCCGCGCATGGACGGCTACGGCGCATATGGGTCTTCCTACGTTGATGTAGACCCGTACGTTGACCCCTACACCGGACGCAGTAGGTCAAGGTGGGTAGGCGTCATGTCCCACGCACAGTAGTATGCTGACTGATTCGGTGTCTGCCTTAGGTCCGGTTCTGGCAGTTCCTCTTCCCGCCGTTACCGCGACGTTCACTATGACTCGCGATACTGAACATGATGCGTAGTCTATCCGAACGAGTCCTAGTGATACGTAGGCCCGTCAAGTGTGAGCTGGACTTTCTTGCTTTGTAATATTTATCGTCGCTCCTTTCCTGTATGTTGTCTCAGTACTGCACAGTGGTGAATAGGATTGTATATTAGTGTAGATGGCGTGCAGACCACTGACAGCCCCGACTACCGCTTGCCACCTCTCTTCCTCGGCCCGCGTCCACCTCGAGAACCACCGCCAACACTGAGTCGATCTCATTTTTGCTCAGCTTGAGAACGCCGCCCTTGAACGAACCCACGCCCATCTTGAGGCCCTTCTCCCTCTTCCTTTTCTGTCCCTGCGCAGATGCTTCATAGAGTTTCTTCAGTGCAGGGTGATAATTTCCGAGCTGCTTCGCCTGTCACATAAAATGAAGGTGAGAAGCCGTCGGGGAAATGGAGGGTGATCGTCGCCGAAGGAACTGACCTCTTCGAGCTGCTTCTCATTCCGTTCTTGCTGCTTCGTCGCCATTCCTTCCCGGACGCGCTCGCTGCCTTGTTCGCTCTGTGAGCCGGACTGCACGCTCGCCTTTGCCTAGCTTTGCTTGACCAGCGGCTTCCAGGACGCGGCCAGCTAGCGCCTTCTTCCGCTGCGCGGGCGTCAGGTTGAGCTCTGCATCTAGCGATCCGGAGAGGATACGGGTGTGCACGAGACGATGCAAGAGAGCGTCGTTTTGCGCATTCGTGCTATACATGCCGCATACATCAGCTCACGCTCATGCTGCGCATTCCATGGGCTTACAGTTCGTCATCTCCGTCATCTGGCTCTTCCTCTTCGGGGTTTCTTGGACATCTTGAGTGAGCTTTGTGACTTTAGATGACTAGATGCCTGGTTAGACGAGGGATATACACATGTCACACAAGAAGGCTTACCCACCATGAAGGCTTTCATCTGCGCCTTGCTAGGTTTTGAGGTCGATGGACCAGCTATTGACTGGGTCTCCGAGAACACAACCACGTTTGCTTGAGACGCAAAGGCATCCTGTGATGACGGCTCAACTTCTGGATGAGTATCTTCAGGCTTTGTGACTACATAACCAGCTGCGAAACACACCTTCGTCCGAGTCCACCTCTCCGCTCTCGTCTACGTTCTTATCCTCCTCGCTTCCGCTCGACGAGCCAATACCAGACCATTCCTCCTCGGATTCGACTTCTTCCACTCTTTTTTTCTTCGTACGCCTCTTCTCTGTGCTCGAGGTGTCTTTCCGTTTGCCCATCACGATTGGTGAGGCGAACGAGCCTAGGAATTGCTGCCCGTGAGCTTCGAGGGCCCGAAGCAACTTGTCTTTGTCTGGATTGGCCATGTCGTTCTCTGTGATGATTTGCAGTACAGATTTTGAAGCTTCCGGGTGCAATGCGTATGTATGTAGCTGATGGGAGCGTCAACGAACAGCTGTGCAGTAAGTAGTGGCAGGAGAGGACAACTTGAATCCACTCGCGCTGAGATCAGATCGGGCACACTCGATTTGCCTGGGCGCTTGCTGTCCGCCTGCCCGCACACAGTCCGCGTTCGTGTCTTCTCGCAATCGTCCCCTCGAACAACATGTCTGCCTCTGCCGGCTGGACGAAGCAGCAGGTGGCCCGCGCCTGGACGGGCTCGCCGCTCTGCAAGGACTTCCGCACTTGCTGCGCATACCGCCCCAGTGGCAGCGGCGCACGTCCCGGCTCGACCCCATGATCAAGTTTGTGAAGCCCAAGGACCGCATCAAGTACTGGAACATCATCCCCGGCGACCAGGTCCGCCTGCGCAATGACAGGAGCGGGCGGATATACCAGGTCAATATGATCAACCGCCTGTCGAATAGGGTCATGTGAAGAAGGAGTCGGACAACGTGAGTGTGTGTTTGCTGGACTCGTGTCTTCGGAGGGGCGAGGGTCAGTGCATTGTTGACATGCTGAGCGCATGATAGGACGAGCAAACGACAAACCCTCCAGCGGGAAGTCAGTGCCGTACTCGAACTGCCAGCTGTTCATCGGGCGGTATGAGTTCCCGGCAGAGGGGACTCAGCGCAGGCGCAGACGAAACCGTGAGTCTGTATCTTGCTGCTCAGTGACTTGGCTTACTGTTTTTACTGCCCATAGTGTGTTTGCAATGCGCGTGGGGACAGATAATCATCGCTGGGCAGGCTATTACTACGCCTGGGACCGGTACGCCTCTGCAACTGCGCCCCGACTACCTCACCATTTGCCCGGTGAGAGGGTCAGGGAACACGTCCCATGGCCGAAGTCAACCAGCCCACACGACCAGATCGTGCGTTGTTCTTGCTCACCGCCTGCCTCTCATATTGACACGGTGCTATAGCGGGTCCTTATGACACACTGAAGATGTCGTGATGCAAGTCACATACACACCGCCGACCTTCCCTGTCTTCACCGGCTTGGACAACCCTCAACCGAAGGCGCCTTCCGAAGACGAGTACATCCGCGCCGCGCGCAAGCCCACGGCGGCCGAGTACGACGCGTCACAAGCCTTCGAGATCTTCCTCACCAGGGAGCTCGCGAACCCGCACTCCCGCGCCAAGAAGCAAGCGCGCTGGCAGGCTTACCAGCTTTACAGGCGCTCGCTTCTGCAAAAGGTCGTCAAGGAGGAGCTGCAGAGCCTCGACGGGCGGACGCGCCGCGAGGCACGCGCGGAGGCGACGTGGAAGTGGCGGCGCGCATTGTCGGACGAGCGTAGGGCGGACCTCAAGCGCAGGTGGAAGAACCGCGGTGCGGAGGCGCGCATGGTCCGCAGGAAGACGAGGAAGGGGCGCAAGGAGGAGAAGCGCAAGGAGCGCCTGCGCAACCTCGTCCTGGAGGATGGCCCGAACCAGGTTATCCCCAATCCTGGCTCCGAAGGTGCGAAGAGCCGCGCATGATGGCGGGCTCGTCGCGTATCATCCAAAAATACCGCTCTGTGTCCTCTACTTACACTACGCTAATCTACTGCTTCCTGTTTGAGCAAGTGGGCCGCACCGTCGTGTCCGTCGCTGGCGACCACACCGGTGAGAAAACTCATATCTTGACATGATCGGTTGGCTCGTAGGTTTTGAAGCCTTCTATGCTTCTCATCAGACATTGGTCATTCGACTGTACAGTTTGCGAGGGTGGCTTCCTACATAGTACCTCACAGGCTCATAAGACGACATCGCCAGCGTTTCGAGTTGATACTGGCAACCCCGTTGACGTTGTCGGGACATGGCCTACAGAGCTGGCAGACTGACCTGAATCACGGACTTGTCGAGATGGTATGTACAATGAAGCCGCTGCACACCGGCTGCACATGCGCAGGCCTCGCTGATACCGCAACTCGGCACCAGCATTTTTCCATGGGGTTTGCCATGCCGCAAATGCGCGAGACGATGAGAGACCATTGTAAGCAACACCGCTTGTCCCGAACCCTTGGTCGACCTGCTTACGAGTATGATGCAACTGCAGACCACCGCTGCGGAAGATCGACACGGTGATGCAAACGCATGTCCGGCGGTAGTAGTGGCGGGTGTGTGCGACTTGCATTTCAACCGGAGCGCTGCATTCTGAAAACCAACTTGACATCGGAATGCAAGTCTTCTGTGCGTGAGTGCTCGCAGAGTCCGACAACCACGGAGGAGGCGCTGGGTGGCTTCGACACAACATTCGACGGTCCGGCTCGAGACAGCCCGGGCGGAAGGGGTCGGCGAGATCGAGATCGTACCCCTCGGCCTGCCAAATGGGGAAAGCCACGGGCGTCTGCTGCTATTTACTGAGTTGTGGCGGCGGCCGTCCTCCGTCGGAGGACCTCCCTATGGCGCCTGGCTCGAATGACAATCACCATGCCAGTCGCCTTCTTCAGTCCGCAAGCTCATGTCTGCCTCCCGCTAACTTCCCCGGTTGATATACCCTCCCGCCATTCAAAATAAAATGTCCTCCCGCTCATCTGACACCGTCTTCGCAGACCAAGAAAAGCAGCAAGCCCGGGGCGGTGTGAACGCCTGGGAGAAGGACCCAGAGCGGCAGAAGGCCGACGCACCAGAGCCTAGCAGCAATACAGACGGCACAGGAACCTCCGCTTCTGAACCACCGGATGACGATGAGTACGCGGTCACTCTGGGTCCCGAGGACGACCCCAAGAGGATCGGCACTGGCAGGAAGTGGTTGATCACCCTCGTCATCTGCAACGCCGCTCTGTGTGCGACGTTCGCATCTTCTATTGTAGGTCGCTTTTGCTATTGAATCGAGGTTGTAGTATGCTCACATGTACACGCGAACGTAGGCCTCGTTCACAGAGACTGGCCTGCAGCGCGATCTACATACAGTGCGCGAAGTAACGGTCCTGAGTATCAGTCTGTATGTCCAGGGTCTAGGTAAGTGATATCCTCATACCACCCGAAGCTGTTCGTTGAATAGCCTCGCCTAGCGTTGGGTCCGTTACTCTTCGCCCCATTGTCCGAGGTGTACGGTCGTAACAATGTCTATCGCATCTCGTATTTCTTGTTCTGGGTCTTCACATGGCCTATAGCCTTCCCGCCAGACATTGGTACGTCCTCTTCCTCGTCTCAAGTTACAATAGCCTGTCTCAATGGCACGTCCGTATTGCAGAGACATTCCTCGTCTTCCGCTTTCTCACCGGATTCTCAAGCTCCGCGTTCTTGAGTGTCGCAGGCGGCAGCGTCAGTGACCTGTTCGACAACAGGAACGTTGCGACGTAAGTCTACCCTTCTCATTGGCTCGTTAACACGACCTTACGATACATACAGGCCGATGGGCGTATACACCTTATCCCCCTTCTTCGGTCCCGTTCTAGGGCCCTTGATTTCTGGCTTTATCTGTCAGGCAAGTCTGTTTTAGGTCTAGGAGTGTTACCAGATATTCATGCACCTCACTTCCGCCACAGAACACGAACTGGCACTGGGCGTATCGTGTCTGTCTCATATACGAGTTCGTGACTTTGGTATCGCTGCTCCTGGTACGTGCGATGGATCACACTGCATATGAAACCGTCCTCACTTGCATACGTAGTTTGTGCCGGAGACGTATGTCCCCGTTCTGTTGAAGAGAAAGGCCGCAAGATTGCGGAAGGAGACGGGCAATGGGAAGTATTGGGCTCCGCTCGATCGCCGGGAGGGTTCGATTACGCATTCAATCATGCTGAGCATCTACACTCCATTCAGTGAGTTTCCCAGAGTTCTGAGTGTGAACCTCAACTAAGAGATGCTTCAGAACTAATGTTCTTTGACAAGATGGCGTTATCTCTGAACACTTGGTGCGCCCGATTACCTCTTACGCGTCTCGTCGTCTCATCGTGTACGCGGTTAGGAACTCGCTTACTCTCGGCATTCTCTATTTGACCTTCGAAGCGTTCCCTGTCATTTTTGGCGACGTGCATGGGTTCACATACCAGGAGACAGGTCTGGCCTTCCTTGGCATGGGTATCGGTATGTTCGGTGCCCTGTCAACCCAAGGCCTCTGGAACCGGTGCGTACCAAGTCCTCATCACAGCTGATCAGACCACTGACTGCCTCCCCAGATACCACCACAACGTCGCCGCACGGCACGGCGGGAAGCTCCCGCCCGAGACCCGCCTCGTCATGGGCATGGTCGGCGGGGTGCTCGCGCCCATCGGGCTCTTCTGGCTGGCGTTCACGACGTACCGCGCGGTGCCGTGGATCATCCCCATCATCGCCTCGTCGCTCTTCGGCGCGGCGGTCTACTTCATCTTCACGTCGACGTTCACGTACCTCGTCACCGCGTACCGGCCCATCGCGGCGAGCGCGATGGCGAGCAACACCGCGCTGCGGTGCACGTTCGCCGCGGCGTTCCCGCTGTTTGCGGTCCAGATGTATGATCGCCTGACGACGGTCGGCGCGACTGCCCTCCTGGCGGGTTGATGACCCTCATGGCCCCGTTGCCGTAAGTTCTCTTGGGTTCCTTCTGGGACTGGCGGGAAGCTGACTTGTGTCTTAGGTTCCTCTATTACAGATGGGGTGAGAGGCTGAGGGCACAGTCCAAGTTCGCCGCCGTAGACCTCTGACAAAGGGTTCCTGCCCCGAAGCATTTATTTATCCTTGTTTCATTGTTTGACTGGGACGCATTCTGTAGACAACTGTACTACCATCTCGGGAATTACGACTCGCAATGCTCGGTTCACGCTGTCATTTGTATGTAGTAGCTGTCGCCTCACTTTTAGATTAGTACCCTGGCATAATGACATTTCTTGACGCATGGGACCCCTTCAATCGTCCTGGTCACCTAGATCACTGACTATTACGTACTCAGACTCAGTACTCAGAACTCAGAGGCAACCGTCCAGTCAAGACTGGTTGAAGCTGGTTGAAGTGTTTTGCGGGTGTCCCGGAGACTGTCGGGAACGTCCGGAGACTGGCGCGCCCATTGCCCGACGCGAGTCCTCCGAGTCCGACTGGTCCTGCTCGTTGTCAGAGAGTTCTCACGCATCTCGTACTCATACACCATGACACTGCTTGCTCGTGCCAGCCCCGTCGTCCGCCAGTCCCTCGCCCGCTCGTCCGCCAGGACCCCCGTGCGTTTCTCGCATGGGCACGCCTACACCCCCGCCGACGTGCGTCTCTCTGTTTTCTCATCCATGCAGCGGAGCTGACCCCGAGCTTTACTTTTGCATGATCTGCGGACTGCGTGCTGGCGGGATCATCGTGGTGGATGCAGGCCGTCCCCTTCAACTTCCAGTCGAAGACGACCTTCGGCTCGAAGGTCGCGGTGTACCTCCTCAGCGGCTTCTCTGTCCCCTTCTTCGCGACGTGGTACCAGCTGTACGTCTTCTTCTCTCACTCCGCTCCCCTCGATCGTCTTCGGAGGGCATCATGCTGACGTCGTGCCCATTGAATTGTATAGGAAGAAGTCCGGCGCCGGTGGTGCATGATGTCTTCCGGGTCGCACGCGCTGGTCACGAGTCGGAGGATGGGTGTCCGCAGGAAATAGACGTTTGCATAGAGGAATCTATATCTGCAATGCATATAATCGTTCCGCACTCTATCCGCATCGCGACGCGTTACACATAACCAATCCAGGAAGTGAGATTACAGCATATTACTCGGACATGATAGAAAAATCTAGGATATGCACAATCCAGCACTGAGTGCGTCTTCAGCATCGCGCCGATCCCTTCACTCGTAGCCAAGCTGAGCTTTCTGCGTCTTCTTGATTTTCTTGCTCTGCTGTGCCGCACGACAGTCGCACGTCCGCGTCATGAAGTCGGGATCTCCGTCCAGGGCGTCGATTGCATACGCTGCCGCCAGGCGAGACGCAGACGCGATGCTGTGGTCTTCAGCGCTCGCCAGGACGACGTCGTGTACCATCACTGTGAATCAATGTCAGCATCTGCAATACTACGAAATGGAGATTCGTTGCATACCGTCACAGCGTCGCGGTCTGGCATCCTCGTCCTTGATGATCTGGTGTTGCTGACATCCATATGAATACAGCAGATCGAACAGCGTCGATGTCGGGTGTAAAGACAGCGTCTGCATCCGGATGTGGCGATCGTAGAACGGCTTCAGCGCGCTTTCGAAGAACTTGACCACCCCAGCTTCCGTGAAGTCGTCTGAGACGTACAGCCCGCCTACGATGGACTCAACGATGTCCGAGAGCACCTATGGCAACTTAGTTGGGTAATTCCTCCTCGCTATGACACACGGTGAACATACTTTCGGCGGATTGGTGCTTAGCCAGTACTGGCCGGGCAGCCTGCCGTCCTGCTCCGCGGACGCGTACTCGTCCCGCTTCGCCTTCTCGACCTTGTCCACGTACGCGCTGATGGCCGCGCCCACGTCAGGCGACGCATGTCTGAAAGAGTGATACAGGCCGACGTCGACACAGAACGCAGCCAGCGTTTCATTCGAGATCATAGCGCTCTAGTCTCTAGTCAACCTCTAAGGATGGGATACATGGGTCTCGAGACCCACCTTGAGCAAGGTCAGGCCCGCCGGCGCCAGCGTAGGATAACTGTCGTAGACGAATCGAGCGACAACTTAACGGTGCAGAGACTGTCAGCTCTCGTTACGCCTCGCCAACAGTTGGCCGGCCACTTACGGAAGTCAAGGATAGCATCACCCACAAATTCCAACCGTTCGTAACCCGTATATCCAGGCCCATGAACAGACGAATGCGTCTACATACGCGTCAGCAACAATATTCACGCACAGGCCACTCAGCGTGCTCACCAAAGCCTGCGCGAAGAGGTCTCGGTTCTTGATCTCGCACCCGACGATCGCCTCAAGCGCCTTCACATCCACGAGCGGTACGAAGTTCCGTGCGGGCGCCGGCGACCGGCCCATGATGCGCGCGAAGTCGGTCCACTGCTCGATGGACGGGATCGCGATGTTCATGGTCTTCATGGCCTTGAGGGCGACGGGCTGCCCGCCACTCAGGTAGGCGGCACCGATGATGGCCTCCACAACATCGGCCACCGTCTGTGGTGTTGTTTCAGTGATTGAGTTGGGGCGACAGGTGTGCGAGAGAGTCACCTTGTCGCCTATCCATTGGAAGTCCTGCTCGTCTTTCTGCTTCTGCTTCTTGCTGCGTTTTGCGGGCTATCAAGGTTTGTAAAAACTCCAATCAATCCCCCTGATCTCTAATGATTGCAAAACACCCTTACCGGCCCTTCCCCGTTGTTGCCGGTAGCTGTATTACTCGGTGTTCCGATAGGTGTCGGCGGTTCGCTAGCCGACTGCTGAACGACGGGCTCCCACACCTTCGCGACGAATGGCTTGCTGTGTATATACGGAGGCAAGCCGAGCTCGCTCGCGCAGTTGAGCAAGGCTTTGTTGGAGACGATGTCCTGCCGGATCATGTGCAGGTCACCCTCGCCCGCGGAGGGCATGGTGACGAAGAGGTAGACCGAGGCGACGTATTTCAGCAAGGCATCACCTAAGATGCGAAACAACGGGTCAGCGGGTGACATACACATGAAAGGCTGGGGGACCTACCGAGCAGTTCGAGACGTTCGTAGTCGCGCTCTGCGATAGCCGCTGGTGAGGTGAGAGCTGCGAGGAGATCGTGTTCACGGATCGAGTTGTCGAAGAGCTTCGAGTTGAGTTCCTTGACGACCAGCAGGTCGTCGATCCTGCGTATGATAGATGGTAGTAGGAGCATCGTCCGGAGAACGCTGTACGAAACGTCAGATAAAGAGCAAATGGAGATGGTAGTATACACCACCTAGCGGGTATCGTGAGCTTCTGGCAGAGCTCTGGGATGAGGTCTTTGCAGATGTCAGCGAAAACAGGTGGGGCATGTGGACCACTTACATTTGGCAGGGAACTTGGACCCTGTTGTTACTGTCCTCGAGGTAGGATTGAGGTTGTTGATCATCGTGGGTACCACCTCCACTTCCACCATAGGCTGCCGAATGTTCTGCAGACCCGGGAAGTCCTTGATCCTGTCCATGCAATACGCCACGAAGTTTGCATAGTCCGCTTCTCGCTATTCGACATGTCAGCTCGTGTGCTCGATCACTGGTGAGGCGATACTCACCGGGCTATCCTCCACTTTGCTGAGGGGCGTCATGTCTCGTCTGATCTTCGTAATGAAGTATCGGTTCGTGAACTCAACCTTCCGGTCCTGAACGACGGCATCCGCAGCGAAGTCGCTTTGAGACGTGTTGCTATTCGGTACAAGGGGGACGATGAACTCGTCTGCAGCCAGTTGCACTGCATCCCAGGGGATATACGCGTCCACCTGCAAGTCGGCCGAGGTGCGGTGCTGTGCGGCGTACAGGTTGAAGCCACTGCTCAGGGGAGCAAGGAGATACGGAAGACTGTCGACAGGGCAGCTGAAGGGTTTGTGTATGAGGACACGGCATACGCGGATCGTATAGCCATGCAACGCGCTCAGCTGCTCTTCGTTGTATTCAAGCGGTGCTGCCTTCTTCAGTTGTACCGGCGTAGAGAATCCAGCAGAGAAAACCGGGAAGCTCGGCAACTCCGGATGGGCTCCCGAGTCAGAATGAGAACAGGGGCATGATGGACCCATTCAGGTCACCGACCGAGACGACCGTGGGGTAAAGCCGTCCAGCGCGAGACGGAAGGGATGCGATGTTGTCCAAAACTCGGCTTTCTTCCGGGGGTAGCGGAAGACGCTCGACGACGCCACTGCAGCTTTCTTCTCGGTTTCCTTACTCTCGGAAGGAGGGGGTGTAGGGGGCCGTGGTAGCTCCGCGTGCGTTACCTGCAGGAGCTTCGCGCCGAGGTAGAGCTCAACACGTGAATATGTCTTCGGAAGCTTCTCCCCGGGACGGGGGCCTACAACGACCGCTGAGATCCGTGGTCTTGAGTGGGTATCAGCCGCACGGGTGAAGCGACCGAGCTCGGCGATCGCATCGGAGAACGTCAGGGGGTCACCAACGACAATTGAATGTATTTGGCTCATGGTGAGGGTTCTGCAGCGCAGGGAATCCAAGAGGCACTGGTATGCAAGTCAAAATTTGTTCTTGTCAGCGTCGAAATGATGACGCTTTACCTCAATCGAAATGACCGCTACATCATCTTGGGCGAGCCGGTACCATTGTGAATGGGGGGTGCCATCGGCTTGGGCCATAGATGCAGCGTACGTCCCGATGCTGGCGAAGTCACCAGAACGCACGTATTCTGCAACACTCCGCCCAACTGCATCGTCATCCCTATTGTTGCAACAAATGGAGTTAACCGAGTAACGTGAACTAAATTTGGACGAACGATAGGACAAGGAGGCACAAACTTGCGCGAATGGAGTCTTTGGGCACCCGGCGCTTTTTTCCTTCGCTATTTTGATTGAGCAAGCTCTTCATAATGTTGTCCTGAAGGGCTTCATCCTCCGCCACGGCAAATACTGCGGCGTAGTGAGTCAGCATCACGTCTACGGATGGCGACGTCAGACAAAGGCTCACCATTGCGAACGCCGGCTTGCTCTAGGACCATACGGAGGTCGGCAACATTGGATGGCTTTGGCACATCCTCGACAGGCTTGCTCTGCGGTTGACTGACCGAGTTGTTTGTCTTTCGTTTCTTCTTCGGTGGTTCAGCCACGTCGCTTTGTGATGGGTACAAGGTATCAACAGAGCCTGTGTGACGATCCGCAGTGCTTCCGGATGCGCCACCGGAGCTCATGCCGTAACGTTGGGCAGGTAGACAGTGCCTATCAGATTCGCTCGGTCCGACAGCTGCTCTCCCAGACAGAAAGGCTTTATGTTTCAATAGCCTTGGCCACCGCCGGTCAGAGGGTAACCAGGAAACCAGCACGGTGCCCGCTATATATACAGATTTAAGACGGCCAAGCACCTCGGAGAAGACAACGGCAAATAGGAAGCAGAGATTGAGACAAAGAGAGCACGGCTTGTATTGTGGAAACACGCGCAGATGGGAGACGAGGAGGGCCTGCGAACTTCAAACAACACACGCAGCTTCCAAGAAAGGAATGGACAGATCTCGATCGCCGAAACAGCGCCCACGCCACAATAGCTGCTGTTGGAGGGCAAGCGGCGACGCCCATCCTCTCGCACAACAAGGTCCTGCCTGGTGGGGACCGAGCGCTGCCAATGGACTCGCATAAAAGGGATACGCAACCATGCTCAACAACGCGCACATCGTTCGGCAGCTTGCCCGCCAACTGCAGGACGCAGAGCCCGACCCGTCATCGTCCATGTCCGCACTGATGAGGGGACGCCTGCATCCCGAGCCATGCATGCTCGCTCGTCTTCCCACTACTGGTCAGTCTCCTTCTGCGGGCTATCTGACACCTTTTATAGACTCGTTGAAAGCTTTCATCGAGCGTGAGGCAGAGTATCTTGCCCCGAAAGCAGTCATCAAGCAACTGAGACGGTCGCCCAGTCCTTCACCACCGAACTCGGACCAGGAGGATCACGATGTGACGCCACAACCTTCACCGGAACCCAGGAGCCGGAGGAGGAACCTGTCAAGCCCAGAAGCAGAGCTAAGAGCCTCACGTCTATGATCTCCTCGCTATCCCTCCCTTCCCGCAAGCTTTCCGTCAACTTGAAACGCTTTTCTGCGCCGCAAACAAGTATTGAGAAGCCGATTGAGGTATGTCTCTTCTTCAAGTCCCTCTTTTCGCGAGCTCATCCCGTAATCTGCCCTGTAGCCGCACGAGGTCTTTTCTGCGATCGAGAGGAAAGACATCGCCTTCCTCATGGAAGTCCGGGACAAGGCGTTCCACCTCCTGTCCAGAGGCACGGCGACACCACTCCCCTCGTGCACGCCATGCGCTGCGGAAAGTCGCACCAAGAAGTCGCCATCATCATCCTCGGCGCCCTCTCGCGCTTCATCAACCACCTCTCCGACGAGGACTTCAACCGCCCGGGACGCGGAAGCTCCTGCGCACGCTCCGCCTGAACCTCCGCGCCGCAATCGACATGGGCCTGCAGACGCAGCAGAGCGATCTGATCGCGAGCTTCTTGCAGACGCTGGTCATGAGCGAGGGCGAGCGGTGGGTGTCCCAGCAGGCCGCGAGCGTCGCGGCGGCACTGCGCATAGAAACGGAGGACAAGCCGGTGAAGTCCGCGGAGGACGCGGTGAGGGGGTTCGCGACCAAGCAGCTGGGCAAGGCGAGTATGATCGTGACCTACGAGGACTACGTGGCGAATGCTACGGGAGATCTGCTCTTGATGGGCGCGTGGCACGGCGTGGTAGAAGCGGGGGTGGAAGGCGAGCTCATACCCGTGCGTGTGCATACCCTTCCAGCCTACCAAACACTAACCATTGTCTGGCCCTCATGTAGACGTGGTACTTTGCCCGCGATGAACGCGTGTACAGGGCATTCGTTGAGCGCTTGGACCAACATCAGCAAGAGATCAAGAAGCATTGTGGCAAGCGGCTCAGATGGCAGCTCAGAGTGCTCCGGCAAGTCATGGAGGGGAGGGCGACGTCCTGGCATGTGAGTGCTGCCTACGTTCCGTCAGGCGAAGTGACTGATGTCTGCTTTAGCAAAAGGTGGTGATATTGGCGGAAGAATTTGATAATGGAGAAGGTGTACTATAACACGGACATCTGCTCGGACGCTGTGATATGCCTTGATCTCTCCTCATCTTTTTCACTGCGTTTGTCTGTATCTGCTCTGATGTCGCGTTATATTCCTAGAATTGTCACGGACACTACAGTGTACACCAGTGTAATCTATCTGCATTGCTGCCAGCCCGGCATGTAGCATCAGCACGAAGCCGTGTCAGAAGGTACGCTGTATCACCTCCATCCTCTCATTCTATTGTCTGCCGCGCCTGCGCACATCGTCTCCGCTCATACAAGGTGCTATCCGGGTCCGAACTCACACCCCGTTTGATAGCGTATTCTTGAGCGCACAATAATGTTTATGCCAGGGGCACGCGTGCCCTCGCTCGGCAAGTGGTACACGGACCACAAGTGCTCGTATAAGGTGCCCTCCGGGCATGAGGTCGCGCCCGGAGAGGCGTATCATCGAGTACACATCATATTCACGTTGTATGCTATAGTACAGGTTGGTTCACATGCCCTTGGTGTCATTGTACGTCTTCTCGAACACTGCAATCAAGTCATCCTCGTCTTCACTCCAGGGTATTTCCGTCATGCTCAGCATACAAGGTAGGCAGCAGATCTTGCACATTGCGCCAAGTCCCCGTTGACTCCTTGCCATTCTGGAGGATCGTCGAGAGGCTGGTGAACGACCCGACCAAGACAGCGGCAACCGCCGCTACGTCGGCCTCGTGCACCGGCGACATATGGACGTCCAGCGTCGTGACCTTCGAATTCGGACGTGTACCCCGCAGCGGTGCATCGAGCGGCCACTGAGCCTCCTTCATCGCTTCCGGAGACGTGTCAAAATCCAGTTTAAGCGTGCGCAGGTGGTCGCACACTTCCGCGATGTAGGCCATCCCGAGGAGCGTCGCACCGAACATGGTGTGGGGGCCTCTGGTCGTCAGGACAGATCCTTGAGCGCAGGCCAAGCAGTCGCGCTGTTGAAGAGGATGTCGTCGTTCAGGCACGGTCCGGCTCGAGTGCGCAGAGAATGGCGTTTAGATATCGAATCTCGGGGCAGTCCGAGGCGATGATCTGTCGGACAGGGGACTTTTGCGAGTCATTCCAATGCGCAGCTCGGAGAGAGTGGGAGGGCATCGCTTCCGTACCGCCTCAAGCAGATGTCCTGCAACCGTTGGCTGTAGGTCAGTTGATAAGTCACGTCTAGGACGGTGAGTTTCGGTAGGTCAAATCGGTTGAGCAGCTCCGTGATGTCTGATATGCGGAGATGGATGAGCCTGAGATGATTGACTTGGGGGAGTTCTATTCTGCGTCTGTCCGGCCCCTTCGTGTGCGCCACTAGTGAAATGGTGTCTTCGAGGTTATCTGTGCACTGCTCGATACTCAGTGAGGCGAGCAACGGGAGTTCGGCTATAGTTTCTAAGCTTCTTCGGGAGGTGCGTACGACAGCAGGATGTCCAGCCTTTTGAGCCTGCGCAGAGTGCTGAGTGCGGGAACCAGCAGTCCTGAGGGGCTGGGCATGTGCACGCAGTCAAGATCAAGCCGATCCAGAGACGGTGTCGGAGATGCTGTCCGCACCAATGCCTCCAACAAAACGCGGTGTCGCTCTGGGCAGGAGCGGCGGCGAGATGCTTGACAGACGGACCCAGGAATGACATGTAGACTCGGACAGCACCAAAAATGAACCGTGGATTTGAAGGTGAGCGATCGGAGTTGGGGAAGGTATGGACGGGGATGACCGCTGTAGTGAGCCAGCTCCGCGTAGACCGTGGCCGTGACCCGACCCAGGTAAAAGTGGTGGGGGAAGACGAGCACCCTTACGTGCGCGGCGTAGTAGTCGAATCGTTCCCAGTCGCTGGGCTGTAATCCTCGCCCGAAACGCTGTCAGGGGATGCCGCCAATAAGCTTCTGCGTCCGTCGATATCGAGTCACTCACTATCAAGACGTCGGGACGGAGACTAGGTCGGCGGGCATGCACATGATGAGGTTTTGGATACCGAACTGTGTCTCCCAAAGCTGCCGATCGCGGGGCCATGGAATGTCTTCGACGTCCTGGCGAGACGCGCGAGTGTGGTCATAGTGGGCCGGTCTTTGATCAGCGCGGCACCCTTCCCCGGCTCGCCCCCGCCGGAGAAGGCTGTCGACTACATTTTCGACGAGTTCCGGGACCTGGAGGCAGCGATTCTGGATGTGGGCCATCGAGTTGACAATGAGGCGGTGTGCTTCGAGTTGCGGCTGGTGTCGGTTGCGGCTTTGGGGCAATCGACGTCTTCGCCTCCGCTCTCGCCGTATATATGCATGGCTGCGAGCTCTGTGAAGGGACGTTTGGCGTGCAATGCTGGGACGTGGCCCGTCGGAGACTGAGGAAGCTTCTGCATCGACCGATCACCTCTGCATGGACGTGTGATGCATTTGCGATGGCACATCACATCGGACTCTACGTCGCTGGTGGAAAGACGTCTGACGTCCCCTCGCCCGGTGAGTGGTCGCTTGTATGGTAACAGAGGGTATTGCTCACTGAGATCCGGATGGAGGTCCTGAGCGCTCGGAGAGGTGGACCATCGACTACGTACGGCAATTTATCCTCCTGTTGTATGCTACAGTATGATCGTCCATTTCGAACGTCCGCAATTTCTATCATAGTCCGCTTCGACTCGGGACACTAGTGCCACAGCTTCGCGTCTCGGCTAACCATCTCGTCACGCTTTCCTCTCCGCATACAAGGTCGGCAGCACATCCTGCACCATGCGCCAAACCCCCGTCGACGCCTTGCCCATCTGCAATATCGTCACAAGACCGTGAACGATCCGACCAAGGCCTCAGCGACCGCCGCCACCTCCTCCTCGTACAGCGGCGCCGCACGGACGTCTAGCGCTGTCACCCTCGTATTCGGGCGCGCGCCCCGCTGCGGCGCACAGGCGGCCACCGCGACTCCTGCATCGCTTCCGGGGACACGTCGACGTCGAGGGCGAGCGCGCGGAGGTGCTGGCACGTTTCCGCGACGTAGGTCAGCCCGCGGAGCGTCGCGCCGGACCCGGGGTGGGTCGTGAGGACGAGCTCCTCGAGCGCAGGCCAGGCAGCGGCGCCCTCGAAGAGGATGCCGTCGTTCAGGTCGCGGACGTGCGAGACGTGGAGTCGCTGTAGATCATGGAAGATGTGCAGCGGCCGGAGGGACCTGGTGGGATCCCGAGGACAGCGGACAGCCTGCCGGACGGTTCGATCCGCAACTCGTGAGAGCGGGAGGACACCGGTCGACCACGGCTCGAGCAGCTGTTCCCGCCGGCATAGCTGTCGCGGGTGGATAGCTCACGCTCAAAGCGGCGAGCCTCGGGAGGTCGATCGGTTCAGCAGGTCCGCGCAGTCTGACATGCGGAAATTGGTGAGACTGAGATGGCTCACTTGGAGAGCTCGAGTCTGCGGCGCCTGTCCGGTTCCTTCGCAGGCGCCAGCAAGGACCCGGTACATCCAGACTCGTCCGTGCGCCGCCCGACATTCAGCACGGCGAGCAAGGGGAGCCCGGCTATGATCTCCCAAACCACCTCAGAAGGCCCGGTCGGCACATGATGCTCAGTCTCCTCAGTTCGCGGAGATTCCTGAGCGCGCCCGCAAGCAGGCGCGAGGGGTCGGGCGACGACCGGAAGTCGATGTCGAGCCGCGCTAGGGACGCTGATAAATACGAGGCGTGCGCCAACGCCACCACCGCGGACGCGCTGTCGTTCGGGCCGGGCATGACGGTGAGTTCTTCCACCGACGGGCCCAGCAGCGCCATGCACATGTCGGACAGCGCCGGCGGCTCCGTTCTCGACGTGAATGCGAGCGATCGCAGGCGGGTGAGGTACGGGCGGGGATGGTCGTTGTAGCGAGCCAGCGCCGTGTAGACCGCTTCCGAGACTTGGACCAGGACGGGCTCGTGCCCGGGGAAGACGAGCTCCCTGATGTGTGCAGCGTAGTAGTCGAACCGCTCCCAGTCGCTGGGCTGCAGCGCTCGCCTGAAGTTCTATCGCGGGAAGGACAGCGGTAAGCTTCCGAGTCTGTCTAGCGATAGGGGGCCACTCACGATGTACTTCAGCGGCACCAGCATGCGGCTCACGGAGACGAGAGTGTCGAGCTTGAAAAATAGGTCGACGGGCATGCACAGGATGAGGTTGTGGATGCCGGACTGCGTCCCCCAGAGCCTGCCGATTGCGGGGCTGTGGAATATCTTCGACGTCCTGGCGAGACGCGCGAGGGCGGACATGGCGGGCTGGTCGTTGAGCAGCGCAGCGCCCTTGCCCTGCTCGCCCTCCGCCGGGAGAAGGCTGTCGACGATGTGCTGGACGAGTCTGGTACATCGAGGCAACGATGCATGTGGGCCATGGCGGTACGGCTGGCTATATGCGTCCTGGCCCGGGTGCACTGCGTCGAGAGCGAGCTCGGGGTGGTTGTCGTCTCTTCCACCGCCGGTGCTCTACATATATCACTGCCGCGGCCGCGTCACTTGTCTACGACGTCGGTCATCGTCTACGCCCTGTCAACAAAGTCGCTCAGCCGAGAACGCTGGGCCACTGAGGCGCGTTGGGCTTGTTCGACGCACCTCTTGACATGTGATGTGTCTGTGAAGTGCTCAATATTGCATGTCCCGTCTCTCTGCGTCTGAGACAGAGAAGTGCGATCCAAGTACATTGGAGAGCCGCTGCTCACCGCATGACGCGCGCCGCGACAGTGATCCGAGTCGGGAAACCAGACTGTCACAACTGGCATGTGAAAGAAGAGGTTGGAATTTAGAGACAGATGTGTGCGACCACGCCGGCCTCAGGAGTAAGCACGGGTGGGTACCCGGGCCTCAGATGTGCGAGCAGGGCTCCCGGAGGGTTCCCCGGGCCAGCGCGAGCATGCGAACGTTTCGAGCATTCAAACCGAGCTGTTTCTGCGTGGCGGTCTCGAGCCTCTCTACATCCATGAATGGGCAGTGCCTGAGCCTGAGGGCCAGTTGGGCCTGCTATGGCCACCTGGGGGCAACTGGCGGTGCCGGGACAGGCGCATCAGGGCGCATCCGACGGCGCCGAATGCGGCAAAGGATACGCCATTTCGGGAGAAATGAGGACTTGCCCGAATGAGCGAGCGTAGTGCTAAGCGAGTGATTGCCAGTGGAGCGCAGCACCCTACTCAACGCCCGACTCAGATCTGCTCTGCCCACGACTTGCACCCCTTCACTGTGCCACCCCAAGCAGACAACTTTGCAGCCCGCGCCCGCACAGTCTCCGCGGAAAACCACGGCACAACCCAAGCTCTCACCGGCAGCCTCATGGTCGTCGGCAGCTCGCTATGGCCTCAAAATAGCACGGTACCGACTATCAGACGGCCTCAGAGCCGACTCGGAGGCCTGAGCATGCGGATTTTGCTTTGGAGACGACAGGGCAAAAGGTGCGCCGTTGCTATGGGTCACCGGGGAATACAAGGCTGCTGACCGCTGCGCGTGACAGCTGTCAGTCCACTGGCGGTGCAGGAGAGGGCTGGCATCGTCTCTGAAGGGGAGGCCAGGATTATATCCAGGAGGGAGTCTTTGACTGCTCGCCATGTTGTCGCGCTGCAGACATGCGTTCCGTGACCGTCTTAAAGTACGTGATGTGCCTTTATCTGGCTGCCGTTTCACGCATCAGGGCAAATTACGCCGCCGCTTTATGTAGGCATGCTGCATCGCTTCGGAAGGCCGGATCTGATTGACACTGGGTCCGAAGAGTGGGATGGCGTGGAGAGAGGATGCCGTGGCTCGTGCAGGGTGCAGCTGGGCCTTTGCGCGGGGGGTGGCTGGCGTCACAGCGGGGCTGGGCGCACCACATGAAGAGCTGGCTGGTGTGCAGGCCTGCAGGCAGCGGGCGGTGGATGGGATGCGGACAGAGGCGAGGGCTATTAATATGCACGGCCAGTTGCGGCTGCGGACGCCGTGCTCACGGCCCTCGGCCCAATCTGGCTCCTCGCCCCCCAATAAGATCCCCACGTTCGACAGCCGCTCTGTTCCGTCCTTTTTGCCCTGCCCTCCTTCGAGGCGCCTCATTCTCTCTCCCCCCATCTGCCAGGTCCCTAGTCTCTCCCCCTCTAGCCAGCATGTCCACCATAGTCGCTCTTTCTGCTCTCCTCGCCGCTGCCGCCTCCGGCGTGCACGCTCAAACTACCACGACGCCCGCTCCCCTCGCGGACCAGACATATGCCTACTCGGCGCTGGTTCGTTTTCCTCAACCACAGCCTCAATCACGCTCCTGACACTTGTATCCAGCCGTACCAGGTCGAGCCCATCGGTGACATCCGTGGCAACCAGGTTGGCTACAACAGGTGCAACTCCTCCACCGAGAACCAGGATTCCTACTGCCAGACCCTCATCGTCAACACCATTGATGGTTGTTGCCCTTTCTCTATATTGGTGCGCTTTGACATGAACCGGTGCTCCTGCTTTTGTAGACTTCTGCTTGTGGTCCTCGCCCAAGGAGAACGACACCATCGGTGTATCCGAGGCTTACGAGGTTGCCTGGTGTGCCAAGAGTGGCCACGGCACTCGTATCATGCCTGAGGGCACGCTCCAGGGTCTTCAGCACATCACGACCCCTGACTACATCATGATCGTTGGTTTCCTCGACCAGACGAAGGTCAACTTGGCTGCTTCCGACTATGGAGGCGAGCTCGACCCGCACGGCGCCGATGAGGTGGGTCTAGTGTTGTCTCCCACGCGCGCCGCGTGCGAACAAAGACTGACTAGACGATGCGCAGCTTGGTAACCCCATGGGTGGTATGGTCTACTCCAACCAGTACCCCTCCGGCAACACCGACAACAGCTCCCTGACCCAGGTTATTGAGTGGAATCAGTGCGTATCACCCATCTCCTGCCCTGCTGCACCACTGACATCCAGCCCCCAGGTTCATTGGCAACGACCAGTTCTGCATCAAGATCTGCAACCCGTCCGAGACCACGCCCACGAACGTCGGCCTGTGCAACAACGTCTACGACGAGGTCGGCATCTCGTACAACTGCCCGAACGCCGCGCAGAAGGGTGTGTTCGAGGTCTGCGACGGCGAGTCGATGACGCCCATCGGCCAGTACGTCTCCAACGGCGTCACGACGACCTGGACGCAGCCCTGGTCCGGCACGTGGACCGTCCCCTACACGCCGACTGTCCCCGCGTCGAGCAACTGCCGCACGTTCGCGTCCACTGATCTTTACTCGGCTAACTCGTTCGCGACCTCGTCCGCGTCGGGCAGCGGTTCGGCGTCCGGCGCGAGTGCGACTGGCACGGGCGCGAAGCCGTCTGGCTCTAGTGCGTCGCGCTCTGGGTCGTCGGCGGGTGCGTCCGCAACTGGCGCGTCTGGCAACACGAGCGGCGCGAACCACGTCATCGTGTCTGGCCTCGCGACCGTCCTCGGTCTCGGCGCGGCCCTCGCGTTCCTCGCATGAGTAACGAACATTCACGTCCCGTCTTACGAACTCTGGTGAAGGACTCTGTGCGCGCTGCCTACTTGCTTACCGTACGAGCTCGCTGAACCGTTCCGTAAAACGCGTACCCCTTCTACTTGGGCCCCTGTGTGTTTCGAATCTGTCTTTACTGGGTTCTGGATTTGTCGGTGTCAATTACGGTATGAACTTTTTATGTTTCTTGGGACGTGCGTGGTTCGTCGCGGCGACATGCGTCGGTGGACTGTAAGCTAGCTAGTTCACGCGTATGGATAATCTTGCATGCCCAGTGGGGTCGCTTGCATTCAAGTTGACTGCATACTGCTTGGACCTATAAGTGATTTGTAATGTCAGGATCCCGCGAAGGTCGACAAACATGGACTCGGAGCGTCGATCACTCCACCACAAGTACTGACTGATCCGGGCGATCGAGTCGAAGTCCTTCGGTCATCGCATGCTCGCTAAATCAGAACTCGAAAGCTTGTTGAAGCTTGAAGACCGAACAAGCGTCTATTTCTGTGCGCACACAGTGATGCGTTGGGTCTGATAGGGCCGCGCTCATAGGCATGACGCGCGACGTGAGACACTCGAGATCGGTGAGGCGCATGCATGTCCTGACGGCGCGACAGCTTTGCCAACGAGTACCGCCGGAGTACTCGCTGCTACTATGGCTAAGCTGGAAGCTGTGATGCTTGTCGATTATGAGTGTCGCGCCTGGGAGTCCGCATGAGACCGGGACCGTATGTCTCGGTGTGTCGTAGCGCGTCTGGGCTGTGGTGCATGTATAGTCTAGACGCGGGACTGACCGGTCCTAGCTTGCGGCGGGTACGGTCGACGATCGGGGCCCTGAACGGGCGGCATCGAATATATTGGCAGCGGTGAGATATAACGAACATCTGGAGCGAAGATTTCATAGTCCGGAGAGTTATGCATGAAGAAGAACGCGCCACGCTGTATCGTGCGCGTGGGCCAGCGGGCACTAGTCCACGGCTTAGAGGATGATCTTCATGCCGGAGTACCACAGCCAGCTGCCAATGATGACCAAGCTGGCAAAGCGGGCCCCAGATCTAGCTGGAGCACCGTGTAGACCCAGATTGTCGCTAGAGGTGGACACTGCGGAGGCGTAGCATGAGCAGGGGCAGCGGCCCTGTATGGGGAGAGACTGACCTGCTGCATGACGACCCGCCAGGAGGCCATGTTGATGAGCCAGATGAGGCGCGGGCCTACCGCGAGCGAGAGGATGAAGAGCAGGAACTGCATCCAGCGGAAGCGCTTGTATCGGGCCGCTATGGTGGGTTCCAAGTATCAGACGCAAGAGTTCACCATCCGTGAGGATTGCATATATACTCACTGTAGAAGATGAATATCGACAGGACTTGCAGCAGAACTGCTCAGCACGCGACCCATCGCAGAGTCGACTGGAGATGGCTTACTAGGCACTCCCGGAAGCATCCTATCCGCCAACGCCTGATACGTGGGCCGCTTCCCGTACTGCCAATGCACCAGACTGCCACGGAGGCAAACTTCGTCAGCAAGCCCCCATCCCACCCGCGCTCTACTCACGCTCACATTTCCATCAGCAATAACAGGAAGGACATGGGTATGATGAAGAGCGTCGCGTTGAAGATCTCTTCAGCCAGGGGCAAGCCCTCCTCGTCCTCTTCCGGAGGTTTCTGTGTGAGGACGGCGGGGCGAACTGCTTCAGGATGCCTGTCTCGTTGACGATCCGCCATTGCTCTTCTTCCGTGAACGCTAGGGTCTCTGATTCGGAACTGCTTTCTTCGGCTTCTGCGGCCTTTTCTTGGCTTTTCGCTCTGCGAATGCGAGCCATAGTGGAAAGAGTGATGTACTGTAGTGTATGAAGTCCTCGCGCAGCACTGAACCGCTTGAGCGTGGCAGACTGATGGCATGCGCTCGGTGTTAGGCGCCTGACGATCGAGACGCGTCCTGTTACACGACCACGTGCCATTCATTGCACTGGGGCGCATCGCGAATCCGAGGACGAGGATGAGATTCATAAAGAGTGCATAACTAAGTAAGACAGGCTGCGACGGATAGCAACATTACGAGTATTATTACAAGCAGAACAAACAAATAGATACGACAGCCCGATCATAGCGAGAAGACATGTCCTTCGTTGTACACACACTAGCTGGGTGCGGGTGGTCGCCCAGAGCCACTCCACGCTGCTGACGAGGAGCTTGGCTCTTCTGCTTCAAGCGTCTGCAGAGGAGATTGTCAGCAAGTCGCATCCAGCAAGCAAACATAGACATACCTCCAGAAGCATGCCCAGTACATTATCCACCTCTGCTGGCGGGACGCCCCCGCAGCCCGCTCCAATAAGCCTGCGGTACTCCGCATATGCCCACTCGTGCCCGCCTCCGCCTGGAATTTTACCAGCTCCTCAAACTTGTCTTTCCTCCTCCTCTTGTGTATCGCGAGCTCTCCTCGTAGCCGCTCACACTCTGCACGGACTACCTCCGGGTCCGTAGGCACGCCCGCATGCAGCGCGAGCAAGTCTGCGACGTCCTCGTCCGCAGGCAGTCCCCCGCCATGCACGCCCCGAATGCCATCTCGCGCTCCTCCTCGTCTTTCGACCACTTCTCCCACCCGAGCCGGTACCGCTTCCCCATCTTGTTATGCAGCTCCTCTTCCAGCGCCGTCAGCTGTTGCTTCGCCTGGGGAGCGCTTGCGATTGCACTTTCAAGTGGCTCACGGCGCGTTGGCTCTCGAGGATCTCCGCCTGAATTTGTTCAGCATGCATTTGCTTGTGTCAGGTCACGCTCCTTCTCCCGGAGCTCCGTGTCAAATGCTGCTGCCAGGCTTTCGAGCATCATCGCCACATCGTTCACACACCGCGTAGCCGCCTTCTGCCCCGTTGTAGAATGGTGTAGCGGTGCGCGATCGTGGTGTCCGAGTCCGAGGAGTAGTATGGCGGCCGCCGCCTGGGAGAATGACGCTTGCGAATTGCGGAACGACATGCCCAGGGTCTTGACGGCACGATGGGTGATTGGCGGAACTTCTCGTCCTCAGGATATAGTCCTCGGCGTTCTTTCCGTCGCGATTCGCGACCTTCGGGTCCGCGTGATGGTCGATAAGTGTCTTGACTAGCCGTTTACTTCGACACCGCGCGGCCATCGTCAGTGCGGTCTCGCCCTCCTCGTCTTGGAAGTTGATGATGTCCGTAAGCTCCTTGGGATACCCGCTTAAGCGCGAGAGCACGGCCTCCATGTAGTATCGCGCTGCGTGCGCCTTGCCCTTCGTCATCGCGAGATCGACAATGTGATGGAATATTGTCCGGTTGGAGTTGTCAATGTTGAGTGTGGAGCGATGTAGGAGTTCGTATAGCTCCGGGAATTTGCGTACGTCGTAATTATTTGCGAACATAACGCTGCGCATGAGCGCCGTTGACCAGCTCCGTTCACCTTGAATATGTCCGCCCCTGCACTAATGAGCAGCTTCACGATTCGGATGCGGCCCATGGCTGCTGCCCAGTGTAGGGCGGTGTGGCCATCGTCGTCGATCGCCATGTCTGGGTCGAAGTCTTCCGGAGGGCTGACAAGGATCTCAGGGATCTGATTTGTGTCCGAGATGAAGTATTCAAGGATCTGGTCGCCGTAGACGGACGGGTCATGCTCCCCGTTCTCCTGCATCTCTTCATCGAAGTCGTCGTTCTGCGCACGATGCTTGCGCTTGCGCGGGTTATCAGGACGCGGTGATTGGAATTCGTCGTCAGCGCCGCCATTGGAATGAAGTGCGGACGGCCCGGGACTGCCCAGTGGCGAGGGTGTGCGCGAAGTACTGGAACGGGAAGGAGAGGGTGTCATAGTGCCGTCCTCGGAGGCCCGCACGGACAACGTTTCAAGTTCCGATCCCTCCACTCCCTGCTCCCGTCTTCGAGACGAGCGGGTGCTGATTGTTGAGCCTCCGGCATCTCCTCTGCGCGAGTTGGGCTTGGAGCCGCGGAGGTAACGAGATGCTTGGGTGCTAGGGGCGGACTCTTTGCCTCTGGCTGGAATTCAACGATTGGGCGAATGTTATGTTCGCAGTTGTATGTTTTCGCAAGGTCGAGGCCTCGTTCGATCGGGATCCAGGTTCCTGTGTGCTCTCATATGACGAGTGCGTAGAGCGAGTCGGAGAAGAGAGCGCACCCTGGTATTTCCCGTAACCTCCCTGAACTTTCTCATGCTCTCCCTTCTGCACCTCGCGTTCCAGGATTCGGGTGCGTTGAGGCTTATCGAACCCGGCAACTTGAGGATCTGAGTCGCGTTCAGCCACGAGTCGGCGCGCCTCCGCATCACGGCGACTCCTTTGGTCATCCTAGGGAAGGAGAGTGAGCCAAGGCGCGTAAAACGCGTCTTGATTGCTTACATCTCATATACAGGGATGCCGCTGTACGTAGCCTACGATTTGCGCCGTCAGGAGTCGTCTAGTGGAGCTGCCTCACAGGACAGGAGAGCGCACCTTGAATATCTGATGTTCTGGCATATTGGGTATCCTGGCGGGCGTTCTGTGGCGTGATGGAGGTAGTAAGAGAGTAGCTCAGCGACGTCCGGCGCACTAGGGCGGAGAGGGGGCTGCGACGGCGGGAAAGGTGTATCCGTTGACGCGTAAACCGCAAATGACAAACGCGCCGCGTCTCCGACGCCCGCCACCGTCCACGTGCTGAGCGTGTCTCTGACCGTCCGTCCGAACTGAAAACAGCGGATCGGGGCTCGCTGGCGATGCTGGAGGATGCTGGCTGCAGCGGAGGATCAGGCGGGGTGTAGTGTGGATATGCGCGGGCGTGCAGATGGAAACCGCCACGCTCAGAGCGAGACGTCAGGCGCTCCTTCCATAAGGCGATCCGCCTGAGCGCGTCTCGGCGCGTCTTCTCTCGACCCCGCGTCCGGTCGAGTCGTAGGACACCCTGCAATAATTCATCCCCTGTATTCTGCAAATGCACTCGCTGTAGAATTGCTAAGATTTCCCTCCTCTGACCCCGCCTCGACGAGGGGAACGCTGGGCGCGTCCAAAGCGCGGTGCTACATTTGGGAATTGGCGCTGCCACGATCACGGGGTGGTCGCGCGCCAACGGGTCGGACGCCGCGTGTCGGTCACGTGGCCGAGGTCCGCTACTCGCGGGCCTCTGGGGCGAACTGCTCTTGAGCCACGACATCCACCACACCTGTCCCCCCTCCGTCGATCTCGCCAGTTCTGCTCGTTTTACTCGCGCGATGGCCCTCGCATGCGAGCCACTTTGCCACTTTGGCGGAAGGTGCGTCCAGTTCCGCGTATTCAGCATGGCACCGAGCGCCCTCGATCTGAACTTGAACCGCGCCGCGCAGGCTCTACTTCACGTCCTTTCCTAACCCACCTCCGCGATCAGAAGTGCTGAACCGCCTTGCGGCTGAGCCGGACTATGCGCCTCGGATACGTGGAGCGTCTGCGGGATCGTCCTCCTCCGTCACGCCCGACGACGATGCGAAGTACTACTACTTCACGATCGACGACCAGCTGCTGTATCTATCCTTCTTCCAAGACTGGGGTCCACTCAACCTCGCAATGGTCTATAAGGCATGTATACTTATCCATGAACTTCTTCAGGTGCGTTGGTTCTGCTGCCACTTGTGCTCCGGAATCGCTTCATACTAGGCTACAGGACCAGACGTTATCCTCACACCGCCTCGTTCTCTACTCCTCCAACGATCCGCGTAGGAAGGCCAATGCAGCCTTGCTGATGGCGCTCTATGTCGTAAGTGGCACTAGCGGTAGTGTGCCCGCGTTCTCTCACGCGACCCCACCGCACAGATGATCGTACAACAACGGCCACCATGGGAGGCCTTCCATCCAATCGCAGAAATCGAGTTTATGCCATTCCGCGATGCCGGGAGGGGTCGGTCAGACTTCAACTCAGCATCCAGGACTGCCTGTGGGGCATCTACAAGGCGATGCAGAATGGGCTGTGTGACATGAACGAGTTCGACGTCGAGGAATACGAGTACTACGAGAAGGTGGAGAACGGCGATTGGAACTGGCTCACGCCCAACTTCATCGCGTTCGCGTCGCCCGTGGACCCAGTGTGGATCAAGAGGGAGAGGGAGAAGGTAGAAGAGGGAAAGGCTGATGCGTCAGCATCGCCTCCGAAGCCAACAACGCGAGACCTTGCATTGCAGCGGAAACTGCCTGCGACATTCCTCAACTGCTTGGATTACTTCGAGAAGTCCAACATCAGGCTGGTGGTACGACTCAACAATCCGCTCTATGACCGGCAACATTTCCTGGACCGGGGCATTAGCCACCAAGAGCTCTACTTTGACGACGGAACGAACCCAACGGACGAAATAGTGAGGAAGTTCATCGACATGGCGGATGAAGTAGTCGAAGCCGGGGGTGTGGTCGCCATTCACGTAAGTACGCCGGTCCCAACGGTCTGTCTAGCCTCATGCCATACCGCGCACAGTGCAAAGCAGGACTCGGTCGCACCGGGACCCTTGTCGGCGCCTATCTGATCTGGAAGTACGGCTTCACCGCGTCTGAGGCCATCGCGTTCATGCGGATAGCGCGACCGGGATGCGTCGTTGGTCCACAGCAACAGTACATGTATCTCAAGCAGCTGGAGTGGTGCAAGTGGTCGGCATACGACGAGGTCAAGCGGATTCGCGATATGACCGCCGCCGCCGCCACCGCTATCGTCGCACCCGCAACACCCCCAGCAGAGGACGACCGGATGGACGTCAGCGATGGCCCCGTCGTCGCACCGTCTACAACCGGCCCAGTCCCTCCTGTAACTCCCAGCAAACATGTCGCCCGCGCCAAGCGCAGGCACGGGAGATTGCACCGCCTGCCCAGCCTCGCAAGACTCCGATCGCGAAGCGAGTCGCATCCGACTCAGATGCAGATGAAGAGGGCGATGTCCTTCCCGCCCTCGGTGTGGCGCCCGCGCCTATAAGGCGGAAGTCAAAGCCGGCGAGCGCACGACCAGCAGGCGTGCGCGGGACCGCATCCGAGCAGCGTCCGACACGCGTGACGCGCTCTGCAGCGGGCACGGCTGTAATACGGAGGCCAGGTGGAGCGGCGACGGCGCTGACTGTCGCAAAGAGCGTGAAGGCGAACGGGCAAGCTCCAAACAAGATCCCGCGCCTGGCCAACGGAACGAGCGTGCGCGGGACCAAGGAGGTTGCCAAGGAGGTCGCTGCGGCGTCATCGACGACGCGCAAGCTGCGGAACCCGCCCTCGCCGATCCCATCGCGCCTCCCAACGCTCGTCGCGAAGCGCGCGCACCACAACACGACCTCCGTGAACGAGCTCCCCGCGGCGGCGATAGCGGCGGCGAAGTCGGCCGTGGTTGCCGCGGGCGCGTGGATGACGACGAACGCCGCTGCTGTGGTGTCGAAGGAAGGTCGCCCGAATCTGCGGCCGATCCGCAGGCGGCGGAGCAGCTTCAGCGCGGCGGACGTCGTTGCGTGAGGCGGCCTCCGCGTGGTGCCGCGCTCGTACAAATAATTGAATCAGGCAGGCCTGGGTTTCTCTGTCTCTCTTTTCAAGAAGTATATATCTGACGATGGATTTTGCGTCGTCCTTGCATCTCCGCTGCATTGTCTCTGTGAATATCTATCGCTATCGCTATCATCGTGTCCTCTGTCTGCCCCAATGCACATCCCCTCACTCCCCCTCCCCCATATCCCTCCACATCTCTCATGCCTCGCTGTCCCAATTGCATATAGCAGAGTATCGTTTGCATAGCACCATCTTGTCTTCATACATACACGAGCCCCCCTCTTTTGACTACATCGCGATCCCGTCCAACCGAAATGGGCAATCTATGCAGCTTATGCAATATATGCATTCCAATGTACATGTCTGTGTGCCTCTCCATTTCAGGCCCCCGGTCGAGCAGCCTTCACAGTCTAGGCTTTTGAGTACTTGTGTACACACTCCAAGAAGAACCGCATATCCTCCGGGTCCACGCCCGGCGTGATCCCATGGCCCAAGTTCGCGATCCACGCCTTCGGCGCCTTCCCGCCCTTGAACTGCTCACACATCCTCTTCACCTCGCGCTCGATCGCCTCGCGGCCGCCGTAGAGCACGTTCGGGTCGAGGTTGCCCTGAAGCGCGACGAGGTCGCCGACGGCCCGGCGCGCATCCGCGGCGTCAACGCACCAGTCGATGCCGATGACGTCGTAGCCCGCGTCCGCTGCGAGCTCTGCCAGGAGCGTGTTCGCGCCTTTGGGAAAGAGCGTCATTGGGACGGGGGCGATGTTTTGCGCCTTGAGCTTGGCGCGTACGGATGAGGCGATGTGCTTCAGGGCGGGGAGCGCGTATTCGCGGAGGTGGTGCGGCGCAAGCTCGCCTGCCCAGGAGTCGAATACTTGAACGAGCTGTGAGGGTCGTGAGGGGATGGTGGCCTGGAAGCGAGGGCGACACTCACCTGCGCGCCAGCCTTGATTTGTCCTACGAGAAAGTCCACGCAGACGTCCGCGATGCGCATAAGCAGCGCCTTGCTCTCCTCGGGGTACTTGAACAGCCAGGTCTTCGCCTTCGTGTAGGTCCTGCTCGTCTCGCCCTCGACCATATACGAGAACAGCGTCCACGGCGCGCCGCAGAAGCCGATGAGCGGGACCGCGCCGTCCAATTCGCCGCGCGCGCGCGTGATGGCGGCGAAGACGTAGCCGAGCTCCTGCTCGACGTCGACGCGCTCGCGCAGCTTGGCGACGTCGGCGGGGGCGTTGAGCGGCTCGGGGAAGTGCGGGCCGGGGTTCATCTCGACGGTCATGCCCATCGCTTGCGGAACGACGAGGATGTCGCTGAAGATGATGGCGGCGTCGAGCAGGCCGGCGTACCGCCGGATCGGCTGCAGCGTCACCTCCGTGGCAAGCTCGGGTGTGCGGCATACGTCAAAGAAACCATGCTTTGCGCGCACTGCGCGGAACTCTGGCAGACGGTCCTGTTGTTAGGATTAAATTGCAGGGACAGTGGGGCGCGACTACGCACCAGGAAGGTACCGTCCCGCTTGCCGCATGACCCATACCGGCGCACGCTCTGTCTGCTCGCCTGTGAGGAAGGTGTCTCGGAGATGGAGAGGGACATCAGGCAAAGACTGTACCTCGAGCCGCGCGCAAAAGCAGGTCGTTCTTCAGCGGTGGGAAGTCGGTCGTCATCGCGGTAGACAACTTGCTTCGTCGGGAGCAAAGGGAAGGGTTTGCCTGGGAATTTGCGGGTTATGTACAGACGGGTGCGCCCGGAGAAGGGGAGTTGGTACTGTACAGAGTTCGCGATGGCCCGCAGCCGCGTCGCACACGATCGAAAGTGGCGGCACCAGAAGTGGCACGATCAAGATCGCGGGCGCCGACACTCAAATTCGCTTCGCGCCCCAGCCACCACCGCGCGTGCTGCACACCCGGCCGCGTCCAACCCCTTCTTGCAACCTCCGGGCCACGAATGCCCGCTTATCTACCGCTGGTTCTGAGCTGCGCGACTAGCTGACCGATGCCCATCGACAATCCGGCCCAGCTTGTGGAGGAGTACGCGCCATGCCTAGCTGCGTGTTGACGAACTGAACTAGAGGCATAGGTTCAAGAAGTCTGGGGAGTTTGACCGTTTGAGGAGGGAGTTGCTGGCGCAGTTTCGGAGTAGCGTGAGCATGGTTGCACTCAGCGGCACAAGCATCTTCATGTAGCGGGGCCTTCAGGATGCCATGGACACGTTGATGTCCCGTGTCGAGGACATCATCAAAGAAAGGCTCGCGTCCGACCAGAAGCTTTACTATATGCCAGAGACTGTGATGACACGAGAGCTGATGCAGGAGCTCGACAGGTGCGTGCAAGTAAGCTGGGCATCTGGGCGAGAGTCGCTGATGCCGATAGGGCAGGTATCCTTTAGTGGAACGAGCGGCGGGCGAGACGCGCGCACTGTCTGACCCCGCATTCACGTCGGGCGTCCGCAACTCTATCAAGAGCATTCTCCAAGAGGACCGTAGAAATGGTGCGAAATTGTGCCACCGCCTTTCAAATGCACGCTCATCGCGGTTCCCCGTACACAGAAGGGAAGTACGTCGACGGCATGGACATCGACGGCATCGAGGAAGAGACGCCGATGGACGAAGGCACGCCGGAGGATGACGATACGCGCGTGGTGCGCTTCGTGAACTACGCCAGGAGCGAACCTGATCTCGAACCGCGGGAGGAACCTGCGAACGAAGACCTCAGCGAAAGCGTGGCTCCGAAGACTGGACTGGACAGCTGAGGATCGTTGTCCATGGGTCGCATATATCCTGCATTCGAAGAGTTGGATGAACCTATTGGTAAAGCGATCGATGCTGTGTGCAACTTACAGGCTCGCAGACACGTCCGCTGACAATAGCACTGGCATCTGCACGATGATTGCTACGCTGATGAAGAAGGCCTCCTCTCGGGTGCTTGTATGATGCCTCAGCAGTGCATGGTCGTCAAAGCATGAATTCAGCGGACCGTCCGCGCCCCTAAGGCCTCAGGCCTTAGCGATCGTCTGGTATACTGCCGCCCGAGGATGTGAATTTGCGGCTTGTTTTGCGCCGCCGCGGACTGCAATGTACGGTGCGTGCTTCTTCCCGAGTCACAGACGAACTCCAGTCCAGCGGCCACACTAGATGTCACCGATGCATGAAATTGTTCGGTCGAATGCTGTTTCGCTGACAATCCTCATAACCCAGGACCGAAACCTGGACCGAAGGGAATCCGGCTTTTGGCTCATGTTGGCTTCCGGCCTGAGCTTCTCCACCGAAGTTGCGCCACTTGCAAGTTAGATTTCGGCAGGATGGTATCCTGGCATGGTATGTGCGTACTGCGCCTACCTTCAGACATACACCGCGAGCAAGATCTAGACGCGTTGACTGGAGCACGAGCATTGTATGAACAAGAATAAGATGGTGCTCCGCGGCACGGCCAAGCACTGGACTAAGACTAACATTAGAAATGACCTAGTCGTGTCCGGTGTGCGCGAGATCTGTACTGGTAGCATGTACTGTCCGTGCTCCGGTCAACGCGCCTTGTCATCTAATGAGTATGCCCTCTGAGTAGACAGCTCACTACGTACATCTAGGGGTTTGTCAGCGGGTACCAACATCTCAGACAGAAGTGCCTCGCAACAATGACCCGCCTGAGATGTCTGATCATGAGAGTCACTCAGACAGTTTATAAAACGCGGCAAGTGTTTCTGTGGAAGTATTAGATAACTGAATGCTCTCTCACTGAGTCAGTGAGCACAGGCTAGAAGCTGCCTAACTCCAGGCGCCCTCGCTACTTTCTGCTTAGGTCTGAACTCACTGACGCCCCGCAGCTTGGCTATTCAATGCATGTCGGTCATGAAGCGGCCCAACTGTCAGGGCATCATGGCCGCGCATTTTCCGTGCCAATCACGGGCGTACCGGCGCATGAGCCAAGCGGGCAGACAAGACTTTACGGTTGCTTTACGGTCATGACTCCGATGAGGATGCACATACTTACGCCCGTCCACGGTGTGCCTGCAATTCATTGCGGAAGACTCGCCGTCTCCCCCGTGCAACGGTGTTCAGGGGTCAGGGAGAATAGTCCGGTCACTGACCGCAAACTAGCTCGGACTGAATGGACCAGGAATGGACAGTGGACATGTCGACCGGCAGGACGCGCGAAAGCCAATCAGCGGGGGAGCTTCCAGGAAGCGCGCCGCGGGCGATCGGCAGGTGCCAAGAGGAGAGGGGAAGATATGAAACGGCTGATCAGGTGGGTCGGGGGAGTGGCGAAGTCCGAGGCCGCATGTTGGGCAAGTTGGTCCCTGGCCCGAGTCATGGCTTGCGGTGGGCCCACCTGACTCGCGCTCAGAAGGAGGTACATATCCCGGCCGTCGTCCAATCCCCTCGACCCCCTCCGTCCTTCGGTCCCGCTGCCCCAGTTCCGCCCGACGGCCAAGCCGAGAACCGTCCCCACGCATGAGCGCAGAAGAGCGTGAGTGCCCATCCGTGCGCCTCGTGCTACGTGACACTGACGGCGATCGTCGCGTTCGACAGTGAAGGATCGGACGGCGCGTCGTCGCGCGACGCCGAGAAGCATGCCTACCGCGCCTCCGCCCCGCGTCCGAGGCGGACCTCGACGTCGACTACAGGGCGCGCTTCCCCAACATCAACGAGGCCAAGGTCCTCCGCAAAATCGACGCTCGCGTCGTGCCCGTGCTGTGTGTGCTGTACCTGCTGGCATTCCTCGACCGGTAAGTCGATCTCTGCACGTACGCAACCCGGGTGACTCACGAAGCACGACGCGGACCAGGGTAAACATATCAAACGCGGCTCTCTTTGGGCTGAAAACAGATCTGAAGTTGACCGGCACTAAATATAACAACGCTCTCGTCGTCTTGTGGGTGTTTTTTGGGTGCCAAGTCCGGGACTGAATGGTCTGGTGTCGGATCTCAGCTTCGTTCCGTATGTCCTTGCTGAGATTCCTTCAAACGCGCTGCTCAAGCACTTCAAGCCACATGTATGGCGTATGTACCTTGGATCCGCTCTGGGTACTAGTGCTTACTACACCGCCCTCCAGTGCCGCTATGCATGTTCCTCTTCGGTCTTGTGTCCGTGTGCCAAGGACTCGTACAAAACTACAGCGGGTTAATCGCATGTCGCTTCTTCCTGGTGAGCGTTTTCAACTTGTTGTTCCAAGACTAATCTCGTCTCAGGTTTCGTCGAGAGCGGTGTATTCCCTGCATGTTTCTACCTCATCGCGATGTAAGAGACCATCCTAATTTCCTGGGCTACTGCTAACGCATTCCGCAGGTGGTACAAGCGCGCAGAAGCACAGAAGCGCTACTCGTTCTTCTTCTCGTCAACCACCCTCGCAGGCGGGTTCGGTGGCCTGCTCGCCAGCGCCATCGGCAAGATGGACGGCCTAAGGGCTACCATGGTTGGCGATGGATCTTCATCATCGGTGCTTGCTTCTCCCGTTTGTTTCGTGATCTCGGAGTAGCTGATCGAAGCTGCATGTGAACAGAGGGCGCCGTGACGTGTGTGGTCTCGGTGGTTCTGTACTTCACCATCTCGGACTTCCCGGAGGAGGTCACATGGCTGAGTCCGGAAGAAAAGGAGTTCGTGAAGGCGCGCCTGCACGCGGATGTCGGGCAGTCGAGGAGACATGACCCGCTGACCGTCCGCTCGGTGCTGAGTGTGTTCAAGGACTGTGCGTATTGCAGAGCGTCCTGTCCAACTCTCATACTCACGCATACCTTCAGTCAAGATCATCGTCGGCGGGTTCATGTACTTCGGCCTCATCGTCCCCGCCTACGGCTACGGTATGTCTCCATCCTCCTCAGTTCCACGCGCCACTGACACGGTACGCACCCAGCCTACTTCGCCCCCGCCATCATCCAAACTCTCGGACACAGCAGCATCCGCACGCAGCTCCTCTCCGTACCACCCTGGGCCTGCGCCTTCGCGCTCGCGATGCTCACCGCGGCCGCGTCCGACTATCTCCGGCACCGCTTCGTGTTCGTGCTCATCCCCACCGCCATCGCCCTCACGGGCTTCATCATCCTCCTCGTCGTGCACGACAACGCGAAGCTCCAGTACGCGGCGCTCTTCCTCAGCGCGATGGGCACGTACTCCGCCATGCCGATGATCGTGTGTTGGTTCAACACGAACCTGGGCGGACACCAGCGGCGCGCGGTGGGCACGGCGTGGCAGGTTGGCTTTGGGAACAGTGCGTCTTCAGCTGCGTGCGTGCCCTAAGACGGGTGGCTGATCCTTGTTGTGGTGTTTGTGCAGTCGGCGGCATCATCGCCGTGTACGCGTTCCTCTCGAAAGACGCGCCGAAGTACATCACGGGCTACAGCATCTGCATCGCGTTTATCTGCCTGTCCGTCGTCGCGGACGTGGTCTACTTCATTAGCCTGGTCGCGGAGAACCGGAAACGCGGGCGCGCGGAGGCACAGGCAAGCGCGGTCCTCCTCACTGCGGATGAGAAGACAAGGATGGGGGACCTCAACCCGGACTACCGCTACTTTTTGTAATGTGGATGATGGAGAGTCTGCAACCAAAAGCAAAAGAATACGACGAGGCTAGTGGTGGAAGCGGAGGAAGAGGACGTAGGACCAGAGTGATGGCGTCGTGTCCTTCTTGTATCCATAGTTTTGCTTTCGTGCCTAATCGCTGTATCCTCCAGTGGGTCTCGAGGTAGTATGCTGTGCATAGCCTGACTGACTGGCGGGTGAGTGGATCGTCGCATGGCCCGAAACGCAGGACGCGTCCCTGGCGGAATAAGAGCGAGGTTCGGGTTAGGAGTAGTAGGCCCGAATCGCATCGCAATCTGTGTCTAATGCGATGCATTGGTACCCCCATGGACTAATCCTAACAACTGCACAGACAGTCGAGTCAGTCACACTAGGCCATGGAACAGTTTGAAGTCTCCACTGCCGAGGCAGGCTGATCCAGGCTCCCCCGCGCCTCGTGGGTGGACACGAAATTGGAGGCGCTTCGCACAATCTGAGCCCCGTGAATCGATGTAAGTATGTGGTGTATCCCCGAGCCGTATGCAGTGCCATCGTGCCGCACGACGGCGAGAAGGGACCAATCGTAGAAGCATGAATGTGAGTGATATTGCGATAGCTACATTGACTTGTAATATGAGACGTAAAAGAGGCACGAGTCCAAGTTCACGATGCCCGCGCCACTGGCAGCGGCCGGGTCGCGGGAACGGACCGCATCGTCTAGAATACCTGCGCGAGGCAATGAATGGTCTTCTAGCAGTCACCTGTCCTATACGCGTGCAGGGGGCTCGGATATCGATAATAGAGATCAAGTCGTAGCTCTCGCCGTCTTCTCACCTCTGATCCCACATCGACTTGATAGTACTGTGGATGCCAGTATGGCTCCGCGCCCAATGCTCCCCAATTCGATCCCTAAACCGAGCGTCCGCCCATCATCCTTACAAGAAGCAATGGGCTTAGAAATGGACTCGTTCAAAGCTATACAGTGAGTACATATAGTGCCATGTCCTGCGACAGCTGCGCTCGACACTAGATCGCTTGCTGATCCTGAGCAGCTCTTCTTGCGGGAATGGAGCGCAGCACCTGGAATTAGACAGAGGCTGATACATCAGGATCCTGATGCGGTGCATGCGGTGATGACAAAGGAAAGCCCTCGAGAATAACTCATGACCACTGCAGCTGATACCCAATCAAGGTCCAAGCACATCCAGTACTCCAATATTACACGGACGGATGGCCCGCCGACTTCTACTACAGTAATGGCTCTCCGGCGGCGTTACAACCGGCGCCTCAGGCAGGTTGATAACGAGCGCTACCGGCTGCAAGGAGCGAGGTACGCAGTGAACTAGTGTCATGTATTGCATCACATACTAATGGTCCAACCAGCAACCACAGCGAGCCCAAGCATCTCAACCGCATAGCTCTGCCGCCAAGCTCTCCCAAGCCCGCGACGCCATCCAGATGCACCAGGGCTATACGCGCTTCATCGCCGACGACGGCCCATGCCCACAAGACGTCGCACGCACCAGCGTCCCCACTGCACCCGTCTTTCAAATCGTTCCTGAGGTCGTGCGCCCCAACCTCAGACATCTGCGCCGCGAGTTCAAGAGGGCAGGGTGAGGACCGTCGGGGACTTCGTGCGGATGGCGAGGCTGGCGGAGAAGTACCGCGAGAGGCTGTTGAGGGAGCGCATGCATCTGACGGAGCTGGAGCTGATTGAGGTCGAGATGGTCTTGGATCAAATCTGCTGGTAGTGTAACAAAGAATAGATGTAACAAAGAGTGTGCAGTCAGAGGTTGGACCCGTCGATGCGTCGGGTCAAAGCAGAATGGCTGACTCGGACTCGGCATGGGTCCGCGCCACAAGCGCGTCCGCCGGGCGTCCTCGTACACGTGCGCGCTTGATCGCCCCGGCTCTGAGCGAGCTCGACGCCCGCGACAATACTGGGCTTCCCAGCCACCACAACCCAGTCCACCACTCCCCCGCTTCTTTCTTCCAATACACCACCACCCCATTCCCGCCGTCCCCAGCGCACCCTCCCATCGCACAGAACAGCATGAGCACCGCCTGGATGCCGCCGCCAGGGCGGCACTCCGTCCAGATCGGCCAGTCGCTCACCCGCGCGCTCAAGGTGCGCAGGGGCGAGCCGGCCCACCAGAAGAGCAGCAAGATCCCCGACAAGGAGTTCTACTCGTTCCGCTGTGAGTCCTCTGAAACGCCTTGGAAAGCATGGATGGTGACGAATGGGGGCGGGCGTGGCGCAGATAACTTCAAGCCGGAGGGCGTCGACTCGACGAAGGTAGGCTCGATCGAGATACGGAGGGATACGGAGGTAACGAGTGTCATGGTAGAGAAGGGCAGCGAGAGAGTATGTGTCGTTGTTGCGATGGTGTTGGAATGTGCAGGCTGACGGGACTGCTCTCGGGTGCGCCAGCCAGACGAAGCGTACCTCTTCACCGGGAAGGAAGAGGCTGTGAAGGATTGGGACTGCCTCCTAGTCTACGATGAGGAAACAGGTGTACGCAGTGCTTCTCTACTCGACTGCACTCTCCGCTCAAACTTCGTATCGTCGTACAGCGCTACACGCTCGAGAAGCTCGACACCTATCTACGACTGGCTTTCGACCGCAAGGCCTCGGGCCACGGCACGCTGCCTCGCGTACGCCTCGTTTATTCCCCCATATGCTCGCTCACATCCCTCTTTAGCTGCTGCATCCACAGGTCCAGGTACACCTACGCCCTCCACACAGCCGCAACCCCGCGCGCGAGCCCCTCCAAACTCCCCGTCCCAGAGCGCAAGCCGCAGGATGACGCCGATTTCGACCTCGAGAACGAGCTCCTCGCAGGGCTCGACGACGCGGACGGGTCCCCGACGAGGAGATCCCGCTCGCGGCTACCACAAAGGCCAGGAAAGCGTCGATGGCTGCCGTGGCATCCAAGCCAGTGAAGGGTAAAGCGCCGCAGAAGCCTGTGCCGAGGAAAGAGGAGGAAGAGGAGAGCGACGGCGAGATACTCGAGGCGGTCGAAGCTGCGTCGAAGCCAAAGCAGAAGGCCCGGCCAGAGCCTGCCGCTCTGCCCCCGGCCAACTTGAAGACGAAGCCTTCCCCCATTCAACGCCTGGCGAACGCCATGCTGGCGAGATCAGCCGCTGCAGGAGCAGAGCCGCCACCTGTACCCAAGGCGAGGGTAGCACCGGCCTCCCAAACGAAGGCGAAGAAGGATGCGAGCGCGGGCAAGAAGCGGGCTCTCGACGAGGAGACCTTCGACTTCGCGCTCCCGTCTCAGCCTGCGAAACGCCCGCGGCCATCGTCACCCCCGTCGACGGCGCTTCCGAAGCAGAAGGAGAAAGATAAGGAAAAGCCGAGTTTCTCGCTCGCGCTGCCCACTTCGACGCCGGCGTCGAAGCAGGCAGAACCGCCGACACCGCTGTCGTTCCCGGGCTCCGCTGCGCCCGTCACGCTGCCCGGTGCTGGTTCCTCTGCGGCAGTGTCTGCCCCGCAAGCGTCGTTTGACTCGGACGAGGAGGAATGGGACGAGGTCCAGCCGTCCGCGTCCGCCTCAGCGCCCCCTTCCGCACCCATGCGCGTCATCGAGATGGAGGAGATCGTGCCGACGTCGTCGCCGCGCCGGCCGTCGCCCCCGCTCGCGCTCTCCGTGTTCGACGGTGACGGAGAGATTGATGAGGACGACTTTGAGATGGAGGAGGTGGAGGTTGCGCCGTTTGTTGCGGGGGATGTGGAGGAGGAGGACTTCCTTGCCGCGGCGGTGAGTCCTGTCCAGGAGATGGTGGCGCTGCCTGATGTGGAGTGAGCGAAGGGCTGTGGGGAGGAGAGGGAGACGAGGATGAGTATTCGAGTAGTGAGGACAGTGATGACGATTAGCTGCACGGTGGGGATGGGTGTTTGAGCTCGTTAGGATCTCAGCATGCTACGGAGGTGGATTTGGGTACATAGATGCGCATGGTTATTTGGGGGACATTTGTACGATACTACCAGCACTAATTTATTGCAAGACATCGTCGCCATGTGCGATCGTTTTATAGGATATTGGGCTATCTTGTGTGATGAGTAGCCACTGACGGACAGTGTTGTTTGGGTCACGTACTACTCAAGTTCCCTGGCCATGTCATTTCTGTAGCAGTGGAGGTTTGGTCGAATAGACATCACTCGTGGAGAGTCGTGAGCACAGTGGCCGTCGACGCATAGGGTAACGCAACTAGGCAAATGGTTCGAAGTATCATGAAGTCATCGCACAATGGAATAAACTTCCAGTCTCGTACACCTCCGCATCATCAATCACCGGTGGTGGGGCCTGTGTGTCCAAAGATGCGATAAAGGTGCCCGTCGCCCTCGGTAGAGGGATTCCCGAGTTCCTGGCGCGCCATATTAGGGGAAACCCCACTGCGTACCCGCGGTCGAGTCTGGTCGAGTGCCCACCATCGTGGCATTTAGCCGTATTTTGAGCCAGAACTGACCGCCGGATTCCCGTGAATAGTAAAGCGTTCCGCAGTATGCCACGTCGAGAAATGCGCACCGAGAGCGGGTTAGGTCCCATTTGAATGGCGCGACCTGGGGCCCTGTCGCTGGGTTCGTGGATAAGTGGGCCTCGACTGCCTGCAACCTGTACCATGAAACGTGGAGTGGCTGGAACCCCACGGCCGCTGTGGACCCGAGATCTCTGACAAATGTGCGGAGACGTGCGCCGGAGAAGTGCAGCGATCTTGGGGAGACCGTCGCGAGTCGCGACGGAGTCGGCGGGTTTGGGTGGGACAGGACCAAAGAAAGACCGGTGGAATTGGCCGGGAGGGCGGTGAAGTCATTCAATACTCGATCGAAAGCCCCCGAGGGTGATGCAGTGCGCTCACTGCGTATGGAGCGAGCACGTCATCCTCCAGTTGCGCGCTGTTGCGAGTCGCTCTGGCGGTGTGGCGCATGCTCGAGCACGACGGGGGGCGCGGCGGCGGGCGGCGGGCAGCGGGGAGACTGAGGCAGGGCGTGGCCGGCGACGGGCGCGGCGGGCGGGCGGAGGACGGCGAGGACAGAGAGCGAGGGACAGGGACGATCGCAGGATGGGGCCGGCGGGAGGGTATGACGTCGGCGGGCTGACGGCAGACTCCGCTCCGGGCAGGGCTGAAGACGCTCCTCGCCTGGTGGAGGGTTCGCTTATACACCCACTAGCCTCTTCGACGCCCTCCCAACCGCTTCCATCTGTACCAAAATGCCGTCCGGAACAGGCGTCGTCGACGCCTTCAAGAGCAAGTCCATCACTCTCCCGTGACCATGGCCCGCTCACCCACGCTCTCTCACAGATCTCATTCGCCACGGCAAGAACCACTCAGCCCGCCCACACGACGACGCCGCGCCATACGCACAACCCACCACCAGCCCGCCGCCGCGGTCGCGCAGCAGCAACGCCAGCGCGACGTGACGGCTGCCCACCAACAACAGCCACCCCCGCAGCAGCAACAGCCGCAGGCCCAGCGGCAGCAGAAGGACAACGCAAAGTTTAAAGAACAGATCGAGTCCATCGTCCAGGAGGAGCGCGAGGCCAAGGGCAAGATGCCCACCTACAAGGGCCTCGAGAACTATCAACTGCTCGACAAGATGGGAGAGTGAGTCCTCATCGCTGGTCTTCGTCTCGTTCTATATTTTTCGCGCGACCCTCGAAGCACGTCACGGACGTGCACTGCAGCTCCACCGCGCCATGCTCTCGACATTGTCTCTCGTCTGCGACCACCTTCGGAGGCCGCGGCTTCTGTGGGTATCGCCTCGTCCCCCAGCACTGCCAGCCCGTTACTCGCGTCCGTTACTTCCAACACGTTTATCGCTCATTGGCAATATCCGCTGCGTTCCTGGCAAATTTCCCTGCCGGAAAGCCAAAGTCATCTCCGAACTGTTCGGGCCAGAGCGGTCGGAAACATAGCGCTGATCTAGATCAGCATCTCCCGTGGATGCTTCTGGATCTGTGTTGCTCACTCTAGGCATACTGCACGTCCTATTCTAAGGACAGAAGTCATCGCCGTATGACGCGCGTGTCCCAGGACAGTACACGTCCGCATGCACATCTGCTTCGCGCGTAAACTCTAACGTTGAGAATGCTAACCTTATGTTCTCAGCGGCGCGTTCTCGAACGTGTACAAGGCCATCGACCTGCGAACAGGACAGAAGGTTGCTGTGAAGGTCGTTCGAAAGTATGAGTTGAGCGCATCACAGGTTAGTATCCACTTGTCGCAACCCCGTTCTTTATTCATTGCTCCCCCTCCTACACGCCGCCGTAGGCTGGTGATAAGCATCTGAACCGCGAGTTCAAAAAGAAACCGCGGGTCACAGAGGTGCTCAAAAAATGGTTGTCTGATCGCAGTGCTGACTCTGGTTCGCCCTTCTGGTAGCGCGCGAACATCCTCAAAGGTGTGTATGGTGTGGTCAGTGTGGGACTGCACTCACCATTCGTGGTCTCGCCTTGCAGAGGTGCAGATTATGCGGGGTACCAACCACCCGTCAATAGTGAAGTTGTACGGGTTCTTCGAGGCACCAGACTACTACTTCCTTATTCTCGAGCGTGAGTCTTTCGTCACCTCCGTGATCGACGTATTGACATTGCGCAGTGCTGGAGGGTGGCGAGCTCTTCCATCAGATCGTGAAGCTGACGTACTTCAGCGAGAATCTCGCACGGCACGTTATCCTGCAGGTAGCGCAAGGTATTCGGTATCTACACGAAGAGCGCGGGGTCGTGCACCGCGACATCAAGCCGGAGAACCTGCTCTTCGAGCAGATCCCGGTCGTGCCGAGTAAGAACCCACCCCGAAGCAGTTTGAGGAGGACAAGGAAGACGAAGGCGAGTTCGTACCCGGCGTCGGCGGCGGAGGTATCGGGCGCGTAAGATCGCAGACTTTGGGTTGAGCAAGGTCGTCTGGGACGAGCAGACAATGACCCGTGCGGGACGGTCGGGTACACCGCGCCAGAGATCGTGAAGGACGAGAGGTATAGCAAGAGCGTGGACATGTGGGCGCTGGGATGCGTGCTGTATACCCTGCTCTGTGGATTCCCACCGTTCTATGATGAGAGCATCAACGTGCTCACGGAGAAGGTCGCGCGGGGTCACTATACCTTCCTGAGCCCCTGGTGGGACTCAATAAGCACAGCAGGTGCGTTTGGTAGCTTTGTTCTCAGCGCATATGCTTATGTGTTTGACCTCCAGCGAAGGACTTGATAACTCACTTACTCTGTGTCGACCCAGCCAGCGCTACACGATCGATGAGTTCCTCGCACACCCATGGTGTACCGCGGCACCAGGCCCGCCGCCACCGCCAACTCCCCTTCCCGCCGCCATGCCCCTCGACTCGCCCCTCCTCGCCTCCGCGCGCATCGGCGAGGCACATGGGATGCGCTCACCAGGGCTCGCGCAGCTTAAGGAGGCGTTCGACGTCACGTACGCAGTGCATCGCATGGAGGAGGAGGGCGCACGGAGACGCGCACAGAAGGGCGGAGCGAACCGTGGGTTCCTCAACAACCTCAACGAGGACGACGAGGAAGAGGAGCAGCCACCCACCATCGCGCGTAGACAACAGCCACAGCAGCAGACTCCAGCTACGGCGGGGCAGGCGGGCGTCGGCGCGGGTGCGAAGGCGGCGGCAAAGCGCGCGGTCGCGGAGGGGTACGACGGACGGGCGGGCCCGAGGGACCGGGGGCGCAATCGGCAGCAACCATTTGAGCTGGACATGGACGGTGCGACGCTGTTGGGGAGGAGAACTAAACGGGGGACCGGCGGGCCCGCGGACGTGAGCAGTCCTCTGGCGAAGATCCTCCAGCAGCCGAAGGATCTCATGGACGTACCCGGGAGCCCGATGCGCATTGACTAGGCTCGCTCGGCTTCTGTCCCATCTATCCCCACCCCCCTTCCATGTGCATGTTGACTGTGACTGTTGTTGTCGCCCCTCCTGTGTCGCCCCGCCCCCTCGCCATGTTGTTCTTGTTCGTGCCCGCACCCCCCTTCCCATCATTGATTGACTCGACGACGGTCGACGCGCGCGCCTCCACCACCTCCCTCTGTATTCCCTGGGCCCTGTACGTGTCTCTCAAGCCTCGACTTGACGTGGCTGTCTTTCCTGTTTTCCTGTCGTATTATATCATACACGGCATCGTCATTCCTCCCCCTGCACACGCTCTCGAGCCCGCCGTTCTCCTGTTTCTGTAGTCGAGCAAGTCGCTGCAAGGCTGCCTACGACGTGACGGCCATGCATCACGAGGCTTTGCCCCCGACTCATCGTGGTTTGATCCCAATGCTCGACGCGGTCTGCAGCGGATGATGCCGCGTCATACGCTAGGCACCGAGCGTCCAGCGTATGTGCGCAGTCGAAGTTTCGTCGCTGGAACTTGTTGTACAGTTCACAAACGCGTGCGTTGGATATTTGTAAATCACCCCTAAGTGAGGGTGGTCTGACAGTACTACTATGATGGACTGCACTCAAGTATGTATCGTAAGTAGCACTACGGTTCCAGTACAGTAGTGTAGCGTACTCAGAGTGACTCGGATGTTCCGCCGTTTGTAGAATATGTACTAGTTATGATCATGACGTGGTTCAGATCGCAATGTTATGCGTTACGGCGTGCTGGAAACATGGATGCTAACGATAGTCGGCGACTGCAGAGGATGCTGGGACAAGTAGGGTCCATAAGTGCACCCGCTTTCCCCAGTTCCAAGAGGCCGCGCGCGTGTATGGCATGCCTACGGAAGACTCGGGTATGCCTATGGGAGACTCGGGTGGACCGCCGGTGTGGAACGACTGTGAACACGAGAAGGAAATCGCCAGGAAGATGTTGGTATAGCGCCCACGCGATCGTGAGCTGACTCCTCATAGGTATGATTGAAACGGTCTGGACCCGAATGTAAATGCACATGGGCATGGCCTCAGGCATCAGAGTACAGACTGGGGCAAGATGTTGCACGGATCTTACGACGAAATTGTCAGGTTTGGTGACGCGGGTAGAACGCGCTGACCTTTCGCATAGGGTTTATGCTCACCTAGCATATTGACGAAACACCGTATAAGCGCAGTACAGCGTAGCGCGATGTGATGTTTTCTACGTCACAAGCTTTTGATATATACATGCCCCCATGGGCGACATGCAATGCAACCTCACACAGAGCAGTACCTGAACACGAACGTACCATCAGCTCTCCGCCAGGTCCTTCGTCCGACGCCATGGCCTATAGGAACATTGCGCGAACAAGAGGCCCACGCTCGGTCGTCATGCGAAGAGGCAATTCGGCTGAGAGCAGCTGGCCGAAGGTCATATTGTGCGAACAATGCAGTGAGGAAGGGCAGCAGCAAGGAGTGTGGCAGTGCGGGAAAGGAGCGGGTGGAGAAACACGAGATCGGCCACAACGAGGACGCGTCGTGGAGTGGCTGAGGAACCGATCACCAAACTGGGCGTTGCTGCCTTGAACTCTGCCTCCTCCAGGTTCCTGCAGCCCATCACAGTCTCTCCCTGTCCGTTCCTCTTGCTTCTCTCCGTCTGAACGTGCGCCGATAGGATGAGCTCCTCACGCGAGGTATGGCTGAGGCAGGCGGGAATATCAAGGTCGTGGTGCGATGTCGGCCTCTCAACTCGCGCGGTGCGTCCGTCCTGCTCAAAATTGTGGACTTCGCGCGCTCACATCTCCTCGCTCTATGCTTGTCGCGTGGATGTCGATCCCAAATGAACAGAGATTGCTCGCGGCGCGAACTCCTGGTACGCATGGAAGGCAACCAGACCATCCTCGATCCGCCCGACGCCGGTAGCGCGGGGCGCAGGCATCGTCTGGTCGCGCCTCGGAGAAGAAGTCAATGAACTTCGCGTTTGACAAGAGTTACTGGTCAGCGGGTCCGCGGGACGAGCCGAATACTGCTCTCAGGAAACACTGTATGATGATCTTGGAAAGGAGTTGCTGGATCACAGTTTCTCGGGCTTCAATGCGTGTATTATGGCGTGTACGTCTCTTCCTTTTACTGTCTACGCTATCTCTAATTGTCCTATGCAGATGGGCAGACTGGTATGTTGCATGACCATGCCGATGAGAGGATGAACTCACGCGTTTGAGTCAGGTTCTGGGAAGTCGTATAGGTACGTACTGACATCGGCGTCTTTGAACATATGAAGTGACGCGCTTCATTTTCAGTATGATGGGATGTACGTGAACCTGCGGAGCGCATATATCCTACGAACTCACGCACTACTGTGCACAGACGGTGCCGACAAGGGAATTATCCCGCTTACTTGTTCGGAGTTGTTTACGCGAGTAGAGGGGAAGACGGCTGCGGACCCTAATATCAGCTTCACAGTAGAAGTGTCGTACATTGAGGTACGTCGCTCGCTCTACGCATACTTCTCTACCCGACACCGCTCGTAGATCTACAACGAGAAGGTCCGCGACTTGCTGAACCCGAAGAACAGTGGGAATTTGAGGGTCCGAGAGCACCCTAGCCTTGGTCCTTACGTCGAGGATCTGTCCAAGCTGGTCGTCAGTAGCTTCGATGAGATGATGACCCTCATGGACGAAGGTAACAAGGCGCGTACGGTCGCCGCCACAAACATGAACGAGACGTGAGTGATGTCAGAGACGGGTTTGCTACTTCTTACGCATGTCGAATCCCAGCTCATCACGGTCGCATGCCGTCTTCACGGTCATTCTGACTATGAAACGGCACGATGTTGACACAAACTTGGACACCGAGAAGGTCTCCCGCATCAAGTGAGTAGTCACGACCGAACAGTCACTTCCGGATGTAGTCTGATTATGTCGCTCGCAGCTTGGTCGACTTGGCTGGCTCCGAGCGTGCAAATTCCACCGGAGCCACAGGGGCGCGTCTCAAGGAAGGTGCCAACATCAACAAGTCCTTGACCACGCTCGGGAAAGTCATCGCCTCCCTCGCCGTGGCGAGTTCAAACGACGGCAAGAAGGGGAAGAAGGGCAAGGCGGATGAGTTTGTCCCGTATCGAGACTCTGTACGTTGCGCTTGCAGTACACTTAGATCTCCCTTCGTGCTGCGTATTGATTGCGGCATATTAGGTCTTGACATGGTTGCTCAAAGACAGTCTTGGTGGTAACTCCAAAACTGCTATGATTGCTGCCATCTCCCCTGCAGATGTCAACTACGAGGAGACTCTCAGCACGCTGCGGTACGCCGATCAGGCCAAGAAGATCAAGAACAAGGCCGTCGTCAACGAGGATCCGAACGCGAAACTTGTCCGTGAACTCAAGGAGGAGCTGGAGACGCTCAGAGGTATGGTTACCGAGAAGTGTATGCGGCTCGTCTCTCACGCTCTGTACAGCGCGTGTCTCCGGGTCGTCCAGCGAGGCGGTATACGACCCCAAGATCCCAGCAGCACAGCAGAAGGTCACGTACCAGGCGAAGGACGGTACACTGAAGACCGTTACGAAGGCCGAGCTGCAAGAACAGCTGGAGACGAGCGAAAAGCTTATGCAGGGTTGAACGAGACATGGGAGCAGAAGATGGTGCGGACACAGGCAGTACAGAAGGAGCGAGAAAAGGCGCTGGAAGAGCTTGGTATCACGATTGACAAGAACAATGTTGGCGTACATACCCCAAGAGGGTACGTTCAGGATGAGTCTGGCATGTCGTTGAGCTAACGTGACACGCTATAGATGCCTCATCTTGTCAATTTGGTGCGTCTACTGTCCTCCATGAATGCTGTGGCTCATTTTTCGCCTCCACTTCGCAGAACGAAGGTATTGGGCATTCTTTCTAGTACTGTTCCTGACTGACCAGTATCGGACTAAGATCCACTCATGAGTGAATGTCTGATCTACCAGCTAAAGCCTGGAAAGACGGTGTAAGTACACTCATACTCACATGTGCGTTATATCAACCGACGAGGAATCTTGAAGATCGGCCGTCTTGACAGCCAAAAACCGGCTGCCATTCGACTCAGCGGTGAGAGTATCGGAGAGGAGCATGTTACCTCGAGAATACGGACGGCAAAGTACTCTGCATGCTATGCCCGACGCTGTGACAGTACGTTCTGTTCGTTGCTGCCTTGTTGTGCACCATTGAATGTGTGCTACAGTTCTTGAACGGCCGGCAAATCACTCCAGGACAGGTAGGCTTAACGGTGACAGTCGCATGACGATGGTATTGATGCGGTTGTGCTAGACCTTTAAACTTCGAACTGGCTTCCGATTATTCTCGGTAGGTTTCCGGAAGACAATGCGGAGCTATCTATTCACAAGCAGGCTCTTTCAGGGACATCATGTATTCCGCTTCAACAATCCAGAGGAAGTCCGGAAACAGCGCGATCGCGCCCTGGCAAAGTCCAATTTATCCATTAGCATATCGGCTGCCGAGCTACAGCAACAGCGAATGCTGAGGCGGAGAAGAGCACGGAGCCTCACTCTCCCGCCTCGTCCATTGACGTCGCTGATGTAGACTGGACATTCGCCAAGCGCGAAGCTGCCTTCGCGCGATTAGGATTGGACCCCACGCTGGATAATCTCCCGGACGAAGACTTGAACAAACTCTTCGAGAAGATTACGAAGGTGAAGACAATGCGAGACCATAACGCTCGACCGCGCCCAGAGAGCAGTCTTAGTCAAGCGGACGACATCTGGAGCGAGAACGGGCGGCCGTCTGCTAGCGAGATTTCACAGACGACACGAGCGTCGATGCGATGACGAGCCATGACAGCCCAGACGTCGGTGGGCCGAAGGACGTGCAGAACCAGCTCGAGTCGCAGCGCGTCGAGTTTGAGGCTCGTTTGCAGTCTATCGCGGAGTCGAATGAGGCCGAGGACCTGAAGGCTGAGAAGGAGCAGATGGACACCAATTGAACTGGTGCAGAACCACATGAAGCGCCTCCTCGATGCCAGGGCAAGAGGGGAGCATGATGCCGAGCTGGAGGCGTTCGAGCCTGTCATCTATTCCGCGAAACAGCTTCGGCTCATCCGAAGGGTCCTCGACAAGTGGAGAACTCACCGGTCCTTCTCTATGGCTGAGGTTGTTTTGTCTAATGCCGTCTTTGTCAAGGAGGCAAATGTCATCAGGTTGGTCACATCTTGATCGTGGTTTCAGAACGATCGCTGAGTATATCGTACAGCAAAGAGCTAGGCAAAGATGTTTCGTACAACTTCACAGTTGCTTCTGGTGGTTCGCTCGCAGCACCTGCATCTGCTATTGACACAATAGCAGGACTGGATCAATTTGGTGACGTTGTTGACCCAGTTCTTGCTTCTGCAACACAACCCACCGTCGCTGTCAAGGTCGTCGATAAGCGCAACAATGCCATCTACGCCTGGTCTCTGGATCGCTTACAGCAACAGCTCCAACGCATGCGTAATCTCACCACGTTCATTGATCGCCCATCCTACTCCCAACATTTCTCCTCCGAAGAACCTTTCTACGACAACCCACCACCCGAGTACTCCTTCATCGGCAACGCGCTGTTGTCCCTGGCACCCCTTTCACGGCGACTGTCGTTAAATTCGACTGTGCCAATCTTCGACCGCTACACGTCTGAGGCAATTGGCTCATGTCGCATCGACGTGAAGATTGCTAATGTTGTCTTGAATCCGAAACATGCACACTCTTCCTCCACTTCCACCCGTACATCCTCCCCTGTCCCCGGGACTGTTCCCCCAGGCAGCAAGTTCAGCTTCGTGCTCAGCATCGACAATGTCAAGGGCCTATCACATCATGACTTCCATTCCGTCCACTTGCAGGTCCGGCTATCATCATTCCTTGGCCCATCCACGGCATCAGAAGAAGTCTACCCGTCATCTGCAGTGGACTTGGAGGCGTCGACACTCTCGGACCTCAAGTTCCGTCGCAGCTTCTCGATCGTCGCGTCGTCAAGAGTCCTTACATATCTCCGTCAAGGATACGCACCGATTGAGTTTTTCGCGAGACTGAAGCCGACCTATCTGGAACGCATGGAACGTTGGGACGAAATGCGAGAGCAGCGTGTCGTTCCTAACACCAGATCCAGTTCGCCGGAGAGCAAACCCCAAGCGGCAACGTTGCCCCTCATGCGTCGGTCGGAGACAGACTTTGTAGTGGAGCAGACGCACGACGTCGTAGCTTGGCTGCAGATCAGCGAACTTGCACCGAATGGCTCCTATACGCCTGTCCCGGTCATGTCCCATGGAAACTTGGATCCAGGCGCATTCCAGCTGCACCAAGGTCTACAACGCCGCATCGTCTTACAGATGTTCTCGAATTCGGGTCGGCAGTTACCTTGGACCGAGGTATCGCGCGTCCGCCTGGGCAACATTCGATTGCTGGACGCGAAGGGCCGGTTATACGAAGCAAATTCGAAGGCGTTGATCACCTTGCCTCTGCTACAGCAGCAACACGTCGAATTCAGGCCTGACGGCACAGGTATCCTCTCCGCAGAAGCGCTCTGGGATTCTAGTGTACATGACACAATCCTCCTCAACCGCGTCACCGCCCCGGGCCAACGCATCCTTCTCCAGTTCCAATTCTCGGTCAACGTTGAGATCTGTGCAGACCCTGTGCAGTTCACCATGGACACGGCTATCTCAATACAGACGCGAGACGCACGACCACCATCTCGCATCTTCAGTCTGCTCGGGTCGACAAAGATCATCCCGAAGACAAGCACGGTCTTTACAGTCAAGCTCTCACCACCGCTGACGAGATCGCCCAAGGACCTCTGGCGGTTAGACACCGCGGAGAAGTACGTGCGCGGCGAAGAGTCCCTGGGTGTATGGCGACCACGCGGCGTCTCTGTAGTGGAGGACTACAACCGCCTTGTCTCCATGGAGCGGCGAGCTGCGGACGTCCAGGCCATCCGGTTATCCTCTCCACGTCCCCCTCAAGTCGTGTCACGCAGGCTGACGCGGTTGTATGGGGGTCCGAGGCCCTTCTGAAGAAGGCACTCGCGTTGTGGCAGAAGCGCTTCGGACACCCCGGCGAGGTGAGTTATGGCTTCCATCAGTCAATGCATTGACTGCATTGACCTCGGCTAACGCGTGCCTTCTCACTTGTCAGATCGTGATCAGTCAGGACCCAATAGATCAGAGGAGTCTAGCGTGAAGTCGGGCAAGAGCTCCGTCGGCATGCAGCTCGCGGAGTCGATGAAGCTGATTTCCTCGACGAAGGTCGTCCCCGAAAGTGCGTAGACGCTTGTGGTGCTGGCGATGCGCGTTCCTGACCGGTTGGTGCCTTTTTGCAGTGATGGCCCGACAAAGAAGGGCCATATGCTGATCATGATCGACGCGAATGAGAACGTCTGGGAACGGAGGTGGTTTGTATTGCGAAGGTGCGTGAGGGTTCGCGAGAGGGGGGCGCGAAAACTGACTAAGAGTTGCCAGGCCGTATCTCCATGTCTACGCGCACTCGAACGAAACTGAGGAAGTCAATGTCATCCATCTGGATGGGGTGAACATTGAAGTCAATCCGGAGATGGAGGCTCTTCTCGGGGTGCGTCTTCTCTTATGCTGTCCTCCGCGCGCGGCGTACTGACTCCCACGTGCAGAAGAAGTTCACCTTCACGCTCTTCACCTCCTCGAACTCGTACGCGCTCGCCGCGCCGAGCTTCAAGGAGCTCCAGGCATGGACATCCAAGCTGGACCCGACACGTCTCCCGTCATGACCGTCACGCCCCTTACGCTCACGATTTTCCCTTTCTCTTTCTCGTCTTTTATTCGCTTCTTTATCGCTCGCTCTCACCCTATGCTCGTCTGTATCGGAATATCCCTGTCCTGCGTCTCGGTGCATCTACGTATACCATACAAGCGCATCCAATCTGTCGTTTCACCATTCTTGAAGTAGGAGTGTCCCGGAGCTGCCCTTACCCCAGCCATGATATAGTTGTACATCTGATATCCACCTACTTACTAACAGCATACCACTACCGCAGCCCGCCAACCCGTATGTGTAGTCTCTCCACCCTCGTAGTAGGGTCTGCCCGGTCTTTGCTGCATCGCTATCCGAATACAAATGGGAAGTCTTCCGGCCGAGCGTGAACGTCTTCGTGTACGGAGCGCACGGCGGAGCAGGCACGTTGCCAAGCGACGACGGTATGGGTTGTGAATGCATGGAGTGGTTGACAGGGGCCACTTCTTGGGAGGCTGTCCAGGGACGTCCTCGGTGGTCATACCGCAATCACAACGCGGGCACCCAGGTAGAGTAACCGTAGAGACGAGCCTCACAACAGATCGAAGTCGTCCAGCTGAGTGGCGAGTATGAGTAAGTGGATGGGTAAGCCACACGCAGGAAGCAGCGTACCTCGTCGTTGTATCTCATGATCGTACGCTTCATCTTCGACTGGTCTACCCATGTCACGAAGTCCTCCATGTGGCTGGCGAAGTGAGTGAGTGTGCGTATCTCGCGGAACGGAATGTCGCCACCCACCGAGTAACGAGATACGCTGGGTCCGTGATAGTGTCAGGGCCCACCCTGACGTGTCCCTGTTCGATGAACTTCACCGCCTGCACCACGTTCCAGCCGCATCAGCACCGGGACCACCGCGCACAGCACGGAGAGGACGCACCGCGCTGACCGTCTCTGCCATCTTGGACATGGTCAGGACGACCGCGAGCCTGCGGCGGCAGAACGCGGCGACGGTGAGCTTGTTCTCGACGTCGCTGAGCTTCGCCTGCGAGTTGAGGACGCCCATGTCGTAGAGCTTGGAGAGCATCTGGGCCTCCATCCGTGTGCGGTAGGGGTCCTGCGCGGGGAGGAGCGAGAGGCGGTGGGCGAAGGAGCGGAGGGAGCCGCAGAGCTTGTTGTATCTGTGCGGTGATCAGAACTGGGGAGGTGGTAGCAGGAGGGGTGCGCACTTGTGGTAGTCCTCTCTGTCCTGGATGTGGTACCGCCGCATGACCTTGATCTCGCGGAGGTTCGCATCTTGCTTCCACTGTATGGAGGTGGTCAGTAAATGTTCCTTGTTCGACAACACTGTGCGACTCACGTTGAGGAAATCGACTTTCTTGAGGAGCTTCTGCTCATGATACTTGAACTGGCGGACCATCCTGTGAGACTGGGTATGGTACAAGTGTGGCTGGACGACGAGGAGTAGAGGGCCATAAGCGCCCGATTTGGATGCTTGATCGAGGATTTTTCGCGTCGAGCACGTGGCTGGTGACCAGTGACCGGTAAACGGGCGCCCGGTCTGTCCACGAAGGTGGTCGTCCGGCGATCTAAGCAGCTGGCTACCTCGCCGCGCAGCTTACGGCCTCTGCGTGGGCAACGGTGGAAATGGAATGCGTACCTCGCTCAGGTCGCATGTCCACCTTACGTACCGCTGAGGTAGTCTTGACGCGGGTCAGCTGTGTCGTGTTCCGCTGAGACACAGGCCGCATGTGCTTCGCGCACGGGGGAAAAGTCGCGGTAATATTCGCCATAGGCTGGAGATTGTCTGTACTCTATCTCATGGGAACGGATGGCGTCGTACGTGACACAAGGTGTCGACTGAATGAATATAGGACGACCCTCCAAGGTGTGAGGGCCACGCTCATTACGGATGGACCTGAGGCGATATGTCTGCTTATCCCCGATAGCGAGTGGGATCCTCCGGAGTACGGAGACGCGTTCTGCTCAGTGCGCGATGGCATGACATCCGCATTCTGCGGGGATGTCGGAGAGATAGGGGGTGACACGACAGCCTGGCATACAGAGTCTGCCTCCGTGTCCGGGCGCGGTTCCTCGGCTGCGAGGCCAGCTGCACGGCCCACCGCGATGCATGCTGCGTGACGATCGGGCGGAACTCCCTCGCGCATCGTCAGAAGGGCTGCTCGTTAAGGACATTCCGCGCACCAGCTGAGCCGCGTTGGGCAGAGTGCAGGCGCAGTTCCGGCGAGCGCACCGCGATTGGAAGGCGCACGGACCACCGGAGCTTCTGGCGATAGGCCTGGGGCTTCGCCCGCCTCCGCAGCCTGCAGTCTCGCAGACTCTCGCAGACTCTCCGTGCCTACGTCGGGGACTCCCGAAGTCATGGAACGGCCAGACTCGGTTGCGCGACGTTTATTAGAGCCACAGGCACGATAAATGCCCCTAGCATCGCTGCTGGCAGCGCGAACGGTGACAGGCGCGAGAAGGGGGCGTCTCGCTGGTCTGGTGGTGGTGGTGAGTCCGCGGTAGGGCGATGGCAACGGTCAGTGCGCGATGGCATAAGGAGGGGAGGCAGCGCGTTGCCGCCTGACACAGACCCAAGAGAGCGGGGACGCGCCTCGGGGAGCGCTCGGCCGTCGCGGCGCTGGTGGCCACGACTGCCAAACACGGAAGCATCTGGGCACGGATCACTGTGGCGGGCGGGGCGGGCGTCGCAGCGCACGACGAGCTCGCTGTGCGCGGCGACGGGCAGCGGGGGCGGGCTGGGCGGCGGGGACGTCGATAAGATTTTACGTATACTGAGTGGGATCGCAATCTTGCGCGTCGACTCGTGGCGTGGAAGAAGCAGTGCCGTCGCGAGCGTGTGAGTGCGTCTGCGAGCCTTAACGCTGGTCGACATCCGGCCCCGTCCTCCTCCTCCCCCTCCCCACCGCCTCGTGCTGCCCGCACCCTCCTCGACGCTGCCTGCGCGGCCAGCGACCGCATCCGCCACCGCCCCCTGCTCGCTTCTCCTGCCGCACTATCTTCCTCGCTCCGTCGCACGCGCCCCGCACGTCTATCGCGTAGCCAGTCGCCCTCCGCCCTTCCCCCGAGCCCGAGGCTTGCCAAATCCGTCCGGCACCCTCTCCTCCTGCATGCGAGAACGCGTCCACCGCCTCCAGCTCGACGATCCCACCACAGTCCACCCTCTCTGCACGGCCACCCCCACAGATGAACGTTGGACCCGGCGGCGACCTTCTTCGCCCACCTTCCATGCTGAACATGAACGGGCAACACTTCATGTCCCAGCAACCACACCACCCCAGGGCCAGCCTCCCCAGGGTCAGCCATCGCAGATGAGCCCTCTACAAAACAACCCCAACTCGAACCCGATGCTCGCTGGCGGCGGCCAGCCGAATAATGGAGGCAACAATCCTATGATGTACCAGCTCCAGATCCAGCAGGCGAACCACATGCAGCGCCAGCAGGTCCTCATTCAGCAGGCGCAAAATGCACAAGGCGGTCTCAGCCGCGGGGGTCCTCCGCAACTCAACGGTCTTGGCGGACACAACCCTCCTCTCCCGGGCATGGGCTTCCAGAACGGCATGATGGGCCCTCAGCAGCAGCAAATGCGCCGCGTCGCTTCTCAGCCGACACTCAACCAGGCTGGGTCGCATATGGGCGGGATGCCCCAGGGTATGGCGGGAATGGGTATGGGTCTGAACCCGGGACAGAGCATACCGCAGCATATGCGGCCGCCTATGCCGCAGCAACATCTCAGCACCATGCGCGTCCAGCAGCAGCCCCAGCACCCCATGCAAGGGCACATCTCGCCCGATATGCCGATGTCGATGAACAGGCCGCCCCAGATGCCAGGCAACAACGGGCTCCCGCCCTACGTCAATCGGGCGACGTCCGCGCAACCGCACATGATGAACAACCTGGGGCAGCCCTCTGGTCTGCCGCAGCAACAGCATCCTGGCGGGATGCAGGGTCCGATGCACCAGAACGCGTTCAATGGTGCGATGCTCCAACATCACCAGCCGCCGCAGTTGACGGGCGCGTCCCCGCACAACGGGACCCACTCGCAGAACCACACGCCCGCCAACTTTGCGCCTAACATGCCCATGGGCAGCGTCCCGCCCTCACAAACATCTGCAAATCGCCCGCAGCCACCGGGGGAGAACCCGATGCTCATGGGCTTCCAGAACCAGCCGATGCAGCCGAATCTACCGCAGGTGCCTCGAATACCACCGACGACCAATCAGTTCCCCTTTGTGTCGTCGTCGACGTCGCCACGTCCGCCGGGCGACATGTCGCAGAACGTCGGTGGGCAGATGAACGGGCCGGGTCCGGGTCCGGGGTCGCATCCTCAGCACCTCACGACGCCCGCCCAGCTCATTGATCGCATGGCCCCGCCCGCAAACGATAACTTCTCCACACCTTTCAGCCTCCAACAGTCGCAGCCAAATGCACCGCCTCGGCCGCCATCGCAGCAACACCCGCCACACCCTGGCTTCTCGCTCCCTCCTCAACAACCGCAATTACCCCATCACCAATCTCCTCGACCCACCGATCCAATGAATCAGCACATAGCGCAGCGACCACAGTCGCAGCAAGGGCAGCGGCAGCGGCAGTCACCGCCACAGCCAGGACCCTCTCGGACGCCCAGGGCATCGCAGCAGCAGCCGCTTCCGACCCAGATGATGCCCCAGCGAATACCGATGCCTCCCGGCTCGAATCCGCCGGGACCATCACAGCAGCCGCCACACGCACAACCGCAGACACAAGGAGCACCAGGAGCACCGCCGCCGCCAGCGCATCCAGTGCAAATTGCGCCGAGGCAGCAGCAGCCAGGGCCGCCTGGTCAACCAGCAGTCCCGCCAAGCGCGAATGGTCCTGCACAGAACCAACCAGATGGGGCGCAACACCCGCCTCAGCCGCCGCAACCTGCGGGTCCACCAACGCAGCATGCGGCGCCGCGACCAGGGCCGTTCATGTATGTGCTCGGAGCAGGGCAGGCGATCGCGAGGCTGGCGAATATGAGTGGTGAAATGGCGATGTACAAGCCATCGGTGCGTCCTTGTCCCCACGCGACTCGCTCACACCTAATGCCCTTACTCCGACAGCGAGAGCTGCCGTTCTGGGATAGCTTTGTGAAGAGGTATTTCACGCCCAAAGCGACCATGAAAATCACACTGTGGAAGGACAACCAGCGTCAGGAGGCAAAGCCGTTCGGTACGTGCGATCTGCTTGTCCGCTCGCTTAGATGGTGCCATCTAATCTCACCATTCGCTTGCGTTCCTGTAGAGATTGGGACCCCGATCCTCCCGCGATTTTTCCAGGTGACGACGCAGTCCGGGGTAAAAAGCATGTCGCTGTCCCTGGATGGCGCACGAGAGAGGGCGACGAACAACGTGCACGCGATCGTAGAGTGTCCGGACGCGCTCTGGACGTTCCGGTATCTCAACGGGTACACGGTCGTGCTCAAAGGCCCGTTCACCGCGCACGTCGTCGTCGTCGCAGAGCCGCCATCGCAGCAGCAGTCGTCGCAGGTGCCTGCGCAGCCAAACTACGCTCTGCGGATAGACAGCATGGTTTTCGACGCGCTGACGCACGAGAAGCTCATCAACATCGACTCGATAGAGGGGAGGCGGATAGACTCGTCACCGTCGGCGTCGGTGAGCTTTGGAGATGTCGATCCTAGGCTCGAGGAGCCACGGACGATCATCGAGCGCGCGTCGTTCCCCGCAGAGCCCATCAATGCGTTCGGTATCCCGCAAGCTACGATGCGGTGTCTGGAGGTGAGTGTGCTCGCAGAGGTTGCCGTATACAACTGACACCTTGTCCCTCAGTTGGCCGAGAGTGTCACGCAAATGGGGGACCTGATCCAGTTTTCAGCGAATCAGCAGCTGGGCCCAAAGGGTGCGTCGTCAATGCTGATTATCCCGTCAGTCGTCTAATATCCTGTACAGAAGCATTGACCCGATACGCCGAGCGACTGCGCCACCAGTATCAAATGGGTCATCTGGGTGAAATGAAGCCGGATGGTGGGCCGAAACCTGGCCAACCTGGTCGACCCGGGCCCCCTACTTCAGGCACGAACATGTTGGACGGGGCCAACGGTGTCGTCGCCCCGACACCCCCGGGTTCGATGTACCCTGGCACGCCCAGTTTGTCGTCGGCGCAGCCCGGGCAAGCCCCTCCGACACCTCAAAATCCGCCCCATGCGGAGCCAGCCAAGCAGGGGAAGGGAGCGCAATCACAAACGTTAAGCTCGTCGTCAAGCCAGACCATGGCGTCTACTCCTGCATCGGCATCCACGCCAGCGGCGGCACCGACACCCGGCGGACCGACAACGCCGGCAATGGCGAACGCGTCGTTGAAGCGCAAGGCTGGGCAACGGGCGGATCCCGGGTCGCCTGCACTCGCGAACAACGCTGCTGACGCGCAACCACCTCCGGCGAAGCGCGGGTCACGGAAACGTCCACGAACAGGGACACAAGGTGGTGGATAGGAATATCGTTATCGTCTCATTCAGTCTGTGTTGTGTTTCTAGTTGCTGTCGGTCGTGCAATCACTGGTCTATCGATACTCTACTCATCATTAGCATAGATATCCTGTATTCTAGTAGTCATCTGAACCGTCTGCTCCTCGATGGCGTTGTCTTATCATTGTCTATTTAAGCCGGGCTCTACTGTATACTAATGCATATCATCGCTCTTGCTCGTCAACTCGAAAGTTTGACTGACGTGTCGTCTGCGCGAGGGACCCCGCTTCTGAATGGAGAAGGTATCACTCGCTTTGGGAAACAAGACCCACAGACTCGGACATTAGTATGGCTGACAGGTCGTCCGTTTCCGCTCGCGATACGGTCACAAGTCCAGCTGGAAGGCGACGGTGGAAACATGTATTGCCTAACAAAAGAACATGCAGATCGTAGTACATAGGCTTTAATAAATTGGTTCGTGACTGAAGTCGCATTGATCTCCATACTTGCATCTGTGCGAAGCATCACGGGCGTCAGTTTACCCGTTATAGACGTCGTGTAGAATGGGCGCTCGCCTTCCTGCTGCAAAGAAACTGCACGGGCGTCGTTTATTATTTCTGTACGGCTCGCCTCCACGCCCACGGCCTCTGCCCCGCCCCCGATGCCCCCCGCGACTGCCTCCCCGCTCGGGCCAGCCACCTTCCGGGTGCCGACGATCATGCGGGCCTTCGTCGTGGTAGCCCCCGCCACCGTTGTCGAATCAGGTGGGTACCGGCCGGCGTTCCAGTCGGCGCTCGGAGCGGGCTGTCCGGGGGCCTGCGGCTGGAAGATGCCGCTTTGGTTCTGACTCAGAGATTGGAAGAGCTGCTGCAACTGCTCCGGATTCATGTTCGACATGCCAGGCAACGCCTGAATGACATTCGTATCCAGTCCGAATGGTTTGGAATCCGACTGTGGTGGTGCACCAGCTGATGTACTCCCTGCGAACGCTTCGCCCCCGCTCGCAGCAGCGAGCTGCCCTACCAGCTCCGCTACAGACTGTTTTGGTGGCTCGACAGCCGCTGGTGCCCCCGCAGTCCAGAAGATAGCGTCGACATCAGGACCCGTCAGCATTACCTTGACACCCTCGTCAGTCTGCTCCTCCATGAGCTGCGTCGGTAGCTCATCCGGACTCGCCGGTATTTGTGCTTCGGACACGTAAAGAGCGACCAACGCTCCTTGCTCGCGCTCCTCTTGCGTGGCCTTCTCTTGACTCTCTTCCCCTCTTGGGCGGACGTCGATTTCCGGAGGCATTGCCATCGCTGCAAGGAGAACCAATGAATCACAGCGCACGGTGTTATGCTAGGGATTTGCTTACGCATTGGTTCGGACCATTCGATCTGTTCCTCGAAAAGATGCGCGTGTAACGCGGCACCCTCGTCTCGGTCAAGGTCACGGATGTTGTGCGTCGAGAGCAAACCCTGCGTATCGACATGAAACAGCCGTAATTAATATACAGTACATAGCACAGTCCAAGGAAAATGAAGCTGACATCTGAAGGATCATCGTCGTATATCGCACGCTCAATGAGCTTTATTCGCTCGAGCTCGCCATCGGGTGCCCAGGTGACCCGCTTTTTCGGCCTGCCAGATGCAGTCACACTTGGAAATACGACCATGGGAGGTGCGGAGGTAGGTGGAGGTGGCGGCGTTGCGGTGGCGGGCGAGTCTTTACGAGCCTTTGCCATCGACTTGAGCGCCTCCTCAAACGGATTGAACGACGACGGTTGCGCAATATTCAGATCTGGCTCTCTTTTGACAGGAGGCAGCGGAGGCGCTTTCTTGAAACTTGGGAGCTTTGGTTTCGGCTTCGGCGCAGAAAAGAACGACGAGTCCGACTTCGCGTCCTTGACCTCCTTGACGACTGACTTTGCCTCTTTCTTGACGGCGACGGGCTTCGTCGAAGCCGAAGTCGAGACAGCGGCCTTCTTCGAGGCGGGCGCGGCCTTCGCTGACGCGGCCTCCGCCTTCCGCTTCTTGCTCTTCGGGTCTGACAAGTCCATTAGACACCGGGATCATTTCATGCACAGACTTAACACACCATCGTCAACGTCCATCCGCTTCGACTCCTCGTGACTGGAGGCTAGAAGCTGCCTCCATTTACGTTCCAAATTCGACGCCATATCTTTGATCGCTGTTTCGCCAACAAACCCCGCGTTAGATACATGTTTCTTAAGCGTTGTATTCAGGTAGAAAGTGAGTGCTATCGTACGGTAACCGAGGTTCAAGGTACTCCATTGCGTACTCGACACGTTCACTGGACCACGTCCTTTTCTGCTATGAGCACGCTGGGGCTCATCCATCGAGCTGCTGTCGCAATACAACATCATAGGGCAGCAGCTCGATAGATGGCATCGCCATGGGAGACACGTGTCATTGCATCGATGATGACGGAATATACTGACCTGGTGCAGGGGGATCCTTGACGAGCCGGACGATGATCTTGCCAAGCTTGGAAACCTTCAAACTATCGACGGTCATCGGAAGGCGATCGATGATCTTCGGGGCGGGAAGAGTCAATCATCAAGCAACAGGAACGTTCACGACAAGCACTCACATGTAGCAATGGCATAATCGTCTCTAACAGCCCCATATCGTCCTTGCCAGCATACGCAGACTTCAGCCACTCCCGTGTAATATCCATCGCGTCTTCGTTCTCGATCCAAGCTCGAAAGTAGTGGTTGCCTGCGTTGTCTCTCATCTTCGTCAAGATCTCCATCCTTGTCGAGGGTTCCACTTCCGAGATGCCGTAATCGTCAATATGGCCTGCCAGCTGTGAAACGGCACCTGCTCCCGTGAACGAAGTCGGCGCCAAAAGAGGCTTGATGGCCGTTTGGAACGCAGCCTTGCGCTGTTCAAGAGTGGGCGTTGCAGCCTTCGGTGTTGGCGTCGGTACGGGTGATCCGTAAAACGACGAGGGGGGCAGCGCGCCCAAGAGGGTACTTGAGGAGGCATGAAGAACATACGGAGAAAGAGTGCCTTGCTGCTGTATTTGCTGTGCCTGTGCTTGCGGTTGAAGATGCTGTTGTTGATGTGATGCTGGTCGTGATACAGGTGGTTGTTGAAAGTGCGCAGAGGTAGTATGAACATAAGGTGAATTAATAGTGAAACTAGGTTGCTGAGTTTGGTGCTGATATTGATACTGATTCCGTTGCTGAGGTTGCGACAGTGACTGAAAAGAGATGAACGGTTGTTGCGAATGCTGAAATTGTTGAGGCGGTGACGAGCCCGCGCCGTTCATGGTGGTCAGAGCGGGGCTACAGAAGTCAACGTTTGGACAACATTTCACCGCCAAGGACGAAGGTTTCGACTTACTCAATCATCATACCCGAGGATGACGCCGACCCTGGCTGTTGCTGGCCTGACGGCGATGCGCTTGTGGCACCGTTGAGAGACGAGTAACTGGAGAGAGGGAGCTGGGGGGACGGGCTGCTGTTCCATTGCGGTGTACCGTAGGCGACTGCGTTGTAGGGTCCAGGAGCGTTGTGCGGATAGAAGCCGTTGCCGAAGGTGTAGAACGGGGTGTTTGACGATGCTGCGTTTGAGCCTGAGGAAGAGGACGGCACTGGATGGGGAGGGCGGGAGTCAGGAAAGGGCCACTCGACGACGCTCGCCGGGGAGCGCCTAAATAGGGGCGTGGAAGGACGTGCTCACCCGACAGATCACCCAAAAAGTCGCTCAGGTCCATGGCCGCCCCCGACCCCACCGACGCGCTCGAGGACGGGTCCTTCCAGTCGTCGTTCGCTGTGTGCCCGTCGGGCGCGACATGGTGCGGCAGGTCCGGGATCGGTTGCTGCAACCACGGCGTGTTCGTGAATTCCATCTGCAGCGACTCTTTTTGTACTCGCTTTCTCAGAGGTTACACTAAACGGGCTTATTTCTGTGCAAACGAGGTGGAAAGAGACGAGGAGGCTACGCCGCTGACAGCCCGCAGTGTTCACCTCGCCAGTTCGTCGTCGCGTTCACCGTTCGTGATGATGGTCAGAGGTTAGGCTCGATACCGCGCTTTCGGTCTCCGCCGCTATTTGCCACAACGCCTTGCCTTTCCTGTCGCCGATTCCCACGCTTTCACCGCCTTCTCACGCTCAGTCTGTAGTTCGGCAGGGATGCATTCAACAGCTTCCGGGCAGCGGACACGCTGGCCGCACAGCATCAGGTTCTAGCTCTTTGCGTGAATGGACGACAGCCATGAATCAATTAATCACCAGTGAATTGAATTATGGATCAGGAACAATAAGGCGACCGTAATGCGGCCGATAGTAAGACGCGATTTAGCCGGTTTGTGATGTCCCTACAAACATCAATTGAACCAAACATATACAACGTCTAGAGCCCTACTACTGCCCGCATCAAACTTCCTTCAACCGTTTTCTTAACCCCCCTTCAGTCCTTGTTTACCGTCGCGCTACACGTCGCGACGCGTCTAACGCGTCCGAACGCGAACTTTGCCTTTGTCTCCGTACCAGATGGCCGCCCACCCCGATGCGGGTCAAGCCGCTGCCCAGTTCGAGTTCATGAAAATGCAGGTGCGTCGCTGTGCCCAGTTTTCACCCCCTCGACCAGCCTTGCTCATCGAAATTTTGACAATGTTAGTTCGCGAACAACCTGGGGCATGTCGCCCAGTCATTGCGCGACTGTGCGGCCATCGCTGACCAGCTCGCTGGATCCATGTCTGGAATGCCGTACAACCAAGGTGGCATGCAGCTCATGCAGTTCCCTGTGCAACCCCCTGGCTCGTAGCTCCGCCTACTACCGGGAAACGCAAGATGCGCGAGGTCGAGGGCAAAAAGACGAGGAAGAAAAAGGACCCCTTGGCACCGAAACGACCCCCGTCGTCGTACCTGCTGTTCCAGAATGAGGTCCGTTCTGAGCTGAAGAAGACGCACCCGGGCATGCCGAACAATGAACTGCTGGGCATGATAGCGAAGCAGTGGTCAGAGATGTCGCAGGAGGATAAGGAGGTGCGCGTTCTCCCGCTTAGGGCATATTGTTGAGGCTGACGTGTCGAATGCGAAGAAATACGAGACCCTGCAGAGGGCTGCGAAGGATCGGTATTTGGAGGAAAAGGGCGTCTACCAAGCAGGAGGATCTCCGGCTACTGCAGTGGCACCTGTGGTATGTGCGCTTTGTACGCTGTGTGGCCGAAGTCTAATACACTCCAGGCACCCCCTGTGATAATAGCCACCCCGCCCGTTGTGAAGCCGGTCGTGCCCGCCGTGGTTGCTACCACCTCTTCGGATGAGGAGTCTTCCGAGGACGAAGAGGATGGATCGTCTTCGGATGACAGTCCTGCTCCTACGCCTCCCCCATTGAAGAGAAAGAAGGAGGAGCCTGGGAAGGCAGAGCGCACCCCGAAGAAGAAGAAAACGTCGAAGGCCTAAGTGCCAAGTGGCGCGATACAGACAGTTGGCCTGCGGGAGAATGAGTGTTCCTGGCTTTTTGTAAGTACGTACCTGTATCTTCTAATGCGCTTGGCCAGGTTGGCATAATAGCTTTGTCCATAATGCTTCGTAATTCTTGTAGCAGTGATTGTCCCCGACGACAGACCTGTGTATGGTTCTTGCGCTTGAAATGATGCCAAAGCTTTGTGGTTCAGGTGTATTGACAGTGTACTTAATCGCTCCGGGTTGGTGAAGCGGTGTGCAAGTGGACGTTCCAGAGGATTCTGGCAGTACGATGGAAGAGCAGTGCAGGGTCTGAGCAGCGCCGAGTAAGTATGTATAGCATCGGCGCCACGAGCTGCGCGTATCGCCCGCTTCTAGGACGTGGTGGAACGGCATCGTGAGGCGTGGGCATCGATTGTGGACTACAAAGCGTGGTACTTAGGGCCTTGACTACTGGAGACGTGGCGATCCGTTCTTTTGTCAGACCCCGAAGGATGCGATGCAATAGAACGGGCAAGAATGGCAGCGTCGCGCACGAATCGAGGCGGCACTGAGCCTCAGCCACGGCACGGGGCCTGTCACAGTAACTAGTCATGCTGTGTGTATCATCCCTCGGTTGAGACTATAAAAGCCCGATCCTGCCTCATCCCGACCACGACGCAACCCGCACCTCTCGCTCTATTCACCACTTCACTATGTCTCAGCCACCTCCGTACAGCAGCAAACCATACAGCCCCAACCCTCCTCCCCGTGAGAACCCTGACCGACGACCTCTACCGCCGGGCTGGACGTCGCAGTGGGATCCCAAGTGCGTGCCTGGAGGACGCTTGCACGCGACATGCACTGACTACTCCCCGCTTCTCTAGCTACAACGCATGGTACGTTCCCACGTCAGCGGCGCGTCCACCGCATCGCTCATTTCAGCCAGGTTCTATGTGAATACCCAGTCCGATCCGCCAAGATCATCGTGGGTACACCCTCTCGGACCTCCTGGCTCGCCACGTCCTCAGGGCTTCGCGCCGCCGGCTGGTCCGCCACCACCCGAAACCCGCGGTTACAGCCCTGGGTACCAGGGTTCCCCGGCGCCTCAGCGGTATGACGACTATCGAGGAGGACCATCTCCTGGCTATGGAGGACCGTCTCCAGGCTATGGTGGCCCGCCCCCGAGCAATTACGCACCTGGCCCGGGCTACGGCGCCCCTGCTCGGGACACCCGAGGTGCGTCTGAAGGCTGACTGGTCGGTTAGAATCATCGTAACGCAGGGGTATATCAGGATGGTTTGGCGGTGGCTCGCAGATGGCAGCGCAGCCAGCAGTGGTCCAGCAGGCAGCTCCGAAGAAGAGCGGTATGGGAATGGGCACTGTCCTTGCAGCTGGTAGGCACACTGTTTTCGCAGTAGTCTTGTACATGAATGACCGGTAATTCGCAGGCGGCGCTGGTCTCTTGGGCGGTGCGATCCTGGGAGATCTCTGGGAGGACCATGACGAGAACGAGCGCGAAGAAGGATACCAGGATGGTGTGTCATCACTCTGGGCATTGTATAAATCTGATGTTGACTTGGCTTGCGTTCATCAGCAATGCAGGATGGCTATGGAGGAGGGTACGATGGTGGCCAGGACGATTTCGGCGGTGGAGGCGACTTCTTCTAGGTCACGAGAGAGTGCAAGGTGATCAGTATAAGGGCCTCCGTTCCTTATCTGTATTGACGTGCTCCGGTCAATTCTTCGGAGATATGTGGGTAGAAACGACTCATTGCTGCCTCGGTTGCGCTCCTCTCTACGAATGCGAAATGGACTGATATCGCATGTTAGATTCATGTATTTTACTCCCGGTTCCATTTCTCTGCCATTAGGTGTTATGACTCTTGTGTTCCTGGTTTTGGAAGCGACGGATGTAACGTGGCAGGATACATGTTGGCTTCGACACAAACCTGTGCGTGAACAAGACGGCACGTTCTGTGTCGTTCAAATCTGCGTCGCGATCGAAATGTTCGAAGTTTCAACCGTCATGGGATCGCCGCGGCTTGAATCGAACGCTCGAAATCAGACGTACGGATGTTCTCTGCTGAACATCTCGGATACCGACCACGTCACGGAAGTCCGTTGATAAACGCACCGAGACACTGAGAATTGTGCGTCAACTAGCACCCATTGAGCGATCCTTTAACTAACTCGTAAACGTGATGTGTTCACTACAAATCGGAACATTGCGCCCCTCAGGCCATGTCTACCGCACCGTTCACCTTCTCGAGGAATCGGTGGCGAGCGGACTCAATCACTTTGTCGCGCTCAGATGCGCAGTATGCCTTGTATTCGTCCGAGTGGCGCCAATCCGACCACGGCGTCTCGTCGAGGACCGTCCACCATTCGCTGGTGTACGGATGTCCAGGCGCGCCCGCGTAACCCCACGACTTCGCGATATACGGCTGTAAGTATGGGTTCAAAATATGCTCCAGGGCTGGGTTGACAGGCCCAGTGAAGTGAACGATCGCAGCGTCCTTCATCTCCAACAAGCCTGACTCGATGAGCGCTCTGTCCGCTGATGGCAGTTCGGCGTACGTGCCCAGTCCCTGTGCGTTCCACTTCATCGGCAGTGGAAGCCAGGCGTCGCGGAAGTGCGTGTTGAGCGCGTCCTGGTCGGCATACTTGTCACTAAGGGAGCTCTCCGCCGTAGCGGACAATGCGCCCATCCTGCCTCGGACCTGAGCGAGGTCCATCAGGAGCACACCCGCGTTGAAGTACGGGCCCCTCTGCGGCCCACCGTGGCCCATGGGGTACCCTACGTCCCGAGCGGCGCCGAGGGGTTTTCCGGCGAGGTCGATGTCCCAGAGCGACCGTAAGTCCGCTCTGACCAGGACGTCGGCATCGAGATACAGGACTCGCTCAATGGGGAGCACGGGGATCATGTCAATCTTCGCCCAGGTCTTGCCTCCCTTCGCTGTGAGCCCACCTGAGGGCAGGGTGAGGAAGACGATGGTGGCGTCGTTTGCAGACTCTGTGCATTGCTCCAACTTCTGGCGGTCGGTGGGCGAGAGCCCGAGGTCGATGATGTAGAAGGTGATCCTATCCTTGGTCATGCTGACGCAGCTGCGAATGGCGACGGCTGCTGCCATTGCGTACGTGGAATCCACCGTTAGCGCGACGTGCATCCCGTACCCGAGGGCACGATCGAGCCCGTGGCCAACCTTCTCCTTCAGTAGGAAGCCGATGCGCATCTCGGAGGTCTTCTGGAGGACGACCTGGTACTGCTCTGGCCTCGACAAGACATCGAACTCTCCTCGGTGGAGCGTCATGAAGGCATCGATGCCGCGTTTGGGATGGTGTATGCTGTCTGAGGGCTCCTTGTCCCAATGATAGTCGTCGAAGATAACGACGGCACCTTTCTTGGCGAGCCTCCAGACGAGCTCGCCGTCGAGGAAGGTGTCGTCGGCTTCGTGGGACCCATCGACGTAGATCCAGTCATATCCTGGGTTTGGGTTGTCCATCTCCTCCCCCAGCAGCGTCATCAGGGCCGGGAAGCTGAACTCGTCGAGGACGCGGAAGGGTTTTCCGGTCAACGACAGGTTGTGGGTGATTTTCGAGTAACGCTCCTGGCCCGCCGCTGACTTCATTAGGTCGAAGTGGTCGATGCAGACGGCCTCGCCACCCTGAGCGCACAGCTCCGTCAGGAGGAAGACAGCAGAGCGTCCCTCCCATGAACCAATCTCCAGGACGCGAGGTTCGGTAGATCGAACTCGGGGAAATAGTCCCCTCCATGCGTCGACATTAAAGGAGAACCAGTCTTGCGTTGGAGTGAATTGGTACGCTTTGTCGTCGCTCAGGGTCTTGTCCCAAAAGCTAACGCTTGTGTCTGCCATCTGATGGCGGTCTTGGAGTTAGGTTTATGCAAAAGCTCAGGGAAACGGGCTGACTCTACGTGTTGTCTCTTTCAATGCGGTCCTGAGGACTCGAAATATCAGCGGATGTGGGCAACAGGCGTCGGCGAGCCTTGTTCCTCGTCGAGCTTTGTACACGCTGGGAACTGCGACGGCTGTGCCGCGATGTCGCTGACTCGTCCCATGATCCAGGACCCAAGGACTGGGTGATAGGAAGACTCCACGGACCACGGGCTCTGTCAGGCATTAATGCTTCTGAGCAGCGCCGTTACTCAACCACGCATCTATCTTCACCGATAGAAGAGACACTCATAACTCAGGTGCCGTTCAATCAGCCGCCGCCAGCCTCAAAGAACAGATCCCCCTGGGACTAGAATCGACACTTGCCTCGTAGTCGGGTATTCCATGTGGAGCTCCTTCGCGATGTCGTCCCCTTATGGCTTTAGGACCTAGCCGTGACAATTTGCGGTTGGACTTGCGATGAACCTAATCCTTACGAGGCGCAATATCGAACACGCGCACCCAGATTATCCCTTCCTGTCGAAGTCCGCTCTCACACCATTCCTGCTTAGCTATGTCTTGTGTAGTCGGTGACGCTCAGTCGTCATCCGGCGTCCGCTCTCCATTGATTTACACCGCTTGAACCGCAGGAAAGATTTGCCCAGCTGCACGGTCCGGCCGCCCAACCGCAACCCAGAAGTCCGCGGTTTATATCGGTGAGCTTCCGTCTAGTGACCCACGTCTCTTATCCCCCACTCTTGACCACCATGCTCCCGCCAGACAGTACGATACTTGTGACTGGTGGCAATGGCTTCATCGTAAGCCCCTCAACGTTGAGATGATTTTGTTCTGCTGACTGTAGTCCTAGGGAGGCAATATGGCCCACCGGCTTGCTGCAAGCGGTCGACACAGAATTCGTATCGCCGACATCTCCCGCACAGGGTATCTCGAACCACCGGCAGGTGCAGAGGTCACGATAGGAAATCTTTGCGAGCCTGCCTTTTGCGAGACCGCGGTGCGAGGTGTGAAGGTCGTTCTCCACTTCGCCGCTACGATGGGGGGAATGGGAGTCATCCACGCGGCCAACGACTTCACAATATACCAAGAAAATCATCGTATGACCCTCAACTTGCTTGCGGCCGCTGTGTCCGAAGGCGTCGACTTGTTCTTCTACGCATCTTCAGCCTGCGTCTATCCAGACTCCCTGCAGGGCCCCGACAACGAGGACGTCTCCCTGAAGGAGGACGACGTTTGCACGCAGTGGCCGCCGAGTCCACAGGGGCTCTACGGGCTTGAGAAGCTCAATACCGAAAGCATCCTCTCCCAGTACAGTTCGCGCCTCAATATTCGCACCGCTCGCTTTCATAATATTTACGGACCAGGCGGTTCTTGGGTCGGTGGTCGGGAAAAGGCACCCGCTGCCTTCCTCCGGAAGGCTCTGGCTCTCAAGCGTACCGACGCATCGTTGAAGGACCTGGAGATTTGGGGTGACGGCCAGCAGAGGCGGAGCTTCTGCTTATTGACGACGCCGTGGAAGCCATCCTCGCACTCATCCAGTCGGACTGCCGGGAGGTTGTCAACATCGGAGACGACCGTTCGGTCACCATCCGAGAGCTCGCGGACATCGCAGTGCACTGTGCCGGCATCAATCACGCCGATGTACGCTATCACTACGTGCGCGACAAGCCGGTCGGCGTTGCGTCTCGGAACTCGAATAACGACCGAGTACGGCGGCTCTTGGGTTGGTCTCCGAGGACCACACTCGAGGAGGGGATGCGACGCACTGGGGAGTGGATCGCCGACGAGATGGACAAGGCGCTTCGCCGGCTCAAGCAGCCTGCGCGATCGGACGCGCTTCGCCGGTATACAACGAGCCAGAAGGTCGACCTTCAGGCAGACGCGACTACCTTCGCCATCCTTCTACCGATTACGTCCCGGGGTTCTGCGTCGCCAGACGACTGCCTGGTCAACCTCGCGCGTTTTGCGAGGTCCCTTGCACTCACTACCGCAGACGATGTGGCTAGACTGGGCGTACGGTACCGCGTGCGCATCTATCTGCAATTGACCATGATGACACGTTCCTCTTCACGGATGGCGAAGAAAACAAGGCCGAGCAAGTCCTGCGTCAGGAAGGTTTTGCGCATATTTCGACCATCATGTGCGATCATCCCCGTGGCACGTTTGCGCCTGTGGCGAGACTGCGCTCGCGCAGCCTGGAGAGACGGTGCGGATTACATGACCTTGATGGGTGATGATGTCGTCTTGCAAGATCCTCCTGGATGTCGGCGGTCGCGCACGCATTCGAGGAGCTATCCGTCGAACAGGAGTGCCGCCGGGGCTCGGTTGTGTTGCCTTCACGGATACGTCCTTCCCGGCATGCCACCTTCCCCGTTATGCATCGTACCCACATGGACATCTTCGACGGCGAGGTCATCCCGACATCTTCGTGAACCAGGACGGAGACCCGTTCCTCTTCCAACTGTACCGCCGCTGGGGCTGCTCGCGGATGATCTCACCTCGCGTATCCAATGCAGTTGGAGGTAGCGACAGCGCGAGGTACCGCAAGGTATCGGCTGTCGGCTGGACATTCGGCCCCCTCGATAATGCGACCACTACCGTTGAGTCATGGCTCCGCGAGTATCACCCCCATGTCGAGCGGAAGCTGACCGTGGACGTTGTGATCCCCTGCTATCGAGTAAATCTCGCCTATATGGACAAGTTCCTAGCTCTTCGCCCGTCCCCGACCTGCACAGTGATGTTCATAGTCATTGTCGATGACCCCTGTTCGCCCAACATCGCAGCCTTGATGGAGAAATACGCACACCGCCCAGACGTCCGCATTCGCGTCAATACTCAGAACCTGGGCGCTTCCGCGTCGCGCAACAGAGGGTTACAGGAATCCGCGGCGGAATGGGTGCTCTTCTTGGACGACGACGTCGCTCCGAAAGACAACATCCTGGTGGAGACGGAGAAAGTCATTCGTGAAAACCCCAGAGCGGCGGGATTCGTTGGTACCGCTCTCTTCCCCATCGCCGACACTATCGTAACGGCGGCTATCCATTTGGCGGGCGTTACTTACTTTTGGGATATTGCGAGAAAGCGCGCCGACGATTGTGATCTTCCATGGGGCGTCACCGCAAATCTCATTGCGAAACGCAACATGGAGGACAACATCGTCTTCGACTTAGGATTCCCGAAGACTGGTGGAGGCGAGGACATCGACTACTGTCGCAGGAAGCGCGATTCTCGTTTGCCCACGGCGGCGTCGGCTTCTGTGCGGCACCGGAGGTTGTGGTCACCCACCCATGGTGGAACAAAGGTCAGAGATCCTGGTGGAGGTTCTATATGTGGGGCAAGGGTGACGGAGCCCTCGTCGCCATGTACCCGCAGTTCACGTACCGAGAAGCAGCGCCAAACAGCGCGGAGCTGCTTGTCCTCTGTGCGGTCTTGACGGTCGGTGGTTGCGCCACGTCCCTGCTGTTGTGCGGAGCAACGACAGCGGCGCTCCAGATTGCCCTGAACGGCAGTCGTATATGCCTTGCTCTCCTGCAGCCAACGTCCTGCATGACCTATACCGTCATGGTTGGAGGAATGCGGACAGAACTGCAGCGCTCAACATGTCCGTTGGTGGATGGCGGCTGTCGTCGCGATGATCGAGAGCACGTTCATCCGGATGTTCAGCGAGTACGGCCGCCTGGTCGGCGTACTGGAACGGCGAGAGTACGGAGCGATCGGGACGGCGTTCGATTGGTTCACCAACCGCGCGGGAGACGGACCAAGAAGAGAGGAGAACATGAACCGCCTCCAGAGGGTCGCGATTTGGGTCTTGATTCTAGCCATGTTATATGTAGCATAAGAAGCGTAGACAGTATGTCCGAGTAGGAGTCGATGTGCAGTTGGAGGTTCTGGTGTGCGTACGCGTGTGCACGAAGTCAAGCTGAGTCACGTCTCGATTTGGGAGGAGTGGGAACGCCGAATGCCTTAGTCAGACACGCGTCCACCAGAATGGCAACTGGGGCCCACGAGAAGACGCCCGTGTGGCTAGGGACACGCGCAAATAAATTAGGTCGCGTCGCGTCTTGTCTCCGCGTCGCGACCTTGTTCAGCAACAATCCCTGCTCGCCCCTATCCAGTCTAGCTGTGACAATTCACAGGCATGCCTCGTCCAAGACGTACTACGCGCAGCGAGGCGTCAGTGTCGGTTACCCCAGCATCGGCGACAGTGTCCCCAGGGTTCAGCGCCAGAAGCTCCAAGCAGTCTACGCCCGCAACATCGGTAGTTGACGAGGTGGAAAAACCAGCAGCGCAGCCAAGAAGGTCCGCAAGGAAAAGTATTGTTGAGAGCAAGAAGCGTGCTAGAGAGACTGATGAGGAAGCCGAGGACAAGCCTAGCAAGACCGGCACGAAACGCAGAGTGGTCGCCCGCGAAGTTTACGTAGAAATTCAGGTTTCTCAGAAGGTATTCGTCGTAGCATTATTCATCATCGCACAGAATGAGCTGAGCCAGTTCGCGTCCATAGAAGTCTGCCGCCACTACTACCCAGTCATCCTCGAAAGGGGCTAGGCGGACGGCTGCCACCAAGACTCCTGCAGTCAAAGCTGAGGAGAGTGTCGACGAAGTCGGTGACAGCGAAGAAGACAGGGTTTCGATACTCGAATCCGACGACAGCGGCTCGGAGTACGAGGCCTCTGATATTGACAGTGCACCGGAAGACGCTGAGAGCGACAAGTCTATTGAGGACTACGTCGAGCCCGCCGTCAAAGATGAATACACGGCAGAGGGTATCGACGACGAGGACGTCATGATGGATGCTGCCATCCAAGCATCACTAGAGTCCGCTCGGCAGGACGACAGTCGTATCGCGGGCACGACAAGCGCTGGTGCAGGCTCGTCGAAACAGCGCCCTCCGGTCAACTCTGCAGCGGCCCTCCGAGCTGCTGCAGCGGAACGTCGCCTGGCCAAAGAACAAGATGGGGCATATTCCGGCGAAAGTCTATCTGAGCCTGCTGACTCCGAGGATGAGTTACCACTCGCAAAGAGCAAGGGTAAGGCGAAGGTTTCAACCGCGCTCCAAAAACTGGTCGACACCAGCGAGCCGAAATATATGACCCTTGCTCAGCGCAGGCACGCTCGCAAGTTGGCGAGGATGGAGAAGTCGCAAGTCAAGTCTGAAGAACAGAGGATGCGCTACAAACTCGGCCGCAAACTGACATACGTGAGTATGTAGCGATACATTAGGACGATTCGCTCACGTAGCGTGCAGGCCGAGAAGTCCACAATTGCGCTTCAGGTCCATCACCCGGAACTCAAGGACGTCTGGGGAAACCTAGAGAGACGCGTTGCCATTGTTGAACCGAAGAAGGCGAAACCGCCTGCCGGTATCAAAGTTACTCTACTGCCCTTCCAGGAGGAAAGTCTGTACTGGATGAGGGAGCAAGAGAAGGGCGAGTGGAAAGGCGGTATGCTCGCGGTCAGTACAAACGCCTTAGCCTTAGTTCGCGCGTGCTGACATGATACACTGCCAGGATGAGATGGGGTTGGTAGTCGTCGCCAAAAGTAGACGTTTCAAAACTGACCTTCCTTCACAGGATGGGCAAGACGATCCAGATGATAGCGCTGCTTGCATCAGACGCTGGCGTCAAGCCGAACCTTGTCATTGCGTTCGTCACTTATTCTTCATTAGTTAGCGCAATTGAACTCACAACGAACCGATGTTTCAGGCCGACCGTTGCCATCATGCAGTGGCGCAATGAGATTGAAACCCATACTGACAGTTTCAAAGTGCTTGTGTGGCACGGATCTTCCAGAGACACTAACGTCAAGACGCTCAAGAGTTATGACGTGGTGCGTTTCGGGACATGTTCGTCTGTCATTACATTTGTGCTCAAGTTGTACAGGTGCTCACCACTTACGCTGTGCTCGAGAGTTGCTTCCGCAAGCAGGAAAACGGTTTCAAGAGGAAGGGGAAGATCATTAAGGAGAAGTCTCCTGTGCACCAGGTCCACTGGCATAGAATCATCGTAAGCGGTAGTTCAATGTTTCGTGGCGCACTTGAACGAACTGGTCTGCAGCTCGATGAGGCGCATAACATCAAGGAGAGGTCGACGAACACGGCCAAAGCCGCATTCGAGTTACAGGGTACCTTCAGATGGTGTCTCTCCGGCACCCCTCTACAGAACCGTGTTGGAGAGCTCTACAGTCTTGTACGATTTCTCGGTGGCGATCCTTTTTCGTACTACTTCTGTGAGTCCCATAGCATCAGTCCAGCCAACGTCGACTGAGGAGTCTACGTGTCATCAGGCAAGTCATGTCCGTGCAAGTCCCTGCACTGGAGGTTCTCCGATAAACGGAGCTGCGATGGTAAGCCACCGACGCCAGCACGTATATCAGTAACGCTGATTTCGTTCCTAGATTGTGGACACAGTCCTATGAAACACGTCCGTGCCCCTTCAAGTTTAATCTGCAGAATTGTTTTGACGAAAGCTCGCCCTCTAGACCTGCTTGTGGAACAACGAGATTCTGACCCCTATTCAGAAGAACGGGATGGTAGGCCCTGGCGAAACCGCATTCAAGAAACTCAAGATCTTGTTGGACAGAATGATGCTGCGCAGGACAAAGGTACCACCGAGTTCGCGCTACGAGAATCGGTTGTCTTACGTTTCGCTCTAGCTGCAACGTGCGGATGACCTCGGTCTGCCTCCCAGAACCGTCATCGTGAGGCGGGACTACTTCAGTCCCGAGGAGAAGGAGTTGTATCTCTCACTGTTTTCCGACGCCAAGCGGCAGTTCAATACTTACGTCGATTCGGGTACCGTCCTGAACAGTACGTCTCGTCATCAAAACCCGTCTTCTCGGGTGCTGACATGCCCTTACAGACTATTCTAACATCTTCAGTCTGTCAGTGAAGCTATCGTTTCTCAGACCCGCACATCACTCAGTCGTTCATCATACAGACTCACTCGCATGCGACAAATGGCCTGCCATCCTGATCTCGTGCTGAGGAGCAAGAGCAATGCGGGGACCTTCTTGCAGGACGATCAAGGAGAAGCCACTGTTTGCCGGTTGTGCAACGAAATCGCCGAAGATGCCATCCAGGCGAAATGCAGGCACATCTACGACCGTGAATGTATCAAGCAGTACCTCAACACTGCCATAGAAGTCAACGTACGTATGCTCGCTCTGTGTTCGCACGGCGTGACGAGGCCTTACAAGTCGCACAGCCCGCGTGCCCCGTGTGCCATGTCCCCCTTACCATCGACTTGGACGCTCCTGCTCTCGACCTTGAGGAGAATGCGAAACCACGCCAGGGCATCCTCGGTCGTTTGGAGCTGGACAAGTGGCGGTCTTCTTCCAAGATCGAGGCGCTCATCGAAGAGCTGGACAACCTCCGACGACAGGACTGTACCACGAAGAGCATCGTCTTCAGTCAGTTTGTCAACTTCTTGGACTTGATCGCATATCGATTGCAGAAGGCTGGATTCGTCGTGAGTGTTCATGGAGCTGTTTTGATGCGAAGACTGACGGAACTATGCAGGTATGCCGTTTGGAGGGGACCATGAGCCCGCAGGCCCGTGATGCGACGATCCAACATTTCAGTGAGTACACATTAGGTCGTTGCTGGCAACAAACATGACTGACTGCGCATCCAGTGAACAACGTTCACGTCACGGTGTTCTTGGTCAGCTTAAAGGCCGGAGGAGTGGCGCTGAATTTGACAGAGGCTTCTCGTGTCTTCCTGATGGATAGCTGGTGGAACCCGGCGGTGAGTAGTCTTCCTCGGTCCGGTTGAAGTCATCGCCTGATTATCGTCTCGTGCAGGTTGAGTATCGTGAGTAGCCTGTGTTGCCTCCATGGGATAGTCTATTCATTTCATTTGCAGAGGCTATGGATCGTATCCACCGTTTGGGTCAACACCGACCTGTTGAGGTCGTCAAGTTGGTCGTTGAGGACAGCATCGAGAGCAAGATTGTTCAAGTAAGCATCCGTTGTTGTGGGCTATCATCACCAATGCTCAAAGACGTTGCCCGGATCAGCTGCAAGAGAAGAAGGCGGCGATGGTCGACGCCACGCTCTCAACGGACGATTCGGTGAGTTTCGTCGAAGCGGAACCGCAGGACGTGTTTCTGATGAATCGGCATAGGCTATGGGACGACTGACTCCGGAAGATGTAAGTATTGGTTCCTTGGTTTGCTGAAACTTGCCGCTTATCATGATTGGTTGTATCTCAGCTCGGCTTCTTGTTCAGGGTGAGTTTCATCCGTCTGCTCTACCATGACATCGTTGCTGATGATACATTGCAGCTCTGATTGCCCATCTTGAGGAAATATATGTCCAAAGAATGCTCTGCGAACCCTGTATACCGTCCATCTTTTGTAATGAGCCATGTCCATGTGCGTGCGCTGCTGTCGTGAGTATGTTAATGTTTCAATTATTGTCTATGGCGTATAGAACCATCCCCGATGAGAATTATATGCGAACTGTTTGGTCCACGGACAGCTACGTAACGCTCAGAAAATGCCAGGTACCAGCCTATACTTCGTCCTCTGCGCCCAAGAATCCCACTGTGTCCCAAACTCCGTCCGAAGTACTTCATCCTCTGCTGCAGTGCGTGCTATGACTCCAACCGGAATGATGGTTAGAGTGCCGAGCCAAAGACACCCTATCACTGCGCCCGCGGGCGTCGACCATAGCCTCAAGCTCTCGATCCAGTACGAACCCGGGCCCAGCTCCATGAGCGCTATGCCCATGAGCGCCGAAATGCTTCCTGTGTATGCTGGATGGCGGACGATGGCGTATGGCCCGGTTGTCACGAGCTGGTGCCCCTCGCGGAGGGCGAGCTCGAAAGTGAAGAAGCGACCGAGGTGTCGATAGCACATAGCCCGGATGAGGGCCCCCGATGCGAGAAGAAGCCAGCCGACGACGAACGCGCCGGTGAGGGCTACTTCCCTTCCTGAGCTGGACGTGTGCTCCGACGTCACGGGTCGGAAGTGCGCACGGCTGTACTGGAGGCTGATTTGCAAAGATTCGAGCGCGAAGGTGAGGACCATCGAGGGCTGGCGACAGGGTCAGTGAAGAATTCGATTTGCAGCTATGGAAGGCCGTACCAGGACAAGCAGGGGAGGCAACCATCGGATGATTGCCCTGAAACCACCGATTCGAGTCCTTTGAACTTGTTCTCCTCACATTTCTTGGGTGTCGGCTGAGGCGACTTGCCACACTGTACAACAACGTCAAATGGTGAGACGCACGCCACTGGCAGGAGCTCTAGGACGTACGATCGGGCAAAATAGACAGCGGATAGCAGCAACGGTATCTTGGCGAGTAGTGCGTCAACCATGTTAGCAAGAGAAGGGTCGCGGTGCGGTTTGTCAGTGACAGGAGCAACCCCATAGTTTATATATTGTCAGTGCACCCTGAGCCCGACGCCCTACAGGGCGCGGTATGTTGGCAGTGTAAAGTCAAAGGGCATAATTTGACATTTGTCCGATCGAATGGCGGAACACGCGCTTGGGAGACGTTCCGTGTCGGACGCAAGCAGCACTGCAAATGGTATCTGGCATGCCAAGTCGTCAAGATAGAGCCATACTGACAGGAGACTATCATTATGTGACGAGCTAGAATGGAGAGCGATCGGCCTCACCTCCTGCGGATCATCGGGCATTGCAATGCTATATGCCATTGGGTTCGGATTCCGGGACGGTGTCCCTGTCGTAGTGTCCCGGTCACTCGTCGGGTAGGTTATGAGAACAATATTGAACGACATGGAGATCGACCCATACACAGTCAGCGCACTCTGTCACTCTGTAGACTCCGATTGCATTACTGCCACATAGCTGTCCCTGGCCTTTGCTAACATCTTTTATTGGCGCACTATATGTGAAAGCTGTGGATTTCATATGGCTGGACCGTGCAAAACATCAGTTCCACATACTGTTCAAGACACTCTAATGCACCATGAACAAGACACCGACTGATGCTGCGACCGCCAGTCCTGGGCGCATCCATCGTCGTGAATGGAGGAGCATTGCAGATCCTATCGCAGACGTACGGCTCCGGGCTGTCGGAATAGTCAGTATGTCCATTGAAGTTAGTTGCCGTGCTGGTTTGCACCGCCAACAGCGGCTGGTATCGCCATTCCCGGGCAGCGCCTATGGTACGCCGGAAGGCCACAGTTCGATTTTGGACGCGGCTCGGCGCTATCCGCACCGGGATAGACGCCGGCCACCCACCGACGAGTTCAACAAAGCTACAGTTCACATACTCTTTCCGTGATCCGGAGGGACTCGCTACAACTGCAACTCCTATTGAGATGATGTTTTGAGGCATCAAGTGGCCTTGCAAGAAAATCGAAAATCGTCACTCTGAGTACGGTGGCGCAAACGGGGAATAAGCGCCCATCAAGTTCGAACGTAGCCGTAATAGATTATAGAGCTAATAAATATCTTAGCCCTCTGTTTTCGTACTAGCAGAAGCCCGTGCTACGCTACGGGAGCGTGTGCTTGCAAATTCAATCGTGCTATACATATAGTATGAGTTCGCAGAAATGCGGAATTGTTGCTCGAGTAGCTCGCTAACGTAGAACTTGAAGGCCACTCAGCCGCCTCCCTCCGGGAGTCGGCTTCGTGGCCATATTCATGGATTCCTCTGTATGAAAGTACTTACCCGGTGCTCGTAGAGCCTTGTGCGGCAGCTGGTCAATGGCGCCTCGTTGTGCGCCCTCGTCGCCGCAATGCGCCCATCTTCATCATCCTTATCCTCTGCATCATGGAATTCGTTGAGCTCCTCCTTCTCCGCCTATCCCTCCCGGCATACTCGTTCAGCAACACGACATTCGTCGGTGAGAGCGCATCGCCGTTCCCGAGTGGATGAAGTCCATTCACCGCCACTTGTTCCATTGCGAGGCTGAACGCAGGGTCCGAGAACATCGCTAGGTCGAAGGGCACCATCATCGGGCGCTTTCTTGTGTATTGCGTGCCATTCTGTGTGTTCTTCGCACTGCCACCACCCGCGTCGGGCTCGATCCCGAACGTGAGATCGTTCACCGTTGCTGCGAGGCGCGGTCGGTGTGTGTTGCTCGCGTCCTAGCCTTCCTAAGTCGCCGTCGCTGGTCTTTTTCTCAGCGCATGGGGTCCGAATTCGTTGGCCATGCGTGCGTGCCGGGCAGTTCTTCCCCGCCATCCGTTCGCTCCCGTCCGCACTCACCCTCCACCCGTCCTCTTTCTTGCTCGCCGCTATGCTCGCGCCCATGGTCTGCTCTTTGGCTGGGCTTGCATAGGGGACCCTTGCCCTGCGTGCTAGCGGTCCGCGGGTGTTGTGCTGCACGTTGCCGTGGGTTCACCGTCTACTCGCCCTCGCGCGTTCTTCCCTCACATATGAGTAGTCCGTTCGTCGGTCGCGTTTGCGTGCAGTGCATTCGCCCGGTGCGCCGCTCGCGGTTGATGTACGCATCGTGCTTCACATCGCCGTGCCCTGTGAGTGTAGTCAGTGCGCTCGCTCGCGTGCGTCTGCACTCACCTTTCCCCGATGTCTATCCTTACCTCTCGTGAACACAGTCCGTTCGTCGGTCACGTCTGCACACAGAGCATTGGCCTGCATGCTCGTGGTCGTCGTGCGTCTTGTGCCCGTGCTGTTCAAGTTTGTATTGCTGCACGTCACGCCCGCGAGCCCCTCGCCCTCGTTGTGCATGTCGTGGCCCACTTGTCTGCCCGCTCGCATGCCTGCGTACGCGTTCGTCGGCCGCGTCTGCGTGCACAGGGTGTTCGCCCACCGCGCTCACGGGCGGCGGTGGACGTGTGCGCTGTTGCCTGCCGCCTGCCCGCTCTCCCGCCCGCTCGCTCTCCCGCCCATCCACTTGCTTGCACATCCGATTGCCCGTCCACGCGTGCCCACTTGCCCACCATCTCGCCCGCCTGCCCACTGGCTCCGCGTGCGTTCGTCGGCCGTGTCTGCATGCTGGGCATTCGCCCGGTGCGCTCGCGGTCGGCGTGCGCATCGCGCTTCATGGCGCCACGGCGACTGCGCCCTGCGCCTGCCACATTCTCCCATCCGTCCGATTCCTTCGCTGATGCACCCGCGGTCCGGTCGTCGGCCGTGTTTATGTGCTGGGCTTATGCCCTGCGCGTTCACGATCAACGTGTGTTCTGCATGCCCCGGCCCTGCCGACCATAGCCCACGCCCGTTGTTAGCCAGCTCGCTCGCGTGCAATAATGGCACTCACCTTCGCGTCTGTTGCTCACGCGCTCGTCGGTCGCGTACGCATGCTGGGCACTTACCCTGCGTGCCCATCGTTCCGTCTCGGGCCTTCGATGAGCTTCACAGTGCCATTGTTGTTACGCTCGTGGTGGTGCTCTTACACACCCGAGCCCGAGCCAGGCCGTCGTGGATGAATATTGAATGGGTGGTGCCCACGGCGAGAGAGGGAGAGAGTGGCAGTGGCAGATTGGCATGAGGCAACGCCGCGAGCGATTCGACGGCCCGCACAGGATCAAGCATGCTTCCAAACTTAGAGGATTCGGCTAGGTCGAAGAGCGCAGCGAGTGTATGTACATGCCAGAGTACGTTCTAACAGTGGAGGAGTCAGGACAGTACTACTTTGAAACGACGCAAGGAGGTGGACGGCGCCCGGGCCTCGGGCATGGCCCGGAGGCCGAACCGCGTCCGTATTCGAACCGTGGCCTTCCGGCCGACCTTACAGCGCCAGTCCGAGTCACTCAGGCCTGTGCCAGCCGCGTGCCTGACCGAGTAGAGACGGTGCTTCCTACACCGATATTAGTGCACTTCACTTGATAGATGTTCTGGTATTGACAAGGCATGTACCTTAGCGTCCGCCTACTTCCGCACTTCCAAGGCAGTCAATGATGATGCATGATGTAGCGGTTGTGGTCACAGTCGGTGAACCACAAGGATTTCCGTATTTGGTCCTAGTAATTGCTTTGATCCGACTGGACAAGGCGAATCACATGCCCGGTTTGCATACTATACCGGGTCGGGATCTCGGCCGGGTTAGGTTGTTCGGTCAGTCGAGTACTCCGCGCCCAATTTTTGGTATAAACACGCAGTAAGTACATGAGCAGGTAGCTATAGATTGTGGGTATCTACTGGTATACTTCTTGTGCGGGGATTATCAGAGGGTCGGAGTCGAGCGATACTCAGGGGCCCGGCCGAGTAGGTACGGTGGCCGAGATCCCGACCCGATATAGTACTTACTTATGTCCGCATGATCGCGACTAGCGCTTGGCGTTCCCCGCAGCCGCCCCACGGGGAAGCATTCAAATATTCACTCACTACCGACTCACCGAGTCTCTCTCACGAGGCTCGAGCTACCTTCACAGTAGGCTTTGTTCGACATTGCGCCGCAGTTTTTACCAATATGTCGCAGGCATTGAAGTCGTTTACGCTTGAAGAAGTAGCGAAGGTGTGTTGTACGCGACTTGGTCACTGAGACGACTGAGCTAACGTGAACCGTCTATTGCATTAGCACAACAAAGAGGGTGATGTGGTACGTGGTTACGGCCGCCGTTCATACAATGGCTTAAAAGGTCTTGTAGTGGATTGTCATCGACTCCAAGGTCTACAACATATCCAAGTTTGCCAACTTGCACCCCGGAGGCACTGGCGTGCTCTTGACCGAGTCCATTGGTAAGCATCGGCTACGCCGTCTCCAGTCTCCCTTCGGTGAACCAGGTTTACCCGTGTAATCTTAGCTGGAAAGGACGCGACACAAGCCTTCTTTGGACTTCATCGACACGAGGTCCTCTTGAGGCCTCAGTACGCCCGGCTTCAGATTGGTACTGTAGCTGGCGAGGAGCCTGTCGTCAAATCTCTCGCTACGGATGAGGCGTCCCGGGTCCCATATGCCGAGCCGTCATGGCTCTCTGCTGGATACTTTAGCCCTTACTACAAGGACAGTCACAGGAGGTTCCAGCGCTCCATGCGCAAGTTCGCTATGGAAGTCGTGTACCCGGATGCCCTCAGGTGCGAAGACAACGGCAAGCGCATATCTCAGTCCGTTCTGGAACAGTTGTGGTGCGTACTGTGGAACCTGCACAATCATGCATTTGACTGACTTTTCGTGAAGTGCAATGAACATCCCTGCAATGCGACTCGGCCCCGGGAAGCACCTCCAGGGCCGTTCATTACTCGGAGGGGTCATATCTTCCGAGGAGTTCGACCACTTCCATGAGGTACGGTCTGTCATAGTACGCAATTTCAGAGGTGTGCTCATCACGAGCAGTTGATTGTCAACTTCGAACTGTCGCGCTTCGGCACTCGCGCCTACGTGGACGCGCTCCTAGCAGGCGAAGTCATTGGTCTACCGCCAGTGCTTAACTACGGGTCGCCGGAGCTCCGTGCAAAGGTGGTACCCGAAGTGCTCGATGGGAAGAAGTTCATCTGTTTGGCAATCAGCGAGGCATTTGCAGGAAGTGACGTGGCCGGTCTACAGACCAACGCGGTCAGAGAGGGCGATGAGTGGGTCATCACCGGTACCAAAAAGTACGTGCGCTCCGCAGTCAAGAGGATCAATCGTTGCAGCCATTGACCGCGGTGATAGGTGGATTACGAACGGAATGTTCGCGGACTACTTCACTGTAGGGTGCAGGAGCAAGGTACGCGGATCATTCTACTGAGCTGTCGGCTTACAATATATCCAATCCCTAGGATGGTTATGTCGTTGTCCTTGTTCCGCGATCCGACGATGTCTCGACTAAAGCTATCAAGACGGCCTATTCGTCGACCGCCGGCACTGCCTATGTCACATTTGAGAAGGCGCGGGTACCGGTCGCAAATACGTTGGGCAAGGTCGGACAGGGTTTGCAGGTGATCCTGAGCAACTTCAATCACGAACGATGGATGATCGTCTGTACGAGTTTGAGCGCACAACGAATGGTGGTGGAAGAGTGCCTGAAGTAGGTCTTCTGGATATGTTCTGTTTCAAGCTTCTGACCACCGTGTGGTTGGCAGATGGGTCAACCAACGGATAGTGTTCGGAAAACCGCTGAGCTCGCAAGCGGTCGTACGCTCGAAACTGGCAAGTATGATCGCACGGGTGGAAAGCGGCCAGGCTTGGCTCGAGTCCATCACCCACCAGATGAACAACGTGCGTTCAATTCGACCTGTGTCGTTTCATGTCAGTTTCCTGACGTCAAGGCTTCACGTAGATGGCATACGACGAGCAGTCCGACAAGTGGCCGGCCAGATCGGCTCTTGAAGCAGTACGCTATTCCTATTTCGCACCGGCATCTGCGGATTGATCGGGCTGAGCGTTCCGCGTTGTTGTGCAGGTTCATTACACGCACGGGCCGTGAGACTGCGGAAGATGCCACACAGATATTCGGTGGCGTCCATCACGGCAGGTGGCATGGGGAAGCTGATCGAGAACGTAAGTGGCCACTTGGTTCGCCCTCTGTCGTTCGGGATCTGAGCCGCGTGTCCGCTGCCCAGTTCCATCGCACATCACCGTACGACGCCATCCTCGGTGGCCAAGAAGATGTCCTTGGGGATCTCGGAGTGCGGCAGGCCATAAAGAAGATGCCCAAGGGCGCGAGGCTTTGATAGCTAGCTGGGAAGCTGCTGAGGGTCGTCCGCAATTCGCTCGCAATATCTTGCATGCCATCTTTGTGTTATCTTGCATATGTTTGGAAGCAGGCAATGGCAACGGTAGCTTTTGGCTGATCATCGGAACTGCCCATTCCGTCTAAGGCCACCCAGACCACGCAATACTATGGAAAATCGTGATTAAACGAGCCACTCTGCCAGCCTGGGCAGTGAACTTGAAGGTGGCCTGAGGTCCAGGAACTTCAAGTTGGTTTCGCTTTGCGTCTGTTCATATTGGTGCCAGATCCGATCCTACTAATCAGGACTTCAAGTTGTATGGCCTCAGCCTTGAGGCCTGAGGGAGTTCCTATATAGCCTCGGTAGTTCTCCGACACATCAGATTGGCCATGAATCATTAGCACTTACCACTGTAAGCATAGTAAAGTTGTGGCGCGCCGCGCGCCGACGGTGGCGTTACGGTCAATCATGGGCGCTTCATTCGGTTTGTTACAGTTTCGCAGCTTGGAATCATCTGCAGATTGTCATCATTCCCAGCCCAGTCGCGGTCGCTCATCATTGCTGTGGCGTGAAGGTAGTTCGATCAGTTATGTTTGTGTCTCTGCGGTAATTGATCACCATACTACGGCCTGTAAGAGGTCCTGCTTAGTTGTACTAAAGCCCTCCTCACCCGATGTCGGAAGCGGATGTTCCACCCAATGCGGATGCTAGGATTGAGCATTTGGACTGGATGAGGGAGGCGATGAACATGGTGACGAAATACCTACCATCTCCTCTACTGTATGGCTGAACAATGGCGACAGGCAGAGGAAGCCCTGGCGGCTACTGAAGTGCCCGTGGGGTGCATTTTCGTAAGAGACGGAAGAATCATCGCTAGAGCACGTAACCGCACCAACGAGCTGCGTAATGTAAGATTTTCCATCCTCCGGAGCCTCCTGCGTATCGACTGAGTGCCCCTCCACGCTTAGGCAACGCGGCATGCTGAGTTGGAAGCGATCGACGAGATTCTTGCGGATAGGACGCTCACGCCTACCGTGACTCGGTACCCGCTATCGGAGACGACGCTCTATGTGACGGTCGAGCCCTGCATTATGTGCGCCTCCGCCCTTCGACAGATGGGCATCAAGGAGGTCTTCTATGGGTGTGAGAACGACCGGTTCGGGGGCTGCGGGAGCGTCCTCGGTGTGAACAGCAAGTGAGCGCGCGGTGCACTGAACTCCTTTCGTGGTCGGGCTCCTCACCAGATGACGCGCATCTAGACTGCCGCACCCACAGCATGCGCCGTACAAGGCGAACGGCGGATATCTGCGAGAAGACGCGATCATGGTTCTGCGACGTTTTACATCACCGAGAACACCAATGGTAAGGAGGCGGTACGGTCGGCGTCCAGTGCTGACGACATGTCTATTAGCACCAATACCTAAAACAAAGGGGAACCGAGTATTGAAGACAGACATCCTTCCGCGAACGTCTTCCCGGACCGAAGACCAGTATTAATGCTATCATCCATGCTCGCGGTAGCAACTGTATGGACGTGCAACACCGAATCGCCGTCGCTCCACAAACCGAGAGCATTCTCTCGACTAAGTTCATTGGCTAGACTTCATCTCAGCTGCTACATGGCATTCAAGTACCCTACAATAGCCGGACAGGTACACCTGCCTTCTCCAAAAGTCTGCATGCAGCACCCTTCGATCCTATCAGGAGGTCCGATGCACTGTGGAACGCCCACGGCTGTCGCAAACACAATTGCATATCGGTAGCTTAATATGCCCCGGTGGTTGGTGGCCCCAGGCAGTAGGGAGGGATCCTGTGCACTGGCAGCATATACTTAGACCGTGCTTCAAGCTTCACACATGGTAGAACTCCTCGGTGCGATTACTACTAGACTAGGGTAACATATATGGACGACAAATCTAGAGATAGGAATCTATGCATGCACTGTTCGTAAGCAGCCGTGATTTTTTTGCAGTCAACAACACGCCGCCGGTGCCTAGCTCCGTGCCGCTGATCGTGGCACTTCAGTCCAGCCAGGTCTCAGCTCATCCTGCTTTCCTCGATCGCACGTTTCCGCTGCTCCCCTCGAACTGCGGTCGTGCGCAGGAGCCAAGCGAGGTTCTCGTACACAACGAACGTGACGCATGTCCCAGGCAAAACTCGCACCAGGTTGGTGCCCAACCCTCGGTAAAATCCGCGAAACCCTTCCTCGGCAAAGGTGCGCTTGATGCAAGCTCGTATTGTGGGGTACAAATGAGCCGTCGCATTGTTCTATTGTCATGCTCAGCCCTGGTTCTTTAATGGGATTCGCATAGTGAGATACCGACCTGTATTCGAGATCGGACTACTTGATACGGGTATGTCAGTGACAGGGCCCAAAGCTTGCTGGCACCTGACATGATCGTATATGAGGTGTTTGACTGTGTGGTGCGCGTCAGAAGGGCTAGACCTCCGCCAGGGAACCTTACCAGTTTGTCGTCAGCTGGCTTGAATTGCTTGCCGGCTTTGGCGAACTGTTTTCTTTTGCGCTCGAACCCCCATTCTTTCATCTTCTCGTATGCCATGAACTGCATTGCACCGTTGCTTACGCCGAAGAGTGCCAATGATGTGCCCCGATATAAACCGCGTATGCCTTCCGTCCGATGAATGGTCTTCAGGCCGTCTCAAGGGTATAAGTCAGCGTCATGATTCACAGATAATATACGGGAGGGAAGTGAAGACTTACCCCAAAGACCTCGGTAAGACTGCGGAGTGTCCGGCCTCGTGGTAAACATCCTCACTTTGACGACCCATATGGGATTTGTCATGACGGCCGTCACGGCACCTGCGGACGCAAACATTAGAATTTCGAGTACAGAAGAGCTTCCAAAGGCTGCGAACTCGCTTCCGCAGAATATAGCAGATAAGAGCCAGAGGAAAGTTTGTAATTCGGATCCCCTCCGGTGGCTCGGTTCTTGAGCATGTTGTAACTTTGCGGCTGTCAGAGACAGTATGCATTTGGTATGGCGGTACTCACAACAAGAAGTACAACCCCCAGCTGGAAGCATTGCCCGTGATGTTGGGGCCCACACCTCTATAGAGGCCTCGCCATCCCTGCTGGGTCTTGATGTCCTTGAGCGACAGCCAAATCTGTTTTCCGAGGCCGCCTCGCGGCTTGTCAGTCGCTACTTGGAATTTGATTTTGAGGAGGTCCAAGGGGTGCATGCACAGCACCGCGACGACACCGGCTCCCAAGCCAGCAAATGCATGGTCCTAGAATGCAGCGAGGCGTGCGGTCGTGAGACACTGTAGTTAAGCACATGGAAACGAGCTGCTTACTATCGCGGGTGTAGGGAAGAAACTGGGAGATTGCTGCGACATGCAAACCCGGTGGGCAGGCTAATGGGATGCAGCGCAGTGGTGGGGAGCGGGCGACATCCAGTTGAGCGTGGCGAGCGACTCGGAAACGAGCGCACAATTTCGCCCCGCGTCATCTGTCGCCAAAAGAGGCAATAGATAAGATAAGATGCGCTCTCTGAGTGGACGGCCCTTCGCGCGAACCGGGGCAGGCCAGTTCCTGTTCCGCGCCAGCTGTCAGCGAAACACACTGACTCGCGTACGGAGTCGCGTCCAGAAAGTGTGTCGGCCAACAACGTTGACGAGGTGTGTCATGTCTTCCATGATGCGAGCAGCACGTCTGTATTCACCCGAATCACAACAACATCATGTCTTGTAGCGTATATCGGCGCGTATGAATATCGAGTCACGCCGCTGATCTGGGTCTGCCAAGTTGGGATTCAGGTGGAGATTATACCTGGTCCTGTCCCTCGGAGAAATCGATGTTGATTCACGCCCAGATAGAGTCGATAGACAGCACATGCTATGCGTGGTGCTCTCTTACATGCTCCGACCGCTCTCGGGTTCTTAAGACGCGCCTTGCGAGCCAATTTACACACCACGTCCGTCCGAGCCATGCCACCACTCACCCCATGGACCCCCAACCGCTACCCCCAGTCTCGTCGCTCGGACCACATTGATGTGTACAAGAGCGACTCCAAGGGCGAAGTCCGCGTCCCCGACCCCTATCAGTGGCTTGAGCAACACTCCGAGGAGACTGAGCAGTGGGTGAACGCCCAAGAAGCGTTCACGCGAGCATACTTGGATCAGAACCCAGAGCGACAAAACCTTGAAGACGAGATCAGGCAAAATGAAAAGTTCGCCAAGGTATGCACTGCCGAGGGTTGGTGGTCGACATTCATACACTGAATTGTCGCCTTAGTTCTCCTCTCCCAGCCTGAAATATGACAACCGTTGGTACTGGTCCTACAATTCTGGCCTGCAGGGCCAGCACGGTGCGTAGTATCTCATTGGCTATCGCGGAGCACTGATGCGGCATTTCTGCTCAGTGATCTTCCGCTCCAAGGATGAGACCCTTCCAGACTTTAATAAAGACATAGGTCCAGGCGGAGAAGTATTCTTCGACGTGAGTACCTGATAGCGTGTCGTGTGCTAATATCTCCGGATTATTGATCTAAGTACGTTCTGTGGGACCCGATAGCCGAATCTTCTAACCACAGATGGGTCGGCGGCAATAGCCGGTACTGCTTTCTCTCGCTCAGGAGAGCTTTGGGCATATGGTATTTCACGTTCCGTGAGTAACCATGTGGTCACTTTGCCACAGCTGCTACAGCTCACGCAATCTAACAGGGAAGTGACTTCTTCACGATATACGTCCGACCGACGTCTGCGCCCTTCGCATCGAAGGAGGGTTCGGACGTGCACCCTGTGCATACCGAGGGCGCGCTGCCAGATGAAATTCGTTTCGTCAAGTTCTCAGCCATCACGTGGACAGCGGACTCGAAAGGATTCTTCTACCAGGTTAGTGCATAGTGTTTATGATGGCGTCTGTTCAGCGACATATCGACTGTGCATCAAGGAGTGGAGAGCGCGAACGTTGATACGTGACATCGTTTAGCGTTTCCCCACGAGAGAATCCCATGGATCTGCAGATGAGGACAAGGCCGGCACGGAAACGGACATGGACAAGAACGCAATGCTGTATTACCACCGTATCGGCACCGCTCAAGGTAGGTGGTCCCACCTGCTACAACACCAGTACTACTCTGTGTTTACCTCAGTGCTCATGCACTCTATCATCTTGTAGCGGAGGACATTCTTGTGGTCAAGGATGACGCGCATCCGGAATGGATGTGGCATGTAGAAGTCTCAGAGGTGGACGGACGTTACTTGATCCTCTCCGTCAGCCGGGACACTGCGAGGGTATGCAGAACTTCCTTCGAGTGCCTCTGCCTCCTTTCTGACAACTCATACGTGGCTCTTCAGAAAAACCTCATGTGGATAGCGGACCTCGAGAAGAACACCATTGACCAAAACATCAATTGGGACAAGCTCGTCGACGACTTCGATGCGGAGTTCAACTAGTATGTCTTTCCCGGGACATTGTGTCGTTCAGAAGATCCGGAGCACTTGCTGATGTCTCAAATCAGCATCGCAAACGACGGCACGAAGTTCTATCTTATTACGAACAAGGATGCACCTCAGTATAAGCTCGTCTCCGTGGATCTCGCTGACCCTCCAGAGAAGCGAGTCTTCCGCGACGTCATCCCCGAGGACAAGGACGCACACCTCGAGGACGTCCGCGCGGTGAACCATGACTATTTTTCGTCTCATACAAGCGCAACGTGTGTGCCCTACCTGTCTTCATTCATGTCATGCTAAATATAATGGATCATACAGGTCGTAGACGAGATCTACGTGTACGACATGTCGGGCAAGCGGCTTTCCCGAGTCGGCGCAGACCTCGTCGGGGCCGCGCGGGTCCGGCCAAGCGCCAGCATTCGTGGTTCTTCGCCCAGCTGATTGGCTTCACGAACCCCGGGATCGTCGCGAAGTACGACTTCACTGAGAAGGACGAGGCGAAGCGCTGGAGCGAGTACAGGAAGACCATCGTCACCGGCCTGAACTCTGACGACTTCGAGGCGAAGCAGGTTTGTAGCCCAGCGAATGTCTCCTTAACTTTGTCGACTGATCTACTACTAGGTTGGTATAAGAGCAAAGACGGTACAAAGGTCCCATGTTTGTTGTCAGGCACAAGGACACAAGTTCGACGGGACAGCACCTGCTTTCCAATACGGTGAGCAAGGCAGTAGTAAGTGTGGTTGTCCAGCGTAATAGCGTATGAATTCCAGGCTACGGCGGCTTTGCCATTGCCGTCTCACCTTCTGGAGCTCATCCATCTTGACCTTCATGCAGAAGTACGGGGTTGTCCTGGCGGTGCCTAATATACGAGGTGGCAGTGAGTTCGGCGAGGACTGGCACCTGGCTGGCACAAGGGAACGCAAGGTCGGTGACTGTCAAAATTCGTTATGCCCTCATGGATGTTAAATGCGTCTGCTCTAGCACAACTGTTTCGACGACTTCATCGCAGCCTCGTGAGTACAAGCATATGTCTATATTAAACTGTCTGACCTAGTATTGAAGGGAATACCTGGTCGAGAACAAGTACGCCGCACGAGGCAAGATTGCGATCAACGGTGGATCAAATGGAGGTGTGTCCCTCCTGGGTGAGTGAGGGTGGCATGTATTCATTTCTTGTAGGTCTCCTCGTGGCCGCTTGCGTGAACCGCGCACCCGAAGGGCTCTTGGGTGCTGCCGTTGCCGAAGTGGGTGTACTTGACCTCCTGAAGGTAAGTTGCAACCCAATTCCGGATATGATACCCGATTATTAATGCCTCAACGCCGTCGGTGTCAGTTTGCCGACTTCACCATCGGTTAGTCGCGACACGAGTCGAGTATCGCATTTCCCTCATTGTTCACCCCGTAGGCCGCGCCTGGACTTCCGACTACGGCGATCCCCATGACCCACACGACTTCGACTTCATTTATCCGCTATCTCCTCTGCACAACGTTCCGAAGGACAAGGTGCTTCCGCCAACAGTGCTGCACACTGCCGACCGTACGTTTTACTTCATGCTGTTGCCTATCTCGCTTACCAGACGATAACAGACGACGACCGAGTGGTGCCATTGCATTCATTCAAGCACGCGGCAACGTTGCAGCATACGCTGCCGAACAACGCGCATCCTCTGCTCATACGCATAGATACGAAGGCGGGACACGGTGCCGGCAAGTCTACCGACAAGAGGTGAGTTGATTTAACCCCATCGTCCTGTCGGTAGTCTGAACGGTCGCAGGATCAAGGAAGCGCGGACCGCCTCGGCTTCATAGCTCAGTCGATGGGACTGGAGGCAAAGCGTGGTTAGCCGTGCACTTAGGTTGCCTGTGGATGTCGTCATGTTAAACAGTTCTGTCTCAGGAAGTACGTTGGATCACCGACTATGAGGTATCGGAGGACACTGCGAGTTTAAATGCGAGGAATTTACGGCTCTTGAGATATTGAAACCCCATTTGTGTACGCTTGAAATGAACGGCTGTGCCTCATATTCTTGCGGGCCATTCAAAGACAGTACAGATACATAAGGTCTACTCACCAGTCACAATGGGAGCTTGTCATCGGTGTGCAATGCACTCTAAAAGCTGCCACAACGATTTGCAACCGGCGGATTGACCCATGATATCAATTTGCGCAGCATATTTCCATCTGGATTTACATCTATGTAGTACAAATCAGGAACAGATGATTTGCGGCTGGTCGTCGAGGAATCGTCGAGGCGGGAGCAAGGCGGGAGTCTCCCCGAGAGCAGGATCTGAGATCGGACGAATAGACGCAGGCGTTGACTTCCAAATGTAGGAATCAAGCGTAACGTGAACTCGTAAGCACGCAAACATCTCCTCGACGGTGCTGACCGGGGCTGCAGTACGTTGTCCATGTATGTTGCAGTGAACCATACTGACCTGTTTCTCTGCATCGCTAGTGCCAATGAGCTTGAGCATCTTACGACTTGCCACACGCGGGTTGTCGCGCCAAAACGTAGTCCACCCCTTCCGCGCCAGACCCATCGCCTCGACATCCCGGCTTGCACACACACCTGCACAGAGCGACAAGAACAAGCAGTCGTCACCCCTTCATTCACGGAATGAGAGGATTCCTTTCCGCGTCGTCAGGGTGGTGCACGAGGAGACCGGCCGTCTGAGCGACGAATGGGTCGCCCTCTCGGACATCCTCCAAAACCTCAAGCGGAAGGAGAATTACGTCGAGCTCGTCGCCCTCAATCCCGATCCCGTTGTAAAGATAATCAAGTCAAGGGATGTCTACCTCAAGATGCGTGCACGGGCGGAGAGGAGGAAGGTGAGGCGAGAGCAGAAGGAGGTGCAGATGACCTGGGCCATCTCCCCAGGAGACCTTGCGCACAAACTGGCGAAGGTCAGGGAGGAGCTGGAGGCGGGGAACAGAGTGGACCTGGTGTATATGTCCAAGAGTGGGCAGCCTAAACCCACACCAGAGCAAGTGGAGGCTCAGGCTGCGGAGACGGTGAAGCTGCTAGAGGACGCAGGCGCGGAATGGAAGCCGCGCACTACGACGAAGACGACTCTCATCATATCCTTCCAAGGTCACAACGAGCCTGGAGCCGCGGCCGACACCGCGGAAAGTCTCAAGGCACAGATGAAGGAAAAAGCGAAGAAGAAATCGGAGCGGCGGCAGAAGGAGTTGATGAGACAGACGAAGTACCAGAAGCCGGAGCAACCATCATCTTCAGCTTCATGATATACATGTACTCATGCCCATCACATTTGCCCTACATATTACATTAGAAACAGTACATCTACTTATTAGCTGCATTCAGACGACGGTGCAACTTAGTCCGACGGCGACGACGAAGAGGCAATCCACGGGTTTTGATAGTGACGAAGGCATGAGGACGGAACCGTGTGCGCTGCGCTGAAGATGTATAAGTGCCACAATTCTGGCGGGTGTTACAGATGCCGTTGAGTCAATGATCTTGTCCCAGTGTCCGATGAAATTGGCACGGAAGCCAGGCGGCACCGGCAGGCCTGCCTTAACGATGTCGCGCACTACCTCCTGGAGGGCGGATGTCCAGCCTTGCCCCTTTACGCCTTCACGCTGGTGCCGGTGCCACGCCGAGCGCAGATAGCTGCGCCAGAAACGCGGAGTCGTACGCCCGGGTCGCGGGGCCGTGTTGAACTGCCGGCCGAAGAGGTCGAGTGCCTCGATGAAGAACCGCTCATCGGGGGTAGGGAAATGTCCCTTCCACTCCCGACGAGGCTTCCGCGTCTTCGCCATGCCAGTAGTGACCGATAGAGCGACAGTCCAGCAGAGACCATGCACCGATGCAGGAGCCCAGCGACGCTCCGTAGACGTCTGCGCCTCTGCGAGTACTTCGGCAAGTGGAGCTTCTGCATGGTGGTCACGAACGCCGCCCATCCAGGAATGACGCCTCTGAACAGTGGCACCCACTTGTCGTCACCCTGCCTGAGAGCCTGGTCCGACGAGGCTTGTTCACGTCGGCCACGAGAGATGGCTCTGTTTGCCTCCTGAGCGTAGCAGCGCATCATCGAGGTGTACGCATGCACAGGAAGACACCAAGGCTCCACGTCCGGAACAAAATTAGGCACCCAACTGGCCTGCTCCGCCTGCTTGGCCAGCAGCCACACCCTCTCAGCGGCACCCGTCTTCTTCGCCTTCGCCAGCGCATTGAGAAGTGCGGAGTATACGTGCGGCCCGTGGCGAACTGCCCGCCTCAGATACCGCTTCCTCAGTCTCGGAGGCAGTGGGCTTCGCCGTCGGCTATCGTCCGTTCTCCCCCAAGTAGGATGGTCCACGATAGCTAGCTCGGGCATCATGCGGAAAAGGACATTTGCGATGACACCGGGCTTCCCGGTCGCAGTGACGTGGGTAACGTACTCAGCAAGCGTGCGTGCGTTGACAGGGACATCGACGGGCGCATTGACGAAAGCCTCTGGGACTTCCCAATCTTCTTCGTCTAGCCGCTGGAGTACTCTCGACTGTCGTGCGCCGGGTGGAGGAGCCGGACTGCTTCTATCACGGCGAAGTGAGCTCGACTGTTGCCGATATGCGGGAACAGTCGGGGGGTCCACGGCGCTGCATTGCGAGACACTTGAACGGCCAACGTTCATAGCGGTGGTTGAGCGGCCTTTGGCATCCCGTCCTAGCAATCCTGGCCAAGGGACAGACGGACGAGACGGCAGAGCTTCCTTCCAAGACGATTGGAACGCTTCTGGATGCGAGTTATGCAGCCAAACATCCTGACCCTTGGTACCAGCCATGTTCGGAGCAGTACTCTCCACCTCACTCGCAGGAGCGGACCACTCGCAGCGCTCTCGAAGGGCGCGCAGAGCAAGGTCCGTTATGTCCTGTCTTCGCGTGAGGGTACCAGCACGGATCAGCGTGTTGTACGTGACGATGGTAGGCTGTATCGGTGGCTTTCGCTTGCAGCACATATGGTCCAGAATGCTGGCAGCGAGCGCAGGCGAGAGTCGATGTCGTAAGGCGTAGAACAGGAGAGCATTGTAGGATCCGATGTCAAGGCGAGGAGGACGGTCCAGCGGCTCGGGCTTCGTGAGGGAGTGTATCAGACGCATAAGCACGCTGTGGAAGTACTGATACGCCTTGACACGGACTGGCTTGTTAGAGCGGTCCAGGATCCAGACGTGGTGATCCGTCTTCGGACAGGAGTAGAGAGAGTGTACCAGAGTGGAGATCCTGTCTGTCGGTAGCTGGCCTGTGTCTAGCAGCATGGCTAGGTTCGCCAGGGCTTGGAGGGCTGGGGCTAAGCGATCGTCGCCGTCCGCTTCAGCGGGCGGCGGCGCTTCTACAGCCTTGTCTATCTCCCGAAGAACACTGTTCATAGTGTCCACTGCGGTGCGCGACAACCGGAATGAGTAGTCTCGTTGTATAGGTACGAATGGGGAGCATCCATCCGGACACAACGGCGTAGAATTCGCATCGACGGCTGCCTGCTCCGCAGAAGCATCACGCGCTTTCTGGACCTCCAAGGACTTGAAGAACAGCACGACCAACAGGGTCCCCATGATGATCTCGCCATGCATGACGAGATGTTTGATCAACTGTTCGTAGCCGTGTTATACTCCTGTCGACGCTGACCCCACATCCGAGCGTGCAGCATGAGTTTGACGGCGGCTCTCGTGCACGTATCAGAAACATCGCTGCTGTGGATTTTGAAGACGTTTTCGCCGTCGGGGGCCTTTTTGCGCAGACCACGCATCGCCGCGCCGGCCAGAAGAATACCGAGGGGCTTGGACGGTGTTTGGGTAAGGGAGTGGATGATAGAATTGAAAGTCGCAGGCCGGATGTGGATACCACAGTCCTGCAGGATTTGAGCGTATGAAGAGGCCCTTTTCCCGAGACCGGCGCGGACGAGACCATGGAGGAAAACATGAGCGGATAGACGGGGAGAGACGGGTTGCCCGAAATCTATGGGCGGTGCTGGTGATGCAGGAGAGCTGGACTTGGAATTGATAAGTTTGTTTCGTACTGATTCGGGGTTGTGGGACTCCAGCAGGGAGTTGATGAGGTAGAGAGCGTCTCCGTACTTGCGGTTCTCCATGGAGAGTCGGACAGCTTGCGCTGAAGCACGAGAGATCTGACCTGCCGTCAACGCCTGTAGGAAGAGGCGAGGCTGCGTCTCCTCGGGTGGAGGCTGATCGACTGCATTGGCGGGTCCATGCGGTGCTGGCCGGTGAGCGAGAGCAGTTGCTCCGCTGGTGAAAGTGGTCGTGAAGAAGGAAGCGGCCTTGTTGCCAAAATGCGGCCTACAAAGTGCACTTCGTCTGAAGCTTGCTGTGCACAGTCCGAGCTGTCGTGAGTGTATTGCAGGGTGACGGTGGGCGACGGTGTGCAGGAAAGCATTGGCCGATGATGTCGACCAATTACATAGCATGTGCCTCGCATTACTGCGGTCCCGCTGTGAGCAACTACATCACGGTCACCGACAACACACATACCAGGTCTACCTGAAGCTCCGATTAGAGAGCAGCGCACTGCAAAGCGGGCACTACTGCAGCGGACAGCGGACGAGGTGGTCGACGCTCTGAACAGGTCGCCGGCGTTTGCCCGGGCCCAACCAGACGGCCCGAGAGCTCAACAGACCGGCCGGCTCGTCTCATTTGTAGGATCCTTTCTCAACCGCTTCTGATCTCACTTAACCATCGCTTTCAATTTTAAAAATGGCACAGTTTCGGACGAAGGAAAAACTGTATGCAAGTAGGTACATAATGTACAGACGGGAGGCACCAGACAATTACTTACGAGTAAATGAGTAAATGGAGGCTATCGTGGGAAACGCTTCAAAGATCATAGCCGTTCCTTCCGGGCGCCTGCCTCTGTGGTAAGTAGGTCGTCGACGGCAGCGTCACTGAGCGGGACAGGCCTAGTTTTTGTCAGTAAACGAAGTTGGTGAAAGCTAAACATGAGCTACCATCACGGAGGAGGACATCGCAGAAAGCAACATCGAGGTGAGAATAGCAGGACTACACCTGAGTGGCCCATTTCAACTTCAACTTGCACACGTTCTCAGGTGCAGACGACTACGACAGTCATGGTCGGCGCGAGACTTTTGACACCCCAGAGCAAAAACTGAGGAAGAGTATCATCAACCTCGGCGAGGTGGTGAGTGCGACGAATCCAGCTATAATTTTCACTGGGAACGAGTCTCCGAACATCTTCGTGCGATAGGATCCTGTCCAAGAACTACCACGGCTTGCGAGCGATATACGTGCTGCAAATGATGCTGCTACAGCCGCAGGCGGGCCTGCTATACCTGCCATCTCAGAGGGGTTTCGGATAGGGTACGTCTCGCGCGTATCTACAAGGTTCATTCGCACTGACCTCGTTTCCCAGTGTCACCGAACAACCGTTCAAGATCCCGTATTATGCTGCCTTGCTCCGCCTACTTCATGACCAGCCAGAAGATGCTGAAGAGAACCCTCCAGCTGAAGCATCACCGCCGCTGGGCAAACAGTCCTGGAGGATTCTGGAAGGGTTCCAAGCCTTCTTGGACAAGCTAGCCTGGCGCGAAATCAGGTTATGCGTACGTGTCTTCGGAGACCATGCATGAAAGAGTCTCAAATCTCGCAGATTCAATTCTTCGCGCACTGCACAATGGCAGGCCTCGTTTCATCACAACATGTTCGAGTTACTCCGGTCCTTCACCGCGGTGTTGCAAGAGTTCGGAGTGTCTCATGGGCGAGCCATGAAAGCAGCTTTGTGCGCGGCGGAGGGGCTCATGATCGTGCGTATCCGTGGAGTACATACCAGTGGCGCATATATTGACATGCTCGTATAGGCTGGCCCGATCGTGTCGAAGTCTGGCGCAGACGCGACAGAAATCATTGCTGCCATTCGCGACTATTCAGATTCCGTGACCGGCTCGAAAACACTGGTACAACCCATCGTGAGGCTGCATGAGCAGTCCCCAATAGTCGAGCACACAGACGAGGTATGTGTACTGATCGTCGGGCGTGGTAGAATCTAACCGCTTGTCAGCTCCTCGATTCGGCTCTCGCCGCCCTCAGCGCGTTGAGGGAGGGAAATTTCGCAGAGACCGCTAACAGTTTTGTACAGCCATATGTGGACTTCCCCGAATTTACTCCGGCGCCGTTCGAGCTGCCATCCGTTTTGGTGGCCCCTGAGGTCATTGAGCTGGATGGTTTGACAACTGAAGCCGGTGAAGATGCGCAGGTCAAGAAGGAGGAGTGGCCGGCCTATTTTGTACGGTTGTTCGACAACGACGTATGTCGTCTTCGCCTATCCAGTTTCCATCCACTGATATCTGATAAACAGGTTACACCTGACCCTACGACACCGAGCGGTTATGCTATCCGGGCAGCCATACTGGACATCCTGGACGTCTTCGAGGTCAACCGCAAGGAGTGTGCCCGGCTGCTTTTGGAGTACCCCAAGTGGACCCTTCACGGAACTTTCAAGCCCAGACCTGGTGCACCAGAGCAAGAGCCAGTGACTGAGAAGAACTGGCAACTCGAGAACACAATCATCGAGGTGCGTCTTCCCTACGTCCACAATTCCAGCGATAATTGTTGTCCAGATCACGCTGGGTTCGGTCTTCCTTTTGCCCGAGTCGACGTACAAGCCGGTTTACTACATCGCTCTCATCACGGAGATTGTAAGCTGTCGCCTCAAACGTTGGTCCGGCTGTTGGCAAGTCAATACGGAAGCTCTACACACTCCTGTCGGACGGCCTAGACGTCGAAGTCGCGCATCGGTTTGCTGATTGGTTCTCGGTCCACATGAGCAACTTCGGTTCGCTGGGTTGGAAGGAATGGTGAGCCTCCCATTGCCACCGTCAGAGCGAATGCTGATGGTCTGCACGACCAGGGTACCGGACATCGCCCTTTCTCTGAGGCATCCTAAACGACGCTTCGTGAGGAAGGCACTCGAGTATGAGATTCGGCTCTCGTACTACGACAGGATTCTTAAGACCTACCCGAAGCGATGCAAAACCCGGAAACCCATGCATGCCAGAGGAATCACCTGGTCCTGACTACGACTATGACGACCCCTGTAAGTCGAAAAGTCGTTGCATTCGTCGTCCGTCTGCTCACTGCTTGTATGCAGCAAAACCGTATCACGATGCAGCGCAGTCCCTTCTGACCCTCTTGCGTGGCCGCACGAAGGCAGAAGATGTCGTCTCACACCTCGACCCTCTCAAGAACAGCATCTCCGAGACGGCGGAGGGCGACGTGAACGTTAGCTCCGTCGTCCGTTCTATCGCCGTGCAGTCGTTGCTGCACATTGGCAACCGCTCGTTCTCCCATTTCCTCAACGCCATCGAGCGGTACCTCCCGCTCCTCCGTAATATTGCATCTGGCGGAGGTGCGGGTGCGACCGGCAGCTCGAACACGGAAGCGCGTATGGACATCCTGAGCGCCGTCGCGAACTACTGGAAGCGCGTCAGAAACATGATTGTGATCGTCTTTGACAACTGATGCAGTACCAAATTGTCGATCCGACGGATGTGGTCACTTGGACGTTTGCGTATGGTGGGGCGCTGACTGGTGCCGTCGGCAAGTCGTCTTTCGACGCGTTCCAGTGGGGCGTGCTCAAGGGTGCGCTGGACAAGGCAATGGTCGAGTCGCTATTGCGCGCAAAAGGTCACGGCGTTGAGGAAGGAGGCTGATGAAACGTAGCAAGAGCGATAGCCACAGAAGGCGGTGACATGGAGGTCGACGCCGAGGCGAAGCCCGGTAAGCTTAGCGCACATTTTTGCTTCATGCACATACTCATGTCAGCGTAGACGTCTTGCACGTCGCAGAGTCGCCTGCACAGACCACCGCTCTCAAGGCATTCGCTACGCTGACGCGGGAACAGAAAGCGGCTCTGTCGCGTACCCTGGATGGCTTCGTTGGCTACCTGGTCGCCGGAGACCATGCCAATCCCACAGCAGCGGAAGTCATCACAGAAAAATCATGGCACAACCGCGTCAACTGGAATGAAGTGCAATGGGAGACCTGGGAGACTTGGTGCTGGTTCCGTCACTTCTGCAGAGCGGTAAGTCGCAGCCATCCTGACGACCTTGTTGACTCCAGCTGACATCTTCTGGTATAGTACTCGCCCTATCTACGCAACTATACACAGTCGCTGGAAGAGGCGTCCATGACAAAAGTCGGCCCTTCTGATCCGGCCGTGGATTTGTTCAAGAAAACTTGGAACATCGCCACCGGGCAGGAGGTGTAACGTTGCACTGTTCCGTCTATACTTATTCCTGAGTGCTGAAGGCTGTATACTGTTTGCTATTGTAATGATTCATTGTCGCCGTTGCTGCACTTGGTGTACTTGTCAATGTCGAGGTCACAGCCGTCATCTATCTGTTACTTATCTCTTGCGGACTGCCCGAAGACAGTTGTTCCACAACAACGGCTTGGTACAAGACCACTGAAACGATGCGCGCGCAAGGATGTCTTCGCTTCAAGAGTCACTCCGAAGACGCGAAGAGAAATCGCCATCGCTCTCATGGTCAAACTTAGACACACTACGTTGAAAACGACCTCACATACGATTTCAGGCATGGATGATGAATGTCTTTATTTTACTCTGGTTTGTACTTTACCGGTATATGTGTGTGAATCTGGATGCAAAGAGATCGTGCGATGTCCTGGCAAAGAGACGGCAATATGTAATATGTGCAGCCATCAGCCCATGCTAAGAGAGCGTCTGTCTATGAGGGTAACGAGACGATGCGAGTTACTACATTAGATCGTGATAAATGTAAAGGGGGCGGAGGCGGAGAAGAGAAGGAACACCTCAGCCACTCTATGCAGCGACGCGCGACGGATTGCGGGCGAGCGTCGCACCCGCACGCTGAGCTTGGATACTGCTAAAGCGCTGGAGCTCCTCCGGCTTGACAGAGATCTTCTGGCCAAGGCCGACGCGGCGCGCCGCACGCTTGATGAACGACACGCGGTTGGAGTAGAGGGACTCGTTGACCGAGGCGGCACGAGAGCGAGTGCGCGAGATGCTGATGTTAGTCTCGCCGCCGCTCGCGGCCAGCTCAGCCTCGCGACGCTGGCGCAGAGACTTGATGATCGTCGCCTTCATCGCGAACTTGATCCAGTCCAGAGGGACGAACCAAACGATGTCCTTTAAAAAAATGAGCGAACGTCGACGGCAATAGATGTGACTAGACTTACCCAGATCCAGACGATGCCAACCCAGCCACCAGAGATACCATGGATATCAGTGAAGCCCCAGTCGGCGTACACCGCGATGATCGTCGACACGAGCTGCGCAATGCAGAACGCGCAGAACAAAGCTGCCGAGGGACGCTCCATGAAGAAGAAGCTGTGCGACCGAGTGACGAAGATGAGCGCCTGCGAGATGATGGCAACCTGGAGGTAGACCACCGAGTGCAGGATACGATCGTTATGGTTCGACGCAATCGTAGCACCACCCTCGAACAGAACACCGAACTTGTCGTAGAAGAACGTCGTCTTGATGCAAATGGCAACAAGTGCGATGCTGTAGTTGAAGGGATGTCAGTATACGATAAGCGCGTACAATAGCGAGGACGTACGTAGACAGGTGAGGTACAAGCCGTAGGCCACGGCGTACGAGAAGATCTCGGCCAAGTCCCAGCTGTCAGGCGTGCTCGAGGGCAGGACACGGTCGACCGACAGGGTCATGATGGTACCATCGTTGAGGAGGGCAATGATCAGAACCATGAACGGCGGGAAGTCGAACTTGAACGCGAAGGCCAGGATGGCGAAGCAGACGACAATACGGATGGTGACAGCGCAAGCGTAGATCGAGTAGTTGCGCATACGCTGGAAAATGATACGCGAACCGCGGATGGCGTGGACGATGGTGGAAAGACCGGGCTCCGTCAGGACGATGTCGGCAGCGCCGCGAGCGGCGTCGGTGGCACCCTCGACAGCGATACCGACGTTAGCACGGGATAGAGCGGGAGCGTCGTTTGCACCGTCACCAGTCATCGCGACCAAGTGACCGAGGCCCTGAAGACGCTTGACAATCTCGTACTTGTGCTCGGGGAAGACACCAGCGAACCCATCGGCGTCAGGATCATCTCGTCGAGAGAAGCATGCTTGCCGCCAGCCTCGGGACCGTCCTTGAGCACCTTAGCGGGGTACATGTGGTCGCCGAGACCAAGACGACGACCCGTCTCCTTCGCGATAGCGAGCTGATCACCGGTGACCATCTTGACCTTGACACCGAGAGCCTGCGCGTCGTCGATGGTCTGCTTGGTGTCCGAGCGGGGAGGGTCGAAGATGGGGAGAAGGCCAATGAGCTCGAAACCATTGCCCTCAGCCTCGAAGTTGTTGCCCTCAACCTCCTCGTAGGCAACCGCGAGGGCGCGCAGACCACGCGCGGCGAACTCCTCGACGTCGGCCTCGAGTTTGTTCTCCTGTTCCTCGGTCTTGTTGCGCGTGCAAAGCTCGATGATGATTCCGGTCATGCCCTTGGTGACACGCTTGAGCTTGCCAGAGCTCTCCTCCCGGTAGGTGATCTCCGTGCGCTTGTCGACGGGGTTGAAAGGCTTGAAGTCGAGCAGCTTGATACCAACACGGGCGCGAGAGGTCTCGCCGAGGGCTCCAACGACGCAAGTGTCGATCGCATCCTGGTTCTCGGTACGCGAAGCGTAGGCAGCGAGGAGGATGACATCTTCGGCGGAGAAGGCACCGTAGGTGCGGACAGTCTCGCGATCGATAGTGAGCTTGTTGGTGGTGAGCGTACCGGTCTTGTCGGAGCACAGGATGGTGACGGCGGCAAGCTCTTCGATGGCCGTGATACGTGTGACGATAGCCTTGTACTTCGCGAGCTGCTGGGCACCGACGGCGAGTGTCACGGACAAGACGGTGGGCATGGCAATGGGGATACCGCCGATCAAGAGCACCAGGATGTTGTTCAAGCCGCGACGGTAATGGTAGCGGAACCCAGCGTACAAGCAGAAGATCTCCGCAATGACGAAGATTCCGATGGCGACCAAACAGAAAGTCCCGATCTGGGCAAGGATCTTCTGCAAGTGACCAGTGGTGTCGTCGTCCTGACCGACGAGCGACGCAGCGCGACCGAAGAACGTGTTTGCACCGGTAGAGATGACCACGCCCTCAGCCTCACCTTGCTTGCAGGTAGAGCCACTGGGAACACATGTCAGCGTCGAGCGATGACAGTTTGAAGGCATAACTTACGAGAAACACTGGTCACCAGCATTCTTGCTCTGAGGCAGAGACTCGCCAGTCAGCGCAGCCTGGTCAATGGAGACGTTGATAGCCTCCGTGAGACGGCAGTCGGCCGGAACGATGTCACCGATTTTGAAAGAGACCATGTCACCGGGAACGAGATCGGCGGACTCGATCTCCTTCCACTGACCGTCACGCCTGACCTTCGCCTTGGGGGCGAGCGAATCCATGAGTGCCTTGACAGCGTTACCCGCATTGCGCTCCTCGTAGAAACCGATACCGGAGTTGATGAGCAGGAGGAGGACGATACCGACGAAATCTTCCCAATCCGGAGGCTGACCCTCGCCGTTCGAGAGGGCGATAGCTACCAGAGCGGCAGCCTCCATAACCCAAGAGAGAGGGTTCCACATGAAACTCAGGAACTATAAACCGCATGAGAAACAGTGCTACAGTCACGCGACAATGAAATACATACCTGAAGAAAAGCGTTCTGCTCTTCAGACTCGAGCCTGTTGGGACCGAACAGCTCGAGACGGCGGTGAGCCTCATCCGCGGTCAAACCGTTGTCGTCACACTGGAGGAGCTTGAACACGTCCTCAACGACGATGGTCTCGAGGTCAACCTTCTCCTTGTCGTACAAGTCCTCAGCACGGAGCTGAATCTCAGACATGTCGACCTTGGCATCTGCAGGCCAATGAGTAAACGCGCATGTACGCAGGCAAAAAAAAATCTACACGTACGAGTCGCCTCTTCCTGTTCATGTCCGAAATCCTTGTACTCCCTCTTTCTCTTCTCAGGCTGCTCGGCGGGAGGACCGGGCTGCTTGGTGGCGACTTCACCGACCTTTTCGTCGTTGGCCGACATGATGATGACCAGGCGGGAGGGAGGGGCGGGGAGGAACGCGGGACGCGGCGGCGACTAACTGCGCTTGGAGCGAGACAGACGACAGCAGGAGAGGGTGGTGGGGGACGGGGGGAAAGGGGTTAAAAGAATGACGGTCGGTCGGACACGTATATATACGTGCGCAGGGGGGGCGCACTGTTGGTTGAGAGCAGAACCGGTCAGAACGCTCTGCCAGAACCCGGCAAGCCTCGGGCGGCTGCCGGTGCGGCTGACTGCCGGATAAGGCAAGGATCGGCCGCAACGCCCGATAGGATCGCCAGTTCCCCCGCGACCGCGTCTGCCAGATTATCGGTCAGGCTCGGCATGCCGGCACCGACCGTCGCTTCGCTGTCCCGCCCGGCGTCGGTCGCGTCGCTGCCGTCCCCGAGGCTGCCTCGACCGCGTGCCGCCGTCGTTGACCCGTCTCCCGCCGGCGACCGCCCGCTGTGCTGTGTCCGGCACTCACATACCCGTCTCCGCTGCCCGCCACCCGCCGCTCGCCGTCGTCTGCAGCCGCCGCGCTCTTCCTTGCCGCCAGATCGGCTGCGCCGCTACCACCGCGCCGAGCCGCCGTGTGGCTGCCCTCCATTGGCTAAACACTGCACGCCGCCTCTTGGCTTGCTGCTCGTCACGATCAGCATGTTATCCCCGTCAGCTGGGCGCGCGGGAAGCCGCTCTTGCATACCGACAGTCGATACCAAGTCCAGACCAAGTCGGTACTGTGCTGTGGCGGCCGTGAATTCGCGGAATGTAGACGAGATTTTGTAGATACAGGGATGCACCCCACCGGATGCCAAGGAAGCCGGTTTGTGTACATGCGCCGCTCGCGTCAGGCTTGTCGGACGGGCACCCAACGAGCGACACCCAATCAGACTCAGCGCACATGTATGCTAGTACCGGTACTCCAGGGACAACGCCCAATCCGAGGCAGTCGACGCCACCTCCGCCCTGCAGCACTCTCAACCTCAATTTGCTGCAATCGATCCCGGACCTGTCTGTCATTCCCGCTTTGTCCTGTCCGACGCCGTCCGCATTGAACGCCCCTGGCCTTGTCCTGAACCTATCGAATAACCCATCGTGCCCGCAAACACCAGCGCTGCACCCGCCCACATAAGCACGGCCCTCCCGCCTGCCACATCTTGTCCCGCCCCGCGAAAGAGCAACACACTGATCAGGAGAGACACCGCTTTGCGAACCACCAAGACAAGTGTGACCGTGAGCGAGGATACGCGTGCTGTAAGCCGATGCACGCCTGCCACACACAACAGTTGGGTCAACGTGTTCAGGACCAGTGGGACATACGCCTCCGGGATCAACAATTCGCCGTCGTCACGATGAGCGGAAGCTGGCAAGGCGGCCGCCAACGCACTGCGGACCGCACTGGGAAGCGGAACGCTGTACTTGGGACCCGCGCCCAGCGCATGAAACTGCGCCTGCAGGTCTCTCCGGGCGAAGAAGAACAGCGGCATGGACAGGAAATGCAAGTAGAACAGCGCCTCCTGCCACGGTGGAACCTCCTTCTCTTCCTTGCCCGGACCGGGAACATCCCGAGGCTGCTTCCTCTCCGTCTTCACGTCGGGACCATCCCTGACACTTCGGTCCGCCTCGGGTCCATCCCTGCTTTGAGCCTTGGCACCCATACGGTTCTCCTTCCTCCCGTACTGTGCATACGTCCTGTCCTGTACCACTCCGAGCAAGCCACTCAGGAAGAGCGCTAGCGTGAGTATCCCGACGCCGGTAGCGTATAATGACGGATCTGTCCCGGTCATCGAGGTGCCCGGACCCGATCGCTTCGGTGCAGCCGCGGAAACGGTAGTCAAAATCACTCCGAGGGAGACGACTGCGACAGAGGCTAACTGTATGACGTTGTACCTACCTTCTTCTGAGGATTTGTTTATACGAGTGCGATCATTGGACGGCTTACCTGCGACCCACGACCAGCCAGTTTAGCAGCAGACTGGCGATCAATCCCCCACTTCGGAAGATGATGTGTACAGGCATCGGGATGGCATACGCGAACGCCGCGTTGTTCAGCAGGAGGTGAACGAACAGCGAGACTGCAGCATATACGGCGCGATCGGAACTCGTCGTTTCGCAGAGTTACATGAGGAATGGGAGTGCGGCGGAAGACACGAAGCGGGGTAGGAAGATGAGAGTAATAGTGGCGAATTGCGCGAAGGTGATCAAGTTGCCAGAGTGTGTATGGTGGGTCGTCAGTTGCTCGAGGGTAAGTGCATTACTAGGAGTCAACCGTTCGTGAGATGTAAAGACATAGCCGACTAGCAGAAGAAGGCGCACCTGCAGCATCCGCCGAATATGAGAGCCAAAATGGACACCCACTCCGAGAGAACTGTGAGGGAAAGTCCCTGCAAAACGTCCGAGCTCTGTGCATCCATCTCAATGGTTGATGCTCGGACGGCTAGAGATTTCAGAGGCCACAAGGCCGCAAAGCACACTCTTGAAGGAGTGCGTGGTGGGGGTCGCTACGACACGCGCATCGCGCCAGGGGCAGGAGGTCACTTCACGACAGTGGCAACGTGTATGGTTGCGATTGGGTGCGCTGACTGAGCGCGCTGAGTCTCAGCATGAGAACTGAATCGCCTAGGCTCGTAGAGATAACTCGACTACAGACGATCGCCCTCTTCGCCTGTCTTTCGTCGCGAGCTTTGGCTATGAGACGAGACAGGGTGTGAGAAGCTGGAGAGACAAATCTGGATCACGATCGTGGGATCGGGCGCCCCGACGCGTGATGTCACGCGTCTCATGGACTGGCCTCCGGACGGACCGACGGGCAGCACCAAACGACTCGGAACTTGGGCATGCAAAACATCATGTTCCGAGCATATAAGTATGCCATGCATATATGCAGGGGTGATACATAACAGTACATACATGCGCCGAGAGTAATCATGTCGTAGTGAACAGACGCCCTCACCGGATTCCGCTGCCGTCGGACACCCTCCAGTTAACCCGACACACACGACAGAACGAGACAGATGAACACGAGTATGGTGAGTGTTGCATAGTTCGTCCAGAAACCCCCATGCCTTCGTAGTGGCCGTCGTTTCTCTATCCAGGTCAAGTCGGGACGAATCTGCCGCCACAGTCAAGCGCGTCGACAGCATCCGGCCTATCCACAGGGTCCTTTCGTGTCATGCGATCAACCAAGGGTACAAGAACTCGACATTGGTGTATTTCTGTGAAACCTGGTGAACATGAGAATAGTAGAGTAGAACAGAATGACGGACCTGGAGGATGCGCTTGCGGAAACGTTTCCGATCAAGAACACGTCGAGCTTGAACGGATCGTATGGAACCTTGTGTCCACTTGAGAGCTCTGGCGGGGCCCGATCACGCCCTTCGTTTCCCAGGACCAAGGCTCCTCGTTTGTCCGAGGGAGTGTATACGGACAAGCCAAAGTCGATGAAGTAGTACTTGACTGAGTTACCTGTACTCAGACTCCGGCACGGTGCGACACGAGGACTACTTGGTACACATGATGGCTTGTAGAGGCGGTTGCCACGAGGGGAGACTGTGTGCGTGCCCATCATAAGGTTCGCATACGAGCAATCCCTGCATCGATACTAAGCTTGGGTCCAAGATTCAGAGCGGTCTACTCACCTGTGCGCCACACCGTATTTGTGCAGGAAAGCGAGTCCCTAAGGGCGACGTGTGGACCTAACTCGTGCAACGGCGATCAAACTCACCTCGAGTAGCTGGTTGACAAACTCCACCACATCGCCAACGACATCCACCGGGGGATCGTCGATATGTCGAAGAAAGGGCATCACGAGATACGAGATGTACTCATTGTCTTCGTCCTGGAACGTGTCGAGGATTGGAACGACATGATTTGCAGGGTCGTCACGGAGTGGTGCTGACGAGAACGTGCAGACAATGCGCGACTCGTCGGTGGCAGTGACAACCCGTTTGATGCACACTTGCACACCGTCGGACAGTCGAATGGCGCCCATGATGTGCTCCCGAGCCTGGAGCTTCAGAATCAGCATAGGGCGACGCTCAACATGGAGCATGATTCGAGGACTTACATACATCGGTGATGTGTCTTCAGACTCGAGGCGATCATGGTGACTTGAATCTCTCGAAGGCGGCACCCAACCTGGTCGATACCGAGCGCGAAGCCTATAGCCTCTGCGCTCGAGAAAGTCATAGCGGTCTACCCAGTATAGTTCCCATCGTCTGAGCAGTCCTGCGGTAACAACACCGGTGCCACAGTACCCAGGCTCTGTCGATGCCTTGTCCGAAAGCGATGATCCTGCTTGGGTCTCGAGAATGGTGGACATAGTGGATCCAGAGGGGGAATTCGCCAGGCCAGCAGAGTTGACGTACCACATATCTCCCTATTGTATTGTCCATCTATTGTGTGTCGAGCGGCGATGAACAAGAACAAGAGATGCATGGCAACAATCATTAGCCAGGACAGGACCAAGCGAATGACACCAATGGACTCGGGATTGATTTGGCGACTCGGAGGCAGCGGCCTATAGGAAAGAGAACCGGAACCCGCCACAGTGTGCATTAGCCCTCGTAAGAAGTGAGTAAAGGTCAGATCTCACAGCGAGAACAATGACAGACGAGCTAGCCTCAGCTCCAGCGCTCCCTCCAGCCGGACTTGGTGGCGAACTTGAAGCTCTGAAGCGCCCGGAGTTCAATAACTCGAAACCCGGCTTCTCTCGGCCCGAAACTCCGGGAACACACCGGCAAGTCCAACTCAAGTCGGTCAAGAAACATCGGCACACATAGACGAACACATAGATCCTATTAACCATGCAGAGGGCCGCGCAACGATGACCCAGTCGCAGGCACGCACTACTACGCTAATCTACGTAATGGGATGTCCGTACTATTATGATAGGGTGGGGTGGTAGGGTGAGATGGGGTAGGGGGATGACGGTGTAGGTAGGGATAGGCTGTGTCCGTGCACAAACGGCTAGTAGGCGAGAATAGCGCACTGCAAGGGAAGAGAATGGGAGTAGTTTGTCCGGCAAATACAAAAAGGTCCAGGGCGCACAGAACACGAAATCCAAAACTCAAAAGGAAAGGAAGTGTCCAAGAATGGTTCAAAAAAGAGAGGTGGGTAGAAAAAAAGGAGCGCGTGAGTGTTCGTTCGTTGGGGATCGTCTCGTGTGTAGATCGTCGTCGTCTTGCAATAAGAGGTGCTCATGCGGCCTGCGCCTGCGTACGGAAGAGCGCTGACTTGGAGTGCGCAAGGCGGCGGAAGGCGCTGCTGACGCCGTGAGGTTCCACAGCGTCACCGTGCTCGGCGCCGTCCTTTTCCTTCTCCTTGTCGCTGCTTTTGTTCGAGGTGCCGAACATCCTGCTGAGGAAGTTTCCGCCGGTCGAGGGGCCCATGTCAGAGACGTTCCGAGCCATAGCCGGCAAGGTGGCACTTGGCGTTAAGGAAGCCTGACTCTGGTGCACATTGGCATAGGTAACCGATCGGAGTCCACGGCCCATGCCCATCTTGAAGTCGATAGTGGGGGCGCCGGACGCAGTAGGCGATGGAGATGACGCGCACGAGGACGTCCGCGACGATCCCTCGGAATCACCTCTGCCAAGGCCTGACGGCTTCTTGCCCTCCGTGGCATCAGATCTGATGGTGGACGTAGAAGCTGTAGATGTCTTCCTGCCTTGCCTCTTGAACGCACGAGTGGGGACGGGTTGCAAGACGAACTTCCTGTCAACTGCCTCGGTCGGCAAAGCATCCTTGATCTGGACGTTGTCGAGCTCGCCGTCGGAAGGGGACAGAGCAGGAGAACTAGCCGCAGAAGAGCCACTGTCGGAAGTGAGTGAGCCTGCCTCGGAGTCACCGCTAGTGCTGCTAGCATCGGAGCCACTTGACAGCTCGCGAGTAATCGGTCGTGGCTGGGGGCTGGCCGATGACCCAGATGCGCCAAGGTACTGAGAGGAGATGCGCTTCATGAGACGCTGGACACCAGACAGAGAACCAGCAGGCGACGGGAGTGGAGACAACCTAGCATCGTGAGGCGGAGTCGGTGGCATCTGAGCTTGCACCCGGGCCTTGGCACGGCTCACAGCAGTAGCACGAGCCTCCTTGGCAGCAGCAGAGCAGTTGGGCATGAACGGAGCAAACCGCTGGATAGCCTCAGCTTCGTCGAAACGCAGGTCATAGTCCAAGAGGTACAAGAGCTGCTTCTCCATCAGGTTGATTTCGGCAAGGTCAAACAGGGTAGCATAGATGCCCCAGCACTTGTTCTTGGGTGACGAGTCGTTGAGGTACTTGGCTGCGACAATGAGGGTCGCCAAGAAGACACGATGCCTTGTGCATGGCATACCTAGTAGTGGTGAGCAACGGGGGTTTGCAGAACGACGAGAAGCACCTACCCTTGGCCATCTTGGGCAGCTTCGACCGCAGCCGCTCAAGGTAGACCAACGTAGTGAGGAGAGTAGGCACCTGCACATGAGAGGATTGTACGATCATGATGATGAAGTCCTCGAGCGACGGCAGGTTGTCCGACGACTGGGGGGCATCATCGAACGTCGCCTTTTGGGGCGTGTGCGGAGGAGTGGGGAGCGCTGCAGCCTGAGGATCCTCGCCCAGCCTAATGACGCGAGTAGTCTGCAGGGCGATGTAGCGGATCATGTCGTACGTGACCGGCTGGCGCATGAGGTCGACGAAAGCCGGGTCGTGGCATGAGCGGGGCAAGAGCGAGGCTGGGTGACGACGATCTAGAGACATGTTTATGAGGGAGAGTGGGGTATTGGAATGGTGGGTGCCCGTCGAGGGACAAAGCAGGAAGAAATAAAGAAGAAACGAACAGGCGCAGGGGAGGGCGGCGGCGACGGCGGGGCTCTTATACTCGAACCACCGATCGTCGACGAGGACAAACAAACAGCGGTGACGCGCTCGGGACCCGCCGGTGACAGCGTGAAGATCGAAAGCAAAGAGGTCTGCAAGCAGAGTTAGACAAAGGCGAGCGATGCGCAAAATCTCCTGCGGCGGCGGTGCGCAGGCTTACATACCCTCCAGGCGTTGTGGTGCGGACTGGGCGGTACGCTGCCGCCAAACCCAGGCCAGAGGCTGGCACACGGACACCGGCAGCATCGCGTCCCCGCCCGCCACAGCGCGCCGCCCGACCGCCGCCGGACAGCAATCACGTGGCATAGTGAGCCCGTGAACGACGCTTTCTTCAGTCTCAGTCTCGAGAGAATACATCACAAGTCGTGAGATACATGAAGGAGAGCGCAGGGACATGCAAACACCGACAGTAAATCAGAGTACCTTCACATACGCAGCAGGCACGAGACCTCTCCTGCCGTCCATTTCGCCCGTCCACCTGTTGCACGGTCAGCGCAAGTCCACAGTGTAGTCAGGTAGCGCATACCAATCGTCCGATGTCTTTTCGACAATGAGCACCCTGTCGCCCTCCTCCAGAGGTAGATCGCCAGGGTCCTAAACAGACGTCAGCATCCAGTCAGGAAAGCACAAGCGTTGAACATATACGTCGCTGGTATAGTCATACAGTGCTTCTGCCCATTCACCCTCAGGCTCCGGTTCTGGGACTCGAGGACGAGGCGGAGGTGGGGGCGGAGGAGACGGGGTGTTCGCCGCATTGGACGCAGTGGAATCAACTCGCCTAACCGGCGGCGGCGCGAAGTTGGCCCTTCTAGAGGAGAAGGCCGAAGGGGTCGGGGAGCCACCTGCGGGGGCGTTGCATGCTTGCTCGCAGTAGAGTTGCGCAAAGAAGAGAACATGGCCTTCCCAGAGGAGATGTCTACATCGCCGAATCTCTGCGCGACGTGGATGCGTTCAGCGCAATCCTTGCAGTCGAATCGAATGGTGCTCACCTTATCTTGAACAAGCTTACTCGTGGACGAATCGGGCTCCTCAGAAGTTGAACTCGGTACTCGGCGAGGAGGTGGTCGAGGCAACGGAGGCCCAGACGCGCCAAACGCGGCTGCAGCGGCGGCTACCCTACCTACTGAGGCCGACACATCTGGCGTAGATGCCTGTTAGGATGGGACGAGTTCGTTGAATGAGCAGCTTTGGATGCTTGTAGAAGTCGAGACTCACCGAAGACGCACTGGCATCCGGCCGCGGTGGAGGCATAGACTTCCTGAAACCACTAACGGCAGACGCAGCATCCTGAGGGGTCGTCTTGCTGAAGGCACTATGCAGAGCCGACGCAGCCGACGCTTTGACTACATCTGGGGACGCCTGTCCCGGCCTATTCAGGAGGTCCGGGCGCGAGGAGAAGTACCTGCGACAAGGGAGATTCAAGTTTGAAGCAAGGAGAAGTTGCCACAACGCGCTCAGATTGATGGACCGATCACGCAGGGAGGCAACGCAGCACTCAACTCGTCCAGCAGAGAGAAGAACGCGTCCTTCTCGCGGTTGTTCAGGTTCGAGAATGCCATGCTTGCGTCGGATGGTCGTCTTCGGACGACGAGGGGTCGTGAGAGAGAATGGTGGTCGACGCAGACGAGGGCGTATCATACAGACGAGTATAATAGTGGGCTCGAACGGGATCAGCTCAAGTCATGTCACAGTGACATCGCCTCCGACTCGGCGAACAAAGTCGCACAGGACCACTGTATCACAAGGGGAGTCATCCACGAGGAGACAGTATTTTGTTTGCATGCAGGCTGTCCAGCATCACTGTCAATGGACACCTTGACGTTCGTGAGTGCCGTGTTGAATTGAGTGTCGGACGGAGCAGGCTACGGATGTACAACAGATAGGTATCAATAACAATGCGACAGCGATCAGCCTTTCCCTACGATACAGATATTATACCGGAACGACTGCATATCAGAACATATCGAATGTAGTAGACAAGAGGAGGGAGGCGAGGGGGAGGGAGGGGGACATGTATGTTACGATGTGCACGAGTCCCGGACGGGGATATACGCCCAAGCAGCACGGAAAGAACTTCGACAAGAACGCGAGAGCAGCTAAAGAGAGAGATCCAGATATCAACATCAGTACGACCGCGTCCGTCCCATCAGCCTCGGGGCTACTGCCCCCAATTAAATATATCCCCAAAGTCGTTCAGCCCGCCCTGGTCCACTTGCGGGCTGTTTTGTGCCATCGCCTGGCCCGGCGCCGGCGTCGCAGACATCTGGCGCGGCGTCATGGAGCGGTCGGAATGATGTTGGCTCGCACCTGGTGATGGTGCGACGAACGGGAACTGCCCCGTGCCTAGCCCGTTGGCATTCTGGTGCCACTGATTCTGGCCACCCGCACCTGGCTGGGGCACGCCACCCATCCCTCCTTGCACCCCGCCACCAAAGCCGCCTCCCGGTCCTGCGCTGTTCGGTGGCGACATCCCGTACGAGCTGTGCCCCTGGCCCATCGGCGACATCTGCTGCTGCACGTTCTGCTGGAAGCTCATCTGGGGCATGCCTCCGCCTACGTTCTGCTGCATCATCTGATGAGGCGTCATCCCGCGCTGCTGGGCCTGCTGGAGCAACATCGCACGCTGGAGGTCTTCTGGCGTGTGCCCCGATATCCGCTGCGACATGCCCGCCGCTGGTGACGGCGCCGAGTCTGACGGCGTCCGCGTGGTCCTGGCGATCCCGGACATGGAAGGATTGGACCGCAACGTGGGTATGTGACCCGATGCATCCATCGCGCCCGGCATTTGCATGCCCGCGTTCATGCTGGCTTGTGCCATCCGCTGTTGCTGCTGCATCCGCTCTTGAGCCGCGGCCATCAGCTGCGGATTCATCATGGCTTGGTTCGACATGCCGCCGTTGCGCATTTGTTGTTGCATGAGATACAGCTGCTTCTGCTGGGGCGTCATGCCCGCAAGGAACGCCTGCTGCTGCGGTGTCAAACCAGTCCCGTTCATACCCATCCCCGACCCTGTTCCCTGGTTCCCGAACGGCATGCCGCCAGATGAGGAAGACCCCGACATGGAGGCTTGCTGCATCGACCTCGTAGGACTGATCTGCCCCGGCGACATCCCAGAATTTGAGAGCATGCCAGGGCTCATCATGTTCATATTCTGCGTCGACCCGCCTGCTTCCTTCGCCATTCGTTGCCGCTGCTGAAGGATCATCTAATGAGACACGGCTAAGTAGCGGTCTAAAGCGCATCCCTCGATACGAAACATACCTGAGCGTTCTGAACATGCTGCAGCTGTTGCTGTATCTGCAGATGCGAAAAGTTTGGAACTTGTTGCGTCAAATACTGCATGAGCGGGTGATTTGGGTTCTGCAAGATCTGGTACTGCCGCATGAGAATCTGGTTGCTCTGGCTCTGCTGCTGCTGTTGCTGCTGCTGCATCGCCAGGTTTCCCTGCTGTTGCTGCTGCATACCACCCATCGACGACGGGCCTGCCATGTTCGACATTCCCATACCGCCCTGCTGAGCGTGAGGGTGAGGCGGCGACATCTGCCGACTGCTCTCGGCGAGTTGCTGCTGTTGCTGCTGCATGTTCTGCCGCTGCATCTGCTGCATCTGCATCTGTCGAGCCCGCTCCCGCGCTGCATGTAGCTGAGCCTCGTTTGCGCCGCCCATCATCCCTTGAGGCATCGACGGTGGCGGCATAGCGGGGCTCCCCAGTTGTTGTGGGGCTGGCGTACCCTGCAAGGAAGGCACAGCGCTCAAGGGGTTGGGAGCGTTCGGTAACATTCCATGGTTCATCTGCTGCGGGACAGCACTCGAGAACTGGGGTGTCGGTGCGAGCGGTGTCGATAACTTCGAGTCGCCCATATCCCGCCGTTTGTTCGCCATGTCTGGGAAGAGCTCGTCTGGGCGGTTGCGCTTCAGACCGTTCTGAAGATCGCCGTGTAGTGGCACCCCATGCGAGGTGGCACCTGCTTGTTCGCGGCGTGCGATCTCCTTCGCGAATGTGGCTGACATCTCGGCGTAGAGGTGGTGTATTCGGTCCATCGGCAGGAAGTCGACAGATGGTGGTGGAGTCATCTTAGGCAGGGGCACGGCATTCCGGCCCTAGAGCAATATTAGCCTGAGCCGAAGTCAAGGAATCGGGCTACACACCTTCACATTCGCATCTGCAGCCGCTGCCAGCCAGGTAAGATTCGATTGAACATGCGCTCCGTACCTAAGAATGCGTCGTTAGCGAAGGTGCATTACCACCGAGTGGATAAACGTACTGATAAAGTAATGGATTGTCGCTGGAGTAACCACGGCTGAGGAAAGCTGCCATCGCGCTATGGCGCAGTGAGCATTTGGGTTGAGTGGTATAGGAAATACGGATACCTCAGCAACTGGTTGTTGAGTTCTAGAATGGTGACGACCTTGGGATCGAGTTTCGCGCCGGCGGAGGCCGTGAGGTTGGGGACATGGTTCGGGAACGTGACATCGTTTCCCAAGGATGCGATATCTGGCTGGGAGAAGGGACTCGAGACCGATGACGATGAAGAATGGATGATCGACGATCCTCTGGCGTAGGAAGCTGATTTGGCGGGATTCGAATGGGACGATGATGCCTCAGGCGGAGCTTCGCGTGGGGATTGTGCGTTAGACGCAGCCGATGCATGGCCCTTGCTTGTTGCTCCCTCCGGGGCACTCTTGTTCGGACCATCAGCCTCGTGTGTCTCCTTGTGGCCGCCCGGAGATGGTCCGCCAACGGACGCGCCTCCTTCCTTTGTCCTGTCCTCTTCCTCGTCATCGGGAGCAGAAGAAAGCTCACTGAGTGGTGTGGAGCACGCGAAGCCTTCTCGACCTCCTCCGCGAAGTTCCCTTCGTCCACCTCCGTCGGCGCTTCTGTCCCTCCTGCTGCCGCCTCGCCTGCACTGGCCGGAGGCTTTTCAGCAGTCGCTCCTGGATCTACTACTGCGCTGGGTGTCGCAGCGTCTGGTGGTGGGCTGAGAGAGGACGACGTCTCGGCGACTGGAGAGCGTGTGCCTGCAGGACTTGAGGGCGACGGCTCTGGCAACTTGGGCTCTTCTGCATCGCCTGGAGTGATGGGGCCGTGATTGGTTGTTGCCGGGACCGGTTGGTCTTGCTTTTGTGCTGGGGCTGGATCAGACGTTATTGTGTGCTTCGGTGCGTCGCTTGTCAGGGTGAATGGTTCCTGGGGGTCGTGATAGAATGGTGTGTCGGTGTGGGTGGACGGGGACCAAGACAGGATGGAATGCTGATCAGCATGGGGTGGATCCGCCAGAATCAAGTTAGACTTTGCGTGCCCAGCGATAGCAGAGGAGTGACTGCGATCGAGATGTATCATAGTAATCTGAATCACCGGATATAAGGCGAGAACACAGGGGTCCTCGCAACAGGCGGGTCGTCAACGAGCGGCCGAGGCGTCCGGACAAAGCGCGAGAGGACTGGCCTGATCCGGCAGGAGGCGTGGACGGGCGAGGGCGTGTGTTCTGTGGGCTGGAGAGCCAAACGGGGCCGGGGTGGCAGGGACCGAGGGGGCGAGCTCGAGGGGAGGAGGAAAGCGGTGCACGCGGCGCGCCCTCGTGAGACTTTCCAACCTCCCTGAGCGCCCCCGCCAGCGCCCGCCCGACGCCTCTGGCCACGGCGGGGGCCCTCGCCCCGCCGCCGTCCCTGCGTCCACCCACTTATATACGCCCGCGTCGGGATGGCGGGCGGGCCTTACGCGGATCGTGGCACCGGCCAGAACACATTTACGCTGCGTGATCGATTCATCGACCCCCTCAGATCACGGAATCTGCCTCCATTCGGGCGCGGAATGAAACGAGCAGGCGAAGATGTCATCTCGTGCACAATGGAAGAGCGCACACTCGATAAGAGAACCTTAGTTGAAGTGGGAATTCGCCAGACGGTCCTCGAGCGCGCCCGATCCTTACATCACCACAAATACATCCCAAGGCTTTCCTTCTTCCTCCGCACGTACACCTGCACTCATGGGACAATGTGACCTTCCCAAGCCGCTTCAGCTATCACCAGCCACACCCCCTTGTGCGTGGGCGAGTGCATGGTCCATGTGGGAACCGTCCTGCGCATGGATCAGTGTCCTGTACTCTGCACATCATGAGAGGTCAAGCTCGCCTGCTGTCAGAACATCAATCAACTGCTGACACCATGTCGCTGCAGGTCAGCTCTGTCGTTCCTGCGAGCAACCATCCGTCGCAACATGCAATGTGCACCTTGCGCAGTCGTACGTTACGCTCGACCTGTGGTAGTTCCTGGCCTAAGCTAGTCTAGGCCCCCGATAATTGAGATGTCACGACCTCAGAGACAGCAAAGAAGCTGCCGAATTAGCTCAGTTCGCCATTCCTATGTAGTTGAATGACTAGCAAAATCTAGAGTTTCCTCAGACTTGTGCATGCCAATGATTGAGCGTACCACTTACGTCCGTAAACCTCAGTCCGAACCATACTTACGCCATGCAGACGGTATTACAAGCGCCACCAAGTTCTCATTCGACGTATGTTCGTTCTCATCTTTCTCTGAGAAAGGCTGAAGATAAGCCGAGTGCAGATGACATTATGAGTGAACGTACTTACAATACTGCACCACAGACAGATGCAGAACATGGACTTGCCGCTTCTGCAAGGAAGTCTGGGTGCCCCCGGGAGGGCGTTGTTGTAGAACACGCCCTGCGCAGACCTTCTCGTGGTCCGGGGGGTAAGTAGTCCGGAAGGACGAAACGAACATGCGCAGACTTTGGGACGTGCCAGTCGCCCTCTCAGTCAAAGGAACACCATCCTGGATGACTACGAGCCATCCACCCTCAAACCTGTCTCTGAGACCAGAGACGGTAATACAACATGCTAGACTACATAGTCTACGAGGGCACCCGTTTCTCCGCGATGGAGACAACCAGCCACTCTCTCCCTGCAGCGCGACGTCGCCCACGACATCCACTCCACCTCCCTCCCGCTTTGACGTTACGTAACCACGAGCGCCAAATGATATCCCACGCGTGTACCACCTCCCTTTAGAGTTCAAGCCACCAAAGGCGGCTACCTAGTCTACGGCCTTTGCCGAGAACACGTCGCGCTGACACGCAAACAGGCGACTGACTGGATTCGCAACGAAGCTCGATTCAATCAACATACACCATAATATGCTTATGCTTGCCATGAACCATCATTTCCCATAAATTGAGCGCTCCTACATGCAGACGTAAGGATGGCCACTGTAACGTAAAGGATACCTGCCTGACCAGCTCTAGCGCCATCCACACACATATTCTTCCCCACACGTAACGCCCCGTAACGCCCAACCTGCAAAAACATAATAAGGAACGGTGCGAAACGGCTGCAAAGCAAAAACGCACACCTGTCCATATGCCCCCCATGCCTGAAAAAAGCACCAAAGCAGTACGCAGACCCGCTGAACTCCGCCCTCTTCGACGTCTCCTCCCAAACGGCACACCTACGCCCCCCCGCACCATCCCTACTGTTCCCCTCCCCACCCTGTCGCTCCCGATTGGGGATGATCCAGTCCTCGAAGTCAATGTCTTCGACCGCCCAGTACGAGAGGGCAACGGAGTGATCTGGACCGTGGCGTCACGTCCGGAGAGGCAGTTGAAGAAGAATATCAAAATAATCCTGAAATCCTCCGGTCACGAGAGTGGTGTAGGGCGTCTCTCGTCCCTAAACGGGCTGTATCGCCACTGGGCATCCTTCGCCGTATCGGGAGGGCCCCGGCTATGCAGCATCCGTGTCCCGATCCCATGGGCGGTTCTGGACGCGCTCGCGAGCCATACCCACTTCTCGCGCTATTACGCCCTCCCGAGAGAGCCTGGCCCGCACCCCGCTTTCATCGGAAACCCCGTGATCTTCAACGACGAGGAGAATCCCTACGAATTTGAAGTGTGGGAGGATCCGGCCTACCTCGACGCGCGCCTCGCACGAATCCGCAACCAATGATGGTGGCGATATAGTGGGAAGACGGCGGAGATCGCACCGCGAGAATGTCTCGGGAGGACAGGATAGATCGCGTTACAGACAGTCCAAATCAATGTGACGGAAACCTGTATTCTGACAGCCCGAGAAAATACACTGTACAATGCCGACACACATGATGTGGCAACAGCGCCACGGAATGATGGCTCCGCGGCGATGCCGATAGAACTTCTGGTACCGAATCCCTGCCCGGCACCAGCCCTCTAGAAAGTATGCTGATTGGCCAGCGGTCAGGGCGACAGGTAACCGATCCCTGACAGCGTGGCGACACCTCCATACACAACTCCGGAACTGTGACGCCAGCGAACCACGAGTCTCTCGGGATCTATGTCGCACCACGTACAGATACAGTCAATAAAGCTCGGTCTCTACCAAAAGAAAATGCCTCACCGTGAAAATGCCGCCGCGAATTACTTGCGGAGGACCAACCTCGCCGAGATCCTCTAAGCAGGGAATAGACACAGATTAACAGCACAACTACAGACAACTAAAAAAAAAAACGGAAACACCTACATGTCCTAAGTAGAATGAGAGCACGGTGTCTTGGACGAACGAGACGAATGCGAGCATATGTCCATCTGGCCCTTACCCGCCGTCCAGTCCCCGCAAAGAATACCGCGACGAGACGCCGCCGTTGCCTGACGCAACCGCCTGCCCGTATCCCTCTTATAACGAGACCTAGTGAATATCGAGAGACCAGCCCGCAACTGAATCTCACCTCTCTTGCAACTAAACTCGCTTAAAAAAAACATCTTCGTATCTTCTCCCTTGATAAAATGCGTTCGCCATCCCCGCCTAAGAGCTTACTGCCCGCCCGCACTGCCGTGATCGGTGTCGGCGCACGCGCCTTGGACCTCGCGAATGCTACCCTGCGCCGCCCTGACGGCAGCTCGACCAGCAACACACCCGCTAATCCGTGGTCGTCGGGACGTGCAGTCTCACCGGACAAAATCACGGGCGTTAGTAAGTACTCCCGTCAAATAAATGGCTGGGATGTACCTTCTTACGATCAAAGCGCAGGCTACGCCAATGTGGTAAAAAGCGGAAGGCCCGCCTCGCCTGCGTCACCGACGACGGCTGCGAGCACCGCCACCCCGCCCAGCACGCCCGCCCCGGAGTTAAACCCGCGGGAGTGCGAGCAGACCGAACCCACTGCGGGCGGCAGCGATGCCATCCTGCCCGCGAACGGTGAGATCGGAGAGACTCCTGACCGTGGACGATCCCTCCCCGCTGAGTCCCCGCTGAGTCCCACCACTGCGGCACAACGCCGTCGGGCCAAGGGCAAGGCTCCTGCTCGGCGCCGCCGCTCGCCTACTCCAGACGACCTCCCCGCTCTGCTCCCTGTCCCGGACAGCGACGACGAGGATGACGACGTACCCCCTCCTCCTCCCCGAGACGCGTAGTCAGTGACGCCCGGAAGCGCCGCAGGTCCGCCGTAGATCTCAGCGACGAGGAGCCTGCGCCACTGGTGATGCGCTTCCAGGAAGCGCCTCGCTCGAGCGCCTTCATCACAGACGAAGAACTCGCGGACGTGATTATGGGCGACGACGAGGGCGGGAGCGCTATAGGAGCGACGTGCACTGGGGCGGCGATGAATCAGGCGAGCACTCAGAGCCTGAACTTTCTGAACGTCACTTACCCTCGCACCCCCTTTCCATCGCCGTCGCCATCGAACCAGCTCGACCCTCAGCACCCGACATCTGTGCTGCAGGATGCAGGCGGGAGCAATGATGCCTCGCGCGGCTCCTCCGCTCTCCCTTGGGCATCCAGCCCCATCCCTATACGCCGCACGCCATCGCCGCCTCCCCCGTATGGTCGTCAGCCATCTCTCCAGCCGGCTGCACCTCACGCACCTGCCCCAATTCACCGCCTGCCTCAGTTCCAGAGGATGCACGCTCCCGCTCCTCCGCAGCCTGCTGGCCCGCCGCCGCTGCCACCTCTTCCGCCTCTCCTGCCGGCCCTCGCGCCGCCGCACCTCACTCCGATGCACGTCTTGACGAGGCCGCCGCCTGGCGGATGGCGACGAGTAGAGGGCGCGGACTTCTTCTGGCGTATCCGAGGGATGGACCATGACCAGGTCGACGCCTGGATGCGAGATGTGAGTCCCGCCGTCCTTGTACAGATACCCGAACTTGGCGCGGCGGATCCGGGCGTGTGGGACCGCCTAATTGCGATCCGAGCAGCTCTCCGCCGCTACGGCGCGGTCCGCGACGCCGTCGTCACGGCTGCCCTTCCAGGGCCCGGCCCGCACCGACCCAACTCCGAGCCATTTTTCTATATCATCCGGGGAATCTCGCAGGCCCAGGCTAACGAACTCGCACAGCGCCGTTGGATCTCGGCCCCGGAGATCACTCTGGGGTTCGAACCTTGGCGCCTCGACGCTCCCTTCTTCCTCGGAGCGTGGCGACACGTCGAACGCTTCGCGGACACGAGCGAAGACGGGATGGCACGCTCAGTTCGTGACGCTTTCGAGGAGAACACCGTTGCAGATGCGATCCGCGGCATCATTGCCCAGGACATTGCTGTAGGCGGACTCTGGTCTGGCTTTGACGTCGACGACGTATTCATCATCATGCTAGACTCCATCCACGTCCGCTCTCTCGCATGGCGCCGCAACCCCCGCGTCGCTGAGCCACTCGCTCTGATATACTGCCAGTCCCCTACCGGCGACCCGACCGCGTGGCTCCACTTCCGAAACATTGTACAACACCTCCGCTTCGGCACCGCGCACTCGGGCGCCCCGGAGTTCACCACGAGCAGGCTCTGGTGCACGATCTGTCACTCAACAGATCACCCTACCGGACTATGCTATCTTGGTTCCATTCCTGACTGGCACGGGCCTAGGCCCCGTATTCAAGGCGGTATAGTGCAGATCCCCGGCGGACAAGGTCTCCCGCAGGCGGCCCGCGGTGCCAATCGTGGCGGACGCGGACTCGTGCAGACCCGAGGACGTGGCGCTGGTCGTGGTGGACGCGGACGCGGCAATGGACAGAACTAGTAGTACCCTACTCGTGCCGTAGCCACCTCTGTACCTCTCGTAGCGCCATGTGTACCCTTTCTTCTCCATTGCTGTAACCTGTATGACGTAATCCCCCCTATACACTGATGACTTCTCCCGAGTCTCGCGATGCGTGATGATATGCCCACATTTACTGACCGGAAACGGGACAGGAAAGCTATCTAGCAGCGCGATACTCTCTTTTTTTCTAGCATAAAGGGCACTCCTAGATCTTGCCCTGCCGAGAGGCTCAAGTCGTGGCGGCATAGTTTGCCTGCCCGGCATGTCACCTGAGACGCCCAGGAGTGGTGTCCCGCCCTCGCGCATCGTTGTAGCGAGGGAGTGGTAGCGCAACGGCATCTACACACACCATTAACACACAAACGGATGAACGACCGACAACTGGCTCCTCACGGTGCCCCCGAAGGCCCATCATATCCCCTGCCTGTGACAGGCCTAGTGACGGGGCAACGATCCCCGGCGGCAGGGCCGGCACTGAACCCCCAGACGTCTACAGTGCCGGCGTACCAGATATCGCCCAGACGTCGAACGTGTCCCCTAGTCAGGGACACGCTGGGCAAGAACTCAATCAACAGGACCACCGGCGGAATCAACCGGCGGCTCCAGTACCCCCACACAGACTACACCAGAATCGGAAAACAGGCCGCCACACGAAAGCGGGCCTCACGATTGGCTCCTTAAATGTTAGCGGGCGCGGCACATTCGCCACAGACGCGCCGACCAACAAGTGGGCAGCGATTAACCAGATGATGAGGGACAATCGCATAGGCATGATGGCTCTCCAGGAGACACATCTAGAAGGCCTACATGTAGACAGAATACATGACCTATACGGACGTAGACTACGTCTGTTACACGTTCCAACGCAAGATGCGATAAACGCTCGTGGCGTAGCCTTCGTGCTGAATAGAGAAATGATCGATGTTGCGGACTACCGATTGACGGAAGTAATCCCTGGACGCGCCCTGTATCTAGACATACATTGGCATGCAGGGCGCCGCCTACGAGTGCTGAATGTCTACGCACCAAACTCAGGCCCGGAGAACGCAAACTTCTGGGCCAACATAGAGACCCGCCTGACCGCACTACACCTGACCGCACCGGAGGTGGTCCTCGGAGACTTCAATGTCGTGGAGGACCCGGTGGACCGTATACCGTCTCGACCAGACCCGCAGAACCAAGTAGATAGCCTACAGCACCTACTCCACCACCTCCACCTAAAAGACGGGTGGAGAACAGCCCATCCCTCTGTGACGGACTTCTCCTTCCCTCAACGCGGGAGTGTGTCACGATCCAGGCTGGACCGCATATATGTCACGGATGAACTTCTATCGGCCTCCACAGACTGGAAGATTGAATCCACCAGCATCCCGACTGACCACCGACTAGTATACACGGGCATAAGCGCGGCAGAGGCCCCCTACATCGGAAAAGGAAGATGGGCCATGCCAACGCAACTGCTCTCCGATACTGAATTCGTGTCTGAAATGATGGCTCGAGGGGCGGCCGCTGCAGCTGACATGGAAGCACATGCCCAGGCGGATACACGCGTGCGCGGGCGAACACCACAGACAATCCTCGCGGCCTTCAAAACAGACATAGTGACCATGGCGAGGAAACGCATGAAGCTCCGAGCCCCGAAGCTCACGGCCGCTATCAAGAAGTTACAATCAGCTCTAGATGATATGCAGGCGAAGGATGACTATGCCTCCAACCCAGCTGTCCAGACGGAAGTCGCGATCGTGACGGACCGGCTGTGCGAACTCCTAAAGAAAAGGAACACGACAGCCCGCTCAGTAATAACTGCCCGGTATGCTCTGAATGCGGAGACCCCGTCAGCCTACTGGTCGCGAATCAACAAAGAGAAACGCCCACGCGATACCATGTACTCACTCAGAGTACCCGGGAGCTCACCACCTACATATGCGACCCGCTCGAGCAAGATGGCGAATCTTGCAAGAGACTACCACGACGACCTCCAGAAGGCCGGGCCCGGTGAGGATGACGCTGTCGAGCAACGCAAGGAGGTCATAAGGGAGGTGCTCTCCTCGCTGCCTGCACCGCTGACAAGAGAACAACTAGCCTCCCTTGACGACAAGATATCTGAGGAGGACGTCTCAGCCGCCCTCAAAAAGGCGCAAACAGGGAAGGCGCCAGGGCTCGACGGACTGCCCTATGAACTCTGGAAGGGCCTGTACGACCGCTACCAGAATGATAAACACCGCAACCCTCGAGCCTTCAACTGCATGGAAATGCTCACCACGGTTTACAACGATATTGATACCTTCGGCCTTGACGAGGGATCAAACTTCACGGCAGGTTGGATGTGCCCCATTTACAAAAAAGGCGACAGACGCGACATCGGCAACTATAGACCCATAACACTTCTGAACACAGATTACAAGCTGTATACACGCATCCTCGCAACACGCCTGGGGACCATAGTGCCGCACGTCATCCACCCAAACCAGGCCGGATTCGTCCCGGGCAGACACATCGAGGACCAGACGCAGCTGGCCCGGGCAATGACGGATTACTGCGAAGCAGTAGAGGAGGATGGCGTCATCGTTGCCCTGGATCAGGAGAAAGCGTATGATAAGGTTGCCCATGATTACCTCTGGGAAGTCCTGCGGGCCTTTGGCTTCTCCGATGTCTTCATTAACCGCGTTAAAAGGCTCTATGAAAATGCCGAAACAACGGTCTTCATCAACGGAGAACGCAGCACTTTCTTCCGCGTCATCCGGGGAGTCCGACAGGGCGACCCTCTCTCGTGCCTGCTCTTTATACTGGCCATTGAACCTCTCGCGTGCATGCTCCGAGCATCCCCCATTGTTGGGTTTACAATCCCTGGTGCTGTAGACAGACTGGTCACAACACTCTTTGCTGATGATACGTCCACCTACCTGTCCGCCACCGACTCGTGGTCCGGCCTCTGGACAATCCTGCGGAAATGGTGTGTGGCATCGCGAGCACGCTTCAACGACAACAAGACGGAAGTAATACCGGTGGGAACCCCAACTTATAGGGCCGCGGTCCTGGAAACACGGTGCATGAACCAAGGGGACGCCGAGGACCTGATCCCGCCCTCGGTGCATATCGCGGCCGATGGCGAGGCCGTGCGCATCCTGGGAGCCTGGATTGGGAACAAAGTTGATGAATCTGCGGTCTGGTCCCCTATACTGGCAAAAATAGCAAACTTCCTGGACAGGTGGGGACGGTGCCATCCATCCCTCGCAGGAAAACGTCATATCGTCCAAATGGGACCTGGGGAATGTCCCAGTACCTAACAAAGGTGCAAGGAATGCCGCGGCGCGTGGAAGACTCCCTGAGTAAAATGATCCGAGAATTCGTGTGGGGCTCACCTCGACCAGGACCAGTAAACGTGGACACGTTATATCGCCCTATAACGGAAGGCGGCCTAGGCCTGCTTGATGTCAGGGCACGGAATGAAGCAATCGAGTTAATGTGGGTGAAACGCTACCTCAATATGTCCCCGGAGCGGCCGCTCTGGGCCTTCGTAGTGGACGCTCTACTAAGCGCGGCCGTAACTACGGATGCAGGGGCAATCCGGAAACCAGCCCAAATAAACGCCTTCCTCCAGACGTGGACGCCAGCGGCGCACTCGCGCTCTCCCTTGCCGGGCTACCTGGTCAAGCTCCTGCGGGTGAGCCGGAAATACAACGTCAGCTTCGCTGCAATTAAACTGTCACAAGAACTAAAAGCGACCCTACCTGCGTGGTATCACCTCGGTGCCGAACGGCATCTGCGTCGGCTAAATAACACAAAAGTTAGTGACTGCCTGCGTGATACCCATAACGTCCTAAGAGTAACGGACCTTCTCCGCTTGGCGGGGAGGCATGGGACTCCAGGCAGACCACAAGAGCCCCCGGCAGACTGCTCCTGCAACGAATGCCGGACGGACAAGGACTCCGGGTGCCGACACCCAGTAAAATGCTGTCTCGCGGCGGTCAGAATCCTCGACCTGGTCCGCCCGAAATGGCACCCGCTAAGCGGCTCACCGGGCGACAACCTGTCCCTGACAAAGCGACGACTAGACACGAACTACGAAGCCCTCGAGAATGGCGGCGAAGTCATCTTTGACCCCACGGTGACGGAACGCGGAGGCGTGTCCCAAGCTTTCCGAGTCTTTGTGAACCCGGAGGTTCATGACCTGGCACCCGCGATCAGGAGGCGTGCAGGAAGAGTTGTGGATGGAGAAGCCGTAACGGCATACCTAACCCTGGGCCGCCCACTCCCCGGGGCTGAACCTGCGACACAGGCGACCGTAACGGCCGCGGTTTGGGTCGGCCAGCTGCATGTAAAGAACCGCACCCTCTCCTTTAAAGGCCGCGACCAGAGAGGATGGCAAGTAGAGGGCGAGCTTCGCGCCGCTCTAGTGGCAACCCGCCTGACCCCTCTCGATGCTCCCTTACACTTTATATGCGAATCCAAGTTCCTGGTACCAGCCCTCACAACCAAACTGCCCGCTTGGGAGGACGCAGGCTGGATAGGAGTCCGTTTCTCCGACGAACTCAGAGCTCTCACGAACGCCCTACGCCGCAGATGCGCACCGACCTACCTTAAGAGAGCCCAGACAGACTCTGAGTGGGGCACTATCAATAAGGCGAACTTGCTACTCACCGATGGAGCGCAACCGGCTGACCCACGTGATTCCGACCTTCGACGAGACGCTGCTTTCGACCTATCCGGTGCCCGTCTAGCCACCCTCACACAGAAGCTCGCTTACGTGGGGGTGAGGGAGACTGCAGTCACAGAAGACCGCCGCCGAACGACTGCCGGTGTCTCCGAATGCGTCGATGCCATGCTGGCTGCCGGCTTTCGGAACCCTCAACCGGCCGACCTGTGGCGCAGTATCCGACACAAGGACATGAGACGTCCAATCACCGACTTCTTGTGGAAAGCCATACATGGGGCACACCGCATTGGGCCATACTGGGCGAAGATCCCCGGGTATGAAGACCGGGCAAAGTGTACGACCTGTGGAGAAGAAGAAACACTGTCCCACATCCTCCTCTCCTGTGAAGCGACGGGACAGAGCATGATCTGGGAACTCACGCGTAACGTCTGGGAGCGGAAAAAGCTGCCTTGGGCCATACCGAGTACTGCGGAGATCCTTAGTGTAGGATCGGTTTTCTGGACACGCCCCGGGAAACGCACACGACGGGAAGGAGCGTCCCGCCTGTGGCGTATACTGATCTCTGAATCGGCCTTCCTTATTTGGAAACTTCGGTGCGAGCGCGTAATCGCGCATGCAGACGAGGAGGAGTGGCAGCACGCGGTAGAGAGTGTCGGTAACCGCTGGCTCTCGAACCTGAACCTCAGACTGCACCGGGATTGCGCCATGACCCACCGCCGCTTCGGGCGGCTGGCAATCCCTACCCTGACTGTCCTAAGCACATGGAATGGGGTAATTCAAGACGAGTCCGCCCTCCCTGAGGACTGGACCAAATGTTCAAAGGTTTTAGTGGGTATCACGCCCCGCATCCCCTTGGATGCTGGGTGAGGAGTCCCACACGGGCCGGTTGCCGGCTGTGCGTAAATGCATTTTTCTTGTCCTTGGAAGCACCTGCGGGGGAACCCGCTGGCTGGCTGGCTGCCTGGGTTTGACCAATTGTCAAATGCCGGGGGCCGTGTATAGCCCTCCAAAAAAAAAAAAAAAAAAAAAAAAAAAAAAAAAAAAAAAAAAAAAAAAAAGGAAGTCTGGGTGACGGGCGCTACCGTCACATGATCTTAGCGCCAGCATTTCCCAATGAGGGACCCATGCAAAGCAAATCCACCAACGCCGTCAACCAAGTCTCCGACCAGGAAGAATGTGAGTATGCTTCACCGTCCTGCCTCAGATCAAGCGGGATGTGCTTCCAGGATGTCTTGCTATGCTCTGTCGAGAAAATGCGGCCAGTATAGGCCGACTTTTGGGCTGGATGCACTCGGTCACATCTGGATGCACTCCTGCGCTTGACCCGCGACCTTTCCAATTCTCCGGCACTTGCTGACTCTCTCTCTGTAGAACGCACAATGGGTCGGGTCATTAGGGCACAGAGGCGGTCTCACGCTATCGTAAGTGCTCTGGATCTTATATGAGGAACTGACGACCAAACATCCTACGCAATCTGCAGTTCAAGGCGCACACCCACCACAACAAGTCGCCTGCGCAGTTCCGTCCGCTCGATTTCGCAGAGCGCAATGGCTACGTCAAGGGTATTGTGAAGGAGATCATCCACGATGCTGGTCGGTGCGTGCAGAACGAGCCGCTTCAGGAACAGTCGGACTAACTGAAAGTGCAGTGGTGCTCCCCTTGCCCGCGTCGTTTTCCGTGATCCCTACCGTTACAAGCTCCGCAAGGAGACCTTTGTCGCGACCGAGGGCCTCCACACTGGTGCTTTCGTCTACTGCGGCAAGAAGGCGCAGCTTGCCGTCGGCAACGTACTCCCGGTCTCGCAGTGCCCTGAGGGTACGATCGTGAGCAACGTCGAGGAGAAGACCGGCGACCGCGGTGCGCTCGCCCGGACCTCCGGCAACTACGCGACCGTCATCGGCCACTCACCCGATGAGAACAAGACCCGCATCCGCCTGCCCAGTGGTTCAAAGAAGACTGTTTCGGGCAGCTGCAGAGCGACGATTGGTATCGTTGCGGGTGGTGGTCGTATTGACAAGCCCCTGCTCAAGGCTGGTCGTGCGTTCCACAAGTACAAGGCCAAGCGCTACAAGTGCGTATTTCAAAGTACCGAGATGTGTCGGTTACTGATGACTTTGCAGCTGGCCCCGCACTCGTGGTGTGGCTATGAACCCCGTCGACCATCCTCACGGTGGTGGTAACCACCAACATATCGGTAAGGCGTCGACGATTGCACGTTCTGCCGTCCCCGGTCAGAAAGTCGGTCTCATTGCCGCCCGCCGGGTACGTACATCATATTGTATTGTGATATCTCCGAGCGCTCATGGCATGTCACGTAGACCGGTCTGCTCCGTGGTACGGTCAAGGTCAAGGAGGCCTAAGAGTTTGTCGTCGGAGTCTGTCTGCCTTGCTGTCTATATGCCACGATACTTTTCCACGCACCAAAAGCTATGTATGCAGCGATCGCATATGCATCATGACTTATGCTTTGTACGAGAGTCATGTCGATTTCGTCTGAGTGAAAGGTATTCCCTTTGAGTGTCGCCTGGTGTCGCGTGTTTTTGTCAGTTACAGTTATCTCCTCGGATGAGGAGAGCGAGTACTTGCCGTGTCCTGCGCTGCTGTCCGTCGGGGCGGCGATATAGCTGAAGATCGTGAGTCACTCAGGCTTCGCTCGTGCTCTGAAAGTGACATAGTGCTTCTGATTTTGCCTACAGCTGATATATACAGCCTCGTGCTTTGCAGTGCGTCCAACCACGTTGAGCCTGCACGAAGACACGCGGTCAAATTGTCCGCTAATACCTGTCCTACGGCCGCGACGGCATCCTTCCCCAGAGGAACGTCTAGTGGCGGGTTCCGCCCGCAATGTTATACATGCCCCTCACGCCCCCGGCCGTGTCCTTGAACCCAGGCCCGCACCTTTCCTCAGTGAATGTTGCCGCGGCGCGAGATTTGCTGCCTACACCTTCTCCGGCGCCAGGCTGGATGCGCAGGCATGCGCACGACGTTGTCCGTACGCTCATCGCGCACAGCTTGATGCGTGTCCCAGTCTGTACTTGCGTGCTCACCTATGTGCTACTTAGGTCACAAACGCATGCGAAGCCATAGAAGCTGGACATTGCGGGGAATCTGACGCAGATCGCGATGGTTAGCCAGGTGAAGACCACACGACCGCACGGCGTCTCGGTCAGTGACATCCATGAGTGACGAGTAGTGATGATTGAGCTGAATTCGGACACCATAGCCGTAGTCGAGGTGGAAATACACGCTCGTTGCCCGTCAATAGTGGTCCAGGAAGCGCCTCAGCTGCGGAATCCAACACTCCGATTGACGTGTGGTGTCTGGTGCAATCCAAGCAGATGAGATGGATACTGGCAGCAAGCCATACATATTCCACGCTTCGTATAAGACCATCAAAGCTTTAGACTACCAGCTGGACCTCTGAAGACAGCGCATCCGACCAGGAAGCGAAGCGACCTGTATCGGCGAGCAGCTTCTCAGCCTTCACTTTGACCCCTTGGATGGCGTCTTTGCCCACTGCAAAGTGAAGTGGTGGATCGGGGAGCTGCGCGATCTGGTACATGATTGCCACAGCTTTGACCGTGTCCGCCTCCGCGCCAATGGGGCCTCCCTTGATCATATCGCGTACCATGGCGGAGGGCAGGGTGGGTTTCGTATACGCAGGGTGCGGCGGTGTGCGCACGAGGTTGTTGAGCACCGGTGTCGCGAAGTTGCCGGGCTCAACCAAAACTACCTAGCAACAGAAACGAAGCGTCAGGAACCCTTCACGAAGTGTAGGGACGAACACACCTTGATGTTCCACTCTGGATCAAGTTCCGCTGCAAGTGCCGTGCTTATACCTTCCAGCGCTAGATGGAATAGGTCAGTGGACTAGACTGAATATCGTAGCGCAAAAGCTTACCGTATTTACTGGCACTGTAGTAACCGACGGCCGGGTACGCCTCAATACCAGCTATCGAGGATATCTGTAGGAGAGTTCCTCCGGCGGGCTTGTTGACGTCTCGGAAGATGCGGACCGCCTCCTTGCTGACGTTCACCGCTCCCCATAGGTTGACGTCGAAAACAGCGCGAGCCGCATCCTCCGGGGCGCCTTCTATCTCGCCAACCATGGAGTATCCGGCATTGTTGAAGACGATGTCGACACGGCCAAACTTCTTGATCGCCTCGGAGAATGCGTCCTTGATTTGCTGGGGGTGTGTGACGTCAAGCTTCAACACGAGGAGGTTATCCGCGCTATGCTGGGAAACCAAGTCGGCCAGAACTTCAGGCTTCCTCAGCGTAGCTATCGCACTGTCCCCATTCTTGAGGGCGATCTCTGTCATGAGCCGTCCGAACCCACTTGACGCGCCAGTAACTAGTTGCGAGCGTAAGGACGCAACGAATGGTCGATCTGATGGGTACTCACTGAACCAGATTTTTCCAGGCATGTTGCAATTGGGGGTAAGACGTGTTGATGCTTCGGCATGGGAAACGATGTCAGGCTCTTTATATCGTGCGTCTTTGGTCTGTATAACATAAGCTCGCTTCGTCATAGAAAAGACGTAGAAAAGACGTGCTCAACCATTCTGCAGGCCTACATGATCTAGGATGCCGTCTCAAGCACCGTCTCAAGCACCATTGTTGACAATGTCGGTAACTGTCAAGGATGGTCAGCGCCGATAACTGGCGACAAGGATGCTGGCAGTACAGTATGTCCGAGTCGCGATTGGCTCTGCTGAGTCAGTCTGGCAAGGTGCCTGCGTACACTCATCCACTGCGCCATGATCTTCGAGTCTGAGATACTGGGAGCGTGAGATACTGGTAACTTACCAACTCACAATCTCCCGATGTCGCGGAGATCCGACAATATCCGAGGGGCTGTCTTTCAAAGCCTGAAGAACCAGATCAATTTCCAGACCTGGGCTACTATGGCCGAATACAATTCCGAACGTCAAGTCCAAACCAGCACGGTGATGATTACAGACGTGCCTCAAAACTCTAGCTCATCCGCACCCATTCCCTCTGACCATGACGCAAATTTATCAGTCTCCGCGAGCATGTCTGCGAGTTTTTTCTTCACGATCTCGACTCCCTGCTGACCCAAAGGGAGGTGGAGTGGTGGGTCGGAGATAGTCGTTAACTTGTACATCGCAGCAACAGCGTGCGTAGGGTCTGGTAGCCCCTTGAAGTTCTCGTCGCTGATCATTGCGCGAACCATTGCAGGTATGGAGTTGGGCTTCGCATACGGCTCCTGCAAAGGCACCCCTGGCAGGTTGGCACTGATGGCCGCTGTGCGAAAAGCCCCAGGCTCTATCAGGGTAATCTGTGGGCGTTGCGGTCAACACTGCGGTATGGACGTCTGCTGCGATGGCATCCGGCTTTCTGAGTGTTGCCACGGATCTGTGTCCTTTCTTGAGCACCAGCTCAGTCATGATGCGGCCGAAGCCCGATGAAGCTCCAGTGACTGCCAAACCGTCAGCTCATACAGAGCGAAGCGATGCTAGAGCAAACTCACCAAACCATACTTGCGAGTCGCGCAACATTGTAGGGGCTGCGCAAGAGCACGTTCGACAATGTACCGTGGCGACCTACCTCCATTTAAGACGTCGATTAAGGGCGAAACTCCTTCGGCTGTACCAGTGTTTGCCGGTGTGTCAGTGCGTACAATTCACCTCCACGTACCAATGCTTAGCCCGAAGCGTGTTGAATTGTTCCTATACAGAGCAGCGGAAGACACGAAGTTCCGAGACATGATTAGAATCCTAGTCGGTACATCAAATAGCACAATATGACTCGGGAACGGGCATTCCGGTACGGCGAATAAGTACACTTACCTTCTGGTGATATTCTCGAAGACACAGGGTTTCAGTACTCATACGTAGCATACACATCAATGATTGCATTCGTCCCACGTGAGGCTACGTGGTCTCCCTCAGGCTAAAGACTCGATGCGATGATACCAACGCCATCGTTGCGGCCTTACGCTCATGTCTCGCGCCGAACGTAGTAGCTCATTGCGCACAGCTTGACTCGGATGTATGTCCCAGTCTGAACTTGCGTGCCCACCTATACACGACTCAGTTCACAAACATATGCGAGGCCACAGAAGCTGGACATACCAGAGAACTTGATCCAGATCGCGCGGAGACATGATTCATGTTGGCGAGCATGGGTGCAGGACGTACGGTGTCTCGTTCAGCACTGCCATGAGTGACTAGTAGTGATAGTTGAGCTGAATCCCGGGCCTGGACACAAGTGACTACCCGTAGTCGATGACTCCATTACTGGTCAACGACGGCCCGGGAAGTGCTTCAGCTGCGAAATCCAACTCTCTGATTGGCGTGTCTCTGGTACAATCCAAGCACTGCGTAGATCAACTCGACACTGGCAGCGGAAGTCATAGTACATAGGCCATTCCTCGTATGCGATCCCCAAAGTTTCAAATTACCAACTGGACATCTGACAGCACATCCGACCAGGAAGCAAACCGATCAGTATCAGCAAGCTGCTTCGCAGCCTGTTCCCGGGCTCCTCGGATGGCGTCTTTGCCCACCGTGAAGTGAAGGGGCGGATCGGGGAGCTGCGCGATCTGGTACATGATTGCCACAGCCTTGGCCGTGTCCACCTCCGCGCCAATGGGGCCTCCCTTGATCATTTCGCGTACCATGGCGGAGGGCATGGTGGGTTTCGTATACGCAGGGTGCGGCGGTGTGCATACGATGTTGTTGAGCCCCGGCGTCGCGAAGTTGCCGGGCTCAACCAGAACAACCTGGCAACAGAAACGAAGCGCCAGTTAGGAACCCCCCACGAAGTGTAGGGACGAACACACGGCAATGTTCCACTCTGGATCAAGTTCCGCTGCAAGTGCCGTGCTTATACCTTCCAGCGCTAGATGATTTAGGTCAGTGTACTAGACTAAACATCGCAGCGCAAAAGCTTACCGTATTTACTGGCACTGTAGTAACCGACGGCCGGGTACGCCTCAATCCCAGCTATCGAGGATATCTGTAGGAGAGTTCCTCCGGCAGGCTTGTTGACGTCTCGGAAGATGCGGACCGCCTCCTTGCTGACGTTCACTGCTCCCCATAGGTTGACGTCGAAAACAGCGCGAGCCGCATCCTCCGGGGCGCCTTCTATCTCGCCAACCATGGAGTATCCGGCGTTGTTGAAGACGATGTCGACACGGCCAAACTTCTTGATCGCCTCGGAGAATGCGTCCTTGATTTCTTGAAGGTGCGTGACGTCGAGTCTCAACACGAGGAGTCTATCCGCGCTGTGCTGGGAGGCTAGGTCGGCGAGAACTTCAGGCTTCCTCAGCGTAGCTATCGCACTGTCCCCATTCTTGAGGACGATCTCTGTCATGAGCCGCCCAAACCCACTCGACGCGCCAGTAACTAGTTGCGAGCGTGAGGACCTGGTAAGGACGCCATGAGTGGTGTATCTGAGAGGTACTCACTGAACCAGACTTTACTAGTCATGTTGCAATCGGGGGTGACACTTGTTGATGCATGAGAAACGATGTCATGCTCTTTGTATTGTGCGCCGTTGGTCTGTATAACATAAGCTCGCTTCGTCATAGAAAAGACGTAGAAAAGACGTGCTCAGCGTTTCTGCAGGCTTGCATGATCCAGGATGCAGTTTCAAGGATGCAGTTTCAAGCACCATTGTTGAAAGTGTACTGTCAACGATGGTCAGCGCCCATAAATGGCGACAAGGACGCTGGCAGTATGTCGCGATAGGCTCTGCTGAGTCAGTCTGACAAGGTGCCTGTGTACATTCATCCACTGCGTCATGATCGTCTAAAGCTTCTCACCCTATTGGAGTGAGATACTGGTAACTTACCAACTCACAAACTCCCGATGTCACGGAGTTCCGACAATATCCGAGGGGCTGTCTTTCAAAGCCTGAAGAACCAGATCATTTTCCAGACCTGGGCTACGGCCGAAAATGTTCATACTGCAGTACGTGCGTCTGCTATAGTTGTTCACCTTGATACTCCACTCCGGGTCGGGTTCTCCATCCAAGGCTTCCACGAGCCCAATCACAGCTAAGCCACAAGGTCAGCTCTGCCGGACGGACCTCAATATTGACTGGGCCACTCACCACTTTTCGTCACAATGTTGAAACCGAAAGCGGGAAAGCCTTGCACCCAGAGGCAGAGGAGACTTGCAGGAGACGACCTCCAACAGGTTTGTTCGCGTCTCGGAACATGTGCACAGCTTCCTTTGCAATCTTGACGGAGCCCCGGAAATTGGTTTCGAACGACGACGTCAGGCGCGTACAGAGCGAAGCGATACCAGAGAAAACTCACCAAACCATACTTGCCAGTCGGACAACATTGTTGGGGCTGCGTGAGAAATGCACTATTGCGACGTACCTCCATATAAGACGTCGATTAATAGTGAATCCTCCGGCTGTGCCAGTGTTTGCCGGTGTGTCAGTGCACTGTTCATGATATCCCGTATCTCCAGTAGTTTGTCCAGTAGTCAGTATGGGCATCAATCCGCCGCGTACCAATGCTTAGCCCGAGGAAGTGTATTGTATTATTCCCATACAGAGCAGCGGAAGACACGAAACCCCTAGACATGAATGGAATCCTAGTCAGTGCATTAAATAGCATACGACTCGAGAACGGGCGTTCCGGTACGGCGAATAAGAAGTACAGTGACCTTCTGGTGATGTTCTCGAAGACACTGGGGGCCCTTTCAGTACCCTGGACCCGCGACGATACGTAGCGCTTACATCAATGCTTGAATTCGTCCCACGTCTAGTACGTGGTCTCCGTAAAGACTCGATGCGACGATAAGAACGCCATCGTTGCGGCCTTCGATATCTCGCGCCAGATCTAGCTCATCGCGCACAGCTTGACTGGGATGTATGACCCAGTCTGAACTTGCGTGCCCACCTATACACACTACTCAGATCACAAACGTATGCGAGGCCACAGAAGCTGGACACACCGGAGAATCTGATCCAGATCGCGCGGAGACATGGTTGGCGAGCATGGGTGCAGGACGTACGGCGTCTCCGAGTTGTTCGGATACCATCCATGTGATGGTTGAGCTGAAGCTTGGACACAAGTGACTACCCGTAGTCGGAATGGGGATAAATGATCATTGCTGGTCAATGTCGCTCAGCGATGGCCCAGGAAGTGCGTCAGCTACAAAATCCAATGTTCTGATCAGTGGCGTGTCTTTGGTACGATCCAAGCACTGCATAGATCAACTCCGAGCCTCACTCAGGCTGGCAGCGCGGGAAGTCATACATATTCCACTCTTCGTATAAGACCCAAAATGCTTCAAACTGCTGACTCGACCTCTGACAGCACATCCGACCAGGAAGCAAACCGATCAGTATCGGCGAGCAGCTTCGCAGCCTTCACCCTGGCCACTGGGATGGCGTCTTTGCCCACCACGAAGTGAAGTGGCGGATCGGGGATCTGCGCGATCTGGTACATGGCTGCCACAGCCTTGGCCGTGTCCGTCTCCGTGGCAAGGGAGCCTCCCTTGATGAATTCGCGTACCATGGCGGGGGCCATGGTGGGTTTCGTATACGCAGGGTGTGGCGGTGTGCGTACGCTGCTGTCGAGCACCACCGTCGCGAAGTTGCCGGGCTCAACCAAAACTACCTAGCAACAGAAACGAAGCGTCAGTTAGGCCCCTTCAGGGAGTGCAGGGACGAGCATACCTTGATGTTCCACTCTGGATCAACCTCCGCTGCCAGAGCCGTGCTTATGCCTTCCAGCGCTAGATGATTTAGGTCAGTAGACTAGTGGATTGAACATCGTAGTGCAAAAGCTTACCGTATTTACTGGCACTGTAGTAACCGATGGCCGGGTACGCCTGAATACCAGCTAGCGAGGATATCTGTAGGAGAGTCCCTCCGGCAGGCTTGTTGACGTCTCGGAAGATGCGGACCGCCTCCTTGCTGACATTCACTGCTCCCCATAGGTTGGTGTCGAAAATGGCGCGAGCCGCATCCTCCGAGGCGCTTTCTATCTCGCCGATCATGGAGCGACCGGCATTGTTGAAGACGGTGTCGACACGGCCAAACTTTTTGATCGCCTCGGAGAATGCATCCTTGATTTCTTGAGGGTGTGTGACGTCGAGTTTCAACACGAGGAGTTTATCCGCGCTGTGCTGGGAGGCCAGGTCGGCCAGAACTTCAGGCTTCCTCAGCGTGGCTACTGCACTGTCCCCGTTCTTGAGGACGATCTCGGTCATGAGCCGTCCGAACCCACTTGACGCGCCAGTAACTAGTTGCGAGCGTAAGGACCTGGTAAGGACGCCATGAGTGGTCGACCTGGGTACTCACTGAACCAGACTTTGCCAGTCATGTTGCAATCGGGGGTGAGACCTGCTGATACTTCGGCATGGCGAACGTATCAGGCTCTTTATATTGGGCATCGTTGGTCTGAATAAGATAAGCCCGTTTCGTGATAGAGAAGACGTGCTCAGCCATTCTACCGACCTACATGATCCAGTATGCAGTTCGAACGTCGTACATCACTCCACTGCGCCATGTGCATCATGATCGTCCAACATTTCTAATCTGGAACGAGATAAGGTAAGTACCAGCTCTCGATGTCACGGAGACCGACAATATTCGAAGGGCTGTCTTTCAAAGCATTGAGAACCAGATAATCTCCCAGACCCAGGCTATAGCCGAAAGTGTTCCAGTCCGAAGCAGCACGGCGATGATTACAGACGTGCCTCATAAATCCAGCTCATCCGCTATTCCCTCTGACCTTCTGGCGACGTTCTCGAAGATACGTCCAGAACGCCCACTGCACGGCATACAGGTGCGCTTGACCCAGCCCACAGCCTCTCTTAAGGCTTGGTAGAGAACAGGACGCAGTGGGGTCTCGTCTGAACGAGTAACGCCGGGTCTGACACTTGGTTGTATTACATTGACAGGTCGTCGGACCAACTCGCATAGTTGTTCACATCGGCAAGCGTCTTGGTAAGGGTGTCCTTTATGATCATGACCGATAATTTACCCAGAGGAAGGTGGAGCGGCGGGTCCTGCAGCGTCGACACGGTATACATCCTGCTAGCCGCTTCGGAAGGGTCCGGAGCAGCCTGCACGAACTCCTCTGTCACGCTGTTGCGCAACGCCGCAGAGGGCGAATTCGTGTATGCAGGGTGCAGAGGCGTATAGACGCGGTTCTGCATGATGGCCGGTGTGCGGAAGACGGAAGGCTCGACGATTGTCATCTGGTTGTCATGATCATAAGTATACTGCGGCTAACGTTACACCGAATGACGAGGCGCATACCTTGATGTTCCACTCGGGACACATCTCTGACGTCAAAGCCTTCGTGAGGCCATTTAAAGCTAAAGCAAATATCAACGTTTGCTGAACGGCACAGCCACACTGGCCTAGAGCACAATGACCTACCGTGCTTGGCGGCTCCATAGTAGCCCAGCGTCGTAGCGGAGCCAATGCCCGCAATGGAGGACATCTGCAAGAGGCGTCCACCAACGGGCTTGTTGACCTCTCTGAAGACACGGACGGCCTCCCTGGTGACGTTCGCCGCGCCCCAGAAGTTCACCTCAAAGAGCGCGCGCGCAACGTCGTCCGGCGTGCCCTCCACCTCGGCCAGGAGGCCGTACCCCGCGTTGTTGAGCACGACGTCGATGCGCCCGAACTGCTTCACCCCAGCGGCGAAAGCATCCTTGATATCTTGTGGCTGGGTAACGTCGAGCTTGACGACGAGCAGCTTGTCGGGGCCATATTGCTTGGTGAGGTCAGCGAGGACCTCCGGTTTGCGCAGGGTCGCAACCACGATGTCTCCCTTCTGGAGCGCCACCTCTGTCGTCGCACGACCGAACCCCGTCGACGAACCAGTAACTGCGTGCGCCGTGAGTGAGTGAACTTGGTTCTACGCAGCTAGTAGACTCACTGAACCAGACTCTTGCAGACATTCTCCTATGGCGGCACTAAGTGCGTTGTCCTCCCTAACGCACCTCGGATGTCTTTTATAATCTATAAAGACGCTTGTCAGAAGCTTGGTGTGTCATGCAGTGCCGTCCTGACTCGTAGATCGGCAGTGATGATGCGGCTACTAGAGTCGTACCGATGGCAGCTATGATCATTGCATCTCGCTAGTGGGGCGCATGCATATCCTTACGACAGACCGCAGCAGACTGCAGATCCATGTGCAGGATGAGCTCGAGCCTGTTGGAGCTAGTGAGCACCTGATAGAAGATGGGCGAAACCAAGAGACTCAACATTCTCATACTATTACCTAGCAGTGATCCGCCGCTTCCATGACAGTCAGTGCTGCCTAAGGAACGATCAACGCAGCGGGACGATCCTTTCCAGTGGCTGTGCAAAAACGATAAATGTCATGCAGAACGAAGCCATACGAGCCATCGGAAACCACGCATCACGAATGCCAGAAGAGCGTCTGAAATGACAACGCGCAACATCCGCATCACGCATGCACGCTGCGCCAAAAGCCCATCTATATCTAACCAATCTCGGGCAGATTAATTGTCGGCAGTACATGGTTCTGTTATACCTTCGCGTTCATTCTCTCCGCTCACCGACACTTCATCTCGCGCGGTTGCACTTCGCCGCGTCACCGCGCCGCCTCCTCCATCTCCTTGCGCCACCGCTTCTGGATGTCGATGGTCTCGCGGAAGATCTTGTACTTCGCCTCGAGAAGCTTCTTCTCCTTCGCGTTCGCCTTCGGCGGGACGCTCGTCGCCGTCGGGGTCATCTCGATCTATCGCCCCACACAAGTCCGAATCAGCGCCCCCACCCACAACTCACAGGCTCAGCCGGAGTCAACGCACCATGATATTCCAGAGCGCCTGCGCCTGGTCCTCCTCGCTGATCCTGCCGAGCTCGCCGACCCTGTGCGCGAAGCGGCCGAGCATCGCGGAGCCGAGGACGACCGCGTCGCCGCCGCTCTGGGGGAGCACGACGGGCATGGCGCACGTGTTCGCGAAGAGCTGCATCAGCATCGCGTTCTTCGCCTGCCCGCCGCTCATGTAGATCGCGGTGATCGCGTGCCCCGCCGCGTTCATGTCGTCCACGATGTGTCGCGTCTGCAGCGCGATCGCCTCCAGCGTGAGGTTGAACTTGCGCGCGAGGTCGCTCAGGCCGTCGTCCTGCGGTGCGTGAGTGTGGTGGGAGGATGAGTGGGGAGACGGGTACGTACGAGCGCGAGGCCCGTGATGGAGCCGCGCATGCGCGGGTCAGCGATGGGCGAACGGTTGCCGTGCAGGTCCGGGTAAAAGTGCATGTCCTTGGTGAGCTCGGTCCACGTCGCCGCGCCCTCCTCCTTGCAGAGCTCGTTGAGCTGGTTTGCAAGCACTGTATGCGCGCGCATCGTCAGTCGACCGCTGATGAGGCGTACGCGAGGGCTGCTGCAGACCTTCATGGATGCTGGTCTTCTGCTCCTCCGCGAGCTCTTGCAGTCTGGGGTATGCGGGGTGGGTCTTGATCATGAAGTCGATGAGCTGGCCGGTGGAGGACTGGCCGCCCTCGTTCATCCACCATCCGGGCATGACGGCGTTCTGGCGTGCGTGACCTTAGCGGTGTGCGGACGCTTGTTCAAGATCATTTACCTTGTAAGGGCCCCATACACCGCGGACGAAGACGCCCTCCTTGCTCTGCGACGGAGTTAGGAGCGTAGAGAAGAGGTCGATGAACGGGACGTGCCTGTACGATGTGGCATGTGCTGGTGCCAGCGCAGGCTGCAAGACGGTGTCGTGACTCATCGATAGACGGCACAGCGGATAGCTTGCTGCCCTCCTTGTACCGTCCGGCTACGGTACCCAGCCAACCAGCGTAGCTACGATCTGTTTAGGGCGCATACAGCCAGAGAGTTCTGGCACTCACGCATCAATGACACCACTGCCGACCGGAGTGCCTTCCACCAGTCCAAGCTCCTCGGCGGCTTTCTTCGAGAGACCCTTGCCTACGGGTACGCCAGCGGTGACGACGTCGCATTCATGCGCGCCGAGCTGCCTGAAGTTGTTCTCGACGAACTCGCCAAGTCCGATCTTCTGGAAGAATTCGGGCTGCCAGCCGTTCTTCGTGGGCACAAACGAGCACTTGCACGTCACGGAGCAGCATGAGCGCAAGTTGTCGCCCGTGGCCTTGTAGGTGAGGAAGTCGGGCAGGTCGAAGAACTGGCAGCGCGCAAAGCGCTCAGGGGCCATCTGTTTCTTGAGCCAGAGGGTCTTCGGGATCTCCATTTCCAACTGAGCGGGGGATCAGCATGCGACGAAACGGGAAGGAAGGACACACACGCACGCTCATGACGCCGCCGACATAGTCAAGCACGGTCGATCCGGTGCTATTGATGAGGTTCGCCTCTTCCTCGGCGCGGTGATCAGCCCAGAGGATGATGTTCCTGTCGCCGATCTCGCCCAACGTGTCGCCCTTGGTGACGACGACGGGATCGCCGTTCATGTCGGATACTGCCAGCGAGCACGTTGCGTCGAAGCCGAGACCCTTAACATCCGACGGGGAGACTTTGGCCTCTGCGAGGACGGCGCGGATGGTCTTCGACATGCCATCCCAGATGTTGTTGGTGGATTGCTCAAAGATGCGGTGATCATTGGGATCGCGGTAGGTGATGGTGGACTCGGTGGAGGATGCGAGGAGGGTGCCGTCGTCCTGGACGAGGCCTGCGCGGACAGAGCCTGTGCCGACGTCGATACCGATGTAGTAGTTGTTGGGCATGGTGGGTGGTGACGTGGAGGGAGAGGTGAAGTGACAGGCGAGCGAGCGAGACCGTAAGTAGAAGGCCGCAAGCGAAGAGGAGAGGAGTCGTCCGACGCGCTCTCGGGTGTTCGCGAGGGCCCGCACAAGGTCCGCCGGGCCGCTCACACCCCTCCCAAACCCCAACCTCGCCCTAAGGCCTCCGTCGGGATTTGCCTCTTCTGGTTTCTCTACCAAACGCCTGCCACAATTCCCCTATATGTCAAATCCCAGCACGCCACAGACTGGCCCCTCTGCTCAAGCTGCGCTGTTATTCGACTGTTGATACAAGCCGACGCTTAGACATTTTACATAATCCTTGGGTGGAGTAATGGGAGTAATGGGAGGGCGGCCCGGCGACCTTGGGGATGCTCCGGGTTGTGTTCAGCGCCGTTCACGGTAACCGGAGTCAGGTGTCATCGACTACAGTACACACCACCGCGACAGAGTGTGCTCCCCGGAAAAGTAACGGGAAATGAGCTCACTGGCGGGTGGGACTCGAGGATGACAGTGCTGCAGTCTCCAACGTCGTCCAGACCGTTGCGTTGGCACTGGCAGTCGCCGAGCAATGACTCGGATAGTTGGGTACGTGTGAGTGCTCGAGGCGGATACGGAGGTAAGCACAAATCGACTCTCTCGTTGAATTGTGAATGACACCCTGCTCGGAGAACTCTTCATGTCCGAAAGTTCCCCCGTCAATGAACCGGAGCGCCTTACATTGACTACTCCGAGTCCTGATTTTTAGATAATACAGCTATCAACGGGCCCTCAAGGCTCGCATTCAACCTCGTTACTGCTATCAAAGTCGCGCGCGATTTCGGTACCGACTTAGTACGTGCAGGAACAGTTGAGGGATCTTCATACTGGCCAAGGTAATGCTATGGAAGGACCTTAGCTTACTCCCTGGAGAATCGCATCCGAGCCACATCTTGAATCGGAACTATCTGGCAGCACAAAACGCCCTCGCTTCAACTCTGCTTTCGTAACCCCTCGAGCCTTCGCAGCCGCAGTCCAATAATTTGGCCGCGAGTAGTAGTACGCTTGGGTACGCTGTGTTTGGCGAGACGGATACCAGCCCCGACGACAGCGCGCGGGAGATGTTCGAGGTCCACTTTTGGGACGCCTTCAACTTCGACAAAATGGCCCCATGCCTCATGCGCGAGGTCAACAGGTCCATTCATGCTGGCGGGCGGCTGATAGTGTTACATGGAGGTTTTCAGCACCACCCCGCCCCGGCATGTCGTATCAGTGCGCTCCAAAGGACGGTAAGTACTGTACGCGATAAACGCGGCTCTTATCAGTGCTTGATAAACAAAATCATATAATTGTGCAGCGACTCATGCGTTAGCAGCGCCTTGATAGAGCATAGATTGCCAAAGGTGTCTGAATACCTCGCCAGTGGGCGCGAGGCACTGGTTTGTATACTCAAACACAACTATATTGAGCGTGAGGACACTGTCATTCCTGCGTACTTAGCGCGATGACTCACCATATGCCGATTCACCATATGCCGCCCGACGCGGAGCGCCCCTGTACCCGGACTTGACAATGTACGTTACACGGGCTGAACTTGACACAGCCGCATCCGTGTCGACGGCTCGGGCGGGCTCGGTTCCGATGTGGGTGGATGTAGTTGGCCACTAGATCTTAGAGGTCCTGCAGACTGATCGCGATGGGATACAACTTGCAAGACGTCCACGCCCCGTTGGTCATCTCCGAGGCGCACTTCAACCTCCGGTCGTAGCAGCACAATGATGTTCTCTCCTAAGGTCTGGTTCAGTCCGTCGCAGTGGAGGCCGCCGCATAACCAGAAGGCTCGCTGATCCATCTTCATAGTCGCCGGCTCGTTAACGGGCTCCGGCAGGGCCATGACAGAACAGAACCAGTGCAGGTCACCATCGTCGGGCTGGGAGCGTTCTGCACTCCAGCCATGGCCCAAGCAGTGCCAGTCCACCTCACCCTGCCTACGAGAAAGTCATGTCCGCCCTACGCGCACTGTACAACTCGGGTTAAATTCCACGAATGCGGGACACATCCCCTTCATACAATCGCAGCACTGCACCTTTGGCAAGGTGCCGTCGAACTGGCCAGAAAGAAGCCTGCTCAGACAGGAAGGAGTACATATGCTGTCACTTCGTGGCCGGAGCCGCGGGTGGTGGGCAGCGAGGTTTAAACGTCGCGCGCAACTTAGAACAGAGCAATGAGGATCTCTTACCGGGATATATAGGGTCTGAATAAGTACTAGCAATATCACTTGCTGCTTCGACGAATATGAGGACAATCACACGCCGAAATCTACGATAAAAATATTAGTAATGGCCAAAGTTGCCGCTTGGATATACCGACTCGGAAGCAGTCAGCTACAACGTGTGCATACACTGCACTGGCGCAACACGTAACGTGGTCCGTGGTCGGGAATTTTATGTCCTCAGTTCCGCTGCATACGAATGATCGGTATTCCTGTGATTATCCCAGTAAGTCAAAAAAGTAAGGATGCGACCGAGGGAACTGACCAGCAAAAGCCAATGCCACACGGCAAGGCTCTCCTTGTGTTGGTGCACATTACGGAGTGGCCCTGCACCTACTTCTGGGGAAGCGAGCTGACTCGGACATAGTAGCCGACTCGGACTGTCATCGAGAAGCAAGTTATCGCCGCGGCGGTAGATGCACGGGCGGGGTCGGTGCCGATGGAATTATCCGGTAGAGATCCCAATACGTCCCTCATGAGAACCGCAGTGGTATAAATCGACACGGCTCCCTGAAGGATTGCGTCCAAGGCGCATACATTCCTAGCAGCACAGCAATGTCATCACCTAAAGTTTGGTTCAGTGAGTCTCATTCTCTAAATTGTACCACTGAGAGATCGCTCACTTGCATTCCAAGTCACTGGTTCGTCGACGGGGTTCGGCAGGGTCATGACGGAGCTCGTCCTCGCAAAGGGCGACATCGCCGTGGCGACGCTCCGCTCCCCGGAGGTGCTCGCCGAGCTTGCGTCACAGTACGGCAAGGACAGGCTCCTCGTCCTGAAGCTCGACGTTTGTAAGCCTCAGGAGATCAAGGACGCGTTCGCTGCCGCGGTCAAGCAGTTCGGCCGCGTCGACAACGTGTTCAATAACGCTGCGTACGCCATGATCAGCGAGGCGGAGACCGGTCCCGAGGACATCGCGCGGACGATGTTTGACGTTAACCTGTGGGGAGCCATCAACGTCAGCAAGGAGGCCGTGCGCATCATGCGCGAGGTCAACAAGCCTGCCGGAGGGCGTTTGTTGCAGATATCTTCAATGTCAGGCTACATGGGGATGACCGGCATGTCATATTACTGCGCTACAAAACACGGTGAGTATGACGTAGTTACAGCTCCTGAAGGCTTGAATGACGTGAGTGACAGCTATCAACGCATTCACCGAAGCTCTGTCCAAGGAGCTCGACCCCGACTGGAACATCAAGGTCAGAATCCTCACCAGCTTTCAGCATCTGTGCTCATTCTCGCTCTTTTCAAGGTCGTCATCGTCGAGCCTGGAGCGTTCCGCACGGGGGCTTACGGCAACGTGGTCCGGATTCCGCTCCACCCAGCCTACGAGAAAGTCATGACTGCACCACGCAAGTATTTCGAGGAGGACGTCTTGGGTGTGATGCAAGACCCGGTGCAGGGTGTTGAGGTTCTATACAAGATCGCAGAGCTTCCCAACCCACCGCTGTTCCTCCCGCTCGGGAAGGATTCTGTCAGCATGGCGAAGACGAGATATGCTGAGATGGTGGAGAGTACGAATGCTGTTGCTTCGTGGTCGGAGGAGCTGCGGGTCATGGGGTGAGAACCTTGAGCAATGCGTCTCGTTGATGAATAGAGTGACAAGCATTGCCTGTCGAGAGGTCTTAGTGATCAGTTGTGTATCAACGTCTGAACACGTACTCCAGTTACCGGAGCCTCTAGAGCCGGCTTTGTGCTGCCAATGCCACCAAGGAATCTATACGAGTCTTTCGGGAGATGAACAGGCCGGTCGGAGGTCGCCTGCTCCAGGTTTCATCCACAGCAGGAGTCGGTGGCATTGCCTCGTTGATCTTCTATGCAGCCAGAAAACATGATCAGTACCACATGCAAGATGTGTCACGATGATGGCTCGAATATGACCGCGACATAAGAGGTGGAAGCACCGAATCTCTAGCCGTGGAGCTGGTTCCAGATGGGACATTCAGGTGTGTCCATGGATGGCCCACCAAAACGTGTAGTCACGGCCGCTCGGTAAGATAGGTCACTATCATTGAACCAGGGGCGTTTCAAATACAGCTTGAACAGCTGTCCGCCGCATACGAAAGCAACTTCAAGTTGCCTGGGGCAAGCATCCGCGAGTCGATGAACCCTTACGACACCAATCAGTCAGATGCTAGGAAACCCGTGGAAGGTTTTTTCAAAAGAAGCTGCGCTTTCAAACTACCCTTGCGACTGCCCTTGGGACAGGACATCATTGCGATGAGCCGTAGAAGACAGAACTGGCGATTGAATTGGACGAGTAAGCTTCATGGTTGAAGGAGTTGGGCACCAATGATCCCGCAGCCGCATCCTATATGATGCATGTGTCCGCCCTGTGTTAATGCACTTATGAGTGTCAAACAAACACCAGGTTTCCTATACGGTGGATTATGACTTCTGACTTACGAGTGCCTGTCCTTTCAATTACATCAGGTACATCTGACTGTCATTGACGCTTCCCCACCCGAAGCACTGAGGTCTCTCCAGCCAACCAAGCAGCCCTGCAGGTTGTGATCAAGGAATCCGTATTGCTCCAAAACCATCGAGCGCAGCGAACCCTGAGGTTCTGATAGTGAAAAATGTTTTCTCTGGCTGCCATGTCCACGGTGCCGTTGGGAAGCAGACACTGGCAGCCTGAGGCCGAGCTGCGAACGAACACACTGGCATGCTATGAGGAAAATAAGCGGTCCTAGTTCTATGGCGTCAACAGGGTTCATGCTGAAGATAGATGATAAGTGCTCGTACCAATGCCAAGAGCCTATTATAAGGCTAGCAAGGAGCCCAACGACATCGACTGCAGACTTAACGATCCATCTTACTGAATCAATCCGCACAGAGTCTGACGGTCGTCATCAGCCCATAGTGATCACTGGCCCACTGGCCCTTCGCCGTTTTGAGTCCGACGCCTATCCTGCTCGGGGGATCCACCACCAACGATGAACTGCCAGTGTGCAAAATCTTGTCCATACGACACACTGGAAAGCGGTTCCTCGGCTGGTACCCCCACGTAAAACTCGTCTCGTCATCCTCGGACCCTTGGTATGCGTCCGTCAACTCTGCCTCCGCAGGGAGGGTAGCATCGCGCGGATCGATGGGGTTCATGTCCCCGGCTACGATCCCCGCGTGTACACCGGGTGCTCTGAGCAGCTCCGCGGTGGCCAACAACTGTGCTGGACGCCTCGACGTGCCCTCTGGTAGTGATTCGAGGTGCACATTGGCTATTCGTAACAGCGCCGGTGTCCCATCTCCTGGAGCAGCCAACTGCACATCGACAAAGACGGCGTTTCTGCCCATGACGGAGTTTCCGAAGACTAGCGATTGCGCACCAACTGTAGGTACCGTATTCGAGACGAGCGTGACATTGCCATATCGAGGGCTCGGCCAGGTGTTCGCAGAGGTGGGGATGGCGATGAAGTGCTCACGCACCCACCTGTGCTTGAGAAGAACGGACATCGCTTCGCCTTCGATCTCCTGCAGGAGAATACAACAAGGGACAGGTGACTCGCCAGCGTCGGCTCCGCCGGCTTGTCCCTCGAGAGCACTGCGAATGTGGTCTAGAGCACATCTCAGCCTCGCGTCAGCGTTGGGTGCCATGAAGTCGACGTTCCAAGAGACGAGACGAATGGATGTCGGCTGCGGCGTCGTGTTCCTTTTCTTCGATAGGAACTTCCAGTCCGAGAGCAGCCACTTGGTGGAGAAGCGTCCGGGCTTCAGGGGAATGATCTTGTTGACCAACGCAGACATCGCTTGTGAGTGAGAGTCAGCGGATGTAGGAGAATGGGATGGAGCAGGTAGCATTTACTACGTCGGAGAGGGTGGCACACAGTCGATCGACGCATGTACGATAACTTACTTAGTATGTATCGCACAAGCGCCGGCCACGTATAGCCTGAGGCGAGAAGTCCACTAGCACACGCTGGCACAAGTCTTAATTGTAGACCATAAGGACGCGCATCGACGAGCATGTAAGTACCTTCAGATGGCACGGTGTTCTATAAGCTAAGTAAGTAATCAATTTTGTGTGCGAACACAAGCTATCTACATGAGGTTACGAAGAATACCACAAAGTATATACAGACCGGCACCGGAATTATATTACTAGTAGGCGTCGTAAGCAATGAATAAAGCTTCGAGGGAGTTAGTTGTGGTATCGAGACCTTAAAAGGCCTGGGTATAGCTGTGAACGCTCGCGACGAGTGGCTAGGGCGTACGAAGGGTTCACTCCCTCTCAATGAGTCGTGGCCTACTAGGCACACGCAAGTGATAAATCGTCAAAAAGTGATAGCCCAGGGGAACGAGGACGGCGGGGGGTCTATCTTGGGGACCAAGTCTGACTGCTCTCCGGAGGTCCGCGAGCCAGCTGACAGTGCGTCGGCAATGCCTTGATGGGCATTGACGTAGGCGACTTGGAGTACAGGTGGCGTTCCGCCTGGTCCAGGTGGAAGCAGATCGTTGATATGGGGAGGAAGAAGATCCCTGATGGGTGGAAGGCGTTGTGCGTCTGGGACCTCGGGATACCTGAGCGGTGGTAGGCGGAGATCGGGCGCAGCATTTGCCGCGTCGAGGTAGTGGTCTTGTTCAACGGGCGGCGAGGCGCGCCGGCCGAGGTACGTAGAAGAGGTATCCCACCGGGATTCCGTCGTAGAGCATCGGCCCGTGCAGAGGGCGCCCACGCAACCACAGTGTAAGGAAGCGGACGAGCGGCTAGAAGAACGCGAAGGGCGCGCATCCAGGTGTCCGATAGGCGAAGCATACCGGGGGTCGAGCCGCCTTTCCTCCATGAACGGCGGCTTCGACCAGTAACTAGTTTTACGTTCGCAGCGTTCCATGATCGCGCGATAATGTTTGCTGTAGTCATTGGCGTGTACTTGTAAATTGTAGTTGATGAGTTGACGGAAGTCACGGTCGATCATTTCGATATCGTCGGCCGAGAGAACACCAGTGAGATGTGCCCACCACGCGTCGGCATACTGATATTCAATTGTACCCTGGATAGTAGCCTATCGCTCAGCATTCGTTGTTGCGCAGCAAGCAAGCACCGACATACCCTGGCTGCCACGAGGAATGCTCCAAGGAACGTACGCTCGCATGCCCAATTCAAAGGCAGCGGTCCCATCGTACTCGACGCTCTCTCCAGGTAGGTGAGACAGGTGAGAATAACAGGCATAGGGACTCCAGATCGTCGAATCAGGTTCTGCACGAAGTCGCAAAGGAAGGCCGTCTTGAGCACCGGCGCGAGCCACGTCTCCCCGTCGTAGCAAGCGTGGCTTACTGTCCACACAACGCAGTCGATCAAATAATCTTCGAGCATATATCATCAGTAGAATATACATGCAACCAAAATCGCTGCCCACGCACCGATGACGTCCCAGTTGACCGGGTCGTGGCGCGGTTCTTCGGCAATGCGACGATGATGTTCGCGTTGGTCGTAAGCTGGCCGTTGTGGGCGCAGCCCGGACGATGTCGCTGATGCAGACAAAGTATAGGTTTCCATTCTGAGTGCCCCTCAAGGGAAAGGAGGTGGCGACGATGATGAGAGAGACGGAGTATTCGCCGGCCTTGGATGTCGGTGCTCTGCAGGTGGTTGATAGATATCAGGGGGGCATCGAAGCCACTCCTGCGTCTCTTTATATCTTGCTTTGACCCTGCAAGCGCCACTACTTGGCCGGCACATGCAGGTGGCCACTTCGAAAACGTAGTGCATATATGCCGACGCGCAATCGTTGCGGCCATAGACTGATGGCACTGCATCGCTAGCGACAAAGACAAAGCGCAATCGACTGGAACTAGGGTGCGCTGTCCCGGTCAACTCCGAGTGATTGCGTACGCTCGCTCGAACTCACCTGCCAAATTCGCTACGAGGTGCCTAGTGGCGCGCCACGAGGCGGATCGCTTTGACCTACAAGACAACGAGCGTGGTAGCCACGAGGACTGGATCTATGCTCCGTATGATGTGCAACATGAGACTTCTGTCCCTCGTCTGGACGGGCCAGCTCAAGATCGTGATGTCCCAAGACTCCTGTGAGATGAGGCTCGATCAGGTTCCGATGCAGTTGCGATGATGAGAAGGGCTCACAAATACTGCCGTTTACTTGCCGCGCCGCGTATGACTCGGAGAGCATCTGCATCTGCTGGGTTGAGATTCTAGCGTAGAGGCTATGACAGACAGACTCGCTCAGTTCGACTGATATGTTCGAGTTGAACTTCGGACACGAGGCTACGTATCGGCACCGGCGCCAAACCGCGCGGGGATTGCCCGAAGTGACGCGGCCTGGAAGTAACCTAGTCTCCCCTAGGCAGACCCTAAAGAAGACCTCTTGGAGTGGGGGAGAGGACGGTCTTCTAAGGAAGTAACCAATATTAATTGCAATTTCTTCGTACTAGCTCTATACATCAACGGCAAAAGGCAAGTCACTGTGAGTGCAAAACCACTGGCAGTACAACATAGCATGTGGCACAGCACTGTTACAAGGAATTGAAGGCACAGTGAGTGAGCCACTACGATCATTTACGGCCAGCGGCAAGTTGATCGCTCAATCGGTGTCAATGGGTGGCGATCGCCACTAGGTGGAGGTCCAAATAAAATAAACCATTTGCGTTGTTATGGCGTACGGGGGGTCTAGAGGACGAGGCGCTGTGCTATATGAACGGGTATATATTGGGCGGGGTATCTGAGTAAAGAGACGACAGAGGCATAGGGCAGTACAAGGCTACTATCAAGGTATGTATGTCGAGCCGCAGACGCTGTCGATGTAGAATGAAACAACGTATGAGACTCTCGTCGCAGTAAGATTCTCATAGCCGTGATGCCGGTCACAATGGCCAGCGCAGGATGCCTCCCGTCGGGTACGACGTCAGGGATGGGAGCGCCACCGATGCAACGACAGCCTTTGACTATCTCTCGTGCCGCTCGTCCTGACTGTGTAACCATGGTCGCGGTGGCGCGCGTCTCAAACGCGGGTCATCATAATGTCGGTCGCGAGAAGGTGGAGGTGTTGGCTGTAGTGGAGGAGGGTCGTCAGGCGCGAGATCCCGCAGATTTGGCAAGTCCCGTAGAGGAGGCAAGCATGGTGGGTACCGTCCGTGCGAGCGGCGGTACCTGTCTCCGCTGTAAGGCGTCCTCAACGAGTGCCTGGATTGCCTTCGAGGAGGGTCATCGTCATGGTCAAGAACATGCTCGCGCGAATCGCGTGCTCTGCGGCCACTGTACGGATAAGGGTCCCACCGCCTGCGATGCTCAATAGCAGTGTCACCGTGGGAGAGTTGCGCTGCCGTGGATAAGGAACTGATGTACGCTGGTGTAGGAAGGGGGCGGGGACGACGTGGCGGAGGTGACCGTGACCGTTCACGACCTCCTCGGTTGCCGACGAACGGTGGTAGCGGGCGGCGAGCCTCAGAATGCCACGGCGCAGGGGGAGCAGGAAGGAGTGGAGCAGGTGGGTCGACGCGCGGCGACGCAGGGGCTCGGTGTACCCATTGTTCCGGTAGCACGCGCACCGAGGACGAGGCCATAGGGTATGGTGACTCGACCTGAACGTAGTCGCGGGATATGGGTGCCGACGAAGACGCATGAACACGGTGCGACGACGAGGGGATAAGGTGCTGCTGGGAAGCGTCGCTTCGAGGGCGCCCGGCTCCAATGGGAGTGGGGTACGTCTTCGGGGACTGCGCGGGTTGCTGGACAGGGTGCGAAGGAAGCACACCCATCGTTTGGTACCAACCGCCTTTCTTCCTAACGCAAAACTCCATGAGGCCGTCGTAATGGCTCAGGAGCTCTCCCTCCTTGACGCTGAGATCGTATTCGATTAAAATCAGGAAGTGGCGCTCGACCGTTCGGAGCATCGTCCGGTCGTAGACACTTGCCCACTGCGCCCAGGACGAGAGTGGATAGCAGGCATCGTTGAGATACTGAGAAAACGACATAACCGTCAGCACGGTGGCGCCACCAAAAAGACGGTGCGCCTACTTTATGAGCCGTCATCAGCGCCGCCAGCAGCAGGTCCTCCCCTTCCCATAGCTTATTGAGGCTTGTATGGAGGTTCTTGGCGAACCCCCGCTGAGTCCTCTTGACATATGAGAGGGCGACGAGGAGTGTGCCCATGTCTACCTGAGACTTTGCGAGTACGTTGCAAGCGAGGTAGCCAAAGAACGCCGTGCTGAGACGATGTGCCTCCTTGTCACGACGATAGGGAGCCAAGATGCTTATGATGTACTGAATACAGTAGTCTGTAGCAGCCAAGCTCTCAGTCTTGGGACGGCGAAGATGTGGCGCATGCACTAACCTATGGTATCCCAATTGATGGGCATCCGTTGTATTTCGAGCAGATGTGGATGGTGAAACCGAGCAGTAATCAGGCTCGACGGCGCGACGGCTTCCTCTGCGGAGGGATGAGTGCGCGAGGAGTGCTCCATTTCAGTGGATTAGTAGATAGATGAGGGATGGGGTGAAGGGTGCTTGCGTGTGCAAGTGCGACGGTTGTAAGATCGTAGATGCCTGCAGTTCGCAAGGGCGACAGGTAGCATCCTTTATATCGTTCGCTTGGGCCCTCTCTGTATGTGGACTACGCTTTGGCAGTGCTTGCCGGCGATGAACTGTGGATTGGTACCGAAGCGCCAGCTTGGACCCTCATCGGCGACGCTTGGGCCTAGGAAGGCAGGCATACACAAAGCGTCGGCCATATTCTATGACGACCATATGCTGAGAACCCATGTCGGAGTACAATAATGCTGGATGGCGGCTCACCGCAACCCGGCGTCTACTCTACAATCAGCGCTCTGGCCTTCTAGTGAAGAATTCTCACCTGCGTGCTTTACAGCCCCGCATACGCTGATGCGCATGCCTGCCCGATGCAGACGCTTTCGGTGAGGTAGGCGGTGTACACGAGGCATGCATGAGGACCGTAGTATAGCGGCGTGGTGATTCTTCTGAAGAGACCTACAGCAAGCAGCGATGCCGGAGTTCCTGCCCTGCCGTGGAGGCCGCGTAATCCTCACAGACTGAGAAGAGTGCGTCAACTCACTGGCACCGGCATCGATAATGGAGAGAATGTCAAGTGAGTCAACCCCTCGTTAGTCCGCTCGGCCTCCTTAGACGAGAAAATATGCTGGAAATTCCAAGATGACGGATCCGACGGAGACGTCTGACGCTCACAATCACACGTATGCACGGCGGGCATATCATGGCATGTTTTAATGTGGTGAGAGTACATATGCTGCCTTAGCGTGCATGCGAGACGATGATAGCAGAATCGACGAAGAGAGACCAATCAGTCCGATCCGCCCGTAGACCGTGCTGAGCAATGAGAAGTCAGAGAGTAGTGCATTCCGACAGAGACGAATACGCACTGTAGATCAACTGGCCGCTGTGGTGGACAATCCGCTTGATCTGGCCCTCCTTCTCCAAATGCCTGATGGCTACCCGTGCCAAGCTCCCATTCACCTTCAGCCGCTCGATGAGGATGCTCTGGCTGATGAATCGGAAGGTGGGGACCTCCTTCATGATGCGGTCGTAGGTGGGCTTGTCGAGGATGACGGCGTGCTGCGCCTTGTCCTTGACCTTGCCCTTCGACCATTTCTTCTTCTTTGCAGCCTTGCTGCTACTGGACGCCGCGGGGGCTGCCTTAGCCTTGGCCTGGATACAAAATTCATGGTCAGAGACCGCATGTCATCCAGATGGGCATCCGTGCATCCAACACCAACGACATGGAAATGGTTCACGTTCATGGAACCGATGCATTACACCTACGGCACAGGACACCTGTGAGCAAAAATACACACTCACCATTGTCTTGTCGGCCTGTCGTGAGTGCTGTGGACGGCGAGCGACACTGCAAGGGCGAGTATGGTCTCTACGGACAAGGCCGAGCGGAGCTACAAAATAAACGCCAACAGCGAGCTGCCGCCACTTCAAGTTCCAGGTTCCAGGCCTGGGTTTGTTCTCAGTTGCCGCCACAAACATTGTCGTAACATCGTACTCAAAAAGCCAATATTGCACATAGATCATAAACGCAAGCATGTTCATGGCTGCTTGTGATCATACATGTAGTCAATCTGTCAGAATTACTTATGTCTTGCGCATCCTCCAAAAGTCCGAACGCGCTTGAGTCCCATGTAAGTCTTCGAACATACGTCACAAAACACATGGTACTGACCTCCGTTTCTGCCCATCGTCATCATTCGCTCCCGATTCACAGCATGCCGCGCAAATCAAGCAGAACCTTCTTATCGCGAGATTCGCGACGGAACATCTCGCGATGCTGCTCGTGTTGAACTGCGGACAGTGCGCCCTGGAAATTCGCGGACACTAATCTTCCTTCAGCGAACGTCGCCTGATAGCGAGTAGCATCCTCGCATCTGGAATCCGCTAGAGGCCTGATGTGCGAATACAATTGAACACGTTCAGCATCTGTGAGATTTCTCATGTGCTGTTCATATCTCGTTGATCGGCCTTGTTACGTTCCCAGTAAAATTCGGACAGCTTCTTTCCGCCCTGCGACGAAATGAGCGTAGGATTGCTCCCAAAGGGAGAGCCAGGAAGCGAGATAGGTGGTGTCTTAGCTCCTCTCTTTGACTCGTTTAACGGTCTTGACACTCTCCTTACAGTCAAGGATCTAGGCCTACCATAGTGGCATTAGAGAATATCGAAATCCAAAGGCCAGGAAAGACTAACTTTGCGGATGTGGCAGCTTGTTGGCGCGTGGGCTTCATGATGCCACCTGTTCTCGGAGTTGGGTTTGTCTCCCCGCATCCGGCTCGTGGTGTTCTTAAACCGTAGGGGTGATCAAAGCGCAAGTCTACTCAAAGCGAATGCTGGCCAAAGCGAGGTCACATAGTGCCACTCACGACGCTTCGATTCGGCTAGTAACACTCTTTCTACTGCCAGTGGTAATGTCGTATGCTACCTATAGCTTCTTCGGGAGGCCGTGCCATAAAAAGCCCAGTTCAATGTGTTAGATCCAACCAAGATCATGCGGTTGTCCGTAGCGAGACTTGTCACGAAGCCACCGAGACCTTCGTGCAACTCGCCGCGATCAAATGCTGACGTTGGTACCTTAAAGCCCGCCTGTTAAGTGTACAGCCTAAGGAAACACATTGCTGCAGTAATCAATTTAGAGGGTGAGCACCGCGAGACGTGTTGTTGTCCCACAGTTCGTGATTTTACAGCAGCTTGCAGTCATGAACGAGGCGAAGTGAACTGAAACGACTAGACCTGCCGAATACGGAATGCGTTGACAGAAGCGCGCCTGTCACGGGACTGACGCGCCGAGCGTCGCAGTGCATCCTGACGGTGGCTGCGTCAACCTCCACGTCGACCTCGCCGGTCATGCTGTGGCTTGTGCTGATTCTACCCATCCCCGCGCTCGCTGGCATCGAGAAGACCCGTGGGGTACCTCCATCTCTCACTTCTCGGTACCAGTCGCCTGGTTCGGACTCGGCCCTGTGGTCGTGCCTCGACGGGTCTAAGTCCATCCCATGGTCTGCCGTGAATGATGATTATTGTGATTGTTCGGATGGGAGCGACGAACCAGGTGTGCACTGGTACTGGCGCTATCCTAATACTTGGCTCACATGAAGTTCTCAGGAACTGGAGCATGCCCTAACAGTCTGTTCTACTGCGTGAACGAGGGCCATATCGGCTCTTTGATTCCCAGCACGCGGGTGGGAGACGGACTGTGTGGTATGTGGTTTTATGAATCACTCATATGTGTGCTAATTGCATTGTTCCAAGAGCCTGAATGCTGTGATGGCTCTGATGAGCAGCTAGGTTTGTGCCCGAACATCTGTAAGGAGGTGGGCGAGGCGTACGAGAAGCAGCAAGAGGCTGAACGGAAGACACGCAGGACGGTACGCAATGTATACCTTTGCGCATGTGCTGCATGTTCTGAACGCACACTGGCAGGGCTCTAAAATCCGCGCTCTGTACATCGCGCATGCCCAGAAGGAGAAGAAGCGCTTGGAAGGTCAGATCGCTTCTTCCGAAGCTGAGGTTGCAGTGAGGGAAAAAGAGGTCGCTCGTCTTAGGGTGAGCCTTTGCTTGAGTTCTGCGAGGGGTCCCTCTGAAGAACGCTATCACAGATATCGCGGATACCGCAGAATCGCTTTCGGAGGCTACTATGCTCCACAAGAAAGAGTCTCGTAGGCCTTTTCACATGCTGTCGTTCGCACTCGTTCAGTTGAACTGTCTGGGTCGCACAGCCCTTTACAAGTCCCTCATCGACATTCTCTCGCTCTTCAATCTCTCAGCGCGAACATAAAAAGCAACTAGAGCGTCAGAAAGCACTTGGGGACATCCTCGACGCCCTCCGAATCGGTTACAACCCGAACTACCAAGACATGGCCGTTCTCGAAGCAGTCCGTGGCTGGGAGGCGCTCGCTGGTCTGCCGCACATCAACGACGTGCGCACGGAGGAGGGCTCTACCGACACTGCAGGCGCCATCGTCCAGCAACAGGAGGAAAAGCTCGAAGACGGGACGTGGTCTGCGGAGATGCTCGAAAAGAGCTTGACAGCTTGCTGAAGAGCGACTACGAGACGCTGCTGATCGAACATGACAAGCATATCGGCGCGCCTGCGCACGGATCCCTATGTGAGTACTCCAAGACTGCCCCTAGCTCAACTCTTACCTTGGCTAGTATTCAACCTGAATGCTTACATACCCGATGCGTTTTTGCCGCAATACTTAGCCTTCCGCGATACGCTGGTATCCTGGCTCGAGACGTTCGGCGTCGCGAAGGGTATCGACGATGAGGCGTCTTCGGTCAGTGCATGCTCGCACGTGTCACCCGTGGTCAATATTAATGTGAGGTCACATAGACACGTCCGCCGCTCGCAAAGCTTACCACGACGCGGAGAACACTCTGATATCAGTACAGAAGGACTCGACAAAGCTCAAATGAGCTTGAGCGTCTCTTGAGCCCGAGTGGTATGGTCTGGAGGGCGAGTGGAAGAAGCTCGACGGCATGTGTCTGACGAAGGACACCGGAGAGTGGGTACCACGATGTACTGACGAAGTTCTCGCATTGACGTCTACTTATCAGGTACACGTATGAGTCTGCCTCTTCGGAGAGGCTAAGCAGAAGCCGAACAAGGGCGGATCATTCCAGAGTTTGGGGTGAGTGTTCGGAGGCAATGTCTCGGTGCCTGCACTCATGCGCGCTGCCATAGCAAATTCACTCATTGGAACAACGCTCCTGGCATCGAGCCAGGCTCGCCCGAGTTCTATACCAAGCAACATTACGAGCGGGGATCCAAATGCTGGAACGGTCCGCATCGTAGTGTCACGGTAAGTTTTCACACGTGTCCGATCTTCGGTAGCTGATGATGGAGGGTTTCCACCTAAGGTTTTAATGAGCTGTGGGACAGAGAATGCACTTCACACAGTGGCGGAACCCGAGAAGTGCGAATATCAGCTCACAATGACGTCCCCTGCGCTTTGCTTGCCCCCGAATGAGAGTGAAGCCTCCGAGATGAGCTGTAGGGCTATGTACTATCATAGCATGTGACATATTAGACTATTCTTGGAGTTCTTGCTATATATAGGAGAGCTTTGGATGCATACTCGTTTTGCTCATTGTGTTGAGTTTGAGGTTATGTTAGCAGTGCTGAACAGGATAAGTTGAGAACCTGCCTGCCTCATTCCTGCATGCCATGGTTTATATACTGTAGTCATAGCTTGCATGAGGAGGCTAATAGAGTCCATGTATACCATGTATGCTAAGATGATGCTGTATACTACTCAGGACTTAAGCATACCCTGTGCTAAACTGGGGCCTTTGCTCTGAGGTTTTGGATGGCATGATTCCAATGTACAATTGGCAAGTAGCATCAAGTTATCAACAGGTTCTTCATTTCCTTATTGATAGATTATATTTTAGGCATGGTATCATTGTGCTGTAGACTTATTTATACACCAAATGCACTGGCGGATTGCATCACATGACCATAGCAAACAAGACAAATATGTACTCAATTGTCTTAATGTGGGTGGTCCACTCCAGTTTGCATTTCATTCCCCCCACCTTCCACCCCACTCAAGTTGTTACTACAGTAGCACAAGCTCCTGAGCAAAGGTGAGCATTTCTGCATGACAACTCCTGGTTACAGCTCCATAGCTGCATGACTGTCACTGATCAGTTGCATGTTGTTGTTTTGTTTTGTCTTACCCTCAGTCACTTCCTCATTCACTGCACTAGCAGATTCTGAAAAAATCTTTCTCAACAGATTGCAGCAACATGCTCAAAGTTGTAACACCTGCACAAGCACAGGCCACACGTACAGCTTGTCTTCAGAAGCTGTTGCTGGCCACCAGCCAACTCCCTTTGCAAGTTCAGTACCCTGGCTAGAGAAGCAAGTCCATTATGGACAGTGCTTGATGCTGAACCAGAGCAAGCGGAGCCCTTCCCACAATTGGATGTGACTCAACAACCTCAACACCACACCCATTATATGCCAATGCAGGAGCCTCCTGATACCCCTGTGAGTCATGATGTTTAATCTCACTGAACCATTCTCAGTGATGGTTATGAAACTCATCAAGATTGAACAAGCAAGTGCAAGCACTTCTCGCTTCTAAGCATGGGAAAAATTCCCCACAAGCAGGTTCATCGACACATGCAAACGAAGAGCCTGAGACGACTCGAACTCAGTCTACGAAGTCAAATAAGGCTGCGAAACAGACCGTATTCGATGGCGTTGTCATTACTATCCCTGCATGGCTCTCCGCGTACAAGCGCAAGCACGGAGCCGTGCTACTCGTCCGCAAGACGTCTCACTCGCGCAATCATCTGTTGACGAAGACGATCGTGGCACTCGTTCTCGAAGTAGCGAAGCCGAATTTGACCAATTGAAGACGCCGCGTCGACTTCGGGTGACATGAGGCACCATCAACTTCGCAGGAACATCGCATTCTGAGAGAACGGCCACAAGCCAGCGCGGAGGACCATGCAAGATCGTCGATCGGTCAAGGCCAACCAGAAACGTTACCGAAACAGAAGGCGTGGAGACGATTGACCGCCTTCTGGAAGCACAGGTTGCACCCGCTGTCATCATCCCTGCATACGCAAAGTCATATGTCGCTCGGACGATAGTCTGCGGTTGATATCTTCGATTGTCACGCCCGCCACACGGACACTGGCGCACGGAGCTCGTGGAGGTCTTATTCCATGCCTCGCTACTCGCGAATAGCCATGTTCAAGGAGCGCTTGGACACTCGTCTCGGTCCTGGCGATCTCAATCGCGGCTTATACAGGCGGCCTAAACCCGTAAGTTGATCCATGGAACCGTATATGACACGTGCTTACAATGCGCACGTTCTAGGTCGGTGGACACATACAGCAAGAGAGGGGAGCGAGCGACGTCATGGACGGGGACGAGAGCAACGTGGATGCCGTAATTCGGGGGAAGACGCTGAAGAGACGCAGAAGCCCGGAGATAGAGCCAGCGGCAATGGGACGGACGACTCGGACGCCGCGACGACGGAGGATATGAGGCCAACGAAGAGACATATCGGTCGTCACGAGCGCGATCTTCGTCCTATATCTCAGGAAGTTGGCGAACGAGGCCCTGGGTCGGACTCGGAAGACTGAACTGTGAAGCACGCGTGCGTGTTCAGTCAATATGTACGTAAGTACATGTCGGCCCCGCTTCATGAGTCACAGTCGATGCTGAGCGGACATGGAGGCAGGACGGAGGCGGAGAAGTCTGTGGAAGTTCCGCGTTCCTTAAAACGGATTACTTGCGCGGCGATACCTCGCGTCCGTTCCGACATGTGGATATAAGGATATTAATCCCGCTGGTCAGTCGCTATAGCCTGATGCCAGGGGTTTTAAACGAGCGCGGTGGATAGCGTACAAGTCATATTGTGTAATGGATGATATATCGGACATTGCCAGATGAGCAGGGATGCAACCGAGATGAAGCTGGAGCGATGTAAGTGAACAGCCGCTTCGCCGGTGGACTGCCAGTGCGCGGATTGCCTCTCGATCACAGCCGCGCGTGCCGCGAGGTCGCGCGTGACCCGTGTCCGTGACGGATGTTGAACGCGTGACATATCGCGGACGTGACATGGCGCGGGGGAGCGCTTGGTGGGACCTTGTTTTTCGTCCTGCGACATATCTTGCCACCGTTTCCTCCTCTGCCTGCCCGCATAGACCGCCTTGTACTCTCCTCGACACTCCAGACGACGGACGATGCTCGCTTTTGCGCCTCCCATGCAGCATTCGGCCCATGCATCCACCGTGACGGCGGTAGATCTGCCGCACCGACCCCAGTCATCCACGGCGGGCACCTCTTCACGTCCTCCGATACGCCCATCACAGCGGAAGCTGCACTCGTCCATCATCATTTCCCACCAACCCGCGTCCTCGTCGTCTCATATTGCCGTGACTGCAGGCTCTGCCAGCAGGTCGGCGCCCCTCGAGGCTCAAGCAACCCATCGCCCGACGCCACAGCGCACCCCTCCATCCCACCCCATCCCTGCCGTCGTGCGGCAGCGCCAGGAGGACGATGACCCGCATACACCGCCGGCCTCCGACTCGGAGGATAATGAGCCTGGGCAGCCGGACGTCTCGGGCGCCGATGTTCATAAGTACGAGCCTGAGACGCTCCTGCGAATGCTGGCAACTGCCTTGCAACGCATAGCCGAGTTGAATGCTAGTATACCTGCAGAATCATACATGCCGCAGCATGGTCACTCGCACTCGCTAGACCATAACAAGGATCACCATCCTCCTATATGGCGGACACTCACCAGCGCGTCTCGTCACTCCCTCTCTACGACTTCCTCCCTTGCATTTCACGCACGAAACGTGCCTACTATTGCCCTCGAGGGGTATCTGAACCGGATACACAAGTATTGCCCAGCTAGCAATGAGGTCTTCGTGTCGTGCTGGTGTACCTAGACCGTATGTCCAAGTTGGCGAAGGAGGCATGCGGGAAGACATTTCCAATCGACATGTACAACATCCACCGCCTTATAATTGCGGGTGTCACGGTAGCCAGCAAGTTCTTCAGTGATGTGTTTTACACAAATTCACGTTACGCCAAGGTGAGCCCCTATTGTTCCACCGTCTAGATATAGGAGGCAGTCCTCATCAGATTTCCAATAGGTCGGTGGTCTGCCTCTGGCTGAGCTCAACCAGCTGGAGTTGCAGTTCCTTCTTCTCAACAACTTCAGCCTCCCGATCTCGTGCGAGGAGATGGAGTACTACACTACCATGGTTGACCTACAGTCGAAGATACCCGAAGGCGTGGACCTCACCCCCTATCTTCCATCATCCTCCTCCGATGTACGGCAACCTGTGAGCCCCATGGAGTTCTTCACCGCCGTCGACGCATACTATGGGCAACATCATTCCATTCGCCCCTCCATTCCTCCCCGCAACTTCGACGATGACGAGTTCAGCCCATACCATTTATCCTCACGGCGGTCTCTGCTCTCGATGTCTGACGCGGCGAGCGAAGCGGGCACGGAGACGGACCTAGATGGTTCGACCGACGACGAGCCGACCATCCGACCGCCACACTCCTCGTCCTCCTCGGAGACGATGAGTCTGCATAGCGCCGCGAGCGGCGACGCCGACTCCATCTTTACCCAAGACAGCGACATGAGTCGGGAGGAGAACGGCGATGTCAGCATGCAGCGGCAGCCGGAGGGGACGCCTGGCAGGGAATACATGATTGTGAGGACTCCGAGTTAATGAATGGGACTTTCTGGGTAGACGGTAGAAGCGGCAGCATAGACTCAAGGGCATCCCGTTTCAGGACTTGTATTACTACTGCATCGTTTGCTTGCACTGATGCCGATATCACACATATTTATATGCAACCGTACAATACAGTATGCCATGTTTACTTTTCCTATCGTGATGCAAAGTGTATGCCAATGCAATATCAAATCGACTAAAACTTTCGTGTGTCTTGGGGCATTGGTTTCAGTCAGTCTCGCAACAAATATGGTCCAGTTGTAGTGTTCGATCGTGAATTGCATTATGTACTGCTGCGGCACCCACACGCGTCTATGTACGTCTGAACACAAGACCGCGATGTGGTTTCAAACGTTCAACGACAAGTGATTCTGCCTCGGTATCACTAGGCTATTGCCATCCCATGCGGACGGCGGTGGCACTGGACGCACGCAAATGTCTATCATTGTTCTCCGAAGGGTTATTGTACTAATAGATCTTGGAGTGCCATAAAAGGGTCTGCAGGCTGAAGTGAGGCCCATTGGTCGACGATCCCATCCATCGCCATCTGTACGCTCTCATTATCGATATCTAGGTCCACTATTCCCAACCACACGCAAGCAGCGAACGATGGCGCGCACCAGGCTTTCGTGATCGCCCAATCCTACCTCACGGTGAGAGGACGGTCGAGCTAGGTACCGTTGCATCGCCGCGTATCATCACCAATGGTGCTACGGGCATCTTTCTCTGGCCGGCGTAGGCCGCTTCATCACCCTGCTCAGGCAGAAGGAGAACGCGGAGGTCGTGCAAGCCGAAATTGAAAGCATCCAAGGCAAGTACGGTCGCGGACCCAGCAGCCCAAGCTTCCCAAACACCCATGTCCGTTCACGGCATCGTTACTGGCACAGCGTGGTGTGTGGACAAGGGCGAGGAGGACTCGGAGGGCCGGCCGTACATAAGCGGCTTAGCGTTCACTTGGTCCGCGTTGCCAGCCGATTCGGGCTTTGGGACGGCGGTGGGTTGTTCAAGCATAGCTCATACATACCGGACTGACCACAATTATTGCAGATATGACGAGGGGATATCCATCATCGACGTCACAAAGCCTGAGTCTCCTGCCTACTGTTTCATCAGGTCAGAACGACGGTGTCGTCCCATCGACGCGCAAGAGTATATGTCCGCCTACGGTCACGCTCCCACAGACGAGCGGAAATTGGAACGCGCTCTACAGATCCTGGCAGATATTCCTCTGGTGACACAGGACATGCTCAACGAGGCGTGGCCAGAGCAGGACCGGAATGAAACCGCGGATACCAACCCTGCTGATGTCGAAGTAGTCGCCACGACTGCGGATGCCGATGAGCCTCAAGTCACGGCGGACGCCCTCATTCCTCTCTCGTTCAGATGTCGTTGGTACCCGCGCTGGACCAGGCTATATCGACTGGCGACACGAGCATGATCGAAAGACTGTTGTCGCAGCTTGACAAGGATCACCAGATTCGTTCGTACCTACGAATCAGAAGCCTTTCCCAAGCAGCGCAGTCTCCTTGCTCGAAGCCTGTTGCTCAATGACGTGCAAGCCGAAGCCGTGGATCTTTCTGGCTTCCATCTGTCTACCGACCAGCTTCTCCAGATCCTGTCCTCCTGCAAGGAGCCAGTGTGCTCCCTGAACCTTTCATTCAATGAATGCATCACATCGGAAACCGTGGCGCAGCTGCTCACGACATCACCATCCCTACGTCGACTCGTTCTCATCGGCTGTACGTCGATCAAGGAGGCCGATCTCTTCGATCTGCTGCGAAACGAGTCCAAGCTGTTCTACAAGCTCGACACTCTCTTGCACCCTTCCTTGCTTGAAATATCCGAGCCTCCGCGCTGGCCCGTGGCCTTCACCTTCGCATCCACATCGCATGCTACGACGGCGCCCAGAATACGCGGCTGCTGCTTGCCTGTCTTCACTCCGACAAGCATTGTGCAGTCTCTTCTTGACTTCGCAGAGGTCATCGCGCAGTCTCCCGCGGCGTTCTTCGCGTCCGACGGCGGCATGGTGGCTCAGGCGGCGTTCACCGCAACGCGGAAACCAGGACAGCCGTTCTCCGAGAGAAGCCTCGCGGCGGCGCCCCTCTTCGGCCTGAAAGCTTTGGCCAAGGGCTCGCACCCCAGCTGGGTATGCATGTATCAATGGGGCCAACTGGAGACCCCGACTGGATGCCAGTACACCTTCAACAGATACAGGAACATCGAGAACATTGACGAAGAAGACGGAGGAGGCACCGATGAAGACCGCCGGCGACCGTCAGTCGAACGCTTCGACCTGCAAGGTTTTCTGGCTGCGCTCGAGAGCGAAGGTCGGCCATCCGTCCGGACGAGTTGGTCGCTAAACTTTCGCAGTTTCTACTGTCCAAGGAAGAGTCCGAGAGACGCACCTCTGAAGCGTCGCGAGCGAGACCTACGTCTTTCATCCCGACGCTACCTGCGAGTGAGGCTGACTTGCAGCAAATGTATAGAGAGATGCAGCAGAGGGAACAAGAGATACAGCAGATGGAACTGCAAAGAATCCGGAATCGAGATAACAAGACAGCCATGTTCATGCCGGGCTATTATATCAGGCAGTTCATGCAGACTGTGGCTACACACGACGCGGAGTATAGGCTTTTTGGCTATTGGGGAGATTCGGAAAAGTGAGGTTGTCGTTGGGTTGTCGTGTAGGCCATAGACGTCTTGCCGGCGAAGAACCGCCATGTACATGCCAGTGATGTATAGTAAGGGTTTCTACAGGTGCAATGTCAACGTTCGTTTGGTCCCTGCGGCAAAAGGCCTGGCCATGGCGACTCGCCCCCGTTTCGACTGTCACGGTCTCGACTGTCTGCATCTAGTGATTGTTTAGTGACGTATGACTATACTGGTGCACGTGTACCACGCGGTACGTACCATTGTGCACCCAAGCCGTCCCAAATGTTTCCTCGACGATAAAAGGCTCTCGCAGGTCCGAGCAGTAGGGCCAGCAGTCGACTTCCCGCTCCATCATATTCCGTAGGTGGGTTGCTCTTTGATAGTTCCACCGCTCGTAGCTAAATTGCTGCCTACACGCGAACAGTCTCCAACATGGGACGAAGACACCAGGCTTTCGTGATCGCGCGAGTCGTACCTCACGGTGCCAAGGATGCCAGTGGTCGATCCAAGTACCGTTGTATCGCAGCATATCATCACCAACAGTGCCACGGACGCCTGGCATTGCAAGGCCTAAGTCGCTTCGTCACCCTACTCAAACAGAAAGAGAATGCCGAGGTAGTCAGAGCTGAGATCCAGAGTATCCAAGGCAAGTACGGTCGATGGACCCAGGAACCCGAGCTGCCCGATGTCCCATGTCCATTCACGGGGTCATTGCTGGGTATGGCGTGGTCCGTAGACAAGGGTGAAGAGGACCCAGAGAGGCCACCGTACATGAGTGGCGTGACGTTTGCCTGGTCAGTGTTGCCAGCCGATAGCGGGCCAAGCTGGGACCGCCGTGAGTCATTCGAACATAGTTCATATGAGACGAAACTGAACACTCTCCGCTGCAGGGGAAGACGACGGAATATCCATCATAGACGTAACAGAGCCTGAGTCCCCCGCCTATTGTCTCATTCGGGCAGAAGGGCGCCGGCATCCTGTCGACGCGCAAGGTTATTTGCGCTACTACAATCACGAGAGAAACTCGGGTATCCTTCCGCATACCTTGGACGACATCCCACTGGTGACACAGGACGTGCTCGACGAGGTATGGCCAATACAGGACAAGGAGCAAGGCATGGACGCCAAATCTACGGAGACCGAAGAGGGCTGCACACCTGCGGATGCCGGGGACCCTGAAGCCTCCATGGTGGACGCCCTCATACCCTCCCTCGCTCAGATGTTATTGAGGCCCGCACTGGACCAGGCTATGTCCAGTGGATATACGAGTAACATCGAGAGATTGTTGTCGCAGCCCGAGAAGGCTCACCAGATCCGTTCATATCTTCGACACCAGAAACCCATCCCGAGCAATGCAGTCTCTCTGCTGGAAGCCTTGTTAGCCGATGAACAAGGTGAAGCAGTAGATCTGTCTGGCTTCGACCTGTCCACGAACCAACTTCTTCAAGTTCTGTCCTCTCGCAAGGGCGCAGTACAAGCTCTCAACCTTTCGTTCAATGAGTGCATCACATCGGAATCCATATCACATCTACTCACGACCTTTCCAACCCTGCGCCGACTCGTCCTCATCGGCTGCCAGTCAATCAAGGAGGCTGATCTCTTCGATCTCCTACGGAACAAGCCCAAACTGTTTTACAATCTGGATACCCTCCTGCATCCTTCCTTGCTCGATGTCTATGAGCCCCCGCGCTGGCCCGTCGCCTTTACCTTTGTGTGCACATCGCTAGCCACCATGGCGCCGAGGATGCGCGGCTGCTGCTTGCCTGTCTTCACTCCGACGAGTTTATTGCAGTCTCTCCTCGACTTGGTGGAGATCGCCGCGCGGTGTCCCCCAGTGTACGTCTCGTCCGATGGTGGAGTGGCAGCTCAGGCAGTGTTCACCGCAACGCGGAAACCGGGGCAGCCGTTCTCTGAGAGAACCCTTGCGGCTGCACCCCTGTTCGGCTTGGATGCCTTTAACGCCCTAGGCTCGCACCCGAGGTGGACATGTATCTATCAATGGGGCGACCTGTTAGATGCGACGGGCTGCCAGTATACCTTCATCAGGTATAGGAGCATTGACGACATTGTCAACAAAGACGGAGACACGAAGGCACAACGTACCGATGAAGATCAATCACCAGTCAAATGTTACGACCTGCCTGGCTTTCTGGCTGCACTCCAGACCGAAGGGCGCCCGCCCGCCCCCGACAATCTGGTTGCTAAGCTGTCCCAGTTCTTACTGTCCAAGGAGGAATCCGAAAGACGCAGCGCTGAAGCGCCAAGGCAGACACGGGTGCCCGTACCAAATCTTGTAGGCACTCCGGAAGAACGAATGTTGCAGATGTATGCCCAGGGGCTAGAGACGGAACGGCAAATGCTCCACATTCGAGAGGACAAGACGGTTGCATTCATGTCTGACGATGAAGTCAAGCGAATCATGGGAACTATGGCTATATCTGACATGGAGTATAGGCTTTTCGGCAATTGGGGAGATTCGAAGTGAGGGTATCATCTATGCCATGTACTTACACATACGGCGATGAGAATCGTGTTGTACAATAGGTCTCAGCAAGTGTAATGCTAGTGATCGCTCCGGGAAAACTACTTACATCATGATACAAAGTCACCAGAGCGCTCATGAACTACACTCATAGTCCATCGACATCGTCGTCTATCATGACCTTCATCCTCCAACCGTGATCATCATCATCGGGCTCCTCGATCGCCCACACGATGTCTTCGTCGTCATCAGCAATACGCTGTGTATGTGTATGTTCCTCAGGTTTGCTCGACGGATCCTCCATTAGGCCATCGATGTCCACTTCCTCGTCTTCGGCCTTCTGCTTGCGAAGGGCAATCTCACTTTCGTCTTCCTATCGTACAAACGGCTTTGGTTACGTATGCTCGCATCCACGGGCGTGAGAATGGACATACGATGTCAAACTCATCCTCCTTCTCTTCATACTCCACGTTCTCATCGACTTCTTCAAACCGCCTGCGAATGCGCCCCACCGTCTGGGGTAGGACAATGCCACACAAGGATGTTTCCGACATTGGTAGTGATACAATGGCGGCTTTCTTGGGATGCCACTGAATTCCGCCGTCAATATCGGGACGGCGAGCTGAACTGACACGTGTACTACTTACGTGGACATGAAGCAACGGTTCTGGTCCGCCATCGAGAGCCGTCGCAAATGACCCTCGTTTGCAAGGTCCCATATGTAGATCTTGTGCGACGCATTATCAGCCGCGCCTACATGCTTTCGTCAGATTACCACCGTCAGTCACACGACGGATATCTCACCTCCTGCTAACCATTCGCCATCGGGGCTGTAAGCCATAGCATGCCATGCATTCTTGTTAATGGGATCATTGAAACGGTATGTTGGCTCGAGCTCTTGTTCGATATACTCGCCTTCAGCGGCCGAGGCAGTGTACACGGGCAAGCTGAATTGCTTAAACACGATCAGATGAGTTGGTGACTAACCGTCTACGGAATGATTTCAGCCGTACATTCATCTGCATAGCGACTGACCTACCGACCACCTTTGGCGAAGTCCAGACCCCTGATGATGCCTGCTCCTGAGACTTTATGCCTTGCGATCATCTACGTAGAATGTGATGACCGAGATCAGCGTACTGCATGATGCACTGCACGGAAGAGAACCTACAGTTTTCGTCCGCGTGTTGAATACCAGGACAGAACCCGCAGAGGTGCCGGCGAAGACATACCGGCCTGTGGGGTCGAAGCGCACAACAGTCATCGCCGACCTAACGATAACTTTAGTATTCACAACGACCCCAAGTGATCGGTATCGCGCGCACCGTGCTCTGCTTCCCTGTCCTTCATCTTCGCTCCCCTCTTGGATTTCACATAACTCTACGCGACTGCGATATTGTTTCCGCAGGTCGACAAGGTACGCATCGCCAGGACTGAGCAGAACCACTACTATCTGACTGGCCACATGATTAGCGACTTTGCATACGTGACACTCATCCATAGCTCACCTGTTTCGCGGGTGGAACGAAGCAGACACGACGGGTGCGTCGAATCTAACAGTAGCTCGCCTGCGTATGGGGTCTGTATCCGACGCAAGGTCCCATATAATCACATTCCAGTCTTTCGACGAGGTCAGTACATATCGCGAGTTACGTGACCAGCTGGACAGAGCCTTGTGAGACTCACAACTCGAAGCACGAATTCGCGGCCACGCACTCGACGCTTGTCACAGCCTTGACATGTCCCTCCAGCCAGCGAATTGGTGCCTTCGTGTCTAGGTCCCAGATAACTGCTGACCCATCTGGCCTTCCGCCTGCTACATAGTAGCCCGAAGGGTCGAATTTTGCGAAGGAGGCACCAGAGTTCAGAGAGGTTTGGACGGCAGTGGGATAGCTGATTGTAAACGGATCTGCAGGGAAATATATGAATATGCAAACGAGGTGAGCCTATAATCCGCATACCTGAAAGTATCCCATTCATCGTATTGACGCAGCTGCCCTAACAAATGAATACGACAACGGCGGAGACAAGGCGGAGGAGACTGAGACGGAGCTGTGAAGTATAGATGGGCGTCTACGCGTCGCGCCCACGAGCGCCAGACGTTTTCACGCGCCTCAGGCGGCGGCTGGGCGCAAATATTGTCAGATCTGCGTCTTGTCTGCGTCCATCCATCTCTTCAAACTCAGAACATGGAAAGCTCAGTCGCCTTACATCAAAAGCTCGACATCCCCTCCGAATTCCGGAATTACAACACAATAACTGAAAGCGATGTCATAGTTCGGCTGGAGGAGTGGCGGCGGCAAGCCCACAAGGTGCTCGGAGAGCTGTATGAGCAGCTGAAGCAGCGGGAATCTCTATCACGGAGTGAGAAGGCTGAGATAATTGCGGCGGTCGCTCCATTTGATGGTGAAGGATCGTGGTCTCTGGAGATCTCACGGGTGCAAGCGCAAGGTACACAGTGTATCCACCGACTCTGTATCAACTGCACTGACAATGATACCAGAGATATTGCGCCCGTACTCGGAACCAGAGGTTGCACTATTGAAGTGCTTCTAGTTCAACATGTCAAGCCGACATTCCAAGCCAGTCCGCATCCGATGCTGAACACAGCGACTGGGCGGACCCTGCCTAGGGCAGCGGGAGGGCCTGATGCCGTATTGGATCATTTTGATGGTCAGACTTGGAAGGATCGTCCGGGGATGATCGACCTACTAGCCTGGTGTGTGCGGCATTGCGAGGTGAGGCTGGAAAGTTGCCCGCTGACTTTCATGAACTCAAATTATATGGCTTCAGAGCGTTGCATACGAGAAGTTATGGCACCTCCTCATCCCACCAGTGATGACACTACTAGACGACTACGAAACTTTCTACAGGCTACGTGGAGTCAATGTCGCGTCGGACATGATCCAGCGGGTCCCAGCAGATCTCCTTCGCCGCACTGGCGTGGACGGTCTTCTCTTCACGGTGTGCTGTTCCTAACAATCAGCATCAATGAGGGGGCTCACAACGTCCTTCCAGTCACTTAAAAAATGCCTCGCATTCCTTCAGAATCCCGAGACATCTGAGCTAATCCGCGCCGCCGTGCCAACATCCGTTTCTCTCGTGCTCCACACCACACCGCCCGGCTCCGCTAAGCGATTCGATCAGCTATGCGAGGTTCTCGGCGATGGCATCATTGGCAGCATCTGGTTCTACGCCATGCACGAGCAGGACGCGATCGAGGCTACCATAGACGTCCTGCCGGCATCGTGCACGCGCTGGGTATCGGCACCGCACGGTATCTGAAGGTCAGTCTCCCTTCGTGCGACGATTCTCCTGCCGTTAACCTTTTCGCTCGCTACCTGCGCACGGGCACCCCGGACCTAGGCGATCGTCCCGCAGCTCGTGTTCCCGCTCATGCCCGTGCCTGAGAACGCGGCTCACCCGCGGCTCCAGCTGAGCTCCCTTCGTGCGCTTGCGGTAGTCATCAGGACGTGCGCACCGCGCATGCACAAATGGAAGGGTCAGATCCTGGAAGGCACCCTGAAATGCTGGGTAGCATCGGTTGACAAAGGTAGCGATGATGATCGTGAGTGCTACGCTTGTCAATCCGGGTTAGCTTGCCTGAGCACCGAGATCCGGTAGCGACAAGGATGCTACGGGGTGCGATCAAGGAGGTGTGCGACGCATTGGTCGTTGCATGTCCGTCGGTGATAGAGGCGAGTTCTCATGCCTCCTCGTCATCGAAAGCTCCGAACCTTACATACCAACTAGGTCGAGTACGCCCGGTTACTACAGGCTGACCGACAAATGTTTGAGCCCCTCGTTGAGACGTCTGTCAAGGCATGAACAAGATACTGCGAAGGTTCGGCGTTCATCCAACGGGTGGTAGAGCGCAACCTCGGCGAATCAATCTGACAGGCCCGTCCAGCCTTTCAAGCTTGATATCCGAGGATTGTCCCGCACCAGACCGACTACACCAGTTGGCTACTGTTGCTACCGTTGCTCACCGCCGCTATGCCATTGGTGTAGGTTGCTGTGGTACTGTACCGGGAACGGTGGATGACTGTAGCCTGTGCAGCGGCGGACCAACGGGCCACCAAGAGGGGAGGGGGTGCCGTAACTGACATGGAAATCAGGTGAGAGTGTACAGGGAGCGGTGCGTCAGAATCCAAGAAGCACGCAAAGGCCAGACCTTTGTCTATCGCAGAGCTTCTCGACGTCTATACATTGTGGCGTATTCCCAGAAGCTTAGCAATCTACCAGACGACTGGACGTGGTCCGACGGAGGGTAGACTAGGATGGTAAGTAGGGGAGCGAGTATGCCTCTCAAACCTTCGTCGAGAGTCACAGACAGTTCAATTGCACGTATTTGCGTATTTCGAGAGAGCGCCGTCGACTCAGAGACTCAGATGACCGTACAGTACTGTATTACTCCACTTCGAGGACCCTCGCTCTGGTGGGATTCCACCCCGGTCCACGCACCTGCTTCCAGTCCGCTTCCCCGGAGTCACTTATACGAGGGCCTTCGATCCGAGATGTCAAACTGCGGAAACCGTGTATGCATGCCAAAACAAGGTTCCTTTGTCCGCTTGCGCGCCGACTTCGGACGTCCGGACGTGCTAGCCAGGCTAAGGCTTATAGGCTGCTAAGCCAGCCTCGGGTCACGGGGTAGACGCAGTGCTACTACATGGACCACACTTTAGTCCATACGATGCCCGCAGTGACGTTGGCCCGAGATGCCCTTGCGCAAATCAATTCCCTGCAAGCCTGGCCACAGCGCGACCAGCCGAGCGCACCTGCAGCGGGCGATGTTACGACACGGAGGACGGAGACGAAGCTTGCAGGCGTGGCTGCATGGGCGCCTGTGGACAGCGCCGGGGCGACCCGGAGCCCGCCCTGCCACATCGGGGGAGCCTGTGAGCGGTGCCGATCCGGACCGGGGGTAGCCGAGGGTGGCTAAATGAGTGATTGCAGGAGTTGCATCCGCTGAAAGCTGCACGCTCTCTTGTGGCGGTACATCTCCCCTCTCCCCACCATCTCCTCCCCCGCCCCCGCATCCCAACATGAGCGTGTCCGTCGACGACCTCGTAGCCTCGTTCAACTCAAATCACATCGGCCAGGAGGCCATCGACCTTGCCAATCTGCAGGTATGTCTCACATCTGAGCGTAACATGGAAGCACGCCTCTGAGCAGGATTGTCCAGGCACAACTCGCGCAGGCTCTCCGAAACCAAATGTCCTCGAGCGCACAGCCCATTCAGCGGCGCGCGTATGCGCCGTCCAACACACCTCTCGCGCGCACACCGTCGTCCAGCATGTGCTGGGAGCCCAGCGACTTCGCGCGCGGGCGAAGTTCCAGTCCGCAAGTGGTACCCAACTGCGGGTGGTCGATGAAAACAACAAGATGTGGACGCGATGGATGAGGACGAGCGCATGGTAGAGGATATGCTCTTCACCTCCCCCGCAAACAACAGCTTCGCCCACTCCCACCTATCTTCCTCACCCGCAACATACTCTGGGATGCTCTCGCGGCGGCCGAGCGTGCCGCACGTATCAAGCGCGCTCGATATGGCTCCAACTGAGCTGCCAACGCCCAACACGTCGCACTTCACAACGACAGACCCGTTCTTCATGGCCCAGGTGCAAGCTACCCAGGCACCGACTCAGTCGTTTTTCGCGCACGCAGGGCGCCCCTCCGCGCACTCTCCGTTCATCCTCCAGTCGAGCTTCAGCCAACACGCCCACCACCCTGTCGCGTCCGAGGTTGACCCGGCGCACATGTTCGCGTCCCCACCAGCTGCATTCAGCTGCTAATCGGGTCCGGGGTTATCTCTAACCTCTACTGTGCCAAGCCTCGCCCTTGTGCAGTCCCAGGGGCCTTCGCTCCTCTCGCCATATATCGCATGACGCCGCATTGTCTACGCATTAAATCCTGATACCACCTGACACAACACCAACATCATCGTCCCCTTGCATCCAGACCCCCGCAATTCCTCGTTTACGGGATATGCCTGGCTGTACATTACGATCTTATCAACACGCGCATACGGTGTCGCCGCCTTCACCGCCTCCGCTTCCGGTCCGGTCCTGGACGATGACTTACCTTAGCGACAAAACTACATGGACTCGTGTATCATCGCCGCGATCTTCATATTTATCTTCTCCCCGCTCTGTCATCTCTACACATCCGCCGTTACATTCTAGATACTGTACTCCTCAGCTACGTCCCCATCTTCTGTGCAGTATAATTGTTGTGTTTCTCGTTATGGGCGTTTGCTGGCGGATTCCGTGATGTGCTTATAAGAATAATGTGTACTATCTCCTGTTCTCCGTGGTAACCGCTGCAACCCGTGCGATGACGCAGTGCGCTGACGGATTTTACATATGAACAGGTAGGCCCTCATAGGCTTTCGTGCATGCTCACAATATTGCTTCAGAGACGATGCATCTCCTCGCGGACTGCACGCGCCGTCCGTACTCAGCATTGCTCATGTCTAGGCCTGGTATGCATATGGGAGCATCTACGCGAGCGGTTCGCACCGTGTACCGAGAGCAGATAAAGGCGCAGAAGATGCGGGGTAACGTGCAGCCCGGCCAGAACTCGAACAGGTGGCTTCCAGACTCCCTATCCTATATTCTATCACTGCAATGCCATTTACGTCAGGGAAGATAAGCCTGCGAAGCTCGCACAGAGGGTCCTCATATGGGGACTCGGGTATGCAAATGCTTGTGGGCAGACCACCTTGATCCCTGCACCCGTCCCTTCTCTCAGCTGCTGGACCGCGATGGCTACGCCGGGTTTCTCGATATTTGGAGTAGAGGCAGATTGGAAAGTGGTGGGAGCTTGTATGGTGGCCGGTATAGCGGTCGCCGCGTTGTGTCTTGCAGGATCGGTGTACCGGTCCTGCGTTGATCAGTCTGATCATCGCAAGCGGGACGGAGGGGAGACGGTCGGCAAGAACGGAAGGGGACCGCGAGCCAGGATCGCGAACCCGGAGGTGAGTCTAGTGAAGCGTGAGCTTACTCAGAAGGGATAACATTGTATAGAATGGCCGCCAGTCGCGTTCGACTACCCGTCCGTTGATCCGTTCAAGATGATATAATGAATGTAAAGCCCATACCCTACCGGCCCTTCAAATGGGGTGAATACCAGTACGCCGATCCTTCACGATCGTACCTCATACATGCTACCTACTCCCACTGCAGTGTCACGATGGGCATCCGGAGCATGCCCTGGGATGAGTGGGTCGAGGTACGTTCCGTCCTGATCTGCGCCGCCCGCCTCAAGCTGAGCCTAGGCCCTTCTCCCTTTCATTGCCCGACCTCCACAACCCCGGACTTCCGTGCCTTAGCTGATCAGCAATTCTACGAATACCACAAGATCACCGAGTTCCGCATCCGGACGCGCCCCAATCGTGTGATCATGTACCATCCTCCCCAGGCTGGGATTGTCGGCTCCGCCCGGCCTGCAGGTGCGTCTCTTCGTCGTACCCCGAAGTGGCGGAACGCACATTGACGTCGCGCTCCTGTGAATGCTTGATAGCGGAGGAACTGATCCAGGAGCTTGCCGAGTTCCTCGTCCGAAGGTACCCCGCTTTGTACTCTATCGCCCGGTATGAGAAGGGTGAGCGGGGCACGGGTGGGTGGCACGGAGCGGGTCAAGTCAAGACGATCACGATTGTACCGCTTCAGGTCACGTACGATCTTGGACCGAGGATCCTTGAAGGTGGCGAATCTGCTGTTGGTGCTACCTCGTTGCGTAAGGACGTGATAGGCTGAATGACAGATTGTAGAGTGCAGGAGGATTGGGCGATCATGTTGGAGGGTGCGTTCGAGGCTGGTTTCACATGTTGGTCAACAATTGACCACAGTCCTATTTTCTACAGGCACTGATGGGCGGTATTGGCTACAGGCCGGTGCTGTTTGCAAGCCCGGTACGTCTTGATGATGCGAGGCCAATCCGTTGAATATAGTCAGGCTAATCAAGCTGAACGCGCTTAGGATTCTGGAGACTCCAGGACAAGCTTGGTATGCCCCTGGAAGAAATTCACTTGTCCGGGAACGTACCACAGTGTGAGTATTGCGCTTCTCGTCACCTGACCTTCAATTACCCTCTGTTGCCCAGACAAGAGCAAGCTGCATCTCAGTATGGCCCGGTTCTTCCGCCGCATGGCCGTGGACAAACCCGTCACCCGCAACAATTATTTCTTCCAAGTCGTCAAGCAACCAGAGCTACAATCGCAAGATGAGCCCGCGGTGCACGTCGACCCGACGGAAATCTCCTGGTCGCGCACGATGCATGGCTTCGAAGACAAGAAAGACTTCGAGCGCGCGGCGCTGATCCGCGAGGAGAAGGAAACTGTGACAGAGAACGTCGCCGAGCACCAGTCTACAGAACCGCTCGACCCGACGACGGTCTTTCTGCGGACGGAAAGGCAGACGCTGCGCAGACTGCCCAAGACGGGCGCGATCGTCTTCACGATTCGCGTCTACCAAACGCGGGTGACTGACCTGGCCAAGGAGCCGGGTGTACCTGGGCGGCTGGCAAGCTCGATAAGAGGCTGGTCGGAGGACGTGGCGCAGTGCGTGCATTGGATGATCATTCGTCCTGCGATTTGTCTGACAGGATACTATATCTGCAGATACAAGGATCTGTTCGCGTACAAAGATATATTGCAGTATCTCGACGCGCAGCATGCAGATCAGCTGGAGAAAGGACTCACCAGTCCGGAGGCCCGCAGCTCTGCGTATCCATTCTGATGGCCATCTGCCACAGCTTCACATTCGCCGATTATCCATTTGTGCAAGGTTGTATAGATGGAGTCTCGGCGGGGTATACTGCATAACCAACTTGAAATGTACAAGCATTGTACTTCTGTAGGACAGACCTGTCATCCATCATTACTGTACAGTGTATGTACATCTTACCGGCATCTGTACGCGCCTTTGTATTTGAATAGCGTCCAAATAACGTCACTGAAAGAACGACGCCGCTACTTATACAGACGCCCCACAGAGATTGATGCGATCGACCCGGAGGTCCGCCGCGGTATCTCCGTCCCGCCGGTGGGCCTTCTTGAATTCCTCGCGCGAGTTTCCTTCGCGGCCCTGCCGCCCAGAGACTGAGTCATCTCTGTAGATAACCAGAAAAACAGGGATGCCTCCATCGTGCCCTCCTCACCACTGAATTTCCGGAACCCTGTTGGTCCCGGTCAATCTGAACGCACCACTCGCATAATGTTCCCCCTCTTTCGTTTCGATGCCCTTCCGATCGCTGTTGCCCTGCTAGCGCTGGTAGGACTCGGTGTATACAAGTTGAGACAACGATCCTCGCGCGTCCATTCGCCGAATCGCGGTCAAGCAGGTGTTGGAAAGGCCCGTACGCAGGACAGGGAACCCGGAGGTGAGGGCGAGCCGACTGTTATGTTCTGTCTCGCTGAAAACGTTCCCTACGCAGTATGGGAACCTGCAGTGTTTGATTACCCTCAGGTCGAGCCATGCACCGATGACCTGAACACGATCAAGCCGATCCCATATCGGCCCTTCCGATGGGGAGAATACCAGTACGCTCCAGTTCTAGTAGATGTGTTCCTGTATCAGGGAAGCTGAGAGCCTTCATCGATATCAGTGTCACATGGGCATAAGAACATGTCCTGGAACGAATGGATAGAGATCGACCAGAACTTCGTGGCTCACCACCGGTTGAGGGAGCATCGCATTCGTACGCGCGGCGAGCGGGTGGTCAGAGTACACGATGCCCAGCCTGGGGTGGTTAGTTCAGGCCGCGATGCAGGTACGCTGCGCGGTGCGTGGTCCTCGTCAAGCACTTACACTGCAGTCATGCGGCAGCTCGCGAACTCGTCTACGAGCTCGCCGAGTATTGTCAAGACGATACCCGAATTTTTACCATGTCACACGAAGGGCACGAGCGAAAGGGCGGCTTTAGTTGGTACGGCGAAGGCCAGATCCAAACGATCACAGTCGTGCCGCTGCAAGTCACATACGATCTGGAGAAAGAGGACGCGATGACACTTTCCGCCCTGCTGTAGTATGGGTAATGCTTGATTGCCCGTACCACCCACCACCGATCTGACACCACACTCAGAATCCAAGAGGATCTGGCATCATGATCGAAGGTTCGCGCTGAGTCTGCTACATAGGGGACATCGACATGACACCTCCCACAGGCAGCGACGGTCGGTATTACTTGCAGCAGGAGCGATCATCATCCCTGGTAGGCTCGCCCCTTCCTAGCATAAAGCCCTCGCCTGATCACCCTTGAAGGGTCCTGGAGGCTGAGCGACAAGATCGGGATGCCGCTAGACGAGATTCACGTCACCGGGCACGTCCCACAGTGTAAGTCAACCACACCACTGCAACCGCACCTCTCACCACGTCGCCTCGCCTACAGACCAAAGCAAGCTGCACCTCAGCATGTCGCGCTTCTTCCGGCGGCTCGCGCTCGACAAGCCCGTCGTCCGGAACAACTACTCCTTCCAGCTCGTCGGCCTCCCCCCCTGCCCGGACCCCGAGGTCGTGCTCGACCCGACGGAGCTCGCGTGGTGCCGCACGGTCCACGGCGACGAGGACCGCGACGACTTCGAGCGGCGGCAGAGCTCCGTCGCGCCCCCCGCGGAGGCGGCGGGCACCGCGCCCGTGACCCACGCGAGGTGTACCTGCGGTCGGAGAGGCAGACGTTGAGGCGGCTCCCGCGGACGGGTGCGATCGCGTTCACGATCCGGGTGTACCAGACCCCGGTGGTGGACCTGCGAGGAGCCGGGCGTGCCGGGGAGGCTGGCGAGCGCGGCGAGGGGGTGGTCGGAGGACGTTGCGCAGTGCGTGTTATTTGCCTTTGGTGCGGAGCTTGCGGGGGTGCTGATGGTTGGGTGATGCTCGCAGGTATAAGGGATTGAGAGGTATAAGGACGTCTTGCCGTACCTGGATGAGCGCCATAAAGAGCAGGTGGAGGCGGGACTTGTCAGGAAGACGAGCGTCGTCTTCCTACCCGTTCTAACGACGACGAACGTAGTTTATCTTTCAGTTTATTGACGCACGGTGTTTTCAAACGTACGCTGACCGCACCGGTACATCCCGATGAGTCAATGAATGTTTAGGTTAGTTTTGACGTCACAAGCACGACCAACAGAATCGAACGTTTAAACCTCGGCCTTCTTCAGGGCCTGCGTAGCTTTGCCGTAAGCGTAAGATGCGCAGCATGATAAGCTTTACTTACGCGTACGGAAGCTCGTCAATTGAGCTTACATGCAGCTCGGAGAGTCCACTTCAGTTGCGTAACGAAACGGACGACCTGTACATGATCGCATTGAATCTCCATTCATCTACCCAGTCGGGTATTTGCCCGAGACTAGAATGCGATGACGACATGGCAGCGCATGGCTATGGTCGAGGACGAACCCGGAACCGTTGCATGGATGTGTGCAATAGCGGCACGACGCCGTAAGACGATACGCGGTGGAAGGTTGAATGGGACCTCGACGTCTGCAGCCGGCGGGAGTGAGACTGCGAGGGGAATGGAATATCCTTCGGCGCACCTTGCGTGTTCTCCGCCATCGATTTATTTAGTACTTTCAAAAAGACGTTGCGAGGCAACGACCAAAGTTAAAGCTAAGAATAGCCTTCCAGACCCTGTGAGACACCTGCCGCGGGGCGGAGAACGGTGGTCAGTGGGAGGCGGTAGAGACACCGCTGTATTGAGACCACAGATAGCTATCATTTCAATGCGGTCGTCGCCGCGAATGTCAACGAATATGTGATTAGAAGGTTCGGAGCAAGGACGCACCATTCAACTGTGGCAAGATGCAGAGCCGGCGATTGTCATTGCACGAGCGGAATGTGATCCTCGAGGCGATAGGCACACTGCGGCACTGCTGCCGGGACATGGAAGACTGAGGGTCGCATAGGAATTGTGACGGGCATCTGTCAGATAGAGCGGTATTGGCATGTTCCGCGGGAAGGATGGTATGGAGGCACGGTGTCCACGGCGAGCGATGGTTGCGTCGACTGCACATTCATGTAAGCTGCTAGATGAAGAACGTGCCGAGCAACCGGGAGAGACTGGTTCTGGCTGCGGCTAGACACTAGCGCAGGCTGCCAGTAGCGTTTGTGGAGCAGACGATACATCGACTATCTTGCAGAATCCCAGCATCCCCAGGCTACCCCAGAAGAAGCATGGGGAAACCATGTCGACAAGGCCGTTCTCCGCAGCGTCAGTTCGCGAAAGGACGCTAAATCGAGGATAGCCCTGCACGTTGCGGCCTCGATAATATGTGAGAGCGAGCGGGGCCTTTCACAGATAACAGACGGGCATGTCTCTGAGGAAGGCAAGATACAGGAAACGCACGGCTGTTTTCACACAGGAAGGCGGCCGCGAGGCTTGTTGCGGATTGACCACCGTCCTCCAGGGTTCCATGTACATCATCGGTGGTTGTGCTTACCGTCGCTCCCGGGAGCGAAGAGTCCGGTTTCGCCATGCACTTGCACTTTTCCGCGCAAATGCTCCCAGGAGTCCCATCATGTCGTCCTCGAATGGTGCACATGCGATCACGTGACCGTATAGCGACGTCCAGCGGTTCGCATCAGGGCGGCGGAAGTGCGTCTTCGTCTCGCACAATGAGTGCGAGATCCACACACAGCATGCTCGTCATCGCTAGCGCTCGCCTTTCCTTGAAACGAGACGCAATGCACATCAAAGCTTTCTGATAGTGACGCTATTCCGGTCCATACAGCGAAGAGCGGGTATCGCGCGCGGACGGCCACGTTCGTGAAGATAGCTGTGGTAAGGCCTGATCCAGGATGGCTTCCCAGATCTTCCCTTAGAACTGTTGCGAACAGGCAGATTGTGGTGCTGATTGTGAAGCGACGAGGGTCAGACAGGCCGGAACAAGAGGGCGACATTTTAGTGCGATGCGATAGCGCGAAGTGTGCTCGGCATGTCGGGAGACGTAGCGGCGGACTGTGGAGGAGATAGGCCTGTGCGCGACCCTTGCCACGCGCAGGCGCAGGTGGGAGTCGGAGTCGGGCAGCGGGCGAAGGGGACGAATATTTCCGGACGATGAGGCTGGGACGAAGCTGAGGCTGGACGAGACTGCGCGGGTGGCTGAGCACGGGCGGCTAGCAGTAGCCCGGGCGGACGCGCTGTGCAGCCACCGCACGCCTTTTGCACCACACTTCCTCCTCCTCCTCCCCGGCTGTGCTCCTCTCCATGCCGAAACCCACCATCATCCAAGCCCTGCTAGGCCGTCCGTCTCAGCATTATTCCCTTCCCCAGCAGAAGAACTACCACTACACAAAGCACGAGCTTATCCGTGCCGCCACCGAAGATCGACATGGGAGTGAGGCCGGCCCTTCTCACAGACCATACAGCGCTTCTCCCACACCCGCGTCACCTCCACAACCACGCCCAGCGCCCGCTCATGGCCAGCACGAGCACCGTCGCTCCCCCAAGAGGCGACGCACGTTGAGCCCGCCGAACGTGGCTCGGAGGACGCTTCGGATCCGGAGGTGAGTGTCGGCGCGCCCTGACGCGATCGTACCGGCTAGTTGGCATGGAAAACTGGCTTATCTTATGCCCATTTTATCTTTGATGTTCCTTCCTACTAGTATTTTGCTAGCCGATCCGTTATCCACGAGATCGCGTCGACCGAAGCATCATCACAGAAGCAGAAGGCCGACCGGTACCATGCTGCTGCTCCATCGCCATACTTAAGTCCCGCTGCTACCCAGGTTCCTCAGCTCGGCGCCCTGTCGACCTCACCGTCGGCCTTACCGGCGACACTCTCGACGACGACAGCGAGGTCTATTACACCCCCTCCTCGTCTCTCGCCCCCTCGCCCCAGGCATTGACCGTCGTCGAAGCCATGTTGCTCGAACCTCAAGCACTTGCGACTGCCCTTCTTCCCATTCATGGCCGGCCCAAACTCAAGTCCTCCATAGCGCCCCCGACGCTCTCGCGGGATTCGTCCTTCGACCTGGACCTGGACTTTGCAATAACGCCCGGTCCATTGTCGCGCAATTCCTCAGAGGATGAGCCACCACCGTCGGCAGTAGTCTCCCGGTCCTCTTCAGATTCTTCCCTTCATCTTCTTCCGCTCTATCTGTGTCTCCTCCTGTATCTGACCAAGATGTGCGTCAATCTTTGATTCCGGTGCAACTACTTCCACTCGCATGACTACGCCGTTGGGTTCTACTATGGGGTCGGCCGGCCCGTCAAAGTCGGATGAAGGCCACAGCGAATCTATAACGATTATCTCTGCGTCGCGCAAGGCTCGTGCTTTGAGCATCGATCTCTCTCCAGCTTCTCTCCAGCCTCCGGTCCGTCATGAGCGTCGCCACTCGCAGCCTACGACGTCTCTCCGCACGGACGAGGATTGGGCCAAGGACGTCCGTTGGCTTGTCCCCCCTGGTTCCGCGCCCACCACACCCAGTCGCTCCAAGCCACCACCCAACGCGGACTCGCCCGTTCGCATTGCCCGGCCTCTTCACCCGGATCTCCTCCCTCCTCTTCCGGCAGACGCGCTCCAGATCCCTGCGCCTCACCAACTCGAGCGCCAGGCGTTCCCGGACCTTACCTCCGTCGCGGGCCCGGCCCGTCCACGGCCCATCGTCCCCAAGGAGCAGCGGAACAGCCGACACTCCTCGAACCGGCACTCGAAGACGCGCATGAGCGCGCTCTGGGAGGAGGACGAGAGTGAGTACTCGGACTACGGGCAAGCAGCGCGGATGTCAGTAGGGCGAGTACGCCCGCGCCGACGCCGTTGGGAAGCTACATGGCGTGCGCAGCTCGACGCCGCCGATGGATGGGGTTATGCGGGGATGGGCGCGACGAGCGGGCCCGTCGTCACCTCGGGCGTAGGCGCTGTGGGCCATGGCCCGCTCCACCCAGAGTTCAGGAGCTCGCTGCACCGCCGGCCGTCCATGTCTGAATCGGACCTGCTCGACCGGTTCAAGCGCGAGCCTGAGCCGCCCTCCCGACGGAGTCGCCCGATATGAAGTTTCAGGACTATGCGCGTCGTCGTCGGAACCATCTGCGTTCGGTCTCGCTGTCGAACCCTTCTGCGCCGTCCCTGGGCCAGCAGGTCTCATTCAGCAGCTCGCTGCCTACCCATTCGATCCCGCACCCTTCCCGTGTCCGAACCCGGCCATGGATCTAGCTCGATGGGATACACGAGCCTGACGCTCCCTCGGGCCGCATACACTGGTAAGAGCGGGAAGACTAGCCTCGATGGGCAAGTCGACCTCGTGCGCTCAGGCAAGGCGCAGAGCAGCATGGCCACCATCGAGATCGTGCGCGGGGTCGCCGCGAGCGTGGGCTCCTCGCCGCTGTCCAAGACGCGCCGCCGGCTCTCGCTCAGCGTGGGCCTCGGCAAGAACGGGCGGCGGAACGAGAAGGAGAGCGAGACGCCCGCGCACCTGCGCGCGACGCTCCCGCTGCCCGTCGCGTTCACGGCGCACATACCCCCGCCGAGCTTCGTGTCAACGGACCACATACTGGTGCAGGTCTTCGCGGTCGGCCTGGACGCGCTCGACTCGCTGATCGTGCAGGAGAAGGCGGGGAAGCGCGGGTCGGCGGGCTCGGTGAGGGGGAAGAAGAGGGGGTTCATCCCTGGACGGAGCTTCGTGGGCCGTGTGGCTGAGTGTGGGTTTGATGTTGATAGTGCGGTGTGCAAGAGGGGCGAGTGGGTCGTCGGGCTGTTGGACGTGCGCAAGGTGCGCCTCATTCTGCTCATCTTATCTTCATATTCACTGAGTATCTCTGTGCAGTGCGGTGCGCTTGCGGAGTACGTCGTCATCGAGCGACATCGCATGTGCCGGTGCAAGCAGCCGCGTACGAAAGGCGCGACGCTCTTCCCGCCTCGTCAGCGTACGCGTACGCGTACACTGTCGCTCCCGTCTCAGGGCAACGCATCTGAGCCATCAGCACCACCTCCCGCACCCAACCAGCTCACCCCTCAGGATCTCGCCCTCATCCCGCTCTGTGGCGTCCCCGCTCATCGCGCCGTGCGCTCCTTCGCCGAGGTGATCGCCGCACGGAAGGGCAGGGGCAGTCGCGCACGTATCCTCATCCTTAACGCGCACGATGGCGCAGGCGCGATAGCCCTGCAGATGCTTGCCAAGAAAAAGGTGAACGTGTGCGCCCAGGTCCCCGAGTCGGCCGTGCGGGACATGGATGAGAGTGAGGAGTCGTCGGAGGGGAGCAACTCCGGGGCGTCGCTGACGCGGCGCGAGCGTGTCGAGGCGCGGATCAGGGGCTGGGGCGCCGAGGAGGTCTTCGTCGGCGAGCCGCTTGCCGTGCTGGAGCAGATGTTCGACGAGGAAAAGTCGTTCGACGGGGTCCTGGACACCGTCGGCGGTGTGGAGATCTGGGAGGCGGCGCAGAGGCTGTTGGCGTCGTACCCCTCCATGTCGTGTGCGGTCTCGGACGCGGAGGATGGTGGCGACGAGGGGCGCAAGAGGAAGACCTTCGTCTGCCCCGCGCAGTTCACCACGCTGATCGGCGACATGCCCTCGCGCGCGATCCCAAGTGCAAACGAGAACATCCGTCTCGGGCTGCGTTCCCTGCGTCGTGCGGTCTCGACGAGTCAAGCACCCGCGAAGGGCGGGCGCAAGCGGGCCAAGGTCAAGCGGATGGTTGGGTACGCGTGGGTGAGCGTCGCCGCTGAGGTCGACGAGGGCGAGGACGTGCGGCACTCGCTCGCCACGGCGTTGGAGATGGTCGAGGGCAACAAGGTGCGGCCGTGGGTGGGCGCGGAGGAGGATGAAGACCGGGTCGTCACGTTCGAGCGTGCCCCGGAGGCCTTCAGGCGCGCTGCGGACGGGCCGCGCGGTGTGCTCCAGGATGCGGGCACCTGCGTCGTCAAAATCGGCGCGTGGTCTTGAGCCCTGGGCGAAGACGACAACGACATGACTGATCACCGGTGCAGAGGGCACCCACGTCTTTGCTGATTAATTTACGACTCCTGCTCGCTGTCGGTGCTATGTGGCACGCAGCGGGCTACGTTCTCTTTTTATACACCCTGTCGGGTTGTCTCCATGCATTTACTTTGGTATTTTTCAATGCATCGAGTTGTACCATCCTCCCCCCTGTGGCCTGCCGTATCGTTAGCACTTCACCCCTTTCACTGCACAACCACTATGTTATTACACATGCACGGTAGATAGTGACGACCCATAGACAGTCATAGACGGTTTAGGGACTAGATCATTGGTTCCCAACCTGTAGTTAAGTAGTAGTTTCTCCCGGAATACATTGACAGGATTGACAGAACATGCGCGATGTGAAGGCTAAGTACAACGAAACGTTAAAAGAACTTGCTGAAGTCGTATGTCTCCTCGCCATCCTTCGATGCTGACGGCTGCTTCGCCTTCTTGGATGAGTTGGCGATTTTCTTCATCGCTGCGGCGACGGAGGGCGTCTTCTGCGTTTTAACGGGCTTCGCCTTAGGTGCAGGCTTAACTTTTGCTTGCGCGCGAGTATCCTGCTTCGTTTTAGCAACGGAGGGCTTGGAACCCGCTGCAGACCGCGCTTGCTTGGTACCCTTGGGCTCTGCTGCAAACGCGACCTTCTTGACAGCGCGGGGAGGAGACTTCTGGCCGGCTCGTTTCCGCTTGCCAGGTGCGGGTGCAGGTTCCTCTTCATCGTCTGCATCTTCGTCCGACGCATTTTCTTCATCCTCATCATCTTCCACGTCCTCGCCGGATTCTTCCAGCTCGTCCACCTCATCGTTATCATCGTCCTCATCCTGGTCCTCATCCTGGTCCACGCCGAAGTAAGGTATCTCCAGCGCGACTTCCCTGCTCTCGACTTCACCGGGGCTCATCCTGACCGTGCCCCGGGACTTCCGCATCTCCTTCCTTGTGTCCAGCCGAGACAGGATCTCGTCATTCTTCGCGTACACATCCGCAAAGCTCCCATCCTGAGCGGGGACGGTGGACGGGGCTGACGGAGGTCTCGTGTAGCGCGGGAACTTGCCTGTGCTCCAGTCACGGAGGACAATGCGGGAAGCGACGGCGAGGTCGAGGACGCCGCCCTGTTCGTTCGATACGTCAGCACTTAGAAGACGATATTTAGTTAAGTAGCTGGATCAACACGCACCTTCTTTACTAGCCCGTTCGCACGAGCGACGCCGGCCAAAAACGCGTTTGCATCCCCAGCCGCGAACGCAGGGAGGTTGTAGAAGAGCATGAGATCTTCCTTGTCAGCGCGAGAGACCAGCTCAGCAACTGGGATAGGTCAGTACCGGCGATCAGCTAGATATGTAGGAGCGCACATACCGACTGGTGCTGGGTCCTTGAGCCGCTCTACCTTGCCCCTGTTGCGCTGCAGGATGTCTCGAGCACGGAGGCGCTCGAGCTCGTCTGCGGAAAGCTCGCTCGGTGTTTGCCATGCGAGACCGGGTGTGTCGATGATGCGGACACGCTTGCCCTCCGTCTCTAGGGAGGTCTCTTGAGGGTAAGCGGTCGTTGTGGGGCCATCCTGCGGCGACGAGGTCAGTTTGTAGGTAGGCAGGGCTGCCTTGCGGAGGAAACAATTGATGAAGGAGCTTTTTCCGGCCTGCAAACGAGTCAGCATGATATCTAGGTAAGGGAAATAGGATGTGTACGTTGGTCAGTCCGACTACGGCGACAACGAGGCACTGTCTCCTCCTTCTCCTGTGCCCACTGCCCAGGACCTGCATGACGCTGTCGACGCCCCAAGCATCGTCCGCCCGTTCCTTGTCTTTGCCTTTGCCAGTTGGCTCAGCCGCGGTGGGCAGGAAGACGGAAGCGGAGCGGAAGAGGACGGTGGGATGTTGAGCGCGCAGAGACGTCGCCCACTCTTGTACGGCTTCCCGAGGGCACGCATCTACATCCTCGGCTTAAGAAAGCACAGATCCGACGAAGACACCATCGTACGCACCGACTTTGTTCAGACATAAGAACTTCTTGTCCTTGGCGCCTCCTCCAGAGAGGCGCTCCTACACCGCAACGGATCGCGGGCATCCAAGACCTGGACGACACGTCCACCGCTGCAGTACCGAGCACAGGTCAGGCAGTTCCGGTTCGCCAGGACGGGGATGTCGTCGTCGGTGGCGTCTGCTTGCTCTTGAGCGGCGCTGCTGTGCTCGTGCCCTTCTCTTTCGCATCGACATCTCCCGCGCTCCGCTCTCCCGCCTGCGCCTTTGCCGCTTTCTTCTCCTCCTTACGTGTCCTTCTCCTCTGCAGTCTGATGAGATGTGTAAGTGAAAAAAGACTTGGAACGGCGCGGCAGCATGACATACTCGTCTGCGCTCCTGCGCGACCTCCGCTAGGATCTGGTCCTTGTACGGAAAGTTGTTCGGGATGCCGGGGTCCTTAGGATGTCCTACCCCACCCGAGTGAGTCTGAGCATCCGTGAGAGACCGAGAGCACCACGCACTCGTTTTCCATTGCTGGTTCTTCTTCTCTGCTTTCTTCCTTTTCTTCTTAGTCTCCGCGACCTTGTGCTTGATCTTTTCACGCTGGTTCGTTGTCCCTCGCCTGGTCGTCCTGGCAGACATGGTCAGCTTAGCTCAGGGATTACGTGTTCTGACAACTGACTTTTGCGTATGCGCGGCATGATAGGGGAACGGAGGGAGGTGCGTGCGACGCTGCAGCTACGAGCCCTGCAAAAGCGGTAAATTCTGTTCTGACTGCCCGATTGGGCCGGATCTCAGATCTGCGATCATCGCTACTCAACGCCGCCACGATTCTCCACTATTTGCCTGTTTGAGCGCCATCTCCTGGCCAAAACGCACACTGCAACTCCCGCAAACGGCCATGCGACGCTCGTCGTTATGCCGATTGTTCGAATTGGAAAGCGTCGTCACATGCCATGACCATCAGCTACAACCCACTATCGATATCCAGGAGCCCGCTAGTTGCACGGACAGGATCCAAGTCCTGTCACCGCGCAGCCTAGTCCACGCCATGCATGTTGATTGAACACAACTTGCCAGGCGACACGGCCCCGTGACCTCATAAAGGCGTCGCGTCCTCGATTGACACAATCGGGAAGGGATCTCCTCCAGGCGCAGTCGAGTGCTGCCGTGCATCTGCCTCGCCTCCGACACCCTTAAGTTGCTAGCGATAATAACGGAACCTGTCCACCGCACGTAACTTACGCCCACGCGCCAGGTCAGGACCCGCGTGCCGTAAGCCTCTGTCCTCAAGCGGGCAACTGTGAACAGTACGACGCACACCATCCTCGCAGAGTAGCACCGCTACTGCATCCGTGGCAGAGGCCGGCGCGGAGCTCATATCTCGTATAGAGGCCTGCCGGCACAGTTGGGGCTCTACCACTCGCCACAGGACTGACTCGAGGCTCTCGGTCAAGTACTACACCGGACAGACAGTCAAAAGCAACAGCCATCAATGCTGTGAACCATCAGATGCCCAATGAACCTGCACAGGTACGCCTCCTGATCCTGCTCCATATATCAGCACGCCCACAGCAACACCGTAACACAACCACGCACCTCCACCTCAACGCCCAGCACCGACTCTCTCAGTCGACACACCGACGAAGCTCCGTCCCAGGCTCACAGAGCACAACAAGCATGTATTGCTGACCATACAAATACACATTGACACAAATATACGCGTAAGTATGCTACCCTACGTCTTGCACACGAGGCGGAGCGAGCACGCGTCGTGTATCCGCGGCGCAGCTTAACAGCAGGAGGTGGGGCAAATCAAAAGTCCAAAAGACGAACAACCAACACACGCACTCTATATACCTCAGGCCTCAGTACCCATAACCCGACCGCCGCCACCGACCATCGCCGTCGCGCTCTTCCCTCCGGGCGGCATCGTTACGCTCACGCTGATCGGCGGCCCGCCGTTCACGGGGACGTGCGAGCCGTTGACACCGACGTTCGACCCGCCCATCGACACGGCGGGACCGACGGATGCCGCGCCGACGAGCGCGGATAGTCGCGAGATCTCCTCGCGCGAGGCGACCAGCGCAGCGGTGAGCCGCTCGTTCTCGTTCGACAGGTACTCGACCTTCGCCTGGAGCTGCGACAGCCACGCCTTCTTCCGCTGCCGACACTTGAGCGCAGCTATAAAGACAGTCAGCGCCCGCGGCGAAGATCGCGGCACTTCGGAGACTTACCCTGTCGATTGCGCTCCAAGAAGTTTCTCCGCTTTTCCTCCTCCGTCTCTGGCTTTTTCTGAGCCCCGCCCTTCTTCGAGGGCGGTGGGGGCGGGTCCATCATGTCATCGTCCTCTTCCTCCTCCTCACCATCCATGCTCGGCACGCTGCCTCTCCGCTGCGTCGCACTCGATGCCGTCGACGACCGCGTCCGCTTCCCCGACGCGGGCTCCTGCGCGACCTCCGCATGCGCAGCTACCGGCGAGTCGTACGCTTTCCGCTTCGTCCCCCGCTTGTTGTTCGCCGAGGCGGTGGGGCCGGAGTAGGCGCGGGAGCGCCGTTGCCATTGGTGGTGGTAGTCGCGCTCGGGTTCGCAGCGCCGTTGGCGTTGGCGTTGCGGCGGCAGCGGCCTGGGCCTCGCGCTTCGCGAGCTCCTGGTGCGCCTGGGAGAGGAGGAAGAGGCCGTTGGCGGCAGAGTTGGTGGCGGCGTTCGAGGAGTAGCCATTGCCGTTACCATTGCCTTCTCTCGGCTGACTCTGGCCCGGTGCCTGGGGCTGGTACGCGTGCATGGAGAGCGGGGACGGGTTGGTCGTCGCGTGCGAGTGGGAATGATGCGTGGTCGAGAGGACGCCGGTGATGGCTGATAGGGTGTTGGGCGTAATGGTGCCTGCGACGCTGGAGAGGCTCGGGGTGGCTCCACTGGAGTTCTGCATCATCGCGAGGAAGGCAGCCGTATTGGGCGAGGGCGGAGGGAACGAGACGGGCCCGCCGATGAGGGGAGTGAGCCCCGTGCCCGGCGTGAGCCCCGTGCGGGAGTAAGCCGGTGCGGAAGGTGGAGGGGTCGAAGGCGGGCAGCGGCTGGTCGTTGTTGGAGTTGGGTTGGGGCCCCGCGAGCATCGCAGGGGACAGGGGCCCCGACCGCAGGAGTTTGACAGGTGCGAGCCGAGTAGCCCCAGTGTAGGAAGCGTCCGACGGGGAGGAGATCTTGCGAGTGGGGGGAGGACGGGCTTCGGAGAGGGCGGCGAGCCAGAATGGGAGCGGTCCGCCCGCTGCTGCTGGGAGGAGGGCCGGCAGGGTCATCGTTGGCGGTGGAGGGGAGGAGGCGGCGGAGGAGCGGGTGGGGGACTTTTGGAGGTGCGTACGGACGAGTCGTTGGAGGGGCGGGCGAAGGACTGCTCGAAGGGATTGGGCTCGAGGTCGAAGGTGGTCCTGCGGTTCTTGGGCAGCGCCGATGAGGACGACGGGCGGGTGTCGGGGGCGTCGGGGGCATTTGACGTCGGGCGGTCAAGGTCGGGGGACGGGATCCTGGTGGGGGCTTGGACCTGGGTGGCCATGACGACACCGGTCTGGGACGGGATGGTGGTTTGGAGGAGGATGATGTCGTACGTGGCTGGAGGAGGATGACGGGCAAGGAAGGTGATGCAGGCGCAGGCCCATGACGAACGCTGACGTCGTTATGTATTTTCCCCCACTGGGCGGAGTTCCAACCCCCCATCACTGCCCGCTCCTCCTCGCCCCTCCCAGATCGGACTCCCGTCACTCGTCTCGCCCCTCGTCCTCGTCCGCCCATTCGCCGGCCGCGCCCCACCAGCTCCACTCGGACGCTGCCATTCGCCTCCCGCTGCCCTCAGCAGGTCGCCGCGACTCGGGGTAGTCCGGGGTCCTCCCGCCATATGTTCGGCATCTTACGTGAGCGGCGTGCGAGTGGAGAGAGTTGCCTCGCGCCCGCCTCGTCTCCCACCGCCTGCGCCGCCTCCCGCCTCTGTGCTGCCTGCGCGGCCCAGCACAGCCATCCCGCCGGTCCGTGCGCGTCCCAGAGAGAAACCAGCAGGCCTGGCGGTGGCTGATCGCCCGCGACGCCGTGCTGTCCCTTCGTGCTATCGGCGCGCGTGATCTGGCCCAGGCCCGTCCCCGCCTCTGCCGGCAGCCCTCTTCGGCGAGTCGTCCCTTCTGGCAAGGCGCTGCTCGCATGCCCAGAAGGCCCTCCTTCCCAATATACTTGCAATCTTGACCCAATCTCAACTATCGATCCGAACGCATTCAAATCCCACCTCCTAGGATTGGGCCCGCTGTCGTGACACGGATGATCGAGCACAGGCGACACGCCTCGTCCGTGTCGTCTGTCTGCATCCCATGTACATGTCGCGTGCTGCTGAGTACCCGCGTTCAGTCCCGCTGCTAGCCTATCTTGAATGAACGCTCCGGGCTCGCCTGCGCCGGATTGCTGGTCCTGGTCTCGCGCGAACGTGCAGCCCTCGCTATGAATGCAATCGCGACGCGGCCACGGAGATGCGCGCCCCTTCCGAGCTTCCGTTCTGGGGATGCTGCGAACAGAGCTACTTCTCCACTGCTCCAAAGCACGCACGCTCGGTCATACGTGACGCTCATCTCGAGGCTTATCACGCCTGCTTCTCAACACTCTATGGCGGTCGCCCGCCGCCCAGAGCCTGATAGCCATCGACGTCCTTCCCATGCCAACGCAGACAGCCCGGCGTCTTCGCGTGTGCTTCCTCACCCACTGCGCAGAGAAGCCCTCCCCGGCCTGCTGACTTGCCCACCCAGGCCGTCCCAGCTCCCCAATCCGTGACGAGGCCACGCCGCGCCCAGCCCGTTCGAAGGATCCTCCCCGGGGTGCCCCTTCTCGCGGATGCTTAACGCGGCCCATCCCCGGTTCCTGGCAGCCACGTGCGGCCCTTCGCGTGCCCGCTTTCCCATTGTCCGATCGACTTGTATGCTGCCCGGAGCGGTTCCCGTCCGCGCCGCCCCTTCTGCTCCGGAGGGCGCGTCGCACGCTGCTGATCAGCTGCGTGCTGCACGCACGGTAGCGCTGCCTCGAGCCCGCCATCTTGTCGGGCCATGTCAGTATGTGCGTAATTCTGAGGTGGATGCCCTGTCCGAGAGACTGCAGTCACATTGCTGCTTGCGATCCCACGCTGCCGGATTGCGTGAGCACCCTCTGGTGGAGACAGGCCACCCATCCACACCGCACAGTCAGCTCTCTATCCCCCGGTAAACAAATTCGCACTCACCCTAGCTGCTTCACGCCCCACCGCTGTCTTGCAGCCATCGCTCACGCAGCACGGCACCAGCGCCGCTGCTCGCCGCCAGCGACGGCACCGCACACGGCGCATCGCCACCCGACGAGGCAGGCACATCCGCCCGCGCGCGTCCGGAAAGGTATTGCGCCCGCCTTCCATCGCGTAAAAGATTGGCTACGCCAGATGTCGATCGCACCGACTGTCCTGTACAGCCTCCGCCGCCCGCGCGACCCCGGGCCTTGCACCGATCCCTGCTCGATCCCCGAAGCAGCGCGGATCTCGCGCTCTATCTCGCCGGCCTCGTCGCTGGTACTGAGTGCGGCGAGGCTCAGCTTCACCGCCAACTGCGCCCGTCCGTCGGGGGCTGTACATAGTGGTCGAGGCTCGAGCTCGACGATCGGGCGCAGGCGCGCGGGGGTCGTTCCCTGGGCCCTGGCGCGGCGGGCCACGGGTGTCGGTGTGGACGGTGACGTTCCGACGAGATGCGGGATCTGGTCGCGCTCGCGTGGGTCGCCGCCGCTCGGGTTGCTTGCCGCGAAGCTCGCGGTGCGCTCGCCACCCTCGCAGCCATCCCGCGGCGTCATTCGGAGGCTATTCTGCCTGAACCTGCTCCCTGAAGCTGAAGCGTGGCCAAACAGCCGGGCCCTTTTCCAGGGGTGTCCTTCCCCCTCTGCGCGCGGGGACTGGGCTGGTGACGACGGCGGACCCTGGCGGGCGTCCGGCATCGTACGCGTGGGTGCGTAATGTTTGGTAACAAATAAATGAAAGTAGCTCTGCCGTGGTGGAGCGGATGCGATGCGACCCTGAGCCTGAACCGTGCGGAAGCTGGGGACGGTCTGGAACAGGTCCGCGCCTCAATTTCACGGTCGGCGTATACATGCCCCGCCCCGCCCGCGGATGTTAAGCTCGGAGGCGCATCGGGCGGTCGGTAGGATCTGGATCTCGACCGTCGTGGCTGTTGCCGCTCAGCCCGGAAAACCTGCATCACCAGTGCCCAAACCGTTCCCGACGACGGACGTAGCCCGTAACGGTCGGCATAGGGATATGTACTCATTTACGTCCCGTAGCCGTACACTGTACGTCGGGTCGATCGGTGCCTCGCAGTCGCGAACCTGCCTAAATTTGATCTATAGAGCCTATTATTACAAGGCTTCTGAGCCTGTCAATTTGGTACATGCTAATGACAGATCCGATCACTACGAACGTATATGGCAGTGCATTGCTTGCACTCGAAAGGGATTGGTAAACTGAGTAACGCAGACGGCGTCGTACGAATGCAGCAGCGGTCATGGGGCTTCGCCGCTCTTCGCTGGGCCGCACTGGCCTGTCCGCCGCACGAGCCTGCAGCGAGCTGCGGAACTCGAAACGCGAGGCGAGGAAACAAAGATAATGAGTGGGAAGCTTGGACGAAATGCCGTCTCGCCCTCCAACGGCGCACCGACCAGACATTAATGGCCGCGCGGGGGCGCTTCGGACTGACGCGCACTCACCCAGGAGGACTCAGCGCAGCCCGGAGATACATTGGGATTCGTGAATTCCACGGAGCTTGTTCACTTGCCCTTTCCGTCCGGGCGATCCTCGCCCCTCTCAGCGGGACGCGCGCATGCATGCACCTCGCAAGAAGGCACGCACAGCGTCAGCCCCCTGGTACGACCCCTTCCGTCTTCGCGCTTCTGGCAACGTGCGTCTGTGATAACCGCGCGGCTGATAAGTAGCGTGCAGCGGATGCCCAGTCTGCGCGCGGACCGACCCCGGCGTAACTCGCTGAACCTGCGGTGGGCTGGCGTGGCAGGCCCGCTCGATCTACGCTGCTTCTAGGGCGAGCGCAGGGCACTTCGGCGCCCAGGTCCAGCCCGCCTCCCAGGATTTGTACAGTGCGGCAGATGAACGTGCGCGTTCCCGCGGCGATAGCAGTGCGAGCGTCGCGCCATACATGGCAAGCTGCGCCTACCGGCGCAGCGATTAGAGCCTGATCCGCGCAGGGCCATAACCAGCAGTGTCATTTCCGGCGGCGTGGGCGGGAAGCGAGGCGGACGCGCGGGGCCAGACCGTCGTCGACGGGCGCGCCGCCGGACACGGAAGGACGCACCCGTGCAATGCGCGGTGTCCCCCAACCCCAGCCCCAGCCCTTCTGCGGGGCCGCGCGCAGGAGGGTCATGCATCATATCGTGTGCACCATCGCTGTCTATCGCTGAGATCGCTCGCTTCCGCTCTCATGCTGCGGTGGGATGGACCTGCCATTACGCGGTCAGCTGCGTTGATCACTCGGTGTGGCGTACTGGCAAGACGGACCTGGGACCTGCGCTAAGGTGTGAGCGCATCCTGTGTAGGTGCGCAGTCGGCATTGGGCTGCACGGACGACACCAGCCCAACGCCGACACGAACGCGGACATCGGAAGACGCACGCTGGCCGTGTATGGCGTTCTGGCACGTAGGGGACGCCTCGGACCGGGGCCTGTATACCTTCAGTAGCGCATGACAAATAGCCTAACGATGGGCAGTAGACACGTCCACTGTATGTAAACGATGAACGCGGGAATTCGCAGCGTATCAACAGGACTCACCCTGTTTTTCTAATTCTTTGCCATATCGGTCTGCTGCACCAGTGCACAAGAAGCTGTCGTAATGCCTGTCAGACGGATCTAATTCGGGCATCGACGCAGAAGGTAACTCAGCCGGGGTGGGGGGAGAGGGAAGCGTGGCGTGTGCCTAACGGCGCTACAGCTGTGGACGGTCAGTTTGAGCCGTGCGTTGGTTTTTCGGTCGACACAAACATCCTAGCAGACAGCTAAGATGAACTGCATCGTCGCGCGCTGCTACACACATCATTTGGAAACTCAACGCGAGCTCGGTTGTCGTGCAGCCAGTCCGAAATTGCCATTCCATGCGCCACGTGCAGGGAGGGAAGAGGGTGCCAGTGCCACGATCCTATACAAGGGTCGCCGTTCACTGCGGCCCAGTCTAGAATGCAGGAACGGCGAGAAGGCGATGGCAAATCGGTGTGGTCGGCCTCTTGTAATGAACACCCCTGGCGCTTGCATCCCACGAACGGGGTCACAAGCCTGCTAGCTCATGCGATTGCTCTAGAGGCCCATTCATTCAGCGAACGCAGTTACTCGATCGTCAAACAGTATAAACATACACGCTTGTGCTTCTATGGCACGGTAATTCCACTTGGCGTCTTGCGCGATGCCATTTGCGCTTCTTGAAGGCTCGGTGCAGCGATAGAGGCACGCCGGAGCTCTAATGCTGCCGTACTGGGGACCTGCTCGGACACGCGGCCGTGTCGAACGCCAATGCCGTATGGAAGCTCAGCAGAGACGAGAAATACATGGATCAGCTGAGCATACTGTGAAGACGGCGAGTCACATATCTGGTTGAGGGTGGAGTGGACGGAAGGGACGGAAGCAGCTAGTTCGTTGACATGTCCTGGAACGGTGTCCGACCATTCTTGGGAAGACCAATGCTGCAAATGAAACTCTGAGTGTATATGCCGCCACGGTCGAGGCTTACCGTGATGAGATGCGAGCGTTGATGCGAGGAGTGTTCGGCGAGTAAGTACATACGTCGACGGCCGAATTTAAACGGCGCACGCGAAGAAGACCGATCACTGACGGTGTGTATTTTGAAGATCGCCTCGATTCAATAATGCCCTTGCCCATACTTGCGCAGCGTCAGCTTCCCGTCGTCCGAGATGCCAAGCTCGTATGCTCTTCTTGACGAGCCACACGCAGCCCCGCCTGGTACGCTGAAGGGCCGCCGGTAGGTTGTTTGGCCACAGAAGACAGAGATCGATATCGACTCCGAGTCCCGATCAGGAGAGCACATCGAGTCGGGAGTCGGAGTACGTCAAAAGCCCTTCACAACGCAGGGGCAGTCGCGGTGGTCGTCGGCGGGAGACGTCTGACGCTGGGCAGACTAATGTATCACGTCAAGATAGAGCATGATATGTAGGATGGCCAGATGGGTGTTGTGCCGCGGCCGCCTGGACGGCGTTCGCCGTAAGTAGGCATCCTGACCGATCACCTGATCCGTGTACGGTGGATGGCCGTATGCGCGTAGCGCGCACGGTCGGTAATAGACTCATCATCTTCTCAGCGACATACATGGCTTGACAGCGCCTCCGCCTTTCTCTCTCCCACCACCGTCCCGCACGGCAGAGGTATGTCTCCCTCTAGACCTCTATATATCGCATGCTCACAACGTTGTGCGTGCAGCCAGCGCCCGGGTGCACGTTCTGGACCCAAGACTATACACCTCGATCGCCCGTGACCAAGCATACCGCAATTGCGATGTCGGCGGTGGGCGATAAGGAACCTGTCGAGCGCATTCGCGAGAGAATTGACCTGGAGATTGCCCAGCTGCGGGATAGCGTGCAAGTTCTCGTCGCCCGGCGAAACGAGCTCGCACCTGTCCTCCGCTTGCCCGTCGAACTCCTATCCGAGATCTTCGTCCTCAACGTCGCCACCCATTCTCCGGAAGACCTACGCTGGACCCAGGTTGCGTATGTCTGCCAGTACTGGCGGAGTGTCGCCTTGCAGACGCCCCGGTTATGGACGTGTATCAACTTCAAAACCGAGCCCTGGGTGGCGTTGCAGCTCGAACGCTCGAAGACCATGCCCCTCGTGGCTCACGTTGACCTCCGCGCGCGACAATTTGCCTCCAAGTGCGAGGGTTTCGGACTGCTGGCCAGAAGCATGGGTCGCGTGCGACAACTGTCCATCTCCTCTGGCGAGATGCGTGGGACGGTACACAAGCTGTGGCGACACATGACATACCCTGCGCCCCTCCTCGAATCATTCGTCTTTCACAACCCATCCCAGAGCAGGGCTGGACCCACGTCTCATGTACCGACGCAACTATTCCGCGGAGAGTGTCCGTCGCTCAAGTACGTCGAGCTTCGCCAGTGTACTTGGTGCTGGGCCACAACCCTCTTTACGCATACCGTCACACACCTTACGCTCGATGGAGCCACGTCCAAATGCGTACGTCGGTTGAGGAAATACTCAGCGCCTCGAGCTCATGCCCAACCTCGAGTGGCTCGACCTCGATCACATCACTCCCGAGGTACCATGGTTCTTCATCCCCAACGTGGACGTAGGGCAGTTTGTCCACCTCCCATGCCTCAAATTTCTGCGCATTGATGCGCTGGCGTTGAACTGCGCCATCCTGCTGTACCACATCTCGTTCCCCATGGACACGCAACTCGTCTTGTACTGCGACGCGTTCCGCCGTCTGGACGAGTTCATGGCCGTAGGACACGCGATTGCAGTGAAGCACCGTCGGGGGGAGGCCATGGGCATCCAAGACCTCAGGCTGAAGAGCTTCACGTTCGTGCCGCACGACCAAGCATTGGAGCTGTTCACGTGGAGGGAAGCGTACTCTGCCGACGAGCTGTACGACGCAGCGCGGAAGCGGCGATGCGATGCAGCGGTCCGCGTACTCCTGCGGTGGGACGGCCGTGAGCCTGACTTCAGCGTCGCGAGCCTGCTGTTTGCTTGTCGCGCTTTCCCCTCGAGAGCGTCCGTGCCTTCTACATTCCCGAGTATGTCTCGCTCACAGGCCAGGCGTGGATCGAGCTCTTCAGCGGGATGAAGAGCGTGAGCTCGGTCTGGGTGCAGGGCCGTTCGGCCACGCACTTGCCGGACGCCCTGCGGAGAGAGAACTGCTCTCAATGCCGCGCCGACATCACTGGCGAGATGCTCGCCGGCGACCCCCTCCGACAACATACGCGCGTGCCCTCGCTCTTCCCCCTCCTACACACGTTGATCCTGGAAGAAGTCGATTTCACTGGCGACACTTGCCCGGATGCGTGTTTCTTCTGGCAGCTGCAGGACGTGGTGCTCGAGCGTTCCAAGCACGCGGGCAAGCTCAAGCTCATCGTCCATCGCTGCCGCAACTTTATCGTCGAGCAGATGCAGGATCTGCGCATGGTAGGCGCGGACGTGACTTGGAATGGGGAGGAGATCCTCGACTTCGACCTGCGTGACGTCGACAGCGACGACTCGGAGGAGGACTACGAGGACTTTTATGACAGACCCTACTCTGAGGACGACTCCGACGACGAATAATACACGAGGTTGTCTTCGTGCTCATGCGTACCTTTGCACGGGACCGTTTATTGATATGTCCGCTTTACGTTATCCGTACAAGTGCTACTTAATGGCTCTGTACTAATAGTGTGCCCCTTCGTCGTGTATCGGTACATACTTGGATCGCTTTCGTCGCATGTGCTTTGCCGGTTGCACTTTCGTCTTCATGTACTACGGTGATATATGTGTCCTTCTATTCCGCAATCGTCGTTACTGGGCTGTTCCGATGTCTTGCTAATTTTCCGTAGACATGTACAGCCAAAACTAGGGAAAAAGTAGTGAACCTTGCGCATCCGGGCCGCCCGTCTCGAGCCACCAAGCCTTCGGATTCACTGAGTGGCGCCACTGCCTGCTCATTGACCTCGTACCACTCTTTGTCTCAACGTGATCATACTGCTGATCGTCATGGGGATATCCCGACATTCAGAAATCGACAATGACGTGTTGCCAGTCGCGCAGCTACAAGATCTTCGAATAGCTGAAGCCTCGTCGTCGCAGTTAATTGAGGCCTTAGCCTGGAAGATGCAGCAGGGTGAATCTATGAGGTTCGCATCGATTCACCCCTATACAACTTGAACGCCCCGACCTCGCAGCTAATACGATAAATTCTGGCAGCTTTGACTTGGTATGTGCTAAGCTAGGGCGCAAACGGTGGCACCGTGCACCAACTATTAGTCCCATGCATTCGCTCATTCTTGATCCCACGATGCAGTTGCAACATATCGAACACACTTTTCTCTCTGCGTCGCAGGCAGCCCGAACCGCTCTCAATGCGGCATCCCCTATTCATCGTCTGCCCGCGGAGATGTTGACAGCAATATTTCTCTTCGTACCCAAGAAACATGAGGATTGGCGCGGACGCAGGGATCTTTTCCTATGTGTCGACGACATGGTCGCCCCGAAGACATATTGAAGTTGGCCCACGTTTGTCGACACTGGCGGGCAGTCGCCACTGGCATCCCGCGCCTTTGGACCCATATCAGCCAGACGCTTCCCTATCCAGCGCAGGCTATGCTGGTTGAACGGTCCGGCAACGCACCATTGACCATCGGTTTGCGAGGGAAGTTGCCGAACGCACTCTTGGCTTCGTTGCTTCAGCACCAGCCTGAGCATCATCGCGTTGTCGACGTACGTTGGGACGATGTCAATCTTGCGGATGCAGCCCCGCATCTTACGCCTGCTTCGTCGCTTGAGACGTTAACACTTGCGGGAGACGATCCGATTGCTTCCTTTCGACGGGGCTTCCAAAACGTGCCGCCAATCACTTTGTTTGATCACGGCCAATCGACATCGCTGCGCGTTCTATTCCTCAAGGACGTGGACCTCCTCCCAGCGGACCGGTTTCCAAACCTGACGTCCCTCTGTATACAAGGTCTCAACATCTTGTATTTTCCTGCCAAAACACCGCTGGTACGCTTGCTCATCAGCACGCCACATCTCGTCAACCTTATGCTCATCTCTACGGCGCCTCGCATAGTGCACGGTAGTACCGGACTATGGCAGAACAGATTACCCGCTGGCACACGCGCAAACCTCCCCGCTCTCCGTAGATGCGTCTTCCGTGGTCTCAATCAATGGGAGATCAACTACTTCCTGTTGCTCATGCCGCTTAGCCCTGCGGTGGCCATCAGTATTGGGGGTGTATTGGGAGGCTTCCGTCTTCTCAGAGAGATCGTCCCGAATTTGCCACTGCTGCCGCAGATGACCAAATTCGCAACACGCAGCGTGGCCTACAAGGTTGTAGAGGTCATAGCCACCGGACCAGTATCCGGGATTCGGATCGAAATTGAGGACGACCCAGACAGCCACAAAGTTCCCTTGTGGCATGTTTCGCTCCGTGGGGTCATGGAGAGGTTTCCCTGCGAACAAATACAAGAGCTGTGGCTCATGTATTGGCCGATCCCAGGGTTACGCACGCTAGAGTGGTTCCTCGAGTGCATGACAAACGTGGAGGCTTTGACGGTTGCGGACAAGTACCTGCGAATGTGCATTGAGGCCTTGGCTTCAAGGTCAGGTTCGGGGACGCTGGCCTGCGGTCGTCTGCGCAACTTGCGGATCATACTGGGCGAATACGACGCGAAGTCTGCCTTAGGCCTGCTCGCCCCATACGCATCCCTTCTCAACGGCGTTGATATAATCCTTTCTTGCGTTCCGGCCCCAGCACCGGGACGGGAAACGGGAAACACCGACCTGGAGGAGCTTTTCACAACAATAACATATCAGTACCTGCCCGAGCGGCCAAGGATAGAGATCCCTGCAATCTGCGAAGCCGACTTCATGGGTTGGTCAGCATGGGCCTGACCTTATGCCACGGAGAAGCACTAGGGATAGGCACAAAGTGTCCGAGCCAGTAGTACTTGCAGACAACTTGAACAACTCGGACGTGTCAGCCATCCTTACTTACTTGATGCTAGTGCCAATATTTCCCTGCCGAATGTATTGAACGAGTATCATATCAACTTCTGCCTGCTCGCTGATATGCCATGACAACAGACCACGTAAGATTGTTTAGCGTTGAATCCGCAACATCGAAAGACACGCAACACACTGGGACGTAACTTATCCATCTATGCAGCTAACATGCTGTACGACGACAACGCGACAAAGTGTCCCGCATTGGCACAGACACGTTAGCATGACAGTCAGAACACGTTGAAGTCGTCTCAAGATAGAGGTCGAGCAATACTGACACGCGGAACACCCTTCCTGCGAGGGAAGATGGCCATACATCATTGCATCGGGATAGGAGATAAACATAGAGTCGTAGAGTAGCGTCACCCTTTTGCATGACATGCATATAGAGGTACATATCCCTGGCCATCCAACTGTAGTGGTGTACGTCGCCCGCACCCACACACCCATCGACTTCACGCCGATTTTCAGAGGGTGGTTTACACCTTGAAGCCACGCGACTTTCGGCGACCACGGGCGCGCTCGAACTAAACGCGCAATCAGAAAATGTCAAAGTGATAGCCGATGATGTCACGCACCTTGCGGCCCTTGGAAGTGGTGAAGGGCTTCTTGTGCTTGTGGGGCCCCATACCGAAGTGCTTGACGGCCTCACGCGAGTTGCGCTTACCGCGGAGCAAGATGGTGTTCGAACCGGTAGGAGCACGGGTCGCGAGCTGGTCGAGGGTCAACACCTCGCCACCGGCCTTGAGGATGCGCTCCTTGGCGGCGGCTGTGAAGCGAAGAGCGCCACAGTCAACTTGGGCACCTCGAGAAGACGGACGTCGTCGGTGACTGTGCCGATGGTCACGATGACCTTCGAGTCACGGTCAGGAGCGGAAGAAGTCTCCTTGACAATGCGGGAGAGCGAGATGGGCGGGCGGTTCGTCTTGGAGAGGAACAGACGGTGTAGGATGACCTAATAGACAAAGTGTCAGTGCTCCTGTTCACGCATAATGCGAGCCACATGTATCGACCTTGTTGAAGTTTGAATCTGTCCGCCTGGCGAGGAAGCGATACAACTGTACACATATGTAAGAAACGGCCCATGAAGTTCACATCGGCGACACGCACCTTGACCAGCAAAAGAAGGTACGGGTCCTCGCTCTTGGGCGCAGTGCGCTGGCCCTTCTTGACGTGGTGCTTTGCAATATCGATACCCTAAGACATCACAGTCAGTGTCTGGTCGCTGGCCGCCGTCGTCGGGCGGACAGCGTACTCACCATCTTGCGGTTGCTCTTGCGGCGGCTTGCTGGGCAGACTGGACCAACAGGCAATCACGCGTGGCTGCTGTGGCTGAGGAACTGTGTAGTTCCTCCTGTAAGGTTAGCGCTCTGTGGCGCGAAAGCGAACTGCGCTCGCCACATGCAAACAGGGCCAAACAGCTCGTGAACTTGAACCACCATGGTGCGTTGTCGTCGTTTTTCGCTCCGTTGACGCTGTCGCTGATGTTCTCCATGACTTGGCTTCCGGTGCTGTGCGTTCATGCTGAGTAGTACGGAGATTCTGCGCCTGCGCCTGTCGACCCTTACACGGATCCTTACAACGAGCCGCCGCCGCCCGCGGCTGCCGCTAATACGGACCCAAGGGATCGTGATCCTCCTCCCGCTCCTCGAGGCCGCTCTCGTTCCCGCAGCCCTGCGCGAGCTTCTTCTTACCGCCGGTCTCCGCCCCCGCCGCGCCGCCCTCCTCATGCCCCAATTGTGTGTTATTTTGCCCCTTCGTGTTGTGATGTGTTTGTACTTATCTTGCGAAGCAGGCGCCCAATCCCTCCAGCGTGTTGGGAGTGTTCGGTCTGAGCATTCGCACCACGGAGCGTGATTTGGATGACGAATTCAGCCGATTTGGACATGTCGAGAAAGTTGTCATCGTTTATGATCAAAGGGTATGTCCGTGTTGACGTGGCGTCCTGTGCCTCTTGCTGACCAAGTGCAAGCAGTCAGACCGTTCCCGCGGGTTCGGCTTTATCTCGATGTCGACCGTTGATGAAGCAGCACGTTGCATCAAGGAACTCAACGGTGTGGTAAATAGTCTCATTTACTTCCCAGATCGTTCAAGTGGCTGACGTTCGTGTAGGACTTGAACGGTCGTCGAATCCGTGTGGACTATTCCGTGACCGACCGGCCGCATGCACCAACCCCGGGCGAATATATGGGGCACCGTCGTCGCCGAGGTCGCGACACGTACTCAGGCTTCGGGGGGGACCGTGACGACTTCCGCGGTGATTCTTACAGAGACACGTACAGGGACCGTCGGGAACGGGAGCCGTTCCGCCGGGATGACAGGGACCGCGACAACTACGGTCGTGACAATCGGGACTGGCGTGATCGCCGCAGCCCGCCTCCGCGTAGCCGGTACTCCCCTGATTACCGCAGGCGCAGAAGCTACTCAAGGAGCCCCCCTCGTGGCAGCAGCCCTGCTCGTGCTCGCGACTACGATGCTCCTTCCTCAAGCGCCTTGCCTCCCGCCAACGGCGAGCCTCGGTGGTAGAGTGGCTGAAGACGCGTGTCATGGCTTCTTGGGACAGACGACGGAATGCAGGTCAAGGGTATATGTGGGGCACCGAATGCTGAGAACACGTGGTTACCCGACAAGACGTTTCAATTTCTTCAATTTCCTCAATGCCAAGAGTCCTTTCGTGAACATGCGTCGTATGGTTCTCAAATAGCACAGAAAAGAGAAAAGCGAACATGTCAAGCTTGCCCTTTGGTATCACCTCGAATATCCTGTACCTGCACGTTCTATGCTACGCCTATGTTGAATTAGTTGCAAGTTGCAAGTTCAAGGTGCCAATCAGCCGGCGGTGGGTATGGCCTCCGCTCTGCAGTTGGAGGACTAGTGTTTGCCGATCACGGCGTGAGTATTCTCATGCACAGCCTTCGGAGCATCTGGTGATTCATTCAATACTCTTTGACTGACGGGTCCCTAGGCTTCCACCAGTTTGCAAACGTCCGTGGCGCGTCGCTGGCCATCTATAGCGGCAAGAGTTATCTGAATGAAGCCTAAAAGAGGAAGGCGTGGACCTCGAATTTATTCCGGCCATGCAGTCGAACGTAATCCTCAGCGGACGCAGCTGGAATCGCATGCTGTGGACACAATGTCGCCTATGCACAATAAGCCGAACGCTTCCCTGACGAGCACTTTGTGTGCTGTGTAAACGGTGAGTCGTGTTATTGTTTGGTTTGTGTCCGACGTGTCTTTGCTGTGGTAGACATTACCATTGTCGGAGCTTCTTGTGCTTGATCATGTACATACTTGTCTACAGCCAATATATGACGTATGGGACTCTAACACCGCTACTATGGAACAATGGTCGTTCGGTCTCCGCCATCAGTGAACTTCAGCGCACCGGGTTTTGCAGGATGGATAATATCGTTGTCGTCTGCTACGAGTTACCGCCGAGCATCGGGCACTACGGAGGACTGAAGCTATAGTTATAGTGATCTGTCCAATGCAGCAATCGCCGCAAACCTGGAATGGTCGGGGCGAAAACGACACATCACGACTGGACAATGCGGGTGGTTCATTTGTACTCGGTGGAAGTCAACGAGAAAGCCTGTTTATGAACCACGATCGGTACGTGTAAAGAGTAATTTGATGGACCGGGAGGTGACCGGTGACCGGTGACCGGTGACCGGTGACGGGCGATGGGAAGTATTACGATCAACTAGCCATCGACTCCCACTGGTACTCACCCTCCGGCTGCAGCTCGTCCGACCATGACGCATAGGCATCTACGGTCCGCTGCAGCTTCGCCAGCGTACCCCGCACCATCGTCAGGCAGTCCTTGCCCAGCGGAAGCTGGATCGGCGGGTCTGGCAGCGATGTGATTTTGTACATCATTTCGACGGCCGTGGCGGGATCCGCCATGTTGGGCGTGTACTGGACGCCCTTGGACCGCTCGCGTTCCCGCCAGGTCGCGGAGGCAGGCGTCATGTAGGCGGGATGGGGCGGAGCGTGGACCATCTTGCTAAGCGCGGGAGTGCGGAAGCCTCCGGGCTCAACGATGCAAACCTGAAGGTGGTACTCTGTTAGTTAGTTCAGTCGTCGACCTATTACCAAGGCGAAGGAAGGCACCTTGATGTTCCATTCCGGATTGAGCTCCGCAGCAAGACCTTTGGTGAAACCTTCTAGCGCTGCCCAAGTGCGTGTCAGATCCTATGCGTGCCCTGAAGTCGCAGTTCCTACCATGCTTGGGCGCGCAGTAATAGGACAGCCCTGGAAGGCCGATGAGACCCGAGGCGGACGACACTTGCAGCAGGAATCCACCCGCGGGCTTGTTTACCTCACGGAACACGCGGACCGCCTCCCTGCTGACGTTCGCCGCGCCCCAGAAGTCGACCTCCATGGCCTCGCGCGCGAGGTCGTCCGGTATACCCTCCGCCTCTCCGAACAGAGCATATCCGGCATTGTTGAAGACGACGTCGATACGCCCGAAGTGCGCTGCGGCCTTGTTGAAGGCGGCTTTGATCTCTTCGTTGTTCGTGACGTCGAGCTTGGCTACGAGGAGGCGGTCGGGGCCGTATTGCGACGATAGGTCTGCGATGGCCTCTGGCTTTCTCAGTGTTGCGGCTGCGCTGTCTCCGTTCTTCAAGACGAGCTCGGTCATGAGCCTCCCGAATCCACTGGAAGCACCAGTAACTGGATAGGTGTTATCAGGATATTAGTATGACGCGGATCGATGCGACGACTTACTGAACCAGACTCTTCCAGTGACCATACTGTTGTACAGATTCAGACCGGGCACGCAAGAGAGGTGTGCAGTCGCTCTCCCGATGTTCGCCGTCTATTATAGTCACGCTGCCCAAGTTATATTCGAGTGCCCGCAGATTCGCTTCCTACGAATGATCTGCTTATCAGCGCAGAGCGTCAACTTCAATTCACTATGTCCGCCCACCAGTGGCCATTAATCATTGGTGACACATCTGTGTACCTGGGATTCACACTCGGGAGTCGGCGCCCACAACTCGGGCGGGCTGGAGGCCGCCCGAGTAATATGTTGGCCGCTAGCCACCCACAACGACAAATGTGTTCTGACAATGGATCAGAGTGAGTCGGATGAGTCGCAGTGGCACTGCGAAAGCACCCACTGGCAGTGATGTTTCGCTTGACGGGGTTCAACCCTATCGAAGCCGCCTTTGGGCTTGGAGTGGGCCGGCCTAAAGTCCGTCCAGTAGTCGACAAGTTGACCTGGAGAGTTTCTGAAGACGGTGCTGCAGCTGAACACTCCCAAGTCGTACCAGATGAAGACACAGGCTTGAAACTGTTTCCCACAATATATGTGATTTCATGTTGAGATCACGACGTAGGGGAGACGGCACAATTGCACTCACTGCCCCCTTACTATTCCCATGATTGAATTTGTCTCAGTAGCAGCATGGACATCACTTCCGACTGATTCGAACGGAGTGGCAGTCGGCCCAGCCTGAGGAGCGTAATTCGCAAGTGCTGCCGATAACTGACTGAAAAGGTTGTAGAAAGGGTTGAGATGGTCATTGGTTGAGATACTCGATATACGTGGTGTCACGGTCACGCGACTGTGGCACCCGCAGTGCTGAGACAAAGATGGCCAAACATGGATCATCAACTTCCTGAACTCGTTCCGCTGCTGCATCTGTACTATGACATCCCAATATCTCGACATCCAGTCCATGGCTGTGATGCAGACCCTTCTTCCATTTCAACGACTGCGAGTATTCAGCCCGGGTCTTAGAGCGTCTTATGCATCGTGTATCATACCGGAACCCTGCTAGTCGTCACAGCTCTCGCCCATGCGCTGCACCTTGAAGCTTGATCCTTCTGTCTATGCCGGATCATGAACAGCTGCTCTCTGATTGTGTCTTCTCCTGTGCAAGCGATCCTAATAGCTGCTGGGGAAGTCCAATCTCAGTCAACGTCTGGATTTCCGCAGCTATATGATCATCATAGGAAGCGTACACCCGCACTGTGTCCGCTCTTGTCCGCTGTCCACCGGAGGACCTTGCCGACAATTTCCCACCTGTGGTTCCACTGGCGCACGAGGGGACTTTCGGCCTAGGGCATGATTGCATCTCAGCGACTTCTTTGGGACGTTTTGCGCCCTTGCGAGGTGGGCAGCCAAAGATCCTGGTTGACCTGTCATGGTTTCTGGCAGGGGCGGTGTCCGGTCTCTTCAAATCGACTTCATCGGCGGAATATGGCTACTCCTCCAGCTCTGCTATCGTGCAACGTGCCTGCTGGTGCTATGCAATTGCCTTCGTCCATGAGGATGCTGTGAGTGCTTCTCCAGAAGTTACACACAACGACCCGGAGCTATGCGCCTTCACTACCATCAGCCACCAGCAAAATCTTTCGTGTTATCCAACACATAGGGTTGCATTCTGCAGGTATGCGCGAATACGAAGTGCTTACCTGGAGCCATACAGGTACCAGGACAAAACACAAGGCGTCGGCAACTCGTGTAAACAAGGGCGAGTAAGTAGCTGGAGACGCCTGTTATGCATACGATATATTTATATTCGGAGGCGGTGATGACCACGAGGTTTCCCTGTGGCATATAGCGGGCGCTGCGGCGCTGGAGACATCCCGCAGTTTGTACTCGGTCTCGCGCACAGCACCGCACCAAGGTATAAGAGCTGTTCGGTACCTTCAGTGGAACGGCCGACCCACCACAATGAAGCAGTACAACATCAAGCTCACGTTCGGCGAGACTACTCGTAAAGTCGCCTTCGCCTCTCAGCCGACCTGGCGACAGCTCGTGGATCGCGTCGAGGCCCTTTCCACGTCCCTGCTAAGGCAGCGGCAGTCAAGTACACGGATGAGGACGAGGACGAAGTCACCGTCAGCACCGATGAGGAGCTGGAGCAGTACTATGACAGCCTGCAGACCGATCCCAAGAACATCAAGCTCGTGGTGTGCAAGTTGCAGGATGCCGCTGCGGATGTGGAGGGACGTCAGAAGGGGCATAGGAAGGATCTGAAGCCGGAGATCGAGTCGTCAGGTCAGCCTTTCATCCTTGTCCACTCTAATATGCCGACGCGAATCCTCATACATTCGTAGATCTCGACGATTCCAATGATCAGGACTCTCAACGCGGCCCGGGCCCTACACGTAAATCGCACGCGCATTCCGCATCTCATAGTGCATCTCGCACAGCCGAGACTTTGACTGCTCACGGGACGGGACGACGGAGCCCACCGTCCACCACCGGCTCGCCACCTCCTCAGGGTGCGGCTAAGCGCGGAGACAAGCGCCGTAAAGGTCGCAAGGGTGGACAGCAAGTGTCGGCTGCCTCCGCCGCGCCTGCCAATCGGTCTGGCGGGGGCCGTCATCAGGCAGCGCCCTCTCCTCGCATCCGTGATATGGACCAGCCGGCCCATAGCGCGCACGGTCATCGGCGCAATGACGAAGACGATGATGATGACGATGAAGCCGACGATGACGATGAAGCCGACGACGACGATGACGACGATGGCGAGGATGCGGACGGAAACGATGGTGGAAAGTCCTTCGCCGTCAGTGTCAACATCGACGACAACAACGATGACGGCAGCAGCAGCGACGACGATGATAACGGCGACGACGACGCCACGAATCCCGGCTTCGAGAACGACGGCCGCTCGCGCCGCCGCGAGGCCAATCGCGGCAGACACCACAACCATAATCCTCAGCAGGATGCCTTCGGCGGGCAGGGCGGCTGGGCCAACAGCCTTGCACCCCCAATGCCGGACTGGAACCCCTTTGGTGGTCAGTTTGGTGGCTCTGCGCAATTCTCGTGGCCTGGTCAGGGCCAAGGCCATGGTCATGGTCATGGTCATGGTCACCATGGGCGTGGGTCCTCCCGCGGGGGCGGGGACGCCAACTCGCCTTTTGGAGGGTTTGACTTCAACACTTGGCAGCCGCAGCCGACTCCAATCCAGGAGATGTTCTCAAACCTGAACATGCGAAGGTGGTAGGCGATCATCGTGTGGGACTATCTGATTCCATGGCTCGAATCTCATAAACTGGACAATGTACATCAGCGACTCGATACCCGTTCCTGAAGTTGAAGGGCTGACACGATCTGTACAACGATGGTACATATGTCCTGCATCTTCCAGACTCAGATCCTTGATATCACTGTCTACGTGCTTGACATTATTGATACCATATATTACTCAAATACTTCCTTGAATGTCTTATGTGCATTCGTCTACAGTTCTCGGAAAGCCGTGACTCGAGCTCGCGTTTCGCAGATTTGGTCCCGTGCGCGCTCCGTGGAGGCGCCCAGCGTTCAGTAGCCTCGTGTCCGTACCATGGCCGAATAAGTGACATCGCGCGCTCAGGCCACTCAGCCGCGCTGTGGCAAGATTGCTTCACTCTCTTCGCATCCATCGTACGACGCAGGCCTCGTCCCTCTTAACGTTCGCGCATAACCTATCGGTCATCCACGTCAACTCTACGAGCTTGACGACTAAACACGCCATGTTTGGAACGCTTACACACCTTTGTTTCGACGCTGTGCTCTTGAGCGCGTTCCTTGCGGGTATCAGGCGGACGACGGGCCTAACGTGCGTTCAGAGTCTCGCATATTGACTTTGACTCACGAGCTGCGGATAGGCCCAAGCTTTCTGATGTGCCCAACAAGGACATCCGGCGTGAGTACCACCCCCGTCGTCACAATGGCAAACGTGTTGCTCATCGCGCGTCGCTTCTTGCAGAAATACTCCGGTCTTATCTGGAGTTCGGTGCGTAGACCAGCGGGAGACGACGGTGTACACAGACTGAGGTGGCATTCCATGCAGGCGAATATGTGTTTGACTTCGCTGTGGTGATATTCGGGGTGCGTCTCGTTTGTCATGCTCTCACGTCTCACTCTGAAGAGGTCGTCGGCAGAGGTCATCGTCGTTCGAACGGAAACGCGACTGAGCATGCAGGGATCTCCTTCACTGCTGTCTCACTATATGCGTGCGCCCCTGCCTGATGCTCTATATCCCCGTCGATTCGCTATTCCCCGTGTCGCACCGTCGCACCGTTCGCTCCTCACTGGGACTGTCTCGGAGGTCTATCTCATATGTATAGACGGCGCCTTGTAACAATACATCCCGTTCAGTCGTTGTCCGTCTCCATGTGCTCGGAGTGTGCCAGCGCAATGCAATGGCAGAAGACTCAGCCCAGGAAGTTGTACACGAAGAAGTGGAGGACGATGGAGCCCATTGCGAAGTCTGCGAAGGCACTGCGATATCGGGCATGTTAGTATATCTGGTGATGAAACGGTCTGTCTAGCAGACGTACCGTTCTGGTGAAACTTCCTTGAACTCTGCCCGGTTCGCCGGGTTGACCTGTGACCGCAGCGACGCAGTCAACACGAACTGGCCTACACAACTGCCGAAGCTAAGGCGGTTCTCAGTTACCTACACTGGAGTGCTGGAGAGAAATGGCACGGACCCGGAAAGAAACGCGTTGAACGGGAAGTTCGTCACCAGGACACAGTAGACGAACTGTATGATCCCGGAGAGCATGAGAAAGAGCAGGAACGTGTCGATGAGTTTCAGCCGCGACGACGTGTTTTCTTTGTAGGACTTTAGTAAGGACTGGACAGAGCTAGTGCTCGCCGACGACGGGGTTGTTTTGGGTGCCATGGCGGAGAGATGGGCGTAGACTCAGAGCGGGCTTGCCGCCGTCAACGTGGACTGCGCGGTCCTGCGATCTCGGAAGCTGGGCCTGCCATATCGGGCAGTCACGCTGGCGAGCGCGTCCTGTCCGCGTCCAAAAAGTTTCGCGTTTACACCTCCTCGTCCCTCGCGTTCCCGGCTTCTCCTTCAAATCGCTGTTGGGGTCTCAAGTGGGAGTCTGCATAGAAGGGATGTTGCCACTCGGTCTTCGGCTAAGCGCAAGCAGCTCTCGCGGTGCCGCACGGCTCGTGCCAGCGTGCAGACATGGTCGCTGGGTGTGGTCCAGGAAATACCACGAGCGGAAAGGACTGCCATATCCGATTGAGAATGGTCTTGGGGAGTTTATGTCACCGGAGGCATTAAAGGTCGTTGCGCTGGACTACCAGAATGGTCTCCTAGAGAGACTGAACGACCAGATCCGAGGTGCGTCTGTGTAACCTATTGTTACTCAGTCCTAGGTACTCATGTGCGACCAGGTACCGTGCTGGAGAACAAGAGTGTTGTCCAGACTGTGATCGAGGCAGCTCGTGATCCTCACAAAGTGCTGGAGTTCGACTACGCTTGCGAAGCCCTCAACAACTCGTTCTTCCTCGAGACCATGGTGCGTTACTCTGTCGTCCCCTCGATTCATTGTCTAACCGCTCGTGTCTTGTCAGAAACCGCCAACAGAACCCGCGAAGTCGAATGAGGCAGCTCTGACAGAGAACCCTAACAACCTCTTCTCCGTGTTCCAGAGGCAATTCGGCAGCCTCGAGCAGTTCAAGTCAGAATTCAGCGCAGCTGTCCTCGGCATGTTCTCCTCCGGCTGGTTATACTGCGTCGTGGACAATGTCGGCCAGATCGCCATCTACCCCATCTTCGGCGCGGGCACGCTCCTCGTCCGGGCGGGCCAGACCCCACTAGGACGCGATAGGGTCGTCGGCGAGATCATTGCACGGGGCCTGAAGCTCTCTCAACCCGCAAGGGAGCCTGCGACCAGTACAGAGTCGGCTGAGCCGTCCGCGGCATCGTCACCAGTCTCCAGTGTATCACAATCGCCGCTGTCGACCTCACCGCCACCGCTGTCGAGGACATTCAGCACCTCTGCCGTTGCGAGGTCGGCCTTCGGCCGTGGCCCTATCAACACCATGTATAGCCCCGATGGCAACTTGTTGCCGCAGCCACCCGCGAACGATGAGATGAAGATCACGAACATCGGCGAGGTGCTCAACCCGCTGTTCTGCGTGTCCGTGCACGAACATGCGTGGGTGCCGGAGTACGGAGTGTGGGGGAAGGAGGAGTACATGAAGCGCTTCTGGAATGTGCTGGACTGGGAAAAGGTCATCCAGAGACACCAGCGTTTCACGGCGGGCATTGGCCTGTGAGAGGGCGTGCGTGGTTGTCATGTGTGTCCGGGTTTACATCGCATGTTGGTGCGGGCTGGGACAGCTCCGATCGCTACACATCTCATAGATACTAAAAGTACATCTAATGCACCCTACTCCCATCGACCCATATCACACAGCCACCCTAGAGAGTTCTTGTCGGATGATTGCGTCCTGTTGTGCACAGAACCATACCGCACTCATTTTGAGAGCTAATTGTGAACTAGCAGCATGCATGATCCACGTCTCGCACTACCATCGCCACTCGATGTCTCCAAAAGATTTGGGCCGCATTCCTTTGTATGGTTTGTATAGCTCTCCGGTCAGCTTGAGCTGGTCGATCTTCAACGCCGAGAAGCTGTGTTGCATGATGTCGAAGCGTACTCGGAACGAACGGGATGGCCTTGGAGTCTTGACACTGATGAAGCGGGTCAGTATAAGCTTAGGCTAACACGAAGTAAGGCGTACGTCGATGCGAACGTCCCGCGCAATGTGTATGTGGCGGAGGGTGCAACGTTCTTAAGCTCCCAGCGCAGGCTCTGTGGAGTCTGAGGGTCAGCCGGCATTTGGCAAGGTATCAATAGGATGCTTGCCAAACTCCTCGGCTCGAAAGTCCATGAATCGTTATGTGACGCGGTACAGCTCGCACCCGAAGCACCCTCTCCCAGGTAGAGCTCAACCACCACATTCTCCATCGCGCGCGTTGTCAGGCGCGATGTGAGGGAAAGGTCAAGTGTACCTTGGAGCAGCGCCCTTTATCAATTGCATTGGGCGATATGAAATGACACGACACATACCGCCATGCTCTTCGATCTTGACATTAGTACGCATGGACAGCGGTACCGCTATCTGATGCATAGTTGACGCCGACGTCGGTGCGTAACGGTACTCCATGAGCTTGAATCGGCCATCTGGAGGGACGAACGATAGCGTCTTGTCACGGGCCCATCGCGAGAGCCTACAGAGAAAAGGTGAGTATGGATTAGTGGGGCAACCCACTAGGCGAGCGTACCGAACGCATGGGTGGAATGAGCATTCCGTGAGCGACTTTGAGTTCGACAGTGTGAGCAGGAGGTCAGGCGTCCCTGCAATTAGTGCGTAAATCGAAGGCATTTTGGCAGAGCGGATGACGCATACCTGACAGCTTGCAGTTCGATTCGACGCGGCCCCAAACATGACTGGATGCCGGAGTACCGTTCCTATAAAACGAGACGTCAAGTCGCATAAGCTCAAGCAAGGAGACTGTTGGGGTGGAAGGAATTCTCACTTGTTGACGATCGCCTCCAGCGTTTCCACGACATCGAAGTAGATCTCATTATTGTTATAGCGCACGCCGGCTTTCCTCCATGGAATTGGTGATGCAAACGGTTGTGGGCCTACTAAGGGTGTTGCAAGACCGGGCACGCCTGCGACAGAGAGGACCTTGTTGAGCAAGGACGGCGATAGCACGATGTCCCGTAGTGCGTTCGGGGACGTTGTCAGGGGATGTCCACTCGCGTCCAACGTTTCTTCAAGAAGCTAAACCGCACAATTGAGACATGTCTGCAGGGTATGCTGGACCCTGACTGACCTGATAAATGATATCGAAGTTCTCCTTGAGTGTCTCAGCGGAGATGTATCCGAAGTACTCCCTGAGGATGTCGACGAACGTCTCCATAAACGCGAAGGCATACAGTGGGTCAACTGTGAGACCATGAGTTCTTTACGTTAAGAGGAACAGACCATAGAGTTTACCTTCGCCACTGATGGGGCAGAGGATCCTCATGTCCCCTACTTTGGTGTGGCAGCAGGCACACGGCGTGTCAATGCTCAACCCGGATACGTATAACACTGGGTCAACATCTTCGGGTTTCGGTGCGTTAGAGAGCGCGTCGTTGACTGCCTCAATGTGAAGCAGAGGATACGCCGCCGATGTTGAGCGGAATCCTGACTGTATAATGGGACGACTGTCCCTCGATTAGACTTGTGCCAAACATGATCATACGGCGAGACCTACCCTGTAGAGTCCAAGATTACTATTCCGTCAATTGCCATCTGGAGGATACGACGCTGAAGGGTCTAAGTAATGCGGACCGCGTCAACGCCTAAACGGCAATGCCCCTTCACGACACGCACTTGGGGAAGTCCCACCTGTCTGGTGACCGTTCTGCTACAACTGCACCTCAAATCCAATAAAGTGTGGTTTTTTGCTCGGGCCCGTTTGGATCGTGCCAATACGAGGTACCCGACACGCGTTCACAGAGTTGGTTGAAGAGCTTCAGTCGCCTGGCCAGCGTCGTCGATTCCGATTCGATTTAGATCTCCAGCCACATCTTGATGGCACCACAGCCACAGCTCTGGATGCGAGCGTTATCATTCTCTTTCACCAACCACCAACCAACCACACCACCCTTGTTAAACCGAATTGCTACGGGCCGCTCACGCCAAGAGTGCATTCATCGAGCCAGCAGAGTCTACGCGGATGCTACCTGCGTGACGGCCTAGTAAGTCACTAAGTGTCGGTGCGGTGACAGGCTCTGAGCCGTACTACATACTACCAGTGTGACCTAGTAGCATGGCTGTCAGTGGCAACTTCGAAGAACCGTATGCATATGCTCTCTGTGTTAGGTACTGCAGGTGCCAATTGACGACGAGCATATTCATCAGGTATAGTATGTTCCTCTGTGTGGAATGAGATGGTCAGGAGCTTATCGAACGCTCTATGCACCACCCGTCGCATTATCGACCGGAACATTACGCTGTTCCCCTCGCACTGACGTCTGTCTTCAGTCCTAGGCATCCGTGGTCCCTGGCGTGCCGCCGCATGCGAGGATGGCGGCAGCGAGTTGCAGCGAGGTGAGGAGCCGCTCGCGCGTCTATGTCATATGATGAAGGCTGATTGGCAGGAGGACGCCAGACAGTGCTCCCGCCGCCCCTGTCTGCGTCGGGTAGAGCGGGGAGGCCTGCTCATGGCGTGGTGTCCAGCATTCATCGTGACGAGCACTCCACGTCCCGATCGAGCGGAGAGAGCTTTATTGCTCACCTCGTCGTCCCCGGCTGACACTGTCAGCCGCCCTCGATCGCACTTTTCTCCCTCGCCCCTTACGAAACTCTACGAACATCACGACCGACACGAAGTCAGCAAGCATGAACAGAACAACATTCACTGTAGGACTTTCGCGAATTGGCTTGATGATCTCAAGGCAGCGTGCCTGGAGTTCATCGGGACAACCACCTTCCTTCTCCTCGCCTTCGGCGGCATCCAAGCGGCCAACGAAGAGACAGTGTCGAGTTCCGGAGCAGGGACGTCCGATGTCCAACATGTCATGTATATCTCCCTCTCGATGGGCTTCAGCCTCCTCGTCTCTGTCTGGATCTTCTACCGCGCCAGTGGAGGAGTGTTCAACCCGAACATCAGCTTGGCGCTCCTCCTGACTGGCGTTATTGGTCCGTGCCGCTTCGTGCTGTATTGCATAGCACAACTACTGGGCGGCATCGTCGCTGCTGCACTTGTCCTTGCGTTGACTCCTGGAACACTTCAATCAGTGTACGTCCCCTTTTCTCTGTGGGAGTCCTGGTTGATTCTGACGTGATTCTGCAGCACGTTCCTTGCGCCCGGTATCAACCCAGCGCAAGGTGTATTCATCGAGATGTTCATCACCACCGCTCTCGTGCTCGCGGTGCTCATGTTGGCGGCGGAGAAACACAGCGTCACACCGTTTGCGCCGGTGCGTCGCTTGCTCGCCAGTCGGTATCGACCATCTCTACACCGCATCTTAGGTCGGCATTGGTCTGACACTGTTCGCATGCCACCTGTTAGAAATTTTTCTCTCGCTTCTGCGACGCTCGTCTGACGTATCAAGGTGGGCGGTACTATACAGGAGCTGGTATGAATGTGGCTCGTGCCTTTGGCCCTGCGGTCGTCACAGGCTTTCCTTACGGGACACATTGGGTTGTAAGTATTATGCGCGTGATGATATACCGCGATGGGCTGATCGACGTTACAGTACTGGGTGGGCGACGGTCTTGGTTCACTCCTCGGCGCAGCCCTCTTCATCATCCTCAAGCAGTAAGTGGTTTCCCCTGCGGCTAGCCAATACATTCTGACCACAGTCAAATGTAGGAACCGTTACTGGCGCCTGACTCCGGGGCAAGACACGACTGACCACACCCTGTCGCCCGTCGTGCCGCTACAGGACGGAGTTCCCATTGGCCGCCGTTCGGGCTCTCGCTCCTCCAGGCGGTCGGGATCGTCGCGCCCAGGCAATGCTGCCGATGATACCTCGCGGCGTGAGAAGGACGCTATTGCGCGCGCGAATGGTGACGCCAGTGCCGCGAATATTACCTCGCATGGCCGGACGCGCGTCAATGACAGCCCGGTATGAGGGCGCTGTCTATCATCTGGATATCTGTAATTGGGAACGAACCACGGACTGTCTACTTCGACCGCCGTCATATGAATGAAGCAGATCTTCCGGGCTACGAATCAGGTGCCAACGGGGCATGCAAAGTACTATACATTATACTCATGGAACGGTGCCCGCTGGCCTGTGACAACATCTATTTTCTGGCATTCATCACAATGTATCACTAGCACCTTTCCTACATTATATCTGTATGGCTACCAAGTTTGTCAATGGAAACCAAATGGAAACTCACCGGAAGCCAACACCGCAAGTGACGGTGGCCGTTCCCGTGGAATAGTATCATGGTTTGTATGTCGTTCCGCAGCCTTTGGTCCGCTCATGCCGGGTACCATTCCGATGCCTAGAATGCGGAATGAGCAAGGTCTCCTTCAGGCGTGTCCGGGTGGTAGCTCCGGTGAGACGCAGAGCGACTGGGCGCAGAGCCGCCGGCTTTCCAGACTCTGTAGCCTTTCCTGGACTTGGATAGAGATCGGAGGGCGATCTAGGCACGTGACGGAGTCGCGTATGTCATAAGAGATGGATCGTTCAGTACTCAGTCGTTCTCGCGCACACCTGGCTACTCTACGCTTATCCCGCATCTCATCCCTCTTCCTCCCTGCCCCCCATTCATGACCAAGCTGGCTGCGCTATATGGCGCGTCCGTGAAGACGGAGCGCAAGATACTAGACGACATCGAGGAGCAGTTCCGCCTCGAGAGGATGGGCTCATCGAAATCACGAAGCAATTCCTCGAGGACTTTCGCGCTGGACTGGGAGAATATAACATCCGATGGCTGATGTATGCTTCCACGCGTATATTTGCGCGTACATCTCTGCTCATCTAGGACGGGTAGCCGACGTTTGTGACGGGTGTACCGAACGGCACAGAAACTGGGTGAGTTCACTTTCCTCACCACTGTCCTTTGCGCGCGCATGTTCTCCCCGACTGCTACGTGTCAAACCCTCTCCTGCGCTGCTGCACGCGGATCGCAACGGAGCGTGCGTCCCCGCTGTCATCGTCCCGTTCTCATGCGGACCCGGTCTACTTCCGCGACCAGCGCTCCCAGAAAGGCAGCTCGGTCTAACTACGTAGCTTCACTGGTCGATCACCCGCCGTGCCTTTCTCGGAAATCCCTGATATTCTTCGTGACCACGCTCTCCGATCGATTCGCGTATGCGCACCGAATTTCCGACAGAAGGGAGAAGAGCGCCAGTCCAGTTGTGTCGCGATGCATGTGATCGCATCCATGGTCGTGTGCGAGCCACATGCGTGCAAGGATGCTTCTTCACGCGACTCTGAACAGCATGGTCGACGAAGTGAATACAGACTTCGGTGGAGCAGCCATGTGTGCATATCGCGTGTGGTGCAGAGCAGACCCCGATAGCTTACCGACGACGCGGTTTCAGCACCTTTCTAGCCCTTGATCTCGGAGGAACGAACCTGTAGGCCCCAAGTCTGCTTGATGTGACGATGATACCCTGACCGACCTCTGGAGACGAGTTTGCGAGGTTACGCTACTCGGCAACCATGAGTTCTCCATGAAGCAACAGAAATACAAGGTGTCTGAAGCACTGAAGACGGGTGAAGCTTCTGTGCTATTCGGTAAAGTTGAACAGTCCATGGCATCATTATCTGTGGTGTTGATGTTTCTGGCGTTTTGCAGACTATCTGGCAGACTCTGTCGACGCGTTTCTTACGGAACATTCAAGCGTCGGCGGTCCGATCAGCCCCTCACATGATATCGCCAATCCTTTCGATACCATCTCTGCGCCTGCCGTGCCGCTAGGCCTTACCTTCAGTTTCCCGGTTGAGCAGACCGCATTGAACCAGGGCAAGATCCTCACGTGGACGAAGGGATTTTCAGCAAAGAACGCAGTCGGCAACGATGTCGTTCGTCTCCTTCAAGATGCTTTCGACAGGAAACATCTACACGTCCGTTGTGTGGCCTTGGTAAACGATGTAGGTGCCAAAACTGCCTCGAAGAAAATATCTGATTGACGTTTACGCCAGACCGTCGGTACGCTACTTTCGCGAGCATACAGCGCCGGATCGTGTCTTCTCGGTATGTGTTGTATACATAATCGATGACATCCGACTAGATAGCTTCTTCACAAGGTGCTATTTTCGGCACCGGTACCAACGGCGCGTACGTCGAGAAGGTCGACAACATCACGAAGCTTGGTGACTCTCCAGCACGGAAGGACGGCGGCTACATGATCATCAACACGGAATGGGGCGCGTTCAACAACACTGTATGCAAGGCACTCACGAAGCTTAGACCAGCTCTGACATAATATATATCTGACAGCGCACGAAGCTGCCGACGACGCCCTACGATAACAAGTTGGACCGCGAGTCGATCAACCCGCGCTATCAAGCGTTCGAGAAGTTCATCTCGGGCATGTACCTCGGCGAAATCACGCGGAATATCCTCCTCGCACTCGTCGACGCTGCGCCCAAATCGCTTCTGTTCAATGGTAGGGCGAGCGTTGCCCTGAACACGCACTACGGCCTCGATACCGCTGTCATGAGTGAGGTCGAAGAGGCGTGGGAGTCGGGGCGCGACACTGAGGTCAAGGTGAACGGTCAGTCCGATGGGAGAGTGCACACTTCACGGACGTGGAGGCGCTGGGTCCCCAGGACCTCTCGCGCCTCGAGCGGATCCGTGGCATTCTTGTCCAGAGACTCCTGCTCGAGCCTGAGGATGTCTCTCTGCGAGATGCGGCGACTGTCCGCTGGGCAGCTTCGTTGGTGGCGAACCGCGCGGCAAGGTTGAGCGGTACTGCGCTCGCTGCGGTGCTTGTACAGACTGGACACGCGACACTTGGTGGAGGCACACCCGAGCCTGAGGAGAACATCATCATTGGTGTCGATGGCAGGTAAGTCACGACAGTAGCATGCGCACAAATCCACGGCTCACTGTCTCGGTTGCAGTTTGATTCAACACTACCCTAACTTCCAGACTCGTCTCCGTGCATCACTTAGTGCTCTTGTCGGAGAAGCGGTGGAGAAGCGAGTTGAGATCGATTTGGCCAAGGATGGGAGTGGTGCAGGAGGTATGCCATGTCGCGCAGTGGTTGTCTGTTATTGGCCTTCACTTATTGATGCCTTTTCTAGCTGCGCTGTGCGCCCTGCAGGCCGTCAAGCAAGGCCTGTAGTCCCATCCTCGAGCCTCGCACCTTCATAACGACAACATACTGTATTACCACACACTTTAATGTTCAAGTAGTACCAATTGTATCGTCCTGACGTTTGTCTGATGTTGTTGTACTGGTTCGGAACTAGAAGAGAAGAGGTGTTGCAATTGGTATCTGGACTTCGTAGCAGCAGTACTATTGAACATAGAATGTAGCACAGCAAGGAGAGAAAAATCAAGTACAATGGTACCATGGTGATCAAGTACAATTGTACCATCCTTGTGTCGCCTCTCCTACACCGGTCCCATTACAACCGTATGACAGCTAAGTACAATATAAACACGGCCCTGAGCGGGTCGGGTGTCGCGCACACGGGAGGACCCGGGCAGAAGCGCCCGTACTTTCTCGGCTGTTTCCGGCGACGTTCGGACAGAGCTTGACGGCCTGCGTGACGACCTCCACGATCCCCCATTCATTCTGTGAGGCTGCTTCGCTTTCCCGCTCCGTTTGCTATCTGCTGATCGAGCGTTGTGTAGCTTGCCATGGCCTCAAAAGCAGCCGCTGCAGCGGTGGTACGTCGTGTTTTCTTTTTCTCGGTTATGCCTCCAATTCATGGATGGCACGTCATACAGGACTTCACCCGTGTCTACTCCTCTCTTGGTCTCTCCAAGGGTCAGTATGTTTGCTTGAATGTGATCGTTGCGTCGAGCTAAATCACACATCTACAACCAGAGACCGTCGCGTCTCTCCAGGCCTTCCGCAAGCGGCACGCGGACGCCCAGCGCATCCACGCGCAGGCTGCAGCGCAGCCCACGACGGTCGACCTCGCGCACTACCGCTCCATCCTGAAGAACAAGGCGATCGTCGACGAGACCGAGAAGCTCCTCAGCGAGTTCAAGCCCATCACCTACGACGTGAGCACGCAGCTCAAGGCGATTGAGGCATTCGAGGCGAAGGCGGTATGTGTCGCGTACTCAGTCTGAAGAAGCACTGCTCACTATGGCATTGTGCCCTCTGCGTTGTGTCACCGTGTCATCGCGCTGCGAACAACAGGTCGCGAAGGCGAAGGAGACGACGGAGAAGATCGATGTTGAGTTGAAGGATCTCCAGGCTACCCTTGCGAACATCGAGGATGCACGGCCTTTCGAGGACCTCACCGTACGTGCTCATGCATGCATTACGTCTTATGCATCGCGAATTCACACTTCTGCAGGCGGAGGAGGTCGGCCAGGCGCACCCGCGCATTGTCGAGGCTGTCGAAACCATGCTGAAGAAGGGCAAGTGGTCCGTGCCGGGTACGTACCAATGTTCCGCGATCACATCTGTTCGCTGCTCATACTCATGCTACGCTCTGTACAGGCTACAAGGAGAAGTTTGGCGACCTCTCGCTCATGTAATTTGTCGCTACGATGCTTTACCAATAGAAGTCGCAGCCGCAAATAGCGCACATCAGATTGGTTATCCACCTCGTTATGCTCCTGTGTCTGTCTGTTCCATCGTGGATAACGGATGTCGGCGTGGTTGCAGTATCTGGTAGCGCGAAGCTACAGTCACTTCATCGTGGACGATCACGGCTCTGCCAGTCGCATTTCCCTGTTCGGCATTGCTGTGAGCGATACTGGCTACACGGGACAGCGAACAGCAAAGGCGTCTGACCAATGGTCATTAGGATCCAGTGCGACATGAATGACATTGCAGATCATGAGCCGTAACGATGCGCGAAGAATAGCGAGACACGGAGACCACTAGGGTATAGAGCTAATGGAAATGACTAACGTACACCAGAACATACAACTGATCTGCACTAGAACAGATCTTCTAGCGTCATTTGCTTTACAATATCCTGGCAGCAGATGTCAGTTACAGAAGGGATGTGGTCGACGCGCGAGACGCACTGTATTCGACACCATTTGGACAAACTCTTCGAAACTGAGCTTGCCGTCGCCGTCCTTGTCCGCCTCCATTATCGTCTTGTCGACGATTTGTTGTAGTTGCCCGTCCTTCAGTTATTTCCGACCATCATCTTCAGCACGAGGAACAACTCGCCGTTCGAGATGAAACCATCTCGATCCATGTCATAGACCTTGAACGCAACTGTACAGGCAACACATGAGCGACCAAGAACTGTGATCATGAGGGGCGCACGCATACATCTCAGCTTCTCTTCTCGACCTCCTCGGCTACTGAATGCGCTGAGACCACCGACGAACTCCTGGAAGTCGACCGTTCCCCTCCACTGTTTATCGGGAATTGAGATTGATGCGCTGAGGTGCGGAACAACTCAGCAGCACGTACTCTTCATCGAAGATGGCAATTAGTCGTGATGCGAGTGGGTTGTTGGCGATTTGAGGGATTTGGAGGAATTCCTCGCGATCTATTGATCCAGAGCCATCACTGTAGACACGTAGCAGTCTGAGTGCCTTGTATAAAGTGATGAACGGCCGCACATACCTGTCCAGCTTCATGAAGCGCTTCTTCAGCCGCTCCAACTCGTTTGCGTTGACTGGACGACAGAACATGGTGGCAGTCCCTGCTTCAGAGACAAAAGAATGACCGGAAGAGCGAAGCGGACGCACAGTTGGACCGCCTCTG